GACTATCACACGGACGGGTCCACCCCCACCTGCATCGCCCGCGTTTGGATAGAATCGGACCGTCCGTCCACGTTGACCATAGGGCGTGCTGAATAGATACATTTGAAAGACGTTGTCATCATCGGCTATCGCAGGACTGACGACGTGAGAGCTGCCTTCGACCGAGTCGACGATGGGATCCACCACAGCGGGGCCGAGATCGTGTGGCGGCGCGATGGAGTGGGATGAGGCCTCTCCGTGTTCTTGGTCTGCTATCCTGTCTTGGACCGTCGAGATGGGCTTGTTCACCACGCAGAAGGGAGCTTCGTTCCACATGCTCAATGAAGGAAGGCACTGCGACACGTCGGGAGATTCCAATGGGAGATTCAACATCTGGGGCGACGGAGTCGACAAGGAGGCGGAGGGGGCGGTGGGTTGAATGCATGTGCCTTTGGAAGCAGATTTTGGCCGACTCCTGGTCCTTCGTCGACGTCGCTGCTCGGGCAGAGGAGGGAATACACAGTCAGTGCCTTTGATTCGACATGTTACGCACGTGGGTGAAGCCACCGTGGTTTTGCACCGTGACTTTCTGGTTCGACAAGTGATGCAGGCCGGTTGCATGTGAGACCGGTACGGCCGCCCTTCGATTGGAGCCGTGATTTGATGTGGATCGGGAAGCTCGATGTCCATTGATCAAGGACTTGGAGGAAAAGTCGTCGTGTCGTGTTGCGTTCTGTCGTGGAACTCGCGCCGTGGACCACCGAGACGACGGAATTTCTACACGACAGGGTCGTTGGACAAGTAACGGAATACACGCCCTCGCGAAATAGATCCTAGCTTCAGCAGGCGAATAGAATGTACTGGACGACTACAGTGCAGTAGAGTCCATCCGGTTGAGATAACGCCCCGGGAAAGTGGTGCTCGTCGGGAAACTGGCGCTACTCGGGAAAGTGGGGCTCGTCGGGAAAATGGTGCTTGTCGGGAAAATGGTGCTCGTCGGGAAAGATGCGCACGGCCCGGTCGAGAAAGTCGAAGAGACTGCGAACGACTGAAGAGATAAGTCAATCTGAGAGCACCAGGGCATCAGGGTATCAGAGCACAAAGTAATAATACCTCTGGTGAGGCTAGGAAACCGTCCGTTATCAGCTGACACTTTTCTGCGTCCTCTGGGTATCTGTTCTCTAGCATGGTTAAGGCACCTGCCCGGTCGTCTCTGAACACGTATAAAAAGCCTCTTTCTTCGCTAACCTACTTTGTGGCATACAACCATAGTGATCTAGACCGTTTCAACTTTTCTGTAGCTCTTTCCCCTTCGCCCACTGTCGACTATCAACTTCCCCGGTGGTGGGAAGCCTCGCTTGTCTGGGGGCGTGATTTTCTCGTCCAGCAGATCCTACCACTCAGGACCAATAGCTTCAGACCAGTAACCGGATCGCTAAAACACTCGGTCTGCTACCCTTCCTCATATCTCGAAGCACCCCTTCTCATCCCAGATCACTATGGTATTAAACGACACCGACGACGTGGGCTCCTCCACAACCACACGTATCTCCTCATCCGGGAAGGACGCCCCCACAGCCTCCTCATTCGCCATCAAGGCTGGCTTGGCCCAGATGCTGAAAGGCGGCGTTATCATGGACGTTGTTAACGCCGAGCAGGCCCGCATCGCCGAAGAGGCGGGCGCCTGCGCGGTCATGGCCCTCGAGCGGGTGCCCGCCGACATTCGCAAGGACGGCGGCGTTGCCCGAATGTCGGATCCGGAATTGATCAAAGAGATCCAAGCGGCGGTCACTATCCCAGTCATGGCCAAGGCGCGCATCGGCCACTTTAGTGAGTGCCAAATCCTTGAGGCTCTAGGCATAGACTACATCGACGAGAGCGAGGTCTTGACCCCAGCAGACGACAACTTCCACGTCGAAAAAGTCGACTTCAGGGTCCCCTTCGTGTGTGGGTGTCGAAATCTCGGAGAAGCCCTGCGACGCATCGCCGAGGGCGCCGCCATGATCCGCACAAAGGGCGAAGCCGGTACGGGAGATGTGGTCGAGGCGGTTAAGCACATGCGGACAGTCAAGAGAGAGATTGCTCGAGCGCAGACCGCGCTGGCCGACGGTGACGCTGCTCTCCGCGCGTATGCAAGGGAGATGGGCGCCGAGGCGGAGCTGCTTAAACAGACAGCGCAACTCGGCCGGCTGCCCGTGGTCAACTTTGCCGCTGGCGGCATTGCCACGCCCGCCGACGCCGCCCTGATGATGCAACTAGGCTGCGACGGTGTCTTTGTCGGCAGCGGCATCTTCAAGTCAGGCAACGCAGCCAAGCGGGCCAAAGCCATCGTACAGGCGACAGCGCACTTCCGTGATGCCAACGTGTTAGCCAAGTGCAGTGAGGGTCTCGGCGAGGCTATGGTGGGCATCAACTGTAGCTCCATGGAAGAAGGGGAGAAGATGGCCGGCCGAGGCTGGTAAGAGGGCAAGCTTTCACCAATGTGATACCGCAAGCCGCGGGGTGTGCGCAGGCAATCTTGTCACCATATAAGCTCGCCAAGGACTGGGGCGTTCCTGCACTGTAACATCTTGCGCCATCTGAAACAGTAAAGTTCTTTCTGCAAACTGCAACAATGAATGCCATCACAGAACTCCTAGCAGGTACAACGCTCGGGGATGCAGCTGTCGGCAGAAGCAAGCTTTGTGCCGACGACTGTTTTCATGCTCTGCTCAAACTGCGTAAGACGTTTAATCACCATCTCTTTTTCTGGGCCCTGTGCAGCACTTCGTCCAGACATAATTGAGAATCTGAGCATTTGACGGCAGGCTTGGATGATGTGGAAGACGGAAGACGCGACCATCTGGCAGTACAAACAGTGGTTGAACTTACACGGCGAAAATGTGAGGATGTCCCAACTTCCTGACTTTTCCACAGATCGTAACAGGAGAATCGAGATCCTACTCCGTTCAAATTCATTACCGTCGATCATTTGCCCCAGATTTTGCCGTCCACTGCGAGCGCTTTACTTGGGCCAATCCAAGTTGTTAATTTTCAGCCTTGTGGGACCAAGGAGCCCTGGGATCGAGTCTGCGATCCTCTGTTGCCGCCGGACCAGATGGGTCATTCCACTTGATATCAAACTCAAATCTATACGGCACCAAAGAATGTGGGCCATCGGAGTCCCTCTAGTATACTATAGGTCACGTAGTCCTTCATCTAACCTTCCTAACATCTCTATATAGCTACTAAAAATACTTAGAATCAAGTTAGTCAAGATTCGAAACCTAGTAACGCCGCATACCTCATTAGGACGGGCTTGGCCAGCACTCGATCTACTATATGAACTGTAATTTTGTGCTCAACATCTCCTGTTGCTAGAGGTTATCTGAATACTTCTCTACCTCCCTCTAGTACATATCAAGATATTGAGATGTTCAATAGGTCGCCAGGTCCTCGGGGTGTGCAGTGTCTTTAGATCGCACCGGGCTCTTCAGGACTGAATACTCAAACTTCCGATCGACATATTCCAACGCCTCCGGATTGACATTGTTTGTGTTGAGGCTCATTAGATGTTCTCCTCCATCTGTCGGGGGAGGCTGCAACGGCCACCAATAGCATCTGCACGGTATGAGCTCGCAATCTCATGCAAGAGGGATTGATTTTTCCTTCTTACACGCATCCACAATTGTCACAGAAGTTGAAAGATAGGTCTCGGTCTCCCCAGATGTACTGCTTGGTGATGGCCCCTGGCTTCGTTTCGATTTTGACCTCGTCTGGGTGTTAGTAGCCCCATGCGGCACCATAACGCCTACATATGGTACATTGGCAGACGTTAATATATTCGGGCAATCGTGGACCTATGATTATAATCGCACCACAGTGACAGGTGGAGCGGATTGGAGGGTTTGCGGCTGCCATATTTGACCTATTCGTAAAGAGCTTGATTGTGAGATGAGAAGAGCTTGTAATTTGGGCTTGCCAAAGCCTGTCTGTTGGATCACCAGAAACGCCTTATGTATATGTACTCTGACGACCCAGGATAGCAGGCCAGGCAAAACCCAGGCACCAGGCACCAGGCAGCCATTTCCGGACCGGAATAACGTTGGGCCCTGGATCGGCGTTTCTTACCTACTTTGACCAGCGAGGCAAGAAGAGTACACACACACACACCCACACACACACACACACACAAAAAATCTATTACTCCCGGCGGCTGGGCCAAAAGGGTAACTAAAGCTATTATAACGGTAGGGCATATATAATATAGAAAAGGTTCTAAGAATATAAATTCCTATATACGAGAGACTAAACTAAGGGAGAAAGGGAAAGGAAGAAAGGAAACAGCGCGGCGCTATACTTTTATATAGCGACTACTCTTACTAAGTCTCTCGGTATACTAAGTTGCTATCTAATTAGATAGCTAATTAGAGTGCTATCTTATCCCGTATATTATCCGGGATAATACTCGCTAATTACAGTCCTTTCTTCACTTAGCGCGATATTGACAGATCTGGACAGATCTGGTCGTACCGCGTTCAGGTCCGTGACAGGAGTGGGCTTTTTCGCCCTCTCTAATTGACCCTTTCAAATATTTCACCGTGCAATGTTTGGGTCATTACTGATCGATAGATCTATCCTTCGCTTTCACGGCCGTGACACCCGCGACCCGCACGCTTATATATATCTAGCCCCTGAGAGTCTTGGCAACCCATATTCGTGACAACTTAATTATTAGTGCTATTCCTCTACTACTATCTATATAAAGTACTATTGAAAGAAAAGATAAGTCTCTCTACTTTATCCGTTTAATTAGGAGCTACTATCGCCTCCCTGTATATGTATAGGCACGTGACCTGACTCTTCCCATTACACTAGTTACGTGATAGTTCTAAGCTAAAATGTGCCATTCGGACGGGAAGGGAAGATAGCCGATGGCGATGAACATTCTCCAAAAATCCACCGCTCATTTGGAGACGATCTAACTTACTACCAGGATAACACTCCTCCGTGAAGTTGAATATCACTCAGTCTCGTCCAATATGGCCGTGGAAGATCATACTGACACGCTTGCGTGCTTTCTCTCACAATTGAAGTACGAAGATCTCCCAGAGCAGGTTGTTGAGCAAGCAAAACGTGGAATTCTCAATAGCTTGGGTTGCGGACTGGGCTCCTCACGAGCCCCATCGACGCAGAAAGTCTTTGCCCTCGTCAAACATGCTGATCAGGCCAGTCTCATCGGCAGATTCGAACGAGCATGTGTGGAAGATGCTGCCCTACTCAACGGTATTGCCCTTACAGCAGCCGATTATGATGACACGCACCTTCGGACAGTGATTCACCCTTCGGGGACGCCCCTTGCGGCGCTATTCTCATGGGCGGAGCATCATCATCTGTCGGGCAAGGAGTTCTTGCTTGCATTTGTCTGTGGAGTTGAAGCACAATGCGCGGTGGGAAATGCAATATCGCCTGGGCATTACCGGGATGGATGGTAGGCCAACCGTACGCCTGAAAGACGAACGCTAATTCTTTGAGGCATATCACCGGGACGACCGGATCATTTGGTGCAGCGGCAGCGGTTGCAAAGGGACTCAGGCTTGATTCACATAGATTTGCAGCGGCGCTCGGTCATGCCTGCAGCATGGCAGGAGGGATCAGGGCGATGTTTGGAACAGATACAAAAACATTGCACATGGGAAGAGGTGCGCAAAATGGGATTCTTGCAGCAGAACTCGCATCCCTAGGATTTCAAAGCTGCAAAAGATCCATTGAGTCATGGGCGAAATTGGTGTCGCCGACTGTCAATGAGGGACTGATATCAACACTCGCACAAGACGGAGAATGGCAGATCCTCGAGAACACCTTCAAGCCATATCCCTGCGGGATTGTCATCCATCCACTCATTGATGGATGTTTGGAGGCATTTGCAGATGACGAGACGATCGCTGAAAAGTTGGACGCTCTTGATGTGACTGTGAACCCCCAATGCGTACGGCTCTGCTCAATCAGGCATCCAACATCTGGGTTGGAAACCATTTTCTCCTTATATCACGGATGTGCAGTCGCCCTGGTCCACGGGAGTGCTGGACCAACACAATTCGCGGATCAGGCATGCAATGACGTGGCGGTTGCGTCTGTGAGAGACAAGATCAATGTCGCAACGAACGCAGCAATTCGTGACGATGAAGCGTATTTGGAGCTGACGTATCGCTCCGGCGAGCTTCAGAAGAAGAAGATTCACATCAAGCATGCTACTGGCTCTTTGGCGAAGCCCATGACAAAGCAGAGTCTCGAGAAGAAGTTCTTGGGCCAGGCTATGCCAATTCTCGGAGAACAAAGGGCCCAAAAGGCGATTGAAGCGGCGTGGAGCCTCGAGAGCCTCAGGGATATCTCTGATTTTACTCAGTTGTTCAGCCCAGGGCGTCAAAGTTAGGAGGATAACAAGACCCGGAATTATTCTCAGGTGTAAACGAAAGGGTGTCCTGTAAAAGGATAGATTATGTGCTGTACTGATAATTGAGAAATATTATCACAATTCAAGCAAGGGGACAGATGGTGGCTTGTTTCTTCCTTTTCCCCGCGGCCATAACAGAGTCAAGGCTGAACCACAGAATCCCTGCGATGATCCAAAACCACTTCAAGCAATGACAGAGCGCTTCCGACCGGCTTGCGTATCTTGATCAGTCTCAGCCTGGGATCGGTCTCGGCAAATAGACGTCTCCATTCACCCTCATCTCGTTCCAGCGCATTATGCATTACCATCATTTGCATATCCCGGACTCGCATTCGTCGCTCATCGCCGATTTTGAGCGTACCATATGGAAGTGTGACGTAGTCCATGATCAGGATTTTCGATCCAGGCCTCATGCCCACAAGAAGAGCCTGCAGGATCTTCTTGGCATATTTATTTGCCCAGTCGTGAAATATCATCCGGAGGAAATAAATGTCGGCGACGACAGGTTGAGGGTCCCAGAAGCTATGCTCTTGGAAGCTGATCCGGTTCTTCATATGGGCAGGGACGATTGATATCGAAGGATCTGTAGCCCGGGCGACAGTCTTTGGGAGGTCTTGGACGATACACGTGAGTGTCGGGTTGGTCTCAAGAATGGCAATACTGCCATGGCCAAGGCTCCCGCCCACGTCAACGATTATTGCGTGAGACAGGCTGCTCCATTCAAATGCCGACTTGATGTGCTCATGCGACAGTGGTGGCGACTTGGTGAATTGATTCATGACGGCGTGGAAGTCGGCGCCAAACGCCGGGTGCTGCTCGTGATACTCGAACATGGACAAATCCGTGTCCTTGAAGACGTTGAAAGCCGTCTCGTTCGGCTCCTGCGAGCCATGGCCCCATTTGTCGATCGAATCGTTGAAACAGCTCGCGATCGGCCATCCGCGGTCGCTGGAATACTTACTCAAAGTCGCAATGCCATCCTGGAGGAGAAGCAGTGATGTCTCTGTGTGGGCCACTTCACCGTCCACTTCGACGAAGATACCCTTTGTCATGGCGTATCGTAGTACCCGCTTCAATTGAGATACATCGACGACGATTTTTTCTGCCAACGCTGCGTAGGATATCTTTTCGGTGGTTGGGACACCCTTAGCGACAGCAAATCGATTGATGTATCGTAAAGCTGTAAGATCCATGATCTAGAATATTTCAGCGATCACTCTTCAAGTACGGCTACTTAGGAACCCACGCTCGCAGAAAGACCTTGGGTGAGGATAAATTCGGGCGGGGTCACCATCAGGAGAAGATTCTGCACCGATTCAAACAAAGACAAATGTATATCTCTCAGCTCTACACCGCCTTGATGGGCAGACCTCGTGTGCTCATTTACAAGCTTGGAGCTTTCGAGACTGCGACTGAACAAGCCGGCCTGCACCAGACACGTCGCGGCGAGAGCTTCAAGCTCTGAAAGGCTGGAGCTTGAAAGTGCCATTTTGAATGTGTTTCCAATGTGACTAGCGACTGTGCCATTCATTGGGAGACTTTCAGGACTTTATAGAGCACACCGAAGCTCTTCTAGAGCCCTGCGCACGCCTCGTGGCCCTTGGCTCTGCGCACCATCTGACCGATTGACGAGCCCTATTCTCGCCGAATCCTATATTACACGAAATCACTGAACGAGTGTTAGAGACATCCCCTCTAGGGATTGAACTTTAGTTCCCTGACCCATCTTCGTTTCAGGACACCAATAGGCTTGTTCTGCGCGTGCCGTGCTGACAGACATTCGGCCGCCCATGGCCTTTTCATCATCAAGGATGCCGCTGACTACATGGGACGAGGATCTGTTCAAATCCAGGGATCTTGAGCACCAATGAATCAAATGTGATTAAAGCCACTAAAATGCCGATAGACTTGATGGTTTCGGGATATACAGCCTGCAAGAGCTTAAGGTTCTATTAGAGTATAGCTTGGAGGCTCAGATAAACTTAGCTCGTGGTGATCAAATCTTTACCCATAGCAATAAGCAACCGCAAGGCGGCGCAATGCAAAACGTCTTGATTTCGCTCTCAGCACCGCAAAAGTAACTGTTATCACAGACCTTCTTCGCAAATGAAGCTGAGTGAGGGTTTTGACTTGTCCCTTATTGCCGAGTGATCGTTCTTGACAAAAGTCAAGCCAGTCCTTGATGGCTTGTACGGTCCGACGAATGTCTCTATGCAGCAAGTCGTTGGATCCAAGACATGCAACAGCCCGCTGCAGGCACCATACCACGACTGGCAGGTACCAATATACTAAAAAAAGGATTCGGGAATATGACACATAAGGAACGGAAAGGGAGAATTCCTGGGGGCAGATGATGCCGAGGGTGGTCAGCGAAGAAGCAAAGGATCACCCGCCGGACTGGTGGATATTGGATCAATAATCTGCTAATGCATGTTATTTCTATATAAGCAGTCGCCGTCGAAGACCACCTCACTTGAACCGAAGACCTAGTGGATTATTCCGCCCCAAAAGCACTTGGACGGGTATGATGGAACCCTCCAGGTGGATCTCGTTTGGAGACGGGAGGGTCAAGCTGAAGGCACAAATTGCGGGAGAAGCAAACATTGTGGGGTAGGCATCATAACACCGAATATACAAATGAAAGGTTCGGGGAAAGACCACGAAGGTATTTCGTTCTACGGGTAGAAACTTGCGTCCGCGTCAGAAACTGGAAGCTGTTTTGCAACATATAGATGCAAGAGATCAGGCAGGCCGACCCCACTAGCGAGTGTCCAGCCCTCACCAGGGCGGAAAATAACTGCCTCCAAATTGACAGGCCGGATTGTTTGGAATAAGGAATTCCACCGCACCAATCACGATTCGGATGAGGAAGTAAGCTGATCCTGCGAAGATGTTCACAAAAAGGATCTCAATTGACGCCAGGCGGTAGGTCGACAACAGTGTGATACCATTCGGTGTTATTCAAACTCAACGAGCACGAATCAGTTATGGCAACAGCGTATCGAGAAGTTGCCAAAGCTTGACGGCGGCACCAGGTTGACCACTGACAAATGTGCAGAAACTCCAAGATATTCCGTCTGCAGTGATGTGTCAAAGATGACCAAAAAAAAATTTCCCTCTGCGTTACTGGCAGCATGATGAAGCATTAGTATAGTCTTCGTTACACGCCTCTGAAGTCGCTGTTTCCAATAGGACACATATCAAGTTTAGGCCCCAGTTCTCTCATACCTAGCCTGGGGGTTGATTCTAATCTTCGACTTCCAAATCCCAGACCGTGGAAATCTTCGTTGCTCGGTCCCAGGGCTGTCCTTCTCCCAAATATCTCGTGTGTAGCTGTAGTATGCTGTTCGGGCATCTTCGTGTGTATCGTCCGTCAGCTTAGCAACTTCAGCCAATGTCCATGCAAGGGGCTACGTTTGTCTTCTATTCCAGCCTGTCATAGGCGATTTCGAGGTAGAAAAATTTGTTGTCCCAATCAAATTACATCTTCAAAAGAATCTTCAATGGAATCAAGTCTCTTGGGAGGCGAGGACGTAATATTTTGGTGTGCAAGGTCTTCCGGTGCCATTCGATATCTTTACTGCCACTTCCATCCATCGGAAAGGTGCCCAACCTCGTGTAACGCCGCGCTAGTCATTATCTTGAATTGGATAACCGCTGGGGAACAGGGATAACGAAAGCGGCCGAACTTGAGGAAGGCATCATTCCCTTAACCGACGAGGACAACCTCCTCAACATCTTGGCAGGCGCCGAGCTGCGTCTTGCGCACCAATGGACGGGAACAGTCAAGCGATAAACCGATCTCAATAGGTACGAAGCATCGCTCTCGTTGAAGTTCATGCTGTTTCTTCTCAAGATTGGGGTTTCTCGCCAGAAGGCTGCCGCATATCAAAAAATACCACCTGGTGTATTGTCACCCGAGGATTTCTTGGAAAACAAAACTTGTTACGGAGCCGTATGGAAATTTGAGCGACGAACACTTATCATTATTGTTAATCTATGCGTCATCTCGCCAAGACTAGAGATTAGCGGGGTTGTAGCAGTGGATCATAGATAAGGTGTAATCATGATCATATTACAGTGGCACCCAAGTGGATTGATGTTTAGTTTTGTAGCGTAATGGATGAAGAGGCTGGTGGGCCGCCGAAAAGCAGATCGCGAGGTGGGCCGGTTCTTGAACCAGGCCAGACCAACGCCGATAACGACAGATGTGTGCGAGAAGGCACAAAAGACACCAGCAACGGTCGGGTATACGGTCTGATAGGCTTCCTGTGATAGCTGTCTGGATGACATCAACCCCAAAACCGGGCCTGATAGAGATATGGTTCGACACGTGCTTCGTAGCGCAAGTGAGTGAATCTTCCACCATGTTACCGGTCACGAAGGAGAGATCGTTCCCGTTCGGACTGTTGGTGTCGAGTGCTAGTAGGAGTAGGCTGAGGGCCATCCATCTGATCAAGAGACTCTCCTGTTTCGCCCTGGTGAAGTGAACTGTCCCAAAGTAGTCACTCCACATCTGAGTTAGGGTGGCTTGCGAGGCTGAGCTCATGTGCTGGAGTGCTTGCGGGCTTGCCCGGATGCCTGCAAGTTAGAGCTAGCGCGGAAAAGTTGAACTATCTGATCAGACTGGTATCGCCCACATCGGTCTTGGTTGGGAGGACTTGCAGGAGGATTTGCTCCGGCTTGGAGTGGTGTGAGGGCGGAAAGATCGGCCTTCCTTACGGTCACGCGTATACATGCCGGTTCAGGAATGATTATTAGTCCATGATGTTAAAGAGCATCTGTTCGTTGCCCATCATGCTATGTTGTACCTTACTAAATGACCCGACCACGAAGTTCAACAGTATGGCATTGGCAAAGGAACGACCGATACCCTTAGAACATCTGATCAATCACCAGGCGTGATAATTGACAGTCAAGGGCGCCGCGTGCTTATCACTGTGCCTTCTGGTGACCGGATTGGAGGCAAGTAGAGCAACCTTGTCAAAGATTTGTCATCTCTTGTATCAATGTTGACTAGACACTATTGCTGGCCAAGTTGAGTGGTTGATCGGGATGATATCATTGGACTATCCGCATGTTGTCTCCTGTCTGGACCCGTTTATCTGATGGAAACGAGTGTTGATTCCCAGGTTCGTTGGTCCGGCCGAGATCGACCACTAAGCTGGTTGCGGCCGATCTGAAGCCATCTCGAAATCTTTGTTTGCACATCCGGAAGACCCTCGATCTTGTTCTCATACAGCGCAACTGGTTTCAGCTCTTCTATTGCTCGAGGCTGCCTTGAAATGTTAGACCTGGTGTCTTTCGCTCTGCATCATTTGAACAATGAGCCAAGTCAGGTCTTGGGGCCAGTACACTCTGGCTATGGGATCGCGTATCCAAAGGCGTGACCCGTCAGCATGCTCCTCAAGTACTAAGCTTACTCTTATTTCATTTTGCTACATCGTCTGCATCGTCGGCATGAGAGCTTTGGGTTGGCTGGCTGGGCATTCCGTGAGTCGCAAGACCTGGACTATGGCCGGTGCCAGCCGTTGTATCCCCCATTGTGTTTTCGTGGGTTTGGTAGGCGACCGCGCCTGCATATCCTTTTGACAAGTGCCCACCTCTTGTCCAGGTCCTTCTCCAGCTTCGTCATACTGCTTCGTCGATATTTATTCGTCGGAGACGTTCGCCTGTCATTCTTCCACACGACGACAGGTTCGAGATCCGGTGCTAGTTCCCTGCAACGACAACTTCCTTGAACCGGAGGACCATGGTCAGCGCGCCTCAAAGATTGGGAATTTGAACAGCAATCAATTACTTTAGCCACTGAGCGAGTATGGTTTGAACGAATGCGCTTGAAAGGTCTTGTCTTCTCTTCTCTTGAGCAATCTTGCAAATGTGGAGTCCGTCACCAGCTTGTCGGAAAGCCCGCAGGTCAAAGTTCGGCCTTGCTCGCCCCCTCTCGTTTAGCCACGCGCAGGCCCCTCAAAAGAACGCATGGAAGCTCCCACAGAAGCTTGGCATAATCCGCCACTGCAACATCCTTATCTCTGTCAATCCACTGGGGCACTAAGCAAGCAATTCCCCAAGCCGCTTGGCAGCCCCAATCCTGTGGAGAGATCAGACGAGGAGAGACAGCGAAAGCTACGGGCCTTGCCCGAGTGGCGGATCGGCTTGGAATTGGACCAAAACAGACGTTTCACTACTCATTACGTCCGGCAGGTCACTCCATCTCTATCGCGTTCTCATCATTCGTGCTCGCCGGTGCCGGGCAACATTTTGAAAAGCGACGTGTTTGTGCCTGGGACGGCCAACTCTTCATGACGGTCTCGTGATGTTGAACAAGAGTTGGCGAAGCCCGATCACGAGAGAAGCGCCACCATCGGTCGTCACAAGCGATTGCTTCTGCTGGCTTCTCCACTCAGAAATGGCCTCCTTCTCCGCAAAAGCCGAGGCAGGCTTCGTTAGATGGACGCGCCCCGGCACGATGTCACCTTTTTGTGGCGATCGCCAATGAGCTTTCTGAACCAGCCCGGGATTTGTGCCGCCCGAACCACTCTGGATGCGACGACAAAAGCCTCCTATCTATGATTTGCTGTACCTGGTTGCCGCTAACACCCTTCGCAACCTAAGGGTGCTTGTAGTGCTTGCCGATATTTGGGAAGCTTGGTGCTTTAAAACCGGGGTGATCCTCTGATACGTTTCTGTTTCCTTCATTCCTCCCTCTTGTCTGTCGTCAAGATGAGTTTCGAAAACAAAACCGAAACGCTCAATGAGAAGTATGCCAACGATGTCCCGCCTCATAGGCCGGGCTCGTTCTCGGCGCACGCACGCGGCCGACAGTTTAGCGTCGACCCGGAAGATCGTGCCTTGGTCGAAGGAGACCAGTACGCCCTCCACCGCGAACTGAAGGGTCGACACATGCAAATGATTGCCATGTGAGTATAACACCGAGTCCCTGAGCCTCGAAGCGTCGTTGTACTGAACGACCCTTTTAGTGGTGGTGCAATTGGTGCAGGTCTGTTCATTGGTTCTGGAGGTGCTTTTCAGACTGGTGGACCTGGCTCTGTGCTTATCGGTTTCATGATCATCGGTGGGTTACTCTGAAAGAAATTGCGATGCGACAGCTAACGCGTTTTTTAGGTCTCATGGTGTATGTTTCTTCCCAACATCGGAAGGCTCTTGTCACTCATCTCACATTATTGTTATAGGTATCTCATGATGCAGGCCTTGGCGGAGATGTCCGTCATGTATCCGATCAACGGGGCTTTCACCATGTACATCTGTCGCTTCGTTGATCCCTCTTTTGGGTTCGCGTGCGCCTGGGAGTACGCGATCAGTTGGTTGACTGTCCTTCCCTTTGAGATTTCGGCTGCGTGCAATATCATCCACTACTGGCATGGATCGGACGGCATCAACAACGCTGCTTGGATCGTGCCGCTGCTCGTCGCTTTGATGGCTATTCAGGTCTTTGGTGTGAGGGGATATGGCGAAGTAGGTCCACCGACAGAGTTCAGGAACAATGAGCTAACTGAACAGGTCGAATTTGCTCTCAGCATTCTCAAGATCATTGCCTGTATAGGATTTATGATCCTTGGGATAATCATCGACTGCGGCGGAGTTCCAACAGACGACAGAGGCTACATTGGTGCAAGATATTGGTAATTTTGGACTCGAAGTGGCTACTGCCGGCAACGCTGATCGTTCGATACAGGCATTCACCTTACCATGCATTCCTCAATGGCTTTCACGGCTTCTGCAGTGTCTTCGTCACCGCGGCGTTTGCCTACACAGGAACTGAGTTGACCGGACTGGCTGCTGCAGAAACGACCAACCCGAAGAAGGAGATTCCTCGGGCCTCGAAACAGGTCGTGTGGCGTATTGCCATCTTCTACATTGTCAACTTGTTCCTTGTCGGTTTGATCGTACCAGAGAACAGCCCTTTGTATAGTGGCGAAGGTTCCGAATCGCGTCACTCACCTTTCGTCATCGCAATCCAGCTTGCCGGCATCAAGGTCCTCCCATCGATTTTCAACGCTGTCATCCTGATTTCTGTCATGAGCGTTGCCAACTCCTGCACCTTCGGCTCGACTCGAACAATTCAGGCTCTTGCTGCCAATGGTGCGTGCGTAATTCCATAGCTCTCTACAGCGCTAATTTCAAAAACAGGCATGGGTCCCAAGATACTAGCCTACGTCGACAAGAAGGGCCGCCCTATGTCTGTGGTGATTCTCCAGCTTCTCTTCGGCTGTTTGGCATTTATCAACCTGGCGGACAATGGCGGCACAATCTTCAACTGGCTCCTCTCACTATCGGGCCTTTCAATCCTCTTCATCTATGGCGGTATTGCGCTGGCTCATATTCGCTTCCGCGCGGCCTGGTAAGCAGCTAAATACACTCTTCACCCCAGGTCTTCAGTGGCTAACCAGTGACAGGAAACACAACGGTCATTCTTTGGAGGAGCTTCCCTTCAGGGCCGCATTCGGCGTCTGGGGATCGTGGTTGTGCCTGCTCATCAACGTTGTCAGCCTTATGGCTCAGTTCTACGTCGCACTATATCCAGTCGGAGGCCCTTACCTGGATGCCAATACGTTTTTCCAACTCTACCTTGCTGGCCCTCTACTAATCTTCCTGTACTTGTGCTGGAAGGTCTACAGCTGGTTTGTCCGGCCAGCGGACCGCCCATTATTCATCAGGACTAAGGATATTGATATCTACACCGGTATGAGAGAAGGCCAGCGGGCCTCGATCAGCGGCCCAGGTGTCTCAGAAGAGCAGAGGCGCGCCAGCATAATGGAGATGCAGGAGGAGAACAAGAAGAGAGGCCCCAAGGACTATGTCATGGCTGTTCTTAGAAACATTATCTAAAATGTCCAAAGGCTGGACAGAGCACAATGCATGGGACAGGGGTTTATAGTCGCATTGCATGGGCAAAAGCGATAAAGGTTGGAGGATGTGTTGGCATGCAGTTGTGATAAGGTGGTCTGTAGTACGGCGGATCAAGAACTGGTCAATGCAGGTCACACATGTGAAACTTCAAGGACCATATCACCGAATTTAAAATGCTTCGAACTCTCATGGCATATAGAACCCAGCCTATCGAACGCGTGCTCCTTAAAGGTGCCTCATCCCAAGTAGGTGTCCTTTCAATCTTGTACAATGCAAAATGATTCTTTCCAGCGATGATCAACAGTGCCACGCAGTGCATGCTGCCTATTCTCAGCTTCAAGGATTGCTGGTATAAAAAGGCCTGGGACTGAAAGCCATTTCGGTAGCGCCTACGTCGAATACAGCCAACACGTTGTTTAAAAACGTGTCACCGAGTATGTGCAGGCTGGTGGAGGCCGTTTGAATTCCACTAACGCAAATCCCGCCAGGGATGTGCTGGTTTTGGATCAGGTCCTCTGGATTGAGCTCGAACACCTTGTCTCCGATCTGAACACCCACATAGGGGGCGGTGGCGTTGCAATCCACAAGATATAGTCCGCCTTCCACTGTGGCTGGAGGGTCGAACAGGCTGTTTATGTGTTCCGAATCTTGGGTCGGAACGTACATAAGGGAGGTTCCGGAGTCAACAATGTATTGGCGGGAAGTGGCATTGACACCATGGTAGACGAGGCTGCTGGAGCTCTGGGTGGCCAGGGTCGATCGTTTGTGGGTTGGGTTGCTCAATTGGCTTCACCGCGAAGGAGCCTGTCGCATTGATACTAGGATCGTCAGGGTGTGGGATCCCTCCAATCGCAAGCACACCGCCTGCGGATATGTTCGCTGAGGAGCGTGAGAGCGCAAGGCTGAACATTGGCGGGGCCAGGTTGTCAACAAATATCGAGTTCATGATGGCTGAGTAAGGCAGATTGTCGCCCGTAACGTTGCCAGCACTAATTTTGTCGTTGGATGAATTTGTTCCGGGATATGCATTGGTGAGAGACGAATAGGCCAACCCCGCAAGTCCGGAGGATAGACCGTCACCAGACCAAGCAGCAAGCAAAGGAAGGCCAACTTCTTGATTCTGAATCTCAATTCCGGCGAATGTGACTCTCTCCAAGCCAAGTGTTCCATAAAGATATTCGCCGTCACCGTAGCTGGTGTAGAAGTTCTCGTCGGGGATTTCAGAGAAATTATCATCTGGGACGTAGCCTCGCGAGCCAAATCCACACGTTGAAGCAGGTAGAGTAGCATTAGTAGTCCGATTGACACAAGTAAATCCAGCTTTAACAAGCCACGTATCAGAACTGCCGGTGTCAATGACTACCGGGAATTCTTGGGTTCCGAATGTAATATTTGCTAGAAAGGCAACGCCATAATGTATTCCGGTCAAAGGTGCCTCGGCAGGCTGTAAAGCATGGTTTCGCAGATGCCAGGAACTGGTTTTGGTATTGCCGTTGACCGCTTGCAGTGCTGTCCTTTGATGTGTGTGCGGATACTGGTCGACCGTGGCTTTTGTGCTGGGAATAGCGATTCCAAGAGCCTTATGGGCCATAAATGGCACGAGAACTAAGATCTCTAACACCCTCATGATGGTGTGGAAGGAACCACAACTAATAGGAAGGAAGGTTAGGGTGTAACTGGCGAGTATCCCACGTGACAAGATACTGCACTGCTCTTCCCTATTGAAGATGTCTGAGAGGCTCAACAGAGAGAGATTCCTGGCCAGGGAAAGCAAACCCGTTTTTATAGTATTAATCCTTTTGATAGCTTACCAGGAAGTCGGGATATGACCACGAGTAATCGAAGACTGACAAGCTAAGGATTCTTGATAGTCCCCACCTCAAAGCTCCGCAATGTGCATAGTGGCAGGAGCCAACGCGCGTCAGTGAGCGCCGGGGCCAAGGCATCGTCAAAGGATTCAGCGTTCTGATGCTGAGGTTAGAAATACTAAAGAAAAACTGTGCAAGTACCTGCTGCCAGAATTAAGAACTTCACAGAATTCTCTACTTTGGTCACGTGGCAGCCAAGCGTTAGTTCCCAGTTTAGTATCAATTGTCGGGAAACCTTCCCTGCTCGTCAAGGCGTCGGGAGTATCTTCAGTATGCCAGTTGCATCAAGTCCACGCTCAACGAAGCTAACCTGCTTAACCACAACCTTGTCATCCCACCCAAACTAATCTCGATATACGAGTTGCTCGCCACATATCTTCGCTAATTAACAAGATGCGGACAAGCTATCCAGAGGCGCCTGCATCAACGCTGCCCGCGTCAGCTTCTGCCAAGCGTACGTGCATGCAACCAAGTGTGCCCTCCTTGAGTTGATCAGTGTCTGGTTTTCATATCCTAGCCCGCCATGGTCAACATCTCTTCCCAACCCGCAATCGCAAACGCCAAGCTGTCATTATATCATCTCATCATGTCGTCGTAGAGTGGATGGTCCCAGCACGCCACTGGTGTCCAGGAGTGACTCAGAATATCAAAGCGGCAACCCAGTGCACTCTTGCTGATGCTTCGGTATCGCCGCAACCATACTCGGCAAGGAGTGGTTTTATGCTGCTCGTGATAGCTCTGTATTTCCGAGGCCCTTCTCTGGCATGCGGCTCTTCCTGTCGAACGCCAGGAGAGAAGCCAACGACAAGGAGGACCCGGAATGCAACAACTCCCAATGCTCCCGCATACGCCACATCCCCAAACCGTCTCTGGCGGCGTTTGCGACATGATATACCCCATGGTGATCCAGTTTGCTCTTCGTCCAAGCCAACCACACTATCCTCCTCGTCCTCCAGACTAACTTTTTTGAAGCCGAACGAGACATTGTGGTAATTGAACGGCGCGTCCAAGTTTGTCACAAAGAGCTGCTTTAATGTTCTTGGATGTCTGTCGAAAACCGGCCAAGTGGCGAGGATGGCACTGTATATTTAGCAGACAACGACGAGTTTGGCTCAATTAGGCGTTGCTTGCGTCCTTGAAGAATAATAGATAAGCAAAAAGGTCGCTATGCACGCATAGCACGTTAGAGCACCTCCGGAACATAGCAATCCGGAAACCGAGGAACTCACCGAGTCTGGATTTGTTCTTAGGACATTGGCTTATAATGTGGAGCGACCATGCCGCGCGTTACGCCTGACTGGGACCCTGATCAAAAGCCGAAAAACCTCAATTCCGATCACTCCCCTCAACCAAATATAACAATCCTTTCGAGGGAAAAGACTGTCTCTGTGATAAACAGCCTCTAGTACCAGCAATATTTCATATCTCTCGATCCCATGGGGAACCTTGGTTACCAGACCACCTATGATCTGACTTCGTTCAATACGTACGCTAGCAACAAACATGGCCTTGTGGCAGCATAGGCTGACCGTTTTCGCCCTCGGCCTCTCCATTTCACAATCGTACGCCCATCTCATCTCTCCAGCAATGTCGACGCAAGACATCATCCACTGCGGCACTAGTATTGACGAAGCCCGATCTCTGGGCTGTCACTTCGACATCATATCATATGCCTATTATCCCAACACATGCTGGGATTCACATCTCGACGACTCTTTGTCCACAGGTATCGCAGAGATTGGGAATGGTCGACTCTAAATAACGAGACTTGAACTGTCGACCAAGTCCTCACGGGCAATTACAGCCACTTGCATGCCAAGTCTGATTTTCATCAACTATATTGCGTCTATGAGTGGCAACACTTGCTACGCTCACTGGCGCTAGGACGACCCGTCGATTTGAAGGATGGCGATTTGGGCCACGCCTACCACTGTTCCATAAAACATCAACGATGGTGGTCCGACGCATTGGAGCTGATTATTTGGTTTGCTCGATGACGACATGACAGTGGAGCAGATGGCGGATAAGAGTGGTCTGAGCTTCCTGTGAATCTGGGAACCACGCTAGTCAGGTACAGGATTGCAGCCACACTGCTTCTTGAGGGCATCCATTTTCCTGGATACCGTCAGCAATGTCTGCTCTGCATTGTGGAGATGTCATCTCAGTAGTTCCTGAAACATTCTTCCCCAGAAAAGCAGTTATTCTTGTTTTCGTAACCTCATCTGGAAAGTGGACCATTTACTTGTGAAAGAACTTTCAGCCGGAAGGACGCGACCCTGCCTTGACATTTGCTCACCTCGCTTTTTGCGCCGAATGCTCTCGACCATACCCCCGTAGATGCCGTGTGCTAAACAGTACATGTTACACATGCACGCAGTCCTTGGAATATGTACGGTCGGTTCATTAGCCTGATGACGTACGTTTGCTTCGACACGAACCCGTCCTTTGTGTTTCTTCGCGCGAGAGCCCGGTGTGCTAGATTCTACTGGCAGTAAAGCGTGCTTACTCGCGCGCTCGTCACACCTTTGGGCCACGGTCGATCACAGTCAGCGGCGCGCTCGACTTCGGTCGACGATACGCCGAAGCCATGAACGAAGCAATTGTAATGGGTTCCGCCCAGCGCGGCCCGAGAAAGGGTGAGCGGAAAGCCACTAACCACTTTAGCATTTCCTGTCTCGACGCCTCCATATGACCAATTTAGTCCGACCTGGGCCGTCAGATGGATATGGCACGACGAAGATTTCAACTGCATCATCCTCCCTTTTATGAGTCCCGGATGGTATTAGCATCGAGGAATTGCCATCTACCCGCGCCGAGGTACAACTCTTACACACGCCCCGTGATTCTTGGAAGCTATTCGATTCTTGATTTTTAAATATGCCATCAAAGACCGAACAGTATCTACAGCTGGCATCGAACAACATCGAACGCGATCAGTGACACTCCAGCGATGAGAGCTCAGAAATCACGTTGACCGGCGAGTCTGAGCAAAATCACAAGAGGATGAATAGATGGTGTCTCCTGAAAGAGGTGTTATCCAGACAGGATTGACCGGGCATGGCTCAGTGCAGGCCTCATCATTTCTTGGGCAATATCTGCCACTCTCACCCTCTTCGTTCTCTACCATCTGCGCTACAATGTAGGCCCGACGAAGCCTCTCTTCCCACAAATCGCTTGGTGTAAGTCTTCGAAATTTGTTGACGCAGGATCCAATTGACCATTCTCTGTCTGAACAGCGCCGCTCCAGCGCCTTCTTGAATACGACAGCAAGGTCTTTAAATCCACTTTCGGCGGAGATGTCGATCTGCGATACCAAGGAACGCCATTTACAGAGATCGATGCTAACTATGATGATCTATCCAACTATAAGCTGCTCAAGTCCTCATTCCACTGTTTTTGCAACAACTGGGAAGCTTATCCGCATGTGATTGAGCAGTTGGGTCAATAATCCTGAATGCCTACGAAGCAGCACATATTCCCAACAAGACATGGCCAATTTTCTAGGAACCAGGCAGTTATATTGCTGTGATTGATGTCTTCCATCACCTACACTGTCTCAATATGATCCGCAAGGCCTTCCAGCTCCGTGACGCGAAGTCAAAACCATCGCACGGCCTCCAAGTCGCAGCCCCGTCTTCGACTACCCCCAGTCTATCAAACACTCAGCCCTTGCCACCGGCCATTCCAACCCCAGGGCTAGCCAAAATGAAGTTCTCCGAATCTGTGCTGCGACTCTATGCGCCGTGAGCCCTCAATTGCAGCCCCGGCCCCGGGTCCAGTGGTGAGTCTTCAAAGCTCCAAGCTTTTCTCGTGGTCAATGGCAACCTGACCAGTCTACCACAGGAGCTTGACAGGGATCTCCTAGCTGAATTCTGGGGGCTAATTCGTTACGACGACAAGGTCAGACCGGCGGTGAGTTTATGGCAGACTGGCCAACAGGGTAGTCTATACTAAATTGACCCTTCTAGGAGTTTGACAAAGATCTTCTAGCCGCAGGTTGGGGACTAACCAGTTATGACGACAAGGTCAAGCGCGATGGCCCCGAAGAATCAAATCTCTTTGGCTGGCTGATTTCCATTCTAGACTATACGGGAGAGGACGCCGCCACCGAAGCAGCTTAAGCAACGGGATCCAGTCAAATCGAAAAGGATGAACATCCACTAGATATAGCTGGATATGTTAACGGTTAGAATTGCAGAATTTGCAGGACTTGTTGGATCGAGATGAGCACGCCGGGGTCTCCATTTCTTCGACTTCCGCTACTAACGCACCTAAGCGGACCTGATACGAGGTACCAAGATATGATCTGAAGCACGGGTGATGAGGAGAGCAGTGAAACATGGGACTTCGCTGTGTCCTTGTCTCTTTGCACAGAACACACGCAATAGATCAAGTAGATGGGAATACGCGCACATTCATTCTCCACACTTTCACGAAGTCAATCGTCTCAGCAATCTCGGGCTTATCCGTGAAAGCATCTGCCTACTCGATGGCCTCATATGACCTAGCTTATAGGTTAGTGCAAAGCAAAGCGCCGAATTCATTAACCAGAAGGCATTATGCTCTTCTTGAAGTGCCAACACACTCATAGACTATATTCGCACCGAGCTGCTCTTCAACATAAAGTAGACTGACTGTCTCGATACAGTATGCCATCAAGCAGTGCGCTCTCTCTGCCGAGCATCATGGCAATGAATCGCTGAGCTTCTGGTACCTGAGACGCAAAGACGACGTCCCGGCTCAGGACGAGCTACGCGGAAAGACCCGGCATGTCGCTGAGCTGAAGCTGAAGCCTAAGCTGAAAGTCCTGACCCTGGCTGGGATGTCGACGCGAGATCTACTCGATCTTGAGCTTCCTCGTTTTATTCAACTCGAGTACTCGTACATGTGAGGCCTAGAATAATCCATGGATACCGATAAGTCTAAAATATAAGGCGGTTGGTGGTCGCGGGTGAAGGCACAACGATTCTGCGCACGAATTACTGCAAAGAGTTAGTTTCTCGACAAGTTTCATTCACTCTCAGACACTGCCCCAGCTTTCGCCTCAAAGAAGCGAGGACGAATTAAACGGAGCCAAGCTGTCAGAGGAAAACTGGCAGCCACTGGTATAGCCCACCATTCGCCGGCCGAGTTTTGAAAGAGTCTTGAGCCATATTCGACATTTTTCTCTCGTCCATTCATACCCCCGAAAATACGAGGTGGCATTTGTGGCGGACCAAACCTTACTTCAGTACTTGCTCCACATCACCTTCGAAAAGAATGCCATTCTGAGTTCGAGCGCCAGGTGTGGCCGAGAGATACTTCGAACATGGTTTGCGTCGGCGCCGAGTTCGAGCTACTCAGCGTGGAGCTACCATTTTCCTAGACTTCGCGAAGTTTACTTCTTATGGATTGCGATGCTTCGCCAGCGGCGTTTTGGGCTTCATCATCGCCAGTTTGAACGCTGCGCTTCGGATAGAGGAAAACCATAATTAGGCTCTTCTATACTCAAGCACTATCCGAAGAGGCACCCATGGCGAGATCACGGACTATATACAGCGGCGTGTCGCACCGGAAGCTCTTCGTCTTTCATCATTCAAACACTTCTCAGTTGAAGACTCATCGAACCACTCCACCATGACTGAAACCATTCCAGGGCCACGCGCCCTGCCCATCATCGGCAATCTTCTGGACATCTGGGAGGATCGAGCAATCCCTATCCGCGGCCTTGAGCGCTTCGCAGGAATATACGGCCCAATCTATCAAATCACCGTCAACGGTAAACGGCGGATCTTGTGTAGCTCTGCAAGTCTTCTTGAAGAGATGGTTGATGAGAGACGCTTCGTTAAAATCCCGCCTGCGACTATCTCGGAGAGACCAGGTCCCAAGGGGCTCTTCGCAGCGCGCAATGAAGACCCTGACTGGGCTCAGGGCCATCGAATTCTCATGCCGGCCTTTGCCCCATTGTCTGTCCTGGACATGTTCACGGACATGAAGGACATCGCAAATCAATTGATTCTGTCCTGGGCGAGGAAAGGACCAGAAAACAAGATCCTGGCCACTGAAGATTTCACCCGATTGACACTGGACACCATCGCCCTCTGCACCATGAGTTACCGCTTCAACTCGTTCTACCAAGACACCATGCACCCATTCGTACAAGCGATGAATGTCGTCTTCGCTGAGAACAACGCGAAAACGAGTCGACCCACATTCATCCAAAGTTTTCTGTTCAAGACCAACGCAGAAACCGTGCAGGCCAGGAAGGTCCTTGTAGAAACTGGGAAAAGGATCATCGAAAATCGCAGAGCCAATCCGACAGACAACAAAGATGTTCTGAACACCATGATCTATGGAAAAGACCCTAAGACAGGGGAGATCATGCGCGACGAACTCATTATCGAACAGATGATCACTTTTCTTATTGCTGGTATGTTTTCTACTTCTCTCTTGAAACTTGGCTGACGGCTCGAGGCCACGAGACCACCTCTGGACTGTTGTCTTTCGCCACCATGCAGCTGTTGAAGAATCCCGAAACCTACCTTAAGGCACAGAAAGAAATCGACGAAGTCATCGGTACCCGGTCCATCGAAGCTGGCGACATCAGCAAACTGAAGTATTTGAACGCTGTGCTGCGTGAGACTACCCGACTCAATCCCACAGTACCCGTTCTCCAGAAACAAATTAATCCGGCGGTTGCACATCAAACAGTCACTGTTGACGGTGGCAGATACAAGCTTGAGCCAGCCGACAACATTGTGATATTGCTAAGCAAAGCTCAAAGAGATCCAAAAGTATGGGGGGAGACGGCAGATTATTTCGATCCTGACAGGATGTTAGACGAAAACTTTGATAGAATCACAGCCAAATATCCTGGTACCTGGAAGGTGAGTCTCAGCTCCGCAACGTGCGACAGAAGTTTAACAATCCGGAACAGCCGTTTGGAAACGGAAAGCGAGCCTGTATTGGGAGACCTTTTGCCTGGCAAGAGGCGATGCTGGTCCTCGCCATGATTCTGCAGAACTTCGAAGTGAAACTCGATAACCCCAACTACAAGCCAGCCATCAAACAAGCATTGACCATCAAGCCGGACGAACTATACATCCGAGTCACGCCTCGCAGGAATATGGATGCCACATCAATGGACCTCTTGATACACAGCAAAAGCGGAAACGACTCTCAAGCCCACTTGTCCTCTTCCAAAAAGGAGATAGAGGTGTCTCAATCCTTCAAACCGATGACCATTCTTTATGGCTCCAACACAGGCACTTGTCAAGCTTTCGCTCAGCGGCTTGCAGCAGACTCAGGATCGCATGGGTTTCATGCCAGTGTTCAAGACTTAGACAGTGCTACGAACGCATTGCCGAAGGACCATCCGGTGATTATCATTACTTCCTCCTACGAAGGCCAGCCACCGGATAATGCGGCCAGGTTCATGGAGTGGCTCTCAAGCTGTGGACAGGACTCTTTGCACGGCGTGCAGTATACAGTCTTCGGCTGCGGCCACCGTAAGTGTCGTTATTTCTGCTACCATTCTATCTAACTCCTATGCAGGTGATTGGAGCCAGACTTTCCACCGCGTTCCGAAGCTTGCTGATGAGCTTCTGGAGAGATGCAGTGCTAGAAAGATCGCTTCTTCGGGCTTTACCGATGCGTCGAAGGGTAATATGTACGGCGAATTCGAAGAGTGGCTGGAGAATTCTCTTTGGACAGAGCTCTCCGGCAGCGAGAGCAAAGCGGGCCAAGCTGAGGTGACTCACGTCGAGATATCGACAAGTGCACGGGCTTCAAGTCTCCGGTACGATGTCTTCTTGGCCAAAATAAAAGACAATCGGATACTCACCATGGAGGGAGAACCGGTCAAGTGTCACATGGAAATTGAACTCCCAAAAGACATTGCTTACGAATGTGGCGACTATGTGGCTATTTTACCACTCAACTCTGAGAAAAGTGTTCAAAGAATCATGGCGCATTTCGGCCTGCCCGGTGATGCGGTGATTACAATCAAGTCAAGCGGTCCATCAACCATTCCTACGGATATTCCACTCTCAGTCTTTGATGTTTTGCGAAGCTACGTTGAATTGTCTCAACCTGCCACGAAGAAGGGCATCAAAATCTTTACAAAATACACTGAACATGCCGACGACAAAGCCTATTTGGAGAATCTGACAGTGGAAAATTCACGCTTCGAACAGGAAATCACCCAGAAGAGAACAAGCCTCTTCGAGCTACTCACTAAACACCCATCTATCAATTTGCCTTTTGGTGAATACCTCAGCCTCTTGCCGCCGTTGAATGTACGTCAATACTCAATCTCCTCTTCACCCCTCTCGAACCCCAACGTCTGCTCCATCAGCTACGGGGTGATCGACACCAGGGCTTTGTCTGATGCCAATCAACGCTTTGAAGGGGTTACCGGAACATACCTGTGTGGGTTGAAAGCTGGTGATTCAATCCAAGTGAGCATTCGGCCGACGGTGAAGAAAACATTCCGCCTACCGGTCGACCCAGAGAAAACTCCGCTGCTCATGTTCGCAGCTGGCACTGGCGTTGCTCCCTTCCGAGGCTTTCTCCAGGCACGGGCCATTCAGATGGAGTCAAATTCTGAACGAAAATTGGCGCCGGCTGTCCTGTTCTTAGGATGCCGAAGCCAAACAAAAGACAGGCTTTACGCGGAAGAACTGGACAGTTGGGCGGAGAAAGGTGTCGTGAACATCAGATACGCATTCAGCAGAGAGAAAGAAGCTTCTCTAGGCTGTGCGTACGTGCCAGAAAGGATGGTCCGCGAAGCAGAGGAGATTGTGACTCTGTGGAGAAGTGGCGCTCGGGCTTATATTTGCGGTACCCGAAAGTTCTCCGAAGGAATTCGTGACGCTGCAAAAAAGATAGCCGTTATGGTCAGGGACGGCGAACATGGTCGAACGGAAGCTGAGTTGAAGGAGTTGGAGCAACGTTTTCGCGAGGCCATGCAGACTAGAGTTGCCAGCGACGTTTTTGACTGAGGATTGAGTATACAGAGGGCGCATGAAAGGGCTTTGCTGGCTCAGCTGGGGTGTCATGTATTTCGGGTGTTGAGTATTACTTATTTAAAATCAAGCTATGGACTGAATAAAGTCGTTTATGATGCAATTTTGTTAACACGTGGAGACCCCTGGTTACTCTGCACACATCCGGCGCGCTGATTTCGAGATACTCCGATCGAGGTCAAGTTTTTCCCTTGTATGTAGCCAACAAAACTTCTAAGCACAATGCTCTAATTTTACCGCAACCCTTACGATTCCACGCACAGCAGGAACGCAGCTTTCTTGTGTGTGTGCGGCAGGGGAGAGAGGCATTTGTAAGAGTATTCCTGCCTTATCCGCTTCCCGCTACCTTCAAAGCTGTGAACTATATGACCTTTGGGATAACCTTTGTCGCACTGCGTTACGTTATCCGATTATTACTAGAGTGTCTCACGAACCGAAAACATGCTATTCAACTCCCGTTAGAACGCCGACACCGCGCCAAATATATCAGAACCTCAACGAGAAAACGCTATGCCCACCTCAGACCCAGCGCACATTTTAGCCTTGTCTCCCTCTGAGAGGCTCAAACGCCTGGATACCGCAGCTCAAATCCGTTGGATACCATGCGTCGACCACTGCCTGCATCGGTTGATAGGTCTGCGTCTTCCGTTCCACGCAGGCCTCAAACTCCTTCGCATTGAAAGTAAAATAGATGGCAACCATGAAGATGACGGCCGCAATGCAAACGATCAATACCGGCAAACCGATCGTGGGATCGTCGTAAGTGATGTGTGAGTCACCTGTCACTCCAGATTTGGGAGTGCTGACGATGATCCATACACAAGTTAATTCAATGTGAACGTGGACTTGACCCTGTCGCTCTTATTTAAATGCTGTAGAGGGCATAAAAAGGACAAAGGCTTGAGCATGAGCAGTTTGGACAGATCGATATACCCAACCATGTAATCTTTGAGCATGCACTGGAATTTACCCCCGCCAGAACAGCCTAGATGGTTGCGATAAGCTCCAGGATTTGAAGCTGGGAGGAAGGTTAGATAATGTACCCTGGAGGGGCTGGACTGCGCATACCCAAACGTGAGCAGATGTCGGCCGAGGGGAAGTGCTGCAGTAGACGCAGTTGCCTTGGTGATCACCTGAATGATAATGAGAGCCGTAGAGATGACAACATAGAAGAAGACAGTTGTCCATGCACTCTCCACAGATGCATTACTTATCAATATGAACGATAGATCGTCAATCATACATATAACCACTGGAAGCTGCCAGCGACGACATTCTCTTTCCTGGAAACTTCGGCGAGATTGTGAAAAGGGGAATCACTCGTCTGCACGTCGGGTGCCACATATTTGCACGTAAAGGAGGAAGAGAGATGCTAGAGCGTAAGCTTCGTAAAGGCTCGAGCAGGATGAAAGATAGTCGGCTGCTTGGTAGAAGTGGTTGGAGATGACGGCAACGACCGCAACACCAGAAGCGTAGAGACAATCCGGAAAATCTGGCGTTGCTCATTCGAAGCCCTGTTTCGACGCAACTGAGGAACCACCAGGTTTGCCTACAAGAGCAGAGAAACGCAACAACACGCCAGCCGATAACAGAGATCAGATTTTGGAATGTGAGAGACCCAACGATCTGATCATCACCCTTTGCACTGGCATTGGCAGGTTTGGCTGTGCAGCCTGTCGAACTTGAAATGACAATGGTACTAAAACCAGGTATTCAGGGGTAATCTGTAAAACGCGCGTTCGGGGATAGTTCCTGTTTCGCTCTTTTTGAGGGAAGGAATCTGCATATCCAATCCGAGCGTTAAATGTTCTCAGGCCAGTGATACGATACGGTCCCAAGCCCCAAAGCAGGAGCTGTCGGAGTTCATTGTGGCATCGAGGAGATAGTATCTTGTGTCCCGAATTTCTAGACGCTGGACGCTGAATGCCGAGTTTGCAACATGAATCACATCACGGAATTTGGCAAACTGCATGGTCGGGAGGTGTGAGAGCGCACCCATAGGTTTTAATCTGTTGCATAACCTGGTCATCTCCTCGCATCAGTCTTGAGAAGAAGAAATTTAGCCCTACCCGGCCATCAGCCCCTCGGCCATAGGCCTGGTAGCAAGCCCAAACACGGTCTGAATAAGCTTTGTCGCAACCGAGTCGAGAAACCGTTCGCTTTGCAGGGTTGCGTCGAGAGGCTGGCTAGTAATAGCTGCACGGGTTCAGCGTCGAGACTGGTCAGGGATAGAGCAGCTGAAGTGAAAGAAAAAGCAGAGGCGGAGTTCTTTTTTTGGATGTTTTCGGAAACCGTCCCGAGGTTTTAAGCGAGCGGGGAATGCGCTAGCTGGCGCTAGTTCTGCTAGTCGCCCGTATCCGCTTATACTGTGCCAATGCGGTAATCCTTGCGAAAAATGGTAGAACATACAGCTCAGTCTGGTGGAAACTGTATTATATCCTAAGTTCACCTAGTGAACTTGGGCACACAGCATCACTCCAACAAGCGAAGCAATGTCGCAGCAGTTCCTTCATCTGTCCGCCTCGACCTCGGAAATGCTGGCTCATGCTCGTGTTACATTGATGTCATGGCATCCGATCCGCACCTCAGTTGACCTGCTCAAATTTTCAGCAATATAGAGTATACAAGGGGAAGGCCGCCTTGACGCAGAGATGCAAGTTTCGGCCAGTTTGACAAGTGAGTTGTCTTCCAGAGCTCATGATTATTCTGGCATTCAATGGAGCGACAAGCCAGCAACGCATCCAGTACTGAGGAGGATTATCAGGAGATATACGGAGCAGCAATCCATGATCGACTTCGAGATGGGATTCGAGTGCTTGCTGAACGCAAGAAACCCACCCGCCACCACCACAGGCTGTTACATATCGAGAATCAAGACCCTGAACTGACAAGAATCGCAACGACAATCTCTAAGGACATTGGAATCACACCGGAAACCCTTGCCGATGTTGACCCTCGGCTGGATCCTGGAAATGAGGAATTCGACTTTCGATTCTGGGCCTCGACCATCATCCAGTTGGTCACAGAAGACGGCATCAAGCGGGCCAATATTGGCGTTTGCTTCAAATCCCTCACGGTCTCCGGGACAGGTTCGAGTCTCGCTCTACAACCAACCGTGGCGAGCCCATGGCTTGCTCTTATGCGATTGCCAATGCTCGTAGCTAGACGCAAACAAGAACCCAAGGTGATACTCCATGCTTTCAATGGTTGCGTGAGAAGTGGCGAAATGCTGCTCGTGTTGGGCAGACCTGGCAGTGGATGTACAACCTTTCTGAAATCGATATCTGGTCAGCTTGGTGGATTAACAAGAACATCCGATTCCATCGTCAACTATGATGGCATATCACAAGATCTTTTTATCAAGAACTTCAGAGGGAAGGCGGTCTACAACCAAGAGAATGACGAACACTTCCCGCACTTGACGGTCGGGCAAACATTGAGTTTTGCCGCACATGCACAAGCCCCTCAAGCTCGGATTAGGGGCGTTGATCGAGAAATGCAAGCCACCCACGTGGCGGAAGTCATGCTACGGATTTTCAGACTCTCTGCTGTTCGAGATACGAAGGTCGGCAGCGACACCGTACGTGGTGTCAGTGGGGGGGAGAGGAAGCGTGTTAGCATTGCCGAAATGGCTCTGGCGCGTTCTCTGTTGGCTGTCTGGGACAACGCAACTCGGGGCCTCGATTCGGCAACCGCATTGGAGTTTGTACGCTCCCTACGCACATTGGCTGATGTTGCTGGAGTCACCCAGGCTGTTGCTCTATACCAGGCCAGCCAGGTCATCTACGATATCTTCGACAAGGTGCTGATACTGTACGAAGGACGACAAATATTCTTTGGCCCTGTTGATTCCGCCCGCGCTTACTTCCAAAAAATGGGATGGTACTGTCCTCCTCGACAGACAACTCCAGATTTTCTGACCTCAGTAACCAATCCTTCGGAACGGCAACTCCGCCCTGACTGTACAGACAGAGTCCCTCAAACGGCCACCGAGTTTGAGCAATACTGGCTGGAATCCGAAGAATACCACGCCTGCATGGCAGAGATTGCTCAGTACGAAGAGGATACCAAAGGCAACGGCCGCCTCCAGGAACTGCAAGCCGCCCATCATGCAGCACAATCACACCACACTCGAGACTCGTCTCCTTTCCTCATCTCCGTATGGATGCAAATCCGGCTGTGTATGAAGAGGTCTTCTCAATTGCTGTGGAACGACAGAGCATCCACGGTGACGCTCGCGATTGGACGAGTTATACTTGCCCTAATTGTTGGCAGCATATATTTTGGGCCTCCTGATACCACAGCGAGCCTCCAGTCCAGAGGCTCGGTGATTTTTCTCGCCACTTTGATGAATGCGTTGATGGCCGTTACTGAGATCGGAACTCTGTTCGCCAAAAGGAGTATTGTCCAGAAGCAGGATACCTTTGCCTTCTACCATCCGTTCGCAGATGCGCTTGCTTCGTTTATTGTCGACATCCCCGTCAAATTTGTCATCTCGACCTTGTTCAACGTGGTTTACTATTTCTTGGCCGGTCTCCGCCTCGAGGCTTCGAATTTCTTCATCTTTCTGCTGCTCAACTTTGTCTGCACTCTAGTCATGTCGACTATATTTCGCAGCATCGGCGCTGCCTCAAAACAGCTTCCCCAAGCCTACGCTATTGCCGGTATTGGGATTCTTATGATGGTTATCTACACCGGTTTTACACTTCAAACTGCCTATATGCACCCTTGGTTTCGATGGATCAACTATATCAATCCAATCGCCTACATCTTTGAGGCACTGCTTGTCAATGAAGTCCATGGCAGAAACTTCCCTTGCGCTCCACAAAGCATTGTTCCTCCCTACGCCGTTGGAAACTCTACATTTGCTTGCGCTGTAATTGGAGCCAGGCCAGGCCAGAGTATCGTGTCCGGAGATTCGTGGGTGCAGTCCGGTTACCAATATAGCTACTCACACCTTTGGCGAAATCTTGGGATTGCATTGGCCTACATGGTCTTCTTTCTTGGCTTCTACCTGGTTGCCACAGAATTTCGGTCAAGCGTGAAAGCGGAACCACAACGGCTCGTATTTCGAGACTACAGAACAGCACAGAGTCTGAATGCAACTGAAGGCGACATCGAAACAAAGGCAGCCCGCAACCAAGAAACCGCCTCCGCGCAGGTTCATGGTGTAGAGGATGCTGAGCCCGACTCGGGAGCGATGTCTCACAGCATAGACGAGCAAGTGAGCGAGAAAAGACACGGAAAAACCGGCTCCCTTGCATGGCAGGATTTAACATTGGACATTTCAGTTCAAGGCAAGCAACGACGCTTACTGGACAACGTCAACGGCTGGGTCGCGCCTGGGACACTCACCTGCTTGATGGGAGTCTCGGGGGCTGGAAAGACGACATTACTCGACACGCTCGCACAGCGTCATAACACAGTCGGGAAAGTTTCGGGCAAGGTCACAGTAGATGGGTTGCCTCTCAAGCCATCGTTCCAGCGAAAGACGGGATATGTCCAGCAGCAGGATCTCCATCTGCCTTCCAGTACAGTCCGCGAAGCCCTACGTTTCTCGGCTCTTTTACGCCAACCTGCATCAGTGCCACTGGCAGAGAAATTCGAATATGTTGAGAAGGTGATCGAAGTTCTCAAAATGGAACACTTCAGCGATGCAGTGGTTGGTCAACCTGGCGAAGGACTGAACATTGAACAGAGGAAACTTCTGACAATCGGAGTCGAGCTTGCAGCCAAACCGTCAATCCTATTTCTGGATGAACCTACCTCTGGCCTAGACTCACAGAGCGCGTGGACAATCGTATCATTGTTGAGGAGACTGGCGGATAACGGCCAAGCCATCCTTGCTACCATCCACCAGCCTTCAGCTATGCTCTTCCAGCAGTTTGATTCCATCCTCCTCCTCGCGAGAGGTGGCCGCACAACATATTTCGGACCAATCGGTACAGATTGCCAGACACTGACCCGCTTCTTTGAGGGACACGGGGCTAGAGCCTGCGGCGCAGCAGAAAACCCTGCTGAGTATATCTTGGATGTTGTCGGCAATTCTTCCCACGACTGGCCCGAGCTTTGGAAAGCGAGCCCTGAGTTCACCAACGTCAAGTCCGCCGTCTGCAGGGTGCCGCCAGAATCCTCCCGCCACGGTGATGATGCTGACGACCGGCTACAGTTCGCGGTGTCTTTTGTGAGCCAGTTCCAGTGTGTCACCCAACGGCTCTTTCAGAACTACTGGCGCAATCCAGGCTACATCTACGCCAAGTTGCAATTTGGCCTCCTATCCTCACTTTTCATAGGGTTCACTTTTTTCCTGCAAAATGCTTCGGCTACTGGATTGCAAAATGTCATTTTTGCGATCTATATGCTGAATGCCACATTCTCAACAGTGGCCAATCAGGTACATGGTCCTCCTGTTCTACTTCTGAAGTGCTAACGTCAAATCTCAGATCATGTCGAGATTCCTCCCACAACGGGCTTTATTCGAAGTCCGGGAATCTCCCTCAAAGATGTACAGCTGGCCTGTCTTCCTGATGGCCAACATCCTCGTGGAAATCCCTTATCAAATCATCCTCTCTGTGGTTGTATGGGCGTGCTGGTACTTTCCAGTTTTCGGGCTTCACCACGACTCCACAACTCGAACTCTGATGTGGGCATTTTGTCTGCAATTCTTACTCTTCGGATCGACCTGGGCGCAGATGCTCATTTTCACCATGCCAAGCACCGAGACGGCGGCTGCTCTTTCGACCATCCTGTTCACGCTGACCCTGCAATTCAACGGCGTGCTGCAGCCGCCCTCAGCGCTTCCAGGATTCTGGATCTTCATGTATCGCGTGAGTCCTTTCACCTATCTAATCGGCGGGTGGGCTGGAACGGGCTTGGCGAATAGAGCGGTCGTCTGCGCAAAGAATGAACTAGCAGTTTTCGATCCTCCATCCGGACAAACGTGTGGCCAATATCTCTCGGCTTACCTGAAAGGTGGCGCTCCAGGATCCCTACTCAATCCTGCCGCAACAGCAAGCTGCGAGTACTGTCCGATCAGAAGCGCCAACCAATTCCTCGCGGCCTCGTCGATTGAACCATCAGACAAATATCGGAATTTGGGCATTTTATTCGCTTACATTGCTTTCAATATTGTTGCTGCAATCTTTCTATACTACATCTTCAGAGTCAGGGGTTTCTCGATCAAAAGCCTGCGGAAGCTGAAGCCAAAGTCGGATACCCCCGAGGAAGAAAGAGAGCATGAAGAAAGAGCTCATCAGAAGAAAGGCTCTCAATTGGCGTTTTATTTCCATTTGGCGTGGGCGATTCTGAGAAATCTTGTTCGGTAGAGGTCTTGATAGATTGAGGTTGAACTTACACAGGACAACCTTCTAGGTAATAATCATGTGATGAATACATGGTTCTACCTTTGTGCCAAGTTGAAAGACGAACACTTGAGAAAGACGAACATTTGTTGATAAATATGCAGAATTGTGGTCCGCGGGTTTAACGAGGCTAGGCAGTTGTTGTGTCTACCGCCATGCTGATCGATATATCCTCCGCCGTAGGCTTACCCATGGCTCCGGTTTTATTCTCCTGATCTTACCGCACATGCATAGAAGCCTCCAAAGGCTTGCAGATTCAGTGCAAAATTGTGCCGGATTAAACTGCGCGGATTCAAGCTGGATATCGAAAAATCTGCAAGGATGCGAGAATATCCTAACGCAGAGACTTGGCTGAAAGATTTCCATGTCGTTGACGATCACATCCAGCCGTCGACTTCATAGGCCTAAGCAAGTTGCTTGCTCGCCTCCTCCACTGACAAGCGTTGCCCGCCTTCGTCTGGCGGGATCGATCGAATTTGCAACAAAAGCTAGGTGGCATATCTGCATGCGCTGCACCACAGTTTGATTTTCGCTCCTTAGGAAGATTGCTCAAGCTGCAATCGGTCAGCGAAAGTCGTCGACGACATGACTGGCCCAAGAAAAAGGGGTGAGAGCATGGTAATCGAAAGGTGGGAAATGATGGCTTTCGAGTACAATGGACACATGGTTCACCGAGGACCCCAAGAAATCGGTGGTAAGCAGAGCTCGGCAGGAAATAAACATTGCGGTCTCACATTGCTTCTCTGGCTCGATAATGCCACGCATAGCAGTGCCAACATATGTATGTAACCACCTCTTGAATAATAGTTGTATTATGTCTGCCCAGGGTCCTGGGGGGCTAAGGCTAGTGACAGGTGTCTACCGAAGATCAAGGCGGATGTCGCTACAGTCGTCAAGTTGACGACAATGCATGACCTATCTCATGGATCGGCCGATTGGCAAGCAGTAATACTCGAGGGCGGACCCGGCAACTTTTGCAGTGCTAGGCAAAAGTAGTAACGGGTTTGGGGCTCATGGTTGCAGAAAGTGGATTGGCCGTTGACGATCAATTCCGTCGTGTCTGTATTGGAATTTTGAGCTTATGCTGATCTCTGTTCCGCCGCATCTGACAGCAGGCACGAAAGACACGTCGCTGCGGCACAGATGGTAGACATTGAAGAAGCGTGTGGGAAAATAATGCGGGTAAGAACCTAGGAGGGCCTTACGGGCTGCCTTTTCGCGAAGCCTGAATCAGCAGACGTCCTGGCGCTCAGCGCGCCTGTAGCAGCCTCGTTTGCGACTAGTACTACTGCTCTAGCCGTTGATCATCGAGGGCTGACCTTTGGCCAACACTTTCCATCTCGAGGGTTAATTCTCCCACCAGGCCCTTACCATCAAGGCCATGGAAGCTTGTCCTTGCCGTCACTGTTGTTGACCGCCAAGTTCAGGCTTGAGCCGCAGCTACTAGCCTGCGACGTGCGCTTCCGTTCTACCTTTCGAGCAAGGGGTGGCTGCGCCCTTCAGCTCCGCTGCTTAATCTGAATCCGACTTTCAGCAACGCCATTCTAGGCTGTTCAAAGCGAGGGCCCCAGATGCAAGCGATGCCAATAGGTTCCACGCATGTGTCCGAAACACGAGGAAGCCTGGTCTCTGGATCTCGTTTAGTATGACCAGCCGTCGCTGCAGAAAACCCTACTGGCTCTAAACGTCCGCCCTGGTTGCTCTCACGAACTACGCTGACAGCAAATCTTGGCGATGAGAGCGATATTTGAGCCAGTGGTCTGGAGACATGCCCTCGTAGATGCGTGAGCTAGGCAGACAAAATGAGCACATCTGAGGCGGGATGATTACGGGGCAATACGAGATGGCAGGCTAAAGGTAACCTAAGGGTCAACGCTTTCCAAGTCAGGCCGACTACGGTGTTGAGGACTCTTGTCGTTTATGGCCATCGAGTCAAGTTGGGCACGATACTGAGGACAGGAACCAACAGATATGAAGCACACATAAGATGAGAACTTTCCCTTTCTGCTCGTCAGATGGTACATTCCTAGGGCGAGACAGGTTTCTCCTCCACTATTGTCGACACAAGTTCTGGATAGAATGTTCACGGCCTACTATAACTTCACACTCACCATGTCTCTGCGCAACGCCGTCAAAGAACTTCGCCGAGGTACCTCCCGGCGTAATCTAGCTCTCCCTTCTGGCACAGGGAGTTCCGGGGGAATTCCATACCTACAATCAAGCATAGCCGAGGACGTCGATGCATGTCCAGCATACCATCCCGCGATACCTTCACGTACGGAACCCGTCGACGCAGATCCATTCCACAACTTGCTCGAGGATACACACGATTCAGACCTCGACTCGGAAGAGGCGCCTCCCCCATACATGAAACTCTCCAACGGGGACAGAAAGCCTGAGTACTCAAGGTACGACCCGGCTCAGACCACAGACGCAAATCTCTCCCGAATGGACGGTGCACTATGTCTGAGGTGCAACGCGCGCAAGGCCAAGGCTTGGTATCTTCGCCAAACGGTGCGCCCCAGTCAATGAACTCGGCTCTATAGTACATCGGGGCAACAACAACCCAGTCACACTATACTGTACGAAAAGCTGCTCAGGTCTAGTGTATGAGTGAGGCGTCACCTGGAGCATGGGCGTTTTGAGTGATGCACTCTGGATTCATAGCGAGGACAAACCCCATGGTTTCGAGCTATCCCCGGTCCGTAGCTGCAGTATAATCCATCTGTTGAAGTCCGCACTCTTCGCAGTAACAATCTATCTGTACTGCCGGTCGATATAACGTTCTAGATCTCCACAGAGCATTCCTTGCCAGAAGCCATGCCGAGTCTTCGCCCAAACATCTCAGACGAGGCTGCAAAGTCATGTTTGGAAACGTGGGGCGGCATGGTTCCATCATCCATGAAAGGGACTTACGAACACCCGGGGCTGTTTTGTCGTTAGCCAGAAAACTGGGGGTTTGGCCGTGACCGGAGATTTCCTCCAGACAGCCAACGGAGTTATTAAAACCTCGATATGTACACAGATCAAATCCTGGAGCTGTCAGGGGACGTCTATGGGACATGCGAACACAACCCCAGCCTCGTTTTGTCTTTCCGGCCCAGATAAGGAATGTTTTGCATATTCTCGGCACTCAGCTGTCGTGCGCAGAGTTGTCTGCTGCTGTCAATACGATACAGGTCCCTTATTCCGACCTTTTCTCTTTATTCCGATGTTGTACAAGAGCCAATGTTGCGCCAGTGATCCTGTGATTGTCAATTCGAGGCATATGGTTGGAGAATAATGGCGGCGGGTCACAGCAGCTGCGGAGAAGTTCGGGGGCTAGAGCCACCTACCAATGCGATACGGAGTGCAGCACAGACAGGGACAAGGTCCATTGTCCGCGTCTCAAGCCAGCGCATGGCCGTGATTGTGCATCCACTCATTTGCAAATTACCCGCAATCCCAACTCCGCATGCGAGTAACCAGCAGGGAAGCGACCGAAGGGAAGTTGCCCCAATTCTTTTGATATCTCTGCCACGGAAATGATAAACTCCACTCCAATTGCCTACTCACTGAGAGGAATATAAGACCACCAAGGCTCTGTATCCCCTGGACGATTAACAACCCCATCACTCATTCCGGAGCTCCGGTAACAGACACAGACAACATGGAGCACATTGACAGCAATGCTATCAACCACGACCTCGCTGCTCGCATGAAATACATGCAGTCCTTTCTTGGTTGGGACCCAGCAAAAGATGGAAAACTCATTGAAGCCTGCAAACCTGTGCTTAAACCCATTATCGGTAATATCGTCGATGCCGTCTACGATCAGCTGCTGAAGTACGACATCACCGCCGCTGCCTTTGCGCCCAAACAGGTCCAAGGAGAAGTCACTACGGACGCCGACGTACACGACCTGAATGCCAGCCACGCAAACATCAAATACCGGAAAGACTTCCTGAAAGCATACCTGATTAGGCTGCTCTCCAACCACGACTGGACTCCTGAGAGCAGATTTTGGCAATACATTGACATGGTGGGCAAGGTCCATACGGGGTCCACGAACTCGGGCTTGAAGTCCCGGGAGAACAAACCGACACTGTTCGTGGAGTATCGTGAAGTAAATCTCCTACTTGGATGGGTCGAAAACGCCGTCATCGACATTGTCATGGGCGTTGAGAAACTGGAGCTGCAGACAAAGGTGGACATTCTGAAGGCCCTGAACAAGTACTGGTGGATCCAGAACGATCTCTTCGCGAGGCACTATATCGCAGGATTGAGCGTTCCCCGGGTAGAAGACACAGAGCGCCCATTGACTTGGATTGACAAACTCAGGGCTGACCCTGTATTTCCAATTGTCTCGGCACTTGTTCTTTTTGTCGCTATTTTCAGCTGGAAGTTCTGAGGTGGCGCTATAAATGGGGGCACGGGTTCCTTACGCCGAATAACAGATCTCATTGAAGCTTTACGTTGGAGAAAGAGGAATGATCACCCAAATAGATGATCGAGCAGGATTTGTTCTGGGAGACTACACGAAACTATATGTACCGAGTAGACATCAGCCAATGGTAGACTAGCCTGGGAGAAAGGTGTCAAGACTGTAGATGCAGACTAGATATATGCTTTGGAGAGACCATTGAAAGAGTCCGATATGTAAGATGGTTAAAGAAAAGAGCAGTATTTTAGCTGTTTCCCCATCGTTCGATTTCGCCTCTAATACCTTCTCAGCCAAGCCTTGTCCGAAAACAATTTCGCGGGCGGAGACCTAATACCAATTTTTTGGAGGCAGGGCAGAGGAGCAGAACAACTTCAACCCAACCCTCCAGACGCGCAACATCACCCACCCGCTAAGATATTCATGAAATCCCCTTCACCGTCGACCTTCACTGAGCCTCTCACGCGACATGATCTGCTCGAGCTGCCGACGGGCGTGCCTCTCCAGGATTCGCTCCCTCACTCCTAGCACCAGTCTCTCCATCTCTTCTGCTTCCGGATTGCGCTACGCATCGACGGTCCCTGCGACTCCCAAGGCCGCTCCAGACCCGGCCCCTGAAGCCATCTCAATAGAGGCGCCCAATACCACTCAATCGTCAAACACACCAGGAATCTCCCAGCCTCTGTCCGAACAACACACCCCTTCGACCTCGACTGCGAAAACCTCCGGGCCAACCTCGACCAAAGACTCAAAAGGCCCTATAAAGCCAAAGAGCTCGATACCGGGAGGCAAGGAGCTCCGTGGTCTAGGCTACACAAAAGCAAAGCCGAAGATTCTAGCGATGGAAGATGATGAGTATCCCGAGTGGCTCTGGAAGCTGTTGGATGAGAAAAGACTGGGGACCGACGCTGAGAAGGTTGATTTATCAGGTATTTCAATTGCTCCCAGACATAGCTTTTCCGTAAAACCATGCGCCCTTCTGACACTGCCCCAGCAATGACCAAAAAACAACGCATCCGGTACGAAAAGAAGCAGGAACGTCTCCTGAAAGACCTACCCAGAGAGATCCCCCTCCACGAACAAAGCAAAGACCTGACGGGTCCCGGGGACGACGCGGTAACGAGTTTACAGCGCAGACAAGAAATAACCAAGAGCGCAAGGTCCGCAAGGCGGAGGAGCATTCGGGAGAGCAACTTCCTGAAATCGATGTAGGCCTGGCTTCGGTTAAGAGAATGCTATTACTTTGTACCATACATTATCAAGCGACCTGGATTGACAGGTAACTCCTAGATTTTCAGAGATGATTGAATGCTACATTAGGAGGGGATCCTATTCCACTCGTCAAGGAAACTAACTACAGCTCATGGGACATACTTGGTATTCGATGTCTATATATGTGATCGATACCCTAACTGCACCGTTGCCAGCGCCTCTCTGATGCCAGTAACCTCAACAACGCCTTGATTATTCCCCATGCCTCGTGTAGTTCCTGCGACTCCGTGTTCGTCCAGGTCATGCAAACAGCTGGTGTCGAAGATTGGTTTTCCGCCGGGGTATCGCTTCATTTGGTTCATCCCTTTCCCCAACAGCAGATTGTCCATTCCCATCGTGTCTGTCATTGTCATTTCTTGCTCCTCATGATGCATGTCCAAACGCCAACTGCAAAACAGACGTCCTTAGGCACGTATACTGCGCGCGGCCGAACTCCATCTCAATCTTCTCAGACCGTTTCCGCTCGACCTTATGGACTCTTGTCCACAGCTCCCACCCGGGAGACCCATCTCGCCCTCAATCCTTCCAACTTCACGCCCCCAAGCGTATCCCGCACTGAAACTGATGGCTGAGAACACGAGCACTACACCCGCTGAAATCATCCATGAAGCAAGAGTTGGACTGATTAATTCTTCGCCAGTCGCGGGCGCGGTCGCTTTGGCGCTCGCAGCTCGGACCTTCTTTGCGGCGTGTCGATCTTTGCTCGACTCGCGTGATTTGCGCTTGGTCTGTTTGTTGGGGGAAGAAGTGCGTCTCGGTCGAGGTGGACTCTCGAGCTCTGATTCCGGGACAAGCCGCAGAGTTGTCGGTTGCGTCGATGTTCGTTGCTGGGGTGTTCTGACCTCAACGCCTTTGGGCCGAACTGCAGCGGCACAAGAGAGCAGAGTTGTCAAGGATGCTCGCAACGCCGCATCATGGTCCGGCTGATATGATGACGACGAAGCAGGACGATTCCTTGATTGCATTTGACGCTGATAGCTGCGTTGAGTGAGCGTGCGATCAGCAAGTGGCTCAGACGCCGCTGCCGCGGCCGGAGGAAAATATGAATCTGGCACAGTGCAAGTGTGGGACGAAGGAGGGTGCGAAAATGCATTCGGCTGAGGCGTGAACACCTTGTCTAGACTGCCAACACCAAGTGCTGTAGAAGTGTCGTCATCCTCAGTTGTATGGCCTCGATAGATGTCCTCATTGGAGCTGCTGAGAGCCTGATCACTCTCACTCTCGCTCTCTTCATATTCATCCTGACTACTTCCAGCGGTACTTGTAGACCGCGGCTGAGCATGAGCGATGTGCGGGGAGGTTTGGAATTGACGCGAAAGCCGCTCGTCTTGAGACCGGAGCTGTAGTCCGGTAGTGATGATATCGTTGTTGGTGGATGATAAGGAGGCCGATGAGGCTCGTGATGAGATTTCAACCCACGAGTCTTTAGTGAAGTTAGCGCCTTTGTATATATGTAGCCTGGTGAGAGCAGATCCTACCTTCGGAGCGCATGCCTCGTATACTCGCATGCACTTGGGATCCCGAATGAGATTCTGTAGCCCAGGGAGCCCGATATTCTCCTCGTTCGCCTCTAAGGGAGGCGAATGGTTCTGCTTGAGACGGTCGCATGGTTCAGAGAGGCAGACTTATCTGCTGTGGGCTAACGAAATCGGAGTCGTGGCCGAGTCTGGCTAAAGGTCTGTTTCCTCGGCTGCGTGCTGAATCCGATCGTTCGAATTTCTATATCGGTGTTTAAAGTCGTCGAGTATTTTGGAACAAGACCGTATAGAGCGAGGTACTGAAAAGTCTTCGTGAAGCCAGGAGATATGTCGTAGGAGAAGGAGTAGTTTCCTCTAGTCTCACCGCCGAGATGATGGTGGGGGATACGCCTCAGTGGTGCGATTACGCGATCGCGACGATCAGCCACAGCGGGCTGTTGGGGGAGCGGGGACTGGCTTCGGGCAGCCTGAATTCGACGGCGGTTGTATTGAAACTGTGATTATGAGAGGGAGAGAAATGGAGAAGAGGAACAAAAGGAGAGACTGCGGAATGTTGAGTATCGCAGAGAAAGGGTAGAGTCTGTCCTGCCAAGGGCCAGGTCACTCCAGCCAGCTTTCTTGTCAGTGAGGTATGCAAGTCCTGGAATGGTGGCATTCTGGAACGGCAATGCACAATGCAGTCACTCAATCACTTGAATCCAGGCAGGCCACTCAGCAGGTTTCCTGAAAAGACGGCACCCAGATGGAGCGCTCATCCTGATTCGGCGGACACGTATCAGGTGCAAGGGCAGAGCCACAAGTGCTGATCAAGAGATGGAATCACGCGCGCAAGGGATTGTTGGCAGTGTCTGGTGGTGTCTGGTGTGCTTGGGGGTGTCAGATGAACCCAATCAATGATCACCATCTGGAGTCACCCTTTCCCAGGATCGTATCTCCCGTATCGTCGTGTCTTCCGGTGCCGACATCGGGGAGAGGCAGGCCTAGTGAGCCTCTAGCATTGAATTTCAGCACACCCTACCAGAACTCGTTGCACAGATACAGTAACTAACAAAGTCAAAGGCTGAACCAGGAGGTCGAGAGTTTGTTTCATGTTATGATTTTCATGGAATCTTACAACTTTTGTAAAGAAAGATGACACCCTCTATTAGTCCCATAAAGGAGATCAACGAAAGAAAGACAATTTTCAACTTTTACAGGCATCACACCTCACGTCCTCCCCTGCACAGTATTTCTACGACACACGAGTACCAGAGAAGATTCTCCGGGTACGATCATAGGTTGAGCCAGCAGAGGAACACCAACGTGCAACGCCGTATTCAATGGTCCATGTGCGATCCAAGTGGACGAGACACCACAGCCCAGGATGTCATCAACTTAAAAGGTAGTCTTCTTGCCAGAGAAGTCACCAAAGCCTCCTCGATTGGTAGTGCCGCCTCTTCCACCACGAGCACCTCCACGAGGACCACCACGGCCTCCTCTTCCTCCGCGGCCGCCAAAATCTCTGCTGCCGCCACGGCCACCACGAGGACCTCCACGGCCACCACGACCACCGAATCCACCGAATCCGCCACCGCGGGCTGGAGCATCGACGTTCTGTTGACGAGGTTGGGCATAGTCGACGCGCAATGGCCGGTTCTTGACGTAAGAACCCTGCGCACCCTCGAGCGCACTCTTGGCCTCGTCCAAGGTCGCGAAGGTCACGTAGCCATATCCTTTAACATTGCCAGTTTCCCTGTCGGTGGGGATACGGACACCGGTGGGGGTACCATATGGCGCAAAGATGTTGTAGACATCATCTTCGGTGATCTCGAAAGATAAATTGCCCAAGAACAGTGTGTCGGAAGGCTCGCTGAGCTGGTCTCCGTACGACTGGCGTCGTTTCTCCTGTTTCTCGCCAGCGTCCGGTTTCTTGTTGGCAAAGTCAACATTCATGACACGGCCGTCGAGCTCATAGCCTTGCTTCGCAGCATGAGCCTTGGCTGCGTCGGCGGCATTGACGAATTCCACATATCCATACCTATATTCCCCCGGTCAGTGAAGAAATTGTTGGAAAAGAAAAAAACTGATGACTCACCCCTTAGATCTGCCATCCTCACGTTGAGTGATGAGACGAACACCGCTGAGCTCACCAAACTCTTCGAACTCCGACTTCAACCATTCTTCGTCAACGTTCCAGGAGAGGTTACCGACAAAGAGATTGGAGCCCCTTGAACCGTCTTCCTCGACCTTTGTCTTCTTTGCAGCAGGAGCCTCGACATCTTCGGCCTTACGTTTGGCAGGTTTGGCCTCCACCTCTTCATCTGCGCTCTCCTCGGATTCCTCAGACTCGTCGCTGCTTTCGTCCGAATCGTCGGCGTCTTCATCACTGCTCTCGGCAGCAGCTTTGGCGCCGGCAGGTTTCACATCCTTTGTCTTGGTTGTCTTTGTCGCCTTGGGGGCTGCGGCCTCTTCTTCACTTTCTGACTCGTCCGAGCTCTCCTCAGATTCGTCCTCTTCTTTCTTAACAGCAGCACCGCCCTTCTTAGTCCCTTTAGCGGCGAGCTTCTCTTCTTCGTCAGACTCCTCTTCGCTGCTCTCCTCGTCATCTTCCTCCTCGCTTTCGGAAGTATCGGCAGCGGGCTTGGCTTTAGCAGCAGAACCGTTGACTTTAGGCGCTTCGTCTTCAGACGACGCGTCAGAGTCAGATTCGTCACTCGAATCTCCCTCAGAATCATCTTCCTCCTGAATTTTCACCCCATTGGCGCGGTTTGGCTTGGCTCCATCTTCGCTCTCGGATTCTTCCTCGGAGCTCGCCGAGTCCTCACTCTCCTCCTCAGAGCTCGACTCTGGTTCGGGAGTTGGTTCTTTGACGGGGACATTTTTGTTCTTCTTGTCTTTCTTCTGCTCTTTGGCAGCGACCTCCTTCGCGATCACTTTGCTCTTGGCCTTCACGGTTTGCGAAGGCTTCGCCACAGCTGCACCCTTAACCTTCGACAGGACGCCGGCCTTAGGCCCAACGGCAGGGGCGGACTTGGACTTCACTTTGGACATATTGAACACGAACTGGAAGAAACGCATGGTTAGTTTGAAGCAAACAGGAGATGAGGATGATATTTACGAACTTGCAACCCTGGAGTTGAAATTTTCCTCACCCACAGAAGCACTGAAATTAACTTTCAGAAGATGCGGCAAAACCCTCAATCCACACAATGGAATTAAAAGCCCCCGGCCACACTTAGTCACTTGCTTTTGCAAAGGACTGGCAGAAATATGAATTTCTGCTGGACGCGCAAACACCACAGACGGACCTGGAACAGCACTCGAATGCAGGTTGAGACAAGCAGGAACCTGCGAAGAGTCTTCTGAATACCCTCAGTAGTAACAGACCCACAGAGCCCTCGATAGACCTCAAGTACAGAGTAATGATGCCCTCGAAATTATGCCCACGATTGTGAATGCTGGATAGTAGGTGGCAGCAGAGAAGCCAGCAGGAGTAAGAGATAGGAAAAGAAAACAAAATGGGCAATCACTTTTTCTTTAAAGCCGAAATTTTTCTCCAGGCCGAAAAACCTTATCTTATCGATTGGATGGCTGGGTCTGGGCATTTAATCCGCTTTTGGGACCAATGAAATCTGTCTGCAACTGGCCACTTTGGAAATCTCCAACTTCCAGAGCCTGACCCGAACCAATTCTCGCAGCTCATTCCTCTTGCGCCGACGGTCGAGCTGCTCCTTTGCTTCTCAGATCAAGATGTCGAACCCATCGCACTCCCACAGACCCCGGAAAAAGCGAAAACAGCCTCCTGCTTTGATTCGAAGCAACACCGTCACCGACATTGTCAAAATCGACCCCGACGACGAATGCGCTATTACTCCTGAGTTTCCTCTTGTGGCATTCCTGTGGCCAGCTCGGGGAACAACGTCTCAATGGATTCTGCTGCCGCTGATCTTGATGATTGTTGGTTTGTTCAGATGGAGCGTTGGGCTTTGGGATTACTCCGGCTATCGGACGCCTCCAATGCACGGAGACTTCGAGGCGCAGAGGCATTGGATGGAAATGACAATCCATTTACCAGTATCCCAATGGTATTTTTATGACCTTCAGTATTGGGGTTTGGACTATCCCCCTTTGACAGCTTACCACAGCTGGCTATGCGGCAAAGTGTAAGTGTCTACAACGCGAACAGAGGTCCGCGAGCTGACAAAAGACAGGGGTTCGTTGTTCAATGCAGCCTGGTTTGAGCTGGACAAGTCTCGTGGCCTAGAGGATTCCGATCTGAAGGTCTTCATGCGCGCTACTGTGGTTCTCTCGGAATACCTCATCTATGTTCCGGCGTTAATCATCTTTCTTCGCCACTTCAGCAGGACCCATGCTACCGGGACAACGTCAGCTTCAATTGCGCTTGTGGCGATTCTCATGCAGCCAGCGAACATGCTCATCGATCACGGCCACTTCCAATACAATTCAGTCATGCTCGGCTTGGTTGTCGCAGCTCTATCTAGCATATTTGCTGGCCGACTCTTATGGTGTTGCATTTTCTTCGTTGCTGCGCTTGGCTTCAAGCAAATGGCACTTTACTACTCGCCTATCATGTTTGCTTATCTGCTAGGCTCCTGCCTGACTCCAGAAATCCGCCTTGGGAGACTCATTTCGATCTCTCTCGTTACAGCGTTGGCATTTGCCGTTCTACTCGCGCCACTACTTCTGGGATCACTTTACGACGTCTATCAGAAGATTCTGTTCTCTGAGATGCCCCCTCCACCATTCCTTGCGGAGCGGAATGTATCTCTGGACCCTAGTGTTCCCCTAAAAATGGTCGTCCTTCAACTCAGCCAGGCCATCCACCGCATTTTTCCATTTGCACGTGGCCTGTTCGAAGACAAGGTAGCCAACTTCTGGTGCTTCACCAACACTTTTTACAAACTCCGAAAGCTGCAGGCGATCGTTGACCTGTCTCGTATTTCAGCCATGGCCACTCTTGGATCTATACTCGGACCAATGCTAATAATTGGGGCTGTCCCTCAAAAGACACTCCTCCCTTACGCGCTAGCCACATCGGCATGGGGCTTTTTCCTCTTCTCATTTCAGGTCCATGAAAAGTCGGTGCTGCTCCCATTGCTCCCGATGACCCTGTTACTCGGGAGCAAACAAGGCCTCAGCAAGGAATATCGAGCGTGGATTGGGTGGGCCAACGCCGTCGGCATTTGGACCATGTTCCCGCTGCTAAAGCGAGATGGGCTCACAATCCCATACGTCGTGATATCCCTCCTCTGGTGCTACCTGCTGGGGCTTCCACCAACCAGTGTGAACGCCTACTACGATCCGCAGCACGAAAACATTACCGGCCGACCACAGGCTGCCGATGATTTGTCGACGCTGACTAAAATTCTACATTTCCAGACTTACATTGTTATGGCATTCTGGCATCTGCTGGCAGCATTCGCCACTCCGCCTGAAGATAAGCCTGATTTGTGGGTGTTGGTTAACGCATGCATTGGCGCTGGTTGTTTTGGAATCTGTTACCTCTGGTGTTTCTGGAAACTGATCTTGGAGAGCGGTTTGGTCGACGACTATCTCGGGGACCGATCCGAAATTGAAGAAAGTCGCCCGTCTTCGAATGCATTACCAGATATTCAGGAGAAGAAGCACAAGTAATTCGTCTGTATAGGCCATCTCTGTATCCTAGAATGGTATTGCCCTGATACTCTAGCATCCGTGGGACTTCTAATTGTACAATCACCTATCCTTGTAATCCTGCATAGTCTCGTAAAGCCACCTTATTTCATGTACTCATCAGTATACCATGTTCAGTCATACGTAGTTGACGACCCCCTTGACAGCCCAAATCTCCCCATTGCCAACTCTTCCTACAACACCCTCAACGATCAAATTGCCGGGATTGATAACTCGGTTCCCGTCATCATTCTCTTCCCACCACAGTTCTTGTCCACCTAATGTCTTGATTTTATTCGACTTTCCTCGCTTCCAAGGACTCACAGGAATAACATGCTCCTCGACAAATCGTTGCAAATTTCGGGCCGCTTTGTCCTCGTCTCTCTCGGCATCAACACCTGAATCATCGCCCGGTCTGTCTTCCCATGGCTTGCGAGGAAGCTCTTGCATCGCACTGTTCAATGGAGCCAGAAGGGTGGTATTATCTTCTGGCCTGGTGGATTCTAGCCGGGCGGTGACGGTGGAGATGTCGCGTGTCAGGGACGCAAAGATATTGATCTTGCGGGTTTGTGGGAGGATATCGGAGATCGAAAGGGTATTGTCGTCGACATTCCCATCGGGTTGTCCAGGGCAGTCCCCGCGCTGCACTGGCCCTGGGTTCATCGCCTTTTGGTCGTGGTCGAGGTGGACAACCAGAGAATCTGACGGGGATGAGGGGTTGCCGCGGAAGATGTCCAAGGGCGAGAGAGCGGCAGCGAGGGAGATTGATGAGAACAGAGAGCACAGCAGAATTGTGCGACGCATCTCGACGATAGGAGTGATGGAGATTGGATCGTGGGTGATGTTCGTGCCGCAGAGCTGGAAGTCGAGGCATGCGACAATTACTGTGACGTTGTGGCCGCCGGAAAGCGGGCAACCCACGTACGCCAGAGATTCGTCTTCTGTGCATCACCTCGTGACATCCCGTGCATCCCTTTCCACTTATCAGTTATGTACACCAAAAATCAGCCTACTAGGCATGGGCTGCGACGCCGACAAATACGCATAGCAGACAACCCTCCATACAATGCCACTGGGTTTTTGGAGTCAAGACAACAATCTTCGTGTAGTTCATAGTCCAGTTTCAACCAGGCTCTGTCTGTGCTCTTCACCATCTTGCCGTCACCTCCGCCAGTGCTCTGATGGCCTTTCCAGCACTTATTCACGACATTCTAGTTGCCAGGTTTTCTAGAATGATTTCGTCAATTGTCCAACGCGGCGGTTACCCGGCCGGCCGCGCTTGACAATTGGCAAGAGTCTCTGGTGCCACCTCGGAATCCAAACCCCCGACTCCTTGTCTCTCTGAGTTGCGGCCTTTGAAGTCCATGGATAAATGGCGTTGGAATTCACGTACCCAGATGTTCATCTAAAAGAGACTAGATACCCACTGAGTATTCTAGCTTTCTCAGTGATCCGAAGGCCACTTTTTCTGGCACATCACAAGAAACGTACTCTCTGTTTGGCACCGCAAACGATACACCAGTACCAATCTCAGGATGGCAGCGGCCCCGTATCTGTTTCGCATTCTCTCCGAACCGACCGAAGTGGACCGTCAGAGCTGGGAGAAGTGGTATTGTTCAGAAAACATGCCCGACTTAATCAATGCAAAGGCGGTGACAAGAGCAGGATTGTATGAGGCGTTCAATGACTATCCGCTTGCTACAAAGACGCCGAACTTAGTGAGCCAGACGACTCTCCACGATGTCACAGTCACACACACCGACATTGAGCCGCCGACTGAGAAGACGTTCCTTGCCATGTGTCAGGTTGAGGATCCCACGTTAGCAAAGAAACAACACTTACAGAACATTGATCAGTCAGCATCATCCCTTGCAGGGAAATCTGCGAAGTCTTCCGCGCGATGGGATTCACGAGTTTACAAGCTCATCCAGGACTTTGACCCGAAAGGCCTTGGGCACAGTAAGTTATACTTATGAACTTTCCTTATGATCCTCCTGGACCTCGTGGCCTTGCTAACATTTGTGCCTTCAAATGTTCGGCGGGTTCCCAGCCCCTGCGCCTTTCATTCTCAACGTCCAAATGGAGCCAGCAGATGATGACGACTACAACACGTTCTACCGGGATGAACACTTGTACATGCTCTCCAAAGTCCCGGGATATCGTCGATCGCAACGCTACCAGTTGGTTTCTTCGGACGATATTGACCTGTCAGCAGTCCCCAGATTCATGGCGGTCCATGAATTTGAAACATTGGACGCATTGGACGGACCCGAACTCAGAGAAGCGGATGCTAGCCCCAATACTCATCGGGTCATTGGCAATTCCAAAGCAGTGAGTGTTCGGGGGTTCAAACTTTCGAAAGTGTTTGGGGACATGCGTGGGTAGAGACACTTCAAAACTGCACACACTAGAATCTGCTAGATTCCTAGCAATGGTCTTGAGCTTTCACGCTTGGGCCTCAACTACTTCACCTAGTTGTGTCTTTGCATAAGAATATAAGGGTGCTTTCGTTTGATGCAAAGGTGTAATAAACTAAGTCATCTCTCTCGGGGGATCACAGCCCGGTTTCTTCATGGGTTTCTCGTTGAATTGGCAGGTTGACTACAAGCACGACCAGGAGTTTGAATGCCGGTGCCATTCGTACGTGCCCCTCAGTGCGGGCCGGCGTCCGCGTCATTTGTTTTCGGTCATCATTTTCCAGCTCGAAGAATAACGTTAACAATGGCACTCTGCCAATATCTCAGACTCACAGTAGAGGGTGTGGTTCACTGCTGGAAAAGTGATAACCCAGCAAGTAAGCATACATAGAACCTCAAATGGCTTCAGTCAACAAGCACGCTCTTGTGTTCGGGGCATCTGGCGTCTCTGGCTGGGCCGTTGTAAACCAGCTCTTGCACGACTATCCAAAAGCAGAAACTTGGAGCAGAGTCACCGCTTTGACGAACAGACCTCTCGATATTGAAACCTCGCTATGGCCAAAAACAAATAAGCTCCAGATCATTTCTGGCCTCAACCTACTGAAAGGTGACCAGAAAACTGTTGAGGAATCAATGAAAAGCAAGATTCCAGGTGTTGAAACGGTCACACATGTCTTCTATTACGGTAAGTTCATCAAATTTTTCAGCTTCTAAATAAAAGACTCCAAGCGCCATGTCTCACTGCTGCGTAGCCTACAAAGCAAATCCAAACTTTGAGCAGGAGAAGAAGGATGCAGTTGATATGCTTGCTCGGTCAATAACTGCTGTCGACCGACTTTCTCCAGCTCTAGAGTTTGTCGCGTTCCAGACAGGCGCAAAAGTAAGAAATTAATTTATGACCCGGACGAGAACTAACACCTACTCAGATGTACGGATTTCTTCTCCAGGAAGACCACTATCACCCTGTTCCGCTGAAGGAGTCATTGCCTCGACTTAAGCCACCTTACAGTGACCAGCTCTTCTATCACGCTCAGCTCGATTGGTTGGATGATTACTCCAAAGGTAAATCGTGGACGTGGTGCGAAACACGGCCTGATATTATTATTGGATTCGCCCCAAATCATTCAGCCTACTCATTGGCGGCTTCTCTGGGCATCTACTTCTCCCTCTGGAGGGAGATAAATGGCCCCAGCAGTGTGGTCCCGTTCCCGGGAACTATGAAAAGCTGGAGAGCAAAGCACAACGAGGCTGGTAGCGACATGATAGCTAAGCAGACGATTTTTCTAGCTTTACATCCGGAGGTGAGCGGCAATGGAGAGGCCTTCAACGTCGCGTCAAGCCCCCAGTACGAGACATGGGAGGAAAAGTGGCCACAGCTTTGCGAGTACTTTGGCCTAGCATCCGCACCTCCCAATGATGGATCAAAGGAGGTCCGGGCATATATCAACGACAACCTTCCCAAGTGGAAGGCTTTGGAAGAGAAACACAATCTTCGAACGGATATTGCTCAATCGGGAATAACTATGCCCGGATTTGAAATCCTCCATCTCACCCTGGCTGACTTCGATCGACAATACGATATGACAAAGATCCAGAATGCAGGATTCAACGAGAAGAGTTCTATCATGGAGACCTGGGGAGGCACATTCGAGAGGATGAGAAGAGCGAAAATGATTCCATAGACCGTGATCCAATATGCAAAACGTCCGTAAGTTCTGCAGAGGTGACTCTTATCGTGGATCAATGTTGAAGAATTGAATTGTTTCCCTTCGGTATTGAGCCTTATGTACCCAAAAGCACAGCAATTCTCGCTACCACAATCCCAGTCCATCGAGGCAGACCCAGCTATACTTTCAATCGCCATAGCCTGTAAGGACCAGAAAATTGTTTGCGGCTATTTAGCACAGTACTTATTCCCGATATCATAGTCTCTGAATGCTTTCAATTCGATCGAGTCATCTTTATCATGTTGCAGTAGATTGGAAGGCTCTGTGCCATTTTATTGTCCAGGGAGGCTCTTTCTTCCTCTGACAAGTGAGTTAAGGCTATAGCCCCTTCGTCCCTAACAATAACATCTACTGAGACCCTTAGTTTCAGGAAGTGGGATATGACAGATTGCAATGTCAAAAATGTCACGATGAAGACCAAATGAGCTCTCCGACCGATCTGGCGGAAAGGCTGGACCTGGGCCAGAGGCAGGACAAGGCATACGTGTTTATTGTGCTGGTAGGTATATTAGTCTCGTGCTGAGAGGAGTCTCATCCCCCGTGCCCGTTGTCACCGAAATAACTCACTACCCAGTCCGTAACGGTTGATTGGGAGATGAGTATAAGCCACTGCAGCATTAGAAGCAGCTTGGTTGGTATTTCTAGGGGGGCGGTAGTAAGCAGGAAGGGACTATGGCAATGCAAGCGCACACTATCGCAGTCGAAGGCAGAGTTGCACCCATATTGACATAACCTATGGCCACAGAGAAGGTAAACGCAAAGTTGTATCATGTGTCCCTAACCATGTGGTGGAGAACTCAACTCCTTAGGGGGTGAGCAGCTGCCCAGCTGCTGAAAATAGAACTTGAAACGTAATCTATGGGTAGGCTTTTGACGAAGGCCGCATCGACTTCGTCCTCCTGCGTAATGTTCGGGAGATAAAATATCAAACCCCGATCTCCGCCTGCATCCCCTGGGCTCTCACCTATCACCAGTGTGGCAGCGAGATCTTGAAAGAGGCCTCGTCAGACCAATAGCAAGCTGCAACGGTGTCTTCACCCCTGCTGATGGTACTAGACGAAACCAGGCGCAGGTTGTACTTCTTAACCCTAGACTCCGCTCTAATTTACTCCAGCTTGGACACGACCCAGACCTCCCTAGCCACGTGCAGGCGCTAGGGAAAGAATTGCTTTGGCAACTTAGATGGAGCGGTGAATGAAGGCCGTATCAGAGGTCTGGAAGAAATTACATGGACCATTTGATTTTGATCATTCGCGGACATGAAGAGCTGACATGAGTTTTTCTCGGTTGACGAACCTAAGCCGCCACAGAGCTAAGATACTTTGTTTTCTCTTGCCGGAAGCAGCCATATTCTGTTAGCCAAGGTCGTTGAGCTTTCGAGATCGTGTCCCATGAGGCTAGAGTTGGTGGAGCAGTCTGGAACCTTCTGAGAGACTATCATGAACGCTTCAGGGGAAACAAATTTGCATCTACTTTGCCGTGCATCAAGAAAGGAAGTAGACAGCACCTACCTCGTCCAGTTCACCAGAAACGAAAGTCGTGGATGAACCGAGGTGGACGTTACTTTACGCATCTGCTGTGTCCGCCATGCAATTTGCCCCTCACGCTCCAAGCCTCGTCGGTGGAGGTTTCCCCGCAACACCGGAGATCAATTGCCGACCCTTCTAAGACGGGGTGGCTCTTCATTTGCCGATTTGAGTGAACTAGTTACACCACGCCGTCTGAGGTCGAAACCAGTCCGGGATCTTACTGGTACCTGGTGGAAGCCATATCAGCTCTCTTATGGCCGATTGTGAATACTAAACAAGCAGACAATAGTCACAACCAGCTGATGTTGATGCACAAGGAGGCAAATCCAAAACCGGAAGGCCAAATCTCTATCAGGACAACTGCTGATATCTATTGGAAACTTATCCATCATTCTTCTTCATCTGTCTAGTCAATCACACCATCGATAACTCCCTTCCGAAGAAAATTGACGCTCGTCTCAAAAAGATGGCTGTCACGACGATGAAGGCGGCCCGTTATCATCCTGTTTGTCAGCCTTCGACTTCCCAGACCAATACTGACACTTCACAGGAGTCGAATAAGTGTACGATAGACGAGATCCCAATTCCAAGCATCAGTGAAAATGAGATACTTGTCAAAATTGCCTCGGCCAGCCTATGCCACTCGGATCTAATGTTGTTTGATGGTTCCATTCCCGCTACAGAGCCTGTGGTAATGGGCCACGAGGGCGTGGGATATGTGGAGAAGCTGGGGGCCAACGTCAAAGGCTTCAAGAAGGGCGACGGCATTGGATTTCTCTATATCAAAGGGGTCTGCTGTAAGTTTGACAGATCCTGTCTACATCACCTCTGGACTACTCAAACGGTTTGTTAATGTTACCCAAGTCGAATGCGAAGGGTGCATGGTGCACAATCTCAACTGCAAATTGGGCACTGCCAAACTCCAAGGCTTCCAGACTGACGGATTTTTCGCTGAATACGCTGCTGTGGACTATCGCAATGCCATCATCCTTCCAGAAAATCTTCCCATGGAGACTTCAGCACCATATTTCTGTGCTGGCATTACAGGTTCTCGCCTCTACTCTTGCCCAAACATATGTGTATGCTGACGGATAACCGGTAGCCTTCCATGGCGTCGACTCTTGTGGTCTCAGGCCTGGCCAATGGATGGTCATTGTGGGCTGTGGAGGTCTTGGACAGATGGGCATTCGCTTCGCCAAAGCTATGGGACTGAACGTCGTGGGTCTCGATATCAACGATGAAGTACTTACGGCTGCAAAGGAGAACGGAGCAGACGTCACGATCAACAGTAGAGACCCCGAGTTTGAGAAGAAAATAAGGGAGGCTACGGGCGGAGGCGCGGACGCGGCCGTGGTCTTCAGTGCGGCCCAGGCCGCTTATGATAGCGCTACCAAAGTCCTACGCCTTGGTGGTATCCTGATGGTCATCGGTCTTCCATCGAAACCGCTCCAATTCTCAGCTTTAGAACTGATGAGGAAGCTCTACCAGATCAAAAGCGAGAGTACTGGCCCTCCGCAACAGATGCCACGAGCGATGGAATTCATTTCAAAGCATAACATCAAACCGAAAGTCGAGCTGTACAAGCTTGAACAGATTAACGAAATGATGGATTTGATGAAAAGTGGCAAATCAAAGTCAAGGATGGCGGTAGTTTTTTGATACACCTGTGGGGACTTGGCTTGCCGCAGATATATTGAACTTTTATCTATTCTTGGTTTGTCTCAAATGTGTTCAGGCTCGAAGGTATATTTAGACTTCGTAGAAATTGACAGGGCCTCTCGTTGGACCAAAGAATCCTCTCGCTCAAGTTTTTATTGTCGGGCCGCGAGATTCTAGTGCAACCACTTTGAACCCCTGTCTTTCCGCCATCTATGAGCCTTCAACGGTGAACATTCGCCGGCTTGCGAGCCCCGCAGCCGGACTGGTAAGGTTGTTTCTCTATGCAGTAACGGAAGGCTTCAAAATACGTCGAGTCTCTCATCCTGCCAGGCTGAATGGACCTGACGTTTAACAAGTAACAGAACAATGGCCGACAAGGTTTCTGAGGTGGAAGGACCAAGTCTCCACGTTCCCATTCCAATTCTTCACGATCTGGTAGTCTCGTCAGTCGCCCAACATGGAGACAAGTTGGCAATAGTGTGCAAGCACCAACCCGCTGATCTCTTTCCAGCGGTAAATCAGTATGGCCGCTCAAGGATCCAACTTGCAGAGCTGGGTCATCTCCAATGGACTCATACTCAGCTGCAGTACGGCGCCGACCTACTCGCTCATGCGCTATGGAAGGAAGGTCTGCGTCCTGGGTCACCGATTGCTGTGCTACTCAGTGGGAGAGTAGAATTCCACATGCTTTTGCGTGCAGCGGTGAAAATGAAGTGCCCATTCACGCCTTTGAATTTGAGAGCACCGCAAAATACAAAAGAGATCAGGCATATGTTGACGCTATCGGGGGCCAAGGCCGTTATTGTGGAGGACGAGTCAATCGCGAACAGACTTGAAGAAACAGTACCTGAATTGATGCGGGACATGCAGGTGAAGGCCATAGCGGGGCCGAAGTCTATGATCGATTCGTACTTGTCACTCAACGAACTAGTGTCCAGCGCCGCTGAGGATGAAAGCTTTTCGGACACAAACCGGGACCTTGACGCCCTTGATCGCCATCTCGATGACACTGTGTTCATCTGGTTCACTTCAGGCACGACAGCACTTCCCAAGGCGGCACCCCACACCAACAAATCGCTTACCTGCAACATTAGGTCCTGGGGAGAAGCATTCAAACTTGACTGGACACGCCGATGGCTCCAAATCCTTCCCATGAACTCGATCGTTGGCAGCTCGTGGACACTCGCCTATCTTGTACCAGGAGGCAGCGTCACACATGTTAACTACAACTTTGACGTTCAGTCCATTGCTGCCGCCATTCGAGAAGGAGAACATACTGATGTACTCGCGGTACCGTCAATGATAGATCTTCTTTCTTCTTCCCCAGTGTTAACCGACTCTTCGGTTGGAGGCATTGATCACGTCATTGTGGGTGGCAGCAAGATATTACGGTCTCACGTTGAGAAGTCCTTTGGCGTCTTGAAATGCAAGCGGTTCAGCCCCTTCTTTGGCATGACCGAGGGTACTTCCGTTTGCTCGGAGACTCTACACCGTGTCCCAGAGAGCCTTGACGATCCGATTTATGCGGGTTATGCCAACCCAGGAAGCAAAATCAGGATCTGTGCGCCCGATGGAATTGAGCCACTTCCCAGAGGAACGCCTGGGGAGATAGTCCAGGGTGGTTTACAAAAAATTGAAAGTTATTTGGGAGGTCAAGGCAAAGATAACTTCTTCACCGATAATGGAGAAACGTGGTACAGGTGCGGCGACCAAGCAGTGATGCTTCCGAACGGAAGAATTGCCATTGTCGGGAGATATAAAGGTACCTGTCGCATCTTTGCATTCTTCACCTTAATAAGTCTGAGCTAATGTGATTCTGGTGCGCAGACATGATCATCAGGGGTGGCATGAACATTGCGTCTGCGGCTGTTGAAGCCGTAATATCTGAGAGTACAGGCATTGACGTGAGTATTCAGGACCTTCCTTTGCTGCCTTCGGATGGGAACTCCCGTGATAACAATACTATCAGTCTCAGGTGATTGGAATCCCGGATGAAGTCGCCGGAGAGGTCCCTGTCGCGGTCATTAAGTATGCGGGAAGAGACAGGGATGTTGCCATTGGAATCCAGAAGTGCGTCCTGGACAAAATGGGCCCTTCATATGCGATAGAACGAGTTGTCAACTTATGCGACCTTGGGTTGGAAGACTGGCCAAAAACTAGCTCTGGAAAGGTCCTCAAGCGAGAGTTGAGACTGATGGTTGAGAGCTCCCTTCAATCAACAACGCCAGCGGAGAGCAACACGGTCCGGAATGGAGAGTACCTACGAGACAAGACACAGATTGACGAAGTGCAGCTGCAGAGCATTCTACTCGAACGTGTTCAGCAACAAGGAATCCTAGTCTCGAACATTGACGAAAACTTTCACGACGTCGGCATGGATAGCCTGCTTGCGCTCCGACTAAGGAATGCTATTGATCGGGATCCCAAACTGGGCCTCCATTCAAAGCTGGCTGCGGAGGATATCTTCCAACATGGCACCGTTCGGCGCCTTGCGACTCTCCTGGCAGCCAATCAACATGGCAGCAAGATGTCAACAGCTACTTCGTCCCAATTCGACGCCATAGTTGACGAAATGGCCTCGATGGTCGAAGAATACGGCGAGTTCCGTATACACAAGGCCTCGGAGAATGCTATTTCTCATAAGCACACAGTCGTAAGAGCGCGTTCCATGTTCTTCCTCGTTGCTGCGTATGTTAACAATCGCTCAGCTCCTCACGGGTGCAAGTGGCTCTTTAGGTGCACATATCCTTTCCCAGCTAATCGACCGCGATGATGTTACGGCGATTTATTGTCCGGTGAGGGGCCGTGAACCGGCAAAGCGACTCGAGGAATCTCTCAGCAAGCGTTTCCTCATGGCACCGGAATATCCTGAAAAGGTCAGGATCATCAACTTCGAGGCTGGAAAAGCATGGCTTGACTATGACGAAACGACAAAAGAAGCGCTCCTCAATAACCTCACCCTTATCGTTCATGCTGCATGGCCAGTCAACTTCCACCTGCCCCTAGCATCGTTCCGCCCTCATCTCGATGATCTCCAAAGGTTGATTCAACTATCTTTAGATGTGCGGCTCTCCAACCCTGCTCGGATGATGTTCTGTTCCTCAATGGGTGTTGCATTAAGCACCCGTGGCCAAAAGCGGATCGCAGAAGAACCCATCATGGACTTTCGCCAAGGTATGAGTAGCGGATATACACAGTCCAAGGTTGTTGCGGAATACCTCATACAGAGGGCAGTTGAAGACTTCGGAGCGTTGGCGTGCAACCTGCGAATCGGTCAGATTGTGGGAGACACCAAGTACGGTCTCTGGAACGAGCACGAAGCTATCCCGCTTATGATACGCTCTGCTTTGAGTATAGGGACATTGCCTGCTTTGGATATGGTAGGTCTCTCGAAATTAGCGATGACCCTTCCACGCCGTCCCTCTGACTCTGAGTAAACTAGAAATGTTCATGGATTCCTGCGGATACTCTGGCCAGAGCCATCATTGAGATTGCAACGATTCCACCGCGCCACCAGCCACCGAGACTGGTCTACAATATGTGTAGCAGGCTCACTTTCTGTTGGACGACAGAACTTTTGCCGGCACTCTCAGATGCAGGACTCCAGTTCAAGACTGTATCCTTCTCGGAGTGGATTACAAGCCTCAAAAGCTACAGCGCAACACACGGGTTGGAGGTGGCAACCATACGTTGTCCCGCCATTAAACTAATCGATTTCTGGGAAAAGTCATACGGGGGCAAAGAAAAGCGACACGATGGTGGCCTGGAGTTCGACAGCCGCCAAGCCCAAGCTGTCAGTAGAAGTATGGCGACGGCTCCTGACGTGATCAAAAGTGGTTTGATCAAGGTCATGTTGCATTCATGGATGAAAAACTGGGGTCATCACGATGATGTGCCGTCCGTCGCGAGCGAGAGTCTAGGAGGATTGAATATGGTGAATGGACAGCAACATTGAGTGTGATCGGCAGATTATCCTACTTGCACAGGACGAAGTCCTCATAGCGCCATCCGTCTCGCCGCTATCACAACAACAGAGAACGTCGAATTTGAACCTTGTGGTCGCGCCTGATGAAGCATAGGCCACGCTCTTGTGCTTCTCTGGCCACGGATTGAAGGGTCTGGACGGGGGCAAGACAGGGTTCTGCCGGACTAGACTTAGCAAGAGAAAGAACGTGGGTGCTCGGTGAATGATCTCCGGCGGAGGACGAAATTGCCGCTCCTCCGTGGCGTCAGCCAAACGACATTCGCCGTGGACGGGTTGCCGTTCTTCACTTCTTTGCCCAGAGTGCTTAGGTAGTGAGACAATTATCCCTAGACATGAGAATAAGAACAATCACTCCTTGTGAACGGAAGACAGGGCGACAAAAGGACTGACGGAAAATCGTTAGGGGAAGCCTAGGTCTGAGTTCCAGGCTCACTAGGCCCCTGAGCCCGTCCGGCCTTGTACCCCACTCGTAGTAGAGGTATCCACTTGTACTAGATGGACGAATGGTGACCGAGAATTGGATCAATCAATTGGGCCCTTGCTACTCCACAACCACAACCCCGGCTTCTCCGCGATTTTTGTGCTGGCGAAGTTGGCCGAGGGCGACGAACGATCTGAGGGGCCAGCAGACATTCCTCTTCTGTCCCTCTCGGCACAGTTTTTCCCATCCTCTTTGATGCTGGAAAACCCTGGAGCAGAACAATCAGTCCACTCTGATACTGATAGTCGTGTCGACTCATTCATGATGCTTCCAAGTCCGTTTGCCTCTGGATATTCGCCTGTCCCGGCCGAACTTCTGGAGGACACGATCAAGAAGCCACAAACAACCCCGCAAGAAGTCCCAGACGATGCAGGGAACACGTATGTTGAGGATCCTCCCTTGCGAAAACCTGGAGGCAACAAGCGACGATTGTCGTCTGCGCCGAAACCTCAGACGAGAAGCTCCAAAACCTTAGCATGTCTTAACTGCCGACCCAGGAAAATAAAGGTCTGTGCATAGAGGCCGTAAATCTGTGTGTGCTACGGTCTGACATCCGTAACAGTGCGAACGCGTTGGGGGTACCTGTGAGAGATGTCGGACATTGGACATCCCTTGCAGATTGCCAGATCGTGATGAAAGACGAGTGTAAGTTGCTTGTAGAGGGCCCAACCAGATCTCATCAGATGGTTGACCAAGTGGCGTAGACGCTACTCAAAAGACTATATCATCCAACTCCAGGACCAAATTGCGGAGTTACGAAGCACTGTGGCAAACATGCAAGCAGCATACGCCCAGCCCAAGTCACCATCACAACCGCTGCATTGGCCGGCGGCCGTATCGGGTTCGCCATCACAAGTGCACGCGCAGATCCAACAACAGCCACCATTACAGCTGCAGGCCTCTGACTCTTTAGGCTCGCCCACGTTGATGACAGACGACTCCAGCGCCATTGGAGAAAGACGTAGCAAGGGGACACCTGAATCGGAACCGGGAGAGAGCTTGATCAGCCGCTTATGTGAAGCCCAAGGACGACTTAACAGCAAGGACGACGGCCAGCTACGATATTTTGGACCCACCTCTAGCCTTCATCTTACGGAGAGCGTGACAACAATCTTCAAATATTGCAGTGATGTCTCCAAATTTGGATCAGACATTGAGAAGGACGTGCCGTGGGCCATGCAACAATATCTGCTGGACCTATACTGGAAATATCAGCACAATATTCTGCACATTATCCACAAAGAAGCTTTCCTCGCCGGAATGCAAGCTCAGCAGGGTCCGTACTTCAGCCGCTGTCTCCTGCTGTGTCTTCTGGCTTCAGCGGCGCGTATCTCTGTAAGCCCTGAGATTAGAGCCTTGTCCGTACCGGCAGATGATGACGAAACGGGTGAGAAGCCGATATTGACCAAGCAAGCTGAGGAGGCTTTGGAAGAAGAGCTCTTGAGTCCGGGGCTGACGACAATTCAATCGCTGATGCTGCTAAGTATCATAGACTGCTGCCAATCGAATGACTCGCGGGGATGGATGCGGTCAGGTACTCATGTCCGTCTTGGTCCTTCGGCAATCTTATTAACCACATCTAGGGAATGCATGTCGGCTGGCCTTTGATCTTGGCCTTCATGAGAACTGGTCTCGTATACCCAATACGAAGCTTTCGCCCCTTGACCTGGAAGTCAGACAGGTCATACTTTGGGGCTGCGTGGGCTTCGATAGGTGCGTCACCTTCATTCAGTCTTCCGCAGCAGAAACTGACAATCCAATTTTCAGGCTCTGGTCACTCTATCTTGGGCGGCCACCGGTCATCAAGTTGAGTGACGTCTCCATCGACCGCCCGAATAGAAACGCCCCCACATGGGACATGAAGATGTTCGCAGCTTGGGCTGAACTGCTTGAGCTTTCGGGCCATATCAGCGAGAAATTGTTTGTATCCTGGCTTGCCGATTCATGAGATCAGTCTGCTAATAGACTTGCTAAGAAACACCAACACATGCTTTCAAGAACAAATCGACTTGTTCAATGACGCACTACAAAGATGGGATGCCAGCCTTGATCACACTTTAACATTTTTTCCGAATGCGCCTCCGGGCATCTACCTCCTTCGGTAAGCTGTCGTCGCACTATACATCAATGTTCAGAACGCTTACGATTCGTCGATAGAATCCAATACTCAGCTTTGACTATCCTGGTAAATCGGCATAACGCAGGATACGGCAATCCGGAGAAGCGAAACTGTCAGAACTCCAACAGGTCGCGTCGGATTTGCCTTGAGCATGCTTTTACAATCTCGAACCTAGTTCTAAACTACGCGACGCATCACGGCGAAGCCAATACGATGCTAGGTTCTACCTTGTACAATATTACCATGGCCGCCACCATCTTCGTCGCCGAGATCAATGAAAGGAACCGGCAGGACGTAACTGAGGAAACCGCCGCTTTAGCAACCTGTCTGAAAGCCATGAAAGAAATGGAGAGTGCCGAGATCGTGGCTCGGAACCTTCGAAAGATCCTGCAAACCATCATGCGAGTGTGTCGAGTCTGTGATGTGCCTGATTATGGGGAGCATTTGGATCACTCGGCCGGATGGCAACAGCCGAAGCCTGGCGCAGATCCCAGTGGCACTGAAGTAAGAGTTGCTGAAGCTTGCAACAAGCGAGGGAACGACAGTAACCAGGACAGCGACACTGACTTTTCCTGTTTGAACTTCGATCCATCGGCGTTTGAGGGCGTTTTCCAGTTGCCTTTTGACGAAGCCTTGTTAGATCCGTCTTCGGTGAGTGCTTTCTTAACATCGTGAATAGCGATTTAGGTAGACAAGAACAGACACTGCGGCTGTCACATGTTGTCCTAACTCAGTGCCCATCATAATATGGCTACTCAGGGTCTCCTATCAAGGTTGCTATCTGGCGTAACGGGAGCCATGCTCTGATCCTCCGGATACCACTTAGCATTCAGGAATGACATGTAGAAGTCCAGTTTTTGGCGGTCAGCTTTGGCCGCATTCTCCTTGGCGATTGATTCCCAGGTCACCCTCTTTTCAGAAAATTGGAGAGACGATTGGTACCAAGGAAGCCTCACTCGAGCCAAGTGAAACGGACATTCAAGTTCGGGCAGCATACGATTATTTGGCTTTCTTTCTCCATATGACCTCGGTTAAGACCAGCCAGCATGCGGAGACACGCAGCTGGATCCGGACGGTGAATGGACTCCGAGCGAGACAGCCTGAGGCACACCACATTCGGAGAATACAATCCCCAAGTTTATAGTTGGGAGTGAAAGGGTCGAGAATGGCACCGACCCCTGAGAAGTCATGACTGGCTATAAAAGCCTGAGGACCGGGGACGACCTCCTGATGAGCTGAAGTTGTTTTTTTAAACCACAACGAGGACGAGGATCATTTCGTTAACACTTGCGCGTGGGCCTCCCATCTTGCATCAGATACCCTATTTGCTTTCCCATTTCGCGGACGTTTTGTCTATCACAATCATGGGATCTCTCGCCTCAGACTCGGGCCGTGTTGATGCGATCGTTATTGGATGTGGCTTCTCTGGCATCTATCAACTCCACAAACTTAAGGAGGCCGGATTCAACGCTCGTCTATACGAAGCGGGATCCGGGCCTGGTGGCATTTGGTACTGGAATTGCTACCCTGGTGCACGAGTCGACACCCCAGTGCCGACGTACCAGTTGACATCCGCCGATAGCTGGACTGGATGGAACTGGTCTCAGCGCTTCCCGGACTGGTCAGAGCTTAGGACCTATTTCCAACACCTCATAAAAGTCTGGGATCTTACCGACCTTATCACTTTCAACACTCGTGTACAGAGTATGCAATGGGATGATCAATCTCATGAATGGCGACTTTCCCTGGAAAGTTCAACCACCGGCGAAGAGGGTGAGGCTGTCGCCCGCAGCGTTGTCGTTTGCACCGGTTTCGGGTCGAAACCCTATATTCCCGATTTCAAGGGAATCGAAAAGTTTAAGGGCGAGCTGTACCACACCGGCTTGTGGCCTCAGACAGGAGTCAACATGGAGGGAAAGCGTGTTGCTATCATCGGTACAGGTGCAAGCGGAGTCCAGCTTATTCAAGAGGCTGCCAAAGAGGCGAAGCATCTCACCGTGTTCCAGCGAACGCCCAATACGGCCTTGCCCATGAGGAATGATCTGTACGACAAGACAATGAACGATGAGTGGAAAAAGACATTCCAACACACCAAGGACATGATTCTCAAGACATATGCTGGGTTCGACTATGAGTTCAACCCAGAGTCTGCTCTTAAAGTGTCCCCTGAAATCAAGGCGGAGTTCTATAAGAATCTCCTCTCGAGCGGAGGTTTACATTTCTGGCTTGGAACCTATTCCGATGTCCTCTTCAATGAGGAGGCCAACAATGAGGCCTACGAGGTCTGGAGACAGAGCGTATTACCTCGTATCAAGGACCCTCGGAACCAGGAGATTTTGGCCCCTAAAGTGCCTCCGCATCCCTTCGGTACCAAGCGAATCAGTCTCGAAAAGGGCTACTTTGAGGTTTTCAATCAAGACAACGTCGACCTAATCAGCCTCGTGGACAACCCAATCACTGAAGTTACCGAAAACAGCATTAAGACGGCAGATGGTACGGTGGTTGAGGTCGACATGATCTGCGCGGCGACAGGATTTGACAGCGTCACAGGTGGAATCACCGCGATTGATATTCGAGGTGTTGACCCTAAGCAAACAATCAAGGATAAGTGGAGCACTGGGACCTATACACTATTCGGCATGACTGTGTCAGGCTTCCCGAATATGTACATGATGTACGGACCTCAGGCACCGACTGCATTTGCCACGGGGCCGTCCTCGGCTGAGTGTCAAGGAGACTGGATCACGGCATCTCTGGTATACCAGCGAGACAATAACATCACTAAGTTCGAAGCCACTAGGGAGGCTGAACAGCAATGGCGAGACCACACTCTCGAGATGGGAGAGAAGGGGCTATTCACCAAGGCAAAGAGCTGGTACTATGGCGACAACATACCAGGAAAGCCTCGCGAGGCGCTGAACTACATGGCAGGGCTTCCGACCTACCGAAACAAGATTTGGGAGTCGGCCAACAACAATTACAAGGGCTTTGAACTGTCTACGCGTGCATAAAGGATATTATTGTCTTGGACGTTGGGGTTCCAGCAGAATTGTTCGTTTCGGTTGCTGTATTTAGTCAGGCTGCTAGTCAAATCGAATGGAAATGCTCTGCTTCTGTTTTAAACTACCCGAATGTGGTTTGCCACACTTCATCTCCAGTACAATGTCGTCCAATGAACCCGGGATGCGCTGTCAAAGTGCACGGACTTTGCATGTGAAGGCGGCCGCTCTCAAGATCACCATGTTTGAACTCCTTCCTGCAGCAGTCGTCGCTCTCTAACAGCAGCTCTTTCGCCAATGTCATCATCAATCCCACAAACAGCCGGCTTGGATACCACGATCACATCCAACACGCGCCTTTACACTTCCCTGTTGCTTCTTCCACCCAGTACCCTTGCGTGGTTGTACTTCCATCTAGATACTTGGTCTAGGCGAGCCTCAAGTTAGACATAAGCCACGTGGGCCCAGTCAAGACGCCGGCGAAGCTGGACAGGTCGAACTGAGGGACCATATACCTCACGGCAGGATGTCGTGACGACGACTTGGAGATAAATTGTTGTACTCCAATCTCCGTGACTCTGTTTCGGTGCTACCGCCGGCGCAATGTCCAACGGTATCATCAGTTCAACTCTGCACCAGCCATCTTTTCTCGAGTATTTCAGCTTTTTCAACTCTGAAGGGAACGATACTAGCTTCATTGGCTCCAAAATTAGCTTCATCTCGGCCTGTATTCACAGCAACGTGCCACGGGCGTTGAAATGACAAATTCGATCATTTTCTTCAATTGCAAGGTCTGCAAATGAGTGGGGAGCAGGAGGTGGGAGCTGAAGGATCATTCAACTTGGAAAGGAGTGAGAAGGGTTGTTCTGCAGTGCGAAATTCATATCAATGGAATGTACAGCAACTCCTGGACAACTGAACAATCAGCGGCGCGGATCCCCATTTCCGACTTTCTAGAGAAAATATCCGCGCTGGTCAAATTTCATGTTGCGATGTGTGGTGGCAAATATTCCTGATTGTTATTTCCAACTTCTCCCGACTGTTCAATTGGGGCTCTACTGGTTTCTGGGCTTCTCTTTGTACTAGTATATTCGCCAACTTTAGTTCAACCCCCTACCCCCAATATTCACATTTTCATCAATGGCACCACTGCCTCTTGTTCCAGATCCCGATCCTCGGTCGACAGTGTAGTCGTGGATGATAATTCTGTCCGGCCAGATCCGCAGCGGCCCTGAAGAAAGCACCAGGCAGCAGTCAGTAGCAGCGCTACCGTCAAGCTAGCGACTGTAAGGGCAATATTCAGAAGCGGCGCTCCCATCATATCGTCTCGGCTCGGCCCTGGAACAGCATATACGAGCATAATACCCATGACTGGCTCAAGAGAGCCATCCATCATCTCCATGGGCTCGTGCAAACGAGTGTCATAATACGCAATGATTGACCATTCATCTTGCGGGCCCGTCTCTTCAGAAACCTTGCAAGATTCAATTCTGGAGATATGTTTCGTTGCCTTCTCCTTATCGAGGTACTGGTATTGGTTGTACAGAGCATTGACACTGCATACAACCTTGCCGTTCTTGATGAAATCGATGTGCGTGCCGCCGTCATGAAGATGGCCTCCGATGAAGGTAACCATTCCTTGGAGCGACCCCTTCAAGGTTGGGCTGGAATAGTTGAATGCCGAATCTCGATATGCAGGTACGTCTGAGGTCCCACATCCTCCAACATCCATCCAATAAGGTGTGATTTTATGGAAGTCTTGAGCATAGCAACCTCTAACATACTCATAAGTTATCGTGAAGACAATGTCTGTCTGGGGCTTCGCATGGAGCATGTTCATCAAGTCGACAGCAAGGGCGACTTCGTCCGTCTGTCCAATGTAGTAACCGGCTTTGACGGTCCTTGTAGATTATTCGTTAATTCCCTGTGCCCTGACCTCGGAAGAGGACTTACCCGCCAGCAGAGAAGTCAAGTGCCGTCCTCTCATTGCCTGAGGCTGCAAATCTCTGGCCATACGACCCGTCTCCACAAACTGCATCCGACTGGTTCCTGTTTACCATTACTCCATGGTGCAACCACATGCCTGTGTTGGCATCAGCGATGCGTCCATCATCATGCTCCAAACCCATCTGCAGCCAGGTGATGACACAATCTCGACACGGCAGTGTGGTCGAGCGCTGGAAGAATTGAGCCATGCCATCGTTCTCGTTCATCGGCGGGACTGCAACGGGCGCATATTTGATCGTAACCTTCTCGGAGTAATTTTCAGGAAAGAATGAGGCGGCTTGGAAAGCTTTCGTTGTCTCTGGAGACAAGTTTAGCATCAATTTTTCCGAAGTATTCAATTCGCATTGGCCTACCAAGTGGAAGCGGTTTTGCGTGCCCATGTCCGGCCCGGCTAAATCCGGAAAAGAACAAGATACTGAGCAGATAGGTGAGTGCCGGAGCCATTGCCAATGGTCAACTAAAACCTGCTCGGAAACAGACAGTCTTCCAGAGGCCACATCAAAGTGAACTCATCTTTCTGAGACGGATTGGAGACTAAAAGGGAGTTGCATCTAGGCAGCCGGCAAACTGAAACCCAAAGACCGAGGAGGTGACGCATCTTGATATAGATTCGACTGGCCAATAATTCGGCAACTGACCAATGGCAAATGATGGTCATTCCCCCATTCAGCTCGAAGCTGAAGGTTGAGTCTTTGAAACACCTAATCGCGCCGTAGTACTCCGGATGGAATTGTATTGCGGCTGGCTGCTCGACTCAGACTCTTTCCATGATGGTCTCGTCCCGTCCGTCACAAGGCAGGCATTTGCCATATTGGAAACCTGTCGTGTCGAATGAGACTCTTTCCATTTCCATGAGACTGCCCTGCCGTTACGAGAGTATCTTGACACGATAGCTTGAGGACGCAGTGATTGTCTTCGTACAGGGCGTATGGATCACAAGGGGGTTGGCAGGGGTCGAACAGTTTCGAAATAGCTTGAACTTCCTTTCATTATTGGATTTTCATACGCCTTATTGCTACTTTCCCCCTGACAAGTACCAGTACCAACCGGGCTGGATTCTGGAACGATGGCCAGGTTCAGAATGGTGCGAGGAGGGTATCAGACGTGGAAGGGTATCTTTGTGGGCGAAAGGAATCTGGCGGGGTTGGTGCAAGGACATATTGCGAAAGTCTTGTCTTACAGTAGTAACCGCCTTTCACCTTGGGAATACCGGTCTGTTCCTTGAAAGACCCCGAATACGGGCAGTATAGTGACCGGTTATCGAGAACAGTCTTTCGGTTGTGGACTATTCCAGCCGCCTAATTGGGGCCAGTTCGAATTCGTCATCTGGGTGGCTAGGGCCATGGCTTCATGTACGAAAATGCTTCTGCCTGATGGTCTTCTACCGAGCCCGTCCGTATATACTCACGTTATGTCTTTCTGCCTGAGGAGGTCTCTCAGTCGCCTCCCTCGCCATTCTCGTATGCAGGTCGCCACTCTGAGGATATTGCATCATGTATGAACAAGAGACCAAAGGTATTCTGGCCGAAAGGAGATGCTTGAATGGACGGAGAAGCTAACGTTCATTGTCCGAGTTTTGCCCCCGTACCAAGCTCCATCAAGTGCAGGCGGCTATGTTTCGCCAGTGGTGCCAGCGATGTAGGTCCCGGCCTCTTCAAAGTTGGTCTTTCCATTCACATTCATGGCAAGGCATTATCATGCCCCAGTTCCACCTGTCAGAGTGCCATGCACAGCTGAGCACTTGTCCGCTCCACCATCTTTCTATCCGGCTCCGACTGCAATACACGATCTTGGCCATGTTGAAGCACTGGTTGACTGTCCGTACTGTGGTACAAGAGGGAAAACCAAAACAAGTTTGTCCAGTGGGAATATGAACCAGTTGGTACTTTGGTCGAAGCTTGTGTATGAAGGCTGACATTTCGTGCAGCGCATGGGCCGTATGCATGCTCTTGACCACCGTCATATTCACGTTTGCCCCATACATGTGCAGTGGTCTGAAGAATGTTGAGCATCACTGCAGAAGCTGTGGAAAACGCCTCGCGATCTGGCATCGGAGTGGACATACAGTGCCCAAGTAGGACGTACAACGCCAATGCCGGCTGCTTAGATCGAGCCCGGTAGCTTGTATCGTTCAATGCGGATAGTGCACATTCCTCAATGAAGACTTTGTAGTTCTGCAAATCCCATCTCATTGGATGTCTGGGTTGAAGAATGATTCCCAGTCGTGATCTAGGTCTGTCGTAAAATCAAGCGACCAAGGCACTGCGCGAAACCCATCCTGTGGCCACGGCAAGTCCGAGTCAAAGCTATACATACCCTCATAGGTGATTGTTGGAGATTGGCGACTGAGATCGCCATCAGAAGCTTGGCTTGTAGAAGGGTTTGCAAGAACGCCTGGATATTCTGGAGGCACTCCGTGCTGGCTCGATGTCTGTAGGTCACCAGACGTCAAGTGCCGTTCAGGAGTCACATAAAGGGTTCCAAAATAAGGTATTGTTATCCTTGATGGGACTGCAGAGCTCGATGAGCCATCTATATGAGCCAGTGCGAGTAATGTCGACAGAGTTTTATGACACTGGCGAGCGAGATGGTTGACTCCATTTTCAGCCACTCTCTGCAGTACTTTCACGGTCTCGTTGATCAGTTCGATGTCAGCTGGTAAAAGAGGGACCCTAGAGTCACAGACAACCCCAATAATCAGTACGACCGCAGCCATAAAACCAACAAAATCGAGTGACTGGCAATTTCAAATAGGGCTGCCGTCGACATGAGATCGTAAAGCCAGATAACGTCTCAGCAGTTCCTTTGCCGATTCAATCGCCATCAGCCTGCTGCTCGCGTAAAGGTGGGAAGTCGGCGATTTTAAAAGGTATGGTAAATGTAAGTATATCCTGGTTAGGAAGTACTGCGTCTGAGATATGAGCCTCTCTCGGAATTCATCCAAATCGGTCGAGCGAGAGACTGCTGGAACCTTGTGGTCCCACCAGTATCTCGTCTGCGTGCTAGCTAGTGAGATGAGCTCGTCATCGATATCAAGGATCTCGGAAAATTTAGGTCCTTGGCGACTTTGAACCTGGTCGATCACGCGGCCCGTGAGCATCCCCAAGCGAATCGCAAAGGGCAATGTAGCGTGGCCAGCTTGGCTTGCTTCATTTGCATATGTCACAAGGAAGGAATCGTCCGAAATAGCATATGGCAAACCAAGCAGGATGGACAAAAACCGGTCACCGAGATACAGGGTCCACCAAGCTGCACTGCGCCTGAGTGAATCCGAATAATTGCGGTGGAGGTTCTGCGACAGGTCAGCAATGCCCATGGACGTCCATCGAGAACGTGGAGGGGTGGACAACCATAGTCTGTGCCAATGATATGCCGTGACGGTTACACAGAAACGCACGGCGGGGTTGACCAATTTCAAGATACACTTTTGCGTGGAAGACGGTCAGAAGGAGACCTTCCACACCGCAAGCGAAGTGGTCGCTTGCAAGAACGAGACGATCCACAACTGGGAGATACTGCGAGGCCTCGGCCGCATTGTGGAGACCGTAGGATGAGACAAGAAATCCGAGTTCTATAGGACTGCCAGCCATATAGACTCGCTCAAGAAATTGCAGGAGGCTCTCGCGAGGTGCGGTTGGTCCGAATGTCTTTAAATGCCAGAAGTCCCACCATTTGGTGTCTCCAGAAAAACATAGTCTCAACTCATGGTATGGTGGTAAAGCAGCTCTGAGTTGTTCACAGACGCTAGAGATTTCTCCCAGGGCCGAACTTGAGGTTGGAACTTGCAAGCCTTTCCTCTCAACATGGGCGCTGGGGTCGCCTTCTTGCTGCTCGAAGTCACTCGCGCTTGCGACTTGCTGAGTTGAGAGAAGCTGTTCACAATCAGCCATCCTTCATTCTCCACATGAACTCTATCAGGAAGAATCTTGCAGTCCCGTACTTGAGAAGCCTCTAGCGCTGCAATCAGTGGAGCGCGGCGGGTGAACTCAGACAGGTCGCCGTCCGAGCTTTGCGCTGTCTCCCCATCTCGAACAGAAATAGCAGGCGCAGTGGTTTGAGTCACATTCCTCTTCTCTTCAGAGAGAGCTTCGACTAGGCGCTCCAGTGCGGCCACTCTTTCTCTTAAGGTTTTCCTCTCTTCGTTTGCGTCATCAACACCACGCGAGTTTGGCACGATGCACTGAATGCCGCGCGTAAGACATCGAGAGCATGCACTGCTAGAGTCGGCGTTGTATATACAACGCACTTTCCTTCGCCTGCCTGTGACGGATCAGATAGAAGCCACGGCTTTGTGTCATGTGGGAAGAGCAAAGAATTGAACGAGCTTAGGGGATGGTGAGATGGAACCATCTTACACTCAGAACAAGTCCGGGAACCCTCACGGAGTCTCCTGGACACTCTTGAGGCCACAGGTGTCTGAGACATGGCGTAATGGAGGTGGATTGCAGCCCTTGAGACTGCTGGGAAGATGGTCGCCAGCGAAAGACGAGTCGGGCTGACAGTAAGTACATAGAGTACATACTGTAGAATACTAGAGACGAAGTTCGGAGTCATACACCAAAGCATGCCAAGAAGATGGAGTTAAGATATTTACGGAGTTTAGCATTGGCAAATAAGACGTGTCATTTGATAACCTTGCACATTCGCCGACACTGGCTACAACACAACCTGCCAATTCTCTTTCTGTGCTTTTGACAAAACAAGACCCGGCTTCCGTCCTGCATGCCACCTCGAGTGATTCAAGCGATGGCCTAGAAGTGAATGAGCACTTGTTAGCTCCAGTCTAACTTGTCCGACTGTTTTCAATCGCAAATCAGCTTGACGACGGCAACCAGCATACCTTTGGTTCTTCCACACCCTCGAATGCACTCCACCACATCTCAAGTTTCGTCGGTCGTGTCGGTCCAACATGTTTGTCTGGTTTGCTCGACAGAAACGCGTGAGGATACCCAAGATTCATCGGAGCTGCCGCTTCAATTTCCCGGATGTCTTCTTCAGACAGCTGGATGCTCAAATTGTCGATATTGGCTTCGAGGTGTTCGATCTTCCGACCCCCGATGATTGGAAACACGTACGGCGCCTTGTAAGAATCAGCAATCCCCATTGTATCCTGGTCACAGCGTGGCATGCCTACCTTCAAGGTGATGTATCGCAAGGCGATACCCACTGCATTTGTTCCCTTCCTCTTGGCGACTCGCTCTAGAGCGACGGTAGCACGCTCGTATGCGTCCAGTCCCTTGCCGGAGAGATCGTACTCTGGTCTTCCGCCTTTTTGAGCCTTCTCATCCTTGCTTTTGAATTTGCCAGCACCCATGGCTTCCCAGACCGTGATTGCCATTCCCTCCGCCTTACACATTGGGACGATGTCCCGCTCGATGTCTCGGGCCACGACGTTCCACAAACCCTCGTATACCACAAATGGAGTCAGGCAATGTTGCCGAGCATAATCGTTTGCCTTGATGACCAACCAAGCCGGCCAGTTGGAGATTCCCAGGTACAGGACTTTGCCTTGTTTGACCACGTCATCGAGAGATCTCATCAGCTCCGGGATGCTGGTTACTCCGTCCCAGGCATGCACATAGAGAATGTCGACATAGTCCGTCTTCAATCGCTTGAGGCTCTCTGCTAGTGACAGGCGCAGACTCTTTTTGTTGGCACCACCAAAGTTGGAGGTGATACTTCCCATGGGCATCTGCTCGGGGAGTTTGTACGGCAGCATGAACTTGGTGGCAATGATCATCTGGTCTCGGACTCCACGGTCAGCCATCCAGTCCCCAAGCCACTCTTCCGACTGTCCCGCCATGTAGAAGTTGGCAGTGTCGATGAAGTTGCCACCCGCCGCATGGAAGTGATCAAGGATTGCATAGCTGGTTTCCTTGTTGCACTCTCCCATAATTGGAGCCCTGTACGTCAGTTAACGATATATTGTATTATACAGTGACGGATGGTTTTTCAATCGTCACGAGGAGCTCTCGGTCACTTACCAGATGTCGCCGAAGCTCATAGCACCGAGGCAGAGGGGGGAGACCAGTATGGAGGCATTGGGACAAAGGAGACGGTGGTGACCAAGCTTCGTGCGTGGCGGTGGTGGAGGATTGGACGCCATTGCGAATATCTGGTGTCGAAGGATAGTATCTGACTATAACCTGGCCTAAGAGGAGACTATGAAGAAGAGATTAAAAGAAGACAGCTAACAGCAGGCAGACCATAATCGTCCTTTATGCTTCATCGTCTCGATCATTTCGTGCACAAAAGCGGCCCGAAGCCTCTTGTTGTACATCTATTTGAATGTGCTGCGAGGTATCAAAGTCAAGGTGCGGCCCGCTTTTGTCCCGCACAGGTGCCAAGGTCAAGGATACGCATAAAGAGGAACACATTGCTCACATCGACGGATTAGCGGTATATGATTATTTTGGACAGGTAGCATGTTGATTGGTTCACCAGCAGAGAATGCGACGTATGTGATCCAGCTGCACATCTGAGCGTCTCGATACCTTTGTGGAGGGTGTGTTGTATGGATGATTATAATGGCCTTTCACACGACAGCCGAGGGTAAGAATCTCTCCTACTTTGGTGGCGAAACAAGGGGTTTCTTCGCAACGATGCTGGCGAGGTACGCTGTACGTATCAGGGTGATTTTGTAGACGTTATTCAGTCTCACGACGAGATGTCTTGCTGGATTAACAAAAGTCCACCAGCCATGGCGTACTCTCAGTACGGAGTACGGGTCTCTAACCTCCGGCGCTCTCCGTTACGAGTTCTCGCTTAGTCCGTTCTCGTTGTTTTCCCAGACATGGCGTCCACATGGCTGGTGGAGCTCGAAAAGAGGCCGGATTGGGACGCGGCTAATTTCCACCCTTTTGCTAGAACAAACCTACACAATCTTCTGTTTATCACCCCTTGTACAACCAACCAGTGCTGTCCGACAACACGTGCTCGTATCGACCGGGGATCTTGGTGTATGCTCGCAATCCAATATGCACTTTCTTGCCTGTGCTCAGGTTCCAAGGCAAGAATTTTGGACTTCAGTGGCTGAGACTGACCAGTCGCAATAACTAACTGACATTCCAGGGGTTCCTCTGTTGCCACTTCTCAGACTTGAGCCAGGTTCATCGCGTACGGGTATCGGCGCCACATTGAGACACCGAGTCTAGCAGGTGGGTATCAGCAGCATCCAGAGCTGTGGCGTAGCTGGCAATTACCAAAATTCATGGTGCGCCATCTAGATCGGGCCCATTTGGTCCAGCAGAAGTTGCAAAGTCCAGTCGGAACGCCTGTCCGTTGCCCAAAAGCCACCCTGCCGCAATGAGATGTCTTGTTATGGCTGCCTTGACGTCTAATAGTCAATCGACAGAGTTTCAACTGGAAATGCTACGGCCACGCGGCACTGGGCTGGCGTCGGGGATGCCGACACGCGAGCACTCAACATGCATTTCCAGCAGCTGAGTATAAACCCCCAAGACCCGTCACCCGAACGCGAGCTCTGTCTCCTTGTGGTCTCGCTTTTGACTGAGCAGTTCCTCCAATAATCCTGAAAACGATGGATCAAGCAGCGAACTTCACCAGTGGCACGGGAGCGACGCTCGCCGCAGTCCTTCAGCATTGGCAGCACAAGGCAGCACCTAGGAAGGCGGGAGTCGAGCCTCTGCCGGACGAGCCACAAAGAGCATACAAAGGAACAAAGGTCGACATCACGGAGTTGCAGCCTTCGACACCAAGAACGCCCAATAAAACCTTCTCGGAACCCCCTTTGCGAGAGTGGCCGCATGAACCCGTTCCCATCACCAATGAGCCCATCGTCGAACGGTGTCTCGATGCAGTCGATATGATACTATGTTTGCTTCCATGTATCCTCATGGTGAAGGCAGGGCTCTGTATTCTCGCTTCTGAGATTGATAAGACGCACGTGGGCGCCTCGATCGACAAGACCAGCCATTTGACTCTTCGCCTAATCGAATTCAACAGCCAGCTCACCACCATTTTTACAATCATCTTCATCGTCATTGTTTCCACCACTGTGCGGCGGTACGCCCTGTGGAAGGCCGAAAAGGGCGCCACGCTTGGAGAGATTGAGCAACTGCATGCATCCATCAGCCTGACAGCAACCCTAAAGGCCATCTGGTCACTGCGAAGATTCACGTTGACCGGCGTGTCCTTGATCTTCCTTTGGTCTTGGTACTATGTGGGATCTCAGGCGGCGTCGCGGGAGTACTCGTACCGTGATTCGGTCAGCTTTAGGACTCAGTCGGTTGCATTTCTCAGTTCGCATGCGGTATCTCCTTTCCAAGGCGACCGAATCGACACCGATAAGGTCTCGCCCGTCAAGCTGACCGACATGACGGCGCGGTATCACCTGTACAGCTCATTCACAGCGGGAACCCAGAAGACCAACGTCCAAGGTGCCAGAGAGGTCCAAGGAGCAGATATCTACGGAGCCACTCTCACGCCGTGGTATGGCCCTGCTCGCGACAGCTCTTCGCTCGAATTCGACCGTCATGGATGGTTGGAGATCCCACACATGTCTGATCAGCCCGTTATGTCGTCAATCGGAACATCGTTGTATTGGATGAACCGGACAGCTGGGACGAATGCCTGGACGCCGCAGAAGATGGTCGGCTCTTTCACTTATCAAGTGTCCAACTTTCAAGCGAATTGCACGGCGCCGTTCCTCTCCACCAAGGTCAAGCCAAAGGGGTCACTACCCGCCGTGTCCACCACGATGAACATGACTGCCATGCCGTTGGATGCGACCAAACCCCGCGAGCTATACTTCTGGAATTGGGTCAATGATACTCACAGTCTTACCTCAACCTGCGAGATGACCAACGTTACCGTCCAGATCCATGCGATCTGCACGGCGGCGACCTGCAAGCCCACGCGGATGAAGCACATCAGCACATCCCCACGCACATTGCTCGATTCCGACGTCTTTGCCACTCCATATCTGAATAGCTTGCTTCTGGCGTGCGGTATGCCCCAACGGGAGGGCGACTACTCGACCTTCGACGGTGACAACGGACTAGTGGACCTTAAGAATGGCCTCAAACAAAACGAGCTCAACACTACAGCGCTCCTGGAACAGGCTAGCGCTGAAGCCCAATTTCCTCTGTCCATGGCCATCACGCGATATATGAACACATACTTCACGTCGTCACAAATGTTGCGTTACGAGAGCAGTTTCCAGGACGACCTGGCGGTCAATGGATTCATTGCCCTGAACAATAATTCGGACTTTAGTTTCCTGAACATGAAGGGCGCCATCTACAACCCGCAATACTCTCTGTCGTGGCCGTGGCTGGTCATGGACATCGTCTCAAACGTCGTCCTCCTCGCTACCGCCGTGGCCGCGCTGTGGCTTCGGAAGCATACCCTAGCCCCGGACATCTTCGGGTTCGTGAGCAGTTTGACGAGGGACAACCCGCACCTGAATCTCCCCGAGGGAGGGAGCACACTCTCGGGCATTGAGCGCAGCAGAAGGATGAAGAAGGTTAGGGTAAAGATTGCAGACGTGGGAGAGCATTCGAGCGTCGGACGGGTTGGCCTGACACAGGTCGACGGACTAGATGACACCAAGGACTTAGAAAAGGGCAGGACTTACTACTAATGAAAACTCCGGGTAATCTTACAGGGGATCATGAAGATTATAACATAATGACACGGCCTTTTTTTCATCATATGTCTATTCCGTCCGCTGCTGCTGCTGCTTCTGCTGCCATTGCCGGACTCTCCGGCTCATCCTCTCTCCCCAGGTTACCGTATCGTAAACCCGCCATCAACCCTGATGTCTGCCCCGTTGATCATGCCACTCTCATCGCTACAGAGGAATTCGATCGCGCTGGCCACCTCCTCGGGGACCGCAAATCTTCCCGTGGGGATCTCGGATAAATGCTTCGCTTTCTTGTCTTCATCGGCCCACGCCTTTGCGGCTAAGGGGGTCCAGGTCACCGTCGGCGAAACCGTATTGGCGGTAATGCCCTTGGGCCCCCATTCAGACGCCATGCACCGGGTAAGGCCTAACAGCCCGGCCTTGGAGGCGCAGTAGGCACCGTGACCATCGAGGGCGACGTGGGCGGCTTGTGACGCGATGCTGACGATTCGGCCGGCAGGCGGAGTCCCCTCAAATCGGGAGGCTCTGAACTGATAGAGGTGGAAGAAAGCATTACTGCAATTGAAGGGGCCCAAAAGATTCGGCAGCAAATTCTTCATCGCCTCGTCCGCCGAGGTCTCTTCCAGAGGCTGAACGGAGACGTAGCCCGCTGCATTGATCAGTATACTTGGGAAGGCCTCAAACGCGGCGGCCTCTGCAAGTGTCCCGGCCTTGCCCAAGACGTCTTTGACGGAGGCCTCCGAGGTGATGTCGCATTCCAACGCCCACACCCTTTCAGGCTTGTCGGAACCAAACACCCGCTTCAGCGTGTCCACCACACGATCCCGTTCAAACGGGGCGTAGAGAAGGGCCACAGATGCCCCCCGGGCGTGGAGACGATGGGCAATTGAGGAACCAAGTCCGCCTGTGGCACATTGAGCAGGTACCACCTTGACAGAGGAAAGCAGAGACGGTGGTGTGCTGGAAAAGGAGCCAAAACTTACCAAGGCCACCAGCTATGATTGCCATACGTCCATCAAATGCGAAAGCCATGTTGATAGGTCGCACAAATCTGGACCAAGGACAATCTCTAATAGTTCGTCAAGCTCTTTTATAATTAATTTTGGCAGGGAGTCGTAGAGAGATGTGATGCAACTCATGACCCCGCACAGACTTCGACCGTAATACAGCCTGATATCGGAACGTGTACCTTGCGTGTAGCGTGTGTCATCTTCATGTACCACCAAACACTACAGGATGATGCCAATCAGATGCCAACTTAAAATACGAGTTCCAGAGTTGATCTCGTGTCATTTAGTCGGGCGCCAATATATATACCTATTATCTGCGGCTCAATCTCTGTGCGCTCGGGAAACATGACTCTCCCTCCCACCTCATGTATAAACTCCTGTACGGGCTCGCTGTGGAACTTCTCAACTTCAAACAATGTCTCGGAGGGCTCCCACCGTTGCCACCCCTTCGGCCACGAAACCCCTCTCGCCATGAGAATGGCACGACTTCTCGACCTGGCAACATAAAGCATCGTTCACGCCTCGGCCCCTTGGAAGCCACCGTATCCTTGGTGCCCGACGGTCGTACAAATTGACAAGTGTTCAGGGCCATCGTTGGTTGGAAATCCCACAAAGGCGAGTTCCTGCATGGCTCAAAGAGGAGATAGCTCCGACATAGTCCGACATTCCCGTCCCAGTCCCAGCAATCCCGAATTAGTCAGGAGAAATAACTACACTTGGTTACCGACCCGAATCAGAAACCGAATGGATTTTGTGCAGCTACAATCTTGTCAGCATCCCCTTCCTGAAAAAAAAAAAATGATCCGTCGCTTGAGAAGAAACTTACTCGCATTGGCCAGGTTTGCTCTTCTACCCGTCGGTTGAGGAGTCAACTTCTTGGCTTCAGGAACGCCGAATTTCACAGCAGGGGCGGGGCCGGTCTTTTGCGGCTGCAGAGGTGCAATGGTCGGGAGTTGAGGAAGAGGTGGCAGCGCTGGGACAGGGGGCGGCTGGAAGCTCCCAAACCCGTTTTGCTGCGGCACTTGCCCGAAGCCAGTGGCTTGTGGCTGCAGTGGCTGCTGAAAGGCGGTTTGTTGGGGTTGAAGAGGTCCTAGCTGAGGGAATCCTGTCTGGGCTTGGACGCCAGGACCAAACCCATTGATCTGAGGTTGTGGAGCAGGAGACACAAACCCAGTTCTTTGCGGCTGCAGTGCTGGTGGAAGGACCGTGTTGATGCCACCCGGGGGAGGGCTTTGTTGAAATGGTATACCTGTGGGCTGCGGCTGGAAAGGTGGTCGTGGATCCGCAAAAGGACTTCCCGCCGCATTCCCATTTATATATGGTTGCTGTTGGAACTGGCCAAATTGCTGCGGCTGCTGGAAACCGGTAGGTTGTGGCGCCAGTCCATATTGCCCGATACCTTGGTTTGGTTGGATAAAGCCGGTAGCCTGAGGTTGCAGCTGCAACTGTTGGAATTGCTGCTGCAAACGCTGTTGCGATAAATCGTTCAAGCTCTGCCCAGGAGGAGCTTGCAGGGCGGATGGTCGTGGAATGCCTGTTAATTGTGGTTGCAAAGGCTGCAGTCCGAATTGGTTTAGTTGAGGGTTTTGAGGAGCAGAAGTCGGGCGAGGCGGAGGAGGGAGCAGCCCTGCACCGGCAAAGCTCTGCTGTGGTGCCAAGGGTCGCTGTCGGGGGACGTTCAACTGCTGCTGCGGCTGGAACGCAGTCGTCTGGGGCTGCAGCGGTGCCGGAGGTTGGTTCAGTTGTGAGAAGAAAACAGGATTGGCACCGGTTTGTTGAGGTTGTTGTACTGGGGGAGACAGGGCGGGAGCGGGAGCAGGCTGTGGTTGAGGTTGAGGTGGTGGCTGTTGAACCGGCGCGGGAGCAGGCGCGGGAGTAGGCTGAAGTGGCGCCGGCAAAGGTCCGTCGAGCAGGGAGGATAGATCTTTCGTTGCTCCCGTGGGGGGCTTAGGCGCGGGCGATGGAGTGGCAGCAGCAGGAGCAGGTTGTGAGGCGGCGGTTGGTTGGCTAGGTGCCTTGACCGTCCAAGCATCATCGTCGAAACCACTCTTGACGGGTTCTCTTGGAGGCGCTTGGGTGAGCGGTGTCGCCCTTGCATCTGAAGGTGGCTTCTTTTCTTCCTTCGGTGCAAAGGCATCGGCGTCAACAACATCACTTGTCGACCGGGTGGGTTCCGGCCTGCCTCTGCGTGTGTTGTTGTGCAAAGTTCCCCCAGGTCCCGAGAAGAGGCCTCCCTGTGCTGACTCTCCGTTGGTGCCATTGGTGGTCGGAGCTCGCGTTCGTGCAAACTTCTGATCCAAAAACTTCATGACTTTGAGTATATCGCCTTCCTTGAAACCCAAAGTTCGCAGCGTTTCGGGCGTAATGTCAGGAAGGACGCTTTCATCCATTGAGTCGCGGATCATGGCCTGAGCATATCGGTCGCATTGATGCGGACCAACACCGGCCGAGAGAAAAAAATCGAACCAATCGTACTCAGGGGCTTTCGGCTGCTCTGTTGCCCTGGGCCCAACGCTGGCTCCAGGCCGAGAATTTGGTTGTTCTTGATTCCGATGTCTCATCTTAATCAAATCAGCCACTGGAATGTGCTCCTCGATCGGTTCGTGAATTACCTGCTCAACGTAGTCAAGGTCTTCGGGGGACATCTTCGATACGGGAACGGCAATTTTGACACCATTGACCTTGTGCAAATGAATCTTGCCATCTGTCACTCGCAAGAACTCCGCTTCAACTTTGAACGTCCCCGAATGGTCTGTCCAAGTTCTGACTTTCTCAGGGTCTGGCTTCGACCGACCCTTCTTCCGCTCATCCTTCTCTCTCCTATCTCGTCGGCGGGGTTGCTCATCGGCGAGGCTGCTGCCGCGCTGGGGAATTTCGCTGCGAGATCTCGCAAGCTCCGCATCTTGACGGGCTCTGTCAGCTCGAGCTGCTTCTCTTGCCAGCCGTTCTTCTTCGAGTCGGTTCTGATCAACCACCGACAAGCCAGCATTGGCACCCGAGCGCGAAGGCGGCTCTATCGTGACAAACCCAGTAACTTCAATGTAGCTGCTCGGCACAACGCCTTCTTTGCCATTCTTCAGGCGTCTGACATTCCACCACTCTTCAGATTTGGTATCATCCAGGATGATGACCTCGTCTCCTATGCCAACTGTGACTTCATCATCACCTTGCGCTGGGAAATCATAAAGAACCTTTCCTTTCTTGTGAGTGCCGCCACCGCTGGCAGCAGTCATGACCTCCCGGAGACCTTCGGCCCTCTGAGCACCAGCAATTTCCCCGAGTGCTGACACAATCTCCTCTGCAGTATCCTTTGCACCTGCATGCAGATCCAGACTTTTACTCGGCTTGACAAGCTCAATGAAGACGTGCTTGCCCTCGATGGAATAGTGCGTCATCTTATCCGCGGTCCATTCCTGCGAAGGCCCATCTCTCGACTTCTCGGGAGCGAGCATGATGGTTCCGGTTGCAATGTTGATTCCTAATGTTGTTGGCATTTTCCTCCTCCTGCCCATGGCTGACACCATTTCACTTATGTTGTATAAGTGGAAACCGCCAGGCGATCGCACTGCGGCCTCCTCATCCTCCGGCTGCGGAATGGCTCGATTGTAAGGGGGAGAAGGAAGGGGACCTTGAGAAACTTCGTGCGACGTCGGCCGTCGTGGAAGAGCTGGGGCAGGCTCTTCTTCGTCTGAGGCATCTGGAGTGAACTGTTGACGAGGGATTGCAGGTGGCGGAGACGATATGGTTCGAGCAGCGGTTGGAGAAGCGGGAGGTCCGCCTCCCAAAACGCGGGCTAGATTGGCGGCCGGACTGTGTATGGGTCGAGCCGGGGAGACCGGACTTGCGGGCGCCTCTGGTTCAGCTACCGGCGGATTCGAGTATCCTCTTGAACGCACAGAGGGGGACCGTGGAGGGAGAGCGGGTGTAGCAGAGACCGAGCTTGATATCTCGATGTAGTTGGCGGGCGCAAAACCATAATCATCACCAACACCAACCAAGGTCCAATCGGGGTCGGAGGTATCATAGACGTCCAGTATAGCATCCTCGGTGAAAGAAACTTCCTCGTCCGTCTGGCGAGAATAGTCATAGAGAGCTTTGGCAGTATGGGCGGGTTTCGCGGCTTCAACATAGTTGTTTGGGATCAGGCCTTCAGGTTCGTCGTCATCGTCACCGACTGCCTTCTTCTTTGCCTTCCACCAGTCATCCTCGACGCTCTTCTCCAGGATATATAACAGTTCCCCCTCTTTGATCTCTAACTCCCCAGCGCTCTGCGGGTAGTAGTCATAGATGGCGGTGCATATCGCGACGAAGCCCATAATGGGGGCTGCGGCGGAATCGATAGGCAGGGAGGAGCAGCAGCAGTGGTCAGAAGGACTGGGTGGAAGTAAATGCCATCAATGTGATGTCGGACGATTCGGAGAGAGTCGAAGGGAAATGAGGTAGTGCAATTTTTGGGGGGTTTCACCTCGACGGCTAAGCGAACAGTAAGATGGCCTACTAGCGGGCGAAGGCGAGTTGAGAGTGAGAGGAAGAACGAGGGCAAAGGTAGCGCGGTTTTGAGGCCGAGGGCGTCTTGACTCTAGAGGTCGTCAATGTACAAGAACTCTCACGCTCACAAAGACAGATAGTGGAACAATCGGACGGGGTTGGCAGGATCAAGAGTCGAGGTGCTCGAGGTGCTCGAGGTGTGGTCGCAGGTTTGACCAGTTCCAGGAACCTCCCCGGCGCAACTGGATGCCAAGAAGGGACCTGCGAGTTGCGTCTCCCGTCACCGTCTCCGCCAACATCCACCGGCACCGGCACCCAAAAATGCTTACATCAACATGCATCGAGATATAAGGTACCCAGCAAGGTCTCCACGTATCACGACCACTGTGCTTAGAAGTCACATTTGGACAGAGGGACCTGGAGTTGCACAGCGCATGCTTTATGTACTACAGACCGAACAGGAGACTGTCCTGTTCGAGATCCCAATTAGTCGTTCTCACTGGCCATATCAAGAGTGTTATGGCAACCTTAATTGACCTATTCGCACTATCGGCTATCTGGCTCAGGCCTCTCCAACATATTCCCGACTGCCAGTCTCTTCTTCACTCTCCTCCGATGGAGGATTGCTTCTTTCTGGCTCATTCTTCTCTTCTTCCTCTTCGTCGTCGTCATCGTCATCTGTAGCCACCACCCCTCGAAGCTGAATGTGCCCGTTGATGTCGTCCAACCGTTCAATCTTCCAGTCCTTGGAGCCCGCCAGCTTTTGCAGCTCCTCGCGGAAAGCATCAATGTCCTCCGGGCTCAGATCAAGCTTCTCGAGCTCTGCCTTGGACATGCCAGAGATCTGTCCTTTCTTCTGCATGATGATGGTCTCGGCTTTTTCATCCTTGGTGAGGACAATACGCCCCCTCTCGAGTCTCTTGCCATCGCGACCTACTAGCTTCATAGCACCCACTTCGACATTGCCCAGCGTGACCTGCTGAGGCTGTCTTTGACCCAGCGTCGGACGAGAGCCCTCCTCTCCGTGACGTGCTTCCCACGCCGCCACATCATCTTCCGAGACGATCTCCCGGCAAGTGATGAGATGAGCTCGACTCTCCTTTGGTGGCTGGAAGGCAACATCGTTACAGAGCCGTGGAGTGTAGATGATCATGAGATAGGCGCAGGTAGCCGTCTCTTTGATCCAGCCAATCCGGTCGGTCAGTTGTGGATTACAGTGGAACTGCACCTCGATCTTGCGGTCGTTCCCCGTGAGGTCGCAGGGTGTTCCGCCCTCCAGCCGCTGGACGAGGTAGTTGGTCTCGGCTTTTGACCGGACTTCCGTCGAGAGCGCCTTGTCGGAGCCAGGCTGTGGTTTCCAATCTCCCGATTTTTGAGATTCAAATTTGCCCAAAACGTAGCTTGGAGTGGTGGGGTCTTCTTGCGGTGGCCATATCCTGCCGTTGGTGCCTGGTGGAAGGGCATGGAATTGGGTTACCTGAGCATTGTAGCAGAATGAATAGGTCCACCAGCCTGTAGAGTAGTATAGGCATTGATTCGATGCCATGCCCTGGAGGAGCTGTGATGCCCTAGCGACGGCGTGGTCCAGCTCTTTCTCGCGGTCTCCGGCAGGCGGTTCGGGGGTAGTCCGATTGTCGGCGGTGTCTTTTGCTTCTGGGATGAAGCACAGATAGGGATATCCATGGAGAGAGAGGTGCTCGTAAGAGCCCGACTGCACTGAGGCTTCTGTCCCAGCGTTATCGTCAGTCTCTTGGTTGAGACCTGCGGAGACGTCCTTCAAACGTGTCTGCGCGGACCGTCGATCACCAACTGCGGTTTCCCGCCGCCGGCGGTCTAGGATGTCTTGGGCATCGGTATCGAGTATGTATGTTTTTGAGAATTCAACGCTATACTATTGCGTGGTCAGTGTCGAAATGTGCCCATCTGATCGACGAGAGTGGGAAAGTACCTGAGGAAAGGCAAACAGATCGTCGTTGACGCTGAATGCAATCTCGCTTGCCCAACAAACACACAGCAGAAATGAAAGCGCGAAACACGTACGAAGGCCAAAAAGACGCCTCATCACGATTCGAGAACTCTCCCATCAATACATGGCTGGTATTGCCGCACTGGTGCTAGCACTTGTGACCGAAACAACACGTCGCACGAGTGCTCGCAGGGAATGGTGACATACGCCAAGGTGAGCATGGAACGGTCGTGGGGGCTCATTCCAGAACCGACACGCCGAGCAAGGGTCTAGGCTAATTACATATTTGTTTTCATCTGAGATCACAGGGCACAATCTTCTACCCAACTATTCTACTCACACTGGTTACACGAACCACATACAGTATCTCTCGGTGAACATGGCTGAGGAAGCCTCGTCGACTTTCTCCCTCGCCGGCAAAGGCCTCAAAATCGACACCAAGGAAGATCTCGAGAAACACATTGACCTCCTCAGATCATCCTCTTCGGTTACTCACATCGACCTCTCTGGAAATACGTTAGGCGTCTCTGCGTGCGCCGCACTTGCACCTATCCTGGCCTCCAAGTCAACGCTTCAAAGCGCCGATCTGCACGACATCTTCACGTCACGTCTTCTCGACGAGATCCCGCCAGCATTATCCTCTCTACTCACCGCCCTGCTCGAGTGCCCCAACCTGCACACGATAGACCTCAGCGACAATGCATTCGGTCTCAACACAAAGGATCCTCTCGTGGATTTCCTGTCCAAACATACCCCGTTAAAGCACCTGGTCTTAAACAACAATGGCATGGGTCCCGAAGCCGGCACCGCCATTGCTGAAGCCCTTATCAAGCTCGCAGAGAGGAAAGAGGCGGCGAGAAAAGAGGGAAAGGATGTACCATACCTGGAAAGCATTGTCTGCGGTCGCAATAGGCTGGAGAACGGGAGCATGCCTGCCTGGGCCAGGGCATACGAGGCACACAAGGATGGCATCAAAAGCGTGAAGATGACACAAAATGGTATCCGACCGGAGGGCATTTCCCATCTCATTTCGTCGGGTTTGTCAAAATGCGAAAATCTTGAGGTACTCGACATGCAAGACAATACATTCACTTTGAAAGGCGCCCAAGCCCTGGCAAAGGCGTTGGGTGGTTGGTCGAATCTCAAAGAGCTCGGTGTTGGCGACGACCTGTTGGGTGCCCGCGGTGCAATCAAAGTGTTTGAGTCTTTCTCCGCCGGAGGTAACGACAGTGTGGAGATCCTCAGATTACAGTACAATGATATCAACCCAGCAGGCATGAAGTCGTTGCTGAGAGCCGCAAAACACGATCTACCAAGATTACGGCGGGTGGAACTAAACGGGAACAAGTTTGAGGAGGAGGATCCTTCTGTAGAAGAGTTGGCTGCACTGTTGAGCGACAGAAAAGATGAGTTGGGCAAGGACGAGGACCCTGAGGATCATTGGGGATTAGACGAATTGGATGAGTTAGAAGGAGAGGATGAGGAGGAGGAAGACGAAGAAGAAGCCGAAGAAGAGGAAGAGGATGAGTTAGCAGAGAGAGTCCTCAAGGAGGCAGACGAGGCTGAGGAAGAGAAAGTGGCCGAGGAGAAGGATAAAGAAGTCGATGAGTTGGCCAATGCCCTGGAAAAGACGCGTGTATGAGCGGCGATCGATGCGGGTTGAAATCCCAGCGCATAATTGAGCGTGGTTCAAGATATCAAGAATCCTTTTTTGGCGAACAGGCATAGCACAGGACGATACCCAATAGAAACAAGTTGCAATCTTGAGCAAATGCTGCTTTCTTTGTCTGCTCAAATCAAGTCTGATTGATTGGAATGTCCGCTTCTCAGCCCATCCCAGTGTCTCGTAACCAGATGGTTGCAAGTCAGTATCGGGCTAGGCCACCTGTTCCCAGTCGACGTGTCCGAAGACCTAGTTCTGTACAACAGGTACTCGTGGTGAAAGCCACCCCATCGAATTCACTTGGCTCTTCACATTTCAGAACGCTTTAATAACCACCGGGAGGAAAGGGGGGAATATCTTGCAGGTGAGCGTTTCCACGGTAGCTAGGAGCTCTGAGGATTCAATCTGCTAAGAGCAATGCCGCTGGGTCTGCATTGAGCTCGGCCGATGAACAGTGTGGCAGCGCTGGCACAGTTTCATGATGGGGCGAAGCGAACTCTCGAGAGTGTGAAGGTGTTGGAAATCCCTGAAGCATGGGAAGTACAACGTCAACGTGTCCACAGCCACAGAGCTAATGGCCATAGATGTGCAACAGCCGATCCTCCACACCATCAAGAATGCTCCAATGGTCCAAAACCTCCAGATTCTCTGCCTCCGCCTGGAACATCTTATGGGGTTCTTGGCCTGGGCCAAATGGATTGGCATTTGCACCTGGGTTCATTTGCGCCATCTGTTGTGCCATCTGACTGGCTGCATTCTCATTGCCGAGAATGAAGATGAAAACGCTCTGGAGGCCGAAGAGGCACAAAAAGTACCACGACAAGCTAGACACCCATCTCACATCCAAGTCTCGGGTCATGACGCCAGACTGCAGCATGGATTTGAACCGAATGGTGAGCGGAAAGGGCAATTTGAGAATGACGAAGCCGGCGAAGAAGGCATTGATCCAGGACATGATCAGCGTCTGCGGGATCATCATGGCCATATTTCCTTTCATCATTCCCATCATGCCCTCCATGGCCGCAGGGTCAGACATTGGGTTCGCTGCGCCTTGATCTTTGGATTCTGGTCCACCTTTCAGAAACGTGCCTTTGTGGTAGCCATCGACAAGATATTCTTTTCGGCGGTTAAATGAAGGTGTTGTCACCGAGGCAGCAGCGTTATTCCGCAGGTTAATTCCACGAAGAAGCGCCTGGCGCTCACGAGACTCGGCAAGGCTGTTCGGAGGTTTTGGTGGAGTCTGTAGGAGAACGGAGGCGTAGTGGCGGAGGACTCCAGTCAAGATCATCACAATGGTGATGGGCAGCAAAATCCAATAGCTGTTGGAGTAAGTCAGCAGAGAGCAGAATTGTGTCTGAAGCAGGTAACTCACAACAGAGCAGGATCACGATGGATCACTTGCTCCGTTCCTTCGACAGCCATCTTCTTGTCGACCGTTGGTCCACTGACGATGAGAACAGGTGCACAGGCTCAGTAACGCTGAATTGTAGTCGTGTCGTCGATGTTGATGATGGGCGATAAACTCGTTGACTGGCTCGGGAAACCTGCCTGATCCTTCAAATGTTGGCGATGTGGGTCTTTCGCCCGAAGCAGGTCTATCTTGACTTCATGTCCATTGGGAGATTTCCTCCACAATGAGAGAATAGACAGAGGTCAAACGCCTTGGCCGGGGCGTCGCATATAGCGTCAAAATATATCAGGGGTACATCAACACCACAGCACCAGTAAAATCGCAGGGTCAGCTAGATCGATAACGATAAGCAGCATGAGTGACGACGAAGTATTTGTGAACATAATTGTCATTTTGTCTCCTTATGGACATGGAGCCTTCTTTAGACGAGAAGCAGGCTTGCTATGCATATGAGCAGGAATGCCACCATAAACGCCAACCCTCCCCACCCTTCGTCTGCATATCAGGCATCATCATGCCCCCACCCATTCTTCAGCCTCGTCCTCGTCCTCGGCCTGGGCCTCGTCGACCAGCTCCCATTCTGCCAACTCGCAGTCGGCGCACGCCTTCCTCACAGCCAGCTCCTTGTATTTTGCGAACTTGATCAAGTGTGGGGGACATTTTGGCTTTTCCACCCAGGTGATGGCCCACAGAGCCCTGCATTTTGGATAGTTCTTGCAGATGTACAGGATTATGCCTTCCAGTTTGTATTCATTGTCAGTCTGCTTCTTGTTGATCGATGAGATGATCGCAGACGCGTCGGCAGGAGCTTTGTCAACGATTTGGATTTGGCTGCGCACGGGGACAAGGTTGCGACCATTAAGAGAAAGGGTTGGTGATCGGGTGACGACTGTGGTGGCCATCTTGTCCCGTTTGATTCTCGGTGGTGGAATAGTTTGAATGTAAAGGGTATCGACTTGAAGACGGTGGTATCTTTGTCGCGTGAAGTTGAAGTAGTAGAGAGATCTGCTTGCTTGGTTTGATCGGACTGTGGGTGTGGAAAAGACTTTGAACAAGAAGAAAAAGATGGAGGATTTTGTGGGCAGATATCTGTAGTGAAGGGTGATGAAGAGGTTGAAACGCAGCGAGATATGCTTGGCTCATCCCATTGTGAAGTATTTGTCTGGAAGTCATCAGTAGCTTGTGGTCAAGCTGTAGTCTGATGTGGTGTCGGCTGTCATCTCTAAGACGTCCTGTCACCCAGGCTTGTCCAGGGGGGGCGACAGCGTGGCGTTGGATTTCCCCAGTCTCTTAGGGTCGCACAAGCTCTGTGTCCACGTGTGCATCCCTGTGTTCGATCGCAGCAGAGCCAAAGTGGTTGATGACACTCCATTCCTCGTTCGCATCACTTTCTTCAATCAAATCCCACGACAGCTCCTTTGCCAAAGTCTTGTCCGCTCCGGTAGCGGGTTCACCCAAAGGTATGTCCTCAAATCCAACAGCGAGCACCATACTATTTTTTTCTCCTTTCATTTCATTCAGCGACTTTTCAGACCACCTCCCGCATTGCTTTGTCTCCAGCTTCGCCATGCACCGTGCTTCTTCTCCCAAACCACCCTGTTTCCCCGACGCCTCTTTGCACAGGCAACACAACCTGGGGATGGCAATTTGCTTGTACGAGTTCAAATCCATGGGATTCCGAATTTTCTTTCGCGGTTGTGGACTCCACTGCATTGCCCAGAGAAAGCCACAATCCAGATTACAGCAATAGTAATATTCAGCGCCATCAGTCGAGTGGCCTCTAAGTGTTGATGGTGGTTGAGTAAGTATGGTGATGTATAGTCGCGACGGACCGATTGTGAGAGGACTGGCCACCAACTGATTAACAAGCAGGTTTCGATTGTCTTGGAACGAAGAAGAGGAGTATGGCGCCATGATGACAGGTATGAAAATGTCGAATTCCGCTTGGATGAGGAGGCCTAATTTTGCACGGTCCAGTTGTTCTTAGCCAACGGTGAATTGTGACAATTTGAATTGCAAAGGCAACGCAGTGGTCGGAGATGATCTACACTTAGCAGGCAAGCTGTGATGCCAGCTATGTGTAGCGCCTGCTACAGTGTTTTGTGCAGGACTGTTGCAATTTTGGCTTAGTATGATGCGGACCTATATGCAGGAGAAAACGAAGGTGAGTAACACGTGTAAGAAGAAAGAGTGACCAAACTTCTGAGGACCTGTTTGGTGTTTGGGTTTTGTCCAAACAATGGTTCCGGAATTTTCTCTCCAGGCTAATGGACAGCCCAACCACTGTTGTCTCGGCGATATTAAATCGTTACCATTTGTGAAGCGCTTTTTCTGCCTGACCAACTCGTCCGAGTAAGCTTTCGTCGTGAAAGGATCAACTTATAGAAGGGCAAGACAATCAGCAGATGTGGCGACCACTTATTGAAGGAGCAAACGCTTCAACTCCAGGTTCACGCGTCGGGAGGCCAGCTCTTGAGATGCTCCGCCTTTCATATCTGGCCTGTTTGACCTCTGGATCTCCGTTGGAAGCCGTTCTTTGGAGCAAAGAATACAACGCGACCCAGCTTCCATCGCAGTGCCATCACGGAGCTTGTATGTATCGAGCCTCTATCATCTGCTGCATGATTGTAACGAGAGTTGCCGCATGCAGACCCAACACAACTGTTGTCCTACTGCTAGTCAGACTTTTGTTCGCTGCTGTGTCTCCCATTCCTGGAAAGTAACTTTGTGTGAGGAAGTGGAGGTTTCGATGGTCAGTTTGCTTCAGCGTGAAGAGCAGTGACACCAGCGCCTTTGCTGTGGACCTCTGTGTTAACGGGCATGGTATGACAATCTGCAGAATCCTCGTTTGTAGTAGCGAGCTCTGAAGCGTGCAGTCAGGAAGATATATCGGAAGTTAATGACGACATTGCTGTTTACTGTCATTGATGAGTCTGTGGTGCCTGTGAGATGAAGAGAGATTGAAATAGACCGTGTTCTGTCACTTTGCGTGAAGTCAGCCCTGGCCACGTTAGGTCTGTGAGGTAAGTAACTTGTTCACTGAGCACATTGGTAGTGAACAACCCCGAGCAAGGCCGTTGGAGGTTTGTGTCACCTTCATCAAGCGTGACAAGAAGCCCCCTTTCCAAAGTGTATGAAAGTTAGCCTTCTCTCAAGGCTCATTGCTCGTTTTCACCATTTCTCGTCCCAACATAAATACTGCAATAATAAAATCCTCACAAGAAAACAAGCAGCAAGGATCTCTAGATAGAGACATAACAACAATTCACCAGCACAGGGAAGCAACCATTCTACTCACAATGGCAAATGTTGACTTCGGCAGTAACATCAACTTCGGGGCGTGGTGGATATGACACCACCCGAGTTCAACCGTCCTCAAGTGACTCTGGACCAGGCTCCATGAAATGAATGGGCATCTCGATTGTCGTTATCCCAAACAGCAAACACCAGGACAGGCATCCAGTTGTCGACGAACGACACCACAAAGAAGACAAGAAATGGTACATCGATGGTACCTGCGTCGTCCACAATGATCATCGGTATCGAGGATGAGCTTCGAACAACAAATGGAGGACAACAAATGGAGGGAGACCGGTACACCTGCTGGTGGTAGTGTGCTACTAAATCAAGTTGGGCATGGATGACAAGAATCTGCGCTGACTCTGCTCTTGTTGGCGAAGACGAATAAGAAACTGGTTCTTGTGATCCAGGATAGCGGTTCTAGATCAGTGGTCCACCGATAGCCAGTAGATGAGAGTTTAAGCAGTGGAAGCTAGCCAGCAGAGCACGAGTATCAATCAAAAAGACATCCGAGCTCAACTTCATGTATTCGTCCTGGGTGCTTTCCGAGCTAGGGTTGTATTTCGATCAAATGGTATGCAGCGTAGCGAGAAGCAGATCCGGGGCAGGCAAGGAGGCCAGTAAACAGGTCAGCCTCTGCCGTTCGTTGAGAGTCATCGTTTTGCAGTACCGGGAACCCATGTTTCCGGAGCCCAATTTGCTCCAGGGTTTGAGCCTGTGGGCCTTGATTTCTTCTGCTGGTCCATGTTGCTTCCGATGCTGTTGCTCATATTTTCTGATTGTGGCGGCTGGCTGTGAATATCTTCTGCTCGAGCTCGATCTCTTTGGAGGCCACCGGGCAACGACGGAGCGATGACCGATGGCGTTGGCGTTGGTTTCTCAATGTACCTTGCCTTTGCAGCCCATTTTTCATCGGCCAGCCTCGCCATAACCTTTAGTTGAGCTTGTCTTTGCACATCGGCGGCTTGTTCTTGCAGGGTCGGAGGATCGTGGCGGGTTTGGCGCAGCCACTGATGCCACTGAGGTGAGATCTGGACATCCGAAAGGGAGGAGAGAGTGGCTCTTCGTCGACCTTTCACGATGCGACGCCATCGGTTGTGATTGAGGGCATCTTTGAACTCCCAGAAGGTGTTGCCATAGAGGTCTTGTCCTGTCGTGATGTCAGTCTGCTCTCAGTCCGTTGGCCCTCAGCTCCAGTAATCGGGCATACCAACTAAGAATCTCTTCCTCCATGGCAAACGAAGCATCTTCCACCGCAACCATAGGTCTCGAAACCCTCCCATCTTGATTGCCGTAGGTGAACAAAACGTGTAAAAGAAGCTTTGGTTAAAATAAAGAACGGACTCTACACAACGGGCGGAAAGCTGCATACATCGTTGCACATTTCTTGGATCCGACGTCAACCTGCAGCAATGTCCTGGTGGGGCCCCGGTCCTGTCCTCGTCTCACACTCCACAGGACTCTATGGACTTCGTACATAGCCCTCTTCACTTGCCCTCTGCATGCGCGGCCACCGTCGGGTTTCTCGGGCCTGACATCTTCCTTTTGAGTCACTACTGCCTCTTCATTAGATTTAACATTTAAGATTCCGAACACCCTTGAAACATTGCAGAACGGCTGCAATCATGGCGTCGGTGACAAGTCTCGATCAAGACATGCGCAAACTGCGCCTCGAGCGATATACTCCCGGTGCTGCAAACGAGGTGAGAAGCTGGATCGAAAGTACTCTGGGCGAGAGATTGGCTCCAGGGGATTTGATGGACGCCCTGCGGGACGGAGTAGCTCTTTGCAAGTATGCGTTTATCTGTTGACGGTGTGGCTGTCGTGCTAACCTGAACATCAGACTCGTTAATCTTGCCGTGTCTCCAGGCATCAAGTATAAGCAGTCGAACATGCCCTTTGTGCAGATGGAGAACATCTCGCACTTCCTCCGTGCCTGCGAGATTGCGCCGTTGAGCCTCCCCTCTCATGACCGATTCCTGACAGTCGACCTCTACGACTCTAAAGACCCTGCACAGGTCTTGCAGTGTATCGCTGCCTTCAGCCGCCGGGCAAACCAACTGAATCCTTCCGTATTCCCTACGACATTGGGAGCAAAGAGCAAATCTGCCATGAGCCCACAAGGAACAGGCTCAAGTGGACCGAGATCGCCGGCTTACACGACTACCACCAGCTCGCGGCCACGGGGCTCGAGCAATGCAACCGCTGAAAATCCATCTACCACCTTCAACCCTCTCAATAAGGCCGCGTACTCTGGGCGTGTTAGCCCCACCAAAAACATCCTCAGCCGAGGAGGGCTGGTGTCTGGCGGGAGTGTCAGCAGTTGGAGCAATAAGGCTGACGAGACCAAGACCGCGCCCGCATGGAATATCCATCAGTATGGGTACATGGGAGGGGCGAGTCAAGGTAACCAAGGTGTTGCTTTCGGCGCTCGGAGACAAATTACCTCCCCAAGCCCCAGCGTCCCCAGCCTCGCAGAGAAAGAGAAGCGGCTCCGGGAAGAGGCAGAGAGAAAGAAACTAGAAGCAGAAGGACTTGAACAACAACAGCGGGCTCAACAAGCTGCAGAGGAAGCGCAAGCACGCTTAGAAGAAGAACGTAGATGGGCTCAGGAAACCCAACGCTTGAGAGAACAAGAAGCCGCTGCGCAGCGAGACCTCGAGCGACAGCGTCTACAAGAAGAAGAGCGCGTCCGTCGTGAAGAACAGCGTCGCAAAGAGCTAGCCTATGAACGCGATCGGGAGCGAGAAGCTCAGGACCAGGCAGATCGTGAGGCTCGTATGGCGCAGGAACGAGGTCGTCAACGCACTGTCAGTGATGCTCGCCTCAACGGACAGTTTCTCAGTCAATATCAAGCAGATCAGGCGAGAAGTAACGTCACTTCCCCCACTCTACCAAAGCCCGCTGCCGAGCAGGACTCGGCTGAAAGCCGGCGCATTGCAGAACTAGAGCGTCAGTTGGAGGAGATGAGAGCGCAGCAGAGACAAACTCAGTCCGCCAGACCGGTGCCCGAGCCAGAACCTCCAGCGCCTGCACTTCCAAGCAGAACCCCAGTCAGCCAAACAAGCCATGAGGATGACTGGGCTGCATCAGAGCGCCAATACCTGCAGCAAGAATGGCGGAAGGCACAGAACGACCAGCCTCCTCCCAAACCACCACGTCCTGAATCCATATCGTCAACGTCTTCTCGTCCGCTACCCGACCCCGCGACGTATCAGCCAGGCACCAATCGCACAGATCGATATCTTGCCTCAAATGCCGCCCCTGCTCAGCCGAATGTTGCGTCTCACCGCCCTCAGGACTTTTCCACCACAACCGAAGTGGACCTCGAAAACCAACGGCGTATTCAATCTCAACAGCGCACGAAAGCTGGTGGCTGGGCCTCGAAATCCCTCCTCGAGCGGGAAATGGAACGCGAGCGTGAACGGCAGAGAGAGTGGGAAGAAGCACAGAAAGACACTGCATCCAGAGCCAGGGATATAAAAGAGGGAAGCGGACCTGGTCAGACCTGGGATGTCCACCAATACGGGTTCGTGGGCGGGGATAGCCAGAACCGTGGTGGTCCAGGGCTGGGAGTTGGTGGTGCCAGAAGACAGATCATCGGCCCAAGACCGCCGCCTTAGGCAGAATACAATATCGAGTCGAACGGGCTAAGATCTGGGTGGGGCCAGGTCATGATGCGACAATAAAGCTTGAGAAGGAACATGCCTTTCGACAGTGGCATCGTGAGCGTCATAAATGAGCAATGCAATTTGAATGGCCTCCTGGCGAGGAGAGACGAAATAGAAATCTGCTCGAACGCTTCTTGTTTGGAGTGCCGGGTTTGCAGTACATGAAACAGCTTCCCTACGTTGCTGCTTCCACAACCACTGTGACCATGACCTCATCTCTCTTGTCATTCACCAGCGCCAGATTTCTCTATCACTCTGGTAAGTCTCTCCCCACTTTCAAGCAGCCATTCCCGCGCAAGGTCATCGTCTCCTTGCCTCTTCTTTCCGTCTCCTTTGTTCTCTGCGACACAGCAGAGCCTCTTTTTTACGCCGATCGCGGCAGCTCGAGCCAAACTTCTCGTTCTCTGCAGATTTCCAATCTGTGCGAGACATCTGGTTAGACTCTCCAGCAAGACGCTGACTCTGGCGTTGGCGTCAACGCTGTCCTTTGCCGCAGCAAAGGGAAGGTATTCTTGCTCCAGCTTACTCTTGGAGAGCAAGACGTGGCTCCTGATACTTGGAGCAGAGGATTCGAGGAGGCGTTGGAGGAGGGCTTCGCACAAATCCGCCAAAGAGGTCGGTCCGAGGGGATTGGAAGGGGTGGGAAGGACAATCTGGGCGAAGACAGGGAGGGACAGAGGACGAATGAATTCCACGAAAAGGATATTCAGCTCGTCTAGGTCGGGAAAGGTTGTAGGGGACGTAGACATCAGGGTCGGGTGAGAGGCGACGTAGGTCAGCAGCCTTAACAGTCGGAGGCGGAGAGCGAGGCAAGAAGGGCCGCCAAGTCTCGAGGCGGGAGAGTTCTCTCCGTCTGTGGCATACGCACTGTGAAGACTTCCTGCGCTAGACTTTGGCGTTACCCGTGTTGATGAAGGAGTCCGGCTTCGTACCCTTAAGCGATTTCGAGGCCATCCGCTTGCCCCAGTGCCAGCGCTTGCGGCGTCGTCCTCGTCGTCTTCGAACATGTCCAAGTCATCCTCGGCTTCATAGTCGCCAAAGACGTCCTCATAAATGTTGACGTCGACTTCGCGTTTCTTGATCTTCCCATGCTCCTTCTCGGGCTTTTTCAATTCGTTGGGGAATATCTCACGAAACTCGTTGAGCGAGCGCTGACTCCCATCCGCGAAAATCGCTCGCAGGATCCGCCTAGCGCGTGCATGTCCACCCGTGGACAGTTCGATATACTGCCAGAGCAAAGACTCATCGGCCGATGAATTTTCTGCCGCGTTTCGTATATGCCAATCTTCTTCTAGGACATCAACTAGAAACTCGAGGAGAAGTTGGTAATGATCCCATCGAGCAGCATGAACACCAGGTCGACATGCACAGTTGAATGCCCAGCCCACTAGTTGCCAGAAGTCTTCGGCGCGAGTCCAAAGACTCTGCGAGTGGGCGTATGGAGTGTTGATTTCATTTTCACCGTCTACGCTATCACTTTCGCCGCCTGCATCGCCCTCCTCGCCGATGGAACGGTGAGGACTGCGACGTGTGAATCGAAAATCGAATTTACGGAAGGAGAATGCCGAGGCGAAGTCGGCATTGACGGGTCCGACGAGGGTATTGATCAGTCGAAGTAGTCGAAGAGCGGCATTTGCCTGATTCTGCTTCTCGCGTGAGTCCGTTCTGGATGTAATGGTAGGGTGGACTGCCAATGTGGCAGCAACAGCGATTTGGGAGCGTGGTGGAATCGTCACCGGGTGCAGTGGAGCGAGGGCAGACACGCTGTTGCCAACAATTGATAGGAGCAAATCAAAAGCTTGCGTCAAAAGCCCCTCCTCAAGGAATATTTGCACGTGCTGCTCTAGTTCAAAGGAGATTTCTTTTGTCGGTCGGTATTGTACATCTCCCTGTATCGCTGAGCCCTCTCTTTCTCTGGGCACGGATTCTTTGTGAGGAGAGGATTGCAGAGATAAGCGGACAGGAAGCGTCATGGTTGATCGGACGCCGGACACCGAGTGAGGAGTCCTATATTGCAGGCGCGTTTACGGGGTGGTCTGAGGCTGGATTACTCAAGTTGGGAGATAACTCGATGAAATGAAGTCCGTCAGCCTTGTGCAGCCTTGTTTTGGTCAATGGTCAATTGACAGTTTAGGTTTAGCGTGGAATTTCTTGCAACCGCGAATCTGCCGACGCTGTTGTTCGGCATAATAATACTCCGCACCGAGTAATTACATACTATTACGACCTTACACGTTACTATTCCGTACACCTCTCACACACACACATTGCTTCAAACATGCCACTGTCATAGAATCAATCACTGGCATGCATAACGTGTAACAAACTCTGTGGAGACGCTTCTTGTGCTTGTTCGGGCCCAAAGGCCATCTTCTGTCCAAATGTTCATCTTCGTTTTGTTACAGCGTAAGCTAATACAATTGATCCCGAAAATATCTACTCCTCGCTGAACTCCCGATATTGCGACATGAATTAGCATGGAAACTCATACCAACACCTGAGGCTCCTTTCGCGCTGTTCACGCAACGTTATGCTCCTCCTTCATGATTCGAGTCTCTGCCTCAGCTCCTCCTGCGCTTCCCTGCACATTTCCTTCACATCCACATTGGCAATGATCCCATTCCTCTCATTGATTTCACTTTCGATCTTTGTGAAATCTCTCCCTATACCCTCAGCCCGCCACTCATAGCAGTCGCCAACCCGCCTGCTGCTTTGAACAAGCCACTGCCCTCGCTCTTTGCGCCGAGCGGTGAACGTGGCGAATACTGCGTTTAGGTCTGATGGTGATTGGACCCGGTCGTCTGAGAGTAAAGAGGCAAGGACAGCAGAATCCTCGATGCAGAGGCCGGCTCCAGCACCGTGATGAGGGGATGTCGCGTGTGCTGCATCGCCAGCGATGCAAACACGACCTTTATGGAAAGTAGGCACAGGGTTGTCTCCTAGATCAAATATTGCCCACTTCCAGATCTGTCAGTATCGCTCGACCTTGTCATTTGGGTGCTGCAGCAACTTACCACGTCCAAGTCTGGCTTGGTTAGGTTTAAAAGTTTTATCACATTCGAGCCGAATCCGCTGAAGTCTCTCAGAGCTTCCTCACGCTTCGCCGGTCTCGTCAGTCGCTGGGAGTCGGGCCAGTCGTCCGGGCTTGTTCTGAAGGCGACGATATTCAGTGTTTTGCCATGGTTGACGGGAAACGTCAGTACATGGCCATCAGGACCCATCTGTGGTGTTTACGATGTCAGCAGAGTGTCAAAACAGACCGAACAAACAACATCCGAGTGAAAAATGGTAGACTCACGTGCATGCAAGCATTGACGGCCAGTTCTTCACCAACTGCTTTGATAGCGTCCTCCATCTGCGCCAGCCCTCGATAGGCATACTTGTGCGTATAGCTCGGTTTCGCACTGGGATGGTCCTTTCCAACAATGATCTGCCTGACACGAGACTTGATACCATCACATCCTATCACGGCATCGGTTTCCGCGGTGGATCCATCTTCGAAGCTCATGACCAGTCTTCCATTGGATTCGTTTTCGGTGATGTTGGCCAGCTTCTTGCCAAAGCGAGCGATGCCTTTTGGGACCAGTTTGACAATCTCATCCAGATAATGCGCTCGGTGCACCCCATTTTGACCCAATGAGTTCTTGATCGAGAATGCAATGTCCTGCCGCTCTTGCCCCGGTCTTGGGCCCGTATAACCGTCGAGATAGTCGAACCAGACATTTTTTTTCTCAGGCCACACATTGCGAGTACAGACTTTCTCAAACGCTTCATACACGCCCTCATGACATATCTTCATAGCTTGTACTGCATTGGGGGAGAAGGAAACCCCAGCGCCAATCTCGCCGAACTGAGGTGCTTGTTCATATATCGTGACGGGGATTTGGCGGTGGTACAGTGCAATAGCCAGCGTCGCTCCTGCGATGCCGCCCCCAATGATCGCAATCTCGAACTTCTTGGATTCGGACATCTTACTGGATATATCTTGTGGTGTTTCTAAGTGTTTGGTGATCTTCGAAAGACGTTCGGCCGGGGACATGTCTCTGAGCCCGTTTATGATGTGTACTGAGGTTGCTTTCGAGACTTTCGAGATGAAATCCACGGTCTTTATAGAGGCCAACCAACTCCCAGTACAAGGACACAGGTCTCGAAAGGCCGAAAAGCTTCCGCAAGGCTAGGATGGTCGCTTCGGATGATCCTGGGATGGGGGATGCAGGTGTCGCTACGTACAACACTACATCATTCGTCACTTGCTGCTTTTCCTGCAAACCCCTGGACAGACTCCGCATTTGCCCGGGCCACAATCTGGGGAACATTTCCGGGCGCCTTTCCGGTCCCTCCGTCAGAAACATCCGGATAGCCAAGCCTGTACAAAGGTTGCGCGCTTTGAACAGCCGGAATCTTTTTCTTCCGTCCAGACTATGATGTGCTGTGACGACGGGGCCATGGATTGTACGGTACGAAGTCTGCACTGTCGTCCTTCCGCTTCTCCCATTCTCGAACCTCAACCCGTCCCATGCGTTGTATACCAGGAGCGATCGTACCATTAAAGGGACGCCGAACAAGCACCGTAAGCAAAATGCGAGGGGATTGTGCCGCTGGATTCTGCTGGCAAACACAGCGGCCATATCAAAGAAAACGCTTTCGGTGAAAGAACAATAATGGCGGATTGGACGGTCAGAGTTGACTACAGATTCAATAGATCCTTCCTCCACGTCGCCACAATCTTGACATGGTCATCCTTGTTTCTCACCAGCTCTTCCAGGCCCTTCTCCGCCAACTCCTCGACCGGGAGCCTTCGCGTGATCAGAGCCTCGGCGCCAGCGAATTTGCCCGCCACAAAGTCCTCCACCACTTCCCGATAATCGTTGTCATTGTTCCCCATGGAGAACTTAATGGTTAGCTCCCGGTAGAAGGCAAATTGCATCGGGATCTTGAAGGGCTGCTTCCACCCGGCGATGTTGAGGTATGTTCCCTTTAGCCTCAAGCTTTCCATGCCTGCCAGCATGCCCGCCTCGGCGCCAGCACAGTCGAACACAATGTCCACTCCTCTCCCTTGTGTCCTGGCTTTACAAATCTCGACCACACTTGAGGCTAGCGGGTCTAAAAGATCCTGAGGATCGACCAGTCCCAACCTTCGAATCATTTCACTCCGTTTGGCGGTTGGCTCGGAAATAAGAACCCTCCCACTGAGACCAGCACCCACCCCTTTCGCTCGCAGATTCAGCAGGACGGCCAAACCCACCGGACCACCCCCGAGCACAAGCACGTTCAATCCTGTGAAGTCCTTGATCCCGCTCGCTGACAGTGCATGCCGTCCTACCGTTAGTGGCTGACACAGGACAACACTATTCAGATCCACACTTCCATCGTCAGGGAGAATATGGCACATCCTCGTTTCGACGTTAACCTTTTCACTGAAGCCCGCACCGCCGCCTCCGCCGCCATTGAGGCCAATGTATCCCCAATTGCTGCACATATTGTCACACCCACTCGTGCATGCCGTGCATTTCCGGCAGAGAATGCGTGGATCGACCATGATGGGCGTGCCTAGCTTTAGGGGGCCGTCGGCAGGATACCCCGACGGCAACGCGGAGACCCGACCGGTGAATTCATGACCGAAAGCGACGGGCAGATGGTCTTTGGTTATGCCGTGTGGCTTTTCGGGCGTGTTTATTGTCCAAGGGCCGGATGTGTATTCATGGAGATCAGTTCCACAGATGCCGCCCCAATAGACGTCAATCGTCACCTGGATTGATTAGCGGCGAGAGGTGATAGGTGAAAGAAGACTCGACGAAGGAAGCCTGCTGGGTTACCTTACCTCGTTTGGTCCTGGGGGCGGTGGGTCAGGGATCGTCTCAATCCTGATATCGCGCTTGCCGTAGTATCGAGCAGCTTTCATCTTGGCCAAGTTATGGTGTCAATATAAACAAACAGCACGCGAAAGATATACGCCTGCTGGATATTGCCGTGCTGGACCTGTATACAAATACTTATGGCCAGCCATAGCCTCGGACAGTGATCTGTCTGCTCGGCATCTGGTGGACACATTCTGGCCTGATTCGGCTATCCATATTGAGGATTATGTGTACCACAGGTGTGATCGTCATCCACCCGCTGTCGCTACCGTTCGCCAGATGTGCGGGGTCGGTGAGTTGCAATTGGAGCAAGATTTGAGTAATGCTTTCTGGTGTTATTGGTGCTGTTGTACAGTGGATGGAACACGATAGATGCTGGCGCAATATTAATCCTCTACTGTCGAGCAGTTCGGGCAGACAAGCATCTCCCTAATACGAGGTACCGAACTCTCGCCTGGCTCTATCGCTTGAAGCATTTAGAGATAGCGAAGAGTCTAGCTGGCGTGATCAGGGGCACAACCACTGATCCAGAACGGACACACTCCAATGTATCGATGCGAGGCGAAAATCCTAAAGCTCCCGACCAGTTTGTTACCCGGATCATTGTTGACCCAAGGTTTGCCGGCTTTGACATTGCAGAACTTCTTGAATCCAGCCCTTTTGACTTGATCCGTCATTTCCGGCATCCGATGAGTGGCTTTGACCTTTTCGGCCGTCGTGAAATTTTGTATGACACGCATAAACACCAGAACAACCTATATACCTCACCCCACTCTGCAGACAAATATCGGCATGGAGCACTGCTACGTCATTGATATTTCACACCAGCTCATGCGTAATCGGCTATGAAGAGCCTGAGCGTAGTGGAGACCCTGTGTCGCCGGTTGTCATACTTGTCGAGCCGAAACGAAGCCCGTCGCAAAAGAAGGATGAGCATGCTGGCCATATCCGCACCCGCAATGGTGATTTAGCGGCTAATGTATGTGGGCTCTTCCCTGGTTTCGCAGCTACAGTGGCCCTGCCCAGGTGCTATGCATCAACCGGGCACCTCTCTCCGGCTGAATGATATACCCGACCATACTTGCCATCAGCTCTGCAACACAGCATGGCAGCCAGTCATTCGGGTCCCGGGCAGACCGGAAACCCAAACAGGACTTCAGGGAAAGAAAGGAGCTGTTTAGACGGGGGCCACGCTGGCGAGACCAGGGGGAAACCTGTCGCAGAAATTGCTATGGCTGTGGGAAAAGAAGCTACCGGTGCTCAGAGTCCCGTGGGCAGTGGCAATAACGAGTGACCTGTGTCTATATTCTATAGATTTTAGAGACGGGCATGGGAATAGTGGCAGAGACTCGAGGGCCGGTTTACGTGACGGGATGGGACAAGGAGAGGGGAAGTGTCAGAAGGTTACCGTGGTAGATACATCGATTGGGACCACCGCAATCATGAGGATCAGTAGCTCGGTTGGTAACGTCAACACCAAAGCAAGAGAAGACGAGAACGAGATAGAGGAGCACAACTGGGACAATATCGTCGAAGAAGAAATACTCAAGAATAGGGCGTAATACCTCGTGTACTGTGTCGATTACTTCGCAGGTAACTACGCCGAGCCGTTGCCTCCACTTGGGTGTAGCACGTACGGGTAGCATCCGAGGCTCAAGCATTACTTTTTCTACCTCGTATATATTTTTCATGCTCAGAAACCAGTCATAATTCAAGCAGCGCAATTGGTCTAGTGGTATGATTCTCGCTTAGGGTTCACTCTAAGTCAAATGCGAGAGGCCCCAGGTTCGAACCCTGGATTGCGCCCATTATTTTTGCCTTTTTTTCCAAGCCGCTGGTAATCTTTGTAGTTCTTTCTCTTCTTGTGTTGGTTCTTCTGGAACGGTGAGGCACATTGTGCTTTTTTGTTAGGCCTTTTGTTGCCAAGATCGGTGTCGAAAAACCGAGCACGGTGCCTGCAAAGCGTCCAAGGAAACAGATTTTCCACCTGCAACCGACTTGCTTGGATAGCCATATCTACTAGTACGGAGCCCAACTGTATAGATTATGATCCCCTATATGTGCTAATATCAAAGTACTCAAGGTCTGTTCCTCTTTCCGTTTACTTCTGATGAGCCTCCGTCAACGCGCAGGGCAGCCAAAAAAACAACGACCATCAGCTCTCTTTTCCAACTTCACATGCTCCCCTACGTCGATAACAGGATGCACAGCATGCTATGCCTTGGCTGTCACTCCATGGAGACGACTTAAGGTCACTGATTTGATCGCCCTGCTGCAGGTCGCATCGCTCGCGCTTTTTATTTGGTCACCATCCACCTCCGCCGTCGTTCATTGCTGTTGTGTAACCTTGGCGTTGTGGCCCTTTCCTTTCGTGCAATCCATTTGGAGAAGAGGACATTAGAACATGTGATGAACCATCTTCTTCCCACGGACACCCATAACAGCCAAAATGTTCCTCCCAAGGATTGTTCGCAGGTTCTTGCAGACCACATACAGATACACTATGCTCCCCTCAAAGGATGTTGTGGAAGTGGCCGAACCCGTTCCTCATCAGGCCGACGATGACTACGATCAACGTCCCTCTCGGGACAACGGCATTTGGAGTCGGGACAGGTCAGTTAAAGCCTCGAGGCCCTCCCCTGTAGATTCAAACAGGACCTTCTAAGCTGATTCCACGAACTTGTAGGTTCTGTGGTGCTCTCGCCTATAATTTCGTTGGCTTCGGTCTTCCAGCTCTTTACAGCACGCTTTCAAAGCTATGGGTAGCCAACATCGACTCTTCCATGGTCGTCACGGTTGACTCTTATACCTATATTGGCGTTGTGGCTGAGGTTATCAATGAGGGCCTCCCTAGGGCAGCATGGGTCATCATCGGAGACAAATCCTCGCGCTCCCTCTCATCCCGCATTGCACTCACACAGACTCTGGTGCTGTTCCAAAGCATCATGGGTCTGCTTGTGAGCATCATCATTCTTGGTGCTGCCGAACAATTTGCTGCTGGATTCGTCCCGGCAGACGTTCGCAGAGCAAGCTTGACCTACGTCCGCATCAGCTCATTCTCCGTCTTCAGTGCCGCGGTGGAAGTCGCCGTCACCAACGCGGCCAGAGCACTCGATCACCCGGACGTCCCTTTTCTCATCAGCGCGACACGCTTTGCCATCAATATCGTCCTGGATTTGCTTATCATCTCCCGATTCCATGTAGCATCATCCAAGCCCACCGTCAACATACAGGCTGCAATTCGGCTTGGGTGTGACTTTGCCGCTGCATTTGCCGGCCTGGGATACTTCGCCATCATCGTCTTCAAACTCCACAGAAGGAATGGCGATCTTCAAAATGTTCCAGTGCCACGTCCAAGTTTGAGGGCGTTAAAAGTGCTTTTGCGACCTGGGGTCTTGACATTTGCTGAGTCCGGAGTGAGGAACGCCTTCTATCTCTGGCTCGTCAGCAACATTGTGTCCATGGGCGCGGACTATGCGACCGCATGGGGCATCTTCAACACTATCCGCTGGGGCCTGGTTATGGTTCCGGTCCAGACACTGGAGGCAACGTCGAACGTGTTCACCGGGCACCGATGGGGTCAATGGAGGAAACAAGTTGGTACGGAGCTTCAAAAAGCCAAGGCGAGCTGGAAGCAGCTTCGAGGTGCGCAAATTACATCATCGCATCTGCTCAAATCATGGCTGACCCAGTATATATGCGTCTATATCCTCAGACATCGCTACTCCCGCTCTGACCGCATCGGCGATCGCGCTCGCAGTTGAAGTCCCGCTCTGCATTTTCCTTTCCCTCTTCGGATGCAAGCCATTTGCATACTATCTCTCTGACTCGGACAGCGTGGCATCAATCACAGCCCACATGTGGCGCACCATCGACTGGTGCTACATTTTCTACGCGCTCTGCACTGAGCTAGCAACAATCCTCCTTTCCACGGTGCCGAGATGGTACCTCTATGAGTCACTGGTGGCGAATTTGTTTTACGTTCTCCCTTGGGCGATTGTTTGCCAAACGGCACATCTCAACTCTTCTGACGCTTGGAGCTATCATGCGTTTGTATTTGGAGGAAGCCTGGTCTTCAGCTTTTTCGATGTGCTGCTCTTTGTGCTGCTTTGGGCCTGGAAGCTGAATCGGGGCACACTCAACTTTGACAAGGTAACACTTGTGTGAAACCAGTCGGGTCGGACAACTTCCTTATGGGAAGGGACTTGCGGGTACTCGGGTTAGGAAACAATGTTCCACAGTCCATAATCTCAGTATAGGTGATGACAGCTTTATTAGTAACCTGAACGCATTCTTTATGAGGCTTTCTGCTCTCTTTGTTCCTCATTCGGCACCGAGCTCCCCCATCGCTTTTGCAATCCTGTGGAGCGCCTCTTCTATGTACGGTCGTGGATGGCTAAACACGACGCGAAATAGGCCTGGGGCCTCTGCTCCAAAGACCGCGCCACCGCCTAAGAACACCCTGTTCTTCATAAGCATTTGCATGATCTTGGCGCTCACTCTATCGTCAATCTGCGGGCCACCAGCATTCGGCCGTCGTTCAGGGTGTTGTGCCAGGTATGCCTTACCAAGGTCCACCCAGAGGAAAAAGGCGGCGTTCGCACCGGGGGTGTATGGGATATGATGCTTGGTGAGAAACTCGACAACAAAGCTGTATGACTCGGCCAGGCGGTCTTGGTTCATTTGGATATAGTTATCCACCCAGACATCGTCTTCGAGCATGTTGGCCGCAATGTGCTCGGAGATGGACGACGCGTAGGAATAGATTGCGACCTCCAGTAAAGCCTCACGAAAAGCTTCGTTGTGCTGGGAAATGATATAGCCAACACGCAGACCATTGGCGCCAAAGTCTTTGCTCATGCCCCATAGGACATGGAGGAGGTGAGGATCAATGATGCCCTCCGAGGGGATGGACAGGACCGATATAAACTCGACGGGTGCCGGAGACGAATCGTGACGATTCTCCCAAGTGGAAAAGGCATATATCTCGTCACTGACCAGGTGAATCTGATATTTTTGACACAGACGCATATAGGCGATAAGGACTTCGCGAGAGTAACATCTCCCGAGCGGGTTATGAGGCGAGCACAGCATGAGAGCCTTTGCACGAATGCCCCGCTCTCTCGCTGCGAGAATAGTATCTTCGTACTTACCAACGGCGTCCACGCTCATAGGGTCTACCGAGCCAAATGAGACTGTGAGAACCTCGACGCCGGGTCGGAGCGCGATGTCCGGAATGAACGCGCGGTAGTATGGGCGGCCGAGGAGGAAGCCGTCCCCCGGGTTACAGAACGCCCAAGACGTATGCTCAATCGAATGGGACACGCCGTTCGTGACGACAACATGCTCCATCTCGAGTGGAAGGACAGGATGCAGCCGGCGATTGAGGAATCGAGCCACCGCCTTTCGAAGCCTCTTGGACCCGAGAGGCCCGTCACCGTAGGTGAACGCTGTTTGCTGGACACGGGTGCTTTTTTGGATGTATGCCTCCAGTTCAGCATGCATGAGGCTGTTCTCCGCCACGCCGACATTAACATATCCCCCCGGATTGGAGGAGGGGTGCCATTGGTCCGCGTACACGTGCCATAGCGGAGATTCCGGAGGTTTCGCGCACTCTCGGGCGCGGCGGGAGAGCGTAGACATGCCGGAGGGAGTGGCAGACATGTTGGACAAGGGGAAAAATAAAGTTGTTTATGACGATCTCTGAGCAAAGAAAGGATGGAAGAGATCAATAGTAGATGGGCAATTTATATTGGTTGTAATGGGCTGCTTTTTAGCTTCACCTGAGATGCACGTGCGACGTAATGCAAGGCGTATGTAGGGCCATGTCGCTTGGAAGTTAATGGCCGGCAATGCGCCCTGCGACAGACGAGATAGCTGTCGCCCTTTAGCGTGAATCGTGGGCAGTCAAGGGCGTATAACTGTGCGTGAGTGTCACCTACTGGAAAGGCCATTGTTAGATCAGTGAGAAGATCAAACACGTTCTTCAAAGGGCTCAGACTCTTTTATAAATGTGAGAATGCCTTCCCCCTCGATACTCAAGCATATGTCTCCAATGGGCCAATCAGATAGCAGCTAGTGGGCCAATTTTCTCGTGTTCCTGACGTCGACTCTCGGTACTGTGATTGGCTGATACATGCCAAGCCCGCTAGCGGCGTCCTTTGTTTATCTCGCCGCCCGAATTGGATCCCGCATCTTGACTCGTTGACTACTTGGATCTTTCTCCTCTCCACCATTGACCATCCTCCTTCCTTCACGTCGTATTCGAGTCACCCTTGCCATCTGCCTGGACAAAGAATCCCCAGGAATCCTACTCACGAAACGCCAACCCTCATATTTCCACCATGGCTCCCCCAACTTCGCGCAAGAGGAAATCTGACGAGATGGACGATCTCGCAGATGGTGCTGTCACCCCCTCCGGCAGCCCGGTGCGCAAGAAGATGAGGATCACGCAGCAACAGAAGCAAGCGTTGATAGACAATCTGCAACTAGAGAGTGAGAAGATTAGTCTCTCCTGTGTTGTCTCATATCTGACGGATGGCCAGTTACCGAGCGAGCACGACAGCTTCGAGCGGGATACGCTCTTCAGTGTGCTGATCTGAGAGCTCGCATTGAAAGACGCGTCAACCGCATTCCTCTCTCAATCCGCAAGATGACCATGCGAGAACTGATGCAGCAGCATGAATCTTCGAATGCCAAACGGAACCAGCCTCGTGCACCACCTCCCAAACAAACAATCTCCGTCGAAATACCTGCACCTAAGCCTCTGCCTCCTCTCCCACAGGAAAGCGGCACAACGAAGCTACCTTCTGCGGTTTGTTCTCAAATACAAGCAGCTCCAGCCACCCGAGGAGGCAAGAAGCGCATGAGCCCTCAGATTCAGATTGCCTTGGACAAGGTGAGCGAGCAGGATCCCTCAGAAGCAACACTCGATGCTCTGCCTGTGGTCAAGAACACCAAGCGTACCAAAGGAGCAGTCCCGACGCGCCCAACTTCTCGAGCAGCTGCGAAACACACGCAAATCTCGGTTCTCTCTCCTCGCTCCCATAATTCTCGCACTCTGCCTCGCTCACCAATCAAGGAGCCCTATCTCCAGCCTTCCCCTGCAAAGAACATGCTCATCCGCCCAGTACCCACTTCTATGTCTCCCATCCGCCCCACATCACCGCTCAAATCGGCCGCCACGGCAGCGACATCGGCTATATCAGCGGGCGTGCACGGCATGATTGAACAAGCAAAACGAGGAGGGACGGCCACCGCTGCGAAGCTGACCCGGACGGCATCGAAGGAGAAGAAAGAAGCAGCCGCGGTTGCAAAGGCTCAAATGCTCCCACCTCCGAAACCGAATGCTCCACCATCTCCGCAACGAGCATTTAGTCAAGCCAGCATGCACAGCACTTCGACGGATGTCTCTGCGGCGTCGAGCGGCACGACGGTCGTCAAGCCCAAGCGTGGAGGCAGGGCGGCTACGGTCAAAGCGACGACTGCGCAATCGAAGGATGCGGACGCTGCTACAGACAAAAAGAGAGGAGGGATGGCTCGGGCTGCCAGTGCCGCGAAGACGGCGCTCAAGAGGAACGCGCCTGCTCCTGCCGGCACCACCGGGGCGACGAGTAAGAGAGTCGTGGTGGCGGAGCCGGCAGCAGGGAGGCGGGTGCTGCGGAAGAGGACGTAAAAAGACAGGACGGACAGATGATGACTTTGCAGAGTTACTGTGCTATACGAGAGTCAGACTAGAACATGACTAGAAGAGAAGAGATGTGAAGACAGCCCCCCTCCAGAATCGAGCGGTGGACTTTGTTGGATTGGACCTTTTGGCGTGTTTCGCGCGGTTTGTGGGCGGGATAAACCCCTTGCAAGAAGGCAAACATGACATGCTTCCCACCCTTTCTCTCTATCTTCATGCCAGGTCAGCTCCATGCTCTGTGCTCCGTGTGAGATTCCTGTTTGGTTGTGTATATGTATGCATGTCACCTACCATTGGCGCGGGGCGCTTATTCGTTTACAACATCCTCCCTCCACGTCAGAAGCAGTCAGTCGATCAACACAACCACGGGGTGAAGACAGTTGTCTACATAAAGAGAGGATAATTGGGGCAAGACCGTGGGAAGCAATTGTGTCAATCAACCCATCCATGTACACGATGTCTACAGGCGGCTGGCGTAGGCAATCATACAGACCTTAGCGACCAAGGAATATCATGAGAACTCCAACTGGAGAAACAAACGCTCCTGGTAGCACTATTGTTTTGTTTCAATTTTAGCTTGTATTTGGGTATGTGTGTTTTTTCTGCTTCTGGAGTCTGCCATTGGAAAAGTGTGGTGTTCAGACATTGATAGGAAAGGCGAATTTTTGGCTCCGTAGCACCATCCCCAGACTCCGAAGCTCCGTCCAATATTGCCTTGACTGTCGAGACCTTTGTTTTGGAAATATCATATGCACCTCTTCCACCATGTTCACCTCTCCCTAGCTGGTACAAAAGCACCCGATGTAGATGTTGCCTCTTCGCCTCCAGCCAGATCACATCAACACGTCAACATCAATAGTCCAGCTCTGCACCCCCGCCGGCCTGCGCCGCCGCGGTGGCTCCAGCGTGGCCGCCGCCACTGTTGGGCTGAGCGTCGAGATCCTCGTAGCTTTTGAGGCTTCTACCCTGAGTCGCCTCTCTTGGCCCCATGGCATTCTGACCACCACCAGCACCATCTCCCCATTTGCCTCCGCCTCCGCCTCCACCCTGAGCGATGAACCCGGGTGGGAGACCAGGGACAAGGTTGCCTCGTAGCATACCACCCATATTATTATTGTAGCCACGTTGTCCAACGCGTTGAGTGCGGTCATATGGTCCAGGTCGATTGCCGTATCTGTTCCCGCCACGCCGTATAGGACCACCATTATGTCCTCCACTTCCATTCATGCCGTCCGTGCTGAAATTAACGCCGGGCACGAGTGGCCCGTGGACATTCTGCATGTTCATCATGGCATTCTGGCCGAAAGTCATCATGTTCATCCCAATATTCTGAAGGCTAAAACCACGAGGAGTGCCGTTATTGAGATGGTGATTCTGAGGCAGAGGGAAATGTCCGTTGGAGTTTGCATCTGATCGCGATGGCGCGATGTGAGAAGGGTCTAGAACGTATGTGTTCACAAGTTGAAGCTGCGATTGTCAGTGGTCGGCATTCGTCCAGGAAGCGATTGACAACTTACGTCGTTCTTGAGAGACAGGAACCATTCCTCGTGTCTCTTTTCCACATGCTTCCGCCAGAAATGCTCTGCTTTGAACAGCTTCGTGCATTCGGGCACCCGACAGCGAAATTTGGCCTCGTCCTCTTGCTTGACAAATTTCGCCAACTCTTCATCCAACGCCTCGTCCACGGGCTTGCCTCCAATCTTTTTCAAATCCACGTATTCGGGTTCGAGAATCTGTAGCACCTTCTCCTCGAAAGTCTTGACCCAGTTGAACGCTCGAAGAAGCTGCTGATCGTTTTTGTTGAACTTCTGAGGGCGCCTCTCCTGGACGGGGCTAAGTGGCTCATCGTCCATCCCATTCTCGCTTCGACCATCTTTCTTCTTGCCGGGAAATGGCTCACCGAGCGCGCTCGCCCTGGCCGCCGCCTTGGCTGCCGAGCTCAACCCAGCCCTCGGTCTTCGAAGATGACCTCCAGGGCACTTGCGGACCAATTCGTGGACTGAGTCGGATTCAAACACACAAAACAGGCAAAAGTTGTAGACTCGTCGAAGATACTCAACCATAAGGTCCAACTTCTTTTTGACGACCAACAATTCCTCGTCATCCTGTTCATCTTCTTCCTCTTCACCTTCTTCACCTTCCTCTTCAAACTTGATCTCATCGTCGTTGTCTTCAAAGGTTGGCTTTTTGGGTTTCGGCGTAGGCTGTAGAAGTCCTTGGTTTCTCATTTGGTCCACGCGAGCATCAATCTTTGCCAAAGCGCCGGAATGTTCATCCTTGCCAAGCTCGGCATCAAGCTTGGCGACAAGTCGTCTCGCAAGTTCATGATCTCGTTCGACTCGTTCCGGCGCCGAAAACAAATCCCAAAGTGCCTTCTTCCGCGGGGCACTCGGTGCGTTGTGGATACCAACATGACAGGTGAAGTCGCCTCTCACCGGATCCGTGATGGTCTTACCATTAATAAGATCGAGAGCTTTCTGGGCAGCGCTGGTTTTCTCCGGCTGTGCCTTTTCTTCGCCCTCTTCACCATCCTCGTCCCGGCCATCACCGCGCTCAATGTCCTGCATGACATCGCCGTCCTCTTCTGGCGCATGGTTCAGCATGATCCAGCCGATGCGGTGAAATTTCTTTGCCGGGTTGGGGTCACTCAGCGATAAGCCTTTGAACCCTCCTGCATCCTCACCCAGATGTTCTTTGCAGAACTCCTCAATGCGCTCGCGGCCGACATTAGGCGCCAGTGTCTTGATGAGCAGAGCAGGTTGCTGAACAGATTCATCTTTCAGATCGCCACCTTTGGCAGGGACGAGGTCGAGCACACCCAGGACTTCACCGCCACCGACGGCTTCGCCTTCTTCTTTCTCCACCATTCCGCCGGCCCCGTCACTATCATTCTTATAGATGCCCTCAAGAGTGAACTCGTCGAAAACTCCCGTTTCTAGGTCTCTAACCCATTGGTCAAAAGACGGTTCTCGGGATTCCATCAAACGCTTTCGGATCGGATCTCGTACTTCGGGAACGTATCGCTCTTTGAACCATTCTTCTCCTTTGTGCTGGAGGACAAATTGCCGCGCCATTTTTACCTGAAACTCTTGTTTGTATTGATCGTAAGCCTGTTGGATTTGTGCTCGCTCTTTCTCGCGGTCTTCCTTGGCCTCGCGTTCACCCTTGACACGGTCTGAAGGCCGTCTACCGCCATGTTTGGCTCGTTCTTTCTCTTCTTTGACTTGTTGCTCAAGTCGCCACCAATCCGCGAAGAAGCTGAAACCTGCTTGCGTGTCTAAAGCCAGAGGATTGGCGAGAGGATTGACCTTGACAGCCGGCTTGTTGGATTCCTGACCTGGGACGTATCGATCGATGTTGGCAGCAGTGGGCGAAGGTGCTCTTCTGCGATCATCCCGCTCTCTTGCATCTCTCGTATCTCTTGTGTCCCTTGCAGCAGTCCTGGCGCCCTCATAATAGTCATCACGCGTATTGCGTTCTCGGTCTCGTTCTCGGTCTCGATCGGGTTGATACCGATCAATAGCTACTGGAGAACGTGAGCGGTTGCGAGGAGCAGGTCGACGTCGGTCATTGGCCACTTGTGTAATTGGTTAGCCGTGGTTTGGAACGGTCGTGGCCTCGCTTACCAGGAGATCTTCGTCTGTACGAGTCGCCTCGGTCATACGACTCGTCCCTTCCACGATACCTTGGCGGTGATCTATCACCAGTGGGAGAGCCGTAAGCCTCGTATGGATTCATGTTGTTTCTTCGAAGCTTTGGGCCTTGGGTAAAACAGTCCTTTCGCGTCCAGACGACAAGCCGACTTGGGTGAAACCCGCCAACGCACTATGTCATTCGCGGACTCCAAGTGGCATCAACGAAGATTGGCGCGGTACCGACTTAGGTAACGCCGTCTTCGGCTGGTCGAGGTTTGGAGGTAGGATAGCTAAGAATAAACATAACAGAGGTTAGACTTGAGTGAGGGGACAATGAATTGGAGGACGATATTGAGAAATGAGTGTGGGCGCAGGTCAAAGAAGGAAGAAAGCTCGCAGGCATCGAGTGCGCCTATCTGAGAAGAAGAAAAAAGGATGCAGGCCAGCAATAGTAACAGTATATAAGTGGAATGGTTTCGAAGATGGACTCTGACCCAGCCTTCCGAAACAATCGGGAACTGGAAAGGTCAAAAATGGCCGCAAAGCGTGGCGGCGGAGTGACGATGGCGCGATGGTAGGAAGAGCAGAGGTACTGAGCTTACAAGATTTGAAGCAAGGAGTTGGTTGCACGCTGGTATCGCAATGCAGCACCAAGTGCTGTTGATGGACGATGAGGAGGAGTTGAGTGAACGACGAACCGCGGCGTGAAACCCTCCTCAGGCGACCTGAGCGGGAGGCGCAGTTGGCCAGGAGAGTGTGTGATTGGTTGCTGGGGCAGTAGAGGGAGGATTGGACCACGTGATATCGCTTGGCATCTCCGCCCGGCTGTCGCCGCTTTATTCGTTTGAGGATCGCTGCCATCATACGGGTTGGCGTTGGGGATCATTGCAAATGATTAATTCAGCTCTGCTATCATTTGACTATATGCTCTGCGGATCTTGAGTGCCGGCAGTCGCCCAGGAGGCCGGCTCAGCGCTGGACATGCTCACCCGCGGGCATCCCTTTACCGAACCATTCAGTCAGAAGCTCCCAGTCTCGATGGTCCAATGCAGGTTCCTCCCGCCCATATTGGGCGATTAGATAGCCCGCCAGGCTTCTGCTCTCAACAGCCTTGTGGCCGTGTCGTTGATCAGGCTGGTCTACCCACCCTTTGTCCTCCAGGATCTTGTCTCGGTTTGTCGTCGAGGGGTCGTCCGTGAAGCGTTTGAGTAGATCAAGCTCAGATTCGTCCAGGACAGCGTCGTCCGTACAGTGAAAGTTGATGATCGAACACGCAAGCTTGTGCGATCGAATCTGCTCACCGGTATCCCCTGTTCACCAGTTAGAGAGGGGATTGTTGGCATCGGAATCCTACCCACAAGTCCCTTGTGTGACCGACATTCCTGTGTTTGGGCACCTCGCGATTATTCTTTTGTGGTTGTTCGGGCTGTTCGGGAGAGGTTTCGACCGTCAGAAACATGAAGGGGCTGTCGCCTGCATTTTCTAGCACGCCGATATCAGGCGTCCGCCACAAGTCACCGCGGGATGGTCGTCACAGGGACCATTCGCTTTACCAATCACAAGGGATGACGACTGCAGCATCATGCATAATCCCAATGGGCGGTGACAACCTCGCCCCAGTCCGCCTGACGCGCAAACCAGCCCCAGCGTAGCTCTGCTTCCAGACTCTCGAAGGCTTTCTTCGGTTGGTGGAAATATCAACGCACGATATCCGGCACCATTTCAGAGGTCCTCTCCCCTGGCTTACGCCTTATGCGGAGACTATCATGTGCCTCCCATGTAGGCGAGATCCTTCCAAGGGGCTACGCAACGTTGGGTTTCTCTCTAGAGCGACGTTTTTGTTAATAACTCATGTTATACTGCTATCAGGCGAGAAATATAAGATGCGCTTATTGAAATATCTCATCCTTGGTTACTTAGGACGCTCACCGCTTTAGTGAGGTGCCATATTGGCCCTCTGCCACAGTTGTGCATCAACGCACCTTCACTGGCAGGGACAGCCTCATTGATATGTCCTTCACCGATTTGAGGATCACACCTATCATTTCGCTCAGATCGAGCCTAGGAAAATTCCATTCTCCGTTTCACACAGTCCCGTCACAGTGATGGCGCCCCAAGGCGCTTCAAGAAAAAGAGATGCGTAAAGGGCTCAGCGACACGCCGCTGGCTGCTATGCAAAAGGTCGAGAACATCACAGGTACCAGTAAGGGCGAAAGGTAATACGTCTTTGAGATGGTGGGTCTGCCGCTTGTGCTCCTCGTTATATCCAGCACTGAAGGGCAATCACATTACGGCCAAAGGCTCGCTCATATGTGCCCTTTTTTGGCAAAGGACTGACTGTTACGAAATCCTGTCCGGCGATCAATTCCAAAGGTTATATCTTCCGGGATCCTAGTCAAGGGGTTACTGGGACGTGCATGTACCGAGTAAAAACAGAAATTCTCATACAGTGAGCATCATGTCGTTATTGCCGCCCAGGTATTGAATGATATATACATAGGGGGCGTGCCCCTGCTATCGTAAAAACGCGATGTCGAGGGCCTGCCAACTGCTCCTAAAAGAAGACCAATTTCGTTGGCACGTCAAAAACAAACCAAGTTCTTCGTTCAGCCGACTTCGTAGCACTGTTATGGATCCGAAAGTCCTGCCGCGAGCTACCAAGGTGGTATTATGAGGATGACTCGGTATCCCCTCCTCTCGCGATATGAAAAAGTTTCGTGACGAATCCGATCACGAATCCTTCTTTTCGGCCGCCACCTCCTGCTGGGTCTCCGCGTCTTGCTTGATCGTCCATCCGTTGAGATGGCCGGTGCCACCGGTCAAATAGGTTGCAAATCCCAGCCACGCGAGATACGGCGCCATCAAGTACGCGGCCGTCTTATCCACCTTGTGCCAGACATATGTCATGTAACCCACGGTGCCGGTCAGGGTGATCACGTCAAGCATGGCCTCGATCGGTCTGCCTAGACCGAAAAACAGAGGCATCCAGACGAGGTTCAAGCCCAGTTGTATGGTGTACAATGTCGCGCCTCTTCTTGCATGTTCGACGGTCTGCGGGCTCGGACTCGCCAATCCGATCGTCCAGACACGGTGGGCGGCATATCCCATGAGGAGGTAGAGTGCAGACCAAGCCGGGGCGAACACCCACGGAGGCGGTCTGAACGGAGGATGTTTTAGAGCCTTGTACTGGTCTTGCGTGCTTCTGAACTTTCCTCGCTCTGTCGCCGCCGAGTCAGAGAACCGCTTGGGACTCAGTTTTCCAGGCTGTGAGACAAGGCCGGATCCCAGGCCAAGTCCAAGGGGAAGCAGGATAGAGATCGGCGCATTGGAGAAGACGGACGCAGGGAGCGTCAAGCCTGGCACGTAGGCCATCGCTGTGGCTCGCTTCGAGGAGGTGTGTTTCTAGGAGTCTGGAGAGGCGAAAGTCCGACGGGACGTTCAGGAGGAGGTACGGGGCATCAGTCCTGTCTCAGTAGAGAGGGAGTGATTTGGAAGGACTCGAGGGGTGATGAGCGAAAGATATGTCTGAAATAATAGCCATCAGGTGAGTGGAATGTTTTGGGTTCCTCATCAGGTGAGCCGAGCGTCGTCTGGGGCAAGATGACGCAACATCTCATTCCAGTATGTGTCCATCCATTTAATAACGGCATGCAACACTTGCGATGTTCATGTTTGGTGACATACAAGATGCATTGTCAGGTTACATTCGTATAGATCTAAAGTCATTTGCTGCCGCTCAACTATACCATTACGCGTGATTAGGCAAAAGCTCCCACTATCGCCATCAGCAGGCCCCCCAAGCCCACCGCGAGACATGCTTCGATCCTTCGTTGCCCAGTCAGAACCTCGTAACTCTTCTCACTCAAAAAGTCCTCTGCAATCAGTTGTACCAGCCCGGCAAAAAGCAAAAGCCCACTGGAGATTGCATTCGTGATACCGACCATCAGTAGTCCCACCTTGCTGGCGGGGTCATATAAGGAGTGCAAGACAATCCCCATTGCCTGCCCGATGGGCGTCGTCGCGCCATACGCGAGTGCCATGAGCCAGGGTTTTGGAGATGAAGCATCAAACAAGGTGGGTATGAGTGCTGCGATGCGCGCGCCGAGTGCAAATCCTTCAAAGGTCTGATGGAAGCAAATTGCAATCAGTAAGACGGCAAATTGTGTGCCCTGTGCGACGGAGACGGCCATGCCGATGAAGATGCTGTGGAAGAGGATGCCCGCTTCGAGGAGTAAGCATTGGAGGAAGAGACGCTGGGGGTTCTCGTCATCTTTGGAAGGGGGATGGTGGAAGTTGTTTTCATGCTGGGATCTCTTGCGCCGGTGAGGGTTGCTCAATGTCGCAGATTCGTCCGCAGCCGGATCGAGGTCGTCTAGCTCCAAATCTGAGTCGCTGGACGCCGAGTCGCGAGGTTCCGGGGACGCATCTGTATACGGCCTCGTGGGCGCTTGCAGGTGTTCTGATGCGATATGCCCGTTGCCGTAGCGCGCCGATCTTCCTTCTCCCGGGGATTGTTCCTGGTGTACCTTCTCCCAATCATTTGCGTGACTGTGGCCCGCCCCTTTGCTCGCAAAGAACATTTCGATCCCCACCACCATAAACACCGACAACATAGCAATCAACCCGGGCATTTGCGGGTAGGTCTGTGTCCAAAAGTCCGGCAGGCAAGGGTCGGTCATGGATATGAATGCCGTAGGAAGCAAGTGGATGAACGCCGTTGCAATGAGGACACCTGTGCCGAAATGCCGCGAGAGGAAGAGGAAGTGGTGCGGGATAGGGAGTTTGGGGAAACGGCGGGCGATGATGGGAAAGGAGCATGCTATACAATTGTCAACATAGATGCTGATGGTCAAGGACGATGGCTGCCTCGACATACCGAGAGTGCTCAGTGTTAGGATAAGGAAGAGGGCAAACACATGGATGCCGGTGTTGTAGGTCCCCCGTCTTCCCTCTGTGCCGCATGCCGGCTTCGCGGGCACATCTTGTCGTCTCTGCAGTTCCGCATGGAGGAGATCGAGGGGAAGCCTGCTCAACAATCGCCCATGGTCATCTGCCAGCAGCGGTCAGATCTTTAGCATGTGCCTGTGGTACAGAGCAAGGAATGGCTAACGAACCTGGAGCAGCGAGCCCAGGAGACTCGGGATGCATCACTCGTGCGCTGCTTCGGTGTGAGCGTCGGACTGTCCATAAACGCAGCAACAAGGGAGACGGCTGAGAAGGTGTCAAACGTCGCGTTTGGAAGTACTTTCAGATATGGACGTTTGAAAGTGCTGGTGCTTCTCCGTTGACACGGGGGAGACGGAGGAACTGATCCCGAACTCTCCGATAGCCGAGAAATACATACGTTCGACAGCACAATATCAAGATTCACAATTCACAGTATTGCCCAGAGTCAACGGCTGCAAGGAATCGAACAATATCATTCAGCTGTTCAGGCTCTTTGTACCAATGGCCTTCCTGCTCTGCCCCGACATACTCCTTCCACATCACGTCGAAGCCCACACGGTGCAATACGTCCCGGGCGTGATGGCCTTAGCTGATGTCGACATAAGCGTCATCCGAACCGTGTCCGAGCAAGACTGGCGTGGACAACAAGGGATGGGCTCGACCCCGGCCTGCAAGAGACATTTTGGTAGCTTCGAGCAGGGCACTGACAAAGCTCAGAGAGGATGTCGTAGTTGCTTCACCGCCATCATTGCACAAAACCCTTTCGATGTGAGAGGCAATTGGATGCCAGCAGCTCACTCCCATCAACCCCCCGAGTTTGCATGCCGCTCGACTTTGGTAGAGCAGTGTCCACAATCCCACAGCAGCCCCTTGGCTGATACCGCCGAGGACGACGTTGTGTGAAGCGCCCCTGAGCCTGGACACCTCCTCCTGTAGGATATTGCTGATGTCCAGCACTGATTCCCTGTTGCCATCCATCTGGAGATCTTCCCTCGCGGTGGGATCCGACAGCGAATGCGCCTGGAACCACGCCGGGAGCTCTTCGTGAAAGGCGCTACTCCAACGGGGGGGCGCTGAAGGAAAGACCCATCGCCATGAAGGGAACAGCAATGGTAGTGTCTAACCGCCAGCCCTCTCAGAAATGCTTGAAGAGAATAGCTCCTCTGCAAAATCTGACCCGTTGTCTCCTCGTCCGTGAAGTAATATCGCTGTATGGGTATGCCGGGTCACTGGATTGATGGTGTGGATCGAGATCGTGGACATGTTCAGCGTTTGTGGACTGAGGGCTGTAGTGTTCGGGGGGTGGCAACTTGAGAAACAAATAATATTTGGGAGGAGTTTTATGCATAGTTGTGCTAGGTAGAGAGTAATGATGGATGAGTTCGAACGACGGCCCTATGGATCTTCTTGTACCTTTCATAACCCGTCATTCATATAAATCAACTCTCACAAACCCTCGAGCGGCCATCTAAGACCTAGTCGATCAAACCTACAGCATATATCTCAGCTAGACACAGCTTCTGCGTCCCATTCAACCTACATTACCTTCCAAGATCATATCCACCGTCTTCTTCGCGACCATGTACACACAGCTCTGGATATTGCCCGAGACATGATTTGGGGAAATACTCGCATCCACGACCCGCAGGCCCTCGTCGCCTTTGAGCCTCGGCCTCGTGTCAACCACTTCCCCCATTGCACAACTTCCACAGAGGTGATGCTACGCCAGGTTTCCCGTTTATGAAGGCTATAGGCCGCTTCACGTGGGTATAGTCCCTTGGGTCCCTGGGGGCAAGTGACAAAGTGCCAGTCATAATTTCCATCTCCAGTCATTGCTATCGCCATGGCAGGGGTGTCAACTAATGGGTCATCGAGACGATTTGCCCCTGCTTCTAGGACGCCGATGGTGATGTAAGTGTCGTTCCTGAGTCGGTTTGCAAAGGGCGAGGCCAGCAGCACCGCCGCCAATGATGAGGAAGTCGTATTTATATTTCAAGAATTCATTGACATCACTAAGCGAAGACCTCGTATCAGTCGCAAGTGTTCGGGACATCGTGGATTCGATGTAGCCGCTACAGCCTCTGTGAGGCACAAGAAGCATCTTAAGAGTGCGGAGTATTCGAAACAGTTGTGACTAGAATATGTGTACCTAGTATATCGCCGATCAGGGCCCATGCGGTTATATTAGGCCCGCAGAGAGGCGAATGCAAAAATCCGTCTAAACAAGGGAAGAGAGAGGTCTATCCTTGATAAAGCCACCGCAGCCTTGTATCCAGGGTAGTTGCGAGTGCAGTTTCTTGTCAGCATTGGCGGATCAGAGCACATATCCCGTCCCTAGCAGCTCGACTGTCTATTTCGCAGCATTCTTTACCATCGTCTCAGTCAGCCACTGGCTGATGAATTGCTGAATCTCCTTGTTATTTTTCTCAATGGCCAAGAGATGGCCGTTGCCACGTATGCCTCGATCCGCCAGATATACATGCTCGACCGGTACTCCGGCGTCATGGAAGAACTGGACCGTGTGGTGATCATACGTAGCGTGATATGATGCTTCGGCCGTCACCACGACAATAGGAATAGAGGAGAGGTTGGACAGCTTCGGTGCGGGCGCCTTCAGCCGCGCTCCCGGTACGCGATCCTTGTCATGGGTCTCATTCGAGTCTCGCGTGAAATCCAGGCTTTTCGTGCCCTTGGGCAAAGGAGGGTCGTAGGTCAATGGAGTTGATGTGATGCCAAATGGGCGCACCAAGCTCCCCAGCTGGACAGATTGCGTCCTGGTGTAGAATTTGGGCATCCCTGGATAGATGAATGGTGGCCCATTCGGCTCCAAAGCGACAATCCCCTTGACCATGTCGGGGCACTCGTCCGCAATGTGCCAGCCGATGAGACCTGCTTGCGAATGGGTCACCAAAAAGGCCGGCCCTGTACGAGAGAAAAGATCTTTGGCAAGAGGACGAAAGGACCGCTCCACATCTCGATATTTTGCTCGGTGTCCGACCTGGCTGGCATAAAAGGCGTCGAAGAAGGCATCCCCTTTCTTGCCGGTGCCTGGCCATTGAGTAAGCAGTTTTGCCTGAGGGTATGAATCATGCGGAGGCGCCGTGAAGCACTCTTCCAATTCTTCTACCGTATAGTGAGTCAGTTCTCCCAGGTCGTCGGCATGATAACGCGACCTGCCAACGCCAGGCTGATCGACGACAAAGCATTCCCATCCTTCCTCCGCCTGGAGCAGGGCAATGCCAGGTCGGCCATCCGGCGTGGATTCCCAGTGAGTGCCGGTCTGCGCAGCCCCGTGGATGTAGATGATTGCCGGTCGGTTATCAACTTTCTTTCCAAACCGTCGTACACATGCTTGTCCCGTCATATGGGTGCCTCGATCATCCCTGATGTATTTACCGCCGACGTAAAACACCTCGCACAGGTCGGTGAGTGTCTGGGTATGTTCCATCGCGCCAGCCGTGTACCGAAAACGATGATGAAGCCTCACCCTTGTCAGTTGAGCAAGTATCTATTTCCCCTCTTTTGAAGGGCTCCCTGTCCACTTTGTAGAATCGGTCATTCGCCGGTCGGCAAATGCTTGCCGTTTTGCAGTCGTCTTACCATCCGAAGTGGTTTCGGCGACGTTTCCGAGCCGCGGGCGGATATACTGTAGAGCTCTGGCTGGGAGAGATTATCGTTTGGCAGGAGGAGTAGTGAATGAGATGCCTGATAGCAATCAAAGTCCATCCCCGCAGTTGGCTTGCAGGGAGGTACTAAACCCTGCCCCATACTGCGTATCTTGCCCCTATTTCCTTCTGATGTATCATCGGTTTTCCAGTGCAATTCAACGTCGTGCCCACAGGCTCTTAGGTTTCGGAATGAATGGTTGACCAGCCTCTCAAGTAATAAATTCCTACACTTCATTCACCTTGACAGGCCACGTACCCACCAGAGGACCAGATCTTCATTTTCGTCTACGCGCCCTTCTACGGTGACCCTCCACCTCCATCCTGCAGGACCACTCGTTCACAGACGCGAACTCGAGCCGGGTCGCCGCCATCAAAAGGGGTATTCACGTGACCATTTGACCAGACTATCCGCCGGACTCGATCTGTAAGAGATGTGGATTGTGGAATGTGGCCGGGATAAAAATATCCTCATGCAGCTCGTCTAGGGCCGATCGACCTAAATCCCGCGCTGGTCAAGGATCAAGTGTGGAGGTTCCAGAAAATAAAATCTTTGTATTCGTTTCGCAGCAATCCTATGTCCGTCGTAATCCTAGGCCAGGTACTTTTCCCATCAGTCTGTGTGGGCGTATGCTGTTCTCTGCAGGCATGGTTCCATCGTAGTCAGCCTCAAACACCCTCCCTTTTTACTTGGAAGGGATACCCTCGGCGGCCTTGGCCACCTCGTCTGCAATCTTCTCCTTCTCGCTGTCTCCCAGCTCCTCTCTGCCCTCCTCGAACACTTTGTCGAAGTCGTACTCGCCCCACCGGATGTTGGGGTTCAACCCGGCAAACTTCCACTCCCCATCGACCTTCTTGTACCAATGCATGTTGCTGCTGTGCGCATGTCCCTTGACGAGGACCTTGGTGCGGGTGGCATCTGTGTACTTTTGGTGAGGGACACGGAGCTGGTGGTATCCGATGATCTCGGTGTCCGAGACCCTCTCCCACGTGCTGGCGCCGCAGAAGTGCTGGGTCATCAGGCGCGGGTCGCCGAGCACCTTGGGATCGGAGATCATGGCAATGAAGTCGTCAGCGGGCATGGCTTCCCAGAGCTTGTTCAAGAAGGAACGGTAGTCGATGCGGACGGTAGGGGCGACGATCTTGCGCAGGCGAGCCCAGTCCTGGAAGCAAAGAGGCGTCAGTGAGATGGCGTTGACGGGGAAGAGAGTTGCAGTCAGAGGCCACTCACCTTGGAATCGTAGCTCTCCGCCCACTCCCAGTAGGCTCTCAGACAGCCCTGGTAATCTGTTGCGCCCAGAAGGACACGGCAGTCAGCGTCGATGACACACAAGGAAAGCTCCAGGACAGAGCGGGCGGAGACTCGTTCTCCATTGAGGTCGTGGGGACGAATCTCTCTCACCTTCCCAAGAAATCAACTTGTCCTTTGACGCCATGGCGAAAAGCAGCAAATTGAACGGAACGGTGATGTAGAGGAGGAGTGTCGCGTGCGAGGGGAATTCAAGAGAAATGAGATGGAGGGAGGGACAGATATAGGAGGAGGGGGAAGGAGGAGGGAACGAGGGCGGGTTTCTTTCTTGCACACCGCCCCTTTAGAGCCGTTTCTCATGTATCGCTCTCCTTGGTTTATTTATTTCCGCTATGCACACGTGCAGCGAGTCCACTCCATCCACACCAGTCTGAACCTAGCGTCGCCCGCCCGTGCGACGGTTGGCCTATGTTGGGCCAGCCAGGACCAGCTGTTCCTGAGCAACATCTGCAAGAGACGGACGCTAAGGCGGAAAGCCAACGGGAGGGTGTGACGGTGTTTAGGCGCGTTTCCAGGGGTGCTACGGGTGCTAGGAGGGGTGGTAGGGCGCCCCGGGCGTTAGGGCGCGGGGTCCGATGCCCAGAAACTAGCGACTAACTCGCAATAATAGTTTTCACTTAACGGAGCGGGTGCCATATTTGGGAACAACCAGCAGCAACCACAGCAACTGCCAACGCCGCCGCCGCGGAGTCCCTCTCGCCTCCTTCCGCCCTCCCCCTGAGTAATCCGCAAAGCACGACAAGAATGGCTGAACAAATGAATGATTTGTGATTGATGGCAAGCACTGAACTAAGCACTGAGGCAACAGCCCACTCCCATCATGTCAGATCGTTGGCAGCCTCTGTCGCGAGAGCGGCATCTTATCAGACTGGCACCAGGCCAAGCGACGAGGCTGAGGAGAAACGCCCCTTATAACCTGGAGCAGCCTCACAATTCAAGTCCATCGTCCACAACCTGCCGATCCAGAGTTCTCTGCGGTTGGCAAGAGTGGCGACCCGTGCTCTGTGAGAGCCTAGCTTCTTGTCCCGCTCCGCTGTTCAGGCAAAGCACCTCATCTTCGTCCCCAACCGCACTCTTTTCGTGACGCTAATAGTAGCCCTAGATGGCTTCAGAAATCGACAAGCCAGGCCCGTCTGAGCGTTCCGGAGCATCCCACCACATCTGAAGCGTCCCTTCTTGTCCAGAGGTAGTCGCCACAGGCTCATTGCTACACGCTGGTAATTGCCGAAGAAAGTGTGCCCGCGAATGTCGTCTTTGCTGCTTTTGACGAGGCCATGACCCAAGGTGACACAGATTTGACCTCCGATCTGGACAGCGTGACCGCTGGAGTGGTGGTACGGAGCCAGCAACACGGAGTAGACACTGCCTTGAAACGACAAAATGCTTTCGGCAATGTCGTTGGGAAATCGCCATCGTCCTTGATACTTGATTGGATGCCATGGGGTGACCAGTAACTCGCTGACGCGGCACAGCTTCTGCGTATGGCCGTGGACTCTCGTCTTCAAAACGGCAGCGACTGGTCGTGGCCCCATGGGCGTCCACACCATCATCCCCGCCTTGAGACTCTTGATCGGCGCTTTCGTGGTCCCGTCGCCCATCAAAATGGTACAGTTGCCTTCAAAGCAAGGTGTTGCCGCCGAGTTGTAGCTGCTCATTGAGACGTTTCGGTGTTGAATGGTTTTTGTTCCCGTTACATTGCCAGTGGGGCCGTATGTGAATACCACTGTCAGGGGGCGAGACGGTTTCGGCGCCGGGAGTTCGTCAAAAGCGGAATCGAGCTCGCTGCGATATTTGAGAAAGAGTGGGCTATCTTTGCCGTATAGCAGCACGCCGGGGTCTTTGAACGTGTTGCACATTTGATGCTCATGTGCATGGAGCAAGCTGGGTAGATAATGACGACCCCATTTTTGCCAATAGTTCTTACCCGGAGTCCAGGTGAGGGCTTTGGAGATCTGACCTGCTGGTTCATCACCGATAAGCTCCTTGAGGAGCTCCTTGAGCGCAGCTGCATCTCTATTCGGAGATTGTTGCATTGACGTGGCTATGTCGTGCAGGGTTTTCTGTGCTTCGACGACAGAAGCTCTGTCCATGCTGGCCGGATGTTCGCCTTCGTCCCCCAAGGGAAAGAGACGGGATATGAGCCCACAGATTTGAGCTCGGCGCAGATGGTATTCAACCCAGATTTGAGGCTTCACTGTCTTGTCCGAAAACACTGCACGGCTCTGAAACCCATGAGAAGCTCCGTCGGTAGCTTTGTATCTGAGTGCTGCGGTAATGACGGTGTCGCCAGGTATACCTTGCGGACACACAAACACCACCTCCCGAGATTGGCCGTACTGAATGTTGCCCAAATCCCACAGGTGTTCTCTTTCTCCAGCACTCAACGTCATATCTGGTGTTGTTTCTACCGCGACGTCCTTTGACAGCGTGACTTTCAACGTGGCAGACACGCCAAATGTTGTGTAAAGATTGGCAACCGAATGCACGAATACTGTGCCAATCATGCCAGCATCAGGAATGAATGCATAAGTACCCAGGCCTATGTCGGCAATCGCCTTCAGCAGTCCCGAGCGGATGGCGTACCCAAATCCAAATGTGTGAATGGTAGGTATGATAGGTCTCTCGCTGGCTGCGGACTCTAGCATGGGACGGAGCTTCGCAGCATACCTGTATTCAATCAGCGACCCATTAATCGATATTCGTAGTCAAGGTCTGGCTTCGTACCCCTGTTTCGGACAGAAATGATTGGGCTGACCATCGGTCAGAATGTAAAGACCTTGTACGTTGTCCACAAGTGGCGCCTTCGCGAACAAGCTCAGCCCAGTACGGATGCCCGCCCAGAGGTTGGTGCATGCCTCATCACGGAGCTTCTCGATGCTTTTCCATGTCGCATTCTTTGAGCCCGGCGTCATGAATGTGAGAGGTTGAACGATCTATTAGTCTTGCTGTAAGTATTGCGCGTACGGAGCGGATCCTGAGTTCATCTCACCTTTGCATCATCCGAAAAGGTCACGATACCCAGTCTGTCATTCCCACCCAGAGTTTCCAGGATCGTCCTTGCAGCGTGCTTCACGAGATCAAGAACACTCAGTCCTGTTGCCTCCCTCTCATTCTTGTCCTGAACATCCGGGAGGGGCGCCGCGCTCGCCATGCTACCAGAAACATCGATGACAAGCACAATGTCGCAAGAGACGCGCTTGAGACCTTGCTGTGGGACTCGCGGTGGCTGGACAGACACTATGAAGGCATCACTGTCTCTGAGGGGATGAACTTCAGCAATGGTATCGTCTCGTATGTGTGTTGAGCGCGGGCGTAGTGCAAGGGCGGAGGGATGATCCACCATGGTGAAGCCTTCGGACGAGATGCTGTTGGCTGTAGAGCCGCTCATGGTGTTTGTCGATGGATGGGGGGCAGGATCTTGTAGGGATGCGGAAAGCATTTCATGAGCCAGCAAAAGACGAAGACTGCTGGTCACTGTGCTGGTTTGCTCTGATGTTTGCTCTTGTGTCAGTTTCCGACTGGATGTGCCTGCTCTTGAAACCGCGTACCTTGTCGTGTCGGTGCTCTCTTTGTTGGAATAAGGAGGCAAGGTGTGGCTAGCCTCCGATGAAATGCAATTTGCCGTGCTTTCTCAGACCTCAACTCTGGCACAAGGCAGTTCTCGCAGTCAAAATAATCTGAAAAGCTCGCAAGAATATGTAAAGTACAGGCTCATGAGTCACGAACGGGGTGGGCTACTGCCTTCGAATAGCATTTGTCGATGAGGCAGTGAAGCCTCCCAGGCTGATCTGTGTGGATATTCAAATCTTCATTGCGGAACCAAGACAATTCTTTCGCGGAGTCGAGGTCCATTAGTTTCAAGATAAAGGCAGTTTGTAGACTCATCTAGCTCGACAGACTTTGCTAGCATCCAGAGGCTGTGACAGCCGATGACTGCACGGGAGTTTCGCAGAATGATGGATCCCATCGAGCAGAAAAACGCTGCATAGCAACGTGGTAGATTTGGTCACGAACCGGTGAATAGACCACAAGGACCGAGTTCCAATGTACTTGTCCTGCTCTGATGAGGATATGTCGTTGTGGAAACATTCTTGGACCAATCGAGCGAACCCTAGGACTTGCACCTCGATCGTTCCATTCTGCTGAGGTACAGTCATATGTCCACTTCTCACAGCTCTGCTATCGGTCCTGCACGGGGACAACAGATTTTGCCTTGCTAGTGAGCCTAATGAGGCTGAGGACAACGGACTTTTGATTTGTGGGGTAGCACTTCGGCAACTAGGCTGTAGTCCGTGCAAGGCTAGTGATAGGTACAAACCAGTGGGTGGCGCCTCCAAAGACGGTGGATGGCGGCAGTGCAACGATCCAAGATTCCGCGGCTCGAAGAGCTAAACGACATTTTGGTGCGGTAGCATCAACTTGTACAAGTCCAACGGGCTGAACACAGGAGAACTTTGGGTTGCCACTGAAGCTTCGAGTAAAGTCCTCGGAGAGGTCTTCAAAAGCCCTCCCCGGTGCCGCTGAGAACAATACCGCCAACACCAAAATGCCTGCCAGCAGGCTATATTCTGTAGCACCGCTGTAGTGGGTTGGGAGTCCTGGTGCTGCGTTGAGCAGATCGTACTTACCGTTACTGGAGTGCATTGGAAACCATGCATATGGTGCCGGCTCATTGTCCTGCGCATTGTCCGCCCCTTCCTATCGGCTCGCGAATCAGTTGCATTCTTGTCATCAGGACGACGGTGCAGCTTGTGTTTGCTGATTCATATTCATGTTTTCTTGGCTGTTCGTGTTGAGGTCTGGGCACGTTCTTGAGTCAGCGACACCTTCAGCTGGGTTGACTCAATCACACAGCCTTTTGACTCGGTATAAAAATGCGGCTTCCGCGGCCGCACCTGCCCGTTGGTCAGCGAGACATTGTCTAGGCGGAGAGAACGCAAACGCCGTGTTATCGGCCGACCTTGGCTCTTGGGGGAGTTATCAGCCTTTGTGTCCGATGTAGCGAGTAATTGGTCAAGTTCAACCATCAAGTGGACTGACTTAACCTGTTATGACAAGGGTTATATGCGTCCTCGTTGGCCAGTTTGTCGCCCAGAAAAGTCAACGGTTGTCAAGTGAAGCGACGTCGATGTCAGAATGTCCCCTTGCACTATCAATGTCGGATGACTTCGTCAGCATGTAGATGGGCGCAGAAGTAATGGTGCCCATGATCGAAGATGAGCAAAGAGGTTGCAACCGCTAGATCCCGGTACTGGCATATTTGGCCTATAAAAGACTCCAACCACCCTGAGTAGTTCTTGACACAGGTACGCGGATCGAATAGACGAATATTGCGACACTCGCCGTGCCGATCACATCACAGCCTTCCCTTGCCTCTATCCTCCGCTGAATTCATCAACATGGGCTCCATATCCCCAAAGGAAGAGACCATTCTCATAACGGGTATCTCAGGATTCGTGGCCTCGTGAGTCGTGTCCCTGATGCATAGTCTGGTCTCCTGCGTGGCGAGGGGTCACTGCTGCCTAGACCTGGCTTCGGCTATAGCTCTTGCGTTGACTTGTGTTGTAGGCACATTGCTCACACATTCCTGGAAGCCGGATATCGCGTCCGGGGGACTGTCCGGTCCGAGAGGTCAATTGCTGGCATAAAGCAGGCCCATGCGAAGTACGCCGATCAATTATCCTTCATCATCGTTCCCGATATGGCGGCCACCGATGCTCTTAACGAGGCAGTCAAGGGAGTGACAGGAGTTGTCCACACGGCAAACCCTTTCATTTTGAACCCCAAGGACAACGAAGAAGAGCTCCTCAAACCCTCGATTAACGGGATCTTGAACGTCCTCAGAGCTGGGGCTACCCAGGGCTCGATCTTACGCCGTATCGTGCTGACGGCCTCCTTTGCCTGTGTCCTGGACCTCAGCCAAGGTCTTCGCCCAGGCTATACGTATACCGAGTTAGATTGGAACCCTGCCACATATGAGGAGGCCAAGAACTCGTCCAACGGTGGTTTCACATACTGCGCGGCCAAAGCCCTGGCAGAGAAGGCCGCTTGGGAATGGATCAAGGAGAACAAGCCATCATTCTCCTTCACTGCTATCAACCCACCGTGGATTTTCGGCCCTTCACTGGCTGGAATAAGGTCTCTGGATCACCTGAATGAGTCGACAGAGGCGATCTGGAAGCTCGTCAAGGGAACTGCCAAAGAAGTACCGCCCATTGATTTTGCAGGCTTTGCAGATGTTAGAGATGTTGCCCTCGCCCATCTGCGCGCCTACGAATTGGAAGAGGCAGGTGGCCAACGATTCATTGTCGGTTCCCACTTCGACTATCAAACAGCAGTGGATTCTCTCCGCGATGACTGCCCACATATCCGGGACCGCATACCACGAGGAAATCCGGGTAAACGAGAACCAGTATACCAATTGGACGGAAGTAAGGCAGAGAAAGTCTTGGGTATCAAGTACACCCCCCTCAGAGTAACGCTGAAGGACACGGTGGAGGACTTGTGCGACGCTGAAAAGATGCAATCGACTTAAAATGCCATCTAGCACCCACAACATACGAGGTACTCCCGTACTTACACACCCGCAGATCGCTTTGAAGGGGATGCTGTGGGTCAGAGACGTCTGGCTGCGGCAGGGGTCCATTCAGGAGGCTCTGAGGACGTACGTAGTAGTTGCTAAACGATGAGAAAGCGAAGCCGACTTACTCGAATTCGCAATCTGCAAATCCGGCTCCGGATCATCGTACCGTTCCCATCAGCCTTGTCTCAAGCTATCTCAAGCCACAAGGTGGTCCAAGCTTTAAGCGGCATCACGTTTGGTGACTAGACTCCATGGCAAAGCGCGGGTAATAATATAGGGTCTCCATCACGGAGCAAAACTTCGTGTTTCCACAACGGCAGGCGTGTCTGTCGCGACGTGTCTGAGCACGTCTGTACTGGCGAGCACGGATTCGCGACTGCTCGACGCAAAGGGAATTCGACTAGCTGCCGTTGCCACGTGGTACTTCCCCTGCGCCAAACATCTAGCTTCTCGAATTGATTCGCCCCTGTTCTGCCGGCAAGCGGGATCGGGAAGACCACAAGCCAGGCTAATGCTGCACTCAGGGAAGGGGAGCAAGATGAGTGTCTTGGAGCTCGTGTTTCGGACGTCATCGAGCGGGCGAGGATGGTATCGTGGATGGTCTTGGTCGTATGGACACAGTGAGCAATCTTCGGCTCTGGGCACGGAGATCCGCACAATCATTGATACTTGTGCTGGCTTTTTGTAGCGCCACCAGGACTTTGTTTTGGCCCTCTTCTATCCAACATGTGGCAATGGTTTTGGCAGGACGTTTCTATCTGACCGTCCCTACATCTCATTTGGCATGCCCGTGGGTTCTGGCCATCAATAGTGGCAGAAAGTGAGGCTTAGAGGTGGATATAACAGGTAAAGATCGTCTCCAGGGCCATGCTGATTCATGATAGGCAAAGATTGCAGGATTCGACAGAGCACCGTCGGGTGCGGCCAGTGCCTAGTTCCAGTCACATTAGCACTTTTAGTTCCTTGGGGAAGAGCCGGGACCAGGCATGGAGACATGAGATGGACCCTTTATCACTCGGGATAGGGGCCACCTAGGGGCCACCCACCACAAGGTGGTCGGCGACCAGGCCCCAATGCAGCATAGTTGACACCTTAATATTGAACTGCCGACATGCGACGTGCTCGGCTCCCTGTCAGAAGCTGGAATACGGAGTGAATGGGGTGCTTGTGACCGGGCGGGGAGATGGCGCTCGCCGCTGAGCAGAGGACAATTAAGTGAGTTTCTTTCGCACAATTCTCGCTGTCACAAAGAGGCAAACAGAAAAGTGTGATCGACCCGGGTGAGCTGATGATACTGGTTGAGAGCATCTTGCTCACACGAGGATGCCACGCGTCGCACATCAGAGAACAACGGTGGTTTGGGCAAGGATTTGCGTGCAGATTCGTCGGTAGTACGATACATGGCAGCATGCAACAATGAGGGGGCCGAGAAGGTCAAAGATGCGACAAGAAACAAGACGGCACGTGGGCCAGCTACGAGGTCCTCGCGCATCCACTCCGGATACTGGAAGCGGCAGACCGAAGAAACAGACAGGGTCCAGCAATCGCTGGGATAGGCACCTCCCAAGTAGTAGGACCCTCTAGAAGAAGCACCTACGGGGATGTTTCGAGCACCCATGGCTACGAGTAAATACCTGCTAATCACCAGGTAGGCAGGTATGTGCTGTATTACTCGTAGGTAGAAGGGACAAGGTACTGGTGCCTGCCTACCTCAGTAGAGTTGACGCGGCGGGCAATGGTGATGGTGGGGTGGGCCACAGCCCTTGGCCCGGGTAGCAATCATACCTACCAATACCTAAGGGAGCCCCCCTTCAGGCCTCAGGGGACCCGGTGTCCCTCACAACAATAATGGGGAGAGTTACCTCGTTACCTCGTTTCTTTGCTGTTTGTCCTCCCACGTTTCTCATGTCAGACACAGATCTCCAGTAACTGGTTCTCACGCGGCACCATGCAACAACCGTCTTCTTTGCCTTTAGAAAGAGTGGCATCGCCCCTAATAGCCACCGAAGTAACGTTGATAGACCGTTCACAGCATCATGTAGCACGTAGGCCACCAGTAGATACCTCCTTTGGGGTACCTGGTTCAAGTGTTATGCCCACCGCAAATACCTAATTCAATCTAGTCGACCCTACAAAAGGGAAGAGGTGACGAGGAGAAAGCCGGGGGGCCACCAGGCAAACCCACGCACCAAGCAGCCCAAAGCAACCACCACCGGACCAGAGCTCCCCAGTTCCAATGGATAGCCCCGATCTAGTCAAAGAACGTCTCTACCTTGTCGACTCGGATTCGACCACCACGTACCTGATTTGACGGGTTGATCCAGTATCGTATGCCAAAATGGAAAGGGTGGATTTGTCCACTGCCATGGCATTGGATTGGGCGTGCCGTCTCCATCTCCATCTCCACGTCCACGTTCGACTCTCTCTCTAACTCTTCTGCAACGTACTCTTTTTGCCTCTTGAAACTTGTTTTCGGCTTTGGCCTTTGGCTCAACCTTTTTTCCCTCCTGCTATAGCGAAAGTATACAGAGTACATGCTTTGACCATCCCATCGACAGAATATCCCATCCTATCATTTGCACCCCCTGTCTCTGTGCGGCGCCCACCTGCGCTCCTCTTACTCTCCGGACCCTCTGCAGAAAGTGAATATCCCTCCTCCGATCCTCTGGGGTCGAACCCAACCTCACGCTCTCCTTGATCTGCTCTTCTCCTGGCGCCACCTCTGGTCTGCCCCTCAAGGTCGCTATCTCAGACAGATCTCGCCGACTCAAATCGATCATCTTTGAACTTCTCATCAGTCAACCGCAACCAGATCACATCCCTCCTCTGCCATCTCCCGCCGACCGCTCCTCTGTGCGACACCCGATCCCGCGAACTCGCCAGGTTGAATCTCTCCCTCCTCGCAGCCTTTTCTTCTGGCAACCTGCATACCCTCGATTTGGCTCCACAGCATCTCCCGCTCCACGTTTTTTGAACAAGACCTCGAGACCTGCGAAGGTTTGGAAAGACACCGGATTCGGGCGCTCTCCGATCTGGCACAGACCTTCTCGTAAAGACTCTGGCAGTTGGAGCACAATACATTCGACACTTGGATGGTCCAGATCTTGAATCCTTAAGCACGGCCATCCAACGATCGAATTTGGCTCCCACGTTGCGAAGCGCATTGATCCCGCCCGCGTCACTCGATCCTGGGTCCCGTTTTGCGCTGGGTCGTCGCATCTTTCCTTGAGAGCTTTGTGCCACTTATTGCTGCGGTGTCAGCGTCCCTGGATCACCTTTCCACCACAATACACCCGACGTTTTATTTATCGCATTTTACGGTCCAATAAATTTCGGAATCGAGAGCGCTTCGATTGACGAGTCAGAGGCCTTTCCAACCGGGCTTGAGCGCCATATGCGCAATTGGGCAGTCTTTGCTCGCCATCTGAGCTGATCATATTCGACATACGCATCAACAGCCTTTGACATGATGGAGACTACGAGCCACCGCCCCTGGGAGTCGAATCCCCCTCCCAGCCTGCCTCAAACACTGCCATCGATAGCTTCTTTGACCTCAAAACTCCCTGTCCAGCCGCTAGACAGGGCGCCCTCAGACCTCTCCATCCATCCGCCTCAGAGAGATTCAGGGAGTTGGATGACTCCTGGTACCCGTCAGTGTTCTGGTCCCTGCCAAATGCCAGTCGCCTTGCTAATCCTCTACTCCTAGTATCAGGATCTTCGACGAATTCGATGCCGTACCTAAACTCTGCCCACTCGCCAACCGGTGCGGGAACCTCACCTTACACTCCGGATAACCCATCCGCGCCTCCAGCCCCTTTCAACGGTGGCTTACACCCGCAACCCAATGGCCTCCCACCGCCAACGTCAGATCCGAGCCCCCATCCAAATAGAGGTAGCGGCGACTTTGACGACTCCCGGAGGAGCAGCGTTGCTTCAAACAGCATACACACAGGCATGAACAATCTCGGGCTCGGTCCAACATCCCCCTATACAAGCACCAATGCCTCGCAGACGTCTCTCGTCTCCGGCCTGCAAAGGGAGCGAGGTATTCAGACAAATGGGTATGGCGGGGGAGGCGGCCGGTATTCCACCATGAGCGGGCCAATCTCGTCCTTCGGATCGAATCGCGGTGGAAGAGGTGGTTTCGCTGCGGGACGAGTAGCACCTCCGATTCTCGAGAACCCGAAACAGGAAGTTTACAGTGCAGAAGCGCCCACTCGAGGCCAGGCATATGCATTCCCCGATCCGGACGCGCCTCGGCCGCCAGGCAGACCTCCTTCAACGTATTCGCGCCGGAACAGTTTCGCAGACTCATTCTCCAGCAGCATTTTGACAGTGGAATCCAGCAGATTACCATTGGGGCAGCAAGGTAAGCGTGCAAGATTCGTGAGACTGGTGTCAAATCTAACAAATGTCAGAATTACCCGAAGCTCACCATCACAGTTTACAACACAAACAACTAGACAGTCTTCGAGGCGATCCTGACTCTCCCAATGGAACCACCCCCTACAGTCGCACACCAGAACTGCGAGTAACTCATAAGTTAGCCGAGCGCAAGAGACGAAGTGAGATGAAGGATTGTTTTGAATTGCTGAGGAGTCGATTACCAGCCAGTCAAAATAACAAGTCAAGCAAGTGGGAAACGTTGTCACGAGGTAAGGAAATATCGCAACGGCAACAGCATAGACGCTAACCTTCGATAGCTATTGACTATATTGGACAGCTTGAAAGTCAGAATAAGCAAGCACGAGCCGAGTTTGAAAGCCAGCGGATGAAGATGGCTGAACTTGAAGCCAAGATGCACGAAATGAGTCGACAAATGCAGGGAATCCAGCAACCTCAGGGCTCCTTTCCCCCTCCACCGACAGTGATGCCACAGAGCCCCCTCGGATACGCGCCTCACTTTAACAACCACATTGACGGCCCCAACGAGCCAACACGGACGCTTCCGCCGATAATGAGCACCACCTCGATGCAAGGCATACAATATGATGACCGGCGGTAGCGCTATTTCTTCTGGCTCTGGGCCCCCAAGTCTCGCTATCTTTTCTTTGGGTTACTTTTTGGGATATTTTGATTCTTCTGTGCATTACACTGGAATTGTGGAGCTGTCAGCCAAAAGCCTCGGACATTCAAAGAAGAGGCACGACTTTCTGGGCTCCAAGGGGTAGGATCGATCATTGAATCATGATACCATGGTCAACGGGATATGCTTTTCGGGAAATGGAGCAAAATCGTTTAGGGCTGGACAGTTGTCAAGCCCATGCTGTCGCATTTACAGGATTGCGACACCTATTCGAGGTCGAAGCAACAGACATGCTTCCAGACTGTTAGATAAGTGGGAGTTTCGTCAGACTACGGCCGATACGGTCTCTGTATATGAATTTTGGAGATGCAAAGCCACATATCACTACCGTTTCATTACCGATTTCATTAGCCATAATCTTTGAGGCTGCATCTCAGGTGTCGCAGCCTTGTGAAACATTAAGCTTTATGTAAGCCCGCCGTTCGTGGCTCTGATTGGCTCCCAGAGCTTCCACAAAGTTATCAAACATTACTGACCGCGCGCGTAGTTTCGACCTCGTTTTCTCTTCCTCCAGTCATCGTCTGCCTTCCCACCTGAAGGGAATCAGATCTGAAGAGCGGCCTAGCCGCCAGGCTAGATGCCATGCGATATTCCTGGCTAGCCGTCGAGATCTATGTTTGGGGCATTCTGCTCGCCGCAAGCTCGGATCCAAGGAAACGTGTCGCGGACCAGAGCCTCAGACAAACAATGGGGCATGACAGGCCCCAGAGGAGTTTCGTCTGAGAATGACCCCCACCGGATGCGGATGGACCTCTGTGGTTGTAAACATGGTCGAACTAGGTGTTCTACCAATCCCTTTCTGCCAGACCGACCCCGCCTCTGATCAGGTCAAATAATGATGCGACGAGGAACTTTCACTTCTTCTTCACATCACTCTTACCTGTTTCCTATTGTCATTTCCTTTTGTTATTTCTTTCTTATCCTCAGGTTTTGTAAAATAATCTACACTGATTCCGTGGACAGGATCCATTCAGACCCGCGAGACACTCAATCTCTCGACTTGAAACAGCCTCGCTGGTTGCTTCACCAAAGACAAATTATAGTTGACTCAAAAGCGATGACAATGAACACCAGGCTGCAGCGACAGGCCTAAAAACCCCTTTCGATCCTTGATCGAATGAAAAAAAGCCATGCCAAATTTTCCCCTTACATCTCCCTCCACACGTGGTCAAATTCTCCAGATATTTTACACTAGCAATAATGGTTGTCGGTTTCGAAAGCTCCCGCAGCCAAGGTGCAGCGTTGAAGAGGACGGAGTTGGAGCATCGGCAACCTAGCTCTGTTCCCGCATTCCCATTGTCGTCGCCTCATCAAGAAACTCTGACGACATTTAAACCCATCCATGGCGGCACAACATTAGCACCAAACGAAGCCTTCTTTTCCCCGAACCCCTTCGCTTCCAGCTGTTCCGATGATGACACTGGATCATCAAGTGGACAAGATGAGTTCCATCTTGAGAGATACAGCCAAGAAACGACCAGAAATGGACAATACTCACGACCAAGTCGCAAGCAATCTAGCCGGCGAAAGCAACAGCCGCAGTCGGCCGGATCTCGCACCGATAAAAAGTCTCGACCAGGACTGAACATTGTCACCAATTTCTCAGGGCAGGCGAAAAGGGCCCAAACTGACGGATTTGTTATCGACCAAGTACAATCTCAAAGACCTCGATTTGGCCCGCGATACACCACATCCATCATGTCGGCTAAAGCTGAACATGTAAGCCACTCGGTGCCCGAACTTCTTGCGAATCATGATGTGGACGGTTCACCAAATCAGAGGGTTGAGAACTTGAAGAGGATCATTGCCCGACAAGCCGTTTCAAAACTGCAAGAGTCGCAAGCAGCGCGAAAGGCGAAAAAGCAGTCGAGGGCCGCGGGAATGACAGATGCTGGATCACAAGTTCGTGGGATTGCTAAAGAGGAGGAGCTGCGAGGACCCGCTAACGCCATGAGTGATTACTCCCCGGGCGCTCGATCAATCGTTATAGGAATGAGTGTCCCTGAACATGAATTGGATGCACACCATTCTGCCGGTGGAGCAAGTACTGCCTACTCCGCGAACACGCCCGACACACCGGCAATTGTGGTTACTCCAGCCGAAGAAACAGACTCGTGGAAACCGCCTTTTTTCGGCAAAGGCCGCCCTGTATCGAACATGTATTCTCCACACACACGCAGTGAAATGCTGATTCAGCACAGCAATCTGCCTCCAGTGCCAAAGATCCCATCAAGACATGCACAACGCGATAACCAAGTTCAGCCAACGGTAGGCGCGAGCATTGTTCAGTCACCTCAAGCATCTTACCAAAAGTACGTTGCGAATTATGATAGTGACGACGAACGAGATCGTCGATCTTTGGAAGAGATGCCGAGGATGTCATCTGATAGCCAAGAACGAATTCTCCCGTCAGACTTGGAAAGCAGGCGACACAAATCGCAGGGTTGGTGGAACCTTATGCTCTCGCCCATGCTTTCGAGGAAGGGGACGATAGTGGAGAAATCCAACAGCAAGAGTCCGGAGACGCCTCCCGTTCCTTCGCTGCCGCACGACGTACGGCTTTCCAAAAGTGATATTGTTTCTCCTTTGACTTCCGAATCTCCAGAAACACCTCGACGGCTCGGTCTGGCCAGTGCCAGAGCAAGCATTTGGTCTAGGTGGACAACATGGGAAAGAGAAAGAGATGAAAAGGTCCATTCCCCTTCAGAAAACCTACCTCAACCTGATCTTGGCCAAACTCGTGGTTTCGTACAAGATGACGACCCAATTCCAGCATGGGCTCTCGTCGACATTAACAAAGGACTTGCAGCAGAATACTATCATGCATGTGCTGTCGAACAACTGACGGGCGTTCCATACTTTGAATGCCAAAATCATTCTTGTGCCGGCAAACTGCCAAAGCTACATTCCATTTTCGACAAAGAAGTCGCCTTTGAGCCTTCACAGAGCGTTCCTGGGTTGATGCAAGTGGACGAGGATGTTGAGATGGATGCTCACGTTCCTAATTATGAAGAGCGAGATCTGGGGCGTGGTTTTTCTGTCCACACGGAGCCTGAAGAACTGTCACCTAACGTCAGACAAGCAGAGACCGCCGCGGTTGTCAAGGCAAAGTCTGTGGAAAGTCCGGGTATCAGCCAAGGGGAACCACGAGAGCAAGGGTCTGCCTTAGCAATGCAACATGTAGCTGAAGGCCGGGAGGCACAAGAGCGGTTGGTGCCGGACACGGTACAACCTCGTCGCGAAGCTCATTATCCTAGTATCGCTGCTGTCGCGGGTCAACCACCAGTATTGTCACCCGGGCCCGTCTCTCCAGCAATGCAGCATACGATGACATCTCAGGGTGCCGTTCCCATGACCCAGATTGACCACCAAGCTGGTCAACCACGTTTGCTGGAGCAAACAATACCATCAGATCAGCAGCAACCGTCGGCGCCAACGCAGCCACCATCGATCACAATCCACAACCACACGTTTTATAGTGAAAGATTCACAAATGAAGATGATAACGCTGTTCGGGAAGCAAGAAGAGAGGCCATGGAACGACTCGAATCTACCGCATCCACTCAAGAAGTCAGTCAAAAGCAAGAAGTTGCAAGACAGGAAGCGTCTGTCGCCCAAGAACCAAACCCTACCAAGGACGGTCTGATAAGCAAATTGAAAAAGCTTCTTCGACGAAGAAAAGCGAATGGCAACGACAGCGCGGACAAGAAGAAACGCCGATGGACACTCATCATCGGCATTGTTTTATTTCTTGTGGTCCTGGCGTGTATTCTCCTCGCGACCTTCTTGACTAGGACAGGCGACGGCACTCCCATACAGAGCCAGTGGCTGAATCTTACTGGCTATCCTCCAATTCCCACCGGCATATCCACCATAGCCAGACCGGATGCTGTCAAGCAGCAGTCCCAGTGCGTTGGGCCCAATACAATGTGGAGCTGTGCTCTGCCCAAGGAGGAGCAGTTCGAGATAGTTCCCAACTCTCCAGATCAGCCAAACCTTCGATTCGAGATTGTCTTTCGAAATGGCACGGTACCAGCGAACATGACGGTGCCCGTACAAGAGCTAAAGAAGAGGTCAGAGCCGCGCCTGAGGAAGCGTGCGAGTGATCCCTTCACAAACGATCTCTTCGACCCCAGTCCGACGCCACCAAGCCGCGCAGACCAGATCTTTATGGGCAACACGACCGATAACATCACCCAGCCGTTCGAGGGGGAACAGACACCATTCTACATCACGTTCATTCCGGTGTTTCCTATTGACCCGTCGAATTCCACGGCCACAGCGTCCAGTACAACCAACTCAAAGCTCCGAACGCGTCAGTCGACGAATTCTTTGGATATCATCCCTGCTCCGGACGTCCTGAGCGATGGCAGTGCTGCGCCAGCCAATCTCCTCCCTAATGACCCATACCCGTCATCGCAACCCCTCAACTTGTACAACAGAGGTCAAGCAGACGAGCATTACGGGTTCTACATCTACTACGACAAGGCAATCTTCCTGCATTCGACGGCGGCTTTGAATACCTCGGAATTTGCAGATGACAATGGAATTGACCCTGAGGACGAAAGCGGGGGCTCCACCCGCGATCAGTCTCGGTTGCGATGCACTTTCAGCCAAACAAGATTCCTGGTCCGCATGTGGACAAGCCCAGCGTTTCGAGCAACACTGCTACCGCCTGCCAGCAATGAAACCAACTCGACCAATTCAGGGAGCAGCAGCTCAGCCACTGATTTCAGTCGACCCGGATCATTCCCTTATCCGACGACCATCAGCATTGATCGACATGGGGGCGATGTTAACAAGAAAGCCGTGTATTGTTACGGGGTTGACCAACTACAGGTCATACAGAACGGTGTCAAGACGATTGTGCCAGAGTTCAGAAGTGTTGGAGGGACTCTGATCAACGCAGCCCCTGGTCTTGTAAATGGCACCATCAGCGACGACCCTGGATTCGACCAGGAAGCAGGAGGGATCGACGGAGGGACTGGGGGCTGCGAGTGTGTTTGGCAAAATTGGAACTGATAGATATGAGGGCAAGAAACTTGGGAAGGAAACCTGGCAGTTTGTCTCACCTTATTGGAAACACCTGGGACTCTGGATGGGAATCAAGGATCGTGTCGATATCAGACTTGCATCAACAGGACATGGGGGGTTATGGAGTTTAGGGAACAGTGTCAACACGAATTGTGCAGCAGGAACTGTACGGAAAAGCAGGCTTCATGGGGGATGATTATACAGAGGATCCTTAGCCATGCAAAAAGACAACAGAAATCTAATACCACCACACTTCCCAACATGCAGAAATGTCATAAAGGGGTTCAGGTGGCCATTACGTTTGACTCTCGTTTGTCGTTCTTGTTTCCTTATCTGAAGATACAGTAAGAAGTCAAGGTGCGAAAACATGAACGTGCACATGAAAATGACGATGGAGATGGATTCCCGGGCCAAGTGACGTATTGACGGTTTAGACGATTACGCAAGTCGTGACCGTGTCATGACACTCACTGCTTCACTCAATACACATCGTACCACAGCGATTCAAAACTTGAAAACTCTTCCAAGATCACTACTAACTACCAAGTACAGAGGAGTATTTCCTTAGGCCTTTCCCTCCTCCCAAGTTCTCCTGTGGAGAGAGGTACGAGTCGCCTTTTTTTCTCTCTCTATTTGCCATAACCACCAGTCTTACCATTCACCATGAAGCACGGAGGCAATCACAGGTAAGAGAAATCCCTACACCTCCACCACCTTGACCAGGGGCCATGTCTGACAGCACTGACCTGCCGAACATTCAGACAGAAGAGACTGGGCGACTGGCTCCCCAGCCACGAAGTTCACCGAGAATGGCTCGGAGGCGTCATCCAAAAGGTCGACCAGAATCCCAAAGAACTCCACCCCGTCCTGGTCGAGTTCAAGGAGTTGATCGAATGCAACACCCGAGTGTACATGCTGTTTGAGTCCATGTTCGAGCAAGTTCCCAATAAGGTACCCTACAACAACGACCCGCGCGGACAGGGCCATCCTCAGGTCCGCGACTACGACCACATGCTTCGTGTCATCAACCACATATTGACAACACCACCTTCGTGGTCTGAGGGCTCGGCTCGCGTTGGGCTGGTCGGTCTGCCATTCAACGCCCTCTTCGACTGGCCCATGGGGACGGCTTCAGGGTATGCAGTGTTTCTCGATCCAGACGTGAACAAGATGTTGAAGAAGGTGCTCAACGCCTGGGGTGATTTCCTTCGCTCCCCTGAGTCTGCCAAGGTTTTGGAGAAAGGTGCACAAGAAAGTTGGTTCGGTCCGCATGGCGAGGAGGAGCTCACTACGACCGCTAACTTAGGGAAAACGAGTTACAAGTTCGAGGAGTTGTTCCAGTGCGATCCGGCAGCGCCTCACATGGGTTACAAGTCATGGGATGATTTCTTCACGCGGTTGTTCAAGGAGGAAGCCCGACCCGTGGCCAGCCCCGACGACGACAATGTGATTGCCAACGCGTGCGAATCCAAGACATTTAAGGTGGCACGCAACGTCAAAGCCCGAGACCATTTCTGGCTAAAGGGCCAGCCGTATTCAGTCGTCGACATGTTGGCGCAAGATCCATTGGCGGAGCAGTTCGTTGGGGGAACTGTATACCAAGCTTTTCTTAGCGCATTGAGCTATCATCGGTGGCACGCACCCGTGTCTGGCAAACTGGTCAAAGCATATGTGGTGGATGGGACCTACTACTCGGAACCTCTGTTCGAAGACTTCAAACCCGACCAGCCAGCAGACTATGAGGGAGAAGTGACCAGCCAAGGTTATTTGACAGCCACGGCCACTCGGGCAATCATGTTCTTTGAAGCAGACAATCCAGCGATTGGGCTCATGGCGTTTCTAGGGATTGGTATGTGCGAAGTGTCGACGTGCGAAATGACGGTCAAGGAAGGGCAGCACGTCAAGAAGGGCGATGAGATTGGCATGTTCCATTTCGGAGGATCGACACATTGCCTGATGTTCAGAAAGGGGGTTAACGTGGAAGGGTTTCCAGAGCCGAATCCCGAGCACAACATCCCGGTTCGAAGTGAGCTGGCGAGGGTGAAAGGGTAGTCGACGTTGACACCAGGCAGATTGAGGCTGACATGACATGCAGGAGGATTTAGACGCAGGGAGGAAGCGCAGGCGCAGGAGCACGTGCTCCGGGTGTATCCTCGTACCATCGCAGTACTACGTCATAGAATGAATGGTGTTGCTGCTTTTTCCTACTTCGTTCTTGGGTGTCTGCCCCATGCGTGGTTTTCGACGTCACTGGTGGTCAGTACGTCATCGTCTCGCTCTACGAAACCGTGGCCGCGTGTTCCGGCTCAATGATCACGACCTGTTGCTGCTTTTACTACCGAGTACACCCATTTTATACATGACCCGAAAAGCGGACATTTCCTACCTCACTTTTTCTTCCCCCACAAACCTCAACAACATCATTCATCAGTCATGGCTCCCTCACAATGGCAATGACCTATTGCACGGATGACTAAAGTATAACATCGACCCCGTTTCGGACTCATGCTGCTCTATTCTCGCTTCCCTACCCCAGAGATCTCTTCATCTCGCCCTCTTAAGTCGAGGCACTCCACCCCGCCATTGGCCTCCTGGTAAACCCTTTCCGGAGTTTCCATGACTACAATTAACTCAGCTCTACCCAGTCGCCATATTTCTCTCGTGTAATACTTGACACACAACGAACGACGTTGTCCGTCAGCCAAAAAAGGGCAAAATTTCTGACGTTGCATGCAGCAATGGATTCGCCCAACACTGTCTCACGCCCTGCTCTGGCTCAAGTCGTCGCCTGGCTGTTTTCCCCCGGGGCTGACATAACTTTTCTTTTACCAGTGGGTGGTCCCGGTAGGTCGAAAGGTTTTCTGGATCTGACCTGACCTCCTTCACGCGCTTGCTACTTTTTCTACATTGAACTTAGTCCGATCGTTTACCCGAGCTGCTACAACTCCGGCCGCGGAAGTTGTTTTCATATTCTGGAGTATAGAGGTATATGTACTCAGGTGTCCCATGCGTTTCCCACATTGGCAGCGGTCAGTTCGCCCCTTTCAAGACTATCTCCTCTAGACATCGACAGTGTCTTGCCCGCCATGCCTCAACAACAGCCCGTCAATAGCACTGTGAAGGCTCAGCCTTCTCAGTCCGCAAACAAAGTCGGCTCGAAGCCTATACCACCATTCGACATCGACAACTACCTCAATCCTTTTGTTCCTCGCAACCCTTTGCGATTCTTGCCTACTTGGGTCTCATACTGGTTCGGCTACCGCTCTCCATCGTCCACTATTGCACACCATCCCTGCCTCTGTTTTCTTCCCACTTCATATCTTGAATACTTCCATCCTTCGGAGTGGTTCTACACCTATCACGTCCACACCTTCCTTCTGTACCTGTCAATCCTGGTCGGTGCCTTTTGCGGCGTTGCCATCATCGAAAATGTCTTCCTCGCCCTTCCCCAGCTGTCGGGCCACGCAGTGCCCATAGTTATCGCCTCATTTGGCGCGGCGGCTATTCTGGAGTACAATACCGTTGAATCGCCCCTTGCTCAGCCCAGGAACTTGGTTTTCGGACACTTCTTCTCAGCTATCGTCGGTGTGGGCATCACTAAACTATTCTTGTTGCTACCGCCCGACCAGTTTCAAGACCTGAGATGGCTTGCGGGCGCGCTCGCGGTTGGGGTTGCATCCATTGTCATGAGCTTCACCAAGACCATTCACCCACCTGCCGGCGCTACTGCACTGCTGGCGGCGACGAACGTGGAGATCCAAGATTTGGGGTGGTGGCTGTTGCCCCTTGTACTGCTGGCGGCCATGTTGATGTTGGCCAGTGCGCTTGTGATCAACAATTTCTCCGGAAGACGCTATCCGGTGTACTGGTGGACGCCGGTGGATCTGAAGCACCTCAAGGAGGAGGGCAGGAAGGCGACGTTAGCAAGGAGGCTAGAGCGGGGGGGAATCGACGGAGATGTCGAGAGGGGCGCTGACCCATCCACTGCAAAGGAGTATGTGGAGGATCTGTCGGATACCACGACCGAGACGGGCGGTCTTGACATCGACGACGCTGGCCACGACGCGTCTTCGCCGGAAATAAATACCACGATGAGCCGCACAGTGACCTTCTCCTCGATCGACAGAGTTCCCAGACCCCTGGCCGAAAGAAAGCGATCCAAGTCGGCAAGCAAGAAATCCAAGCAAGGGCAAGAGCTTGGCGAAGAGGTTCTCGAGGGTGAGAGCATCTTTATCTCGCAACACCGCATGATTGTGCCCGAGTGGCTCGACCTAAGTGACTGGGAAGACGAGGTGCTCCGGATCCTGATGGTGCGGATGAAGGAGCATTCGTCTTCCGTCGCCCCAGACTTGAAGTGAGTTCATGTTCGATCCGAGAGACGCGCCTAGACAAGATCTGGTGCACAAGATGATTGGGGTGTGATTTTCTTCTTCGCGGGTGTAATCATATACAAGGAAAGGGAGGGACGGGCTAGGGAGAAGCTGTCTTTCGATAGCCCTCACCTGGTCTTCCCGGCGCTTTGTCTGCATCTTTGCATTCATAGCGAGCAGGGCGCTTCTTTTCTGTGAGCATATCAAGCAAGCGGGATGGGATATAGGAAGATGAACACTCGCAGGGCCGGATACCAGACCGGAAGTTCTATTGATGGGTGGGCATTATTAAATGGGCGGGCATTTTCCGACGAGACAAAAGCTGACAGAGTGTTGTGCACATTTTGTATATACATAGAGGAACACACGTGTCCTCGTTAGCTATACCTATTTAGTATATACTATATACGAAATATACGGAGACAAGATAAGTATAGTCTTACCCCAGCGAAAGTGATTACAAGAGTATGGATGTATCTCAGCAAGCTGGAAAGCCGGATGCTTTGCACAAGAACGGAATCCCGCTACAGAGTAGATAGAGAGCGTGAACACACGCCTCCGCCATCGCGGGCTAGTGAGAGGGAAAAGATCTCAGATTTTACGTTCGATCTATACGAGTTTCTATACCCAGGGGAGGGGTTCCCGGCCGGGAACGGGCGCTCGTGGCCCGAATCCGTCATATTTTCCTTGCGCTCCCTCGTCCAGTAGTGTTATGGTATGTATAGCCCATGGTGGTTGGACGCGCACGCTCGGCTGGTCCGGCACAAGCATCTTCCCCATCCTCTCTTTGCTCATCCGGGGCTTTTCAGGAATGTCGCCACATATCCTACTTCTGCTCCTGTTTACTCCCGAACAGATCCTTGGCCACCAGGCCGCGGCAGATAGGGTGATAGAAGTCTTTGTTCTTCTCAAAGGTCTCGACCGCCAGCTGATAGTCCATCTTCATCAGGCCCTTGTACAGTGGGCGGACGAACTTCATCCGGCCCACTTCGCCCAAGAGCTTCGTCACGAATCCCTTGACCGCCCAGTCCCCGGCTTTCATCGCCACCTGGTAGTACCGCGCCGAGATCTCGACATTTCTCGTCTCCTTCAGGTCGTAGATGTAGCCCATGTAGTTGACGTGCGGCTGCGGCAATTTGTCCGCGAAGGTGAGCAGTTTCTCGAGAAAGACGACGACTTGATTCGCCGACCAGCCGTCGATGTCGAACTTGCTGGGTCCGAAATCCGGATTGGGGTTCTTGGTGAATTTCTCCCATTGATCGGCGAGCCGGTAGCATTGGTCCACGAGCGACGTATCAAAGTCGGGTTTGGGTGGGAAGCCTGGCTTGTAGAACCAGGTGTCCCAGTCGATGGTGGCTAGCTTTTGCGATACGGTGTCGTTGGATTTGAAGAAGTCGAGTAGTGTTTGCTTGAAGTCATAGCTGTCCAGAGATTTGCCCCGCCACGTCTCAAAGTAGTGCGGGATAAACTTGTCAAATTGTTCCTTAGAGATCAGTTTCTCGATGTAGTACAGGAAGATGAACCCTTTTTCGTAAGGGATACTGGAGAATGCGTCGTCAGGATCCTTGCCCTTCAGGTCGATAACGAGCTTCGTGAACTCGTGTTGCTCGCCAAATTGTTCACTGATGGATTGCTCGAGCGCCTTCCACCCTATCACCGCGGAGAAATCGCGCCACTGGTCGCCGCCATGTACGATGGCTTGAATTCGCCGTTCGAGATAGGTCGTCCAGCCTTCGTTCAGCCAGAAGTGTTCCCACGAGGCATTGGAGACGAGATTGCCCGACCAGGAGTGCGACAGTTCGTGAGCAATCACGTCAACGTTCTGTCGGTCTCCAGAAATGATGGTAGGTGTGGCGAATGTGTAGACGGGGTTTTCCATGCCTCCATAGGGGAACGACGGCGGGAGAACTAGCACGTTGTATTCACCCCATGCGTATGGGTACACGAGCGACTCGCCTGCACGCAGAAACTTTTCCGTATCCTCCTCCAGCTCCCATTTGCAGTCTTTGAGCTCGTCCGGGCCTGTAGCAACAAGACTTCGAGGACCAACTTTGGCGGTGACAATGTCGCCGCTGGCAAGAGCAAAGAGATATGAAGGGATAGGCACCTTCTGGTGGAATTGGTAGAGCTGAGAGGATCCATTCGGAGATGGGGATGATGGATTGTCTTTCGCCCCAATGCCAGACGCAATCACCGGCAGAGGCGACCTGATGCGGAAATCAAACGTTGCCTTGACGTCCGGGGTGTCTTGACAGGGAAAAATGGATCGGGCGTGTATGGCTTGACATTGTGAAAACATATACGGATGCTTCTTATTGGAGGTTTGAGCCGGAGTCAGCCATTGCAACGCGGTGCAGGAGGACGTCGTTTCTAGGTTGATTTCAATGTCAATCTTCTCCTTCAACTGTGGCTTCCGTCCAAGCTTAATCTTGAGGGGACTGCCGTATGGCTCGAGCCGCTTGAGCAATTCCCACTCGATTGGTTTGCCATCCGCCTTGACGCCGTGAATCAGGACATGACTGGTGTCGAGCAAGATCTCGTCACTTTCGCCATCCGTGATGGATTCCAAGCTGTGGACAACGGTGCCTTTCAGTTTCTGCTCGTCGAACAAGATGTCCAAGCCAGTGAAGGTGTGGAGGGTCCGCCAATTGTTGTAATTGGAGAGGGTGTTCGGGTCACGGGGAGCGTGAATCATCGTAGCCATGTTGCAGACTGTGGTCCCACAGGATCTCTTCGGAGGAACGAGGCCAGGCTTTCCAAGGGCCAATCTTGATAGAGTTACAGGCCGGTTGAGTGTCAAGAAGGGTGTGGCCCGGATTGGACTCCTGACCATGCGGTGAAAGGGATAAGCACAACCTCCGCTACCAATCAGCGTAGAGATCAAGTAGCTGCTTCGGCTCTTCTAGCCTGTCAATCTCAGAATTCCCAGCAGGAATTGAGCGAATGAAACGAAGATACCGCGAGACGGATCTCAGCGAAGTTATGACCCTGCGATTGAAGCCTGGCGGTGAAGTTCTGGTGATGCTTGGCACCGGAGCCGGAACAACATTAATCCATCCTCAATCACGGAAGATTCTGCCTCCGCCCGTGCATGTGCTAACTCTCAAAGAATTCCAAGCTTCCATCCTCCAAACTCTGTTATCTGCAGCCTTTACCTTTGGTCCGAGCTTCGTCTCTCATTCGTCGGACGGAAGGCCTCCAACTTGGGGAAATTCCCTTCCGCAGTACGAGGTATTGTATTCTGGGCTAGCAGAGCGCCGGCACGGGCTGAAATGCAAGCCACCAAATCCACCCATCGTCCAGCCTTGGAGTCGGCTCCGAAGACTACCAGAACGCCATCTAATGGTTGTGGTGATGTGGCTCGTCAGCGGTGTGTTTCAGAACCCCAGCCTCGATGAGTGAAGCAGGAACCTGGCGTTACTTGCGGTACGTGGGTACATGTTGTGGAGGTTTGGAGCCCTGTCTTTTGTTTTGGCAGGTTAAAAGTTGCCCAGTGTTGGGTCGTCCAACCAGCCTCAGTTCGGACGAGAGGAGATTGGGATGGCCAGAATCCAATGACCCGCAACCACCTTTCCCCCGATGCGGTGGTATGACTCTTCTGGGGCTGGGAAAATTCAGTCTTCGGACCGTGTCTGGCTCTCATGATTCCTCCGGCAGCACGGCTGCGTTCCACGGCAGGCACCTGCACCTGTCTGGAACGTCTAGAAGGGCGTGAATGTCCCCGAGATCTTCCTCACCGTCTTTACGCTGTAAGCCTCGCACAGCCTCGTCGCAATATCTTGCTCGACGACGGCCTGCCACAAAAGAGACTCGTTGTTGGTCACTCAAGGTACACAGTACCCTATGCGTCAATGAACGAGTTCAGTGGAAAAGACTGCATATGCTGAAGATCCCTTTGTGTTACATTCACAGATTAAAAAGGTATATTCTTTTACTCAAAACAGCTGTCGTATCGTAATGAGTCGGACCCAAACCTTCAGTCATGTGCTCATTGCTCGACTACCCAACATGTCTGCAGCTGCGAGAGGCTGGATCCCATGCATACCACCCCATCCTTTTGCGAAGAATTTTCTCCTTCATCCCTTGCCAACGCACGCTTCCCGCCGCTCATGCCTCGTCTTACCAGTCCCGATTAAGAACAACCCCCCTAACGATCCAATCCGTTTACTCGGACTTCTCAGCCCTCTCGCTTGCTCCCTTGATGTATCGGCTCAGATCGCCCACAGGGAGGTTGAGAGGGAAGTCGACAGCGGCGAGAAGTTGCACGAAGAAGAGATACCATCCCAACAGACACACAGCGAACGTGAGACCTCCGGCGGCGTGTTGCATGGTCATGTTGACTGTGCCCTCACCAATTTCGAAGAAGAATTCTGCCAGGCATGCGAATGCGGCAACGAGGAGAGCAAAGATGCCCACAAAGACGAGGTTGGTTCGGAGCGCGATGATCAGGTAGACAAAGCACAAAACTCCCATGTAGACGTGGAAGAAGGCGAATGTAGAAGCAAACACAGGATCCGAAGACGATTGAGCCGGATGTGTCGGGTCGTAGGCGATGGATGCGTTGAAATATGGTGTCAGAGTCGCTCCAAACGCAAGCCAGAAAGCACCAAAGGAGCCGAAGACGACGAAAGGAAAGGTATTGCCCAGGATGAATTCCAGGAATGCACCCAACACCATGAGCAGACCGCCAAAGAAGTAGTAGACGCCCCTGTCAACCCCGTCCGTCAGATTTGGAACTTCATCCAAGTAATCTTCCATGACTTACACTTCGGCCGCGCCAAGCCCACCGGCTCCTCGCCATCCTAGGAGGATATTTGAAAGAGGAGTCAAAGACAGGAGAAATCCGACGAGAGCCCTTAGTTTGGTCAGCGTGCGGAAGGAGAAAAGATCCCAGGGAGACATACAGAGGAGTCGGGTTACCAAAAGTCGACCGAATGTTGTTAGAAACCCGATTCTTGGGAGAAAGATAGATCTTCTCGAAGAGCTCTGGAGTAATGGAAATGCTTCCGGCGGTCCGGATCCTTCTGAGAGCAGTCTCTTCGTTGTGATGATCGTGATGGAGGTCGTATTTGCCGTTGACAGAGTCGCTACCGGCATGGTCCTTCTCGACATCGGGCACGTTGGCGGCCATATTGACAATGTTCAATGCTTGAGGGTAGAGCTCTGTAGGAATACAATTAAGGTATAGGTGCCGCACGGGGGACCAGGTCAAGGGTCAGAGGGCTCGAACCTAGAGGCAATGGAGAAGACTTGCAGCGGCGGTAACAAGGAACAAAAGCACACGTAGCATCCTCTGCATGGGAACCGGTAGGGAGGGACTCAAATAATATAGGACATCCTGATGGTCGCGTCACAGGTCGATCGATGATTCTCCTCTCGGTGGAGGGGAGAGCCCCTAAGCCGCTCAACCGAACCACCACCATCCTTTCAGTGCTTGGTGGAGTCGAATGCACCATAGCACCTTTCGAAGCAAGCCGCGAAATTGAGCCAAATGCCTGACAGAGCGGAAAAGCAAGGGTCCAGGCCATGAACCCACCAGTCGCATAGGCAGACAGGGCGCCATCGACCTGAATCAAGTCCAAGCTCCAGAGTACAGCTCAGGGTGGCTTTAAATCTCCGCCAATGATCAGGCGAGACGGCGTCTCAAGCTCGACACTAGGACGGTGGCTAACTCATTGAACTGGTTTACCCTAGCTGCGGGGAAATACTGGGGTAGGAAAGGTCCTGGTGATGTGATAGTCTTGTTGGTGTCTCCTTATTCGATTTTTGCACAAGCGCCCGACGATCTTCGAGCTCTGATCGACCCATTTCTCTGCCAGGGCTCGTCCGGAATCTTGGATCATGAAAGGCACGGAAATTTTGGAAAGGGGCTAGGAGGCTGGAGTCCTGTAGCGCCTCGAGTGAATGCGTCCGGACTTTCCAGGGTGCACCACGTCCTGGACGTGGTAGGCAGCGTTACAAAACCACCTCTGGACGCGGGCTTCTCGGAAGAGGAAAGTTTGCGGGGTTGGCGCCAATACCATTCGTAGATTCGATCTCGGGAGGTGTGGAAGAGGATGTGTATCTGCCTGGGCAAGCATTGCATCAGCGTCTTGGGAGGGGGTGTCGATCAGCCATTGGCAGTCTAGTCTTCCGTCATAGCACCATGTATGCACACAAATAAAGAGCACAGTGCATTGCCTGCTGGGCGAAACGCACTGCCGCAAAATCTTGCCTGCGGCCCTCCTGTGACTGGCTTGTCTACTTCTGGCGTCTAGCTCTTTTCTGACACTCGTTCGGTGTTTGTCCGAGGCGTGTGACACCTGATTTGGCGAGCACAAAGCTTTGAGGAGGGGGGAGTGGTGATCGAAGCCCAAAAGGGTGGCTGGGGAGGGCTCGAACTTGTTGCCAAAGCTTCACAAGGGGGTCAACAAGGACAAGGGAGGAGAAAAGCGGTGATTGATTTGCGGTTCCGGATCGCCGTCTCCAGTCGCCATCAGAAAAGGTCTTTGCACCATCATACTATCCAGTAGTGTTAGCTCCATGCCGGAATTGCAGCGCGGTGCCAACTTGTTCCCCTTTCTTCTTGTTGCATCGAACAGCCTCAGGAACAGGCAGCTTCGTTGTCTGATCCTTCGAAAGGCAAAAGGAGCCGTTATTCTGGTTAGCCTTTCCCTCCAACCTCTCGAGAACAGAGTCTGGTCACCGTCGAGGATTTTAGCGTCTGACCAGATCGATCGGACAGACGGGCTGATGGAGGTTGCGAGTGGCGGTTCCAGTTTCCGTTGACCCAGTGAAAATATGGAGGAAGAATCAGGGGAGCTGCTAACCACGTACGCGAGGGTGCATCTCCCGCCTCGCTGGCCAGTGTGGATTACGGGTGAAAAGTCTACCTGGCCTTCGTATTGGGTGGAGCTTTTCTACTGTCACGTGATACCGGAACAGGCGGTTCCCATCCGCTATGAGCGGCACATATCTGCTTCACAGCTTCGTTCCGGTCAATTCTGGTAAATGCGGAGAAGCGAGAAAGGGTATTGCATAAGGGCTGACTGAATCCTTTCTTCGGGATCGCATATGACATGTCTCAATTGCCTCTACAGAGAGCTCCCGTGCGTCCATTGGACGACAAGGCCATAACTGTGCCGACTTCGGCCGTCAATGCTTGCAGAAGGCTAGAGGCACATGCCTTCCCTGAAACATGCTTCCTACAGCGAGGCCGGGGTATTTCACATCCTCTTGTCTGCAATGGGAGGCGGCGGTAAGGTCTAGTATCTGCAGGGCACGCGTTGGGTGTCAAAGAGCATTGAAATCTCCGACAGATAGCCCATTGCAGTTGTCAAAGGAGGGAACCGATTCGGTGATTGTAGTTCGACGGGCGGCAACTTCTCTATATGTAGGGGTGTGGCCTTCCTTCGAATATTCGACCACGGTTGGCACAAGCTAACGTCCGAGTCGGCGACAGGTATCGACATTTGCGATGTGCAGCGTGCAGTCGGGCCAGGGGGGAGGGATCCCTCTTTCTTGTCAATGGGATCATGATTTTACATGCAGCGCACATTAGAATAGCGCGTGCCTTCAACCAGTATGTACAAGCTGTATGAGATCTGCCAGCGCTTTCCTTCAGGTGCAAGGGTGGCATTTGCCATCCCCAAGACCAGATCATTTAGGTATCAACTCGATTTCAACGCCCAAATCTATCGTGGTTTTCCCCAAGCTTTTCGAGACACCACCCATCCTCAGGTTTTTTCAGGTCGCTTCGCCCCTTTGTCCGTCATCGTTGCTCAGGTTTCAGCGGATAGCTTTGTCAGGTATGCTTCGAGATCGAAGTTCTTGTCATTGGGATCCGTGATGACTATTTCCTGGTCAGTTCCATGCCTCCACCACTCTGTTCGGGCGGTCAGTTTAGAGCATTCACGTACTGTCATCACTGGCAGTCTTCGCTTGGGGAGGTAGCGTCTTCTTCGCCCATTCCAGCTTGGCTTTTTGTATTAATTCGGCTTTGTGGTCGTACTCGGCCTTCTCGCGTGCAGCTGCAGTATGTGCGTTGATGGTTCTTTGGTGCGAAAATCCGTAGAAGATACCCGCAACAAGAGCTGACCACCGGAGGACCTGTACGCAGTTAGCAGCTGGTTTGTGGCCAAGCGAAAGCCCATAGATTCAGCGTCTGGAAGAAATGTTGGGCTGCGAGGAAGGGCATACATACATTGACTCCTTGTGATGTTGACATTGTGACACCGCCGCACCTGAGTCGCAGAAACCGAGCCCGATGTTCAGAGCTCAAGTATGCGACTGTCGTCCTAGAGCCGTTCTCTTCTGCCCGACAACGGCTGTGGCGTCGAAAGTAGCTGAAAATAACTGCTGCGAAAGTTGAAGCTGCAAATTGTTTCTTGGGGAAGTCCGAGCTTATCCCTGCGTCTTTTTGGATTCTCCATCACGTGATCTCGCGATTCTAGGGCTGCGCGCACCCCCATGATCCAATCTCTCAACAGTCTCTACCTCATGCCCGTTGGCGTGCGAATCTCAGTCCACCATGTCATCGCGTAAGGACGAGCTGTTGGCCAAGAAGGCTCGCCTTGCAGAGCTACGCCGACAGAGGGAACTTCGCCAGGAACAGTATACGTCGAGCCGGCAGAGTATCGGCGAGGTAGGGACGATCGTCGACGGCCAGTTGAAGTCTGTACTCACGATCTCTAGGCCCCTTCACCTGGCAAAACGGCCGAGGAGCGCAGGTCTGAGATTGACCACCTCGTCTCCAGTCTAATCGATCGGCAGAGAGACAAAGATTCGACCGCGTCGCCCAGCAGACGGGGAAGTCGACCGAGTTCAATCCAGGGCACAATCACAGGGCAAATCACCCCTCAGCAAGATGTCGAACAATCGCCGAGGAAATTGATGCAATCAATAGCCACGCAGACCGAGAGCACGGATACTTCGTTTCCTATTTCTGTCGATGCCTCTGCCCATGAGCCTGTGCCTTCAAAGAAGGAATATATCACGTACACCAAGGGCGTGCAGACAGAACCGTATCTCGAAGAAGCCGCCAAATCACAAGAGCCTTCGGACGATGATGAGCTGTCACTGCGGCAGAGAAAACGGCTCAGCCGGCGTGACCAAGAAAGAGACGAAGAAATCCGGCAAGCACTGCGGAAGGAAATTGAGGAAGAATTACAAGCTGCACACAATCGAGAGTCAATAATCTCAATATCAACCGGTTCTCACCAACAGCAGCGGTTTCCCTTGCGTACGCTGACCAGTACTGAACTCAATGCTGTGGTGGCCTCTCCCGAATTTGTTTCCTTCGTTGAGCGTTCTTCCAAGGTCATTGAGCGTGCCCTAGACATGGACGACGAGTATGATTTGCTGGCAGACTATACTCGTACCTCAACGCTGGACGACGATGACGACAACAATGATGCCACGCCCTATTCACGAACTGGCAAAAAGTCCCATTCTGTACGCGAGTCTTTTCAGTTGTTTTCCGACCGCTATACCCGCAGACGCATCGTCTCGGATATCCAGTTCTCTCCACACTTTAATGAACTTCTCTTGTCTTCATACACCAAAAATCCATCTGCTCCTCATGAACCGGCCGGTCTGGTTCTGTTGTGGAATACACATGCCCCGTCTCGGCCGGAGTACGTGTTCACGGCGTCATCCGATGTTCTTTCAGCTCGGTTCTCACCATTTCATCCCAATCTCGTTATTGGCGGCTGCTATTCAGGTCAGATATGCCTGTGGGATACTAGAACGTCCGGACGGACGGGACAGCCTGTCCAGAAAACGCCACAATCGGGATCCCACCTTGGACACACACATCCAGTCTACAGTATCAGCGTCGTGGGGACACCCAATGCTCATAACATCATCACTGCCTCCATGGACGGCGTGGTTTGCTCCTGGTCGGTGGATATGCTTACACAAGCCCAAGAATATCTTATCCTCAACACCCCACCTCCAGCTAAAACTGACGACCTTGCTCCCACAAGCATGAGTTTTCCGGCTGCAGACCCAACCTTTTTCCTTGTCGGCACCGAAGAAGGCACGATTTACCCCTGCCACCGGTATGATCGAGCGGGAGCTCAAGCAGGCGTGGACACCCGCGTCGCCTACAAAAGCCACACTGCGCCAGTCATGTCCTCGCAGTTCCACCCTGCGCGAGGACCTGTTGATCTGGGGGATCTACTACTGAGTTCCAGCTCTGACTGGTCTGTGAAACTGTGGCGGGTGAAGCCCGCTGCGAGTTCCAGCACGAGTGCCTCGACTATAGCAGCAGGAGGGACCGCGCCGACAATTGTGAGTCCTATCCTCAATCTTGCAAGGGAAGATCTCGTCTACGATGCAAAATGGGCGCCGCATAAGCCATCGGTGTTTGCTTGCGCCACGGGGGCGGGAGAGTTGGAGGTGTTTGACCTCAGTTATGATCTGGAAGTCCCGATCGCCAAGGTGAGCCCCACGAGGGGGAAAAACGGAGTGGTACCGTTCAAAGGGCTGAACAAGCTGGCATGGGAGGAGAAACGAGGCAGCCACGTGGCGGTCGGTGGACTTGACGGTGTTGTTACCGTGTTCGACGTCGGGAAGGGATTGCAATGTGGCAACGGCGAGGCCAGCATGGACGAATGGGTAAGCATGAAGAGGCTGGTGACGAAGCTTGAGGGGGGAAAGTGATGCTCCTGACCAGCCCTTGCGTTGGCAGTGTCAGTATTGGATAACATGCCATCCTGATCTGGAAATTCCCGATGGCAATCGGTGGCCGGATCGTGTTTGCTTTGGATTGGCAAATGATACCCCCTGAGTATGTCTGTTTTGGCGAGATGTCAATGTGGAGGAAGAGAATTGACATCGCAATCGACTGCCTTTTGTAGATCGGTTTCCAATTTCTCGATGCTGCATGACCTTTGAACACCGCCCTATAACTTTGGCCTCCCTTTGTATCCAGACCCTTCCAACCCCAATCCACTCAAATCTACCCTGACATTATTCTGTCCCAGTAGCACTTCCTGACAGTCGTCCTCGGCAACACCGTTCACAAACTGCGTGACCAAGAAGTCGACCCGTCGCTGGCCCAATACAACCATTGGTGCATGCCACGTGCCCGGGGCATAGGTGACAGCTTGGTCTCCTCGAGCCACGAAGGCCCGGAGGCGGGCCAGATCAGGGGGCTTGGTGATGGTTGTTTCGCCCTCACTGGAAGTGACCGCCGTGGTTGAAGCAGGCAGGGAGGGCGCCACGACAACGAGGAAGACCGTTGAAGAGTCCGAGGCGGCCAGGCCGAGTGGACAGAACGTCTGGGTCGTGTACGGGTGGCGCTCTAGGATCGAGACCCTGAAGGAGAAGGCGCTGTCCCCGGAGCGGGACGGCTCGATGCCGATGCCGCTCAGGTTTCTGGGAAAGCAAGAGAACATGCTCATCTGAGGCGTCGAGGCCCGGGCCCCCGCCGCGGCAGGGTAGTGGTTGCTGAACTGCGAGATGGGAGAGGTCTTCAGCGCGGAATTCTGGTTGGCAAAAACCGGGGCGGGTTGGTGAGGGGCGTGCAGCGGCACAGGGATGGACGCGGATGAGCGAGGAGGAGTCGTCAACGACGCTTCGAATGGAGGGCTGATGGCTGTGCCGAACTCGGAGAATGATGCTGGCGTCAGTAGTTCAAGTGAGAGGAGAGTCGGGTGCTGAGAGGAGGCTGAGTGAGACGTGGCGAGTGGGAGCGTAGGGGGTTCCATTGTAACAGACTGCCTGGGTGAAGACTGATTCAGGTCGAATTGAAGTGCCTGGTGACGAAGCAAAGCCTCAATTATGAGGCGTGGTCCCCTTCTGGTGCCCACAAGCCTATCCCAGAGGCGAAAGACCAAACCTGGAAGTACTCAGATACAGAGCTACAACGCTGACTTCTGTAAGTCTCTTCCAAGATATTTCCTTTCCAGTCGATTTCCTCGTCTCTTGTAAGGCCAAGAAAGCACTTGCTCAACCTATTCCGACAGCAGCACGGCCTCTCTCTCTGTTTCACAGACGTTTGTGTGATGCTTTGCTGGGATAGAGATGTTGAGTAATTGTTGTGTATGTTGTTCGGTGAGCTCAGCGAAGAAAGCCTCACAAAAGCAAAGTCTTGGCTTCCGCTCACCACCTCCGTGCGACCAATCAACGATTATGCCTTGTGCACCGTTCAGCATTGCTCGGCCAAGTAGCCGATCCATTCTCGGCGTATTTTGTTCCCAATCACCAGGTACGCAACCCTCTTGTCCCAATACATGTATATCCAATTGATGGAGCATCTCTGTCGTGCCCGGGGTGTACCATGCTAGAATGGGGGGTCCATTGCGGCAGCAAAAGCTGTCGAGTTCAGTTCTGGCAAATATGAGGTGACCAAGGTACCAAGTTCCCTCTTTAGTGAGACATGATGGGATGGATGTGCAAGGACTATCAGGATGGATGTCGGAGAGAAGTCTCGTAACTAACACGAGACTACACAGAGCCTGATTCAACGCAGGAAACGATATGAATGAAGAGAAACTAGGCGTGGGGCAAGTCTGAGCGTTAATGAGAGAATACAAATGTCAAACCCGTTGACATTTAAGCGACACTATGTTCTATCAGCGTGGAGGACCAGCCTCGTTAAGCCAAATGTCCGCAAGAAGAGACTCAGCAGGGTACCCTTACCATCGTCTAACATCACAAGTTGTCCATCTGCATCACCTTCATTTCCAACACATCCGCCAAGAAGTCGGAGCCCTTCCTATCTCGGCACATAGGGCAGGTCATGCCAGCATCATTGTTGATCTTTTCGAGAAGCCACGAAAGAATACAGTCAATGTGGAACGGCCTCTGGCAACATCCGGTCACTACTGGGTCGGCCACGATCTCACCATCTTCTCCGCCAAGATCTTCCTGGCAGATGGGACATATGGTATGATCTTGGTGAAAAGGCGGCATGACTGGAGGTTCCCAAGCATATTCCCACGAGCGGAGGACATTCTGCGTGTAGTCGATCTGCCTCAATCGCTCCGTCTTCAAAGAATTCACGGCCGACTTGATGAATTGTCGATATTTGCTTCGTTCATATCGTAAGGCGGCAGCGAAGAATCTATCTCTCGCGCCCAGGAAGGAAGCTTCCATGGCCACCAAGAAACGCTCTGCGTCGACGTGGCGGGCTCTGACTTGATCGAGGAGCGCTTCTTCCCTCTCAAGCCGGTCACGAATGAGAGGGCAATTCTCTATGGAGAAATCATCACCATTTTCGTACTTTTCCACGAAATACATGCCTCGCAGGTCGTCCCTACTTCGTTGGAGTGTTGCGAGCGCGTCATGGCCTGGTACGTCGTGTGGTCTTTCAACCAGGAATTCGAAGACGATGTCGACCATTCTTTCGGACACCACGTTCAACGCAAGTTGGAGGTTGAGCATATCATGAGCATAATGACAAGCCTCCAGAAGCGTGCGTGAGCCTTCAGTGTCCACATTACTCACGTTCAATGCCTCACCCCATGTTGGGTCCGTGGGCAAGACTGGCCTAAACCACAAGGGCATCACCACACCCCAACCGTCCTCGACTGGTGGTACCACCGGCTCGAATGGCGCAAGCAGATGCGGTCGTGCCTGATAGAGCCGCTGCCACATTTGGGGGGTTAAGAAATGCGTGAAATGTGAGAAACGATCTCTGGGGTGAGGATGAACTGCCGAGGGGTGCAATTGCACATAAGCTTGGAATAGGCCCATGATCTGTGGAAAATCTGGCCGGAAATTATCAATACTCCATTTGAATTCCACGACCAATAGTGCTCTTAGAGCCCTGGGGTCTTGAGGCGTCAAGAGCGTTGCACAAAAGTTTTCGATCTCGGTCTGCATGCGATCCAAGTCAGTCAAATTTGCAATGGTGTCCCTGGCAAAGTCCCTCACAAGGGAGTTGGATGCGTGATCACTAAGAGGATCCGTGGTCCGCAGGAGACTGTTTCTGAAGTGGATCATGAGTCGGTAGCGACGGTCGTGACGGTCATTCAGGGATTCGTAGAAGACACTGCAGAAATCATCCTGTTGTATTCGTGTTAGGTCAGCGGGCAGGGTTAGGGCGAAAGTCTGCACAGCGTCGGATACAGCTTGTTCATCTTGGGTTACATCCAGCGACGTTCCGAAAGCCATGACACGGTGAAAGATAGGCACCCACCACGGCGGCGCAACCTGCACGATCCAGGTCCAGTCAATTTCAGACATTTTCGTAGTGGTTTCGAGGTTTTGAGGCCTTCACAATGCAAAAGGCGAGTTGTTGACAGGCCTCGAAGCATCCCTGACATCGAGACGACATTAAGTACTCTCGGGGTCAGCTCGCTTCGACAAGGCTGTTTCGAGATCTATTGGTACAAGACTGAGTAGTTCCTGATTCCAGACAATACAGTCTTCTCATGTCTTTGTCCAGACAAAGCAAGTCAGAACAAGAGTCGACAACTGAACATAACAACGAGATCATTGTCCATGGATCGAGGATGCCTAGATTTGTCTCTTTAATGTCGGAGCCAAACAAACAAAGGCCAGCATGGCCTTCGCCGCACCGTCTTTTACCACCATTTCGATGTAGATGTCTTGGCTGGCGACCTTTCTCCAGATTGCGAGACCCCGCCTTGGATAGAATCAAAGCCCTATAATGGGAGAGGATCACCCGGCCTCCATGATTCAGTGTTATCATGGTGTGATTTTGTAAGAGAGTGGCGGCTCTCCCGGTGGGAAGATCGACCATGTCGTCGGCGTTTCAATGGGGCGTATAAATATATATATAAAGCCAGGTAGGAAATCTGCCAGGGTCAGAAACTACACGATTATCCAACAGTATATCTTGATGTGTGATCGCAAGAGACGTACAGATGACGGTTTCGCTGCTCAAGCACCGGAGGAGCATGCAGAAACCTTCAGGCAGGGACGTGCAGGACGATCCCAGAACTACTCTTCATCCACCAATGTTCGCAAAGAATGGGTGGTGCTGGCAGGTTTCCGCTTGGGTCTTTGGACCTTTCCGTGCTGGCCAAACAGCATATCATGTTTGCTGGTTGAATATTGGTGTAGTATTTCTGAAGAGAGGTATCTCGAGAAAAGGAAGCCTTCGGCTCTGGTGTCAAAAAGGCGACATGCTGTACTCCCACGGAAACCCCGAATCCTTGCCAGGGTTACTGTAAGGTGCCCTGGCAGGAGACTTATTGTGTTCGTAATGAGTACCGCACGTTGAAGCAGTCCATGGGCCATAATGTTGTTCGATTTCTCGTCGCACATCCATCATAGTGGGCTGGGAGGCATGTCAAGAGGTTGCCAGTGGCAATGAATGGCCTTGTGTTCGACATCTCTCTTGGAGCTCGGTGGCGGCAGCAGCTATGAGGCTCCGGGTCAGGATCCAACACGGCGCAGTAAAAGAACGGTGACAACTTTCTCCCTGCGTTGAACCGGAATGAAGTCGTAATAAAGAAGAATCTTTAATATCGTTTGTTTGTCTCGAATAGGTTAGCGTCTTGGCAGGATTGGCGCTCACCCTGACACCAGCCAATCGTCTCCTCTTGTTGTTTCTTCCTTTGGTCACGGAGGATGCGATGCATTGATTCTATCGACTTCATCCTTTGTCAAGAGCTAGGATTGGTAGTTCTTTCTCGCCCTTTCTTCTCTGGGAGTTGTTACTGGGGCTTGCTTTGTGTCATCTTCCCATCTTGCAGGTTGTTCTTTGTTCTGTTGCGTCTTCACCGATCTGCGCCGTTTGGTTGCCATTTGGGGTATGACAGTGGAAGGACTTCGCAGATATTGTGCTAATCATGAGCAACGTACTCAGTACTAGATTCAACATAATTTAGTTCGATCAACCGGAGCGGATATGAGTCACAAACCTTGTGACGCTCTGAAATATTTGGGTCAAACAGAACGTTGTCAAGAGGCTGCCATTATTTCCTAGACTCTTCGCTCCTCTCTGTGACCGTGCGTACCCTCGCAGCTCAGCTATGTAAACAAAGCCCTTACCGCTGCCGGGAGATGAGTCCAATAGCCAGGGCTGGACAAACAGAAAAAGAGCTTCTCCCAGATCACCCGGAACTGTGACGAGGTCGTTCGACACCCTATGTCCCATGGATCCAATGGATGACTCGTTTGAGGCTCGAGTTCTTTTGTTGCAGCTAATCTGATGATATATTCGCAATATCCGAAAGTATACAGTCAGAATCAAGACTCAGATTATCACTCCGCTCATCAGTGACAGGTCGAAATTCCACATAAATATGTCTGGAATATATCCTCATCCATTCGCGCATCATTGCCTCCCGCCCACTCTCACGCAGACATACGAGACAACCATCTATCATAAATCCACTATTCGTCCAAAGAGACTCGAAAGCACTAACTTCAACGATCCAGCATGCCCCGCCGCGGCCGCCCACCTGGGAGACGCCCAGGCCCACGCTACGAACGCAGTTGCAGTTCTTGTGGCGAAAACTACCAAGGAGATGGAGCCGGTCAACTGCCTGGGTATTTCGGACATGGCAATATGGGCGAACTCGATGGACCAGAGTATTATCCCGAGCCTGTCGGCGGTCGTCCAAATGACCCTAGATTGGGCAGGAGAGGGAATCGCGGACTTAGCGGAACAGGTCTGCAAGGAAATATCGTCGAAGATGATAATGCTTACGCATGGGGGGTCGTCAGTGACAACGGCTTCGAGGTGTGGAATAATGGCGAGCTGGTCGCTAGCGGCGGAGACCGCTTAACTCGCGGTGCAGGCCGTCGGGGCAGAGATGATTTTGCCTTCGGCTTCGGCGATGAGGAATATTATTCTGATGGTTTTGACGACTTCGGAACTGGCACCTACGGAAGAGGGCCGCCTCTGGGCTCCAGAGGCGGGCCCTTCGGCAGAGGTTCTCGTCGAGGACCAGGCGAGCTTCCTCCAGGTATGGAGTTCAATCACATTCCACCGTGGTTCCTTGACGAGTTTGATGATGATGGCTTTGATGATTTTCAGATGATAGGTGCTTTGGGGGGCAGACCACCGCGAAGCAGAGGGAGTGGACCTCGACGAGGTGGCAGAGGAGGGATCAGAGTTACGCGACAAGGAGGCGGCGTCGTGGTCGACAACGAATTTGAGGGCACGCCTCGTGAAAGTGGAGGTCGAACTGGCTACGGTCCACAGCTGGACAACGAATACGAGAATGATGATGATGATGATGGCGACGACAGTGGTTACGACGATGAACTTGTGGAAGGTAGCTTGGGTGGAAGAAACAGGGATCGTATCATGCGATTCAGCGATGGGGCGACACTTCGCATCCATCAAGGATGAGAGGCTTGTGGATTTGCTGCATCTGTTACTCGAAGGTGCTTGAGCAGTCTGGGCCACGGGCATAGCCCAGGGTTTTATTGGGACTTAGATGGGCAACTTCGATACCCAGGATGGAGCTATAGGAGATGTTGGCAATGAGTATCATCTGCATCATCCTCGATGGTGATGAGGCCAGCAAACGACTATTGCTTGTGAGTCGTGACAGACATCAAACTCTATTAAAATAGATTCTGTGGTTTAATTTCTTCTTCATCCTCCATTAATCAACTGAAGCCCGGAGAAATTCCAAGTCATCTCATATCAAAAGGCCCTCTGGAGACTTGGAATCGACACTCAGTATTACTCTTGATTGCTTGTTCCATAATGCCCATCTACAACATCCAGCAGGGCAGAAATGGCGTTTCAACCTTCATCAGATTTCCCTGCGACAGTGAAATTGATCCTGAATGGCCGGAATTCGAGGACAATCTGAACGAGAGCCAAATCTTTTCCTTTCCCGAAGATCCGCCCAGTCGCCGACGCCGGCGACAACGTGACAGGCGCAGAAACTGTGGACCGGAAACAGAGACCTTGAATGATGACTATGTCCCCTATCCCGGATGGGACCTCGGAGGGGGAGACAGAGAGGGGAGGGATGGACGCATGAGGCCACGAGAAACAGAGAATCTTCAAGATGAATATGTCCCTTACCCGGGCTGGGATCTCGGGGAGGAAGATCAAGAGGGCAGGCGTGGGCTCACAGGGTCACGAGAACCAGAGACACTTGAAGACGAATATGTCCCGTACCCAGGATGGGACCTCGGGGATGGAGAAAACGAAGAGAGCCACAGACATTCAGGACAATCAGGACCTACATCTCGAAGTGGAGGTTGTCAAGACCGCCACTACCATTCGTGTGGTCAAGTCTTTGCTGCTGAAGGGGGAAACCGACGCGGGCTGAACATGAGACGGGCAACCAGACACAGGGGCTCTCGGCATAGAGGTCAGGGCGAGCTGGAAGGAGACATGGGCCACAGAGGTTCTTTCGGAGGAGGTTGGGATAGAGATCTCGCCCGGCATGAAGACTCCAGAGACATCGAGCCACATCTAGAGGGTGGGATAGACGGTGTGATGAAGAGGATCGCAGACAGACAACAGCGACGGAACATCACGAATGGCTTGCGGAGATAAAGGTGCTTGCCGTTGCAGCAGACATCGGGTTTGCAACTGGGAAGCAAGGCTTTTTGCACCAAGTCGTCAAAGAGTCACAATATGCTTGGGCTGATCTAGAACTGGAGCATGACACATACATACAACTGAGGTTGAAGTGGGAAGAGATCTGATAACTCTACTGAAATGGGCATTGGTGACACAAAGGTTCTTTGTTTGTCGATTTTGATATTTGGATAGCCCTAGACAATTCATCAGACAGTAAGATCTCATACCTGAGATCCAGCCGTACATTCGGCCCAGTAGTCGGATACCCTCATTCAACACGCTCTCGGTAAGATCATGTCCCAACTGAAAACTCCTAAAGTCCATACCTGGAGAAATTCAACATCCCCCCCAAGGCTAGCATAAAACAAGGAATGCGGGATTGCGAAGTCCTCGCTTTCTACGGCCATTCATCGGTAGAGCCTGGACTTGGCCCACGATATGCCAAAATAGAGCAACACAGCCGCAAGAGCTGGGCAAAATATGGAAACGATTGTTGCTGAGGTGGCAGCGCCAGTAAGGATCGCCGTGACAGACCAGGAGGGAGTGTCAGAGGCTGTGACAGAAGGTTCCGTTGCAACGAAATGTCCCCTCGAAGTCCCGTTCATGTCTGAGATACCAGAAACAAGTTGTTCGCTGGAAGTCTTGTCGGCGGTAGCCTTCTCATCAACACTGACAGATTCGAGGAGCGTGTTCTTATCATGTCCCTCAGCATGGTCCTTCGCCCGAAGGTTGGTAAAACCATCTTGATCCATACCACTGTCAGCATCGCTCTCGATGGAAGGCTCAGTCATGGCAGAGGGAGGCCCGACTCTGATGATGTGCTGGTTAGCAGACTTCTGAGCGTCGGCAATCTTAATCTCCCAGTCCCACCTGCCGCGTACTCGAACGACCCACTCAAGACGGTGTATATGCATGAAAGCTTTCAATTTTGTTGGAGAAGGCCACCTGCCGAGGAATGCAATGGCTTCAGGTTGTCGAAGGAGCGCCAGCCATCTCAATTTGTTGTCAAGCTTGACATCCTCGACTTCCACGCCGCGAATGAACTCCTCCAGTGTCTCACCGCTCCACTTCAAGAAGCAGGAATGCGTCAGATCTTGACATCGAATTGGAAAGGAGGTCGCTAGATTCTCCTGTGTGACATTGTCGATGCCATAAGATTTCGCGTGAAGCGAACCTAATGCGTGTCTGAATCGGAATGTCTGAAGTTCACTTGTGGGCAACCGGTTCAAGGCAACCTCACCGCTCTCTCCCTGGAAGTGGAAAGCGATGCCATCATTGACAACTATGTTCTCTTTCATGCGAGACTCGGTTGAGATGGATTTGTCGTTCCCGGTGGTGCAGGTATTGCTGGATGGCCACGACGCGTCCAATAGTTGTCTCAATTCTTCAGCTGTAGAGGCTGTCTTCGCAATTTCCTTGATGCCTTCGGGTATGTCGAAGGGTAAGGACATCTTCGCAGGCCAGCCGTCCATGTCATGAAGTTGTTTGATTACAGCGCGGTGCTGCAAGACCGCGGTAGAAGAGTCAAGGGTGCCTTGACGTTTGCAAACTTTGTTGACATATTTCAAGTGACGCAGAATGAGACGTAGATTAGCCTCGTAAAGTCGTTCACCATTCTGCCGAGTTGGTCAAGTTAGCATCATCGTGTGTATAAGTATATATATATATATATCTGCAACAGGGGGAAAGAGCAGGCTCAAGCCTTTGGCTCAAAGGCTGGCCAATATGTCAGCCGTCCCTTGCGTGACATTGGAGGACGTACAGTGATCATAGGCGGTATTCCCGGGAGTATCAACTGCTGGTCTGAGAGTTCAGCAATACATCGGCATGTCTGATCACGGATAGTAGTGACGAATTGGACGACTTCAGGCGAGGACGTGACTTCAAGCGAGGACGTGACTTCAAGCGAGGACGAGACCTCTGGTGGGGGTAGGGCTTCCGGCGAGGGTAGGGCTTCTGGTGACGGTGGGGCATCCGACGAAGGCAGGACTTCCGATACAGGCGTAATTTCTGAGGAGGACATGTTGACAGCTGAACTGATAATACTGGGACAGATGCTGATGCAGCAGTATCTGATAAAAGCTGGGGGGGTTGCAAAGGTGAACATTGGTGTTTTCATCTGGATGATTGGGAAGACCTGGGAGAACAAACACAAGCTACAGATAAGAAAAGGAAATATATAGATATGATAAGAATGGGGCCCAGTACTGCCTTAGAAATGCGGTTTGTGAATGTTTGGTCCTGGTCTTTGTTTTGAGACAGAGCCGCGGGGACCAGTACTGCCTTCTGATCGCGCCTTGTGAATCTTTAACCTTGGAATTTGGTTAGAGGCAGAAACACAGATTAAAATGACCTTCCCGACATGTGGTTAAGTTGAAGGGTGCAAAGTGTGAGAGTTGTGTAGTGAACGGGGCATGGTGTCCTCGCCTTTAAAAACACGAAACAGGAAACAAGCTATGAAGCACATACGTGCTAAGCTAGCAAAGAAGTCAGGGATTGGAATCCTAGATATTAAGGGGCGTGAAGGATCAAAGGGGTAATAAGTCATTCAGATAGCCACTCGATTGCTATGCTCGGTGAGAAGAAAAACCAGTACAAGGCTGTGTGTTAGGAACTGCTGTGTCGCCCAATGCTTCGGCCGTGTGCTCGCTTTTGCTATCGCATTGTCAGACAGGAGAATACGGTCTTAGCCATCGACTAAATATTCGCAGAAAAGAACTTCATTCAGCTTGAACACGAGGAGGATAGTTGAAAAAGTAAGAAAAGGAGAATTCTGGAGGAAAGCGGCATCTATATTGATATACCGGAATAGGAAAAGCGTTTTATTGACCAGCAAGAAAAGTACAATGACGGAATAACTTCCTGCTTCACACCATGTGACCGTCTGTTTCCTTTTGTCTGTTCAAACCTCGTCTATAACAAACTCCATCACCATCACCATGGATGTTCATGCACAACGACGAATATACCCATGAGTTTATTGACTATCCAACAGTCTGGGCGGCCATGACCTTCGAGGGTTCATTGTGACGGGATGGAGATACACGGATGGGGTGACTTGCCACAAGGCTGTCTCTGCTCCCCAGTAACGATCGCCCACAAGGCTCGTCAATTTGGTACAATGACGACATTGGCAGTGGCAGCTTTACGCGTCGTGGCCCTTGATACTCCTTCCCTGTGATCTTTAGCAGTCTACTAAGAACACAGTCTCTATTGTCTGGAGCCTCGATTGCCCCCAAAATGGATGAACAAAGGCCTGGCAACGTGCACCCTGAACACAATGCTGGCCATATCCACCAGCCTAGGGTGCCACTGCCGAATGGCATAATCAACATCCCAAAGCCCGAACAAGCAAGACAATACATTCAGGAGGACGAGGAGGATGCTGTAACAGATTTCAATGTGAGTTCTTCTGCTCTCCTTTCGCAGGAACCCATCCATCAGTCTTTTTACAACCTAATCATGCCTTACCATGGCACTCACCGATGGCCCCTAGGCTCCCATAAGTTGGTGGATGCTGTCAACTCTGTTCCCGCTCATTGCTGGCACATTCGGGCCCCTGGCCTCAACCTTCAACATCTGCGCCCTTGCGATTGACTGGCGGACAACTGTCAGTTCAAGCTCGACAGAATCAGAGGGCACACATATGTCGGATCCAGGATGGCTTCTAGCCGTCAACGCTGTCAGCCTCGCCATCGCCGTAGTTGCGAATCTGGCTCTCCTAGCTCAAATGACGGACCGAATCTCTTACCAGCGAGCCTCTCCCATCACCATTGCTGGCTGGTATGCTAGCTCTTTGCTCCTGCTGGGTCTGGTCGTAGCGACTCCCGAACAGTTGCCATTACCAACCGATAGTCTGGCAACATATTCTCAAGCGTTCTACTATGCCATCTTCGCTTGCGGCATCTACTTCATCCTCGCTTCCATGCTCCTCGTTACTCATGTTAATCTGCGATACCGCGCACCACCATTCAGCCGATCATTCAAATTGACAATGTCCCAACGCTCGCTCATGTTACAGACTATTCTTTTCTTGGGTTATCTGCTTGCCGCCGGCGCCGTCTACTCCCGAATCGAGAACTGGGGTTTCCTCGATGCCGTGTACTTTGTGAACGTGACTCTGTTCACAATTGGACTCGGAGACTACCATCCCGTCACCCACTTGGGGAGATCGTTGTTTTTTCCAATGGCCATTGGCGGTATTCTTTTCGTCGGTCTGATAATTGCGTCTATACGCACCTTGGTCCTTGAATCTGGCTCTCGCAAAATCTCCACCCGGATGGTGGAGAAAGCACGTCGTAAAGTGCTCAAATCAGGTAAAGGAAAGGCCGACAAGCTCGCCCCTCCGAGCTCGGGACGCTCAGAACTGGACACAAATTTTCCAGTGTCAGAGCTGGATCGCCGCAAACTGGAGTTTCAGGAAATGCGAAACGTTCAAGGACGAGCCGCGCGCCAGAACCGGCTGATTGCACTCTCGATTTCTGGCTCGTGCTTTTTCACTTTATGGTTCATTGGCGCAGTCGTTTTCTGGCAAGCGGAGTCTGCCACTGGTGGAGAAAATTGGTCCTACTTTGAGGCCTTGTACTTCACCTACGTGGCTCTTTTAACGATCGGATATGGCGACTTTTATCCTCAAACAAACTCCGGCAAGCCTGCCTTTGTCTTTTGGTCTTTAATTGCACTCCCTACATTGACCGTCCTGATTGGTGCGATCGGAGACACCATCTCCGATCTCGTGGCCTCGAGCACATTATGGCTCAGCAGGCACGCGCCGGAAGCACTGAGCATCTTGAGAGGCGCAAAATCAGCCGCGGCAAAGAAGCGAAACCGTGAGGGTGCTTTTCAGGAAGCAAAGCCCGCAGGATTTATGGACGACGAGTCTGCCGTCGAGGGCGACTTTGGGGACCAGAACATTGCGAAGGCAATCCGGGCGCTGGGTGGACGGGAACAGAACAATGCCTCTGGAACAGACACGAATCCAGAAGACGCGAGAGAAGCGCAGGCATTGCTATCTGCGTACAGGCTACACATTCTTTTACGCGAAATGCAGAACGTTGTGCAACATCTCGACGCACAACCCCCGAGGAAATACACCTACGAGGAATGGACGTGGTTCTTGAAGCTCATCTACGAGGACGAATCGTTGACACCGAGCCATAGACACCCGTGGGAGCATGAGGTTCCTGTCGCTGCTCCCCTGAGAGAGAAGGGTGATCAGAAGTGGAGCTGGCTGGGACAAGAAAGCCCTCTAATGAGCATGGAGGATGAACCGAAATGGGTCCTTACCCGGCTGCTCGAAGTAGCACAGAGGAAGAGCAAAAGAAAGGGAGACTTCTGGTTGGAAGTTTGGAGGAAACAACATGACGAAGATAATACTGATGGCTGCAGGTAACACTGCTGAGCCTCAGTGAAAGCCTGCTCCCGATCAAGCGAGTGATGTGCGGCAAGTTCGTTTCCCAATTCAAACAGTTGGCAAGGAAGAGACTTTCAAAGGAGCATGAATTTGGCTGCACACTACATATCCCATGCATTTTCAACCCACTGTTTTCGATGGAGAACCAACAAGCACACGATCCTTTGTCGCTTTCCAAGTTTTCCGACCATGATTTTCTTGGGTGGCTGCACACATCGATCTGTCCGTCACAAGCTCTGTCTCGCCCACAGCACGTTCTCATATGATCCGAGTGCCCTATCCAACACACGCAACTCTCTGTCCGCCGATGAAAATGAGGATCTCACAATCCATTGTCGACAGAGAACAAAACAAATGCCCGATCTCCGTCCAACCCAGCCCTAAGCTCCTTGCATATGATCCCACCTACAAGCTTGCGCTCTGAAGGAAAATCCATTCCTCGCAGCTAAAACTTCCTTTCTGTCCAGAGTTGACTCATACTCACCAAGACAAAGCAAATCACGCCACTCTTTCTTTGATGCTCTCAGGCTAACCTGTTTACACACGCCTTTCCCAGGAAACGCCGGGATGAGCAAGATCGCGGATCAGCACCAGGACGACTGGCAACTAACGCACCAAGGGGCAGGCACTTTCCAGGAATACGAAGATCTGGAGTATATCAACAAGATCAATACACTGACCACAACCATGACCATGGAAATCCCGAGAGCCACGCGATAGTCAACCATGCACGGCTTCAGCGCATCGAGCTGGCGTTGCAGATCACAGTCGTAGGAGGTGATCAGATCATCGAGCCCATCATCTTGACCGAGTACTTTGTCTTGATGGGCCGAGTCCGAGTCATCTTTCAACGCCGTCTTGCTGACTTTTTGGAGCGCATCAAGCAGTTTCTGGATCTGTGCACATTTCTTGGCTCGTGTAACCTTCGTGGTGTATCGTCGCGGCTGCTTGATTTGATCGACCGTGTGAGCCAGGGCTCTGAGGTGAGCGAGTGGCGAGACTAGATGGCGAGGAAGGTTTGTGCGCTTGGCCGCGACCGTCATCTCCTTGATCTGCAGCGCGAGCTGCTCTTGGAAGGCGACGAGGTACAAGTCCGGGTCGACTTCTCTGAGACTCTTCGGCAGAAACTTCTTGAATACAGCGACCGGATGTTGCGGATTTGCAGGGTTAGTGGAGGAGGAGGGTAAGTGGCCGCCTGTCGATGCCTGGACTGGAGAGCCGGCAAGCGGTGTCTCTTCTTCGGCGAAGTGTGCGGTATCCGGATCAAGTGAAGGGGGTGAAGGTGACTCGAGAATGCTGGTCAGTGTTGTTCCAGTCCCAAGCTGGCGAGATGCAGCGTGCGCGAAGCCTGGCAGGTTGAACCGGGGCGGAGGTTCCGTTGGAAGGCCATCGCTCCGGGTGGGGTGTTGTCTCAGCTGTGGCACGACGTACTTGAAGGGAGTATCAGGGCTTGTGTCCTCCATGGCTGATAGCAGCAGGAAGGGTCGGGGATGGCTCGATGAGAAAGAGTGACCAAGATGTCTGATGGGGATGGGTCAAGAAAGAACACTGAAGTGGACGAATGGAGAGAAGAAGAAAAATGAACGATGGCCACCATCAATAAGGACATGCTGAGAGACAGGTGAGATTCTGAAGAGACAATGTTTGCTTGCTTGACGTGATGTCAAACATGACAAAGTCGGCCCAGAAGGGACAGGAGGGTTGTTGGTTCGATGGAAGGGGATGGATCTGTGGGCTTCATGAAAACATCGCGATGCATAAGGGGCGAGGTGAATAGGGATGGGCCACAAACAAGAAGAAAGAACGAGAAGAAACAGAAAGCAACCCTGTATAGGATAGAAATGTGACCGCGTTGAAGGAGTTGTTTGATGACCTTGTGCTGAAGCACCATGATGTGGCGGACCGCGAGGCTGAGCCATTTATGAGATGTTTGATCATGAAAACTTCCCTCTATCGCAATTTTGACATGAGAGATGAGCCAGAAAACACGAAGAATCACTAGGACGGACGTTCGTACTATATTGATAGTTTCCTGAATTTTGATTGCCTAGATAGAGAGATCTGCCGCAAATGTAACTGACACGCTCCAAGAGCATCTGTAGATTTTGCAGGGCACAAACAAACCCATGCCATTCCCCGTGGTCCACAGGGCTGTCAAAAGGATGGTTGACATCATGTTCATTCACTCACCTTCAAGCTGCGAAGCACAAGTGTCCCTCAACTTACCGAACTCCCCAGGAGGCTGCTTACCCCGGTAGCCACCTGTGGTGAGGCCAACGCGCAAGGTACTTTTGGAATGATCCAAGACGCGATAGTGGAATGAGTGCCAAGTTGGAAAGAAACCCGAACTGCTGGCATCTTACCCCAAAATCCAAAATACCAAAAAGACTTTAAAGTAAATAAAGAGCCAGGGGCAGAGAATGTAGCGGTCGCAACCATGGAGATAGTAACGCCAAAAAGGACACTGAGGACAGCATCCCCAACGAGTGTACGCATCTGCACCACCATGGTTTCTGACTAGAGCACTGATGGATCATGTCCCGAATTTCCTGGCAAGAGGAAGCGTAGATGCCCTCCATGACTTCCTGCCACAGGGGGTCTTTTAGAACCAGGTGCTCTGGGTCAGCGCTGACTGCTTGGTAGATTTTGTCCACATGCGTGAGGAATTCATAGATCTGCAATTGCGTAATAGCTCGACTTCTCTGGCCGCGAATTCGCCCCATCTCATGGAATGTGCACCTGAGGATTCGGATGAACAGGTTAGAACGCTTCCTAGACTCCTGATCGTCCTGGATCCAAGCAGCCATTCGAGATGCTTGACGTAGTAGGTGCTCGAGGACGTCGATACACGGTGACTGCGGGCCGGTCTCAAGGAGTCGCGGTGACATGGTTTTTCGACATCCTTGCCACTGCCGTGAATTCTGATGGGGCCTCGAGGGAAGGCATTGGACCCGCCCATCGGTTTGATATGCGGAAACGTGGACTTTCGCTTCCGTGGGATGGCATGGTTTTGTGGAATTTGGAACGGCATGGTGCGTCGGAATAGAGGAGAGATCTGGAGATTGGAGCGTGTAGCATTGTTTCTGTTGAAGGTCTGGTGGATTGGATCACTAGAAGCCGGAAGAGGTTCATGACTGAAACGACATGCTGGAATGGCAGTACACCATGATAATGTAGGGAGTCGCATCGACATGCAGAAGGTCCTCAACGCCGTACCCGTCATTGCACTCTGTTCTAGGGACTCCACACGGCATAACAGTCTTCAAACCAATCGTCGACCATCATGCTCCGGTAAGGAGATACCTGTATGGACAATCTGATTGTGGCGAGTCCTCACAGTCGTGCCGGTTTTAAAACCAATCCTCGCACAGAAACTGCTCAGGTCGACCCGAATCAATGCTAGATTTCGAGATTAATGCATGTACTCAAGACTAGTTGTAGATTGCTTGTGAGTTGTGGTAAGTTTGGGATCCCATCGAGGGCAGCGGCAGACGGGGAGATCCATCAAGTCACGTCAAGGCAAAATAGAGCAAAGAGCTTCACGAGATGCACGTAAACAACAAGGAGGTGCACGACGATACCAGAACTGCGCGTATAGCCGGCAGAAGTCTTCTTTGACGGCGGTAAAAATTGTGGTTTGGCAGTTATGTACAACTTTCTCTTTGAAACAAAGCCTACATGTCTTCCGAGGCCGTGGCACCCGTGATGATCGCCACCAATTCTCCTGCAATGACTGCTTGTCGGGCTCTGTTGTACAAGATGGTGAATCTGCCGATCAGGTCTCCGGCGTTCTTGGACGCGTTCTATTTGGGACTTCGTTAGCACCGATGTCAACGTCAGATATCAAATGACCACTCACATCCATAGCGTTTCTCCGGGCAGATTGTTCACAAGCATGGCCTTCGGCAAGCGCCCAGTAGAGAGAGTTGGCCAAGGCATATTCTCGGAGGTTGGCGAGCACGTCGTCATCGATCTCAAAGGCGGCGAAGTTGGGAGATTGTGTGATGGCCTCCTCGGAGTATGCCTCCACTGTGACAGGTTCATAGCTCTGGGCATTGATGAACTTGTTGTAGAGGATCTTGATGCTAGAATATTCTTCCGGAAGCAGCACGAGTTGGTCGGCGATGGCCTGAGCATCGGCGAAGGTGGGGACATCTCTTCCAATACCCGCAAAGCTCAACAAAACATTCTTGGGGTTGGAACGACCGATCTGGGCCTTGCACTTTTCACCAATGATCACAATGTCGAGGTTTGGGTCCTTCTCAAGCATTCGACGGGTCGTGCGCGACAGACCGGAATGAATACCACCGCAAAGGCCCTTGTCGGAGCTGGCAACCACCACCAGTGTCTTCTTCTCCTCCAATGGCTTGGTTTCCGCCTCTTCAAAGACCTTGTTTGATGTTTGCCCGTAGGATCTAGAATCGGCCATGGCCTTTTGCGCACGAGTGAGCTTGGTGGAAGCAACAATTTTCATCGTCTTTGTGATCTTTTCAATGTTTCGGATGGATTTGAGGCGACCTGTGAAAGGTTAGCGACCACCACGAAGCTCCCTGCCATCGATGCCATACTCTCAATTTCTCGTAGTGTAGCATAACCAGCGACCTGAGGGACTGCCGTCCTGGTGAGGGATCGATCAGTTCGGTGATTCAAGCTCCTGAGATTTTGCAGCCAACTCACTTTGCATAGGCGGCATTGCCAGCCACGAGGGCCGGTCTCACAGCTCTGGACAGCATCATGGCGAGACTTGGCTGACCACGAGGCCGTGATGAGCGATGGTCTAGATGTGAGTGAGGGAGAGGAGATTCGGTTGGTGTGAGGGCAGCTGCTTCAATGAACAAATTGAGGTTCCGATCAGAGCTCGCCGAGTGGGAATAACACGCTAGCCCCTTTAGGCCTAATGCGTCTCGATAATAAGATCGTCGATACAACGGAATCGGAGTGGCACGTGAGTGGGCATTTGGGAGCATTTTGGAGCATTTTGGAGCATTCCCTCCAGAACGGCCTCACGAATCGCCTGGTCGGGTGTGGACTGCACTCTGCACTCTGACTTTCCCTCTTCCTATTTTCCTTCTCGGCCTCGCCCATTCCTTCATTTCTTCTTTCTTCTTCCCTCATTGTCTCTCTCTTTACTCTTTTACACCCTGTCACTTGCCCTTCAGTCATTTATCTACGCCTCCCTGCGTCGCCTCTCTCCCATACCAACAGCAGGCACGCTCCCCATTGTTGCCATCGAGGTCTCGCCCACCATTCCGAGTTTCCGAGGCGCGTTTTGGAAGCCACTTCAGATTGTCGCCTCTCATTCCTGCTCCCGTCCACCTCTATTATCAGCCGTTCAGTCTCTACAACATCCCTTCGCGAGGCCTCTGCGCCCCATCTGTTCTCTCACGCGCTTCATGGACTCTTCCGACGATGATATACCCCTCGCGGGCTCAAGGAGGGTAAATGGCACAAACGGAGGTACGGTGTCTCCCCCTATCACAATCGACGATTCGGGGAATTCTCGTTTGCGTTGCTTACTCTGACTCTATATTATTGCATCTCGTTTTTCAGCTCTTTACTGACAGTGCAAGCAGTCGCGCATCCCCTATCCTCCTCCAAGATCCCTTCCTCCCTCGACGCTGCAATGGATCGCCAGATCCCTACGAATGGCGAAGTCGTACCGGGTATTTCCATGGCAAATGGTGAGGTAAAGGTTGAAGAGCTATCACCACCTGGCAACAAGGACAATGCCCTTAATGGCGTTGGGACTGCCAAGCGTAAAGCCCGAGAGAGTCTCACGCGACCGTCCTATGCCGAGCCAGAAAGCAGCGACGACGATCTACCATTGGTATGCCACCCCTCCAATTCCAGAAGATGCCTCTTGAGAAATCACCCGGGCTGATGTGGATGCAGAGCAAAAAGAGAAAGACTTCAGTCGCGCCAGAATCGGACTCCGACGATGCTCCTCTCGTCTCCAAAGCCAGGACGAATGGCAAAGTTGTTCAGAAGCCCCCTCGAGTCTCAGCTCATCAAATTGGTGAAGATTCGGACTCAGATGTGCCTCTCGGTCAGAAGCTGGCCAAGCAAAAGCAGATGATTGAGAAAGCAGCAGAGAAGGAAGCGAAGCAGATTCGAAAAGAGGAGAAGAAGGAGGCTGCAAAGGCTCCCAAAAAGTCAGCCCCAGCAAAGAGGGTAAAAAAGGAAGAATCCAGTGACGACGACAAGCCTCTATCAAAGCGAGTGCCTGCGGCTACCACCAAGAAAATAAAAGCCGAGCCGTCCAAACCCGCGAAGAAGGTCAAAGTAGAAGCTTCTTCGCCCGCGAAGAAGTCTAAGGCAGTCAAAAAGGAAGAGAGTGCCGATCCTGAAGACGAAGAGGATGAAGAGGACGAAGTTAAATGGTGGGAGGATCCTACTAAGGGTGATGGAACAAATAAGTGGGAAACTTTGCAGCACAATGGCGTCGTCTTCCCACCCCCCTATCAACCTCTCCCTCCGCATGTCAAGATGAAATACGACGGCGAGCCTATCACCCTCCATCCCGACGCAGAGGAGGTTGCTGGTTTTTTCGGCACCATGCTCAACTCGACACACAACGTGGAGAATCCAACGTTCCAGAAAAATTTCTTTGGTGACTTCAAGGATATTCTGAAGAAGACCGGCGGTGCAAAGAATAGAAAGGGGGAGACGGTGGAGATTAAAGAATTTGCAAAGTGCGACTTCAGACCCATCTTCGACCACTACGAAGCGGAGAGGGCGGCGAAGAAGGCGTTGTCCAAAGAGGAAAAGAAAGCTATCAAAGCAGCAAAGGACGAAGCCGAGGCTCCCTACTTGTACTGCATCTGGGATGGCAAGAAACAGAAGGTTGGCAACTTCCGAGTCGAACCTCCTGGTCTGTTCCGCGGCCGAGGTGATCATCCAAAAACTGGCAAAGTCAAGACGAGAGTCATGCCTGAACAGATCACGATCAACATCGGTAAAGAAGCAACTGTTCCTCCTCCACCAGAAGGTCACAAGTGGAAGGAAATCAAACACGACAAGCAAGGGACGTGGCTGGCCATGTGGCAAGAGAACATCAACGGCAACTACAAGTATGTCATGCTGGCTGCAAACTCGGACATAAAGGGTCAGAGTGACTAAAGAAGTTCGAGAAGGCTCGTGAACTCAAGAAGCATATCGATCGGATTCGCAAAGATTATCGAAAGGAACTCAAATCAGAATTGATGGCAGATCGACAAAAGGCGACTGCCATGTATCTTATCGATCAATTTGCCCTTCGTGCTGGTAATGAGAAAGGAGACGACGAGGCTGACACGGTCGGTTGTTGTTCTCTGAAATATGAGCATATTACTTTGCGGGCTCCCAATACGGTTATCTTCGACTTCTTGGGAAAAGACAGCATCCGCTTTCACGAAGAATTCGAGGTGGACGCACAGGTCTTCAAGAATCTCAAAATCTTCAAGAAGCCGCCGAAGAGCGAGGGAGATGACATCTTTGACAGGCTGACTACGACACAACTCAACAACCATCTAAAAAACTACATGCCTGGCTTGACTGCCAAGGTCTTCCGTACCTATAACGCGTCTTTCACAATGGCCAAGCTTCTTTCCGAGATGAAATCTGAAGGTACAATAGCCGAAAAGATCAAGGATTACAACGACGCCAATCGAAAAGTTGCCATTCTCTGCAACCATAAGCGAACTGTGGCAGCCGGACATGCAAACCAGATGGAGAAGTTGGGGGACCGGATCAAAGGTCTCAAATACCAGCAATGGCGAGTCAAACAGATGATGCTCGACCTCGATCCAAAGATCAAGAAGAAGAAGGGCGCAGAGTACTTCGAGCTGCCTGACGACTTGGACGAGGCATGGATTCAAGAACATCAGGCTTACTTGGTTGAAGAACAGAAGATCAAAATCACTAAGAAATTCGAAAAGGACAATGAGAAGCTCAAAGCGGAAGGCGAAAAAGAGATGAAACCGAAAGAGCTCGAAGAACGCTTAAAGGCGGCCAAGGAGCTGGAGAAAAGATTTCAAAAGGAGAACAAGACAAAGAGGGTTGAGGCTGAGGGAAAGTCTCCGACTGTCGAAAAGTTGGAGGAACAAGTCAAGAAGTTTGATGCGAGGATTGCTACCATGGCCGTTCAGGCTGAGGACAAGGAGAACAATAAAGAGGTGGCCTTGGGAACTTCGAAGATCGTAAGTCATGCACTACGCCCACTTCCAGGCAACGACAATGGCATCAAGCTTGCTAACCACGTCTTGCTCGCAGAACTACATCGATCCACGGTTGACAGTGGTTTTCAGCAAGAAATTCAACGTGCCAATCGAGAAGTTCTTCTCCAAAACCCTGCGCGAGAAGTTCGAATGGGCTATCAAGTCCGTCGACGAGGACTGGGTCTTCTAAGTCTTGTCCATTCAAAGGGCTCACACAGCCCTTCGCAACAATTGGACAGGGTCAATCGGGACAATACATTCGAATTTCAATTGCGGTGAACTACTACCATATAGGGGCGCTCAGCGCTGATGACAACTACAAATGCTAAATCCCACGATCTTCCGATGAGAAACATACGAGTTGCTACGAATTCCATTCACTTCACTGTCGCCTCTCAGTGCTCTCACAACGGACACATTGTATCACAACGGATGCATGGTTCTGACTTGGCGACTCTATCATCAAGTGGTGTCCTAGGCAGTGAAAGGTTGGGGGGTGAAATGGATTGTCGAACTACGGACTGTCAATAGCTGGAGGACGGACTCTTTCTTTCCAAGATACCAGCAAGTTTTTTTTGCAAAGTTCTGCTTCTGGTTTGCATCATTCTGGAGGATGGGAGGGGAGGAAAGAGCTTGCAATTCGACTGTCCTTTCCGTTCCTTGCAAAGCATCCATCAGCATAGTACCGGAACAGCGCGGCATCCTTTACCAGACAGGTTAGAGTCTGCAGCACAGATCTAGAAAGGTTAGACAGAATCGAGGCCAAGACTACATTGTGACATTTGATGACTCTTGCAAAGACCCTTTTTCTTGGGTCGATAACGAACGGTATGGGTTGGATTGGGTTGGGTTGGCATCTCGTCCCAGTCGATCGATCAGTACGAGGTACAGGCCACGCATGCATGGATTGAGTGAGACATGTGATGTGGTGTATCACGGCGACCAGGAGCATGAGCGGAAGTGGCTGGGGTTGTTATTATTAAAAATCATATATGATTGACAATTTCTCGTAGCTCAGCTAGAAAGGAAAAAGACACTACCTCGAGCATCCAGCCCTATCTGAATCTGTACACAGTCAATGCCATCACAACCACGGTCCTTTTCAACGCTGGCTATCTTCTGTCCTCCCATCCCGCGTCCACACATGATGGCGAAGTCTCCTCTAGAGACTGAATCATGGTGCTGGACCGCGAAGACAGGAAGCACAACGAGCCTCGTCAACCCCGACAGCACCACTCTTCGCTACCTCAAACCAAGCCCAGCCCAGTCATTCCTCGCACCTCGTAATCCAGGTATTCCAGCCCTGTTGTAATGCTCCTCCTTCCTGCCTTTCATTGTTCCCAAGTCCCGTCCCTGTGATTTCCACCAACCAAGCATGCAGAGGCAATCTGTTCAAAGTACATCTCGAAAACACGCAAACACGAAGTTGCACAAGGAGATTCGTCAGGCGGATTCGTTCAACGATCGTCAATGGTGATGTGAGAGGGAGTAATAGAAGGATTGTCGAGACTGAAAAAAAAGAAGATTCTGCTCAGTCGATGAACACGAATCTGTAGTCGAAGGAGACAAGGAAAATGATGCCGTCCATTGGTCGTGCGCGTGCACTTCGGTCGTTCTCGTTTGCCCAATGTATCCTCCCATCCGGTTTTCGCGGTGCAAAAAGGCTCAAAATTCCATCCGATTTCCCTTACTGTGGCACTTATCTGCCTTGTCCCTTTTCACGGTGAGGTGAGCTCCTTGTTTCTAGAATCCCCAGCTTTGAGTTCTTGTGGGTCTGTCCGCGTCGTCTTACATGGCCATGATCGGTGCAAGCACTCGAGTTCGACCGGCAAGAGACACATAGACTGCTGCCACCTCCTTTCGTCGACTTTCCAAGTCGATCCGAATCCACGTACATTAACTTCCGACGCCAGAGTCTGTCCATGATTGTATAGCAAAAAGAAAAGTCTCGGTTAGTAGACCAAAGGTGGAAAGCAAATTGCATTCAGAAGCGACAGGCGTTCGATTGAAGACGATGCGGGTATCTTGACTCGACTGTTGGTCGTCGCGGTGGTCGGGTTGTCGTTGTGGACGAGAAGACGGTAGTTTTGCCGCCAATCTCATGGAAGGATTGGAGGCGGATTGAAAATGCAAATTCGTCAGCTTGTGACGATAGGTTTGGCGTTTCCTGGCGTGAGCCCGTACTCTCTGTAATGTTTGATATTGGTGGACAAAGGAAAAGGAAGGGTGATCAACGGATTATCCCTGCAAGGCCAGCAAGTCATTGAAATCCAAAAGACCTCCCACTGATACGATGCTTCTCTCCCATCCCCAGACGAAACAACGCTTGCTAAAGTGGCAGGTCCCCTCCTAAGATGCAGGACAAAGGAAAGAGATTGGAAAAGAATGTCCAATGTGGCTTTCGGAAGACAACAGGCTCAGCCCGTATCTTCCTCACCATCATCGTCATCTTCTTCCTCTGCACTTTCACTCGCCAGCTTGGATCTCTTGACGGGAGTTTCATTGTCAGCAGGGCCGGCCTTTCTCTTCGTGCCTGAGGACACGTTGTCGGCTTTCTTGGTCGCGGGCGTACCGTTCTCGGTGCCCTCACCTTGATTTTTCTCCAATGCTGCAACCTCATCGGCAGTCAAGAACCGACCTCCAGGACCACGAGGTCGTCGCATAGCGTGGTTGTGTCTCGACTCATGCAGGTACGGCTTTCGCCCTTTGGAGGTGAGCCTCAGCTGCTCTTCGAGCTTCTGTCGAGCGACGCGGCGCTTCAGAATGCGATGAAATTGCTTCGCATTGACATACAATGGAGATTCCTCGGCACTTCCCGCTACAATTTCTTCCTGTGGCGGCTGTACAGGTTGCTGGGGTGGAGGCATTGTGGGAGGGACAGGCTGTCGAGGCATGTTATGGTTCAGGACCGGCTGGGAGACTTGGCCATGAGGACTCGTGATATGTTGGCTCATGCGTCTCTGTTGGGTCATCTGTCCTCCCTGGGGCATGCTCACAGTGGAAGGGAGAGCCGGCATTTGTCCTGTAAAAAGCGTTAAAAAAACAGATGAACATCATCCAGAGGCCCCGGCAGGAGGGGGCGTAGACTCACCTGATGCTGCCGCAGTAGCCATGGCCGCAGCCTGAGTTGGCGATATGCCATAACCTTGTGTCATACCCGTACCAACACCATATTGCGGATAAGCAATGGATTGATGGACACCGCCGGCCGACTGAGGCTGGTAATGATTCTGGGTCTGGGAAGGGAGGATAGGGGAGGCTTGATTGGGGTTGTGCTGTGGCATATGCGATTGAGGGCCGGATGGAGACTGGAGGGAACCGGGACCGGCGCTCTGGGGCGACGTTTGATATCCTCCTTGCATATGAGGGTGTTGGGTGTGCTGCTGGTACTGAGGAGGGTATTCCATCATACAGACGCCTTCCACTACGACGATAGAATGTTTCGCTCGGTGCTGATAATGGATTCGGGCTGCAGAGAATGAGAAGGTTCTCGGCCCGCAGGAGATGGACTTGCTGGGTTCGCCTCAGCTGTCGCGCGTGCGGGAAGGACGCAGGTCTCCGAAGTCTAAGCTGGGTAGTCAAGAGGTGACGGTCGAATAGCTGAGACGCGCTCTCGGGGGGCTGTTGTGCCTTGAAATGTTGCGAGAACGGCGCCTCGACACTCTGATAGGAGGGTCTAACAGCGGCAGGTTGGAGCCTGGTTCCTTGCGTTAGTTGCTAGCGCAGCTCACGGCGGTCACTGGATCGCCGGCAAAGCACCAATACTGACCTTGGTCGGTGGTAGAGCAGATGATGAGCAGACTTGTTCTGAAAATGTCGAAGGAGTCGAACCCAGCGGTCCACTCACTATATTGACAAAGACAGGCCAACAAATGAGGCGAGATAGGGTCCAGGATGCTGCTGCAACCGTCGACACCCGGGCTGAGTTCGCCTCAGATTGGGCTTCTTTGCAGGAGAAGCTGGGGTCTAGCGCTTTGATGAGTTGTCACTTCTGCGCTTCGAGGGAAGCAGAGTGTGGCGCGGGATGAGGATGCCTGACTTTCGACGTCACGCCGCGGACTGTTGTTCCAGCTCTTTTCCCTGCTGTCTCGGCGGGTTGATGTTGCTGTCGTTCCTGGTCGCCGCCGTGTTCTGGCGCTGCTCCAGCTTTCCCGAAGCTTTGATGCGACGCGCCGCAGGCTGGAATGGGTTTGTTTGGATTGCGGGCGTCCGAGAGGAATGATTCGAGGGCGCGGAAGGAAGGTAAGCTGCGATTCGATTGCCAGACTACGTACTGAGCACAGTGTGAATCAGTATTGGCTCTGGTAGAGCGCAGAGGCGATTATTGGAGAATGGGGTCGGGTGGGATTGGTTATGTAGCAATCGATTGGAGGCGCGCATGCAGTGATGTGTTGGCAACTCCATGCAACTCACCTTTTAGTTCCGTCCCACCGTCAACAGGCAAACCCGGAGACGGGCAGTAGCCAGTATCTATTCTTGTAGATGATGAAATTTGTCGCCCTTGTGGGATTTTGTGCTCGTCCTCGGAACAGAGCCCAAGTGATGCGACAGCCGTTCAATTGCTGCCCACAAAATGAAGCTGGTCGAGTTTACAAATCTAGTTGGCGCTGCGCCGGCGACAATGATCCAAGTCGGTCACACTGACGCGTTCTTGTTCTTGTTCTTGTTTTCCCAGAGACGACAGGCAAACGAACAATATCGAAGTTGGTGCAGTCGCGATTTACAAGGCGACGGTGACGTGAAACTGTGCCAAATAATGTGCGGTTAGATGGGAAGCGCTGTCAATGGCGGTAGCGGGAATGCGGCGGTGGAGGATAGTTCTTCTGGGACACGGGACTGGCGGTCGGTCGGTCAATCGGTGATGTGTGTCAGTCAATTTGCGTGTTGTGATGGATAGATTGCCAGCGGTGAGGGCGGGTGGTTTACCGCGGTGAGTAATGGCAGTAGTGGGTGGGCTTGCAGATTGCAGAGCTGGCTGGGTGACTGGGGGAGGGTGGGAGGGGGGGTTTGTGTTGATGCTTGTCGGGCTGATGGATGGCTTGTTGCGCTTGTTCTTTCGGGGGGCTGATGAGATCACCGGCCGGCCTGCGCGGCGCACACAATAAGGTCCTTCTTGTCCACCGTCGTTGTTGAGTGTTTTTGATATTTTGCCTTTTTTGATATGGTCGGTGCGCGCAAGGCTCTACAGGATCGAGTTGAGGGTGGATGATGATAGGTGGTGATTGTTTACCAGCAGCGTGGATCGTGGAGAGGCCAGTCGAATCAAATTGGATGATGTGGTCGACCAGGTTGAGGGTGGTGAGGGAGATGATTCGGCCACGCTTTTTGGCTGGTTTTGTTTGGTGTAGGCTGGAGAGCCGCCTGGTCTCGGGTTGGTTCGGGGCTTTTTTCTCCCTTCCTGGCCGCCTCTTTCGCTCGTTCGACTCGCGCAGCTGGTAAGACTGGGCGGGCCCCACGTGAGGAACGGAGGGAGAAGGAGAAAGTGGATGGGATGATGTCGTGTGTTGCGTGCTGTGTGCGGTAGCGAGCACAGACAATGTGTGAGTGGTGAGAATCGGCCCAGCTGGAGGGTGATTGGGTGATGGGGTTGAAGGAGGTGAAGTTGAAACCAGCAGGCGAGGGGCGATTGGGCGGTACAAAAGGGAGGGAGGAAAAAAGCAGAGGATGAGTGGGTGATTGGGGGCACAGAGGGACGGCTGTTCGCTCAGTCGACTCGGTTCCAAGGTTTTTTTTTTCTCTCTCAGGCCTGTGATGGAGTGTTCGGCGACCAGCTGCAGGAAGCAAGGGCCCAAAAGGAAAACCAACACTTCCCACTAATAGGGACTACGGGCATGCCTAGGTTGTACTACGGCCCAGCTACGAAAGTCAACTACGAGGGTGATTCCCTGGTTCAAGGTTTTTCTGCTCGCTTGAATTTGCTTGGTGGAGGCAAGAGCCAACCACCATGCCGCCTCGTGACCCGATGGATCCACCGAGCAGCTATTCCACTTTCGGGGCTAGGTCCACCACATGCCCATCAGTGATCCCCAACAACACAACACAGAGGGACCGTCGCGCTGAGCTGCGCTGAGCTGTGCTGAAGCCTGCAGGATTTGACTCGGGACAGAGTGCTTATAACAACCACTTGTGAGGACACCTATGTATGAAGCACGGATATCCCGAGAGCAGGCTGCAGAGCTGACTGACGCAATATCATACAGTAAACCTTTGTGTCCACATCATGTGATCGGCCTTCAGCTCCTGCTCGGCAGAAGTGACCGCATCCTGCGCGACGAGCCTGGGATGCCCTGCATACCCTGCCACTCTGGTTTTTTTTTCTTTTGCCTCGTTGTCCTTGTCCTTGTCCTTACTCTTTGCTGCGCCAGCATGCGACCTCCACTCTCGCCCGTATTCATGTGTCAGCAGCAGCGTTGCATGCGATTCCACCGCAGTCCTTCGCTTAGAGATTCCATGGGCCACCACCGTGCCGTGCCCAATCAGGCTATCGTCTCCCGAATGTGCTGTTGCGTGATGTCCTCCTGCCTGCCCTAGGTAATCTTCGTCTGCTGCTTTTTCCTACTACCTTTTCTCGTCTAGGTGAACTCGACCGCCTCTGATCGTTGCCGACTCGAATCACACGACAGCCTTCCCCCAAGCTCCTGTTTGGTTCCCCTCCTCCCAAATGCTCTCGAGGTCAACCAAGTATTATGTCGTTTTTGCCTCCAATCATCTCCGGGGATCAAGATAATCGCAGCGTGATGTCCAATGAGACACCATATCACACACTCGCCCCAACTCCAGGCGCTGTTTATTTCCCTGCTATGGGCCAATCATGCTCGTCAACCGCCTGATTTTCCCATTGTAATTTTTTGATTCGTCTGCTCTGAGGAAATTCAACGACTTATTTCACATGTTCGTCGAGCTTTCGCGGCACATGTCTGCCTGGCTTCATTCCGGCAATGATAATCCTGAGACCAGCTCAACCAAGTGTGGAGTTAGCCTTAAACTGTCTGTACATACTTGAGAGAATCTCGGGGGGAAAGCACATGCCAGAGTCTCGTCCCGAAGGCCCAACAATCAGCGCAGGTGGAGGGACGTTCTGGATCGTGACCTGCCCTTTTGCTCTCTCTTGGAGGAGTCGATAAGGAGGGGATACGTCTGTTGAAAACTTCGGCGGTTGGCTGAATCCTCCTACAGTGATGAAAAACCACCATGTACGAACATAGTTCACAAGCTGACAGCCGCCGCATCCCTCTTGTTCTTGGATATGTATGAACTCGGTTGGTCTTAATCAATCCAGCTGAAAGCCCATCTTGATGTTCTGGATCATCAACGGGTTCTTCCAAGCATCCACCGCACCAGGTCCTGTGTCGCTTTGCTGATATGGAAACATGACTCCGTATTGCCCTTTGAGTCAACGAGTTCTTGATCTCGCTCTGCTCCTTGTCGGATGATAGAGAATGCAGGTATAGATATATGCAATGTTTTAGAATAATCCGTAATGGAGACGATGGTCTCGCCGATGCCCGATGTACGAATCGTCAGGGGTATTCAATGCTAGCCATGCGCACCTATGCATTCCTCTATGCAGCTCATGACCTTGCATGCATGTCATCCATCCGCTTTTATATTCATCCCATCAGTGTCCCTTTAATCGCTCAAGATTGCTCTCAGCATTGACACGAACGACTCTCGCAGTTTCAACACCTCCTTGACTTCTGGCTTCACAGGCTCGCCGGCGCTTCTCCTCAACCTGTCTTGTGCCTTTCTACGGCGACGCCGCTCCGCCGAGAGAGGGTCGAGATCGTCTTCTACATCTTCTTCATCAGAGTCAAGGTCGTCTTCATCGTCAGAAATGCGGAGGTCCATTAGGTCAGTCTGCAGCATCAACAAGAATTAGTAAGTATAGACTCAACATCAGATGTGGCATCCTCCGTAGAGACGGCGACAAAAGGACGAACGGACGAAAGGAGAATCTCACCTCATGCAATCCAAAATCGCTGCTCCGGAAGTTCGCCCCCGGCATGCCCGTCGCTGCCTCTGAAGAATTGCCAGAGCCTGTTCCCTCAGCTGCCATTTTCTGCCTCGTCTTATCGCTGTGCCACTTCTTTCGCGCCTCCTGCCACTTAATCAAAGCATCAACTTCGGTAATAACGATCTCCCTGTCCACCGCCCCTAGATCTAACGCTCCCTGTAGAATTGCATTCATATCTAATCTCCCTCCGCTCCTGGGACCTTTTCGAAGGAACTCAAGGATACCTTCGATCCAGCTCATCAAGGCGGTAAAGAGGCCGTTGTCGTGAGTGTGGACTTCATGGATAAATTTATACAAGTTGTGTTCATGTCTGGCGCAGAGATCGATGAATGACTGGACAGTTTGATTCGGATCTGCGGACACATCTTGGCGCTGTGCGATTTCGACCGTTTTGATGGCGTCGTCGGCGAAGCGAGCAAAGTCCGTGATGGAGCTGTACACGTTTGCAGATTTGTATACCCGAATGAGTGGCTCGTAGAATATGGTGAACAAATCACGGAACAACTGTAGAGTGTTGGGCTCCTCGATCATAGCTGCCATCATAGCCTTGTCACGTTGCCGAGTCATTAACTTCAGAAGTTGCTTGAGGTGCGAGAACATTTCTGCGCCTTGTTTGAGTTCTTCGTCCTCATTCTCCACTGCGCTGTTCCATGCCACCCATGCGTTGTAGACTCGTTCGATTTGTGGCGGCGTAAGTTCAGGTTCGAACTGTTCTGATCTGAGGATAGCCACTACAAGATCGATCTGATCCGTGTTAGCCTCCGCCCGGACAATGTTCTTGGTTTCTTCGGGACTGTCAACAAAGGCTTTGATTTTGTTGACTAGGACCGGGTCTCCCACTTGTCCGGAGACGCCATCGATCGATCTCTGAAATTGCCGGATTCCGTCTGCCAGAGTCTGGGCGAATATCCGTTGTAGTAGCGATCTTGCACCGAAGGGTTGTGCCAAAAACAGATCCAATACGCCAGACATTACTGCTGCTGGGTTCGCTATTCGAATCACATTCTTCAATACCGTGTATGGCACTAGAGAATGTATCCGTTTCGCTTGAGCAAACAGCTCGGGGGAGTTGTCTTCTGCCAGGAATAGATGGTAGATGGTGGCTGCCACCTCTATCCTCAGCCATTCTGCAAATTTCTGATACTCCGGGCTCAAGTCTTCAAGCTTCTCTTTGCTTCGGATCTCAGCAAATAGCTTGGTCAAGCCATTCGCCTCAACAATATTTCTCCGAAATTTCTCCATGTAGGTGTCCAGCTCTGCCGCTCGTTTTCTGGCAATATCGTAGAACTTCCTCTGCTCTTCCAGCCGCCTTGCATCCATCTCTTTTCGTCGTTCGATGTCTTCTAGTTCTTCCTCATTGAGGGTGATAGGTCGAAGAGTTAGAAAATCAGACATTGATTTCGACTGCGCGATATTGGGGTTTTGCAAAAGAGTCCGCAAGAAAGCTCTCAATGACACTCTTTGGTCCTCTCGGTGAAGTCGAACGGCTTGTGGGCTGGGGCTGGCATCTCTGTCCCTTGATAGACTCCTCCTCGGAGATGCTGAGGATTTGGGTGAGCCTGACCCTGCATTTGGACTTAGGGAGTTGGATGACTTTAGACGTCGATGAACCGTCAAAAGGTTCCTTCCCCCAGATTCTTCCACACTGGCCCCAGTAGATACGGAAGAAAGAGAAGAGGTGTCGTCTTACCCTGACGGATGGACGGATGCGAATGTGGAGGATTTGTTCTTCCTGGGGAGAGGCGGGAGGATCTTCCCCGGCATCTCCGTCCGTAGTCTTTTGTGCAGCTTTACGAAGTCACCATACCGCCTGCCAACGTATATTTCGGGTTGATTGGGTCTTTTGACCCGTATCAGGAACTCAGCGTGTTGATGGTAGCGAACAGTCCGCTTGACTGAGGCGATTCTCACACCGGCCACATTGACATCCCAGTCATTGATGTAGTTCCCTTCAGGGATATTCACAACCAGGCCTTGTTCGTTCGCGCCCCGTTCCACAACTTCCATCTCGGCGAAACGTATTCTCTCTTCATAACCAGAAGCCGTGGGCACGCCAGACACCATCATCAGCTCGACCAACTTTTCAGACTTTCTCGCCAGTTTTCTCCTTTTGGTCTCTTCCAGCCTGTCTTCCGAGGAGGAGATGTATTTGCTAGCAAATGATTCCAGAAAAGTCTGTAATTTGTCTTGCCAGAACTCCTTCTCTTTCGCCTGGTCGAGGAAGGGGAAATTGCGGACATGATTGACAAAGATGTATCGCAGAATGGGCAGCTCAGAGTCCATAGGCGAGACTTCGCCATATTGCGAACGGAAAGGGGCGCCAAATCGTTGAAGGGCAGTCGGACTGCTCAACTCCGTGATCTCGTCCGAGACCTGACGGGAGATGAGTTCTCGCTTGAGATAATGCTCTTGTTTACCGGTCAAGAGTTGTCCCGCAGGCGGTATCGAGCCGCTTGGTGAGGTGGGCGCATCGACACTGATCTTGGGAACTTTGATATCGCCATTGGCTTTGGACGCCTCTTCAGGTTTGTCCGCAGGTTTCGCTTGAACGTTTGTGACGGCGTCTTGGGCAGACATTTTGGACTGATGGGGCGACAGCAGAGGGAAGGAAAGGAGATCAAGCACTCATTTCCAGAGGACGGCAAGGTCAACTTTTGAGCATATGAGAAAGCTTAAAAAAACCCAAGATGGAACTGTTACGTGGCCTGGGATCAAGCGACGAGCGCCCAAGCCATGCGATGGTTACGAATCGTTCGCGGTCAAATGATGATCTCCTCGTGTCCTGACGATAATAGTTTAGTTTGATGAAAGTCTACAAGGAGAATAGGATCACTGGATTGCAGAATTCGGTGTCACAGCCACCGTTGCTGTCATGGCTGAGCAGCAAGCTTCAAACATGGCGGGCATTATGGCTTGAAGCAGGTGCAGGATGACTGCGTCATGGGGCGGAAGGAAGAAGGCCGCACAGCCCAAACTTGGCAGGGGACCAGCCAGATCGTTTGTTAGGCGCCGCAAAGGGGCGAGGGGCGCCCTGGAGGGTGTCTAGAGGGCACGCGGGGTGTCATCCAGGGGCAGGCCGCTTCAAATGACATCAGTCCGCCAATGTCACCCATACATGTCGGTTAAAATGACAGACAAATGGCACAGGCAACATCCAATCTCCTCCGCAGACACCATAACCAACAGCTACAAGCATACCTAATCATTCATGGTTGTTCAGTTGCCAGGCGGAGTGAGACCGCGGTTTGACAGTGATCACCAAATCAGTCTAGTCGGGCATATTAGTCCTCAGTTTGACACCTAGTTTGGTGTTCTTTGGAACCCCTTGCTACCCAGGCTCACTTCGTCTCTAGAATCGCACGAGGCTACCGATGGTGATGATGACGATGACGACGACGACAACCTGCCAGATCAGTAGCCCTGGCCGAAACACGAGAAGCCCAGTGATTTCCCTTCTCTACCTCACACCACGTACACCAACTTTTGACCGCTCACTTTGTCGTGCCTCAGCAGATCAAGACCTTCTAAGAGGTTCTCAAGCCCATTGTCCACCTTGGGAGGATGGACCCTCAGGCGTCCTTGCTCCAAAATCGGCTCGACTGCCTCGATCCACTTCTTCATGAACTCGAAGTCTTCGGTATTATCTAGTTTCTCAAAAAACCTCTTCTTCACCGGTTCTCCTACTGCAGTGTATCCCAAATTGAAGGTGGTCTTGACATCGGTACGCGGGAACTTGACCTCTAAAATCGAACCGTAAATTCCCCCCGGGGAGATCGCCTCTGAACAAAGCTGGGCTGTTTTGGGCAGAGAGATCGTATCCCAGATGTACTTGAGATCGTTCTTGGTATACTCCTTGATCTTCGTCGCACATTCGGGATCGTTGTAGTCAAATACGGCCACTGCTCCCAATGATTTGACTAAGTCAAAATTACGTGGGGAGCATGTGGTGATGGGCGTGTACCCAGCGCTACAAAGTCAGCATCAATAAGACCTGCGGCAGCGGATTTGCACTTACAGCTTCGCAAATTGGATACCAACGGTACCGGTGGCTGAGCTGCCTCCGTAGATAAGGATGAATTCCCCTTTCGTAGATAGCTGTGAGGGTAGGTCCAAGCCCATCTGCTGGAAGAGTCCTTGCCCACAAGTAACAACAGCAACGCCTAGTGTTGCGGCGTCTTCAAACGACATGTGGTTGGGAACCCGCATCTGCACATCAGCCTTGACTGCGATGCGCTCAGCGAACGTCCCATCCTCGGGTTGTAACTCATTGCAGCCATGCGCGAAGCCGCAGATCCGATCACCCACTTTCCATGCTTTAGAATAACCGGTTCCTGTCTCTGCAACTACCCCAGAATAGTCACAGCCCACCAGTAGACCTTTACGGTTCATCCAATCAATGTGTTTCCAGTCGGTGGGATTCAAGGCCACTGCTTTGGTGTCGACGAGAATGTATCCTGGTCTGTGCTTGGGGAGAGGTCTGTCGGTGACGAAAGATGCCTTTCCAGGCTCTCCTTCCAGAACAATGGCCTTCATAGTAGCAGTGTCGTGCGGGTTTCACGATGATTGGAGAAGAAAGATGCAACGAGGTAATAACGAGTTCCAAGGTGAGTCTGGGTATAATGTGAAGGATACCTCGTCATCTTGTGGAAAATGAAATCAGTGACCATACTCAACCTCGACGTACCAATAACGCTGGCCGAGCCCGCACAGATACTCCACAGACCCCTCCATGTTGACTCGGGTGCGGATTTATCGCCAGAGATGACGCTTTTCCCAGGGCGTTCGACCCAGGAAAATTCCTGAAATTTCGAATGGGAAAAACTGAGGGGTACGGCTCGCCTTCGGGCGAACCACGGCTGAGGACGTATGTTTACAATATTGTCGTGCTCCCCAGGTCAGCATATGTCCTCGGCTTTGAAGCGGGATAAGGGATAGTGCTCGGAGATCTGGAATGACGGACTATTTGGATTTTAAATTCACCTCTGATAATCGGAAAGTTTTCATAATGGTTAGAGAGGCGCTTATTTGACAGCGTGCCCTAACTTTTCATGTTTGGTCGAGTGAGCTTTTGCCGAGAAATACAAGTCACACTGCTGTTTGTTAACCACAGCCTTGCGGTCGCAATGCGACGAGGCTGTGGATTCCTTAAAGCAGCCAGCTCTTCCCCGCAGCGTTTCCCGAGCGAAATAATTTTTTCCAACGAAGACCGACAATTCCAATTCCGTGAACATACTTCCCTACGGCTTTCGACTCTCCATCACTCCTGCGGTCGGGCTTCACCAAGCTCTCTGAATCATGGTCCGTAAACTCAAGCACCACGAGCAGCGACTCCTCCGCAAAGTCGACCTCCTCACCTACAAATCCGACGGCCCTTCCCACCGCGAGGCCGCCGTCCGGCGACGTTACCACCTCACCCACCCGCTCGACTATTCCAAATACAATGCCCTGTGCGGTCGATTGAGACAGCTTGCACACTTGCTGTCGAACCTCGAGCCCACGGACCCGTACCGCGTGGAAATGGAGACGGTCATGTTGGAGAAACTGCACCAGATTGGGATCCTGAAGCAGAACCGCAGCCAAGGCGCCGGGCTGTCTTCTGTGGAAAAGGATGTGACAGTCAGTGCATTCTGTCGCCGCCGCTTGGGCATAGTGATGGTCCGCATAGGTATGGTGGAACACATCGCCACGGCACACAAATTTGTGGAACAAGGGCATGTAAGAGTGGGAACTGAGGTGGTGACCGATCCGGCATTCCTTGTGTCGAGGGGCATGGAGGACTTTGTTACCTGGGTGGATGGAAGTAAAGTGAAGAGGCAGGTTCTGGAATACAGGGAGAAGTTGGATGACTTTGACTTGCTGTGAGGAGATGAAGAGCTGAACTCGAGGCTTCTTCGCAGCATGCGAACATCATGCAGTCTCTAACCCTTAAGGACCACCCGAGAGTCGTGGACTGTTTTCTGAGTTCCTTTTGTCTGGGCTTCGAAGCAGTAGCAGATCAAAGAGGGCTAGGCGACTGAATAGAACTCACGAGACGCAGGCGTCTGAGCACGACTTTTCATCTCCTCCACTCGAGGTAGAGATTCGATATCTGCACCATCGTCAACCTTCAACCATATTCCTTGAACTTCAAGAAGTCAGAGTTGATCACGAACACTGGTCATGAGGCAGTGGGTACGAGTTTCCACGAGCACGCATAAATCAGTCAGATGCACGCCTCAGGCCATCTTACCTGATAACGCAGCGGGGGCCTTCTGTGCCTGTCACCGAAGATTTCCTGCTCAGCAGCAAGGACCGACCAATCTGTCAGTCGAACCCTCCACGGAAACAGGAAGCGGGATCGAGCTCTTATATGAGAGAAAGACTGGAACAAGCGACAATGAGAACTGCGAAGCCTCCTGTTTGGGATTCTACGGCTGAATATCTCAACTGCCTTCCTATGTACAGTTACGTACCACCTCCAGAACTCAGGTTGCTTGCAGTCAATCTGTGTATTAAGGTATCTCCAGGCCTTCCCAGACAAAAGCTGGCGCATTATACAAGGTCAGATTACCGGATATGTTGACTGTGCCGGGCACACAAGGATCAAAAGAAACGAGTGCCCGAGCAATTGCCGTATCCAAGAACAATGTAATTAGAGATTGCTGCAGATGAGCATGGGATGGAGCCAGAATCGGCGGTGAAGGCTAGAAGCCCGAAGCCGAAGCCAGTGTCGTTATAAGTTGAAGCACGACCATCTTCGATTTTTGGGCTTGTCCTCTTCCCCAGCTTTGGTACCTCTGACTCCGGTTTTGTAACGCTGAGCGTCTCGATCTTCCGCTGCCACTTCCGTTTCCACGCTGGGAACACCCTTCTCACCTTCATACTCGGTACCATCGGGGAATTTGCAGTTACTCTCCCGTTCTTCCTGGTGGCCTGCGTCACTGTCGTCATCGCTTACATCCAGTCGAAATCTCCTCACGCTGTCTCCGTCACATTCGCCTGTGAAGAAGCCCTTCCGGGCGTCCTTGGTTCGAAGACACCGGGGCAGGACTCGGCGCAGGAAACCCCTAACCCCGCTATGTGCGCGGTCGATTTTCTCGTACTCAACACGTCGCGTCGCGTTGGAAGTCCAGGATATCACGGTACTGAGGGCAGGTCTTCCCTGAATCACGGTGGGAGGAACAGAAATTGACTCAGAGCGGCGCGTGCTTGTCTGGGACATCTGTGGCATGGTGTCCGAACGCAGAATTGGAGAATGATCAATTCCGCTGGCAGGAAGCGCGTATGAGTATCCATAAGTAAATGGATATTGTGTTGACTGGTACCCGTCGTGACATTCCACGGCAGTCAGTTTTGCGTCGATCTTCTCACAGATGCGCCGGATGCTCTCCTGGTCCAGGGCATCCTCGGGGATTATGGACGCGTGCCGGGTCGTTGTCCGCGAGGTCGAAACGCTCGGCAGAGGCGTGATGTCCCGACTCAAGGCTAAAACTCCGTCCAGGGAGGAGAAGAGCTGGCAGCTCTGGCGATGCAGCGTCAGGGAATCCGTGCGTGATCGACGCTGTTTCCTCGCAAGACTGCTTTGTCTGGAGGGGATGGAAAGGGAGTTGTGCCGCGAGTGTCTTGGGCTGGGTCGAGGATGGGATGCCCTGGAAGAGGAGGAAGATTGAGAGCAGACTGTCCTCGACCGGGGTCTCTTACGTAGCGGTTGCTGGTGGACGAAACAATCTGTTGTTATGGTGGCCTTCTGGGAAGGGGAAGCCCAGCGCTTGGAGCTTTGTTTGGTGACATTGGAAATGGCGGAGTGGAAAGACTCGGTATCTGATACCTCAACCGGGTCGTCACAAGGGGTCGTCATATCGTAGCGTACGCTCATAATTCGTATCGTCGTCATGTCATTCATCGGTTTCGGACTGAAAATGTAGGGTATTATAGCTGGGGTGGCGGTCTCCGAGAGGGTCTGGTGTTCCCAAGACGTTGGTTGCATAAGTGACCCAGCGAGGCCTTCTGGTTCGATTGATTCTTCAGCACAAAAGAAAAGCAGCTTCGGCAAAGTGTTTCTTCGTCACCACATCAAGGGAGGTCAAACAGGTGATGCAAGCATCGACAACGAGGACCAGCTCGGCGTCCTCATGCACAATGCTTTATATCCATGCCTCGTGCAGTACCCGCCATGTCACCCTGTGGGCATGCAAACATCGTGAAACGCAACAGGAGAGCAAATGCAGGGTAATGAGAGTCTGCAAATCGTCAAATAAATTAATTTAGAAGTCGCAGATTTCTGGCGAGGGTCTATGCACCAGTACGAGGGAGGTCATCTGTCACCAGCCCAAACCTGCAGCAAAGTGGCCTGGGCCGGAGTCACCTGTTTGGGAAGAGTAGATTGCCCAGGGAGGGTGTAGCAGGGCGGGCCATGATCTCAGTGGGACGCTTGTGCGAGTCTAAGCCTCGAAGGCGAGGGGGGAGTTTTGCCGCCACCTCGAGATGGTGCTTCCAACTTCATGATGGTTGAGGAGGGGAGTGGACGAGAGGGCGTCGGCTTTTTTCCAAGAGGGAGCCAAGTGGGCGCTTGTGGGCGGTTGATGCTGCATGGCAATGGAGACGCAAGTGGGAATCGAGAGGTCGGGCATTACGACGTAGATCTCCGACCTCCATACATTGGATGGAAGGAATGTCGCCATTGCCAATGCCAATGAAACACGAGACCAAAAGAGGCCCAGGTATCAAGAGTGAAAACCATGTGACTGAAGGATGGTCAAAGCGCAAGTGTGTGCGAGGAGGCCGGCGGTGTGGTGTAGCAGGATGAGTGAAACGTCCCAAGGGCTGTTTTTGTTCCTCCTCTTGCAGATAGATCACTGGTGGATGAATTGGCGGCATGGCAGAGACGGGCAATTGATTGACATGGGCAGAATGGAGTACGGAGTAGACTGGTGCAGGTCGACGGCGGTGGTGATGGATTGGTCATGGTGTTGCTGGTGTTGTAAGTGTTGCAGGTGAAGGTGTCTTGGTCGCTCACCGCCCTGTGCCACCACTTCCGCCTCGCTCCAATCACACTCAACCTCCTACACGCTACACAACACTACCGACAAAGCTAGCGACCGTAAGCGGCGCCCAGGCTCTTCACCGAGAATGTGCTTTGTGCTTCCACTTCCCCCATGACCGGCTCACTGACGGCATTGCGACCACCATCGACACCAGTGTGGCAGCTGATCCGCACGCCATCGGCACCAGGTGACTGTCCTTGCAGCCTTGCAGGTACGACATCAGGATCCCCTGAATGAGCTTCTTGCCAAACAACCGCCGAATTTCGGTTGCTCCCGTATTGACCACCGTCTCAGGCTTCATCTGGGGATCGTGGTGCCCCAGTGCTGAGAACAACCCGTGGGTGAAGGCTGCTTCAGTCACGGCGATGGAGAGGCAGGCCCCCACGTTCTCGCAGACCAACGTCAACGAGGTCACTGCCGCCTGATTCTCGATCGTGGGTACCTGCAGGGCAAGACGTACGCCCATGCCCGTCAGGATCTCGAAACCGATCCACGCCCTGAGGCCAGCGCCGGCGTCCAGAGTGTGCACGAAGACGACCCCCAGTGTTCCTGCCATGGTGCCTATCATGAGGAAAGGCGTGTAGTGCCGCCAGAAGGTCAGCAGCCCGTTGGCGACGAAGGTACATGCAGAGACAGCCAGGATCAAAGAGATCAGTCGAAGCCCATTTTCTGACGCGGTACATTGCCGAGGGATTGGAATTGGATAGGCAACGCAAACGATAGCGGGCGAAACAAGCCGGCAATCAAAAACTGAAAAACCAGGCAGATAATAATCGAGCGTTTGTTCAACAGATGTGCTTGGATCATGGCCCAGCTGCCCATCTGCCACTTCATTGATGCAGAACAGGAAGAGGAGAGCCACAAATCCGATCAGGCTTGCGATGACGCGCCAGTTGCTCCACGGGGACGAAACCCTTCCTTTGTCCAGTGCGAGCACAAGGCCAACCATTGCACCTGTTGGCCAAACACCATATTAATTGATCTTCTCGAAGCACCTCCCATCTTACGAAAGAAAGCACCTACCCAGCACAAGAAGGCTGTTGGCGAGATCTAGAGAGAACAGCTTCTCCCTCAAGGGGACCTGCGTGGACTCAGACATCGATGGCACCTTAACGGTGAGAGCCGTGGTAATCGCCTCTAGAACCCCGATAGGGTAGACTTGTCCTAAGAAAGAACCAGTCTTTGTGGTTCAGAGACACTCGTACAGCACCAGTGCTCATCAGAAGCACCACCTCCAGCCAGGTCCGTCAGTGCGGATGCTTCCCAATAGAGGCCCAGCCACACTCGCACAGCCGAATGTGAGCCCCAGAACGTCCATGTACGGTCATCTATACTGTGGTTTGGCACTGAAGGCGATAATGATGAATGCTCCCGTCATGGCTCCTGCACCGCCCATTCCAGCAATGACCTTGCCCAAGATCAAGACTGAGCTGCTGTGAGCCACAGCACATATCACATTGCCCAGCTCGAAAATGGACACGGTGAGCAAGATGGTCCATTTGAACGGGAAGTCCTTGTACTGCTCGCCAGTGCCCCAAGGTTTAGCTTCATGGTTGCCTCCCAGCCTGAAGGACAGACTCGAGACTTGCCACACTTACAGGTTTGCCCAACGTTGATTGAAAAGCGGCATTTGTGATAGGGTAGGCCGATCCGTACCAGCCCACGTCCTTGACTGTGCCGAATTGATATGTAATCCTGGGGATGGCGGTCGAGATGATGGACGTGTCCAGTGCAGAGCGAAACATAGTAAGTACCAGCCCAATGGTCAAAAGGACAAACCGCAGTCCCGTGGGATAGCCGTGGTCCCGCTGCCGCTGTAGAGGAATGGATGCATTGTCCTGGCCTTCATCTGCAGTAATCGCTGGGTGCCGGAGCTCGAGACCTTTCTCTTCGGCGGTTCTTCTCTGGGACACCACGGCTTTCCCAGCCGATGACAGAAGACACAAGTAGATAATGTGAAAACAGGCTGGAAACGGAAGAGTGAGGCCACTGTTAATAGATCGTACTCGACAGACTGTCAGTCAAGGCCTCCCACAGCACTGCACGTCTCATTGGACGGCTGGTTATCTAGGTAGGGACAAGGTGAAGACGGCACTAAGCATCAACCGAAAAGAAATGTAACGCTTCTTATATTGCACGAGGGGGTTTTCTGACGCCGTGAAGATCACGACTCCATGGTAACCTGCCCACAGCCTGCTGTGTAAAATGGTCTTTCACTGAGTGCGATATTCCACAGCCTATTCGGCCGATCGACTGATCTCATGGGAGCCCAACGGTGAGAACCCTTTTCCCTCTTCCACAAGCCCTGCGCTCTATCAAGCTACATATTACTACAGGCCCTTCCGAGCAAACAAAATACCACGGCGCAAAGTATCTGTCAGATAGGCTTTGATCTAGTGCAAGATCTGTCGTATTTCTCGGGTTTTCAGCCCCAATGTTAATCTCACTGTCAACGTTAGAATTCTCTTGTATGTTCCCTTGCTAGCATTGCACCGAGTCTCACTGCCACTATGATGCTTTACCACATACATACTCCGCCTATGTGCAGCCCTTGTAAGGGTGTGTCTTTCGACCAAAAAGGGTAAGCACTCGGCGAATCTGGATTAGCGTGACGCTGCTCTATGACTTACCCCGCCCAACGCCGTCTTGGCAACATGGGGGCTAGATCTCGCCCCTGATGCCATGCTCCAGACGAACAACTGCGAACAATTTGCGAACAACTTCCTCCGCCTTCTCACCGCCGTGGTTTGGGCCATTTGCTTTGTGCTCGAGACAGATAATCCCTCATCCCAAGTCTGTATCCCGAGACGAGTCCAATGCCCACCACAACTTCCACCTTTTCTTACAGCAGGAGTGGACAGAATGGACTCCCCCCTAAGTCGCGAACCAAGAGCGGTGGGCTACCGTCTCCAAGCTTGGACGATCGCAGTAACTGACGCAACAGCTAACAGGGTGTCTGACTTGTCGTGGCCGAAAGGTAAAATGTAGCGAAGAGAAGCCAAATTGTCTCAACGTACGAGCTCCTTTGTTGCAGCTTTATGTGGCATTGACTTCGATGAGGGGCTGACTGACTTCCGTCTTAGTGTGAGAGACTTGGTCGAGTTTGTGTCTATCCGGATGCTGATCACATCCAAGAGCCTAGCCCTAAGAGGGTCCGCACGACCCTAGATCAGGGGACTCTGTCTCTCAATGCCACACCTACATCCCAAGACATGCTTCCTGCGCTGGGCGACTTTCCGCTCTCTCCATTCGTTACGTACGAAGCCTGGTCGCAGTCGATGTTCGATCTTGCTTCGGGAGGTCGATTAGACCAGAGTGTGGAGTTTGCTTCTTCCGTCCGAACCCCGGATCCCTTACTCGCGCCTGGCCTTGCTGTTGAGCCGTCCGTATCGAGGCTTGGTGACGCATACGGGGACACTCGACTGAACATTGTTGCCGAATCGAGCTCGACAGCTGAGCCAATTCTCGGTCAATATCCTTACTTTGTGGAGAAAGTAGAGTTTCCCTTTATCTCCACGTTCGACGGAGAAAATTGGGCTCGCATAAAGCGTTACATGGTAATGTTGAGCGCTCGAAGCCCCGTCATAGCTTCTGCCATATCTGCAGTCGAGGCACTTTCCAAAGCCGAAGATCTGGGGCACGAGACGTCCGATGCCATCGCTCAATACCACGCTGCGAGAGCAGAACACGCGAAAATGTTGCGGTTCCAAGCGCCCGATCTCGAATGCACATTTCTCGTTATGGCGTTATTAGCGTGTTTTGAGGCCATCTCGCAGCAAGACACCGTCCCGATTATGATGAAGTCTGAGGGACCTTTTGTGATCAAGCTTGAGCGTTGGATCCAGCAGCGACCGTGGCCGCCAGTGGTATGCCGCATTGAGACGTGGCTGAAGTTATTGCACGTCAAGGCTTTGCATCTAGGTGGAAGAGGCTTTATGTCGGCCAAAGTCAGCCACCTCTTTTCCTGCAATTCAGGTCCGGCACCCAGTCTCATTTTCCTGGACCGAGACCCTCTTCCAGCCTCAATCCTCTACGACGGTCTCGCGTCCCCTCTATTCGAATTTTATATTCAGACACAGCAAATAGGTGCTCTCATCTGCGGTCTGAATCGACATCATCGCTCGAGGGGCACTTTGGCGGATGAAAGCGAGGTGGACCAAATGGCATCGAAGATTCGACAGCAGCTGGCCTTGTTGCGTCAGCAGGCACCGAGTCTTCTACGGCTAAGCCGCGAACAGCTCCAGACTGTTGTTCCCGAGTCGCTTCTTGACCGTTTGTCAATGCTCATAGATTTGTGCAACGCTGCATATCAGATCGAGATCGTTGACTTAGGGCGGGCACATGGCCAGTGGCTGATTCCAACGCCAGAGGCTCAGGAAGCGCTGCGGCAAGTGCGTCGAATTGTCGATGAGAATGTCACACGGAATAACGGCGCCGTGAACCCAGGGTTCATGTGGCCTATCTTCTTCTATGCCCTCGAAGCGGATCCAGAGGGAGGCAACTGGGCTGTGCAGATGCTTGAGCGTGTCAAAAAGCCCATCTATCAGAGTGATTTCATGTCACGTTTTCTGGCTGCCGTGGTGGAGCTGCAGTGCCAGAGATCTGAGCGGGTTGACTGCCGCTATTTGTGTACCCAGAGGTTTGGCATTGCTCCTCCTTTCATCTGACAGACTGTCACAAGTGGGTATCACAGAAAATCCTTAACCAGCAGGCATCAAACACGCACAATGCAAAGCCAGTCTTGAGGAAAGAAGGGATTGTCCAAGAATCATTTCCAATATATGTTGCAGAGTTACCAGGTTAAGCCCGCAGGACTTCTCGATTTCAGAACGACTAATGCCGCCAGACTATCACTTAATCTTGGTCTCACGGATGTACAATGTTACTACGAGACATTTTGGCGACTTCATTCCTTCTCATACTTCTCATCAAGAGCGGTGGCGTCGAACAAACTGACGTGCGTCTTTGCGAACATCCTGGTTGGTGTCTTTTTCTGGAAGAGGATATCGAGCTCGGCGAACGTACGTCCCTTGGGCTCTGGAATACAGAAGAAGGTGAACAAGACACTCAAGACACATGTTCCGCCGTAAAAGAAGCCAGTCTTGGCTCCCCACTTCAACATCGTCAGCATGAAAACACATTCACGTTTAGGGAAGGACTCACGTTCCATGCTCCCGGATTGAGCATGTATGGGGTTATGACTCCTGTCACGATGTTCAAACAGTTATACGATGCACGCGCCAGGACGATGGACTTGCTTCGAAGGCGTACGGAAGGGATCTCGGAGACGAGGCTGTAGCAGACAGGTCCGACAGAGACGTCGTAGAAGAAGGTGTACACCAAGAGCAGCGATCCCACACTCCAGGCGATCCCGGTCGTGGGAGGGTTCGATACTGCTCCCAGGATGCCGATAGTGATAAGAAGAGTGGTCATACACGCCAGACCGATCAGATAAATAGTTCGGCGACCAAAGCGAGGGAGAAGGAACCAGGCGGTGAAGACGCCGACGATGCCCAGAGCGTATTGACCGATCGCCATGTTGAAGGCCTGATCGGTCGCCAACCCGGCTTGCTTGTAAAAGTATGTCGAATACGTGCTGGATGTGTCAGTGGTCAGATGGTCATTAACAACACAGAGGGAAACTGAAGACATACCGGAAACTGGCACCCGAGAGCGTCTGGATCAGCCAGCAGCCACACGCAATGATGGTTCTGCGCAGGTCGATACCTCTGAAGCAATCAAGGTAGGTTGTCCCGGTCCCCAACTCCTTCTCATGTTCTGTCGTGTATACCATGAGCGTGACCGCCTTGTCCAGATCAACGGCTCCGTTCCTAGCAGTCAACCGAGCAAGTGCGGCTTTGGCATCGGCAAGTCGATTCTGCCTCACCAGCCACCATGGTGACTCTGGGGCCATTGAAATTCCGATAATGAGCGGGATCGGCCAAACCCACTGGAGGGCGAAGGGGCTTTTGGTCGGGCAATTAGCAGGATTCGTGGCAAAGAGCGATACTATAAACTCACATGCGATACGCCCATTGATCGTCTCGCGTGAGTAGAGCACGCAGCACTCCGGATGCGAGGAGCTGACCAAACACCTGGACCCAAGTATTAGCCCTGTTCCATGCGTTACCCAGCCTGTGCACATACCCAGCAAAGGTTGACATATGTCGTGAGGTAGGCTCGCAGGTGAGTCGGCGTCACCTCTGCTGCATATGCTGTGGGAAGAGTTTGGAAGATGCCCCCTTTTTCGCGTCAGCATGATCCGCAGATCGGACCGATGAGAGAGCCTGAACGTACAGGGTATGCCCATCAAAATCTGGCCGACGAGGAGGACCTCAAGGCTCGGGGCGAAAAAAGGGATGAAAATAAGCCCACAGATCAGGGCAAGTGCACCAAGCATTGTCTTCTTGAACCCAAAGCGCTCGGAAACGTATCCATTCAGCATCAGACCGAAGATCGATCCCACGGTAGCCCCATTGGAAAGGCCCGACTGCCATGCGGCCGGGATTTGGACTTCGCCATTGGGGAGTTGTTTCCCATACTTCTGTTGGAAAGGAGGTAAGGCATAGAAAGAACCCCTGAGAAGCATCAGTACCATTCGGTTACTGTGTGGGTGTTTACTCACATCAACAGCAGGTCATAACCTTCCATGATAATGGCGGTTGACAAGAGAACAGACCAGCATATCGCTTTGGGGTAGAGCTTGATGGACTTCAGCAATCCCAGTTCTTGCTCGACATCGGCCGCTGCTTGTGCCTCTTGGATGACGGCTTTTTGAGCACTGAGAGGTTCAGCGTGAGCCTCAACAGGGCCTTTGACGTCCTCGACGTGGGCCATTGCGACGAAGAAGGCAGAAGAAGAGTGACCGTCAAGCTGAGTCTCGACGTATCCTACTGCGCAGAAGCCGACTGTTGCTGGAGAATGTGTGGGAGAAGGGAACCATGTTGACCCTTGCCGAAGGACGAAAGTGGCCGTTATATACCAAAGAAGCCAGGAGTGGCGAGCTAGACCCCGTCGTCCAGGTCTGTCCCCGCGGGTAAAAGTGGAGCATATACAGGCACATGGACATCGAATGTCTGGGGTACAGCCGGCAGTGTTCAGGGAGTCCAGGATACGTTACAGTCGCGCTCGTCTCCTGAAAGTAGACAGTGAGATCTGCCCACGGCGTCTTCTCCCGAAGGCTGGGCAATCGTGGGAAGAGGAAGGAAAAGACTAAAGATACCGGCGTCGGCTGCGTCGCTTACGCTAAAGACGGAGGATGACCGTCGCGGCAACAATAGAGGCTGAAAGAGGCAAAAAGGGCTCCCGAAAAACTCCCCCACGATGCTTTGCCGATCGGCTCTCGCTTGCTCGTCGCTTAGCCTTGGATTTGCCGACGACACTTTGCTTTCTATCAGGCCATCTGACAAGAAGGAGTTTTCGTTGCGCGAAACAATTCGATAGTGCCAGAAGCTGAACCCACGGGTGGTGGAGTGCTCTTCGGCATGGTGGGACAACGCCCGGTGTCAGAGGGCGGACACGACTTTGGCCCACTCTCTGATGAGCCGAACAAGTAGTCGAGTGTCTGATACCATCCAGATAACTCAAGGGCCAGGCTACTCGTGTACGATCTTCTCCAGGCATTGCTGGTGGCTATATCAAACGCCATTTGTGCCGGAAAACGTTGGACTTGACAGCCCCATACACAGCATACCTCGGGATTTGATCACCAGCTATGATTGAAGTACTCCATCAGCAGCACGAACAGAAGTGGTGGAAAGAGGCGGTGGTGTATCAGATCTACCCAGCCAGCTTCAAAGACAGCAATGGCGACGGGGTCGGTGACATCCCCGGCATCATGTCCAAGCTGGACTATATCCGCGACCTGGGAGTCGACGTGATCTGGGTGTGCCCACACTACAAGAGTCCCCAGGTCGACATGGGCTACGACATCCAAGACTATGAAGACATCCACGACAAGTATGGCACGCTCGAGCAGACGGAACAGCTGATCAAGGCCGTGCACGACCGGGGCATGCGGATCATCTTCGACTTGGTCATCAACCACACCTCGAGTCTCCATGCCTGGTTTCAAGAGTCCCGGTCCTCCAAGACAAACCCTAAAAGGGACTGGTACATCTGGCGTCCCGCCAAGTACGATGTCAACGGCAAGCGGTGCCGTCCGAACAACTGGCGGAGCAATTTCTCGAAACCTGCCTGGACCTGGGACGAGACCAGTCAGGAATATTATCTGCACCTGTACGCGCCCGAGCAACCAGACCTCAACTGGGAGAATAAGGAGTGCAGACAGGCGATTTACCGGAGTGCCATCAAGTTCTGGCTGGACAAAGGCATTGACGGGTTCCGCATCGACACGGTCAATCTCTACTCCAAACACCCAGGGCTGCCCGACGCTCCCGTGGTCTATCCCGAGAGTGAATCGCAGCCGGCTATGATGTACTACGCTAACGGGCCGCGGATGCGAGAGTACCTGTGCGAGATCAACGACATACTCGCCAACTACGACACCATGACGGTCGGTGAACTGCCATACACGCCAAACGAAGCGGACGTCATGGCGTATATCTCGGCACGCAACAAGCAGCTGAACATGGTCTTCAACTTCGACGTGGTCGACCTGGGCCAGACTCCGGGGGCGCGCTTCATCCCGCGGCCTTTTACCACCACCGACTTCAAACGCGAGCTCTTCAAATGGCAATCTGTAATCGAAAACACCGACGCCTGGACGACTGTGTTCCTGGAGAACCACGACCAGGGCCGCTCCGTGTCACGCTTTACCTCCGATCTGCCCGAGTACCGGGTGCGTGCGGCCCAGATGCTGGCCGTCGTCCTGGCCACGCTGACGGGGACGTTGTTCATCTACCAGGGACAGGAGATTGGGATGATCAATGCCCCACGGTCATGGTCGGCCGAGGAGTACAAGTGCATCAAGTCGGTGTCGCACCTGAGCGAGGTCCGGGAGAAGTCACCGGGAGATCCCAAGGCGCTCTCTGAAGCGCTGGACATTTTGCAGAAGGTGGCGCGCGACCACGCCCGCGTGCCCATGCAATGGGAAGGCCGAGGCACAAGAAACGCTGGGTTCTGCCCCGACGAGGTCAAGCCGTGGATGAGCGTGCTAGAGTCCCACGAGACCATCAACGTGGCGGACCAAGAGGGTCACAAGGGAAGTGTGCTGGAGTTCTGGAAACAAATGGTGCGGCTGAGGAAGACACACAAGGACGTCTTTGTGTACGGCAAGTTCCGCGAAGTTGAGACTGGCGCGCCAGCAGATGAAGATCTGATCGTTTTCGTCAAGGAAGGACACGATGGGACAAAGGCCGTGACCGTGGCCAACATGTCCACGAAAGAAAAGGAATGGACTTCTTCTTCGGCGTCCGTGTTGGAGGGTGGTCGAGAGTTCAGCCTCGCCGTTACGAATGTCGATGAGGGAAGCCTCACGGAGAATCGCTTGCAACCGTTTGAGGCAAGAGTATACCTTTCGGCATCATAGCACATGTGGTTTTAGAAATGGACTCTCTTCCTTCTATCCTCCTGCCACCTCGCACATCAGACCAAACAAGAGCAAAGTCTTCAGGATCCAGAAGGAGAGATAGACGAGCGTTGTCATGAGAGTGGAGGAGACATGGTAATGGCGTACCAATCCCTCGTCCTCTGTACCATGCGGGGGGGGGAGGGGGGAATATAGATATGTAATAGATCGAGATGAGGCAGTCGATCAGTCCAGTCCAGCCACCCGGTCGGCCATCCTCGTTTGTAGTCAGATATACAAGCGACAACCACCGCCAACTACAACCCGAGTCAGTTCCAGGACCGAGGATCCACGACACGAGTACGAGTACAAGTACGAGTAGGCAATAGGTAGGTAGCCAGTCCTACTGCGGGAAGAGACATGCGGGACTGAAGTAAGTCCCTGAAGGCCTGAAGCCTTGCGAATCACTCTCACATTCGGTTCATTCATTCCACCTTAAGTCCGAGGTGGGAAGAGGGAGCCTCGATTTTGGTTGTTCGAACAAGTCATGTACATACATACATACTGTGGATATGTAATCAACAGAGCTGAACCCGGCATACACGCAAACACAGGACATGTTGTACGAGATACATGGATTGGAGAGTCCTCAGATCGATCACGATGAGAAGACTACACGGACAAACATTTACAAAATCCAACGAGTAGCCAGCTGGCTAGCTTGCTAGGGATTGATCCTGTCCTTGTTAAGATGATATTGTAACTGGTATGGGGATTTTCCTGCGCACAGGGGGAGAAAAATAATCAAAACCGACCCCGCCAGTAATTAATCCATATATATCATCCACGAACCGACTGACTGGCTGACTGATCGACCGACCGAGGTTCAGCACCCCATCATCGGTCATTGCAAATCCAGAATAATCAAATAGCAGGGGAAAGCCCCCTGTCTGAACGAACATACGAGGTACATACACACTGTTTCTCTCTGTGTCTCTCGGTCTCTCGCACACAAATGGCCGATTGTATTGCTGACATTTGGATGAGAGAGGGCGGGGAAAGACGGGAATGGTTGGGCTGGGCTGGGAAGTGATGGTCAATCAATCAATCAACAAGATTCTCGCTGTTATGAGCCGTGAACGGACCCAGGATACAGGGTTTAGACCCAGGCCCAGGCCCGGGAAGTCATGGATATGAAGTGATATAAAAGGACTGGCTGCTGCTGCTCAGACGGACGCCCCGGACACAGACAGAGGCTGGTTGCATACACCTCACTCCAACCAACCCAGTCGAGGACAGACGCCAGGCACGGACGCCAGAGAAAACGAAACGAGACGAAACGAAACGAAAAGAAATGCCAGAGCTCAAGGAGGTCCTGGTTCTGGGAGGAACCGGGGCGCAAGGCGCACCCGTCGTTAAAGGTGAGTGCATGGCTGAGGAACTGGGTGAATGAGGTTCCCGGGGATATCGTGTATAATATCATCATTATCTTTTTCTCTTCTCTCTATCCAGACTGGATGGACCGACTGACTGACCTCCTTCTTCTCCCCAATGTTTAGCGCTCTCGGCCAGCGGACGGTACAAGGCTCGCGTCCTGACGCGCAACCCGAACTCAGAGCACGCAAAGGCGCTCGCGGCGTTGCCCAACGTGGAGCTCATCCAGGGCAAGCAGGACAGCCTGAGCGACCTGCACCGGGCCTTTCGCGGCGTGTATGGCGCGTGGGTCAACATCGACGGCTTCACGCTGGGCGAGAAGGAGGAACTGTTCTACACGTTCCGTGCGTACGAGATTGCGCGCCACGAGAAGGTCCAGCACTTCATCCTGGCCAACATCGACTACTCCCTCAAGAAAGCCGGGTGGGACGAGAAGTACCACTGTTGCCATAATGACGCCAAGGGTCGGTTGGGAGGTATGGTCGTCCCTTTGTACTCAGTTCTGCCCCCATCAGAAGAGAGACACGGCACGGCATGGCACGGGCTGACTGGCTGATCTATATCACATAGATTTCATCCTCGCTCAAGGCCAAGAGGGAATGAAATCCTCGCTCTTCACCACCTGCCCCTACATGGACATGCTGTTCGAGGGCATGTTTGTGCCCGACGAAAAGCCCGACGGGACTTTGGTGTGGGCCAACCCAGCAGGTACGTTGTCACCGCAGATACCTAGGCGTTTTCTCTCCCAGAGATGAGGCCTCTCTGACAGACTGACGGTCTCCAGCTGACGGGAAAATCCCCCTGATCGCACTCGACGACGTCGGCCCGTTTGTGCTGTGGATGTTCGACAACATCGACCGCTCTGCCGGTCTGGATCTCGAAGTGGCCACGGACGAGGTCAGCATGCAGGACATCGCAGACACGGCGGCGCGTGTGACGGGGCGCAAGGCCGAGTTCGTGCGCCTGCCGATGGAGGAGTACCTCCCCAAAGCCGAGCCATACCCGGGGGCGCCGGCGCACTGGGGAGTCGGACCCGGGGTGAACAAGGACGAATCCCTCATGAGCTGGAAGGACAACTTCAAGGCCTGGTGGCACTACTGGGGCGAGGGCCACGGGGCCACCCGGAACTGGGCGTTGCTCGACGAGATCAACCCGAACCGCATCAAGGGCTTGGAGGCGTGGATGAGGAAGGTCGGCTACGGGGGGGAGCGACGACCCGTGCTGAAGGACGCGCAGGACTTGAAGGCCTCGGCGCTAGATGATGTGCTGTTCAACGTCCGTAGTTAAGAGGAGGGCGGTGGTGGCCTTCTTCCTTGAGCAGACTTACTTCGGTAAGGGTATCAATTGTTGGAATTTCCGAATCACCGTTGTTTTCTCCTCTAGATACCTACGGCGAGTCGCACGTCAAAGTAGTAGCCCAGGGGAGTCTAGTTGTTTTTTCATCACGAGATGGACAGTATCAAGGCATTTTGCAGCTACCCAGTAGGTATGTAGTAGGGAATAGGGAGGCACGTGGTAGGTTACTCCATATGTAGCCCTCTACCATCTCGAAGCTTCTGATTTTGTAATGACATCAATTGACGAACAAGCCTTGGTAACATTCCATTTTAAGACTAGTGTGACCCAGAGCTCCACTATCGGGCGTCAACCGATACGCCAGTTTGATTCGCTCATGTATCGGACGATTCCCGACATCATTCGACAAGTTTGATAACAACAGAAACGATAACATCGATTGTCTGTCCTGCAAAGCTGGCACGATGAGTGAAGCACTGAAAGGAATGCTCCTGCTAGCCCTTTCACTCAATCACGTCTTCTCATCACTACAGATTCGCCCCAGGCTGAGTCAACACCGACTCCTCCCAGCATGAGCAGCTCGTCTGTCTGCCCAGAAATATCGAGCCTCAATGTCGTCGACCTCCGTGCGCACTACGCATCACGAAGACTCTCTCCCGTGGATGTCGTGCGGCACGTCTACGACAGAATACGCTCCTACCAGGAACGTGACCCGGCCGTCTGGATCCATCTGATCCCACAGTCCACGGCTGTGATGCGTGCAGAGGAACTGGTGGCGACATATTACAGCTCTGACGACCGCCCTCTCCCGTCGCTGTTTGGCATTCCGTTCTCTGTCAAAAACTCCATCGACGTCAAGGGTCTCCCGACCACGCTGGCCTGTTCCACCTTCAGCTATACACCCGAGGAAACCGCTCCCGTGGTGTCGAGAATCCTAGCGGCTGGTGGGATCCTCATTGGCGCGACCAATCTGGACCAATTCGCGACGGGCCTGACAGGAGTGCGATCTCCTTACGGCATCCCTCGCTGCGTGTTTGATGCCGATTACGTGTCGGGCGGAAGCTCGTCAGGTTCGGCCGTGAGCGTCGCGGCATCGCTGGTGTCGTTCACCGTCTGCACGGACACGGGAGGCAGCACCCGAGTCCCGGCAGCGTACAATGGACTCGTCGGCCTCAAGCCCACACTGGGGACGATTAGTACTGTCGGCCTGGTTCCCGCGTGCAAGAACATCGACTGCGTCTGCATGATGGCCAGGACGATGGACGATGCCGAGCAGGTCTGGGATGTGATGAGGGCATTTGACGAGCGTGACGTGTACGCCCGTCGAGAGCTGCCCGTGTGGAGTCCCTGGAAGGATCCGATCCGCTTTGCCATTCCCCCTGAAGACCTGCTACATGACATGTCACCTGCCTATGCGGAACTGTTCCAAAACGTTGTCACGGCTCTCCGTAGTCGCAGTGACTGGTGCGTCGAAGCTGAGGGATTCGACTATGCACCCTTCGGCGCGGCGAACCAGATGCTGTACGACTCGTCGATCGTGTCGCAGCGCCTGCTCGCGTTCGAAGGGTACATCAAGACGTGGGGTCTCGAGCACCTGCACCCGGCGATCCAGACCACGTTCCGCCAAGCCATGGACAACCGGTTCAGCGCGGAGCGGGCGTACGACGACATCTTCACACTAGCAGGCCACCGACGGCAGGCCGAGATGCAGTTCCGGGACCACATCGACGTGCTCGTCGTGCCCAGCACCATCGACCACCCCACCGTGGCCCAGCTGGCCGAGGAGCCCATGGCGCGCAACAAGGTTTTGGGTCGGTTCACCAACTTTGTCAATCTGCTGGATCTGGCCGCCGTCAGCGTGCCCGCGGGCTGGTGGCTGAACCCCGGGGGGAAGAAGATGCCCTTTGGAGTCACGGTGGTGGGACAGGCCGGAAAGGACAGGGAGCTCATGGCCTTTGGGCAGGAGGTCGTGCGGATGATGGCCGCCGCCACCGAAGTGTAGCGAGTCATGTCGAGGACAAGGTCCGTTCAGCAGATCAGATGTGGATTCGCATCTGCCCTGTTCAGGTGTGGAAGGCGAACGAAGGTCACAAAATAAATTGGGGGCCCAATTCTTTCCACATCTCGATACCATATGGATCATGCGTAAAGAAGAATAGACCGTGTACACAACGTTGATTTTACCCCCAGAATCGACATCCCGTCCTAGCTATCCCACCAAGCCAGGGTACATTTATTTATCTTACCTCCTTATCATTCGGAGGCGGCTCATAGAGGATCATATTCGTGTGTTGAAGAGGTAGTCTGAAAATAGGGGATAATCTCGCGAACACATCGATTCTCCTCGCCCATCCAGCTTGTGACTCGCAACCCACTCTCGCGGACGGATACAGAGCATGAACACCATCTTCTGCCGGTAAAGTCCATTCTTTCTAGGGTTCCATCGAGTAGGTATACACACACACACACACACCACACACACACACCACACACACACACACCACCACCACCACACACACACACAGCGAAATCAAACAGTTTCCAGATTCGAAGGCCCTGAGCTGTGTTTAACAACTTAAAAGACGACTACCTTCAACAAGAGATAGGAATGAAAATGGCCTGCCACGTCCCTTCAGCTCCATATCCCGGAAGCCGTTCCCACTGTCCCAACAAGTGGTGGAGCCATCACTGATTTCGCATTTCCTTCGCAGCCCAGGCCTTTTTCTTGGATCCATATTTGCCGGGTAGCTGTACTGAGACCGCTGTCCAACTCACGAGTCAGAATACGGAGGGCAGCGTTGAGGTGGCCGTGAGAGGAGAAGGATGACGAAGGTTTGTTAGTAGCGATGGAACGCAGTATATAGTCGAGCGAACCAATGAGACGAGTGGCACTAGGGCCACTAATACTGCATGTTTTATGTATGCAGTATGCAGTGTGTTATTAATCTGGAGCCAAGAACTTCTTAAGTTGACAGCAAGTTTCCCTGTGATTTCTCCTATTCAACAACCTGCAAAGGCGCCTGTCTCAAAGCTTCCTTGTCCTGAGTGTCCCTGACTTGCCTATACGCTGACCAGGCGACAGGCTGAGAGACCGGCACGACGTGACCGTGCTTGCTCGTGGCCATCACGCTAACCGACACTCAATGATGCTCAAGGGACCCCGGCACTCCCAGATCTTGTCCATCACCAACCCAGCTGCCCGCACGATCCGCTCAAATTCGGCTGGTGTGCGTTCCCGCCCATTCGTCATCATCATCATGTTCAGGTCCATCATGTGTGCAGGCGCCATTCCCACACCATAATTCGCGAGCAGCGGCGCGGGGGCCGACTTGAGCTTGTCTGAAGGTAAAGTGGTGCTCATCAGTATCTCGGCGATCAGCACGCGGGAGCTAGGACTCATTGATTCTGCGACCCGTGAAAGGATGGCGATGGCTTCCTTATCGGCCCAATCGTGGCTGAAGGTGTGTGTTGCGCGCCTTAGCAACAAATACCCAAGAAATTAATGCCTGGTGCGACTTACACAATATATCGTAACCAGTAAATCTCAGCCCCCACAACAGGGTTTTTCTTGAAGAAATCATGCGCCACCAGCTTGACTCTACCGTCGGCAATGGCGGAACATTGCTTGGTTTCCCACACAGCAGTTGCTTGTTGGATCACATGTTCTCGGTCTTGGACAACGAGATTGAGACTAGGATGGTGGTCGCGGAGCTGCATGCAGAAGGAACCTGTCCCCCTCGTTAATCCAAGGTGTTCCCATGCAAGGGGAAAATATGAGACATGCCAATCCCGCCACCGACGTCCACTACCGTCGCGGCGTCCGGCAGATCCTGCCAGGGAAAATCGAGGACGCAGTATTTCTCCGTGCCTTTGCCCTGGCCGCTGATGGCGAGGTTGAAGAGTTGTTTCTCGGGGCGGGGGACCATCTTCTGGGTCGAGACAGGGGGTCTCGGCGGCCTGTCATCCTCCTCGCAGGGATGTCTTCGCACCGCTCGAGGCCGCCAGCTCACGTCGGATTCCGGCACCATCTCGTTCATCCAGTCGAACAGGGATAATTGTGTGCCCACGGCCTGCTGGAAGGCAGTCTTCCTCGGGTCATAGCTGTCCCCAATTGCAGGGTTTGCTAGGGTTTGCGGGAGGAAGTCACTGGCGGTGTACTGGAACTGGCCCCTGGGTATGGTCAAAAAAAGTATGACACGATTTCCCTTCTTACTCCGACTGGTGTCTCCGCTGTTTACTGGACTTTTTCTCCTCTTTTTCCTATCTTTGAAGCTATACTTCGATTTGGTAGGGCGTGGATTGAAAGAGACTTACTTCATGACGATGTTTGCTTGAAACGCAGCATCGCCCACAAGTGCCTGCGAGATGCGATTATTGGCAAAACGCCCTTCTTCGACCTCCTGGAAGACGTGGTGCGACGTCAATGTGCGCATGACGCGACCTAAAGCGGGTTTCGTTCTCTCAGCGAGCCATTGCGGTATGTCACGGGGAGGTGCTTTCAGAAGCACATACATAATTTGCCCTCTTCTAAGCCGGTTGTCCTGGCGAGATGTCCTGCGGTGGCTCCACCCTCCTCGGCGCGGGCAAGTAGCTCGGCGAGCCGGTGCTCAGCGGCGACATGCAAGGCACGAGAAATGAGATAGGACATGGACAGATTCAGCAGGCGCGTGTGAGGGTCTAGAACGAGGCTCTCTATCGACCCCAAAGCGGCAATGATGACCTTGACGGCATCGTGCTCCGCATGTGACACGGTGCTGGAGGATGCGAAGTCATCGCCCGGGGACGATTCCCACTCGGAGGCCAGATTCTCCACCGCGACGGAGAGCAGTGCCAGAACCGCGCGGAGCTGCGCAGCAGGCTTGCTGTTCATGGACGAAGGCATGATAGGGAATCTTTTTTCTGCAAGGTGAACCAGGAGGGTGCTAACAAAAGAACTTTTTCTTTCCAATGCCCGACAGGGATATTCTTCACTCAGACGCGGAATCCTTATGTACAGGTAGAGTCATATGACGCTGTTGTTGTCGTTGTGGCGTGTGGATAGACAGACCTAATCTCAAACCGAAACCAGGCATTCACGGACTCAATATTTCCTCCGTAGCAGTATTCGTCGACATCGGTATCGGGACCAAGGATGCTTTTTCCCCCGGGCAGCCGATCCGACCCCGGTGACTATCAATGATTGTTCACCGCCCATCTACTCGATATTCCCCTACGCCGGGCTGCACAGAGAACCACACGTTTTCCATTTGGTACGTAAGCAGTATTGATGGAATAGCCCCCCGTCTCGGGGTCTGGATCTGCATCCTACGACCCTGATTAGTCCTCAAGGACGGGGCAATATACATACCTATCCCCAAAGTCTGACTTGAAAAGACTCCCATCGAATACCACGGACGAATGGTGAGTGCAGTAGCACAATGCTCGGCCACTCGCGTCGCTTCATTCAGCGAGAAAGTCTATCTACACAGTATCTATCTGCCGGTATAGCCGCCTCTCCACCCCACTGCCCACGAGGCAAGGCGAGCAAGCAGCAACAGGCGAGCACAGATGAACGTGAACAAACGAACGCACGCAGCAGCCGGGGACCGACCACAATCGGCGAATCTCCTGTAAGCTGACAGGCAGACGCAACGGGGAGCGCCGGGAGGGAACCCTTGATTGACGGATCCTGCAGCTCTCCGCAATCCCGATTTTATTTGTGGGACACACAACATAACTACTTGAGGGCTAGGATCCATTTGTGGAGTTCCCTATGATGTACAGTATGTTGTGAAAAAGTCGATGTTGCGCTTCTATGGTGATCTGTGGGTTCAGGGCCTGTCCAATCAGCGGAGAAGATTGCTGTCCTGATTGGGTAATCCCGACTGCATCAATACTACTGTAGGTGCGCAGTACATTTGCTAAACGACCCACCACCACCTCCTCCTCCTCCTCCACGATTCCAGATACCGCCTCCCGAGCAGGACGGCTCGTGGCGCGATACCAGGCGGGACGACGACTCACTCATACGAGCACGCGGTAGGCACCGAGTACGAGGCACAGGGAGGCAATCGTTGACCCACCGGCTCGCGTGCTGGGTACGCATATGTGGAGAGCTGCAATTTACGTAAACCTGGGTCTGCTGGGTCTCGACTTCTCCAGCATTTTTCATTGCAGCCGCGTCGGAAAAGCCGATGTCAATAGCCTATCTATACTACCTACCACCGCTCTTCGCCGCGCAGGGAGAGAGGAGGGGGGCGGCGAGAGGATCGATCGTGTCGAGTCGAGTCAAGCGGCCCCCGGGGCTCGGCGTCGATCAAGAAGATAAGATGCTTGCTTGTAGTACTCGGTACGGCGTAAAGAGTCAGTCCGTCCTCAGATCTACCTGTCGAAACCAGTCCAGCCCAGCCCAGTCCAGTCCTGTGAATTCGCCAGGCAGACAGCCAGCCAGTGCTAGCGTCGGCTTTTGTCTTCATCAACGCAAGCACGTGAGAAAAGCAGGATGGAATCTTTGTGGCTTGCTGGTCTGGTAGTGTAGCAGCCTATCGTCCTGCATCTGGTTGGCTAGCTGTCTCAATCTGATCGAAAAGTTTGCTCAGGCTATCAATTCAGACGCTAGCACCCTTAGACTCCGTGTCCTCGGTATTCTTGTGTGGGATATTACAGTACTTCGCAGGGGCTCATTGGCTTCTGCTTCTTCTCCTTCTTCTCGCCAGCACCTTTCTGCGGGCCCGCCCCTGGAGTTCGAAAGATGGAAGGACCACCAATCTACGAGGTAGTGTTGCATCACGTATGCAGGAGTCGTAGGGACATGTAGAGCCCGGAGGCCGATCTTTTCGATATGGCGGTTTCTTGTTTCCCCCTCCTATTTTAGATCGACGAGACCGCCGGACGCCGTCACTACCCGGCCCTGGCCCTGGCTGTACCATCCCTGGTCTTCTTTTGTCCTTTGCCTCCCTGGCAGATGAATCTGAGATCCAGATCGAGATCGCGCGCCTCTAGGTAGGGTCGGCTCTCTTTCGTTCCATTCTTCCCCCTCCCTTTCCTCTTTTTCAAACGTTCCGACTCTCTGCCCTGATTCCACCCACTATTGTGTGTGTGTGTGTGTGTGTGTGTGTGTGTGTGTGTGTGTCTCCTTTCTTAGAGCTCTTCTTTTCCCTGTGCCGGCATGAAACGTCGTGTGGTGATCGTGGGCGCCGGCCCGTGCGGGCTCGTGGCGCTCAAGGAGATGGTCGAGAGCGGGCACGAGGCCGTGCTGTTCGAGCGGTCGGGACAACTGGGGGGTGTGTTCGCCAGTGCCACGGCATATCCCAACCTGCACCTCACCATCAGCAACTGGGCCATGGCCTTCTCCGACTTCCCGGACCCGACGAGGCTGCATTACTCGACTGCCCAAGAGTACCTGCACTACCTCCACGAATATGCCCGCCATTTCGACCTCGGCCGCCATATCAGGTACCACAGCGACGTGTGCAGCGCGACCCTGGGTGACGACGGGAAGTGGTCGTTGGAGATCCAGAACAACAATACTCTGCCCGCCGGCGGTCCAGGGCAGCAGCAACCCACGATCCACCATGTGCAGGCCGACGCGCTCATCGTCGCCACCGGGTCGAACGGGATCCCCAACAATGCACGACCTGCGGGTCTGTCCGGGTTTGAGGGCCGTGTGATCCACTCGTCGCAGTACGACGAGGCCTTCAAGCGCGAAGTCGCAGAGAAGAAGCTGCGCGTGCTGGTGGTTGGGGGCGGCGAGAGCGGTGCAGATATCTCTGCCGAGCTGGGCGAGCGGTCGCCCAACAACGTCACTGTCTGGCTGCGCCGTCCCGTCTGCGTCGGGCCCCGGTACCTGAACCGGAAGGACGAGATGCAACAGGTGCAAGCCAACATGGCCGTCGACTTCCCGGCCAACAGCTTCCTCGAGGCCGCCACCACGAACCGCATGAGTGCCGCCCAGAACGTGTACGCGTACGGCGTCTTCCGCAGGCTGCTGTGGTGCACACCCGTGCTGAACGGCACACTGGCGCGCATGTCCCTGGCCAGCACGGCCTCTGCCATCCTGCGCAACGACCAGGCCACCTACGTCACCAAGAACCAGCGCATGTGCGAGGCGCTGCATGCTGAGAAGATCGAGGTGCTGGTCGCGCCGTCAATTACCGCACGCGGGAAAAGCCTCGAGTTTGTGGTGGCTGACGACGGCGGCGGCGGCAGCAGCAGCACGACGACGACAACAACAACGACGCAGCGGCGCGAGTTTGACGCCGTCGTGCTGTGCACCGGCTTCCGCGTCGAGTTCCCCTGGATCCATATTCCCGGTGAACAGGCCTCGTTGTCGTTGTCATCGAACCCTCGCTCGTGGTATCTGCACTGCTTCCCCGAGGGACTAGGCCACTGCCTCTTTTTTGTGGGTTATGCCCGACCTCACCAGGGCGGCGTGCCTGTCATGGCCGAGATGCTGAGCCGATACATCGCCTTGCTGCTAAGTGGTGAGAGGGAGCTTCCGTCCGATTACTCAGCGCGGGCCCAGCGAGATGCCGCAGCCTCGCGCGCGTACTACAACCTCAGCCCCAATCTGCACACTCTCGTCGATTACAACGCCTTCCTGGAGAGCGTGGCGCGGCGCATAGGTTGTGAGCCGAGACTGCCCATGCTGTGTACCATGCTGGTCAACTTCCACGTGCTGACGGTCCTGCTCCTGCTCGCCCAGCTGCTGTGCTTTCCGACGTTGCTGCGGTCGTGGTGGAGCCTTCGGACCACGCTGCTGATGTGGGCGATATCAATGGCCGGCTTCTTCGTGCTCCACGACGGCGTGCTGATCAAGTGGTGGTTCTACCCGCACTGGGCGGTGTGGTACCGTCAACGCGGTCCCGGGGCCCATCCCGCGCTGCTGGACGGCGTCTTGGCCCGCGTGAATCTGTGGAAGTCGACCGCCATCACCTCCGGGTTTGTCTTGCTGGTGCTCTGGTCGGTGCCGACATTCTATGTACAGCGTATCTTCTCTGTCTTCTTGTTTGCGTCTAGTGCCGTCCTGTCTGCACTCGACATCCAGCTTCCTGTGGCGTGGGTCGGTCTGCTCCGGCCAAAGCTCTTTGCGTTGCACGACTGCCCGTGGCGAGTGGCTGATCTCTACTTACCGTGAGGCCCTCAGGGTGGCACAATTGTGGATTAGGGTTTTGGTTATGGGGTCATGTTTGATGTCTGAACACATGATATAAAAGAGGTGTAAGCTGGCCATCGACGGCGAATGACTCAAACGAGATGTGTCGTGCGCAATAAAATAGCACTGAGATCATGACTGATGCACAGAAATCTGCATTCTTCAGTCTCAGGTTCCTTGGTGTGAAGGTCAGCTTGCTCGAAGGCGTTGGTTACCGCCCCTGTAGTCTCATCTAAGCTTCGCGGCAGTAAGCGTAGGAATCAATCGAGGTGACCTTCACCCTAAAGACGTCATTGTATAGCATGGACACAGAGAGAGAGGGGGGGAGAGAGAGATGGATTCAATACGATCAGTGTAATGTTGGGGTAGTGGTAGTGTGTAGCTATGAATGGGGTTGTCTGTAAAATCTATGTAACAGCAGCTGAAATGTCAACAAAGCGCCAGAGAAGGATGGACATCACCTGAGAGAGTCAGATTGGCATTCGACCCAATGGAGTCCTGTCTCCACCAGCCAATATCTAACCATCATCGTTCGTGTGCTTGAAGGATGCTCACACCCCTTGAGCTCGTTCAGTCAGCGAAGCAAAGCTCATCTCTGGTCTGCTGATCATCATCTTCATCATCATCATTGTATCACTCCCCCCAGTCGTGGGTGGTTCACACGCGTTCCGCTCGTCGAACCAGCGCTCTTCTGATCTGTTCCGGATCGTTGTTGTCGGCATCGTCTTCGCTCTCTTCTTCCACCAAAATGAATTCATTCTGTCCCTGCTCTTTGACCTCGCCAAACAACTGGAGCAACTGCTGGATGGTGGCGCGTTTTCCCATATGATCCGGCCCAATCGCACTCGTCACCTCGACATCCTTGCGATCTTGCATCCTAATGAGATCCTCGTCGATAGAGTTCTTGACCACGAAACGGATGACGTCCACGCGATGGGCCTGGCCGATGCGAAAGGCGCGGCAGTATGCCTGCGCCTCTATGGACGAATTAAACCATAAGTCCAATATGATGACCTTGCTGGCCATGCTGAGATTCAAGCCGACCCCACCGGCCTTGAGGGAGCAGATCATGATGAAGGTCTTCGGGTCGCTCCGGAACTTTTCGGTCGCCTTCTCTCGCGCATCGATTGTCATTTTGCCGTTGAACTGCACATAGCCCCATCCCTCCGCGAGGCAAACATTGCTCAACATCTCACTGAGCCCGAGAAATTGGGTGTAGACGATGATCTTTTGCCCGGGGTATTGGTTCTTCCAGTTGAGGATAGCGGCTTTCGTGGCCGACAGTTTGGCGGAGGGCAGTAATCTGCCGCCGACATCCAGCCAGTCCACTTCTCTTTCTTCTCCTTCTGCCTCATCGTCCTCATTACTTCCATTGGAGGCAAGGGGACTCGCACTTCTCATCCCTGCCTTCGCTTTCTGCGCGAGCTTTGCCAGCTTGCGTTTCTTCTTTTCAACCTTGGCCGCCACCTCAGGCGAGTTGAACCCCAATTCTTTCAGGCCCGCACAAGAAGACGTCTCCTCGAAGGCGGTCCCGCAGTCGATGCATTTCGTATCACTGTCCCCCATTTTTTTCCTCTCTTCGTGCATGGCATTGATGCATTCTTGGCAGTAAACGTGAAAGCATGAAGTACATACCGGTTCGTCAGGTGGCATGCGGCATTTGGCGCAGATCGATCGAAGGTGCAGTTCGGCCCAGGTTTTAGAGGTGGTCAACGCCCGAAGGAACTTTCTGAACTTGAAGGTAAGCCCATATGGGGAACCGGTGTCCATGTTTCCGTCATCTTCGATATTGGGAGTCCCGTCAAAGGTCTCTTGGAGCTCCTTCGTCTGACATGTCTGGAGCGTGTTCTCATTGGCAGCGAGCATCTTCCTCAGAGATTTGATCATATTCGCGGAATCGGTGTCGTGAGACGCCTGCACCTCTTTGTCGGTCAATCTCCATAAAATCTCGATGTCCGATGCGACAAACATTCGTTTCAGCACGTCTTGACAGAGCATGAGGTGAGCACAAAGCATGCGGAGACGCATCAGCATCCCCAAAATATTACCGTAGTTGTTGTTGAGTGTGCCGGATTTCGAGTACGTATTGATTTGCTGAATGTATCGGGACTTGACCATGTTGTAGATGTGCCTCTCCACTGGGTTGAACTCGACCATCACCGTGTTGTGAGTGATCCCCGGCAGTTTGATGATGGGAGCGTTGAAAAGAGTGTCCACGTGTGTCCTCCGGAGCATGATGGCCCGCAAGATGTTGTGAATCCGACCCAGGGGCACTGGGTCTCTATTGACGCGATTGTTGCAATAATTGTGGCAAAAGGTCGCGTAGTCGCCGGTGTGCGGAACTCTGAGAAACGAGAAGTATGGGAAGAGCTCTTCGATAGAGTTCAGGATCGGAGTCCCCGTAATGCACCATCTGTGGTTGCCGATGAGACCACGCACGGCAATCGAAGTCTTACAAAGACGGTTCTTGATATTGTGGGCTTCGTCCAGCACGATGCGATGATACTTGATTTGATGGAGGGGACCGACGTTTTTGAGGAAGTGATGCTGCCACCATTCTTTCTTTTTTTCAACCGACGCCAGGGCCATGGGTGGTTCTGCTGAAGGATAGCTCTTCTGGACCTCGCTATAGGTCGTCAGAATCACATCATAGGCCCTCAAATCCGCCTGGATATCGTTGCTGACCAGTCGAGAACCTGAGTGGAAACGGAGAATCCGACCTAGGGCTCTCCCCTTCACGTGCTTGTTCATTTCGTCCATCCATTGCGTGAGCAACGTAGGCGGTGCGACGATGAGGGTGGTTTTCACATTACTGCCCTCCTCCGCCTTGCCGTCGAGAATATTCGCACTGCTCGAGTCAGTGTGGGTGAGTCCTTTCCAATCGGGGAAACTAACTTACATCATCTGTATCGTCTTGCCAAAGCCCATTTCATCACACACCATGCCACCCTTGGGTTTCGAATCTCCGGTCTCACGATCCCGCATGAAGGCAGCACCGAGAAGTTGGTGGTTGTATAATGAAGACTCCATGCCTCGAAGCTTCCACCCTCCGTGGTTGTCCGATCTGACGGAACCATGCCCCTTGAATTTCATAGTCGCCGCCAAAATAGCTTGTCGATCGGAAGTGGCGGCACCTCGCTCGGATGACGGAATACTTGCAAGTAATTCTTGAAGTGCTTTGTTTTTATTCGAAGATGTGAAGGTTGGCATATCTCTGGAAGCATTAGCCTGGGCGGCGTCCACGATGTTGGTTTGTCCAAGGCTCTGAATATTGCTGAGATTGCATGGCCGCTGTTTACGGCCTCTCTTTTGTGCCAACTTCGAGGTGCCACCGTCTTTGTTGGTTCCCCGTCTCTTCTTTGACCGCCGATTCTCGTCGAACGTTGCGGTCTTTCTCTTCGGCTTCTCAGCCTCTCCGAAACCGGCATCGATGCCAACAGAGAGAGCCTCTTGCAATTCCTTCTTTGTGAGACCATTGCGAGGTTTTGGCGCCGCATTCTTCTTTGGAACAGGAGCTAGCGGCTCGGCGGCTTCAGGAAAAAAGAGGGAATCGGCCTCCTGATATCCAGGAGGTAGATCATTGGGCTGTCGGGTCTCTTTCACAACCACCTTACTCCGTGCAATGTCCCGGAGGCGCCTGTGCTCAGCTATCTTTTCCGTAGCAAATCGGATGTCGTCCTCTGGAGTGTTTGAGCCTTCCTCTTTCTTTCTCTCATACTCTTTCTCGCGAATGGCAAAAGCGGCAGCGGCAGAGTCATCCGCCGCCGAGGGATATTCGTCGAGGATAGTATTCCAGTCCATCTCGTTGGCCTGCGGTTCCCCCGCCAAACATGGCGGTGGAGCATAGTCCCGAACAGACTCGTCGTTAGCGGCGACATCGCGGTCGAAGAAGTGAGCTTTGTTCCGATTGTACTCCAAAATAGCATCGAAACCGTCGAGTTCCATGTTCATGTCTGAAAAGGGATAGGAGTCAAGGGTCGCCTCCAAATTTATTCCTTCCAGCGGTTCCTCAGGATCATCGATATCAAAAGGACTGCCGTATTCTGGCGGTGTGGCGTGGAGATGGCTGTCGGGCTGGGCATTTGAACTGTCATTCAGGGTCTTCCAGAAATCTACATCAATCTGCTCGGTCTTGAGCCTGAGGTGAGCTGAATTCCCTTGCACTCTGGGAGTTCCGTCGTCTGCGCCGTCATCGCCTTCCCACTCGGCATTAACTGCCATGTTGTCCATCATTCCGTTCTTGGGCTGAGCAGGCGACATACCACTTTGTTGATCGCCAGAAAAATCTGGCATGACCAAGTCATATTTGAAGTTGAGCTCTGGCGGCTTGATGTTCGATGCTTCATAATTCGACTCGGTGACCCTTGTGTCTACATGGTAGTCTTTGGACTCAACGAACTCGTCGTTAGTCGCCTTGGGAGTGGCCGCCACAGCCATGGTATTGCTCAACTCGTTGTCATGTTGGATAGAATTGACCATGATCTGTGCCTCGTCTTTTTCATCCTTGACGACCGGAAGTGCCTGGATCTCAATTACTGAGTCGTCATCCGAGTCGCTTAGGAGATCAATGACGACCCTGGCCGAGTAGCCAGCCGGGTGAGCCATGGTGATATGAGAGGAGCGCAAGGTAGCGAATCGAGTTGAGGGTTGTCCGAGGAAACAGCAAATACAGCAAGAATCAAAGAAAAAAAAGAAAAAAGGAAAGATTGTGGGATAATAGATGAGGAAGAAGGAAGAGACAGAAGATGTGAAGGAAAAGAGAGAAAATCAAAAAAAGGCGTTGGGCTGAAGATGGTCTGAAAGGAGATACTGATAGCTAGAGAAGAGGAGGCCAAGGCTTCAACGGTGATATAGCCTCTACTCAAGAGCGAATCAATGGTGACATGTACCTTGGATTCAAGACAGATGCAGTTCATTTAGCACGAAGAATAGTCCCAGTATTGGAAAACAGACCTGGAGGTAGTTCCTGGAACAAGAGAGAGGTAAAGTGACAGCCGTGGGAACGAAAGTAGACGCTCATCTAAGGTGGAGATGAAGACGTAGTGGCTGTCAAGCAACGAAAGCTTGCCATTGAAATAGAGGGCAAGGCCTCGTGGCAATCATCGCTGCTCGAGCTTGGATTTAGACGAGGCGTACCCCCGGTGGCCTCATCGTAGATTCCAGCTCTTCAACTGTACGCCATGACCTCCATCTTGTATTCTTTCCCCTTAGCGTGCTGGTCATCCCGGATGCTGATGCAGAGCTCCTTCAGTCTTGTAGTCTGAACAGTTCATCGGGGTACGAGGGAGCCATGGCCGCCTATCGGGTCCTCTCTCTGGGATGGTCCATGAGAGGAAGTTGCAGTTGCATACGGACGTAGCTAGAGAGCACTCAGAAGTATCTAAGTTGTCAGTGTTCGAGCATCTGAGTGCCAAGGCGGCGGGTGCTGTACAATGTCGAAGCTGTCGATTGTGGAATAGGAGAAAGCCGGATGGAAGATTCAGGAATTGATCATGAAATGAAATCGGGAGGTCGGGCCTGCGGACTGCCCGATGCGGTTAGCTCCGGACGGGCTCACCGTAAGTTGGGGATGACGCCGCTCTGGTCGTTTTCGTGCCCTGCGTCTCCTTTCTCCAACTTCAAAGACGGAATGCCGAAGAGACAATTATTCACTAACCTACAGGCTCCTACATCAGCAAGCACTCTGCTGCCTTGCTGTCCCTCGCCTGTGTGCTCACTGTCCTCAAGCACGGTCGACCTCTGCGACTCACAACATGTCTCGTTGTCTGCCTCTAGGTCGTCTTCTTCTCGTCCTCTCCTCTCCGAACCCGGTCCTCCGCGCCCTCTCAATATCCCATCATCCGGCTCTATCCAATTACCGTGCCTTGAAGTCCATGTGATGACCCCTACCACAAAGCCGAGCCGCTAAATACTGCATCGAGATGCTGGGGAGATTGATTCAGGGCTATGCCAGAGGTGGCCAGCTCGAGAGTGCGACAGAAGAAAACCACACTCGCAGTCTGCTTTGGCCAGAATTGCATGGGGATGGGCGTGCCGGTTCTCTATCACCACCGAGTACCCCATATGGCTCTCCTACAACCCGTGTCTCGCCTTTCGATGATCGAACTGGGCTGGAGTTGAACGAGTCGAAAGACTTGAGGTTGATTGTCGCCCAAGATGCGTTCGGAACCAACGACCGCCCATTGCTCCTCTTTGACACCCAATTTGTCGAGCCCAAGGAGCCTAATCTGTCTCAAGGCGCCCATGTCCCCTCTCCTGCGCCGGGGGCACCTCACCGTGCAGGACCTTCCATTCCCATTCTGGGACATGTGAGAAACCGAAGCTCTACCATTTCAGGTGCGTCGGCGTCTTGGGCGCGCCCTCATAAAGAGTCGGAGCCCACGGATCACCTCGGCAATGTCCTGGACTGCATGTTTGGCGTTAGCAGTGCTGCGAAGTCTGGGTCCAGCACAAAATTGCACTTCCTCCCAGGCGATCGGGGTCCTGCGAGCGACCTCAGTTCGCGAGCACCATCTTCAAACGTGCCCAGCACAGCGCCTTCTCGTGCTCCCCTCTTGAGAGCGAGGACGGCTACGACTAACTTCAACAACCAGAGTCAAAGCATCCCTTCCAAAGAATCCGAGCCAGAGCCGCGAGACGCTGTTCTGGTCACTCGTATGTTTCCCGTTACACTCCCCGAAGCCCAGGATGATCTCAGGCAGCGTCGAAGGTCTTCTGTGGAACAGGCCAACTCAATTAGCCCGCTGTCCCAGGGCCCTGAGCACCAGATGAGCTCGCCGCTGCAGAGCAAGAAGCCGAAACTTGTAGAGAAAAAGACTCCGGTCTTTGCGATCGGCTTGCTATTTTACTTACCCCGCCCGGGTGATGTGCGTCCAAATACCTCATCTGTCCGCCCGTCGTCAAGAGCTTCCTTTACGCCGTCATCAACCCCCAATTCTCATGGATCAGGCTCCTTTTCTTCCTGGACATTCCTGAATGCCATTCCCGAACACTTGTGGTCCTATGAGGATTCCAGCCAGTTGACTGATCGTGGCATTGATATTATCGTCAGAAATTGGGAGGTTATTCTGAGGAGCCTCACTGTTGTTGAGACGCTGGCCCGTTCCGAGATTGCCGAGCTCCTGCAGGAAGTGAACCTGGCGCTGATCACCTCCGCGGCGAAAGCACCAAAAGGCCCGTCCGAACAACGTACGAATCAACGGAATGTCTATCTTCGATCTCCAAACAGATTGGCCCAGGTGTCCGAACTGCAACGCGCCGCGAGGCATACTTTATGGAGGGTTTCCTACGCATTGCGCATTCCGCGAGTGCTTACTGGCCTAGGGCTTGACAATGGAGGCCACTGGCTCGACGAAGCACGGTATCTCGTCCGAGTGTGCGGGAATAAACAGCAGAATTTCTTTCTTTTCAATCTCTTAACCGCGTTTCTAGGCAACCATACTGAATGGCTTGAAAGATTAGGGCCAGATTGGTATCGACGACAGTTCAGAGCTTTGCATAAAGGCAAATCTCGTCCCAACAACCTGGCGTCCCGCACAGTCATAGTCTGCGAAAGCCGATCAATGGCTCGGCGCATCATTTTTCTGCTGGCATCATTTTTGCCGCGAAATGCTATCTCGAAGCTACCGACCGAGGTCATGTCGCCCCTGCTCACGCCCGATATCAGCTCCTCTTCGCCAGTCAACAGGATCCTCATGGACGGATCCCTTCATCGCCACGCCCATCACAAGTCCCGAGACGGAACCGTCACCGTCGATCGCCGCGACGGTGCGTGGTTGTCCAGCAGCGTCTCATCATCCGAGAGCGCCGCTGCGATTGCTAGAGCCTTCCGCGCAAGTTCTCGGTCGGAGTTCACCCTCGCCGAGCTCGCCCAAAGCATCAGACTTGCATCCGTGTTTTCTCCAACAGATAATAGCGGCAGCCTCCGCAAGACGATTGCCACTAGTTCGACAGCCACTCCCGGCCTGGGCACGCCTGTTCCGCACTTTGCGACCAAGGCTGACGACAGCTACTTTCCTGAAGGCGAAGTCGTGGGTGGTGAAGAGACTGGTGCCAGCGCCGATCTTGCTCGAATCTTGAGGCGCAACAGCGTCAGTCAATCACAATCCCAACAGTCTAGTATGAATTGGGGCTCATTGATCAGCAACGTTTCGGGGCTGTGGAACAAAAGGCAAGACTCAACCGCTTCAACGAACGAGCACACGAGTTCGTCCGGCACCGGGAGCTTGAGTGATCGTCGCAGACTTGCTCCCAGGTCAGTACCAATCCATGGCATTCGGCCAAGCGGATTGGAAGCCATGGTCGATGAAGCTGGTCGCCTTCGAAAGAGTAAACTACTCGGCCAGGACGACGATCCCACAAATTTGTGTCGACCGTCGACGTTCCCAAACGAAGTACATCCTCCACGGCTCACCGTTGACGAGAGGGATGGCGTTGTTGATGTGGATATCAATATTCCTGGTTTCATAGGCTGGAACGAGGGGAAAGCCTCTTCTCCCCCACCATGGCCGCATCATCGTTCCCCATCATTTGCGAGTGTGGATGAGGCAGGTTCGTCGTACAGCTCACACTCGCGCCACGCCGATTTGACAGGGTCGAAAGTTTCAAATGTCGCAGGCTATTTGAAACGATTTCATGAAGACTTTATCCTGCAGGGAGTCAAGCCGTACAGCGAGCTTCAAGACGAAATCAGGCAGAGCATGTCAAGAGAACCAACTCCTTCTGATAACATCTCTATTTACCCCTCAGACACCCGCGACGGGAGTGAACAATGGGTTACTGTTTGCACGACGTTGCTTGCCGACCTTCGGAACTTTAACATTCAGCGTCTGACTTTAAGACGATTGGCACAGCGAGGGGCGGGAGATGAAACAGCTCCAGCTGCTTCAGCTGCTCAGAGCCAGTCAAGATCAGAAGGCGCCTCGGGAATATCTGGGGCAGAATCCAATATCCGGTCCGAATCATCGGTGTCTCAGCTGGAGCAGTTTGACAGTGAAATAGTCATGGACTTCGATACAACACTTACTGATGCAATCGAACGTGTTCTCAATGAGACAGAGCCGGGCAAACAGAAATCGGTTGCTCCAACCAGGACACACTCTCGAACTGCGTCTGGCGCGACGACTACGTCTTCGGTGAAGTCGCTGCCGCTGGAGATTTCGGGCCCTGGAAAGGTGAGAGACTGGCATCGCACAACTACATTGTCGCAGTCAGATTGCCGACAAGTAGTAGTTGGCGCTCTCGAGGAAGTTGTGAAGAGTGTTAATGACGATTTGACGAAATATAACCGAGCTCGAGACACTGATGGACACATCAAGATCCACGGTGATGCCTTGAATCAGGAAATGAAGCAAGACAATGTGTTACGCGAGGGAGTGAAGAAGTGGCTGCTCAATGTTGAAACGAGGAGTGTGTGGTAAGAAGACAGGAGGGATGCCAAGGATGGACATATGATGAGTGACGATATCCCCCTGCCCACAGCGACGATACCCTTAGAGCGCATGTATTATTAGTCCCTTAGAATATAGATGAGCCAGCGATGTCAGTGGGTTGTAATCAGTAGCACAACCTGAAGTAGTTAGGTTAGCTGACCATTGATACCTTTGCTGCACAGATTTATCTTTCCTTCCCGCCGAACCCATCAACTCGTGAGATATGCCTGTACTATCGTCAACTCTGCTTTTGACATCGAAGAATCAAGCATCCCTGTTGAACAATGACCTTCTCTCTTGTTGGGAAGACGAAGGGCTCAAGGATGTCCATCATGAAAGGCCGCTTTAAGCTCTCGAGCGGTGGGCAATAGGGCGGCGCCATTATTCAACCCAACTAGGTTAGCTGCAAGTCTGGCCTTTGCCTGTCTTGGCACAGTTTCTCGTCTCGCGACGTCGAATCAAGTTCGAGTCTTTGTCCTTCGTCCCATCCATCATAGCATTGACGAAAGACCTATAAGGGGAGATCGACTATCCCAAAGCTTCCTATTCTAATATCGCGGCTCTTGTCGAGGAGCTCCAATGCGTTTGCGCCCGCGTTCGTGGAGGGTGAGTTGGCCCTCTCACCGGAGCTGGCAACTCGACTCGGGAGATGAAGGCCACAGTTTGAAAGTCCAAAGTCCCTAGAGCTTCGCCCTCTGCCCAACCTCCAATATGAATCGAACAGCAGTGCATCGGAGAACCAGCAGCGGCTCCACGGTCCGAGCCAACGCGGGCTCACAGACAGGTTTGCCTCCTGGCGTCGAGACTACACCAAATACTGTGTCAGTCCGCGCATCGCTCTGGATACATGATGACGCATTCTCATCTGAGGATGTCCTGATCAATGAATCCATTCTGGCAGGCTCAGACATTCAGGAAGGTGGTCTGATCAAGATCTTCCCAATTGCTGAGACTTCAGACGTCCGGGACTTTCAATCGCCCAATACTGAACACGCCGAATCCAGGCGGAACACTGGCTCTTTGATTGAGGCCGGCGATATATCCAGCAGAGATGACTACTACCTCTGTATAGCCAAGTTTGCGTCCGCCGAGTTCAAGGCAAAGCAGGCCAACCTGCAAGTCTCGATCAAGAGTAATATCGCGACAGCTTTTGGATTTAGATCGCGCTCGCATGTCCGCATATTTCCTGCTTCTTTCGAGGAATCTACAGCATCACATGTGGAATTCAGCTTCAGAGATACCTACCTCGCACGGTCGGACATGTGGCGGCTCGTTGGGCAAGAGTTGGCCGAGACGACAGTTTATGTTGGGCAGAAGATCACATACCTGGGGAGTATAAAGCTCACAGTCAAGGCTATCCATGTTCGAAACCACAAAGCACCTACCGCTTTCTTCGCCGGGACAACCATTCCAGTCTTCCGCAGCGAAGCAGCACGGTACGTGCTTTTCATACAGATGTCCAGCGAAATGTGGGATTTCGATTCCGAGGGTAATGGCGAGATCATGTTCAATCGGGTCATTAATGGTTTTCTTCCCGAACTTTTCAAGAGATGGACCGATCTAGATGTTCGACACCTTGTCAGCATCGTTCTTTTCGGGCGTCTGGAGTACGACCGCTTTGAACTCGCGCGGAACAAAGATCGAAGACTGGAGACGGCCCCAATGTCGGGGTCTCCCAACATGACGGCTCGCCAATACCAGGACTTCTACAGGGTCGTCGTCACAGATATGGCCAGCGCGCAGTGGACAACGATCTTGGATGAACTCAAGAAGGACTTTCGTGTCTTTCTGAGAGATATCTCCCTACACACTTCGAACACCAAGGAAATAATACCGGAAAACGCGAAGCAGCCGCCTACACGCATTGCTGGCAGGCCAAGCGCTGCACAAAAGGGAAATATATTGGAAGCAATCAATATTGCCAGCAGCCAATTTGCTCACGACTTTGAGGATCGAGATCTGATTCGGACTGGTGTTTCGATCGTGGTCGTCACCGCGGGGACCGGCGTTTTTGAAGTCAACCGAGATTTGTTGAACCTAACATCACAGACCTTGACGAACAATGGTGTCGGCATCGACATCGTTTGTCTATCCAGGATGCCGTTGCACTCCGTGCCTCTATTCAAATACCGCACTTCTGGAGTGGAGGAATCTACTCTGTCTTCGGTGATAGAGGAATTCGCTATCCCCGAGCACAGGTACGGATCTGGTCCAAGCTTCTTCGATTCGAGCCAGCCTCGCAAGCTCTCCCCGGCACTGTCCTCTGCGGCGACAAATAGCACGCAGTACTTTGCAAGCTTTGTTTCAGGCCGAAGTCACGATAGTTCTCAAGGGTGGAGCTACGGCATTCCGCAGTGGGTTGACTTGTCATACTGGTCGGCCGAGGGCGAGCCTGCCGAGACCAGATTTCTGGAGGATGTTCAGAAGGAAGTGGACGGCACCTCAAAACGCAAGAAAGGACCTTTCTTACCTCGAGTGAGGATGTACGAGATCCAAATGATGGGGCTCATGGAGTTAGGCATGGCGGACATGATCATCCCATTCATGACGGAAACTCAAACCCTGTTCGCAGGTTCGCATAGACGCACAGGCTCGAAACGCAGCCGGGCAGCTGGAAGTCGGAGTCTGTCGCATTCGCCGACGCTACCACGCAAAAGCCGTCTCGGTCCCGAACCGACGCGGATAGCCCAGGGTTTGCTGTCAATAAATGCCAAAGCATTGGGAGACATCTTCGACCGTATGGACGCATATGACTCACTGTTGTTCGAAGGACATTCTAGCGCAGAGACGAAGTCTAAGGCCACGAGGACAGGAAGTAATAGTTTGGTAAGGACTGATACAGCCTCCTCGACCCAACCAAGCAAGCTTCACTCTGGAAACGAAGCACCGAAATCAGGATCGGGATTGACGAAGGTGCTCACAAATAAATCTTTGAATTCGCCTTTCCGGCCACAGCTCCCGTCCGTGGTCTCGGCGGATGCTTCAAGTACCCCATTAACAACCAAGAAAAGCCGCGAAACACCGAAGGTCAATCGGATACTTAACTACGCTTTGCGAGGGTTGGCTCCACCTGTTCGTGCTGTCGCCAGCACCGAAGTGAATATTACCAACGTAGAGGCGCACTCGCCCTTCGTTGACCTTGGCAACGCCCGACCGACAGTGTCAACGTCAGGCGCTAGTATACGCTCGGTGTCCACGAATAGTGTACTCGGGGACAAACGCAAAGAAAACTCCGCTCCGCTGGAAAGATCAAATTCTCGATTGTCCGGTCGACCAGGAGACACACCGTCAAAACCAATCTCGATAAATACCCCGCTGCGGAAGATTCAAGACGATATTCTTTCCGGGTCTCAAAGATCAAGTTCCACGACTCGTCGGCTTCAAAGCCATATATCTACTCCAACGGAAGGACTGGGTTACAACAAAGAGGTGGGGAGCGAGTCGTCACATTCTTCGGGTAGTGATGGACCAGACGACTCGGATGGCGTGGAGCTGGCCGAGAGCCAGTTGGGCATCTCGGTCGCCAGCTCTGTCCCAAGGAGCACTCTCCCATATGTACGCAATGTCAACGCATCGAATCCCCTGAAGCGACATCCCGAGAGGGAGTCGTTCTTTGGCAGGTGGCAGCATCTCTATCCTCGGAAACCACGTGCCGCCACCGTGAAATGGAAATCTCTGTGCACTCCTGCCTCGGTGCCTCTAACGACAGAGGACTTCCCAACGAAAGATGAGCTCGAAATGGACTATGAATCTGAACATTACCATGTCATATTGGCCAATCCCAACGAGATGCTTGAGGAGCCCGAGTCCCGCGACATACTACTCTGGGAGATGTTGGCTCTGAGGTTCGCTCATGGCTACCAACTCGTAGTTGGTCCGTCGTTGCTCGAAGCTGTCGGCCCGGGTACGTGCGACACGTCTTCGTTCTTCACGCCGAACCTTGTGCGCCCTGACGGGTCCTTCATTGTCATGTCAATGGGCAACACGATACAAAAGTTGTCGCTTGAAGTGAAAAATCGCATTCAGGTAACCAAGTATATTAGGAGACCTCCGAGTGTCCAGCCTCCTTATCCTCAGGAGATCCAATATTATCCCAACATCAGGACTATTCTGTCAGAAGCATACAAGATAAGAGACATGCAGTTCAACGGCTTTTCCGAGCAGTATCCATGGGAAGCGGCCGACAGATACTTAGCTGACTTCAAGAAGCAAAACGATGTAGATGTCAAAGCTCTCCGCTTTTGGCGGGCAAGATTTGTTCTCATCCCAGTGGAACCACCCACCAACTCGTGGAGGCCGACACTGCCCGAACCTGAAGAAAGCGATGAAGAGATCCACCTACGCGGTATTCGGGCATTAACGCAGATGTGGCAAAAGGCGCGATATGTGCCGCCGGACGAGAGAAGACCAGCTCACACTCGGCCAAGCACCTTGAAAGGGAAGGACAGAAATCCGTTGAGGATCAATCTCGAAACGCTCAATCCGTCCGAGCTTGTGGCAACGGAGCTCGATAAGCTTATTGCGGCTGAGGAGGCCGGCGAAGTACAAACTACACAGCTCCTGCCAGAAGCTGAGCAGTTCGATAGGGACTCCTTCAGCCTCCCTAAGCTTGCACAAGCCTTGCAAGGCGAAAACGGGATCGAGATCAAGACTCGACGCTGGCACTTGCGTCTGTACTACAGTTGCTTCATGGGCGAAGATCTGACAAATTGGCTGGTGCATAATTTCAGGGATATTGACACTCGGGAGGAAGCTGTTGAGCTGGGCAACGACCTCATGAAGGAGAACCTTTTCGAGCACGTCAATAGCAAGCACAATTTCAAGGACGGGAACTATTTCTACTCCATCAAGCCCGAGTTTCGCACCCAGCGAACGGAAGCGAGGCAATCATGGTTTCCCGCGAGCCGACGTTCAGATCGATCGATTCCGCCCACCCCTGCGACCGAGCACCCAACCCGAGAGTTGATCAGTGGAAGATCACGTTCGGGCTCCAATCTCGCCAACCACGGGCAGGTCGCCTCCGAACTGGCCAAGTCGCTAGGCGACAGGAAACGACGGACTGTGACTTTGAGCAAGATGATACGGATCGATGTCGATACGAGAAAACGGTCCAACAGACCTGAAATCATCAACCTGCATTACGACAGACTTCACAACCCGGAGAATTGCTACCATCTCGAATTAGCTTGGTTCAACGTCACCTCGAAGTTGGTCGACGATGCCATCGTCACTTGGACGACCCAAGCGGAGAAGTACGGGTTGAAGCTTGTCGAAGTTCCCATTGCAGAAGCGTTCAAGGTGCCCGAGCACGAACCGTTCCGTGCCGCCTATCAAATCAAGCTTGCTCTCGAACCTCCCCGGCGCAGCTCAGTCAGTAACCTGTACTTTACGGCAGTATCTTTCGGGCCGCAAGCACCACTCACTCCTGATATTCACTTCTACCAAAAGGCACTGTTGAAGCGGTTCAACTTCGTCCTCGATCTCGAAGCGCCCTCAGAGTTCCCGGAAAATGTCGAGATCAAGTATTCCTGGGGAGATCTCGACTATCGCTACACGCAATTCGTCCACCGTTCCGGAGTCGTCCTCGCGCAGATCACAGACGAGGGGGACATTCTTCTTCTCGCAAATAGGCTCTACAACTCCCGTCAAGCGTCGGCAAAAGACACGTCGTCGAGATTCGACGCCAGCAAGAAAGACCTCACACCAAATGCCTCCAGCTCCATGCTCCTGCGCCCTCAGACGTTATCCTCGACCTATTCTGCCCCGAGCATGCAAGCCTCAGGGATCATCGGATTGAACGTACAATCTCCGCGCACCGGGCCCTATGCATCACCACTTGTTCGACCCGTAACCTCGATTTCCATCTCTCCTCCGCAGGGGGGAAAGGAGACGACACTATCAAACGGCGCCCCATCCACATCCACATCCGGCGCGTTTGCCGCTCCGCCCACGACGCCGCCGAAGGTCACGGCCGACGTCCTCGGCACCCGGCGGGCTCTCATCGCCTCCGGGTTCACCCACTACGTCACGCCCGAACAGATCAAGGACGACCTGGAGGCGTTTTGCAGCGACAAGGAGCGCCTGGATCTCTTCTACCGAGAAGCCACCGCGACGTTGCCGGCACAGCATGCCGCGCTGAGGGAGCGCGAGCGCGAGCGCGAAAGAGACCATGAGAGGTATGTCGGCGTCGGAAGAGACAGAGGATACAGGACCGCCGGGACGGGCTCGAGCTTGCTCCGGCCGATCAGGGAGCCCGACGCGGAGACGGGCATTCCGGAATTCAGGCTGCCGGACCCGTTGAACATCGGCCTGAGGAAGAATGACGTGTCGATGTCTCTGTCGGTATCTGTATCTGGATCAGGACCCGGCTCGGGATCCGGGTTCGCTCCTGGTTCTGCACCGGGAGGCACGAGCGGGACGACGAACTCCTAACTTTGTTCCTCTCGTTCTCTCCTTTCCCAACACCATCATATCTTCACCAGATCCGGCATGGACGTGAAGACGAAGACGAGGACGCGGACGATATGGGGTTGAAGACGCCCGTTATGGAACATGGCCCCCCTCATGATGCCAGACCGTCCACTTCAGGGCGACGATGGGGTTTATGTTGAAGATTTGACGTTGAAGAGGGCAGGCAGCGCAACACGACAGGCTCCTTGTTCAAATCAATGCTGGAACGGCGGAATGAACGACTGCCAGGCCCCCGTCGTGGTGATGGCAATGGTACTCCTCCAGCCCTTCCTTGCCTTGCGTTCCCATTCCTATTCCTATTCCGGCTCCTTCTCCTCCGACCCGTGTATGTTATACATCTGACCACCACACCATGTTTGTATGTACGATGTTATCTATTTATTTATCTATTCACGTGTTTGTTTGTTTGTTTATTGTGTGAATGTACTACCAACCAACTAACCAACCAACCAATTGTTCGGTCTGGATGAATGAATGATTTGCCGCCGTGCTGCGCGGTGTAGCGGACGATGTATGTATGCATGTATTTAGGACAGACACAAACAAGTTTGAGCAAGCAAGCAAGAATGAACTCATCTTCATATCATGAGTTTTCATCACGGACTCGCGGGCTACTCGGGCCATAAGGGGTATAAAATACGTATGGCTGGCTCACTTGGCTCAGTCCAGTTAACATTCCTACAAAGTCACGGTTCTTTTCCTTTGCGAAGGTTAGAGTCAACAATTAAAATGTACGGTAATCATTGTTCTGTATAGCCAACAGAAAGAAAAACTTTTTATCTGAACACGCAATTGATGAGTCGCTTTCATCACATCATCCTGGTCGGGCTCCCGTTCCTACTCTTGGACCGTCCGTTGACACCTGCATCTCCAGTTGCCAGGCTCTCACGGCTCTCCGTCCTGACCACCAGTCCAGCGCGGTCAATCGGATTCGGCTTCGACCTCTCGGAAGCATGCCGTTTGCTCTGGAAGGGCGAGTTCCTGCCCTGCGACGTCGGTCTGGACGGGCTCGACTTAGAGAATGCCACGTCAGGCTCGAGGGCCGTGCTGTCGTCGTCGGACATGTTGTTCAGCTCGAAGTCGTTCGGATGGTAGAGCTGCTGTGAAGCCCCATTCTCAAGATCATGCTCTCTGTCCGAATGGAAGACACCCTTGCGTCGATTGAGCAGCGCGTGGAGAAAATTCAACGGCGTCCTCAGTTTCGGAGTCGATGAGGGTGAAAAGGCTGAGGAGGAGGACGGTGACGATGGTCGAAGCGAAAGGTAAATCCTGGAACGTCGTTCGCGGCCGCAGAGATAGAACGCCGCAATAATCAAGATAAGGAGGAAGAAGATAAATCCGGGCAAACGGTGTGGAGCGTCAGAACTGAAGAGCGTATCGTGAATGTGGTCAGTTATGCTTTGGCTGTCTCCACCGTCACCCGCAGTGGTCTCTGATAAGTCGGCAGCAGGAGCTTCAGAGTGATAGTCTGGAACAGCTTGGAGTAACCCTCCACCCGGATACTGAAAGTCTTCGGGAATGCCAGGCACATTACTTCCAAATCCCACCGGAAGATCTCCTTCAGCAGCTGGCGGAATCTCTGCAGATGCATACAACAGCATCTTACCCATTGTCCAACTGACCTCTGTGGATTTAATTTTGTTCACGGCCTGGAAAGGATCGAGAAACCCCTTTCCCTTCGCGCTCTCCAATACTTCTTTCGTGCCATTGTGTGATGAGACGTCTGTGTCTTCGAGTCCGACTCTGGGAATCCCAATGCCATCATGAAGCATGTTAATCAGCCAACTAGCCTTGAAACAAACCTCCAGCGCGGTCTTTTCGTCGACGTCGTCGCCCCACGTCTCGTCCTTGACGCCCTTGCGAATATCTGACCAGTCTTGCTCACAAAATTCCTTGACTCTCTGTTGATAGGTGTTGAAATCATATGATTTATCCTTATGCGCCATCTCAAAGATCTCGTGGGTAGTGTGCCAATACTCGCTGACGCCTACGAAGTGATTGACTTCGAAGTCGATGGCGGGAACGTGGACGCCATGGATTAGGCACGGTTCGTCCGGGCAGGGTATATCTTTCTCGAGTAAGGGAAATGTCCGTCTCAGACATTCATCGAATTTGCCAACTCCCCGTAGATAATGGTTTGACAAAGAAGGCCCGTCGTCTGATATGATAGTGCCGTCGAAGTTTAGTCGCAGTCCTGTCGGCAGGCATGGATCGGGAACCTCTAGGATACCATCGATAGCGTACGATTCTTCAAGGTCCTCCACATACCTCCGCCGTGCCTCGTTGGCGCCGAAACCCAGCCAGGTCGTGACGAAGACCTTGTACTCTTGCGGCACACCATCAATTGTCCGGAGGCGTAGTAGTGTAAGATCGTTGGCGTGTTTCTCTGCCTCCGTGGCATTCGGTGCGAAAGCAATCTGGGCGGACGCGCCCCCCATGTCTAAAAATCCGTAAGTATGGTGGCCCTTGCCATGATCATGGTCTTCAGGCTCATCAAACCCCCCGAGCAAATAATTCGCTGCAATCCACCCGTACAACCCTTCTGTTTCCCCGGATATTACTTGTACATGGACATCGCAGTCTGGTATCGAGAATTCCGTCTCAGCTTTTAGATAGGAACAGATGTTTCGCAATAGGCTCTTTTGTTGTTGATTAGGGAGGAGGCGCATGCCAGCCGTGGCAAGGAGGAAAACGGGCGTGTTAGAGACTTCATCTTCAGGAATATATTCCAGAACGTGTTCAAGGAGGGGTCTTAGGTGATCTGGGCCAACCAAGTCTGGTGTTTCCCCAAAGGTTGAGACTCCAGGGTGCACCTTTTTCGTCCACTTGTCCTTTGTCTCCAGTTCAGGTAATGTATGCAGGGAGTCGTCATCAAGGCGAGCGACCGAGTTGGGGAGCCATCGATATATGTAAGCCCTCGTCCCGGATGAGCCAGCATCCAGGACTACTCCGTACCGTTTACGAGGCCCGTCGACCATCCCGGGAGGCGCTCAGCACATGGTTCGGGTGACAATCTAAAAGGTTGAGCCAGCCAACTACCGAAGACTTGGGATGAGGATCGCAAGAGTCCGTCGGACGGTCTAGGTTATTGAAGACAGAGAGAGAAGATGAATTACAGTCGATATCATAGGTAGGTGGAAGAGACAGTTCCAAGGTTTTGGGAATTCGCAGTTGCATGGGGAAGTTTCAACAAAAAGACCACGAAACCAGTTACGTAGAGACACGTGATACAATTGCATCCGGCTAATATTACCGCTCTAGGTTAGCGGATAATGACTCCTTTCAGCCTCGTCCAGCCTCGTGAAGGCCGATGTACGGAGGAGTGTATATCTGTCCGTCTAGCAAAGAATGCTTTGAGGAAGGACGTGCATGAGTGTGACTCCTTGTTGTGACAAAAGACGCAAGGTCACATTGTGCGGTGACACGAAGGACAACTCTGTGCTTGTGCACCAAGACGAGCTTGTAAGAGGCTTTGTGGTCCATTTGAAGAAGAGTGTCTCATATCTGGTGTGGTCACAACCGAGATCTTAAGCAAATGGACTCTTTCGCGCCTGCGAAATCAATAAGCAGATTTCATGGACAGCTGGCATGGGTTCGGTCTTCAATTGCTTAGTACAAAGGCATATATAAAACCCGGTCACGCCTGGTACTGACAGCGACATTTCAGAATCCAAACAGTCACAAAGGATGTCCATCTGAGTATTCCCTTCCTGTGGGAATCTTGCTCTGAGTGTAAGTAGCCAGGCGCCAAATCGTGGGGGGACATTTCATGAGAGTTGTGTCACCTTTCGGACAGGAAGCGGGCTCACAGCCGAAATCGACAAACGCCTCCTGCATATTCGATCCTAAAAGGCAATATTTCAAAATCTAGACATCTCTATCAGTACCATCCCTTTCCTTATTATACCAGTGGCAGCTCAGGCCAGGGATCCGACGGTTTAGGAACCTTATTGTGACATATGAGACACTCCGTCCTCAGATGTGCCATGTCCTTCGGCAATGCTTTGTACAGCACGCATGCTGATTCTACCGAAGGGTAGGGTCTGCAAGGAGGACAATGGAGAGCCTCTTCAGGTAGCCACCGTTCGGATCTCTGCCGAGCAGTAAAGGGGGGCTACCCCGTCTGTGCTGCCCCCTTTACTCCCGTTGATCGTGCCTTCGGAGGGTATCAGCTGCGAGGTGAGCGGTGTCCGTCCGATTTGGGAAGTGACATGTGCATCCGACGACAAGTTTCTCCTGATCCAAGCAACTTCCGGGGGGTTTCTGTACGTCCTTTTGAATACCAATACCTTACCAGACCCATACAGGACCGAAGGGGGAAAAGAGCGGTGAAGGGTTCGGCCTATAGCGGGAACGGCCACGGAAAGTATGGGTAGGCAGCACGGAAACCCCCAGGACGCCGTGCCCTAACATCTACCGTACCTGCAGAAGTCTCCGGGGGTGCGCCAACCGCTTGTTTTGACGTCCAAGGGCCTTGGGAAGACCCTGGGAACCCCCTCCCCTATTCCTTGCATGCTGCCAGCCTTGCATCCCTTCGCCACCACTGGGTGGTGCAGTGCGGAAGCAGGTCCAAGCAACATGTCAAAGGAACCGGTTTGACAAAAACGCGAGACCCGTGTGCCAGGCGGCAGGGTGCATGATCCCCTCCAGATTTTCAGGTTTTCCGCACATGTGAAACCACGACCGTTCCGACAGTTTTACAACTGGTTGAAAACAGAGGAGCGGCAAAAGTGCGAAAGTTCCAAAAGGTAGGAGAGAGAGACATCAAATCAAGCACGGGTCGCAGTCCGGCTGCAGGCCGCAGAGTGCTGCAGCCTACCGACCACGCACGGTACAGTAGCCTAGCAAGAACGGGCTCAAAGAAGTTGCAGGGATTGCAGAAGAGCCGCCTTTCTACGCAGTCATGATACGAGTCGATAGCAGCTTGTCGAAAGGGGAGGGGGCGACATGTTTCCCCGTTAGATGCAAGGCGACCATTAGCTTCAGGGGGCGTTTGTTTCAAGTTTCAAGGTATTATCCCAAGCGGGTAACATCGCCTCTCTTTTCTTGCCCGGCGCAAGTGTGCCAGACAGAGTCCAGACCAAGGCTGCACGTGGATTCCTGGAAGCGATTGGCCAATATTTCGTCCAGTCTAGTGATAGAGAGGTCGATATCTCGAGTCTATCCAAGGCAACAGGATTTTACGAACAGCCCAGTCCAGAGGCTGAAGCACATGCTGCGACTTCAGGCGGCAAGGGCACGACGACGCCTCTCATACATTCATTCATACATACATACATACGCGGCGCTGTTTCACCATCTCGTGGTGTGCCCATCTGGTCTCTGCCACAAACGCCCTGAATTGTGCGTGGCGCGAAAGGCACCAATCAAGTTGGACGACAATGCTATCCCAGCCCCCTTCCAGGCGGGCCTGATATGCTGCCATACACACCATTCGGGCTTTATGGTTCTCTACAACGAACTAACGATGTCTACTTGTGATCTATATCCAGCGCGCACGTATAACTCAAGGTTGCCTTTTGCTTGCGACGCCATATCAACAAGGCGTGTGGTTGGCAATGGACCATGGGCAACTATCACACTCACCACCACGATTGGAGCCGAGCCAGCCATGATCAGTAGTTCATGCATGTCGCTGGAAGGGTACTGGGAGCGCAGGGTCACACAAGCCTAAGTCGGGGGCACCATCCCTTCCATCCAGCAGGTGCCGTGCCGTGCTGTGTTGGAGGTGGATGGAGGATGTCACAGGTGCAGGTGATGCAGCAATAGTGACCATCAACCACCAAACCTGCCCTCTTACCCTCCCTCTCCCTCTCTTATCCGGCACATCGCCAGCGATATCACCATGTCACCCACGTCACGCGGCATCCAGCGGGTTCGATCACCTGGCTCGTAACGTACAGCCGCGGCATTGCCTTAGGCAGGTTGACCAGTGGACTCCCCGACGGACCCGATGCTAAGATCTGATTGATCCTGACATGCAAAGTCGATGCAACTCCGAGCGGGACGACTGCGGTCCATGTGCTTCCCCCTCCTCCTCTTCCTTCATCCCATGTCCTTTTTCTCTCCCTTGCGCAAGCCCTTATCCACCACTCGGGGCGCTCAGACCTTTTTCTGCAAGCGAGCCAACGAACACGACGGTGGTGGGTGCGTGGCTGGAAAACGCCCCAATCAGCCGTCCTCGCGTCCCCCTCACTTCCTGACTTGCAGCCGCTGACGACGGACTGCATGTAAGCAAGGGTATGAAAAAACTGCTCACCCTGCATGGCTTTCCTATTCCTGTCTGGCTGGCTGGCTCGGGTTAACGATTGGGGGACTAGGAAAACTAGAGTCCTGACGAATTTCTTGTACGGGCACTCACTCGGTAAGGGGGATACACACTTAATTACATGCATTGCTTCCATACCTTTTTCAACCGTGATGCTAAACATGGACCCAGTAGTTACACACTACTCGGTACTCGCTCTGTAGTCTGTACGGGTATGGCTGAAAGACTGAGAACCGATACCTAGAGGGGGGCCTCGCTGCTTGTAAGCGCCCGGATGAGATGTTTCTCTTCCTTCTTTCTGTCTTTCTTTCTTTCACCCGTACCCCCATGGAGGAACCGAGTACGACGAGTAGAGTAATAGTTGGACGCCGTGTGTGCTCAACACACCACACACTCTTCCTCTCGGGTCGCTGACTATCTTTGGTTTCTCATGAGGTCTTTTGCCGCCCTGAGTCCAGCCAGCCATGAAGCTTCCTCTAAAGTTATCTACCCCAGCAGCAGCAGTGGTGGTGGTGGTGGTGGTGTATGGCTGGTATTTTGTATTTGACTTTACAAGTGACAACGAACTATCCCATACACCCTGCACCACACCCGCCATGTTGATACGAGGTAGGTACCTATTTACTGTAACTTCCCCTTGCTGCTTGTCCCCTCTTATCTATGTGCCGTGTATATCTACACGTACACTATTGAGGATGTATGTCCATCGTGTGCGCCGTCACTCAAGGGGACCCGATTATTATTCCTATCACTCTACTGTGCCGCCCCCTCTCTGTTGCTGAACCTGACACCTTAACCCGAGTACGTCGTTACACACATGCACACACACTACGCAGTACGGACTCTGTCGATCCTTGTTACTTGGCCTTTCCCCAGCCAGCCAGCTAGCTAGTTGGGATAGAAGGCGTCTGTCTGCCTGGCTGCCTGAACCGTGAGGCATTATTTCTCTTGAGGCCAGTACATAGTTCCGTGTCCGTGTGTGTGTGTGTGTGTGTGTTTGTGTGTGGGGGGGGGGATATGCGCGCACTTTGTTGTTTTTTGGTTCTTTACACTTTTGGGCGAAATGCGGATACGGCGCGAACGGCGCGCCCGCCTCGGGAGGTATGGGGGCCATTAATTGTGATGGTGATCGGGATAAGTGATGGGCGATGGATAGGCGATGGAGAGGAGCTGATCAAGACTGAACAGTTTACGCTCAAGGTTTGTCCTCTCTTGCCTTTCCCTGATGTTGTTTTGTCTGTCGACAATATAGCACACTCCGTACTTCTTGTCTCCTCCTTCCGATCGCCACCATGCCCCCTCCACCTACGGTACACACTCCGCCTTCCGAACACTGAACTGAATTCAACGGGTTGGCTAGCTGGCTGGCTGGCTGGCTGGCTGGCCTGGGCTGGGACTGTGCTGAGCTGAAGGCAAACCCAGGGAGTCGAGAGCTGAACCGGGCTGAACTCACTCTCACATGCCCTGCGGCTTTCTGGCCCCTACTACGGTAGGCACGGAGCAGGTTCGGAGCACGCATAACCCGTAACTCAATCGTGAAAAGCTACGCCAGTAATGACACCCCCACCCACGAGTGCCCCGTAGCTAGGAAACTCTACCTTGAGGTATGTATGTTTGTAGTCGTAGGTAGGTAGGTAGTTAAGTAGGGTCAGGTATACCCGGGACGGAACAGAGTACGGACAGAATGTGCACTGTGTTGATTTTGTTGTTGTTGGAGGTATGGGGCACAACTGTGTCCATCTGGGACGGTGTCTCTACATCGCTTGTCTTCATTTCTAAATGTACAGCATATCCTCGTATGTAGATACCGAGGACTTTGGTCTCCGCATGTGTCTTTGGCCCGTGACGCAATTCAAGCATGCAGCCGCCCCAGGTGGCCCAAGCACAGTACTCGGTATTAGGAGACAGGACTAGCAGTGGCAGCCAGCAAAGCACTTCCTACAATGACATTGATTACATGAATGATTATGAGGATGAGGATGATGATGCTGATGATGATGATACTACTACTACTACTGATGACGATAATCCCGGCGCAGGAGCAGGATCTGATGACCAGAAACCCTCCTAACATACATTCATACACATACTTACATGGTGCATAACATGACGTGCCGCCATCGTTAGCAACAAGACGTTCAGCTGGCTTCTCGTAAGCCGGTCTACCCCGCGTGACTGACACACCGTGCATGCGTGGGAGTGCGATGGTGCACTGCGATGCTGAGTAAAATCGACGGACGGGGGGTAACTGGGTGCATTGAGTCGCAGACTGGCTCGCCTTCAGTCTGTCCACCCTACCTCGGTCTCTGTCTCCTGCTCAGGATCGGACCAGAGTCAGGAACTTTCCCAAGAGACATATTGATTGCATTCAAGCCAAGTGCAAGAAAAGATAGATCAATCCAACCGAAATTATTCAAAACCCTCAAATCAAATGATATTATTACAGAAGCCTGTGATTAAACCAAATCCCTAATGTATCTGCTGAGTCCATAATCTTCCAAGGGCCCGTGAGTCCTTGTAGTAATATCCTCCTTTGTGATTGTAAAAATGACCCATAGTCCCTAATCCCATAACGCCAATTCCGGCAAACTCCCTTCAGCAATGTTGATCCTGGGGGCCACGTGGCTTCTCTGCCAAACATTGAAAAGCCTAACGATCAGGCCCCGGATGTTCCCAAACTCCTGGTATACGCTGCAATATGGTGAATAGTAGACCGATAACCAAAGCTGATGAGCCGTACATGAGGGGGTATCTCTGTGCCAATAAAACAGGAAGTACGCCAACAAAACCTAGACTGCCTCGTCCGTGACATGTTGATACAGGGATCAGAGTCATTCTGTGGTCATGTTTTCGTCCATCATGGCTTCATGATAGAACTTTTGGTATCCCTTGAAAGAAAACTCCAACGAGTGTACATTTGCGCCCGGGGTCGGGGCGCGAAAAAGGAATGACTCATAGTGAAAGCCCTCCAGTGCAATGCTCCAGTGATGAATGTTGTTACAGGTTGCCTAACCTATTAGCGTCAACGACCTCACAGAGGCCATGACTTGGAGATGGAAGTAGTAGAGATGGTGAGTCGTGTTGATAGTTGGATGATTGGTTGGTTCGTGTATGTGGCGATATTTGTAGTGTGGCGGAGTGAGTCGAGAATGTTTGCCACCGATGATTGTACTCGTATTTGTCCCTCCTTTAGGCAACCGATGGTCTGCGCAACGTCTCCTCGCAGTTGACATCGAAGCGCATGTTCCAGAGACGAATCTGGTTCATGATCTTCTCTGTTGCCTCGAGGTGGCGATCGCGACCGAAGATGGAGTCGACAAACTCGGTGCCTGCCTTCTTGCCCATAGTCTTGGAGCCTTCACGTTTGGCGGCCTTGAGCATGAAGTGTTCGCAATCCTTAAGGAGTGCCTTGAACTTCTCCCAAAGGCGTTTGCCACTGATGATGAAATCCTCGACGGTTTCCTGTTTCTCCAGGTTGCGGATCCGGTCTATACATTCTTCGGCTCGCTTCATCTTACCCGCCAATTTGATGAGGAGGAGCCAGAGCTCGCCGGCGATATCGGCGATGGGGGTAGAGGCACCGTGGTGGAAGACTGTCCAATCGTAGATCCATTTGCCAAGCGAGTTGGCATCGAAGACGCTGCCCAGCAAGATGATGGGCAGCTCGGTAGGATCCCAATGCTTGATAGAGTAGCCTGCGGGGATGCCGGCGCGGATGGCGTCCTCCTCGGTTGCCTGCGGTGTCGGTTTGGGTTTGGACTTGGGGGTGGGCTTCGAGGTGGTTGAGGCCCGTCGCGCCCTCGAACGCTTTGGCTGTTCGTCAATAATCTGCTCCTGCCCATAGTAAAAGTAGGTGTCAGTGCTTGGCTTCTTCGCGTGCTTGGGCTTGGATTTTGGTTCTCGGTAGACGTAGTTTGCCTGCACTCGTGCATATTCAGCGTCATCGTCGTAGACAAAGATGGGCTGATTCTGCTTGCGCGATGATGAACGGGTATGATATCTTGAGCCAGGAAATGTGCTGTAGCTCTCATAGTTGCGGGCCTTGCCCCTTGCCTCACTCACATAGATATCATCCCGCGGTGCAGAATACTGGACGTTGGGGTCGTGGTGGGGTGGTGGTGAGCCCGCAGGCGAATACCAGCCTCCCACTCGAGGGGAGGGCGTGTAGCTGGTCCTTCGCGCGTGTTTCTTGGGTGTTGAATCGTACTGGGGGGCGTAGTGGACGTACTCGGCGCTGCTGTACGGCGACGAGTTTCCGTAGTATTTGGTGTAATGGGACGGCGGAACGCCGTAGTGGTAACTCATTTTGATCCTGATGGTCAAAGACTTTGCTCTCGGAGCGGGGCGTTTTCAACTCTCGCTCTCTCCTCACTCCTGCCCCTGTCCGCAACAATCTTCCCCCCGATCTGGGTCTATGTCTGACTGCTCGGGTCGTGTAATGTGTTGTCGAGAGAAAAGGTGTGTCCGGAAGATGTTGGACTGGCTGAATATCATAGCGTGGTTGGCCTCGAACGCGGTGGCTGGGTCAAGTCTGAATTGAGTCAGGCGACTCAATTTGGGACAGTCAAAGTGGGCTAAGCTTGGTTTGCTGCGAGTGAGCAGGCTCTGCGATGACGCGGAAAGGTGGTTGCAGTGAGGAAGGAGAAAAAAAACTCGAAGGCTGGTGAAATCTGGTGCGAGGCCTCCGTATATGTTGGTTTTCCTCGAGGTGGTTGACCAGGCCCCAAGGTTTTGTGTGGATTCTGACTAGGGGGTCCGGAGCAAAGCAGCCGGTGTGAGTCGACTTTCCCACGATGAGTCGACAGCGGGCACCAGGGTCGATTGATGGGTCTTGGGGGGGTCGAAGAACGAGAAGGCTGTCCTCGTTGGAACCTGGGAATCCGTGTCCGCGCGTTTGATGCTGGTAAAGGCGGCTGTGCCTTTGCCGCTTCGGTCTTAGACTGGGGTCGAAGCTGGTAGAAGGGAATGGGACCAACTGGAGCCAGAAAGCTCAGAAATGGCCAATAAGCCGCGTGGGAGAAGGATTGAAAAGATCGTGGTTGAAAGGGAAATTGATAGCAGCGCAGGGAAATCAGGGGGGGCAATTAACGTTAAAATGGATTTTTTGGGAGAAGAGAAGTCGATGGCCCAAGTGTGAGTGGATGTCCTTTTAGGTTCGATGGTATCGAAGGGGTCGAAGTGACAAAGAAGGATTGCAAGGTGGATGCGGCGGATGGCTTGATGGCTTGACGGCTTTTCCACACTAAGGCTGGTCCATGCTCTTGCCTGGGCGTGCTGTGAACCCAACTTTTCTGATGGCTCGTGTTGCAGGGATCAAGGGTTGAGGCCCGTCTAGCGCGATGCGAAGGAAGCCCCTGGCGAGAGGGGGGGAGGACGAGAGGAAAGGCGGAAAAGAGCAAGAGGATCTAGAGGGGCGCCCAGCGATGTCCACTTGGAGGTCTTGGGAGGGGAGGCGGCGTGTCGGTACAGGTATTATACCGTAAATACTGATACGAGACGAAGACGGTGGATGTGAGAAGAAAGAGGCGAAAAGAAGGCGTGCCAGTACTTGTACTTGGACGAGGTGAGCTGAATTGAGGAGGTGGTTGAGGGCAATGAATGGACAATCACACTGTGACGGCGCAGTCCTGACAAAAGTCTAACCAATTCGGGGGTTCCTGACCCTTCTGTTGCTTCTTTTGTTGCTGATTAACGAGAGAGATGATGGAAGCGCCGGCAACGACAGTGGCGAGAAAAATGTTTGATTTGGAAGAAAGAAACAAGTTGGGTTGAGTTCAGAGCGGAAGATGGTGACTCCGAGTTCTGGTTGATGCCGCGCCTTTAAGGACGTATGAGGCGGCGCCCGTGGCTTCACCCTCCAAGTCGGCGCTGGCTTACCTGATCGTGGTCGCACGGGCTTCCAGGGAACGATGATGGTTAATGATCCCTATGCCCAAAACCCCTCAGCACCTGGGTAAACAACACCTACCGTGTTCGGAGGTTGCGAGTTTCACAGCCTCCTGTAATCCTTAAGAGCGAGCGGCTTAAGCCCGTGTACGCGCGCTTTTTCATTCTGGAAGCCCTCGGGAGGGGCTAGACATGCCTGGAACCCCCTCCCTTTACTGACGCTCCGACCAGTTCTGGGCACCCTCCGACATCATCACGGACCCCCGAAAGGGAGTCACGGGGACTGCGCCGCTTCCATGCAGTGTAAGCTGACTGACTGTCCGTCATCGCAATTCATCCCCTTGAGCCCAATGCACGACATAGACTGCGATCTTTGCCCATCGCTATACCGGAATCTGCTATTTCTTGCGACCGTGCCCTTGCCCGATTCTTCATAAATAGTATCATCATCAAAACAACCCCTCATCGCCGTTGTTCATTATGCCTCTTCCTGGTGACGCCTTCAATGGCCCCTCTCCACCACTCTCCGTGATCGCGCATCATCCGAGTAATTACATACTCGAACTCGACAAATTCTTGGTGGCTGTGAGTACTATCAACGGTGGATTGGGGTCAATGGACACGGTCAAGTTTGTGTCAAGTGTTACGCTGGGATTATCAGTCTGGATTCCCTCGAAACAGATGCGGGTCATTCGGCTATGTTCAGCTCTCCCCGTCAAGCTGGTTTGCGAACCAACAGAATCGATCCCTATCAAAGATGTCACGAATAGGCTTTTCGTCTCCCTTTCCCAGTCCAATTCTTGACTAAAATTGCCCTGTCAATTGACGATCCTGCCACCCTGCCAGCCAACGGTTCTTTTGATGAGACGCTATTCTTCGTCAGTTGGTCGAGCCCAGCTGAAATTCAGGGCGATCAGGTCCAATCGCTCTGGGATCATGCACGATCAAGCCTTGTCAGGCCTCGTCGGGCCGTGGATTGCCTCCTGGCTTCGTTGTGCTACGTATGAAGCTGAAAAGCCAAAGTTGATCCTTTCCGAGGACAGACCAACATGTGCTCCCATCCAATGTCTTTCCTGGGGTGCTCTAATCGTATACCTCCATAAAGCACAAAAGGTTAAGATCATCTGCATCTTGGAGACTTCGATTGGCTCGCAAAGGTTCTTGTCGAGAAGCTGACATGACACAAACAAACGTGACCCGTGTGTCTGTGCACATCCCCCTCGGATCCCGTCCTGCAGTCGTCCTTCCAATGAAGACCCGCGGCAAAGGGAGTTGGGAAGGTGACCTGCTGTCGAGTCTGTCTGTCCCGGTGGTGCGGCAACTCGCATGAAGTAAAATGAGCTCGAATCCACCAGAGACGACATCTGTCCGGCTTGCCACAATACCTGACCTCGAGCAATCGTCCATCGATCCGTGTGCACTCTCTTGAGCTTGCATGGCGGCACGCTCTCCGGGCACCGGAAGTGCCTGGAGGGCTTCTCTGCAGGCCCAGTCGGGCTTGTTGATGCTGGTTCTTTTCGATAGGTTCTGTATCTTCGGTATTGCAGCAGTTCTGAATATTACCATACCTTGGAACGCTTCTGCTGGCCGTGGCCATGGTGGTCGCAGGTAAGTGGACTGAGCGAAGGAGCAAGTGCCAGCGCATGCCAGCTTCACGTTAGCCTTGGCGCTGGCATCGGGCATCACTTTCATCCTCTTCCACCACTCCAGTGCCGGCTTTCTGACCGCCTCATTCCCATCTGCTTCATGCTGCATGTGAGCAAGTCGGCAGACTTCCCATTGATCCGTTCACGTTGGGAATGAGGCAACCACGCAACCTCGCGTGGGTTCGGGTCCAAAAAGCCAGCATCGCCCCGATCCGCTAGCTGCACCCATTTTGGGTATCAACTGGGCGTCCTGAGTCTCTGACGCATTTTATGACTGTTTTGATATCAAACAACCACTTGCAACCGACATGGCGGAGCCTTTCTAAGAAACCTAGAAGGTTCTGAGTCTTGTAACGCCTCGAGATTGCGACGGCCTCACGCGCCCAGGGCTATGTTGGGTAGCAGAATAACTTTGCAAGTTGCAATCTGGTCTGCAATTCGCGCAGGATCGATGCAGACTCGATGCAGCCCCGAAAATCGATGACTTCACCAGCAAGGTTGAGTAAAAATGGCTCGGATTTCGCTGCAGCTAGCCCAGACCATGCCGCTTTATGCTTGGTCGGGAAATGGGCGCCTTGAAGCCTCAGTGAGCGTCTTGGGGAGGATGCAGGGGCAGAGCCTCATGGAAAGAAAGGTTCACTGAAAGAAAACTGTCTGGGCGCGAGGTCAATAAATGTCCCAAGTCAGTATTGGCCCTTGTTTGACTGTGCGCGCGCGCATCAGTTACTTCCCGCATGCTTAAGGTCCTCAATTTCTCTCACCCGACTCCGTTGGCTGGAAACAATGAGCAGGCCATTCAGCCCCCTGGTAGCGCTCAAGAATTGGGACTACTCAATGTCCTCAATATCTCCTGCTGTTGAGCTGATCGCCCACACAACTGCCCTTCAACAGACAGACAGAAAGGTACTCTGATCGGGTTCTTGGAAATCTATCTGAATATAGGTAATCGTGATGCAAACATTGAGCTGACAGGGAAACCGGGGTAATTTCAAGCACATTCCCTAGATAAGACCCAGCAACCCACGAGTTCACTGATTCTTTCCTTCCCTCTCTCACTTCACACCATTCGTTATCCGCACCTGTTACAGCGTGAAGGTACGAGGATACCGGTACCAACAGTCATGGACCCTCAGTTCGTGGAGAAACTGGCCCGCGTCGGAGAGAAGATCACGGGCGAATACGGGGGTTTGTTACTGCAGCACGCAAAAATGGATCAGCTCGCGACAGCCAGTGACAGCAAGAATTTTGCGGAACTTGTCGTTCTCGACGAAGCCTGTGGAACGGGGGCAATTGCCTCGCGACTTCTTCACATGCTTGACGAAGAAACCAGGGCGATGACCGACCTCACGCTGCTGGACATAGCTAAGCCGTCACTTGAATACGCCGAGCGACGTCTTCAAAAAGACGGGAGGAAGCTGCAAGCTCTCCGAACACTCCAGGCAGATGCCACAGACACCAAGCTACCTTCTTCACACTTCACCCACGTCTTTCTCGGCTTCGGGCCAATGGTCTTTTCCAACTGGCGAGCGGCCCTTCGTGAGATACATCGCATGTTGCGACCTGGAGGGCTCGCGGCCATGTCCACCTGGGGTGACGGCGGCTGGCTTCCCGACGTCCGCGCTGCACTGGCCAGCGACCCGTCTCTACCTCGCGGACCGGATGCAAAGGAGCTCCTGGAAGCGTTCAGTCCAGACAGCGACTGGAGCGACCCGTCGTGGATCACAACGACGCTCCAGGACTTCGGGTTCGAGGACATCCAGATCAAGACGGTGCCGAGAACGGGGGTCTTGGATGGCATGGAGGAGTTCATGACTACCGTCCCCATGACCCTGGGGAATATTATTGATAAGTGCTGGACCCCAGCTCAAGCTGAGGCGCACGGCGAGCGAGCAAAGGAGACGTTGGTCAAGTACGTGGCAGAGAAGTATCCTTCAGGGGAGATCAAGTGGGACTGGGTCGCCCATCTCATTACCGCGAGAAAGCCTGCGGCTGCGGGTTGAAGTAGAATACACCCGCGTTCACACCCAGGCTGGACTGCAGCCTGGTCCCGAAGTTGAAATGTCGGGTTGACAATCTTATATTACGAATTTTTTATTCAGAAGGTAACGGGAAGTGGTTCTGTCCTCATTCCTCCTACGAGAAACAGTCCTGTGGAGATATCTATTGCTTTCGTCGAGTTGCGAATGTATAACGATTGTTGCACAGGATGCGTGGCCGTTGTAGTCCCCTCAGTTACCGACACAAGAGGAATGAGTCGCACCATGGTGTCTGGAGTGTAGGGAGAGGTTCTCTGGTCCTCGTTTTTTATCTTGACTCGCTCGGACGCTCCATTTAAATTCGAGGACCTTAAAGCCCAGTCAGTAATGGACTTCGTCGGCCGGACCAGGCCCGTGACTATCTTCAACCTGTCTCTTTTGACTCTGCTTCCCAGATGAGATTTCCTGTGTGGGCTTCTCCGACATTGTGGATTTACAGAGCTCAGTGTGAAGATGGTGTACGATGTCGCCATCATTGGCGCCGGCCCTTGCGGGCTGGCCGTGGCAGCTCGGTTACGAGAAGGCACCCCGTCTGCCCTCTTCACCGACGACGAGCACGCCAGATATTGGCGGAGGTTCAACCGGCGCGAGACGATTGAGAACGAACAAAAATGCCAGCGAAAGGCGGCCACCGCCGCCAATTCTGGCTGGAAGAGGAGCGACACATCTCCCTCTGCTTCTGCCACAGCCAGATCGATCATCGTGCTGGATGCTCTCTCGGACCAGTGGATGGCCGCATGGCACGAGCGATTCCGCAGGCTGCAGATTGAGCATCTGCGCAGTCCGCTGTTCTTCCATCCGGACCCCAGAGACAGAGATTCCCTTCTGGCCTTCTCGCACCTCCACGGTCGCACGGCCGAGTTACAGGAGATCCCGAACGTGGCCGGCAAAGAGATCAGCAAGCATCGTGTCAAGAAGAAGCGTCAGAAGTGAGTGACGAAAAGAGGCCCATGTGGGAGAGACAACGGTTTGTTTCGGGTCGCTGACAAGGTTTCAAGAAGGGTTGCACAGCACCTCCGGATCGATGATCGTGACCGGATAGATTACTTCACGCCTTCGGCTGCGCTCTTCCATGACTTCTGCAGTGACATCGTGGACCGTTATGACCTTCGAAACCTGGTCGTACGAGCAAAAGTCGAAAATGTCGAGTATGGAGACTTGGGTGGGTTGACCGGTGCGGATGGATTTACCTTGACCACCGACCAGGGGGCGATTTTCTCCCGAAGCGTTGTTCTCGCGGTCGGTCCTGGAAGCAGGCCTTGCATTCCTATGGACAATCATCTCCAGCTGAACGGGGAGCTGGGCAGCGTGTGTCACTGCTTCGACCCTGCAGGTGAGCACTGCCTTCCGGAGCATGTCCTGCTGAAAATCAACCAAGGACTGCCAACCTCGGTCGTGGTGGTCGGGGGTGGACTGACGAGCGCTCAAATTGCCGATCTAATCATTCGTCGTGGCGTAACCAAGGTGTGGCTGCTAGTCAGGGGAGATTACAAGTTGAAGCATTTCGATGTCGACCTTGAATGGGTGTCGAAGGTGCGCAACCAGCAAATGGCAGTGTTCTGGTCGGCAGATAGCGATCAGGGTATGTTGATGTCGAAAGGGGATGATCTGTCACTGATTTTCCGATAGAACGCTTTGAGCTGCTGAAACAAGCCCGAAACGGAGGCAGCATAACACCGAAGTTTGACAGGATACTCAAAAGACACGTCTTGAATGATCGACTGGTTATCTTGACCCACACTCAGATCGAAGAGGGGAAGTGGTGTGTCGGAAGCCGGACATGGTCCGTCACCTTGTCGCCAGGATCAGAGAATGGCTCCCTGTGTATCGATCACATCATATATGCTACGGGGGCAGCCCCGAACATCGAGAAAGTGCCATGTCTGCGGCATATGTTGGAGAAATGTCCTGTTCGCTCTATCAACGGCTTACCTGTACTTAGCGGCGACTTGATGTGGCGCGACGACATCCCGTTGTTCTTGACAGGCGGCCTCGCAGGCTTGAGGCTTGGACCCGGCGCCGCCAACCTGGCAGGGGCACGACAAGGCGCTGAAAGGATTGCTTGGAAGATTGAGGACCTGCTAGGTAAGAAACACACACCGTTACCTGACGACCAAAGCCCGAGTTCCGCCAGAGCGAGTGATAGGCCTCTTGCCGAGCAGGAAAGGAAGACAATGGCCGAGGAGAGGAGTGAATACACGGGAGGGTTTGCTAATCAGTTTGAGGCCTTGACATTGAATGTAGATCGCTGATGCTAGGATCTTCCATTGGCAATACCTTTTCGATCTGGAGGTCGGGGTTTCGTGAGGAATTCTTACAGCAATGTACTGTAGACGAGTGCGAGCAAGAGTTTCTCTGATTCCATACCCGTATCTGACTAGCCAGATTCATCTAATTCGAGGGCCGCTTTTGACATCTGATACCCTTGGCCATTATCCACACGTGGCAGTGTGCGGCGCAAGCTGTTTTCGCTCATGGCATTCAAACCGTACGAAACGTCAAATTTCCAAACACGGTATGCAAACAGATGTAACGGACACACAACAAATGTGCTCAACGGAGCGCAAATCAAGATCCACGAGGCTTTGGATGGCGGGCACACCCCTGCAAGAATAGAATTGCACATGGGCATGGGCCCAACTCAAACCCCGGACGGCAATTTCATGCCCCGGCCGAACCACGTTTGGCACCGGCGCTGACAGCCTGATGGGACCGACGGCGCATGGACCATGGGATTGATGAGACCTCGAGGCTGTGGTGGGGGACCTTGTTGAGGCTTACTCGTGTGGTGGGCGTCTACAAGCCAGACGCCAATTGTTTCGAAAGATTGACCGGAGATGTTTGTGGCTGTAGTCCCTGGAGTCCTCTCAAGGACCAAACCAAGGAATTAACAATGGTACTCAAATGACGGCCGCCGCTATGGTTTATTGTTCGACTTCCAACACCATTAGCAACAATTGCTTTTCTATAAAGGTACCCAGCCAGAAGAATTAAGGTCCGTAGCCAGGTGGGACGCGGCGCAATTGATTTCCATTCCATCTCTCAACGAATACTAGGTCTTGCGTGCAAGATATTAGCCGAATCCTGGCTTCGGATAGCGCACAACCAAGTGGACTGTGTCTGAGAGACTCCGTCTCGAACTCCATACGTGTACGTAGTAGTGGATCGCGCTGCGCACGGGCTGGACGGGCCTCTGAGCCGGCGGGGCGAACTATTCGTAGAGGGGGAATAGATCGTGAAAGAACGATCGGTGACTCGTCCTGGTAGCTTTGCACTCTCAAAATCACACAACGGGCCTGAGGTGATGGAATTCCGTTCGGGGTTTGTCCTCGACGATGGCTGACTCCTTCCTTTTCCCTCCTCTGAAAACACGCGAACACGGGAATGCACATTGATCGCTAAGGTCGAGGAGGGGAAAGGCACTTTCAAACACGGAATATAGCCTTGTGCAAGAGGGCAGTGGGCGAGCCTAGGAGAGATTCCACCAATACTCGCCTCGTTGTGTGAGCCCTTCAGGCTCTAATATTAGTGGCTGAGGACTGTTTTCAGAGAGATAACAGCGTCACACCCATTGAGGATCGGTTCTGTTGCCTCTGCCTAGCCGATGTGCCAGGGGCTAAGCGACTGAAAATATCAATAAACACGTACTCACACTGAGGCGACGGGGATTGCAGATGGCATCATGACTTGTGTGCGTTGATCTTATCGCTCCGCCGGCAGTCCTTCCCTTCTGGTCACCAGCAAAAAGAACTGCCGACTGCCTAGACACTGGTTGGAGAGCCTATCGCAGGGTGCGCAGGCTTCTCCGGCCCGGCAGCAAAAGCGGTAGGGGCCTGCGGGGAGGCCCCTAAGAGGGGTTTAGCACCTCTCGGGAGGACACACAGGCACCTTGATTGGCCTCCGGGTCCCTTCTAGCCCCCGCTCCGCACCATGCCCCCTCCAGTTTTCCTATCGTCCCTTCAACCTTCTCCCCTTCCACTGACGCCTCCGACGCCTTCGATGATTCTATGCCGGTGTTATCCTTCTCTGCATTGTAGATCTTTTCTTGGTGCACAGCTATTCCTTATGGGGGTTTGGCAGCCCGTGCGCTCACGAGCCCTTCCGTTTGTTCGTGTTTCCACGTCCTCTCCTCGCACGTATCTCCATCTCATGATCTAGCCGATAGATAGATTTCCCGGAATGCGGATCTTGGGAAGTTCGTCCGCTATTCGAACGATGTTGAATTGAAGTCCTCGAGCCTGCGCATGACGTCTTCGCATCCTCCGTCTCACTACTGCTCGTTCCACAGCTGTCAGCTTATCCATCGAGACTGCGGTCGCTGCGATAGTTATGTCGAGCTCTCAATTCGCCACACAAGCGGATGCTGCGCCGGCGTCGGGAGACAACAATACCGCAAACCCCCCACGAAAGAGGAGGAAACGCGCACCTGCTGCTGGTGCAGCTGTGGACTGCTTCACCTGTACAAGTCGCAGTGTCAATTGCGACCGTCGGAGACCGTATTGTTCCCGGTGCCTGGATGATGGGAAAGATTGTGCTGGCTACAAGACTCAATTGACCTGGGGAAATGGAGTGGCAAGTCGAGGCAAGCTGCGTGGCCTTTCACTGCCCGTCGCTGGCACTCAGAAGCTCTCCACGCCCGGTTCACCACCAAGGCCAAAGAAGAGACAGTTGCCGCCACCCTCTCCGCACCGTCCACCTCAGCTTCAACACATTCTCAATGCTGCCCCAGAAGCTCACAACGTCCCCTCACCGGCTGTGCGATCCCCGGAAACTGCACCTAACGGCAACACACACTTCCACTTTGCTCTGTCCCATCCTCCTGCGATTTCACCTTCCTATATCGCGACGACCAGTCCATGGAGCCCACCATCTGAACTTCCCGGCGTCAAGATTGCGCCGAGAGTCTCTTCATATCCAATTCCGTCTTGGGCGCCACCCGCTGTCCACGGCGCCTCTACCAGTGATGGACTTAGACGGCCAAGTGTTGCATACAGCGGGAGCGATCGAGTGTCACCGATGTCTCATTCTCCTCCGTCGCCCGAATCAGCATACTTCGGGCGAGTCTTACACCACACCTCGACAGATGGACAGGCTTCCTATCCCCCGTATCCTGACTCACCTCAAGTTGCATCTCCGTTTGGTGGGCAGTTTGCCGATCACGGGCAGTTTCCCATTTACCAGAGACAGGATGACTCCATCTTCCGCAGCGAAACGATTGATCACACTTTTCTCTCGCAAGACATGGGTCCGGCCGACTCCCAGAACATCGATGAAGATGCCGATGGAGAGGTTGAGGAAGTCCCTCGAGCCACGTTTGAAAATGAATGTGCCATCGTGGAAGACGATTCTGTAGTAGCCTTTCCCCGGTGGTCGCTCCACGATTACAGCCTTTCGTTCTCGCCTTTTGCAGGCGTTACAACTATCGGGGCAACTCCGCGGATGCAGTACCTGATACAATATTATACAGAGGTCATTTCGCCTGTGATCGTAGCCTTTGACGGGCCTTCCAACCCATATCGAACACAAATTCTGCGGCTCGCGGGAAGGAGTGAAACCCTCCAACACGCCATAGCCGCATTGGCAGCGAGTAACCTGAGGCAACGGCGGGAAACAGGGTTATCCACGGGTAAGACAGATCCTGCGAGGCGGTCATCCATGGCCCATCTCACGCTCACGAAAGAGGAGTGGAATGAGACGGGACTGTTGACTCCACAAGAGCAAGCACGTGAGGAATCCTTGCATAAAGGCATTGCCATCCAATCCCTCAACATGCAGCTTGCTAACCCTGTACAACGGATGGACGATTCGATTCTGGCCACTCTCCTTATCCTGTGTCTCTTCCACATTTGCGATTCAGGGGTTGCGAAGTTCCGCACCCAGTTCGCTGGTGTCAAGAAACTCCTTGCCTTACGCAAGAATGACCCAGGTCTGAACACGAGAGAGGCGAAATGGTTTACACGGATGTTTACGTGGTTTGATGCCATGACAGCCACGGTCAATGATCGTGAAGGACAACTTCAGGGCTATCACTTGGACGTATCCGCCCTCTCCGACGAGGAATGGGCATTGGAAAACCTGGCTGGCTGTGATGGGAACCTCTTCAAGATCATTGCTAAATTGGGCAGGCTGAATGTGTTAAGCCAAGGCAAGTCTGTCGAAGAAACTCCCGCTATCGTGTCTCGACCACTGCCCACGATGCCATCTGCACTGCATTTTGACTACAGCAAATTCGATGGCAATGGTTGGGTAAGAATGGCCGAGGACGAGGAACTGTTCTCCAGCAAAGTCACGGAGCCCGATGTGAAGACGCAGTTCTGGCGAGAATGGAGGGAAATTCGACAGGCTCTGTTGGCCTGGCAGCTGGACACCACCGTCTACGACTGCCCGAACCCTGGAGCGCCGTTTCTGACCGAGGAGCAGCGCGTTGACCTTAGCAATATATCTGAGTCATTCAGATACTCTGCACTGTTATATACGGAGCGATTAGCCCATCCACAAGCGCCCAGTACGGACTCGGCCATTCGCAGTTATGTGCAAGACTGTCTGAAGTACATCAAAGCCGTCAAGTCGGACGTCTACCTCCTCTGGCCGTTATTCATTACCGGCAGCGAGTGTGTGGATGACGTTGACCGTGAGGTGATTCGCCAACGATGTCTGGATATACAGAAGGACAGTGGGTTTCTCAATAACAAGAGCTGCTTGGAGCTTTTGGAAAAGGTGTGGCGCAACTATGACGACCAAAAGACCCAGAGCGAGCACGCGCATCCTAACGGAGATGCGGGTATTGAAAGTGGCTTTAGGTTTACGACTATTATGAGAATGGAGAACAACGAGGGCGAGTATATTGTCGTCTGACTGGCGCGAACAGGGTTTGGAAGAGCTGGAAACAACTCCAGACACGATTGGCTGTGAAACACACGGGAGAGAAGATCCAGGATCAGTCTGACGAAGCAACGACGGACAAATGGTTACTGTATAGTAGGAAAAGTTTTTGAAGGCCTTATTGAAGTTGTAAATCCATTTCCGGTACCAATGGTGGTCAATATGAAGTCGACAGTGAACTGATTTCAACCCACGAAACTGCGGTGAGTCGTAAACTTGTGGTATACAAGAAGTGGTTCTTCAGCCTGATGCCTAGAACCTGCAAGGCTGAGATTTCTAGTAGCCGATTGGCCGACATCCAGTAGTCTCGAAAGTTGAGGCGCATGCACAACTCTTCTCTCTATTAACACTTCTCATCTCACCCTTTCACTCCCCAGGTCGCAAATATGTCTAACCCTCCCTCTGGAACGTCGACGCCGCGCGCCTTCACTGTGCAGTCCGCCACTGCGGAAGACCTGCTGAAATCGCAAACCGTCGGCTTGGTGAACCTGGCGGACTTCCGCAAGAGGAGAGCCGATGTCTTGGAGTTGAAGGAGAAAGAAGCAAGAGAAGGGGCAGGCTCGAGGACGAGGACGCCCGAGAGTGACGGGTAAGTTGCTTAGTTTCTTTCGTTCCCACGATCGTCGTCTCCTGCCATGGTGGGCTTCCATCTCGATTACGGATTTATGCTTCTCCCAGTGCTGAGGGCGGGGCTAATTTGCAAAGTACAGTGCGGCGACGACACGAAAGACCGATCGAGACGGACCTCCGAATAAGAAGCTTAAGAAGAAAAAGGCTGCAGCAAAGGGCCTATTATCTTTTGGAGGCGACGAGGACGAGGATGCAGATGGCGGCAGCGCTGTCTCGACGCCTCCCGCGCAAAGTCTGAGAACATCGGCCGAACCGTCGCCTGAACCATCTGCCATTGCCCGCAAATTGACGCCCAACCCCAACTCGACCCTTCCTCCACCCCGAGCAATCACAAAAGCCGCCTTAGCCGCTGAGGCTGTAGAGCGAGAAAGGCTTAGGAAGGAATTCCTCGAGATTCAAGAGCGTGTAAAGGAGACGGAGATTGAGATCCCCTTTGTGTTCTACGAGGCTGGGGCGAACGTCCCAGGCGGGAGCGTGAAAGTGAAAAAGGGCGACCATGTATGGCTATTCTTGGAGAGATGTAGAAAGGTGGGTGCTGAACTTGGTGTCTCCGGTTCTGGCTCAGGATCTCGTGGTGGCCCGAGTGGTGCCACGCAGAAGAAGAGCAGGGAGGACTCGAGAAAACAATGGGCACGTGTGGGCGTGGATGACTTGATGCTCGTGAGAGGCGAAGTCATTATCCCACATCACTACGAATTCTACTATTTCATTGCGAACAAGATACCCGATCCAAGCAGGGAAGGGAAGTTGCTGTTCGAGTACTCTGGAACAGCAGAGATCAGGAAGACTAGCCCAATTGGACAGGACGTCGAAACCAGTGCTCTGTTACGGGTGCCGGGAAAGAAGCAAGAGGCGTTGGAAGGGCACAACGACGACCCGGCACTGACGAAGGTGGTGGATCGAAGGTGGTATGAGAGGAACAAGCACATCTATCCGGCGAGTATATGGAAAGAGTTCAAAGCTGGGAAGGACTTTGAGGAGATCACTAAGGGGGGGCGAAGGGATGCTCAGGGCAATGCTTTTTTCTTTGGCTGATATGGACCTGCTTCTGTGGGAGGGCGGTCGTTACCCCGTTGCCCAGATGATTGACGAACAATGCAACCAAGTCAATCCTTATTGATGAATCTCAAGGGTGGTGCTGTGCGAGCACATGAGGCAAGTGCGGGCAACGGTCATTCCCCTCGTCTATATATCTCGAACCAGATGTGGCATTGGCCGACCTTCCACCCACTCATGTGTTTACACACGGACACTGCAATCTTTCCTCTGCCCATCCTCAGCCAATGGTCATACTCTCTTCAAGTCAGAGCCATGGACCAGCCGCTGCTTTGCAACAACCAACTTGGGGGCAGTTGTCGGGCTCCTCTCACGGCGAATGCAATTGTCACAACCTGCTCGCACGTCTTCCCCGGTCATTGTATTCCCTACCGTTGATCTAACATGTCGCAGACACATCTTCTGCGTCCCTTGCGCCGAAAAGACGGGCCTAACAACGGCACCCCGGGAGCAGAACCGCTGTCCGGTCTGCAAAACCTATCTACCAAATCGCCACGACGTAGCCTCTAAGCCGGTAGATCCGCCCGAGGATTACAAGGCCAGCGTCCTCTGTGGCCTCGACCCTGCAACTATCATGGAGTGTGCTTATCGAGCGCTTTCTTTCTGGACGCATCAAAATGCTCAGGAACAGTACCGTTGAACGCTGCCTGCTGGTTGGCTCTTCTGATGAGAGTGATAGAATGTATCAACAGCGCAATTACAGAAGCCTAACGCAGAAGTACCATCAACTCAATGCAGAAGCTGAGAGGAACGTTCATGAAGCTAATGCTCGAATCCAAGCTTTGGAGTCGCAGAACAAGGGTACGTGGTACAAATCGAATGCGCTGAGAAGAGCCAGCTGACATCTGCGAAGCGATCGAGGCTGATCGACAGTCAATGGACGAAAAATATGCCCACCTCCTTGAACAGTATCGCAAAAAAAGCCAGAAACAAGCGCAGACCCAGAAACTTTATGATACTCTCAAGCGAAAAGTCATGCCGGGACAAGTCGAACAGCTCGCCGATAACGATGTGAGGCAGACGTTACATTCCCTGCCACAAACGGAGAGGATGCAGTCAATAGTAGAGCCGGAACAGACTTTTCGTCCACCAGAGCCTCTTCAGAGGGCGCAAAGGTCAATCCCTAGATATGCCCGAGTTCAAGACGGCCTAGAACAGCTTCACCCTCATCAGAGGTCCGGGAGCAGTGTCTGTGGCAGCGAACAAAGGGGCATGCTGCCGCCGGAGGGGCTGCGGATATCCTGGACTCGTACGTGGCCAAAAAAAAAAAAGAGAAGCACCGATCTGTTCGTGCTGACCTGTTGTTTTAGCAAAACTGGTGGCGACTTCAGGGACGCCCCTGCAACGAACAGCCTTCCCAGCTCAGCCTCGTCTGGGTATCAACCAATCCCCTATAACAGGAACAGTCTCACGTTCTCAGCTTCCAGATCGCCTCCACGTGCCAGGATCGTCTCGTCGCCAGCGAAATCACTCGAGCAAAGTCATGAACTCGGCCCAGAGCCAGAGGGCAGTTAGATCAGGCATGAAGTTCGGTCGAGCAGGAACGTCTGGATCAATAGATTTCGGCACAAGGTTCAATCCATATGGTGTGTCTGCTTTCACTTGGTGCACACTCAAAGACTGACACCACATAGAAGCAAACATCCACCCGCCGAGGCGCAGTTCAGATCAGGCAGGCTCGGCTGCGCCTTATTCAGCGGGTTATGCCTGATTTCATGCAAGGCGCAAGGTGGTCCGAGCGAGACATACAAGTCATGGAAAATCATCGCTCACAATGTAAAAGTTGTTGCCCTGTACACACAGTGGATGGTTTTCACTGTTGTATCTCATCTCCATCTCCGTTGCTCAATAGCAATTTCTCCTCGATCAGTCTTTCAGTGCCTGCGTCGGTCTCACGATTGCTCCATAGGACACATTCGCGCCAGTTCTGTCAATCACACCTTGCCGCATGTCCTCACCCATTGAAAGACTCCTTTGACTAGGAAATCTACAATTTCACAATCAACTCGGGGCTATCTGCATCCTCCTTGGACCATCATATCACGTCTGCAATCTCTCCACATCGTTTCAGTGTGGCGCCCGACAAGGCTCAGTCGAAATGAATGGCAAAACTTCTGATCGGCTGGCCTCATCTGAAGCCCGGACCACGGGTTTCGAGCCTGAAACATCCCAGAAACTAGAAGGGATTGGTCTTCGAGTCATCTTCAACAACTCTGTCTTGTTGTCATCGTTCGTCCGAAATTTCGATAGGAAGAACTCCTGCTGGGTGGTAGGACTTGCAGCGACCATTTCTGACGTCGAGCCATGGCCTGATTGGGATCCGCTCACTCAACCCTGGCCCTTCGACACGATGCCGTTCGGCGTCAAGGATCTGCGAGTCCGATGCCAGAATGAGCGACCAAAGATGCCACAGCTTGCGTCTTCAGGATCGTCTCAGCGGGGGTATACAGAATGTGAACCGGAAGAACTCAAAGATGCCAGAAGCTTAAAAAGGTGTGGTTTATCAGAACAAAATCAGACCATGCGACCAAAGCCAGGTCCAAACCTTGAAGCAGCGCCAAACGAAAGGCCTCTAGAATTTTTCGAATGTATTGGCCACATGCTGAAGGTTAGAGGGCTTCCCCTGGCCGATATTGGAGAATGACTTATGCGCTTGCAGGCGCTGATGGAGATCCACTGCCTCTCTAGTAACTCAGTAACCGCTGTATTACAGTCATTGCAAAACAGATCAACTTCTGAGCCAGTGCTGGCTGATTCGCACGGGAAACGCGGCTCTGGATTTGTGGTCTACTCGAGATGTGCTCTCGATATCTACGACCTACTCGACATCTCCCTGTGGGATCATGGACGATGGTTCTGCTCTGCCGAGAGTGCTCTCGGAATCCTTCAGCGGAGCTCTACAACTTCGAAGCAGCCGAGGGTATGCTGTCGATAGGAGAACATACGGAACATGAGCGAAAGGAATGGGTGCCTGGAACGTGATGGCTCCGAGACTCTGTCACCTGACAAAGGTTATCATCTCTGCAAGGAGTGTGCCACTGTGTTGGACGGGCTTATACGCTTGCGGAAGCGACTTAAGAAAGCTTCTCACATCTATCCGCAGAATGTGCCATCTCAAGTTCGAGAGGGAGGTGAATCTGGGAATTGGTATGGTCGCAACAATTGTCCCTGTGGAAAGGACTGACAACAGCTTGTTGGGAGCTGGTGCAGTTTATCTCAGGAAGAACGAGACAAGAAAATATACCGTCCCTGTGCGTTCTGCAAGATCATAACTGCGTACCCAGCCAACTGTCTCTGAATGGTAATGGTCGGTGCACTCGAGGAGAGAAGACCAATACTGGGCTAGGGGTAACACACTACCGAAAGCGAAGAGGGAAGAGCCACTGATCCGCTAGAAACCAGGCGTGCGGCAGGATACAGAGAGCAATCGAGCTCTTAAAGCTGGAATTCCGACAGACCACTTCCAGTGTGGTCTCATAGGTGGGAGAAACCAACCATTTGTGCTGGGCGAGATATCAGTACTGGCTCCCTCGAGCTCGAAGAGGATTTGAAGCTGGCGTGGTCTATCTGGGATGATTCGAGCTCTTGCACGAAAAGGCCGGCCGAGAGGTGAGGATGCAGAGCTTCTAAAGGCGGGCTACAAGTTACAGCCTTACACTACATTCATTACAATCAAAAGAGAAAGAGCTGTATATAAGAGGTATGCCCCGATAACAGGGTTGCAGAAGGAAACACTATTTCCTTATACTCAGATGCTGTTTGCTCCCTTTCTCTTCTCTCATCTGTCGTCTCGACGGGACATGGCACAACCCTGCTCTACGTTGTCCCTGCACCCGTCTTTGTGCCTTGCCCGCCATACCTCCGTGAGATTTGACTCTTGCGTGCTCATCTAGAGTTGATCGGATTTACTTGCATAAAGTGTCTGTCTGCCCCGGCGCCATTCTTACAGAATTTCGACTGGCACTGAATTAGACATACATAGGTAGGCACAGATTGAATAATTCCGTTGAGCCCTCAGTGCAGGAAGATATGGTATCTAGAGAGCTCCCATGTACCGTGACCTACATGGCTCGTCCTTTTCCCACCCCGCCAGGTACATGATAGTCTTCTGTTTCTGTAGCTTCTACTGAGGATCGGACTACTCACTTGCTTACTTAATTGCGAGCGAGACTCCAGACTCATCCTCATCCTCACACACACACACACAGGAGAGATCGAAGTTTACCTTCTTCGAGTCCCGTGGTCTAGGGCTGCCCTTCTGCCAGATTGATCGGCCCCTTCAACTTGTTTCGCGGATCGTACAGCTTCTTCAGCGCGAGGAGTTTCGGGAGGTGTTCGGCGAAGACCTAGCGGTGTACAGGAGACCCGGGGGAAAGACGAGTCAGTCACGTCTTCATTTTCATTTCCCAACCATTCAGATGATTCGAGGCATTGAGTGAGTGAACTGGGGGGGAGATCTATACTCACGCTCTTCAGGTCGTGGTACTCCTCCAGCCCATTCGGCGCGTATCGTACGGTCTCCAAGCCCCCGTGATGCAGAATCATGCCGGGAGCGTCGAGGCAGAGTTGACGCGCGGTTGCGAGTTCGTCTGTATCGTCAGAAGTTTCTTCTGAGGAGGCGTCACACCCCGCCGCGCAGATGATGGTGTTCTTCATCCCGCGTGGTCGTGGCCAGGATGATGAGCTCGAGGGCCCGCTCGAGGAGTCCCGCGTGCAGAGACACTCGAAGACGAGTTGCACGCTGTTGGCGATCGAGCCGCCGGCCGCGCCCACGCGGTCGAACCAGCTCACGGCGTTAAGGATGGTCTCCTCTGTGAGCGTCGGCACGGTCAGGGGTTGCCAAAATGTCTTGAACCGGCCTTTGAGCGAGGTGACTTGTTCTGGCAGTCCCAAGAACAGGGACACGGGGAATGTGTTAGTGAGTACTCCGTCCGTTTCTTCACTTTTGGGTATTGTGTTCCTTCAGGGCTCCCCCCGAGATGATGGAGCATGGAGAACAGACGGGCAGAAAACATACCGTGCATCTCGGAGACGCCGCGCAGGTTGGTGACTCGCGTCATGTCCACAGCTCCGGGGATCTCCAGCGCCCATTTGAATGCTTTCTCAGACCGGCCGTGCTCCAGGCCCAGGGCGTCGAAGGCTTGGACGATCAGCAGATCTTCCGTGGCGCCCATATGAGCCCCCTGTTCCTTCCTCACCATGTACAAGTCCATTGATACCTGGGGAGCCAGTGTCTCCGCGCGCTCGTTCATGGCCGCGATGCCCTGTACGACCAGAGCGAGCTCCCGGCGCGGGACGATGATAGGCCCGGCGTATATGTCCTGGGAACAGGGGTAGGCGCGGAGTTTGAACTTGGTGACCGTGCAGAAACTCGCCCCAGCACCGCGCAATGCCCACAATAGATCTCGTTCCTGCGACGCCCACAGGATCGTCCCGTCCAGCTTGACCACCTCGGCGTCGAGCATGTTGTCGGGGTCGGATGTGTTGCCGTACTGCCGGGCCAGCCACGAGAAGCCCCCGGAGAGGATGCTGCCCCCGATCCCCAAGGCCGGGGTTCGTGCAGCGACCACTGGATCTCAGTCAGTATATGCAGTCTCCATTTAGCAGAGAGCGTTTAGCGCTGGAGAATGATCTATCCATACCGTGATGATCTGGCGCCACCCTGTCCATCTTGTCGTAGTAATCCCGCCAGAGTTGTCCCGCGCCCAGCGTCACAATCTGCTTCTCGGCATCAAAATCGAACTCGTCGAAGCATTCCATACTGACGACCACGTCGCGGGCCGAGGCCGAGCCGTACCCAGAGCTGCGGACGGCCATGTCCAGGTCCGAGGTCGATAGGTACCGCAAGACCTCTGAGAGAGATTGCGTCGACCTCGGCCGGACGACGAGACGTGGATGAAAGTTCTTCTGTGCCGCCCAGGTTGATGTATGGGATTCGTACAGTGCCGCTGACGACGGCTCAATGATTTCGGCTGGGGAGAGCAGCGAGCGAAGGTGGTCCAGCTGCTCGAGGAGGAGGACAGAATCGGCCATTGTGGTTTGGGGATATTATATTATCTCTCTATCGCGAGGACAATGCCATATAGCAGAGAGGGGATGGTAAATGGAAGGAAGAAGTATCGACGAACTTATCTGAGAGTGAATCAAGCACCAGTCGCAGAAATGAACTTTTTGTGCTACTTTGCTCTATGTTCTGTGCTTGCTTACTTGCTTGCTTGTTTCTCCCATGAACCCTCCTCCATTTCTACGACCCGGCCGGGGGGCCCGAGTCCTGGGGAAGGAAGAAAGGGCCTGAAAAGGGACATCTGACGATCGGGGAACGTACGTACCTGAGTGAGCCCTGAGGTAGTGATTTGATTACAGGGGATTTAACTCTTCCCGGTAAGTCCGCCTCGTGATCCATTTTGGTCACTCAAGACAACATGACACATGCCTGTTGCAGACCTGTGGCTTCACCGATGATGAGGAAGTCCTTCCAAACCAAGCAAGGCCCGACCTGTGAGATGATTTCGGACGTAACAGGTTACGAGGTAGGGACCAGCCACAAGCTAGACGAGCCGCCCACATGTGGTCGAAACAGGCATCTTACATAGATTGAGAGAGGTATATCCTGGAGCACGACATGTCAGATGTTTTGTCTCCATGGGGATCGTCGTCGCACTCCGTTCCCCGGTATCCGAGACTATTCGCGGTACCATAATACCTCGTAACGTAGTGTCTTGGTTTGCACGCTGACAAATCGTATAAAATGGCCTGCCTGATCAGCTTAATAAACAGGACCGAGTACACCGACGGTTTGATTGGATGTGCGTATTGAATAAGCCCATTGACTGGGGGGTAGGGATGGCTTGTGCGCCGGCGGCCGTGTCCAGCGCATACTTAGAAACGAGGTAGCAAGTAGGGTATGTATTGTTGATGATTTGTTAAAAATTGTAATGAGATGTGGGCAGTTGAGTGTGTGGCACTGGCTTTAACCTGGTCGAGGAAGTACATACGTGCGCGAGGCTGGGGATATTCAGGAGAGTCGACCGGACAGACAGAAGAAACAGCAAACATAAGCAAGTACTCCAATGCATTCTTTTTGACATGAAGTAGATTTTTCCTTTTGGTTCCTACATGGATGATGACGATGATGATGATCGTAGCTCGACTCATACATTTATGGCGAGCCATGTAAAATCGAGCAACATCATCCACATGAGCTAGACGCTCCCTTCCCTGGTCCTCCCTCTACCGGCCGTCATAGCCTTTTATTTAGCCAGCTCGAGATGTCCTCACTGGACTCTGGTAAACCTCCATATCATTCGTTGCTCGTTCGAATCTCGCTCGCGCGTCGTAAGACTCGCCCTTAGGCGGTGGAGGCAAATCTGGTACCTTGCCATCGCAGTCTGATATCCTCTCGACTGTATCTGCACATAATAAAGCTGGAAGCGAGCAACATGGCAGGTCCGAGGCAGAAAGTTCAAGGTGTGATCAATAATGGACGGGCGAGTCCGGATGACGAAACTGTCTCTACCAATTTCTCCTCCCACCTTTTCCCCTTCCACGGCTCGCAAAGCCACCCCCGCCCTGATCGAAGCCGCTACCACCACCCCCGCCAGCTGCAAACGAAGCAGAAGGTCCCGTCGGAGGCTGTGGTGTTCCCATCATCGCCGCTCCTCCACCGGCCATAAACTGCATGAACTGCGCGGGGTCCATGGTCGTCGGATCCAGGCCTTGAGACGTCATGGCCGCGAACATTTGCTGCATTTGCGCGTCGTTGGGCATCGCCATTTGTGACAGGTCTGCGGCCGGCGCACCAGGAATGGCCGGCATTCCTGGCATGCCACCTCCGGGGATCCCTTCGACGAACGCTTTCATCTGTTCGGCTTGTTGCGTGATCTCCTTCACTTCTTTCGGCATCTGTTCCTGCTTGAGGCAGTAAGACGCCCACGTGAATTCGTCGAATCCGTAGTTGAAGTAGTCCGTTATATCCGCACCGGGCTTGCGCCAGGGTTTGGACGATTCCGAGGGAAAGTCAACATCGAAGTCTGTAGACATAATCGGCTTGCCTGTGGCTGGGTGGACTGGGTTGCCGTTCGGATCGAGTTTAGACGTGTGTCGGGCCGGGTAGTCGGTGCCAGGACGGTCGTGGGGAGGCTGTGATCCGTTCCTTGTATCTGCGGGCGTGCCTGGTTTCATGGCCGGAGTTGGTGTTGATGACGATTTCCGTAGATCTGCGCCAGTTTGTCCGAGTCCAGGGAGCCGCTTGGTCTGAGAACTCGGTGCTGAGCCTGGCTCTGGCTTCGGCTCATCTTTGGCGTCGATGATAAAGTCGACATCATCCTGCACACAGTCAGTCGGCCAGTCCCTTGCGATCTCCTTTTGCGGCGGTATTCCATACATCGTCGTCTTCTTCTTCCTCAACTTCCTCGCCCTCCTCTTCGGGGTCCTCAGCATCCTCCATCTTCACCTCACCCTGGTGTTTCTGGGTGTGCGACTCATCGTGCTCCGGGTAGATATCGTCTTCGTCAGAGTCCATCATCTTGTCGACCCGAACACAAGCTCACCGGTTGTGAGGGGGGATGGATGTTGTTGAAGGCTGGTATTTGGGGGACAAGCGCAGTATGTTTGCTATGTTTTCAGGGTTTGTTCAGTGGCTTGGAAAGTTTGCGGCGTTTCCTGTCCAATCATTATCGGAGCTCCGCCCGAGGAAAGTCTAACGAGCGGATGGTTCGAGAAAAAGTCCCCCGAAACCTCTGAAAAGTGATCATCTGTTTACCAACCTCTGTGAGAATCTCTACCTGCCTATACCATAGTCCATCCAGTTCCTTGCTGAATCTCTCAAAGCCAGTCAAGATGGTAAGTCACCTTCCCTTCAGGAGAAGCTTCCCGAGGCCCTGTCGCACTGCAATTGCTCGCGATTCACTTTTGATTGACACTTACTTCGCGCAGACGACCGCACTCAAGAGCATCCGATCCCTCGTCCCCCTTCTCGACCGCGTTCTCGTCCAGCGGGTCAAGGCCGAATCAAGAACAGCTGCCGGTATCTACCTCCCTGAAAGCAGCGTGAAGGAGTTGAATGAAGCCAAGGTGCTAGCCGTGGGACCCGGCGGATTTGACAAGGATGGAAAGAGGATGGCAATGAGCGTCCAAGAGGGCGACAAAGTTTTGATCCCTCAATATGGTGGAAGCCCGGTGAAAGTGGGAGAGGAGGAATACCATCTATTCCGGGATCACGAGTATGTCCAAGTTTCAAGGTTGGACCAAGAATAATCATATACTAACGGCGTGCAGGCTTCTCGCAAAGATCAACGAATAAACGCAGCTCCGATACTTTCCCATGTTCAGAGTTCGGCTCCTTAAGACAAGCCCAGATCGCCGTTCGACGAGCATTGAGAACACGGACTCATCTGTACACCATGTATCACCATCGCAGTACTCCTGCGTGTCAACACCAAGCTTGCGACCGTGCGGCATGGGGCAATGCTGAAGAAAACCTTTAATTCCAGCATGAGCGAATAGCGCCGGGAGTTTGTTGTGCATTTTTGCATATACCTTGTGTAGATTTGAAGGGGTACCAATATATCTGCCTTCTCCGCTCAATATACCAATTCCTCACGTAGCACCTCTGGTCCGTGACTTGGACCGGCTCTGCTCCCTGCTCGCCGCAGAAGCTCCACTGTTTCCGCCCGGCTTTGTCGTACTTGGAAGATCCCTGACCTCCAGTTCCCGCCCGATGACCTCTCTAAAATCTAGACCGGAATCCCCTAACATCTCCCTCTCATGCTGCCACACCACATCCATACATTCTCTCCATAGCTTCCCTTGCTTGTCGATTGCACTCAACTGCCTCACCAGCAGCGTGTTGAACGTCTCCAAATGTAAGTCGGCCCACTTGACACAAGCGCTGATGGTCAACGGCGAGAAAGCAGCTTGATATATAAGCACGGTGTTCTTGACAATGGTGAAGTAAACATATGAGATGGAGAACACATAGCGATGCAAATCACCCTCGAAAACGCATTGCCGGGCCCGTTTAATGAGTGTGTCACTCCGGGCGTTGAGATAGGCTTCTCTTGCGCGGTCCTCGAACCCGAGGCGGATGAGGTAGCTGACCTTGCGCTTCGTGGCTTCCATGAAAGACGGAGTCTCCACCAGCTCTCGACTGAGCACCGTGGCGAGCTTGCCGGCACGCTCATCAACCCTGACGCTGATCAGCTCTTGTGCGATCGAATTGCCCTTTAAGCTCTTGGCAATCTTGCGCAATTTTTCGACCTTTTCAACGGCTTCGTCGAAGCGTTGGAGGGAGATTTCGATGTCTAAGTCATCAATCTGTCCCTCGACCCAGCGAAAATTTTGCTGTCGGCCGTCAACTTCAACGAGGATATCTGGTTTCTCTTTGGAGGAGTTGAGGCTTTCGATGATTTCGGTGTTTTTGGCCGAGGCCGGATCGCGAGCAGCAAAGTAGTTCAGGCTTTCGCTCTGAAGTGGATTACTTTGCTCTTCTTGAGTTTTGGCAGCTTTGCGAACGTCCTCGGTGGCCTTTCTCAGCGCCATCAGAAGACCGTTCTTGGCCTTTTCGTCGCGTTTCTCGTGTCGGTAGGTAAGCGACCGTCCACCAGATCTGATAGTCAGTGCTGAGGCAATGGCCTTTTCCTCAGCTGGAGTCGTGGTCCCGCCATTCGCCACACTGGCCGCCATGTCGATGATTTCAATGTCCTGGAGCGGCCAGCATTCCTCAGCGACCAATTTGGTCGGGGCGGGACCTTGTTGAGGTGCGTTCGGGTCCACCCTCTTGCGCTTCTTAGAGGCAACAAGAAGATGGTCATTCAGAAGCACAATATGAACCGGCCGTTTTGGTTTCCAAGTGGCCGAGTCCAGCTCAATCCATGTACCCGTCTCTGCGACGATATGGCGGCCAGGCACAGCGGGCAAGAACTTTTGGGATTTCTCTATATTCTTCCACAGTGCTTGTAGTTGGATGTTCCACATGTGCTCCAAATTCGCGACCGACGTCCTGTTTGTATTTCTTCTAGACAGAGTGTTGCCATTGGGCTCAGGTGACAGAGGAGTGCTTGCGGAGCCTGCATTCCCCGTTCCCAGGGTGCCAGTCAGCTCGGACATGAGACCCTGTAGAATGGCCATCTCTGCCTTTAACTTCTCCGCCTCTTTGCTGATCTTGATAAACTGTGTCCTGTTCTGATAGACGCTCTGCTGCAGTTCTTGAGAGTTGCGTTCCTTGAGCCGCTGCAGATTGTTCTGATATTCTTGAATATCTTGTTCAGAGGCATTGGCGAGGAGGTCAGTGACATAGCGTTCATGTTGAAGGTTTGGATCTCGGAGGACGTCGTTCTCGACGACAAGTGGACGTGAGGTTGGTCCTGCTCCTGGCCGACGCGGGGAGGCGCCTCCTGAGCGACGCTTGAGGGTACCAGGACCCGGGAGGGCAGGAACAGCTGGAGTCCCGAGGTTGCTGAAGTCGGGGAGTTGATTATATCTTGTGGAGTATCGTCGTTTGACGAGGTCAGATGTCTCGGTAGGGGCATTGCGATCTCGCGGCACAGTGAGGGTGTTAGCGGACTTGTTCTGTGTAGGGAGTCCTGGTCTGCCTATGCCGGGGCCAGAGGCATTTTGAGGTGCACTGATGGTCGGACGATCCTTGCGCTTCTTCCGCAAGGTTAGACCTCTTGGATCCATCGCGGCGATATGACCAGCCGAATGGAGCAGAAGAGGCGTGGCAGAGGAGAGTGATTCAGAGCCTGTCACCGTCAACAAATCGTTCTTAGAGCTCAACCCGCGATCAGATGAACGTAGCGCAGATTACGAGGTATTGGTTTCGATGTGCTGTGGTTGGAAGACGGTAAGTAACACGAAGTTAGGCGTTGGCTGCGGCCTGCAGGCTGAGGTTGCAAAGGTAAATTGGCGCCGAGAGCTTCTCCCCACTACTTTCACCTTAGTAAGTCTCCTACTCCGTATTTCGTACCTCGCACCCCCAATAGGGTAACTCTTACACATCAGAACTCAGCCTTAGAAAGGGTTACGATTAAGCTTAATTAGTCTTGGTGAACTATAATTCACCATCGATTGTGTCTGCTCTTTTGCAAGCCGCTGGTTACTCGCCGATTGGGGCTTTACTCTGATCATAGTATACGGTGGACAAGGGAAACGACATAGGCGAATGTCATTTCTTTCATCTCTTGAGTGCCATCCTTATCATTCTCGGGACGCTCCTGGGCGATCCTCACCTCGAAATATCTCGCCACGCTTCGTGATTGATAACCACCCAGTTGAGACACCTCATACGTTCAAGACCAATCAGTCTACCCAGTATACTGCCTGTCTTATCTGCAACTCTTTGCGACCGCGGCCATGCCTTGTTTCGGACTCTGTCAGGTGACCAGGCTCAACGTTAGCTCAGCCTCACCAAATCAACCCGCCTCTCTCCGGCTGATGAGTCCCACTCGCGATTGGCTTTATCTGCACCTCGTGGACGGGCAGCATTGGGCTTCAGATACAGCAAGTCGACGCGTTCATCTGCAGGAGATGCACCATCGTTGCATCTGGGAGTGAGCTACGACGTGGCTGCTGCATGATCAACTCGGATGGACGGTACCTTCCGTATCGACGTTAGCGCCCCACCAGACCATATCTCGCAACTGCAAGCACCGACCCTGGTATCTGATACCACGCTCACGAGCCAGCCCCCAGTAAGATACGCGTTCTAGAAGGGCGATTTGCTCTGAGAACTGCATATGCCCAATCACTTCGGCAGCAATCTCGCCAAAGAAAGATCGGGGGGAGTGCTAGGAGGGTGGCTAAGTTTCTTGCCTTGACCAGATTCAGCGTCTTAAAATCCTCGCCCATTCGCCCGTCGCGAACGCCTATCTCGAGATCGCCAAATGTAGGTAGAGCTTGATGTGCTTATCAGCATACAAGCTTCCATGCTTGTCGGCCCTTTATCTTGCGCGGCCCAACCCTCTTGACTGTGCTTCTCTCCCTTCCACTCTTTCCCTTTGATTTTTACCTTGGAACAACACACCCCAAGTTCCAAGATGAGCGAACGACGAGAAAGTCTTACCTTTCAGGACCCTGAGAAACGGGCAAAGTCGGATGCCGAACCGGCCAGTTTGGCTGACCACTTACGTGGCCGCCAATTCAGTGTCGATGCCACCGATGTCGCCATTGTCGAGACCGACCAAGGCAAGCTACACCGGAATTTGCAAGGGAGACACATGCAGATGATCGCCATGTAAGTCTTCTTCGCTGCTTAGGCATTCTCCCATCATCGCTCCATTGACACTCTTCCTCCATCGACATTTCATTCGGTCTTTTTTATTTCAGTATTAGAACCGACACATGTATTGATTTTATCTCAGTGGCGGTGCTATTGGTGCAGGTCTCTTCATCTCAAGTGGTGGTGCCTTTCAAACTGGAGGTCCTGGCGCCGTGCTCATCGGCTTCATGATCATTGGTGAGTGCCAAACAATCCAAATCAAGTTGATTAGGCTAATCTTTCACCACAGGCTTCATGGTGTACGGCTCATTGAATCCTGCAGCACCATGAGATCATTCTAACGATGTGGCATAGATACCTCATGATGCAGGCACTTGCCGAATTGGCCGTCATGTACCCCATCAATGGAGCATTTACCATGTACATCTGCAGATTTATTGACCCTTCGTGGGGGTTTGCCTGTGGATGGCAATATGGCATTGGTTGGCTCACTGTGCTTCCTTTCGAAATTTCGGCAGCTTGCAATGTAAGAACGATTCCGCCGGGTTTTGATAGCAGCTGACTTTAAGCAAGATTATCCACTTCTGGACGAGTGTAGAGAACGTGAATGATTGTGCTTGGATCATCCCGTTACTTTTCGCTCTTACCGTCATCCAGTACTTCGGAGTCAAAGGCTACGGAGAGGTGAGTGTCTTGGTCTCGGCTATCAGGACTCGCTGCTGATATCTGGTTAGGTCGAGTTTGTTCTCAGCGCAATGAAAGTTACTGCCTGCATTGGATTTATCATCCTGGGAATTATCATCGACTGTGGCGGCGTGCCAACTGACCACCGAGGCTATATCGGCGCCAAATACTGGTATGATTTATTTTTCAGGAGCTTCCCACTCACATACTGATTGGCCTACCTCTTTCTTAGGCATCATCCATACAGCGCCTTTCTCAATGGCTTCCACGGGTTCTGTACCGTCTTTGTAACGGCATCCTTTGCTTTTGGCGGAACCGAACTTACTGGACTGGCCGCCGCCGAGGCCCAAAACCCGCGGAAAGAAATTCCCAAGGCTACGAGACAAGTCGTGTGGCGTATTTGCATCTTTTACCTCATCAATCTCTTCCTCATCGGTTTGATTGTCCCTGAAAACAGCCCGCTTTACAACGGCCCGGGAGCTGAAAGTCGACATTCGCCTTTTGTGATTGCTATCGAACTAGCAGGCATCAAAGCACTCCCTTCGATATTCAACGCCATGATTTTGATTTCAGTGATGAGCGTTGCCAACTCCTGCACTTTTGCCTCGACTCGAACTTTCCAGGCATTGGCTCAACACGGTAAGACATTCGAGATTTACGCCAATCAGTACACCGCTGATCACCTGCAACAGGTATGGGACCCAAGCTGTTCGCCTATGTCGACAAGAAGGGCCGTCCCCTTGTTGTCACCCTTCTGCAACTTCTTTTTGGATGTTTGGCCTTCCTCAACTTGGACAAGAACGGAGGTGGTAACGTCTTCAATTGGCTTCTGGCCTTGTCTGGTCTCTCCTCATTCTTTATTTTCGGCAGTATCGCCGTGGCTCACATCCGCTTCCGGGCTGCATGGTAAGTCGTTCTATATGGGCTCTCCTCAATCTGTTGTTCCAGCTTGCTAATTTGACATGCACAGGAAATATCAAGGCCACAGCGTGGACGAACTCCCCTTCAAAGCCGCGTTTGGTATCTGGGGCTCTTATGTTTGCGCCGTCCTGAATCTTGTTTGCTTGATCGCCCAGTTCTACGTCGCTCTTTACCCGGTTGGTGGGCCCTATCTCAACGCCACCATATTCTTCCAGGACTATCTTGCGGGCCCCTTCATCGCGGTCCTGTACGTGGGCTGGAAGGTCTGGTCGTGGTTCAAGGTCAAGGAGCATCGCCCGCTGTATGTCAAGATCAAGGATATCGACATTTACTCGGGAATGCGTGAGGGACAGGCTGAACTTATCAGTGGGCCGGGGGTCTCGGAACAACAACGCCGAGAAAGCATCGCTGAGTTGCAGGAGGAAAAGAAGAAGAAGGGAGTCATGGACTGGGTGAAGGCTATCGTGCACTCTATCTTCTAATCTGCTCTGATCTGAGGAGCAAGCAGGTCTCTGCGACCGCACGCCCCCACCATCGCCCGGGAGCTGCACCTCTTGAAAAGGAAAACCCCTCAAGTTGGGTTGCATGGAGGGATCGAGCTTTAGGGGCCTGCGATAACGGCGGGTCTTTTTGTCGGATGGGCCAGGCGAGACATGATCCTGGTCCAGAGACGGGAGCAACAAGAAGAAGAAAAGGCACAAAAAGAAAGCATTCAAGAATGTCATCAATCCCGCATGCATACTTTCAACTGTACACAGTATAATCATACCGTTTTAGGCTAGCTAGATAGCATAGCATACGCGATGCATTTATCGAATAGCGCTTGGATTGTGAAAGTAATACCTCATATTGGGTCGTGAATCAATCACTTGGCATACATGTTTCTCCCTCTCCCTCTCTCTCTCTCTCTCTCTAAAAGTCTGTTCAATTAGCCCTTACCTGCTCGGTCCTTCGACGTCCAAGAGTCTTCTGCCGTATGGGTTTCTCCCGGACACTTGTACTGGGGGTGACTCTTGCAAGCGATTTCGCAATTTCTGATAGAAAGCACGATCACGCGTTTTCGCGGAAGCCTCGGATGGAACATGGCCCGGGCAGCCCTCCTACTACACAAGGAGATCCAATGATGGATGATCATTTTTCATTTTTGGGGCAGGGGGAGAGAGGGGAGGGGGAGGGGGAGGGCCGTTCGTCCTCTCTGTAGTCATATGTACAAGGTATGTACTCGGTGAGCTAGCTAGCTAGCTACTACTGTACGCAGCTTCCCTGCTGCACGCGGCATCTTTCGCGCGTGGTCTCACAAAATCGCCACGCTCCAATGGCCCCCTTGCCCATCACGCAATTTCCTTCAGAACTTCCACGCCCCTGACCATCCCTGCGGTTGCTGCTGTTGCTGCGGCTGGGGCATAGTCCTCGTCTTCATAAAATCGACCAGGTCAAAGAAACTCTTCTTGTACTGGCGCTGCTGGGTGGTGCGGTTGACGGTCTGCAGGCCAAAGTGGGCGCCGTAGTCGCCGAACTCCCAGTTGTCGGCGAAGCTCCAGGCGAAGGCGCCGGCGACGTGGACGCCGTCGTCCCAGATGGACTTGAGCACCTCGGACATGTACGAGAGGTAGTAGACGGAGCGGGGCATGTCGAAGAGCTGGTCGCTCAGCGCGGCGGCGTCGGCCTCGTCAAAGACCGGGAACCCAAACTCGGTGATCACGATGGGCGTGTGGAACGTGTTATACAGATACGACAGGTACAGCCGCAGGTAGCGCGGCGTGATGTACACGTACGACTGCGACCGGTAGCCGATATCCCAGCCCATGGTCGTTAGGGTGCTCTGGTTCACACAATAGGGAAAGTACGTGCTGGACATGTTGGCGCAGCATTCGTGGATCGAGGCGGTCGAGTTGGCGACCGGGGGAGAGACCACGGTAGCCTTTTGGTAGAGACTGGTTAGTTTGTGACGTACAATATGAGCAGATTCGGACGGCGAGACGCTCAAAGGGAATTGAGTTGTTTCAACAAGAAGAAAGGAAAACTCACCGTGTAGGGATCAATGCCGAGAAAGTCGGCAGTCCCGTTGAGGTAGGCCAGATCCTGTGGAGTCAGGGGCACATAGTCCGGGACCGTCTCCTTGTAGCTCTCTGGATAGTCCTGTCCCAGAAAGATCGGGTTGCAAAACATGCCCAGTTGGAACGAGTTGAAATGGTCGGCGGCAAAGACGTCGTTGGGGTTGGCGGGATCGCGCGGCACGCCAAAGTTGTCGTTGAACTTGAGCGAGATCTTGCCAGTGCCGTTGATCGACTCCTTGTAGAAATGATACACCTGGGCGTGGGCCTTGAGCACGTGGTCCACGGACGCGCCGTTGAAGGAGTAGATGAACGGCTCGTTGAATGTGAACCAGATCGGGACCCGGTCGGCGTAGTGTGTCATAACAATCTTTGCGTAATTGACGTAGGCGTCGACGAACGTCTCGTTCTGGTACCCGCCGTTGGAATAGCCGATCACCGGCTTCGCCTGGGCCGCCGACATGTTGGCGGCAAAGAACTGTGCGGGCGTGTCGAAATGGAGAATAGTCACCACGGGGATCATGCCTTTCTCGAGCACATAATCGATCAGGTCGGAGTAGTGGTCGAGGCCCTGCTGGTTGACAGGAGTGCCGGGTAGGGCAAATGGCAGGATTCGACTCCACGCAAGGCTGAATGAATAGTACTTCACGCCTATCGAGGCCAGCCGTTCTATCTCTTGCTTGTAGTAGTAATAGTTCTCGTTGGTGACGTAGTCCTTGGGTCGATCATCCTGGATCAAAATATCCATGAGCGAAGGGGCTTTGCCTTCGTCGGCGGTGGCTCCTTCGATCTGAGCAGCCGACCCTGCAACTCCAAACTGAAAGTCGGCCGGGAAGTAATAGCAATCTGTCGGTCCGAAGTAGTCTGCTGGCGGCAGTACGAGCTCGCTTGTTGGGATGGGAGTGGGCGAGACGGTGGTGCTGAAGACTGACGTCTCGGTGAAATTGGGCGGCTTGGCAAACTTCCATAACGCGGTCCACGCAGCATTTCCATAGGGGTTGTCCGTGTCCGTGGCGGACGTCGTGGCATTGGGATCCCACTTGCCCCAAGTTGTGTACGACAACGACGAGAGGAGACTTGTCAACGAAGCAGCGGGTGCAGCATAGGTGGTGGTCGGGCCTGGCTGGACTGATGTGGCTGTGCGTACTGTCTCGGTCATGGAATAGGCGAAGGTAGAGTACGGCGAGTACGTGGGCTGTGAGTAGGATGGCGTGGCCGTGCATTGAGGTCTTGCTGAGGTGCCAGCCACCGGGATATAGACCTGTTGAGCTGAGGCTGAACCCAGCCCGATCAACAGCAGAGCTATCCAAGATGCCATATTGAAGGTGTAGGAGACTCAGGATCTGTTTCGCACAGTCTCGGATACATGGTGGATGTCAACGACATTTTTATCTGCCCAGTGAGCACGTTGCCGGTGTTGGAGATGGTGGTTGCTGGCGATCGCAATGAGTACAACGACCTCATTACCACACAAGTGTAACCTTCTCCGCATAGAGCATCGACGTCCGAACCGGATTTCTGTCGCCTCAGGACTGCTACGTCGTCATATCCTTGGACCGGATAAAGACAAAGTTCGAAGGCGGCCTCTACCCCGCGTGCCGACGGCTCTCGCTTGAAAACTCCCCATATAGCGAAGATTGTCGTGCATAGCCGAGAGATCGACACAGCTTTCTGCGCATAACAAACCCCCTGTGCTGGATGCTGGGAGAATGAATGCAGAGCATGTGACCCTGAGGTGGCTGAGATGGTGTCACCAGAGCCCGGCGCATTCGCACCTTGTTCTGCTGTTCTAGCGGTCGTTGAATGAAGTCTCGATATGGTTCCAGACTCTCTACAATTCGGTCAAATGATGGTCAAATGACATACAAATGACGCTTCGCAGAGCTTCTGGCTGGCTGGATCAGCATCAACACGGCGTCGCTGGTGGACAGATGATCTCGACAACTCCCCTTTCGACCTCCAATCTCCTCTTGAGTGTGCTGTGGCTGTCGTGACAAACCATCAGCTCCATTGACGTGGACGGGAATGATAGGATCATTGGGCTCCGCATTTCACGTACAGTGGCCCAATTGCTGCATCTATCTTCTCCTACAGCTTGACTCCAGGTGATCCATGGTTTCCAAGCTGAAAGACAGTGCTCCTCTGGCAGACGAGGGAAAAATAACGAGTGACTCTTGCTCTGCCATTCCAGTTCAATTCCATTCAAATCACCCATGAACGACACCTATCGACGCTGGATCCGCTATTGCGAGGACCATCCCACCACTCCAACCATCCCAGGGAATGCTCCAAAAGCGCAAGATCTGTGCCGCCGATGCCTCGGCCTGCGCAAAGCCATCAGCGACAGTCTCACTCGTCTGAAGAAAATCGAAAATGATTACAGGTCCGAAGGTACCAACTGGGAGGTGGCCGTCCTGGGCACGCCGGCGACTTGGAGTCCTACTCGTTGCAGTCTGTGTTATTTGTTCATGACTATCCACAACAACAAGCTGGCGGAGCACGATGCAAATACGCCCTACACCCTGCGTGCCTTCAAGGCCTACCGAGCGACTGGGCTGGCCGTCCTACCGTCATCTACTCTCGATACTCTGGATGAGGATTGCGCGTCGTCAGGCTTCATATCTCCCGCGGTTGCGAAAGCCAACAGTTCGGTGGGACCTCATTCTGTTGGGCTCGTGGGAGACTACGTCGACTTTGCCTTTGTCAGAAGCTGGATCGAGCGTGGTGGGATGACTAACAATAGAGACTGGAACGGATTATCTCTCAAGGACAATCCCCTGTTCAAGCTCATCGACTGTACGACTCGGCGCATTGTCAAGCCCCCGGAGGGATGTCCATTTGCCACATTGAGCTACGTCTGGGGGCGGTCAGACGAGTCTGTCCCGGACGGCGAGCAGCTGCCCCAACAGTTGCCGCGTGTGATCGAGGATGCTCTCACGGTCGCGAAACAGGTCGGCATCCCCTACCTGTGGGTCGACCGGTACTGCATCTCGCAGACCAACCTGGAGGAGAAGGCGGCGCAGATCAAGAAAATGGACCCCATCTACAGCAGCGCCTCCTTCACCATCTTCGCCGCGGCCGGAGACGGAGCGGACCACGGGCTCCCGGGCGTCTCGCGGAAGAGGAACGCCGACCGACAGCCTCGCGCACAAATCGACCACAAGCACCTCCTCACGTGGACCATGCCGGACGGGCCGGCACTGGTGCTAAAGTCACGATGGAACACACGCGCGTGGACATACCAGGAGATGATCTTCTCCGGGTCGCGCCTGATTTTCACCGACCTGCAGGTCTACATGGAGCAGCGATGGAACATGTTCCACGCCGAGGCCTGGGGAGAGTACCCGTTCAGCAACATCGGTCGCATCCACACGCACAGCACGCTGACTTCCCCCTTCAATGAGATCTACAAGCTCAACGACTACTCGCGGCGCCAGCTGTCCTTCCCCTCGGACGCCATCCACGCCATGCAGGGCCTGTTCAACGCCATGGCCTACGCCAAGGTGCTGTATCAATACATGGGTGCGTTGCTCCCGGCCACCATCGCGCGCGAGGACTCCCCGGCCGACGACGGCGCCCTGCAGTACGGCTTCCTCTGGTATCACGTCAAGACCTCCACCCGCCGGCCGGGCTTCCCCAGCTGGTCCTGGGCCGGCTGGGCCGGCGAGGTGGCGTACCTCGAGCTCAGCCGCGTGCAGCACTGGTACCACCCGAGCTTCACCGCAGAAAGCATGGACGCGTCGGTCGAGATGGCCGACGGCACGCTCGTCCCCTGGCAGGAATTCCGCCGCCTGATCGTTGCCGACCGCCTCCCCCCGCCGAGCAAGTTATCCAATTTTCTCCAGCTGGACGCGTACACGGTGCCGCTGCGTTTCGAGTGGCTCGACAGCCCGCCCCGACACTCCTGGGCCTATGCGCCCGACATGCCCCTGCGGCCAGGGTTCTACGTGCGCTGCCACGACTCCCACGCCATTTACGCCCCAGTCCAGCTCTGTGGGCCCGTCGATGCCTCCCGGATCACGGAGCTTTCGTCGTCGTCAGCCGCATGGGAGTGCCTGGTCCTCGGCCAGCTGGCGTACTACCGCTGGGTCGGGGACGATCACGACAACTACGACAAGCCGTTCGCGGACCTCTGCGTCGTGGTGATCCAGAAACAACAACACTTTGGTGGTGGTGGTGGTGCAGCTTCTGCCGCCGCCGAGCGCGCCGGGTTCGTCAACTTGGCCCACCGCGTCTGGGACGACGAGTGCGAGCGCATCAGACGGCAGACGCCCAGGGTCGAGTACCCCGAATTCCTCCGGCCGCTGGAGCTGAAGAAGACCAGGACGCGGATCAGGTTGGGCTAGTCTAGCGAGTTAGCTAGCTGGACAGCTGGATAGGTGTCTACAGAGCAGGCGAGTGAAGTCAGTGGAACTACAGTGAGGGAAGGACTGTGTCTTGGTGTAATAGCCTATGTATGCATGCGTCGTCCATATAATACATATGTCGTGCCTCTCGAACGAGAACTCCGAGAACAAAAACAAAACCCCAGAGAAACGAAGTCAGAACATCATAGCATATATGATTGAGTTGGGAGAGCCTGCTCTGCGCATCTCTATCTCTATCTATCGGTCCGAAGTTACCTTGCCTTGCCTTGCCCTTGCCCTTGACTAGAATCGATTTGACATTACTGCAGGATTCCGACCCATCCAGGTGACCACCAGGTCTTCTCTATCTATCTATCCACCCATCCATCCGTTCGATCAATCACTCAATCACTCAATAATCCCTCCACTCATGCTCGAACCCAATCCAGTCTCGAGCTGGTGACTTAGTTTGATCAGCGTCATGTGTGTGTGTGTGTGTGTGTGTGTGTGTGTTTATGTATGTTTGTCTTAATTCCTTTCCCCAAATCACCGACGAGATCAATCAATCAAGTCAACCAATCAACTCGTCCTCCGCTTCCGCTTCGCCCGGCACAAAAGAGATCTTTGCAGACTCGGTCCAGCAAGATGTTAAAACCCCATACCGCAGAAGCATGAGCGACGCCGGCCATAGCTAGTATGGTTAGGTAATAGTTAAAGCAATAGCAATAGCAATAGCAATAGCAATAGCGACGGTGATGATGATACAATGCACGCAATAAAAATTAGAAATAAAAAACCGCGCCTGATGAAAGGAGGAAACACATCAGAACTCCGGCGCCGTGATGAAGCGTTCCGTGGCCGGTCTCTCTGCCGTCCCCGTCGCGGCGGCGGCCTCTGCTTCTCTTGGGATTCCGGCGGACGAGGGCATGGCGGTGACTTCGCTCGGCTGCGTCGACGGCTTCTCTGACTCATGAACTTCGGCTTTCTTCTCGGTCGTGTACGACGGGCCTTTTTCCTGACTAGACCGGTCACTCTCGATGTCCGAGTCGTCCGTGGACGGGGTCGTGCGGCGGTCTTTCTCCGACGACGCACCGCCGCCGAGCACAGCAGGACTCTTCTCGTGGTTCCCGCTGGTGCCGTGTGGTTGTTGTCCCTGGCTTGCATTGCTCAGAGTCTTCACCAGCGCCTTACTCTTGTCGGCGTCCTTGCCCGCGTACTTCTTGCCCTTGGGCACACGGGCCAGCCAATAGATGGCGACGGCCGCGAAGACGTTGAAGGCGATGTACACAAACAAGATGCCGAAATCTCGCCATCTGTGCGCAAACGAGATGCTCACCAAGCTCAAAAAGGTGTTGGTGCTGTTGACCGTGCAGAACTGGCACTCTGTCGTGTTCGAGTTCAGGAGGTAGCCGCCCGCTTCCCTGATGAAAGGGTCGAGATACTGGCCACATGTTTGGCCGGCAGGCGTGGTGAGGTGGAGGTACTCGTTGGCGGCACAGGTAACTGGTGCGTCGGCGATTCCCGTGCTGAGAAGTCCTTCGACAAGATACGTAAAGGGGCTAGAAATCGGTGAGTCAGCTTCCGTTACAAGGCCAGAGGGAGGTCCGACACTCACCTCACTCGGTACATGAAGATCCAGAATCCGGGCATGGCCTTGGGACCGACCAAGACGCCGTTGAACAGAAGACAGAGCGAAAATAGGACGTTTGCGATGTTGGAGGCGGTCTCTGCTGTTGCAATCCCGGCAATCATCCTATGGGGTCGTTAGCATCGAAGTGTCCGTTTCTCATGGTAACGAAACCTCAGCAAGAGGTCGTGGCAGAGACTCACATATGTGCGAAGGTGCTGCTGAACAGGAGAAACTCCAGCACGAACAAGAATTGCGTGGCGCCACGAGAGGCCACAGAGTTGGTGTATGTCGCGTTTTGGTACAGCCCAATGGGATAATACCAGCAGAAGAACAAAATCACTGCTCCCAACGTTGCCCACGGAAGTTCGACGAGAATGTTCGACAGCATAAAGGCCTTCCATGAGTAGGACTTTGAAGGTCGCTCACGCACTTCATAGAGACTGCGCTGTGTGACGAAGAGAGGCATAATTTGTTGCACGAGCTGTGAGAACAGGACCAACAGCATGAAAATGCCAAAGAGCTGGTTTTGAAGCCCTTGTTGGGTATTCGGAGCCTTGAAGAGCGAGAAGCCGATAAACAGACCCTGGCGACACAGTCAGCTTCATGTAAATCAGAGTACAAGGATGATACGCACCGTGAGGCAGCATAGTAGAAGCTTGGAGTAGACATACTCCGGGGTTCGCCAATATTGCTCGAAAACCCGTTTCTGTGTTTCCCAGAATTGCACCGTGAACGGCGCGGCAAATTCGAAATAGTCTGCTTTGTTCGGCGAAGTTACAGCCACCATTTGAGATCGTTCGATTTTCATTTCTTCCAATTCTCGGTGCACCTCTTGATATTCGGGTGAATTGCGCCAGACTTGGAACCAATCGATATCGGAATGAGATCCGGGGGCTGCACCAATTGCCTCGAGCATATATTCGGCAGGATTAGCGCCTGGGGGACATTCATGAGCGCCGTTCCTTTGGAAATAGTCAATCAGGATATCAGAGTCCTTGCCAACTGGACCGAAGTACACTGTTTTGCCACCGGCCGCAAGGAACAGGAGTCGATCGAATCTTTGAAAGAGAATGGCGGACGGTTGGTGAATTGTGCATAGGATAGCTTGGCCAGCTTTGGTGAGCTTCTCGAGCAGATTCAAAATAGACCAGGAAGTCTGCGAATCCAGACCGGATGTCGGTTCGTCGAGGAAGAGAAGGAGTTGTGGTCGAGCGGCAAGTTCGACTCCGATCGTCAACCGCTTGCGCTGTTCCACATTGAGACCTGTGGCATCGCGAGTCAGAACTAGGGAGCCACAATAGACACCAATTGGGTCGAGGAGCACATACCTTCACCTGGTACGCCGACCACAGCGTCAGCATACTCCTGCATGTCCAGTAATTTGATCACCTCTTCGACGTAGTCAATCTTTTCCTGCCGAGGCGTGTCTCTCGGTTGTCGCAAGAGGGCGCTGAAACGTAATGCCTCGCGTACGGTACTGGTTTCAAGATGCAAGTCCTGCTGTTGCACGTAGCCTGTCTTTCTCTGGAAGGACTCATCCCGTTGTCTTCCATCGACCAGCATTTCGCCCGTGATAACACCCATGGTCACACGTGTTGCGAGACAGTCGAGCAAGGTGGTCTTGCCCGCACCTGAAACACCCTATCACAATATTAGCAAAATAAAATTTAGGAGGTCCTGAGGGCCATACCATTAGAGCTGTCATGGTTCCGGGCTTGACCCAACCATCAACATGATCGAGAATCCGACGTGGTTGGCCTTTGATCTTGATGTCGTAACAGACATCCTTCCACTGGAAGATGGCAGTCTGCTTCTGGATCACAGCGCTGACTTGTCGTGTCAATTGTTCGTCTTTCGTCTGTCTCCTTTCGAGCGCAACCAGGTTCGGATCGGAGCCACCCGATTCCATGTCAGAGGCCTGTTGTTTCAAGAATGCTGGTTTGTGGCCACGGCGGAAGAGAAGCACTTCACCCTTGGACTTCTTGGCGCTTACAGTCTCGGTCGCAACCAAGTACATAACGCAAAGTCCAATCATGAACACGAACAAGATGCCAATGTTCCGCCATTTGTGGCCCGCAAAGTATTTGTACGAGATGTTGATGTAATTGTCGCCATCGACAAAGGTTCGGCCAGCCACGGATCCAACAACAGTACAAATTTGAGACGTGGTCGAGCCGTTTCCAAACTGTGGCGCTGGAGGCACGAATGTCGAACACGGGTATTCACGATTGTGGAATTCATTCACCATCAGACTTTCAAACCCATATGCTGTCGGATTGACGTAGTTCATCCATCGAGCCCACCCATGCATGTAGTCCACAGGAATAACGAAACCTACCTTGGGAGTTAGCACCCAATCTTAGGGGAAGATTAGAGGGATGGCATATAACTCACCAGTGTACACAACAATGGCGATCATTAACACAGCAGTTGGAACCAAGGCTTCCACCAGAGATCTCGACACCGACGCAATGAAGCGGAACAACATGCTCATGGTGAAGGTCAAGATGTAGGAGGTGAACAAGAAGAAAAAGAAGGCACCAGGAGTCCGTCGAAGGTTTGTCATAAAGTAAAGAATCAAATTGAAGCCAATGGCGTTGAGAGTCTTTGAAGGAACGTCTGTGAGCATGGACGCGACGGCCTCGGCGGACGGGTGGTAAAGTGCGTATCGTTGGTGCTTTTCAACAATCGGGCGCTGTGCGTAGAGTGTGAGAATCTCCAGAGCGCTGCCAAAGGCGTTGAGCAATACCGCGAAAAAGATGAGTGAGCTTCTAGACCGGAGTGAGTCGGTGTCCGCCGGCAGGTTATAAAACAAGGAAGAAACCACGAGAGCATTGATACAGTTGGCGAAAAGCTGAGTGAGGGTAATGGCAGGATCATCCATGAGTCGCTTGAAACCCCGCCACAAGCACAATCTGATTTGACCTGCATACGACAAGGTGTATGGCGAAGACTTCCGTTGGGCTTTTGACTGTTGGATCCGACGGGACTGTTGGAAGGCTTGGAGGTTGGGTCCCCCAATGGGATTAGCCTTTTCGAAGGCATCGAGTTCCTGCAACATCTTCTGTCGTGCTTCGCTCTGTTGCCACCGTTCAGCAAAGTCGTCTGGCGTGCGCGGTACTCGCGATTCGTATCCCTTCTTGACAAGGCGTTCAATCGGGTTGGTCATAGAGGTAAGAAAATCAGGGACCGTTTGGCGCTTGGCGCATTCGAAGCCCATATCCTCAAAGTATTTCTGAGCTTCGGTCGTGCGACCGAAAAAAATCTGACGCCCTTGATAGAGAACCAGAACCTTGTCGAAATAGTCATAGGCACTTTGTGGCGACTGGTAGATAGCTACAGCCGCGGTCGTTTCATTCAAGTCTGTCGAGGTCCGAAGCGTTTTGCAGAACTCGATGGCGTTGGCTGAATCAAGACCTCGCGTGCTGTTATCCCAACACTGGAGAGGGGCGTTGCTCAATGTTGCTTCCGCAATGGACACTCTCTTTCTTTCACCACCACTGACGCCTCTGACGAAGTCATTGCCGACCTTCGTATTAATGGTGTGTCTGATACCGAAGACGGCCATAACCACGTCCCGTATGTGAGCTGCGTACATCGCCTTGGTGACGCCCGGGGGCAGCTTCATGTTCTGCGGCGTGCGAGCTCGGGCCGCGAAGAGCAAAGTGTCGCCGACGGTTAGCATGGGGAAATGCACATCCTGCTCTGCGGTGTAGATAGCTTCGCCTTTAAAGTTATTGTGCATTGTCTTGTAGCTAATGCCCTGATAGTTGATGTAAGAATCTTCACTGAGGTTGAAACCATGAGTCTCGCCAGTAATCGTCTTGAGGAAGGTGGAACAACCGGAGCCAGGAGGGCCGAGGACGACGAGCATTTCGCCCGGCTGCACCACCCCTTCGAAATTTCGCAGAATGTCCACGCGTTGACCCTTGTGGCCGAAGAGGCCTCGTGCCATGTCCACCAGAGCCAGAGGATAATTGTCGACCGTCTTCTGAAAGTCACTGCCCTTGGTGTAGCCGAAGGCTGAGAGATTGCGAAAGGCAAACCCGGCAGTTCGACCGACATTTTGGCCGGACTGCTTCTGAAGCTTCAGCATGGCCTTTGTCCAGGCCCTGCCATTGAAGTTGTCCGAGTTGGGATCAATCTCGGTGCCGACGCTCGCTTCATCAAAGGGATGGTAGTTAGGCTCTGCGGTGGTCGAGACGCGGGAATATTGACGAGCAAGGTGCTGGATTTCCCGGTTGACATTCTGGCTCTCGTCGACGACGACCCCACCGCCCGAAGACATGGTTCGATCCAGATAAGGGAAGTCCGTGGCCTGGTTGTCAGGAGAGGCACCGGACATACGACGGCTCCGGTCGTAGTTTGTGGTGATGTTGCCCACGAGAGGAGTGGTCATGTTTGATCAGAGCGTCTCAAGGCATGGGCAATAACAGCAATCGTGGGCGCTGTTTGAGGGGAAGAGACTGACAAAGTTTACGAAGCTGGGGCTGGCAGTGTGTGGTGGCGCCAGACAACAGAAATACCAATGCTCATATAACCCCCACAATCCGGCAGAAGAGACCCAAGAAACCGGTGAGACTATTAGGGAACGACAAAGAATATGGAAGAAGGATGCAAGAGAGAATAATGCAAAGCGGTCTCACGAAGGAAGAATGATGTTGTCGTTGTCGTTGGCGGTTGTTTTTTTTCCCTGTCCCGCTGTCGGATTTCGGTCGCAAACGCGGGAACAGGGGACAAGAGGTTGCCAATGCATTAAACGAAACAAGTGACGACAAAAGGCGAATGCGTTAACACGCACACTCCCATACAGGGTTTAGTTTCCGAGGGGCAGCTTGTGTTCTGCAATCTCGACGAGGCAGCTCTCATAGTTGGCTATTGGGCTATCCGTCTGAAGCACCCAACTTTTCCCGAATTGAGGCAAAGCGCAGCACCAGCCGGGCATGGTATACGTGAATACGAAGCCTAAGCCCGCTTTGGCGATGCCGACCCGCGGGTCCGTGGACGCCATCCTACGATTAAGGGGGCCACTGGGGGCACCGTGGTTGGCTGCTGGGCGGGATTAGCGCCTCGTCTGTTGGCTTGTTCCAGGCAGTCCAGGCACCAGCACGCCTTGTTGGGGGGAGGCCCCGCTCCATCCAAGATGCACGGAAGGAGCCATCCCACACCCGGTTCGCCTCAAGGAATAGGGGTTCCTTGTGCATCGCAACTTGTTCCGGTGCCGAAGTTATTCGCTCATTATTTGCATAAGTCCCGTTCGGGAAAGTACAAGCCACGTGAGCTCGTATATTTCTCGAATTTCTTTCCGAGCTGTGCACCTTCTGCGGACACGGACCCCGCGGACACTCACATATAGTCGGGAGAGTGTGTAGTACCGGTTGCACCATTGTCGTTCAGCCTTCTCAATGGTGCTGCCTTGTCCTTCCTCCATCGACACAAGGCTGACCAGTCTCACAGTATTGTGTGATGCAAGTTACCGCTGGAATTCAGCCCTGAGATCGCTGCGGCTCCCAAGATACACCCTGTTGTATTCTTCTTCCTGCAGTCGTCCAGCTCTTCCGCTATACTTGGTAATAGTTATCGTCTAAGCCCGCAACTAAGCGTGCGGCTGTGATGGGCTCACCGACCAGGCGATGGAAGGGGCCGATCGTTATCTGACTCTTCCTTCAGACGATTCCGCCTCAGTCGAGGGATCTGCTATTGTCCATTTTTGGTAATCTGCTCACGCTTGCCGTTGTTCATTCTCATGTCCTCGCTACTAATCTTGAAATCTATATACGCTCCTCACATTTTTGATTCCCTGCTTCTGGGACAGTGGGAATGTGGCAAGAGATCCCCCGTGCTTCCCCTAATCGCCAGCATCCGTGATTTCAAGAGGTCTTGCCACTCTGCTTACGCCACAATCCATTGAACCACTTCGGGTTTACTAGAAATCAGCTTTGACGAATCATCGAGTTCCTGAGCGGAATATGGCTCATGTCGATGGAGACTGGCTATTCAGACACCCGATGCCAAGATCTGCCTGTGACGGATCCTGCGATAATACGAGTAGTGGGAGAGGCTGAAAGATTGACCCAGTGGTTAGGGGACTGGCAATCCCTGCTGTTTCTAGTTCTTCGGTAGGCCTCATAGCAGACAATTTCCTCAACTGGATCGTTGGAGAGTAATAATTGTGGTCGAGCATACCAGCGGATCCCGATTGTGCAATCTGCAAAACGCTGTGCTCACTGACACTGAAGATCTCCTCTACTCCTCTCTGCTTAGCAGTGTGTTCAAACAGGTCGCTGCCATTCTGTTTCGTGCCTGTTTGGGTCCATCGCAGATACAACGTACCCAAATCTGGTTCGTAGAAGACAATCAGAATCAGGCTGTGCGCCACGGCCCGCAGTTTCTGTTCCTTACCATGCTCCCCCCTGTTTATGGTCGGATACAGTGCAATCACCTTCCTGATAAAGGAAGGATAGGCAAGACCGTTCCTCGCTGGCGGCTATCAACCTGCATTTAGGCGCTCGTGTTGCGAGTCTTCTTGCGAACGCGGGTGAGGAAGACTGTGAACCATGGTACTGCCCGGCAGGCAATACACGCCTTGGTCCCTGCTATGATCATCAACTTGTTTCCCATTTGCATCGCAGCAAGAGGGATTGAATCCATGATCACTCTCGACCCATTGCCTAGCCTGTCCGAGTTCATGCAAGTTCACGTTCGGCCCAAAAACTTCTATACTCACTCCTGACATCAATTTCAAGCCGGAATTTCAAGACGCAGACAGAGATGCAAGCAGCACGGATGAAATTGTCATCGCTTAAAACAAGCCCAATTGCTTCCGCCTCGTTCATCGAGGTCATTCTGCTCTGTGTTCGTCGAGAGTGGAGGCTCGCGTCGTGCTATTCACCACACGTCTGTCCACGGATCGCAACAGTTCCGGGGCTAGTCTCACAGAACCCGCGTTGAATCCTGCATGAAGTCCTCCGTATTGGGGGGGCAAGAACCTGGCACCATACAGGCCTGGAAAGGGGATTTGCATATTCCATTCGTTTACTGGGGAGCGAAGGGGCCCTGGGAGTCCGGGGTACGCCGTGGCGCTATCGAAAGATGATCTTTGGAGAGTGTGTTTGATTCAGCATCGTGTATCCATGTACGCAGAACCAGACGGCTTTGCTGACTTCTTGCTCCGGAACAGCAGGGCCGCAACGCTGGTGTTCGGGCGACTATCGCAACAATATAGTGTGGTCTGGAGGTATTTGGCTATTATTGTATTCGTCGTGGACATCCCTACCGAGAGGGAGGTTGTGGGTTGCTGGATAGTTGTGCAATCATCTACCCGAAAAGAATGCGTTGAAAACAACCATGCCGGATGGAATTTATTGACTGAGAATGGCTTTGGCTCTCTGCAGCTAGCTTGCGTGATTCAATACCTGTCTCGTTTTCTCTGAAATGGGGAGTTTGCCATACAGAGACGAGAATCTAACTCGGGCACCGGGTCATGGTGTGAGATTTTCGTTCCTTAGGCCCTGAAGCTTAGGTATCAGAGTCGATCTCGAGCAGCGACCGACCCCGTTGCCATCGACAAGACCGACGTGATCTTGTACCTGGTGTCCACGGACTGTTAAGATGCAGCGTTCTCTTCACAAATGTCGATTCTTGGCAAAGGCGCAACAATAGACCTGCTCTAGCCGATGGGAGTCCGCGGCAAGCGAACAAGAGCAAATGGGCATTGGACGCGCCCTCGATCAGTCCATACTGCCCTCACATAGAGGACCGGTTGCATTACCTACCTGCATCCATAAGTAGACGAGAGTGTTGTGCCCAAAACCTTGTGTTCTTAATCTCCATATGGCTTCTCCCATCTGCCCTGGGCAGGCTTGAAGAAGCCATAAATGGAGAGAAAGATGAGATGACAAGCGGAGACCAGTGTAAGAAGATGCTTTAAAAGCAGCGCTCTCACATCGAGCCTCCCGCTGCTCTAGCTTGCAGAAAGAATGACTCGTGCATTTTTCAAAAGCAGCAGGATAGCCAAAGCCCCGAAGATGAGCGTAAGTCGCTCGTCAGACCAATGAGATTCTCGATGAATTTAGTTGCGGATGTCGGAAGACGGGTCTACACAATCCCTTATTGATAGAAGCTCGTCAAGAAATAGACGCGCGTGCGCTGGACTCTGGATAGAAGGGGGAAAACAACCATATGGGAATACATGCTCATGCTCAGGTCTGTGACATCGGCGTTAGCGAAGGCCTACTTACTGTAGTGGAAGAAATCAACCGGGATGCCGGGAGACAGGGTCTATAGAATAAATACTTGGAGAGATGTTTGTTAGATCGCAATATTACACCAGGTTCACCGCATCTAACTAGGCCTCGACTCACGGCCATATGAACATACTACATTCCCAAGGGTCCCGACTCAGGATCGGTCAGAACGAACCGCTCACAATATCCTCAGCAAGCCAAATGGCGTAAATGGCGTTCGAGGAAGATGCTTCGAGGACGCTATATCCATTCATCCACACCGTTCACCATCACAACAAGACAGATCATCCGAAGAAGGCGTGTAAGACGAATGAGTCTCTCTCTAGCCGATTCCAAAACGCATCAAGTTGGGTATTCATTCATCCTTGAATTCACCGCCACAAGCCTAGATGTGTTTATAAACTGGGGATGAACCTCTCTCGAGGCCATGAAGCTCATCTCAAGGGGAGCGAGAGTGCCTGACTGGAGAGTGTGTGACTTCTTTTCTTGCTTTGTCGGCCTCAGTTGGAGAACGGTCTGCTTCCAGCTTACCTACCTTTATGCCAGATCTTGTGAGGACTTTCAGGTTGCATACTTATGTCGACGACATCTTCCGGCAAGAGCGTGTCCGTGAGTTAGTATCCAAGCGACGACAAAAATGGTTCCACTGAGATGTGGTCAAGGATCCAGAAGCCCAAGGGAATATTGGGAGAATGCCATAACAGTGTGCCTTACGGAAAGAGCACGTGAGCATGAATACTTCAGCATTCGTTCGAGAGGTTCGCCGGGCTCAAGAGTCCCGATCTGTGGGAAGTAAGAAGAGCAGGTCCCAACATGCCGCATGCAACCACAAATTGACCTAGTCATCGCACATTCCAGGCAGACTGGCTGTTGGAGCCCCCGCAAGAGATTGGCGCAGCAAGTCGCACTGATTTGGTGACCTGGTTGCCGCAAACGTCTGTCCACACTGCTTGCCCATGCTGGCTAGGCAAGGCTGGCCAGTGTCTCGATCCTTGGTCGCGTGGCTAGCATTCCACATCTGCGGACAAAGAAGCACGAGCAGCCTACCTTGTGAGCCATGCATTTTTCCAATCCACAATGAATGGAGTCTGGGCTCTTAGGACTTGTCGAGGGTTCGAATGCCTGGACCAAAGTGGACAAAGGCCAAGGTCTGCCATTGGCCTTGTTAGCACCAGCAACACGTGAGAATAAAATGATCGTCGTCAAAGAGCCAAGTATTCCTTCGTTAGGCCTCACTTTGAAAGCGATTCTAGGCTGCGGGCTGTGCGCCGTGGGGTTGCACACGGTCGAATTGACTCGGTTGAGGCCTCCTCGGATGGCCCGGGCACCCAGTGCATTCCAGACCAGCGTCAAGTACATCTCTGAGAGATGATCCCCATTTATTCTGCTTGGTAACCTTGCCGATCTTCACGCTGGTCGTCCAAGCGATGAGTGCCCCGTGCGACCTTCGGCCGATATTCGCGATGTCTTTGTTTTGTCTATCTCACGGGCTATTTTGTGAACGAGAGTCATAGGTTTGTCTATCGGAATAGGGTGAGCAACCATATCGGAAGCAGACCCAAAGTCTCCGGGGACATACACCCGATACGAGCCCACCATCGATGAGGGATTGTGAGATGGCATAGAACTGTTCCGTTGCGGAGAATGGTTCCCCAACCTTTTCCGGGAAAAACGTGCTGCCCGCGGTTCAAGGTTGCGGGGGCCGCAAGCTCGATCAACGTGGTGAGAAGCGGGGAGCCGCGCATTCCCTTGGCACATCGATCTCGCAGAGCGCCTCCGCATCTCAAGAGAATAAGCCGGAGAGATGAATAGGCGCGCAAAAGGGAAGGGTGAGACCTCGCTACGCACGAAAGTAAGGAGTAAGCTCCGTAGAGGCACCATATTGAGTTGCGGACAGTGGCCGACCGAGACGTTTTCTGGCTGGGACAAGTGTAGACGAACAGGGCCAATATTACTATTGATGATCGTTTCGCCTCACACTGATGTCGAGACAGGCCGATGATGCCCGAGCTGACAGTTGTCCATTCCTGCTTGCTGCAAGTCAGGGTCGTATACCCGTCACATGCTGGCAGCTGCCGCGCCTGCAAACGAGGCTCAGCTCGTGCCAGTGTCAGCTGCACTGCTGCAGGGCTGTAGCGGCAGTGTTATGTTGGGCATGTTATGAGATGGGCTGGCAGACCCTGCATATCTGACACACATGGCTGCATGCCCACCATGTGCCACACAACTGCTATCTTGAGAGCCAAAGGGTGACACAGGGCAGGGATGACGATCAACACCTGTTCGTCGGTGCCGGGCCGCGATGCGAACAGGCTGACCATCAACCAAGGGTCTTTTGACAACCGGTCGGATGAATTGCGACGCAGTCATGTCGAGTAACGGGCAAAAAGGTATTTCTCCATTGGCTCGTCTTTTATTTTACCTTTTCGAGCTCACCTCGTATTTTGTCTGGCTTGTGTTGCGCGCCCAGGATGGAAGCTCGCCATCGGTTCAGCGGCACAAGATCTGCACAGCTGTGTACGGCCGATCAAACGGTGTTCGATTCTCGCATCAAGTCAAATATATTATTGGGTATTGAGCTTGTCAGCGGGGATTGATCGTCTGGTCAACGCCGACAACGGACCGTGCTGTTGGTAAACCGCAGCAAGGAGGGCTAGACCCTGGCGTTGAAGAATGCCGTTGGAATTTCGGCAACCTCGGTCTGAAGCAACGAACAGTGCTCGTAGGCAGTTGGACCGGTTTGCGGGAACTTCCATCGTGCCCATGAAAATTCGAGAGCAAAACTTTGTCGGAATGAAGAAAATTCGGACAGCCTTTCACCTCGGGAGGACTCAAGCAGCTTATAGCGGATGCTCATTGGATGACAAGCGAAATTCGATGTTGAGCAAGCAATCCATCCCCCTCCCGGCGAGCTGGGTATGATGGATCCCATGGACGACGCCCGGTGGAGTCCATCTGACTCGGATTTGAGGCGGGTCTGATGGGGGAATACCTGGTGGCATCCTGGGCCCTTTAGTACCGCCGGCTTATGGGTCTTTTGGTTGCTTTAGAGCATGGGGATTTTACCCAGGGGGCTGAATGGAGCCCGTTCTCTAGTCAGTTGGAAAAATGGGATCGCTGCTTGCGCCGTTGATCCACCATCTGGTTCCCCGTCGTTGCAGTTGAGTGGCAGTGACTTTGGGACAAGTTTCCAAATCCTTCTGGAAGATTGGCCTTTGCCACTGGATGGTGTCCTTGAAGAACGGCCCTGGTACGTACCCATCACGGAGGCGGTCCAAGAGCAGGAGTATATCAAAGTTCACATCCGATGTGGACTTGCTGAAGTTACAGTCAAGAGGAACTGGAGCCCCCGAGAGCAGGAGGCAAAGGAACGAGAAAAACAAAAGGCAATTTGTGGCATGTGGTTCGGGGGTTTACCGAGGTACCTCCGGATGCGGTGAGGTACCTCCCCAGCAAAATTTTGGTGGGAAGGTACTTGGGGCCAGTCTCGGGGAACCTCAACGCTCCCCAATAGTCTGAATCACGCAAAACTCTGCCGATCTGCAGGTGCGGAGGAAGAGACCCTAGACTCCGTCCTCCTTCCTTGGGACTTGTGCAGCAGATACCCTTTGATACTGGTAAATTGCGTGTAAACTTCCGGGTCCTTGATAGTTGCTAGAGTAGGTAATGCAAAGCCCCCCAGAGTTCCACAGCATTTACGACGTCGACGAAGCCGAATGAGGCGCGGCAAGGCAACGTACGAGGCGAAGACAGCACGGCATTTGGTCGGTTCCGTCTCTGCCACTTTTTCTTCACGCCAGGCACCGACATGGACACCAGGCAGTGACAATTTCGAATGTGTCCTGCCTTTGAAACCCCCAAACGGGTCGACAATTCCTGAGGCACCCAACCCCGAGGCTTCGGGGTTACAACGCCCCGGCAACTTTCGTCGTCTTGCCCACGAGCAGAGCAAACTAGCTAGGCCTGTCTTGCGTATACCCCCGAGAAGGGGTCTCTTTATTTAAACGCCCAGTTTCATTTTCTGGCGCCCGGAAACCACCGACTAGGGAGTGTTGCGGGCACCGGTGAGTGGCTGTCTTTAAGCTTTTGTTTTTGTGCGGTTCACGAGTTGGGCAGCAATGTCTGGTTGCACCCCAAAGTTGGAGAAGCCCTCTTCCTGAGTCCTGACTCATATCCTGTTGATGTGTTGGCCATGGTCATCTGCCGAGTGATGCCACGGCATTGGTTGGGTGGGAGAAGAGCAACGATCCCAACGTGTCTCGTAAAGCAAGGAATAATAACAAACCAACAAACAGAAAACAAGGCAAGTGTTTGACCATGGCGGCGTGGGATGAAGCAAACAACACCATGCGTCAATGACGTGAACTTGTTGGTGTACTCGTATACCATAGGCACACACACTCCGGGGAGAATAATCATGCCTGACTCAGGCTCTCCCAGAGCGACCACTCTTACCAACCGGGTTGGAATAAATAACCGGTTCGAACAGCAAGGCGAGATTAGGCGACGGCTCAACTACGCTGTTCAGTCTTGGCCTTTTGTCTGTAATACTTGTCGAGTTCCTTCCCCATCCGGCAAATCCAAAGCTTGGGGGCTGGCCAGGGTCGATGCCAGCTGAAGTAATCGCTTCCGGCGAATGCCAGCAAACAAGTTGTAACTTGAGTGGTGGTGGTTTTGCGATGGCTAATGCCCTCTTACTCAGAGTCTAGGAGAGATTACAGACCGGTGGTGGTGGTGGTGATGATGATGATGATGATGATGATGATGATGATGGTAATGATAATAATAAAACATGAATGAGACAGACATGGTTGTTGGTTGTTCACGGGGCTAATTTTGGGGGTTGGCGTGGTGTTCCAAGTGATGAGTATACACAGTGCTTGCGCCTTGTATCACCCGGGCGTAGTACGGAGCACATAGCCTTTGCAGCCACAAAGATGACCCGATCCCTGTTCGCAGCAGTCATCGGATGTCCGAATGCGGCGTTATACTACCAACTATACCTACCTGCTACCACAACATGAATACTCCGGCATGTGTGCCTGAGTCATCTAACCTGTGGTGACCCGTCCCTGGCTATGATTATGGTGCGTGCTTCATTATGGCTAAATCGGGAACATGGTCGTAGTGAGGTTGAGTCCAATTCCGTCTGACAGTAACGAGGGCGAGTCTCCCTCTCCTCCTTACGAAGGTGCCCATCACCCATCACTATCACGGTCTTGCCCGTTGTCGCAAATTGCCTTCCTGAATTAGTATCTTTGTGCGGTGATAGGCGGGACCAGGCTGGTTTTACCCGAACGAATCTCGACCGGGCTTTGCATTTGTCGCGTGGTACTGGCCCGAGGTGCCTTTTTAGCCGGGGGCAGCTGTGACCCCTTTGACCTCTTTGTTGGCGAGTCAGACATGGTCCCAGCGGGCGTGGGGTAGCTTAGACAGCAGCCTAGAAGCCTGAAAGTCCACCTCTCGAGGGGACTCTAGGGTGCTCTAGGGGCTCTCCGGGGCTCTAGGGATTTCATCGGGACAGATCGAGGCTCCTCTAGGCGTTGCCGCACAGACCTGCCCAACCCTTGTAACCCCCGCCCGGCTACCAACCCGTGTAGGCTGCTAGGCTCCCAGGCTCCATCTCCCTCAGCTCCGTGGTTCAGAGCCCGCCTCAAAGCCCGCCTCGCCGCCCTTCGCTCCCCTTGTCACCGCCAAATCCTGTTGCTCGAATTTGATTCATTCCTGGCCTCAGCTTCCAAGACACACATTCTCGTCCAACCCACGTTGGTGGCTTGTCTGGGATTCTCCCATTCGACCCCCTGGTTGATTCTCGTCTAACCCCCCGTGGCTTGCGCCTCGAGCCTAGTTCTGTCTGTCACTCGTCCTCGCCCTCGGTTGCCTGGCTGAAGGGGGCTCGATTCGGTGTCACATTCACCCTCTACGACCCTTCACATCCAACCCTCTTTCAGGCGGTCTACTGACCGACAGTCAGCGCTGCGGACAAGGACAACAAATCATCCAGTTTGGGGGTTTTGCCTTCTCTCTGGTGTTGACCGTGCTGTTTGCTGTTATAATCCCTCCCTTCCTGCCCGGTCTGCCTCCTTGTCCTCGACCATCTCTTGAAACTCTGCTCCATCACCTCTGAACGCCAACACCAAACACACCCTGCTGCACCTCCCTTGAACCGTCGTCGTTGCACCGGGTCCGCATCGCACTATCGACAATCGACATTGCTATCGAACCCCCTGCGTCCCATCACCTCAACGGTCCGCCATTTCCGACGTGTCTGAAACCAGCCACTCAGACGCGAAATCGCTAGCCTCTCGCGGAACTTCATCAACCCATCGACACGGGTGCCAAAAGCGACAAACTTTTTGCCGCTTGCACCTTCACCCCCCCACAACCCGGACGCAACAAACGCTACCAGCGTACGACCCGTACTACGCAAGGGGACCTTCCGAACCCCGTTTGTCTACTTTTCCCGTCCAGGGCCCGAGGTCGCACCGCTCCATCGGGTTTTCGCCATTCTCCATAGCCCAAAAGGAACAGAACGAAGAAAAAACCACGGGGAAGGGGCAAAACAGTGATACCGACTAAATTCCTTTTACCACCCTCGCACCCGGGATAAACATTAATAACGAGGATTGCTCCCCCCTGTGATCTTCAAAACACTCTCCAGCTCTCTTCACGACCTGACACCCAGCACAGCCGCCCTGACGAGGCATATATTGGACTGGACCACTGGGGTTTCCGTCAACAAGCACGCTCACCGAGCCGGCCCAACCACCGAGGCCAGAAGCAGCGGCAAGTCGACCGATCACAACCCCCATCACGCCGAGTCACCGTTCTCCGGCATTCTCCTGAACTCCAAGTCGTTTAGCCGACCCTGATCCGTGGGCTTGACTCGGACGCAAACATATTACTCGCACATTGCATCACCACCCGCAACCATCCCCCCATCGCCACACAACTCCCGCAACTGGGAATCCCAATCCCGGATCTGGCTACTCGCAATCATAATAACATCACGGGCCCCCCAGACTCTGGGCCTGTATATCAAACTCGACATTCTCGTCGCGTCTTCCCACAACATTCTCTTCCCTTCCCACCTCGCACCGACAGCAAAATGTTCTTCTCGTCGCCCACCTCCAACATTACCCCGGCCATGACATCGGTGGCTATGTCGCGTTCAGACTCGCGCGACTCCACCTCGTCCAACACCTACTCGTACGCGCCGACCTCTGCCTACACGGCCCTGGTGTGCGCGTCACCCACCTCAGCGTGGCCAGCCTCCCAAGCTCTTGCACGAACAGACAGCAATGCATCCAACTCTACGTCTTCGTCGCAAACGCAGTCTATTGCCATGCGACGCGACAGCAGCAACTCAACATGGATGCCTAGCCCATACAGATCCTGCATGTCGTCGTTTGGCACCGAACCCAACTCATATCTCTCTGACGACGACCTTCTGTGCCCTGCCGAAGACCTCAGCCTCCCCGTTGAGACGATCCCGGCCCTGGCCCCCAAGAAGGACATGACGACCGAAGAGCAAATTGCCTTCCTCCGGGAACTCCAGGAGAAGGAGGCTGCCTCCAACCAGCCCCAGGCAGCAACCCACTACGTACGTGACGCCGAGGCGAAGCGCAGAGTCGTGCGCTTCGCCAACCAGGAAGCCAGCGGCGCGAGCAAGTCCCGCCGACCCAGCGCCAGTGCCATCAAGAGACGTCAAAACGGTCAACGACGTGGCACGAGTTGCCTGAATGGCCCTCAGTGAGGGACATGTGTCTTTGTCTGGGGCTGGCCCTGGCTACATCATCTGTCATGTGTTTTTGTCTAGCAAGCGCATTTGAGCGGCTTTACACTGGCTCTATGGAGCAGTTTGTTTTGCATATCTTGAGCATGGGACACGGCCTACGATACCCCCCGCCTACATGGCTGATTGGATATGATTTGAACATGGTTGAGTCGATGTTATGACTCCCTCTTCAACTCACAGAGGAACCTCAGAAGTCTAGAGTCCTCTAGCTTAGTATTATTAGCTTAATATATCTATTACTGAAAACCAAAACATTGCATTCCTTATCTTTTCCCCTCATTCCATGGCTCCTCGTCTTGAATGACTCAGAAGTTGCTCCAGGTGCGTCGAGCGGTGAGTGTAAGGGTGAAGCTTCCGGCGGTTCCCAGTCCCTCTGGCACATTCTCCGTCCCCTCTACGAAGAAGCTACGGATCTCGATACTGACGATGATCTCCCACTCGACCGGTTGATCTCTTGGGGCCAACAGTAAGCAATTACCTGCGCAAAGAAAGCCCGAGAAGCTGTTACGCTATGCTCTACGACCGCAACGTCTATGCAGGGGACTCGGCCATGCGGCTGGTCCCTAAGCTGCACGGAACAACTCCGGCGGAAAAGAATCCGCCGATCAAGCCTGGGGAAGAAGAAAATCCACCGAAGGACCGATGGAATTCTGCACCATCTTCACATGATGCATCCCGAGACCTTCACGGGATTCTACAGTCTCTCAACTTCTCATATCGCTATCATCTGCTCCAGCATGCACCTGAGCAAGAGGGTCAGTTGGACAGTCTCACCGAACAGCACTTTTCTGGGAGGGAAACATGTCGCGATGAAAGGTGCCAGGGCGACCGTCGCCTTGCATTTGATTACATACGTGAAGCAGTCGTCACCACTTGGGTGCCACTCACCCACCAGTGGTTGACCAAGAATGCAGGATGTACCCCTTGACTCATCATGCGCTGCCCGTGTCCCAATCGCAACCACACAAATATTCTCTTCTCCCATGCTCGAAATTTCACGCACCTTCTTGAATCTTCACAAACACAGCCGGTTCGAGTGGACGGCTCGGCTGCTCGCTCCGGCTGCCACAGCAGCATTGTTTGTTTGTGAACAAATGCTTTAACTTTGGACGATCCGAAGTTTGCAAGAATTTTCCCCTTTCTCTCACCTCTGCTTCCGAGTATCGGGTATTCTCTCAAACAGAGTTTCCGAGAACGCTCGATCAAAATCCAATCACCGCCTACCAGTACTGTGTGTCTCGTACGGAGTTCTGCCGAACTTCAGCAAACCTATTGTTCGCACAGTTTCCGACTTGGGGAAACTCAGGCTCTTGTTCACTTAGAATTTCCCCAACTGTGGGTAAAAACATAATCACTACCGCCTCGGGTATTGAACTCTCAAGCCAGCACAAAACACTGCCGTGTGTGCCCGTTGCAATTACTTGCGTACCCGGAAGGCGATGGCGACATTTTAGTGGTGGGACACAGTCAGAACTCAAGTGCTGTGTGCTGGCATATTCGTCATTCTTCTTCCTTCGGTCTGCGACAACCCCGAAATCGAAATCCCCCCGGGTTGTGTCTTCGGCGAGTCATACCCTTGTTGAGACATGTGGAAAGCCATCAATGAGTTTCGAGATTGGGTTCCCTCCACTCCACTCCCCTCCACTCCCACCCGGCGTTGTCAGCGTTGCTTCTGCGGTTCTCCTCCCTCACGACGATCACCGCAGATGGGCAGTGGAGAGAGAGAAATGTAACAAATAGTGTGGGATGCCGAGCATTACCACATGGCAAATTACATATAGTAAGCATGCTACAGTAGATGGGTTGGACTTCCGATCTGGGTAGCACTAGTACACTAATATTGGGGGTGGTGGAAGACTGGCGGGTGTGAGAATCTTCGTTGACTGCTACGGTTGCAGAGGCTACCAACACCAGCCAGTCGATTGGTTGTCCACACAGTCGCCAGCATCAGTGGAGGAGGAGGGCAGAGACCGCAGAGACCGCGGAATGCCGCGAAAAGTACCGAGTAACCGCCCAGCGTTTCAGTCTGTCTCTGTAGCCACTGCAAAAGCACCAGCCACGCACCGCCACAACATCCAGCCACTAGTATGACGTAGGCAACTCAACGTGGATTGCAGCTCCAAGCCACCCATTGCAATTTTCGTGATTTCAAGATTTCTTCATCGTATGCCAGACGATCATGGCACAGACAAAATCCTTGTCGAGCTTCAGCAGCCGACCGGATATTACCTCCTTTCGTCACTCACAAAAATCAGGTTTTCCGGCAGTCAACTTCCTTTTGGAGTGGCGAGGTGTCATCGCACCAGGTGGCATTGTTTTCTCCTTAAGGGCAAATGCAGCAAGATGGTTATTTTTGCCACCAAACCCATCACTGGTGCGACAGCGATGTTATCGAGCTATTATCCCTCACCCGAGAGAAATCCGGGATGGGCAATAGCAGTCATAACATCGCACGAGCTTCGAGCTTTATTTCTCGTGTTGAATGAGCGTTTAGTTGCCAAATTACTGAGACCACGAGGGACCAGGAAGCCAGTTCCAACAGTACAAGATGGACTACGTACGGAAGACAAGCACATCTCTCTTTGAGAGTTCTATTCTCTTTGGACCGCTCAGAGGGCTGTTCAAACTGAACTTCCCGTTGGACCCTTCACGGTGAGCCAGATCAAGCTTGTCACTTTCAATCGATGTTGCCGAAATGAACGTCATCTCTTTCCGCTGATAGCTTGGGGATACGCTGTGCCCCATATTGAGGATGATTCTTAAACTGGAGGTCTGGAAGACGATGAAACTATTAGGTCTTGTCGCCTTCGGAGACGAACTCTAAAAGAACCAGCCACCGACTTCCAAGATCGCAACGGGTTATCACTGATGACGATAGGGCGATCACTTTCACACTTCTACAGCTGAGAAGACTCCCAGGAGCTTCCCTTTCTGAAGGATCTTTCCAGGTTGGTTGACAAGGCAAGGTCAAATCATTTGACAGCAGCTATACCACCTCGTACTCACTTCGAGGTTGCGTCGGTTGGTGCTGCGAAGTCACGACCATACTGTTGAAGCTCAGAGTTCGAGGACCTCAATTGAGATCACCACTAACACTAGCATTTACTCGATCCCGATGCAGATGAAGCTCCGACACAGACCCCATGCAAATGCGATGCACAAATGCTTTTCGAAGCATCCACCACGCGCGTACCAGTTGACTTGTGCAAGAATCTCGAACATTTGCTGCAGTGGCTTGATGATTCTTGAGAACCAGCCAAGCCAGTTGGTCTTGGTCGTGGCGCCTACGTTCACACTAAGGCCACAGTTCTATTCCTCTCATGCAGTGGTCAATTGTTGTTGACGTTCATCGGTGCGATACGCATCAGCCTCCTGTCCATATAGACCAGCTTGTGTGGGTTGATGACCCAGTACAATTCTGGTAGACTCGCATCGTTGTGACCGCGCGTCGGTACGGATAAGGGAAGGATATAAGATTCTTCCGTTTCACATGTATTTGGCCTCGTATAGAATGGCCATTCGCTCGAGCCAGAATGCAGCGCATTCTAAACGCCTCGTGCAGCGATGTGATCGCCATGCTGTTGTCCAAGCAATGAGCCGGCCAAAAAACCTATTCCTCGTCAACAGCAACGAGAGATGTCAAATCAGGAGAGAAATCTGGCTGCTCTTAAAGTCAATGACTCGACATCGTGTGGCACTAGACCAATATAAGAAGCCCGAGGTCAACGTGGCCGCGCCTCCGCAATGCCCCAAGGATGCTATTTTGTAGCGCCTCCCGGAATGCGGAAGACGGTGGACTTCTCTCTCTAGACGCCCAAGTGGCTGCCTAGGCTTTCACGACCTTGCTTACACCTCAACGCCACTGATTTCAGACCATAATACCTCATACGAAAGGCACGGCCTGCCAAAGCAATCGTAAGCCACATGGAGTCACCCCAGGAGGTCGTCAACACTGGTCCTGCTCCACGGAAAAGATCGAGTGCAGCGACGGAAAAGCGGTAGGTGAATGGCGGTGGTCATTTAATTCGTTTATATTGGTGCTCATTTGACAATCCCTGGTAGGAAGTTGCGCAATCGACTCTCTCAGCAGGCATTTCGGGCACGGCAGTCTCTGGAAATCAATGAACTCAAGCAGCGGCTAGCCCTGTTCTCCGGTTCAGAGAGCGATCGTAACAGCAGGCTAGTAGACGAGAACCGCAAATTAAGACAGCAACTATGGCAGTCCGAGAAGAAGCTTCGAAGTCTCCAGGCGACACTGAAGAGCATTATCGACACCATGGTGGAGAGCAGGGAGAACAACTTTGTAAGTTCTGGAGCTCGCCCTCATGACATTGATCATAATCTCGTCTATTAAGCTGGGCCTTGTTGAATCTGACGAAATTCACACACAAGGACGCACATACTAGCGGACTCAACGAAGACGATGAAGGGCTGGATCCTTGGCCGGTCGAGCTCGATGTGCCTTCTGGCCACGCTGACAGCGAACCACTGTCGGCACCTCTCAACATGATATCCGACTCGGATGCATGCCGTGCATCGGGCTCCGTTGTCTCGCCCAACGAAACGTCTACCACGGAAGCATATGCAACAGAGCCGCACGCCGCGATTTCGTCGAACGAGGATTCCTTGGGAGAGGACGTCAATTGGGATATTGGCCAGGGGGTCTTAGCATTATCCACCACGTCACCAGTGCAGCACACTCCTCAGCTCTCGGTTGCGTTCCCTATGTATCGCAACTTGCAGGTGATGGCACGTTCCAACTACTCAGAACATATCCATGCCTATGAGATGTGTGCCGTAACTGGCTACTTGGGCAAAAGACGAAACCCCGATCTGGGCAGGTACGTCTTCCACCCCGCTGTGAATCAACCCACTGAACGAGTGTCCCAGTCTTAATCACATGGTGTCAAGTCTCGTCTCCGCCTTTATCAAGATTGCCTGGGGTGGTATGGAATCCTGGATCCAATGGACCAACGGAAAGGAGACGCTCACCAAACTTGCGGCGTGGCGGATATCTCCTGGCCCTGAAACATTCGCCGCCATACCGCCCTCGATGCAGCCAACTCCACTCCAGACCGCAGTGCCTCATCCGCCTGTCATCGACTGGTGTGTCTTCCCTTTTCTGAGGGACAAACTAATTCAATACCACTGCTCGGATCCGGGACTGGACGAGATTTGTGGCGATATCGGCCTCGCGTACGTCGTGCAAGCGGACCTGTCCGAGTTCGTGCTGGGTGCGGAACCCCTGGTGGTGTATTTCAACATCCACGACATCATCGTCGGTATGGAGACGAACCCGACATGGCTGAGCGACGGCGACAATACCAAGACCACCTCCACATCCGCCAGCACTGCCATGATCGGGCCCAAGCTCGAAGTCAAACTACCTGCCCCAGACCTCTACACCTTACTGCACACCAAAGAGTACGCCCACGAGATGTACCGCCGCCTCAAAATCGGCCAGGGCGTGGAAGAATACCTCTGCGATCCCGGCCTGTTCGTCAAGTACCCACACCTGTATGAGCCGGACGTCAAAATCGCCCAAGGCGTGCCCCTGCGGTCGCGCAATAGGATCTCCTGGCCCACCCCGCGCCCCCTGGACGACGTGGCGATGAGCTGGTATCGCAGGTGTGCGTCTTAACAGGGCGGCCAAGCCGCTGCTGCTCCTACGTAAAATAGGCTCTGAAGCAGGGTGAATCGACCTATTTATAAGCAATATTTTCTGGCTCGCCCGACCCATTCTGATATCAAGGATGAAGCAAGAAAACCTGGACCAGTGCATCTATCGTCAATCTCTTTCAACAAACCCTCTTGCGCATCTGAATTTGACCGCGATGAAATACCACGACATTTCAGAATCATTTCCACCTCCTTCGCATCACGCCTGTTGTGGCAGCTCCGCGCCTTTCACAGGCACAGGCAGATCCAAGCTCCATGGCACATCCGCGTTGCGAATATATGGAGCCAGGTCCACCTGGCGGCCGTGGTCGTGCTCGAATTCCAAGTCCGTTCGCCCATTCCCCAAGAACGCCCAAACGTTGTCGCTGTCGTAGCGCAGGTCGTAATGCTCATACCGTGGGGTGCGCAAGGTCTTCAAATGGTGCAGCAGGCTGCCCGGCCAGATGTAGACGCGGCCATCAGGCTTGTTGTCCTTGTACCATGATCGACACTCCTCAGCCCACACGCTGTACTTCTTGTGCCATGCGTCCAGGTGCTTGTTGATTTGCGTTGTCGGGCCCTGCCGCGGCTCCATCGCCCGGATGCCTTCCTCTTGCATCTTGCGGCAGCATTGCAGGGCGTATTCGAGTTGGACCTCATGCTATACAAGATGTCGAGTTAGCAAAAATGACCGAGTTTGATTCTATCTTTCCCGAAAAGGACTGGGGGGATTTTCAAGGCCCAAGGAATGCAAGAAAGTGACTTGCTTACCGATGGCAGGGCACACCCCTGGCCCCAATTGCCCGTCGGCCCGTTCACGACGAAATAGTTGGGGAATTTGGGCGCCGTGATGCTGAGATAGATGTTGGGCGTTTCCTTCCAATCCTCCTGCATCACGACGCCGTCTACCCCTGTGATCTTAAAGTGCGGGGTGTACGCAATGTCGAACCCGGTCGCACAGGCGATGATATCGAAGTCCAACTGCTCGCCGGCGGCCGTCACGAGCCCGGTCTCGGTAAAGCGCACGATCTCATCGTGGATTACCTTGACGTGGTCCAAGATTAGGGTCTCGAGGTAGCCCTCCCCGGGCGTCAGCCTTCTACACCCCGGAGACCACTGTGGAATGAATCTCTGTTTTAATTCTTCGTGGCCCGGCCCGATCTTGGCCAGCATGCTGGCTCGCATCCCCTCTCTGGCCTGGATGTTCAGCTTGGTGCCGCGCAGAAACATCGGGAACATCTCGGTCAGGGCGGACTCCAGTCTCTTCCGATATTGAAGGTGGAACTCTGGATCTGTGCGGAATTTCTGTTTCTCGGCTTCGATATAATAGTGCTTCCCGACTGCGGCTGCTGGTTGGCTGTTTTCATCTATCTTTTGGTCGTCGCTGGCGACTTGGGGGGCGATATAGGTCATATTTCGAGCAAAGACAGTCAAGCTCTGAGATCCTGCCGCACGATAGTTCAGTGGAAATGCCTGTCTGAGTTGTGTGGCAATTTGTTACCTCTGGCCAAATGAGGCACCATCTGAATGGAGCTTGACCCTGTTCCCAGGACGGCCACCTTCTTGCCTTGCCAGTCGATCGAGGTGTCCCAGTTGGCGCTGTGGGCGAGAATGCCCTTGTACGAAGAAATGCCCTCTATGGCCGGCCCTGCGAGAGCTTAGCTGTTCCGTCTCTGCACAATCAGGCGGCCTTCACGCGAGTCGACCCTTGACGAAACTCACATTTCCACTTGTTGACAACACCGGAACCGTTAATCAGGACGTTGCAGCGATCCGTAAACGTCTTGTCTCCACTTCTGAGCTCAACTTCCCCTGCATTTCCCGCTTGCGTAAGAATGGTTCCATATCTCGTGGAGACACCGCAGACTCACATTCGCCGCTGTCCTCGAACCACGTGGCGCTCACAACCTTGGTGTTCAGCTGAACATAGCGCTCCAGCTTGTACTCTTCATAGAACTTCTCAAAGTACGTCTGGATCTCATCGGAGCGCGAGTAGAAGCCCGACCACTCGGGGTTGGGCCGGAAGGTGTAGGTATAAGTGTGGGCGGGAATGTCGCACGCGCACCCGGGGTATCTGTTCTCCCACCACGTTCCGCCGATGCTTGGATTTCTTTTCGACGGCGAGTCCACGGGGTCAGTCAACTGTTTTACAGGGACGTTATGTCCGGAGAGGGTTCGTTGACATACTTTTCATAACAGATCAGCTCATAGTTACGCAGCTGCCGCTCAGCCTTGTACGCCAGCAACAGGCCCGACGCGCCGGCGCCGACATGGATGATCTTCAGCTTTCGAGGTTGCGAGTGATATTGGTCAAGGATCTCGTACTCCTCCTCGAGGTTGGCAATCATCTTGTAAAGAGTGAAGGATACTGCTGCTTTTCTTACGCGTCTTGGACCATCGAACGACAGCAAAAGGAAGGAGATCTCTTTCAAAAACAATTGAAGGCGGAGACGGTTCGGCTTTCCAAGCCCAAGCACGTATGTATTTCATCACCTACTTCGATCTCTTCCCTCGGGATGATATGGCCTTTGCCATATACGGCTTCGGAACCTCGGCCGTGTCATGCCATGTCTGTCTTGTACCAGCTCGCTGTATACCAAGATGCGCATGCACTGCGCGGTAGTCCCCATTGTGGAAACCGTGGGCGCCATATCATTGGGCACCAGGAGCCCCAGGGACCGCAGGTGAATACCCGCGTGGCAGACGCTGATCCTGTTGGGTCTCTGAGAGACTGTAATAGGTCGAAATTGCAATGCTGACAAGTCTTCGTCCGTCCGTCGTACTGCTCGTGCGCCATACCCATGGATCTTCGAAGGAAAGACCAGCGCGCGCGCGTGTGTGTAGCACATGAGTACCTCGTACGTTCGTGGCCGCGGCAAGACAGAAAGGGAAGGCCGTGTCAGTGGCATGACTTCATCCGTCCTGACTCGCAGGGCCTGGCTGGCTGGCCGGCCGGCTGGGCGTGGTCAGAGATCTGTTACTATCCCTGTCCAGCATTTCTCCGCGTTGAGATGGGGGCTTTTCTGAACCTAGAGCTCTGCAACGAACTTGGGTTCTAGCTTCCTGCATCCTCGTACATACCGTACATAGCTACCTACGTAATAAAGCCTGGAAGGGATACAGGTTAGATGTGGCTTGCTTACATAGACGAGCACGGGCGGACGAAACTCGGGACTTGATCTATTTCATACACGCCGCCCATGAGGTCGTTTGGTCTCTTAGGTAATCTGACAGGCTTTCAACCTTTACAACTGGACACAGAGTACAAGTAGATCGTGTTTATGACTGTTCTGGATCACTTTATGGGCTTCTCTGGTGGAAACAGCCTTCTCAACCCGGTGGATAACGAGGGACCTCCCTCTCTCTCCCTCCCTCTCCCCATCTGTCTTGATGCCTTCATGCGTGGCCCCCTGTCACCGAGAGCACTTCACCTGCAACGTAGCTGGCTTCGTCCGAGAGCAGGAACGCGACTGCCGACGCGATCTCCGACGGCTGGGCGACTCTCCTCAGCGGATTGCTCGGCAGCGTCTCGAGGAAGCCCTTCTCCTCCTCGGCGCGCTTGACAAACGCTGCCGTCGCCGTCGCACCTGGACCGAGTATTAACCATATTTGTTTATATCAATCATGGCTTTTTGAGCGTCAAAGGGAAATCACCTACCCGGTGCAACAGAGTTCGTCCGAATGCCGAACTTGCCAAAATCCTCCTGCCACGCCCTCGACAGTCCAATCACCGCGTGTTTCGTCGCACAGTACACGGCCAGGCCGCTGACGCCGCGCAGACCCGCGCCGCTGGCGATGTTGACGATGTTGCCCCGCGAGGCCCACGGGCCCTGGGGCTCCTGGCTTTGCATGGCGCGCAGGGCGGCGGTGCCGTAGTTCCACACGCCGCCGATGTTGACGTAGATCATGCGGTCGTAGGCCTCGTCGGACGCGATGGGGCCCTCCTCCAGCCCGATGCCGGCGTTGTTGACCAGCCCGTCGAGTCGGCCCGCCGTCGCGACCACTTTCGCCATGTACGCCCGGCACGTGGCCCGGTCGCCCACGTCGACGCCGCCCTCGAAGTGCACGCTGCCCTTCTCGATCAGCGGACGAAGCTCGTCCGGCGGAGTCGTGGAGAGATCGACCGTCCACACCGTCGCGCCGCGTGACGCCAGCGCCAGCGTGATGGCGAGCCCGATGCCCGAGGCGGACCCCGTGACCACGATGTTTTTGCCGGTGAAGGTTGCCATTATCCCCTGCGTATCAGAATCAGAATCGTGGTGATACGCCCCCAGTCCGCACTAGACTGCAACTGTATCTAAACCCTCCCCCAGCTCGCGAAAACGGTCCGTCCATGTTATATGATGTGATTTGCAGGCCCAGCATTGGAGATGTGTGTGAAATGTAACGAATGAAGGAATGAATGGAGTTCGGCAGGACAATGACTCGAGCATTATCCGGGGATATGAACCAGACGTGGTGCTTCGTACCTCGGGCATGGCATATTTCGCAGCCACATGAATCGTGGGGACAAAGGCCACTGAGCCTTTTCACTGTCAGCGGTGGAGCAGCGAACCGGGGTCTTGTCAGCCTTTTCACTGTTGTCACCTCCTGGAGCTGCATATCGTCCCTCTTGTCAGCCATGCCTGACTCGATATCCGTGGTGGATGCTTGTTGGTCAGATCGGACTCGGAGCGGAATAATGATGTTGCGTCTCGACTCTGATTCGTCGCTGGGGACTTCGACGCCGTTGCCCCTGGGCGAGATGGCGAACAATGGGCCTATGCAACTCCTGGACATTCACATATTTGCCTCCGTCTGCTCGTCGGATGGGCTCATGCACCCGCTATCTGTCTCTGGTGGAGGAACTCCAGGCCTACCATTTGGCCCCGCTACGTTCCAGCCTCGCGGTCGAAGCCCGAGACTATGGCTGGGGGCTTGACCCCATGGGGCAACGCAAGGGCACCACGCGTGGAGGGCTTGATGCTGTGCACCGGCGAATACGGAGTACATATACAAGCGAGATGCCCCTGGAGACTGGGGAAAGGACCGACAACATTGGAGAGCTCCCTCTGCTGTAGCCTCTTCCCCAGGCACATCGACATCCTTTCACCGACATTGCTACGCCGTGAGCACTTGATCCCTCACCACCACCATGAGCAGCACTCCAGACCTCGACCAAGACGTCGAGTCCAGGCTCGAGGAGAAAGAGAGCCCGACAGTGACACGACACGAAATCGTCGATCTCGACGATGCAAAGCACCGTGTGGCCAAAGGAGATGACTCTGACGGCCGCGTCAACTGGACGTGGAAACAGGTCGTAGCGACCATCTCGCTGTGCGGTGTCTACGTCGGTAAGGTCACCCACCACCTCATTACAAATATGGCCTTGAATGAGATCACCTTGCTGACGAAAGCCATGTTCACCAGGATCGCAAATCCCACTCTACTTCGTCGGAGGTAATTCGCACGACCGTAGCCCTTCTTCTCTCTTCAACCAGAAGTACTAACGGCAACATTAAGGCTCGCTCAGCTATATTGCCGCCGACTTGGGCTCGGCTTCAACCGGCTGGCTCCCCGTCTCGAACTCCTTGGCTCTGGCCGCGGTCTGTCCCTTCTGTGGCTACCTCCAAGACATGTTCGGCAAGCGAAATATTTCCATCATGGGATCAGTCATGATTCTGGTTGGCGTCTTGATCACCGCAACCGCACACACCTTTGCTCAAGGCGTGGTCGGCATGACCATTGCGGGCGGCGGGGCTGCTATTGGAGAGCTGACGGCGCTGGCTGGGTGAGTGTGGTTACCCAAAGAATCCTGAAGCCAGTCATTCGCTGACCTTTGACTCAATAGGACGGCGGAGCTGGTCCCTGTCAAGAAGCGCGGCATCTATCTTGCATGCGTTACTTTTTTCATCTGTGGGCGAAACCCTCTCACTGCAGTTCCCGGCACACATACTGACTCCGCGTCAAGGCCCATTCTTTCCATATGTCCTATACGCTCAACTGCTCTCTGCCAATGCGACATGGCGGTGGGGTCTATGGATCACATTGTAAGAGACACATGAAATCCTTGACCCGTCCACGTGTACTGACAGACCCAAGCATCTACAACGCCATCTTCTTCGTGGGCGTCCTGCTGTTCTACTTCCCCGACTCCCACCTCCTGCGCAAGGGTGACCTGAGCCGGGCTGAAATCGCTAAGAAGATCGATTATGTCGGTGCTTTCCTCTCCATCACCGGAGTGATCCTGTTGTAAGCCACTTTGAAGGGCCATTCATTGACTTCCCTCGCTGACGGTGTACAGCCTCGTTGCTCTGCAGTCAGGCGGCTCATCCCACCCCTGGACGAGCGCGTACGTCCTCTGCATGCTCTTCTTTGGCGCGGCACTCATCGCCGCGTTCGTGATCTGGGAATGGAAAGGGGCGAAGTATCCCATGGTGCCGAGGGACCTCTTCGTTGGTCAGCGTGTCGTTGCCATCGCCCTTGCAGTTGCCTTTGTGTCAGGCATGAATTTCTACTCTATGATCAACTTTGCTCCGCTCACCTATAGCACTGTCTATGACCCCGAGTACGTGTCTGCCGTGGGATCTTGCTCTCGAGAACTCGCTAACACATCTCAGTCCCATCCAAGTCGGCGTGAAGGGTCTTGGTTATTCGATCGCCATCACGGTCGGCGCGACGGTCATGAACGCGCTGCTCACCATCTTGAAAGGGAACAACCGCGAGCTTCTGCTGATCTCCTGCGTCTTGATGAGTAAGTGAACCAAGCGTGTGGTCTGGCTATGCAGCGTGCTGACTTCCACGAAGCTGCGTTTACCGGCAGCATGGCAGCTGTGACTCCAGATAATGCAGGACTGGCCGTGGGCCTGGCGACCGTGGCCGGGTTTGGGATCGGAGGCGTCATCGTCCCCTCAGCCACTATCGCCATGACCGCCTGCCCGGACTCCCTGATCGCCACGGCCACGGCGCTGACACTCACGATCCGCTTCGTCGGCGGCTCCATCGGCTATTCCATCTACTACAACGTGTTCGACGAAAAGCTGACGCGCAAGCTGCCCGAGCGAGTCCTGGCTTTTGCACTGGAGGCCGGTCTGCCCAAGTCGTCGGCGACCGCCTTCGTGCAGACGTTCCTAACCGCCCCGGCGAATGCCACCAGTGTTCCTGGGGCCACGGCGGCCGTCATCCATGCCGCGACCATAGGCACCCGTTGGGCGTATTCGGACGCCCTGTCGTACGTTTGGTATGTCAGCATTCCATTTGGCGCACTGTCCATCGTCGGATGTCTCTTGATCGGCGATATCTCCAAGTACATGACGAACAGAATCGCCGTCCAGATTCGGCACTAGGGTGGGCTCTCTTCGAGCCGCAAGCTATGGACGCGATTTGTACGGCTGTGGTATAGGTTACTGTCAATTCTTGGATCGAGATATACTGCCGAGCTCCTCAGTATCACACAAGACTGCTCTCGATGGTGGCACGCGATGACGGCACCTGCCTCCTCTTTCGTGGACAGGCTTCAGCTCTAGCTCTATCTGCACAAAAGCGCCAAACCCGATTTCCTCCTGGCTGCGGTCCCCTTGGTTTCGATCTGTAGGCTCTGATGCCTTTTCTAGAGACGGGACAAGATTGAAATAGGTTCTGGCCTTCTTCCTACACTGTCTACAGTGCTGCCGATGCCGTGGACAAGAAAATAGTTCAAGCTAGTTATCATGCAATGTGCCATGTCTGATATCCCTGTTTCGCCTCAGGTTGGCCGCAAGTTCTTGCATTTCTGGGACGTGGACAGCATGTGAAACGGGTTTACATTTCACACCTTCTCAACGGCAACGGCGGTCACTGATTTACCAGAATCCCCGTGGTTCGGTACAGACATGAATGGTCGAATCATAAACTGACTGAGTATCGTATAAGAACCCCTATCGGTGCTCAGCCTTAACCCGGAACGTTCCCTACGTACTTGGCGCTGGGTCGACTCCTATCTCAGCATACACAAGAAAGCTATTACGGCAGAAGACTAATAGGCAAGTTCGAACAAAGTTCACTAATTCTACCTGGTGACTGCGATTCCTATTGTCATTGCGTACCTGCAGCCCAATTCGCTGGGCGGAGTTGGCTCGGGAATCGCGGCCGAGGTTGTTAGGCCAGTAAAAAGTAATCAAAGGCCTTGGAAGCTGACGATGAGAAGCTATCCATCCTCCGCAGTTTCTGGAGAGGCCTGAATCGTGTTGTGGGATTCTTCCGATTCGTGCCTCTCCTGATGGAGGAGGAGCAACGAAAGAAAAGTACCAGTAAGCCCGATCGTTACCAACCAGGACGAAGGAAATTACTCGGACGCTCTTTTGTTTAATTTTTCTAATCAGTCGTTTCGGGCCTGTAAGGGACTACACACAGAGAAACAATTCCCTCGTTTCCTTGTCTCTGGACGGTCTCTCTTCAGCGTGCAGATATTGAAAAGGCAGGTGAGTTGACGCTGGTACCAGGTATCGCTGGGCACCTCCAAACAAATCGAGTGTCTGTGCGAAACTCCCACTTCGACTGGCTGGACTTCAGCTGCAATCAATCATTGATCCGACTCACATCAACATTGCTGGGGACTATATACCCATCACGACTGAGAGATCGGAAGCGACCACGCAGCATGGATAGATTTCCCGAATCAGGAATCCTCGTAGAGGCCGAGGAGTTTGATGACTATGGAGGCTGGGTGCTGGACTCTCAATTCGACCTCGAGATGGGCTCACCCTACCTGCTGGCTCACGGGAACGGCAGACCCGTCGCGGACGCCACGACTAGCGTCTCCATCCCTGAAGCCAACACATACAATGTCTGGGTTCGCGCCAAGGACTGGGTTCCTGGTCACCATCCGGGCAGGTTCACGCTCGTGGTCAACGGGAGCACCTTGGACACCGTCTTTGGAACAAATGACCTCGACTGGTCCTGGCAGTTGGGAGGTAGGGTGGCACTGGCCGTCGGTGAGACAAGGCTGGTCCTCCACGACCTGACTGGCTTCTGTGGACGCTGTGATGCGATTTTCTTGAGCCACGACGACGTCGCCCCGCCCCAGGCCGTCAACGACGAGACACGGGCCTGGCGACGTAGGTTCCGCGGCCTCCCCCAGGACCCTGTCGACGCGGGGACGTTCGATGTTGTGGTCATTGGAGGCGGTGTACCTGGTGTGGCTGCCGCTCTCACGGCTGCTCGACTCGGAGATCGCATTGCCTTGGTCCACGATCGTCCTTACCTAGGGGGCAATGCCAGTGTGGAAATTGGCCTTCGCCCACGCGGAGTGACAGGCCCGCTCATAGACGAGATCTCCAACCGCAAGCCCAATGGCGATATCTACGCGAAAGAACTGCTCGATGCGGAAGCCAACGCGACAGTCTTCATTGAGCACGCCGTCTACAACGTGGTGAAACGGGACTCGACCATCGTCTCTGTGGATGCCCGCCACGCCCGCAGTGGGCGCGAGGTGCGCTTGACGGCGCCAGTGTTCATCGACTGCTCCGGCAAGGCCGTCGCCGGGCTGCTCGCAGGTGCAGAGACGCTCTTTGGGCAGGAGTCGCAGGCAGAGTACGGCGAGAAGCTCGCCCCAGCAGATGCCAACAACATGCACCACGGAAACACTGTGTTCTTCCGCACACGGATGGCCGACGCGCCTGTCTCTTTCCCGCCCGTCCCCTGGGCGACAGACGTGGCCAAAGACTTCTCCGATCTGGGTGGCCAGCTCACGAGACCTGGCGTAGAGAATGGTCCGGGACCTGCCGTCACGACCGCGAACTCTGTATCCCGAGCGAAGGTCCCCCGGCGTATGACAAGGCCGCTCACGCACTTCTGGGAGTACGGTCAGTGGCTCGATCCGTACACGCACGGTGAGCACATCCGCGACTTCCTGCTGCGGGCGATCTACGGGACCTTCTCCAATGTGAAAACCAAGGACCCTCAAACCTACGCCAATCTCGAGTTCGACTGGGTCGCCTATGTCGCGGCGCAGGGCGAGTTCCGCCGGTATAAGGGCGCGTACGTGCTCACTGAGACCGACATCCGCAACCACAAGCCCTTCCGCGACGCGGTGGTGCAGAACGAGGGCGCCTTCTGCCTGCACTACCCGGGCGACGAGACGTACGACTTCCGTCTCCGCTGGTGGGAGTGGGATGAACGCGACGGTAAGCCCTACGACATCCCCTTCCGGTGCCTGTACTCGGCCAACATCGAGAACTTAATGATGGCTGGCAAGCACATGAGCGCGACGCACGTGGCGTCGTCCAACACCAAGTTTATGGGGAATGGCGGACAGCACGCCATTGCCACGGCCGCGGCGGCTCATTTGTGTAAGAAATACGGCACGACTCTCAGAGGTGTCTACGAAAACCATCTTCTCGAGCTTCAGAAAATCGCTGCGTCGATAACTGGTACGGATTGTTCAAGGCCCAGAAGTCATTTGTGACGAATCAAGGCGTCTCCATTACATCTCACACCAAGATTGTCTAGCTTTGACCCCGGCACGGGTCATGATCTTCGATGTAGTTGAACAATCAGCTCATGGCACATGTGCCTGTCTGCACCGTTGGTACTCGAAAGGTCCTTAACCCGCCCCTCCTGGTCCTATGGTTGTTGTTTGGCAGGCTCAATGGGGGGGAATGCTCAGCCTAGTAGCCTCCTGAGGCTGCTTCTTACAATCCTTGTAAATTCCAAGGGCCACCAATCAGCCCTGGAGACTGAGGAGGTTGTTGACAAACACCACGAATCAAAGATTATGAGCACTGCAACCATGTGATGCTGTCCTCGTTGGATGCCCTACTGTCACTTCGTGAAGACATGGTCGACCCGACGGATGTCTGTACATGCCACAGTCGTCTGCTCCTTCCTGACATCAGAGATGTGAAATCACAGGGAGCAACTTCTCGACGTAGGAGGCACAATCCACCTCGTCCCTCTACGAATACCTCTCCCTGGTAATCAAGCCAATGGGTCCGACGCAAGAGCAGAGTCGGAGCGAGAGAAATGGTTCCAAGAGAGTGATTGCCGGCTCGAAACCCGGGGTCTCATGCAGGCTGCACACCCTCTACCAAAATCTCGTGCTTGCAACGCAGGTAGTAGCGAATCAGGTCATCGCTTCCATGGAAGCAGGGCGCAAAGCAGGCGCAGATAAGGCACTGCAGTGACAGACAAAGACCATGGCTCTAGCCCAATCAGATACAGACACCCAAGCCGAATGAAGCCTCGTCCAAATAAATCACTGATTCCATTCCGAACGTCCCGTCCCATCCGTGTTGGGCGATAATTCGGCCTTGTTCTACACCTAAACTTCTGCTGCGAACAGTATCATCCTCCCTGGAATTACTGGTTTGGCTGACCATGTCGCTTGAAGCCGAGATATCACCCACTTGAAAGAGCAGCATCATAGCCCTCAGACGTTTTGGAACCAAGCGCCAGCAGCCTGCCGAGAGCATGAGGCTGAGAACCCCTCCCCAGCCGGGGTACATGCACACTGCCCCGGACTAAAGCTGCAAGGCCTAACGCATGGGGCCAGAAAATACGACACTCCCACCACTATCAGCCAATACCCGCAAAATTGTAATCTGTGCTGTGCGTTGGTCCTGTGCGGCTTCTGCCGGTGTCCTCATGCAGCGGGCCTAATTATAAGTTTTTTGGCTCTCGAAAACTGCGTTTTCTGTCGGGATTCTGGAGTCTTGCGGCTGGCGAACACATGCCCGCGGATGCAGTTTCCTCATGGAACTCAGTAGGCTGTGAAATTGCTCCCGCACCTCCTCTGCCGCCGCTTCGATCCGGTCTTGGGACCAAAAGACAACAGCGACAGGGGCTGCTGCAGAGGTCGGTGTATGGCTAAAGTATGTCTATATAATGGAGCCGCACTTGGAGCATCAACAAACACAAGTTTCCAGTTTCAACTTCTCATAATCATTATCTTTATCAAGTCCTTCATTTGAGCATCCCATCTCTTTCCCCGATATTACCAACACATTCCCTCATTACAACCAGACTATCCTTTGACTCACTTAAGAAAGCCCATTTTCTGCTTCCCATCGAACGTCCCAATACCAACCAACCAGCCAGTGTCATCACAATCATTTGCCCGACGAGCTATACCATATCATAGCCGAGCATATCGACCCTCCGATCCCATTCCTCATTTTCTCGGATTCAAACCTCAATCTACGCAAAATGAGCCACGGCCAATTCAACCAGGTTGCCCGTATCCAGCATCAGCACCAGCACCATCATCACCACAGTCACCAGCACCAGCAGTCACGCCATGTCGCCCAGCAAGTCCACCACAACCACAGCTACAGCCATGGTCAACACCATTACCACCACCATCAACAAGTCTCCGTGAGGGTCATGACATATTCCTACTCGTCCTGCCGTCGGGTTTAATTCTAGGGACAGAGAGTCCTGGAAGCTAGGACGGGGCGGAAGCGGACGGAAGAGAGGTGGGATGAATGTTGGTTGATGAAGAGTTGGCCGGACAAGACGGAGAGGGATTTGGAAGCTGCTTTGACGAGACTCTCACAACACGCCTTCGACTATGGTCACTCGCGACATGGGTATAGGGAACATGGATGAGCTGATTTGAACACAACGAGTCTGTAGTTATGCTTTTTTCAATACTCTCTCTATACAAATGGACTCTGGCATGGTCAACATTCCTCCCCACACGTCTTCATTTCATTTTCATCACTGTCGAACAGGCGGTACCCTTTTTCTGTTCAGATTTTAGACTTCTAGTTCGGCCGCCGTCGAGTTTGTGCACTGCTCTCTGACAGCTCCGATGAGCTGGTGTGACTGGTGGCTACGGGAAAGTTACGAGACAACCCGAGCCACTCCCAGGCCTCTTGTCGCCTTATGGCTTTCCTCACCTCACTCATTTCCACAGAACCATCCCATGATATTCGTACGTTTCACGATGTTGGCCTGATGAACACCATACTACGTAATACCTGGTACTCGCAGAAATACCCACGGAGCCAATCACAGACACCGCTGATTGCCCTTACCATAACGAGTAAGGTTGGGTTCCTGGACTTGATCGGCCTACGCTACTCCCAAAGTAGGCATTTAGTCTTGGCAAACCCGACCCGGAGAAACAGACAAATGAACCTTCCTCTGGCCGTTCTCCTTCAAACTGAATCTGGCATGCTCTCTCTTCATATCTCGTTCATCGTCACCAAGGCGGTCGCTGCAAGGTCACACGCAAGTACGATCGCTCAGCGTGAGCCGATGCCTTCATCGATCCTCTCACAGGAGTCTAGCCCCTGAGCTGCCTTGGAAGGTTCGTGAGGTGAGGATATATGGCAGCCGCTAGTCCAATAGCTGCCACTATTGCATCATTCAAGCTCTGCTCATGCACGCTGCTATCTGATCTGGAAGAACACTTTACTATCTCCGCAGCTCGGGTGGAGTTGTCCACAGCAACCGCAGTTGCCATATCTTACACTTGGGGCGAGTTTGACCGGCGCAAGCATGTACTTGGACACTGGACAGGTGCTGCAGAGCGACGTGTGAGCTTCGAGCTGGGTGCGGAATGGGATCTGGCAAGCTTTGTACATCGGCTCGTACAGCTGACTTCAACTTACCAGGGCCTCTGGATTGATCAGGCTTGTCTGCCACAAGATGTAAGCGACGAGGAATGGGCTGACGTGCTCATGTCAATTCCCCACGTGTTCAAGACTCTACCGGTGATTGCATTGTTTCCAGGCCGCTTGTGCAGATGCTTATCCACAACCTATCAACGATACCAAAATGCCATCCAGGGTCCCCAGGATGGCCCTAGGTCTGTGGCCTTTGGCACCTCAAAGGCGGTCGGAGAAGCCTATGAGAGGCTACGCGACATCATCACAGCGACGGAGTGTATCTATGCAAATGGCTGGTGCTCCTGGGTTGATCGTATCTGGCCATCCGAAGAGCTGCGGTACTCCCGCCAGATCTCCGTATGTTGGGCGGAGGAAGGCTTCGCAGATTGCCGCCAGCCTGGGAATCCCACCTTGAAGCCCGAGGAGTTGTCCGGCATGCCAATGCTGCTGTACCGTGATATGGAGTCCAACGGAGCATCGCATGAGGATATCATCACCGAAATTAGGCGGAGAGGCTCAAAGTGGATCAGACGCCTATGGCTCGCGATTGGCGAGAATCTCAAGGAATACTCCGAGGCAGCGTCAACAAGCTCATTTTCCCTGGATCAGCGCAAGAGTGAGGATATGGCGCGATTCTTGCTGGGCGAGGTCATGCAGCTGGGAAACTCTTCGAATGCGCTCTCTGACTTGTTCCGCTTCGTATGGGCGTGTGAAATCCTGGCACAAACAGGCAAGCAAGCCACGAAGCCGCACGACTACATTTTCTCCGTTTGGGCGGACTGGCCAAGCTACCAGGTCCCTCGCTCCTTCTCTCATCTGACCTGCTTTGAGCTGCTGGCCGATGCATTGGATCAGTTCAAGTCTGGCGACCACCAAGTATTTGTACCCAGCTCCAGTCCTGCAGGCCTCATCAACTCTTCCTCAGCAGCATCATGGAGATTTACCTGCAACCTCAGTCGGGACCCCGAGTTGATTGAAGACACTCATGACGTGTATCGCCCCTTCTTCTGGCTCAATCCCATGATTGGGACGTGCTCTGCTCTTCCCCTACATATTGAACACGGCTTCTCTCGGCCGTTTGAACCACGCCTGGTGAAGGAATGGATTTCCGAACTCCCGGCAAGCGTGGTCCTTGACCATGTTTTGGATTTCAGACAGAGAAGAAATGGAAGATTCATTGCAGAGGTCATCCGCTCTGGCACGAGCGACATGAGGGGTGACCCTTTCTCACTGCACGGGAAGCTGCACCTTGAGGTCGATGACATTTTCGACTTTATATGCCGTTCACTCAACCTCGACCAGGCAAAGTGCCGGAGAGCAAATCTCCAAGCGATATGTATGCAGCGCCAAGTGACTAGTAAGTTTAGTGACACATGGAGGTATACAAAGGAGGTCGTCTGCTTCGGACTTGCCAATTGGAAAAAGATTGAGGATGCAAGACTGGGCGGCCAGAGGACCCTGAGTGTCAACATCACGAACGAGAACTGGCCTTTATACGAGGCTGTATCAATACCGGGACAGAGTGACCACTTCTCGATCGCTGGGGTTTGGATTCCGCTCTGCGATATCTGCGAATGCGAGTTGGAATGTACAATAGACAACGACGACATTAATGGCGCTCTAGTGTAGTCAACGCAACAGCCTTGAGCCGATAGCTCGTGGTGTTCTCCTCTAGAATCAAGCCGAACGCCGCACGAGAGCAGCCCCGATCATAAAGTCGCTTGCTATTCCACGCGATGGAAAACAAACGAGGTTGAAAGTGTCTGAGTGGGGAACGCAGTTGACCAATCAGCAAGCGCCCCTTGTCTTCAATGGCATAGTGCATAATTAATACTTCCTTTCTCCTAACTTCACATCTTCCTATACCTCACTCGATCTCTGCTCCAACAGACTGCCAAGCTTAGACGGACTGTCAGTTCAAGCGTTGATATTCGTGCTCTTGTTCCCGGTCCACAACATCGTTACCAGGATTCCCGTTCAGCTCAGTGTTGGACGGCAACCCGACCGCACAAGCCTTGCAAGCCCTCAAGTCGTCGACGAACTCAAGCCGTACGCTTGACATCAACCTCCGACAAACGCCAGGGCCCAGTTCTCGAACACGCTGATAATCCCTACGGTTCTATCCCGGGATTCTCTCTTCCATTTACCACATTCACCTCCTCATCCCCGGCCGCGTCAGCTTTCCAACACTCCACGGCTCAGTAGAGACAGAAGAAGATCAAACAAGGAGAAGACATAACAGGAGGGCAACAAAATGATAACAGACGCTCAACTGTACAGCCTGGCCATCTTCCTCGGCAGCGCGGCGATGCTGCTGATCGTGCTGTACCACTTCCTCGAGGTCAACGCGCAGGGGGACGACAAGTTGAACGGAGAACTGCGGGATGAGAAAGCCGGCGTGGGGGCTGTCAAACCACCGGCTGTCGGCGAGGAGACTCGATGATATATGTCAACTACGACGACAGAAAAGAAAAGAGACGGATGCAGGTACGACCAGAATATCGTCTCGCCGGCGCGGGGTTTCGAAGTTGAAGGCGGCAGGCTGATTGGAACGAGGCGTTCAAGTCCCGCGCATGCGGGAGAAAAGGAAGAGAGAAGCAAGGAATGGCGATCATAGGGCTGCACCAAAGGCGCAGGTAGAGGAGGCGGGAAAAGGTGAAGGCGACGTCGCTCGTACCACAACCCCAAGCTACACCAATGCCATCCGATACCTACCAGAGCGGCTCCCAGCTTGACGCCTTCCTGCTCTGAGACATCAACAGGCATCGTGAGAGAAAGCAAGGAAAGAAGCAGAAAGACAGCGCCACAACCTGACAGCGCGGCACGCCCAGAGAGGAACTTCCGACATGCCCAAGCAAGGGGTACACCTGGCAAGATCTCATTCCATAACCCTCATCAGTCATGTAAACATTTGTATCACCACCCTAGGGGTCGGAGCGACAGTACGGCGCTATATGAGACCTCCAGCCCCTCAAAATAGAAGTAAGGCCTTGAGACAGCGTACACTTCAAAAGAACATAATATTAACTAAGATGAACTACAATCAGGGCGTATTACCTCGTATATCTCCCTTTAATTGGGCTGTTCCAAGGCTGCCACTAGCGAGTTTTAACTTCTTGGCGGCGCAACGCCGATCGTTGGCTCTCCGCAACTCCAAGATCTGCCTCCATCAACACCCCGCGTCTTCACCGTCCCGTTTCCTGCGCGTGCTACGAACTATTAATGGTGCCTTCATCCTCCCTGTTATTCATTTCAGTCGATATGGCACCGACTGTTGCAAAGCGAGACATGGACGGAGCGTCGAAAGGTTACGACTGGTCTGACCGCCGACGAGCGATGCCTCCGTCTGAAATTCAGCCCGCTTCAAGGACAAGAAGACCGCGCCGTTCTGCCCAACGCGAAGAGGAGGACAAAGACACAACTCAGCACCGAAGAAAGAGCCGAAGAATCCAGGAAAGATGTCAGTTTCCTCAAACCACTTGTCCGATTCGCGTGTCACTGACCACGGTGCAGCCGACCAACATCACCCGCAAAATCCGAGAAGCCCTGAGACCTCTCGCATGGGCCTACGATCACAAGAGAAACAAGCTGCAAACCAGCCATGAGCTACAAGAGGAGGAGGACGGACAAAGCCACCGCAAAGACCATCAGGAAAGCAACAACCTCGTCGGAAAGAGAAAGGCAAAGATCCTACACCCTCACCGGCAGACCTAGTGGCACACAAGAACAGTCAGTTATCGCTGGCGCTTCGATGAAATCATATTGCTAATTCAAAAACAGCTGAACAGCGGCGTTGTACGGATACCGAAGACGAACCAAACCACGACGCGAAGCGTGCGAAACGCAGGCTACCACAACACACTGAAGTAACGACTGGACCTGATAAGGAGAATTTCATTGAGACTTGGTTAGAAAAGTTCTGTTGGTCTCGGAGATCCTCAGCAGCGTCAGCAGAAATCGAAACCCCCTTTCTGGAGGCACTGGTCAATATGCCTCGCAAACCTTCCCGTATCCTCCCCTCTCCAGACAACAGCGAAAACACGATGTCTACATCCAGGAAATCCGAGAAGTCTGCTGCAAGTGTCCATGACACGAATTACCGACAGTGGTTGCGCTATCGCAATATTTACGTCAACCGTGGAGCCCCTCCACCAGAATTAATGCGACGGGCAGAGAGAATAATATCACGCTCACGAACATCCCCCGACATGGATGACGAAGCAGTCCAACAGGTGATCAGAACAAGTCGAATGATTGAAGACGAGGTTGAGGAAGTCATCTTACAGCAGTTGGCCCCCGATGTCATTCCCGCTATGAAGACGCTTCCTGATGGGCGATTGGCATCGAATGCCAGCCAACTATGGTGCAATTGTGTCCCCATCCCGCTCAAGCCCTCTATCCTTACGGACCCACTCCCCTTACCCAGGCCCAAACCAGACCGGATTTTTGGGTATTCCGAGGAAGCCTTCACTGAGAGCCAGTTGGGGACAATTGATCTACTTGTCGACGACTATTTCGGCCGAAGCTATGCTATTCCGGACCAGAAGATTCGATTTCCTTTCCTAGAAATCGATGTCATGTCGCAGGCCAAAAATGGAACTCACTATATTGTAACAAATCAGGCCGCTGGTGCTGGTGCTATCGCATTGAACGGCAATCTAGAACTGATGCGGCGCAGCTCCGGACTGGAAAAATTCGATTACGAAGAACCACTATATTTCTCCATTAGTATGGACCATGAGCTAGCGCGAATAAATGTGCACTAGCTAAAAGCGGTAGCTGAAGGACGCCATAGCTTTCATGTCGCAGGACTATCAAAACATCTTCTGGACGATGCAAATGGTATTCGAGCGCTTTCTCGGGCAATCAAGAACATTCTTGACAACGGTACCGACGTCCGGCTGCGAGCACTCTGTGTGGCACTGGATGCATACCGCGAGACAGTCATTCGCGACAGAAACGCAGTAAATGCGCAGAGAGAACCGCAACACGAGGTTCTAACGGAATCGCAGGCTAGGCAGCGGCCCAAAAGTGGAGCACGCGCGCCTAGACCTCATTTGGCAGACGGCGCATCTCACTTGGAAGCCGTTGGAATCAGCCGAACTCCAATTAACCCTGCACCGACTTTGCCTAGCGGACAGCGAGCCAGAAGAGGAGTATCTACGCCTGAAGTTCATGCGGGAGCGGTTACACCATACGAAGAAGTCAGAACCAGTCGACCACCAGTCGAACCCATTCGACCTATGCACACTGAGCAGCGGCCCCAACGCGCAGGGACAGCCAAACGTCGTCCGGCGCAGAATCCGGTCGACATTCCCGCCAAGTCGACACCAAACGCGGCCCAAAGGCTATGGAGTACGACTAAATGGTTATATTTTGGCATCGGGTGACGAACCATCCTTGAGAGGCCGCTCAAAAAGCTGACAAATGATACCATATCTGTCATGGTGCCGTGCTGAACCGATATCGGGACTCGTTCTCTTCTGGACGCCCTCCGTCTACATTGAGCATCAGCCCAAATCGTATGAGAGAACAAAGATGTCATTGAACTTTTCGATGCATGGGCAGAAGATGAGAGTGGCTCTACAGCTCAATCGAGACAACACGACCAGCCAGCCTTGCCATGCAATGAAGGAGACCCACCTCGCCGGCTCATTCCTCGACTTGCGAAATGGATGACGAGCTGCCTGTAATGACAGATAACTCGAAGGACAGAGAGAGTCTCGAGAGAGATCATTGAATCTGTCGACAGACCTGAGCTGGAACCTCGAGGCCATGTCTTTACCAGCCTTGCCCGGAGCACGCACAGCAATGAAGGAGTTTCGAAGCCACCCAGAAATGCAAACTCGTCCCATGCTGATACTAGGCTCGAACTCGGACGGATGAGTCACTACAGAGAGTTGGGAAGCCGCGAAAGTGGAGTTTTTGAGAGTGCTCCAAGTTTACCAGCGTTCGGAGCCCTTTTGTATTCAAAAGATTTGTACCAAGCCAGGGCGCTTCAGGGCGCTTCAGAGCGCTTAGGGGCACTTGGAGCCAGAGGGAAGAAGACTGTGCAGACACCGGTTCCTCAGCGTTCGAGGTGACATGGGGTAGCGAACTGGCCAATAAGCCTAGCTGCTTATGCAAGAGCCCGGTGCTTACAATGGGAAGCTCTGTACAGCCCCGGGGGTACACCCGCCCGGGCACTCTCACCTCAAGCTCCCATGCCCCATCGTTGATGCAACGCAGCTCCCACCAGCCTTTCGTGTTTGGATGAGGGACTGAGGGATGCATTACCTTGACGTATCTTATCTAAAGCGGCGCTCTTCTGGCTGGCAGGGCAAACGCATGCAATGATTTCTCACCAGCATCTAAGATTAAGTGATAGTAGAAGGATACCAGAGATCTATCAAGCCGTCCGTCCGCTGGGGGCGTTGGAGGGCTCGCGCTGTATGGACGCATAAACACCGTGTCCCGAGAGACCCTCAGTTTCAGGTAGTCGTTGCCGATGAACTTGAATGACAGCCCATACTGACTGTGTCTCTGAGTAATGGATGGAGGGGCAGACACTCTCATGAGGATCGCCGAATCGCCTTGGCAACCCCGCAAGTTTCGAGATCTGAGTGGGGTCGCAGATCGTAAAAACTATGCCGAAACAGGTCAAGTACCAAACTAACTTCCATAATGCTTCCCTGCCTGGTCCTTACGACCATCACTGTGTACGGAGTACCTTGAAGTCCGAAATTCATGGATGCAAAGTCCCCGAATTGGGGTGCCTCATTTGCCCTTGGGAGGTCTGGGGATGGCATCTTACAGCAAGCAAGGTTCGTGGCTACCGCTTAACAAGTCCATCAATCTCTCATTCTGCCCAATTGTCCCGGAAACAATCTGAAGTCTCTCCGTGGGGTGTGCAAGCAGTTACATGTATATGGGGAAGTAACCCGCCTTTCTGTACGAAAAGGTTGTCATTCGCTGCAGAAAGGCACACGATCCAAGGTTCTAGGAATGCGGGAAGTTTTCGAGGACGTGGGCATGGAGGCGATTTTCTACAGACTATCTCCTCACTCACGGACCTGTTCCTTTCGGTGTATGTCGACGACTGGGCCCCTATCATCGATGCTGTCACGAGTCATCCCTCTAGTTTGAAGCGCTTGGTCTTCCACGGAGGGGTAGCGGGAGGTGCTGGGTGTCGGCGGCGTGGTATATTTTCCGTATGTTCTTCTGCTGCATACTCCCGTGGAAACTGACTATGTGCAAGAGCCAGCCTTGCTGATATCAACGTGATTTAAATGCCACGGGTATTTTCTAATCAACACACAAGGGCAAACACTATTTTCGAAAAGTGCTGACAGCATGTGGACGACGCGTTGGCCTCTGGACCCGGGTGATCTAGGTGTCTACATAGGTCTGGTCATCCGGGGACACGGGGAGGCTCGGGTAATGACGAGGGAGAACGGAGACACGGTCTGTTTGAAAAAGGTGCTCAAATCAGAGCCGTCGTCAAAATCGGCAGGCCCGAGCGAACGAAGATTTAGTACCATTCATGGACATTTCGATCACTCAAGTAGCAAGATGTGACCACAACAAAGAGTGACGGCACAAAAAGGAAGAGCTGCCTGTTGGGAAGTGCTTAAGCATCGCCAAAGGCGTCCAGCAGGAGAAACAAAGGTTGCGCAATAGTTTGCATTCAAATAGCCAAAACGGTATTGTAGGAACTCTTATGTCCTTTGATACGTTGCTGCAAGGTTATCATCAGCCCCAATGTTTGTGGTGGGATGATCCAGCCATTTCTGTAACCTCGACGCTGGAGTAAACAAGCCAAAGACCTTAGTATCATCTGCCTGACCGGGCCCTTCACAGCTCATGAAAAGCTCATTCCCAGGTTACCGGATATTCAAAGATAGATGAAGTGGGCGGGTCGAGTTGTATTCCTGTGGAGCTCGTCACTGATGTCGTTTTCTCATCAACGTGATAGCCTCCGATTGCTGAGGCCCATACTTGACAGCGACCATGTCCTCAGGCTCTGTCATCAAGCCCGGAAAGCACATGCACCGTATATCTCCGCGACGCTTGCGTGATCTGTCGTTAATAATCTCCGTCGACCACTCTCTGAATCCCCGGGTTTTGGATCAGTGTCGCTCTTCTAGCCTCGGTCACCAAGATACATCCGCCACGGTCAATCCCTGGCCCAATCTTCGCCTTTCTTGCTGCCATAGCTTTCAGAGTTTCTTCAGCGAGAGCCCTTGAACTACTCTTCTCCTTGCGATGTGTCTTCATGAAACTCCTTTGAGCATATCTCTCCCAATCATTGTGTTTGGCCTTCAGCAGTGTCATCGTGTCGGGCTCCAGGTCGTCTTGCGCAGACTTGACCGATACGTCAGGTGTGGTTATTCTGCCTTGTTCGTCCGACAGGTAGCGGGCTTTGTCACGGAGGAGGGTCTGAGGATCTGTGTGAGAAAGAGTTCTAGTGAAGGAAGTCGAAGGTTGCACGGGGAAGTGAAAGACAAATCTTGAGACATCAAAAGGTTTTGATGCTGCAGTTTGTGGCTTACCGATGATCTTGGTTGTTGGGCCATCCCCCATCCTAGACGCGACTTCATTTGTGTGCTCCTCAATGTGTTTCAGCCAGTCTTTCGGGTTGTCAAATATCTCGGAGGGTCGCAGAGAGCCATCCCCATCATCTATGAGGTATTTGCACCTTTTCCACCAGCAGATATAGCCGCCTTCTTCTTCAAGTTGCTTTGGTGTCGGTCGGTGGACATTTGAGACATGATTCCGGAGGGTCTGGAGATTGTGAAGATGTGCCTTACAACCCCGCCAACGGCATTTGAACACGGGAAGGCTTGGCGCAGCAGGCGAGGGTATAGTGATCTCAATCGGGGACGGTTCCTGCACTGCGGCCTTCTGCATCGCCTCGACAGAAGGGTGAAGGTTGCTTGCCCCCGGAGGCCTCCCTCGTCTCTTGCCACTTGGGAAAAACGCGCCGGGACTCGATCGCTTGGATTCCATCGTGGAAGGCACTTGAACAGACACAGATTGAGTGGACTGCCTCCGCTCCGAGTTAGGAGAGCCGTTCGAGGAAATGAGGCTCGACGGTCGCTTCTGAGGGATTACTGGCTTCGTAGTGGCCTTCGAGACTTCCTGAGATCGTGGGGGAGTATGCGGTGTTGTGGCCACTCGAGCCGTTGAAGACGACTGGGGCTGTAGAGGTCGTGCTTTGACGACTTGGTTTGTAGCGGTCGCGGTCGCGGTCACTGGCGCAGGCGCAGGCGCCGGCGCAGTCGCAGGTGCGGGTGTTAGGTGCTTTTCCGAATTCGGTAAAGCGCGTTTCGCCGTGGTATCGGCCTCAGGCAGGACTTGACCTCTACGCCGTATCCCTGATTCCCCAAGGCGATATCGTGGAGCCTCAGTCGGGACATCGACAAATTCGACCTGGGGTACTGGAGGTCCCTCAGGATCTATCGCATCCCAGTTGAACGTGCTTAGATCAGAATCAATCTCCACAAATTTCCCAAGAAGACCTGCCAGATGTGCATTGAGCGCACGCTCGGTCGGATGTCTCCCAGCAGCAATCAGAATGTCCCTAGCCACCGTCTTAGGGTTGTAGTAGGTCTTGCGAAAAGCCTCCTCCTTATTTATGGGCTTGGCAAGTAACCTCAACGATCGTTGTGGCGGTGGTGCTGGGGTGGGTTGGGCAACTGAGGACGGAGCTTGAAGATGTAGACGATAGTGAGGAAGTGGAACATATCCATGCGGGTATTGAAGGAGGCTGGGATCAAAGCGGAGCGGCGGTGGAAATCCTGCATCGATATATGGAGCCGTAGGCGGCGGTAGATTTGAAGTCACCGGCTGAGCCAGATTCTGATACTCCTGGAGCGCAGCTGTTGGTTCCGGAGAAGGACCCTCAGCCCGCGCTTGTTTCTTGGGCATCACATAGTCCTCATTGTCGCTCAGGGTAGTTAGGTCGATTATGTCCGAGAAGTCGCGTTTTCGCGCCATTGCTTCTTTCGAACCAGTGACGGGTTCGGGGCGTGCTTGATGATAGTTTCTTGTAGGCTTTGACTGCGGCATTTGAGCGGATCGAGGAGCAGCGGGGCGACCCGGAAAAACAGGAATTCTTACTGCCTGAGTCATATTGCTGGGGTCTATCGTACGAGCTGGAACTGGAGCAGGAGCAGAAGCATCAATTGGCAATGGTCCTGGAGGCATCCTGGCTGGGGCGACAGAAGCCCCAGCAGCCGAAACCTGTACGGGTGCTCGAGAAAGTACTGGTATAGGAGGAGCTGGAAGAGCTTGAGTCTTCGATGGTCCTCTCAGCTGTGGAACTTCACTCAGGAGTTGTCTCGCGAACTGACTTCTGTGGAATTTGAGGCCCTTCTTCTCGAGTGTCAGGCATAGATCGGTATAACTGGGATCCTGCTCGAGAATCTGATGGATGTCTTGATGCGTGATCTCGATCTTCGCATTTTCAGGATTGGCCATGAGAAACTTGACGGCTACTTGTGCAAGAGCATTGTGTTTATTCTCCGCCCATATCGTGTCAATATTCACTTTGGGAAGGGGACCTTGAGAAACAGGAGCTGGCTTTTCAGTGGACGGAATTGCTCGAGTTGGAGTTTGTTGTTTACTTGGGTTAGGGACGATGTATTGTTCGGAGCCCAGGACTATCGGGGTTGGTTGTCCAGTCGCGTCTGTCTCAGACGAACGCTTGCCCTGGGATGATAGTCTGATACGCCGTTCGGCAGGAAAGCGGCCTAAGTCAGGTAATCCTTCCGGATTGTTCTCAACGATAACTCTGTATCCATTGAGCTTAGCCCCCAGTGGGGTAATCGAAAGAGCATCTGGCAAATGTTTGGCGGTCTTTGTGGCGGATGTCGTTGTAGGGAGTGGCGAGGTACCTGGTTTCGGCGGAGGTGCTGGATCAACTGAAGTTGACGCCTGAGGTCGACTGTGGTCAGTCGGAAAAGTGTTCTGTGTGCTTATCTGGGGGGATTGTGCTGGGCCTGCTATCGAGGGGACCGATGGTGTCTTTCGCATGTCGTCCCATAGCCTTTGAAAAAGGGATGGATCCTTGTTCCGAAACTCTTGCATCTTTTCCATCATAGCCTTGAGTTCGGCTGCCATGTCCGCTTCGCTGGCCACAGCATCTGATTGGCGCGCCGGCTGAGACCCGCTGTGAGGGCGCTTCTGCGCAGATTGAGCAGCCTCTGGCTGTTCTGCCTTACTGTTAGATTCACTGGTTGTTGGAGTGGCCATAGCCACAAGATTCACCTCTTGCACTCGTTTCTTTGTGGCAGCCGATGCATTTTCCCTTTTCTCTTTCGCGGCTGCCTCCTCTGCCTTTCGCCTGGCCTCGGCCTCGGCCTCCCTGCGCCTCCGTTCGTGTTCTTTATGGAACGGGTTGAAGACCTGAGTAGGGTCAATGTAATCAGGCATTGACGCCGGCTCAAGTGACGCCGCCTCCACTGGAGAAACAAGATTCGAAATGCTGTTCACTAGTTGGCCCTGTGGCTGCACAGGACGTTGCGAAGCCTCCACGCCTGGGCCCGTTCTGTGCAATCCAGTGTTGGCCACCTGTCGCGGCTTTTCTTGGGTAGCCGACGCTGCGGAAATAGCGCCCCTATGATTCGTCTGGGGTGTGGTAGAGGGCCGATAACCCTGGCCCTGCGTCTTAGGGTTCTGTGGTTGATAGTACGGTGAGGCTGACCTTTGCGAAGCTGACTTTTCCATCACCGGCGAAGCCGACACGTGTCCGCCCATTGCGGCTGCTGTTTGTTGGAAGTGGGCGCTGACGTTTCCAACTAAGGACTTGGCTGCTCCTAACAACGAATTCGGTTGATTCTGAGAGGAAAGAGAGGAAAGATCGTTCTGATACCCGTACCTCGGCGGCTGGCTGGGGTCGAACCGCGATGTTGTACCGTGTGCTGTGACCGGGGAACGTATGCGATTGATGGTGGCTGAAGATTGACTTAAACCTGACATTCCGGTCGAGTGTTGCTGGCGGTGGCCGTGTCGCTGCAAAGCTGCGTCGTCCAGTCCCGATGAATATGCCAGATTATTCAAACCCGAGTTGTTTTGCCCTGCCTTGTTTGAAGGTATGGAATTGTAATAGTTGTGCCCGCTCCCTCCATCGCCAGCCACAGCCTGCACTGCGTACTGACCCTGCTGTCTCCGATCGTCGCGGGGAGCGACTTGCGTCCTTCCACTTCCCCAAGCGCCGTCAGCATACGTTGTCCGTTGGCTCGCGCTGTTCGAGTAGCTCTGCTGTTGTTGGACAGCCCAGTCGTAGCCGCAGTTACTGTATTGTGGTTGAGGAATGTCCCCCCGATAGGACGCTTGTGTGCCATATCGATTGTTCGCGGTCGAACGCCGTTCTGAATTGGAGAAGTTGTTCATATTCGCTTCTTCCGAATCGTAACATCCTCCACTATTGTGCTTTCGAGAGGACCAGCTGTCCACGCTTTTTCAGCGCTCTTGAACGAATTTCCCAAATACATCTCCCCCTTGCGTCGGCACGCCCGACCGAGATCCGCGAATGAGATGGTTGAGGTCTGGTTGCGCGTGTTAGGATAAGTGTGATCAAGGACAGTGCATGCCTCGCTCTCCTCTTACGACTTTGACATACTACAGTTATTCAATGTCCGCGGTGTTGCTGCAGGTACGCACAGGTGTGACGCGCAGTTGAGAACTGACTGAAACAGGAAAGCGCGGGGCCCAATATGCGGCAGCAGTGCCAAGTGATCCACCGAAGTGAATTTCTTGGCGCGTGCGGATTTCGCACCACCGCAAAATTCCCAAAATTCAGCCGCGCCATATTGAGATCTCAGTGCTCTGTTGTTCGACATTCTTTTCCCACGCTCAACTATCGCCCAGCCATGACGAAGATGAACCATGGTATGAATCCCCTTCACATAAGGGCATCTCTCACTACAATGAGGAGTCGGACCCTGACGATTTCCTACAGGTCTTGCCTCGTCGAGGCGCAAGTCTCGCAAACTTCACTTCGGCGCCCCCTCGAGCGTGCGACGAACGATCATGAGCGCTCCGTTGAGCAAGGAATTAAGAGAAAAGCACAATGTATGAAATACCCTCCTCTGGCTACCGTACATGAGTACTCTCTCGTCCCGTGTTCAAGGTCTTACGAAACACACCACAGGTCCGCAGCATCCCCATCCGCAAAGACGATGAAGTCACCATCGTGCGAGGCTCCAACAAGGGCCGCGAGGGCAAAGTCACCTCGGTCTACCGACTGAAATACCTCATCCACATCGAACGTGTCTCGCGAGAGAAGTCGAACGGCCAATCCGTCCCGATCGGCGTCCACCCCAGCAAGGTTGTCGTGACGAAACTCAAGCTCGACAAGGACCGGGAGAAGATCCTGGAGAGGATTGGCAAGGGCCGAGAGGCTGTGAAGTCGAAGGAGTAGAGGGAAAACAGAAAGAGCCAGCAAGCGAGCGAGCAAACGGTGTGCATGTTCAAGGGGGAAAGTTTCCGATCGTGGATCTTTTTGCTTTGTCCCTCGATGCATGCACACAGGGTGACCCAAAAAAAACAAAAAAAAAACAAATTAGGTCTCGGACTCGGAGCATTCAATTCCTTGACAGTTTCCATGAGGATCGTGATCAACGACAATGAGTTGATAGAGACACAAAGGCGTCATACATACCCGAAGACCGAAAGGACGTCTCATTCGTGGCTTGAATGGGAAAAAAGAAAGCGAAGCAAAATCATTCCAAAAGAAAAAAGAGTTGACGGGCAGACCTTTGTTCGAAGCAATCTCCCCAACTCTTCGCTCCAGGCTTCAAAGGATATGTGCCGCTCAAAATTCCCTTCACCTTCCTCCCCCATTTTTGGTCAAAGAAATTTCCTGCAAAGTTGTTTTATGCCAGTATTATCTCCTTGTCTACCGAACTTCCCATGGTTACCCAAGGTATACGGCTGGCGCAGATTGAAAGAAAAAAATGATTTTTTTCTTCCCGTTCCACCTCACTCGCAGAAGAGGGAGGGGGCAATGGAAAGCTCGCCGGCAGACTGTCTACAAGGATACGATCCAATGAGTTGCAGGATTTGATGGCGAGGGACAAATACCCATCCACCCACCGTTTTGTGAAGAACCTCCCATGACGTGTCGTTGGATTTTTCTTAGTTTTGTTTTGTTCAGTGTTGCTTGAGATCCTGCTATACCCTCATCACTTTTCTATTTTCCACACATACACACAAAAACACACACACACACACACACACAAACATGAACCCTCTCATTGAAGACTCCCCCCACCAGAGAAGCCATTGACGGCAGGCAATCTTGTCACCCCTAAGAGCATGCCTTCGCTTACCACAATGGTGAACACGGTTCCAAAAGCTCTCACCTATGCGGTGATTGAGAGACGAGGACCAACATCACCATAATGCAAGCACGCAAGCAAGCAAGCAGACACCAGCAAAAGCGTCCCACGCCGAGTGGTAGGAAAGCCGAATAGAAAATGATTGGATGAGAGTAAATCTTGGCTGTGCTCTGGGCCCCACCCACAGAGATACGCACGAAAGCCAGAAATATACTCGGTGTGTACCACGTAGATAGGTAAAAAAACACCTTTGATTTATTGTTTACTAGTTCTGTGTCCTCGGATCAGGAACGCATTGAGATTCTTCGGCAGGAATCAATATACACGAAGCTCCGTAGAACGACACGTCGCCGTGTAACACGTGTGTACCCATCCATTCCCTGTTTTGCACCACCTCCAGACCTAAAGCAAAACCTTTCTCTTTTTCTTAGAATTGCTTCTCCAAGACGCCGTTGGCAGCGTTCATCGCACCACGCTCCGTTGACGGAGGCACATCCATACCAGTGACCTTGGATAGATATCTAGAGAGACCTTCCTCGCCTTCCTCGTGCTCGGCGTGGCCCTTGTGGATCTTCTGCAGGCTGTCCCGCATTAAAAATTCGTAGTATCCCGTGGCGAAGATGGTGGCGGGGATGTTGACCAGGATCGAGATCCACGAGTACCCGTTGTCGAAGCTGAAGGCCTCGCCCCCAAAGAAGATGGCGGCGACAATGCGCGTGCCCAAGTCCCTGGCCAAGTTGGTGGATATGCTGTTTCCGGCGAACCCCCAGACCATGGCCGCGTACACCAGACCGATAGTGAAGGGCGCGGAGGTGGCGCTGACGAAGGGATTGGCGGGGTCGAGACAAGCCCAGATCAGAATGCCAATGTAGCTATCGACAAAGAACTCCTGGAAGAACAGATATCCCTGGTTGTGCTGGTCCGGGTTGGGGAACGTGCAAAAGATGCTGGCCACACCGCCATTGTAGACCGCGGTGCCGTGCTCTTTGATATCGATTGCTTTTGCTGCTTGGATTTGTGGCCAGTAGCATGCCATCAGGAACAAGCCGGCGATGAACGCGCCAAAGATCTGGGAGAAAATGTAGTGGGGGACTTTCTTCCATGGGAAGCCTAATGGTTGGATACACCTGTCAGCGAACCATGATCTCCTCAAGAAGCTCGAGCCTGTCGCGACGGAGGAGAAAGGAGGCTCGACTTACCTTGCCAGATAGCGAAACAGATTGTGATGGCCGGGTTGAAATGGCCACCGCTGGTGGGTGCACAGGTAATGATCGCGAACGCGATACCCATGGCGAACGCACAGCCGATTTGGAAGAGAGAGCCAAAAACCGGGATTCCGACCGCTGCCCCAACGCCATTGGTGGTAGCAAGCGTGAATGAGGCCACAGAGGCGATACCGGGGAACACGTAAAAGAACACGCCCGTGCTGATACTACCGTCAGCATCGAGAATCTTATGCGGAAACCGATGTAGATCTCCCTCAGATGAAAGATCTGGTTCATCGGTCGAGAGCTGGGTCGTGGCCACTCACGCTTCTGCCATCATTTCCCGCAAAATACGCGGTCTGTTGTGCTCAAAGGTGAGCTTTCGTTGGGACACGGGCTTGGGCGCCACCACATGACGAGTGACATGGCGCTGGAGGACATCCGAGACACCGAGTTCAATGTCATGTGTGTGCTGTCGCGTCAGCGAAGGCGGGTGGTTGCTGGCCATGACTGTTTCGTCTCCGCTTGCGGCTCGTCTGTGATTAATATTCAATAAACCTGGGGATGCTACCGTGCACAGTCTGGGGGAGGGACGATCTGGGGAAATTGATGGAAGAGTAATCACGACAAAAATCTCTCAAAACCTGGGGTGAGTGGCCCTAGATGTAGACCACGAGCTGCGACCCCGACCTCGGTCGATGCCACGTTCTTCGTTCCACTTTGTTGATTCATAACCAGCATGCTTTCCGAGACCTACCGTTGGTGCGCACTTCGTCCTCAACCACCGCACGGGTGAAAACCGAACCCACAAGTGGATTGGGGGGGAGATAGGTTCATTCAATGACAAGGTCGGCAACGAGGGGAGCCGGTAGTTGTGGTTCACAAAACGCATTACCGCTGGGGGGGACAGGGCTCGGGCGTCATGATGAAGCAATGCAAGCGATCCGACTTGTCAGGAGAGGTTTCTTGCCACACAAGGTGGCATTGCTTGACGAGAGACAAGCTTCGCAAGCACGCTACCCTTCCAGATCAGCAAGATGCCTTCCCTGAAGGGGTAGGACATCTGTGAGCAGGGGAGGGGAGCAACAAAGGGGAAAAGGCTGAGAGGTCAGAATGTCGATGAGGTAGGCAGATTTGGGACGCCGGAACTTCGTGTGGTTGGTCATCCAGTGGCAGTGGCGCGGCAATGGCGTTGATGATTCGTTGGTGACGAGGGCGACAACAAGGCCAGGAGGTTGCCACAAACAGCCTCGGTGGAAGGACTTGACAGGGTGCGTCATCAGCCTCCTCGCCGATGGTATGGATTAGGTAGAGGGATGGAATCGGCGGAAGCGGAGATAAAGCGGGCAACCGACTGTAACAGTGCTAGGCTTTTTCATTGACGCCCCCCCGTGGATCGCTGGGGTCTCCATGTGGAGAAGATCATGTCGTTGTCTGCGTATGATTTGAAAGGGCTGCGTACGACGTGCCGCTCAACCCCACTCCCACCACCGGCGGTGATGCACTCGTCGTCCTGAATTACCCCGAGAAACAGGAGGTCGAGACGTTCCAACAGGCTTTTTCCGGGCGAGATACGGCACCTCCCCGGTCGAGTCCGTCCGTGGTAGTCTTTGTCGCTGGCCGAAGTTCCGAGAGCGCTGTCCATGTTGTGGGATGGCAGATGCTGAGCAAAGCCCACGAAAGGTTTAGCCTGTCCAGAGATGCTGCCAAAGCTCCCGTGCTGCCGCAATACGCAGTGAATAAGCCTGCGTCGGGCCGGATAGAAGGGATACGACACACCATCTTCGCAAAAACAAAATCCAAGCTATATCGCACAGGGCCAATCATGGTTTCCTTGCTGTACGCCTAAGGCAGATATAAATAATTTCCCAGCGCCACCTCAGTCATTGCAGGGGACCTGACTGCTATCGTCCGGTGGACTCGAATTGTTTTTGTTCTGTCTCTCGGAACCGACCTTCCTGTACTGTATGTGGAATCTTCTCTGGGGCTTTCATCCACCACCAAAGGCCCTCGGATGTGGAGGGTGGGCGGATGTCCCTCCGCCCATCCAGGAGGGAGGGAAATCAAGGCCCCGGTGAGGATCCAAGCGGGCTTCACGTCCACCGGAAAACCACAATCTCCAAAATGTCCCCCGGCCCGAGTAATTGTGCACCAGCTGCTTCTCACCATTTCTCGACCGCAGGCCTTATGTCGATTTCGTTCGTAAAACAAGTCCTAGGCTGGGTATGCAGGTACCAATACGAGTCGGCGATGGCTTCTGGTTTGATCTTAGCTTCGGGATGGTCGAACTTCCATTCCTTGGTCCGCTCGATATCTATCACACCATCAATGATAGCGTGAACCACATGCACACCCTTGGGCCCAAACTCTCTTGCCAGCGATTGCGCCACGGCCCTCATCGCAAATTTCCCAGCTGCAAAGGACGCGCACAAAGCGGAGCCCTTCATGGCTGCCGTTGCAGAAGTAAAAATGAGGGTCGGTGGGTGTTCTGCGGATGTGTTCTTCAGTAGAAGGGGAAGGACGGCCTGGGAGAAGTGGAATGATCCTCGCCTGATCATATGACACAAATCAACATCAGCGACTTTCTCGTCCTCATAGGGGTTTGTGTTCCAACATACCCGTTGGCTTCCCATCCACTCTCAAATTCTTCCTCGGTCAGTTCCAGGAACGGCTTCCTCACAAACCGGCCGCCCACATTGTAGATTGCGGCTGCAAGCGACGCGCCTCCCATCTCTTTCTGCAGCTGCTCAAAGGCAGCCTTGACACTTTTACTGTCCGAAGTATCGGTGCTGATGCCAATTGCCTTGCCACCAGCGGCATTGATCTCATTGACCACGGGTTCATAGTTTGCCGGTTTCCGAGCGAGGAGGGCGACCGCATAGTTCTGTGCGAATCGACGAGCGACCGAGGCACCTCTGTTTCCGCGTCAGTGCTCTGGTGGATTCTTCCAATGCTTCCATCAGAGTCGAGACTTACGTGCCAGGGCCGACACCGGCAACGATTGCCCACGCTTTCTGCGATGACATTGTAGACGAAGTCAATCTGTGAGCGTCGGTGCGAAGTCTGTTGAGAGCAGTCTGTCTGGTACTAATTGTCATACAAATTCGGAGAAAAGGTAAGATGAGAGGCAGCTGGTACAACAGATACTTGAACTGAGTCTTGGTCGGTGACCGAGATGAGCAGATCTTCGAAGGGTGAGTGACGCAGGTAATGTTTGTATCACTTGTGTTTCATTTATTAAGAGCTGATCGCCTAGCCCCGCGATGATGTGCTCGAGGGTTACAAATCGGTTCAGTCGTATGGGTGCCCAGATAACTAATCCCAGAAAGTGACAAAACAAGGCTTTCTCGTTTCTCATATTACGAAGCGCAGGCTCCGGGTTAAGCACGCGTTTACCCCGCCATCGATGCCGCCGTCGCCCAAGACTGACTCAGGAACTGAAGCTCATCATCGCGCTAATTAGTCAGCTAATTGGCCCCCAATCGAGCTCATCGAGGCTTTGATCCGTAGGCGAGTAAAGCTGTTCATACCTTGGGGACTTCGGAATGATGAATACGGACATGCTCAACAGAAACGATGACTGCAAACATGCTCACCAGTGGGATCTGGTAGCACAGTCGATCCAGAGCCTGCTTCGAGCAATTGTTCGCAATAGCTCCCAGCATGCCTCTGATATTGACAAACCCATTGCAGAGATAAAAAGCTAAAGGTGGCGCACATCCTTTGCCTTGGGGACTTGACGGAGCTTCCTCTGCCGGGCTACTCGTCCTCAACTCCGACGTGGCGCCTAAGACATTAGGGGCGGAATCCCCCCAGAGAAACGCATGTGCTGAACAATCTGCCTGAGTCCAAGACAACTTACCAGAAGCTTGTCAAGTCGGGAGAGTACTGCCCCAATTAGACTGCTCCCGCAGCTGCTGTCTCTGTTCGGAGCATGGTCCCACAGGAGAGTCTGCTTTGGGCCTTTTCAAGAGAGTCAAGCGGTGAAAGACTAAGATCCGACACACAGGAAGACAGCCGGATGAGAACATGCTACATGCCACGACCTAGACGGGAATGAGACACACCGCTTTCAGGGACTCCTCAGCAATGCCTGATCTGCTTGGTGGTTCGAATGATGTGATTCTCTTGGGAATGTGCTTCGGTATAGAGATATACCGTCCTCCTTGCTGCGTATCACGCGGCTGCACAGCAGCAACACAACCCACTCAACGCATCTCGGTTCGTCTCTCCCTCAGGTTTTTTAGAGAGCAGCCAGGTCTTCAATGAAGCACACGGCTCTTTGATCCCTTCCTTGATCAACCACCAATTGATAGGGAACCCGGTCCAATGGCCGAAAAACATGCCGACCTTAGATTTCATTAGCAGCAAGCAGCAAACGTCGGTCGGAATTATGTTCTTTTCACGATGATTAAAAGTCAACAGGGCATGTTGTTCAAAACTTACCTGCATCATGAACCAATACGCTGCGGTGGTCATGCCCAGCCCCTGCTCGAAGATGACGAGGTCGAACACGGCCATCCAGCCAAACAGGCCGATCTCGAAGAAGGCCAGAGACAGGAAATCGGCCTTTGCGGCACGCACCACCGTGCGCCACCCGTATTCGCCCGCCATGGGCGCGATGGAGAGATACTGAAAGACGATGCCGAAGGCTAGAGCGAGTGCGAAGTCTGGGAGAAATGAGAGGGAAGAAAAACGTGATCAGCGAGTCAGTTCTCTGTATCGACAACGGGGGGTGTGTTGTGTTTGCACACTAGCTCGGGCTTGCGATAGACAGACAGAGAAGGGCCGTTGCGATATATAAGACAGTTCCTACTCACCGACGATAAAAGCAGCATATAGCATCCTTCCACCGATGGTCACTTCAAACGCGTAGATCAGCCATTCGCCCACAAGGTCGCCGAGGACGCAGCCCGCACCGCAGTGGCACGTGGCAATGGTGACGGTCGCGAACATGGGGAGGTCGGCATGCATATGGGCGTGCTCGTGGTGCTTGTGGTGATGATGATGCGCTTCTTCGCCGTGCCCTGCGCCGTCGTCGTCGTGGGTATCCGCCACGTCACCGCCACTGTCAGCATCATGGTGATGATGTGCAATCGAGTCACCGTCTGGGTGTTGTTGTTCCCGGTCCGTGCTTTCTTCGCCGTGATCTGAGTGAGACGGGGCGTGGAGTAGAGGATTCTCTTCCACCGTCTCCGCAGCCTCCTCTTCGTTGTTACCCGACATTCCCTGTCTACCGTACCGGATGTATATCCACACCGTGATGGGCCACAGGTACAGGGCATTGATGACGTAGACCGGAATCCTTGAATCGGAGCTTGGAAAAGAGTAGAAATGAGGGTAGATATCTCGATAGATGTTGAACAAAAAGAAGGCACGCGAGTGTATATATATTTATGCAGTCGCAAACGACAAACTCACATACATAATCGCCATCATGTGCCGCCACCGCGAGCGACGGACAATATCCCACGCGATCCACAGCGAGGCGAGGGCCCCGAGCCCGATCGAGGCCCATGAGATGACGGTGAGTGCATCCGGAGGGTTGTAGGTCGTCGAGGCGCCGTCGCTGTCGCTGCTCCGGCTACTATCCATCTTATCGAAGAGCGGAGAGTGGATGCCGCCAGAGATAGCTATATACAACTGGTTATGTGCCTGACTAACCACGTAAGGCAAGGCAGGACGGCGCGTAGGGCAGGACGGTCATGCGGCGCGAGCTGGCTGTACATAAGTCAAGAGAGAGGGAATGATAGTGATTGCGCACACGGACAAGAAAGCACCGAGGTCTCGTTCAGGTAGGTAACAGTAAGTAGATATGTAGGTGGCTGACTCATCCTCCAGGCCAATAACACATGCAACGCATCCATACACACAGTTCTCTGGATGTACCTCGAGCTGAGCCCTATAGGGATTATCCGGTAGTTTCGGATAGCTTCGCAGAAGGTGGTAATGCAAAATAGTCTGGGACCACAGGGTGACACCTAGACGAATCAATGCGCCTTGGTATCACAATCTCCAAACAATATCGGCCGCTTTGATTTGACCTGGCTAGGAGGGGAGGTCCTGCAAACCTCAACCTCTAATAAAGATGCACCCCTTTGGCTAGGGACATGACCCGGAGAGAGGACTCACAGACCCTCGCGAGGCCGCAAAGCCAGCCCCTCCATCTCCAAGGCTTCCTGATCCTGATCTCGCGTCTTTCTCGCATCAGCCCAGAGCTCCACTGCGGCCGGGTTGAGGATTATATCCAGCCACATGAACGACGCCAGGCAATCTTCGACCTGTCGCCATGTCAAGGTATCAATGAATAACATCACATCTGCGAGCCGCTCGACGAACCACGACCTCTCTGCCCGAGCATCGATAACACCATCATCAACTTGGATGCCCCCGAGCATTAGTGCCCAGAGCAGCATGCGCTTACACGTGTCGGGCAATAGTTGCCACGGGTTCACGCTTTCGCTCGCGACGATTGCTTTTCGGAGCGCCGCTGCTAAAATCCGGCTCGTGCCGCCGCTGGGATTCATGGGGAACAGCAACAGATTGCTGTATATTCGTAGCGCAGTGCGACTGATTTCGTACATGTGCTCCGCGGACTGCACCAACGTCGATAACGATTCATTGTCAACTTCATTTGTTGGTGAGAGGCTCAGCAGCAGATATTGGGCGTCGTTGCGGGCGTTGACAATGTCGGCGAAGACCATGGCGGGCCCATTTTTATTCAGGTAACATCCCACTGCGGTATTGACGTCCAACATTGCCTGGACTGTTGTAAGGAACTCATCCTTCCGCGGTGGATTGAGTGGTAGATGGCTCCAGGCCGTTGTGTCAAGGTCCCACCTGAGTCCTGCCGTCGCAATCAAGTCAGACAGGGCTTTTAAGGGCGCCAACGTGGGTGGGCTCATGGGGATGATGTAGAGCTGAGAATTGGTTTGTGAAGCATTGACCAAATCACATCTGTCAGAAAGTTAGCATTCTTCCTAACACTCAAAGGAGAAAAAGACCGAAGGCAGATTCAAACTGACAATGCAGCCGTGCTGGCGACGCCGGGCGACTTGATCTGGGCGCATCCGCCTTTCATGATCGCCAGCCGAACTAATGCTTCTGAGTGTGCGCTGGGGAAGGGGTTCGTGCTGTATACGTGGAGAAATTGCGCGGTTCGAAGGGGTGAGTTGAACCGCGACGGCTTCGCAGCTTTGACGAGCGATCCTTTCGTTCGGCTGAGGTAGCCAGCAGAATTGCCGGCGAGCACGATAATGGCTCCCAGCAACTCGTCGGATGGCGGACCAGTCATCTCCTGGATCTCTTGGTTGACGAGTTTGATCATCTCCACGCGATAGGCCAGACATAACTTTGTGAATGCCTTTGAGCTAAAATTGATCCCGCTCAGCATCTCGTAATTTTCAGCCGTGCCTACCATATAGGCATAGAATGCCAGGCGGGAGCTTCGGATTGCCTCGAGATAGGCATCGTTGACTGGGTTGACTACATTTGGCGCTTTGCTTGGAGACAGCCCAGGCCAGAAGAGCCGAACAGCTTGAGGGAAACGTCAAAGTCAGCCTTCCCACAACATGAGAACAAGATTTGGAATCGCGATCAGAACCTACCATGATCAACCACTTCATCTACTAGACCAGGAATGTCAGAAACCGCATACCGGGCAAAGGGATCTCTCCTCGCTTGGCTGAGGATACCGAGCGGTTGTTCTGGTGGACTCTTGTATGGTACGACGGCGAGAGGGGTCTGCTCATCGCTCTGGGGTTCATCGGATGCCTTGCGCCGCGAAGCTGGCTCTTTATTTGCTTTCCAAACCAGGAATTTACGGATGGTTGTCCCAGGTTCAAAGTCGGTCAATTTACGCCTTTTCCGTCGTCGTGCCTTGGCTGTGTGAGAGGCAACAGCGAAGCGCGTTTCATCACTGATCATATCCGCCGGCCCAGTGATGGTGATGAAGCTCTCTGGCGTTATGAGAGGCTTTTCCTCCATCTCTCCACAACTATTATAGTTCAACCCCAGAAAAAACACGAAGACGATGTGGAGCAGAAGGAAGAACTCTGATATCGATCGATTTGGTTGAAGATGGTCCAACAGCACACGTATGAAGGATATGACCGACTTGACACATCTCCGATTTCGAGGGCGCCGGTGGACTTTTGATCTTCATGATCCATCACGAGAAGTCCTCCTGTGCAGCTCGTCAAAAGACCACCCGGACCGGCATCCGCTGAAGCTTTTGCCACTTGACCTGTAGAAATGGCGGGATTTGAGAACGATTCAGAAACAGGGAGGGGATTTGAATCTGTAATGAGGCGGCGCGGTCCCTCAAAACATGATGGCTATTTGTTGGCTCTTGTAGACGCAGCCGTGTTGAAATGGACGTTGTCGGCTTCTCCGCTGTTGTGTTGTTGAAGCTGAGAGAGGAAGGGACGAGTTCCTGTGTTCCTCGTATTCCGAGAACTTGGCGTGAAGAGTCTAGCTTGGCTTGCAATGTCCCAAGGCTTGGTGGCTTTCCGAAGCTTGCCCTGGTTGGTTCTTCTGGAAGCTGTGCTGATTAATGGTACCTCTCCGTGTAAGGCATCGAAACCTAAGGGGCGCTTGCTCGTCCAGACGCGGGATGCCGGCATCAATGTCCCCGGCGAAATCCACCCGCGCCCTGTGGTGAATGATCTCCAGATCTCAGTCTGGTTTGCCAGCTGCAGATCCGATGACTGTACCATTTACCATTGGGCTTTGAAGGCCTAGTCTTAAAGATATAACAGCCCATCTTTAAGGTCTCTTTCAAGGCCAAGTGTCTTCACCAGAGAATGAGCGAATAAAGTAGCAGTTTGCGTTTCCTTCCGAAGGATCATCTCCGGTCTTTGTGCAAGCAGACCCTCAAAGCCCTCAAGAACATGCAAGAATTGCTGGAGCTCGATAGCATCCAGTTTTTATACAGTCTCAACAACTGTCTTGGACTGAGCCCGCAGCAAATGGTGCCTGATGGCAGGAGAACCGGCAGAAATGTGTCGGAATCACATAAGCCAAATGTTCGACTCAATATAAATATACTATAACAGGTGACGTTATAAACAAACCCCGGTGTCAGCAGCAGCCCTGTCTTGCTGCAGATGCAGGCACAAATAGAGAACGCAACCGCACGGCTGACTGCGCCGTCCAAAAGAGACGTCTCTTTTCCTCTTCACTCTAAGCCGAGCCTCGAGTCTACCACTCCAGATAGGCAACCCTCTATAGGCCTTGTGACAGGTGCCTCGTCAGCGTCCGAAGCGCTGGTTCTGAGCCAGAACATCTTGTTCGCAGGGCGTAAAAGGGGTTTTTTTCTCGTCGTCGTATGGTCCATCATCGCCCAGGAGCTATGGGTACGCCTTCTCGGCTCGTTTTCGCGGCTCGCTCCCGGCGTATCCTGGTGTATTGTCTCAAAAGGCCAGGTAGTATACGCCGCGTGTTTCAGCCATATAAAGTATGACAGGATTCGGACAAGTTGTACCCATAATACGGCCTCGTGCTGATATCAGTCCGGATTGCTCTCAGGAACGTCCACTGCGGTGCGTGGGGATTTCGAGATGGATGTATTTTCGTTTCAGAAGCAACTAACTTTTCTCGACGAACAATTTCGATTCATCGAGGACAAAATAGCTGTCTCGCTGCCCGAATCTGAAAGGTGACCATTTTCTCACACAGCATTAAACAGTGCAATTAGCTCTCGGGTTAGGCTGTGAAGTATCAGTCATTTCATTAAACAGCATACCAACCCTGTGGTGGCTCGATCGACGCCCATCTATGCAGAGAGGTACCGACTTTGAATTAGTCTCAAAGTCCCCCTACCCGCGCAGGTGGCACAAACTTTGGGCTTGACCAGGAACTGAAATGTATTTGATTCCAGCTGGGTGATAGTTAGTCATTATACTAAAGGAAAAGTGCTTCTTGAGTCGCCGAAGCAGGCAGCAAGGCGTCCACACTTTCTCCAGCTATGCATGTGATGTTGATAGCCACATGCACATGTGGAGTCGCTGTCTCGCAATACTGCCTTACATGCTTCACATTGACTGCTAAAGATGGACGAAATAGAACGCCACAACGCATCGATGCTGCGCATAATGTGCTCATAATTTGGACGGCCTCCTTCGTTCCATGACGGTTGTCTGATCAGCGCTGGGTATGGGCATCGCCTCGTCGGCAAACATTTGTTGGTTGAGCCTCGCCGCGAGTGAAAGCACACGCCTGGAGACGGCTGCGCCGTCGCGTCTGTTTTTCCCTTCGCGGCGGTATTGTGCAATCTTCTCGATAAAATCCCATAGGCGGCCAGTTGGACTCAGTTCGCCCGTACTCGGGTCCCTTTCAGGTGTCCATTCAGGGGCAAGTCGCACAGTGGCTTTCGGCTTCGATTCGGTCCCCTTGCGACATCTATGATCCCTTCTTCCTGGAACCGATTGTAGGCGTTTTTGAGGGCCTCTTTGTTGACTGCTTCAAAGTAAGACAGGTCACCCTGGTGGTACAACGTCCGGCCGGCAAGCTGAGCCATGTTTTGAGCCTTTTGCATATCGATCCAGCCCTCAGAGGAGGAGGCCGGAGGTACCAACGCCAACAAAGAAACTGCTCCGAGCCAGGCAGCATCCACAAATGGCCAAATAAGGAAACAGTACAAGTCGTAGTTCTCTCTGCCTGACTTCCGCTCAGCGTCTGATATACCAACCACTCTTTCGGTTTCTTCTGTAACTTTGAGGACATCATCGCGCACTAGTCCTTGCATGGCTTGCTCCAGGTTGTGTAGCAGGCCTTGACCCGCCGGAAAGATGAACTCGCCTCTGAATAGCTGGGACAAGAACGTAACTTTATCGACCAACTCGGCTTCGGGCATACGTTGGTTTGCGCTTCCTCCACCCTGTTTTACCTTGGTGTACAAGGCGGCCGCTATAAGTGCTTCCGAGATAAATAGGTGAATTGTCATATTCCTGTAGAATGACAGTTGAAAACGATCAACGGCATAATAAGTTTCCTCTGCAAGCCCGTCGACAGTGCCAACGAGCTTCGGCCCAAGGACATCTAGAGCCCTCTCGACGACATATGAGGTGGGCATCCCTCTAAAATCCGCCACTTTTCCCCCATTCGCCTTGATACGTCTGCAAAGCCAGTCAACTCGACGAATCAGCTCAGATTTCCCCACACCACGGCCACGAATCGTCAAGAGTACAGTACCGACGAGTGCCGTTGGCATGATAACTGAAGCTGCATTAATGTCCGAGAGGACTCTATATCCAAGGGTCCGTAGCAGTCGAATTCTGGCATTTGAACTTGAGGAGGCCGTTTCGGCGAGAGTGGCTGGAGTTTGACGGGCTTGCTGTTCCTTGATGAATTCTTTCAAGCTCCAGGGTTCATGGAACCTGCAGTCGATTCTGCCGAGGTTTAGAGACAAAACAGAGGACGCCGAGATGAAGTCGGCAAGATTCTCCTTCTGTTTGGGATTGCCCAAGAGTTCATTGACGTAGGAGTCCACCTCTATCACCTTGTCGTACTGTAAGGACACCGGGCACACATATGCGTCTTCCGTCCGACCCGAGAGTACCGAGTCGAGGAGAAATCTGAGGAAGCCGAAGCGAGGTCCCAATAACTTGCCCGTGCGACTTCGACCACCTTCGATGAAACATTCCAGATTAAGTCCCTGCTGGAGCAGAGTATCCAGATAGGACTGGACGAGGGTGGTGTAAAGCTGGTCATTCCCAAAACTTCGCCTGATCCACATTGCCCCAGTATTCTGTAGAAAGTTGCCGACGAGTGGGAAATTGAGGTTATCGCCGGCCACGACAACAGGGAGTGTCAGACCAAGGCGGTAGCAAACAAGGTGCAGGGTGACATAGTCCACATGGCTCGTATGTCGCGGGAGAAAGATGATGGATTGTTTCTTTTTGGCCGCCATTGTTGCAACTTCTCGGAGTCTCTTGACTTCAGCCTCCGAGACATGAATCGCGCTATAGGCTCTCGTGAGCAGCTGCGTGACCCCGTAGAAAGCTGCCCGAATGTACATCTTGCTTTCCATCTTGCAGACCATTTTATCCAGCATGTCGGCCGTAATCTCGACCAACTGCGACATGATTTCGTGCCTTCGCTTCTCCCTGTCAGGCAGATATGTTGGGCTCGTCGTGTCCAGGAGATATTCCTTCTCTTCAACTTTCAAGCGTTCCTCTGTCAACTCGACAATCTTTTGACGTAAAAGAGGAGACGCCATCACCGCGTTCTTGACATTGGCCGTGTAGCCCGGGTAGAAAACCGGCTGTCCGATCGGATTGTCGTAGGCTCGCCATCCGACACCCCTAACGAAAAGTGATATTTCATGTGCGAAGGTGAACGGGTTGGTACGGAAACGCTGCATGCGCGTGAGGATGCTGCGGTCCGTGGAGTCATCTCGCGAGACAGGCTCGCCCTCGGGACGGACGAGCTCAGTCATTGATGGAGCGGCCAGTATCAAAGACGAAGGCGCGTAGAAGGCATGAGCAACATGTAGGATGTTGTTGAAGCCTGAGTGCGAGGTAGCAGCTAGCTCCTGGTAAGAAGAAACACATGAGCAGTCACAGTAACTGGCTAACTGGCGACTGGCTAACTGGCTAGTCACGTCGAGCCGAGAGGCCGGAGCCCCAAAATGGCCCCGGACTTTCTGGTGTTTCCACTCGGGTCGCTTACATAACAGCCCTGTGGAGTACGGCTCCCAACTGCAACTATCTTTCTTCGTCTCATGGGATTTTTTCAGTCTGCAGATATGCCTAAGCTCACGGCTACATGGATCCGGGATAGCTAATACGAGAGATCGCAAGCTGTTGAAAACTGCGGTTCAGGTCTGAATCCTCCATACTAGGACAGCATCGCACTCATGCCGACTTCCATTTGATGGCCAGGCGCAGAGTGGATTTTCTATGAGCATTTCTTCTTGCAGTAGATTCGGAACCGAAGTCAGAGACCCTTGTCGATCAACGAAACTCCGTGGGCTGTGATTGACTGGCTGAGCAGATAATGCAAAGTCTGACCTAGCCCGCGATAGTGGACTATGATTTATTTCATGGTCAATCCCAGCCCTTGAGTTTGCATTGTACTCATACCTGCTTGTTCCTCTTCATCGGCGTATAGCCGGGCCCGAGCATGGATTTGTCGCAGCACATCTGGATATTGTCCATATTTCATGGCAATTCAACCCGTAGCCGAGCCACCATTTCAGTCGAATGGATCAGCTGAATCTTCTTGTCATCGGAACTTTTGTTTTGCAGGCGTCGATTCTGGTGGCAGGAGTATGTTTCCATCCCGCGCCATAATGTCGATGGCAGCGGCTGCACTTGGGCCTAGTAGTGCTGCAACCAATATGGTTGTAATGATCTGCTTGGTGGCTGTGTAGAGAGAAAGCTCTTGAATTTTCGCGGGAAGACGCAACGCCAAACCCCATATGAACACTGCTGTCCCTCCAACAGCGATGTCCGACGACCATTGCAAGTAGAACAACCTGGCGATGTACCTCAGATGATATTGTTGTGAACTGTGTGTGGAACTATCAGCGACGGGTAGCACCGCACGAACTTGTGGTATCAGCAAAGCCAGATAGGTGAGATGAGTTCCAGCGGAAAATATAATCGCAGCGAGAAGAGTTCGTCGAAAGTACTTCTGGGACATAGCTGCCTTTTCGCTTTCGTTTAATATGCTGGCTCTCGGGTTGACGCAAATTGCAATGGTCGTTAGGGTGAAGTTTGATAGGTATACACAGATGGGCCACAATTGGTATATCGCCGTCCATACTTGCTTCGTCTCAAACGAGACTAATGCCGGTGCAGGAAGGCACATTACAAGAGTAGGGATCCCCAATCCTGTAATGACACCAAAGGGGAGTAGAGCGACTTTGAACGGATTGTCCACGGTAAGCTGATAGGCGAATGGATTAAGCACAGTAGGCGAAGTCCAGAGATGAATGGCGAACCACAAGGGAACGACGCGACCATGGCCGATGAACACAGCCATCAAACCCAGCGCAGTTACCCTATTTTTGTAAGTCAATATGATTTGAAAGTCTTACAGCCGCGACTTACGAGGTGAGAATTAGCTTCCCTCTATTTGCTGCTCTCATGGATTCTGCGTGAATGAGGATCCAGAGAGCAAGATTCTGGCCCCAGGAGTACAGGAAGATCAGCGAGGCGTCGGGTCGAGTGCCGTCAAGAGCGCTGAAATAAAGGCTCACGAGTATCGTCAGCCGCCGGTCTAGGTATTTATTCCCAGTATACGTTTGCTTCATAGGAGCCCAGGGTTGTGTCGAAATCAGAGCACCTGGCTCATTCTGCTGAGAGAGTGCATGGCGGGCATCATATAGAAACAGGAAATCCGAATCGGTCACGGAATCAGTGATGGCCAGGAGGATGAGCAGAGATATTGGGAGTATCAGGGCTTCCAAAGGTTGCGTGGACCGGGAAACCCACTCGAGCGCGTCAGACTTTGGAGTCAGTCCAGAGATTACTCTTCGATAAAGATACCCGGTATATATCTTGCCAATCATTCCAACGTAGCGAAACTTTGCTTTGGGGGAGTCGAGCGATAAAGCTGCGAGGTCCTGATACATCATGCTGTTGAGCTGGATCAATGTCGCCAGAGGTTGACGAGATCCATGGAGCCAGACATGGTTGAGGTAGGCACTTGTGACATTGAGCCGCGCGATAATCTCAGTCTCATCTCTCTCGCTTCTTGATCGGAGTTTTGAAAGGTAGTCTGAGAAGAGCTGATAAGCCTCGTCCTGAGTGGAGACTCGCAGAAGCAACAGGAGAAATTTATGGGCTTCCCAATCCTGATGCTTCTCAAGTAAAGTGAAAATGAGTTGGCGAGATCGTTGCCAATTCTGTGGCTGAGCTTGGGCTGCTGAAGGCTGACTGCCGTCCAGCTGAATGGTCAGAGAATCCAGGATAGTTATCAAGTCAACGTATATCTGCAACCAGATTTCCAGGCATTGAATCTAGGTCGCTTAGCCAATACAGAAAAAAAATCTCTAAATAGGCTTCTTCTTACTTGTATCGCATTCAGCCCCGTTGCCTGCCCGGCGTCCGGGAATCCTGGCCAGCGTCGAACCGTTTGCCAGGCCCCGTCAACGTCTTTTTCTGTGTGTAGCATCGCAAGAGTCTTCAGCATTTCTACCAGTAGCCACTCCTCACGAGAGTAACCGCAGCCATTTTGGGACTCAGGTAGAGTCTCGAGGAGTTCCTGGTATGAGTGCTCCGAAACAAGAAGCTCTGCATATTCCGCAAAAACAGGGAACAATTTGGCGTGCGGCAAGAGAACCCGTCGAAAGTGGCTCCGTGCTTCTTTGATGCGGTTCAATCGGACAAGCCTGACGAAGTCCGCCAGTTCGCCTTGAATGTCTTCTTTGATATCGAACTCTAACCGGAAATCGAAGTCTTCCGACATATCAACGTGCAAGATATCCATGCTTGCCAAATGAAGCTATGAAGGGTGCCACATAGCTGACCAGGGCACAGAGTTTCGTCAGCGATTGAGCATCTGGATAATAGAGTATGGAAAGGACGAAGAACGTTGATGTGAATGCTTCACGGCATGCGGCTGAACCTCAAAATAGAGGGGCAAACACCCCGCAAAAACTGAATACGGCTAGTCTAACCGAAATCAATCGGGTCTGACAAGTCGGGTCTGTTCTTTTCGTAACCTCGAGAGGATCCATGCGGCTGAAGAGCTCAAAAGCACATTTGTTTCTCTCGCCACTTGGTCTATCGAGTCTCCGCTTCATATTCATGGATCCGCGTCCACGACAGACTGCAATCAGACATTCATGGTGGTTCTCAAGTAAACAGCCGCCGGAGCAACCCGTGGTCCGACATGCCCAGCCAGGAAGTGACATCGCTGTCGGGGAGCGTTCTTTTGGCAAGGCTTCGGTGAACTGCTGCCTTCGGGGCAATAAGTCGAAGTGGGGAACACTCCAGGGTGGGAATGCCGCTGTTCTCCAGCTGCGTGTTGATCCGGCCCAGAATCCCAAATACAAACTGAAAGAGCTTGTCTTGGAATTGGACTTCAGTGAAATGGATCCTCGAGTAGCAACTAGCAACACGACGGCGGCGAGTGCTCAGCCTTCCTTGCTCATCTTGGAGCCTCCTTCACCGAAGCATCTCAGGGGCAAAGCCTTGATCCAGCATCTGTCTCAAGAATTCCTCGCCCAGCCTCAAGTCGGCGCAGGAGGCTTTAGCATTGGCGGCATTGGTCTGAAGTCTACCAAGGACAAAGATATTGAGCGATCGTGGCGCTTTCATAGCCATTGGACCAACAACGCCTCTGGCCATTACACCAGTGCCCGATGGACTTGGACAGCAGTTTCCGAAAACCCAGATATCGAGAACGTCGGGGCCTTGTATCTGGGTATAATCATACGACATCCGAACAAGCCGTTCTACCTGACGTGCAAGATCAATGGGAAGTTAGTCAATATAGGGAGAAGATTCCGCTACGGGGACGATGGTGAGCCATCGATCCTCACTCTGGTTTACCCACAGACGTCACAGCAAAGCATCGAGAAAGAGGCAAAGGAGCTCGAAAACGAAATTGTTGCTTTGATTGAAGGCGAAGGTGCTAGTAAGTCTCTGGAATCTCCTCCATTAAAAGCCGATCCTCTACTATGTGCCCAAGCAAGACATCTTCCACATAATCTGGTGATTGCCTCAAACCCTTAAAAGAGCTGCTGGAGCTGGTTCTTTTCTTGTTGGGCTGCGTCAACTTCTCTGCCAACCTTACTGAGTCTTTGCAGGGGTTGTTGTTCTTTAGCAAAGATGAACTTCGAGGTCGGAGAGTTTTCCAGCATCGGATCGAGCCCTTGGTGCCGAGTCGTTCCTAATACAATCGTCGAGTCATTGTTACCCCTGTTGTCACATGGCCTACGGTAGCCATGTGGTCCACAATTGAGGATCGATGTGGTTCTACTTTGTGCCAAGCAAAGAGGCAGCAGGACCATCGAGTATCAAATCTGTTGACTCGCAATATACCAAGGCCATGCATACAATCTTTTGTCTGAAGGGTCAATCCGTCCAACAAGTAGCAAAAAGCCTTACTTAGGGAGACGGAAGGGATGATGAAAGAAGCAGAATAAGGCTCATGAAGCAGAACCTATACGATCATGGGGGCGGTGTTTCGGTAGCAGGTATTGTCGAAGCGACGATTCTTCCCCATCAAAGAGAGCTCTGGAATGGGTCTTGATTTGTCCCAGTTCTCTCGACAGGGCTGTCTAGTTCCTTGAGGAAACAGCTATTCCTCCGAGGCTCTGCGGCTTTTTCGCGGATCTGGTTTCTGAAAATTTCAACCAACCGTCAAGAGTTGCTCATAAAACCCGCCAATCTGACGGGCACGATCTACAAGATGGATCTCTAAAATCCAGTGCAACAGCTGCCCATTCTTTCCTGTGCGCCTCATCGGCTTCTTGCTGCCCTTGGTGATATAATACTCGACTTGATCTCCCGGGATTCGCTCATGTGGGAATTGGCCGACAAGGTGCCCTGCATGGAAGTTGCCAAATTCCCACCCGGTCTCCTTGGCCAGATCGCAGACGATTTGATATAGTTCCTCGCCTGTGATATCCGGTTTGCTCTGGAAGCGCGATTTCACCTGCTTCCACAGTGGCTCGAGTGTGTCGCGCAATTTCGCCTTGACTGGATCATCCCCAAGCACAAAAGTACGACCAAAATCGGCTTCCCAGGCTTCGAACACTGGGCCGAGATCCACGAACAGGATATCGTCGGGCTGGAGGACGCGGTCTGGGGGATTTTCAGCATAGGGAAGCAAGGTGTTCGGTCCGCTTCTGATCACTCGCTTATGCCAGTGGCTTTTGACGTCGAAGCGCTTAGCACCAAGTGCATGAATCTCATCGCTAAGTTCCTTCTCACTGACGCCGGGCCGGACGACAGATTTCTCGATCTCGTCAAACAGCTTGACTGCTTTTGTCTGTGCCTCCATGAGGTAAGCGGCTCGCTCTTCCTCCGTCATAATCTGCGAGGTTTCGCTGGCCATTATTGGGAAGTTTTTTATTGAAGGGGTTTAAAAGGCTGTCCTATTGACTCGATGAATTGCAAATCAACGGGTGTGAAAGACAAACTCACAGTCTTTCAGGAGTCTATATCATTTTATACCTGTGCGGAGAATGGTTTCTGCGGGGTCCCGGGCACCCACGCTACCTCGGCCTTTGCTCTCCGCTGGTGCGCACAATCATCAGTCGGGCATTTGAAATCATAAGTGGGACGAAATGGTTTCTCGTTGAAGGCGGAAGCATTAAGAGTAGGCAAGAGCTCGTTTCGTTGGTCGTTGGTCTAAGAAGGTATATCTTTTGCCCGGGAACCGACTCGAATATGACTCGGCCTGGTATACCTTCTTGATAGGCAAAGGAAACTTTGCTATCACCACCTGGTGGAACATCTCCGGATGATGATCAGGATACTTCAGCCATGGTTGTCCCTCTGCCCCATTTCCTTGTCAGCTCCAGTGTAATAGTACCGAGACTCTATGAACGTGACCCTCGCCATCAGGGCAGTTTAGAACTCTAGCTCGCACTTTGAAGCCGAGAACAGATACCTCGCCATGCACATTTTTGTTGGCCCGTCTGCATGTAGAGCAGGCCGTCCTACCAACTGGATCTCCACTTGGAAGGTCATGCACGCCCTCCGTCCTTGGAACCTCTTCAATAGACAGGGTGATGAAGTCATCTTCCTCGCCATTAGTCGCCGTATTTGTAAACATTGAACAATAATCAGCTTTTTGGATGGTCGTATGGCTCAAATTGACAACCGCGAGAGCCAAACATTTGGGGAACAACAAAGGATCTCGTGCACATTCCCTGGTCCAAGATAGATGTTAAGTAGTCGAACGCTCCGAGGGTGTTTGGGTAGCAATTTCACTTAGGCATCGATGAGATGCTATGAGAATACAATACATGTTGACAGATTTTCTCCTCCCGCGTGGTGCTCGTGGATGCTGGCAAGATCATTCCCAGGTGCCGTTTGAAGTATTCAGCACTTCTCAGCCTCGTCAAGCTCAACAAGGCTGACGATATTTTCCCCAGCCAATCACATGTCAGTCGCAAAATTCTTGACACCTGCCACGGTCAATATACCTCGTACATTAAATCCAACCTACGACGACTTTTTGGTCGATCGAACGCAATCTGACGCAATTTCACCCGTAGCCGCAATGAGGCTCACTGCAGAGCTCATCCACAATTCCCTGTCGTATTTGAACCCTCTCAAAGAGCGCGAACTCGACCTCCGAGGTATGTCTGAAAAGAGCGGATGCTACACTTTGATTTCTCTGAGCGGGCAAGAAGAGCATAGTTGACCACACACGTCTCTCCTTGTGCACTTTGTATAGGCCATAAAATCCCCATCATCGAGAATCTGGGTGTTGCAGGCCCGCAAGATGCCATTGATTTCACCGACAACGACATCACCACCCTCTCCAACTTCCCTCTCTCCCCCCGACTAAACACCCTGCTGTGTGCGCGAAACCGAATACAGGGCGTGGACAAGAGAATCGCAGAACAGTTACCCAACCTGACAACGCTTGTCTTGACGTCAAATCATGTCAGGGAACTGGCTGATCTCGAGGGACTGGCTGCCTGCGGAGCGTTGACACACTTGAGTTTACTGGACAATCCCGTAACAAAGAAGGAGGTAAGCTCGCAACAACGAATCTGTAGAGGAGAAAGGACATTTGCTGACTCCATTCTACAGCACTACAGACTCTATCTCATCTGGTCGATCCCCTCGTTGCGGTTCCTCGATTTTCAGAAAGTGCGACAACTCGAACGAGAGAGGGCAACCGAGCTGTTTGGCTCCGTGGAAGCACCCACAGAACTGGCTACGAAGATCAAGGGAGTCAAGAGCCGGACATTTGACATGTCTGCAGGCGGTGTCAATGGCAAGGCCACAGCAGCGCAAAAGAGTGTCCGGACGCGGTTGACCGAGTCGGAGAAGAAGCGGGTGGAAACGATGATCCAAAACGCCAAAAGCTTTCAAGAGATTGAACGAATTGAAAAGGATCTTGCCGAGGGCAGAATACCTGCTGGTGCGGCAGATGCCGACCGGATGGTTTCCTGAGGCTGGTGTTTTGCGTGTATTCGCGGGAATGGGAGAACGGCGAAGTTATTCATGGGAAAACTTGTACACGGGCACGGTGCCTTACTGTGGTGGATATACCTCGAAACGAGTAGATTCACAACCAAAAGCCGGTCTATTTCTGTCGACCAAGGCACGATATCAACTGGACTATCCAAACTGGAGGAGGCTCCCTCTTTACTCTGTTCTATTCCAACAAGAACTTCAGAAATGCCTGACTAACAATCAAGCCATCGTGTGGCAGATTCACTTTGTTCATATGTTCTTTAAACGCCTTGTCATCGAAAATACCTGTCGCATGTCGCGTATTGATGATTTCTGTCATGATTTCCTGGTTGAACTCGGGGTGGCCTTGCACGGTGATGAGCCGTTTGGGTGAATACATGGCTTGGACCTTGCACACAGGGGAATACCCGAGCTCCTCTACGCCTTCTGGGTAATAGAAGACACAGTCACGGTGCATTTGGTGGAGTCGCTGTCCAGCAACCCTGTCAGCAAAAGACACCAGAGGCATGTTGTACAGGGTTAGTGCAGGTTACACAACATACGATCTTGTCCACGCCAAATACTTCCTTTCCCTTCTCTGACAGCTGGACATCATTCACTGCTGCTTCCCAACCCTCGGGGTTCCGTCCAACCTCAGCTTTCAGGGCGCGGCCCACGATCTGATGGCCGAAGCACACGCCGATGACGCGAACACTTGTCTCGGACAGGATCTTGGCTGTATAGTCGACGAGTTTGTTGATCCAGGGCGTGTCTGCGAAGGAGTCGTGTCCTGGGTTGTTCCTCACACATCAGCACCGGTTACTCCTCGGTTAAGTACATGTTTATCACTCTCAGAGGCCGCAGAGGAACACTGCATCATGTTCTTCGTCCTACTGTCCACGTCCTCTGTCCCCCTCTCTCAAGAGCTCCACGACAACATCAAGACGAGCAGCACTCACTGGAACCGGTGATCAAGATGGCGTCGATCTCATCAGGATTGGGATACTGATCCGGGTTTAACTCAACTTGCCAGAAGGAAAACTCGAGGCTGTTGTCGGGATCCAGGTCAGCTCGATCCAAGGCCTTGGCCCCTGACCGCAGCAAGAACTCAAAGACACCGCCGTAACCATGAAATCTTTTCTTGGTCTCCGGCAGCGGGGTGTCACACTCCAAGACTGCGATCCGAATGGTCCGAAAGAGTTTCAGATTCATCTTCTGTCCTGCTCGCCGCGAAAATAGGGGGTGGCCCAGGTCTAGAGCTTCTATATCAAACAGAAGCAGAGCTGCAACGGCTTCACCGCCGCCATAGAAGCAAGCACCACACGAAGGGCGCAGCAGGCGTTTCTATTATCTAATCGCGGATATAACAGTCTGTGGGCAGTTGGCTGCGTCATTTTAACTTCATATCGCCTCTTCGCCTCCCGCTTCCACGCACCGCTCTTCTCCATCTCCTCTATCTTTGGCGCCATCTGACTGATAATGTGCTCAGGTTTTTATTGGCTATATGGATGCAAATCTCGGCTATCGACTGGAATGCAAGGGGCATCCACAGGCGCCATGAGTGATCTTCTACGAAGCACAAATACTTACACATGTACGCTCCTTCCCACCAGATCTGTAACTCTAGGTGGTCAGCCTTTGTCATTCGCGGCTGCCGTCCTGGAGAACTCATAAAAAGGCCCTGGACTTCTGACTTCAGAAGATCAGCATCCCTCCGCAAGAATGTCCTGATCATGTCACTCCGAGAACCTAAGATTCTACTTGCAAAGTAATCTTGGCTGAACACCCGAGGGGGCATAGTCAGCATTCTATTAATTCCAGCCCTGTCTCCCGCCACATATTGACCCTCACACGACAGGCGTTCCGCTCTTGCCCCTCAGCTTCATGAATCAATCGTGGCGAAAAACCTGCGGCCGAGGTGCCTTTTAAGACGTCTGACACCCCGGCAAAGTCGTTATATCCTGCCTCTGAGGCCGTGGCGGGTGTTGGAGCTCAGCGTAACAGGTCTGCTCCTAGAAGAGCTATCTCTACGTTATCACTTCCAGCCATGAAGAGCGACGACAAGAGGCCATTGATTGACCCAGTGGCAATGCCGGGCCCATACATCGAAGCTGGTATAGAGCACCACAGGGGTCCCCAGCCGACGGAAACAACGAGTCTGCTTCCCAAACCGAGTCACACGAGCCGCTCTAATGTTCATTATCGAGACTGTATTACTGGCCCTCGTTTTCATTTTTTGTTCTGGAGCATAATTTTTGGTTGCACAATTGCATTCTTCGACACCACGTTGATGGCCTCTTCCCATCCTGTCATTACCTCCTACTTCGAAGCCTCAAACGCAGCTTCCTGGCTTAGTACAGTATTCTACCTGACTTCCACGGTGTTCCAGCCAGTGTACGGTCGAGTTTCGGATACTATCGGCCGACGACCAGTCTTGCTATTCGCGATCGTCATGTTCTTTGCCAGTACGCTTTGGTGTGGTGCAGCTGGCAGTATCAGCAGTTTCATCGCCGCAAGAGCGGTAAGTGGGCTGGGTGCCGGTGGTGTGGTCGCCCTCGGGGGAATATTGACGAGTGACATTGTCAAAATCGAGTACAGAGGAATTTATCAGAGTTATTTCAACCTGGTATGTTGTTCTTTCCCAGCTCGCGAGGGAAATTGCGCTTTGTCCGTCCTGCCCAGTCTGTCTTTCTGCTGACGTTACCCATGATCCTAGGCGTACGGAGCGGGCAATGGACTGGGCGCCGCCTTAGGTGGCTTTCTCTGCGATTACTTTGGCTGGCGCGCTGCCTTCTTCTTGCAGCTACCGTTTATCGTCGTTTATGGCGTCCTTGCCCTCTTTTCTTGCCCTGACAACCTCGGCCCAAATCTTGCGAAGACACAGGGGAAGACACTCAGCGAAGCCTTCAAGAGCTTCGACACCTATGGAACGATTGGAATGATCCTTACGGTCTCTGGCCTTATTCTCGGGGTCAATCTGGGAGGAAATGTCTTCACATGGAGACATCCCCTGGTCATCAGCAGCCTTGTGATCTCTGGTATTTCAGGTGTCTCCCTGATTTTTGTGGAGCGCAAAGCCGAACGACCAATTCTCCCTCTGAGGCTTTTCTCGACGACTCCCGTTGCGAATGTTATAGGAAGCAATTTTCTCGCCTCGATGCTCGTCAATACCATTCTGTTCAACGTTCCGCTCTACCTCCAAGCAGTCCGACAAACCTCGCCGACGACTTCGGGTCTTTATCTGGTTCCTCCTCTAGTCGGGGCTAGTATCACCGCCATCCTAGCAGGAGTTTACATCACCTTCACCAGGCGAATGAAGCCGCCGATGGTCCTGGGTTCAGCCTTGGGACTTTGTGGCGCGATAGTGGTAGCATGTCTGTCGGCAGATACGCCGACCTCGCTTGTCCCTTATCTCATTCCCTTCGTCTCGATCGGCCAAGGGTTTTTCTTCCCAGCAGCAACCATTGCTGTCCTAGCACTCAACTCACAGGAGGATCAAGCTGTGGCAACTACCACTCTCGGTCTCATCCGCAACCTCGGCTCCATTATGGGTGTGGCTTTGAGTAGCTGGGTATTGCAGAACGCGCTGCCAATATACCTGAACAGATATGTCACAGCACCGGATGCTGTCACCAAAGAAAATATCATTCGTACTGTCAGGGAATCCATCCGCGCAATCCGAAATTTGGATCCTGTGCACAAGAAACAGGTTATTGATGCATATGCGTCCGGCTTGAGAGCGACGTTTCTCATGGGCATCCTCTTTTCCGTCTTGTCTGTCTTGCTCATATGGCCTATGCGGCTGCCCCGTTTGCAGAAGCAAGAGGATATGGACAAAGGTGAGGCGGCTGTTTTTGCTCCCGGATTGAGTGATGATGATGAAGAGGAGGAGGAAGATATCGAGCCTCAAGCATTGCTGGCGTCACCAACCTATTCTATTTCACGAACTTTGACGAGTATCACAAATCGGAGCGCAAGATCAACTTCTTTGAGCGGTACGTTAGAAAGGAGAGCAAGTTTTGACACGAATTTTTAGGCTCTACCAATGGAACACAGATTATTACCGATGTCATGTGTCTCGTAATTTTGGCTTTTGACAGAGGACAAATATTCCGCCTGAAAGAAACGTACAGATTATTCTTTACGACCTGTGCTTGGAAGTTCGTTTCCTACGGGCTTTGATTACGGAGGGGTGGTCAGAGGTCTATCCAACCCTGTATCGAACCTATCAGTCTGGCTTTTTTTCCCTAAGGCTCTGCAGAGAGCACCACTCTCCATTTGATTATGATTGCTCAAGCCGGCTGCGAGGACCGTAGCTCCACCTGTCCGTCCCGGCCGACGACCTTCAGCCGGGGGCTATACATCTCACAGCATGGCTCTGGAGAGCCTGACACTTATGTAACAACAACATCCTCGGGCCGCCAAAGGAGAGAGAGGGCGAGGGGGAAGCTGGATACGGAGATGCGATAGATGACTGTCTTTCCATAAGTGTTTCTTTCACATGAGGAAGTCTTCCCCCCTGTTTTGAGGCTACCCACTTCTGGCCGCACCGGTCGGGCCCGACTCGCCTATCTCGCCAAAAGTGTTCAACTACATATGCTCTGCAGGGACACACTTGAGTATTGCATTGTGTACACTCGATCAAGGAGGGAGCTGGTGGAGTGAGAGAGGTCACAGGTAGGTGTCTGCTCCAGCCTCAACCTTGTCAGAAATTGAAGACGGAGAAGGTCGTCGATGATTTACCTGAGAAATCTCAGAGTCTTCTATATACAAGGCGAGTTCAGGTCACCTGGCTCACCCACAAGTCCCTCCTAGGAGGACATCACTTCCCGTGCGTCACCATTCATAAAACGGTTTGAGTAGATCTCAACCGTCTCTCCATCTTTATCACAAACGAACGTTGCTATGCATTGATCGTCATATATCCTCCCCCCATCCCTTGCCCTTCTCTCTTTTTCTTTCCTTCTATCATCTACCACTTCTGCAGAACCTACCCCAATGCCTCCCCGGCCCTCTGAAACACCACCCTGAACTTCTCCGGCACGTCGAACTTGCCCATGCGCACATCGACAAAGTGCAAGCCACGACCCTCGCAGAACTGCTCGTCGGCGAGCAAAGCCTCGAGGTCCCGCCAGGTCGAGACCTCGTAGTTCCGCACGGGATAGTGTTCGCGGTGGTCCCCTTGTGTGGTGGTGTTTGTGGTGCTCGGCGAAAGCTGCGCCTCCCTCGCGCCAAACGCCCGCGTCAGTTCCCCGTACCGCCACGGCGCCACGTCGTTGTAGTCGGCGTGCATGCCGTGGATCTGGCGCTCGTACGCGTACCCGGCGTTGTTGACCAGGAAGATCGTGGCTGAGATGCGGTACCGGATCATGGTGCCCAGTTCTTGCGCGGTGACCTGGAAGCCGCCGTCGCCGTCAAGGAGGATGGTTCTCCCTCTAGGAATACTACTCCTGCTGCTACGGCTGTCGTCTTTTGTTTCTGCTGATGCCCCTTTTGCTTCTGGTCCATGATGAAGGTCATCTTCTTGTTGATGCTGACGAGCTAAACTCGCACCCATGGTCAGCGGGAGCATGTGCCCGATCGAGAACCACTGGCCGGATGCGATAATTTGGGCTCCCCGCGGCAGAACCAGGTCTCGACCACCCAGGATCGGCGTCGCGTTGCCCAGCACCACGATGTCGTAGGGTCGCAGGTAGGCGCTGAGCCGGAGGTAGAAGGACGTCTGGTCAATGGGGGCGTCGAGGTCGACACTCCCGCTCCCACTCCTTGGGGAGACGAATGCCGGGGGCTGGATGGTGCGGAAGTCTCCCAGCGAAGCCACCGCTTTGGGCGTCGTTGCCATCTTCGAACGATTGATCCGCCGCGTCAGTCGCCCCAGGAAGCGTCGGAGGTCGATCATCTTCATCCCGCCTCCATCCGTGACAGATCGGGTTGGATCGTGCATGGAATTCTTCGCCAGGGTGATCGTCCGCGCCGGCTCCGGCACGACCTTCCACGATAGCGTCTGCGTGTCGGAGAACATGGGGCCAAATGCCACCACCAGATCGGCGCCCTGCACGTACGGCATGGTGTCGATCTGGCCCACGGGGCCCGAGTGCACGCCGTAGTAGTTGGGCAGCGCGTGCTCGACCATGCCGTTGCCGGAGGGCATGCACAGGGTCGGGATCCCCGAGACGCGCACGAAGTCGTTGATCTCCCCCGCCAGGTGCCGCACTCCGCCGCCGCTGTCAACTAGCAGCAGGGGCTGGTGCGCGGCGTAGATTCTTTGCAGTAGACCGTCGACGAGTTTTTGCTCGTTGGGGCCATCATAATCAGCCATCGATCTTGTCGCGGGGTCAAGAAGAGGCTCCGTCAACCTCGCCCCGTCCACCTCCTTCCCCACCATATCCGCTGGCAGCTCGATGTACGCGGGCCTGCTCTCCCTGAGGGCTGTGGAGATGGCGCGATCAATGTCCTCAGGGACGGTGGCCTCGTCGACGAGGTTGGCCTGCGCGACAGTGACCTGGCGGGCAATCTCAGCAAATACTCTGGGCCGGCCGTCACCGAGGGTATGGTGGACATTCTTCCTCTGATCCTGCAGGCGGCGCTGCGCGGTGCCCACGATCGACACGACGGGGACGTGCTCGCTGAAACTGCCCGCGACGGCGTTGATGGCGCTCAGCTCGCCGACGCCGTACGTGGTCAACAGGGCGCCCAGGCCACGGACCCGCGCGTACCCGTCGGCCGCGTAGCCGGCGTTCAGCTCGTTGCACGTGCCCACCCACGACACGCCCGCGCGCGGCAGGTGGTCCAGCGCCTTGAGCGTGAAGTCGCCTGGTACCCCGTGGATGGCCTGAACGCCCTGCTGGCGCAGTCGGGTGAAGAGGTACGTGGCGACGGTGGTGGTGGTGCTGCCGCCACCTGGTGCCATCACCACGATTGATTGGGAACTGCCGCTCTCAGTATCGGTAGATATACCCTGATGATCCAAATAGGAGGTTCTTTCTCTATCTTCTTTATTTTCTCTTCCTTTCAGGGGGGTTCGGGGCTCAAATTGTAAACGGCAGAGCAGAGGAAAATCGACAGTGCCAATAGAACAAGTCTGAGATCGAGGAAATTCAAACACCACATACATACAGACACCTCCAATGTGGAGAACCTTCTTGGCTCGGCCAGAAAGGGATAGTATAAAGGTCCAATGGTGACGCTCACGGATGATGGATGATAACGGAAACAGTAAGCCCTGGTGGTCTTGACTACTGAAGAGGGTGCCGTGGTAAGCTGGTTCTCATCAGTGTGGGGGGCATATGTCGCATCCTTTGATCTGACGAGGCCGGCACACCCCTTTTTCTTGGAGCCAAAAGAAGGGAGACCAAATCAGTAAGCAGCACGGGGAATAAGCGAGATTTACACGCATGGGCGTCATTCTCTTCGTTCCAAGACATGCGTCTCCGAATATCTTTCATATTTTCTTCGTGTTCTAAGCTGAAGTACGAACCTTGGAATCGCATTTCCACATTTCGACCCTTACGTCCTCAATGCCCCCGGCAAACAAGACGACGGCCACAAACTCCTTGCTATGAAACGTAACCCGAGAGCATGAACGCTGCATGCGAAGCCTTCTCCAAAAGTCTCTCTCGCGGCGCCATGGAGGCTGACACATCCGTGCGTGTCGTATTCTATTGCATATGGGAGACAACCCGGGGCTGGTTGCGGCATAAAACTTCCCTGACATCGGTAGAATTTCGTTGCTCAACCGGGCATGGGACGAGTGGGGGCGGCTTTAGAGCCGTGTGAGCGTGTGAGTGAGTCGAGATCTGCCCTAGATAGGCTTCCATCGCATTGAAATGTGGCCGGAACGTTTACCAGGAGAATGGAGGCTGAGAGAGCCAGCAGGTCTCGCGACCGTCGCTGATAGAAACAGCGACTGAACGTGTAGGGTAATATGTTTAAGCATGTCGGGCCGTTGTTGGAGTTTCCAATCTCCAAACGGGCGGCCCGGGGGAGGTTGAGAAAAAAGCTATTTCCGCTCGTTTTCCAAGACATAAACCACCAAGATTCGTCAATATCTGTGCCGAATTGACGTGAATAGCTCGCTTCCGATACCTTCTAGGCAGGTTAGAACAGTGCGACATGAGAAAGCAATCAGCTCGGGCAGTCGCTGAGGCCAGGCGCGGTCGGATAGAACCAGGCGGCGACTGCAATGATGATGTACAAGGTCATCAGCAAGATGCCCTCGAGGTAGTGCGACTTGCCATCGCTAATCAAGTAGTTGACCAGCAAAACTGCCACGAACAAGACCGCAATCTGGAAGCCGTCAAAGAACAGAGTCATGTCGTCCTTGCCAATAATCCAGCCCAGGACAACCACGAATGGGAGCACCAGCAATGCAATTTGCATGCTAGAGCCAACAGCGACACCGATAGCCAAATCCATCTTGTCTTTAACAGCTACGGTCACCGCAGTTGCGTGTTCCGCGGCGTTGCCGACAATAGGAAGCAAGATGAGACCGACAAAGTTTTTCGAGATGCCGCCGCCGCAGGTGATGCTGTTGATGGAATCGACCAAATACTCGGCGTTCAGAGCGACGAGAACAGTGGAGATTGCCAACGTCAGCACAGCAACAAGGACGGAGAGTTGGGGCTGCTCCGGCTCATCATCAGCTTCGGGCTCCGGCGTCTCAGCCCCTGGCATTTTCTTAGAACGGAGCTTGTCGGGTATGACTGCATCCTTGAACTTGGCGCCCACATCCCGCGTCTCATTCTTCGCGCTGGGAGCGTTGTAGATGGCCGCATGACTCTTGAGTTGGAAAAACAAGTAGCACCCATAGACAATCAGAAGGAGGATGGCGGTGCCTCTGCTCAGTTGCACCACTCCAGGTTTGGCATTTTCGGTCGTGGCAGTTTCGGTGTTGCTGTTGGAGTTTCCGGTCCGGGCCCACTGCTCAAAGGCGGTAGGAATAATCAGGCTGCTGACTGCCAAGAAGAGCAAACTGGAAGCAGTTTGAGCAACGGTGATGTTGAACGCCTGTTCCATGCGATTGACGCCACCGAAGAAAAAGCACATACCCATAACTAGCAGAAGGTTGGAGAGCATACTGCCAATCAAGGAAGTTTGCACGATCAAGACTTGATCTTTCACCAGAGCAATAATGGAAACGATCAGCTCGACCGCATTACCGAACGAGGCATTAAGCAAACCACCAAGAACCTCGCCGGTTCTCAGAGCAATCTCCTCGGTGGCGTAACTCAACATGGCAGCCAAGGGGATGATAGCGATGAAGTTGATGACGAAAACCGCAACAGGATTGACGTGGGCGTAGTAGACTGCGATGCCAACGGGCGAAGCAATCAGAAGAACATTGATCCAGGAATTGAAGAGGGTGGCCCGAATTTGACTCCACGCTGTGAACTTTGGCTTGTCTTTACCGTTGTTTTTGTCCTTGTCGTCCTTGGACTCGCGGCTGAAGAGTGCCTTGAGACCGTGTTTCTCTGGAGCTTTATCACCGAGGCCACGGTTGCGCATCGAGCCTCCTTCGTCTGTTTGGCTGGGCTTGCCATATGTATAAGTGTCGCTACTCATCCCATCTTCATTGGGCCCATTCGGGAACTCCTCTCTGAGACCTTTTTCCGAATTGACGGGACTCAGCGAGCGCGGTAAGTTGACTTCATCACCAGGTGCGTACGGCGCGGGGGCCGACCGGGCATTCGGCGTCGTTGCAGGGTGTTTTCTTGGGGGATTCGCGCCGAGTTCTTCGGCTCTCTCTCTTGACGACGACGGCCGATATTGATCTGGATCATCTGTTCTGGTAGTGGTCAGGGGCGCGCCACCGCCTTCGCCGTTCTCAATGCGCCGCAAAGAATTCGCCCGGGGATTGCCTTTCCACTTCGCAAAGGGATTCTTGATGGGCAAGTTGGCATCGTCGTTCGGGTCATTGTACCACGCGGTAACTTTTGCCTGATGGCGAAATTTGTCTGCGCCTTGTTTAGGACACAACACACGGACACAGACGTTGCAGTGTTACCCACGCATTGTTAAGAACCCCCAACCTCTGCTGCTCTACAACAGAATATTTCAATTGTTTCGAAAAATGGCGACGCTGTAGTGATTCAGGAGACCATCGATTGTTTACAATACAGGGGGAGGGCAGGTAAGAGGGTCAGGGTCAGGGGAAAATATGCAGAAGATGGGAATGTGCGGTCGGGCCTTTCAAGATATGCGGTCAACGGGTAGTTGCACAGCCCCAATGCACAGGGAAGACAAAACCAGCGGTAACGGTGTGAGGTGAAGGAAGGGTGATGTTGATGTATGATGCAAAAACAGGGAATCGGGCAGAAACAAATCACCCCGGACCAGTCATGAAGGGGTGGAATGAGAAAATGGCTTCTTGGCGAGAGGGAGAGAGATTGAATGAATTCCTCGGAATGGTCTAGCTCGGTAAACGAGAGCGAACGCGCTCTGCGTGTGAGTTACAAGTTTGTTTGTCGGTCATGAAACCACGGTATTTCGCCCATGGTGGCGAGTGGGAATTATGAAATCATGATCTGGTGGAAGCTGCTGAGATGCCCACAGATGGTGCCACCAAGTGCCAATTGCGCCCAGGGTACATGCACAATGACGGGGGGATACCTAACCAAGCTGGGGCTAATTTGTCGCTTTCCCCCTGGCCTCCGTCTAAGCCACACTGGCTCCACTACTTTAGTTAAACCCGGGCCTATGGCAAACAGCTGGTTATTGCATCTCTCTGGTTCCTGGTCGGGGGCACCCAGGGGGAGGGAGAGGGGGGCCCATCTCCAGGCGCCGATCCCGGGCATCACTCACTAATGCTATCTTGTTGTACAGTACCTCGTACCTCGTAGTTGGAGGGAGCGAGCGGAGGTAGGAGTGTTTTAAGATCTCTCCTTTGGGAGAACTCCGCGAGCCAACCTTGCAGGCAGAATGTGGTGAGATGTAAGCTTCCTGTGATTGCTCCTGGATTCGTGTGTCATAGCTGGAAGGACCCAAGCCATGCCCCGTCTGAAGCTGTGGCTTGTTCCTCGGCGGGCTGGGCGTAATACAGCTGTGATTGCTTGGGCGTTCTTGGACACGCTTAAGGCATCTTGGTTAAGCTTGAATCAACCGGCATATTTTGACTCTTACTGTCAGCTGCAAGGGAAGCCGAATACGGTGCGAATTCAATGCGGAACGACTCGTAACAAGCAGCCACAGCGCGACGCCACATCTCAGCCTGCTGGCTGACACGACTTTGATCAGACCATCTCCAGGCAGCAGTCTCGATTCCTCCCAATTCACTCGCGACAAAGGTGTAAATGTAGGCTCCCGTTGATTGGCGAGTTGCCCACATGGCTGATTATCTAACACGCGAGATCACGTGATATAAGTCGCCAAAAACAAAAACAAGGGGCACACCAAAGGTTCCATGCCAAAGTCCCAATCCTCGCTAGACTTCTACTCGCTGGGGGCACATTCACGCATCGCTTACGCTACTCCCTGACGACGCTGGTGTGAACAGGACGATGCACCATTTCCAGGACGAGAAGTTCGAGTGGTTTTTCGTGAGACGTCCTCTCCAGCCGCAGATGTCGTGGCATGGTCATCATTGCTCTGGGTGACCCCGATTGACCTCTTGCCACATGGCTCGAGCTCTGGCAAATCGCACGGCTAGCGCAGGGCCGTTGCTCACTGTTTCAAGCTTTCTGAGTTCTTTCACAGAGATATGGGAAAAGCATGGGCCAGAACGGCGCCATGGAAGACCGGTGCCGATAGGTTTGTTCTTGCACTTTTTGGTCGGGCTTTGTTCTGATTGATTCAGGGGTATGTGTCAGTGGGGGTCCCGACTCTATGGCATTGGCATACTTGCTCAACCAACTTGGCACGGTATATGAGATGCACAAGATCTCTGTCCAGCCATTCGCCTTCATCGTCAACCACAATGCTCGGAAAGAGAGTACCGAAGAAGCCAACTACGTTCACTCCCAATTATGCCAGCTTGGTATGTCTCTCTATGTCTGAACAAAAACGTGCTTACAGTCCCAAGGTGTCGAGAGCAAGATACTCGAGATCCAGTGGCCTAACACCAATGACCCTGCGAGTACCACCGATTTCGAGCTGAAGGCTCGGCGGGCTCGATATCGACTGATTGCAGATGCAGCAATTCAAAGGGAGATCAATCATCTTTTCCTGGGGCATCATCAAGACGACCAAGTTGAAACAGTTTTGATGCGTCTAGTGCGGAACTCTGGGACCTCATTTCTTGGATTACAAGGAATGTCACAGTATAGCACGATACCCTGTTGTGAAGACATTAGGGGTGCAAACGAAGTGAAAGAATACACGAATTCTACGCAGTGGCTACACCTTGTCGGAAGCCAAGTAAATCGAGAGACAGTGAGCTCGAACGCTATCAATTATGGGAAAAATGTGACGCCATCGGCACCAGGCGGGCTACGGATATATCGACCACTTCTTCCATTCCCAAAATCTGCAATCATTGATTTCTGCAACACGAACCGAATTCCCCACGTCCAGGATACAACAAACTATGACCCTACACTGACGCTTCGGAATGCTGTGCGGTATATGAGAAGCCACTACGTCTTACCGAAGGCCTTGCAGGGACCGTCCATCCTCGAACTTCGGCAGTCGTCCTGTCGCTCTGTCGCTTCCCTTGTGGCACGAGGAGAACAGATTCTTCAAGGACTTAGAGTGCTTGCCTTCGATCTACGATCCGGCCGCATGACTGTACAAGTATTATCTGCTTTTGTTTCTTCATGCGAGTCTGATCCCGAAGCTGGGGCTTTTGCATTGGCGAGGCTGACGAGTGTGGTGAGTCCACAATCGAGAGATGACGGGCAAACCCTCGTACCGCGGCATAATCTGGAGCAGTTCCTAGACAAGAATCGGTCACATTCGCAGGAGCGGGTGACCATACAGCAGGTCTTGTTGGAGAAAGTGGACACGAAACTAAATGCGAGCAAACAATCGTGCACATTTTCCCCCAAAATTAAACGACAGAGCGATTTCGGCAGGAATTCGGCCGATGAAGGAGGCACTGTCTGGACACTGTCGCGTCCACCAATGCGTCTGACAGAACTTACGCTTACTACAAGGGGCTTCTCTCCCCGTCCGCGCCCAAGCCGAGTCGGGAATGAGGGTGCGAATCTGACTGCCCGGGCGAAGCTCACCAAGAAACACCGGCAGGCAGAGCTTTGGTCGGAGTGGATACTCTGGGACCATCGATATTGGGTTCGTGTACGAACCGAAAATGCCAAAGCGCTTTCTCAAGTCCATATTCGCGCTTATACCGAGTCTGATGTACAAAGGGTCCACGCAAGGCTCCTGAACACGAGCTCAGAGCTCCAGTCCATTCTGGCAGAAGCAGGGCCTGGTAAGTTGAGGTATACCATTCCCGTGCTAACAGTAAATGGACAAGTTTCAGTCTTCCCAACATTGAACATCACTGTGGACAAGGGGGATCCAATGACCGTCCACCCAATTCAAGAATGGGAAATCTGCTACAAGGTCATTGATCACCGATTTATCAATCAGAAGCGAGAAATGATCGAGTGGAGGAATGCACAGGTGAACCCCCGCAATCCAGTCAATTCCTCTGTCAGATATATCGCAGAACGAGCCGAGAAAAGCACAGCGAACTCGAAGCAACGGTGACAAAGATCAACCGGGGAGTCTCGTTCAAACGTATCCATCCCTGCTTGCTAGGAGATCTCAACAGGAGTGCCCTCTGTCGAACAGGACGCCTGAAGTCTCGTTGATCGACGATACTATCACGGAAATACCCCAACCCAATGATTCCAGAAATTGCCCAACAGTAATCCGGCGGAAGATGAGCGTGCAATCCGATGCCATGCTCTGCTAGGCACAGGCGACAGCTGACCCTACCAAAGCTGAGGAGCTGACGCAAGAAACTGAGAGATATCCGAGCGAACGCCGAATGATGGACTATCTTGCTACCGGAAATCTGCAAAATGATTGATGGTTATTCGTACGATCATACTCGGTCTTCCCCACACTGGGTCTGAAGCGTCGTCACGGCAGACCACCAAAACGCGGAGAGAAGGTGGAGATAGGCGCCTCGGCCTTAAGGCGAAGTCTCTATAAATGCTGAACGCGCCGCCTTGAGTCGGACCGAGCATCGGCTCAACTCCTCTCGACCGCATACTGTCTTAAACATCACAATGGCAACCCAAGTAACCCCTGAAGCACTGACAGCGCCAACACAATCGTTTGACAATGCTCCACCATTCCCAGAGGATGTGCCGATGGCCCCTCTCCTACGCCTGTCTCTGGCCAAACTGCTCGAAAGGGATCCTGACGAGGTGAATCGTTTCGTGCGAGCTTGCGAGGACCTCGGATTCTTCTATCTAGACTTGAGTGGCCCAGGGGACTCTCTGCTTGCCGATGCAGACCAACTATTTAAAGTCGGCGAGGAGTTGTTTGAGCTCCCATTGGACGAGAAACGGCAGTACGATTTCCAGAAAAAGAAGTCGTATTTTGGCTACAAAGGCTATGGAGCCAACGTCGTTGACCGGAATGGTAATCTCGACCGCAACGAGTTCTACAATGTGAGTGTGCCGGTGAACTGGTGAACCCCGACCAAGTGCCTGACGATATGCAGGTGTCCAAAGATGACATATTTGGCATCATGGATCCCTTGCCCGCTCCAGAAGTCCTCAGCACACGACGCCCCCTTCTGAAATCGTTCATGTCGTCAGCTCATGGAATTGTCACACTGGTCCTAGAATTGCTCAACGACCACCTTAAACTACCATCGAATACCTTACAAGGCATGCATCGCCTTGAAGGCCATTCGGGAGATCAGGTCCGTTTCATCAAAGCTCCACCACAGCCTATGGACGACCGGCGGACAGCGTTGGGTGAGCATACCGATTTTGGAAGTGTGACGGTCCTCTTCAATCGTCTGGGAGGTCTGCAGGTCCTTCCGCCCGGACGCGACGCACAATGGTGCTATGTAAAGCCCCTCCCAAATCATGCCATCATCAACCTGGGCGATGCGATGGTGAAATTTACAAACGGTCTTCTCAGGTCTAACATACATCGTGTGGTTTCTCCACCCGGAAAGCAGGCAGACCACACCAGATACTCGCTGGTGTACTTCAATCGACCGGAAAATGACGTGATGCTGAAGCGGCTGGAGGGAAGCGAAATGATTCCTCCACTGGAGAAGGACGCAGTCGAGGAAGATATTACCAGTCAAGATTGGATTTTGAGACGAGCGCTAGGTCATCGGATTGAACTGTTCGGCAAGGATGCGTCGGACTTTGACAAGATCCAAGGGACAGAGAAGATCAGTCAGCGTGCTTACCTGTAAAGGTTGGGGGATGGTGTGGTATGACAAACTGGGAGTCATTCACTGAATCACTTCCTTGTAGCAGCCATATTGTTCGGTGAATCCTCTCACAGGGATCCACTTGAATCAACTGTCGCAAGTGACTTAGGCCCACAAGACTGCAGGATTAATAGTAGCTGTGGGTGATAGTGAATAGTGACGGTATCTCGGAAATGTCGCGCCTCAACCCCAAAGCGGCTAGCCTCCCTGCGCACATTGTGAATTTTCGAGGATTTTTTCTGACAATGCTGTAATTGTTGACAATTTATTCCCCAGCGACTGCGTTGGCCCAAAGGCCTGGTCCCTCGAGCTCCAATACCCTACTCATCCATACCTACCACATATTTGTATTGACTCGCCACCGTCCCCGTCTCATGTGTCGAAGAAAGAACCGTCTCTGCCTCTGCCTGTCCGGCCATGTTAGCCCCGCCACCTCAGGCCCATCGGCCTGTTCTACCGACGAGCATCTCGACTCCCTCGCTTCCCTCCAAAACCATGAGACCTCAGCCCATGCAGCGTCGATCAACCCTTAAGCGATCAATCGATGAGACCAGTTTCATGGAGCCGCCCTCCAGTCCCTCCAAACGCTCTCGCGTGACTTTTGATTCTGATGTGGAGATCGTGTCTGCGGACGAGGATGAGGACGTGGATCCCCTCGTTGTCAAAGAACAAGTACGGAGAGCAATCGAACGACATCGGTTTAGAGAAGACGAGGCATACGAACGTGTGAAGGGTTATTTCAGTACCTCGCCGGACAACCCAAATGCGCCGTCCACAAAGGTGCTCAAGTTTCATCTTCAGGCCCTCCTAGCCAATGTCACATCCCTCGATAAGGACTGCAGTGGTCTCGTCGACGCTGTGCTGAATAGTGAATGGGTGGGACGAGATGATCAGTACTATGCGATTTTTGTCAGATTCCTCAACAACCTGGCTGCTGCCCAACGCGGCTATCAGCGCAAGATCATGTCGGTCCTGGTAGATCTTCTAGGACCTCAGAAAACACGACGAATCGAAAGCTCGACCCCTATCCGACAAGCAAAAATCCATCGAAGAATTCTGCAAGCCATTCAGCACATCACCATCAATGTTCCTTCGTCGCCCGCTGCTCTTGCCGATCGAGTTTCCTCCCGCCTCCAGTTTGATTTTGATAAGGCAGATGAGCGCATGACCTACATACGCAACTTCATGGAGATGATCAAATATGTGCCCGAGCTCACGTCCGAAATTCTCACCTGTGTCTTGCGAGAACTGATCAAGCTTGACGTCTCGGTTCAGGTTGATCTCGATGAAGAAGAGGAGGATGCGGAGGACGATCTGCTCAGCCACATGTCCTCGTCGCAGACACTGGTTGCACAGTCATCTCAGGACATGCTTGGCGGCAGACTCGACGATCAGAGCGATGATATCAGCACCAGCGACGAATCCGAGATGGATGAAGATGAAGATACCGACCCGGCCACCGCTCGTCGGCGCAAACTGAAAGAGGATATCAAGCAGGTTGACCTGATTATGGACATCATGTTCCAATACTACGCCAAACTTACCACTTCTGCTGCAATCCAAACCCGTGATAATGCCGTCGAGCAGCTTATCTCTCAATTCCACACCCACATCCTTCCGACGTACCGGGCCCGTCATCCGCAATTCTTGGTCTTCCACTTCGCCCAAGCAGACCCCATCATCGTCGATCGCTTCGTCACGTCGTGTGTCGCTGTTCTTGTCGACAAGAAGCAGCCGCACCTTCTGCGGCACAGCGCTGCTGCCTATTTCTCCGGCTTCGTCGGGCGCGGTGCCCATGTCTCCCCACAGGTCGTGCACGATTGCCTAGACCTGCTCTGCGACCATCTGACCATCTTGCGCAAATCGTACGAGCCCACGTGTCGCGGTCCGGACTTGAAACGCTACGGCGATTTCTATGCCGCCTTCCAAGCAATTCTGTACATCTTCTGCTTCCGCTGGCGAGATATCGCCTCTGCCCATTCCGACGACGATTCCGACTTCGACATCGACGAGGACGAAGTTGAGACATACCACTTTGCTGAGTCGCTCCGCGAGTCACTTCGAGCGGCGATCTATTCCCCGCTCAACCCCCTGCGCGTCTGCACCCCGGTCATCGTCGAGCAGTTCGCGAAGTTGAGTCACGCGCTCCAACTGTTCTATGTCTACCCGAAACTGGAAGAGAACAGACACGTGCGAGTTACCGAGCATAGGCGCGGCGTGTCTGATTTGACCATCAGCAACCCGGATCGGGATTTGAGTTGGGTCGGAGACAATGGAATGCTGGAAGGATATTTCCCGTACGACCCGTATCATTTACCCATCAGCAAGCACTGGATCGAGGGAGACTATGTAGAGTGGAAAGGTATCCCTGGAGAGGAGGCCGAAGACACAGATTCTGAAGATGACGCAGGGATGGATGTCGGGGGAGCGGACGAGGATGACGACCTTGGTCACGAATCCGGCGAAGGATGAAGTTTGTGTTTTCATCGATTTACGGGCTAAGCCTTCCATCGTATGGAAAGAGCACTGAGATGCTCATGCGACATCGCGAGGGAAGGAAATATCATGAACGGGTCTCTATTGGAATGCAATTCTTTTCATGATCTGTTGGGGGGACTGTTGCGTTCAAGCGAGCTTTCAAGACAACTGTTTGCATACACACAACAAAAAGTAAGAAGATTATTTAGGTTGCACCACATGCTTGTGGCTCAGCAGGACGGACGAAATGAAATGAAATAAAATAGAGTCGTGTACGGCTATGGAGAAAATGTTCCCTAGGAAGCAACGAGTGTGATCACACCTACAAATTGGGAATAATAATGGGCTTCTCTCTACGAATCCGATTCATATACGGGTGTGAAGAGAAGAAAAAACAGGATCTCTTTCCGCTTATCGTTCAAGTCAAGTATCATAAGCCGAGCCACGACTTCAGAACACCCACGCATCGTTACAGAAGGGTTAAGCAGGAAACTGAGTCCCTTGGCTGGTCTCTTAAGACATGACTTTAATGTACGGCCAGATCGCGATGATATATGATATAACATGATAAGGTAGCCGGCTCAGACGCCGCCTCTCCTAAACCAGGCCTCCAGGCCCGTCTTCCACGCGCAGAACTCACCTTCAACCTGCGCGGCGATCTCCAGCGTGCCGGGCTCAAGCCCAAATGTCTCCGTCACGTCCGAGTCGTCTGGGGCCGTCGCCTTGTAATCGGCGTGCTCGTCGTGGTCGTCGGAGAGCGAATCGTGCGCGGCGGCGTGGCGCTGAAACCGCAACCCGTCGACGTCGGCCCACACGACGGGCCGGCTGCGACGGTGGTTCTCGGTGATTTTGATGGCGCGCACCTTGTCCATGCCCAGCGGTCGGACGTAGGCGCGGACCTTGTCGAGGGCGTCGACCATGGCCTCGGAGCGACAGCGGGACGACAGTCTCTTCTTGGTCGCGTCGTCGAGTGTCCACTTCAGGGACTGCACCGACGCCGCGGGGGTCTTGGACACCTGCGCCAGGAGCAGCCCCAGCGGGTCGAAGTCGCGGAACTCGGCCTCAATCTCCATGCTCGCCTGGTACTGCGGTGTTTCGCGGGACAGCAGCGAGCCGGGCTTCTGCCACGAGTAGCTGCGGAAGGTGGTCACGGAGAGCTCGACGATGGCCGGCTCATACTCCATGTCGGCGTTGCCGCCATTGGTCGACGTATTGACGGCCGGGATGGGGCCCGCTTGCAGTTGAGCGAGCGGTCGGAGGGTGGCCAGGACGTCATCGGCGGTCTTGCGGACTTCATCGGCGACTCTGTCCTGCTTGGGCCCCTCGGCGTAGATGCGCAGGGACACGACGGCCCGGTTGGCCGGCACACTGATGCTCGACTGCCCGTCCAGATGGACAGAGATGGGCTTAGGGGCCGAGAGGTAGGAGGGGATGCCGAGGACGCAGAGGACCGTGATGATGGACTGCTTGAGCCAGGACGAGGCGATCATGGTTGCGAGAAACTGGGCGGCGGTGAGAAGCATTGAAAAGGTCTATTTTGAATGAATTCCAGGTTCGTTTTGAGCGGCTTCTTCGATGCCCTGACTGAGGTATGTATGTATGGGTGCTTTCAAGCCAGGTGGTCTCTCTATCTGCTCCAAGGCATGGAGCTGGCGTTCCTTACCTTAACCTAGCCTCCATGATACGCTGTGATTTCACCGATTCAGGAGAACTGATGCCCAACCTGCGTGATGAAAGGTGGCTGCTTCAGATATTTAGGCAACAGGCGGAAAAGGCCAAAGTGTTGATATTTGATGCCCTCGAATCGCGACTCATCCGCCCGCATCGGGAAAGATGTTGTCTCGTGTCCCGGGCATCCGATGTTTTTGATGTTTGCCACGTTTGCCACGTTTGCCATGGGTCCCTAAACAGCCTAGTGCGATATCGAAAATGCCAGGCCAAGTCGTGTTGAGTTACGCTTCTCTCTTTCTTTCCATTGCACCATAAAACCAAGATTACCACACAGGTGCCTAGACATCTGGTCGCAGGAGCGTGAGAGTAACACCTGTTGGCGCCTTACAACCTCTGTCGAGGAGCAGCACCGCCGATGTGCCTCCAGCGTCACCTCGTCAGCCGGGGAGTACCCATGCAGATGCCTCGGAGATTGAACAAACGTGCCCTAACAATTGTACTCGGTACGGTGAGCGAAATTGCTCTACTAGTCTCAAAGAGTCGCGAGTGACGTTTCACTGCCACGGCACTTGCTACCGTACCTCGTACAGTCCGGCGATACTGCTCAACCGTTACTCGCCAAGACATCTGGCGCTTCGCTCTGTGCGTAAACCAAAACATCCAATGTACCTTGTTCTCTCAAGATTCAGAGCTGCTGCTTCAAGCTCTGTCGGCCGCCAATAGACCTCCGGGTACCTGAGAAGCAAATGGAGCATTTCACTTCCATACTCGTGCTCCAAACGAGATCAGGCAATAGACTCCATCCCCTCTCGGGCCAAGACCAGAGACGATGACCAACGGACAGAACCTCGAGCTGATCGAATAAGTCCGCAAGCTACAGGTACCCCTCATAGTGCCGGGGAGATGCCATTGCCATATTCCGCTGGCGTCCTTTGATCTTGGCTCACACTTGCTCAGCGTGGCGCGCTTCATCTCCCTTCTCGGTGACGGCGGGGCCTTTGCTAGTCTCGACCACGGTATCGGGGTGTGTTGCCCCGTCTCTGCCACTCACGACGAGCTCATGCGTGTTATGGTCCATGTGAATGTCCGCTGCGTAGACCATGATGGTGTCAGTGTCGCCAAAGAGCTTGGCGACTTCCTCGAGGGGGACACCCTTGGTCTCCGGCAGCAGGAAAAACATGGTGAAGGTGCCTAGGCCGCAGATGATTATGAAGACCTAAAAGAAGGGGCGGGTAAGTACTGTTCAGAGGTTCGCTTGTGTCCGTCTCTGTAACGAGTGGACGGACCCATGGAGACTTCAAGGACTGGTCGAAAATTGCGACTCACCAGATAGAACTTCCAACCAATATTGGCAAATGCGGTTGCGGTAACCTGGAGATACACGAGGTCGGTGAGCGCGACAACGGCCATGGAAAGGCAGACACCTATTTTAGAGCGGTGTTGTGGTAAGTAAGGGGCATTTCATTTCGCTCCCAGCAAAGACGCGGGTGCTCACCTTTGGCTCGCAGGTGGTTTGGGAACACTTCGCTGTAGAAGACGATGCCGGCGACGTCGACTCCGCAGCTATAGACAACTTCGAACAAGAACAACGCCGCGACACCCATGGCCAGGCCGGAGGTGTTGTCCGTGCCGGCAAAGCTGGCGACAATGGCGGCTTCGATGATGAGCCAGAAGCAGCATCCGCCGACGCCAAACAGCATCAGGGGTTTCCTTCCGACTCGGTCCATGAATACGGCTCCGATGGCATTGCCGATGATGGCAGTAGTAATCCAGCCGCACTGGAGACGGAGTTGATCCTCGGTGCCGTAGCCGAGACTCTTATACAGCGTCGGGCCATAGTTGTTGATGACCAGTACACCTGTAGACTGGCCCACAAAAGCGAAGCCCATGGCCAGGATGGTTCGCTTTCGGTACGATTTCTTGAAAAAGACGTCCCACTGCGGTGATAGGTGAGAAACAGTCAGTTGTGCACACCCAAGAGCCAGGCCGGGGGGGCCATGAGACCGACAGAGTTCGATCAAACTCGGCCTGCTTGCGCATCTGATAGAACTCGCCCCGTGCGAATTCTTGGTCCTCATCCCCCGGGATGGCGTGCAGTCTCAAGACAATCTTCTCGGCCTCCTCCTCACGGCCCTTCATGAGCAGGTATCGAGGACTTTCCGGGACGAACGGAAGCATGGCCACCATCAGAATAGGGAAGAAAAGCGCAATACCCAATGGTCCGCGCCACTGGGCCTGAGGCTCCTTGACATAGAAGAAACCCATCCCGGTGTAGGCGGCCAACGAGTAGCCGACGGCGATGTTGACACCGTTGAGTCCGACGAAGAAACCGCGGAGAGCCGGTGGAGCGAGCTCGGCACTGTATGCAGGTGCTGCGATGCGACAGATGAGATATTGTTTCTCGTGTCTGTTGTGGGTGGTCTCTGCACTTACTGACTGCCAGATAGCCCCAGCTTCCCATGCCGGCGAAGAACCTCGCGACAATGAACATGGCAGAGCTTTTCGAGCCGCAAATCAATGCACCGCCCAGCAGGGACCAGAAGGAGCAGAAAATGACGCCGGCTTTTCGACCCCATTTGTCCATGATATAGCTCACGATCATGATGCCAAAGAAGGCTCCTGCCTTTCCTTGCACTGTTAGCTTCGAGATCCATCGACACACTTTACCTCAACACAAGGTGTTGAGAATGTATTGTCACACCTGAAAAACGCCAGACATGGCTCCCTCGAGCTGGTCTGCATCCCCTGCTGGCAGCCCCGTCACCGGGTTCAGCAGTTTCATATACATCAGGAAGCTCGGTTCGCCCAAGGTTGTGCTAATGATGGACGCAGGGTAGCCAAAGGCTATCTGGCCAAGCGAGACCAGCCAGCATACCCAAAAGTTGTACCAATTGAATTGTCGGACGTGAGGAGCCGTCGTCGCCGCGGCCGCCATGATGCTTGGTGGAAACTCTCTATTGGCTTCTTTTTAATTAAGGCAAAGAAAACAGGTACCAAAGCCTCTTTCCTCCCCAGAATGCTTTTGCTGGCCCCGAGAGGTATTTGCACAAATCTATATACTCGTGCTCTTGTACGACGGCATGTTCCCAAGGCGGACGCTCTGCTGCCTGTATAGGTTAACCGAATCCCGCGGCTAGGATTTGGCGCCTAAAACTTGGGGGTTGGGTGGATCGAAGGGCGGTGATCGATACGCCATGACGGACCTTGATACGAGTCAGTGAAGTTGTACACGGGACAATATGGGAAACCAAACAGAGGAGCGAGGAAGAAACAGCCAGGCGTCGTCGTGGGATATATGGCCGGTATATCTTCATGCTCTGCAGTACATCGCCACAAAAGACACCTGTGTCTCGACGTATCTGTATAGGCCTTGTACTTCTTCAAGAGAATAGCCACAGCTGTCCTTCAAATGCATTCGAAGGGATCCTTCGGCAAGCCCTCCCTCCACAGAGGGGCTCCTCATCCCGCCCGTGTCCCCATACCGATAAGCATCCAATCTGGGGTATTATTCGAGGGGGCGGGAGAGAGAGCCACCAGGCAGACACGCCGGCCCACGCCCTCTGATCACTGCACGCGTTGATTCTTTGCCATGTGTACGGAGTACTTGATCTCCACTCCATTGACAACATATTACTCACCCCTTCGTACACATTGCTTCCCTGCCGCTCTCGGAGCGTCGGCGTGCCGAACGGGCATTCCGCGAGACAGTGCAGCTAGCTGTGATGCGACTCGCACTGTGTGTGGCTCGCACTAGAGCTTTATGAAACAGAATCAATGGTAGACACTATTCGAGGACGGCAAATGATCCCGACGACTCGCGGTCCTTTTTTCTCTCCCCGAGGTCCCCATGTAACGAAGTAAACAGTGACTCACTAACTCACTCACTCACCAACTTCAATGGTTGACGGTGGGGGGAGAAGGATGGATCTTGCGGCATCGGGCTCGACATTCCATATTCCAAAGAAGAAGAAGAAGAAGAAGAAGCAGAGGGAGAAGAAAATTACATGCATGTCGTCGGCTACCGTCCCACGATTTCTCGATCACCTCAAATTTCGGCGGGTGAGCCGCTCGCTCTATGCAATACATAATAGCGGCTACCGAGGTCAATTCTCCTGGAAGGGAAGCAAGAGCGCGCACCCGATTCTCTATTTTATTGCGTTGCGACAGGCTCTGCCTCAGTCGATGAGTTCAGGTTCTTGTTTTGTTGTTGTTGTTTGTTTTCCTGATCGGCCTCGAGGCTAGAGGCGGCCAGGAGTCTGTCTCTACCACCATACTTCTCCCCGTCAGCGTCCTTGGACCATTCGTTGACCCCAGGGCCACTCACTGCACTAGCGCGCAAGGCTGGGTGCGCGCCTGTACGTTGGCAAAGCAGTCCCGGAATATCGAGTTGAAAACATTACCTGTGCCTCAATATTGTGTTGTCCTTCAGACGCCATGTGACGAGGCAAATACAGTAAGTATAAGGCAACTAGAATACACCCAGTGGTTGCCACCCCAGGCCGGCCAGGGTTTGTTCGATGCCTGCGTTGCCGTCATCGGACAGCATCTGGGGTGTGTACAAAGGAAACTTTCTTCAAACAAGTCTCCTTCTCTCTATTTTATATGTTTACAACCTCCTTTCTTGATATCCAGTACCCACCTCGGCACCGCAACTCTGGGCACAAGGAAGGGGCGCCGTGATCTCTTTTGAACCAGGAAATTATGATAGATAACAAGGTCGAACCTAGAGAGGAGGATAACGAAGCTTTCTCGAGTCCCAGTGCAAGCAAGCTTGGCCAAAATCCAACTGTGACCGCGAATATCCAAACATCCTGTTCCTGAAGCTTCCCTCCTTGGGCACCTGTAATCAATCGCTCCCATCACGTCCCCACACGATCCGAAACAGCCCTCATCGTCCACCACCAACTACTCTGGCTCCAGATCCCTGCGCCATCATCACCGTCGTCCACCAAGACCCTCCACTTGTCGAGAAACCACGGCGTGGCCTCCCAATTGCGCCGATCCCAGGGCTGCCCGCGCGCGTTCGTGGCCCAGCACACCAGCCCGCCGTGCGTCACGATGTCGTTCTTGAAGTCGGCCAGGTCGAAGACGTGCCGCGGCGTGAAGGTCGCCATCACGATGGCCCGGGCGCGCAGGAGCGGAAACGGCAGCAGGTCGAGGAACGGGTGGTGCGGGTACAGTACCTGGGCGAGGGTCGGTTGGAGGTCGGGCGGGATCCAATGGTGGGATGTTTGCTGCTGCGGCTGCTGCAGCAATAAAGATCGAGGATCAGCGTTGGCTTGTGGCTGTTGTTGTTGTGAGGGAAGAGAGTTTTGGTAGAATGGGGAGATGTAGTCGCTGGTGAGAAGCCGGCTCAGGTTCAGTCGCAGTCGACGGGCGTTGTTTAGTGCCGCTGTTACGGTCTGCACTGGGCTGAATTGGATGGTGTTGGCAAGAGGGTCTGCAGGGGCCAGCCGCGCATCCGGGGGGCATTGCATCTGTCCGGCTCTGCTCTCAGATAGCACAGTTGATAACGTATGTGGTCCTGGATGGACTTCTGGTAGGACACCCGAACTGACCGAGGAACGACTCTGTTCCACGGAATGGAGTGCAGACACTGAGAGCTTCAATTCTCCTGTGCTGGATGCGGGCTTCGAGGCTTTGGATGGGCGGGCCGCCGCCAGTCCGGATGTTGGGCCAAGGTTGACAGTAGCAATAGTTTCCGTATTCAAATTGAGGGCCGAAACTGGTCCTCCGTCCTGAGTGCTGCTGTCCGGCGGAGGGTACCGCGGTCTGAGTTCGCTGAGGTGATGGGGACCCTTGACGTGGTTCGTGATGGCGTTCTGCCGAGCCTCTTTGATCCGATGTCCTACATGCAATTCTCTTATCAGCGACGCCGGGGTTAAGTGAAGCGAATCGAAGCAAGCATACGATACGCCTTCTGTGCCGCTCGATTCTGCTCTCGGCGTGCAGCTGTGATGATGCGCTTCCGACGACTTCCCCTTTCCTCCCCGGACGCTCCCTCGGAGGGTTGCATAGTGAGAGAGCCACCGAGGCGGGGTATTGTGTGATTGTCCATGGTGGAAAGGGAGAGGAAATCCATTCCAACATCCGACATCCAATAGAATTCGGGTAAATTGCGGGTATTAAGTGGCTGACGTTGTCTGAGCCAATCACCGTCCGCGAGGCTAGTAAGCCATCACCAATAGATGTTTCGATATGAGATGGAGAGGCAACGCTGTACAAGGTGATATGGGCCATTGAATGCTCCGGTTGACGGCGGCTGTGAGCTCTGGCGAATATAAACATCGAGGGTAAGTGTTTCCACTCAAGAGGTGATCGATGTTCCGGATATCTACTTCTTACGAGCTATTCAAACTCGAACCATGGCCTCCTCTCCCAAGATCATCGTGGTGGTTGGTGCGACGGGCAACCAGGGCTCGTCCGTCGCTCGAACATTCCTCTCTCTCCCAGATTGGCATGTCCGGGCGGTGACTCGCAAGCCATCGTCTGAAAAGGCAAACGGTCTGAAGGCACTGGGAGCCGAGCTGATCCAAGCAGACCTGGCCGACATATCTTCCCTTCTTCGGGCATTTGAGAATGCCCATGCCATCTTCCTCAACACCGACTTCTGGGAGACCTACAGCTGCGTAGGCAGCAACTCCGGGCTGTCTCCCGTGGCACGCAGCCGGGCCGCGTACGAGAAGGAGGTGTTTTACGGCAAGAACGCAGCGATTGCGGCGGCGAGCATCCCCACGCTGGACAGGCTCGTCTATTCGTCCCTCGGGTCTATCAAGGAAGCATCCGGCGGCAAATACCACAGGTCGTTCCATCCAGAGTCCAAAGCGGCGATCGTGAAGTACATCGAGACGGAGGAGCCGGAGCTCGCGAAGAAAATGTCTCTAGTCATTCCGGCCGGGTACTGCACGAACCCGCTGTTCCGTCCCACACGAGACTTGGCGAGCGGACAGTATGTCATGGTCACAGCACAGGCTCCCGGGTGCAGAATGCCCATCTTGAACCCAACCACGTCGATGGGCCCTTTCATCCGTGCCCTGGTTGAGGACGAGGAGCCCGGGACGAAGCTCCTCGCCTACGACCCGGACAGCTTCCTCCCATTCGAGGACATCGTGCAGAAATGGACGGAGGTGACGGGAAACGAGGTCTCGATTGTCCGCATGGACACCGAGACCATGCACACGCAGCTCCACCTTCCCTGGGAACTCCTGGATGGCCTCGATTTTGTGAACGAGTACGGCTACGAACATGTGATAAGAAGCCAGGGAATCATCGAGCCACATCAGCTGAAGAACCCACCTAAGACGAAATCATACAAGGGCTGGCTGGAAGAGAAATACCTGGAAGGAGGCTTGGTCTAGACCTCGACAGATCGTGATTGTGGTGAAAGGCACCCTCAATGGTTGTCTAAAACTGGACCTCACTCGAGTCCCTGGCGGAGGCGAAGCTCGCCAGAGAGCGGTGGTGCCGATGAAGGTGACTGACTTGGTATGAGTTGAATGAATTTACCCAAAAGAGGTGTTACTTTGCGAGAAGGAGGAATTGATGTCGGTTCCGTTTTGGTGGCTTCTAGAACCCTTAGAAAAACTGTTCGAGTGGATTTCAGAGGTCTGATTCTGTTTCCAGGTGGATATAGGTACAATTTTGTACAAGACCAGGTTAGCCTGATATACTAGTTGCATCTATTGAGGACAAGTCGTGGAAGCTGGCAGAGCTCCCAACTTCGTTTGGGAGTTCATCAATTTCCACCTCTTCCCATTTGGTATCTAGTCCACCGCTTCCGGCAAATAATTACGACCACGGCCTTGAGGCAGACAGTCTTATGGGAACCGGGACGCGGTCGAGCTTCCTCTTCCGTTAAACGCTTCGAGATCATATGTCGTGGACAAGGCCTCTCGCTTGGCGTTCAGCTCCACCCCAGGAGGCGGAGGCACGCGGTTATCCTCGCTGACGCTGTGTACTTCGCTTCCGTCGGTCACGCTACAGGTGGTGCCGTGCTGGTCGTGCCAAAAACTGGCGTAGCTCCACTTGGAGGCCCGCAAGTACCAAGGCACGTTTTTTCCTCGGAGTTTGTCTGAGCAGCATGTTCAGCTTGATTGACAATGGAAGAAACAAGAGTGAGATGTTTGGTGCTTAGACTTACAGCTCCAGAACTCTCGGGCGTCGTAGTCGGCCGGCACGATGCGGTTGCCTGATGCGAATTTGATCAGTGCGGCAACGCCGTTCAGGACGACATAAGTCATGCAACCCCTGTGTGAATTGTCAACTGGAAGTCAGAAGATGAATTGCGGGCGAACACGTACGCAATGAGACCGTAGGCCACGGAATAGCTGAAGGGGATGAAGAAAAGAGTAACCGCCGCGGGCAGAGCATCTCCAGCATAGGCCCAGTTGACTTCGGTCATGGATCGAACCATCAGACATCCAATCTACCAAGAAGGGTCAGTGAGTTGTCTAGAATGTGTGTACCTATCAGTCCAATCCTTACCAGAACAAGTGCACATCCCGTCGCCCAGGTTGGGATGGACGCAAAGATCGGTGCGAAGAAAATTGAAATAAAGAAACAAAACCCCGTGGTCATGGCAGTGAGGCCGGTTCGCCCACCTTCCGAGATACCAGCGCCGGACTCCACAAAGGTGGTGCAAGGGGATGTCCCGAATAGAGATCCGATGGAGATGGCGATGGCATCCGTAGAGAACGCCAGGGTTGAGCGAGGAAAAGAGCCATCTTCCAAGTCGACCACTCCAGCGAATCGAGCCATGCTGTACAGTGTTCCCGTGGCATCCAGAATGTCAACATAGAGGAAGGTGAACAAGGCCAAAGCGAACTGACCGCCAGTTGCGCCAGACAAATTCCATTCTTGGGCAACGAGGGTATTTTGGATAGGGTGGAAATTAACCACCTTCTTGAAATAGTTAAAGCGGTCGTCGCCATCTGGAGTGTAGGGGAAGTAAGTGAAAGATGAATTCCGGGGCCAGGACATGATGGAAACAATGGCAATGCCGTATAAAAGGGCGCCCTTGACCTTGTACATCATGAGAATGGCACTGACGAATCCACCGCAGCAGATGCCGATCCAGACCTACAAACAGGTGTGAGCGACTATTCAGAAGGACGGGGCGATTTCGCAGATCAGATGGTTGACCAACTTACCGTAGGGTTCAGCATCTTGTGGCTGGTGCAAGCGCCAAAAGAATCCATGTACTCTGGAGGACAGCCTGCCAAATCAGTTGGATGGTTCGCTGATCCCGAGACCAGGCCGACTCCGCCGGTGGTGGACAAGCCGATGAGAACCAGGAAGAGGCCGACGCCGGAGGTTGCAGCGATCTTGAGGGATGATGGCACGAGTCTCACAAACCATTGCCGCATGCCTGTCAGCGCGAGGAAGACGAAGATGAAGCCCTCCACAAAGACAGCAGTGAGGGCGAGTCGGTACGGGACAGGTCCGCTGCCATGGTAGCCCACAACTTGGTATGTGAAATAAGCATTGAGACCTGTGCCATGTGAGCAATTCTATATACGTGTTGATCGGGACATGAAGTGGTTACCCATGCCAGGTCGATATGGAAGTTAGCAGGTAAAAGCCAGAACCCAAAGGCGAAGTACTCACGCCAAAGCCACAGGCAAGTTTGTCACGAATCCAAACAGAAACGAACCAAGGGCAGCAATAGCAGCGGTCGCCGTGATCAGATCTCGTTGAATTCCTGCAATGTTGTGAGCAAAGGAGAACACGAGAAGTCGTCGAACAACGCCGTCACACCTTGAACACACAATGCATATTCAGCATTGTTATTGCACAAAGGGTCCTTCTCATCATTGCAGACACACGTGCCTCCAGTCTGAGAAACAATGGATGCCTATTGACTCGGTCAGCAACAACTTCGAGAGGGTGAGTGCTAGTCTCACGTTGACTGCAATGATATATGCCATTGTCGCAAAGGTCGTGATGCCAGCCGCTATCTCCCGAAAGAAACGTGCTCCTTCGATCTGCTTTTCCTGCGTGAAGCATCAGCAATCATGGTTCATGCTGGTGCAGCCAGGTACGAACATGGCCACTTCCATCGAGTCTGAAGACTTTTCCGAAGGTTGTTCGGGCGATTTGGCGGTTCAGATTCTGAAATATGGCTTTGACACCCATTTTGGAATGCAGTATTTGACTGACAGGAGCAAGAAGACTGGAGGTTGCTGGGCTCGGTAGAGCATGGAGAGTATCGTTTCAACTCGGAACATGTTATTTAACCCCTGGCTCGGGATAACTCCCGCCGTTCGTGGAAACAGAGATTGTAGGACATATGCATTAGAGTTCGGATTACTCTTGTCGATGCTGAATTGGCTAACGAGATCCAACGTGGTTTATCACCGTCAATACGAGGTACTCGCTAGGTTGGGGAAAAAGGCCACACGACTTCGGCGAGTTGGGCCGAAAGTCAGATACAGAAGATTTACATCCAAGAAGAACCACAAGTGTGGCGTTGGTCTAGAACACGGGCACCCGTATCCGGCAACGCAACGCACGAAAGGGAAGAATGACGCAGCCTATCGTCCCTGGTTCAGGCTTGAAAAGGTTTTTCAACGTGCCTGACTATACCAGAGAGAGCTGGTTCCTGCGCGCCACAGGTCCCGGCCTTGACGTGAGTTAAGCGAACAGTGCATACCTTGAAGACTTCAAAGCTGATGTTAATGAGCTTTCCAGGGGGGTGTCGCTGAGAAACCAGGATATGCGCGTACTCCAGAGGTCGAAGTCCACCTCGGGGACTTGGATTGGTTCTTGGATTGGCTCTCGTCCAGGCACAAATTTGCCCAGTACTCTTCGATTCAGCGAGCTAGGGATGGTCTGGTCGTTGCAACAGTCGGTTTCTACCGCCAAGCAAGCCATGAAGCAGAGATACGAATCGATGGTGTAGAAGATTTGCAGGGTGGTGTGATACGGCCCTGTTCGGCGAAATGTTCCCTGCGAGAAACGTTGCAGTGATAATGGCGGACGTCGATTTCCTTCAAGTGGAGGTCATACTCCCTGCAGGAGAGTTCGAGATCGTTCCATCTCTTCTGTTGCGTGAAGTGGTGCCAGGATCACCATGTTCAACGTTGCGTGCAAAGACCCCTTTGAAGCCGAGAAAGTGGGCGAACGCCGAGCTCGAAAAGCCAGAGAAACCAACGAGGCTGTTGACAGTATCAATGATGCCCTCAGCAGGATCTCCCTGTCCGGTCAGACATCAGAACCACCTGGCATCTTCAGTAGTGTATCGAGCAGATCCTCGAGGGCATCTTCGGTCATAGGATCTGTGTCCATCAAGTATGATAACATGTCACACATGCACTCTTCTGGGCTACATGATACAGCAAGCCAGAAGAGCCAGCCATTTTGCCATCGGTGAGTATGGCTTCCTTGACAGCACCAAATCGGGGTGACTGACCACCACCTGGAACAGAAAAAGGGGCAAAGAACGTACTAGACGAGGATCCCTCACAAATTCTGAAACAAATCCTTTTGCCAGTCATGACCACGGCGCCATGAAGCACGCTTCCACCGAGGAAACATGGACGCATCCAATGATGCCAAATGCCAAACAATTGACGCCATCGTCGTCTTCGACGAGTTCAACCTCTCCTCGACACGCCCATACCGCTGTCACCCAATATGCCCAAGTACGCGTGTCCACGCCAGCGGCAGAGGGCCCAGATCCCTTTGTCCGCTTCCAGCGTTTGCTGCGCAGGATTGAGAGAACCAGCCATCGGATCTCCGTGGCGAGGCTGGCTGAGCAATGGCCAGATGATGAAGAGGGCGACAGCATGGCGCACGAATTTGAATTTGAGACGACTTTATACGCCATTGTTCACGCTCAGAGGCTCGCTTTCCCCGAAGGGACGAACGGGCCTGCCTTCCCAGTCCCGAGAGGATTGGACCGTGGGGACGTGAACAGGCTTGCGGCCGCCAATATACTTCATCTGGGCTCTGTGACTGGTAAGCATCTTCGTCCTCGACATGCTGTATTATAACCACACACATACTGACATACACAGGTTCGCCAGAAGCGTGGTATCTGAGTACCAAATATTCCACTTCCATCATCCACAGCCTAGGAGTGGACCAACTCCAGTTTGACCTGCCATCATCCAGCTGGGGGCAGCCGCCGAACCTGCAACTCGAAGAGTGGACCAACTTTCCACGTCTTGACTACGTTGACCGGATCTTCGACGTCGTGATTGTCGCTCACCACCTTTTCGAGAGGATTAAATGTACCTTGTGGCCTCTTCTGATTCAGGAGATATCTCGTGTTCTCGTGCCGGACGCCATACTCGTTGTTTCCACCATCGACGCCGTTCCTCAGCGCTGTGGACCGATGCTTAGCTCCTGGACTCAGCAAACCGTGATGGTCAATCTCCTTCGACGATTCATGGTCCCCGAGCCCAGCTTGTTACTGCCCTCCTGGTTGGAAGAAGACGGCCACTTCACCCCGGAGTTAGTCGACCGTCTCCAGTTTCCTTGCGGAGCAGCTCTCGGACTTAGTCCAGTACCAATCCATGCCGCTAGTGAAGCCATGGACCCCGTCATCCGAAGACGAAGAAAGTCATACTCTTCGCAGCTCCCTGGGGTCCGACTTGCTCAGGTCATTGAAGAGCCAGAACCTGTAAAGGTGACTTCACAGAATCCCCAAGATCTTGCTGTGTCTTTGACAGGTTGGAAGTTCTATGAAAGGATATACGCAAGGTTTCTTCCTCGCGAAAGAGAACACTCACATTTGCAAGACGGTTTCTCTGGCTCGTCTCTTACACGAGGGTGGTGGACACAAGACGAGAGTATCTTGCGCGAGTGTCAAAAAACTCAGCCATGCTTTGAAATGGCCATGTTTGTGTATAGAAGGAACCATTCTTAAGGTCATTTGATCGGAGTTTCTGTGCAGTCAGCCTTCACATACCCTTAGAGATCGTTTGTTCCGTCACGGCGCAAGTTGGTTCCAGTGGTCATTGGCGGCTCTGTGCGTGTTCCAGCGGTGTCATAAAACTCTCATGTGGCCCATCGGTTGACTCTAATTCCAATTTTCCTCGACAATGAGTTTGGTCATTGGCACGCTCCTCAATGTTGATCTGAGCCGATGAGTAAGGGCTGGGAGACTTTTGCGTTATCAATTCAGCCTTGGGATTCAAAAAAATTTCTGAGCCTAAGACAGAAGATATCAATAGAGGGCGTGCCATCAATAAGAGTCCAAAGGGGACCAATATGGGATCCTTGAACCGCGGAGTGCACGATAGAGAATTAGCGATGCCGCTTTTTACAAAGTCTGAGGGAGCCCGATGGGCAGCCAATTGAAGGTCTGTTTTTCGTCTCCACTGACATGAAACCGAGCTACTGGCGCTCCCTGACTCGTGGGTGAACTCAGGGCGGCGTTACACTCTTCCCGGTCTGGGCTTGGCAACCAGGATTCTCCGCAAAAAAAGTCAACGGGTTAATTGCGGTGCAGCGAATGCAACAATATACCAAGTACAGTCCCGGCTCCTTTACAGATCTACGCAGTAAACGTCAAATAATTCGTTTGCCTCCGTGACGTTTGGAACGACGCCTTTCTAACCAGGCTCTTTCTTCTCTTCCACCTTCACAATGCGCGCCCGCCGGAGCAAGAGATACCGCAAAATCATGTCCGCCTACCAGCGGAGTTTCTCGTTCCACGAACCCTACCAAGTCCTCCTTGACTCCCATTTCCTCAAGACCTGCTACTCCTTCCACATGCCGCTACAGAAGTACCTCGAGAACACGCTACATGGCCAATGCCGACTTTTTGTCACGAGGTGTTCTCTCGCCAAAATCCAGGCCGACTGGGACAAAGTGAAAAGCAAAGACGGCAAGACGAGAGGACCTCCGCGGCCTGATTTCCTCCCTCCCCCCACAGAAGTCCCCATGCGGCATTGCAAGCACACGGACGACGAAGGCCAAGAACTAGGCGTCGTGAGCGAGGCCCGATGTCTTCTCGATCTACTGGCGGGACAACCCCACGGCAACCAACATGCCAAAAACAAACAACATTACATCCTCGCCACGGCGGATGCGGACGAGAAAGAGGCGCGAGCCAAGGGATTCATCGACGTGAAGGACCGGGCGAGATTGATTCCGGGAGTGCCGATCGTGTACGTGAAACGGAGCGTGATGATCCTGGAGGAAATGAGTGGTGTCAGCGAGCGCACTGTGCGAACACAGGAGAAGGAGAAGTTCGGGCAGGGATTGATCGGTCTGGCGTCTCGAAAGAGGAAGAGAGGAGAAGGAGAAGAGGGCAGTGAGGACGAGGACGACGATCTGCTTGCGGAGGAGAAACAAGGCCCCAGGACCAGAGGGTTGAAGAGAGCGAAAGGGCCGAACCCGTTGAGCGTCAAGAAAAAGAAGGTCAAGGCCCCAGCATCGAACGGAGTGGGCCATGATGAAGCCGCCGTAGAGGGAGAGGTTCCACGGAAGAAATCGAAAAGAAGGGGCACAAGAGGGCAGCGAGGTGGAAAAAACAAAGCGACGGCAGACAGTCAGGTTGGAGAAGGAGAAGCCAGCCAGGCCGGTGCAACTGCTTCTGCTGGCACCTTAACAGCCGCGGAGGCTTAGCCACCGAACCAGGAGCTGCAAGATTCGTGGGCTGAGTGGAATTTGTGTTTGTATGTGTTTTGCCTGAGCCTCTTTGTGTATATGAACGAGATACCCCATCCATTAACGGACGTCCTTGAATATCAAGTGCTCTTTTCCCCTTTGATTTGCTCTTCCTTCCTCAGCGAATACCAGCTTCCATATGCCACGTTCCTTGCCCATCATTACTTTCCTTGCTTCTTTCTCCCCATCCCTCCTTTTGTCCACGTTCCATCCATCCACACACGCTCACTTCGCCAAAAACGCCCGACCGTAGATGAACAGCCCCGTGGCCGCCAACACGCCGAGGCCCGCGGGGAGGGGCTTGCCGGTCTTGATGGCGCGCGGGATGCTGCTGCCGGCGAGCAGCAGCGAGGCCAGCAGCGCGAGCTCGACGCCGTAGGGCTGTCGTCGGGAGATGCGGAAGCCGCCGAGGCCGTACTGGTGAACAGAACAGAACCTGATGAGCAACGGGATGCATGGACGCACGCACGGCAGGCCAGGCCAGGGCTCACACAGAGTGCGCGCAACAAACGGCCGTCATCGCAGCAATAATGCAGCACATGCGCCGTTCTGACCCAGCGGGAGCGGGGGAAGGGGAAGCGTTCGTGTGTACGTACCAGGATTCCAACCGTCAGGCCCGCGGCGATGCTGGGCACGCTGCCCGTGCGCACGTAGCCGGTGATGCCGCCCACCGAGGTGAGGGCCGAGAGGATGTATGCCGGGGTTTCAGAAGCCTGCATCGAATGTCCCATTGACCATTGTCAGTGTGTTGTTTCTGTTCTGTTCCAGCCACCATTTGTCGAGGAAGGGAGGACGAGGAGGGACCCGGGGGGGTGGGGGGGGAGGGACTATTCCGGACCATTTTTCAATAATGAATAATGTTGGGATGATGCTATGTCCTGGAGACACGAAGGGCTATCAACCGCGATGCTGGGTCAAAAAGACACAGAAAGCAGAAAGAAGTAGGTGTGTCCGTTCCGTACAGGATTTCTGTTCGGTGTCGATTGTCATCTGGTGATGTTTACGGTCCTTACTCCAAACCCCCCCCCGGAGCCCATGTCTTCCGCATGCCGAGTCCCCACGATATCACAGACCCGATGGAACAAAGATCAACCGGACCCCGTGTATCACATTCTGGACCTCAAGCAAGTTATAACTCGGTAATACGGGATTAGATATCCAAAGACCTCTTGTCTATCGAGGGTGGACGTTGAAGAATTAGAAATTATGATTAATTCAAGGCTATTCCCGGACCCGTCGTGAACACCTGTCTATATCCACATATATATATATCCATGTCATCACAGTAAAAATTTAACAGCCAAGCACAGCAAGGCCACGGTGCTCGAAACTGACCAGCAGCTCAGAGAGGCAGCACCATTGCTGTTGGTGGTGGCCGTATCGCTGGCATTTATCGTCGGAGGGACGTTCGTGGTGTTCAGGATGGCAGTTCCGTTACTCGAAGTCCGGTTGCTTGAGCTCGTGCTGTTCGACGTCGAGTTGACGTGCTTGTTCGAAATTGTAGGTTGATTGTAGAAAGTGCGGATGATGGTGCTCGCCTGTTCGGCCAGTCCATAGGTGGAGCTCATAAGATGGGCTGAGAAAGACATGGGTGGTACGCTGGCGTCGGCGACACGGACATTCGAAAGCCCGTAGACTCGCAGGTTGGCGTCGACCACACCGCCTTGCTCGAGAGGCAGCATTGCACATGTCGAGGACGGATGGAATTCGGTGAACACCTCTCCGCGCAGCCAGTCCTCCCATTCCTCGTCCGTTTGCACGTCTGAGCCAGGCCACGTTTCTTCCGTCATGCTGCTGGCTAATGGTTGCGTTTCACCCAAGCGGCGAGCGAGCTTAACACCCTCGCGGAGAATCTCAACGTCTGCCATCGTCGTCAGTCTTGGAGGCGCTCCTATATGGATAAGTAAAATACATACCAGCAGGATGATTCAGATAATTTGGATTGATGACCGGATAGTCGAGTGGATTGGAGGAATTGATGGAGATCGAACCGTGACTGAACGGGTGCTGGAGATTGGCGCCAATTTGGATGGCCCCGTCGGTGCTCAACCCGATTACTAGCTCTATCAGTCCGATGGGACTGGTGAGAATGGTATTTGCGGTTGTGCCGTAGATGGCCTTGTAGCCAGAAATGACGCTCGCGTCAGAACTCGTGTCCGGAATGAATTGGTTGATCTCGCTCAAGACGCTGCTCTGCAGGCCGCTGACTCCATTGCCAAACAGCACCGAGGAGTTCACGTAGGCAGTCGCACTGTTAACGTACGACAGGAAGGCCGGGTCGTTCTGTAACCGTTTAGAAAATGTGCCTGAATCTGACCGGCAGCGGGGTTGGACTCTACCTTCTCAGTCCCATTGTTGTCATATATCGTGCCCGCAGTCTCTGCGTCGGTGCTCCATGTTACTGTGACGCTCTGTTTCGGTCAGCAGGGGTCGCTGGACGGCCAATGCAAACATCAACTTACTATGTGATCCTGAAGATGCTGGCCGACTCCCGGAAGCTCGGACACAACAGTCACTCCTGCGGCATCCAGGACGTCCTTCGGCCCGACACCACTGTAGAGCAGAACAGTTGGGCTGCCAACTGTACCAGCAGCAAGGATAACCTCCTTGTTGACGCCGACTGTCAGTTTCGCACCACCTCCGTTGAGCACATACTCGACTGCGTGCGCCGTGAGGTTGCCGCCCGAGGTATTGTTGAAGAGGATGCGGGTCACCTGAGCATTAGCGACCACATCGTAGTTACGACGCGGTGGCAATGGGTCGAGGTACCCAGAGCGGCTGTAAGAACGCGTCCAGTTGGCTGGGTTGATGGCGGAGGTTGCGACATACGCGCCCCAATTTTCACCACCATAGGGGTCCTGCGTGTCATCCACACCGGCGTTGTTGGCAGTACTCGACCACGCGCCAACTAGAGGCATGGTACTGATATATGGTCAGTTCGTCATCCATCCATGCGTGAATGATGGAAACATACAAGCCGGGATAGGACATGTGAATCGGCCCTTGACTGCCGTGGCTCGCTGGGTTGAACGTGATAGCAGCTTCCTGTTGGATCGAAGCGTCCACAGGCGGGCCGAATGTCTCGCTCTTCTTCATTGCGGCGAACATGGAGTCCCAGGACCAATTATCGGCGCCGTCCATGTCTCCAAGCATATCTTGCCAGGCATTGACTTCGATTTCTCCAGGCCGGTTCAGATACATTCCATTGATGGCCGAGCTGCCTATAATAACGGGTCTTGGTCAGTTCCCATCTCGTCGCCGGCAGAGAAAGAGAGACGAACCTCCAAGGACCTTTCCTCGAGGCCATGGGCATTGGGAGTTGTTCGCGTTAGGCTGTGGAGTTGTTGTGAATGCCCAATTGAGATCCGTGGGCCATAACGATTCGTAGTATGCGTACGCAGGGGTGTCTGCGCATCCGTTAGAAACCTGAGGGGGTTTATGTCAATGGCGAGGACATCCGCACCTATTCGATCACGATACTCGTCTCCGTCACCGCCTGCCTCGAGGACGAGGACCGTGTGATTTGCATCTTCTGAGAGACGCGCACCAAGCACCAGCCCAGCCAAGCCTCCACCGACGATAACAAAGTCGTACGAGTCCGCAATGTTCGTGCTATCAATGATGTTGCGTGTGCGAAGATGGGGTTCCCTCGATTCATGTGCAGAGGGAGCAGCAACCGCTATCCCGGCGCCAGCGGCCAGAACGAGAGACAGAGAGCATCGCATTCTGTGTCCTACATGTACCGGTATTGTTGGGCGAGGGACGAAAACACGCGCGGGCAGACGTCGAGATAAATGGCACAGGCCTGTTAAGAGAGACTAAACAAACCTGGTTTAGCAGTCCCCATGGATATTCATGTCCGTTGGAACTACGGAGTGTCCAACGCGCGATAGCAGGCTGGCAGGGCTTGATCTTGGGACGGTCAATACTCCAGCCCACTCTTTTTAAAATTATGTACACAACTAAACTTACCCGTCACCAATCGCGCACACGTGCTCCATGCCGAGTCAAGTCAGGTTCGGCCAAGTAGTGTGGAGCGAGGCAGCGCCACGGTAGAGCATGTTCATGTTTCGCCGAATGCGTTGATCTCGAATTGCCAGCCCATCATACCTCCCAGCGACCGGCCAGGGTGGTTGCACCATTTGACGGAAGCGATGATAACGAACGGCGCTTGTGCTCGAGGATCAGGGGCGGGCGATCTCGGAGAAGCCATGCGACTGGTCCGGAGGGACTCAGGGTCTCAGAGTCGGGGAGGGTACTCGGTACAGGGCACCCATTGCAAGAGGGGAAAGGTTGCATTGATCGTAATACTGGGGGGGGGGGTCAAGCTTCGGTGGAGTGAGGATTACGCAGTGTGTCTGTCGCAGGCAATAATAATAACAATAACAATAACAACATTGTGTGGATGTGCCTGGAGGGTGGGAGGGCGAGAGGGTGGAGGACGCAGGAACGGACTTTACATAAAAATTCAGGGGCACCAAAGTCAAAACCGGTTAGACTCACGCCGGCGAAACTACTTCCGATCGTGCAGCGGCAAGGCGAGGGCTGGGCGGAACGGGTGCGAATCCGAGGCAGTCGCTTAGGGCGGCATCCATTGGTTTCCCGAAACGAGGGGCTAGTGAGGCCCGTGCATTGATGCCGGCCACGTTGGCCTTCACCTGCAGGATGCTGGATGCAACGAGGACAACCTCTTATCTTGAACCCGGACACGACTAACAACCCAACCCCGTTGAATTCGTCCCGTCGTCACCGACAAATCCTCACCATGGCGAAGAAACCTGCAGCCCAGTCTCCCGCCACGAAAACACCTGCTCCTGTTGCCGCCTCCAAACCTCCTACCCCAGCAACACAGAGCATCAAACCCTCGGGATCGAGTACAGCACCTCCCATTAAACCTGTACAGTCAAACACATTGTCTCCCCGTTCGTCACCACACGAAATTATCGTCCATGTCTGGAACAAATACCTCCAAGATACCCCTTCCCGGACGATGCTGCTGGATGTCTTCATGGCCTGGCTAGTGGTGGTGGGCGGCCTGCAGTTCCTCTACTGTGTGCTGGCTGGCAATTACGTATGTCTCCTCGTTTCCGACTGCTAATTTGCGCTGACTTGTGTTGCGGATATAGCCCTTCAATGCCTTCCTCTCCGGCTTCTCTGCTGCCGTGGGTCAATTTGTTCTGACCGCTTCGTTGCGCATGCAAACCTCCGAAAGACCACCAGCAGGCGCGTCTCCGGTAGCCAAAAAGTCGACGGCCAAGACCATTGATGGTGTGACGGGGGAGCTGGTCGAGACCACGAAGATCAGTTCTGAAAGAGCATTTGCAGACTTTGTCTTCGGGAGTTTGATATTGCATGGGTTTTGTGTGAACTTCATCAATTGAAGGAGGAGCCAAATCCACAACTCTGGAGACCACTATTGGAGAGGCGACAAAGGCCGCTTACCTGCCATGAGATTTGCCGGCCACCTGATTCTCGGAGCGATGGTCACCCTCTCTCAAGAGTCAAGGACTACCATTGCGGTTCCATCTGCGGGTTGTTCCTAGATGCACTTCCGGCCTGGGCGATGCATATTGCCCAGCATGTATTGGACGACCGCACGAAAATCTGCCTCTGCAGACAATTGTGACCACGAATGTAGGATGTATACTATCGGAAAGAGATCAATGGAGGATCTGATTTCGGCTTCGTCCCCCTGCTAGAGTCTCCCAAGACATCTTGTCCACGATGCAATTTCAATGTGCCGAATACCTGCTACGCAAACGTCCTGGTTAGATTGGACGTCAATATACGCAAGCAATGTCACTCCATTCAGTGGCTTGAAGCGTTGGCTTGGCCATAAATTATGGCATTTTAATTAGACTTTCCGGAATTCTTCTTCTTCTGTGGCGCACTGCAGTATTTGTTGTACATACCATATTTCGGGCAAGGCAGACAGACAGTATTATTATGTCGTCTACCAGCATAACTTTGCACTTCAGGTCATGTTGACCCGGCCTAAGAGCTAGGTATCTCTAGTCTACATACTCTACCCTCTTCTTCCTGTACTCCGTACGACGCTCTCACTTGAGCAGCGAAGGGGAACAACTGATGCAACCTGAAACACGATTCAGGGCAACCGTGTTTCATGTTCCCAGACACTCACTTCAACCATTGACGCTCGCCAACAGGAATGATGCTGCTCTCTCACTGCATCTCTCTTTCCTTTGTATCCTATCCTGTGTGTTGTATATTCTCTGCTTTCTATTCTTAATTTTGTCTGTCTGTCTGTTTGTTGTATGCCAAAATGAAAGCCGAGCTGGTCTCCTCCGTATTGACGACGTTATGCCTTTTCACGCCCATCTTGGCCGTGAGCCCACTGGAGACACCCTCGGTACTGGAAGAAGATCCAATCATTCAGAGCGACGGTGTAGTCCAGGCAGGGGCCAGCACATATGGCGATGACCTTTTCAATGGGCAGGACCCAGCGAAACCCGACATCGACGACTCAGCTACTGTTGCCCTTTCCAACGATGAGCCAGCCTCCACGACAGACCATTCTCCTTGGTCCTTTAAACCTGTGTGTACCGACCATTTGGACGAGCTGGGAGACCAACTGTGCGTCTACACCGACGCGACGTTCAGCAGCGGTCGAGGCATATCGATCTTTACGACGCCCCGGATCGCCCAAGAGTTCGCCGCGTTGCTGCCCTTTCAGGATCCCTCTGCCCTGTCCTCGCGCGGGATCAACCCGGACCGCAATGCAGACAGGCCATGGTACACGACGCCGATCCCAGGGAAAGGCATGGGCATGCTGGCTTCCCGGCCCCTGAAACGCGGCGATCTGATCACGGCGCACACCCCTTCCCTGCTCGCGCACATGGAGAACGTCCTCTCGACCGCTGAGCGCGAAAGATTCCTCCGCCTCGCCGTGGACCAGCTCCCCGCGGCCAGCCGGGACGAGTATTTCAGCCTTGCCAAGATCTACGGCGAGCCCAGCGTCGTGGTCCAGGACGTGGTCAAGGCGAACGCTTTCGAGATGCAGGTCGGCGGCCAGATGCATTTGGCTGTCTTTCCCGAGTCGTCGAGGATGAACCATGCCTGTGCGCCCAAGTAAGTTATTCCCCCTTTCCCCCCTCCTACTTCATCTATTCCTCTTCCATCCCGCTCTCGTCCATGCAGAAACTAACACCCACGTCCCCCCCTTTCTCACACAGCGCACAATACTACATGTCGCCCACAATGCTCACGCAGTTCGTGCACGCGGTGCGGCCGATCGCCGCCGACGAAGAAGTGACGATTGCGTACGCGCCGCCGCTGCGCCTGCACGCGGACCGGCAGCAGTACTTGCAGTCGACGTTCCATTTCGCGTGCACGTGCGCGCGCTGCACGCACACCGCCGACCGGACGCTCGAGGACGCGGACAAGGCGACCGAGGACATGATCGCGCTGCAGTGGGCGCTGTCGCAGTGGACGGCCAACTCGACCGCCAGCGTCAAGAAGGCTGAGATGCTCGTCGGCCTGTACCGGCGGGAAGGACTCGACGCGTTCCTCGACGACGCCTACGGCCACGCCGCCCTGACGTACAACGCCGCGGGCAGCGCCAGGGGCGCGAAGAAGTACGCCAAGCTGGCCGCCGAGGCCGTCCGGCTCAAATACGGACCGGACGCCGAGGCGGCGAGGGAGTGGGAGAGGATCATGAAGGATCCCACGGTGCATTCGAGCTGGAGAAGGAGGAAGACAGACTAGAGCAATTGGCGTGCGCGCGTGTATGTGTACATGGATAGTGTATTATATTTAGACTGGTATTGAGAATGGAGATCCGTGGACCCATACAGACCACATAGACCCAGGTTGTGTATGTATGCATGTATGTATGTCTGTCGACTACAACTATCGTTCAGCTCTCCGTCTCCATCATGCATTTCAGCCTGGTCGCCGTCCACCCGGTTTTGTCAAATGTCCCCGACCCAGGTGTAAAGCAGTTCTCATCCCTCCATCCATTCAGACATCCTTCCCATTCGCTCATCCCTTCGTCCTCCCGGCCATCCCTCATAAAAGCATATTTTTGTCCCCGTTTCACACCCTCCTTCCCTCCAGGTGCCAGTAAGATGCGTGATATAATGACAGTGAGAAAACCAAACAAATTTGCGCATGAGTTCCAAGGACCGATAACAGGCCGTGAGAGTTGAGAGGCTCGTTAAATGCCATTTCCGTCCTGCGTTCCTGACGTCTTGCCATCGAGATGTCGCAGTCCTCCAAATCCATATGTGCAGCGCAACAGACAAATAAATTGCAATTGCAGAAGAAACGAATCCATGAATCCAGTTCGGTAATGACAGACAGCCACAGCCGAAAAGAGATAAGTAACCGCCGTTGGAAATGCTCGAACCGGGTAGAGACAGACTGCCGCGTGTCAAAATGATCTGAGCTTCCGCTGTAGCCTCATCCCGCATAAAACCAGCGACCTCAAATGGGTGATCGCGACTGGAGATGGAAGAAGTATTCGATCACTTCCACTTGCACCTCTTGATTGACCCACCCCTTGCATCGTGTGTACTGTATGTACGCATATTGAGAGGTTATTCTGCGTGAAACATGTGCCCTGACTCCACATTTTCACGGCGTCCGTCTGCATGCTCTTGCAGAGTGCAAAAGCAACTTCCGTGGCACCGTGTCCATGCCGCTTTGAACCAAAAAAAGCAAATATGTATATGCATAAAAGCCCAACCTTGAATTGGTGCCCAGGTGGCAAGATTTGCCCCGTTCCGATTGCCGAATGCCACCTCGCCGACCCTTCGGTGATGTGTTGTGAGGGATTTATGCTGCGGTCTTCGCCGATAAAGTTGACAACACTCATAACACGAACATTGATATAAACATGACGTGACAAAAGTCACAACAGATGGGGTATCAGATAGCCGCCCGCTTAAAACACTAAAAGCAATCAAAAAGCAAATTTCGTCGAACAAAACAAAAGCATGCAATAGCAGCACTAGAGAAGATCGTTATTCCCCTAAAGAAAGATTCCATGTTCGACCGATCTGGGGAAACTGGAAAATTAATGATAGGTGCTTTGGCGTCTTCAACCGCCATCTGGGTACTGTTTGCTTGGATTCTTACTCTTTCTGTTTGACCTGGGTTTGGCGCGAGGAACGGAGCACAGAAATTCGGGTTGGCCTAAACCGTCATTTCCGTAGGCTAGATCTTGGCCGCATTCGCGACAGTCACATGCTCCCGGCCGTTTTCACGGTGAAGGTTCGGGTGAGCGTGACCGTTGGAATTTCCGTAGAAATAGCCATTCGACGTCAAACTGGGATCGTCCCTCGCCAAACTGCCGGGACCCACAATCTTGTCTTCGTCAATGCCTCTGAGTTTGGAACAGGCATTGCCGAGTAAGCCTGCGGCTTCATGGGTGAGCTCCCATCTTGTACTCTCGAAAGACTCCTTCAGAATCATGAGCAATCCGAGGCATCGGTTCTTGCCCTTCACGTGTTCGAGATCATCGGGAGCCCGAACTCCCGCGACCCTCTCGAGGTACTCTCGCATGTCTCGCTCCTTACGCTCATATGTATCGAACTCTGCTTCGGTTGGGGGAGGCTTGATCGGGCCTTCCAGCGCGAAACCGTAGCACCAGACAACAAGTGCTGATATGTACAGCACCCAAGGGCGGTTCAACAGGAAGTCGTCGCGAGCGATATATTGGTTATGCTCGAATGCTTGGGGAAGGATGGGGCTGGCATGACCATATAAGCGTCCGCTGATCCCATCCAGCCCATCACCGTCCGGTGGAATGAGGACCTGAACAATAAACTTGAGAGCATAAAATGCTGCATCTCTTGCCGAAGCCTTCGTAGCCCACCGCTCGATCTTCTCACGCACCACGCTGTAATCTTTTGGGGTTATTGAGCGTCCAAGGAGTCTGTTCGCACCAGCGAAGACTTGGCAATCGACAACGTCGACATGAGCCGCAATATGTGCAAGATGATGTAGCACTGTCCGTGACTCGAAGATGTTTTCGTCATCAACGGGGCGTAATATTGGGTGGGGAGGTGCAATTGGAGTCCGTAACGGAGAGGACGGAGCTGGTGTGGCCTCTGCCAAAGCTTCATCAAAATCTCGCTTCCAGTTGTCAAATGCACGCAACAGGACCCCTTTCCACTTGTCTGGCCCTCCAAACGAGTTGGCTGTTCGCGGTCCGAGGGAAGATATTTGCAAGTCCCTTTGAGTCATGTGCCAGGAGACGGAGAGTAGACCAGCCATGATGATGGTACGGCCGAAGGAATTTGTGCGTACTCTCTGCCCGTTCAGCGTCCTTTTAAGACCGTCAAGAAACATGATTGGCTTGATTCCGTTGGTTTGCAACGAGGATTGAACTCGTGCAGCCTCAGAGGGGGAGACGGCGGACCAGAGACCTTCATCACATGGTAGGGGTAGCCGCATCTCATGCGCGACCATCTTCGCAGCATGACCGAACATAGTTGCATGGATAGAATCAAGTACAAATGCGCCAAAGGCGGCACGACGCGTTGCTTCGGTGGTGATCCATCGATGCCAGGATTCTTCGGATTTTGAGGCCTCTGCTCCCATGAATGGGACTGATATCCTCCCATTGTCCTGCTCTCCTCGCAGACTGGGTGGAGAATCCGAAGCCGAACGACCCAGGAGCGAACTGCCGCGGCGCATCAGAGTCAGGGTCGAGTCGTGGTGAATGTGAGCTCTTTCGTGCAGCGCCCGAGTCGCATACATCTTCTCGTACACCTCAATGAGTAGAAGGGTCTGGAAGACCCAGAGTTTGGCAGGAGGTCTGAAATCGACATCTCGGACAATTTCCCAGCGGAGGTGCCAAACAACGAAATTGGCAAATTCCGCTGCAGAATCAGTTAAAGTCGTCCCGTAAGCTTTATCCAACGTCGCGGCCCCAATTGCAATGACCATAAGTAACAGGAGGTTGGGGGTCCGATCGGCAGAAAAAGTCGGCTTGTGTAAGATGGGCAGTTGCGCATGCTGGTGATACCAATATGAACCAATATAGGTGTGCATCATTCGCAAACTCAGGATATGACCATCGTTGTCAAGGTCACCTTCGAACACAGAATCCTTTCTTTTCTTCACCGCATCGTGCGGACGTTCAACAAACTGAGTCTGCATCAGATCGAGAAGCTCGTGACGCTTGGATTCAGACATGATATATTGGCTGGTGGCAGTTGAATCGAGAATACTGGTAACACTCATAGGGTGTTGCATGCCGGCACTTGTAGAGTAGTTATTTCCAGACGACGAAGGGCTTTGAGAGAAATACGGACCTTGAACTTGCTGCTGATCGTGGCCACTGTAACCGGGGACGTAGTTGGGTGGTGAGAAATCATTGGACCCAGATTGGGCATCATTGAAGAGCCACTGCGTGAAATCATCCGCCACGGTGAATGGCGTTTGAGTGAACTCATCGCCGCCGAAGACTGGGAACCCGAAACCGGTACTGAGATCTACGTTCGACATGCTGGTATTGAGCAGGGAATATGGGAAGGGATCGTTCCGCGTCAACCCGTGGGAGACTGCAGCGGCAAATGCGGCATCTGCTGTTCGCGACACACCAGCAGACGGATAGCCTGCAGAGGAGTATGCAGCAGCAGCGGAAGTCATGTCAATAGACTGCATATAGCCGTTATTCAACACGCTTCTGTCCATGGCACTGTCGGAGTGTGATCGCATCGGTTGGAGAGGAGGTCCAGATGTTCCGGAATATTGCCGAACCGGCGATGGCGGGACATTCTGTCCAGAGCTCCTGTCTCTTGCTTGCATCTGGGCATAAGATCCGGGATCCCTCCTCTGATCCGTATTGTTGAAGCTTTGTCTTCGGACAACTGCAGACCAAGTGTCCTGTTTTTGTGGTGGGCTCATTGGATTGCTACCCATGCTGCCAGTACGATGCAAAGAAGGCTCCGGTCTAGAAACGGTCGATTGCGGCGTGGGAGCATGAAATCTCGGTTCGGTTGACGCAGTCGAAGGGGAGACAGTATTATTGGCCATGTGGGATTGCTGTTTGTAGTGGCGACTATCGGCAGAATGTCCCTGTGGGGGGCCGAGATGCTGGCCTTCCTGAGCACTCTTGACATTTGGGGCCGACATTGGATAAGTTTGAGGTTGGCCCGGGTGCTGCTGGGACGTCATTGCAGGTACGATCTGGTTATTCGAGGTGGATTGTGCGAAAGCATCTCGCTTGTGGAGTTGGGAGCCATGGGTTGTATGTCGTTCCCGATGTCGAATGCACAGATCTTGACGTACAAAATACCTACTGCAGTCGGGATAGTCGCAACGGTAGATTGTTTTGGGAGTATCTTCGAAGGGGTATTAGAGAGAATAGAGGAAACCAGGCAGGAAGAACTTACGGTTTAGCTGGTGCCTATAGAGATGCTCAGCACGAGAGTAGCTTTTACCGCACCCTTCGTGTTTGCACTCAAATTTCCTGTCTGGATTCGGCTTTGCAACTCTCCTCCTCTTTTTCGGTGGTAGTCCGCCAGCATTCTCTGCGCCACCATCAGCGTCCCTGACGTCGTCGGATGAGCCATTCTGGGCAAGCGAATCCTGGTCTCTTTGGTCGACAGAGTCTAGCTCTGCCATGGTGCGTGACGACGAGCGATTCTCACCGACAAGCCTGAGAGCCTGACACTGGTCCAGGCAACGATGCAGGCAAGTGCTATCACGGGCGATGCAGCATGATCGGAATGCCAATGAACCGCACAGCCAAAACTCACAGTGGAAGTCGACGAGGGTGATTGAGACAGCGTCCTGATTCTTACCACAGGGCTGTCGCTGCGAGGCCGTCTGTGGGGCGTGGAGGTACAGTTGAGTTGGCGCAGAATACCTGTCTTTCCCTTTGTAGACTTGTCTGGAGTGGTTGCGACCCCTCTAAGGTACCCGTGCTTGTGTATTTCCCCTTCGACCTCGACCCAGTGCTTCGGTAGACAGTCAATGGAGGGTTTTTTGCGCAGACTAAGATGGACTAGATGGCGTTTGTGGGAGAAAGAGTCGCAACAGGTTGTGGGATGCAGATTTGGCACGAGCGAGTTTTCCTGCGAATGCAGGTACCGGGGCGCGCAGAATGAAGGTTGTTCAGGTGACCTCGGGGGGTAAGGCTCGTGAGAAATGAGCGGAGGACTTATTGCTTTTGCTGCTCCTCATGGCCCGTGGCGAGGAAAAGTGGACAGCCGAGAACAAGGCCTGGGTCTGATGCTGCGTGGGTGTCCAGACGGAACCTGGAGGTCTGGAGAGCAATACGGAGCAGGGTCTTTCGAATGCAGCCGGATCTTCGTTGCTTCTGTAAGGAGGCGGTACTGGGGCAATTGTTGGGGTCTAGGTTGCAGTTATGCCTGTCGCTGGTCGTAGGTCCGTCGACTCTGGCATGGCGGAGTATCTAAGCTAGATATGGATCAGGCAATGGCAGGCCCGTTGTGCAAAGCGGAGTGGAGAAGCCAGTCAGAGGCACGAGGACGGGGGATGGAGGTTGGGGGGTGATGCAGAGGACGCGGGATGCGTGTGGACAGGCGGCGTGGAGGGAAATATGTTACGAAGAGACGAGGTTTTGCGGTCAAAAGAGAGGAGGAGGGGGAATTGGGTGGTTCGTGGTGCGAACTGGCTGACGAGAGAGACAGTCAGAGGAGTTTTTCGAGCGTGCTGAGTGGTGCGAGGGCGATGGCGCTAAGCGTGATGTGGGCGGGGCATCACTCGACTACGAACCCGGAACGGGTAGAGGCTTGCGGGCAGCGGGCGGCGGGCACCAGGCCCTGCTACTGCTGGCTGGTGGTGGTGGGCATCCATTGGCGCCCCTCGGTGGCATCTGACTGGAAGCCCGGGCGATATGCTGCCGACTCTGCGGCTTTTGCCCAAACCATGTTTGCTCTTTGCCTAAAACCATCTTCTCGCTTCCATATTCTGGTCCTCGAATGAAGCCTAGACGCTCCTCAGGTGTTCCTCTTGGCCACAAATCGGCAGTCAGGTCAGCTATGTCGACGAGGCGGCGCGCCCCGGGTCAGGTTGAGCTTACGCCCAATGTCTTGTTTGGAGAGAGGAAGAGGGGGAGGGGGATAAGCATGGTCACGAAGCAGCTTTGCTCCTACCCAAGTCTTGTGTTTTCGAATTCGTTAACGTAAGATGCAGGAAACTGTCCATCGATAGCCCTCCGTGGCATCCCCGTCGCAAAGCGAAAAAGCCGTCTCAGTCATCGCAGTCAATCAGCGAAGTCACCGTGGTCACCATCCCACCCTGCAGCAGGGATCCCTCCGCTCCCGCTCGGCGCGCTGTCTAGTGACCGAAGCAAGCCTGGTGCCATCCTGTTCAAGGCGTAGGATTTATAAAAAGCCGTCGTGTGGAATACGCTGGGTACTGGGTGATCATCTGTTCCTCACCACCTGCGGGTTGGACAGGCTGCCTGATGCTTCACATTCCCCACGCTTTCGTTGCTCCTTTGACTCTTTCTGGGCTACAAGGCATCAACGCTAAATCAGCATTCCAGAAGTCGTCGACGCGAGAACCAACCGTCTGGAACCTCTTGCCAGAGTCCTCTCACCCATTCTCCGCACATTGGTTAAGCTGGATTTCTCATCAGCAGAACCCCGCGGGCCGAATCACATCATCGCGCATGCTTTGTGCCACGCACCACCATCTCGTGTAACTTGTCCATCCTGTCGGCTTGATCCGAGCATAAAAATTTCTGGCAGTCGGGGGGACGGGGCCTTGCTGTTCCCCAGTTTTTACGAGGCACAATGCATTACGCTCTAGGCATTAAGCTGCAGACTCCACGGGGGTAACACGGGGGCTTCGCTTACTCACGGCAAACTAGTGACGATACGGTCTTGCCAATAGTCCAGGATTGTGAAGAGAGGCGCAAAGGTCCCCAACGCCAAATCTTGAGATGGATCAGTCAGGCGTAGTAATCTCGCCACGCCAATGGTCGATCGAACGAGATATATGTTGAACTCCTGTCTCGCTCAATGTACTCCACGATCAAGTGTACTGACTCCTCTCCCTCCCCGTCGACCCGGAACGTGACTGTTCCGTAGATAGGCCGTCAGAAGCCGAAGCTTTGTCTTGTCTCATGAGACCCGAGGGGCACGAGGACAACCTCCAGATATCACCCGTGTTGGATCCACTGTTGATCAGCTCTATTGCTCCTGCATGGGACAGGCTGCGTCATGATGGAGAAGGCGGTGGTGACGGGTCCCATAAACAACGAGCAACCTGCAACGTGGATCAGACGAAAGGACCAGACAGATAGCATAACCATGGTGGCATACCACGCCAAGGGCAAGCTGCTTCCTGCAACCTGTCGGCTGTCCTTGCTTAGTTCTGTGGAAAGACCTTTGCACCTTTTTCAGACCCTAGGCTGCTGAAGCCCCCAGGAGGCGTGGTGTGTCGGCCAGTTTCATCCCCTCCCCCTTTTCCTCCTCCAATCATGGCATTGGGGAAAGGAAAGATGCTAATGCAACCCGTCTCGACCATTCACACTCTTCTCATCCAGCTGTTCAAGTGTCCAGTCTTCCAGCTGCTGCTCCCCCATCGACGTCTCCGATAAGAGCAGCTTCACCTTCTACAGAATTTCCCGCCGTCTGAGTGGCTATCGTGGTGTCGGCATCTACTGAGAATTCCCGGTCCAATTTTTGCACGTGTGGTTGTCACGCTACCCCTAACCTCGGACTAGTTTTGGCCCGCTGCCTATTGTGTACGTTGCCCATCGCCGGTGACCGAAAAGGGTATCCATATAAATACCATTTCAAGCACGCGACAGGAGGCCGAAGGTGAGTCTGTTGAAGCATTGTAAGATGGTGCCTCGAATGCTATTATCGAGGCCAGCACTGGCAAACCTTTCTCAAGCCGACTAACCTTTTCCAAGCAACAACAAACAAGCTTGAATCTGTAAGCCAGCAAGGCAAAATGTCCGACGCAAACAGCCCGACCAGTCCGACAGTAAAGCCAAAATCCAAGTCCTATGAAGGGTCGTGCCATTGTGGCAGAGTTAGGTATGCAGTGGAACGGGCCCACGGGAGACAATAGGATATTGACCTCTGCTAGGTTCACCATGAAGCTCTCACCTCCTGTCGAGGATGGCCCGGTGACCAGCTGCAATTGTAAGTCTCGGGGTCGCAAACTCCAGTCTCCCCCTTAGAGGCACGGTTACAAAGGCCTTCCTCTTGATACCAGACTGAGTTGGCTTACTCTTGCACAGGCTCAATCTGTGCCATTAATGGATATCTGATGGTCTACCCCTTGGAATCCAACATCACCTGGCTCAGTGGCTTCGATGAACTGACCACTTACACCTTCGGCCCAGAGAGGATTGCACATTCCTTCTGCTCGACATGTGGGACAAGCATTGGCGGGAAGAGCACCGATCCGAACTTCTTTGCCGACAATCGGGCGTTGAATGTAAGGACCTTTTTTTGGTCACCAAAATTTTGCCCCTGTTCCGACCACTTTTGGGCAGACCGAAATAACGTCTGACATCTCTTGCTTCTAGGTGCGCACATTGAAAGGCGTCGACGTCGACGCCCTGAAATTGAGGAAAGTTGACGGGCGAAATGTCCCGATCAAAATCCCGTCTGACGCACCTCGCAAATTGTCCCGTTGATTTCCCAAAGGCGGACGGACTACAAAAACTCGACGTCGTCTAAAATTGAGAAGTTTTTTTTCGTGGGGGGAGGGGCGAGGGAGGAGGGAGGAGGAGGAGGAGGGAAGGGGGACGCAGAATCTTTGTTTTGCTGGTGGAGTCGAACCGATGCATTTTCTTTCAATCGTGCTCCCTCGTTGACCTCATCCTGGTTGTGCTGGTTCATCCGTATGTACAGAAAAGCATCAATGGTCGCCTCATGTTGAGCTCAAAATGGAGATGAGTCGTCAAAACACCTGTGGTGGATCTCGCCCGCGCTCTCTAGATTATCTGGTTTCCCAGTCTCGACCGGAAGGAAATATCGTTCTCATACCCAGTGCAACGATAGCAATGGGAGACCGAACAAATGATTCTCGGGAAGATAGCCTAGAGGCGGGATCCTGCCGCTACAGCAGCTCGAGCAAAAGGATGTTGAGTAAATGCATTGCTTCTCTTGTTAATGATTTAGGTGGTGCTTTACCTACTAGTCAAGTCAATGTCACGAATATTCGTTCCATTCTATCTGACGGTAGAGGCCTCCAGCCACGGGGGATTTCATGTGTATAATCGTTTGATCTAACCTAACCGTCTGTTTGAAATATCAAACTGCATTTTTCATAATCACTTTACCCATGGCTTTCTTTTATCGAGGCAAGAATACCACACAAGACTCCTACGCCTGTCCGAAAATGCTTGCCTTATTTCACAGTGCTTTGGTCGAAGCATATATTGAACACCATTCCTGGAGGCGGCGCTCCTCTGGAAACTCCCAATCAATGACAATGACGGACTCCTTCTGGGTGACTTTCCGTTTGTTCCTAACAGTGCCCTTTACACTGAGGTTGGTAGCATGTACATGACCGTTCCGAGCGCCGTCAACCCAACCCCCGCCCACCACCATCGATCCGCATTGTAGACATTGGTGGGCTGTTGCTTGATGATGTGCGAGTCGTGGTTCAGCGGCTGGAGGATTTCTTGCTCGCCGTCTCCTCCCTCCGTTCGCTTGACTCTCGATTTCCCCGTCGCGCTCGGTGCACTGGTCGGATTGAGCGTTTGCGTCGGGAGCATCTGGGGCGGGCTGTACATCAGATACATGGGTTGCATGGGACTTCCGTCAAATTGGTACAGATTTAGCCGGGGCACGTTGTGGTAGGGATCGGTGAGGACTTGATAGGACTTGAAGAGTTCGGACTGCTCATAGCGGATGTAGATGGCGTTGTCGTAGGAACAGGGGGCGGAGGTGAGTTGGCGGCCGTCAACACCGAAAGGTGTGAGGACAATAGAGCCGTTTCCCGGCAAAGAGTACGTGCCGTGCTGCCACTGCATTATGGAGGAAGGGCATTGGGGAGTTGTTGCTGGAAGAAGTGTTAGCACTGGTCCTTGCCTGCTCTGTACCAGGCATAGAGTCTCCAGATCCCAGACAGAGAGGGCATCGTCCATGTGATGGGTATAGGGGGCTCAAGCATACGATTTGAGATTGCCCGATAGTATGCCTCTTCATAATATCCATCGATCGTGAAGGAGTACGAAATTCCCGCTAGGTCGGGCTCGATTAATTTGTCGGCAACAGGATCATAAAAGCCCTGAGAGAGTTGGGTCAGAGGCTCGAACCACAAGAAGTAAAGCGACACGCATTGACACGGACACCACACTTACAGGACCGGTGACCACCGCTTTGGACTTTGTCGACCATGTGCCCACCAGTGCGGCATCATATTGCGCTCTCACAAGGCCCGCCAGGCCAAGCGAAAGAGTAACAACAGTCTGTATCGAGGTGATCATTGTAGCATTGTTTTGAGGGAGCGTGCGAGGGCGTCGAGGATATCGAGGTAGGACGGGGAAGGATAATCGTGTGTTCCGCGAAGAGGCACCAAAGAAAGAAAGAGAGGACGGCTGTCTGCAGTCGTTGGCTGTTGGTACAATCTGTCTGACCTCAATCTGAGATTCTCACCCTTGAGGGCTGGCTCGCCTTGGGGGGATGTTGACGCGGAGGCTGAGGCGCATGTGCAGGGGTTTCGGGCTGCGGGTTTGCATGCGGAGCTTGTTTTGAGGCTGGTGTGGTTTGTCAGAACCAGTGTTTCAAAAATAGCGTCTTTTTGCCAATCGCTCTTCATGGCGGCATAAGACAGGTAAATCGACGACGAGCTCACGTGGGCACTCACCCACTCGGCGCCGCTTTCAAGGATTGTTCACCTCCCACACAGGGATATTGTATTAAGAATCTAAAGCTATTGAAGCGAATCCATGATGCCGCCGTACAAGTTTATCAAGCCATGCATTGTAAAAGTGAGGGTAGTTGTAAAAGTGAGGGTGAGGAAGGTCATCTCGGTATTTAATGCCAAGACGGCAGGCGGGGTGGAGTATAGGGCAGCATCACCCACGTCTCAAAGAAGGGTGACCTAGGCGTGAAATCACCTTCTCTTAGCAGCTATTCGGCCTGCAATCCACACAGCATTGGACCTTTTACCATCGTATCATCTTCGTTGAAAGACTACGAGGCGTTAGTCGCCACTTCAATCTAGAAGCTCATAATGCACGCATGCAGCAGTCACTCTGGGGTATTCGCTCGATGAAGTCGTGGTCGTCGCTTCAAGCCATGCGGACTGTGACAACCATGGCTCTGAAGGACCAGAAGACAGCTTTGCGGAAAAGAATCGGAGGGGAGCTGAAGAAACTCGACTCGAATGAGATTGAAAGACAATGTAGGGAACGTCGTACTGCGGATATCAACCTTTCGCTGATGGTGTAAGCGGCCATCATCACGGAGCACGTGCTGCGTATGCCAGCTTATCAAAATGCAAAAGGAGTGGCTATATTTCTATCAATGCCTGGAAGGGAGGTGTCGACTCGAGACATCGTTCTGCACGCCCTTGACAGCGGGAAGTCGGTCTTCATCCCGTATCTTTATGCAGGGGAAACCCCAAAGTCAAAGGTAATGGACATGCTGCAACTACAAGACAAGGACGATTTTCACTCTTTAATCCCTGATGGCTGGGGCATTCCGTCGCTTTCCAAGGATTCAGTTGGAAGGAGAAGGAATGCTCTTGGTGGAATTGGGATCTTGAACGACTCTGTGGAAGGCCAACAAGATCCTCCAAGTCTGGATCTGATATTCATGCCGGCGGTAGCTTTCGATCATTCTCATCGACGCCTTGGCCACGGCAAAGGCTTCTATGACCGCTACCTCTCCAAATATAAAGACACCCTCAGCGGGAGCCAAAGTGGACGGCCAATGCCACTCTTGGGTAAGTGGCCGACCCTCGATGTTTTCCCAGCCGCTTTACAACTAAACCCTCTCTTGTAGTAGGGATTGCCCTTCGCGAACAAGTCCTGCCACCCGGCGAGACGATCCCTGCAGACGAGCATGACTGGACGGTCGATCAAATAGTGGTTGCTGATGTCGAGTGATGCGCTCGCGGCATCGCTCTCCTTGCACAACCTGGTACACCCGCCCGAGATCATGCCTGATAGATATGGCGCTCGGTGCTGGGCAATTGGAATAAGTTGAAGACTTGGCCACTCTAGTCTAGAGACTGGATCAACGAGACATTGTCGCCTTTCAATAGGATTTGTCCTGGACGTCGTCAGCAGCCGTCCATGCACATGAAGCTCAAGCCAGATCATACCAAGCTGCCTTCTCTTTTCCGGGGCGTCTCGCGTAGCTAATTGTACCTCGACCGCATCATCAATCACTAGATTCATAAACTCGTCGAAGCCCTGTTCTGCGGTCAGTCGCACAATCTCCTAGTGTCCAATCGGGGTGCGCACCCTTATTTTTCCCTCAATACGCGTGCGCAGATTCTCGTAGAGCCAGATGGAGACCGTCGAGCGTTTTTGCAACAGGCTGAATATGAAATGGATAGGCGCAAGAAGAGTTTTGCGGCCACCGCCGCCGCCGCGTCCAGTCATTGTGGGCACAGTTTTCGCCGCAAGGTTATATTGTGCGAGTGGTTCGTTCGGACGGAGAGATCACTCATCAAATTCTAACACTCTTGGTTCGCAGGCGTGTAGCTGTCGAGTAATTTTGTGGAAGAGCTTTCTTGATGGAGGGAGTAAGGAAGTTCTGGCGCAGGACAGAAAATCGAAAATGCGGAGGAAGGCTGAGGCGGGAGAACAAGGCTGGTAACCTAATCAGAAACTGAGGTCATTTCCAAAACATCTGATTTCTGCAGATTCACCACCAACTGCCTCTCCTTCCACGACTCTTTGCCACGGCGCCTATCTTCTGAATCTATCCCTTGCACGTCCATCCTTTATTCAGTTTCTCACTGGATGAGAGCTACCAACCCGTCCCCTTCGCTGCTCGGCCGAAACGCCTGTAAACTGCCCCTCATTTTCATCGCACCCATCGACCTCAACCACCATGGCCGATAAGGCAAACGCTGCGAGCAGCTATGCGCCAGTCCTTTCAGCTCTGGTGACTATGCAGAGCAATGCCGGCAAAGAAGAGAAAACCAATGCCCACGAATTCCTGGAGAAATTCCAAAAATCGGTCTGTGCGAATTCAACACATCTATGAAGATTTGTGCTCATGTGGCAACAGCTGGAAGCATGGAACACCACTCATGCAATATTACAAGACTCGTCTGCCCCGGCAGAAGCCAGGCTGTTTGCTGCAACCACACTGAAGGGGAAGGTCTGTAGTGTCAGTCCGTGTAGCACGTCCAACTCTGACCCTCTCAGATTACCTATGATCTCCACCAGCTGCCAGCCGAAGCCCTCACTCCTCTCCGAGACTCGCTCCTCTCTTTGCTTCAACTCTATGTTTCGGGTCCTCGACCCGTTCGGACGCAATTATGCGTATGCCTGGCAATCCTGGCAATACAGTTGACAACGTGGAAAGACGTCTTGAGAACAGTGGGATCGGCTGTTGGCAGCAGTAGTAACGGCGGAGACTGTCTGCTCGATTTCCTGCGCATCCTACCAGAAGAAGTCACAGAAGGCCGCAAGATCAACATTTCAGTATGTTCGACCACGCAGCATTTGATGCTCGACCTTGCCGCAACACCACCCTGGCAACCGATCACAGTCTAATCCAGCATTTTGCAATATAGGAAGAGGAACTTGCCGATCGGACCAAGGAACTCCTAGAGGACAACTCCGCTCAGGTCTTGAATCTTTTGGTCTCCTACGCGCAGTCATCAAGTAAGGGTCTGTCCTCTTGTCCGACTGGAACCGCTGACGTCTTTTTTTCCCTAGCTCAAGCTGCTCACAATCCTCACCTGTATTCTTGTATCGCATCGTGGCTTCGAGAAATCCCCACGATCGACGTCGTGAACTCGCCCCTGTTGAATGAGATCATCGACGCTCTCCAAGACAGCGATTCCTTCGAAGCAGCGGTGGATTGTCTTTGCACCATGTTCAGGGATACTCGAGACGTCGACGAATCACAAAGCGTTATCCGAATACTTTATCCCCGAATCATCAAGCTGAGACCCATGATTGCAGAAGCAGCTTCCACGGAAGACAACGATCTTATGAAAGGCATCACTAGACTCTTCGCAGAGGCTGGTGAGGCTTGGGTCGTACTCATTGCACGTATGCCCGATGACTTCCGTGAGCTTGTCGAATGTGTTCTCGAATGTTGTGTCCGCGACAAGGACCGAGAAGCTATTTCGGTCACGTTTATTTTCTGGTACGAACTCAAGCAGTCCCTAACCCTGAACAAGTATATGCACGCCCGGGCTACCCTCGCGGACCTCTATTCGAAACTCGTGGATGTCATGATCAAACACCTCGAATTCCCCACACCAGAGAATGGCAATGAGAAGGATCTTTTCGACGGGGATCGAGAGGCAGAGGACAAGTTCCGCAGCTTCCGACACAACATGGGCGATGTCCTCAAGGACTGCTGTGAAGTTATCGGGGTGACGCTGTGTCTGACGAAGTCCTACGCTCTGATACAAAGCTGGGGACAAAAGTATGCCTCGGGGGTCTCGGGCACAACCGTACCACATTGGCAGGAGCTTGAAGCGCCACTGTTCAGTCTTAGGGCAATGGGTCGAATGGTCAGCCCAGAGGAGAATACTGTGCTCCCGCAAGTTATTCCTCTGCTTACCACGGTGCCCGATCACGAGAAGCTGAAGTTCCAAGCCATCATGGCCCTGGCTCGTTACACTGAATGGACCGCTCAGCATCCAGAAACTCTCGAGGCACAACTGAACTATGTTATTTCTGGATTTAATCACAGCTCCCAAGAAGTTGTACAGGCCGCAGCGCTGGCCTTCAAGTTCTTGGGAACCGACTGCCACAGCTTGCTCGGCGACCATGTCCCACAACTCCACACCTTCTATGAAAGTGTTATCGACAAGCTCAAATCGACCAGCCAGGAGGAAGTAACGGAAGGAGTCGCAGCAGTTGTTGCGGCGCAACCCGTTGACAAAGTCTATGAGACAATGAAGATGTTCTGTGACCCCGTCATGAGGAGGGTGGTTGCTCTTGCTGCACAAGCGAATGATGAGAATGCTCAGAAGACCGTGGCTGACTACCTGGGGCTCATGACGGTCTTTTTCGATTGGGTACAGCCCTATGTTTCCCCGTCTCAGGAGAACCCGGCAGTCAAATATTGCCAAGAAGTGCTCCCGGCCCTCTCACAAATTGCAAAGCACTTTACCCGATCCATGCCGATACTGGAGAGGGTGTGCAAGTGCTGGAGGTCCATGGTTATATCTTACCGGACCGCCACAGCGCCACTACTGCCTGCGCTTGCGACCAGTATCGCGGAGGGCTTTGAAGCATCGCGCCAGGGCTGCTTTCTGTGGGCAACCGATGCAGTGATTCGAGAGTTCTCGTACGGAGCGGAATTCGTCGACGAGGCCACGAGCGATAATGTCTATCGCTTTTTTGCCCAGCAAGCTACAGTCTTCTTCCGGATCCTCGCCGAACTACAACCCGTCGACCTTCCTGACGTGATCGAGGACTTCTTCCGCCTAGCGTCTGATGCTGTTCGATTCTATCCTCAAAAGACCCTTACTTCGGACCTTGCTCTCCCGATGGTGAATGCATCGCTAACGGCCCTGACCCTGCAATCATTGGAACCACTTCAAGCCACCTTGCACTTTCTGAGAGATTTCCTCGATTTCGGGTTTGAGCAACCACCGGTCTCCAATTTCAACGGGCCTAACGGTGAACCAACGGCCACAAACCCGCCAGAGGTGCAAGCGGCAGTGAGACACGTGCTGAGTTCTACGGGACAGGAACTTGTACATCGGGTCTTGACCGGCATGATGTTCAGCTTTCCCGAAGACTGCTTTCCCGATGCCTCTGGTGTTGTCCTGTCTCTGTTCAACTTGGCACCTCAAGCGGCGGCTCAATGGGTTCAAGGAACTTTACAGGCGTTGCCTACCGGCACATTGAAACCAGCCGAAGCCAACAAACTGATGAAAGCCATTTCCGAGAAACTGCAACAAAACGAGGCGCGAAAGGTGCGCATGTTACTCCAAGACTTTACGAATTCGTATCGGCGACGGAACGTGGCGCCGCGTGAAGGATTAGGCAGGTTGGAAGCGGCAAGGTTCAAGTTCAGCGGTTGACCGACAGCACGAGACCCTTTTTCGGTAGGAAAGTTTTCAGCGTCAGCCTGTGCAGAACAACGGATTGGATTGATTTCATTTCTCGAGCATCTTTGGGTGTAACTCCTGTCGAGGGCAGCTTTTGACTGGCGGAAACCAGATCTACAACTGATACCACATTTCTTTTTGCTCTTGATACGAAACAATGCAATTCGATACAACATGAGTCAACCTCGCCCAGCGTACATCTCTAGACAGTACTCCTAAGTTCACCAATGAGGCTACACCATCTGGCAGGGATTTAGGGCGTGAGATCTGCTTCTTCGACTAGCAGGAATGAGGTGAATGGGGATCAACCACGAACAAGGATGAGGATGAGGAATAAGTCTCGACGAGCATGCGAATATGCACCATGAAGGGTTCAGTCAGGGAAAGTCGAAATGATAGATCGCGAATCCGAGCTTGTCTAGCCAGCTATGGTTGGAGAGCTGGTATGTTCCTTTCTGGCAAAAGCTGTGCCAATACTACTACTACAAGCTAGACTTGGGAACCGGGGCGGGAGGAGAGGAAAGGACGGGAGAGAGGCGGCAGATCACGATCGCTCGAGGAGAGATATTGTTACATGGCAGATCGGAGGAGGAAAAGTAAGATAGGGGAGCAGAGTAGAGTCGAGCAGAGAAGAGCAGAGCGAGAGCGAGAGAGAGAGAGAGAGAGCGAGAGGGAAGATAGGAAAGAATAAAGATCACATCACATCTCCAAACACTGTGTTCTTTTACGGGCGCCCTCGAAAAGAAAAGAAAAGAAGGGAATAACAATCGAACTCATGAAACTCGAGATAAAAGTAATGTTCAATGGCTGGGAAAACATGGTAAACGCTAGACGACCCCTTTTTGTAGTAAATTATTTCAGCTCACTCAACTCCCTTGGTACTGACTCCCTGTCCTTCCTCGTCCCTCCGCTCCCTCCCTGCGCGGGTCAGATCTTCTTTCGGTCATTGGACTGTGAACTGTGGGATGTGGACTGTGGCCCATTGTTGTCGAGTTGGTTCATCCGCCCAAGCAACGAAGGTCATCCATCTGCTATGTGTATCGCTTCACCTTTTGCAAAGGTGGAATTAAAAAAGGAGAAGTATTTCCCCAGTTTCCACCTTTTTCAATCTCTTCTTGAACGGGGGCGCTTTGGTCAGCCAGCCAGCCTTATCGTCGTCGTCGTATTTCGCCGGTGAGCATAATCGAACGCCACACGGGGAAGAGTGAGACTTGGTATCCATCCATCCATCCTCACTCTGTCTTCCGCACCACCCCAAGGACAACCGAGATGTCGTCCAGCTTGCCCCCTTCGGCCGCTATACCCTCGTCGAATGCCCTCTCCATGTACGGCGACTCGGCGTTGGGATCCATGGCGATCTCCCGGGCGGCGTTCATCAACCGTCGCGCGACATAGATGACGCCGTCTTTCTTGGCCTCCTCACGCTCCTGCTCCTCCCTGTGGTTCTCGGCAGCCTGCGACTGATCGGCCCACCCGTTCCAGCGACCCATGCTCTCGCATATGTTGTCGCAAATCTCGTGTTCCCACAGGTTATCGGTGACGCCGTCACTCAGCACGGCGACCACGTCACCCACCTGGACGTTGTCGAGGATGTCACAGACGGCGTTTTGGAGCGGCGTGTCCGGCGAGTTGGTGCCCAGCTGGCGGGGACAGTCGAACCAATGCCATTGTTCTTTGGAGCGGTAGAGGATGCGGTCACTCCCACCAGCGCCGTCTTTGCTTTCTGTTTCAGAGGACGACGATGGGGCGGGTGGAGAGGGCCGGATGAGGAGGATTTTGCAGTCGCCGAGGGTTGTGGCGAAGATTACGGGGGTGGGTTCGGTCTGTGATCCGGAGGGCGGCTTATAGTAGAGGAGCACCGAAGAGGCCGTGGTCGTTCCCAGAATGTCATTCTTCGTCGAATCTTTTGCGTCCTTGCTTTCTTGAGAAGCGGAGGAAGAAGAATCTTCCTGGTCTTCTCGCCGGCGGTCCCCCTCGTCGGCCTCCGAGTAGACTTCGTCGTCGCGATCCTTGTTCAACGTGCCCTTTGTGACTTTCTTGGTCGCGTCGTAGGCATCCTGCAGGGCCTGGACGGGGTCGACGTTCCCCAATTCCACCGAGTCCTTCCCCTCCGGCCCCGCGAGGGACTTCTCGACCTCGACGTCCCAGAAATGCGCGATCAGTCGACTCCACAGAGCCGCGTGGCCCCTCTCTTTCTGCGCCCAGGCACCCACGCCGTCGTTGACGGCGACGAAGTTGCGAGCTGCGGAGATGATGATCGCGTCATCGCCGTTGGTGATGCCACGAACGAGTTCCCCGTTGACGGTCGGGCGGCGGACGCCACGCGACACGGAGGACGGATTGTGGGTGGTGAGAGGGTCTGAGAAGGAGCCGGAGGGCAGCGAGACGAAGGGAGGGGGGAACGGGCGGGAGGGCCGTTTGGCGAAGATCGAGTAGCCCGTTTCTAGGTAGAAGGGATAGGTGGAGCGGGGGAGGAGGAGGAGGAGGAGGAGGAGGAGGAGGAGAAGGAGGAGGAGAGGAGGATGAGCTCGAGTCTGCGGCAGAGGGCTTGCTCGTTGAGGGTTGTGGTGGTGTGGTGGTACGACCTTCAGATATGAGATAGCGGCGGAGGTGAGTGGCGGAGGTGCCAATGCCTCTCGATAATTGTGGCTGTCGTCGTCGTCGACATACTCCTATCCCCTGCTGCTGCAACAGCGATCGTGAAGGTTGCGGGACCCGCCACGCACACAGGAGGGAGCAGCTGCTATCGAAGAAGTATAGTCGTGCTACAGCATGCCTGGATGGTCGGGCCACCTGAGCGAGCATGGATTGAAGGGCCAGAGCGCTCTCATAATAAGAGCCGCATGAGTCTGGGGAAGGAGGTCAGTCACCGGAGGGGCAGGCAGGACTTCACCAGAGCCTCTCTCAACAAATAATAGTGATGAACCAAAGCGACAGGAAAGCGGTCAAGGTGCGTGCAGTATGTGCAGTAGGTGGGTGTTTATCAGGTGGTAGAAAGATACTCCGTGCCCTATCGAAGCTACTGTAACTCCGTCCACATATGATTACGTGGGGGAGGCGGGAGGCGGTCGAGCGAGCCACGGGCACCTAATGGGAGCTTAGCATTTAATCGGCGAGATCCATCATTAGCTACTATTTGTCTCCACACCAATATCAGGCACCGTTTCCTCCCGTTGTCCGTCGATCACATAGTACGAGGTCGTGGTATTTCGGCCAGCGAGTTGTGGATACATGGATATAGTGGCCAAGAACAAGCATGCTACAAAGAGTGAAGATGATCAGGTTCCCGGCCTGGTGGTGGGAGATATATACAGTTACTATATACACATTTTTGTTGTTGGCTGGCTGGCTTTTGGATATGGTACATCATTATAGCACACGTTTATGTTGGTGAGTGGTGAGTGGTGAGTGACTGCAACAATCTCTTCTTCTTCCAATGCAGAGCTTTCCCAATGACCAGAGGCAACATTGAGTTGACGAGACTGTAGCAGCAGAAGAAGCCCGTATTGGCCACGGCGATCTCCCCTGAACTGCCATGAGGTAAGAGCATTATGATCCGTTGTGATCCCGATAGGTGGTCGGTGGGTGCATAGAGTCGGCGGCTTCGATGTTGGACTCTTTCTCATACCACTACCCTCTCCTCATCGTGCCTCGAGACAAAGCGCTCTGCTCGCCCGATAAGCTCCTCATACACCGTCCACGCGAGCGCCGAGCTCATCGCCTTCCTTCCCATTCTCAATGCGAGTCCATCGAAGAAGCTCTTGATTCCATCCTCCTGGAACATCAGCCGCGCTGCTTTCCACGTATTCCCGTACTTGTGCGGCATCAACTGCAACCTGGTTTTCACGGCGTCGAACGGATTGGTGATGCTCGTCGCCAGTCCCGCTGCAATCACGCCGCTGGAAGCGTTGATCGACGCCGATGTCGATGCCGAAGGACGCGTCGGTCCTTGGCTCCCGGCCATGGACGGAAAAACCTTACTCAGATGCGTCTTGCTTGCCTCGTAGAAGAGCACGTACAGACCTGCATACGGCGCGTCACGGATGGCTGTGGCGCCGAAGCCGGAGAAGAAGCCCTTGATGCCTTCCTGCGCAAAGATCGATCTCGTTGCAGAGGCCAGAGACTTGTATGAATACATGTCTGATTCGTAGCGCACCTTGATGACCGTCACCGGCATGATGATGAGCCCAGCAAACACCCTCGCGGTCGCGCCCGTTATGAGATTCTGAAAGTTTGAAAGCTTTGGCAGCACCGAGCTGCTCTTCCTGTGGACGGACGCTCCATCGCCCGTCGCCCGTGCGGCGTTATTGGCAAGGATCTGGCGCAGAGAGCTGAGAGAGGTGAAATACAGGGCCGATCCGAAGCCCGTCCGCAGCGCCGAAGGAACGGTCCCCCGCCAGAGGCTGGTCACGGGGTGCGGGCCGGAGAGGATCGATCGAAGGACCGTCAGGAGCGACGAGGAGTGAGATTGCTGGACTCGAGTCTTGAGCAGGTCGGCTGGCTGCAGCAGGACGGCGCTCGAGACGCCAGAAGTCAAGCCGGCCAAGAAGTGAAAGGTGGGATGTGGCTTTCGGGAGCTCTGGACCTTGTGGGTACTGCCATCGGACATGTTCCAAAGGATCCGAGAGTCTTGTGCTCACAGAAGAACTAAAGATTGGGGAATGAAAGGCCTGCTGTCCGGGAACGACTGGGCATGGTGGTGATGCCTGGGTCGATGTCAAGAGGGTAGGAGAAGCCGATACAGGAGCGCCAACAGAATCGTTCACGCAGTTGAGGCTGGTAGCTCAGTGAGATGCATGAATAAGCAATCTCTACTTGGTAAAGAATAGTGCCTGGTTACGAGTACGGGCAGGGGAAAGGAAAGAAGCAGTTGCAGGCGAAAAGTTGTTCAGCATGAAGTCATTGCCCAATTGAGAGATGCGCGCACTTCCCTCAAAACCAATTAGGCGTCGCCTAGGCTGAGCCCGTGACTCCCCCATGACAGCCCAGTGGCCTATTGAGCCCCAAGAACTCTAGCCAACCGCGTATACTGTATCTCTATCGTGCGAGGTATTACCTACTACTGTACACGTGTATGCCGCCGCACAGAAAAGGCCACACATCGGTTCCCAGTTGACCAACAACAAGGCAAACGGTTCCCAGCACACCACCTTCCGCAAATAGCAATTGTGTCGCTTATTTGGACATAGTTCAAGCCGTGATGCTTGTACAATGACGGTTGGATTACCCGGTAGCCTTGACAGATCCCCCTGCTCAGTGTCCGGACCGTCCACGAAGTCGACTCTGCACCACGCCCCGACAGGATACACCTGGACGCAAAAGGGGAGTCAGGTGACCTATGAATCGCCCTGGACACCTGTAGCGTAATACTCTGGCAACCCTTCGAATGCATCCCACAACAGTTGTTCGCTTGGCCAGCTCTGCTTCCCAACGACTCCATCCTTCGGGGTTCCTGGCACAAAGTCAAACAGCCATTGACAGACCTATTCTTGCGTTGAAGGCCTGTTCCGATGAGACACTTTGAGGATCTCAATGGTCTGCCAATGGCTCCTTTCGTCCCCAGCCCGAGACGACACAATCGCCCACGAGAAATCCGCCAACTCCTTGTGGTAGGCTCTGAAACCAAAGGCGTATAGTGAAAGAGGATTGCATCGTACTGTCCTGCGTTTCTTCGTGAATGCCATCGTGACAAGGCACGCCATACGAGAACGAACAGCTTGTGACAATGATTGCAAATGTCGTCACTCTCTGCAAGCAGCGGCCCAAAACGAGACCGTGAAGCCGTATAGGTCCGAAACAGGAAGCGGGTGTTCCTGAAGGAAAACAGCTGCGGCTGAAATATGGATGTCGCCTTGAGCCATCATGACTCATGATTGTTCGTCTTCTTTCTCGTAGCCCTCAGTCTTCATATCCTTCAGTCCTAGATCCTCCATTTCCTCTTCGGTCCTTTCATACTCCTCGACCTTGACCTGTGGATCCTTGCCGGGGTCCGCATTCAACTGCACAAACGAGTTCGCCAATGGATCCTCGAGGGTGATGGAATAGGGGAATTTGGCTGCGATGGCGTTGTCGAGCTTGGCGAAAAAGCTGTCCCACCTCGACCGTGTGTCTGCTGTCATGGAATCTCCTCCCGCAATGTCTGCATCTCCCACATCAAAAATTTGACTGTGAAGCTGGTCACGGACTTGCGTAAGGAGTCCCTCGACCGTAGTAAACCGGCCTCCGAGTGTGCCAGGCTGGACCTCCAACCCAAGGTCTTGACTTTTCAAAACGCAGGACTCCGACTTCAAAATATCCCTAGACATGTCCTCAATCGTCTTGATTTCCAGCGTGATGCGCTTTCCTTTATCCGGTACTGCACCGCCAGTCTTGACGTCACTCGTTCTGAAGCCACAGTGGTCACAGACCGTCGCCATGATGATAACCTCTTTAAAATGGGGAATATTGGTCTTCTTCATGTTGACAGTACACGGCTTTCCGCAGGCCGGGCACTCAGCGTGTAGCTCATAAACTTCATTGTCGACAATATCGACGCCTTCCATACCGCCGGTGTCTTCGGTTGCGTCATCATCGACCACCAAACCCAGCTGCACGTTCTGTTCGTGGCTCCGGAGGTAGTCAGTGCGAGAATATTTGGTGCCCTTGTCGTCTGGAGAGGGTTCGATAAACGAATTACCCGAGATATCGTCGAGCGTGACGGTGAACGGGAAACTGTTCCCTTGTAACATATTCCCCAGCTTTTGAATGACTGTTTCTAGGGAGTTATAGAGGCCCGGATTCACCTCCTTCCTCGCTGGTTGATCACTCTCCAAGTCGGTTTTTATTTTCGTGATCATACCCTCAAGGTTGGTGAATTGGCCAGGAGCCGGTGGCGTCTCCAGACCCAGGTCTTCGATGCGGAAAATACCCGTGTCACCGCGAACAATCTGTCTCTGGAAGTCGGCCATATCGTCCAGTCTGAAAGTAAATTTCGCTCCCTTCTCTTGTATTTGTCCTGCACTTTTGACCGTGTTGTTCTTCCAGCCGCAGTGATCGCAGGAAAAGGACTCGAGAAGGATCTCCTTGAAGTACGGAATTTTGATGGGAAGGATTCTAGTTATTCCCTGAGAGAGTCAGTCAGCATACTCCCTCCAAGTGCCATGCTGGTCGGTGGACATACCTCATCGCGACAGTTCATACATAAACTCTCTATTTCATACACTCCGGTCTCGGTGGGGTCGACATGGACGACCGCGGGAGCATCGGAGTCAGCCATGTTTTCGGTGGAAAAAGCTTCGATTCAATATGCGTGTGAGTAAATGTCACAGTTGTCAACTCTTGAAAGATTGGTTTTCACAACCCGTTGTCGTCCTTAAGGCCAGGCGGAAAAAGACGCTTCTCGAATCAGAATCTTTTCGAGGGACCAGAACGATCGACGTCTGCCAAGACGAACGAGGGGCACTAATGCAAGGCCCGAGATTTCCGGAGCCTGCAATCAGCCTCCAACGGCTCCTCAGAGTCAGGCGTTATTTTTTCATCAAATCCATCAAGTCCAGACTGAGGGTGCTTTTGGCCTGCATGCTCTTGTTCAGGAGTGCCTGCAATCCTTCTCGGTCTTTTCGTGCTCTTGCCCGCTTCTTACTGCTTAACTTGACGGGCTTTGCCAGGACTGGATCGGCTGGTGCAGTAGCCACCACTTCCTCCCCGTGCTTCGTAGGGACGGTAACGAGCTGCTGGGCCTCTCTCGCGTGACTTGAGTCCATAGTGGCGATGTCTTTGATGACACGGGAGCACAATGAACATCGTCGAGATCGTACCTTTTGCCGAGACTTTTTCTTTGGGGCATGAGCCTTCCTGTCTGTGATCTTTGTAGATACCGTCCACTCTGGAAGCATCAGGTTGCCACAGGTCATGCATGTATCCTCTGCCCCACGACCGCCATGCGATGGCCTTCGGTGACCAAGTTCCACACTTTCGCGTAACAGTTGTCGCGACGTAGATGGCGCAGAGAGGAAGATCACACGCGCCGAGCGCTGCAAGTATCCCACGCGGGCTGCTTGAGCTTCGTTCATCGTAGGAGAGCACTTGTGGCGCCGGCACCAGATTAGACTCGATTGGGCATATATAGGTCACAGTGGCTGAGTCTATGGCACGTGGTTTTGCAATGTGACGGTGACAATAAGCACAATAGGTGACTTGCAGGACGGAAGGGCCAAAGGAGCAAAGGAGCGACCATGTCCGAGGGAATCTGATGCCAAGACCCGGCCAGTCTTCCCCCGGCACACAAAAACGGCCCCGCGCAGGTCCAGCCAAGTTGTGGCTCCTTGAACATTCGAGACGCCGGGGAAAAAGACCCGCAGTTACATTCAGTTTCGTATGATGATGACGGGCGACGACAAAGTCTTTGCTGGGTCTTTCCAACGACGACCGTCGATCTGAATGAGCACACCCTCACTTTGACCCTGACCCATTTGACACCACCCCGTCCGTTCCCGCCAGGTCTTCCTTCTCGCAGATGAGTCCGCCGCAGAGGTACTCGTTCGTCAATGCACGACCCCAGACCAAGGCCGAAAAGCGGCAGACTCGGACGGCGATCCGCTCGCACATCGGACGATGGACCCAGGAAAACCAGCAGAAGATCGAGGGCACAAAAAGTGCCGCGGGGGCCAGTGCGAGTGCGAGTGCAAGTGAGAGAAGCTCACCGGAATTATCGCGGACAGACTCCCTCTCCCCGGCCGAGTCGGCTCAGTCGCGATCGCAGCGTCGTCCTTCCCGAGTAAAAGTGGCAAAGGCGGGTGATACCGACAGTTCAAGCAGCACAAGCAATGTCGATCAGGACAGCACGAGCGACGATGTTGACGACGACACTGGACTCACTGTCACCGCCCCGTCCCATCTTCACCAAGGGCTCTCTCCCGCCGCGGCCGGCCCCTCCCGCCGTCCTTATGTTCAAGTGTTGGGGTCCGCAGTACTGGACCCCTTCCAGACCTATCCTTCGACATTCCCTTCGACGCTGATATCTCAATGTCATGAATATTGTAAGCTGGTGGATTTTTTTCATTCGTTCGTGCCGCTGTGGCCCATGAAGGGGTGGAACGCACAGTAGCTGACTGGTGCCTTGCGCGGTGCCATAGCATTGCAGGTCGTTTGGCCCGGTTTGACGCCCCGACCTCTCAGTGGCTCCGAATCGGCTGCCATCAAAGGCTGGTTCCCAATGGCGCTCAACGATCCCGTTGCGCTGCACTCACTCTTGTTCGGGGCGCTCAGCCACAAGAGACTTAACCTTTTAGGTGGCGCCGTCAGCCCGGACGACCCTGCCGTGACTCATCTGGAAAGGGATATGCGGCGCTGCGAGGCTGAGACCATCACTCTGATCAACAAGGCCCTTCGTGATCCAAACAACGCCATAACCGATGCAGTAATAGTTTCGGTCCTGGCAATGGCTACAAACGCCTGGGATTTGACCCTCCAGCGCTTCCAGACGCAACCTGCCACTCAGCCTGTATTTGACCCTTTGTTGAAAAGTCTTCAGTGGCTGGATGTCTATGGCCTTCTCAGCGCCCATCCCGTCCATGCGGCTGGCCTGGTCCAGTTGGTCGCACTGAGGGGTGGCCTAAAAAATATCGAGACCACTGGTCTGGCTGCTATTATATCATAGTAAGTTGAGTTTTGGTTGCCTCGTTGGTTGGTTGACGGCTCTAGCTGACCACCTGATTCTCAACGCCAGTTCGGGAGTTATTCAGGCCAGCCGGACATTAACTCAACCCGTCTTTCCTTTTGTGCCGCTGACCGACGACGGCGATCGAACGGCAACGCTCTGGGGAATGTTGGGCATGCGCCCAAGTGAGCTTCGGGACGAGTTTACCTATAGCAGTCTGTTTGACCTGGGACTCACGACTGACCTTGCCGTGGTGTGGGTCGCCATGCAGCGATACGAACACGGCGTTGAAATGTTTGTCGACGGCGCCCTTCCCGACCTGGATCTGGCGCGTCTGTGCGACCGGCGCAACCTCATCCAACACACTCTTTTATCCCTACCCTCACACATAGACTTACCATCAGCTGCTCGTTCACAACCCATCTACGAACCAACCCGCCTTGCCATCCTGATATACTCTCTCACCGTGATCTTCCCGATCCCCGCGCAAACCGCTCCAATAACCATCTTAACTCGACAACTTAAAACTGCACTTCGAGAGTCCGATATGCGCTCCAGCTGGTCATCGTCACATCAAGCTCAGCGTCTTTTGATGTGGATTCTCGTCATCGGGGGTGTCGCCGCCAGAGACGTCCCGGAGGAGCGGCTGTGGTTTATTGCCGCGCTGGGAAGACTGTCTGCCCAGCTCGGAATCAAGAGGTTTGAAGATCTGAAGAAAACGGTTTTAAAGCGCATCCTGTGGCTGGACCGGGCGTGTGACGACGCAGGGAAAAGGCTGTGGGCGGAAATTTTGGAACTTGGTGGTTGATGGGCGAGGAGAAAGGAAAGAAAGAAGCCTCGAGATGCTTGATAAGAAGACCACCATCCATATATCCTACGGCGTCCGAGCCTTTTACTTACCAATGACGTTTTCGAATGCAATGACGAATGAAGTTAGCATAATCTGCTGCGTTACACCGGTCCAGTCCGTCCATTTGTGGGAGAGATCATGTGCTAGGAACAATACGTCAATTACTCTTTTTAGGCGCCACCGTCGGTGTGCTGGCAAATCAAACGCTGCCATCAGTGATCGAGACGAATAGTATACGCTGTTCTGCTGTGGCTCGTGCAGCCGACAAAGGGCACTAACGCCTGGAAGCAACCAGATACTGAATACGTCCAAAAAGAGCGACGACCCTATTCGGCTGTAACCTAATCGGGTTCGGATGGCGGTGTGGGAGGCCTGAAGTTTGACGGGCTAGTGAGGTCTTCCTTCCCCATTGAGTTGGGGCCCACGAAACGGTCAAGCGCACAGGAAAAAAACAATGACGCTTGCTCATCGGAGAACAAGTCCGCTGCATCGTATTTGACGCAAGCACTGCGAGCCAGTAGTAAGTAGTATGTATTCACACCGTCGACGCTTAGTTAGCGACATCAGCCTTGCTGACTGACTGGCACGTACACCCGATTTCTTTGGCGACCCCGGATCTCGGGTTCCTCAAGCCCCTTTCCCCCATATGAGTAAACCACTCCCCCCCCCGGAACAGGTGACCTACTTCGCACGAGTTGTGAGCCAATTCTCAGCTTAGCTCGATCAGGCATGTATCGATGCCCCTCCCGATCTTCCTTAAATGTCTATATCCTGATAAGGCCGCAACTCACACTGCCTAATGGCGTGTATATGTGGGTGTTTGTGTGTGCGTGGTGTTTTCCTTCCTATGTACCTGCTCTTAGCGGCTAGATGCACCATGACCGAGCAGCATGACGCCACCACATCAGCATGGTCCATCCCACTTGGCTGCAGAACGCTCAAATGTCGCCTGAAAGAGCCATGCTGCAGTTATACTTTGGCCCTCACGCGAGGCCCGGCCGTCGCCGTGGGTGGCGATATATAAACCCCAGCGTCTCCCTCCCTGCATCGTCATCAAGCGTGTCGCCAACCGAGTCCAGGGTTCGATGCTTCGGAAGCTCCAAGTTTGTATGTAAAGTGTATAATGTATTCCTCCCATGATATGTCTGCACAGATGCAGCCCCAAAGCCGTTCTGGTCTGGTCGCTGCCGAGGGGGGCGTGAATAGCTCAGAGCCATGGAGCGGCTGTGCCCACTACTCGTCCGTTCTGGCGGTTGGCATGTCTTGGGGGGACGACGAGAACGGCTTGCAGGTTGTCCCTGCATCACAGAGCCGAAACCAGGCCGTTTATTCACCTAACCTGGTCTGTGCATTTCCCGATTTGCCCCAGTCTTGTCACTGGCAATGTGCTGATTCGTGCTCCAGTATCCACAAGCATGGGCTGGATCCAACTGGGAGGGGACTCCAATAGACGCTGGGATTCCACCGAGTACGCCCCTGCAGCATTCACTTCGAATTACTGTCGACGGAAGTGGGTCAAGGTCGGTGGCCCCTGGTGCTCAAACCCCAGGGGACAAATCGGTGGAGGAACTACAAGCTCGGACCAAATTGGTAAGTCCAAAAGCAAACACGACATCCACGGGGCCTCCAAAGGTTGACCATGAACAACTGGTGCTCCAGGAGCGGCGTCGTGCTCAGAATCGTGTCTCGCAGCAGGCATTCCGTGCGCGCAAACAGAGCCACATAAAGGGGCTTGAGCAACGGCTCGAGGCATTCCAGGCCGAACACGAAACGATGCTCAAGGATTTTACACGCAGAGAGGCAGAGATCCACCAGTTACAGACAAGGATTGCAGAGCTCTGCCTTGAGATTGATATGCTCTTATGCGCACGAACATGCTCCGACGACGCGGCACCCTTTGATCTCTGAACTCACCAGCAGCGTGAGGTATGTTGTTGACTTCCCAATACCAAACAGGGGCAAAGTCTGACAAATGGAGCGAGCCACTGCGGTGCGAATGATAAGGATGAGCAACGCCCGAACATTGCACCAGCGAACTTCCCAGTGCGAAACACCGGGGCCAGAGCTCAGCTTCCGTCTTCCTCTGCCTTTGCACGCAGACTTAGCTGAAAAGTCGAATATTGGGAAATCTCAATCACCCATGTTTCAGCCTATCATTAATTTGACGAGTCTGACGAAAAAGTAACCAGGCAACCGACCAAAACGGAAAACTTATATCGAGCAAGAGTCCATTGGACTTCCCAAAGGAGGACAAACCACGCGAGCCCAGATGCCGGAGTTAGGAGATAGCGGGTACCCCCTTGCCCAATATCGACTTGGTACTTTGTGACCAGGGCACTCTGGCTGTGACCAGGACAGAAGATAGACCTATAAGTAATGGTGATGGACCGGACCAGACGGGCATATAAGAGCATTGTCAGAGATTGTCGGTGCTTGACCAGCCAAGATGATTGCAACGACCCATCCGGAATACAACCAGCATACCGAGGCGTTAGACGTCGCGAAGGCGTTTCCTGAAGCAATCCGGGGCAAAACAATCCTCGTTACTGGAGTGAACCGCAAGGGCATTGGCTTCACCACCGCCCAAGCTTTTGCCTCCCAGTCTCCCGCCCACCTGATCATCACGGGACGTAGCATCACCAAGCTCCAAGAGTGCCGCGATGAGCTCAAGCAACAATGGCCGGACGTCGATTATCGCCTGCTGATAGTGGAACTCTCCAGTCAGAAGGCTGTTCGAGCTGCCGCTCAGGAAGTCCTCGCCTGGAGCGATGTGCCACGTATCGATATTGTGGTGAATAACGCCGCCGTTGCTGGCGTCCGGGAGCACACGATCACTGAGGATGGAATTGAGCTAACCTTCGCCACAAATCATATCGGGCACTTCTTGTTCACTGGTCTCATTATGCCAAAGCTCCTCGAAGCCGCAAAGGCCAATCCAAAGGGAGCCACACGTGTGGTCAATGTGAGCGCCGCTGCAGCCGAATGCACCGGCATCCGATGGACCGACATCAACTTCAACAAGAGGTCCTCCGATCTACCTGCGGAAGAACAGCCAAACTACACAGTCCTCGCACAGTGGGGGATCCACAACGGGCCTGATCTGTCGTACATCCCAGTGTGGGCATATTACCAGAGCAAAGCAGCCAATGTTCTGTTTGGCGTCGGACTTACACAACGGTTGTACGAAGCCCATGGCATATTGAGTGTTGGTCTCCATCCCGGAGTCATTGCAACGGAGCTGTCGAGGCGCTCAACACAGGAAGAGAAAGATGCTATTGCCGCGAGGGCTCGGCAGGGCGAGTTTACCTACAAAACCCTGGGTGCAGGGGCTGCAACGAGCCTGGTCGCTGCCGTGGATCCCAAACTCGGCCCGAGCGAGATCAAAGATGGCAAAGAGGGGTGGGGAGCATATCTGAAGGACTGTCAAATCTCGCACGATGGCGATCCTCGAGCAGTATCGCGCGTGGAGGCTGAGAAGCTGTGGAAGATGTCAGAAGACCTCGTCGGAGACAAGTTTTCCTGGTAACGGCGATATGGTTGATGATATAATGCTTTCGGCAAGGGGTGCTGCCGATGTTTTCATGAAGCGACATGAAGAATTGAATGACGGATAATTTCATTCACAACGTTCAAACAAGATGTTTCCGATGCGTAAAAGCGGCCTGGCTTGCCAAGCCCAAAACGGCGACGGCGGCGTCCGACATTTTGCTCCTGGCTTCGACTTTCATCTCTGGTCCGTCGCACCATCCAAGTAATAAATGCACAAGGCGCCTCTGTTCGCGCTTCCATCCTCTCTAGCGCTGTTGAACTTCCCGTCGCGGGTGCGATGTTTCAGTAGGATCGCAAACCACCCCCATCAACTTCATCCCCGTGGCTTGAGAGGTCGGACATTGGATGACCACAAAGAAAATGCGGTAACCACTGGGCACGCTTTTTCATCACCTCGAGATAGTAGATCGGGAGCGAAAATGTCGGGAGCTGAAGAGCAGAAGAAACGAGGCGTGAGGGTCGCCGTCGAGGGTTGCGTGAGTGTCGCGGTGGCGTTGGAGTTTGGTGATGGCTCGCTAATATTGCACTTCCAGGGTCATGGGACGCTTCATGCCATCTACGCTTCTGTGGAAGAGTCTTGTCGCGTGAAGGGCTGGGAGGGTGTTGACTTGCTGATCATCGGAGGTGATTTTCAGGTCAGTATTCCGATGCGAGTGTCCTCACAAGGCTAATGGACATTATCAGGCAGTAAGAAACCAGCATGACCTCAACGTCACGGCCATGCCTGTCAAGTACAGACGCATGGCCGACTTCCACGAGTACTACAGTGGTGTCCGAACCGCCCCATATCTCACCGTCTTCATCGGCGGCAACCATGAAGCGAGCAACCATCTCTTTGAGCTTTATTATGGTGGCTGGGTCGCGCCGAACAGCTACTACCTCGGGGCTGCCAACGTTGTTCGACTGGGGCCTCTCCGAATCGCCGGGCTGACGGGGATTTGGAAGGGCTACGATTACCGAAAACCCCATTTCGAGCGTCTGCCCTACAACCAAGAGGACATCAACAGCATCTACCATGTGCGAGAGATGGATGTCAGAAAGCTGTTATCTCTCCGCTCGCAGGTCGACATCGGTCTCTCGCATGACTGGCCACAAGGTGTCGAGTATCACGGAGACTACAAATGGCTCTTCCGGAAGAGGCATGACTTCGAGGCGGATTCCGCTGCCGGGAAATTGGGGAGCGTTGCTGCCAGACAGTGTTTGGATCGGTTGCGGCCGCCGTACTGGTTCTCTGCACATCTCCATACTAAATTTGCCGCCGTGTTCTCACACGACAAAAGTGACACATCCCAACCGGCAGGCTCTCGGCCCAATGCGACCGCGGGGACGGATGCACTGTCAACAGTCTCAGGTACGTTATCACAAGGAAGTCAGGTCGTCCCACGGCCAGAAGACCGCCAGCAAGTGTCAGCGTGGCAACAGTTTCATGGCTCTGCGCAACAACAAGATGCTCAAGAAAGAGACAAGATTCTAAAGGAGCGGGAAACGGAGCGCCTTCAGGAAGAAAGGACCGGTGCCCCGTCCGGCCCACAATACTCATACGAGGAGACGTTCAACAGGATTGGGAAAGGGGACGGCCTCGAGCGTACCGTGGTGTCGACAACGCGAAGCCAGGTTAACCCGGATGAGATGGACCCCATCCCAAATCTCGACGGATGCGGCTGCTCGAGACCGACTAAGAGACAGCGCCGAGAAGATGAGTCACCGGGTCCTCCCATCCCCGGTGTGCCTAACAGCGGAGTTCAACCCGACGCAGCAGCATTTCGGTTGGACGGTGCGAATGCGAGCTTGCCTGGACCACCGAAAGCCGAGGTGGACAACCCAGATGCTATCGATATCGACATGAGCGACGACGACGACGACGACGGCGACGACGAGACTACCGCAGTACCCGGCGAAGACGCCACTATACCTCGAAGCAACCCTTTTCGAATCCCCGTTGGAACAGGCAAAGCCACCGACAATGATAGCATGAAGAAATCGGATATGCCTCAGAGTCCGTCTGAAGCGAGCGAGGACGGCGGTGTCCAGCTGAGTGGGCAGTCCTCACCCTTCACCCCAATGCCCGGTATCTCTTCTATCCGACACGAGGCCATTCGCCCGCAAAACTCGCCCGAGGTTTCCAAGATGTCGTCTGAGACGGACCTGAACCCGCGCGCACTGCCATTCGATCCGCATCCGCCTGCCAGCCGAAGTGCTGAAGGGGTTTCAGAGCAGCCACACGCCGAAGCGGCACCAGAGAGGCATTTCGGGGTCGTGGGCAGGAATGACGATGTGCCCGACGAAATACGAGAGCAGCTTGTGGCTCTATCCCAGACCTTCGCCCAGAAGGAACCCGTCGAAGTCTCTCCCCCACTGCCGTTTCCCGAGAGTATCGCCAACAAAACCACCTACTTCCTCGCCCTGGGCAAATGCGAAATGTACCAGGAATTTCTCCAGCTGCTCGAGATCCAATCCATGACTTCTCCCCCCGAGGACGAGATCCAGCGGCCCCTCAAACTCTCCTACGACCCCGAATGGCTCGCCATCCAGCGTGTTTTCGCCCCCGAGCTCCGACTCGGCGGGAGCCCGCGGGACCGGGTCCCTCCGCATCGGGGGGAGACGTACTACCGCGACCGCGTGGTCGAGGAGCAGGCATGGATCACCGAGAACGTGGTCAAGCCCGGCAGACTGCAGGTGCCGGAGAACTTCAGCGTGACGGCGCCGATCTACGATCCGAGTGTCCAAGTCGCAGCCACCGAGATGCCGCGCGAGGTGACCAACCCGCAGACCAGCGCGTACTGCGCGTTGATCGGGATCGACAACAAATTCGACATCAGTGAGCAAGAGAGAGACGCCATGATGCAGCTGGGCCCGCGGCCCGAGAGCGCCGAGTTCCATGCGTACCATAACCGACCGCGGCAACATGGACACGGAGGAGGAGGAGGTGGTGGTGGTGGTGGGAGCAGTCGTGGACATTATCGCGGCCGCGGCGGTGGTGGTGGGAGAGGAGGTGGGCGTGGAGGAGGCAGAGGACGAGGGAGAGGACGACGGTTTTAAGACAGGACAGCACACCGATGATGGCGAGTTGGTGCTGAACGGGGTGTGTGAGTGAGTGAGAGGGAGAGAGGGAGAGGGAGGGCAAGCTTGTTCTTCTACTGAACCAGCAACCCGCGAGCAAAAGACACGTCCAAATAAGAAAGACAAAATAACAAAAAAGGGCACAGCACAGCACAGCACAGCATCTGCACACCTACCTACCTACCTACCTAATCGCGGACTGGACTGGATTGTATTGCCGTGCAGTCCCTGGAGTGTGCTCTATGTTCCCCCACCCCCTCCCTCTAGTGTATGTGTGTGTGTGTGTGTGTATTACACGGGATGTACAACAAACAGAAAGATCAAGACAGATCAAGAAACAGAAATGTATGGTTGGATGCGGATGGATGAGAATCGGAATATAAAACAGACAAAAGCAAGACGGACAGGAAGGATATTACCTCAGAAAAAACAAAAGAGAGAAGGAAAAAAAAAAAGGATTTGATACCCCCACCCCTAAGCAAGTAAGCAAGCAAGCAAGCAACGAAACACAGGACAGGGCAGGAATGAAAGGCCAGACAGGCCAGAACGGATAGGATAGGATAGGATAGGATTGGATTGGATTGGATTGGGTGGATGGGATGGGACAGGGACAGAGACAGAGACAGGGAGAGAAAGAAGGGAAGGGAAGGAGATTTCATGATTGCATAGTTGATGGCGCACACACACACACACACACACACACACAAGGAACAGCGATTGATTGATTAATTGTAAAGTCGCCAACCAACCAAATCAGCCTGAAGAAAAGTGCAGAGTGGACGAGAGAGAGAGAGAGGCTTGATCATCCATCCATCCATCCATCTGGTCATTCTTTCATTCATTCATTCATTCATACCTCGCCCCATTTGAGTCATATACCTGGATCGGTTCATTCATTCATTCATTCCACAGTAATAGGAACGGCACCACTACGAGTACTAAGACCACCACCACCACCACCACTGGGTCCCGCAGCGGCGTCGTGGTCGTCCGTCTTGTCCGCCCTCTCCAGCCGACGCAGGAACTGCTTCTTCCAGGCCTCAAAGTCGCGCGTCCGCTCGGCGTCGAGCAGATCGAGGGCGTCGTGCATCATGGTCGCCAGGCCCGGGAGCAGGACGTCCTCGGGGTCGTCGTCTTCGTGCTCCATGCCTCCTCGCACGGGATCTGTGGAGGATGCGTTCCGTCTCCTCCTTCCCGACAGGATCGGATCTTCGTCTTCTTCGTCTTCTTCTTCCTTTTCCTCCTCCTCGTAATCGTCGTCTTCATCTCTATCAAACTGATGACTTGCACCGGAATTGGCACTCGGATCAAAGTCAAACACCCTCTCCGGCACGCTGGCCCACCAGTCCTGACCCCGACAGAATCCCTCGCGGTTGATGCGCCGGATCCACGCCTCGACCCCCTTCGTGCCGGGCTGATACCCCAGGACCTGCACGGCCCGGGCGCACGTCGACTTGTACACGGACGTGGTCATAGCGGCGGTCTGCATGCGCGTCAGGGTCATGAGATAGAGGGCTATCACGAGACCCGTCACGGTCTCTTGGAGGGACGTCTCGACGTGGGCGGCGTCTTCGTCCGCCGGCGGCCACAGACCACTCAGTTTCAGCACGACGCAGGTGCCGGTGTAGACGTGCGGCGCGAGCAGTGGAGTCGAGAAGGTCTTGCAGAGTTTGCGGATTGAGGGCATCGTGTAGTCTGGTGCTTGGCCGTCGTTCTCGCCCTGGCTGGTGGTTTTCTTCGCGCTCGCCTTGATCGTGCCCCGAAACTCATTCTTTCGGCCTGTCGACGACTTGGACGGCGTGCCCGGTTCACTCTCCACGGTCATCGTCCGCTTGACTGAGCCGTCTGCCGTCCTCTTCCTCCCTCCTCCGGGCGTCGACTTGGGCGTCGCCGTCGGTGTAGTTGTAGTCGCTGTCGCAGTGCCATCTCCGTCCAACACCCTCTCCAGAAAGGCCACCAGCTTCTTGTACACGGCCGGCTTGCAGGGCGCTCCTCCCGTCTTGACCGCGGGCAGCCGACACTTGACTCGCAACCGGGTACAGGCGATCTCGCAGCACGCGTAGGCGCGGGCAATCTCCTCGTCGGGTTTCAGGTGCGAGGCACGCTGGCGGGATTGGGCGAGCAGGGATTCGCACAGGTGGACGAGCGGCGCGGGCGGGTTGGCGGCGTGGGTGGGGAGGAGGCTGCTGAGGGATTGCTGGATGGCGGGAGAGGAGGGCATTCTTGGTCTCGGCGTAGTTGATGAGGAGCACAGAGAGGGTGAGAAGGAAGAAAGAAAGAAGACTGATTGATTGGGGATTACATATTATTTCCATTGAGAGACACCACACCTTTTGCAGACGCGTCTCCGGCGTCTACAGCGCGTCGCAGGGGCCAAAGAATCCTCCGTACCGCTCGCTATTCGATTACGATGGCACCCATCAGTTCACCACCAGTGACGACTCTGCTCATAATCTCTGGAACTCTTGGTAATGATAATGACCATCAAGAGTCTCCTCCTCACGGTGCTCTGAAGACTGCTCCAAACACGTCTCCTGTCACTGCCGGGAGGCCTCGAGCCGCCACTTGAGTCGGCACGTCGTCGGCGCCGGGATAGACCAGGCCGGTCCAGAACGGCTGCTGACACGCGGTGTCCCTAGATGATACACACACAACATCATCGCCGGAGTTAGCTCTCGTCCCAGATACAGATACAGATCCTGACAGCTACAGCAGGGCCATATGGTGGGTGGATGGGTGGGTGTCCAGGGTGCACGCTTACCGATAGAGATCGACTTTGACGCCTGGGTCAGGCCCCAGCGAAGCCCAGCCGCCATGGGAGGTGATGATGGCGCATTGATTGTAGGATGACGGGTCAATGGCGGTCCAGAAACACGTGCCTTCATTGTGGGTATTGGCAGATGTAGATCTGGCGACGACAGTCAGGCAGTGGCACTCTGGGGACTTTTTTGGGAAAGGTGGGTGGGTTTGGAAGCGAGTCAAGGGAGGGAGGGCAGGGGAACTCACGCCGTTGGTAGCTCGATCATTCAATTTATCTGTCGGACTCTCGTCGGCTGGGTTGGTGGCATTGAAGTGAATCTGGTTCTCGGCGGCGGCAGCAGCAGCAGCAGCAACAGCAACAGGACTGTCTGCCACAGAGAGCGTTGCGTCGACAAAGCCAGCAGCGACCAGCAGGCCGAGCAAGAAGGCAGAAAGCCAGGAGGGGTGGGAGCTCATGATTGCGGTCGGTTGAACGAGATACGTCTTTCTCTAGCAGGTCACTGGAAAGGGGAACAGCACAAGTCTGTGAGAAAGAAGAGACAATGAAAAATGGAAAGGACGGAGAACTACTCAGGGGACATTCATTTCATAGTCTCTGCACGCGTCACCGCAACTCCAGTCCACGATGGGAAACAAAGACCCGCGTGCACGAGGTGAATCGTTGACGATGGAAAAACTGAGACAATCGAGTTGCGGCTGCAAGAGAGTCACGAGAAGACAGACACGCTTCTCTGCGATCCCAAGTCCACTGGGCTACTGACTGACTGACTTGACTGGCTCATTGACTGCCTCCCTCAATATACATCAAGCCCTTCCCTCCCTTCCCTTCCCTCCCCTTCTTCTCCTTCTACAGCCACTCACGGCAAGTAGACACTCATCTCCAGTCCATTCGTGTAGGGCAGGGTCAGATTCTGGAACCCGCTGGCCGGGTCGCGCATGTACGCCAAAAAGTCCTTGTACTTCTCCGCCGAGCCGATGGTGTTGTCGGCGATGACCACGGTGCCGCGCCGCATCCGGGGCTGGCACAGTTTGAGCACGGGCAGGGCCATGGGGGTCCAGACTGCATATGCCCGCGAGGAGAAGGGTGGAGGTTAGTTGGTATGACCAGACACACACGCACACACACGGCGCGAGAATAATATCGAAGGAATCAAAGAGAACAAACAAACAAACCGGAAAAGGAAAGCACTCACTGTCCAACAAAAGCAGATCTATCTCTGGCACATCCTTCTTCAGGGTCTCGAGAATGTCACCCTCACGCAGGTCAATGCAGCCGGTGATATCGTCTCCCACCTCCTTCCAGTGCTGACGGGCCCGGTCTGCCTTGGCCTTTTCGTACTCGGTCGCGATGACCACGCCCTCCTTTCCCTTTCCCTCCTTTCCTCCCTTCTTGATATTCTCCGACACCGCCAGCGCCAGGTAAATGGTGCTGACGCCGAAGCTGGTGCCGGCCTCGACGACGACCTTGGCCCCGATGGCCCCGCACAGCTGGTACACGAACTCGGCCTTGTCGCGGTCCAGCGCGATGAACTTGTCGCGCATGAACTCGTCGAACCCGCGTGCCGTCACCTCGGCCGGGGAGATGGCGTCCTCCTGTGTCCGCGACGCCGCGTGCAGCCGGTCCAGCAGGGCCAGCACGTGCGGCGGGGCGCGGAGGGGCGAGGGAGACTGCACGCCGGGGGGAGAAGAAGAAGAAGAAGAAGAAGAAGAAGAAGCCATGCCTGGAGAATGAAGAAGTAGAGTAGAATAAAATCAATAAATGAGACTCCGGTCGGTCGGTCACTCACTCGGTGAGGTGTATGTATGTATACCAGGGAGAACCGAACTGTTTTTCAACACGAGAATTTTCAGTCTCAATGGCAGCCGGGCTTTCTATGAAACTATTATGTACTTTCGTATCATATCAGGTACTTATGTGAACCTCAGAGACACCGAGTTCGGAGCAATGCATGGCAGTGGCAATGTGACTCACTACCAGTAGCTAGCTAGGTACCGAGTACGGCAGTCGACGTCCCCGCGTGGAGAAATGAGCGGGCGGCACTTTCGACTTCCTCCACGTCGTGACCGCCACACGCGCTGAGTTCATCCTTGCCCTGAATATTATTATTATAGCGGTATATTGGGAAGCCTCGAAGCTATCACATACATATACTATCTCTGTCCAAAAGACGTCACATTGACTCTGTTGACGCTCGATGTCGTCAGCCAGGTTGAAAAGGTGCAGAACTCGCCTGCTGCTGTTAATTAATTACTGGAGAGCACCATCCCGGTTTGGCTCGCAGAATAGAATATTCACATCTGTGAATCCTGTTACAAATTATAATACTCCGTAGCCAACTCGGTCCACGATATGTGCCACCATGTCCCCGCCGCAGAGCACATCCTTCTGGATGTACGAGGGTGCAGCTACCGAGGTTCGAAGCCTTAGTTAGTTATTGTTGGGAACGCCGTACTGTATGTGAATAGGCAGAGGGTAGCGATTAGGCGGATAGTGGTTGTCTAGATTATTACTTGACAGTGTATCTCAACTAAACTCTGGTCAGTATGTGGAAAGGGGAGATCCTTATGCGAAGAGCGTGCGGTGCTTAAGTACCAAGGCTGGTGTTACGAACATACCCTGCACATACAGCTGTTAAAAGAGACAAGGCTGAGAGTAATATAAGGCTACCGGACAGAGTCGGGCGGGTTACCTCAGTATGGATACAGAAGCTATGAGAAACTACCCCTCTCGTTTCGGGTGGGCACGAGTCGTTAAGTCGTTATCTATAGGAGCTACAGATAGTTGCAATAGTACACAGGCCTTCAATCAGACAATCCCTACCGCGTGGCGTAGGCTCTCTAACAGCTCATGTCACGTATCCGCCTCACTGGGCGATTCGCGAGATGGTCCCCCCCTCCTCCTCCTCCACCAATTGGGATCCGCGCCTGGCTCGACGAGTATCTGCAGTACCTTCTCGTGACTATACTCACTTGCCCAGATCAATTTCTCGTGGATGGACGTAATACTTCCGCCCAGATGGAAAGGTAGTGGCACCACTTCCACCAACCGAAAACTCCTTAGCAGTCTGGTGGATGAGATATATTCGATCGTGATTCATGAAGATAAAAAGACTGCACAACTGGCGACTATTATTCAACAGCCTACTAGGATTGAGGTTGGCCTTGTATAGGGACTTGCGCTGCGGTGCGCTACAGTGGCTATTCCGAGAGCGATTGCTATCTTAGAGTACAAACGGAGTATGTACAGGACTGTAAAACCACAGGATTTTGCGGGGTGTATCATCATTATCATCATCCTCTCATGCTGTGCGACGTACAGGATATAGACGCAACGTCCAGCCTGACGCCGTGTGCAACGAGTACGACGTATATGATGTATCCTGCCGTCCATTCCAAGAAGGAGACCTTCGTCTCTTCCAGAAGGTCTCATGGTCAATCACACATAGTCAATCATAGGCTGCACTTGGGCCGTTCAGTTCCCGTTTCCCACTGTGTGCCTGCGTCTGCTGCGGCGGGATCATTCTGCACTATCTGCACCCAACCCTGCCCGCAAGGACTCCTCCGTGTAGAAGCGCAACTTGACGTCGCTCGGGTAGTTGGCGCTCGCGAAGCACGAAGCCCATTCGGCCAGCGACACATGCTCGACAGAGTCCAGTGAGACCTTCACGTAGAACGATGGACTGTAAGGTGGTGACGGCGTCATCGTGCCGGCCGAGCGCTTGGTCGGCGGGCCGTGCGAACTGGGTAAGGTCCGCAGCTTGATGCTCGGGTGGTCGAGATTCGGGTATCGTTTGTGGTATGGCGAGGTGATCCTCCTCCACACTTCTCTGTCGTTCTTGTTATAGTCGTCCAGCCGATCCCGGACCATGTTGATCGTCAAATTGGACCGAGACGGCTTTAGTTTTTCAAGCACTTCAATCAATGCTCTCAGGAACGAGCGGCTGTACGCGTACGCCACGCTCTGGCGGTCCGAGGCGGCGAGAATCTCGTTGGTGCCCTTCATGCCACCCAACGAGGCATTCCCGGCAAAGCAACAATTCAAGATGATGAGAGTGTCGCATGGCGCGCTGTGGAGAGATGGCTGTATCGAAGACCAATCCACACCATCCTGGGATTCCGAAGTCGCACGGCTAAAAGAAGAATACTGTCAGCATGTTGCTCGGAGCAACAGAGGATGGCTAGCTCACGGGATCCAAATCGATGGGCCAAACCCTTCTTGTCCTCTCTCGACATCCAACGGATTGAAGCCGTGTCCCGCGTAAACCACGATCACGAGCTCGTCCTTCTTTCCATGCTGGCGTATGAGCTCGTCAATCTTCCTCTTAAGGTTTTGGTGGGGTCTGTCTTCGGGGATCTTGAAGATGTCGCAGACGTGAAAATTGAACAGTTTCACGAAACAATCCCTCAGCGCATTGAGCTCTTGTTCCAGCCGCAGATGGGGTTCCACCGCTTCAAACATGATTGGCAGCACCGTGACCTTGGTATAGCGCCCGTTGCGCGTCAGGTCATCGTTGAGCCTCTCGGTATTGTTCAAGCTCCTGACAAGTTCTTCAATCTGCTGAGGAGCCACAGAGCCTGATGTGCCTTCCAATTCATATGGCCCGGTAAAATGTGTGAAATCGACACGAACATTGCGCACTATTTCTGGGGGCTCACTTGCCAGATGATTCCATGCAGCGGGATCATTGGCGACGAGTCGAGGGATCGAAAGGTCATACGTAAGTCGATCACCGGATGGAGATCGTGCCTGTAGACGTGTGTGGCGTACCTTCAGACCGTTCTGTAGCCAGCGATTGATGACGGCGAGTTGTTCGGAGTCGCTGATCGGGCCCTGCACAAGCACTTCCATCCGAACCTCAAGATCATCCTGGCTTGCTTCCGGCGACGGGGGCCGTGTCGAAACCTCGGAGGATACTTTTCCCCGCGTCCTCTCATAAAATTCTTCTAAGTCGGCAAAGCCTGACGAATCAGACCGGTCATCGGAGTAAGTGCTCATCATCTTCGAGACGCTCTGTGCTCACCGCCAGGGGATGGATAGTTACCGTAATGACCAGATGAATGAATGAGTGAGTTTCTTCAGCCCCAAATAAATCTTGTCGAAAACCCTGCTCTTTTTCTCATAGCTCGCCAGGCTGTCTCAACTTCACGGGACGAGATGTCCGCGAGCCCAGTCTGGGAACTGGAGCGGGGTTTTGGATTGAGATGCTCTGACCAGCATCGTGCGCCAACCAACCAGCCGTCGATGTCAGGTTACACAGCATATTTCGTGGCAAAGCTGAGGAGTAGGCAGCCGAAGGCGGTACACTGGCACATGATGGAGGCCCTTTTGAGCCGCACAAGCCATAAAGTCTGGAAGTAGTTCCAGTCAATACGTACGAGAAACCTGTTTGTCTCGGAGCCCAGGCAGCTGAAATTTCAAGGTGAAGATTCTGCCCTCGTGTATTGTAGACGAGAAGTGTGAGCCGGCCCTGGTCCTATTCGCCCAAAGGGAATCTGCCTGCGTCATTCGGTTGGTAGTGGATGCCTGTTGAGAGCAAGGATGGAGGCTGCTCGTCGCCTGATTGCCTGATGGAGTGCCAGTCAAATAAGGGACGTCAACCGGACAACGGATTCAAGCCTCTCCATCACCTGGAAGCAGACGTGGAAAGGAAAAGAACAACCCCAAACCATGTCGTTCAGCTCGACATACATTGGCTTACCCTGGAGTAAGGAAGCCGCCACGAGTATGCGTCGTTCAGCTTCGGAAGCAACACATCGTCCAAGCATAATCGCCCCCTCGCGTTCAAGCGCAGAGGCCAGCCGTTCCAGCATAGATTTCGACCCGGGCGAGTTCGACTCCTCGAATTACCGATTCCCCCTGTATTCGGACACCTTCCGGATAGCCGTCATCGGTTCTTTGAACTTTGACCACATCTGGGTTGTCCCTCGACTGCCACAACCATCAGAGACTTTGATGATTGGCAAGCACAGGACCACCCCGGGGGGCAAGGGTGCCATACAAGCAATAGCGTGTGCCAGACTCTCGCACACGCGCAATGCAGGCTCTGACGTCGGCGTCGGTCGTTTCTCCCGGAGAGCTGACTCTGCCAGCGCCCCTTCTGGGAGAAGGCACAGTAGCATGGATCTCAAGAAGGGTGACATCAAAGTCAGTATGATTGGTGTTGTGGGACAGGACTCCGCGGGAGACAGAATCGTGCAAGCTCTGTACGCGGACAGGGTTGACACCGAACATATCGTCCAGTGCCGAGAGGAGGAGACGGGGAGAGCGAGCATTGCTCTGGGAAAGAACGGCGAGAACAACGTGCTGGTCTGCCCGGGCGCCAATTACAAGCTCACCCCGAGCCAGATTCGCACAGATCTTCGGGAAGGTTTTCCACATCTCCTAATTCTGCAGATGGAAATCCCCGTTCCCACCGTTGAACATCTCATCAGAAAAGCCGCAAAAGAGAGGATCCCGGTTTTGCTCAATGCAGCCCCGGTAATGGACGAGTTCCCGCGGGAACTCCTTCGCTCTGTGGAACACCTCATCGTCAACAAGCTCGAAGCGGAAGACCTCCTCAAACAACGCCGGACCGAACAGGAGGGAAATCGAGAAGCAGAAATAGCCAAGGGAAGAGAACTATGCAGGTCGTTACTGGGGATGGGTGTGAAGTATGTGGTCGTCACGATGGGTGGCCACGGGGGAGTAGCCGGCACAAGACAGCAAGGTGGTGAATTACACATGGTTGATTACAAGGCGGCAGGTGTCGAAAAGGTCGTCGACACCACAGGCTGCGGCGGTGTCTTTATCGGGGCGTATGCGGTCCAGTACATCAGGCAGAAGTTCCCCCCGGGAAAAGGATTTGACATTGATCGAGCTGTGAAGTGGGCAGCCAAGGCAGCTGCCTTGAAGGCGCAATCCTTTGGCTCTCTCGATGGAATACCATGGGAGGATGAGCTGGAGGCCGCTGCGTGAAGACGGCCTGGATATGTGTTCTTAGTACTTATCCTGAGGTGCTTGTGTTCGTTACATGGCCAGAAATTCTTGGGAAGGATCGTTGAAGCGTTCAATGTAATAGAATATTGCTGGTAGTGATGTTGGCGACAACGATGACGGTGGCAATAATGAATTCCTTGGCATATTTGATCGCTTCGCTGTGGTTGATACAGTCGCTCCGATATCAAACCTAATACACCGTCAAACAAGACTATGAACCCACGGGCCAAGAACCCTAGCCCTCTGTGCTAATGCAGGACGTTGCTTGTCTGAAGCTCTCTTCTCTTCAACGTGACATCTCATCGGCAGTCTTTGTGCATTGCTCCAAGACATCCCAGAATGTATGTGTATGCAGTTTTCTAGGAATCCTCACGCCTCTAGCAACACCATCGGGTCCTGCCTCTACTTTCTCGACAATGGTCCTGCCTACTTGTCCTCTGACCGCATCCAGTGGGCTATGTGCTCCGTCCGTCACAACTTTGACATGGTATCGATCGCCGTCTTCCTCGTATATGCCACTGGAATATCCGAACAGGGCAGCCACCGCGAGCGGATCATGCAACGGAGGCCCTTCATACACATCGAACCACTCGACGTAACTCTGTGCGAAGAAGGTGAGAATCTCGTGGAGAAAGAGACGGAGCTGGCTGGGCTTGTCAGATCCCAAGAACCGTGCTCGGACCTCCGTGGTCGCCAGACACTGATGCGTCAGATCGAGTGTGACGAGAGTCGTTTTGGCTGCTACCACGGGGTTCGAAAAGACAGCTTGGGCGGCTTCGGGGTCGCAATAGATGTTGAATTCTGCCCAAGGAGTCTCGTTGCCAAATCCTTCCCCTTGACCCAAGGTTTTGCCAAATTCTTTCGAGACCTGAGGGCAGAAATCGCCTCCAACCGCACCACCCATAATGCTCACTCTAGCAAACCGCCCGATCAGAAGCAAGTCCTTCTCCAGGTTAAAGGTATGCTCGACTTACCCAGCAAGATGGTGGGCGACCTCAGGATAGGCCGAGAAAAGCAGTGCAGCGTTCGTGCAAGGGCCTGTAGCCACATACCATGCAGTTTGAGGTGGCTGGGCCATGATAGCATCGCGAGTGGCAACCAGAAAATTCACATCCTTGACGATATTTGTCGTTGGCTGCGGGAGAAGACTCGTACCACCCAAGCCTGTGGGACCTACTCACGGGTCAGCACTGAAGCATACATTCTCTGAGAGAGGCAGTGTTCACCATGGATGTCCGGTGTCTCGACTTCTTCTCGGCAGAACGGCTTCAGCGATCCAGGATAGACCTTGACATCGGTCCTCCCCACGGCATTGAGCACAGCACTTGTGTTGTTCGTGGTGTGGATTTGCGGAGCATTGCCATGGGTTGAGCTAATACCCAGGAAGTTCAACTGCGGATGATGTGCCGCAATGAGAATGGCAAAGACGTCCTGTAGTGTTTCTCAGTTGGTTATATTCTCGCTGTTGTGATGGAGGGGAGGGGAGAGTCCTACATCATGCCCTGAGCATGGTCAGCAGCCACCAGACTCTCTGCCAGTACAGACGATCACGGATTCAGCTTACCTGTGTCGACGTCCAACCAGACCGGTATTCGCTTGTCTATGCCGTCTGTCATTGTCTCGCCTCTGTTGAGCCTCCTACGTTCCTGCACAGATCGAAGCCCGGCCTAGGATCTAGGCTATGCCTGTGCTCGCTTAAGTCGCCTCTCCCAAGTCCAGAAGGCTGCAACCCGTTCAACGGTTTCGATGCAAGCCCCTGGTATATCAGCAGAACCGAGCAGTTTTCAGTGGTCTCGGAAGTGGACATTCCCGCGTGCGGTACTCCGAGGAGAGGGCTTAATGGATACTAGGTGCGCCATCAGGTCCCTCTGTGTCATCTCGCCACTCAGAGTTTTTACCGACACACACACGGGCGATCTCCTATCTCGTGTGCGGTAAGCTAGTGCAGGTATCGCTGCCCTTTCCCACCGTTCGGGTCTGGTGCCAATCACACGGCTCATTGCATTCCATGCCCATGTGGCCCCCTTAGATTATCGCGGGGTGAGACCTTCTCAAGCTGGTAAAGTCTGATAACTCACAGTCTAGGCCCAAATGCCCTATCAGTCTGTTGGAGATAAGGATGGAGAACGCGTGGCGAGACCTTCTCGTCGCTTGCCATTGATATTGTTTCGTGCAGACCTCGAGAACGTCTGGTAGCAAACTCCCCTTCAGCATCATCACAAAAACCACCACAAACAGGATGGCAGCCCACGGATCGAACAGCAGCACCACGGCCGCAGCAACGACGGAGGATGTCCTCAATCTGGAGAGCTTCGGCTACAAGCAGGAGCTCAAAAGAGACTTCTCGCTCTTCGGCATGTTCGGCTTCGCCTTTTCAGTCTTGACCTGCTGGACCGCCCTGGGAGGCTCTTTAGTGGCGGCCATCGAAGCAGGAGGCCCGCCGGTCATCATCTACAGCTGGATCGGGGTTTCTTTCTTCTCGCTCTTCGTCGCCTACTCATTCGCCGAGATCTGCAGCGCCTTCCCCGTCGCCGGCGGCCAGTACTCGTGGGTTGCCATCTTGACGCCGCCCAAATGGGCCAGACTGACCTCTTACCTGTGTGGCTGGTTTATTGTTATTGGCTTCTTGTCGGCCGGGGCTGCCAATGGCTTCATCGGCGCCAGTTTTGTTCTTGGGATGGCCCAGATCGCCCATCCAGACTTTGTCATTGAGAGGTGGCATACGTGCCTGGTCTGCTATCTTGTCCTGATCCTCGCCGCCGCCGTCAATGTCTGGGGTCGCCATCTGTTGAACAAGATGGGCAAGGTCATGATCACCTTCAACTTGCTGTCCTTCGTGGTCGTCATCATCGTCATTCTGGCCAAAGATCAACAGAAAGCGAGCGCGGCCTTCGTCTTCAAAGACTTCAACAACAACACCGGGTTCGGCAACTCGTACGCAAGCTTGTTGGGGATCCTGCAGGCGGCATTTGGCATGACCGGATACGACGCAACGGCACACATGACGGAAGAGATGCGCAATGCCAGGAAAGATGCTCCGAAAGCCATCATCTGGTCGGTCTGGGTTGGTGCATTCACGGGCTTTGCCTTCCTCATTGCGTCCTTCTTCTGCATCCGCAACCTCACCGCCATCGAGACGTCCTCGACCGGCGTACCTCTGATCGCCATCTTCTACGAAGCCACCGGCAGCGTGGGCGGGGCCATTGGCCTCACCACCCTCATCACCATCATCGCCTTGGTCAGTTTGTGCTTCCTCATGGCCCAAAGCTCGCGGGTGATCTTCTCTTTTGCTCGCGACCACGGATTGCCCTTTTCTGGGATTATCAGCAAGGTTCATCCGACGCTGCATGTCCCCACCTACAGCATCTTGACCGTCCTCGTCGTCAACATGGCTCTGATGGCCATCTACTTCGGGTCTGTGACGGGCTTCAACACCGTGCTGGGGATCTCCACGGAAGGCTTCTATCTGTCCTACATCATGCCACTCCTCGTCCGCATTTGGGGCCGCCTTCAGGGTCGAGAAGATATCGACAGCGCCTACTCTCTCGGTCGATTTGGTATGTTGTTCAACGTCGTGGGCATCCTCTACCTGACGTTCGCCGCCATCGTGTTCAACTTCCCTTCGGTCAGCCCGGTCAATGCCGATAATATGAACTATACTTCGGCTGCCGTCGGCGTCTGCGGTCTGATTGCTGCCATTACGTGGGTAACGACCGGTCGTACCCACTTCACCGGCCCGCAGCGCGGTGGCATTCTGGAGGGAAGATTCCCCAGGCTCGTCGACGACGACGTTCACCACGTCAAGCCTGCTCCGAGCCCCAAAGGTCTCGAAAATTGAAAGAGTGGTTACTAAGTTGAGCGCTCACTTGTACAATACTACTACTGTGTACAAGCACTTGTCCGGAATGGACTGGCGTATATTTTTCTGATATTGTGGGATCTGGGAGCGGGTGAATCGTTCACCTCCTTTGCATATGTACCGACATCAAGGAGGCCCTTGTTCGGAATGAACTGACGACGATATGAATGAACTGGGATTTTGCTTTTCTTTTTGTTTTATGATGATACCCTCACCTTGTACTATTATGATTGAGCGACATGGTACGGGGCACTTGACCGGTGATGGTCTGGGGTACTACCGCGTTTGTTTCTGTGATTGTTTTTAGCAATTTACAAGACTGTCGTTATCCACTGCAAACCGTCGCTTCTTCGCGACGGGGACGACCACAGTAGCTAAGCTACCTAGTATTCGTGCATACTGAATCTATACACTCATTTGTACGCACGCATTCCCAGCTTTCTCTCTTACTCTTTCAGATCCTTTCCCGCCACCAGTCTCCCGCCCACAAACACCTTGCGTATCGACCTGTCATCGCCCATGAATACCCACTTCTTCAACAGCGCCATGTCGTCGTGCTCGAACCCGTTGGTGTTGATGTTGTCGTCCAACCCGACATCCACGAGGAGGGCATCGAAGGCCTTGCCCACGGCGAAGTTGCCCACCTTGTGGTCCAGCGCACACACCTCGGCGCCGCCCATGGTGGCCAGGTACACCAGCTCGGCGAAGTCGAGCTTCCAGGCCGGGTCGCCCGTGGAGATGGTCAGGTGGCGCGACACGTTGCTCGCCTGGCGCATGGCGTTGAGGATGGAGATCGAGTAGCCCGCCGAGCAGTCGGTGCCCAGGCCGACCTTGATGCCACGGTCGAGCAGCTCGCGCACGCGGCACCAGCCGTCGGTGAGGCAGGTGTTGCTGTTGGCGTTATGGGCCACGCCGACACCCCGGGCCGCCATCACCTCCATGTCCCGCGTCGTCAGGTGGATGCAGTGCGCCAGGATCGTGCGCGGGCCGAACAGGCCGTAGTGGTCGTACATGTCGGCGTAACTGGCGAACCCGGGGTGCAGGGCGTGCATGTTCTGCACTTCGAGGGGGGTCTCGCACATGTGTGCTTGCACGCGGATCGGGTCGTGGTCGCGGTACAGGTCGCCCAACCCGGCCATGAGCTCCGGCGGGACGTAGGACCCTGCTCGGGGCTGAATGCACGGCATGACCAGGTCCCCGGCCGGGTCGATGTGGCGGATGTGTTTGACGACCTTGGCCTCGTCGGCGATGCTCTGCTCGGCGCTCTTCTCCCAGTTACCGTGGGTGCTTCCGACTAGGATGCACAGCTTGCCGATGACGGCGCGCTGGCCGAGAGCCAGACACGTGTCGGCCAGCACGTTGGTGGCGTCCGGGTGGATGCTGGAGTTGTAGGCGACGGTGGTGCTCCCGTTCTCGAGCTCCTTGCGCACCATCTCGCCGTAGACGCGGTGCGCCTTGGCCGTGTCGGCGTACGACGCCTCCATCGGGTCCGTCCAGTTCTCGCACCACTCCTTCAGGTCGCCCTCCATGCCCAGCGCCATGTTGGGGTACTGGGGCGCGTGCATGTGCGTGTCGATGAGGCCCGGGAAGAGAAACTGCAGGGGTTTCAGAGTGACCGTCTCGGCGTGAGCGAAGTCCGGGTAAAGGGCACAGGCCTCGGCGGCGGAGGCGGTGCTGGTGTCTAGGAATCGAATGGTGCCCTTGTCGTCGACACCCAGGCTTGCCCGGGGCAGGATCTCGACTTCCTTGAGGGATTTGCTGTGGATGATGCGGCCATGGAAGACTTTGTAGCCGCTTTTCTTTTCCTCCGGGACCACAGCTCTCGAGTCGGATGCTGTGTATGGTGGAGGAGAAATTGAGTCGCTCACACCGGTGTCGATACCGGCCCTGGTACGGCCACGGAACATGGAGAGAGATAGACACCGCATCTTTGCTAATATTCTCGCCAATTGCACGAGTGGTAGGGTTATAAGATGGGAAGAGGAGAGAAATACCTCGATATCTATGTATCTAGCCTGTGGCTGAAGCTGTTTTGTTCGACGAGGCTATACCACAGCCATATCTTCCGGTTAAAGAATGCTGTTTCTCAGAAAGTAATGTTTAGCCTCTAGACTAGATAAAGGGACACGTCAGCCCGAACCGCGTGTTCTCATTAGGAAGGTCGATGGGAGTCTTTCAGAGTAATTACTCGGTACATGCTCCATGAACTTTCGGCGAAGAACTGGATCCCACAACAGGTTGTCGCGCATCTCCGACGCAACGGAGGACGACCCTTGAAACATACATATGACATCGTGTATCTTGTACCGCTGTTGCTGATGCTGATGCTAGGGTCTAGATCACGCTATATGAAGATCTCGGCATAAGACTGCATATCACCAAAGCTGGGAAAGTTTCCCTGTATGTTGACGACAACCACCGGAGCGTTATCACTTTCTCAGGACGAAATAATGAAAGCGACAACAGTCAGTCTCGAAGAACTCGCACAAGGGACGGTGCCCTTCGGCACACTGGAAGAGGCATTCGGTGAATCCTCCCTGGGCATCCTCGTCGTCAAGGACCTACCCACCAGATATCCCCTCCTGCGCCAAAAGCTGCTGTCCTATGCCTCGTACCTGGCCCAACTCCCCAAAGAGGACCTGGATGCCCTCACGGACGCGGCATCGCACTATGAGATCGGCTGGAGCCACGGCAAGGAGGCGCTCAAGGACGGACAGTACGACACCATGAAGGGCTCGTACTACGTGGACTGCCAGTCCTTCTACCTCGAGAACCCCGTCGTTCCCGTCCCCGGCACGCCCGCCACTCGCGGATCAGGGACGAACCTGTGGCCGTCGGAGTCGGTCATGCCGGGCTTTCGCGCCACCTTTGAGGAATTGTGCACGCTGCTGATCGACATTGGGGTCCTGGTCGCCCGCGCCGTCGACCGCTACGCTGCCAAGCACATCCCTCAATACCGGCCGGGGTATCTCGAGCACGTCGTCAAGACCAGCCATACGCCCAAGGCGCGGTTGCTGCACTATTTCCCGCCGAACCAGATGCACAGCCCACCCTCATCTCCATCCGCCGACTCTTCGGGTCCGTCAGACTCTGAGGAGGACTCCTGGTGCGCGACACACCTGGACGACGGGTGCCTGACAGCCTTAACATCGGCACTGTACATGGACGAGTCCTGCCCCCTGCCCCCACTGAGGGCCCAGGACAACTCGTTCTCCTTTGCGTCTCTGCCCACCCTGCCTACATCCCCGGACCCCAAGGCAGGACTGTACATCCGGTCACGGGGCGACCAGGTGGTGAAAGTCGATATCCCCGCGGACTGCATCGCGTTCCAGACCGGCGAGGCGCTGCAGATGATCACGGACGGCAAGTTCAAGGCGGTGCCGCATTTCGTGCGTGGGCCCAGCGGGGCGAGGAAGGCGGTGGCCAGGAATACCCTGGCGCTCTTCATGCAGCCGGACGTCGATGAAGTGATTGACAAGGACAAGGGGACTACGTATGGCCAGTTTGTGGAGATGATTGTCAAGAGGCACTCATAATCAACAAACATAAAAGTCAGATTTGATTGAAACTGGGGGGTTTCGTTGAATTCAGTATTGACTAGGCATTGACTAAGTCGGCATTGGAACTGTGTTATAGAGCAGGAAATCTACTCGTATTATATAGTCTTTGGGACGACACATTGCTGCCATCTGTCTTTTAACTAGGAAATGCCGAAAGAAGCAATATAAAAGGGCCACTATTATTAATCCACCCAAACACAGGGCTTCCCTGGCTGGTGGGCTCAAGATCTATTGGTAGGCCAAGCATTTCACAAGCACAAACAAGCATCTTCGGAGATTTTACTTGACTACAACTATGCATTCGGGAATTCAGGGTATTTCATGGGAAAGAGAAAAGGCATTGGTCAGGTTATCTTGGTACAATATGCGTTTGAAACGCGAGTGCCTTGGTGGGAACTTTCATGGTGACTTCTGTTCACTCTCTCCATGACTTCTATATTGGGTGTGATTCTCCTCCTTCTTTCCGTGGCTATGAAGGCGCGGGTGTTGCCAGTAAGTCTCCGCCGAAGCCTTGCGCAGTAGATTGTCCCGATTCGATTCGGTTCTGTATCTCACCAAGAGCATGCTCCTCTTTCAGTTCTCGAGGCCTCGCTATGGGCGGCCAGTTGGTGCACGTGGCACATGACCACGATGTTTTGCACTCGCATACAGGCCATCCGTGATATTTGATCCACCGATCACAGGCTCATAGACTTGAATGCCTCCAATGAGCCAGTAAGCATCTTTAAAGGCTTGTGGGTTGTTGGCCACATAATCTTGGCAAGTTGGAGCCAACGAGGCACATTCAGAGCTCGCCCAGTCCCCATCAGTCCAGTCGCCGCACAGAGCAGTGTTGATGACAACCATCAGGTTCGAGAAGTATTCAGACAGCAGGCTACCGTCTGCGGCCATGAAATGAGCGTCAGGGGCCCTCCATGTCTCCGGGTCGGGACTGCCACTGAAAGCGTCTGAAGGAATCTCACTTCGCGCAAAGTTCCAGATGGATATCCACTGCGGGCCATACTCGGTTGCCAGAACACCTCCGCCGTTATCGTTGAATGCTGTCCCGAAGGAATTGTTGGCGCCTGACGCCGCACAACCCGGATCTCCAGAAATTTCAGCACTGCAATCGAGGCTGGTAAATGTGCCTCGCATCTGCATGTGAGTAGCATTCGCCACGCTTGGATCCGAGATGTTGGACATGGTCACGTGCGCTTTCGTGTGAAGGACCATCTTGTTGACGGGCTGGAGCGAAATCCCTTCCATGATGTCGATCTCCCCATCGTCAGGCCACTGTGGCCCGACCAGCCAGTATGCCGGCCATGATCCACAGATACCTCCAGGCATATGCATGATGTCGGCGATATGCAACGATTGGTTGAAGACATCTTTCGACTGAATGCGTGTGGACTGCCTGCCACTCGGAGCCACGTTGGACGAGTCGACCCCGAGATAGATCATATTCTGGAAAACGTCGTTGGATGCGAAGCCTGCAAGTCCAGTACTATTAGCTCCAGCCAAGTCTTGATACTTCACGAAACCATGCGTCGGATCCGGGTCTGAGAAGAAGTCAAATTGATCGAAGAAGTCTGGACCGGAGTAATTCTTGGAGATTTGATATCGCGAAGCCTGAGAAACTCCGAAGAGTCCCGCAAAGCCAAGTGCAACAGGCCACATCGCGTCCGGAAGTGTGGTGGACGGATTGTAAAGTCTGATCGTAGCGCCGCCGGCAGATTCGGTGGCAATGATAAGTTGTGTATTGGCTTTGAAAGTGTGTAAAGATGATCTCGAGAATGTTTGTCTTCGAGGATGGAGGAAGGATGGAAACATACCTTTGAAAGAGATATATAAAGCCCGCGACGGCAGACAAAGGGCCATTCACATCCACAGGGCAGTAGAAGTATAGTAATATCATCTATAGTGACAAAAAAGGAGCTGCTTTTTGTCGTGGCGCCTTGTCGAAAGCTTTATATCACAACAAAGATATGTAAACAAAATCTTTGTAGCCGAAGCAAACGGCATCGTTCTTGTGACCCAGTGCAAGGTTGGAAGCTTGTTTTCACGGCGTGGTTTGTCCACCCAAGATGATACGACTGTCTCTCTCCTCGTGATCCAGAGCGGGCTGAAAAGCTCCATTCTGGTGTTGGAGGTCACTCTCCAGAGGTGAACTTCGAAGTGAAGAAAGCTCATGAGGCGGAACTCCGGCGGCGGCGTCAAGAAGAGACAACGTGGTGGATACAACAGTCGAAGCTGTTCCACTGTCCAACCGGTCGCGGGCACGAGGTGTTATGCCGCGACGCCGTTGACAACGCACGTGAGGCGGTAAGGAAAGGCGGGCGACGCGCTGTCTTCTCCGAGTAAACATTTCATCCTCGCTGATAGTCTGTCATGGCTCCACCTTGTGGCTTGCGATTTACGTCCGGCGGCTCGAGATCATATGTATACATGTTTTCCGGATCGAACTTCTCTTTTCCAGCACCGTAGGACATGTTTGCTGCTCTTTGTTCGGGAGGTAAAGACGACCCAGACGTGGCTAATGGAAGGGTGAACTCAAATTTAGCTGCGGCTTCTTCAACCCAGACTTCCATTTGCAGCTCTCCTGCCTCGACACGACGGACTGGATGTGTTCGTGCAGAAATAGATGTTGATGCTTTATCATCTCCTTGCGGTACTGGGGTCGATGATGATGGATTGGGCTGTGGTTCCGCGGCAATCCACTTCCGCTCTTCCTTTTCAATTCGGCCCACTGGTCGATCAGCCCTCTCCTTGACCTCGATAGCCAACGTGAAACTGCATTCCGGGGCGCCAGGTCCCTCTGGGAGCGGCCTGAGCCGGGCTGCCGATGTGCTAATCCGGGACAAGGTGGCACGGAAGTTAGCCTCCAGATCTGCCAGGTTGACTTGGTTATTCAGCAGGTCGCCATCGTCTGACGGAGTGGACTCGAACGGGATTTCGACATCACCACCGACAACGGAAGGAAAGGATCGCAGATCAAATGTCCACCGTTCGAGCACACGGTTGCCATCACATTCATAGATGCATAGCAAAACCTTCTCGACAGTGTTCTTGGCGAGTTGGTCACGGATTGCGGAGACGGCATCGTTGACCCACACGCAGACTGCCGGATGACGATTTTGACGAACGGGATAGTTGTATGCCCTGGCGGAGAGAAAGGAAATTGGAGGGTAAAGGCGGCGTAGATAGAGGATGTGGTGGGTTGCAACCGTCAGGAAAGAAGTGAGAGCGTCGAGAAGTGCACAGCGTGTGGAGAGAAAGTTTGAGGTCGTGGTTGGATTTGGCGGAGGCCCAGCCATGGTCATGAAGCACCAGTCAGTCTAAGCCCAGGGATTCAATTCCATCAACAGGTCCACGACGTGTTTAATGTGTATCAAGAGAAGCAGGCTGCAGGAGGAGCCAAAACGCGCCAAACGCGCCAAGCCATCCATAGAGTTTGACTCTCCGTCTTCCTCCTTCATGCTTCCCAAACTTTCTCGTCACGGTCAGCACTCAACCTTCGAACAGGGCTGATTGTTGCTGCGGCTCTGCGATCACCGGCATCGGCAATATGGAGTCCAACCGTGTGCCATGCTACGGGCAGAGCGTGGGCCTCTGAGGCAAATCCCAGCTCTCAATTGCGGTATACGCGAGGGCTTTCTAAGAACGCCAGACGATATCTCGGATGGGTGAGTTGGACTCTATGACCTGGTTCCAATGCACGCGGCCTTTCCGGCAATTGAGGTATTTTGGTCTCCGGAGATGCGAGCGTTGGGACTTTGTGTTTCGCCACCAGTTACCATTTCGTATGAGGGATCTACCAACAGGCTTAAATTTCTGGAATCTCGGCCGGGTTTTCTCTTGAGAAGGGACAGACAAAACCAATATGCTCAGGTGCAGTCAAATCGAACTCTCTTGAGAGACTTCGTTTTGTATTCAACCCCTCCTTGTTTTGAACATAGCAGGGCAGACTGAGACGGGGCCACTCAAGTTGCACTGGGAATGGAATGAAATTCCAAGAAACAAATTAAATGGCAGACTGGAACGTTGCCCTAAGCGGTATCTCGGAATGGCGTCTTCTACGGCTTTACGAAAGCTTCCTTTGTCAACCTTCATGTACGCGAAGAGGAAAAGAGAGAAAGAGAGAGTCTTGCTTGGCTGTGCTTGTGATCTAAAACCCATGTTCTCTACTCACCGACCGCAAGGCTGCAAGGATTTACAGTGTCCCCGTCTCCTCTCTCCCGCAACTAAATCTTCCGCGCAGCTTACTATCACCTCATTGCATTATATCCCAGCCTGCCGAGGGAAATACCTCTCATGCCTGCGTGATATTCATACACAAGTATTCCCGTCCGTCCAGACACACTAGGATACTAGGACGTCAAAACCTGCAGCCTCGCGCCGGCTTCGGTTCGTCCGGAGAAGACTCGGATCGCCCGGTGACTGTGTCTAAAGCCCCGGGAGGGGGGAGGGGCGCCGCGAGGGAGGCCTGGAGGTTCCGCCTTCATCGCTCGAGATTTGATTATCGGTGACGTACGTTGGTCGTGCCATGTCGTGCGGCCCCAGACACAGGTACCTATGTAACATGAGCTCGAGGTGTCTTACGTGTTTACCAAGACGCTTCCGAGAATCCCGGTCGACTGACCCAGTAAGAAGGATACACACGCCATCGGCACTTCAATATCGAGGAGAGCGAGGAATGGGGGAAGACAGGTGGGACGAGGTCCGTCTCATCCGTTTCAGAGTCTAAGCCAACTAAGTTGTCCATTTCATGTCGTAGTATGTTCGCACACCTCATTTTCTCTTTTTGATATGTCCATTTGTGCTTCCATTGGCGGTCGCGTGGGCACTTCCATTGGCACTCCCAGGCGTAGCAACGACCCCATTTGCCTGCCTCGTCTTTTCCCTCGGCGGATCTGATACTCGCACGATCTCTGGCAGGGTGAAGATGCTGGGCCACACCATCTGGAAGTGCTCTTGGTCTCCGTTCAAAATGTGTCGTAGGTGTATGCCCCACACAATGTAGCAATAAGCGCCGATTCCGGTCATGAGATGCCACCAGCCATGTCCCTCGAGTAAGAAACCCCATGGCATGCCGATGCTCCGCCTCCAGCGGATCAGCGTGGAACAATACTGGTTGTCCAAATTCCAGATGTAGAAACCGCCGAGGAAGATGCTCACCCCGAATGCCACAAGACACCACATGGTCCTCAATATGTCTAGGTCTCTCTTATTCTCATATTCTTGTTGTTCTCTCGAGACGTCAACCGGCAGGCCTAGCTTTTCTCGTTCCAGACGGTGTTTTTCTTCCGACTTCCGCAAGGAAGGTCGCAGGCTTGTTTCCATGCTATAGACGCTGCGGACGACGATAAAAACTGTCAAAAGGGCGTAGACGATCTGGTGGAAAGCGGGGTCTTGAAGGTAGTGGTAGTAAGCCGTAATGAAGGCGCAGAATAGCACTAAGAAGACGCCGAGATAGATTTGTGTCTTTTTGGGTTGTGCGTAGGATAGAGAGGCAAATGCCATGAGACAGGTCGTGTAGATCATGTTGAGTTCGTCGACCAGCTGCCACGGATCTGGAGGCGTATTTTGCGTCAGTTCCACTGGTCGAAAAGCGAATATACTTGACGGATGCGTAGCAGGGACTCACATTTCAACGTAGTGTGGAACATGAAGCTTCCGAAACCAACCAGGAAATATCCAAAATACGCCACTTCAAATACAGTATCATGGCCATGTTTCCTGCAGCTTTGAACACCCTTGTATGCCAGGTAAATGAACATGAGGTTGGTCAGAGTGTTGATGATCTCGGCAGAGTAGTACGTGGCATAGTAGTCCTGCTCGTGTCAGCCTGGACAACTTGGTGTTTCCTGCTCGAGGATATAATCTGTCATACCTCTTCACACCACTGTAGAGTGCTCGTAACGGGATGCCAGTACCCCGGCTGGCCTGGCGGGGGATATGGAATGGAGGGAAGCCATGCGGGCATTCTGGCAACGCAGGAATGCTGTAGAGATTGTCGGTGATCTCTGGGCTTGGGATTAATGTGATGGCATAGTGACCCGAAGGTACTCCCCAGAGGTTTAAGAGACACAGACTCTTGCCAGACCACTCCGTACTAAGGGTCGGTGGCTACGGATGCGGATGGAAGAGGTGGGTTTCGACAGTTGAGCACAGCGAGGGCTCCGAACGCACAAAAATGTTTCGCAGTGGAGCAGCGGCGATAAACAAGTTTATCGCGTGGGCGGGCAAATGACACTCAAATGACGTCGCCTGGCCTAATGTAGCAGTGGCTAGGGGCAGCTGAAGGGCTCAAGGGGGGAAGCCTTAGGCAGATCATTTGCTTTGCCCTGACACGTGAAGGAGTACCTGGAAGTTCAAGCCTGGAACGGGGCAACACCTCCGACGATAATCCTGGTCAGCCCCTTCCACCTAAAATTCGGAAGTCCGAAGCCTAAAAGAGAACCAAGCAGCCCCTCGGCGGTTACCCCTCATACCCCCTGTAGCGCGGGCGCCCGTAGTCAAGCTTCCCTAGGTACGTACTTCTGGGCGCGGAAGTTGGGATCCTCTAAGTTAGTTGAACTGAGGCTCAAAAACTGCACTTCATCTTCGAACCTAGCTTGCACACAGTGATCGTTCAAGATGGCCATCCCCAATGCTGCATTGCAAAAGGTATGCTCTCATTGCCGACGGACCATCCTTTTCCGCTGACCACTTGCAGTTGCTTCAAGAAGTCGAGACTCAAGCGCTGCTCTCCCAACAGAAAATCACGCAAACGCAGGCAGAACTCAGTGCCAAACGGCGAGATGCCCGACTGAATCAACTGACGTCCAATGAGCTGAAATCCCTGTCCCCTGACACCAATGTCTACGAAGGTGTCGGAAAAATGTACGCAACCTCCCCCCCGAAAGCCTGCGGGATCTCTGACACTTCCGTCTCAGGTTCATTGCTGTTGCCCCATCGACTTTGAACAAGCGTCTGGCGTCTGAGGCAACCGCCCTCAGCAAGGATATCACGGAGTTGGAGAAGAGGCTGCATTACCAGGAGACGACGTATAAGAACAGTCGGCAGCACATTGAGAAGATCTTGCAGACTGGTGGTCGGCAGTGATGGGGCCTACTTCAATAAACACCTCTGCAAACACGTGGTTTCAGCCAACTCATCTGTTTTACCAAGCGTACATGCCGAGATGAGATTGTGCTACCCACATACCCATGGAAGGTCAAGCATTGGATCCAACTGCATCCATTACTTATACCGCTCAGATGTCGCAGCAAGAACCAAAAATCCCACGAAAACACAGGCAGAGAAATTCTGGCGCCGGAGTTTCGACTCAAAATCACGCCTCTAAATGAATATGGCCACTACCTGGATATGGACGTCTTATCTGCGGAGACATGAATCTGTCTCGAATAAGCGGTTCTTTTCCAGGATCCTTAGAAATGGCCATGGTTTACAAGCACTTCGCTGACCCAACAGAGGAGAAAGATCGCTGGGCAAACGGGAGATGACCGTTATGTCCAGCTAATACACCTGAGCTTGCATCAGGCCGCAGTAGCTGGCAACTTTTGACACAATTGTGGGGAGTCAAATACGAATTTCGGTGTGTCACGGGGACTGTCGGACGCCCTTAGGGCCTCATAACGCCAGCAAAAGTTCACCTTCTGTATGAGAACTAAGCACATCGAATGACGGCATGCTTGACCGAGACGGACGTTCAGGCCTCCAGACGAAGTAGGCCCGCAGACCACACAACAGCTCATTACCCGCTCGGTCTCGGGGTTGAAACTGGCACGAAATTTGGCTACATTTTCATAGACTTAATAATAGTTACGTGGCCCCTGTTTCCGATCGCCAGATGTAGCCATCTTGAGGGCCCCCGGTCCCAGGAGAATTCTCAAACAACTCCCCGACTATCGCATACCAAAGGGCATGTGGTACGACCTCATGATTGGTTTCAGGACGGAAGTGCCAAATCTCGTTTGACAAGCGATCATTGGGTCGGTAGGGTTCTGGATTGACTCAGCTATGGCCAGCATACCATACATGACAGTTCGACCTTTTTAGTCTCTCTCTGGCCCCCAAGCTTGGTTTTGTGGGTGCGATCCAGGCTCAAATTGGCGGCTGGCCTGCAGCACGAAAACGATAAAAGCAAGCAGGCTCCCCACCACAAGAGCTGAATCGCCGTGACTGGTTTTCTCTTTCACTTTTTCTCTCGGTGACAAAGATCGACAGTTTTGACCACTTGGGTGTTACCAATTCTCCCTTACATACGACCGTTGTGACCGTTTGACTCCTTCCCCAGAGATCCATCGCAATCCGCGCCGTTTACCCCACCGCCACCGCCCCCGAGGATTTGATCCGTCCCTTGTCTGCCAGGGCTGAGAGAGTGCGCTAGTTGGAGGGGTACGCCCACCACCATCGACAACATCATGGCCTACTCCCGACGCTCGTCAGGCTCTGGGGAATATGTGTTGATGCCAGTGCACAGCATTGCAGGCAGTGAATATGGAGGACGAGGTCGCCGTGCCTACGAACCGCCTATCGAGGTCAACAATTTCCTTGAGGTGCCACAAAACCGCCCTCGTGCTTCCAGTCAAGGCGCCGGTGTGGCACCTACGATTGTCAATATAGGAGCAGGTGCCCTCACCGAGCGAAATGACCGTGACCGCGACCACAGTCGAAGTCGCAGCCGCCACCGCGACTACCGTCACCACCGTTATCGCGACGGATCCTCCAGTTCCAGCTGCTCCAGTGACCGTTCCAGATCTCGACACCGCCGTCCCTCCAGCCACAAGCCGCCAAAGAAACAACCAATCGAAGAAGACGATCTACCTTACAAATTCCGGAAAGAGCTCGACTTCGCCCGCATGTCCCACCGAGAGGAGGAGGAGAAGCGGATCCAAGATCGGATAAAGAGAGACCGCGAAGAAGAAAAGAGACGATGGAAGCTGGAGGAAGAGGAAGAGGCGATCCGCAGGAAGAAGGAGCGTGAGGCCATCCTCTATGAAGCCAAGCTCGAGGAAGAGCGCAAGGCAAAGGAGCGAGACGAGCTGAGGAAGAAGATTCTCCGGGACGAAGAGGAGCGTCAGCAGAAGGAGAAGGAGAAGAAGAAGGCCGAGGAGGAAGAGTTTGAGCGCAAGGTCAAGGAGAAGTTCATGAATGCTGGTATGCGCAGACCCTATCGCTACAATTACGTCTACTATTAGTCCGTCCCTACCTTTGCAAATATCTCTACGAGACTTGCGGGTGGTTCTAGGACGTAAAGGCCATTCCTTTGAGGAGGGGGGACCGGTTCCATGATGCGGTAATGGAGTTGAATTTTGGGCTGAGCATGAGGCTAATCTGTGTCACTCATTTCCGGGAATTTACAGGTTACAGTCCAGAGTACATCGACGAAGTGCTCCACAAGAAGAAAGCCGAGCGTGCAACGCTGGCCATCGACCTGCATCGTCCGACCTACATCAAAGTCAACCGCAAGTATCTCCTCCCGGACACGCTTGATCATTATGGGTTGCCTTGGGAATGGGATCCGGTATGTACCACCCCCTTTTTACTCTCAGTGACACGCTGCGCCTTGTCCTCTCCCCCCAACGACGCCAGTGTAGAGAGGGAGAGAGCACAGAAGAAGAAGAAGAAAAAAGGGTTCATGTGTGACCGATTGCGCCTGGTTTGCTTTCTTGCTAACTTCTTCCGTGCTTTTCCGGCACGGGTGGCAATGACACAGCGCGACGAGGAATTCATCATCATCAAGAAATACATCGATCACTCCCTGCAGGACGAGCTGTTCGAGCACACGCGCAAGATCAAGGAGCGGAAACTCATCACGGGCCCGTACATCAAGGAGACCAAGACGATCACGACGCTCACGCCCAACGACCACGGATTCGTGAAGAAGGGAGACAAATTGTACGTGGTTCGGGAGAAGAGCAAGAGCCGCAGTCCCTCTGGGAAGCGGACGAGCTGGATGTTTACTTGAGACGCCAGCGCCCGAGAGAGAGAGAAATTCGAGGCGAGTGCGAACTACAGGGTGGATTGGTGGAATGGGAATGAGGTTTGCCATCTCCCGATGGTGGTGTGTGATGAATTAGGATGATGCTCGTGCTACGGCCGCTGATGACGGTTCCTATGATGACGGCAAAGACCACAGATGGTCTCCAGGGTTGGGTCGTGCGACTCAATGCTTGCCAATGAAAGGACGAAGTAATGACCATAGACCCTCTTGCCTTGTCTGTTGGTATTGCGGGTTTGGAGATTGGTTTAGGGGAGGCTGTGTTTGGGTCTCAACAGGGACGATGATGTTATTTATGTACGTCCTCTTTCTCCTCAGATATTGACGATCCCATTATCATTAGGTTTTCCTTTTGTGGAAATGCAGAATAGCACCACCAACAACAAGAATACATGGAGAGTAGCGAGCCTCGGAGATGCAGAAGCCGGTTAGTAGTACCACGAGTAACAATAGTAGCAGTACTGTAGCAGTACACAATGGGATGGATGTACGTAGGTGAATGCGGCTCTTTCTCGCCATTTTCCCGAACCCGAGCAGCAAGGGCTGCTTGTGTTCTGCGGCGGTCCTACCCCTTTCCCTCCCCGGATAGCGTGTTCTCGTCAGCAACGGGGCAGGAAGTAACTATGTAATTAGTTGGTGGGGAGGGGGGTTCGTCGCCAACGGTGCTCCAGCTATTCTTCAAAAAGACGAGCGAGGGGCTAGAGCCGGTGGATTGCCGAAGTCCCCTCCCCGACATAGGTACATATGGGTTTGCGAGTGGAAGTGGCTTTCGGGCGGGTTATACCGGGGAGGTAGGAGGGAATTTTAATTGTGAAGTATCCCCCGTCTTGGAGTACCACGAGAAGGGATCCACGATGTACCTCGAAGACTAGAGGTGAAGATACTTCGAGGTAAGTACTTGTACAATGGAAACCCTGCCGACCTTCTGTACCTACGGTACAGAAGGTAGTCATCGCGGTGGCAAACGCCGGGCCCCCCAAACCTAAGGGAGGGCTCGGTAAGAAGAGAGCCACTAAGAGAGTGTGGCAAAAGAGTTGTGCGTTTGCCCATTCCCAGGATCAGGATCGAGGTACATCGTGCTGTGGCTTGTTGTCGTATCGTGCATATGCCAAAGTTCCGAGAAGGAAAAGCACTCGCAAAAGAGGCGAGTGATGAGATTAGGATCAAGCTGTATAATTTCGGGTTGGAGGTTTGGTGGCTGAGAGGCGGCAAGACAAAGCAAGGAAGGACGTGGGTGGGAAGGGTAAAATGTCCTGAACCTGACTGCCCTGCTTTTCTCCTCGCTCCAATAACAACGACGACAAGCACGGTCATCCATGCCCAAGAGGTGCTAACGGGAAGTCCTAGAGGAGGCCGTGCAGGAAAGCTGAACCCAGAGAATATGGAGGAGGAGCTGGGGGGGGGGAGGGTGTGGGTTCGCCAGGTTTACTGGATTTCGCCCAGAGTAAGGGCTGCATCTTGTCTCCCCATGCTAGGTGGTACGTACCTTTGTGGATCTTGGACCATAAGAATAGGCCTGGGCATGATTGGGGGAAAGGGAGATAATAGCGGGCGACAAGGTGGATGTGGAGCTGGACCTCGAACATCTCCGTCTCTCGTCTCTCGTCTCTCGTCTCTTGTCGCTCGTGGGCGTCTGGGCCTTTGGCCTCCCTCCTCCTCAGCTTTCACCTGCGCTGGCTCCGTGCTTGAGACAGACTTCCGTTCCCATCTGCACTGTTCGTGAGAGATGGAAAACCCCCGCTAGAATAAATCTCAGGTAGAACCAGGATGAGACATACACAGAAACAAATCCATAACACGTATACTATACTTGATATCCAACCCACCCTTTCTCAGTCATTCCCCTTCTTTACAACCTAGAGGAAGGGAGTCTGAGGGGCACCTCATTCGCCACCACAGCGGCTGCCTCGAGGTTGGGTACCAGAGTACTCGTGACCCGTAACTTGTTCATGCATTTCACTCGAGAAAGAAAGGGAGGGAGGGGGGAATTGTGCATAGATAGCTCGCAGCGAGGGAAAGCTTGGTAGACAGCAATACCCCACCTGAGTGGCGATTTTCACACTGCTGGGACATGAACTCCAGCTCACATTGCCTTGCTGGGTAGCCAAATATCCCGATCGGGAGAGCTCCATGGGTAGAGGGGGGACCAGGGCTGGGGGAGGGAGGGAGGGAGGGACCGACCTTGTCGTGTACCGAGTAATAGTAGCTTAGGAGCAAACGCAAACGGCCCATGGGAGGCGGAAAGGGGAAAAGAAGGGGGGGGGGGGTGGAGAGGAAAGGAGCTTGCTCCGAGGGTGAGTGGGTGAGGGTCATCTGCATGGCCTGTCTGCATGCCTTCATGCATGCTTAGTTAGTTTAGGGAGGGAGGAGTTCCAGGATGGCACGGGGTGGGTGAGATGGGGTAGATGGGACAAGCACAAAGCCCGAGCCAGAACCAGAGACAGGCGGTGGTGGCAAATTGCGAAGAGAGAGGGATGAAGACGAAAGATGGGATTGGATGTGTGTTTGTGTGTGAGAAAGAGACAAGGCCCAAGCACCAGCTGGATACACGGTACACGTTCCCCGACGGTTTTCACGGCTCTGCTCTCCGTCTGACTCCACCGCGACTTATTATACCGAGTACAGAGCACAAAACAGAAAATTGTGGTGCTTGGGGCGAGAGAAGAACATAGGATTGTTCGGTGTTCGTAACTCATCATTTTTGTCTGATTATTGCTTGCCCGGTCTGGGTCTGGGTATCTGCTGCAGAGTTCAAGGAAAGGAAAAGCAGGCAAGGCTATCCGTGTCGGCCCTCTCTCTGGTAAATGGCCGAATCAAGGCGTGTAGATGCCATCAAGATCGGACCCATATGATCATCGTATTCTTTCCATACATGTCCCACATGCTCTGATCTCTGCCCCATTTCCTTGTGTGTGCCATGCTTCTCAGCTTCTTAGATGGCATGCCCTTGTGTCATGGCAGGATGATGTGCCAAATCCGGTCGGTTGAGCTCAGGACTCATAGCATATCGCTCACTCTTGGGGCTTTGGCTGTACTTGGAGCTGGCGGCACCGGGGCTCTGGGCGGCGCGGGTCAGGGACTGGTCTTGGGGGAAAGGACTGGATATGGCCAGGTGCATCTTGGGCGTCTCGGCCATGTTGGCACGGTCCGTATTTTTGCGGGAGTAGTACGAGGGCAGGGAATCTCGCTTGCCCAGGAAAAAGGATCGATAATGGCTTTTTCGACTCGGTGGTTTCGGGGTAGAGGCTTCCACATCTGCTTTGTGCGATGCGACCGCCCCGTGGGACCGGACTTGTCGAGCCGTGAGATGTGCTTTGGTATCTCTGAAGATATAGCTCTGCGATGATGATGTCAGAATAGTCTGCCTCTGTGAATCATTGACGGCCGATTCCACTCACTGCAGAGAGGTTGATAAAGCCCATCACAAACACAATGATGCCTGCAGCAATCACCAGCCGCCAGAATGGCAGACCGAGACTTTGCTGACTGGTGGCTTGCTTGTTGAGGTTCCCCAGAATACTATTCCCCAGGAAGATCATGGCAAGCCCCAGCATGACGAAGCTTGATCGGGTGCTGAAAAGAGGCCAATTTCTGGCGATATAGGACTTGAACAGAGACAGCTCGGTGAGGATGAGGAATCCTGGAACCTCTTAGCACATTATCCCAACAGCCACATCGCAGTGCGGACACTCACCACTCATGACGACGCGCAGAACGTGCTCGCAGGCGTCGAAAAAGAAAAACTTTGACACAATGAAGGTCTTGACCAGCATGACCGAACTCGCCGCAATGACGGCTAACAGGGCAATTATGTTCATCGCTCGGATGATGTTTAGCACGACGTAGCCGGCGCCGGCCAGGGTTTTGCCAAAAAAGCGCATATTGCAGGATGAAATGTTTGATTAAGGCGACTGGGATTGCTTGGTGTAGATTTTGGGACGAAATGACGATTATTGCGGAGAATGGGGTATCACGGGTAGGAGAAGAAGACAAGTATTGGTATTCGAAGGCTCGATTAACTGGCTCAAACGCTTGGATGAATAGGACAATAGGATGGCAGCAGGCTATTGAGCAGCCAGAGCATCAATAGAAGTGAATGTACATGAGAAAAAGAGGAGTGGTGACCAACACCAGAGGAGGGAGCGGCAGAAATGAATAATACTTTAACAGTCTCTTCTGATCTTCAACCCATTGGCCTTTTGGAGGGAGAGAGACAGAGTCTCAGAGTTGCCATTGTCATAAGCGCGAGCGCGAGATGAAGCTGTTGTATATGGGCTGAATAACTCACGGGAAGGACGTGTCCATTGGCCAGAGGGCGTGTGCCGTCTGAGAAGGCTTCGAGCTCAGTTTCAGAAAGGAAGACCCTCCTACCTGTGGCGTTATCCCAAGAAAACAAGTGAACTGATGCCCGATTCGGTCCAAAATCATGCAGCTTGCAACAGATTCCATGTCTTCCTCAGGCTGGGGAGAGGGGAGCAGAAAGAGTGGCTGTGGTTGAACGACGGTTCAGGGTCGGAAGAACCTGAAACGCACTTGGGGGACTGTTTCCTTTTTTGCTGCCCTTGACGCCGAGAACATTTTCAAGTGTGCCACAGCCTTTATGTCGCATTTTTTAGGTGCAGTCTGCCGCCGATCAGACAAGGAGGACGGTCACTGACGTGAAGTGCAGAGAGTCAAGATGAGAGAGACAAATAAGACAAAGAAATGTGCCACGGTGCTTATTGTTATGGCACTATGGCACTAAGCTGCTTACATAAGACCGCAGTTCGGATGCGCGGTTTCTTTTTACCGAAAACTGCGGCTCTCTGCGAGGCTGATCTGACTTTCTCTCTCCTTGTCTTTCTCTCCCCAGCCAACAATCCTCACTGATATTTAGCAACAAGATACGACCTCATTCACACGAACTCCGGACCAAGCCGCCGTTCAGACACTCGACCCTCTCCAACCTCGCACAGCCATGACTCGAGGAAACCAGAGAGAAAAGGCTCGCGAGAAGAACCTAAAGGAACAGTCCGGACAGGTTCGAACGGCCCTCCCTTGCAGAATTGCATCTCTCTAGAGTGCACGAAGGGCTAGAGAGCCATTTGGACGTGGGCTAATGTTTCTATATCCGGCCACAGAAAAAGAAGAATACACAGTCCGGCACCGAATTTCAGCGGACGAAAGAGGCGCAAGCGGCCATCATGCGAGAGAAACAAGCAAAAGGTGGGCTTTTACCGACCTGGCATTTCGGTTTTGCGATACGTCTGGCTGACAGGTGCGACAGCGGCAGCCAAAAAGTCCGAAACGGAGTCGAAGAGTAAATGACCCGGTCGGAGGCTGGGAGGAAGAGCTGCTTGGAACCGCGACTCGATAAGAGTGCAAGAGCTCGTCTTTCCCATGCCCACCACGACTTGGACGGCTTAGCGAGGAGTTTATGCAGAGGTGCATTTGGCGCAGCGTGTTTGGAAATTGAAGTTGCTGTGCAGTTGGGCAGCGCTCCCGCATTTTGTCCAGCGTCAATCATTCCACCAAGCGAAGAATAACTCGATATATCTACTGTATTCTCTGCTATGTATCGTGCAACCTTCTCGCGTAGATCGATCCCGACCCGTAGTTCAAGAAAGAGACCTCCGTAAGCCTTGGTGCTAGGGACAGTCTGGTCGACACCCGGAATATTGTTTTTCCGTATGACCCCGTAATCGATCTGGAACCACATTAATATTGACAACCAGAAACCTCAATATATCGATGTAGTCGGTCATACAACTCGACAGAGACTCACGACCGCTGTCTCAATATCCAATTTCCCCTAGTATGAAGACGCTCGACTATTCTTCTTCGGAGCAATGACACTGTGGAGCAGGTAAGTCCAGTTCCCAGGCCTTCCTCATCTTACCCCTTGACTTGATTCATCCATTCCTTCATCCTCCTTTGCCGGGAGTTCCCAGCTCTCGTCACCTCGCCGTCTAGACCACAGAAAAGAAGTCAAGATGAATAACAACTCCCTCTCGAACCGTTGGAGAACAACAGCGTCAAGCCATTCTGGCCTCTCTTCTTCACATTCGTCCTCCCTCGCGCGATCAACTACTACCGCGCCCTGAAGACCGCCTACCGCACCGGGTCGCCGCCGCGCCCCCTCCCGAAGCGGACCAGCCGCGGGCTGAACGTGCTGTTCGCGTCGATATGTGTCTTCCTCTACGCCTCGTGGCCCTTGAAGGGTGACCTCGCGGACCACAACGTGTTCGTGGTCACCCAGTCGCGGCTGACAGTGCCGACCGACGTGCTCTTCGAGAGGCTGGCGCTGTTGCGCGAGAATCGAGTCCTCACCGCCACCGACGAGGCGTTGCGGGCGAAATTGACTTCTCCGGCGTACGTTTCTCCCACTCATTCTCTGTCGCAATGGCAACACGCCCCCTACCGTTGCTAAATCCTTAATTTCGTGGAGGAAAACGGGACTTTTACCCGATCATGAATCTAACCACATTGTGATATCAACAGCCTCCGTCAACTCTACCTGCGATTCGGGCCTTCCACGCTGCGAGACTGCCCCTTCTGCCACCCGGACGACCCGCTGTCGTACGTGCTGTACCACCTGCCGACCAACGTCGTGCTGCCACACCTCTTCCACATCTGCTGCCTGGGCTTAGCGACCTCGGAGACCGTGGCGGGCTACGAGGCATCGACGTGGCGGCGCACGGCGATTCTGACGGGCCTGGTCGTCGCGGCCACCGACCTGTTCCTGACGGCGACGTACACACCGCCCGTGGCAACCAGCACGACCGCGCCGGGGGGGACGTTCTGGCTCGCGAGCACGCTGCGGTACCTGAGTCTGTGCACGTTCGACGGGGTCGTGGCGCTGTGCATCTACGCCGCCGCCACGGGACGGTTCTCCTTCCTCTTCCCGGGAGCCGCCGGCGTTGGCCCCGAATTGGACGGTGAACTCGCCCGGCGCCGGACCGACGAGCAGCTCGCCCAGGCCAACCGAGCGCTGCAGACGACCGCGATGAACCTGCGCGGGTACACGATCGCGCGCAACGCCGTGGTGCGCAACCCGGCCCTCAAGGACCGCGACGACGCCTACTGGCGCTCCGTGGTCGCCGTGGACCCGGCCATCACCGACGACATCATGTCCGAGGACGAGGACGTGCAGGCTGCCGTGGCGCGGGCGTATGGCACCGGCGCCATCAACATCGCCACTGTGAGGAGGGAGGCTGAGGAGTTTGTCGGGCGTGCGACGCGAGCTTTGGATGCTCCCACTCCGACCCGGAGCAGATAGATAGATGGATTGGGGCATTCGATTGATAGCAACGTGAATGAAGGCACAAATTGAAATCACACAGCTTGATTCACTGACTGGCATGAACTTCACAGCGTCATCGCATCATCATCATCGTTCGCATCTATATACATACACAAGATCAGACCTTCCGAGTATCAGTCCTCGGGCTCATCCTTGATGACAATAGCGTCCTCATCGCTCTTTTCTTGCTTGATAAAGTCCTTCTCGAACACCCTCCTTCCGTCCCGGCCCATCACTTCAGTGGCGAACACCACCGTCTCCACGCCCGCAGGAACACGCTCCTCGTCGCCCTCGGGCAGGGCGTCAACATCGATTTCCATGCCGAGCAGGGACTTCAGAATCACTTCTGCGCCCGCTTTGCTCATCACCATGTTCTTCTCCTTGCACCGCTCGTCGCAAATACATTCCGTACAGCCCTCGAGACAGTGACACGCCGCAACCCGTGAAACGGCGCGTTCGAGCAGGATATCGATGAATTCGAATGCCTTGGCCGCTATTCCGGAGCCCGCGGGTCCGCCCTTGGCATCGTAAAAGGTCAACCTCGCAGGCCTCTTCCGCTGAGTCTCCTTCTTTGCAAACTCTTTCAGCGCGTTCTTGCACTCTGTTCGCACGTCGCCGGGCATGCTGACTACAAACTGTGGCATAAGAGACATCAATGCATGCTCTGCTGCATGGATACCTGCCGCAAGATTCAAACGTTTATCCTTCAGGATCTGCAGCGCGTATTTCGGGACATCCAACCAGAGCCCTTTGGAATAGATGATAATTGGTGGATTATCGACGGCGACGGCGTCGAGAATCCGGCCCTTCTGGTCGACTTTGAAAAATCCAAACACCACAGCGTGCACTTTGATACGGCCGAAATATGCTTTGGTGAGGGAGTTGGCTGATACTCGACGGACCTGCTCAGTTTCGATCGGATCCACGTCTGTGTAGTCTCTTTGCTGCGTAGTCCAGTCCACCTTGACGAGTTGGACTCGGGCGATTTTGCGTTCGGGGGAGAACTCTTTCACCATGTACGTCCGTCCCTGATGCAGGAATATGCCTCCATCATACAAAGTAAAGAAGGCTCGGGAAGCCTCGACTTCTTCAAGAACCACATTGCGGCCATGTGTGATATCGACGACGGCAAAGTGATTATCCTCGGTATCTCTGATGGGGACACATCGAGAGGGCAGCGGTCGAAACCTCTCATTGCAGTGATAGAACCCCATTGGGTCATACGACAACCGTTCCGTGCATATCTCAGGCAACATCTTGCCCAGGAACTTCTCATCTTCATCCGCCTTGATGGGCATTTCAAAGGCGGCGCACTGTATATGCCCTTCCACCACCAATTCGTTCTGCAGGTCCACCTGGAGTTCACAATTCGGCTTGGTGAAGATCTCATCGGGGTTCTGCATGTAGTGTTGGTCCACGGCAAAACAGTCACCAACAAGAACAGAGAGTGAGTCTCTATTCCGTCGACCGGCGCGGCCACTCTGCTGTCTCAGGTTGGCAATAGTGTAGGGGAAACCCATCGTAACAACAGCATCGAGGGATCCGATGTCGACTCCCAGCTCCAGAGCAGTGGTAGCAATGATTCCCATGAGCTTGCCACCAAACATCTCCGACTCTATTCGCCGCCGGTCTTGAGCAGAGTATCCTCCACGATAGCCCATAACCAAAGCGGCACACTCGGGTCTCTCGAGGTTGATAAACTCGGCCTTGACGGCCGCAAGCAGGACCTCGCATTGCTTCCGTACGCGGCAAAACGCAATCGTTCGAACACCCCGTAGGATGAGGTTGCAGATCAACCTCGCCGTCTCTGCAAATGCATCACCACGGCCTGATGACGGGTCGCCCGGATCCTTGTATGGTGTGTTCCAACAGATAAACTCCTTCCTGCCAGACGGAGAACCATCAAAATCCGTCAACCTAACTTTGTCGACGCCGAATATCGTCTTCATATGCTCTTCCGGATTGGCCACTGTCGCAGAACACGAAATGAACTTCACCTTGCGGTTTCCCACCGCGGCACATATTCGCCGCAATCTGCGCATGATGAATGCCACATGAGCACCAAATAACCCGTTGTATACGTGTAACTCGTCCACGACCACGTATTTCAGGTTCCGAAGGAACTCTCGCCATCCACTCTCTTGGGGGAGAATAGTAATGTGTAACATGTCCGGGTTGGTGAAGATAATACGGCCTTCATCTCGAATCTGGTTGCGCTCCCGCATGGGTGTATCGCCGTCAAATGTCTCCACAATCGTGTTCTCCAAGCCTGGAATGTACTTCAGGAGCTCTTTCATGCTTCTGCGCTGGTCTTGCGCAAGCGCTTTCGTGGGAAAAATATACAGCCCGCGACTTTCCGGATCCTTTTCGAGCTCGTGGAGCATAGGAATTTGATAGATTAGCGATTTTCCCGAGCTGGTCGACGTGGACACGATTACATTGTGGCCCTCGTGCAGGTTGTTGATGGCTTCAGCTTGGTGCGAGTACAGCTGAGTTATACCTCTGCTGTTATACAGGGCATTCACCAGGTTTTGGGACAACTGAAAATTTAGGTCACCATATATGGCGGGCTGGGGATCGAACACACGATGTCCATCTGGAACAATTTGACCAGAATACCACTCGAGCTCACTTATCTCTTTGACAATGTCCGATATTGATTTACGCTCCTTCGGGATCGCTTTCCGCAGACGATCATCTGGGCCGGGTGTTGTGGGACGACTAGTGGAAGGGTAGGGCATATACTGCTGTTTTAAGTCCATCATCTTTTCGACCGGGTCTACTTGCTCGTCGGCACATTGATTGAGAAAGGCATTGATGGCAGATGTGCACTTGGCATTGCGCTTTTCAATGAGATTGAGCATCGATTTCTGACTGAAGACAGGTATTTTGAGATCTTCGTTGCGTAACTTTTGGGTGGCTTTTGTGGGCTGCCCTGTCTTGGGATCGACAACCTGTCTTTTCAGGTCGCCATCCACAAACTCGAACAAGAGAAGCTCTTTGGATGGCTCGGATTTGTTTCTTGGAGCACTCTCATCCTCTTCCAGGGACCGAAAATGATCGGCTCTGCCGCCTTTGACCCCATCCTCCTCGCCCATGAGTGTGACCATGAGGTGCTCTTCGTCGACATACGCAAAGTTGATCGCCCGGGGCAATAAGGTCTTGACCTGCGCCACGTCATCCTCGATCAACGGCTTCTTGATGTGGCCTTCCACCGCACTCTTGATATTGTCCCATGTGGTGGCAAAATGCTTTCGGGTGCAGCAAAATGTGTATACGATATTCAAAGCGCGGTGCAGTTGAGATAGATACTTGAAGTGATCCGGCCACGGTATGTCCGACTCAATCAAACTTGAGGACGAACTTCTTCGGCTTAGGGCGGGCTTTGCCGTGCCCTTCGTTCTTCTAGGCTTAGGACCTCCATCATGGGTCTTTGTGGGGACCGTCGTAGCCCCGACAATGGGAACGACGGCAGAATCAGTTGGCTGTGGTTCCTGATTTTTGGAAGTGCGTTTGCGTTTGCGATTGACGGGGATTTGAGAAACAGTGGCAGCCTGCAGCTTGGCCATAGAGTAGGGGTGCGGTGATCAGATCAGAGCACTATGGCTGAGATTTTGGAGATGACCAGGTTGTATGATCAAATCGTAGACCGTAGCATTGTGGCTTTGGCTCTTTCGCATTTTGGTGAGAATGAAAAGGAGCAAAGCGAGCAGACTTGATCTGGGCCAATCATGACGTATGCGCAAGCGTCGCGCTGGTAGCGTTCACTTTGACTGACACGCGAAGTCAGGTGACAGGTTTGTCCATTTGTTCTCCTGTACATAGGAATTGTGTGAATTAAGGGATGACTACAGAGGATCGAGTACGAGGTACCTAAGGTATTCCTTCCGCTTGCTCTTCGTCCAGCTTGTGACTTTTGACAACAACAAATCCGAGCAGGAAAGCGTGCTGATAGCTCATCCACCCGTGGAATTCACTCATACACCCAATGCTCCTTTGCACTGTCGTCAACGGTCCCACCATCCGCACACACGTTAGTTGTCATCCTTTGAACCCCTTTGTATTGACCAGGTCACGATATTCAGGCCGATATCCCCCTTAGCAATACTTCCCAAGAAACTTATGGTCGGATAAAGGAGGCGGAATGTAAAACCAATTGCCAACCTAGTCACCGCAGCCAATAATCCAAGACAATGATTGCGTTTCCAACTAGAGAGCATGGAAAGAGTTTGGAGGACGTGGGTGGTGTTGAGCGTGGAGTCCGCTGTGCAAAGCTCGTGTGTGTGTCTATGCGTACAACAAAAGACGATGTCATCTGCAAGCAGGTTTGCACCTCCGTTCTCCGCGGAACCTGTTTCGCGTCTACTGGTATTCCTTGAGCGCAGCGCCCCTCGTCTCTGGTGGACGATGTCATCTGCAAGCAAGTTTGCACCTCCGTTCTCCGCGGAGCCTGTTTCGCGCGTTTATTGGGATTTCTTAAACGCAGCGCCCCCCGTCTCTGTTGGCATGGGAGGAAGCAGAATAGGCATGTTGACCGTGGGGTGGAGAGCAGCTCGCATTTGGTTGTACGCCGGTACGCCAGGAGCTGCCGGTGCAAGTTGCTGCGGTTGTGCATCAAAACGAGGTTGATGCCGTTCCTGGTTCAGTTGTGCTCGTCTATGAAGGTCAACCAATTGTCGAAGACGTTCCCTTGGATTCATTGGTGGTTGTCCCTCTTGTACACGTGTGCGTTGAATTCCGGCCAGGATATCCTCGAGCTCACGATCTGGGCGCAGAGCTTGGAGACGTTCGACACGGTCCTGTAAGAAGCGAAGGTGTGTCTGTGCAGGATTGAGACGGCCAGCCCGATTATTCAAGTCTCGCAGGAACACGTCGGCGGCGGGATGATTTAGCAAGGCTGAAGATGGAGAGCGTTTACTGGGTTGGCCAGTATCAATGCGCAACTTGGTTTCATCAAGCTCTGCATCCATGGCTTTGGCTTTGCTGATAGCGTCTTTTTCTGCCTCGTTCGCTTCTTTTTCGTGTCGATTGATTCCATTTTTGTCATACAGGGTACATTCACCCCCGAAATGGGAGTAAGAATCGCCGGGAGCATGCGTTATGTCGGCATTGCAGACATAACACATGCGGCAGCTGCATCTGGCGCATGTCATTTTGTTGCACCCAAAGTCCTTGAGGATTTTGGCTTTGCATCTGGGACACGTTCGAATAATGGCTTCCGACCGGGCCTCTTCCACCAGATGTCTGGCGGACAAAATCTTGTCGCGACTGTTCTCCACACAGGACTTTGGAGCGTGGCTGTCCTTCTGACATCTCCTGCAGGTTGCGCGAGAACACTCTGGATTTTGGCAAAGGAAGATGGGTTCCTGTACCACATCCAGGCAAATCGCTTTGTATTCACAGCAGGGACACTGCTCGAGACCGTCAATATTGGCGGCCATGATCTCGGCTTGTTGCTTGTTGAGTTCCAGGCGGTCAAAGGTGGTGATCGGGACAGCCTTCCCAACATCTTCGTGAGAAAGCTCCGCGGTACAGCCACCAGCGTCCATACAGCACATTTCATATCTCATCATCCCAATCTGATTGTCAGCCTGGCCTTCGACACAGGTGAAGCAGAAGAAATGCGGAACATCTGCCATACAAGGGACAATGCGGTTAAGAGGAGTTTCCATGTCGAAGCAGCACTGGCATTCCACGATGGCGCCGGTCTTGACGTGTTCTGCCAGGTTTAAAGCCTCAGCCTCATCCTTGGCCCTCTTGACCGCGTACTTGATTGCCTCGCGGGCGACAAATTGCTTGGCTGCCTGCAGTTCGTTGACTCTGTTGGCGTACTCTTCCGGGATGCGGCGGTCGCCTGGTAACAGTTTGTACTTTTTTTCGAGGTCAGCTTTTGATTTGACGCGGCGCGTGTAGGGTCTGGGCTCGAGCGAATAATACTGGTCTTCTTGTCCCTGGATAGTGACATATGAGTCGAAGATGGAATTTGTTTGCCCTACCACTTGGGTGATGTAATGAGAAGGGACATTCACGAAATGCTTTCCAAGCAGAATGATGGCATCTTTCGTGTACATCTGGTCCTTTGGAAGGTTTCTGTCCCAGGTGATGGTGATACCAGTACCGTCATCGGCAGCTCCCTTACCAGCGGCCATCGAATTGGTAGGACGTTGTGTTGGATAGGATTGCATCTCCAAGATCTCGGTTATGATGCGTGTGGCAAGGGGCGGGGCCCCAGTGTCGATAATCTCCTGGTCATGTTCGTCGAAATATTGGGGCTGTGGAGGAGCATCTTGAATCTTCTTTTCGACATATGCGCGTTCTATGTCCGGAAAGACCTCGATAACACTAGCAAGGCACCTCTTTTCGAACGCGGTCTTCCCATCGCCCGCTGTTTCGTCGTCGCCTGAATCGGAATCCGAGTCATGGATGATGTACGCAGCCCGGAATGCCTGCCGTAACTTCGCCGCTTTTTTCTCCAGCTTGAAAGCCTGCTCTGCATCCCACTTATTACACAGCTCCTGCTGTCCTTCCACAGTGCCAAGTACAACGGGAAAGCGCTCGTACCCTGGCCCTCGGTACATTGTGAGGCCAACCCGGCCGTCGACGTAGTACGGTGGATGGTGCGCTGCTTTCTTCTTATTCTTCTTCTCAGACTTTGCGTAATGTTGTCGGGCAGTGTTCGCACTAAAAACAGCATTGCCTGGTTTGGACGCAGTACCATCTCGCTTGGGTCGCTCAGGCAGTGGCAAACCATGGCCAACATCTGTGCTATGCGGCCCAGTCAGAGCATGAGAGGAGAGCAGATTTGCACGGCGCTTTCCAGTTTCCGTGGCCTGTATCTGTGGTGAGGAGGTCAAGGGGCTACCGGGCGTCCATGTTCGCTTGAGGGTTCGGGCAGGAAGAGCAAGACGAGGCTCGAGCGCAAACTCCGTATCCGAGACATCAGCGTCACTAGCCGAGGAGACTGTTGAGGCTCTTCTTGGTGGCTTTCGGCGAAAAGAAGGTCGAGGAGGCGAGAATCGAGGAGGTGGATCAGTATCAGATTCATCGTCGGAGATCTCGACAATAACTGTTTCGTCCCGATCTTTCGTGTCCGAAGGACGAGGTGGGGATCGGTATATCACAGTGGAGTCTAGATTGCGACGGTCGACGGGGATGGCTTCCAGCCTAGAAGGTTTAAAGGTTAGTGTCCAGATGTAGGAAGATGTATTCAGTCTTTACACTAAAGGGGCGTTTTGACAGGTCATGTTCCATGGCAGATCACTTCCAAGGACACAAGGCACTTGAACGGAGGATACTTGTGAACGCTGGGGAGGACCGCGACAGTTGCTTACCTAGGGGTCATTGGTAGATAGGACATGCTGACGGCGACTCATGAGGTTGTGGTCAACCCAGGTCTCTGATGCAGGGAGGCTTGGAATATCTGCGGGTTTGGAGTTAGTCAAGGTTGACAGGTCATTCTGGGGAGAGCTGCCTTCTCTCGTATCCCGCAATGGTCTGCTGCTCCAACCTGAATTTCAGGCAGACGTCTGTGACCCGGTCCTCTTGGGTAATGGCACGACGAAAGAAGTGACAAGCTGCCGCTGCCGGCGCGACTTCAAGTGATCGAGGCGACGACGGCCAGTCGCGGTGATCAAGCTTTGGAGAATGAAAAATGGGTGAGAACATGAAAGGATGAAGGCAAGAGACAACAAAAGTACAAGAGCAAGAGACGCGGCAGAAAAGAACCGGTGAGGCAGAAAATCTAATAGCAAAGAGTCTTGTATTGTTTATCTGGTTCTTGTGCAGATCCAACATGGGTCGACTGACCGGCACGGGTGAGGTCGAACTGGGTAATGCACTAATATCCCCAGGCACCCACCAGATGTGTAGAATTGGATTGGACCAGGTGACGCGGTAGTAGGTGCTGGTCGCACTGCATTCCATTGGAACATGAGGTTGCAGATGTTATGTATAGCAGGTGACGCAAGGAGGAGTGGAACTCAGAGGCGCCAAACAAAGAGAGAGAGAGGAGTATCAGAGTCCCTGCGTCCTGCTACCTTTTTTGAGATCAGTATTCGAAGCAAGGCGGAGAAGGCATCTATCTCTCTTTACCTCTTTCGCGTCTCCTTTTCTCAAGAAGAGGCTTGACGGGCCTTTCTCGGTTAATTCCATCGGGCGCACTTTGCTCTCACACATCTTTGCACCACTGGCGCCTCAACCCCCAATATCAAGACACTTCTTTGGCATTTGCTAAACCCCAGATCGATACTGGCTACGGTCCTGGCAACCGAACGAATTTTAATTTGCAGTGCTTGCTGCTTGTCCCCCAAAAGGCATGACACCGTTGCTTCTCACCGTAGGTTGATGCGCCTTGTGACTCGACGCCATGAAAACTTTCCCCCCCCCAGCTCTTCTACGTCCTCCACCATGACTTACCTCGTTGTTTTGCTCATTAGCATAGGCATTGTTAGACGTCAGGCATCATGGCTTCAGCAACAAAATACCAAACTGCAACTAGCTCGGCCTCAATACCGCCCGCTCTCGACCCTGCTTCTCAACCATCAGCTCAGTCCTCAGATCTGAGGCTTGTGCCTGCCACGCCTCTCGAATATGTCCAGACTGCATACCTAAACTCCGAAGAATGGCAAGGACCGCTTACCATGGAGCAATACCTAGAACGCGAAGTCGTCCTTCAAGCAGTCGAATTGACAAGAGACGGTCGTATAACAGGGTGGATTTTGACGTCTGACTCTCTACCCCCGAACCCCGATGGTTCGCGACCTATACTTGCATGTTGTGAGAGTCTTCTAGTTGAAGCATACGTGGCCAAGGATGGCATGGTGCGGCAAACCCAGGCACATGGCATCGCCTCGGTTTATACTCGTCCAGAGTATCGCGGAAAAGGATATGCTGGCAGAATGATGGCAGAGCTGGGGAAAACTTTGGAGTCCTGGCAGGCAGCAACTGGTGCCAGGAATCCCTTCTCGGTTCTATACTCTGATATCGGCCAGAAGTTCTACGCCAGATTCGGCTGGAAGGTATTCCCCAGTAACCACATCCATCTCACTACGATAGACCAAACCGCGTACAATGCAGCCGCTTCCGGGTTGCCCTCTGTCAAGGATTTAACGACGGAAGATTTGAAGCGTATTCCCATTGTTGAATACCTTGAGCATCGCTTACATATTATATCCAAGACGACACCTAGCATCAATCATGTTGCCATCCGCCCTGATATTGAACATTTTGAATGGCACTTTGCCCGAGAGGAGTTCCACACAAAGGTCTTGAATAAGGGTTTCCCCAACATCAAGGGTGCAATCCATCAAGACACCGGGCTAGCTCTGATTTGGTGCCGCGTTTACGCCGCCAAGGAGTCAGAGTGGCAACTACATATCCTCCATACTGTTATCCCACCCTCGCTGGAGAATTCAGAAGATGCACAACCTGCAATGTCCGCGCTGCTCTTGAGAGCACAGCTAGAAGCACAGCGATGGGAGATGGCTGCCGGTTTGGAGGTCTGGGATCCCTTGGAAATGGTGGTTGCTGCTTCTCAGAGGCTGAGGACAGAAGAGCAGGGTAGGGTGGAGATCATTACCCGCGATACCGAGCATTTGTGCAGTCTTAGATGGGCTGAGGGATCGGATGATGAAGTCTTTTGGCTCGCCAAGGAGAAATACGCCTGGTGCTGAAGGGCGAGGCTTTGAAAACGCGTAGCTCGACCTCGCCTTCCTTGTGAGTGTTGGAGCGGATGCGGATTTCCTGGTACCGACCTACACCGAGGTGAGTTCAAGCAACGTGTTTGCTTATGACACCCGCCACTGGCATCGGCGATGGCACCCGCAAACGGAGACTCCAAACTTCGTTCTCGATATAGAGTGAACCACACAGCCACAGACCTTTCACCCTTGGACCTATCGTCCCATTACACTACATGTTCATGTCCAAGCGTACTTGCGCCTGGTATCGCGGTGGCTTTTCGGCTGTGTCGCACTTTGCCTGATATCGCTGCCCGTCGTGTTTTCGCAATATTAGGTGAAGCTTTTACTAGCATGAGGACACCTGGTGCCCACGAATGAGAAAGTTCTCGTTTCCTGCCCGCATTATCACAAGCCACCACGTCGATTTGCATCCCGTGGCGGGGAGGAACATTACTCGAATGTCCCCTCAGATCGTTCCAACAAGGGCTGGCACCAAGGGATGAGGCGCAAGGGACCCTGTTTGTCGCACTTAGCTCATATAGAGATGCGAATAAAGATGCTCCGAGAGTGTGGCGCCTGAGGTGCGGAAGATGGGCGGTGTTCACGCAGCTCTCGTAACTGCAAAAGGACCTACTGTAGGTATGCAAATGCATCTGAACTCTGCCGCTTTCTGCATAACCCTATTTCCCTTCTCTTTTTCTTCCGTCCACTCTCCCCTGCTTTGATTTTTGCTTGCACCGGTGCGAAAGTGCGTCCTTGTTCCCTCACGCCAGAAAGTACCCGTACGTCGGACTTTTCGCCGTGCTCGTGTAACTATAGTCTGTGTTGCCGGATTAGGGGTATGGGAAAGCTAGGCAAACTCCAGAAACGTGACGAGCAAGTATTGGGTAGTTCGTAGATGATCTAGGTTGTGTATTGTTCAGGGGAGGCTGAGAATTCGGCGCCATCAGTTCGAGGAGGGGCATCGACGAATATGCGGGAGACAATCTTGCTCAGGACTTGCCATGTCCAGCACTCGTAACGACACGGCGTCTGTCCACAAAGTGCCTAAAGCTGCGCTGCCGAAGCAGGTGTCGATGTCTCTGCACGTAACAACTCTGGGGATGTCGCCACGCACTGTCAATAGTCGCCTCAAGGATTTCGGCTGGAATACATTTTCTGTTAATCATGTCTCGTTGCAGGGACTGCTGGGGAAGAGCATCCCCTTGAAGCAAACACAAGGTATAGCTGGATCAAATCGGCCATACAGGAGTACAGTAAGGCACATTGAAGGTAGATTGTTGAATTTGTAAGCGTCAGTATGGGAGATGCTAGGTTCCCTGGCAACTTGACCATGAAAGTCAGCTGGCCATTGACCGGTGGCGACGGCGTTATCTATTTCGACGTCTCTAATGTCCACGATGCACATGTCCCAAAGCGCCTAGCTGCAGTAATATATCGCCCTAGCACGCTTTACTTGTGTACTGCCGCAGTTGAGCACAGGATGATTGTGTAAGCCGCTTTCGAGGTCTCCTCTGTGACCTCGTTGAGGAAATGGGGCGATCGATGATACACCGTACACCACGTATGATGTAGGGGGGCTGGTGGGTATCCACCATCCGAGCAAGGCTAGATAGTGTACTTACAGCCTTGCGGCATGGGGTTGCGGCGATGGATTGCGATTGTGACGCCGACGACCATTGGATCCAAGCTTTGGAATAAATTATATTGTCTCGCTAAAGCCAAGCGGCGAGGGTTCCTTCACAAAGAATTGACACCGAGGCGGCTTTCTTTTTCCAGGTCCTGTTGTAGACCGAGGAGTAACAGTCTCAGGATAGGGACTTGTCAGCTGTGAACCACAGCCCAGTGGCCTGATAGAATCAGAATGGCGTTTCGTTGATCTCTCCCCATCGCTCAGTATCCATGTGAGAAAATAAGATTTCCCAGTTGCCGTTATCCGGCTTAGCACATCTGTCTGGCCACAACTCTTCTCTGCCGTCAAATCGCTCGCTCGCGGCGTTAGATCCCCGCAGACGAGTGCCTTGGAGATGGATTCCTGTACCGAGGTATACCTCCAAAAAGGGCTTTAACCAACACGTCTCGCGGCCAGGATCAGGGCGTAATAGACTGTAGGATTGCCGTTCGAGCGAGGTTTTGATTGTCAACGAACACATACCCTTGTTGTTCTTGCAGATCCCTATTTGGTGATAGATACATAGACCTCGAGAGCAGCACGATATAAAGTGGTTCCTTGAATCGCGTTCGCGACATCAGGTCGTCCGACTTTGACAGCACAGATCGATCACTTATTTTCTGCGACTCGATTCTTCAGACATGGCGCCTTCCAAAGACGGCGAAGGTTTCTCATCCAATTCCACAGGCGAAGTCTTCAACGAGCTAGGATGGATGGTCCAGAACGCCCGGGGATATAGGATCCTCGAAGAGCCATACGATACACCCCGCAAGATCAGGGTGATCCATATCGGCGCGGGCGCTTCAGGGATTACGCTGTCCAAGTTCATGGAAGAACGGTGTGACAATGTCGAGTTGCAGATATACGAGAAAAATAAGGACGTTGGTGGAACGTGGCTGGAGAATAGGTAAATGCTCGGACCGCTCACTCAACCTGGAGTGGTGTTTCTCGTTTCAGAGTGAAATGAAGAATTTGCTGACGAGGAGACTTCGGCCACAGATATCCTGGCTGTGCTTGCGATATTCCCTCCGCATCGTACCAATTCACCTGGGAGAGAAATCCGTACTGGTCCCAGTATTACTCGGAGTCGCCCGAGATATGGCAGTACTTCAAGAACGTGGTCGACAAGCACGGTTTGATGAAATACATTAAGCTCCAGCACACGGTGACCGGAGCGTACTGGCAACCTGAGCAGGGCGTCTGGGAAGTTCATGTGCGACAGCCCGATGGAACTGAGCTTGTGGATACGTGCCATGTCCTTGTTAATGGTGGTGGGATCCTAAAGTACATCTTTTCCCCCAATTTTCTGCTGTCTGTTGGTTGCTGATCTAGGTACTGCATATAGCAATTGGAAATGGCCGGACATCAAGGGTCTGCACTCATTCAAGGGCACTCTCGTGCACAGCGCTACTTGGGATCCCAAAATAGACCTGAACGGCAAGCGTGTCGCAGTCATCGGAATCGGCAGCAGTGGCATCCAGATCGTTTCGAAGATTGCATCGCAAGTCAAGCAATTATACACTTGGGTGAGATCGCCAACCTGGATCACCGCAGGATTTGCTCAGAGATTTGCTGGACCAAATGGAGCAAATTTTCATTGTAAGCGTCCTATATCTCGCTTTGGTGAAGGTGCGTTGCTGGCGTGCTAACGCTGAGGACAGATACCCCCGAACAACAAAAGAAATTTGCCGAGGACCCGGATTTATTCCTGAAATATTCGAAAATGATCGAGTCTGAACTAAACGTCAGGTTCAAATTCATCCTGAATGGGACCAAGGAGGCCGAGGCTGCCAGAGAAGTAAGATGAGTCTTAGCAAGAGAATTGCGCGACATACTGAACCGAGTTACCAGTTTGCTCGAAACGAAATGATGCAGAAGCTCGGTACAACGAAACCAGAACTTCTCGAGGCGATCATACCCAAGAATTTTGGTGTTGGATGCAGGAGGCCGACCGTGAGTTCGCTCCAGAGCATGCATGATCACCAACTGATTCGGAGTCTCCCAGCCTGGAAACGGCTTTCTCGAAGCGCTAAACCAAGACAATGTCCAAGTCTTCACCTCACAAATGAAAGAGATAAACTCCGATGGTTTCGTCGATAGTGAAGGCCAGCAACATGATGTGGACATTATCATCTGTGCCACAGGGTAAGCTCACAGTCGCGCAAGGCTTTCGACGAGTGACTTGTTGACAGGGCCTTGGCTTGATTCATTGGCTGACGGGTGCATGGCAGGTTCAACACAAGCTGGATTCCAAGGTTCCCTATTGAAGCGAACGGGCACAGCATTGCGAAGATGTGGGCCCAGGAAGCCACATCATACCTCTCCATTGGAGTTCCTCACAGTATGTACCCTCCAACATACTTGGCGGTGATGATCACTAATTCTTTCGAAGTGCCGAATTATTTCATGATGGGTGGACCGTACGGACCACTTGGGCACGGGTCTTTCCTGCCCATCATTGAGACGCTTGCGGGCAATGTCATCCAGGTCATTAAAAAGATGCAAAAGGACCGTATCAAGAGCCTGACGCCCAAACCTGAGATAGCGGAGCAGTTTAGAGAGCACGCACAGTTGTTCCTGAAGAGAACAGCTTGGACCTCAGTGGGTGTCCCTCAAATCTATCTCAAAGCAAGGATACTGATGTTTTTCGTACTATAGGGATGCAGTTCTTGGTTCAAGCAAGGCAGAATCGACGGTCCGCTGCCAATGTTCCCCGCTTCTCGACTGGTGTATATGGATCTGCTGGCGACTCCGAGGTTCGAGGACTACCAGATCGAATATATGAACTCATTGAACATGTTTGAGTTCCTGGGTAATGGCTTTGCCACTCGAGAGTTTGATGGTCGCGACCTGTCGTACTACTTGGGGCTGTTGAACGGCGACGATCACCAAATCGACCTCGAAGGAGAAATCCATGACGATCTCGCGGCACTGAATCTGATACAATAGCGAGAGTGAAGAGTCTGGACGAAATATTAGTGCAATGAGAGAAGCAGCAGATAGAAACAACTACCAAGACGGTGTTGGAAATGTTGGAAGCGCATGGAATTACCCAAGCCCTGTACTGTACCGTAGTGCCTCCGTACGGTGGGCCATATGACCCAACACGCGTTTCTGATTTCTCGGTTTCAGCCGCAAATCTTCCATTTTATCACTCTTTCCAACTGTTCAGCCTCACACCCTTGCCCCGCCTGACGATAGCGGAATAACCGAATACGGCGTATGCAACGGAGAGCTCAGAACCTGGTCACGGAAAACGCAGCAATATACTTGATTGGCCCTGTCTCAAGTCCTACGCAAGTCCTTAGAATGGCCCCCTTGCCTTCTGCCGTGTCTCCACAGGAGTTAGCCTTGCCATTTGTTCTCTTTTCAAGCAAATGTTCCAGGTCGAGCAATGAATGGATGCCTTTTGTTGCCTGATTAAAGCCAGAGCAATGTCAACCTTGCCCTGTGCGTGCGCCCAATGACTTTTTGGCCCGCAGCGGCTGCATGTCGCTCACTCTGGGATGCTCACTTTCTGGCGACCGGTAAGTGTACTTGGCCTACTTCCGACAACAGGACTGGAGGACACATGCAGTGTGAAGTTGAGGTGCTTCGCTATCGCCCACCTGACGCCTCAGTAGTTCGATTGTTGTAGACCAACATCGGGCGCTGCAGGCATGTTGCTTCTGCGCCTTGTTGAAGTGCATGGCAGAGGATACAGAGGCTGACTTTGGCGTGATGCCCCTCCTCTGCCAAAACCCCCCTCTCCCTTTTCTAGTCAATGGTCCAGAGGTGCTTTTCTGATAAAAGAGGAGCTCCAACGCCACTTCGTTGATGACTTCCTCTGCCACAGTTCGCCGGCGGTAGGTGCTTGACGAGTAATAACCATCTATTTCTGCTCGATCCCAGTGTTTTGATATGTCTTCAGCAGGCCTTAAAAGAGTCTCGCTGGGAGAGACTGCCGCCCTAGGGAGTCTGTATAATGCACGGACCGACTCATTTTTACCATTCTCGTTTCTGAACGACCAACTTCCAGAGTTTGCAGTCACCAGAGAGGCACGTCCTTCTTCCCAATTGAGAATTGTTGAGAGTCATGATCTCAAAGACAAGTTCAACGCTTTCGGAGTGCAGTCTCAACTGGGAGCCAGCATCCTTTCTGGATTGGTTACTCCTTCAGGCTCTGCAGCCTCTCTTCTGCATCGACCGGAGAGCAACTTCACCGTCCAAATTTCCCTACAACACTCTGTCACCACATTCCATGAGAAGGTCAACTTCACAAGCCCTGAACTTCACCAGTATATTTCTCGAGAGAACATACAGCAAAGCCGTGCTACACACGTGGTCTCAGAGATCACATGGGGTAGTCGGAGCATCCTTACGGCAAACTATCAGAGATCCGCTGGTGAAGATGAGAATGCTGTAAGAAGGCTCCTACGGGAGGAGTTTGCCCAAGTCGAAGAAAATATTTCCTTCCATGAGCCATTGGCTGCGGACGCGTATCAGTTCAGTGACCTGATCAAGTCACTTCAGACCCACCTGCACACAGACTTGTTGGGGAGCAATCCGCTGGAGACTGACATCAAGGGTGCCTGTCAGTTCATACGAAACTCGCCAAACCAGCTGTTGGCTTTCAACGAAGGGTGGGGACGGCCTGTCATCTACACGCTCCTCCCAATTCAATGGCTCTCGCTGATTCTATCCTTCGAGCTCACAGCCGAAAACACGATCGTCCAGCCTAGTGAGGATCATTTAAATGACTATATGAAAATGTTTGCAGAGATCAGGAGCGCTCAGAGACGACTCAAGGATTACTGGACCTATCTTTCTTTTCGGCGGGCTTTCGTGCCGGAGGAACACGTTCGCGAAGTCTCTGAGTCTTTTGATCGTGCGAAAAAAGCAGAAGAGGTGCTGAGGGTGCAATACGGCACTGCTCTCCGTGATCTTCGAACCGGTCAGGCGGGCCTGAAACAGCTGGCCCAAGTCCTTGACAAATTTGCGAATGACCAATATTCTCCCGCTCAGCTTAATGCTGTGGCAGATATCTATGCCCGGAAGCTGGCTTTCATCAACCACGCGACCAGCAACGGCGCAGATTACTTCTCAAGTGAGAGAGGGATGCCCACCCCACGCGGCAATGTGTACACTCTTTACTTCAGCCGCGCTGCCATGGACGATAACGCGACATGGGGCCCCAATTCACATCTGATTTTCAACTTACTGCAGGACCGAGGCTCTCCGAAATCGCTCCGAATTGTGGACTGTGACCGGAGCGGACGTTCTATCGAGAGATCTAGTATCACATACCATCGCGATGGCAACCTGATCGCCAACGACTTCAAGAAACTCCAAGATTTCCTCAGAGACAAATGCCTTATGCACTTTGACGAAGCTCATCTCGACACTTGGGGAGTCAAGAAACCGATAGATCGGAAGCCTGTTAAATTGCCGTGCCCAGGAAAAAGCTGTGAGCCACGAGCAAAGCTTCAGTGGATCTGTTCGCGGTGCTACTCTACCATCGACTACGGCAAACGAGACCACTACTTGTACTGCGACTGTGGCCGCACTAAGTACCGCTACTGGAGTTTCAGATGCAATGCTCAACAACACGGGCCAAGCTTCGAGCGACGTGATGACCGCCAGCTCGTGCAGCTGCTTGATGCCATGGACCCTTTTGAAGAGGTGAACATCTTGATCCTAGGCGAGACTGGGGTCGGCAAAAGCACATGGATTAATGCCTTTGTCAACTACCTCACGCACAGCACTTTGCAAGAAGCGATGGATGCCAGTCAAATAGAGCATGTCATTCCATGTTCGTTTGCCACTCAGACAATCAACGCAAATGATCCTCTCAAGAGGCTCATTCAGAGGAAGATCCAGATTGGGGAGGGAGACGATTTTGAAAACAACGCCGCTGACGGCCAGTCAGCCACCCAAAAGGCCGTCACCTACCCTATTTTTGTCGATTCGGTGATGGTGCGCTTGATTGATACTCCAGGTATCGGTGACACCAGGGGTCTGGACCAGGACAAAGCCAACATGGCCGATGTTCTGTCAGTGCTGAGCAACTACAAGGAGCTCCACGGCATTCTGATACTCCTCAAGCCAAACAATTCTCGATTGAACGTGATGTTTGAATTTTGCATCAAGGAATTGCTTACCCACTTGCACCGCAATGCTGCGCGCAACATGGTATTTGGTTTTACCAATACCCGTGGGTCGAATTACCACCCTGGAGACACCTTCATCCCACTTGAAGCTGTACTGAAGCAGTTCCGAGATGTTAACCTCGGGTTATTTCATGATACGGTCTATTGCTTCGACTCAGAGAGCTTCCGCTACCTGGCTGCTCATAAGCAGCAGATCAACTTGGGCAGCTACGATGACTACGTTCGAAGCTGGGAGCAGTCTGCGACTGAATCCCGCCGTCTGCTCAACTACATCCGCCAGCTAGAACCTCATCAAGTGAAGAACACCATCAGTCTGAACGAGGCTCGACGCCTGATCCTGCAGTTAACCAAACCTATGGCCGAGATAGCGCAAAAGATCAATGATACTATCGAACTGAACCAACGAGACAATGAGCTCTTGCGGAACAGCAGACTCAGCAAGGACGAAATGCTGAGGAAGCTAGACGTGCAGCAGAATTCGGTTGTCTTCAGCCCGGTCAGTCGCCCGAAGACGGTCTGCACTAATGCGCGATGCATCAAGAAAGTTGAGACTCCCGGCCCCAACGGGGAGGACACTGTACACAAAAGTCTCTGTCATAACCCCTGCTGTTTGACCAACGTTCCAGTTGAGAAGGTGGGAACTCCAGAGTTGGTCAGATGCGCGGCGTTCGCCGGCTCGCAGCATTGTAAAGTTTGCAGACACCACTGGATGGAGCACAAGCATATTCTGTACGAACACAGAGAGACAAAAAGGACCATCAAAGATCCGAAAGTTGAGATGCTGTTGCAAGAAAATGCCAAGATCACGACCGTTATCGAGGCTGCAATCAAGGCGAAAGAGGCCACGATCGCGGAATTCAGACACGAGCACAAAGAGATTCAGCGGGCTGCGGTTCAGTTTAGCCTCTGGCTCAAGCATCATTCCATCACGCCATACAACGATGCGACACTGGAGTATCTGGACCATCTCATCAAAGAGGAGAAGTCCAAGGTGGCGGTTGGTGGCAAGAGGCAACGCTTGGACGCTTTTGAACGGTATCGTCGCGAATATAAGGAGCTTGTCAACCTTTTCGAATCCAACCTGGACCAGAGTAAGAATGAGGAGCTTCTGGATGCCAAGGGCGTCGACAAGCTCGTGAAACGACTGTATTCTCTGAAGCATTACGGCGCGGACCTCCGCAAGCTGCGGGATGCCGTGGTCATTGCTCATGCTGCCTCGATTCGTGAGAGACCGTACCGTGTCAACGCGAGAAGAGGCTATGGGATATCCGTGTTTGGACCATCATTCTTTGAGATCTCGGTCAGAACTCGTCCTGCGTCAAATTTCAACAATGATAAAGTCCCTGTCATCAGCAGAGCCCCATCATCCGCTCTGGCTATGACTGACGAGAAGCAGGTCTTAGGAACAGCAAACGCGGCGACCCCCCTGTCTGGCAAGAGGCATGTAAGTATGCCAGAGGGGAGCAGTTCGTCCTCTCCACCATCCTATTTTGAGGCCGCGGTGGCCCCTCAGAACTTGCATGAGGGTCTCAAGAGCAAACGCAGAACGGTTCGGTCGTTGAGCGGCAGGCTTACTGACAGAGTGTCGTCGATTTTCAAATGAGCATCAAGACTTGGAACAGTAGCAGGACAGCTCATAGGCAGGACGTGCTTGCCAGGTCAATCCAGTGGACTGTTCTGTTGGTTGTTCTAGTGAGCGATGAGGGCATGGCGGTAATTGTTTGCAGGCTGAGCAGAACGACTTCGAGCAATGAAGGGAACATGTTTGATGGTTTTCGAGAAAGGACAGTGTCTTGATTGAAGCGATTGGATCTTTGTCACGCAATGACGATACGCAATAATGAATAGGGGCAAAAGCAATAGCAAATGAAATCCCTTCTCCGAGCCTTTCATGATCACGTTTGCTTTGCATCTGATGGAAGGCCTTTTTCGTTTATGTCTGATGCACAGCGGACAGGGATGGAGCAAAGAAATTATGCTTTTGGAGGATGAAGTCGATAGTGGAAAGGCTCTTTCATAGCCGAGGATTGGCGCGCAATGATCAAGATCAAAACACAATCTGATTTCTCAACTCCCCCTAGCCACTGCGAGAAACGCAGACTGGACGAGGAGTGCGACAGCTGCCGATAGAAGACGTATGCCGTAAATCCTCCCCCCCTTTTCTCTACAAGTACATGTTGCCGTCGTCTATACTCTAGTACTACCACACGAATATGACCTGGCTGCCGCAACAATCTCGTCTCCTGCCCATCATGCATTAAATGCCAGTCATGAACCTTCGTGTAAACCCATCGTGATCGTCGCATCCTCAATCAAACCCGTAAACTGGCCGAAAACACAACTTGCAACTCCCCCCTTTCGAGCAGAATGCTGTCGCATTAGATGAGGTTGAACTCGGGCGTCGTCTTTGCGTTTTCACGCGTCTCGCGCAAAGCCGCCAGGGGACGGGGTTTGGGGAGGGACGACAGTGCCGCTGTAGTAGGATTCTGCGTGGTCTTTTGCGGCATGTAGTAGACGACGAGGAACGGCGCGAGAGCGGTGGCCGTGGAGGCGAAAAATGTGCCGATGGTGAAGTGAGACATTTTGTTTGTTTTGATTTTGCTGATTAAATCAAGCGAATAATGGGTTCGAAAAAGAGTGCGGTTTGGATTTGATTTATGTTGGTGAACCAGTCGCGCTGAGTAAACGAAGGTCGCAACGGAAGTCTATAAAGAATGTAAAGGGCTGGAAAAGCAGCAGGAACGGTGCAAAACACAAGTTAATATAGGAAGTTGTGTGATGGGTAAAAAGGAGAGGGAGAGAAAAAAAAGTGAAAACCGCGCAGGCAAGGAAAATTTGACAGCGCGTCGAAGCCCGCCCAGTCTCGAATCTGGGCAGCTAAGGGGGGGAGGCGGGGGCCGTGTTGAGCGGTCAGGGGCTGGAACGAGATGCCTCACCAGCCAAATGCCGCCTGTGATCTCCAGGCTTCATTGCCCCGTAGAGTTAATGACAGCGAGCGGGTTTATATTTAGGCGCAGCCTTGTCGCGCGGGACACCTGGCCGCTACAGGCGACGCTGCGGGCGCTGAATCAGCGAGGAGCGAACAATGCCCAGCGTGACATCACCGGCAGAGAGAGAGAGAGCTCCCACCGAGGTGCCACGGATAAAAACATGAGGAGAATCGCCATCCAGCACCTTTTTCGTCAGTGCTCCATTGAAACAAATATTAGTCTTTATTAGGCGTGTTCACAGCTATGGCCCTACAGAACACAACCTTAAATGTCCTGCCAAAGATCAGATGGACTTGTGCGTCCTGTCTCCAGCAACAATCGAAAACTCAGCAGCGCCAGATCCCAACCTCCAGCCTGCGCAATGCGTCTCGACCGGTCAGCTCCAGGACCCTGGTGCAACGCCGGCCAGTACGGGGCGTGCGATCCTTTACCACGGCTGCACAGCCACATCAGAGAGTACCTGATGAACAGCAACAGGCTGTGCCACTAGGTGATTTCTACACCGAGCTCCTCTCGACACCAATCCAAAAGCATCCAACGACATATTCCGACCTGCCTAGCTTCGTGCAACCGGGCGACGAGTCAAAGATGGAAAGAGCCAGGAAGGTGTTTGGAGCGATACGTGGATCAGGATATGAACGGCGGACTTCGAGCGCGCCCGACTCGACGTGGCGCACGATCAACGGGGTTCCCGTGCCTCCTAAACCTGCCGAGCCGGACAATTGTTGTATGAGTGGATGTGTACATTGTGTTTGGGACGACTACCGAGATGACGTGGAGGAGTGGGCGGCCCGAGTCCACGAAGCACAGTCAAAAGCGCCAAAACGGCGGCGAGGTGCCCCCAAGGTTGAGATGGCGAGGCCCGAAGTGAGCGAAGCGTCGGGAAGTATGGACGACGACGGCGGCGGGAGTGAGGGCCTCTGGGCCACACCCTCGGTAGAGGCTGATGAGGAAGATATCCTGTTCAAGGGCATTCCGGTCGGTATCCGCGAGTTTATGGCCACCGAGAAAAGGATCAGGGAGCGGAAGCGTGCTCGGAAGGAGAAGGGTCAAGCGGTGGACGATGACGATTTTGTGTGATGACCACCAGCCATTCATATTCACACCGAAGTTCTGGTTCGACACGCTAAATACCAGTGATGCGACAAAGTGGTATCCTGCAGCTTTTCACAGATTTTTGGGAGGTCTGATTCCGCCACCGCAGTACCGATGCAATCTATGAGAGTTGTCGGCCAGAACTTCTCGTCACAAATCCAGAAGCGGCGAAAGGGCTGCAGACAAGATCACATGGCAAGACTTGAGAGTATGATGTGCAACAGATCTTACTCATCAGGAGAGCCGGAAGAACGAGGCATGAAGTGGGGGGACACAAAGGACAAGAGACGCTATTTTCAGATTTCATTAATCGATACATGACGCTCAGCCGACACACGACGTTGTCATATCTTCTTTATCCAGCTAGTCCCCTCGCCGGGGAGTTGAGAAGATGGCTGTACGCCCCCTTTGCACAGCTTAACAACCTCAACGGTCGACCTGGCCAACAATATTATTCCATTACCACACTTGTCCGGCTGTGATGATCTCTTTGATTTGTTACGTGCCACCAGCTGAGACGAGAGTCATGGAGAACCTGTCTTTTCTAGATCCAGAAGTTGACCATCGACATGCAAAACTGCGAGACTCGCTTTTGAGAGGCGTCCACATCTCTTGAGGGTGGAGAAGCACCTTCGCATGCTCGTGAGGAGGCCTTGTTTCTATCCTAAACTATTGGATTCTGCCTCAACCCCTACAGGCGAAAGAGCATTGACGTCAAAATAAAATACGGAAATATACCATGTTGTTACTGGCACGCTTCTTTTCATTGGCGCTACTTGTATCAATTACATGAGGCTATTGCTATTGAAGACAGCTCTCGGTTTCACCAACCCAACGACCCCGTTGCTAGCTGGCTACTCACACTCTGCACCCCGTGAAGGTGGCCGTCGAATTTCGCAGAGCGTCCTCCTCTTTCTGCTGACTTTGTTTCTCAGCCTTTTTTGTTCCCCACCTGGTTGCAGTTCCGCGGACTACCGAACTCCATCCGAATCCCTCCCTGGGTTCAACAGATCAATCAACCCATCCTCCCCCCGAACAGAAAATGCCCTGCCTAATTCCACTCCGTCTGGTCTCTGACTAGCTGTACCAGCGGCCTGGGTGTGGGTCGTACTCCGGGTACGGGTGGCCATACTGGCTGCTGATGGTGACGTGGTCCTCGAAGTGGACGTAGTGGGAGCGCGATGTCGGCGTGGTGCACCTCCTGGCCTTTGGCCTGTTGGCGTGAGTTGACAGGGTGCTTCGGGCCGTTGGTGTCGGGGAGGCCACTGTTCTTAGTCGGGGAGCCACCGCCGGCTCTCTGCTGGCTTGTTGTTGCTTGGAGTTAGTGCAACCCATGTTGACGTTTGTGAGTGTTTGTGTTTGTGTTGGTTTTGGTTTGTTTGTTTGCTTGTTTGGGTGGTTGGCGTGGTTGAGAGGAGCGTCGTTCAGATGATCGAGATCACGGTCCGAGAGGAGGCCGTGAGTGAGTGTGAGTGTGACTGTGTGTTGTACTACCGTCGTACCGTCGTGGATGATTTGGTGATTGGCGAGGTAGTGTGTTGGAAGAGGCCGTGGTGTCTGACGGTGGATGTGTGAGAGTGCTGGTGGTGTTGTTGGTGTCGTTTGATGTTCAAGAGACAGCTGGGTGTATCAAGATGGGATGTAGTCCTGGAGAACAGAACGAAAAGACTTGACACGGGTCAGATTATATGCTCGAGAGGAACTGAGTCACAGACACTGAGTTCCAGCGAGCCATGAAGGACGTCGTCAAATTTTCATTCACGTCGATACTAGTCCCTTTCATATTCTTTGGATGTCCAATCCGCCCACTGCAGATTCTTCTGGATCAAAATTCTAAACCTCCCATCTCAGTGGTACAAGTGGATTTTCAGCTTCCTCAGGCTCCTCTGAAGGAGTCATGGCCCGCCCGCCCATCATAATGCGTATATTTTTTTTTCTGGCCTTCTTTCTGTTGTGTTTTTGACTACAATGGTGCTCTGGTTCGTGTATGCACATGCCCATGCCCATACTCTTCATCTGGTTCGCCCATCGGTCACGTCGGTCGAACGAGTCTCGTTGGGAACGAGCCAGGGGAACATACCAACTCTATTAGTTAGTCTTGCACGGACCTGTGGTTGCTTTGCTTTGCTACCCAGTGAGCAAATTCTTTTTTAGCCCTGTCGAGAGGGTATTTGCTATTGAGAACAACCCCTAGAGGCAGGCCGTCCATGGCGGGCGAGGGAGTCACCGACACCGACAATGGACGACGAAGCTAAGAAGAGAAACAAACAGATTGATCCAACCGGCACCCTGTCCCGTACAATTTCCATTCATTCTTCTCTCGGCCTGCCTGGCTCAGTAATGCGACCAGATGCCACGACTGGCGATCTCGCCCACGTTCCCGTCCAGGTCGCCAAAGTATACGCTCTTTCCACCGAGGGGCCAATCGACGCGGCCGAGAATCTTCACGTCCCGGTCCTCGAACCACTTCTCCCAGGCCTGGACGTCGGTCGGTGTGGGTACCGCGAGGCAGAAGTGCTGGTTCAGACGGGCCGGGGTCGCCACCTTCATGGCGGCGGGCTGCAATTGGCCATTACTAGCAACAGTCGCGGCGTCGTCTGGAGCGGCGGCGAGGAGCAGGTCGAGGACGTCTTGCGTGGGCCCGTGGCCCGGGATCGTGCCCCTTCTGTCGGCCATGGGGCTGTCTGAGGCCGTCGCGCCGAGTTGGAACAGGAGCAGTGTCGTCTGAGATAGGGCGAAGCCGGACATGCGTGCCTAGATGGGTCTCGCGTGAGCAAAGGGATTCAAGAGAAGAACAAGCCTGTCGACATGCTTGTATAGCAAAAGCAGGCGGGAGGCCGCTTTTTGGGGGGGGAGGTTTTACCGTGCTCATGAACGGCTCGACATCAAGCACTTTTCTGTAGAACTCGGTCGCAGCACCGATGTCCTTGACCATCAGACAGGTCTCGAGAATGTGTGTGATCTTCGGCGGTCTAGGAGGTGTCCAGTCGAAAGCCTCGTGTGTCGAGTCCTGTTCCATTTTCCTGTTGAATGTGCTAGCTGTTCTGATGGTCCTGCCCGGCCTGGCTGAGAAGAGAAGTGACGCTTGCAGTCCTCGCACGACACAGAGGGATGCCCGTCTCATATGGGCTGCTGCTCAGCGAACAACACTGGCGGTGACACATCTACCCACCCCCTTGCTTCTGGAGGTAATATCCGTTGTGGCTCTCATTCTCGTAAAATGACGAACTGCGATTCGTCAGGGTCAAATACCAGACGCCGGACAAGCTCACCCAGGGTGTGTACGAGGTAAGCAGTGGGAGTCTGGATTTCTTGGCCCTTTGCGGGGGAAGCGTAGATCATTATTGGGGGGGTTGTTCGGCCCCTTGCGTGCCATGCGGCCATTTTAGGCCCGTCGGGGTTTGGAAATCCGCCTCACGACCACACCAAAGAATGTATTCGGCAACCTTTAGACATGGTGGTGGTGAAGGACACAGAACGAAAGCCGCGGATTGAATAAAAGCAGCCTAGAGCATTCCCTCCTCAAGACCCATCATGCTCATTATCAAACATGTCTATATAAGACGGCTTGACCTCGTCAACAGTATGCTAGTCGCCCTCGGGTTGTTCACCTACGTCTATTCAAGATTCAAGGGCTTCAAATCCACAGGGTCAGTTCGATTACGAGCTTGACGTAGCTGTAAAGATATGTGGCCTACCGAGGAATCCCGATTGATAATTATACTGCTTGGGTCTAAAGTACATTACTGAGCGCAGAACGCAGCAGACTCGGATCAATCGGCGGGCTGCTGGACTTGCTGGGCAGACACTGCCAGAGTCTGCTAGATGCTAGGGGTCTGGAGCAACATGTCGTGCAACTCACCCCATTCCGGGGTGTCGCTCGCTTGCACTTCCCTGAAGCTGCACCATTGATCAGCGTAGTCTGGTATTGCAAACAATTCTGCAGGGCGACAAATGAGAACAAAGCCTTCACGATTAGAAAGTGGTTACGTTCATTCTCTTTTGATTGCTGTGACGTCCCCAACCTGGACATTGTGATTGTGACAAGAAAGTGGTAGATGTTTCCGGCCTTTTGCAAATCTCCTTTATCTTGGTCACCGTCTGCGCCTTTGCTTTAATATTTCCGATTGGTCGCTAACAGCATCAAGCTTCCAAAGAGGAGCCAATCATGTACGTTAGTGCCTGACCCAGTTCTCTATCCCATCCAATCAACGGTCTCCAGCTGCAAGGGTTACTTAGTATACTCCGTGCTCCGTTTGAGAAATGGGGAACTTTTCACTCCAGTATCATTCTACGACAATGGGTAGCAGGACTTCAGATCAGTGGCGTGTGTGGACTGGCATCATCACATGAGATGATCTGTGGGATTAGGACCATCAGGAGCCCTAACCGCTGTGGCCTGACTTCAACCACGTCCTGACCTACCAGATGCCGAGTTTACGCGCCGACTTTGTCTCAGCTTCGACCCCTGCCACCGGACTTGCATGCATATTCACGCATGCGCAATGCTGTGTGCAATTTCTATTCCCCAACTAGGCTTAACAGCGACCGACAGCCTCGACGCTTCCCAGTCGGAGTTGCGCTCGACTGCGCCATGGCTACACCTCCTGCTGAGCAAGATCTTGTTTCCATAAGGCTACCATCACCACTCCCCACATTCAGCTACATTCTATCCAATGGTTTCTATCGAGGTTTGCCGAAAGAGCATTAGGTCGGGGCTGCATGGGGACCTGTCAACCCATTGCATCTTAGGGATTGTCTGCCAGCCATCTTGTTTCCGTCCCCAGGTTTAGTCTTCGCCCAGTATGTGCCAGTTTCACTCTAGCAGCACAAAAAGTCTTTCACACGAGCGCTTGCAGCATGGCACAATGCTCTATCCGCAGGGATTTGATGGTCGCCAGAGGGGCCTTAAAGATCTGTATATCCCCTCTCCTTGCACTACAATGAGACTTCCTCCACGGCCGCTGTGAACCAATTTCAGTCTCAATGTGCTAGTCTTGTCCTCTCCTTTCCATTCCATTCATCTTAGTGCTCACCGATTTCTCTCTCATATCAAAGAAATCGTAAGGATGTCGGCCGCTGCCGGGATCGACAGAATTTCCACAGAAGACGACCTTCCTCCTTCGTCGTACGATGGAGTCCATCTGCCGTGGAAGACGTTTCGTCAACAAGTGCTTGCTCAGTACCGCATCAGAATTCTGGACTCCCCTCCCAAGGAGAAAGTCCCTGCAACGCTGCTGGCAATGATCCAGTCCGAGCTACCCAACGTTGCCAAATATGAAGCACAGAAGGAGCAATTCCGCGGCCAGGTCGAAAAGGGGAGGGGGTTTGGACCTTCACCACTCTTTCCTCCGAACTTGTTACCTCCTATTGACAACGAACCTCGACTTGCTCGGTGCATGGTGCCTTCTTTCAGCCGTGAAGCCCTTCCCGAGCGCGCCATCAATCAAATGGGTCCGCTCTATGAATTGAGCATCCCACGTAGCGGCCTTGGATGCGGATTTGCTGGCTCTGCGTTCACTGCCGCAGAGCTAGCCCTCCTGCCCTCTTGGCTGGTAACAACCGGTACCATCGTCCATTTCGACACAGGCTACATCTCGCCTGGTGCGGCACTCTATTGTCCCTTTCTGATCTTCGAGCGTACATTGGGCGACAAAGAACATCGTCTCGAAGCGGCCAACAATCAATGCGCCATCGGCGGCGCTTGGTGCATTCGAGCGCTTCAGATGCTCTACGCCAAAGCATGGAAGGGAGATATGGTGCCTGAATTGCCCATCGCCTTCTCGTGCTCTATCGACAACACGATTGCGGTCCTTAACGTGCATTGGATCGACCACGGGCAGGTGTATTGCATGTCTCCTCTGTGCAAGTTTGATCTCTGCAAAGACGAACACTTCAGCAGCTTCCTCATCTGGATTGACTCCATCGGTAAATGGGGTGTGGAACATCTGCTCCCTATTGTCAAAGCCGCACTAGAACGTCTCCAGGCAAAGACAGAGACTAGCGATTCCACTCCGCAGGCCACCAGGCTCACTCTTGATACCGGTGCCTGTCCCAATGACGTGCTCATCAAATCCTTGAAGACCACATTCGAAAACATCCCCTGGCGATTTGAAGATGACGAATTCACCCCTGTCAGCAGCAGCACCGCCAGCTGGGGCAGCCCGATGCTGACTGACCTCAATTTTGGCACCCTGAACTATCCGATCGTGCCGTCTCGTTCTCGCAACCGTACCCCAGTATCCGCCATCCAGAGGAAACAATATCTTTCACAATTGGGCCACCAACAAACACCCCCACCCGCATATGGACAGAGCCCTGAGCTCGTCTGGCAAAAGCGATTTGACCACGCCATGGACGAAATCCGCGATTTGCAGCGGGAAATCCAAGCCCTCAGAGGCGATATTAGTGATTCGAACATGTCTTTCCAGGGCGATCTGTCTGGTCTCAAGTCGACCATGGCGTCCGTGCTGCGCAAGGAAACCTTTTCTCTGCGCAGTAGATCGCTCTCTCTAGGTCTGCAGGAGACCTGGTCGATGCAAAGGGCTCCACAAAGTCCACTCGCCAACGAAATCCTGCCAGAGTACAGAATTAACAAGACTCCTCGTCTTCTACAGGAAAGGGTAATTGGCGTTCCTACCACTCCAAAGATTCTCGCTCCAGGCTTCCAAGAAGCTCAAGGAGAGCCCCCACTCTCACCGGGTCTGCCTTCTCCTGGTCTGCCGTCCCCGGGTATGCCCTCGCCCACCTTCTCGATGTACAGCGAGACCACCAATATCGTCACCATCCCGCCGGCGCCGCCAAAGCCTGCATCCTTGTGCAAATTCGCCACTCTCATGGTCTCGGGGCATATGGCTAGCATGCTCATCCCCAACGTCCTCCTGCGGATCTTCGTCTTGGGCTGTATCACCGACGTGTGCATTCTGGCCTTTGCGAGCCCCCATCTGCCCAGCTCGGCAGAATATCTCCTGTCGTTCTTGAGATCGCGCTGAATGGATTGTTGTATGTGGCATTTGAGCGCGCATGATGAGCTGTTCGAATACTTTCCTGTTTTTGCCTCTTTTTTTCCCTTTGTACTTTCAGCGGGCGGCGTCTTTAGTTGGTTCGGTGATGTGTCCGGGAAGGATTACGTCTATTATTTCTTACTATCTGGAGGAAACGTCTCAGGGACGAAAAGGCCGGGTTATAGAGGAGAGGGAACCAGAGAATCTTGTTGGAGCGTTTCGATCAACGCCATGGCAATGGAAGTCTCACGAATTTGATTTCGGCCCTCTTTTGGGTCGATCGAAAGCGGGCATATATCAGCGATGGACCCCTCTCTCTCTCTCTCTCTTGAGAGGACACAGGATCTTACTTACTACGCAAATGTACAGTATCGACCTTTTGGGGCTGGTTGGGGATGAATCAGCGCAAGGGGTTTTCCTTAGGTGTTAATGGAATCAAAATCTGTCGACCTGAAACTTGTAGTTCGCTGCCTCCCTCCCCTTTCATAGAAAGAAAAGAGAAAGAGAAAGAGAAAAAGAGAGAGAAAGAGAGAGATGGTAGGAGCTACAGAGGGAGAGGCACTTGAACGGGGGATCCACGGGGGTTCAGAACATAGGCACTTGATTGAGTACATAGACAGGCATTTTAGGCACTGGGTATCCAAGCAGAGTTCCGGCGCGTGTATATTCTGTAATTAGGAGACAAGCAGCACTAGGCCTAGTGAGCCTAGCTATCTTGGGGCATTATTAACTAGGGTTTCAAGGCCAATCCAAAATGGGGCATTCGCGGCATTGGCAGTAAACTATCTAAGTAAGTGTGCCCCCTATGTATCCATCCATCCATCCATCCATCCATCCATCTATCCAAGGGATCCAATACCACGACTGCCATTCTCCTATGTAGTTCAATGTCAAACTGCTCCAGCTCTGTCTCCATCTCCGTCTGCTTGCTGGACGGATGTCGGGTCTGCATGCAAGCTTGACAACTCCGCCCATCGTAGTAGAGGCTTTCTCCAATGCTCTATGTTCTATGTTCTATGCTCCATGCTCCATGCTCCATGCTCATGCTCAAGTCTGCGTAGCACGCTCCTTCCCCTTACCCGCCCTCTCATCACCGCCATCACAGCCCTCACCGTCATCCTTGTTGTCGTCGTCGTCATCGTTGGCCATGGTTTCAAAATCCGCCTCGACCTCGGCGAGCAAGGTGTGGAATTCGAGGCTGCTCTGCAGCGTGTCGTTGGCGCGGGCCCAGCACTCGTCCTCGTCGCCGCAGCCGGTGTCCAGCACGATGACCTTCCCCGGGACGAGGCCGGCGGAGAGCGACGGACGGAAGAGGTCGCGCCGGTGGTCGGTGGCGGACCCCTGGTCGTCGGTGGCGGAGGTACCGAAATGCTCCAGGAGCGGGTGGATATGGTGGTTGAAGTCGGCGCAGGACGCAGCGAAGGCGCCCTCGGCCGCGTGGTACGCACGGCCCACGGCTGTCCGGCTCCAGCCGCTGGCGTCACGCTCCGCTCCCGTCGCGGGGGCCGTGTCGTCCCAGTCCTGCGGCCTGCCGACGACGCGCAGCTGGGCGACTCGTCTGGGACGACGGCAGACCAGGAACAGGCGCTGGGCAGCCTTACAGAAGCGTGGGACCTGGTCTATATTACGTGGAAACCCCTCGATAACGAGGCAGGCACGGCGTTTGAGGTGTTCGGTACGTTGAAGGAAGGTGGCCATGCGATGGGCGAGGTCCGGGGCCAGGACGAAGGGCAGGCGAGCGTGGCGAGCGTCGTTGTGGACGACTTGGCTGAGCGTCTCCGCCTCGGCGCTGTCGTCTATCGTCCGTTCCACCCGTTCTGTGACTCCGACGAAGAAGAACCCGTACTCGTACGCCAGCCGCTGGCCCATCTCGTGCGCGAGGGAGCCGGGGGGCCCTATGTAATACAAATTGTCAGACCGAGTCAACCACTGATCTGTCCTCAGAGAGAGAGCGAGACGGAGAGGGCGCGAGAGAAGTGTTACAAAATGGGGAGCCAGGTAACAGACATACCGACGATGAAGATGAGCAAGGGATACTGAGTGTCTGGAGGTGTTTCCGCCATTTTTGCCGTCCTAGGGAGGAAGGTTTCGGTGTCAGTTCGATGAGATTTGACTTGGTGTGACTCGATTTGACCTACTTCGATGCAGTTTGTTTGCTTGCTTGCTTTGCTTTCCTGCTTGGTTGATGGATGGAATGGATAGACGACCGGCCAGAACTCCCACACTAGATTCGACCAGCAGTGAGGGCGGGACAAGGATGAGATGAAGAAAGACAAAAGAGAGAAAGAGCTTGCTGGATGGATGGACCAGCGACGGACGGACTGACTGACTGAATAAATGAATGACTGAATCAGAGACGGCGTAGGGGGGGGCGCGGGCGCGCCCACAAGGAGGGGCAAAAGAGCGTTTCAAATATGGGGGATCGCAGCTTCATCTACTGGCATATACGCCTCCCTGTATGCCTCTGCGGACGCGGCAAGGACGACGCTGACGGTGATGATGACGGTGACGAGGTCAGTTCATGCGTGTCAATGTAGGGGGAGTGGTTGGGAAACAAAGGGACCGAAAGAGGACACCATGATGATCCATATCGCCCTTGTGAAGACACACAAACACACACACACACTCTCTCTCTCTTTCTCTCCCCCCCTTTTTCGGACAAGAGGATGTTCAATCAAACACCCACTTGAGTAGGGTACGTCTGTGCCTCTTTCTCCGGACTTGCCCTGTGAACCATTCCAGCAGTTTGACCATTCGCTTCCCCAGCAGAAATCATGTCGATCAATCGATCAGTCAATGGGCCTCCACATCGAGCCGGTTCACCTCCTCGCCGATGATCTTGGTCCCCTCCTCACTGGACATGATGTCGGAGCGGAACCAGTGGCGGATGCGATGTCCGGCCAGCATGAGGACAATAACGAGACAAAACGCGGCCAGCGACACAAAGGCCATCATGCCAAAGACCCAGCCGACGCCGACCTCGGCCTCCCAGCCGTTGATGAAGAAGGGGATGGCGATGCCGAAGATGGTGCGGTAGAAGTTCATGACCGTGGCCGCCTCGACGGGGTACTTGGTGAAGCACTCGACCTCGTAATTGACGAGCACGGGCACGGCCACGTTGGACGAGAAGTTGAGCAGGAAGTTGCCCACGGCGGCCACCATGTAGTGCAGGTGGTACTGCAGCGCGGCACCGAAGAGGCCCAGCCCGACGTTGAGGCAGAAGAAGGTCGGGAACCACAGTGCGTGCAGACGGAACTCGGGCTTCCAGATACCACCCGTCTTGCGACAGATCCAGAGCGGGAGGCGGTCGTTGAATGCGAGACCGTACAGTTGCCCGATGATACAGCCGGACCAGGCGGCGAAGGTGACTGTTCGTTCAGAAGAGTCAGGAAAGACCAAAGGCTGAAGAAAATATTGCGGGACAGACTCACATTCTGCGTTCTGGTTGGGTGTGAAGCCATAGCCCTTTTCGCTGACTGGCGATTGCAAGAAGACGGCGAGGAGATTGTTGACACCGACGCCCCTGTCAAGAGATGGATGTGTAAGGATGCTATATATCACACAGATGGGACCGAGAAGAAGAGGGAGAATTACCAGCCGAACACGATCATCAAGAACAACCCACCGAGAATCCCAACAGGATGGATACCGATGCGGATAGGCATGGTCGCCAGATGGAGCTAAAAAGCGTCAGTGAGCTGGTCTCATCCTCCCATGACTGAGGGAGACACTCACTGCTTCCCGATTCGTCATGCCTTCAGCCGCATTGGGCTTTCGGAAGAGATAGACGTCGACGGAGCGTTGAAGGAAGGACGTCGAAGGAATGGGATATGCCGGCCGTCCAGGTCTCGTCCAGCCGGTCTCTTCCAGTAGGAAGAAGATCAACAAGATCACAAACCCCTCGAGCCCGACGTTGTACCAATACTCAATGTCCCAAGGGGCTCCGTTGCCGACCACGAAGCCTGAGAAAGTCGGCCCAGCAAGCGTTCTATTCACAGCGAAATGTTAGCCAGCTCAGCCCAGTCCCGGAACAACTCGTCGAAGCAATGGCCTTTCTTACCCAAGGAGGATCATGACGTTGTAGAACGCAAAGCATTTCCCACGCTGGTGCAGGAAGAACGTGTCGGTGATATAACTCGCACCCACTAGCCAGTCCATTTGTGTCAGCAAAAGGACTAGAACGGAGGAGTCAACCAGCAAGAGGAGTTTACCGGTCGTTGCGCAGGACCCAGCCAAGCAACCAAACAACCGAGACAGGACGAAGGAGTAGTAATCGCCCGAGCCGGTGCACGTCGCCGCCCACACGGTACAGGCCAGCGTGAGGACGGTTGCCCAGAGAATGCTGCCGCCGCGACCGATCCTTCTCGACACGGGGGACCAGAAGAGAGGGCCGGCACACAGCCCAGCCGTGGCTGCAGAGACCTTGATCCAGCGAGTGTAAGCCAGAGCGCCATTTCCATATCTGAACAGGATCATCGATCTCACCGAATAGGTAATCTCGACCGGCGTTTTGCGATACAATGCGCCTTGCTGGAACACACTGGACACGTTGCCCACGGCCTGCAGCGTGCCCGTGAAGCCGGCGAACGACACAATGAACAGTGTCAAAAGCTTCCTCCCCCGAGACCAGTTCTATTCAGAATTCCATCGTCTCATCAGTTTTCAAGCCCAGAGAAGGAAATCGCTCTGGAGGAGGCTGAAAACCTGAGGAAAGAAAATGGGGCGGGAAACGCACCAGCGGATCGCGAGGGTCGTCTGAAGGCGCCGGTACCAGCGTGATGCCAGCCTTGTTGTGCGCGGCAGGGACCTTGAAGCGCTCATGGTGCTCGGAGACCTCTTCTTTGGATATGCTTGTCTTCTCCGCCTCTTCTTCGAGGCTCAGATGGTTATTGTTGTTCATTCTTTGTGTGACTTTGTCCCGTGTATGTGTGTATACGTGCCCGAGAGAGAGGGAACTTTGGTGAGAACAGGGAGAGATACTCCTAGGTTCCAGGGGTCGAAGAACAGAGGCGGACGTCGGGAGATCAGATCTTCTTGCTGGGTGGATAGGCGAGCGACCAAGCTGTAGTACAATGCCTTCCAGTCCTTCGCTGGCCTTTTGATCTGCAGCGCCATGATCTGGCGAGCCATCCTTGGTCCATTCGCAATAGGCCAACGTTTCCCTTTCCCAGCAGGCCCGAACACAGAGCTAGGCACGGTGTTTCGCGGTCTTCAGCCTGGAAGATGCAACTGTCCGGGGTCAAGGGATCCACCATGGTAGTCTCTTCCCCGTGGGGGAGACGGTGGAACACTCTCCAAATCTCCAGCTACCAATAATACAATGCAGCCTCCACATGGCCGTTTCCGGCAGGTTGAATCTGGCTGGGTTAACACAGGAGTACAACGGTCACGAGGACTTCACCGAGCGCGGGGCGGCTCAATGAAGACGACGTAAGTATAGGACTGACGGAACTAATAAAACGATCACGAGACTAGACACTGGACGGGCAGGTTAAACGGCGAACGTAAGACAGGCAGGAAGCATTTTAGATTCCACGAAGAAGTTGCGACTTCTTGATACTCCGATCGGTCGTCATTCCTCGTATTCCCATCGCGTGTCGGCGGCCTCGGAAGCAAATAGACGCCATTCCGAGGACATCTACGGCGTCGACCAAGCCGGGGGACCGGCTGACCGAGGTTTGCCCCTGATGCTCGGCGCAATCTGTGCATACCGGACTGCCAGCTCTTGTTCCCGCGCCGTCAACGCTGTTGGGTCGACGCCGATAAGTTTATTCAAAGCATGAGTGAGGTCTGGAGCGGTCAGACTGGATGATGAAGGGTCATTGGATATGGAACAAACCTAGCATGATTGACCCGATGCCCCAGTGTCTGGCAAACTGTGCAATTGCGAGACAGATAACATCGCGGTTGAGGCTGCTGAGTGCAGTAGAGCCTACCGACCTGGTCTGCAGAACGTGCATGGCTGCAGGGCCGACCAACGAGCAGACTATGAACGGCGTCGAATACGCAATGTAGTCCGGGGACCAAGCTTTAATCGCTCTGATAACTTCATGCGCATGTTGGACGCATTTTTGGGCGGCTACTTGCTCTTCTTCTCCACTTAAAGTCGTGCTCGTTGGTGAGGCTGATGGCGATCGAGAGGTGTCGTCAGAAGAAGAGGCTGTGAGAGCTTCATAAGTACGCGCACTGGCATTGGTCAGAAGGTTAGAAAAGTTCACGCTTCCAGAAATGGTGAGCGGGAATGGATCTGCTGGTATAACTTACCTTTGAAGGATGATGTTCGTAGTTATGATCCAGTTGCTCCTGGCGAATGTCAAGTCATTGAAAACAAACACGCTCGGATTCAGCCGGAATTGCTTTGGCAAATTCAAGCTGAAGCAGGTCAGTGCACTTTGCATCTCGGCCCTGGCCTGTTGAGAAACTCTTCTCTGTGCTTTGAGATCGTATGCTAATGCCATCAAGAAGTTGGCGACAAGAAACCATGCTCTTTCATCTTGATTCGGCGAACCCTGAAGGCTCTTCCATGCCGTTGCTGGAGTTGGACCCATTGGTGCAGATGCAATTGGTTGCTCCTGGAACCACCGTTCATCGGAACACGGAAGCAGAACGTGCATTTTGTTGCCATCAATTGTATACGGGCGGCGGGCAACGGTTGACGCAAAAGTGTCGAGTTCCCAGACAGACCACCAAGCACGTCGAAGTTCTTCTCGGAACACCCACTCTTCTGGGGAGGACCATTGGTTCAGAAACAAATCGGGTTGTTGGCAGATGTCTTCATCGGTTACGTCAATCCCTAAATCGTACGCCAGTCGAGTACAAACGCCCGTGAGTGTCCATCCGAATGAGGTGGAGGAGTGTGTGTTGTGGTAGAAAGAGAGTAATATACACCCTTGCAAGTACTGGAGTGAGGGCGCAAACCCGTCTCCTTGAAGTCTCGTGCCATCCGCGTAAATCGACTGAGCCTCTTTCGCAAACCGCTCCCCACGACGAATTGGCGCAACATCAGCAAGGTGTGCGGCGCTGGAAAAGCGGGCAGATAAAGCCATCATGCTGTTTAGAATGAGAGCTGTCTCTAGAGACAAGCTTTTCCCAACGGTGTCTTTTGGTCTCTTGTCCAAGTACCGCGCATAGAACTGAGGTCGATGAAATATCGGTATGAAGCCGCTCACGCGGTCAAAGAATAGATCAACCCTGTGGGAGATTAGTCCAAATACACGCGGCAAGATTGAAGCTCTCACAGTTGTCGTACTAGGTCGTTCCGGGCCGTCAGAGTGTATACTTTGGATTCAGACGTTCGAGATAGCGGAAGGCTTGTGGAAAGTGGATCTGTCTCTACCACCGACCGCTTCGTCTGACGGGCACATTGGCCATTGTCGTCATCTTGCAGGATCAGAGAAGATACTTGCTGAATCTCGAGGCTCGGATATCGCTGACTGGTGTATGGTGAGGGTGGTTGGCTCGGAAAGTCGGCTCCAACAAATATATCTGATAGTGATGAGCTGAAGCTGTGTTGTAGAGTGTATTCGTTGGCCCCCTGTAAATTGAAGTCTGGTTTGTCGGCAATGGCGAATCCAGTACTTTCTTCGTAGCATTCGAGCGAAGAGAGAAACATGTTCGCAGAGTGTCCCCGAGGTGTGAGCCTTTCAATACTGCTTTGCAGGCCGTGAGTGGACCTTCCAGCACCTGCCTCGTTCTGGCCTGATCTCCCCGATGGGTGAGTTGAATCAGAATCGGCTTCCACAGTATCTACGAGATCATCTGCAGCACGGTGTAAGTTTAGTTCATGAGGTCGACAAGGAATATCGACAGACGTACCGTAAGACGCGGCTGAAGCACTTCCTGAGATGGCCTTGCTTCGTTTTCTCTCCAAACGAGTTCCCTGGCCACGCCGTTCAGGGCGTTTTCTCTTGGTTGGAAAGATACACTGGCTGCCCACTCGCAGACACAAAGTACACGTAGGCCGCGTCATGTCGCCTGAAAGAGTCACTATAAGCCAAGAGGATGAAGAAGCGAGATAGGGACAAGGGGGTGCTAGATGGTTATTTTTGAAGTTCGTATCGACTAGGTATGGGCAAGTTGCACCTACACTTGGTCTTCTTTCTATAACATCAAAGTCGACATCAGCCGTCCACTGCGCACACAGTCAATCGTTTCCAACGTACCTCTTGCATTCCTCACAAGCCCGAATCGGCCAGGGTGGGTACTGGTAGTGAATCTGAGGACTCGGTCCCTCAAAAGTGTGTTCTGCGATCATCATGACATCGCGTGCCGGGCCAACATAAATTCCCTGCATCTTCAGAGCCACGGCCAGAAATCTTGGTGAAGCTGAGCGTGGGGAGCTTGGAGATGGAACGAAGGAGACAGCTGAGCCCTCCTCGCATCGACAGGCTCAAGAGGTGTCTCTGTCATTGTCCAGAAGGTGCCGATGGTGTGGAAACGCAGGGTTCGCTTGCAGAGGGCAAGTGCGGAGAAGATAACGTTCTATTTGCTGGCGAGTGCTGCATGTGTGGACCAAGTGGCTCCCAAGGAGGAAATGAAGATCTCTAGAATCAACGCAAGCCGTTGATGGCACCAGTGGTGCCAGTGAACGCGGGGGGGCTGGAGTTAAAAGCCCACGGCCAGGGCTTGGACGGTGAGCTAATTGGAACCTCGTGTTCGTGGCCGAAGATCCACCTGAATTGCCGATCTTGCCGCGTCATGGGAGGACATGGGAATGCGGAGGACAAACAGGGCTGCAGAGGGTGAGAAAGTAGAGTATCGTTGAAGATGTCGTAAGATCAATATCAAATTACTCAGAGATGTATAGGTAACGCAAAGGAAGTAATAGGTGCATCCAGACTCTATCACGTGACGAGGCTGCGACTCCCTTTTATCCAGAGAGAAAAGGGGCCGAAAAGCTCGGTGGCTCCAAGGTACATAGGACAGATCGTACGTACAAGTGATCTGTCCATGGCGAAATCTAATATATGCCTTCTATTTTCCTTCTTCCGACAGCCACACCTCAAACGCCCTGTTAGTATCCGCCACAGAGTCGAAGCCCAACATCTTTCGCTGGTAATTGACATCGGCCCATCCCCAGCGGGAAGGCTTTTCCCAGTCTACTTCGGCGAGCTCTTGATCCCGAGCTTCTTGTTCTGGGCCATCGTGCATGTGATCTGTGTAATACTCAGCGTGGAGCTCTACACGAATATGGGGAGAGCCAGATTTCCACAAGGCCTGACAGACTTGTTGGGACTTACACATGTATCGGTTCGCTATAGCCCCTTTCACATTGACCGTTGTTCGCTTCTTCCGGAGCGACTCGAAAAGTCGGAGAATCGAGTTGATGTTCGACCGTTTCTCCTGATCTGGTACTCTGTCACTGGCTTGCAAACGGCCGAGCAGAAGCCCCAGCACTAAGCCGTCCTCTGCAGCCATGGCGGCTCCTTGTGCTTGGTACGGCAAGCTCGGGTGGGAAGCATCCCCGATGAGCACAATATTGTCTTTGACCCAAGTCCGGAGCTCTGTGCGATGTTGTAAGTTTCTACAAATGCTGACAAAGTAGATGAAAGCTTGGAAGGGCGTCCAGGAATACATACCTTCGTGATGGCACAACTTCCATTTTAAAACACTGTTATGGCAGGATATAATCTTGGCAAGTCTGGATCAAACATCAGTAAAAGCAAATGTTTCGGGGAAGTAAACCACCCACACTGGATCCCAGCCTTGATAAGTCATCCGCATTTCATCGATATCGCCTGTCTCTGTTCTGGATCCCGGGGGGAGATTGTCTGGGCGACTGTTACCATTAGCAGATGAATTTCACTTGTGGAAGCTCACACTGACATGAGGACGAGGTTGAAAGCAGTGCCATTCTTGATGGGATAGAAGACGCTGTGCCGGTCTGGCCCCATCCAGTTGTATGTGCACCGTGAGTTGATGAGCTCGTCCACTCGGGGGTCCTGAAATGCTTCCAGTTGCGCTCGAGAAAAAGTCCCGCGATATGCGAGGTCTCCGGTAGGGACTGGCGGCGACGGTTGGCCCAAAACTATGTCTCGGATCGCAGACCAGAGACCTTTGGGGCGCGACTGTTAGTGTCTTAGTCTCAATGCCAGAATGACCACGTACCATCTGCGCCAACGATCACATCGGCGTCGATAACTTCACCTGTCTGAAGAACCACATGGGGATTCTCGGTCGAGGCTTTGACATCGACGGCTTCCGCATTCAGTCGAAGCTTGCCTCCTAACCGGACCGCTTCATCCAAGAGGACACCATGATAATCTGCTCGATGGATTACACTGAATGAGAGTCAATCATTTCCCTTCGTGCAAGGATTCGAGTTCAACTCACAACCATGGGCCATTAAAGTCCTTAATCATCTTCTCGCCGCCTATCCTGCTGCAGAGGATTTTGCCATCTTTGTAGCGCTTGAGGTGGTTTGCGTTGACTTGAATGGCTCCAGCGTCGCGGATCTTTTGCTCGAGGCCAAAGTGCTGAACGACGCGTGCTGCATTGGGCGGGATCTGAATGCCAGCCCCTATCTAAATGACAGTGGTGTTAGAAATGCTGGGAGAGCGAGAGCACTGTCGAACCACGTACAGGAGATATTTCTGGTGCTTTTTCCAGAATGGTCACTTCACATCCTCCACGCAAACATGATATAGCGGCAGCCAGGCCCCCTATTGCTTCATGAGAGAGGTAGTAAAGTCGGCAAGGCGGTCTTACCAATACCAGCTCCCACTACCACAACCTTGAATGGCTGCTGAGTCTGCCGGAGAGTCAGCTTATTGCAGCAAGAAATTATGATTGCAAGGACACCACCTACAGCAGCGGGCTCCCCTGTCATTCTCTGAGAGACAGATGCTGAATACTCGAGAAGAATAGTAATACAGTAAGCGCAAATAGTAAAAGAGCCCAGGTGAGGTTGTCGCTCGCTAAAGCCAGGAGGCATGGGTTGCAGGGCTATGATATACCTCGCCCATGACACCCACCTGCGGAAATCGACTTCAAGGACCAAGATGTGTACCCGAGGCGGTTACTGGCAATCCTGCGCTCTCCACCTTGGATGAGCATGTGTGTGTGTCTGTGTGTGTGTGTGGAGATAGAAGGCAAAGCGTGCTCTCGGCAGTGGTGGTTGTGGTGGGGGAGACGGTCATGCGGCCCATGAGCTTGTCTTCGGAACGCCGTGGTCAGCTTCCGACTTCCTGCATCCTTTCGCGGTGCGTTTCAATATGACATGGTATGGCATGGCATCATTTGCATTGGGCCGGGGACGGCATCGTTATGGCAATTCCGACTTGGATTTGACTGCTTGGGAAATATCACAATCGGGACACGCTCCGTGCATAGGCGGCCCTCGAGATCTATTTCCGCGCCCATCGCCCCTGAATATGTGTTCCACTAATGGCTAGTGATAAGAATACCTTTTTTGAGATGCGGTATATACCAAGTCTTCATGGTATGACATATTAGAAACTGTTTGTACCTGGGAAATTCGGAATATAGACCTTGATTGCCGGAGAAGCCCGTTGTCATAAGCCCATTGTCATGACGGCCAGTGACGAAATCTGCCACGGTGAGCGTCTTTCCGCAAAGAGATCTGGACTACGTCGAGTACTGACTCGTGCTCAAGATGTTTCAATTCCAGTCCTCATCGTTGGTGCCGGGCCTGCTGGTGCCACCGCCGCTTTGTTGCTCGGTCGGTATGGCATACCGTCCATTGTCATATCTCGTCACCAGAGCACAGCCAATACGCCGAGGGCGCATATCTTCAACCAGCGGGCAATGGAGGTGCTACGCGACGCTGGAATTGAAGGCATCGTGAAACCAGTCGCGTCCAGCAAGGAGCAAATCGCCCATGTGGCCTGGCTCCATACCCTCAGCGGCGAGGAGTATGGTCGAGTCTATGCCTGGGGAACAAAACCTGATCGCATGGGAGAGTACCTTGTTGCAAGTCCGTGCGAGATGTCCGATCTTCCACAGAGTGTGCTTGAGCCCATCCTCGTCGATGAGGCCACGAAACTGGGAGCCGAGTTTCGATTCTCTACCGAGTTTATTCAGCAGCGCCAACTCCCGGATGGACGCGTTGTGACAACTGTGCATGACCGGGCAACACTTGCTACCTACGACATTACTTCTCAATATTTAGTGGGCGCTGATGGGGCAAGGAGTTCTGTCCTTTCCAGTCTTGGAATACCCATCGATGGGAAACAAGTCAGCGATGCATTTGGCGTCCACATCAAAGCAGATCTGAGTAGATACTTCAGCCGTCGTCCAGGGTCTATGGTGTGGATCTTGAATCCGGACGCACCGGACTGGTCATCTCACGGGTCTATACGGATGGTGAGGCCGTGGAATGAGTTCCTTGTTTCGATGCACATGGCCAAACCAGATGTCAATTACATTCCCTGTGCAAAAGATATCATTCGGCGGCTACAACAAATGATTGGGGACAGCTCCGTCCAGATTGAACTCTTGAACTTCTCACGGTGGACGATCAACGATCAGGTAGCCCGGGCATGGCAGAAAGGCAACGTCTTCTGCATCGGCGACGCGGTTCATCGACATCCTCCAATCAATGGGCTCGGGTCAAATACCTGCATCAGCGATGCTTTCAATATTGCTTGGAAACTGGCATACGTCCTGAAAGGCACTGCGGATCCCTCTATCCTCGAGACTCTCACCCTCGAGCGAAAGCCTGTTGGTGATGGTATCGTGAGGCGAGCCAACGATGGGATGCTGATTCACAGAAAGCTGTGGGCGTTAATGGGCTCTACCACAGAGGAGCGAGCAGTCGTGTCCGGGATACTCCAAGCCCCGAGTATCGAAGGTGCGCGCCTGAGAAAGCAACTGCGCACGATTATTGAGGAAACCGACGACGAGTTCAACGCGTTGGGAATACAGATGAACCAGATCTACTCGAAATCTCCTCTCCTCGTAGTGGAGAACGGTGACAGCCCACCTGACCTCGACGGAGTGAACCTGATGAAGCAACAAGTGATCTCAACGTTTCCTGGCTTTCATTTGCCGCACGTGTGGGTGGTGAAAGATGGCCAGTTGGAGCGGATATCGACACTAGACCTGGCTGGACATGGCGAGTTTGTTCTTTTCACAGGCATCGGCGGCGAGGGCTGGTTACAGGCAGCAAGGGACATCGCACGGACAGATGGAGTGCCCATGAAGGGTTACGGAATAGGCAGAGGGCTCGAATACTCTGATGCATACTGGGACTGGGAGAAGGTCAGGGGCGTCGAAGAAGACGGGGCTGTCTTGGTGAGACCCGACCATTTTGTCTGCTGGAGATGCCAGCGTCTCGTCTCCAATCCTAGTGCCAGACTGAGGGAGGTCATTCGCGCTCTTCTTCGTCCTGGGTGATAGATTGTACAGTCCTTAAACAATGCATGGCCTCGACGGGGACGCTTAGGGATGCCTAACGGTGTATCCGGCCGTCGCTTTCGGGTCCCCCTTTCACCGAAACATACTCCCCAACAGCTCAACGACCGGCAGATCCCCTATTACAACCCACCAATCTTTTGTCTCTTGACGAAAGCGGGGTGACCCTTCCTAGTGAGCATCGATAGGTACATAGACAGGGGTAGGACGGCGTTCGTCCAGAAATGGCGAGACGCCGCCGCCGCCCCGTGGGGTAAGCAAGCAATGCTTCCTCACGAGTGGAGATTTGGGCCGGATGCGCCGTGGCTGGTCCGGCTCTTGGTGGCCAGGGATAGGAAAGCCTCTCGGCCGGTACATAGCTTTCTGCTGGACAAGTTTGGCCGGCGGTATTGCTTCCGCCTTACGGTGCACCGTGTAGTGAGATGGGCTTTCCTGCTTTCCTGCTTCCCTCTCCCCTTTATGCTGCTATACCGTCGTCTAACCTCTCCAAAGGCACTTGACGAGGCTGACAAATCACACGGCCACTGAGCTCTCTACGTTGTTAGAGGCGGCTTGTAAAGTATATCTCCAGTCGGAGTCCTTCTGAGAGAACAGGGAATACTAGATCTGGGGAAGGACGAATCTCGAGAATTTGTCCACCATCACTCCCAGCGGGACCAACAACAACAATCGACAATGCCGATCGCCCTGGACGACAAACGCGTTCGGCTCGTCAAGACAGCCTTTGTGACGTACTACCACCGCGATGTACACAAGGCGTCCAAGTTCCTGCTGGACTTTGGATTCGAGGTGGCGGAGCAACGGGGCGACGAGGTCATTTTCTTCAAGGGCTACGGGCCCGACCCGTACTGCTACGTGGCACGGCGGGCCGGGGAATGGGAGGAGCCCCGGTTCGGCGGCGCGGCCTACCTGGTCGAGTCAGCGGCGGAGCTGGAGAAGGCCAGCAGAAACATCCCGGGGGCGTCGGCGATCAGCAAGCTGGACGCACCGGGGGGCGGGGGCATCATCACGCTGACGGACCCGGTCGGACACCTGGTGCACCTGGTACACGGGATCCAGGAGAAGCCCAGCGAGCCGCCCGCCGACAAGAACAAGAACCTGCAGAAGCTGGTGGTCAACTACGAGGATGAGAAGCGGCGCGCGGGCAAGTGGCAGCGGTTCCAGCCGGGGCCGGCACCCGTGCACAAATGGGGCCACTACGGCGTCAGCTACCCCCCGGGCCGGCACCAGGACATGGTCGACTGGTACACGGGCCACCTGGCGCTGGCGGTCAGCGACAAGGTGACCATCGGGGGCCAGGACGCCGTGACGTTCTTCCACATCGACCGCGGGCTCGAGTACACCGACCACCACTCGTTCTACATCAAGCCGACGCGCGGCGACGAGGAGAAGCCCGACGTCGCCCACAGCGCCTTCGAGGTCCACGACTACGACGTCCAGCAGCTCGCCCACAACTACCTCGAATCCAAGGGCTACAAGCTCTCGTGGGGCGTCGGCCGGCACGTGCTGGGCAGCCAGATCTTCGACTATTGGTACGACGAGTCCGGGTTCGAGCTCGAGCATTATGCAGACGGAGATCTGGTCAATTGCGAGACGGAGGTGACGGTACAGGAGAATGGACCGCATACCATGTATGTCTGGGGACCGCCGCGGCCGGCGGCACGCGGCTGAGGCAAGAGAGATAAGCATTGCCTCTCTCTGTGTCTAAAGAGTACTGTTGGCTGTGTATTCTCATGTGCTTTCTTGGTTGTCAGCCGCACCATAATTACCAAACACAGAGAGCTGTGCAAACTTTGTCTCTATCAATAAGAGCTAGGCTGTCTCAATGTAAACCTCCAGACCCTTCTGATGGACGAAGAAGGTGTTCCAGATAGTCAACTTCTTCTCGGGATCCACGAGTCGCAACTAGATGGCACAATGTTCTGGTCAGCAACCCCAAAAGGCCCAACTCGTCCCCGTGACAAAAGACGACAAGAGAAAGAAAAGAAACTCACTTTGAAGCGCTTCAACAGCAGCGGGACCAGCTTGTGCACTTCCAACAGACTGATATTCTTCCCGATGCAGGTCCTCTTACCGCTCCCAAAGGCCATGAAGCATCTCTCCATCTCGCCCTTCTCCTCCTCGTCGGCCTCCAGCCAGCGCTCCGGGCGATACTCCTCGACCGAGTATCGCCGGCCGTAGACACGCTTGTCTTTGTGGATGACCGCCGGGTTGCAGCCGACGATGGTGCCTTCGGGGAAGAAGTGGCCGCAGAGAGTCACGCCGCCGTCGGGCACCACACGCTCAAGGATGAGGCCGACCGGCGTGTGGAGTCGGAGGGCTTCCTTAATCACAGCACCGAGGTAGGGGAGGTTGCTCGTCTCGCGCCACTGCGGGAGTGGTGACAGGTCGGCAGATTCCAGTTCCGCCATCAGTCTGGACATAGCCGAGGGGTTGAGGAGGAGAAAGTCTATAGAGTCCTGATATCAGCAATCTGAAATGTTCCATGCCTTCCTAGAACGAAGTACTCACGAAAAATTGCACGTAGAGTGATAGCACTGGTGTCCGATCCCGCATTGATATTGCTGAGCGACCAGCCTAGCAATTGTGACTGAGGTATCAAGCCATGATACTTGTCAAAGGCGGAGATGAACTTGGCCGTGAAGTCGGTGCGGTCCTTGAAATCCAGGGTGGCCTGACCCTGAGCCTTCTCGCCGCCATCGTTTTCACGAAGCCGTACCCGATCGGCCTCCTCGATCCGGGGCTTCAAGAACTGCAGGACAAACTTGGAGACGCCCAGCTTGTCCTTGGAAAATACGCCTCCCCAGAGCCGGTTTTTGGCCAGCAGGTAGTCCAGCCAGGGCATCTGGCCGACGATGGCCGTGTACGCTCCCGACTTGTTCAGCGTCTTGATGATGTTGCCAACGTCACGGCCCTGTTCGAGGAAGCCGAAGCGGCTGCTGAAGGTCATTTCGCCAATGACGTCGAATGCGTACCACTGGAGCCACTCGCCAAAGTCGCACACCTTCTCCGTGTCGGCGTACAGGGCTGCCAGTCGCTCGACCAGCGTGCGCGAAGTGCTGTCCACAAACGGCTCGTAATCCAGCAAGCTGGTCATGGCGTACGCGTGCGCGATGGGTCGCTTTGCCGCCTTGTGTTGATCCTCGTCGGTGATCATGAAGAGCGAGGCAACTGGTTTACCATTCACAAGAGGCTGCGCCACTCTGTAGTACTCGGACTGTCGGGCTCCTTCTGTCACCTAACCGACCCAGAGACAAATAGGCTCGATTTTGGGCGCGTCTCACCTTCTGAAATAATCTCGATATGCCATAAATCTGCCTGATCTCCCTCGGGTCTCCCACACTGACGCACCTCGGGCCTACTCGAATCAGGTCGCCATACTTGTCGTGCAAGGCCTGCGAAATGACCTCGAATCTGCCATTGTATACGGCCAGGAAGCGCCAGAGATCTGTGAATGACGCCACAAAGGGACCGGGAATAGAGCTCATCCCTGGCCTGAATCTCTGGCGTACGACGTACACAGCAGCATAGCAGAGCAATATCAGTCCAACCACTGATGGGTAGATCAACCAGACATCCATGTTGCAAGCGGCCATAGTGGGCAGATTCGTGTCGAATCCAGGCCTTCCAGCTTGTCACCGACAACGAGCTGTTATATTGACGGCGAGCTGGGTCATTTTCCAGCACGACTTGCAGTAGACGTGGAGGCGGACTTGTGTCCGCCAATATCACTTTGTGGAGAGGAAGCATTAAGCTTCAAAGTCAGCAACATTCCATCCCCACAGCATCTCCGCCAACCGACAGGATGTGGGGGGAGTGTTCATTCCAAAGTAGGGACTTGTCTTTGTGAGAAGGGCGGTGCTCCGGGCTCAATTTGTGGTGGACGGCAATTGCCTTTCCCGTCAATGCCGGGATCATCTCTCAAGGATGGTTGATGGCGATGCCCTTGAGCGAACGAACGGAAAGCTACAACAACTTCAACCTAATAATGATGTCGATCCACGACCATCGCAAGAGGGAAAGCTTCAGTCCTTGCTTCTCACAGGCAGCCAGCTCGATTTGTCTATAGCAGGATTCCCTAGATTTATTTAATTCCTTCAGGATTCGGACTAAGGCATGACAGAGATCGAACCCTATTCGATAACGCCACCAGCACCACATCCGTCGATCAGCGACCATCAAACAACCACCTTTGTCTCTGAATTGCTGGAATAGCAAACACTCAACCACCTCCGACCTCATTCATAACGCCTCCATCCAACTTCAACACCTCTCCATTCACGTATCCGCATTTCGTCAGGAAGATAACCCCCATGGCCATCTCCTCGTCGCTCCCCGCCCGTCCGGCAGGAACCTCGTGGCCCTTATCCTTGACCTTTTCAGCAGGCATGTGAGCCTTATTCCGCTCATCGGACTCCTTCATGGTCATCTCCGACGGAAAGTACCCTGGGGCGATGCTATTCACTCTGACACCGGTCTTGGCGAATTCCTTCGACATCATTCTGGACAAGTGCGCGGTAGCTGCTTTGGCTGCATTGTATGCGAAATGTGCTTGAGAGTGACGCATGAGACCAGACATGCTAGAGATGACGATGACGCTTGCATCGAGATTTCGAGGTGCACGTTGGAGAAGAGGCAGAAAGGAAACCACCGAGAAGAATACGCTAATCACGTTGGTGTTGTAGGTTGCTTTCCACTCCTCGATTTGTTCTTGCCACAGGTTCTCTTTCATCTGCTTGGCGTCGCCGGTGTCTGGATATCCCTTGGGGCCGGAGACACCTGCAGCCGCAATTACGAGAGAGAGATATTTCTCTTTGGATTCCAGCTCGGCCGTCAACTTCTCTAGTGATTCCTTGGACGTCACGTCGCAGGGCCCAATTGGGATGATTTGGCCATTTAAAGATTTGTTAGACGATTTTGGGTTGTGCGATCGGGCGGCATTCTCGAGGACTTCCTTTCTTCGTCCGGTGATGTACACTTTGGCACCTATGGTAAGAATTGGTCAGGTGAGCTGGACCATATGGTAGTCTTTCATTGTGGCCACCTACCGTTTGCTGATAGAGCCTGGGCTGCCATGAGTCCGATGCCAGTGCCTGGTCAGGATTTGTTAATCTCCATAGTGTAATGTTCAAGTTTCCAGCTCCATTTTTCCTTACCTCCACCTGTAATAAGACAGACATGGCATTCAAGAGAGAAGAGGTTGGAGATATGTAATTGTTCCGTCGACGCCATTTTTGAAGGCAAGGAACTTGCAAGCACGAATCTGGGAGAAGACAGAGGTATAGAAAAGTGCGATCAGTCAAAGCTGCAAGTATCATGAAAACGAGACTCAGTGGCTTGATATTGAAACAGGAAAACTGCAAAGTTGTATAGAGAAGACAATGAAGGTATCCAAAGGGCCTCTGACCTCAATGACGGACTGTGACGTCACTTGACCCCTGCCAAGCTACAGCCCGGTTCCGTTGAGGTGCCGCCCCTATCACGCTCGCAGCCTCGCGACATGGATGTGACAGGGTGTTTGGGGCGTACCTGATTGTCTAAAAACTTAGCTAAAGTTAGTTAAAGAGGCCATATCCTCGTCTATCAATGATGCCCAGTCTGTTACCGTCTGGGGTGTTGCATCAAGGATGTGTGGAATCATTGGCACTCCCTACCAGCCTCTAGCCGCCAGCCCTGTCGCCGGTCGCATGGAGTACGTTACTGCAAAAGTTTTCTTCAACCTGCACATACCACAACCCACTTGTCATGCTATAGCAGCTCTTTTTGTGCCTCAGTCCTCACAGTGTCGACCAACGATACCAGAATGACATTCAAATTTTGCTCTTCCTCCGTCTGTTCTGTGTCTGGAACTCGTTCATCATCCTCCTGCCTTCCGCTTCAAACCCCTCCGCCTCGAAAGGGGTGCCGAACTCCCACACCCCAATCTCTATTGCTTCTCGGAGCGGAACCTTTTCCCACAGGGCAAACAGCTTCTTCTGAATACGCAAGGCACGCGGCCCATTCAGCAGCAGCCTATCCACCCATTCTTCCACAGCCCTGTCCAATTGGTCTGCCGGAACGACTCTGTTCACCAGACCCCATGATTCGGCTTCTTGCGCCGAGATCGTGTCGCCCAGGAGGAGAAGCCTCCGGGCCCTTGCGGCTCCAATCTGCAGGGGTAGCAGGGCTGCTTCAATGGTGCTTGGCACGCCTCGTTGGACTTCAGGCATTCCGAAACGGGCGTCTGATGTAGTGATGGTCAAGTCGGCTGAAGCCAGGACGACGAGCCCACCCCCCAGGGCATGCCCGTTGACACGAGCAACGACCGGCATGGGCAAGTCTCGAAGCGCTTTGCAGGCCAGGTGCAGCTTGTTGATGAACGTCCGCCCAGATTCAGCGTCGGGGAAGTCCTTCATCTCCGAGATGTCGGCGCCGCCAATAAATGCCTGCTGACCAACAGCGCATGGTCCCCCGGTCACAATTACGCAACGTAGATCGGACCTTTGGGCGAGCGGCGGAACAGAGGCGATAAAGGCATCGAGGATAGTCGTATTTAAGCTGTTGAGCTTCCTCGGGTTGGAGACGGTCACCGTTGCGATCGTCCCATTCGGACGCTGCGAAAACGAGATTGCAATTGGGGTGAATACGCCATCAGTTGAACCCGCCATGTTGTTCTGCCGAATGCAGAGCGATATGTTTTCAAATCAGCTCGTGGATGCCAGTCCGAAGGCTTTCTAGGTAGATTGGATGCGGACATACATCGGGGAAGCCATGGCACGTGCAGGTGGAGCTGATGCTACCTCCTCGGCACTATCAATTGGGGAACCAAAAGAAGAAATCTGTCGTGGGGATCATCAGACATAAGAACGCCTGTTTTACGTGTCCAGATGATGAGAGTCAAGTGTTTTGTTTCAGTATGTCGCTTGCCTACCATGTGCTTCGGAGAACACTTGCTTCCCCAAAGAGTCCTGACTGCCTCAGTGCCTCAGGCCCGCCATGCCCATTCTGTAGTACACTATGGCAGCTCAACTTTTATTCTTCTCTCCCATTTGCTGCTCTGTCTCACGCCAGTTCTCATTTCTCACGCTTCAGTTCAGCGAGTTCTCATGGTCATAGATCTTTCCCCGCGGCTTTGAGGTCTGGTCAGAACATGGCCCTCTATTCTAGGTTCACCCTCAAGATCATCCATCAACACCTGTCTTTATGAAGCATAATGCCTTTGTGAAAATGGTCAAGCCTGGGAGGGTTGGAACCAGCAACGTCCGAGGTCATCGGGCATATTTTGAAGGAGGTTGACCCAGGACCGGAAGAGAGGGCGATGCCATCAGCCATTCATATCACCCTGGTCCCCTCAAGTAGCGTTAGACTACTGCTTCGTTCCCCGTTTCGAGGGAAACCCAGACAGCCAGTCGCTTTTCGTGGCTTCTCAGAGCCAGATGATGGGTTAGGTAGTGCAACTCAGTTTTCCCGTGTGAGAATTCGATAGCACTCAACAAACGCCGCAGCATGGTCGATCAGGCTGCGAGAGCCAAGGCAGCCATAGCCCGGACACCAGCCTCCGTCTTGTGACCCCCGATAAAGCCACTTGCATGGACAAAGACCGCCCCATTCTCAACAGCGCCACCTAGCAGAGCATCCAACTCCTCGTCTCTCACGCCACGCCACGGTTCTGGTAAGCTTTTTCGGTTCTCGAAACTTGAAAAATCTTTACTGACAGCCTGGATTCTCCATTTGGACCCGGGCTCCTCCTTTTCAGGATAGATCACATAGAGGATTTTTTGGTCCGCAGGCAAATTGTTTTCATCCTCGATATTGTACAGGTGCTCTTTCCAAGGGACACCGGCGCGGGGCAGGACTATGAGTTGACCAGAAGGATGTTGTTGGCTGCGAGACTGAAAAGCTTCTTTGACAATGGCTCGTGCAGGAAGCCAGGCGGTGGCTGCCCCATGGAGTTTGCGCAAGAAAGCAGTCCCCATGAGGGTCGAAGCCTGCGTGAACCTGTAGTCCTCCTCTGCCTGGGGCTGATCCTGAGTCGACCGTGAGGGCGCACCCAGGGTCAAGGGGTCTTCATGGTTCAAGTCATTGACCAAGCTTGCGAGTGTTATTCCACTGTCCTTGAACCTCTGCTCGACGCCGGCCTGTTCAAGCTGCGAACCATCATATTTCGAAATGCCATTGTCATTGGCATCAACCGCCTCAATAAAGTCATCGTACAGTTTGCGGTAGAGCAGGTCCACATCCGGGTGGTCAATCGGCAGTTTTGTATGCTGAGCAATGATGGCTTTGCCAAAATGCATGTAAACCAGGCCAGCAGAGGATAGTTTCGTCTTGTGGTCGGGGAATGCAGTGGTGAAGGAACGTTGATGATGGTCGTAGCGGTTCTTGGAGGCATCGTACTCACCACCAACGTCGACAACTGTATGACAGGTCTCTAAGAGGGCGGGATCTCGTGTTCGTACGAGGGCGGCAGAGGCATACTCGGGAAGAAGACGGAGCATGTAGACGGCGAGGGCTTCGTCCGCATGGAAGTGGCCATTGTGGGTGCCAATAATGAGGGGATCGGGCTTGATTCGCTTCGTAGCTGTTTCGGCAGCCATTTTGATCAGCGTCCGCAGCATACACAAGTTAGCAGTGAGCAGTGAGCAGAGGGGGCAGAGATCAACGTGTGAACAGGCCTGAACAGCCGTTTTTCTTTGCTCTGCGCAGCCAAAAAATCTGGGGGAATGTTGATCCGGATTATTGTTCTACCGAAATCCGTGGCCAATCATCCGAATAGGCTGCGATGGCCGTGCTTCGCTGCAAGGGAACAATCTGGCCTTTCACATTTCCCTTTTACACCGCCGCCAACGATGCTGGTGCTTCAATGGACTCTGCTCCCATGCTCCTGTTGCAGGTAGCCCGTATATCAAGGTCTCTTCAATCCTCACATGAACGGTCTGAGGCGGGGGTCGATGGAGCCCGACCCTAACTGCGTTTGTCGTTACCGCCGCATCGCAGTGGGGTCCAATTAGTTAATGGAATATACTCACTACGAGGATAACTACCAATCCGGATCTTGCGGTGAGCGAGACTGCTCAAGCGAAGGTCTGGTGTGTAGCAATAAATTCTCAAGATTGCAGAGCTGCTAAGCAGGGGAGCAAAAAAAACAACTCGAGCAACGGTCCACCAAAGAGGCCTGTTTTAAGCTGTTCACGTTCTCGTTCACGCCCTGGTCCTGGCACCTAACGGTGGTTCGCTCAACTCTGTCTCTTCAAATCTTGCTTGGGTGCGGTGCGTCCTTGCCTGGCCTGCTTCCCTGAATTCAAAGCCCGCGTCGGTGCACGCGACATCCTCTTTCCACCTCAATTTCTCTCACTACTCTCTCTCCCTTCTCTTCACATTCATTCCCTCAAACCGACCCGCGGTTTACCAAGGCCGAAATAAATTCTCTGTGTCGCCCATCGGAATGACATGTGAAAGCCCGGACGTCGACTCAACCGCGAATCCCTCAAAACCTGTCTAGCAGAGCGAGCAACCCCTCCAAGGTTCCAGAGCCAGGCTGACCGACCAACAGTCGTCGGACGCAGTCTATGTCACTGAAGGTACCGCCGTGTTAGCTGTACCTCAACTCCTCGTTCTGAACGCCGAACCCCTCGTCTCGCCTCATCCCCACCAGCCGACCGAATGTTCTTCCGCGCCCTTTCCGCCCTCCTCTTCCTCACGCTCATTATTGTATTGATTCCTCTCACCTTTGACGTCGGTGGACGCGACGCCGGTCTCGCCTTCTCCCTGTCCATCGCGTCCTTCTACTTCTGCCTGTCCTTGCTCCGAATCTCGACGCCGGATGAGCCAGGTTTTAGGAGGGCCATAGTCAACATCCTGCGGGGGCTACAATTGCTCGTCCTGCCAGTCTTGTGCATCTGGGCTCTCGGGAGATTCTCAGTCGATGCAGACAATAGCTCGGGGTGGGTGGAGCGGACATTCCGTACAAGCAAGGATTTCATCAAACCTGGTCCCTCGCTCTGGCTGGCTGTCTTTGGAAGAGAAGGTCTGTTGGAGAATGTGACCCTCGGCGCATGGGATGTTATGTTGCGATGGTCGTCGCCCGTCTTTCAACTTCTCGAGGGCTTCTGCAGTCTCCTCGTCATACAAGCCATTGGGCAATTCTCACGCTGGCTGGTCAACAGAAGTGAATGGAGCGATGCCTGGCTTCTTACTCTGCTCGCGACCTCGGCAGGAGTCGTGTCAAGTTCGGTCTATTTTCTTTGGCGAGTTCTGCAGTTTCCGGACATCTCAAATCTCGACTCGACTCTCATTGGCATTGCGATTGCGTCGGCTATATTCCTTTGCGCCTACGGGGTGGTTTCTGGTCGCGGCACGGCAACGGAGTCATCTCTGCTTTTCGCCTACATTGTCTTGTGCATCTATCAAATTTTCACAGACTACAAGCCCAACGTCCCCCATGCAGAAGCTGGAATGGCTAGCTCGGCACCAGATTTCCCACCGTTCCCACCGATCATCATGTCCTCTTACACAGCTCTCATGGCAGCACTGTCATCTCTTCCAGGCGCTCTCGTCAACGCACTGGACTTTGTCGCAGCAGCTTTCAAGGCGGTCACACCATCGGTGCTAATCTCTCTCGGTTATCGACTCTTTGTCTTTTATTCTTCCACTCGCATCATTCCGGCGATCAATGAAAGCGGTGCCAGCGGTCTAAGTATGGAGCCATCTCTTGAAGATTCTAATGCAGCGAATCAGTTTCTCGCCTTTCTCTCCTGGTTTTCTCCCAGCATTCTCATCGCGGTCTACACGAGTCTCCTGATGCAGCACTTTGCCACAACCATGGGAGGATATGCGCCAGGTCTTACGGAAACTATTGGTGCTTGGTGGAGCGGCAACGGCCAACCCGTCATGAATGGCAACTTATGGAAATGGGTCAACTTGGTAGGGACCATGTCCCTTTACGCTATCGAGTTGTGGTTAGGCAAAGAAGACGACATGAATGGCGATCACTGGAAAGTTGACTGAACTAGGGAGGAGGAGTTCGAGCAATGGTGCAAATTCATCACAGGGACCAATGTATCAAAAAAAGGAAGCGTGGCTCCGAGCACATCTGGAACAGTTTTACTCGAAGGCCAGCGTAGCCAGGGGTGGGTACATCTGCAAGGTATTCAGGAACCAGAGCTCCCAGCTGCGACGATCGGTTCACCCGGTTTCCACAAAATCCCGATGGGATGGACATGTTGATGTCACACCGCGAACGCCAAATGCGTTGGCCACATCGTTGGCTCTCTGGAGAAAGGACAAGGTGGAAAAAGGTAAAGGTATGTCTGCAAAATGACGGGGAGTTTCATGGCTCGGCTAGAAATCGAGGTGGAATGGGTTATTCGATGAGGAGCCTTTGAGGTCCCGGATCGCACGATGGGCTTGAGCATATCTAGGGTGGGTGGTCTTGCGGGAGCCAAGTTCAAGAGTCTCTCGAAAGGAGGAGGGAAGCTGCAATGACATGGAAAAAGCTGGAGAACGAATACGGCACAAGACAAACCCAGTTAAAGGAAAGTCTGTCAGGAGAACGGGTGGCTAGCTACCACCCTGGCCTGAGCGAGATGACCGATGTTGGAACGGAAGACAGAAGCAGAATGGGCGATTGGATGATGGTTGGACGATTGAGAATAGTAACAGCAAATTCATTCCTCTGCATAATCTACGCTACGAACCATATCAAAAATGCCATGAGACCCAATCTCGCTCAAACCGTTGTCGGTCAAGTCACGGATCCAAACTGGGGCGCGGCGTCGGCGTGCAGTACTTGATACAGTCTGTATCCTGGACAAGCAAAGGCCCGAGAGCAGAAGGGAAGAAGCAGGTGGGTTCCATTTTCCTCGTTTGACTAACACATGACTGGTGACAGGGCCCAATATTTGCACATCAAGGAGCCGAGCGTTCAGAAGAACATACTACATACATACACACAGTCGTGCACAACGAAGAGGAATAAAAGAAAGAAAACGGACGTTCAAGATTTGTGGAATTTGACTAAAAGCTCCATAAAAAGGGAATACACCGAGTGTCGTGTGCTAGGGACTCGCATCCTCCCGTCCGTACATGTGGGGTACCTAGATAGTTTCTTGGTACCCTCGCACTTCTTTTTTGCTTTGTGGTTTTGGTTTCTCTTTTTTGCTGGCTTTCAAAAGATGCCTCCCGGCGGCGCATTTTCTCTCAGCCTCCCGGTCTCCATAGCCGATAATAAAAGACAAAGATACCGTACATAGACTTTGAAGTGGGCAGTCTGCCGCAGTCAAAAGCAAGCCTTAAACGAACACAGAGTAGCAAAAGATCCCGGTAAAGTCGGGTTCCGTAAGGACTGTTGAGGACTTGGTGTTGGTGTTGCACTTCGGGTCGTTGGCTGCCATATTGGATGTAAGCATTGTGTTCTCGTACCCAGTTCAAGGGGCGACGGGAGCTGTAATCTCATGTTGGCTGGCCGATTGATCGATCGACGGAGTGAGTGAAGCCGATACCTTTTGGACCATCCACGTAGCGTAGTGTCGTTACCATTTGTCGCTTCTCCACATATCCTTCTCGCTGCATGGCGCTCGTCAACTCACCATAGAGCCAGTGTGGCAAGATGTTTGTGCTCACCCACGTTCATCGCGACATTTCCACTCGTAAACATGATGCGACCTCCTCTGCACATCATCTCCGGATCGGAATCCCTGCCTTCTGCACCGGTGGACTGACACTACCCTCCATCATGTTCTCCTGGCTTTGCTCAGAGGACTCGTCATGCTCATCCATGCTCGCACTTCGCGCCAGGAAACTGCTCTCCTTTATCGGGCTCCTGCTTGTCGCGCCAGGCAAACCGCCGCCGGGAATCCCGTTGATACTGCCCCTATGTATCCCGCCCGGCCCTCCACCGCGAATGGGTGGCAGTTGTGTAGTATGGCCCAAGCTGTCCGGAGAAGTAGCAAGGGCGCCTGGTGTCCCTGGGGCAATGGAGTCGGAGCGCGAAATGGTATGGGTGAGCGGAGACATATGCGGAATCTCTTCGGCTTTGGGGTGTTCGGTACCGATCGTGGTAACGCCAGTGTCCGAGGCCTTGCCAGCTTTGGAAAGTGCGTAGTCGCCAGAGTCGAAGTACTTGCGTTCCTGCAGTTGTACTCAATCAGAATGCTGTTGTTTGGTTGAGGAGGAAAGAGATTCCTACCTTCAACTTGTTCTGCAAGAGGTCTTTCTTGTTTGGAAGTTTGCCATAGAGTCTGAACAGACGTTGCTCATCTGCCGACAATTTCTAAAACAGGACGTACACAGTCAGTCCTGGCGGCTCCCAACAATCTGGATTGAGTGTAGTGTGCCTTACGCTGATGTCAATCTTATTTTTCTGATGCGGATTCATGATTGCAAGCCCTTCTTGCGGGTATTGAGCCTCGAATTATGCTCTGTGGAGTATGTTGACAGCGATACTTTTATCTGGTAGGAGGGAGCAATCCCTGCTGAAGCAAGTGCCAACAAGAAGGTACGATCGCTCGAACTCCTAGAGTGTCTTTGCTGAAACCGAGTCCGTGGGAGGTCGTTTTTGAGAGGATGTACTCGAGGAGGTAGAGAAGGTCTCAGAACGGATAAAGTCGGTGGTAGCAATCTCGTGAGGTTTCGTGATCAAGTTAAGAGGGATGATGCCGGAGGGGTACAGGGGGAGGGTCCGAGCGCCTTTGTTGTCGTTTCAGCTGAGAACAATGGCGAGCAATGTTACGGACGAGGTGACGGCTTATGTTTCCGTAGATTCGTGTGAGCCAGAAAGTTTGTAGGAGAAGGACTGCAGAAAAGTGTCACAGGTTTGCCAATGGAGGAGAACTGCGGTTGGGTTTGGGTTGGTGAGCAGAGGAGTGGGTGACTAGTAGTTTGTATGGGTGTGTGAAGGTGGGGTTTCTGGGAAAGTCGCCGTAGACTAGGTTTCCAGATAGAGCATGGAGGACTCGTCTGGGGAATGGCGGAAAACAGTCGACCAGGGCGAGACGGTCTCGATTGTTTGGCAGTTGGAGATTTCTAGAAGCTGACGCTTGGAAATGGAGGTTGCAGGATGGAGGAGAGGGTCAGGGTGCGGAACTGGCTGCATACAAGTTGAGTTAGCAATGATGAAATGTCGCCGCCAATCACCCTCGTCTTGGCGGCTTTGGCTGGTTCAGGCTAGCAACATGCCAAGACTTCGGATGCTAAAGTTTCCCCGAAATATCCCCACTGTGCCTCCGGCTCCATAGCAACACGTGACCGGTAGAAACCAATTCATGGTTTTTTGTTTTTGTTTTGGACACCAACATCCATGGTGGTTTGACGCTGCTCACTCGTCTAATTCATGTGAAAGGGTGGAGTCATGGCCCAGAACAAATACACCTTTGTCGTTGAACATCTCGACCCAGAGCTTGGCCCTTGGTCCGCGCTGGAATACAAGGCGATTGCACAGGAATCTCAGCAAGCTGGATGCCATTTCATCCTGTCTTCCCTGCCCCAGTCTCTCCTCGAATCACAAGACCTGAAGAACTTGGTAGCATTGGGTGCAGAGTCTAGGCCCGACAGCGTTGAGGTCTACTTTTCCGGGAAGAAAGACAGGATCTGCCTGCTTGATCCGTCGGCCACGCAGGAACTGCATCCTGCCGATGCTGCTGATTTTGACGTCTTTCTGTTTGGTGGTATATTAGGTATGGAGAATTTTGTACCGCCGGTCTAGGACGCTTGATTTCTGACCGACATTTCCAGGCGATGATCCTCCGCGAGGTAGCTAGCCATGTATTGTCTTTCTGCGTATGGTTATCTAATGCACCTAGACCGCACCAGCGAGCTGCGCAAAAAAGGCTTTTCCGGCCGCCGCCTGGGTCCGGTACAGATGACAACAGATACGGCTGTCAGAGTGACGCGGATGGTCATTCTTGATCAAAGTGAGAGGTGGTGAAGGATATGTGCGGCATGGGCTTTCGTGTTGACATTTTACTTTAGTTCCGCTCGACAAGATCCCTCATGTCGACTTTCCAGAGCTAAAAGTGGATGAGCACGAGTTTACGCAGATGCCTTTCCGATATGTCACCAACCACTTCGGCAAGCCAATCATGCCTGAGGTTAGCACTAAGCACTCGGTCGTTAGGGTTGTGGCTAACGTGTGGCAGGGCATGGTCGAACTCATCAAAGCCGACGCGGACAAAGCATTCGACAACCTAGAGTTCGCGGACGAAGTGGACGGCCTCGACCAGCTGGAAGTCAGCAAGCCCTGAGCTAGAGTGTCGGCATGGCACGGTAACCATAGCTTGAGAGTATTTCTGACCATGTCCTTGACAAGAGATTCGATGCCTTGGCAAGTTCCCTATCAGCGAGTGGCCGAGAACTCTAACGCCTCGACAAAGCTATCCATACCTCAGTGTTATATTCAGTATCGCCTGACTGACTGGCAGCGACAATGTATCCACACCAAGGCGGAAACCAGCACAAGTTATTGTTCAAAGGATGATTTAAGTCTTGAAAGAGAGCAAATTCAACTGCGATGTGCTCTTTCCCCGAGACCCACTTGCTGGTGCTCGGCTTGCGCCAGAATAGTCAGGCAGGCGAAGGCTGCGGAATCCGGGATCACCTCAATACTCCTGAGATTCGGCCTTACATTACACAAACCGGCATACACAGACTCAGCCACCAGGCCAGTGTGGATCATGATTGCGTATCTCTGGTCACTTGTCTCTTCAGCAGTAACCCCAAGCGCCCAGCGTCGCGTGTGAGAGGCATGCCGTTGGTCCCGTTGGCATTGTATTGTGTCATCCGACCGGTGCATGGCCAACCGTCCTCGTCCTCGAAGGTAGTCTCAAAGGCCAAGGTCGAATATCTTGCTCAGGATAGGGTCCTGGAAGGATGATATGTGGACGAAGTGTGTTTGAAAGAGCTCAACCACATCTCGATATTGTCTGTAGCCAAGCCTTCTAGCCAGATTTCCGAATCGAACAGAAAACCATCGGATGTCGACCTGGTCAGTAGTATAAAGGATCCAAAAGTTAGCCTGCTTTCGAAGGGCATGGGTCAGGGACATTTGCTCCACAACGGCCCCGATACCGTACACCCACAAGAGATCCAATGCACCCGGATGAGACAGATCAATCTTATCACTCTCAAATCCAAGCTTATGCAGGCATCGAAGTAGCATAATGTGCCAGATCTGTGTCGTGGAGACCCATGGTTGCCCCAGGAGTGATGCTTCCAGACCGAAGGCCATGAAGAGGTGCAGAGCGAGACACAGACACATCCCGACAGATGCCCGGTGCACGGTCGTAGGCTTTGGACTTCCCGGCCACGGGTCGACAGCTTTGGTCGGCTCTGTTAGATCACACCAGTAGTCCCAGATTCGAGCTCTGACAGCTTGTCGCCGAAGGAAAGACCAGCGGAACAGCTTGTTGATCTCGTCTGGTTCGCCATCAGCCAAACGCTTTCTGAGACTATCCACCTCCACCAGTTCACGCAGAACCATGAAAATGCAGGGGAAGTCGTTCGTTCGCAACCAGGCGGAAGAGGAAGATCGGCCAGGGCGCAACTGGGTTGATTTCTTGCGACCGGTCGCCACGTCAAGCGTGGTTTCGGAAGCAAATCTATCTTTCCACCACCACCCAGGATCCCAGGTTGAAGCCTCGAGCACGCTGCGCGTGCCCGTGTTAGCTGCCACTCGCACAACAAGGTAGATTATGATCTCCTTTCTGACCCAAGAGAGTTTGCCAACCCCTCCCATGGACTGAATCATTTGTTTCAGTCCTTGCAGGTGCAGAAAGAGTGCATCAAGGTCGGACCGATATACTGCCGAGCAGCACAACATCAAGACGGTCTGCGACAGGACCTCGGGATCCTCACCTGCAGTGGATCGTGATGCTATCAGTCGCTGCAGCCCCCGGATTCCTCGAGTTTCATGGTCAAGGGCGTACCCCTCATATTGTTCCTTGTTGTGGAGATGCAGACGAGCCATGACCGACCAGCAATACGCAAGGAGGCCATGCATCACTGCTTCATGGCTCAGGCACAACTGGTAAACTCCCCCATGCGCAGGCTTCAGAACTCTGGCCGCATTAGCCGACCCGACTTCATCTGCCCAGATCGTGCTCAAAGATAGTGGTTCAATTATTGACACCGCATGACCTGCCAGCGCGGACAGATAAATAGGTGTCGCAGAGAACGGGTCGCTGTTTCCTCCTTGGAGCAGCAATGACAGCGAGGCTCCCTTCCCAACAAACGAACTCCGTGTTGCTCTTGTTGGGCGTACACGGAATTGCGGCCTGGGGCGCCTCTTGGAAACCTTTCGCTCGGCGAATTTTTGGGCGTCATCTTGTTCAAGAGTATCTTCTGAGGGACGGCTCTTCGGAGGCACTTTTCTCTGTGGTTCAGGAGGAATTCTGTCTTAGCACTCTGGGTTCTTGTCGATATTTCAGGGTCGGATTGAACTTACCACCCCATGGCCTGGCGACGATGCAGTTCGTTCATGTGGAGACTGTGGGCTATCGTTCGCCAGGTCACTCAACAGCGAGAAGGCCTCCTCCACCCGCTTGTTGGTTGAATATTGCTGAGCTCGAATAGCAATGATGCTCTTCTGATCAAAGTCGGCCGTTGGCTTGAAGTTTGTTGGGGTTTTTGCATCGAGCCAAAGAACCTTAGAAGGCTTGTTCGATCCCATTATCAGGTTTCGCAGATTTGCGTGCTGTTGGCCACGGACACCATTAAAGCCCCTCCGGTCGCAGAGGAGAGACGACTACTTTTCACCAGCGACAAGTCCGCAGATTCCGGCAGGGTAAGTCTCACCCGGGATGAGGGCAGTCAGTAGGGACCCAGGTAGTGTTGAGAAAATCAAAAGGCACGTTTGCGGGGAGAACGTGCGAGACACTGTCACACCTCTCAATTGAATACGAGCGAGTGCTGAAGTAGTCCGTGAGCTCCGCCGTCCCTGCTTGCGCCACCGGAATGACAAAGTGTCCAAGTGACTACTATATTGCCTACCAAGGCGCCTACGATAGTTCAGGGGGATACTAACAGTAAGTGTGTGGAGGTATTTCTTCCCACCGTTGAGACATGCAACCAGTTGAGCCCGAGGCTAGAACACGGCACTGCATCCCGCGTCTTGGCTAATAAACCTGAGTGCCGCCCACACCTCAGAACTTCCCAGTACGAACAGGTCATATTGACGGCAGACCAGCACCAGCAATTCATTCCTCGGATCTTAATTACCATTGCCAATTAGAAACAGTCTTGAACCAAGAGGGTGAATAAGCCTCCAGACTCCGAGTTCCATTTTTGGCGGATAGTCGTCTGGTTTTATTGGTCTAATGGCGTTGTAATGCCGCATCCCGAGGGTCTGAGTGGGGATGGTGGTAGGCGGTTTCTGACTGTAGGAAGCTTTGTCAGATGGTCTCGGACTTCTCATCCCTAGTACTTCGCCTATGTGAATGAAGAGTTATAGGGCGATGGGGTGAATGCTTGTTGATTCCAAGAACTCATATGGTCCGCCTATCGAAGAAGAAAAGGATCGAACAGATACTGTACCACGGGAATCATCTGCTCCACCGTACACGAAGGGTCTTGGCATACATTGACGCATGAAACGCCTTTGTGCAACTGCGGGGGCCTTCCCTCACCGCAGGCTGCGCGAAAATTGGTGCCACGAACTTTTTTTGCTCGGGAGCCTCCCGCTGTCTTGTTGGGTGGGAAGGGTTCTGAAGAAAAGATGTGACTCCCACTTCGACCTGCAACAGACTTCCTTTCATTTCCCTTTTGACCAGGCAGGCTTTCTTATTCAAAGTCTTATTGAATCGTGAGTTCTGCAACCGCCAAAATGGTGGAAAAAGTCTACGTGACGTACAATGAGGTTTGTCTCAATCTGTCGCAGGCCCGAATGGCATGAGCCCCATTGCCAAAGCCAGCATTCTCTCTCATAGGGGCTCACGCAAGTCATCAGATCCATAAACTATGCCAGACATCGGCCGAGAAGATTTTGAATGACTTCCAACCCAATCTTATGATTGCCATTGGAGGGGGCGGATATGTGCCAGCGAGAATCCTGAGGTAGGCTGAAGACTTGTGAGATTGAATGGAGAGGTGAGCACCAACTGACACGGTGGGCGAGTAGATCATTCCTCAAGCGACCCGGTGCACCGAATATCCCCATCCAGGCCATTGGTCTTTCGCTCTACGAACAACTCTCTGGCTCAGACCCTGTCGAGGCACCAGGCACAAAGGTCACGCGGACACAATGGCTGGATCTATCCTCACTTGAGATGAAGAATTTGATTGGGAAGAGCGTCTTGATCGTTGACGAAGTTGACGATACGCGCACCACGCTAGAATATGCAGTCAAGGAGTTGGAAAAGGACGTGGAATTGGCGAGGCAACAACAAGGAAGAACCGAGAAGACAAAGTTTTCCATCTTCGTGCTGCATAACAAGGACAAGGAGAAGAAAGGACACCTCCCCGAAGACATGCTCAACGAGAATCGGTATCTGGCAGCCGTCACCGTTCCCGATGTATGGATCTGCTATCCCTGGGAGGCCACTGACATTGACGAGCACGACCAACTCGCCCAAACACACGGCGTCAAATGACTCGAGCTCTATTGGCATGACCGTTGCTCTTCTGGTATAGAGTAGAGGGCAGGATGTTATCCGTAAGCGTGGCATTAGAGGTGAATCTATCGTGAAGACCGCGATGGTATCCCATGTTCAGTCCCATCGAATTTTCCTCGCGTCCAAGCTTTTTCTTGCCTCATCAAGTTGCCCCATCAGTTCGGTGTAGGCTTCCTTTGTGTCATTGAATCGTAGGACGCCCAGACCCAGTCGTCCCAGCAGATATGCGCCCAGACTCACAACGGCCCAGCAAGGGAGAACTGGAATGATTTCCACTTGGATTTTTGTTGGCAGGATGGAGGGCACTGGTGAATCTTCCGTCAAGAGAGGAAGAGCCAGTAAAAGGTATGCCTATGACAAGAATTAAAAAGTGCTCCCTGGACAGGTGTTGGGGCGGAAGCAGGGGACAGAGAACACGGACCGAGGAGATCAACAATGCAAATGAGATTGTTTGCGCAGCGCGTCCCATGGCGGTGAATAAATCAGTTCGGTAGAGGCAGTTGGCCTAGGGTGTTTCGAGGGAGGGTCTGAGTGGCTTTGACCTGGATTTCCACGCGTATGATGCTTTCGAGTCGACAAAGGGTTGGATATTGGCAATGGCAGTGGTTGAAAAGGACAGTCAGGAGCCAAGGTACATTGGTGGCGCGTCCAGGCGCATGATCTGCCGTAGCACCTTGGCATTCAGCCTCGCCGTCCATCTAGTGGGAACTTCGCCTGTCACTGAGACACAGTCTTATCCTCAACAGAATCCATGTTACATTTACATGTGGCCCTCAGCTCCGACATGCGTCATGTTTGACCCCTATGGCCCTACCTAACGTGGCGAATTCCCCAAACGTTGACTGGGCCTTCTTGGAACCAGACGGGAGGAGTCTGGCTTCCATTTGAACTTGCAAAACGCTCAACCAACAATTCTACTGTTAGAGCTGGATATGGCAATGGCGCCCCTGACGCTCCATGAAGCATGTCTATGGCTTGCAGATGCGATGGAGCAATATTGGTCCAGTGACGAGGTTTTGAACCGCCAACATTCAGCCCTGATATCGGGACTGAGATCCTCCTCTGCCAAAGCAAGCGAGGGGAAGCAGACGGTCTTGGCTCTAATGCCTGCTCTCATCTGTCATGTGGATGAGGTGGTCCAGAGAGGACAACCTGATGGATTCAAAAATGCCATCCTCAACACTCTTGCCGATTCAACGCGAGACGTACCTTTATGGCGACCTCTATTCGGCCTCGAGGCTAAACAGCGTAGTGTGATCAACGACAACGAGATGAGAGGGAGGTCTCCTCCGGACTGTATTGTTGAAGTTGTAAGGCGCGTCATCTCCGGAACGGCCCAAGCAACAACGAGCGAACAGTTAAGATCTGCCCTCAGAATTATTGCAAATTGTTGCGCAGACAATAATATCAATCGGTCCATTATTGTCGAACGCAGTGGCATCGAAACAATGCTGGAAATGGTCAGAGAGAGGAGAGAATGCGACCTGGTGATCCCGACCCTCTATAATGTCTGCGTTGACTACGATGAACCGGCGAGAAATGCGGCAGGCGAACCATGGGTCTCGCTTCAAGCAAAAGGTGAGGAAGCAGAGTCGGACACCACCATCAACGCCGCGGAGCAGAGACTCGGTACATATTGGTCGAACGAGAAATTGACGTCCTTTGAGATTTTGCTCCGAGCCAAAGATTCTGGAAAGGTCTCCATAGGGACATTGACCGACCTGATTGAAATGGCTAGCCGGATAGCACTCCATGGGACACACAATTTCGTTCACAAGGCTAATGGGAATGCCACGGGAGACCTGGTCGACATCGACACCACCGCGGACATCCTTCACTCATTGTTGACGCATGGCGTCGAGCTTGCGAACGAGGACATCGACTGCCGAGCTTCGATGTGTCAAGCCGTCCTCAACCTCCTCTCACAAGCCGACACTCACCGCGCCGTTTCAGAAGACTTCCGCATGATCTGGAACTTGGTCCACTTACCTTATCCTTCGGATGATTCAGGCGACGAGATCGACGATCCCGACGAAGAAGAGCAAGTCCTCCTGCCCTACCGGAAAGCGATGCTCAAGATGGTCTACAGTATATCAGCCACTGAAACCTATGAGCACGTTTCCGGGTCCCAATCGCCCCTAATTCGCAACTGCATCACATTTCTGGATGTGGACAAGCCTCTTGGGCTCTCAGCCAGCATCTGCGTGCTGCTCGCTAACAGCATCGTCTCTAAAGAACGCGCCGAGCAACTCATCAAGTCCACACCAAATATCGCCCGTTTCTTATCTGAGTTATTCGTCAAAACCACCGAGTCGGAGGTCCTTCTCCCCGCGCTCAGCCTCGCAATGCGGCTATCGCTCTGTCCTGAGGGCCAAGATGCGTTTCATGAAGTCAACATGGCGTCAGCTGTATCACGACTCCTTGGCTCAACTAAGAGCGAAGTCGATTCCCTCGGACTTCAGATCCAACGCGACGTCATCGCCCTCGTGAGACTGATGATAAAGGGGCGTATTGAATATCTCCCTCAATTGGCATGCAATAGAAAAGATTCGTCCGACGCAAACCTCATGGCTATGGTATTTTCTATTTTTGAAAAGACAAGCCACCCGGAAACGAAAGCTGAAGTAGGAAGGCTGTCAATTGAAGTGGTTCGTACGCTATTTCCGTCCAGACAACATCCTATGCAGTCCGCCACTGCATCTGGAAAAGACCGCCCAGGCCACATCGATCACGAAAAGGCTGAATCACTCTTTCAATACATCTTCCCGGCCCAGGCAACAACACCCGCGCTATCAACTCCAGAAACACCGACTTCTGCAAGTACTACTGTCGCAGATACAATAGGCTGGATACTGACCCAGTCGACGAGCCTCTCCAGCGACTCGCAACCACAGCAGCAATCGCCATCACCACATCCATCCCTCTCCCAGGCCGAAGCAGAAGCCTGGTTCGGTCTGGCGCTGCTCTCCACGTTTCCGTCGACACACGGCTCCATCAGAGCCGCCATGGCGCGGGACGACTTTCAGCTGCTGAAACGGCTCCGCGAGATTGCCACCCAGACCCGCTCTTCGCTTGACGGCTCTCGGTCGTTGGAGGGAAACAAGGAAGATGATCAAGGGGAATCAGCGCGAGGTGGAAATGCAGCACCAGGTCTCACGGGAAAGACGGCGACGAACAAGTCGGTGGATCCGAGGTACGAGAACATCAAAGTTCTCATTGCGAGGATGGTTCAACCGCAATCGGCATCCCACCACCCGCACCTGCTCCCACTCCAGTCATCGACCCTAGACAAGAAAGCTCAAAGTCCGAGAACAACGCCGGAAGACATAGAAGCAGACAAACAGGTCCAAGCTGGTCTCGAAGCCGCCGCGGCGGAAATGGGTCTGGACTGGGTCTTGCTATGACGCGGGGGCTTTGTCGTCCTTCCAATCTGTCCTGTCCTACAAGAGCAGAGTAGAGCAGAGTGAGTCTGATTGCATGTACCGTACGGCTTACTTAGAAGCATGATTTAGGCCAGGTTGGGGCTGCCGTTACGGCTCAAAGGATGTCTGGGCTATCTGGCGCCGCCCACGTTACGTACATACATATGAGAGAGAGAATGAAATCGACCCCCTCTCTCCCCGCGACACATATCATTTTTTGATCAACACCGCCCTTGGTTTTCTGTTTCGTTGGTCCTCTCAGAAGAGAAATAATTACAGGATGTCAACCGAGTCCTGTCTGTCGTGTCCTGTCTCATACTGCGTACCGGCGTATCTATCTATGTGTATTATTCGCCTTCTGCACTTCTGGCTCATGCCTGAAACATACCCCAAGGCGGTTGCTTTCACAGGAAGACAGGTAGGTAGGTATAAGTAAGTAAGTATGCATGTATGCAGGCACAGCCCGCGCTGTCGACGGGGAAAAATGCATAGGCACGGTGTTAGGGGCGACGATATTGTTCTATAGACTGACTATGCAGACATGCATTCATCCATTCATGTATGTATGCATGCATGTATGCATGTATGATGTATGTATGTATGTATAATCCTTGATCGAGAATGCAGCAGTGTAGATAGGTAGGTACCAAATGTGCCCCCAAGCATGGAAAAGACTCCGAAAATGTAACACGATGGGACGATGGTCCTATTCACGTTGCAGTTAGTCTGCTTGCTTGCTTCGTTCTTTCGTTCTTCTCGAACCCTTCGCGCAGCTGAATCCTCTTTCGCGCACGTGTCCAAATGATGATGTGAGCACGCGACAAAACCGACGCGGACACATATAAAGAAAACTAATATCCATCCGAGAAACCCGACAAGACAAAAAGGGGTCAAATTCGTAAAATCGTCATCACTGTGTAATCGGTAAAGCAGGTTCTAGGTGCGCCTCTCGTCTATCACCGCGGCTGGCCGTTCAAGAGATCATGTCGTGACCTACTGGCCAAATTGCGAAGTTCATGGTCTAGAGTTAAATGTTCGATTAATCGACCATTGATAGCGCAGAGGCTTGTTGCAGCAAGGTTAGATAGTGGTGTCGAGGCCGCGACCGAGCTCTGATGGTGCTCGACACCAAGACCTAGACGGTGGTGCCGGGGTAGTGATTCATGATCGAGCGCAGTGCTTGTGCTGAGCTGGACAGGTGCATGGACGGGCTCATCGGCCTGATGATGTATCTGGCATAGCTGCGGCTGTGCAGGTGGCAATCCCATCACCAACGAATCCTCGGCTTGTCGTCGTGCCCGGGCATTCGCGCAGTGCTTGGCTTGGTGCCTGCAGAAGAGGTTAGTAAAAATACTACACAAGGCCCGTGAGCTTTGCTCGGGTCTAGGACGTGTAAAAAGGGGGTCGTCATTATCGTTGAGAAGGAGAGAGGAGGTGGCATGGTCGACTTCAAGGTGCCAGAACGGTGATAAAGAGCGAGGCAGCGCACTCACCTGGCTCTCAAATCCGACCGACCGAACAGCTTGCCACAATCACTACACTTATAGTCCTCGTAGTGCTATCAGAGTTCACAAATTAGCCCATGTAGTCCAATATTGAGCAAGCGCAGCAAGATGTAAACTGGTCGGAGGTGATTCACATACCGACCTGATGTGCCGGTTCAAGGCTCCTGCAAGCGTGTATGTCTTTTCGCAACCTTCTTTCGGGCACTTTTTCTTCTGGCGGTCTCCGTTGTGGCACTTGATGTGGTTTCGGTAGCACGCCGGTTTGACGAACTCCTTGGTGCAGGTTTGGCACACGTAGGGTCCAGCATCGTGCTTTTTTATGTGCATGGCGATGTTGGCTGCCTGAGCAAAGGTCTGTTGACACCTCGGACAACGGTATCGATCGCCGTGCTCACGCATGTGTCCTTGCAGGAGGTATGGCTTGTCGAAGGCCTTGCTGCATGTAGGGCAAACGACAGGCCCTTTGACTCTTTTCCTCTTTACTTTCGGCGGATTTGGTGGCGTCGGTTCGGGCTCTCTGTCAGGTTGATCGTCTGATTGTACAGGAAATCCTAGTCGATACGGTGAGTTAGGATGTCGCTCATCACAGATCTAGACAAAAGCTAGACGCAGCAGCACTCATACAACGCCCAAAGCATTCGCAATGGAAACTCACCTGATTTGATCGTGGACAAATTGTTTCCGCCTGTCTCATCCTGTAAAGCTGGAGGACTTGCCTGGGAAAAGTAGCTGGCCGAGGGGCCTATCAGAGACCAAGCCTCAAAGTTCGAAGCGGTGTGAGAGATGTCAGAGGGTGTCAGTGCGGCCTGGAAGATTGTCCCTTCTATAGATTCATAGCACGCTTGCCACGACTGGGAAAAAGTGCCTGACTCATGGCAGTTGGAGGCCCATAAATCCCCAACCTCATTGTCGTCTATACCGAACGCGGCCGCGGCGTACGGCTCCCGACCAGGAATGGAGAGATGGAAAGGGGTAGTCAATGTCTCTGAGCTGTCAATGGAGGAGGAGCCTGCGCAGGACGGATCGAAGTATGCTGGAACATTGCCCGACAGCTCGGGTGACAGAAATGCCGGATCAAACGAAGGAAACTCGTAATTGACAAATGGAGCACCAAACATATCCATTGTAAAGACGAAAAAACCTGTCCAAAGAGACTTGTGGAAAGAGATCCTACCTCTGACACACCCGTGGGGATGTCAGATGTTTTGAATGGCATTCAACCTGATGGGCATCAAGTGACTGTTGAGTCCATGGCGCCATCTCCATTGTCGTATCCTGCATTCCAGAGGGCCCACGGTTTCGCCTTTTGCATCGGCAATGTACCCCATGAGCATATACCCCGGCATCGACAGCCGCTCAGGCTTTCTTTGAAATTTCGGGTTGAATTCGACTTTCTATCTAGCGCATTGGCAACATTAACACGATAGGTGGCCTGTGCAGGATGCGACTTAGCCCAGAGGGGCATTTGCAGAGCCAGGTCCATCCGGCTCCAATGAGATCATGATAACCCTGGGAAGGGCGACCCTGCCGGCACTTGACAGCGGCGTAAACTCTCAGTTGCCCACATTCCTTCGCAGGCCGACAGTGGAGTACTAGCTGCTTAGACTTTGAAGAAACAATGGTTCGCCATTCAGCGGCGAGCAATTCGGGAGACCGTTGCCTCGACCCGGGCTCCCCCATTCGCGGCAATGTCGCATCGACGCAGCTTGTGAGGCAGCTTGTCCCATGCAAGTTCTTTTTGATCGACGTGAAGGGCACTCCGCACAACTAGTGCACCGTTCTAGTGAGGTATGTCAGGAGGTCAGTCCTTCTGCTGACCAGCGACCATTGCGGCCAGCCCGTCGACCTGCTCGCTCAGTTTTTGAACCAGAGCGATCAATTGTGCGCTGTCAGCTGCACTCAAGGCAGATTTGGTGGTGGACGCAGCCACATCTGGCGTGATGGTCAGAGACGACTCGTTAAGCGCTCTCCGCGTCGATGGCGACTTGACAAAATCCCGGGCCCCCTCGAGACTGAGCCGGCCTGCACTTAGTGGACGGCTAGTGAAATGAGGGGCTCGAGAAACGGTGGGATGGGCACCAGAGATCAAGGTCCTAGAGTTCTCGTATGCCCAGATCAGCGCCACAAAGGGAACATGGGTGGCTTTGAGGACAAAGATGCGGATTCGACGAACTTCCTCCGAGGGTAGGATGAGGCGAAGTGGCCGCAGCACGATCAGTGGGAATAGGTTGAGTGGAGGCATGAAGTAGGTCAGCCGACGGGAAGTGCTGCTCTCGAGGACATAGATCGAATATTGAAAGAGATACTCCTCCCTTGCATGGGCCATGACCTTTCACAGTGACCAATTAGCGAACGGCGCTTCTTTAGTCCGATCCTTGTAGGCGCTTAAAAGGGTTGCAGGATGGCCGCGGCTGAGGACGAAACCACCGCCACTGAACTCACCTCTGTCAGGGAATTGGATACCAGAGACACCAATGATGTGATGAGGAGAATGTTGGTTAAACAGACGAAAATCAGCCTGCATAGATATGAAGTCAGCCTTGAGTTCCATCCAGTACGAAGGTTGCCTCTTTCATCCCAATCGGGACGTCTGCCATTGACACCTAACGATGACAGAGCTGTACCGAGGCTCGAGTCTGCTGGTGGTGCAATGGAAGTTGCGGCATGTGCATACATCAGAGTATATCCAAACAATGGCGAGATCTGAACCGGTCACGTCAGTCGAGAGACCCTTCAGTCAGTCCTGGAGACGATTGCATACCTTGACAGCCATGTCGAACCCGAGGTAGCTTGAGCTGTCGCACTGGTCAGTGGCGTTCCTGAAATGCAGAGTTATCACCATACCCAAAAAATACTTTAATCAACATCCATGACATTTCGTTGAGGCTCATCCGATCTCTCGCCAGCATCGTGAAAGTCGTCAAAAACCCAAGGTACAGCACCACAATAACGGGCAGAAATTTGCAAAAAGCTTTTGTCTGAGGGATCGTTAGTGTAGGCTCTGCTGCGACGGAGCAGAAACGTACCATCTCTTTCAATACTGGAATCTTCACAGCACGCTGTCAGTTTGCCTTCAACAACAGACTCGCATGACCTACCAGGCTTCCAAAGTATGGGTTCAGGCTCATAACCGAGAATATCCTGACCATGTGAGCATGTCTAGTATAGCAAATCTATTCTTCGTTGATGCTCACCTTGGTACAAGAAACAGTGCCACCATGGACAAGATATCAAATGCAACATCGATGATATAGTCGCTATCTCTGATGAGACCAATAATACCTGAGTGAACTGTTAGCTTCGCCAGCTCCATACATTGGGGACATCTCAGAGGGGAACACACGCGTAATAGCAAAAGCCGCACTGACGCCGATGATAGCAATATCCCACAAACTCCAAAAGTCCGTCTGATAAAACATGAGGCCTGCATCTTTGATCTCACCCAACTCGTCATAGGCAAAAGCGGCAATCCAGATATATAACACTGTTTCTGTTGGTGTAATGTGGCTTGGATCCCTCTCGACCAGGACAGCATAATAGAGTGCCAGAAATGCGAGGAAGAAGCTGATTTGAAATGCCTTTTGATACTTGGGCACCCTCAGACGGGTAAAAGGATCGGCCACACGCTTGTTGTACACTCGGGGCTTTTTGACGGCGTGCACGGAAAGACTCTCCCAAAAGATCACGTCGCCATTCCAGATATCCTCGACGATCTTCTGCACGGAATTCTGCGAGAGGAACTTCTTTGCGTCGGCGATGGCGGCAATCTCCAGGGCGTTCATACCAGCCATAGATTCATCTAGGTTGGCTCTTTGTGATGCAGCATCCTCGTCACCCGGGAATGTGCTTGATGTGCCAGCACCCGGCATGTGATCGAAGGAGCCACGTTTAGGCGGGCGCAGAATCGCACCATGTTCAGCAAACCGGGCATGCATGAGGGGTGAAGTTTCGTCTGCGTGATCCTCCTCACCATGTTGACGGCTACTCCTCGTGCCATTGGTGTTATCTGCAGAGCCCGAGGAGGATCGCCGCGTATTGTCATCCGGATCCTGGGGCAGTTCATAGAGAAGGTAGTCGATCAGTTCCTTCTCAGACAAGAACGTGAGGAACTGCCACGCCACAAGCTCACAGGCGAGGGCTCTCGACTCGTTCAACCCGCTATCTGCGTCCGCGTCGGCGTTGTGGAAGAGATACCTCGCAGCCAGCAATGCCGCCACGACTGCCGGGTGGTGACAGTCTTCGCTCAAATACGCAATGAGAGGTTTCAAGGGGTGTCCCGCGCTAGTGGTGCGAAGCTGTTCGTAGGTGTAGGCGGCGTCGATGGCTTTGGCAATGTACGAGGACAGTTTGAAGACGACGTCGGAAAAGCTCTCTCTCGAGTCGATGATGGGCACATCGTCCTTGTCCCACGGCTGGAATTTACTGGACCGGGGAGTTTGAGGTTCGATGCTCGCCATGGAGGCGTCCGTGTAGGTTTTGAGGTTGAAACGAAGTCCTCGAGGACGCATGGAGGTCGTTCTGGTCCTAGCTGGTGTGATTAACCTGCATCATGGGGGGGAAGAGGCCCAAAAATAAAGAAGGTTCGTGGGTTGTGTTATTGGGTTCCACGGTCGTCATAGGAGTTTCAGGTTCAAGGAGTAAAGTACCATTATTTGTCGGGTTTGATAGACACACAACGTGGCCGCATGCTCCTCCGCAGCAACTCTTGGGCGGATCAAACCCGCAGAACATGAAGCTTCCAATGACGTCATTTTCGCGTATCCAGCCCAGCACATACCAGACTCCCATGAATGAGCCATCCAGCACCCAGACCAGCCTCAGCAGCGCTCATGGCTCTCACCACGGGCGCATTGCACCAATACCGGTAAGCTGTCATGGTATTCGCCTCGTAAATGACACGCGGAAGTCCCTGGCTTCTGGTGAAACCGCTCTCACCCTCTAAGCCTCCTCCGAACGGAACGGAGATCAACGACCTCGTTACCGGAGAGTACGAGGTACAGCTTCTTCCACTCAATGGAGGCCAGCCTCAATATAACCAAGCTCTTTCCCATCCTTCTAGCTCTGTCGTTGTCCTTTCAAACCAAATCCCTATTCTGGCGCTGTCACGTCCGTTTATCTAAGTCCCTCAGGAAAATGCCTCTTCCCACTCCCTATGCCCCCAACACCATCCACACCGTCCCTGCCCGGGCATCCGTGGCCGTCCCTCTGTCTCCGTCGCAGAAATTGACCGTGACAAACACCCATGGCTCCCAAGTGATCGACTTCTGGGCGTTTGAAGTCCCTGGGGACGCTGCACCCAAGGAGCTGACGAACTACCTGTCCATGTCTCACACCAGGGCGGCGCTGCTGAGCCTGAGCCCCGTCGCGCCGTGCACGCTTTCGACGAACCGGCGCACGGGGATCCTGAAGTTCATCAGCGACAGCTCGGGCGGCATTCATGACACCCTGATCCCGGCGTGCGATATCCACCGGTACCACCAGCTGGGTGTGGCCCCAGATCAGTACCACGCCAACTGCTCGGACAACCTACGCATGGCCCTTGCTCGCGACACCCCCGGCTACACCCTCCCGGCGCCGTTCAACACGCCGACGTCGACCGTGCCGGACCCGCTCAATCTGTTCATGAACATCCCCGTGTCGCCTCTTCCGCAGCCGCTGCATGAGAGCAACCCGTCCGCCGGCGGGGCAGTGAGTTTCAAGCCGACCGTGTGTGAGAAGGGCGGGCACGTCGTGTTCGAAGCGCTGGTCGGCTGTATCGTTATCATGAGCGCGTGTCCGCAGGATTTGGTACCGGAGGTCAACGGCGGGGTCATACACGACTGTCACTTCGTGGTGGAAGGCTAGTTAGTTAGTTACAAGGGTCGGGAGCTCCACAATTCCTTGGAGCAGGTATGGGACATGCGGCAAAGGGAGAAAAGCGAGGTCGACGGGTTGTGGACGGTGACGCGTCGCAACAAGGACAGTGACAAACCGAAGCAATTCAGTCTGTAGAAGGGAAAAGGGGCGTGCCGGGCACAACAAAGAGTTCAGATCCTCTTGAATAGCCTCGTATTACTGCTACTGTACTGGGTAGATAAGTGGTTGAAATATTCTTGCATTCTCGGCTGAGTCAGAGAGACCTTTTTTATTCTTGCTTCAAAGCAACTTCATGTCTCATATCATATTGGGCCGCACTGCCTCCCATCTATCGAACAACGACAATGCTGCTCTCCGAGTCAAATTCGTCGAGTTGCTCGTCGCGTTGCTCAGCTGCAAATTCCCAATTTCGCACCAGTTGTTGATTGGCAGACAACTCAGATACTTGCACCACGAGCACGTGTCGCGGTACTTGTAAAAGTTGTTCAAGAGCACGACGAATGCCACCAGGACGCCGATCAGCGCTCCCAAACGAAACAGCCACCATGCCCACCATAAGGGCTTCCGTCCTTTGAAGAATCCAACCGGTTGTTTTGCAAAAGCGGCCACGTTAGCTGGCGTGGCCGTCGCCGCCGGTCCAGCTCTGGGAGCGATTGGCGAGGACGATGAATGAGTCAACATCGGGTCCTTGGGGTTGATGCTCACGTCCGCATCTGAGCCAACATTTCGGTAGGGGCTCGTGTTGAGGCTGGTAGACTCGTCGATGCGCTGGCGAAGGATATTGGGAGAATGGAGAAGGCAAATGCCCGCCGCAAGACCCATCAGGAAGCCTCCGATGTGAGAGAAGTTGTCGAGGCCGGGCAACAGTCCCAAAACGAAAGAGACGATGATGTCCACCATAATCCACATTAAGTCTTTGATAGGATGGCGTCGTTCATTCCATCCATAAATGAGGTCCAGAAGAACCAATGCGAGAATGCCGAAAAGACATCCCGATGCTCCCGTCGACGCAATCGCGGTGGCCGCAAAATTCCCACCCAAGACAAAACCAAAAATGCCTGAGCTGAAGTACACAATGGCAAATCGAATGCTTCCAATCGCTTTTTCCATTTCCCGGCCCATGGTGAGTTGCAAAAGCAAGTTGAATGCAATATGAACGAGTCCAGCATGCAAAAACATGGGGATGATGAATCGAAACCATTGATTCGGATGCTCGTCGCTGAAACCAGAAAATCCACACAAGGCCTTGAGATCGCAGTGGTTGCTAGCTGAGTTGGGATCAGATGTAGTGGTATTAGGACATGGCCAAGTAGGAGGATCGGGGCTGTCTTGCACTCCAGGAGTAGTCCGCATGCAGGGCACGAATCGAGCACCCATATTAATCTGCACATATGTCGAAGGGCCGATCATGGGATTAAATTGCGGTTTGATCATGATAGGGGATCCTGTGATGATAGCTGTGTATATCATTCAGCACACAGAGCAGAGATTCAGGTTGGCTGGACTCACAATTCTTAATTATCTCAACAACAAAAACCGTAACCTGTATCAAACTCAGGGTGTACACAACCCATGGTATCTTTCCCTTGAAGAAATTTGCAAAGGATCCCTCTATCTTCCTCTTCCCTTTTGAATCTGGCAGTAACTGCGGGGAATTCGAGTCGGGAGAAGGAGGATATTGTGTGGACTGATTTCGCCAGTCAGACGCATCTTGATTCGTATTAATTCTTGATTGGTGCTTCAGCGGTATCGAGTCCGAATGTACAGACTGTCTCGTAGGGTCGTGAGGTTCATAGAAATTAGACATAGGTCTGGCGCTGTACGTTTGAGAGAGACGTGAGTGATCGAGGCCGGAGGAGCTGTGTTCGGGATTATAAGCAAAGGCGATGTGTGAGAGTGGTCGTTCATTTTGCGGCCGGGCAGATTGTGACGATTGAGCCATAGAAGACTGCTGGTAGTAATCGTTGGCAGCCATGGTGGATGTCGAAAGGAGAGAGCAACAGAACTGAATTGCTGCACGTAGGAGACGGAACGAGTGCAAACGAGGGGTGAATATTCACTGTGTCAGAGACTTAACAGTGCAGTGATCGTAGGTGAAGCCCCGGGGGCGAGGACGAGTTTCCTGTTAGATCCAAACCACCATCATTCCTGATGAGCCCTAAATTGGTTGACGCAGGGAGCTCGAATCGGTAATGTCGATTGCTGGGACGGAAACTTGGGCCTTGAAAAGGATGAGCTGCGTATGATTAATCGGCAAACAGGGCGTGGGTTAGGTGTTCAAAGGAGTGTGGTGTTTTTCAAACAAAGTGGGAAGAAACAAACGACAAGGGAGTGAGTGAAGATCGCAGTTGAGGATTCTTTGGGATGTTGCAGTGCCTCAACCCACACACCGCATCTGCGCACAACAACGTGGCTCAGGTAAGGGTTTCGGGGGCAGACGAGTACGAGAAGCAATTGTTTAGGCGGAGGATGGTTTTAGGCATGGGGCGTGGGATTAGGCGTGTCTCAAAATTCAGGAACAAGCCTAGTCGTAGGAGCCCCTAGCCCGCACCAGCCCCAATGCAGACCGTCACGCGGCCATCCTGGCTTTGTGAGTGGCTGCTGGTCGACAGAAGTCCCTGTCCTGCAATCGGATCTACCCTTGTATGGTGGTTCCCTTCAAAAATAGACTCGTACCCCCTGCTTCGCCTTACGCTTTGAGGGCAGCGACGTGTCAGCCCTCGAAGTTTCGAATCTGCGCCCACCTGAACCCTTTCGAACGCGCAACCTCACCCAAAACTTGCACGTGATGGGCCGATGGGTTTACTGGAATGGTAGTGTACGTGAAGATTTGGCTGGGACATTAAATTACTCTATTGTGATCTGTGTGTAACAATAACTCTTTTCTTGTTCGTGGGGCTCATGATTCCTGCAAGAGGCTGAACGCGAGGCAATTTTCCAAAACAAAAAGAGAATCGACATTCCAAGTCCAGAAGACATGGCGACTCTCAGACAACTATATAACAAGAACGGCTGATTGCCAACAGCGTTCAGTACTTCCTCTCTTAATTTCCCTGCTGACCAGGTACCCTGCTCTTCCACTCAGATACGAGTCGAACACGTCCGCTTACTTCACTTGGCTCTTCTTAGCCGTCGACGAACCCAAAAAATGCCGGTATTCGTGAACTAGAGTTGAGAAGGTTCCAAAGTGGTATGTAGCGAGCGCGTTGTAGTCTGCTGTAGCCTAACGTGAAGAATATTCCTCAATCAAGCACTTAATGATATAAGAAGCACCTCGAAGCGTGGCTTTTTGACCCATGCAAGCCGGAAGGGGATCTTCCGCGTTGATCCCCATTGAGATCGGCCAATTTTCTCAAGGATCGTCACTGGTCGAAGAATGAGTGTATCTGGTGGTGGACGTGACTCGAGTTGTCAATCGCCGTAGTCCTCCGGATAGTATAGTCATCGTGCGACGATGTTCGCTCTCTTATGCCACAAAGCCAGCGTCCGTATGGGAGACAATTGACGTTGCCGGATCAGCCGTTGTCATGAGCACAGTTGTGGAGCACTGGAGAAGGATCCAGTCACGTAGTATATCAGCCGGCACAGAGCGTTGACAACAAATGGCTGGAAGCCCCAGAAGAGCGCGTAGAGCAGGGCGGTGAGAGCGACAAGGACGACCGAGTTGAAGACGAGTTTCTCGCCCGGGGTCATAACATAAAGCCCGAAGGTGACTTCATACTGGTAGTATCGCAATCGCAGGTAATTCGATAACTTCGATGGCAGAGAGACAAACGGTAGGCGGAGGGAGTGGTGCGAGGAGGAGGAGCTGGAGGTGGCTAGGAGCTGGATGGCAGCCATGGCCATGGGGGAGGAGAAGTAGTTGGCCGAATTGGGAGGAGCCGAGTCGATGAAGAGAGGGAAGGGCTCGAGAGAATGGTGGAAGTCGGAGGTCATGGTGCGAGAATGCGAGAATAAGAGGAAGCCCGAGGGAAAGTGGGAGGCAGGTAGGTCGGGGGCAATGGATGCGATGGTGGCTTTGTACGGAGCAGCTCGCGTGTCGCAGGGCTTTTGAATCGCAGTTTTCGGGCGTGGTGGGTGGGTAAGAGGATTGCCCGATCAGGAAGTGATAGAGGCGAAGACCAGGAGTTTTGATTTGCTGCTGCAGCACTTGGAATTATGGGACAAGAAGGCTATTGATTAGATTGATGCGCAGACCCCAGGATTGTAGTCAGGAAGGTGGATTGTGGTGATTTTAACGAGGCTGGAAAGGGAGAAGTTGATCAATTGGGGGTGGATGCGCGGAACGGCGAGTGGATGGAGTTTGCTGACGGATCGAAGTCTACAGGTACCGAGGACGTATTCTGTACGAGGTACCGGTCCAGAGAGCACAGTGCGTGTACAGGGCTGTGAAGCCACCAAAAGAAGTCCAGAGGGCATCTGAGAAGGAGTTATAGGTGATGCTCTCCTCGCGTCTTTATGGGGGTTAATCGGTTGATCACGATACCACCCCCTTGGGACCTCCCCAATGCTCATGCGCCAAAAAGAATACGAGGGAAAAAAGATGGGCAAAAACGGGGCAAACAGGGCAAATAGGCAAAGGCCCGGCATCACTCGGGTTTGCGGGAGACGCTGGATGAGCAGCAATTGGCTGAGCCCATGACCAAGCGACCAAGCGACCCTGTACCCAATACATTCATCCGGAAAATGCGGCTCAAGGTTAGTCTTGCGCCGTCTCGCTGTTCTGCCCACACTGCCCACACTACCGGTTTGGTACTCCCATATGTACGATGATGTGATATTTCTCTCGTCCCTCGGGTGTCGTCTGCCCTCAGATGATGTCGACGCTCCAGTGCAAACTTACTACGCACTCAGCAAGCAGTTTGGCCCCCGTCAAGGTCATTCGACCAAAAGTTCCCTTCGTCATGGACCACTTTCCGAGAACGTTTTGGTCCTTCCGCTCCATCCGGGCTTGCCGGCGAGCGGCGCCTCATCTCTCACGGCCCTCGAGCCTGGTGAGCTTCGTTCTCTAACCAATACCTGGTTAGGCCACAATTCCAGAAGATACAGTACGAGAGCAAAACTCCCCGGAAACTCGTCGGATTATTCCAAGGTATTATTTGATGCATGTTATGGCCTCTATAGTCGTTTCGTCATGGATTTCGAACCATTATCCTAAAACCCGCTCAAGGCCCACCCCGTGAAATCTTTTTCTTCCACATGTTGTTCATGCACCCAGTGGAGGCAGATTCAGATCGAACTCTTCTCGATCATGGGCAACTCTGCCCACGATGCAATACATCTCGTTCGACGCAATCAACCCGGGCGTACGATCCGGACGCCGGTGCGTCTCTAGATGTGCTAGGAACGCCTGTAGTCCCGTGAATGTGGGTGTCATGTTGACTGTTGTCGCTTTCTTCTCGCCGAAGACGCCCAACCGCGCCAATTGCGACGGAACTCCGTCCTCTATCCAGCCTTTAGCCGCCCCTTCCACACAACAGAAAAAACAAGCAAACACGTCGCCGTTGTTCATGACATCGCCCGTCATCAACTTCTTGGACACATGGCATTTGGCCAGGAGATTCCACCGATATTTGATGCCCCCTTCAGAATATCGTACTCGGGTGTCGAACGTCTTCTCAGTTTTGACCGAACCACGGCCGCCGCTCGGCAGCGCTTTGGACACTGAAGCCGGGCCCTCGAAGTTGCATTTGGTGCACCGCCAGAAATACTCTTGACCTTTGGGGCCCCTCCGATGCTCAAGCGAGAACCCCTTTTTGCGAGCCCCAAGTTGTTGCCGTACAGCCCCCTTGCAGAATCCCGCCAGATTCGACTCACTTGGTAAGTTGAGCTGCGATCGCGCTATCTGCAATTGAGGCGAAGCTGCACGAGCCGATGGGAGCCGCATCGTAGATTCGAGCGATGCATTCTCGGACTCGGATTTCACAGTAATGCTGTCCGATGTGCTATCCGTGAACTGCCCCGTTGGCGAAATTGGACTATTAAGTGTGGTCATCTGCTGATTGTCGGCGAGATCGAGCGCTTTCGGCTTCACATAGCGAGGCAGGCTGTTAAATTGCATCTCTAGTGATGAAGATACAGGTTTGTGTATCGCATTGGCAATACCCGGTGGCAATCCCTTGCGTATCGCGAAAGATGCCATTCTTGATCCATTCGAGCCGGTAGACCGAATCGACAGTGGTCGTGGAATTGGAGGAACGGGCGGAACCTAGACAGAGAACACAATTAGGTCTCGGGGCCGCTGATCTATTAGACATCGACTTACCCTTTGTTGGAAATGAGGATCGACAACTGCGGGCACAGTTTCAGCCCCGGCGTTGCTGGTCTGGGGCCTCGAGATAGGCGAGTCGGCGGTTGAAGGGCCTTGTTGCATCTGCTGAGATTGGTATCCATGCCACATCGATTGCTGCACCTGCTGTTGTAAGTGGGGAGGCAGTTGTTGCAAAAAGCTTTGGTAGTGTTGTTCTGGCGTTGGAGCTGCTGGGGGACGGCTCCGAGAGTCCAACGTGGTAACGTATTCCAGTGTGCTGTAATCGGGGTTCAGAGGAACTGCCTGTCGTTGATTCGGTGACATATTCGTGGAGGTATTCTCCTCCGCCGCTTTTTGTTCTTGTGTTTGACGTGCCTCAAGGGCTTGGCTATGGTCAAGCTCGTGGACTTGGGCAGGGAGGTTCGCCACAGAGATCGGGTTGTCCCCTGCTATTCGAGGACTGCGTTCCAGGGAAGGGTTCTGTGGCACATGGTCATACTGGCCTAGTACTGGTGACTGGTAGAAGCTGGACTCTTTTGGAAACCTTTGCCCCTTGTCATCACTCGTGTAGACTGGCCTCGTCAAGTTTGGTCTGTACGGTGGCGGATCTGCATTTGTTGTCGGCGCCCTGTCCTCCTGTTGCTGCAACACACCAAAACCATTGGATATAGTCTCAACAACCCTATGGCTGGTCTGCCTCTGCATAGGAAATGGGAGGGCCGGCACATTGTCTTCACCTGGCGTACGGCTCTTGGGCGGCTCGCTCATGTAAGACATTGTTGAATTCATGGAAGTCCTCCGTTGCGGTGCCAACCCATCGGACGGTTTGCGATCGTGCCCCACGGTTGTCCTTGAGCTGTATGTGGTATAGGATGTGGCCGATTGATTGTCAGATGGTCTTCCCCCGAACGAGGAATGCGTACTGCGGCTGCTTGAATAAGCTAGAGACCCAGGCAGCTGGACTTTGTCCGAGTCATCGACATATGGACGGGATATTTGTTTCATTGCCGCCGTGGCTGTCGACATACGTTGGTAAAGCTGGCCTAGACACACAGTTGCATTGACCCGACAATCGTCTGATGTTTCCTTCAGCATGTAGAGGTCGAGTGTCGCTTCGTCCATAAAGACTTCCCGCAGATGCGAGATCACAGCTTGCTGCAGGTTGATGAGGATGTCTTTCATCTGTTCTCGGGCAACAGCGTCCCCTCGGGCGTAGGTTTCGCCGAAGCGACGAACGTCGTGGTCGTACAGGCTCTGCACCGCGGAGCATCCTAGTGACAGAGAGTCCTCGAAATCCTTCGTCAATTGCTCTGGCAGGATGAACTCCTCCGAGGTATTTTGCTTATTTTTGAGCCGCTGTATCAACTTTGAAGCATCGCGATAGGCTCCAATGACTGTATGGGAGGCGAGTCAGTGAGTGATTTCGAACATAACGGCTTTGATTGAACGCAGCAATTCGGTCTTCGGACATGTCATTGATACAGTGCCCCATTCCAGGTCGTAGAGGAGGACCAGGCACTCGACGGTGTCGCACAAGCTGGTCTCAGAATAGCATCAACGGTGTAGCATAGTCGAAGGAGCAACAATGATGAGGCTCCACACGTGTCTTGTCACAGCATCCCGGAACATTGACCGGTTTAGGCAAGACCTCCGTCATATAAAAGCATTGTGAAAGCGTTGCGAAACATTCTCTCCGAAGCAGCAAAGGCATGAACAGGTACAGGAGGGGTAAGGTAAGGGGATATGCTCACCGGCCTGAACACATGCCTCGACCGACATAACGTCCATGGCTGTGGGCTCAATGCTCAGCCGCAATGCCGGATTATCGGTGGTAAACGTTGGAGAGAGGAAATGGTGATCCTGTGTCAACTCATCGATGCGGCTTCGGGGGTCTTCGACATAGAATAATACAGCAGGGAGAGGGAAAAATGAAACCCATGCGAGGACGAAAATACCAGTAGGAAGAAAAGTTGCAAGTCTGGGAGATGACTCGCTTCTTGAAGGCTGAGGCTGAGTCCAGGCTATTGGCAGGTAGAGGATGCTCGACGAGTCCGAAAGTCCCAAAAGGCATATCGCACCCCTGTGGCCTGGCACCCTACTAGCCGGCTGCCTGCAGCGATAATGGCTCGTATTGACTTGTGCACGTTTCGCCCAAACCGATGCAAGCGAGCCCCGTGTTGGCTGGGTCTCACGGCTGTTCGCGTGGTGGGTGGTGGGCTGTACCACGCACAAAAGTTCTTAATTCAGGGAACGACAGCCAGACAGAAAAAAGGTCGACAGGCATCAGGGCGGGCCAGAACGCGATAAGGGTCAAGGGCATCGACACGAGTCGAATGGATCTTATTGATGCGCCATTTGACCGCCCGAGAAATGGGTTCGTTGTTCATCCCCGGGGATGCATTCGCTGCCGCAGACTGTGGAGAGCGGACCGCGGACAGCGGACGAGGCTTGCAGGACGAGGAACAGGAACCCATGGACCATGGGCCATGGAGATGGAGGGATGGAGAGGATGGATTGTACCAGGGCTAAAGATGGCGTCTTTCGTTCGCACGCAGGGCGTCAACACGGTCATTCTATCTATCTGGCCACGTTAGCTGGCAGTCCCATTGGCTTGAAGATTTCTTGGTTGATCTTGGCCTGCAGCTTGTAAAAGTCTTGGGACTGGCAGGCAATGGCGCGACGTGGCTTTGGGAGGGCTCACGAGCTGATCGAGCTGAAAGGTATGTGAGAAGAGTCTAGTGGCAGAAGAGGCGTCGAGGGCGTTGGAGACAATAATGGAGAGTTGTGTCTAGACTTGCGCCTCCATCTGCCCCCTTTGACAACTTCCATCCTCCTCCTCAACCTCATCAGCCCACGGCTCCCTGTGGTGCCTGCGCCAGTCCGGGAAATTGCCCATTTCGCCAGTAATTCTCCGTGCGATCTTTCAGTCCACGTGCGGAAAATCCAGATCCTGGTCAAGCAGTGTGCCCCGTCGACAAATCCTGGGACAACGACCAGATCAAGCATCACTACTGTGACACCGCTCAATGAATTCCGGCGACCCCGAGCAACAAGCAACCCTCTAGCACGACTATACTGCAAGCCTCCCCAACTCTATAAATCCTTTTTTAGTCAAATATGTCGTCGTCGCGAATCGGCACGAGTGGGAACATAACAAGCGAGAAGGAAAAAGCAGGGGAAATTCGGCAACACGGCGCGATGGATTCGTTGGGGCACGTTCAGCCCCCGGTTCTATTGGGTAGTGGCATAAAGACAACCCCAGATCCATGCACACACTTTCCGCTGCTTCACAATCGAGCCTTGCCGGAGAGGAGGAGCTGAATAGCCTCATTGGTCAGGGGTTTGTACCCTGACCCTTCTTTCTCTATCCAAAACATCCGGTCCTTGTTCCCCTCGGGAATCAAAAAGCCTATCAAGCAACAATGAGCATTACGGCCGTGACGAGGGTTCAGTCAAAGAGCGCAACTCACCATCTTTGCGAAGACCGGTCTTCAACTTCTTCATAATCGTCGAAACCCGCTCGCTGCCGCTGTCACCGCTCAAGCCGCCCGAGTCTTGTGGCGCGCCATCGTTGATCAGGATTCTGACGAAACGTGGCACCGCATATGCCGGCAGGGCGCTTTCTGATGTGCGCAGCCAGTGTTCCAATTGCGACATGACTTCCTCCTCCGAGGACACTCCCTGCAAGGTGATTGCTGCACATCCCAACTGCCCATCATACCCATAAGTGTTCATGGGGATGGCATAGACGTTGACGGAAGCAATCTGAGGATGTCTGCTGAGCCATGCCTCAACTTCGGTGGTGGAAATATTATGACCCTTGGCACGGTAGGTATCTGCCAGTCACCCGTCAGCAAATTGAGCATTGTGGCGCCTGACGAAGTGGTCTCATTGACACTAACGTACCTCCAAGTCGATCACGAAACTGGATGAATCCATCTTTATCCTGAAGGTGACGGTCGTCTCAGCATGCTCACTCTTCAAGTAGCTGAGTAGAGCTTGAACTTACCATCTCCAATGCGTCCCCAATCCGAACGTATTCGTCCCCTTTCTCAAAGACATCTCTGAGCACCTTTTTCTGGGTGGCGTCTGGGCCCCCCTGTCCAACATAGTCGTGCCGTCGTTGGATGGGAGGAATGATCTTGCTTATCGCCTCGCCGACCTCATCATAGTCTGCCTTGATGCAAAATCCTGTCTTGGGGTTTCTGATCACTTCCCCAGTCTCGAAATCAGCCTTGATGATTTGAAACGCGACCTGGCCAACCCATTTGTTCCGCATTAAGGGACCCCAGCGGGCTACCTTGCCCACGCCGAGATCGTTTTTATTCGAGTTGAGCAGTGAGATTGTTGCTTCGCTGGCCGAGTAGTACTCTACAATCCACGGAATGCCAAACCTTTCTCTTACTCCTCGCCATACAGAGGGAGCCAAGCCGAGACCATAGGCCAAATCAACCCCGTGATCTTTTTCGTTTGGAAATCGGGGATCGGGGGGAGACTGGACCAGATAGCGGAACATCTCGCCGATGTAGAGGATGGCGTTGGCCTGTGAACGTCGGATATCGGCCCAGAACTCCCGACGTGAAAAGCGCCGCGCAAGAATCACAGTCCCGGAGGCCGCCAATGCGCCAGGCAGGGCAGCGAAGGATGCGGTCCCGTGAAACATAGGCAGGCATATATACCATCTTCTGTTGCTTCCTTGCATGTGTGGCCATCTGTGTGGGTGTCCGGTCAGGCGGTTGTATCCGAGCGGCCAGATCAGAGCTTTGGGCATCCCAGTTGTTCCGGATGTGAAGAGATATTGCGCCGCGTCCGTGGGACCGACTTTGGGTCTCTTGTGTTTGGGATAATCGCCCATTTCCGGCGTTACAGGAGGCAGCTCGTCGTGCCTCAGCAGTACATTCTCTTGAAGGTCGACTTGGATCGGAGGGTACGAGCTATAATCGTACAGGAATATCCTCGGAAGCGGTGATGACGGCTGGGTCGGAGAGCCTGGGGGGCCCTCGTCGAGCACCAGCGCTTTGGCCAGGACATCATACAGCTCGTAAGTTGTGATGCAGAACTCGGCTTCGCTGACCTTGAGACAATGCTTGATGTGGGACCCCGTAATGGAGGTGTTCACAGGCGCGGCAATAGCACCGAGCTTGTAGAGCGCCCACCAAGCAAACACGAATTCGGGCGAGTTGTTGACAAACATTCCCACCACGGTCCGGTTCTTGATACCGAGCCTCTCAAACGTTTCGGCCAGTCGACCAATCTCTTCACGAAGCTGGCGATACGTCCAAGTTCGGCCCTCGAAAACGAATGCCTCCTTGTCCGTGTGGTGATTTTCAGCATACGTCGAATGGATGATGTGGTAGAAAGACCAGTCATCTTCTCCGTAGTCCCTGAACAGCCCCTCGACGTACTTCTGTAGATCCCTGCCCCCTCGCATCTGGGCGAGGTCGCTGCGAATCGAATACTTGCCGTCGAGATACATGCTGATTCCTGTAGCAGCCGCCGCAGCGGCTCCAGCAGCTAGCAGTGCCATTGTTTGTTGTGTGGCCGTGATGAAGCCTCCAGAGGGTACCACGGAGAGGCGTTCCAGTCGCAGGGAGACAAGGGGAAAGGGCCCCTACAACCAAAAATGCATTTCCAGGATGACCATTTTGAGACGAGCCTCGGATATACTGGATACACGGAGACGAGGAATCGAGACAATAGCCGGATTAGTGCGGATTGGGCACCGCCGTCTCCATCATGATAGCACCCGCTCCGTCCACTCACCGTCGTGCTCCCCTTCTCCCCCTACATGCCTAGGTTTGCTAGAGTCCCTTGGTCCCTCCAGCCTGATCGGTTTTTGGGCGACGTGGAGAAAACATGCGGGGAGAACAAATTGCAAGCTGGGGAAGACGAGGAAAATCTCTGCGTCTGACCGGCTCAATACTTTTCCCTACTATTTCTGCTGAGGAGGCTACGGCGACACGTTGACTCGTATCGCGTAATCCCTCCTATAACGCGCTTCCGTGGACTTTTGGTGTGTGTGGGAATCTCATGTGTACATAATGAACTTCTTTCCGCCATTGTTATGATTATTATTACCCAGACACTCTCCGCGATCATCACGTTCGAACCATGGACGAAAGCACGCTCTACAACGACTCGAAGCACAACCTGCTGAATTTCACGGGCCCATCCTCGGCCGGCGTGTCGCCGTTGGAACAGGAGGTCCTGGACGAATATGAGAGGTTGTCGAGGAACATGAAGGAGGTGAGTTTCTCCCATCACGTCTTCCAACCTGTGTTTTTCTTTCTGCAAGCCCCCTGCCCCTTTAGATGCCTTGAGCGGGAAGAGCAGAAACGGGGAGGACGAAAATACCTTCCCAGACGGATGGGATGGCGAGAAGAGGAGACCAACAAGAAAGAAAGACACTTCGCGAAGGTGGATACAGGTGTCCTTCCGTCGTCAATACCAGAGAGATTATCTGACCACGCATATGTCTCTGAGCAGCTCTCATCCACACTCACCGACCTCTCCAGCGGCCCCATCACGCTCGAAATCGCAGAGGGTCTTCGGCTGCTCGAACGGAAAGTCGCGAGCGTGTACACGCTGATGAAGGCTAGTGTGTATAGCATCGTGCTGCAGCAGGGACAGCTCGAGGGGATGGACGAAGGCGTAGGAGAAAGAATGGACGACGGAGGAGGAGAGGCTGGCGAATAGGGGTCTCTCTTCCAGGATTCTGGGTGTGTGCGAGTCTATTGATAGATACCCCGGGGACTGGATGGGAGGACGGGACAGATACGATGACGACCTACGTGAACTACTTAATCACCCACGATCAAGCCTGGTCAAAGTAACCAGCACTTTGGAAGGGATGCCAACCGTTCGCCGGTCGAGACTTGGCCCACCCTGGTTTTGTACAGAATAGGACACGGACTCAAGCGAGCGGAGTACTGCCTGTGCCTGGTCCGGGATGCTAATATACAAAAGTCCCTTTCTACGTTTGTCCTGCATAATACACTTTGCGAACATCAACCAGCTTTTTCCCTCGGGCTCTCGCGATATCTTCTGGGTGCTTCTGGCTCAACAGAGCCTGCACCGCAGCCTTGACCGTGTTCATAGGATTTCTCGATCGTGTCACACGCGCTGCCAAGTCGTGGATCCCTGCACATCTGCAGATCTCCCAGATGTACTGTTGACAACGGAGTCCGAAGCCTTTCAACGACCAGTTAGCCTTGTCATCTCGCCATGGAAAGGGGTAACGGCGTACCTGGTGGTCTTGCGTATAATTCCAGCTCCGTAGCGCTGACCTTGGCTTTCAGATCACCATAGATGGTTCGATTTTCGTACCGCAGGATGGGGGCCATATTCCGAATGGCTCGGTACTGGCTCTGAAATATGGCTGCAGAGCCTTCCTGCGATTTTCCTTCTCCTATACCGATGAGACCCTGACCATTTCCGGCGATGCTTAAATAGTACATCTTTGAGATCTTGCCCAGTCTCGTCTGGTTGACAACGCGGTGTTGGACGAGGGTCTTGACCCGAAGTTGCGCTATCTGTTTCTCGCTGTATCCAGTCATCTGCATCAACTGCAAGAGAGCGGGCGAGACGACTCTCCCCTTGCTGCCCGTTCCCTCCTCGTCTCCTCTGGATTTCTTTTTCTGCGATTTGGCGGGTTCCGATATCCGCGGCAAGTCAGGAGCGAGCGCCGTCGGAGGATTCCTCTCGGCCTCTTCGCGTCCGACCGTCATGCGTAGATTCTTGTCAAATTTGTCCCATAGCTCCTGGTCATAGTCGTTTTCGTGCTTGGGCTCGGGTATCTCGTTGATAAACTTAACAAAATCATCTTCCAGCTCTTCATCCGTCTTTAACCTAGACTTGTCGTCGATATTGGTCATGGGTGCCCGCACTGGCTTATCTACCACCGGATCGATCTTGGTCAATTCGTCGTAGTATTTCAGCTTCCAGGGATCTGTCCGCATGCCCGTCTGCTTCTGCATCTGGTCGAGATCGATGAGTTTCTGAGCTGCCTCGATGGCCGCACGCTGCTCCGGAGAGTACCGCTCAGCGATCGTGCCATTCTGGACTGAAGGAAACTCTTTGGCTTGTGAGTTGAGGTCGACCTGGCTAAGATCTGCTTTCACGCTGGGGAACCGGGGTTTTCGCTTTGGGTGGACAGGGGAGGAATGAAATTGGCGGCGAGGAAAGGCTTTTGGGCGGGAGGATCGTGAGAAGAGGCAAAAGAGGCACTCAGAGGACCGAACGACACTCATGGTGTCAATGCAGCTCAAGGCTGCGAGACAGAGCGCGCGAGATGCTGGATGGAAGGGAAATGGTGCAAGACGGATCGCAAGCAAACAAAATTGCTGGGCGTCTCAATTGAGCTGCAGCCACGCTAATCTCTTTCGGGAATCTTGGGCGTGTGCCTCACATTCTTCCTGCTCAGAAATCAAGTTCGATTGCAAAAATCTCATTTGGTGTCTCTGCTTCGATCGGAATCATCCAGCGACGGTCACTTTTGCGGGACGTTACGCGTCTGGTTCGCCCGAGGCTCGTTTGTCAATCCATGTTCATGCACAGAGCGAAAAATGGTCTGATGGCAAGGCTGGGTATTTGGTATTGTCAGATTCTTCTCAAGAATGGAGCGGTATGAGAGCTGCTCAATTTATTGTTAAAATATCGGATTTCTCCCTCGACAAGAGTCATCGACTCCGGTAGAGCAAGATGGAAGATGCTCCCAGGTTTATCATCGGACACCATGACCCAAAAAGACCCATACCGGTCTTGATGGAGACCATACAAGATGCTCATGCGGCAAATGTGAGACCACGACCTATTTGTTATCTGGCAGCGTCGACTGACTTTGGACAAGTATGATATGGTTACGAGCCCCATCACAACTCCCCATTTTCATTCCCGGGTTTTGACCTTACTGTCTTCGTCCCTTGCCCTTCATGCAGAGGAAGACATCACCAAGACTAAAAGCGCTTCGCCTATTATTATCCCACCACTGACCCCAGCGGATACCCCTTTGACGCCTGACGAGTCCATCAGTCAGACAATCGGCATCACAAGCTCTTGGATCGACCTTGGTTCTCCAGATCCGATAATAGCAGATATATCTCGACAAGTCCTTCAACTGGAGGTGGCCTACGCGGCCTTTTGCGGACTCACCTATGTCCTGATCTCAGGTCCTCTTCTTCGTGGTCAAGGCGTGTCTGACAGTGGGGTTGCCCAATATGCGAGAGCAATCTCGGATGCCCTGAGCCAAGGCCCCTATATGCAGCTTTACATATGGTTGCCCATGATCGACCATTCCAAGGAACAGATTGACCAAATGGGCAACCTAGCCCCCTTCGCTCGCCGGCAATTTCTGGAGCAGGACGAGGCTGAAGCCGAGCGGTTGGATGTCTTTGGATCCTGGGAGGCATGGAACATGATTAGATCGACATGTAAATATCCCTCGAGATTATGTGTAGGTAAGCATAATACGTCTTTTGCAGCATCCCCGGTTCCTGTCTCTATACGATCACTTGACGCTGACTGTCTTCAGCATTGTCTATACCGAAGCTGCTGCCGCCCGTAGCCATCCAGTCAAGATGGTATTCCGAGCCCGTTCGACTCCTCACCCTCGACAAGCAAGTGTTCGCTAAGAACGCCAAGGGCTATCCTGTGCTAACTCGTGCTCACCAAGCCTTCGTCCTGAGGTTTGCCCGGCTCCGATCGGCGCCATGGTTCCTTCTGTGTGATGTAGGGACTATTCCCGGCCGCACCACGAACGGCAACATGGTCAACCCAGCCACAGCTGGGACCAATGCTTTCCCTACGCTCGCTGAAGCAGCACAGACTCCAGATCTCAAAGATGCGACCCCTCACCTCTCGTACATGCGCAACCTGCAAACCAAACAATCATCACAGACGGCCATTGATCGCTTTGGTGCCGGCTACCAGGATTACCTACAAGCGCCCTTGCAGCCGCTCTCGGTCAATCTTGAAAGCATTACTTACGAAGTCTTCGAGAAGGATCCAATTAAGTATGCGTGGTATGAACGCGCCATCGCCCGGGCCCTGCACGACTGGATTGAACAAGGAAAGCCAACCTCCAACCCGGACGGACGAGTTGTGGTTGCTGTGGTAGGAGCAGGCCGCGGACCGCTAGTAACCCGCGCACTCAAGGCAAGTCAAGACGTCGGCGTGGAGATTGACATGTGGGCGCTGGAAAAGAACCCGAATGCATTCGTCCTGCTGCAACGTCACAACAACACAACCTGGAACGGCCGAGTCAACTTGGTGAAGTCAGATATGAGAACGTGGAGGGGACCTATTCGCGCTGCAAATGCATTACGGCCGACTCGAATATACAACACCTCGGCCGACAGTGATGACGACGATTTTGTTGTTGCCGACAGTCAGGACGACGACAAGAAGAGAGAACAAACTACAGGGAAAGAATCAGTCACCTCACAGCCGACGTTCACAGGCTCACCCAGTCTCGACAGCACTTATCTCCTGGCCACGACACCTCAGACCACGATGCCAACACCCTACAAGATCGACATCCTTATCAGCGAACTCCTGGGATCCTTTGCGGACAATGAACTGTCCCCCGAATGCCTCGACGGCGTCCAGCACCTGCTGAACCCCGTGCATGGCATCTCCATCCCCGCGTCGTACACGGCACATATCACCCCGATCGCGGCGCCGAAACTACACGCGGACATTCTACATGGGATGAGCGGTAACCCCAACGCGGGCGAGACGCCTTACGTGGTCATGTTCAACGCGATCGACTACTTGAGCACGAGGCCAGGTGCTGCAGACGCCGATACACGCGGAGAGTGGTCAGGGACATTTCAAGGTCATCCAGCGCCCGGCAGCGACATGGCAAGTCCTGCTTCGCCGTCCGAGACCACGACCACCGCGCCGACGCCGTATTCGAAAGCCCACACGCGTCAATCTCAACAATCCATGGCCCCACCGCCGCTACCGGCACCGGCCCCTGTGATCCAACAGACATGGGCGTTCCAGCACCCGAATCCAGCCTTACCCAGCCTGGTCCCTTCCACGGTCGGCACGACGACAACGGAACCCTCGCTGACCAACAGCCACAACGCCCGCTCATGCCAATTGACATTCCCCATCCCACACCGAGGTACATGCCACGGCCTTGCAGGCTACTTCGAAACCGTGCTGTACAAGGGCGTCGAGTTGTCCACGAATCCGGACACGATGGACCAGAAGAGCGAGGGCATGATCAGTTGGTTTCCCATATTCTTCCCCTTGAAGGTGAGTGAAAATGGCTATTCTTCACTCTTTCTGTCTGAATACACCACCAATGGAGACGTACACAAAAACCCCTTGATCCCGATCCGTCGGTCTCCTATGTCCTCTCCCTCTTTTTTCTCCCACCTCTCAGCACGTGCCCATTCAGACTAGCATATAACCCGTCTCTTCTTCTACCATCACCGCCACCACTGTGTGGCTGCAACATCCAAAGCTCCCCTTCCTTCGTTTCCAAGGCCAATACTGTGTCCCGCTGCCTGGGGATGATATAAAATACTTATACTGACCACAACAACGGAAATTATCTCGTAGATACCAATCTTCCTTCCCGACAACTCCGAAGTCAGCTTGACAATGTGGCGCAAGACCGACGACCGGAAGGTGTGGTACGAGTGGCTCGTCGACGTCTACATTTTCCTCCCTTCGTCTTCGTCCTCGTCCTTGCCCTCACAAACTCTGTCTAAAGGGGATTACACGGCGCAACAGCAGAGCAAGAGCCCCGACAACAGCGTCGGCGGCGGTGACAAATTGAAGAGGAAAAGCGTCCCAGGGGCGCCACCACTGGCGATACCACCACCACCGGGAGCACGAACGGGCACAACCCGCAGCGATGCGGAGCGAGGCACGCGACCCGCCGCCGGGGCACGAGGACGCAGAATGCGCATCGGAGGGAGCGAGCTGCACTCCTCGGAGAAGGAGGCCTGTCTGATGTAAAACAAGATGAGATGAGATGAGATGCAATGCTGAATTAAGGTGTGACGATCGATGTATGGAGTGTGGTTGACTGATATTTCGTGGTTGAAGTTTGTGATGATGGACGATGATGGAAGTGTAAGAAAGTGATCAAGAAATGCATTCAGTCTGTCCTTCCGGACCGACCTTGCGTGCTATTACTTACATTACTTACATATTAATTAGGTGGTCAGACTACATACGTAACTGCTCGAAGAAGATGCCTGCATGCCTGTCTGTCTGTCTGTCTGCTAGACGACGGGTCGGACTCTAGGTTTCCGACAATTGTGGTTTCTCATCGCGACGAGGCTTTATGTAATTCGAAGAAAAGGAAACCCATAATAGATGACGATCAAACCTATGTCAAGCTTACTTGGATCGTATTATATCATATCATGTCGTGGTCTGGGAAAGATCGAGTAGAGCGGAGCGGAGGGAGGAGGTCGTTGTTTCTTCTCTCCCTCCTCCTTCCTATATACTGGCTCTTACTCTCTCTCTCTCTCTCTCTCTCTCTCTCTCTCTCTCTCTCTCTCTCTCTCTCTCTCTCTCTCTCGCGTGTTCTAGCTCACGCTCACGCCCATTCGTGAGCCATGGTTGTTTTGTTGACCAGCTCACTCACCTAGACGTTCGACAAGCCCTTTCCGAATGTCGAAATCACCATGAAGAAAAGGACCACGAGGGAGAGGAAGGAGAAAACAAATAAGAGAGAGAGAGAAGTGTCTGGGGATGATGGTGTGAATGAAAGGAGAAAAATCCAAGATCTTGTCCCCGTATTATGTCCGGGGAGTGGGAAAACAGCTCGACAATACACCCATATACACATATATATGAAATTCTTCCTTTTCTTCCTTTCCCTGTCCCTTTCCTGTTCCTATTCCTATTCCTGTTTTCCTAGTTTCCTTGTTCCCAGTTCCGCATAGCCAGTACGTGTCTCGACTCGCGTCTTGGGCGTGCAAATCCGAAATCTGCTCTGCTCTCTGCTATCTATGTCTAGACTCCTTTCAACGCAAAATTGGCTCAGTCTTGCATCCTCAGTCGAGTTGCCATACCTCGAGGACCCCCAATTCTCCTGACGTCTCTGTCAATGGACAGAACGAGGTCTCCGATTATCAGAAACAGAAGCGCCAGTCTCTTGACGATTCGACATCAACGGCCAACCTCGTCTCATCTTGTCTTCTGTCCATTGACGAGACTGTCCACGTCACCGTCGCCATTTTGAGCAGGCGTTTGCTTAGCACCAACCTTTGCTGCCTGGACAGCATCATGAAGCTTCAGAGTGTCCACGCCACCCAACAGCTTCTTCAACTCACCAGCGCCGTTCCCACCTTGCTCTCCGGTAGTCTTCACTCCGGAATTAGGAGTGCTGGTGCCACTGATTTTGGCCACATCCTCAGTCAGACCTCTCCTGATAGCAAGCACATTGTCCACAATAACCGCATCGATCCCCTGCCTCACCTGTCTTCTCACCATCGCACTGTCGTTGTTCAGTGTCCCATAGCTCACGCATACAAGCCCGCTTTCCTTCACCACCCTGACCAGTCTGGGCGCGGCGACCAGCGGTTCGGCAGCACTTACCACACCCAGCAGATTCCAGCGACTCGCAAAGCGAATGGCTTCTTGCAGCGAAGTGGCGCGGATATCGCCCGCAGGACTCGTGCCAGAATCTGTCAGAAACAGGACGGGAATGCTGGGCTGCTTGAACGACAGCAAAAGACATACGTCAGGGTTGAAACTCGAGAATATGATGTTCCTGCCCTTGCCCATGTCATACACCTTGCCCAGGACCGTGTCGACAAACGAATTCAGTTCCACGGCATACGTGTCCATTTCCTCATCCTCGCTTTCGTACAGCATAGGATATTTCATCTCGATATTGAAACCCACATCCTGTGGAATCTTCTTGAACATCTCTTCGAGAGTGGCAAAGGGCGCTTGAATATGGTTGCCTCGTGTGTTGCCCTTGAAGCCTTTTTTCTTGAAGTCGCGGGTGTGTTTCATCCGCTCGTCCATCTCGAGAGACTCGTTGCTAGTCGCTCCGCTCACAGACATGGATCTCAATCTGGACGTTCGCAGGTCTCGTTCGACGTTCTTGAGACTGGCTGCTTTCGGTTTTTCAAATGGCACAGGTGAGGCGGGTCTGGAATGACGGGGCGTTCGCATGTCATTGACGTGGAGAAATTGTTCGAGGGTGAGAGTATGCACGGGGGCGTCGATACCTGTTTCGCTGACGAGGAAGTCATGATAGATGACAGGGACGTGGTCTTTGGTGAGTTGCACGTCAAACTCGACGTACGAAGCGCCGAGGTTTGCGGCGGCGATGAAGGATTGAATGGTGTTCTCACCGAGCTGTAGAGATCTTCTACCGGCGGCGAAATTCTTGCCCAGGCCACGATGGCCAATGAGCATGGTCGACGCCATACTCCTCCAGTACGTCTGGTTTTCTGTGACTGACATATTGGGATGTTTGAAAGGTGTGATGACTAGAAAGTTGAAGGTGACGGAACCAATGACCTCAAGATCGCTCGCCGCAACGATGGGAACCGTCACATCACCTTGCAGCGACATCCTTTTGGTTCCCACGCTCGACTTGATGCTTGACAGCAGGGCAACGCCGCGTCCGACCACGCGTTCTTGAGAACCGGCATACGTCGGAATCAGGTCAAAGTACAGTTTGACTTTGGACGGATCCGTGGTGTGAAAGACGATTGGCTCTGTCGAAATATTGTCCTGGACTGGGAGGTCGATGACTTCGGGTTCGCCCTCGGCCGCTTTGGCTGAGACGACGATGGAAAGGGCGGTATCGAGCTGTGTCGAGTGGGCGCTCGACAGTGGGATGCGATCAAGATTCACTGCACGAATGTTTTTGCGAGTATCCATGGTTCCAAGACTGACCAAGATCATACTCTTGTCTGTCAGATATCGATGACCAAAAGTCTTGACTGCCTCAGTGGTCTTGACCGTTTGACCATTCGACCCCAGACCATTGGAATTTCGTTCCGTTAGTGATGACAATAACGGGGGAGATGCTGAGGCCACGGAGACATCTGGATCGGCGTCCGGTTGAGGCATAACGCTGTCGAGCTTCTGTGCTATGTCGATATGGCCTCTCAAAGCTGCGTGCTCCTTTGCATTCCAGCCCGACAAATCCAGACGCTCGAGATCAGCTCCATGGTCGATGAGCAACTCCACGACCGGGAGATGGCCGTCGACACAAGCAATGAACAATGGCGTCCATCCGTAAGCCTTTTCAGGAAGCTCAATATTGGCTTTCTGCTCGTCTGTACCTTTGAGCAGTAATCTCGCGCATTCCACGTGGCCGAATCTCGCAGCCACATGTAGCGCCGTGTCGCCCTGCTCATCTTGGTAATTGATGTCCACACCTGCTTGAATAAGAAGGCGGACGATCTCGACGAAGTTTGCTTTGGTCGCCATAGCCAAAACAATCGACGACTTGGCTGATCTCCTCTTGACCGAGGAACCCATGCTCTTCTCGGCGTCGAGTAAAGCTTTGGTTGTCAGGGGATGCCCGCCGATGGCACTGAGATGTAGGGGTGCCCATCCCTCATCATCCTGCCATTTGGGGCCGTCCATGCCATCCACGACATCGAACAGTCTCCACGTTTTGAGGTGCTCAATGATAATCTCACACATGACCCTGATGCCGTACTCAGCGGCAAAGTGCAGAGGCGTCCTTCCCGCATTGTCTCTTGCCAACAAAGCAGGCCGTTGCGAAGACTTCAAGTTGTCGAGTATGAACTGGAGAAACAGGACCGCCTCGTCATCACGCGTCACATTTTGCACCCGTTGATCTTCCTGCACGATCGAGCGCTTTAAAGCGGGGGACGGATGAGCCGCAGGTGTGATGAAGTTGGGGAGATCGGTTTCAGCGTCGGCCTGGGGCTCGGTGGTGGGCTCCTGACTCGCATGCGCCTGTTTGCGGCCGACCGAAACTATAAAACGGTGAATGCAATTACGGCGGTTGATATCGTCTTGAGCATCCAGAAAGACAATCTCGCGCAGCAGGCACGCAGTGCAAGCCCGACTCCGAGATAAAATTGCTCTCTGGAGAAGGTTGTTCAGCAGCACTTGCATCGCCACCTCCGAGTTTTCCGTTCCTGATTTCGTTATACCCATGATCCATTCTGCCAGGCTGTCCGAATCATCTTGACGGATCTTCGTTTCCACTTTGGCCAATTGCTCCGAAGAAATATCCAATGAAGGCCGAGAAGTTGTGCGCTTCAATGACCCCGATGAGATGGAAGCAACGTCGTCGGCCGTGCTCGGAGCTGCTGCGGCAACCTCACTCAGCACAGAGATCCAATCATTGATTTTGTTCAATGCGGCAAAAAGTTGGGTGTTTGTCGCAAAGGCCGTCGGGTCGACCTTCAGCTCGAGGTATTTCTTCTGTGCATGGGCGCCGGGTATCCTTTTGTCCAACTTCTTTGTGATCTTGACAAAGCCTCTTCTGTTGACTTCGCCGTACCATTGTAGCTTTCTCAGGTCGCCGCGCAGTTCCAGAAGGGCCGCCAAAAGGTCTTCGCGTTCATCCGCATCGAGCTGCGTCGCAGTCTGAGGGGAGATTCCGTACCTGTCTTCGAGAAGCTTCAGACGTCGTGAAAAGTCCTGGAACTTCTTGTTGTAGAAGTGATCCACGTCCTCGAGATTGCGGTCCAAGGTGTAGAAGAATCCTAAAATAAACACATGAGTTACACGCAAGGTTGATTTTGTCATGTCAACCCAATCCTACCAGCCAGATCGGGAATTTCTCCATCTTGCTTCTCTGCCCCGGCAGCGGCCTTGATGAGCTTCTTGAGCACTTTGTAGTTTATGTAGGAGGATGCCCATTCCGGGACTTGGTTTCGAGGAAGATTCCGGCCAAACTTCATCGTGTCCGAAATCTTCCCGGCTGATTGCTCAGCGTGGTCTGGAGTATCAGACCGGCCTCGGCGTGAGGCACAGGGTAATCAAAGTTAGGAGGGAGGAAACAGAGGAGCCATTGAAAGCACAGTAAAGAACGACTACAGCAGGATGTTCATTCTGATTCGCACACGGAGGATAGGAATGAAGGGATGGAACCGTGAGCACCTGGCCATGCTCGTTGGACGAGACCAAGGGAGGAGGAACTTGCACAATAATGTAACACGGGGAGGGGCATGGGACAGGGTAAAATTTAAGTGAAAAATGTCCCCGGGCTTGCTGTGTCTTCGCCGGCTTGCCGCTTGCCGCTTCGACTGCGGGAGAAGGATTTGAGCCTGCCCTCGACTTGACGGGGTAGCACGGCTGAGGGTTTTTGTGCGACGCTGCTGATGGCTGCTGATGGCAGTGAAAAGATAGCAAAGGAGGCGTGTTACAGCTCCCAAAAGTCATTGGCCTCCGCAGTTGATTTTTTTCAGCAGCCGGTGTGATTGGTGGAGCCAGACCGCCTCCCCCTGGCCGTTTGACCGCCCAATGCTCGAAGCGCGTTTGGCCTCGACACTATGGAGACGACGGAGACGATGGAGTCTATGACGACGCAAGCCCCCAGCTGTGGCGAGGCCGAACATGTGCGTCTAAACACCAGGGGAGTTAGACGCTCTCTGCTCGTCGATCATGCGACCTCACAAATCGTGTTGCAGTCACTCGGACAGCGTCAGCCGAGACGAAGAGATCTGGAAAAAGCTTCCACAACCTCATGTGAGCTCTGTGTGTGTGGAGAGGGAGAGAGGCAGAGCAAGCGTTGACAAAACTCCCTTCCCATGTCTGCACTGGTCCGCTGTATCTGTACATAGCGCTATTTTTGGGAATATATCAAACGCCCCATGTGCTTGAAGACCCTAGAACTCACAGCGTTCTTCCATCGTCATCAAAAAGGAACGAGTGAGCCCGTTGACCTTCGTGTCTCATGACATATTTTATCCCATCCGTGTGCCCCGTACGCCGCCAACGCCCCATGCAGCACGAGAAATTCAACCACCGCGAAATAGGCAACGAGCTTTCCCGAAGAAAAATAACAAAGGTTCGTCCGCGACCGCTATGTGTGCATCATGATCGCCTCGTCGTCGTCGTGATGCAGTGTCACACTGTTGAATTCCAGGAACGGATCGGCAATCTCGCCTCCTGGAGTCGCCAGAGATGAATCTAGCGGGACGCCTTTAAGTCGACTTGCCGGGCCACCAATGTCGACGCTGCCGCTGTCCTTCACTGTCCTGAAGTTTACTGTGTCGAGGGCCTTGCCTTGATGAGGGATCATCGGCGGCTTCATATGCCGGAGCAGAGCCCATGTTATGGGCCGGAAAAAAGGATGGCTTTTGACATCCGATGCGCCTGCCCTAGACCCTAGTCGTTTGACTTCGTCCTTGATCAAAAGCTTTCGGATAACCGACTTGCAGAGGCTGGGAGCGGTCAGCAAAAGTCATCCATCTCCGCCAAGTAATAGTACTCACTTGCTGACCTGAGTCGCGTGTGAATGGTCCGGGAAGGGCACTTCATCTCTCAGAATGTTTGCAAAAGTCGCGTTTCGGTTTTTACCCTTGAAAGGGGTGGTCCCGAACAACATCTCATATATCAGGATACCCAACGTCCACCAGTCAACTGCACTGGTATGTCCGTTGCCTTTGATTACTTCAGGAGCAATATACTCTTCTGTGCCGACAAAGGAATTCGTGCGGAAGTCGGCGATGCAGGACTTGGTATCAACCAGAGGGTACCCAGTGGGGTTCGACGCATTGCGAGTGCCCAAGATCATGGTCGGAACACCGCCAGAATCTGACTGTTTGGACAAATCAAAGTCGGACAGCATGATATGACCGGACTGATGAAGGAGGATGTCTGGAAGGAAAGTCAGTGACCAGAGCGCCTGAAGGGCCCAGTAAACCACTCACTCTCTGGCTTCAAATCGCGGTAGATGAAACCCATTAAGTGCAGATACTCCAGCGCGGCTGTGACTTCTGCAGCATAGAACCGGGCGTCTTCTTCGCCCACACATTTGTTCGGACGGGTTTGTAATGCCCTAAAAAACTCACCCCCGCTGCAATACTCCATACACAGGTAAAGATGATCCTCGGACTGAAAAGAATGATATAGAGTAACAATGAACGGATGATTGCTTGTGGCCAAGATCTCTTGTTCGGCGAGTGCTCTCTTGATCTTGTTGCGCTTGATCATTTCCTTTTTGCTGAGAACTGGGACAAGTCAGGAGTCGTCCTTTGCAGGGCTAGAGAATTGGCGGGACCAACCTTTCATGGCATAGAGCCGGTTTGATTTTTTCTCACGCACGAGGTACACCTTGCCGACATCACCCTTGCCGATCAATTTGATCTTATCGAAACTGTGCGGGCCCACTTCAACGTTTCGGACTTTGATCGAATTGGAGCTGTAGGTCCTTCGAAAGGCGACGGATTGGCGAATCTGTCCCGGCGAAGGGATATTGCCAGGTTTGGGCGGGAGGCTGTGAGTGCTCGAGTCCTCCTGAGGAATCATGCCCAACTTGGGCGATGAGCCATTGATCACCGCCAGGGGCTCCTTTCCGAGTTCTGCTGTCGACGGGCGCTCCGGAGTCGGCTTGTTCCCGCTGAATAGACCTTGTGCATTTGGGGCCGACGCCACTCTTCTCAGTTTCCGGGCCAGTTCTTCTTTGCCAGCCGTGACTGCCTTCTCTTCAACCGCTGTACCGTTCACATGGACTTTGGGTGTGTCCGGAGGGGAGGGCGGGACGCTACCCTCATTGTGGTGGCGCAAGGCAGGAGGACCTTGATGGACGAAGTAGGGGTTCGCCTGAGCTGTGGGAGAGGCGATAGCATCGTCGAGGGGGTGTCCTTCACTGGCAACAGTGGTCGATCTATTTCTGTTCAAGCCGGGCAGAAACCTGGATTGCTTGACGTGCCTGGGTTCAATCTTGGGAGCGGGCGAGCCGTCCGAGCCTATCGATGTCTGACTTCCACCACTGTTAATACGGAAGAAGTTTTTCAGCTTGGTCGAGGTCGGAGTGTGAGCACCAGAGCCGGTTTCACTGTTCAGATGCTTCTTGGAGGAAAAGGACAAGGAGGAAAAATTGCGTTTCTCGGTGGTGGCGGCCATGATGCTGCAGGGTGCCAAATCAATGGATCCGCAGAATCAAAGTGTCAAAGAAGTCGAACCCTCGGGGTTAGGTAGGGAGAAGTGAGAGGAGACAGGGCTCGTTCGGTTCAGGTAGAGATATGGGGCGAACAGGAAGCGGACCTGGGGCTGTTCTGATGAGCTGAAGTTCGGATAGGGCTTGGTGGTGGTACGAACGAGGAAGGATCGGGTGCGGGCAGGGACTATCGATGGTGCGCCATATCAGGGTTCTGTCTTCAGTTGAAGATGGACGACGCTTGTCCAAGGCAAACGACGAGGTCAGTTTATCGGCCAGTAATACGGATCAAGTCCCCAGTAGGTAAGGGGGGGTTGTGGTACTTCCTTTGTGGAAAAGGGAAGTAAGAACTGAGAAGTAAATGGGGGGAAGGGTGGGTGGAATTGATATGTGGTCTAGTCAGTTGGCGGTGGAGGAAAGGGTAGGGGAGGAAGGACTTTTGTTTGTAGCGTGAGGGGTCCGCAAGTGGGAGTTACTGTAGATTCTGGGAGTAAAGGAACAATTCTGTGGGTTGTGGGATTGGCGCTCAGCCGCGCTCTCTCTCGCTCGGTACAAACGACAAACGGGCTCTGCCTCTTGACTTGTCTTGTCCCTATGGGTAAACCTTATATCTCCAACCTTGAAAGCGAGGGGACAACGAGTCCAATTAAAGGCTGCAAACTGTCATGATATACGCAGTACCTAGGTACAAGCATGGCAGCGAAGATATCGAAGTGTTCCCTGCCCTTCCCTAGACCGGGAATCTGGGCTGTCTCTGTCTCTCCCGCTGTCCCCATAGTTGCCGACACAGGACCAACGGTACCGGCTAGGCTAGACACACACTCTTACTACCTACCGTATGGAACGCAGTATCTCTATGCCATCTCCACGAGGTTCCATCTGCCCTGCCATGGTTTGCTTGACCTCGCCTGACCCTCGATCCCAGTGCCTCGAATCGGCAGTCTTCACCCACCCTCATCGTCACCGTGCATATGCTTGTCAACTCCTTCTCCTGCCTTCGTCCACGGTTGATTTCTCAGCACGAGAATTTTCCACCTTGCCACCGAAACCACTACCTCATCTCGATTTCCCCCACGTTACTTACTCTCTCAACCTTTCATTACCTCTGAGCTGGAACCTCGTGTCTCGGGATCCCACCTACTATGCAGGGTATACAAATCATCGACATGACAGGTTGAAAGTGACATGTCATTCAGCCTTATTGCTATGCACAGATATCCTGCTGGCATTCACTTGCCATTGTCTGTATCTTGCTTTTCACTGTGTTGCCTTCCACTGTCGCGCAGTACTTGAATACACGTGCATATCGTTCACTTATTTCCAGGTCGTCCGTCACCTGATTGATCCCAGGTCAGGGCACCATTCCACAATGTCATAACCAGGTCAAGCCGAATGACAACTTTCGTCCTCTCTCTTGTCTTGCAATATTCGGTGACACGATACAACCAACCGTTATCAGGTCCCAAGCAATGTCACCCAATCGACATGTCCAATTCCTGCGGTATCATACACCGGAAGTAGCCCTTGTATTCAATGTGACTCCTGCCTCTTGATTTGCAGAGTCTCCCTTACCCTCTGTCTCCTGTTCTTACATTTCTTCCTTTTTGGGGAGTCGGGTTAAAAATCAATCTTCGCTCTCCACGGTCATGCCGCGAGCCTCTCCAGGATAGGACTCGTAGAATCCCTGGGAAGATGTGACTGCGCCCGGCGGAAGATATGGTATGGCGGTTTTGCTGGCCGCGGAGAGCATCGACTTCGCTGAGAGTCTCTGGTTATCGCTGGCGCCGTCGAACAAGTGTGGGAGCCGGCCCATAGCATGAACGTTCTGGATAGAAACGGACGAAAAGCCTTTGTTGTTGTTCAGAGCCTCAGACCCTGTCACTCGGCCGTTCCTCGAATGCTCATTCGAGGCCCACCCATTTCTGTCTTCTCCTCGCAACCAAATCGACGGTGAGGACGCCGAGGATTGTTTAAGCATCGACAGACATGGTTCCGAACCAGTCGATGGCTCAACCGTCGATCTGTCTCCTTTACGAACAAATCCAGGAAGGAAGTTCGGAATGCTGGACGCTGTCAGCTTCGATCTTCAAGGCACCAAAGCGATATTGAACGAGCACGTACTTGTTTGAATACCTTGCCACAAGCCTGTAATCGTTGCTCTTCTCAATTGGTGACTGGGGACTCTGGCGCAGCAACCGCTCTCTAGCGTTCTCTTTCATCTGGCTTTCATCGCTATGAGGAAAGAGTTAGCGCAACCATTTCCCTGATCAGGCTGCCGAAGAACAAACCTTTCAAAGCAAAGAGGCTTGGATTCGATCGTGTCGATAGTGCTGGAAACATCGCCACAGGATCGCACCTCGACGAAATTATCCCACATTTCCTTCGTCACGGTGGGCTTCTTCGTCCAGTAACTCTTTTCAAAATCGTCCATTTCGAACGATGGTGGACGCTGCAGGCCACGACCCCGAACTTCAGTAATGGTGCCATCCGGCATTCGCACCTTGCTTATCACCCCCAGAGGAAGTCGCATGGCGTCAAGCTGGACCTCATAGCAAGCTTCCACAGTCGGCGGAGCACGCCCAGGTTTGGTTGGCAACCACTCCTCACTCTCTGAGCTGAATTCGGGCATCCCTTGGACCTTTTGGTTTTCAACAGCATGCTCCCGAGGACTAATTGAGTCGGAGCTTGGTCCAGGAGTGACAATGAGCGCATTCTCACTGGAACCCATTGGAGAGATGCTGGATTCGCGCACCAATATTTCCAACATCTGACTCTGTTGGCGTTGGATCTCAGGTGGCGGCGGACCGACACGGAGGCCCCATTCGTCGACCTCAATCGACTCAGCATTTAATCCGGCTCTATTTTCAGCATCCTTCTTTGGACTTGGTGAGTCTTCAGGAGGTGGAACAATAGGAATGGGACGACGAGTACTCCGCACGTCAAACTTCGGCTTCTCAGCCTCGAACTGCATGGTTTGAGGGCCTGGTGCGCTGCCAATGCCGCTGGGTAATATCTCAGGGGAAGGATGAGTAATCAGCGGAACGTATGTGGCAGCTTTCACATTGAGAGTGCTGATCGGTTGATAGGTGGAAGTTTTCGCCGAGCCTTTGTGATCAGGACCCAGCTGCTGTGACCAGTAAGTCATCAGCCGGTGTGCTTCCCCCCGCAACTGCACGATTTTCATGCGCTGTTCTCTGATGTATGGATCAAGCTCCGTCATAGCACGGTGACGGTCAATGGCTTTGAGTTGTCGGTCATACTCCTCAAAGTTTGCAGTGCTTTCAGAAAGCATATGTCGGATATATCCATCTTCTCGAGGCTGAGGGTCGGTAGGAGTGGTTGGGATACCACACGAGGGTGGCAAGCCCAGTATCTGGGGACTCGGAACATAAGACATTGGAAAGGCCAGGCCGAATGGGGTGCTGAAGCCAGTCAGGGACATCGCGCCGCCAGCGTACAATTGAGGATTCTGCAGAAGGTACGCATCACCTGGAACTGGTGCATAGTAAGGAGGTGATGTCACGGCTTGCAGATAATTTGGTTGAGGGTGAACACCGTCAAAAGCAAAGACATTGCTTGTGGGCAGGATATTGAAGTTGCTGGCCGCGGTGGTTCCGGAAGCATCGGCGACCCCAACGTTTCCAGGCACATAAGGTTGTGATTGTGGCTGGGTTTGAGAGATGTTGTCGTCCGATACAGGTTCCTTTACCTCGCTGAGAGCAGTAGCACTCGGCTTGTTGAACCCATTGACTTCATCGCGTGTGTTTTTCTTCGAATCTGCTTCTGTGCCTTGACCGGCACGCGGCAAGGAGAAGAGAGGGGGACGTGACCGCTGTTCCATTGGTACGATCCGGCCTCCAGCGGTGACACGTTGGTGGGTAGGAGAAGAGTGTTTCTTGAGAAAGCGAGCAAAGCCTTCATTTTCCTGGGCACTGCGTTCAGAAGGTGGGACAGTAGGTTGTCGTTCGGGTAGGTTGACAATGCGGTTGCCTCGATAGAGGATGATTTCTTCTTGAGAGCTGCTAGACTCCTGGGACCAGCCACGAGGACGGTCACTCGAAGTGCGTCGGGTGGACATGACGCAGGCACCTAGGGGAGGGACCACCCCGGCTGGACAGAAGTCAACATTGTCCGGACTTGCACTGGGGGAGGCACATTGAGACTCACCTCGAGCGGCGTCGTAGGTGAATTTCGACAGATCAAAATGAGCAGGTCTGGATTGAGGAGCCAGTTCAAGCAAACGCGACACGGTGTATCTGCGCTGTCGACCGGCCAGGCTATTTGTGGTTTGGTTAGTCATATTGCCTCTATGTCGTGTTCCAAGCGCAAGTGAGGGTGCAGTTGAATAGCCAAGGAGAGACCAAAAGCAATCGCCGCGAGAGATTGGGACAACAGCAAAGCTGTCAAGGAGTTATGCATGGGCAAAAGTGAGAGTGATCTGTGCCGGATATCATGGGTCGGCCAATGACCAGGGGCGCACAGGAAGTCGCTTGGTCACTCTCCAGATGAAAGAGCAAGCCACACAGAGAAGGAAGGAGCAAACAACGCCTGCGCTTACCAGGCAACTTTGCCCTTTCAATCGGTCGGGCGCGGATGATGTCCAAGATGCGGAAATGATGTTGTCGATCCAGTTGACAGTCGTGCACAGTGGTTAGAGATGAGGAAGAGGAGAAGCAAACATTGACGAGAAATTGAAAGAGAGCCAGAGGCTGTCATAAAAAAAAATTCTCTGCTTGAAAGTAGTGAATATTGGGAAACGAGTCTTCACTGTTGTGTTTCGCGATTAGCCTTGCGTTTATTTTGTTCGGTGATATTAAAAGCCCATGGGTGTGGCAGAAACCAATCCACCAAGATACTCCAGCATCGTCATCTCTCAGTCGTAAGTCATCATACATGGTTGTGTGGTGCGACCGGAGGCGTGAAGGGATTGATAGGCATGTCATCTTCTTCATAACTTGGTCGTCGTGGTTGAACATCAACTGGGCTGAGGACACGCCCGTGTGCCTCCTCGGCCTTTGCTTGATCCTTGAGTTCCCAGCTTCCAACACGTTCATGGCCTCTCACAGGCGCCGGATAGGCTGGATCTTCGCTAGCCACAACAACAGCACCTGCACCGCCCTTTGAAAGGGTGAGATCCTGGTCACTCGCAAGTTTCTTCCCACCCTTGAATCCTCCCAGTTCGGACCGGCGTTTGGAGTGGACGCGATGTAATCTCACACCTCCAAGCAACATCACTAGACCAAACAAAAGAGCGGCTACAGCGAGTGTGACAACCGCCCCAATGACACCGGCCACGACCGGAGACAAGCCATGCCGGCTTGGAGAGAATCCAGTGGTTGGGTTGAGATTCCCATCGGTCCCTGTGAAGGCTGGGCAGAAGACACTGAAGCTGTTGCAGGTCGTGCACCAATCCTCCACATTGAAAATCATGAAGTCCTCCAGCCCTGCAATAAAATCGACTAGAGTGATGCTGGTCTGGCTGGGGCTCAGCCCAAACAGAGGATATTCAATCAGAGTCGAATAGGATCCTGTCCCATTCTGGTAGAAGAATCTGACGAAGATGTCTGATGTGTCTGGATAGGTGTCGACGCCTTCCGGCTGCAGGGTGTAGAGCTCGAAAATAAAACTGGCACCTGGCTCTGGGACATTGTAGAAAGCTGCATTCTGAGGCGAGACCAACCCAGCCAGAGCTGCGAATGCAACCATTGGCTCGAAGCTCCCGAAGAATAGAGTCATCTTGTTCGAAGCCCCTTGAGTATTGATAGTCGTGTAGAAGGCTTGAAGGATGCGCGTGGCGAGCGTACGGCCGGCTATTGCTCGGATGTGGTCACCAGGAGTAGAGCCCGAAACCTCAATGTCGGCATTCAAGGCAAATACCCAATCATCAGACAGGATCTTCGCTCTGGTCAAATCCTCGGCAGACAGGAGCTGCGCTGCACTTGTGTTATGGATCGAGGCATAGTTGAGGTAGTCATAGATGTAATATGCATCATAATAGCCGACAGATGCGTCTGAGAAGACTCCATTCAAGAAGTCCGGCTGCAGGCTTGCATAGAATTGCGCGGTACTGTTCTCAATGCTCTCGAAATCTGGAGTTCCGTAATAGTCGTTTGTTGACGCCACGTATGCTGGGCAGTTGCTCATCCCACCAACCCAGATTGAATTGAGATCATTGCTGGAGACAGTATTGATGTTTGGATACTGATAGCCGTTCAGTGGGGCCACCAGGTTCGATCCATTTTGAATAGTACTTTGACCAGCAATGTACGTATAGTTGGACGACGTCTGCAACGGCGGATACAACCCTTGTAGGAACGCTTGAGCTGAAGCAAACACATATTGATCGTCGGTCGACACAATGGTCAATTGGTCGTATTCGAGCTGGTACGAGGCAATACCAGCAATTGTCGTTGGCTCGGCGTCGCCATCGACTGGCACCAAATATCTCTGGCGAACTTTGTCGCCCGCCTCGAAAAGTTGCTGGGCACCAAGGGGTGTCAAAGTGGGCGAGACGGGGAGCACAAATGGCGTTCTATCGCCATATCTGTCCAATGTCAGCGCAAAGGCTCATGTACTCCAGCCCAGGTATCATGTCCAACCTGGTGTAGATGAAAGTGCTCAAGACCTGCACCTGGAGATCTGCTTGGACAATAGCGGTGAAGCACAAGCCAAGGAGGTACAAGCACAAAGCATTGACGATGAACCTTGCGCCCATATTCGCTGCAGGATCTAATCCAACTGGCGACAAGAGAAATAAGGGTTAATGGCCAGCACTCACCGTGAAGCTGAGAAGCAGAAAACGGTCAGAGACAGCTGCGGGGTGCTGCCAGCATTAATGTGGTGATTGAGCATGAGGCTGCAGGACCGAGCTCCAATCGCACGACCAACTTATGAGAACATTGCCCTGGAGGAGCTCGTGAAAGCAAGCTCCAACCAGGCAAGCTTACTCATTGCAGGGTAGAGTCTCATGATCAAAGCTGAGTTCTGGGAGCTCACGTTGCAGGCGTGGGTATGGAACGGGGAGGAATAGCCGGGATAAGAGCTTCGATAGCAGCCCCAGGAGGTGGGGTTGTAGCTTGGATCGAAGATTCGATTCGCTGGGCGCAAGCTGGAGACGTGCGGCACGCCAACAAGCCTAATGGCTCCCCCTTGCTTGCCATGCCGCTTACCTGGCGATGGTTGCGGGTCATCAGCGATCTCTGCAAGGCCCCGAATAGGGTGGAGGGGCAGAGAGACCATCTGGGAGATAATTGGACTGAACTCGTTGTATGAGCAGCTGTCAAAGGAGAAAGAAGTGATTCCTGTGTCCCTTTGTACGGGGTACGCAGAGATCACTAGCCTCTGCTCACAGGCAGCCTAAACAAAGCCCAGTAGCCTGATGACAGTGGCTTGGTGAGTTTTCTCAAGTTCCTTGGACAAGTGGGAAGAGAAAGACTGGATTGCCGATAACGATAACGGAAGCCGTCGGCGGTCCCCAGATTCCTGGCACCTAGAGAAATGTTGGAGGCTGGGAACACTACGCAGTATCTGGAGGTTACCTCTGGTGCCTCTGCTAGAGAGCGGAATGGAAGCTAGGGAGTGTCGCTGCTTGTCTGGGTGGGAGTAGTCACCCCCACTCGACCACAATCCGTGCCTTTCGGGATGCAACCCCTCACTCATTTGATCCACCACCTCCGTCACAATCCGATCTGCCGCCCACTGTGGCCTCTCTGGGCACTCCCGCACAACTTGCAGTTTCGAAGATTGATTTGAGGTTCATCCCAAAACTTTTCCGTTATCAGCACGTGATGACAATTTCTCGCACCTATGCGACAAACTCCCTAGAGGCAGGGCGGCCCAAAGAAGCCTCTGATAAACAATGGCACAACCCTCTTCGACCGAGCGACCCATGCAGACTTCCAAAGAAGAGCACCTACCCCACCACGATGCAGGTGAGTGTTCTTTCTTGCCTAACAGTGCATCTAGACTTCATGTAACCGTCTCTCAGATCGACATAGAAACCCTGCAACCTCTCGGTCACCACCAGCCGCTCTAGAGGTCGACGACAATCCGCGAAGTCCTAAGCGGCGACGGCTTTCCACAGATGAGGATCAGCAGATAATCAAAGCTGAAGTTGAAGAGGAAGGTCCTGGTGGGCCGTCTGTGGTTACAAAATCTACAACAACTCGAGGAGATCAAGATGGGGAATCCGAAACAAACCTTTGTCAATCGCGGCATTCTTCCTCGGATAGGGTTCAGCAGACCGTCAAGTCTGTCATCAAGACCGAAGGCTCTGAGATTCAGGCTGAGGCTGTAAAATCCGCGACAACAGCTGCAGGTCAAGATGGCAATGGTGCGACACATCCTCCCCAGCAACCGTCTCCTGCGGCAAACGCCCGCCTGGATAACTTGGCCATCCTCGACAAGCAATCGTCACAGCTCCTGACCTTCTTATCTCGATTGACGCCGGCCGAAGCAATGGGTCTCTCGAGCGCGCCGAACGCCCCAAGCACCAAAGAGTATGCCGCATTGCGTTCCTCGTTTGATCGCACCAGGAGACTCCTCAGCCCTGGATGGCCCTTTCTGTCGCCACATGATTTGGGATTGCGCGAGAGCAATCAAATTGAGATCATCCGCAAGGCTAATCAGGCAATCTTCATGTCGAGCATCTTCACTGGGGAGATAGGTCTTCGAGACATGGACAGGAGCTTTCTCGCCGTGTTCGTACCCGAAAATGGCAAATTACTAAAAGCACAGGCTTCCATGTATCTCGAATTGAAAACGCAGGGCTTCATTACAGCCTGGAGGACAGGTGCTGCTCCACCCAACATTGTTATGGCCGACCTCTTCGGACCTGACCTGGACAGAGCTCTCTTAGCAAGAAGGCCCGGCACTACAGGTCTGGCCCCTACGGAGCAGGAGTTCCTCATCAGGCTTGCATCCCGTCGCGAGATTCTGCAAAGCCACGTTAAGAACAGTACCCTTGATCAGCTTCCCTTAAAGTATAGGTGGGAAGATTTTAGCCGAGAAGTGTCCTCCTACCTAATCAAGCATATCGAGAACTCCTCCAATCCCAGCGATGCTCCATCTAATGAGGGCGCTGACCTCACAAGGAGTCTCCATCGAGGGCAGATGGAAGGGCAGTTCTCTATCCATGGCCCCCCCCTCCCAGTCTCGTTGGCCGACTCTATTCTTTCGCCCAGATCTCAGGTCAAGCATACTACCGAGCTAGCAGATGACGACGACTTTGTTGCTCAAGCGGCAAGGGCTGCAGAGATTGCGCTTCGAAGCACCTTAGGCTTATCGTACTCGGAAAAGATCCCCGACGGTCCTCCATCAACACCTCCAACAGTACAGCCCGACACGTCCGCAGCCCGTCCACCTGCGCCACCTCCCGAATCATGCGACCCTAACTTGGATACTGCCTCGTCTAAACCAATCGAGCAAAAGACGTCTTTTGAGGAGATTCCTCATGCATCTCAGACTGCTCCTACTTCAGTTCTCTATGAAAGAGCCCGGCTGGCCGCCACAAAAGCTTCACTTGCTTTGGAGAAGAAGTCGATTGCCCCTAGTCCGAGACGCCAGTGGACTACGGAGGAAGAGAATGCTCTTATGACGGGGCTGGACCAAGTCAAAGGGCCTCACTGGAGTCAAATTCTTGCCATGTATGGGCCTGGCGGCACCATTAGCGAGGCACTCAAAGACCGAAACCAAGTCCAGCTCAAGGACAAGGCACGAAACTTGAAGCTGTTCTTCCTGAAGAGCGGCATCGAGGTGCCCTATTATCTCAAATATGTGACTGGCGATCTGAAAACGCGTGCCCCAGCCCAAGCTCTCCGACAAGAAGCCAGGGAGCGCAACAAGCTTTTATCTGAAGGGGATGACGCTGCTCTCGATGACTTGCCAGGCGAAGTTGAGAGCGAGGAACAGCTCGCGGAAGAAATGTTTGACTCTATGTTCAGTCAGGAGTCACCTCTTACCAACGGAACCGGGCAAGGTACTCCCGCAGACGAATCCAAGAAGCCTTTTGAACCGAGTATGGCGGACGTTGAGGCAGTCATAGCCAAAGCAAGCGCACACACGTCGCAGTCCACCGGGTCTAGCTAGTCGAAACAATTAAAATGGGAAGGTCAAACTTCCCTCTTCGAGAAAACTAATGCAATCATCTGCGAGAGACCAGGATTTCATGGGGACATTCACAAAATCGAGTAGGTGGTCAACGTGCCGTGATTGGCAGATATGATACCTTTTCGTGGATGTGACACGCCCTTGTAGCTAGCACGGATCTTAAGAGATATTTTGGAGAAGAAACATGCCATAGTTATAATCCCAGTAGTCGGCACAAATATCCCATCCGTCGCCAATATACTCGATATCTTTGCTCTGCCTCACCCGCCCTCACACGAGGCAGTTGACACAAGGCTGGTGCGCTAGCGACACTAGCGAGGTCAGGCCTCGGCCCAATTTCGACCGATAATATTGCATCGGGAATCTCCCCCTTCCACCCTGCGAAAGAGTCTGGGCCCTGATCTTGCATACAAGCGAACACCAGCGACTCCCCCTCACGACCTGTGTTGATATCCCACAACTTAAATATCATACTGTCACACTACGTCCTCCAGTCTTTCGTTGTGTGAGTCTCAGATGATAAGACAGTCATGTCCTCCCCGAGCGAAGCAACAGCAGGCGATGCCGCCACGCGCGATATTGACGTCGACGCCGAAATGGCAGATGCCCTGACCCAAGATGCGCCAGCCAGACAGGAGGAGAATGTTGACCATGACATGACCACCCAGACGGACACACAACAACCTGGCGCGACAGCGACAACAGGATCGGGCTTACTGAACCAGAATCGTAAGGATGTGACGTTACGGGAGTTTTTGAGTAAAATGGATGACTATGCGCCAATTGTACGTTCATACGTTCCCATTCCCCTTCCCCAGCCCGTTTGCGGTTTGAAGTCCAGCTTGTCTGTTGCTCATTTGCTGACTTATGCTTCTTGCTTCTTTCTCTTAGATCCCCGACGCGGTAACAGCTCACTATCTCACACTTTCGGGCTTGCCACCCCCATCTCCATCCGACCCAACAGGAGCCAGCACGAACACCACCCCTCTCCCGCTTGCCCGCCTCCTCGCTCTCGCAACCCAGAAATTTGTCGCCGATATTGCCGCCGATGCCTACCAATACTCGCGTATCCGCAGTTCGAATAACGCTGTCAGCGGCCCAGGAATAGGAGTAGGCATGGCTGGGGGTGGAGCGTCTTCCTTTGCAGCCGGCGCTGCTGGCGGCTCTGGAGCGGGAGGTGCAGGGGCAGGGGGAGCAGGAGGGAAGAACCAGCAGAATACGACGTTAGGGGTGCAAAGGAGCGGGTATGGTGGTGGCGGACAAGGTGGAAGCGCTCAGGGCAAGACCGTCTTGACAATGGAGGACTTGGGCATGGCAGTACAGGAGTACGGAATCAATGTCAAAAGAGGGGAGTTCTACAGATAATCATGCAGCGGCAAGGCTCGCATTGGGGGTTGGTATTTCCTATAGGCGGTTGGAGGCGTGCGTGCATAGCGCATGGGAGTCAATCTCAAGGTACAGGAAGTGACAGGCAATTCCACGAATATCGGCTCACAAATGGTTGAATTGATCTGCAGAACCAAGGGATATCATCCGGACTTCTCGTCATGGCGCGAGGTATGTGCGCATATGATCGACTCAGTAAGATCACAGCTTTCAATGAATCAAAGCGTATGTAGTACGCTTCCCAGACCAGTCCCCTCCATCACAGACGTTCCAATTGATCCGGTTCCAGAGGGGGCCTTGTGCATCTCATGTGTTTTTCCCCATTCCCTTTCATAGCTTGAATAGAATCATTGGGAGGGTATCTTGGGGCGGGTTATGCCGTAGTAGTCGTCGACTTTGTCGGCTCAATGCATAGAAAGTTCATCTTTTCGACTTCTTTACTTGTTCTTGCTCATCTTATATGTAAAGCGTTTTCTCGTACTAGCTTCTGGTCAGCCACCGTCTTTTCCCCGTCTTCTTTTCTTGCTGAAGCTGAGATGTGCCCCATTTGATGTCGCAAAGGAAAAATTCCAAGGGAAGGCGACTTACGGCACGAATTCGCCCAGCTTCCTCCCAACCATTTCCTCGGTGATGTACACATCTTGATAGATCTTGCCATTGTGCACGGCAAACTTCAGACCAACGAAATTGGGCAGGATCGTGGCAGACCGCGCTTGGGTTTTTATCGTTGGTGGTGTTTTGCCATGGACGACGGTAGGGAGCTCGGGGAAGACGAGGTTTGGCCCTGTACATATGATTTGAGAGATGTCAGCATTCGTGTGAGGGTGTAGACATCACTAGCCATCAATGCTGCTGGCATTTCCCCATACCTTTCCAAATGGACCGCTTCAAGAGCTGGAATGTTGCGCGCATCGTTATCGCAGGAGCATGGCCAAATCCTCTTGACGGGAATCGGTGACACCGGGAAACAATCAAAAAGGAGCCTTCAAAGATTAATTCAGAGGGGGGTGGAAATAAATTGCGAGCACGGGCCCAGTGAACGAAGTGGACAAACGAGCTCGTGGCACTCTCTGCGTTCCCATCAGAGCGACAAAATCCCCATAAAAATCTCCCTCCACATCCGCATCCTAATCTGGATCTCGGACTCGCGATTCGGATTCAGTAGTTCGAGCACTCTTGGTCAGGAGTTAATTTGCGACTGGTGCCTTGATTTGCTCCTTTTCCGTATCTATGAATCAATTTTGTGCTCCTTTATCATTCAAGTAGGGCATTGTCATGCCCATACAATAGCGATACCTATCTCCTTCAGTTTTTGCCACGGAAACCGATCCCGCGACATCTCCTCCTTGAAACAACCTCCTCGATTTCTCCAGAAAACCGCGAACCTACATCCAGCGTCCAGTTGCCGGTCGAGGTTTGGGTAGAACACCTCCTTCGTCATGGCGCAAAGCGCGGTGGGATCATATTCGAACCCGCTCAAGAAATTCAAGTATGACGCGCATATCTCTGCAGATAATCGTTGTTGGCACGAGAGGCTGACAAGATCTCTACAGGCTGGTATTCTTGGGCGAACAGAGTGGTATGTGTCAATATTTCCAGAAACACAACTAGCTCTGGACTGCCGTGCTCACGCAATATGTGCATGATCCAGTTGGAAAGACCTCCCTAATAACCCGGTTCATGTACGACTCCTTCGACACGACGTACCAGGCTACCATCGGCATTGACTTCCTCTCCAAAACTATGTACCTCGAAGACCGCACCGTCCGCCTCCAGCTCTGGGACACAGCCGGACAGGAGCGTTTTCGCTCCCTGATCCCCTCCTACATTCGTGACTCGTCCGTCGCTGTCGTGGTCTACGACATCTCCTCCCGCAAAACCTTCGAGCAAACACGGAAGTGGATCGATGATGTGAGAGGGGAGAGAGGGAATGATGTGATTGTGGTCCTTGTCGGCAACAAGACAGATCTGGGCGATTCCAAAAGGGAGGTCACCACACAACAAGGTGAGGAGGAGGCCAAGAGAGCTGGCGCCATTTTCATGGAGACCAGCGCGAAGTTGGGCCACAATGTCAAGGCTCTGTTTAGGAGAATAGCGCAGGCCTTGCCGGGCATGGAAGGGGAAGGGGAGCAGCAACCGAATCCCCAGAGTAAGTAAATCCCAACATCTTTGTTAAGAGGGAGACATGCACTGACACCTGGGCTCTCTCCACAGTGATTGATGTGTCGATAAACAACCAGAAACCTGCCGAGGACGGGTGCGCTTGTTGATTGCAAACATAGGATTCTGGATCAATTTCGAGCTACAACTCATGCCGCCGGCGGGCTTCGTGGGCTCCAAATGTTGGATTAGCATGTGAGTGAGCCCATATCTGTCCACGGTCCAGACGGGATGTGCCATGGTGTTTCTTGGAAGCTTGAAAGAGGACCACGACAAGATGCCAGTGGACATTGCGTGGGAGGCATGCAGTGCGTCCTGTATATGTGGGATATGTCTATAGTGCGACTGCCTCCGTGGACATGGGTCAACGATCCATGGACGGCGTCGTGTCGACTGCGAGAGTGTGACAGATATGGAAATGAGGGCTTTTTAGCATAGCATGGCGTTTTGGCTGTTTTACACCCCCGACAAGAGCAGGAAGAGCAGAATGCTGGGAACTCGGCCCTTGGTCGAGTTCGTTGGTTATGCTTTCTTGTGCACTGGTAGGGAAGGGAGACGGCATTGTGCAAAAAGGACAGAGGACATCCGGTCGTTCAATCGTTGATCATCGCACCGTCATCGATCGTCCATTATTCCCCGTAAGATGCAAGACTTGAATCATTCTTCTTGTAACCGCTATACATCACTGAGCACAACCTCTTGTCCGTCTTTCCACGCCCCATCACCTCTCTCTCCCCACCCCCCTCGGTCTCTCCCTTTTCGAGATCATCCCCGTTATTCGCCTCAAAGTATGGCCTAGGACTGAACTCGACATCCGTGGCCCGCTTTTTCGTGGACGAGTATTCACGCCTGCTCATTCCTTGATATCGTCACCTTTCTTCGGAGGCATGGTACTATACGGTTTGCGACGGAGAGGCCCAGTTGGCGTGAATCTTTGGACTTTAATATTCCGTCACCAGGTCCCCCCCTTTCACACTCGATCCACAGATTTTCACTAACGGAGTTCTTGTCCCCTCCCTCGCAGCCTGCCCTTTCGTTCGGATCGAAGCCATTCGTGGACAAAACAACTGAGACCGCAAATTGGGACCGTATGATATCATTGCAATATGCAGTCATCACTGCAGAACAAGCCTTGGGGTTCGCTGGCAGCGAGGCTGTGGAGCCCTTTCAACTGTGTGCGCAGTATGTACTCGGAATATCGACGACGACGGAAACACAGACTAACCGCATATGGCAGGCATCTCTATCGCGCCCCTGCGACGCCGGGGCTATCAAGAACGAGATCTTCCCGCGGGAAGGATTTCCACACATCATCGCGGACATATGGCGGTCTACACAGAGCATTCAGCGGTGCTTGCGGATGTTATGAGCCGGATGATAACATATGCATATCTTCATACATATATATAGCATGTAATTAAGAACAAAGAGAAATAAGTACCCGTTGGCAGTATAGTCCCTCGATTCTAAGGTCCACTCCCTCCCAATTCGATTCTTCTCCTTTGCAATGAAGTTTTTGACGTACAGTTCGTTACTCGCCCTCCTTGTCTCCAATGGAAGATTAGTATCCAGTCAAACTCCGCCGGGCTTCTCTCCCAGTACCAACAAAGCCCTGTACGTGTCGTTTGACAATCAGGAAATCACACCAGGGTTGCATATTCCTCTTGCTGGTGCGTTTCCTCAGAATGTGACCTTGTGTTGATGTAGCTCATTCTTTTACTGCAAAATAGACACAGCGGTTTCTCCAAGCATCGCTTTTCCCGGCTGTGGTCCGCCGCAAGGCACACATCTTGTCTTGATGGTCGATCTGGATGCCCCTGATGGAGCCAAAAATCATAGCCTATCCCCTCTGTTACATTGGTTGCAGCAATCCATCCCTGCCAGGCTCCCAGCAGTCTCAAGCAACTACTCTGCCGCCCACGTCGCCGCTCCCATCGTACCATTCTACATGCCTCAACCCCCTCCGGGATCGGGACTGCATCGGTATGTCGTCCTGGCTTTCGACCAACCGCAAAAGGCTTTCAGTGTGCCGGCCAACTTTACACAATTCAGCAACGCGTACCGTTTCAACTTTGATGTGGCCAAGTTTGCGGAAGAGGCGAAGTTGACAGTCGCAGGAGCGACTTGGTTCATGACACAGAACACCACACAGGCTTAGGGTATGGCTGGGTCGACGGGCAACTCGATTTGCGAAGTAGGCGGCCCCAGTGGTGTTGGGAGCTCGTTCATCATGACTGCCTGCATCGCAAGATCGTGTTGGCGCATGGTTCGTATATATCCTTGAGTGGTTATGTTCACTGCCTTTGTCAAACATGTCCTCATAAGACCACATACCTAGCTATTCGCGAAGCCTATGTGAATGCCGTAGTCAAAGTTAGTGACTGGTATCACCTAGACACCGTGCAACAATGTCGATAAGTGCGTCCTCTGGCATTGACCGCGCAAGAGTAAGGCCGGACGTGGGCTGGTACTTCAAAAAGGACTGCTTTTTAGAAGAAGTCGACCATGAAACCAGATTGCACGCATATGTTCGAGGCATGAGTATCGTCTGGGAGGTTTAACCTTGATCCCGTGTCGCCGACTTTGAGTAGAGACAGATGATTCACGTGTTTCAAAGTGTCGTCTGGCCAACTGATGTTTGTTTTCTGGCCTACGCCTCCTTGTCACCCATAGAAGAGCAGCAGGCAATGGGATTAGATTGTCATACAAATATGGAATCAGAAGTTGCATTACCACGGGCTCAAAGATCAGCATTGATTGATACGTCGATCAGAATTCCTCTGCGTCATGGTGTGGTTTTTGTCTGCGATGCAAAGTACTTCTAGTGCATGGAGAGAGAGTATTAATCCGTACTACCCATGTAATTCAACGCATGTGTCGATGATGGCTCGTAGTAGTGAACTCTTGTTGCGTCAGCCTGGCAGGAGAGGCATTCAAAAAAAAAATTGGGCCGGAATGAATCAGTTCCTGCTGCCCGAGCCCGGGTGGAGGGCACTAATCTCGGGCCCGCGAATGTCTCAAAAGCGATTCGTTCGGGGAGGACGACGCTGTTCCAGGGGCCATTCTTCTGGGGCCTCCCTCCGGGAGCCTTAAGGCTTCGACGATGCCCGTAACGAGCAGCTCCCATGCTCAAGGTTCGGACTCTAGCCGAGTTGGGCAAGTCCATGACACGTGCCTCGAAAACCGACAGGAATCTCGACATGAAATTCCCTCAAGCACCCGAAATTCGCCATCCGCTTCGCCTACATCACGACTCCATTACTCACTCCTCTGCATCTGTGGTTGGCGAAGGGCAGCTCCTGAAGCCTCCTAACTCTCACTGTGAGGGGCTTTGACTAACTGCATCTGTCTGTCATTCACCTGACTCGACTTGGAGCCAGCCTGGCGATTCGTTACCTCACCACTGCTTCCATCCTGCTCCGCCAGGCACGACTTTTACGAGTACGAATTGAAGCCTGCCTGCGGGCGACCTTGATATTTCTACCGTCTCCTACAACACCTGCTCCCCCTTCCCGACCACCTTCGATTGACACGCGACCATCAGTAGACACTCCACTCCGAGTGTCTTCACATTCTCTTTTCAGCATTCCACCTCTTCGTCCAGCGCGTTCATTGACGGCTTTCGAGTCGTCAAATGAACCTGCCTTGTTCGCCTCTATCCCTCTTCCAGACGTTGCTCTTCGATAGGAAGAGAGCCTCCTTCTCCTAAATGCCTTTCAAGCCCTTCGCACATCTTGCCCGTGTCAGTGTCGCAAAGGGAATCGCCCATACTTATGCTCCGTCTGTAGTTGCTGCTGGCCAGTCACTCGGACAGTTTCAAAATTATCCGGTCACAAAATTCGCGAAGACCGCACAACTTCAAAATGCCTTCTCAAGCCCGTCGGGCTCTGGTGCAGGTGCGAAGGCAGGTTATACTACTCAATCAGGCGGCGGTGATGCTGGGTTAGCCCAGTACTACGCCGCCTGGCAACATGCACAACAGACTGGTGATGACTCGGATTGGAAGAAGCATGAGTACGCGCGACGGATAGGCTGGAAAAATCAAGAGAGGGTTGTGCCTACTTCAAAACACCACCGTGTCGAGTCTTACCGAGCCGTCGACCTCCTCCGACCCTCTGCACGCATAACTGTTTCGCGCGTCAACAGTGAACGAGCCACCCCCAAGATTCACGAAGCCGAGGAAGCCCTCGCTGAAGCCGAAGCACTTGCAAAGGTAGACGAGGAGATCGTGAAGGAGATCGCTTCCCGCCAGATCGAGAACGCCGCTCCTCATGACGAAGCGGTCGGCAGCCCTGTTGCGAGCACACGAGTTCCGACTCCCTCCGTCCAAGAAACTGGTGCGACCGAACTTGAGTCTTCCACCAGCTTCGAAAACACATCGCCGCCCACTGACATCACCTCACTGGCATCGGAAGAGTCTGCCCTCTCTGATCAGATTGTTCAGCTTGGCCTCCAGCACCGATATAGCGAAATCCCCGCTCTCTTCGAGACAATCATCAAAGATGGCCATGTGCCGACAGTGGAGGCGTACAATCATATCTTGGTCTCCGCCATTAATCTGACTCAAGGCTACCAGCCATGGCCCAGAGCTCTCGAGGTGTACGGCGACATGACGAGGCGCGCCGTCGAACTTAATGGGACATCATACGTGATCCTCCTTCGCTTTTTGGCCGCTCGGAGCCTCGAGGCATACCAGGTGCAAAAGAATCTTGGTGAACGAGCTACTCGATATGGGAGTGATGGCTCTTTGGTCTTCCCTTCTGCTACCAGACAACATCAACTCTACGCCGCTGACACGTCGCTTGCATTTGCTACCAAGCTGTACAACATTGCTCGGGCTACTCTCGAAGATTTCTCACTCTCGGCCGAAGTATACAATGCCCTAGTCAAGGCCTGTGCCCAATCCGGTATGGTTGAGCATATGAACTCGCTTTTGGCCGACATGAATGCCCAAAACATTCCTTTGGCGTCACAGCTATACACGACTGTTATCGATGCGCAAGCTTCTGTGCAAGACATCCACGCTGCACAAGGCCTGTACGAGGAGTATCGTGATCTGGCTATCAGCAGAGCCGCCAATGATCCGCTTGACTTAAAGGTGTACGCTTCCTTGATCAAGGCTTACTATGCTTGCGGGCTTGCTGAGACTGGATTACGTTTCTATGAGAAGATCCTCCAGTCCTTCAGAGGCTCCGCAAACGAGAAAGCTTTGTCGGATAGCCTGACAAGCTCCTTCGTGCTGGATGGGCTTGTTCAGCATCATATCGAAAACCAGGCCTACTCCACTGCGATCTCAAGTCTTGATGACTTCACCTTGTTGCCCGCTATACGAGACGAGGCACTATCGAGGATCTCGATCGCTGCGGCTGATGCAGGAAGCGTTGACGAGGCTGTGCAATCCTTCAATGCCATCAATCCAACAAACTTGAAGGCCGAGCCTATCACGGCACTTGCTGCTCTACATATTCGAAGCGGTGAGATCGACAAAGCCAAGTTGACCTGGAACGATGCTCGATCTCTGCCGATTGCTCCAAGTACTGATTTTGCAGCAATGTACGGCATGGCGTTGATTAACTCTGGCTCCGTCGAAGAAGGTGTGGGTGAAGCCCGGTCGATGTTCCAACGCATCCGCTCCTCAGCCAGCACCGAAGCAAGCCGTCAACTTGCTGTGGCTGAAATTGACGAAGCAATTATCCTCTTCGGCGAGGCCCTTTCGAAACAACAGGCTGTGGTCTCTGCAACAACAAGCATCACCTTGTTGCGGACTATGATCGAAAATGGAGGTCTTGTCTCTCCAGTTGCCGAGCATGCAGTTGCCAGCCTGGGACCAGAATGTGTCCATCAACTTAATGCTCAGGACATCGCTCTGGCTCTTCATGTTCAGGCTCAAATGCTCATGTATCGGGAAGTTGTCGACGCTGCCCATCCGGCCAGGTTTTCCCATCTTCTTGAGACCGTGCTCAATCGTGGCATTCTTATGGATCCGTCGACAGTTCACGTGGTGAGTGACAGCATACCAAAAATTGGCAATGCGCGACCCGATCTCCTGCAGCGTTGGAATGAACTCCTTCACCCTGCTCCCCCTGCCCCAGTCGCAATGCCGCAATCGCCCTTGTCACCGCATTCGGCTCTGCTCGAGGTATCGGCCCACGATACTTATGATCCCTATGCCCATACTACCGACTATCGTGCCTCCAAAGCAATATCCGAACTGGTCGAGAGCACCACCGGCCGTATTGAAAACCACCTCAATGACGGGCTCTCCCGGTTGAGAAACGTCCGTCGAGCGGGCAGAAATCTACATTATTCTGCTTACGCTAAGTTGATCACCGCTGCGGGTAAGGCCAAACAAGCAAACTTGGTTCAAGAGATTCTGAGTATGGCACATTCCGACGTCCCGATGTCATTGCAGATCCCATCTGTTCGTGCAGGATGGATCACGATTTTGGATTCCATGATTGCGGCTTGCTTGACTGTTGGAGATCGCCAGCAAGCAGGCAAATTCCACCAAGACCTTCTGGATATGGGAGCAGCACCTTCCGCAAATACCTTTGGCATTTACATTACCACCCTGGAGGGTACTTTCGACGAAGCGACTGAAGCCGTCAAGATTTTCCACCGTGCTCTGTCCGAGGGAGTCGTTCCGAGTGTCTTCCTCTACAATGCTGTTATTGGCAAACTCGGCAAAGCTAGGCGGATTGACGACTGCCTGCGTTACTTTGGCGATATGGAGGGTCGCGGCATTCGTCCTTCATCTGTCACCTATGGTACATTGGTGAACGCTCTTTGCCGAACCAGTGAGGAGCGCTTTGCGGTTGACATGTTTGACGAGATGGAAGCAGCACCCAACTACCGTCCTCGACCTGCTCCATACAATTCCATCATTCAATATTTCCTTAATACAAAGCGCGATCGCAGTAAGGTCCTGCAGTACTATGAGCGGATGAAGTCGAAGAACATCAAGCCTACCTCTCACACGTACAAGCTCCTCATTGAGTCGTACGCGTCCCTGGAACCTGTCAACCTCACTGCTGCCGAATCTATCCTTTCCGAAATGAAACAAAACGGTGTGCAGCCAGAGGCAGTCCATTATGGGTCTTTAATCCATGCTAAGGGGTGCGTTATGCACGACATGCCTGCCGCAAGAGCCGTTTTCGATTCCGTCCTGCAAGATGGTAATATCCGTCCAACCGACACACTGTATCAGAACTTGCTCGAATCAATGGTCGCCAATCACGAAGTTGAGAAGACTCCCGAGATTTTGGCCGACATGAATCGACGTGGGGTCTCTATGACTCCCTACATTGCGAATACGCTCATCCATGGTTGGGCTGGTGTAGGCGAGGTTGCAAAAGCCAAAGCGATTTACGAGCAGCTTGGCATGGACAGGCGTGAGCCCAGCACCTACGAGGCCATGACACGGGCCTTCCTGTCCGCGGAAGATCGTGCCAGTGCCAACGCGGTGGCACAAGAAATGCTGAAGAAAGGATATCCTGCCGCCGTCGCTGACAAAGTGCTTGCCCTGGTGGGTGGCATTGCGGCCTAAAATTTTCGCATAAAATTATCGGTCGAGAGTGGCGATTTATGCTTGCCTCGACTGCTTCATTCCTTGTGTTGATTGTTGATTGATAATGATACCCAGGGGAAAACGAGCCACGACTACATGGTGGCTCTGTGCATCTCGGCGTTTGGATTCAGTCTGTCGTCTTAGCGACAGCGTGCTACATGGTGTCGCGTGGCTGGCGTATATGGGACATGTTCAGCGGGCTCTGCTTACCTTCTGGCGGAGGCGCTGGAAGGGGCTTCTTGCGACGGGTTTTTGCAGGCAAAATCGGGCTGACCATGTACAACAGAACACCAAGAATAATCTCTACTCGCTACTCAGATAGATGATCTAGACAGTTGAGGTTTTGTCTAGATTCGAAGTGTAGTCCTCCAAACTGGAGTTGACATGCTGAATACTGGCAAGAGCCGGTAGGAGGAGGGCTGGCGAAGAATCCAACTCTCTATATTGAAACCTCCACAATGAGTCTCTGTCCATTCTCTATCATGCATTTGAAGGCCATGTAATCGTGATACTTCGGCGTCTATCCTCAGACTTGTGATGTCCTTCGTTATGGGCTCAGTCTCTCAATCTTCCACTTTGCCTCGCCGCCCTGTCCAAGATCTCCTTCTATCCGTGTGTACAGGAAACGGTCGTGGAGTCTACTTTCCCGCCCTTGCCAGAACTCGATCGTCTCAGGAATGATCCTCAGCCCACCCCAGAACGGTGGCACCGGGATGTGTTCTTGACCTTCGAACCGGGTCTCGATTTCCTTGACACGGGCTTCAAGGGCAGCTCGGCCGTCGTCTTCTTCCTCCTCCTCCCCTGCCACACCTTCTTGGCCACCTCCAGTCCTAGCATCACCGTCCAGGTTCTGCTGCCGTGTGGCAGCAGCTGTTGTTGTCGACGACCGAGGCTCCAAAACACTTGTTTGCTGGCTAGCCCACGCTCCGATCCTCGACCCTCGGGCTCTCGTGTCGAAATAAAGCTGACTCTCCTCGGCACTGAGCCTCTCCACCACGCCCTCGACTCTGACCTGCCTCTCCACGGGCTTCCACCAGAAGCAGAGACTCGCGTACTTGTTTGTGGCGATGTCTTTGGACTTGCGTGACGTGCCGAAGTTCGAGTATATGACGAAACCGCGCGCGTCGAGTTCCTTGAGATAAACAGTGCGGCTGGACACGCGACCGCTCGGCAGCGAGGCCGTGGATAAGTTCACGGTTTCGGGCACGGCAGTTTGGAGCCTGGGGTCGGTGAACCAGGAATGGAATTGGATGAAAGGGTCAGGTGAAAGGTCTGCGCGGCGGAGCTTGGATTGCCTGAACTGTGCGGCCCGTGGCGGCTCGTCGTGTTGCACCTCCTGGGAAAGATCTGGAGGAGGGTGACCAGGGGCGACTGGAGGAGTGAGGGACGTTAGAAGTGGTTAGACGTTTGCAAATATCTCTCAGTACATCACGGGCACTTTCATGCCTGAATCTGGGGAGTGCTGGACATGTAGTGTCATACACTTCCCCTTCAAGCAGAGCTTCAGAGGATATGCGATTGGAGCAGCATTTCTCTGTATTCGAGCCAACGTCTCTTCCCCTTCCTCTTTCTTCCTGTGGGCTCGGAGAGGTGGAGGGTAGGACTTACATATCAGTTTGCCATCGGAAGGCCTTGTGCTGGATGGCTTTGCTTGGTGGAGCATCGCGGAGATTGCTGGTCGAGGAAGAGAAGTACGCGCTCTCAGGGTTCGTGGTATCATGTAGAAGTATATCTTGGGTACACAGTGAGCAATAGAGGGACGATGGACTTCGTGCAGCTCGTCACGCCTTGGGCATCAACTGATCGTTGAGTTGGAATGACACGTCTTCCTCGTCATTTGATTTCTGATGTGCAGCTGGCGTGGCACGTGCGTGGCTGCCAATGGGGAAGTCACGTGCTGGCATCGTGACGACGGAGGGGAACTTGTGGCCCCCACTGTGACGCCTGCCACTTACACCTCCACCGCCATGAATCAATGAATCCTTCCTTCTTCTCTTTCCCCACCTTTTGCCCTGATCACGCACCCAACCTCACCAACCCATCACATCACCACTGGGACTAGGCCTCTATCAAATCAGTCCTCTTGTTTCAGCTTTGTATTTCAGCCCGATATCTCAAACCCTCGACCCAAGACAAGCTGCAGCCTATTCGGGCCCCCCCCAACCGTCACACCATACCTGACATCTGGCAAAGGTGTTTGGGCTTTGACCAAGTTGTTCAGTCGTGGCGCAGCCCTGTTCCAATCCTTCCAATCCACCCATCCAGATCCCGGCTCAGCTGGACCTCTTTCCACACAGTCAGGCACCTGCATCCGGCCTGCATCGCTCTCCGAGGCTGTCTCGCAACCCCCTGGTCCTTTGGCTTCCGCTATCGCTGGGCCTCACCGGTGTCAACGCGACTAGCGTCTTATCGCCGTATATCTCAGCCCCATCTCTTCCTTCATCTCTTCTTCCATATGCCGCCCACACTCGAAAAGATCAATACCAATCCTCCCCCATCTGCGAGCAAATCTAAGACCACTATGGTATGTTGTTGACAAGCGGTGTTGCTACGTCCTCGAGTCGAACGACCTCAGCTTCAGATTGCCTGATCTTAAGAACACGTTAGAACTAACTTTGGCACGCCTTATAGACTCCCGTCACCCACAAGCACTTGTCCGACGAAGAGATCCAGGCGTACAAGGATGTCTTTGCCCTGTTTGTAAGTAATGTTTTTTCTGAGTTGAAATAGTCGCATCCAAGCTCATTCTTTCGGTAGGACAAGGATTCAAGTGGTAAGATGTTTCCGGCCTTATGTTTACGCTGTTTTCCGTAAAGGAAATTCAGCCTCGTCGGGGATCGTGTATTCGAGAGCCCGAAGTCCGATATCTGTGCAACAACTGGCGAACATCATGTTGAGATTCGGACTCATGAAGGAGCCTGATGCTGACGTTGCCATGACTTAGGCACCATCACGGCGCAAGAACTCGGTGAAATTATGAAGTCTCTTGGCCAGAACCCGTCCGATTCAGAGTTGCAGGATATGGTAAGATGATGCATCTCTCTGGCTTCCCAAATTGGTGTTACGTCTGTTCGGTTTGCTAATGCGTGCTCCAGATTAATGAGGTTGACGTCGATCGTTCCGGCAGCATAGACTTTGACGGTAAGGTTTCCCCATCGCCACTGCATCTTTTCTGTCTCTCATTCTGCCCAACATTATATACAAACCGGTCTGACCACAAGTATAGAATTCCTCCAAATGATGTCCACAACTGTCAAGGCGCAAGACTTTGCTCATGAGACCCGTGCCGCATTCAACGTCTTCGACAAGGATGGGTCTGGTACCATCTCTGCCGACGAGCTGCGTCAGGTGATGAAATCTCTTGGAGAAAATCTGACGGATAATGAGATCGACGAGATGATTCGCGAGGCGGATAAGGACAACAATGGAACGATAGACTGTACGTGTTCCCGATCCTGCACTGTTCCATCTGGCTATTCTTTTGGAGTTGTCCAAATCGTCTTTCCCATTTCGGATTCCGAGAGTGAAACCGAAGATGGAGGGCGATGCGTCTGGGAATGGACTCGGCCTCTCATATGGGTGGCGATTGAGCTGCTGGCTCGCATGATCTCGAGATGTCCGAGTCCGAGCTTTAGAAGATGTTTGGTCCAAGGTTGAGTGCTAACACCTTGTCCCTTGACACAGACGAGGAGTTCGTGCAGCTCCTATCCCCCAAACCATAAATGGGACAAAAACGCAAACTTCAAGTCTGCTGTCCCAACATCGCACAAGGTATCGCCGTTACTGGCGGGCATGATGGACGCGGCCACGATGATATTCCACGTATGACTGTCAAGACCGACACCCTTCCCACAATAACACAACAACATTGCACGCTCATACCCCTTCAATGCGGCCCGGCGAATTCGACTACGGTTTTCACGCAGCGCCCTTCCCCGTCCAGTTTTGCTTGTCGAAGATGGAGAGCACCAGGTTGATCAGGCTAGGAGCAGAAATGATCTCTTACGGCCCGTTCTGGATGCAGCTGCTGGTTTGCTACGATCCCAATGGGAACAGTAGCTTCTGTGAAAGACAGTTCAAGAGACAGACCACCCAGCTAGCTAGCTATCACAGACATGGAGGCAATGTTTGAGCCTGGTTAAATTGAATGTGTGCATGATCGTTCCTTCCCTCAGTCCTCAACGCCCTAGATATCTCAATTACTGGGTGTGAGACTTCCTTCGCCGTTTGATGTGACTGGACAGTCATACCTTCTTCATAACCCTCCCCAGACCTGCCCATTTTGCTTCTCCCCATCCTGCTTCAGTCATTTCTTTATCTCAGCCGCCCTCTGCTCCGTTCCTCCCTTCCTGCCTCCCTGCCTGCACCGGGTCCTGGTACCAATTGTGGAGCACGGCCCGCCGCCCTAATTCAGGCAACATGCGACCTGGCCATTTGTGACTTCCAGGAATCAGCGTGGTGGCCCCATTCTCTTCAGTGCATTTGTTGAGGGCGACCAGGAAAACGATCTGAGCTTCCACCCCTTCATGTTTAAGGAGGTAGGAAATTGGACGGTTGCCGGAGTCGTGATGTAGTGGCTTGTCTGGGCTACCTGGCCCATGCTCAGCCCGTAGTCGACAGGTGCCTATGAAGTATGGATTTCAGCACAGGAAACTGGCTGATGGCTTGATGGAGATGTGAGTGCTTCGAGCCGCCCAACTTGTGGCAAGGCTGAAGCGGAGTTGTCGGCCGTTCCTCCTTGGGCCGGGGCGCCCGACTCGGACAGTTCTCGAATGTTCATTTGATCATTGGCAACTGGTTGGGTGGTATTCGGAGATTTTGGATCTGGCGGAGTATCACCTCTCTCCAAATTGTGGGTGATAGGAAGCACCACCGAATGTGTTGAAGCGGTGGTTGAACGGCTTTCGTGATCGATGGTTCCGTTATCACCCACGGGTGATTCAGTCGCTGAAGAGCTGCCGCTCTGAGTTTGCAATTCCTGCGGCGTAGCCGGATTTTCTTGTGCTGCACCTTGTGCTCCGGATCCAGCTTCTTCAAACCTGGTGTTGATCTTCACGTCACTAGCATCATAGAACTTGAGGATCAAGACAATCATTTGCTCGATGATGAAAATCGACTGCATTCTCGACGAATTTTCCTTCAAAGCCACCGCTATCGGTACCATGAACCCGACAAGGATAAACGGAAAAAATACGGGACCATAAAACGACTCCTGATACGGGGCAGGTATAAGCGCTTGGTCCAAATGATGGTAAATCTGGTGCGGTACATGCTCTAACGTAACTGTGTAGATAGTCCCAGTAATACCGTTGGTCTCTTCCTGCACTTCAAGTCTGAGGCTGGCGAGGTTGTTTGTTTCAGGCTGAAAGTCCTGTGGAAGCGGAGCCCGGAAGCCTGAGAAAATTCGATCGGTGCCGTCCTGTTTGTTGCCCATCCGTCGCATCATGCCGGCTGAAAAGTGCCATATCCCTTTGAGACACAAGAACAAGGCCTTTGCGGGATAGTTGAGTCCGAGGAAGTCGTATACTTGACGTTCAAAGGCAGCTTCCCACGCGCGATAGTTCTCGACGTCAGCATGAGGAATATGCGTGTTTCGGAAGGGGGAAAACCAGGTCTCAATCCCTTTCCAGAAACAGGAATAAACCATGATACTGACCTCCTGGGATATTACCATCATGGTACGGCCGACTTCGGAGACGAGGATAAATATTTTCAGCCAGAGATGCGGAATGTAGAGGCAGGCTAACAGAATCCGAATTGAAAGGATCGCGCAACAGATTGTAAAGAACTGGAAGAACCGGGCGATGGAGAGAGCACCGGCTCTTGAAACCTTTTCCGCATCCAGTCGAATGACGATGTTATCACCGTGATTGACCTTGGGTTGCCATGTGTGAGAAATTATCCAGGAGGAATAATTGAGAGTGAAATCTTGGGGCTCCCAAACGCCTGGTCCGTTGTCCGACGTTGCCTAGTCAAAATAGATTGTGTCAATGTAAAAGGCAACAAGCCGTAAAATCTCTCGGGTCACAAATTACCCTCCATTTCGAGACCACAACCAAACGCTTGGTGGTTGAAAAGAACTGCGCCCAGAATGTTCTGCGCGACAATGATATATCTGTGGCCACGTTCCTGAGCCGATTTCGAGAGTGAAGAAGATCAAAGCGCTGAATGTGGTACCATGGTGGACGTGTCGTCTGATTTGTTGGTTGAAACGGGTATGTGAAATTCAATAGAGCGTATGCGACTAGAAGACTCGACGTAGTGTCCAAGGCCGCTACGCAAGCACGAAAGATTGAATCATCGCCCGAGAGGCCACCAAGGCTATCGATTTGCGGGTTAAGGAACTGGATGACTAGATAGAGAACGATCATGGTATATCGAAAATACTCGGGTGGCATGATGTCTGAAACAGGCTCCAGGCTCGGGTATCCAAATGCCACTGACTTGATGACATGGCTGTCGGCGTGTGAATTCCTGGGAACATGAGAGTCTAAATAGGTTCCCTGCTGTCCCTGCCAGAACTCGTCGATCAGGCTGTGGCCAGCAAATCCATACCTACACGAGAAGGGCAAGCTTCACCGGTTTGGAATCTGTGTGTTGTCGTTCTTCTGTTGGACGATATCGAGAGACCACCCCGGATTAAATCTCACCGGTCAGGCTGCCCTGCATCTGCAGCCAAAAACATCTTTTAGTATCATGGTATTATTCGGTGTACAACGACAAAGCACGGCGGCGGAGTGGTTCAATACTCCAGTATGTCCCAAATTTGTGAAACCAATAAACACACCATTTTTATTTTGGGGTTATGTATTCAAAGGCAGCCTCAGCGAATCAACCCTAGTCAGAGAGTTGTGAGAGTTGTGTGTGTGTGTGTGTCTTTGAGGGTTTAACAATATCCCACGAATGCAAACAAACAAACACCCAACCACGTCCCAAGTCCAAACGCGCCACACAGATTTGAGCACCAGGGAAGAGTCCTTTCTACCTCGTACTTACTACTGCGTACAGTCAGGGCGAATCCCACGTGTCCCAGGTCCAGCCCCAGCATTATGTCCCCAAAACCCCCGCTAGAGTTGACGAGTTTTGTCCTGTCAACGGAGAGGAAGCCTTCCAGTCCCCTTGTTTTTCGGAAAGCTCACATGAGCAAAAAACAAACGAAGAGATGTAGTTGATGAGAGGTTTTCAATTCTGTTTTAGGCTATTTTCTGCCTTTAAAACTTGCAGCTGCAAGCCTTCGTGTAATGACACCCACCCTCGAAAAAAGTACAGTAATAATCGGATTTCAACTCCCTTGGTCGGTAGTTCCCGGGGTCCGGTGTGCAGTCAGCGCTGGCGAAAGCAAAGCAGAAATACCAGGCGACGATTAATCCATTTCTAAAGGAGAGCCGCCTTTTTGTTCCATGGGCCAGTGAGATACAGCTTTGCAAAAGACGCCGTAACAGAAAACATTCCTTCAATGAGCCTTCGATGCCTGCCTCGACCGTGGTCCGCCTCTGTTCCGATAACCTTTGCTGCCAAAAGAACCCGACGAGCTGGGAGGGCCGCTCCCAAAGCGTTGCTTACCGCCAACATGAGCCGCTGACGATACTCGCACGGGCAACTCCTTTTTAATGGCCTTCGACAAACCAGGAAACTTTATTAATGCAAACTGGGGACCTGGGGAACGGTGGCGCTCGAACCAGTTGCTGACCATGAAAGGGCCCACCGACGTAACCTCCGGTGATGGAGCCACTATCTTTGAGGGGAAGAACGGCGACATTGGCAACATGGGCGTCTCCAATGGAAATTTGATGGTGGGCAATGAGCCCAGCTCTCTGTCCTCAAAAAGATCATCTTCACTCTCGACATCCTTAGTCGTGACCGACGTGTCGCTGGCTAGCGTGGCTGCTGACCCGGCTTCAACAGGAAGCGAAACTGAGGCAGCTGGAACGAGTACATGTTGAACGTCAAGAGGCTCTCTAGTCGACGACGCAACTGCAAGAACTGTTCCAGCTGGCTGAGCAGCTTCCCGTACAGGGGAGCTCTTCTTGCCCAATAAGCCATTAAACCGTTCCTGCCACGAAGGATTCTGAACGATCGGAGTGGAGACTGAGCGGAGCGCTGCCGGGGGAGGGGGTGGTGGCATGGAGACTCTTGCCGCCCAAGTCAGTGGCGTAGCCGGGGCTGGGTCAAGCTGGACGTGAACAGGGCTCGGAGGTGTGGGTGGCATAGTGGGTGGTAACTTGACCACAGGTTTTTGTGGGAAGTGCACAACTGGCCGGGTGAAGTCTCCGTCGAAAGCAGGGTGAAGGCTGGCATATTCCTCTGCGGGAGGCGGTGATGGTGTTCTCGGCGGCTCGGGGTGGCTGTAAGTGACTGCACGTCGATCATGAAGCGGATGTTGCGGTCCGATGGGTTGAGGGAAAAATCTCGAGCCTCGACCAGGAGGTCCATGCATCGTCCGTGGGCCGATATCCGTGCTAGGCAACGACCCTACGGCACCAAAGACGTTGGATGCGGGCACGGATGACTGCGTGACGCCCGAAATTGATCGTGCTGCCTGATCGCCAACCTGCACCTGCTTCCATGTCTCATTGAAGGTGTAACCAGGGCCTTGCCGGATACCACTCCGAACTTCCTCTTCGCGCCTGGCTGTCATCTCCCGCTGTATCCGCTCATTTTCTGCGCGTTCTTGTTGATTTGCAGCCGCTTGGAAGTTGTTCCAAGAGTCCACGCCGTTTTGCCTCTGCCCCGGGGGCAAGCCATTCATGCCGGGATGGGTTTGTTGAGGTTGTGGTGGAGCGATAGGCGCAGGTTTTGTCGCAGGAAATAGCGAGTCAGCCTCACTATCAGCTGCGAGCGGACCCTGATCCGGAGAGGTCACGGACTGATACGAGTACGATCTGTTGTCTGCCAGGATGTGATTGACATGCTGTATCTGGGGGGAACGGCCGGAGTGAGGCGTTCGACCATTCATCCACCCGGCTGCGGTGGATGATGTCCTTGACAGATCTTGCGGCGAATATCCCGCCAGCCCTGAATCAAAGGTGCCGTTTCCGAGAGCCTTGTTGTTGGGCAGGCCCCAAAGGTTGGCCGATTGGGCGGCACGATGATCATGGCGTACATCTCCCCATCCGCTTCTTGCATCGTTGGCAACTGAACTCGGTTTAGGTAATTTGGGACTCGGCTCAGAAACGGGAGCTGGCTCTTGGCCGCTGGTTCGTCGCACATCCGGCACAGTCCTGACACCGTTGATGGTGGGAGAAGGGACTTGGAGTGTTTCCTGCTTGGCTTGATCAGCTGTGCCGGTTTCGACCTTTTCCCGAACAGGCAACCTTTGTGGCTCCGGAGGTCGGGGTAATGAAGTAGCCATCTTTTTGACCGAGTCCAAGGGATGCACCTTCATCATGCCGTACTGTTGTGGCTCACCAGAAGCAAGCGGCTGGGGTGGTTTGGGTGGGGAATGAGTAGTCGTCGTGGTCGTGGTCGTGTTTACATTGGCAGCAACGGGGTGTGCAGATATAGGAGACGGCTGATTGTCCTTCTTTCCTTCATTTCCCGAGGCTCCTTTTTCTTTTCCGGCTTCCTCTGACTTTTTAGCAAGCTTGGGGTCGGGCCCGAGGGACGCCAGCTTCTGACGAATACGCTCTTGTTTCTCCGCTTCCATACGTTGTTCTTCTTCTATCTTGCGCTTTCTGGCCCGTTCAATGTTCTCTTTCATCAAAGCTCTTTGTTGAGCTCGTTGAGCTTCAATATCCGCATCCGTTGCAGAGGTAGCGGGGACAGATATGGAATCACCCGTCCCATGAACCTGATATGTCGGTGTTTGAGTTGCGGAAAGCGGGCCATCTCTTGAAGTTGGCCGAATTGCAGGTTCGGATTCATGTCTTTGAGTATCAACGCTCGGGGCAGGCAGTTCTCCTGACTTTATGGACATCCTTCGGCCGAATTGCCCACTACCCCCGGAAATGGTAGACGACGCTCTACGTCGAGCTTGATCGGTGCTTGTTCGATTGGTCTGGAAGGCTGGTGAAGGTTCTGCAGGAGCGTGGGGATCATTTTGGGCAGGCCTCTGCAACAAAGCAGGTGCCCGGAATCCTTGCTCATTCCTTGACATCCGTCGTCGTGGTTCCGGCACGGCTTCATAGCGGCCAGAATTCGGTACATACAATTCTCGTTGTTGACCTGGTACTGAATCTCGCCATGAGCGATTGAAGTCATCCGCCGAGATCTCTCTGGCCGGCGATGGCGCCGTTACTGACGATGGACTTTGCCCATATGCGTGGTTGGGCAGAAATCGGCCCGAGGGGGGTATTGGTTGAGGATTGATCGAAACTGGAGAGATTTTGTCAACCGGAGGCAAGGCAGCCCATGGGGATTTCGCTGGAGCGGGTGCTGGAGTCGCCTTCGTAAGGATTGATGGTTTGTCGGTAGTGGTCTTGGCCTGCAGAGTCGCGGCCTTCTGCGCCTGCTGACGTTCGGCATTTGCGCCCAGTTTGAGGACGGTCGCATTCGGACCGACTGAGCTTGCGAATTGAGGTGCGGTGGGCTTCGAGGCATTGATAGGTTTTGACTTATCTCCGGCGTCGGAAGGAGACGCGGGCTTCTGTGCGGGTTGAAGAGTGACATCGGTATGAGTCAGTGTGCTCTTGGTGCCGTCGTTCCATTCAATGGTTTCTGGAGCCCAGTCATCTTCATCGTCATCAATATCTGCCCACTTCGCCTCTTTCCCTTCAGTGTCCGCTTGAATTCGGGAGGTCAGATGGATTCCGTATTGCTGCTTAAGCTCTTCATCGGTCAAGTGCTTCGTGGAGGGTTGTGGGGTAACTGTGATACAATCAATACCGGCTGATCGGAAAGCTGGCGGAAAGAGCCATACCTCTGTTTTTGTTCCATACCTGCATGGGATCCGGGCTGGCGCTCTGATACGGTTTTGTCTTGGACTGTAAGGAGCTCGCAGCTTTTGCCACTAATCGTGGACGCCCTGCCTGGGCGAGTGACGAGGTTGAGGAATGGGGCGTAGGTGCTGGATGGCACGTTAGTTACATCGGGTGGGAGACATGGCGCACGTACTTTTCTCGTTGGCTTTTGCAGCGGCGCCCGCAGTATTGACCTTGGGCACCGCATACTTTGCGAAGGTGATGGGTTTCGCAGCGAATTTCTTCAAAGGTTTGGGTTCCGTGGCTTTGTCACCGGCGACACTCCCCTCGGCGCGGCTCGTATCTGTGTCTGAGCGGACAGAACCATCCTCGAGATCTTCCATTTTGAGACTTGACACTGTGTGGAGTCCATTCTCTTTTGGCGCAATCTCTGTTTCCACCACAACATTACTCCTGCCAATATCGTCCCCAGACACTTTGATATCAGGTGTAGATGTGGTCGCAGGTGCGTCGGAAGGCGAAAGATCGCCCACCGACTGAGATTGGTTTACCACATCTTGTGCTCTCTGCTCTGCCATAACAAACTCGGATCTAGAAAAGGCGCAATAACAGTCAGGTTGCCTTGCCGCTATTGATTCGGTGGGCTGAGTGTACCTGTTACTGCGCGTAGTCTGCCACGGTTGCCAGCCTGTCGGTTTTTGCCGGATAACGCACGAAGGCGCTTGGAGGTCGCAAAGGGATCTCGTTCCGGAATTCAGGGAGAAGAGGCGGAGGAAGTAATACAACGCCTCAAAAAGGAGCACAAGGGTGTGGAAGAAGGAGAAATGGTGCTTGTTGAGTCACTTGAGATAGGAGAGGCTGCGCCTTGAAATCGTCGGACCCGTCTGTCGGGTTGCGGCAACGTCGCCTTGGCGCGTACGTTCACGTGCGACTCACCCCGACCGTGCCGCTTTTATAACGACTCGCTCTCCCTCCCACCTATACGAGGTACACTCACTCTTTATCCTGCGACCACTTTCTCGACCCTCTCCCTCATTTGGATAGAGACACTCTCCGCTAGTAATAGAGTACAAAACTCGCTTACTAATCTCTCGGGCTACTCGCTCTTCTTCTCCTCCTCCTCCTCCTCCTCCTCCTCCTCTACTAGAATGCGAGCTCTCTCGTATAACTATCCTACTATTTCTCGTTATTACGGCTCTTCCACCCCGAATTCATGAACTCTTACTACTTCGGCTACCCGTTATAGACTAGCTAAGCTAGTAGGAGCTCAAAACGGACGAACTACCACTTACTCGTACTAAAGCTAACGGTTTCGCCTGGAGACCGGTGAATCCTCGCCAGCGACCAAATCTCTTGCCGTGAGGCGCAATATTGTGTTTTTATCCGTCTCCCACGTCTTCGACATCTCTCACGATCAACCGCTACACGATGCGCCTCTTAGAATCTGGCAGTGGTGGTGATCTGCGTTCAACCAAAGATTTCTCTGCCCGCATCCCGGTCTACGCGATTCTCTCATACGTGGAGAGCCGATGAAGATAAGGTCATATTCAAGGATGGCCACAACGGATCTGGTAGGAGCAAAGCAACTTATACCAATAGCTTCGTGCAGGACCACTAGATATCTAAGCCGATAATGAAAGCTAATTCAGAAACGGCGTCACGGCGTATCATCTAATGTCCTTTGGACCGTGTCATATAACCAATACCTCTAACCGATAATGGCACCCCGCTTTTATACGATGTGGCCAGCTGTCTTTGCGAGGGCTGCTGGCAGACCGAAACCTTTGCCCTCGATCCTCGGATTCGAGGCCTTGTCTCGTGACGAACTCGGATGCACTCACACTTGCTTCGCAGCACAGATCGCACGGGCATTCGGCGAAAGGAGGTAAAATCGTCGGGTCAGATGGCACGTCCATCGGCGCCAAAATTCATGTCCGGCAAGGGATGTCGGATAGCTGCATTTGATGAGTCGCAGTTGGCCCTTTATTCCTCCTCCACGTCAGAGTGGCTGGCAATCAAGGCCGTCTCGTCCTTGTGCATGTGTCGGCGCAAGTTGGAACAACCGAGAAGTGTCATCCGCAACCCTCGACATGGCATGCAAAAAGGCTTGCATCCGTGTGGCCGTACATATGTGTCTGCAAGGATCTTGGGCGTGTGAAGCGCTTGTCGCAGACCTTGCATATGTGCTTCCTCTGCGCGTTGGCGGACATGTTGGATGGAAACTGTCCCGTCATAGACTGAGTCCCAGCGGTCCACCTGGAGCTTTCAACATTTCAGCGAGGCGGGGAAGCGTTTGCGAGGCAGCGATCCATTCATGACCAGCATCATCAGATGCTGAGCTATAATCTATAACTGAATCGGTTACAGATTTTCAGTCGTGCTGGACCAGTGTCAGATCCATCCCTTCCATTGCCGGGAATATGGCTTTGAGGACAGAAAGTTGGTCAGAGCGTCCAGTGTTGGCGTAAATATTCGCCATTTGTTTCCCAACGACAGCCGTTCGAGGGTCATCTTTGCAGAGTCCATGTTCCTGCGTAATTTTGCGGAGTACCTTCCTGCAGTTCTTCTCTGCTTCCTCCAGCCGATCTGAGCAAATCTGCACATGGATGTACCCAGACATGGTCTGAATCCAGTCAGGATGGTCATCTTTGATGACAGAAAGCATTTCGACAAGGAACTTTTCAGCATCTTCGCATCTCCCGCACTGCACATATGCTCGAGCAAGATTGCCCTTGGTCATGTTCATTCCAACATGCTCCTTCCCAAGTGTGCGTTCCACCACCGGTATCAATTCTGTCAGCATGTTTACGGCTTGTAATGGCCGGCCGCGCTCGCAAAGAACCTTTGATAGATCGTTCACCGACCACAGAGTGTACGCATGCTCTTCGCCAAGCACTTGCTTGCGTGCTTCAAGGACGTTGGCCACAAGTCGTTCCGCGACACCAAGGCGTTTTTTACGCGCACAAAAACACATTCCGAGCTCGTTTCTTGCCATGAGCGTGTCTGGATGGTTCTGACCAAAAAATTTCTTTCTCTTCAGTAGCACCGATAATAATAGCTTGTGCGCCTTCCCCAGGTCTCCAGCATGGAGGTATGTACGACCTAAGTTGAACATTGCGTTTAGTGTTCGAGGATCATCTGGTCCGATCCTTCTCACCAAACCGTTCACAGCGCGCTCGCCAGTCCTTTTTGAGAGATCTCTTCTCCCTGCTAGCCATAGTGTTTGGGTAAGGTCATCCAGCGCGATACAATAGCTGATGAGATCCGGCGTCCACGGCGGCGCCCAGTGCACAACAGATGGCCTTGACCACCATCGTGCGTAAAGAATTTGTCGTTGGACATCGAGGGCCGCCTCCACCTTGAAGAGATTCCAATATATGTGAGACAGGCTGCGCTGAGCCCTGAGAGAATCTTCATGCGTTCTGCCCAATTTTCGAACTCTGTACTCGATGATTTTGCTCTGCAATCCGAGCGCTGGCTTCCAGAGACCACTTTCTGCGTATACCCATGCAAACCTCTCCAGTTGGTCCGCCCTCTCACTCGTTTGCGGGAACGATGGAGTGTGGATTTCAAGCATTTGCAGACAAGATTCAATATGAGGCAAAAGAAACCTTCGAAACCTTCGTCCAGACCCTTCGAGATTCGAGGAGATGCATCGAGCCAGAAGCTTGATGGCACAATCAAGCCAGCTGACTAGTTGCTTTCCATCGGCCAACCTAGTCCTGGCCCATCTATGAATGACAGGGTGCAGTGAGCATACTTCGCGCTCCGCATTATAGTCAATAATCGAGTAGTCACACAGAACTCCGATGGCCCTTCTAAGCCGTGTCTGTGCTTCTTCAGAACGACTTGAATCAAGTCGAAGAAGATCCGGCAGTAAAATTCCAGAAGACGAACCACTCTCGCCCACTGCACATGAAACATGAAATATATGCTCGGATATGGAACCGAAATGCAGAAAGGCGAATATGTGCATCAAGACAACCGCGTCCTTATAATCGACAGATTCCCGTTTCTCAATTCTTCTGAAGGGTATCTCCCAAGTAGTGATGACGTCGGCCTCTTCAGCACTAATGGACTTCGCGGAACTGAGCAAGCGATGGCGGTAACCAAGGTAAATATGTAGATATTTCTCAAGGGTGTAGACCTTGCGACGAATTGTGGCTCCTGCGTGATCCAATGCTATAGCCAGGTAGCCTAGTTCGGCGGCAATGCTCTGGGCCAGGGTGCGTTTAGTTGAACATGTCTCATTTGCTTGATCGCTCGGATACGCCGACCTGAGCAAGAGGGTTACAGCTTCCTCAGGATCCAAGCCTTGAAGGCGGAAAGAACCAGCTGTAGCATAGATGGTCACGTTCGGATTGCGCGTCGTGATGAGAACATGCCCACGTGCCCCGGCAGGAATAAACTCTGAAATGTCCAAGTCGAGATCGTCGGCATTGTCAAGCACTAACAGCCACGGCTTGGTGGATTGAGATAACCAATACTTGCCGGCTGAAAAGGTAGACCCTTTACCTGCTTGTTGTCCCAACAACGCGAAGCCAGCTTCCGCATTCTCACGGGAGCTGGTATCGATCCAGAAGACGCCCCAGTAACTAGGAGGTGTTGTCAGAAGCAGTTCCAATGCAGTACCGTTGCAGGTTACCTTGATCGATTCGCTTCCGCGTATCTTAGGCAGAATTGAGTTTTACCAGAACCTCCTAATCCGTAGATGGCCACAATCATGTGCTTGCCATTATCCACCTTCACGGCATCAGGATTAAGGTTTTTCTTGACTCTATCTGCCAGTAGCTGTCTTCCGACGAATTGAGGACGGGAACAACGAGGTACGCAGTACAGTTCGTTCAAACCGTATGCATCTGCTTCTTTTGAAAGGGATGGCTCCAACCAACGTCGAGCTACATTGGTCTCAGCAACACCGGACAATTCCGAAGTGCTTCTCTCATTGTAGGCGTAGTAATTGTTCCCGAAGTGCACTCTGCTTTCGTTGATGAGATTCCGCTCAAACGACTGGCCAGCCATGCCGATAGCATGCTGACACTTTGTAGGGAAAATTTTGTGTACTGATGTGCTTGATAGAAGGACGCCAGGAGCGATTCCTCCAGGGAGCGCTGGCCTGGGCCATCGTTCCGCTTTGGGCCATTCCGCGTGCTATTACAGAGAGCTGAAAATGATTCCACTGTGGGGAAATTAAGTTTCAGACGCACTATTGGGCCATAATTTCGCGCCTACAGGTACTGCCAGACCTCGCCACGATGTATCATTGGGGCCCGCAGGATCTCTGCTCTTTAGGCTGGCGCCAGATTGGCGTTGCGATCTCGCCGGCCGCCAATACTGGCCCACAAAACTTCGATGCAGGATGTTTAACGATAAAGACAGCAAATCATCTCTTAGAGCCCGACGTCCCAAGTTTGGATATTTTGCTCTCACCTTGCAATCTTTTGATGACATTTCTTTTATGGTTGATTGCCTCTTGGAGGTAGGAATAGGCAGGAAGGGCTCGTTATGATTGCCACGAAAGAGACTTCGAAACTTCTGTGCTGTCTTCTTGAGTGGGGATAGAAGAGCCGCGACAAGTGACGTTGCGGTACGACCTCAAGGAGCCACGAGCCGATGGCGCTCGTGCTCCCACCGAAACCAAATCTGCAGGTCTCAGTGCTTAGGGCTCTTGCTGTCCCTCAATCGCTGTCAGTTTCCAACCACTTTCCTCTTTCTTCAGTTGCTGCTGTGATTTACACTCCTGGATCGATATTGCGGTGGACGATGGCCTCAATTTTCACTGCTTTGGGATGCATATTCGCATTTTATGTTTATCATGCCATCAACATTTTCCGGCAACGTCGTGTAAGTGTATTCAGCCCCCGGATCAGGCTACGAAGTCCTAATTCTTCTGCAGTATGATATGCAAATGGGAGTGGCTCGTGGATGTCAAGCGCCTCCAAGGCTGTTGAATCAGAGGCCGCTTGGTTTGGATCGCCTCGAGCAAATATTCAGGGCGGACAGCGAGTCTCGCCTGATGGAGCTATTTTTATTCCACTTCAGACTTTGGGGCACAACCCTTGAGCAAGTATTTCTTGGCTCCCAGGCTTTCGGAACAATCGAACCAGCCAATCTTGAAGCCATTCTGAGCACTCAGTTCGAAGACTGGGGCATGGGCCTAAGACGAAAAGTCATGTTCCCCTTTTTTGGAGACGGCATATTCACCCAAGAAGGTGCTGACTGGAAACACTCGCGCGAAATGCTGAGGCCTCAGTTCGTGTTCAAGCAGTACGAAGATCTGGAAGTGTTCCGAGAACCGGTCGCCAATCTTCTGGAAGCGTTGCCCGCAAATGGAGTTGTCGATCTCCAACCGTTCTTCTTCCGGTTGACCTTAGATGTGACCACAGCATTCTTGTTTGGAGAGTCCGTGCACTCCCTACAAGGGCTTGGGACACCAGGAGAATCTGAATTCGCCAGTGCCTTCAACACAGCTCAAGACTTCATTGCAAAGAGATTGAGACTCCAAAATCTTTATTGGCTTGTGGGTGGAAGAAAATTTCGGCAAGCCTGCAGTGATGTTCATCGCTTTGCAGATCAGATTATTGATCGAAATCTGTCCAAAGATTTGAGGTGCATTGAAGGACAAGAGAAATATGTGTTTCTTGACTTCCTTGCCAGGAATACGCCAGACCGGAAGGCATTGCGAAGCCAAATCATAAATATATTGGTTGCCGGCAGAGATACTACCGCATGCCTGATCTCCTGGACACTGTGAGTATGCATGCAAAGGCCCGTCCAATTGACCGATCAGGCTAAGAAGAATTGTAGCTTCCTTCTCGTGCGACACCCAAATGTCATGGACAAGCTAAGATCAGAGATCACAGCCACCTTCGACAACACAGCAGAGGTTACGCGATCGGACCTGAGAAAAATGAAATACTTGCAAAACGTCTTAAAAGAGAGTAAGACCCTTTGATATATCAGCCCGATTTCTGCCAATCCCATCCTAACATACAAATGCAGCTCTCAGACTTTATCCTTCTGTCCCGGTGAACTCTCGGACAGCTCTGAAGACCACTGTCCTCCCGGTTGGTGGCGGGCCGGATCTCAGATCACCAGTGCTTGTACCTAAAGGGGCTTCAGTCGCATACAGCGTGTACTCGATGCACAGACGGCCTGACTTCTACGGAATGGATGCAGAAATATTTCGGCCCGAGCGATGGGAGGAACATATGCCCCTTAATGACGATCCAACCAATGCAAAATGGGGGTATCTTCCCTTCAATGGTGGGCCACGAACATGCCTGGGATTGGATTTTGGCCTGATCGAGGCGGCATACACTATCGTGCATCTGATTCAGAGGTTCCCTGTGATTAGATTACCCCCCGGAGAAAAGGTGGTGTTAACCGGCGTCGAGAAGCAGACGATGACTCTAGTGGTTTCAATAACTGAGGGGTGCAAGGTTGAGGTGAGCCGAGATCAGAAATGAAAGCATCATAGGCCTGTTACCCTCCCAAAACAAAACCCCAAACCTCCCATTAGGCTCCAGAGGATCAGTTTCGTAGGCCCACCAGGTGCGGGCAGTGACATCTCCCCAGCACGTTGGCGGAAAGCAGAAGTTGAGAGCCAGTCGCTCCAACAAAATATCGAATTGTTTGGGAAGGGTGGAGGGATCGGTCTACCACCTTAGCGTTGCGGCTGTGGATCTCTGGTCAGATCATAATGCATCGCCGATGGTCTTGTTTCCTTAGTCGTCGAGCACACTCTTCCCTCCGAATTGATTCCCATAGTGCACTCTTGAACTGCCCTGCGCTGTGTTTCCACCATATCTGTGCCCAGCCCCAGTGCTAGTTGCTCCGACCGTAAGTTCATCTCCATACCTGACTCGAGCATTGTCCATGACCATGTTGTCTTTGAAGGTGTGACCGCTTTGGCTAGCAATTGCCTGCTGCACGGAATCTTGAAGTAACTGATCGACGCCTTCAGCCGCTTCTTCCAAAACGTCGAGACGGTGCTCTTCCTTCAATTCTTCAGCCTCTTGAGCACTTAGCCGCTGCTGACGATCCCGGGAAGATGGAAAGAGCTCCACTAAGGCATCAACAAGTGTTGTGACATCTTCGATCAGCCTGCGGAAGTTTTTCTCCTCGTACAACGCCCAAGCCGCTTTCTGTGCGAAGCTGCTTCGTTTCTGGCGCTTGAGTGCTAGTTCTCGCATCTTTCTGTGTACCGATAAGATGTCGGGCTCAAGCTCGTTGTCAGCGTTGTATACGGCTAGCTCGTCGACGGTGGCCTTTCCCTTGTATTTTTTCGAGACTCTTTCTGCATCGGCAAACAACTCGATGATCTCCCCCAAGATCTCTCCAACCTTCTGAGCTTTTTTCGTAGGATCGATAGCCGTCTCACTGCGGTCGGAAGAGTTGTTCACAGCCTCTGCCCATCGGGACAGGCGGAGCTTCACGACATCGAGCCTCAAAAGGGAGCGTTGGTAGTTTTTCCCGAAGTTACGGCCCATTTGGACGTATTCGAAACAGTCCACACAGTTAGTGAAGAGACCGGCGACGCTCACAGCGCCAACGACCAGTCCGGCTGCTTCTGCCATCCTATTTTTCTTGGAGATGCGAGACCGAAGGAAAGGGCGGCTGAGGTGTGTATTGGCAAAACAACAGCTTTGGGATGAATACACCCTTTTTGTTCAGAGAGAGAAGATCGAATTGGTGTGCTGTTTCAGCATCGTCGTGTCCAGTGTCGCGATTCTGGATGCGCACCCACTGCGACACCAGACAGACCGACGGCTCATAACCTCCAGTTCTGAGTCCGGCAGCCAACACGCTGCGGTAACCTCTTTCGACTTGTCCTGCACGTACGACCATTCATCTCAGAGTCACACAAACCCACCCCGTGATCGGCAAAACTTCTGAAACAATTGGGAGATCTGCGTATCATCCACAGAGGCGTCCAGCAGCCACAGGCTAAAGTCGACTTCAGCAAACTCCCGATCGCGGCGGGTGCGGCGTTCAAGTCTTATCAGGACGAACTCTATGCTTGATGCCATCCAGGTGTGCGTATCGACATACTGAGGCGCCTCTAAACATGGGCCGACGATATCAACGCTGAAACCAATTTTTGGATCAACGGCATGACCGGCACGGGCAAATCGAGGATATCTCGAACGGTGGCACAAATATTTTCCAATCCGGACCAGCTGCGGGCCCATTTCTTCTTCAGGTAGGGAGAGCGTGATCAGAGAATGCCAGCCTTTTCTATCCCACCATTGCTCACGAACTCGTCCGTCGGATCCCAACAATAAGACTATGCATCCAAGAAAGCGGTCGAGGACGATCCGCGTATTGAGGATCGGGCGCTGAAGTAAAAATTCGAGAAGCTAGGCTTTCAGCCTCGGACTCATATTGGCCCCATCCAGGCAGCGAGTCTTGTCTTAGTGGACGACGCCCTCGATGAATGTCGTCGAGAAGGAGATATATGCATCATCATCATCTCTCAACTAGCCCGCACGCGAGAGCTAAGCACGATTCGTTTTCGTGTGTTCCTCACCAGCCGGCCCGAGCTTCCAATTCGGCTCGGCTTCGAGCGGTTCAGCACCACCACGCATCAAGACATTGTTCTCAAGATATCACGCCCGCGACGATTGAGCATGACGTTTCCGTCGCCTTGAGAGATGAGTTTGCCCGCATTCGAGATGAACACCGATGTCTCCTACCGTCTGGTCAGTCCTTCGCTCCAGATTGGCCAAGCGCTCGGGCTCTGAGCACTTTGGCTCGATTGGCGGTGCGTCTGTTCAAGGCAGCTGGCATTCTCACCAGTCCCGATATCTGGATGACTGACAGTAATTTGATCGCTGGGCGGATGTGATCTCAACTCTCTATCCGGCGAAGATCAAGTTCGAGTGACTCGACGGATGGTTTACCGCCGTTCTCCAAGTATACTTTGCCCAGGGCGTGGTACCACGTACGTTACACCTCCTCCCTCCTCCTCATGGTATTGTTGAGTAGTTATGCGCACACTGCGAAAGCTGAGCGAGAAGGGGGAAAGGCGACCACGCTCGGGGCTTATGGGAGAGAATCGTAAGCTCGCGAAAACAGCAAGGGGTAATCCTTTCGCAATATGTCCGCTGGCGTCTTCTTGAGTGGCATCATGCTGTGCAAGGCTTTAAAGTGTAGACTCCGCGACGCTGCTTTTAAAGCGCCCTGTATTTTCATTAGACACACTTAGAGCCTCAGTGGGCGCCATGCTGGCAGACTGGAAGGGGCCATTTACAGCTATTATCGTGAAACTCCACCGAGGTGAAAGTGAGCATAGGGCAGCATCGCCCTAGGCCGGAAGCAGGGCAAGGCGCGAGCAGTTTTTACTCAGTAACAACCTGTTGGTGACCTGCACTCCATCCACCAGGCGTACTTTACCCTTTGTAGTCCAAAACCAATCTATCTTCGGTCACTTACACTATGCGGTGATACATTACAAGCACGCCGTGGCAACTTCGATGATAGTCTTGGAGAAAGGCAATGAAGGCACAGCCGGCGTCCGCACCTTTGTATCTTTCGTCGTTTGCCAGTCGGCCGCAGACCGAGTCAACCGTACCACTCAACTCCACGGACACTTGAGACTGTCACACGGAGCTGGTTGTGCAGAATAGAAACAAAAGAGAAGCGAGCTGGACGGAGAGAAACTCTGAGAGCAAATGGGCCTTGATAATGCGCGCCTTTCCGCAATCTCAACCGGTTTATTTGGGCGTTATGTACAATGTCGATGACCAATAACCTTCCCCCTTTTCAAAGCATTTGATCAGTGGGCATTGTTTTTGTGGTGTCCTACGACAGCAAGTCAGTGAATAGTTGCTTTAAGGCTCTGTGCGTGTAGTTGTTGCACATACTCAGATGGAAGTAGTACTCCATGCTGTAACCCATTGCCATGATTCCGAAAATGACGTGCCAGATGGCTGTTACCACCAAGTTAGCCATTGAACCACCTTTTTTCAGTATTGAACTGCGCGCAAGATACGTACGAGCTGCCGATGGATTCTTGCCAAAATACTTTGCTTGATACCACCCTAACGGTCCACCCGGTGCTCGCGGTGGTGCAGATCCTTTTGGTAGCTTTTCGTAGAATTTCGCTATTCTCGCCATTCGAACGGCATTTTTGGCAGCTCCGATACCCTGTATTCGTCTGTCAGGTGTTGCTCATCCACGGTGATGTATCCGCAAGTGGTCTTAATCGTCTCAGATATCGGGGACATGCAATGCTGTACCATCGATCCGGCAGCAGGACATATTCGACAGGAAGGATTCAGGCAGTCGATTATGAGCTTACCTCAGGGTTGGCAACCTAGACAATCCGAGTGAGTCAGTGGAAGCAGGACAGGGAGAGGGAGTCGAGGTTTTACCTTCGGAGGAACCAGGGTTGACACGGCGCGGCGGATGACGAACGACATTTCGAGCTGTTCAAGTTATGGGTCAGTTTTATGAGAGCCAGATGCACCTCGACAGCTTACATGAGTTCCCAAAAGCCTCCGACAGTGTTGTAGAAGGGTGCTGAAGCTGTTGAATGAGTTGGTACTGATGCGAGGAGCTCCTTCATCAGGATCGTTGCCAATCGATGCGCAGCCAAGACACCACAGGCTAGGCAACTTAGCCGAGCAAATGAGCAAGATCTGCTGATTGGCCATTTCCAAGTGCTACAGATTCTACAGTATATATCGTTGACCTTTTCCCATCTTAGTCCTGACGGCACTTTTGTATAACAACAACAATCCCGTCCAGTACAAATACCAGAGCTATTACCCTAGAGTTTGTGTGATAAGTTCCTGCCGGATACCTCTCCATGTGATGACGCCTGTGCCTCAGGCTCGAATGTGTTCGACTGCCTCAAGCCAACTTCAAGCCCGCCACGGCGACCAGATTTGATGCTGTTCTCCGTACCAGTCCACCTCCCCCCTTCTTTCCATGCCTATATGTGGACGGCTTGAGCCGTCAGAGTATCCCCCCTGAGTCTCGATATCCTGGAAATGTGCCAGTCGACTCGTGCTATGCAGCTTTGCGACCTCCCCGCGCAAACTCTTCTGACGAAACACCCCTCTGGTATCAGGAATACCATTGACCCGTGTCTGACTTGGAAGGCTTGTCTTGCGCACAGGGACCTGTGGCGGAATTAATCTTGCGGGAGATGCTAGTGCTTCGCCGTTGACTGGGCCACTTCGTTGAGATGGAACTGTACTGGAGATGTGATCTGTGCCAGTTCTTGGAGGAAACAGCTTGGGGAAGAAATGTTGGAGTGGCGTCCGCACCATGGGAAGATTGGCACAGAGGACACCGAGGCCGGCCTCGATTGTGGTCCAAATTGTTGACACAAGAGACCCAGCGGTAATGTCGTTGCCATAAGCCGAGGAGTACAATGTTGTCAATCTTGAAATTGAAGCGGCGCACACGATCACACCCAGCCCGAATATACAAGTCAGAGCCAGTTTCTGCCTCACGGGCAGTTTGAGTCTGAATATTACAGGCGGCACCATCAACACGAGGAGGAAATCTGTCAGAATGTTGTAGATGGCGTTACTATACCACAAGGCATAGATGTCAACACAACTGCCATCGCTCGCCCATCGCTCCCATGCCCGCGAAATCGGATTGCACTGGAGGATTGTTGCGATGGTAAACGAGATACAGGCACCGACCACAAACGTGACCAAACTCCAACATGTTCGAACAAACCAAGGGCGATCGGTGAAAATGCGGAGATATAGGAAGAGTATTGACAGCTTGGTGCAGTTGATGGTAAGCTTATAGAATATCTGGAGCAAGAAGAAATACTACCACAATCTTGTTAGTGTTGTTGGCTAGGTTTCGCAGAGTTCATTCCTACCTTCAAGGCTTGCGCAGCTTGACGTTTATTGATGAGGTCAAACGGCCGGCCGTATCCATAGTTCACCGCAGCAATGGAAGCACTGCACTGAATGACAAGGAATATCTGCGAAAGGTGAGATCGGCCAAATACATGCTGAACATTACTGACTTACCAAAGCAAGTATGGTCGACATATCGTCTAGACCGAGTCTGCCCAGCATCCTCATACGCCAATAGATCCGGTTCGCCACGAGGATAAAGGCCAAAATGGGAGCAATCATTGATGGGATGACCAAATGAGCTCCTCGTCCGCCCAGGCCGAGGGCCGCGAGGTGACAATCTGCGCACGGGTTTGCGGACATATTGCTGCGTTGAGAATCCTGATGTAAAGCCGCCTGCCCTTTTGGGAAAAATGACAGTCGAGGCAGATCAAGCTCGATCGCAGTCTTGTGCAGCCGTTATAAAGGCTGTTTTCCTGGTAGGTTGGACGGTATCTGGGCACCTCCGGGAGAGACACGGCAGAGCCGTCACGGAAACTGAGAAGAGGCCGGCTAGGGAAGGAATACGATCAAGCAGCAATCAAAATTTTGGAACTGAAACCCCAAGTAAACGATGAAGTCAGGCCGGTGTTTACATGAAGGACGGGCGACGGACAGCATCGTCCACCAACAGGCTCAGAACGTCCGACTCGGCTCATTTATAGCTGGCCTTCACTCTTCAGCCAACGCCCCCAGCCAAGTGGAGACGCAGATTCCATCCAGGTGGTTTGGACTGTGTAAGATGCATGCGAGCCAGCTGCTCTACACAGATATACCGCGGGTTGCCACGCGAAAGTCGACGGGTGGGATTGGCGGCTACCTGCATTACAAGCGTTTAAAACTCCCTCGGCCCATCCAATCCATCGCAGAGAGGATGTTTGTAGAAATGTTTGCCGGGAAGACGAATTAGAAATGGTATCGCCCTGTTCCTGTGTTTGGCGTACCATGCTTTTTTATGCTCGAGGTTTGCTCCGACCTGGCCTCACAAATAGTCCTGGGGTGTTAGTTTTTGCACAGCTATGCAGAGGCTGGGGAGCCGGAGGCGACTGGGCTTCGAAAAGGTATGTATAATGGCCGTCGTTAACAACTGCATCATTGGGTAGTAAGGACTCGAGAGTGAAATGTGTACCATGCAGGTTCCCGCCTGCTTCGTCGTACACGCCACACAGCCCGAGGTTGTCGCTTTCAATCGGGACCAGGCTGCGTTCAAAAAGGCCGAGCGTGGCAGAAAGATACATACAGAGAAGAGCCAAGCACAAACAAAGCAAAGGGCCAGGTTTGTTCCATACTGGTCCAGGTTCCAGGTTTTCTTCCAGGATTGACACGGGTTGATCATCTCGGCTGCAAGTTGAGGCGGGAACCCTCGACGTCACCTTTGAAACCATCCCAATCGCTAAAGCCGTGAAGCTGCAGAGACGCTTCTCCCGGTTGTTGTCTCGTGCCTTGAATCCGTCCACCAAACACTCGATTCTCCTCAAGTCAGCAGCAATCGTGCAAAATGGTGACCAGATTCCCCCCTCCCTTGCTGTGTGCGGTCCCCTTATCTCACGCGCTACGAAGGCAGTGCACTGATCAAGTCCCCCTTGAGGTCCCCTCGGCCCATAAAGGTGGATTGCCGGCCATGTTGCTTGAGCAGAACCAAGGGATTGAGCTGGTAGGTGAAATTCTGAGCGGTGAAGAGGTGATTACGGCTCACCATGGCTTCTGTTTGTAACGTATGACATTTCAAATCTCTGGAGTTCCTGTCCGACCTCAGATCTGTTTATTTCAACATCAAAGTCTATGTTCAGCGGCAAGAACACTGCTATACAGATTCCCAGGCACGATGCTCAAACCCAGTATCGGCCACTACACCGGGCTCTTTGCTCGCATTCTCCCATTGCAATTTTCGGTTACTATGGCCATGACATACAACAGAGGCAATTCTAGCAATACCCGTTCGAACAGTTGTGTTTGGGAATTTAGCCCGACTGTACGTTGCCGCCGCGTTTTTAGAGACGTTTTACATATGGGAAGGGTCTCTGGTCGTAGTATTTGACCCGTTTACTCACAAGCTAATGGCTATCACTAGATCTGCGGCGAGGACGTGAGTTATCAAGAGCTTGTCTACCCACCCACCACTGAGTGCCTCCCTCTCGCAACCGGGATGAAGAATGTCTGGACGACTGAATGCTCAAGCTGGTTTGGTGAGCAACACCGAGTTTCTCCCAGGCTTTATCACCACCACAGGCTGACTTGGAGGACTTATGTAGGAGCATGTACCATGTGGATACAGCCTGACTGTACGGGGGAGTGGTCGATGAGGATTGACGACCCATCCAATACTCATCTAGGAACCTGCTTCTCAGAGTATTACTATATCATGGCAGTCTCCTGTGAGCCATCATGAGAGCGTCTGACGACTTTGGGCTTGATTTTGATAGAATATGTTCTGGAGGGCAACAAGCCTCGACGGCTCTTGACGGCAACCACGAGTCATGTACTCTGTGTGTTTCGACTTGGGTTACGGGTAGGACGTTACAAGTATAATATCCTTTGTCGGGCTAGATAGATTGGCGTTTCCACTTGACTTCTTGGAAAGGTTCTTCCACAAAGGAAGAGTTCGGCACTTTTTTTGTTTTGCTGAGCGTTGATTGGGAGGCCCGGTGCCACGCACGGACCACCTCTGTCGGAAACATTCTTTATTCTTCGAGCTTCTTTTGCTCCGTGGTATTGTTAACAAAACTATCACCATGCAACAAGGGAGCTGACAAAGACCTTCTCCCGTCGACCTCTTTCAAGAATCGAAGACCAAGGCATCGGAATCTTTCACAAGGCCCGTTGTCGCCACCAGCGTTCTGAAAAAGGCGACGAACCTCTCGTCGTGCTCCGGGAAACCACACAAGTGGCAAGCCCAGGTAACTTGAGTATTGGAAAATGACTTCTTACTCAGGAGTGTAGATCTCTCGACCCAGATACGGGCAATGCACAATTGATGGCAAACCGATCTCCTATCTTGCTCCACGAGATCTGCCGCAGCTAGGGAGTCTCCTCGCTGTCCCCGTGCCTACGTTTGCTCGAGTTGTCAAGTGTATTAACGAGACAATAGCCAAAAAAAATGTGGGTTTTGACTTCTTGACTCTGCTGTCCTCCCGGAATGGCCGAGTAAACAAGATGAACGGTTGAAGGACAACTCCCATTCCCGTGCCGGCTTCACCCAAACCAGGGAACTCATGATATGCCTTCATCATGTCTCTGGAGAAGTTAGGGGCCTCGGTGACTTAGGCCAGCGGTTTGTACAGATGTCACCCGAAATGAAAACGGCGAAAGATGAGAGACGAACGAGGACTGGGTATATCTTTCGCCAAATGACCAATGAGAGCAGTACCCAAACAATACCACCATGTATGAGGCAGACCGTACGTCTGGGAGAAAGAAAGGTCGTAAGAGGAAAAAAAACCTGGAGATGCCGAACTCGAGGGTTTCGGAGCCAGTTGTACTCTCCCCAGGGGGGCTTCATTTACAGTCCGAGAGTGTCGAGGCCGCCTTCATGTGGACGAAGTGAGTGACATCGCCGCCTGCCCGCACAGGTGAATACTCTCGTTCATGGACTTCATGGGAAGTTGTTTGGGCAGTGCGACGCGATGCGCATCTACAAACCTCCCCAACCATTCATTCAGCTACATCGTCTTCTATCATCCTCGACATCACAAAGACGAGGACTCACCTTCACTACCAAGGTCCCCATCTAATCATCACTCAAAACAACCCACTCAGGTCCTCACAACACCAAGTCCACTCAAATTTTCACAGTACCTCACCCACTTACTCCGGCCCTTACAACACCAAACTCTAACACCAAAGTTGTCGTGAGGAAAATGGACGCCTTATACTATCCCCACTGCACTACTCCACCTTCAACCACAAAGGTAACCAATAACACCCCTTAACCACACGATAGATGTGTTCTAACATGGCATAGGAAACACAACAAGATCCTCGCCCTTCCCACAGCGTGTTGACACCCGTGGATTATATATATATTACTACCTCCCTCCAGACTCAGGATGGAGAGCAAGACTCCGTGCATGAAGTCGGCTCCTCATCTCTGCATTCCCTGCCGGCTTTGGACGTCCACGCACGGACATTTGTGCCTGGTGCAAGTGAACACGGTCTCGAAGCCGTGCTGAATGTTCATGCTGTGGAGTTTGTCCCGGGCGCGCTAAACAACAGCATGCCGTCGACTCCGGGGCTTCGGCAGCAATCAGGGAATCCCTACGTCTTCGAAGCCCAACAGGACTTCGACCCTGAAAGACTCTACCAGCAACGTAAACGGGCAGAGACTGCGGCCAACGGTCCAATGCTTGTGCAGGGTTTCTATTTCCCTACCTCTTCGAACCGGGATGACTATGTCCCTTCTGTCTTCACAGCCTTCCGCAACTACGAGAGGTTCCCCCTTGTCAAGGCTGAATACAAAGAGCAGACTCCCGAGGAACGGGAGTCAGCGAGACGATCCTTTGTCCAGTCCATGCACGACGGAGACAAAGGCATCGAGGGAAACGAAGAGGAGGGCGACCCTTGGAGGATGATCTCGACCCCCCAGTTCGACTACCAGTGGTTCGAACTGGCGGAACTGCAGAGCTTGAAGTGCATCCATCACTTCAACGTTTTCGGTCGACCCGTCCTCACAAAGTCGGGAACAGCTCCGGCGACGACGATCGCCATCCTGAAGTCAACCCCAAAGCACCTGAGTGTCACCACTCCGGACGGGCTCTGGAAGAGCACTGTCATGGCCTGCGCCCAAAAGTTGCTAGATCCTGTCCTCTATCACGGCAGGAAGGAGGTTTTGCATTCACTTCGTGGGTCTGCACTGGAGAATGCTTGGATTGGACGGTGCAAGAAGACCTACAGTGAACATGGCTGGTGGGTCCATGACAGTTATGGTCCTCAAGAGCACCATGTCATGAACGATCCTCTCAACCCATGGTTGTATCCAAACCGGGCGGAGATCGTCATGATCAACGGCATCTCCGAGAGCTTCGGACATCGGGTCGACATCATCACGGCGGCAACACGGGAAAAAGAGAGAGAGGATGCAGCCCGCAAGGCTGCGTTCAATGCCAGGCTCAGACAGGGCCGCAACCCGTCAAGGCTTGGACTCTCTTGCTCCACGCATGAAGATGTCAAGGAAGTCCCGAGTTTCACTTCCGGCCCAAGGACTACCTCGTCCTCACTACGCCACCCAGCTTGCCGCTCGCTCAGACAACCTACCACAATCGTTTTGCCAGTGCATGAGCCCGCCGACTCGTCAAGCGAGGTTGTTGTCGGTGGTCGACATACAACAGGAAGCTCGCTACCTCGTGACGAGTGGAAGCGGCTTCTTGCGGCTGCAGAAGATAGACCTGTTGCGGCTTGTTGGGCGGACGACGAAGACGAGGACTGGGAAGAATCGAATGTTGTTCCCGCTCTTTCATCATTGGTGGCTGCTCCTGGAAACCCACAAACCAGCAACGACACGACATCTGCAGATCAAGAAGTTGAGGACACAGAGAACCTTCACGACGAGGATGATCACAGCGTGTCCTCGACGGCATCTAGAACCGTCGAACACTCCCGTGCGCCTAGTGTTAGCCCTGGTGAGCCCCCAGACACATCGCTCCCAGTGTCTGATCATGAAGATGGATTGTCAGAGGCCCTCACCAACGAGGAGGGTGACGATGTCTGCTGTGGTGTCGACGGTGCTGCTGGAGATCCACGTCCAGCGTTTACCGGGGCGCATAGGACTGGAAACCTGGAGATGGAATTGGTTGAACCGGCCTCAAGCGTCCGCACGCATGCCAGCAACATCCATGCCCGGCTTGATGCCATTGAAGAAGCGATGCGGACAGCGGCTGCACCCTCCGCATCGCTTGTGCCTGAGTCTTTGGCACCTCCCCATTTCGACAGTTCCTACATTCCTCCACCAATTCCTCGCGATCATGGCGTCGATACCAGATCGAAGCTTCCCGTTGTTGTCCTCGCGTCAGCTGAACCTTTGCCAAGTGAACTTCGGCCAGTTGTTCATCAATTCCCGAACGGCGCCATCACGATGACTCCCTCGGGCCAGCAACTCGGTCTTGTACGAAGTCACGGCGTGCGCTTCGATCAGCTGCCTGTAAATTTCGGCAACGCACCTTTCCAACATGCTTCAGTGCCTCCCACTAGAATTTTGTCAGAAGAACACGGACTGGCAGTTGAAACCGAAATCTTCTCTACAGAAGCCGAAACAGCCGCAGCATATGAGGTAGAGGATTCCCCCAGTGTGGCCGCTGCCGCCCCTCAACCCCAGTCGACGGCCCTTGTGCTATATCCAGGGCCTGTGCCACTCGACAACTCCATGGATCGGTATTTTGGAGGTTGGAATCGCCTCCTCGCCAATGCCGGATCCTCCAGCGAGCACTTCTGGCAATGTGGTATTCGAAGGTTTGGCGTCGAAGCCTCCCTGGACGCCCTTGCATTTGACGAGAACGAGTGTGATCAGCCCAGTGCCACGTCGGCACGCGTTATGGCAAATTCAGCTGACCATGGTGCTAGTGTTGTGGAGGCGATCATTGGCAACATGGTACCACCCGACGTGGCGCCAACTCACAATACCGAATGCAACGCCGGTGTGGTAAGTGTCGTCTCGCCCCTGACCACGGCTCACGAGGAGAATCAACTGAGCTCTGCACAAGAGGCCGCTCTGCGTCCATTACCGGCGTCCATTGGCCTCCGATGGCACCGACATGACGGCCGCCGTGTCCGCTTTGCTCTTCCCCCGCCTCCAGCAGCACCGATGTCCATGGCGAGCCGTAGCCAGTGGCCTGATTTTAGTGGTGTGTACCGCATCCCATCTTCCCTGCCGACAGTGGTGTCCCCGTCATCAACCACGTGGGCTCTCACGGACGAAGCCTCGCGCTTTTCATGGACATCGTCCGACGATGCCTCAGAGGCAGAAGGCCGAGAGCAGGGAGAGGACGTTGTCGAGACACAGGCAGGAGAGGAACAAGGAGAGATGGAGGAGGAGAAGGAGGAGGAGGATGAAGAGGAAGTCCTTCACCCTATGCCCCATCTGCCAGAGTTCCAGCGCACACGCCAGGATTGGCAGCACGCCAGCTGGAACTCGACACTGAGGAGGAGACTGACAAGGCGTCGACCACCGGCTCAGGAGGCACAGGTGCGGGCGCAGGCGCAGGCGACCTCCCCCCAAGCAACCAGCGCGAAGGCAAAGGGCCTGTTGAAGCAGAGCTGGCAGAAGATAAAGGCGTTCATCACGAGAAAGAAGTGAACGTGCTCGCAATGGAATCCAGCTCTGTCTCGGTACGGCTCGTAACCATTGGCGAGCAGGCTCTGGGCCATACATGTGCCTCAGAATCATCAACAAAGCTGATGACGCAGAAAATGGGATATTATGTCCGACCATCATCACGACTATGACAATGATGACTTTTCATGACGATACGATATTATACTACAACAGCGTTTGCACAAGTCTCTTCTCAAGCGATTATGAATGAACGGATGAAGGATTGGTTAGCGGGAGGGAAAAAAAGGCCGATTCTCCAAGTGCTGGGTTCTGCCATGTCTTGTACGTGATTACGGGATTGGGTTTTACATTGCCTTTTCAGACCGGGACAACAGGACAGCGAAATTTGTACCAACAGGAGGTCTTTGAATATGGAAGACAGCTTTACTGCAGTCTCACCTTCACCGGCGTGCATGATGGAGTAAGACAGATGTGAGTTGAGCGATACCCCTAGACAGCGGGCATTACCATCCAGCATAGACAAACACTGAAAAGAAAATGTTGAAGACTTGAAGATCACTTCCACATTGGAGTTATACCTGAATTGGGAATCTGTTTGGCAGATAGATTGCGCAGGGGGATTCCTCAGCGTTATCGACGGCTTGGAGTCTTAGAAGGAGTGACGCAGGATTCCGTGCTTCCAGGTATGCACATCATGATCAGGAATATACGTGCTGATCAACGGTCTGCCACGTTTGCCCACCAAAGTCTCCGAAGGTTTGTCTTGCAACTCGTAGCTTTTGAATACATCCGAAACCGCGGGAACCAGTCTGCATTGGGACGGGATATCCTGGCTCTCGAAGGTGTATTTGTTCTCTTTTTGGGGGATGATGTGCAACACGAGTATGCTTTAGGGTTTGCTGCAAAGTCTGGAGTACCTGCATTTCATTTAACTCAAAGCAGCTGCAGCCTGACATCAGCGTGCAGCATGTGGTTGCATTAGGGTTGGAGGTGTAGATCCAATGAACTCTTGAAAGTCTGCCCGACAAGACGAGATCATCCCTCGTAGCTTTCAAGAGAAGGTTCGTGTCGGCTGAGACGTTGACGCCATGCGCTCGGCTTTGGAGAAAGACGAAAAGTCTACTCGTGGTGGAAGAAAGAAAGAAAGAAAGAAAGAAAACTTAGCAACACACGAGTGCATTCGTAGAAGATGGCACAGATTGTTCGTTCCTCCAACAACCCGAGCATCACACCTCAAAGACAGCAGAGATGACTGGTCAGTAACAAAACTGAACGGGCCCAAGTGCCGGAAACTGCCACCATGTTTTGCTCAACGTCGGTTGTGTGGGTTCGATCAGTTCGGACCTGGCGTGAGTGGCTGCAACGCCATGCAATTTCCCCTCCACCAAGGAATCCACTGCATCACAAACACCATCGAACCTTGACTTCAGACCATCCTCAAACGAACTGCCCATTCTGCTGCAAGTCAGGCAAGGTTTCGGAATCTCGGTTAGGGGTAGCAAGCCAGACGTCGTGCTGGCATTTGTACTGGCTGGAGGCGCAGGAGAGGATAGACGGAGGGAGGGGTTGAGGGTGTCCATGCACGGCATGGCGAAGCCACACAGCAGATCCTAGGTACTTCCCGGACCATGGCAGTTGTACTTCTTTGAAGTTGTGCTTGCCCAGAACCCAGAGGAAATGCAAAGATTGCTTCGTTTCAAAGACAGAAGCGCAACCAGGGATGAGGACGAGGCATGAGACTTGCAGGAGCAGACGTCGAGATGAAGCGAGTCCCGCGAAATTGCAAAGTGAGAGGAACAGGTAAGCGCTTCACTTAGCCGGGGGCCACCAGGGCCATGCACAGCTTAAGGCGTGCGCTGGCGCCAGAGGCTGGTCCTGGGCTAGCCTAAAGGTCCTTTAGGGTCCTGGCCATTACCTGCACAGGCTAGCAGCTCCGGCTACTAGGCTGTCGTCCTCCTTCTGTGCCGATCAACCTGAACATTTTGGTGTCCGCGATCGCCCCGGCCACGCTGCACAACCCACCCGTTGCTGCGTGTCTAAGGCAAGTCCGTTAGCCTACTAGCCGGTCGCAATTGCAGCCAGTTGCAGGTGCCCAGGTGTGTATTCACTGTGGCAGGGACGCTCTTCTGCCGGGCTCTGCAGAAGCCACTGGGCCCCAGTAGCCCTTGAACCCCCCAATCACGGCTGCTTGCGTTGCCAGTCCTCCGATCTCCTACCTCTTCCCACACTCTCTCCATCTGCATCTTCTCACCTTGCTTTTGTTTTGCCTCCAATCCGCTCCCAGGGTCTTTTTGTTATCCGGAGCTTTTTCGACAAGTCCACTGACCAACAGTCGCTCGTTTCGCCGTCCTTCTCTTCTGCCGTCATTCGACACGTTTGAAATATACAACTTCTTTCAGTTTCAATCCTTTGTTGTCCCTTTTGCTCAACACTCCACTCGTGACTCGAACCCTGTCACGGCGCCTCACAGCTCGACCGCCTCGCTTCCAGCTTCAGCGTCCTCACCGAGCCTGGAGTCTTGTAGCCTGGCAAAAGAGGCCCGATTGCGACAGCAGCCAGAGTGGTTGTGGGAAGAATGACGAGTTCAGCATGAGCTGGAGCTCGAAAGAGGTGGTTACATTTTGGATATTCGCATTGGGAAGCTTCAGTTGGCCAATCCAACTCATCTACGGTTGACGGACGATCGCTCCTAAGAGCATGAAGAAGCCTCGATCCTTAGGCGCATTGGCGCTTTTCGCTCCTGGTGCGTTTGCGCAGAGCTGCATATCACTGGCTGGTTCGACGACGTGCCCTGCATTCAACTCTTCCTCTATATCGACAGATTCTACTTTAGTTGCCCTATAGTGAGTGACCTTGATGTTCTTCGGTTCAAGGACGAGAAGCCCTAACGCGATTCCAGTCCCTTCCTTGCTTTCGTGACATCGACCGAGAGCTTCGACACCCAATTAAGTCAATATGTCGATCAGCAATATGTACAGACAAAATATGTCAATATCTTTGGTTGCGACAATGTCAACCTGGGCAACACTTCCAGTTACTATGCCCGTTATACGACCAGCTTTCTCTGCAATGGAATTGTCCAGAACTCAAGGACACCATGCGGTCTATCTGCCGCCGACTCCGAACCTCTGTGTGCCGATTCTTGTGCCGAACTGGCGCTGAGCGAGGAACAAATTGTCTCGGGCGACCTGTGCACGGGTCGCAACAGCGACTATGCCGACGAACTCCGAGCCGACTTCACCAACTGTGCATTGCCTGCCAATTCTATTAGTGGAAGCTGTATCACAGGCGAGTCGAACGAGCCTTCGGACTGTGGGTTCGGTGGCAATTTGATGGGTCTGTGCAGCTTCTGTCGCTCAAGCACCCTTAATGGGACAGACTCGTGCTGCTTGACTTCCAACGCGACTGGCCGATGCCAGGATGTTACGCTCCCAGTCTTCTCCACGATTTCCAATCTCTTTTCCTCCACCACCAGTGCGACGTCTTCACCTACCTCGAGCTCAACAGCTGCCGCTAGCCACAAAGGCAGTGGGTTGAGTGGCGGTGCGATCGCCGGAATCGTTATCGGATCCGTCGTGGGATTTCTTCTCCTACTTGCCGTGATCATCCTGTGCTTCATATGCCTGCGTCGCAGACGCGATCATAGCAAAGCAGGCAGTGTTCTCAATCAACCTTCACCCCAGAGGAAGGGTGTCGTATCTGCGTCCTACAACCCACCCATGTCGCAGCAAGGATATGAGGTCTTACCCGGCGGACGTGTCGCCCGTATGTCTGCTCTGCAGGATGATCAACCAGGTGTTGGACCTACAGTCGGACCGCGGAACTATACATCTCATACTGACCCATACGGTGACAGTCCAGAATCGCGCGAAAAGGCGCTGGGTGCGGTTGGTGCGATGAAAGCTAATGGCTCACCGGGCAGCGACTCACAGCATGGATCATCTCCAGGCGACTTCTCGTCCCCCGAAGGCGTCGCAAGTGGACAATCAGAGCAGCTGCCGTTCTTCAAGGACTATTACTCTAACGATGACATTCACCCCGGAGATAAGGTCTCGGTGCTATGGGCGTATCAACCTCGAGCCGGAGACGAGTTTGAACTGGAACGTGGTGACATGCTGAAAGTGGTCGGCATCTGGGATGACGGCTGGGCAACCGGAGTGCGTATCAACGAACGGGCAGAAGACTACGATGGCAAGCATAAGGTGCAACGAGACAGTGGTGTCTCGAACGGATCCGCAACTCGCGAAGAATCTCCGACCCCGTCAGGCGAGATTAAAGCCTTTCCCCTTGTCTGTGTCTGCTTGCCGGAAGCCTGGAAGAAAACGGTAGAAGGCGACACATCTACAGAAAGCGGCTCAGGCGGTGCTCCACCGATATGAGAAAATCGGCCCGGTGTTCAATCATGCTGATTTTACGACGACATGCAGTTAGCAGGGGCGTTTTCGGGATGGTGGCTCACGGTCCGACGAAAACTACAGTACTCAATAATCCAGTAATATGTCACAGCAAAAGCACAATTCGAGGAGTCGGCGTCAACTTGGATCGCAGAACAAGGCCTGGTCAGCAGCGCTTTTTGCCCGGTACCGAGTTGGATCTTTGTTGGTTATGCGTTGTCGTTATTGTTGTTAACTTCTAAGCCTTCTGTTGATACCCATTGTGTATAGCCCTCTACCTGCTTTGAGTACATTATGCTCTATACTCAATGTTGACGTTGCATGGTTATGAGCACGCGCGTTGGTCTAGTGAAAAGCTTTCTGGCGCAGTTGCGATTGCATAATCGGTGTGCTTGGTGAACAGGACGCGAGTGACCGTACGGGCATGGCTTGGAACGAGAAACATATATAAAAGAGGAGACAGCATGAGACGTGTGCCTTTGTCAGAGGGGGGAACAGGCAAGAGCAAGCTTCTCAAGTTGATGTACATTGCGATTCAGCACACCAACAAAAGTCTAGTCCCCCAGCCCTGAAGGATAGAGGGATAGAAGAGAGTTCCAAGCCCGCTGGCGGTTAGGGGTGAGCCATGAATACAAAGAGAGAGCATTTTAAAACCCAAAGGACCTTCTTTATGCAGTTGTATTTTGTCCTCCAATGTGGTGGTGCCACTCAAGCTTCACCGGCCCCCAATTACATATCAATGCTCATTAAGTTGTTTCGTTGCGTTGCTGTGTGTTTGTTGTGTATTGGTGTGTTCCTGCCGTACGCCTGCCTTCCTGCCTACCACTGATGCCTGTCATGCGCCAATGGATAGATAGATAGACACAAACAGGTCCGTCGTGTTCTGTTCTGTTCTGTTGATCCCGTTTATCCGTTTCGCCGTATGCCGTTTCGCCCCTATCCCGTCCTGTCCATCGTCCCATATAATATTTCATTGTGTATATTACCTCTCTCTATCCCCTCCAACCCATTCATTTATCCCCCGACACCGCCATGTACCGATACTCAGAACGCCGTCTGGTCAAGGCAGAAAAGAAAAGAAAAGAAAAGAAGGGGCAAGCAAAGCAAGGTACCGAGCCTGTCAGGACCGAGACGCTGTCTGTAGGCATCCCCGACGCCTTTTCTCGCTTTCCTTGTCCCCCCTTCTCCTAAGAAACACCTCCTGTTTATTTCCTCCCATTATCCCATACGCCTCGGAAAAGACCGAAACGTCGTGATCGATGAAACTCAGGCGGGACTGTCCCGGACACCAAATCACACAGAGACGATGACACCGCTCTGACAGACCGTGCCCGGTGCGACGGCGCCCATGTCGACGAGTCCGCCCTGGTCGCACAGGTAGAACTGCCTCTCACCGTTGCAGAACAGCGTGCCGCTGGGATTGCAAGGCCCGTCGTTCTCGCGGATGATCTGCCCGTCGACACACGTCGTGCCAACCGCCACCGAGCCCATGGAGATGTACGTTGTGCCGGTCGGGCTGCCGACGCACTGGGAGAAGCTGAACGGCGTATTGCATATGAATGTCCCAGGGACGCAGGGACCGGCGGGAGGGGTGGGAGAAGTGGTGGCCACGGAAGTGGCCGTGGTGATGTCGGCATCGTCGAAGCGTACTAAGGTTGTAGAAGTGGTGGTTGGGATTGAGGTTGTGGTTGTGGCAGTGGTCTCGACGTCATCGAGGCGTACCAAAGTCGTAAAAGTCGTGGGTTGTGACACACTCGTTGTGGATCTCGACAAACTGCTTGTCGTGCGGGTCGTGCGGGTCGTCGTCAAAGTCGTCGTCAAAGTCGTCGGGGTCGTGGTCGGGATCGTAGTCGTCATCAAGGAAGTCGAAGAGTCAGCAAGATTATATACAACAATACCTGTAACGTTAGCGAAAAGGGCCCCCGTTGTGGGGAGAAGAGAGGAGGAAATAGTTGAGCTGTTGCTCAAAGGCAACAGAGGGAGAGAGGTTGAGGTGGTGTTCAGAGCCGTGGAAGTAGTCGTGGCATCAGCAAGATCGTTAACAGTGCTTCCTGTACTGTTGGAGTAAAGGACCGCAGTTCCCGTTGCAAAAGCCGCGGCAGTCGTGGATACGTTTGTCAGAGGGAAGGGAGCTAGGGACGTGGAGGTAGTGGTTAAAGTCGCGGAAGTAGTCGTAGCATCAGCAACATCATTAATCACGCTCCCTGTGCTATTAGCGTAAAGGACACCCGTTCCCGTTGCAAAAGCCGCGGCAGTCGTGGACACATTTGTCAGAGCGAAGGGAGCTAGGGACGTGGAGGTAGTGTTTAGAGTCGCGGAAGTAGTCGTAGCATCAGCAACATCGTTGATAACGCTCCCTGTGCTGTTGGCGTAAAGGACCCCAGTGCTATTGGCGTAAAGGACACCCGTTCCCGTTGCAAAAGCCGCGGCAGTCGTGGACACATTTGTCAGAGCGAAGGGAGCTAGGGACGTGGAGGTAGTGTTTAGAGTCGCGGAAGTAGTCGTAGCATCAGCAACATGAGCTAGTGGTGGGAATCCCGGAACTCGACGCTGCAGCCGATCCATCGTTGATAACGCTCCCTGTGCTGTTGGCGTAAAGGACCCCAGTGCTATTGGCGTAAAGGACACCCGTTCCCGTTGCAAAAGCCGCGGCAGTCGTGGACACATTTGTCAGAGCGAAGGGAGCTTGGGACGTGGAGGTAGTGTTCAGAATCGCCGAAGTGGTTGCATCAGCAACATCGTTGATAACGCTGCCTGTACTATTGGCGTAAAGGACTCCCGTTCCCGTTGCAAAAGCCGCGGCAGTTGTTGACACGTTCGTCAAGGGAAAGGGAGCTAGTGAGGTTGAGGTCGAGTTCAGGCTGGTGGAAGCAGTCGTGAGGAATAGCGCTTCTGTGGCATCGGCGGTTGTACTTCCAACAGCAGATGTCGTGGGCGCAGGATCAGGGGTTGTCGTTGAAATCGACGAAGGGGGAGTAGTCTGGCTAGTCAACGATGTTGTCAAAGAGGGAAAGTCCAAATTGATAGATGCACTGGTTGTCGTGGAAGTGTCGACAGCATCGTCCTCAATGGTAAAACCCGGACCTGGATCGGGGACGATGGCATCCTGGCCATAGACAACATCGTCACCAGGATCTGGAAAGACCACTTCTTGCCGCTCGATGGTTTGACAGCCGTTACCAACGTTGCACACGAACATATTCGGTAGGCCCTGCATCAAAGAAGCCTGTCGTCGGTAAGGAGAGCGTCTCCTGTCGTTCGATCCGCCAATGATTTGGACCCTCGCACAGTTTTGGTACATCTCACGATCTCCGACGAGGTTAAACCAAGACCAGGAAAGCAGCGCCGAGTCGGAGGAAGGCGCAAAGCTCGGAATCGTAAAGTTGTAGTTGTGAGTCAAGGGACATCCGCCAATCATGGATTTGATGACTTTGAAAGTAGCTCCGTTGTCGTAAGACAGAGACAGTTGACAAGATCCTCCGTCGTGCTCGACTGTCCCATTCAACCACATGTCGTAGGTACCGCCGGCCATATAGGTTGCTTTGGTCAAAGCACCGTCTGAGTCATTCTGGTAATTCTTGCATGGAAAGTTAGAACCATCCGGCAACAAAGGGGCGACCATATTATAGTCCTTTTCATCAACAGGGACATCAGGATCAAGGGGACTTCGCAGGGGGTATGGCCAGCTCATCTGCATATGGGCTTGAGTGCAGAGAGGCAGCCATAAGATAGAGGAGACTGCAAGGGAGGTGCGTAGTAAGCGAGACATTGGAAGAGAACTGTCAAAGGGATCGTGGACAAGGAGAGAGGGGGAGGGGGGAAGACTTAGGCGAAGCGCCTGTATTGATGCAAGAGGGTTGTATCAGGATGAGCACACGTATAGCACGTTCTCTTGCGGACAAGGGAATTGGAGGATAGAGGGGTGAAGGGAAGCGATCAAGCTTGATCAAGGGACGGAAAGTTTTGTCTTCGCGAGCGACATGGCGCTTCACTTATGTATATTTCGAAACTGTCCACATGGGCCTCCGTATAGCCACACCCGGTAACGTTCTTCCGGCTTTGATTCCTTGAGATGGCGAACTAACAATTTGTGCTGGACAATGCCCGAAGACATGCTGCTCTGGATACTGCTGGCAACCGCAGCAAGCTAAAGCGAAACGGATGAGGCCCATGCGCGAGCTGGAAAGTCACCTCAAAGAATGTTGTGGGTCCCCTGCCCCAGCATGACATTCTTCTGGCCCACGAAAGACCCATGGGTCTCTCCCATGGACTCCAGGTCCCGAACTAGCAGGCTTTGTAGAGGCAAAGGTCAAATGTCCCCCGCAGCCGTTGTCATGGCGACAACGTCGCCAATCGTAAGCCACAAAAAGGCAATCGAAGATCGGCTCGAGCCTCGTCCGAATCCAAGAAATCCGGGGCAGGCGGGCCATTTATATTTTAGGTTTCTGTGTTTTCGCGCGCCAATCTGGCCTATTTCCTGGAAAGGACGTCGGTGTGATTGCGATTGTCAATAATTGCCTTACTGGAGAAACTTCTCACATATACTGCAAATAGACTGTGCTGCTGATCATTGTATGCAGCTCTTGGTTTGTGTTTTGATTCGTCGTGCTCCATCCGTGACGCGTCCATCTAGGAGAGGTCATTGCTCATTCTCTTGACGTGAGAGAGGAACTCCATGCCGTGAGTATTTGAAGAGTTGGTCACGCTTGCTGATCTCAATCGCGAAGGATGATAGAGGAATGATATACGGCGCTCCAACACAGGGTCCCACAGCGTTGCTGTCACGACTCGACGCGTCGCACCGTCTTTGTTGTGTACTCCAAACACCTCATCTCAGCGCAAATTCGAATCTTCCGGATGAAGAAGGCAGATGCTCCAATTCGGCATGCATTGTCGTCCAGACCGATTTGCCCTTTCCCACTCAGCCCATTTGGCGCGCATCTCCTTCCGTTCCAGATGGTCGATGGTGTGGTCCGTCCAGGTCGCATTCCGTCCGGCGCTCAGGAGTGGACCGAGCCAGCGATAGACAACAATAATGAGCCACACCTGTCGTCGTCCAGAGGCATCGGGCGAAAGACTCTCGCGAGCTTGAAACATGAACTGCGTTTTGCAACCTCGAGTAAAGCAGGCACCTTTACACTTCGCCCCAGCCCGGCTGTCTCCAAAATCTCGCTTTGACTCATTGATACAAGGTGGACCTCTGACTCCTGGTGGGAGGCGCTGAGTGTTGATGCATGCTCTGCAGAACTTGCTAAGGATGTAGGGATCACCGAGCTTCAAATGAGGGCAAACTCGGAAGTCGATCCCTTGCAGAGCGCTCGAAACATCCTTGACCTGGAAAACTTCTTTATACATGCCACTACCGCCGCTTGTTCTCGTGTTATACAGAGGCGATGGTGATTGAAGGAGGGCAACCTTGGAGATCAAAAGAGACTCGGCCTTCGGATTCTCTAGATCCATTGCTGAGGTGCCTTTCTCCGGTCGGTCGGCCACAGACCTGTTGCGAATAGAGTTTCTGCACCTGGAGCACGGTTCCAGTGTTTCCACTCGAAATGGTGATTCCACTCCGGCCTTGATGTGCCGGATCGTCTTCTGGTAACCGAGGTGACGATGCGGACACAACCAAACCTGTCGACAATCTCGCAAGGTAGGTTCCTGTTTGACCTCTGACGTCGGAAAGGTATACCGGTTATGAAGCGTCTGACACTTGCCACACACCAGCTTATCTAGTTCAGTGGGATCTTGATCTCGCTCAGTCATGCAGAGGAAATCGAACAGCTCTTTCCCTGTCAGGACAAAAGACGGCGTGGTGTAAAGATGGAAGAACCTCGAGCAAGTATGACGAAGGGCGACCTCGCTACTCGGGGTCAAATATGGCTGGAGGAACATCAACAGCTCCGTCGGTAGCGAAAGGAAACCAGACTCAACGTTGTTAAAGACTGTCCGTTCGGACCACCTAGTCCCCACTGATGGAGTCTGTTGGCGAGGGGCTCGCTCGATTATTGCCGTCTCGGGGGTGAAGGCCAGTTTGGAGACAAGCTGCTCGTCGGAGGATGTCAGAGACAACGCGTTGCTGAGCCATGGCTGCAACATATCCTGATTCCCCTCCACTACTTCGACGGGGGCTGGCGCAGACTTGGTACGCGAAAGCTTTCTGCGAAAACTGGCGATAACTGGCATTGTGTAGAGTTGTGGTGTGCCGAGCTATCAGCAGTAAGAAGTGCGGAGGCGTATCTTCCAAGCCGGACAAGAACGACAAGCACACAATCTCTCCGTCAAGCAACTCTTAGACAGCCACCACAAATCGTGGAAGTGGCCTGATAGAATTTGGCCGAGTCGGTAAGAGCCAGATGGCAGAAAGAAGGCATTAATTGCTGCTGACTCTCAGCCACCGCGTGAAGGTGCTCTGGCCATGTCAGAAGGATGAGGAGGAGTTCGCACATGGCCCTTGGTCGGATAAAGGGTTCGTGATTTGGTGGCGCAGAGCATTGAGACTGTTTGCCGCGGGACAAATCAGAGGAGTTGTTTGCCACTGAGATGGAGAAGCTTCCCTGAGCACTCCGTAGCGAGAAGGTCATCAGCCGTTCCACCCAAGCTTGTCCGTTTACTGATCCTTGCAGCGGGCGAGACCCCTTGAGATGGGCTCGATGGATCAATGGCGCGCAAGGAGGGGGTTTCGCAGTCTGCCGCCGTGCCATGAGCCGCTCATCATTTATTGGTGGCGATTTGGCTGCAGACGGAGTCCAGCCTCTGGGCCGATCGAAATCATAAATGGGTCTGAAGCGACACGGGTGTGAAACGGATCTCGAAAGTCGCGTGTGGGAGTTGGCAAAGTTCGCGACGCCAGCGACACCAAAAAGTCATGACGTCGTGACACTGTTTACACCTTGCAAGGGAGATTATGCATTGTGACTTTTTTTCCTTCCTCGTAGCCAAGCTGGTAGACTTTAGAGATACGTCGCATGTTGAATCTTTCACATCCTCTGCGATCAGTCCGACGAGGTTGTCGACATCGACTACTGGTTCTTAGAAACTACATTGCCCCGGCATTTAGTCCCTATGCTCTCTATAGGTTGCCTCTGAGATCTTTGCCCTTACCATCAAGTCTCAAGATGCCCAAACGAAAGAGAACAGTCAATGCCACTTCGGCTCCTTCTGCCAGCCCGGCTCCTGCATCAACACGACGGACTAGTTCCCGAAGAGCCTCCGCTATCACCCCTGCAGCGATTGACACTAACCCAGACACAAATGACATGATCGAAGACGGCCCCAATGCTCTACGTGCTTCGCCAGACGCAGAAAAGCCCGAGGTTGACACTTCAAAAAGAAAGAAAATAAAGACTCCGGGGGAAGCTGTGGGTGAACATGCTGCGACACTTTCTGGCCCAAACGTCAATGCCAAAGCTGCGTTCAAGGGAGAAGACGGACTGGATAGAGAAGACCCCGAAGTTGAAGTAAATGAGGAAGCCAACCCCGAAGAGCTGAAGGAAGCCTTGTCCCGGCCGCCTCCAGTCAACAGCTCGTACCTCCCGCTGCCCTGGAAGGGCCGGTTGGGTTACGCCTGTTTAAACACCTACCTCCGTGCTGCAAATCCACCAGTCTTCTCGTCACGAACGTGTCGCATTGCTTCGATCCTCGAGCACCGCCATCCACTGAAAGATCCCAAGCTGCCAGAACATGCCACTAAAAATCGTCCAGACAAGGAACAGCCGGCGGATATAGCTCGGGGCCAGGAATATGTGGAAGCACTGGGTCTCGCCAATGCACAGGACATTGGCAAGATGTTGCGCTGGAACGACCGTTATGGGATAAAGTTTCTCCGGCTATCGTCTGAGATGTTTCCATTTGCCAGCCATGATGTATACGGATACAAGCTTGCTCCGTTCGCCTCAGAGGTGCTTGCAGAGGCGGGTCGCGTCGCTGCTGAACTCGGTCATCGCCTGACGACGCATCCCGGGCAGTTTACCCAACTAGGATCACCACGAAAGGAAGTTATACAAGCCTCATTTCGCGATCTGGACTACCACTGCGAGATGCTCGACCTGTTACAGCTGCCGCCGCAGCTGAACCGAGACGCCGTGATGATCTTGCACATGGGTGGTGTTTTTGGCGACAAGGCTGCCACTATCGCTCGCTTTAGGGAGAACTATAGCAAGCTCCCACCAGGGGTCAAAAACCGGCTAGTTCTCGAGAATGACGATGTCAGCTACAGCGTACATGATCTGCTGCCTGTCTGTGAAGAACTCAATATTCCACTTGTTTTGGATTTTCACCACCATAATATCGTCTTTGATGCGGAGAAAGTCCGCGAAGGGACACTGGATATCATGAAACTCTATGACAGGATCAAGACCACGTGGACAAGAAAGGGCATCACGCAGAAAATGCACTACTCAGAGCCTGTGCCGTCGGCAGTCACTGCGCGGCAGCGGCGGAAGCACAATCCACGACCTGCAACACTGCCGCCCTGTTCGCCAGACATGGATCTGATGATCGAGGCGAAGGACAAAGAACAAGCTGTCTTCGAACTGATGCGCACATTCAAGCTGCCTGGATTTGATACCTTCAACGACATCATACCATACGTACGGGGCGACGAAAACAAGCCATGGAAACCTCCGAGGAAGAAGAAAACTCCCAAAAAGAAGCGCCAGAGCAAGGAAGACGGGGGAGAATTGGTCGATGACGACGACGACGACGATGCTGCTGCTGCTGAAGGGGAGGCTCAACCGCCGCCTCCGGTCCCAGAGTCCGAGGTCAGCATGGGTGGTCCTGAAGGGCGAGTGTACTGGCCCCCAGGAATGGAAGAATGGTTACGTCCAAAGAAACGAGAAGTGAAGCCTCGAGATCCTTTCAAGGCAAAGACGACAGCGGAGCGAGCGGCCCTAAGACGGGCAGAGAAAGCCGCGTGGCAGGCTGCAAGGGAAGCGTCCGCAGAGGCAGAGACGCCCGTATCCGCGGGTAAGTCAGCTATCTCTGAGGTGGTTGATATGGATGCGACTCCTGCAGCAAAGTCCGACCATGCCGCACAAAAGAGCGTGTATGATATGGCGAAGACGAAGAAGCAGAAACCCGTGCGGGCTCCTCGTTCGGGTGCCGGGACGAAGAACAACAAGAGCGCAAAAAAGTCCGTATTGACACCGAGTACGAGTGACCAAGACTCTTTCCTCGACGACGAAGAAGAGCCTGAGAAGCACGACCCCCAAATGCCAGACCTAATTGATGCCAAGGAGGTCAATCCGGCGGTCAAAGTTACAAACCAGCGGCCACCAACACGGACTTTGAGCGGGAGGAGAGCTAAAAGAAAGACTGTAAACTATGCGGAGGGTGACGAGGACGACGATTGATGGTTCCCGTGAATGCTTGCTTCTTTTCTGGTCCGTGAGATGTAACAACACGTATAACTACTATGCTGTGGGGGTATTTCATTCGAGTTGTTGGTATAGTCAATCCCAGGAGTATCCTTCCACTTCAACCTTGTCTAGAGACAATTTGAGCCAGAGTCAGAACCAAGGTCCATAGAATGTTCCATGATTTGGGCAGAGGAGATCTCCTATCATAGTTATTAGTATCACGGCCAAAAGCGCATGGAGGACAGGGAGGAGAAGGTTCGGGGGATTGAAGCCCGAGGCGCAGCAGCTGGAGAAGAGCCCACGTGAGAGGCCCCGAGCCGTGTTTCGGTCACGGAGTATACGCAAGAAGGAGAGGAGGAAACGGTCGCATGTTGTCTCCGATGGCGGCGATGGTGTGTTCGCGTCTCAAATGCTCATCGGCCAGCTCGGGAGAATGGCCGATTAGAGGGGGCTCGAAGCGAGCGAGCCGTTTGAATGAGGACATGATTCGCCGGGGCATTTCCTTGCAAACTCCTCCATTCATTCACTACTCGTGTGTACGTATGTACCGAGTACGAGGTACCTACGGCTACCTACCTACCTCGTCCTTTTTCCACCCATTACGAAACTCACTACTGCTGTCGGCAGGTAGGTAGGTCAGGTCGTTAGGTAAGTATGTCATGGTTTGGTTCGATAACGTCACAATTGCGGCATGACTTTTGCACGGGAAAGATGCCCCGACCGACGCATACTGTATCTCGTTGCATCATTGTTTCATAGGCTATTTTACCGACTTCTTCCCCATGTCATCGGGCAACTCCCAATGACAACTCTGCCCCGCGCGTCTTTGCTTGTTTGCGTTCTGGATAAATTCAAAAGGGTTTTTTTCGTTGACGGTCAGAGAGTGAAAAGAAAGAGGAAATCCCTTGCCCTGCCCACTTACCTCTTTTTTCAGGCTCGTCTCGCGTTTCTGTCGTTGCATGCACACAATTTGTTAATACTTCACTCACCTTTCCTTCTTGAGTCGAACTCCTGAACGAATACCCTTTGCAACCATGGGCTATCCCGATACCTTTGAGGGGTTCATGATCAAGGACCAGAAGAAATGGACCGAGTTTGAGAAAAAAGAGGTAGATCGTGATCTCCGAACACGTGCCAGGAACCACGCTGACGACTCGCGCCGCAGTTCAAACCCAAGAAGTTCGGCGACCACGATATTGATATCAAGATCGAGTGCTGTGGCGTCTGCGGCTCTGACGTTCACACCATCAATGGCGGCTGGGGGGAAGCACCACTGCCCATCTGTGTGGGCCACGAGGTCGTTGGTCACGCTGTCAAGGTCGGAGACGCCGTGAAGACAGTCAAGGTTGGAGATCGTGTCGGTGTCGGGGCTCAGATCTGGGCATGCCTCAAATGCCCTCAGTGCAAGAGTGACAACGAGAACTACTGCCCACACATGGTCGACACATATGGATCTCCTTACCCAAAAGAGGTCGACCCAGACGAGACCATCTCCCAGGGCGGGTACGCGTCCCACATACGCGCCCACGAATACTTCGTCTTCCCTATTCCCGATGCCATTCCCTCCCACCTCGCTGCTCCCATGCTCTGTGCGGGATTGACGACTTGGAGTCCACTCGTGCGGGCGGGTATTGGTCCAGGCAAGAAGGTGGCAGTTGTGGGCTTGGGAGGCTTAGGCCACTTTGGAGTTCTGTGGGCGAACGCTCTGGGCGCTGAGGTCACCGTCATCTCGCACTCCCCGAACAAAAAGGAGGATGCTCTCAAGCTGGGCGCAAAAGAGTTTGTGACAAATACCGAGAAGGGATGGGCAGACAAATACGCCTATGCTTTTGACTTCGTGCTCAATACCGCCGACATGACCCACACCTTTGACTTGAGTGAGTATTTGTCGCTTTGCAAGGTCAATGCCACATTCCACCAAGTCGGCCTGCCAGACGAGCCTCTGCCACCACTGAAACCCCAGATGTTTATGAGCAACGGCAGCTCCATTGGCGCGAGCCATATCGGTAACAGACCTGAGGCTTTGGCTATGTTGAAACTCGCAGCCGAGAAGAAGATCCTCCCCATGGTCGAGACCGTTCCCATCTCGGAGAAAGGATGTGCCGAGGCGGTATCTCGCGTTGCAGCCAACAAGATGCGATATCGATTTACCTTGACGGATTACGACAAGGTATTTGGCGCCCGTGATTGAGCGAGTTGGCGACACAGTAATAGGGGGCCGCTACAGTCGCCAGGAAAACGGGTTGGGCAATCGGTGTCCGGGGCTAACAGGAATAATCCCCGGCCTTGCTTTTTTGTTGTCAGTCATTAGCCCACGTCCGAGCCAAGGCGAAGCCATCGTGACACAGAAACTACCGGTCACAAGCAGGATTGCTGCACGGTGTGCTCAACTCTGTTGCGAGCTTGCCAATCGGACTCGAGGAGTTCGATCGAGGAAAGTGGCTAGTGGCGGTGTCATTTAGATAGCCCCTATCAGTATCCAAGACCTGAAAGAAGATCACTTTCTCGCGTATCCGTGCGAGAGCCGCTTCCCATGATGCCCGTTATTTTAATTGGTAGGTGGTGTTATTTGCAGGTGTCGATGGTGCCGTTTAGAGAAAAGTGATGAGCTGTGTTGAATGTGGTGGAGCAGATTTATGACTGGTTAAAGACCCCGTCAACGACCGCGACTCCAAGAAGGCGGTAAGGCGATTGAGTGGTTGAGTCAGAGTGTCAATGTGTCAGTCCATCAGGCGGCGCCGAACCCCAGCACTAGGCTAGTGACCCCCCCGGGACCAGCCTCCGCAGCTTTCTTTGGCTGTAATCGGACATTCCAGGGTGTCCCAGCCTGCAGACGGGCTTCTAGTTGACAGGCCGTGCTCCTCCAGACACTACTTGACAAGAAAGTGTTGCGGCTTCCTTCCCCGATCCCCTAGGAAAAGAACCCTATAAGATCCTCTCCCTCCAGGATTGAAAAGTGTCCGACCTTGGTCTGGAAGCGCCGACGTGGTGTTACGCAAGACGCCTGGAAGGGCCCAGGAAAGCGAAAAACGCAGCGTTCGTAGGCGTCGATCTGGTGGTTCGCTTCGCTTCTAGTGAGAGAAATCAAGCCATTTGCAAGCTACGGCTAGGGGCGACCGACGAAGCAGGACATTTGGTGGCGGCTGATCGCCCCAGGTGAGAGCCCCCAAACAGGCGCCTGGTCCACCTAACGACGTTAAGCCATGCGCCATATCAGAGCTTTAACGGCCCAGGGCCACCGGGGCTGCGGGTGGAGAGGGGCACCTAAGCACCTGCTCGTAATAGGAGCAGGAAAATAGTTTACTGGCAGCCAGCTCCATCATCTCCGTTTGTGCAAGCTGCCAACCCCCCCATCGCCATCCCGCAACTTTCCACCTAGCTGGGCCCTATCGGTGACATCCAGTGCAATCTGGATGCGATGCCGCCTCTGATGACATTACATACTTTGTGCATACCCGCGTCCTCTTGCGCCCTCGATCAAGCTGCGACCGAAGCACCCTGGCAGCACCCGTCCTGTCCATTCTGAGCCTTCTTGTCTTCCATTGGATTGATTTGGCACCCCGGTGATGGAAGGAATCATGACAATAATATCGAGCCGCTGGTGAGAAAGTGGTCCGTGAGTGCCTGCGGACACCAGCTGTTATCCTTAGCTCTCGCCCCGGCAGTTCGGACCGTGGCCCTCACTCCCGTCGATCTCTGCTCCTTCGTTTCTGCTCCTTGCAAAACGTCTGCGTCCATTGTTTGGTTCCAGCCTTGGAACCCGTCTGTATTGAGTCGGTGTCTAATATGTGTGGTGGAGGACACACGGGATCGAGCCGTGAGCTGTACATGAGCAGGGAACTTATCTGGCTGCTGCGGTTCGCGGAATGATCCTCTGATATCAAGATGGAGAGCGGTTTGAAGAAGCTATGGACTCGCCGGAAGAGCAAAGGGAATGACGGAAGACAAGACGGATTCAGCCTTCTGAGGAAGAGCCAGAGCACTGACCACGCCCTCCGATCGGCCAATGCAATCCCTCCGTCAAAGCATACTCGTAATGCCTCGACAGATGCTCAATACAAACCGAGTGTCAACAACAGAGTTCAGTCGGTATTGGCTGGAGTGGCTGCGAGACCCTCAACCTCTTGGTCGCGACCTGAAACAGATGGAAGCGGCAGCTTAATGAATGCCGTCAATCTCGCAGCTGACGCCGTTGCCAAATCAGGGCAAGAATATCAATACCCTGCGGACAGATACCCGAAAGACCAGGTCCGGCCCAAGACCCCTCGATATGTGGACATTTTTTCCCTCGCGAACTCCCCCAGTCCAAGTTTGAGACCGGGTTACAATGAGGACGTGGCCGAACGGAACCTGGACTTGGCTCGAGTCGCTCTCGAAGGCACTCACCAGTACATGCCTTCATCGAAGTTTCAAGAAGAAGTCGCCGCCAGGAATGCATATCCTAATCTCCCTGGTAGCGATAGCATTGATAGCTCTCCGTCTGTCCGTCAAAATGGGTTCCATGGCAGCCCGTCGACTGGCCCGATTAGAGGGATATCCAGCCCTGTGAGCAGCCACCCGCATTCGCCTCAAAAATTCGGGGAGCGACCTTTCTCCAGGCGCACTCAAAATGTTCATAGTTCGATTGGGTCACACTCTCGACAACAAAGTAATCGATCCTGGGATTCTCAGGGACTGGTGCATGAATTGCCGGCTTCGAGGCATAGTATCGAGGACCATCGCCAGCAGCAAACACTGGCAAGCCCGGCGACAACAGTGGCGAGCAGTTCCCACGAGCCTATACACGGCCATCCAAGCGCAGGCTCAGCAGAGTTCTACCCTGCTATCTTTCCTAATGGTGCTCTCAGCCATTATCAACTTTCAGCCTCGGAATTACCACGACTGAAGTCTAATGAATCACCCCAAATGCAGCGGCAAGGTGTCGTTACATCCCCAGATCACTCGACGGATTCCCAGGCCTACAGCCATTCAGTGCGATCGCCCTCAAACTTGAGTAACGCGTCTTCCGTGAAGCGAACAATCAACCTGCCCAACCGAACAATCATGGATTTGACCGGCAACGATTCAGAGGTCTTCTCTGAAGGCTCTCCTCCGTCAAATTACAGCTCTTCTCCTATTCTGGAACATGTCAAGGTCGATACGACGCCGAAAGTTCAAGGAGCCGTCATATCTGGGACGTCCTCTGTTGATGGCAAGACTGAAATCAGTCTGACCCAAACAACAGGTCATCCGCCTACCACGATTCAACAGGCGGCCGCCGTTGGCAATCTAGCAACTCACCGACCGCCGTCCGAGCCTCGGTCAGAACTGCCCAGGGCAGAAGATCCTCCTCGTTGTCATTTTGCCATTACTTTTTCACCGATCACCACTATTGCATCCGCATCACCTCGAGCAAGCGTTGTTTTGGAAGCCCCGAATACATCCGGCCAAACAGGGCAGATTCAACTCACCCCTGAATTGGTCGAGTTGCAAAACCAACAAAATGAAACCAAGGTGGCGTTACGCTCAGGCCAGCCGGGGCACCAAAGCGATCGCGAACCTGATCATCCTTCAAGAAACAGTTTCACTGAGTTTGAGCATCAGAACCCGCCGTCCGACAGAGAGAGTCGAAATGGAGCTATCGCTGAAAGCCAGGTTGGAAAGCCGGTTGAACCTGTAATACAAGGGTCGCCGGCAATTGCATCATTCGAGCCTGACCATGATCTCGATCCAACGTTTTCGCGCCGCCCATACGTTCACATGGCTCCAGAAAGTCCAAACTCGACAGGGTTTGGTGATCCGGTTCGTCCTTCCACCGTGAACGCTAGGGAATTTACGAGCACTCCTGGCAGATCAATGCTGACAAGTGTGCCCGAAGAAGTAGAAGTCAAGAGTAATGGTCACGCAACGTCGCCAGGAGAGCTTATGACAGAGACATTGCCAAGCCGCAGTCACCTGTATATCGACAGCGACCCTTCAAAGGAGCGACTTCAGTCTGCTCTCGGGTACCAGTCGACGTTTGACGAGAGCGAATATGCGCAAAAGCAAGCCAAGGCCCGTGCAGCTCTCATTCGACTTCAGCATAGTTTGAATGAGGCTTTCCTCGCCCATCCAAGTCCTGCGCCAGATTCGCCATCAACCAGATATAGCCCTTCCAAACATGCTTACTCCTTCAGCGACGGGAGACCAGCTGCGCCGTCTACCATCTTTTCACAGGTCAGACACTCACCCTCCCCGACAGATGCGATGGGCGAGGCTGACAGGCGATTTGAGGATGGTAGAATGGAAACCTCTTACCACCATGCGACGACGGTGTCGCGCGAGAAGGAGGGTGGAAAGGCTCGGAGAAAGAAATCATCCCGTAGTTCCGCCAAATCCGAAGCCACTCACGAGAAGGGAAAGCAAAGAGCAGAATCCGAGCTGAACGGGCCTGGTCCATCCATCGTCGATGACCAAGATAGCCCGAAGCAGCCGCTACACCTCCCGCCTCCTCTCCGCCTCAATGGCCATCCTTTTCATCATAATTTGCAATACCAGCCGCCAAGTCCAGGCGAGATTTCCCTCTCGAACTTCCCAATACCTGTGTCCTCTCCTCGCCAATCAGTCATTCGACCTCCAGTGACTGAGGACACTGAGAGACAACAGACGCCGACGCCAACCCAGCAGCACGCTCATCCACAACAGGATGCCACCACCGCTGCTGAAATGAAAGAACGCATCTTGCGGCGCCAGGCCAGTCAACGAAGTCAGGCAAGCGGCGGCTCGGCGTTTAGTATTCCTCAACATATGATCCCTGATCGATCAAGTAGCAGACGAGACCGATCGGTAATGGAGACCGACGAATGACCCCGGGGCGGTTTTTCTGTTTGTCGGCAATGTACCGGCGCAAGATATGTAGGCTTTTGGGTATATCCAGGGTGGATCATGGTCACTTTAATTTTGTTCTTTCTTCGCAAGCGACCTTTAGGATGGGATTCAAGAAAAGTTGTTCTTGTTTGGCCATGTATCAACGACCCGTGATGACACTTTAAGAGATATCAACCAAGGCTTGTATCCAAATCCTGAAAGCTACATAATACATACATATATATACCGATTTGGGGACGGCCTCCGGTCAGGCTGCCTCTGGAAGAACAACGAACTTTTCGGAACCTGATCACTACGATTCTGGTGGTTGTCAACGTCGACGTGTTCATTTCAGTGTGTTTTTTTATATATCTATATCTATACATAATATATACCCCGTACATGCATGACCACAGGTGCATGTATACTACTGTACGGAGTATATATGTATATCTACTGGCCCACTTACTTACAGGCCCCAGACCCTCATCCAGCCATCCTGGGATTTGACCCAGCCTCTCTCACGCGTGCGACCGCCTTCGACGCCCCTGCTGTTCTCGACGACCTCCTCTTCGCCCGGGAGCCGGAGCCACTCGTCCACGCAGTCGGGGATTTCTTCTTTGACGTGGCTGACCACGACCAGGGCCTGGGCGGGCGTGAGGCCCGGGAATCGGACATTCGTTCCCTGTGTGTCGGAGCTTGGTGCTCCTCGCGAAGTGGTGGTGGTTGCGCTCTGTGGTGTTGGTGATAATGATGATGGGGGTGCCTTATTCTCCCCGAATTCGAGCCACGACATGGCCTTGTCCCGCGTGTCGGCGGACAGGCCGGAGAAGGCTTCGTCCAGGATGATAATGTCGGGCTGCTTGATGAGGGCGCGGAGGAGCAGGAGAAGTCGCTGTGCGGAAAATGGGAGTGTCCCGAACGCGTGGCTCTCTCTGTCGGCCGCCCAGCTGAGATCCGACTCGGAAGTAGTACCATTATATCCAGGGGCATCGATCGTGTCTTGTCGGAGCTCCGGCTCCCACCACCTGAGAAATCGGTCCACCATGTCGTTGCGTTCCGCGCTGAGGATCGGTTTGCCCGCGTAGGTCTCGGCCCATGCACTTTCGAGCGCTCTCCGGATTGTCAGGTGCTTGGGGAAGAACTGATGGATCTCTGGGGATGAATGCCCTATCCGGCTCTGGATTTCCCAGAGACTCAGGCCTGGAATTCCCCGCTCGGGATCCGGGAGTCGCGAGCGACCGAAGAACCTGATCGGCAGGGAGTAGGACTGCGGGTGGTCTGAAGTCAGGAGCGAGAGAAGAGTGGTCTTGCCAGAACCGTTAGGGCCAAGGAGTGCGAGACGGGTTCCTTGGTAGATCGTCATGTTCAGACCCGGAGTGCTGTGCCCGGCTTGCGGGGGAGGATGGCCAAGGACGGTTTTCGAGCCGTACTGAACGACGATGGACGCGAGTTCGATGAGAGGGTCACCGAGCTGTCTGTCCCTGTCGCCGAGTAAGGACGACGAGGACTCACCATGCTCGTTGGACACTACGGTGGGTTCTGAGATGGATGTAGAAAGTGGCGTGGGACCAGCAGTGACAGCACGTCTCAGTAGCTTACTGAGAAGACGGCCGTCTTCCTCTCGAGGTTCCGGCGCAGCGCTGGACTCCTCGAGCATCTCTGGGTGTCTTGATATCCCTGTCTCGCTCAAGACATCACCGGAGACGCCAGCGAGTGGAAGGCCATATTCCCTTGTGATTTGGTCGACCACTTTTTGGTTCGCAATGGAGGTATTCGAGGCAAACATCGCATTCACCCACTTCCGCATATCGGACAAGACTTTTGACTTTTCGCCCATCAATGCCACGGTATGGTTATGACCAAGCACCACCAAATGGGTTATCCAATCTGGGATGGGGTCTTGAGGACGTAGTCCGAGCATGAGCAGTGGGCTCGACTGGTATGCCAGCCTCTTCAACATCGGCGACAAAGACACCAGTGTCGGAGGATCAAGGCCCATGAAGGGCTCATCGAGCAAGAGAAGAAGTGGTCTGCCGAGTAATGCCTTGGCGATCCGGGCTCGCCTTGTTTGTCCATTGCTGAGGTTGCTCACCGGCATGTTTGTCAACTTGTGCAACCTCAAATCAGAGAGAACCTTGTCAAGGAGGTGCCTGTCGACGCCACCATCTGGAGTTCTTTCTCCAGGATTGAGTTCCGTGTCGCCCTTGAGATATTGCATGACCGTCCAGTCTGTTTCCTCGCGTCGACTCTCGTAGCGAGCACTGAGGTATGCGCCTCTTACTCCTCCCGATCCACCGGCCGGCTGTCCTTTTGTGCTGTTGAAGCCCACATACTGGATCGCGCGAGAAGGTATACGGAGACGGTGATCCTTTTGGTCATCGATATAGTGGGAGGCCAGGTAAGGGAAGGACCTCGCATTGGGCGGCAAGCAGATGTGCGAACCCCGTAGAATCTCGAGAAACGTCGCGCCATCCGAAGCACTGATGACCGCCCAATGTTCATCTTTCCTCTCGACGGGGTGACTTTTGTCAGGCAATGTTGCAGGCAGCTCGAACGTCAGATCTGGGAACAGAGGGGGATTTGAAGAAGAGTCATGATGGCGATCCGTCGACGGATGTTCTTTGTAGAACGTCCCATTGCGAATCTGAATGAGATTGAGCCGGGCTCGTTTCAAGGTATGCCGGAAGAGGCAGATATGTGACCTTCGCATGTCCGTCGCATGTCCGTCGCATGGTTCTCTCGTCGTTGTGAGAGAGCTAGATTCTCGAGGTTATGACTGGCGCATTTGGAGAAGATTAATTTCTGCTGCATCTCCAATTCTCGGAAAAGCCGCGCACTTTGTCTGAGTTGACCGCTTCAAGCTACGCAGCATATTGACATACAAGGGACGAAGCAGCAGTGGGATTCCACGACATCATTTCTAGGCCAGCTCTATCACCAGCTCTCTGGATATCTGTTACATGCACGCATGAGCCTCTCTTGGCGCCATCGCTATGCTGGAATTCATGAATCTGGTCACAAGCCACAAGCAAGCATCCAGCCATCCCAGGCTCATCCATCTGTACCGGCACTGTGGCGCCAATGACCCAGTCGTCACGGATGCTAAAGGAAATATTCATTCCGTCCACCTCTTGATGGTGGAACGTGTCGTAGCTCATCTTTGACAGCGCTGAAAAGCTTGAATGTTGGCTTCATGTCTTCGCCAATGTCGCATACCGATGCCAGGTTTCCGCATCTGTAGCAGTAATTGGGAGCGCTCCATACTGTCACCACGTCCTGACTCTTAAAGTGATATTTGTAGCCTTCGTTGACTAGCTGATGTGCTCTTGCAATGAGGTTGAGGCCGTTGACGTGGCAGAATTCCTGACTGACTCGGTCTCCAAAAAGCCAACCAGCTCCTCGGGGCGATACTGCCCAGGTTTCCACGTCTTCAGGGTCTGACCATACGAGATCACAGAATGCGCCTTCGTGAGGGATCTCTTGTGCTCGTGCAACCACTCGAACTTGATCGAGTGTTCTGATTTCTGGGGACAGACCCCCGTGGACGCACAGAACTTTGCCATCTACTATGGCTCCCAGTGTCATAAAATCAAAGACTTGACAGCAGGCTTTCCATACTGAGGTGTTTCCATATTTCTGTACACATTCTTCGTAGAAGCCGTATACTTGAGTGATCTGGCGAGATTCATGATTTCCTCGGACCAGTGTGATTTTGTCGGGATATTTTGCTTTGAGGCATAGGAGAAGCGTAAGGGTTTCGAGGGAGAAGTATCCGCGATCGACGTAGTCTCCAAGGAAGATGAAATTTGCATTTTGCTTGCGGGAGATGACATTTCCTGACTCTGATCTCTCGTCTTCGATCTCTGAGTGCTGTGATGAGGGTATTTCTTCGGCATCGCTGATCTCACTGCTCTTCTCGCTTGGTGGATCAGGATGTTCCGATCCTCCGAGTCTCAGTTTCTTCTTCAGTTTCGGGTCTGTGATGGTAGAAGGTGGTTCGATGTCTGCGGAAGTAATGATGTTTGCGGGTGTGACGGGTGTTTCGGGCGCTGATTCATTCGGCATGCCTCCTGCCACTCGAAAAAGTTCGAGTAAATCGTAGAATTGACCATGAATATCGCCGCAGATGGTGACTGGAGTAGACACAGGTTGGATATTTGATTCTAAACATTCGGTCAGTTGTAACTCAGGAGACTGTAGCAACAGATCAAGTAGATGACAAACCTTCCATCATGTACTCCTTGACGATCTCGCAGAGCTGCTTCATGTGGTATTCTGAGAGGTACTTGCAGTTTTTTGCTGCTTCGAGCCATTCGTCAGGTCCTGCTGAGCGCTTGAGGCGTGCTGGCCCTGGGACTGGGACTTTGACTGCGCCCATGGCGCCGGTGAGAAGGAGGTGATTTCGCTTGGATCAGCCCGTCTGTATGTGGATTCAGTGCCCAACTGGCTGGTTGGGGCTTTTGGAAGAAATCCGGGGGCAGGGGGAGTCCGGAGGGCCTTGACGAGGTCGACGTAGTTGAAAACCTTCGGCTTGGGAAGGCCGAAGAAGGCGCGACGGTCGTTCTCGTTGACTTGGCGAGAACGACGGCGGAGAGAGGGCGGGGGAGAGGGCGAAGGCGATGATGAGGGCGAACCCTCAGGAGAGTCTTCGTCGAAGACCGGGAATGCTTCTGGAGCGTCCGCCGTCTCTACGACGACGTTGGCGGCGTCCAAATTGCGGCCTGTTCTGGTGAAGGAGGAAGAGGAGGAGAAGGAGGGAGTGGTTGGCGACGTGGTCGCCGCGGGAGACATCGCGGGCGGGCACGTGAGCAGTGGTTTTCGGAAAAAGGAAAATCCGATCCGAGAGCGATTGAAAGCTGATATTTATGGGAAAGCGAACGCCCCTCCTATCATTCTGTCTTCACTATTGACGATGTCACCTATTCACTGATTGTCACGCGGACTCTATTCTGAAATTGTTTTTTCAGTGAACAGAAGGTCTGCGGTGACTCATTTGGCGGTATATACGGCCTGACGTGAATCTCTCATTGTGTTCTCACTTTCGGCTCACAGTTTACAACAATGTCAGCTCATTCTAAGAGTCGCGGCGCAGGAGGTGTCCTGCCTGTGAACGCAGCGACTAGGAAAAATGCAAGCGCCCAGTCTGCATCGAAGTCATCCCCGAGGACACCAGCACCAAGGCTGAGACTGATCGTCCGACGCTTGCCCCCTGGACTGACAGAGGCCGAGTTCTGGGCCGCTCTGGGCGACGACTGGAAAACTGGCAATGGCAAAGTCGACTGGGCGGCTTACAAAGAGGGGAAAGCCTCTAAAGAGTATTGTGCTTTGCTCGAGGAACACATTTGATCCCTCGCTGACCAACACTGTAGTCCTGCAAAACCCTCACGACCAGCCAGAGCTTATCTCAAAGTCAAGGAACAGTCATTGTTGGAACCGTTGTCTAAAGCAGTAAAGGAGTCATCGTTTCAAGATGCTAAAAATACTGGCAAGGATCCTTGTCTCTTGGGGCCGCCGTCTCTCGAGTTTGCACCGTACAACAAGATTCCCGTTCCTCGCACCCGACATGATGGTAGGCAAGGGACTATCGACCAGGATCAAGAGTTCATCGATTTCCTGCAAAGCCTGACGGAGCCAATTAACAAACCAGCGTCGAATGGAGCCGAAGCCACGGATGTCAAAGCTGACACAGTTACTATCACTCCATTAGTCCAGTATATCAAAGAGAAGAAAGCCAACAGGGCCAAAGAAGCTGCCCAAGCCAAAGCAGCGAAGCGCGAAAGCAAGGAAGCGAAGCCCACTAAGAGTGAGCGTCCTCCGACAGTTATCATCAAGGGCAAGAATACCACGAACACGACAGAGAAAGACAAGGACCGAGTTGCGAAGGCCACCCAGGAGGCCGTGAAGGCTGCCAACAAATCAGCGGCTGCTGTACAAGGAAAGCAGACAGCATCGGCCAAAACCGAGAGTAAACAGGCATCGGCAAAGGAGACTCGGCCACAGTCTCCAGCAACCACAGCAACCGCCCCGGCTGCCGCCCCGGCGAAACGAGAGCGCAATCGAGAGAGGGACAGCGGAAGGGCAGCTGCTCGCATGCTCCAGCGGGATCTGGGACTCCTAGCGAGAGAAAACACCTCACAACGCAGTCCAAAGATTCCATCATCGGGTACGGCTGCAGCAAACGACTCCGCGGCTACATCGTCACCGGCAAAACCGTCAACTCCAACTTCTGCTCCCAAGTCCTCCGAACCTTCGACGTCGACAGAACAATCCAAATCGTCGACTGCAGCTACGGCCACCACGCCTACGGTCCCCCCAACTGGCCCACGTGCTTCACGCGCTTCCAATCCCATACCCACAAAGTCGGATCCATCCAGCACACCTTCTGCGACTTCGGCTCGACCACCAGCTACTCAACGTCAGTCCAAAAATCAGTCTTCTCAACAGCCCACTACAGGCGCGAAATCCGCGTTCCTCAAACACGCAAATCAGTCTCAGGGTATCACAGAGGACATCCTTCAACAAGTCTTCAAGGAATTTGGAACAATCACCCGCTGCGAGATTGACAGGAAAAAGGGATTGGGCTATATCGACTTTCAGGAGCCTGAAGCATTAAAGAAAGCCATGGCAGCAAGCCCGGTCAAGGTTGCGCAGGGCCAGGTCGTCGTGTTGGAAAATAAGTCCCCTCATGGCCAACATGGGAAGCGCGGCGGTGGTGGTGGCGGCCAAAACCAAGGATCTCCTGGTCAGGGAAAAGCAGGCGCTGCATCCCCTGCTGCGGCTGCAGTGGCTGCGAGCTCGTCCAAGCCAGCTGCTGCAAAGTCTGCCACCACTTCGCAGCCGCCCGCTGCGGAAGCTTCGGCGACTGCACCCGGCGCAGCTGCGTCTGGCCCTGCCCCAGCAACACCAAGTTCAGCGACGCCACCTAGCGCACCCCGAGGAAACGCCAGAGGCGGCGGCGGAAGCGGTGGTCGCACGGGGGGTCGTGGGAATAGTGGAGGAAAGAAAGAGGGAGCTCGTGGTGGCGGGTCCGGAGGGCAGGGTCAGGGTGGGAGACAGGGACATCGTGGGGGGAGAGGGAACGCTGGAGGTGGTAAACGCAGCGGAGGAGGTCAAGGAAACGGGAATGCTGGCGCTGCTGCTTCCGGGGCTGCCGGAGGTACTACTACTCCCAGCACTTCGTCGACAGCTGCGGCCAAGGAAGATGGAAAGAAAGATTGAGTCTGACATGACGAAAAAGATGGGCTTGGCCTCGAGGGTGAGAGTCGATCCAGCATTCACTCACTCACTCCAATTTTTCTAAACCGTGGATCTGGAAGGTGGTCGCACGAACAGTCCCCAGTGTATCAAACAGTCAGAGAGGAGACCCTGTCATCTTTCCTCGAACACAGGATTGAATACACAATGAATGGGAACGTCTATTATTAAGGCACTTATCTTCAGGCTTGATTGATGGCCCTTGTCATATATCGATTGCGACTTTGCGAATCAGTTTCGAAACCCCCGGGAATGTATGACTTCTCGTCTTGATGGGCAATTACGACTCCACGAGTCTCTCGAGGCAAACGCTCGCGTTGTGCAAGAAGCGCAGGTACAGTAAATAGTATGGGACCCTTATGTCTTTGCTAACAACTTTTAATTGCTCCCTGTAAGCGTTCATTACGGTTAGGGAGGCAGGCCATTCTCGAGCTCTAGCTACAGTAGATTGACAAGTACACAAGCCGACCATGATGCTTCGACAAGGGACACAGGAGAAAACGAGTACTATTGCTCCTTGCTCGGCGGTGCTCGGTGCATGGGAGAGTTCATCGTCTCCTCCTCGTTGTCGTCGGCGGCGGAGCAGGCTCAAACGCGTCGTCGTCGTCGTCGTCATCATCCTCAATCTGCTCGTAGCTCTGACTCCGACTCGCGCCTGTGCTCCGCCCGTTTCCCAGGATGCTTTTCTGCGACGTGGTGAAGCTGAGGGTCGATTGCTTCGGCTTCGACGCAGCGGCGCGGGCAGGGGTCTTTTTGGTCGTCGTCGTCGTGGCCGGCGTCGATGATGCGAAGGACGTAGGCTTCGTTCTTGCTCCTCCGGTTCGGGTTGCCGGGGTCGTCGTGCTGGCTGCTGCCGCTAGAGTGGTTGTGTTGCGCCCTCGCGTACTTGCGGTAGTGGTGGTCTTGCGCTTCTCGGGAACGAACATGGCCTGAGAGTCGTCTTCTTCATCCTCGTCATCGTCCATGATGATGTCGCCGTCCTCTTCTTCCTCGTCTTCGTCGTCTGAAATTGCGCGTTTTCGCGCTCGTGAGGAGGTAGTTGCCCTTGCGGCGGGTTTCTTCGCAGTGGTGGCCGTCTTGCGACTGGTGGTGGTTGCTGCTGTGGCACCGGCTCGGCCACCCCGTCCTCTCCCTCTCCCTCTTGCTGCCGTTGGTCTTGGAGCCGGTGTCCCGTCGCCCTCATCGTCATCCTCTTCCCCGTTTCGACTTTCCAAATCTTCCGAATCACGCAGCAAAGCCCCGGGCGTTTCCTCCCATGGGCCTTCGATATCGCTGTCCCAGTCAGCCGGCTTGGGTTTGAACCTCACTTTGCTTTTGGAGGCCTTGAGCATGCCCTTTGCAAACATTTCCTCCATCTTGGCACGCTGCTCTTGGATCTGGCTGGCCAGGTCTTCATCGTTGTCGTCGGCGTCATTGGCATCGGTCTGCAGCCTCACGAGGTGCTTGATCTGATCGGCGAGGGATTCGTTCACAAACAATTCCATAGCGTGTTTGTCGTCCTTTTCCACGTACTGGTTGACCGCGTCGCCGAAATAATTCTGTGGGAGGATGGTGAGGGACTGGGCTTGGAGGAACTCTCGGACGAGTTTATCAACCCTGATGGTTTCGAGGCTTTGGAGTTTGGCCATGATCTCCTTGTCTGCTTGGGCATCTCGAGCCGCGCGGGCCACTGCGTTCTTCTTCTTGACGTGGAATTGCACCACGTCGTTGGTGTTGGCGACCTTGTCGATGAACCGGTTCGAAAAGCGCTGCGGGTTCTCGATGTCAAACTTGCCGACGCCGTCGGCCGAAGTCGTTTCAACGCGCAGTCTGATCAAGGGTAAGGGGCATTCTTCCGGTTCCTCGTCCGGGTATTGTCTCTCTTCTTGTGCCTCCAACCATTCTTGCCTGGCTTGCTCAATCAGTCCGTCCACGATCTTGATCATATGCCGGGTCAGCTCCGCACGGTGGTCGTCTTTGGATTTCGCAATTCTGACGGCGTCCTTGTCGGTGGCGAGGGCAATGTCTTTGTAGACGAATGGACGGACGGTCTTTAGCCGGATTGGCTCGCATGTCATTTCTCGACCAGTTATGGTCAGAACTGCAACCTTCTTGGGAACAGCTTCGCCTGGGATCAAAGAGGTGGCGACGGATGAGCCCGGTTGCATGACCCTGAAGTTCATTTCCGGATTCAGTCTGGGTTCAATGTCACACTCGTGTTCATGACCCCAGATCACGAGGTCCAGGAAATCTGGCAGAAAGTTCTCGGGCAGATAGGATGTCTCTGTATGTGCAGTGTGATTTTGGTGGACGCAGATCACGTTGTACCAGTCGCCCATCTGCTTGCTTGGCCGGTGAAATTTGACCTTGCCGTCCCTGAACGTTCGATGAAGACGCTCATCCCGTACGTTAGAGAGGCCATACAGCGCTAGTTTTGTGCGTCCTTTCTGTATCAAAACGGGCTTGACCACGATGTTATCACTCTGGGGTGTCTTCCCGTAGTAGTTGACCAGTCCGGAAACCGCAAGTAGGTCTAGGGCCGAGTAATGGCCTTCTCCCGTAGGGTCATCATGGTTACCGTGAATGGAGAAAACCGGGATCCCCACGTTGATATTGGCGTCTTCGTAGTTAACGTGGTCGAAGGTGGTGTCGAAATGTTCTGACTCGTCAGACAGCATTTCGAGCTCACAAGGTTTGTCACCTAAACAGTTGAGTCTCAGAGATCGCATGACATTGTACATGGACTTTCGTGAGGGCTTGTTCTCGTGGAAGAGGTCACCGGCGAGGAGGACCATGTCGACATCTCGCTCTTTGGCGAGGCACATGATTTCATGGAACGTCTTCCAGGAGTCATCACCTCGGATCGGGTCTCGTTCGTGGGCGCCAACATGGTTGTCGGTGGCGACAAGGATGGTGATGGTGTCTGCCATGTCATCTGGTCTTCAATAAAGGACGGAGTAGACAGAGGATTGAAGTATTGTTGTCGAGAAGGACGCTGTAGGGGGGTAGAGAGTGGCTGTTTCGCGTGTCTACAGGGGGCGAGTGAGTGAGTGGCTTGGGGTGGGAACTGGCGCCTTTTGCTGCCTGTTGGCGGGGGAAGACCAACCCTGTGCGAATAGATAGACGACGAGATGTGTTGTAAGCTAGCCCTTGAAGATAATGCAGAAGAGAACACAAGCTGAAGCAGGGGAAATTGTTGGTGATGGAGCAGGATTGTGAGACGCGACCGATGCCTGGTGGCCTCTCTGCGTCGCCACACGCAGCCCGGAAACCAAGTCCTGCGTCTTCCCTCTTCTATTGTATTGCCTGCGCCCCTCAACCTCCCAACGCACAACACCCTTGTTAATAACTGTTTAAGAAACGATCCTCCTGTCCTTTGACCAACGACCGACGCAAAAACTATTTCGGGATCTACCGAGTTCTTCCTCTGCGCTGCATGGTTAGCCGACCGACGGCACGGCGTTCGAAACACAAGCGAGGGCGACGCAACTGACATTTGACACGCCGCATCACGCTACCGAATCACAACCTGGTGACGCCCTCCCTCATGGAGTGACAACCGCTGCCCTTGTCCCCTGTTTGACGCGGCTACGCGGGCCGCTCTCACCGGGGTTGCTGTCGGTGGGGAAGGCGTCGGCGTCGGCGGAAGCGGCGTTCCAGCTAGGCAACATCTCCCCCTTGAAAAGCGTCATCCCCTCTCATCGTCTCCCGACGCCGAACTTCCAACCTCATCTCCCCAACGCTGACCCTTCATCCGCATCTCACCAGGCTCATCCTTCTGCGGCCCTAGTTTCTATGCGAGGGCGGCATCGCTCGCCGTAATTCTACAAAGATGCCGAAAGGTTCAAAGTCCATCGCTGTGCTGTGCGGCGAACTGGGCATGGATGGGGTTGCCGAAGCCAACCTCCGAAAAGATGCCCAGTCCTACCTCAAAGCTCAGATCGAAGACCTCCCCAACGCCCCCGATGCCGCGATTGAACCCGTCGCATGGACATTTCTTGAGTCAGGTGGCGGTAGCCGACACTTCTCCTGGGATGCTGCCCTTGTAAGCTCACCGTTTGACAGTGTCGCCTTCGTTAAGAAGGCAGGCCTTGGTTTCTGTCTAGGCTAATGGAGATACGTAGAACTATCAATGGGAAGCCAGCGAGCATCGTCAAACCATCCTCCACTACGTGGCTGAGATCATGAAAATGCAACGATGGTATATCATCGACCGCCTCCATAAGCGTCTCAACGGTGCCGTGAACTGTCCTGGCTGCTTGCTGCACTCTCCAAAACAAGGAACCCCGGACACCGTCGATGGTGCCGCAACTGTCAGCCACGTCCGCGCCGATGACACTGGGTCCTCCGACGGTAAGTGTCTTCCTTGTCATCAGCTGACTCGACAGCACCGTAGGACACTAAGCTGACGGCCGTACCTACTCACCTATCAGAATCCGATGCCGGAAGTATTCGTTCTGGTTCAGGCAGAGACGACACCCTCTCTGCCAGCGAAAGCAGAAAGCGACACCGTGCTAGTCGAGACCCCTTCTCCGAGTCCGACAAGAAGAGACGCAAATCGTCTGGTCCACAAGGCGAGAACGGCACAGTCGACACCTCGAGAGAGGAAACTCATCCAACAACCGCCTCCGCCCACGATATAGTCGTCCCAAATGCTCGGCCCCCAACCAGCTCAATCACGCATGCGGGCTTCACGCCAGTCAACCCGACAGTCGTCGTTGAGCTCCAGCGGCCATCCAAGTCCGAAGCTCAGTCTGCCACCCTGGCTGCTTCTCAAACGCTCACCCTCAAAGACTTCAATCTCTCGATGCGCTATCGTGGCAAGCAATGGCACTTCAACAGTATCGCGCATAAAGCCAAAGTCCTTGAACAAATCCTCCTGCAAGAGGAGAAGGATATCGAATCCTACCCTACCCTGGCGTTCTCCAGAGGGGCCAAGAAAGCAGCGTCTGGTCGCAACGCGGATTCCGAGGGTGACGAGAAGGCCTTGAAAGATTACTTCCTCTTTTACTCGCATTTCATGAACGACAGATTCCCCAGCAACGAGAAGGTGTTGCTGGAGAATGGAGTGAGGCCTTCGGCGTAGGCTGCGGCGAAATTAAAAAGGGCAATGTGGCCTGCTCGGGATATCCATTGATGTAAGCAGGGACTGGAAACTGGTGTTGGCCAATCACCCAAGGGCTAACGGAGGTGTTGAGGCTCTGGCGGTCCAGGGGGAAAATTATGGAGCTGTAGGGACAAGAACTCGGTTTGAAATACATGGATGGTCCTGTTTGAGAGATGATTTCAGCCATGTACTAATTTACCACCTGCTTCTTGAACTCTGGATTCGCTGGCGTCACGGCTAGCCATCAATATGTAGTATGCAGCTGTGGTGTCCCTGTTCTATGCCTGGCTAACCATTTCCAACAGGTCAATATTGAACAGGCAATCATAGTTTCATGTCACTCGGCGACATCGACTTACGAAGATTCTTATCCAATCCTTTCTAACAATTGCCAAACAGAGTTATTCTGCACAAGGACGCAAATGGAACTTGTTGATGAGCTTTATATAACACCCCCAAATCTTTCCACATTTGTGTCAAATGTTATTCCTTCTTGCCCTATAGTACCATGACTTATAACGAACCGATTGAAAACAGATTTCTGATCCAAGAATTATCACGACACCATATCGAACCATGATCGGAAGAGGAGAAAGTGGGTTAAGGTTGTCTGCTCGTACCTGACATACCAGTATTGCCGCCAGATCCGGGCGGACAACAAAGCAGCCTCTCTCACTGGCACGGAATATCAAGCGGGTCCAACCTCTACTTCAACCATCCCTCGCCCTGGCTGGATGTTGATTGCAGACATCTCAATAACAATTTGAGAGCGAGTTTGGAGCCGTACCATGGAGTGACGATTGAACTTGAGCGAGGGTAAGCTTGAAAGCCAAGCTGCTACAGTTTAGCCTTCGATACAGATTCGTGGAGGAATGATTCCTCCTTCATCCAATCAATGGTGTTTGTGCGGGGTGGTCACAATACGAAATAGCGCGCCGTGCTGATACTTTAAGCATGCTGTCGTCGGCGTTGAATATCTTGTATCTCTCTCCTCCACGTATAGTGTGCTAACAACGCCACCGAAGTGAAGGCCAGCAGAGCAGTTGAGATCTTCATCGCTACCCCACCATCACAGCACCTTCAGGACCTCCAGAAATGGACAAGCGACTGTCTTGCCTTCCAGACGGGGTGCACGGCTCTACCGGCTGACTTCGAACAAGTCCCGACTGGCGAGCCACTGCTCTCCACACAGAACCGTTCTTGAATGATCGACTGGCCGATCAATAGGAATGGGCAGAGCTCAGGGGAGTCTTTTGCTGGATCTGACCGATGAGATGTCGCTTTGACCGGTAATATACCTGTCTGCCGGAAAAACAACAGGTCAGCTGGCACCTTTGACGTGGAGGTCGGTCGAGGGCGACCATTAGCATTCGTCTTTGACAGAAGGACCGCTGGCTAGAGATCTAGTCACCAACGGACAAGACAGGCTATAAAGGCCCGTACGAGAACCATCACCATTTGCTCTCGAAGGTCGTTGAAGCCACATATTTCTGCCTCCTGAAGATAATCTCTCCGCCCAGGACATCCTATTTTCACAGGACACGAGGCACAGGATTCGAATCCAACATGGGGACTAACGGACAACGATATAGTGGCACTGAAAACACCTTGCAGGGAGGTACATCAGCAGAGGACTATGTCCAGGACCAACGAAATGAGTACTTGACCCGCTACCAGACAGCGTCAAGCGTGGTCATTCCAAGAGAAGTCTTTGAATCGATGTATCTGAGCCCTTATACACAGAGGCTTGGACATCTCCGAAGCACATTTGCAAACCCTACCCCCATGTGAGTGGACCATGCTGAGAGAGCCCTATCATCCGGACAAAGCCTCGACTGATTACTGTTAAAATGTTAGGCCTTTGATGGGATTCTTGATCGCGTCTATGCCTCTGGGATGTAATCTTATGGGCTGGCGAGGCTCTGGCGGTGGCGGCGCTGCGATAATGTCGGTTCTCAACTCCTCTTTTCGTGCTTAACTTACTTCTTTATGCACCGACTACTACTAACCCGTCTCTTTTAGAGGGCTGTTCTTTTTCTTCGGCGGCATGCTCCAAGTGCTCGGCTCCGTGCTGGAGTTCATCATTGGCAATACCTTTCCATTCGTCGTATTCGCCTGCTACGGTGAGTCGAACAACCGGCCAGCACTTGTTGTTGTTCCGAGATACGTATACTTCAAAAGTAACAGCAAACTGATGCCATTCTTTCGAAGGCGCCTTCTGGCTGGCAATGGGGGCCACGTTGCAACCCGACTTCAACGCACAGGCTTATTACACCACTCACGCTGGTGGGACGGAACAGTTCTACTCCAGCTTCGGTGAGAGAGAGACATACACCGCCCGTTTCCTTGGTGACAACCCCGACGGTGCTAATGTGTGCTTCCGTGCAGCGTTCTTCTTCATGGTCATGGCTCTCGTGACGTTCTTCTTCCTGGTGGCTTCTCTCCGGACGAACATCACGTTTGTGTTGGTCTTCGTCTTCATCGACCTCGCCTTCATCATGTTGATGGCCACCTATTGGACGCTGGCTGAAGGCAAGACGGCCATTGCCGGAAAATGTCAGAAGGTACGAAGCAAGCCACTTACTCCAGGCGGGTTTTCCCTAGATCCATTATCATTTTTTACTGCCGGGTGCCATGTGGAAGCAAACAAGGCATTTCCTTGTCTCGATATCTCCGATATGTTCAAAGCAAAAAGAGTCTATGGCTGTGAAGGCACACACTAACACTACCTGGTAAAATAGGCGGCGGGAGCATTCGTCTTCGTCTTCTGCGTCTTCGGCTGGTACCTCTTCTTCACCATGATCCTGAACGCCGTCGACTTCCCGTTCAACCTCCCCACGGGGGACCTGAGCACCAAGATCAAAGGCGCCTCGGAGAAGAAGGAGAAGACGGCGGAGACGAAAGAGCAGGCCTAGCTAGGATATCAAATTACTGGTGCTGGTGGGATAAATAAGATGGAGGAAGTCGCGATGGTGTGGTTGAAGTTGAATTTGAGTCGTAATATGTGGTGGGAGGACGGCAGAGAGCAATTTGTTTGCGAGAAGCTCGGCTGAGTAGTTAGTCTTAATCCAATACATCCTCCAGGATGGGCCCCCGGGAGTACCTGAACAAGTGAGGGTGAATACATACGGGTCCATACCGATACAAATTTCCTTGTTGGAAAGCCACCATCACCACCGACTAATCTAATACTTGTTGCCCGGCAGGGCTCGCCGCCTTTTCTCTGGATTTTGGAGCAAGATACTCACTCACTCTCATTGAGGCCTCCAACCCGAGCCTCTAGGCGGTTATTCCTCTACCCTGCGGGGTGTAGAACCACAGTAACCCACACATATATTTCCACTGTCAACAGAAATGATCTAGCTGCTTATAGGATAGAAGTTAGACCAAGGTCAGTGTTGATTGTATATTGACGAAGCAAGAGCAAGTTAACACAATCTACTGAATGGAAAAGATAGAAAACCCGCCAATTAAACATTGACTACTCCACATAGTCTGGGCATGAGCGTACATGTATCAATCAATACTTTGCTTCCACGGCCGAGTACTCCTTGCCCTCGATCTCCAGGGAATATTTTAAGAGGCCCGCCTGAGTGCTCTCGATCTGCAAGTTGTACCACAACTCACTGTACGCCATCCCGTCCGACCGACGATTCTTTCGCAGAAACAATTCTTTGGGGACGTGGTTGAGATCTGTGATCAGTTCGCAGTTGGGTTTGACTGTAAAGAGCGACATCAGCCAAAAGAATTCTTCAAAGAGGCTTCTTCGAAAATTGGGATATGACGTGGCCCGCAAATGTTTCTCACCTTCATTGCTGGGATGAATTGGAGCATGGGTGGCTGTAGACTCATATAGCCTATCGGTGATGATCAAATCGGAGCTGGAAGGGTCGTGACCAGCAAATCTACGGCAGAACCGTTGGTTTGTCTTCTTACCGCGCTGAAGTTCTTCATCCTGTAGTCATAGATCAGTTGCTGGTTTTTCTCTTTCTTCGCTCGGAGCATTGTCGCAAAGCTCACCATGCGGATGAACCAGCTCATGACCTTGCATTTGATGATTTCATCCCATATACTCGTGTGTGTTGGGCAGCCTTTGTCTCTTCTGGGGTTGTAAGGGCTATGGTAGCATGTGCCATAATGCTTCGAAGCTTTGGTCGAGACCACAGCAGGTGCGGCTCCCATCGGTAGTTTGCTCATGACAGCACCTCTGAACAGGAATCAGCTGTTATGGAATGCGTAATACTTCCTGAGCATTCTCACCTGATAATTGACGACCACCTGTGGATAAATACCATGGTCAGCCGATACGTTGGTTTTCTGATACGGAGGTGCCAAACTTACGCTTCTCTTGTCCGTCTGACCTCGATGGTTGGGTTCGACTTCTTGATGACTTCGTACAAATACGTGCTGGCTCCAAATCCACCAACGAGGAAGATTGCCTGTAAGTCTCAGTAAAGCTACATTTAAGGCTCATAACCGTGGATAAGCAAACCTTGACGCCGCTCGGGTTACTCGGATTGTTCTGCAGACGCTCGAGCTGAACATTATTGACCTGTTCGGTAACTAGCCGGTCGACTTCGTGGACAATTGGGTCAAAGAGCCTACAAACAGTTTCACTATCAATCTGTCAGTACCGCTATTTTACGGACTGTGCAAGTGAAACTCACCCAGAAAGCTTCATGGAATTCTTAACTATCCCGCGCTGCGGGTTGTCCTTGAGGTTGGCCATGGGAAAGCTGATGAACTTGTCTCTGTCGTTCTTGCCTGTGAATGAGACCTTGATCGCAACCTCAAACTCGTGCAAAGCAGTCCGATACGCTTCAGTTTTGTGAAGTCTGACAAATGCTTCCTCGCCAACTGCTCTCTTGATTTCCTCCTCCAGTAACTTGTTGATCATGGTGCTCCCCGCAATGCTGCCTATACGCTCACAATTAAGGCGAAGTTCCAATTTTGCTCACGATTCAGCATACCTGAAGGTTTGGTCAAAGCCTTGACTTCGAACGGCGACACCCTGAGGATCTCGTACGCAATTAAGTCCACGGTGCCACCTCCTGCATCACAGACGATGATCGCGTCGTTTGCCTGCAGCAATAGTTAGTCAAACGAGCTCGTATGAGGTCAACCTCCCTTCCCTCCAAACCTCTGTTCTTCCTCGAAGCCAGTGTAAAAAGAGCAGCCCAGTCTTTGACGTTGTTCCCACATACGAAGTTTGGGCACTCCCCCATGCCCGGTCGACAAGACTATTGCAGAATACAAGTATTGTGATTCTCTTGCAGGTGAGCATTCACATGGTGGGACTGACGTTCTGCCTTTATCCTTCCCGTCACGGCAACCACAATTCACATCAGGCTGAGGAATAGGGAATGAAGAGTGGAGCCTGAGGGTCCACTTGGAGAGGCTAGTGGGCCCACCTACATAGAATTGGGCCAGCACATGTACGGAGTATGAACGGCACCATTACTTCGACTTCAGTTGAGCCTCATTGCGAAGGAGTTTCTCCGCGCTAGGATGTTCGTAGATTGATAGGATATGACTGTACGAACTAATCGATAGCATCCTGCAGGAAACCGAATGCGGCTGAATCTGGCTGGGGCCACTCCATGCCCACTCGATCCATCAGGGCTATTACACGGCCTCCTATCAACTGACGGGATGCTCTAAGGGTAAGATGAGTGTTAGAGGCTCCAGGGAGTGTAAATTTTCAGCGTCTTCTGCGAAACGCGTGACTCTGTCTTTCGTAGACTTGTCTATTCCCCGGCATATCATCTATTGAAGGGCTCTCTTTACCATCGGCAAAGAGTAACAGCGGGAGAACTTCCCCAGTTCAAGCCAACATGGTAGCTGATACCGATGCAGTGGACGGTGTGAAACCGCAAGGTTCCCCAGTATCACATACAGACCTTAAACATTCGGGACAAGAGAGAACAGGCTCTGAGATCAACCTTTGCCAAGTGGTGAGAGACACTTTGAGGGAAGAGTTCGAGCAGCTTAAACATCAACTGACTGTAAGATCCCTCTTCCTCTACTCTCGCATCTTGTTAGGGTGGGAACCAACATGAGATTGTCTGTGCCAATTTAGTTCAAGCCCCAGGCAGCGGCAGATGATCAAACGCATTCCTCTGTATCTGCTGAAGCATACAAGGGTTTATACCAAGAGGAAATCAGGAAGCGGGGTGCGGTTCAAGCTATGCTGCAAGAAAGAGAGACAGAGCTGCAAAACAAAGAGCGAGAAAACCAGGGCCTGAAGAAACAATTGGACGAGAGCCGAACTGCGCTTTCGGACATGAGGAAGACGATGGTCATCGCAGGACGCAAAGAGCCTAAGCCAATGGACGGTGACGTGGTCAACAAGTTCGTTACCCTCAAAAGTGACATACTGCAGCTGGTGAGAGCTCACTGTAACGCGCCTATAACCCCAAGCGGCGTCCGGCAAGAAAATGTCGCACCTGAGTTGCCTGAACTGCTCGTTCGAGCCGAAGTCGCCCGTCACATTTGGGCCAATTTCTTCTATTCCAACAATTTGCTCTTCGGTTTCGACGACGAAGACGAGGACAACACGCTGATGAAGGTGGAATACAACTTTTTGAGATCACACCAACAGAGTAAGTCAGCCTCTAGCTACCACATTGCTCGTGAAATCTCATGTGAGCTGACATTCAAATAGCCGAAGGACTTGTGGAGTGGCGAAACAAGTCTATCAACATCATCAAGTCGATGACCAACCCTAACAGATACAGGTATTCCGACGATTGTGCGACCAGAATCTGGGACAAGATCGAGGGCTACTGCCACCACGCAAAGACAGATAAAACCGACAGAGAACAGGCATGGCAAGACCTCATCAGTATTTGCCGAGCAGCCTACGACGTTGCTCTTTTGTTTCGCGAAACCAAAATCGAATACCAATGGGAGCAAGACAAGGACCTTCTCCCTACCCTAGCAACCAACCCAGATGACCACGAGATTGTGGCAACTATCGGACCGGACCCGAGCGAGAACCACGAAATCGAGCGTATCGTGTTCGGAGGAGTGATCAGGGGAGATAGGAAAACAGGGCGGTTGAGCGACAGCAAAACTCGACTTACTCGAACATGGTGATCATCAAGGATCCTTCGAGCGCCCCGAGAAGGTATGGACAGTCTTATACTCCGTAGGGTGAGGTGTCCAGTTCCCAAGCCAATCTTGCTTGGGTAAAGCAGCTAACTGCTCATGGACATGACAGGAAATGCTTAGTGATGTAAAGCGAAAGGCTGAATTGGAGTTTGAGTAAAGCAGCGTTCGCTCTGGATCCAAGTCATATATGCTTATTAGGTCCCTCGTTTGCTTGAAATATACTCGTAGGCATTCCAAGGCCCCCTGCCTGATGTGCATCACTATGGGAAGCGCGCATAAGGCGGCACCCTACCAAGGCCTAAAGAGGCTAGTCCGTTTCTGACCCAAGATTGAATCATCCGTTCCGTTTGGATCAATCCCGACAACACGCCTCCTTTCTGTTTGATCTCTTTACGATAGGCAACAGATTCTCGCAAACCCTACAGACGCAAGACTTTTAGACTGATCCAACACTTGGCTCAGTCTTGACGATCACCTCGGCCTTCTCTTAGACCTTTTTATGCACCCTGCGCCCTCTGAAGCCTCCCAAAACGCGACTTCAGTAGAACAAACTCAGCAACTCCCCTCGCCTTCCACGCAGCATGGACTTCCAGACATTGAACATGAGGCCTCTGGTGGCTTACTCTCCACGGGGAGCCCCAGAGAGCCGACTTCAGACCTGGAGGAACCCTCTGACAATGTCTCCATCCGCTCCGGAGGCACCCAGCGTGGACGGTCCTCCAACACCCGATGGATAAGCAGTCGAAATAGTTCTTCTCAGGGTTCTCCTGGCAGTCGCATCGACGAATATGAAAGGGCACACACACAATACCGGAAACCATCTGACGGGATCATCTTCCAAGTTATCCCATCTGCGAAGGACAAGGATTCGAGGGTCTCAATTGAAAACTTCCCGAATGGTACGAGCTCGATGACATATCGCAAAGAAGTTACTAACGAGCACTAGAGGTTCTCACCCACATTCTCTCTCACCTGCCTCCAGAGACTTTGTCTTCGATGAGTCTCGTGTCTCGGCGGTTTCACAAATTGATCACCACTCCGCACGCATGGCGCATCGCATTTGCCAGATACTTCCCCGGTGCAGAAGCGTTGGACGCTGGGCCAAGCAAGGCTGTTCAAGAGTCGATCTCTGAGGTTGACAGAGCACAACGCAGGTCATTCACGCGGTTGTCAGCCCTTTCCTCGTGGAGAAGCGAGTATATCCTTCGAACTCGATTGCTTCGCTCCCTGGGACGTGGCCGCCCTGCCATCGAAGCAATCTCTCGATCTGGCGCTTCCCGTCACGCCAGCAGTGCAGCTGCAGCTGCGGTCACTACCTATGCCTCCGGCCTGTGGTATCCGGTCAGCCACTTGCACGCTACATTCGGGGTGGGCTTGAACAAGAAACAACCGCTGTTCATGCATGGGGCTGTGGAGCAAGGAGTTGTCTGTGTAAGCGACCCAGCCAGTGGGAAGCCAGGCTCTTGGGGGCTGACCGATTTCAATGCTTTTCACCACTTCGCTGATCAGTTCCCGGGCGAATTGCCTTACGGCCTGGGCCCTGGGAATATGGTTGGGATGACCAATGTCATGGATGTCAGTCAACCTTATGGGAAGGTCTACGGGGAGGCTTGCCCTGGAGGACGCGTCTTTTACACTTCCACCAGCGAGCAACGGGGTCGGTTCGTGTCCATCTCCTCGACGGCTAACCATCAACTCGGCATCCCGGAAACGACTATGAACGGCTGTGCAGTCTGCTCCGTCTGGATCGCCAAGTCCGAGTCTGTCCTCAAGGCCACCAGTGGCATATTCGGTTTCCTTGCAGGGTTCTCGAACGGAGTTTTGGCAGCCTACGCCCTCGGTGTGAACCCTGTCCATGACCGCTGGTTTGAAAAGGGAGAACTTACAGCCAAGTGGGTTCTCTGCCCCGGTGTTCCAATCATTGCCATCTGTGTCGATGAGAGAGTCTCTGCTCGGAGATTGTCTGCACGTAGAATCTGGGCTACTGTCCTGAATGCTCTTGGAGAGGTGTTCTACCTCACCGATGCTCCTGCAAGGCCAGATTTTGTCGGCAAAGCTTCATCCGAAGAGCTTGATCGACTGGCCTGGCGAACGGGGCGAAGCGTTCAGTGGTCATTGGTCGAAGCTACACGACGAGTGGCGAAACCTGACCCCTTTGGCACGGCCAAGGTTGATGGCAGTTACAGCCCCCGCATCTCGAGCGATGAATGCGGCTTGAGCAAGGACCAGATCGTTGCCGAGACCAAAGAGGTCGAAGCATTCCTACGATACAAACCGAAGCATTTCCAGAGCATCTGCAACGGGTGGGACATGCAACGAAGACTGATGAATGATTTTGCTGGCGACGACGGTGCCAATGCAGGGGAGTCTGTCTTCGTCGTAGAATGCGGTTTATCTGGGAACAGCGGGGCTTCGGTACGCCGTTTCACGAGGTGCATAACCAAGATCACCGTCGACTCGGAGCTAGACAGCTGGCCGACCATTCAGTCCACCATCAAGCCGGCCTCGATCTTTGGGACATCAAGTTCAGCCCAACAATCTCCGCATTCCTCTCCAGGGCCGAGAAGTATCCCTAGGTCGCGCACGTCCAGCCAGGATGACATTGTGGGCTCGAGATCCAGGGAAGTGTGGCACATTTCGAACTTCTCGTTTGCTGAACATCGAAACATCCACATCTCGGCCTCGGCGTCTGACGAGTCAGAGTTTGCCACTTTGAACGTCAATGAGGATCCTCTGCTTGGAATGTCCGGGGGCTCCAATACTTCTTCCCCTCTTGCGTCTCCTCTAGGTCATGCTGGGACTTTGAGCTCGAGCTCGGAGATTCCGGGACACCGTGCACGGCTGTTCGGAATCGGTACGATGTCTGGTATTGTCATGCTCTGGGACATGCGGGCTAGCCTCTCTCCCAGTCCCGAAGTTATCAACACCGTCTCACCTCTCAGGGTTATCTATACCAAATCCCCTCAGATTGCATCTCTTGCCCTCACCTCGCTGTACGTGGTGCACGGTGGTAATGAAGGTCTAGTTCAAGCATGGGATCCTCTGGCATCCACCACTGAACCAGTACGAACGCTCAATTCTCGATTTTCGGACCGAGCAAGAAGGCGCATTGCTCAAGCCGAAGCCTCTGTGCAAGGGGTCGGCAACAATTACTATGCTGCAGGAGCCATCGTCCTGGACCCGGATCCAACTGTTTTGCGGGGTATGGTCTCCTTGGGGTCTCACGTTCGATACTGGTCTTATAGCTCCACCGCCGCGGATGCGTACAAGACGCGGAAGAGAGGTCAGCTCCGTCGCCGCTCAGAGCGTGGTAGCAATTCTACGCCCGCCAGCCAGAAAGTCAGTGCTACAGGACGCGGATTGATCAAGGATTACATCAGCAACGAAAGGCATGAAATGGAACGGGAGAAGCTTGTCAGGCAGAAAGAGCTTGAGCGCCTGAGCGGGCGTTTTGGCACCAATATCCTGGGTGAAGGCGCCAGTGAAGAGGAGCTACTGGCTTATGCCAGCATGCTGAGCGAGGAGGCATTTTCTAGTGATGAGTTGAAGAGGAAGGAAGCCTTCGGTGGCAGCTCCATTGCCTCGCCCAAGCCCTCGCAAAGCGGCGTAGATCGTGCTGCTGACGCGGACCTGGAGGAAGCCATCCGTCTGAGTTTGTTGGAAAGCGAGCAGGTGTCATCTTCTCCGGCGATGAGCGCCAGTGACTTCGACATCCCCATCAGATATACCAAAAGCTCCAGACACGGTACGCCTTCGAGAAAAGGCAAGGCCGGGGGCAGCAAAGCCCAAGCTGGAGCAGAAGAGGACGACGACGACTTGGAGTTTGCGTTGCAGTTGAGCCTGGCCGAGGAGCAAAGCCGGATGGCCATGGACGAAGACTTTCCGATGCTTTCCAAATCCACCAGTGGAGGTTCTGAGGGCAGTGGGAAGGGGAAGGGCAAGTCAAGACGACGTTGAGGGAGATTTCTGCTTTCTGCCGTTCTTGTTGGACCGCAGCGTTTGCTTTCGCGGAGATGGGCGTTCTTTGCTTTGCTTCAGTTTACCATCCATGTATGTTTATCTCTTACATGGTGCAAGACTCGGTTGTATTCATTCTTCGTGGCTCTTCTCATCCTGATTGGGCCCTTTATTAGAAGCAGAAGACTCTGTTTTTCTTCCAATCCACCCACACACACATAATACCTCGTACACTCTGTTCTCATCCGAAGCCGGAGCCGGATCTCGGTTAGTCACGTGCCCGCGGCCAAGAACCGAGCCACCGGCCTTCTTCCACCTGAACTGCGCTGTCAAGCTCCATCCTCCAGCCACCAGCTCGTCCAGCTCCAGCTTTTCCCCGAATCCCTTTGTTGAAGCCTCGGCCAACACTCCGCACTCTAACGTCCACTTAACCTGCGTCTAATGTCGCACCTGGTGCTCGCAAATATGCCCTTTGTGAACACCAGGCAAGCTCAGCAGCGATGACGGCGCCTCTTATGTCCCTCACCCTGCTGCGGCGGGCTTCCCCGTCGCAATCCTTCTACAATGGCTTCAAGAGGCACTTTTCCAGCACCGTCTCGCGTGAAGCTTCATGGGGCTTCATCGGCCTGGGTGCCATGGGTGTGTTATTCCCATTTTCTCCCAGAGAGAATATGTGTGTATTCTAACGACTGTCTTTCTCCAGGCTACCCCATGGCGAAGAACCTCCGAGCCAAGATCCCCGAAGGTGACTCGATGACCGTCTTCGATGTCAACACCGCGGCCCTGGAGAGTTTCTCGCAGGAAGCTACACCGACCGGCGTCGTCGTGGCCAAGAGCCCTCGGGAGCTGGTTGAGAATGCTGTGAGTTTTTACACCTTTTTGTCGGCGTGTTTCCGAGTTCCTTTACATGATGAGCAACTATTGTTCTATCTATGATCTAAGTTGGGGACGTTTTCCCGTGAGGGATGCGTCCTTTCCATGATTTCCCTTTTTTTATAAGCCAATCCTCTGAAAAAAGAAACATCGAACAAACCCGATCTAGAGCAGCTCAGAAGAATCATGCACTGACGTTTATGCTCCTGCCCACGTTAGGACAACATCATCTCAGCACTCCCTGAACCACGCCACGTCAAGGGCGTCTTTGAAGAAATCCTCGCCTCGTCCCTCCCCAAAGCACCCACCGAGCAGTCGAGACTCTTCATCGACTGCTCCACCATCGACCCCATCACCTCGCGCGAAGTCGCCAAAATGGTCAAGGACAAGGCGGGCGCGGACTTCGTCGACGCTCCGATGTCCGGCGGCGTGGTCGGTGCCCGTGCTGGCTCGTTGACGTTCATGGTCGGGTGCGAAGAGAAAGACCTCCCCAAGATCGAGAAGATCCTGCTCCTCATGGGGCGGAAAGTGTGGCACATGGGCCCGCAGGGGACCGGGCTGAGCGGGAAACTGGCCAACAACTACGCGCTGGCCATCAACAACATCGCGTGCGCCGAGGCGATGAACCTGGGCATGCGGTGGGGCATCGAGCCCAAGGCGCTGGCGAACCTGCTGAATTCGGCCACGGGGAAGAGCTGGCCCAGCGAGATCAACAACCCGGTGCCCGGCGTGATCGCGACCAGCCCGGCCAGCCGTGGGTACGAGGGCGGGTTCGGCGTCAGCCTAATGAACAAGGACTTGCGGCTGGCCATGGCGGCGGCGCAGGAGGCCGGCGCCAAACTCGCCCTGGCCGACAAGGCCAAGGAGGTCTACGACCAGACGGAGAAGGAGTACAAGGGCAAGGATTTCTCGGTCGTGTATCGCTGGCTGGGCGGGAAGGAATAAAAGGACGGGAGCCGGACAAAAAAGAATGGTTACCAGCATTCCTCCGTTACATAAGGGCTATCTATCTATTAGACATGGTCGAGACACGATCCCGACATTGTGAACTGTGCTGTATCGAATCCGTCCCATACGAACATCTTGGTGGTTTGATATTTGGCTCTCAGCGGGAGAGACCTTGCCCAACCCGCCGCCACACCCCATCACATACATGTACTTGCGACCTGTATAAGTAGGTAAGAATGTCAGTCGGAGCGAAGAGGCTGGAGCAATGAACAAGAAGAAGTCTATATGGATAGATAGATAGTCTCTTTGTGCTTCGTTGTATTCGTCTCATGGGCTCAAATAAATGTGGTAAGCAATGAGTAAGGTGGCTTGAACCAGGGACACACACGCATATATATATAGAATATATACTGCGTAAACAAATATGCACGTCGCAAAGATACGCAGAGACGCCCAAACCGAGCCACCAAACGTTGCGGGCCAAAAGGTGCCTTGAAATACACAATTGGCTTGTTTATTTCCCATTCTCCTTCCCCTGCATATACTCTCCCTCCTTTTCTTCTTCCCATTCAGGATCCAACCGATCATTTTTTGGGTGGATTAGCGGAGATTTTCCGATGAGCAGTGCTCCTCCCACCAAACCCAATATTGTAGCCTGCTCCATGGAAAGGAGAGAGAAAAAAAGGGGGAGGGGGCTATCCGGGGAAATCAATGTCGGCAGGCACTACTACTAGCAGTAAAATTGACCTCCATAATGTTGTAGATGTTATGTACATAAGGCTGACGAGCAGCAGTGGTGTGGGAGCGACTGCTCCGGGTTTCACGTTAGAGGTTTGACGCCACATGTCTTCGATCTTGATGGGCAATAACCGGTGTCAAGGTGAAAGGGAGGAAACGTGCACAGGGTCCGTGGCAATTGCCGAGACCCTGGCCATGTTCCTCAATCTTCTCTTTTTCCAACGTGCTTGTCGAGAGTCTAAGCCACAGACGTAACAGTGGAGTCATCTTGCCCAAAAAAAGTCCTTCTACCCGTCGTGTCACCTCCTGCAAGGAGAACAGGAGCGGATAGAGCCAGGACCGGGTTGGTTTCCAGGAGATGCCTCGAGTCCAGGTTGTGAGCACCACGAGATATTCATATGGGTGCCGGAAATTCGGCGATTTGCAGCCAAGTCCATAAGAAACCTCATGCAAATGAGGAGCAGCGACTGAAGGCAAGTGCTCTTCGAAAGAACAAAGGTGCTTTCGATCAGAGCGGGTAAGCACCGCGGAAGCTTGTCAGACGGTGCCAGACCATGGGGTGTCCTGAGTACCAGAGACCGGAACATACCGAAGGACACAGTCGAGGCTACTAACGGCCGAGGTAATCATAAACGATTAGTTGCAGGCCTCAGAGCAACGGGCATATACCAAACCAGTGGTTTTTGAGCCAGTTTGTCGTGTCTTCTTTCAAGCCATCCCAAATGTTGTTCGTGCCTCGAGACTCTGTAGACCGAGCCGATTGACTTTCGGACATAGGTGCACTTTTGTCGAAGTTGGTCCAACTGATCGAGGTGAAGGGCAGTCCGAATTGGGTGGCGCGGAGGCGGCTGCTCGTTTCGTAGTCCAACTTTAAGACTGCTGGGTTGGGTAGGGGTGTCTTTCTTCGATTCAGACGGCGGCCTTGTCTACAGAATGACATTCCGAATGGCCATTGTGGCCACACGTGAATCCCTCTCTTCGGACTCCCCCCTCTCCTTCCTCCTGACCGCCTCGTCATAGGCCTCCTGGGCGAGGAGGCGAATAGGATCCTCGAAAAAGAACATTTTCAGCTCCTTTTCCAGTTTCTTCCACTGGCGAGCTTCGCCATACTTGTCCAAGAAGTGTCCCATGACCGTCGTCCAGCCACGGGGACGGATCTGTCCGTGTTGTATGACTGTCCCGATCATCATGTTGGTCCAGAGAAAACACTTGCGTTCCGGAGATTTGTGACTGGGAGTTTGGTGTAGAGCAATTTCTACCAGCGCTTTCAGGGCCGTCTCATAAAAACCCGTCAGATGATCTTGAAAATGGATGACTCGCAGTAGATAGCAATATGCCACCAGGCCGTGAGATAGAAATCTCTCTGTAGGAGTAGTTTGCAAAGTGGCAAGTCGATGGAGATCTTCCAGGGTCGTCTGAATCTTCCTCTTCGAGGTCACCCCGAATTCTTCAAGTAGAAGGGTATCCGACAACTTCGCCTTCACAGTCGCGAAGTGGGACAGGAGTCGAATCATTTGCAGCGAAAGCACACCTGTCAAACCAATGTCACAGAAGCCTTGAGGCAACTTGGCCAACATCTCGCAGACTTCGGGTTTGAAAGGATGGGCCATGTAGATGGGGAACTCTGCATTTTGCAAAATCTCTCCCGAGAACCGCGTCGACTTGTCGGGGGTCGAATCTGCCGCAAACAGAAACGACCACAGTGCCTCGTAGGCATCGACGTTGACGCGGAGCAGCCGTTCCCAAGGCGACGGCCCGTTGATCCCACCCCTGAGCTTGATTATCTGCCTCATGCCCGAGACGTGAGCATAGGCACCAGTATGATCACCCAGAATATAGTCGATGGTTCCCAACGTCGCCACGACGAGGATGGTAGTATCGTCCGAGCATTGCTGAGGATTCTGGAGTCGAGCGCGCAGTTTGGTCATGACATTACCCCGGTGGTATACAAAATGTCGATCAGCGCGAGCAGACTGGCCCGAAGTAGCGAGGTATGTGGCTCGACATATGGCTACAAGGCCTTCAAAGTAGATATCGCATGTCAAAGCGAATGGCCAAAGCAGGCTCACATAGGGGTTAGAATGACCATCGAAGGCAAAGGCGGTGCCATGCTGAGGCGCCCAAACCTGGACAACTAGATCTAATCAGACGAGATGAAGAAGGGAGAGATGGTCAGCCATTCCACTCACAATATTGGGCCATGTTGGCCACGCAGCCTGTACTTGGGATCGGGAAAGTTTGAAAAGGATCTAGCTGGAGTCCATTCGTGGGAGACCGCTTGATCTGCAACTGACTCGCGATGGCCTTGGACAGAAATTCTTCTTTGGCCTTTTTCACCTTGGGATCCAAATGCTTGAGAGAGATGATGCTGCGCCGTGGTGATCGAGGGATCCGCCTCCGTTTGATGGCATTTTGCTGCGCCCAGGATTGCGGGGTGGTGATCGAGACAGTCAAGACGGGTGCTTGCATGGTGATGAACCCTGGGATGTCGGTGTGTATCTCTCCAATTTTCGGACCAGGATCATTTCATGTTCGCTCGTGTGGAAGGGACTCAATTAACAGTTGAGCAGACGGACATGCTTTGGCCATATGAGACGAGGGAGGAGGGACGATTGAATCGGGTTTGATTTCAATTCTCGCCGAGCAGCCCTTTCTAACGACCCAGGGTACCAGACAAATAAACAGCCCACCCTGCGCCACTTGGACTTTTGCTGCTTACTTCATGGGCGCCAGTCAAAGGGGGTGGGCGTGATGGTGACTTTTGGTGTGGGTCGTGGGTAGGTCAGACGTTTAATGATTGTCGGGCAACGGGAAGCGAAAGCGGGAGGCAGGAAGAAGGTGAGCATCAGCCAACGGACACAAAAGATCTGGTGTTTTGTGCTTTGTGGTTTGAAACAGACGAGGGGAGGAGACTTGCCCGATGGTACCGCACAAAGTCGGGATGCGTCTCTGAAACCCAGACAGCCTAGGGTATCGGCTCTCACCCCCGAATCAAGCAATCACACGGATCGGTTCAATAGGCTTGTTAGGGTTGAGGCTGATGCTCCCTCAGGGCATGGTGGGCTTAAATTGGTGACACATTTCCGCGGTGGGTGAAGTGCCCCAGCTTACTCGTACCTATAGGGGTCGCTCGGGTGTCGCAGGTGCCGCTCTCTAAACGAACCAGTTAAAGGACAAAGGGGGGGTTGCTGATCCGGAGGGGCGACGCATGGCTTATCCGCAAGCCTTAGTCAAGCGATAGCACTAGCCGGACCGCTCTCTGGGCACGCTGGGTGAGAAGCGGAACAAGATGCGCGGGCCCCTAGACCTCGGTTCAAGCCACCAGCCTAACTAGCCGCTCGCAGACGCCTCCCACGTTTACCCATCGTGCCTAAAAGATGCTCTCTTGGTTAACTTTGCCCTTGTGCATCACCGTGCATTGGTGGAATCTCTGGCTGGTGATCCCGAGCACACCTAGGGAGCTACGGAGGGGACCCAGCATGCAACTATAAACATATATCAAGCCTAGGACGAGGGGGTCTGCTCCTGGCACTCTATTCAACACCTTACACCTACAAATCTCCAAGCCCCCATCGCTACTCCGTTGTGTGGGCACGCGGCTGCAGGTATACACGGCACAGCACCCTACGGACAATTACCATGACTTGTCCGCCCCCATCGGTAGGTATCCAGTTATATCTGCAGTTAATAGGTTTGCCCACATGCCCTCGCTTCCCACTTCCTGCCGTCATCTCCCAGCCATTCACATGCCTGGTCTGCACCTGCCATGTTTTGAGAGTCAATAACCTGCACATTCCAATCTCGACAGTCAATAATTCATCCCACAACCTCTTCTTCCATTCCTGCGTTTGTTGTACTCAGTCCAGGCGTCTGAAAGTTGTTCTGCTCTTCTCTGTCATTGTTTGTACTTTGTTCCTCACACCTTGCTCCCCAGCCATGGACCCTCGATGATCAGCCACCATCATGATTCTGCGGCCCTCGAGAAAACTCGCTGGGCCAATGTATCGTCGAAAGTCCGGCCTCATTGCGGCTCTGCTCACCCTCTTTCTCTTCCTCCTCTTCCTGCAAACCCGCGTTCACCATGAACCTGCTGAGCCTCTTCCACCTGCCCGCCCCAAGTCTGCCCCCGAATCTGTGTCTCTCACGGAGCCCGAGCCAAAACCGCCAGCCAAGACTAAGAATCCCCTCCTCGACAGCCAGGCCGCGTTCTGGCGAAGCCTCTATCTGATCATTCTGAACAACGACCCCAATTGCAGGAATGCTCCCGATCTTGTCGTGCCACAGAAGCTCGATATTGGCTTTGATCCCACCCACAATCATCCCCGACCTGACATCTTGTACATGGATACCGCCGACATCAAGCGCATGCGTGAAGCCCATTCCAACTTTGTCAATGACTTGAAAAGCGACCCTCCGAAAATACCATATGAGCCGGGTACTCGTGGCATTGTTATGACTGGAGGCTTCAACCAGCTCCCCGTCCTGGTCATCTCTGTCCGCATGCTACGCCGAGCGAAGTCTGAGTTACCGGTGGAGGTTTTTGTTGCCGATCGGTTTGAATGGGACGAGCATGTCTGCAATGTTATCCTACCGGCTCTCAATGCCAAATGTCTTCTATTTTCCGACATCTTTCATGCCGCCAACGCTGGTGTATCAGTGGATCGATTTCAGTACAAAGCCTTGGCCGTCCTATTCTCCTCATTTGAGGACGTCCTGTTGCTTGACTCTGACGCCTTTCCAGTCCACAATCCTCTTCCACTATTTCAGGAGGAGCCGTTCAAGAGCAATGGATTGGTCGTCTGGCCGGATTTCTGGTACGCCTCGGAATCTCCCTACTATTTCGAGATCGCCAAAATCGACAGGATTCCCTCGTTAAACGAGCGGGCTGCCGTCGAATCGGGTGAAGTCATGTACTCTAAATCCAAACATCAGTTGTCGCTCCTCCTCGCGGCATATTACAACTATTACGGGCCTACCTATTACTATCCCCTGCTCTCCCAAGGTGCACCCGGCGAGGGCGATAAGGAGACGTTTGCTTGGGCAGCTACTGCTCTCAAAGAGCCTTTCTACGCCGTCCACCAACGGGTTATGGCTCTCGGCCGGCACGACTCCTCTGGCAACTACCTTGGTAGTGCTATGGCTCAGCACGACCCTGTCGCTGATTATGCATTCACGAATGCCTATGGCCCTCCCCACGAGCGAGTTCAAGATATTGATACTGGCAAGGACAACCATTTTGATATCCAAGCCAGCGATATCAGACCTTTTTTCATCCACGCCAACTTCCCCAAATTTGATCCGGCAACTATCTTTGAATATCAAATGACAGATTTTTCGGGCGAAGTATCCGGCGTTGGGGGACCGACTCGAGACACAAACGGCACGAATGTCCGTTGCTGGATGGACAAAGCTCGTGCTATCGAGTTGTTCGGGTTTGACGTGGAACGCAGGTTCTGGGAAGAGATCAAAAGCACGGCTTGCGAATATGAGCACCAATTTGGCGCATGGCAAGGCAAACGGGGAATCTGCGAGAAGACTGAGAAGTATTGGAACGACGTGTTTGGTTCAGATGCTGTCCTCGAAGATCGGCAGAATTTGGGGGTCTCAGTTGAAAAGCCCGCGCCGCCTTGAACGTCAGTCACTGGCCCGCGCTCGCGTCCTATCTCTGCCAACCTACCAGGAACTTTTTCCCATACGACGAAGCAAGATTCTCCAAAATTGATCACAATGGGCTCATCAGAGAGAGCATCTACGCACATATGGGCGGCGGAGTTTTTGTACATTTTTTGGGCGACACACTCAACACTTAGAATGAGGAAATTAGCGGTTTGATCCCGGCGCCACCGGGGTTTTGATACGATTTTACGACAAAGACACCAAAAGTCCACATGGCGCACACGATACCATGTATGATTAGGAATGATATGGGACAATAGAGGTCCTAGGCGCTAACGCGAAACTGGATGTCAAACGGAGGATTCACGAGGCCGGATCGGAAAGGATGAGGGCATTGTCAGGCATGTTTGATGTAATGCTTCTACCGGTGGTTTGCGCACACGATCACGGACAAAAGCGAGGAGTACATAGGGCCGTATTTTAATCTAACGTGAACAGACAGGAGATTCCTCTGAAAACCCCTTCTTTCCTCGGTCACTCGCCCTTTTCACAGTCAGCTGGCTACGCTAGTTTTGGCTTGATGATTGAATCTTGACATGAGGAAGAGAGACAAACGCCGGGCGTGTTCTTCTCTACATGAGCGGATCTGGTCGGAATCTTGATCTCTGGGATACCTCTCCTGCTCACTTTCTGTAATTGCACAAACACAATCCAAATATCCCGAAAACCCCCTTGGCGCCCAAGCTTCGTGTGAACATGTCAACAGCTGATAGTTGCCTGGATTTTACGCCACTATTAACACAGAGACAAGTCGAGTCTTTCCCCTTCACAAACAAATGTCCACCCAGCGATTTAGTTGCCCAAACAATTGTCGTTCAATATGACTCCTCGAGTTCCGTGCTCCAAGCCGATTCACTGCCCTCCACCCTCACAACGCCCGAATGCGCGTTCTCATCCGACATCTCTCTGAATCTCTCCTGTGCATGTCGGTACTGAGACATCTGATATCCGGTGTGATTATTCTTTGCTGGCGGCGGTGCCATCTGCCCTGAGAAGGCTGTCGCTCCTGCACCAGAGCCAGCAGCTGTAACCGGTCTCTTCTGTCCATTTGCATTATAGCTCGTGCCGAGCGCATTGGCCATGGTGTTCTGGGCATGCGCCTTCGAGGAGTAGTAAGGGTCCCGGAGGTCTCGTTCAGGTTCCATATCTGAGCCATCGGAATATGTTTCCCAGTTCTCACTACCACTAGCCGTAGTGCCTGTCGTCATGTTTGACGAGGTATTGGAAGTTTGGCGAGAGACAATTGAAGGTGGAGCCGAAGGGTTATGCCGTATGCTCTGACTATGGCTATGTATGGAATTTGACGATGAATGTGAAGGCTGATGTTGATGCTGATGCGGAAGATGAGGTTGGTAAAATGGGTCAGCTTGATGAGATGGTAGCGGTGCGTACTGGGAGTGTTGCTGTCGGTCACGATTCAAGAGCGATGCAGACATGTATGACATTCTCTCGTGATCATCGTATACGTCTTCAGGGCTCATGGGCCGCACGTAGCGACTGCTTTCATTCGAACCTGAAGAGATAGTGCTTGCCGGTCTATTGGAAGAGGGTGGTGGTGGTGGATGATTAGCCATGGCCGGAGCTGCTGTGAGTCCTGGCGGTGGCACAAAGAGATCTCTCATCTTTGGTGGAGGTGCTCGTGGTGGTCCCATAGTCCTGGCATTTTGGGCGTAGTTTTGTTGTGGTTCTGCTTGCATGTTATAGGATCCCGGTTGAGCAACTGCCCTCCGCTCTGGCGAGTTCTTCAGATTTCCCAGTGGCACACGGGCCGGTATTTTGGAGGGAGACTTAGCTTGAGATGAAGATACGGTGGTGGTATTCACTGAAGCTGGCGCCGCCTGTTGTCTGAGTGTTCCAGGCCTGCTGGTGGTAGGAGTCTTTGCTGTTGTTCGCGGTGCTGGTGCTTTCATCACGCTCGCCGGCCTTGGAGGTTGGGCAGATTTTGCGGTGCTGGGCGCTGCTTTTGAAGCCGTAGCAGGTGCGGGAGTCTTTGATCTTGGAGGTAGACCATTTGGCGTCTTCGATCTAGGTGGCGGTGCTTTGACATCAGCTTCTTCGATCTCGTCTAGCATCCGTTCACCCTGGACCAAGAACGGCCGACCATATTCATCCTCGTACTTCTCCAGCACCTTGATCAAATCGGCTATGACCTTGGGCAGCTCCTTTGCAATCCTCTTCCTCATCTTTTCTTCCCTTAGCAACTTTCCAGGGTCACGTTTCTCTCCCTTTTGAGGTTTCAGCATGAGGCGTGAGGCGTCGTTGGCAGATGCGGCCAATGCTTCCCGGTCGGCTATCAGAGACTTGTACCTCTCGACCATAGCCAGGATGGGTGCGCGCTGTTCTTTCAGCGTCATGAGTCTCTCGATTTCGGCTTCGTGGGCTGAGAGCAGCGCATCGCTGTAGACATCGGAGAAAGCTGGCGTGAAATCGAGCATCTCTTCTTCGGAAAAGTACAGAGCATCCCAAAGTTCCTGCAATCTGACGCGGGCATCCTCGACGAATAAATGCAGATTCTGTCGCTTGAGCTCATTGAGTCTCGCAAGCTCGTCCTCAAATTCATTGATGGTTCTGAGTCCGCAGCCTCGGTTGGCAGCCAGAAATGCCTTCCGATCCGGTTCCTCGATCCCAAGCCGGTCCCACAATGTCTCGATACTCTTCTTTATCTCGCTCAATCGCTTCTCCCTGCCCTTCTTCTCCTCAAGAAGTTTGTCGCGACGGCTCTTCAGCCGATCAAGGTCGGCTTGGTGTAGACCTAGCTGCTCAGGAGAGTCGCGATAATGCTGGACGATCAAGGAGTCTGTCTGTGCCTGGGGGATGCCGAGCTCCGACCACAGTCTGACAATTTCTTCCGAGGTCTGTTGCACAATGACAACTCTTTTGTTATATTCATCGTATACTCTGGTGAATTCCTCATCCAGGGTGGTGACGTAGGAGGGCGAGAGGTCGAAGTTGGGAGGACAGCTGTTCGAGGAGGTCGGGGGTAGCCGAATCTTGACAAAGGAAGACTCGAGGTGCGACGAGTATGATTCGAGAGCTTGCACCAGTTTCTTGACTTGTTCGAAACGCTCGCGGTGTAATCTACTGACAACATTGTATTTCTCTTTGAGGTCGCGTAGACAGTCAATCAGGGGAAAGGTAACTCGCAGCCCCGTGGTGTCCAGGTCGTATCCTCTGTCCTTTTCATCGTCGAGCGACTGTTCCATCTGTTTGATCGTTTTGATGATGTTCTGAGCTTCCTCGGTCATGGCATTCTTCTCCCTGGTGGTAGCATCAGTACATGTCTGCATTTCAGAGCTCTAGAGGGATCGTGCATACGAGTTGACAAGCCGAAGCTGGTTGTGCAGAGCCTCAGACAAAGCTGCAAAAAGCTCTGTTTCTCTTGACTCGCGCTCATTTCGAGGAACGCCGATCTCGTCGAATATGGCGTGTAGCTGGCCGATGATCGTGTTGACTTGGGTGGTGAGGTAGCTGGTGTCCATTGAAGGAGGCATGCTTGCGACTCAGGCTCGTGGCCGAGCAGCTTTGGGGGATCGTTCTCGATGCTGGTAGCTGATATTATCGACCAGATGGTTGCATTGCACAGATGCAAAGAATACGAAGGAGCATGCACTATGGAGAACGAAGGATGGTCAACAGGTGGTCGTGGCGTGCTACCGAATCAGGTTGAAGGTGTGGACAATGCCATCATCCCGAAAGATCTCGTTGTGTTGATGCGCGATTGTTGACAGAGCAACCACACGCACCACGAGGCTTGGCGGCAAACGAGGAGGCCCCCTTCTCACGTGACTTACGCCGCTTTCAAAACCCGCGCCCTTCGACTCACCTACGGTTCACTTCCCTCCTCGATTATCATTTCTACTTCTACACCCGACGAGGTGTCAGGGCCGCTTCCTGATCAGCTCACGGAGCTAGATCCCTCAGTCACATTTCTTGTTGACCTGAGCTGGGTGAAGCAGTGTCAATGAACAAGAATGGTAAGCAGGTGACATATGAATTGACTACGAAGAGAGTGTAACTATAGAAGGGGCAAAGGAGCGTAGCTATACAGTTGTGAGGCCTCCCTGACCAAGAACTCGGAGATCTGTTGATATGGTCCATTCCATGATATCAATAATCGTTCACTTGCTTTTCTGGTCGTCACGTGACTCAACTTGCGTCTCAGCCTGCTCGGAAGACTTTCCCTTTGGGCAATCCTGTCCTTGGGTCATAATATGCAGGCTGTTTCTAACACTGCTCTGGAGAAGTATTTCCCGTGAACGCCGAGTAACTTGATTACTGCAAGCATCTTAAAGGGCTTTGTGGTAGTGGGGAGATCCTGTCAACGCTCGGCTACATTGTAAGTATGAAGGCCTACATTATGCTCGATCTACTCCCAGACGGCTCCGGACAGACCCAGCATTGGTTCGTGATAGTCCAAATCCCTGGACACCGGGGCCACAATAAACCGCAGCGCCGTGGCCTCTCCGCAAAATCCATAATTCCCCGCAATCCGGGCCATGAATTCGCCGGACATATTGCAGGTACCGTACAGTTTTAATGCACACGTGGGCATCATCTTAGAGCGGACGTTGAGCGGTGATCCTCCACAACTCGAGGGAGGCGGCGAGGGAAGAGGCTTGTGCCCTTGGGTATATAATATTCCTAGGGTTTCGTCGCTCGCATCACCCTTGCTCCACTTTTACACTTTCTGGCTATCTTTTCGAAAGGGTTCGACGAGGAGATAGATCAGATATGGGTCTCGACAAGTATACTTTTGGTGTGGCCCTTTTCGCCAGCCTGGGCACATTTCTCTACGTGAGCGAAAATACCATAGCATGAGATTTCTGCTGGACTCTGAGCTAACAAGATGCGTTCTGGTCAGGGATATGACACGGGCATTGTGACCACCAGTTGGTGCCAACGAAATCTCTGGTGACAAGAAAGATCGCTGATCACACAAACAGCCATTGCCCACCCAAGTTGGGTGGAATATATGCACCATCCAAATCCCGCTCTTGTGGGAGCTGTATGTACATCTGACCGCGCCAGGAGAAGCCACCTGTTAACAAGGATGCCAGGTCGGCGCGATCTACATTGGTGGGGAAGCCGTGGGCTCGCTCATTCAGATCGCCATTGCAGACAGGCTCGGTCGTTTACGTTTCATGCAATTGCTCTGTGTGATTGTGACCGCTGGGTGTATCATTCAAACAGCTGCGGTTAATATGGGCATGCTGCTTGCGGGGCGCATTCTCACGGGCATCGCTGTTGGGTGAGCATAAGATCTATCCCCGACTTGTGGTGCCAGACTCAGTGACTGACCATGACTTTTCAAATCATCAGCTCGCTTGCGGCGACTGTGCCTGTCTATCTATCTGAGATTAGTGACCCCAGGCATCGTGGCTTGATAGGTGGTCTCTCTGGAGTCAACCTGTCATGCGGGATCATGGTGTCAAATTGGGTTGGCTTTGCCTGCAATTATGCTCCTTATGGCCAGCTCCAGTGGCGGCTGCCCCTCGGCCTCCAGATCCCTTGGGGAGTCGTCATGTTCATTGGCCTGGCTACCTTCATGCCAAACTCGCCACGCCATCTCCTCCAGAAAGGCAAGGTCGAAGAAGCCCGCACGGCTTTCGTCAAGATCCGTCGAGATCTCCAGTCACACGAGGTGCAGCAAGAGTTTGCCTTGATGACATCCCAGATTGCATTCGAACACGAGCAACGAAGCCCGTCTTTGCTGAGTGCATTCAAGCGCTACCGTCACCGGGTACTCGTGTAGGCAGCCTTCTCCCACAAACTGTGTCTTTCGATTAGCTAATTGGATTGCCCAGGTCCATCTCGGTCCAAGTCCTAACGGCAATCACGGGTGTAAATGTGATTCAGGTCAGTACGCTCTGTTTCTCATAACCTCGAAGATGCGTGCTAATGTATCCAACACAGTACTACCAAAGTAAATTGTGACAGTCTGCAGTTTCAAGCAAGTTAACTAACGATCTTCACAGCGACACTCTACAAATCCTTGGGTATCGAGAGCAAAACAATCCTTGCGTTGACAGCTGTTTGGGGCACGTGCGCCTTTCTATCCAGTGCCCTTTCCATTCCATTCCTTCCCGATCGCATAGGAAGGCGGAAGATGCTACTCGCCGGTGTTCTCTGGGTGGCCATCACCGAGATCTATGCTGCAGTCATGCAACGTGAATTTCAAAACACAGATAATCGAGTCGGCAAAGGATTTGCAATTCTCGGCATCTACGTCTTCACCGTTGGTTACTGTAAGCGATGCCATATGATCAATCAGCTACCTGGGCTCCGTTAACACTCTGGCAGACAGCTTGATTAATCCTGTGACCTGGCTTTACGGAGCAGAGGTACTTCCCGTGGCACTCCGAAACAAGTTCATGGGTTTTGCAGCATTCGCACACTACGCCGTCAATGTCGGAAGTATGTAATCTCATCCGTCGTTCCATGCTTGTTGCGCTGATCAGTCATTCGTTAGTCACCGAAGCAGGGCCCAGTGCCTTTCAGAATATTCACGAGAACTACTACTATGTGTTCGTCGGCTGTTGTGCTGTATACTTTTTTATCATCTACTTTTATTATCCGTAGGCGTCCCTTGTGCAAGATCGTTGTCAAAGGAGCCAACCTTACTGACACTGATACAGAGAGACTAAACAGAAGACTCTGGAAGAAATCGCTGCTGCTTTTGGCGACGAAGTCGTCGAGGTGGATGTTGCACAGGACACACTCGGTGGCAAAGTAGCCATCGAAGCCAAAGTCACCAACGTTGCGCACATTGAGGACGGATTTTAGGATAAGCAAGTGACCTGGTTACGTGTCTGCTAATTGCGAAAAAAAAGGGATGGCTCTGTGGCATCACTCCTTTGAGTTGGAGTTGCAGACAATCTAGTTGAGATTGGACTGATCAAATAGCACCGTGCATAGTCGAGTTCCTTCAGATCAGCAATGCTACGGCATTCACCATCACGATCATCGAGATTACTCCGTCCTAGACGAGAGTGAGGATCAAATCTGGCTCACGGCAGGGCGAGTTGTGGGGACCCCATGAATCCTAGACAATCCACTTCCGGGGGTTTCCTCTTCCGCCCCTTCATAGTAGCTGTGGAATGATGTGCCGAAAGCACGCAAATGACCGAAATGCTTCGAAGACAAATCCGGAAAATGAACGCTCGGGTCCCATGTACTGGTGGAGACGCGAAGATCGCGGATATAGATACTATGCCGATGAGCCAGGACTGAATGGCTTTTTAACCAAAGGCGCGTGGCCACCTAACCCATTCATTACTTTCAACGTCAAGTCGACGACGGCTACAACTCGGGTCAGCGGATTATTTGAATCGTATTTCATTAAGATATGACAACCAACGGCATCAACGGCTATTCCGCCAAGTTACACAACAACAGAGCCAAATCGATTGTCGACGCGGCATATGCAGGCAAATATGCGATCGCGGCTGTGTGCTGCTATAACCTTGAGGCAGTACTGGCGACCGTGCGAGCAGCTGAGGCCAAGCGATCACCGGCATTGATTCAACTGTTCCCCTGGTCGATCGAGTTCGCAGACGGTCTGCTGCTACACGCGGCGGCCGAGGCGGCAGACAAGGCGTCGGTACCTATTGGAGTTCATATGGATCATGCACAGTCGCCGGACATCATCCGACGCTCAGCCGACTTGGGTGGATACGATGGCATTATGGTCGACATGAGCCACTATGACAAAGAAGAGAACATGCGACTGAGCAGGGAATTGGTCGCGTACTGCAACGCTCGCGGCATCATCACGGAGTGTGAGCCCGGTCGCATCAACGGCGCCGAGGACGGCATCCAAGACACCGAGGGGATGGAGGAGATCTTGACCACGCCTGAACAGGCCGAGGAGTTCGTCGCCCTAGGTATCGACTGGCTGGCTCCAGCATTTGGCAATGTCCATGGTCCCTATGGCCCCAAGGGTCCGCAGCTCGATTTTCCTCGTTTGAAGCGCATTCATGACCAGGTCGGCGACCGCGTCAGACTAGTGCTACACGGCGCTCATGAAGACTACTTCAAAGAGGAGCTGCTTAGGAAGTGCATCTCTTACGGCATGTGCAAAGTCAACGTCAACGGTCCTGTCGCAGCTGCGTGGACGAAGGTCCAGGGCGAATTGACTGGCAAAGTTCCCCTGACCACGGTCATTGAGAAACAAGTCGACGCGATGCAGGCCGTGGTAGAGTATCATATGGATTGGTTGATGTCGACGGGCAAGGCGTAGGGCGGCATAGAAGCGATCTACATTCCAGTTACAAGACAGTGGCTTCTAGATATGCGATTCGAACCATACTATGATTGATTTTGTTTTCTGATGGTGAATCAGCATTGTGCTCCTATTTCGGCGAAGACATAGAAGCCTCCTCTCTCAAAGTCTCCAGGTAATCCTGACAAGATTGTACAAACGACGTATCCTGCTTCATGCCCAGCGAGAGACCTAGACTATTATCGAAGTCGTCGGCCCACGAATACAGGAGGGACTGCATCTCCGGGATGGGCTCTTCCTTGACCAACGCCAGTTTGTCCTTCCCACCAACCTGCTCCAGAGCGTCCAGCATGTCTTGCACCGTGACCGCAAAGCCGGGGACATTGACAGCTCTTCGGTGAGGAGCTAGTGCGTCGCGGGGCAACTTCGTCGCTACAATGACATTGTACACGAGTGTCTTTGGGGAACACATCCAGTGACGCCACGCTCGATCTTTGAGCGGTACTCGGCACTCCAAGCCATTCAGTGGCTCGCGGATGATCCCTGATAGAAAAGCCGACACCGCAGGGCTGGGTTTCCCAGGGCGGATTGAGATGGTGGGAAACCGCAAAGAGAAGCCGTTGATCATGCCACGGCGCGTGAAGTCGTTGATCAAAGTCTCGCAGATGAGCTTCTGGCATCCGTAAGACATCTCGGGCGTCGTATGGGTGGCCTCAGACACGCCCTCTTTGGGCACCGGCGTTCCGTACACCGCTTCGCTCGACGCGTAGATGACTCTCACGCCCGGGCATTTCTTGGCCAGATTCAGCAGCAGCGCGCGCGTCGCGTCGACATTGACACGGTACCCCAGTTCTAAGTCGGCCTCGGCTGCCGAGGACATGACTCCGTGTAGGAGGATGGCTGTGTCGAGATTGTTGGGAATGACACTGCTGGACGATTCGATCAGATCTGTTTTGATCGTCGTCCCGTTCTGGGGATACTTGGCACCACGAGGAATAGATGGTTCGATCACATCGACGAGAGTGAGCTCGACGGACTCGTCGTCTAGCAGCGCCTTGGAGACGATCTGGCCGATGAAGCCAGCTGCTCCTGTAACAAGTATGCGTGGCATCCTGTTCTGTCCTTTCCATGAAAGTAGGTAGATTGGGCAAAAACACAAGTGTGAAAGAGACTGAGCTCGACTCTTTCAGCGCCAAACTCCAGTGCCAACTTGCCCTAGCCCCACAGCCTTGCGTATTTCCTGTCCATGCAAATAAGCCGAGTACTCTCCTGACTTTCTGGCTCCGTGCCACATCATGTGTCACAGAATGTGGATGCCGAAGAACAACAGAGGCATCAAGGGAAGGAAGTTCGCAACGATGATGACCCGGTGGCGATAAGCCGGGTTCAGGAAACCGGCACATTGTTCTGAAAGAGTGTTTGTTTCCAGGGACTACTGAGGAACATTCTCCGCCGGTGCAAAGACCCCCCGGGTAATGAACCGGCCACCTCAAGCCACTCATATTACCCTGTTGTTTGTAGCTTTCGTTCGACGACAGATCCTTGTAAAGCATTTGGGGCTTATATATGGACTATCATCAGTTCATAGAAGCGGAGATTGCGAACTAGTTAAAGACTAGTGAGATTGACTGCATCTTTGGCTAATTTCGCTGCACATAATACCATCTTATCGAAATATCATGGCTACTGTGACTCAAACCGTCACTGAGGCTCCTGCTTCTGTCAGGGTCTTCAGTCCCTTCAAGTCAGTCAAGATTCCATGCCTTGATATTATGGTGCTGACAAATGACTCTCAGGTTGACGACTGAAAAGAAGGGCGACTGGCTCGACGAACTTGAAACCCAGGGCTATACGGTGGTCAAAGGAGCTGTCCCTTCTGATCGCGCCGCCTACTATCAGAAAAAAGCCATCGAATGGCTTCAAACATTCGATCCTAACTTGGACACACAGGATCCTTCGACCTGGAAGCCACAGAATCTGCCTCTCCAAACGGTGAGAAACACATATGAACACTACTCAGTTGTTCATGAGAAGTTCATGTGGGAGGCTCGTCAGGAACCTGGTGTGGTCGAAGCCTTTCAGAAAATCTGGGGGACGGATGAGCTGCTTGTATCTTTCGACGCTCTCAATGTTACTCTTCCCAACCTGAAGAAAGCCCGTGCTCCATGGCCACACGTCGACCAGGCTCCCCGCAAACGAGGACTGCACTGCATTCAAGGCATCATCAATCTCAGCCATGCCGGACCGGAGGATGGTTCGCTCGTGGTTATCTCGGGCTCCTCAAAGCTCACCGAAGAGTTCTTCGACAAGCACACCGATCCTTCCACTTGGGAGTGGAGAGACAATCGTTACTTCGATGAGAAAGATATGGAGTGGTTCTTTGCCCGTGGTTGCAAGGTTACCAAGGTGCTGGCTGAGCCGGGCGACCTCATCCTGTGGGATTCGCGAACAATCCATTGGGGAGGCGAGCCTACAGAGAAGAGTCACACCGTCCGTACTGTCATCTATGCCGCCTACGCTCCAGCTAGGCTGGCATCGCAGGAAGCCATCCTTGAAAAACAGAAAATATTCAGTGCCTGGGGTGCCACAACACATTGGCCGCACGACAATATCAAGCTGCGAGACCTACAAGCGTCGTATCCTGACGGCACGCTCGACTCGCGACATCGATCAGAACCCCTCGAGAAGCCCGAGCTCACCGACAAATTGCTCAAGTTGGCAGGTGTCAAACCATATTAATGTCTAGATAGCACAATTATTCTTGTAAAGCTAGCTGGTGGCTCCAATTTCACTCATTGTGATGAAAAATTTGCCCCGTCAGCCTACTAGCCCATTAGTAGCCCGTAGGTTTTAACTAAACCCACTGGGCGTCTTATGCCTACAGTAATACATCATTAGCTGCTCCTCCCCCATTGCTCACCCCCATTGCCCACCCCCATAACTCTCTCAATTCTAGACCCTCGGGGGCGTACTCCGCACGCACAATAAGCGAATGATGAAGACCTGCTCGAGCTTTCCTTGTGTCGTTCATCCTGTCGCTCGACCGCCATGTCTCCTGAGAACCTAGATGTGGGCGATGATGGGCTTGGGATGCCCCCGAGCAAACGTCCCCGGCTCCTGTCAAAAGCGTATGTGTCTGAACCACTAAGTCCACCTGGATTAATCAAATTACTCACACGAACGCCTGCAAAAGCTGTGAGGCATGCAAGCAGAAGAAGACGAGATGTGATAGCGCTCGGCCATTCTGTGGCACCTGTCGCCGCATGGGTATGGCTGGCAGTATTTACCGTGATTTCATGCATTCAAACTGACCTCTCTTCGTTAGGGAGCCAGTGTGAGTATCGTGAGAAAGGCCAACCAGGCCTGCGACCTGGATATGGAAAGGCAATTGAGCAGCGACTGAGCCTCGTTGAAACCACTATGACCAAGATGAACCAATCGATCCAGGATATTCTCAGTCACATCCGTCCAGAGTTCACCCTCACCGGCACCGCTGATACATCTAATTCGAACGTGGATCCGAACAGCGCTGCCAATCCCTCAGCAACATGGACAGGGCCCGATTCCAGCTCTCAGACATGGCAACAACCTCAGCAGTTGTCGGACATAGCTTCTTTTACAACACTTAGCCCTATGATACGAATGCCTGCTCCAGTGCCTCAATTGCAGGACATGGCACCGGGACTGCCACCTGCTAATGTGATGCAGGAGCTTGTGGAATTGTTCTTCGAACTCATCCATCCATGGATGCCCCTCTTCTGCAAGCTCAATTTCATGACCAACATGTTTGCCCCTGAGCGTCAGGTCCTGCTCCACGCAATAGTGGCAGTGACTTTCCGTTTCTGGAAGAAACCCATTCCGACCCCCAAAGAGAGAGAAGATCTCGTCAAGATCTCGCGCGAGCAGTTATTGCTCAAGACGATTGACGCATGTTCCTTGATCTCGACTCAGGCTCTGGCGCTCATGGCTCTGGATTCCCTTGGCCAAGGTCCGGGCCCAAGAACGTGGAATGCCATGTCGATGCTTGTCGCAGCTTCTCGACATCTGGGGCTTGCGAAGAGTCCTTCGCCGACAACCCCTGAGACAACCACGCCCCTTGTGAGGAACGAGGACGACGACGACGGGGCAGGTGTTTCTAATATTGCGGTAGAGGAAAAGCGGCGGCTCTTCTGGGTTATCTACAGCCTCGATCGTTTCTCCAGCGCGTCGCACGGGCAGCCCGGTGGCATCGACGCAAAGAACATCCGTCTCCCGTACCCGGCGGGTGACGAAGACTGGGGCCAATATATAACCCCCGAATGGTTTCAAGCAGTACCGCAGGCCAAACTTACTCACGCCCACTGCCCTTCCAGCTTGTGGCACCATAATATCGATGTGCTGGCAATGATGGACAGATCTAACCAACTTCTCATCAAGCCGCTGGATCTGACGCTCCCAGCTCACTGCCAGGAGTGGCAGAGTATTTTCCGGCGTCTTGATATCACAATGTCTACCTGGTTCGAGAATCTCCCCAATGAAGTTCGGGAACGACCGGCCACGTTCGATCCCATGTGGATCATGCTCCATGCTACCTTTCAGCTGTATGAGGTCCATTACTCTCGTTTGTGGATGTTTTGTTATGGTTCAAACGCTGACATGACATTGCACAGGATCAACATCAGAATGTATACGGTAGCTGCTTTTCCGTCAGCAACTTCAAATTACCTCCGTCCATCGTCCGCAGCCCGCGTTCGCTGTCGGCAATCCATCAAAGCAGTCACGGCACTCGCGAGCTCCTTACAGCCTGTTGAGCTGGATCAACTCAACCCAATGTTTGCCTTTGTCGTGTGGGTCGCTTCAAGAAGCCTCATAATTCTCTGGACTATGGGTTACGAAACGAACTACGAGTCGATACCACCAGATTTGGAGCCTCTTCTTAGCGTGCTGAGACACATGGCTACTCGATGGCCCTGCGCACAACGATACGCCGACATCATTCAGCTTATTCTAGATACCAAAAACAATCCCGATGGACCCACAGGCATCGATATCTTCAACGACACAAGACGGACTTCGTATGGTCTCCAGAACCTTCTTGGTACCTTTACAGTCCCTCGAACTCAAGAAGTGTTCCTCAATTCCTTTGACTTTCTCGATATGGCGCTTCCTGACTTTAACGATCTTGGTTCGTCGAGGATGAGGATTTTCGGGCCGGAAAGTGTTGGCGATTGGCTCTAAAATCAATATTTGTTCCGAATGTAGAAGTAATGTACTTATTGGCACTTGCCTTATGAGACTTGGTAACTTGGCTAAAGCGTCGCCAGTAAATGCACTTGCTCGGGCACTGTGCTCTTCAATCTACCGGTCTCCAGCGCCGATCGAACATTAGCTATCGTCCACTCTTCCATCTTCGTCTTGGTCTGGTGCAACACACGATTAGCACTTGTTACTCCTAGACATCTCCAGGTATCATGTACCTCAACCGTTGATGTGCCCATATGAGGGAGCAGACAAACATGAGGGTTCGAGACCAAACCAGGGTGAATTTTCGGTTCCTGCTGGTAAACATCGAGACCGACAGAACGAACTTGTCCAGAGTTCAACGCGTCAACGAGCGCGTCTTCGTCCATGACTCCTCCCCTGGCGGTATTAACGATGATGATGCCTTTCTTCATCTTTGCAAACTCTCTGGTGGAGATGATGTTGCGAGTGCTCGGCTGCGAAGATCAAATCAAAAAGAATTCCTTAACTGGACAGAGCACTTACGTTCAGAGGAAGGTTCAAGCTCAGCACATCACTCTTTGCGAGTAGATGGTCAAATCCCACATATTCAGCACCTTCGGCCTGATCGTCACTCAGCTTGTTTCGGTTGTGATAAATCACCTTCATGCCAAACACCTCAGCCTTCTTCTTCAAATTCAAACCGATCCCGCCCAGGCCCAAAATACCCAAGACCTTTGACTGCGGATCGTGTCCCAGCGGTGGAGGTGGAACAGCGCCTAGCCAAGTCCCTTGTCGAATGGCCATGATACCATTATTGAAACCCCGGAGGGTGGCCAGGATCAGAAACATGGCGCAGTCGGCTGTTGCTTCGTCGACTACCTTGGGGCAATTCGACACGAAGATCCCACGCGCAGTGCAGGCCGGAATATCGAGGCTGTCATAGCCAGCGCCCATGTGGGCTATGTACTTGACGCTTTGAGGCAGGGCATCGAGTAATTCTCGGTCCCATTTGCCTGTTTGCGCCATGCTCGTGGGTGCCCGATCACAGATGGCCACAACACCATCGTGCCTGCCGCTCCTCAACTCTTCAAGAAATTCGGCTCGGTTTTTAGCTTGCGAAGATGTCAGATCGGCAATGTTGGAAACCGCATCCCATGCTTCGTAGGCGCTGTCAGGAAATCGCATGAGCATACCAGAAGCAACACATCGGAGTATATAGGTAACGCTTCGAAATCCACTAGGCTAGAAACAAGTACCGACATCCCGAATGCTAGCATTCAATAGGAGGGCAACATACTGGTCAAGCTTCCCCAGCAACAGTGCCTTGGGCTTCTCCATGGTCGAGAGGGTCAAATGCCGAATTACGTTCGATCCCGCAGGCACTCCAAAGTTCTTTCTTCAATCCAGTTAGATTTGTGGCTGCTTGACTCAGAAAGGCGTTCAAGGACGGATTATGGCGGATTTCTTTATCCCATTCAAGCGGTGCCTCTCCCCGTGCCAGATACATACACCAGTTCAAGTACAACGGAGGGTGTGCTCGGGGGGAGGGGTTCTTCTGGCGGAACATCAATGCACCGGTCGTGGCGGGCGAGCTTACCTGCCGCCATCTGACACACACCGGTACCTGAATGACAATCTTACACCCGCAAGAACCTGGAAATATTCTTGAAACGGTGTCTTGATATGTCATAAAACCTGCCTTCTCTAGAAATGTAAGGTATGTTGAGAACGACGGGAGCTGAGAGATAGAGAATGGGGAACAGGTTAGGCTAAGGGTGAAGTAATGTCTATCCTACGCGGACTGGGTAGCGTGTAGCGTGTAGAAACGCAAGGGCATGGATGATGCCGAGAGCAGTAAGAGGGATCGTCGTCAATACGTCTCCTGACCTCTTCATCCTGTTAGCACGATACATAGCTCGCACACACTGTGCAGGTTTCAATGACGAAAGGTCGGCCAGACCAGCCTCAGTAGCCTCAAAGGGGAGAGTCATGGACGCCGCTTTTTGACTGAGACTCCGATTTGATTGGACCAACTTCCACCTCTTGGCCCACCGCGCGCTTCACCGCCTTCCAGCTAATTGTTCGAGGGGCAGCGGCAGAATTGTTTCACCTCAAAACACCAGCCCGCAACGCACCTACACGGCATCGCATCGTCGGGCACAGCTTCATCTTACCTCTCACCTTTCACCCACACTGTCGGCTCTCAGCCCCCGAGACTAACCCGCCTCAATGTCGACCCTCTCAGCTTTGCGCAACTGGGAGGCCGAAAACAATGTCATCACCATCGACCCGTTCCAAAATGCCCTCTACAACCTGCCTAATCCTCCCGCCTACAAGGCCTTGCAAAACGCCGCACCATGGAAGAAAGATCCCAACTATTTTACTCACGTCCGCATATCTGCCCTCGCTCTCCTCAAAATGACGACGCACGCCCGGTCCGGTGGCAGCATCGAAATCATGGGCCTCATGATCGGTTATGTCTCTGGTCGATCTCTCGTCATAACCGATGCCTTCCGCCTGCCGGTCGAGGGGACGGAAACACGAGTCAACGCGCACGCTGACGCCGATGAATACATGGTCAACTTCGGTATTGCGTCCAGAGAAGGAGGAGGTCAGTTGGAAAATGCGGTGGGATGGTACCACTCACATCCGGGCTATGGTTGTTGGCTGTCAGGGATAGATGTTCACACTCAAAAGACACATCAGATGGTCAACGACCCCTTCGTGGCGGTGGTCATTGACCCAGACCGGACCGTCTCCGCTGGCAAAGTCGAAATTGGTGCATTTAGGACATACCCCGATGGCCATGTTCCGCAAGACAAACAATTTACAGACGAAAGCGACGAGTATCAAGCTATTCCTCAGGATAAGATACAAGACTTCGGTGTTCATGCCAATTCTTACTATCCCCTCGACATTACTCACTACAAATCAACTCTCGATACACACCTACTCGGACTCTTGTGGAACAAGTACTGGACATCCACTCTCTCGCAGTCACCGCTGTTTACCAATCGCGACTACACAAACAAGCAGATCGCCGACCATGCAGTCAAGATCAAGGCTGCGGTCAACAAACAGCGGACTGGTGCCAACATGACCCGACGAGGCCAGGAGTTAGCTGGAACGGGGGACAAGAATTTCAAGACTGTGAGGGATGGTTCCATGGAGCAGATTGTTCGAGGCGGCAATAAGATAGCCACAGAAGAGATGGCTGGCCTTTTAGCACATGAGGTCAAGCAAAAATTGTTCTGGGGAGTGGTGCAGGAAGCCAGCGAAAAGGCAGCTCAGCAATCCGCCTATTCGATAACAGAAGTTCCTCTGGCAAGCAACGGCGGTTGACAAGCATGGGTGCTCCGTCTGCCAGGAATCGACGGCAGTGGCACTTCAGACCGTGACAGTTAAAGCTCGTGATGCAGCTTGCCAACAACACGGTGGAAACGTCTCTGAAAACCTGTTGGCCCACTCTACACATAGCTGAGCTGATGTTCTTGAATCTTGGGTCGCGTACAATGGCAGCGGGCACCGGCCACTCCGGGTGGAAGATGGATCAAGGTGATGACAAGCTGACGAGATGATGACCAGAGACAGGACGGCTTGTGGGAGCTGTGGAGATGAAGTGGCCTGACAGAACATAACAGGTCTCCCTGTACGCCATTGGCTTCCATAATGCCTTCCATCGAAGCTCAAACTCAGAATATGCTCCTGGTGACCCCATGGGGAAGCCGAAAGAATGGGCACAGCTCCAGTCAGTCTCGATGGAGCTTGTTATGTCCTCCAAAGAACCCTCCAGTCAGCCATGACATTGCGGGAGGGCCATTCCAAGTCTCCTTGGTCCCGGAGTGTTATTCTTAATACATAATAATACTCACAAATAGCATCCATATATGGCATGAAAAGTCGCTCCCGCAACAACAATTTTTGATTCTCGGTGCCACGGCTTTTCCACTCTGAAGTGAGGTTGAGGGTGAGACTCTGCTCGTTCTTCTGCCGTCTGGAAATGCTCGTCCAAGCGATTTCCAAGTCGTTTCCGAGATTCACCTTCGCTGGGGCTCTCCATCTCTTCCGTCTCGCGTTTCTGCCCACCCCCCCTTTTTCTTGCGAGCTGATCCAGCCGAAACCATCGCCGAAATGGTCGGATTTGCCGACTTCCCTGGGGCACATTCGGCAATCCCTTGCTGACGCTGTGTTCACTCAAGACCCGTGCAAAAGGGGAGATGACAAACTCGCTGTCATCGGGCCAGCTGTACCTCGTATGCCTCGTACTCCGTACGGGGTTTCCAATAGTGCTCCCCATGGAACCTGGGGGCTGGAACAAGCAAGAAGCAGGGCTGGCAGCAAATTGGGCTCCGGCAAATCGTTTTCCACGGCTCCTCGCCTCATTCTCAAAGCCCCTGGCTCATCTAGACGAGGCTCCTGCATCGTTGGCATGAGTCCGTTCTCGTCGTGTCAGGATTCACGACCCCCCTTCGTGGAGACGTCCCAAGACATATTAACGCAGTTCTCGGTTCAAGGTATGGTGTCCTTGACACAGTTAGCCCAACTCCAGAAGGCCTCGGTGGACCATCAGCACTGAATCGCTCCCGTTCCAAGCTAAACCCTCCTCGCAGAGCGGAGCCCCTGACAGATGGAAAAGAAGTCCTAGGTCGGATCTCGGAATCTCCCGCTCATCTCCAACTTTTGGGAAATCGACTTTCTCACGGTCTCGACCCGGTAGCACGCCCCATGGTCTTGCGGAGCATCCCGAAATACGCTGCGTGTTCCGCGGCAACCTCCTCCCAACTCCGCTCCATGGTGGAAAGGGTGAAGCAAAAAGAAAGCAAGAGGCAGCTAGTTGTACGACTGTCGACAGAACCACCAAAGGTCGTAAAGCAGAGCGACTGTAGTAACCCTTCCTGGTTGTATGCTTGCTTCCGTTCCGTCGTTGTCCAAGCTCTCATCGACGAGAAGACATTAATGAGTCCGTTCTGGCACTAGAGTCATGCACCCCAGAATTTCTAAGCGCAGAGGCAGAAGGAGAGAACATGCCGATGAAGAAGGCTCCGCCCAGGATTTCTCGATAGAGTTCACAGTCAGTTCACATCAGTTCACCTCGCATAACCAGTGGAGAGACAACATGATCAGGGATGGAGGGTATAGATAGATATAGATAGATATAGGATGCGGATGTGATTCCAGATCCAAAGCAATATCAATGCACAATCTCTCATTCCATTCCAGGCACATCGGTACGCAAGTGCACATCCTCCAGTTCCATCCTCGATCGGGAATATCCAAGGACCATTAACCCATGCCACCTTTCATCCCAAAGCGGCCGTTACAATTTCTTCCATGCCATCATTTTCTTTGCTCTCTCTTCACCCACAGTATTTTGCATGGTTGGCCCAAGGGTCTGGACCACCAAAGTCCACCCAAATCGTTGTTTCCACGTCGGAAGGCCTTGAGTGAAGCGGCTGTACGTGCCGCAGGCATGCGACATCCCATACTGAACACTTCCTGCTCATCACGCTGACGACTGCCGGGGGAGTCAGTTGTTGCGGTGCAGTACCAGAAAAGCCAAATTTCCTCCGCTGACGAACCTGCCCTTTTCGCTCATGTTGCTCACCTCCCGCTAGATGGCGCAAGAAACCAGACCGACACAATTCCCGCTCTCCTAAATTCGATATTCTCCAGTTAAGACAAAACACGCTGAAACGCAAGACATATTCGACAAATAAATAGTTGCACACAAGAAAATCTTCCAAGTACACGAGGAGCTTCATAGGTATCCAAAGCAGATCAAAGCCTCACTCGCTGGGGGTTTGTAAGACGATACTGAGAGATATCAACCACAATGGAGCCCTGGTCACTGGCGTCGTCAACCTCAATAGTGTCGCTCACTAGTCCTGCTGGGTTGTCGGCACACGCAATGTCAGGTGTACTGTATAACCCAGATGGTTTTATACTGTGCAAGGGCGGGCCGAACGCCAGAGGGCTCTGGTCTCTTGCGGCACCGATTTTCGGTGTAGTCAAGTGATCGAGTGACGGTTTGGTTGACAAAGAACCATCCGAATCGGCACCACCATGACTGAACTCTGAGCCAAGATCATCGGCTACTGAAGCTTCCTGACTTTCCTCTTGAATTTTCTTCATGCTCTCCGCAGCTGCAGAGGCCTGTTCAAGGAGACCATTAAACTTCTCAAGCATAGACTGAAGTTCAGTCTTGCAGTCACCGTCTCGAAGAAATTGGTGAGCGGCCGTCTCGCACAGTGCCTGTATCTGCTCTAGTTCTTTGTCCACCTGTAGAAAGCTTGCTTCCTCATTAGAGGCCGCCGGGTTCTGAACAGACACTCGGCTCTTGCCGGGCAGCAAGGCCGGCGTACTTCGGGATATCATAGAACTTCTGATGTCGTTGAGCGCGGAGAGACCGTGACTGGTTCGAGCGGTCAGCGTGGGAAGTCGGAAGCCTCTGGCAGCGGCAAGTGCAGCTTTGCCTTTTCGCAGATTATTCCGACCAATTCCGATCTGCTTGACCAGAGTATCGAGTTGTTCTTGTAGATATCCATCGTAGTAGACGACAACGTGATGTCGATTTCTGAACTTCTGAGGTCCCGAGGCACCAGAACGGATGGATGGGCCTGGCTTCCTCTTTCTCCGCCCCTGTGCATATAGATATTTGTTCCCAGCCTCTAGAGGGTTAATTCGCCTGGGGTCAGGCGACGACAGGCCATCAGCGCTCTCGACGGTGCGAGTCTGATCATCGCCTTGTTCCTGATCTTGAGTATGGATAGAGGAAACCGAGGGACTCTTCTTGCGTTTCGGTCTGACTTGGTTCACGAGCCGGGAATATTCTGCAGCAAACTCGGCATGCTTGTCGGCAGCGTGGGTAGATAACGCCTCAATGCTAGTCCTCCAAGTGGGAAGGTTGTCGACAAGATAGAGGAAACTCGAATGGGCATCCATAGCTTGGGCCATGACGCCCACAGTAGATCGAGAGATGCAAATTGGTGTACGGAGTGGTTGTCTAACTCAAGACATTGTTGCGGTTGCCTCAAGTTGTGCGAGGTGGTATTGCATTGACAGGAGGGCGTGGAAGTCGGAGGCGTGAATAGACGTCGAATGCGGTGGATAGGTAGGTATTCGAGGTTTCGGCGGGTTGTCGAGGTTGTCAGTTCGGGGGATATAGCTTTGAGGACGGTAGCTATTTGGAAGTTGAGGTCGAGATACACCACGCCCGCCAACAAGCTTCAAGCTTAGAAGTCGGTCCAGATGGGTATTGATATCGAGATGGAGTGAGGAAAGGAACGAAGAGGTCGATGCGACAAATTCGTGGAAGAGCGGCAGGTGTGGACTCGAGATGACGGTAGCAGTATTCGGGAGAGTGGGAGTCAGCGAGTTGAAAGTAGCACGGACTGGAGGAGGAGAAGATGCGGTGTCAGATGCGAGCAATTATTGTAACGCAACGTGGTGGATGGAGGTGATGGAGCAGAAGCTTTTCCTGGAGTCAAGCGTTAAGCGTCAAGCGTCGAGCGTCTGTGCACAGGGTTGATTCCCTACAGGACCATCGATAATCAGACACTTGCAGCACCGACACCAACTAGACCGGATCCAGCAGTCGGAATAGGTGAGATCGACGAGAACAACTCAGATGGGTTGGTCGGGGGCTACCGATGGCATGGCCTATGAGCTCAAAAGTGCTGGAAAGATACCAGGTCTGGAAGAGAAGACAGAACCAAAGCAACCTGAGGCCGCAGCAGCCTTCTCCATTCTGAGTGGAAGTCACCCAAAGGCTTAGCGGCCCAGTGGCCCTGGGCGGGAGTGATGGGCACCATGGGGAGGATCCTGGCGCCCGAGAAGCCTAAACCAGGTGTCCAGGTGCCCCGGATGCCCACCGAGTCCAAGGTCGTCAGACGGACCACCGTCTTTCTCCGTATCCCGTCGCCCTTGTTTGCACCCTGGCTTCACCCATGCCTCATCGACGACTCATGAGGATGATCAATCAACCATCTGAATCACCTATCTCGGCCAAGTTCTCATTTCTCCCTCCAAATCCGCTTGGGCTCCCTTCGCTTCCTCTATGGCCTACTCTCGCCATCGCCTCCGCAAGTTCCAAGGGGAGCTTACCAAGTACAGTACAGGCTCGCCCCCAGCCTATTTGCGAGAGTCCAGCAGGGGCACGACTCGAGTCAACTGCGCTCGACTTCGAAAAGTTTCTCCACCGTCAACCTCTCCCACCTCCCGTGCGGTCCGTCTCGCAGCTTGACCTGAATTGGTTTCTGCACCCAGACCCGAAGCTCGCTGCAACACCAAGGGTAACTCGCTTCTCCATAGTTGACACCACGGAAAAGCAACCTAGAAAATCAAGGTTCTTCTGCCGGTGGCGCATGACGAGACACAACCCACGAAATACTTGACCCGAACGATGTTCACATTCAAGATTATACACACTTCGGGAGCGTCGTTGACTCGTTAAACTTGTACCACTCCCCTTGCTTGCTGCACCACGCTCGTCACCTTTGCAAAACCGGAAACCCCAGCAAAATTCGGTTAGGAAATCACAATGAAGGCCCACTCGTCCGTTCATGCCAGGGAGGAATTGGTGCTAATGATCCACCATTCGCTGCGCGCCGTTTATTTGGCTCTACCCGTAGTCGACTGTATCTTGCGGCCGAAGGAGTTACCAACCAAGTTCCCTGGGAGGTCACAATCTGCCGCTGCAGCTCCCGCATTTTGGCCTGCAGCTTAACCCAAAGACAGAACAGGAAACAACCCACCAAGAGTCATGGCAGACTGACACATGCAGCAATCACAGATTGACCAACCTGCAGCCGCCAGCGCATGTCCCACCTGGTTATTGACAGTGCTATTCAACTTGCAGGGTTGATCAGTACTGGGAACCAATGGTATAGACATACACCGGAGAAAAGCGTATTCAAATGTGTTGGTGCTCACCGCCGACGTTGAACAACAGGTTTCCCACAAACCGGACTGCTTGGGTATTACAGGGCAGTAATTGAATGATTCATTGAAATGCAGGAAATCAATACTTCGGAGACCATTGAAGCGCATCTGATTCATTACTTGTCTCACCGACACTCGGTTCTAGAGCGGCTTCGTTTCCTTGACGAGACCCTCCGATCATCAGCCATCACAGGGCACCCAATCATACCTTCGCAAGTCTTCGACAGTTCAAGCATTCGTCAACCATGGTTCTTCGCGGCGAAGATCATGCCGTCTGTGGCTGCAGCAATGTCCAATCTGGCGGAGACGGCTTCAAACAACGCAGCACTCGACGGCCCGGTAAATGGCGGTTCGTCGTTATTGTTAATAGTCGAGTTTTAACATCTGCAGGTATGTTTAAGTGGTCACAGGCATGCATTCGTGAAACGCACGACCTGGAACGTTAACATGGCTCCAGATGGAGTATCAGTGTTTGCGTCGTCAACGTCTGAGAACTCGCTTTGTTCAGCAAAATAAGTGCCCAGACCATGAGAAAAGGCCTCGTCATCGGAGAATAAGACTCCACTAAGGGGGGCCGAAATCCTAAAGGTTGTTGGAGGTGAGCGAATAGTTGGGATCTTTAATATCCGAAGACGATGAGGATTTCAATTCCCAAAACAATAGGTACGACGACCGTTGATATCTTGAGCAATGGACTCTTGACCTGGAAAGACTGACTTGAACGATTTGAGACCAAGTGGCGCGTCCAAGCTCCGGCCCCAGCATCAGTGGGCAGTCGCCGACAGTCTAGTAAACCCTTCCCGACGAGCATGCTTCCAGATGATCTTCAAACACGCCGGTGCAAGCCCCGTCTGAGGAAGGATCTCAAGCCACAAGCCCTACCAGTATGTGCACGGAGTACTCGGTCCCGAGTACTTCGTGCTGTCACGCAGTGGGTTCGCAGTAGTCACAATATTGATCGTCCTTCGACTGACAAGCAAGGACGGACTCCATATATGCATGTCGAGTCGAGTACCTCGTACCTTCTCTCCGATGCCAACTCCCGCTTTGGTTTAATGATCCTCACCGAGGCGCAGTTAATCCATTCGGTGGGGGCCACTTCTGACTTGGGCAGCTTTCTGTTCACTGCTGTGCCTGAAAATCATGCCTGATCGACAAGAATGTTGGTTCTCGACAAAAATACAACTACTTGCATAAAGTACCAGTGAGGCCCTTACGGGCACTCGACCGAGACTTGTCATGAGTGCTTGCCCGCACATGACCTGCCCACTGCGGGCGTCTGCGATTTTAAGCCCCTGAACACAGAATCCACGATCCCGAGATGTGGCTTGGTTATTGGAACCTCTAAATCGCCGATATCACACTCTTTGCTTGTCGCTGAGAAAACCCTTCCCCACCAACACTTGGGCCCGACTCCGTAGGTGCACCTACTATTAAACGACCCCTGTCGTTCTCAGCTCGCTACCATTAAAACGATCCCTAAATCGGTTCGGGTCGTCTTGACTTTGCGCCACCACCTCCATTCCACTTTCGGTCACCCTTTAGTTGCAGAAGAAAGGTTTCACTTCAGAGAGGTCTGCCCGCCGACCAGCCAGCTAGTCTATTTGTAACCTGGCGCTTACGAATTTGATAATGTCGTGTGCCGCATTGAAAAGACCCCTGGATCTCTGTACGTACATACAAACTACTACAGCACTATAGGTTTGGTACCTAAAGATTTTGATCCTTCATGTCTGTGAGAGAGCTGGTGTGGATGTATTTGTCCTAAAGGTGAGAACAGTTCATCCAGCAGTGCAGATCAACATGGCCGACTTGGTAAGAAACTACCTTTTGTGGCGCCTCGTCTCGTCCCGGTCCCGCTCCGTACCACTACTTACGAAAGATCGATGTTCTTGACTGTCACAGAAGTATAGCTCCCAAGCCACCTTTTGCAAGGACCGGAGAACAGCCAACCGATCTTGGCAATACGAGAGTCAAGGAGGGGAGAAGAAAGCGCCACCAGCTACGAGTAGTCATGCTCGGTTTTACTTCTTGCATTCATTCACATGCAAACATGTGCTTTGCCCGACAACCTTTGGTGGTTGAGGTAAGTTAGCGGGTGTCTGCAAGCTGCATGCTTGACACACGAGGTGCATATCATCGCTTCGAAGATCTAACTGTCAGGGACGATCAGACTGAGAAAAAGCCTCGTGAGCCTCGCGTGCGCCGTCGATCACCTTCCAACGGTCGTGCAGACAATAGCCGCAGCCCGATCCTGACTGTGCCATGACCGACAAAATACCATGGTCTGCTTCAAGAGTTGTCAGAGCAAGTCAATACCTCAATTTTGGCTCTTCTTGCATTCCTAGTATATGCGCAACCCTGTCACATTCAGACAGAACATGTCGGCCACTCCCTAGGAAGAACTACGAATTTTACCCCGGAAACGACATGTCGAATATATCCTTTGCGATGTCTGGATGATTTGTTTCGCTAGCATAGGGGGTATATCTCCAGTATTACACAGAAAGCTGTGCAAAGAACTCTTCCGGACTATTCCTGATGATGTTTCGAACACGAGCAACCAAAACACAGCGCCACGCCTTGTGATCCCCATTTCAGGAAAGTGAATTGCCTTAGTTTTTGCATGAGTGTCTGTGCCAGGTGGGAGGATCGACTAGGCGTTTTTCACTGAGAAGCGTACTCACGATAAGAGCCCTGCCATGGGGTCAACGTTTGCTGGGGACATGTGAGAAGGCACTCCACGGGAGGCTTCCGTTGTAGTTTTATGAGATCAACCAACATCATTGTTCTGACGTGGACCACTTCATCAGTTCGAAGCAGAGGTGTGGACGTATGTCTTCAGGACGAGGTAGACAACGGACAGTGGTCAAGCAAGCCCTCTGCAGCCAGGTTGTATCTGATCCCTTTTGTCTTTATACTGGTGAAAGAAAAAGTCGACTTGCGATGTTGAGCTCCCCGGGGAAGGTCTACTTAAACCTCTCAACAAAAGGGGCCAAATTTATGACCAGTATTGACCTAGACCATTCTATGCTCTTAAGGCCCTCAGACTTGACTGCCGTCAATGTATTTGAAAGCAAAGCATTCAATCGCCCTCTTGGAAAGTACTCCCGTTCATCATTTCGTCCCTAACCTCGATCCTGATACCACCGAGACTCTCTCCAAATTAGTGACGGTGACCTGTCGACCTGCTCTAATTCTATTGTCATCACTCAATACTCGGTTGTACGGTGGAGGGTGATCTTCTTGTTGCTCCAGGAAGGACAATTTCCCTACATCGGCCGGAGAAGACTAGACTCGATCGCAACGAGCAACGAGATGACCTGAGGATCACGAGAAGTTCTTTCGGATGTCCGAGGCTCTGAATGTAATCGACTAGACCGCCTGAAGGATACAGTGTAGGAAATGAAGCAAAGAAAAGGCTGGTGCTGAGGAACTCCACCAGAACTAATATAGCTGCCAAGCCTATAGCCGCAGCTCCATCCGCATCTCCAACTTGAAGTCATTGATTGCGATAGCAACCTGCGGCACTTTTCGGGGAGCCCAGTTGGTTGCGCAGTCCTCGCCATCATATCGCAGCTCAGTGCCCATGTCGCAGTTGATGTAGCCGACATCTGTCATTGCTCCAGAGCTATAGACCTGCCACCATGTCATTGTTCGGATCTTCACCCACCGAAACTGCGCCACTAAACTCCAAGTCTCTGTTTGGCGACGAGCCCGTTCACAAAACAACCACATCTTCATCTCTTTTTGCCGACGATGGTGGTGACTCGCCATGGTCAATGCCAACTCCCAAGAAGTCGGCGCGACAAAACCTAATCAAGAATCTCCTCCCCGCCACCGACGTACCGGAGAGCTATGTGGACGCATACGATGCCGTGTTACATTCCAATGAGAGGACAGGAGTTGGTATTGGTTTGGCAGGCATCAAGCGCCTTCTCGAGAGCAGCAATCTCAGCGAGCAGGAGCAGACGAAGATCTTGAATTTGGTGATTCCAGGTGGCCAGGAGAGTGCCAATGGCGTTGGCAGGAGCGAGTTCAATGTCTTGCTCGCTCTCATTGGATTGGGCCAGGAGGGTGAAGAAATCACCCTCGACGGTGTAGACGATCGGAGGAGAAGTGAGGACTACAAAATCCCTGAGCCACTGCGTAATACTGATGTTGTCCAGAACTGCCTGAGCCTAGAATTGGCTACTTGGATCAGTTGCGGTCGAGCAGCGACCGGCCTCAGCTACCCTCCCCCCCATCAGCGAAACCCACTCCAGTCAGGCCACAGAAGCCACGAGAAGACTCATTCGGAAACGATCCAACGTCGGATCCATGGGCTAGTCCATCTAACAATAGACTGCCGCCTCCTTCCACCGCCGCTCACACCATGTCTGTCAATGGGGTCTCCGTGGAGGGTGCTAAGAGCATCTCCAATGGCATCGCAAGAACAACCAGTGCTTTCACGACGGGAGGTAGTCAAGGCAGCAGTAACGGAAGTCCAACAAACGAGCGTTCTTCCGAAAGTGGAGGTGCTGGATGGAACGGCTACAATGGCAATTCGGGAGGCTTCTCAGAACAACCAACGCTCGGGGGAGGATTCGGAGACCCTGGCGACAATCGACAGTCGAATCGGCAAGATCAAGAACCCCGAAGTGCTGTCTCTCAAAGTATCACTTTACCACCTGGGACAGGAGAAAGCGTCACGATAACAACACTGCCAGAAAAGGAGGGAGTGTTCCTGTTCCAGCATCGGAACTATGAAGTCAAGACAGCTCGGAGAGGCAGCAGCGTCGTGAGGCGATACAGTGATTTTGTTTGGTTGCTCGACTGTTTGCAGAAACGATATCCTTTCAGACGCCTACCGCTATTGCCTCCCAAACGGGTTCAAGGTAAGAATTCCGCGTCCTGGAGAGACTCCAGCTGATCCAAATGTCCAGTGAACGGAGCTCATCTCACCGCAGATGCGAACGTCTTCCTGGAGAAGCGTAGACGAGGCTTGGTTCGATTCACCAATTCGCTCGTACAACATCCCGTTCTAAGTCAGGAGACGCTTGTGGTAATGTTCCTGACTGTGCCAACAGTATGATTCTGTCCCAGCCCCGCGTTACGAACACAAATCGCTGACGTCGGTTTCAGGAACTTGCAGTCTGGCGCAAACAAGCTACTATCTCTGTCCAAGAAGAATTCACCGGCAAGGTTCTGCCGCCAAGTTTGGAAGACAGCCTGCCATCGAATCTTTCTGAACTTTTCGATCAAGTGCGTACAGGCGTGCGCCGCTCGGCGGAGGTCTATATCAACCTGTGTGTCTGGATGGAACGGTTGGTGAAGCGGAACGAAGGGCTTGCTCTGGACAGTCTAAAGTTCTCAAACGCACTGTCTCACCTAACCGAATGCACCAACGACACGTATGCAATTGATCAGAATGACGTGCCGCTTCTTAACGAAGGCATCCAGGCCACAGCTAAACACCTTGCCACGACCCAGACATTGCTCGAAGACGAGGGCAAGGCTTGGGATACGGGAGTGCTCGAGGACCTCAAATCGATTCGCGACAATTTCGTGTCGATGCGTGATCTGTTTGATCGACGTGATCGATTTGCGAGAGACAACATACCTCAACTTGAGCGACGTATTGAAACATCAGAAAATAAATTGCAGCAATTACGCCAAAAGCCACCAGGGCAAGTGAAGCCAGGAGAAATCGAGAAAGTGGAAAGCAGCATCATGTCCGATAAAGAAAGTATTGTACAGCAACATGCCCGCGGAGTCTTCATCAAGGAATGTGTGAGGGATGAGATTGTGACATTCCAGACGACCATCTACGCAATCAGCCGTATGCATCAAGACTGGAGTCAAGAGCGGGTCAAGTATGCAGAACTTCAGGCCAACAATTGGCGCAATTTGGTCGACCAGCTGGAAAGTATGCCGACCGCAGAATGAATGAATCGGTGCCGGGGCGAGGTCGAGGTCTGATGGAGATGGAGGACTGTACTTTTTCATATCATTCCCCCCAAGTGGTAGTATATCATTGGCGCATCGATTGGCAGTGAGCGGCCAGCAATATATAATGTTTTCTACGATAACTCATTGTATTGTACCAGGCTGCACGGTGCTCACTTTATACTTTGAAAAGGGCGGATGACGTTCAAATAGAGGCTTCCGCCCTTGGTAAGTTTGCACTGTTTGACCTGTTCACGATAGACACATAGAACCTCATGCCGTTTATCGTCTGCGAAGAGATGAATCCTGAAAAGGAACTACACAATAACGGCCCGCATACCTACAGCTACGTTGTCTGTTTTACTGGGTGCGCCCACCAGATCTCTGCGTCGAAAATATGTCCACCGTCTTTGATGGTGCGGCACTACTCGGTACATAACTGCGAACGGGGAAATAACCAGATCGTTTGTGGTGCCGATTTGTCATCTGCTCATTCACAAACGCTTGCCATGTTCCGAACTGGACTCAGCCACTGTACACTGATACACTGGATACTTGAAGACCTCTTTCAAACTTGAAGATTCTGGAAGTGCACAACATCACCATTCTATGCGAGGATCACGAAGAAGCAGGCGGGCGAAGCACTCTGGGCTCTGTTGAGTCTGTTCAGGCGTGGTCGTCGCCTTGCCCGCCTATGCTATGGTAAGATAAGAGGTCATTCAAGGTCGTGTTGTATTGTCAATATCTGATGTCGTCCTCATGCACTGCTCAGGAGACGCTTATATGGTTTGGATCACCAGCATGGAGCTTTCTTGACAGACTGCATCGATTTTGATGATTTGGTCCTTCTGCTCAAGTATAAAGGGCAGGCTCTTCGGACTAATTCTCCACCCTGTCAAGACCGCGGAGATTTGTCGTCGTGGTCGTGGGATCGAAGCTGGACTTGTCCGTGATTGGGTATACGTATACATATCCCTTATGGAGCTTTGTGCGGGTGCCCTTTGTTTCCAGTCGAGATTTCGACGGACAATGACACAACGGACAGACATGTCCCAGTACACGGTGATATTGTCGGTGAGAACTCCCACGTTAACGTGTTGCCGGAGCCGCCTACAGATCTCGACGGGAAACAGCAACTTTACTACTCTGAGACCGATGCTTCACTCACAAATCGCCAAGGCAGTTCGCGCTCTCACCCTTGATTGACTGCTGCCAGGAATGCCTCCTGCATCAATAAATCCCTCATTTCAGACGCATCGCTCACACTCATTCTTTTTCCTTCTTCCATCCTACATCCTGAGTATGCTGTTTCACTCATTGACAGTCTTTCCCTCTACGCATTTCTAATTCTGATTGAGTTACACTGGTACAAGGGTTTGTGTCTGTTGTCATCATATACACAAGTTCTAACCATTTGGAGACAGACTCGAACGAATCATACCCACCAGGGTTGCTGCAAGACTGTTCGCTTACACATAACACCACAGTCGATCGACCGATCGCTGCCATTGTATTAAACTCGGGAAGCTGGCTACTCCACATACCAATCATTTAAAAGCAAACGCCACGAGGAGTCGCATAACGTTACGTGGGCTATTACTGTGATTGAGAACGCGCATTGAACTCGAGTCATGGACGCGGTAGCGCTGAATAGGGGTCGCTCGACATTTGAAGGGCTTCCTTCCGAGTTGAGGCTTGCTATCTATGAAGAGGTCTTCCAGGGGGCTGAGCTATACATCACGGGTGTCAGTGCCCACCTGTGTGAGAGATATGACGACCTCTCGCCGCATCGGCTTGTCACCAACACGGACACCTCACTCCTACTCACTTCTCAACTTGTTTGTCATGAGGCCTTGGCCGTCCTCAGCGCCTCTACTTTGTTGATCGTCGAGCAGCCTCTTGGGCGCCGTGATCCCTTTGAAAACATGCCAGATGCATTCCTCACCAAGATCAAAGCTATCAAGGTTCACATCGACGCGTTTGTCCACATTGACAGACGTCGCCTTCCAGCACTGCAGGACGTGCATCTCATCCACACAGCGGACAGCCCAATGAGTCTCCCAGATGTTGTTCGATTCATTCACTGTCAAGACCAAGACTGTGGGGGTATGATGGACTTTGTTGACGAACTGATGTCAGATGTGCTCAGTTGGAAATGGAAGCTTAGCCAATATGCTTTCTTGGGTGAACAGGAGGGCTTTGCTGTCAAGACGACGGCCTTGTGGGACTGCTATGCCAATGTGGAAGCTGGAATTGTATGGATAGCCTCCCTCCTCACCAGTTACTGATGCTGACTTGACGAAGCAGGTTGAATTCGACTGCTCCAAGGGGACTGTGATCAAGATGAGAGGCTTCATTGGCGAGCATGAAACCTCTGTCGACGATGGAGACCAAGCAGCAAAAGACTGGGAAGCGTGGAGCGGGCTTTAGGGGTGGTAACGGGGACGGCCAGGTGGTTGATTTTCCAGTGACGGTCAGTTGTTTGTGCCGAGTCAACGCAAGGGATTTGCTGGTGTGTGTACATGCCTGTGGTAGTACTCTAGAAGGCATTAGAGCCATAATCAGTTTGATCCGACGCGGTTTTGCAGTAAGAATATGTATGCTCTTGTACATATCATGTCCGAGGTATCAGTCAGGATCGCAGGCAGCCAATCAGACAAAAGGCGGTTTTTGGTCTTGGCGGTTTCAAAGTGTTTACCACTCACTCTACCTCACTCGCGCGCTGCACCATCTGTTCAATTTCCTCTCATCGCTGTTTCCATAGAACCTTCTTTCTTTTCTTTGTATCTAGGCTCAGTGGCCACTCTATCCTTCAAGTTGTCGATCCCGCCCGCTCGCCCTTGCTGGAAGGCTAACGTTCTGTGAACCCACCCCCGACAGTCTTCCCTTCCCCATCGAGCCAGCCTCGTGCTAACGACAATCATGGAGCAACAGGTCCTCCAGCTCCTCCAAGCGACAACCCGACCGGATACAGCCGTCATTAGAGATGCCGAGCAAAATCTTCTGCGACTCTATCCTCAGGTCGAGTTCCCTTTCGCGCTCTTGACCATAGCCTCACACGGCGACATCGAGCCCAGCTCTCGCAAGGCTGCACTGACGGCTCTGAAGAACTACGTCTCCACCACGTGGTCGCCACAGTTCGACGAGACATTCACAGGCAATGTGTATCTCAACGACGAAGCCAAGTCCAGCGTCCGTGACCGAGTCTTCGCCATCTGCACGCTGGCGGGCGAGCAAGCACCGAAAGACGCAAGTATTCAAGCCCTTGCCGCTGGTGTCGCCAGCAAAATTGCCAGTGTCGACTTTCCTGACGCGTGGCCCTCACTCCTACCCTCGCTACTCACCATTCTGAACACGTCGACAGATGACGCACCCATTCATGGCGCGTTACGCGTCCTCTCGGAACTGATCGATGAGGGCTTGACCGAAGAACAGTTCTTCTTGATCGCCCAAGATCTCGTCAACGCATTGCAGCATGTGGCGGTGGATAACGCTCGGAGTCTGATCGTGCGGGCCATGACTCTGAATGTCTTTAGAGCTTGCTTTGAGATGCTGGAGATGGTGATGGCTGAGCATGGAGCGGCGGTGAAGGCCTTCCTGAACGAGTCACTAAAGGCTTGGATGCCCTTTTTTATGGAGACACTGAAGCAGCCGCTGCCACCGTCTCTGAAATCCGAAGATGCGTCATTCCGGGGCCTTGTCGCTCTCAAAGTTCAGGTGGTGAAGGTATGGCCCCTCTCTTTAGAGCTTGAGGGGGGGAATAAGAGAGGCGTCGTCGCTAACATGATACCAGACACTCGACAAACTGCGACAAGTCTACGCGCAGGCTCTCTCTCCACATGTGATGGCCCTGTTTCAAATCGTTTGGGAGGAATTGACGAGGATTGCAACGGTCTATGCTGAACTTTACATCGACGGCACGGCCGAAGGCAAACTGGTCGACAGCGATAATCTGCCGTGCAGTCTCGACGCACTTGTCCTGGAAGAGCTCGACTTCTTACAAGTCACCATTAGAGCCCCCACGGTACGCAAAGAGCTCACGGCACAAATGCAGCAACTGGGTGACGCACAACATACTGTTCCCTGGCTGCAAGAGCTGATCCGGGTGTTGGTTCTCTATGCCAGAATCCCGAAGGAGGAAGAAGCGCTATGGGAATACGACGCCAACTTGTACCTCTGTGAAGCAACATCTCTTACAGCAAACTACACCCCCCGAGCAGCGTGCGCGGAACTCGCAGTGCGGAGCCTGGGTGAATGGTTAAAGCAGATTCCCATTTTGGCATTGTTGCATTTCAAGCAGCACACCCTGTCGAGCCAAACGACAGGATGGAAAGAACGCGAAGCACTGGTCTTTCTCCTCAACCAGTGCCTCAAAGACGTTGACGATGTCTCGGGGAGGCTCAGCCCGCAAGCTTCTTCTGCGGTTGTCGAAGGTCTCTCGGACACGCTCCAGCACCCCAATCCCTTCATGCGGGCGGCAGGACAAATGGCCGCAGGATGTTTCTTCAAGGTCGCTGACGGTGAGCAATTCCTCCACGCCGGCGCGGTGGCTTTTGCCAATGCTGTAACCGCCTCGTCGATGGATGAATCCGACGTGGTCAAAGTCGCGTGCCTGAGCGTTTTGCATGACTACCTCGACGCTCTCCCACCGACCGTGACACGACCAATGCAAACCGCGGTGGTCAACGTGGTGGGTGAATTTATCTCCTCGCACGACCTCCGCGACGAACTTGAAGACGCCGACGATGTCAAGGCGGCGCTGATCCAGCTCCTTCGTGACGCCATCATGCTGGACACATCCACGATCACCACTGACGGTAATAGTGCGCTCGACCTGTTCTTCACGCTGGCATCGGACGGCGCGTCGAATTTCCAACTTTTCACTCTCCTCACCGAGTCTTTCGAGGGGATCGTCTCGTCGGTGTCTTCTTCGGGACACGAACCATATGTGCGACTGTGCGCAAAAACCATCCCATCCCTCACCGGTGCATTCGACATCGCCAACATGACCCAGGAATCTGCGTTGACGAATCTCGCCGCTGAGCTCGTCTCTGCTCTCGCTGAGTTCGGGTCCGACCCTCTACCGTCCGGCTTCGTGCAAGCTGTGATGCCAAAGTTACAACGTGTGCTCATGGAAGCCGTTGAGCCGGAACTCGTGCGGCCGGCCACGCTGGCGCTCAACCACATGCTGTAAAAGGCACGCAACAGTTCCTGTCCTGGACAGATTCTCAGGGGAAGTCGTCAATCGAAGTGACGCTGACCATCATAAACCGCCTCCTCAACTCCCCGGATGTCGACGAGAACGCAGGTCAAGAAGTTGGCGGACTGGCGTCGGTGTTAGTCACCAAGTTCGGCGCCGATAAACTCGGACCGTACCTGATGGATTTGCTGCGCGCAGTGGCGGTGCGTCTTGCCACAGCGGAGAGAATACAGTTTATTCAGAGCATCTGTATGGTTTTCGTGGGTCTCTCGCTGGCAGCTCCGAAGGAAGTTCTCGATTTTCTGAGCGAGGTGAACATCAACGGGACCAACGGACTCAATGTGGTCTTAACCAAGTGGCTGGAGAATTCCGTGCACTTCGCCGGGTTCGAGGAGGTGAGACAGAACGTGGTGGCCTTGTCGAAGATATTCGCCCTGCACGATCCCCGAGTCCACGCGGTGAGCGTCAAGGGGGATTTGATCGTGGATGCTCGACCGGGCGGACGGATCAAGACACGATCGCAGGCCAAGTTAAACCCGGACCGATGGACGCAGGTCCCGGCAGACCTGAAGATCCTGAAGATCATGGTCGACGAGCTCGCCAACGCCGCCACCTCCAAGTTTTCTGATCTTACGGCCGCCCAAGCAGCCGCCGAGGCGCTGGACGAGGAGGACGAGGATGCCGACGACGCGGACGAGTGGGAGGACGTGGGCTCGGCGGGCGCCCTGGACCTGGCCAGCGCCAGCGTCCGGAACGACCTGATGGCCCTGGTGGGGGGGACTACGGGCGGCGACGGCGCGGACGATGATGTCCTGAGCCACACGGGCTCGAGGGCCCGGGACGAAGAGACTGCCGACTACCTGCTGCAGTGGTTCAAGAACGAGGCGGGCCGGGACGGTTTTGCGGCTTTATTTGAGCAGTTGACCGAGGAGGAGAAGGGAAAGTTGAGGGAATTGGTCGCATGAATGGAATGAATGTGGTTTGGTTTCTTTTCCAGGAGCGCCGAGAAAGGGGGATTGCCATTAGAAAGCGAATGCGGTTGTCTATTATGCGCTCACAAGGTTCGCTCGAGGTTAGAGAACGGTTGAATGGGAAGGGAAAGAACCCGTACCAAGATCAGGGAGAGAGAGAGAGAGAGAGAGAGTGTGTGTGTGTGTGTGTGTGTGTGTGTGTGCATGTGTATGTGTGGTGCTTCCGGGGCATTCCCAACTGGACTGTCTACGTATGTGTGTATGTATGTATGTACCTACGTACAGGTATACATACATACAGTACCTACGGGCGTAGCTAGCTACTTACATGTACATGTACTTGCATGGGTCTCTTGACGGACGGTCCACGGTATCCAGTCAAAGTTACTCGGTGAACGAGAACCCATACACCACACACCATACAACATACATCATGACAAGTCCTCTCTTCCTTCTCACCACAATTTCCCGCCCCTTTGAGATCCATTCTACACACATGCTTGGAATGGAATGTTTCTTCAATCGTAGATAGACAGACGGACAGACGGACAGACAGGCCTTGTTTGGTCGTAATCATCATCATCAGTGAAAGGAAAGGAACGGGTTTCGGCTGCCCTCTCTCTCTCAGAGTCTGTCTCACTCACTCACTCACTTCCTCACAGCGGGCGCAGACCTCTGCGCGCCGAATTTCTCGTGCCACTTTCGCTTTTTCTGGTTCTCGCTCTGCGCGTCCTTTGCGAGGCCAGGGACCCCCATGCTCGAAGCAGCAGCGGCGGCGGCGGCGGATGAATGAGACGGAGCATGAGAAGCTTCTTCGGCTCCGTGGCTCGACGCAACGAACCTCAAGACCGCCACGCCCTCGCGATCCCTGGTCAAGTCCACGTTCAGGTCAACAACGGACGAGATCAGGCTGGCGACATTGTTGCTACACTCGACGGCCCAGGAATCCGGGAGCAGCTGTGTCCACTCGGTCGTGAAGTCGTCGACGCGCATGGTCCCGTGATCCGACTCGCGCCGGGAGGAGGAGGAGGAGGAGGCTGCTCCTGTGGAAAGCGGTGATGACTTTCGCCGGGCGTGATGGGACAGGAGGAGCCAGCGTCCGACCATGTCTCGCGTAAGGTTGGGGTTGAATTTCAGTCGTGCACTGCCGATCGAGTCGGCGAAGAGGCTCAAGTCCTGGTCCCAGTCCAGGTCCAGGTCCATATCGGGCACGTCTGTAAATCGACGTACGATGGCCATCGTGACATTCCGAGCCAGGGAGGAGCAGCGCCGTCCCGCTTCTTCTGTCTCTTCTGCTGCTGCTGCTTCAGCGGCTAGTCCGTTGAGCACAGCGTGGAGGTCAGCCCCGGCCAGAACGTTGTCGTTGTTCTTCGCGAGGTCGATCCCCGAGATGGTGCATTGCTGCAAGAACTCCTTCCAGTGCCGTAGCAGCAGGGAGGGAGAGGCCAAATATACCCGTTCCTCGTGTCCCACGGCCCCCTTCCGCGACGTGGTCGTCTGGGAGAGCCCAAAGATGAACGACTTCCTCATCACATCACGCACCATCCTCGTTGGTGCGGCAATGTTGTCGAGGACGTCCCTCATCGACACCGCTTCGCGCGGGTCTCGGTCAAGGACGTGACGGTGATCATCCTCCCCCTCGTCATGATATACGGGAACCATATCGTGGACCTTTTTGTGAACCGCTCGCTCGTCCGATTCGACCTCGATCAGCTCGAGGACATTCTTCACCTGCGCTTTTGTCGTGATCCCACCTCTGCTCCCAGCAGCCACGGCTAACCCAATCTCATCCACTTGTTCTTCTGCATGACCACCGCCAGACGGCGGTGCACCTCCATCCTCACCAACGCCCTGCTGGTTCTGTGTCGCACGAGGCTGGTGACACGTCTGGGTGACATAGACGCTGTTACTCGTGCTGACCTGCTTGACAGCCCAGATCTTGTCGTCGGTGCAGAGGTGGAGAAAGTCTCCTCCTCTTCCCCCGCCCTCTTCGGCGGCGACGGGAGTAGTCAGAGAACTGGAGCCAAATGGTCGCTGCTGGTGGTGGTGGTGCTGTCCCTTGGCCGCGGCCGAAGATTTGAACCACAGTTTTCGCCTCTTGCTGGGATTCTTGATCTGCGCCTCGACCACGTCGAGCAGTTCGGCCGGCAGCTCGAGCAAACGGAGACTCTGGTGTGGGAGGGTGGAGGAGACGGCGACGGGAGGAAAGGCGGAGGGTTGTGAGGAGGCGGACATGGTGGTATTGACTTGATGTTCTCTCTCTCTCTCTCTCTCTCTCTCTCTCTCTCGGTTCTCGCCTCAAACCTGTTGAGGGAGCGGTCTGCTATGGTCGGTGACAGTGTGCCAATAATTGTGCATCGGCCTATTAAACTTGAAGTTTGACGCGTCCCAATCTGGACGTGTCGTGGCGCCGCAAAGACCGACGTCATTCGTTCAACTTGCCATCTTTGGCTACTAACACTACCACCACTACGACAACAACGACAACAACGACAACAGTCGAGATAATGCATACAGTCAGTCTCCTACAAACATCTATTCAAGCACTTCGGACATGGATCAATGCAGGTCCACGTCGGGACCATGTATTGAAATGCGATGCTGCGTATCTGTCTGGCATATTCTCACAGCAGCCTCGATCATGATGCACTTGCCTCCCTCATAATAAAATGAAGCGCTCTCAGGCCAGCAACCATCGCCGCCGAGCATCCCTCGATGATATTGTGTACAGGTCGCAAAAGAGCCTCCCACCAACGGAGAGGTCGCCCAAAATACATGAACCCCGAAATGGTTGATACAGAACGCCGCCAACTCTCGTCCATGTACGCATCATGCTTTGCTCAAGATGTTTGGATCGCTTGCTTTCTATCCCATATCCCATGATCCGTTATCTTTTGCTTTTTTTTTTCCTGAATTCCATGATCCTCTACCCGAGACCGCTGTATCGTGAAGCGCGGTAGGTAGCCACCCACCTGTCCAGTTGTTATCCATTTCAGCCGCTCTCCTCGTCTTGATCGGCCAAGGCGGCCTTCTCGCTCTTGTCAGCGTTCGTGTTGATCAACTGCACACCTTCCTTCTTGATGACGGCCGCGATAGCTTCCTTATCCTGCTCCCATTGAGAGCCCACCTGTCGGAATTCGTCGTCGAGCTTCTTGACCTGGTCGGCGTTTTCTTTCTCCTGCTTTTCCCGTTCGCGTTTCTCACGCTCCATTTCCTCCATGTGCCGGATGTCATCCACGGACGGTTCATACAGATGCCACACAGTGTAATGTGGGAGTCCAACGACAGAAAACTTCATGCGTCTGGCCATCTTCCCGAATCCTTCAGTCTCGGCGTGCCGTTCAAAGGAGAAGGCCGGGAAGTGAACACCGGCACGGAAAACGCGGGCTTTGGCGAGAATGGAGACTCCGCCAACGCCGTCCAGTTCCATCTCGACATCGGGATCCCCATAGGGGTCGCGGAGGTAGGCAAGGTGAGGCCGCCAGGTGGCATACTCTGCGTAGCCTTCGACAATGACGGCGTCTTCGTCTAGAGATTCGGCGAGGGCAATGGCAGTCTCGGATTCTTGCCAGGAGTTGAGATCGTAGGGTTGTTCACCCCCAAGCCAGTCCGGCAAGGGCCGCCAGATATCTATTTCCTTGTTAGCCTTGAACTAGACACAAATACCAGGGAGACTCACTAGGTACAATGACATCTTTGTCATGCCGCATGAGATCTTCAATGATGGTGTAGGGACACGTCTCGACATCAGCATCACGCCAATACACCCAACTGTGATATGGCCGCAGAGCCGCACTGAGCAGCCAGTTCCGTGCCCGCGCCATCAATTTTCTTCGGCTGGCTTGGGCCGCAAAACCGTGTCTGGATTCCACATCTTGACCAACTGCCTGCCCGAAATCCTTGTGTATGACCGAAATCTCTCCGTATGGCTGCGACGGATCCGGGTCGGCTTGTTGTGCTTCGAGCATTTGAGAGAGCAACTCTTCGGTGTTGTCCTTGGAATCGGAAACAAGGAAAGCGAGGTCAATGAGGTGATGAGGGTAGGTGAAGTTTCGTAGATGGGCGAAGAACATGGGCAAATGTGGTGCTGCATCTCGCAGCGGTGTGCATAGCAGGACTCGTTCTTCCCTCTCCCAGCCCACCGAGGTACCCTGCACATCCTCGAGGTCATAGTACCGCAGTGTCTCGATATCATCGTACTGGGACGAAGCGGCCGAACCACTCGACAACAGGGACAGAGTGGAGTTGGAGGGAAAGAAGAAGTAGAAGGCCAAGGAGCATGTGGCCAGGACCATCAAGCCCAACCGGAGCAGTCGCCATCGTGTATGAAGGGCTCGTTTTCGAGGCTCGAATTTTCGATCGAAGGAAGAATCCGCCTTCTCGTCCTCAACTAGGTCGGGGAGGCCCCAAATGTACTTGCTCTCGAGGTCGGAGCGGTCGGTGTAGGGGCGGTAGGCATCGTCATCTCGCTTCTTGTTGGCGGCATAGCCATTGGTAAAGGTGTGATGCCTGTTCATCACTCCAACTCATCACAACCCCTTCAACCTTGTATCTCTGCTGCGGTGCAGCACTTTGATTGGCGGTCGTGTTGTCGGAGGAAGTGGCTCGGTCAATGAACTGTGCTCGGTAGGTGACTGCGGAACGGGGAGGTTGGAGAGAGAAACGAGAGTCAAGATGTGAAGTCGATCCGCTGGTCGAGAGGAGGACACGTTGGAAGGGAATGGCGGGTCTGAGGGCAACAGCGAAGAGAAGTCGAATCGAAGGTCGAAGGCGTGGTGGGCTGTGTGGAAGGGGGGAGGGAGGTCGGGGGAAGGACGAGGCCAGGTATGAAATTCTAGCAAGTGACAAGTACGGCGAAGATATGTCCCCAGAACAGGTCAAGGAATTCCCAATGGGTGAACTGGTTACACAGAATCACAGCAAAGGAAACCTGTCATATTTCAGCTGGTGAAAAGGCCCATGAGTTGGCCGCAGTTTGTGCCCCCGGAAAGGGAAATTCTGTATGACATGACGCGGCGGGCGACGCAGACGAATCGCATGGATTGTAGCTGGCGCTGCTGCTGCTATTTTCAACCACCGCATTTTGTATTTACGATTCACTAATATTCGTCATGCCTTTGTACCCAGATTACTCGAGAATGAAAACCCTAACTGCCTTTTATGGTCTGATCCTACCTTACCCTGAGCTTTAACTGAGCCTCTAGCTCAGTATCCCTGAGTACTAGATTCACAATGCGCGTAGTGGAGGGAATTCTCGCGTAAGAGATTGTATCAAGGAATTAAGTAACCTACTTCGCTTTCCGATCCGGCTCTTCGATGTATTTGGTTACGTAAGATATGCAACAACTCGCCTTACGAACTATTAGGGTCGGTCTTTTGCCAGTAACACTGTGTTACTAAGGTGCAAAATAAGTAAGGCAATAATGAGTGTTCATGCTCTAGAGTGACGAAGGGCCGAGGGGGTGCTTGGCTGCACTGCGCTTTGTGTGTTGTAAAGACACAAGGGCTCTCTTCCCCAAGCCTTTTTTCATTGCGGCTCCTCTGAGCATGTTGTAGAAAGCAGGTCTCTCGGGCATTATTCGACCCATAGCGCTCTAATCAGAAACTGCTACTATGTCCCGGCGGCAAAGTGCAATCTCTGTGTCCACTTGGAGAGGCACAAGTGCAGCTGCGACTTCAGCTTCTCAATGCCAGTCGAGGAAGCGTAAGCTCGACGCACTATTGTAAATCAAATCATATCTCAACCACTATGGATTAGGGAAATGTGTCTTTGCTGACACAGGAAACTCTAGCATCGCAGATCAGGAGATCGTCACCGTCTCCGTTGAAGCTCGCAGAGAGGAGTCTCGTCAATTCAAGATTCACAAACACATCTTTTGCAGTCAATCCTCCCGATTCCGTGACTTCTTCCAAGATGAACTCGAAATGAACTTCACGATTTTGTGGGATGTGGGTGTTGAAGAATTTGTGACTTTTTCAAGGTGGCTGTATACCAAGGAGCTGACTGTGGAGGAAGCTGGTGAAGATAGCAGCGAAACTACAGCGGACTCCGACGACAGTAGAGACCAAGGGAGACGGTGAGCCAGATGACGGCGATGAAAGAGATGACAGCGATCCTACAGAAGATCAAAATGCCCCTGGCGAGGCTGACGGGCCAGACCATAACCGACAACAAGACCTGGTATCCCGGATTCAACCGCAAAGGACGTGTATTTGCTCGTCTGTTGGATCTATATATTTTTGCGGACAGGTATAAAGGGGTCACCTTCAAGGCCGTCGTTATGCTCGCATTTCCAACGTTACATCGCTTCTTCAGAAACTTTGCCATGCCCCACGATCATCAAACACGCTCTCGACAACCTCGACTTCGAATCACCCATGTGCGAATATCTGAGCCATTGCTATAGTCACTACACCGATTTCGAGAAGGTGACACTATCTCCAACTTTTCTCACAGAAGCGCTGCTGATAGCCTTTCAAAGAATCGATGTGCCCGGTTCTGGTAATGATTGGGACGATAACTGGTGCGATTACCATGAACATGAGAGTGAGCAGGCTCAAGCGGAGTGTGGAAACGGGAGGCATCCAGACGACCATATTGTGGAGAAGCGGCTGCCACCTATTCGACGCTGGGCAGGTGGTTGTTAAACATTGTCAGTCTCGAAGACTTGTCTACAAGTTGGGATGATAAGCTCTTCAGATTTGTGCACTTCCAGCCTGTCCTTATAGCACCAGCAGTGCCGCCAGCACAGGTAGTCCACGAGGGCAAGCTGGTCTTCCACCAGGCCCTCGAACGAAGCAGGTGGAAAGAGAGCACTACAGGAGGAGCTTAACTGAGCAGTCTAGGTAGATTGAAAAGGGGGCTGGATTAGAATCCCCCGGCATCACATGAAAGCTAATCGAAGTTGGTAGAGGCTCGGCGAGTCTAGTGAGCTGATGGTGAATGTATTATTACCTGTCCTGTGTAAATGCGTATATGGATACGCCGTTCCTCTTCCCTAATTCCTATCTGGCTGAACTAGTCTAGATGTAATATGGTATTGATTCTGCCTCTTCAAGCCACTAGTCCAGTCTGGGCTGGTTATCTATGCCTCTGTGCACCATAATACCGCCCATCTTCATGCAATTCGACTTGTGCTCCCTGCTTGCTCTGCCAGACATGATAAGAGGACTAAATTCACTTGTATAGGAGCATAGATAGACACCGATACATAGCCATATCACTGCACCAGCAACTCCTCGAAACCGCCCAAAGGTACCTCGACGCACACAACCAGCGTGACTTCCCGCCATAGCTGCCTGCTGCACTCCATCCTGTACCCATCGAGGCGGGCCATCCTCGGTCAAGAGCCCAACTCGCAACAACGACGAGTATGTCTCGTTCAACGTCGAGGTCTTCAAGATGGTGCACACCACCTTGCAAAGATGACAGATGCCATTGTCGACGAGGCTCCACGCAAGGTTGCCTTGTTCTTGCACGCCAAAGCCACTGCCGATGCGGGCGAGTATGGAAACGAGTATATCATCACGCTGAGCATGAGTGAGGACGGGAAGTTGGGGCAGGGTCAGTATGATTTCATCGACAGCCACACCATGATGCAGTGGACAGCCAAGCTGGGCAACTTTGGGCCGGAGATGTGGGAGAAGACATAAGGAGGTTCAAACAACTCCGTGTAGTTACCTAACTACGGAAACACTTGGATGACGCAAGAACTTAATAATCAACATTCTCATCAATTTTTCACCATCCGGCGCAGTTTTGTCCTTCACTTCAGCTTTTCTTCCCTTGGGTGAACTGATATTTTCATTTCAAATCATAATGCTTCAATGTGTGCTCTATGCTCCTCTCGGGATCCATTTTCTCCCGTGTGCATTCCCACTGCCCCGCCACCACCGCCACAACCTCCTCTTTCATCACCACCTCCTTCTCGGCTGACGGCAATGATCCCCACCAGAGTCATAGTGGCGCAAGGGTTGGGCCATACCTACCTCGTACGCTGCAATCTCTGCTGACGGCGAACGGCTGGCCCTACAACCGACCGAAAAGCTTTCTCCTCTCCTCTTCCTCATTGGGTCCCCTGTGCCCTCTTCGTCCCGCATCCCGCGCTGCTTGGCCTCTTATAAGGCCTTGAATCTCCTCCCGCTTAACCTCACGAGAGATCCTTGCCGATCATCACTGGGTCCCGGTGTTGCTGTGGCTTTCGCCATTCGCTCTGCTTGGAGGATCGATCGCCAGCCTTTCCCACAACTACCACGTCTGTGTCGTCACCATGCTTTCTGGCGTCTGTGACCCCTACACGCTGGGGACGCCCAGGACAATACACAGGGGTTCGTCTCCATACTTTGGCCTCGTGCTGCTTGACAGCTGTGCCGTGTGCCCCCCCATCCTTGACTCTTTGCCTAAGCTTTTCTGTTCGTCTTACGTTAACGTTACAAGCTTGGTTCTTGTGCCTTAAAAGAGCATGTCCCTCTTTAACGGGCGCTTTTGCCCTCTTGTCGTTCTTCTCTCAAAAGTGGAAGAGATTTTTGGACCTTCTTTGCCCTCTCTGCAACTGATATCTCCCCCAAAAAATCACATGCAGGCGACAGATCGTCTCAGTTCTGATTCTTTGTATTTCACCTGTTTTATACGGGTCATTCGTGCGATCAAGTGGCGTTGATCCATTTCATTGAAACCGTTCTTCAACCTCTCTGAACTGGCACTGGAATGGCCACTGACGCCAAAATGTCCGACACGTATGAAAAGAAGGAGTCCGGCTTTGGCGAGGGGAACGTCCTCAAGCCTGATGAAGCCGTCGATGTAGAAGCAAGGCGCAATTCCACCATGGTCCAAGGTCGCAAGATGAGCAGAATCGGTCCGCCTCCAAGGCTAGGTTCTCTGCCCGATACCTCGGCGTCTGATGACGAATATGGCAAGCTGGTCGCAATGGAGGCCAATGATGCCATCAAGTATCGGACTTGCTCATGGCAAAAGGTTGTTCAGAGTTTGCGCCAACACTTGATTCAGTAGAGACTGACGGAAAAATAGACGGCCGCTTTGCTCTTCTCCGAGTATATCTGCTTGGCCATCATGTCATTCCCGTATTCGTACTCGGTTCTCGGCTTGGTGCCGGGTATCATCCTCACGGTTGTGCAAGCCGCATTCGTCCTCTACACGTCTCTGGTGGTCTGGGAGTTCTGTCTCCGGCACCCTGAGACTAGAGATGTCTGTGACATTGGACAGATGCTGTTCTGGAACTCGAGATGGGCGTGGTACTTTACGGCCGTTATGTTCATTTTGAACAACACCTTCATCCAAGGCCTCCATGTCCTCACCATTTCACGCTATCTAAACACCATGAGTGGTGCGTATTCTGACAATCGCAAGTTTTGTGTCTATCCTAACTTTTGATGAAGGCCACACCGTTTGCACCGTCGGCTTTGCGGCCATTGGCGCCGTTGTTTCCTGGGTTTGTTCCATGCCGCGCACTTTTAGTGCCTTGTCGAAACTTGCCGCGTTTTCTGCCTTCTTCACCTTCGTCAGCGTCATTCTCGCTGCTGCCTTCGCTGGCGCCGAAGGGAAGCATGGCACAGCAGGCTACAATCCGGATCCCAACCACGTCAACGCTTTGGGTGTGAAGTTGGGCGGCGAGCCTCTTGTTCTCGCGGTGCCAATGGCTGGCACGACGTTTGTTTCGGGGATGAACGCTTTTCTGAACATCAGCTACACATTCATCGGACAAATCACACTGCCTAGCTTCATTGCCGAGATGAAGAACCCTTACGATTTCCGCAAGGCGCTGTGGCTGGTCACCATCTGCGAAATCATTCTGTTCAGCCTCGTTGGCGGCATTGGTAAGTCTAGGCGTTAGACAACTAGTACCTTTTATCAAGCCCATTTCATTACTCACAACCCCAAAAGTTGTGATCAAATGCTAACACGCTTTGTCCCAGTCTATGGCTATACCGGCACCCAATACAATACGGCGCCTGCATTCGGCAGCCTGGGCAACGACATATACAAGAAGGTCTCCTTCTCGTTTATGATCCCGACGCTCATTTTCCTCGGTGTTCTGTACGCCTCCGTTTCGGCCCGCTTTGTGTTTTTCCGCCTCTTTGACGGCACGAGGCACAAGAGCTCGCACACCGTCGTGGGCTGGGTGTCCTGGGCGGCCATCCTGGGGGCGACGTGGATCTTGGCCTTCATCATCGCCGAAGTCATCCCTTTCTTCGCCGACCTCCTTTCCCTGATGAGCAGTTTGTTCGACTCCTTCTTTGGCTGGATCTTTTGGGGGGTTGCGTACATGCGGATGCGACACGCGGATCTGGGACCGGGATTTTGGAAGAAGAGGGGCATCCGCGGATGGATTGGGTTCCTGATGAACATCTTCATCATTATCGTGGGCTTCTATTTCTTGGGCGTCGGCACTTATGTGAGTAATCAACCCCTGTCGAGCCGGTTCCTTTTTCTTAGGAGAGTCGTTCAGTCGGCCACATTTGGGTGCTTTGTGCGCCCATCCACGAAGAAAAAAGAACGTGACTAACATGAAATCCCAATTAGGCCTCTGTCGACAGCATTGTCCTGGATTACGAGAACGGCAACGTCCGAGGCGTCTTCACCTGCGCCGACAACTCGGTCTAATTCATCCCAGCCTTTCTGTCGTCTACCCTCCTGGTGGATGTTTTCGGACGGAGCAAATCCAAGGGCCAATCGCAGATTTCCCATCATTCTCTCCTCTCCTTTTGAAGTGCGAGAGAGAAAGGGGAGTACAGAAACCAGATCCGTCGACGCCTGGACCGCTGTCGATGTCAATTGGAAAACCTCTCAAAGCCTCTCAAAGCCCCTCTTTCGCTCGTTAGTATGATTCAGCAAAACCAAAGCGGGAAACCGAAACTCTAGGAATTTGAGGGGGGTGATGTATATACATATATACATATATCTCTCTCTCTGCTGTTGTACCGTACACGAACAACGTCGCGCGCGCATGGGAAGAAAGAAAATACGACCATGTTTTGAAACGACCAGCAATATAGAGAACAACAAGAACAAGAAATGTCGAAATGTTCAGTAGTTTAGTGAAAACCCCGGGGGCCCCCAAATCTACAATAGTCTCTGAAAAGCCAACAACAGTAATGTACGTAATGTGATTGAAGTGGGTGCGATGGAGTGCAAGGTAACGGAATGTAATATATTGCGACGCAACGCAACGCCTCGGCCTCGCCTCGCCTCGCACCGCCGTCTACTCACATCGTGGTATGGTCCCGGACATACGAATTGCTGCTACGCCGAACCTACTCCGTGACATTTGAGGGGGTATTTACCTATCTATCTATCTATCTTGCGTGCTTGCTTGCTTGCTTGCATACACGCTCGCAATAGCAAATGGGTGATGGCATTATAGGACTGCACACCTATTATAAGGGAGCACGTGCCCCCCCACCCCTCTGGGATCTACAGATCCTCATTGTCGTCGTCGTCCTCGAGCATCTTCGCATAATCCTCCACGGAAGCGAAGGTGGGTAGATTCTTCAGCTTCGACCTGGCGGCCTTCTTGGGATTCTTGCTGCGGCTTTCATTGTTGCGATCATCATCTTGCTGCTGCCTCTGCTTGCTGCTCTTCTTCGCCCTCTTCGCCGACGCAGGTTGTGCTGCCGCGGCGTCCTCGTCGAAGCCCGCGAAGTCGGACCCGCCGTCAGCGTCAACCCCGTCCATCATGAGATCGTCGTCGTCCTCGTCGAAGAAAGCGGGATCGATGTCAACGCCTTCACCGTCGTCATCATCATTATCATCTTGGTCCTCGTCCTCGTTTTCGAGCCCGCTCATGTCTTCATCGTCGACATCTCCTCCTTCATCCGACTCCAAATCCGCCATATCGAGGTCCACGTCGTCGTCGTCCTCGAATTCGTCGCCCTCCAGGTCCGGCGCACTCTGCATCATGGCCTTCCAAATCTCATCCTCGTCGGCGTCGGACTCGTCCACCTCGTCGGCATCGCGCCGCTTCTTCTCCTTTGTCTTCTGTTTGTCCCTCTTCTCAGCCTTGCCCTTCAAGCTCGTGAAGTATTGGTGGAAGAAGACATCCTCGGCAGCCACCTCTTCGCTCCTCTTCAGCCGGAATTGCTCGCTGTTCACCGGGACCTCCGTCTTTCCATGCACTGTTCCGGCAATCAGCACAGCTTGCGAATTGTCCGTCGCCATGGGTTGCATGATGCTACTGCCTCGGAGACCAGAGCTTGACAGCTTCGGGTTGCGGTACACAAAGCGGTCGAGAAAGTGCGACAGCGTGTGTAAATTGAGGTCAGGTTTCCCAGGCAGGTTTTGGTGGCGCAAGACGTGGTCGGCGCTGACAGACACAGAAGGATGGAAGTGGGCGAGAAATGGCAGAAGTTCCCAGAGGCACGTATTGTCGGCGTTGGCATGTTCTGGGGCGCGTTTGTGGGCATCGTAGACATGTCCACGCTGCGACTGCTCCGATTCGGAGATACCATTCGTTGCCGTTGCATTGGGGGCGTTCGCATCGTCTTCATCGACAACATCCCGGAACACCTCAACATCGTCTTCGTCATGGTCTTCGGGTTCATCCGTCAAGGCCTTCAGTGCAGGAAACGTCTTCTCCAGATCTTGGATCAGGAAAAAAGCACCACAGATGAATGGCGGCTCATGTAGACTCAGGACTTGCACAAGGCGTTTGACAAATGCCTTGACCCTCTTCACGCTTAAATCAGCCTTGAGAGCACGATGAAGCAGATTCAGGTAGAGTTGCTGCTTTGACGCGGTGATGAGGCGCTGATCGAGAAGGGATTCGTACAAGGCACGGTAGAAGCGGTCGCTTGAGGCTTTGTGTTGGGAAGAATGGGAGATTTGTTGAATGAGCATGAGGGATTGGATGCTCGTGTTGAAGTTCGCCGAGTGGGTGATTTTGAAGAGCGTGTCGAGATGGTCGGAGAAGGCTGTGTTGCTGCTGGCACTGTTGCTGGTGTAAGGGTATGCCCGATTGACGCCTGTGAGGATGGCGGAGATGAGCTTCTCACGAAGTTCCTCAGTCTGGGACTGGCCCCTCTCCTTTTCGGGTTTTTTGTTCTTTCTCCTGCGACCTTTGCTTTCCACGACCTTCGTGTCAACTTCGGTCTTTGCGGATCCTTTATCTGTTTTCAAGAGGTCGGTGAACAGTCCAAAATATATGTCGAGCAGCTTCGTCGCCACATCTTCCTCCTTCGCACTCAATGCTGTCTGATTGAGGGTGACTACAGCGTAGTATTTCCCGTGTAGGGTTTGTCCCGGTCTGAAGACGAAATCTGTCGCGATGGCGGACACAACGACCATCTTCATGGCAGGATGAGCTATCAGCAACTGCATCAGCGAATAAGAAGCTTGAGAAGCAATCTTTTTCACAGGATCGCCCAACTTGTTGATGAGGAGGCGCAGTAGGTTTGACTCCTGTTCTGGCCTTTCCTTGAGCAGCTCGAAAACATAGCTGACGGCGCGAGCCTTGGAGAACTCAATCTCGTCATTGCACCATCCCTCGAGGATCTTGAGCACTTCAAAGTACTGCTCTTTCAGCCAGCTCTCAAAGGCCCACGACACCAGATGTCTTTGTTCAAGGCCACGGGGCAGCTTGTTCCCTCTTTTCCATGGTCTCGAAATCACAAACGGGATCGCAGGCTGGGCTTGGAAAGCGAAGAGCTTTCTTGACGAGGGAAGAAGTGAACCCTGAGCGAAAAGGTCTTTGAGCGCTCGGAGAACATCAATAGCCTGAGACCGGCTGCGCTTTCGGGCCAGGCCAATCAAGGTTTCGAGTGCTTTGGTGTTGTGGATAGGCGAATCTTGCACGGCCAAGGTCAGGGCTGATATCTTGTCCGACAGAGTTCCTGATGAGATGACGGTATTGTAGAAAGCATTGGCGGACGAGGACTGCTGCGACTCTTTGAAGCTGTTATTGTCCTCGTCAAGAAGAGCCTTTGCATATTCGTAGAGTTCCTCGATCGACTCTTTAGAAACAGTGTGTTTGGGAGGGCTCGTTCGGTCGACATCTGGGTCAGGGCTGTTGTACCAGTCCGGCTTTGGTTCGCAGATAAGTTGCGATTTCATGACCCGCCCGTTCTTACCCACCTGTCGCTCTGGGGCAGCAGTCGGGCCCTGGCCCTCAGGAGACAAGATATTGCCATCTGCCTCATCTCCGTCTGAGTCGCTTGAAGCACCCTCATGGTCACTGCCTTCTCCTTGGGCGAGGGCGATCTCTTTAAGGATATTTCTCATTCCCTTGTCGAGTTTGTCCAGATCCGCTTCGGGGGTGGTCCCTTCAACCTCCGACTCAGAGTCTGCATCTGCGAGGAGTTCCAGATCCTCGGATGTTCCACCAAGGGCCTTCATTTCCTGTTCCAGGACATCATCCCCTGATTCCCCCGCTTCTCCGTGAATGGCCTCGTCCTGCTGGACATTGTCCTGGTGTCTCTGGGTGAGGATCTTGCCATTGCGATCACGCTTTTTACCTCGTTCCGTCACAGTTTCGTGATCATTATTGCGGCTCTTCTTATCCTTCTCTTTGACATCTGCCGTATCTGCGAATTGGTAGCGGCGTTGGATCGTTTTCCGTAAGTCGTCGACTAAAGAAGGTTTGTCTGTATGCTGCCCGGGCTCTCTTGAAGACGTGCCACTATGGCGACGTTTTGTTTTCGACATTGAACTTAGAGCTTCACTGCTGGTCCCCAACCAAACGTCGCACCTTGCAAACAGAAGCTAAATTCTACGCAGCGCAGAAAATCTCCAAAAATCTGGAGGGACTTCGGCAGCTCTTCGGACGGATTTAAAAGATGCCAAGACAGGTTACCTCCTGCACCTTTCCTATACGAGCAGTAAGTATACAAGAGAGGCAGAGAGGTCACTCATTCCATTGAAAGGTCATTGATACCTGGTCAACCCGTCGTCGTGATTGATACAGGAGGATGCCTTCTGTTTCCTGTCTCTCGAGTGCCGCAATCATGGTCACAATTACGTAGATGCCTCCTCACCAGGACGTTCTCCTTCCGTGTCTATCTACACTAGCCCCTAAATTTTGCTTCAATTCTCCCATTCTCTCTCCATTCCAATACAGCCTCTCAAAAATTACCAGTCTCCCCAACCGCCACCTCTCACAGGAGAGTCATGCCCAGAAGGGCCACTATGCCCCCAACTGCTAGCATTGGGTTTCCTGCAGCCAAAGTGTAAGTAGCTGCGTTGGTGCTAGAAGTACTGGGGGTTGCTGCTGACCCACTAGCGGTAGCCGATGCGCTGGCAGGAGAAGAGGAGGATGTGCTGCTCAACCCAATAGTGTCATTCTCCTTAGGGACCCCCTGCAAAAGCGTAACATTTGCAATCTTGGGATAAGGGACGACACCATCGTCTGGGTAGGCAGAACAGTTGGCATTCGCGGCAAGGGGGCAGCTATACTCATCGGTACAGATGGTCTGCAACTGAGGACCTGCCGATGGAGGGATCACGGTGGCTGGAGGGATGCAGCGATAAGTAAAGGTCTGATCGAGAGCGTCGCGGGTGAAGTTGACATCTGGCTCTTCGAATCCGATCGACTGTCCGGCCAGCACAATCTGTTCGTTAAAATAGCCCGATTCCCAGATGTTAGGGTCCATGAACCTTGACAATGTCAGTGCTCTATTATTGAGTAAGCATGAGGAGGGACACCTACTTGTGCACCTCGTACATGCTGGCGACGCCCTGATAATGGGGGAAATCGGGGCCTCCCTGCTGGGAGCATCCATAGAAATCGCCAAAGTACTGATAGACGTGCGTGAGAAGTCGGCTGCACAGTCAAAGGTAAGCATTGTAGGGTCGCAAGTGGTTTCAAGTACGTACTATTGGTTCGAGGTCGTAGAGTTGGCCGGTTTGTTGGCGAGCAGTGCTCCCGCTCCTCCATCATCAAGCCAATTCAGGGCAACGGGCTTTCCATTTACGTTGGTGGAGTAGTATCCACCGGTGAAGTACGGCAGAAGGTTGACATCGTGGTTTTCGTAAGTCCTGGGACCTGCAATCCCGCTCACCGCGATGCCAACGTTGGGGGTAGTGTAGTTGCCCAGAATGAAGGTATGGGTGATCAAGGCCATGAGCTCCTGCTGATTTGCGGGTGTGTTTTCTTTCCCGAGAATGAGAGGAGTATAGTAGTCGCAGATAGACGTGGTGTTGGGACGCAGAGCATTCGCAACGCCCAACGCGGCGAAGAACGATAGGGCTTTGACGGACATAGTCGACGGCATCTTGACTGACACGGGGAGAAGCTCACGGGGGAAAGATTTGGCTGAGGTGCTTACAGACCGTCCTGGATGCTGAGGAAGGGAAAAAGAGAGACTTTCGACGGATCCTGCATTTTAAATATCTACCAGCCGAGGACATTTCGACGAAGCTCAGCTCCAGATCGGAAAGCTCTGAATAAGACAAGCCACGGCATGCAAGGTCCGAGGGATTAGTTGTCTTGTTCTTGTCTCAAGGGGTTCTTAGAACACAGCAACAACGCGCACTCACAGCCCGCATTGCCTAATTTCAGCTCGTGCAACGCTTCCAAAAAAGGAAATCGGGGGATTTCATCATGGTCCGGCGAGCAAAGCAACGAATCACACCTGGTTGATTAGCAGCTCGAGATCGATGAATCTGCTTCCACGAGGGCGGTTGAGGCTTGGGCTGCCACCGATGGCGACGGGCTGGACGAAGTAGCGTCATTGCCAGCTTCATAATCGTGAGCTCGCGGAATGTAAACAAGAACAGAATCTCTCCGCACGCCTGCAGCCTCACGATGGCCTATCACAGCAAAGACCCGGCTGCTGACATACGGTGCTCGCAGCTCATTCGTCCCGTGAATGGTCCACATAATGATGCAGAATCTCAGTCAGAGTGCAAGCACGCTGCAAGGGACAAACTGAGGACAGAAAGAGAGTATCATGCTTTGTAACAAGAAGCCTAGAGGTTGGTCAGTCGGAGGTCGAGATCAACTAGACACGGACAGGAATGAGCTCGAGAACAGAAAAAGAGAAAAGCAGAAAGGGTGATTGGCCAAGACATTGCCAAGACCGACCCGCTCTTGCATGAAATGTACATTTGCTTGCCCCTAGAGTTGCGTTTCTGTGCAATTACTCCGCCCCCCAAGTATGGCAAAACCGCAAGTCGTCGACCTTGACCAGTTTGCTTGTCAAGGAGCATTCGAGGTACACCGCCGCCATCCTGAAATTGCCGGCCTGACCGGGCGCCTTTGATGGCCCTGACCTGTAGACTTCAGTGCCCCTTGGCCCCCACCGACGTCCATGCTCACTCATCCTGTGCCGAGGACCTTTCCACGCCAGGCTTCAGAGAAGTATCCAAGACCGTCGTCAAGCTGCCCTGGCAAGCTCTGCCTGGATCAATGCAATTGGGGCAAAGGTCTTCCGGCTAGCTAGGCGCTCTGTTGCCTACGCAAGAGTCCCGTCGATCTCTAAATCCCCGTTTGCCAGGGTGCCAAGACTTCATTTCTACAGTACCCAGTCTCTGGACTGGGACCTGGATATATCATGGCTTTATTTGAAACCGTTGATCTCAGTTGCGGGTTGACTGGCGCTGAGACACTTCGGCTTGCCACGCTAACACATTTGGAAGCATTGTCTGACTTACTATTTAATAATGTTGGTAGTGAGTTACGTGCCAGTTTTGGTCTTAAAGTCTCGGGCTCGACAAGTCGAAGGGTTCAAAGCAGGGCCCACAACAACAGGTGCAATCGTCGTGGCCAATTTCCCGCTCAATGCTTCCTTTCTTGACACGCCGGTTGGAAAGGCTCCTACATGCGCCACTGGACATGCAACAATCTCAAGATGCAGCTGCTTAGATCTTTCTGAAACCACGTAGGCGCTCAGATGAATCACAAAGAAGCAATCATGGCAACTCCTTTTTCGACCACCACCAGGGAATCAACAGACGCCATGACTCGCCAGGGAATCTTATCATAGCCATGGCATACACTGGAAGCCTAGGTTGTCGATACAATAGGCTTCCTACGGTCGTTACTACAGGGCAAGGAAAATCAGACTGGGATGCGCAATTCAACTGGTGCCGAGTACGTGGAGGAAAGTCAGCTTCTTATGAGGATGTTGTGCACCAAACCTCTTTTCAGAAGCAATCTTCTCTCCGATTACCATCGACAATGGTCAGCCGCTTAGTACGTTATTCGCAGGATATTCGCAGGATGAAGACCCCTCTCAGCTGCTCCAATGCTACCTCTAATGGTGATAGCTACATGGTTTTCACGTCTATCTGAAGAAGATTCAAAGAACGATAATGGCGGCAACAGTTCGAATATCTCCTGGCGGTCAGTATTGAAGGTGTTCGAGAGCGGTCTGAAGATGCAATATCTGTTCGCACTGGTGAGGTTGAAAACGGTGTCGCTCACAGCTCACACGTGTACCGAGTACGTATCATCGACCTCCTATATGCGAGGAACCTATGGCCTAACTTTGTATTTGTAGCCTGCAAGCATAACTGGTGCCGGCCAGCCAGCCTTCAACAAACTCGCATAAACTCTCCATGCACAAATCTTCGGCTTCTAGGCTCTCGCTTAAAGCCTGGTAACCCTAGTGAGCCCACTAGCCACCAACCCACCCTTTCTCTGGCTTCTGCACCCCGGAACCCGACCGCCCCCGTCTGCGTTGAGGGGGAGCCAAACTAGCTGAGGACTGCTGCTCTCCAACTGTGGTGTTGCAAGGCCAGTGCCCATCCTTCAACACGGGGAGTTGATATTTTTCCAGCAACCTTCATGCACTGTTGCCAATATTTCCACAGTCACTTGATTCCTATGGCATTAGATTCGTCTGTGCAGCCCGTTTATTTCTTCATACTCTGTGGTGTCTATCTGCAGCTCATCCGTCACAATGCCCACGCTCTCCAGGACCCCTAGAAGCAAGGGCTGCTCACAGTGTATACAGCGCCACGTAAAGGTCAGTCAATAGGATTGACGCTCTTTCTTTGTTGCCGGCGCCCGATTGACGACGTCTATGTCTTGCAGTGTGACGGCAGGCCAGAGTATTGTCGACAATGCGCCCGCTTTGGACTTCCTTGCTCGGGTCCTATACAAGGACCCATCATTCTCGATATGTCAGCCAAAGTCAGTCGTCCACGCAAGAAACGACGAACCATATCTCGAGGCCCCGACGGAGAATCGACCACGCCTCACTCCACCATGACTGATAATAATAGCGTCATATTCACAGAAGCCAGCGGTGCCAGTCCTGCCACCGAAGGTGATTTCTCCGTTGGCTCAGATGCATCTCCGTCCACGTGGGCGTTGGATGCTGCCGCGCAGGAAAGTCATTCACCGGACCCAAACTTCTCACTCGTCATCATGGATGTCCTCGACAACAGAAACTACTTCGAACAATGTTTGGTGGAGAAGTTTGTCGAAATGAGCACGAGTTCCAGGCTGGGAGTCAATCCGAACCGGCCCCGATCGTGGGTGTTTGCCCTTCCCAGCCTGTCATCAAACACACAAACCCCGTCTGTACGGTTTTCTATACGAGCTGCCAGCTTGATATACTTTGCCGTGGCCCAGCACAACAAGAGCGCCGAGGTCGAGGCGGTGCGCTGGTATCTCGCCGGTCTTGAGAGCCACCGTGGTCTTATACAAGGTAGCACTCACACCAGCTCAAGTTCATTAATGCACAAGTCAACGTCAACCAGCCCGGACATATCAGTGCCGATGATGTTTCTCTACTTCGAAACGATGAAGCGGACGTCCCTTGACGCTTGGGCTCACCACCTCGCGGCGGCTGTCACCATGGTCGAGGCTCAAGGTCCGGATTATTACCGTGCCGGCCAGGATCACGCCATGTTTAGGTCTCTTCGCACATATGCGGTTCGTATCAGTCTTTTGGTCTACGTGAGTAACCTCTAATGCGACTCTTCTAGGCTTTCAAGGCTCTTCTCTGGAACGACCCTTGCAGCTTCGCTTCGCAAGAATGGTGTGAAGTGCCCTTCACCGACAGCACCAAGATCCCCTACGAGCTTTTGATCGACATCCTCCTCGCCGTTCCTCACCAAATGAAGCTCCCCTTGGCCCCTGGTGGCGACTTCCGGGACTCCATGCACAGGATTGCGTATCTCGACGAGTCTGAGCGGCAGGTGCTGGAAAGGGAGACCCTCGTTCTTCTTCAACGCCTTCAAAATTGGTGGTGGCATTTCACCCAAAATACCGGCGCCCTTTTTGCTCAGCTGGCTGCAAACCTGACACCGGATGCCGTCGACTCAGTCACGACCTCGCCGCTTACCGAACAACCAGGTATATTTCCTGACACGTTGACCGCCAAGACGGTCTCACTGTACAACTCAATGATGGTGATCGTCTACTCGGTGCTGATGTATCTGGAAGAATGCAGCCAGTCCCTCTCCTGTGACGGGACGATGTCGCCCATCTCGCGCTACCGTTTCGAGATCGAACGCCACTCGTCCTCGGTCCTGATGGCCGCCTGGTACCAGAACTGGCGGCACCCTTACTGCGGCGACGCGTTGCGCACAGGCTTCTCTCTGAAGATCGTGTCGTGGCTGGGTGCACACGAGGGACAGAGAGAAGAGGCACACCGGATGATGGCTTTGTGGGGCATGGAGAGCAAGATTGTAGTAGGATGAGTTACCTTGTCCTCAGGAGACTATGTTCGTTGGGGACATAACCGATTCAACGACATGACTACCCAAGGGTATATCGAATGATGTATGTGTGCATATATTTCTCCAGGTGCCCGCCGGAGCCAGACCACCCAGCAAACGCTTTTACATTTCTTTTTTTTCCCTTTCAAGCTTCCCCTCGTCGATTTCCTTCCGTCTTTACCAGCCATTGATTGATGAACTTCTGGATCTCCTCGTTGTTCGCCTCGATGGCCATCAAGTGGCCGTTCCCCCTGATGCCCCTGTCGGCAAGATAGACGTGTTCAACGGGCACGCCCGCGTCACGGAGGAAGTCGGCCGTCAGGTGGTCGTACGCGGCGTGGTAGGAGGCCTCGGCGGTGACGAGCAGGACGGGGATGGAGGTGAGATTGACGAGCTGTCGTGGCGGCCGTGTCTGGCGACACACCGCCTCAGGACCACACCGCTCGTAGCTGAGCTGCGTGGCGTCGGCGGCCAGCGCGGGCGCGAAGTGCAGCGGCGTCGTCGTGGCCCCGAACGGATGCAGCAGCGTCCCGACCATACCTGGTCGTTTGTTGAACGGCGCCACGTCCGGAGGCTCGAACGGCGGGCCGTGCGGCTCCAGCGCCACGATCCCCTTGACCATGTCGGGGCATTCGTCGGCGATGTGCCACCCCAGCGGACCCGACTGGGAGTGCGTGACCAGGTACGCCGGCCCCGTCTTGGTCAGGAGCGCCCGCGCCGCCTTGCGCACCCACTGTTCCATGGCCTTGTAGTCGGCGTTGTGGCCGACTTGGCTGGCGTAAAAGGCGTCGAAGTGCGCGTCGCCCATCCTGCCCGTGCCGGGCCACTGCCTGTGCAGTGATGCTGTCGGCCAGGCATCAGGGTCCGGCGCCGTGAACACCGCCTGCAGCTGCTCGACGGTGTAGTGCTTCAGGGGGCCCATGTCGCCGTGGTGGTACCGCGACCGGCCCACGCCGACCAGGTCGACCACGTAGCACGGCCACCCATTATCGTCCTGCTGCTGCTGCTGCTGCTGCTGCTGCCGGGCCTGCAGGAGCGCCAGCCCCGGCCGGCCGTCGGGGGTGACTTCAAAGTGTGTCCCCGTCTGCGCGGCGCCGTGGATGAAGATGACTGCCGGCCGATCAGGGGCGTCGTTGTTGCCCCCGTCGTCGCCGCCGCCGTAGTGTCGCACGCACATTTGCCCGCTCATGTGCGTCCCTTCCTCGTCCCGTATGTACTCCCCGCCGACGTAGAAGACAGGCGGGATCTTCCCTTTCATCGTCGATGTCGTCGGCATGACTGGCGGGCATCCAAGGGAGCTGCTTCGCTGTATAAATGGCAAGAGGGCGCAGACCATCGTATCATATAAGTCCGTCCTCTCCCGCACCCGCTGAGAATACCAACCTCTGCGCCCATATCAAGATCCACGTATTCGCTCCGTCGGGGCCGTGCCTCTCTGGCTCGACCGCCCGAGAAGCGGTCGCTCGCGAGAGCGACTCTCGTCCACTCTTCGGCCGCCCATATCCACCCACAACATCTGCCGAACCAGGAGAGGGAACGCTCAATATCCCCGGTATGGCATGGTATACTGTTACCATTACAATTACACATCTTGAGCACAAAACCCCTGGCAGAAACACGGCGTGAGGGGGGAGGGAGGAGCAAGGATGCAGGTTCCATTACAGTATTCGACCTGAGGCATCAGCCGACGTCGTGATATCATCCCTGAGACGTCCGATCGAATCCAGACGGGCCGAAAGGGGTAATTGCCACGACACTTGCATATTATACTTTTAGTACTCGGTACATACATACCCATGTGTCATGTGTGGCGAGCTCGAGGCAGTCGGCCAGTCATTCAGTCCGGCACTCTGGCACTTTTCCCACTTAGCAAATCCTGCCAATGTCAACCGAGGTCTTGGAACTGTTATGTCGACAGGGCTCCAATTGTGGGGTTTGTGTGTGAGCTAGTGAACAGTCGTGAGCTGATTTTCTGGGGAGCAATGGAGTTTCGGGAGTGAGTGATATGTATCTTTCGGATGAATGTACGAAAAAGGCGCGTAAAAGGTGGCGAGTTAACTAGCTGAATCCATTCCTCGATACGAACATGGCAGGCTTTATGCTTTGGAGCTACACATGTAGAGCTCTAGAGACGGTTTAGAGAGGATTGTTCTATGTAGATCAGGTGCCCCCTTGGTGCCAACTGGTCCATGTATCATGTCAGCTTAGGGCTAGCGTTGGGAGAATACAGGACCAAAAAGCGTTGAACGAAGAGCTGCAACGTGGAATCACACAACCCTTGGACAGCCAAGAGCCATGAGGACCTCCACCACTACTACGAGGATATGCGGATGACTCCCACGCCGTTCTCGATCGAGATCTTCGTCCCAAACGGCTTCGAATACTCCACCATCTGCTCGAGAATGCTCTGCGCCATCTCCGGCGACGGGCGGCGCGGCGTGCCCACCTCTGAGCCCGGTCGATGCAGGCCCAGGTCGACGGGGTATATGAGCACTTCCACCAACCTGCCGTCCTCGTAGGAGCTGGTGGCCAGGATGGCCTCGAAATTCTCGGGCCGCTGCAGCCAGGCCCAGCGGGACTCGTTGATCTCGCCGTCGCCGACGACGGGGCCGGTCATGGTCGCGGGCTGGCGTTCGGCGTCGTCGCGCCACGAGCGGAACCGCTGGTTCTGGAACACGAAGTTGTTGACGCCGTAGAATATGGGCTTTCCTTTATAAATCTCGACGCCCTTGAGCGTGTGCACGCCGTGGGCGAAGAAGAGGTCAGCGCCGTTGTCGATGACCTCGTGGGCGAGCTTGACCTGGAATTCCGCCGGGTAGTGGTCGAACGAGTACTTCTGGAACGAGAAGCGGTTCTGGTGCCAGTGGATCGTGAACGCCGCGAAGTCCGAGAACTGCTTGCCCGTACGCACCTCGCGTAAGATCTCGCGCTCGTCCACCGTGTCCATATCGTACGTCAGCTCGCCCGGCCCCGGCGTCACCTTGAAGTGCACGTCGAACGCGTCCAGCGTCGGCCCGCTACCCTCGTCACCAGCGATCTTGCGAAGCTGGGCCATCTGGGCCTCGGTCACGCCTTGGTAGACCTTGAGTCTCAACGAGTTGTTCTTCGACGTGATGGGCCCCTTCGAGTTCAAGTGGTGCTCCAGCCGTTTTTTGATGGAAGCAGCCTCTTCCGTGACCGCATCGATTGTGGTTGCCAACTGGAACACCCGGCCGAAGAGGAGAAGGCTGCCCTCTGCGCGTTTTGTGTCTCGGTCGATTGGGTTGGGAACTTCTTTTCCCCGCTCGTAGAGAGACTCTTCCATGGCGTACAGTTGCTGCAGCTGCTCTTCGGTCACGACCACCGGGTCTCCGCGCGGCAGGCCGTAGAGTTGAGAATAATCCTCGACCTCGGCGTAGGCGCCGGCGAAACCGACCGTCCCTTTCGGCAGGGTGCGAAACCGAGCGAGTCTTGCCTCCGTTAGATTGTAGTCGGTTCCCACATAAGCGATGCCGACGCGGGAGAGCTGCTCAAAGTTCTGGATCAGGCCGGCCTCGCCGTTGTCGAACGTGTGGTTGTTCGCCTTGGACACCATGGCGATTCCCATCGCCGCCCAGTCGTCGGCGATCTCGGCGGGCGCCTCCATGTGTGAGATCGGCCCGCGGAACGTGAGCCGGTTCACGATCGTGTTCTCGTTGTTGGCCAGCGTTATGTCCGCCTTCTGCATCACCTCAACTAGCGCCTGGATGTCCGGGTCGTCGCGGTTCGCGAAGGGCACCATCTGAATCAGATCGCCCACCACCGCGACCGTGAAGGGCTTCTTAATACGCATAGCCAGCTCGCTTTCCTTGTCCCGGTAGCATCCCGGGGGCTTCATTGACAGTGCGTTCGGCATCTTGAGGCCTGATCACGGATTTTCACCGTCGCAGTCTCGCAAAGGGGTTGAAAAACGGGTTGATTTTGTCTGCGTGGAAAACTTGCCTGCGACCGCACATGGAAGTCGAAGCATATACTTCTCGATACGGCGCACCGTGCACCAATATATACACCTACCTTGTCATCGAAAGACTCGCAAGACATTCCCAAATAAAGCAGCCATCTGCACTCGGACTTTCCTTCCTGCCCTTGTTTCGCCCCATCTGCTCCGTTCCCGGAGACTCTCGACACCTGTGCAGTCTGGGTTAATAACAATGTCGGGAATTCCGACTCTGACGTGCTCGGTTCCGCCCCTTTCCTTTGGGACATTGTCCAGGGATGTCTCGGTGTCAGAAGCGATGCTCTCGAACGAGTGCTAAAGGTTCCCCGCTATATGCAGTTGTCGTGGAAATTGCTCCTTTGGGCGTAGTGTGAGTGGAGCTTTACGACGGGATGGGAAATATGCGAGACGCCTGCATCAAGCGCCTCTGGGGCAAGAGGGGAGGAGTCTGTCCGGGAACCGAAGTCTGTGGGCTGAGGGCCAAGAAGGAAGGACAATCTAGCCATCCCCGTCCTCCAGCCGCATGATTGCCACGGGTCCCCGCGCTCTTTTGGCATTCCGCCAAATACGAGGCACTGTTCCGCCGACTCAAACCTTGGGGGATATCTGGGGATTGACACAATTGGGAGCATAAAAAGATACCTGTGCCATCTCCATTCCCCAACTTCGTGATGTGACCAAAGAAACATTACTATCTCTGTGTCGAATAGTCTTCTTGTGTGGCTCGAAGTGTTTGCAAGTCGAGATCGCATAGGGTGTGGCCCAAGCAACAATGGCTTCGTCCGTAGAGAAGTTCGAAGGCAAGGAAGAGATCCAAGTCGAGCATCAGGCTCCAGACGCCAGCACCAAAGAGATCCATGGATTCGTATACGAGGATCCGAAAACGGCACCCAAGAAGACTCAAGCTGAGCGCAAGCTGGTGTTCAAAGCTGATTTGTTGATCGTGGGCTTGACCTCGATGGTCTTCCTGGTGAACCAGTGGGTGTGTTTCCCGTTCCTTGTCTGGCATACCGCAGCCACCCCTTGCCCAGTTGAAGCGTGTTTGGTTGACGCAGGACAGGATCGAGGGAACATTGGCAATGCTCGAGTCATGGGTTTCCAGAAAGACCTGCACATCAGCAATGCACAGTTCTACAACGCCATCTCCCTCTACTGTCAGTCTCCCCTGTATAATGATTAGTTTAGCGAGTGAATTGCTGACCAACGCCACGAAGATGTCGGGTACATCGTCTCCATTTTGCCCGCGAGTTTGTCCGTCCGCTATTTCAAACCTCACCGGCAAATTGGAGGTTGTGTCATTCTCTTCGCCACGCTCTCCTGCTGCATGGCAGCCGCCAAAAACGCCGGCACCGTTCTAGCCCTGCGAATCATCTTCGGTTTCGCCTCGGCCTTCCTGCAAGCCCTGACCCTCTATATCAGCATGTGGTACAAAAGGAATGAAATGGCAACACGATCCGGTATGTCTTTCTTCGTGCTATTTGCTTCTCAAGCGCTAGTGGCGGAGATCTGACCTGGGGCAAAGGCGTCTTTTATTCCGCTGCCACAATTGCCGGAGGCTTCAGCGGTCTGATTGCCTATGCGATCCAAAAGAACCTGGATGGCGCTCTCGGCAAACCGTCCTGGTACTGGCTATTCATCATCGAAGGATGCGCCGGTATCTTCGTCGGCCTTGCCTGTTGGATACTGTTGCCGCCGTCCCCGGACCAATTGAAGAAAAAGCACTGGATCTTCACCGACAATGAGATCGATCTGGCAATCAACCGCATGAAGACATACAATGTAGAACACGCCGGGTTCAAGTGGAAGCAGATGTGGCTGGCCCTGAAAGATCCCAAGATTGTACCTTTCTGGTTCATCAGCGCCGGGGTTTCTCTGGCGTTGGCTTCCATCAGTGCCTTTTTGCCAAGCTTCATCGTCGAGTTTGGATACTCAACTGGTAAGTTCATTATCCAACACTTTAGGACCCTGCTGACAGGTCTTCAGTCCAGACGCAGCTCTTCTCAATCATCCCATATGCCTGCGCCTTCGTCACACTGATCGTGGTGAACATCGCCTCTGACCGACTCAACCTCAAGGGGGTGTTCCTTCTGGGTCTCATATCTACCAGCATTGCCGGATATGTGATCTTGATCGCAGTGCACAATGTCAAGGTCAAGATCTTCGCGACATGCCTGATCACGATGGGCACGTTTCCCAGTGTGACGCTGATGGGGGCCTGGATGAACATCAACACCGGAGGCTTCACTAAGCGCGCCACTACCTGGGGTACGGCGGAGATTGTTGGACAGTGCTTCGCCATCCTCGGTTCGCACATCTACACTGATCCCCCACAGTACATCAAGGGCCACTCGATTGTACTGGCTTTTGAGATCCTGGCGCTGCTGTCTACTGTGTACTGCTGGTTCTGGATGCGGTGGCTGAACAACAAGAGGGACAGGGAGGTGCTAGAACACGCCGAGGCTGGGACGACGGATCCTAACCTCTCGAAGACCCTCGAGGACATCCAGGACTATCATCCGTCCTTCCGATACATTCTGTAGTGTATTCACCTGATGGTGAGGGACATGCACAGAGCCCTGGGATGGATCCTGGGGAGAGGCTGAGTGCTGCTGGCATGTACATGTTTCTGATCATTGTCCACTCTGCTCTCTTGTTGTGTCCGTCACTGAAAGGGTGCTGGGCGGACCTGTCCTTTCACTTTGTGTATGTTCTCTGCCGGTAAAGTGATGAGCCTGCACTTGCTTGTGGTGGAAGAAAATGAGCACATCCCAGTCTCGTGATGTCGAGATAAGACAAGCAAGTAAGAGTCGAATAACTCAGATGACCATTGAAAAAAATTGAAAATGTCTCTATCAGGGGGAGGTTGAAAATGAGGCTGAGAATGACGTAATGAAGTCCGTAATAAACATGTACGAGATACCGTTTATTACACTCGTTACGGCACAGGACTGTCAAATGATCCGCCGTAGCAGCTACTGCGGACTACAGACCAGATTGCGGGGAAGCGAGAGGCAAGCCTCCCGTACCTCCTTTGACCCTCGTCCAACTCGGTGCCGCAACTTGTACTTCGTCCATCTCGAGAGAATCCTTTCGGCATCGCAACAACCTCAAACCGCCCCAATTTGGAGCTGACCTGGTGCAGGCTCCCCTTACGCACCGAGGGAAGCAAAAATGAGGGGGAAGAGATCGATCGCTCAGCGGTTCCGCACAGGCCAAAAAGCCAATCATCCGATACTGCACTAGGTCCAAAACACGAGTGGTGTGAGGAACATGCGACCCAATAGGTCCTGGTAAGCACAACATAACATCTGAACAACGAGACTTTCCTCTTCACCGAAGCCATAAGATACGTTGGCCATTTCCCCTCTTCATCAGGTCTCAGAGATACATAAAGCCCCTGTGCCCAATTGAGGATGCTCGCCACCGTCGTGCGAAGAAGCGGCATTGGAACGTTTAGAACAACTCTCAAAACAGCTCCGAGGGTTCGATACATATCCTCCATGATGAAGGCACTTGTCTACAGAGGCCCTGGCCAGTGCGGCTTGGAAGATCGTCCTGTTCCCAAGATCCAGGAGGCCTCCGATGCCATAGTGAAAGGTGAAACCCAGCCTCTTTGATGTGTGATGGACAGCAGCTGATCATGCTCGCAGTCGTCTATACAACGATCTGTGGGACCGACACACACATCTTGAAGGGGGACGTCCCGACGTGTACGCCTGGCCGTGTCCTTGGACATGAAGGTAGGGCGTCGTCAGGCCATGGAAAACCCCCCAGAGCTAACGAATGCAGGTGTTGGCGTTGTCGAGGAGCCAGGTCCAGGAGTCTCGCGGTTCAAGAAGGGAGATCGTGTCCTCATCAACTGCATTTCCAGCTGTGCCACTTGCAACTACTGCCGGAGAGGGATGCCCAGCCACTGCGTAAGTGCAGGATGGATCCTCGGAAACACCATCGACGGAACGCAGGCCGAATATGTCCGCATCCCGTTCGCTGACAGTGGCCTACACCACGTCCCCAAAGGCGTGGATGAAAAGGCGCTGGTCATGCTGTCCGACATCTTTCCCACGGGACTCGAGTGCGGGGTGCAGAATGGCAAAGTCCAGCCCGGGTCGACTGTCGCCATTGTCGGCGCGGGTCCCGTGGGCCTTGCGGCGCTGATGACCTCCAGGCTCTACTCGCCGAGTCTGATCATCATGATCGACCGGGACCCCAACCGTCTCAAAGTCGCAAAGTATTTCGGGGCTCACTACACCGTGAACAGCGCCGAGGCGTCACCCCTGGAAACGGTCATGAAGCTGACGGACAACATCGGTTGCGACACGGTGATGGAAGCCGTCGGCGTGCCCGAGACGCTGGAAATGGCTCAGGATCTCGTGGCGCCGGGCGGGACCATCGCCAACGTCGGCGTGCACGGCAAGAGTTGCGAACTGAAGATCGAGAAGTTGTGGGTGCACAACATCTCGCTGACCACTAGGCTCGTCGACACCGTCACCACGCCGATGCTGCTGAAGCTCTTCGCCGCGGGCAGCATTAACCCGGGACAGTTGATCACGCACGAATTTCCGTTCACGGACATGGACAAGGCGTATACTACTTTCAAAGCCGCTGCGGAGCACAACGCCTTGAAGATGTTGATCACGGTGTAATCACCAGGTGCTATTGAAAAAGTCTGATAGTAGTAATGTTGTTTGCACATACGATAATGGTACATGATGGTATACCATGTACGGAGCATGCCCACAGACAGTTCATGGGCTCGATATCAAGCTTCTTTTTCTTTTTTCAAAACCCCAGTCCCTTGACTTCAGGGTCGCCCATCAACGCGCTCGTGACTTCTTCCTCTCCCACTCGCAGTCGGACTTTTCCCGCTCTTTCGCCCTTCCCTCTCATTTCCATCGCGATGACACCCGCCTCCACTAACGCCATCGCGGCCCCTCCCAACGCCAGAATCCGGGGCATGACAGACGTGGAGGTGGAGGTGGAAGTAGAAGTGCTCTTTCCGACTGTGTCGTCCGCGTGCAAGAAGTCCTGGATGGAACTGTTGTCCGCGACATCCATGATGCGCTTCGCCTCGACGGTAATGTCTCCCATGGTGGATTCGGCGACGCCCGTGCGGCGACTGAGTGCAGATATCGCCGCGAGGAGAAGCTTCGAGGCCAGTGGGAGGGAGCGCAGGTGCTGCGCGACCGGAGACGACGTGGCCTCGTTGATCGCTTGTTTGATCGTTGCGATTGTCACCCTTGCCAGTCGCTTCGGCGCCGCTTCTTCCTGCCCACCGCCATTTACCTTGTCCTTCGGGACATTCCTTCCTCTGCGGCTCGGGGTGGTTGCTGTGACGTCGTCATCGTTGATATCTCCAGACGCCGCATTCTGCTTTTCCTGAGACTGTTCGGCGATTTCCACTGCTCGGCGGCAGATGTCGAGTGCCCGTCTGGCGTCGCCGGAGACGGCGGCGACTTTGCGGCTTGCAAACTGTACGGCGTCCTTGTCAACGATATTGCCCGGAACACCCTCCAACCTCGACGATATGATCTCCATCAGCTGTGTGTGTGTGTAGCCCGGGAACGTTATCCTGGTCAATCCTAGTCTCGAGCTGATCTTGTTGGACAACGTCCGCTCGGGCAGATCCATGGTGTTGGCGACAGCCAAAACGATAAGTCGCGAATGTCGCATGGCCGGCCAGTTGAAGAAGTTGTACATGACGCTTTGATTCTTCGTCACCAGCTGGTCGAGTTCGTCCATCAGCACGACGCACGGTATGCGGCGTGGCGAGGGGTGCGAGAATTCCTGCTCCAGAAGGCTCAGCGCGTGATGCGGACTGACGCGGTCGCCCTTGAGCGCCTCCCACAGGAGCGAGTACGATTGGTGCGGCTCGGTGACCTTCATGCCGTTGATTTCGACGAAGTTGAAGTCGTCGAGTTCCTCATTCAGAACCGCCTCGTGGAGTGATGCGACCACTTCGCGGACCGTGGCCGTCTTCCCCGTCCCCGGTGTCCCAGAGATGTAGATGCATGCGCCGGAGCCATCCACGATGGCGGAGTAGAGATGAGAATAGACGGTGTGGAATTCATTAGAGCGGCAAGGGAGAGACGTCGGGACGGCAGAAACGTGCAGTGTCGAACGTGCATGAGAATATGGTGTCGACATATACTGAGAAGGAGACAGGACGCGAGTGCCCAGAGGAGTGATCTCGATAGGCTTTTTAATCATGATCCGTTTGTGAGTTGGCGTGCTGTATTTAGAGGCCTTTGCCGAAGACCTCGGAGTGGAAATTGTCGCTGTCGTCTTCCTTCTTTTGTGAGGAGTCCGGGGCTCATCACCAACCGTCTCCTTCTGCTGCACGTATTCCACATCCTCGGTTTTGAGAGTCTGCTTCCTCCGACCCTTCGTCTGCTCTTTGATCCAATCAATCAAGTCCAAGAGATCCTCGGGACCGCTGTAGATCTGTTCCCACACGAAGTCCTCGGTGAATCGTACTGTTCTCTGCTTGACCCCCCGCCGGCACAGAATGGTCTTAGCATATCGGTTCGCGGCCGCCTTAGACTTCGGGGGTTCGCCTCCAGGGTATTTCTGTAAGAAGGCCTCCTTGGACAGCACGGTTGCCTTTCCATTTATGGCGGTCAGTGGGTTCATGTTGAAGTCGGTCGTGATGTAGGATTCATTGGGCAACACATCGTGGGGGATCTTGGAGCGTTTGCCGAACATCAGCTCCTCCGGCGTGCAGAACCACTGGATGTACACACACATCTCGTCTTCCCCGTCTTCGTTAGTGTCGGAGAACGAGCACGCCAGTCCCACCCAATCTTTGCCTTCCTCGGGAGATTTCAGCAGCACCGAATCCCCGATCCGCACCACGAAGGAACCCATGCGCGCTCCCACGATGGAAGCCCTTTTCGGGTTGAGGGCGTGCGCCTTGCGTTTCTTCGAGGGTGTGGACTCATCTTCTTGGGGTGTGCTGTGGCCGTTCTCGTCTTCATAGATCCATTGCCAGGGGTGATCTTCATATCCGAGTTCATCGTCCGAATCCTCGCGTCGAAGGCCCCCTGTTGTCGAGTATCTCTTTGGCTTCGGCATTGGTGAAAAAGCAGTGGCTTTCGGGGTATATAATTTGCGTAGTTCAGGAATTTATCTTGCTCCCAGGATGCCTGACTGAGAAGTTGTGAGGGCTCTGAATTGCCAACCCCGGAAGCCAAAACGCGTCGACGCGTCGACGCGTATTAGGTAATAATCCATTCAGCATCAGAGCTAACCATTTACAGCTAGGTTATCTTGGCACAGATGCGATGGCAGCGTCCGTCGTTCCCAGTTCCATCTTCATGCACTTCGCCTCTCAATGGACGTAGACGACAAGGAAGACACTCCGATGTTCCTGTGGCATTCTCCTCTTCCATTCCTCTTCCATCGTCCCATACAGAATAATGGTGTCCTTGCTGCATGTTGACCTCGGTTCAACGGACACAAATTCACGCTAACAGGCCGGCACTGTCCCTGCCCAAATCTAATATCAGATTAGCAACGTCGATGTTCAAAAACTGACCGCCTCCTTTATGATCGCACCTCTTGTATTTGTTACCCAAAGGCTCGTGTTGCACCAAATTTGATCCCAGGAGCACGCTTGTCTTTGTTTTTTGAGGCAGGCCGGTAAACTTCCCTTGTTTGCTTCATGCCACTTGGCTTGTCACATTTGATTTCGCTTCAACAAGGTCTTAAAAGCAAAAGCAGTGCTAGAGCTTATCGCTTTGCTGCTCTGCGACGTGGCTGCTTGGTTAATCTGGCCGGGTTCACATCTCGTTTGACTGCTGAGAAGGCCCTTTTCCATTCTTGCTCAATGCGTTTCACTCTTTTTGTTTTCTGAGCACAGAAGTTTCGCTCGTCGCTCACACCTCCTTCGCCACGACAGTCTCATATGGAGTGTTGAACTACTTTCATTCCCAACAGCAGAAACAGCTGTCATCATGAGCGAGTGAGTTCAGGTGAAGTCGGCGCATCTTGTTTGGGAGCTAACTTGTCGATCTAGCCACGAGGGTGAGGGTCTTGACCTTGAACGTATGTTTCCACCGAGACATCATGCTGTCGTCTACCGTTCCAACACGGTGCTTTGAAATCTGCTGACTTTTTGTAGGTTGGGAGGAGGCAAGCTTGCCTGGTGACTCAGTCTTTTCGTATGCACAGGCCGATGTGTTCGACCGAGGAATAGTCACGGGGAGTGGCGATTTCCATGCGGCACCAGCAAACTGCTACAATCCAGGAAGAACATTCACAGGTGGTCCTCGGAACGACTCCTTTGCAGACACCTCCTACCCACCTCAGCAGACGGCGTCTGTTGGTCAGAACACGAGACATGGCATCCCGCCAGAGCAAATTTCGAAGGTCCTTTCTCCTGCTCGAATTCAGTTTGAAGGCGGGCAGCCACCGAGTGGCCAATACAAGCTTGCTTCGAACTGGAGGCATCATCAAGCGATGGCGCTGAGGACTGAGGGACCGGCTCAACCATCGCCGCTCCAGAGACTCCGAGAAATAATGGTTAGATTCGGGGCTTTCATAAGAAAACCAGAAGATGATGATGAAAATCTCTTCGTCTGGGGCGAGCCTCATCAGGTCGCAGAGACGAAGGCTGCGCTGGCGCAGTGGGAACGCGACATCCAGGAGGCGCCCCGAGAGGCCAGATTGCCGATCTGGGCCAAATCCACGGCACTGGACGGCAGAGCTGAAAATCGAGCCGAACGACAGAGCCGACAGAACGCATTTGATCAGATATTGCGTGAGGCGCAGATTGATTACCCGGTTGAAGCTGCTCTTCTCTGGCCGAAGGAACCGGATCTCGAGGAGTTTGAGTCGACGAACAGTGACATTCTTGATCAACTCAGAAGCAAATTCGGGTGCCGCATCACCTTTTCACCATCCGACCCCCAGCATATCTTGATCGGTGCCCAGTCCAAAAAAGACGCTCTCTCTCTCATGACAAGAATGACGAACTTGATCAAAGAGGCGATCGCCAGTAGAGATCAGCTTGTGGCGATCAACCTCGTACATCTCCCTGACCACGAGATTTTCAGAGACCGGGTTGGACTTCGAGACATCGATCCAATTTCCGGCACTTACCTGCCGACTCTGCACGGAACTCCACTGGCAGACAAGGACCAATGGGAGCATAAGAGACGTCAGGCTCATCTAGACGATCGCAAGGCCATCAAGAAAGCGATTGATTCTTCCCTCAAAGGGCTAAGGATTTCTCAGCAGCACGTGCGCATGAGGGTCGTCTTTGGCGAGCTAGGGTTCTTGCGCTTCCTGAAACCGCGCGACGGGGCCGAGCATTATCAGTTTGACGAGTTCTACGACATGGCCACAAGAGGACAGGCTAGACTGCTCTTGAATGGTCTTCCCGTGCGACAGGGCAGAGTAACCGATCTTCCAGACGTATTGGAATCAACGGGGCTATTCTCGGAGCGCACTGAATACTACAGTACGCTCTTTGACTTCCAAGGAACATCACCAAACACTATCCTTCGACTCGAAACGGTTTTCTACCCAAGTGGCCGTCACGACACAGAGAGCCGGGAGAAGCGATGGGTTGAGTTGGGGGACACGGTCTCAAGACTTCAACTCAGTCTCATTAATTTTGAGAGGCCAGACTATCAAATCACGCTTGACGCCTTCCCTCTTCGCACGGACAAGTCAACAAAAGTCCACATGTCATCATTCCAAGCTAACGTCACGATGGACCGTCCAATTGACGGCATTAAGTCGCTTCCACAACGACGAGCCAAGTACCCACACGGCCAGCAGAGACTACAACGTGTTTCCGAGCTTATCATGTTGAGGTGGCGATTCAAAAGTACGGACGGGGTCTTCGAACTTCGGCGCAAAGACATCTACGACGAGCTACCAGGTCGAGAAGATCGGAATCCTGGCCCAGTGGAGACGAAGTGGCATGGCCTGTACTATTACCCCCACTGGGATAGCCTAATGGGTGAGTTTGCGAGCGTCACACCAGGCGAGGACATCCGCTGGGTCAAGTCTGTTGGAACCTTCATCCCCGAAGGCGAAGATCAGCACGGACTGGCGCTGCCGAGAGGGTTCAAGAACTTCATCAGCGAAGTCGAGGAAATCCAGGATGTTTTGGCCGAGGCGATTGCCCGATTGGAGAAAGGAAAAGGGAACGCAACGGAGTCGAATTGAGGTGAGGAGTCCGGCGTTGATGGGCACTAAGCGAGTTTAGAGGGATGACTTGACTTGGGGAGAGAGGACCATAAGAACGAACGATGGATGGACAACGGCCTTCTTCAGCCATCTTTAACGCCGCGCATGAGGAGGGATTTGTCAACCTCAGCGGCTTTCGGGGGTCTTTTCCCTTTCTACATTGCACCAGCGAAGTGAATTCACCTCCGTGGACGAGGGACTCTGCGCAGGGCTGGTCAACCCATCGATGATTCTACCCTCACATAGCACAGATGATTTATTCCGTAACAAAAGTTAGTTGACTTTGGTGCAGCGTGCAACCCGTTCTTCACTCGTCTCGCCCATACTCTTCAGGTGTTTGTTTGCCTCGCCTTACCCGGCTCCCTTCGACCCGCTCCCGCTTGCTACTGCTGCTGCCGCCGCCGCCCCTTGTTGCCCACCAGCGCCGAACTGCATGGGCTGTTCCTCGACCATCTTGCGGCGCAGGGCGTCCTCGATGATGCGCAGGCTCTCGGTCTTGCCGCCCACGACCTTCTCGATGTCCTGGAGGTTCTTGGCCAGCTCTTCGACCTTGCCCTGGTAGAACTTGGTGGCGTCCGTTGGGGTTTTTTCGACAAAGAAGCCCGTGCCCACGTCGACCATGACCGTGGGGGCTTTGGGCGGTTGAGAGGGTGAGGATGACGACGTGATCTGTTTCGGTCCCGCCAACGTGCCGGGGACGTAGAGCGACGCTGTGAGAGGGATGAGAAGCGGTGTTTCTGCGCGGAGAGGAGGTGGATTGTTAGCCAAAGCCCCGTTCTTGTTTCCCAATGTCACCACGCTCGCGAATGCAAACAAACAACTACTTCCACACCGTGCCTGCGTGCCTGCGTGCCTGGCCGTGGACGTATGTTTGTCGCAGCAATAACTATTGAAAGTGGGGAGAAACTGAATCAACACAATAGATAGGACGTACCTGCACTCCTCCCCTGCACGCCGTCCTTGATGCTCGTGATGCAGTCCCGGAAGCGCGCCTGCGCTGCCCGCAGCCTCTGGTACGACGTGCTCAGGTGCTCGAGTTCCTGCGACAGCCGCGCCTGCAGCGCCGAGAGTTGCTGCACGGACAGCGTGGTGATGTCGACGGGGGTCTGTGCGGCTTGGGACATCTTTCCTTTTTCTTTCTTCCTTTCTTTCTTGTTATGGGCTTTCTTTTTTTCGGTTTCTGTGTTCTTGGGTTTCCCCGAGTTTGGGAGTTTGCTGAGCGTCCTCACGTGCGGGTTTTCCGAGGTGATGTGACCTGAGTCGGGTGCGGTTGGTGGGCGGTTATAGGAGGTGATGGCGGACGAGAGGCAGGACTTAGGACTGAAGGGAAGTGTTGAGAGAGGGAGCTTTCACTTGTGTCGTGGACAGATTATTCGTTATTTTCTCTGGCGACGAAAATGCGGGGGAAAGTGGGCGGAACATGTCAGCCTTGTCTACCTCGTAATACAGTACAGTAGTAAAACCGTCCCGCCTCTTTCTGCCTTCCCAACGATACATAATAAATTTTCCAAAACCGATGGAATTGCACGTACCTGTCTCTTCCATTGTGCGAGTGGGGTATCCTATGGTACACAGTATAACTACACTTTCACTTCTCAGAGCTGGGTCATCCGTCAAATCTGCTTCAAAAGATCATGCACGAAGCTGACGGCATCGTCGACGCTGACCTCCTGTTTGACCTTCAGGCGTCGACATTGGACCTCGACCTTCCCTTGGTCGAACCCTTTGCCCACAACCACGATGACGGGGTATCCAATAACATCTGCATCCTTCAACTTCCAACCCATCCCTTGCTCTTGTCTGTCGTCGAGGACGACATCGACAGTGCCAAGTGGGGAAGACGATAACTGATTGCAAAGCTGCTCGGCAGCCCGTAATCTCTCCGCATGTGATGGCTGAACAACGACGACCGCTTCGAAAGGCGCAATAACCTTGGGCCAATTGAGACCCACCTCGTCAGAGAGACAAGACGCCACGGCTGCGATCAGACGGGATACGCCGATGCCGTGACAGCCCATCTCCACCGGCACCGCTTCTTTCCCATCATTCTGCTTAGAAGAGAGCCCGAGTTTTGCACTGTACCGGGTTCCGAGGTGGAAAGTGTGGCCGATTTCGATGGCCTTGTCCACTTTCAACTTGCCCTTTTCGCACTCAGGGCAAGGGTCTCCGGATTCCTGGCTCAACAGGTTGATTCGGCCATTTTCGTCGTTCGGGGGAGCCTCGATAACATAGGCATCGATCTCCCGATGCATGGGAGGAGAAGCAATAATGTGGCCAATCTCGTCCAGACGGACTCGCGAGTCTAGGAGATAATATATCGATGGTTTCTTCGCTGCGGCATCCGTTGCGGCACTAGCTAGAGATTCCTTGAAACTCTCCGTGGGACGCTCTAGCCCTGTATCTATATTCAAAACACCGTCCAGCGCTGCCTTAACGGCATGTGCATTGATGGATCGTGCTGCAGATTTGTCTTCGGAGATGTCGTCGGAGAGAAATGGCACGATGGCACGAACCAGGCTCCGACGATCTGTGCTCAGGAAGTGTTCTTCGAGGTATTTTTGGCTAGATTTGCCCTCTGTGGCGCTGAATTCGGGTATCTGAAGCGGTCGAGGTGGATATACCGGTTGGGAAACAAATTCTTCATTGCGTGCATAGTCACAATCCGAGCAAGTGATGACGATATCCTCTCCGGCGAAGTTGGGGAAATGATACTCGTGGCTGAGGTTCCCTCCCATATCCCCCGAAACTGCTCTCGCCTCTACGTAGTGGATCTTGAGCTCGTTCAGGAAGTTACGATATGCGCGCCTTATTTCGTCGTACGTGACATGGGCGTGAGCCGGGGTGGCATCGAAAGTGTAGAGGTCTTTCATGAGAAATTCTCGGCCGCGAAGGAGGCCGCCACGAGGTCGCTTCTCATCACGGTATTTTCGGCCAATCTGGTACAGTCGGACCGGGAGCTGCTGGCGCGTCTGGATGATATCGGCGAGCAAGGTGGTGATCTCTTCTTCATGGGTTGGTGCCAACAGCCACTCCGTATCCCTCCTGTCTCTGAACATAAACATCTCGCCTCCACGCTTCAGGCGTCCTGACTTCTCCCACAGAGCTTGCGAGGATAAGGATGAGAGTGAGACCTTGGAAGCTCTGACCGATCTCATGTGCTTGTCGATGAGTCGCTCTAGCTTTTCCTGGACCCGTAGCCCTAGTGGCAGCATCTGGAATATCCCCGCATACGCCTGCCGCAAATAGCCAGCTCGGATGAGCAGCTGAGTAGCATCTGGAGCCGCATCGTGTTTTTGCACGTTCACTGTAGGGATCCAGAAGTCGGATATTCGTTGCGTCAAAGCGGTATGATTATGGCGAATACTTGAGCTTCTCCATTGAGCTGGACGGGGTGCTGCTCTCCTGGGTGTCCAGGCTGCGGGTGGGAGCTTCATCTCTGGTGTCTATCCAATTCCGCTCACACAGTCGGGCGCATCATTGGTCTTTCACCATTGGCCACCAGATATGTTGTTGAGGTGCTGCTGTCTTTCCAGAGGAGGTTTTTCGAGCAGGAGAAGGAGTCGATGTTGCGAGGCAGCCTATCAATGGTGCTAGCAACAGAACTTAGTAGCGTGCCAAGCGAGCTAAAGATTTTAATTTCCGCTTCACCTTCCAAAATATCCGGCAACCACGAAGATATCATGAGAACTCCTCTTACCTCGTATTTTTCTCAAAGAAGGCAACGCACAGATGCCCTTGGTTGTGCAGTCTCGCATGGCCGAAAAGGAGTGAAAACGGTTGCTTCAGCATATCTCTGCCTATATCTCCGTTGCCACAATTATTGACCGCCAAGATGAGGTAGGAAACCGAAAATCTTTAGGAGGAACTCCTCATAGGACAACCAGGCTCCCCCTCTCCTTTCCCTTGCTCCAGTCTTTGGTTTCCCTGAGCGTGGCGGTGGATTGGTACCGTCCAGCTATGAGATGGCTCTATATCATAGGTCGACCAAACGTCCCTAAGAGTAATCGGTGCCACTCACCCGACGTGCCAGGCAAACCTCGGAGCAAGCTTTGCGGTGTTTGAGGACCTGTAGGCGGTGATGCGCACAAGAATGAAAAGCCACCAGGATCTTAACAACTTCTGGTCAAGGTCTCCCTCAGCTCCTCAACGGGCTCTGTCAAGGATGAAAGATGATCGCCTTCAACCTTGTTGCTGCCGTCGCGGTCTCCCTCTTCTCGTGTCTTGCACTGACACATCCCGCCACCACCAGCGAGAAGGTCGTCCTCGTGAATATCACTACCCACTCCCTCCAGGTGCCACCTCACATTCTCCAAAAGCGTTATTATAAAATGAAGCCCTGGGACCCGCCATATAAAGGAAAGCCACCGCCCTGGCCGCCACAAGAGTCCGCAGCCTTCCCTGTCCCCAGCTTCAACCGCACTTGCTCCACCGACACTCGGGTCGCACTCTGGAAATGGCGCTACCTCTGCGACCGGGCCAACGATGAGTCGCTCAAGACGACCAACCCGCGAACCCGGATACAATTCTGCTTCCACCCTCGTCCCACGGAGGCGCTCTGCTGCGACGCCGACGGCAACGCCAAGTACGGCCAAACCTGTCTCAGCTCGCCGCTGTGGCCCCAGGACGACGCGGAGGCCGCCTGGTGCGCCAAGTGCCGTCTGTGGGAGGCGCCGTGCGTCTTCGGGGACTACCCGGAAATCAACAACCCGGAGAACGTGTGCAAGTGTCAGTTCGAAAAGTGCTACATTCCCGACGACTTCAACTGGGAGGGCATTAACCCCGAAACGGACCGCAGCGGATACCCGGGCTTGAAGAAGACGTCCTATCTGCACGACGTGAAGACGTGGTACGGGTTCTTTTCGATACCCAAGGATCATGTTACCATGGCCGATTTGGAGGAGGCGGATTGGTTGTGAATCGGATTTGCAAGGTGAGACGCAAAACTAGCCTTCAGCAAACTGGGCAGCTTTGGTGAATAGGCATTATGGCCGGGTGTGTATGGGGAAGGCGGGTATATGATGACTCCCATGCGCGTAGGATGTATTCCGAAAAGCGGACAGCGGATATGAAACAAATGCTAAGACCCCAGTGTCACAAGAGAATACATAAAATGCCTCCTTTCCCCCAAGTCTCAGAAGAGAACAATCCGCTCCGCCAGGCGAACGCGATCCCAAGGACATAAACCCCAGGGAGCACAAGTGACATCCCTCAACTCCAACCCGATACCGATACGTTCATTCACTCATTCAGTCCACATCAATGAAATCCGCAGATTCTATCTACAAGAACTACAGTCAGTTCGTCGGCTGGAATGCGCCACATCCAACGGGCGGGCAAGCAACCAGTTTCTTCAACCAAACCAAAAAAGAAACCCCCGGCAGGCCGTGCCCCAAAAGGCAATTCGGTACTGTCTTTTTCAGTGGGCTTTGGCTGAGGATTTGTTGGCAGTCTATGTTGGAGAGGTGTGTGTGTGTGTGTGTGTGTGTATGCGGTGAGGCAAGGAACTTCTGGTGTGTCTGTGGTAGGGCTGTGGTGGGCGGTGTTGCCTCCAATGTCACCTGTTAGTTAGCAAATTACATATGTGGAGAATAATAGGAATGAAAAAGGTACGACAGGTGGTGTGCAAATGGTTTCTGACACTGTAAGCTGGATGAGAAGTCTAAACAGGCCATGATGGTTAAGAATGAGGGCCCAAGCGATATCACAATACCGTCGACCTCAACCTCGACCTCGAAAGGGTTGCATATCTCCTTCATCAATGACCGTTCACACCATTCATGCCATTGACTCGCTCCTTCAACTCACGGTACTCCTCCTGCGCCTCTCTCTCCCTCCTCATCACAAAGCTGACTTCATCCCTAAGCCTCTCCAGCCTCCGTGCCAATGCACCCTCTTCCCCAATCTGCAGGGTCCTGAAGCCATCCAGCTGCGCTCTCTGCTCCTCAATCTGTTCATAGACGGTGGCAATCTTCTGTTTTAGGGTCTTTTGCCGCGCTTGATACCCTCCCAAGTGCAATGATAGCTTCTTCTCGAGCTTATTGCCTGCTTCCGCAGCAGCGAGAAGGTCCTGCTGTGCAGATTTAAAAGCGGCCAAGTATTCTTCCGTGGTTGTACTTGCATTGAATCTCAACGGCAAAGCGTTTCTTTCTTTCTCTGAACTGGCGAGGCCTTCCACAGCGGCCACATAGGCTTGGCGATCTGTCTCATTGAACGTCGCTTTCAACTCCTGACGAGCCTGTTCCAGCAAGTCATCGGGCAGCGATCTCAATCGAGGAGGTTCGCCAATGACTTTCGAGCCAGGAAGGGGGAACTTGCTTGCATCGTTGGCCATGAGCAGGGCGGCCTCTTGGGCGATCATTGCCCGGATGGGATCGGTTATGGACGTCGCTGCTGAAGCGAGTGCAGTATAATTGATGGTAGTGGGTCGTGGCAGAGCTCTTTGATAGACTTGAGTCTGTCGTCTGAACTCTGCCGCTGCTGCCGCTTCCCGTGCTTGACGCTCGCGCCTGTCGATTTCATCTTGATCCTCCCTCTCCAGACCCACTCTGCCCGAGGCCTCTTCCTGCTCGGATGGCAACACTTCCAGTTCCCATTCAGTCTCCTTGGGCCTTGGTAGAGATGCAAGCTTCGCTCTGAGGGACTGCCTTGTGACTTGCTCGGCTAATCGCATATCCCGTGGGGTTTGCGCTACCAGCTGTCGTTCGCCTTTTTCATTGATTGTCAAATTGTCGCGTGGTGTGCGCAATGGTGTGGCACCAGGAAACTGTCCTGGACCTTCGGCTTGGCGCAAGGGCGTCGCCATTGGGTTAGGGGTTACCATTTGCTGTCGTCGAGGCGCAACTCCATCGAATCCTGTAGAGCCACTGCCCTCGTGCAGTGGTGTGTTCTCCCCACCCAACAAAGATGACTGCGTTTCGGTGAGTGCTCTGATGTTTCTGATCTCATTGGCGATATGGTCTTCTTCCGCAGGTGCTCGAGGCGTGCGAATAGGTGTAGCTCCGACCATATTGGCATAGTTGGAGACAAGCCCTCGTCCGTCTCCGTCTTCCTGTCCGACTGCTCTCACTGCTCTGTCACCCGCCATACCCATCTTGACGATTTCTTCCAGCTCGCTTTCGCTAACTTGGGGGGCAGGCAAGTTTAGCGCTCTTCGCTTGCTCTGTTGCTCGGCTTCTCGTAATCGTTGCATTTGTCCCGCTCTCGCAGCGGCAGCAGCCATCGCGGACGAAGATTTGTCTTTGTCTTGTTTTTGCCGCTTTGGGTCGAGATTGTCTTCGGGATCTCCTTGTCTCTTTCGTGCCAACTGTTGCTTGCGCGGGTCAAACAGTTCTCGTTCCCGTTCATTCTTTGCCAGCTCCTCTTGCGTATCATAGAAGCCGGGCGCAGCCTGTTTTTCAAAGGGAACGTCTGCATTGTAATCCATCTGGCCCTTTTTACGGGTGGTGATCTTGATATTGATGCCGGAATTTTTCAGCTCTCGGCGTTTCTGGAGCACGGCCAGCCTTCGTGACTCCTCCAATTGTCGTTCGCGTGCTTTGCGCTTCGCTTTCTTGCCTTGAGTGTTCGCAAGGCGGGCACGAGCCTCACTGAGCATTTCCTTCTCATCCTCGTCCAGGTCGATCGTGTCCGGGCGCGCAGGTTTGGATTCGGGATCAGGGTCGAGCTCTCCGGGGCGCAGTCTTCGGACCTGATCGCCTGTTGGCGCTGCAGTCTCCCCCCCTTCTGGCCCTCCCAGGCCTAGGTCATCGTTTTCGCGGGCCTCGGCTTCATCGAGGAGCTTCTGGTAACGCTCGAGGCACTGGGTGGCTGTTCTCCCAACGATGGGCGCAATTGTCCGCCATTGCGTGGGCATCAACTTTGCCAGGTGTAGCAACTTCTCATCCTCTTCTTTGGACCATTCTATCTTGCGAATGCCCGGGTCCAGCCATTCTGTCCATCTCGCCTTGCACTGTTTCGGGGTCTTCCGCGCCAGCAACGATGAAACTCGAGCCCACTGGTTCAGCCCATATTTCGAGACTGAGGCTTTAAGGATTTCATCTTCGATATTCGTCCAGACACCTCCTTTGACGACCGGCATCTTGCCACTGTGTATGCCGTCGTGATACGTGAGGACAGTGCCGTACCAAAGGCGCAAAGTAGATTTTGCAGAACTTTTGGCGCAGGCAACTTTGAAGTTCGAGAGATCAAGTGGAGTCAGGATTCGGAGCGGAAAATCTTGGCGCCGATCTAAGGCCTGAGTGCGCTGAATGTGGAGTAGAGATAAACATGCAGCCCGATTCGGATGAGGTGGACGTGCAACCACACAAAGGGGGTACATCTGTGTGGCAGCCTAGGTAAGTGCTTGGACCGTTCCTTGAAGCCTTTCCCGCCCTGCCTGGAATAGCAAAACTCCACTTCTGTAGCAGGCTCTATCCGCCACCACCACCACTGCGATTTGGGGCTGATTGCGAATTTCGGAATGCTTAGTTCGCCACTCCTCACAGTTTTCTAGAGCGGTGCGAAAACATGGCAATGTACTCTTGAGTATTGATCGGGGAATAGATTGTAGGCCAATAATTAGAGCCGTCCACATTCCTGTCTTCCCAGGTAAGGCTCTCCATGAAATTTACATGTCATATTACGTAGGGTTGACCTCTGATCCTTCGAAGCCGCAACGCTCACTCGGAGAGGAGGGAAAGCGCCCAATACTTAACCAAGTGCCTGCTTCCACAGATCACCTGGATTGGCCGAAGCACTAGAAGATCACACACACAATCATTAAGTGCTTACTGGATACATTATCGACATGGCTGAGCGCTCTCTCGGGTTCTATATTGCCCTCCAAAGCACTGGGATTCTCGAAATTGCTTTTGACCCCGGCAAAAGTGCAAACGAATCCTTGTCGATTGTTGCCGTTAACACAGATGCTGGTTTCATGCCGGGATGGCTCACTGGGTTTGGGGATAAAATTTACAGCATCAGCCGCACTGGCTACCTGAATGGCGAGGACAGCTCGGGTGGCGTGTTTGCATTCCGACGAGAACCCCTTTCGACATCACCTCCCTCTGGGGCAGGGCTTGTGCTTTTCGACCAAACAAGCAGCAATGGGAAGGGAGGTGTGCATTGTGAAGTCAGCCCAGACGGGAAGATACTGGCTGCTGCCAACATCACGGCGTCGACGGTGTCTATCTACCCACTATCCGAGGAGGGCTCCATTGGCACGCCTACGTTTGTTTTTGATTACAATCAGTCTGATCCTGGGCAGAATGAAGCACACCCGCATCAAGCAGCATTTGATCCTTCCGGACAGTTCTTAATTGTTCCTCTTCGGACCATGGACCGCGTGGACTTCTACTTTGTCCAGAGTCCACAGAAAGTACATAGAGTGCATTGCATTCATATACCAGCACCAGCAGGAGCTCGGCACGTGACATTCAACCCGATCAGTCCATCAAAAGCGTATATGTATCTCATCAGCGAGAAAGACAACTCAATTCGTGTCTTCGTGCTGAACTATTCGGCGAGAGGACCACAAGGCCTGACGGTTGAGTTGAAGCAGACGCTTTCGGCAATGGGAAAAGACCTCGCTCCCACTCCCGCCGAACATAAAGATTTGGCTGCCGAGATCGCAGTCAGCAACGATGGGAGGTTCGTCTATGCATCAAATCGAAACCTGACACGCACAGACGATGACATCCTTACGATTTATTCGGTGGATGCCGACCCTACACACGAAGAATGCCATCTGACATACCTTGGATCTGAGTCGACGCGCGGGAAGCACCCACGGATGTTTGCGCTCTCCAACGACGAGGAAAACAAGTGGGTCGCTATTGCTCATCAGTTCACTCAAGATATTGTTGTTTTTGAAAGGAACAGGAAGACTGGCTTGTTGGGAGAGGTGAGAGGTCGAATCAGCGTGAAGGTAGCCGCACCTCACCAAAAGACGCGAGACGAAGTTACCTTTGTGGAAACGAGAGAAGGCCCTCACAGCCGTGAGGAATTCAAGATAGGTCGGACAGAAGGACCGATGTGTATCTTGTGGAAATAAGATAGTGGGTTCGTGTCGGTGGTAGACTGCGCTGCAGCAAGTTCTATTTTCGTTCCACTTTCACCACGACCCAAGATGCGAATCCTATATTGAGTGATGGCGTATACCTTGATCAGTGTATGGAAAACCAATGCCTTTATCGCGAAGGTACCCTCCTAAGCCAGCGTAAGTTATGCGGCAAGCACCGGATGGTTCCGTCCAGCACCTTGGTACCGCAACCCTCGCGATGGAAACCCCTGTAAGGAACCATCCGTGACATCTTCCGGCCTGTATTGGTCAAGTTGGTACGTTACATGTCTCACCCTCATGATCATGCAATAGCGACCACTACCTCGATCTCGTCGGGCTCAAATTTGACCGCTTTCTGGAGATTCATTGCCATATACCCGAATGTGCCAACCTCCTTCGGCCGAAGCTGACGGACCCAGTTTTCTTCGCGACTTTCGCAGTGACTGATCAATGACAGTGCACCAACGGACACGCTACCGACGAAACAACCTCGACCCTGGGGTTGACTTCTGGCCAGAACCCCATGGGGTATAGAATAGGAACGGTGGGGAATCCCAAGTCCTGAAGCTGCTTCTTCTCGTTTTCCTGAGTATATTAAGTGTCGGATTCGCTTTTCTCTGCACGCCTTCAGTTACCTTCTCTCAGGCTCACGTCAGTCCTACTCTGGACGCCGGTTCCGCTTCTCAGAAGCTCTACTCGGCCCTCACCACCTCCCGGCATCATGTTGTCCTTAAATAACAGGATCACAGAGAACGTCAATGGGCGTCTCGCGTTCGCCTCGACTGTCATGATGCTATCCCAGATCAACTTCGGAATGGATCTCGTTGCATTCTCCAACACTCAAGCCATGACCTCATTCAACAAAAAGTTTGGTGCCTACAACGCAAAGCTTGAACGATATGCTTTGGACCCATACTTCCTGTCGCTCCTGAACAGCCTGACCTACGTCGGTCAAGCCTTCGGTGTTATCACGGGTGGCTGGATTGCTCGACGCTGGGGACGACGGGCTTCGTTCTGGGTCATGTCCGTGTGGGCGGTTTTGTCTGCTCTCTTGCTCGTTACTGCCCAGAACAAAGAACAGGTCCTCATCGGTCGCATTTTCAACTATGTGTACCTTGGTCAGGAACTTGTTACAGTTCCCGTGTTCCAGGCAGAGATTGCCCCTCCCAAGATTCGAGGGATGATAATCGGCACGTTCCAGCTTGGTACAATGGTAAGTGGAAATACCTGCCCAGCAGCACTGTTGATGTTCTAACAGCGTGTCCAGGTTGGCGCTTTCATAATGGCGTGTATCACCTACGGGACAAGCAAATTGAGCTCTGAAAGTGCATTCCGCATCCCCTTTGGTATTTTCTTCGTTATCCCAGTGGTGGTGTTCACGGGCTCTCTGTTCATGCGCGAGGTAAGTATCTTGGGCTTGCCCGCTCATAACCCCACCCGTGATTATTCTCTGACTTACCGTGCTATCAGTCTCCACGCTGGCTTTTAGTCCGAGAACGGCCTCAGGAAGCTTTGGAATCCCTGCGGCTATATCGAACGGGCAAATTCACCGAGGAGGAGATCATGGAAGAATACCGTGACCAAGTGGCCATGATCACTACCGTCACCCATGACAAGGGCACATTCAAAGAAATGTGGCAAGGCATCAACCGCAAGCGATCGCTCATCGTCATTGGTTCCAACATCAGCATTCAGATTAGCGGGCAGGGGCTGTTCAGCAAATACGGCACCATCTTCCTGACCGATCTCCACGGACCAAATCCTTTCCAGATGTTCCTCATCAACACTTCACTACAGATTGTGGTCATCCTGGCTGCCATGTACCTCTTTGACAGAATTGGTCGCAAGTAAGTTCAAGACCTAACTCCATTCTACACAGAAGTCCCAAAAACTAAACTATTTCAATGCAGACCACCGTTGATTATCGGCTCAATCATTCAGACTACTACTTTCCTTGCCGTTGGCGGTCTCGGCACTATATCAGATCCTAGCAAAGGGGTCAAGATTGGTCTCACGGCCCTGTTTACGGTCTTCTATCTAGGCTTTGTGTTTGGTTGGGGGCCAATATATCATATTATTTCATCTGAGATACCGACCTCTCGTAAGTCAACTCAGTCTACGCGTCAGTCAGATTACTAAAACCCTGATATAGGAATGAGAGACATCACCTACACTATATCCAGCATCGTCACCGTTGTCACGCAATTTGTCGTCTCTTTCACCATTCCCTATCTCTTATATTCCCCATATGCAGATCTGGGTTCGAAAGTTGGCTTTATCTTCGGGCCAATTGCCTTTCTTACCCTTCTCTTTGCCATATTTTGCGTCCCAGAGTGCCGCGGCTTTTCTCTCGAGGAGATCGACTACCTGTTCCGCCAACGAGTGCCCATCAGGCAGTTCCGCAAACACAAGCATGGCCAGATTCTCCCAGAGCGAGACGCTGACAAAGAAACTGAAAAATCTGGAGAAGGTCCGTCTATTGAGTTGAAAGAGGTTGCTGAGATGTAAGGACGGGATGACCCGAAGGAGCGTCGTCGCGGGGAATGTAGCCTTCTTTGCAAGGTGAAAAGTCCGAGGTCTACATTGCAGGGTATACAGCGCAAAGAGCAATCATTCGTGCAGTAGTGATAGCAATGAATGGGGAAGTCGATGATGATGTTCGTTCCTCCTGTCGAAGCCTTCCGCCCTGTTCTTCCGTCTACCTGCTTTACTCAAACATTGAATGTTCTTTTATTATCACCTACACTCAGTCAGTCCCATTGGGTTGCATCTATGTACATGATCGAGCCACACATGAGCGACTCTTTTGGCAAACCAACTAACACTCAGAGATGGCCAGAAGGCGTCCGGTATCTTTTCGCCCCCCGCAGGAGCATGAGGCTGGTCAAGATATTCATGATAGACAGCGTACGTCCATCGACCTGGCTAGACCTTCTTGTAGCGGGCTGACCCATTAATACGACCCCGGCAATTGTGTCTCCTGTGTCAAGCTTCCATTCCGAGGGATCCCGGCGGTGGAATCTGATCTAGAGGCATTGCGATTTCGCAATATCGATCATTCTCCAACCTTCCCCACAAATTTGTTCCTCTGCAAATCGTCTACCTTTCGTATTTCTTCGCAATCCAGGCTGAGACACTCCGAAGCCCTTCTCAGCCATCACATCCTGGTGCACCGCATAGTTAGGTTAGAGAAAGCAAGTATGTTTTCCACACGCACCAAACTGTGTGGCTATGGTCCTGTGCGTCTAAATTTTACTCCGATGAGGAGTTGTGCATGTGTGTTTGCGATTGCGCACTGCCGATCAAGCCTTATGAGCCATTTGTTTGTATTCAGACCAACAGAGCTAAGTCATAAAGAGCACGTCTACACACCTCAATCTGGGTAAGTTGATTAGATACAAGCAGAGCGCAAAGGACCTTCAATATCTGAACAACAATACCATCAACGTTAACATCATCAACAAAAACATTAGTAAAAACATTAGTACCAGCTACCGTCAACGACATGTCTCCGGGAAGAACAAAAGACGAACTGAGAATCTTCACCCCTGTTGGCCAGTTCGGCCAAGGGTGGAACTCTAGTGTCTTCTGGGACGTGGTTGACTCCGGAGTTGACGCCATCATTGCGGATGCTGGCTCTACTGACAGCGGTCCTGGACGTCTCGCGCTTGGGAAGACGGCAGCATCTCCTCAAGGCTACAAGAGGGACTTCGGCGAACTGGTCAAGGCTTGCCACACCCATGGTGTTCGCTGCCTCATCGGCTCTGCCGGCGGTTCTGGCTCGAACGAGCTTGTCGACATGAGCACTCGGCTGATCAAAGAAATAGTCGAAGAGAATGGCTACCGCCCCATGAAAGTCATTAGCATCTACGCCGAGATTCCGAAAGAGACCGTCCGCCAAAAGTTCAAAGATAATCTCATGAGTCCATGTGGTCACGCCGTCCCGGAGCTCAAGGAGGAAGACATCGATTCTGCTGTTCGAATTGTCGCGCAGATGGGCTTGGAGCCTTATGTTAAGGCGATGAACGAACACCCGGATTTTGATATCATTATCGGTGGCCGCTCTTATGATCCTGCACCGTATGCGGCATTCTGTGTCCATCACGGGTTTGAAGATCTGGGTAAGTGTCCTTCCCTTGTCCTTGGTCCTCCGCTTGCCCTACCATGAAACAGTAGCTAATCGAATGCCTTATTGAAGGTATCAACTATGCCATGGGCAAGATCATGGAATGTGGAGCTCAATGTGCCATCCCGAAGTCTAGAGAATCTCTAGCAATTGTGCGTCATGATAACTTTGACTTGATCCCCCTCCAGCCAGGGGCAAGGTGCACTCCCCTGTCGGTCGCTGCCCATCTTCTATACGAGAAGAGCAGACCAGACATACTCCAGGGGCCAGGCGGAGAGCTTCACACCAAGGACATGACGTACGAGCAAGTTGACGAGCGCACCGTGAGGGTGCGTGGGCCCAAGTTCATCCCACAGCCAGAGGGCGAGTATACCGTCAAGACCGAGGCGGCACGTGTCAATGGCTATCAAAACAGTTTTGTCGGGGCTTTCAGGGACCCGATCCTGATCTCCCAGCTCGACACGTGGATCCCCGCCGTCAAGGAAGTGGTCAAGGCCCGAATGTCCGGGAACTATCCATATGAGACGAAAATCATCACCTACGGCATCAACGGCGTCATGGGCGCTCTCGAGCCCGATAAGAGCCTCCCCAAGGAGGTCTGCGTGGTCGTGCAGTGCAGAGCGCCCACGCAGGAGCAGGCGAACGAGGTGGCCAACAGGACCAAGATGGGCTTGACCCATGCCCCTTATCCTGGTCAGCTCGCAACTGCTGGCAACTTTGCGTGGCCTATTACCCCTTGCGAGACCCCCATAGGCCCGGTTCCCGAGTTCTGCATGTACCACCTCATCCACAAAGCGGACCCTGTTGGCCTGTTCCCTTACAAGATAGACGTATTCGAGGGAGCTAACACTTTTGTTGACACTCGTAAGTCCCATCGCCTGTCTACAGATATCCCCAAATTACTAACCTATTGACTTTAGGTGAAAAAGTCGCCGTCAAGGCTGACGCTTTGATGGCACATATCAAGACCCCAGCAACAACGGCCGGCCAGCCAAAGATATATTACCTGAAGCCCACGCCGTCGGCAGGCACATGCTATCTCGGGGATATTGCCTCAGTTGTACGCAGCAAGATCGCCGGGCCGTATGAGGTGACCTTCGATATTATGTTCAAGGAGGAAGAGGTGTACCAGCGAGTGAAGAAGGCCAACGTGCTCTCCGGGGCGGCCGTGGCCAAGCTCTACAATATCCCCGAGAGCGATGTGGTCGCGGCCCTCTGGTGGGATCCTGCAAGGGCGTTCAAGGCCACCATTCCACGGTACCGCGCCTCCGCTGGGTTTGAGGAGACGGACACGCATGGCTCGCAGCAGCATGCGCCTCTCCTGTTCTTGACTTTGCCTTGGGGTCGTGAGTAGAGAGTAGCTATTTACATATGGAGTATCATGAAAGATGTTCCGCTTAAAAACCTCAATTTGAAGATATATTGGGTCGTTAGAACAATTGCTTTATCACAGTCTATTTATTTCAATCTCTTGGTTTCTGATACGTCGACGAGGTTGCCAGACTTCAGCAGGGCTACGTACACTGTGACAGTCAATTTTTCAGGAGAGATGATATTCAGCAATGGTAAACAACGTACATGGCCCACGAGCAAGGTCCTCAAGAGCTATTCCATGTCAACACTTCGTTTTCATCAGAGTTGGCGTAATAAATTATCCATTTCGTACGTTTCCTATATCATCAACCGCCACTGTAAATACACCGCTATGTCAGTGAAACTATTCGAGAATATTACCGTGCAAAAGATTGCCCGAGAAGAATTGTCCCGCAAAGGTCTCTGCTCTGACAAGTACAAATACAGGCGATGGCAGAAGCATGGAGGCAGTAGTACTCTCTCTTCGCCAGTCCCGGGCTGGAACGAGATTGCCTTAGGGAACAGTGTGTGGTGGATCATTCGAGCTCCCCACATCCTCGGATCCCGCAATGCAATCTGGGGTCGAAACGGGGAAGCATTGCGATTTTCGCAATACTCGGACAGACCTCAAGCGTTGATAGGCCAGCTCAAAAGGACCCAGCGGGGTTGGAGCCTCGGAGAGAGAATCGACGGAATATAAGATGCAGCAGGAATATCCGCCCATTCCGATTTCTCTCCTCCTATGTCGCAATGCGTAAACGACCCTCGGCATCCTGGTGATCAAGGACCCCTCAACCATGAGAGCAAAAGCGTGCATTCGCTGCCGGCAGTGGAAAGTGGGTTGCGATGCAGATGTTGCTGGGCCCGACGGTTGTACTCGCTGCCGCAGCGTCAACACGAAGTGTGTCTTCGGGGCTAACTTTCGACGGACCCCTAAACGGCGGATGCTGGCTGAGTTGCAAGATGAGGTGACTCGATTGAGGGCGTTGACCTCCGTGTTGACGACCGAAGCACCGGTTGGCGAAAGTCCCACAACCTCGTTGGAAACCAATGCGTCCTCGTCTTGGGGAGCTGACAACACCTCGACAGCCATTGTCGCCGTACCGTCCATCCAGCAACCCATCATCCCGGGTCCAAATCTGTGTTACAAGGCCAACAACAGCCAACTCCATCTGACAGCCACACAGGCCAATGAGTTATTCCGCATCTATTTCACCAGATGTCACCCATATCTTCCTTTTCACATGTGTCGGTCAGTCGAGACCGTCTACGATCGCTGCCAACTTCTCTTCTGGGTTATTTGTGCTGTGGCCTCCACGGATACTGCACGTCCCCAGCTTGCAGAGATCGTGCGTGATCAGGTTTCCAGTGTGCTGGACCCGAACAACGGCTCGGTCGAGGTAGTTCAGGCCCTCCTGATTCTTTCTCTGTGGCCGTTTCCCTTCAAATCGCAGAGATCAGACCCATCTTTTATGTATGGCGCTCTTGCCTGCCAGATCGCGCTGCAAATCGGGCTACCCCGGCCAGCTGTCACATGTCCCGAATCCATCAATGCCAATGCAACAAATGAGGACCAGGAGGTGCGCACCACGACGTGGATTGGATGCTTCGTCGTCAACCAGATCCTGGCAAGTAGGCTGGGCGTTCCGGCAACCATCTTCGCCGACTATGCGCTCCTTTCCTCACTGGACGATCCCTCTGTCTCGCCGCAGCTCTCTCATCTCTGTTCAATCTCCCATCTGACCGTGGAATCAGCTCATGCTATCGGCGCACGCGCCGTCAACATTTCAGGCCTCGCAGACCCGATCCCGCGGATAAGTCTGATCAACATTTTCGCCCAGCAGTTTGACGAACTGCGAAAAACTCGACTCCCCAACCCGAGCGACATTGAAGAAATCTTCTTCCTCAGCTCCATGCTCCAGCTCTGGTCGTTTGCCCTGCACAACGACGTCCCCATCTCGCCGGACACATTCTACATCGTCCAGCGCGCGAGACAAGATGCCATCCGCCTGATCCAACTGGCATGTGAGAAGAACCTCTGTCTGGTCCCGTTCTACACCTACCGCTCCGTCTGCTTCGCGGCTCTGCTTCTGTATCACATAAAACTCAGTCCCTACGGCGTCAGCGACGAGCTCCTCGACGATCAAATCGCGAGGGCACAGCAGGCGCTCCAGTCAAGAACGGGCCCGGACCTCGCGCAGTTCTTGAAAACGTTGACATCGCCGGAGAATCGGGACGAGTTCATCGCACGAAGGGACAAGAACTCTTCGCACAGATGGAAGATGGGCGCCGCTCTGACGTTTGATTCGGCCCACGCTTATGCCAATCTAACACGATCCGATGCACTTTTCTTTCCCGAGCTGTTGGACCTTGATGGATTTCTATTTGAGAACCCAACCACCATGTTGGAGTAAACCGGATATCAGTTTTTTCTTGTTCTCGGTGAGGAAAAACGGCATCATGTTGGAATTCTGCAAGAAAAGGAAAAGTAATCTGAGCGAGAGGAGCGGCCCATATTGCTTGAAGAGGTTACCGGTCTCTGGAGGTTGACTCTCTGGGGCACAGGGTAGTATCTTTCCTTCACGATTTAAATGACGAGGGAGCTGTGCTACCCAAATCTGATGGAAAGCATAGTTTAGCAGATAACGTCGACATCGAGGGGCAAGTGAGCCCGGATCTGGCAGGGGGCCGGTGGAATGATATTAATTACTTCAGACAACGACCGGGACTGGAACACCAAGCGTCACGGACCAGAACTTAGAGAACGTCTCCGGAATGTTGATTACTTTCTGGGTAGCAGCCACAGGAGCCTTTACTACTCACACCCTGGATGATTGAATTGACACATTTCTGCTCCCACCTGCTACAAGGTCCTCTACTATATGGTACCTATGTAATAGACCAAGGTAAGGCATGATAAATATCCTTGATTCCTTAACTCGGGGAGTAGTATGATATGTACCGTTCTGTGCGACCAATATAGAGAGCTCCAAGCTGTGTGTTATTTGCTGTCATGTGCAGTTTCTTCCTCCTCAGGAGTCCTAAATCACTGTTCATAAATAGTCCCAATCTGAAATCAATGAGAGCATCGACAGCATCCCCGCGTCAAAGTCGATACACCGCTTCTGCTCACGACGAGACTCAGACGACTGTCTCCTTCTCAACAGGGTAAGACTGCTGCTGTAACTCTGCTTCGGCAGCCAATCTGATTATATCGCACAGCTTGTTAGTCTCAATCCATCACAGAACCAAAAGGACACTTCAATGCTTTGCTCACCTTTTCTGCTCTCTCTTTTGCAACCACAAGGTCACCAGGGCTAGCCCAATCATGGCCGGTCCGCCGATGAACAGGACAGTGGCGAAGCCCGCAGTGTATTTAGGCGCGTGGACTTGTTGCCAAATGATCAGCGGGAGCCAGATCTGGATCACATAGGCCATCTGGTTCATGCCGCCGGTGACCATGGCGCGCTCCTCGTTGTCCGCGGAGCAGATTTCGTGAGCCCAGCTACGCGACGAAGACACAGGTCAGCTTTTTCAACCAATGCAAAGCGATACCGACGTGTGGCACATTTATTAGCTGGGAACTTGGGGACTGACCTCATGATAATCCCAGCAAGTGCGGCACCGACGCCCATCATGATATAGCACGCCCAGCGCCAGGCGTCAGGGATGTCCCAGATCCAGAGGGATACGTAGCACACGATATTGAAGAGCTAAGAGACATGGTGTTAGCCCTGGGATTCGAGGACACTGGGGAAGTTACAGAAAGGGTGAAAATGTTTCTGGATGACTTACACCTCCGACGATAATGGAGGGCCATCTTCGTCCTTTCAAAACCGAGTCAGACGTCCAGGCGAATACAAGTGTGCAGAAGACTTGCAGGCCATAGGTCGTGGTGGGATAATTGTTGATCTGAGGGATCGTGTACTTGGGGCTTGTGGAATCCTTCAAGAACTGGGCAAAGACTGGCTGGCCGGAAGCACCGCCATTGTTCCAGCACCTACAAAGCGTTAGCCTGTACGGTAGCAGTAAGCTACGACAGAGACGGGCCCCTGGTCTGCTTACACGTAAAGCGGAATGAGACACCAGATGTGCCATGAAGTCAGGATCTTCCAGAACTTAGCCCGAGTGTACGGCTGACGAGTGGCGCGGCCTTCCAGCTGAACCCGTTTTCGAGCTAGAGCGATATCCTGTAGTGGGCGACAAGAAGGGAAGTATTAGCCTTGGCGCATTCTTCGAATAACTGGGAATGTCAAGGAGGTTGAACTGACCTGTGGTGTGAAATACCAAGCACGGGTGATATCTGGAAAGTCCGGCAACATGAAGAAGCCCGCGATGGCGATTGGAAGTGAAATGACACCGTCCATGATGTACAACCTGCATCTCAGGGTTAGGGGAGAGGTTTGAAAAGAAGATCGCTCGTGCTCGAACGCACCATTGCCATCCACGGAGACCTCCAACACCTTCCAAGTGGTAGACTGCAGCCATCAGATAGCCAGAGAACATGGTTCCAACGGGATAAGCGGCTTGGAAGATGCAGGATCGTTTGGCCAGTTCATCTGCTCGATACCAAGAGCCAATGATGTAAATCATGCCGGGATAGAGTGCACTTTCGAATAAGCCTGAGACGCGATCAGCCACCGAGTCCAGAAAAAAAAAACTCTCGGAGCATATGAAAGCATATGAATGTCATTGCAATGCAATAAGGCTCTAAAACCTACCGACAAAGAAGCGAATGGCGTAGAACTGCTGGGCTGACGATGCTCGAGAAGAGGCCATAGTACAAATGGTCCAGAGAATCTGCAGAAGTTCAGTACTTTCCAGCGATCAAACGAGGGCGTGTGTTGACCCACTTCCATGCATGGAATAAAGATAGACGGCCTCACGCGTGTGAGAATCATATTGGTAGGCAAGCCACCAAGAACATATCCCGCAGAATAGCACGTCTGCATGTAGTTCAACTGATTGCCGTAGAGGTTGAGGTCTTCTTTCCTGTCCTTGCCGTTAGATCGAAACCCCAAACATGAAGATTCTTTTCGTTATTTCTCACATTCCGGAGACAAAAGCATTGTTCAAGTTGGCTTGGTCAAGGTACTTGATGAAGTAGCCTGTGAATGACATTAGCGGACAGTGCTTGCCGAAGCTCGAGAGACCTTACCGAGACAGCCAAAAGTCAAGAGTGCGCAGTCGAGTTTGAACACAAACTTCCGTTCTTCGGGAGACTTGTCGAGGGAATCCCAAATGTAGCCCCTCCAGTTCTTCTTTGTCGTGGGGGTCTCCGGGACAAGGTCCTCTGCTCGTGCTTGGGGATCACGAGAAGGCGAGCTCTCGAGCTCCTCGACATATTGGATTGGTTTCGACTCCATAGTTCACCAGAACAGGACTTCTTCCTCTCACTGCGAGAAACAGGCGTTGGAAGAAGGAAGCATGGTAGGGTGTCGTATCCGGCAAGGGAAGATCGCCCATATATATGTGGGTGGAATTCGGGGAAGGCAAGAGGGGCGGTGGGCGATGTACAGCAGGGAACGTGGCCGGTGCTCTAGCCCGTTTTGGCGAGGCTGCAATGATTGCGGGAACCTGGGGAACTGTCTGGGGCAAACTCAGAACCAAGTAGCCTGACTGGTCGGCGAAAGGGCGTAGTCTCGCAGCACCTCCGAGCCACCTGATGTGCGGGTTCGGAGCAGGTGCGAAGTCTTGATCTCTGTCTTCCTAGGGGTAAAGTCGGCTATTCGGAATAGAGATACGGTGGCGAAACAGGTCCTCGGTGGTGTGGTCGACGAAAGCCATTGAGGGAGGGTATGCAGGCATACTATCATTCACATTATACATCAAAATTGTGGTGTCGAAAAAGCGCTAAAGTACGCTACATCATTCATGGAGCCGAGAAGAACATGGACACGATGCGTTCTCCTTATGCTCTATGGTAGTCTCAACACCTGTTGAATGGTATGACTTCGAAAGGTCCAGACCCAGAGCCTTCTTGGCATGACATACGAGCTGCTAAAATGTCACTGTAAAGATTGCGTGACTGGAGGTTCAGCCACAACACCATTAGACGCCGCCAATCGACAACACTACCTCACTTCCTACGAAGATGAGACAGTCCTCGGTTACATCCTCGACACAGTCGAACAGGGGTATCCATTGCCAGTTAAAGCCCTGCCATCGCTAGCACAGGCTGTTCTTCGCCGCCGAGTCCCAGGAGATGGTGATATGAACCCTATCACCAAGGACTGACCCTCAGGCTTCGGCTTGGGTCACCGTTGATAGTCACTTCACAACCCATCTTTTGTTGTCAAAAGTATCACCTTGCTCTTCTCAGACCAGACAAATCTTTATCGGCGAGGCCCAGTTGATGTGTTCCTCTATATCGAGATGCTACTCCCCTTAATACGACTCGCCTTTGAACCCTTCAATACTCCGCCTTGTCCTCCGGGTGAGGGGGGTCCTTCGAGTTGATAGGCACGTACAGCTGATCGTAATCAATCTTCCGCGTCACAAATCTAGCACATACGGAGCAAAGTATCAGGTTGGCCAGGTCTTTCAAAATTGCGCACATCTTGAGAGCATCGCGAAATTAACTTACCTCAGCTGTTCAGGATCAACCAGGCGAGTATTGAGACCCATCATCGGGGTGGTCTGTTTCTTTATCGGCCACCAATAACACCTACATGAGACGCGCACCATACAAATTAGTTGAGAGGCTCGATCAGATCTCATACAAGGATGTTTAGAGGAGGGGCTCTGATATGGGTGCTGCTCGACTCACATGCACCCGCACTTGGAGCAAAAGTCAAAGGAGTGGTCGCGGTCGCCCCAGATGTACTTGCTCGTTGCGGCGCCAGCCTTGATCTCAATCTTGACTTCGGCCGGGTCGTAGTATGCCCAAGCTGTAGCATATCGACGGCAGAGGGTGCATTGGCATTCATTGACAAAGTCAGGCCGGCGTGGTGCGGTGATGGAGACACCACCACAGTGGCAGGTGGCTGTGATGGGAGTGTCGGACATTTGTTGTTCTGCCATTCTTTGCGCTCGATTGGGAAAATATGATTTCAACACAAAACAAACCGAGTCACCTACCTTATATGTTTTTGTCATCTCGCCATGTATATCTTTGTCCATGGTAATGTGGAACCAGATTGTTGAATAGATCGGCTGCGAAACTGACCTTCCCAGAATGGCTTAGAGCACACACTCGCCCAACCTGATTGGTGAAAATCGAGCTGGTGTGGGCACTTGTCAGCGCTAGGTAAGGCCGCACCAGGCAGCAGTTGCAGAAACGGGTACAACACCAGCTCGACAAAGCCTTGACCCGTTCCTAGATCGGCAGGGTCGTGATAGCTCATAGGCCTGTGCGTATAATCTCAGGCACAATCTGAACGCCAGCCGCAGATCGTGAGATTAAGCTGTGTCTGCCCCAATCGCACATGAGATTACCATCACTTCTACCTGCGGAGAGTTCAGCCAAGAAAAACAAAATATGGTCGCTTCAAGGTCGAATTCCGCCATGTTTTCATGTGATGGAAAAGCAAAATGGGTCAATGGACGAAGTGAGCATCCAGTCGTCTTCAAACCCAAACGCATCGGAGACATTTTCACTTATGGACCCATAAGAGTCGTCGTCTATGCTTGCTGGGATGCTGACGGCGTTGTCTCCGTCATGTCGTGACTGGGACGAGGGTCTCGACTTCAATCTGGATATCATCTTGCTCAATCCGGTGGCAATATGGCGGCACAAATGTCTTCGACTGGCTTGAGCACTCGACATCAGATCCACCACGGCCTGAACAAGCTCCAGAACCTGCCGCCTTTCGATGTTGAGCGCTGCCGAGTTCCAACTCCACACGACCTTGAGCAAGAACACTGCAGCGAAGGCGATCATGGTATGCTTGAACAGGGTCACTCGCGCCACAGCGTTGCGGATATCCGGCTCGTGGAGTACCAAGTTCATCGTGGACATGGCGGAGGCAATCGCTGAGTTGGCCGCCTCCCTGCGATCGAGAGAGAATTGATGGTTTGGCGATATCGCCCTCAGAGCAAGAGAGTTGAGCTGTAACTTGGCGAAATGGTAATGCAGCACCACACCTTTGGACGGGTAACTGCCAACGTATGGGTTCGGTGCTGCAGCAGTTAGTTCTCTCGTTGTTCAGTTCGTTACAGCTGAGCTCTCACCTATCCTGGGCTGCCATTTCATCCGCCACCCTTCCACCTCCAAGCAGAATACTCTCAAAGTATTGAAATCCTCCTCAGTCAACGGCTGTTGGCTGTCAGACCCAAAGGTATGATATGCATTGGTCAGAACAATGAACAGAGCCACCTGAGCCATCAGTCTCATATCTGCAGGCCCAGCCATGGGAGCGCTCAAGAAGGTTTCATAGCCTTTGATTGCGGCATTGTCGTGTATGACGGGAGGGCGACCATATGCAATGCTATAGTGATGATCACAAACGTACAGCAGATACCACAACTGGGCTCGCTCGTATTGGTCGGGCTCGCCTCGCTGCATCCTGTGGAATGCTTGGTGGAGGTTCAGCTCGGTCGCAATTCGCACGGCTACACCAGAGAGCTTCCAGCTGAGATCTGATAGCCAGAAAGCACCGATGCAGAGAGCGCGAATATCGTCCAGGTTGTGGTCGCGATAAATGATGGACCCGGAGACGAGGGAGACAAACTCAGAATAGCAAAACTCAAAGATCTCGTCCCCTTGTGGGATATGCAACGCCGCCACGGCCAGGATGGCTGCGCAAAGTAGGGAAGAAGATCTCCGAGCAGACTCCAGATCCCGGTGGACGAGAGCAATTCCTCCCCACAAGATGTGGTTCATGGTGGTGTCGAAGAAAGAGAACAGTTCCCGGGCGACATGGTGAGGAAGAGCGCCACGAGAGATCAAGTCATCCTCCGGCGTCCGCGCGATCCGGTGTTGAGGCACGTCACTTCGGATGTTCCTCAATTTCGTGACCTCGAACAGACTGCGCATGGGCGCAGAGACAAGCTCCTGCTCTGTTGCTGGCTCCTGTGAGGTCTCGCGAGTTCTGACATCTCGACCGTCCTTCACAGCAGCTGCAGTAGCAAAGCCCAGCCTGGGTCGGTCGTGGTTGCTCAGGTCCGTACGACCTGTAGGGAAGGAGGACAGAGGTGGCAGGCCATTTTGTTGGAGTAGCTCTGCCACAGCAGCTTGAAGTTGAACGATATTGCTGTCGGCCTCTTTCTTCCAGCTTCAGGAGTTGTTGGATTAGAGTCCGTCCTCATACGGCCAGAGATGGTGGGACACATACTCTTGATCGTCTTCAATGATCCTCTCCAACTTGTTACTGCTAACGCAGCGATAGCCATATTTTCTACACCGTGCGCAGCTTGATTGTCCCGGAGACTGGTCGCACCGGACCTTGTGCTTTTTACATTCTGTACCTTTGCGACCATGAGCATCGTTACCCATTCTTTGGGTCTGGGAAGAAGCTGGAGAAGACTCACAAGCACGGCTCTTGTAAGGAATCATCATTCGTCTGGCGTACAGAATGACTCACTCAGACGCTGAAGCCCAGAGGACTTGCTCGCTTCTGGAGTCCGGAATGGCAGCGAGGTATCGTGGAGAAATGCCATCTGGCCCCGGAAGTCCTCCGGGATCAAGGAAGGCCGTTTATCCAGTCTCTTGTGCTTCTCTGAGCTTCCGTGACCTGAGTCCTTTGCCCTAACTACGCAGGTAAAAGTCTTGGAATCAGACGACAGCGGATATCGGCGTCCTCTCTGAGCCTCTATTGCGTGCCAAGTCGGTATGTCAACCTACGCATGGATAGTTGCATTTGAGCAAGAGCTTTGAAACCGTCGCAGAGCCCCCTTTAAGCCGGCATAACAGCAGGGATTTTAGCCTAAGAATGTCTATCATAAGCCCTTTCAGGTTAGATATTCTCCAGTTCGCGCTGCAAACCCGCAAGTGGATCTGGAAACTGCTCTGTCCATTGGTGCCACTCCGCATGATCCGCAAATGCTTGCCGAGGTCGTTGGGGATAATATGCAGCATCGGCGAAAGTGCGACACACCACTTGGAGAGAAGTCCCTAGCAGAATCACTACGTTAATTCTGCTGTGCGACAATCAATCCACCTTCCCCCACTCGAGGCAATTCTCCGGTGGCAGGTTATCAGACGATGGGTATGTACGAGGTACATATGCAATGGCTCTGCACAGCGGACGGGGAATCTGATACCACTTCCCCATTCACGAACACAAAGGAGTCAGGATGCCGCTCAACGTTTCGATTAGTGTCCACGGAGATAAGAAGGTCGGCCAATTCAAACCGATATACAGATTCTTTGGGTGCGATGAACCCAACTACGTCTACATGAAAGATGGCGAAAAATTGATCCGGAAACTAGGCCAACTTGGAGGCGACCAGGTCTTTTTCCGTGTCCACAACCAGTTCACTACCGGTAAGGGAGTCCATGCGTTGAAATGGGGCAGTACAAATGTCTACACCGAAGACGAGCACGGAAATCCCATCTACGACTGGACCATCATCGACAAGATCTACGACACCTGGCTATCTCGCAACGTCAAGCCCTATGTCCAGTTTGGGTTCATGCCTGAGGCCATGTCCACCAATCCCCATCCGTATCAGCACTCGTGGACACCGACAGCTTCGTATAAAGAAGTCTTCACTGGCTGGACGTATCCTCCCAAGGACTACGAGAAGTGGGGAGAGCTTGTTTATCAATGGACCAAACACGCGGTCGAGAAATACGGCAAGGCTGAAGCTGAGACTTGGTACTGGGAGACCTGGAATGAACCCAACATTGGCTACTGGCAAGGAACTCATGAGGAATTCTGCAAGCTCCACGACTACACGGTCGAGAATGTGCGGAGGGCACTCCCCACGGCGTTCGTAGGGGGCCCGGAGACGGCCGATGGTGAACCACCCTACCTGCGGAAGTTCTTCGAGCACTGCCTCCGCGGCAAGAATTATGTGACTGGGAAGACGGGCTCCCCTCTCGACTTTACTTCGTTCCACGCCAAAGGGCGGCCGGAGTTCATTGAGGAGTCACAGCACGTTCGCATGAATGTTGGCCGCCAGCTCCGTATCATTGATGAGTCTTTCGGTGTCATTGCATCTTTCCCGGAACTCAAGGACAAGCCCATCGTGATCGGCGAATCTGATCCAGAAGGTGCCGCGGCCGCTCAAGGTCCGCAGCTCGGATACAGGAACGGGACGATGTATTCGTCTTATACGGCAGCCAGCTTCATTCGAAAACAAGATCTTGCGACCAAAAACGGTGTCAATCTCGAGGGTGCACTGACCTGGGCTTTTGAGTTCGAAGATCAACCATATTTTGCCGGGTTCCGAGTTCTTGCCACCAACGATATCGACTTGCCTGTCCTGAATGTGTTCCGAATGTTTGCAAAAATGAGAGGATCACGACTCGAGGCCACGAGCGATGCGCAAGTCCCGCTGGATAGTATTATCCAAAATAGCGTGCGAGAAGGCCCCGACGTGGGAGCTGCTGCGACCCTGGATGGGGACAAGCTGAGCATTTTCGTGTGGCATTATCATGACGACGACTTGCCCGGTGAAGTGGCCAAAGTGAACATCTCCCTGCAAGGAGTGAAATGGAATCAAAGCGGTGGTAGCAAACTGACCCACTACCGCATCGACGAGCACCACAGTAACGCGTACACGGAGTGGAAAGCGATGGGTTCTCCACAACCACCTTCTGAGGAGCAATATAAGAAACTGACCGAGGCTGCCAAACTGGCCACGTTGGGAGAGGACGAGACTGAGATTGGCACCAAAGATTCCAATACGACTTTGTCAATCTCCCTTCCTCGGCAAGGGGTATCTCTGATCGTGCTCGAGGGTGTTTCATAGAGACGGTGTTAGATTCTCATTATCATAAATATAAAAGCAGAAATTAACGCCGTTAAATTCACCTTATTGCGTTGGCTGGAGCACCAGATAGAGTCTTATGAAGGAGATTATGTGGTCCAGGCCACTTTACCCATGTTAAAAGGGTTGATATTGGAGACAGCCTCAATTGAGAAAAGCGGCCCTCCTCCTGTCCGAAACCTATCTATAAGTTAAGCCAGATTGATTGGTGAATATACGAGACTAACTAAACTCTGAACTGTAAATCACCATGGTCTATTGGTATACACGAGTGCCTGAGGCTCTGCGTGCTCCTTAAGCACATTAGGAAAGCCCTGTTTCATACCTGGATCGTCAGAGACTGTATGATATACTACTTTTAACTTCAAGGAGAAAAACATGAGGCTTTCGACACTGATATTCCTGACTACCAGGACGCATAACTCTGTCCAGACTCTCAGTCTCAGGCAGGATACTGGAGATAATATCTATCTATCTTGCCGCTCTGGGATCGGGCATTTTTCTCCCCATTCGATACACTGGGTTGTAATTTCCAGTGTTAACTGTCGCGGAGCCATTTCTTGCATACTTGCTTGCTTTCTTCTCTCAATCAAACCAAGATGCTTGCTTTGTAGCCATTGTTGTGACAGCCTCTTCATCCATTCATGCCTTCATTATTGATGATCGACAATGAGAGAGGACGACCAGTCCATCCAATCGTCTCAGGAGGAGCCGAGAGATACTACCTCCCGTTTTCTAGGGGGAAGGAATAGGATGTTACTCGTCCGATTCCCATATCAAACCAAAGGAACATCATGTTTCAGATGACTAGCCTGCTACTGTACAACAATCGCTTCTTCCGCACGGCCCACTGATCCTCGCGGGCGTTCTTGGTCATCACGTAAAACACATATCCGAAGTACAATCAGCGCTGAAGGTCTGATAGGCGTTACATACTTCTATGGGATGCACACTGTCCCTGGTGAGATCATACCACCCAGCCATCCCCCACGTGGGTTGGCGTGGCTGAGTTATGGTTGTTCAGGTTCAAGTTCGTGTTGGTGTCTATGTACCTCGTAGGTTCCTTCGGCGGCTCGGACGGAGAGACGTGTACTCGATAGGGCAGGCGGTCTTGATCTGCCGTATGTACATTCCCTTGGAGTGCCGATGAACCGGAACGTATCGGGGGCACCGAACGCGGGCACTTCTACACATTTAGACCTTGGGCCACAGGAACAACAAGGCTGTGCTGACTCATGCTCCTGGGGGACATCGTGCCTTCAAGTCCAATATATAAGCCGAAGAACGAGATCATACATGGGTCATCATCACATCGAGGGCGAGTGGACTCTATCACTGTCATTGTACGGGTCCCCCCTCCCCCACCTGCTTACGAGAAGTTGTTAGCGTTTGATACGAACGGATTCGGGAATGTGTATACTTCTCCAACAGGAACTCGCATTCCCTAGCGCAACCATACGACCTCCCGTGAATGGACAATTGGCGTGCGAATTATCCAGGCAGGGCAGGTACATTTTAGTCATTATTGGGCTAAAGGCTTGTCACGATACACACGCATGGGTGGGAGGATTCCGATTCTGGTTTCTGCTCGCCTTTTGCACTCGCTTTACGATTCTCGTTACAAAGAAGAACCCCCACCGTTACCTCAATGGACATTTGAAATGTGTGTTGTTTGTGTTAGGCTGGACGAGTGATCCAATGTTTCCGAGGCCCCTTTTGGAGGACATGCAGCGCCTCTGAGGAACGAGGAAACGAGGGCTCCACCACGAATTGTTCACCCGGCTGCTGCGGCTACACTTCCTTCTGAGAGGGAGAAGTGTGGAGTCTAGACTCAAGGAACAGTGGGAGATATAGATACAAGGTTCTATGTCTGACAGCAGACAACGAGTCGGTTGAGGGGGCCTGTGACGTGACCCGGTATGGTACTACGTTCTTTAAGATCTCGTCTTCCCTCTCGTCCACTGTGTCTTGTCCACTCCCTTCTGTACAACTCCGAGCGCGTCTACTCGCGAAAACCTTTCTCTGTCTCTCCTGTACCCAGTCCTGCTTTCGCCTCAAACGTCGCTCTGATGGCGCAACCTTCAGGGCTGATTGCAAAGTCGGGTATCGAGCTCTTGACATTCGGTCAGCGAACACCTCATTCTCCCTTCACTACCCGGATAGTAGCTGACGATGGCACTCATTAGGGACACCAAATGGCGTCAAGATCTCAATCCTCCTGGAGGAGCTCAAGGAAGCTTACGGCAAGGACTATACGTACCAAGCCATCAACATCCTGAAGGACACGCAGAAGCAGCCGTGGTACACGTCGCTTAACCCCAATGGTCGCATTCCCACCATCGTTGACCACGACCGCGGTGGCTTTGTGGTCTTCGAAGGGCTCGCTATCCTCGCATACCTGACGCGCCACTACGATCCTGAGTATAAGTTCAGCTTTCCTCCTGACTCGGACGACTATTCGGTCTGTGAGCAGTGGACGGCGTGGCAGCACGGTGGTATCGGGCCCATGTAATTTATTCATCCTCCTCCTCCAGCCTTTTCCGTGGTGTTGCGCCCAAAGCAATCCGCACTAACGCGCTGTTCCAGGCATGGCCAGGCAGTCTTTTTCGTTCACATCGCCAAAGAAAAGGACAACTTTGCCATTCAACGCTATGTCGGTGAGTCAGAGCGGCTCTACGGCATCCTGGATGCTCGTCTCCAAGACCGTGACTGGGTAGCCGGGCCCGGCCGCGGCAAGTTTTCCATAGCAGACATCTCGCTGGCCGGGTGGGCGAACCTCATCCTGTATGCCCACATCGATCTTTCCAAGTTTCCCAACGTCGAAGCCTGGCTCGAGCGCCTCTACGCGCGGCCGGCCCTGCAGCGGGGCCTCGCCGTCCCCAGTGGCACCACCCCGTTGGTGGGCAACCAGACACTCAAGAAAAGGCTTGTCGAGGACGAAGAGTTCAGAGCAAAGCATCTGGAGAGTGAGAAGATTGTTCATCAGGCGCAGGCGCAGTATCATTACAAGTACGCATCGCCTTGATGCTTAAGAGAGGTTGAAGGCACGTCTCTGTCATCTGAGTCTTCAGTCCGCAGACACCCATCTGGGATGTCGATACATAATCAAAATGCATCGGTGAGATAATCAACGAGCGACATGGGCTCGATCCCATGCATTGTTCTGACGAGGTGCTGAAAACCCAAACTCCTAAACGGTTCCATTGGCCATAAGATAGTTTGAGGATCCGTTCTCAAATCGTATCGGGAGCAGCAGCGTCCTTGAATCCTGATATGCATGAAGAATAAGGCTGTTTGTTGAACGAAGCATCAAGCATCGCGATTCGCGGCGACGGTCTTTCTTCGTTTGCCCGAGCCTGGTGTCGCCTCGATTTCGAGTGAGGACTCGTCATCAACTTCCCCAATAACCGGGAAGAGGGGACGTAGAGCCAGGTCGTGATACTTTGAGCGATGCTGCAGTTCCTGATGCTGTCCACAAATCAGTAAAGCCACTTCCGATCCTCATCAAGTCATCGTATTTCGAGGGGATTAAGCGGTAGAATGGTGGAGAGAGAGATATGTATTGATTCGGCCACCGGACAAAGAAGGGCAGGTCGGGCGATTCATGCCGAAAGTCCTCCTTCTCATCCCTCCCGCTTAGCTTGACAGGGGAAGTCCAGGTGTGAAGTTTTGAATAAGCAAAACCGGAAGTCTGCTGGTTGCTGACATATGACTTGAAGCAAGCATATTGTCCAATAATATCCGCCTAGTTTTATTGATATTACTTGGCCCTTTCTGCTCCACAGTCGGCCTTGTGAATGGCTGTTGTTTTTCCAGCCCATAAACATAGCATATCATCCCGCTGACCTCTGGCAGACGTCACTGACGTTGCACACATCCGGATGCTCTACCTATGACGAAGCGAAGTCTCCTCCGATGTCGGTGAATTCATTCATATTCAACAAGTCCGGGTCGAAGATAAAGTCATTCATCACCGCTTCATATGAACCCCAGGCGCCTTGGTCGGGGTCTTTGGCGTCGTCGACCACATAAGCGTCCGCAGCAGAAGAACGCCTGGGCGTGGAGAAGAGGTGCGAAATACGCGGGTGATCTTCAACCAGGCACGCTAACGTCCTTCGCATACGTGCGGTGATGTGGAAATGGATATGGAGGGCTTCGAGCATCTCATCGGCCAGCGTCAGCCAGTGGGCGTCTGTCTCGTCGATGTATTGTTGCTGCTGTTGCATTTTGCGGAGGTACGCGATCAGCGCAGTGGCAGCCACAAACAAATTGTCCAGCACAATGGATGGCGTCGTTTCCAACCCAAAGGTCTCACGATACGTCACCGCGAGCTGGATGATGGTGATGGCATTGTGGTGGAGGACTTCTTGCGACGCCTCGGGTGACCATCCGCGGAGCACAGGGTAGGGCGATGCAAAGCAATTGTCACCGTGCTTCCGCTTCCTCGAGACGACGCTGGGCAGCGAATGTAACAGGATCTGGACTCGTAGATACTGCATGTGCAGACCGTAGGCGGCTGAGTCCAGGGCGCTGATGTTTTTCGTGTCCAGAGCAATTGAGGCGGGCAGATTCTTGTGCCAGCGGCGGAGTCCTTGCTCCAGCTCGGAGAGCCTGTCAATGGTCTTATTGTCGATGCTCGTCTGGTCGTTAATGAGTGCTGTAATCTCCGCCAGAAAGACACAGAGGTCGAGCCAGGGCCGAAGGGTCACATTTTCCGACGCACTCGCTGCAGATAAGGCGAGGAGTGGCCTTCCGGACACGGAAAGCGTGCTCTGACGACCTAGATAGAAGCACCACAAAGTCTCGTAGACGAGGCAGCCGGCCGTGGCCGAGGCGCAGATATGGGCGTGGTTCGGATCCAAATCTGCATCTCTAGTCGTATCGATTGGTTCCTTGTGTAGACCCAGATCGACGAGGATGCGACAAGCAATTCCTGCACCCGATATTAGCGGGCGGACGTGCAAAGTGGAAAGGGTCAAGCTGGAGCATATACCACAGTAAATCCATCCTACTCGATCATGACCCTCGCTCATTTCATAGTCGCTGAGGAGGAGCAGACCGTGGACCGTGGCAAGATTGGGATCCTGGAGCTCTGTTACTAGGTCTGCCTTTGCACGCTGGGCATAGGCGCTGCTCAACGCCCGCACAGCCGCGGACGTGCTGAGGCGGGCACTACAGGCCAGGGCTGAGTTTTCATAGAATCTCGAGTAGTACTGAGACCTCACGCCGTCTTTGCGATGTGACAGAAAGCTTTCTCGATGCACCAGGTCGACTGTACATTTCTGGAAGCGGCAATAGCCGTCGATAAGGACCGACTTGAGCCTGACCGAGTCCATGTCCACGTGGACTCGCGGTATGGGCCTCGACTCGTCCTGTCCGCGGATGTCAGATGGTGAGGAGACGTGCAGAGGGCAAGCCGGACCGAAGTAGGCCTCCTTTCCCCGGCTAGGGCCAGATTGGTAAGTCTGCTGGTGTTGGTCGTGTCCGGCGATCGCGGCCATTTCGCTGACTCCTCCCGTCGTGTCTTGCGCAAAGCTGTTTGGTACGACGGAACCTGCCACCGAGGTGGGTGCCCTGGGCGACTCGATGGCAAAGTCGCGCATGACCGGCAGTTCGTCGCCACAGACGGTATCCAATCTGACAACAGTAAGCAAATGGCCGGTTGAAAGAGAAAGAAATTGCTAATACTGTACTGTATCAGCACGGAGATAGTCCTGCCGGTTCTGCAGTGCTCTGTCAAGATCCTTATCTTGGTGGGACGTCATTATTGACCGATCCATGGGCGGGATCGTGTGATTGAGCGAAGCTGACAGCGATTCTGCGACCAAAGCAGGTCCATTTCGAGGCGGCAGATGGGAGAGCGAACCGCCGGGGTGAGAGGATGATGATGAAGGAGGCCCATTCCTGCGAACCAGGGCTTCCAACTCCGCGATCCGGTGATGGAGAGTGGCAATATGTTGACGAGAGCCGTGTCTGAGCGCCCTTGTGAGTATTTGAACCAGTGTGGATGAAGGAAAACTCACTTTCTGCGATCTGAGAATATGTTGACCTTGCACTGGCTCTTTGATTGTGCACAAGCTGTGCAGCTGGAACCGGAGGGCCGGCTCTCGACATCACACTGCAACGGGGTCAATAATGCAATACGTCTCTCATATCATTCAACAAGCCAACCAACTTTGATCTTGCGCAGGCGACAATTGTGGCAGGCCAGCGAGGAGCGGGTTCGGGGAGTAGGCTTGTGACGAGTATCAGAGGTGATGATGTGCCCGGCGTTAGTGATGGTTTGCGGGGGTGAAGCATTGGATGGTGATTGAGGATTCATCGTGCTGCTTGCGGCGATATCTCCATTAGGGCGAGAGAGGAGATCAAGTCTTCAGGTCCCTGAAATTGAAGCTCCCCTTGTCGATGTGTCGCGGGGTCTAGTCCATCTGTAAAAGCACGGCGCATGCAGAATGGTCCTGACCTGCGGGGCCCCAGAAAACGTGATAACGACCAACAAGGGACTCCAATTTACTCATCTTCCCTCTTCTCTCTCCGCATCTGATGTGCTTGTCGAGGTGGAGCTGGAGCTGGAGCACGTTCCTCTGCTGCGTAGGTGGGCAATGCCCCGAAAACGGCGGTCAGAATTAGGGTTACCATTCTCCGAAGCCCCAGCTTCGTAAATGCATCCGACTCGTCGACGCTGCTCACCGATTCCCGTCTTGGGATTTGTGTGATTGGTGCCACCAAGGATGACTCGAGGTGTGCTGATGGCTTCCTCCCCATGTTGTGGAATTGGCTTCAGGAGGTCTCGCATCGGAGATACAAGTTGACCCTGAGGCCGAAAAAGCTGCCCCGCTGCTGCGAGCTCATGGCGATATGTACCAGGTGCGCCGGCAGGGGTTCTGGGCAAAGATGATGAGCTTTCTAGAATCCCTGGCTGATCCAAGACGCTTTGCTGGAGCGATAGGTGGTTGGGACCGTTGTATGGCCTGATGCAGCACTTTATGAGAGCCACAAAGTTGACCCTTTATACATATACGTATATATATCACCTCAATTGATCGCCCTCTCTTATCCATACATTTGATCTCGGTCCTGGCTCGCCCTCAACTGGCTCGAAACGCCCTACAGTGTCTCACGCTCCTCGAGCTCCACGTGTTTCTCTGTCTCCATCCTGCCCTCGTCATGCTGAGCAATCTTGGTCACAGGCTCTGCTGGTATTGCCCGCAACTCGGGTGCTTGGTGGTCCACGTCGCCGAACAAGACCGCAATCTGCTCGAGCGGCAGATTTCGTGTATCCGGGAACGTGAACCACGCCCACGCCGCGCCGGCGGCCGTGATTATGATGAAAAACAGATAATACTTCCACCCAATATTCTGGAACGCGGTCGGGGCCGCCTGCAGCCAGACGATGTCCGCGAGACAGAAGCTGGCCATGCCCAGCGTCAGGCCCTGGGAGCGTGCGTGGGTTGGGAAGATCTCTCCCAGATAGAAAAACGTCGGCCCGTCCAGGAACATGGCGTAGAAGAAGACGTAGACGTAGAGCATGGCGACGCCGGCGGCGAGGGCAGAGCGATTGTCCGTGCCCAGGTAGCTGGCCTGGATGGCACACTCGACGATCAGAGCCGCCGCGGCGCCGACCAGTCCGATTGTTATGAGCACCGGTCGTGGCAGGCGATCGACGATTAGCACGGCGACACAGTTCAGAACGAACGAGACAACAAGCCAGCCAGCCTGGAGATGGAGTTGCTGCTCAGGACCGAACCCGAGACCGCTGTACAACAAGGTGCCGTAATCTGTGAAGTCATTCATTAGCCATCCGCCTTGAGAAGAAGACGGGAAAGGGGGGAGGGGGTTGCAGACTATTGATGACCAAGACTCCCGAGCTCTGCAAAAGGAACGGCAACCCGCAGCCGATGAGCAGACGCTTGCGGTACGCAGGGCTCTTCAGCATCTGCCAGGTCGTCATCTTGTGAGTGCGCTCGTACTCGGTCTGCTCGCGCATCAGGTAGAACTCTCGCTCGGCGAACGAGGTGTTGTCTGTGTGGGGTGAGTGGTGCAGACTCTTGACGATCTGCCATGCTTCTTCTCTGCGGCCCTTCAAAAGGAGCCAGCGAGGGCTCTCCGGCACGAAGGGCATGCTGACCAGACACAGAATGCAGGGCAGACATCCAATCGCGAGCGGGGCGCGCCACTCGTTCCCGGCGGCATTCTTGTAGTAGAAGAAACCGACTCCAACGTACGATGCCATCACGTAGCCGATGTTGGCAAAGATCGGGTGCAGGTCGATCAGCATGCCCCGATCTTTGGGTGGTACCACCTCTGTGATCCATAGCGGCACGGTAGCCAGCTCGATGAAAGCACTGGAGCCCATCATCAGTGGGTGTCTGCTGTGGCAAGGAGACCAGTGAAACCTACCCGACGCCTTGGAAAAAGCGAAACACAATAAACATCGCCGTGTTCACCGAGCCCGCAAGCAGCGCATTGGAGATCAGAACGATAACAATTCCGATATAGATGGACATCTTCCGCCCCCAGCGGTCGGCGATCTTGCCAATCGCCACGCAGCCGAAGAATCCGCCTGTGTAGTACAGACCGTTCATGGCACCAATCAGGGCAGCGGTGTTGGGGTTGGTGTCAAGGCCCATGTACGCGTAGAAAGATGGCTGGCCGAGGGTGGTGGCGATGATACTGCTGGCATAGCCGTACGCCGCCGACGCCCAGCAGACGTTGACGATGTACAGCACCATCTTCCAGGTGTACGGGTGGTGGATTTTGGTCTCCATGATGGAACGACGGTGACAACGATGGCTCGTGGGTTGAACTGACCGAGTCTCGAGAGATTTCGGGGTCATTATGAATGCTCGACGATTCACTGTTGGAGCACCTAGCCTGATTCTGGGTGCCGGCATCCCCAGAGGAGGCGGAGGTCATCTCGGATATCACCAACCTTGTTTGAAGAATCCGGGGTCTGCCCAATTCCCCAACGGAGAGCAGGGATTCGGACCCTTACTGCACGGCCCACCTGCAAGACAGGTTTAGAGGCATCGTGGGATGTCTTCAGCCAAGAGAGCACAGCCTTATTTGGACCGTGGAAAATTTCGCCATTGATCTCTGGGTTGATTCTTTGCCGGGGTAGTCTTACAGCTCTTGGTCCTAGCTCTGCACCAATCTTATCGTTGGAAATGATTAGTTGATGCTGGCAATTGGTGGAGCCGGATAAGCATACAATTGAGGTTGCTGTACCTCATACCTTGTGCCAGGTATGAAATGGCTCTTGCGTGACCGGTAATTGTCAATTGGCTTTTTCTTCATGAAAGTGTAGAACGAAATACCGTCCTGCCAGAGCTGATATACGATCTGCAGGAACCTCCAGACTAGACATAAACGGTACACAGAGAATATTCAGGACAGTAGGTATTCCAAGGCTACACGTATTGCGCCGTCCAACGTGACAGGATACTGATCGATGCGACCTTTGGAGCCAGGAAAAGGTAGCCAGATGGCTGAACAACCGCTCAATCCAGTCTTTGCCGGCTTCGGCATGCGGCTCGGCATGGCTAACCGCTGGGATAGCCGCAATGGCCGTAGCGTAAGAGGCAGATGCAGTAGCATGTATGGAGAATGGTAAAGGTGATTGATGTCCGACAGCGTTGATTGATGCAGGCGAGATGGTGGCTGCGGTGGCTGCGGTGGCCCCAACCCAATCGAGAAGGTTGGCCGAACTGTTACTGCCGCCTTCGCGGCTCTCATAGATGCGACTCAAGCAATTGCAGTAATTCGATCAGGTGGCCCTACACTTGCATCTTCAAGCAGACAAGAACCGTATGAATCGAAGGTGCTTCAAGTCCGAGCAGCAATCTCTATGCCCTCGGCAAGTCAACCATGTTGGCACGACAGTGAAGAAGAGCATGAACACGAGTCCGCGTCAATCTCGACTCGCAGAAAGGTGCAGGTTTTCTCAAGAGCCATATTGCGGCTCCGACGAGGTAGTAGGAAAGGTATCATCCAGAATCCATACGCCTTCGTCGTGTCAGATACACTTCACACTGGGAGTCTGGGACAGACGAAGCCCGAGAAAAAGAGATACAAGCAGCTGAACAAGATGGCCTAGGTCTCGAGATGCGATGCACATGATAACCATTCTCACTCCAACATCATCCACTCCCAAATCCTATCATGCGGCCTCTCCACCTGATGAGAATCACGGCAGGCCCTGCTGCCAATACGAAGAGGGATCATTCTCACCATACGCGGTGGGACCCATGTCAAAGACCGAGATCCTCCTCATGTCTCTGCGGTACTTGCCTTCATACTCGCCGTGGGTTGCTCGGTGCAAGACCGCAGTATTGTCCCAAATAGCGACATCACCGTTATCCTTCCAGTCGTGCCTGAAGACGTATTTCTTCTGTTGTAGGTGCTCGAAAAGCTCCTTGAGTAGCTTCTGGCCTTCGTCGACTTCCATTCCCTCAATCGAGTGCGTATACGATGTCACATAGAGATTTCTCCGGCCGGTCTCGGGGTGATCCTGGACGATCTTGTGTTTGGCCATGGGCATCTTCATCGGGTCGATATCACGGAAGAGTGGAGAGTCTGGATTGGCTGTCTTGCGGTTATGGAAGAGTGAGTTACGCCCCACGAGGCCTTCAATCGCGCGCTTCTTCTCATCCGGTAGGTCTTCGTAGGCCGTCCGTGAGTCGAGATATTCGGTGTGCCCACCAGTGTTAGGTGGTGGCAGCTCGACCGCTCTCAGGATCGAGACGCCCGTGCGTCGCGGGTTGAATGCCCCATCAGCGTGCCATAGGGCATTACCGTTGGCTGAGGCGGTTCGGTTGGGGTCCTTTTCGGTGACGATCTGACCATTCTCGTCAAGGTTGGCCACGTCGAAGATCTCGTCGTTATCGATACGGAACTTGCGGCCGGCCGAGCGGTGGGCCTTGACATTGTCGAGCTCGCCGAAGCGTCGACCCAAAGCTAACGCACCTTCGTCGTCGAGCGCGGTCTTTCTCAAAATGACCACTCCGTACTTATGCAGCGTGGCACGGAGTTCTTCGAACAGAGCATCGTCGACTGGTTTCGAAAAGTCGATGCCCTCCACCTCAGCAGCAAAGGTTGGGGCGAGGGGGGTGACGAGCAGTCTGGTTACGCTGGGCATTGTGATACGGGCCAGAAAAGATGTATCTGCGTTGTTCACGCGATCCAGAGTCACTTCCACGCCATCTCTGCCTGAAGTATATCTTTGAAGTCGATCGGCAACAACTCTCAGCCGACCGGATTTGCTTGCCGAGAGGATCTTCGCGTTTTCCGACTGGTGAAGTCGGGTCTATTATTGAAACCCGTCAACCAATGCGTCTAGGGGCTGCATCTCGACCTCGGTAGCCGATCATGCCGTGGGCTATTTCACCTTGTCTATAGAAGCGCAAACTTGGCGAGAACAGTTTGCTGGCTCCGTTCTCCCCAATATGCTGAACGGAAAAGACGTCGAGCAGCACAACTCCCGTGACTCGTTTGTGATGTGGGCACGAAACACAGGAAGATAATAGAGCCGAAAAAAGGGAATCGAGCAGGCTCAGCAATGCCTTGCTTAACGGAGTCTATGTACTCTAATCTACTGACCAACCATATCTCAGATGAACCACGGCACATCCTCGTTCCGCATGTATGGCGTCAAATTGGGCAGATCGTGCTTGACCTCCGCCTCGATCTGTCCATTCCCGAGATACGCCCACATGTTCGTGTGGTAGCGAAAGTTGTAGTGCTCGTACTTGACCTCCTTCAGCGTCTTCATGAAGTGCAGACACGAGCCGCCCCAGATCCACAGCTTCCCGCCGACAATGTTGTTCTTGTACCAGCTTTTGCAGTCGGCACCCCAGACCCCGCGCGCGTGCCAGAGGTCGATGTGTCGATAGAGCTGATCCACCGGCTCGTCGCGCACCTCAATCGCTTTGATGCCCTCGGCTTGCATCCTCTTGGCGCATTGGAGCACGTACTCGACGCATACTTCGTGCGAGGGCAGCGTGGTGCCGGACGCCCAGCTGCCGCGGACCCCGTTGATCACGAAGTAGTTGGGAAACTTGGGCACTGTCGTGGCTAGATACACGCGGGGCTCTGGCTGGAATGCTTCTGCCATGCTGAGGCCGTTGACGCCACGGACATCACTATATAACCAAACATATGAGGACAGGTCCGCTCCTTCTCATGGAAGGGAGCAAAAGACAAACTCACAATGGAGGGACAAAGGCCAGGTTGAAGCCGGTGGCGCAGATGAGGATATCAACCTCGTGTAGATGGCCGTCTTCGTCGACAACCCCTTCGGAAACAATCTTTGCGATCTCTTTGTGGCATGTCGTTACATCTATGGCGCGTCAGTTCTCAGGCAGAGAGAGATGTGAATATTGAGAATCTTAAACTCACTGGACTGCACCAGCGCCTCAAGGTAGCCATCGCCCGGGGTGATGCGACGACAACCGGGCGGCCAGTGAGGGATGAGCTTCTCCTTCAACTCTTCGTGGCCCGGGCCGATTCGCCGAAGCATTTCGGCTTTCATGAGTCGCTCGGCAGCATGATTGGTCTCGGAATCCTTCAAGAACATCTCGAAGAGGTTGTTGACCGACGCCTCCAGCTTCTTGCGGTACTGGAGGTGAAATTCCGGGTCGTCACGGAACGCGTTCTTCTCTTCGTCCGAGAAGAAGTATTGCGCATTCGGTGGAACCTCGCCCTGGGCCTTGGACCTCTGCTCCTCCAGTGTGTCTTGTCCAATCATGGGCGAGATCCAGGTTACTGACCGCATGAACGCCACGAGATGCTTTGCAGCTGTTGTTCTCGTCAGCCAGTCTATCTGTCTGTATCTCTTCACACCCGAAACCTACACTTTTGAATCTGTGGCACAATCTGGATCGCGCTAGATCCAGTGCCGATGACTGCCACTCGCTTGCCAGTCCAGTCGCAGGCTTGATCGGGTGAGCCATACAACATTCAGAGAGGAAGGGAGGGAAAAGAAGACGTACACGAGTCCCAGGATGCACTATGCATGAGCTCGCCTTTAAAGTCGTGGAGTCCGGGAATTGAGGGCCCTGGTCAATGGTGAGTCGCCAGCATTGAGGTATGTAGGCTTGGCTTGGTACTTGCATTTCCAGCTGTTCAGAAAACCGGTTCCGTTCACCAGTATATGGCACCAATCACGAATGATCTTGCCGTCGGCATCGATTTCGACCTCGTCTGGCCAATTTTGGTCATCAATGTGTTTGTTGCTTTGGTATTTTGGCATGAAACTCGACTTACATATCCCTCTTTCCTCCTGCCACACCGCCTTGAGGACGCGGCAATTGAGCTTGACAAACGGCATCAAGTCGTATTTCTTGGCAAAGTTCTGGAAGTACTCCTTGATTTCGGGTGCATAGGCGTAGAAGCTGGACCAGTTGGGATTCGGTTCAAAAGAGTATGTGTAAGCATGAGCCGGGCTAAACACGGTCAGTGAGCAATTCGCATTGGATGGTGGTGCATTGACGGGTCTTGTTATTACACGTCACAAGCACATCCCGGGTAGCGGTTTTCGAACCAAGTGCCTCCGACCTGGGCGTTCCTATCTTTTGTTAAAACTGCTTTGCCCCTGTACTGTTTACAATGGGCTGGCTGACTGGACTCACTTTTCGTAGCAGACAAGGCTGTAGTCCTGGAAGTTCTTCTTCATCTTGTACGCCATCAGAAGGCCGGCAGCTCCGGCACCCACGTGTATCACGCGAAGATGTTGGGGCTTTGAATGCCATTGCTCCTTGATCATGTAAGGGTGCTCGGATTGCTCGAGAAATGCATTCTCGACATGAGAGGCAACCTTCTGGCCCAGGTATTTGGCGCCAGGAAAAGGCTCCTCTTCATGCGCAGGGAGATTGGCGACTGCTTTCATTTTCAACGAGCAAGAGTTACTGTCGAGCTGGAACACACTTCGGAATACGATCTTGACGAATTGTCCATCATTATTGAAGATCCAAACTACAATATGTCACGCTGTTTCCAGTCGAACCCACCACAACAAGCCTTGCCCAATCTCCAAGGCCGGCAAATGCACAGTAACCCCCGTACAGATACTCCGGTGTAGTGATGACTTTCTCACGCCTTGCTCGGCTTCTACAGGCGGATTGTTCGCTTGTCCATACTCGTTCCTGAACGTGAGACTGCCGACGCCTCAGCGAGGACGAGGACCTTTGACAAGGCTGCTCGGAAAACCTCGCGATTGGCCTGGACTCATGGTTAACTAACCTAATTCTGCTCGACCAGGATCATAATATGTATGGGGGATTCCCCGCAAAGCTGTTATCAAACCCCGCGTATCGAAGCCGGAAAGGAGCTTCTCCTGAAGATCCGAGACTGAGCGTGGTTGGATCCCAGGATGTCAGATTGACATTCTCACGAGCAGAGTAGTATATAAAGTAACGACGTGGTATGCTGTATGAAAGCGGTCGCCATCGTCGGTGGGAGTGAGGTCGGCCACACCAAACATACAGCCGAGGCTGGACAAACAAAGCTATATACAAGGACTGAACTTGGTCCCCGGCACGGGTTTTCCGCGCTCGAGGCTACCCCGCGTGCATTGTTGTTGCGTGCGAGGGATTGTGAGCCTAGTGGGGATTTTCGACCGGACGTGTGGGGGAATAGCCAGGCCAGAAGCTCGTATATATATACTCGGTATACCAGGGCTCGACTCGGCAATGGTTTATGATGATCGTCTCTGCCAAAGTCTGAAAAGGTGGCAGCAACAATGGCCCTCCACGATGGCGACCTCAAGCCCGTGCGGCCGATGTTCGAGCTCACGGGCCGCAACTACATCGTCACGGGCGGCGGGCGAGGCATCGGGTACGCCATCACGCGCGCCATCGCCGAGATGGGCGGGAACGTCGTCGTGTTCGATCTCTTAGACAAGCCGGTGTCGGATTTCGACACGCTCGAGAGCGAGTTCGGCGTCAAGGTCAAGTACATCCGCGCCGACGTGACGAGCGACGACAGCCTGAGGTCAGCGTTTGCTCAGGCAATGGAGACACTGGGCACTCTGGACGGGTGGTACGTGCTAAGCCGAGAGATTAGGTGTCTCCCCAATGTGTGTTGCTTGCTTGCTCAGACGCTTGTAGCGTGACAGCGGCGGGTATTGCCCCCGAAGGACCGTTTCTCGAGCAGGACTGGAACACGATGAGAAAAGTGATGGACATCAATGTGTGTTTGTCCCCCTTTTCTCGACGTTGGTGATACCGGTGTTGACACCATCTGTATAGGTCAATGGGACATACTTCACCGCACAGTTGGCGGCGCAGCAGATGCAGAAACAAGGCACTGGAGGGAGTTTGATATTGATTGCGTCCGTGTGCGCGCACGTCGCACTCCCACGCACGCTGTTATCCGCGTATAACGCCTCCAAAGGGGCCGTCAAGATGCTGAGCACGGCGTTGGCGGTCGAGTTGGCTCCTCTCAACATCCGGTGCAACATCATCTCGCCCGGGTACATCCAGAGCGACATGACCAAAGGTTTGCGCGAAAAGAACCCCGAGCTGGCCGACATCATGGAGAATGCACCACCTCTGCGACGCATTGGGAACCGCAACGACCTGACGGGGGCGGCTGTGTACTTGTTGAGCGATGCTTCGGCTTATACCACGGGCGCGGAGATCCTCGTTACCGGTGGAATGCACGCCGGAAGGGTAACCACAGACTGATGGCGATGATGAATCGAGGCGAGAACTTGTTGAAGATAGACCTAGCCGATACGAAAAGCCTTCCCAATGGCAAAGCGAGAATACCATGCCACGGCTGGAAGGCAAGAGAGGAATGCCACTTCAGGAAGGAAGCCTAGCGTTGCCATTGCTACAGGGAGTGAGTGGCGGAACCCCCAATAAGACTTTCTCAGGGACCATGACCATCCCAAGCTGCGACCATGAAATGGATTAGTACAGAAAGTGGTCATGATGGCTGACGATCAAGTATCAGAGAACAGCAGCCGGTGTTTCGCTCTCAAGAAGTATATCACGACGGGTGGGAATAGCCACTTGCTGACTTCATGAGATATCTGTACATGCAAATATCTATTTGTTATTGTTATTCTCGAAGCTGCCATCTGGTAGATTTATCTGCATGTTCCAGGTATATACGAGTCTAGGGCCTGACCGGGAGTCTCACTAGTACCTAAGAGGATAGGACCACATAGGAGAAGTACGGTAGAAACGGGCTACAGTCGTGAGGCGGTAGAAGGGTGAGGAACAGGAGCCAGAGAGAGTCCTAGGACGTGAGTAGATGGGAGTGGACGAGGGAGCGAGTCGAAGCGACGGGCGATTAATTAGCTAAATAGTGGTGAAGAACGACTATTCGGGGCCGATTTCCATGCATATACACGTGGGTGACACGTACACGTAGATGTGTATGTGCGTGTGGGTGTGTTTGGACTCGGGGGTATATAGTTTCCATTTGACAGCCCGTTGACGCTCAGATGGTATTCTACTGATGTACAGACAGTCTACTATCAACCCCAAGCACACGAATACTTCGGCATACTGGCAGAAGCATGACAACAACCGTTCTTTTTGGTTCCCGTGTTTCTTTCATATCAAGAAGAACAAGCTGGGAGTTCAAGCGGACAACTAACTATGTAAGCTCAACCGTTGTTATCCACAATAAATGTGTTGGATATCGAAACTCGGCCACCCGGAATTCGGAGTTTCTGGTGGGCAGGTCAACAATACACCTTTCCTACACAAGTTCCGTCGGATTTGAGGCCTGTCGGTAAATAATCGCCATCTTGTTGCCGGACGCAGCGAGGACTTACCCTGCGTCAGGTTATCCGAGTCAGTCTGTTTCCAGAAGACCTCTCAAGCCCGATGTACAACCTACTGCGTACCTCTTGTGGGTCTCGGCCAATGGCAGAGCCAATCGACGCATATGCTGTCGAGACGATGAGGGTCCAACGCAAGATGGCCTATGTCAGCCTTTCCGTGTCAAGTCATCCAGCCCTTCGTCCAGCACTGTGATGTGGGCTGCTGCAACACCCCAGAGCCGAGGTCTCCATCACTAGCTCCTTGGACGTGGGGTGTGGACAGGTACGGGGATCGGAGCTGGTGCTGTGATGAACTTGATGGAAAGCTAAACGCTGCTTAGGTTCTTTGTTTATCTCGGAATTTGGAGAACACATGCTCTTGTTGTTTATTTTTTCTTTTCTTTTCTCTTTCGGACCTTTTGCTGGTTTTGGGCAGATAACTTCGATCCGTCCACAGCTTCTCCCAGCAAACTGCCGCTGCCTGTAGAGTGAATTGAATTGACAAGCAGGAGGAACGTTGTTGGCGCGTTCGAAATGCCGTACTATGGAGCGAAGCTGAGCCCACGTAAGTATTGCTGTAGTGCATACACAGCTTTCGCAAAGTCTCTGGGCTGATCGTCTCTGCAGCAATCCCCGAGGATATAACAATCTGGTCATGGCTGTTCGAAACCACCCATACACCGCCAGGAGTCAAGCCAACAGGAGGCTTCCGGGACGCATCGACCGACCAGTTCCTCTCCTTCGATGACATCCGGCGCCTTGCAACCCGTTTTTCCTCAATCCTGTACCACAAGTATGGCTTGCGTGCCGGAGACGGCGTGTCTGCGTTCACGTCGAACACGATATGGTACCCGGTCGCAATGTTCGCGGCGGCACGGCTGGGGGTGATTTTCACGGGCTCGTCGCCGGAATATGGCCCGGAAGAGGCCGGCTATATCATGAAGGCGGCGAGAGCCAAGCTGGTATTTGCGGACCAGGGCTCGCTCAAGGCGGTCTCGCAAACGATGAGTGTGGATAGGATCATCCTTCTGGAACCGGCAGACACAGCTGGCCCTTTGCCTTCGGTCAAGAAGTTACTCGACAAACCAGATTTTGGCAGCGTTCCCGCGCCTTTCACGCTCCCTGCAGGGAAGAAGAACGGCCAGGTCTGCGCGTTCTTGAGCTTCACCTCCGGCACGACGAGCCGACCGAAGGGCGTAAGCATGCAGTACCTGGGCCGGCTATATCGTTACTGATTTTGTGCAGGTCATGATATCCCACAAAAATGTGATTGCCCAGATCATGCAGATGAGGTCGCTAGGCCGGGAGGATCTTCCAAGAGTTCTGCTGGGAGTTTTACCGCTGTTCCACAGTAGGTTGCATCTCCAAGTGTGTTCACGTAGAATGCGACTAACACCATGATAGTCACCGGACTCGTTCAGATCTTGCAACTGCCGATCGTTCTTGATCAACAAGTCATCTTGATGCCTAAATTCGACATGAAGGGTATGATGGATACGATCGTCAAGTACAAATGCGATGAACTGTGGCTTGTCCCACGTAAGACCTCCCTCCCGCCTCTGTACGTGCAGAACTCCAACTCACCTCACTCTTCCATCAATAGCTCTTCTCATCAGGCTGGTCAACGACCCTGTCGCCGCTGGACATACCCTGCCTTTGGTCAAGCAGTTCAACACCGGCGCTGCCCCTCTGGCCCAAGAGATCGTGGATAAACTCGCGAAGCGGTTCTCACACATCGCAATACGGCAGGCATGGGGAATGACCGAAAGCACCAGTGCCTTGACACTAACACCACCGCCGTTGCAAACCTACGAGAATGCTCACACTGTTGGTGCCGTCGTCCCGGAAACGGTGCTGAAGATCGTGGATCCTGAGACGGGGAAGGAAGTCAAAGAAGGCGAGAGTGGCGAGGTAAGCAGAGCATGCAGCAAAACCATGATATCTTTGATCTCGTGCTGATAGTCGTGCAGATCTGGGGCAAGGGCCCTCAAGTAACGATGGGTTATCTTGACAATCCGAGCGCCACGGCGGAGACATATGATCAGGAAGGATTTCTCCACACCGGTGATATCGGGTCCATGCTTCCCAGTGGTCTCCTGCTGGTCCAAGACAGGCTGAAAGAGATGATCAAGGTATGGCCGAATCAATTTGAAGCCAGGCCAAGCAAGCTGACACCACACAGGTCAAAGGCGTCGGCGTGGCTCCTGCCGAACTGGAAGATCTGCTACTCGGCCATCCGCTGGTCGTGGACGTTGCCGTGATTGGCATTCAGGATCCCTATTCCGGGGAGCTGCCGAAGGCTTTCGTCGTGCTGACCGACAAGGCCAAGCCCGATGCTCAGACGGCACAGGAATTGCAAGAGTTCGTGCGCCGAAAGAAAAGCCGGAGCAAGTGGCTCGGCGGCGGTGTGGAGTTCGTCAATCAGATCCCCAAGAGCGCCTCCGGCAAGATCCTGCGACGCATGCTGAGAGATCAAGAAAGGGCCCGTGCAAAGGCGTCCGCGGGCAGAAGTCGGTTGTAGTCTTGTGTGATGTTCATGAGTTTAGACCAAAGCAGGAGCTTCTCTGTCGACCTTGGAAGAGGCTTCGACGTGTATAGACCGGCGTGTCCGTTAGCAAACGTGCTCAAGGAGTGCTGTTGAAGGTTTGGTGGTTAGTCTCCTTAGTTCAACTTGGCGGAGTTACAGCCCTCTCCGCGAGCACAGCTACTCATTTGGATCCTTCTGGCAGATGTATCACTCTGGTTTGAGATAGACGTTCAGTGCAAGGATATATTGAGCGCTTACATCCTCCATGGTACATTAAAAAATGTTGAAACTGGCTTGACGATCGAAGGATCCTGGTCGGCCCTAGCAGGGCTGGTTGTGAGGACGCTGCCTCGGAGCTCGTAGCATTAACGTGGATTCAGGGGGTGAATGACAGGCCCAGGGAAGAAAGCCAGGCCGTGAAGAAACGGATCGACTCCGCGTTTTCGGTCGCTCCATGGAAACGTCGCCATGCCGCACATGGAACAAAGTAGATACCTATTCGGCATCGACAGGATTCCTTCACGGAGCCTTGTGGCCTCGGACGTCGTTGAATTCGCTTCCTATGGTCTGTAGAGTGTCCTCTTTGCGGAAGTAGAAATTTTATGCGACCAAAAGAATGCTCCTGAAATGGCTGAGGACGTGATCGCATACCCGTATTAAGGCTTTTTGTGTAGATAAGCGATCTTGCTAGTGATATGATTCTTCCTGGAACCATCAACGTGGCGTGCAGTGTTCCCTTTGACCGACTCTAGTCCCACTACACATTCTGTAAGCCTTGACTCTCTGACCCACATCGTTGGCTAAGTCCTGCAGTTGGCGGCTCTCGGCCCGCAGCTCGGCATCCATGTCCGACGAAGAGTTGAGTGCCCCTAGGAGAACGATTTTCAGTGTCAGATGGAAGAGACGTAAAAAAGACGCTGAAATAGGCTCAGGGCTAGAAGATCTGATCTCCCTCTGGGCGATCTCAAGCTCAATGAGCCATGATTCCAACTGGTCCAACAGAGCTGCTTTCTCGGATAGTAGTCGTAAAGCGGCTCCTACCGATTCGACTTGCGATACTTTGTCGAGAAATTTAAGCGTCGATGTAGCGATCTTTGTCAGTTCGGTCCGCATGTTTGGCGCAAGCGTGCGAAGGTCGCGAGATTCGACAGGCTGTTGATGGGGCGGAATTAAGCACACAGGCAAAGTCGTTCCGCTTACATTGGGAACTGTTGGAGGTTCCGCAAATCTGCATGGAGCGGCAAACAGCTTGATGACAAAAGCATCCAGGAAGGGTAATTGTTCATGGTATGCTGGCACTAATTTCTCCGTTGCGTCAAAAGTTGGTCTTGCCCGGTACTCTTGCATGATCCTGAGTCCTTGAATGATATGCTGCACCATAGCAGCATAGTCCTTCCGCACTTGCTCAATGCCGATGAAGATCTGACAGCAAAGTAATACCGACTTCAACCTGTTTGGGCCCAGAGACGACAAGTTGGATGCAATACCCCCCAAAGCCATGTTGTATTGCTGGAGACCATAGTGATAGCTGTGGGTCTTCTGTGCGACAGACGTTGGATCGTCTCCAGATGCCTCGAGATCTTCCCGAAATGCTCTGAGCGACAAGACTGCGTGTCGTATAGGCGGATCAGTCAAGCTTGCTTGGAGAATTTGCCTGGCTTCCTCGCCACAGCCTAGCTTCACGCCAAACATCGTTTTGGTCGAGAAGTAACGGTTGAGGAGGTCGATGTCCTGAGGGACGACTTCAGTGGCGGCAAGACGGACAGGTGGTGAGCCCACGCTTGAATTGATGTCGCGAGCACGGTGGTTGTTCATGGGTTGACTGGTGAAAATTCTAAAGGGCGACTCGTAGCCGTCGCAAGTACGACCAGTATTGACGCATTTTTGGCAAAATGGTTTGTTTTCGTCACATTTGACTCTTCGAATCCTGTTACTGATTAGGCACCATCGCTGCAGAGCTGACTGCCTGTCCCAGTTCAGGGTCTGACTGTGTAGACCTGCGCCAGGATTCTTCCGCCATGACTGACCTGCAAGTTGCACAACCAGTCTTTACCTTGGTTTTGCTTTTAATGTTCCGCTGGCGGACGACCACGCTTCCGTCCATCGCAGGGGCGAAGATGGGGCATCCACACTTGCCAGCAACAGCCTTCAGACAAGGCTAAGAATCAAAGCAAGCAAGAAATCCGAACAGGCGAATCATATCATGCATTGAGACGCGGAAACATGGGAAAGGTGAGATGGATTGGCTTCATATAGTGAAAGCCAGAAAACAGCGTAGGCAGCAGAGGGCAAGGCGAAATGGCTGTCCGTGTATCTAATAAAGAGGGAGTGTCTGACAGCATCTGTCTAGCTGTAAAAGGAAGCCAAGGCGCTAATGATGGCCTTGGAAGTGTCCACGCTAGCTCTATCAGGAAGCCAGAGCGAACTGACCAACCACACGGCGCACCGAGTACTATATGCTATGACAATGGTTTCATGCTTCATCCAGCATTCGTCCGAATCCAAATTATCTCAAGGGATTCAAAGGCGGTCGGGCTCTGTTGATTCCGTTGGCTCTTGGTTCGTGGACGTACCCTTAGCCTATATAAAGAGAGCCTGACCCGATGCTTCTCGAAATGAATACTTAGACGATGTCGAGGTTGGTAAATAGACCAGGATTGAAGTGGAAAATAATGTCCAGCTCGAAGATGCCGGCTTTCACTCTATATGGCTCTCTTGGGTCAACCAACACCGATCGTGTCCGCCTGACCCTCGCCGAAGGCGGCTTCACAGATTACGAACTCGTGTCCCTCGACCTTCGCAAAGGGGAGCACAAGGTGCGTATGGCGTTTCTTTTAAAAGATCTCGAACACTCACAATCATCCAACAATTTACTTCTATTCGTAAGGGTCGATTGTTGTCAGGACTAACGCCGTTACACGCAGTCCCCAGAGCACCAAAGTCGTCACCCATGGGGTAAAATCCCTGTAATAGTCTCCGCCGACGGATTCACTCTCTACGAGAGTCGTGCAATCTGCAAATATCTCGCAACGAAGTACTCGTTTCCACTTGTTCCTCCAGCCTCCGACATCGAAGCTGCAGCACTGTTCGACCAGGCACAGTGCATCGAGATGACGTACTTTGCAGAGCCAGCAGGGAAAATCGCATTCGAGAAGTTTGCCAAAAAATTCATAGGGCTGCCCCCGGATGAAGCGGCAGTCTCGGCTGCACTGCGATCGGTCGACATGTTTTTCGACGTTGCAGAATGTCTCTTACAGGACAAGGATTATATGGCTGGAAATGACTTCACGATCATTGATATCTACTATATTCCGCTGATTCAAAGATTGTTCGTATGTGGGTACGGAGATGTCATCACTAGCCGCAAGGCTGTGAGTGCTTGGTGGGACCGTTGCCTCAATCGACCAGCCATACAGACGATGTTGGCTGCTGACAAGGAGGCTACGGCTGCTGCCAGCAAATAGGAGAAACAGGTAGTGAATTTCGACTCGTTTGCGAATAATGATATACGCTCGTTGATCCAGTGAAAGCGCTGTTATCGTAAAGGAAGAGTATCTCTTGCAACCATTGATGACCCTCTCCAGTATATGGATAGTCTTACAGGTAAAGACCTATAACCAAGAACTTTGGAAAAATGCTCATAGAAATTCAATGATCAAGACTACAAAGGGTGAATGCTTGAATGCAGCAGTCTGCACGATGGGTCGTTTAATGTAAATTGCCAAGATTCATGTTCCAGCCGCGAACGAAGATCTAGAACAATGTTGGCGTTGCCGAGCCCGATATTGCGTGCCATGCCTCTTTGGTCGTCAAATCACAATCAGCGTCTTATGGGAAGTTGACATCAGCCTAGACCCCGTGACTATACCGTAACACGGACAAACAGGGCTTATGATTCACTGAATCAATCAACCGAACTCGTATATGCACGAGTAGCTGAACAAACCAGGGCTAAAGGACTTCACTCTCTAGGGGGTAGCCAGGCAGCCGGCGGAATCCTCAGGATGTTTCATCTCGGGTTTCACAGAAGCTTGCCAGGCTCTGTCCTCAAATCTTCGGCGCGGACGTGAACCACCACCATGCGCCAGAACCTCAGAACCTACTCCACAGAATGGCCACTACCGGAGAGCAGCATCTATACAAATACAGTCCACTTCCCGGCGCAAGATGGACTCGTGTTATCAAGCTCAAAGCTGGCGAATTCCGCGACCCCATCAAATGCTCACTTCACCCTATCGACCTCGATTCAGAGCACGAGCCCTACGTCGCCCTTTCGTATCGATGGGGTCAGAAAGCGGACAAGATCCTCTGCGATGGTCAGACTGTGACCGTCAACGACAAACTCTACGAGGCCATGCAGCGACTCCGCGATAGGAAAACCGATGTGACCTTCTGGGCCGATGCTATTTCCATCAACCAGGCTCCCACTCCGGACGGACTGGCAGAGAAGTCTCAGCAGGTACAGTTGATGAGCGTCATCTTCAGCCGGGCGACCATGGTCGTCGCCGACCTAGGCTACGCCAGCATGGAAATGATGGCCGGCCTCGACGAGCTCCTTGGGAAGCTGGGTTCTCTTTCCACGGATCAGATAGGTCCAGATTTCGTCCTGGGCCCCAAATTCCAGAAACTCGGCCTGCCCAAAATCGGCGACCCTGCGTGGACCATCCTCGACGAACTCTTGCGGCGAGAATGGTTCAATCGCGTGTGGATGATCCAGGAATTCGCACTGGCCCGCAAACTCAAGATGAGGGTCGGGACGCGCCTGTTCGACTTCTCGCTGATTGAGAAGGCAAGTCGGATCTACCGCCGCATGCAGCCGCCGTGGGAAGTCATGGCAGCCATGGGCCCCGAGTGGGCGAAAAACACGATGGGGCTGGAGTTCATGATCCACGTGCGTGACATCCACAAGAGTCCGAGGCCATCTCCGCTGGTCGACCTGTTCGGCATGTCCTCCAACTTCGCGGCCACAGACCCGCGAGATCGCATCTACGCGCTCATGGGACTCGTCAAGGCTCCTGCGGACGCGAACACAGAGCCATTTGCCGTCGACTACACCCAGTCCATTCACCAGGTGGCGATCCGCTTTGCGGCCCAACTTACTCATGCCTGGCCGCCCTCGTTGATCTGGATGTATGCGGGCGGCCCCCACCTTCATCAGCCATCGTGGGCTCCAAATCTCGAGTCAAATCAGCAGAGGACCCCGGCCGAGGGTTTGACACCAATCTGGCAGGGGAAGTCGCAAACTCTCTTCAGTGCCGGCGGCACGGCCAAGTCGACGTACGAAATCATCCCCTCAGATGAGGCTGTGAAACCTATTCTGAAGACCGTTGGGCGAGTGGTCGACACTATCAGCGCGGTCACAGACGTTTTCGACTTAGGACAGCAATCAACAGCGACCTTACAGGCTCGCGGAGAGAGCCTGATCAAGTTTGAGCAAGACGCTCGCCGACTCTTGGTCGAGCATGGCCTCCCGGTTCCGTTTCGCTCGAGTGATCGCACAGTATACGACCCGTATTGGCTCAGTCTGGTCAGCGGCACAGACGGGACGCTCTACCACCGAGCAGGTGACGACGTGCGAGAGAGTTTCATCGCGTTCGCGCACTGCGGAGATGAAATCTCCGCCGGGCGCGAATCCGGCGACATTGACGACAAGCCCGAGAAGATCGCCCTCGTGCTGGAGATGTATAAGTTCATGACTGCTCTTGGTTCCACCATGCTTCAGCGCCGGCTCTGTGTGACCGAGATCAAAAGAGTGGGGAACGTTGTCGCCACTGCGAAGCCTGGGGACTACGTGGTCGTTATCTGTGGTGTCGACCGGCCAGTGATCATGCGCGAGGTCATTGTCGAGAACAATGCTCCGTGCGGTGCGCTGCCTCATCGCCACCTGCAGTTTGTTGGCATAGCTTACATCCACGGAATCATGGAAGGGGAGGCGCTGGATGGTGTGCAGGTCCCAATGGACGAGATCCACGTTGTTTAACGCTAAAGGAGAAGGTAGGGACTGAGGGTGTCCGCCTGAGCCTAGTCCTAGATGAGTAATATTTGAGAGCCGCTCCGGCATATCCTTCTATAGTCTGTTGGAACTGTCTCTATCCACCTATTATGCAAATGGTGGCTGCTTGGCGTACATCTCACAATCACTCTCTTGCATTGTGCATGGAACTCATGTCGTCCGGATGTCAATCATGCTGGTTTTGCTTAGAAATCGAAGCATCCACAAGCCGATAGCAGGATTTCCCAGCTTCGAAGATGATGGAAGGTATGTATAAATACCACTATCCCAATATTGCAAAGAATCGGCATCTTCATAAACTCCATCGACCAAGAGAGTTCTCTAGAGCTTATAGTCTTTGCTTCAGAAAATATGGCCCCTCGCAACCACGCCGCCTGGCTGAAAAGCAAAGGCGCCGCTGAGCTTGTCGTCGAAGAAGCTCCATATAGCCACCCCTCCGCTTATGAAATTGTTATTCAGAACAAAGCAGTCGGCATCAATCCAGGCGAGGTCTCCGTCCAGAAGCTGGGAGTCCGCGTCAATGGTTACCCGAGCATCCTGGGATCAGAAGTGGCCGGTATCGTGGAAGAGGTTGGGTCGGGTTTGACGTCGGTGTTCAAGCCGGGAGATCGCGTCGTCGCCAGGGCGAATCGAATGGTTGCCAACAAATACGCCGGATACCAGGAATACGTCGTCCTGAGCCCACCGTTGTTGGCAAGAATTCCGGATCATATCAAATTCACGGAAGCAGTGGTCTTACCAGTCGGTATGACCACGGCTTCATCGTGTCTGTTCGACAGCACCACCTTGGGGCTTGAGATGCCTCCTGGAAGTGGAGGTCAAGGCAAGACACTTTTGATATGGGGTGCCAGCAGCGCGATTGGGCTTGCTGGTGTGCAGTTAGCGGCCGCCGCAGGGTATGAAGTGTTTGGCGTTGCAAGTCGCCATAACCATGAGCTGGTAAAGTCTGTCGGGGCGACTCGCTGTTACGACCGCCACAGTGTCAACGTCGTGGACGAGATTGTGGCCGATTTGAAAGGCAAAGAAATTGTCGGAGCATATGACGCCATATCACAGAAAGAAACAACCACCGCCCTGTGTGAAATACTTCACAGAAGCGGAGGGCGAAAGCTAATCGCAGCTGTTCTGCCCGTGGAAGACTATGTCAAACATGACGTGGTGATCAAAACGAACTTCACGGTGAACGTCGAAAAATCCGGGATTGGCCAGCACATTTGGCAGGACTTTCTGGAGCCCGGACTCGCCTCAGGGGCTGTTCAGTGCAAGCCGGATGCGGAGGTCGTTGGATCGAGTCTCGATGATATTCAGAAAGGCCTCAACTTGCTCGCCAAGGGTGTCAGCGCGAAGAAGATCGTGGTGACCTTGGACGGATAGGGTGGACAGAATTTTCCATGAACAAAATCGACTTGGTTCTCTCCTTTTGCGACATTTTTGCATCTCAGGTCCCGAGGGCCTCCTTGATTGTCTGCCTCTCCTTTCTTACCCAGTTCAAGTACACCGAATAGTCGGTAAATACTATGCTGGGTATCGTCAAAGTTGCCAAAGTTCTTTGTAAGGCGCCCTCAAGTCGAGTCAAGACTTTTTGAAGAAGCCACGCACCCCTCTTTGACTCTAGGCATTGCGGAACTGTAGCTTGTGGCATCCCGACCGCTCTATCAGAAGATATTCCGACATGTTGATGCACAGGTTGGCTCCATTTGGTTAGAATCGATCTTTCCGCCGCCACGATATGATTGATCACGTCCCTGGCACGGTTAAATTGACGTCCGGAGCGGTCTGGAGTCTTTGATACTGCATTCAGCTCTTGCATCAGCTGAATGGTCTCGAGCCTTAGCAGGTAATACTGCGCGAAAAGATATGCAATGTCTTGGGAAGGATAATAGTGTTGAAAGCGGTTGGCTTTTAGAGGTGCCCAGTCCTTCGGCGCTTGGTATTCCCACAGAGATAAATGAGCCAGAAGTTCGATCAATCTCTGTCGCAGGATTTGAACCGCGTCGGGACGGGAGAAGAAGCTAACCCGATCGACTTCGGCTCGGAGAGCTACAACACTGATAGCATGAGCATCAAGTTGCATTGCAGGAGTACAGGACTGGCCCAACCGCTCGATATCGGCCTGTATTTCCCACAAGTCCCATTTGGCTGTCCTGTTTGCGCCATCCAGCCCCAAATTGACGGCATTATTTCGGACGGCCGCTAATAACGTAAGCGCGTTTTGATCTCTGAAATTTAGCCCTCCTCGTTTTTTGATGAGAGCTTCAGCTCCATTCTGATGGGACGCAGGCGGGAGCATGGTCGCCTCATGTCGACGACCAAAGAGATATTCTCCAAATTGTAGAATCATGACAGCACTCAAAGTCTCGTCCTTGAGACTCAACAGTGGATCTGCAATCGCTCGACGGACACTTTTGATAACCCTTGCAAGGAGGCCACTTTCTAAGGCATATGGCTTTCCTTTGAAGCAAGTTCCCATCATGTAGATAGCAAGCCATGACACCGCTTCAGCAAGTGGGGAGTCACCAGAGACCGAATGGTAGAGGGGAGTTATCAATTCAAATTGACCGTGGCTCGCTCGCCAGTCTCTTTCTGGGGTAAAAATGGTTGTTGAAAAGAAGAAGCTGAGAGCCTGCACTTCTAGGGATGGCATCATGCTTCTGGGTAAAGACACTTGCTGTGAGTCGTCCCTCGACAAATGTAAAGTTGTGCATTGATTGCGTTTCTGAAAGCGGGCTTTGACAGATGCAGTCTGATCCCGGAGCACAACATCCACCGGATGAGCGTAACCAGGACAGTCGAAACCCAATCTGGAGCATTGCTGGCATTGTGGTCTCTCAAGGTCGCACTTCAATTGGGATATCATTAGTTGGTCAATGCTGTGTCTGGAAGATTGTAAGCCTACCTTGACATGGCGGTCTTTACACCTTCGGCACCCTCTCGCAGGACCACGATGTACCATTTTGTCGTCAATAGACCGGCGTGGACTCAGATCCGGTGGTCACCGCGCCCAGAAGTTGGTCACTGATGAGCGATCTCCACGGCTAGTTCGCCCAGGCGAGTATGCCATTGACTCCTGAAGCACTGTGGACTCACGTACTCCATGTAAGGCTCATGAGGTCCAAGGAAGAAATGCGCGTAATTGTAAGGTTCTTAAAAGGGGCGTATAACGGTAAACCTTATTGCAAAAGTTGCCGCATTCGGTTATGCTTATTTGTAAGCCAAGGCACTAGCGCTCCCTAGCGAACTTTGCTACCAGCTGGAGGTCCATAAAATGGAGATGCCCGTTCTTGGCGGCCGCTTTGATGCAGCGCTCCGACTGCGGGGGTTTACAAGGCTATGCAAAGACCCCAACTCGAGGTTTACCGAGGACACCCCCGCCGCTCAATCTGCGGCACCGAGAGCATGGCTGACCGAGAATATTCGCTGTGGTTTACGATATCAGTCATGCCCGAGCAAGGTCATCATGTGTACAATTCACAAAGCTGGCCAACCTTGAATCAACATCGCTGCCACCCTATCGCTAGTGGGCGACCGTCATGATGAAGCTCCTACTCCTGCTATTGAAACACCCTCTACGCAGTCTGATCTTTTCCTATTCCTTCCTGGTGCAAATCTTACTGGTCCTCCTGCGACGGGCTCTGCTGCCACATTTCCCCGTATATCAGACACTGCGGATCCAGATCCAGCGAGCATATTTGGGCTCGGCTTCTCTGACTTTTCCCGACTTGACCCACAGGCTGCCGGTGGGCAAGTTGCCCATCGGCCGAGCTCGTAAGGTCGATGGATCTGTCCCAGCCTATCTGATCCCTGGCCGACGGGAGCTTGCTGAGTTTGCGGTCCCAAACCCGAAACGTCAACAGTGTGTCGTAATCTACGCTCATGGTGGCGGCTACGCGCGCGGTGAAGCGAGGATGTATCTCAGGTACATGGAGCGGTGGGTCCGAGAGGCGTCCAAAGAGAACTTGGACCTCGTCTTCGTGAGCGTTGAATATCGTAGGTCTTTCTGTTCGCCCTGACATCTAACCCACCATGCTAACATATGCCGCAGCTTTATCGGTCAAAGAGAGTCATCCGGCACAGAAAAATGCCTTTCTTCAAGTCTACAGATACGTTCTTGATCAGAATATACCCCCGGAGCGTATTGTATTCATGGGCGACTCTGCTGGAGGTACGCCCCCGATGTCCGAGCCGTGATATCATTGCTTGTGCTAATTAGCCCCCTCAGGCTCATTATGCCTCCTTGCAGAAATGGACCTCAATGCTCTGAATCTCCCACAGCCGGCGGCCACGATCCTGATCTCGCCATGGCTCGACATGAACTGCAAGATCTACGAAGGAGGAAACGGAGCCGTCGAAACCGACTACTTCATGGTAGCCAACAAAGCTGTTCCCGCACTGGCCAAGCTCTTTGTGGGCGACGTACCTGGCGACTCGCCAGAGGTCAACCCACTTCACCATCGACCAGAAGCGCTCGCAGGGCTGGGCCCGCAGTTGATCTTCACCGGGGGAGCGGAGTTTGCGCGCTATGACTCGGAGAAATGGGCCGAGCTTTGTCGCGCTGCAGGCGTCGAGTGCAAGCTGATCATCGAATGGGCCCAAATACACATCTACGCGGTCGGGTCGAAGTTCACAGATCCGGCTGTGCGCAGAAAAACTGATGGCTTGATCATCCAGTGGATCAAGGAGCATGTTCGAGCGTGAAAAGATGTCACGAGCGCTTCCACGTGTGTCGAAGGCGGATATCAGTTTCCCTACTAGAAAGAGCCGGGCATCTCGGAATATTCCGACCGTCCACATGATAGATCAATTTGGATTCTTTAGAGGGCGTGTATCGTTCAGAAGGTCACAAAAGGAATGGGGACGACATACTCCAAATGGAATTCATAGAGGCGGTCTCAGCGTATATAACGAGCATCGTCGCGACTATAGTGTGCAAAGGAAGGCCTAGAACTCCCAGCTTACACCACGTTGCTGAGCAAAGAGAGAGTGGAAGTTGAGTTGGAAATAGAAGCGAAAGTGTGCCAATCCTAGACATTAGCTCATCTCAAGCATCTGTGACGTCCTGAAAACGGAGCCTTCACGCTATAAATTTGATTTAGCGTCTACAAAAACAATGCTGGCTTTGTTATGCTCTGCAACGGAAAGCAATAGACCAGTCTACTTGTCTCTCATCTCGCCCCGAATCGTGGACAAGCGTGCTCCTTGCTGCAGAACTTCACACTCGATGACAAGATCCATGTTCTGCCGCACGGGCCGAAGGTACGTGATCAACAACGTCCGAGATACACCTCCGAACCACCAAAAGTCCTTCCTGGCCAGAGGCGCGGCAGCCATCGTCGTACACATGTCGTGAATCATTGCCACCGCTCCGCCGTGCATGTTGCCCATGCGGTTGGTGAAAAGAGGCGCGGCCTTCATCTCGAACACGGCCGTGGTCTTTCTCGGCGTGGTGGAGGCGCTGACAACAGTGATGTGGTCGCGCATGAAGGCCAGGTCAAACGTCTGGAAGGTTCGGACCAGAGTCAGAAAGGATCAAAAAACCTCAAGGACAGGGGTATATAGTCCCAACATCACGGTACCTGCACATGGGTCGTGTCTGCATTGCGATATGCTTCGATGTATGCCTCTATCCGCTTTTTAGGATCTGGAATCGAGATGTCGAATGCCATTCCAGGTGTTTTCAGAAGGTCTGTCGTGTAGCGTTCCGCCTTCGGAGCCTTGGGGTCTTCCATCTCCGACCTATCGTGGAGAGCGTTTCTGTCGAGCGAAGAAGCTCGTATGTCGCCGCTCGAGGCAATCTACCAGGTCCTGGATGATACTGGAGCAAATAAAACCTTCACAGCGTCTAACACGGTCCCAGCTTTAGGGGCCAGCAGTTACTGACTGTCAGCTCCCGACTACCTCATTACGGTACCCGGCCAGCCGGTAGGAGCGGAAGTACCGAGGCAAAGAAGCCATGAGGCTGAAGATAGTTATTCGCCGTCGACCAGTCTTCCAGCAAACTCGATACAAGCGGGCAAAAGGCGATCGATAAGAGCCGCGAAGCCGAAGCTGCACTGAATCAACATTGCACTTGACGCTTACCAATATCGAAACATATCTTGGAGCGTAGTCAATGGGCGGCCAGTTCGGACCGAGACCGAGACCGAAGCCGAGTCTGACACTTCGGCACTAATGTCATATTCCGGAGGTTATAATCTTAGATGTATGTGCTTACAATTTTCTTTTTGTTGTCGGTATAACCCTCCGGACTGACTCAAGGGGGAGTCTACCCCAGACCCTGGCCAATATCCGTGAAGAGCCGAACAGCAACAAACATAGCGCCTATGCCACCAGTGTGCGTTGCAGGCAAGGAGGTGACTCCCTGTACAGAAACATCAACACACCGTCCAGGTTTGTCAGTGACGTTTCTAAAAAGTTATTTCTTGTTTCTAGCTGCAGACAATTGCAGCGTCAGTGTCCCAGATATCTTTGATGAACGGTTTACGCAGGGCGGCGGTTGATCATTGAGTGGCCGGAAATAATGGACCGGAGGAAGAGGTGAGCTCGTCACCCATCACTGACGCAGGTCGATGAACTCGGGATTGACGAAGTCCATTGTGATACCGGAGTGAGACCAACCATATGATTGGATATCACCAGACCATGGGCGCCAGACATGGACTCGCACGTCATGAGGAGCGGGTCGAATTATCCACAGACTGTCTGCAACATGAGCCGAACTCGTCTCTCCAAGCTTCAATCGTTCAGGCTAAATGCGCCACGCGATTTGATACGTATGTTGGTGACTGGAAGACCGAAATGCTGTCTTTCCCTTATTACCTGTGGTCGGCTATACTAATGGCGAGAAGAAAAGTGCAGCAAGCCTGATCAGAATTGACATTGATTGCTTCCACTGGATACCCTGAAGCGAAGTTCTCGAGCACCATGCCGGGTTTCTTGCTGAATTAGGACTGAGGCCAGGTGGTCGAGGGATGGTGGTAACCGAATGGAGACATTTCATTTGTCGGTGAAGTGGGTACACGGTTGAGAGACTCCTCCGCCGTTGTAACCTTTTCTGCTGTAAACATCTGCGGAGGTGGAGGCTGATCGGTCGATGGCGGAGTTGTAGACAACCGGATTGATAAGACGGAAATGGTTGATCTCGAAAACTGTCTGGGGGATGATCTTATCAAATGGCGGGTCGTCCCTGGCATTGAAATCGTTCCCAGGCAACGTTGTATCCCGGTTGCCCCTCGTGAAGCAAATTCTTTCTCGCAGTGATTCATGATCCGGGAAGAGTAGTTCAAAGTATATGGTCATACAGAAACTCCCTGAGATACGGAACGAAATGGGCAACGTGATAGCCGTCGCACTCCATCTTGCACACACAACTCGGCGTGGGCATATGTTGTTTGGTGGCCTTGACCAAAGGCCAAAATGGCGATACTACTGAGGGTCTGCTCGTCAAGCCACCAGATGGCTCTCGACAGGGGACTGATGCCCTAACATTGCCGATCTATCTCTAACCTCGGTATAGCGTACGAAGTAATAGAAGACTTGAATGAGGCCAGAGATAGATAAGCTCGCTAAGCTTTAGTGTGCCTTGCCAAGCTTTGAACTACCAAAGGCTTCTGGGAAGCCACAAAGCTTATCAGCCGACAGTGATCCGTCAACACTCCAAGAATCCTAGATCGCATTTATCACCACTGTGTAGGTCGCGAAGAGAGGCGCTCCAGCAGACTACCACCTTGGGCGAATGGTCGCCCATCACGACGGATCAACGTTACAATCGTCATTCCGATCAGGCGAAAATCATGGGGGCAGCAACGTGGCCTTCCAATCCCGGAGTAGCAGAATGGAGCAATTGCAGGGGATAGTCGTTCTTGCCGAAGTTTTGTGGTTCTTCCTCCGCCGATCACTGTTACACTGTACATAGACGTGGTAGAGGCGACTAAATTGAAATCGATGCTTGACTTTCGACTGCGAAGAACTCTGAGGTAAAGGCTCGGATTTCGGCATGCTTCTCTGCCACGATAACACTTAAAATATACGTTACACGGCTCTCTCTCTCTCAGTGCTTTGAATTCAGGACCTGCTCCGCACTATCTCTGTGAGTCTGCACCTCTGGTTCTGGCATCAACTGGGCGTCGAGATGGATCCTCGACAGCGACCGGGCTTCACACGCACCGACACAGATGGTATTCCGCTCGAAACGGTCTCGCCGTCATCTTCCAGCGGTTATACGAAAAAGGATGTGAAGGGCCCCGTGGAGTCCAAGGCCGATGGCGTTGTCGGGGTGAAGCCAATTGACATTTTGGAGGAGCATCTCCCTGCCTATGACCCCGACAACGATGGTGTCGCTCATATCAAGGAGCCTGTGACTACAGCAGAGGACTTGGTCACTCAGGTCATTCATGTGCAGGATGACCCAAGTCTTAATCCGTGGACGTTCCGTGTCGCCTTTCTTGGTACGCGACTCCTAACCACCATGCCTTCTTAAGAGATATAGATGTCATTTTGGAGATATCTAATTCTAACATTATGCCAGGATGTGGACTGTCAATTTTCGGTGCCGTGCTGCAGGAGATCTTTTTCTTCAAACCACAGACTATCTTCGTGTCTGTGGTCTTCTTGACCGTCATAGCATATATCCTCGGGGAAGCTATGGCAAGCATTATTCCACGGAAAGGGGTCTTTCGCTACCTCAACCCTCATCCTTTTAACCAAAAGGAGCATGCCGCAATAACCATCATGGCATCTGCTGCATCTCAAGCAGCCCAGTCGACGCAAGCATTACCTGCTCAAGCTCTGTTCTATGGCGGATTTCCCAATAAGGCTGCCGGCATCTTCGTCACAATGTCTTCTCAATTGATTGGATTCGGTTTCGCGGGCCTGCTTCGTGATGTCCTTGTGTTCCCTACCAGGATGCTATGGCCCATCAACTTGCCAGTCGCGACCCTCCTCGAAACTCTACACCGTGACAAAAAGGAGACCAAGAGAAAGCTGAAGCTGTTCTATATCGCCTTTTGCCTTATCTTCGTCTGGGAGATTCTACCCGAATACATCTTCCCAGTGCTTACTGGTGTCTCGGTGTTCTGCCTTGCCAAACAAGACAACCTTGTGTTTACCAACCTTTTCGGCGGCGCCTCCGGGGATGAAGGGTTGGGCTTCCTGTCACTCTGTCTCGATTGGAACTACATCATCGCCGTTTTCTCTCCGATGTGGTTCCCACTCAACTCGCTGGTCAATTGCATGATCGGTATTGTCGGCTGTTATATTGTGTTCATGGGCGTCTACTATGGAAACATCTGGGGATCTTTCAGTCTCCCGTTCCTGTCGCAGGAACTCTTCAGCGAGGCATCCAACTCGACAAACTATGTGGTCTACAACCAGTCTGCGATCCTCAACTCGGACTTCACTATTGACCCGACGAAGCTGGCCCAGGAGGGTCTCCCTCAGTTGACTGGAACGTACATTGTGTATCTCATCACCTCAAATATGGGCATGACGGCGGCTTTCACCCACATGTTCATCTGGAACCGCAACGACCTCAAGGCTGGATGGGCGTGGGCTACTCCCTCCAACCTGCGAAGGCTATTTAACGCCAGTACATGGAAATTCTGGCAGAACCAGGAGTCGCCGGAAGAGCGTCTGCAGCGTAAATACGACGACCCCACCTTGGATCCTCACTACAAGCTCATGCTGCAGAACAAATATCCTGAATCTCCAAACTGGTGGTGGGCCTCTGTGGCCCTGGTCAGTTGGGTCGTCGGCCTTGGTTGTCTGTATGGCATGCACTCGACGCTGCCAGGCTGGGGGTTCCTGCTCGCCGCCATCTTTACCTTCCTGCTTTTGCTCTTCCTAGGCGCCCAGATGGGCCTCACAGGCTTTCAGTTCAACGTCCAACCGATTTGCCAGATGATCGCCGGCTATCTCTTCCCTCACCGGCCGCTGGCGAACTTGTACTTCACCTGCTACACGTTCAACACGTTGCAACAGGGACAACTCCTCGCCAAGGATATGAAGCTGGCACAGTATTGTCATCTTCCGCCACGGATCACATTCGTCGTCCAGGTCGTGGGATGTCTCCTCGGAGCCCTCTTCAACTGGGTGATGATGAACGACATCGTCGAGAACCAGAGACCGATCCTCCTCGCCATCCAGGGCTCGAACATCTGGTCGGGACAAAACATCCAGATCTTCAACACGCTGGCCATCTCGTGGAGCATCGCCGACAAGATGTACAGCATCGGCGCAAAGTACCAGTGGGTGACGATTGCCTTCCTGCTGGGGTTCCTTGTCCCGCTGCCTTTCTGGCTGGCCCACCGCTACTTCCGGCCGTGGAAAATCTTCTCGTACCTCAACACGTCCATCATCCTCTGGTACGTCGGCAACCTGTTCACGGGCATCAACTCGTCGTTCACGTCCTTCTACATTGTCGGCTTCATCTCGCAGTTCTACCTGCGCAAATACAAGCCCCAGTTTTTCGTCAAGTACAACTACCTACTGAGCGCGGCTCTCGATGGCGGCACGCAAGGTACGTAATACCACTTCCTATCATTAGTCCCCGTAGCCCAGCTAACGATGTTTGAACAGTCATGGTGTTTATCTTTACCTTTGCCGTCTTTGGCGGAAGTGGCAAGGCGCATCCTTTCCCGACGTGGGCCGGCAATCCTGACACCGGCGTGCACAATATCGACTACTGCATGGTCAACCCTGCAAACGGAGGCTAGACGTCCAAGAGTACACCTGGTTGTGGTCCTATGCGTGACAAGTAGAAGCAGAGGGTGCGTGGATATATATATATGCATTATATATGCCCCGAACTGTGCTCTACCCCTTCCCTTTTTCGTTCAGGAAAGGGAGCGAGGCCGCTTTACTCGCGCACGTGACGGAGCATCGGATGAGGCCCGGCCGAGTATGGGAGAGCGTTACGGGAGCCGCGGCAGAGGACGGGGGAGCGTGCCCGAGCACTGGGCGAGCCACAGGGAGCGCTGCCTGATGCCCATTCGCAGAAGCCAGTTCGGGCTTAGGGGTCTTTAGCTGAGGTATCACTAAGCGCTCCCTATTAAGCAGTCTCTGAGTAAATACTCCGTACGGAGTACATCTGGGGCTTAATCTGGCCCCTAAGTGATCGGTTATACCTGCCTCTCGACTAGGCATCTGTTTCTGACGGCGTCAGGAACCTAGCAGATTCCCTTGCCCTTACAGTGGTGCCTAAATTTCCTTGTTGGGGGCTTACAGCTTGTAACTGAGCAAAAGGCTGTAGCTAAAGAGCTCCAGAACAAGCCTCAAACACCTCTTCAACAAGGTTCCTCTGGTGGCGGAGATAATGAGAGTACTGAGGAGGGGGTAATTGTGGTGCCTCAACCGCGCATCTCGCGATGCGGGAGGCAACTGCGCAAACCGTGGTACCTCGACAGTTGTCAGTTGGAGCTAGAAAGGTTTGCAAGAACCTCCGCTATTTGCGCTATAAGTTGCAATCAATACCGTTCACAATCGGTTGCAAAATGAACAGATGAAGAGGGTGGCTTGTAGCTGAGCTGCTGAGGTGTACGCTCTGTGGCGGTGCATACTGGTGTGGCGTGCACGCTGCGCTGGCGCCTTCTATGTATGTCCTACTCGTAGTCTCCATTAGTGGATGCAATTGGCGGAGAAATTTAGTGGGAAGATATTTTCATCGAAACTCCGTCCCAGCTTGACGCTACCTTTACCTGGCAATATGTTAATATCTTTTCTCTTTCTTGCCTTCGCCGATGACAAAGTCGCCTCTTCAGAATGAGTGATCACTTGTGGCCATTGAGGGACGCTAATGCACAGCCTTTTACAGAACGGCTCTGCGCAGCTGGCACATCAGCTCCTGTTCCATGCACCATTTGCAAGTCACAGAAAAGAAAGTGCGATAGGCGGTTGCCACAATGTAACCGATGTAGAAAGTTGCTGTGCAGTGGTCCTGTTATGCTTGATCACAGTTCCGCTGACTTGTTCGATAGCCAGGGTCGCCATTGCCACTATACAGAAGTCGTCTCTCATCAATTCTCCCGACCGCACCAGCAACCCATACGCATAAGATATCGCCTTCCGTATATGGTCGGCCCTGCAAACTCATCAGTATCGTCAGCAAATTCGACAGAGCAGACACTAATGCAAACGTGGCTGCAGCCGAGGATAATTGACCAGCAAATTACCTGCGAAGTTTTGGGCCTTTTGAATCGCAGTCCAACTGATTTCAATGATGTGGTAGACACGATGCAAGACTCTGTCTACCCATGGCTGGCCATTCTCAATGTCGCCAGTTTCAGACGGAAAGTACACCAACTGTCCCACGAGCCGAATGCTGAAGTTGCGACATTGCTATTAGCCGTCCACTTGATGAACTATTTGTCTACGCCAATTAAAGCAGACTACCCGAAATTTGACGGTGATATCCAAACAGATACATGTCGTAGATTCTTCACCATTCTCCAACTCGATCGCAAGGATCGGATCGAAACCATTCAGTCCGGCGTTTTCCTTTCCGCCTTGGAACTCCATGCTGGACGATTCAATGAAGCATCTCTTACGATAACGACGTGTGCAAAGTTAGGTCACCAGTTCGGCCTAGATCGTTGTCTTGCTGCAGCAGGCAAACAAACTTCAGAGCAAGACACTATCAGAAGGAACATGTGGTATGGTCTTGTCTTAATGGACCGGTAAATATATGTCGTCCTTGGACGTTATTACGAGTGCAGCTGACAGTATATTCTAAGGCTGATCCACGCAGCCGCTCCATTCATCCACAGTGTCGTGGCAATTCCTGAAGATCTCGAGAGAGATCAAGATTTGCATACAGCCTCACGTACAACACTGCCACCAATGCCGGCAAACGAGGCCGATCCGCTAATACTACAAACCCATGTGGCCTGTATTCTCGGAAAAACGCAGCACTTTGTCCAAGACCGTTTGGGATGCGCCCAGAATTGTATTGAGTCCGCCTTCTGGGAGTTTGACGAAAGATTACGGCTGCTAAGCTCAATCGCAATGCAATTAAGTGCAGTGAAGAAGGATACGCCGTGTGTCACATCACCATTAATTTTCATGTAAGGTAGATCAGTGTCAGTGCTAAAGGACTTTGCTCATTCTTGACTAGAGCGATGATAACCCTATATCAGAACCAGCTTGAGTTCAAGGTCAAGAGAGGTGCAGAGCAAGGTCCTTCTTATACAGCAGCCTTCCTGGCTGTAGAACGCATCTTCTCGATGATACAGGAGATTATACACGTGGTGGCCAGAGGAGATGGCCGAGCAATGTTACCAGCAATTATTTTGTATTACCTGGTCGCTCAGGCAGCGATCAATTTATCGCACCTTTATCCAGACTGCGATGGAACAGTACGGGATCTGCGAGAATTATTGAATCATCTTGGACAAAAAAGTAAACTTGCAGGTAAGTTTTATGACTGTCTGTTCTATGTAATTCCTTTCTTTTCGGATGTAATCTGACCGATCATGTAGAGATCTACGCTCTTGCATTGAACAGAATATAGGAGTCCTCACAGGTCAACCTGATTAGAATGTTCAGGATTCCCTTCTTTCTCAAATCCGCATATGAGGGTATGTTAGTAGGGGTATAACGCCTTTTATCGATGGACCGAATCTTCTCGGAGGGAGAGAGCAAACGCGTCACATTGAGGACTATGTGAGGAACAGGGCAATTGATACAATGAAAAAGTTCTAGAACAAGCTACCTGCCTTTCAATTCATTTTATTTTGACCAGTGACCCAGGAGATGATCAGTCTTCAGGATGCTTTTGACTTCCTTCGCGGCATAGATTTATGGGCTTACTGGCTCGCAACCTTCCTCCTCCATTGTCTTCATGTCTGAAGGTTTTCACATCAGCATGACTATAATTCCACGTGACCTCGCAGCTCCTTCTCTGTCCAGTCACGCAATCTTGTCTCCATCGTCTCATCGTTGACTTTAGCCGTGCCCATCCCAGTTACCCCGAGAGGCCAATAGAATTCACCGGAACGAATCTGTTGCTTAGGTGCAGTGGCAGCCCATAATTGATTCTTTGCACCCTCAGTCACCGGCACAGTTGTCAGCGGCATAATGATTGGGCTGAGCCAGGAGAGCCAGGGCCAAGACTCTGCCATACCTCTGACCAGGCCGGTGTTTACGCGACCAGGATGAATAGAGACACAGATAATGTCTGGGTGCTGACGTGCTAAAGACCGGACGTAGTGTATATTTGCCAGCTTGGACTGGCCGTACCGTGCCCAAGTGGAGATCTCAGGCATTCCGGATTTAATCCGGTCGGCAGGTTCGAAAAGATAGCCTTCGGGTGGCGCGTAGCGTTCGCCACGAGAAGAGAGTATAACAATTCGAACATCAGATCCAGAACGTGCCGTCTGCTTGAGCTTTGGCATAAGCAATTGGGTTAACAGCGCGTGGCCAAGGTGATTGGTCCCGAATTGAAGCTCGTAGCCTTCCTTCGTCTGCCCTTCAGGACAAGCCATAATCCCTGCGTTATTGATCAAGACGTGAAGCCGATTTGTTTCGAGGTTGAGCCGTCGCGCCGCGGCCTTGATGCTCTCGAAAGAGGCAAGGTCGAGCTCCAGAAACTCGATTGGTGCACATTGGATTTTGTTCGCCCTCTGGATCGCCTCAATGGCGGCTTCGGCTTTGGCCTTATTTCGCGCTCCCATCCATATCTTTTGCGGATTGTGCCGGGCAAGCTGTCTGATGGTTTCGTATCCAAGTCCACTATTACCTCCAGTCACCAAGTATACTCGACCGGAGAGGTCAGGAATATCTCGGTCTGGCTGATAGTGCGATGTCGACATTTCGACCATTAGGAGGAGGTACAAAACACAATAGGGTTTCACTGATATAAAGGACACGAGGGGCTTGAATATCAGTGTTTGTTGTCTGCTGGGGAAAAATAGCGATCTCTGTCCTTTAGAAAGTTCGGGGAGGGAGATAAGGAGAAGACAATCCCAGTTGAGCAGGTCCTGCACCGTCCACCGCAAGGTCAGATTTATAAGAAAGAGAAAATGAACACTGTGGCCAAGCGAGCGTCTGTCAGACTAGATAATTCAATACTTGCTGATATTTTGCAAGGAAATCTCATAGTTGAGAGGAAAGCTTTTGGCGAATTCGCAGGTGATCAAATATACCGTCCTCAGTATTGCTCTTGTTGCATCACGGATGTCTGGGATACAGATGAATGGCCGAAAATAAGGGTCTGTATTCCCTTGCTGCATCAGCAGAAGGCTGTTTCGGATAGATTAGTTGAGCCGAATATCTGCTCCATTATCACCAGCAAAATCTGGCGCTACTACCGTTCTCTCTTATGCATGATACCTCCACCTAATTGGCGGTCAGCAATACACAGTAGTGGCGGATTTTGGTGGCAATAACGAGCCTACTGCCGCTAGTTACCGCTAGATGTCGCAAGCCCAGTCTATCTGATTTTGGTGCTAATTGCTCCGCATACGTTTCATTGGACAGATGTCGCTGATTAGGTTCTAGTTGAACTAGCCTTGAAGTCGAGACCCGATCTGGGCGCCAATGAAGGCTGACAATGATTACCAGTCGTCTGAAACGTACGAGGTACATCACAAGCGTCTCAAAGAAATACCGGGTTCAGTCATTGTTCTGTGAACCAAATTACGTACATCTCTTTCGCCGAGATCGTCGCAAGGTGTCATGAGATTTTCATGTGACACATTTATACGACTCAGATTTCATAGTTCATCTCTAGACTACTAATTTAGGGAATATAAAGCCGCTAGCTTCCGCAAGTGACATATTTCTTGCGTCGTTTTCAAGGGCTTGGAGCAGTTCAGGGCTCTCAGAACGTGAAATAAGACTTGATTTGAGGGTGCCGGCGAAACAGCATTAGAAATCTCCAAGAAGATCGTCTGTGATATAAGGACAACAATATAAATACCTTGATGTCTATAGCTTCTCGGAGAATCCTTTGCTATCAAAAGCAGTGCAACTCTGACTCGGAACACTTGGCCGTCAGAAAACTACGTGAAACACATTATGGCTTCATATCTGATCACTGGCGCCAATCGTGGCCTTGGACTGTTGATGGTCTCATTCCTTGCTTCTAAACCAGCCTCAGAGGTCCGTCTCATTATCGCGGCGGCCCGAAAATCCAGTACGGAGCTGGATAAGCTTGTTGCGGACTCGAACTTGGCGTCGAAGCCTACCGTCATTGCGCTAAATCTCTCGGTCGCCCAGGACACGAGCGTAGGTGCCTTCGCAGACGAAGTGGCCAAGGTGCTGGGGTCAAGCGGACTGGACGTCTTGATCAACAACGCTGGTGTATTATATTATTCGTCCGATCCAAAAGCCCCGATGGAGACCATGTAAGTACAAAAATCAGCCCGGAAACCATACTTTGGGCGCCTGAGCTCATTTTTGCAATTCAGGGACAATCTCTTCCAGCATTGGGAGGTCAATGTCAACGGTGTCCATCTCGTTTCTAAGGCCCTTCTGCCTCTGCTCCGGCAGGGCTGGAAGAAGACAATCGTCAATGTGTGAGTATGCTCCACTTATGGTTCACGCTGCTCTACCGACTTCAAGAAGTTGTTAGCAGCAGCCGGCGTGAGGAGAAACATCAAATCATATTGCTAAGAGTGCTTTGTCCACAGGTCCTCAGCTATGAGCTCAATCACCCGAGCCCGGGAATTTATGTTCCAACCTTGTCCAGCCTATAAAATCACTAAAGCTGCGATGAACATGATGACGGTGCAATACGCCTCATATCTTGAGCCGGAAGGGTTTGTAGTGTTTAACATCGATCCTGGTGTAAGTTTTTGTACACTTGAACCTCATCCTTTTCTCGGCGCATGGAATTCTTTGAAGGGCGTACGTTTTTGCTTTTCATGGCTGACTCTGTACGCTCTATATATCAGTGGGCCAGAACCGAAATGGGCTCGCAACATGCCGACCTAGACCCTAAGGAGTCTGCTGAATGTTTAATCACCAAAGTCCTATCTGCCACTAGCCAGGACAATGGAAAGTTCTTCGATGCAAACGTACCATCGTGGGAGTACAAAGGGGGTCCTAATCGGTACAACGGGCAAATTATCCCGTGGTGAGCAATTTTACTCTGTATACGAAATCACTACACTATGGTTGGAGATGTTTGGAAGATGTGAAGAAGCGTACGAGTCAGGTCGGGCTATATGATGATAGCAAAATTGCAATATTTCATAGGTTGAGGGACGAGGCCTATATGTCGAGTCGAAAGAATAGAGCAAAATAAATGGAGTCTCTGACTCGTTGAAAGATAATGGCCAGCCTCTGGTAAATATATGATGGCTTCGTGTCACGCTTTCTTTTAATAACAGACAGACTTAACGAGCCTTCAAGTTTGGTTGAAATCTGCTTTCTTATCAGAAATTCCGCAGGATTTGGGCTACCTCACTAAGCCCGATGGGACCTACCTAGGGCCTTCGTTTGGGTTTTAACCGCCCGTTACCATGTTAGTCCTCAGACGTGGGTCCTGATACTTCTTCTGCCGGATGGACCTTCAGGTGTTGTTCCAGGGGAGGCAATACTTCCATTTCCCGTCCTTTAGCGCTTTGGGATGAAATGGCGTCTTCATCCTCCTCTTCTTGGGCTCATGCTTAACTGGCCATACTTAGCCTGAAAACTTGATCTGAGCGGTTGGCGGAAGCTGTACCCAAAACATACAAACTGCCTTCTATCTTGGATCGTGTCAAGACTACGATGCCGACATCTCTTCGTCCTCGGTCGATGACTTCTTCGTAGATTTTGACGACGTGGGTTACAGCGAGGTGTACGATGTGAAATCGGAGAAAATGGAGATCAGAGACCAAAGATGTGAGTACTACACAAGGGCTAAATTTGAAGAAAGTACTTTAAAAATGCTGTGAGGAAAAGGAAGGGTGCAAGAGAACTGCTTTGGTACACCTGACTGATGGAGTTAGGCCCTGTGAGCAAGACATGCAGCGCTATTTGATCTCGAAATCTACCGTCCGGAGAGGTGAAGGGGAAGATTCCGTTCATGATATCATCAAGAAGCATGCATAGGTGATTCTCATGTCTGGTGCCTCTTCACGAAGACTGCCGGCCAGGTATTAGGTCTTCTTCTCTTCGAGGTTTGGATATAGTCTCTTAAAACATCTACAAAGGAGACAGGAATTGTTATCAACTGGCAATGACTTGACCATGGACGGCCTCGACACATCACAGATGGCTTGAATATCGGGTCGGTGATGCATGCGACGGAAAATGTCAAGGCTAAGTAGATGAACATCACGGCCTTTTGGAAAGGAAATCAACCAGTCGTCTCTGTCCAGCCACGTCAATACCTATTGGAGTCCTTGGATTCGGTATGAGGGTCATCAAACTCCCTCCACGGTGCCACTAGTCCTCCCAGCGGATAGAATTCGGGCTCTGCACCTCCTTGACCGTTGGCCCTCGGCCTGGGGGTCATGCCTTTGACAATCATTTCACTCCTGGCGACGCAACGATAACTGTACTTGCCCAGCACCCTCACTTCGCCTTTCCTTTGGTAATCCCTGCTCGGGACATTGTCAAAGTGGCTGTAATCCAAGATCACCACTGACTTCCCATCAATGATGAACGTGCCAGGGTACGCATTGTACCTATTCTCATGTCGAATTTGGCCATTGCTCACAAGGACCCGATTTGTCCCTTTGCCGTGGCCATCTGGTTGAGTCTTGAACGACTTGCTCAACCAAAACACTCCCTTCTCTGCCAGGTTGTAGAATTCATTCATTTGCGCTGCGCGAAATTCCAGGTCTGAAGCATACTGCGGAAGAAACTGTCAGCTCAATGTCGTCGACTTTCAAAAGCATGTCTGACTCTAATCATACGTGAATGAACCCTTCAAACTCCCCATTCAGTTCTCCCGACGTAGGTGCAGACAGAGTTTTCCAAAGCTCGGTCAAAGCTTCTCGTGCATTTTCTTCATTTTGTCCCCGTTCCACTTGCCGTCGATCTCATTGACGTCGATTTGCGTCATGCTGGACACAGTATTGTCTTGTTCGAGTTCTCGATATGGTGGCCACTATGAGATGTCCTTGTGCATCCTTTGAGCGAACAGAAAAGTATTAGAAACAAGAAATTCTCTAAAGAAGGCGCAATCATCAGATTCAGTTTGGCCGACTTTTCATAACCCAGCTGCCGTTGTTCGAAGAGTGGAATTGATCCTCTTCCTTTTTGCTGGTGCTATTGGAAAACCCCATCGTTCGGGGAAAACCTCGCCTAGAGGAAGAACTCTCCGTCTATAATCACACAGCCTTTAAAATACGACGAGTGATTTACACGATAAGTAGAGAGCGGGTAAAGGGAAATATAAGGACCGAGAGAGGGAGAGGGAAAGGAAGAGAGGAAGGGAAGGATTGATACTATATAACGGAGGGATTTAGTCGACCCCGTCCAGCGATATAATCGGGCATTGTCTTAGGGATCCTACCATTTATTAAGGCCGAAACGGGCCCTAATAACTATGATCGGGTAAAGTTACTACGAGGCTACACGTACGTAACGTTAGCGCCCGTAGAATTAGAGCCCGAACGGGATCCTCTATAGTAGGCGAGCGAATACCGTAGGAGCGGGCTAGAGCCGTAAGGGAGTGGAAGGGAGTAGTAAGGGAGCGCGAAAGAGAGGAAGGGAGGAGAAGGGAGCGGACGAAGGGGCGAATCGACTAGATAGTCGTTAGCGGGAGAGCAAAGCGGCGAGAGACGAGTTAGCGAAAGAGTCGAGCGCGACGACAGTTCGGGGATCATATATATATATATATATATATATATATATGCATATATATATATATATGCCGGGGAATTCCACTACTGTAGACAACAGATTTAGCAACTGCTTGTGACACTGCCTGCCGATAGCTTCATTGTCATGTTTTATCCTTGCTGAGAACTTATTCTTGTTCCCAGTAGTTCGCCGACAGAGCACGCCCAAATTGCTTGCGCGTTGAATCTGCTTACCGATCAATGTGACCCACCGTCCTGGTGCGTGGGATGATGTTGTGCGCTCCGCCACTCTTGATCGGAGGCGGAAATTAAGCAACTACGGAGCTTCAGCGTCCCCACAGATCTGTAGGATCATCCGGACAGACCATGAGAGGAGAGAGTGATTCTTTGTCGGATTGTCCATCTGAATTATACCTACCAATGAGGTGATTTGATATTATCGCGTTTTCAATGTCGTTGGCATATAATGATCCGATTGGCACTGCCACCCACCCGTTATCCAGCTCGTTTCCGCCTTTGAAAGACCGCCACTCTAGGAGCTTGCTGAAATCGAGGGCGCAAATGCCATGAGATCCTTAGATAGTTGCCACTAGGAGTTATGGTTGATCCACTCTATGAGAGGACGGATGAAAGCGCAATGCCTGATGGCTCTCTTCGATTGGTATGCCCCCCAGCATGTCCGCTGCCGTATATTCGTACATCTGGTCTTAATACCTGTCGTCCCATAGCTTCTTGTTATGTGCGCTGAGACCCTCCCACTCGGCCTGGATACGAGCAGGGATTTGCTCGGGAGGGTAGTCGTCGGCTTCCAACTGTGGTCTCACGTGCATTGCAAATTGCACATAGGGTACTTCTGGTCGTTCTGGGCGTGCCGGTACGCCGGGTGAGCGCGTTAGACCCTTCGGAGATGATTCGTAGGGGTAAAATGAATCATACGAAGGCAACCGAACAGGTGCCGGCGCGGGTGTCGAAGCCAATTTGCGGCGTCGAAAGAGCACGTCGCTTGGGCTTAAGATAGGCTCAGGAGGCTTGAGGAACTCGGGCGATCCAGGACGTCGAAAGAGCCCGTCGCTTGGATTTGAGATACGCCCAGGAGGGAATAGATCAGGATGGAATAGATCTTTCCAACGACCTTGCCAAAGATCTATGTGCTCAGAGTCGAAAGGAGAAGGAGATGCAGGAGAATTGTCAAGTCCACTGCCAGAGGTTGAAATTTGCGGTCTGGAGTCAGGCCCAGTATTTGGGAGTTTGTAGATTGTAGAAGCAGGAGCCGTCCGCTTGGTACCTGGAGGGTTATCCGCGTAGAACGTAGTTTTCGCCAAAGGCTGATTCCTAGGAAAACGGGGAAGGACGATGTCATCCAGAACGGTATGATACTTTTCAACGTGCTTGCGAAGGGCAGCCTTGGAAGTGAATCCTCGCACGGCAAAGTCGCAAGCGAAATCATGACATCGGAATCGTTGTTCGTGGCTCAATTCGTGGGTTGATCGGTCCACCGCATTGGAAAATCCGGCTGACGCCCACACACATCTCCGCCAGCGGCAGAGGTATGCCCCAGAGCTATGGCGAGTCCTGAAGTCGAGTATCTCGGCGAGGCTGAGACCAACTTCAACACCCAGGGCGGATGGTTCCTGGGCCAGCAAAGACTCAAACTCTTCTTGAAAGCGATTGAACGCAAGGATGAGCGATATTGGATCCTTCGAGATATCTTGCACAGTGGGTGCCTTCACGCAGACAGTGTTCGGATTGGGGTCTGCCGGTTTTATCCTCATCCTCTTCTTGAATTCAATGTGACGAATGATAGGTTCCGGTAGTTCTCCAGGAGTCAAGACCTGTGATCGCATAGTCCGCGACTCTGGAAAGCCGGGCCCACAATGCTCCTCATATACTCGGTCTAACCCAGATATGTGGAACACTCTCAGCAGTGTAAGAAGGAGGTGCTGAATCTCTCGCTGTGCATGAATATTCTCTGCTGACATGGGACCTGACACAGCTCTAAAGGACTCGGTCAAGTGCATTGTCCAGAACTGATCCACGTACGGAAATATATCGTGAAATCCTTTTACAACATCGGCCTTGACTCGGAGGGTTAGAGACTCCATGGTAAAAGGAGTGCAGGTTATCAGATATCGAATGCATGACTGCGTGATACTGAGATGGATTTTCTGACGGTGAAGATAAGGGCCACTGTGTTCATGCAAAAGGAATCTGACAAAAGTCAGCGTCACGGTATTCTCACGACGTGAAAATACTTGCTCTCTAGCAGAAAAGTGTACTAAGCGGACAGTGTGGTCTTCATGTTCCTCCAGGAGCGGTTTGCAAATATCCAGAATGCTTTTGTGGAGCTTGGTATTGTCATTGAGCGAATCTCGCTTCCGGAAGGCGACAAGGTCACACAACTCATGCACCTTCAGCGGACGATAAGAAAAGGTCAACAAGCCGAGAATATGTTGCAACTCGACTTTTTGTTGTCCGTTACAAGCACCGTGTAAACGTTTGAGTATCGAGGCATATCTGCGTTTGAACCTTAGCAAGGAGTGCAGAAATGCAATACTTGTGACTTACATTCCCGGAAGCTCTGAGGGCAGTTCATCCAATGTTTGTCTCAGGTCCTCCACACTATGTTGTTCAAATAGCATTTTTAGGACAAGTTGCACCCACAGAAACATTCCTGCGTGCGAGTAAGTAAGTGTGGTCAGCGAACTCAGCGTACTGAACGAACTCACCGTCGGCTTTTTCCACTACAGTTTGCTCAATCTCGTCAACCACCGGGTCATTGAATCGGCCTCTCAGAGGGGAGAGGCTTTCTTTGGCGAACAAGGTAATATCTTTCGACAAGCTAGCCTTTTCCTTAGTCAAAAGCACTTGAGGCACCTTCCTAAGACTCGACACAATCTCCTTTGTTTCTCGGGAGCAGATCAGGATTTTGAAGGCCAGTTGGCCCTCTTCGGTGTTCTTGTTTGGGAGGAGAAGGGCGCGAAGCTCTGACAAAAGTTGGCGTTGATGGCTCCCGTCGCACTCGTCGACGCCATCAAGGATGAGGAATGTGGGACCAGAAGCTCGGAGAAGTTCTTTCAGCAGGTCTCTGCTCTTTGTGGCCGAGGGTACAGTTCCAGTCTTCACGAAATTATCGTAGACATGTGGCAGAAGGCTGTGGTCTTTTCTTATGAGTTGCGCGATGAGAGAGCGGAACATGAGCCCGCAAACACTGACTTCAGATCCGGCAAAACCATAGGAGCACAGACAGTAGAGCATCGTTGCCTTGGGTGGGATTGGGGCATTCTCGTAGATATAGGTTGCGAGAGTAGTTTTCCCTGTATGTTTGCGCGCTTAGTTATCGGCTCACTTTATTATACACGGCTGCGAGCTCTGACGCGGGCACGTCCTAGGGATGACGCTGGGAACTCCCACCCACCCTCCAAGAGGCAGGCCTTAGATAAAGGGCACTTGAGATTCTCACCTGAGCCCGGTATCCCACGCAACCAGAGCTGAGGCCGGCTGTCCTCGGGATCAAGCCATGAGCGGAGGGCGGAGTTTTCCAGGATCCACGCGCAGGTACCGGGATTGCGAGCCCTAGACCGGCACTCGAACAAGTCATCTTGTTCGAGGTCCTGGCCCCTGAGGTCGAGCCAGGCAAGGGTATCGCGTAATTGCCACTCCTGACGTTCATGCTCCGTGCGTTCGATATCTTCCAGAATTTGCTGACGAAAAGCTTTTGCATCGAGAATGGCGAAGCTTTGGGCTTCTTTGTCGATAAGGTCCCGACCTCTTGCTAGTCTTTGCAGGATCGCGTTGAAGCGGCGAGAGAAACCCCTCCAGGACGAATCGAACAAACGTTTCCAACCTGGCAGAGGGAATGAAGATCAGCATATTATATGCACTGGTGGGTCAGCAAGCCCACCTCCGCGCCGCAGGTATTTGTACGCGTGGGAGTGGAATTCGAGGATGTCGCTGTAGATCTCGGCGAGCACAGCTTGAAAGTCATCGTGGTCATCGAATGCAGCACCAAAGCGACCGAGACGGGGCAGATTCTGCGCTATTTGGCGATAAGCGTCGAGGAGCTGGTCGAAGGCATTGGTGTCCTCGTCTGCGATCTGCAGAAGGAGCTTGATAGGAGCCTTCTGATGTGTCAGACCAGAGTGTTGTGTCGGTAGGAGAGAGTTGGACGATGACTTACCCAGACGAAGCACAAGTATGGAGTCCCTTGGCACAAAGTGTCGATGGCGCCGCTTAGTAAATCCAATGCATCAAACAGAGGCTCAATGCGTCTCATGTTCCGCATGCTCCTTCTTGACGACTGATCACGCTCGATAATACGCGCAGCTTCTCGCACGTCTTTGAGAGTCGTTGCTTTGAACAGCCGTGCATCGTTTGCTCCGACAAGAGCCTCGAATTTTGTGAAAGCTTCCTTGACAACAGGATGAGGCTGGGTTCGTTTCGTCGGCTCCATCCCTACGCTGCTGCCACGAGGCACAATGTCAAGATGTCGCAAGAGAGAACAAACAACTCGAGTGAGGAGGGCTGAGGACTGTTTGTCTTTGAAAAGAGGACAGTGGGCTCGGGATGAGAGCCGTGCTACAAGTCAGGTGGAAAAGAGCGGCTGCGCTGCGCCTTGGGAGGCTGAGGCATAATGTCTGGGCAAATCAGAATCTCACAGCCTCACATTTTACACAAAGTCCTCTTGAACCTCGAAGCATCTGAGAAGTCTTGCCCGAAAATGATTGTGAACACTTGTTGATTGTGTCTGCACCGGAAGACCGACTTGAGTCTGCGAAGAAAAGGCATTTCAATTGCTTGTCCAGCGTTCAACACATCGAAGCTCAGTTTGTACGCCCAAGTCATTGGTCCTAAGCCTGACAGTACCCTCTAGCGAGAAAGTATCGAGAGCACGATCGGTCTGCGGCCATCCCTCATGGCATCCTATCAGTCTTCAATGGCCAATGGAAGCAAGAGACGGAAATTGAACAACTGGGACTATGAGCAGTCCTCTTTGACATCGTGCGAGAACGGCTTTGCAAACCCTAACCAGGCCTGCCTGCCTGATGTTACATACGAGCGGAGCTACATGACACCATATGACCCAGGTGTTGCATATACGTCGCACACCATTAACGCCGTTGACATTCACCCGAATACTCCGAAAATCGCGCCCGTGCTTCCTATGGGCAACTATATTGGGCACTCCAACGCCTACATTAGAACGGAGACGACGACCAATGTGAGACAAACATCTCACTATGGCGACACGAGCGTGTCGAGGAGACTGACCTACACTTCTATGGAACTGACCGTTAGCCCACGTGATACTCACGTTAATTACCCCTGCGTCCTGGGTGAGGGTTGCGATATAGACCAGGAATGTATTGCATCGGTATCAAGCATGATTGTCTGTTACGGCATGTTGTGCGAGATCCAGGTTGAGCTCCTGGTCTCGACATTGTCTTTGATGGAATGTCAAGCCTTGTACTGGGACAAGGCCACAACTTTACGGCATCCAACAGATGGTTTGGAAATTGTCAAGCTTTCTGCAGTCACTGTCAAAGTGCTGCAGACGTTATCATCCGAAGCCAGTTCAGAATTTCAATTCTGGCTCTCACCGCAACAGCAATTTGGTCAACGCACGACCGACAGCTCAAGAGAAATGGCAACGAAGGGAACTGTGGCTGCAGGCCGCTGTTTGTCGGTCATCATATACGGACCGAACGATATGGCAACTCATGTTGGTGATTGGCTCGACAGCTTGAAGATGTATTTTCAAGTGCCCCACGGTTGCGACCGAGACGTTCCGTATATAAACCCCCATTGCCTTGCTTCAAACCAGGAGTCTACAATGTACACGCAGCAACTTCCGGCACAACTGAGAATAAACGAGTTAGAAGATCAAGGTTCTCCTAAAGGTCTCTTCTCTGACCTTTATACAGATTCGGTCTTTGAACTGGCACCCCAACCCTACGCCATTGTTTCACCCCTACACAACCACCAGAGACAAGCTTTGACCTTTATGGTCGAGCGAGAGAACGGGTGGAACTTGTCTGGTGCACGAAACGATATCTGGAAATCTCACATTGATGCATTTGGCGTACGAAGATACAAAAACACTGTGTGCGGATTCACGCAAACGCGGGCCCCGGAGAGCTTCCGAGGAGGAATTATCGCAGACGAGATGGGTCTTGGGAAGACGTGTACGATGCTGGCGTTGATAGCGGCAAGTCCGTTTCAACATAGCTCCTCCACGTACGACTCAAACTGTGTAAAAGGCACATTGATCGTGGTGCCAGTCCCGCTCCTGTTCGTGTGGGAAAAGCAAATCCAGGAGCATTTCCGGCGCGGCTGCGTTCGCTACACCATCTTTCACGGTCCTGACCGCCAGCAGAGTGCCAATATCCAAGATTATGATATTGTCATAACAACATACACCACTGTCGTGTCGGAGTGGAAGAACTGCAGAGCATCACGGTCTCAAACAGACTGCAGCTCCTTGTTCAAGACGTTCTGGCATCGGATTATCCTTGATGAAGCGCATATCATTCGGACGAAAGAGACGATATGTGCGAAGTCGGTCTATGCTCTACAAGGAGAACGCCGATGGTGCATTACCGGAACGCCTATCCAAAATCGCTTGACGGATATCTTTTCTCTTCTCCGCTTTCTGAAGGTGCACCCTTACGACAACATCGTGACCTTCCAGGAGCAAATTCTACGTCCGTGGAAGTCGCACATGGACGAAGATGCATTGAAGAGGCTTCAATCCATCTTGAAGGCGATCACCGTTCGCCGAGGAAGGAATGTCATTGCTCTTCCGGATCGGCTCGAGCACACGGAAGAGGTCTTTTTCACAGAGGAGGAACGTGCTGTCTATGAAAAGGCGCGGACCGGTGCGATCGAGGTCCTCAACAGCGCCATGAATATCGACCCGTCAACCTCCAGGTCAATGTATTTGAATGCACTCCAGAGGATCAACGACCTCAGATACATCTGCAACCATGGCGTCACTCCTCCACGACACAGGGAATCTTTCGAGCCCATGAATGCACTGGAAGAAGATTTCCCTGCTCTCCTTTCCGAAGTATTTGAGAGAGGGCAAGAGAATTCGGACTTACTTTGCATTCATTGTGGCATCAACCTAATGTGGGAAGAGGAAGACCGAGGCCAATTCCTCCTCACACCTGACAGTTGCGCCAATCTCCCGCCGTCTCCAGCATGCAGAGGCTGCCGTCAGGACAGACCCCCGCCACTTTCACCATCCGGTTCGAGTTGGTCTTCTGGTGTCTCATCACCGACAAGGCTGGTCAAATCCACGCAGCCATCAAGCAAGATCAAAATCCTAGTAGACCGGATCCAACAGCTCCCTCTCACCGACAAATGCGTCGTCTTCTCGTACTGGACTTCGAGCCTGGATGCCGTCGAGGAAGCTCTGAAGCAGGCCTCGATCAAATTCTGTCGCTATGATGGTAAGTTGAGCCAAGCACAGCGCAGCCAGGTTCTGAAGGCCTTCACGAACGACGCTTCGTTGCGGGTGTTTTTGTTGTCGATAACATGTGGAGGGGAAGGGCTTGACCTCACTGCTGCCAACCATGCTTATCTCCTTGAACCGCAATGGAACCCCATGCGGGAAGAGCAGGCCATGGCTCGAGTGCACCGACTTGGTCAGAAGAAGGCCGTGCGCCTGGTGCGCTTGGTGGTGAAGGGCACATTTGAAGAGAACATTATCACGCTCCAAGGGCGGAAACGAACACTGGCCGACCTCATCATAGACCGGTCGCCGCTGCAGCAGGGAACTGGTGGAAAGAAGCAGTTGTATTATCTCCGCGAATTGGTAGGGTAGAGAAAACCATAGAATGTGGAATAATTAGTGTTACACATCGAGTGACAAGGTCTGTCTGCATATCTGCCCCGTGATGCTATTCTATATTGAATGGACTCAAAATCACAGGGATCAGTTCAATTGTGTAGGGTTTGGTAGTGATTTCTTCACAACCTCACACCAGTCTGAGCTCGCACCGCAGGCCTCATCCCATCTCGAATGAATGCGCCGTGCGAAGAGCTCCGTAATGTCAGCCGCCGATACTCTTCAGGCGAGGGTCGTAAGATGCGACAGATCAACCCAGATTGAGGAGCGGCCGGAGATGCTTCTGGTCATGTCTGGCGGCTCCATTTCCGTATCAGAGACGGCTGGTCGTTAGTGATGAGCATAGGGATATCGGGACATCCGAGAGGATTACCTCGTAGACAGAATACCTTTAGAATACCTTTTTAATAATAAGATAACCTTTTTAAATATAATGCTTCTTCCCCACTTGTACATTTCTTATTACCCTGTAACATTATTACCTCGTACTTTTGTCTAGCCAGAAGCAGGTTGAGTTGGATCTCAGATTTTTTTTCTCACGTCTTGGCGCCTGTCTGCGGAGACACTTGGTCTCCGACACTCGGTGATGTGACACAGACAGTGCTCAATTTCTTTGCTTCGAGCAGGGTCATTTCAAGCGTTGAATCAGGGCATTTTTTTTCCTCGTCTGGCATACGTCCAGCGTCACCATGCCTCCCACCTCGACCTCGATCGGGGCGCCCTCCCAGCCCACGCAGCCCTCGCGCAAGGGCAAGAAGGCCTGGCGCAAAAACGTCGACATCTCCACTGTCACCGCGGGTCTCGAGACCCTCCGCGAAGAAATCATCCAGCATGGGAAACCCCTGGCAGAGAAGGAGCAGAGCGAACTGTTCACGCTGGACACGACGGGCTCGAAAGAGGAGGTGCTGCGACAGGCCAGAGCGGTGGGGAATACTCACAAAGGCCGTACTTTGAAGATGGATGAGATCCTGGGCCGGAGGAGCGCTGTGCCTGCACTGGAACATCTCAAGAGCAACAAGAGGGTGAGGGCTGCTGCTGTAACGGACGGTGTGCTCGAGCCGTCCAGCAAGAGGCAGAAGAAGGACTGGGTGAGCAAGAAGGAAGTGGCTCGGCTACGGAGCAATCTGGACAAGATATCGCATCTCGACGTGGAGAACATCGACAATGCCGCCTCGTCTTTCGACCTCTGGGCCGACAACAACGCCTCCGACACCCTTCAAGCCTCACCCGCAGCTGGTGCGACTGGCGCTACGTCCCTCATAACCGCACCGAGAGAAAACGAATACGTCCCGAAACCCCGCGTCAAAGTTGCTCCCCCTTCCATCCGCCGCCCACCTGTCGCTCTGACGGCGACGGGGGTGCCCACGCAGGCGGTGCCGGCGCCCGATGCGGGACAGAGCTACAACCCTTCCTTCGAGGACTGGGACTCGCTGCTTACGCGCGAAGGCGAGAAGGAAGTCCAGGCTGAGCAGCGCCGGCTCCGGGAGGCCCAGATCGCGGCGGAGAAACAGGCACGGATCGATGCGCTCGCCAGTCAGCCCGACCCGAGGCCCGAGGACAACCAGGAAAGCGAGTGGGAAGGGTTCGAGACGGAGGATGATGACGAGGCCAGCGCACGGGAACTATTGAAGAGGAAGCGACCCGAGAGGAAAACGCCCGCTCAGCGGAACAAGATCAAACGCCGCAAAGAGGCCGAACGGCTGGCCAAACACCAGGCGAGGATGGCGGAGCGGCAGAGAAGAGGCGAAGAGATCGTGCAGGCCCTGCTAGAGCGACAGGAACAACAGGAACAACAAAAAAGCGATGATGGAGTCGTCCACGCGGACCCTTCCCCTGATAACACCCAGCAGCCCTCTGATCTCTCGTCCTCCACCGCGACGAGCGGAGCAGCAGCGACAGTCCTCCGCCGCAAACCCACCCTGGGCCCGGCGCGCGCCTCCATCCCGCCCGCACCGCTCGAACTCGTTCTGCCGGACGAGCTTCAAGACTCGCTGCGCCGGCTGCGGCCCGAGGGCAACCTGCTGTCCGAGCGGTTCCGCACCATCCTGGTCAACGGCAAGCTGGAGGCGCGCAAGCCCGTGTCCCGCGCCGCGAGCAGGAAGAGGAGGGTCAAGGTCACGGAGAAGTGGTGGGCCAAGGACTTTGCCCTGCGCGTGTGAAAGAACTCCTCCCTCCTTCCCGTTCCTCCTCCCCGTCCCTAGAAAAAGGGGCCCGAGCACTACCGCTGTTGGTTCGTTGTAGGTGAGACACTCACTGACTTTTCGATCAACAAAGAGAGAGTGTGTGTGTGTGAGAGAGAGAGAAGCAAAACCCAAGACTCCGAGTCAATCTATCAATCCCCCTGCTACGGAACAGAAATTATATATAACTTCAACCTGCCTCTCACTGCTTACTGCATTCTTGTTGTCCGCCGCCTTGATGGAACGCATCTTCGGCCAGGAGCCGAGCTCCCCACCTCCCACCTCCTTCCGTCTCCTCCACGCAAGATGTTAGTTGTTGTTCTCTCTCTCTCTCTCTCTCTCTCTCTCTCTCTCTCTCACTGTGCGTGACTGTCTATACGTGGGTTGTATGTACCGATATAGGCCCGCCCGGACACTCCCACTCCCGACCTTATGGCTCATCATCGCACGTCGTGATCGTCCAGATCAGATCTACTTAGTGGCTTGGAGAAGCGTCTGCGTTGGACATGAATCCGTTTGTGGAAGGGGGTATCATCATTACTGCAGATTTTCCTACAAGAAGTAGTAGCGGCCGTTCCGTTCTGTTGGCCCTGGGGGTATCTATATTTTGCGTCCTGGTTCCTCGAAGACAACCCGCCGTCCCATGCAGCAGCCAATATACCCATGGCACGCCGTGCTCGCCTTTGTGTTCATAAGAATAATAGAGTATCAGACCCTTCCATTCCTGGACTGGGACCCAAAATATTACCTCCAAGCCAACGTGGATTTCATCCCAGTCGCGAGCTCCCAACAACTCCGCCCTGGAAAGGATCGGCGTCGGCGTTCGCTCAATAATATATCTTTTCTTCAAAGATCGGCGGCTGGCCGCCGGTCTCTTCCTCGTTCCAAATAATCTTTCCCGTCTTCTCATCGAAACTGGCCCCCTCGTCCGTCATCGGGGTGACCTTGTTTGTATGAAGGCACTCCTGCCTGGAGACACCCATAGGATCACGAGGCACCCACAGCAAAGGTGCAACTGCATTACAAGCAGGATCTTGGTACGCATCCCGCTCAACTTCGGGGGAATATCTGATCTCGGCGAACTCCTGTGGCACAAGCTTCCGGAGAATGGCGTAACTGGCGTAAATGTCGGGGCGGAAGAAGCGCCTGATCATGGAGACGTGTTTGCTGCCTCCAGGGGGCATGGTCTCTTTCACTACCCGTAACTCCTCTAACTGGTCCTTCTCGTGGATACTTGGACGCGAGGGCTGTCCTCCGGGACCAGTCATCAGGGCGGATTCCGTGTGCAGCAGGGCGGCCTCTTCGGCTTCGAGGGAGCGAGGGAGATAATACAAGAGCGGACGGACCGCTGTTGTCAAGGAAATGTGGTACAGGACCATGAGGACCAAGAATATCACCATCAGGACCAGGGGTGCAGGGGCCGCGCGGATTCCAAAGAGGCCGATGAGACAAATGACTGCCAAGTAGCAGCCGACCAAAGTATGTTGCAGAGCTTTGGCATAGACAAGGCCTTTGGTGTCAATGACTGAGCTGTCGACGAAGAGAAGACTGTAGCGATACGCAAAATAAAAGAGGCCCTGACCTATGGCCGCGAATCCGAGCATGAGAGGTGCAATCGGGGCATACGCTATCGATATCACGGTCATCAACCTATTACCGATCAGTGAGTCAAGTGGGAAACAATGGTCGAAGAATATCTTACTCGATGACGGGGAAAACACTGCCCCAGCCGACAGAGGACAAGCTTGACCATCGGTTGTACATCTTTCGAGGCGTTTTGTCGAGGATCCTCGAAAGGGCGTTGTAAAGAACCAGTCCAACGATGTTGAGAAGCTGGCCCGAAGAAAATACAAGACCTTGAAGAATGAAATATGAGATATAGAAGTTGGAGGCTAAGGGGAGGTTTTGAGCCAATAATGTGGTCAACGACTCGGGATGCTTGATGATTTGCGGCACCGCCGCACTTGCTGCGCTCGTCATTGTGGTGACCAAGAAGACTTGAATCAGCTGGAACCAGAAATATGACTCGTGGCAACGAAGTTCAACAAGTGATAATGTCGGCAATCCAGCGAATTTGCCCATGAACCTCATGATGACTGCAACAAATCGTGAGCCTCGTTTTACTACGAAGGCATACTTAAGGGACTACCTCACCGGGAGAAACGTACCTGGGACAAGAGACATGAGGATGGAAAGCATCACGACTGGCAAAAGATTCGTAATGACACCCAAAATGACCTTTGGGCAGTTGTTGATGAATCGGAGGAAATGAACTACCTCGGTCAGGTAAGAGATCTGCGAGATAGAACCGACGACGGCGACCGGGATGGACCTGGTGAAGAAGGTTAACATGTCCGTCATCATTCGAATTTTCAAGTTACATTGGCGGCTAAATCGTCCAAAGGAAAGCCAAACAACATAACAATAAGATATGAAGACAAACTTACCAGAAAACGATCAGGGCGGCGATGAAAGCCAGCGAGATATAGTTGCGGATGGTCATCGTTTTCCATGTTATGCCGAGATTCGACCAGACGACTTCTTCCGGGCTGAGACCGACGACGCGAGGGGACATATGCAACGGCTGGTGGTGAGTGACCATCTGAAAAGCACTCTGCGCTTGGGTCTGGTTCCAGAATTCGACGAAGACAGCGTTCTTGGGGACGGCCTCGCCCGCGCGGTATTTGTCCTGCTCGGCCTCAATCAGAGGATTGAGCCTGGCAATCTCCTCGCGGCACCAATTGACCGTGTCGACTTTCCTGCCAACCAAAAACTTCAAGCGGTGGGTCGGTCTGTCCTTTGGTCGGACCCATCGAGCAGCAGCAGTGCCAGACTCAGCCGCATACTCATCCTCATCGTAATTGGTCTCGGGTAGCTCCGGAGCAGGCTTCTTTCCTTTGGTCGATTTCAGACGAGCATCGTTGGCCAATTTGATCAGTTTCGTCTCGGCAGTTTCCAGCTTGATGCAGGTCTTGTAGCGCGCCTCGACCATTTCCTCCAATTTCTTCGCGTCCGAAGCCACCCAGACATTCTTCAGTTCATCACCGAACATGCGACGGATCTTGGCTTCGTTGGCGTATTCGTTGGGCACGGCCTGAAATAGCACAGTGCGCGAAGAAATCCTGGAAGCGTACAGAGGTGACAAGAGGTACGCCTGCCGCAGGTTGATGTAGTATATCATTTCCCGGGTGACCAAGAAGAAGATGAAGCCAATAAACAGCCACGCGACGAAGGTGTGCGCCAGGTAGCGGTTCTTGTCCACGATGTTGCTGAAGCTGAGAATGTTGAGTTGCGTTTGACCACCTCCACCAGTCGCGTTGACGGGGAACAAGATTGGCCATGTAACGAGGCAGCCGACCACGCAGATCACAATTGATATTTTGAGATAACGGAGCAGAAAGTAGCCGTCGAGGGAGTTGTGCTGGAGAACGTACTCATCAGGCAGCTAAACAACGTTTGGTTAGAGGAGGGACTCTTTCCGTTACACCTGTCGTATACTGACCCTTCTCATGAACGGGATCCAGCCAAACAGGGTATTTGGCGGCGCCGGGGTGCGCTCTTGCGGGCGCAGAGCGCCCAGGTATGTCCGAGGAGCATACTGTCGAGGAAATCGGGTTCTCAAAAGTAGGAAAACGGCAAAATAGACGATGGCAATGATAAGGGTCGGCACCAATGTCGAGATCAGGCCAGAAAGGGAAGGGGAGGCATTTCTGCTCGAGGCAAGGTTCGGGTCGTGATTTGGATTGGTATCGGGAGCCTGACGGACATTGAGGACGGCATGGAGAGTGTCCATGGTCAGTTGCTGGCCGCACCTCAAGTGCGCACACGCGTGTTGTGTTGATAGCAGAAAACAAGAATTGATCAACCAAGGTCTATCGCACACTTAAGAGTCTCACAGCAGAAAGAGGAGGAGTTTCGTTATACAAGTAGGAATGTGCATGCATCTGTGGATTGTCGGGCTGCACGACTATTTGCCATGGTGTGAAAGTCGAGTGCTGCCGTTGCTGCGTGCGTGTTTCGAGGCGTTGGCCCTGAGTTTTGTCACCACTCGCCAGGGCCATGACGCCGACGTGCAGTTGAATTGGGGGGTTGTGGCCACCGAGGTCTAGTGGACACTATGCAGGCGGACAGGGATGTAGCCTGCGCCCGGTCGAACTAGGCGTTGGCGAGCCATTCGGCAGTCCCCAAGGCACGTTTAGCAGTGCCTAGCAGCTCCGTTCGCCTGTGCCCTACGTAGGATGGGGCATAAGTCATGCCAACTCCAGCTCTCGTCGGTCCTTATTCCTTCTGGCACATGTTCCCAGCTACGGAGAGAACCTGAACCTTAAGACCCTTCTGATTTCCCAGGGGATTAATCCGTGCCTAGGTCAACTACCTACGCAGTACGTCGTAACTTTGTTGCACTCGTCCTCTCGACCTCTCGATCTCGACCTCCCTCTTACCCGTTGCAGGATAAAACGTCGGTCCGGAGTCTGCTTCTGCTGATTTTCTCCTAGACAAAACCTTTTGCGAGATAAGCATGACGTGCATTATCTCGCAAAGACTCAGTCTGAGAGGCGAGGTACATCCGAGCTGACTGCAAGGATTCTCATCCTGATCTTCTTCGCTTCCGACATCTGGATTTCGCCTACTGCGCAGGGCATCCACTCAGCGGCCCCGCCAGCCGACTCTGCCCAAGGGTATCAAAAAGCACCTGTCCAGCTGAACAGGAAGATTTGCACTTTGCTTTTTGTCAAGCCACAGCTCGGAATACCCCCGTTGAGGCGCGTGGCTGTGCTAAGAAAGTCGTGGTTGGTTGATGGGGATTCGTAGGCGTCCTTCGCGCCGCGTCGTTGGATACACTTGGATCTGGACGGTCACAACATGCTTTCCTGGAGCCGACAACATGTTCGGCCCAGAAAGCTTCTGCAGACTCTGAGCCGGCAACTTAAAGAACGCATGGGCCTACATCAGGGATTGCGGAATTCAGAAGAGATGCTGTGTTGAAATCTTTGTTTTTCTGTTTCTGGACGGCTCCTGTTCACCAGCTCTATCTCAAGACTGATAGAAATTGTACAGAATTTCTCCCCAAGTTCGAGATGTGTCACCTGTCCGTTCCCGACAGCAGCCTAAACAAGTCCACATCAACCTTGTAACTTGCTTTCCCATCTCAACACGCTCTAGCTCCAGTCTCGACATCTTGTGGTATGATCAAGATTACCATTCAAGGTTGTGAACAAATATCAGGCACACGCCGTGTCACACATATGCGTGCTTCGGCGTGGTAATGCCTCGGCAAGTCCCTTGCCCCCATGTCCTTCGAGACGTCAGTGAACACGCCTCTGAAAATGAAATTTAGAAAAGAGTGAGCTGGAAAGGTATCCAGCTTGGAAAAAACCCTTGCGAAGTGTATCGCAGCCCCCAAGTAACTCCATATCTCGCCGTTTCGCCATGTGTAAGAATTGTGCCGAGTACAGCACCCAGGTCAAGATCGTAAGGTCATGAATGCGCCAAGGTCCCAATTTCTCGAGGACCTTTACAGCCATGGCTTCGCAATTGACCCGAGCTTGTCTTCGAAGATGCCGCCATACAAGCCGGCGATTTCGTCGAGATAGTCTTCCACCCCAAATTTACAGAGCCCCTTGCCCAAAATTTCTTGTTCTTCCTCATCAAGAAGCCTTGCAGTAGCTCCAAACCCTTCGGCGACTTCATTTACTTGTGCCAGTTCCCTGCCGAAAGGGTGGCGCGCCTCCGCAGATGAGTCGACAGGGCTTCGAAGAGCCGGTTGGGTAATGCTGACAGGCGGCGGCGACATTCGTTGGACGGATCGCTTCCGTGACAGTTCAACGTGCGCTTTCTTCGAATGAGATGGAGCTCGTTGCGGGACCACAGGTGTGTCGAAGGTTGGTGAGGCAATCGCAGGAAGAACGGAAGCGGTCTGTTTCAAATCGAAGAACGACTTGGTGTCTTCGTTGCCAGGTGTCACAGGTGTGGCAGGACCACTGCTATCGATCGAAGAATTGTCATTCCCCGCGCTGGTGAGAAAACTGCGGTCGATGGTCGAGAAATCGGAATCGTTGCCCGACGAAACTGAGCCTGAGGACGAACCAGAGATGCTCCGAATGTCTGGAGCGGTCAACGCCTGCACATTCGTCGTAGAGATCAACTCGGTTGGCAAAGAGATGAGGGTGCGATCGATGGTACCCGGGGCATATCGAACTGTTGTGCCACGTTGCAGCGGTGCTTGGTCAACCAAGGTGCGCTTGACGCGCTTGGTGAATGCTCGGGAGATAGACATGGTAGGCGACGTCACAGATGTAGACAACTGCGAAGGGGTGTCGAATATCTTTTAAACACAGTCGCGGGCACGAGATCCCCAGAAATATTTGCGCTCGCCGATGCACGGACAGGTGAGGGGGGGTAGTGTGTCTTGTTTATGGATTTTCGGCTTGCAATTTCGTTTCGGTGCTGTGGTGATGCGATAGAGTTTAACCCACCCAAACACCTGTAGATCGAACCGATTCGATGTTTTTTGTAAGGAATGACGGTGGAAGGAATTCTGATAAGGCAGGACGCAGTCCGCTCAATGAAAGTCGTGTTATTGGAGAAGGCGACGGGTGACAAAAAGGCAGCGTAACACTTGGGTTGGTGAAGGAGTGGATAGCTTCGGATTGTGCGGTACCACGACGAATCGACCGTCGAGTAAAGAGTGTGAGTTGTGATAGAAAAAGAGAGCAGGATGGAGGGTCAAAAGAATGACTTGAGTGGGAAGAGGTATTTGGGAAACGAAAGACTTTTTCTGTCGGGATTGGATGTTGGGGGACAGAACGGCAAGGGCGAAGTAAAAAAGAGGTCGAAGCTGCAGGGAGAGAAGGAAGATGCAGGAAGATGGAGTTGGACAGTGCATGCAGCCGCGGCCATCAACCCAAACAGAAGGCCACCTGGGCGACCAGGGTATCGCCTAGGCTCCCCTGGGTTACTGTCCAGGGCTTTCTAGGCTCTCTAGGCACTCAACGCTACCCCAGTCATCCACTTAAAATCTTGATTTGTCCCCGCCGGGTGCCGCCCAGATGAAGCACTGGCGCTCAACATCGTCGTTCTCTCAATGGCCACCCTCAACGCCACCGGGCTCTCGATGCCTGGTACAGGCTAGACCGACCCCAATCACAGTGCAAATCTTCCTTTTCCCCCATGAGCGTTATCTGGCCCCGTTGTACCCGTTCCTGATTCTCAGGGGCTGCACGAGCACGAAACTGGACCGTCCACGTCCAGTCAAAGCCGCCACATCGTTTTCAGAGCCGCCGAGGAGGTGATGTGAAACGACGACCTGCTCTTGCATGAACCACTCACACCGTTCGATTGTCCACATCAGGGCGCTTCCCCCAAACTCTCCAACACGAGAGGTCCCTCATTGAGAGGGGGAGCAGATATAGGTAGTTGATTCAGGGAGAAACAAGACCCGATCCTGGCCTGTCTTTACCCATATCGACCTCTGGGAGTCTTCACGAACCAGCGTATTGGAGTCAATTTGACTGGCTATCTCTGCTCTACTGGTACAGCACCTGGCGACCTGCGCCTCGATAGTCCGTCGGGTCACATGGCCAATTTAACAACGGTATGACAGAGCCCTGGAATGGCAAGGGGGAACATCCATCCCATGCCTCTGCCACGACTTGGACATGGGCAGATCTTCAACACCGACGTTTGGGAACATGGGACAGAGGAGCCAAGTGGACACCGACCCCAGAGCTTACATACAGGTCATGGCAGCTGAGAACTCTCCTTTTCTTGGAATATGCCTGTTCGGAATGGTTTCAGAGACAGACCAGAAAAGGGACTTTGGAACTCCTGAACTTTCCAAATCCAGGTTGCCCACGTTTCATGTGCCCGATGTTTCGAGAGGCGAGTTGAAACCAGCTTCCCCGGTGAAGGGGGTTTCCCGGAACTCTTTGACGTAGGGACAGCCACAGTCAGATGAAATCATGCTAAACACTCTGTCTCTTTCCTTGTATGAAGTCTGCATCCTGGAACTTCGAGTGCAGCCCTTTAGGGGGAGATGCCAAGCAAAATACATCGATGAGAGTGTCCCATACTCGACTCCTGTGACTGACTAATACGAGGCAATGCGCGTGTAGCACCTTCTCCGCAAACAAAAATTCACGAGAGATCTCACTGTCTCTGCAGACAATAATTCTGAAGATGCACACGCCATTTGAATGAACTCCCGAGACTAAATCTGCCACGCCTCTGTCCGCTCCCTTGCTCTCCCAAGGTAGCAAAGGTAACTCTGTCGAAGCTGCAATGCCAGTGACACAACCCAAGCTCTAGAAAAGATGGTCCGGATCAAACACCGCTACCTCCTCTTCAACATCCTCTACCCGTCCGCTCCCACGTCCTCCTCCTCCACACCGGGCCCCTCAGCACCACCAGCCCCGACACCACAAGAAGCAGCAACGACGCCGTCCTACATCCTATTTCTCCGCCCTTCGCCGGGCCACCTCACACCGGCTCTGCTGGTGACGCATCTGCGCAACCAGATCCAGACGCTGTTCGGCGACCACGGCCTGTCCGTGACGCAGTCGTCGCTGCGCCTGGTGTATTTCTCGCCCTCGACCTCGACGGGGATCCTGCGCGTGCCCCGCGCGCATTTCCGTCTGGTGTGGGCGAGCCTGACTTTCCTCACGAACATACCCCCTCCCTCCTTCTCTCGGTCTGCCGGCGGTGGCGGGGCAGGAAGGAGGACGGGAGGAGCAGGAGGAAGAGACGTCGATGCTACGGCGCGTCAGGAGCTGGCGTGTGTGGTTCGAGTGGTCAGGGTGAGTGGGACGATCAGGAAGAGCGAGGAGGAGCTTCTCAGACGCGCGAGGAGAGAGGTCGTCCGGGCGAAGCTGCAGGGTCGAGCTCCAGGTGAGGAAGGCGATGATACGGTTCTGGACGGGATGTTTGCTGGACCGACCGGGAAGAAACAGCTAAAGGGGAAAGGGAAGATGAATCCCGGTGGATTCATGGACGGAGAAGAAGACAGCATTATGGATTTTGATGATGAGGATGAGGATGACTTTGACAATGATTCTGGCTGAGAAAAGAATCCGTCGACCGAAGAGCGAAGCGGACTTGGGTATCTAACAACACCGCGGAGCACCTCGAGCGAGTGATATCCACATACGGACAGGGTCAGACTTTCAAGGTAGCCAGCAACACCACACGACGGCACCTTTCCCGCGACATTCGAAATGTTCGGGCTTCCGCGTTATGGCTGTTGCATCTGCCATACCCGTGCCTCCAATAACCGGGCAACATCCACTGAGTCGGACAGGCAAATTGGCGACTTCGTCCTCGTGGGCGGCCCATGCACAAGCAATGTCACGAAGGCTTCTTCCCACTCCTGACAACTTTTACACCACTATCTTTGAGCGGTGGTAAGTCCATATCCTCATCCTCTCCGTCCTCGCCCATGGCCATCATCGCCTCTCCGCTCTTGGCCCACTCCTCTTCCCTCCGCTTTTGCTCCTCTTCCCACTCCTTCCTCTCCAACTCATCATACTCTTCCCTGCGATCGATCCACCGTTCTTGGACGTCCCTCACATCCATCTTGCCAAGGCCCTCCCTAACAGCGACCTGCCAAACAGAATCGTTTGCGCCCTCGGCAGCTCCGAACGCATACCCGCCTGCTCTGTCGATAGTGTGCAATAAGCTCATCATGCTCTTTTTATCCTCGACGGCTAACGTCTCGAAGCCGACCAAGCCATACTCTTCGACGAGTTGGACAATTGCCTCGTTCAACGCTTGGAATTTCCCACCTTGTTTGAACATCGGCGACTCTTCCTCGAGGTAAGGGAGCAGGTATGTCAGATCCTGGACCTCGGTATAGAAGTCCAGGTTGAACGGCAGCGGAGGGTATTTGCTGAGATTGTCAATCTTTGTGAGGACGTTGATGTGTGTAAAGTCGAGTTGGAGCATGCTCCGTAGCGACAGCAGGAGGGTGGAGATGTAAAGCGAGGGTAGAGTTAGGGCATACGAGTCAATCAGGTTGACCACAACTAGCTGTAGGATTGAATGACAGAACCGTCAGCTCACGCGTGTACTTCCGTTTTACGCATCAAACTCCAAAGCAGAGTGTGTCAACGACTGGGAAAGATCATGTGGAGAGGAATAAGGGTGAGAACAGGGGCCAAACACACACACGATACCCAATCTTCTCCAACCTGGCGAAGATCCTCCTGAGACTGCCGTGGTGGGTGAACAGTTCGACCTGCCCCGGGCAGTCGAAGAGGATGTAGTCGTCGCCGAGGCTCTTGAGGCCGTCCTCGAACCAGCCCTCCAGGTTCTCCTCGAGCTCCTCCAGCGCGTACAGCACGCCGCCGTTGGGGCCGAGCGCGATGTCGTCGTCGCGCATGATGGTCTCGAGCGAGATGAGGTCGCGAATGTCGAGCGCGGGCTCATACGACGCGTTCGGCGCCGGGTCGTTGGCCGGGTCCAGGTTCACCACCGAGCACTTGCGCCCGATGGCGCCCATGAACTGTTGCATGCCGTTGCAGTAGGTCGATTTGCCGGCGCCCGGTGGCCCGATGACGAGTTGTGCGAAGGGCATGTTGCGTGAGAGAGAGAGCGGGGGGAGAGAGAGGAGCGCGCCTGGCACACTTCTTTCCTCAGTGCCCGTGTCCAGGATCAGGACGAGGAGGTGACGTGGCGGGTGGTTGAAAGTTCGCAGCGTGCGGCTTAGGAGGCACAAGTGAGGGGATGAAGTTGGATAGTCTCCCTATGTGGATACCAGTCGCCTTCGGTTTGTGTGCATCTCAGAGCTGTGCCATGATGTCGGGACGCAAATGCATAGTGTGCTTGCAACAGACTCAATATGAGGGAGGCAACTAGAATGTCACACTCGCAGGTGACGGTGGAAGGAGGGGAGTCTTGCACAAGGCGGTGACAGAGGGCAGAATTTCTTCCGATGCTCCGCCAATAAGATCGCTCGGCATCTATTTAGCCATAAACACGTCTCGACGTCTCCCGTTCTCAGCTTTACGGGCGTCTGCAACTCGTTTCAAATCCCCTCAAGTATTCTCTTGTGTTTCTGTGTTGCAGAGAACTCCTCGCAAGATAGAGCCATATTTCCATTGACCCGGGTATCAATGTAGATACATCAGAGCACATTATCCTCCAGTTCTCGTGCCTTTGGTATGCTAGAATCCACCCAGCCTGCAATCTTCTCTGCACCTTTGCCACTGACATGTCATTTCCGTGGAATCAATGTATCGGTATCAGCCATGCTCTGCTGACGATCCTTCCTTCCAGTCTCGAGTGGGTTCCCAACACCTTTTTCCCATTTCGCCGCTCCCCCTTTTGCGTGGGACCAGCCTTCCGCTCCCAGTCGGAAGAGACTGAACACTTCACCAACCCAGCTGCTCTGTCCGTTGCCCACTTGCTTAAGCTCGATGACATCCGCATGTGTTGTCCCTGCCTCATTTCCGTGACGGGCGTTGCCCAACATCGCAATACCCACCGTTTCAACATCAGATTTCTCTCCTGTGCTCCTGTCGCGCTCAACAATCGTGGCTTCATCGCTTCGCCGGCCAGGAACAAATGAAAACCTAGCCAACATGGTTTTGAAAACCCCCGACCTAGGCGACTCCGGACCTTGCAGAGTTGATTCGCCTGAGCTCGTCCTTCTGCTGTCCTCGACACTGATGTATGAGGGACACTTGATAAAGTCGCAGCGGGCAGGATGCTGAAACTCTGCCTTGACCTTCCGCTCAAACACTTCATCCCTGCAGTCTTTTGCTTGGCCCTGTTGTTGGGCACTGAAGAAGGACAAAGGGACATATGTCAATTCCTTCTTACTCGATGATGCATGTATGTTTCCCAGGTATCGAACTGTCAGGAAGGTACATGTTGCTGAAGGACTTGGACCTTCGGTGGGTCGACATGGAACTCGGAATGCTTTAGTGGAAAATTTTGCTTGCATCATAGTATCATAATCCCCGATAACATCGACGAGCTTAACGAAGGTGTTGTAGAGCTGCCATCGGGTCCCATCGCCAATTTTGGACACAGCAGATTGGTTGAGAAGTATCCTCAAAATCTCACTGATTGTGGAATCATCAAACCGATGTACTTGGGCCAGCTGATCTTTTGTTAGATCACCGCATTGCATCGTGACATAAGGTAAATGGTCTTGGGCAGCAGCTGGGACAAGGACGTCAAAGCTCTTGTACATGGTGGGACGGAGCATAAAACAAGCGAGATGCACTCCGGGCGGTGGGAGGTTCTCGGATGATGCGCTCCGCCTCATGCGCTCGATCTTAGACACCATCTCATCACAGCCGACTTGCATGCTCTTAGCCAGTGGTTCTGCGATTTGCGCGATGGTGGCAAACCGGTAACCCAGTGCGGCAAACCTGGCCGCCTCGCTTCTGCTTATCTGTCGATGAAGGAAAAAATACTTTCCTCGAGCTACGGAAAGCGGTGATGAAAAGCCTTGCTCTGCGTTGGGCGCTTTTTTGTAAGATTTTGCGGATAAAGGCCTGATATTAAGCTTCAACTGCGTGTGCACGGAGGTTGTTCCCGTCTCAAGTGGTTCTTCAAATAGAACCCCCAACCTCTCCAGAGGCTGGTGAATGAGATTGGCGAGCTGCTGGGCCGTGACGCAAAACAGCTGCTTAAATATTGGGGCGAAGTTGAAAGAACCTGCCAGGGCGTCGTCCGGCAAACTTTTGGAAGTGTTGGTGGGCCGGTATTTCCTTGCGATTGGGTCGTTTTCAATATGCTCTTTCATGCTGGGAACAAGGTCCCGTAACGTTATCCAGTTGTGGGATGCTTTGAAGATCCAGAGGTAGGTGGGATGAGACCTGCCAAGTTCATCTTCTCCGAAGGTCTAAAACGTCGAGTCAACACGAGCGAAGCTTCAGCCAAGAGCCTCATACCTTCTCAATATAGTGGTTTGTTATTTTTTCACTCGGCAAGGTTCCTTCCTGAGTGACCATCACTCTGCCTTCGTCGTCGAAGTAGGCGCAAGCCAGCACCAGACGCTGTGCTTTGATTCTGGCAGTGCGTTTATTGCGGCCTCGGATCAATGCCACCACAAGAAGGATGACACAGGAGCCCATTGACTAAATGTGGCATTAGCTTCAGTTTCTGTAAAACCAGGTGGCGAACTAACAAGAGCAGCTGCAATGACAGCGGTTTGCGACCTGGAGTTTCCGTGGATGTTCAAGTCGCCTTTCCAATGGTAGATTGTACCAACCGCCGCTGTCCAGTGCATTCCAGAGACGGCAGTGGCGAGAATGACACCACACAGGGCTCTTTTCCACCAGCCGTCTTTCCATGCATCTCGTAGTCGAAAAAAGATTCCAAGAGCGGTGAAGCTGGCCAACACGGCAATGACGGCAGCTCCGGCAACATTTTGAACGCGGTATGAGCAAACATAGTTCTCAACGCCGTATTGTCCGAGATAGTGCATGGCGCAAACGGCAGCTCCGGTGAGACAGGAGGCAATGGCAACATGAAGCTGTCGAGCTCGTGTGGGCATTCCGAGAGTGTAGAAGGCAAAAAGGAGGACAATGATTGGCATAAAGAAAGAGATTGCGGTGAAGCCGGGGTTGTAGAGAATCTGACGTTGGGGGTCTCCGTTTTGTAGCACGATAGCTCTATTACCGACGAAGTGCATGCCCCAGATCCCGATGCCGCCCATCGTGATGGCGGACGCCACAAGGAGGAACCTCCGGGATTGGTTAGCGGACAGCCATGGCGGCGAAAGTGAAGTGAACTTGCCAATTGTACGCTCCTCTCCTTGATGTGCGCCTTTGCAGCAGTTCCAGTGTGGTGATACATCCTATCAGTGAGGTAAAGAAGGAAAGAACAATGTGACCAGCATCGTAAGAGACGGTGGTTTGGGTGGGATCCGAGCTGGTACGCACAGCAAGCAAAAGCAGCGTGAAGATAGCATTGTGGTCCATTCGTCAGCAATGGTGTGGGTGTCAAGTTTGATCAAGGACTTTGGACCTCGAGCAAACAGTCCCAGGCAGTGAAGAGAGAAGGGGCGAGTCAAGCCGGATAATCTCAAGTACGAGTGAACTGAGCAGGGAATAGGAGGGCATTCAAAAGGAGCAGGAATGCTAGAAATGAGGAAGACCGGCAGTGGAAAAGGTAGGGTCAAGATGAAAATGATACAAGTTTGAAACCCAACGAGGCGTCAGTTGCGCTGGAGGAACAGTAATGAAAGAAGAAGACGCGCCTTCAGGGGAACGAGGACGCATATATTCACCAGGTGGTGGAAGGGACGATGTTAACAGAGACTCATTTTTTTTGCCCTTGTTTTCAGACGGAACAAGCGATCAAGATTCAAAACTCAGGCAGGCGCATCCGCTAAGCCAGTTGTCAGCAGCTTTCAAGGCGGCTAGTGCAGTTGAAGCCTGGAAGGATATGGTGGCTCTGGGTCCAAATGAAGTACAGCTATGCAGGAGAATTGCGTGAGGGTGTCTGGCCGTACGGGCTGGATTTGTGTGGGAAAGCCGACGGCGAGTAAGGGCGATGTATGGCACGTTGAGTGACAGGGGTCGTCCAGAGGAGAACGATGCAAGAGATCGGAGGAGGCGAGGAGTGCGCGAGTCTGCTTTTGACACCGGAATCAGGACTGGCATCATCATCTGGGCACCGGAGTACAGCGTCCAAGCGAGAGCAGAGGAGAAGGGTTGTGTGGCAGTTTGAGGTTGTCAAGTGACAGATTTGACAGGTCCTCTAGACCATATCGACACCAGTCAAAGATGCAAGGAGGAGAGGAACTAATGAGTCCGTTCTCCCCAGATTCCCAGGACTTGCGCCGCTTCCATGCATCCAACTGTGGGAATATGAGCAGAGGTATAACAGGATAGACCAAAGCAAAGCAGATCAACGTGAGGAGACAGTGAGAGAGAAGTGAGTGGGCGAAAAGTGAAAAGTTGAAAGTGAAGTGACAAGAGACTGTGTAACTGTAGAGTCCCAGTTTGGACTAGTCGAATCCCACTAGCGATCCGCGCTATACTGTATCGGGACAGATACTTCGATCTTCCTCTCCGGCTGCGATCGCCAGGCACCAGATACACGGTGGGCTAGTGAGGCCTCTGGGCACGATTCCCATTGCTGACATTGTTGGGTACGCCAAAGGTAAACTGCAAAAGGGATGGCAATCCCATACGTCTATCATTAGAAAGAATACCACTATTTCATGCCCCTTTTTGAGATCCTTACTTGGGAGCCGATTGCTGTCCCTTGGCAACCACTGTGTCTTCCTCCTCACTATCGCTCGCCAGATCATAGTGCTGGGCTTCCATGTTCCCATGTCGCCGGCTCGACTCCAGGTCGTCCAGTTCACTCTCGTCAAAATCCCCTGCTTCCACATCTCCCCGACCTTTCCGCATGGAGCCATGTGCAAGTGGGACGCTGATGTACCCTTGGCTGCGGGCCTTTCGCCTTCCTCGCCAGACCCAGTAGCCAAACAAAGCTGCAGCAATGAGCACAAACACCAGAGCCGCCTCGCCGCTGCGATAGTAGGCTTTGAGTTCGGCGTCTTTGAGCTTCTGACTTTCCTCTTCGGCAGTGGTGGTGGTGGTGGTGGTGCTGTTGGCTGGTGCCTCAACCTCTGTTTCCGTGCCCACCTTTTCACCACCAATAAGGCTGTCGATAGGCTGCCCACCAATGCCACTGACATCCACTCCCATGAATCGATCAAGCATATCTCGCGTCCGTCGGGGGTAATCGAACGGCACCATGTGACTCGAATTGTAGAATTTGACGTAGGTGAGGTTCCGTGCTTCTTGGTATATCCCAGCCGGTTCCCCTTCGAATTCCCAATCGCGCTTCGGAGCTATGACACCGGGAGACAGCTCAAATCCTTTACCACCCAGCCACTGCATGTTGTTGACGAAATCCTCTGTTCCGATATGATTGCAGATCAGGTCGTTCGCGCCACTGAATAATAGCACTGGAACGCCTTCCTCGAGAATTCCCGGGAGCAGTTGAATACTTGGTTTCGAGTGCCTAGCCCGGAACGAAGAGGAAACGGCCCCGGAACATTCCACCCATCCAGTCCGCTTGTCGGGGTTCACGTGTAGGGCCGCCAGTACATCGTCCTGGCGCAGATAAGGCGTCACAGTCTCCAAATCCGGAGGCCAGGCCATTCCGCACGACGGCCACTTGTCTTTGAGGGTGATGTCGTACATGTTGTAACACATGTTGTCCACCTTCGACACCTCTAGGATTGTGGATAGAACGACCTCACACACACTGATGTCCACCGTTTCCGTCGCACCGGGCTTGCCGAGTTCGGCGAGGCAGGATGCCTGTGCCGCCTCAACTTTGGCTGCTTCGGGAGTGCCGCCTTGGATGAGATGGGACTGGTAGGCAAATGGGAGATAGGACAGGTATTGTTCAGCCGGAGCAATCCAACCGTTCCCAATGAGAAGCCCTTTCAGGTTCCAGGTTCCCTTCCCCTGATTCTTCACTTTCGCGTTGCGGTCCAAAACAGCCCTTGTGATATAAGGAATGTATTGCCCGGCGTATGATTCGCCTGCGAAGTAGAGGTCGTCATTTTCGTATTGTGGGAATAGCGCAAACCACTTTTCCATAAACACAAGAAATTGGTCGGCCATTTCTTGCAGTTCATGGAGGTAGCTGTCAGTGTTCACATAGCTGAAGCCGGTCCCGACAGGGTTGTCGACGAATAATACGTTTGCGAATTGGTCCCAGGACCCCTCGTTATAAACCAGTTTTCCTCCCTCTCTTACTCGATAAGGGCCTAACTCCATCATTGCCCCATCCATCGAGCTGCATCCCGGTCCACCATTGAGCCAGATGACGGTTCGTGCTCGGTCGGCAATGTGTCGGTTCTGATAGTGCCAGAAAAACATGTGTCCGTTATGTTCAGGGTTAATCTCAATATGTCTGCATACATCAATGTCTGTGTTTTTTCTCGACGGGTTGGGGCTCCGTACCCTGCGTGCATCTTCAGGAGGGGGCCATCTGGCTGTCCTGGCAGCGAATGCACAAAGTAATCAGCTGCGGTTTTGTCCGCCCATGCTGAGGAGATAATGGCAAGCAGGGCGCATGTCGCCCAAAATCTGGCCATATTGTAGGAGGAACTGCGAGAAATGGTGCTACCGCTCAGCTGACATCTCCGGGCTAGGCGTGCGAGGGAGGCACGAGTAGAGGTGATGCTGCGGAAAGGCAGAGTTTCGTGGAGTATATCGTCTCTGTGTCCGTGGCTTTTTGGACCGTGTGGATGAAAAGACAACTCCAGGGGAGAGTGATCTGACTGAAAGACACTGGATCGGGAATTCGCGATTGGGGGCGCAGTCTGACTTGAGCCAGCTGTCCAAGTCGAGGCGGGTTTCGGGGTGAATTGGTGGAGGAAATACGAATTAGGTCACGTTTGCCATAGACGACTCGTTACAATGAGAAAGGGGGAGGTAGTATCTCAGATGCCCTCGACTGGGTTTTTATTGAAAAAATGAGAAAATGAGAAACAGCATATGCCCCTGGCTGAGCCCAGAAGTTGACGAATCCCTGTCGGATAAACCTGGCTTGGCTTTTTCCGCGCGGCACCATCTCGTCGCCTCGCCGCCAGATCGACAGCTTGTATGCGCGCCTCAGATCCATCAACCCCCTAACTCCCTTCTACTGAGAATGCTGAAACGCAGTCTGCCAGAAATCCCATCCCACAGTATGGTGAAAACTGAACCTCCCATGCAAGTTCATGTCGGAACGCAACCCATCCGAACCTCCTTGGCTCCACAACTTTGTCTGGACCTCTCCAATCCTCCTCCGGGAAGAGAACAGGACAGGATAGGAGATGTTGCACGTAACCTCACAAGAGCACGATGTTGCTACAGAATACTCTTGACGCTTTCAACATTGTGAACGAAAACATATGCAGAGAGTGGCTGATGATTCCCGTCGACTGCAGACGCTCACCACCTGCTTCTGTTGTTTACATCACCCCAAACGGCGCACGGTGAGTCCAGGATTGCCGATGACATTCAGATAACACCGTCGCTGTGGGACGATACAGGTGAGATCCCTTTGAGCAGGATTTGCTGCGAAATGGCACAAAGTGAGGATATCATGGATGGTTGAGATTTTCTGCCGCACTTCGAAAGACCCCAGCCTCGAGGGAGATTCCTATTGTTGTTTTGAACCGCACCCCCGATTCACTCCATGAATAGCCGTCCATTCATCACCCATTGGGACAGTGACAGTGAAGGAATATGGGCGGCTGGGACGAAATCCTTCCACTTTGGGACGGTGAGGTGAATACTCCCACTGATGAATCTGAAATCTCTTCAATGTCACCGTTTTCATTTTCCTCACCTTCCCTACAACCGCTATCTCTCTTGAGACCTGTCCTGCGTGTTCCTCTATCTCTATCCATTGTGATATTGAAAGGACGACGGTGCCATTAATATCTCCATCAACCCAATCCCTCTCAATTGCGTCCTTCAATGCGAGATGCCCGTCTTCAGTACGCCTTCCATTGGCTTGCCTGATCCCGAGAAGAAAACTGTGGAAACCATGGAGACTTCATTGAACCAAATCACTCTTCCTGAACGTCCCAGCAAGTCCTGGTACAAGAAGCTCAGCTTCAGCTCCCGGAGTGGCAGCAAGAGTAAACGTTCTTCTCGCATGTCTACCGACGTCCTGGGGCTCCAAGCAATGAGCGACGAGGAATATCTTCTGAACAAACCCCTCCCTCCTCTTCCTCAGCCACCATATTTCGAGTACATGTTCGCGGATGCCGGTCTCATGGCGATGATGTCCAATGAGTCATTGAAGTCAACGCTCAATGCACACGAGGCTGCACCAGGTAGTCTCATACCATCCCACTGCATTGGAGTTTCTAACCATGATCTGCAAAGCTATCACTCCATTGGAGTCCAATCGTGTTCAACCCACGCCAGCCGGTCCCTCGGAGGAAGGTTTCATCCTTGAAAGTCCCGAGCTCGCCCAGTTCGCATTCGCCCAGGCTGGCGTGAATGTGACAACCAAAGGTATATCATCTCCCACCAATCTCTGTGTCCTATGCTTTGCTAATCGACTGCAACCAGACATCATCGACAATCACTTCGCCGCCCTTGGCGCCGGCCTCGAAGGATATCGTCACATTGACTTACAGGACGCGCTGGAGAAAGAAAAGGCCAGTGAGTTGTTCTTTGGCGGTAGTGTGGCCAGAGAGGGACCAACCCCCGATCACGTTCCCGTGGTCGATGAAGATGGCTTTGCCTCTCGACGAGAAGGTCTGGAGGACTGGCCTCAGCTTTGGAGACCAGACAAAGAGACTCTCGCCGACTACGAAGTCAAAGTCCCCGAGAACTTGTCAAAACAACCCAGCAAGACTGGAGACCAGGACAACAACGGTGAAAAGCCTATTCTCCAGCCCAAGTCTCGGAAGAACAAGGTTAAGGTCGAGCTTCGAGACCCTTCTGTTCCGGACTCATACTACAATGCCGATGGTACCATCACCGATCCATATGTCCCACCAATTCTGGCTCCTCGCCCATTGGCCATTCGGAAGAAAGGTGAGTAGTCTCCGACATGCCATGTTCTCTCTCATCTTGAAATACTCACGGACTCTACAGTCAAGAAGCGGAATGCCAGCGACTCGTTCGTAACGAACACCACTGGCAATCAGCCGCAAACCGATGGTCAGTATGCCCTGGACACCCCTTTTTCTCCCTTTTCATTCATGACACGTTCCTCCTGTCACTAACCCAAATCTCCAGACTACGACAACAACATCCATCTCCTCTCCACCAAGAAGATCCGTGTGTCAGAGAAGCTCGTCGATCAAGACGTCAACAGCAGCAGCCGTGCCGTCTCCTTGTGTGGCTCCATCTCTGAAGACACTCCCTCCACTTTCTCCTGCGATGACCGAAGCCGCAACAGCGCCGGCACCGCGATCACCGATGTCGATGACTACGACTCCGACGCAGCCCTCGCCCTCAAGCGCAAGCGCCTCACCACCGGATTGACTCGCTACCCCGGCCAATTCGAGTCCTATGAAGCCGACTACCTTCACGTGCGCGCCAGCCGCAGCTCGACCCTCGGAGAGCCGGTCTCCTTCACCATGGGCGACCCGCTCCACCCCAATGACGAGTTCACGCACACCAACTTTGTCCCAGACCCAACATACCCCGCGAAGAACTACTCCCAAGCCGACCTGGACGCTCTCCCCGTGCGCTCTCATGCGCTCAAGCACGCCGAACGCTGTGCCGCGCACGCCGCCTCGCTCGGCCACGTCCGGTCCGACGTCGAAGAGACCCTGCGCCGCGAAGTCCACCGCGAGTGTAGCGCTGCGCGCCTTGAGGGTGTCTCCGTGGGTCAATACCGGTACTACCAAGGCTTCATGAGCGTGGAGGACTACGTCACCGCGCGCATCTGCGTCTGCTGGGATTTCTGCTGGTGCAGCAAGCTGTGCACCATCTACGGCGACGTCCTCTGCCCGTGCAGCGAGTGGATTGCCGTGCAGGGCGACTGAAAACAGGAACCCAGCTTCTGATATACCGTCCGCCAGGGACATTTGATGATGGCTTGAGACGTCCCCCTCAGCCAGACAGCTACACAGCACACAGCACACAGCATCCAACATCCAACATCCAGCCCCATTGGAGACAGGCACTCTCACAGGACGGGAGTACCTGCATGCATGTACATAAGGCGCACGCACACACAGGACCCCACATGTCCTTCATTCAGAGAAGCAAAATCTCCAAGGATCGAAGAACGAAGGAGCGTCTTCCAAATCCAGGATGAGATATCTTCCTTCCCCCTCCGTCGAAGACGAAGAATTTCGACGACCAAAAAAAAAGACACATTCTCGGGTTAGGAGAAAAGAAAACGAAAGAAAAAAGAAGGAAAAGGAAAACGGAGAAAAAACAGCACGGGCGGATGCAATGGGGCGTGCGTGGGTTCAGGCATTCATCCATCCATCCCATGCATGCATGCGTGTCCACTGAATGACGACGACGAGCGTCGAGAGAAGAATGCGCGTGGCATCCAGATTGCTATCTTTGTCTATGCATGAGCGAGCAGGCACACAAAAGGGACAGGTTGCACTGGACAGACAGGCACGGTTCGAACCGTGTGGCTGATATGATATGATATGGTCAGTCAGTCGGTTGGTTGATTTTTGTTTACTTGTCCGCGCACCGGGCTGGCTGGGGGCTGGTTGAGTGTTTTCCAGGTGATGATCGACTATGGATATTACTCCGATCGATCGATACAACCCACAGCAGGAAGAAACAGTTGGTCCCTCAAGAGCTTCCGAAGTGCACGAGACATGGACATGGATATGGGACATGACGCTTCGAAGTGCTGTGAGTCCTGCAATCTCAGAGCACCCACCACAGGGTGAAGAGCTGAGCAGCCGAGCAGCAGCAACAACAACAGGGCATAGCTGGTAAGAGGAGCGGAGTACCAACGAGAAGTTAGACAAAATGGAACAAAGCAGTCATAGTCATAGATCCAATTCCGATTCGACAGCTATCAAAAAATTATCGAGTCGAATGCTTCAGCGTCTTGTGAATGTCTTGAGCACATGTGCTCGTAGCGCTGACTCGATGCAGCGGTCCATCCCGAGTCCCAGCTCAAGCGCCGACGGCTCCAGCACTGTTGTGAGAGAAGCAGTTGTGTTTTCTTCCTTCGCGCTGTCGTCTTCAAGTTCAAAGTTCCGCCAACGTTGTGTCTCAAAGCTCTCAACATGCCAATGTTCAGTGTTGAAGCACTTTTAAAGCTCAGTGAGCAGCATGGAACATCACGGTGGCACCCACCGCCCACTCTTGAATCTGTTTGCTTGAAATCAAAAGCAATGCCGTCTTCACGGACCATGTAATGTACCTGCAGGTGGCACTCTCCTGAGTCAAGATCTCATCTCTTCCAATTGCACGGAGAACTACTTTTGAGTAGTCACCAGATTCTTTAAGAACTGCACCGTGTTTGCCATGATCCCTGCTCGAGAAGAAAGAGTCAGTCACACTGACGGGTAAAGAGGCAGAAGAAGGGAGACTGATAACTCAAAACTTACCTGTGGGGGTAGCTGCCTGGGAGACAGAATCTTGTTCTGCGCGAAGAGCGATGTTGGAGACACTATCTTCGGGTCGGATCTCGACGTTGTCAGCTAAGCTCTGGTGGTGCAACTTGCCGACAGAGCGTGTAGTTGTGGACAGGGTCATCGCAGATGGGGACGACGTAATTGAGATCAGAGAAGACAGCAGACCTTGCTTGGGCGTCCTGCAGTCAGCGGTGCCGTTCAAAATCTGGGGTTGGCTTCTGGGGGGCAGCGTGATAACCATGCCAGGTTTTAGGCTCTCCAAAGTGATTCTGCTCTCTTCAGCAACAACAGCTTCCTCTTCGGTTGTGAAGACGTCACTCAACGGAGAAGTTGGTGGAGAGTATTCAATGCTTGGAAGAGGGATATCCGCAGGATCCATGCCAGACCACCTAACCTTTTCTTCGGATACCGCAAGGAGCTTTTCTTGGACATCATTCCCCTTCATATGTGCCGCGCCTTTCTTGGTGCACATCTGGTGTTGAGGAAGTACATTTGCTGGCTTGCTCATGACAGTCTGATTATGGTTTCTGGCGACTTGCATTATGACCTGTTGTCCACGAATCGGTGTGTGTGATAGAGCTCGAACTGCTTCTTCCGCATCTTCAGACGACTTGAGATCAAGAGAAGCATGACCGGCCACACGCGTGTCACTCCATTGGGGAAAGAGGGTAACAGATTCGCTGTGAGATGAATTAGCTTCTCGATGGGAAAAGTGCGTGAAAGATACATACACGTCAAATCCCGTGAAGAACTTTCTGAGATCACGCTCAGTGATCCCACAAGGAAGATTGCGAATGTTCAGTCGTCTGCCCTCGGCATTCCCTGGACGGGGCTGGACTTTCACGGGCAATGGCTGCGCCTTTTTGTGACGCTTTGCTCCCTTGATCGCTTCGGCGCCGACGACATAATCATCATCATCCCCTGAAGATGTAATAGCACTGGAGTCCTCGTCTTCGACCCCGCAAGCGTTAGGCTCATAGTTCACTTGCTTCCCGCGAGTTCGAAGTCGAACAGAGAATGGTTTGATATCAACCTGGCCGTCAACTTGAGGAGGCCCAGCAACGTCTGCGTCGTCTTGATCATCACCATCATCATTGTCGACGTCTTGAATCTTACGTTTGACACCTCCGGTTTTCTGCTTCTTCCCCTGGCTGGCCTTCCGTCCTTGGGGAGGTTGGGCTGGTGTTGGCGTAGTAGTTTGTGTAGTGTTTGCGTTTTCCTCGATCTTTTTCTTGAGCCGCCGCCAGCGAATTTCCACAGCCCCTCTGGTCGACCCTGTCGCAACGGCCACAGCATTCCAGTCAATCTACTCGATGTCAGTGGAGGCTCAAGGGCATTGCTACCACCACTATATGTACCTTTCCAGAAGCGCTGTTGAGACAGTGGTACATAAAGAGGACGTTGTCATCGGCTTGGAACGGGGCCATGACGGTGGACTGTTCTTGGGCTCAGAGTTGTGGAGGAGAGAAGATTGTTGAGTTAGGAGTGATGGAGTTGGAAGTGGGAAGTGGGAAGAATGAAGAGCCAGGGCATTGACTTAAAACAAGTAGCCAGGAGCCCGCAACAAGTGAAAAGAGATGAGGAGTTAGGTATATCCGAAGAACATCGAGATGAGGTGAGGTCAAAGTGAGTTGAAGGTGATCCAGGTCCGGTTGGGTTTGGTCCAAGGTCGACTCAGCGGTTGGCCGCAGCTGTAGTCAGAGAACAGTGTATTTCCGTGATTCAATACGTCTCGTTTCCTTTACCAGGATTTCAAGCTCATTCATGTTTCCATTTCAACGTCATTCAATTCTCCCTGAGTTGCATTTTTGAGTGCGTTCCGATTTCTTGTCACAGACTCCAGCAAGGCCTCCTTTAGAACAGTCTGGGCCCCTCGTGCAGCAGCCACGGCAGCATCAACCAAATCGTCGAATCCAACGGATGCATTAGCGTCTTGGGTTGATATAGAACCACTCGACCACACTTCGACAATCTCATCCCTCGACGACAAGTAGCCCACCACACAGCTCGCCTGTATCTCATCGTGTTCCAAAGCCGCAGGATCTAGTACTCGTAAAGACTTTGAGTTGGGTCCAGGAACAACAGCACCGACGCCTGCGGCCAACAGATCCAAACAGTCGATCTTCGCATCGGCAAGCGCTGCCATAGCCACATTGATTGCGGCCGCCAGCAGGTTGAGGAGCCCGAGCCCCGCAAACCGATCCCCCTCCTCTTGGTCATCTTCTCCCTCGAGGACTGTTACTGCGACGTCGACAGCACTCTTCGGCCATCTATCTGGCAATAGAACGCCTTTCAAGGCATTTTCCAGGTGTAATCCCAGGTCCTTTTCGGTCTGATTAGGAACGTAGCCTTGCCGGACACGGGTTGCAAATGGAGCAAACTTGACTGATGCGGTCAGTTGCGCATTGGGTGAGAATGACGCGGTTCTGGGCAGTGGCTTTGGCCCATGTACAGAGCATGACAACTTTATGGTGGAGGATGTAGGGACAAGAGAGTGTCTCGGCTGCGGAGGACTTTCGAGTTCAAAATACGCTGACCCATTGGCCGAGGGCACTATCCCTGTCTGTAAAACTGCTCTCAATCAGTATATACCAGTGGTAGAGGGAGACGGACGACGGACATATCTTGCGCAGTTCATTTGGTTTTCTCAATCGTTGTCGCGGTACGGGCGCAGCCTGTGGATGAGGCGCAAACACAGGAGGGCTGGTCGTGCCTGCAGGCCCATTTATTCTTCGTCTGTCGCTCATGACATCGCAATGTTGGTCAGGATGAGTGGACGTCCCAGGAAAGGCCTGGACATGGGTTCAAACTGAGGAAAACATTTACGAGCAGCCAGTCGCAATCATTGCACTCGCCAAGGATCGCAAAAATGTGATGCGCGATTCAATACTCCGCTCTATTTTGCGGGGAGATGACCACCGACAGATTTGGTTACGTGTGATTTAGTTATTACATGTGAATGAAGTGCTCAGTATATTCGTGGATTACCCGTCCTCATCGTTGGTGAGCATGTACGGCTGTCTTTCTCTACCAAGACTGGTGAGAACTCGCCCGTGGACATTTCTGCTCCAGCTATCCATTCACGAAGACATTAACACTGACTGTCCTCGGTCTTTCCCCAATTTAACCCATTGTTTGTAGGTATTTATTGCCAGCATAACCTGTGATTGCAGCCAACAGTCCCAACGAACCCACCAAGATTGCCAAACGTCTCTTCAGTTGCGCAATCAAAGCAATATTTCCATTCTTCAGCCAGGACCTTGGGAACATGTGCGGAAAAGGCTCAATCGGAATATCCACGTTGAGAATCTTGCATAATGGCTCCCATCCATCCCGGACGTTGAAGAGGAAGAGCTGGTGCGGTGGCACCACGCGCCGAACATACTCAGCATGCGCTTCATAAAGTCCCTCCTGGTTAACCATAGGCCATGGCTCACACGGAGGTATGCCCACAGCTTGCGGGACACGCTTCCAGAACTCATGAGAGAAGATGCAAAAGCGCCTCAGGCTGGGAGAGAGCCACGACCAAGGAGATAGGTCATGGATACTCTGCCAAAGTGCTGAATAGCTGGCCCACCACGACTCTCGGTCTCGAACAGTGCATATGACTTTGGCCTCCGGGTACAGGTGTAACAGCTCCTCGAGGAAGTAACAACCAGGTTGATCGGAGCTTGCCACACAGCCTTCAGTTAATTCGGCGAGACGATACTGTACAAAGGTGCGATCGACCAGAGTTTTCATGGGACAGTGTCGCGCGAGCTCCAGCATTCGTCGTTGCATATCGGCGTCATCAAGATACGAAGCCGCACCCCCATCGAAAACTGGACCTTTTAGAAGAATTTCGAGAGCTTTGGTCATGGATGTAGTGCCAGTCCGAGGCAGCCCGCCAACTATGACAGCCAGCGCAGGCCGGCGATCAACCTCGTCGCTTGCCATAATAACATAGAGTGATTCTAGGTGGTCGTCGTCAATGTCGTTGACTATGTTATTGCGCACTCCTGATCGATCATTTTCCTCATCAAAGATGGCATTCGGCACCTGATGAGATCATATTCAAAGGTAAGCGTGAGCCTAGTGAGCCCGAGGACACGAGTAGCTTTCCGCACGCTGATCCACCAGATCCGTGTTTGAGCTAATCGTATATACCTCCACAAATCTGGAAAATGTGCTTCTCATCTGCATCTTCAACCCGTTGTCGAACCTTTTCGGGAGGCGTAAGATGAACCTGCAGCCCTCGCAACTATCCAGCCCTACGACCTAGCGAGCTAGCCTCGTTCGGAGTTTGTCACGGGACCAAAGATGCCAAGCTCCCGATGTTTATCCGACGCCGAAACAATTTTGCTCGCTTCGACTTTTGCAGCGTCTTTCAACTTCAGCTCTGTGTCGTTCAGATCTTGAAGTCTATGAAGACCTCGTCCAGGGCGGTGGCCTTGGTGGCATTCTGTTTGGCCAAGACCCCAACGTGAGTTGCTACCTTTTACCCATGTCGTTCTCCCGTTGCCCCGTGTTACCTGATGAATTTCATCATACACCAAGTTCCGGCGATATTTCTCATGAGCCTCGAACTCAAACATGCACTACCATCTGACCCCCTTAGACACAACAGAGCTCCGGTGGATTCTGCGCATGACATCGAGCTTAGAGAAGCTGACATTTATCTACAACAGGAACAGTCAATCGTGGACGAAAAGATACCTCAAGTAATGCACGAGGTAAGCCCGTCGTGCTTTTCCTTCCTTCATCTCTTCACCTCCCACCTTCTATGATGATCCAAGGTTCTTATCAATCAGTTCTGCTTCTGATACCCCTTGAAGAAAGCATTACCAAAGCTTACCATATTATCTGACTTTACACATCTGTAAAAACATTGTCTCAAGCCTCATTCGCCCTAGTCAATTCATTGACCTTGCTTTGTGCTAACGCATCGCGTGTTCACAGGAACGATAGACCGCGATCTACCAAAAAAAGTAGAAACCATGCAAAGTACGTCGTCCACAATCATCCAGCCGCTGCATCAACGCCCCTCGCATCCGTGCATTGCTTGATTCCTGTTTCATGATGACACCAAGTCTATCCATTCTCTGAGTTCTCCACCTCGGAGACACCTTTCCCCCAAACGCGACTGTAACCTACCAATTGTGGCTATCGTTATGAAGTTGCGTTGGTCGCGCTACGTCGTTCCGGGGAGGGGATGAGGTCGACGGCTTTTCTGACCCTCTTTCACGCCTTTTGCTTCCAAAGAATGCCTTTGCACCGCGGTCCGGTGACTACACAAGGGACAAACGTGGCTAACTGGAATTCCGTATAGGGTTTTTTTTGATAGTAATGTATTTCAAGTTACCCCCGATTGACTAGAGGCACGGCCATATTGTCGTGAGATCTGCAACCAATCCTAACAATATATCGTGCTTCAATCATTCACTCGTTCATTCATCATAAGCGTCAACGAGACCATTTGCAGTGTGATCTCTTTCTTCGTCCTGTTTCATCACAAGGCCATCGAGTTTCATGACTAACCGATCCACCGTTCTCGCCTGCCACGGCACGAATTTTATGCCGTTCCCGTTCAATTGCATTCCATCCATGCTGTCCTGGAGATTGCCTGTCATCAATCCGACCCCAGTCCGTTTTTCCTTCTCCATATCTCGAATCTTCTTCACCAAATCCGAGAGCGTAATCTCTATCGATTCTCTCGTCCGATCCATCTCGGCGAGAACATCTCTTTCGTCTTGTCCATAGTTAGAGAAAGCGTCAAGCACGCCTTCATCCTCTTGTAGGTCAAGCCCTTCCCACACTGTCTGCAGACGGGAGAAAAGAGCGATGAAGTGGTCCACCTGATTCAGTAGTTCTTTCAATGTGGCGACAAACGCAACATTCGTGAGGAACAAGGCCGTGTGTAGGGCGTGCAAATATCTGCGATGGGCTTCTGCCATGGTCCGAGGATCTGTTGGTATCGTCGTCGCCCCATCGCTCGACAATTCCGCCATCCCTGTCTGTGCGGATGATGAGGCTGTGCCAGGCCTGGATGACCTTGCTGATAGCGGATACAGTCCATCGTTGCCGTCCAACCATTTTGAAAAGTGCATCCAACTGCTCTGAATCACCTCGCCCTGCAGAAATGCCTGGAGCTCATTGATCATAAACAGAGATCTGCTGGCAGTTGTCCAATATGCCCTGGTTCTTGTCGATCTCCGAGCGTCTCGAGCTCGCCGAGCTGCCAGTCTTTCTCGTCCAGACCGTGAAGCGCTCGTAGGAGGTCCCATTGGAGAAGGGTAGCACCTGCGATGCGATGACAGCTTCCAGAGGGAAGAAAGGTGCAGCCCTGCTCTATGGATAGAGATCAGATATGCGTTGATGAATGCATAACTTTGCACATCGCTCGAAGACAGGAAAATATGCAATGGTGAGGACGTGGGGATTGTCAAGTACAGAAGGGTCGGTGTAGGGAGCAGCGTCGACACCAGACCTCGACCAAGCTCGTTTCTCTCATCGACAGCCCGAAGAGACAGTAATTTCTTCGCTAGGTTGAGAGTGTCGTCTTCAATGTCGTCGTCGGCCTGTAAAGCTGACAATTCTGCCAAGGTCTTATTCAGTACGCTCTTCAGCTCTGCCTCCTTGATTGCAAGTTCATCGAGTCTTCCAATCTTCCTGACTGGTCGAACAGTGTTGAGTGTTTGTCGATGGTTGGCTATCCGATCGTCTGCGTGCTTAATCAACGACACCGCGAATTCACCTTGATTGAGGAGCATGTAGCGCAAGACGACTTGCAGCAGCTGCATAACAAGTGGTCGAGGCAGGATTTGAGATAGAGCATGTTCGGATATAGACTGGTTGATGGAAGATATTGTGCTCTCCAGCAGCGATGGATTCAACGGGTAGTGTAAAGACTCGAGCAATGCCAAATGTGTTGGGAGCAAAGACAAGGATGCATCACTTGACACGTTCAGTAATGGTCCAAATGACGCTGTTTGCGAATATAATTGGCTCAAAGCACAGCCAGCGGAGAGTAAAGCACTGCTTGTTCCGGGATTCAAGAATTTCGGCGTCAATGTATGGTCGATCAGGAATGAATCCATCACCGATGATGGCTTTGGATTGGGTCTGACGCAGAAATCCTCGGCCCCAGAGGTTGGCAATCTCCCATAAAGCACCCATAGCGACGCAGCTCTCATCCACGCTTTCTGGGCAACGGTCAAGAGCGCAATGGCCATGTCTTCAATATCAGAGTATCCAGTATGTGTCTCGTTCTCGAGCCAATCCAGAATGCTGGCTCCAGAAGGTGGACGGCTCTTCATATTCTGCTTGGATTGGGGGTCCAGTTGCAGGACGACCGACCATAGCCACTCCAATCGTCTCGTCCATGGCGCAAACTCAGCCACGAGGGTACTCAAAGGGACGACTTCATAGGCTCCAACATAAGCGGCGTCCTTTTGTAGTATGCGTGACTCCACCTCTATGATCTTATCCACATATTTACCCAAATGGACGTCTGCTATTGAGGAACTGACTGCTCGACAGACCATCGACCGGTGCGTGGTGGACAGCCGTGATGTTGCTCCCTTGATCTGGCCGTGTAAATCGTGCAAATGAGCTAGGGTCGCTAGCATCGCTCGTTCTGGGGGTGAGACATATTGATCGAATGTCTTTTCGTCGCCGGCTCCTGCTGCGGAGCGCCCCTGCGTCCAGATTGGTGACTGGAGGCCGGATAAGGACAAGAGGATCTCATGAAGCATTTCGCCGGCCTAACACAGGGACGAGGAGCGGGATCGTGATACAAGTCGAACAAGGCGGGGGAGTCGTGCTGCCGCTGAAATTTGAGGATTAGCCGCCCGAACAGCTCGAAGCGACACATTGAAAGGGATTGAGGCCCATAGCGAATGTGAGTGCAGGCTTGTGGAGCTGAACCGTGAATGACACGCGTCGGGCAGAGAAAGGACGCGTCGAAATCCGATCCTCCAGTTAATTCTTTGCTGCAGAATGGAACAACTTGAGGAAATCTTACACAGCGGTGCGGAAGCTCTTCTTGTGGAGGCGGCGGTGACCAATCTCAATACCGCCACCAAGCCACCGAGGCAGGCACTCTGAGCGTGGGGTGCTTTCAGTATTACTTTTAGTTATACATAGGTGGCAGGTGTGCCGAGTGGCAGCCTATTAGGCTACAAGTCAGCTAGCAAGTCTGGCGAAGCCCGGGGCCTATTATTGCCTGCGATTGCATCACTGTCTTGGGCGTCTGCCTCCTTACCAATACCCAATTGCTCTCTGCGTCAGAGGACCAACTGCATCCCGCGAATCGCCTTGACTAATATACCAACAACCATACATTCGCCCTTGTCTTTTGACTGCGCCTTCAGATTCTGTCTTTTCTTCATAATCAACCTCTTGAACAATTTGTCCTCTTGTCACTCATTTCGCCTCCCTCCCCTCCCTCCACCGTGCCTCTTCTTCCATCTAAAGCGTTTATCTGAAGCAGCTGCTTGCGCTCTTCGGATCAGTTCTACCGATATCTGGGTCTTGCTTGAGGCAAGGCCACTGTCACCATTTCACCACACGCCGACTTCCCAGACTCTATAAAGGCCGGTAGCAAGAGAAAGGCTTCGTCGGAAGACCTCGCCCGGCCAGAAAAGAAAATCATGACAGACTCTGTGATGGAAGTTGACAACCCTGGGGCTGCCATCACGGAGCTCCAGAATGGCGAAATCGATGAATCTCTCTACAGCCGACAACTCTACGTCCTGGGCCACGAGGCTATGAAGCGGATGGGCGCTTCGAATGTACTCATCGTCGGGCTGAAGGGCTTGGGCGTCGAGATTGCAAAGAACATTGCTCTGGCCGGCGTCAAATCTCTGACCTTATTCGATCCTAACCCCGTTGCCATTGCCGACCTTTCCTCCCAATTCTTCCTGCGTCCTGAAGATGTTGGCAAGCCCCGAGCAGAAGTGACTGCGCCACACGTGGCCGAGCTCAATTCCTACACTCCCGTCGCTGTCCACAAAGCGAAGGCGTTGACGGATGACCTGAGCCAACTCAAAAAATTCCAGGTCGTCGTGCTTACAACTACATCTCTGAAAGACCAACTTACAATCTCCGACTATTGCCACCAGAACGGCATTTACCTGGTGATCGCTGACACATTCGGCCTCTTCGGCTACATCTTCACCGACTTTGGGAAGGACTTCACCGTGGGCGACGTTACTGGAGAGAACCCAATCAGCGGCATCATCGCAGATATTGATGAGACTGGTCTGGTGTCGGCTCTGGATGAGACACGACACGGACTGGAAGATGGCGACTATGTTGAGTTTGCAGAAGTCAGAGGCATGGATGGTCTCAATGGAGCCCCTCCTCGGAAGATCACCGTCAAAGGCCCGTATTCTTTCTCTATCGGTGACGTCTCGGGATTGGGCAAGTATGAAGGCGGTGGTCTTTTCGCCCAGGTCAAGATGCCGAAGGTCCTACAATTCCAGTCCCTGTCAGAACAGATCAAAAAGCCAGAGTTCCTCATATCCGATTTCGCAAAGTTTGATCGACCAGCAAAACTCCACGTTGGCATTCAAGCTCTCCATGCTTTCAAAGAAAACAAGGGCACCTTACCTCGTCCCCATAATGAAGAAGACGCGAAGGAAGTCCTGGAGATCACGAAGAAGCTGGCAAAGGAGAGCGCTGAAGAGGTTGAAGTCGATGAGAAATTGATCACGGAATTGAGCTATCAAGCGCAGGGTGACCTCAGTCCCATGGCTGCGTTCTTTGGCGGCCTCACCGCGCAGGAAGTGCTAAAGGCCGTGTCTGGAAAGTTCACACCAATTGTACAGTGGATGTATTTTGATTCTCTGGAGTCCCTTCCTACTTCTGTGAACCGGAGCGAGGAACTTTGCAAGCCCACGGGCTCACGATACGATGGCCAGATCGCGGTCTTTGGCAAGGAGTTTCAAGAGAAAATCTCCAACGTGAAGAACTTCCTGGTTGGCGCAGGCGCCATTGGATGTGAGATGCTGAAGAACTATGCGATGATTGGCCTGGGTACCGGTCCCAACGGTCATATCACGGTCACCGATAATGACTCCATCGAAAAGAGCAACCTCAACCGCCAATTCTTGTTTCGGGCGAAAGACGTTGGAAAGCAAAAGAGCGAGGTTGCAGCTGCAGCCGCTCAGGCAATGAACCCCGACCTGAAGGGGAAGATCACGACCATGACAGATCGCATCGGGCCGGACAGCGAAGACATCTTCAATGAAGCGTTCTGGAACCAACTTGACATTGTCACCAATGCTCTGGACAACGTCGAGGCCCGAACGTATGTCGATCGACGATGCGTGTTCTTTATGAAGCCACTTCTGGAGAGTGGCACACTCGGAACAAAGGGCAATACCCAAGTCATTCTCCCGCGCCTGACCGAGTCGTACTCCAGCTCGCAAGATCCGCCTGAACAATCCTTTCCCATGTGTACTCTGCGAAGCTTCCCCAACAAGATCGAGCACACTATCGCCTGGGCACGAGACTTGTTCCAGTCCTACTTTGTGGGACCGCCTGAGACTGTCAACCTTTACATGTCGCAGCCGGACTACATCAACACCACGCTGAAGCAGCAAGGCAACGAAAAGTTGATCCTTGACAGTCTCAAAGAATTCTTGGTTACTGACAAACCAAGCGATTTTAACGACTGCATTGCTTGGGCTCGGATGCAATTCGAGAAGCAATACCATAACGCTATCGCGCAGTTGCTCTACAATTTCCCCAAGGACTCCAAGACATCCAGTGGCGCCGACTTTTGGTCTGGACCAAAGCGTGCTCCGACGCCGCTCAATTTTGATCCTTCGGACGAGACGCATATGGGATTCGTTGTTCACGGGGCAGCCCTCCATGCTTACAACTATGGCATTCCGGTTCCGCAGCTCAAATATGAAGATTACGTGAAAGTTTTAGACAGCATGATCATACCCGAATTCAAGCCAGACGCGAATGTGAAGATCCAAACTGACGAGAAAGAGCCGGACCCCAACGGACCAGCACCGACGTTTGCGGATGACGCCGAAGAGTTAGACAAAATTGTGGCCGAGTTGCCCACTCCCAAGAGTATGCCTGGTTTCCGGCTCAACGTTGTGGAGTTTGAGAAGGACGACGACACAAATCACCACATTGACTTCATTACTGCCGCGAGCAATCTCCGCGCAATGAACTACAACATCCCGATTGCCGACCGTCACAAGACGAAGTTCATTGCCGGCAAGATCATTCCTGCTATCGCCACCACGACCGCACTCGTTACGGGACTGGTGGTGCTAGAGCTGTTCAAGGTGGTGGACGGCAAGACGGATCTCGAACAGTACAAGAACGGCTTCGTCAATCTTGCATTGCCGTTCTTCGGATTCAGTGAACCGATCGCCAGTCCCAAGGGCACCTACCAAGGCAAGGACGGCGAAGTGACGATCGACAAGCTCTGGGATCGCTTTGAGGTAGAGGACATTACGCTGACCGAATTTCTGGCACATTTCGAAAAGCTTGGACTGAGCGTGACGATGGTGAGCTCTGGAGTCAGCTTGCTGTACGCCAGTTTCTACCCGCCCAGCAAGACCAAGGATCGCCTGCCACTCAAGATGAGCAAGTTGCTCGAGACTATCAGCCGCAAACCGATCCCAGATCACCAGAAGAACATCATCTTCGAGATTACTGCCGAGGACACGACCGAAGAAGATGTTGAGATTCCTTATGTCATGGTGAAGTACAAGACAGACTGAGGTCGAAGGTGAAGCTGAAGGTCACTCGCTTCTCTGGCCCCGTGGGACTCTGATGGCAAGAATGAAGAGGCGTTTGGCAGCATTGGCGCAACTAGACATCTTGGCCATGCTCCTGGTAGGTATGTGGCACCGAATAGATATGTGTTTCTCTCACCTCTGTACCAAGACTGCAGGCAAACATAGGCACTATTTAAGGTGGACCTTGTATGGATCCAGAAAACGGACCACAAGAGATCCGACATAGCCAATATGAAGTATTTGAGAAAGAGAGCACAGCACAGATTTTCCGTAAAGAGGAAGTCTCCGTTGCCAGATGTTGCTTGTGGTCTTACAGCATCCTTAGTCAGGATACATGGTTTAGTCATCCTGCGATCTCATGGTCGGTGCCCCTCTTGTGGTTCGCGGAAACTCCCCACATTGTGTCATCGATATGTCCTCGTCGGCGACCGTTCCGCAGGTTACCAATTGGAATACCTGCACATTTTGGGCAGACTACAAAAGCTGCTCCTTTACTTCCTCTACCAATTCGGTTGCTCCAACTCAACTCAGTCGGTCCATGTCCAATATCCTTGCACGGGCTCGACTGCAGTTAGTCCACCTGACCACGAAGTCGAAACCGCAAGCACCATCTGCGCATTCGGAATCCACCATGTCATCGGTACGGAGCAGCTCTCTCTTTGCAGCCTCTATCCTCGCTCTTCTTGTCTCTATCGTCGCATTATACTACCTCGAGCTGGGGCTGAACATAGACTTCTTGCTACAGGGTAAAGGAACGATCACGGACTGGGTGAAGCCGGGCGACACCTCGGGCGAGTTCAAGAGACAGGTTTCGTCGTTTCGGAACTGGATCTCAAGCGATCCGAACGCTGAATTTCCCGCGGAGAAGGGGAGATACCATCTATACGTCAGCTACGCTTGTCCTTGGGGTATGGGAGTTCTCATGTGCATGTGAAAGTGAATCGCGTTATTGACAAGAGACGAAATAGCACACCGGACACTCATCGTGCGGAAACTGAAGGGTTTGGAAGAGATCATTCCCTACACCAGCGTGCACTGGCACCTGGCCGAGAAAGGTACGTGTTGGCCCTCGGGGGTATAGCGTCTACAGGCAAGTGCCCTGACAGTCTTGCCCCAGGCTGGCGCTTCGCCACACCCGACGAGCAGGTCGCTGGCGACAATGTCACCCCAGACCCCCTACACCCGGAATACACCCATCTTCGGGACCTCTACTTTGCCGCCAACCCGAACTACGAGGGTCGCTTCACGGTGCCCACCCTCTGGGACAAGAAGAAACAGACGATCGTGAGCAACGAGTCCGCGGAGATCATCCGCATGCTCTACACCGCGTTTGACGACCTCCTTCCTGAAAAGTACAAAAACGTGGTGCTGTACCCGGACGACCTCCAGGCCAAGATCGAGGAGGTGAACAAGTGGACCTACGACGACATCAACAACGGCGTCTACAAGTCCGGCTTCGCCACCACCCAGGAAGCCTATGAACGCAACGTCGTCCAACTCTTCAAGTCGCTCGACCGCACCGAATCCATCCTCGCCGAATCCTCGTCTAAGGGACCGTTCTATTTCGGCTCGCAGCTCACCGAGGCCGACGTGCGGCTGTACACCACGATCGTTCGCTTTGACCCGGTCTATGTGCAGCATTTCAAGTGCAACCTCAAGGACATCCGGAGTGGGTACCCGCACCTCCACCGGTGGTTGAGGCATTTGTACTGGACCATCCCGGCGTTTGGCGAGACGACACAGTTTGAACATATCAAGAAGCATTATACCAAGAGCCACAAGCAGATAAACCCGTTTGGAATCACGCCGGTCGGACCTGTGCCGGATATTCTGAAGGAGGACGAAGAGGTCGGTGCGGTGGTGAAGAAGTGAAGAAGCAAGCGACGCAATGCGGGCGTGAGAGTAATGGCCATTGGATACCCGGGTCTCCGTGAACGAGGTCACAGGGGAGATGAAGAATTGCCCAAAAGAACATATATTGGTCAAACGAAGGTTTTCTGTGGCCGGAACTTGATAGGCGGAAAAAATCTTGTGACCGTGCAACTTCTGCGCTATTCAAGCGACGCCGACGGTCGACTACAGGTGAGGACCGCATTTCACATGGCCGTTTTCGAAGGAGAAACAAAATGGCGAATCAACAGCCAATAAAACTCCCACCACTCCTATCCATGTCACTATCGTCCCTTTATTCCCCTATCTTCCCGTCTCTCCATCTCCCACTCTCTCTTTCTCTCTCAGTTATTGGCACTTGTGATCGCCGCCATGGTCCCAGCCATGACCGCGGGATTATTCGTCTTCTGACTCTCAACCTTCCTCCTCCAGTCCTCGATCTCGGCAAGGGCGCTGACGACGACCTGGTCGAAGAGATCCTTGTCCAGCCCGGGCCGCCAGATCTCGATCCGGCCGCTGCGCAACTTGTCGTGCAGTACCACCGTGCAGACAGTGGCGCCGGTGCGGTCGGCGCACTTGAGGTCGGCCTGCTTGTCGGTGCCGTGGGTGAGGGTCCAGAACAGCCGGCCGAGGGTGGTGGTTGCGGCGGCGGCACTGGACCCCACGGGCTCGAAGCTGTCCTTGTACGTGATCTGCGCCCCCGTGCTCGAGAAGGCCAGGTCGATCTTGCTCGACCACGTGTGCCAGTTGACCGTGGCCAGCTGGGCCCCCGACGCCGTCGCCACCACTCTGATGTCCGGCTCCGACGAGTACACCAGCGGCCGGCTGTACGTGGCGATGTACGTCGGCGTGTTAGACCCCACTGGCGTCAGGGAGGAGGTGTGTTTCTGCGACGTCGGTTGGAAGAGCAGCGTGTAGGGTCCGCCGCCGCTTCCTTGTTGTTGTTGTGGTGGTGGTGGCTGAGGCATGGGAGGGGCATATTGGTAGCCCTGGTTCGGGGGAGGGTACCCTTGAGTTGCATATCCCTGGGGGGAAGGGTAGCCCGGTGGCGGGGAGTATTGTGGTGGAGGATATCCTTGGGACGAATATCCCTGTGGCTGTTGTGCATAGCCCGGTCCAGCCCAGCCCTGCGCTGCCAGCGCGGGTTCGAGCTGTTGGTAAGGGCTTGATGGTCTGCTTCCTCTCCCTGCTCCTTGAACTGGTGGGTAGAGCTGTGGCTGTGGCTGCGGTGTATATTGGCCCGCGGGTGGGGAGTATGGCGACGGCTGGCCGTACGGGTATTGCTGCGACATTGGTGCTGTGTTTGTCTGCTTCTCTTCCGTTGTCCGCTGCTTTCGTTTTCAAAAGAAGAGATAGGCGGTGCACCCACCCTCCAATACCGGGACCTGTTGTTTCAATGGGTGAACGGAAAGCAGTGTCGTATGTTTTGAATGCGAGAGGGAGAGAGAGATACCAACCAACCCACTCACTCACTCAAGAGGTTCTGGATTGGGATATATATCGCATATATGGCATAAATGGCAACTCCATCCATCCACCCGTCCACCTACCCACCCCGTAACCGCCGCCGCCATCGGTAGATCAACTGCTGCTGTATTTTAGTAATCCCAGCAAAGTCGCAGGACCTCGCCATCGAAACACGGGGTCCTTTTGGTTTTGGACCGTGTGATCTTCGAGGCGTCCGTCCCTCTTTTGCCCGTCATATATTTGAGCAACTACCCGATGCGGTCTAAGGAGCTAGTAGCAACACGACGGCGCGCTGGGGAAAGGGGTGGGCAATGCCTCGTTTGAGGAATCCTGCAGGCATTTACAGTAGTGCCAACATTGCGGGAGGGAGGGTTGGGTTTTTGTGTGTCCATTCATGGGTCTGGTGCAGCACAGCACAGCACACCAAGTGTGATCCTTTCATTTCGTTTCCTCTTGCGCCTGTGTTCTTTACTCGTCCGTCCGTGGTCGACCTGACACCATGGTGAAATCTCTGCCAGGAATCCAGTCATCACTGCTATCCAGGACGAGGACGACGTGGAAGCATATCTTCACCGCTTCTCCCTTCTTTCCTTCCCACACGGCTAGTCTCAGTCTCATGCTTTTGAGCAATATCCAGCCAGCCAGCCACTTTTCAATCAATCAGCAATTGTGTCCGTACGTGGCCCGGTGCTACATACATATTGGGTGGGGGAGAGAGAGAGAGAGAAAACAACGCAACCGCCCTGAGAATAACGTGTCATTTCAAGCTGACGGAGGTATAGTAGACGAGATGCAATGCAGCTGCTGTCCAGGGGATGCGAGGCGTTGACGCTCTTGACTTTGGGGCGCCAGGCTGCCAATTAAAAGAGGCGAGAAATCCCGCTGGTACAAGCGGCGGGAGGTTTTTCCCATTAAGGGTCGAACGTAGGTACTGTACAGTAGGTAGGGTGTGTTGGGCTGGAGACAATATTACACACAACACACATTAAGGTCAAAGAAGGGAATTGCGGACATGTTCTTTGAATCAGGCATTCATTCTTTGTCAATGATCGAATTCAACGTTCAGAACTATTCTTTAATATTCCATTCAGATGTCACTTGTCGGTGCACCCCATAAACGATCGTCGCAGCTCACACTCTCTGTCCAACCAACGCCATCCTTTACGCAGTAACCAACAGTAGCCGACCAACAACCAAAACCGCCATCAAAACCCTCTGTCGCAAATGTCCTCGTAGTGTCACAAATGGCTGAAACATCCGGCACACATCCTCAAGCCTACCAAACCTTTTTTTTTTACTCCCAGATTTGTTGATCGTCTTACCACGACGTCCCTTCTATGGTTCTCTTTCCCAGCTATACCCCCATCATCTTTGTGGCCTTTTGATCCTCTTCTGGCGGTGTGCCCTTCCATCCGCGTATGTAGAATCAGAGATGGCTTTCTTAAAGAAAAATGCCCATTGGTCTGCATAGTCCATGCACTCCCCAATGAACCTCGTAGGAGACGGTGGAGATGAGCAATGACACCCCTGTTCCATCATGATGGTCACCTCGGCGACCTCGGCATCTTTCGACAGTATTGATTCCGCAGATGGTGAGATGGAGAGATCTTCCTTCGCAAACTCTTGCTGCTTGGCTTGGGAGGGCACTGGCGCGCCCTTGGCTCGGAGTAACTCCTGCGAAGAAGGCAGGCGACCAGTCTTGGATTTGAATGCCAACAGCGCGACAACCGTCCTCATTCTCTCCAAAATGCCCAGCTCTCTGATAGAGCAGTAAGCGGGAGCAAGGTCCCCTATGAGCACTCTTTCGTACATATCCCAGCAATGTTTGTCGAGAAGGGCGCGCACAACCGCCGAGTCCACAGCAACCTCGCCGTTCAGGTCACTGCCTTGCAGCAAAGGCATCAAGATGAGACCCTTCGCCCGTGCATAAGGCCCGTCACCCAAACAGTTCAATTGGGGCATGCCCCTGAACGCAAAGTGTTCCCAAGAGAAGCCCAACTCGGGTGACCTCTCGTATCCGAAGAAATACGGCTCCTTCTTCATGGCGAGGCACAGAGGAAGGTCTCCAAGTCGAGCCATTTCCATTCTCCGGAAATTGTACCATACATGGACCAGTTCGTGCACCAGCGTGATGGCTAGAATGAGTTTCATCATGTTCTTGACCTCATCTGTAAATATGTCATAGTGGTAGTGGGTAAAGAATGTTGTGAATTTCGTGTTGAGCTGCACAACGATGGTTGCCATTTGTGGCGTGGAATCGTTTGGGTATGTCCCGTAGTGAGTCGTTCCATACGAGTCCTTGCGGCTATCCTCGTGATAGCCAGTGAAGAACTGCATATTGTAGAGGTCATTCATCATAGCTGGGAACCTTTGGGATCCAAGCTCAAATTGCTCATGACGATTATATCTTATTATCTCGTCCCCATACACAAATTCTCCGAAGAAGAGGATGTTGAAGAATTCCGACGTCATCTCTATGAACCGTGTCGCTAGCACAAGCGCAGGCCGGATGCGGTCGTAAAATATGTCGTCGATACTATATTTGGGGTCGAGCCAAGTGTCGATAGGTTTCGCAGGTCCGCGGACGGAGTCTAGCCGGCTGAACTTGGATTTGTTGAAGATTGCATATATGTGGCCGTCGGGATGCGGAGGTTGAGGCGTATTGCACATGTCTTCGTGTCTTGCAGAAAAGACCTGTTTCCAGACTTCCCGACCAGGGTCCAGGAAGCAGTCTGGAGCTGAAAACCCAACCATGCTGGCGACAAGTATTATAGGGGCGCGGGGGCGCGCTTTCGCCTACTCCTTGGAGGGCTCAGGGTCTCGCGAGAGTCCAGTTGTTCTTGTTCGTTTGTGTGGCGACTTTTGCTCTATAGCACCCAATGCCGAACGTGGGTTCTGCTGTGAAATGAGAGGTATTTCGAGCGGTCGGTTGCCCAGAAGGGAGGTTCGGTAGGAGTGTGATGTCCAATGCTGCAAAGATTGGGATTCGAGTCATGCGAGCGACTGTTGTTTGTTCTAATGAGTGACTGTGCCTGGTATCCCAACGAAAGATGACTTTCTGAGGAAACTAGTCACAAAAATGGTGAGCAAAATAGTGAGTCTGTCTGGCGAGGTGAACGCGGGCAGGGTGAATATACATATATATGCGGTCGCGCACAAAGCAGGGGGAAAATCATTGTATTGTTCCAGTGGTCTTCGACAAAGAACCTTCGGTGCTTCTGTTCCATATCGAACAACATGGATTGATTGGGTACCAAAAAGTTGTCCAAGACTTTATATTTCTCAAAATACCGGCGGGTCCATCATACCACTGTATGGCTGTAACTGGTATCGTGGTATCATGCCGGATGGACGCTGTACGGTAGGTAAAGGTAATGAGTGGTAGAGATGGCTGTGTTGTAGGTGGGTCGTGGCTGCCATGGCCTAACACCGTCGAAGGACCGGCTGAACTTTCGGAGGCAGAGTGGCCGGTCCGTAGGACGTAGTATCTGGCAGATCATCACCGGTTTCTATTGGAGGCGTGGCCGTGTCGGAATGATAGCGCTCAATGCGCCATCCATGCGATCCTGGGTGGTGGCCAGCCAAAACCGCCTTTTCAGACACAGGGTTTGATTTGTCCGACGAAATAAGTGGCACACTTCTGCCTCGCGCAACAGGCAAGACGCCCGACCACGAGCAGCAGGAATCGTCAAAAGACAAAGCCAGGACTACGTGGAGAGAGTGAGCATGAGCCAGGCTTTCGTTGAGGCGAGAAGAGTTGGGACGCATTATCTCTCCGGGAGAAAATTTTGCTGCGTGTGACAGCATCGGTCGGACAAATTGAAATTGGTCATCGTTCAAATCATCCGGCGGTTCGACGAACGTAACAGGTTGCCGCCAGGTATGAGTGAAGAAGCCGCGAAGTGAGATCCCAGGCATATAAAGACGGTGGTCCGTGCGGGTTTCAGCAGCAAACAATACAATACGCTAGCGTGCAAGGCTCTTTGTTCCTTTGGGCGATGCAACTTTCGTCCCACAGTGCTGCAATGATTCGTTCAACCGGATTTCGAACGGCGAGTTCACACGGCTCCATCCGCTTCCTCTGTCGACACTGGACATCGATCTATCAAGGCTGCTCGCTGCCGTTGCTCGTCTCTTCAATTCCGGCTTCGTCGCCCTTTCGAGGTGCGGGTTTCGCTTTGATATTTTTCCATTCAACCCCAAGAGCAAGCATAAATGCTACGATGGCCGACGCCATCGAGGCATACTATCCGATTTTTATTAGCTCATACCCTGTGTAAAGAAACGAGAGGTTTGCTCTACGGCGGTGTGCAGAACTTACAAACACATTCGTGATTGCTTTGTTGTATGCCCAAAGGACACGCTCCAGCTTCTCAGGGAATGAATTTATTGTCGTCTTGCGAGCGTGGCCCGATCCAGCATTCAGTAACTGCTGCACTTGGTTGTTGTCCAGGCCCGCACGCTGCTTGAGCGACTTGACAAGTTGATTCTGAAAAATTGCCAGGGCAATGCTCTGAAACACGGAAGCTCCGAAGTACTGAAAGAATGCCACGGTCGATATGCCGACAGGTATCTGTTGAGGTTTTGACGCTAGGACGGCTTGGACGGCAAGAAGTGGTCCCTGCATAGCTACTCCGCCAATGCCCTGGAAGACCAGGAAGGTTATCCATTTTGCGTGCGGTGTCGAAGTGGTAAGAGATGTGTAGAGTCCTGACGCAATGGCCATGAAGCTGATGCCGATAAAAAACCAGGGGTTATACCAGCCGGTACGATTAACTAGACAAGAATCAGCCCTTGTAACCTAACCAAAATCCGGGTATCGGGAATGCGCTCACTGGTTAACCCTGAAACAGAGGCAGCGACGATTTGAGTACAAACCGCTGGAAGAGTCATGACACCGCTATGGAGTGGACTAGCCCCCTTGATCACTTGGAACCATTCAGGCATGTAGTAGATGTTGACGATGTACGCACCAAACATGAAGCTGCTGAACAGGCAGCTCAGCAAAATCGAACGCTGGAAGAGGATGGAGAAGGGGATCATGGCCTTGTCGGCTTTCCGATGCTCCCAGACGAGGAAGAGCGTAGCAGAACCAGCAAAGCCGCATAGGAGTCCGATCACCGTGGCCGACTTCCAGGGATACTGGTGGCCCCCCCACTGTAGTGCCAGAAGAGCCATGACGATGGTTGGCATGAATATTGCGCAGCCGATGATGTCAATGTTCAGTATCCTCTCTCGCAAAGGTGCTTTATCGGAATTTCGAATGGGAGGCTTGAAGAACAGAGCCAACGCGACCAGCGTTACCGCCCCAATAGGTAAATTAATGAAAAAGCACCATCTCCACGATACCTTCGTTGTCAAAGCTCCTCCAATGATGGGACCTGTGATTGTGGCCACTCCAAACAGTGAAGTGAAGCCGGCAGTGTAGAGCGCACGTTTGGAGAGTGGGGTGACGATGGCGAGGATGGACAGACAGCCAGAGAATATGCCTGCGCCCCCAGTCCCAGCGATAGCTCGGCCAAGGATGAACATGTTGGAACTAGCAGCTGCACCGCAGAGTAGGGAACCCAGAAGGAAGATGGAGACGAAGACGAAGAAGGTCCATTTGAGAGAAAAGTTGGCATACAGCTTTCCAGATAGAGGCTGCAACGAGCAGAGGCACAGAGGGTAAGCTGCTCCATACCAACCGATGGCCGTGGTAGAGTTGAACTGAACTGTAATCGTCGGGATCGCCTGCAGCGCACCATTAGACGTGAGAAAAACGTTAGAGCAGCAGAAGGGGATAAACATACGGTAGATATGACTGCAATATCCAGAGCAAACAAGTAAATGGCCAGACCGAGGCCACCGAGAACAAGGAAGAGTCTTGAGCCGGTCAAGTGGTGAGCCGTCTCCGATTCTGTGGTCTTACTGGCGTCCTGGGCACTCGCGATGGTGTCAACATTCTCTGTAACTGGCACTGTCACTGCGATGGCTTGCTCCGGTTTGTCTGGTTGAAGCATGTCGTCGGAGGCCGAGAAGCGCTTCGTTGTGACAGTGAAGAGGTCTTGGAACAAACCTCAGCTGCGAGTGTAAGACCAAGACGAATTGTCGTAGGCGGTGGAGGGATCTGGCAGCAGCTCTATAGAAGCAGGAGAGTGAGAGTTCGAGGTCTAGATATATGCGGGTTGCTGTCTCCCTGACTGAGTCCATCTCGAGCATCGTACCGGCAACAGTCTGGGGCGGGAGCGGTGTTAGCAGAAAGACGCCGGGAAAATGGCGCCATCTTCTTTTGAGAAATCAACATGACAGGCACGGATTAGATGTTTGCATAATTAGTGATCAAGGAACAGACACGGGCAAAGAGAGAAGAGGCACCGCGCGAGAAGTGAAGTGAAGTCAAGTATCGACACGGACTCAAGACGGCACCGGACAGAAAACGGCCCGTTCATCTACGCCATCTGATTGGCGGTACGGGCCACAGCGCGTCTATCACGTGAGTTACAGCTCCACCGCATTTCCCCTGAACGGAGATATTTGACTCCTTTCCCGCTCCCCCCAGCGGCCTGAGGTATTTATCCTGGGGACATTCCCGTTCCCGTTCGCCTCGTTCAGAATTAGGCGGCAATGAATCATTTCGGCTTCTCTGGGACAAAACGGAAGGCATGTGTTCGATGTGCCAAAGCCAAAGCGAAATGTTCCTTCAGTGGTGGACAGGAAGTCTGTGACCGCTGCCGGAGGCTGAGGCGGGACTGTCTCCATGAAGATGGCCCCCGACGGCCGAAGGAGAGGCAAGCCACGTATGTCAGTCTGCAACTCTGCCGGGACAGATCTAAATGAGCAATAGGAGGATCAAAGCACTTGAAGAAAAGGTCAACAGTCTCCTCACCTTGCTCACTCCAGACAAGAATGTCGTTGTCGTTGGTGGCACGAATGCTACGATCTTAACCACGACGCCAGCACCGACAGAGGAAGAGAGCAGTGACCATGTGCAGAGCATCCAGTCTTCGGCCCCGTCCTCCACAGAAGAGGGCAGACAATTCGATGTGATCGACAGTGGCATCCTGACCATGTCAGTCGCCGACACCCTCCTCCAAACTTACAAGCGAGTTCACACGAAAGTTTTCCCTTTCGTCGTTGTCGCACCAGAGACCGATGCTGCTACACTGCGAAGGGACAAGCCGGTCCTCTTCCTGGCCATAGTGACGGCGTGTTTCGAAGCAGAGCACATGGTTCAGAGACGACTCGGGGCCGAGTTGAAGAAGATCATCTCTGAACGCGTGCTGGTCAGGAACGAGAGGAGCCTCGAAATCTTACAGGCGCTGCTTGTGCACCTGAGCTGGATCCATTACCACTTCAATCCCCTGGCGAAAAACTCCTTTATGCTTCTCCAGATGGCGATCGCCCTGGTCATGGACCTTGACCTTGACCGGTGCCCTGCGCACCGTGATCAGAGGATCGGAAGTATCTTCTGTAAGCTGAATGCGGAGGGCAACTTGCCGACACAGTGTCAGAGGTCGACAGCCGAAACCCGTGCCCTTCTGGGCTGCTTCTACCTCTGCTCTTCGTGAGTACCGCGCTCTGGGTTCTTGCTCAGCTGATCTCACGCAGTCAAGCATGGCGATGACGCGCAAAGAGCTGCTCATGAGGCATACCAACTGGATTGAACACTGCTGCCACGTCCTTCAAGCCGAGCAGGAGTGCCCCACAGACGTATATGCCACGGCGTTCGTCGAAGCCAAACACTTGGCGCAACGCATCGGCGAGAGATTTTCGTACAGCGAACATGCCTCGATTCGATTCCAGAGCGACGCGGTGGTCCAGATGTCCTTGAATGGCTTCCGGAAGGAGGTCGCCGACCTGGAAGCGAGGCCTGGCTTCTCATCCATACAAGACAATTGTGAGTGCGGTGTCACCCGTCAACACCGGCGGGGTATATATATATATATACACTGGCGAAAGAGATTCCACTAACCACGCTGCGTCGTTGCGAACAGATTTGCTCATGGCCGAACTGAAAGTCCTGCCCATCATCATGCACGAGGTGGCGCTGTACCGCGACCTGAGCACGACGGCGCACTCGACGACGGCCAACACGGCCTCGCAGCTGTGGGAGCTGCTGACCGCGACGCGGGCCTTCCTGGAAGATTTCCTGAGCGTGCCGGGGCCCGCGCTGCGCCACCTGCCGGCGGCCTTCTTCAGCTTCTCGGCGTACGCGCTGATCGTGCTGTCGACGGTGGCGCGCCTGCCCTCGACGAGCGGGTGGGACGGGGCGATCGCCAAGCGCGAGGCGGACGTGCTCGACATGGCGCAGCGCGCCAAGGTCAAGTTCGGCGACGAGCTCACCCGGACCGGCGACCGCGTGCCCACCGACCAGAAAGACGTCTGGGCCTACTTCACGCGCGGCATGGCGGGCCTGATGGCCTGGCACGAGCGGTGTGAGAAAGAAAGTGAAGGCGCGGCGGCAACAGCAGCAGCGGGAGGAGAAGCACGCGGAGAGCCCGACTACGAGCTCCCAATCAGCCAGTCGGGTCAGCCCTTGACCTCGAGGTGCGCCATGGCCGACGTGATGACGCCGTTCAACGACCTGCGAGTCCGTAAGCGCGTTGAGCCCGGGCCGGTAGGACAGCAGCAGCAGCAGCGGCCCCCGCAGGTTGATCCAGGGGGAACTGCACTCGGTGGCGGCGGCGCTGAGGGGCAGCCCACAGACATGGTTAGCGGTTTTTGGGACGACGAGGTGTGGCAGTCCATCATGGACGAGTTCTCCATGTTCCCCACGACGGCAGGCTTTCCCGCCGGATCGAGCGCGCAGTATCAGGGAGAACGATTCCGGCAGTGAGTTGAAAGAATATGAAATTATAATGCTACGCAATATATGTCTGTTCTGTCGCAACCATCATCATTACTCATCAAAGAGGAACGATCCTATAAGTTCCCCCACGATCTGACGCCTCAGCAACCGTATACCTCACCACCCGTTCTCCCGTCACCTTGACGATATCATCCGCCAGCCCGCTCCGGGGGTGTGCTGGGGCGAAGGCTGGCGCCTGGAACGCGTTGGCCACCTCGATGGGGTTCAGCGTCACCTTGCGGCCCAGCTCCCAGAATCCCCAGTACGATGGCAGGACGAGCAGGACACAGACGAGTGTCGAGGCCAGGGCACCGAACATCCACCCGTATTTGGTCTGGTAATACACCTGGGGTTTGCGCTGAGTGGCTTCGACGTATACCCTGCTGGCGTTTGACCACACGTCCCAGTCCACCTCTGTATCCACGTAGCCCGGTCGGTTCCAGAGATCTTCGGCCGTGAGAAAGGTCAGGGTGTTCAGGCCCACCATGAGGTCCGTCATCGGATCGGGATACGTGTAAGGGCAGCCCTGGGTACTGTCGGATTCTTCTTCCGTGCCGGAAAACTGCCCCGTCGTGGAGAGGTACCAGTTGTAGTCCTTGTCGTCGCTCATGGTGATTAACGATGCAGTGGCTTTGTAGCGATCTGACAATGCGCGGGTGAACCCGCCCGTACGAGTTTCGCCCAGGCTCGTCGGTCGCCATGATGTAGCATTCGAAATCCACCACTGGAACTCAAATCCCGGGATTTGGCCTTTGCTGTAATCGAAGTAATCGGTCGCGGGAATCAGCGTTCCAAAATCCGGGTCAATGGTCCCGAAATACACATTTGTCTGTGAAGTCGTGTCGTTCGCTTCCGAAGTGGTGCTGTTGGCCAACTCCAGGTAGAGGGGATACTTTAGCATCGCCTCTCTCAGCTCGCACTGCTTTGTTTTGATCTTGACCGGGCACATCTGTGACGGGGTCTTCGTCGCCTCGTCGTCTTCATAATAATACGTCAAGTTGAGGCCGATCCAAGTATAATTCTTCGCTGCCGTGGGAAAGGTGGTGTTGAAACTGAGGCTGAAGACTTCGGTTTCGACAGTGGCATGGGTCTTGTTGGGGCCAACGTGTGCCGCAGCTTCGCCGATCAGATCCACACGTTGCGTCTGAACATGGTCGTCGAGACATGTAGCGATATACCCAGGGGCAAGGACAGTAAGGTTGCAGATGCCGTCGCACTCGGTGAATCCATTGGGTTGGTAGGGCTGGGCATAAGCAGAGTTAGCCCAACTGATAATATCACCGGTGAACGCATAGTTCAAGATCCTCGTGTCGTTCGCCGCAGCGTTCAGCATGGCAGTAACTGGCAACTGCGGCGTGGGAAACGTCGTGATGTTGACCGGGTGTTCAGGTCCTAGTTTGAGGTACGTGCTGGTGGAGCGTTGGAAGAGGATACCGTCAATGATGGTAAGCTTGGTGACGATGGCTGCAAGAGCGGCGATGTTGAAATACTTGACGTTCAACACAACAGACGCAATGCTGCTTCCAAACGCCCAGGTATTGTGCAAATCCGCGATTGTCGCGCCTTTCAGTGCTCTCCTCCACCAGGACACGGCAATGCCCTGTGCCACGGCGATGGCGATACAGACGCTGGCACCGCTGTTGCATACGGACAAGACGACGTTGGGAGCCATCTTCTGCGGCCACGATGAGACAGGTCTGTCGTTGGACTCTTTCAAAACCACAATCGCTACGATCGAGAAGACCACGACCATGACGAGGCATCCGAAGCCGACCCAGGGAAATCGCTTGCGGAATCCCGGTTGCCATTGCTCTGCGGGCGTCAAACCTGAAGAGTCTGGCACAGGTCCATCGCGGCTGCTCAGCGACGGATTGACTTCGACGACTGAAACGCCAACGGGAGGAGGTTCAAGCTTGTTGTCGACGGGAGACATGGGCGGCGACATGATTGCTCAATTGGCTCGCTCTTGGGTCGATGGACTCGATGTTGTGTGCGAAAAAACAAGGTCGAACAAGCTTTCTGGGAACGTCTTCTTGTTTTGATATGTGAAAGACAATGGCGACTCCATGTCCTCCTGATTCGGTCCACTGTCTCCTTTCCACCGCCGGCCACGCAGCCCTCGGCGTCTGCCGGCTTCCTCAATCGGCATCACATTACCAGATATAGGGTACGGCACACGTGGGCCAGGCAGACTAATTTGAAAGGACGGCCAATAACGATTGTTGTCATGAAGAGGCGCTCATAGTTTGCAGCTGTGAAATGACAACATGTGGGCAGAAAGGCCCAAATAGTCCGGTCTCGACAACTCTAGAAGCATTGATGGCTTGCGAGCGGGTGAGTAGGCGAGCGGCTTTCCACCGGTGGCTGCCATGAGACCCAAATAGTAGGAGACAGAAGTACAATAGATGTGTGTGTGGGACATGAAAAGGAGAGACAATAAAGACTCACAAACACCCAGTAACGGTCTGTGGCACTTTATCCTCCAGCTGAGTCTCAGCCCCATCAACACCAACACTCCACATTCAAACTCGTTTAAACACGTTCGGAAGCGAGACTGGTGGCTTCGGCTGGCGCCCCACGGGGCTACTGAATGATAGAGCAGCCACAGGCGCTGGTCACATTGCCGTCGACGCCACGGCCCACAGACGGTTTCGGCCAGACCGGACTGGCTCCATTATCGTTCAACCGAGATACTCCTACCTCCTGTACACCCAGAGACTGTGCTCGACAAAAAAATAGAAGCCACAGCGAGTGCCGGTGCCAACCGTGTACCTATCCTCGCTATGTCCTTATCTCTTCGTACGAGATACTGAGTCGTCCATAACCTGTTTCCGAGAAAAATTTTCGCAGGGTTAGTCTTGTCTCATATCTATCTGTCCTGCCCGTTGAGCTCCACCAAATGTCGAACAATATCAAAAACCCCACCATTGTCTGCCGCGTCTTCGCCTTCGAGGTGGCCAGGAGAGTCGATCCGCCTCCTCAGCTCGTCGTCCAACAATGCCCGTAACCGTGAGGCCAATACACCGATCCTGGCCCACCCCTTCAACTTCACCCACCCATCTACTACAACCCCTCGTCCTTGTGTATCGACCTCGAGTGGCCCACCAAACAGCAACAGGCCGTATGGGTTCAACGGCGTCAAGTCCCGGATGAACGTCTTGCTCGTCTCCATCTTGGTGAAGTAACTCACAAAGCTGGCGTTGCCAGAGAACCCTTGGGCGTCGAAAAGAACACTGCTCGGGTGCACAAACACTCTTCCATTTTCCTCGTTGAAGTATTTTATTGTTTTGGCGTCCGGGTCGAGTTCTTTCGCACCGCTCATGGACGCGATGTATTTCTTGTCCGGCATCTGGATGCGTGCAATTTGAGGACTTAGCGCTCCCGCGACTATGGCCCGTAGCAGCATGAGGTTGCCCTTCTGTCGGTTGTAGGGGGATGAATCACCGTTGTAAGTGGTAGGTAGCAGGCCAGCCTCGATCAAGGAATCGAGAAGCTGCTGTCGAGTTGACTCAATGTCGCGGAGAGTTTGGAGAGACAAGAATTTCGACGAACACCAATTCTGCACATCCTTGTATCGCGACGTGGCAGACAGCTCTTTCCACAGCTCGAATGCTCGGTAGTCGACAATCAGGTCGCCGTCCGAGGCGGTCATGGACAATCTCGCCTCCTTCGCCTCGTCTCTTTTGTCGCGCGGCGAGAAAAACGGGCTCTTTGTCGCCAAGATGGCAGCAATTGTCAAACAAGCCTCGGTACAGTCAAATAAAACGCCGTAGACGAGCAGTTTCGCGCATCGCAGGTCAGCAGGGATCATCGCCAAGTAGTTCCCAAGACCGGTCAAGCGATCATTCTCCAACGCACCCATCCGACGCAAGGTCTTTAGTGCGGTAGCGACAGCCCGTGCATCCGGCGGCGAGATAGTGTTTGCCAGAAACTCCTCCACATTGCGAGCCGAACCAGTCGCTTTGACGGAAAGACACAGCTGCTCCAATGGCATCCTGAGCATCTCTGGTGCAGGGGAGGCTGCCATGGCGGCTTCTACGTTCCTCGTAAAGAGTTTGTAGCATTTCCCCGCCCGAACTCTGCCTGCACGGCCACGGCGCTGTTTACAGGCAGCCTGGGAAGCCCAGACCTCTTCAAGGCGCACGATATTCGTGACCGGGTCGTAGTTAGTCTCTTTGACCTTGCCTGAGTCGACCACCGCCACGATGTCTTCGATAGTGATTGATGTCTCGGCAACATTCGTGGCGACAACCACTTTTCTTTTGCCTGGCGGAGGCTGTCTGAATACTAGCCGCTGCTCGGCAGGCGTCAGAGAAGCATGGAGCGGTAGACCATGAATATTGGGCAAGCCGGCCAATGTCCTGAGACAACGTTCGATCTCCAAAGTGCCGGGCATAAAGATGAGAATACCGCCGCTTGAGCTGCCCAATTGCATGTCAATATCTCGTACGAGAGAAGCGATCAACTGGTAGTTGATGCCCATTCCTAGGCTCTGGATCGCCTTTCCCACAGCAGGCTCATCGTCCGAGTCTTGCTGCGGATCTCTTTTCTCATTTCCCACGAGCCGGACAACGTCGTCCAGGTAATAGTCCTCGACCGGATACGTGCGACCCTCGATATGGACTCTGCCAACGCCATTGCCACCAAAGTAGTCGGCGAAGATGTCAGCGTTGAGTGTGGCACTCATCAGGACAATCCTCAGACGAGGCAAAGAGGGTAAAGCCTCACGTAGCAAGGCCAAGAGAAAGTCCGTATCCAGAGACCGTTCGTGGACTTCATCAATGAAGACGTGGCTGACGTTCGCCAGGGCAGAGCTAATACTAGATGAGCCCTGCAGGCGGCGAAGGAGCACGCCGGTGGTCTGGAAGGTGATTTTAGTCTTTGAAGAGACCTTCGACTCTCCTCGGATGATGTATCCCACTTCCTGGCCTTCCCGGTCACATCGCTCCGCGCTGACACGCTCGGACAATGACAGAGCAGCGACTCTCCTGGGTTGCGTGCAGATGATGTTTAGGGAAGAGCCTCGCATATTCTCGATTGCGTTATCCAGGATAAACTGGACCGCTTGGGTACTCTTCCCAGAGCCGGTCTCTCCTGTAATGAGAGTCACCTGCGATTTGTCAACCACGTTCGTGATTTCCTCTTTTCTGGACCATGCCGGCAGACGCTGCCTTGCTGAATTCATTGTCCGTTGAGTTGCCGAGCTCTGTCGCGTTCTCCAAGCTTCGAATATTGCTTGGCTGGATCGATTGTCCTTCATGTATACTTTTCCCATTGTTCTTGCCGGTTTGGAATCATGCAACGTTGCATTCTGGGTCACCGCGAACATCCTTCCCGCTGGCGAAGGTGTTATCTCCAAGTCACCTAGCCTTCCAGGATTGTCGATGATGCTTGGTATCGAGCTCTCTAACCATTCCAATAAACTGAATATCATCGAGTCGCCAAGCAGTTGCTCCTGTGCATATATGAGCGCTCTCTTGGTTGCACTCAGGCGAATGTAACTCGGTATTTGGGGTGCTTCAATTGAAATAACAGGCGACCTGTTTGGATAGCCGGAGCTTGGACGACGAAAGTGAAATGTGGCTGAGATCTTTGAGTTGGGATCTGCCTGGATTGAACATCGATTTGCACCAGACAGCTTGAATCTCCTGTCAAGTATAGCTTCTAACGCAAGCATTTCTTCGTCCCAAAGGTGCGCGTTGCTTTCTATATCCGCAACCAGCTCGACCTCGGATGGTACAAGACGTGACTGTAGAGCCTCTGATGCCAGAGCCTCGTCACCGTCGTTGTCACGTAGGGCTTGAAGACAGAGCTGGCTAGGGTAGCCTCCTTGGCTCAATCGCCTCATCTTGGCATCCGTTGCAAGGTCGCTACTGACGAGAGTGATTCCTGCATTGTAACCGGGGGGGAAGCTCCACGCAGGTAGGCAATCTTCGGGAACATGAATGAGGAGCCATTCTAACACTTCTTCCCGTGTGCCACAGTTTGCGAGGGCTTCTTGGACGTGGGAAGGTTGAAAGCCAGATCGGGATAGGTCGGACGCGATATTATCCCTGTCCACCTTGGAGATTTTAAGCCTATTCTGGTTCCAGATGCTTCGAGACCTGATGAACGACTCAGTCCGTGTGCGAGCCTCCGGTCCCAGCTCCAGTCGCGGTGCTCGATCCCAGGCTTTCGACGCAACGTTATCGGAGCCCGAACCAGGCAAACCTGACATTACAATCTTGGGAGGTTGCCGCGCTTCGTCTTGTTTTCGCTTTTCTAGCGCAGCCTTGATCTCTTGACCCTTGGCTTCCGCGGCAAACGGGTCTGCCTCATATTTCCACGCCCTACCTTCTTTGATATCTTCTTCCTTGAGACGTTGGAAGTCACCCTTCCAGAGATCCCGGTAGGTTGGAGGCAATGCCATCGCCAAATTCTTCATGCTAGACACGCGAAACAAAGCATAAGCCGCTGCGAAATGGCGAGCTTCAAGCGCTGTTGGCTGGTCTGCGAGATGGACGTGACTCGGAGGGAGATGGAATGGGGGAACTTTTGTGACGGAGCCCGTCTTCGGATCCGTTTTCGATAATACAACCCACGATCGGTGAAGTTTGTCTGCACCGCCTGCTGCAGGAACTTGACGGCCCTGGTACTCGGGCTTGTTCCACTTTTCTCGCTGACAATGCTCAGATAGCAGATTGACAGGCAATTTGCCGGTCCATGAAGCGCCTCCGATGATCTTTTTCACGTCGGGGCGGGGCGGGGCTGGGTCGGAATCTTTCGGCTCCTGTTTCTTTTTGTCGTTTTTCTGCTTAGTGAATACTATATGTTCACTGTCGGGAACGACTGGTGTTGCCTTCTTGTTACTCTTGCCGGAGGCAGAGCCTTTCTTTGGCGCCATATGTGTCAAATTTCCAACGTGGTGGCTTCACACAGCCCCTCAATTTAACGGCCCAATAGCATGCGGTGTCCGTCAGAGGCTTGTTTCTGACCGCCCTTACCGTCAGCCCGACTTCCAAGATGTTCAGCGAGCTCTGGGACCTTGCGGCAATGCAGTTTCACAAGCAACGTGTCGGAACACAAGAACTGATATGGTACACTTTGCCACGGCAAATCTCCATCTTCTACTGTGTCCTGCTGAAAGTCAGGATCCAAAAAGGGGCGTAGTTGATCGAAAGAGGGCACAGCTTCTCGCCGATGTTGTCGATGGCAAACAAGGAGAAAATTATGTCTGTTCTCGGAAGACTTACCCGAAAGGGCTGTCGAGGGGAGGATCCCATCAGGCTGCCGCCCAGCCTTGTCTAGCGGTGATCGGCCCCTTTTCGACAGCCTTGCCCGGTTTGGGGAATAATTCAATGGTTCGTGGAGAATTAGTTGTGTTTGCATTCACTCAAGGTAGCATCTGCATTATCTGTTCCAGTGCATGAGCTTGTTGCCTGATGATTACTGATCCCACTCTATCACCCCGAGCAACCCGGTGCTATGTCTAACATTGTGGTCTCCGCCACGTCGCTCTCCAAAGCCGATCACAAGCTCCGACAACGACGATGATGATGTCCATGAATCGTTCCAATATTCCTACAGGAGACCGAGAGAAGGGCCCTCTCAGCATCCCTGTTCTCCGAGTCACTGTGCCGTGAATGCCAATTACTTTGTCATAAATTCGTGTTTCCTCGTCAATGATTCCCCTCGAATATTGAGAAGCTCTAATCCCGGCCGAAGTGAATACTGACAACCAATCTTGAAGCTCGTTTCGACTGGATGGCGCGAGGCTTCTGCAGCTGAGAGTTGATGATGTGCGAGTCTCTCCGCTTGAAGATGCCGAAAATCTGCCTCTTACGGTAGACAACTGCTTGCCTCCGAATTTGGCTTTGAATTATGAGTTGTTCGAAGAATGATCTGCTCACATGCGAAGATAAGGAACGCTATCATAGAATGAAAGCATCGTCGACTGAAGGAAAGACGTTGATGCAACGGGGTCGAGCAACTCGAACCCTCTCCGGATTTCCGTCTCGACGAAGGCTGATGCTCTCTTGTAGCGTTTGTCGCAATACTTATTGAACACTGCCTTGTGATGCTTCCGCGGATCCTCACAACATTCCAGCAGTAACTTAATCAGTGGTCTGAGTTGAGTGTATGTATACCCAGAATAGTAGACATGATGAGCGGTCTAGGGAGGTTAGCAGGTGAGCAATATTTGTTTGAGCTGTTGACCTACCCAAGTGCCTTTCCGGAGCATAATGCGTGCAAGACAATGAGATGCAGCTGCTGTAAAGCTTGGGGGGCTGCCAATAAAACGTTCATCCATCATGGTCACTTCGAGGAAGTATTTCGCCAGGGTCCTCGTCTCCAGATCATAGTCGTCAGCTTTGCTTATCCGGCGCAAGAAACTCATGGGCCCGGGGAAGCCGAGTTCGAATTGAAGCATGGTAAGCATAAACCGCTCGGCTTTGAGAATCTCGTCCACAGTGTAACCACCATCGACCATGTACACAATTTCTTGTACCGACGGACAATTAATTTCTTCATATTTTGCGGCAATGAAGATGGCGGTTGCGCCCACAAGCTGCAGTTTGGCGAGAGAGACAACCTTACACGACAGAAAGCGGTCAATGTAATTGACGGTCAGAAAGAGTGTCTCGGGTAGTAGATTGAACCGGAGGTGGACTTCCACAAGCCAATCCATCAAGACCGAGCGCATGGACCATTGAATTTCATGCTGGTTGTCCATGTAGTGGGCGTTGGGAAGCATCTTCACCTCGAGTTGTCTCATGTAATCAAAGATCTCCTCTCCATATTCGGCGACCATACTCGTGTCATAGCTTTCATCTTCCACCTCCTCGGGAGAACGGGTGGCTTCGACCAACTGCTTCGCGGCAGCAATTTCTTTACGGGCCCGTTGGTTCATCTGCGGAAACAGGACGGTCGTAACACCGCCGGTAGTGTTGTCGCCCCGTGATCGGAAAGACCTGGCGGTCACATAATCTTCCTCTTCGTAGTTCTCGTCATCCTCTTCATCCCAGTATTCTTCTTGCTCGAGTCGTTGCTGGATATAGGAATGGTGAGGGCTCAGAGGAGGGATGTTATCAACCGGATTCACGAGGCTTGCCACAGGAATTGGTTGCGGCTCTTTTCGAACAACGGTGGTGTGGGGTTCCACTGAGGGTAGAAGATCTTTGGGGAGAGGTCGATCAGCGGGTTGCTGAAGTTGCTGGGCAACGTGGCTTGAGGCAGTGCTGCTGGCACCATTCACCTGGGTCTCGCTGCTTGACTCGCTCGAGAGCGCAGGGCCGAGGTTTACAGCTTCTATGCCTGGCAAGCTAGTGTCCGAATAGAGATCCGGGGTGTCTTTGATCGGTTCAGCGTGAACAACAACCGATGCAGGTGGAGGAAGGAGGCAAAGCTGAGACGCTATTCCACAATTCGCCGAGTTGGGGACCTTTTGTGTCTCTGTCGTACTCTCATTCACTGGCTGGTCCAAGTTTATTTCCGTCTCTTGAAGCACGGCAAGACGATTATCCTTGAAGATTGTGGTATGGCGCTTCGTCAACGTCTTTTTTGATGTGGCAGATTGTAGTGCGACCACCGTCTCTGTGGACGCGGCGTTGGAAGAGGCTTTTGAGGTCCCATAGGCAGTCGCTCCCGCAAGGATGGTTTTCAGCCCTTTTTGAGCGGGACGCAGCAGCGCGATAGATCTTCTTTGTTCGAGGGCTTGGCCAGGTTTCACGACAGCCTGTAGGCTCGGCTTGGTGTGCAGTATTGAATCATCTTTGCTTGGTCTGCCTGCAACGATATTGCTCACGTCTCCAAATGCTGTTCTCTTCGCCGCGGCCTTGAGCCCCTGGGCTTCAGCGAAAGTAGTTGTAAGTGCTGGACTCGATTTATTTCGATGGTGAATTGTTTTGGTGACGTGGCTCTCGGGGGGGACATTTTCGTCGTTTCTGACGCGTAGTGGCCGCAGAGGGCGCTGTGGCTATCAGAGAAGTATAGATTAGCTCCCATAATCTTCAAACACGGGGTCTGGGATGAAGCATTGACAGAGCGAGCACATCGACAGCGTGTAGCAGGCCCCGGTAAAGATTCCATTACCTTCACGTCCATACTGAGCGGTACCAATGCCTGTGAAGGATTTATGGACGAACTCAAGCTTCGCGAACTTCGAAGGACGACAGGTTCTTGACGCCCCTAGATTTTGCAAAGCGCGACGCAGTCGGGTACATTCAGTCGAAGAAAGGGGGAGGGAAGGAAGAACGGCGTGAAAGGGAGAGAGGATGGAGAGACCAAGGGCAGGAGTATCGATGCAGAAGCTATGGCTGTGGAAAGGAGCACAGCGTATGGGTTGGTCCTGGCAACAAACAAAACAGCATTATTATTATTATGGGATTATGCAAGGTCAAGGAACTTGCATGTAAACACCAAGCTGGATCGGTCATTGGACTACCGCCTCGGCTCTTGCCGCTCTTAGCTTGGTCGGTTCTACGCTAGTCCATTTCAAGACATATAAACATTTCGCGTACTTCAACCAACCTCACATTCACTTTTTTCAAATTTTTACATCGCCACTGGCAGCAAAAACAGGACTGAAGTAGATTCTCAGCACTGGGTAGTATATCGGAAGAGATCCCTGTACTTTCAATCCAAGATTCGGACGGCGCAACGTAGGAAAAGACGAAAATGTGATATATGACGTCAACGCGTTGCTGAAATCGCGTGATCACGTGCACCTTCCGGACATTTGCGCCTCGAGTTATATTCGCCTCCATTATCCAGTCCCCTGATCCGTTGCTCGGGCATCTTCCAAATTCTGTTTCCAATGTGAAGAAAAGGCAAGGCGGTCTGAATGTCTCATTGAGTCTTCTCGAAAGATGACGAATCTCCTCTTCCAAATTCGTCCCCCGGAAAGTGATGGGGGTTCCGGACAATCCTCCTAGGCGCTTACTCAACCTCAAAACGATGTCATCGGGCCGCAGAGGAGCCAAAATTTAGATGACCTGCTGAGTTGCTTGTTGCAGCACAGAATGATGGATAGCAGTCCAACTCGCTATATTTGGTCAGCTTTCTGGATTCGTCTCTACACGGGAGTCTGCGACATGCATAGCTTTCAGAGCGATGCTGTACGATGACGAGGTGGACGTTATGTCCGTGACTAACAAACTAGGTTTCGCATTTCTTGTTTGGTCGCTCGTTGCAAGTCCCACAAGTGTGATACTTGACCAAAGATCAGTTTCCAGAAGAAGCCCAAGCTGAACATTGCGCGGAAATATGTACGACTTGAGATGCGCCCAACCCGAGGTTTCGGGGTTTCAGTTTCTTGCGCAAACTCTGATTTGAGCAATCCAGGCTTGTCATTTGTAGGGCAGATGATGGCCCCAACTGGCACGATCCTAAATGCGCCGAATTGCGCTGACGACTGACAAACTCCTATCTCGGATGTTTCAACGACTGAGCCCATGACTCGGACCCCATAGAGAACACCTTTGTCGGACGTACGCTTCTGTCGGATGCTGTAGCTCAGACAACTTGAGGTGTGGGGGATGCGACCGGAGAAATTCGTCAATCTCAGAGTTAGCGAGCTGAAAAAGCAATGCGACCTCGACCCAAGACCACATCGACCAAAGATGTTTCTAGGAATAGTAATGACATCCGGCTCGGGCCCTGCGAGTCGTGGGACTTCGTACGTACAAGTATATATCTACAAGCGTGCATCAAGCACTGGCGCCCAGCACGTTATCGAGCAAATTGCGCCTGGTTTGAAGTCGCCGCCAGTTCCGCCATCTCGCCAAGATCCTGGTCGGTGTGGGAACTTGCAAGTGGTGCGGTGCAGATCGCGAAACGATAGACATCTCATTGCCGCCGTGGCGGGCTTGCGACGGAGTCGCTCCCTGAAGACGGGTGGTCTTTATCAGCAGAAGCCAGCACGCCAGACGGCCCAACTGGAGCGAGGTTGAACCCTGTGGAAGGGCACGCATCCTGTGGCAGCCACTGCGGCAGCCCACGCTCAGGTGGTCGAGGGGATTGGTCGAATGACGGCGACGGATGCTTGCGTATTCTCGACGACGGCCTCTTGAACGGCACCAGACTCCTTGGAATCTCCACCCCCAATACGGCTCAGAAAAACTCACAGCTCACACGCCGACAGGCTCAGACCGCTGACGCTTGCTAATCTTTACCATAGTGGCCATACAAAGCTCGCCAAATCCACTACCGCTTCGGCCACTTTCTCGAACATTATTTCAACCAAGTGAGGGGTTGGCTTTCCTTCTTATTCTTTAGATTCCTAGTTCCAGCGCATCACCGGGCCTGGCTCGCAAATAATGCTGTCCTCACTTTTCCGACCCTCAGCTCCGCCCGCTGACTGCCTCATGGTTTTTCCCTTCCTTGCTCTCCCACCTCTGATTGCCTGGCCCTCGGGGCCGGCCATACAAGTTCCAAGGCATGCTCTCAGCCTGCCAGTCCCGAATGGCCAGCAAAGACACCGCTTCGGGTCGTCACCTGGCACCTTTTAGCTCGTAACCGGGAAGAGATGCCGTCACAAGATAGCGCTATTGAGCCCTCAAGGTGTCGTGGGCTGCCGAAAAGGACACGCCGTCGATGTCCATCTATCTTCGTGGTCACCGTACAGTAGTCGCCCGCCTCTCTCCAGATACTGAGATTTTGGCTGCGCTCTTGCGCTCTTTTCGCCTTCCTTAACATTCTGGTCACCGTAATTTGACCTGAGGATATTTGTGACTCGTTCGGAATAAATCACTTCCTACACACAATTACACAGTACATAGTGCGAAAGCCACGTTCTTGTGGTACGAGTACGTACTGGCGTTTGTTGGACCGGGGGTGGGCCTCGTTTCACACGCCCGTTGACTATTGCAGTATCCTAAGCCTCAGTCCGCACCTTGGACTTCCTTTCTTCCCTGGACCTCTCACCTCCCCATTACCGCTGGCTTCTCATCATCCACCGCTCTGGGCGCTATTTGTGTGCCGACCAGAGACATTCATCGACTATCTTTCCTCTTGAGCGCTCTGTCGCCTACCAGTCTCCATTGTCACCGCCACGACAAATCACTACAGCCACCATGCTCTAGTTCTCGACCATGTCTTGACGGTAGAGCCGGATGCTGTTGTAATTGCCGTTGCGCATCATTTCTTCTATCTTTTTGTGGTCTCAGGATCATCGCAAGTGTTCGTCCCTCTCATCTGGAAGTCTTGACTTGTTGTAGGTTGCTAAGACTGGGACTTGGGGCTCCCAAGCCCATTGCCCTCCCAACCAACTCTCACCCTCTCTAGCCCACGATCCCAAATGGCTTCAATGCTCACTCCTATTACCATCGATTGCTTGGGAGATCCCAGACTAACGCTTGCATTCAGCACTCCTCTGAGCAATCGAAAACCCAATTGAATAGCCTCTGTAAAGCCTCCTTCGTCCGAAACGAATCCTTTATGAGCCCTCCCACGACGCCACAGATATAAGAAGACAGTCACATATGTTGGAGCCATTGGACAAGATGCAAGTCTCTAGCCTGCTCTCTGCGGAGGAACACAAGATATCGAAGACAAGGATGCCACCTGCCAAGTCAGTCTCCTTCGAGCTCCTGCTGGACGAGGGCTCCAAGACCAGGGCCAGAATCCCACTGCGGGTAGTGCTCAATACGCATGACAGCACAGAGTCTATCATAACGACAGTCAAGAACTTCTATGGCATATACGATGGGAATGGAGTGAGCTTTGAAGACGCCTGGGGCAACACTCTCATTGCCTCGTACGACAATCTCGCCCACGACTCTACTGTCTATGTGCGCATTGTGCCGGCTCCACAGGCAACTTCGAATGTATACCCACTGGGCTTACACATTGGAGAGAGTGGCTATGAACCTAGACGTCGACCCAGCTTGGGCGAACCCTTCCAGATGTTACCCCCTCACATGCGCGAGCAATCCCACTCGCCCTCGAGGCCTGCGTCGAGAGTCGCTCGCAAGCGAAGCATTTCTCCAACGCAAGGACGAGGTCGTCGAAGTGTGTCGCAGCAGAAAGGGATGGCTTATACGGCTGCCAGCCGAGGATCAAGTGCCACGGGAAGCTACCATGACGAGAACGGATATAGCGACAGTGAAGCTGGGCGCAGCTCAGTCTCAGGATCCAAGAAAGCTCGAAGCGAACAGTTTGCGAGCTCCGACATCAGTACTGCTAACGTCCTTCAAGACGGCCGACGTGGGCAGCCAATCTTTGACAGTTCGGTACGTCCCAGAATATGACTTTCACGCAGCTCCCCACTGACTTTCGTCTTCAAGACCCTTCCTCTTTTTGTACCTCCCCAGGTTCCGGTGACTGCGTCCCAGTCTTCTATATCACCTCAGCGACGTTCGCTCCCGCAAGAAGGCCCTTCGCCCTTGCACCCTTCCGGTCAGAAGATCTATGGACTACAAAATATCCCTATACTCTCTCCGCAGAGCTATGGACCCAGTCCCAATGGGTTTGCTGGTGGGGATCGAAGATCGGGCGCAGATGTTATAACTCCTATACCCCAACATGGCCACCGTCTGCGTGACAGATCCAGCATGCAGTACACCCATGGTGGGAGACAAGGATATCCTGTGAACGGGGTCCTACCCACACCGGATCCCACAGTGGCAAGTTGCATCTCAGATGAAGATGTCGCTCGTACACTGATTGCCTTGGGCGACGCTTCCAACTACTCCCATGGGCGCACCTCCAATTCGACCATGGATGAGACTTTCAGTGGTGTTGCCGACGCCGCTTCGTCCACCGGCGCTACAAGCGATAGTGATGAATACAGCGATGCAGAGGGCGGCCTCCCCAAATACAGAAAGTATCTTGACGATGAGGATGAGGAATATGCTCACGACAGCATCAAGGGTGATCACGAGGATTATGAGGGTCAGCCCAAGACGAAGAAGATCAAGACCAAGATGCATGATGGCCCATCCAACGGGTATCGGCCCAAGTCGTCTGGGCTCTTGAGACATGGTAAATCGGCCAAAGCTAGGTCGAACACTCTTCCAAACATTCCCAAGCATTCGACACAGCCTGGTCTAATGAAAGCGCCGTCCGCGCCAGCCTCGGCCGGACAGGCCAGGAAGTCATCTGGCTCCAGCCTCAACTTTCAACACCAACTCGGTGCGGATGAGGAAGATCTGTCTTCCAAACCTCGTTGCCAGCGATGTCGGAAGAGCAAGAAAGGGTGTGACCGCCAGCGGCCCTGTGGGCGATGCAAGGATGCCGGCATTGGAATTGAAGGGTGCATCAGCGAAGACGAAGGAAATGGCCGGAAAGGGCGATATGGCCGGCACATGGGGGTTCCGGTCAAGAAAACCGCCGAGGACCTTCTGCCGGAACAGTCTGACTCCATCACGGCTGAGGGAACGATGTCAGCTGACGCCGCTGGGGTCCATGGCAGCCCCGACAAGAACAAGAAGAGAAAGAGGTGAACAGCAGCCACGAATAGGGGGCGAGGAAAGAACGGAATTCCTTAAAACTGAACAAGAACAAACGAAAACCAGAGGTACCAGGGAATAGACTGGGGGAATAAGGGTTGAACAAAATTTGGATCCAAATTGGCCGCGAGGCCGTTGCGTGACGAGATTGATGGACTGACAATGACGCTGCAAGTTGTTTTGGCCTTTTTGTATTCGTGAATTTCGAATGCGCCTTGATTCGAGAGAGAGTTGAGTGACGGTGGAGTTGAACAAACTGCAGTGAATTTTCTTTTGTGTTTTGACTTTGTCTGGTGGATGAAATGGGCGCATCTCTGTGATCTATTATTCTTCGACGCTGGGAGACTGTCGATTACCCGCCGGGCTCGGAAGAACTTATGAATGTACGAAATGGAAGGGTCCCATTTTCCTTTTTGCTTCCCCCTTTTTTTTGAATGCCTTCAAGTCAGTAGCGGCCAGTTCTCGCGACATAAGATGTACATACACAGCCTCGTTGAGCTTGGATATTCTGACCCCTCACCCCCGATCCACGTGACGAGGCTGTACTGATTACATAACCTGTGCGGGGAAGTTCAAAAAAAAGAGTCGCTCGAAGTCGAACTGTTTGGGAACGAGAGCGAAACTTCGCTGCCAGAGGTCAACACATTGACGCCTCCGTATTCCTCGCGAATTTGACTGGAGAATAGGAGTCTGTCCCCCCCTAACGCACACTCACTTCGCGTATTCCCTTCTTGGCCCATTTCATCACCCCACGGAAGCAGTTCCTCGTTCACTTTTTGTCGCAACTACCCCCATGTACGCCACTTTATGATCTTCCGACTTGGGAGTGGATAGGAGAACCTCTTCACTGCGTGCAACGGCACGTCGCTTGCCATGCCGGACGAAACACCCGCGACTCCTGCCACAACAAATGCCCGATCCACACCCCGTGGCGGCGCCGCAAGACCGAGACCTCGAGCAGGGATCCAACGGAAGACCAAGGCTGAAAGAGAACAGTTCGCGAAAGAGGAAGCCGAAAGACAAAAGGCTCGAGCAGCTGAGCAAGGGGGTTCAAATCGCGGTACAAGAGGAGGAAGAGGGATCAGTCGTGGAGGCAGGGGAGGCACTGCAGCCGGCCAAAGAGATGAGCCAGTAGCGGGCGGAGGCGTCTTTGGCGCAGGGTCCGGTACAAGGCTCCCCACCAAATCTAGAACGAGTTATGAAGGGTACGGTGAGCTGCTGGAGGGTGGTGTGCGAGGTGCCGAAGATGGTCTCCAGGACGCTTCAGCATCGGGGAGGGGTGCGGCAACAGGCCACAACGGGTCCGGTGCAGCAGGTACCTCCGCAGGTGGAAAAGGCGGTTCTTCAAGGACTGCAGGGGACCTTGTGATGACTATGGACGACGAGGTCGACCACGGGCATAAACGAGACATCGAGCGCATCATGATCTCGAGCGATGAAGACGACGAAGACATTGTCACATCAACTTCGAGAAAAGGGAAACAGAAGATTACGGGCGACACAAAACAAGTGCCTGGTAGAGGGCTGGCTCTGCGCCCAGTCCGTGCGCCTCGAACTGTGAAAGTAGAGGAAGGCCAGGAGGGAGACCCTGCGCGCCTGCGCAGCAAGAAAAGTCGCACGGCTGCGGGCCTCAAAGTGGATGCTGAGACGCAAGAGCTGGATAGCAAAAGTGAACAGGATGAGGACACCGAGGAGGTGGACAGTGAGTCCCTCCAGTTCATCAAGGAGCAGCCCTCCAGTCCTGAAATGCGGAAACGCACGCTGAAAAAGCAGCTCGCTGCTGGCAAAGTCGGGCGGGAAGTCAAGGGACCCGTAACCGAGACAGGCGAAGAGCGTGCAGAACGACTAAGAGCCATGGAGGACGTTCAGAAACTAAGACATTCATTCGTGCCAGCACCGGCGACAGATACTAAGATGAAGGTCGACGAGGAGGACGAGAGCGCGCCGACGCGGGAGGCAATGGACAGACTCCACGATGGCCAGTTCTTCCTCTTCCAACTTCCTCCGCTCACGCCCTTCCTGGTCGATTCCGCCACCACGCACACGGGCGAGCCACGAGTCAAAATCGAACCCACCACGGCCGTCAGCCTCGACGCGCTTGAGGAACACACCGCAGGTGCCGCCAACACCACCATCGGTCCCGAAATCAAAGCCGACCCAGACGCGCCTGCGAAAGCGACGAAGCCAGACCTGCAGATGGACGGCCTGCTCACGGCCTTGGAGCCGACGCGTCTGCCCGCCGGCATCGTGGGGAAGCTCCGCGTCCACAGGTCCGGCAAGGTCACCTTGGACTGGGGCGGGACCGACATGGAGGTCCGCTACGGCGCCGAGGTCGATTTTCTGCAGGATGTTGTTCTCGTGGAGCCCGGGCAGAAGCCAGAAGAGGTAACCCAGGGAGGAAACGGGGAGGGAGAGGACCAAAACGGCGACGTTATCGGAGGCGGCAGTGGGGGTGGTGATGGTGATGATGAAACGGCTCAGAAGGAGAAGAAGGACATCAAGGGTACAGCGTACGCGTTGGGCCCAGTGAGGAGGAAGATGGTCCTGATCCCGGACTGGGTCAAGTTATACGATTGACCTCCAGGGAATCACCCTCTCCATTGGGCACGTAATCAAGGGAAACTTGAAAGGATCGATCGATTGATTGATTGATTGCATGATCTGATGGGTGCGCAGGTTGACGAAGAAGCAGATACGCCTACCCATACCAGCCCCGTGGCCCTCGAGTTTTCTGGTTCTTTGTGTGCAACGAGGGGGAAAGATGTAAAAGAACTACTACTCCTACTACTACTAATGAATCACATAGATAGATAGATTGGGTGGTGTGGCCACATATCCAAAATAAAAAGCAACGGGAATTGAACGCGAGCAATTAGTGTTGAAACGCAGCATAGCATAGCATAGAAAATGCCGCAGGGCCAAAAGAGATAGATCGATAGATACCAGCAGCAGCAGCACTCTGAAATGCCGCACAGGGACGACAGTGAGTATCTCCTCCTCTGCACGACTTAACACATATTTATATATAAATATCGCCGTCCGAACCAACAACCCCATTTATGAAAATGGTGGTAGCTGGCGATGCCAATGTGCGGTTAAAGAGTAGCATAAATAAAAACAGAGTTACGCATTCATATGCGACAGTTCAGATGATTATTATCCTTTATTCTATAGTCGTTCTATATTTCGTGTATACAATATGTAGCTGGCTTAAATTCAGCGATATAAAGCCCCAATGCACTCAGGATGAAGGTAGAGTCTCGCGAGAACAGGTATATACTTAAATGTCAACCATTCAATTTATACCCCCCAATCGTGGTCCAAAACCCATCGCTCTGCTCTATCCAGTCGAGCCTGTCTGTATACATTGACGTGGCCTGATTGAGAATGTCCAAAGCTTCACATACTTCCTATATGCCACGCAGATCCCTCACTTTACACCCTCACCTCGAACTCCTTGTATCTCCATTTTGCCCCCAGGATAGACTATCGGCTTGTATGCAATTGTCCATCCCAAAATTTCAACATTGAATCCCGCAAATAAAACAGAAGACCAGACGTGGTGCATTCGTGGTGTATGTACGTGAGTTTGCTGTCATTTGCATTGCATGTGCATTGTAGAGTTTTCGAAAATTGTCGGATCAACTTCGACCGTACAGTTTTCCTGGGTTCGGCTTTTATAGGTAGCTCACGCACATCGTAGCAATGCCCACAGCCAGAATAGCCAGCGTCCCTGCCTGAAGAGCGCGGCCTGCATCGTTGGCAATGGCACGTGAATCTGCCTTCTGCTTGTTCTCAAGAGGGACAGCTACCAAGGGAGTCGGAGTGGAGAGTTCGACTGCTTCGTCAAGCAGAACGGCGTGCTCTTCTTGCTCCTTGGTTGGTTCCTCGCCATTCTCTGTGGACAACTGCTCCATCCACTCCTTGCCTATTTTCTTCAGTCTCTCCGTCCAAGATGTGGTCCCTTGCACATGACCACTTTCTCCGTTCGTGTTTTCACCACCTTCTTTCACGATCTTATCCCCTGCCAAAGGAGCCTGAGTCGGTAGACTTCTCTTACTCCTCACCTGTCCCACAGTGCCCTGAATGGTCCCTAGTCCAATCGTTCCTGCAGCTGCGCTAGGCCACTGGTCCGGAATCGGTGGAAAAGTCTGTGTGTACACCACGGGCACTTGTGTCACATCGCCAGGCGCAATCATTGAATTGACGTAGTATGTTGTGATTGGACTGACTTGATTGATCGCCGTTGGAGCAGCAGCGGCACCTTGGCCTGTTACTTGCCTGACTTTCAGCTCCGGGACCGCGTTCGCATCGAGGCCGAGAGGGAGAATATGATATTCAGTTTCTGTGTCGACAGACGGGGTAGGTGTGGGCACTGAGGTTGCAGGATGAGGTGTGTTGGAAATGGAAATGGGTTCGAGAGTTGCGATAGGCACCCAGTGAACCGTGTCAAGATCTGAGGGTACGGGTTGTATGGCGACATTGTCTATTGGCGGGTGGATATCCAGTGGGACAAACGCGTGGGTGGAGGTGTATATCAGGGAGGAGAGGAGGAAGGTCTTCATGGCTTTGGTGGACATTGTGCTGAATGCGGCTGCGATGGTATCCGGTATAAAGATGGGTCAACCCTGCGCTGGTGGTCACATCCGCGAGTTGTGTTATCGGTTCACAGCATGCCCTGTTCTCGGCCAGTCGCTCGATTTGACACTCGTGATTTGTATTCTCAATAGTAGGTTGGATAGAAGAACAAGACAACAGCCCAAGGACTTGTCGACGCAACTCCAAGCTCAATGTCAGAGTAGAATTACACTGGCGCAGTCCGGGTAGCAGCTCGCTGACACCCAGTCAAGCCTCAATGGCGGTCGAGGACAAAGTCGCTGGGAGTTGCACTGCGATACGGACAATCGGGCTGGGGGCTAACAGCTGTTCCAGGCCATACACCCAAACGAGAGGCGGCAGCTGCTGGTGAGGGACCCTGTGAGCAGTACGAGATAAAGATGTCAAATAAACGAAAGAGGCTTGCTGGTCTCAAGCGAGGGCTGTACAGAAACAAGAGCAGCAGTGCTGACGCGTGGCAGGAGGCCGGGCAATCAAGAAAAGAAACAGTTATCGGAGGACGGAACCACCTAGTAATAGTCCGATTGGCTTCCCTGGGATACGGGGAAATCAGCCAATCAAAAGTGGATCTACTGCGGAAGAAATGTGATATTCAGGCTAGTCTACATGCGGACGAGCAGATAAATATAACAAGTACCGTATTCTCCAGGGTTAAGGGCTGTGCTTCAGCTCCGATCGAACTGTACTGAGCTCTGACATTGTTTTCCTAGATAATCTGTACACATATTCAGACAGCGAAAGCTTTTAACCCCCGGCGGGTAAGATATATGTGTTCAGTTGCAAGCCGGTGGTACAAATCCAACTGTCCATCCCATTGAGCCCATGATCACCACCATCAATGCCAATGCAATAGCCACGCTGCCAGCGCCATAGATCCAACCATGTCTTCGACGAAGCCCGTGGATTTCCGCGACCCAGGTACTGACCGTAGTGAGGCACCCGCAAAATCCTTCCATAACCCCTTGGAGCACTGCACAAGCGTTTGACCCGGATGCAGCGATGGTGGTCGAGTGTTGCAGATCAAACGCCATGCCTAGCACTGCCGTTCCAAAAATATTGACCGCGAATGTGCCCAGTGGGAAAGATGGTATGATGGCGTTCAAATGCTTGGACGCGTAGAAGCGAAGAAGACAGCCGAGCGGTGCAAACACTAGGGGGAAAACGGCGCGGAACCTCCAGTGTATGTCGTTTCCAGGCGGCCAGATGGCCAGAAAGACCGCCCCAAGCCAGCAGCCAAACCCGAGAATGACACCCAACGGATCCAACACCTTCCGACAGAATCTGAATGGTAGCGTTGGCGTGACTGGTTGAAGTAAAAGAGCCAGCTGTGCGCCAACCATCAACCCCGCCAGAGAGATGGCCGGATGGATGATCATAATGGCAAGGAGAGCCAAGAATGAAAAGCCACCATTCCTATGCACGACAACTGGATCCACCTGGTATGGCGAGGTCGGCGAAGGCGACTGGAGGTCATTCGTCAAGGCTAGAAAGCAATCGCGGATGAAGGACGAAAAGGACGTGAATGAGCCACAGAAACCCGTGGCAAGGCCGATGTAGAGTGGAATGGTCTTTTTGACCTTGATATGGTCCAACGCCGGTGCCCTGGGGTCTCTGGATCCCCATTCTTCTCGAAATAGTTGACGGTCTTCCGTGAGGAAGCCAAGGAAGAATGAACCCCCCAGGTTGGCCCACAGCACCCGGCTTGAAACAGGCGAATTCGGATACAGTGTAATAGCTTCGACCCCCAGTCGTGCCAATGTCCCAAGGAGCGAAAACAAGATCAACCAAGAGATAATGTATACCTCTGTCGCGGCGTATGAAGGCGTGGACTCCGGAGCTTTTGTCCCTTCGTCCCCTTCCTCCTCTTCTTGTTGCGCATCTTCCAGGCTCGTGCGATGGGCTCCATTCTCTTCATCGCTCGGTTTTTCTCCCGAGGCAACAGGTTCAGGTGCCGCCAGTTCCCCGAGAGCTTCTCGGCGATCTGCTGTATAATGTCGACTTAGCCGACGCTCAACGTCTTCTAGCGAAGGACGCCTCGGGTCTTCTGGTTCAGCTGGGGCCGGAACAGCCATCTCAGTCAACTCCTCCTCATCACCTCCCCTCCTCTGCCTCTCCCGAGACCGTGTCCCATAGTGATCGTGCATTTCGTCGCTCTTCGCCAAAGTTGGAACTGCCTCGCACCGTTCGTTGGGCTATCTTGTGAAGAGAGACAGTGGAGTTGATCGTGTCGGTTCCAGTTGCACTCGATCACGGAAGAATTGAGATCTGAGGCGATCGCAGGCAATTCGAATTCACCTGCATCAATAACAGAATCATGGCACAGGCAGACCGGATTGCGGTGAGACAATCATCGCGTCCATGCTCCTCGAAAGCATCATAAGTGATGAGAAGAGAGAACCGTGTTTGGGCGCAGCGGAGTAAATGCGGATTCGAGAGCAAATTGCCGTTCGAACCGGAAAGCCTCCCTTTGCACCACGACGCACTCTATGTATCTGTCTGCGCACCAGAGTCTGTACACTGAGCCATCTTCTACCAATTAATAGTTACTGTACCGTAACTTCATTGTGTATTCAATGCGTTCATCAAGCCTCTTTCAAGGTTCCAGAACTGCGTAGTTCTCACCAAGTCAAAGTCTCTCCACTGGGTATCCTCTAGAGCACCGCGGTTACTGGAGATCGGAATCCGCCGTGGAAAACCACTATTACTTTACCAGGCACATGCTCTTGGTGTCCCCCTCCCTCCCGCTGCTCCCCCCACCATTGACGGCATAGGTTGATACAGCTCGCGACTGGCGCAGAGGCCAGAGATAATAAGTCAGAGGAAACGCGGCCATTGTTACATCCTGCTCCGAATTCCAGACACAAGTTAACGTCGCTCTTAGAACCATTGTATGCTTGCGCTTCTATCCTTCTTTCATCCTCTTATCGCACCTCCGTCCTCTCCACAGTCATGTCGTCGTCTCTGCCTCCCAATGTCTATATTTCAAAACACCCGTGCCTTCGCGCAAAGCTCAGCCAATTGAGATCCAAGGGCACCAACGCTCGCGAGACAAAGGCTCTTATTTCTGAGATAGCCTTGTTGTTGGGGGTCGAGGCGCTTGCGCAACTCGATATCGACTCGGTGGGAACAGTGAGTCTGCCTTCTGTGTCCTTTGGAGCATCCGTGCTGATTGAGATTCAGACTGACCCATGGTTTGATGTAGGCTGAGACCCCTATCGGATATGAGTATCCCTATGAGGCCATCAACTGCTCCAAACTCACCGTTGTCCCCATCCTGAGAAGCGGACTCGGTATGGTCGAAGGTGTGCTGCTCGATTGCCAGAACATATCTCCACGGAAACTGACACATGGCATAGCAATACAAACTCTCCTGCCCGATTCCGTTTCGGTCCACCATCTTGGCCTCTTCCGCGAAAAGATGACTCTGCAACCTGTGGAATACTACAACAATCTTCCTCAATCCCCTGAGTCGGTGGCGAAACTCGCTATCGTCGTCGATCCCGTCTGCGCTACAGGCGCAACAGCATGCGCCGCAATCCAGATACTGAAGGATTGGGGTGTTGAGAAGATCATCTTCTTGTGCGTTTTGGGCGCCCTCCCAGGCATCACAAGAGCCGCCGCGGAGTGGCCAGAGGGCACACAGGTATGGGCGGGTGGCATGGACGAGGGCCTGACTGATAAAGGCATGATCAAACCGGGCTTGGGGGATGTTGGTGATCGTCTCTTCCTGACCATAGGAAAATAACCGGCCGCAGGATCGCACAGCTTCTGGTTGGGAGCTGATGGATCTGCCGACCTAGAAAGAGTTCTCGTTTTCCCCAGAGTTACTCGATATCACTGGCAGCCGTCGTATCGTTACCCTCACTTAGATGGCCGTTGGGGAACAAAGTATTACTCCGTCACTTGAGGCAGATGAGTGCTTGATGTCCAAACACTCGTTCAACTGTGCCTTCCTGCTTCAAAAGTTTCCCAAGCCATCTTTTTGCGCCATCCACCTCCTTTGCTCCAAATTTCACCAAGACGAAACCTCTTGTCTTTGCAGCGGTCCATAGGATACCATCTAGTTTTTCTTGTTGTCTAATTTCCTCAGTCTGGTCGATTCCGTTGGCCTGAACGCTGACTTCGTTCGACGTCCAATTTTTAGCTCCGATGCGAGGTTGACTTGTGAATTCCTGCATGAAGAATTCCCCGAGTTGGTTGAAGACAGGGCCGTAGATGATCAAGGTCCCAAAAATGCCCATGTTGTTGGCTTTGTCCAGTAGTCCTGTACCTCCAAGTCCATCCTCGTGGAGCATTACTGCGTCACGGAGCAGCAGTCTTCCCTTTGAACCGTCGTCGAATTCTCTGACCTCATTCCTGCCTATCCAACTCCATAGTCTCCAGCTCTCGCCCCTTGCGCGGCGGCCTTCACTCACCCAGTCAAGCGCTAGTAGACTGCTAGTGGCGTCTGGCTGCACATAAAAGGTCTGCTTCTGCTGGTAGACACTCTCTGCAAACGGCTGAGTCGGATCCGGCAGATAGCACAGGGAAGCATGAGATCCAATTCTGACGTCCAGATTTTGCTTGCTGACGACTAACCTGTGAGGGGATTTGAAGATCTTGGTGCTTCCTTGCGTGACAAGGACAAGCCTTGTGGCATCTTGTAGGTCGACTTTGAGACTGATCTGATCACCTCCCACCAATCCGCCTCCGTAGGTGAGCAGGAAGACGATCGTCACGGGCTTTTCCTCGCTCGAATGGTGAGGGTCAGGAGCAATAAGTTTGAGAGGATATTGGTATGTACATCTCGAGAGAACTTGCCTCTCTGGTGGTAGAAGGGCTAGAAGGATCTCGCCGCTTCCTGCTACAGAGGATGAAGCAGCGAATGGTGAAAGCGGTAGAGACATTCCTCGCATACTCTAACAAACCACGACGAGAAGATATGACTAGAGCTGCGCTTGTACCATTCTGCGGGACAGCCTTGAGTGCCAATAGACGCCAGGATCCTGAAGCAGATTTGTCAATCAGAGCTGCACTGAAGCCACCCACCTCTGTGTACGAGGTTCGGGGTATTTGCAAAGAAACCTAGGGAGGCGGCGTGGCGGGGGTTCTACCTGTGGATGCCTGTATCTAGGTACAGGGTAAACAACTTTCGTGTGCTGATGGCCCCTCATGGCACCTACACCGCTTGGAGTGGGTGTAATAATTAGGGCTTTCTACCTAGGTCTCTAGGTAGGTTGATACCTATGAGAAATGCCCAGCCAGGCAGCCCACCCAATTCGGAGTCTCCCGTGCCGTGGACTAAGACTGCATCTGCATCTGCCTCCGTTGCTGCAAAACTCCACTTCAACCCACCTTGCGCGTCGCGTGTTTCCTCTGCGTGTTACTTCTTGAGGGCGGCTTCATATACCATCTACTCTCTTCTGCTGAATTCGCGCCTGTCTACTTATTTGGTTACCTGCCTTTCAACTCCCCCACTCCTCTATTTTCTAGGTCGCCATTGTACTTATCCACCTTTTCGAGCCCTGCTACTTGTGGTTCTAGTACAAACCCCGCCAGAGGGAGGGAAATCATGGAGGCCGCCGACACCGTACTGACTAGCTCACCAGAATCCCGTCGCAGGTCCGGCAGAGTGGTGCGCAAACCAGAATCCTTCTCGCAAAACCAGCACGGCGCCAGCGTGCTCAAAAATGGTGCCGGCAAAAGAAAAAGAGCAGCCGAACCAACCCATGGAGAAGAAGATGATGAAGACAACGAGTCCGTGGAAGACAGGGAAGACGAGGAAGAAGAAGATGAAGAAGAAGAAGATGATGAGACCGAGTCCGACGAGGACGACGGTGAGCCGGACGAAGAGGAAATAAAAGCCCAACGACGGGCGCAGAGAGCAAAAGCAGCGGCTGCAAAACCTGCAGCCAAACGCGCAAAAACAACCCCTGGACTCAGCACGACTCTCGCCATTCGGTCAGCAAATACTCAGAGTCAACCTGCAGCAAGAGCCTCAAAATCTAGAAAAGCTCGCGCTCGACCCAGCCAGGCGCATCGACAAGGACTTTACGCCGAAGTATTTGACAGGGGACAGTCGCCCGAGGACACCGCTGCTGCGTGGTTTGAGGAGGTGCAGAAGGACAGCGTCAGAGCGTTGCGAGACCTGGTCAACTTTGTCCTCCAGTGCATCGGCTGCAACTCGAAAGTAGAGGAACAGGACATTGCAGATCTGGACTCTGTCCCGAGCAAACTAGGCGATATTCTGCAAGAATACGAACAGCAAAAGCCCACGGACTACCCACTGATCTCGAAGCAGAAACATTATGCAGGATTTCAGAATGTCCTGGAAGAATTCTTCAAGGCCATCATCAAGGTACTGCATACGTCCTCCGCCTTCTATGACCAAACCGAAATATACGACAATATCTACGTCTGGGTTGCGACGATGTCAGGTGCAAACTACAGGTCCTTTCGACATACCGCGACTATAATTTCCTTGGCTATGAGCACCGCCCTTTGCGACGTGGCGAAGGAGCTGCAGGATACCATGGCAACATTAAAGGCACAACTTGACGCCGAAAAAAGGAAGAAGAACCCTAACAAAGCCCGGATCAAGACTATTGAGGAGAGCCAGAGAGCTGCCGAGAGTAAGCTTGACGCTATTGACACTCAGTTGCGAGACGCCTTTGAGACCGTCTACGTCCATAGGTATCGAGATCAAGACGAGAAAACCCGCGCTCCCTGTGTGGCGGCTCTGGGCAACTGGATTGTGCTCTACCGCAAGATGTTTCTCGAAGGTCACTACTTGCGATATCTAGGCTGGGTCATGAGCGACACGAGTGCCAATACCAGACTGGAGGATATCAAACAACTGAAGAGGTTATTCAGCAACAAGAACAACATTGCCGCTCTGAGGGCCTTCACCGATCGATTTCGGACCAGGTTGGTGGAAATGGGCGCGAAGGATGCCGACATCAACGTAAGGGTAGAGGCTATAGAGCTGCTTGACCGACTCCGGGATGCAGAGCTGCTGGAACCCGATGACATCGATGAGATTGGGCGATTGATCTTCGACAGTGAACCTCGGATCAGAAAAGCGGTGGCTAAGTTTTTTGTCGCCAACATTGAAGACCTTTACCGTGCCACGATTGAGGATTTCGATGAGAGTCAGTACGATGCCGCGCTGCCGGACACAGAAGATGTGGAAGACTTTTTGGTTCCCACTCGATCTTGGATCAAGTTCAAGTGTTTGGGCTCGGTCCTTGCTGGCTACGACAACGATGAAGAATCGACGGATGCGACGACTGTTCAACCTTTGCCCGTGAATTCGATTTCGGATTCTCGCTATACCCTCGCTACACAGTCAATCTTCCCTCATATGGCAGAACTGCACCACTGGGAAAATTTGGCAGGCTATCTTCTCTATGATCACACCTCCATCCCATCGGAGGGCGACGATGATGACATCGACTTCCAGGTTCAGCAAGCATACAAGCTAGGTGCGGGCGAAGATACCATCCTGCTGGACGTTCTGCATGCAGCCTTCAAGTCATATTTGCGGTCGATACAAGAACCAGCAGGAGGACGGAAACCTAATCTCACAAAAGTACAGATTCGAGAGAAGCAAGAATCGGCAGCGCAGAATCTCACAGCCCTGCTGCCTCGATTGATGAGTAAATTTGGCAGTACGCCACACACCGCGTCATCAATCCTCCGCATTGAACAGCTGCTTGATATCAGCTTGATCAATGAGCTACAGAGCGGCGAAACCAGCTACTCTGCAATCCTTGACGACGTCGCCAAGCAGTTTGTGTCGCACTCGGACAAGCAGGTTCTTGCAACCGCTAGTGCGGCTCTCCGGAATGCTCTAAGCTACGAACCGAGTAGAGAGGCAGCCAATGCGAAAGTTCAGGAGATCTGGACTGAATCCGTCGCAACCCTGGCAAATCTTCTTGATGGCGAGGATGTCGGGACACGAGGTCTGCTGGACAAACCTTCACTTGTGGAGGTTGTGAATATCGTCGTTCGCCTGGCTGAGCTAGCAGGTGTACGTGACTGCAGCCATGTGGTTGAAAGTAAATTGCCCACGAGGTCATCAAGAAAACGGAAAGGCAACACAGGCGGGCCCCGGACTCTGCTCAGCCTACTATTGCAGCTCTTGCATCGGGGCGTACCCGACCAAGACACCACCGCTGCTTTTGCTGAGCTTGAAGATCAATTATGCAGTGCTGTTATCGAGCTGGTCTCGCGCTATTTCCGTTGGAAAGTGGTTGGGATCAAAAAGGCAATAAACGCCAACGAAGAGGCGCAACTGTCCACCGCATCATTGACAGATCTGGCCGCGACGCGGACAGTGTTCGTGGACAACATCGCTCCAGTGATTCAAGTGCGCAAGCCTCTTGACCTAGTGCGATACCAAGCTATCCTAAGTGTGCTGGAACTCTTCGCACTCTTCGCCACGATAAGAAATATCAGACCCGAGAAAGGTAACCTGAATGATGACATAGAGCGGAAGCTGCGTGGTTTGAACGCTTTCGTCCCAGACGATATTATCAAGGAAGTTATGATCACGCACGAAAAGATGGAGCAGTCATTTGCGAAGAAGACGCGTCGAAAGATTGAGTCTGTCAGCGAGAAGGGAAAATCAAACGATCCAACCGCAAGGATTGACGATGATGACGATATTGAAAAGCCGCCTGAGGATTCGGATGACGAACGAGACGGTTCCGATGACGAAGAGGACGAGGTAGATGAAGACGAGGAGGGAACACAAGGCAAGAGTGCGAAGAAACAAGCAGCCCTCCTGGCAGAACACAATCTCTGCGAATTGACCAGCAAAATTGTTTTTAACCTTGTGGGCGGTACGATTAAGGACGACAAGATCGTTAAGGCACGGCTAATACTGAACCGTACAAAGTTGGGCAAGAACTACTCTGCGTTGCTGGGTTATTTGGATGAAAAGAAGAAGCCACCGCGGAGAAAAGGAGGAAAGGAGCTTTCGGAAAAGGAGAAGAGCGGCAAGAAAGGAGACCAAGGGAGAGACAGAGCTGGCAAGCCAGCAATCTCGAAAGAAATCGTGCTCGAGGACGATGACATTGAGGACGATTCTGATGCTCCTCCCGAGGAACAGCATGAAGATGAGGCGCAGCGACAGCGCGAGCTACTGGAAGACGGGATTGAGGATCGTGGCAATGAAGACGATGACGATGACGGTGCTGGAAACGAGCAAGGAGGTCAGCTGGAGGGTGAAAGCGGCGGCGACGACGACGAGATCATGGGCGATTAATGGAATGGAAAAGGAGTTGCTTTGGAGAGCAGCTTCCTGCTCCCTGATCGAGGCCTGTCTGCTTAGCAACTGGACAAGGGTTCGGATCCGCTACTGCGTAAGCCGAATGAATGTTGTCTTGTCGAGACGAGCTGGGAATCCCCAGCCTTGCACGAGAGCACGGGGTGATGATAATTGTGCTGTACACAGAAATGAAATCTTGATATCAATCGGGGCTGCAGGTCGCATGATAATTTGCTTGAATGGACAGAGAACGAAATACTACTACTTTTGCGCTTTGTGAGGAAGACCTCCCCATGCTATGATAGCTCAATAGATCTGCGGTCTTCGGTTCGTTCTTTTGATATTTTCTTCGCTTTTCTACTCTGTTTGTATGAATTTTTGGTGTGTGGGCTTCTGCTGCAGCTCTCGACCAGTAGATGCCACCGACCATACAGCCGGTGACACCGCCAGGTTCTCTATCCCAGAGCCCCCTTTAGAAGGCGATATCCTCTTTCACAGTCCCTTGATGTGTCTCGACATCCTAGATCGTCCGCACAGGTCAGAAGCCCCGATAGCATTGCAATATGCAGGGGTCCGGTAATACTAGTACATCATGTGGAAGTCCATATGCAAAAAAAGTGTTTCCGTCGATGCCTGCTTTTCGTAGTGGTGCTGACGTTCCCTATTCCCCCCTCGACTGTCCATCACATGTTTCGAATGCTGTACCTCGTCGAAGCTGAACCCGTCCAGCTCTGGGTCCGTGGGTACCAAGGTCAGACCCCGATCTTACTGCGCGTGCACGACTTTACTCGGCTTTCCCACGGCTCTTTGACCGCGCACCACTCTTGACCCTCCTTGCTTCAGGTCGTTGGATGTGGTGGCTAGGGATCCAATCCTCGTTGTATGCTTTGCCGGTCGCAACAGCTGGGCCATCAGAGTCCGATGTAACACCGCTGTCAACCTTTTTGACCACGTCACTCTTCTTGCCGGCCTTAACGGCCTTGCGCTTCTTGGGGAAGTAAGGGACGATCCAGATGGTGTAGAAAAAGTAGCCGACTCCAACGGCGCAGGCGAGCAGGAAGAAGTACAGGAAGAGACTGATCACCAGATATTAGTCAAGACGAATATAACCAGTTCCGGAATAGGGGAAACGCTCACAGTTGGGGGTCAAAGATGCTCGCATCTGGCTCGACCACAGTCACAGTACCATTGAACGCTTGGAGAGTGTAGAACGCATTCTGTGAGCTAATCACCGCAGCCAAGTTGAGTCTCAAGTCCTGTGGGTGAAGGTTCGTCTGAAAGCGATAGGGCAGCGTCTGCTTTTCCCCCGGGGGGATCTCAACGGCATATTGAGCTGTGGTGAGGTTTCGCACAATACGCGGACTCGTGCCATCGAACGTCCACAGACTACCGCCGACGAACTGAACCGTGACGGGCTCGGGCTCCTCGTTCAGAAAAGCGAGACGCGATTCGTAAGGTTTGCCATTGGTGATCTTGATGCCGAAGATCTCCGCGTCAGGGAATGTTGCTTCGACAGAGACGGCCAGGGCGGGAGATTCAGAGGGATTTTCAATCTCCTCTTCTACCTCCTAAGAAGTGGTTAGCCATGTCCGACGGAGGCGCAGTTGGGGAGCTTACCGCATCTATTTGTGCAAAGATGCCTGTGGCCTGGAAGCCAAAGAGCACGAGGGCGAGATCCAAGAAGCGACCCATTGTAGCGATATGCAGTAGGACTACCAAGAGGAGGAAATGTGGTTGTAGATGAGGCGGGTGCTAAGAAAAGAGACACGGTTGTATTTTTGCCATTGGGCTCTGCCGGAGCAAAGTGAGCTTGCTCCTCTAGTGGCGGCTAGACGCCAGTGGAGGAGTCATCCAGGAGCCGCGCCTGCTTGCCAAAGCATGCTAAGCGCCCGTTCACGCCAAAACCACCTGCTGCAGGCTGGTGACCACTCAGCGCCTATGCAGCCATCGTGGGCAGTCTAGCGTGCCCACCAACGCGTCGCCCCCCAGGAAAAAAAGGTCCCAATATGGCAGTAGTGTTTCTTTGACGTGCGCCTCGCAGCATTTGTCCATGCAGGTTCTTTGCTTCGCATTCACCGCCAGCAAACACAGCAGCACAAACCACACGACTTAAAGCTGCCTTTCCTGCCCTTCACCTCTCTCTCCCCTCCACTTCTCTCGTCCTACCTAACACTTTCACCACATTGACTCCCAGTCATTTTGGTCCAGACCAACGATAATTCATACTCAAATGCCCGACATGGCGCGTTACGATCCCTTCTCACCTACTTTTGACCATCCCCTGTTGAATTCCAGCCCGGATTACAGTTCGCGGAACGGTTCATTGCGATCCAGTCGTCCCATCGGCGACATCAGTGCTGTCACAAACCAAATGTCTTTTCGTGAAAGAAATAAACGCCTGCGAGGTCTGGAAGACGAGAGAAATCAACTGATCGAGGTATACACATACCCAGTGCACCAAATTAGTGGCCGTACCAACAGAAGACTAATGGCAAAAATCAGGAACTGTTGTATCAGCTTGAAAGTACCCAGATCCAACTGGACCGACTGCACCTTGAGAACAGCAGGGAAGCCCAATATAACAGAGAAGGCCATCTGCGAGAAGCCACCCTACAGGAACAACTGGTTCAGGTCAAGGCAATTATGGTGCGGGTTGAAATGTCAATGTCTTGGACCTCATAGCTAACTCTTCTTGCAGGACCGCAATCCTTTCATCACCGTCCTCCTCGATGGCGATAGCATGATTTTCACAAAGGACTTACTATCAAAAGGTGAAAAAGGTGGTCAAGAGGCAGCAAGAATGATTTTTGATGCCGCCACGGTCTTTGCTGCAGAACATCTCCACCACCTCGACTCTCCCAAGGTCCTCACGCGAATTTATGCCAACGTTAAGGCGCTGTCTGAAAACTTGACGAAACTGAAAATCATCGAACGTCCGTCGTTGTTTGACGACTTTATGCGCGGCATGAACAGCACTCAACTGTCCCTTGACTTTGTCGACGCTGGAACCCGAACAAACAGCACTAAAGAAAAGGTCTCTGACCAGTTCACCACAAACCTCTATGATTGTCATTGTCACCAAGTCATTCTTGGATGTTCTAGTGACAGCCGTTATGCGAAACTACTGGAAGACACGATACAAGATACCTCCGTCCTAAGTCACATCACCCTGCTGGAAGGTATACCTTTTGAAAAGGAAATTGCCACTCTGAAGGACAATTTCAAGACTGCAAAATTTGACAATGTGTTCCGTGCCACGAAACTGTCTACTGCGTGTGCGGTTCCTAAAGGGCCACTGCAGGCAGTCACGGCCACCTTACCCGCCCTCACGCGTGTTGAGTCAAATGGCACAAACGGATCGGCCTCAGGTTCAAGCACACCGGCCCTGACTTGGGCTTCATTGACCGCACAGCCCTCGGCTCCGGCCTCTAAAGCGCCGAGCACCACGCGGACGTCGACACCAACCTCAACGAAAAGTCCCGATGCTGTGATCGCAAAACCTGTGAACAAGACGATTGAGAGGAACCGGCACGGGCTACGCATCGACAAAATCGACTCGTCTATTCCCAACCACGAAATCCAGCGGATCAAGAAGCTCAAGCTTTGCAACATTTTCTACCTCCAGGGCTCATCGTACTGCACAACCAACAATTGTTCTCACTCACACACCTATCCCCTTTCAAAGGGCGAGCGCAATGTCCTGCGGGAAGTCGCCCGCATGACTCCCTGCTACTACAAACTGGAATGTACTGATCCCGAGTGCATCTATGGTCACCGATGTCCCCAGAACAAGCCAGACGAGTCCGGCTGCTGGTATGGCGAGGACTGCCGGTTCTTTGGCTGGGGGCACGGGATCGACACCAGAGTGGTCAAGACGACCAAGGTCTGAACACCGACGGGGCGAAACGAAATGTCACTGACGGCGCTGGCGGATTGTGCTGTGTGTTGTATTCACGACTCTGGTTCTCATAACGCTCCTCCTTGCCTGGATGCTTTCGTCAAGAGCGACACGCACTTTGTTTCCAATATAATCACTGTCCCTTTTTCTTCAAGGTCCTGATGATGCACTTCTCTCTACTACAACGCCGGGGGTCACCAGTATACGGAAATGTGATTGATTGATTGATTGATCGATGCGTGTGGTGCGGTGCGGTGCTTTGTTTTCTTCCCAGCAAGCAAGGAAGGGGTAAATGGCGGAGACTCAGAGTCCTAAGTCACGAACGGGCAACCAAACCCGCGCGCAACGTGTTCGACAGGGGTATTCTGCGAGCTGGAAAAGAGGAGGGTTAGATAGACAGCTGTGCATTGGGCGCGCCTAAACTAACAGAGAGGAGGACGAGAAGCAGCAGCAGAAGGACGAACAGGGTGAAGAGGAGGAAGAAACTGTTCCTTTTTTTTGGTCTTATGAGATACCCATATTTCCACTTCGAATCAATTCATCCTTTCACTCGTGCGTACTGCCTTCGCTTCAGTAATCCATGTACGGGTATGCTTTCACCGAGCCAGCGAACCAGTGTATTCAGGGATTGATCTAAGCATCTTCGTTCCCCTTCCCTTCCCCTCCTCCCCGAACTCCGTCGGTGGCCAGCAATTTGCTCCTGCCACTGACAGTTGTTCCGCACTCCAGATTCGCCCTTTTTGCTTGTTGCCAAAAGGGGTTTTGGAGGGATTGATATGGGTGTCGTAGCGATAGCGGCAGCTATACCAGAATGACCAGAAAGGAATGTGCATTGCGAGACTGAGTTGATAGCTGGTGATGGTCGCCAATGATGATTTACATGTCATTCATTTGTCAGACGATGTGGCTACCGATCGCTCAGTCTCCTCAAAAGGTTGATCTCAACAAGGCAGATCAAAAGAGTCTGGCAGAAAAGGTCATCGAGCGCCTTCCCCTGCCTCTTTGGCTTCCTGGCAGCAGAGGAACGCGCCACCTCAGGGCCTCGTCGAAATAATGCTTTGCCAGAGGTCGAAGGTGGCAGCGATGAATCAACATGTCAGATGCGTCACATCATACCGTCAACAAGTTTGCACCAACACTCTTCTGCGCTCCGTTGTCTTCTCCTTGGCTGGGCCTATCCAGAGTTCGCCATCTGCACCCAGTTACTCGAAGGAATACTATCCCGACCTGACATGGTCGTCAACGAGGTTCCTACTCTTGAATCCTCCCCTCCTTCCTTTACGCTCGGTGTCCTTGTAAGCTGGCATGCTTGCATCAGCGCCATGGATTGTCTGACGGTAAAATCGAGACGTTGCGCATATCATAACGATAGATGAATACATTCCACGAGATTTCACATCAAATGGAAGTGGTCACGGCGACGGAGTTGATTTCCAGAATTGTGCTGCTCGAGGGAATGTCGAAAACGGCGAAAACTCGCACGCACTAATGACGAACGGACTATCGTGACTTTGGGGTGCCGGATCGCCTCGGGCCCTTAGGAGTTTCACTGGGCTTACCTAGAACGGGGTCTTGGGCGGTGGGGCTTAGGCCCTAGTGAGCCTAGGGAGCCTATTCGCAAGTCCCCCGGAATAAGGGAGGCTCGGCAATGCAGGGCTCGGCCTTGCCTTTGTGGATCATCTGGTACGAGGGATTTTGTTGGCATTGAAGAGTGTACATGGGGCATCCCCCGGTTTGATCATTACGATTATCATTGTATATAGGTTTTATCGAATGTTTTTTTGCCGTGTTGGGCAGCTTCTTATGGGTCAAATTTGCCCTCCTCAAAGGCCTTGTGCTCCCGTTCAATCTCAAGCTTGACCCACACGTAAGATACAGCCGCCCAGATGGCGATGTAAGAGAAAAGAACACCCAGTGAAAGTCCAAAGGCGTAATGGAATTCCAGAGTCCAGATGACGGCGGACACGCACCCGATGTACGTGCACACGCCGAACAACCACCACCAGGTCAAGTAGCGAAACATGTTGCGAAAGGCTTTGTTGTTCTCGTAACGGTCGTTATAGCGGACACGGAATTCCCGGTCCTGCAGGCCGTCGACGGCAATGAAGTCCTCGGCGGCATAGTAAATGAATGGGCGCAGCTTCGTGCCTCGAGCCTGCGAGTTGATCCCGATGGGGATGTTGATGGGGAGAATTTCGGTGATGAGCATCAGGATGCCGAGAAATCCCATGATGAAGGTCGGCGAGTAGAGGTACAGATGGGGCAGGACCAAGGAACTGCCGACGACGAAGGGGATCAGGGCCAGGATCATGGCGACCCCGTACACCCACGACGTGGCATCCAGCTCCCACTTGCTCCTCGACAAGAGAGGAGCACATTCTTCGGTGTGGACGAACAGCCGGTACACCCGTGCAATCAAAATCCAAAGCTCGCCGGCACCGAAAGAGATGATAGCGTAGCCCAGAATGTTCTCGTCGTATTCTGGTTTTGGAAGGGGACACTCCTGGGGCGTGCTGTTGAACTGCTCGCGGCATTCTCTCTCCCAGCGGTGTTTGTGGGAATTGTACCAGGTGTAGTAGATGATGCACGGTACGACGATATCGAAGAGTAGAATCGCTGGCAACCCGAGCGTAATGCCCAAGTGCTGCATTGGGTGTGCTTCCTTTTGCATCATCCTCGTCTCTTTGCGCTTCAGGCGTGGGAGAGTGCGCGTGGACGACGCATATGTGGGAGCTCTCCCTTGGAGATCAGGTCGTGCCGATCGAGTCTGCGTAGCGTTGTCGGCAGCGGGTGGAAGCTCTGAGTCGGATTTTTCTTCCATGCCATCAACGGGTAGTCCCAGGGTCGTGCCACTGTCTGGTGTCTCGCTTGAGTCTTCTTGTTCTGTCCGTTCTTGCTCCCCTAGCATTTCCTTCTCTGGATCGACAACTGGCACCCCGTCACTGTTGTCCCGCCAGCTCACTCCAGTGACGGGACGAGTGTCTGGCTCTTCCTTCTCCATTGTAAAGTTGCGTGGTCGTTTTCTGTTGGTCTGTTTCTTTCTTCCTCTCTTCAATGGATTCGCAAGTATCGTCCCTCAGCAGCAACCATATGAAACTCTCCCGGTCCTCGGGGAAGACAGAACGAACATTTCCACAGAGAAGGGGGCAAGTCTCCCTTTAAGAAAGCACGTATTCCTAAAGGGGGCGAGCGGACACCCGCGTGTTGACTCAGCCGACAGCATTATATAAGTCATGGGATTTTGCGGCAGAAATTTTGAGCCTTCGGCGCGGAAGATCGGGCCCATGGTCCACATCGTGCCCCTTCTATTCGCGGTGGATGTGGGAGTGGACTTGGGCGTTCGATACCCCTGCAGATCTGTGCGCCGGGGCTTCCGCTTCTCGCCCTTCCAGCTGCCGGCGGCCAGTCCGCGTCAACGTCATTGTTTACCCGTTCGAGGCGGACACTCCCAGTACGGCTTTGGAATCAGCCACGAATTAAAGTATTGGACGTGGTCTTCCGAGTCATCAGTTCGCGGGGGCGACAAAGCAAGAGCTGACCGACACTGGAAGGGGAATCTGTGGACGAGAGCGTCTGTGGGCTCGACGAAATATACGGAGTATGTACAATGTCCACCCGCTGGTGCCGTGGAGCGGTGCCGTGGAGCAGAGCCCAGTTTCGGTCCTCTACAGAGGTAGACGAAATCAGGTGCCCTAAAGCGACGCCCAGACGGTTGACAAAGGGGGGTTCCTAGGCGAGTGTAATCCCAAGGAAATACCGAGTGCTCTTGCACCTCTGTAGGCAACGGATAGATGGGGATTGCCTGCGTCGAGCGAGAGTAACCTCGTACTTTGTGTCGGGTTCCTCATTTTGGCGTCAGCATCCATACTGAGTGACGCACGGCAAGCCTTCATCTCCCCTGGAGCCCTTCAAGTGGACGAATGGTGCCCGTTCGTGCCCATTTCACGGCCGAGTTGCAACGAGTGACGGGTAAAGCCTTAGGTAAGGCAGCCCGTGTCGCACAGTCAACCGTTTCCGCGCCACTACGTCATCATCGTCGGCGTCGTTTCGGGGATTTCCTTGGACAGGATATTGTGAGATAGATTCGGGGTCTTTTATGTGTCTCGGTATGTACCAATGTATCAGATCTCCCGTCAATGAAGCACATATTCAAACTCCAGGTCCAAATGAGCTCGTTGGTCCTCAGATATCCACGACTCACACGGCACGAGCGTGTCTTTCTACGCAGTGCCTGATGCTATGGCCGCATTCATCCTCAGGCACTCCTTGTAATGCATCACGGCCAGAAACATGACGATGACCTCCTCCAACACCGCGTCGCTTCTCCAGCATGGAGAAAGCAATTCCAGGGTGCCACCACGCTTCAAACCCTTGTAGTTTGGCTTGTATCTAGCCATGGCCAGCCCCTGACCGTCCAAAAGCACCATGTTCAAGTCATCAATCTTTTTCCGGGGTCTCCATGTCATTTTCTCCCCGTGAAGTTCCTGAGAGGCGTACGAGTAATGGGTCTTCAGAAGCCCGGAGGAATCGAGAGAGAGTGGCTGCCCATGCAGTCTCATATCAATCCGAGTCGTCAGGACGTGGAAGTCCACAGTAGCCACTTCGGCATTGCTGGCGTTTGATCGGATCGTCATCTGCGGTTTCCGATATCTCGCTTCTACCGTGTACATGACGGTTGTCTGATCGGTGTCAAGGAGACGGATTGTCGTATGTTGATTCCAATAGTCCTGGTACTGAACGTGCACAATGCGAGATTCTGGGGTCTGGCCTGTGATGTCGGACTGGAAAGATTGCTCTGTCTCAGTACCATTCCAGGTTTCGTCCTCGTCGTGGACCAAGTCTGATCCCGATACTTCTTTTTCCTGATGTCTCTTGAAAAGGCTCTTCATTTTCGGTATTCTTGAGCGACTATTCTCTGTCAGAAATGCGAAATTCTGTTTAGCATCTTGGAGGGGCAGAGAAACATGTCCAGGCGCTTTTATGCTACAGGGGGTCCAACAGTAACACCACGCTTGAGTAGTAGCGGGAAAATGGGCACATGGCTGTGAAACGTTGATCGATCCTCTATATTGGTAACCACAACGAAGATCTCGGACGCCTTAAATGTTGCAACCACTCAAGTGGCACTTTGGGCAACCAAACAGTAGACACATGCCTGCCCTGGATATGCTGCTCAGCCACACGACCTCCATATTCCTACCGAGAGCCGTGTCACACAGCCATTCGGAGATCTGGAGAACCTGCAAGCAAAGCCTCGAGCGTCAACTCATTGTCAGTAGGGATTGTCGTAGGGATTTAGTCACAAAACGGCGCAATATGGGAACACACGGCAGGAGGAAGATCGCCCCGAATACAGAAGGCGTAGGCTCGCAACATTACGACTTCGGTCGCCCATCGTGCTGGCAAGCTATTGATCGACGTTACCAAGCCATCCACCGTTACAACCTCTAAAGACCATCATCTGGTGTCCAATATCGGTTCCAACGTTCGTCTGTGGCGCTTGCGTCAACGTCTTTCTTGTCGTAGAAGCGAAGATCAGTGCTCAGCCGAATACGGCCATCAGGATCGTCGTTGGCAGCCGCAGTGTGTATGGTGTAGGGTAGATGGAAGACAACATCACCGGCCTCGAAATCGGCGACGAGCCAACGGTAATTCGTCTTCTTTGCCAGGTGTTCATTGTCCCGCTGGAAGATCACTGGATCCATTGAAAGGACGCCCGTGGCGGACATATTACGATTGAACGCTGAGATCCTCTCCTCGGGGGTAAAGTCTTTGGCGCGTACCTCGAAATCATCCTCGATGGCCTTGCCGAGATGGGTGCTGTCTTCTAGATAAACAAGGCCTCCTCCTGTGGCCGTGACGTCTCCGATGGGCACCCACGCGGTCAAGAAGAATGCATGGCCTCCACGAAGGAAGAGCTTATCGTAATGAACGCCAGTGCTCAGACCTCCGGGGATATTGTGCCGAAGCATGGTTCTCTTAACAAGGACTTCTTCATCCCAGCCCATGATATTGCGGACCATTGCTCGCAATTTCGGGTGCGCCACGAATTCGAGGTACGGTTGTTGCACGTGCGCCTTCACAAGTCGCTCCAGTTCTTCGTTACCTGTTGGGCCTCCACCGCCAATTCCATTGTGCAACGAGATATCCTCAGCCGGATTATAGATGCCGTCTACCGGGTCTGTATCTGGCTTCAGCAGGCCCAAGGATTTGAACTGGGAAAAATAGTGTCCCCGTGTTCGCAGCACTTCGTCTCGCGGCAAGAGCGCCTTAACAAAGACATATTCGTCCTCATGCAGACGACGACGGATCTCTTCGATTGGGGTCTCACTTGGGGTCTCCCGGAGCCAGCCCAGCATAGACTGGGGGACCGAGCCTTGGATGGCACGCACACCTGGAGGAAGAGGTTTAGTATCTGGACTCGAACCGGCCATCGCCATTGAGCTGGGTTGAGGATGGAGCTGGTCTAGAACCTTGATTCCGGAGTGTAAGTCTTCAGAGCTTGAGAGGGTGCATCGCCATCTATGTTATTCAGTACACGCCCTTGAAATACGTCACCGCTTTATGCCACAGGAGCGGCAGACCTTATGCGATCAATGAGCTGTGAGCGGAACAACAAGGGAGTCTGGTTGGTCTGGACTCGGGCTCAGTCCTCGGACATTAGGCAGCGAAGGTGCGGGGGCCTCCAGGTTGCGTGGGAACCGGCGACCGGGCTTTTAGCGTGGACATCTGGGGACTAGGGACCCCTATTTGTTGGACATAGGGGCCCCCGGGCTGGTGAGGCTGCCACCACCCAGCTTGTTAGGCTATCGCAATCACGACATACTCATGTCCAACCACCGTCAGACACCATTGCCTGTTGCAGACGATACCAGTTTACAGTCATACAACGCTCCCTTTAAGGTTCAGCACCACAACCATTTTCCACTTTCATCGTCGCCACTTTTCACTTTCTCGAGGCTGTTCCCTCCAGTCACCGAATCATGGCTTGCACGGCGTTGCTGCTGGTCGATCAGTCACCTTGTTGTACGATAAGTTCTCGGAATCCGGCTTGCCGCCATTGGCTTTCTCTAACAGATGCACGCTGCATCTAGCTGGGGAGTGCTCAATTACAAGAAGGTCGCCACTCTACCGAAATACAGCTAATGGTATAAATGAAGGGCAAGGCGCCGCTATGTGTTGATGAAGGCCACCCTTGTTCCGCTTCTCTCTCACATCACTCGGCCAAGATAGTTCTTCACACGTGCAGCGATCTACTTCACGGGGGAGACCAACATGGGTGAGTCTCGATATCTTTTCGTGGTCAAAGACTCCAAATCCCAGTCATTTTCGAGAAGCGACGACCAGGAGAGGCGGTTGATTCACCGTCATGCCCAGATTGACAGCATGCATCGACGATGCTTGCCACCGGATCAAACAGCCCACAAGAATGAGCAACTGGCATTCATTCAAGTCAAGCCGGGGACCAGAGCTGGAACCAGCAAAGGACGTGCCATAACTGCCATCCCTCGGGTCCCGGCGGACGAAATGCGCATCATCGACCCTTTTGCCAGTACCGTGGTCAATGTAGACCGAAAAGCTCATGGTCTTCTTCAATATTTCATCCATGTTTCCCACCCTAGGACATGGCACTCGGAGGTGCAGAACGATCGTACCTATACCTTTCAGAATGACGTCCTCGCTCTGGTCAAGGGGTGTCTGGAGAACGAGGTGCATTTTTACACTTTGCTGGCGTCCATGGCCAGTCAAATGGAGTACTTTGATCTGATAAACCGAGACGACGAAACCACGAGTCAAATGGCAACAAAGGCTATTGGCGCCATTCGCCGGTATCTGAGATCTTCGCCTCCTATTGACCAAAGACTCATTTTTGACATCCATCAAATGGCCGTCACAGATTTCTATCGATACGAACTAAACTCGGCTCTAGTCCATCTCACGGCCGCCAAAAACCTTCTCACCAACATCGGAGGTATTGACCGAATCGACCCATCACTACGGGAATGGATTGTTTTTGGAGACGGTTATCTGGCGGCAGAACTGCTCCAGAAGCCACTGTTTCCTGCTTCCTGTTTCGACCCCGGCGACCTGGATCAGCGACATGGGGATGTTGTTGGTGGTCACACTGATGCCACCACGCCATGGTTTCAGGAGCCCGGCTATCTCAAGATCTTGCCGACCCAAATGCACCAAGTGCTTGTGGATTTCGCCACGACGGTCCGTGCCATGAAACAGCAATTTGAACCAGAGGCTTCAGATCGACATATACCTTCTGGATCTAAAGCCACCCTTCACTGGGTCCTTCTCCGAACAACTGCACTCAGGCACCGACTTTTGGAACTGGAAATTGACGATGGAAAAGTTGACGCCATCAGGATTGTCTTGATCATATGGCTTTTCAACGTCATGACCGTGACTGGTCGGCGGCGAACATGCAAGGTCCTAGCTTCAAAATTGAGGTGTCGACTGGAAGGTATTGAACCAGGGGACTGGGTCGGATATGAAGATGCACACCTATGGGTGCTTCTCATCGGTGTCATGTCCTGCAAAACAAGTGACCGAGGGTGGTTTCTCACAGCGATTCTAGAGACGGCGCGTCTGGACGGTTGGGAGACACACAACTCGTTTCGGGAAGATGAGTTTGCAGGGCTATTCGGGCGCTTCTCCTACCTCGATACCTACCACCAGGGCCTGCTGCGAGCCGCCACCAGCGATTTGAATGTGCTGACATCTCCCGCAACACGGGATTGTGGTGCCAGCTCATCGATGCCCCGAAACTTTCCCCACCGGATCAGAAAAACCGCGCATGCAGACTGTCAGGACCATGATCAGACCTTTTGGGAAGATCAGTGATGTTGCAATTGAGTCCCTGGCAGCGAGTTTCGAACTACTACCCAATATGGGCATGCAAAGACCGTCCCCAATTGGCTTGAGATTCGGAGTTTAGAGATATCCACCAACAACGACAGGAAATAAATAGCTCAGCCTGATGGGAGACGGGGCCCTGCTGCCGCAAAGTCAAGGTGATTCCAAGGTATCACTCGGAGGTCCAAGTGATTATGATGGGGCTGTTTAACTCAGCGCGTCATTGGCACACTGAAGGCGGAAGAATAGGTGGTGCTTGCGGGAAAATTGCTCGCGCTTCGCCCCTTTCGGGACAGAGATATGCCGCCTTGTTCGCAACCCAAGGCCACTCGATCACCGCTGCGCCGTCGAGGATCTAGACGACCGTCGACCAGAACACTCTGCAGCATGGTGATTTCCTATCAACCAGTCGTTTCCACAGCCTATCATTTACTAATAAAGTTTCTCCGTCATCAACTCTCTGTAGTAGCTCGCCGTCCACTGCCTTGCTCTCTTGCCGAACAAGACCATCGGGACGAAAATCAAAACAATCACAAAGCAGAGGCATGCCATCAAAATGAACATGTTTTGGACACCCATTGCAGCTTCCCATGGAGAAATGGCGAATGTGACCGCCGTTGACAGGCCATTGCGTACAAAAGCGACGGCAATGAGCGAGTCTCCGAGGATCTGTAAAGCACAGGAACTGTCAGCAGATTACCACAACGTTGAAGGGACGGAGCGATACACGGAGCGACCGACCTCGCGATATGCATCGGAATAGTACGTCACCAGGATGACGGCGGAGCTGTTTATGCCAACACCAACGCAGAATGACCCAATACAAGGGACGATCCAGTGCGTACCGTGCGCAACACTGATACCGTAGATCAAGAGACCTGATGGAGTGGTTATCAGGGGAAGAACCAACCCATGAAGTCGCGCCTCAGGTTCGTGGATCCCCTTCCGACGCTTTGCCACCCACAACGCATATCTGTCGTTCAGAGGACCACCCCATATCGAGCCGAGGGCGGTTCCCAGGAAAGGAGCGAGACTGAGGAGTCCAATGCCACGGGAGTCAAAATTATAGGGCGGATAGAGAAACAGTGTCGCTTGAGTAGTGGCCAAGATGGCAATCCAGCATAGGAGAATGCCGTACTGAAAAGCAACAAAGGCCAGGGCAGGCAGTCGAACCATGAGAATGAACGGCCGTGCCATGTGTTTTAAGTACATGGGAGGGTTTGTGCCGGGTGACATGGTGTACAATCTCATGCGTCGGAGGTAGCCATGTCGAGGTATTTCAGGGGGGTCGACCCTAGCATCGTTGCTGGAACCGCGTTCTATGCCGTGGATAGAGCTGGTTGTCATGTTGGTCCCCTTCTCGCCAAGTGTTGGCTCCTCCTGCTGATGTGAGGTCTGTATCGTCGCCGACTGGCCGATAATGCGCAGGCTCGATGAGATGTACTTTGTGTCCTCGTACACGAAGATGAAGAGCAAGGCTGCGATCCCCATGAAGATGGCATTATACCAGCAAACCCAGCGCCAACCTTGGGATTGGACGATGAAGCCCGCGCAAATCGGTGCCACAAAATTGCCGGTGACAACCATGACGGCGTAGATGCCGTTCATGGTGCCTCTTTGATGCACAAAGAACATATCTGCGACCTAACATCTCAACAAGTTAGGAGATCTGACGATTTGCATTGGCGGGAGAGAACACGATGACCACCCACCGTCAGCTGGATCAAGGTCTCACTCGTGGCTCCTGCGAGGCCCGAGAGAACCTGTTGAGCGTATAGGTCGCCGATAGCCTTCTGGTTGGCAATCCCAATGACAATCGCGGTCAGGACGACGGAGGTAAACACGTATACAGGTTTGCGGCCGTACATCAGTGCAAGCGGGATGAAGAAGACACATCCAAGGGCCAGACCGGCGAGATTGAGTGCATAACTATGCGACAGCGCGGTAATGCTATAACCAAACTCCTCGATCAGAGCAGACCAGGTAATTGTCTGAACCGATAGACTTTTGACTGGGTTAGTTGCGTTTGACAGACTTGGGCAACGCAGCAGCAATGTCTCACAGGGATCCTTACATGGAGAAAACAATCAATGTAAAATAACAGACAATTGCAAAATTGAGGCATTTCTGCCATCGAGGCCAATTCTGCATGCCCCATGTAAGTAGAATCCATGGATACTTGGAATGGTCTGAACTGATTCTCACCAGGGGATCATTTGGATCGGCCGAGGGCTGGGGATGTAAGATGACAATGCCATCCCCTGTTCTTTTGACTCCGTGCAAGGCTGCACTGCTGCCGTCTTGGGACTGATCAGCATTGATCTTCCGGTTGTGACTGATTTGTCGTTGTTCATGAAACATACCGTCTTCGAGAAAAATGGTGCCCGGCGTGAGGTCGAGTTCCGCAGGGATCTCAGCGGTGTGATGAGCCATATTGATCAGACAGGGGCTGTGCCGCTCAGACCATGACCGACATCAAGGGCATGTCGACGAAGTTATATATCTACCTCAGACCAGATCATCTGGACGTGATGGTACGGTGATCGGGCCGTCTCTTAAGAGTATATCAGATACTAGCATGGTCTAAGTTCCGCCCTGTCGATAAGTCTACTTGTACTAACGAGTGTCCCGCTCGCTCTGTACGTGGTTGAAGTCTTTCTTGTCTAGACATTTGCATATGTGAGGCTAGATTACTGGGTTAGGTGTGTATGGCTGCATTTCTAGTTTCGTTTCCTTCGCTCCATACCCCGGCAATACCAAGCGCAGAGCTCACATTTTACGAGATTTCACACAGCTTATACATGGTTATTCTGTGTTTTGGATCCAAAACGATCAGGTAGCGTGCTCTCATTATCAAACTGAGCCTAGATAAGACACACACGAGCGTCAGCAGCCAGTACGGGATCGGAAAGTGATGCTATTGGCCAGCCTAATAGCAATATCGTTTACGCTCGGACCCGTCAGGATTCAACGCTGTTCTCTTTTCTAACGAATTGAGTCATTTTGACGTTGGCAAGGGAAACAATACCGATACACATCCTGGAGACGCCATCGACCCTGATCAACCTCCGTCCCGGCATGAAGGTCTTTCAGGTCATGCGGAAAACGATGCTATTTGGTTCCGAGAAGAGCATGCCATTTTCGTCTATATTCACGAAATACTCCAAATGGACTGACAGAGAATCGGTACGAAGGGTTCCCATGTGACGGCTCCCATCTGCAAGGACGCTCGGAAATCGATGCTACTGGACGTAGGGGTTGCTGGAATTCTCGGCCCCTTCAAGATTTCATGACGAGGCAACAGTGAGGTCGGCCGAGATTCCACAGACAAAACCGCTTCCCCTGGCAACACAATTCTTCAAAGGCTCTCCCATCTTACTCTCTACCTTATTTCTGCAGCTACCTCTCGACCGTGGAGAGTGACTGGGCCCGTACTGGTCCGTCTTGATCGGCGAAAATCAGAGCCGTCGCGCGGCTCTGATCCCCGAGGAAGTTCGTCAGGTACCGCTCTACGCTGGTCGACTACGAGAAGCAGTTTGGAGCGTAGAGACGAAGAGCCAAAAAAGTAATATGTCCTCGGACTGCGTCAATCGGATTTTATCTCGACCAAGACTTTCCTGTATTATGGAATGAAGAGTACACAAGGTCATGGAGTAGATACATACAGTACGTGTGGATCCTGTATCTGTGGGGCCTCGGCACAGCAGGGCCAATCAGCGAGCGAGTATGGTTACCACCTATCGAGCACTTCCTCCCTTACACCTAGGACACCCCCCCGCCTTTGTCTTTTGTCTGTTGCCCACTCGCCTTGTATGCCTGTATGTTTCTTGACTCTTGATCCCAAAAAACATGGTGTCACAACTCCCAACACACTCTCCCCGGCCACCCAAAAAAGCATACCGCAAGACTCGACGGCCGCCTGCTACTCTGCGGACCAAGACCGGATGCTTGACATGTAAGTTTTCTGGCAATGTCCGAGTGAGCACTGCCAGTATCGCCCATTGCCAGTATCCTGTTGTAGACAACGTGGTATCTACTCATTGCTCGCTCCAGCTAATGGTGCACACTGACCTCAGGCCTCCAACGCAAGAAAAAGTGCGACGAAACCGTCGAGGTGTGTCGCAATTGTTCACGCAGCGGCATGCAATGCACATGGCGCCATTGTCCCTCGTCCGTGAAATCACCGGCGAGGAGAGTTTGTAATGGCAAGACATCCACGTCGCCGGAGTCTGTGGACGAGAGCACCACTGCGGTTCCGAGGACGGCTCTGGTGTCGAGTGGTGTGCCAGCGACGCTGTACAACGCCTACTCGCCTGTTCTGTTGTCGGAAGCAGTGCCGCTCTTTCAATACTACACCAATGTCTATCTCCCTCAGATTACTCGGCCACAGACCAACAGTCGGTTCATTCGAGGGGCCGAGGAAGAGATCATCACGATGGGCTTCCACACCCCGTTCCTGATGCACGCCTTACTCGCCACCTCCGCCGGCCATTTGGCAAAGCGATCGGAACACTACAGATCGGTTGCAGAGTTCCACTATGGACAAGCCGTCAAAGGACTCAGACTGAATCTTCAGAGGAAAGACACTCAGACAGATATGGATGCCGTCTTGCTGGCCATCATCGGCCTGTGCATCTATTCGGTACGTGGTTACCAAACCGAGTGATTTCCTCTTTGTGGGCACGGCCGAGGGCAATATTCTTTCTTTGACCCTGTAAGTTCATCGTAGGCTAATGGTATATATGCCCTGTACAGTCCGAATCGTCCGACCAGCGACCTCCCGAAGAAGTGACCATGCACATCGTGGGCGCTGCCGAGGCCATCCTTCAGTGTCTCTCCAACAACCCGAGCCACTACCATCAGAACCACCACTCCCCGGCCCAGACCGCCATGCAGCGCCTGATCCTCGAGTCCTTTTTCTTCCACGCGTCGCGACGGCCCCTGTTCGTGAAGATGATGCCCGCGAGACTGACCGCGGTCAGCGAAGCCATCTCGGTGGTCCACGAGCTCTTCTGCGCCTCGGACGAGCTGCTGGACAACCCGGCCTGGAGTACGTCCCCGCTCCTGGGCCCGAATCCTACGCTCTTCATCTACGTCTACCAACTGTCTCTGCTCCAGAGCCAGACCCATTTGAGTGTCGAGGACGTGAATTACTGTCTCCATCTCGAAGCCGAGCTCCGGGACCTGGAGTCGTCGACGATCGATAGGACAAGGTCAGTTTCTGAGGACTTAGGAAACGATAATGATGACGACAGTCATACGCTGCTGGGAGATCAACTCTACATCCTCGCCTGCCGGCTTCTGCTGAACCGCATCCTAGATGACGGCTCCATGGCATTGTCCAGCCACAGGCTGGCCACCCAGGCATTGCGTATCATCCACCTGGTTCCCGCCGGGTCCGACTATCATGCGTCCTATTATTTCTGGCCGCTGTCCATCATTGCCACGTCAATTTCTCAGTTGGCGGGCCTCGATCTGGGCGTCGAGCTGTGCGAGGAGATCCATGGCATGCGTGCAGGTAATCGATCAACCCCAAAACTGATATACTTTCTATCGACAATATGGGAATATCAGAAAAACACCACTACGGATGACGGAAATTCGGAGTGTCCCATCTGAAGAAATTAGGTACTGCTCACGAAAAAGTCATCGGGCGTCAGCTCTCAGGCTGTTGCACACTCTCGAGCAGATTAGGTCAGATGGAACATGGTGGTTCGAGTGGGATCTCTCAGGACAACTTGTTATCTCTGTCAAATCTGGAGAAAAACTGGCATAACACTTCTGTCCCTGTAACACACGAACCCTTTACGCTCTCAGGGCTTGATCAATAACCTCTGTTGCCATTAATACTTCTTCGTCCTGGAAGCGCCATCCGACAATTTGCAAACTGCACGGCGCACCGTCAACGGGAGCAGCATCATCTAAAACCCAATGAACCGGGGGAATTAGCAAGTTTCAATATATCATCTGGAGATTTGCCAGTGTCACTTACAGCCACCAACAGAGTCCACAGTCTTATCGGCCTTGAGAAATGGCACGACGGCGGCGGGAAACTGGACATTATCAGCAGGTGAGGGATCGAGGGGCGGCCACCTCAGAGTATTTTCCAATGAGATGACATGGTACATACGTCAAGGAGATTCCAGATCACGGTGTACACCGGCATACCGAAAGTGTCGTGTGGAACGGCAGTTGCGTGAGCACCAGGGCACAGCAGCACATCCATTCCCGTAGCTTGCCACTGGCAAAGCCATTCTTCCCGGTACTCACTCAGCGCCGTATTGGAGTCCCACACATCATCGATATTATATTTCCTCGACTGGACCAGGTTTCTGGTCGAAGTATGGGCCAGAGACGCAATGGGGTCTTCGACGTTTTTCAGATGGGACAAGGGCGTCATCTCGTTGTCCATGCTGAAAAAGCCCCCAGCAATGACCGCCGCCTTTCGAACCGACGGCAGACTCGGGCACAGCTTGATATGATGTCCCGCTGCTCTGAGCTTCGCAGCTGCTGATTCCAGGGCACGCGTGACTGGTGGTGCCAGTGGGTAGTCTTTGTCGCCGAGCATGAGGCCAATCCTCAGCAACTTCCGCGGCACATGTCGCCACGGCACAGCTAGCGAGGAAGAATCGCGGGTCCATGGTCTGCTCTGGATGACGACTTTGAAGAAATACGACAGGTCTGCAGCGCTGGACGCAATCGGCCCTGCCGCCGGTACTATGCCGGGAGAGCCTTTTCTTGCAGAGAACTGTTGTTTCCCGAATGGAATGCGATCCGCGGTGGGCTTGAAGCCGTAGGCACCACAGCAAGCCGGGGGGACTCTGATCGAACCGCCGATGTCTGTTCCCACGCCTAGGATAGATCCGCGGAAGCTGACGAGAGCTCCCTCGCCGCCACTGCTGCCGCCAGCGGTCAAGCTCAACTTGTGCGGATTCATGGTTCGACCAAACACGTGGTTTACTGATTCCATTGTCTGGATTCGATCATTAGCCCTTCTTCCCTGTACAAACTGAACACATGTCAAACCGCCATCTCACCAACATTGTCTGAGGGACATTTGTCTTGACATAAAGCACGGCTCCAGCGGCCAAGAGGATGTCGATCAATATAGAATTGTGGTCCGAGACAGGCTTCGTGAGATATGAAACATAACCAAGGGTGGCAGCTTGGCCCTTTACCATGAAACAATCCTAGATTGGCAAGCTTTTCAGTCACTTGCAGTCGTTGCACGATAAACCTTCATCGTTCAAAGACCGATGCTCACCTTGACACTGATGGGCAACCCGTGAAACGGACCAAGAGGTTTTCCTTCTCTTGAAAGATACTCGTCTAGGTACTTTGCACGTTCCAGAGCTTCCGCGAACATTATCTCTGTCAAACAGTTTGTCTGAAGTCGATTACTCCCATGCTCTGTTCCGTATTCCATAACATAACGTACCAACTGCTGTGCAATGGCTGCACGCTTACAGAAAGCTGTCGTAACCTCCAATGAAGAGATCCTTCCAGTTGCTATCATGTGTAGGAGACTCTCAACCGTGTGATTCTCTGTCAAGCCCACTTGGTCCGCTGTCAGAAGCTCGTGGGTTCGCAGCAGGTCGAAGGCGTTGAGATCGGAGGTAGGCGATATGTTCTTGGTGATTTCTTCCGGAAGACGCCATTCTGCTGGGATTCGAGAGTCGCGGTCCCGGAGCTTCTCCTCAACAAGGGCCGGCCAGTTGGTGGTATACGCCATGGGAATCGATCAATGAAAGGAAAGGAAAAGGGGGGTTGTCGCCCTGGTGAAACTGGCGACACTGAATAGAATACTCTGTGCCGGTCCATTTCGACGCGGTATCCCGGCAGTCTGCCCTTAAATACAACTCGGACGCCAAAAATATCGGAGGGCGAGTCATTCCAAGATCCATAACAGCTTGACTTTCGAGGATTGCATATGTAGATAGGGCGAACAGCGAGTTCTGGCCAATGGCACCACTTCCCGCCACCGACGGTAGTGGTCGTCAGAGAATGCGACTAGGGTCTCGCCATGTTGGGTATTTGGCCAACGGCAGCATCTCCCGCGAGACGTCCTTCGTGGTTGGTCTCCACAGGGCATCGTTGGCGAGTTCTTCATCTTGTGAGAGAGTCGAGGGAGTCAGAGATGATTTTCTCTCAAGACCCTATCATAGGAACAAGGCATCCGGAGATAAAGCAGCTCTTCACCTGTGAAGGTGGTATCCTAGTCTAGCGTAGGCTGGATCATGATCGACCATAATTAGATTGATCAATAGTAGAAGGGCCGGAAAACCAAGTGACTGAGAGGCGGGCAATGTTGACAATCGTAGGTATATAGTATATTTTCCTCCATCAGATGCAGTGGTTCTCGAACTACATCAGATTCTCGAAGTTCGACTACGACCCACCCAAGCATTACTCGGGAGGAAAGCCCTTGGCCAAGACTGTGACACCTTGTATCTCCGTTTCATTGCTGACCTCATGCTCTCTTGCTCATGACACTCCAAAAGAAAACAAAGGAAAAGAAAAAGCTAACTACTGGCACCTCGGACTTCATCGAACCACACACAGCTCCGGTCGACGATTTACATATGTATATACAAACTGCGTCGCCTGTTCGCCGTCTTTTCCCGTCCCAGCCTCCCAGCTCCACATTTTCAACCCCATGTCTCTCCAGCTTCGACCGAGGTTATATTATGTCGGAAATCATTACCCTCCTCCTGCAGCTTCAACAATGCCTATCGCCTACGAAGTCCATGGAGGGAAGACTGGATCGTGGATGTCTCCGAAGTACATCCTGCCACCCCCCCAACCAACCGGGCGATAGCCCGAGGACTCGGCTTTATGCTGAACGCCGCCCAGTTGGACTGATATCCCTCCAAGATTCCCTCTATTGTCCTCGACTCTATACTACTGCTGTGTCTCTCAATTGATCTTTTTTTTTGCTGAAAAGTCACGGCAGCAAACATGCCTTACACGTCGCCTTACCCTCCATTAGATATTCCAAAATGTAATATCCTCTCATATGTCTTCCCCCCAGAGAAGACGCCATCCGACAAACCACTATGGATGGATGCCGAGAACCCTTCCCACAGTCTTTCGCCAGCCCAGATGCTGTTGTGGGTCAAGAGATTCGCTGTTGGTCTTGATCGACTTGGCGTCAAACAGCAACAGGCGGTCATGGTTTTTACGCCAAATCATATTTATGTCCCAATGGTGTATCTCGCCGCTGCCGGATCGAAGCGCTTCTTTACCGGCGCCAATCCTATCTACACGGTCCAGGAGGTCGCCCACCAGATGAAGGCAATTGAAGCAGCGGTCGTGCTCATCCATCCATCCTTGCTCGACACCGGTCTGGCTGCAGCCAAACAAGCCAACATCCCCCTGAACAGGCTTTTCATCTTCTCGGATTCCGAATCTCCAACCACACACGGCGTCAGGGATTGGCGGTCAATGGTCGCCTCAGAAGCCGAGGCCGAGTCTTGGAAATGGGATCCTCTTGAAGGAGACGCCGCCCTGCAAACGGTTGCCGCCATTAATTTCTCTAGTGGAACCACTGGTCTGCCCAAAGGCGTGTGCATCACGCATCGCAACCTCATTTCGAACGCGGCGCAAACAATCTTCAACAAGTACGAGGGCACTCAGTACTCTGAAAAAGATCCCGGTCCTGAGCGTTGGCTTGCATTTCTCCCCTTGTATCATGCCTACTCGCAGTTGTGGACCATCAACATTGCCTGCCGGCTTCAAGTCCCCGTCTATGTCATGCCCAAGTTTGTGTACGAAGACTTCTTGAGGCACATCGAAAAATATAGAATCACGACCCTGCAGTTGGTCCCGCCTGTTCTTGTCATGCTGAGCAAACGACCCGAGACGGTTAAATACGACATCAGCAGCCTCCAACAAATTCTCTGTGGCGCCGCTCCGCTAAAAAGTGATTTACAGAACGAAATCATGAACCGATTCAACGTTGTTGTGGTTCAGGGCTGGGGCATGACTGAGACGACATGTGCCGGCATCATGATGCCAGGCATGACCAAGGACCTGACCGGCTCGATCGGTTATCTCCTACCCAACACCGAGGCGAAGCTCATAGATGACGACGGCAACGAAGTGACCGTGGAAGGCGAACCGGGTGAACTCTGGCTGAGAGGACCGCAGATGCTGCTTGGCTATTGGAGAAACGAACAAGCCACCAAAGAGAGCAAGACGGAAGACGGCTGGTTCAAGACCGGAGACGTTGCCGTCTGCAAGGGCAGCAAGTGGTGGATCGTCGACAGGAAGAAGGAGCTCATCAAAGTCAACGGATTGCAAGTTGCACCGGCAGAATTAGAGGCGGTCCTGCTTGAGCATGACGATGTCGCAGATGCAGCAGCCGTGGGAATCACTGTCCACGGTGAAGAGCTCCCACGAGCCTATGTAGTTCTGCAAGAGCGGGCCAAGGGCAAGACGACCGAGGAGGACATCAAGGCTTTCGTGGCGAGCAAGGTAGCCCGGCACAAACGGCTAGCTGGCGGCGTCAAGTTCATCGACGAAGTGCCCAAGCTTGCTAGCGGCAAGATTGTGCGCAAATTGATGAAGGAGTGGGCGAAGAGGGATGCAGCGGAGGTGGAAAGGACCGTGAAAGCGAGACTATAGAGAAGACTTGGAAATCGGTCTTCAGTCCTTACGTACCTGGGATACAGACATCTGCAAGTGGCCCAGTCTGATGTGGACATAGAGAGAGGTCAACAACACACTGTCATCGTTCTGCGGGCTACAAGTTTGGGCCCAAGGCCTTTCAGCATGTGGCTCAGTTCATATGGTTGGATGGAGAAGACAGAGAGCTTCCTATCCACGGCGAAATGGTCCTTCGAAGCAGGCTTGAGACAGAGAGACTCGAATGGTAATGGTCCTTCCGTTGTCGCGAAACATTCGGTCCCATACCAACAACGCCAATTGCCCGTTCGAAGTCATGATCAAATCAAATAGTCAATGGGAGATAATAGAAGGATGCACCGGTGGTAGGTACGTTTAATATGATGGTTACAGTACGAGGTTTAGAGAGCCCGTAATCTGGTGGTAGGAAGAATTGAGCAATCTACATATCTCGGGCAGCGATGCCTCACCTCCTTCCATATCTCTCACCTTTTCTAATATCAGTCGTGTCTTCTCCAATACAGGAACCAAAGAAATGGGTATCGCTGCAGGTGGAAAGATCGAGCAAGTAATCGTGAGGGACCATCGGTCGGTAGGACCTTGGCAACAAGAGAGCTTAGCAGCTCACTGGTCATAACTCGTTCTTTGCTCACAGCAAAATATGGGCATCACTGTTCAAAACTCCAGCTCGACTTTCGCCTCCCCTGTTCTTGCTCCGTTCTTATCCGCACCAACGTCGTCCCCGGGCTTTTTGTCCTTTGGTCTCCCCTTCCTATCCACCCTCTCGTCTCGGGGGTCGAACCCGCCATTGCCCCAGAGCGCCCACTCGGGCGTGGCGCGGCAATAGTCCTCGGGCGCAAAGTCCCTGCCGCTTTCCAGCAGATCAAAAAACTTGGCGTAGTCGATGAGCGTGTGCCACTTCTGGTCGATGAGGAAGCGCTTGCTCGCGATCAGCACGCAGCAGCTGTGTGCGTGCTCGGCGGCGATGCCGTACTCGAGACCTCTCTTCGCGAGGGCTTGGTCGAGGGCTTCGACGAACGCGACCACTTCCTCGTAAAATGGCACGTTCTGCATCGTCAGACCGGCGCCGGCGGAAGAGCTGGTACCGCAGTACTGTCGGGGCAAGACTTGTTAGATATGTGCCAAACAATGCTATAGAAAGGAAGTATGACAAAGATCATCCGGAACGAATGATTTCAGCGGGGCAGGACTTACTGTGACGCCCTTTATCTCGACGAAGCAGGGTAGCCCCTTCGCCACAAGATGGGCATACCCTTCGACCTCGTCGTCAATGTTGAATCCCTTGACCAGTGTCAGACGGAAAACGGTGCGTTGTACGAAACGCTTCTCCCGTAAAATGTCCAGGCACGAATTGAACCGTTCCCAAAAATCCCGGTGCAGAGGTCGGTCGATCTTGCGCAGACTGTCTTTATTGCTGGCGTCGATGCTAACGTAGAGTTGCGTGACACGGCGCAGGTCACGCAGCTGCTGCGGATGCTGAGCGTTGCAGACGAGGAAACTCGATATCTTCTCGCCATGCAGGAGTCCCACGAACTCATTGATGCGTGGGTAGAAGATCGGCTCGCCCACCAAGCTCAAAGCACAATGTCGAATGCGCATCGCCTCTTCGAACCTTTCGGCCCGGACGCCGGGGACGCCGCGCATCATTTTGATTTTCTTGTAATGGCCTTCTTTCGCTCCCTCGAAGATCAGCTGGGGGTCATCTACCTGCCAGCGCCAGGTCGTCGACACCGGGTTGGTGCCGTGCCTCCAGCAAAAGACGCATTTGTTGCTGCATGACAGCGACGGGGTGGTTTCCATGCACAGATGGGAGGCAATCCCGTAGAAGGAATTCTTGTAGCAGGATCCGCGGCCACGAAGGGCGGACTTGGTCCAACGGCAGATTTTCACCCCCGAATGGGTGCCCACGATGGTGTACCCCTGCTTGGTCAGAGCTGCGTGAGTCGGAGATTCTTTGGGAACCATGGCCTTCAGCGTCCCCGGTGCCGATGGCGGAGAGCTGTAGGTGGTGAAGTCAACGGCCAATGGAGCGGCATAGGAGCTAGCCTTACCACCCACATCCTCGAGGTCTGTGGTGTTTGCAAGCTTCCGTCTCTTGTTGCGACCAGAGTCAGGGAATTCAACCTCTTCATCATCCCCTTGTTCTGGCTCGTCCTCGTCACCGCTTTCCACAGGTTCCCCGCTTCCAGGAACTCCTTCACCGAGCGCACCTGTCTTGCTCACCTCCATGAGAACGCCGCACACGCCACCCGTCCAGTCCTTCAGCGACTTATCGACATTGCTCTTCACGTCTCCAAGTCCCAATGGGTAGGCCCTCTTCCTGCCAGTCAATTTGGCCATCCACTTGTCGACCTCTACCGCTTGCGAGCAGAATCCTTTCTCTTCAGAGGGCCAGCCTTCTTTGTCACCGATACCAAATATGGTGTAGCCTGCCAATGTAGATAACGGTGCCGTGTCGATGCGGAAGTCATTGTGCGTCTCGTCTAGATGCGCGAGGAAGGTGTTTAGGATGGTGTCGATATCGTAGGAAGGTATTAAAAGAAGGTAAAAGTATGAGACGTCTGCACTCGGCGCGGGTGTCTTTGGTCCTGAAATGAAGTAGTCGTCGAGATCAACATATGAGAGATCGTATACTTGAGGCCTAAGAATCGCGGGCTGAGCGAGAGAGACTTCCTCGAGATCTGTCGCAACCTGCTTCGAAAGCCGTTCAGTAGTTCCAGTCAAGGACGAGAAGAAGATCAGTGGCTGTATCTGAGAAGACTCTCGTCGTCTCTGCAGGACCGCCTGTCCTCCTCTCGAACCTGCCGGCTTGCGGCCAGTCACAACGCGGGCTGCAGCCGCTGCAGTTCGAGGTTTTCGAGCCTGGCCAGATGTGAGCGAAGAGCTGTCCCGTGAAGAAACATCAACCCTTTCATCCTTTGCCACCTGGACATGGGTATCGTCATTCTGTGCGGGCCACTCTGCCTTCTGCAGGGTCAGAGAGTCGCGCTGTGCAATCTTGCGGGCATGCCTGCGTCGCACGATGACCGCGAAAACGCAGAGCCCAAGAAGAGTTGACAGAACAACACGGTTCTCGTGCCAGCAAGTCAACAGGCGATCCAGCCAGTCGGCCAGGATGACTGGCGTCGCTCCAGCTTCACCGAGATCCATGGCGACAGGATTGTCTGGTGCAATCACTTGGACGGGCAAAATTCTCTCAACGCCAGAGTGGGATGTCGCAGGCGGCGTTCCCGCTTCCGCTCCGGCTTCCGCTTTCTGGGGTGCCCGGAGTTTCTTGGCGCATCCATCCACCTTGACTGTACCGAGTATTTGCACCGCCCTCTTCAATCTCGCTATTACGCCTAACACTGAATGGGCAGATACTGTACCAGGTAATGGCAAGAACATGATAACATGATGGCAGGTGAGGACCCAGAGACCCAGCTGCTTCATTTAGCTGGCTATCTGCACAATCACACCTCACAGCGCCAGCTCGATTCCATATCCCCTTTTGACCATCATCATAAGATCAATTCGAGCCCTGTAATCCCAATACACTCTCTGTCTTTGAGGTCCCTACCGTACATTGCCATGTTGTCTTCGTCATCAGAAAGGCCAGTCCTTGAGGCACTCCCAACCCAAAAATGCCGCAATCACGGTACTCACCACCATGGGCGGAACAAAGAAATAAACATAGCACAGCAGCATGTTGGCAAAGTTGCTAACGAACAGGATCCACTTCAACATGCTCAACAGCTCCTTCAGAGACAATTCCCCACTGCCGTTGTCGTCGTCGACCTTCTTCACCTCTCCTTTCGCCTCGCTCCACGCTGATGAAGCATGTGGCTTCGTTCCAGGAAAGGAGCTCAAGACCCACGATACCGCCGCGCTCGTGAACAAAAATACGGTCATACCGAGACCGAATCCCATGTAAAAGTCGTGCAAGGTCCTCCGACTGCCCATGAAATCGAATCTGACGGTCTGCATGGCGGAGAAAACGGCGTTGCCTTCCACGCCAAAGTCTGAAGGGAGGAGGAGACCGCCAATTGTGTGAGTGCTCGCGAAGAAGACGAGTAGTGGAGTGGTGAACTTGTAAGTATTCATCTCAGAGAGTCTCGTGAAAGGGGAGGATGGAGATGGAGAGGCTGTGTTGGATTCAATCCGTGCTGTTGAAGGCTTGGAACGTGCGGATCGGCGTGTTGAGACAGTCATGGCTGACGCATCCCTCTGCAAGTAGGGTGTCTTATATCAACAGCCAGCAATTCATTCACACACTGATCAGCTTCCGACCATGAGTTCTTCAATCCCTGGCACTGGCAGATTGAGAAGGAGATACCTTGCATCAATCGAACAACGTTCAGGGTCTTGGGCTTCAACCCGAGACTATGCCGGGAGCAGCATAGTTGCCTCGTATTCGTACTCTCCTTAATTTTGGCCGCCTGTATCTTGGAAGATACGATTTGCATTGGAACAGCAATAAGGCATTGGATATCACCGTAAACACTCCCCAATTGACATGAACAGCAGCAGTGCGGAAGAGACGCTGGATATGAAACGTCGACAAAGCCGCTTAGGTAACCCCGCTGAGTCAGCCCGGTCGCCTACAGCTGTTCAGGGGCACAGCCTTGCAGAGCATTGCGACTTCCCCCTCTGCGTGAAATGACGGCAGACGTGGTCCAAGTGGTTCAGCAGAAATGAGCGTTGCTGATCATTCCTTTTTTTTCTACCTTAGATTGCATCTATATATGCCGGACGGCCGCCATATCCATCGGACGCCACACTCTTCTCCCCTTTCCGGTAATCATTTCCTCGTCGTGTCCAGATAAAGAATCTTCTCTCTACTCGGGATGTGACCCTTTCCAGGTGTCGAGTCTCAAACAGAACAGGTATGTAAATGTCTACTTCTAGTACGCACTCAGAGATATGGCGCGGCGACTCCGGCTGCGGATATATGGTCCCCATCTATACAAGACCCAGGGGATGGGCACCATTGCGACAGAACAGGCTCCCAGAATACTGGTGGCCTTACCGGTACCCAAATTTTCATACACTATAGCACAGAAAAAGCGTTAGTATTCCTGGGCTCCATCGTCTCCGACTTTTTCAACAAAACTTACTCTGCACGGCGAAAAGAGGGAAAGCTGCCGCGAATCCGTACCGGGCAAAAGCGTTCGCGGCCGTAGCTGAAGCACCGAAAGTCGGTCCGTAGATGTTGACGAGGTAACTGATGGCAGAAATCTGGAAATCAACGTCAGGAGATCTGTCAAGGGTCGGGGATAGGGGGATTTGCTTACGAAGATACAGAGATTGCCCCACGCGAACGGGATCAATGCACACACGGGACTCGCCCAGTGCACATCTGGTCGGACGGTCCAGGCAAACCAAAACAGGCCGATCGGGATGCCGACGCTGCCACACATGGCAGGCCAGAGGATATCTTCGAGCTGATTCGGCCGCGGCGCCTGGGCAAGTTTCCGCTTTTTGGCCAAAACCAAGTCGAACCCGACACTCGTAGTAGTGGCCAGGAGGCAGCCGATAGCGATGGCAACGAACGAGAGTCCTGACTGGCCCTGGCCGAAGCCATAGGTCCTCGACAACGACCACGGGACCGCCGGGAAGAAGTTGTACAGGATGCCAAAGTTCAGAGCCACGTAGAGGCTGAGAAAGAGCACGATTGGCTCAGTCACTTGCATTGATAGCGGCCGGCCGAGAGTGGTGGACATCCAGGCCTTAACGGCCTTGAGGATGTCTGAGACCTGGACAGAGTCCGATGCAGCATTTGAGTCCGCATCCACTTTTGCCTTTTCCACCTTCTTCAATATGGCCTTTTTATACGTTTCACACATTCCCACTGCCCAGATGTACGTGAGCAGCGCGAGAAAGACGGACACCCATTCGAGCCACCTCCAGCCTTTGTGCTCCTCGACGAAGCCGCCTATCACAGGGCCTGTGTTGGCGCCCTCACATCAGCAATTCGATTTGTTACGGGTGTCAACTCAACATACCCAAGCTAGGCCCGAGGTTGGGCGCCATCACGAAGACCGACGTGGCCCGATTCCTGTACCGGGGCTGCCATATATCTGCAATTGTTCCTCCACCAACGCTCAAAGCAGGACTTCCGAAGAACCCCGCAAAGAAGCGACAGACGAGTACCGATGCAAGGCTATCAGAGACCGCCGCCCCGACCAGAAACAGCGCGGCGATTGGGAGGCTGAGCCGGTAGATCACGAGCCTGCCGACTGTCTCGCTCAACGGCGCCGCGACAATGGGTCCAAAGGCCAACCCCAGACAGAACAGCGACACTCCGAGGAGGGAGACTGTCGAAGAGACATGGTACTTTTGCATCAGTTCTCGGTAGCCAGAAGAGTAGATCGAGGACATAAAGGTACTGAGAAACTCGTCAATGATCTTCTCGTATGAGCTTGGCTTGGATGCGTATCAACATACATGGTAAAGGCATATGCCGCGCAGATACTGGTGTGGTAGAGTTTCTTGCGCAGACGCCAGTTGTTCGGATTCTCAGGGCTGTCTTTCCACTGATCTCGCGGTTCATCACCCTGGTCCTCGACCATAGGCGGCTTGACATCCATGGCGATCTTGGGACTGGTGCACTTTTGGCCGTTCTTTCTGTTTCATTCACTTGACGGCGGTGGTTGGCAGCGCAGCTTGTGTGCCAAGTATGGCTTCTATTCGAGAACGCACCAGATCCAAGAATCTAATGTACCGACGCTCAGCCCAGCCCATGCCGCCTGATAACTAATCTTGGGTCCAGCAACAGCCCCTTCGCACTGGCATAGTTCCTCCCTACCTCCCTCGCTCGCTCGCTCGCTTGGGCGTCGTCCGTCCGGCAACACGTTACAGCCTGCATCGTGCGCCAGGACGGCGAAGTCTCGGTCATGCAATCCGTCAATAAAGATCCGGAGAGTGACCGGTATAGTTCAAATTGGGGTATTCCTAGGTGGCAGTGGGTGACAGCTGTTCCCAGGGAGGATTGGTAATCAGATCCCAATTGGTCAAAGATGCCGCTGGAGCCGTCGACGTACTTGATTTATAAGCATCCATCCGTCTGGGCACAGCATTGCTGTTTTCCTTCCTTGTTGCATGGAACTATTCACATGTCCTAGATGGGAGAGAGGGAAATGTGGCTTGAGGGGCTCATATGCCCTCTGAAAGAAGAGTTATTTGTACGATCTGTGCCTTTCATATGGACTTTTTCAAGTGAACAGCAGGAGAAACAGAGCAGTGCCCGTGGCAACTGCTACTTCACTCCAGCTTTTCGATACCGTTATGGTTCTTACAAGGACTAGGAGCTACTGCGTAAGTCTGGCTGGCAACGTCCGCAAATAGTTCACAAATTAGCACCTTTCTGATCCTTGATCTTCGCCAACCACTGGTTGAAAGTCGTGACTTCTTCGAACAGTGTCGGCCACACCACCTCCCCAGCTTCCTTGAGTTTGTTGCTGAAGCCCGCCGTGCAGTCCGAGAGCATAGTTACCGTGTAACCCAGCTCAATAGCTTCTCTGGCCGTGGCCTCGAGACAGGTGTTGGCGACCATCCCTGCCATGACCAGATGATGTATTTCTCGCTGGCGCAACTGGTAATCGAGATCCGTGTTGCGGAAAGAGCTGGAATTCCAATGTCTGCTCACGACGACGTCTCCATTGCTGACACTTGGCTCCAATCCCTCGATGATATTAGCTCCCCAGCCAGCAAACGTCCCCTTGTCTCTGTTGCGAACGTGGTTCGCACGCATATGTAGCCAGCCCGCGTAGGTGCCATCTTGGGTACTTTGGTGAAGGCCGTAGTAGATAGGAATGTTCGCCGCACGAGCACCGTTTACAAGCTGGCGGATGTTGGCTAGGGTGCCGGTCGTGTCCAAGCTCTCTTTCAACAGTGGATACAGTTTGCCATCAGGATGTAAGAACTCGTTGAGAGGATCAACCAGCACCAGAGCTTGACGTGTGGTCATCTCGGTCAAAGAAGTCGCACAGGAGGGCGGGAAAGAGCTTCGATCCAATGATTTTTTGATAAGGATGGTTTTAAAGCAAGAATCTGTGTCTCGGATTAGGCCTGCTTGACTGGCTCACCTTTTAATCTACACGAGTGGCTGAAAGGAGATCCAACACTGCTGAAATGATTAGTATGTCAGCGAATGTTAAATGCCGAGGCGGCCATTGGATATATGCGGATAGGAGCGCTCTTATAGCCTCTTAGAGACATCAGCCCCTTGCGTCGATAGAACTTTTCAATCCATTGTCCATATCCGCCATAGCATGTACTGCTCCACGTGGAGTCTAGCAATTTGCTGCATGAACGGAATGAAAGTCGGAGGTGGGTGATGATTTGTCAGCTTTCCCTCCTGGTGTTCCCTGTTGCTGCCAACAGTGCTCGCCTGCGACATCGGTTGGTCATTTCTTGATGTCAACTAACCTGTCTGGAGCTGTGCCACGGTCCCTGTTCGTCTCAGGCTGCTGACAGTTCGTCTGGGAGAAGCATCGCTTTGTATGACTGTCAGCCTCAGGGAGGAGTCGGTCTTTCCACCCACCAATAGATAAGGACCACAATAGATCAGTTGAGGTCGTTGATTCCAAGGCTGTGACCCTCTCGAAAGAGAACGACAAAGACCAAGTAGATGTTGGGGGATGCCCTGGTGGCGCCTGTTCAGTCGAACGAGGCTGTTGATGTAAAGGGGACAGCCCCGGCAGAAACTGGAAGCTGACAAATCACGATTGTGTGGAAAACATGCGACTTCTTGCCAGGGGATTCGTAAATCCTAGTAATCCAGAGACTGACCTTGGACATTCTCGACTACGAGTGCCTCCTGAACCCATTCTCTCCCTCTTCACTGGTTCTTGCTGCAAAGTCCCAGCTGTACACGTGCACAATCATGTCCACAGGAAGCAGTGGGAGACGCCGACACGCTGCAAAGCGCAGGAAGATTGACGCGACAGACACGATCGCAGTCCCAGAAGACGGCGAAGGCAGACTTGTTCGAGTATTGGACCGTGACTCAAAGGGCCCATGGCTAACCTCAGCAGTCAGATGCACGGAAGTCGCGCGTCGAACAGGCAGCCGGACTGCCAGCATCCCCCTCTGAGAGACCGCTCCCCGAAGCCGTACCGATCGTGCGTCCTCCAGATGCGCCCTTCCGGCCTGGCGCGATACCGCTGTGGGTTGTGCGCGGCGCAGAAGGCAAGAAGCAGTTGGTATCGGAGATGGTGCCTGGATGCCGGCATTGGCGGAGTAGGTGTCTCCCTGAATAATCAAGGCTCAGGATATGCTGACACATTGTTGTCGAGTTGGGGACCCCAATGTTCCTTGGTGCTTCGAGTGCAAGAAAGAGGGCGACGTGATGGGGTGTAAGACCTGCAAGCGGTCATATCATGCGGCTTGCCTGGGCGAGTCAGGACCTGCAGAAGATGCCTCGACAAATGCGTTCTACTGCCCGACTTGTGTCCAGCGCGGTTGGGATATGCGCCCGCCGGCGGACATTTTACCGCTGACACCTCTCTCTTCCCGCGAGAGCAGTCCTGTGCCACAGATTACAAGGCCAAACGCAAGTCCAAAAGTCGCAATCGCCGCTGAGCCTCGCCAGCAATCAGAGCAAACGACGGTGTCACGGCACGAAAGCTATGCGTACCCCGACCTTGGCCCAAGGATCCGTGAAGGGTCAGCTCGTGAAGCATCTGTCCCAGTTCCGGACCGAGGACAATCACAAGAGCTGTTTAGAAACGACTACAGTGCATCATCCAGAGCTTCCTCGGGTCCGATGGTCACAGCCTACCTGCAACAGCAGACTGTGTTGAAGGATACACGAGAAGACCACCATTCACCATCCCTCCGATCCCCCATGGTCGCTGAAAGTACTGTTAACCAAGCAAATGCCGCGTCGCGGTCGACCAAGGCAAAATCCAGGTACCAAACAATGCCTGACGAGGTGGACCAAGCGCTCACAGTCATTTATCGCGAGTTAGAGTCTGTGGCTGCGATGAAGCAAGACATTGCAGTCCTTCAGGATCGGCTGAGAGCCACTGAACAAGCGCGGCAGATTTTGGAAGGTCGTCTGGCTCTTGAACGCTCAGGCGGAATGGCCGTTGCCAGCAAGGATGCCGAGATCAAATCTCTGAACCAGCGGCTTGCTGAGCTGAGACAAGGCAACGAGAAGCTTGTCGAAGAAAATGCTATGCTGAAGCAACGCATGATGGATCAACAGAAGTCCAGTCAAGCTGGCCTGGAGGAGATGGAAGCCCTGAAAGCGAGTCTTCGCCGGCTCCTTGGTAACTGAGAGCGTACGGCTCCGACCAAGTGCAGCGCATTTACTAATGATTCTACACTTTCTCAGATGGACACTCAATCACTCTAAGCTGTAGGTTCTCGAAACTAATGAAATGGCCCTTTTTTACCTGCAGATCAAGACATTCCGGTCTGTGAGGTTGAGATCAGAGCCTTGCCAGAACGCAACAGACCTAGCCATTGCTGCCCTGTCTAGAGTCCTGTTTATATGTATTGGCAATGGACCTGACAACATGCGAGCCAATTCTCTGCCACTATTCAACGTGCCCGACTGCGATAACTGTCACATTGAAAGGTGTCTAACTTTCAGCTGGGATCTTGTGGAGTGTCGATATCAACGTGGCCTAGCGAGACAGATCTGGCAATCATGAGGCCTTCTTTGCGAACAGCTCGGTCATCTGCGACTGGTGCACTTGCAAGGCCGAAGCAGACACAGACCAAATGCGTACTGCCACACCACGTAGTCCTGGACCGAAGTGGCTGACTGGTCATCATGAGAGTTCCCGCCTTGGGTGTGGACTATGTATGTATGTACTGTAAGTCAATAGGTGCGTACCTTATTCAAGGTGCGTATTCGTCAGTAACACGCCCGCCGCGTATAGACAAAAGCCACTTTGGGAATACGATTTGTCATAAACGCTGCATACCGTTGTGCACTTGGCTCCTTTTCCCCTCTCCCTTTTAGTAGATGAGCAGGGGTTTTCGTTCCAGAGAATCTACCTCACGAGCGAGCGTTTCTGCTGCTATTAATATTGTCCTACCCAGGAGGAAAGGGAAAGTATAGAAACTTTTGAAACTTCAAGAGAGGAGAGAGAAAGAGACCTGCCTGACATGGGTGAGAACTTTGATCCGCTCGTCACGAAGACAGCAGGCTTAGCAGTCCGCAATGGCGAGGACGGCCACGATGAGCCTACTCGAACGGCATTGGGCAGATCCATGAGAGATAAACACTTCCTCTTCGCAAAGGACTATGTCAATCTGAACCACGGTATTGTTCACTGCCTACCACTCCTCTTTGGCCCCTTGGGAGAGACCTCCCGTCCTAACCATCATCCCCAACCCTAACAACTTGACTTTGTTGTAGGCTCCTTTGGGGGCTATCCTCGTCCGGTCCAGAATGCCCTCCGCCACTATCAAGAAACAGCAGAAGCAGAACCTGACAGGTTCATCCGCTACACTTACCCGCAACTGCTGCGCAAGAGTCGAGCCCTGCTCGCCGACATGCTCCACTGTCCGGTCGACGAGCTGGTTCTATGCGCTAACGCCACGACCGCCACCAACACCGTCCTCCAGAACCTCCGGTGGGAGGAGGGCGACAAAATCGTCTACACCTCCGGCGTGTATGGGGCCCTGGAGAAGACCATCCACTACGTCGTCGAAACGACTCCAGCAAACAGCGTAAGGATCGAGTTGGATCTGCCTCAAAGTGACGACAAAATCTTGAAACTCTTTCGAGAGATATTGATGGAAGAAAAGCGCAAGTGTGAGCAAACCGGGAAAGGTCGTGTTCGGTTGGCCGTCTTCGACACCATCGTCAGCGTTCCTGGTGTGCGGGTGCCGTTTGAAAGGCTCGTACAGCTGTGCCGACAAGAAGGCGTGTTGAGCCTGGTCGACGCTGCGCATGGAGTGGGCCACATCGCCCTCAACCTCACCGAGCTGGACCCGGATTTCCTGGTCACCAATTGCCACAAGTGGCTATTCGTCCCCCGGTCCGTCGCGGCTTTCTTCGTGCCGGAAAGGAACCAGCACTTGATCCGCACGACGCTTCCGACATCCCACGGGTTTCGGCCACTGGGATGCAACGAAATCCACAGTCCGATGCCCGTCTCGGACGAAACGAACCCCATGGTGCGGCAGTTCGAGTACTTTGGGACCATTGACGGCGCGGCTTACTGCTGCGTCGAAGAAGCAATTCGCTTTCGCAACGAGGTGTGTGGCGGTGAAGAAGCTATTCGCACGTATTGCACCTCCCTAGCGAAGAAGTCGGAGGAGATCTTGGTTGAAACCCTGGGGACAGAAACGTTCGACATTCCAAAGACGCATCGAGTTTTCTTTGCCCATGCTCGGCTGCCAATTTCCGTAGGGGCGGGAGATGGGTTCAACGTGCCCCCGAGCGACATTCCAGCCGTTACCAATTTCATGGAAAGGGAGTTTGTGGAAAGATACCGGACTTTCATGTACGTGCTGTTCCATCGAGGGGCCTGGTGGGTGCGCTTGTCCGTCACGGTCTATGTTGATCTAGAGGATTGCAAATATGCGGCTCTCATCTTGAAGGACTTGAGTGACAGGATATGTAGAGGAGAGTATCTGGCGACCAGCCCAGCAGCGGGAGAGAGGTGATTTTGGTATTCGTTCCTTCCGACGGTTTGGACCAGCATTGAGAAGATGATCTGATGCAAATAGCATGTCAAGTGCAAAGGGTAGCTTTCCCTATGATAGTCGCAAGCTGGAGGTTGAGAGTCGATTCTCACAAGCTGCCGGAGGAGAAACGTGTTCCAAAGGAAATGGGGATCGGTCTCCTTTTTTCGAAAGCAGCCCAACCATTATCCGGATCATATATATTGTCACCTCATTCCTTGCAGCAACAAAGTGTCGCACCATTCGTGGGCCGTTCATGACCGTAAATATGCGAGTCAAGATTTCCAGAGTTCGCTGAGTCGACCATCCTTGTCTCTCTTACGCCTGCAGAGAGGCTCGCAAGTCTCGAGCCCACCCCAATGCCCTTCGTCGAAGATCTCTCCGCTTGCACCCATGACGTCCCCACAGTCAAGAAGCAAAGTCCGCACAATCGCGCCTTTGCTTGGATCCCGTTGCTGCACATGAGGAAGACGTCGGAATAACCTCCTTCTATGAGTAGATCCAGGAAATACTGGCAGATCTCATACTCCGAGGTTAGCATTCATTAGCATCCAAAAATCCCTACGACACTATTCGCCCTGCGTCCTGCATCTCACTCTTGGGAGGTTCCAGCACAGTGGAAGTAAGCGCTTCTGGAGCACAATCATCCCCGCTGCGACATGCATATTTACCTTCAAGGCACATAGGTAATTGAGGCCCTTTCATGGAGGAACAGGAATATTGTGCAGACAACTGGAAGCGAAATCTGCACAGTGGTTGGTAGAGAGAAAGACGAGAAGCTGTCGAGGTGTCTCGTCTCGCCAAGGCCATTTCCGACATGACTCACGAGCCCGCAACGGAATGACTCGTGTTTGTGACATGCTTTCGTCGCAGTCTTTCAGCCCATGCATGCATCTTCGTAGCGACTGGGAGTTCACAGTCCTCAACCTGTAACGCCCCAAGTACCATTCGGCTGCCGTACAGCCTCCGCATCATGGCGGACGCGGACGAGGATGCCATCCCAACAGCCTCTGTGTCTGGTCCCGACGACCTCGAAGACGAAACCCAAGACTTCCGCTTCCTCAGCCAGTTGACATCCTCGTCAAAGACTGGTCAAGCCATAATCCCCAAGCGCGGTACAAAGGACTTCGAACCCAATCCCACGCGGTCGCAGGCCTCCGCCCTTGATGCTTCCCGCCTGGCAATGCACACTGCCCTCAGCGCAGTGCGCGTACAAACAGGCAAGAACTACGTCGTGGGACAATATCTTCCCAATGAAGACGACTGGAGATGGGACGGCGACGGGTCAGAAGGAAGACATGGCCGGTGCGTCGTGGTGTACAAATTCAAGAGCCCGTACCTGAAAGTGATGGGACAGGCAGACAGGAATAACTGGGTCTGGCTGTTGCCCGAAGAGGCTCTGTTTCTGCTAGAACGAGGAAATCTCGATATCCGATGGCCAGATGTCAATGGTGAGGACGAGAATGCATCAAGTGGGAGTGAAAGAAAATCCTGCAATATCACCACCCCGGAGGAAGATTCTGCTGCTCAAGAGCCACAGACCATCGAACCAGAGAAGGATGCTGGTACAGCAACGACTTACAGCGCAGAACCTCCACTAGGCGAACTCCCTATGAGTCTCCAAGGTGCCTACGCCAGTTTCATCGGCAAGGACGGCTTGACGTTGGAGCGATACACGGTTTACGCAGGGCTTAAGAGAGCGGGATACATTGTCCAGCGGGCACCGACCTGGAACGATACCGATCTCGCTCACGCAAACGGACACGACTACCACGGGCTAAACTCGCCTGTTCCACCACCTTCACCCTCCGCGCCCTCATCTAGCAGATCTCAAACTCCGGGGATAATCACATCTCTAGTCCACAGATTAATATCATGGATCTTACAACCTCGCCAGGGCACCTCCTGTCCCTCCCTGGGGCCCCTGGTCGCTCCGGGCTTGTACAGGAACTACGCTGATTTATTCCGCGCCCTGGCATTGATTCCGTCCCACGAGCCTCCTGGCACCAATAAATCCAGGGCCTCGAATTCTGTGTCGTCGCCGCGGCCCCAACCGCCCCAGGCTCCCTTCCGCATCCACTTCCATGTGTGGAAACCCAACGTCTCCGCGACCTACAAGAAGACCTCTCCACCTCCAGAAGACTACCGAATCTGCGTGGTCGATGCGCGCTCGACGCCATCGATTCCGTCGTTGTCTGAAATCGGCCCCCTCCTCGACAGTCAGCCCGAGGACTCTCTCTCCAAAGCGCAGGCGGGCAGGTTAGAGACGAGGCTGAAACACGGACGACGGAATGTCTTACTGGCGGTAGTGGACATGGGCATCGTGAGCTATCTGAGGCTGAGCGACGCGTGCTTCGGGGCTGACAAACTGTACGAGGAGAAGACCAGGGCAGGCACCAAGGGTCGAGCCAGAAAGACCCAGGGCCACGGCCAGAGCCGGGGGCAAGGGAAAGGCCGGAAATAGGCAAGTTAGTCGTGCTGGACTGTCGCCTGACTCCAGACAGGCGGTGGCTGTCTCACGAGATCCCCTTTCTCGGGACGGAGTTGCTGTGGCGATGGGAGTTTGGAGAAGAGCCTGATGTGGCACGGTGCATAGCAGCGTGGGCTCTTCTGACCATTGCCACTGCACTAATAGACGCGGTACACTACTTGCAATTGGACTGCAGAATGATTTTCGACGGAGGGCAATTCAGCAGGATGGGCTGAATTCTTCAAGATTTAGACATGATACCCACTATGAAATGAGATATAGACGGCGTTTCAATAATAATGATGAGAAGAAACGAGGTGAGAGCAATGTAGCGTGTGTGCTTCTAGATGGAAGAGTCCGTCGCCACTTCCGATTGACTACGATACAAAAAATCCCACATGAAGCATGCAGCATGCAGCATGAAACCCAGAAGCTCCAGAGACCGACAGGACGAGAAATCCCTATTATCTGCTGAAGCTTCAACAGAGATGTGTCGTACAGTATGTGTCTCCCCGTGAGAGAACGTCCGCGTTTCACCACGGGAAAAAAGGGCGAGCGGACTGCCTGATGATCTAGGGATGTTCTGATCTTCCATCTTCTATAGACGTCGGCCTGTGGGAGAGTAGGCAGGATATAGTGTCGCGACGTATATGCTTGAGATGGGTTGTTGGGAAGGGAGAGGCTCTTGCGGGAGAGGGAAAGGGGCAGGGGTGATATTTTGGATGGTAAGGAGATGGGATGAAAGTGCACAATAGCAGAAGGTTCGTGAGAGAGGATAGTTGCATGGCAAGACAACTGGACGTCGGTATCGGCACGATGTGTCTGAGCAGTAGTCGAAGAGGTATGTGTTGGAGGGGTTTTGAGAGAATGAGACACTTGCACCCTTTCCTTAAGACTTCCCTCAAACCCACCAGCCTCGGATGGCCAATACGCGCTTCATTTCCACCAGTGTACGGGATGCTTGAGACGATAGCAAGCAATATTCGACATGTCTTTTGGTTCTCGATTGGAAATGCACATCGTTCTCCATTCATGGGTCCCGGCTTTAGACCTCTAACCGCCTGTTTGGTGGCTCAGTGTCGTTGTAATGGACGCCCCCAAGCTGGGGCTAGGTTAGGTAGAGGCCAGACTATACTCTCCCAGCTCCGGCCCAATCCCAATCCTGCTCCAGGATCAACGGATTTTCTGCATCTTTTTCAGCATCATCCAGCAGCGCCAGCAAGCTCAGGTCTCAGGGACCAGAGGAGCGAAATACTGTTTCTGCAGAGGGCTTAGGAAGTTCCGCTCAGGTAGCCATTCCAACGATGGACAAGTCGCGCCACGGTAAAGCCTTGAGTGGTATATTTCGACGTCCAATCCCGGGAACAGTGTGTATCGTCCAGGCTTCTCGGGTTCTGTCCAGGAGCCACATCTTGAAGCTTGTCGATTCCATGGTGATAATTCATTGCTGCTCATCATGGCATGATTCAGGACCTCAACATCAAGAAATCAGCTGCCATCAGTAGCTCCAGGCATAGCTCCGATGGAATGTCCATATCCGGCACGGCCTCGCTGTTTCGATATTTCTCATTGTAGTAGAAGTACTCGACGACTTTCTCGAGGACGGTTCCGGAGATGTTCTCCAGGTGGCAGATCCCCGTTTGGGCCTCGGCGAAGTTATCTGCACGGGGGTTTTCGCGTTAGCTTAAAATTTCGAGGAGATGGACACGTAGTAGTAACGCGTTGAATATGTATCAACATACTTTGCAGGTCAAGCATACGCCTGAGTGTGGGAGACACGCAGGCGGCGGAGCGGCGGAGGTGGAACTCAAAGCCATCTGACGAGACCAGTGTCACAAAGGGTGAGGGAGTGCCGTTGACAGCCATACTGTTGGCCAAGGTCTTTTGAGACAGACAGTACAGTGTGTTGTTTGAGAAATATTCTGGAAAAAGGAAGATTTAACAATGAAAATCAAGACTCGAAAGAGTTGAAGGCCATCGGGGCTCGAGGCGGTGAGGGACGGCAGAACGGTTTGAAGCATTAAAGCAGCGAGTCCGCGACTCCTGGACTCTCGGCATAATCTAATCTGTCTGTCTTCATGTCTTCATTCGTTCTTCTCTTCTTATTCATATCTTTTGTTGTACTAAGCCTCGTCAAGGAGGTCACGACTTGCCTGTGCCCTGTTCCGATGGTCAGTCAGCTCTTCCCAAGAGAGAACTCAATTTCCAAGCATGTGTTGAAATCCCTTGAGCCCAAATGCTTCCTTCCTCATGTTGTAAGAAAAAAACTGTGGCCCTCGAGTCTAAAGTACAATGATAGTGTTGTAGAATGCTCGTCTGCTGCGTGTTTTGAGAAAGGGTGCATCTGGTCTGAGTCCAGGCAGGTGGCCACCGTCAGCCTAGAACTCTCAAGCACTGGATCCAATCACTGTCAACATAGCCTGTGAGTCTTTCGGATCTGTCGAGCAAATATCGCGCACGGCGTTCATATGAGCGATCTTTATCCGGACCGACCTAGTCATCATCCGTAATCACAAACGCCCCGTCTTCGTCAATTACAACTGCTTCTAGCTCCCGCCTCTTCGCCCCTCCCGCAGACAGGCTTTGCAATTTCTTTGCCGGCGCAGCACTCTCGTCTCCTTCATCGTCCAAGGGTCGTTTCCGCTTGCCGTTGGAGAGTGTAGTGGTGCTTGAAACGCCTTTTGTAACAATGAATCCATTCGCATCGGCGTGAGTATCGTCTGGGATGGACTGCTTGTTCGGTTTCCGGGGTATCTCCAATGTTTCGCCGTCCTTCTCGACAAGAAGAACGACTCTCGTTTCGTCCTCTGGTTTCTTCGCTTCGATGGCTAATTGGAGATCGACCCGAGGATCGTCATCGTCATCCTTGATGAGAACAAAACTTGCGTCACCAATATTGAGATCTGTCAACTTTTTCTCCAGATTGTCCTCGAGATCCGGATCATACACCACACCGGCCTCTGTCATGACTGTCACTTCTTCCCCATACCCGAGCCTCGTCTGTAAAATATCTCGTACGAAATCTCTGAGCGTGGCTCTTTCAATATCGACATGGACTCGTGCCATAGCAACGCTGCAAACAGGGCATTCGGGGTTGGGTAAATCTAGCTGGTCAGTGTGCAGTGAACCAAGTCCCAGCCAGAGCCATCTATTGCGAGCATAGTCGCCTTTCAGTACTTTGAACCCCTGTAATACGCAAAGACCGGCGACCATGGCATTCGTGGTGGCGATTGCGGGAATGATGTTGCCGGCCATCTGCTTGATGTCGAATTTCGATTTGGGTTCGATGCCAAAAATGATTGCCCGCAGGTTACCTGCTGCGGCAACAAAGTCTATCGTGTCCTCGTCGTCTTTGTCGAAAGAGATCGAGGGCTGTGGTTCCCCTGATTTCGACGCGGCCGCTTGTTCCTGGGATAATCGTTTCACCAGACGGTCTAGACTGTCCTTGAACACAACATAGTTTTCGACAGCGGACCATGTCACTTGGCCATTCTGAGCCACTTGCGAGCCAACAGCGCTTTCGCTTGCTAGTTGCTCGAGGGTGTCGTAGGAAAGAGGCTCTGGCGGCTTCTTGTCTTTCCACATATCCTCCATCTTTACCAGTCTTTCAATATCCTCTTTGAACACCTTATCGAACACCTGCTTTGCGAAATCGTTTGAACCCATCAAAGCTCTTATTCTCTTCAGGGCCTGTGCTTCCTCTTTCAACTTCTTGATCTCTTCGGCATTTTCCGCATCTTCCGATGAATCCAGCTCAGCTGCCTCGTCTTCGCTGACGCCGAATAGTTCGGGTAGAAGATAGCTTTTGGCCCATACAATACAGTGGATCGGTTGGCTCGGAGTGGAACGGATTGTGCAGACAGGGTAGGAAATCGGAGTAGTTTTGGGAGTGCAATCGTAGCAAGCAGTCTTGCCCTTTTTAATGACCTGCACTTGACCCCTGAAGCCTGTCGTGCCGGATTCGACCAGAGGGACATCGACCGCCAGGCACATCTTGTTGACGTGCCGCCTAGCATCCATGTTGTCAAGCGCATTGAAGACGATATTGAAACCCGAAAACCACTCCAGATTGAATTGTTTGTCTTTTACGTTGGCATGGTACGCGAATAACTTGACGTTCGGGTTGAACCTCTGAGCCACGTCCTTTGCGACCAGTGCTTTGGGCTTCTTGATATGTTCCTGCCGGAAGAGGAATTGACGGTTCAGGTTGCTCAGGTCGATCGTGTCAAGGTCTATGATGTGAATTTCGCCGAAGCCGGTGAGGACAAGATTCTTGAGCAGCTCGCAGCCTATGCCGCCTGCGCCGACGAGGAGGACGCGGCACTGTTTGGTCGAGAAATCAGGTCCAGTTCGCGTCGGCCAAATTTGGAAAGGAACTCACCTCCTTCACGAGTCGCTGCGTTGCGCCCAGAGACTGACGGGTGTACTTGTCGCGAGGCATGGTGCTGAGTTGGAGAGCCTGGAGTTGAGGACCAGCAAGAGAGTGGCTTGCTTGGGGAATAAAGGTGTTCTAATGGGGATGAACCATCAAAGCGGGACTATGAAGACAAGGCTAAAAGTGAAAGGAGAGATCGAAGTGAGGGTAAACAGAACGCTCATTGACGCCCGCAGGGGTGATGCAACCCGGTAACAGAGCGATGGTATCGTCTGGCAGAGGAGAGGAGATGGATGGAAGAGATGAGTTGATCAGTCCAGGACGGGCAATTTTTGAAGCCGCCGCGCTGCAGCTGCAGACGCAAGCAACGATGACCTCTGGTGTTGCGACGGGATTGTGATAGCTGAACCCTGCAGCGGGAGGGCTTTCAGAGCTTCCCCAATCAGGGGCGGCTTGGAGGGACCTTGACCACCACGATTGGGGGCGTCGGGTGCCCCTCAGACTAGCGGCTTAGGGCTTGGCCTAGGGCTTGCGTTAGTGAGAAAATAGGGGCCTCAGAGGATTCCGCCCAACTGCACAATCTCGTCATGCGTCGTGCATCAAAAAATCGCGTGGGCGCGAGCCTCCTTTGCCTCCATTCGGACTTGGTAAGAAACATGACACATGAAACCAATTTTTTTTTCTCACCCGACCAGCACTGATCGACAAGGGTCAGGGCACGAATGAGCTTCCTCTTCCAGCGGCAGATGAATAGAACAGCGAATGCAATGATCAACATCAATGGAATGCCGCAATAATAGCAGGCCTTTTCTGGTGCTGTCGGTCGACTGCGGCCCGATCTGAGTTTGTGCGACTCCCGCCCATCAATTTCTGTATCCAGGCGCATACCCGGAGTGATCAGATCTGCACTAGGCAGCCTCAAGAAGATGTCTGACGACGAAGCCGACCCCGAACTACTGGCCCTCTTGCGGCAGTCTCTAGGCCTGGGCGGACATGGGCAGGCGTCCGCACCACCATCGACAGGCGTCCTACGATCGGCAGAATACATCTACGACAATGCCATCGACGTGGCCATCTCCAGCAGCGGCACCAAGAAGGCAGCAGAGCACATCTATCGTCTCATGCAATCGAAAAGCTACTCAACAGGGACATGGTCAACGCACGAACTCCACCCCAAGCTGTCCGAAACCGGCGAGGAGGAAACGGTGAACTTCATATTTACCATGAACCTGCTGAATTTCTCCTTTTGGTCAGAGCTGCCTGAGGGCGAGAGGTTCGCCATCGAGTACAAGGGACGGAGGTGGACGGGATACTGGTCCCTCATCGCCGCACTGCAGAGAAGTTTGAACGAGGGTTATCCGATCACCAGTCCGGACTTCTGGCAGGACCGTGATGCCTGCCCGGACAGTGTCCTGGAGCATATCTTCCGGTCCGCTACGCAAGAGCCGATACCTCTGCTGGCAGACCGCATCGCCATCCTTCGTGAAGCGGGTTCAATCCTCTACGAGCACTTCGGCTGCAAGCCAGCGAACATCATCCGCCGCGCGGACGGGTCCGCGGCAAGCTTGGTGAATCTGCTCGTTCAATACTTCCCCAACTTCCAGGACGTCGCCTCTTTCCAGGGGAAGGAAGTCCGTCTATACAAGCGCGCGCAAATCTTCGTGGCGGATCTCTGGGCCTGTTTCCGGGGCACATCGTACGGGTCGTTCTCCGACATCGATTCCCTGACCATGTTCGCGGACTATCGCATCCCGCAAATGCTGCAGGGGCTGCACTGCTTGCTGTACTCCCCGCGGCTGGAATCCCGGATCTCTCGGCGCGAGATGCTCAAGGCGGGAGAGGATATGGAAATCGAGATCCGAGGCTGCAGCATCTGGTGCGTGGAGTTGATTCGAAGGGAGATTCAGCAAAAGCACCCCGAGGCAAAAGGGAAGGTCAACGCGATCCTCATAGATTTCTTTCTGTACGATACGTGTAAGGAAATGGAGAAAGGGGGTGAGATCGAGGAGTTATTGGCACACCACCGGACCAGGTCGATATTCTACTAGGTGTGTTGTCACTACTTAGAGCATTAGATGGGTTAGGGATTTTCCAGTATCTGGGTAGACGGGCATTCATTAGCCTAGGAGTTTCTTGATAGACGTTGCTTGGACTCGCCGTCCTTCCTTGCTATCCAATTTCAGAGAACCGCTCTTGCCTTCCTACCTTGGTATCGTAGACAGATTTTGCGCTTCGAAGGTTCGATATATATTCCTATCCAAGTACCAGGGCAACTTTTTTCAATCGAGGACCAGTCACTTTTCATTTCCCGGAGCGCCAAATATTTCAACCTCCGACCTCAACCTCAACCGGCGTTCCGGGCCCTTTCGATCTTGACATAGTAAACGGCGCCAATACCTTCTTTGCCTCCCAGATCCGCCACGCCAGATTCTCGACTTTCCCGTCAGCTTTGACGACCTCTGGCGCGAATTCAATCCCAAACATCTGGTGGATGACATAGACTACACGCTTGGCATATTTTCCATCCCGATCGACGAGGCTGCCAAATGGTTCGTGGACTGTGCGTGGCGCAATCTCCGGGTCGCGGTCAAAGCAATTCTGGACGATCGGCAACAGAACGCTTTCAATGGTGTGGCGAATGATTGCGTCACTTTGAAGAGACACGGGAGTCTGCATAGAAATGCTGGTGTCGAAGGACTCGAGCTCGTCGTCGCTGAAGCGAGGGATACGTACTTCGAATGGCAGAGAGATTGCCATGACATTGTGCTTACCATTGTGGTGATATCGGAATTCGAAGACGCCTTGAGTCCACCATAACTTGTCGCCTGAGAAGAGCATTTCCCCAGTAAAGCATTCCTTGATCTCGCCACTCTCAGTTGACATCGTGCTCCTGACGTCGCTGGATATGATGCCGACTTCGGAATTGAGGAGTTCATACTCGTCGCGATTCGTGGCGATCCATCTTCCCGACGAGGATAGTCTTGTAACTTCGCGCGAGTTGTTATCTGACACCATATACAGACCGATCCAGTCTTTCTTCCCATGGTTGAGCGGTGCGGTCCATCTGACTTTGATGGGGGCGCCGTACTCAAAAAGGAGGGGCTTGAAGTCACTTGTGCGTTCTGCGGGAAGTCTGCCTTGTTCAGACTCTCTATCACTCGAGCGTTGAGAATGAGCGAGGGAGGATGCCGGGGTCCCCTCGATATCCAGCTTATAGTCCTTCGGATTCAACCCAGCAAGCTCCGGCTCCACCCTTGTCATGGTCAAACGATGTGGATTCTTCGGTAACAGGCTCTTCGTATCCTCAACAATGCTGGTCACACCCGCCGCAAGTTTGGGTTTGGCCGCGTCAAAGAATTCTTCCAGGGTGTCAAAAGCGTCAGCCAACATTTTGTCCATTCCATCTTGCCATTGTCGCAAAGGTGGTGGAAGTGATCTCCGAAGACTCCTGACTAGTCCAGCATCTTGTCGAAGGCTCCTGCCGTAAAGCTTTTGCATATGCGGCCTCTCCACAAATTGGATAAATGCTAGACTTAAAGTGTGGCTCAGCAGGGCGAGGCAGAACATCGCTTTACTGCTCGTAATCAGGGCTATGCCCCAGACTCCCGCCGTTCCAAGGACTCGCTCTGGGTTATTGAGGAAACGATAGATGCCACCGTAGGTCAACTTAGAGGAGTGGTCGAAGAAGAAGTCTCCAAAAAACCACCCAAACTCTCCAAGTTGGTCGTAGATGCTGAATGAAACCCAAAATTGGAGAGCAATCAACCCTAGTCCGATGACATGCTTGGGCAGAGCCATCCCGCCATTCCAGTTCAGGGGAAGATGGTACATCTTCCAGGCAGCGGCGGCAAAGCTCGAATAGCACAGAGTCATGCTCAAATGGTAGATGCCTTTCCATTGTCTCCATGCTTCGCCCGTGCTCTCTCCGTACTTCAGAAAGTGACGAGTCCATTTTTTCTTGGACGATTGCCGATTCAACAAATAGCCGATACCCACGGAATACCAAATCCGCCAAATGGCGGCATTGATGACGAAAAGTGTCTGGTAAAACCTTGTGTTGGGCGTGACGACCGTCAGGGCAAACAGATAGAATTGTAAAAGAAAGACTGCAGTATCTGTAGTTCGATAAAGATCTATGTTATGGATGCCGAGCAGATTGTGTGTTTGAGACGGTTGCGCATGAGCCGGACTGGGCCATGCCTCTGCCGTAGTGCTGTGCTCAGCCAAAGACTTCTCCATCTGCGCTGCTGCTGGTAACTCGTTGATGGCTCGTCGTGGGGGTGGGGAGTTGTAGGTGCGGTCAATGTGCGGGCTCTCAACCATCACTAGGAAGGCAAATTGAGCGGCATGGGCAATGATTGAGATAAAGAGGACTTTATAGCTGGCCGCCATCAAGGAGATTCCATAGAAACCGGCATAGCCAATGCTATACATTGCTGCACGGTTGGTGTTAGCTCGTAATCAGAAGTGCTGGGAATGGCTTGACTGTGCCCCAACTTACGGTGAGGCGCCATCTCGAAAACTCCATCAAATGTCAACTCTTGATCAATGAGGAAGAAAAAGTCACCCCAATACCAAGCAAAGTCTTTGACCACGCGATGTGCATCCAATTTGACCCATATGTTGAAGACGAACAGGGACATGCCGACAATCCAACGAAGTGCTGTCAGGAGAATGGACTCGGTAGCTGGGATATGAGCGCAAGACAGGGCGAACAGCATGTAGGTGGTGAAGTCGCACATGAGAATCAAGTCGACGAGGCGGCGAAAGACCAACCACGTATTGTACTCGAGGGGGGCAGTGTCGAAGTCATAGTCCTTGGGAATTTTGGTTTCCAGTTCTCTCTTGATAAACGCACGCAGTTTAGGATGCGGATTTTCGCCATTGGAGGCAACCGGAAACAGCTTCGATTTCCTGGCCCACCTGACCAGCAGCTTATGATGGGATTGCATGTGAAGAAGATAGCCAATGCCGATATTGTAGCCGGCTCGCCAGCTCAAGAAGAGCGCAGCAAGAACTGGTTTCCTGATGGTCGAGGGTAGCCACCAGGCCAAAAGACCGTGGAGCAGCAGGATCAATAGCACAGAGATGTCAGACAAGTTCTTGGGCTCCTTGGGAGACAGGAGCTGAGAAACCATGTCATGGGTGTGTGGAACAGTGAATACTAGGAGGAAAGTATGAGAGACTACCTCTGAGGAGAAGTCGGGCGGTTCAATACACGTACCAGTGCCGTCCGGAGTACGACCAAAAGTCTTGCGGTCCTTTTCATCTTTGGCCTCTTTCTCCTCGAGGGCATTCAGCTCGAGTACAGCCTTTCTGGCATCTTCCTGGGTATTCGCCCGAATAGGAGCATTCCGTCTCCGCAGATTCTCGGTGGCGGAATCCCCAGACGATGGTTTGGCCATGATTTCTGTCATGACGATGGTTTCTCACCGCTTGTGGTGAAAAGAATTCTCTCTATGCCCTGCAGAGTGATGTAGGGTGGGAGAGGGAGTGATAGCCAGGTTGTTTGTGTCTTTACGCGAATCCATGTCAAGGATTACACGGACACGAGATGGAAGCAGGCATCGGAGAGGCAGTGAGAGTAGACCATGTGTCGTGAAGGGACGCAGAGGTTGGCCACGTTTCGCCGGATGAGGTGGTTCTTCAGTAATTTTGCTGTGTCCAATCGCTGGTGCCCGCACCGTGCCCCCCATAAATGACGACACCCATTTTCCCAGGCGTTCGAGGCGTCTCCTCCAGCAGTCTGCAGCTTTGGGCGGTCGTCCGGAAACATCATCCCCATGTACTGAAGAACCACACCATTCCTATGTGCCGGTATACAGAGATTCTGAAGAGAAGGTGTTTCGGTTACATCCCCGTGGTCCGTGGGGACGAGAGGGGTTGAAAGGTGAGGCTGAGGGGCACCTAGGGGGCGGTTGTGGTGGCAAGGCTGCTCAGCAGATCATGCCATTGTCCGTTGGTTGCAGGACCAATCGGCGACTGCAAAGGCATTACCAATCCATCTGTTACTCCATGCTTTTTTACCAGAACCAGAACCACGTCTACATACATGAAAACCTTGTACATACATACATCTTCCTCCATATACCTGCGGACCCGGTTTCCTTTCTGCCTGCTGAGTTCGCTCTCCTCTACGAATGGCACCCTCCTTCGAAGAGCCGGTCGTCGAGGCGCTGGAGAACCCTCTTAAACGAAAGCCAGATCTTGTCGCTCCAGAGCCAGGTGAGGATTTGTCCTTGCTGTGTATGTTTGATGTGGCCTTGCTGATTTGTGCCGCAGAACATTGTCCCGGTCCTGAATCCGAGCAAGCAGGCAAAGGTGACGCATGCAATGGCTGTCCCAACCAGGCAATCTGCGCCTCTGCACCCAAAGGCCCCGATCCAGATATCCCTTTTATTACAGAACGACTCGCCGGAGTAAGACATAAGATATTGGTGCTGTCAGGAAAAGGCGGAGTGGGCAAGTCTACATTCTCCTCGTTGCTGTCGCAGGCTTTTGCAGCCAACCCCGACTCGACCGTGGGCATTATGGACACAGATATCTGCGGCCCCTCGATACCAAAAATGATGGGCGTGGAGAACGAAACCATACACGTTAGCAATGCCGGATGGAGTCCCGTCTGGGTTACAGACAACCTTGGAGTTATGAGCATTCAGTTTATGCTACCTAACAGAGACGATGCGATCATATGGAGAGGGCCGAAAAAGAATGGTATCATCAAACAATTTTTAAAAGATGTCGAATGGGGCGAGCTGGACTACTTAATTGTTGATACACCGCCGGGCACGTCAGACGAACATCTGTCGGTCAACTCGTTTCTCAAAGAATCTGGTGTGGACGGTGCGGTCGTGGTGACCACGCCACAAGAAGTGTCTCTGCTGGACGTGCGGAAAGAGATTGATTTCTGTCGAAAGGCAGGGATTCGGGTCCTGGGGCTGGTTGAAAACATGTCTGGATTCGTCTGTCCCAAATGCACCCACGAGTCCCAGATCTTCCGGCCCACGACCGGAGGAGGTCAAAAATTATGTCAGGATATGGGAATCCCTTTCCTGGGATCAGTACCGCTTGACCCTCGGATCGGCATGGCATGCGATTTTGGTGAAAGCTTCATGGACAGTTTTCCCGACAGTCCTGCTTGCAAGGCTTTACGGCAAGTAGTGAGATCGGTGGGCAAACTGGTAGGCGAGGATCCCGATCGAGTTCTGCCCGATGGACCAATATAAGAGCCCAGCCTTCGATTGTTTGTTGTTCCTGGCCGGGGGGGATTCTTTTCCTGGATCTGCAGTGGTTGGCGCAACTCAAAATTCAACTTTGCGTGGCGGGGATCCTTTGTATCTGTCCCCCAGTCCAGCCATAACAGCCCCCAAGCAGGCAGGTATTGTTGTGATCAACTATGAGCACGCCAGATACGGTATCCCACGCAGCATATCCCTGGAGCCATGGCGTCACTTGTCGGCGGCAGATGAAGCTGGGGGCTGTGAGGTGATGCCGTCTGGTGCCGTGTGTTTCTGGGCTCAGGTCACGCAACACTCCCTCTATACGAGGTACTGTACGAGTATGGGTGTGCGGGCAAGGCCCAGCGCCAACACAAGCTTGCTTCTGGACGCCGTGGACACCCGGTTCTGGGCAGCTTCATGACGACTTGTTATTTGTGCCCTTGGAGCCCTGTGGTGTCTTGGACAAATTGGGACGAAGGAGCGTGCCAAGCCGCCATAATCCAAAGGTGGTTAGCTCGTGTCCCGCCGCGGCAACTCGACCGGAAGATGAAACTTAAACTTCTGCGCCTTCAGTTTCACCTTCAACCCCTTTTACTTCCTCCAACCCCATCATTTTCATCCGCGCAGCTGAGAACCACAGAATGCCATTCCTTAGGTCTCCTTCTGAAGTTCCCCGGCTGTTCAGCCTCGACAAGAAGCCGAAGTTGCATCCACACCCAGTCGCCTCCACGTCACGCTGCCACCACCATGCACTCCTGTCCGCCCCCATAGCCGGCTCCTTCAGATCTGGCCAGTCACCGACGCATGCCGTCGGTGGAACGCTCCCTCTATGACACCGAGATCCCCTTCCTGGCTCCAGACCTCAATCGAGAGCTCATCGGGTCCATCGTTAACCTGTTGATCCCGATCCTGAGACATGCAGATGGCGTGGCCCAAGACTGTCTAGCACAATTCGAGACGAGGCCGCGCATGTATGCACCACTGCGGAGTAATTCTACGAACATACAGTTTACACCTCCATTTTGTTAAAGTGTCTGCTTTCAGTCCATTTCTTCACTCCTCCCATCCTTTTTGACTCTCCAGCCTTGTTACTTTTCTCTTTTTGTATAGATTTTCCTTTTCCTTTTAGTTCATATCGAGGGCAGGTCCTTCACTCACTGTATTCTTTCCCCCAATTGCCTTCAAAGACCAACTTCACAGGTCTCTGCCCGTGGGCTGACCTACGCCAAACTTTTCGCTTCGGTTACCATCCTTTGTTCGAGTCGCTCGGCACTCGCGATCAATATGCTTCACACCCACATCTTTCTTCTAGCCATTCTTTTCTTCACAACTATCTTTGCGACTCCTATTCAAATAAAACAGAAACGCTCCTTCAAAGTCCCTCGAATACAACAACATAACTACAAGCCAAATGGTAGAGCTGCATATCGAAAGGCATTGTTCAAATTTGGATTTGGGGACATCGAGTTCTTACCCGACGGGGAGGTGGCCACGAGAATCAAAGCAGCCACTGAGGCTCAGCTTGACGAAACAGAGGACGGGGAGACCAGTGCTTCGCCCACGCAAAATGATGCCCAGTTCCTGTCTCCGGTGACTGTCGGGGGACAAACTTTGGTCATGAACTTTGACAGCGGCTCATCAGACACGTACGATAGGCCTTTCCCTGCCCAAGTTTTATCTTGACAGTGTATTGTTTACTGACAGCGACGCTGACGGATAGATGGGTCTTCAACACCAACCTACCCGCCAGCGACCAGCAAGGCCATACGATATATGATCCTACCAAATCGTCCACCTTCCAAAACACATTGCAGGGCAGTACCTTCAACATTTCTTATGGCGACGGCTCCTCCGCTTCCGGTCCCGTGGGCGTTGACGAGGTCGACATTGGCGGCGCCACTGTGTCTGCTCAAGCAATTGGCCTTCCAGATAACGTAGCCCAAAGTTTCGTGACAGACTCTGCTTCGAACGGACTTGTTGGTCTTGCCTTCTCACAACTCAACACCATTCGACCCAATCCACAAAAGACATTCTTCGACAATGTTCTACCGGACCTTACGCTCCCAGTATTTACTGCGCAATTGAAATCTGGCGCTGTAGGCTCCTACGAATTTGGCAACATCGACACCTCAGCGTTCACCGGCCAGCTGGCCACTGCGCCCGTCGACTCGTCGAATGGGTTTTGGCAAGTCGACTCCACGAGCGCCGCCGTGCAAGGGCAGTCCGTCGACATTTCTGGTGGCACAGCCATTCTCGACACAGGCACATCGCTCATGCTCGTGCCTGACGAAATGCTCACTGCCTATTGGGGCACCGTCGACGGGGCACAGGTCTCACAAGACGCGGGTGGGATTATCTTTCCGTGCGACGCACAATTACCGGATTTGCAGGTGGCTATTGGAGACCATATGGCCACGGTGGAAGGGGACGGGATGAACTTTGCGAACGTGGGTGCCGACACCCAGACAGGGGAAGAGTGTGAGTGACCGTTGACCCGTTTTCTTGACCCTCCCTAACATCTTTTTCCCTTCGGCATATCCCCAAAACAATTCAGTCTTGTGCGATAAGGAGAGACACCTGCAAACAGCCGAGATATGATCTTCGTTCTCTCAGACCACTAACACTTTCACGCGATGTAGTCTGCTTCGGCGGTCTTCAGTCCAACCAGGGCCTCCCCTTCGCCATCTACGGCGACGTTTTCTTCAAGTCTCAATTCGTCGTCTTTGACGGCTCGGCGCCTTCAATTAGCGTTGCGCCGCACTCTTAGCAGATCGGACGTATGTAAGACGATCATGACATAGCGCTGGAGTTTTCAAATGGCGTGGCCCCGGTCCTGTAGGGCTACTTCGACCTTTGTGGGCGAGGGCAAAGAAAGGCCCGCATGCGTGTTATGGGTTTCCTGTTCTCATATTCCGGCACCATGGTATTGGCATTGCATTTCACGGAATAAGGACCAGCCATGGTATATAGCAGCATAACATAGGACATCCATCAGCATGGGCGGCACCCCCGTCAAAAGGGCAGCGAACATATATATATATTTATATATATATGCATGCATATGTGTATGTATATGACTGGGATGAATTGCACCAACAAAATGAAAATAGACCTCATGATAGAGAGATAGACATCTACACCTGGTGCCGCATAAAATCCATCCATTGTGTTGCATCCTCCATTAACGAAGCGACGGGCTTTGCCATTGAATACCACTCATTTCATTATCTTCGTTTGAGTGGCGTGAGACGTATGGCCAGATATACATATCAGGACCAGGAAGGAGGCTTTCGCTCATCTGAAAAACGGATTCAAGTTTCCTTAGAAACCATGACCTTTTCCCCCCTTCATTCGTGGAATGCATGGGTCGGGTATGTATGCCCATAACTACAGTAACACTGTATATACATCCATATATCACATCATATCATGTACCACAGACACATTCTATGTACCCTGTGACTCTCTCTCTCTCGGTGACCTAGATAGATCATCCAGGACATTTCAAAAGAATAGGGGCTCAAATCAACGTAGTATAGGAGTATGACTTCCTTGTTGTCCCCCTAGAACCATTTTATTTTCCCTCTCTTTCTGCTCGTGGTTTGTAATTTGTGTCAATAAAGTGGCATAACCCGAGTCAGTCCGCTCCCAATGTGTAGACGCCAACGCTATGGAAGAAGGGAAAGACACAACAAATTGCTTCATCGGGGGGGACGCTTCGTGAACCAATGAGTAGATGGGAAAGGCGCTAGAATGAAAAACGAAATGGCACAGCAAAAATGAACCACAAAACAGATCCGTGTACTCCGTAATCTTTCGAATATCCCGCTTGAAAGGGTCCAGAAATCATGGCAATAATCATTCATGCAAGACTTTTCAGTAGTAAAATTTGCCCTTTACCGGCGGATCCAACGCCCGGTCACTGAAGCAACAGTGTCCGAAGCCGTTGCCGTCCTCGTCCAAATCACCACTGTCGTAGCCATGGGCATGTTGGTCATAGATACCCAGGTCCATGACTTTGCCTGCACCAGGCACAGCACCCCAGTTCAGCGGCCTGAGCACCATCTCGTCACGCTCGCTCTGGTCGATCCCAGGCGGCTGGTGGCAAGCAGCGCTGATGGCCATGGAGTTGCTCCCGATAATCGGCATCCCGAAGGGCAGCTTTCTCATCGCGGTGGCGAAGAGGAAGACGAGGAGGACGAAGCCCAGGCAGAGGAGGAAGAGCATGCCGATCGGCGAATAGGCCACTGTCGTAATCTCGTCTTGCATGGGCACTGTACCGTCGCGAGGGATAATGGCGATGTTCGCGAGGAAGACGCTCTGCGACACAAGCCAGTGCATCAAGCCCGAGCCGACGAGCAGAGGCAGGCCATACTTGAACGGCAAGTTGAGGAAATATGTCGACTTCTGCTCGCCCTTGGCCTCGCTAACCCGCAAATACTTCCGTCCTCGGCCAGCCGTGACGCTGAAACGCATTAATTCCCGTGAAAGGAACATGACGGTGAAGAGACTGTTATAGCAGACGTAGAGGAAGGAGAACAACGCTTGTGGGGCGTTGGCAATGAGTGTGGAAATCGCGATAGAGGTGTTGCCGTAGCCAGGTAAATTCCAGCCCATGATCAGGTTCTGAGGCTTGACCGTGTTCAAGCCGATCGACCACGCGTTCTGGATAGTCCTGTCACCCTTCAGATCCTCGATACCGAGTGCTAAGCAGACTGCCGTCCCGGTGCCCGCGAACGCAAACAAGCCGAGCAGAAAAGCCCACTGCTTCCAGGTTGCGGCTTCGAAAAAGCGGTGCTGTCGGGGGTCGTACCTCATCGGCATGGATTTGTAGCCCAGTTTGGAAGAAGCCACAATACTCGAGTGGCTGGCTAGACACATTCCCTCCGTCGTCGAGTCGGGATGGCGCAGGAAGGATTGCAGTGCATCCCCAACGGTCACCAGGGGTGACTCTCCCAACCAGAAGGTCACGTAGGCTATACCGATGACCTTGAGGATGTTGAAGACCAGAACCACGCCCATGAGAATTAGAGAGAAATGGAGATGGCACTGTGATTCGACGGGTTCCGAGAGGCAATGGTCGACTTCAAACCCACCGGTAGACCATTGATCCGCGATATCCACCAGCTTGGGCGTAATCTTCGAACACGGGACAAACCCCCACTCATTCTCACAGCATGCATGCGTTTGGTTCACGACGTCAGGGTTGTCACAGATCCAGGCGAAAGCGTTGTATTTGCTGGTGATGATCTTGGGGAATTCGTTGTCGGCAATCTTGAACAGGGAACCCTGGTTAGCCGGAGGATTCTTGACCACTACAATCACATTGCGGCGGTCCTCGACAAAGTCCCGTGCGTAGGCGTGAATGCAGTCCTCATTGTTTAAGAAGGTAAAGTTCTTGCTGGCACTTGCTTGAATGTTGGTGACGTTGCATTCTTCGGTATCGGGAAATCTGCTCTTGTCGTAGCTGGCACCCTGCACGAAACTTTGCGAGGCGTACAGGACACTGTAGTTATTCGTAGCAAGGGCAGAGTAGAAGACGGAATTGTAACTGGATTCTGTTAGCCCCATGGCATTTACCTCCGAGTTCCTGGGCCGCACTCACAGTAGATGCAACGGGAGGGAAGAAATTCCCAGAAGCCACCACAGAATGACTTTCTTCTTGCGCAACGACCCGAGATTTCGTATGCTGGGAATGCCAACGTCCAGCCATTTCTGCTTGGCGTGGGCTTTATCGAGCTCGCTGCGAGTGGGAGATGAGAGCAATTGCATGCAGTAGTTTGAGCTTGCGAGCAAGACGGTGGCCACGATGTTGAGGGCCAGATGGACCCAGCTGTCCTTCGTTTCGGTCTTTGAGCAACTTCCGGCATAGACCATGTATATGCCTGGCTTGTGTCAGTATTTCTGTCCGCATCCAGAAAGGCGTCAGCCCGGGTCAAACATGCCTCCCATCATATCCATGCCTGCCGTTACTATCCCGATTGTCAAGCAAACATTTGTCACTAGCACCAACACTGCGCAACCCAGCGCAATCCGCGAACTTGTCCTCCATCCTCGTCTTCGCCGTATTGACCGTGTAGTGCTCGCCTTACTCGGGGATTTGAGGAGGGGTTGTGGTGTGCCGGCCAGAGGATTAGGGGTGTAGGCTGTGTTGCTGTCGAAGTCTGGACTGAAGACATTTGCGCTCGGCAGGCTCGAGCCTCCAGTAGGAGGGAGTGGAGTTAGTTGGACATTCTCTGCAGACCCCAGTTGTTGGTAGGGTTGTTTGAAGGGCGGCCAGTGTGGAATATGTCTCCTGGAGAGCACTGTCAGCCACACTCTGTGTTCAAACTTGGACTGGCCGAGTGGACTTTACCTTTTTGCGCCGGACTCCATGGCAGCGTTGATCGTCGGGTCACGAAGAAATAGCAGATCATAGAGGAAAACGGGCAACAAAAGGTGATGATTTCACAAAGAAAACTTACCGACAAGCTCATGGCATCACATAACATGGTTTGAGGCCTGACACCGACAGCCCGACACAGTAAATTCAAGGTAGTATGCATGATGTTCAGCCGTTCAGGTCTGGCCATGAAGTCAGCCCAGAAGGCGATAGCTTACGGTGTGGGCTGGGAAGTCTGGCAGCGCACCTTTGAGGAAGTGGGTTAGTGAGTCCCCCAAGATAGAACATCGGGCAGGGGTATTCTTTGGTAAGCAGCCGGAGGCATGGCCTCTGGGTGCCTGTGGGTGGGGCTCTGGGTGGTGGTAGGTGAGTGAGTGAGTGAGTTCGCCTCCAGCTTTCCAGTGTTGGTGGCGTACGGGAATCGCCAGCTGGCCCTAGGTGGCCCCCAACGCCCAAATTGGCTTACACCTTTTACCGGTCACGTTTCACGACTGGACACCCCCCACTCACCCAACTCTCAATCTTGATGGGCTCTGTCTTCCCGTATCCCGTATCTTGGATGCCCGTACTCGGTGCCTGAGCCTGGGAATCCTCACTCCTAACTCCTAGGTACGGATTACTCGGTAGATGTACTGCGTAGCTCCTGCGGAGGTCGTGTACCGGATACGGAGTATAACAGACGTCCAAATAATCACTTTCCCAGTCACGTTAGCCTGGCAAATATTCCCATGATGATTGCCCAGGCGGAGGTCAGGCCGTCCAGAATGCCGCATTGAGATTTGTATCAGGAGAACCGGGACATTGCCGATATGGTCCAAGCCCTCGTTTGGAGGTTTTGAATTCAGACCAATAGCAAGGAGTATCTTTCTTGTGTCTGCTCAGCCGCAATTCATTTCCTTCGCTTGCAGAGTCCGCAAGCTCAACTCGACCTCTGCAAGCAAAAGTGCAAGCCACAAAGCGAACCAGGACGCTGTCTGTACATGGGGTGGCCGGGCCCGGATAACGGTCCACATCGAACCAACAAGCAGGTCAGAATTTGGTCTGCGCCATCCCTCTGCGAGCTGAGCGGCGGTATCGATGTATGGAGCACGGGGATCGGGTCGAAATATTGTCCCCCCTGGTCAGAGGACGCCATTGAGCTGATTGGAACAGGAATAGACATTTTGTTGTTACCGTTACCCGGTGGGAAGACTCTACCTTCTCATTATTGACCAAAATCAAATGTCCCTCCAATGCTCATGCGCCATTTTGTCCGACCTCCTTTTCCTTCTCGACCTCCCGCGTGATGATCTGGCGAATTCCAGCCAGTCCCTCCGTGGCCGACACCTTCAACACCCTCCTCTCCTTGTCATTTAGTCCGACGAATTCTTCTGGCAAGATCTTGCTGAAGTCGAATCCATGCTCTTCCTTTAAGGCTAGCTCGACTGCACCGGCAAATTTGGCCGGATGTGCGGTTGCCAGCGACACGACTGGCACCTTGGATGCTGAGCCCGCGGAGGAGATTTCCCGCAAGCTCGCAGCGACGCCAATTGCAGAATGAGGATCGAGCACATATCCCTTTTTGGAGATCGCTTCCCCTTTATAGCAGTCTCGGATGGCCTCGAGAGTCTCGGAATTGCTAACCCTATGGCTGCCGAAGATCTCACGAGCCCTCTCCAGGACTTCCCCATCCACGGTAAAGGATCCAGTCCGTTTCAATTCTTGGAACCAACCATCAATCTTTGCCCCGGCGGCTCTCACAGAAGACTCCACCTTGATATGCGGGTTTTGATCGAGCTCATGTTCCAGGGTCAAGTGCCAGAGAAGCCGTTCGAAGTTCGAAGAGACAAGAATATCCATGGCGGGGCTGTATGTCTCCTTGACGCCATCTTCATGGGCCTGCGCGCCATCCTCCTTGACACCTTCATGCGGTTCCCCTGCTGGCTTCTGCTTCTTGGTGTATGACCCCGTCTTCCAGAAACGATGCAGAATATCGTTCTCGTTCGTTGCAATCACAAGCTTCGCCACCGGAAGCCCCATGCGTTTCGCATAGTAACCGGCCAAGATATCGCCAAAATTGCCTGTCGGTACCACAAATTTGGCTTCCTTCAGCTCAGGTTGCTGCTTGAGAAGTTGAAAGTAGGCATAGAAGTAATATGTGATCTGAGCCAATATTCGCGCCCAGTTAATCGAGTTCACAGCTGCCAGGTGATGGATTTTATTCATTTCTGGATCAGCGAACAAGGCTTTGACATAGTCTTGGCAGTCGTCAAACGTTCCTTGCACACTCAGGCAGTGGACGTTGGGGTCGAGCACCGTCGTCATCTGAGCTTCTTGGACTGGGGATACCTTGCCATCAGGGAACATGATGAAGATACTGACATCCTTCTTTCCCCGCAGCCCGTAGATGGCCGCTGAACCTGTGTCACCCGAGGTTGCACCAATCACTGTGAGGTGATGGCGCGCATGGCCCTTTCCCAGGTTCTGGTTCTTGCGCACAAGGAAGAATTCAAATAGATTTCCCAAGAACTGGAGGGCGACATCCTTAAAAGCAAAGGTAGGTCCGTGGAAGAGCTCTAGCAGATGGAGGTTCTTGCTCTCGTCCAACGTGACCAGTGGCACTGTCTTTGGGTGCTTGAAAGTCGAATAGCTCCGGTCGACGATAGATTTCAGTTCTTGATCCGAGATCTCATGGTCGTCGATGTAGAGTCGCATGACCTGGAAGGCCAGGTCTGAAAATGAGAGGTCTTTCCATTCCAGGTACTTTGACCTGACGTTGGGCACTGCGTGAGGATGAAATAAGCCTCCATCAGAGGCCAAACCCTTGAGGACGACTTCCTCGAAGCTGAAGAATTCCTTTAGTGAGTGGTCATGATATCGGGTGCTGGAGTATTTCGAGGTAGTGGTCACCATGGTGGAGAATGAATCACAATTTCTGGCAGCGGAATAGGTCAAAGAGACGAAAATCTGGTTTGTCGGCTTCTTTTCAGCACCAATTGGACCCCCTACCACGTAGCGAGCTGGGTTGCCGTTCAAGGGGTTAGACCAACACAAGAAAACGAGTCGTTGGAGAGCGATGGTACTGTCATAATGGCCACAATAGTGACTCCGTAGTCTGAAAAATTTCCAGCATTGCCCGGAGTGGACTCGGACTGAATTGGCTGATCCACCTCACGTGGGCGTTGTTGCCAAGGAGCTGGTGGAGCCCAAATTTGCACTAATCCCAACTAAGACGACGTGCTTGGCGCTGCCAAAAAAAAATCCTGGGTATAAATAGTTGCTGCGTCTCCCTCATTTTATTTTTTCTTTTCTTCATGTCGACTTTGTACGTTCACCCCCGCTCCTATGCAAATGATGCATAGATCCCTTCTCGCAGTGATTGTCTGCTAACACTCATCTCCTACAGACTTCATAGAATCATTTCTATAGTAAACGTCCTCTTCTGAGCTCTTCACACGAGCCACAGAATCCTCAACCTGGCTGACGACACGAAGTCCTCGGTACCCTAGAGTGAAGCCTTATGTTTACTCTCGCTGTGTTCATGTTTGTGGTCTTCGGATTGCGGCAGGTTCAAGAGAGTGGTGATGATCTTTGAGCTGTGTTGGGCGTCTTGGCTTCGTGCCGGCCTGCGCAGGAGGTACCGATGGATTTACTCTGACAGGCAAATACTTTTCATGAGCTTGGAACCCTTGTTGGTTGGAGTTTGAGAAGAGTTCTCGTCTTGGTTGATACACAACTACATCTGGAGCAATCTAAGGTCCAAGTGATCTGAAGGTTTGGTGTTGTAGGTGGTGTGTTGGAAAGCTGGCCCTGAGTCCGAGGCTCGTAAGTCACAGCCGAAAATGAAGCAGACCCTAGTCCGTGTTATCACAGGATCCTCTCTCCCCCTTGGGAGTAAGGTTCTCACGGTCAAGCGTGCTGTCCTGAACAGTATCCCATTTCACTCGGGCAGTAAAAGAGCATGCGAGATCTGCTGCTGCATTACGTTCATCTCTGCGGGACCCCAAGCACTTCATTCTCGGTGGCTGTTGAATAGTAGCACTCTGCTCCGCTCCGGCTCCTCTACATGGTGAGAAGAAGAAAACGATGGTGGATTTTTGACGCCTGAACAACATTCGAGACGAAGTTAACAGCCACCTGGAGATGAAACAACTCCCACAGAAGAGGCACACCTCACGCGTTGCCCTAGGCCGCCTCATCCCTCAATACCCACCGGACGAGCGTCTCAAGTTTTGCGCTCAACACGTTAGCTGCATCCACCAACTCCTGCTTCGCGCCTTCATAACTTGCAATCAAAGAGGTGGGCTTGAAGTATACAATCTTCACACCGCCGGCCGGCTCTTCGACGAGCCACAGTTCCACGGGTACACAAAGTCCGGCGTCGAGATCATGCTCGATCATGGTGATGGCAACAAAGGGATTCCCCAGGATGAACCTCTTACAGTTCAGATTCCTCGTCTGCCCGTTGATAGTGACGGTGGAGGTCGGTGGCTTATAGAACGGCAGCCAGAACCCGTGGTTAAATTCGTGGAAGTACATGAAACCATGCGGGCCGAGCAGCGACTTGATCCTGGCGTCGTAGCCTTCCCGGTCCACCAGGGCGTTCCACGGGGTCGGGCTCGAGGTCGAATTTGGCTGAATCGATGACCGGAGCCGAGCTTCTGCTGTGGAAAATGAGATGGACGACCGATAGACCAGACGCTCGGCCTGAACGACCTGCTTTTCGACTGTGAGGGTCATAATTGAATACGGATGCGCAGATTAGACTGGACACTGATCTTTGTGGAGAGGTGAAGGAGAGATCCAGTTCTTGCTTGCTTTTTCTTTTATCCCCCGAACCATGGTTAGAAGGTCGTCTTCAAATTTTTGAGACAATCCACGGTGACTATATACTTTGCATTTCGGCCTCCGGTCTATCTCATGAACTACTCTCCCGGTCGGCCGACAGACCGCAGGTCCTTTGGACGAATAGTTGGAAAGCCAGGTCCAATCCCAACGCAGAACAAGGATTGTTGTCTGAAGGGTTTAACTAGGGAAGTCCGTCCTACAATACCATCCAAGGTCCCCGAAGTCCGCTAAACCAGCACGTCGGCGGCACATGGATCAGTAATCCCCCTTTCCGGCCGTTGCGGGGATCAGGGGAAGGTAGAACTCATATTTCTCTGCTTCAAAGTCTACGATACGCTTCGAGAAGCTTGTTTCACGGACACTTCATGGGCCGACTCTGGAGCAAGTGTGCGGAAGGATTTGTGATGTTGGAGGGAGGATGTAGGGTAGAGAGTGAGAATCGGGCCGAGACGTCACTCGACCCAGGCTCAGAGTAATCATTTTATTATTGACAGTCGAAGAGAGCCTTTGGTGCATCAGGCTGGGTGAACCTCGATCTCGATGCCTCGGGACTAGCTACCCCACAACAATATGGTTCGTTGTCGTTGAGATACATACGGCGGTGCGTGACCCCGGAGCTAATAGCGAACAATGTTGCTCGAAAGAGTAATCAACACGAACCACCGTCAGCGGTATCTTGCGTATCTCCCGGAAATGAAGCTTTCCTTAGTGGACTAGATGCAGCTGGCGAACTATTACTTGACTTTGATGATGTCGATGGTCGTCTGATTCCCTGGGTGTTGATTGTCAACTTGCGAGGTGACCCGGCACCATCATCGGCTGCTGCTGTCGCCGTGGTAATACAGAGTGCGTCGGACAGGAGAGCCTCGTGGCCTGAAAGACGCCTGACATGAGCGGAAGACTGCCGGGTCCGAGCTTCTAGGATCTGGAGCATCCGCTCCTCCGCTTCCACTTCGGCCTTCTTTTTACTCTCCTCCACCTGCTTGAGGAAAAGATCTCTCACGGGAGAGTTTTCGCATTCTTTCAACGCCCGACGAGTTTCCTGGGACGCCTGCCTTCCCGCACCTGGACCGTAGATTTTCTCTAGGACCAGTTGATCGACCCAATCAGTCAAAAGGCCGTTATACGGGGCGGCGGCAATCGGCGGCAAGTGATGCGGCTGGTGAGAAGGGAAGACTGGCGATGAGTTTCCTTCCATCGGCTCGTCTTCCTGCAGGGCTTTGTTGTTTATATCACTCAAAAGGAGCTCATACAGCTCACTATGTCGAAAATTTGGCGTATTCGCACTTGTAAATGACGTTGTCGGCGCTGCGTCGCTGTCAGGATCAGGCTCACCGAGGCGGTATCCATCAATTCGGCTCTCGACTGGTCCCTCTGCGTCATACCATGCCTTGAATAGTTCATCGAAGTCTTCTTGGCGCTCAAGGTGCCATCTCACCCTCTGGAGACTCTTGTAATTCTCATCAAGCCTGGCTGCTTGTGTGAAACATCCTGAGGTGTTCTCGTCGTCACCACTAATGTCGGCGAGGAACCCCCTCACATACCAGCATTTTGCTATCAGGGTGCGCCTCACGGAGTACTGCCCTGAAAAGCACATCGACACCGCCTCTTCCAGCAATTTCTTGCCTCGATCGAATACATTTTCCTGCGCGTTGATGTCGTCGTGGTTGGAGTTGAAAAGGAGCAAATGCGCTCGGCTCAACAAAGTCTCCACATATAGCTCAAGAGCGACATTTTCAAGAGAGTCACCTTCCGTGAACTGGTCATTTTCTTGCGGTGAGGTATTCTGCTTGGGAGTCCATGCACTGGAATGTTCGTGTTGGCCAGGATGTCCGTGCGGTGCTATGGGCTGGGCCGGGTTCTCTCCGTCCTGTTCCATGCTGGTGATAATTGTCATGTCGAGCTGTACTCAGAAACGAGCTGAAGAACGATATTTACGAGTTCATGAAATCTTGTAAGATGAAAATAGTGCTCCTGAATCGTTTCATTGTTTGTGACACTTCCGCCGCGAATCCGCGAGCGGGATAAGGAGATAGAACAAAGACGACAAAGGGGATTACCAAAGTCAGGACGTAGAGATCCCTCGCACTCGCCGTCCTTGGACTGAAGCCATGCCGTAACTTGAAGCCAGAGACACAATACTGGAAATCGTTCAGCGCTCTTAATATATTTCGAGATTTTCAGTTCATGGTTCTAACTCGGATAGAGATTGGTTCGAGGAACGCCTCGTTTGAAGCCTGAGCTGGTCAAGTAGACTCGTTCGGGAATGTCTGCATCTATCATATTTTAAAACAACATGATGTGTCCCATTCCACGTAATTATCCATCTTGGATGGTATCGTTGATCTGATCGTGGAGGGCCTCCACTCTCTGCGGCCGGGCGAACACGGTGCCAAGTCTGCCCGCAGCGATGGATCCCACGGGTGCCGAGAGCCTCTTCACAATGTTTGAGTGATATAAGTTTCTGGAGCTCATTTTTCTTCAACAATCACCACAAATCGGCCGGATGGTGTAGTTGGTTATCACAGTATGTGCAATCGCAATCACATTTGGCAGCAACAGTTCCATCTAACAATTTGTACAGTCTCCTTAACATCTTCTGATCAAACGGAGAAGGTCTTGAGTTCGAGCCTCAATCTGGTCAATTTCTTTTTGCACTCCTTTATGCCCTGCTCCTCAGCAGAGCCCTTTAATTATTTTTTTTAGGACTTTGTCTCTGGTCTCTCCAGATACCCGAAACATCAGGATGGCGATTGCGTAATGGTGTGAATGTGCGTTTAATTCGACGCTTTTGATCTGAGACCGAATATCTAGCTCTATCCTCTCTAATAATATCACTTCTCCCCAGCCTCTATATTCTTAAAAGAACACACTGTTTCTAGTCCAGAGCAATATTACCGTTGGCCAGAGGTTTGTAGTCCTCTTCTCCAGCCCACTGTGCCTCGTACAAGCTCTCATCCATTTGAGAAGCGTCCATCCCCACATTAACTTCCCTGTTAGCTTGTTAGCAAATCGAATTCAAACCATTGGTCCGGAGGAAACGCACTTGTCTTCTGCGAGCACTTCGAGGCCAGGAACGCAGTCGATGAGAGCAATTATGACAAACGATCCCACGAACGACCAGATGAAGCCGATCAAGGCCTCCACAACTTGGACTCCTAGTTGGCGAATATTGCCGTCGAAAAAAACACCACCGTCCACCTCCACGCCCCCATAAGCTGCCACTGCCTTCTGGGCAAAGAGTCCCGTGCTGATGGTGCCGAGAAAGCCACCGACGCAGTGGGTGGCAAAGGTATCGCCGTTGTCAACCCAGCGCACTCTTCGTGCAAAATCGGTGAACTTGATCCGCAACGCCTGGCGGCAAACAAGGGCCCCGAAGACGCCGAAGAAGAGCGAAGTCGGAAGGTCAATGAAGCCCGCTGCAGGGGTGATCATGACGAGACCGGCTATGGCGCCCATGAATGTCGAGTCCAGCGACCATCGACCGGTCTCGAAATAGGTGATCGATGCCCACGTCAACGCACCTGCCGACGCACAGAGATTGGTCACGCAGAGAGCCATGACCGATTGAAAGCTGAGGGTGAGGGTGGTACCGGCGTCAAACGCCAACCAAGAACCCCAGATGATAATCATCGCCAGCAGCTGGCACATTGAGTTGTGCGGCCGATGCAGCTTGAGATGGGAAGGCGTCCTGACATCCGATTTTCGGGACCGGAACACCGGATAGGAGAGGTAGAGACTGAGTGCACTGGCTGTTGCACCGCTGCAGATATGCACTGGCGTTCCACCAGCAAAGTCAAGCACGCCGAGTTCACTGAGGAAGCCTCCACCCCAAACCATGTGAGCGAGAGGGCAGTAAATGAAAGTGGACCACAGCTGGATGGGACATGGTCAGCCACGAGAATAGAGCCTCACCAGGGTAGGCCGGGTCACATCAACATACAAAGATGAATGGAATCAATGGCAGAATGCGGCCACGTTCACAAGCTCCTCCAACCGCGATGGCACAGACCGTGGCCAGGAAGACGAGCTGAAACTCGCTGAACAGGACGGCCGGAATACTCCCGACCGGCTCAGCGAGCACACCGCGATGAAAGGCATACTTGAGGTCGCCAATGACTCCGCCGGGACCCTCGCCATAAGCAAGAGCATAGCCAACGATAAACCACTGGATCGAGCAGACGCAGACCGTCAACACCGCTGGGATGAACGACGCAAGGCCACTCCGCCGCGTGGAATAGCCGGAATAACCCAGCCCGACGGCCGGTATGATAGGCCAGCAGAAGACGGTACAAACCAGGATGAAAACCGTGTCTGTCCGGTCACACGCCTCCCAGGCCTTCTGCACGTCTGAGATCATGGCCGCCCAAAACCCGCAAGAGAAAAATAATTGACTCACCTCCTCTGGCGGGGGGGGGAGATGGGAAAGACCGCGAGAGGACGATACGGCAGGGAAAGGGGAGCACGAACAATTGAATCTCGAGATGAGAATAGCTCACGAGGCTGTGGCGGAGCTTCTTATCCCTCGTCACCCCCCCTTCCCAGGTCTTATCTCTCGCCTGGCAATCTGCCAATCGAGCCCACGGGCTCGGCATACTGGGTCTGCCATAAGCAACGAAGCCCACGTTATTATTGGGGCGTGCCCAGGCTCGTTCCTCGCTGTCGACTTCCCTATGTACTCCACAGTTTCCGAGATCTCAGAAGTCTGTCACCACTACCACATACTCGGTACTTCGACCGGGTAGCCCCTCAAATGTCCCATGTGGCAGCGGCAGCAGCTGCACCAGCTCGTGGGTACCTGCATACAAAGGACACATGGTTTTTGGTCACTTTTATCCTGCCAAATCAGCCGACAGCCGGACTTTGTCCTTTGTTTGGAGATACAGAAAGACGTACCTAGGGCAATGACAATTACTGTCGTGTTGTCTGGCTTTCTCACCCAACCAACCACCTCACCCCTTCCGAGATAGCTTGTCGGGGGGCTAAGCAATTCTCCACGACGGTGATTGGGTGCTGATAAGAGTCTAGTCGAGAGCTATGAAGTCGGGGGGAAGCTGGTAATCAAGCATCCACCTGGCCTAGGCCGAAAGAGGGTATGTTTCCCAGTCTCCCATATCAAAACGAAATGCTTTATCGCGCTACTCGATTGCCATGCTCACCACCCACCCCCCTTCCTCAATCCCCCATTCCAGAGCTCTGAGTTCGGAAGGGAGTTTCGCCTCCGCAGAACTAACTACCAAACAAGCAAGCCAGCTCGTCCTGGCCCTGCTCGACAGTATGGCCGAGAATTTGTCTTTCTAGACGTGCGCAACAATAATAAGAAGCCTCGGCCCCCGCCCTCTGTGGTTTGAGGAGAAAACCCATCATTACTCTTCTCGCCCGATCCCTCTCCTCCCCCCAACCATTCAGGTGTGTTTTGGACAGAGAAAGCAGCCCATTCTCCCCACGAACCACCATGACTATCGACGCAGAAAAGGCCGCTCCCACCGGCGTCGACGTCCCGGTCGTCGACGGGAGAAAGAACTCTCTGCGAGCCGGGAGCATCGACGACATCACGGTGCTGGACAAGCTGGGCTACAAGCCCGAACTGAATCGCAACCGATCCATGGCGACGCTGTTGTTTCAGTCCTTGGCCATCGCCGCCATCCCCTACGGCGAGGGTGGTCCCCTGATTTCCGCCATCTACGGTGGAGGCCCGCTCGCCATGTTCGTCGGCTGGATCTGTGTGCTCGTCCTGGACGAATGCGTTGCTCTCTCCCTGAGTGAGCTGGCTTCGAGATATCCGACCTCAGCGGGACCATACTATTGGTCCTTCCAACTGGCCTCCAAGGGCAAGACCACTTTGTCGTTCATCACCGGGTGGACGTGGCTTATAGGCAACTGGACAATCAGTGAGTGTTTTCTCTATACTTTGGTTTTTACTTTGACCGTTTTCGGTCATTCCCCTGCTGCCGGAGGAGGAGAGACGGCAAGAAGAAGAGCGGCATGCCTCGGAGAACATCTTTATGGGAGTCCTCAAGTGTTCGGTCTGCCCTTCGTCAGGAGCTGTCAAATATATATATATATATATGGAAGCGCATTTTGCCTCAGCTCGGAGTTACACAACATTTGGGGGGGCATAGTGTTCTATGTTTAACATCCACGTGTTGGATGCATGGCCTAGGCTGTGGAGCTGACAGGAGATATAGCCCTTTCGGTCAATTTCGGATTCGCGTCGCTTATCGTTGCGACGGTTGCCATGTATCACCCCGACTGGGTTGCGAAGGACTGGCAGTTGCTCTTGATCTTCTACGCCATCTGCTTGATGACGCTGGTCATCTGCACCTTCGCAAACCGGTTCCTGCCCATGGTCGACACGATCTGTGCGGGCTGGACGGCCCTGAGCATCATTATCATCCTCATCGCGCTCTCGGTCAAGGCAGACGTCGGGAGACACAGCGCAGGCTACGCGCTCGGCCACTACGACAAGTCGTTCTCAGGGTGGGGAGGCTTCACGTTCTTCATCGGTCTGCTCCCCGCGGCATACACATTCTCGGCCATTGGCATGATTTCAGCCATGGCTGAAGAGTGCTCCAATCCCACCGTCAAAGTGCCGACCGCCATCAGTCTCTGTGTGCCTGTGGGTGGCTTTGCGGGCTTGTTCTTCATCTTGCCGATCTGCTTCACCCTCCCTCCCCTGGAAGAGGTCATCAACGCGCCGTACGGTCAGGCGCTCCCCTTTATCTTTCACACGGTTATGGGAACACCTGGAGGTGGGCTGGGCCTCATCGTAAGTACTTAGCTCTCCCCGGAAGAATGACCATGCTCTGCCATACATTCCCCTCATCTACTGCCCGGAGCTGACACGGTGATCCAGTTCCTCGTCTTGATGATCACGTTGTTCTGCAGCATCAGCATCACCGTGGCCGCATCGCGGTGTACGTGGGCGTTCGCTCGGGATGACGCCATCCCACTGTCTCGCCTCTGGTCCAAAGTCAATGGCAAACTCGGAGTGCCGGTATATGCACTGCTGCTCACGACCGTGGTGCAAATGCTGCTCGGACTGATCTACCTTGGGTCATCGTCGGCTTTCCTGGCGTTCGTGTCAGTCGGTGTTATTGGGCTGGCCGTGTCGTATGCGATCCCCATTTCAATTAGCGTTCTGCATCGACGCAAAGAAGTTTCGACGGCGCGTTGGAACTGTGGTCGGATCATCGGCCCCATCGCCAACACGGTGGCTCTGTGCTGGATCGGGTTTGAGGTGGTGCTGTTCAGTATGCCCACGGCCTTGCCGGTCACGGTGGTGACGATGAACTACGCCAGCGTCGTGTTTGTCGGGTTCATGTTCATCTCGGCTGTGTGGTACTTTGTCTACGCTCGGAAAGCGTACAAGGGACCCCCGGCGTCCGACGGTATCACTGTTGAGTGATGATGCTTCTTGGTGAAAAGCCGTGCTAAGAGAGCTCTGTGACACCACCATAAGTTTAAGTAACCCATATATTATATCAACAGCGGGCAAGGCCGGAAACGAATCCGGCCTTCTTTTATTCGGTCCGTGCCCGAGACCAGCCGATATCGAAATCTTTTGGAGCTTTTACTTCTGAATGTCATGATCCGTAGGTCGAGAGTAAACTCGCCAAAGGATGCGAGGCCTTCAATCCCGTTGTTTGTCGTATGGCGTTCTTGTTAAGGATTTCCATTCGCTCTCGTGGGGCTTTCTGTTTTTCGCTTAATCATACATACGAGGACGGCTTTGCATGAGCTGGGGGATTAGTTCCTCGTTGTTCCTCGTTGTCGCCGGCTTGTCGGTTCTTGGGGTGGGTGGTGTCGCCAAGGTCGTTGAAAACACTGCAAGTGTGACTTACTTGATCGGGCAATTTTTATAGCCAGCAGAGCTCTCTCCCCTGCACTCTTCTCCATGCGCCGCCGCCGCCGTGTTGATATCTTGGAGAGTAGTTGTCTTGCAGTCAGTCAGTCAGTCAGTCAATCAACGAGGGAGCGGTTGGCTTGAGGACCAGTGCATCTTGTGCCCTTCTTGGACGGACAGGGTTAATGAATCACTGCGTAAGTGGGTGTGCAAAGGGCGCAATGGCCATCCATGCCATGCCAAATTCAAGCCGGACAGACAATATTCCTGGTTGTGGCTGTGTGGCCTGACCACAGGTGACACTACCACATTTGGACGGGATGCGATACAGCACCGGTGGATTGCACACAGGCCAGCAGTCCGTATCACTAAGATTACAAACAACAAGCAAACAAAAAGAAAGTAAGTGGCGTAACCGACCAACTTCGCCTTGCTCCTTTGTCTCGTCTAAAACAATAAGGACGAGTCAAGGGCAACTGCATCAGACCGACACACAGACACACAGGGGGAAGTCGGTGCACAGACACCAGACACAGCGCATGACGCGCCATGTGACTTGACTGAGCAGCATGTTTGGGGGAGGGATCGAGCCAGGCGGGGAACAGTCCCCGATAAAACAGGGCCCAGCAAGACTCGTAACGACGATCGTCCTCTGTTTTCCTGATTTCGAGGGACCGCTTTTGCGTGGGTTGGCGCGAAAGTCTGGAACTTCTCGCTAGAAATCGGTTAGAGGAGGAGAGGTTAGTACTACTCGGTAGTGTGTATGTACCTGTTCTTGTCCTTGACGGAGGGACATGGGTACCCCAAGGAGTAATAACAACAAGCTCTAATTGATAGCTATTATGTAGGTCCTTGGAGAAAAGGGCCTTTGGGGTAATACGTATCATCTGACCTGGTCTGGTCTGGTCTGGTCGGGTCAATGTCAATCAATCTGCAAGCCAAAAAAGAAAGAAAAAGGGCCACTGACGATCCCACGACGCGGTGGTTATTCTCCGACCCTCTGGGATGGTAGACAGTCGCAGTGGATGGCAAGGAAGAAAGGCGATTCACCGTGTAGGTAGTTATCATCTGAATTCAAAACCCGGGACACCCTAGCGGGATAATCGCTGTCTACACAATAACTACCAACTAAACCTGCATCGCCTCACAGGACCTGCAAGCCTAAGCAGAATGCAAGGGGCCGGGGTCCTCTCCAGGCGTGGTTGGCTCGGTTGTTGCAGGTTGTAGGGGCGCCAGGGAAGCCTAGTGGGCTCAAGAATAGGGGCCACTAGCCCCAGAGGTCCCCCCATTATTACTCGGTTCCTTTTGGGGTGATCTGCCACCACCAGGGCCTTGACTACCTGCCTATGGCAACGGCTACTCCTAGCCTCGAGCCCAGCGACGAGCAGGAGTATGTACCCAGTGGGGGAGTCGAATCGAAACTCGGAGGCGTATCATCGATCAGGGCGTCAAAAAAGAAAGAGGAGCTACCAGGCTCCGTTACACAGCATGGGTAGCGTGACTGAGTCTTCTCGCAGGGCCCGGTCAGTCAGTCTACAGTATAACGTGGCCCATGGTACTTCCAAGACCATCCACCGAGTGGGATGTTCTTCCCTCGTACCAAATACCCCACTCAGTGAGCATTTGAGCAGCATCAGCAGCAGCAGCAGCAGCAGCAGCAGCAGCAGCAGCAGCAGCAGCAACAGACGCGCCTCGACAACCCTTCTACGTCCAGTCCTGGCGTGGAGGTTCAGAGGAGAGAGGGGCGCCCCATGATAATGCAAGCCTGCTGTGTATGCTCTTCTCACGCATTGTCACGGCAAATCCGGAGATGAGCGCGATAGATTGCCTGGGGCGGCGACGGCGACAACGACTCTCTTGGGAGGGTTGTACCTGTCCCCTGGTTTAGCCTTGGTACTGCATGTGCAGCGGGAACAGGACGAAAAAGACCAGGAAGAGGAAGAGGAAGAGGAAGAGGACGAGGACGAGGACGAGACTGGACCCTGGGAATCAATTCCCTCGTGCATCGTCACCAGCCCGTGCTTGCTTGCCACCCCTTAACAAGACTAGGAGGAGCATTAGAGGCACCACCCACGAGGTCCGCTAACAAAGCCAGCAAAGTGGTTCCTCCTCATCCTCGCCTTCCTAGGACCTCTCTACTAAAACATCAGGCACCTGGATAGGTAGGTAGTACAAGTGACTGATGTGTGTGTTCCCGCCATAGCGGTCACTGTCGGCTCGGGAGCTTGTGAGGAAAAGCCCCTGTCTGTATTTCCATTGCCTCGTACTGGCTGTCAGTTGTGCTAACTCACTAATGCCATCTCGCCAGAGCCAGAACCAAAGGCTGGTGGCCCGGGCCTCCCCCCCTCCCCCCCCTAAGTGCCACCGAAATCTTGTGGCAACCCACTCACTCACTCACTCACTGCTACTAGAGAGTTAGCTAATTAACCCGACCGATTGACTGACTACTCAGACAGAGGTACCGGAGCTGCCTTGCTTGCTGGGCCATTTCCTTGTGGTACCTTGCAGAGGTCGAGGTTAAGATATGTATATTATATTCGAACAGGAATATCGGCCCAAACAGGAATCCTTCTATTTCCCTCCCTTCCCCTTCCCACCCTCCCCTAACTCACTCCCTCCCTCCCCCTTCCCTCCATGGACTAAACAAGTTCATGCTGCCTACACCTCCCCTCGACGAGGACGACGACGACGGCCTTTGCCCAATAGTGCACCACGTCGACATGGTAGCCCAACTCAACCAACCACCCTACCCGCTTCACCCCAGCGTCAAGGACCGACTGCATCCCGACTACGTCGCCTTCTACAACAAGTACCTCCTCCACGCGCAACAGGTCCACCAGCTGCCCGTCTCGGTGGCTCGAGGGAGCCGGACCGTGCCCGCCTGCCACAGCAAACCGCTGCCCGTGGGCCATATCCAGGACGTGTCGATATCACGACGAGAGACGGTCGGGCCCGACGTGCTCGTGCGGTGTTTCACGCCCCCGGGGGCACCACCTGCAACAGGCTGGCCGCTGGTGTTGTATTACCACGGCGGCGGGTGGGTGTTCGGGGACATTGAGACCGAAAACACCGTGTGCACGCACATCTGTGTCCGTGCTCGAGCGGTGGTGATCACCACTGACTATAGGTTAGAAGCCCTTTTTTCTCCGTGAATGATATTCCCCCCTCTTTCCTAGAAGAACACGGAAAGGAACGAGGCCACCAGAATCTACCTGGGTAGCCTCCCCCCCCCCCACTCCCCCCAAAAGACGCAACAAACCAGAGGCTTTTCCCCCCCAAAGAAAGGCCTATGTCTTATTTGGAGAGCATGGGCGACGGCTGGGATCTTCTGTCTGACTTCGCGACCCTCTTCTTTCGGGGAGGAAAACAGACTCGCGCCCGAGGATCCGTGGCCGGCAGCCATTCATGACGCGTGGGAAGCCTTCCTGTGGTCGACGGCCTCTCCGCAGCAGGGCCTCGACGTGGACGTAAACCTGCACAAGGTGGCCATCGCGGGGTCGTCGGCGGGGGCGAACATCGCGGCCGTGATCGCCCAGAAAGCTGCCCTGCGTTTTCCTCCGTTGTCGCCGCCGCCGGCGGGCAGAGTGTCGATCCGGTCGCAGGTGCTGGTGGTCCCCGTGACGGACAACACGGCGACGCCGTTCTCGAGCCCGAGCTGGCAGGCGTACGAGTTCACGGCACACCTGCCGGCCAAGAAGATGCTGTGGTACCGCCACCACTACCTCCCAAACCCGGCGGACCGGGCGCACCGTGAGGCGTCCCCCTTGCTGGCGTCGGACGACGTGTTTGCGCGCCTGGCGCCCGCGTACATCATTGTGGCCGAACTCGACGTCCTCCGGCACGACGGCGAGGAGTACGCCCGTCGGCTCCGGGCCAACGGCGTCGCGGCCCGCGTCACCCTGATGGAGGGCATGCCCCATCCGTTCCTGGCCATGGATTCCGTGCTGGAGGCGGGTCGCACCGCCATCAGGAATATCTGCGACGAGCTTACGAGGGTGTTTGCATGTGACTGAGCGTGTACGTGAGTGAATGAGTGAGGAATTTTGATATTTTTTTGTTCTTGGAGCGAAATCTCTCCCCCGGGCAAACAATTGGCAGGCAACATGTCACACACGTGCAAGGGTCGGGGGGGGATAGGGATTGATATGGAGAAGAGGCGAAGGGAGGGAGGGGGGAAAGGGATGGCGGGAGGGCGTCTGATTGTGCAAGCGGGGCACACACCACACATACACTCACACAGGCAGGGCAGGTATTCTGTGTCCATTCAATCAATCAATCAATCAATCATTCATTCATTTAACTGGGTACCTGGGGGGGTAATCCGAGGGTGAGGTTGCATACCTAGGTGCCTACCGAGTGAGCACCACACTAACACTACTTACTACACGGGTCGTATTGCCTAGGCTTCATTCTTTCTTTTCTTCACATGCATGCCGAATGGTACCTCGATCTGGCGGCTATTAATTACCATGTTGGTCATGTTGCAACCCAACGGAGGACAGAGCATCGGGAAAATAACCGAGTATGACCTCGTCGGGAGTTAATTAGTGGAAGAGACGGAGTGAGTAAAGCGGGGAGGAAGTATCCTTCATAGACATCATAATAGGACGAGGACGACTCACTTGGTGATGGACTGGCTGCTCTTCTAGTTACACACGTCCTGTCTGTACCTCGTATGTATGTATGTATGTATGTATGTATACTCATCACTCACTCGCTTGGTACCACTCGTCCTCTGCGTGCTTTGGCGAACCGTCTCCATCCCTACCAGATAATTTATGGGACATATGTCGGGTAGAAGTCAAAACAATATTGTCCACAAACGTCCCGTCCCGTCCCGAGGCTCCAAGCAAGCAAGCAAGGTTACTACTACTTACCTACTAACACCAGAGTTTCATCAAAGAACAAAACCCACATGACTATGAAAAATTCCGACAGGGCAAGAAATAGCATAAGAAGGAACTCGCATAGCCATCATGAAGCTAGAGGATCAGATTGTCCTTGTCACGGGTAAGTAAGGACTCTCTTCATACATACATCCATATCTTCATATCTACCTAATATCTGCTTCTTCAAACCCCCATCTCTCTGGTATCACCCACCCCCTCCTCCCTCCTTCCCTTTTTCTCACCAGACCTGTACATGGCTCCGCCACTATTAACACGAACAAGGCTCGTCCCGTGGCCTGGGACTGGCCATTGCCCGGGCATTTCATCGCGAAGGCGCCCGCGTCGTGGTCAACTACGTCCACACGACCCCCGACGGCATCTCGGCGCTGGCGACCGAGTTCGGTGTTTCTTCTACCACGACCACAACCACGACTACAGCGGACCATGACGGCGCTGGTGACGATCACGTCCTGTTCGTCCGTGCCGACGTGACCCAGGCCGACGACGTCCAGAGCCTCTTCGCCGCGGCCGAACGCCACTTCCACCGCCCGATCACGACGGTGGTCAACAACGCCATGGTCGACAATTTCGCCTTCAACGGCGACGCCCGACCGCACATCCCCGACCTCACCTGGCACCACTTCGACGCGCAGCTGCAGGGGTTCCTGCGCGGGGCGCTGAACACGACGCAGGCGGCGCTGCCGGGGTTCGAGAAGCTCGGGGCCGGTCGCGTCGTCAACATCGGCTCCAACCTGTTCCAGAACCCCGTCGTGCCGTACCACGACTACACCGCGGCCAAGGGCGCGTTGCTGGCCTTCACGAGAACGTGCGCGGCGGACCTGGGCCCCAAAGGCGTGACGGTCAATATGGTCTCGGGCGGCCTGTTGCGCGTCACCGACGCCAGTGCCAGCACGCCCTCGGCCGTGTTTGAGCACATCGAGGCCATCACCCCCTTGAGGCGGGTCACCACGCCCGACGACGTCGCGGGGGCGGTGCTGTTCTTCGCGAGTCCCTGGGCCCAAGGCGTGACGGGCCAGCAGATCGTGGTCGATGGGGGGCTGGTCATGAACTGAGAATTTGATTTCACAATTGTGTTTTATTTACACGTTTGACGTGACGTGACGTGACGTGATGTGATGCGATGTGATGGTCATGATGGAAGGAAGGGTCATAGCTTCGCTGGTGACTGGATCTCCACGATGGCCTTGCCCCAGACCTTGCGGGCGGCCAGGTCGTCCAGCGCGCCCGGCACGCTCTCCAGCCCCGCGTACGTGCCGTAGATGACGGGCTTGATCTGGCCGCGCGCGAGCATCTCGTTGAGCCCTCTCCAGATCTCTTGGGTTTCTTGCGGGTTGCGTCGTCCGGTTTCGCCGAATCTCTGCGACACCGAACAGAACACCAACGGTTAGCCCTCCCATCTGGCTGGTGTATATATATTCTAGATCGTCAGAGAACCAGGGGAAGGGTTTGTAAACTCACGTATCCCAACAACTTGACGCCCTTGAGCAGCACCCGGTTCATGGCCAGCGTCTCCATCTTGCCGCCCAGCCCGGCGAACCCGGCGATGACGATATTCCCGCCGAATTTCAGGCACCGGATGCTCTTCTCCACCAGCCCGACGGTGTCGTAGACGGAATCGACCCCGACGCCCCCCGTCAGCGCGACCACCTCCTTCTCCCACCCCTCGCGGTCGTAGCGCACCACCCCCAACACCCCCAGCTTCCTCACGACGTGGGCTTTTGCCTCGCTGCCCACCGTGCCGATGACCTGGGCGCCGAGCGCGTGCGCGATCTGCACCGCCACCACGCCCAGCCCCCCCGCCGCGGCGTGCACCAGCACGATCTGCCCGGGCTGGACCTGGGCGACGCGCACCAACGCGCCGTAGCTGACGGGGGCCGTGGCAGCCCCGACGCCGGCCGCGTCCCGCAGCGTCCAGCCCGGGGGCAACCGCTGCAAAGCCGACGCGGGCACGGCGATCTGCTCGGCGAAGCCGCCGACGCCGGCGCCCCAGACGTGGTCGCCGGGCTTGAATGCGCAGCCCGTGGCGGGCGCCGACGCCACGATCCCCGCAAACTCCAGCCCCAGCACGAACGGCGGCTTGACCAGCCCGATGTGGTTGTTCTGGTGCAACCCGCGGCTGTACAGCAGGTCGACGTGGTTCAGGGCGCTGTGTGTGATGGTGACGACTACCATCGCGTCTTGGTCACCCGGCTTGGAGGGTCTGGGTGTCGGAGCGGGGACGTCGAGGGGCCGCAGCTCCGAATACGTCTTGACATACTGGTTGATCTGGATGGCTTTCATGGTGTGGACAGAAGGAACGGACGAGGGAATGGCTCTGAAGTAATTATGATTGTTGTTTCTTGTACTGGCTGTGAGTGCGATATAGGTATAATATATACGTACTTCGGGGTATTTTTCGATCCGGTAGAGATGAGGATCAGGGAATGAAGACGAGGGTTTGAACAGACTCTCACAATCCAAGAATCATGAGAAGAAAAGGAAGTGGGCGACGTCAAGAATACTTGGACAAGTTTCTATATTCCCCGAATGAAGAGTTGTTTTCTTTACCGAGGTCCGACAGACAAATGCTAGTAAAGACTCAGTCTCGCCCGACTACGAGGTACTTACTGGCAGTACCTCTCTACTCTCTCCTCTTCAATCAGACCGCCAAGGTCACAAGAAGGCAGACGACATGATTCGCTCACATACATATCAATTGTGAACCCGGAAAAGTCTCCCACATTCAGACCGGTGAAGCCAGAAGGAGCCAGTAAGTCTTGTCCACAGCCTTTTCTTACAACCAAACGCCTCCCTCCATCTATCCATCCGCCCGCCAGTCCATCTCCCTAACTCGCAGCCAGAAGTGATTTTCTGGTTCTGTCTCAAATGCGCAGGAGCTCTGGAAAAGAAAATCCAAAGGGATGGTGGTGTGTTGGTTGCTGTTGGTTAATCAGTGAGTAAAAGCTATAGGTGGGAGCACGGTCCTTTCGGCGGAACCAAGAGAATGGCACAGAAACAAAAAATTCCTTCGCGGGGTTTTCTCACAAGTCTGAGTTTTTGCTCCCGACATGTTTATAGAGCAGGGACAGAGGAGGGGGAGAGGAAGGGAGATGGGGGCTTGAGTCTCCAGGAGGGGGAAGAGGGAGAGGAGGAGGAGGGGGGTTCGAGTCTCATAGAGGTAGGATAGATAGGTATTTCAACAAAAAAAGAAGAAGCTTTTGGATTGTGTGTTGTTGTTGGTCAATGGATGAGGCGACGAGATGTTGATAGCAAGGGTGCCCTCCCGGGGGACTGATGCCCCAACAAAGTTAAGTTGAAATGGAGTTTCCCTCGTGACAAAATCGGCTGGGTATCAGTGAGTTTGACTCGTACTTTGGGTATTTGCTGTCTGCCGCAGCTATCATTTTCGACTCCTTTGGCCTCAAGGTAGTACGTAGTTCGACAAGAGACGGTGACAGATTCTCTCGTATCTCCGGTCCCCTTCTGTATCATTTTCAAGTTAGTTACCAGAAGCCAGAGCAGAGGAGCGGTCCTTGAGATATATATATGGAGAGCTTCGTCACGATGGCCCGAACCCCAAAAAGGATCAGTTGTGGAGGAAGCCAGAGAACCGCGCACAAGAATCATTTCTGTTTCCCTTAAGTCGCGAGACGTGAAATCAAGGTAGGAGGAGGAGTAGCATTTGTCGTGGTGGAGTTCCAGTGCGGCAAGGTTCTTGCGATGTCATTCCATTTTCCCGCCAATGTCTATGCTTGTCACTGTTGTATGTACACTCGCCCCATCATCCGCAACCGCTCTTGATGGCCCATTCCGTAGTCGGATGTTCTGACACCTCGTCCCCGGCACGTCCAACTCCTGGATCGTGGCTTATTTCGCGTGCGCGTCGGGCTTTGCGTTGGGATTTCGGGGATCGTTTTTGTATTCTTCCGCTACTCGCGCAAAGTTCGTTAGTCTGATACGTTGGAATCGCGTGCCGTTTGCTTGGGCAGCATCCGGCGTTGAAGTCTGGCAGAGGGGAGAGAGGCCGGATCTTACAGTTCATCATGGCGTTTGCACCGGCATTGATGGCGTACAGGACGACCAAACCGGCAGCGTAGAAAGGCACCATCGGCTCGGCTGGGGGAGAGGTCAGTCAGCACCCCCAAACTTGAGAAAAGGGCGGGCTGCAGCACAACGTACCAATCTTGCCGGGGAACTTCTTGGGGATAAAACCAGGCATTCTGACGGGGAACGTGTTGCTGAGGATCTGGCGAGCTTGCGTGAAGGAAGTTCTCTCGTCAATGAGCTTCCCGGAGAAACTTGGGGGTTCTCACAGCTTGAATTCGACTAAACCTGATTCGGATGTATCTTGGCATGTTTGTCCCATTTTGCATTCCGCTCGACAATGTGACTTTCAAACGCGCCTGTGTCGCGGCGGGGTTGTTTATCACAGCACAGAATGAGCAAGGCATAATTGAATGTAACCAGCGATATTCGTTCAAGATGGCCACTCTCGGTCCGGCTGTCTCCTCCCTCCGCTCTTCCATCTCCCTTCTCGAATCCAGCATCTCGATCCTCGACGAAGGCGTCTCCGACTTCCCTCGACTGTGCAAGGTCCTCCAGACGCAACAACACTTCGAACTCCTGCCCGAACCCACGCTCCGCGAAGCTCAGCAATCGCTCGTCGATGAGATCGTGCCGGCTATCAACCAGCTCCTATCCACGGCGGAGAACTACATCAACCAATTGGGCCGAAGAGAAGAGAGTCTCAAGGCGAGATCCGAACTGCTCGAAGGCAGGCTGAATAGCAGCAGGCGAAGGACGTCAAGTTTCGGTGGCAACAACGGTGTTCGGTCCTTCCACAACACGAAGTCAGGTCAGTCTGCGGCGCCCTTGACCGACGCCAAGGTGTTGGAGATGAAGCGTCTCCAGCAAAAGAAAGAGAGACTGCAGTATGCCATTGAGCGGTTGGAGCTGCAGAGCAAACAACGAGAAAGGGAATTGAGAAAGAGTATGGCTATCGTAACAGAGTGATCTGGGTGCCGCAGGAGACGAATTCATATCTATCACCAATCCCACTGGGCAGGAACCATGGCAGCGAAGCCCAACGACCAGCGTCGGACAGACACACTGTCCACCAAAACGAACCCAGTTAGCCCAACTTCATGGAAGTCTGTTGTAACCTTCCACCACCAAACACCAGTCCCGTGACATGCCCACGGCGCATGGAGAGAAACATGGCCCAAGGGTTATCTCGCCGGGTGCGGACGAAACATTTGGGCTGTTCAACCTGAAAACGTGGAACTGCGAGAAGAGATATCAAAGAGACAAAAATCTGTCTTATTGCAAGATTTTTTTTATTGCTATAACACATGGGAAGCCATCGTGGACCTGTGTCTGCTCTATGCGATTCTCATACTCGATGAGATCGGCATCCGGGATCCCCCACAGCAGATGGAGGGTCGCAGATTGTAAGGGCAAGTTTTAGGAGATGTTTTGCTCGTGGCAGAGAAAGTCAGCGGGCTGAAAGAAAAGTAGCAATGCGGAAGGGGTATCTTATCGGGCAAGGAAATAAATCTCGGGCAAGCTGGTGTCGGGAGGGGTCGGATCAAGGAAATCCAGCCAGAAATCAACGACACGCGCCGGCGTCATCGCTGGTTCAAATCCGGGCGATCCTTGGGCCCAATCAGGGGCTGATCAGCGATCGACGCTTTGTCTCCCTCTCAATCCAAAACATATGCGAGGACATCGACCGCTGTCCTAAAGTGGCGCAGGGATCGGAACGTGTGATTGTGTTTCCTCCTAGATCTTCACCTGTACAAGTTTTCTCTCTTTGGTCGCAAGGTTGCACTCGTAAACTTGGCTGACATCGATGTTGTGCATCTCCGGAAGAAACTTGCATGCCGAGACGAGGCAGCTGCCGTTGCGCGGACACATGTGGCCGAGCGGGCATTGAGGATCCTGACAAAACGCACTTCGACAGGCTGACGTTCGAGCTTTGTAGCGAAAGGTATTGAGCTGGATTTGGTTGAGGACTTGTGAATGATCCCATTCACAATTGGCCCCGTACGGGCAGTGACCTTTGAGGTAGAAATTGTTGCAGAGCCGTGAATTGTGGTCGTAGAGGTACTGCAGATATTGTTTGTCGATTTGAAGCGGTAAATCCAGTCGTTGCCCATATTGGTTCTGATAGATAATCGGCGACGGCGTAGGTGGTTGCGCATTCGGAGCAGGCTGAGGCTTGGGAGGCGTGAGAGCCGCACCCGCTTGCCCTGGCGAGGGCCGATCTCGCACGACGGGAAATGAATCAGGTGCAGGTCTCTTGATACCCGCGGTGAGTGTGACAGTGCCGTTCGGAGTGATCTGAATCTTGGTTGACCGAAAGATGGCCTTGAAGGACAATTGCCGAAACCCTTGGGCAACTCTCTTAAGCTCCCATGGAAAGGGTGGGCCTTCTAGCAGTGTGATGCGATCGTTGATCGTGTTGGGAAGTGCATACGGACCGAGAAAGCCAGCGTAGCTGCTGTCTGCCGAGCCCCCGAAGACGATGTGTTGACAGTGATAGTTGCGATAAAACAGCTCGAGGTTTGCTTGGGGGATGTCAAATCAATCTACAGCAGCATTAGCCACAGGTCGGACGCACCTTTCATTTTTGAGTCAGCAGCCTCCTTGTGGTTCCCTGCGTCAATATAGTCCGAGAGGGGGTGGCTTTTGTTAAATCCAACGGTGAACAGGTCGAAGACGTTCTCGTCGGAGATGATTTTAGCTGCTTTATACGTTCGGCTCAGACCACGAGTGTTGGCATAGACGCGAATGATAACTCGGTCATCAGCACGGTATCTGGGATTCGTCTTGTAATATTCCACTATTGCAGCTCGAAGGTGCTTGCCTGCTTCTTCTCCACCCTCTATGCCTCTGGACACAAATTCATCGAGAAACTGGTGGAGTCAGTTATAACAGGTGATTCGGTCATCAGATGAAGTTCCCGCCATTCTTACCGGCATACTGTCACCATCAACCAAAACGAGAACAAATCTGTCGCACTCCTCCTAGGAATGGGTCAGTTCAGTGAAAGGAGGGGATGATGGGGTGTTTTTTTGCCACCACAGATGTCTTTATGTGCGTCTTCTCTGATTCTGCTTGGACCATCTTCTGGTAATACGTGCGAGCCGTATCTCGAGCCATCTCGAGCTCATTCTTCGCGGCGTCACGTTGTTGTGTCAGTTGTTCGATGTCTGCCAACATCTCCTACCACGAATTAGCGGTGGCCAAGATTGATATTTATCGTGAAATACCTCAAGGAGAGCGGTTTTGGCAGCATCGCCACGTATGGCATCTTCCACACGTGCTTTTAGGGACGCCATCATGAGACAGCGAGGGGAGAAGGAGGAAGAAATGGTGTTTGCAGCAATTCACAAGAAAGGAGGGTTCTCTCGTCGTGATGGCGGCCTCGTGAAAAGACTAAATGTGCCAAGCAATATGGAAGTCTTGGCAAGTTTGCCGATATTATGGATGGGAGAAAAGCCTTACGACGACAACGACACCAACTTGTCACTCACCATTGCTTCCGAGGTCAAGGAACAGATCAAGATCGACAGGGACATCTGGCGATGAAACAGATTGCATTTTCAGCGCCTATATCTTCTCTACGCCACACCATTCGGCGATGAAGAGCGCCATTGCGGTCGTCACTCTCTTTATGCTCTCGATGCTTACCCATTCATCAAAGCCATGAATATCCCCACTGATCGGGCCATACACCAATGCAGGTATTTTGTCATACAAGCTGTGGACACGGGCGTCAAGGTAGGCGGTCGATGTCTGGTATGTCAATTCCTGGCCGGTCGCCTCCTTGTGTGCCTGGCGCAGCACATTCTCTGCCTCGCTCCCCGGCTCCAGGACGTACCCCTCCGAGTAGAAGCCGTTCCATATCACCTTGGGTGGGTTTGCACTGAGATAGGGGTCGTTCCGAGAGAAGTCTGCCACCTTCTTCTCAATCTCCTCAGCAGCAGATTTGGCAGTGACCCCAGGTACGATTGCTATCCGGCAATCGATGCGGCACCAAGCCGGGACCGAGCTTGCCCAGTCTCCCGCGTTCACAATCGCAACGTTCAGGTCTGTTCATTGTTAGCCGGGTATCCGCACCACCGCGTCTGAAGTGAGAACTCACTGAGAGGGTGTTGCTCGTTTTCGAAATATCGTGCACTGACATGGCGGTCATTCCACTCGGCCTCCAATTCTCTCAAGGCCCCTACCACCTTCCAACATGCGTCGACAGCATTGACGCCGGTTCCCATAGCCCTCACGTGGACAGGTCTGCCTCGAACCTCGATCTGAAACCACAAGACCCCCACATTTGCCCGAACAAGCTGTTCCTGCATTGGTTCCGGGATGAGGACGGCGTCTGCCTTGTATCCCTTGAGATGTGTCATTAGCGTGCCATTGCCCGTGGACTCCTCTTCCACGACAGACTGCAAAATGACCTCTGACGCCGGCTGGAGACCAATACGCTTGAGCGCATCCAGAGCCCATACATTCGCGGCATGCCCGCTTCTCATGTCGCCGGACCCTCTTCCGTAAAGCTTGTCCCCCTCGATATGAGCACTATACGGTTCGTCCTTCCACATATCGACGGGCCCCAGAGGGACGACGTCAATGTGTCCATTCAAGATCAGACTCTTTCCTTCGGGATGTTGCACCTTTGGCTTGTGCGTCCCAACGACAATTGGGGCATGTGAGTGCGTGGCACTGAACCTGCCCGCACCGACATGTTGCGAGAGCGCCTGCTCGTCCATGTCAAATTTGACGGGGTCATAGCCACGGTCTGCGTACTGCTGAAAGACGAAACTCTGGACCTCGGTCTCCTGGCCACGTTGGCCCCCGAAGCGAATTAATTTCTGCGTGTAGGCCAGTTGCTGGTCGAAGCCCTCGGAGACGGACTTCTTGATGGCGGCGATGAGGTCTTCTGAGAGTGCTGGCATGGCGAATGTGTTTCCTGGTCTGACTGTTTCTCTTGTTTCCACGTCGGTAGCACTTCACCAGGAGAAGAATTGCGATCAGTCATTGATCACGGAATGATCTGCTATGGCTATATCCAATCCCGCTGTGGAGGCGTCTCCGCACGGACATCTCCATCCAGACTCGTCAATGATAACAATCCAAAGAGCACCCGGCTGTCTTTGCCTTTTTGGTAGGTAGTTCGGTCGATGATGGCAAAGTTGCGAGTCTCACCAACCTGCGAGATATAACGAACGTCCTTGTTCTTACATATAAGTCATCTTCATCCACCAAATTGACCAGCCGGGGGGATTAATCACACTAACAGTATCTCCAGGGCTGTTCGGTGGGTAGACAGCCACCCTACCGAACTCGCAATTCGCCTCCTATTCAGCTCTACCTGCACCTGGCACAAGACTGGATAAGAGCTTGAAGGGAAAGATCTAGGTAATGACCGTCGCTTCTTCTGCCCATGGCGTGATTCCACTCAGGACGTTGCCACACCGTTACCGTTTCAGAATTATTAGGTATCTACCACATGCCATACGCCATGGTACATTCCCCGAAAAAGGGGGCAGGTCAATCTTTAGCGATACCTTCAGGTGGTACAAACACCGGCCAGGAACAACCAATCAATACTAGCGTGTTGACGCACATCTCTCAAGCACAAGGCTGACAAGCAGACCATCCAGACTTCTTCGCTCCCACCACAAGGAGTCCTCTTCCCGGGCCGTGCTGCCACATGTCCGTGGTCATCAATCTTGTGGGATACTGCACCGCACAGTCCAGCAGGGAGACTTTCTCCGCGATGTGGTCGATAATGTCGTGGATGACCGGCTCGCCGGGTGTTCGGCGGTCCTGAGCAACTTCCACGAGATCTCGGTCAAGGGCCCCGGAAGTTCGTCCGAGCTTGTTGCAAGGGAGGGTTTGGGAGGTGCCATTGGAGTGCGGCACGTCGTCAATGTCACACACATTGAGTGCAGCTCCTCTGCAAGGCAGGGCAAGGCTGAATGATATGATATGACATGTAACACGCCCTGAGAACTGTTTTGTTTTCTGACATGGGGTCCAGGAGTGTCGATCAGATCAATGACCAGACGGCTTCTATACATGTATGGGGTATGGGCATTAATAATTATCTATCCCACGCCAATCGCGAGGGCTTTTGCCAGTATTTTTCCTTCTTTCCTTTTTTCCCCTCCCCCGCCAAACAGTGCATTGTCGTCTCCGTTGTTGTCATGGTCATTCATTGTCGTTGTCATTTTTCCTTGAGGAATACCGGTGGAAAAATATCCTGTACATACACACACACATCCTGGTGAACTAACGACCCAGCCAGCGTGGGAAAATCTGACCACTACCGGTTCTTCTTCCGAGTCACCATCTCGTCCAGCGTGCGCTGCTGCTGCTGCTGCTGCTGCTGCTGCTGCTGCTGCTGCTGCTGCTGCTTCTTGCTCTGCACACCAGGGCCTTGCTGCTGTGTGGCTTTCCTCTTGCCGCTGCCGCGAGCATGGGTTTCATCACTGACCCCCGCGCCATGCTTGAGATCGTCTTCGTGTCGTCTATCACCGCCCTCGTCGTGCTCGCCCTCGCCTGAGACTACTTCCCCATTCGCCTCCTCCTTGCACTCGCTGGTACCTAAAGCTGCAACGTCCTCGACGTCAAACAACTTCTTCCACTCACCGCTGACAACCCGCTCGTCGTCGCCAAACAGACCCACGTCGTAGGCGTGCTTCATGCGGTCAAGGCAGAACTGCCGTCTCTCGGCGAAATCAAACATTGGCTTCGGATACACATTGTGGTCTCCTTCTCCTTCTCCTTCTCCCCCCTTCCCGCTCCCCGTGGCGCCACCGTCACCCTTGATCACACAGCCCCAACGCTTCTGATCCGATATCGGTGCCCGGTGTGGCTCGTAGATGTACTTCTTGTCGAAGCGGGCCAGCTCGGGGACGTAGCGGCGCACAAAGAGTCCCTCGGGGTCCCACTTCTTGGGGAACGCGACGGGCGAGTAGCAGCGGAAGAACTGGCTGAAGAAGGCCGTGCAGGACAGCCACATCCAGTTGCCGGCGTTGCACGCCACCTCGTGGTCGACAAGCCACTCCTCGAACACCTCAGCGCCGCGCTCCCACGAGACGTAGCACCCGCCGCGCGTCAGGAAGCACGCCACCGCGTGTCGTCCCAGGTGGTGAATCCAGCCTTCCTGCTTCAGCTGGCGCATCAGCGCGTCGATCCAGGGAAACCCCGTCCGGCCATGCTTCCACCGCAGGAAGAACTCCTCTGCCTGCGGGTTGTCGACGATGTACGTGCCGTCACTCGCTAATTTTCCGTCTTGGCCGGTGGTGTAGCGGGACTGGAGGTGCCACGGGATGAATCGCGCTACCGGGTTGCCCACCGTCTGGCCAAAGGCGACCCCGACCTGCGCGTGCGCCGCGAAGTACATGTCGCGGAAGAGCAGCTGGCCGGGGATGTTGACGGGCTGGTCGCTGACGCGCTTTTTCGCCTTGCGTCGCCGGTCCAGCACCGCCTGCACGTCCCACCAGAACCGGCGGCACGAGACCGTCCCGAAGTGCATGTGCGGACTCAGCAGCGTCGTGGCCGCGGGGTCGAACGCCGTCGGGGCCGTGGCTGGCTTCTCGAACGTCGCGATGTATTCTTCGTCGGCGACGTGGCGGGCCAGGAGAGCCAGGCCGGCGGTTTCGCCGCCGCGGTGTGGAGTCGTTGCCGAGGGCGGGCCGATGCCCATCTCCTCCAGGGTCGGGACCGAGAAGTCGCGGTCTGGTCCCATGGGGCCGGACGCGTATTGCGTGTCCTTCTCACGACCCAGCGTTCGTTGGACGGCGTTATAGTCCATGCGGTCCACACCTGGCCATGCTTGGTTCGGCCGCCCCCCGTCACCGGACAGCTCCTGCTCGAGAACCGACAAGTCCATCTCGCTCTCACTCAAGGGATCGGGAATGCTGGTCGGTCTCTCCAGGGGCTTGGCGGGGACGCCGTCGTGGATTTTCGCGACGGCCTTGAGCAGCTGGGCCATGCTCATGGTGGGCTTGCCGCCATTCATCTCGACCACCTGGTCAGAATCGAACAGCGTGCGTCCGCTGACGCTGACGACCTGCACGCCAAGGTCCGCAGCGACCTGGGCGACCTCGCGGTCTCGGATGCGGGCATAGGCGTCGGTGTCCTTCTCGAAGACCAGCACGTCGATCTTCCACTGGCGCAGGAGCAACGCCAGGGTCTTGGCAGGGCCAATAGCGGCACGCACGACGAACAGTCTCTGCCGGGCGTTCAGCGCGGTCAGGCTCTGGGAGAGGTCGCACATGCTCTCGACCAGGAACCGCCACCGGTTCGCCGCCCCGCGCTGGCGGTACACGTAGTGCGGGTCCCACGTCCACAGTGGGATCAGGGCCGACGGGTTGAGGGACAGCGCGTGCGTCAGGGCGGGTGAGTCGTGAAGCCGTAGATCGGTGCGGAACCAGTACAGCACGCGGGGGCCCCCGATCTTCTTCTTGAATCTTGCCGGTGACATGCTTCGTTTCGTGCGCGAGAAAGAGAAGGTAGATAGAGATAGAGATAGCGAGGTAGGTATAGAGGGAGGGAGGGAGGAGGAGGAGGAGGGAGAGAGAGAACCAGTACACTCGCACACCAGGTTTCGTGGATGGTTATGACGATGATAGTGGTGGTGTTAGTGATGGAGGTGGAAAGACGAGGCTGAATCCCCCTTTCCAAAAGACCCTGCTTTGGTGACAACGTGAGTGAGTGAGCTTCAACATGGCCACTTGTACGGGAATATAATTCCATACACCCTGAGCCATGTAAAGCACATGCTGGTAAGGTACCGTGATGTGGTTGGAATAGAGAAAGAACTCAAAAAAGTCCATGACGTTATGACTCTGTTAAGGATCCACAAAGACAGAGTGACCAAGTGACAGAGCATATGATATTTTAATACTAGCTATCCACACCACCAAGTCAGACAACTCGTGAATGGCCTTGATCATTTTCCAACATTGTATCTATGTGCAATTATTGCTGTCCCCTTTCACACATAATCGGCAAGGAAGGGACCGTCCCAGTCACTCTGCAGCATCTCATGCTCGAGGCCAACAATTTCAAGTGGCAGATCAAGTTGAATCAGCCTGTGCTAACCAAAGTCGTACATCACATTATGCATGTCATTCTCCCTCATCTCTGTCGTCCAATCATGCCGTCGTAGCCTGCGGTTGACCATCCGAGATTTGCGTGACTGGAGCACCCCATTGCGGCTGCCCGTCCGAGATCTGGCTGATGACTTGTGGCTGCCCATCAGAGATTTGCGACACCGGCGGTCCAGTCGGATGTCCAGAACCGGAGCTCCAGGAATATGGAGGAGGAATATAGCTGGAAGAGGGGCTAGCTGGTGAGGAGCCAGGAGGTGGCGGTGGCGATGGCGATGGACCACTGGGTGCAGCGCTGTTGGATAAAGTGCCTGACAGGGGGAGGTTTCTGCTGGAAGCGCCCACGTAAATAGTCGGGTTGCTGACCTCGACCCAGTTCTGTTGGGTGGTGTCCCAGACAGACACATCCTTGCGAGTGAGCTCGGCTGTAAACGTCGCGGATTGACCAGGGGCAATTGTTAGGCGATCGAATCCACGAAGAACCTTCGGCGGTTCGCCCTCCCCAAGCGAAACGTACAGCTGCGCAACCTCGTCGCCGACAACATCTCCTGTGTTGGTGATTGTTGCCGTCACCGTGGCGACAACTTCGTAGAGCAGAGGGTTGCCGCCAAGCCCACCCCCAGCAGGTTGAACGGGCTGCGGCGACCCATCGGTGGCGCCCGACGGAACATACTGATCGGTGGGCAGGCCATAGTCAGGATCCGCGGACGCAGCTTGGAGGTTGGTCGTGTTGAGGTATGGGTAGATAAATTCGTAGTAACGATAGGGGATGCTGTCATTGGGGAAAAGGTACAATGACGGATCCGTGGATGCATTACCCAAGGCTGGGGCCGGTCCTGTCAATCCACCGGCAGGAGCATATGGCGCTGGGTTGCCAGGGGTAATCACCAAATTGGAGTATTCAAAGGTGGTATAACTGAGGCCGAATCCGAACTCGTAGATCGGCTCGATGCCGGCCGCATCGAGGTGTCGATAATCGATAAACACACCTTCCGAGAAGAGGACCTGAGGGCCGTTGAATTGCCCGTTGTTGGGTTCGTAGAGGACATCTGTGCCATAGTCATCCCGGTTCCGGGCAATGCTGAAGGGCAGCTTTCCACCAGGGTTGACGAGACCATAGAGAACGTCGACGAGAGCATTACCACTCTCTTGGCCAGGCAGGCCGGCCCAGAGGATTGCCGTGATGTTTTCATTGTCATACCACGCAGAAACATTGACAGGACCCACGGTGTGCAAGACCACGATGGTGTTGTTGACATACTTGGTCACGTTGTTGATCAAACGGTCCGCTCCTTCCCAGAGGGACAAGTTATTGCGGTCGCCAGTATTACCATCGATGGTGATGAATCCTTCGCCAGAATCGGCATTGGCGAAAACAATGGCCACATCTGCTTGGGTGGCAAGGGTTTGAATTTGAGAGTCGGCGTAGTTGTCGCAAATGGTAGAAATCTCCGAGTCGGTTTGTGTCAATACATACTGCTGGATCGCCTGTTCTGGTGTCACCAGATACGGAAATTCGCAGGTGCCGCTACCGTACGCCATGGCCAGAGTGCCATTGTTACACTGCCGGTTGGGACAACCATTTGGGCCCCAAGGGTTGCCACAAGCATCGTACCCGATCACGGCAATTTGTCGTTCCTGACCGGTAAGTGGAAGACCGCCGTTGTTCTTCAGTAAGACATTCGACGCCTGGCCAATCTGTCTGATGACATTGCGGTGCTCGTCTTGGACATTCAGGTGTTCGTTGACGATGATGAGGGGCGAGTTGGGATCGGCTGCGGAAGCGTGTCCGTAGGTGTCCTGGCCCCAGGCGTAGAAGTTGGTCGGAACCCTCGCATTATCACGACCGACATAGTAGTAACCCGCCATGATTCTGGTGGCCATATCGTCCACTCGCCACTCAGGAATGGTTCCATTGATCACAGCAATAGTCAGATTAGTGCCCCAGTAGGTATATCCAGTGTTGAACAGTGTGTCACCAGGCATAGCCATGTCGAGTCCAGCCAGGGCGGTACCAACCCCGGAATGTTGAGCTTGCCAGTCGGACATGACGAAGCCCTGGAACCCGAGCTCACCCTTGAGGAGGTGATTCATTGTGTAAGAGTTGGCACAGGCATAAGAATTATTCACCTGCTGATAAGAGCACATGACTAGGGCATCGTCAGTTGACGGGCGCGTTGCGTGTCCGCTCATCACGTACCTGAAGCTGTACCAGCCCGAACGGCGTCTGCAAAGGGCCAGAGGTAGAGTTCGTGCATGGTCTTGTCGTCAATATTGGAGCTGAGGGTGGCGGTGATATTCCACCCGTAGCCAATAGATTCTCCAACCTGGCGGAAGTGCTCCTGTTCGTTTCCAATGAAATGCTTCGTGCATGCCATGACTCCTTGGCTTTGGATGCCTTGGATGGTGGGACCGATCAGGGCCCCGGTCAGGTATGGATCGGGACTGAAGCCTTCCTATATTGCTGGTCAACTTACTGACGACTCTGGTCTGCGCAGAGAGCTCCTTACCCAGTTACGACCTCCCTCAGGGTTGCGGCCGAGGGGTCCACAGACCGGGCCGAGTTGTACATCCACGCCTTTGTCTCTGTTCTCGGCTCCCATGGCTTCTCCTCTGGCTCTAGCAAGATCACGGCTCCATGTCGCAGCCACATTCAAACCAGCGGGAAATGCGGAAACATAGTCGGCTGTTCCCCCGTCAGTTTCCGTACGCAAGGAAAAACTGCGGGAAGTTTCCCATACTGACCGAAACGGATTCCTAGCGGGCCATCCTGCATACAAAGGGGCTCGAAGCCAAGACGAGGGATCGAGCCAGAATTTCCCACACATCGATCAGACTCCCAGCTTCACCAGAAGTCAGCCTCAAGATCTCAGTCAAATGTGCGGGAAACCTACCCAACGCCGGTGGTGAGGTTGACCTTCTCCAACAACGTCAGGCCACTGACAAAGGCACGAGCCTTTTCGTAGGCTGCAGCCCAGTCTCCCGTCCCAGCACCCCACGGGGATGGATACTTGGGATCCGACGTCCAGATGGGGCCGTCGTAGTCATTATTAAATGGTTGAGCAGCCCGTCGGTTTAATAAGGTATCTGCAGCCTCGACAGGCTTTAAGACGGCTTGTGAGTATTCAGACAGTTGCACAGAAGCATTAACAAAAAGGAGAGCGGAAACGAGTTGGAGCATTCTGGCATTTTTTGACATGCTGGATTTCCATTTGACAGACCCTGCGACCCAGGGGGCTTAAGATCTGACAATATAGCAGGGGAAATATAATCAATTTGTTCGCCGCGGATCACTGGAGTTAGGGGGGGGGCACAAAATCGCGGAATCGACCTTGGACTTACGCTGGCTTGGATCTGGGGCAGATAAGGCAACGCTACCAAAGCCGCCACAACCGCGTCCGTAAGCCACATCTTGCAAGGGGTACCCGCGGCCCTATTAGGCTGATTCTCGGAAGCTCGTGTTGACGTCAACCAGTAGGAATTCCGTCGGTGATCTGGCTGGGGCTCAGCCGAAGCAGACGATACAGTGGATGGGTGAGGACCTCGTAGCTGAAGACTGGTTCAGCAAATAGGGGGTAAGGTCTCGAGCAAAAGAGCACCCCGCAGGAGAGAAGGCAGGGTTGCGGGTGACAAGAAAGAAAGAGTGAATAACGAGTGGACAGTCGAAGAAGCTCGGGGGTATTTGAATACTGAGCACCCGGGCTCTAGATGGTATGGTTTATGTCAGTGTAGATGTCATTTAGAGTCTCTTCTCCTGTGGCTCCAAAGGGGACCCTGGTGGTGGTGGTAGTAGTAGTGGTGGCGTCGGCGGGCGGGCGACCTGGGGAGCTGAGCAGATGAGGAGCTTGTGGTTCCTGGAGCGGGAGCTCATGAATGAGGAAGGAGCAAAGGCATGAGAATGGTTCATGCCCCGGGATGCCATTCGAAGCGGTGGCTTTGTCGAGTAGCAGCAGCAGCAGCTGGTAGTGGTGGTGGTGGTGCTGGTGGGGAGGCCTTGTGATGCACAACCTGCACAAAGAAGTGGCGATCCTGAGGGCGATCCATGTGGTGACTTTGAGGCCTGCATTACCGGTGCCTGAAGTGGCATGTGGACGAGGGCAATGTTGCATTCCCCATGCATAGTAGCCATGGCCAGGGGGAGCTGCAGGTCAAGGAGTCATGTCAATGATGCTATACCCCGCAAATCGGCAGTGGCAGACCTGGGAGGAACGGGACCGATACTGCAACCGTCTAGCTTCGATGATCTGAACTGAAAATTTCAATGCATCAGATGGTCGTGAATCCTCCGCTCCGGGAAGAGTGTCCAGATGCCACCATTCACGGGTGTTGATGCGATGGCTCCCCGCAAATGATGCATCTGTTGAATGACCGACATTTATCCCATTTGTTGCCTGTTGGGGGCACCGATTCCCTCCGGACATACGCATCTCTAATCCATACTCCATCGCTGGTCTGTGCCAATTGTAACCCTAGAGTTGAAGCACATTTGTGTGCTCTTCTCTGCACCCCTCTTACGACATTTGGCATCCTCCGAGACACAGTGCACGCTGACAAAACTCCTTCCCCGCCAACTCTTTCCCCTCGCAGCCACCTCGAGCAAGGGCGTGCTACTCTAGCCACAATGCACCGTTGCTTCAACGCCGGCGCCGACCTCGGTGTAACTATTTTCGTGAACCCTTGGCAGCCGGCCCTCTGGCCTTGGAAAGTTGCCAGAATACGTCGTCCATACGTCCTGACGGAAACTGGCTCATCCAGGGCTGTAACCTAAGCATGTTGCACAAGAAGCCTTTTGGCAGTTGACACGTCTTTCCAAGGTGACCTGTAAACGGCTGCCACCAGACTAGGACATAAGCCCAACTCCGGCATTCCGCGACGTCTTGGCTTTTTCTGGGGACATTGCGGAACAGCATCCTATACCCAGCACCTTTGGGAACCCTCGTGGCTTCGGCAATCGGGAGGACCGAGCAAACAAGGCCGCGTCGGGAACCGTTTCCATCACCAAAGGGTGCCTTCTCTCTTGATCGCCCCGTCTGCTGACCTTCTATCACTCTTCCTTTTCTGCTCGAGTGCCTTCCATGGCAGCGACCATCTCTTTTCCGAGCACGTATATTATATACGCCGGGAAAATCAGCCAGAGGCCATTGGGAATGATCCATAGGAGAACAAGATTATACAGAGAATTGTGGCCAATGTTGGCAAATCCCGAGAAATATTCGTTGAGCCCTGTTTGGAGCAGTTGTCAGCATCAATGTCTTGCACACAAGGGTCTTGTCAAATGGGCTCTCACGCACAATATAGGACCGTCTTGCTTAGGGTCATGATAGCAGCGGAGAACAGGACGACGACAGCCGTAGCAACGCCGGGGCCACTGACTGCCTTGTCCCTTTCACCCCGAAAAAATCCCCGAAGGTTGCGAGACTTCAAGAGACCTTCAGGACCGTTGCTCAATATTGTGTTCAGGTAGTAGATGTACATGACTGTCTCAATCACATTCAATGAGCCCTGTGCCGCTGTGAAGCCCACATGACCTTCCCATGCCGGCCAGCCATAAACGTAGTCCACCGTACCATACAGCGCGTACGGTGACCAGATGGGCGAATGATATTTCCCTCCTGGCATCGAATGTGGCCGGAGTGCGATATAGCCTGTATCCCACACCACCAGGGGCAGGGAAACGAACAGCCAGATCACCAACAAGGGGGGTGCCGTATGCGAGTAAGCGTGGATCGATGAGGGTGATGATTTGGCATTAGCGGATCTTTCCGATCGGCGCTTTCGAGAAGCGGAAGACGAGAGGGCCACTGAGTCATCCGAGTGTGGAGGGGAGGACGACTTGGAGGGCGAGTCTGTGGCATTGGATCGGGTCGTTGAGCTGGGGGTGGCAGGCTCGGGAAAGGGTCTGGGATGGTGCCTCGTGGAAACCATGTCGCCCTCGAAGCTGTCGTGTGCCTGACAGGAGGCGAAAGATGAAATCGACCTCGCGGTTTCCTTCGCCGCTTCTTCCTGTGACCAGTTGTTGCTCCGACTCTTATTCCAGCTCTTACTCTTGCGTCGCACCGGGAAGTCCGATATGCACTCGTAGAAAACTGTTTGCGATGAACGATTCCCCCTTGGACCTTATGCCCGGTGATTTTATTTCGCCAGGGTACTCGGCCTTGGAAGGCGTCGGCGGTTGGGTCTATGTTGTTCTGGGAATGACAGCGGTGTCGCAGATCGCCCAGCGGAAGTCCTGTGCGCGGATCGTGAAGAGAAGGGAAAAATTCCTCGCTGAAGTGCGCAAAGTTTGAGAGAAGGTCTGTTGAAGTAGAGGGGAAAGAGGACGAGTCGAAGAGGCTGGGCTTATTACCCCAGACTCGCAACAAAGTCGTGCCAGCGTGGCGTGGCGTGGCGTACCGCGGCTCTTAGTCTATCCGACGCAACTCGATTTCACTGCCCACCTCGCGACAAGAATCTCAAATACCGCGGCCACAGCCCTGGTCAGGACAGTTGGTAGGTGTCTTGCGAGGTTCTATGACCAGTACCTGCATGGGTCAGCCGGTCCCTTGCATATTAATCACGTGAATCCTTGTTACGTGCACATTACCACACCGAGCGTACGCAGTCAATGTATGTAAAGAGATCGTCAATTGTCTTCAGGTCGGCACACCAGGCCTGAGTTGCTTTTCGCCATCACCCTAGCTACTTATTGCCCATCACTGCCACAGTTTAAGCAAATTGTCATTGAGACCGTCTTCCCAAGGTCCGCCCTGCTGATCGTTTCCATTCTTCAAGAAATTTGTCAACGCCATTTGTGCTTCAGGGGTCTGAGCAAGGGCTGTAATCCTTTCAAGGTCTCGGTCGACTGCTTCAACCAACGGCGCTTGCTCGTTCACCGAGTCCTTTGTGGCTGCTAAGGCGGCCGTCGGGAAGCATGCGATGCGATGCGCGAGTTTGTCGACGTAGGCCGTCATCTCCTCGACGGAGGCAAATGCTTTGTTCACCCACCCGATTCGCTCAGCTGTCTCTGCGTCCACTGTGTTTGCAGACAGAAGATACTCCAATGCTCGCGCACGCCCAATGAGCTTGGTGAGATATTGGCTGCCTCCACCTGCATGAAGTAAACCCAACCCGATCTCGAGACTGCCGAGTTTTGTTCCAGGAGCGGCAAAACGCATGTCCATCTGGAGTAGAATTTCATTGCCTGCACCCAAAGACTGTCCCGATATCTCCGCAATGAACACCACACCCATAGTCGACATCATGCGGGTACACTCGACAAAGGTACCAGAAATCTTTTGAGGGTCAAGAGGCGGCGGTGGAGGTGACGAAATGCTGAGAATATGAAGGTCGAAATGCGCAAAGAAGAACTTTGGATTGGCCGAGGAAAAGATGACAACCTTGGGAGGATTTGGGTCTTTCTTGATGCCGGTCAAGAATGCATGTAAGTCGGAGAAGACTTTATGGTCGAGGATATTGATGGGAGGATTGTCGAACACGGCGCGAACCACGAGCCCTGTTGAGACGACCTTGAGCGTTCCGTATCCTGTCATGTCTGTGGTGATTGTAAAGAGACAATGGAAGTTGTGGTATAACGGAGCCCAAGCCAGGGCCGGGGGACGACCGTATTTATCTCTTTTCAATCTTTCGGTAGCTGTTCACATACTGCTGCCGTCCACGTTTTCTTCAAAATCTTGAACACTTTCATGTCGCATCGAACCGACAAGCTGACATATCACGACAAACAGACTGCATGTTGGCAAGTACTGAGTGTTTGCACATGCCTGTTTTGGATGTTGGTAGTATTAGTAACGAAACCCCTTTCTCCCGTCGAGGCTACGACCATGCAATGGTATAGTGTCGACAGGGCAGAGAGTTTTGCGGTGGCCAAGGTCAGGCTTCCTACCCGGCGTACAGAGAGCAAAAGGGTCCTACGAGTACTCCCTCTTTTGGTCGTCGCTCTGGTCTGTTGCGTTATACGTATCAAGGAAAACTGAAGCTATTCGGCCCTGGCCTTGGATTCTCCAGGATACGAACATTGATTCGTGATCTTCGACCACATCCCTTTAAGCATAGAGGACTCTCTATTTCGGCAGGAAGCTCGACCTTTAATCTGATGCTACTGTCCAGCATTTCCGGAGACTTGAAGCGGGGGCGAATCTCTTCCGCCGGTCACGTCCGGTGTGTCGTGCCGTGCAACATCTGTCTCGAAGAGTTTGGTAACGACATCCGGACGAATGATGTCCTTCCGAAACTGCTCTTGCTGGAGCAATTCGAGATTCCGAAGGGTAGCTCCTGGATGAGTGAGATACTTGGCATACTCTGGGGTGCGCCAATAGTTGTAAAGATACTTGAGGTATCTCGCAAATCGAGCCGCGTCCGAATCGTCGGCCTCAGTCGTATTCTGTGACGTCGCTGGCTTGTTCAAGAGGTGAGGAAAATTCAAAGCCAGGTATTGGAGGTAGAGGGGATTTGACAGGCATAGCACGAATTCAAGCTCCAGAGTGAACCGGTGAGACAGCGCCTTTGGAGGAATCCCTGCGTCCATAGTGATCGATTCCCTCGCCCCCAGATGGAGTCCGGCCGTACAATTGAACACAGGAAACCCTTTGAGGTGCACGAAGCAGTAAGATTCAGACAGCACAGCCCTTAAAATTGGACTGTCAACGTTGTCTTGATAATTCTCCTATCGATAGCCCACTCGCCTGGATCTAAAAAGTGTGCCGCGCAATTACGGGCAGTGCCGAATCGAAGGTTGAAACAGACCAGGTCTGAATGTGGGCCACCGTGTGTGACCTGCTTGAGTAGGTAGTAGTAGCTCGGCGTGCTCGGCAAACGGTCGAAGGCAATGAGCGAGTCGAGCCAATGCTTCAACCCTACAAGTACTTCTGTGTTGCGAGTGGCTCTTGTTTTTCTTTGCGAGGTAGAGTATGCGTATTATTTTGCGCTGCTTGGTGGTGGACCAGAGTGAAAATGCCTCGCAGTGGTCCTGAACAGGGAGGACGTGTCAGATTTGAGTTTGGACAGGGGAGCAGTTCCGGTCGCCGAAACGCGTGCCCTGTGCTGCGTCCAGGGATAAGACAACCCTCACTGTCGTTAGATGACAAGGTGTTTGAGGTCGAGGCGAAAGAGTGGGCTGAGGTAGCCACAAAGCCTGGTGGTTCAATGGCTAATTTGGAGATGGAGGGTTGATCAAGCAGCTCAAAAGAAGGACGAGGTTGCTGGACTGGTCGAAGAGCCTCCCCCAATCCATCCAGTCAGCGTTGGCCCTGGAGACTGGGGACTTGTCCAAGAAGCAGATCGGGAGTGACCTGAAGTTTGACATCAACAAATGGGGGAACGATCGTTGTTGACAAACAACGGGGCTGGGTGAAGATCTCGACAATTGCTAGTGAAGGCAAAAACCATGGCCCAGTGGTCGACCAGCCGGTTCTGAAAGAGTCAACTTACTTGCACAAGGCTGCTGTAGCCATTCCTCCCCCAAGGAATATGAGCATCCTACATCGATCTTGATCACTAAATAACTCTTGTAAAGTCTCAGTTTCATTGTAGCGTGGTTGTGGCGTCAGTCGCTCCTCTCTTGGTCAACCGTCTCGCCGCCTCCCCCAACTTTTCGGGGGCTCGATGGCCCAGTGCCAGCGTGGCGAGTGGATATTTGGGCGGTCTTAGCGGCACCTTTAGCTACCTGGCTGCGCCCCAAGCCCACGGGAGGCCCCCTACCAAACTCCCCCTCCTTCTGGATCCCTACTGGGTTCGGACCCTCCCTAAACTAATACTCGCAGCCCTTCCTCATAATTCTTCCCGACAAGCACGCAGCTTCGCTTTCCCTACAACCAACGCACGTTGACATCCCAGTCACCAGCATCCCTGTCTACACAACAATCACAGTCGGCATTCCCTATTTCCAGTATTGTCTCGATCACAACAGCATTACCTTCACCGCGCCCCTTGGTTACCCGGCGCACGGTCCTCCCTCCCTGCATTCAATTCCGTAATTGTCTCCTGAGACGGTGAAGAGTCGCCGGGACGCCCACCACTCAGACCATCTTGACTGTCCTTCAATCTATCACCTCCTCAGAGACCAGAGTACTCACATCCTTCGACCGTGCTTCTTCGCTCTCAGCAAGTGTCCAGCGTCGTCTCCTTACCCACCGACAGTGCTCCGTATGCTCGACTGCGCAGTTGGTGTCTGACCACCTTGTTTGGAGTGTCGACCTGACGACACCAAATTGAGACAGCCAATGGCTCAAGCTGCACCTCTGGCCGGTATGTCGAGATCACGCGCCATTCCTGCCTGTGCTTTATTCCTTCTCTTTGTCCTCTCTATGGTGCTATTTATTGTCCCTCACCTGACAACCGCGCGTTCGACATCATAACAAATCGCTGTTCATATCAGCAACATGACTGATCTCTGTTCCACAGATCGCGGCCCGACCTCTCTCGCGTCCAAGAACCCCTTCCGCAACCTTGTCTCAGAGAATAACTCCGCCAGACATATCTCGACAAACCCCTTTCTCGACTCCAATGAGATCTCGTCCACGGACATGGCCAATAGGGCCGCGCCTCCAGTTGGCACTGGAATGACAGCAAGTCGGTCCAACGCGTCTGATAAGACTGCAGATATATTTGTGAGCTAAATTGTTTCTGTCGTGAGCGCTTTTCCTGACCAGAGAGCAGGCCACCCTCGACATAAATGATCCCGCAAAGCCACCACAGCCTCACGCGAACGGCGCCCCCCCTCGACGAGAAAACATCGCGCCTCGACCATATCCACCTCGGGGGCCTCCCTCACGCCATAGGCCTAGCAATTCGGACGAAGAGCGTCGGCGACAACAAGGAAAACCTCCTGCCCCTTCCCAGGAACTCAACATTTTCGCAGATCCCCCCGACGTGAATCGTCCGCGCGAAAGACGTCCACAACCTCGACGCAACTCTGAGTCTTCTATCAGGGAGAAACCCAGAGATTTGGATCCCGAAGCAGAGAGAAGGAGACGAGAAAGGAGATTACGCGAGGGGAAAGGCTCACACAGGTCAAAGAAGCCAAATGCGAGATTGGATCTCATCGATAAATTGGATGTCACCAGTATTTACGGCACTGGCTGTAAGTTAGGAACCCCTTTCGCCTAGACTGATACTGACGCGTGCAGTATTCCATCACGATGGCCCATTCGATGCATGCAACCCCCATCGAAACCGCAAAGGCCTCAAGCAGGCGCCTATGCAAGCATTTCCCAAGGATTCGTTGAATATGCAACTTGGTGGCTCCGGTCCTGTGAATTCGAAACTTAACCTGGACCAATATCACGGGACCGGACGGGAGGCGAACCTTGACTATAACGGTGCGGCAGTCTACGAAGAGGAAGCAGACTATGTGCGAAGACCACTACCAGAGAGAAGCGCCAGCTTTAACCCGACCGCCAGGATTGAACCGGTACATGGCAGCGAGACGGCCGGTCTTGGGACGAGCACATTCTTGGAAGGCGCGCCTGCCAGTCGAGCCGCGATTCAGCGTCGTGACAGTGAGCAAGAAGCCGCAGAACAGGCCAATGCTGCTGGGTTGTCGCGCAAAAAGAGTCTGGCACAGAGAATCAAAGCTGTGCGCCCAAAGGTAGCTGAAGGGGGCCGAATGACCTCGCCTGAGCCAGCAATCACCCCCAACAGCCCCATGGGGACTGCCAAGTCGGAACAGAACGGTGTCAATCCGTTCTTCAAAGACTACGACAAAGAATTCGAGAAGAAAGGCGCTCAGATCGCCTTCGGGGAAGAACAAGCAAAGAACATCGGTCGAGCCAGAGCACCGTCCAGCCCGAAGCGAGGTGGGCTGGCCCTCGAAAGAAGAACGACGACCGAGAGCACCGGCCCTCCGCCTGACGATGCTAAATCCGGCGCTGCTGGATTCCTCAGTCGAGTCAAGAGCATCAAAGGGGGGCGAAGCAGGCCGCGCGAGAGGAGAAACACCGAGGCCTCTACCTGATTCGACCGTCTCTATCTGTTTTTCCTATGTTTGTGGAACAACACGGTGAAAGTTGGGGTTTCGTTTTTCTTTTTTTGGAAAACCGTCTGCATTGCCGGGGCATGGTCAAGGAACGGAGTCACATAATGCAAGATTTCGGCGCTGGACAGGCCCAGGGGCTTATTTACGGAGCATTTCAATGTGCTGGGGATCTTGCATGACAATGAAACATGATGATATGACCAATGCACACAGGACACCAACCAGGGAAACATTGAACCCGCAACCTCGAAAACTATTGCTGGAAATCAGTTGTGAGGAAGACGGCCGGTTCGACCCGTCAGGTGAGGAATACCCAGTGGTAGCAATTGACTGGGGACAGTTCTGGTATCCTTGCCGACACCCCAAGAAAGGGACTCTAAGTTGTGTACCGTGAAACGGAAGGAAAGAAAGAGGTCATTGAATCTCGAGGCTCCCATGGGCTTGTTGTTGTGGCCATTCGACCTGATGTGTGACGGGGCGGATGGCGAGAAAGAGCAAACACCAAGCCAATTCACTATTGTTAGACTGAGTGAGTGACCTTACATACCATACCTACTACCTATTCTTTCTTATGTTTGCTCGATGTCGCGTGCCCATACTGGTAGCCTCGCTCGTTACTGGAATGATTGGGACGAGACCCCGGACCTGAGTCGTCGTTGTTGTTGTCGCTGTCCTTCTTCTCATGCTTATTTATTACCTACTGTACTGTACAGTAGCAGCAGCACTCAAGCTTTCTCTCCTTCCCTTCTGTGCCTCGTACTGTACTGTACTGTACGTGTATCAGCCGGAAATAAGTGTTATAAAAAATCACGAGATGGAGGCCTGCCTTCGAGGGAGGGCGGTAGTTCCGGAGGCTGAAACAGGGTGCAAAAATAATCAATCTATCCCATAATAGTATCTATCCTAGATGGACTAAGTATGTGTATGTGTTGTGTATGTGTATGTGCATATATATATATATGTATGTATGTATATACATTATCGTGGTGTTAGTCCCTGTGTCTTTAGTCGAACAGGAATGCACATCTCCTCCGGCCCCCTCCTTCTTCTTCTTCCTCCTCCACCCATCCACGCTCGTACAACACATCATCACATGCCCTTCAGACCTGACCCGAGCAGCATCCTTGTTGAGCTCAGGATGATGCATCTCTACATACACTGCAGGGTCGTCAACCCCGCCGTCTCGCCGTGCGTTCGGAGATGACAAGTCGGGTGGGAAAAAGGCCCCCCCAAATGACGGTACCATGGTCCGGAAAGGCAAGCGGGCGACAAGGGAATGCTCGTAGGTTAAAAAGAATGGAAGGGGAAAAAAAAGACAAATAGAAAAACAGAACAGAAGAGGCAATTCCAGTGCCTATTTACATCCCCGTGGCGTATTTCCATCCCCGAATGCCCATGTCCTGTTCCATGCATACCGTGCCAATCATGAACGCCTCAAGGGGGCACACACACACACGCACACACACATATACACAGTCTCACTGTGAACACCAACGAGCGAGCCCAAACTCCCTGAGATCAACCAATCAATCACTTGGCCCTCCGACCCAGTCCAATACAGCCCCTGTCACCACGCAACCCAAGCCCCAGACGCCAGCATAGCCCAGCGCTCCTTCGACTTCCACCCCAGCGATTGTCCCCCAAAGTGTCAAGACGGTCTCCGCGAGTACCAAGGCGGTCAACAATCCTGTGCGGCCAATAAGTTCTTTCTGACGTGCCGAGTACCATCCCCACGCGTTGTGGTAAGCGTGCTCCCAGAATGTTGCGGTGGAAGGATCAAAGACCGGGTCCGCGGTTGCAACTGTGCCAGTGGAGGTAGGAACTCCCGCGGCCGCGGTCGATGGTGCAAAGAGAAATTCCATGCACGCCCAGCCCGCTGGAATCAAAGCCAGGAGGAGCGTCGGCAGACCAGCGGGACCCAGGTGTGCGGGTTCTAGGGTCCTGAGACCCGTGAAATAGACCACGAGCCAGGTGGGCAGGAAAGTCGCGAAACTTGCTTCGAGCAGGACGGCAAAGATGGCTGTCGCAAGGAGAGACGTCGCAACAGTGGTGTATGGATCGGTCAGGATCGGTCGATTGCGAAGACTTGCTTTCGGCGCGCTGTTCGGCTGGTGCGAGGGAGACAGAGGACGGAGGAAATAGTAGGGAAGGGAATTCCCGATCATCGAGGAGAGCACGGTCGACGTCAGTGTTATTGGAGAGATCTCGTAGAAGAGGCCCAGGAGAATGGCGGGCGGGGTGTTGAGAAGGAGGGAAAGGGAGGCGACGTCGTACGCTGTAGATTGACGTGATTAGTTTTGAACCCAACTTTTGAGGCGACGAGGAGGCATCATTGCGAGGACATACCATCGTAATCGCCGACCCAATATATCCCTAGTTTGGCTATTTTCCAGCCCAGCAATCCCAGTATTTCAATCCATGTATCGGGCCGCCTCGAGACTGCCGCGAGATCACCTACTCCGACCATGGACTCCGCCGAATGTAGCCCTGCCTCCAGCACGGTACTCAACACCACGGTGGCGGCCAACTTCATTGGATCAAATCCTTTCTTTTGCACAACATTGGTTTTTGAGATGCTCTGGAATTCCGACCTCGTGGAGGCCTTTGGGATGATGACGACCGGTGAGCCGGTCAGTGACGCGGTCGAGCGCGAAGGACGCCTGTTGCGGGCTGCACTGGTGGTGGTGGTGGGAGAAGAAGGGTCCGATTTGGAGCTCGGAGTGGTGGCAATGCCATTTGCGATGTCGGCTGCACTGCTGCTGGACGCGACGCTCGAGGACTTCGCATGGCGACTTCGCGGAGGAGCCATGGTCGAGCTCGAGCTGGATGCGCGGCGGCTGGCGTGGCGGGAGAGGGCTGGCTCGTGCTCTGGATGGACGAGAGTGGTGGTGAGTTCGAGGAGATCCCCGAGCATCAAGACGCTGTTCTCGGGACACCAGACGGCTGAGGTCAAGAATGAGACTTTTGTCGAGAGAACACAAGGGCGGTTTGAAGACCAATATTGAGAAATTTCAGTGGCTGGAGGAGGTGATGGTGTCGGTGGTGAGCATCTTGGACAGCAAAACAACCCAGTTTCGCGATCGTGACGTGATTGGTTCAGACGTCACTGGCACCACGACCTTCTCTGGCTGCGGAAAACATGTCCGTCTGGCGTCGTCAACTCCAGAGCAATCGACTCGAAGAATACATAAAACAAAAGGCCTTTATCCGTTGTATGACCCCAGTAAGGAACCCTGTCCCGGATACAAAGATCTTTGTCCTCGAATGTCGCCCTGCTCTCAGGGAGGCTTTGTTCTGCCCTACCACCGTCGAGCACATCTGACTTGAAACGAGACCATGGCATTATACCAAGAGACGGATGGATCATCAAAGAGCCGTTGTCCCTCTGTCGGGTTTCGTGTCAAAGGCCATGTACAATGCCATTGTGCTTTTCGACTTGTGACATTGTCTACCAGAGCCGGATAATCAAGTCATGCTTCCAGCAGGCGTAGAAATACATAATCTCCCAAGATGTCCGTTTCGTCCCAGTCCCCTTTCTCGTAACCGATGCTCAGCTACTTTGAAGAGAGAGTGTGTGTGTGACAAGGAAAAAGAATCATGACAGGCGAGAGAAGAGATATGAGGATGATGGAAGGCACTGAAGAACCCCCAGTTACAGTTATGCACCACCACAATGATCTAACCAAAGCCTTGCTGACCACGCCCAACGGTCTCGATGACCTTCCCGTTTTTTCGGTACCAAGGCCAGACTTCCTCACCGTCTTCAGCCGGGTCGCACCATTCGCAGACGGGTTGCGCGAATCCGCTATCCTGGACAGGTACGATTACACTCGACTTCGCATGACTTGCAGGACTATTGCCGAAGTGTGGAAACCATACCCTTATGACCGTGGTAGGCCAGATACTAAAGATCGCTATTTCGCAGGTGTGCAGGCCATTCCTTGCGACGATTGTGGTATCCCTTCGGACAGATTGGTCGTCAAACCCTGTCATGGCATGGGTCCCGAGAAGGCAGGTTCCTTCTCAGGCTGCGAGAAGCTCGTTTGTACCTATTGTGTTATGTTCGCGCAAAGGTCCCATGCGTCGCCCATGAACGTCGACAATGAACTGCATTACTGCCAGCCTTGCAGCTGGCATTTTTTCCGACGGATGCAGACCAGAGACCCGGCCGAGGGGCGATGCCGATGTGCTCTCAGATCTGGTGGCCCTGTTGTCGAGCAACCAGATTCCGAATGGCAATGCAAAGACTGCAGAATAGCGCTGGTCGAAAAGCTCTCCTGCGCCGCCCGCGACAATTTGATGGCTATGGAGGCCCGAGGTCAGGTTTTCGCCCGCGATTACACGCGACACCCGTTCGCTGGAGGCGTCAACAGGTGGATTGATCACGAGCACGCAAACAGGAATCACTGCCCAGGTTGTGGTATCAACTACATCCAGTTGCTTCAAACGTGGGAGGACAGCAACTGGGACGAAATTGCGGATTGGCCTTGCGGAATGGTTCGCCAGTGCATGACATGCCTGGAACTGAAGTCATGAACCGAAGGTGAGCGAATTCTTTTGTAGGTGCGCTTGTCAATTCTCTTAGTCCCTTAGTCGTCGTCGTCTTCCTCAGGCGGGTTATCGGGTTGTACTCTCATTTCAATAGTGCCAGTCTCCCGGCCCCGGGCATCTTTTGTCACAAATGAGTATTTGCCTCTTTGTTCTCCTTTCTGTTCAAACCACAGATCTTTAAAGGTCAGCTCCTTGGTCCTGTTGATGCTTTCAATGGCCGAGATGCGGTCGAGCGTCGCCTCCAGGTACTCATTGAATCCGGGTTCCGCACAAATTTCCTTAAAAGCGTTCATCATGGGCACACTGTCGGCCCGAACCATAGCACTGCTGTCGATCGTGAAGAAGTTATCATGGTCGTAGCTTTGGATGAAATCGGCTCGAGTCATAATCTGACGAGCAATGTAGAGAGGGATTTGGGGCAGAATATGGCCGTGCTCGTCGTCGTAGCTCGACTCCATGTCCTTTTGTCTATCCACCAGCGCCTTTGCGAGCACCATGGCGGCGCTGGCATATTTCTGCTGATCCATGACGTCGTCGTCCATTTCCGCGCCCAAGATGCCACATTTGTTCAGGAACCATGTCTTTTCAGCTTCGTTGATCTGCCGACACATCTTCAACATGTCGGAGCTTTTGGCGACCCGGTTCAGAAAATTGAGCCGACCGCCCACCATGTCGTAGACTTGCTTGAAGATTTCGGGATCACGTGCCTGTTCTGGGAAGTACTTGGCACGATATCTTTCCAGTGCGGCAATGGCGCGAGTTTTGGGGAGATCCAGGATTGGAATCACCTCCATTCGCGTCGCATACCGTCGGAGGCGCTCATATACCCAGAAGTCGTCCGAATTGAAGATCATGGTGATAAGATTTGCGGCAGCCCACTGTTCGGCTCGTTGCTGCATCAACTCGATCAGATCATTCCCATCCTCATTGTCGCGGATCAGATGTGCGCTGTTGACGATGAGAATGAGAGGGCCTTTGCGGCCGGCCTTGCTCCTCCGGTTTCTATGTGCGAGAGCGACTTTCTCGAGCTTGTTGAATGCCCGCTCAATGTCCAGCAGCGCGGTGGTATCTCGTGGGCCGCGGATAGAAAACAGAGACCCGATATAATCCTCGTGGAACTCATAGTTCAGAGCCTTCCCAAGTCGGATACGGAAGATTTCAAGGTCGGCATGAGCTTCGAACATAGAGACCCCCTCTCCATTTTCCTCTTTCATTGCTTCCAAGAGCATCGAAGACTTCCCGGTACCCTTTTCGCCGACAAGGAGATAGTATCTGCCTTTTGATTCACCGTTGATGATGCCGTTGATCTTGGCCTGCTCAGGTCGGGCTATCCAGTGCTCTTTGTCGGTCGATTCTTCTGGATGGGGCGCCTCAGGTTCTGCGGGTGACGCAAGTTCAAGCATCGGGTCGCCTGGAGCAAAGGCGGTTTCGATCTTGCGCAGCACCAGAGCTTTGTAGTAAAGGTGGTACGAGTAACCAGCGAAGCCAAGAACGGCAATCGATGCAAATGTTGTCAGCGCCGCCTCAAACGCCCTTGACATGCTGGGGCTCAGACGGCTTTTCGGTTCTGACCCTGGCTTTGAGGACTTTGACGGTTCTTGGTCGTCTTGGTCGGGCTCTGGAAACTGGCTCATCGGACCAGTTTGTTGGGAAAATGGGCGGGAATCCGACCACCTGGTTGCGAAAGCGCCCCGTCGACATAGCGACACGACAGATACAGGCCGGGCGGCCACCACTCGTTGCAGGTTCCTCATAGTGAGCAATGCGCCTGATCCAGCAGGGGTTGTAACACCAGACGGGATGTCGGAGTACTACGCGCAATATACACAATAACGCGTTTGATCGCGCTTATGGCGGGAAACGAGAAACGGACAATCGATGAGCGACGAGCAAAGGAGCAAAAGCAAGGTGCAATGTAACGCTTGACAATGAGCGAAAGAAACGAACTGGTAAAGAACGACTTGGAAGAGCCTGAAGGGATAAGGACGAGATACAAGTAATAGGTAGGTGCCTGTTGTGAGCAGGGACTTTTTCAGGAGAGACTTGGTATCGGCTGTGGCTGATGCGACGCTCCCAGAGCAGTTGAATCCTCGCACGTGCTCAGCGGGATGAACAAGTAGTTTTGATTAGGGTCGTTGGTGATCCTCATTATGACCTACTTGGTACGCCGTACTTCGTATCTGTGGCACTGGGTCCTGTACCTACCTACCTAAGGTGTCTTCTGTACATACGGAGTAGTTGTTCTGGTGATGTGGGTGGAACCTATGTAGGTACATCTGCAGCCCCTTTTTATATGTCAGCATACTGTCTTCATGTACTTCAGACCAAAACAAGATCTAGATCAACTTCCCAGGTCGTCGTCTTTTCTTCCAAACGGGTTATTCAACGTGCCAGTCAAAGACGTCCCAGTCGCGTGACTGCCAAATTCGCCTCGTGCCGCGCTTCGGGGCCTCAAGCTGGCTCCTCTGGGACACGCTAGGAAGCCCAGTGGAGCTTATAGGCCCTGGACCTAGGTAGGGAGTGGGTTAGTGTAGTGGCCTTCTGCGACGTGCGGTCTTTTCACCTGAAGCCTCCCTGGCATCCGAGCTGGACCCCGAGCCTGACCCCGAGCCCTGGCAGCTCTGGGTGCTCCCGGCTCTACTAGGACTGCTCGCCAACCACCAGGGACACCCGGCGTAACCCGAGCGAACCCCCGGGGCAGCTTCCAGTCCTCCGAGCAGGTCTCCTCGCCATCCAATTGGAACACCGGCATCGCGGCGATTATTTGGGGTGTCGTTACCCGTTTCAAAAATTTATTGTCCATCTTCTCCTCGAACTGACCTGCTGCACCCGTCACAGTTTCTTTGCTGTACATTAATTTTTCACTCGGCATCACCTTTCTTGTAAATTACGTTCCTTCGTTCTTTCTTCGTCAGGTCTCCTCTTTGGCCTCTCACTCCTTACACTTGAGCTTGACTGTACAGTACTGTCGTGTTGCATTCGCCCCCAGGGTTATTCCTAATGGACAATTCCAATGGTGACGTGAAGACAACACAAGGTCTGCTGTAGCTTTGCCATCATCGAGATCTAATCCGCTAACACACCAACAGATGTAACAGAGGCCCCGAACAAAGCCGAGACAGCTTCATCCCTCACAAACGGCGTCAACGGTGTCAATGGCGACTCGCACCATGACACAAACAACCACGCCCACCACCACGACCATGACCACGACCACTCCCATCACGATGAGGTCAATGCTGGTGCACTGTTTCAGGTCACCGTCAAGCTGCCGCACAAACCTTACAAGCAGACGATAATGGTTACGAGTCAAGAGCAGGTGCAAGATGTCCGCCAGTCCATCGTCGAGACTCCCGATACCTTCCAGTACACCTGTTTCCATCTCGAGCACAATGGTCAGAGGATCAACGATTTTGTCGAGCTGTCAGAGGTTAAAGACCTCAAGCCCGACGACGAAATTGTTCTGGTCGAAGATCCTTATACCGAGAAAGAGGCGAGGTTGCACGTAGTCCGCATACGGGAGCTTATTGGCGCCTCTGGAGACCGTTCCGACCAGCTTCACGGCATCTGCGCTGGTTTGTCCCTCCACGATGATAAATTTGGCTCGGGTCATTCTCCTGCCCAAAAGACGGAGGAAAATCCTCTGGTGGGTTACGAGCTCGACGGACGGGCGTCGCTTGATGCGATCCTCCCGTCTCACCAGGACACCTTACCGAAGACAATCAAGTCGCTTTCCGTGTCGCAATGGAACCCTCCGCCATATCACCTCCGCCAGCGAGGTCACTTGCTCTATCTGCAGCTGACCACCAACGAAGGCGAGCAACACCAGATCACGGCTACCGTCTCCGGCTTCTATGTCAACAAGTCCTCCAGCAACAAATTTGATCCTTTCCCGAGGCCCGCTCCCAAAAACCACAGTGCGCACTCTCTGCTGTCCCTGATATCGGCACTTTCGCCGTCTTTCAATGACACCTTTGTCGAACTTCAGAAGATGAACGGTGGCAAAGACCTCCTGACCACGTTCCCCTTCCAGAATGCCATTCCCGCGAATCCCTGGATCGTTCCCTCTTCCTATGGACAAGGAACGCAACATCAAGCAGATCCCACAAGAGCCCAGGAGGCATATCTGATCGGAGGAGTGGATGGTGCGGAGAATCTTCGGGATTGGAATGAAGAGTTCCAGACCACCCGCGAACTGCCCCGAGAGACCTTGCAAGACCGAGTGTTCCGTGAGCGGTTGACCTCCAAACTCTTTGCCGACTACAACGATGCCGCGGCGAGAGGTGCCGTGCTGGTTGCCAGAGGTGAAGTTGCACCTCTGAATCCCACCGAAGGTAGAGACGCCCAGATTTTCATCTACAACAACATATTCTTCTCTTTTGGCGCCGACGGAGTGCAGACATTCGCAAGCGAGGGCGGCGATGAGGCTGCCAGAGTCGCTGTTGGGAAAGATGTTGCAGGTGTCAAAGCTGTCAACCAGCTGGACATTGAGGGCTTGTTCACTCCAGGCACTGTCTTGGTGGATTATCTTGGCAAGCGCATTGTTGGCCAGAGCATTGTTCCGGGGATTTTTAAACAGCGGGAACCCGGGGAACATCAAATCGACTACGGTGGTGTCGAGGGACGAGACATTGTCACCGAAAACAAAGCCTTCGTTCCGGTCTTCGAGAAGCTGTCGAAAGCCCTACACGTCAAGAAGCATCCTGTCTGGGACAAGGAAGGCGGCCGACACGATCTGGAAGGCAGTGTTGAGACCAAAGGATTATTGGGCACGGACGGTCGAAAATATGTACTTGATCTTTACCGCATCACTCCACTCGATGTGGCTTGGGCGGAGGAGGCCGAAGCTGACGCTGGGGACGAAAAGTATCCTCATCGGATGTCTGTTCTGCGACTAGAGCTGGTGGAAACTTACTGGCACATGAACATGCAGGAGTACGTGAGAGCCGAAATCGACAAACGCCGCTCGAAGCAGACCAACGGGCATTCCGGGGACCTCAAAAATGGTGAAGAAGTGCAAAGCCATGACACTGCCTCTGACGGAGAGAGCAAAGACAACCAGTCCAGCGAAGCTCAAGAGGACTCCGCTAAAGCTGCTCCGGCGCTGGAGCAGGAACGCGTTGACATTTCAAACTTCACCCTGGCCCTGAATCCTGACGCATGTAGCGGTCAGATCCCTCAGACTGAAGAGGAAAAGCAAGAGTATGCTGCCGACGAAAAGGAAGTTCGTGCGGTCTGCGAGTTTCTGCGGGTCAAAATTATCCCGGATCTCATCAACGAACTCCATGATGGCGATGTGGGCTTTCCGATGGACGGCACTTCTCTATGTCAGCTCATGCACAAGCGTGGAATCAACATCCGGTACTTGGGACGACTTGCCAAAGCTGCCGAGGACAAGGGAGAGCGTCTGCACGCCTTTTCGACGGTGGTGCTGCAGGAAATGGTAGCTCGCGCATTCAAACACATTGCAAACCGCTGCCTGCGGCATCTGCCCGTCGTCTTCGCTGGTACTTGCATCGCGCATCTGTTGAACTGCCTCCTCGGAGTTTCTGTCAACCCGAACCCGCGCCCCGAAATTGACGAAGACCTGCGAGCTCTGTACCCGGACGGAGACTTTTCGTTTGAGGAGTTTAATCCCACAAAGCTAAAGGCCGCCATCGAGAAACAGGTCAGAATCCGATATAGGTATGCACTAAAGGAGGATTGGTCGGTGTCAATCCGCCCCTTGCCAATGCTTCGAGAAATCTCGTTAAGACTTGGTCTCCAGCTGGTTGCACGGGAGTACACCTTCAGCACGGGTATGCAAATGCTCGTGGACCCATCACCTGCTCGAAGTGGCAGTGACTCGCATTCCAACAATGGTGCCCAGGCGGAGGAGGGAGGCAAAAAGAAGAAAAAGAAGGGTGGCGAGCAGACACAATCGAACGGTGGTGTTGCCAGACCCTCCACAACTTTCACTGCGGAAGACATCCTCAATATTGTCCCCACCGTCAAAGACGCTTCTCCAAGGAGTGCTTTGGCCGAAGAAACTCTGGAAGCTGGCAAGCTCTCGCTAGCACAGGGTCAGAAGCAAATGGGGCAAGAGCTTGTGCTTGAATCCCTTTCGCTGCACGAGCAGATCTATGGGATCCTCCACCCTGAGGTGGCCAAAATGTACAATTCACTCTCGACCATCTACTATCAGACAGACGAAAAGGACGCGGCCGTGGAGCTCGCCCGCAAAGCCGTGATTGTTACTGAGCGGACGTTGGGCGTAGACTCACACGATACGATCCTGGCATACCTCAATCTTTCCCTTTTCGAACACCATACGGGCAATACGAGGCAAGCGTTGAAATATGTCAGACATGCACTGGATATTTGGAGGATTATCTTCGGGCCGAATCACCCTGACTCGATAACGACAATGAACAACGCGGCGGTGATGCTCCAATCTATCAAAGAGTATTCCGAGTCTCGCAAGTGGTTCGAGGCTTGCTACACCGTCTGTGAGGGTCTCTTTGGACGCCAGTCCATCAACGCGGCCACCATCCTGTTCCAGTTGGCGCAGGCCTTGGCTTTGGATGGGGATCCGCATGGCGCCGTCAATAAGATGCGAGACGCGTATAGCATCTTTTTGGCTGAACTCGGGCCAACCGATCGCAATACCAAAGAAGCCGAGAGCTGGCTCGAGCAATTGACACAGAATGCAGTATCCATTGCCAAGCAGGCCAAATTGCAGCAAAATCGGCGTCTGGCAGGCATTCGACATCTCCCGCGGATGGGCATGGGCACGAGGCTCCAGCCGCAAAACGCAAGCACAGCCGCGTTGAATGCAAGCTCCAGGGCGAGTACAGCGCAGCCAAGTGTACGCACAGGGACCGGTGACCCTGCTTTCGACACCAGAAGTATCGACGAGCTTCTGAAGTTCATTGAAGGCGGCGAAGCCAAACCCAAACAAAAGAAGAAATCCCTCAATCCCAAAGCACGAGCATCCAGGAAAGCCATCGTGGTCTGAGCATGAAGGTTGCTCTGACGAAACCTGCACTGGGCTTTTGTTCCGAGGTCTTCTTTGTCTGGATTGGAGGAGCTGAAGACATTTTACCTTCCCACGCTTTCATATTATCTCCGATGGCCATTCGCAACTCTTGTACGCAGAGACCTACGAGGTTGATCAGCAGGTGCAGCTCTAGTGATACGGCCGGAATTTGTTTTCTTGCCACCCATCTGTACAATAGGAAGCTACGGGATGCATCGACTCCGTCTCGGGCCATGCCATGGAACAAAAAGAAAAATTGGTTTATGTAACAGCATATAAGACCGGACACGCTTGCCAGAGGAAAGGGGGGGTTGAATGGTCTGAGCAGGTCCCTATGATGAACGGAGTATAGAGCAGATGACAGACGGTAGATATCCAATCAAGGTTTCTCAACTCCATCCGGCGGATGATTTCAAATGTCTTTGTATTTGTGATATTACGAATACCAATCACCAAACGAAGAGATCCTCAGCTACCGGTCACGGCACAATGACGTGTGCGGGAATGCCGGAATAGGAAAGGCGCGCCGGCCTGCCAAGTCTCCGGCTACGCTGCCAATTCGTCAGCGGCTTCCGCGCGCGTTTGTCAGCACAAACCCCGCTCCACCCACCGTGACCGATACGCCCGCCTCGCAACAGACGACGACTACCTACACCACGAGACATGTCCCCTGGCAGGATGGCTTTGCATCTTGACCGACCGACCTACAGTACATACAACTAGGAGGAACCTACCTTGACTACCACCTTGAACATAATATATTGCCTCTGACGCCGGAAGGCGAGATAACTAGGACTTCGGCAACTACCTCCTTCTTATCAGAAAACTAATCCTTTTATCCCGATTAGTGAGCCTGGTGCTGGTGCCGGAGCCTGCCTTGGTTGAATTGCAAATCGATTCTTCTGCCAGCTTTGACTGAGTCTTGGTGCAAGTCACTCATTATCTCTTGACTGCCTGACCGGTGGCCTTTTTGTCACTCCAACGGACCTCCAGCCCGCTCCGGACCTGCTTCACCACCGATGACAATGGCCCCGCGGCCGCTGACGACGACGACCACCTACACCCTCGCACACACCGCGCAGTGCAAGTTGAAAATCGCCGCGAACCGTCCTGACCGGAATTTGCGATTCGTGCTGGGCCATGCCTTCACCCTGGACAATCTCATGGTCCGCATCGTCGAGATAGAGAATCAGAGCGCCAAATCCGTCTTTCAGGAAGGCAAGCCGCCCAGCGACCACGGGCACGAACACTTCGACTGCACAGCGCAACAACCCACCGCGCCCGAGCCCGAAGCGAGGGGTCGCCGAGTCAGTTTCCATGACAACAATGCCCGCCCTTCGAGCACCGCGGGCGTCGCCGCCAACAACCGTCCCAGCGGCACGTCGTCGCCGGCGCGCAAACGATCTCCGCCGCCCGTGACCGTGACGCACAAGTACATCGACGAAGAGCAGGACGATGACGACACATCCTCAGATGACTATGACGACCCTCAAGTTTACGAGTATGATTGCGCCGCGGCAGACCCTGAGACGGACGAGCCGGCGACGAAACAGAGGCCCGTCCACGACGCTTATTCCGACGAAGAAGACGCGGCGCTCGAGCTGGCCGACGACGAGCTCGACGATGACAACATGAACGACCTGTCGCTCACGCGCTTTGGCTCGGCCGCCGCGCAGCCGCCACGCATGGTACGCTCCGATTCTTCGTCGGACGAGGAGGACAAGGAGGAGCCAGTCACGCCGCCCCAGCTCCCCGCCGACCTCGACATCCGAGAAATCATCGACGGCGAAAAGGACGGGGAACTGACGGACCTATACGAGAGCGTGCGAAGGTGTAGGTGCCACGGCAAGAGGGAGGATCCGGAGATCGGGGGTCCACCGCAAGGCGTCTGGGACGTGCCCGTGGAGAAAACTGGAGGGAAGCACTTGGCCTTGGTGGCTGTTGCTGCTTGAGAGCTCTTCTTGCGTGGGCCTTGATGGGAGCATGGGCAGAAACACCTGTGTCGAGCTTCGGGAACTGGGCGGTGATTGAAAACCCGGGACGAGGTAACCACCAAGCAAAGCGTTGGGTTGGGCATTGTACAAAATCGGGAGCCTGCTCTTTTGTTGCGCGTAGCCACAGGCAGGGCACGGCACGGCACAGCATGACACGCTGGAAAGGCTATGTGATTGTGTTTCACACACGGAGTACGTAGGTATGGGAAGCGGGAACAGGGCGTGAGGGAGTGATGGACAAGCAAGCAGGCAGGTAATTCAGAGCGAGTGAGTTAGCTATATACCCGAACGAGCAAGGAGACGTGGGTGGTTGTTTTCTCTTTTTGATTCCTGTGCTGGCCAACCTCTATGCTCCATGCCCCCTAGGGTCAACTCTTCTTCTTCTCGTCCTCCTCCTCCTCCTTCTTCTTTCTAAGGTGGGGAACGCGCTTTGCATACAGGAAATAGCATCTCTCTCTCCCCTCTCTATACTCTATATCTATCTAGCAACTCGATACACGCACAGAATACTTACAGTAAACATATAGCTCAACATGTGCATGCATGCCTGTATATAGGGAGGTATATAGGTAGACAGGTAGGTATGTATGTACGCATAAAAATATATGAAACAATATGTTATTGTTATAACGCAGCATTACACACTTACTGTAGGTACCTACTGTACAGTATGTATCCGATGTGTTGTGGTTACAAGCAACGCCCGAATCAGACTTGTTATACCACCACGATGTTGCCTGCCTCCGTCTCTGTCTCCGTCTTTGTCTCTCTCTCTGTCCCCGTCTGTTGCCACTCTTGTCGTGTTACCTGCGTTCGTCTGGTGATGCATGATGCTGGCTGGGTATGTATAGTAACTAATAGCCCCGGTGCAAGAACGCCGTAAGGTTGATGATATCCAAGTTTCCTCCTCTCTTCCCCCCTTCCCCTTCGCTGGCTGGTTTCTTCCTCTGTTCTGCCCCCCAATCTCGCCCCAAGCCTTCGCGCTGTTCTGTTGATCCACCCTCTTCGCGCAGCAGGGGTGCGCTTCTATCAGGCTTGGTCCCCCTGGCGCAACACAGTGCTTTGAGGACGGCCAGCTCAAAGAGATGCCATGCCTCGAGCCCCTGTACTGTTGTATTGTATCCTCCAAAGTCGTCACACCTTTGTCGTCGTTGCTCGTGCTGAGGAGGCCTTGTTCAAGCCAACAAGTTCCTGGTCTCCATCTTCATTCATGACTTGTGCGCGCAATGTCCGGCGTTCCCATTTCTGCGGCGGAAATTTATGCAACAGGCGGTAATTAGCGGCCTCGAAAGGCGATGCAGCAAATCGTTGGACGAAAAACACCCAGCGATGTGAGAGATATGAAGCCGCAATCTCCATACCGTATCGATGAATAGCGCACGGTAACATATAACTCCAAAGAAGACTTCATCCAGCGCCCTGTGAAAGTCTCCTTAATATTCGCTCATGCCATGGCATCATGCTTCATTTTGCTAGGTGCGCAGTCGTTCGAGCATGGCGACAGCAAAACCAAAAGGCGCCGGTGATCTCTCGCTGCTGGAAATGAATTGATTCACAATCGGTCGACAGTTGTAAAGCGATCCCGGTGCGGTATTGCGAGAAAGGACCCGGGCACTTGCAACCCACTACGGCATAGACTAGCCAGACTTGTTCTTCCTCCTCCTCGTGCTTTGAGCAGGGCTCTTGTTCATCTGCGTAGGCGTGACTGGAGGGGCATCTTCGAGAGCCAGCCTGACAGTTTTCTTGACCTTGCTCTTCGCCCGCTTCGGCCCTCCCATGCCGACACCCAAGAGAAAGCAAATCCTCGTTGCTGCTCCGCAATAGACAAACAGGTAGTTCCCATAGGCCATTGCATTCCAATTAACGACGTCGTAGTATGATTTGATCCCAAGGGGGAAACAACTATACAAGTGGCCAAAATCTGCGATAAGGAGGCCTAACAATAGTGGGCGCCAGACTTTAAGGTCGCTTGTTGCGCGCAGCACGAAGGCTTCGTTGATGGCAAATGCGACGTACAGATTACCGAGTTGTCGGAGTGCGACATGGGTTGCCGTGGGTAGACCGAGAATCCCTGGCGCAGAGGCGGTGTCTGTCAGCTCGAGATAGGCTGCTGGCTGCAGCCAGGCATAGTATGCTCCAGCCAGTGTCGCGAACGGTTCGATCCAGAGAAAGAAAATGATATAGGGCAAGGGAATGGAGGCCATTGTTGCTTTTGCGGCTGTGTCGAGTGCGACGTTTTATCTCAAGTGACAGCGATAGTGCGGCAGACTTCCTGCGTCAATGAAACACAGGGTGAGAATTGACCGGAGGCAGAGATCTCTCTTTTGAAAATTCTCAAGGCAGCCAGAAATTGTCCTTGTCTTGTGTTGCCTCCCAGTTCGTCAAGACCAGAGGTAGAGGTCATGGACATTCGAAACGCAAGCATGATGTTGGTCAGCAAGAAACTCTCCACAGATAAAAAGGCTCGATCGCCGACTTTGCCGTGCAGCAGCAGCATGGCAACCAGGGATGTTGCAGAAGACCCTCCGGCAGCGGAGTCTTGTTTGGCGAGACGTGGGAGGGTGGATATGTGTGTGATGGAACTCCCAGAAATCTCGTCAGCTCCAGGGTTGAAACGCCGGTGTGAGATCGGAGGGTGCTGGAGTTGGAGGCTGAAGGGCTGCCTGCGCCAGATGCTCCAGGCGGTCAAGGGGCGCCCCCAGTTGGAGCCGGCTACAGCCCACAGGTGCCACTAGCCATGTCTCCGGGGGCAACGACTCAACGAACCTGCCCAATGGCGGCGGGATGTGCCCTGCATACAACGGTTCGGCAGGGGTACGGGGCTCGGGGGCTCCCTGTGCATCGATCCCAGGCTTTTACCGGTCTAACCATCTCAGATTACCGGCGTCCCATTGATCCAATCCATCACCGGGAGCCGCTCCACTGTCCTTGCAACGCCCCCAAGTCGTCAAAAATATCCACCCGTCAAACAAAAACACTCCCCCAGACCATTATCGCAGATGGATCAACAAAAATCAAAATCTGCTACTTTTGTTTTTTGGGGCCATTCACTGACCCTGTTCACGTTCGTTCTTCAGTGTACACAATAGGATCCTGCTGGTGTTTTTGGTCTCGTTCCCTCTGACTGCTTCATGCATTCCCTGTCAGCATCTGAGCACATCGCCCAGTGCCTTCACGTCCGCTCTCTTTCGCTGTCGCCACCGGCATTTAACGTCCAGAGTTCATGAAATCGCTCGCTCTCCGACCGACTTGTAACACTACACAGGAGTATTCATTTTAATCTCTGGCAGGCGCGTCCAGACACTCGAACTTTGTCGCCTGCCACCCTTCGAGTCCGACCGCGAGAATGTCCTACCCTGGCCCATCCTCCTCGATTGCTCCTCAACGCAGGACATCTCTCTTTATTCCATGCCGGCCTAAGACTGCTCATGAGGCTCCAACGGGGGTCGAAGAACCTCCTCGAAGGCCTGTCACTCGCATGTCCCTCATGATGCCGTCAGCCGCTCACGACGTCTTGGACTGGGGTTCTTTCAACCGGAACCAAGAAGAAGCTGGCGAAGGAAACACCAGTCCTGAGTTGATTGACCCGTTTTCCAAGATATCTGGTGAGCCCCAGGTGCTCCAGCCCTCCCGGCCGCGACGATACTCGACATTCACTCAATCGGTGAAGCACAGCATTTCTGAGATTCGCTCTCTCACCAGACGTATGTCGCTGACTGTCCGAGGAAAGAGCTCTAAACAAAAGGAGGAGGTGGGAGAGAATAAGGGATCACAAGTGTTGCCGGTGAAACCAGGCACAGGAGTGATGGACCTGACCGATGCCATGTCTACCAGACCCAAGTCTCGTGGAAGGTTATTGCGAAGCCCTAGTGCTCGGAGGAGGACCTCTCTGCCTTTGCTCAACTTCCATACTCCCCCCGAGTTCCAAGCAGACTTGGACAATCCACTATCGGCACGATTCCGAGGACACCCCGTCCTCTCGGACCTCGTGTACGGAGGAGCTGAAGCGCGTGCCTCCGCTGCAGCTCAGAACGAACTGTTCCATGCCACGAGGACGCCCCCTCTCCCGCCCTATGAGCCTCCTGAGTCAGAAATCGACAAGCTTGAGCCGGATGCGGAGAGTGGGATCGGTATTGTTCTCGACAGTGGTGCCCGGCGTGGGTCATCACCGGCAAATGTTCATGTCATATGTAGGGACCCCGTGTCGGTCCTTGCGACAGAGTTGATTGAATCGATCCTCTCGTACCTCGACGTGGAGTCGCTTATGCAGGCTTCACTCGTCTCCCACAAATGGAACGACCTCTGTCAGTCACAGGCTGTCTGGCGGAGAATCTTCATGCAGGAGTATGGGCCCAAAAACGAATTGCCAGCGGTTGGAGTGCGTCTTGCTGGAACCGGCAAAAACAAGCCAGGGCAGGAGGATTACAGGAAGCTCTTTGAGGTGCGGACTCTGATCGACAAGCGCTGGCGCAACGGAGAAGCCGCTGCCATCTACCTTAACGGCCACAAAGACAGCGTCTATTGCGCGCAGTTCGACGAACAGAAGATCATTACCGGCTCACGTGACAATACAATTCGGGTATGGGATGCCCATACATACCAATGTATCCGCAAATTGGGGCCGCCAAACAACCCCCGAGAACGACAATCGGTACAGATTCCTCTTGCGGAACCAGAAGGAGTTGTTCCATTCTTCAAAGCCTACGTTTCCTCGCCGGCGCCACCCTCCCCGGAGATTCCTTTATACCACCAGGCCTCGGTGTTGTGCCTGCAGTATGACGACGAGATCCTCGTGACCGGGTCGTCTGATTTCTCCTGCCTGGTGTGGTCGATTAAAGAGGACTACAAACCGATGTTCCGGCTAATTGGCCATCACGCCGGGGTCCTGGATGTCTGCATTGACAAGGAGCGGATTGTGACATGCTCCAAGGACACTACGATCAAGATCTGGGAGCGGTCCACGGGCAGACTGATCAAAACGCTCCTTGGACATCGTGGGCCCGTCAATGCCGTCCAGGTCCGAGGCAATTTCTTGGCGAGCGCTAGCGGCGATGGTATGGCCAAGTTGTGGCGTCTGGAAGACGGTGTTTGCATCAAAGAGTTCCAGTCCAAGGATCGTGGCCTGGCCTGCGTTGAATTTTCCGAGAATGGTCGTACGATATTCGCAGGGGGTAATGACCGGGTTATCTACGAGTACGACACGGTCACCGGCCAGCGCATCCGCGAGATGAAAGGGCACAAAGACCTGGTACGGTCGCTCCATCTTGACTCAGCCAATTCGCGCATCATCAGTGGCAGCTACGACCATTCGATCAAGGTATGGGACGCGGAAAAGGGGGAGTCGGCCGAAGACGGAGGGCTCAAGATCAATTTTGAGGGGTGGTCGTCGAGTTGGATACTCGCGGCAAAGAGCAACTACCGCAAGATTGTGTGCACGAGCCAAGACGCAAGGGTGGTCATCATTGACTTTGGTTATGGCATTGACGGAGTTGAATTGGTCGAGTCATGATTTCCCAAGCTGGCGTTGATCCGAATCATACGACATAATCCGCATTGGTTCATCATGTTACGACGTTCATGACCCGGAGGACGGAACACTGCTGAGAGTTGAAAAGCAAGTTTACCGGTTTTTATCTTGACAGGGGGGTTTCCAAAAGCAGTTTCTTGTGACCTTTTGAGCTGCAAGGTGTTGGTGGACACTATGCAAAAGGAGAATGATGGACAGGGGCTGCGAGACATTGCTTACTTGGATGGATTGTTTTCATTTTCATTTTGTTTTTGGTATTTTGTTATGCGCCGTCCTTCACATCTGTTGTAGCTCGGAAGACTGACAGCGGAGATGAGAAGTTTCAGGGGGCGGGTCTAATGCAGGAGAGGTGCAGAAAAGGGAGGTGTCTCAAGAATGCACTGTGGAAAGGGCAGCGAGGGAAAATGCATACCCAGAGAGGTAGAGATTGAGCCAGAGTCTGTGTTGGTGTTGAACCGCCCACCTCTCTGACATGGGAGGCACTTAGCTACGTACCTATAAACCTCGTAGGCATAGAATGATACCACCGCCACCACCTGACTTTCTGGTATGCGCGATACGGTATCATTACTCCGTCCAGCGGCAACAGCGGGTAAGATCAAGATCGTGGCAACGAAGGACGTCATTGTGTTTACGCGGATGCCGTGCTGGGCCAATCGGTTGTGCGTGTTAAGCGAGTCTGTCTGTTCCCGTGTACTGTATGTACGGGAGTGCGAAAGCTCACTGTCCGTTGTGGCAGGGAATGGCAGAATGCCTGGCTCAGCGTGGGAAGGGAAGGGGAGAAAAAGAAATCAGGTTACAATGACCCTCTTGTTGAGTCACCTTGAAATGCTCTAATAAAACGAGTTGCATGGGTCGCCTACGTCTCCCAAGTCCTGGCACTGGATTGTTTACCCATCCGGAACAAGCGATGGCTTAAGGCACCCAAAGCGTGGGAGCCATGTGCCTGCGAGCTCTTGGCCGCAGTCCTTGGAGAGCAATTACCTAGAGATGCTGGCTTGTAGCGGGTGGTGGCCCAGGGAGTCTTCTTACTTAGTACCTACAGTAGGCACCTAATAGTTAAGTAGTGACGTTTACTCAGCACAGCTAAAGAGAGCCCCAACCCCTCTGAAGACACCTAGAAAAGCCAAAGTGACAGGTGGTGACAGGTTCCAGGGCTGGCCTAGTAGTAGCCTCTGGCCTACCCTTGTCCTCCCACCAAACAACCAAAAAACCCCACGAGCCAAACGCGTTTTGATACGGCACGAATTACGCGATTCACTGGACCCGTGGCCAGTCACGCTCCGGCCCTTGACTGTGCGCTCTTATCCCCAGCAGCCACTTCAGCCAACCGCCTGGTGCCGTCTATTTTCTCATCCCTCTTTTCGCCCTACCTACAAACACTAACAAGGGAACAAACACCCTGCACCGATCGGAATCTGCGCTTGTCTTCTATCAAGCCACCACCCATTTGCACCTGTCCTCCTCATCCACACCACACTGCCCTTGCGCCCTCATCGTCCACCGTATCGCCGCCCTCTCAGGCTGGGATTCCGTTCCATGCCTCACCCGCCGAGTCGCTCCCGCGAAAATCCCTGCGTCAGAACCAAAACATTGATAGACGTCGCAAAGCCCAACTAGCGCAGCTGCTCCCTCCCACCTTTGCACCTCACAGCAACTGCTGCTCCCAGTCCTTCTCTGCCTCCTCGATCCCGCCGACGCCGCGACTCGTGGACGTACGCCAACATGCCCCCGTCCAAGAGGAAAGCTCGCCGCAAACCCACCGAACTCCCAGAGTCCTCGGAGCTTGACCTTCCAGACTCTTCCCCGTCACGTCCTTCGGCAAAGAAGCGCAAGGTTGTTTCTCTTCCCCCGCGCCTTTCCACTCACAAGGCGACACAGAAGCTGACATGCTCGCAAAAACAGGTCAATGGGTCTCGTGCTGCGCCCGCCAGGAAGAAGTCCGTCACTCCCGAACCGGAACCTGAGCCCACACATGCGCTGGACTCAAGCGACGACGACACGGAAGAAATATCTCGAAGCGATCTCATCGACTCGGTCGTCTCCTACCTGCAAGTCTCCAAGGAACCCATTGTCGCGAGAACCGAATACTCCAACGACAAGGTACAGAGTAACAGTCCGCAGAAGGTGTCGGCGTACGCGAAGATTGCTGGTCGGGACTGGACCTACTTTGTGCGCGAACAATCCGTCAATTTTGGGAGACCGCCAGACGACCGCCCGAACTTGAACGGTGCTTCGAGTCCTATGGCCGACCTGAAGGACGTACTGCCGGTCCATATCGATCTTGGCCCAAGCAAGATTGTTTCTCGGCATCATGCCTCGATCTACTACGACGCGGATTATCCGGTGGATGAAGGTGGCTGGCACGTCCGAGTCAACGGTCGGAACGGAGTTCGCGTCAATAACGTCCTCATCAAGAAGGGGTTGAGAAAACAGATCAAGTCAGGCGATATTTTGGAGATCGCCGGGACGCAAATGATGTTTGTTACCCCAGGCGACAAAGTCGAGATTGATCCATACTTTATCGAACGTGCCAAAGCCCTAGCTGCAGGCGAGGAAATCAGTCCTACTCAACCTCAGCCTGAACCCGCCCACTATGAAGTTTCAGCCGGACCAGCTCCAAGTTTCCCTTCTCTGGCCCCGGCGCCTCCCGATTTCAAACGCGAAGCTACACCGCCCGCACAAACCGCGGATGGCAAATCTCAGCGAGGAGTTTTCGACAGCAAAATGCCCATGTCGCCCATGTATGGCCGGGGGATGATGATGGAAAGTACCCAAGAGATCGACTACAGCCGGGACAGTGCTAAGGACCTGAAGCCACCCTTCAGCTACGCAACCATGATTGCCCAGGCTATTTTCTCGAGCGAAGAGGAGAAGTTGACCTTGAGCAACATTTATTCGTTCATTGCTGACAAGTATGCCTTTTACCGCCACTCGAATAGTGGCTGGCAGGTACGTCTGCTCGCACGCAAGTCCAGTCTTCGATGCACTAACTTGACTAGAATTCTATCCGACACAATCTCTCGCTGAATAAAGCATTCCAAAAAGTTCCTCGGCGAACCGACGAGCCTGGAAAGGGCATGAAATGGCAGATTGCCCCAGAATTCCGTCAAGAGTATTGGAAGAAACAAGCCCGCCGCGGAGGCTCTGCTCCGTCCTCGCCGGCTTCTGGCAAGGAAGTCAATCCCAACTTCAGAGGGCCGAATGGTCAGAACCTTGGTTATGATACCAGTATGGTCAGCCAGTTCTCTGCACGAGATATGTCCGACCGAGCGGGGCCTCCCGCCTCTGCAAAGTTGAGCCTCCCATTTCCTCCTTTCAATCCAAGGCAACAACCGTATCCGCCCAGTCCCAGTTTGGCACCGCCCACCTCGCAACCAGGAGAGGCTGTCACACCTCAAAGGCGGAGAACGGACACACAGAATACGATTCCGGATATGGATCTCGAGGAATCGCCTTCCCGGTATGGCAATGCGGCACCAACACCGCATGTCCGTAACAATGTACCCATGTATACGCTGCCATCGTCTGTCCCGCCTCCTCATCACTCGCCGACGAACCCCACCCTGTCGTCCTCATACCTGGACACCCCTTTCCATCCGTCACAGCATAGCATAATTACGCCTGCGCCACTGCGACAGAACCCCCGACTAGCTCCTCCAAGTACTCTGGTTGCTCCTAGCAAGTTTATGCCAGAGTCATCACCTGCAGGTCCTCAAGGGCTCTTCTGGAAGGGTATCATGGGCGCAACACCGGGCCAACCGCTGCCTGATCTGTCCCCAGTCAAGGATGAAGATCCCCGAACCAATGGAATTGACAGAACCGTGATGAGTTCGAGCCCGCCACCTATGGATGCGAGCATGGGCAGTCCGAGCAAACCGGCCCGGAGTAGTCAAGCCCCTCACAGCTCAAGTTCGGCCAAGAAGAGGGACGAGAGTCCTGCAAATCCACCGAGGCTGAACGGAGCGGCGGTTGACGAGGATGGGAAGCTCACCCGCAGTTTCCCAGGCAGTGGGATTCCGGCGACCGGAGTAAATGGTCAGATGGGGCCCAGCCGGTTCAATACACACCTCCCTGCGAACAATGCAGAAACGACTACGAATCGTGATGTCGACGACGAAGATGGCGATGGCGGATTTGACTTGGCCAAAGGGTTTGCACCCATTGCAGGGGGGAGCTTCCATTCTCAGAGAAGTGGTAGCCTGGGTGTTGCGAGAGCTGGATCGTGAGTTGCTAAACTCAGGATTGGCGTCGCTCGAGCAGAGGCGTTGTCATTCGGAGACGGGGTCGATTGGAAATGTACGAATAAGAACAACTGCGAATTATGTGCGATGCATTTATGGGAGATGCTGACGTTGAAAATCCGATATTATGGGCCGGGTCTGGTAACGTTGAGAACATAAAGGCTGGGCCATGCATTGCTTGCGTTATCTCTTGGAGATGGAAAAGACATAGAGCGAGTTCATGACGACGCTCAGTGTTTGCTGCGGTACAGGGAGTGGCCGATGCTGATTTGCCAGAAATGGTCCAGGTTGGAATCGTTTTTGTAACATCAAACAGAACCTCACTACTACTGCTACTACTACATATTACCTTGAGCCGGAGTCATTTTTTTTCTTCCATTTCACCATTTACTCTAATTGCCATCGATCTCGACATCTTATTCACTGATTGTCCCCCCGCGGGCTTGTGGAGTTCTGGCGTCTATTCATCACCCCTCTTCGATTAGTGACAAGGGTTTCCATCTGCTCTGTCTATTTAAGTCCAGCCTTGGTCTTTCTCACCACGCCATCCTTCACGCACATCGCTCCCGAATCGGGCTCGCTCATCTGCTACGTTTCCCCTTCAAAGACTGCTACAAGGCCGCAGCAGAAGCAGCAGCAGCAGCAGCAGGAGGAGGAGGAGCTGCTCCCATCCAGATCCGCCATGTTTCGCCGTCTTCCCCACACGCTCCCTCCGGACCCGGTCTTTGAGCCGGACCTGGCCAAGTTGGGCTTCTTCATTAATGGTGAGGATCAGATCCGCTCGGTCCAGAGTCCCGATCGCAAGTTCCAGTACAAGATCAATCGGAATGAGCGGTGGAACGAGGTCCACAAATGTGAGTGTTTGTTTTCTCGTACTGATGGCTTTCTTTCCCTGCGCACCCGATTTGGAGAGTTGATGTTGTGCTTTTGGCCATGACCTACATGGTTTACTATGTCCTACGCTCGAAATGGATATGGGCATGTTTATTGGACGGAAAGCTAACGTTTGAGGCTGGATTGATTAGGGGCGAACAATAGTGAGTCTTCCTTCTCCTCCAATCACGAGATCCGTGTGGATGTGTTTGGCGAGTATTCGAGACAGAAGAGATCTAACAGCGACCTTCGCTTCACTCCCTAGCTGCGGTCCGCAAGATCATCAGCGACCGGCTGGCCAGTCTGGGCTGCGATACCGTCCGACTACCGCTCGGCGCAGGAGAGTCAGAGAATCACGTCCCCATCCTCGTGTCCAAGGATATCGCCACAAAGAGTCGAGTGACCGTCTTCTTCGGCGACAGGAATCTAGAACCAGGCATTTTGAGCTGGCGCACGATTGGCGAGGCTGGAATCAAACACGGTTCGCTGGTCGAATTCTCGGAGGCTCTCTTGTCTGTCCCGGTCCTTGAGACGACGCCTACATCGAAGTCAACCTCTCTGTCTGTGCCTGGCCTCATTGTCGCAAATCCGTGTCAGTTGCTCTGGTACCGTGGTGGTGGTCGGGCCGTGTCACCCTATGAATGGCTTTGCTTGCCGAGACCGAGCGCGGTTCATGAGGCTCCAAGAGTGGACAATGTCAAAAACAAAATTCCTGGCAATTGTGACTACGTCGAGCATGTGTCCTACATGTTTGATAAGGTGATTCCGAGCTTGGTCGACAAGGACGCAAAACTGGATCTTATTGGGCTGGAGTACACCGGATCAGCGATGATGGAATATCTTGGTAAACATTGTGGGTGTGGTAAGAACCCCAACTCCAGGCTGGGCTAACACGTGTCTACAGGGAATTCATGGTCCGGTCGTATCAATGGCATCTCCTTGGTTGTGCCCCAACACAAGGAACCAGATCTCGTCGCCAGTGGCGCACCCAGCGACTTCATCAACTTCATGAGCAAGCGTTGTCGAGCGTACCTTGTCTCCCCGTCTCCCATCGAGACACCGATCGCTGGTCGCGATGAGTTGGGATGCAACTGCTACGCCAGTGGAGAGCACATGGATCCGGTGACCGCGATCGTGAGATGCTGGAGGCATATACTAGATTGGTTCAACATGCTGTATGTGAATCCGGACTATGAGGAACCCGAGTTCGAGGTGATCAAAGAAGATGAAGAAGTGAATCTTGGCTGGTAGCTGTTGGCGGCTACGGGCAGCAATTGGTGACGGAGAAAATGGTTGCGGTGTGGTCCAAGGGTGATAATACACGCCTCCTGTTGACGGCTATCGGAAGGGGGCAGCTGTGTCGACTGGTAGAGCGAGTGGTCACTGAAGCTAGGGTTCAAGTCATAATGAGATTACGGTGCTGAACACGACGGGGCCACAGACAGCATATAAATGAATCATGAATGAAAATTCCAAAAGCTCCATTGACATCAACGTCCATAGGCGACCGCGAGGGACAAATGAGTACAGACATGCCCAGGTGGTGTAAGGCTCTTTCTGCCACACCTGCACCACTGACTCCTTCCATTCCACCGATCTCGACCAGACAGACTTCTTGTCGCTGTCAAAGTCGTCGAAATTGTGACCTCTAAACAACAAGAGCAATCTACACCTTCATCTTCTCTCGCATCCTCCTTCCTCTGACCGGCCCGATATCCGTCCGCCATGGTCAAGTTCAGGGGCATTGAGATCTGCATCATATCACAGTTCGACATCTGCAAGCTGCCAGAGTTCCAGTACCGCAAGCAGTCGCGAATTAGTGATCCTTTCCAGCCTAATTTCCAGCATGACGACCCAGCCTCGTTGCCCTATCCGACTGCCGCGTGCTTTGTCCCCATCTATCCCGGCAGCCAGATTTGGTTCGAATACACCGTCGATGGTCCCCATCCCCCAGAGGCTGCCTGGTTCTTCAAGCTGTTCATCAATGGCCAGGTGGTGACGTCGTGGGATTGCACGGCCAAGCACGGCTTCCATGGCAAGATGATGTATAACTTGGTCAACGAAGGCTTGGATGCAGAGACGGGTCACGCCGTAGTCAGAACAGAGGCATTGCGATTCGGGGACGGGCTGGAAGACTGCGAAAGAGGCGGGGCACACGAGGATATGATCCAGATCAATGTGCATCGGGTTGAACACAAGAGGCGGATTTGGGACCTCGAAGCAGGCTTAGGGCAAGTGAACAGTGTCAGTGATAATGCGGATGGGCTGCAGTGAGTGTATCTTCTTCTCTTCCTTTATCGGCAGATGTCTCACACTCTGCAGGTTGACAAACAGCGGTTTCCTCGAGCCCTGCATTCGTCCCCGGCGATACAAATTTCAGCTCCTTGACCCCGTGGACATGCCTTACGCGGCCTTCCAATTTCATTGTCGCTCTCATGGTTAGCACGCCCCTCTCCTGCACTGAAGGAGGTACTGACTGCGTCCTTGGAATACCTTGAGGAGCATGGCATTGCCCGTTTGCAGGTTTGCCCTTCTTCCTGCAGCAACAGGTCCTCGATCGTATCGCAGAGCTCAGGCAACGTTCATGTGCTCCAAGGGTCTGCACATGACACTACAAAGGAGCATTCCGAGGAGCCCTCACCGTTTGCAATCTTGCCTGGTCAATCTTCGACGATTATATCACCCATTAAGATTGGAAATACCACCACAACAGCAGAGAGGCAGACTCTGGATAAGATCAAAGCGTCCACAAGCTCCGTCAATGTCTGTCTCAGCGATTCGGACGACTCGCTGAGCGTGAGGACTAAGGACAGCATTGAGGACCTCTCGTCAAGGTTTACGCGATCCCCAAGGTCCCCAAGGTCCCCAAGCCGCCGCGACAAAAGCACTGATGATGAACGGAGAAAGAGAGATGCTGAAATTCCCCCGTCTCCATCTCCGTCGGCCAGATCACCTCGTCAACGCTTGAGAAAGAAGCTCACAGTCAATATCAATGGTGCAAATTTCGACGTCGACAGAAAACGTCGACCGTTAAGTCCCTTTACGAGTGGCGGAATGCTTAGGAAAGCGTGTGTGCCGCAGACAGCGCCGGCCTCGGTCACAGAGTTTGGGCCGACCGTTGAAGAAGAAATCAGGCCCAAACTCCAGAAGAGTAAGGCAGAGACGGATGCAAAACCTGAGAAGGGCGGTTTCAGAACAACGTCGGAGGAGCGGGGAGGAAAGAGACTGATGGGGTTCCTGGGAAGGAGAATTGCAAGTGGGAGGAGTGCCTAAGATACGTGTCCTGCATCATTCGCATACGCTGTGACGATCCAGTTTGTAAGGACAATGGGCAGCATCTGTTGCTACAAAGAGAATCAGGCTGTGAGATAATACTGTAAGCTCACTAATTGGTGTGCAGTTTGTATTGTGGAGTTATAGCGTTGCCGGCACGTGTCTCTTACGGAAGCTTTGCCGAACCCATCGCCGCATGTGTTGAAGACAGCCAACAACGACACTCCTCCCGTCTCTTCTTGACAATAGACATCCCGCACAGTGAGGCACATATCATGTCATCTTATCGTCCTCGAGGGGGCTACGCCGGCTCTCAGCAGCCATATCGATCCCATCATTCTTCACAGCAAGACGATTTCTACGATGACCGGTCGAGGTCACGATCTGGAGAACGCAGACACAGCTCCCCTCACAAACGAAGTCCTCCACACGGTAAACCATAGTTCAGAACGGGGTGAGAAATTGAGGTCATTATACTGATATGTAAACGCTCAAAGACATCAGCCGGCCACCAACCGGACCATCGCAGGGGGAATTCAACTTCCGTGGCCGTGCCCGGAGTCCAGATCGACGACGTGACCGCAGCTATGACAGGCGCAACCGATATTATGATGATGATCGCAGCTCGCCATCCCCTCGCCGGGGCAGATCGTCATATTATGATCTAGACGACCCTCGCTCCGCTTCACGAGACTACCGCAGCCGCAGTCGAAGCAGACACCGCACACCGTCGGGCGAGCGACCACCAAGCCGAGGCGCCCCAAGCAGGGAAATCATGGTGGACGGACTGGCTCCTCATCTGACTGAAAACGATGTTCGAATACTCCTGCCCGAACTTCCCTGACCACACGCAATCATCTGGTGATCCATGGTGACTTGCTCTGTTTCCTGCGGGACATATGGCTAAGGTTTTCCCGACTTTGCGAAACAGATCTCCTCGGAACTCAAACAATACTATCATGCAGAAGGCCTCGAGGATACTCGAGTCATTCGCGACAAGCAAACGAGTAAGCTTGAAAGGACACACGGACGCTTGGGGTACGCTCTTTCTCACACGGTTAGCAGAACAGTCAAGGAGATTTGGCTTCATCCGCTTCGGCACACTGCAAGAGGCGGAAGCTTTCATGGACCGCAACTACCCTGTCCTGTACCTGTATGGCGACAGCGACAAGTCTAACGGAGGCTCATCCAAAGTCCGAATAACCTTCAGTCGGGAGCGGAAAGACCCACGAAGGAATGACGACCCGGACTGGATTTGCGATAATGTATGTCATGGAGGGTTCGTCGCCATGGGAACTATTGTGCTGACGATCCCATAGTGTCTCATCAACAATTTTGCGACCCGAGACCGATGTTTTCGATGCCAGGCCGAGAAACCAGGTACGTCTGACGAAGTTGATGATTGGCTCGACGCTCATGGTTTTTTCGCAGAACATCCAACTTACGCCATCACAAAACCGCCCAATGTCGGAGACAACGATGCCTCTCCAGATAATCATCCTTCTCAGTTCCTTCTCTTACGGGGGTTGGAACCATCTGTATCTGAAGACTTGCTCGTAAAAGGCGTCGCGAAACTTAACAAGCCAAGCTCGTCTGGGTCTCAACGGGATGACGTGTCCGCCAAAAAGGGTGCCAAAGTTGCATCCACCACGGGTGATGCGAATCTTGGAGCCAGAGAAGGTACACTGCGTCGAGTCCTCCTTATCCGCGATCGAAAGACCCACGAGAGCTGGCGGTATGGCTTTGCAGAATATGCTTCCATCGAGGATGCACAGGCTGCCCTGATTCGATACAACTCCTTTGAGCGTTTCACCATCGCTTCCAAGCAGGTGCTCGTTAGCTATATCCACGCTGGCGTTTTTGTTCCTGTGTTGAATCCGACCCCTGACATTGAACGCTTCTGCTTTAGCCCCGTGGGCAATCCAGCTATGAAACTTGCGTATTGGGATGAGGGGGCTTATGTGAAGGAATTGGCTGTATCGATGCCGACCACGGTCTCGCACGACGCAAAGACGGGCTCGACCACACACCCCGAGGCGGGCGCCAAGACGGCCAAAGACGCAGAGAAGGCGAAGAAGCGGAAGGCTCAGGCCGATGTCGAGACGACCGGAGCCAAGAAGACGGTGCCATCACACCTCCAATTCTGGAGTAATCGCCACGCTGAACTGCATGGTATTACGAAGAAATCGCACGACAGGGAAGTCTCGAGGTCAACTGACGGGAATGAAAGTGCGGATGCGCCGCCATCGCAGTCTTATGCTGACCCAAGTCGACACTGCTGTTACCTCTGCATGCGTCAATTCAACAACGCGGCAGAAGTCAACAAGCACGAGCGTCTGAGTGCGTTGCACCGCTCGAATCTCCAGGATGAAACGAAAGTCAAAAGGGCCGTGGCGAAGTTGGCGAAACACGGGATCCAACGGCAGTTCGTCATGGCTGCGGCCAAACCGGTGCAGGAATACCGCGATCGAGCAAAAGAGAGGCGGAAGATCTATGGTGTCGTCAATAAGAAGGGCGAACAAGTCGGCACCGCACCCAAGTCGTCACGCGCATCGTCTGATGATGAGACCCCGCCGGCACCTGTTCAGTCCAAGGGCGCTTCGTTGCTCAGCAAGATGGGCTATACCGCCGGACAAGGACTGGGTGCTTCTGGAGAGGGCATGACCACGCCGATCAGTCAAGACCTCTATGTCGCTGGAGTTGGACTGGGCGCGCAAGGCGGGAAACTTGGTGATGCAATTGTTGAAGCGGAGCGAAACACCAAAGGCGATTATGGCGGGTTCTTGGAAGAGACGCGACAGAGGGCCAGAGAGCGGTACGCCAGAATGGAGTAAAAGCCGGAGACGTTATGGGGAGTCCATGGGCAACTTGTGCGGCCCCTGGAGACCCTGGGACGAGATTGAAGATGGATGGCAATGATATGTGCTCTGGACGAAGGAGATATTGTACGGGATACTCAACACGCACCCAACCAAGGATGAAGGACATACAGCCCTTGCTGCTCCTATCCCTCGTTACATTCTTCTTCTTCTTCTTCTTCTTCTTCTTCTTCTTCTTCTTCTTCTTCTTCTTCTTCTTCTTCTTCTTCTTCTTCTTCTTCTTCTTCTTACACACTCGATGATTTTTATCTTCTTCGGAACTTACGTATACTGTCTGTCCCCCGATGCTACTGTCCTGCTTTCTTCGTCTTTGCATCGTCCCCTTTCAGGCCGGCAGCACCCAGCACGATCTTCTCCCACTTGGCAATGACCGCCTCGATCTCCGCAGGCACAGCTCCTCCTACACCTACCCTGTCGACTTGCTCCTTGTCCTTGTTCTCCACTTCCGTCTCCTCCTCGTCCTTGTCCTTGTCCTTCTCCTGCTCACCACCACCCCCGCCAATTCTGGCATCTGGAATCGCGGCAATCTTCTCGTCATCTAACCCCTTGAGCAGTTCTGCGATCTTCAGCTCTTGCTGGGCGCGGGCGTAGAGGCGTTGGATGAAAGCCAGCTCATCGTCTCCGTCTCCATCTCCGCCTCCGCCCGGGCGCTCATCTCGACGACTAACAGCAACAAACCTACGCGAGGACCCTCCGGGTCGTTCCGGAGAAGTACTCATTATTGTTGTTGTGGTTGTTGTTCTCGGAGAAGAACTTGGCCCCGCCTCTCCCATCCTCCTCCCCCCACCGGAGCGGGATTTGGTACTCACCAGGGCAGCGACGACGCCCTCCAAAACCCCCAGCACCGCCCCCACGCGCAACCCCACCGGATACCCGGCGTCAAACCCGCCCTGCATGACCCGCGCCTTGCCCACCGACAGACCCTCGCGGTACCCGTCCGTCATGTGCTGGCGGCGGAGGGAGGGCACGTCGCTGAGCATCTCGTCGCGGCGCCTGATTCTCTGGGAAACCTCCATCGAGAGTAGTTGCGTGGGAGATGCAGATCCTTGGCCCCCGTGCTCGTGGTCTGCCGACGATGTGTCCCAGATATCATCATCATCGTCGTCGTCCCCCGGTGACTGCTGCTCGGGTGTTGTCATCGTGGTGTCCGGCGACGAGGGGTGGGGACTGTGACCGGGCGAGGGTGTTGACTTGGGAGAGCCATTATTTGCCCTGGGATTCGGCTGCGTCGACTGGCCCCCCTCCCCCTCGCCCTCCCTCTCCTCCTCGATGTCTGCCATGTGACGTCCTCTCCCAAGCCAGGTGTCTGTGAGGGAGTCGATTGGTATCTGCAGATCTCGAGCGCGGATATAGACTCGTAGAGCCCGCCCTTTCCCCACCAACCAGCCCCGATGGATCTCGTGATTATCTGGAGAGGAATGCTTTTTCCTTGCCCCTTGTGCCCTTGTGCCCTTGTGCCTTATCTCATGCAAGTAAGTAGCACCTTTTTAAGTTCACTCCCACCGTGTACCTCGTATTTCAGTGCCACATACACACACAAACGCACACAGGTCTGCCCAGACTGATAAGTGAGTCAGGCTGGTGACAGACAAGCAGATGACAAGCCACCAACGGGCACCCTCAAATGAAAAAAAAAAAGGTCGAACCGCAAAGATGCTTGACGATGAATCAACCAGCAATGTCGTATCAGGACCAAGGACGAGGACGAGCGGGTCCTTTTTCTTTGAACTGTCTTGAAGTGGAAATGAGGGTGGGTGGTGATGGACGAGCAATGGAAGTCCTGCTGAAGCACGTCATTTGAAACTTTTATATCACGTGTATCAATCACTACAATCACTAGATAGAGAAAGGCTGCAAGCAAAACATCCCTATCCCAAGCGGCTTTCATTCCTGGGTTGTGTCTCTGATAAACTGTTGTATTTGTCGGAAACTTTTCACGGTTCTATGGGTATCATGTCTGTATCAACGACATCACGAATGTAAATACAAAAGATCAGCCCGACGGCACGCGGCGGTACGAGTGATCCCCAACCCTCCACGCGCGTAATGGTAGCGCTTGCAGTGCAAGGGCTTTCCTCTCCACGTAAGTCCAAAATAGCACCGCTCCGACAATCACAAAAATGACGTTGGTGATATAATATCCATCACGTTGCATCAGGCAGGTCCCACCTCCCTTCAAGCAGACGTTTTTGTCTGCCTCAAGAGCACAACTGAAGCTGCTGGTAACGAGTGTAGCGTCCGGATGAGATTTGAGGAACGTGTCTGGGTCAGCCGGCGGAATGCAGGTCGCTTTAGTGAAGAGGTCCACCAGTTTGAGAATGAAAAATTTCGGGAACGTTCCCCCAAGATTCGACACACTGCGCAAAAAAGTCAGCAAAAGAATGCGAAGACTGTCAGTCGGAAAAGACTCGACTTACGTAGCCAACAATGTCATATATGTCCCGCCAATCGTTGGATCAGCAATCCGAGCGTGAAACGCAGCTGAAGCAACAAACATGACTGTATTCATGAACGTTGATGAGACATGTGCGGCAATCACCACCAGCATGTACCACACGGGAACAGCCTCGTCGGGCGCAGTCGGGTAGATCATAATTGTAATCTGCCCAAAGACAGCCGCGAGGAGCCGGGCGGTATAAGCCCAACACCATACCTTCAGTGGCGTATACTCCGTGGACCATTTCCCGGCGTAGTATCCCAAGCCCAGTTCAAAGGGGAAATCAATGAGGACAACGAGGGCCATATTTGCCTGTCCAAAGCCCTTGTCAAGGAGCTTGAGATTCGTGACTGCATCGTTGGTCACAAATCCGAGTTTGCTGACAAGGTGAACAGCAATGATGGTGAGAACATTGGGGAGTTTGAGCACTGCCCACATGGATCGGTATACTTCCATAATACCCTCCCGCTCATTGTTCTTCTCCTCCCGTTTCAAGACAGCCAAACCCACTGTGACGATGAGATAAACCCAGCCCCAAAAGGTCATGTAGCCGCCGAGCGTGAAGAGGCCATACTCCTTGGGGACAGCCCTGAACCACCTGTTGGCGAAATCTGGTGCCTGGAGCGCGAGGAAGACGGTGTGTGACAGGAAAGAGCCGGCAGTCAAGCCGACTGTCTGTGCTGTTGAGGCATACGATATGTTCTGGATCGAGAGAAGTGAAATGGCCCATCCGTCCACTGCAATGTCCTGGGTGGCGCACATGAAGACTAGAAGAAACCACCAGCCAGTGAAACCCCAGACCCCAGCTCCGTCATTGTCGCCCGTAGCCCTCATCATCTCATCAATTTGACCGCCCAGGTAAATCATGGACAATCCGGAGATCGTTTGAATGGGAGTGATCCAACTCTTCCTGCGTCCAAACCTCCGACTCCACACCGCATCCACGATCGGACTCCAGAGCAGCTTCAACGAATAAGGGTATATGGCCAGAGAGAAGATGCCGATTTGACCATATGATAGATAACTTTTTAACAGAAAAGGGACAGATCCCGAGGCCAGACCCAAGGGAATGCCCTGGAGGAAATAAAGCAGGCAGAGAAGGAGAAAATTCTTCTTGTCTTTCGGGGGAAGATCGACGAAGCTGGTATTGACCATGCCAGGTGTTTGCGGTGTTTGAGGGGGCGGCTCATGGTCCAAGGAAAAGTCATCTCTGCTCATAACTCGGGTAGCATGCGTCGTGGGGTCGTCGTTCGGGACGTGTTTACGTCTCATCTCAACGTGGGAATTCATGTCACCGTTTGCGTGGCCATTCGCGTGGCCGTTCTGATTGATTTCGAGGCGAAGATCTGGGCGAGATGACGATCTCTTGTCTTTTGTTTTCTTTGACTTCCTGCGTTGCATAGGGGAATCAGAGCCTTCCGCAACCACGAGGTGTTCTTTTTCCGATGTGTCACTCTCGGAGTCTTCCTCTTCCTCTTCGCTCTCTCCCTCGTCTTCCTTTCCGGGTGATGTTCGGGGTTTGGATCGAGGGGCACCGGTGTATTGTGGTTTCTCAGACTGGTATTCGCTTAGTTCGATTTCGTGAGATCGTCTGGTATTGTTTGGGTCGGCGCTGTGGATAGGAAGGATGGGACGTCCGGTGGGATGGGAACGAGCGTGAAAGATTGGGATTGTATATGGTTCGGCAATCGAGTCAGGCATCCATGCGGCAGAAAAAGAGCGTGGTGGGTGTTGAGTGGATAGCAATAGAAAAGGACTCTGTGTCCTTTCGCAGGGGCGAGACCGGCGAATGACCAACTTGGATTTCTGGGAGTGCTCCGTGCAATGGGTGAGATCATTGACGGGAAGGAGATTTTGCGTCTACAACGCCCTCCCCTCACAACAACACATCATGTTGGACTGGCGGACATGATAAGTCGCAAACAGGAGACGACTTCATCTTCATGCATCAGCAGCCGAAGTGTGAGGTGGCTGCCCCCAGATTTCTTGCAGGCACTTTATTTAATGCCGGCACACGCCCTCGACGCCTCTCACCCCTGACTGTTCACGTGAAAGCGATTAGCTAAGATAAGGGCCTTAAGTAGCCTTCGCACGCGTCCTGATAAGCCCAAGACGCGTCGTTCGCCTTTCGGTTGAACTTCGCTTGTGATCAAGTCTGTTGGACGTTGGCTGTCACGGCTGTTAATCAAGTCTACATGACAGAAATGGCTCTTGTGGCATCTCCTTCCCTGCCGTCAACGGATGTGGTAATGGGTGATTCTCCAGATGACGAGATTGCCCGAGTAAGAGCTGAAAGTACGTTCAGATATACCACAATTCAGCCAGCATTCGGCCTCTAACACTGTGGCAGTCGAAAAACTCACTCAACAGCGCAAGGTCCTGACGTCCTCTCTTCTTGCGTCAACGAAAGCCCAGTCGCGTCTTTCTGACGCACCTTCAAAGCACGACAGCCCCCTCCAATTGGAAAACCTACAACTGCATTCCCAAACGAACGCCCATAGACTCGCCTTTGGAGTGACCTCTTTCCCTTTCCACGACCCCTCACCCGACCTCCGGTCCAAGAACCCACTACTTGGAATAAGGATTGATGTCTGCAATCGCAAAGGCATCTTCGATAGCCCATACTATATGTTTTGCATTCGGGCTCGAGACAGTGGGGACGAGTTACGGATCCATCGGCATACGATCCCCGCGTTGGTGCCGCTGGAGCAGTATGAGAAGCAGTATCTTCCTACCTCATCTTTAGATATCGAAGGGTACGGCGGTTCAGACGACTCAGGGCTCGACGTCAACGAACGAGGAAGGGCAACGAAACAGGATCTTCACGGACTCGTCTCTCGAGTCAGATATGATCTTGTATGCTGGCGCCTAAGGCAGGAAGCGACAGAATGGCTTCGGGAAGAGTTGGAAATTCCAGAGTCGTTCGACCAACCTCTGCGCTTTGCCAAAGATCCAGCAGAAGAGACCAGGGAAACCGACAACAAAGACGGCGACGCCGAAATACGCCCTGCCAAAAACAATGCCAACGGTCGAGGCGATGATGATGACCCGGAACGTGCACCCGAGGAAGATGACGATGAAGAGGAAGAAATTGCCGGAAAGTTCAACGTGCACTCTCTCATCAGCCTGGAGGTCGACGCACGTCAACTCCGCATCGTCTGGACTGACGATCGTGTGGGCCGGATCAAAATCTCTGACGATGGGAAGGTGCAGAAGGCGGTTGTAATCGGGTTAGATGGCAACAGAGTCAAGAATGTGGAGAGGATCCTGATGGGTGACGGCGAGGGGAGCGTCAGCCTCTATGATTTGATGGGTCGCTTGGAGGAGGTTTATAAGAGATCCCGGGAAGTCGAAGACCGAGAGGGTTGAGCAAGGAAAGAAGGAAGCAAAGACAACACAAAGGCCTTGAAATTGCTGGTGCACGAAACGAGACATGGTTGCCGTTGCGCTTTATATGGACCATGACGCCGCGATGTTTACAGGCACACGAAACTCATGATGAAAGACGAGATGATTGCTATTTGTTCCATCTTCGGAGTATATCTGGATCCTGGACTGCAAAGCTCGACTCACGATGCCGTGGTTTGCTCTTCCACAAGGAACTTTTTCCGGTGGCTGTTGCACGTCAGGGGATATGTTGGTGGAAGCTCATGCGACGAAAGTGTTCGTCTAGTTCTCGCACAGGTATGCTCTTGTCACTCCTTCAGACCATTTATTGTGTCTACAAGATAGCTATCGCGTTGGGAGTGGTCCCAACACCGCCAAACACATGGAGAGGAGCGCTCGTGAAGAAAAAGGACCATTGTTTGGCCTCGGCGCACACCTTGGCCAACTTCTCCAGATTCCACAGCTCGCCGATCGGACAACCCCAGTGAGACAACAACCACTCGTGAAGGCAGACCTTGTCCTTGCTTCCAAAGGGCGCCGGGCACACCTCGAATCCGAGCGAGTCTCCGGCAACAGCAGCAAAATGGTGGTTCCACAGCCATTTGGCAGACTTCATCGACGCCTCGACGCCAATGAAGGCGCCCCTGTCCAAGGACTTTGCCCGCTCAGCAGAAGGGGTGGAATCATGCCACGCTGTGAAGCCAGAGCGGATGATCAAAATGTCGCCCGTTTTCAGCTCGAGGTTTTGGTATCTGGCCACTTCGTCGAGCTCGTCCACCGTCATCGGATACGGAGAGTCAATCTTTGCGGGTTCTTTGCCCGTTTCTTTTCGCCATCTGTCATAGTCGAGAAGGATCCCTCTGCCCACGATGCCTCCATGTTCCACCCAGTCTGCAATGTGACCGGTTGGTTCAATCTGGAAAAACACATGGGAATGGGATGGATACTCACTTTGAATGCCCAGTTTACCGGAGCCAGATTCATCGATCTCCCGATGTTTCATCCCGTTGTAGTAGACGCCAGAACTCTGCAGTCCCACATGGCGAAGACCGTCCCATTGGGAGCTGCTCTGCGTGTTGAATCTAATCACGTCGTCATGCGCCACAATGTCGTATTCGCCGCCCTTGTTCCTCTCTCTAAAGTCCACAATGGTCTGCTCAAACCTCTCTCGGCCTGCAATCCCATGGTCGAAGTGATCCAATCGCAAATCAAGCTGAACGGACTTCCCGATCTTCACCTCTCGAGATGCGTTTCGGATGACCTCTGGGGTCAAAAGATTTAACGCTAGATTGTTTGGCGGGTTAACTTGGCTACTCTCTGCCGTGTTGGCATTGAACGTCGAAAAGGGGCCACTAACTTCCCAACTCATCGCCCTTGCCCCAGAATCCCCAGGCATTTCCCTGCGGCTGGCCCTCAACAGGAGGCAGCGAATCGAAATCCGGGTAGTCGACCATGGTTCTAGAGAATAGTGGTGTACACTCCGTGGCGGCACGGCTCGAATGCGGCCCACACAGCACTTTTATACCACTGAGATATCGGACATCAAATCCCGAGGTGAGGAGGTTGACGAGGGCGTTTGCCGACGAACAGGTTAGAATTTTCGCACGCCAAGTGGCTTGTCTCTACGCAATGCCCTACGGTGTCCTTGCTCTCCTTTGCTATTCCAAGGTGTTCGAAGTGGTAAGATGGCCAAGTCTCGCTCAGTTGAGGGTGAATTAATCAAGCCAAATCTGCAGAAACTACGGACCATCTCAGAATACTTCTATCCAGCGAGTCAGATTGCTTCGTACTGGCCGTAGAGATTGCCATCAGCTCCCTGGGGAAGACACGGAGCTATTCATTTACACAACTCACATGAGATCTCAAGATCCCAATGGGAACCTGACTGGGCCTTAGGCAGTCCATCCCCCATCGACCTTGTACGTCGATCCCGTCACAAAACTAGCCTCGTCGCTCAGTAAAAAGGCAATGACCGTAGCAACTTCCTTAGGATCGGCTTGACGGTCGATCGCCTGCATCTTCGTAGTGACGGGTCCATTTCTGAACCCAGTTTCCATTGCTTTGACCAAGGGGGTTTTGATAACGCCTGTTTGGTGTCAACCTCCCAGTGATCCATTCAGTTCCAGGAGCGTGGGGAGGATCTTCTTACCTGGAGCCACCGCATTGACTCGGATATTGTGGCCTCCGTACTCGCGAGCTGCTGTTCTGGTCAAACCTCGAACGGCGTGTTTGCTGGCGTTGTAGATTCCCGTGTCAGGCAGTCCAATAAATCCTGCCACGCTCGAGACGTTTACCTAGAGAGATACACACACAAACGTGCTCAGCGCTGGGGAGGAATGCCCGAGAGTAACAAACCACAACCATGTTAGGGGGATGTACTCACGATCGAGCCGCCTCCGCCTTTCAACATCTGCTGTAACTGTGCCCTCATGGAGTAAAACACGCCGCCACCGTTGATGCCCATGACGAAATCCCAGTCCTCGTCGCGGGAGTCAGCGAGATGGCGTCCTCCCTCCCGTTCGACGCCGGCGACGTTGGCGGCACCATCCAACCCGCCCAGGCGTTTCGCGGTCTCTTGGATCCATTCCGTCACTTTGGCGCTGTTCCGGACATCGACGACCGTGGCAAAATGGCCCTTGCCGGGGAGTGAGTCGAGGGCTTTCTGGAGGCTGTCTTGATTGACGTCCGAAATTGACAGCACGGCACCGCGACTGGCGAGTAATTGCGCCGTGGCGAGCCCAATACCACTTGCTGCACCAGTGACGGCTATCTAGGGTTACCATTTTTAGCTCTCATTCCGCCCAATGGAAGAATACGGTCTCAGGCATACTCTTTTCCCCTCGAGAGACGCCATGCTTTGTATGTGGATTGAATCCTGACACTTGAGTAGCGCTTGGTATGTCCGTTCAAAGGTCGACACGGTTGGGATCGAGCACTGGGCTCATCGCCCCATTTAGTACTTTCCTGCAGCATTCGGCAGCCAAAGTCCGTCCACGAACTTCCCCGCGTATGGTGCCGCATATACCGAGATATTATTGAGATGAGGTACGGGAAAAGGGGGCCGAGGGAATTGCTTCTTGGGTTGGAGTATTGTCCCGTTCGACCCTGATCTAGCCAGCAATAACCAACCACCTTCTGATTCCTTTTTCCATCATTCAATCGATTTGTCTATCTGTCTTTCTGGGCTCGGTCTACTCTACTGGATTGTCTGTAACTACGGTTGATGCGGGTATGCCTTGGGCCTCTGTCGTACATTCACTCCTCTTCCACGTGGACTGCCGCGACCCCCTTTTCGTCGGTCAGGACACTTTCCTTGTACTGCGACAGCTTGAAGCGCCTGTGGATCTCTTCTTCGCGCTCATCTTCCAGCGCGATGTTGTCGCCAAACACCTCGCCAATGTCCTCGAGAGATCGGCCCTTCGTCTAGGACCAATGTTAGCGCTGGTACGGTACATACGACACACGCACGAAAAATCCAGTGAGTCGGTCGGGCGGAGGAAGGTTTGTTGGTGTTCTTGCTTACTTCAGGGAAATAAAACCACACCACGGGGATCATCGAGGCCGTCACGCAGACAAAGACCAGGTAGTACTTCCACCCGATGTTGGCGAACGCGACGGGTGCCGCCTGGAGGTAGACGATCGTGGACACGAACAGGCCCGTGATGGAGATGCCGACGCCTCGCGCGCGCAGCGGCGTGGGGAAGATCTCCGCCGAGTAGATGTACGACGTCGCGTCCAGCGACACCGAGTAGAGGGCGATGTGGAGGAAGAGGAAGAAGACGGCGAGGGAGGCGATCGCGCGGGACCCGGTCCTCTGGAAGATCGAGACGGCGATGCATTCGCCGATCAGGGCAATCAAGTCACCCGTCAATCCGAATACTGGGACAGTGTTAGTTGATGTCAACCTTTTGTGGCAAGATGACCGGAACCCGGCCTTACATAGTAGTCTCTTTCTCCCGGTTTTGTCCACCACGAGGGCGTTGAAGAGGTTGCCTGGGATGCACGAGCTGATCCAGGCCGACTGGATGACCAGCTGGAGGACCGTGCCGTAGCCCAGGTTCGAGTAGAGGAGTGGTCCGTAGTCTTTTGAGGTAAAAAGAATTCAGGTTAGCCATAATGCTTCATAACGTACGGGCCCTTTTTTTGTCCCACGGGCATTTGTGCAAAGACTTACTATTGATCACCAGGGTTCCTGTGCCCTGCGCGGCTGCCAGCGTCAGGAATCCAACCACACATCGCTTGCGCAGTGATGGGACCAGGAAAAAGTCTTTGAGGGGGACTTCGTGCTTCATCTCGTGCGCGACCTGGGCCGCCAGGAGCCGAAATTCCTGCTCGATGGCCATCTCATGCTCCGGGCCCTCGCCGGAATCCTGCACCTTGCGGAAATTTTGGAAGGCCTCGGACTGGCGGTCCTGGATGAGCACTACATATATGAACACGACGAGAGTCAACATCATTTATTTCTCAAGTGGTGGTGGTAGTAGCACGGGCACAATGTAACTCACGCCATCGTGGTGATTCGGGGACAAAAAGGACGCCGATGGCGAGGAACAAAGGCGGCAAACACTGTATCGCGAGTGGCCACCGCCATTGACTGTTTGTCCCGCGCAGGAAGTAAAAGCCCAAACCAATCCAGCTGGCCGAGCCGTAGCCGATGCAGATCAAGACGCCGTGCATGCCGACAAGCAAGCCACGAAGCTTTGTCGGGGCCACCTCGCTCTGGTATAGCGGGACGAGTCCGACCAGGGATCCTTCCTGAAGTCAGCGGTGATGTAGAAAGAGCGATTTTCAACCCCCAAGATAATGACAAACGTACCGACTCCGTATCCGACCAAAAAGCGCGAGACCATGAACATGGCGACATGGACACTCCCAGCTTGCAGCGCGCCCCCGACGACGCAGAAAATCGCCCCGAGGAAAAGGGCTCGTTTGCGTCCCAGTTTATCGGGAATCCACAGGCAGGAGAGGGCGCCCAGGAGACCCCCGACCTGGTAGAGCGCGTTGATGGCACCGATTAGGCTGTCCGCGTTGGAGACGACATCGAGCTTGAAGTACGTGATGAAGGTCGGTTGCCCCAGCGTGGTGGCGATGATGCTGCTGCAGTACCCGTAGGTCAGGGACCCCAGGGCCACGAAGAGGACCACCTTGTGAGTGAATGGATCAGCTTTCTGTGCGCAGCCAGCAGCAGCAGCAGGATAGAGGAGAGCAGAACGTCTCGGAATGAAAAACCTACAGCGAATTGGAAGAAGGTCGGCATCTTCACGTGCTTCTCGACACTTCGTCGTCCTTTCTTTTCTTTTCTTTTCTTCTTCCTGACGGGCAGGATTTGGTGCGATAATGGTCCAAAATTCTCTGAGAATGGAATGTCGATCAACCAAGCCAAGTCACTATATAAATCTCGACGGAAGACGCAGTCTCAATGGAGGTGGAGAACACATGGCGAACAAAGCCCGGCACAATAGTGGGACTTGCTTGATTGTTATCATTTTAGTAGCATCCCAAGTAGCAAGCAAGGGCTCTCAACTTGAGGCTGGCATACGCAGTACAGAAATAAAGTGGGTCCATTTCTGTCCTTAGCGGCCCTCATTGAGTCTCACTAAGCCGAATATGGCTAGCCGAGGCTTGTCTCTAGCCCAATCTAGAGAAACGGGCCAATCAGCTCCGCAATTCCTTGCCACGCAGCCTTGCCTGCCCTTTGTAGAACCAAATCACTCCTCAAGAACGAGCTAGGTTGGGAGCCAATCTGAAAAGTAAAAAGGAATCTAGCAGTGCTAGCAATGCGACAAGCAGCTTAGCTGTTTCCTAATCTTTACATCACCATCATCGTCAGTGGTGAAGTTATTTCATGAGAGACCTTGGATGGTCCTTTTGTGGATAATCATGATCCCATCAGAGCGAAATGGACCAGGTCTTGGGTGTTGCAATCAATTTTATTTTCATCTCACACCGCCCTGGCCCTCGCAGTTCTGGACAAACGGAAGCTGGTCCTCCACCGTCAATAGGGGGCCCCAATTTTGCAACGATGCGAGAGCGTTGATTCGCTGCACGGTGTTCGTTCTCCGAAAACCACTCGTCACGGGTCAGGCTGAGATCGGCACATGGTCGGTGGGCCAAGCGATTCCACAAACTGGACGCGACACCAACCCGGTCGTAGTTTTGGGCACCGGTACCTGCAGATTCTCCTCTTCCTGGCGTCGACCATGGCGAGGGTGGTCAAGTGGACGAATGACCAGGTCGGCGACCATATGCCGACGAAAAGCACCTCGATTTATGTAATATTGAGGGGTCCTTTGAATAGACCCCAGATTTTCTCCTCCCCTTGCTTACCGGTAGAAGAAAGAGGGTGGTCCATAAAACCTGACGCCAGCTCTTCTCATCCCGTGGCCCTACGAGTACTACTGCAGCACCCTGGGAGGAACTATCATGGCAGAAGAAGAAAAGACCGACGCCGCGGGCTTGCAGCAAGACTCGGAAAACCCGGCTGAACACCATGAGATCGAGCAAGCGGCCAAGCTCGAGTCTACGGGCGCCGCCGTCGAGGAAGTGAACTCGGAAGAGGAGGAGGAGGCTGTGGTGACCTTCAAGACATGGATCGTTGTGGGGGTGAGTAGATTCGTAGGCAAATTGAAACATCGGCTCGCTCTCTGACATGCCGAATAGATATTGTCCTGCGGTTATGGCTTGTCCTTCTGGCCCATTCCAGTCATGGCAAACATTGGAGGTCTTGTTGGTGAAGAGCTCGGTGCCCCCTCGAAATACATCTGGTTTATCCCAGTGCGTGTCCCCAAATTCCCAGACTGTACGGGTGAAATTTCTGACACATGGCTCAGTCCTGGACGATATCTATTACCTGTTGCTTCATGCTGTGGTGCGTACTGGTGTCCCACGAGATCGACCTTTTCTGGGAGAACAGGATAATAAAAGGATACCAGTGGTGCAAACACCGACATGCTCGGTCGTCGATGGTTTTTGACCATTGGGAATCTGGTAATTGCGACGATCCTGAATCTCATCTGGTGAGCCAGTACTAAGAGAGACGAACTAGATCTGCACTGTTGGCCATATTGTGACCGCTTCCTCCAAGAACGTCAACGCCGTGATCGCCGGAATGGCCATTTCTGGCTTCGGTGGAGGCAACTGTCAGGTATGGCACTACCGCAACTCGCATTTCGAGAGTACTACCAATGCTGACAACGGCATGAACCCCAGATGGCTGCATTCGCACTGCCTGAATTGCTCCCCAACAAATGGCGCCACATTGGCGTCGTGCTGGCCGACCTCACCACTCTTTTGGCTGTGATTCTGGCCCCAGTCACTGGACTATACGGGTACCACTCGCACTCGTGGAGATGGAACTTCTACGCCGCGGCGATTGCACAGTTCCTTTCATTCCTAGGGCTGCTCTTCCTCTACTTCCCACCCGCGCATCCGTGAGTCCTACCCAGAGCACGACATCGTCAATTTAGGTGGAAGCTAAGTTTCAATAGATACGGGTTACCGATCAAGAAAGTGCTCCCAAAAATCGACTATGTTGGTAAGATCATGACCCTGTTCCAAGACAAACCCTCGCTCTTCCATTCGAGCCACTGACATCGGGGGATAGGTGGCGCCTTGTTCGTCGCCGGCGCCGTGCCCACCCTCGTCGGTGTGGTGTATACCACGGTCGTGCCGTCCAATGATGCGCACGTAGTGGCACCGCTGGTGATCGGGTTTTCCTTCCTTACCTGCTTCGCGCTTTGGGAGACGTTCTCCAAGGCCGAGCATCCGCTGACCCCGCGGTACGTGTTCGCGTCGTCGTGGGGGCGCGACTTCACGGCGCCGGCCATCGCGCTGGCCGTGGTCAACATGTTTTACTACTCCGGCAGCATTCTGTGGCCGACCATCGTCAACGCTTTCTACACCGACGGCGGCGCCGACTGGCGCTACGGCATCGTGCTGTCTCTGCCCCAGGGTCTGGCCATTACCTTCGGCGCCGTGCTGCTGTCCGTCTTTGGTGGCACCATCAAGAACTGGCAGTGGCAGCTGACCGGCTCCGTCTTCATCATGGTTCTCTTCGGCTCGCTCCTGGCCCTGGTCACCCCGACGAACAAGGGTCTGATGGTCGCGTGTATCTTCATCTCGCAGTCCGCCTATGGCTGGGCCATCTACCTGTCCATCGCCGTCGCGCAAATGGGCGTGGAGCACAAAGACTTGGGATTAAGTGGTGGCATCGCGGGTGTTTTCCGGTTCGCGGCAGGGTCCAGTACGTCGTTGTTCGAGAGCCCTCTTTTGTGTATGCGTGACACTGACTTATATGTCTGTAGTTGGGGCCGCCGTGTATACCACGATCCTTACCAACGAAACGAACAAATCCGTGGCGAAGCTGGTTCCCGCCGCCGCCGTTGCTGCTGGGCTTCCAAAGTCCAAGATCTCCGAACTTCTGAGCTCCATCGGCACCCCAGCCCTGGCCAAAGACTTCAGTCAAGCGGTCGTGACAGCGGTAGGGGGGGCAGTCGACCAGGCTCATGTGCACGGTATTCGGTAAGCCCTCACACCCTCCCGGAAAAGCAAAAACGAGAGCAAAGACGTGGAAACAAGACTGACTTGCTTTTCAGAATGGTGGCCTTTGCCTCGATGGCGTTCGGTATTGTCGGCATCATCGCGTGCATGTGCTGCAAAGACGTCGACAAGAAGATGAATAATAAGGTAAATTCTCAGATTGTCCCAGTGGTTCCAGAGGAGGAAACTGACGTTATGGTCTAGATCGAGGTGTATCTCGAAAACACACAGTACGCGAACAGGAACAAGTACCATTAAGGGCGTTGGCACGGAACCGCCACGACTCTGTAGTTGGCCGGATCTCCCTACTCTGCACAGTTTATATGGGAGGGATTCCCCTATGCTCGAGGCGTAGACGTCCGAGTCAGCAACCGTAGCACATCAAGAGCAGCGTAGCCGTCCAATCCACATGAATTCGGGAGGCCTTGAGCTCCATACTGTATAAGTGGCATGAATACCTGCAGACTCAAGGCAGATCGAATATGTCGACACAACACATATATATATCCGAGCCTTGAACATCCGCAAGACTTCCCGTACCTCGGCGTGCTTGCTTGCTTGCCAGACAGACTCGCCAATCTCTTGATCATCCCATGGGACTATTAACCGTTAGTCACCTAGTCCACCTATCTATGTAACATCCTAAGTGCCTCGATCTCAAAGCTTAGATCCTCGATCATCTCTAAACCATACCGCCATCGACCAAAAAGTCCTGTCCGGTGGTATAACTGGCCGCGTCGCTCATGAGGTACAACATCATGCCAGCCAACTCGTCGGGCATGGCCAGGCGGTGCATGGCGCAGCTGTCGAGGAAGAGCTTCCGCCGGCTCGGGTTCTGGCGCATCACCGACTCGAGCATGTCGGTCTGGACGGTCCTGTTGGGCCATTGAATGAACATTAGCTTTCTTTTGTTTTCTTTTTTTTGGTTCTCTTTCCTTTTCCGTTCTTCCCTACGTGCTAAGGGGGGAAGGCTCTCTCTCTCTCTCTCTCTGCCTGTGCTGAGACCTGGGGACCAACATACCCGGGACTGATCGAATTAACACGAATACCGTGCTTGGCCATCTCGTGCGCGACATGCTTGGCAATGCCGCGGACAGCGTACTTGGACGCCGTGTACGCGGCGATCTCCTGCGGCGCGAGCGACTTGTGGCCGGCCGTCGAGGCGATGCAGACCACGCTGCCGCCTGTCTTCTGCTCGACCATCTTGGCCGTGCAGTGCTGCACCGTGTAGAAAACTCCGTTCACCTAGATAGATAGAGCCGTGCACATTCACACGCACGGGTGTTTCATTAGTTTCTCGCTCACTCATTTGGAAGGGGTGGGAAAAAGGAAAGAAAGATGTCGTCCGGTGAAGGGAGAGGAAGACGGAGAGCTCGAGTAATACATACATTGACGTCCATTGTGTCTCTGAAATCCTTCTCCGTGTGTTCCAGGAATGGCCTGTCGCGGATGATTCCCGCGGCAGGGATGCTACATTCATAACATAACATAGAATGGTTAGTTTGTTGCACATCATGCTCATCGTTCTCGTGGTCTTCAGAGGCCCACTACACTTCTCTGAAAAGGCAGAGAGGGGGGCCTTTGTGCTTACCATCCATCAATACTCCCGAAATCTTTATGTATCCGATCAATCGTGTCCTTCAAGCGTTGATAGTCCACCACGTTGGCCTGGTAGTATTCGTACTTGCCGCCCAAGGGGGTCAGCTTGGCCATGTTCTCCGAGGGCCCGTCGTTGATGTCGATGACGGCGATGTTGGCGCCGACCTGGGCCAGAGCCAGGGCGAAGTTGAACCCCAGGCCACGCGAACCGCCCGTGATGACGATGTTCTTGCCCTTCAGCAGGAACTTGTTCAGGATCGAATCCTCGGGGATCGTCGTCTGCGTGGGGGGCATTGTGTTTGCTCGGATGTTTATTGCGAATTCGAATAACGAATTGTCCCCAATGATTTTATTTTATTTGTTGATTGCTGGGAGACACACCGACAGACCGACAGATTGGCTTTTGCGTAGGGTCGGCGGAGGATCACACAAAGTTATAACTACTCGGTTCTCCTTTTTTTCAAGGTGGAGTTTCATTCATGGGCGTACGGAGCGTAGTTGTCAAATCTCACTTGAATGAAATACGCCACGATCCTGAAGAGTAAGGAAGGAGGAATATGTATTGTGCCCAATGAAGTCCGGAGAATGATCGCCGCAACCTCCACGATTCGTACAAACTATACCGACCGAGACCTAGAGGACACGGCAGGCTCCTCTCCATGGCCTCATGTCAATACAACGAAGAGGGATTAACTTGGGGCGTGTGAAGCACAAACGGTGTCTGATTATCTCATGGAATATAGATTTACCAAAAAAAGGTGTGAGAATATCCAAGGGACAAATCCTCCATCGAAAACGGACATAATGCCCCCAAAACCCCGCCGGAGGACCCGCGAGGAAACCAAACAAAAGCTTTATTCATTGTATGTGGTCTTACAGGGATTCTAGACTATACATAATGTCAAACTGCGACGAGATCGGCAAGAAATCATCGAGGCAGAGCGGACTGTACGCCGACAAGTTGGGCAGGCCTGTGTGGTCGTCGTTGTTGTTGTTGTTGGCGGTGGGGGGCTGGAAAGAAGTCCTGTCGGCCGCACCACCGCCCCCGGCGTCCTGTACAACGTTGCTGAACAGGCTGTTGTGGTTGTTGTCTGTCGGGTTCCGGGCGGCGACCTCGTTGGCCTGTTGGAAGTCCACGTACTCGCTCTCGAAGTGGCACAGTCTCATCACGAGCTGGACGATGCGGCGCACCCGGCGCGCCACGATGTAGGTTTTCTCCAGCTCGCTGAGCGTGCGCACGCATGCCTTGAGGGCGGAGAACTGGCACGCCACGTCGGCCGAGCGTCGTTCCGCGATGTCGGCGATCAAGATCGTCGACGCGGTGGCGATGACGTGCAGCGCGACGCCGCTCATCGTGGAGGCGTCCCCGTGCACGTTCCGGTAGTCCTGGAGGGTTCGGGCGATGTTTGTTGCGTTGTCGATACAGATCTGGCGCGACATGTTGCACTGGGTGGCGTCGGTCTCCGACGTCCGCACGCCAAAGGCCGCGGTCGGGCGGTGCAGGTGGATTCTGCAGGAATAGTACTGCATGCTGTTCATCAAATGTCAATAAAGCAGATGATATCACGACGAGTGACGCCTTACTGAAGCACCAGTATCGACGCCGGGCCTTCCTTGCAATACTGCAGCTCCGGGTCGAGATTTTGGTACCAGTCTTGAAGCTGTTCGTCAAGGGCATGGAGGGTCTCTGTGTCGCACTGCTCTTCGTTCCTAAACGCCCTCAGTAACTGCCGCTGCAGACAGTCCTAAGTCACTCACAGGGCATCACATATTCGGCCACAAGTCGTGAGTAGAGTGACCCACGAGAAGGCAATCCTTTTCTCCCACGAAGCGTCGAGTTGGGTGAGAGAGCAGTGTCGGAGTTCGGTATCTTCGCTTTTGAGACACGACGGGCGACCCAGGTAGAGCGCCCAGAGCCTATAAAAAAGGAATGTTAGACCGATTGTCAGGGATTGGATGAAGCTGGGGTCCATTTACCTGTCGAAAACCAGACATCCCCAGTAGGTGATTTGCCGGACTTTCATATCTCTCGGGGATAAATTGGTGGACGCAAGCTGTTCTCCATTTCTGTGAAGGCCTAGGTCGATAGCTAATCGACAAGCGTCCCCTGGGATACCAGCCGTTAGTGTATGTTGCTGGCTAAACATTCACAGACTTACCAGTCAGGAGCCAGCCCTTGGTATCCTTGCTCAACGAACAGTGAACGACCGACAGGAGCAGCAGAGCTTGAATAGTCGTAATTTGGGGTCTTTTCAGCTCTTGATCCAGGAGTCGAGTTGCGCTGGCCACGAGGAACGGCTCCTTGTCCTCCATATCGTCGTTGGAAGGGATGACCATCGCCCGAACCGACGGGCGATCGGATATCCGTGCGGCACACGCATAAACGCAGTACAAGAGTGCTTTGCTAAAATACGTCGTCTGTCTCGTCCGCAGACCCTCGAGGAACTCTTCCCGGTCGAACACCTGTAGGACAGTGTGCTGGTACTTCCAGTAGAGCTCCAGCAGGTGTGCCTGGGTCTCTGGGTCAACGGGATCGTCGGAACCGACATCGGCTGTCACGCCCCTTCGACTCCAGGGGCCGAGGAGGGACGACGACACGCTTTCGGTCAGATGCAAGCTCGACGTCGGGCCGAAGAACTTGTATTGGCCCTCCTCGTCGCTGTTGAGCTTCCATTGGCGCCCACAGAGGCGGGAGATCAGGTTGTCTTCTTCCTGGGTCGGGATTGGTACGGATACAGCTGAATACGTCGATGGAGTCTGTGGACTGGTGACTTGATGCCGACTAGGCGCGGCGAAGCTTTGCGTCGCTTTCGCCGACTCAAGAGCAGATTCAAGATCAGCAATCCTTTGATAAAGCTCCCGGATGTGATTCTTGGAGGAAGGGCTGGGAGACGGACTTAGCACAACATTTTCCAGCGCTAAGAGAAGTTGGTATAACTATATTATACTCACCATTTCCGTTTGTCTTCACTGGGCCACACGCAAGGGATATTGAGCCTCTTGCACTTTCTGCAACCCTCAAGTTCGATCACGCACTGTGCGTTGCATCAACAACCACCCCTAAAAGGCACCCACTACTAGATCAACCGTACCTTGACCTTCTTCAGTCTGCAGTGGTTGCATGCCAGCGCCGTAGTGGAGTCGTGTTTCTTCGCGACTCGACCCTTGCGAGTGGAGCTGCTGCCGCTCTGGGCCTTTGGGCTCCTGGAGCCGGAATCCTGCTGCGAGGCCACGTCCAAGGTCTGAGGCGACGCAGAGTAGTTCGTCATATCCAGATCCATCTTCATCATGGGTTGCTTTCGAGGGCACGCTTGAGAGAAGACGCGGGTCTGGATGGAGAGGGCTATCATCCGAGTATATTTTGGGCTTGTAACCCACGCGACGACACACAAAACCCCGCAATATGGGGGAGATGGGCGGCTTCTCCAGCTTTCTGGCCGAGGGCATCTCCCCCCTTTCGTTCTCCAGGGTCTGACTTAACTCGATAGGGATCTAGAACCCCCAAAAGGCCAATCTGACGGTGACAGGCGGAGATCGTTCGCCGACATTTGGCTAGCCTCGTGCTGGTGCCTAAGCCTTGTGGAGTCCGCATTGCCTCGGGTAGGGAGGGAATCTCCCACTAGGGCAAACAGATTAAGGACTTTCATGAGTGGGGTTTTAACAGATGTGATAGCGTGGCAGCTCAGACTTTGTGGACTGTGACTGTGATTGTGAGGAGTTGTGGTTGAATTACAGTGTTTGAGAGCTAAATGAGACTTCACCTTATTATAATACATCGTACTTACAATAGCAACTCCTCCGCAAAGTACTTACCTTCAAGAACCCTCCCGGCGAAACAGCTCGATGTGACGGACCAGCCTTGTACGGATCCTCACTCTTCAGCTCGGGATCTCTCTTCGACTGAGGCTCTCTCTTCGACTGAGGCTCTCTCTTCGACTGAGGCTCTCTCTTCGACTGAGGCTCTCTCTTCGACTGAGGCTCTCTCTTCGACTGAGGCTCTCTCTTCGACTGAGGCTCTCTCTTCAGCTGGGCTCTCCTCTCCATCTGAGGAACCCTCTCCATCTGAGGAACCCTCGCCTTCTGAGGAGCCCTCGTCGTCTGAGGAGCCCTCGTCGTCTGAGGAGCCCTCGTCATCTGAGGAGCCCTCGTCATCTGAGGAGCCCTCGTCATCTGAGGAGCCCTCGTCATCTGAGTCCGGCCCTCTCTCTGACATCGCCAACCAAAGCGCATGACACGTTTCCTCTTCTGTTTGTGTCAGAGCAAAATTGGTGGCGACCGCGGCCCACCACTCCAGAGTAAGCTGAGAAGCTTCCGAGACATCTTTCAGACGACGGATCTGCGCCACTATAATCTTCATGTCTTCGTGTTCTTCTGAACCCTGTTCAGTGTCATCCAGCAAATCAAGGGCGCAATTCTCCAATATTCGCTTACCGACAGGGAAATCGGCATCTGTGGACTCGAATAACCCCCAGATCAGTTCCCGAGCTTTACTGAGCCAGACGCGATGTTCATCGCCACCGCTTCCGATCAGTCTTTCTGCATCACAGCTCCAACTGGGTGAGAGAGAGTATGAGCCTATGCAAAGTTGGTCATCAAATCCGGGGGCAACGATCCGGTGGGATGTCGTGTCATCGGGATAGAAATCGAGCCTTATTGGTGGGTTGGCCTCTCTTTGTGCGCGGATTTCGGTGAACAACTGGCAGAGGTCTCCAGCGCTCTGCACTGTTGCGGTGAGATCGGGCCCGCGCTTGGCCAACACCTTCAAGACCGAGGGATTCCTGCTTAGTCGAAGCTCATCCACTACCGGTTCAATAAATGCATCTGGCTTATGGGAGTATATTTCCGGCGCACCTCTGCTCAACCTCATATGGTTGATTATGAAGCAAAATCCTGCGAAGCTCATGTTGACGGGAAATTCCACCATGACGGTTCGGGATGTCGCACAGCCACTGACACCCATTTCTCGGAGGAACGCATCCACAAGTCGAGCCCACAACTCCTGCTCCTCCTCAATTAGGAATTCCTGGAAGCGTTCAGATATTGGCACTTCAATCTTCTCTCGCTGTGAGGCCCGAAATTCGATGAATTTCCTCATATATCGGAGTTCCTCTTCCTGGAGCCTGACTGGTTCAAACGGGCCATCGGGATAAAGGTCAATCTCGTGCAGTCCGTCAAACAGAAAGTCCACAACGTTAGACCTGCTGAAGTATTTTTCAGCTTGGGGGTGCTCCGGTTTACCCTGGAATGGCGGGAAGTCGGCTTGGGCGGTGGTTGCATCGGAGAAGCTTGATTCACTCGCCGGCTGATTGCTTCGTCGACTGATGACAGTTGGGGACGGCGGTGGTGGTGATGGTGACGACGAGCGGGTCTCAAGATCGACATCAATGTTGTCGTATGAAGGAGGATCCATTTCAGTAGAATATGACGGAGGGGCAGGAGGCTGGTCTGTGAAGAAAGGGGGAAGATGCCCATCGACGGGGACGATCTCACGAGGATGTCGGAGCTCCAGTCCTCGGAATACTGGCCGCGGCTCGTAAACTGGTGGAGGATTGTTGAAAAACACAAGTTGCTCATTGCTCACTTGCTCTGAACTCGTTGCCAGGGTGCCTGCACGGCGTCCCTCATGCTCGGCGATGAGAGCGGCGTGGCGATCAGATTGATTTCCAGATTGATTCCCAGATTGATTCCCAGGTTGCTCCCCAGATTCATTTCCAGGTTGCTCCCCAGATTGATTTCCAGATTGCTCCCTAGATGCGTGCTGAAGTCGACTGAGAGCTAAGTCGTATATATGTCCGGCAACTGCATGCTCGATGGCCATTTCGGATATTAACAGACCCCAGCGGTACCCGACGTATCCCTGGACGAAGTCTGATTCTTCGTAGGCGCCGATGGCCATGATTTCAAAGTAGATGCCGGTCGGAATCACAGTTCCACGGGCATAGCCCCGTGCGTCGACGAGTGGCTCAATCTCCCCGACTCCCCAAATTTGGTCTGGAATCAAGTGCTCGCCTCCGGGTAGTGCTTCTTCGGTGAGTTCGAAATCTTTTTCGAGTAGAGCTTCAATACTCTCCCTATCGATTTCCCGGTCAAACTCTTCGACCACGTGGCACGGAATGCAGTCGTTCGAGTGGCCATCTTTCAGCAAGCGAAGGATTCTCGCAGCCATAACCACACTGATTATTTCATTGGTTCCGAGACGAAGACGTGGCCATCTGCTATCGTGGAATACATCTATTACTATTTCTTCAGAATCGTCAAAATATCCGTCCTTTGGACGAGGGCAACGGCGTACTGATGGGCGTAATGCTGCCATTGTAGTTGAAGTGGGATTTGTTCTTGCGCTGTGGCAGGTATGGGTGGAAGTCAGATGTCATATGGTAGATACAAGAATGCCTTACCTGACGTTCTAACCTGACGTCCTATATATAATATATCATATGTCAAAGCCCGTCTTTCCACTTTCTTTGTGTTGTATCTCCAGAAATATAAAGGAAGAAAACGAAGCCAACGAGCTTCAAAGGACTGAACAACAATCAACGGCAGAGGGCCCATTGTCTGCGCGACATTGACGATCACAAAGCCCTTTGATTGCTCTTCAACAAGGCGAGCGGCAGGATTGTAACCCGTGTGGCCCGAGACGAAGCCAGCATTGTGGGCGATGATCTTGGTGTAAGAGCGCTCCATAGAGTCAGCACGCTGAAGTCGGAACAAGGCCAAGAATAAGGGAAAAGCCAGCGAAATGGTATCACCCCTTTTTCGGAGAGCTGCCGATGGTTCGTTCTACCCCCACGTCTTTGAGGTCCTCTTCATGTGCAAGTCCCGAAGACAGAGGCTGTTTTTGAATATAGAGTATGAAAGGGTCACCTGTTGAACAAGCGTAAGCGCGTCGGCAGGAACAACGGCCCACGGTTTTGAGGGACGCTGAGTAACGGCTGCCATTGGCGCAGGAGTTCAACACCGTCGCTGTTCGTGCCGAGCCATCCCTAACAGAGGAAGTTTAGATTGACTGATATATCTCGATATAGGCTCTGCGGCTATTGGGATGCAATTTTGAAAGACTGCTGCTCAATTCTCTGCAGCCAACAAGAATATTCGACTGAAAGCCAAGGCTTTTCCAAGTGCGCCGAGACGCGGCAGAAGCAGCGAGCTATGGCAGTCACAGCAAATGGAACAGCTAGTGAAGCACAAACCATGGCTGCGACCGACTTCGACCAACGGGACTTCGACCCCACAGAAGTAGCATACATCCCGACTACGGGAGTGCGCAAACTATTCGAAACGCCCCTTATCCTAGCTACGCCCGAGACCGTCAAGGGCTACGGAGAGATTGTTGAGGTGCCCGAAAAGCATCGCATTGAGATCGTACGTTGGCCAGCTCAAGGATGGCGCCCGGTAGACGCAAACTCGGGCGACCAGGGCGGAGTGACTGAGGGACTCTTTGAGTTCTGGTGGAAAGGCGACACGCTTTACGCGCGCAACAATGCTGTGGGTGACAGCTATCTCTTCGCGTGGAGTCAGTATCCTGAAGAGGCCGCGACCACCGGCCCTGCACGACCCCGCGAGAGGGTGATGATTTGGCGAGCGAACTACCACCCAGACGGCGGCCAGTTGTTTTTCCCCATGGACGGCCAGAGTTTCGTGGTTCCGCTCGCCCTGCCGGGAGACGATGTGACGCCAGAGAAGTTCGTCGCGTTTCGCTGTGACGGCGGGAAGGGACTATACATCCATCCAAACATCTGGCACGGTGCCGTCGTGCCTCTTGACGACCGTGCACGTTTTATTGATCGGCAAGGCCGTGTGCACGCACGCGTGTCCGTAGATTTCGCCAAAGAGTTCGGAGGATATTTGTCTATACCGCTGAGGTCTGCAGAATAGTCTAGCATCGGGACACTGTTATCCGAGCACAAGCAATGAGAAGATGGGCGTTGAAGACGACACGACATAGCGTGCTTTTGTCGTCTCCCTCTCTTCTCCAGATTTTTTGCTGCCGGAGGTTATGCGAGATGGTCATCTCGATCAAGGAGGCAATGCGAGTTGGCAAAGCTGGCGAGAGGATGTCTTTGAGGTGATGTCCCGTGGGAGAGGCAGCACTTCAGCGTCAAGGCGTTATCAGGGTCTCGGTGCACTCTGTCAGACGGACCAGGATCGAAAGGATAAACATCAGGCGTAGGGACCAGCTCAATAACGGCTTCAAAGCCGTCAAGCCAGGGAAGCCTTGTGAATGAGAGTGAGCCGTTTAGCAAAGTCAATTTCGGCTTCCACGTCGTGGTGTTTCTGGAGCACATTCTTCATCTGGTGTTCGATCGCATTTGTGGTCCTGCGGCGTTCATCTCGGCTCATCTTTATGTCCTTCAATTCTTCCTTGCGATGAGAAAGAATGAGGGCCTCATTGAGGACCCTCTTTTCCTTCTGCTTTGCAGTCTCTAACCTCTGTTCAGCAGCCTCAAGCTCTCGTCTGGCCTCAATTCGAGTCGCTCGGTAGTCACTTATTTTCCGGGGCTTCTTGAACACGACGCTTAGTCTCCCGGAGGCCTTGGGTGGCCTCGTGATCAGGCGTTGGTTTTCCACGACGCTGTCGACAATTTCTGTGACAATCTTGCGCGTTTTTGTGCCCGTATGGTGCATGAGGACTTGGATGATCTCTTCTTCCTGCTTGCCGTCCTCCAAAAGACCTAGAATGCGCCAGTATGCTGGAAGAGGGACTTCATGAGTAGCGACTTGAATGGTGGGCACGTTATCAAAGTTGGGCGAGGGCGCTGCCACGACCCAAAAGTCAGAGTCTGCAGACATCGAGGGAACCAGTAAATTTTACAGAGACTTGCACTTACAACTGACAGGAGAAGGGGGCAATTCTGAAGGCTGCGAATCTCGCAGCGTGCCGTGAGCAAGCATGATTGGGGTTCATTGTCATCAATTTCTTTGTGTGCGCGATGAGCTCGCCATTGCGGAGCACAGCTCAGATGAATACTCACAGAGAACAAAGCCAGGTAGGAATTTAAGGAATGAAATGGAACCCAGGATCGTCATGGTTCTGGAGTTGGTCATGTCCCGTCAAAATGGTTACGAAGGACCCGAATGGGAACAGGAGAGGTGACTGGCGGCGTTGTGTGGACAGCGAGGAATTTCGCCTGCCTTGGTCGGACATGACGCGTATTCAAAACTATACCTGAGTGCGGCTGTAGTCGAGGGTGATTGCATTGTTTCCCTCTCTTCAGAATCCTAGCCCCAGGAGAGAGGGGCCGACGTGGAGAGTGAATCTGAATGATGCTATATTCATGTTGAATGTGTCCCACAAGGATGGGAAATCCTTAGGGGCCCCTGGCGGAACGCTTTGGGTCAGCCGAGTCGCCTAAACTGGTTCAACTAGGCGTCAGGACAGATCGCTAGGCGGTCTTGCGAGCGGCAACTCTCAATAAGGCAAGTATAGCGCAGGCCGGCGCGAATCCCTCCATCCGCCTTCGGTTCCTCGAGGTTTCCATCCTCGCCGGACTTGCGGACCACTGATCAGGCAGCTCCAGTCCGTAGTTGATTTTCAATTGCTCTAAGGCGGCTTACCTTTGAGCCCAAGGCAATGCAATGCTGCTGTGAAGACGGAAAGACCATAACGAAGGCATCGGGGCTCCGACGAAGAAAACTACTTATGATGATGAGATCAAAACCAAGTGATGTGATCTTCCGAGGAATTTGACCTGGAATACCTAAGGTAAAGTTTGGAAACGGGTCACAGTCTGTTTTTTGCGTAAATTGTCCTGGAGTCATGCTTGACACAAAACTATTGGACATTCTTGAGAGATAGGTTCAACAGTGAGTAGAGATTCTTCATATTTGAGTACACTGGCATCAAGCCTATCTTTGCCGTCCTCCCACGAGCCAAACGTTCTTCGATCCTCCTATCTCGCAGCCGCTTTGCCATCCTCAGGCCGTCAGCCTCCTGGCCGCATTACCAGCCTTGATGAACAAGGTGACCGTAGCCCTGAGGGAGCCCTCATTGTCAGCACAATCAAATCGGTCTCTCGTGTGACAGATCAAATAAAAAAAGAGGGATGAAGGGGAAACGAGGAAGACTCACGCAATACTTCCATAGAACCACATCCCTCGGACCCTCCCGCTGACGCCGCGTATATACGCGAGATTGAACACCGCGCGGTTGAAGAGATACCACAAGCTGAGCGCATTGATCCACGCGACGTCCACGCCGGCGACATTCGCGGCCACGACGCCGGCAGCAAACCAACCCAGGTTCTCAAAGCCATTGAGGGACGCGGCTTCCGCGCGGAAGAGGCGGTCCTTGGTCTCCTGGGACATGTGCTTGTTCGCTTGGACGGTGGCCAGGAACGTTCGCGGCGAGCTCCCGTTGAATTTCGGCGCCCCAGAACTCCCAGCAGGGTGGCCGTGGGTGTTGTAACGCACTATGGCGTAGATGTGCGGAGAGAAGCTCAGCAGCCAGGCGAGGGGCACGGTGTAGTAGGAGATATTCGCCTGCGGAACGAGGAAGGAGAAAGGAACGCCTGAAGCTGGACCCCTTGCGTTCGACATCTTGTAGTCAAAGACAATAAAACCCGTAGAGCTCTTTCTTGGGGGACGATGAGGGCACAGTCTCATCCAGGTTCTTCGACGTCAATTTCGGTGCCAGGCGGGGTCTCTTTAAACGTTTTTCGTCATCGTTTCCAAGAGATACACCTAACCTGAACCCGTTCGGGGGTCATTGCACACACATTTCAGGCCACCAGTCCATGCCGAGTCCGACGTGCGTGGTACGGTACAAGGGATTGCCTTATTTCTGGGTATAAGGTCACGTGCGACGTTCCCTGAGGGTGGCTGTGCCCGACCACAAGTCTGCCTCCTTTAGGAAGAGGAACGGTATTATACTTTTCGAAGGTGAGGTGACGCAGGTCAATGATCAAAAGCATATTCGGCTGTTGTCTCAATGGAGCACTCTCAGCCTTGGTGCCCCCATACAGTACAATGCCATTTGAGCAAATCACGCAAGTCTCCTCCTTGTCTATGGTCACAGGGCATATCATGCGGTCCATCATTGATCTCATAAGTCTTCGTGTTCAACATTCGTCATAGCTCCTTAAATGACGCCAGTGTATGTGGCATCCACCGACACAGGAGACGACTTAGCTCAACCTTTTCATTCAAACCCTCAGAGTGTGATGTATTACGCTGCAACACGCCGCTTATCACAAGTCTTCCGGCAGGGTCTTTGATGAATCGATTCGCATCCCCCGTGAATACAAATCATAGTCGTTCACAAACATGTGCACACCATTTTGGGGTATCTGTTGACCGTGAACTGCAGATTGGAAAGCTGGGCGCAGAAAAGTCGAATAATAATGCTGGACGCGATGTGGAACTATTACGCTTGTGTCGTTGCGGGTCGAATCACATCATTTGGTCCTCAGCAACCGTTGATATCCTGAATGGCGACAACATCAGGTAACGGGGCATGTGCCAGGCCAGTCGCTTTTTCAATCTTGGTTCGCTCAATCAGGGCCTGGGTCCTCCACCTGGATTCGAGCCTCGCTCTCTTCTTTGCCAGGACCATTCTCAGATCGGCTTCCTGGCTGGAAAATTCTCGATCAATGACGGCTAGGTCCTTCTTTTGTTCTCTTTCCAGAGATTCCATCTCTTTTTCCTTTTTCCGTATGAGATTCTCGACCGCTCGTTTTTGCTTACCACGCAAAACGTTGATTTTGGAGGCATGCAGAGAATCCATGATGTCTCGTTCCCGATACTGTTGAGCGAGATTGTGATAGTCTTTATCGGTGACTTTGCGCTCTGGAAAGATAGAATCGGTCGAAGCATGTCTGGAGGCCGGGTCCACAGGCGTCGAAGGTGGAGTTGGGTTTTGACAATAAGCTTCCATATGCCGTAAGCGCAACATAATAGCTCTCTTCTCTAGCTCGTGTTCCTTTTCCATCTTCATCTCTTCCTCGAGTTGGCGGGCTTCTAGATCTTCGACAGTCCGGTCAATCTGAATTAATATCAGCAACAGTGGTCAATCAAGTTTCAAGCCACAACAAACAAACCTTTGCTCGTTGCTCGGCAATTGCGGTCTCCTGCAAAGTCTTCCATTGCGCCTTGAGTGAATCTCTTTCTGACCGTAAGTGGGCCATCAGTGAAGCCTGGAACTCCAAGAAACGGGACTTTTCGTCCAGCTGAGCCATTCGAAGGTTGAGTAGTTCCATACACCCCATGCTTCTCTGCAACGCCTCTATATCCACGAAAGATGCTGATTCACTGCTTGATTTTGCCATGGATAATGGCTGTGACCACAAGCTCTGACTCGATTTGACCGACATAGGACTTCGCATGTCCCCCGACAAATCCTCGCTACCATTGGTGTCGGCATCACTGTTGATACTTGTAAGGGTCGAAGAAGCCGTCAGAGCCCCTGACCGTCTCTTCCGAAAGCTTGCCATTTTTTGGAACCCTCGTTTCAATGGGGAGTATTTTTTCCTCTCGTTCGTCGAGGCAGGTGAGAGGCCACCTGGACTCGGAGGAGTGCGATCAGATATCCGTGAGGACTGCGTGGTCGGCCGATGCTCACTCGAGGCACAGGAGGTCGCGGCGGTGGACTGGGATTGGATGGAGCTCTGATTCATGGAGCCAGAAGCGATGGTGATTGTCGAGACTGAAGAAGCGATTCTGTCGACGTCCGAAGTAATGTGCAGCGATGAAATACCCAGGCCGTGTGCCTCAGATGCAACGCGATCATCAAGCTCGTCTTCAGAAGACAAAGGGGGCAAGTGAAGAACGGCAACATTGTAGAGGCCTTCATTAAACGACGTCTTCGGAGTCGGCCATGACTGCATCTCGGAGTGGTCTGGTATCCAGGTCAGTCCGCCGGGAGACATTGAAGACTCTCCGGGCAGAGACCAAGGCTGATCAGCAGCCGTCATGATGGACTGAATTAAAACGCTGAGAGAGTGGTCGCAGAGATTATCTCATTGTTTATTGGACATGTCTGTTGCACCCAAGACTCTCTCGTCGCGCAAGGCTTCTAGCGATGGCTTGTAGCAGCGCGTGTAACTGCACCAGAAGGAACCCAAGCACTGGCAGCGCGTTGATGTCGAGACTTGCAGCCGAGAGGTAGGAGGAGTGGGGGTGCGTAGCGATGACCTGGTCTGGAACCCCGATGTCAGTCAAAGCTGGTACCACCTCAGGGCCAGGGAGAACAGACATGGACCGACGTCGGGTTCAAGATGAGGAGACGGTCAAGAGCTCTTGACCGCATATGATATTCGAGAAGTGAGCGAAAGACGACGGGTTTCAATTAAGACCGGCGTGTGTCGACAAGTGGGCAAAGGGTCTTGGTGGTTGCCAACTGACCGAATTCCGTCTCTATGTCATTGGAGAGCGATGGAAAGGTGCAACCGCAACCGCGGCCCTGGGTCCGATCTGTTTTTGAAAACCTGCTCCCGGTTGGCCAAGGGAAGGATTTAGACAGCAGAGCTTAAGCAGCGAAACTAAGAGAAGAAGGAATAAGAAGTCGGGATGAGGCAGAGGGAGCCTACAGGGGTGAGGATGTCTGGGGAACAAGATTGAGATGCGGCTAGGGACGTCTGTCAACTTGGAGCAGCTCCTAACGCTCTTGTCTTCCCGTCGCCTGATGAAGTGGATACAAATGCGAAGCGGTACGAAGGTTAGAAACCACCGACGTCAAGGGCCAACTGTCCGCAACAACGGTGGGCAAACCACAAACCAGGTCCCCTCGCTTCGAAGGCCAGCAGGGGTGTCACGAAGGGTGCCCAGTGTGGCTACATCCTTACTCCCCGCTCTGTTTTCAGCTTCACGTCGTGTAATCTTCCTCCTTTCCTCCTTTTAACCTGCAGCATTCGCTTGGAGGGACAGGGAAGCGTAGGAGGTTTGTCGGATGTCGGACTGAAGGCACTGGTTGTTTGGCGCCCGTTTGGCTTTTGACTTCGCTTTCTCCGAACCTGTCAAGAGACGGAACGAAGCACGTCATTTGCTGGGCGATGCGGAGGGTCTAGGTGGACCTCTGAACGTTGTTGGCCATGGGGTGAATCTTGTGTTAAAGGATGGGTATTGGGGGCGGGGGGTGCGTTTGTTTGACATTGTATACGCTGCGAGGAAATATTAGTGAGATCCCCCAACATCAGTCCTGTCTATCTGCGAAAATGGTAGCATTCTGACCCCGCAGGATACCGAGAGTAGGTGTGTGGTAGCCTGAGACGGACGGTCAGATCGTGCCCTAAGAGAGTCGATCAAGATGGCGCAGGCGATCGGCAGTTGGTAAGGGAAGTGGAGGATCGATCATCGGGCGCAACAAGAAGCGCGCCAGAGATCGCGAGTCCTCGGGACTTTTATCCTATCCAGTTTTCTGTCAGAATCCAATTCCGGCTTCACCAGCTGGTCTGGTAATACTTCTTGTTGCAGGACTCGAATTTGTTTCCTTACTGTCTGCACACACTACCCACTCACAGTGTGAGGCACAGATCACCTAGGTTGATGATGAGGGTTACACGTCACAGACTATTCGCGTATCGAATGGCGACAGGATCTTCCAAGAACTGAAGGTTCCCAACCGACCGACCTGTCTCATCCCGCTCCCGTCCCAAGCTTGGTCGAACTTTGACAACCCTCCAGCCACACAAATTCTCTCCTACTGCAAGCACAGACAGCAGCTAGGATGCCCAAATCCGTCAACCGAAGACTTACGTACTGGATCTTCACCGCTTCATGCTATCCCCTTTAGGCTGGATCAGGGAGCTCGCCAAAGCCTCTGACGATTGACACTGTGCTAGATGGATTCTCCAACTAGTTTGAAACAGTAAAAGAGTACAAATTGCACATCATCGAAGATGACAGCAACTTCCTGATGTGCTCCCAGACTTCGCCTCGCCGGACTGTTCTGACTCTCGAAAATACCTCCGATGTGTCAATTCCAAATGGCTGTCACTACGTAACCCGGAAATGTGTTCGGCCAAATAGAAGGCTTGCTTAAAGGGCTTCGGAAGTGAGGGGGTGGATCTCATGCAAACAGGCGTTTGTTGATGCCAGCTACAGAAACCAGTGGCGCTATATTCTCCGCGACCTGACAAAGAAGCCGATTGCACATTACCAGCCATCCACTGCATAACAGTTGGCTGCGTCCCAGGATCGGCCCAGTCTCCGTTTCCTTAAATCCACCCCTTCCAAGTAAGGCCGACTACATCAAAACTTGATTTGGCTTTCCCTAGGTGCCTCAAGATGTCTTCTTTATCATTTCAGTGTGCATCTCGGCCAATTCGGGAACAATCAAGCTCTCAATTTCCATACCCTCGGTCACGGTACCTCCCTCCAAATCATGGGGTTCCGGCCCATGCTTTCGCTCTGCCTTGCCTACAAGTGCCTCCACCCCAGAAAAGCTTTTGGACCGTCTCGTCTTTGGAACTCGGATCCATCTCTCGTCACCATCGCGAGTAATAAAGACAACCTCCCATTTGCGGGTCGTGAGCAGATTGCCTATCACGAGGTCATGCTGATAGCGTTCCAGAGCTTGTTCGGCCTTGGTGACCAAAAGGTCTGGGTTCGTCTCCAGCTTGAAGCTTACAATCATGCTGCCTTTGGGAGCCCAGGTGTGCACCAGATTGCTGAGAAATTTGGGAACTGGGTCCAGATTGATAACCAGTTGGCGGCTAGCTCCTCCCTCACGAGACTGGATCTTGTGCTCCTCCATCCGATCTCTTGGGATGAAGAAATCCGAGACCGCGGCAGCCAAGTAGAAAAGCGCCCGGTTCTTGAGAGGTTGCATAATGAGAGCCAGGCTGCGAAGTTCGAACATGTATTCTGTGACGGTGGTGAAAGGCAGAAGCAATAGCAGCCGATTCTGCTTGGCGTATTGATACTGCTTTAGGACTCGCCGCATCTTCTCTTGGTATTCCTTTCGCACAACAACCCGTTCCCCGTCTTCAGATTCCTCCATGAAGTCGAGGAAACAGTTGGTACTGTGACTGTAGTGCCTAGAGTAGGGCAGGAGACTGAATTGCCGATGTAAGAAGATGACGGCATAGCCTGCCTGCAAAAAGTATTCCGCGGAGGTGGCTCCTCGAGTACCAGCAGAGAAATTGTCAATGAAGCGCACTGTCTGGTTCTCTAGCGGAACAGTGGTCCCCCCAGACGTAACCAACGCGATTCGGCGATCCGGCGCGTTCTCCAAGTGATATTGGATGAACTCCCGGGCCAGGGTCTCGTGGTTAGCGAGAGACTTGGGGGGCGGATTGTTTTTGAAATAGGCGGGTTCAATATCCTCGTGTGCTGTTGTTCCATTGGGGTTGTCCGGAGGCATGGTGGCGATTTTATGATATTTTCACAGCTGGCGTGATGCGGTAATTTGGTGGTAGAGCTTTGGCTGACGAAAGCACCCCGGGTGCAGGCAGGGATGGTCCTCTTCCAAGCCGATCTCAAGGAACTCGTAGTCGTGGGTAACACCTGGCCTGCTTGCCAAATGAGTCAGAAGCTGTAGAGAGGTGAATGATGGACGTTGGCGAAACAGCTAGTCTTTCCTGTGGTCCGAGACTGGAGGTGACTTTGAGTATGAGAAGTGCAGCGCAAACTCCATCCTCACTGCCATTTATATGGGAGAAACAGACATATTTACACCGATTTCTCTCGAAACGGGTGGCATTGATTATTGCCACACCGAGTTGGGTGCGGGCTCCTACATGTCCTCAGGAAGAAGGACTTCTATAAGAACTAAATGCATCCTCAAACGTGTATTGTTTGCAATGGCATCAAGATGTTATTCTTGCGGTCGGTGTTTTCGTACCGAGGTTCGGGGATTCGGCTCGCAGAAGCAATACGTCATAGCCAGCAAGCCCAGATTTCTTGTCACGTGATGCTAGCCACTATCACGTGGCTTACCTCCTGGTCGGCTCGCTTCCGGAGTAAGGCGGACGGCAAGGCTGATTTCTTCCCTAGGAACCAAACTCGCTGTCATCTCCCTTTTACCTCTCGTATTCGGATCTCATTGAGAATTCCACTAGCCCCATGCCCAACGTGGCTAAGGCTCGAGCCATCTCCATGATCGCGCACCACGGGTACCCTAGCCTATATCGACACATTGGAATTTGCTTTAATCAAGTTCAAAAGCTAAGACGTTTCGGGGCCATTGTGCGGGCTCGCGTCGATCAACCCAGGCAGGCCCCCGTCAATCGGATTGCAGGCTAGGTGAGGCATTCACGAGGCGTCCTTGTTTTGGCCACAAAGAATGGCAATTTTTCGTGCTTCAGCACTGTTTTGAAGTTTCCTGGCAGAAGAACTCAACAAACGTCCCAGCAAAGCTGCATACCAACTCCATCACTGCACCTCTAATGGATTTTCTCCTCGCGTGTTCGGCACGTGGATATACGTGGCCATATTGAAGTGGCAGATTCGTGGGCTGTCTTCGACTTTGCGCACCCCTTAAATCTGTACGCGCTTTCAGAGCATACGGACTTTTGTGGCGGCAAACTATGATGAATTCGTGATAGAGGTCTCCCTATCTATGCGGCTTCATCCTTCGGATATTTAAACGCTCATATATCAACCATTCACTTTGTTGACTGCAGGTGTCTCTGATCTCTACCCCTTGGACCTTCGACTTCCTTGACAGTCCAGTGCCATGGCCTCTTCAGACTTCTCGTACTGGGTGTACAAGCCAACCAAAGGGGTCTCAATTGCATTTGCTGTGCTCTTCTTCATTTCTGGCGTCCTCCATGCCTGGCAAAACAATCTCAAATACAGAGGCTCGTGGCGAATTGGCTTTCTCTTCCCATGGGCGGCGGCACTATTTGTCGCGGGCCTCGTAACTCGAGAATATGGTGCCTATCATACCGAAGATCTCGGAGTATTCGTTGCCAGTACCGTCTTGTTGGTGAGTCTCCACGCATGTCAGCTCTCACTTTTCGCGTTTCGAAGACACCTCCCCAAGTCAGTCCACCTCTGCGTCTTGCTCGGCTAACAGGCATAAAGTTCATCGCTCCACCAGTCTACAACGGCGCGGACTACTTCATATTCGGCAGACTGTTGTACTATATACCTTACTTGTCTCCTCTTCACCCAGGCCGTGTGTGGACCACATTCGTCGCATTGGATCTTGTCGATGGAATAATTGCAGGCAACGGAGCCTCGTATGCGGCGAATACGAAGAACAGTGTATCGAAGATCAAAATGGGTATCATTCTTGTCAAAGTGTCGCTATTCCTGTTGCTGGGCATGTAAGTTGCTGCGATTCGAACACAATGTGTCATGGCAAGAGTCATCTCTTTCCAATTCCCATCCAGTGCATACGCATAGGGATTAACATTGGTTTCCAGGTTTCTCGGCTTTATGTCTCTCATTTTCATCTTCCACAAACGATGTGTGGCAGCCAACGTCTTCACGCACAAAGTCAAAGTCGTGGTGTACTCGCTCTACGCCTCGGGCTTCCTGATTCTCATCCGCAACACCTTTCGCACCGCGTCGTTCTTCTATCCACCAAACTCGACTGCCAATGGAAAAGAATGGATCTATTGGGTACTAGAGGTCGTTCCAATGCTCTTCAACACCTATCTCATGAACGTCTTTCCGCCCTTGAAATATCTCCCGCACAATCACAAGATATACCTGGCGATGGATGGCAAGACAGAGATCGAAGGGCCAGGAATGGTCGAGAAGAGACCATTCATCCTGACATTGATTGACCCATTCGACCTTGTTGGGCTTATTACGGGACAGGATAACAAGAACAGATTCTGGGAGAAAGACGGTATTGGTGGTCCAGGAGGATTGGCAAGACCTGGAATCGGAGAGGATAATGAACTAGGACGGACCGTGAGAGAAGACCACAACAAAGCTTGAGTACAGGATAGGGAGGTCATTTAAAGGGCTCGACAGAGATATATCGGGATGTGTTTACAGCCGCTTGTCGAGATCCATTATTCTGTTTACCTGGTGCCTTGTAATTAACTTTGGATTGATACTTTTGCAATAGATATGAGATTTCAATTGGGACAATAATGATTGGTGGGGGGATTTCGTACTCCTACCAAGATCTCCGAGTCTCGGGGCCCGGAGCCCGGAGAGCGGCACTTTGGAGAACATTCCGGGAGCGCCTTAGTGGCCATGCTCGTTAAACCTTGCAGCGAATGGTATCTGCAGATGCCAAGCTCTTTCATCATCCTGACCTGCGTCTCCACGCCTTGTCGACACCACCTTCACCAACTGCGTCTGATCAGACTTGCGTCACGGACGGTGTCGTCATGGTTTACATGGACTCGACCGCCGTGAAAGATACTACAAAGCTGGACCAGCTGATTACGCCTTTCCGCCACCTCACATTTTCACCGTGCCAAACTAATTTCTCTACCAGCCTACTCATTCTCACGGTAGCCTAGGGAAACCCACCTCTAACAAGATGACCGACCGAACACAAGATAAGACTCATGAGACCGTGGGCGACGTGAAATCTGCTTTGAAAGGTGTCAAGGGCCTGGGGGACACTATCCGCGGCTCGGTCAACCAGTCAATCGATACCGCCTTCAATGACCGGGAAGGAGAACTCAAAAACAAAGCGGTCAAGGAGAAGGGAGAAGCAGACATATATCAGGCTGACCAACGTCTTGGTACGGGCTACTGCTCGAAGTGACACTAGCGTTGATGCTGACGATTCGACAATCAGGAGAAACATCCAATGCAAGAACGACAAACCCCGTGGGAGGCACAACCACCGGCGCAGGTGCGCATTCCGGAGGTGTGGGCAACATGACCAGTACTGTACCGCAGAGGGGTCTTGGTGGTGAACCTACGACTACCAGGGAGAGGTTCTGAGTACATGGAGGATAGCGAGGTCACTTGACCAGTCGATTGATTTGGCGAGTGGATGAGTGTACCGCCAAACCTGATATCACGGCTCACAAGTTGATGTAAAAGCCTAGTCTGGTAAGCCTGGAAGCTCGAAGCATGTCGAACTGTCACCTGGTCAGAAATAGAAAGATCAAAGGGCCCAGAGGACGCAGGAAACTCCTCCAGATCATTGCGAGCGATGGGACTTGGCGAAATCAATCTACCCATCAGAGCATCCTACGTTCTTTTATACCTCACCTTTGATCTAGAATCCAAATCTAGTATTGTTGTTTTTTTTTTGTCCAGGAACGACGCACTCTGCTCTTTCCTTCGCAATCTTCACTATCCAACCCTTCTTCAGGCCACTTCTGAGAACTGACCTACACCAAATACCCTTGACGTTGTGTCCAGTCAGCCGTGGCCTTCAACTTCTCCGTTCGTCGTCGCTTTGAAAGGTATTTTTTCAAATCCCCCGGTTTGAATGAGAACGGCATTTTTACGTGTAGTTGCAGTGACCGACTGACCGCGACTGTTCGCTCTTACCTCCAGCATACCGAACATGACGCCTTCAAGCGAAGAGGAGGAATATGACTTTCGTCTTCAAGAGTCGAGAACAATGCCGATTTCAAGTTCAAGTTCAGCAGAAAGCGATGACAACAACCAGCAAAGCTCATCTATCCCGACATTGCGGCGCTTGCCCAATCCCTTCTCAGCCGCTGCATCGGCTTTTGGAGTAGGCCCTTGCACGCCATATGATATACACAGGTGCTGATTTCTTCCAGGCCATATTCCAGCCCTCGGGGAGTTCCTCTCCTTTCGTGGACCGACGGTTCCTCGATGATCGCCTACTAGCGTACCAAGATGGTATGGCTCAAAATGACGCTGCGCCGCTCTACACGACGTACCATAGGGTGAACGAGCAAGAGGCCGAAAGAAATCGGGGATACTTTCAGCTGATGCAAGGGCTTTCGCAGAGCGCCACAGACGGCCACCCTGATGCCCAGGCTGAAGAAACCAAGACGACTCCGCTGTTTTCCAATCACGTTCAGAAGGTTCTGAGGAGTGGTGTCATAGGAGTCGTTGCACCCAACAGCAATCCTTTCCCTCAGTATGGACTGCTGGGCATGCGTGAAGAGACATACAATTCCTCTTTGCCAGATGCAACTGGGACTTTGTCGATCGAGGACAACCTCATCTTCGCCAACATGAATGCACCCTGGTCCGCCTTCATTTGCGGTTCACAGGGTGCTGGGAAGAGTCACTCCCTCTCTTGCCTTTTGGAGAACTCCCTGTTGGCCTCGTCGCCTGCAGGAGAGAATCCAAAGCCGCTTGCTGGCCTTATTTTTCACTATGACAAGTTCACGAGTAGTGAGAGCACGCAATTTTGTGAGGCGGCATATTTGTGCTCTTCCGGCATTCCTGTGCGAGTCCTTGTCTCCCCGAGCAATATCCATGCCATGCATAGGCTCTACAGGAATCTTCCTGGTTTGCCTGGAGACGCTCCCCGTCCAGAAGTCATTCCACTCTACTTCCAGGAAAACCAACTCAATGTCACACGTCTGATGACGTTGATGGCAGTCGATAACAACAGTAAGGTGCCGCTGTACATGGAGGTCCTTTTCAAGGTGCTTCGTGACATGACAACGGAAAAAAAGGGCGCCGGAGGGCTGAATTACCTCGATTTCAAGGCCCGGTTGTCAAGCAAAGGCTTCAATTCCTCACAAAATGGGCCTCTCAGATTGCGTCTGGAAGTGCTCGAGTCTTTCCTTGCACACGGAGTCCAGCCTGTGGAGTCTGAAGCCCGCTTGAGGGACATGTTCAAGTCGGCTCCAGGGACTCTCACCATTGTCGATCTGAGTTGCCCTTTTGTCAACGAGAACGATGCCTGTGCTCTTTTCACAATTTGCCTTTCAATTTTCATGGAGAACCGCGCTGGCTGTGGTCGCGTCATTGCTCTCGATGAAGCTCACAAGGTATGCCACGTCTGCTCTCTTTCGCGTCTGCTAATTATCTTTGCCCTTCACAGTTCCTGACAAAATCGGGAGAGGCTGAAAAGCTCACGGATGAACTGACGTCTCTTGTTCGTCAACAGCGCCACCTCGCTGCACGCATTATTGTGTCGACGCAGGAACCGACACTCGCGCCGCGGCTCATTGATCTGTGCAACGTCTGCATCGTTCACCGATTCAGTTCTCCTGCGTGGTTTGAAATGCTCCAAGACCACCTTGCTGGTGCTAGCCGCCACAAGAACTGCAACAATGCAAAATTGTTTGAGACCATAGTCGGCTTACAGACTGGGGAAGCGCTAATATTCTGTCCGGCAGCGTTGCTCGACGTCTACAATGGTAATTTGCAGACATTGAAAGACGCGTTTATCAGAGCCCGCATCAGGAACCGCGTGACCGTTGATGGTGGGAAGAGCATTCTAGCCTCTGACGAGATGCAAATTGATCGAGGCGTGGAGATCTTGAACAAGGAGCTCATTCGACCATTTGCGACGCCGATGGAGATGGCTTCGGCCAAACAGTTTGGCAAACAGCCCGGCAAAAACTCAGGCAAGCAGCCAAGTAAAGCAGAACGGCGTGCAGAACGGATCGTAGAACGGCGTGCAGTCAGGACGGGACGCGTGACGAGGAGCCTAACGTTCCAGACTCAGGCTAACAACTTGAGAAAAGGTCTGGCATCTGCACAAGCACAAGGCTGGGAGCCGGAGGGAATAGCAGTTTCGACTCAAAATCCAGCACCAAGTGTTCCCCAGCGCTCACTGGAGAGTTCAGCGCAAGTTCCGGCTTCCAATGCCACCGACCGTGCTGATGCTGATCCAGGTGACATTTTCGCTACATCTCCTTCTTTTGTTCCCTTGGATACATCATTTCAGTCCAGCACACAGCCTAGTCAAGGTGTTCTCCGGTCTTACTTGTGTAACACCGTTACAGAGTCTCTCCGCAGGTGCCCCGACCAAATTGCATTCACAGACGTACGTAGTGAAGCAGCGCGCTGTGCAGGCTTGCCTGAAGGATTCTTCTCAGGAACTCAGTGGAAAAACTGGTCCAGAAGAGTGATCAATGAGCAGGTGGTAGGTTGGGACTTATCCCTCGAGATGGGCTTCCGGTCACTGACTTGAACTGGTTAGATGCAGCACGTCACTGATTATGGGATACCAATGCCGCTCCGCCACTAGATTCTTTTATTGAGTCTTCGAATGGCAGGGAAACGGCTCTCATGAGGTGGTTGGTATTCAGCCTCAGTACGAACGAAGCAATCAAAACTCTCCGGGAAATGCTTGTGTATACCTCAGCAGGGAATGGCTTGTTTTGCGAGGAGAAGCGTGATGGGTTCAAGGAGGGAACAGTCCATATTGGATCTGGTTCTATTACTCCTTCAGAAATGAGCCAAGGAGTCTTGTTCTAATGGCTCGGATCCTCATCGGTGTCATCTTGCTATTGCGGCTGGGGTTCGTGGAGGCATATTTCAGACACATGAAGTACATTGTACACAGCATGTATGTGCTTAGCTCGTCGATAGCCAACACAAAAATCGACGAAAATACAAGTTTGAAATGAAGAAGATGGGGCGAAGTTTTGTGAAGTCAAGAGCAAGGCACCAGACCCCGAGCCTTCAGCGCCATGATATCAGAAAACCGAGGCCCCGCGTTGCCCCGATGCCAGCTGGAGAAAGAAATGAAAAGGGGTAAGGAGTGAAAGACATAAGCATGACACACTACAGTACAACAACAACACATCAGATCACATATCACGTGTCAGCATTTAATACCAACGGGCCGGCGTATGATGGACGGGCCCCAAACGGGCTCAGGAGACATGATATTGGCTACATATTTCCCTAGTCCTCCACCAATCGTTCCGACAGAACTTGACAGGCTGGTTGATCGACGGGAGGTGGGGGGGAGCGTTGACAAGCCTTCAGTCCAGTGTTAAATTGATTGCACTGTGTAACGCTCTCCATGGGCACGGGCATGGGCATGGGGGCAAGGAAGTATGTGACCATGAAGAACGGACGCGGCGCAATTTCAAATAATCGAAGTGGCAGGAGTTCGAGTCTGCCGCCACGGCGTTTCACGACAATTCAATTTCTCCTTCTAATACCTCTTATTTCTTACCCAGTTTTGTCTTTCTCTCCCCCCACCCCCCGACCCCTGTGGTTCCGCACCACGACGCAGCCGTTTGTTTGGGCAGAAAAGCTTGTGTCTGTCTGGCTGGCTGGCGAGATCTCTCGTGTACACACATCCCGGTAGGTCGGTACATGCTCTTTTCTGCCTTGGCTCGAGCTCCTCGCTGTGCTCCTCCTCCGGCAAAAGGGAAAACGTCTCGAGGCGCGAGGAGGGAAGGAAACGACGACGACGATGACGACGAGGAGAAAATATGGCGACGAAAACTGTAGGGAGGATTATTCCCTCTCTCTCTCTCTACATGATGTACTGCGGACTGGTTTGAACATGAACAGATGTGTGCATTCTCCCGTGGGAATTGATGGATCGCATCATGCTGTACTATACCCCCCTGCCCTCCCTCACTACCTAGGTATATTGCCAGGTATGCCTCGTACTTTTATGCTCTCAATGATTTGAACGCAGAATATGCATGCTCAAAACACAAAGCCGCTGCTCATTAGATATATATATGTGCACACCTCTCTCAAGTCGTAAACCGCACTCTTTCATTGGTATCAAAAATGAAAAACAAAAAAACAAATATGTCCACTCCTGAACAATGCCGTAATTAAAACAAATGTTATGATGCGCACAACATAGTCATCCACACAAAAGAAGATTTTTATGATGCTTTGGCGTGCAGTTTGCCCTTCTTCTTGAGCTTGCTGTACACGATGCCATTGCCATTGGCGTACTCAGTCGGCACCGTGGGCCAATCGTCCACGCCGTCGAGCATGGCCACTGCCATGCCGCCCGCTACGTGTGTCTGCACGTGGCAATGGAAAAGAAATGCGCCGGGATTCGTGACTTGGTATCGCAACACCATCCACGTGCTGTTGGCTTCATTGGGGGTGGTAGTGTACTAAGGCACAGACGTTAGTTGGAGCTAGAAGCTTTTGCAGGGATTTCAGAGTAGAACTTACCCCATCGCGAAGAGGTGGGTTGACAAAGTTGAATGTGCCGGCTGGCAGAGCAGCGGCCGCTTCAGCGACAGTGCTCCAGGTCCAGTTTCCGATTCCTTTACCCAGAACATAAGCCTTGTTGGAGTGTTTATGCATCGGGTGAGGTTGGGCGAGTGGGCCCTGCGTCTTGATCACCAAATCGACCCATTGACCGCTCTTTGTCTTGAGAATAAGGTCGTTGGCTTTGATGTCGGAGGGATCTTCAAAGAGAAGGGGCGTCTGATCTTCCAGCTCTGGCGCAAAGGCATTGACACCACTGAGAGTCCATTGGTAAGCGCCGGCTGGCTGTCCAAGCTTCTTGATGTTCATTTGGTATGTGACATCCGCGTCCGGAGCGGGGGGCGAAGGGGGATAAGGAGACGCAAGGTTGTCATTGAAGGTCACTAGGGTGGTCAAATTGACACCGGCGAAATTCATGCCCGCAATGGCATTGGGGTCTTCAGTCGCGGGTCCATATGAGCCTTTGTAGTTCAGAACAGCGAAGCCGCTGATGACTTGGTTGAGACCGTTGTTTGCCACTCGGATGGAATACTGGGCAGGGAATTGGTTGAGCTCGATCAGAACAGAGTATCGGTCTCCGTTGTTGACGATAACTTGGTCCACAAGGGTTGGAGTCACGTACCCGCCATCCACAGCGTACACCCACATCTTGTGTCCATCGATGGTAAACTTGAGCAGCTCGTATCCGCCAGGGTTAATGAAGGTCAAGGCCGCAAAGCCTTTGGCGGGATCGACGTCAATTGTCGCCATGGGCCCAGTCGACGGATTACATGTGAAGTAGGCATCGTCAGGAAGAGTCTCAATGTCGAAGGTGAAGTTCCCTTGAGTCGCAGGGAGATTGGGAGGTAGGCAACCCTTGTCGGTGATTTGGGAAGGGCTGACTGAAGCCAGGAGCGCCGCGACTTTGGGGTTTGTGTAGGCAGTCAACTCATCACGGCTCAAGCAGTACTGTGAGCCCATCCCATTGATGATGATGGAGTCAGAGCAAGCAAAATCGATGTTGGCATCCACTTCCTGCTGATGGAGTTCCTTTGACGTGTATCTGTTGTAATCGGAGATAAAGATTGGCTGCAGCTCGTCGTCCGCCGCCGACATAGCTTTGATAATGTCGGGATCGCTGTTGATCAGAGAGAATGGCTTGTCATCTTCGGATTCTGGAGAGATGATGATAGCACCATACAGCCCATCCATCATCTGCGAGCGAGAGTGGGAGTGATAGAAGTACACCCCTGAGGCATCGGCAGTCCATTTGTACAAGAACGATGAGCCAGGTGCGATGGCAGCTTGCGAAAGACCGGGCACACCATCTGACCACGGAGTGCCTTGCTGAACAATGCCATGGAAATGAATCGTAGTCGGGTCAGGTAATTCGTTGTGAACGAGGAATTCCACTGATTGGCCGACCGTCATCTTCAATGGGGGTCCTGGGAAGGTGCCATTTGTAAGGATCATCTTTTTGGGTATCCCTCCGATCGGTGAGTAGTCTTCCCATGTGAGGGTGACTTCAAAGAAGACGGTATCGGCCCGTTCATCGAGTGACCTCGACCTCGAAGGCAGGGCAGCGCTGAGTAAAGCGAACGACAGGAAAGAGAGCACGGCGATTAACCGTGAAAAAGCCATTGTGGCAACGAAGATGCGAAGGAAGCAAAGGAAACAATTGAACAAACAACGAGAGTAATGTCCCTGGTAGAGGAACGCACTTGAGAATGGACTGGACTGACAATAACACAATGGGAAAGTATTTGAGCCAAAAGGCGAGGTTGGGGAGAGTATAATATAACGTATGGGTCGGTAGAGTCCACTGTCCTCGCACAGTCCGTGGGTGACCGCAGCTCTCCAGATGGTACCTGGACTCGTGATAGGAAGCCCGGGATGGAGGATACCATCAAGGGCTGGAAGCATTGACCAGCCTCACTGGTGAAGTCTGATGTCTTTACATCCATTAGCGTCTTAGCAGTGGCATTGATTCTGGGGCTGACCAGGGTACACAGGATACCTGCAGGGCATTGGCACACCACCTGTGAGGCCCGCCTTACCGATTTTCGGCATCGCGTGGCTTGCTAGCATGTCCATTGAAACGGGAGGCCCGAATCTAGACAAGCGGCGAAGCATACCGCCTCTGCAGGCTGGCAACATGGAGCAGTTAGGACCGTGAATCGAGCCCGAGGCTCTACGTATTCTCTGCCATAATTTCGAGTTGTTGGGACGAGTGAACATGGAAGACAGAGTAAATCAACCCCCCATACATAGGGACAACCTGTCAATGCGCGACACAGCTGACTTGTGCAGCAGCAGCAGCAGCAGCCAAGAAAACAGCTGGAGGTTGGCAGTTTGGATGTGAGTGCGCAGGAGCGGAGGGTGGAGGCAAGTGAGGCTGAGAGTTCCTCCCAAGCACCGCTAGGCATCGCATGAACCCAAGGCCCCGATGAGCGCCACGATAACTGGCCAGGCCATCTCACGCAGGCCTCTGCCAAGAACCGCCCGCCACTCTTGGAATCCGGGCCTTCATGTCCGCAACGATGGCTGGGCCTCATGTCATTTGACGGAATATTGAAGTTCAGAGTTCAACCTTCACGCTCATTTCTCGCAACGAGGCGACATCGGTGGTGCTGAGCCTTGGCTCTACTAGGTGAGCTGGGCGGAGAGGTCGTTTGTCAACACTGGCGCGATTTCAACCACACATGGCGGGCATGTAACAGCTGACCATGTTCCGCATCTTGTCGCAGTCCCTGTTCCTTCCTTTTGTGTCCGTATGCGAGTCTCACATCTGATCTCTACTCCTGGGCGGTATTTTTGCAAGATTGACTCGAGTGGCCTTGGATCTCGGCAGTAGCTAGTGAAGGCCAACGTCAGTGGGACCCAGATTACGGCTGGGTTGAGGCAAGCTTGGAATCCAGGATGCGAACGGTCGAGATCTGGTGGCACGAGACCGACAGCCGAGAGTGTTTGGGGAGTTCTGGGTTCACGTCTCGAGGTGGAATGATAGGAGAGGAGAGAGGGTGGAATGAGGGTGGATTGTCAGAGTGTTGGAGTGTCTTCTTGTTCTTGCTCTGCCAAGCCATTGGCGTGAGATTTGACTTCCTCGTCGCGCCTCTGAATAGCAACAGGTAAATTCTCCTCGACACCAAGTCCCAATGGCCGCTGGGCCCCTCCCTCCATTCTCGCGAACAAGGACTTGTTCAAATGCAGGTACATGCGGAGGGCGAGTTACACAGCCGGCAACGCTACCAATTCCGTCTCCTCCGCCAACGAGCCACCCCTTGGGGAACAAGCACCAAGCCTATCGATAGGACAGACGTCCAGATCTTCGATTATCGAGGTATGTGCTCCGTGTGGTGGCTTCGAGGTAAAATATGTGGAGGGCCTGTCCACGATGCATGTTCTGCTGGCTTCGACTTTTTGTTTCGGGCTCTTTCAGCTCACCGTCTCCAGCCCTACGGACTTCAGTCCCGCAGGCGACGGCAAAGTGTACAGCACCGCACCCACCTCGGCCAGGAGCGGATGGCGGTCTGACTTTATGTCCTTGGCAAGGTTCGGTTTATACGAGTCTCGGACAGTCGCGATCGAATTGATTGCTTGTACCAAGCCCGAGGGAGGTTCCATGTCTCTCTTTCTTCGAGTGCCATTGGACTCGGTGAGTGGCAAGCTACCTCTGCATCCCAACAATCCGAGATGCAGGCTCGGACAAGGTGCTCGGAGAAGGCCAAGATGCTCTAGATGTTCAATAATAGCATCATGCGGTGGCAGGAATGCTTGTCAAGACTTCTTGGATGAGGCTCCGCTGAAGTTTTTTAAGCGGGTTTTTTTTTGATATCACGAGTTACGATACTTATCGACTGTGGGCGATAGGCGTCATGTGGCTGGCGGATTTGCGGCCTCGACCGAGTTGTGGAAGCGGTGGCAGCGTCGCCGCCACCTGCATCATCACTGCGACATACCTTTGCTTTCGCTCCTGGAGTCGCTGAGCTTTCAGTTCGTGCATTGACGCGCCCATGTCCGTGTTTGCTTGTCAATGGAGTCAATCGTCATGTGCATTTCCTGCAAAGATTTCAACTGGTAAAGTCGCCGTCTGGCCAACCGGACTCTGGGTGAAGACTGTCGGCGGTTGCCATCATTGATCGTCTCCCATACCGAGGTTTGTCAATTGGTTTGTTTCCCTCTGACAGTCCTTCAACAGAACACAATGGCGTTGAGTTCGGAAAGGACGATTCCAACAGCCATGTCTTATCCACGCCAGTTGCAGAACAGACGAAATCCGAACCTGGTCCTCCAAACTGCATCAACAAATGTCATGTCTCCTCCAGAAGGGTGCTGCCGGCTGCATGCTGTTTGGAGAAACACATCATCGTGACGATCATCTTCGAGAGCCAGAGAACATTGATCATTCGGGCAAGTCATTTGCATTACTTCCCCAACCAGCAATACCATCAAGCAGAAGATGCATCTCCTCGAGTGTGGTCCGAAGCATATGGACTGTACCCAACTCGTCTGACCTGGAAATCTGGCAGTACCTAGGCTCGATTGTGTCCTCGAACAGGCTCAGCAACAACCACAACCCCGCTATCGGGGCACAAGGTAGATACTAACTTTTGTCCTGTCTGAAGCCCGAAAGCTCACCTCACATGATCACATGAAAGCCCCCCTTGTTGCCACATCCATGCATTTTAAAGAGTCCTTACTAACCGCTAACCCATTGGAATCCCTTGTACTACCGCCACACGCAGTCAAATCGATCTTTCCCTTCAATTCACTTGAGCTCCACGTTGTCATGGTCGCCCACGACGATCTCGACCGACCGGCCACCTTCGTCCAGACTCCTGCGTCCCGCTTCCAAGATGGCCGTCGTGAGGACGGTGTTCCGCAGCGTGGGCAAGCCTCTCTTGTCCAGCTGATCGAGCGTGACTCTGCCCTCATTCACTGCGGTGACGCCGTCGATGAACTTCTCGAAGCTCACGTACCCGTACCCGCTCTGGCCGTTGAAGTTGCCTTCCTCGTCAGGCGCATACCGCATATAGAAGGGGTTGTACCACTTCAAGGAACTGCCGGACCGATCGTTCTCGTCCACCACGTCGTAACCCCTCTTCGCCTGGTTAACGTTGATCTCGCCCTTGGAGGCGATGTAGTGGAAGTGCTGCTGCGAGTGGACGCCGGCGTTCATCGGCGCGGTCCAGCTGGCCGTGTAGATGCCCGTAGCGCGCTTGTCATCACCGGGACGCGTCCAGTCGACCAGCAGGGTGATGGTGTCCTCGGTGCCCTTGACGCAGCCCACAGTTTCCGAGATGCCGAGACTCGCACTGGCGCGCACGGTGGAAGGTCGCCACCCGGCGTCGCGGACCATCCACTCGCAGATGTCGACGTGGTGCGAGTTGAGGTAGTACGAGATGTCGGACTCGCGGCCGGCCCAGGCCTTGAACGTCTCGAGCTGCGACTTGGGCTGCGACATGTAACTGTAGAAGTAGTTGAAGTCACCGAGGGTCCGGGCCTTGAACCGCGCGTCCGCGTACGCCGGGTCGAAGCGCTTGTGGTGCTCGACGTACACCAGCACCTTGTGCTTCTCGGCCAGCACGAGCAGATCCAGATGGTGCGCCAGCAGCTTGGTGGCGGGCTTGGTCACGAGAACGTGGTGACCGCGCTCGATGGCGTACTTTGCGATGTCGTAGTGCGTCGAATCCGGGGTGAAGATGGTCACGGCCGACCCGTGTGGCAGGGCGTCGATGGCGGTCTTGAAGGCGTTGGGGTCCGATTGGTCGTCGGGCGGGAAGGACTGGAAGGACACATCGAGCCCGTTGTACGCTTCCGAGATGTTCTTCTGGAGATGCGCGCGGATGGCCGGGAATTTGTGGCCGGAGACGCCGACCATGGCCAGGTCCGAGACTTTGCCCCGGCGGCGGAGGTCGAAGACTATATATATATAAGAATATAAGAAGATACCCTCTCACATGGTTCGACGTGGAATCAATCAACGACCCATTCCACTTATGGTTTGTCGATTCTTCTGCACACTGAATGCATTTATTTTCCAGGAGAGCAGGAGTGTCTGCCTCCTATACAAACCCTCCTGCCCACTCTCCGCGGCTAGGCAGTACACTGGAACGGAAAAAGAGATCATTTTTTCCCACAAAACTTACGCGTCAATCCCACAACACCTACTTTCTTGTCTGACGTGGACGGCGCCCCCGAGACGAAGCCGGTCGTGTACTCGCCCGTGCCGACCATCAGGACTGCCGGCGGGGCCATCTTGATATGATGCGAAGTGAATTGATAGAGATGTATTTTGCAGGACAAGGGAGGTGGGCTGAGAATTGTGATATACGGAGTGAGTAGGCTTGACCTAGATGCGTGGGAACTCCTCAAAGGTGCTTCCTCACTTTTTCAGATCTCGAGGGGTTTTTTGGATTCCACACTGCTGTGATGAATTGAGGATGACGATGATGGTGTTGATAAAGAGACGACAAAGAACTTAGAGAACTTCAAACAACAACAACTCAAAGCCAGTCCTGAGGGAAGAAATCCGTGACGTTGCAATGTCACATCTCCCAAACCGGCTAATAGCATTTCGGTGTCACTCATTTATGCCCCCCACATTACATCCCCAGCGAACACCTTGAGGGCGAGAGAGCACAGAGCCATGGCCGTTGATTCGTCCCTTCAATTGCCGCCCCGGGTGGTGTCTGATTCGACCGACGGAGGCGGCAATTGAAGCTTCAATGTCCGAGATTTGTTCCGACGGATCCTTTTTCAAGGGAGGGTTTGAGCTTTTAATAACTCGACACAAAAACAGAGCCGGAAGGAGGGGGCGGTGGTGTCTGTGTTTTGGGCCGGGCCGAGTGGCTTGAGTAGAGTAGAACGATTGATTGGAGCCTTGTGGTCCAGTTCCAATTAATTGGGAAAGGGAGCCAGCCATATTGGAGGTATATTAGAAGGCAGAGTGTCCAGCTTAGCTATAATAATAGAGAAGCCTACCTTATCCAGGCTACCTAGACTGGATTGTCATTAATGGCATTGGGTCTAGCGTTCCAACTCGGCCCTGAAATTTGAGAACAAGACCATTTGGTGGCTGAGGTATGTACCGGGATAAATAGGGCAGGTGTTGCCTCTGTACCGAGAAGGAATTGGGCCATGTAAGGTGAAGAAGGAGCCGGGTATATTCCACAGTCCTCGGAACGAGTACCGAGAAAAGTACCCGCAGGTACGTACGAGTACATGCATACGATGACGGCGCGGAGGGAACCGGCTGGTGCCGGTCTCCTCGTCTGGGGCCAGGCTTACTCAGAGATGATGTAGAATACCAGAGCGTCAACTGCCCCCGGTCAGTCGAGGTCGTATACCCCAGAATTCCCATCCAGGTGCTCGTACAGTCCTCTTATAGCGTCCGGCAGCATGTCTTTGGCCCTTGACTCCTGTGGCTAGGGGAGGTAGAAGTGCATCAGCATCGAAGGTGCCTTCAGCGAGAAACTCGATTAGACGTGCCACATGCCAGTGTGGCCCTTCCGACTACAGACCGAAAGACTTCCATCAGGCCATGGATTGCAAGAAGCGGGGACTGTCAATTGAAACAAAGGGCGGAGTATATCTCACCAGTGCATCTGCCGGACTCAGAAGACAGGTTACAGCTGAGAGTCGCGAAAGGCGGCTCCCTCCCCCCTCCCGGCGGCGGGACAGGACTCGTGCTGCTCGCCGCCATCAATTCCGCAGGCTGATCTCCACCGATATTGGGATACTTCACCGCCGCGTCGTCAGGTGATCTTCAGCAGAAGGTCGCGCTAGAACCGCGGCGCGCAGTGGAGCTCGTGGTAGATCGTAAGACCTAGATCCTTCGCTGTGTCCGCTGTGTCCGCTGCGGCGTATCAAGGAACCAGTTCACCGGTTCGATCGTCCTCAGACGCTAGCAAGGAGGCATGTCACAATGACCCGCAGCTTCACATGGTCAGATGAGTCGACATGGCTGGTGAGCCCCAAGAGCCACCACTACTCTTCAGGCTCATCTGGACTCTCAGTTCGTTGATTCGATCAGAGCGCCAGGTCATCTGGGTGGAGAGGAAGGTGAGGACGATATCGAGCGAGAGTCTAATGCATTCCTTCCACGCCTTTGAAGACGGTCTCGCCATCGAGATCAGGGATAATGGTTGAGAGTAAGTCATGTAACATTGCTTGCCCTTTGTCGCAGGTCCACTTTGAATCTCTCATAGTCTAAATCTGGCTTTGCTGCAGAGCATGTCGGCCAACGTCGACCCACGGCATTAGACTGCAGAGGATGAGGTCCATCTCAAACGCGAAGATATCGTTTTACGTGGGGTCTAGGAACTCACGTCTTAAAACGGTCTCTGCAAGTCTACTAGCCTAAATCCAGAAGCATCCCGATTGCGCACGGGCAGTGATCTTCTCCCCGTCTCCACAGCTAGGAAAATTTCATTATCTACGGTTGCATCTCGTGTCTGGGGCAAAGACAACGAATGGCAACCTTGGATCCAGCAAACTGACGAGATTACTGACTGCTCGGAGATGCGTCAGAGCAGCCTCGTGTATCATCGAGTTACCATCCGCACAAGCCGAGATAGAAGATTTCGAGGATGACTTCCTTGTCCAAGGCCACTGCGGGAATTGGTTGCAAACGTCGACGAATATGAGGTATTGGCGTTTAGTAGGGAAAGCATATGCATTTCGTGGGAGAGGCAGCCTTGGACAATCTCCTCCTCGATAGCTGGGAACTTCTCGAAGTGGCTCGTGTTCGTTTCAGTGCTATCTGGCGCCCGTGGTATCGGGAACGAGGTGAGGTGTTGTGAGATGCACAGTAGCTCTGCGTCCAGCCAGACTGAGATTGCATTGAATGCGTCGACACAATCGCGAGGCTGAAAGTTGGCCCGGGGGACCTCTACAGGCGTCGAGTCGGAGCTTTGATGCACTGACACAGCACTTTGGTTAGCACCAGCTGTTGATTGACCCGGTGTCCGAGACAAGATATTGTCAGAACAGGTGCTATCCAAGACTGACCGCGCACTGGCAGAATAATTCAGCCCTTCGCTTTGCCCAACGTGCAGACGATTGAGTCTCCGCCATTGTTGGACGTGTCTCCCAATGACAGGATATCTATCTTGCTTGCTGTTGGACAGGCCTGCGCCCACACCCGACCTGTCGCAAACAAGAGCCTGCTTGATTGTCCACTTTCTGTCATTCCCTCCTCCTTCTCAGCGACAATACTTCCTTCCGAGAAACCGAGTTTTGCTTGACTCGGTTTTCGCGCCGTCCGCACCACGTAGTTACCATGCTAGTGAAGCCGCCTCGTAGGTATTTGAGACATTGCAGATCAGGCTGTCGTAGGAAGGACTCCTCACAATATATCTCTGGGGTTGGAGGTATACATCACCACACCACGACAGTTAAAGGGAGGGACAACTCCATTGTCTGGAAGATCAAACGCAGTAGGCTGGTTGCTGAACAATGAATCGGTGCAAATCCTAACTTTCAGGGTCAAGATGTTTAGCATACTCAGCCAACTTGCTGGGTAGGACAAATTTCGCCAATACCGGTCTCGCGGTCCTCTGAGATGGCGAGATCTGCATGTGACAGAGGCAGTATTATTGGATGCCGAGGCATCTCGTGCATTTCCCAGCAACTCAACCAGCGAAGCCTTATCGTGCCGAAGTTGGTTCCCGACGGACTCTGAAGATGGGGTTTTTGGGGGGCGTTCAAGTATTACGAGTTCCGTTTTGGGTCAAAGACCCCAATTTGGTCAACGCACCACGGACGACGGATGATTTCTAGGAATCAGACGCACCCAGGACGCCCCCGAGCGATTCGTCCCCAAGGTACTTGGTACCCTGCATAAGTATTGCTCACGACTCTTTAGCTTGTCGTTTGAGGGGCACCTCCCGTGTTGGTGCCGGGAGCCAAACTGAGTTTGGCTCCTGAAGCCTTCCAGGGGCGCGGTGTTCGTTCTAAAGGATGACATCCCTCATTTATTTCAGTGACTGACACGCCACAGAGAGAGTTCCATAGAACACTGTTAGTCGGGATCACCACGCTTTCTCAGCCATGCTCATATAATCCTTGGCCTACCTTGATTGACCTTGGCAAGGCTTCATCACTCCATGTCGGTATGTGAGGGCAGCCCTGCGCAGTAATCTACGTAGGCTTACCACCAAATATGCTTAAATCGCGCAAAGCCTGAGGCATCAATCTTGATGCATATACTCATACTCCGTAAGATATGCGGGCCAGTGTTAAAAGTGAATAGAGCAAGTCCGGTGTTGCCTCGCCGTGAGCGAGATTTATCTCAAGAATGTTGATTGAAGAGACAGCATGTTCATAAACCCAAAGAAGTCAGTTGGGCTCGCCTCTCGGGCTCTTCAGCCTTGCATTGGCCCTTCGGCTCGAATAAGAATCAGCTCTAGCTCAAGCCATCATACCCTGGGCAGGATCAGGTACATTTGGACAACGCGAGTCTAGAACCGTATCCTTAGAGCCTTCGGTTATTTGATAGTCTGGCCTTCTAGCTGACTGTCGCTGGGCTCGCCCGTAAGATCCATAAATGGCGTGTGGCTAATAGTCGGCCCTCCGGCAGAAGGGGAGGGCAACGCCTCTATAGGTGAGGAGTAGCGGAAACGAAACGACCCGCCTCAGCCAATGATAGATCTGAATCCACTGCTCCATGCTGACCAGTGGGATGTCACAAGCGCGCCCTTTTGATTTTGAATATCAGTCTGCTGTCGACTTCAGAGTTTCAAGGTTTCATTCTCCCAATCCCACGAGATTATATGTACTCCGCCTTGTAGGAGAATTCCATGACGTCTAGTCACTCTTGGAGTCGGAAGGTGTGTTCTTTTAGACTTCAGTGTTGGCCTCGCAGTTCCCAATTAGCTGGGAGTAGTTTTTTCTTCCTGGTTCTCTTGATACACAGGATATCAGACACGCAATGCCGATCGGTAGACCTCGCATTCCTGGCACCGATGCAGAGAGGGCAGAGGCACGGAGGAACAAAGTCCGTGCGTAAGTACTTCGAGGCGTTTCTGGTGTTATGTTGGTACTGACAGTCGATGCTATCAAGCAATGTTCAGGCCTTTAGACGACGCCAGAAAGAAAAACAGCTTGCCGAGAAGGCGAGACGGTTGCATGCCGATGATGATGGCCCACATCAGACTCTCGCAAGTCAGCCGCCGACGAGTGCTGTCCTCCCCCCGAGCTGTTTACGAGCATGCGAACCTTCTGCGGTGCCTCTGGAAAACCCGGAATTCTCCATATGGTTAATACCCTCAGAAATGGGTGCAAAGCTTGTGGGTTCGACTTACCACGTTGCCTTCGTTCATGCTCTGAAGAACAGGTTCGTGAGGCTTCACTCAATGCGTGAGCGAGCCAAAAACAAGGCTGAACAACAAATGTCAATATGCTGTTCGACCTGGACAATCACAGCAGCCCTCGAAATCGACAGGCCTGAAACCGCAGTCCTGATAGAAGCTCTATTGGCGGCTTCGCTGACCAAGGTCGGAAAAGAACGCAGTGAAGCAGAGATTGCCCTCCAAGGTGCCTATATGCACACCCGTGCGTTGCAAAGACTGCGGTACTCGCTAAAAAGGTATCAAGACGGTGACAGGACTATTTCCCGGACAGTGTTGTCTTCGACAGCGCTGATCTGTGCCATGTCGGAGCTGGTAAATGACAAGTCCTGGGCTAGCTTCAACTGCCACTTGTTGGGCGTGGGGGCTCTCATATTCCATGGCGGTGCCGAAGTAAGCCCCATCTGAGCGTTTCGTCAATGTCTCTGGCATGAGCACCCAACGCTCGGCAACTGAATATATAGCCAGCGATGCTGACGACATGTGTTGATTGATAGGGTCTGAATCACCAATCGGCTCAAGAGCATTTTTATGGGTACCGCGCAATCCAAACCCCGTTCCTGTTTATGAATCGGCAGACGTCGTTTCTGTCCGAGTCGCGATGGATCGATTTCCCCGGGAAAAAGGAAGTAGAGCCTGCTCAACGCCCCTTGCAGTCGATGCTCGATGTTGCCCTCAAAGTGCTACCGGTGATTGTCGAGCAAGATACCCTGAAAAGCTGGAGCCTTCCTCGCCTCCGAGAGAGATATGAAACAGTGTGTACCATCGTGGCCGAACTGGAAAGTTGGAGAAGTCAGCTGCAATCACAACACCACGAGCCTTTGCACACCAAAGTCATCGCCAGCTGGGAAGGTGTGTACGAGCATCGCCTCGACTTCCCCGATTCCTCGATTGCTGTTGCATTCACGATGTACACAGCAGTCAGAATACAAGTCGCAAGGCTTGTCACCGATATCTCAGATGAGATCATTTCTCGTGCGCCCACAACCGATATAGACAGAAACTCAACGGTTCTGGAGGCATTGCGCTGGGCACACCTTGCGTGCGAGAGCCTCGAGTACTTCCACACTGGCGAAACCAAAACTGCCGGACGGATTGCAACGCTTTGGCCACTGGAAATGGCCTGGCGGCTTTTTACGCAGCTGGAAGAAGAAGGTTCCATGGACGTCTCGCAAGAGATTGCATGGTGTCGGTCTGCAGCTGAACGGTACGCAAAGCTTGGGATCCCCCCGTTCCAGTGGAGGTAACACCGAGCCAGGGGATGAGTATGGGGGTGAATCCGATTTGAGGACGGTGATGTCCTGGATCTCTTTCCAGAGCTGGGAGCGACGTTTTGCTCGCTAAGATGAAACCCCATTCGAGACAATCGCGTGGCCGAGGCCGGAGCCGCAGTGATCCAACCATCAAAGCTGATCCGGAGGACATTCCTAGATAGGTGAAGATGCCCTGGAGACAAGAGGAGAGCAACCGCCTCATGTCAAGCTCAGCCTCACCAGCCACGGAGGTGGCGAGGGCCTTGGCATGTTTTATGCGTGCCACGTGACCAAAGTGACCAAATCCCTGTGGCTGGTGTGGCTGGTGACCAGGTGGCTGGAGATCTGGCAGGCAATGACAGCTCACCACATTGCTTGCTGCCTGCGCTTCCAGCCATAGCCTTTTTCAAGAGAAGAAGACAACATTCAAATTCCAGACCACGATCTTGGTGGTACGAAAAAGCTGTCGTGGTGGTGGCGGCTGCGTCCACTTCCCACTGCCCACCATGCGACCCGAGGCCTTCTCCGCCGATCTCCGCAAGAATCCCACCAACCCTCCAACATCGTGGTGTTCCTCAATAAATGACGGAGGTCAAGAAGACCAAAGACCAAGCCAAGGAATCCTGAAGAGCATGCCGGACATTTGGCACTTCTTGTTGTCAGAGCAATTGCTAGGCAGGCCTTGGTAAAGCCTTGGAATTTTGAAGTATCCTAATGCTCCTGCAGGTGGAAATGCAGGACCGACGACGCACAAGATCTCCAGACAGATGGCTATATCAGCAGAACTGGGGAACTGGAATTTAGATATATAATCTGAACGTTTTGTATGGCCCTACATTTGGGGAAAGTTGTCTAATGCAGGTATCATTCACCTTTTTCAGGGGCTTTCCGGTTGGTTCTCCCAAGAATGATGAGAATGCATAACTCGACTGGACAACATGGATGAGATTGTTGATTTGCCTTGAGCTTTGCTGCTTGGGCGCCTCTTCAAACGCCAATCGCTTGCGTCACACGTTGTTGAGTGGCCCAAATCGCAATGTTTTGTCTCTGCCCAGAACGTTGCCTATCTGCACAGCCTCACTCTGGGCAACATCAAGACACCCCATCCACCACGATCTGCTCTAGTTGCTGCAAGCCCCCGGCAGCTGCACGCCATGGCATCCTCGTCAAGGCAGAGTTTTCCTCTGCTCTCATTTGTAACATATGAGAGTCCCCTCAACACGACCTGGTTGGTGCCTTACACCTCGTCGGCCAGCTCATAAGCCCCGTTCTCCCCTGTATACAAGGCTGGCTGTGGACGTGCGTGCGTCCGACCTGTTGCCTATCTGAACCCGACTCTGCGCCAGCGGACTGCAACTCTGACCGGTCCAGCTCAGCCATCGTTATTCATGATGAAGGGGCCAAATTCCTCTTCCGCCTCACCGCCAAAGATCACACTTGATACATCGGTAGGAGACCTCATAAATACCGGAGATTGTGTGCTGTTTCAGATTGTCTGACCTTTTGGCCTCAGAAATCACCAGGGAGGCCTCGGGCGGAATCATCGACTACTTGGGTCATGTCACCGAGTCACCAGAGGGAACCCAGCATGTCCACACCTCCCCAGACCGCCATAGACGACAGCTCGTACTTGTCCCCCACTTCTCCTGAACGCAGAGGGCAATACGATGGATCAACTCTCAATTCCAGGTCGGGCTCTGTCGCCTCGGGCGAGACGGCAACGCGTATCCGATCAAATTCAGGAATATCAGCGGCCTCGAGTACCACATTCTACTCTAAATCTAGCCTGGAGTTTGACACCCCAGAAGAAGCCTTGCGAGCTGACAAGGGAGATGAGAAGGACTTCAGCGTCCCAAATAATCCCTTTGCCTTCTCCCCAGGTCAATTGAACAAGCTGCTCAATCCAAAATCATTGTCCGCCTACAAAGCACTAGGAGGACTGAGAGGCCTCGAAAGAGGTCTGCGAACCAGTATTTCGGCCGGACTGTCAGTAGATGAAACTCATCTCGATGGACAAGTCTCTTACGAGGAAGCCACCGCTGTTGGAACGTCGAAAGAAGGACTTTCAGGAGTCAATTTAACCAAGGCAAATCCAAAGGGGAGTGTGAGCCCGCGCGAAGTCAGGAGCCAATTTGAAGACCGACTCCGCGTCTACCGAGACAATCGACTACCTGAACGAAAGCCAGACAGTATCCTTATGCTCATATGGCGAGCCTACAACGACAAAATCCTCATTTTACTCACCATTGCCGCTGTTATCTCTCTAGCCCTGGGGATCTACGAGACTGTCGCTGGGGGCTCCGGTGTTGACTGGGTCGAAGGAGTGGCCATTTGCGTTGCAATCCTTATTGTGGTCGTCGTGGGTGCTGCCAATGACTGGCAGAAGGAACGCCAGTTCGTCAAACTTAACAAACGGGTATGTTCAATCACCTGGCCAACAACATCTAAGCAATTTGTTCTAACCACCACAAACAGAAAGATGATCGAGAAGTCAAAGTCATTCGATCAGGCAAATCCATCCAAATATCAGTGCACGACATCACGGTCGGCGACGTCCTTCACCTCGAGCCTGGCGATGCCGTTCCAGCGGATGGGATCTTCATATCTGGACACGGAGTCAAATGCGACGAATCGTCTGCAACTGGTGAATCGGATCAGATGAAAAAGACCCCAGGCGAGGAAGTGTGGCGACGCATTCAGGATGGCACCGCGACCAACAAACTTGATCCTTTCATCATCAGCGGCTCCAAAGTTCTCGAGGGCGTTGGCACCTATCTCGTCACCAGCGTCGGCGTCAACAGCTCTTACGGAAAGATCTTGATGAGCCTGCAGACCGACAATGAGCCCACGCCTCTGCAAGTGAAATTGGGCAGACTGGCAAATTGGATCGGAGGCCTTGGATCCACGGCTGCAGGACTCCTTTTCATCGTCCTTTTGATCAAATTTCTTGCTCATCTTTCAGGGGATACTCGACCTGGGGCCGTGAAAGCCCAGGAATTTCTGGACATTCTGATCGTCGCAATTACAGTCATCGTTGTGGCCGTTCCAGAAGGACTGCCCCTGGCAGTGACACTGGCTTTGGCGTTCGCCACCACCAGAATGCTGAAGGAGAACAATCTCGTGCGGGTCCTACGTGCCTGCGAGACAATGGGCAACGCCACAACCATCTGTTCGGACAAGACCGGCACCTTGACTCAAAATAAGATGACTGTGGTTGCTGGTACAATCGGAACGAAGGAGAAATTCGCCTCGTCACGCTCGGCGGAGACAACTGACGCGACCTCATTCACCACGATGTTCAGCAATCTGAGTGCCGATGTCAGGGACCTTCTCAGGCTCTCTATCACTCTCAACAGCACGGCTTTCGAGGGTGAAGAGAAGGGCATGCCTACTTTCATTGGTTCCAAGACTGAGGTCGCTTTGCTCACCCTCGCCAAGGAGAATCTAGGTCTTGACAACCTGGCTACTGAACGATCGAATTATAAGATCAAGCAACTGATCCCATTCGACTCGGCTCGCAAATGTATGGGCATAGTCATCAAATACAACGGCGTCTATCGGCTTCTTGTCAAGGGGGCTGCGGAGATGATGCTTGCCAAATCTGTCAAGACCATTTCCAGTGTCTACGAAAAGAAGTATGGAATTACAGATCTGACTGCCGACGAAAAAGAAACAATATCCGCAATCATTGATGAGTACGCACAACACTCCCTTCGGACCATTGCTATGCTGTACAAGGACTTCCCACAATGGCCACCTGCTGGCGCGAGGATCCTTGAAGAAGACACCAAGATGGCCGACTTCGACGATATCTTCCATGACATGACCTGGATTGGCGTCGTTGGTATCCATGATCCACTTCGGGAGGGCGTGGTCGAAGCCGTGGCACAGTGCCAACGCTCGGGTGTGGTGGTTCGTATGGTTACGGGAGACAACGTCACCACTGCGCGTGCGATCGCTGTTGACTGTGGCATCCTCCGCCAGGACGAAGATGGAATTGTCATGGAGGGTCCCAAATTCCGCCAGCTCTCAAATGAGGAAATGGACAAGATTCTGCCTCGTCTTCGTGTCCTGGCTCGTTCATCGCCTGAAGATAAGCGCATCCTCGTCAGTCGACTCAAGCATTTGGGTGAGACAGTCGCAGTGACTGGAGATGGTACCAACGATGGGCCCGCGCTGAAGATGGCTGACGTAGGCTTCAGTATGGGTATCGCCGGCACGGAAGTTGCCAAGGAGGCCTCTTCGATCATTCTGCTCGATGACAACTTCTCTTCGACCATCACTGCCCTCATGTGGGGGCGAGCCGTCAACGACGCGGTGAAAAAGTTCTTGCAGTTTCAAATCACCGTCAATATCACGGCCGTGATCCTGACTTTCGTGTCTGCTGTCTCCAATGACTCGAACCACTCCGTTCTCACTGCTGTTCAGCTCCTCTGGGTCAACCTCATTATGGACACTCTCGCTGCTCTGGCGCTCGCAACCGATCCGCCTACCAAGAAGATACTGGATCGTCCGCCACAGCCCAAATCGGAGGCTCTCATCACCATCAACATGTGGAAAATGATCATTGGCCAAGCAATCTATCAACTCAGCGTCACCTTCGTTCTCTACTTTGCTGGCATGTCCATTTTGGGCTACGAACCAAGCCAGCGTAAAGAACTGAATACGATCGTCTTCAACACGTTTGTCTGGATGCAAATCTTCAATGAACTCAACAACCGTCGCTTGGACAATAAGTTCAACATCTTTGAGAATATCCTTCGCAATTACTGGTTTATCGGCATCAACTGTATCATGGTCGCAGGACAGATCATGATTATCTTTGTTGGCGGAGCTGCATTTAGCATTACTTCCCTCGACGGTCCTCAGTGGGCAATCTCACTCCTGGTCGCTCTGCCATGCTTGCTTTGGGGCGTCTTGGTTCGATGTTTTCCTGACCCTTGGTTTGCCGTCGTCTTCAACGGAACGGTCAACGGCATAGCGTTGGTTCTCCGTCCGATCTGGAAGGGTCTTTCTGTCATCTTTCATCCGATCGTACAGGTTTGTCGAGTGATTACGCGGTTTGTTGGGCGTGCTGTGCGCAAGGTCACTCACCGGAGCACCTCTGAGCAGGAAGATGAGCAAATGCCGGCTGACGAAGAGCGGCTTTCAATGACGACCACGAAGGCGAGACCATCTGCCGTCATAGCATTGAATGGCCATGACTCATCAAGAGCGACCATGAAGACAAGTGATGTCAATACCACTTCACCATCTGACTGGAACAGGGCCGCGACAGAAATGAAAGACCTCCCGGTGCCGTCTGTGTCGATCACAGGACCCAGCTGAGGGATGCTGACACGATTCTTACGTCCCCATGTGTACATCCACCACACCTGGAGATTGATTTGTTTTCTGTATATGAATATTTAGGATGCAGCTCGCATCGGCGTTTGACTTGTGAAACCATATGGGATCGATGGAAAGGGTTTGCACGGGTGGAGGGTCAAAGATTGAACGAGATCACGCCCTGGAGTTTTGGGTGGCTGTTTGACATTCGCGAGATTTTGGATGGAGCATCTCTCGCCATCGATTGCTTGGGCTTGGGTGTGGTTTTCTTGTTTAGTTTGGGGGACAAATGGTCTTTGTCTCCGTCAAGGCAAAAGTCGTTACACGTTCGAGATTCAGATATCAAATGGATTATCCATGGCTGCCTGTGAACCTGAAGATGGGGAACCAAAAGAGAAGAAGAAGAGAAGAAGAATTGAACGAACATATCCATATTATATTTAAAGCGGCCTTTTCCTGTTCGATTCCATGTCCTACATAATTTCCCCCTTTTCCCGGAGTTCTTCTTCTCCTTGAACTCGAAGATAGGAATGATAGTGAACGAGAGGAAGTAGGGCACCAAGCAATGAAGTGGAAAGGTCTACTGACTGAGGTACATATGAGGAACTGACAAACGTGTCTCCAGCCGTATTCTCTCCTCTCTTCTTCCTCTTCCTTCTCCTCGTGTACTCCATAATCCACACACGCCCACCCACGACGCCCCTCCTCCGTTCTATCCGCAATGCATGCGCATGGAAAGGCCGATCCAACAGTTCATCCCTTGCCGGGACACGTGTCTCACTCCTTTTTCTCCCAGGAAATTTTGTTTTTGACTTACCCGTACGTTGAATTCCACGTTGGGGTAGGGGTTGGTGTTGGGGCAGACAGCCACTGCTGCTGCTAAGTGGATGGGATCGCCACCGACGATCCAAACACGGCGCGTTTCAAAGAACACAGCACCACAAACGGAACGGGGGAAATTAAGTAGGAACATGTTTGCCCACAGCGGCACACACGTTCTTTTGTAGTAGTAATTAATATTACTCCAGAGTTTGGCAGGTGGTTTACGTAGTTACGTCCCTACATACATACATACATATCCACAACTGATGTGCGCCTGTGTGCATGTATGGACTCGGTATATGAGCTTGCGTGTGGGTGCGTGCAGTAGCTAGCCTCTGGGGGAGAAGTGGACATGAAATGAAACGAAATTGTAGTCGCAGTAGTTGAGAAGCGAACGACGATCCAACGGTCCGTTAACAATGTCTGTTTCATGAATCGAATATTAATATCGAGGAGGGAAGGGAAGGGAGGAATGATTTCCCCCTCCCGGAACGGGCGAGGAACTAAACTGATTTCCAGGTCCTTCAAGCAGACAGATGATCGTCGCTGTCAACAATGTAATCAAATCAAACAGAAACATGCGAACATGTGGTGTGCGGCGGAGGAAGAGGTGTAAATTGCAATACAACTACAATACAATACATTTATTGATTTATTTGCATCTTTGCATGGTTTGCTATCGGACACAATGGGCCACGTTTGGCATGGGAGGGTGGAGAGTTCGGATGCACAACTCTGTATGTAATGTAATGTACATACTAGAGAGCACATACATAGGATATATACCGAGTATATAACTACCTAGTGTATGTATATAATAGAGCTAAAAACACTCTGCCAGCCACAAACAAACAAACAAACAAACAAACAAACCATCCACCCATCCATCCATCCGTCAACAAGAACTATCGATACCTACAATACATACAGTCCACAGATACAGCATGGCCCTGCCCGCAATGCCGCCATCGTAGCAGTAGTAGTCGCAGTAATAAGCCGTGCCTCCCACCTCCAGTTACTTCGCCTTCCGACCCCAACAGGGGGCCCCCGTATGCTCTTCCTGGTCTGTTCCCCTCCCGTCCTTCTCCTCCTCCATCTACTGCTGGATACTCTGTGTACACTCTCTCTCCCTGGCGGGGGCCATTCGGTGGCACGGCACGGCAGTTTCCTAGTTTTCGTACTGCCTTCTTTCCTTGTCAGCTAGCCATCTCGCTAACAAGAAAGGAAGCAAGAAAGCAAGGCACACAGCCCGCCCCCTCTTCTCCCCACCTACCCTGCCTTGCCGAGCATGTACTTGGATACTCGCTCATTCACTCGATACCTATGTATGTATGCACATACCTGCCTGATCCTTGTCAAGATACGCACCCGCCGTGATGCCACCCGTTACGAGTACGAGGTAGCGTAGTCCTATACCCCATATGGAATGGGGGGTTGTTTCTATCAGTGTCATCACACATGATGGAGAATTATACCCCCAAAGGTACTCGTCTTGGATGGTCGGACACAAATACATAACAGCTAGCGGAGCGGTTGGTGTCGCCCTCTCCGGCGTGTGCCTGCCTACCCTCCCATCCCTCTCTGTACCTCCGTAAACCCGAATCCTTCTATTCTAGGGACGTGCACGCCTGTCTGCCTGCCTTCTTGCCTGGCTCTTTTGCGGGCTTGATCTATTGTATACCAACGAAGTGAACAAGATTGACTTTCAAGATTGCCTTACGTGGTGGCTCAGACCTGGCTGTCATGCAAGGTAGTTGGATTTGCTAGTCGACTACCATCCATCCGTATGTATTCGGTACTCCGGCCATATAGTCGTGGATATTGTTGGTCAAAAGTCCGTCTGGTAGTTACAGAACACAAGGAAATCTACAGTATGCATCGGAAGTCTTAACGATGTACGCTTTCTTTTCAGCCTGATGTCAAACTACTAGTAGAGGGGAAACAATAGGAGTTTTCCAATCCTGCGCTCATCTTTCATCCTCGACATGCTATCCGTTCAAGTCAATACCCTCCAAAAACTGACAAAGCAAACCACTTTTTCAAAACACAGGGCACCATGAGATCAAGTCCAAGATGCGATAAGGTTAACATGTGAATGTATATGTATATCCCCCACTGCTGGCGCTCTTGCGCGTCACATAGTTCTCCCTTTCATGTCCACAAAACGCCATTCCCGCTCATTCCATGACGACATAGTAAAAAAACTCCCTCGGATAGATGGCATAGATACAAAGATGGTCGAGGGTTAGTTGATGATTAGAAATTATGTTTTGGGCAACATGCTTCTGTCGTTTCATTGCGTGTACCCTGGAGGCTTCCCAGGTCCCCCAGGGCCACCTGGACCACCTGGACCCTTGACGCCCGGTCCACCTGGACCACCTGGTCCTCCAGGGCCTTTGGCGCCAGGACCCCCGGGACCGCCAGGACCACCTGGACCACCCGGACCACCCGGACCCTTCCCTCCGGGACCGCCAGGGCCGCCTTTACCCGGGGGAGGTCCTTTCATGGCGAGGCTGCTTCTCTTCCTCAGCTTCTCACCGAAGAGCCACAGGATGATCGGAACGGGAATGCCAATACCGATGGCGGCCAGGGCAAGCACTGTGTTACCCCAACCAAAATGTAGAGCTCTGTACATCGCAGGCGCAAACAGAGGGAAGCCGAAACCGGCAAGCGATCGTAGAATCGTGACAGCAGCCACAGCGGAGGCGGCAAACCTTGCGTAGGTGTCGACGAGATAGGTAGTGACACATTGGAAGGCGGCAATGGTACCGATACCGAAGAGGAACGAGCCGATGTTGGGCACGATCCAGTGCGTCTTGGCCTGCGCGGACCATCCGTAGACCAAGAGACCAACAGGCACAAAGAAGGAGAAGGGAATGACAACCGGCATGCGATATTCCGGTTTGCCCTGTCCCCGCGGATCTCTTGCCTTGAGCTTGCGGTAGATTTTGTCACCAGACTTGCCACAGAGCGGTGCCCCGATGAAGAAACCCAAGCCTAGGGAGATGTAGTTCAGGCCAGCAATACCCACGCTTTCGTGATAGATATTGCCGTACAGGTCCGGAAAGGTGGACAGCGCGAGGTAGAGGATACCGTAGGAGAAGGCCATGTACAAGGCCAGCACCTGCACAATCGGTTGGCTGAAGAGCATGCCGAATGATCGAGCCATTGTCTTGACGATCTTCTTCCAGACTGGCTGGTCAACCTCACCCTCGCCCTCGGCGTGCCACCGTTTGTCGCCGGTCTGTTGGCGGATCATCTTGGCCTTCTTGTGCAGAATATAAGGGGTGTAGGTTTCACTGAGTTTCCAGAAGCCGGCGACGAGAATGAAGCAGTTGACAATCGAAGTGGCGTAGAACATCCACCTCCAGTCTGACTTTTCGGCCACCCAGGCACCCACAATAGGACCAACAGCAGGGCCCAGGAGAGGTCCCATAGCATAGATACCCATAGCCTTGCCACGCTCTTCGGGTTTGAACAAGTCACCCAGGACACCACCACCAATAGCAAGGGGTGCAGATCCACCGAGACCGGACAGGAATCTGAAGGCCATCAGCTGCTCCTTGGTTTGAGCAAAGCCACAGGCGGTGTTAAACGCTAGGAAGACGACGTTGGAGGATTGAAGGATAATGACACGCCCGTACAGCTCAGAGAGAGGACCAAGGATCATAGGACCGACCGCGTATGCTAAGACGAAAATGGACAGGACGATCTGGGATTCGATCTGGTTGGTGATGTGAAATTTTTGAGAAATCTGGCCGAGAGCAGGGGCAACCATGGACGAAGCTAGGGGTGAGAGGAATGTAAAGGATGCGGTAAGTAATGTGATGGCCCACTTCTTGTTCGAAGGCCAGTTCTTCGGGTTCAGCTGGTCATCAGGTCCATTGAATTTGACCTGCAGTAACAGATATTAGCGGTCGTCTTCTTTGCTGTTGAAAGCACGTCACAACTTACCAAGAAGGGGTCGTCGTTTGGAGGACCTCCCGGACCTCCCGGACCACCAGGGCCACGGGGTCCAGGACCACCGCCCGGTTTCTCCTTGGGCAAGAAAGGAGTGGGAGTAGCAGGGCCATTCTGGGCCTCGAGATCGAACTTGGCAGGGTCTTTCCGGTCCATCATGCCATGGCCATGGCCATGATCTTCATCGCACGTGCACCATGACTCGTGGGAGTGTTTACTGTGTTCTCGGTCCATCGGGGGGGTCATTTGCTGGGAGAGAGGTCTCTTTTCGTCTCGCGGATAGGAGTTGTGAAGTGTGTTCATAGCCAGGGTCTCCTCCGATTGCGTCGGGTATCGTGGAACCGATTGGTCATAAAGCGAATCGTTGTTATTCAGGTAGCCCTCAGCCAGAAGCCTTTGGTTTGCTACAAAGTCCTGGTCGCGGTTAAGGTAGTGTTCGTCACTCACGACCCTCGAGTCTCGGGTCCGGAAGGATGGGGCATAGGAAGCCAGGGAATCTCTGTTCTGGGCGGATCGCATTGATCCTTGATCATCATAGCGGCCGACATGGTAGTCTGGGCCGTCGTCGTAAAGGACAGCGAAGGTAATCTCACTGCTGGCCCGGTCGGAGCCAGGTGAGGGCTCAGCAGGTAGAGAGCGGTGCCTGTAGGGCTCGGTAGAGTTTAAACGTCGTAGCGAAGGAAATCGGGAGTTCAACGCAGGTTGTGATAGGGGTCGTAGGAGCTGGTTGTTGGTGCCATCTTCCTCCATGTCGTCGGCTGCCACAGCGGTGGTCGGATTTCTGGTGTCCTCAGGGGTGGGTGGGAAAGCGACAGTGTGTCGAGGGAGTGATTGTTGCTGCTGTTGTTGATGATGGGCTAGAGCTGAGCCGGGACGCGATTGGGAGTCGTAGCCACTGGCGACTTCCCAGCTGTCCCACGAATTTGGAGCCGCCAGTGTGAAAGGGGGTTGGATATGTAGAACTTTGAACGAGCGTGGTGGTTTGTCCAGGAATTATTACAACCAAAACAACAAACAAATTCGAAGCGGTGGACAAAGCGTCGAGGACAGGGAGGTAAGGGGGAGAGAGAGAGAGTGAGGAGGACGAGGGAGTAAAGTGAGTGAGCTGGCTGAGCGAGCGAGTGTACGAGTGGTGAAAAGCGAGTGGTGAAGTAGGAGGTCGGTAAGAAGGGGAGGAAACCACGGACAAGAATAAGATCCGCTGGGCCTGTCGGGCGAGATGACGAGGGATGGGAGGAATAAAGGGTTCTAGAGAATTTTGGGGTGGAGGGTGGGAGAGGGGGGGGAGAAGAGACTGAAAAAACGAGGGTGAACTTGGGTGTTGCGAAACTGAGCAGGAGAGACAAGAAAAGCGGGCTGCGGTGCAGGACGGCCTGGTAAGTAGGCCTGTGGGCTGTGGACTAGCTAGGGGACACTAGGCGCAAAGAGGGCTCTTTCTAGGCTGGTGCTATACGGCGGCGGGCCTTGGATGACCTGGGTTCCTGGGATAGTCGCGACTTAGTACCTTCCGGGAATAGAGGGCTGGATGGGGACGGCACCTGGGAATTGGCGAGGGATTTGGGATGCCCAGCCAGCAACATCCAGACAGCCTTGGTTCCCCTTCAGGCCCCAACCCCAGCCTGAAAAGAGGCTTTGTCGCTCCAATAATACCACCGCCTTGCCGCCCTTATTCCACTTGTCAGTCGGCGCTCGGATCATGGACCTTGCGAGACAAGAGGGCCATCGGAGGGAGCTGTGCTGTGGGATGTGTGCCGTTCTCGTATGTTGTCGTTGATGATGATGATGATGATGATGATTCTCCGGACGGATACTGTAAGACTTGCCTTCGCTGGTCGGACGATGGCTGCGGCCGTTGATCTGGCTGGGAAGGGAAACAGGAATACGGACGGAGACGACCCAGCGAGATTGCGAGATTGGAAGCCTATCTGGACTGCGATTGGCTTTCTCTCTGCCCGTAGCTATCTGGGGGAGGTGGCAAGCTGCAAGTAGTGATGATTGACCCTGAAAATGACTCCGAATAATCAATAATCATACCGGCGTCACCAGCGTGAGTTTTGCGCCATCACACAAGGCAAACATCATTGTGTTTCTGTTACAGATGGCACGGCATGTGGTCCTGGCCTACGAATACCACCTACGAATATGGAGCAGTATGCAAGCCTGCCGCAATAACAAGTACCAGGGTCTCTATGCTGGGGACATGACCAAAAGTTTGGAGTATGCTGCTTGGGGTGAGTTGCATGGATTCCCTTTTCTATGACGGCTACATATTATGCGAAACGAGTACGAGTTCATTGCAGCCGTAACTCTAATGCCTTTTGCTACCCGTAGTGTGTTTTACCGTACGCATACCAAAATATGAGAGGCCACGGCAATGGCACAACGGGGGCTTGATCGCACGCCATCATCCACGTCCTCTGGCTAGCAGATGATAAAGGGGGAGGAAGGAGCCGCCTAGACGCGCGAAAGTGAATTGAAATCTTACTGCAGAAACGACAGGCAAAAATTATACCAGTATGGAGATTCGATCATTGTCAAGTCGTCCCGAAGAAGCCCAGTTCGATTCAAAACCAAGCCCGTGAAAAGCAGCTGAAAGGGAATGGGCAGAGGCGGGGAGGGGCAGGCAGCCCAAGCGACAGCCTTGGTGGAGATTGTTAGGCGCATCTGTTGGAGGAGCAGGGGGGATCAAAGCGCCAAGGGCTAGCAGGCAACAGGCCCCGCGCGCACAGCTCGGGCACCGCTCGAGGCCTCAGGCCTCCAGATGTTGCGATTTGCAGGCCCTGCTGGCCCCCAGCCGACCATGGCCGGGGTGAACTATGCGCCAGTGTACTAATGCTCCAGTGGCCGTGGACTGTTGCTAAAATTGAGTCCGTAGCGCATCGTGCTAGTGGATCCCGTGGCCTGGTGGCCTGCGCCGCAATCTTGGTCCCTGGCCCTGCCCCCTGGTCAATGGTCCTGGATCTGCCCCTGTTTTGGCCTCCTCTCCACGGACTTTGCTGTCCGACACACCGAGCTAGTGGCGCCTCATTGTGCCTTGGTGTCTGTCGCCTGCCTGTTCCTGGCATGGTGGTGGGCTGATCCAGCCAATCCGCTGGCCCCTTTAATCTATTGCCCGAAGAGGCCGAAGTTGTATTGGTTGTCAACCACGTCGAGGAACGTCATATATTTTCAATCCACATCTGTCCAAACACCACCGTAGCAGAAGGTGTGACGGTTTCCTCATCATCGTTGATCCAGGATGAGGAGAAATACGAGTCCGTAGACCGTTAACCGTTCTTTCTCTCGCGCCACCGAGTTCTTCGTGCCTCCTCCAGCGATATCAAGGGGATCTGAGGGAGCGAGCACACCTACCTGCGTTATTGACCGTGTTCAGCAGCGGACCCAGATTCGCCACTAATCTCCTCCTTCGCTTGTAATCTCTCAGCGACACCTTGGCGTTCCTCCTACGCAACCACGCACCCACCGATTCCAGCTCCTTTGGGACTGCGAGGTGCTATTGTGGCCGTGGTTGGGTAGCCATTTCCACCTCTGGGGTGAAAACATCTCATAGCTGAAGCTTCGAGAACGAATTACCACCACGCCGTTTCGTCTTGTCCCCGTTCTGGATCAGATTATTCCCATGTGGCTCACACTCACTTCGGTTTGTGCTCACCAGATGGTATATTGGTGTCAGATCCTACGCTCTAAGTCCCTCGCCCCGAAACGGGCCTCGTAGTTCAACCCACCCAACGTGCCTGCTGGACATCCACCCTACTGTACGAGTAGCAGCCCTACCAGTACCGAGGACTCCCTCGCTTCTTTCTCACGACATTATTATCGCCCGTTATCGGTCTATCAGAACCATTGCTTCGCACGGCAGATGGCCTCGAGCGATGGAAAATCCCCGTTCTCTCCACTTGTACAAGACCAATGCAAAGATTCGTCAGCATGTGCTGGTGACTTCACCCAAAATGGATTGGGTCTCCTCGGTGTATTCTTCATTGGGTTGATTTGTGCCTTCGCGTGCCTCGTGTTCCGGGACCGTGTCTCGTGCTACCGTGAAGGTAGAGCGAACCATTCCATGTCCATGACCAGCTCAAGCTTCGGTCATGTCCGAGTTTCAATGCACCCATTATCATATCGCCGAAAACTTGGCCAGAAGGCCCAACAAGTAGCGTGTCCCTTCAGTGTTCGGAGCACTCGCATGTCGGGGCAGAGCGCCATGGATGTCCTGGTGGCTTTCAAGGGTGACACCACCTGGCGAAAAAAAACGTGGGAACCCCTTTTGTCGGCCCGGGTGGGCGGAGAAGTCGACCTCGGTGGATGTTTAAGGCTGGAACAGGAGTGTGCGGCTCATGAGCCCCTTACTCGTAGATTTCCTTATAATAGAAGCTCCCCGCAATGCCAGGTAAGCAGTGGTCGTCACAACTGCTCACGGTCTTCTTTCACCGATGACGGGACCGCTGAACTTGACATAGACATGTAATGACCAGGCGAACTGTTGTCGGCGCGACGGTGTCGGGGACCGTCCACCACAACGGCCGTCTGAAGGCATCGACCGTTGACCAAGACAAGGAATGCCGGGGCTCTTGGTGAAGGGATGCCGCGTAGAAGCGCAGGCGGCTGAATCCGTCTAGTCCGATCATGCCTATAAAAAGACATAGACCAGACTCAAACAGGATGCCGGAGCAGATCGGGTACACCCCCGGTGTTACTCAGGCATCCTTGGATAAAGATGTACTCGCAGCCGTCCAAGTCTCTGTCTTCTGCACCAGTTCTTGGGCCACCGTCGGAGTCTGGTGAGCCGCATAAACCGTTGATTTGACAGGACGGTCCCGATAGGCAAGCTTCTGCCGTTAATGCCTAAGGCCCCTGAAATCCCCGGACAGATGAGCCAGCTCTGCAAGCTAGGGTATGCATATAAGCCCGAGCGTGCCATCTGGTGATTCGTAGGGCATGGACAGCGCGAAACCCTTCAGCCGTCTTCTGGGTTGTTTCATTCGTCATTGCTTGCAGGGTAGGTAGATCGCGTATTCTTGGAATCTGGAAGTCCAACCTCTCACTTTTGAGCTTGGCACTCCGAGCCCTAGCAAGGCTTGTCCGCTGCCAGACCGGGATGAACCTGACCACTTTTGGCTTCTGGCTTCCTCCAACCTGTGCTGCGAGCAATCGAGATCGAGGACCCGGCAAAGTATCTTGCGCGGAACACGGGTACGTTAGGGAAACACCATGACTTGAAAACTGTACGAGATATTAGAGACTGACATTTTCACGTACCCTCACAATCGCTGTGGCTGTTGGTAATGCTATCTTGTGCCGACTTGCCGTTATCAGAGGGGTTCTCAGCTCTAGCAGTCCGCAAGACTGTTTCTCTCGAGAGTTCATGTGACCTCTTGGTCGATGTCCCACTGTTCACATCGACACGAGCATTACTATCCAAGGGTGGTTAAGGGCGCAGCGAGTCCGCATTGAAGATCAATCTGTGCTTTTTTGGCTTTGTTGAGTGCAACCATTGACTCGATCATACTTCCCCAGCCTTCCATCAAAGTTTGACTTTTGATGCGGAATTTCAAGACCTCGACGCAGAGGGAGAATAAAAGAATTGAAATCAATAATGACTTCGTAGGTATGCAGACATTGGGCTGTTGACAAAGCTCTGCAATGTTCGGAACCCCTCCAACTTGAGTACCCATAGTGGATGAGGTCCACCATTGACGAAGGAAGTGTTTCCACGATCACATGGCGATTCGCGAATCTCCAAGGCTTGGAGATATTCGCAGTGGCTTCTGGCTGGCGTAGGACCACATTGTAAGTCGTTTTTCCATAGCTGGATGGCTTGAGGAGCTCTTCCCACGGTTCCGCCACCAAAACCCCCCGCAATCCCCCAGGATGTCTTATCGCAGCTCCCAGCCACCTGATATTTGAGTCTCCGCTCAAACGCAGAAAGCTTCGTCATGCTTGAGTTTTTTTCAGCCATTTACTTTATCAATTCGCAATAAGCGCAAAACCCGGTCTCAGGAGATGTGCATTAGGCTCCTGCTATTGAAGCAAAAGATGCCTGCTCGCATGACCTGGGTTTGAGACATGGAGTGAACGCTCGGTATTTTGAGTTGGCTCGACTCTTCTTCGACATGCTCTCCATGCATCTCGCAAGCCTCATGCCAGCCCAGGCCCGCTAAGAAAACAGGTTGAGCCTCGGCGGCATAAGAGGGCTATAGAACTTTCTGTGGCGGCGTTCAATCCGCAAGCCCACATGTCTCCAGTACTCGTCTTGTCAGCGATACGCGGCGACGCCAGCATGAGATCGAGCCTCATCGTCAGGGATGGGACGGTCCTGTGGAAGAACGCCACAGGTGCTGTATGAATATGGGGCACCTCCATTCAGCATGACCGATGAAGTCATCCTGAACATGACATCGCTTTCGAAGTCACAACGAGAAAGGCTGGAATGAGTACCGCCAGCATGATCTTGGGCAGTGACGCGGCCTTATTGTGGCTTTAGAATATTTCCGTGTCCATCCGTATCCCTGTTTGCTCTCCAGACGCCCTCTTCGACTTCCCCAGTGTCCGCGAACCACTCTCTCTTCCAGATCTCTGCTCGAGCCTTGACTCTCTCCAGGATCTCTTCGGCGCCTTTCCAGCCACTTGCACGGTGCCCGCTGCTGACGCTAACGGCAATGCTCTCTTCTTCGACTTTGACTTCGCCTAGTCGGTGAACTATGACCACCTTCTCAAGCCCATGCTTCTTCTGCACGTCCTCGGCAATGCCACGGAGAGACTTGAGAGCGAGGGAAGGGTAGGCAGAATATGAGAGCCGGGAAACCGGGCGATGGTCGAAGTTGTTGCGGGTGGTGCCCAGAAACAGAACGTTGGCGCCCGCCGTTGGGGAGCGGGTGAATCGCAAGTACGCTGGAATATCGAGAGGGTCATACACAAGAGAGATGTAGATGGTTTCGGAGGACAGGGTCTGAGGAAAGTTAGAGGGGTCGAGAACAGAGGTTGCTGTATTCTTAGGAGATGCAGCTGCATTGGTCCCGTGAGTCAGGAGCGCTGAGGTGTCTGTAGGCATGGCTCGTCCGCTGTGCTCTCACGGCGGGCGTCGAGTTTCAATGGTGCTGGTCTTTACAGTGCACTGATTGTAGAGAGCATGCCGATACGTTAAGTGTTAATTTCTCAAACACCTAAAGGGACCTTGCGGTGAAAGGTTCTGGCTGATAACCGGAGCGTTGGGAACGATGTCTTTGGCAATGCAGATTTTCCTGAGTGCGGCGATACGTCATATTTGTCAACTGCTCAACTCTTCAACTTCGATTCAATACTTTCTTGACCTATCCTGCACATCTGCACCATATACGTGAGAAGAATTTTCCATAATGAGGCTCCCACGAGGATACGCCCCGTCAATGTCTCCCTCACTCTTCAATTGCGTTTTCCTGCCAGCGGATAGCTGACGTTAGACGACCCAACCACGTCTTCCCGTCAATGTGAGGCGACTGGTGATGTCTTCTCATTCGCTACCGAAGAATGCAACATCACAGCCTACCAAAACTTTCCCCACACAAGGGCAAGCAAAATCCAAAGCAAAAAAATCCGAATCTTGCAAAAAACCATGGCTCCAGCCCTCTTCAATGGAGCCACGTCTATGCCTCACCGCCTGCCATTTACTCCCTTCCTTTCCACTCATACGGATCAGATTGAGGTGTTTGTGTGTCTAAACCTCCCCTGCATATGGATTGACCTGATTAAGAAATATCTTTGCCTAATGAAGACCTTCATGAACCAGCAACTAGAATGAAGTGGCTGGTAAGCAATGGGATTGGACGCTGGGTATATGCAAGATGGGAGACGGCGTGATCTTGATTCTTTGTCCTGTCAGGGTGAGACAGTGGACCTGGGGACTGACCAACATTTCTCCGTACACCTGTAGATTTGCTTCCAATGGGTTTTGTTCGGTTGCTCTTTTGTAGTTGTAATACATCTCGTTTCTTCCCATCATGAGGACTGATGTACAGTATATCAAAAGTGGAGTTTTGTGTACACCATCACCTTCTCTCGTCGCCATGCTGTACAGAAAGTAACACTGAATGGAACCAACTCTCGCTTCATTACTTCCCATTGGAAGTAGTCTCTTTCTTGAGAAGATACGGGAGCGGTGTCGTGTCAATCGGCTTCCCCTCCCTCCTCCAATCCTTAATGTGCTGGAGGACAATGGCGGCCGCACTCTCCGGCGTATCTTGCCTCCCAATGCACTCGACAAAGTCACCTTCAGGGTCCATCACATAAAAGTATATGCTGTGGTCCACCAAGTAATCTTCCTCACCTGGCTTCAACTCTGGGGGAGTGGAGAAGTATACCCGATATTGTTTACACACATCTTTTGTCTGCTGCCACGTGCCAACCAATCCGAGGATGGCGGGATGGAACTCGGCCAAGTACGCTTTGAGGACATCGGGAGTATCGCGATTAGGATCGCAGGAGATGAAGATCGGCCGCACTGTGTTAGGAGCTTTCTCTTGGATTATGTCGAGGGCTTCACCCATCTTGTCAAGCTCGTCCGGGCAGATGTCGGGACAGTGACTGAAGCCAAAATAGATCTGCCAGCAGAGTGGAAAAGTCAGTTTATAGAATAGCTCCATATCTTGACCCAGAAGGCGGACATACGAGTGAATATTTGCCCAATAGGTCCTTGTCCGTGAAATCATTGCCGTCGACATCCTTCAATGCAAACGGACCGCCAACCTTGGGTTTCCCGTATCCTTTGCTCATCTCCACGATCCTTTTGCGCTCCAACCGCTTCTTCTCGAACTGGAAATAAAATATCATGCCTGCGCCGACGCCGACGAAAAGCGCCGCTGATCTGAATGAGAATGGCTGCACATGCAGAGCGTCAGAGGAAGGCACGTACCCCGGATAAAAATACGTACGCCTGTGCGATGGGACAGTCTGTCTCCTGCTCTTAACTTCGGGCTCGAGGACGAGAACACCCGCTTGTGTAGGCATTGGGATGACAGGGCATGTCGTCGTGGCTGCGGCGACTGAAAGGTTGATGATTTGACTCCCACTTGCGTCGTCTGCCAGTGTATCGATCTGCAGCTGCGGGATGCCGAAGGAGCAAACAGCCGTTGCGCAGCTCGTTGAAAGGGAGGCATACTTGTAGGCATTTGATCAAGAGCTTGACAGCGAGATACAAGAAATGTATCTAGTATTGTTGATTAGTGGACTGATTCAAGCAACTTTCCATAGCGGCCCGGAGCTTAATGCAGAACACGAAACGGTGGACTGGAAGGACCCGAAGCGAACTCCGCACAAACTCTTCTCCTTTTGCTGCTAATGCTCCGTTTCCAACGACTGTCACAAGCCCCAGGGTATAGAATGATAGAATCGTGGTGCTCGGCAGAGTCAAGCATCAGTCCAGGCTGAATTTAAGGTTAGTACAGTACCCTGGGCTACTCCATCACAATCCGACCTCTCTTCTCGCACTCTCCCGCTCTTAGCCTATGCCTACTTAGCCTGCCTCAATGGCACTCGACTGCACATGAATCAAGGGCCATTCGCAATCCTGAATCACCCTCGAGGAAATGTGCGTTTCTTTCATCCGAGGGCAAGATTGAAGCCAAAGTCAAGAGTGGTCAAGTATCAGATTGAAAGAACTAGGCTTTTCGCCTCAGCCTTGGTCGATTTACAGATACATCGAACGATGGACGAAGACTCATTAGACTCATCTCCTAGCATACACAAATTCCACCCAAGGATTCATTTCACAGATGTCCCGCGCTCTCTTCCAGCATACCACCATTCTAACTCTGTACGGCTGGTTTTCCTTCTCGAACCACGACATCTGGCACGATGGGGTGCTTGTTCTCATCCTGTCCCGCTACAGGTGGCGGCACATACTCCTTTCTCCCGGCCTTATGGACACGACCGTTAATCATAATGACATTCAACTTGGAGTGATCCTGCAGGATGTCAATGTTGTCAATCGGGTTACCGTCGACAAGGATGCAATCCGCGTAATTGCCTTCCTTAATCTGACCCATCTCATCGGCTCGCAGCATGAGTTTGGCCACGCCATAGGTGGCGGCGATGATGGACTCATGAGCAGTAAATCCCATCAGATTCTTGAAGTGGGCCAAGTCACGAGCATAGGTTCCGTGGGGAGTCCATGCAAATCCATAGTCACTATTGGGAGAGAGCTTAGTCGTCGCTCTGAGAGGATGACGGATTGAGAGAACCACAGGATCAAACTTACCCGCCAGGAAGAACTACAATGCCTCTCCGATGCATCTCACGGAGGCCTCTCAATGCGATCTCGAGTTCCTGATTGTGGATTCCGAGTTAGTATATGTCACTCAGGCTGCTGGCAAACCTGGAACATGGTTTGTCTGCTACAGAGACTTGCCTTTTTATAACCAACTTGCTCGGCCTTCTCGTGGGAATAACCGAAGGCTGCAGCGTCGTTCAAAGTTGCAACAAGCCAGTTAATCGCGGGAGCAACGACATGCTTGGTCCTCGCGGCTTCCAGCATGTCCATACCTTCCTCGTCGATATAAGATCCATGATAAATAACGTCCACTCCATGCTAGAACAACATTGTGAGCTAACGTCTCAATTGTTCCAGTAGGTGGAAGATGGACAGCGCAACTCACTTTGACACACATCTTTACAGAATCCCTCGCTCTCGCGTGGGCACAGATGGATTTCCCTGCCTTGTGTGCTTCTTCAACGCAGGCAGCTGTCTCTTCGTCGGTGAAATAGCAGTCTTGTGCTGATCGTACTTCGCAGATCTATACTTCAGGTCAGCAACAGCGAGCACACAGCAGCTCGAATCAAGGAAGCTCACCTCTTCTCCAGACATCACTAATTTGATGTTGTCAACCCCGATGCCAACGTGATGCTTGATGACTTCTCTCATCTCTTCAGGCGTGTCTGCAAATGCAGTGATTGCTGCTTCGAGGTCACCGTCTCGCTTGGCCATTTCCTTTCCATTGGCGAGGGACCGTGGTCCTGGAATGTCGCCTGCATAGATGGCATCCCGAATAACAACGTCGAGACGCTCCTTGGCAGATGCAGCACCGTAACACCTTGTCATAAGAAGGTCAGCGATCGTTCCCACCATGACGAAAGGGCATGGGCAAGGGAACTCCTACATTGTGTAGCCGGAATCCAGGTAGCATTTCGCACTGCGAGCGGTCAAAAGAGTGTGCTCTTCAACATTCAAGCCACCCAAGGAAGCGAGATCGCCACCATTCCACGAGAAGTGGGTGTGCGAGTCACCTAAGCCCGGCATCAATGTTCTTCCTTTTCCCTGGAACACTCGAGTATCTGGATTTTGCAGCAACTGATCCTTATTTGCGACATTGCCGACTGCCTTGATGCGTTCCCCTGGTTTAGCAAAGTCAGCCACACGAATATAAAGAGCATCGAACAAGATCGTGGCCTAAGGCAAAAGGGCGCCTTGCCAACGACGAATCGTCTTTCTCACCTTGTATGAACACGTCACCACGATAGGGTGGCTTTCCCGTACAATCCAAGATGTTGACATCCAGGAAAAGGACCTTGGAGTCTGGGTCTGTGCCCAGGATCTCGTATTTGGGGGCTTTTACACTCTCATTGAATTTGATGGCATCGATATAAGCGACATTGCGTGGAGGGCCTTCATAAGGCTCAGGTTGGTAAGCTGGAGACGTCCACGGAACGTCTTCCTCTATCCTTGCGGGAGCCATGTCGGCAGTTCAAAGAAGACGATTTAAAGAGGTATCCAACGAAGTTATCTGACTTCGAGTTTCTTCACGACAGCTTCACAGACGACTCTTGCCAGGGATGGCTTTTCTGAGATGTCGATATTGATCGAGAAATTGTCGGGCGAAAGGGGAGGAAGAACCTATCTGGTCATCTCCCACCTGCATGGTGGCATCTCGCCGGCTCTTCGTATTCACAGGTATCGAGGACCCTGCCCCAACGGGAGACGCAACCTGCGTCTCCTCTCATCAGGTTATGCGGCCAGGTTGTCAGACTCGACAACCCGTCGGTGCCGGATCCTTCTTCATGCACCCCGCAAGTTAGTCCCCGCGTTATCCACCCATCAGCTTCCACGTCAAGTGAACACCTCAGTGCTGCAGAAAGAGGGGTTAGAGTCCTGGAACCGTGATTCGACATCTTCAGCTGGGACCCTTGTACGAGCAAGGATCCGATATTGCAACCATGCTACGACAGAAGATCATCTGTGGCGAGTAGGGTGGCCCGGGAATGGACGGGGATTGACGGCCTCTCTCCGACACGGTGTTACTTGAAGGTACCTTGGACTTGGTCTCACGCTCGTCGCTCGATAGGGAACGGGACACGGAGCACATGTTATCGTGAGGGGTAAAAGCGAAAATCGACAAACCACTATCGAGTTAATACCTTGTTACGTCTTGGTCTCTTTTCAGACAAACCAAAATGGTGTGGATGCAAGCGGTGCGAAGGGGTCGATTTGGACCGACAGGCCCTCTCAAGCAGGACGACGGCGAGGTTGCCCATGTCGAAGTCGTGGGTCCTACCCAGAACGACGACACCACAGAGACTCCCTCGAGCACTACCGACAGACTATTCCCCTTCGCCCCAGAGTCATTATCAGACGATGCACTGCCCTTTATCCCCAAGGAACTGATCCTCGAACGCGGCAGCAAGCGCTCTAAAACAGAAGATCAACAAGGGGTCAGTAACGGAGAGGAGCAGAAGCAGCAGCAAGACCACGGAGCGGAACACTGGATTGTCATTGACAACATCGTCTTCGATTGCAGCGAATTCATCTCCGAACACCCCGGCGGTCAGCAGGTCATTCTCAGCTTCGTAGGGGAGGACTGTTCCTGGCAATTCTGGCGGTTGCATGGCAAGAACATCATGGAGCAATATGGGCGTGCCCTCCGGATCGGGAGGACCGAAGGGGTCAAGAACAGATTTGTCGAACCTGTCAGATACGTCGGCTTGACGAAGCTCGGTGACGACGGGTGGTAGTGGTTAGTTTAGAGGCAGAGAATCAAGATTCAATATCCAGAGAATAGAGAGACTAGCAATTGCATATATATATATATCTGTACTCTGTATAATATCCGGCCGATAGCCAGAGTACTTCCAACTCCTCACCTCTTCGTGAGAATGCCTTTCGATGTGATCCTTTCGGTCTACCGTTCTTGCAGCATTTCGTTCTCCGGTATGCCACCGCTCTCCCCTACGATCATTTTCGAGCCCCTTCCCTCATTTCTTCTCCTTGTACATTGGAAAAGTCGGAATGTTGAAAGGCGTAACACCTCCCGCGTAGAGTCCAGCCACGCCAGCCCAGTCTGCAAAGCCAGACCAGTCAGTATCAAAAGGAGAAAAAAAGTACACAGAGAGGTGGTCTGGAAAAGAGAAAGATACGTACAGGTCAAGAACGCCACCACGAAGCCGACCGAATTTCCAGCGATGAGCAGCGATGAGCGGTTGAACATGTACCCGCAAGCCAGCAGTAGGAGGTCGAGGTCTAGAAAGGCAAGATCGATAAATAGGACCCATGACGCGCGGCAAGCGGCGCCACTGTAGATTGGTTAGCCCCGAAAAAAGGACATGTCATAGGGTAGAAAGGTGTGTTCCGAGTTTCATTTCGATACCGAGAAGCATGCTTTCCCGAGAGAACTTACGTGTATATCACGGTGAGGATGAACCAAGCCCACAGAAACATGGCGACAGCCTGATTGAACTCTGGGCTGACCTGGCCGGTTGTCTTGTCGGTGTATGCGGCGATGATTCCACTCCCGGGGAGATAGATCATCGCATACGAGATATTGAACGCGCCATAGGACGAAAAGACGGTGGCGCCAAACTAGGAGAAGAATTCGTTATTATTTTTTTGAAGGTCAAAGACAGCATTCCTCACCGTGTTCCCAGAGATGAACTCCATGATGCCTGAGATGTACTGGCACACACCGCCGAAAAAGATAATCATGCCCACGAGGACATTGGGCGTTTGGATGTTTCGAACGTGGACACCGTAGGCGGATATCAGGAAGATGCCTGTCCGATATCTCCGTCATTGAAATGCACGATTTTTTGTGTTTCACTATTGGGCTGGGAGAGCATGCATACCCGTTGCGAAAGAGAGCAGCCCCAAGGGTGCTGGGTTAGCAAACGACCGGTGCACCACGGGGAGAGCTGGCTGTGTTCTGTCGTCTTCATGGCCGCCCTTCGTGCGTACGCGCTCCACGCGATCTCCCTCTTCGTGAGCGGCAACGGACTTTTCGAGCTGATCGGCCGCGTCGTATGAATCCATCGTGCTGGATGGATTTCTTGCAGTTTCAACGAAGACAAGCTTCTGGGAAGAGAGACGAGGGTTTTCACGTGAGGTGGTCTGTGTTCTCTGCTGCTCGAATGTTTCTCAAGAATACAGTGCTCTCAAAAGTGGCTTCGACTGCTGAGATTTTAATGCGATCACCCCTAACCTACCTACTTGTTCCTTCAGCCTGCTTGGACAGCATTCTGTCGCCATGACATGGAAGCGGCATCACCCCGAATATCCACGATGGAACCGGCATCATACCGGACGTTCGGTCGGCAGGTGTAGAAAATCGACTCAAACTTCGCACCATGGAACAAGAAACAACGGCGGCGGCAGCGAGGTGGTGGCTTTGTGTCGACGGAACAATTTGAACGTGGTGATCTTAGAGCCTGGGCCAGCCAAATGGCGGGGTTGAAACAAGGCGATGCTCGCTTGAGAGCCACTCTCTGCTAAGGGAGCATCAGCGATAGACTTCCTTGGCTACCCCATGGGCACAAACATCGTTGGATCAGATGGATGCAAATCGTGGTTTAGAACGCATGGGATGGAGAAGACGTGGAAAAAGACGGGCGGAGAAAGGCGGACGAAGGCGGCGGCGAGTTGCCCATCAACTGCCTCTCATCATCCCCATCAATCCTACGGACGATCCAATAACATCTATTGGGTGTCTTTCCTGCTTCGTGGCTCGTCGGCAATCACCCCGGCGTGGATATCCGGTGGGAGTTTGGCAAACGTCTTTCCCATTCAATTCGAAGCTGCGTCAAGGCAGATCTTCCTCCATACATATGTTACAGGTTGTAGTAGGAGCAAACGCACGGGATCTGGCTCACAGGACGATGCCAGCTGTCCTCCTGCTTCACATTCTCCTCTAACCAACCCATTGTACAGGAGATACCTCTTTTTGCAGACAGATAAGTGGAAAAGTTTCTTACTGAGATTGAAACAATGTCGACATCAGCTGCTGGCAAGAGCTTGACCAACTATGCTTCATATATCCCCCAAGGAAGCAGGCAACCGCGGATTGGGCATCTTGATCTGGACTCCAATACCATCACGCCTCTTTCCTACACCTCTGGTACCCCAATCAGGACTCTTTACGAAGTGATTGAAGCAGGCGAGGATGCTTTTGTCCAAGCCGGAGAATCCTTCCCCCGGAGCAAGGCGAGATTGCTACCCCCCATCTACGGTCGGGACATCCTTGCTGTTGGGAAGAACTATGCGGTATGGAATAGCCCATGCCATGCTTGTTGCTCGTCACTGATGTCTCCCAGGCCCATGCCAAGGAGTTCAATGCTTCAGGGTAGGATGCTACCAGAGCAGCGGCAGGATGTCGGATATTGTGCTAACCATTTGAGCATAACAGCTATGACAGCTCTGACAAGGTCGACATGCCTACTCACCCAGTCATCTTTACTAAGCGGTGGACTTCTGCTATAGCAGACGGGGACGAGATCTATCCCCATCCAGGATTCACCGAGTCGGTGGACTATGAAGGAGAAATTGGCGTCATTGTTGGCAAGCCCGGCTTTAAGATTGCTGAGAAAGACGCCCTCGACCACGTCTGGGGGTATACCATCATCAACGATGTGACCGCACGCGAACGGCAACGGGACCATAAGCAATTCTACATCGGCAAATCGTGAGTGGCTCCTACCTTTGAAAAGGACATTCGCTGTTTTCGAAGGACCAGTTCCCATTCCGTTCAAGTGATCAGCTAACAGTGCTGGTAGGCCAGATACTTTTGCGCCGATGGGCCCTATAGCCGTCCCGAAGGAGCATCTTCCAAAGGTGCTCACTGTTAAGACCGTTGTGAATGGAGAAAAGCGACAAGAAGCCACGACCGACGACTTGATATTCAGCATAGCGACTTTGATCGAGACATTATCTGCGGCCCAGACCCTACAACCTGGAGATGTTTTGGCAACTGGAACACCCGCCGGCGTTGGCTTCGGCTTCAACCCCAAGGTGTGGCTGCATCCCGGAGACGAGGTCAAGATTTCAGTCACGGGGCTCGGGACATTGACGAACAAGATTGCAAGCCCCGAGTCGAGACCTACCATCCTCAACCACATCGTCTCGTCCGCGGTGCCCGTCGCGAATGAGCGGACGGTCGAGGGTCGTGGACTGACCTCCATTGGCTCAAAACAGCTGTTCTACCAGCGGAAAGGCGGTGACAGTGGTGGACGGCCAATTTATTTCATCCATGGTCTGGGCGGCACTTCCGACTATTTCGGACCAGTGATGACAAGGCTGGGGAACTCTTGGACATATCACCTGGCCGACCTCGAGGGCCACGGTCTATCGCCGACATCTGCGACGAGCAAGTTAAGCATCGCTTCCTTTGCTTCCGATGCATATCAGCTCTGCTCTCAGGCTGGAATCAACGCCGAGAGTGGCCTCACCGTGGTCGCTCATTCGATGGGCTGTCTGGTTGCGATGAAATTGGCATTGGATCATCCGGACTTGGTTAAGACACTGATCTTACAAGGGCCCGGGGCCTCACCGCTCCCAGAAGCCGCCAGCAAAGCCACATACGCCAGGGCGGCCCTTGCTCGTGAAAAGGGCATGCTTGGAGTAGTGGACGCTGTCGTTGGCGCAGGGACGTCTGATTACAGCAAGGCACATAATCCTCTGGCAATCGCCGCCGCACGCATCTCCCTCCTGGGACAAGACCCCGAAGGATACGCAAAGGCATGCATAGCACTGGCAGACTCGCATGCGGATACCCTGGACATCTCGACGCTGAAAGCGAGAGTGCTGATCATCACCGGAGATGAGGACAAGGTGTCGCCGCCGGAGATGTGTAAAAAGATGAAAGAAAAAATCCCCCACTGTGAGGATGTCATCGTGCTGCCAAACGTCGCCCACTGGCACTTGTTTGAAGCTACCGAGAGTGTGTGCTCGGCTGTCACCGATTTCATGGGTAAGCAGTAGCCACAGCCGCCCCCTTTATCTCGAATCAAGTGGCTGGTGGAAGTTGCAAAAAAATCCCAACGTTACATAGAGACTGCGGCCGTTCTTTGGATCGGGTTAGATGACCTACATAGACCTAGATGGATTCTTTCTTTTTCAGGCCGCTCGGGTTCATTCCGTCGACCCTGGCTAGAGGTCCTTTGTGCTCAATGACGGTGACAGAAATCTTCCAAGACGGTACCCATAAGCACCGATGTGGCTGGATCCAGTTTACCTGGAAGCTCGTGGTTACTTCCTTAAACGACCCGGGACATTGCGGGGGAGCTGCAACAAGGAGCGTAGTTGAAAGGCCCCCTGGAGGGCGGCTAGGCGGTCAGGGGTGCCTAGTGCGCCTGGGTGTGTTGATCCCGAATAATTCCTCAGGTGCTCTGGAAATCGGCCCACTAGCCACTTGATGGGGGCAACCTGGGCTGCCATCCAGGCTGGTGAGGCTTCCTCTGACGCCTAGCCAAACAGCCTAGTGCAGCCTCTGAAGCCCATGCTACCCTTACCAGCCCTTAGAAAGCGGTCCCGCGCGCCCGGCCCCGGATTTTATTTCTCGATGCTTAACTTGATGAAATATCCACCCGGCATTTCATTTCCTGCTTCGTCACTCATCTTCTCGCCTTTCGTTCTTCCACTTTTCCCATCTCTTTCCCATCACGATCACACGCTGCTACATCTCTCCTATTGTCCCTCTCGTCCAGAGCCCACCTGGTGGCATTTTAGCCATCCAACGGGATCGTTATCTCGTCCTTGTAGCCGCAGAACTTCGAAACTCCTGTCGTGCGTCACATGGCGCCTCAAGTCGACAAACGGCAACCTCGGGTGCCTCTCAGCTGCGAGAATTGTCGAAAACGAAAGATCAAATGTTCGGGCGAGCGGCCCTTCTGCGACACCTGCGCCCGTCGTGGCTTCAGCCAGACCTGCTACTATCTGCGCCAAAATGTGCAGGCGCCCTCAGGGTCCAGTTCCGATGAGGTGCTTCAAAGAATGAAACGAGTCGAAAATCTACTTGAACGACAAGTCTTCCTTCTTGAGCAGCGACTTGAGCCCTCCCCCAAATCTCAATCATCAAATCCAGACATTCTCTCCCAGCATCAATCATTATCGGTGAACTCGTCGCCCTGGACCGAGGTCGAGGTAGCTCCTTCGGACACCGCACCGCCAACTACCGTTGGTACGATCCTGGTGTCCGAGGGAGGCTATGAACGATTTGTCCCCGGACTCGCGTCTTCAGATGCTGACGCCGTCAATGAGCTGATCCAATCTGCATCTGCCCCGCCAATGTCAACGAGCTTCCCGTTTTCCAACGAAGCACTCGCTACGCGGAGAACGCTGTTGGAGGCCCTGCCCCCCGGACGACAGTGCGACGAATTGAAGGATTTATTCTTCGAAGTGTTCTCGCCGGTATGTGTCGACCAAGTTTCTTAGCCTCTCTTCTAGTCATCCCCACAGCTCTCCAGGGCAGGTCTGTCAAGGTCTGAGGAGCAACCCTCTACCAGCTCACGGGATGTGCGGCTTCCGAATCCCTTCGGGCAATGGAGCGGAAAGAGTGACCTTTCCCTTGTCGTGATCCTGGCAGGAATAGACAGAAGTGGTCTCGCTTCATTGTATGAGAAAGGACGAAACCATTGTCTTACAATCTTCCCCGTCCATTGCTCTCCGCACCGCCAGCACCTCGAGAGTGGAAGCTGACTCAATTCGAACAGCTTTTCCACGTACTCCATGACCCGACATTCCAGGTCGAGTATGCCAACTTTCGCCAGTGCCGAGGAGAAGTGTCACTGTCGTTTCTCGCGCTAGTATTCGTGATTCTCTCCATCTCCGTTACCGCATTGGACTCGGACGATCCACTGCTGACGGATCTCGGGATGGAATCAACCCCTACAGCAAATATCAAAAGCTTGGCGACCAAATACCGAGCAGCCGCGATGGGCTGCCTTTCAGCAGACCAGTTCATGTGGCGACACAACTTGCACACTGTTCAAGCTTTAGTGCTCCTGATATACGCACTTTCACATGCGCATGGGCCCGCGTGGGCCTTGCTGGGCACCACCTTCCACATCTGTGTATCGATTGGTTGCCATATTGACCCATCTCAGCTGAATCTAGATCCCTTGAGAAGTGAACAGAGACGCCGGTGCTGGGCCGGCCTCATGTTGCTTTATACCATTCAAAACACTTGCCTGGGGAACCTTGCCCCAATGAAAGTTATAGCCAATGTGCGTCTCCCTGTGGATGTGGATGATGAATACATCACCATGTACGACAGTCCGCCGGTTCATGCGGACGAGTCTCAGCCAAGGCCTCTTAGCAAAATGTCGTACATTCTCTTCAAGTTCAAGTTATATCGCCTAGCATCCGATATAACCAGTTTCTCCCGGGAAAGTGGGAACTTGGATGGCCTGATCGAGCTCGACGGACGGATCTCCAGAGAAGAGCATGAACACGACATCCGATTCACAGATCCTCGGGAGCTTCCAGTTTACCACCTGGCTCATCTCTACATCATCAAAAACTATACCAGTCATCTGCGGCTCATTCTTCATCGACCGTATCTTCCGCCGCATTCTTCCGCTCCGGACAGCACACTGTACGAGTTTCCCGAACAAGTGCTCCAGAGCCGGCAGTACTGTAAGTTATCGGCAATGAGGATCCTGAACAACCACGAGGACCTATGTTGCGAGGAGAAGCTCAGGCCTTATCGCTGGTTTGTGTATGGGCTGGGCGGCTACCAGACGTTTCTCGCGGCCTCGACGCTTGTGGTGCTCCTCGGTTCGGACGACGAATCGGTCGCTTCGGACCGCGCAGATGTGTTCTACGCTCTGCAAAAGTGTCAAGCTCGATTTGAGCAGCTGTCTCCTCGAAGCGACATCTCTGCCAAGGCTGCGCGAATCCTGCGTCGTGCACTCGGTTCCCCTGCTGCCAGTAACGGCGGCGGAGGCATTGCTCCTCCTCATGAACCCCCGGGGCTTCACCACCAAACCTCGAGCATAAACGATGAGTCGAAGAGGTATAGCATGAGCCACATACCTCCGATGTCTAGTGCCTCTCCTGGTAGCCATGGCCAATCAGCTTTGATGCATGCCGGTCCCGGATACGTCCAGACCGGGTTCGCCAGCGCCCTGCCCATGAACACCAACGAGCCCGCCACGAAGTTGGAACCACCATCCCTCCTCTCGCAGCAGCAGCAGCAGCAACAACAACAACAACAACATCCACAGCCTCATCCTCATTCCTTCTTCCCCTGCCCACAACCCCTCTACGAACTGATGAATCTGCCCGCGGAGCAATGGCTCGGCGGCCCCTCTGCGCTGGCCTGGGACTGGAACAGCTGGGTCGACGTGCCGGGCCCCAACACCGCTGCGCCCGACATGTTCATGGACGCTTCAGGCGTACTGATGTGACGCAATGCAATCCATTTGTGAACAAAATACCTTGTAAAACAATACCCTGTGACGACACGACACGACACGAGCATACAACGATGGGGGAAGCGCGCGGCCGGTTATTCAAACAGCTCAAAAAAAAAGGGCTCGACTTGCTATTTTTATCATACATTGTCTTCCCTAGGCAGGCATGTCTGTTTATGTAGCATTAAGATTTGCTGAAATTTTTGAAGCAGCAAAAGCACAGAAAGGCCGTCGCGCAGGTCTAAACTCCCCCTGATCCGCACTCATCGTTCTTCCTCTTTCTTCTTCCTGTTGACGTTTCCTGGCTTGTGTGTTTTGATCTTCTCCCCCAGCTCAGGTTCATTTCACGATATACATGTACGTGATGTAATCACCACCGTGGAAAAAACCGCGAGGGTTGTGGAAACGAACGAAGTGTTCTTCGTGGCCGGGACCATTCACCAACGAGGATGAGACTCGCAATTGGGCAGGAGCCTCTGTACATGCAGGAGGGGTGGGAACGTCGACACATTAAATATTGATACGTGCTTCAAGGGTATATTGACACGGTACCCCATACAGAATACGGGAGGGATGAATAACCTCCACAGCGCTAGGCCTTGTATTGCATAGGAGATACCAAATCACTCATGGCACCCGTCCCTGTGCACGTCATGGACTTTCTTCTTATTCTTTCAAGCATCATCCCAGGGCCATCTCCAACCTGTTCCTCAAGGCCATCCACCAGCTGGTCTGCTGCTGGAGCTGGCCCCTTTGTTTGATAGCTCGAATAGTCCCAACGGGCCGCTGCGACTTGATCTGTTCTTCGGTGAAGAAGTGGCCATGCAGGCCATAGGGCACTCTTTGCGTCAAGTACACGCGGGCGACGAGCGTCTTCATATCTCGGGCGTCAATGACCCACAGCTCGCTTTTGGCGTCCGGGCGACATTCTCCAGATGAGTCTAGTTGTGATTCGTCAAAGACGTAGGTCAGCAACCAGCCGTCGTCCTCGTGAGTGCCGTTTTCACGTGGCACAAAGTGCGGCTCCTGCGCAAACCAGCCTCGGGGAAGGCGGAAGATCGAGATCGGGTCATCTTCCTGCTGAGACAGGAGGATCTCGTCGACGGATCTGGTATCAACACAGTCAGGACTATGTCCGGCAAGTGAATAGGTCTTCCCTCGCTTGATGAGGCTCTCTACGTCTGCCTTGACCAAGCAGTCGATCTTGACAGCGCGGCCGAGGGCGGCTCTAAAGGTACCTCTAGAAGTGGAGCATCCAAAGACATATTTGACCTGACTCATTGTTCGGTCTTTCCTGATGTTGGGAAATTCGAATGGAATGGCACTTAATCCGAACTCGTGAGTTATATGGCCCGGCTGTGCCAATGAGAAACGGTAGTAGTAGAGCCGGCACTGTTCTTCTTCACTATCAGGTTCGTTGGACGTTTGTTGCGGAGCAGGAATGTCGCCTGTAGCAAAAACGAGAGAAGCTGAAGTCATGCGACATGCTAGCATATTGACTGCAGACGTCTTCGTCTGTCCAGATACTTTGTCAACCACCTGATCATCCCACGTATTGGCAGTGTGGAAAATGCAGCATGGTTTTGTCTTGAACCAGACAATCTGATGAGGGAAGTATCGAGGAAAGACACCAAATCGAGAATGAGAGGTTGAGTCATAGGAAACAACAGGCTTAAGCTTTGCCAAATTCAATGGATCCAGCGACAGAGGCAGGTCCATGATGACAGTGTGGTGGGAAGATACGCCAAAGTCATGCATCATCTTTGCTGAGGAGACGCCCGGGATAGGAGCATTCAGGAGCCTTGTCGGCTGGTCGAGCGGCGAGGAAGGAACGGCGGGCGGGAAAGTCGCAGGTATAATTGAATAATGTACAAAGGGAGGGACAAAGGTCGAGTGGAAGAGGACGAGCTCCCCTGTCTTCGGATCCACACGAGGATGTGCCGTTGTCCATTCTTTCATGAACTGCAGTACTCCATCTCCGCCAAATCCTGGGGTGTCTTCACCTCCCAGCTCCCCTTCTGCTCTCTTCCCATTGAACCAGCCAACAGTCTCGAGGCCCGGAAGAGCGACTCTCATTGGAGGTCCAGATTCGCAGGTGGCAAGAGCACGGCCATCATGAAACAAGACACCCGTGTTGGCCACGCTGATTTTCTTGATAACTTGTACTGAGCCAGGAAGTCGCGATAATAAGACAATCAGTAGGCTGCGGAAAACAAGGAGTATGATCTTGTACAACGAGGTCAGGGGGTTGACCAATGCCGCTATGCTGGGAAGGATTGGAACGCGCAGGTGTTTTGCAGATATCGTTGACAGATAGATGTCGGTCAGGATGTATTGGTTGACGAATTCTGGTTGGACACCATTGGAAGTTGGTGTAAATGCGACACCACTGAGCATGCCATCACCGTCGAACCAATGTGCATCTCGACCCAAGTCCTCGTTTGCAACAGGATTGCCGCCATTTCGAACGTATTCACCCCCGACCAGCTCTTTGGGTATATTCCCAGAATATGCGCACGGTTTCAGACTTTGGACCTTCTGCACAGGAGCGAAATTACCGCAAAGGTACGGATGTGGATGGCTTCGCTTGCGATCTGGAGCGGACGCTGCTCTGAATGGCAGTTCGGTGCTGGGCTCTCTTGGGGTATATGGTGTGGTCGCGGAGGACAGCGACTTGGTCATTGTCAAGGGAAACGATATAGGAGAGCCCACCAGTGGTGGCAATCCCCAACACTCCCTGTCCAGGATCGATCGGTGATGCGTTGGTTGCTGTTAAACATTTACGAGGAGACCTGCATCAGAGATCGACTGCATTTGAAGGTCACGCCAGGTCGACGTAAAGGTCTAGACTGGACATATTGGACTTGAACGGCGTCCGAGGAATCCGAAAGGTCACGCCCAACATGCAGTTGGGTCACGCAACAGGAAGAGAGAAAGGTCTGGTTCACATGTTAGTTACCTCTCTGGAAAGCCTTTCCTGGAGTGAGAAAGAGGTTAGCCGGGGCTAGGGAGGGATGCAGTGATCGCCGTTCAGGCTGCCCATCTGAAGAAACCCCAACCTCAGAAAAGGAAAGGAAAAGAGGGGAAAGCCCGACAAAGATAACTGAAGTTTGCCTAGGTTGGTACAGGCGAGCAGGGTACTCGGTACAGGACAAGAGGCACGCAGGGTCAAGTAAAATGGTGAAGCTGCAGCTCGGCACTGCAGAGCAAATCGCTGTCGTCATCAAGCTTCTTCCAGTCGAGTTAGTGTCAGACTAATTGATGATAGCAGCACTAACCGGAGAGAATTCTGTCAGCTCTCTGAGAGGAATGTTTGCCGAGGCCGCAGCCCCGTCTCTGGCTGCTTTTGCCGGATGTTGGGTGCCGTGGCCCGTCAGCCTCATATCAGAGCTGCATCTGTGGCTTGACCCCCAACGACTCTCCTCGTCGCCTTCATCCCCAACTTGGAATTGTGCGCGTCATGATATCCCAGAAATTCCACGGCTTCCAGCCAGAACTCTGCACAAGCGCGCTCAGCCATGGCTGGATGCTTTTCGGCGGTCTATTTTCTGTTTTTCAAAATCCCAACCGTCCCTCCCCTCCTCGCATCGACATCGAACGGCTGATTGGTATATCATGGCGTCTGCCGTTACCAGAAGCTTTCATTGAAGCAAAATCATTTTGAAATTTCCTTCGCAGGCACAACCGGCCTTCCCTTGACGGGTCAGAACTCTGTCCTGATGTACGATTATGCGCTGGTGTATGTGGTTATTCTACCTCTGACCACCCTCTGCAACTTCTAACATGTCCTGTGTCCACCCTAGTCACGTTGTTTACACAATTCCCCTTGCAATAGCCTCGTCTATTATCCTGGGGCCTCTGTTGACACGACGGGATATTTACAAAATATGCTTCCTTCAACTTGTCGCTATCACATATACAATTCCCTGGTGAGTGCGAACTCGACATCTCCTCTTCGTGGGAAATACTGACCGGTCAAGGGATTCCTACCTCATCAGAACTAGGATCTGGAGTATGCCAAATTATTCCTATCTTGGTACTAGGTCCCGGACATGCTAATACTAACTTTGCCAAGCATATCCTCAGGATGTTATTATAGGGCCGACGCTGTTGGCTATCCCTGCCGAGGAGGTCTTCTTCTTCAGCATTCAGACTTACATTGTAAGCACTTACTCATTGTTTGCGTACGGTCAAAGTGGCTGATCTGGAACAGACGACTTGTCTACAAATCCTTCTCAGCAAGCCAGTGCTCACGGCAATCTACCTGCATAATGAGGCCGACTGCCTGGACCCCGTTGGCAAGTCACTGCCATCTTGGAAGCGAGCAGGTCAGCTCGTTTTTGGGCTAGGCTCGGTCGTTCCACTGCTTCTGCGAGAAGGGCACGCTGAAGGCCAGTACATGCGGCTCATTTTGCTCTGGGCCTGCCCGGTATTGTTGATGCTGTGGACATTTGCTTACCAACTACTTCTCACCTTGCCATGGACAACAACCTGGCTCCCCATTGCTGCACCAACATTGTATCTGTGGATTGTTGATACACTGGCTCTCCGCCGAGGCACCTGGAGCATTGAGTCAGGCACGAAGCTCGGCATTCAAGTATGGCCCCATCTAGAACTGGAAGAAGCCGTCTTCTTCCTTCTGACAAACACCCTTGTAGTATGGGGTGCGACTGCCTTCGACAATGCCGTGGCGATCCTCGACGCCTTTCCCGGTCACTTCCCTAGTGTCCCAGGCATCCCAGCCCCGACCTTGATGCTCAAAGCTTTATTTCTGGATACATCAAAATATGACACTGCGCGTCTGCAGGGTTTACGCAAAGCACTTCCGGTTCTTGCTAAGAAAAGCCGATCATTCTACCTGGCTTCAGGCGTCTTTGCCGGTCGCCTGAGAATCGACTTAGTACTCCTCTATGCATTTTGCAGGGTGGCTGATGATTTAATTGACGATGCGCCCTCAGCAACGGAGGCAAGTCAATGGGTGCAACATTTCACCGATTTCCTCGACATTGCCTACTCGCCAAAAAGGGACGAGAAGAGGTTGCAGCAGGCTCTCGATGTATTCCCACCCGAGGCGCAGTCTATCCTGCGACTCCTTCCCACGGACAAGTTACCCTCCGGGCCACTCTACTCGCTTCTCGATGGTTTCCGGATTGACCAGAAATTTTTCGATACAGGATCGACGCAGAATCCCCCAATCAAAAGCTTTGCCGACCTTGAGAGATACGCAAGTTGTGTTGCAGGAACGGTTGGCGAGCTTTGTTTGAATCTTGTCTATTATCATAATCCAGATCAAGGAAGCTCCTTGGAAACAAAACAAAGGTGTCTCGATGCTGGTGCGCAGATGGGTCGGGCTCTGCAGTACGTCAACATTGTCCGAGATGTCAAAACAGACGCCGATGTTGGACGATGCTACATTCCTAGCGAGTGGCTTGATAAATCAGCGCAACGTTCAGCCGAATCTCGAGCCGAGGAAATTCCGCATCATCGTCAGAGAATCCTCGACGTTGCATTCACTATCTATGCTGAGAACAGAGATGCCATCGAAGCGCTGCCCTACTATGCGCGAGGTGGTATCCGTGTCGCCGTCGAAAGCTACATGGAAATAGGTAGGGTAATGCGTGAGCGGATGCGACAGGGCAGGCCTTTGGATTTTGCCGGCGGCGGCAAGAAGGGACGATCTAGCGTACCAAAGTCGAGGAGGATATGGGTGGGATGGAAGACAATGATGGGAAGGAAGGGTGCCGTGTGATAGAGGAGGCTCTACTTGATTGCTTTCGGCCTTCATGTCCATATCCCAGAGGTGCTGAGAAGCTCTTCCTGATCAGCTTCACACTGTAGGTCCCATTTGAGAGGGATTGTTCATGCCGTGACTAGCGTGCGGGGACTGCGCGTCGGGATCAGGTCCAGGTCTTGAACCTCACATGTCGACACTCTCTGCATCCATCTTTGCCAATTTCTTTGTAACCACGACCTGTGACTTATTTACCACTTGAATGAGATCACAATACAAATGGAGCTGATTGTCGAGCTCAATATTGCCCGGGGACCGAATGCGCCCCGAAGTCGTGGCATGCTGATGTCTTGGGAGCTAAAGTCATGTTGTCATTGACTCTACGCCCGTGCGCCAACAGTGTTGGACTATGTCTTCGTACCCGATTTCTACCTGCTATTCGACCTCCAAGTCTCTACTATGAGGATAAGTCCTGAGTTATGAACAAGCCAAAAAGTGCTGTCATCGTAGGTGAGACTGTGTAACTGCGGCTGTGCCGTTATTCGTCAATTGCTGATTCCGAGACTACAGGCGCTGGCGCTGGGGGCATTGCCAGCGCTGCCAGGCTCGCCAAAGCTGGTTTCCGAGTAACTGTGCTTGAAAAGAACGACCATACGGGTGGACGCTGCAGCTTGATATACCAAGATGGCCACCGATTCGACCAGGGCCCTTCTCTCCTCCTCTTGCCCGACCTGTTCGAGGAAGCCTTTACCGACCTAGACACGTCTCTCAAGGCCGAGGGGGTCGAGTTGCTCAAATGCGAGCCCAACTACAACGTCTGGTTCGGCGACGGCGAGTGCATCGAGCTGTCCACGGATATTGCCAGAATGAAGAAGACAATCGAGCGTTGGGAGGGGAAGGAAGGGTTCGAGAGATATCTCGCGTGGATGAAGGAGGCCCACGTCCACTACGAGGCGAGTGTTGTCCATGTGCTGAGAAAGAACTTCTCCACAATATGGGCGATGGCTCGTCCGAGCTTCTTGCCCTACCTTCTGGCTCTCCACCCGTTCGAAAGTATCTGGAATCGGGCAGCGCGATATTTTCTGACGGAGCGACTGAGGAGGGCTTTTACTTTTGGGAGCATGTATATGGGCATGAGTCCATTTGAAGCACCGGGCACCTACAGCTTGCTCCAGTATACCGAATTGGCGGAAGGCATATGGTCGGTCTCAAGTCCCAGAAATATTTCCGTGACTGGCCCCTAATGAGCTCCCAGGTACCCCAGAGGTGGATTTCACGGAGTCTTGGACGCCTTGGTCAGGGTTGGGCAACGCCTCGGGGTCGAGTACAGATTGTCAACACCTGTTGCCCGGGTCAATGTCGATGGATATTCCCAACGTGCCACGGGCGTTACGCTGGCCTCCGGAGAAGTTGTGAACGCCGACATTGTCTTGGTCAATGCCGATCTCGTCTACGCCTACAACGAGTTGCTGCCTTCTTCTCATGAAGCATCGAAATTGTCAAAGAAACCGGCTTCCTGTTCCAGCATCTCGTTCTACTGTAAGTTCACTATTCCTAAAACCTTGCACAACCCAGGCTGAGCCGTTCAGGGTCAATGGACAAGGTGGTCCCTGAACTCCATACACACAATGTTTTCCTGGCAGATGACTACCAAGACAGCTTCGACGACATCTTTAAGCGACAACAGATTCCGAAGGAACCCTCGTTCTACGTCAATGTGCCCTCGCGTGTCGACCCAAGCGCCGCCCCCAAAGATCGAGACAGCGTGGTAGTGCTTGTCCCGTGTGGTCACCTATTGGAGGGCGAGGCTGACCGGGGCCTCAACCCGCACAGCGCACAGGATTGGCAGGCGATGGTTGCGAAAGCCCGGCATGCGGTGCTTGAAACGATTCGCCTCCGAACAGGGGCCGATCTTGAATCCCACGTGGCGCACGAGATTGTCAACACACCCAGCACATGGAAAGACAGATTCAATCTTGACAGGGGGGCGATTCTTGGATTGAGTCACTCGTTCTTCAATGTGCTCAGCTTCAGGCCAGGAACGAAACACGCGACAATTGGGGGCGTGTACTTTGTTGGTGCCAGCACTCACCCGGGAACCGGCGTGCCGATTGTATTGGCTGGCAGCAAGATCACGACTGAACAAATCCTCGGTGATCTTGGTATGGTCAAGCCGTGGTCGCCGGGAAATCACAGGAGGAGGGTGGTGAGCGATCTGGACAAGTGGGGAAAGCGTCCCCTGGATCTCTTGCACACCCTCATCGCTGTATTTGTCGCATTGTTGCTGATGTTTGTCCTCGCAGCCAGATAAAGGGATATAGAACTGGGTTGGCCATGGACAGCGAGGACATGTATGAAATGTGGTCTCTCCAGCTCATATTTTTCGATAGAATCACGACCCGGTTCCTCTGAGTTCCAGTCCTTTGTGTCTTCGTTTCCTACCTGTAGCGTCGTGCCATTGTGGCGCCTCTGATGTTTAGCCACGACAACACAAAACAGCAAGGAGAAAGGACCCGCTACCTATATTGGGTAAGTCTGCCGCATTGGATGTTTCGGATTAGACTCCGGGATAATTTAGTCAGCTGTTATGACCTCATCCAGTGACAAGTTGCATATTAAGTGCCAAGCATCGTCGATCATCGAGGAATCACCGGGAACCTCCGCCGAATCACATGCGTCATATACTCCAAACGTTTTTGCGGTAGAGCCTTGCTCCCAGCATTTTTCCGACACAAACCCTCTGACTAAACTGCTGCAGGATGACTTGGTTGGCGCTGGCCTTTCTTGTCCGAGGTAGTGAGATGGCCTTGCTGAGGACGCTTGGGCCGTTTTCGCTGACATCGGACGATCACCCACCAATGCCGGTTAAGCCTAACGCCAGCTGTCTTCGCAATTTTCTCCGGTTCGCCACAGGAATGGAAGTCCGACCTCCTGATTGAGCCCAGCCCAGGCCTCATCCCCGGCAAGGCGGTCTGCACTAAGCATCAGCCTGCATTTGCTGTCGAAGGGTCGAAGCCGACGACATCCGAGTGCGAAATGGGTTTGTCGGAAGCATCGAATGACAGTCACGGTAGCCTCAACAAATCTCAGACCACCACGAATGCAGCCCGGGCGTTTGGGCTAACCTGCTCTGAACGCCGCGTCCAGTCACCGTGCGATGCGGAGCTTCCGATGCCAGCAGAAAGGTGAGCTAATGCGTGGGTGGCTTGGTGACGGTCACCTGTTTGGGATATGAAAACAAAGGGCGCCCAGAGCCTTGCAGCTGGATGGGCAGATGACCCTCCCCAGATGAGAAAACCTTACAGGGGCAGCTTACATTCTGCCAGAAGATTCCCTCAGCACCCGGCTGATACGGCAGCGTCAAGGTATGGAGAACCATCGAGGAATCTCCGGGAATACTGGTTTTTTTTTCTCCAATGCAGTATACGTTCTCCGTTGACTGATCGAAGCGAATCGACGTCACGATGCTGCTATCCGCGAGAGTCCGTATCCCAAAGGCACGAGACATTCATCTATTAAATCCCCCTTTCGCTCTGGAATAGCATAACCTCTCTCACTTCCATCAGCAGCACAATCGCGACCTAGGAGGCCAACAGTCCTTTTGCACATCCAGTTCCATCACTTTTAATCGACTCCGCGACAAACCACCCGCGCCAACCACTTTTCTTCCAAGATGGGCAACGACGTCTTCCGCCACAATGGTTTCACCAACACGGTGACTACCAACAACCATATCACTGCCGCCGGCAGCGATTGGTACTGGACTGTCTGCTCGGTCATGACTGTCTCCACTATCGCCCTGATGGCCCTGTCCTTCTTCAAGCAGCGATCCCAGCGTCTGCTCTACTACATCGCCGCGGCGCTCACTCTGATCCCTGCCATCTCGTACTTCTGCATGGGTTCCAACTTGGGCTGGACCGCGATCTTGGTTGAATGGGTCCGCAGCGACGCCAACGTTCACGGCGACATGCGCCAGATCTTCTACGTCCGCTACATCGACTACTTCATCACTGTTCCTCTCTTGTTCACTCTCTTGTTGTTGACTTGCGGTCTTCCCACCTCGACTCTCCTCTACACCCTGCTCATGGGCGAGGTCTGGGTCATTATGGCGCTTGTTGGTGCTCTTGTCCACAGCGAATACAAGTGGGGTATGTATTCCAATACGACATGACTTGGCATTGGTTGCAGGGTTGCTGACTCAGGATCTTAACAGGCTTCTTCACCTTCGGCACCGTTGCTCTCCTGTTTGTCGGCTTCGCCATCATCTATGAGGGACGTGCTTATGCTCGCACCCTTGGACAAGATATCCTCCGCGTCTACACTGTCTGCTCTGCCTGGGTCGTCTCCCTGTGGATCGTCTACCCCATCATCTGGGGTGTCTCCGAGGGTGGTAACGTCATCCCTCCCGACTCTGAGGCCGTCGCTTATGGTATCTTGGATATCCTGATCAAGCGTAAGTTATCACTTCCGAGCAGGTTTTTAGATTCTGCAGTCGCTGACGATGCCCGCTCATAGCTGTCACCGCTGCCTTCCTCATCTGGGGCATGCGCAACGTCGAGATGGAGCGCCTGGGCATCCACATCCGCGATGTCAATGCCGCCCCAGGAACTGCCCCTCAGACAGAGAAAGCTGCTGAGGCTGCTGCCGCTGGCGAGGGTGTCACTGCCCCGGCGGCCGACCCCGCCGCCGCCGTGTAAACGGCTGGCCATGTCGGCGCATTCGGCCAGAGGAACAGATCCGCCCAGCGCTCTGGACCAGCCCAATTTTCGATAAATTCGACGGATATCTTCCTCACCCGTATGCTACAAGGGGCCACTCAGCCCCCAACGTCAAGCCGGAGGTCCCTGATCATTGCCGGACCTCCAACACGATACCCAACCTTTTCCCACTTACCAACATATTCCACCCCCTATCATCCACTAAAACCAACAAATTCGGTAATGCGACAGGTCACTCGTTATGACTCAGGAGGATGTTACGAATGATAGTACTAACTAATAATTTACGGAGCGGTGCAGAACGGAGAGGGGCAGTGTTCTGATTGTCACGTCGCGATGATACCCCCAAGATACCATGTATAAGCATCTCGCAATTGGGGTACTTACTACGAGTACGGAGTACTTGACCTAATATCACCAATATCCAATATATAGATCTCAGGTAATGTCAATGTTACTCCACACTTCTTGACGAGTTTGAGGCCTCAATTTTGTCTTCCCATGACTACATATTCTTCCAGGGCAGATGAAATGGCCGGATAGGGTATAGTATTTCGTGACCGCTAGGCCTGCTGTTCGAAGATCTCGTGACTTCGTCGCTCGACTTTCCCATATCGTTTCTGCGTGTTGAATCTGCCGGTCGACCAGCCGCGGCTTTTTCCACCATCACTCTTTGTTCGCTAGACACGACGCTGCAGAAAAGGGGAGAGGAAAGGAGCCAGCACGACATGACTTTCCCCAGAAAAAAGGTTTCCCAGCCACCACAGATATCACACAAGGTTTTCTTTCCTCGACTCTCGAACTCCCCTATCGTAATGGTGGAACCCCCTTGTGGCTTGAGAGGCTTGAGCCCGAGGTGTCGCAGAGTGGGCACAAACGCAAAGCTACGAGGTCTCCCCTTTTTTCGCTTCGACACCTGCCTAGCTTTTTCCGACTTAGCATGAGTGGTTCCTCGGAGATTTTTTTTGGTCTTACGATATGAGGTGCAGGACGGGGAGCCTTCTACCTCGTAGTGTGGGATGCAATAATCGGGAAAAGGGGATTTCGACCTCGGGGGTTGTCGAGGGCGAGGGGAAACTGTGGCGTCAAACTCTCATTGTCTTTGACACATTTCACAATAAATCACGCCTTCGAGAGGCGGGTTTCAGAAGGCTACCAGGTACGCAAATGCCTCGGGATTAAGGAGCGACCTCATATTCACCCAAACATGTCGTGCCGAAGCAGAGGGAAAAAAGAGAATGCCCTCGAGTCTGGGCGAGGATCCCTTATCGCGAGAGTCCTGGCCTCAGCGTCTTCCCCAGAAGGAAGCGCGAGAAGTGGTGCATCTCGCTTTTGGTCGATAGTTCGTCGCTGGGACACACAAGCGAGGAAAAACACCGCACCGTCTTTCGCCCCGTCTGTCGACGATTGGGTGAAAGCTTGCAGATTTGCATCGCCTGTCGTTGGATTGCAATGAGACCGTTCTCGATGAAGCTCTACCCCAGAGCAGACGAGATTTGCTACCATGTCGTCTTGCAGATCACCACCGAATCCCTCCACCGAATACTGCATCATTCCATCCTGGGATGGAATGATAGAACCGAATACAGACCTGAGATTGTTCATTGGATCTAACCTATCTGCCAGAGACAGATAATCTTGATCGGACACTTGCCGTGGACGAGGGAACAAGCCGAGAGAGGTCAAGTCTTCCTTCTCCGCGTGCTCGAGAGCCGATCATGCTTGGTCTCGCACCGTCGAGACTGGGCCGTTTTCAAAGAGAACATATTGTTCCCCTACTCGGAGCAACGGCAGTAGCGACCATCCACCCCACCCTCTTACCAAGGAAGTCTGTAGTTGGATACTTGTACTGTATGGTGTGTATTTGCCGTCTCCATCTTGGAAGTCCACCGCAAGCGAAGTTGGCAGCTTGCTCCTGCTTGGAGGAACAAAGCCAGCCTGGTTGTACTCAGGGCGACACACAGTTGCTGCTTTGACCTAGCCTGCGGCCTCGCGCACACCGCAAATCTCGAACTGCACTCCCCACGACCAACCATGCATCGTCATCGGCAGTTGTCCGGAGCGGAGGGTTGCAGATGAGGTTGTGTAATCTGCGGCGGTGCGAGACCCTGATAACATGCGGTGAAAACGGGCTCCTGGCAACACCAGCGGTAGCTCAAACACAGGTAACGCACTCTGGCCGGCTCCAGGTTAAATTGCACAGTGCCTACCGGCGGCTACAAACATGGTCAAGGGTGAGTCGACCAGAAGACGCCGCTCCAGATTCGGTGCAGGGCCGATCCGGCAGTAGCCCACGTCGCAGCCAGTGAGACTGAGAGACTGGCTCGATAGCATTGATGTCAGGGGCTGAGAAAAGACGATAAGTGAGCGAATGGGCGACGGAGCGCATTGTGGATGTCGAGGTCGTTGTTTCATCATATATTTGCAGACAAAGCAGCAGATGGGCCGCTTTAGAATGAATCTAACCTGCCGCCGGTGCCCACCTCTAGGCGGTCCTTTAGGGGCTCTTAGGCGGGGCCTCGGGAAATTTGGCTTGGCTGGCATTGGCTGGCATTTGCTGGCAGCAGAGGACAGGCCCTAGCAGGAGCCTAGCAGAGCCCCCGCAGGCCTGCAGTCGCCCAGGCACTGGCCCAGGGACTAGCCAGGTACATCCAGGCACAACCACTCAGGGGCCGCAGTCTCATCAACTCGTCCTACACTCGATCCACTTTGCTATCCTCTCATCCACCACTTCTCCGCGATCGTCCAACCCTCATCCCAACTCAAATCAGCCAAACCACCACTCAACGCTTGCCGACTGGTCTCTGTTGACACCAGCGCTTTACCCTAATTCGATTCACCACCGCACGCAATTTACCCGACCTCTGCGACGATGCTACCGCTGCCAGGCCAGTGCTCCACCATGCCCGTGCCATCCATCAGATATGCTTTTGGCCGCCACATATACTCTCGTGTTCGACCCAGCTCGTGTCCAGGTGGTTGAGCCTCTCCTTTCACCGTCGCAGAACCTCAGGATAGCATATTGCTGTCGTCCGAGACACTGAGCTCCCTCTCAGTTCCTATCACACTCATTCCCCTTCATTCGAGCAGCGCTCGCTCAGCTCGCCTTGCGCGACACCCTCTCAAGGATCTTCACAGCACATTGACCGACCACGGCAGGTCACTACTAAGCACTCATTTGAATCTGATACGATACTCGAGATCTCGTGGCGACCATCAGAAGTCGCGCGACGCATTCACGAACCAAAGTGCGGCTCTACGCGCACACACACACACACACACACACACCTCGATACGATAAGGTCGTCGGAGACCAACCTCAGGCAAGATGCGCATCAGCTCAGCTGTCGCAGCAGTCGCGCTGTTGATGGCACCAGCAGCTCTTGCTGATCTACCTCCGGGAAACTGGGCAGGAGAGACCACCATTACAGTAACATCCTCTTTCTCAACCACTCTTACCATTACCAAGTATCTCACATATGCCAACGCCACGTCGACAAGCAGTGCCACAGGCTACCATGTCACACCAACAGGCTGGAACGTCACTTCAACTGGAACGGCTGCCAGCACAATCAATAAACCGACATTGACTGCCCCAGCTACTTCCACCCTCGGCATCTCGCCACCTATTGCTTCGGCGACCGGCGCCGCAAGCGCACAAGAAATCAACTTTGCAATGGCTGCTCTGGCGGGTGCCGCTGCTGTCTTCCTGGGCTCGTTATAACCAAGAGCCTCTTGACATCAATCGACATGCCGAGCATGGTGCGGCATCCGGTCGATATTGTTTCCTTTCCTTCATGTTTTGACTGAGTCAATGTTTCACGTCGCGAGCACCAGCATGCTCGTTTACACTACTTGTCTGGATAACAACAACAACACTTTCATCATCTCTGAGAGAGCTTGAGGCACATTGCGGAGGACTGATTGTCGGCATGTTTGATTGTACCGCAGCCGGTACTTTCACGAATACCCACGTCTCGAAGTTGCAAATTGGGAGATTACACTATCCACGCCCGGGGCGCAGATGAGTTTGACCATCGGCCATTGTACAGGACTGTGGTTCCCAAGCATGAGGGTTGGGGGCAATCATGGGCTTCTTGCTGTTCGCACACCAGGTGGATGGAGACCAGAGGAGAATGGTTCTTGGGATCCGGGGACGCGCAATAAGGGGGGAGCAACACGGGTGGGGAAGAAGGGGTCGGTCTACGATGATGACAGATACGATGTGAATTGCCAGTCCCGCAACCTTTGAAAGCATGCAAAGAGAGTCTTTGGTCCCCTTTTACGAAATGGTGGTGAATCTTCTAGGAAGCTTTTTTTTGGCCCACGAACTCCATGTGTACACATATAGCCAGTTAGCGCAGCCTTGTAATTGAATCAAGAAACGTTACGGAACGCCAGTCTGTCGTCGTCGCGTCTCACTGTCTCGTGGCTCTCTAGGTTTACGAGAAACACGGGTTGTCTTGCTTGCTTGCCTGCTTGCTTGCTTGCGTGGTTCCGATGATTATCTCTACGGAATCGGAATTGCGAAAAGGGGGGGAAATGAGGAATTCGCAATGAGCAATGAGAGTTCCTTTGCCCTCCCCGGCTCAGTCGATCCCCCGTGATCGACAACGTACCCGAGTTCGCGCAAAAGTCTTGTCTCAATCAATAATCCAGCCACCATGGAAGACAGCTGAGCTGGCTACGACGTCACGCGTTCTGGTGTGACATCCCGGGGCAGGAAGATGGGCGGGCGATCTGCTCATTACAATTATTATACTGTGGAGGACAGACGGGGGCCGAAAGGGGGGAACAGGGCAGTCAGTCAGGCACAGATCGACAAGCTATTAATCAGTCAGTCAGGGCTAACTCCACTGGTACATGTGGTATTGCTGTCTGTCTGTCTATCTCTTATTGACATTATCGACGTGTCTCAAGAGAGAGCCGGCCAACTGAACTGGTCGCGTCTTGTGTGGTGAAAATAATGAAGATCGTGCGCGTGTGGAGCGCATATGCACCAAGTGGTAATATAATGGGGACGGAGAGGCGTTTTCTGGCTTTTTGCCCGCAGGAGGGCGCAAAAGGTGGGTGACAGGGAGTAGATGGTGGTGGCCATGAGGGGATGGAGAATTATTGATGGCGGTATCGTGGCGCTGGGCGGGCGTATGGATACTGGGTGCCGGTGGCTGGTGGCTTGAGTGCCACTACCCTCAATCCTTCTTTTCCCCTTTCACATCGACAGCTTCTCGGTGAAGGTCAGACATATTACTACCTCGTACACACATAATAGCAGCATTCACGGCAATGCGGTCGACCTCGTACTGCCTACAGGCTATAGGTGAAAGACCACAAGACTTGTACTCGGAGACATGGTCGGCTGGGCCACTTCCGCTGTCACGTGTCCTCGTTCGGACCGTCGCATGTTTTCTCGGTTTGCCGCGTTTGCCTTGTATGGATTATCCGGGGTCGAGCTGTGGGCATCCGAGGCCAGACATCATGGTCACCTGTGTGACACCGTCGTGTGTGTTCACTCTTCAAGGACGACCCCCACGAGTTTTCGAGAGCCTGCCTTTGAACTGATTACAGCTATTGGATTGAACACTTTTGGGAAAGTCGTCTTCTGAGCTGCCTTGAGAATACTAGAGGACCATCCCCTATGCCTGGCCTACTCCTCCTTCATCACCAGCACTGTTTGCCCGCACCACAATGGCTGAACTTGCAAGGACAGCCTGCTGCCGTTGTCGAGAACAAAAGGTATCCTGGAACGTCCAGCCACAGATCACGCCCACAAACCCCGGTTGCCGAGATTCATTGCTTGTAACTGACACCTGCTTTCTCAAGTTGAGATGCTCTCGAGAACTCCCAACCTGTGCCCGATGTCTCAGGCTCAGCGCGGTCTGCGAGTTCCCTGCGCCTCCAGATCGCAAAGTCCTCGCCGCCTTCCGTGCTCAGCCGAAGAAGCGCAAGCTGGAGCACCACCACGCCAGCGACCGGTCTCCGAGAAACGGTCACCCATCGGTCCCCAAACCCAGCTCCGCCACCCCGGCGTCCCAGTCCGCGGACCACAGCGCGGGTGCTGCTGCAGAACTGCGCTGTGATTCTATCCTTCCACTATCCAGGTCGCAGGAGAAGTTTTTGCAGGACGTCTACTTCACCTGCATGTTCAACTCGACGCTAGTGTTCCACAGACCGACGTTTTCGCGGGCGTGGGAGGAAGGGCGGCTGGCACGACATGTCCTCCTAGCCGTCTACGCGACGGCGACAATGTAAGACCTGACCCATGCTCGACTGCTTCGGCAATCTGAGAACTAGCAGCTTCTTGCCGCTCGACTCGCCCCTTGCACGGCAGAATGCAGTCCTTCTCCAACCACTGGGCGATCTGAGAGCCCTGGGAAGACAATGGGCTATTCGTGCTGGGAAAGAAGTTCTCCAGGACATCGACCAGCCCACGTTCGAGAGTGTCCAAACTTGTGAGATGCTTACATTATATTGGTTCTCGGCTGGAGAGTCCCAGAGAAATACCATGTTCTCCGGTATGTGCTTCCTTCACTTGCTCAGTACAGAGGACTTTCTGAGGTGGACTTTACATATCAGGTATTGCATACAAAGCAGCATGTACCCTTGGCCTGGATTCATCAGAGCCACTGGCCGCCTCCGTGAGGAGCCCCTCATCTGGGCCAAGTCCAACCTGGCTGGAGGAGGAGGCAGTGCGTCGTTGTTTTTGGGCCGTCTGGTTTACACAGTGCATCAATTCTGACCACTCGGTTGTTGGAACTACCTACAACGACCGGGTCTTGAACTTGTCGCTTCCCATAGCTGAGCATTCCTTTCACGACGCTGTCCAGCAGCCTCTGGAAAATCTGTCCAGCATTCTACAGCAGCACTCAACATTTGCGAGCGAGAAACATGCTGCTCCCAGTATCATGGCTGAGCTCATGACTCTGATCTTTTATTGGTACGTGTTCCATGCCCTCTATGTGCGTGCCTTCTTCTGAAGGAAATGCAGGGTCAGGATACGCAATCTTGTCCGCGTCACGGATCGCATCTCTGGCAGAGACTGGCTGGCAGAACTTTTTGAGTTAGAGGGCCGACTGTCCACGTGGTATTCGCAACTCCCCGAATCATTGAAATACTCAAAGCGAAATCTGTACGAGCAGCTGGTGGTCCTTCAGCAGCCTGTGTACACGTTTGTCCATGCACTTTATCACCAGTGCCGTCTTGTCCTGCATTCGTCCTTGGTCCCGAAATTCAGTGGTATCCGTCTCGACAGGGCAATTCCATCAGAGGCAACCGCCCTCAGTGCCCGAATTGCCCTAAAGAGCGCCCAGCGCATCTCCGAGCTGGGTGCAGATGTGAGTCGCACTCAAAGATGGACCTCTGCGAGTCAGCGGCCTCTCCACCACATATCCTGGTGCTGATGGTGATACAGATCCTGGCTCTTGACTGGGACCCAGCCCAAATAGCGTCCTTCGTGGGGTACTGTATGTATGTTTCAGCTTCAATTCATGTTGCCTTTCTCTCCTCCAGAGATGCAACCCTCGCAGTCCCCGCTAGAGCCAACTTGATGGCCAGCCTGAAGTTGCTCAAGTCAATGAAAATTTATTGGACGAACTTGAAGAGACTGGTGAGTAGGATGTAAGTTAGGTCAGTCTTGACATTGACACAATCTACAAGTGGGTCAGAATCAATATGCTCTACGGAGCTCAGATGTCGAGACGTCTTGCTTCGACGAGAGAAGGCCTGGCCGGTTCCACCGAACTGCAAGCGCACCTCAGCGAACTCGATGAAGTCGCCGGCGAACCACGAGATGTTGGTCAATTGGCCGAGCCACTTGCCGACTCTGTCCTGGATTATACGCTAAGGCGGTTAAGACCAGACAGAGTCGCTTTTTCTCCGCCTGCTCAAGCACCAGAAAGACAGCCATGTCCAGATGACTTGTCTCAATTGATGGACGAAGACTCAAGCTCATCATTAAACCCACCGTCTCAATTCGCAAGACCAGAGGGTCCATTACCTTCGGTAGGTCTGGATCAAGCTAATTATCTCGCTTCTATAGCTCCACAAATGACGGCCAGTTGGGATCGCATGCGGACACCGACTCTGCAGCCTCCAAACCACGACGGCCTGGACTGGTGGGAGGTGAGTCTGGACAGCTTTCAACAGCCGATACTGCCGTACGAAGAACTCTTCAATCTGGATTTCAACTTATCATAGTGTCAATGCCTGCGTAGGACCGACTACAAACTCAGGTCGGGATCCACCGTGCTTGGACAGCCATCGGTCCGAAGAACAGCTACAGGTCGGTGAATTCTATGAGCTCCAGATCCACCTTGCCCAAAAAAGGGGTTCTCCTTTGAATTCATATATAATTCCTGGCTCCAGCAACCGAATCTACGATCTTATCCTCAATATTGACACTTATCCTGGACTTATATACTTAGCCAACCCACAGACTCAAAGACACGGTCTAAAATCATGGCGGATACGAACACCATCAGAAAGCCTCTGCGGTTCATTACTGGACACAATGTCGACGGCAAGGGTATTGTCGAGGTTGTCGACGAAGGGTCATGGCGGAAGATTGACAACGACATCGTGAGGTACAACGAAATGTGGTCGACAAGCACCTTCCCCATAGATATCAAGAACGACGACAATCTGAAGAAAGAAAAGACTGTCATGTCTCTATCTCTACGCAACGGCACCGTGCTGAGGATGGTTGACCGCTCCCCAGGCTCCTCCTCGGCCATGCATCGCACCCAGAGCCTTGACTATGGTGTTGTGATCGAGGGCGAAATGGAGTTGATCATGGATTCTGGGCAGATTGTTACATTGAAGCGAGGAGATGTCTGCGTTCAGCGAGGTACTTTACATCAGTGGCGAAACCCCGGGAGTACCTGGAACAGAATGCTTTTTGTGTTGATCGACGCTTTGCCGCTCGAGGTGGGTGGGGTCGTCCACAAAGGCGAGACAGGCTATGAGCACGTCAAAGAGATAGCTTCTCGTCTCTAGAGCCATCTGGCGGCGTGGTGGCCACTTCGATGCTGGGCTGGGAGGAAACATACACTCGTCGATAGTCCCTTGGGTACAAGGATAGAGGGCGCGATCAGTCACAACGCTTAGAATACATCTCCACTTGATCATGAACTATGACTTGGCGTGCCGGCTGCAGTCATATCATTCTGAGAACGGTGGGAAGAGCATCTATCCGTGGTAGGGCGATGTGGTTAGCTGACTGCTATGAAGCTTTGCATTCCCACAGAGAGCTACCTATGCTGATCTCTCGACAAGTGCAAAATAGTCAGTCGACTCGGCCAGGAGATTGGAGTTAACAGCCGAATCTCCGTACACTTCACGGTCAGGTCGTGCTACCACTGTGCTTGGCCGGCCGTAGCGGCTCAAATTACAATGGTAGGTCCGCTAATAGCTGCTGATAGTAGTGGTGCAGTGTATCCGAGGTGTCAAGGTCGAAGCATTCAGAAGCATTCGGGCCGAATGACCCCAGCTTGATGACCACCCCGAATCTCTTGGCCCGCTCGCTGCTCGTCGCCAGTCACGAACCAATGCAGACTTCCTGAAGAGCTGGAGCGGGACAGTCGCAGTCTACCGCGCTGAGATTGTGGATCTAGCTATGCATGCATGCATGTTCCAGACTATTCAGCTCACATGCGAAATCCGGGGGCCCGCAGAAGCGAGTGCGAATGGGATGGGACCATGGCGATTCCAGCATCCTAGCACCCTCATAAGATACTAATAAAAAGACGACCGCCCTTTCTCCTTGCCAGCAGCCCGTCACTCACTCCCAAGACACTGTCCATTCTTTCCCTCTAGAGCCCCTTTCAGAACAACATGTCGTCTTCTTCAATCAAGACCCTGTTACATCGTCTCGAAGTCAAGCATGACGGAGAGGTCTACTCGGACCGACCGCCCACAAGATGGGGCAACCGAGACGTCTTCCCCGTGCCGCTGGAGCAACGACGCTATACGGCCGTCCACTACATCTCGTACTGGTCCATCGCCTCCTTGAGTGTCACCTCGTGGGCTTACGGCGGGAGTGTTGTTGCCCTGGGTCTGAGTGCTGGGGAGGGTATTGCCTGTTGCGTGATCGGATCGCTCTTCGTGGGCGTCTTTGCTTTCCTCTGTGGCCATCCGGGGGCAGCTATGCACGTAGGGTATGTTACATCCCTTGGATTCCCGGTCTAAGGCATTTTGACTGTGGTTGTGACCCTAGATATACCGCTTTGGCGAGAGTGACGTTCGGACTCTACGGTTCTTACATCCCCGTGCTCCTTCTGGTATTGGAAAACGTGGTCTTTGTAGGTTTATATATCTCGGCCTGTCTCGCAGCAACGCAGCTGACTGACTGATCGACCAGTTCGGCATCCATGCGTACTTTGGAGGGCTCGCGGCCACGATCTTCATCAATGCACTGTCGCCACACTTTATGAATTGGAAGAACACGCTTCCAGAAAGGTGGATGTTCCCCGTCCACACCCAGATGTCCATGCTAAAGAGCGTCAAAGCGCGGGGATTACCTCCCAGGCCCTGATCGGTTTCGTCATCTACTTTGTCGTCTTTTTGATCTTGTTGATGATCCACCCTTCCAAACTCAAGCACCTGGTCTGGCCCGCGGCGCTCATCATCGCAGTCGTGTTCCTGGGCCTGCTCGGCTGGGCGATCAACGCCAACGGCGGCACGGTGGGCAATCTACTGGCTGGCAAGATCCATCTTTCGTCTACCGACAAGTCCTTTGCCATGCTCTACGCCATCTCCAGCGCCGCGGGGTCGTCCACCGCCTTCTCCAGCCGTATTTCGGACTGGACGCGGTTCGCTGTGACCAAGAACTCGGCGACCATCCCCATGCTGGTCTTTGCGCCCGCCTTTGGCTGCATCGGGCCCATTTTTGGCATTCTCGGCACCAGCGCCGTCTACTCCCGCTATCAGGTCGTGGAATGGAATCCCCTGGGTCTGCTCCTCTACGTGCAGGAGACGCAGTATACGGCGGCGTGCAGAGCAGCCACTTTCTTCGCGGGACTGGGGCTCTTCTGTGCGATTATCATGGTCAGTGTTTGCCAGCGCGGTATCTCGCGTACGACAGTCCATCTGCTGACCACTCTATCTCCCGCTAGAACAATCTCATGGGCAAAATCAGCTGCGCCGGGATGGACTGTGCAGGATTGTTCCCCAAATACATCACGACTCGGCGTGGCAGCTATCTTCTTACTATCATCGGCATTGTCATCCAACCCTGGAGACTTGTGAACAGGTCCAGCACGTTCTTGACGGTTCTGGCTTCCTTTGGCGGTGTGTATTCCCAAGTTACAAGGACATATCGGAGAGCATGGAGCTGATGTGAGGCACAGTCTTTGTCGCCCCGATGACTGGCATCTTAGCTGCAGACTACTGGATCATCCGGAGGCGCAAGTGGGTCATACCGGACATCTACAAACAGGATGGCATTTATTGGTACACCTTTGGCGTCAACTGGCGGGCCTACGTGGCTTTCATCATGAGCTTCGTCTTTGACTTACGTGAGTTTTCTTTGCTATTCAATCCGACTTTCCTGCCACATCAAGGTCATGGTCACTGACTGACTAACTACGCCCCTTTTCTTTAGCCGGATTTGCCGCTTCCGTCAACCACACGGCCATCGCACCGGGATGGACGCGGATGTACGACATGTCCTACATTGTCAACTTGGCCATCGCGACCTTGATCTTCTGCTGCCTGTCGTTCGCTTTCCCTCCCAAGGGACTGGGCGTCGCCGAGGCGTGGGATGACGGATCGGTCGTGGAGGACACCAAAGTGATGGACCCGAGGGTGGAACACGAAGAAAAGGAAGAGCGCGTCGTCGAGGTCGAATGCTTGCCAAAGTCGACCACGGCTTGAATCATCCAGACCAAAGCACTCTTTCTGCTTGTGCAGTGAGAATCAACTTGTGAATACTGCTTGATATACAGAAGGTGCGGAGACAGTGGCACGTTGACGAATGTGGAAAACGGTGTCACTATTACCCTCCACGCCATATACAAAGCGTAGGATCAAAGCCATATTAGATAGCACACCAAAGCTGGGTATTGCACTAATCATCAAGACTCTTGTCGTCTGTAAATATGCCATAGAACCGCTGGCTAGAGAAGAACGCACATACCACAGTGGCCGCCTTATCGACATCAATATGAATCGATCATGTGCTCTGTTAAGCCAAGGCCACATCCGTCTCCCTCAAAGTGCTTTTGAATAATGTGGAGCCTATCTTCGCTCGTGACGCTTCCCTCTCCGCCATATTGATATTCGGGCCGAATGCTCGGTAGGAAGTCGGAACGTCACTCCACAAACAAGACACAAATTGCGGAGACGCTTTTGTCAAGCCGCCCAGGAACACGATTTGTATTTCGTCCGGGGTACAATGGTCCGGAGTTGCCACTGGGGTCTCCTACCTCGGGCCCGAGCTCGATGGACTACAAGTCCATCGACGACATAAATGGGTGACTTGGGACAGGTTCACATCGACAAGACATAGTCCTCAACCCCATACCGAACTACTAGGCAAGCCTCACCCAGAGTCCGGACACGGTGATTGAATCCACCGCTGAAAAAAGTCCCTCAACATGCCCGAAGACGCACCCGTCGAGATCGGCAAGAACCATGTGTTCTCGTCTGGTCGGAGCTCGACCCGCTACTTCAAGGACGGCTACTTCGACTACAACTTCGAGAAGTTCCTGGGCCTGGCCACCTACTCGGGAGCTGAGATCGCCGAGTGCTTCGAGACGGCAGCACGCATCACCGACGGCGACCCGGAGAGCTGGATCCAGGCGTGGACCAGCACCGCGCGCCGCGTCGAGGCCTATGCCGAGAACGCCATGAAGGGCGGCCATACAGTCAGCGCGCGCGAGGCCTGGCTGCGCGCCACCACGTACTACCAAGCGGCCTTCTTCTTCGTGCCCGACAAGGACCCTCGCAAGGCCGAGCTCTACTGGAAGCACACGGGCTGCTTCCAATCTGCGGGAAAACTGTTCGACCCACCCTTCGAGCCGCTCGCCATTCCCTATGACGACGGCGGCAAGAAGAAGACCCTCTTTGGGTACTTCCTCCGCTGCGACGACAAGTCCTCGCGGCGGCGGCCCACGGTGCTCATCCAGATGGGCGCCGACGGCAGCTCCGAGCAGATCTACTTCTCGGGCGGCGGGGCGGCCGCCCTGCGTCGTGGCTACAACGCCCTCATCTTCGAGGGCCCCGGCCAGACAGGCACGTTCATGCGTGACCGCAGCCTCACCTACCGCCACGACTGGGAGGTGCCCGTAGCCGCCGTGGTCGACTACGCCCTGACCCGGCCGGAGGTGGATCCCCAGCGTATCGCCCTGATCGCATACAGCATGGGAGGTTACTTCGGACCGCGGGCGGTGGCGTTCGAGAAGCGCATCGCGGCCTGCATCGCCAGCGGGCTGGTGCCGAGCATGCTAGCCCTGGCGGGTAGTCGGATCGCCGCGATTCGCAACGTGAAGGACGGCCAGTACAACCACGCGGCCCGGTACGCGCTGTTCGAGCACATGCCCAAGTACGGCCTGGACCACGACGTGCAGGACCTCGACAAGCTGGAGGCCATCTGGGAGAAGTTCCAGCTGTACGGGCTGGAGGACCAGATCACCTGTCCGCTGCTGGTCGTCCAGGCCGCCGCCGAGGGCGAGCACCAGACCCGGCTCGCGCGCGACTTCTTCGACAAGCTCCCCAACCCCAAGAACGTGTTCCGTCTCACCACCGAGGACGACGCCGCGGAGATGCACTGCCAGAAGGGCAACGCCATGCTGCTGCATGCCATCGAGTTTGATTGGTTGGACGATGTAATGGCATGAAAAAAGACTGGAGAGATGGGTGGTGTATGAGACGGACCAGAGAAAGATAGCCTGCCCCATCCGAGGTAGTTTTGGCATTGTGGCGCAAAAAACAAACAAACAAAGAATTCTAGTTCACACAAACCCGGATTTCAGATCTTCAAAATCATGATGCCAAGGTTTCGCTACGCGAGGTTCCCATAGTAGATCTCCTCTGAGTCCCTGGCAACTCGTTTCCGCCTACCTGTCTTCGTCACCGCGTAGCCAGTCCATCATTCGGCCCGTTCGGCAGCTCTTGTGGTGAGAACGACCAAATTCGGGAATGAATAGACCCCCTAGTTCCCAGGCTCCGTTTCCTTGGCTGCCACATGGATGGATGTCAGGAATATATGGCTTGATCATACGACGGGTGGATGGCTTCTCGGTGAACGATATTTGCTAGAACTCGCTCTTGATGCTGGGAGCCCTATTTTGTATAGATGTTTCGTCTCTGGCGTCCTCGGCTCACTTGCAATCAATTGTAGGTGCTGGGTTCTCATGACCCGGGCCACCCTCAAGAGCAGATTCCCCATTACCAACCCATCTCCGCTCGAGACTCAGCACACCCCAAACCAGGCATGTCGGTGCGGGCATGGACCAGCTACATGATGACGACTTTGAAGATTCTCCTGAACCAGCTGAGAAGAACCTACCGCGAGGGCTGGGCCATCTACGCAGAGCATGCTCCCGTGATGTAGAGTTCGTGGGAGCTGCGCTGCTCTACCCAGCCGGCGAGAACAATCCATTGATTTGCCTTATCAATGGAATATAGTGAGTTCTAAACCAATTCCCTAGAGAGCCCAAGACTATTTGTCTCGCAAGCCTGGAAAGCAGTACTGACTAGCTAGGTCGCCCTTACGCTCCAGCTGACGAACTTGTTAAGATTGGGACTGGTTGAGTGGTTTCCTCCCGTATTTGGCACATGAGCGGTCAGGCAGTCCAGAGCGAAATGGAACCGTGCAGACCAGGAGTGGAGTGGCAGCAGGAGAAGATTCACTTGCTTTGTCGAATAGAATGCCCATGAAGATGACGGTTTCAAAAATCAAGATGGCACAGGGAGAGTGGCGAGGCTGAACATGTGTCATTATGGGTCTCGGGGTGTCGAAAAGCGGAACTGACACTCAAAACTAGTCTGTTTCGGGTTAGCGAGGTATATATAACCTAATGAGCCCCGGTCACTGTTCTCAGGCTCGTTTCTCCAGCTTCTTACACCGTCAACATCTCTCCGTGCCGATTCTCAAGCTACGGTCCGGCACAACAACTAGGCACAGCCTGAACTGTGTCCATTAACCCTACGAGGGCGCTATATGATGTGAAGTATCCATCTATCTATCAGCGACTCCGTTGCCAATCAAAACACCGCAGGGGCTTTTCCGACTTGGCCCCCACATCCTCTCACTCCCATCGGCCCGTCGCTGTCACTCACATTCGGGGTGCTCATTCAGAAAGTCCCGCCTGGTTTCTGGAAACCCATCCAAGGTGGGCTCGGATGCGTTTCCATCACATCACATGCTCTGACATTTCCGGAACCGTGGGGAGAAATGCCTGGCCATACCCGGTCGCCAAGTACTATTTGTACCTAGGTCGACGATAATTCAACAGCAACAAGTTCGATACGTCCACGCCGTCGTCTCGGTGGGGATAATCTCGACGTCGTATACGCAACACTCATCCTCTGAGTCCGGAACGTGACACTTGAACACATCTAGATCTCCAGAGCTGGATAATTCCCCCGGCACGCACCAGCATGGCTTCGGAACATTCCATTCCACGGAAGCTGTGGGAGCATCCAGATCCAAAGAGCACTCATATGTACAAATTCATGAGGAAGGCTGAAAGAGAAACAGGCAGGATGTTCAAGGTACGGCCTCTGTCTGTAGAAGGCTTTTTCCATGCAGGCGGATACTCATTACATGCCAGGACTACGCCTCGCTCTACCAATGGTCAATCAAGCACCGCTCCGAGTTTTGGCGGTTCGCGCTCGACTACTTCCCCATTGTCTACTCGGGCAAGGTGCCAAATCCCGTCGTCGACGAGAAAGCCAGGATCGACACGGTTCCGAAATGGTTTCCAGGTGTCAAGATCAACTTCGCCGAAAACGTCCTCTTCTTTGGGGATGAAGACGGCCGCGCGACACCCAGATCGGGAAAGGAAGACGATAAGATTGCCTGCACCGAGGTCAGGGAAGGGTGGCACTCGACCGAAGCTATCAGGCAGGTGACCTGGAAAGAACTTCGACACCGAGTCGGCCACTTGTCGCAAGCGATGAGAGCGCACGGGATTCGGAGAGGCGATCGGGTCGCCCTGGTCGCCAGCAATTCATTGGATACCTTGACCGTCTTCCTCGCCGTTACTGCACTCGGAGGGATCTTCTCAAGCTCGAGCACCGACATGGGGACCAAGGCTCTTCTCGAACGGCTGGTGCAAATCGAGCCGAAGCTGATATTTATGGATGACTGGGCGGTCTACAACGGCAAGCGGACCGATCTGAGACCGAAAATGAGAGATCTTGGGCGAGCGATGAAGGATGTCAGGGGCTTCCAAGGCATCATAGCCCAGGCGAGGTTCCAAGATGCGCCTGCTGATGTCTCCTGCGTGCCAAATTGTCGCCCCTGGAATGCCTTCATTTCCGCGGCGGGACACTCGTCCGCGTTAGAGTTTGAACAGGTGAATTTTGGCGATCCCATGATCATCGTCTACTCTTCAGGCACTACTGGGCTGCCGAAAGCGATCGTGCACTCTGTCGGCGGCGTGGTACTAAGCGGCCACAAGGAATCGACTTTACACCGCCAGGTGGACTCGACATCAACACAACTACAATACACAACCACCGGGTGGATGATGTACATGAGTTCCGTGCAATTGATGTTGACGGGCGCCAGACTCATCATGTACGATGGCAGTCCATTCATCCCGGACGCGGCAGCCTTGATCCGCATTGTGAACCAGCAGAAAATCACCCACTTGGGAATCTCGCCTCGCTATCTACAGACCCTGCAGATGAAAAATATTAGTCCAAGGCGCATTGCGGACCTTGGACACTTGCAGATTGTCACTAGCACGGGTATGGTCTTGTCTGACGCTCTGTTCGAATGGTTCTACGATGTCGGCTTCCCATCCTCGGTTCAGTTGTGCAACGTCTCCGGCGGTACAGACATTGCCGCCGCGTTCGGCACCGCGAACCCTCTCCTCCCCGTGTACGTGGGTGGTTGCCAATGCGTGGCCCTCGCCATGGCCGTCAGTGTCTACGACTCCTCGATAGAAGGCGGACGCGGTGTGAAAGGACGACCCGTCCCTGACGGTGTCCCTGGTGAACTCGTCTGCACCGAAGCCTTTCCTACGATGCCCGTCAAGCTCTGGGGCGCGGATGGCGAGAAGCGGTATTTCAGCAGCTACTTCGAGAAATACGACGGCTGCTGGACGCACGGCGATTTCGTCATGATTCACCCTGTGACCAAGCAGGTGCTTTACTTTGGTCGCGCCGACGGCGTCTTGAATCCCAGCGGCGTGCGTTTTGGCAGTGCGGACATCTATGGGGTGATCGACACATTCTTTTCCGAGACCGTGGCTGACAGTATCTGCGTCGGGCAGCGGCGGCCTCAGGATGACGATGAGAGCGTAATGCTCTTCCTGCTCATGAAGCCCGGCCAGCGCTTCACGGCTGACCTGGTGAGGGAAGTGAAGGCGGTGATTCGCCGAGAGCTCTCGCCGCGCCATGTCCCCCGCTATGTGTTCGAAACGCCAGAAATCCCGGTAAGTTGGGGCAAAGCAACAGTCCTTCCCAGAAACTGAGATCGTTCTTGCTCAGACAGTGCTGACCTATTATTTTTTTCGAGTCGGCAGACCACAATTAATGCAAAAAAGGTAGAACTCCCGGTCAAGCAGATCGTCTCGGGCAAGGTCGTGAAGCCGTCAGGGACATTGGCCAATCCCGGAAGTCTGCAGTACTACTACCAATTCGCCAAAGATGAAAACTTGGCGCCTCAACCCAGAGCCAAGTTGTAGATGGTAGAGCCGGCTTGATACGCCTTAGAGGATATACTTGTGTGGCGCGGGATACATTGATTACATCAATCGAATAGAAAGCATTCGATATACGGGACCCTGCTGCCAGGAGGGCGTAATAGATGAACGTCATAAAAGTACTGGTAGAAGACATGACTAACCCGATGAGGCCATCTCGCTCCCCATTGGCTGACAGCCCGACACGCGAGTTCTTTCCCCATGCGCGTCATAATCCGACGCGTTGTTTGCTCCAACACGTGGATTCATCCTCTCGTGTCACCAACCATGTCTTGCCCACCAACGTCAAACTAACCTGCCAACTGGTAATTTGGAACTTTCCGGTTTGTCTTCTGCATCGTTACTCAGGCGTTGTGACTGGAAATGTCATTTGCCTTCAAAGTACTACATCTTCTGTGACGGAGTCTCTCACTCGCCGACCCCTCGTTTCGCACACTGAAGTTCCAGCAACGTCACACAACATTTTAAAATGGACGAACCTGACCTCCCTCCTCTCTCGCGGTCCACCCGAGCAACAGACATTCACGCTCACTCTCGACTCGCTCCCCCTCTGGTCCGAAAAAGGACGTACTCCGACCACGACTACGAACCCGCTGCCGTGTCCAGTGACCCTGCTCTGTTCTCTAGCGACGAGACGGCCCCCGGCGCCGAGAACTACGTCTCGGGCAAGAGGAAGAAACGCACCTTCAGGGGGTCGTGGTGGGATCGCCACCCGGCTGAGCCTGGAACGAGGACGGGCTTGAGGGAGAAGCGCCAGTTCAGGAGGAATTTTGACTCGGGCATCTTCATGGGCAGTGAGAGCGAGGAGCCCCTCTCGAGTGATTCAGTCACGATCGAGGAGGAGTTTCTGAGGGATGTGCGAGAGGACAAAGACAACAATGTTCAAGCGGGGCCTTTCACATTCGGGCTGGAGGAAGGCGATCACATCCAACCGCGAAGGAAGCACGCCTCCGGAGCGATGATTCAGATTCCCAAGGAGCACGAGGTGGTTTGCGAGATTATCAAGCAGTGCCTCGACCATGGGAAAGAGGATGTGGATTTGTCGTACGTGGCCCGGGTCTACAAAGCCAGAGGAATCCGTGGTGCTGACAAAGATTTAGATCCCTGGCTCTATCGAGTTTACCTGCCGACATCACATCACTGCAAACACTCAGCAAACAAGACGAGCTCACTCCAGGTATGCTGCACATTGGTACTAATCTTGAACCCGAACTACGACTCTTCCTGGGCAACAACTCTTTTACCAGAGTACCAAGTCCCATCTTCAGCCTTCAAAACCTCCGCGTCTTGTCTCTCCGCAACAACAATCTCACATATATCCCGAGTGCAATAGGGGAATTGGTCAACCTCAAGTCACTGAACATTGCGGGAAATCAATTGTCGGAGCTGCCCACGGAGATCCTCGACCTTGTCACTGACCACGCCTTGGAAAAGCTAATGCTGAATCCGAATCCCTGGCTCAGCTCCGATGGAGTGACGACGGACTGGTCTGTAATCTCGATACGGGCAGGAAATCTTAAACTCTGCAGGCAGCACAGCGGCGTCATAGCGAAAGCCAATTATTTCCCCCAGGACTTCCCTCAAGTCCCAACACTCACCGAATTAGCTCTTCGCCAACTCTCCAGGTACGACCCAACGGGCGACGTCGACTTTGTCGCTTATATGCCCCCAAACACGCCCGAAACAGTGTTGAGCCAGCTAAGAGCGCTTAAGCAGCAGCCGGCACGTCGGTGCACCGCGTGCAAAAAAGCAATTGTGCTGGCACGAGAAGAATGGCTGGAATATTGGGTCATTACGCGAGCCTCGCCGATTGACAGAGGCTGCGCTTCTGCTAGGAGGAGTGCCGTGGTACCCTTTCGCAGGCTACGGTGCTGGGAGTGCTCCAAAAGCTCTAGGTTGAGCGACGCGGGCTGGGATAAGGTCCTGCCGAAACCATTATGATTTTCTGCGCGGAACTGCAGAGTTTCGCGAGCTCGGAAAAGAGTCCTCATGTAATACAAGAGGGGGAATGGACAGATGGTGTCTCCGCCTGCCGGTGGCGTCTGGTGCCCGCGCTGCTCCTAGGACGGAAGAGAATCGTCCGGGAGAGGTCTTTCGGGTCTCGTGTGCTGGGTGGAAACTCGATCCGAATTTTGTGAAGCATGAAAATTGCCGGCAATGTGGCCGAGATCAGACGGGAATCCAATGTGGTGATGACCGAGTGCTTTTTTCCCGTGAGAGTATTTCTGAATCGTGAGAGACTGTGAATCCGCCTAGGGCAGCTCATGAAAAGGCCGGCTTCCGACGGTTTCGGTTCAACAATGGCAACGCTGAGGGTCATTTCTCTCCTCCCGTCGTGGAACCGGGAAAACCAGACCAAGTACTGTAAGCAGATCCATCCTAGATCCATCCATAGGTACGGAGGAACAAGATAACCATCCTAACTGACGGGGAAGAATGCGTGAGCACCTACATAATCAATACCTGTCTTCGCCATGATCGATCTCATGTGGTCACGTGGCAGGCTCAAGTGACTCAGGGGGGGACCACATGGGTCTGTCTATGTAGACGGACAAGACGGGCAAAAGACGGGATGGCACTCAAGGTGGATGGATGGTTGAACATTATTTGTATCCTTGTTTCTCTTTGAGAGTCAGGTAGGCGGCTGGGGATGATGCTGAGTGATTGATTGATTGATTTGCTCCTGACATTACAGACGGGGGGGCCAATCTGACTATCTATCTATCTATCAATCCATAACCCCCCTCCAAGAATGGATGGAGACAGAGAAGAATGCAGAGAGAGAGAGAGAGAGAACAGAACGTGCAGGAACCGTCCCTGTAACAAACAGATCAATCGACCGACCCCTAGAAAAAGAAAATAGAAACAAAAATAAAATAAGAGAAAAACTATTATTTTTCGTCTGTGCTTATTACTGTTTCGAGAGACACACCCACTTTTCAGTCTGGTTAGCCCCCCAAAGAAGAAGAAGATCCTGGCTGGCTACTCCCTCCAAAGTTCGGTTGGGTGAGCGATGAGAAAGACCCCGACGCAAGCAGGAAAGACCAGAAAGAAAACTGCTGTTGGTGGACCTTGAACAAAGTAGGTGTGCGCGAGCTCCTTTTTACCTGTCAATCCTTGCGCCTTTTATCTCCTTTTCTCGTCGCTTCTGCTCCCGAAATATATGGTACTGCAATTGTCGCTTTTGTGAGGCCTGGCTGGGTGGGTAGACGCTACCCCGTCTGTGTCAATATCTCCAGCATTTTGATGTCACAGGGGATTTTTTGTTCTTCTCGCCTCCCTCCCTTCCAAGTGGTTCCTTTTTTCTCATTTCTGACCGTCGCCATGGCCATAAGCTTGATTCCGGAACGGGTTCTGGTCAGCGTATGCGTGGTCCACCATCTTGGACTCCGCGATGATCCGCCGTTCAATCTCCGCCTTCCAGTTGTCCGTCGTGCACTGTTTCCGCTCCGCTTGGTGCTTCGCCGTGTCGCCCGGGTTGCTGCTCAGGCTCTCGCGCGACTTGGGGTCGCCGAAGTAGATGTCCTCCATGCACGAGTTGAGCTCGCTGACGCGCTCGCCCGCATGATTGATCTTGTCGGATGCTGACGTGGGCGATTTGATGGCGGATCTGACGAGCGCGGCCTTCACCTTTTTGATTGGGGACAGTCGGTCCTTGGGATCCAGCATCTTTCCCTGTGGTTGGTCTTGAGAAAGGGAAACAAGATTGTTAAAAGGCCGCAGCCGGTAATGACAAGGCGTCCTCAAAGGCGTGAGGGAGATAGATCAGAAACCAGTGACAGATGGTGGTGCATATCGGGTCGGGGACACTGTCACCAGAATGAACCTCACCGAAACTTGACGACTGGCTGATCGGTTTCACGCACGGGGTTGGAGCGAAATTTCCCCCGGTTTTGACGTACTGTATGTCCGGAAGACGCGGTGCAAAAGATGGAGTCGACGTATTGACAGCCCTGAAAGAACGTATTCCGATGGATGGTGGTCGACCAGATGCCTGCTTTGGGAACATAAGCGGGAGTTGTTTATACCCTGCCTCGGGGAATGGGATAATCGGGTCGAGTAGCTAGGAGTAAGTCCTCCAGCTGGGTGAGAGAAGGTAAATACGTGATGGTCGGGGAGGAAGAGTTTCGGAGAGGGATCGAGGTAACGGTCGAATGAGGTTCTGCCCTGGAACAATCGGTAAGGAGGCCACAGATACGCACAGGTTTTGGTTCAGACGCCAGCACTCCCATCGTTCGCAACATCGCCATCACCTGAGTATCGTTGCCGTCGACCTCAGGTATACAGGCAATGATGCGTTGTCATAGATCTTAATGCTGTGGAACATGTCACAAGCACTGCTGGGCTGACAAGCCGGAGCTCAGGTGCAGCCATTACCTCTGTGCGAGAGAGATCATCATCAATGTTCGTAATGGTATCCGAGCAGTTTGCATTCGTCGACCGACGTGGGTCTATGGGTATCTCGAATCGTAACATCGTACTGTCAAGGAAAATCGTGGACCCTGGCATACCGGTCAAAACTCAGCGCTCGAAAAAGCCACCATCGCTCATTTCACCATCCTGGTCACTGTCCAGATCCGCCGGATCGATGATACCATCGTCGTCAAGCCACGAAGGTTTCGTCTCTTCCAGTTGATTCCCAGTTACACTCCGCATTTCGGCCTCCTCCTTCCCACCGAGCGAGGCGAGCTCCTTCTGGAGACGGTTGCCGGTGGTCAGCTTGCCTTCGCGTAGAGCTTCCAGCTTGGCCTCCCCTTCTTCCATCAGCTTCTCGACTTCATACCACATCGGTGGCTTAGCTCCGTTGGCGGATCGGACGATATTACTCATGTGGTCGACGAAATGGCGCTTCTCATCTTGCTGATCTCTGTCTAATTCTTCCATCTCCGACTTGCTGATCTTTGGCTTGTTCTTTTTGCCCTTTGCCTCGTCAACATACAAGCTTATGTACTTCTCCCCTAGCGGCGCGTACTTGGTGTAGTTGATGTCTACCTGGGCCACGTGTATCAACTCTTCCAGTTCGCTTTTGTTGGCAGGCTCATTGTATTCTGCAGAGTCTCTCCGCCTAAGCAATTGTTTCAGTGATCTTTCTGCCTTCTTGCGCTCCATGAAGCGGACAAAGTGATAGCGTTGGAGGTTTCTTCTTGCATGTTGTGCGGCCCGAGCTCGTTTCTGATCGAAGAGCAAAGCAGCTAATTCACGTTCCTTCTCTTGTCGCACGGTGCCAGGCAGCTCTCCGGGCGACGACAACAACCTGCGCAGAGAGTGTATTCTTGTTGAAGGGTTCGTAGTTCGCTCGTGTTTTGTTTTCGAGACCGCAGACCGAACAGGTGGCAGACTCGGTGAAGCGCCCTGGGGCTTGTTGTGACCCAAATCTTGATCGACACGGTTCTTCTGGCGGGTTCGGTCTTGTCGTGGGCGATAGGACTCGGGCTGTGCATAGGTTGGTCTGTAGCTAGAGCCGGTCGATCGGCGTGTAGGTCGTTTGCTGGACATGATGGACAACTAGCATCTCCAGAGTATAATTGAGCACAGTTTTCGAGGACAACCTATCAAGTCAATAAAGAGAGAGGGGAGGCATGCTGATATTCCACGGGAAAATCGAGACTTTATATCGTTGGAAAAGTCACAAAGTGAACTTCCTCCGAAAAAAGTTCTGCCGCAATTCACCGCCTTCGAGACCTGCCATTACGAACTAAACCTTTTCCGGACGGGCGATTTGACTTCATCTTGTCGTATTAGAGCAACCTGTATCATGGTCATGCAGCTCTTAAAGGGCGATAAAGTATCTACAATTCTGACCTAAAAGGCTATTTGTAGCATGGGACGTGGAGTTGTGCGGCAGACACGATGAAGATATAGGCTATCAAGGCGGAAGCCTACCACGGCAAGATGGAGGCCGCTGTGCGTTTCTCCCAGAACTCGTCTCCCGGGCACCAGCAACGATTCCTGTACGTCGATGTCGTCGGAAAATCATTCAGACTGTGCAACATCACCAAACAGACCAAAAATGACTTCAGATACGAACCCATCCATACTTCAACCAAAGTGCCGGCGTTTCGCGCCTTCGACTGGCATCCCATCAACGAGGATCTGGTCGTCGTCGGTCAGGCCGGCGGCGAAGCTACGCTTTTGAACATAGCAGAGGGCCAGCAGGACTCCCTCTCTTTTCAAGTCAGAAGCCAACGCCTGTGCAACGCCGTGGCCCTCAACAGCCAAAATCTCTTGGCGGCTGGCCTCGACAAAGTGAGGACAGATTTTTGTCTCAATATATGGGATTTTAACCAGCGGCTGCCTACCGCGGGCTCAAAGGGGTTTTCTAAGAACTACTCAGATCCCCTCCATAAGTTGGCAAGTGGGGAGCCCATCACCAGTTTGAAGTTCTTTCAGGACAACCCTACGCTTCTGGTTGCGGGGGTCAAAGGTCAATTTGTCCGATTGTACGATTTGCGAGAGCCGTCCATTGGTAACGGACTGCAATTTGCGACTCGGTGTGTTCATAACTTGGCCATCGACTGGCGGGACGAGAACTACTTTGCTTCTTGCTACCCGACGAACGATCCTTCGATATGTGTTTGGGATCGAAGAATGATCAGCCGCGTCAACACGCCACATATGGGTTTCGTCGGTGGCTCCCATAGTGAAAACCGCCAGCCTGAGCTGTCGCTGGAGTTGAAGAGCGTCGTCGAAAGCCCAGGGACAATCTGGAGCGTGAGGTTTTCAAAGGCTGAACGAGGATGCTTGGGCGTTCTTTCTAGTACAGGGCAGCTGAAAGTATACAATTTGGGCAAAGAATTTGCTTCAGAGACCTACAAGATCGAAAATGATGGAGGCCATGATCTCTCATGGGAAACCAGCGCACCGCAGGAAATATTTCTTAACCGAGCGCAGGACCTTGAGAAGCAATATGCAACTCCTTCTGCTGCGAGAGACGAAAAATCGAGGGTTGTGTCATTCGACTTCACGACAACGACGACAAAGATGAGGCAATCGAGAATGTTGGTCCTAGATGGACGGGGTCAAGTCAAGATCACTTCCCCAAGCCCTCCTCCAGTACCCTCAGCTCTTTCTTCGGCTGGATATCTGTGCAAAGGCAGCCACCTCGTCGAAGAAATGCCCATGGCCACCACTGAACCAGGAATCCTGTTCGAACAAATTCGGCGCCGAGCTCAGCCTCGAAACATTCTCAGACAGACGTTGAGGCAATCGCGACAGAACAGGACAAGTTCTGACACGAAACGAATGTCGAGCCTTGATGATCAGGCCTGGCACGCAGATTTAGGATACTATGAAAAGGACGTGCCATTGCCCGACCTTGTGGCATTGACCTCGCTCCAGCGGCTGCGTTGCGAAGCGGGCTATCTCTTGAACCCCTCCAAGAATAAAGCCATTGTCTCAGACTCCCACTGGCTTCAGTCGTTCTGGGCTTGGGTGGAACGTGCTGCGAAAATATCCAAGAACGGCAACATGGCACACGACAATTTTGATCTCTCTTACGTCGGAATTTATGGTCTTTGGATGGAAGACATCGATCCCAAGCATCGAACGCTCGGCCAGACCCCTAACAAACTTGGCAAAACCATTGAGAATCTGGTGCGACGCTTGAACATACCAGGGATCAACAAAACGACAACCGAATATCCTGCTAACAGGCAGCTTTGCCTTTATTCAGCCGGCCTAGCGTGGTCCTCTGATGAACTGGACCTGATCGTGAAACGGCTGGTGACCAAAAATCAGCACACCAAGGCGGCAGCCATGGCTCTGTTTGCGATGGATCGCAAACTGGCGTACAAGGCTCTCCGCAGCAAGACTGCCAATCAGTCCCACAAAATGCTAGCTATGGCAATTGCAGGTGCATTCAAGAAAGCCCGAGATGAAGAAGCTGGGACGAGGAGCACTGATGAGTCGGATGCCCAGAATGATTGGGCTGACACTATTTCATCCCTTGCCGATGACTTGACCGATCCTTATGCCCGAGCAATCCTGGCATATGTCAAATCCGGGGATTGGTCGAATGTTGTTACCGAAGAATCTCTCCCTCTCAAATACCGCGTCTGCATCGCTTTGCGACACTATGACGACTCGAAGCTGACAAATTATATCTCTCAAGCGACCAAGGAAGCAGTGACTACAGGTGACATTGAAGGTGTCGTTTTGACTGGTACGGCTACGCAGGCTGCTTTCGACCTGATGAGCGGCTATGTTCAGCGCTTCGGCGACCTACAGACAGCGGTACTGGCGCTTTCCTCGACCGTTCCACGGTACCTAGACGATGAGGCGGTGCTGCGCAAGTTCAATGGCTGGAAAGATGCCTACAGGCATATGATGAACAGTTGGAATTTGAAGTTTGACAGGGTTCGATTTGACATTGCCTGCCAGAATGCCGCCAGAGACGAAGCAGGGAGACCGCTCATAGCACCGGCAAAGCAACAAGTAGGCCTCGTTTGCAAATTTTGCGCACAGGGCATCGCACATCTGGCTGGCATGAACGGCGAAAACGGCCCAGGTCACAAGGTTGTGGAAACCCCACGTCACCCACTGACCAAGGAGAAGGCCGCGGCCATAGGCATAGTCTGCCCCAAGTGCGAAAGACACTTGCCACGTTGTGGAGTCTGCGACCTCTGGCTTGGAGTTCCCGACGAATCGTATCTACCGTGGTACGGGTCGCAGCCGGCGTCGAAGCATGATGCTGGCAAGGTAAATCATGATCTCAGTGCCAGTGTTGCAGGGAGTATCCAGACAACACTGGGACCTGACTCCATGACCGGGTCAACCGTCAAAGGAACCAGCTCTCCTCGGCCTAGACACTCGGGTCCAGGGAACTCGAAGATTTCCTTAAGTGATTCCTCGACAAGGACGGCCGTACCTAGTCCCCAGGCAGTCGTCAAGGGGACGGATTCTGTTCCCGACATCATGGTGGCTGCGCCGTCAGGTTCGGCGCCAGATCAGGAGCCTGATGGCGGAATGGGGATGGCTGAGAACGCAAGGAGGTGGGATAGCGCGATGTCTCGCTTCACAGTGATGTGCCTCAAGTGCTCTCACGGGTGTCACGCCGCACATGCACGGATGTGGTTTGAAAAGCATCGTGTGTGTCCCGTTCCAGATTGTACATGTCTGTGCAACGAGTGAGCAATTCGTTTCCAGGATAAGGGTTGGTCTCGAGGTGGGAACCCAAGTTGGTATGCCAGCCAACACTTCCAAGACTGGAGGAGACCCGTATGCCACGAAGTCCCAGGACTTTCTTCTCGCCCAACAGTATCGCTGGGAGCTTCAGGCCTGCCATCTGATGTCACGTGTATCCTCTTGGCTTCAAGTTCAATCCGATTTGGAACGGGGCACGAGCTCCGATGTTTATCATATTTTATGAAACCCCAGAGCCCCAACTGCTCGGACTCTCTGCTCCCATCTCCAGCTACGCTCTCCACATCGTCTTTGCACCACGTCTATGAAGATGGCCTCCGGAACCAAAACATCAAAGAAAGACGTCGCACCTCGAAACGGAACAGGATACCTCTTCGCCGCCATTTTTGCGGCACTCTCCCTGCTCGCCGTGTACATGCTCCGCATCGCGTCCATCAGATCCGGCGTGGCCGACAAAATGGAACACATCACCACCATCAACCAATTCATCGAACACCCGCTGCGCCTTCGCACCACCTACACTGGGCTTGCGCCGCTGGACAAAGGTCTCTCGTTTCTGGTCGCAGCCTTCATGAACGGCGCCGCCGGATGGGACCAGGGCTTCTTCGTCTTCATGATGTATTTTCTGTTCTCGTTCTTCCCGATCGTGGCTATCTGGGCGATCGAGAGCTGCAGGGAGAGGAACGGACTTGCTTGGACGAGATTGTCGGTTTTTCTTCTATCCCTCTCGAGCGGTCTGTGGCGCTCTTAAAGGCTAACCCGAAATACAGTACCAGCATATATGCGCTGTTCTACCAAACAGTTGGCGGAGCGATCATCGTCCCGATATACTATTTGGCGTATCTATACGATACGTCTTCCAACCAATACTGGAGGAAGCCACGACGCGTCTCACTCCCCTACGCCAAAGCTTTGCTTCCGTCAGTGGTCATTGGATACTTGGTCCCTACGGTCCTGATGTTCCTGCCCTACTCGGCGCCCGATTTGTGGACGACCCAGGCCATGGTGGCTCTCTGGCAGCCAAGTCCCTGGTACGTCGATGCCTTGGTGGGGCTGTTGGCGAGATTCTATTCGGGCAGCGTCTCTGGGACCATCGTCCGGCCGAAGGAGGAGCAGGAGCAGAAAGCTTCCTCCCGGCACAACGACGTCCGATACCTCAATCGCATCTACACGGTCTCCTTCGCCGTCGCCGCGCTGTCCCATGCCGCCGTTGTCCTGATATGTCTCTTCTCCCCCGACCCGCAGCACTCGTTCCAGCACATGTTCCTGCCCCCGGCCGCGGCCGACGTCCAGGCCTCGCTGGTCCAGGGCATCCACGGCATCTTCCAGGCCGACTACTGGATCATTTTTGGCGCCTCCTTGGCGTGGGCCTACCTGGCGATCTGGGACCTGAAAAGGGCGGGGTTGAGGCACGATGTGAATCTCGGTACGGCGCTGGGGGCGATGGCCCTGGGCTGCGTGGTCTTGGGCCCTGCAGCCACGGTCACACTGGTGTGGTGGTGGAGGGAGGGTGTTTTGGTCGCGGCGGAGCGTACATAGATAGATAGATAGATAGATAGATAGGTTGGGAGGTGTGTCTCCGAGAAGAGCGGCAGCGTACGCAAAAATCCTGACATGATCGGTTTCCTTCTCATTCGCAATAGTGACAGCTGGTTTATTACGAGCATCAATGATGCCTACATTCCCAGATTATCGAAAGATTCTTTGCGACGTTCGGCCCAGAGCCTGGTCGATGATTTTAATTCCCATCCGATGACCCCAAAATGAATCCTCCGTGATGCAGATTGTCCTCGACATGCACTGCAAAACAGCACCGACGGCCACGCCAAGCCACTTCTCTATCGTCCTTCGTCGGGCGTTCCGAACTGGTCAGAGATTGCCTACTCGGCACACGAGGTTGAGTACCGGAGCTAGCGGTTTCCTTTCTTTTTCTTTGTAGACAGATATGACCAATCAACCATCCGTCTATTGAAGAACGACTCCCTCTCCGACCTCAGCCTGTGAACCTAGCCCCTGTTCACTAGCACTTGTGGTTGTAGGAACCCGCAATTGACCTTGAACGGAGGCATTCTCCGAAGTCGAAATCGCTATCCGGAGATATTCCCGAAAAGGCTTGTCAGTTATTTCAGCAAGGAAAAAGCAACAAGAAGGTCCAACTATCTATAGTTGGACCTTTGAGTAATCTATAAAGGGCTATTAGCGTTAGTTAAAGGCCTTCGGCCGAGTACTAGCGTAGACAGTCATTTCAAATGCTTGGCATCTTTGTCAGTCGCATCTCCCTTGGTAGCCTCCCATCGCAGCCTCGGGGTCGATTCAGCTGCCTATTCTGGCCCTGCCGGCGCCTGGCCCCAAAGGCTAGTGAGACTGGTTCGTAAGATACTCCCCCATCCGGAACCTCAGAACTCGTTACGAGTGCTGTGGATACATTGGAGCGAACCTCAACACCCTGCACGCTAAGGTCGTTTTGAAACACGAACTCAATATAGGGCTAGATCATGAAATACGATTGAATGCCTAGGACATCGCCTATTCTCAACAATCATTAACCGTCGTACGTCACCACCAGGGTGTTTTCGTCCTTAATCTGTGCGGTGGCTTCATCCCCACCCGATTCCTCCAAGTAGATCAGGTCGGCGTCCGCGAGGTCCTTCCAGTCAGTGCCGATCTCGGCCCAGCAGTACCAGAATGTGATGGATCCGAAGTCCGCCAGGCTGTTGCCGATGCGGTCCTCTACGATCCACTCCGCGCTGTCCCCTTGGAGCGAGTACCCGTTGGGCGCCGAGAACGTGACGGTCGTGTACTGGCCTGTCGTCTCGTTGTAGATATAGAAGTTTCCCGTGGTACGATCCGTCGCCCACACCTCGCAGTAGACATAGTCGCCGGCTTGAACGGGGACATTGGTAATCTCGATCGCATACGCCGGGTACCACTCGTACCAGGCGTAGATGTCCTTGGCGAGCTTCCCGGCCTCGTCGTAGAACACGTCCTGCGTGGTGCCGCCCTGGAGCACGTCAACGCTGGTCCACCCATCGATGCCTACCCACGCGTCGCTGCACCAGTAATCCACATTGTCCTCGCCGGGCTTTGGGTCTGGCACAACCCAGTCCGCCAACACCGCGTTGAAGTAGTCGCTGTCATTGTCGGTGCTGACGTCGCTCTTGAAGATGATGGCGCCCGCCCAATTGCTCGAGTCGTAGACGACGACGTCCTCGCTGCCGGTGATGGCCTCCTGGGGGCGGATCTTCACTGCCAGCGGGTTCCGGTCCCGGGGGCGGATCTTGAAGGTTGGCACAACCATGCTGGCGTCTCTGGTCTTGATCATGAGCTGCTCCCACCGGGCTGCCGCCTGTGGGGCCTTGTTCTTGTCCGGCCGCGGGGGCAGGCCGTAGGACTGCAACTCAGCCGGGGTGGCGTGGAGGGGGTCGAAGCCGGGAGGGGGCTGCTGGGGCGGCCGAACGCTCTGCAGGACTTGGTGCGTGTACGCCAATCTCTGCTCAGGGCTCACCGGAGGCCCAGGGGTTGGCAAGGACGCCTGCTTCTGTGCAGGCTCTTTGCCTGAATCTGAAGGATTCATAGTGCGGGAAGGTCTTGTATCTTGGAGCTTGGAGATGGGTTGGGCTAGGACGGATAATAGACGCTTCTTCGAGAGGATGGAAGGGGGTAGAGGAGAAAGTAGCCAGGCTCCAAGCATTTGCCATCTACTAATACCCAGTCGACGGAGCCTCTCAGCCCTCCTACACCGGAATTTGCCGTTTTCATTCATAGGTACCCCTTCGAAGTTCGGTTTCTTTCATCAGAATCCTGGGTGGCAGCTTCATAAGTCGAGTTGTCGAATAGGGGGGTCGGCTATATGCAGCGACACAGCCAGTACGCACCCCCTTACCCAATGCTTACCGATAAGCAACTTGTCACATGTTGGGCAAAGCCTTCACCAATGCTTATTGCAAGTGTACGGGAAGCTAGGAATGCGAGGAGGGCCTTTTCATCACACCGGTTTTGCTTCTGGATTTCCGATGAGCCCGATCACAAAGGCCGCAGAGGGATCCATGATGACCTACCGAACTATTAACATCACCTCGAAGACACTGGACCGGGGTGAAAGTCGACCGTGTTCCTGAAAGAGTCTTCTCGTTCCCTCCATCACATCTCCATCCCTCGCAACTTATACTCATCTCTTCTCATCTTCCTTCTTATCACTGCATTGTTCATCTGTTCTGCCCTCCCGTCAGCATCATCATGTCGAAGAAAGATATCTGCTCCACCAAGATCCCAAACATCGGGGATCTTGATCAGAACCAAGCCTCTCACCACCATCATACACCAGAAAATGCGTCTCGACTTGCCTCCCTCGCAGACCGAGGCGTCGGCCGCCTCGCCGCCGAGCGATACTTCCTCTGGAACCCGGGCTCCACCATACATGTAAAGTTCCTCGGCGGCAGCCCACAGCTCCAGCGGCGCGTAGCGGCGGCGGCTTCCACGTGGCTCAACTACGCCAATTTGCACGTCCAGTTCTTCTCCACGGGTCAGGCTGAGATCCGTATCGCCTTCGACCAGGACGGGCACTGGTCCTACGTCGGCACCCACTGCCTCCAATTCCCGGACCAGCGCTCCAAGACCATGAATCTCCAGCTGACCGACAGGGACACGGACGAGGAGGTCCGGCGTGTGGCGCTGCACGAGTTTGGCCACGCACTGGGATGCGTGCACGAGCACCAGAGTCCGCGGGCGCGGATTCGCTGGCGGACGAACTATGTGTACGCTTGGTACTGGAATCACCTGCGCTGGTCCTCGCAGGAGGTGTACAACCAGGTCATCAAACCGTACGAGAGCGCGGAAGTCGAGGCTACCGGCTTCGATTTGCAGTCCATCATGATTTACCCCATCCTGCGCGAGTTTACCGAGGACGGCATCTCTGTTGGATGGATTACCAATCTTTCCTACACTGATACGACTTACATCTCTCAGCTCTACCCCAGTGGAGGGGGAGGTGGTGGCAGTGCAAACGGAGGCGACATCAATGCTCGGGATGAGAAGGGGAGAACCGCTCTCCATCGTGCAGCAGAGTCTGGTGACGAGTCCAAGGTGACGTGGCTCCTCAAGCAGGGCGCGTCTGTCGACCTGCAGGAGTACGTTTTCGGATACACACCGCTGCACACAGCAGTGTGGAACAGACACCCCAAGGTGGTCCTGCTGCTCTTGCTTCAAGGTGCTAGAAAGGATTTGAAAACCACGGCAGGGTTCACGCCTCTTGGGCTGGCAAATTTGTGGAGGTACTCGGATATAATCGCGCTTCTACAGTAGGGGAAGCAACACAGTAGGGAAAGAGAATTTCAAGTCAGAGTGACTTGTCGAGCATGTGCTCACTGTTTCCTACTTTGTTGCCGACCAGTGCTTCGAAGTTTTTGAGTCCCTCTGTCCACCGCTGCAGCTGGACAGAAACGGCTGCAGCGACCTCGTATACTTAAATAGAATATTTTAAGAGCCAATAGCCGGTCAATCACTGTTACACAAAGCCACACCTTCGTAAAAAAGACAAAAAAGCCTCTCATTGGTCGCCCGGTTGGCATGTCTTCGCTCGAGGCTTTCTTTGGCTCCGCCTGCTCCTTTAACTCCCAGCAGACCGGTGAAGAAACTGAGTCATGATGTGGCTGCATTGTTTACTAATTACGGCTCATCTAGTATTGCGTGACTGCAGCCTCAGCTCACGGTCAACTCTCGAAACTAGACCTGGCAAATATGCTAGACTTGACTCTTCCACACTCAAGATTTACTTCTGCCACGTCACTGCACCAAGCCCATCAGGTTTAGGGCCAACATTTGCAATGTTTTCAGCGCAGCAGCAAATGGCGGTAGTAAGGCTGGGGATGGGGTAGAAGGAAGAGGAAGAAGAAAGTCGCTGATAGAATCTAATGGGTAGGCAGGCTCCTGCCAGTGAGCAGCCCGTGTTCCAATCCATACCACTAGCAGGTGGGCCAGGGCAAACCGAATGGTTCTTCCACACCAGAGTGTTTGCATTAGAAAAATGGTGATAGATGATAACAGTGCGTCAAATGCTTCTTCGGCGGAGGACTTTGTAGTCCTCGCTGGGACGGCTTTGAACTTCGAAGGGCGTTGGTTAGAGACATGGTTGAACCATTGCACGAAAACTGCAAGCCATGGTTATGACAAAAACTGCTTGTGTGTATATACCTATATACCTCCTTCTGAACATACATCGTATGTCGTATTCTACAGCTCAACGAAGGGTGCAGGGAATTTTCCCGCCGCTTTTGGAGGCATTCTTCCCTCGATGCCAAGATCCCCCCCCGGTCAGTTCCTACGTCAGGATGCACCCTCCTCGGTCGATTATTACCTTCCCTTGGTCGTCAATCAAGTATGAGTGCTGCAGTAGCAAAGACATCTGGCTCTGAAGCTCGGTACAGGAAAATCTGGGGACCACAGGGGTGCGAGCACGAAATCAGCACTGAGCAGAGCCAACTGGCGAAGATCAACACATGATAGCAACCGAGTCCACATCCCTGGTAAATATGTGGCTGTGTGTGTTCTATGTAAAAGGGGCCGGGCAGTGTGTTGGACGACTTTGCTTCATGCTCGATGGAGCCTTTCTTCAGCTCAGTCATACTTGCTCTCTCGGTTCTCAAGTCCGCTACCGATTTCTCCGCAATCTTGACGCAGGCGATGAAGCCTCTATTTTCAGAACCCTCGATCGGGGTCGCAGCCTTCGTACCTACTCACAATACGAAGTTTGCATCGACTCTAATCATGATGAGCGACAAAAGCACCGCGAGGATGCACAAAGGCCCAATAGATTTCGTGACATTCTTGAAGCTAGCTAGAGACATACCTACCGCATTTCCTCCGGGGGAGATGAGTACCGGCTTAAATTTCATCTTCAAGTTTCATCGTTACGAAAATAGCCAGACAAGAACCCCTTCCGATAAAATTCGTCGAGGATGAACGTATACATGCTGGGCATCAAGGTCAATTCTCCCGACCGACTGCTTCATTTCCCACTCACATCAGCCCGGATGCTTTCCAGCAACACATCAAGTCTCTTTTCCGCCGAATTCCATTGATCTTCCACAATCTGCGCCCTCTCCGGCGATCTCACTTTGAAGTCGACCTTGAACGGCATCGGCTTGGAGTTCAATCCCTGCGTGAACGCGAGCGGGTCGACTTCGCACTTTCGCCTGACGTGCACCGCCTGGCCCTTGTCGTCTATCTCCACCACAGTCTCGTATGCGTGCGTGATATCAAACGCCCAGAGGATGCGCACCATGTTGATGAAGAGGCTGTTGCGAGCGAGGTGCTGGCCCGTGCAGATCCGCCTGCCGAATCCGAACGGGGCGAGCGGCAGGGAAGGATCCTCAATCCACCGGTCCGGGTTGAAGGTGTCTGGGTCCTTGTAAACGTCCTCGTCCAGGTGGATCGACCAGTGGTTCCCGATGACGGTGGCGCCGGCGGGGATGTGGTAGCCCATATACTCGTCGTCTTGGATGACGGCGTGCGGGATCCCGCCCGCACTCACGGGTCGCCAGCGCAGGACTTCCTTGATCACGGCGTCCAAGTAAGACAGCGAATCCTTGTGCTCGAAACCCGGGGACCGGTCCCCCCACTTGCTGTCGATCTCGGCCTGCGCTTTCTTCATCACGTCGGGATACACGAGCATCGCCAGCGTAAATATCTCGAGGGCCATGGATGTCGTGTCGCTCCCAGCCTCGTAGATGATGCCGACGTCGTACGCCAGCTCCTTGGTCGACATATCGCGTCCCTCTTTCATCCCCGAGACGTGTTTGGACTAGTTCCACGACGCCGAGTTGAGGCCCTTGGTCATGTTGTCGATGCAGAGGGTGGATTCGAGCTTATGAAGCCTATCCCCGAGTCGTCTCCACGGCGCCAGAAATTTAGGTAGATAGTTTAGTACGGGGACCGCGTCGACGAGCCAGGTACCCACGCGGGCGGCATAGAGAAAGTTCTTCATTACCTCGTCAATGGCCTGGATCTCCGGCTCGTCGCCGACGGGGAGGCGTCGGCCGTAAGCGAGCGCGAAGATGACGCTCGACGAGTATCGATGGTAGCGATCCACGAAGTCTACCCCAGGCGATAGGAACTCGTAGAGGAGCTGTTTACTCTCGAGGTCCTGCACGCAACGGTAGCTCTGGGAGACTCGGACGTTGAGGTACGAGGCCTGGAGACGCTGGTGGTTGCGCCACTGTTGGCCGTAGGGCATGAGCAGCGTGCGCAGACCGCGGCTGAGGCACTCGCCGCCCATGACTGCCCTCGGGCGCGAGCTGTAGATGTGGCTCCGCTTGTTCAGCAGGTCGTGCGCCGCTTGGTAGGTGCCCAGCATGATGATGGTGTTCATGCCGTATTGCAGGCTGAACACGGGTCCGTACTGCTTGGTCCATTCCTGGTATACGCGCCACGGATACACCTGGGGCGCTTGGTGCAAGTTGCCGATGATCGGGAGTCGGGGAGGGCCTGGGGGAAGACGACGGCGTAATCTGGAAGAAGAAAGGACCAGACGGCCTAGCCAGAGGAACAGGAGTATGACTGCAGACGCAGCGACGAGAGCACGCGGTGTGAACATGGTGATGGACGAGGAGGAGTGGGACACATAGCCCTTCAGTGATGGGGGTAAGGGGAAGCCGAACGCAGATTCCAATGAGTCCATGAGTCCATTGGGTCTACAGACAAGAACTTCAAGTCAGGCCACGCCCCGATACTCCTCCACACCACGCGAGGCATTTTATACGCGCTCATCCTGCGCACAGCACACCCGCTCTCGAGTCGGAACTCGGAGCCCGGTGAATATGGGGAGTGTGGAGGCGGAGAGAGAGTGTATGTCCATCTCTGCACGCTTTACAATCCTCGGTACAGATCTGCGGCATGAACAAGATTCTGTGGGTGGATGGGGAAGCTTCGATGTCGAACAGTCGGTCCGGTTGAGCGACAATTCAAGGCTTTACCTGCCTCCCCCACAAACCAGATGAGAGGATATCTGGCTACCGGGTTCTTGGCTTCACTAGCACCGAGTAGTCCGGGAAAGATGTTCACCCGTACGAGAACGCATGCCGTAAAAAGCGAACAAGAACATAAAAAGGAAAAAGTGAAGTAGTTGGCTCGTGCTGTTACCCTGTTACCCCGGCCAGTTCCCTCCCCGGACTGGACCTCATACCCCAGACACGCTGCATACTTTAGCGCACCCCGCCCCCGAAAAGGTGGGGACTACGGTGCCAAGAAGCCGAACTTCGAGATGGACCCGTTCTACCCTTCCGGGGCCCTTCTGGGGGCAGTCATGCGCATTGACATGACGTGGAGGTCTTGTGCAGTCTGTGTGGGAATGGGGAATGGTCTAGTACGAGAGGTCCGCAACTCCGTTGCCTTGGGATTGTCCTGTGCCTACGAGAACAAATTGACAATCGCTGGTTCTCCTCTTGCGACTAGGCAGAAAAGGAAGGTCATCGGAGACAGGAGCGAAACATGAGCATTCGACATTTGCGCCACAAAGACATTATGAGCGAGGATGTTTATTCTCAAACGTAGGGCAACAAAACTACTCGGTCTTCAAAAGTCGTCCGGCAAGGTGCGTGGCCCAATTTCGATCCTGGTCTTGATGCTCCTATGATCCTCCCCCGACTTGAGTCGCTTGATCAGATCCTCAGGATGAAAGTCTGTACCGATGGGGTTCTCCCTGTACAATGGCCCCGCCATGAACGCGTTTGCCTCGTCCACCGTGTCGAAGTTGTCCACCTGGGTCTCGATGCGGTTGCCGTCGGGATCTCTGTAGTAAATGCTTGTGGTGGGTCCGTGGTTGGTGCACCAGCACGGCTCCACCCCCAGGGCCTTGCGCTGCTGGTACGACTCGGTCAGGTCGTCGAGCGTCTCGAACGTGAAGGCGATGTGCTCGAGGCCCGCCGAGGTTGGGACCTTGGGCCCCGTGCCGGGCACCCTGATGATGGCGATGCGATGGTGCTCGGCGTCGTAGCGGAGAAAGGCCAGCTGGTCGTCCTTGAAGGAGATCTCGGCGCCCAGGAATGTCTGCCAGAACTGGACCATGGGCTCGTAGTTGGACGTGCGAAGGACGACGTGGGCCAGAGAGATGGGGGACTTGACTTTGGGTTTCTGTACGCCATTCAGAGCGTGACTGGTGACGCCGTTTGTGGTGCCGTTGTGCTGAGTCGCCATTGTGCTTTGAAATCAGTTGGAGAGAAAAACTCGGCAAGATATGTTTCGTATAGGTTCTTGGGACAAGTGCTGAGTGAACACAGCTCGTGTTGGTAAATATCGAGGAGTTGGTCTCTTTCCCACTTTTCAATGTCTTTCTTTGATGTTCTTAAGGCCTCCAGGATTCCCTCTCAAGCACTGTCAGCCAAGGAACAGCGCCCGAGTGCATGATGCCTCGTACGACATATACGAAACGCTCAAGTCAGGGTTCATTCCCAACCATCTCTGGGTGAAGTGGCCATCTCGGGGATGATTTCACCGAACACCGATGTCAGAAAGTCTAGAGCGGGATACGATCTTCTATGTTGACGCCGTTCCGAACCACAAGGTATTCGAAATCGTAAAGACATCCCAATCATGGACATTGATCATCAAGCTGCACAGGCATTCGTGATGTGTCACATGGATGAAGTTTCTTGATATGTCTTATTATGCAGTAAAAGTTGTGCATTGCAGGGGTGTTCCTATAAGGTTCCAATCGGGTTAGTTATGCCACCTAGTGCCTTGGCGCTATCCTAACCATCGCTTGCCCCACTTCAGCCTACGGTTGTTACCCTTGAATCAATTTACTGTCAACTGCATAGACTCCTCAATGACAGGCTGTGGAAGTCCCAGCAGCTCAGCAAAAGCAATTTCCAGCTCTTGGCCATTAGCCTTTGACGGACCCCGCGATCGCCAGGCAATGAAATTATCCGGTCTGACCAAAATCGCACCCTCATCCTCGAGTTGCTTGACCCTCTCCCACTGGTCGGTCAGATCCCTCAGAGACTCACCAATTCTGGCTGTCTGGATAGGAATCTTATACCGAAGAACCAGTCGTTTTGCAGCTGCCGCCCATTCAAGCCCATTGTCATCAGTCAGAAGCAAGAATGACCCCTTGGATCCTACCAGATCGTGCGTGGAGATGACTCGGTCGTCCAAGACCAACCATGCATGAGGAAGTCGGTGTGCTGGTCTGGTCGTGGGGAAATATTTCTGCCCAAGATGATCTATTTCGGGAGTTTCAATGCCATCTCCGATCTTGAGTCCATCCTCATACGTGAACCCAAGCTCGATGCCATGTGCTCCAAATTCGATGCTTTGGGACTCGATCATTTTCTTCACCTGCGCTTGGATGCTTCGCCCAGTCAGGGAGTCTTCAAACACCGCCTCGAATCTGGACTTATTCTTCTCCTTCTGTCCGGTAACTAAGCCAATGGCCGCGTTAATGACAGCAGAGTTCTCGAAGGTGAACAACCCCCAGTCGGCATTTCTTTTGCCGACTGGTCGTCGCTCTCGGTCATAGGTGTCCAGGATCTTGGTTTCCACGTTGTGCTTGAGAACCATGGCTAACTTCCAAGACAGGTTGAGTGCATCTTCTATTGCCGTATTCAGGCCCAGCCCCGTGGTTGGAGGGCGTCTATGGGCGGCGTCACCGGCGAGGAACACGCGGCCAACGCGATACTTGTCGGCGACCACCTTTTCGATAATCCAGTGACTGATTCTGTGGACTTTGATCTCTAGATCTGGAATCTTGAGGAGATCGCGGATTCGAGGTATCAGTCTGTCCTCCTGGTGCCTGGCCTCATCGTCCAGTGCAAACCCAAAATGCATGACCCATTCTTCAGACTGCTTGCCCCATGTTGGGCCCATGGGGACTATGGCTCCGCTCTCGAAGATCGTTCCGCACTCGCCATTGATGAAATGGCAGGCGAAGAATGTTTCATCCCAGTACTGGGAGAGGTCTGCTCCGAAGTGAACAGAAACCATGTCAGTGATTCCGGTTGGGCCTTGCATCGTGACACCTATCTTCTGCCCAATGGTACGTCCACCGTCTGCACCTATGAGATATCGCGTGCGATAGGTGGAGATGTTCCCAGTTGTGTCTTGGACGGTGACTTCGACATGGTCGCCGGTATCGTGAAAGTCGACGACTGTATGTCCAAAACAGATACGTCCAGGGTTTCTTTCCTCAGCTATCTGCCGCAGGATGGGCTCCAGTCTGCAAAGTGGGAGATTTGCGGATCTTGCTGCACTGTCTCTTTTGTATGCTTGTGCTTTGAGGTCACCGTCATCGCCACCAAAGCACGGGAATTGGTGAATCACTTTTCTGTCCAGAGGCCCATCGCCTCCGAGTGAAGTGGCCCATGCAACCTGGCTCATTCGATAAGGAGGGCAGCTTCTTTTTTGGATCTCTCTGTGCATGTCATGCAGCCTGAACGTCTCCATGGTCCTCTGGTTGAGGTAATGCGCCTTTGGAAGAGCCGAGGCCACGGTCTTGCGGTCGAACAGGATGTGATCGACTCCATAGTCGGAAAGGAACGACGACATGGACAAGCCACATCCTCCCCCTCCAACGATTATGACGGGAAAATCGAGATCTCGAGCCATTGTGCGTCGTGTTCATTAAACAGTTTACTTTGCTGGCGAAAGAACGCCCTGTAAAACGAGTACCCTGCCCGGACCATTTAACACCACATCTACCACCCACTTACCTATTAGGAGCATCTTATTCGATCTTCGGCGCGAGAGAAGTGTTTCTCCGCCGAGGAAAGACGTATATCACTGTGGGTAACGTCCAAAGCCATCCCCCACAGCCAAGAGCCCGAAGCGCGGGGAACGTATTGCGCCACCTATCACCGAATGCCGAAGACGGAATTGCACTGGGCAGGCTCAGGAAATGGAAAGACGTCAAATCAAGGCCTCTGCTGGGTTGGTTGAAGCCAGCAAGGTAGGCATCATATAGTGAAACCCTTCGGACAATCGATGGACGAGACCTGCGAAGAGAAAGAGAGTCTGCTATCTCAGCCAACCATCATGAATGTGAAATTGATTTCAATCGCCAGCAAGCTGGTTCTGGCCTCCTTCGCAGTCCTCGCCCTCGTGCTTGCTCGCTACGCTGCTGCCAGTCGTCGACCTCGAGGATTTCCACCCGGGCCATCGACACTACCAGTAATCGGCAATTTGCACCAGTTTCCTCTCAAAAAGCCATTCATCAAGTGAGTTTGTCACGGCGACTGCCAGCACAGCACTTGTCTAACCCTCCAGATTTCATGAATGGAGCAAACAGTACGGCCCTATAGTGGGTCTCAAGTTGGGCCCTCAAAACGTCGTTGTATTGAACAACTACAAGGGTGTGAAAGAGTGAGTTCGATGGGGCTTAGGATCGAGCATCTCTTGACTACTTCCTAGGCTCTTTGACAAACGCGGAGCTATCTACTCGAGCCGTCCTGATAGCTATGTTGGCAATGAACTTCTTTGCCCCAACGACACACATATTCTCCTGGTTCCCTATGGCCCAGGCTGGAGGGCGCTTCGCAAGGCAGTCCAAGCGATGTTGAATGTGACCGCTGTGGACGGACTCTTACCTGTGCAAGAAGCAGAAGCATCACAAACATTGTTTGAACTGATGATGACTCCCGAGAAGTGCTTCACGCACATTCGCCGCTATTCGACCGCGGTCATTCTCGCATCTGTGTTTGGCCAGAGAGGCGCGAGCTACGAGGCACCTAAAGTCAAAGCGCTCTATCATGCGCAGGAGCAATTCACTAAAATCTTAGCTCCTGGAGCCACACCCCCTGTGGATCCCTTTCCGTTCCTCAAATACATGCCTACGTTCCTGGCACCTTACAAACGCTGGGCGGCAGAGATTCGACAGGAGCAACGGACGCTCTATTCCAACTTACTCAACGAGACCGTGACGGGAGCACGAAAACAGGATAGGATCCCTTGCTTCATGGACAAGCTCCTGGAGGGGAAAGAGAAGAGTGGACTCAACGATGAACAGATTGTGTACACTGGGGGCATTCTGGTGTGGTACTCTCTTTGCTTTCTGTTGAAAATCCTAACTTTTGGTCGCCAGATGGAAGCGGGATCAGACACAACCTCCTCCACTCTCCACTCGTTTATACTTGCTATGATCAAGTACCCCGAGGTCTTACAGAGAGCACAGAAAGAGCTAGACGAGGTGTGCGGGTCCTCAAAGTCACCCAGCTCCCAAGATATCAAGAACCTTCCATACATGCAAGCAATTATGACAGAGGTAGGAGGCCAGATATAACTTGTGAACAGCCTTCCCAACAGACCTGACAGGATGTCCATAGACGCTGCGATGGAGGCCAGTAGCACCCGGTGGCGTCCCTCACATGCTGATCCAAGACGACACCTATGACGGCTACTTTCTTCCAAAGGGCACCATCGTGTTTGCCAACACCTGGTCCATCCACCAAGACGTATCAGAGTTCGACAGGCCGGAGGAATTCATCCCCGAGCGGTTCCTCGACGACAAGTTCGGCAGCAAGGGCAATAACCAAAATTCGCACGACGACGAGAATCACCGAAGAGTGACCTACAGCTTTGGTGCAGGGAGGCGAGTCTGTCCCGGTCAGCGCCTGGCCGAGAATTCTCTGGTGAGTTTGATCGAGTCCCCATGTCCTCGAACTTGGACCCAGACACGCAACCGAGTTTCATGGCAGGCACTTTCCACAGTTACTACTCCATGGTACTTGGAACTTACAAAAGCATTTCCGCAGATGATCAACATGTCCAAGATGGCCTGGGCCTTTGGCATCAGGGCCGACCCGACGGCGCCACCGCTGGACTCGAATGTTGAGACGGGATACTCTGACGGCTTCGTGTTCGGGCCCAATCCATTCTCGGCCTCGTTCTCGATCAGGTCCCGTCAGCACGAGGAGACCATCCGGAGAGAATACGAGGAGGCAAAGGCATTTTTCCAAAAGTATGAAGATTAGGAAGGAGACAGACGTTGTAGTCCTCCAGATGTCGCTTAGGAGAAATGAATAACTAGCAAATTGAAAACCCCCCTCCCACGTAGGGACATATTCGTATCTCAGATCTACTTTCGCAGCCCAAAGTTAGGTATCCATCATGATTGATTCGCTGCATAAGACTGCCCAATCCACGCCTGGTAGTGCTTGATCCTCGGCCCTGCGCCGGCACTCTGATCGACACTCTGATCGACCACGGCCCTCCCCGCGAATTTTGTGACGGTGGTCGTAGAGCCGCTGCCCTTCGTGCGACTCTCGAGGGTGCCCGTGAGGACCAGGTCCGCGCCGTCTGGGCTCCCCGCGTAGACCTTGTCAACTGTGTGTTTGCGGAAGGTCACGACGTTCCACGCGCTGGCTCGACTCTTTGCGATTTCTAGACACCCAAGAATCAGTAAACCGTCATATAGTTTCAGGGAGAAGAGCGAGAGAGCGAGAGAGCGAGTGGCCCCAACCCGAATCTTGGCAGGAAAGGATCAACTCGCGGAAATGTAGTAATACACTACACTCAACCCATGGATCACGACTCATTCCAGCCTGTGTACTTCGCGATCATGACGATAACACATTCGGGCAGGAAACAAAGGAAAAGGGAGAGAACGTACTCTCCTTGCCCTGGAATGCGCTGTTTGCCGAGACGAATCTCGCATCGGGCGTGAAGATTTCCTCAGCCAACAACGGCCCGACGTTGTCGTCCTGCTGGTCGACCAGGTGGAAGAATCGTGCCACGAGGTCCTTGGTCGCGGGACTGACCGGTGTGGACGGAGAGAGACACACATCAGAGGAAAAGGTACAACCTCCCCCAAGCAGCAAGAGTAAATTGATGATATATTCACGAGGCGAGACGAGACGAGAAGAGACAAGACCAGGGTCATAGTCCCAAAGTGACAAATCCAAGGATGACAAGTTCCGGGTCCCAGCGTCGTTACGCTCTGCCCCCAGAGATGTGAAGGAGAGATCGTCCCGTTTGGGCAGTGCTGGTAAGATTCCGGGGAGTCTTAGCAGACTCCAGAGTCCCGGCGAGGTTCTCATGCAGCCGGCGGTGGGCGATCAGGAGGGATTAAGGCCTGCTCAATTGGAGGAGTTGCGTTTATGAAAGCTAAAGACTAATTCGCAGGGTATTACGCCTACCAGAAGACTCTAGACATACAATCTAGCCACCCTAGCTAATAGCGGATCGTAGGAAAATAACTCTCGCCTATACATAACAATAATAATAATTCTATTTATATCTAGTTTAGTTCTCTTTCCTGAACGAAAAAGGAAAGGGATAAAGCATAGTTCGGGGTATATATAATAGATATATATATATATATCTGACCTCTTTCCCCACCGAATCTCCAGGAGCTGAAAGACGGAGTCGGGCTGGGACATTGCCAAGTCACCGAACCCCGAACGTAGCTTGCTAGCAAGAATGTGATGCGCACCCCGCTCCAGCTTCAAGACACTCTTAGCTGCCAAAGGGTTCAGGTCCTGATTCGACATCTCAAAACAACCTTTGGGGCTTTGTAGGCTAGTATGAGTCCTTCCCTCCATCAGAAACCGATCTCTCGATTCATCAGTGCTTCGTCAGAGAACACTGAGGAGAAGACGCTCCAATCGTCAAGGTTGAAGTCCTGGCTGGCGCAAAAGATATCCTTGGGGTGATTGTCAATAGGTAGCCCATTACAAGCTGCGGGGGAGATACAGGCCAGCGACTTACCCCAAAAGGAATGTCCACATCGTTTGCCAGACTGAAGCCGTCGTCCGCACTCGTGCTTGCAGGGACGTCGGTCTTCGAAGCCTTATTGACCGTCTGTCGAGCAACCGTGGCAACGTCTCGAGCAAAGGGAAAGTTGAGCTCCGAGCATGTGATGAATTCCATGTGTCCAAAGTAGCCAGCCGCCACGTCGAGCAAGGCAACGTCAGATCGCGCAGAGGGCAGAGACGGGAATTTGAGAATGTGTATGAAAAGGTTGATAAGTCCAATCATGGGGTAGTAGAAGGTTGACCTGGGTTGAGTTAATGAAGAAACAATTATCACTCTGCTCTTCTATCAAGCAATGATCGGGTCATACGCACCATTGGATTGATGCTCCGTTGATCTCCAGACTTCTGGCAATGATGATGATGTTCCTTGCGGCTTCTGCGACCGTGTTCGAGCTGAAAATGACTTGATCTTGAGTAACAACACCCCTGCCATTCCCAAAAATGGTGCTGTACACCCACGGGTAGGCAAAGATAGTGTGTATGGCCATCAAGCTCCCGTAGTAAGCGCAGTGCATAAGGATTGTAGGGAGATTTCGGGAGTCACGAGGAGCCTGAAAAGATCTGAGGCGGTCTTCAGGTCTCAATCTTGCCGGAAGAGAATCCCTCCATTCGTGCAGCTGATGATCCAACTGAGCAACAGTTTCAAGGAGCGTGCTTGGCGGCTGTCGAAAGGCCTTCACCGACATGAGTCGCTTGGAAATCTGAGACGATATCTGGGCATGTTGGATAAGATATGTGAATGCCTCCACGTCAAGGGTGCTTCCAGGGCAGGCTTCAGTTGGAATCTGACAGCTAATCTCGTCGTCGTCGATGGCCTAGAAAAGGCACTAGTTAGCACACAGAAAAGACCGGCAGCCGAGTCAAATATAAGTAGTTCATGACTCACAGACGGTCGTCCAGAGCGATGAGCAATATGCTTCTCGCAGCAGTATATAGCCCAGAACAACCAGCTATAGTGTAGTTCATCATGAGCAGCCAGGTTCCAGGCTTTGGCCGGTCGCCGATGTAGTCCTTTTGCTTGAGCCACTCGTGCTGCGGCGGTACAGAACATATACTCAACGGCGGGATTGCCGAGCCCTTCAGCGAAAAAGGTCTGAGACACTTGGTTAGATGATGTTCAGCACCATTGACTTGGGAATCTTTACCATTGCGACCAGGGCGCGCACAGCGAGCAAACCCGTGGGGGCGAAAATTAGCTCGAGGAGGACAGACATGGCACTCTGAAAATAGCCCCATGCTTCGGTCTGGATCTCAGTGAAACTCATTGACGTGTTTTTGGAAAGGTAGATTCGACACCCCGAGGCATACACGGTTTTGCGCAAGGCGAACCAGGGAGCATCATCGCCTGACACCAGGTCTCCACGGAAGTGGGCTCGAAGAGCACTCTCAAACTCAGGCCTGTACACAATGCCGAGAGTCGAGTCGAACGAGTCCTCGAAGTATGCTTTTACAGCATCTTGTCAGCTTTTGCAGTCGAAAAAGATCAGCAACAACGTCACTTGCCATTGCAGTATTTCCATGCAGTCTGGGGGTCAGGCTCTCGGTGTTCGGTGCATGTGATTTTGTTTCGATCCAATGTCAAACGCTTCGTCCACGTAGATACCAATTCTCTGGAGCTATTTTCAAAATCTGCGACCCCAGTTCTTTGTGCGACCCAATCCAGGCCTGGCCTCGAGCAGACTGACAGCCAGGAACCAGGGCCTGTGCCATGAAATCAGATAGAGGTTTCCGTGTTTGAATTCAATTGATTATTACCATGATGTTCCCAGTTCACCTTGAGAGGCGTTAGCCTGCACGGATATCGTCTCAAGGGGTATGTGCTTACCACCTGGGGAGCAAGGATAGTGGCTTCCTTGTCCGAATTTGCAGCGTCGGAGTCCCCTCTAGACCCAATATGCCCATCTGAAAAGTCTTGTACGGGCTCTTGCACCGTTTTGGCCAGATCTTGGCTGGCTGAAGGGGTCGGATCTTGGTATGACGGCACAAGCTTTCCTGATGCAAAGGATACTGAGGGGGGGTTCTCGAGCAACGAGGTTTCCATATTCATCGACAGCTGTGCGCCGTTGAAGTTGGACGTTGTTGCGTGTAGATCGTCTCTGACGTTGGAGGGCTGTGACCCCAGCGTCTGCGTCACAAGAGTGCTTTGGCTGCTGATGCTGCCTGGATGAGCCGTATCAGACACGGACGGAGATAACCTGTCCTGCTTCTGCATCATGGCTTCCATGCGAGCTATGCGATCCTCCAATGAGGTTTCTAGACCCCTGTCGTGCTTTCGACGCCCTCGTCGAGATTCGGGATATACGCATTCTGCCCTGGAAACCTACAATGGATTGTGAGATGTCCCATGTGGTAATAACTCGGGCAAAGTACCTCGCATTTAGCACAAGGATTTCCTCCATCGCCTAACAATGGTTTCAATTCGTGTCAGCCTCAAGTGTCCGTGACGGAAACACGACAGAACAGCTAGGGCATACATACATTTGACCTTTCGCGCACGGCACTGGCCGCACGCGTGAGCCTTCTTTGGCAACTCCCGTTGACCTACCATCTGCAATGGCGTCACTGTTCTAGGTCTGTGCTGCCTATGCTGGAGAAACTGATATTTGTAAACCCAGAGAAGCGATATGAACAAGAGAAAGAGCACTGCCCCGGCTGGTCTATCCATTTTGCGGGGCAGTCGGGGTATGATGGGTGCCCCCGATCATAGTCCCGAAAGATCAGGTGAGCCGAGGGAGAGTTAAGGCGGCGAGCGGTTAATCAAAATGGGAAGAGGGACAAGAGGCTTTTCGCTCGCGACTACCGCGATACTCAGCGGCGAATCTCGACCTCCCCAAAGTCCATTTTTATTTCCAGACCTGAGCACCCGCCACCCACCGCCATTTCACTGAGTCATGACTAAGCCCGTTCTTGAGCTGTGGCTGCGCAGCCCTGAGCTCAGCTTGGCGGCGCCCTGAGGTATGCCTTGAGCAGGGTGACCACAGCCGTGGAGCCCGTCGAGACCCATAATTTAGCCCCTTAGGTTCCCGATTTAAGGTATTTCAGATGCGCAGAAGTGCCTTATTTCGGACTCTCTTGTTCGGTCATTGTTACCAGGAAATAATCTGCTGCTTAGAGTAGGCGCCTCTTCAATTAACTAAGCTTATCAGGGTCAGATATAAAATCACGTGAAAGCCATGTCTCGTGCTATTGTGATCGGTGCCCATTTCTTCCTCCCAGCGGGCCGCCACAATTTGCATCCCGGTGAGTGGAATGCCCTATATAAAAAATCACGCCAATTCGATCCGGAGGGCGAAAGGACCGTAGGCATCACCACAAAACTAGATTTGATAAATAATAAGGGCTCGGAGAAGCGGATTACGCTTTTAGCCCCGGCGAAGGTCCTTCTGTCACGTTCTGCAGTACACGATATAGACAGAGCCGTCCCCTCAACAGCGGCAGCAAGATACGGAACGTACAACTACATGAGCTGACGATCAACTCTCAGCAAGCGCATCCGCAGACGGCTCAATCTCAACAAGTACATCAGCAGATGCCCGAGTCTTAACCATCAAATTACCAGGCGACCAATTCTTAACCAGCGCATCAGCATACGGCCAACCCTCAACAGGCACATCAGCAGGTGGCCACCTCGGGGCTCCCTTACCCAAACTATAACAAGCACAAACGCGCCTCCACGACCTAACACCGGCGTCGGCATGCGACCGTAATTCACATCAGGTAAATCACTTGGTGCGGCATCTCGTTTATGTGGTCGAACTGGGAACCGTTGAACACCGAGATGCCAATCCTCTCCATCCAGTGCGGGTGGTCCCACCCTTCCACCGTGTGGGCTCCTAGTGAGTATGGCAGAAGGGCTGCCTTCCCGCCCAAAGGACGCCTTCTGGGCACTATTATTTCCTCGCATCAAATAGGGAAGAGGCTGGGGCCGGGTTTTGGCTTGATCTTAAGTACTATAACTCCAAAGCAGCTCACGCTAAGGCTGAGCCGAAGTTGAGCTAGGTCACCTGATCTCTGAGTAAAGCTGCAGGTCACGTTCCCAAATGGATGCCAAGACCACGCGGGTTGTCAGTCCAACTTACCCCTTGAGAACGCATCCTAAAGGTAGAAGCCGCACTATATGGCAAATCTATAACAAGTTATTAGTCATTGTTCAATATTGACTAGGGCTCAATGTAGTCGATAGGATAAGAGGACATGAGAAATCATTTGAGTGGCTATAGATGCAGTCGTAGTTGGTCGTGGTCGGCCGCGGTAACGCCCTCAGTAGCGCCTAGTGAATGTTCCGGACATGACTTCGTATGATTATACAATACCATTCCTACCGAGTCGAAGGGTAGGCGACGTCCATCTGAATAGCCGGTTAAGCAGGCTATGTCCCGGAACCCGATATGCGGTTCCACCTCCCAGGGCAGTCCTCGAACCCCGGCCATCCTGAAGGAAACTCGTTTGAAATGTGACAAAATCTTAGGCGGTTCGATACAATCACACCTTTCTCAAGTCGTAACTTCTTAGTCTTACCGGCGAGATCGCACTCGGGCGAACCAAGGCCCCCTAACTGAGAAACCCTCTAGGTAAAGCGACGTATCCCCAGCGGATTCCTCGATATTTGATCGACTTGGGAGAGAAGGTGTCTGATGGAGAAGGCTGCTGGTGTCGGCGCAGGACAAAGACAAAACAGTGGCAGAGAGTAGAGCACCCCACGAATGCCGGGACTTGTCCAGGATGATCGGCAACAACTTTACAGGAAAAGATATTCCTGCTACAACTTCACAACAACTGACAAAAATGCCAAGGTTATGTAATGACCCTTCGCGCTAGTCTTCGGCCGAGGGCCTTCCACTAACGTCAATACCCCGTCGTAAATTACGCAACGGTATATAGTCAGACAGGCTCCAGGGTCCTCTAGAATGTATCATATTCCTTCATTGAGCAGTCGCACGTGAGCTGCGGGCAGAGCCGCAAAGCGCAAAGCGCAAAGCAGGCAGCCAGATTTCGCCTCTTCCTCACATTGAACTGGCCACTGTGTCCCTTGCGCAGCTGGATTTGGATCAGCCTGATTTCGACAGAAATGAGCTTGCCGTTCCTCAATCTGTGGTGTCTTTCATCTCTTCATGGTTTGTCGCGGGCCATAACTTGAGACCGGAAAGCCGTCCCCAAAATGACAGGCATCGCAAGGATCAGGCTGCTTTTCCTCTTAACCCTTCTCCTAGCAGGCACAGCTCTCTCGGCTCGCATGACCAACCCCAAGAAAGTCCCCAAGAATGCAGTCTTGCTATCCAAGGTTTCTGCAATCACCGTCCGCGCCGGTAAACAAACCACCTCCCGCCGAGTCTCTCCGGTGCCCCAATTACGATGCGTGGGACCCTCGAGAATATGCAAGCTATACACGGTTGATGTCATGAGGTGCACCAATGAAGGTTCGGACTATGATGAAAACAATGTGCAGTGGAGCTGCAGAGCTTCCCTTCCAGAAGAATTCAAGCTCGGGAGCACAGACGTGACATGTGAGGGCTACGAGAGCAGCGAAGATCCATATGTTCTCTCGGGAAGTTGCGGTGTCGAGTACACCCTTCTGTTGACAGAAAAGGGAGAAGAAAAGTATGGTTCTGGCAGCTTTATGGACTTTCGTGGCTCTGGTGGCCGTGAGAATGCGGCGGAGAAATACGCAGGCTACCTGTTTATGGCCTTGTTTGGTCTGGTTCTGTTCATCATCTTGCGCGGCCTTTACAATGCCTGGCGCAACGAGCCATCACGAAGGAGGCCGCGAGGAGGCGGCGGGTTTGGGGGAGGTGGAGGCGACAACGACCCTCCGCCGCCCTACGATCCTCGGCCACCTCCACGCCCAAAAAAGGCCAGCTGGTCATCAAGCTCGGGTTCAAGATCCGAAACTACAGGCGCTAGAAATCAGGACCAAGGCTGGCGGCCCGGATTCTGGACTGGTACGGCGGCTGGTGCTACTGCAGGATACTTGGCTGGAAGAGGAGCGCGTACACAACCTGCGCCGCCACAACCAAGGCCGGCTACCGGTGGATGGTTTGGAGGTGGCGGAGAGGCGTCGTTAAGGGAACCAAGTCCCCCGCGCGTGCGCTATTCGAGAACAAGACATGAAAGCACGGGATTTGGAGGGACGAGCCGGCGGTGAAACACTCGGGGTCGAGGCAGACTTGACGTACACAGAGATCGAGGATCGGCTCGCAGACTCTGGATTCTTGTATCAGACGGATTGGATTCGCCGTTTGGTGTCCGTCCTGTCTCTGTGCTGGACATGATTCCCTTGACAGGGTTGTATACGCGATGTCCACGCGTGAACACGTGACTCATGGAGGAAATCATCCTTGCAAGCTGCAAAGCATTATGCGCCCCCATTAGGATTAGCGTATCTTGATTCAGGCGACTTCAGGCGTCTGCGTTTGCTCTGCTCTGCTGATCCAACCTGGAATTCATCTAAAACCTCTAGTCAGTCATTGATGTATTTTGTGTTGTTAGAGGCAGAAAGGGGTGGCATCTCGCACGCAACCTGGTGCCTATTCCACGGACAAACCTATCCTGACCCCGACCTTGGATATTGCGCCAAGTCGCTGCTCTCGTGCCAACAGCCTTCCATGACACCGTTCAATTGGCGTTGGTCATCCAGCTGACTATAGCCATTGATACGAACCTTGGAAGCGTTTCTTAGCTTGATCCTTGACGAACCAGTCCCCCTGGGAGTGCTCTTGAGGATCACTTTCGTGGGACATCGAAAGCGCTCCAGCCTTTCCCGGTTCTTCAGCATCAACGGTCGATGCCACCAGCTATAAGTCATCACGGCTGAGAATCGCACCAAGTTGCAGGCGCCGCGGATCAGTCTGCATCCCATTGTTTTGGATGCTAGGGGAAGAACCGCTGGCCAGAGTATTTGTTGACCGGGCAGATCTTGTGTTATCCATTTCCTTTCGACGACACCCACGTATTGTACAACGACGGCGGCAACCCACTTCGTCTTTGTTGAAAGCGCGGTCACGTACGGCTGGCGGCACGGGTCCACTGTGTGATTGTCTTTGTCAACATCCACCGTCTCGTATTAAAAGGAACGATTCAGCCGATCTCTCTCTGTCGGTGACTGAATACCCTCAAACCGACAAGACAACCGGACACTACAACCGAGTCGCCTGACTTCTCACCTGCCCCTGACCTTGACCTTGACCTTGACCTCACCTCACCCAACATCTCTCCGCTTGCTTGTGGTAGTCCCATTAATTCCCTTCACTTCTTGGGTGACAGTTGTTGGGTCTTTACCTGCCTGCCCCATAGAGAGGCCGGGATCTCGGTCCATATACCCTGACCAGGGCTGTGCTCATTACATCCTTGGATACCGCGCACCATCTACAACACTCACTCGTTGACTGAAGTGAAGTTGCGCAAAATCCGTCTCTCACCACCACCCTGCGATTGCTACATACACTCTTCCGCGCGGAATAGGCAAGCCAGCCAAAGCCACCATGCCTCCTGAAATCGTTGATCTTATCTCTGACGACGAGACTGACGACGGGTATCTGGAGCGGTCTTCCCATCCGCTCTCAACAACGGGGGAGACTGCAACTCCTACCTCAAGACATGGTAAAACCCGCGACGACGCCAACAAACGAAATGTCGCACGGCGGTCCAGCCCCGAAGACCTGAGCGAGACGTTTGAACCGGGCACGGGGAGCTGGGACTTTGCTCGGGACCTGGCGAACTTTCGCCGCGTCAACTCGAGAAGCTCCACGTTCAGCAGCCGCACCGAAGGCGGCAGCCCGTTGGCCAACCTCGGCGAGGAGCCGTCACGTCGTCGTTCTACCACTACTGCACGAAGAGACCACCACGGCAAAGGCAAGCAACGCGAGATCAACATTCCAGAAATCGACTTATCCCAACCAGGGCCTGATGGCGATGATGAACATGACGATAACGATGATGGGGATGTGGTGTTCGTCTCCGACAACGGCGGGCTCAGCGAGGACGAGGCCATGAAGCGCGCCATTGCCCTGTCGCTGCAAGAAGAGACGCCGCCGCGCCGCCAGTCCCGCGAAGGCGCGGGCACCGGGACGGCTGCGTTCTCCTCTTCGTCGACTTCGGCGTCGAAGGCAAAGGCGCCGTCGAAACCACAGGCCAGTCCCAGACCTCTGGAAGGAACTGCCACTGCCGCCGCCGGCCCCACCGCGAGACGAGCAGATGAAGCGATGCCAGACGTGCGGGACAGTCATCACGCTACCTCCCTCTCACCGACTCCCCTTCAACCCCCCGTCCCGCAATCCTTGCACGCGACAACGACAAAGGGGCCTTTGCCGTCACCAGGCTCGACGCCGACACCGCCACCACCACCTCCACATCAACCGGCTTCTGCGGACCAAGCTCGTCCCGATACCACCACCAACACCAGCACCAGCGTCCCCGCATTCAGCCTGGCGAGCCTCGACCGGCGGGCCATGGAGGCAGAGCGTCTGGCGCGGCAGAAGCGCAAGCTAGACGAAGCAGGGTCGCGCGATGCGGGTGATCCGGGAGACGATGGCCGCAGCGCCAAAGCGGTCAAGGTTAATCAGTCGGCGACTGCATCTGCATCTGCATCTGCATCTCGAAACGGAGCGGGAACGGCAGAGAAGCCGTCAAGCCAGCAGCAGCAGCAGCACTCGACCTTCGACCTACACAGAGGCAGCAGCGGCAGTGCGGGTTCCAAACTGCAACTGCCGGAGAGAAAGAACAGAGAGACGACAGAAGCAGTGCAAAGCTCCAAGCCTGGACAGCATACGGGGGCTGCCATGCCAGCATCGTCGCCAAGTGGGAAAGTTGGAAGCTCGGGCAACAAAAAGGGGGATGTTGAATCGCGATCGACGAACGCTACAGCATCTAATCCTTCACCGGCGAATCCACCATGTATCCTGATTAACGATGACGAAGACGAAGATGACCCCAACGACAACAAAAATACCTCTACCCGCCGCAAAGACACCACCGGCAGCTCCTCCTCCTCCTTCTCCTCCATCGTCGGCAACAGTAACAGCAGCACCGCCAATCTGTACCCCGACGGCATCGCCCTCAAGACATACGTCGCAGGCCACTCTTCGGCCGGGACGATCACGTTTGAGAAAGTGGTCTCGCCCTCGTCGCAACTGGAATCCTGCCTCCTGTCCTCCTTCATCTGGAACCTGGACTGGCTGCTGCCGCACTTTGAGACACGGCGCACCAAATTCCAGCTGGTCATGCACGCCAAAGACACCCGGGAGAGGGAGGCGGTCCAGCGGGATTTTCAGGGAGTGCCGAACGTGCGGCTCACGTTCCCGCCTATGGGGGGAAATATCAGTTGTATGCACAGCAAGCTCATGCTATTGTTTTACAAGGACCACGAGGAATTTGGATCGGCCATGGGCAAAAAGGGGCCTATTGGCGGTCCGAGATGTCGCATCGTGGTTCCGACGGCCAATCTCGTCGACTTTGACTGGGGGGTTGGCGGCTTCATGGAGAACACTGTGTGGCTCATTGACTTGCCCCCCAAAGCAGCCTCTGACGCAGCGAACTCGTCATCGGCGCATGGTGCGACAACAACCGCAGCGCCACCGGCCGCCGGTCGCCAGACCTCGTTCGAAAAGTCCCTCAAGGAGTTCCTCAGAGCACAGACCGTGCCCGAGGACGTGATCCGCAAGCTGGACCTGTTCGACTTCGGCAAGACTGAGCGCTACGGCTTTGTCCACTCTATCGGCGGCGTGCACGGAGGGCAAGCATGGCAGACCACCGGCGTCTGCGGGCTCGGTCGAACCGTCACCGAACTGGGCTTGGCCAGTCGAGGACCCATTCGGATGGATTATGTGTCGTCGTCAATAGGCAGCCTGAACGACGAGTTCTTGAGGTCTATCCACCTCGCTGCCTCAGGCGACAATGGCCTGACGGAATATAACAGACGGGTGGACAAAAGAGGCCCAGTCAAACAGGGCAGTTGGAAGGAAAACTTCCGCTTCTACTTTCCCAGCGACCAGACGGTCCGGACATCGAAGGGAGGCCCTTCCAGTGCGGGCACCGTATGCTTCAACATCGCATGGTGGAACAATCCAAACTTTCCCCGCTCTAATATGTACGATTGTGTTAGTGTTCGTGAGGGTCTACTCATGCACAACAAGGTATGTGCATGTCATCGCGAAACTTTCGAAGACAGTCCGTCCAGTGTCGTTGAGTGATTCATTCCGCTTCTGCCAGAGGGCTAACCTTTCCATCCCTATTATAGCTACTGTTCGTCAGATATACTTCATCGGTCGAAAAGTCTCAGCAAGGAAATGTTGGGTGGGTGTATGTGGGTAGTGCGAATCTTTCAGAAAGTGCTTGGTAAGGACTCCGTCCAGTCCGTTCTTTCCGATCTCCTTTGGCATGGAGAATGGTTAGTGGCAGAATATGTGTCCAGGGGATGGTATCTGGTGGAGATCGCCGATCCTTGACTCCAAGCTGACATGCACTTTAACAGGGGTCGACTGGTGCAGGATAGGACAACCAAGAAGCCTAGACTCAACTGCAGAAACTGGGAATGCGGAGTCATTATCCCAGTCCCTGCAATGAAAGGCAATTCCGACAGCTTCAGCGTCATGGATAGAGGCAGTGCGGGGCTTGCCTTGTTCAATCACATCGTCCCAGTGCCGATGAGACTTCCCAGCGAGAATCTCGAGAACCAGAGGCCGTGGACATTCTCGGATTGACAGGTTGTCCTGAAAGACACAAACAAAAAACGATGTCAATAGCAAACTGCCAGAGCTTGTTTTCAGGCCACAGTGATTGACCAGGGGAGGTTGGGATCGAAAGTTGAGCCTTGACGCAGGATTGAGTTACTGTTGGATCACCAAACTTTCTTACAGAGGAGAAGTTTGTGTGAACAAGCTCGATGTCGGACACGCACTGGGTATGCTGTTTTGCGCATGTTTCCAACGTGGTCTGAGACCGTAATTCGGCGGTTCCGAAATATATCCCTGAGGATCCGCACATCGGTGCTGGACGGGAAAACAGGTCGGTCAGAAGAGAAACTCGACACGGCTCGCAGGGTCTGAGGAGGTTGGCAGCAGACATGGACTTGGCAACTTGCTAGTTAGAACTCGAGTGACCATTTTGTGGACCGCAACTTGCTCCCTGCAGCTGGGACTGTGCTAATCCCAATTCTAGCCCCCCGTCTCTTTTTTGTCGCCGTAGAGGTGCTCGTGGTGGTCATCATGTGAGTTGTGCGAGGGCGGGCGGCTTACCCCAGCCTCCAGGAAACACAAATACTTGCGTCCAGAGATATAGTTAGGGGCCGAGATTCGCCTGTAACTTTGTCCCATGCTCTTGAGCAGTTCGCAGGTGCACTTTTGTCCATCGCTTCTCAAGGTTTCGGCACCGCTCGACCTTGCCAACTTCAGTAGTGGCAGGGTCTCTCCTCAATGGATTGCTAGAATAGAAGGTAAGCTGGAGCCGATGAAGGAGGGTCGTCCGGCTGGGCGGGCCGGGATTCCTTCAAGGTGACAGAGTTTTCTTTGTCACCAGGTCTCTGTGGCAGGCCACCAAGCGCACTGGGTTCATTCTCCACAAGCGCGATTCTGATGACAGTTCCGCAGAAGCGTCTCTGGTATCTGGGGAGGGGAAGTCGCTACGACGGATCGCTGGCCAGTGACAGGTCGAAAAGGAGGGTCGATAGAGGGGATCGACTCAGTGGGCGTCGAGACTGCTATTGCTTGCAGAGAGAGGGACTAAGGTGACTGGTCATTTAATAAAGGGTATCCGCAGCTGTCCGGAACTCACATGCATTGCCTTTGCTGCGGGGGCCGCACGCGAAAAGGCAGGGATTGAAGGTTGTAGAGAGTGGCACTTCCCCTCTTGACTCGCTCGAATAGGGCTCTTATTTGCCTATGCTAGACGACCGACGACAGGTCTAAGGGCCGCTAGGATGATGGTGGTTTCCACATAAAATTGTATGGTTCGCTGCGTTGAGCTTGATCGAAGTGCCCCCCACCAGAGAAGGACTGCTGCAAACTGCGTAAGGTAGATGAGCGGTCAGATGAAGACAATGACTGTTCGGGCGATGATCACAATGGCTGGAACGCCATCCGAAATGCTAGCACATGAATACTGGCTCATCATGCCAAAAGAAGAAGGACGTAGCTTGACCCTTTACAGACATATTGGGTCTCAGCAATGCAGATGACGGGGTGGTCCTAGGTCACAGACTGCGAATCATCTGGGAACTAGTGACAATAACTACAACAACAATAATAATAATGACAATAATAAAAACATCGCTCGTAACGGACTATTAGGCGTCCGTTTTCTGATTTCTTGGTCAAGACGGCGCATTCCCAATACCGACCATTAATGACAATGTCACCTTTCCGGTGTGTCCGTCGTCAACATCTAATAATATTGCCCCGGTATGTTCCAAATTTCCCGCCCCAGTGGCTCGGACTCTGGTACAGGCAGAGACAGAGGGAAGGGCAGAATAATACGAGTGGCTTGCGGCACTCCCACGGCCACAGGGTCCTTGTCGCCTTTGCGAGCCGTGTTGGGCAATCTTGCCTTCTCCATTTGCCCATTTCTTCACGAGAAATGGACACTGCTGGCGTGGGGGGACCCTCCAGCTGAGGCGAGGGGCGGTGGTGGTGTCACCTTCTTGTGCTTCCCCGCCAGCTTTTGCTTTTCGCTTCTGGGCGACTCGCAAATGTCATTTGGTACCGTATCCCTGGGACCGAAGGAAATCCATAATCCTCTTCTATTGCCACCCACTTCGCACCATCGATCGTGTAACCTCGTGTCTCGCTTCCAAATCCAGCCCCTAGGCAGAAGGATAGTCGAGAAGGCACCACGAAAGCTTGCGCAACGATGACAGGGCTACATGCACGGGGCACCTATTCCAAGATAAGATCTTCTCAAACCGTTACGAGAACGATTGCTTGTTCTCTGACGAGCCACCGAGCTTTCAGCGACTAATCGTCTTCATCCAGCTAGAGATTGGCAGGATTGACTGACCCGACCCTTTGGCCTTTCGGCGGACCTGGGGAAAGAGCTAATTTTCTCGGTCAGCCACCAAGACTACTCGGTACTGCTAGTTGGTTCGTCTAGGGCTGCCTGATCCCAGATCATGGCTGCTTTTTGATTGCCAAAGGAGCAATACACCACCCTCTCCACTATTGTCGCATGTCCAGTATGGTCCTCCTCTTGTTCCCTATCGCACCGCCTGCATCTGTATTGTATCAGTATCTGAGGTGCGGACACGGTGTGGGTATGTATAGCCTCGAAGGGTGAGGGTTTCAGTGGTGGGCCGTGTCGGAAGCGAGTGGCAGTCGGTCGTCTGGATTGAGCCATGCCGAGAGAAGTTGGTTGGCTCATTCTGACAGGGAAGTCGAGTTACCGGGGTTCTGGCCCAGGCTGACGGCTCAAATACATGGGTGTGAGTAGTGGAAGCAGAAGGGTGGGGTCGAGTACGATGCAGTCACCAGCCCATGTCGATAAGTAGAATGTTTGCGGTGGCAACTTGGAAGCCACCGAGACGCTCCGGCAGCTTGTCGTCCTGAAACCTCTTCTGGTCTTGGACTTGGCTATGCCTAGATCAGAAGATCCACCGTTTCCGGTTTCCCTCGGACCTTCCCTCACAGTCGCAGTCAGGTCTCGGTGCTCGGACGGCACCTCGTAAGTAGTTTGGTTTTCTCTTACGTGGTTCTTTTCGTCCAACTATCGGAATCTTTCTCCTAGGGACATGCAGGCCTGTGCAGCTGGGAAGTCTCCAAGCAACCACAGGGAACCAACGAGCTGGGACCAGGTCGACAAAGGGTGGCACATGCCCACCTGAGTCCTTCGAGAGGGTCCACGGATCGGGCTACTACCTCGCTAGTGGACGATATGCGCGGCTCCTGCGCTTGAGAAGTAAAAACACACCTGGGGAAAAGGCGCACCATGGTATTTTCAAAACACTGTCCGTGAAACTTCCTCGCCGCCCCCCTCCCCCGGAGTCTTCTGGGGCCATGCGTTCGTGAGCGTCAACAATAACTCGGTCACTCTGTTCCAGGCATGGGTCGCATACCCTGACCAAGGAAAGTCTTTCCTCCTCCCGCCTGGCCATTGAGTTGCCCACGCTTCAGAGATGAAGTGACGGCACCGACCCCAGACGATTGTCGACATGTGGAAATCTCGGTCCTTTTTGCCCCCCCTCGTCCCCCTGACGGCGATGTCTTGCGCAAGAGTGCGCTCCACACCAGTCCGCCACACACACGTATTCACCTGGGCAGGATGGCGGCTGCCCATGACCAACTAGTTGCTCCAGAATTCTCGATTGGATACCCTCCTCTTTGCTCCTTGTTGACATCCGAACAGAAATGTCCCGATAGTGATGAACTGGTGGTATTCTCGCTTACCATTGACCCGGTACGAACCCCGGCGCCGATCGTTTCTCTGGCGGTTTCCGTAGGCGAAAGCCGACCATTGTACACAAGAGCCAGGTGGTTGAACGCAAGGGAGCTGGCCTCGGACCATTTTGGGAGGAGGAACTGTCATTGCTGTCTGCATCTGGCATTGGATCAGCGCTTTACAAAAGTTGAGATTCGGGAGATTGGTGAACAATGACACCTGCACAGACCAGGGAGGATCTAGCAGGTATCCTCCTTTTGTCTAGTGGGTAGCCCACTGGCCCTCCCCCCACTCGCTAGCAGGCTGAGTGAGGCGTGGACAAGTGACAGGTTAGGTTTTGTGGCTGTCAAGATAGCGCATCTCGTCGGATACGCAGTCTGCGTTCAGCCCGTCGGATCAAGTCCGCAGGCCTCCCAACAGGAAGTGTTCTGTAGGTACTCGGTGAGTTAGTTAGCTCTTTGTCCTATTGATCGAGCCCTTGGAGCAGCAGACCTGGAATTCCCCTCCAGTTACAGTGTTGCCAGTCCCTGCAAGGCGGTCACCCGTAGTTAGGCCCCCTCCTGCCCTCCCGCTCGCCCTCCTCCTGCCCTGCTACCCGTCTCGTCTTCCCTAACTCGCTTCTCTTCCACCTTCCCTCCCCCATCGCCCTACCCACTCCTACCCTTCTGTGAGCACATAGGGCGCGGCAGCCTTAACCCGCTACCCACACCAGCCATAATCCGCTACTTAGATCTCAGCTTTCATACGATCTATTGCTTCGGTCGCACGCACGAACCGCCAAGTTCGCCTTCTCCTTCATCTTCAATACGAACAGCCCCTCCCTCCCTCCCTGCCCCCCCCAACCCAACACATGCCGTGCCGTCCTGTCCTCCCTGGCACCTTGCAAGGTTAAGTCTGGGCGACAGGCCAACTCCATCTGAGAAACCCAGCACTGCCGAAGATATTGTACCTACATAAACACAGGACTATATCTGCTGAGCTTCTGCTCGTCATACATATCTCCATCCCACAAAGTTTTACATGCTTTTTTAGCCACAGCATCCCTCCCCTCCTAGTCATCCAGTCAGCCTTCGACTATCGAAGCTGCAAATCCGACATCCGGAACTCAATCTTCAATCTGTTGCCCCTTGTCACTTCCTTATCCGCCCCAGACCACCCGGTTAAGAAAACAGAAGCCCTGGAGTCAAGAACAACACACTTTTGGGTGCTCGACACTTAGTGAAGTCAACTTTGACCCAGAGAACACACTGTCAAGCGATTGTTAGTTAGCTGCCAGTGTGATACCTATTCAACCTGTCAACGGGCGTCCTGAGCTGCCGCGCAAAACTGCTTTCCTCCACACCTAGACAGCCTTCACCTCGGAAGCAGTTTCAACTCTGGTTACCAACTTTCGTTATTGACTCCTTGCCAACCCAGGGGCAACTCCTCAAAAGTAAATACTCATTTACCTTCACGACAACTCCAGAGCGATTGTCTACCCCCCGACCCCTATCTGTCAATCACCCTGACGATCCCGACGAACCTCTCGTCGTCGCGGGGACATCTACTTAAGCCGATAGCCTTCTCGGATCTTCTCAGAAACTTCATCTTCTGTCGCCAGTGACTTCAAAAGGCTCTTCCGGTTGAAAACAAAAAAGGAAAATCTCCATTTCAACCTCGTGGTCTCCTTTTCCGACCATCATTTTCGGCCCTCTATCTCAGAGTCACTTCCGAAAACTGCTCAGAAGACACGAGTTCAGCAGAGCATTTTGTCACCTGCTGGATCACTAACTTTGAGAACATTTGGGTTGGCGCCTGTCAAAAGTGGCGGAGCCTCCTTAGAATTCAACGCGGCCTGGCGTGAAGTTAAACTGAGGCTTCACCCCCCGGAAGGTTCGAGCTTCAATAAGACTCAAAGAACCACAGATCCTCCGCAAACCCACCAGCATTATCACGAACCTCTCTTCCAGAGGTATACCATCGAATTTTTGGATCGCCTTTAGTCACGCTTCAATCACCAGCCTTGGGCCACACACGGCGACGACGCGGGACCTCGTTGTTTACTGGCTATCCATAAACAACTGGACGCTGACAGAGACCAGCCACTTTGGTTCGAACCAGCCAGGAAGCATCGGTCCTCAGAGATTTTCGTCGTTGCACAACGCGATTTATTCATCCAGACCTTTTCTGAGTTCTCCTCCAGCGTCTGCGCAGTTGCTCTTCAAACGCAACCTGGACAGCGACCCACAACACGGTTTATCCCATCATCAACCCCCTCTTCAGGCTGGTGTACAAACTTCTCTCTTACCTTCTCATCTTACACTTCTGTTCAGCAAAGTGAGAGAACAACCACAGCGCAAGATACTCCGCGCGACAAATCCTTCCACAAAGCAATTTCTTCCCACAGGCTTTCTCAACGTAACTCAGGACCCCAGAATTTTACCTCTCCCGAACGGTGTTCGTGGACGACGTATGCCAGTTCTCTGTGACGGTCTTTTTAAGATTAGAGTCTTGAGAGCCGGAAACTCTGCCTCGTAAAGCTCTCGTCGACCCTGAGACTCGCCCACCATAGCGCCGATACGCCACCACCGACGTGCTGCCATGTCTTCTGGCGGAGCAGCGCTGCAGCCAACCTTCCAAGGCCATGTAGCCACCACCCAAGACGCCCTCATTCTGTTCGAGGCTTGCCTGCAAGGTCACCTCTCGCATGTACCCAGGCGACCTCACGACCGAGAACGAAGCAATCTGATCAGAAGCGGGTGCGTCTTTATCTACGAAGAGAATGCATCCGGGATCAAGAGATGGACGGACGGGGTTACTTGGAGCCCCAGCCGAATCCTGGGGAATTTCCTGGTCTACCGGGAGCTTGACAAACCATTCCCCCCAGGAGAGAAGAAGAGAGCCATGAAAAAACAACAGCGACGACCGAGCCGACCAGGCGAGCCGTACGCCAGATCCGATGGTGGCTCATTCTCGGATGGACAATCTGGCAGTTACAACTCGGATCGCAGTGCCTCGACTGACGTGGAGAGGCAGTTGATAGGCTCGCTGGTAGACTCTTACGGTTTCAAGCAGGACGGATTGGTCAAGAAGACGATGAGTGTCACGGTCCAAGGCGTCACACATCACCTGGTCTCTTACTACCACGTGAATGACGTACTTACCAATCAGTTGCGAACCCCTTCGCAGACAGAAAACCTGCAATACATCCGCCCACGGTCGGAACTCACTTCAAGACAAAGCTTCCGAGCACCCATCGAGGACGTCGACGAGGTGGACGGGGCTCATAATTCGTACGCATACCGCGTGAACGGAGGCGGTTATCCCCAGCCGTACTACATGCCCCCGGGGTATCCTCCCATGGCTCAGCAACCCAGTCAACCACAGTATTCCATGGGGGTTCCTTCCATGTCCACAGGCTACATCCAATCCCCAGTAACAGCATCACATATGCAAGGACAACGAAATGAATATGGCCAGTATGACCAGTCGGGGTACAACCGAAGTTATGAGACCTTGAACAGCTCAATTCCTCCATCGTCCAAACCAATCCCCCCCACGCCAACCACCATGGCTCCAATCATGTCCGACCGCTCCCAAGCGCAGACGGCTATGTTCCCGCCCATCAGTATGCAGCGGCCGGTCAACCCCTTGAGCCCAGTGTCAATGGATTCCCGAGCGCCCGTACCATATCGACCGAGCCCTTACGGAGTGACTCATCCCAATGGTGCTCAGATGGACCAGACCCGACAGAGTCAGCCCTCCCCAAAGTACGACGATCGCAGGGAATCGGCACCGCAGCCACCACCAATGTACCAAAGCCCACGGACGCCGTACTATGCCGACACGGCCAGTCAAGCTATTCCTCAGCCTCAGTATTCCCAATGGGCACCACAGGCGCACAACCAATAAGCTAGCCCAGGAGTTTTGCCATCTGCTGTGGGCAAAAACGGGCGTTTCCCTCGGCATTTTGATGGCACCATGGCCTCTGTCAAATCCTTACTCTTCAAGTACTGATAGGTCAAGCCGGCAACAAGCCCCAAGCATGCCCAAAATGCAGTGAGTGGCTCGTGAAAGGAAAAAGAAAAACAACGGGTTGCACCGAACTTAAAAGGTGGAAGTTGGTATCACGGAACAGCTCCCGTTGTCTTGGGGGGAATGTGATGAACATTGTCGTGGCGACTGCGTGGTCTCAGCCCCAGTCATGGAGTATTTTCTTGTGGGAGGTGGCCCGCAACGTTGTCGTCTTGCTTGAAATTTGCACACGCCGGTACCTAATACACCCTTTCGAACTGACCACGACCGAATCCCTCTTCCAAAGGTATGCGTCTCGTGTCAGGGTCCAATTGTTTTGTTCATGATGAGTATTTCAGTTTTCCAGCTCTTGCGAAAGTCTTTGTGGATCCCATGGGAGAGTGGTATATGTCCAGGATTATCGACCTTCAATCACTCCCAAGTTGATTCACGGTCTGGGTTGAACATGGTCTCGAGGAGAGGACAGGGCTAGGGAGATAGATTGATGCAGGAATGCGGTGGTGGACGTCGTGGTGTACACATTTGTCAATTGGGCACAAGGGGAAAGGGGTTCGGGTCTGGGAGGTAATGAATGACACGACCGCCGGGAGGTTTATTGGATGGGACGAGAAAATGAAAAGTTCGAGGGCGGCATATCTGCTTTTGTAATTGTGTTTCTGCTCTTGTACATGTCCAGTGGTTGAGTGTGGGCGGCGAATGCTTCGATCGTTACAATAACGTTGCTCATGCGGTTCTCTGAGACCCAGTGAGGACGAAGAATGGAACGCATGTTTATTGAGACTTTGACTTGGATCCATCACCAACGTGCAACCAATTTATCGCAAATCAAGAGCACGCCATGGCCTATCCGTTAAGCCTGATTCTCCCCTAAAAAAATCCTACCAGCAATAAGCTCAAGCTCTACTATACACCCCTGACACTTGCTTGGAAGTAACATCTTAGTTATACAACGCCTGAACTTAGACTCGATCAGTGCCCTCCCACTATAGGGGAGGAGACAGGGACGTCGAGGTCAACCGTCAGATCATCTCTCCTTCAGCAACTGCACGTCTGCCGGTATTCTGACCGCCACTTCCTCTGTGCCCAACCCTTGAGATATCCTTGTAGTGCTGAAAGGATGCTGTCACTATAGTTTCCATTACATCAGAAGAAAATCACCACGCCGAGGTTCCGAGACGATCGGCAAAAGCTCAGCTGCCATCTCACGCGAAATCGCCCCTCGAAACATCCACCCTCAGCTGGGTCTGGACCAAGCGAGAGCTGGTCTACAACATGACCTGCAAGAAATGACCAAGCGGGTCCCCCTGGACCGAAGCTTCCTTGGACAATAATGATTACCACGTCCCCCTCCAACATCTGTATGGTGCCGGTCAGTCAAGTCGATTGTGGCTAGGCCCGCCGTTTGCCCTTTCAAAAATAAGAAAAGAACGTATGGAGCCGACAGTACATAGGATGATGTTCCACTAGCGAACAAGGACTCAAGCTTGAACCGGTGAGTTCGACAAACAAGAAGCTTGCCGCATGAACCACGGAAACATCGAGCAATATTGTCGCTGCTACTGGTCTACGGGTACCTGATACAACCACCCCAGTAATGCCAATGGTCCTGGGAACGAGGAAAGTGAAAGTCTAAAGTCATGCCAATGGCATTGATAATGGCAACACTATGGGGTCATTCGCTTCTTTGGCAAATACCTTCCTTGTCTTCGACTTGTCCATCGTTTTGGCGAACGGGGAAGTCTCCGCCCTCAACATATAACCCACAAGATTGCTACTGTCTCGTGTGTCCTGCACCGGACGCACCGGAGTCTGCCAATCCCACGGCTTTTAGCGGTCGGTGACATGGGTCTGGAGATAATTTCCTCTCTTCGAAGAGCCGAAGTTCAATGCGGCAGCTTCGATATTCCAAACACAGCAACCTCAGTGGCTACATTGGAGGGGGACACAGGCACGACATGCTACTTATTCGCTAGCCATTGTCTCCTGAGTCCAAGCGGTCAACATGACACAAAGCCTCGCCAGGCCTAGGCTTTCCGTATCTGCCATCGGCATCCACAGTATCTGAGAGCCATCCAAGGCGAAGCTTATCTTCACCGAAATCACCTGGTCTGCGACTGGTCTAGGCCTCTGTCCATCTGGCTCAATACACTAGCCAGACGAGAGGTATAATTCTTCAGTCACCAGCAACGCTGTGCCTGGTTGAATGTTGCCCATGGTTTTGCTCGTGCCCTCGGGGCCTGTTCTTCCGACAGGATTCTCAAACCTACCCTCCGCCAGGCAGGTGGGCACAAGGAATAGAGAACACAACGGGAATTACACAGCACTATTACGCAGTAACGATACCTATGGATCTCGCTTCCACTAGTTCTCAGAGCCAAGCGAAGCACTTAGTACTGCTCGAAAAACAAAGCAGCCATATGCAACCATCATTGATTTTTTCCCCCTTGGAACCACAGCGCAGGATGGGCCAGCAAGGGCAACAGGCAGGTAATGTTCACATGAGCTGTCAGATTCTAGGTGGCAGACGGCCGGTGCTTTTCGCATGCTTGATTATCTCTCTCTCCTTCTTAGTTTCACCTTCCCTCTAGCCTCTGGTTGGGCAAACCTTGACCGTCTCCTTTCCTTCCTTCTTCTTTTGGGACCTCCACAACGGAATTGTTTAAAATCACCCACCTGCGAGGAGCACGGCCTGCAGAATCAGTTCTGCAACGTCTCGGAAAGATCGTCCTTGCGTGCCAATGGAAGGCACCGGTGTTCCCTCTAACCGACATACAACGCTCCATCCTTGGGATACCTGATGTATCGTCCTGAGCACGCGGTTTGACGCCCAGAGATGACTCTTCGAGGCACCGAAACTCGAAAGATGAACAGTTCGCGAGTTACTTTGTGCTGAGTTTCTTCCGTTCTGTGAATGCTGCCAGCACCTCGCCACGCTTCGTTGTATTTTGCTTGTGGTACGTTTTGTTCTGAACTCATGGCTCCCCACAAAGGCCTGATCAGGGATCCAATGCATGACATCTAAACAATATAGCAAGGTAGGGTCATGTTGGTACCCTGTTGTCGATCTGCGACGCCGCATTTCCTCAAACCCATCGAACAGACAGGCCTAGGAGCCCACGGGAATAGCTGCGCCGTGAAACTACAACAACTAAGCACACACCTCTCGATCCCGTGCCTGCCATTGCGTTTCATAGATCAGCTGGGCCCGACCGCAGATATTCTTCCCTGCAATTCATCGATCTTCCTAAGAGCAGAACACGTTGGTCGAGCGTCAGACCGGGAAAAGAATACCACAATACTCTCGACAAACCACGCCAACCCGCGAGGAGTCAAGCAGGGGGAGCAAGAAGAAGGCCTCGAGCCGTAACAGATTATGTCTACACACGGACGGCCGTTGCCCTCGCATTTATTTGCCCCAGTATGAGCGAGTTCCATTCTGTCGAAAGAGTCCAGGTCGAGCGTCGAGGCGCCTACACATCGATGTACTTTTGCCAAGGTTCCCCGGCAACCGTCTGCTCACGATACTCTTGCCCACAGAACTCTTGATAGAGGCATTCGTTATGTTGTGCGCTCCCGGCAATTGCTGCCCTCTCCCTTTAATCCACGATTTATCATATCCCTCAATGGCAACTGAAGGCCATTTCAGAACGATATTCCAGTCGACCATGCCGTGCAGATGGGCTCATCGTTTCTGCTTGGAATATCACACCCACCGTGCTGAGAACTGGGAATGGACAATGTCAAATCCCGAACTTAAGAGTTGGCCACTGGGTTATACTTTCATCCGGCAGAAAATCCACCCCCCGCCTCCTTCTATCCACATGGTACAGGGATATCGAGATCTCTTAGCACCGGCACGGCACTGGATATCGGCCATTCCCCGAGAAAGTCAATGCACGAGAGAAAAGAGTGTGAGGACGCAGGTACGCTGGAACTAGCACGTCCTAAGGACCCATGAAAGACCGCGCAGCTTCTGGGACCACAAAAAGGTAAGATGTTCAAAAAGGCTTCCCCTCTACATAGTCGGGTTCGGTGTGAGACCTGCCACGTCGATCCAAGCTCTGACGCCCATTGGTTACATAACGTGTCTGGCGGCAGGCGTGGTGAAGATCAAGTTCACGTTCTCTCTCGGCCTGGCAGTCTTCCCACAGGAAACAGCATTGGGGACTGGCAAGGAGGGACATGGCATGTGGCTTTGCGACCTTGCACTGTGTGCATTCTGAGACGAATGAATCTATCTCCCTTCTCTTCTCTTGGACCCCAGCCAACCCGTCGATCACAAACGGGGATGAAGATGATCTCGATCCCCAGACGTGGTACGCCACGGATAAGATATGATGTGACGTGACGTGGGTCGAGGGGATACACATGATCATATCATACGATGATGATGATTATGATACGATATGACATGATCTCGAGAAAAGAACGCTGCAGCCGTCGCGGGTTGCCTCAGTGGCACGAACCCAGACCATGAGTCGGGGCGTTCGTCATACACGTCCACCAACGGCACGGAATGGAATATACATGCATGGTCTATCGGACCAACGCAAAGGCTGGAACCGGTTCAGGAGCTAGCTACCAAGCAAGGAGAGGAGAGAACGTAGGTAGGCACGGCAGGGAACCCAAAATGCCCAAATGTGCCCAAAAGTGAAGAAAACAAACAAACAGCAAGACAAATGAAATTTCCATCGACAAAAGTAGTGAGTTAGTTACTGTATGATACAATTGTCAACTCCCTTTTTGCTCTTCCTCCTTCTGGCCGGCGCTCGCTGGAGGAACAACGTGTGTTATTAGACCCAATCCGTACCGGTACGTACCGTTGGACTTGGGAGATTCTTGAAAATTCAGACCTGAGTTGAGTTGCTAAGCAGGCAGGCAGCGTGATGAACTTAACTGCTTACTCGTAATGCTCCATCCCATCCATGTATCTATCGGATCCTCTTCATTGAGAAAGATGTGCTGTGCTGCGCCGGTGCCGGTACAAGTACTGTAGACAGAGAGAAAGAAAGAAAAGAACTCATCATCATCGCTCCCAACAAACACTCATCCTGTAAGAAAACCGGATCCTTCATTTTGGATTCATGAAATGCGGATTCAATTCATTCTTTCACCCGGGCTTGGGATTTTTTTCATTTTCTTTGTTATTTCATCGGACTTTCTTCCCTTCCTCCACTTCTGGAGAAGAAGTTCCCTCCGTTGCCGCGGCCGCGGCCCGGGCGATCTCGCGAGCCTTGGCCTTATCCGCCACGAGGTTCTGTTGCTGCTGTTGCTGTTGCTGCTGCTCGCCGCCAAAGACCTGGGGCAGCTTCCACTCAGGCATCTCCAGCTTACGGCCCAGCTTGAGCTCGATGGCGTTCTTCAGGCCCTCGCCGCTGGGCATGGTGACGCGGGAGCCGCGGCGGCGGCGGGTCTCGATGTCGGCGCGGATCTCGTCGATGGCCTCGTCGATCTCGCGCACGGGATCGTTCGGAAGGCCCAGCGACGGCGGGTGCTGCGTCTCCTCGGCGATGGTCTTGCGCAGGTGCGGGTGATTGCGCGCATCCAGGCGCTTGGTCAGGCTCCGCTTGGCCGGCGAGGCGAAGAAGGCCAGAGACGCCGCCACCCCGATCACCGTGTAGAAGTACACGCGCGCCCAGATCTTGAGCGAGTCGTGGAACCCCAGCACCACGAACGGCGCCGTGGTGAAGCAGAACGCCAGCTGCGTCGCCACGTAGCCCAGCGCGTCGTAGTAGATTTTGTACCGCGTCGACTTGGTGCCGTCGGGCGTCAGGAAAAACGGCCGCACGTACCGCCGGAAGTTCTTGGCCACCGTCTGGATGAAAGCTGCCAGCACGAAGGTCAGGTAGTAGCCCGGGTAGAAGCCGTGCCACAGCGCCGACGTCAGGAAGGTGGCCAGCGTGGCGCGGAAGCCGGGCTTCTTGCCCTTGGGCGTGACGCGCAGGTAGATGTAGTTGCGCAGCCACTTGTTGGTGTTTTTGTTCCAGTTGTCCAGGTAGGCGCGCGAATTCTGCGCCGTCTCGATGCCCCATGGGTTGACGTTCTCCAGGTGATCCCACTTCGCCTGGCCCGTCTTCTCGTCGACGCCGTTGTAGCTGATCCCGGCCATGATGCAGGCCCCTTCCGTCAGCGACCATACCCCGTAGTACTTGGTACGTGTGGCGAAGCCGAGCATCTGCAGGAGCCAGACGCGGTACGGGAACGAGAACGTCATGTATTCATCCGAAAGGAAAAAGGGCACGTAGTACCATTGGGAGAGTTGCAGGAAGGCCCCGATCCAGAGCAGGCCACCGATGGCTTTGCGGACCGCGGGGACTGTTGAGTGCGGGATGCGTCGTTTGCCCTTCGTCGGAGGGGCGCCCTTACTGCCTGGTGTGGTGTCGTATATGCTTCCATCGAGCCATCGTTTGTAGTCCGCGTACTATCGCCCATAACAATGTATCGGTTAGTTAGGTGATGGCTTCGATGCACACTCGGCCTGTTTTGTCTCGCCTTCCAAACAATAATACGTAAGAGAGAAAGACTTACTTCAAATGCTGGGCCGGTGAAGATGGAGGGAAAGAAGAAAACATAGCCTGCGAAATCGAGCAAGTTGGGCATCTTGTACACCGCGCGGTCTTTCTGAGCATCGGTCAACAATTCGCCTTTCAGTCTCCCGTCATGCACGTTCCAGCTGAATCCATGCAGCTTCATGATCAAGACCATTTGGCCTCCCGTGATGTCGACAAGACTCGGGTCGGCAATCCTTTGTCGTTCGATGTGGCTGATTGACATATGGCCCTGGGTGATAGCGTCAGGATAAGGCGAAGCAGAACAGGGGGCTGTGAGGCCGAACCATTAAGAAACAAAATACCAGCCATGGCATCAACGACCCGTCGAGGTAGTAGGCTATTAGATAGGTACCAATGGCATCTATGAGGAGAGTAACCGTTCCACTACAACATGTGCATTAGTCCGGCCATCCTTGATGCCTGATAGTCACCCAAATGCCAGGCAAACTCACCCCCAAAGATCATAAACGCCAAGGAGATAGAAGAGGGTGATGGAGACACTGAAGATGTTCTTCCATTGTGGTTTGTCGTCGGGAAGCCGTTTCAAGACAGCAGCCAATGGGTACGAAATGAGAAAGATTGCCAGGAGCTTGATCTCATCGACAGATGCCCCGATGGCTTTGGAAAGCCAGAGAAAGGCTGAAAGGGGCGGTCAGCAAGCCTTCCTGGATGGATGGATGGATGGATGGATGGGAGAGGCGGCACAACTCACGAATATCAATGCCAGGCAACATGTCTGTTGATTGCCAACCCTCTCACTCTACACATAGAGGACACTGGAGAGACAGAGGACACTGGAAAGCAGCAGACATTGTTGAGGGAATGTAAGGAGGATTGGGAACCACAAACAACCAAAGATGAGGAAACGTGGGGAAACTTTTCTTGGGACGCGGAGGAAGATGAGGAAGAAGATGACATCAAATCAGGTCACATGCCAGGCACCACGCGCTCAAGAAACAACCACCTGCAGCAGCATCACACACAACCAGACGCAGACAGATAGACAGACAGACAGCAGCAGGCACAGACAGACAGACACCTCTAAACACCTTCTCTGCTGGAGCCTATCCTGATTCCAAGACCTCCCTGACCTCCCTCTGACCACAAAACAACCGCCCCTGGTGCCTCCTTTCCCCCCATGATCACCGTCATGTACCGGTAGCTCGCAGTCTCCAAGCAATCACCATGGACGTCGCTTCGGCCATTTCGGGATATGTCTCCAAGATTGCTGGCGTCGGTGAAGGCGCCGCTGCTTCTCAGAGTCAGAAGATGAAGATCCTCCTGCTAGACTCCGAAACAGTTCCCATCGTATCAACTGCAATCACCCAATCCGCCCTCCTGCGATATCAGATCTACCTCATTGACCGAATCGACAACCCGGCCCGCGAACGTATGCGCCACCTCCGATGTCTATGCTTCGTCCGTCCTTCTCCCGACTCGATCCAATTCCTCATCGATGAACTGCGTGAGCCCAAGTATGGCGAATACAATATTTACTTCAGCAACATTATAAAGAAGTCCTCGCTGGAGAGGTTGGCCGAGGCGGATGATCATGAGGTGGTAAAGGCAGTCCAGGAATACTTTGCGGATTACGTTGTGGTCAACCCGGACTTGATGTCCTTGAATCTGGGATTCCCAAAGCAGAGACTATGGAGCCACAGTCCAGACGTCTGGAACACTGATGCCTTACAAAGGACGACCGAAGGGGTGGTTGCTCTTCTACTATCACTCAAAAAGAACCCGTTGATTCGATACGAGAAGAACAGCCTTATGGCGAAGAAGCTCGCCACCGAAATCCGCTACCAGATCACCCAAGAAGAACAGCTGTTCGACTTTCGCAAGACGGATACTCCCCCATTGCTTCTGATTGTCGATCGCAGAGACGATCCTATCACGCCACTGCTCACCCAGTGGACGTACCAAGCCCAGGTTCATGAATTACTCGGCATCCACAACGGCCGAGTCGATCTGAGTGCGGTTCCTGATATTCGCCCCGAACTCAAGGAGATCGTCCTCTCGCAGGACCAAGATCCATTCTTCAAGAAGAACATGTACCAAAACTTCGGCGATCTGGGGGGAAGCATCAAGGAATATGTCGACCAGTACCAGAGCCGAACCAAGTCCACCGCGCAGATTGAGTCCATAGCAGACATGAAACGCTTTGTCGAGGACTATCCAGAATTCCGCAAACTGTCCGGCAACGTCTCTAAACACGTCACCCTGGTGAGCGAGCTCAGTCGACGAGTCTCGGCTGATTCATTGCTCGATGTCTCGGAACTGGAGCAAAGCCTGGTCTGCAACGACAATCATGCTGCCGACCTAAAGACTTTACAGAGACACATTCAAAATCCGAGCATTCCCGCAGACAATAAACTTCGCCTCGTAGCCCTCTATGCTATCCGATATGAACGCAACCCTAACAACGCTCTCCCTGTTCTTCTTGACCTGTTAACATCCGTAGCGGACGTTCCTGCGTACAAGATCTCCATCATTCCCAAGCTTCTTGCTTACCATCACAGTCTTCAGCCGGCTCCTGTTGGTGGCGCTGCCGGCTTTACCGATCTTTTTGATGCCGGCTCTTCTCCATTCAGCCAATTCCGACGCAACCTGAATCTGAAAGGCGTGGAGAATGTGTACACCCAGCATTCCCCACGGCTCGAAAATACGCTACAGAATCTGATCAAGGGACGGTTGAAGGAACTCCAGTACCCTTTTGTGGATGGACATCATACGAGGGATAAGCCTCAGGATATCATCGTCTTCATGGTGGGAGGTGTCACGTACGAGGAAGCCAAAATGGTAGCCCAGGTCAATGCTTCAATCCCGGGCGTGCGAGTGGTGCTGGGAGGAACAAGCGTGATCAATTCAACAATGTTCTTGGAAGAGGTGGATGATGCTGTTGGCAGCTGGCCGGACCAGGGTCCTGCATCAGCAAGGGAAAGGCTGGGCCGAGCCGTAGGAAGGTGAGAGGATCTGTGGTTGATCGCGTTGGGGGCATCTATGTCTCCGTTTCTGTCGACCCTCTTCCAACAAATCTGGACCCGCAAAGGTTCACCAAATATCAACGTCGGTGGCCATTGACTTCAGATGCCCATCCTATTCATGCAAGGTATGGATATGGTGCATGTGGGTGTTACGACCCCGTGCCGGGATGCGAGCCAGGTATTTGGCCGTGCAGCAGAGGAATGTTCCGCGAAAGAAGTCTGAGATCGTGCCTACGCAGATTGAGAGGTTTGCTGGCTTCATGACCCTCTGAAGAACCTGCAGTCTGATGGCCAAGGTATTTTGGAACGAACGGGTGTCTGTCCTCCATTGTGAGCCCGCCACAGCACGGTCTGGAGGACGTGTGAAGTCAAGCGGGGAATGGCAAATCGGCAGCCTTCTTCGGGGGCCCGTCAATGATAACGGCACCACCTGCTAGTCTCCCCTACCGGCTTTCGTCAAATGCAACGTTGTCGCCAAACACCCTTCAATGCCAACGTGAAGGGAGAGGGCTATCCCGAGTTGAGATGATTGTACAGCCTAGCAAAGACGTTCTCGATACCGGACAGGTCCTGAACAGACCCTTGACATAGTGTGATGGTACAAGCACGGAGGTGCGACTAATACACATGATCTTGCTCTCCATCGTGCTGCTGCTGCTGCTGCTGCTGGAGGGCTCCTCTACCTTCATCTCGCTCTTTCCATCTACGACCGACTCGTAGTATTGATTCCCCATCACTCTTCAACCGTCTGATTTTTGCTTCTCGTCCTGTTCCTCCGGGGTCAATATCCTCACCGCCTGTTTATTCCCCAAGTAACTTAACCCGCTCCACACGGTCGTCCCGGCCACGAGGTAGTACCAGCCCTCCATGACGCCCCAGAGATTCCAGGCCTCGACGAACGCCGCGGGCAGGACGGGCAGCAACATGGCATTGCCGACCAGCAACAGCTGCAGCAGGGTGTTGATCTTGGAGATCTCGGTCGGGTGGACCTCGGCCGAGGGCAGCGAGAAGTCCCAGTAGCGCGTGAAGGTCTTGGGCGGCGGCAGCGAGATCCAGCGGAAGTAGACGGCCGAGATGGCCAGCGCGACGTCGCGGCCCAGCACGACCACGGCCAGCCACACGGGCAGCGTGCCGTTGGCCGTCAGCGTCAGCACGCACGTCGTCATCAGGATCTTGTCCGCCATCGGGTCGATCACCGTGCCCACCACCGTCTGCGCGTCCAGCCGCCGCGCCAGGTACCCGTCCACCAGGTCCGTGACGCCGGCGTACGCGAACAGCGCGAGCGCCAGCACCGACTCGTGCTGCAGCACGAAGTACCCCACCAGCGGCGCCGCGAGCAGCCGCGAGAACGTCAGCGCGTTCGGCAGCGTGTAGATGTTCTCGTGGGCCCGGGTCAGGGAGCGTGGGAGGTGTGGCGGAGGCAGGACGGTGGTCGTTGTGGTTGTGGTTGTGGAGGCGGAGGAGGCGGAGGGCTTGGTGACGCCACTGGGGAAGGAGGGTGTGTGTTAGCGCAGATCTTGAGATTCGGACGTGTATAGCAGAAAGCTGAACGAGGAGGTTTCACCTGCCAGAGGGATGGTCCTCCAGCCAAGGATTCATGGTGTCCATCGACACAGAGAGGAGAAGCTCTGGCAAGACCATGCTCATCTCCTGCTCAGGAAAGCCGAGCTCTTGAAGACATCGAGACTAGACCGCAAAGAAACTTGTTTCCTCATCTGTGTCAAGACAAACCATTGTGTTCTCTCCCCAGGCCGATCACAACAAAAGACTTTTGCTTTGGGGCCAGTTGAAGACCGTGGTTTCATGGGATGCGGGGAGGAAATGAAAATAAAAATACAAATATAAATGGCGAAGAAATCATCCGTCACCTTGACTTGACGTACCTGCTCTTCCGAGACTCCTCTCGCTCATCAGGCACTCTGCGTCCCTCCTCTGCGTTCAATATTCGGGGCGTCATCGAAAAGCACCGCGACTGCGAAAATTGGCTGGCCAGCATCACACCGCGAGAAGGTAAGCTCCCCGTGGTGGGAAGGAGGGAGGTCCTCGCGCACGATCTGCTCCGAATCACTTCGTCGTTAGATATGAGAGGACGTGCTTTTGAAATTTTTTGGGATACCTCGAACAGGTAGGCATCCAAGTGCAAATATACTAAGATCTAGAGGAGAAGGAAGGGAGGGCCGTCCGACGTACCTTGACATCGAGAAGGACAATAACAATAAACTTGAAGCTCTGGCGCTCCCGACCCGCGTCCCCACAGGTGGTTTGGGTGTCGAAGTCGAGAACGAACACTTCGTCTGCCCATCCATTATTCCTGGGATGCGACTACTCGAATACGCGGACGACCATCGTGGGGTACCACGCCTCCGGCTCCCAGTCCTCGACGTGAGTCCGGCTGGGAGGTGGCATTGGACGGGCGCCCAGCGTGACGAAAAAGATCCGTGGGCGGAGGAGAGAGAGGACAGTCTGGCGGCAGCAACTCGACTCGTCGCCGCGCCGGGTCGAAAGATCACCGAGCTCGCCATGGCCGGGACATGTTGTCGGGCGGAAGGGGTCATTCAATCAATCAATCCTCGACTTTGTCGCGACGGCGGCCGGGGGAAGGAAATGAGAAATGAATTAATTCCCCTCTTTCCCCTGACAATATTGGATTACGAGAGCGCTTCGATGTCGTATGGATAACGAGGCGTGTCGAGTCTCGACGGAGCGAGGTGCCGCAGATAATAAATGAATGGAGTTTGTAGAGCACGCGTCGAGGAAGTTGACGTCGGTTTGAGGTTTTCTGAAATTATATATGGCTGACTAAGCACCAGCGAGAGCGCGCCTCTGCACAGTTCTCGGTGCGGCCTTTACAAAGGAAGAATACCAGCATGCAAGCTAGATATTCATGAGCACTTACGATTTGGGTGGCCTGGTTGAGTGAGATATGAGGATAAAAGCCCGTAATAGGTATTCAGTCGCCGGCAGGACGAGAGGACCAGCAGTCAAGACGCCATCGCTATGCAATCCCCCTCAATCCAGATTGTACTCGGTACAGCCACCATAGATCATGTTATACAGAAACAGCTCCTTCAGGTCGACCTCCATCGTGTTGAACCAGCCATTCGTCCTCCGGCCTCTTGCTACGGGCGTTCCTCTTCGCATACTTCAGCAGCCTCAGAGCTCCGTGTGGCGTTACTCCCTCCACCCTCCTCGCCATGCCCACGCTAGCCGGCCGCACCAGCTTCAATACCTCTCTCTCGCCAATGCTTAACCCAAAGACCGAATCGTAGTCCAGGTCCACGGGCAGAGCGAGGCATTCGTCCCGAGCAAACGATTCTGCGGCCTTCTGCTGGAAGGAGATATAAGGAGCGTAGAGGCTTTCTATCTGGACTCTGCTCTGGATCTTGGTTGAGTAGTTAGAGATGGACGACAAAGAGTGGACGCGGTCCGCGATGCCGTTCATGTCGACGCCGGTCACACGCAGCATGTCAAATGCGCTCCGGCGGTTCGAGTCGATGCGTGAGGGAAACCCCATTTTCACCCATTCTGTGCTGGGGTGTCGGACTTCCTCAAGTTTGCTTTGCAGCTCGGTCATCTCGTCTCGAATGTTTGTGAAATGAGCCCAGCGCCGGTCGCTGACAACGCCGGCCGTGCGGCCTTTCTCTGTGAGTCGCAGATCTGCATTGTCGGAACGACAGCTCATACGGTATTCACTTCGTGCGGTGAACATTCGGTATGGCTCACTGACGCCCTTTGTGATGAGGTCGTCGATGAGGATGCCGATGAATGCCTCGGCCCGGGACAGAGTGAAGGATCCTTTGCCTTGAGCAGATAACCCTGCGTTGATACCGGCAACGATTCCCTGAGCCGCAGCTTCTTCGTAGCCGGTGGTGCCGTTGATTTGTCCGGCAAGGAAAAGCCCCTTGATGAGCTTCGTCTCGAGTGTCGGAAACAGATTCCGCGGGTCGATATAGTCGTACTCGACGCCATAGCCGGGTTGGAGCATTTTGACATTCTCCAACCCCCTGACCGTCCTGAGCATGGCGTACTGCGCATCGGCGGGGACGGTCATGCTGATGCCATTGGGGTAGATGATTTTGTTGGGCTCAAGACCTTCGGGCTCCAACCAAATCATATGTCTTTGTTTATCCTTGAACTTGATGATCTTGGACTCCAGGGACGGGCAGTATCGGGGTCCCTTGACTGTTTCTCGGATGTGTATCGACTTATCCAGGTTAGCTCGGATGATCTCATGGGATGCTTCGTTGGTGTAGGTGGTCCAGCAGTTCAGTTGGCCAGCCTCTCCAATCTCAACAGTATCGTTCAGGTAAGAAAAGGGCGTTGGCGGGGAATCGCCCGGCTGTACTTGCAAAACACTGAAATCAATCGTGTCGCGATCCAGCCGTGGCGGAGTTCCAGTCTTTAATCGTCCCAGTGTGAATCCTGCGCTCCGCAATGACTTGCTCAGGCCAAAGGTAGCGGCCTCGCCCATTCGTCCCGAGGGATATGCCTCCAGTCCGATGTGTATCTCTCCACCGAGAAACGTCCCGGTGGTGATGACCACATGAGAAGCAGGAATCACCCGGCCATCCTCAAGGCGAATACCCGTTATACGTCCTTGCGATATGTTGTCGCCAGTCTCGAGATCTTCTCTTGACACAATAATATCTGCGACTTTGCCTTCTACTATGCTCAAGTTGGGTGTGGACTCCATCTCTTCCCGCATGTATTTCTTGTACAAGTCTCGGTCAATTTGTGCCCGGGGTCCCCATACGGCAGGGCCTTTTTTGACGTTCAACATTCGGAATTGGATTCCGGCTTTATCGATAATGCGGCCTGCGACGCCATCCAGCGCATCGATCTCCCGAATCATGGTGCCCTTGCCTATGCCCCCAAAACTAGGGTTGCAGGAACAGACGCCCAGATTAGAGAACGACGGAGTTACCAGCGCTGTGCGAGCACCTGATCTGGCGGCGGCGGCGCTGGCTTCTGTCCCTGCATGGCCACCGCCAATGACGATGACATCGTAGGGCCTACTTTGGGTCAGTACTGATGTGCAGACGGGCGAGGGCATAAGGGGCCTACCTCACTGCGTCTGCCACAGCTGCAAAGAAGCGACGCTGCCGGAACAGATTGCAAGACCTGGTCCGAGGCGTATGGCCCCATTGACGGAGGCTTGAATGCCGCAATGCCGGCCTCATGTCGAAGTATAGTAAGTAGTATAGTACTGAATTATGGACTCTAACAACATAGTCAGAGAGGTTTCGGATTGTACAATTTCAGACCACCGGGTAAACATCGGCGATGAGCATTTGTGGCCATCGAGACAGGGCGAACTCTGGTGGTCCCCGAACCGCAGGGTGGCACCCTCTCCTCGTCTTGAACGCCCGATGCTGCAAGCCTCCCACCGGTTACTGTACCTCGTAGGCTTGCAGGCTGCCACATTATCTGCGAACCGCCAGCCGCAGGAGCTGCTGAAACCACTATGCATCCTCCTCATCTCTCTCATCCTTCATCCGACTAGCTTCGGATTTGAGGGCTGCACGGCTTGTTGTTGATCGAGTCTTCACGCCATGAGCTTCGGATTCAGTGTCAGCGATTTCCTAGCAGTTGCGGACTTGTTGGAGAGCACCAGGAAACGTTTCAAGGGAGCGCCGGCGGAATACAATGCACTGGCTGATGAGTTGGCACTGTTGCCTTACCATCAGTGCTGACCCTTTCTGACTACAGCAGGACGCGGACACTCCAAATAGTTGTCAACGACATCCGAGTCCAGGTTGAGGACGATGAGATTGCGCACTCCATCAAGGTTGCTCTGCGAAGCGCCAAGAACAACTGCGAGTCTGTCTTGAAGGACCTGAATGCAGTGATCGATGCTCACACTGAACTTGGCTCAGCTCCTGCAGGGCCCCGAAAGATACCACGGCGGATATGGAAGCGTCTCCGATGGGATCCCACCGAAGCGGAACAGCTACGCCTTCGGCTCAATGCATCCGTCCATCTCCTGGTGGCTGTACGACAAAGTGTGGACAGGTGAGCTCTGCAAAGGTATCTGTATTTGGGAGTGGCTGATCACTTGATCCCAGGACACAACAACGCGACATAGCTCAAGATTTGAAGAAGCTCACTGTAAGCCACAACAGCAGCGAAATGCTCCGTGTGGCGGACTGGCTTGCTCCCGACACCTACTCTGAACATCAACGTGACTATTTCACCAGGGTCCAAGCAGGGACAGGACAATGGGTATTCGCCGACCCACGGTTCTGCAATTGGTTTGACAGCAGAGGACCTTCTACGTTGCTGCTTCCTGGCATTCCGGGAGCAGGCAAGACTTTCGTTGCGTCAATCATTATCGACAGGTTGCAAGCACACGTATCCCAGGATGACACTTGTGGGCTTGTATTCTTCTACAGCAGCTTCAAAAGGCCCGCTACACAGTCCTGCCGCCACATCGTCTTCAGCATGGTACGGCAACTATACTTGCAGCAGTCACGCAAAAACGATGTTGTCAAGAGCGTCTATGAGGAACACATAAAGCGTCAACCAGCCACATCTCCTAGCCTAGAAGAAGCATGTACGATCCTCGAACAGCTTTTGTTGGGATTTTCGGCGGTTAATTTTGTCATCGATGCCTTGGACGAGTGCAAGGGACCGGAGGGATCTGCTGACAGGCCTTGGAATTATATCCCCAGTCTTCTTTTTCGATTGCAAGAAAAGTTGAAATCTCAAATGGCAATCAAGCTGCTCGCAACTTCAAGACCCGATCTGGAAATTGACGGCATCTTCCTCAAAGCTGAACGGCTGATAATCTATGCTAGAGACGACGACCTTGGTAAGTTCTGTGATTCGCTGATACCGAATATCCGGTGCGTTGCCCATAAGACCGAATTGCACCCTAAGATCAAAAGAGCCATCTGTGAGAGCGCGGGGGGCATGTAAGTGTTGTTGGCAGGCCAGCTTTCTTTGAGCGTTTGGCTAACCGGCCAGGTTTCTGTTGGCACAACTGCACTGCGACACCCTCGCAGCCAAGACAAAACCTAAGGATGTGCTACGAGCTCTCGAGGCTTTTGGCCGAGGTGGTGACGCTCTAGACAGAGCCTACCAGGATACGCTCACAAGGATACAGAGCCAGCCTGAAGAGTACAGTGTGCTCGCCAAAAAGGTCTTGGTTTGTATCACGTATAGCGCCGAACCACTCACACTCGACCAAGTAAGACATGCACTTGCCGTCGACCAGGAAACCAGAGAACTGGACCCAGAGTACGATTTGGACAACCCCGACGACGTCGTCTCGAGCTGTGCTGGCCTAGTGACCATCGACTCTGAGAGCAAAATCATTCGTCTGGTCCACTATACAACACAAAGCTTTCTGGAATCGCTCGGTAACCGACTTCTGTCGGATCCCCATGACTTCCTTGCCAGCTGTTGCTTGGATTATCTGCACCTGGATGTGTTTGCACGAGATCATGGCGATTGGTATGATGGCCCCCCTCACTCACTGCAATTTCCGTTCTTGAAATACAGCGTACAATACTGGAACTGGCATCTTTCGTCTGGCAGCGGCGACATAGCTCTGAGGCAGAAGGTGTTCTCTTTTCTCGACGACAGTGCACGTGTTACAACTGCGTTGTATTCCTTGAACAGATATCTTGCTGGTTCCCACGCCTCAGGTGCCCTCCACCTCCTCGCCACCATGGGGTTGAATGACTGGATTGGCGACTATATTAATCGCGGACCGCCAACAGATTGGAACGGGAGTGATCAAATGTCATGCATTGAGTGTAGGAGGTACGGACCTTGCATGACGGACAATGCGACGCCCTGGGTGACATGGCTAACAAGCTGGAGCGATTCCTTTAACCGCACGCCCTTGAGTTCGGCAATCCGTGAGCACCATGAGTCAACAGCGATTTTGTTGATCGATCTGAATAACAAGGTATTGGATGAGGTAGATGTGTATGGCAGAAACCCTTTGCACTATGCGTCAAGTTATGATTTGAGCGCTGTCGCCCTCAAGATCCTTGAGAAGCCCGAGAAGGTATCCTGGTATCAATATCGAGATCCGATTGGCCGGACCCTTCTATGCGTGGCTGCTCTTTACGGGTTGGAAGCAGTAGTTGATCGACTGCTGGAACTGGTGTCCGCCTTCGCCTACAGCGATGCGATCTCTTATACCACTTGGAAAGGCCCAAAACACGAAACGCCACTTTGGTCCGCGGCTAGGATGGGGCACCTTGGAATTGTTAAGAAGTTGTTGGCGAATAGCCGAGGGCGTGAGCTTAACTTACCAAACCTTAAGGGAGAGACGCCTCTGCATGCTGCGGTAAGAGGAGATCATTTGGAGGTGATTCAGTACCTCATGAGCCAAGACGGCATTGAGACAGATCGTCGTGATTTAGGAGGATGTTCCGCCCTGCACTTGGCCCGAAGTCGGCATGTCATCGAATATCTGCTCAGTACTGGCCTCTTTTCAGCTGATTCCACAGATTTCAGAGGCCAAACTGTGCTCATACATGCTGTGTTGAATGCGGGGCTGGAGGCCGTGGTATATTTGACGTCTCGACAGGATGTTGACGTGAATGGCACCGACCAGTACGGGATGAATGCTCTTATGGCGGCTGCCTCTATAGCGTTCGCAGATGCCATCGCTCACCTTGCTCCTCTGGTACGTGATGTTGATTCGACTGATAAAGCTGGCCGTACAACCTTACACTATTTATGCCTATGCTCTCGTCTGGTACGCAGGGACTCTCGCAGTCGTTTTCAGGCGAGACTCGACGCCTTGGTCAGAAACGGCGCTTCGTTAGATATCAAGAACAATGACTCTCTCACTCCATACGACGTACTGCGCAGTCGATGGAGAGACTCCCTCAATGGTACTGATGAGCGTGAAATTTTGGAAGGATGGATGTTGATCATGGAGTCATACATGTCGGCCACTGCCGAGGAATGAACACAGTCGAATCCATGTGTCGAGAAATGACCAACCTGTGCAAGGGTAGGAGGCAGCACCATGTCAGCTGGGAATCCTAACAGTTCAATCACATCCGACTTCCCCAGGAGGCCGCCATCAGACGAGATCTACCTGATCTTTTACTCAGCCATATCGCACACTTCCTCCACGGCCGCCATCGACATTCCAGGATCATGCTCCACCGACCTAGTCTGAAGACCGCTCCTCGATTTCCATCGTACCGCGAAGAGATTTTTTTCGAACAGAACCCCATAAACGTATTCCCTTGCACTATCTAACGACACGAGGCCCCTGGGTCTGGAGCTGGACCTAGTGTCACACACACACGCACACCCACATTCTCACGGATCTTGGCTCTTACCTGCTGGGAAACCAGGAAGAAGGGGAGTGTGCATGAAGCAGAGCAATGAGACGGGTAGAAGAACTATGAAACGAACCGCCCATGTAGTGAAATCAAAGATTACGTCTTTTTTTCCCTCATATCTCTCAACCTGTCCATTACGACCATGACGTCTTAGCTACTTTGCACAGACAGTCAATGAATGATATGACTTCCAACACCATCCTTACATCTTTCCATTCATATCTTTAAGCAGTCATCTCAGACTTTGCCTTAGGCCGTGCACATATGTATATGTTCTTCGTCGTGGTTCCATGATTTACAATCGTCGACCATGAATTGACCCTCGCGTCTCATTACTGCCGTATATGGCCATTTCCACCGATTGAAATTATAGAAGTAGAAGTAGAAGTAGAAAGAAGCAAAAAGGCGACATGAAACAGGAAACAACCCACATTGATATCTCCTCAACTCAGCCATCAGAGGCTAGGAACTCGCCCTTCCAGCGACCTTCAGAGCTGTCATCCGAGTCCCTGTCGGGCACCTCGATGCGCAGCACGGGAACGCCGCGAATGGTCCACTTGGTCGTCGTCGCCGTCGTCGCCACCGCCTTCTCCTTCCTCTTCAGCAGGGGCGCCGGGCTCAAGTACCACTCGAGGGAGCCGTCGAATTTGACGACGCAGGGCCACAGGCTGGCGGCGGTTGCGTCGTCGGACGAGGAGATGGAGCCGGGCCTGACGGCCCAAAAGGCGCCAAAGTCGCGCTGCAGCCGCTCCGCCACGTCGGCCGGCCGGTGCGGGAACTCGGTCGCGATGCGGTCCCGGCCCATGGTGAACGCGGCCGCGATGGTGGCCGGCAGCGTGATCTGGCGCGCCGTCGGTGGCCGTTTGCTCACGAACCGCCACCACGGCATCAGGAGGGCGTCCACCATGTTCATCGTCCACAGAGGCATGTGCGTCTCGTCGTCGTCGTCGTCCTCCTCCTCTCCGCTACCCGGCGGGGTGATACAATGACGACTGGTACTGGTCAGAGCAGGGCCCGGGGGAGTCTCAAAGACAAAGTCGACGTCGTAGGGCAGCGCCGGGAACTTCGGGTCGTACGAGCAGTACACCGGGCCGTAGTGGCGGCGGCGCGACATCTCGATGACGCCGCAGCACGCCGCCTCGCAGGACAGGTTGGCCCGCTGTTTGAGGAGGTAGTAGAGCGTCGTCGCGAGGCTGCGGGAGTAGTGCGTGACACGTTGCACGGCGGCGCGGAACTCGCTGCGGACAGCCACCCCCCGGCCTCCTCCTCCTGTTCCATCTCCTTCGTCTTCAGCTTCAGCCTGTCGTGTCTGCCCAGTGTTGTGGTCACCACCACCACCGTCGTCCACCTGCACCGGAAAAGGGTCAAAATGCACAACGACTCTGGTCCACCGGGCAAGGGGTAGCCGCACGATCTTCTGCAGGAGCAGCGTGCACCGACACTCCTTGTGGCCGATGATGTCCAGCTGCGGCGGGCAATCGCACGTGCCCTGCTCGCCGCCGAGACGGAACCGCAGCGGCCGGCGGAAGACCTGGCGCAGGGTCTCGCGCCGGGCCGCGACGCTCGTCGCCAACAGAGACCGGATCGTCACCCGATCGACCTCGTCGTCCTGGGCGGCGCCTGTGGAGACGCGGAGGCCGTCGCCCACCACGGCGCTGATGATCCGGGAGACGATTTCCTCGGGCAAGAAGGGCATATGGCGGCCGCCGTCGAGAGAGTCGTCGACCATGCTTCCCATGATAACAGTAGCATGAGTGGGTGGAATCACCCCCTTGTAGGAGTGGCCGGGGCTATTAAGACATCCGCGATAACAAGCACCTCTCATTCATTGGTACTTGTTGTTGTTACTGTTGGATTCAGCGAAGAAACTCCTCTTGGTGGGGCTTTTTTCTCTTGAGAGATGAAGACCACCAGTTTGACGGCGGTGGTAAGATATATATACATACAAAGAGGGAAAAAGAGTCATATTTGAAGAGATTCGAATGCGGATAGAGCCCGCTACATAATAAGTGACGGGTATTTCAAATGACATCCACGATGGCGAGAAAGAAAGAAAAGGGCTTCTTCCATCCTTTCCCTCCCGTTGAAGCGAGGTATTTAGTTGTTGCTGTAATCCCTCAACAAGTCACCTAAGGTGAATAGATACGGGATCGAAGAGGATCAGACAAGTTCAAGCAGATCTATCTGCCTCGAACATGAGTAGATTGCGAGTGGACGAATAACGAATATATCCCATCAAGACGAAAGGGTGGAAAAAAGTTGAATCTGGGCACCTTGCGCGACATCGATTTCATCTTGCAGGTACCAACATTACATTACATGGATCGGAGACTCTTTTTCCTTTCTGGTTCCCGGCCGGTTGTACTGTACACAATGTGGAAGGCGATCTGACAACATGAACGATCGGATGGGGACCGTGCTGTCTTAGAACACAACGTTCAACACCTTGCCTCCGCCGACGACAACGACTCTCTTCTTCTTTTCCCAGTTGTTCTTTTCCGTCAGCCACATCCGGCCTTCATCGGTGCCGAGAACAGCACGGATGATCTCCGCCTCTCGTGCTGCGAGGTCCGATCCGGCTTTACCTCCCGATGAATCGGACGGTACTTGTGCGGTAAATCGTAGTTTGCCGTTGACTTGCACGGCGCAGGTGATGGTTGTTTGACGGCTCTGCAGAGCAGCCTCTTGTTCAGGGGTTATGATATCGCCCGGCCACGACTCGTCGAAGATACTCTTCCTGACCGTGTCAGGCACTAGTCTTTCCCAGCATTCCTCTGCGAACGCTGGCGTGATTGGAGCCATCATCTTCAGGAGCGCGGTGACCGTGACATACGCGACGGACGATGTAAGATTGTTGATGCCGATCCCCTCCAAGCCATTGGTCAGCTTGATGAGGTCGGAGACCGCTGTGTTCAGCCTGTAGATGTCGCTCGAGAAGGTCTGCGAGATACTTTTGCTGGTGCTTTCCGTCAAAAGCAGGGCGTTGCCATCATTCGTGCTAAGATCGCTTAACTCTGGTATGCTGACCTGCGAGACATCCACCTGGACCTGTGAACTTAACTCAGAGACGAGGCGGTGGACCCGACTAAACCACCTCTGTATGCCGACAATCTTTTCCTCATCCCACTGTAGCACTTCACTAACGGGAGCGGCAAAGAGAATGTGTGCTCGTAAGGCGTCTGCTCCAAACTTTGCAATGGCTATGGACGGGTCCACGCCGTTATGCTTGCTCTTGGACATCTTTTCCCAGGTGACGTTGGGTGCTTTACCCGAGGCTTTGATCCTTGCCTCTTCGCCATCAAAGTCGACTTCACCAGGCAGCAGGAACCGACCGCTATCAGGATCAGAGAACGTCTTCCCGTGTACCATCCCCTGCGCGATGAGTTGTTGGAATGGCTCGGCATGGCCGTTGTCGCTAGACACAAGACGTTCGCTGCACAGGAATTTGTAGACGAAGCGCGCATAAAGCAAATGTAGAATGGCATGTTCGACGCCACCAACGTAGGTGTCGACGGGAAGCATATCAGCTGCGGATCGCTGCGAGAAGGGCTCCAGCTCATTCGTGGCGTCTGGAAATCGCATGAAATACCAAGATGAGTCGACGAATGTATCCATCGTGTCCGTTTCTCGCTTAGCAGGATCTTTGCAGGATGGACATCGGCATTTTACCCATTCTTCGATCTTGTCTAGTGGATTACCTGTTTGTCCTTTAACGGATGAATCGAGTCGAGGCAATACTACGGGGAGGTCTTCTCTGGGTACAGGAACTGGCCCGCATGCCGAACAATGTATGATGGGAATGGGCGTACCCCAATATCTTTGCCGGCTTACCAACCAGTCGCGCAGTCTCCAAGTTTCGACCGCTTCCGCAAAGCCGTGTTTCTTCAGGCTAGAGATGATCTCTGTTCTGGCCTCACTGCTGGACAGACCAGTATAAGGCCCACATAAAGAGGTTAGCCAGCCATCATTCGTGTAAGCTTCTGGCACCTCAGCCGGGACCGCACGGGTGGCTCCATCACCCCGTGGCTCTGGCGAGATCGCAATGTCGACAGGATCCGAGGGCCTGTGGAGTTTCCAGAAGCTGAGATCACGAGAGTCGTGAGCCGGAACGCCCATCACGGCGCCTTCTCCATAGTCCTCCAGCACATATGGAGCCGCAAATACTGGCAAGGGCTCAGCCTTCAAATCTCCAATCTCGGAAAGGGGGTTGAAGGCGTAAAGTGGCAGCTCGAAGCCTTCTTTGGAGTCTGGCGGGAAGGAAGCTCGTCTGTCAAGGAATATTTGCAGTTCAGGCGACTGAGCCGCGGCCTGGACCACAAGGGGATGTGTCATCGAGAGTGCGACATATTTCACTCCAAAGAGCGTATCCGGACGGGTAGTGAAGACATGGATATGGGAAGATTTCCCCGTGTCGTCTCTCAAGCCAAACTGGATGCGTGCGCCTGTCGAGCGGCCTATCCAATTCCGCTGCTGAGTTACGACTCTTTCAGGCCATTTCCCGCCATCCGAGAGATATTGCAAGTCTCGTAGCAAGTCCTCCTTGAACTCAGTGAGCTTGAAGAACCACTGGCGGAGTTTGATCTGCTGAACCATGGCCCCTGATCTCCAAGAACGTCCATTGTGGTCCACCTGCTCATTGGCGAGGACTGTTTTGTCGACAGGATCATAATTGACCAACGCTTCCGCCTGGTAGGCCAACCCACGATGATATAACCTGAGGAAAATGTCTTGAGTGTGCTTGTAGAACGACGGCGAGCAAGTTGATATTTCCTACGAGGGCTTGATCAGCACTATGTACATGTGTTCCGTGCCTCTGACCTACAGCATCCCAGTCAAAACTTGTATTCATGCTCTTGAGTTGCTGTTTCATCTTCGCAATGTTTTCATCCGTCCAAACCGCCGGGTCAATACCGCGCTCGATTGCAGCATTCTCCGCCGGAAGCCCAAAAGCGTCCCATCCTGTCGGGTGCAGCACATCGTAACCTCGCATTCTTCGATAGCGAGCGATCACGTCGGAGATGGTGTAGACGCGAAGATGGCCCATGTGAAGAGACCCCGACGGGTAAGCGAACATCGGGAGGACATAGGATTTGCGAGAGAGACTCGAGTGTCCCCCAGCCTTCGCCGGGTTTGCCCATTTCTGCTGCCATTTCGCGTCAATGGCACGGAGGTCCAGGCGAGGCACCTGAGTGGCAGCTCGAATAGCAGTGGTGTGCAAACTCCGAACAAAGAGCAGCCTGACGGACTGACGAACAAACAGCCTCCCCTGCATAACCTCCAACCCCTCCACCACCGGTTGGGCGCAGAGAATGACAAGGAACTGTCGACCACGACAGGTTTTATTGCGGGAGAGAGGTGTACTGCATGCACCGCAGTGTTATCCAGGAGATTGCTCAATAGGAAGGTTGACCGAGCCTAGTGTCTGCGAGGCGTTAAACTGAACCCCACTCGTCTCTTCACGTCCTTCTTCTCACCTTGAACGAGCAGTCTCCTTCCAACCATCAACTGTTGGTTTAGGGGTCTGTCTGTGCTAGGTGTTTTATCCCTTCGGTTCTGTCGCTCGTTGCAAATATCTTTCAGGGTCCGTGCCAGAAGGCTTGAGATCTGTTCAGATCAACGAGGTAGGATGGCGGTTGTGGCTGTCCAGAGCTTCACATCCCAAGAGATGTGTTGACAGTTCGCAGCAAGATAAATCAGCCTAGGTACTGATAGGTAAGACCCTCGTGCTCTGACCAGGGACTGGACAGGCCGAGGAAACAGCTGTCACTCGAACCAGACACAGCACTCATTCGTTCACACTGAGGATTCAGCAAAAGGAGCTCCTGGAGCTTGCTGGCCTGCTAGAAACCACTTCACTCCTCATGTTTCTTGAATTATGATGGAGACAAGAGCTTGCCATGCGCAGCAGCACGTGTGAGAGCAGCTTATGCTCCCCATTTTCTGTCGTGTGTTTTGACGGCGCTGTGCTTTGGTCAAAGGCAAACTGAGCAATCCGTTCCTTATTCTGGCTTCTGCTGGTCCTCGCATACATGCCTCACGATAACGGTGAGTCTTGCGTCGACGAGGCAGAGAGTTCTGGACCACATTGCGTGCAGGTCACATGGTGCGGAAACTGCACTGGTAATGTCACGGGTGCCGAGAACAAGCTGTCAGTGACAAAGAGACACTGGCATGTGCCTCACCCGGACAGCTTGCCAAATTCTCATGTCTGTCACCTATCGCCCGATTGGCTCTTTCGTGGCACCATCATTGCAATTCACAGCTTGGACCAGTGCGCATGAAGCAGCATCCTTTCTTTCACTTATCACACATCCTCCCGCTCAACTTGCCTCGATCTGGAGGTTTGCTTCGGACATCCTTTTGCAAGTCTTTCAATTTGGCCTACAGCCACAGAACTCCGACTTTTGTGGTGGCACTGGCTGAGGAAGCTTTCCACTTCAGAGTGCTTCAAGTACTTACATCATCAGGTGGCTTTGACCTCCCCAAGCTGAAAGCTTAGACTCGTCTCACTTCCCCCTAATTTGTCACAGTGGACAGATAACATTCTTCAATCTCGCCAGCATGGCATCCAGCACAGCTCTGCAGATCGAAGGAGTCAACACTGGTGAGAAGGTACAGCTTTCCCATATTTGGATTTGTACTGATCCCCCCATCATTAGGAGATCTCGGGCCAAGTTTGACCTTTTCCCTTCCTGCCAATATCCCCTACCCCGAGGGCCGTGTCCCGGCATCGAAGATGAATCTTTCTCAAGACGGAGACATTAAGCATGGCAAAGATTGCGAGTTCCTGGACCATGCCCTCCATGGACCGCTTTATCAAGTTGCATACATTGAAGCTTCCACCATCGAATATCCAAGCAATCACCTCCTCGGCATTCCTCAGGAAATTCGCGACACCATTGTTGGCCTTGTCTTTCCACCCAAGCGGGTCGTTGGCTCTCGGCCTGCGGTTGGCTGTGAGACATTCCATTTCGTCTGTCGCCAGACATATCACGAATCATACAGACGCTTCAATACTCAACCCACAGTGCTTGTGCCATCCAACAAGGGGCCGGAATTCCTGAAGAGGACGCTCAACATCACGACAATCAAGAGCAATGCTTACCGGAGCATTAAAAGCCTCTATCTCGAGATTCCTCAGAACAGCCCCAGCAGTTTCTTCCTCAACGGGGGAGAGGTTTTAAGATATTCAGCTCAACTTGAAGAGCTGCACTTGTTCGGTGTCGGACCCGACCGCTATGGATCCTCGACAAGTTCCGCCGCTCACCCTTGTGGTAAACACGATATGTCGATCATGTCTAGAGCCGGCAAGCTACCAATTGATGGACAAGGGTATCGGCGCCGCCTACCTCTGGTCAACGGTATCCAATGGCTAGAGAAACTGAAGGTTCTCGCTCTGGATAACCTCAACCTTCCTCTGACCCGAGCGCATGTTCTCATGAACAAGCCACGGCTGGAATCGTTGCACATTGCAGCAGACCCACGGTCCGTTCTGCATGGGGAGGTCCTGGCCAAAAGCCTCTTCTACGCGGGGCATGGGACAGCTCCTCCCGTCAAGGAACTCCGTGTCGATGCCAATTCCATTCTGACTGCGAGTGGGGTCACCGCCAGGCTGGCTAAGACTTTGGAAAGTCTCGACTTGGTGATCCCAAATATGGCTTATCAAGTGCATGCGTACGACGTCAATTTCTTGCGCGAGGCCAGCAATCTTCTGAACGAACTCCACATGGTCGCCGGACGACTGCGCGAACTGAGGATTTGTGTTCACGGGGCCATTTCGGAAGAAAACCACCACTACGGGAACTTCATGGGAGCTCTCAAGCATTGCGTCTCTCGCATGAAATCCCTCAAAGTCATCGAACTTCATGTCCATTGTCAGTCACCCTGGTTTGCTCGAGAATTCATTGAGGCCGTCCCTCCGTCCGTCACTCGACTCTACTTCAGCGATCTCTTCGTCAAACGAGATGTGCGTGAGCTCTCGAGCTACATCAGTGAGAAAACCAAGACGCCTTTGCTGTACGCGTGGGAAATCGAGGAAGCTTTCGCCATCGGAGAGGATCTTCAGAGAAAGGATTACATCCAATTCAGCGACAATCGTCTGGCCTTTGTGGGTTACGAGTACGATCTTTTCGGTCAGCCCAGTGCTGCTAACCTGCAATCCAACGCCATGGCCAAGTTCCTGAAGCTCAACGGCCGAATGTTGGATAAAGAGCGCAACCGACACCTGGCTCACCTGAAAGGTCGTCACATACCCCTCAAGGAGGGCAGCTTCGGAGACCACGCGGAAGCCACGAGGGCAAACTCAAAGTCACACGGTGGACTCCCTGCTTGCACGCAGGCGAAAGTGGAAAAGTATGGCAAAGTCTTGGACATGTGCGGCTTGGGTGACAATGGATATTTCGGGGGGGAAGATAAGGCAGAAGCGGTATTCGAGGCTGAGCCCGCGGCTCAAGGCGGCCACTTCAGCTATCCTGCGGTATCGGATGTTGAGAACGGGTTCACCTTTTCCAACCACTGGCTGAGCAAGTGAAGAGGCCAGGCCGGCAACATGCGTGCGACTGGCAATACGAGAGCCAATGCACGCACAGCAATGGAGCTTGACCTGGGCATGGACCGTCAAATAGACAGCGGGCTTTCGGGCTGAGGGAGAAAAGAGCGCATAGGCTGGATGTTTTCAGAGACAGTCAAATAGGCGGCATATCAGAAATGCAAGCTTGATGATGAAGACACAACGAGATAGCTGAAAAGGTGAAGAGCTTGCAATGAAACGATCAAATCAGTCGCTGTCCTGACTCTTAGGGTCTGTCAGACTGCCACTATTATTATGTACCGAGTAATGTGTCATCTTTCGGCGTATCACGTGCTTGCGCGCGGAGCCCTAGGCACGTGCCAGGAAAACCCGCCCTTTCCCGAGTAAGGTGCTTCGCATCCTGACCTGATCACTGACTCAAGCGTTGCAGGAACAGCTTTGCCCTGATAAGCAAGGTCGCTCAAAGCTCAAAATGCAGCGAGATCCAGCTTCTCCGGCCTCTCATGCCTCCGCCTCCGCCCAAGCCGACTACAGCCTCTCTCCTCCTTCGCTTTGGCAGGATGGTCGAAAACGGAAGAATGCCCCGCCTGGCTCGCGCAGCGTCGATACACTCACCCCCGAGCAGCTCGCCAAAAAGCGTGCCAACGACCGCGAAGCCCAACGTGCCATCAGAGAGCGCACCAAGCAGACGATTGAGAGTCTGGAACGGAGGATCCAGGAGTTGACGTCGCACCAACCATATCAAGAGCTTGAAGCCGTCATCAGACAGAAGGATGCTATCCAGGCAGAGAATGAGGAGATTCGGCGGAGGCTGGCCTCTGTCATGTCCATCATTCAACCCATTGTCGGAGCCCAGGGATTGACCGGTATTGCTCTTGACTCTCTTTCCACCATGTCGGCAGTCCCGTCTTAACTGTTGTGACCGCCAGATCTTGCCAGCGCTGCGCAGCACAATGTCCAAGCCGGACTAAGTCAAGCGAATCCTCTCCTCAAACCTCCCTTTCCTCCACACAACGGCTCGCCAGCCGATCCCACCACCTTCCACGGTCAGCGCAATGGACTTCTGTCACAAGGCCATTCAGAAATGTCAGCGCACCCTGCCCAGTTTGAAGGCGAAGAAATCGATGACAACAGGTCTTCGCTGACATCGAGAGATGCACTAAGCAACCAACGAGACAACCTTCAACGGAACCTCGAATTGAACGACGGCGGGGAACGCGTCAATTTGGGATTTCTCCTCGATCTTTTGGGACAACGAATAGGCGATGCACGGTCTCAATCCCAACTTCAGCCTCGAAGTCGTCGCCAACAGTCGCAGCAACACACCTCGCCTTTCAACCTCAACTCCCCCTACCCGGCCCTCTCCCCGACCATGCCCGATCAACTCCAACTCCCCACCGCATCCTGGAGTGTCCTCCCCAAAAACAGCCCGCCCACATGCCCTCTCGACAGCTTACTGCTCAAATTCCTACAATCTCGGCAGCGCGAACCTGTGGGCGGCGCCAATGCGCTTCCCACCACCCCGTCCTATCCTTCCGTTTCGTCTCTTCTAAACCCCAGCGCGCCTCGTCGGTCGATAGACGAGTTATCCCAACTGATGACGGACATCATCTCGAAATTCCCCAACATCTCCGAACTGCCAGACCAAGTGGCGACGTTGTTCATCATGTTCACCCAGATGCGCTGGCAAATCCATCCGACCAAGGAGAACTACGAGCGGGTGCCCGAGTGGTTCCGGCCGACACCGGCGCAGATATTCCACGCTCATCCGGCGTGGATGGACCACATCCCGTGGCCGCGGATGCGAGACAGGGTCGTGGCGAACCCCCAGGATTATCCGTTTGACAACTGGTTTTACGCCTTTACATCAGGCCTTTCCGTCAACTGGCCATACGACCCGGTGGATTGTCTGCTCAGTACATCCGAGAAAGAAGAACCAGTCATCAATCCCGTCTTTGAGAGCCACATCCGGCGCCTTGAGAACTGGAGTCTGGGACCGCTGTTTGCCGAGACCTTTCCTCAGCTGGCGGATACGGCGAGAATGAAGGCGAGAGAGCCAGGGCCAGTTTGACGCGCGAGCTGATGGCACAGATGAATAGGTTGTTCATGTTGATTTGTCGATCACGCCAAATGACCAGAGTGACTCTATCGTCGTTCAGACGGTCCTAACTGCCGCTCTCGGCTACAGAGACTATGGAATATTACACCTACGTCGTGGGGAGATACCCAGTTTCAGGAAGGGCTGAGATGCTCTTAGTTACCTGCTCGACATCGTGGGGAACTCATCGAGAGCATCAAACTTGCCACATGAGACAAATACACAGAGGAGGATATGAAAAAAAGGAAGGATTGATCTACCCCCATGTGACGACAAGGATCAACCACCAGAAAGTGTACAACAATATGGGCGGTGAAGCGCTGCTACTTACTGTACCTTGCTAGGTACCTATGTATGTACGTGCATCATGATCTGGCAACATTTCCCCCGGGCTCGAATTACCAAAAAGCAAAGCAAAGCTGCTTGCGGTGAGCGAAGCGCACTTGTGTGTGAATAATTAATTCAGTTTGAGCGTGATAATCATGTATTACGAGGTCGCGAGAACACCAAAGGCGAAGCGAAGCCGAGAAGGCGTTGTCGTCGCCATTAATTGATCGATTGATTTGATTGATTTTGTCTGTCATGTCACACATTTCTCTTCGAGCGAGCTTTTTAATGATGATGATAATAACAATGATAATGATAATAATCAAGCTGGCTGACTGGCTGGCTGGCTCACGTTATGTGAGAAAGAGAGTAAGTGGGTGTGAGAGAGAGAGAGAGAGAGAGAGAGAGAGAGAGAGAGAGAGAGAGAGCGCGTCTGCCTCGACGTCAAGGGGCCACGACTATTCATGTATGTATGTACTCGGTACTTCTCTGTACTTCGTACTCCGTACACCGTCATAATATGTATCAACCGCAGTATTCTCTCCCTCTCCCTCTCTCTACCGTGAACAGAAATGGATGTGTGTGGCTGGGCCTAATTAGAACAAGTCCACTTGACCTGTACGAGGTACGGTGTACCGAGTGACGATGGGCATGTCAGTCCACGGTTTTCTACAACTGGACTTCAGTGAGAACGAGACGCACATTTCCAGAGCGGCACATGACGAGATTTGACTTGAGCGAGTTTGAGTGGTCCTTCTCTATAACAACTCCTTTTCGTAGAATGCAATACCCACCCGGCCCCATCGTTCGCCTTGCACATGTCATTTCTTTCATGGAAAAAATTGATTTCTTTTGGGAGGCGGGACGTGTCCCTCCACCTCGTCTCTTGTCGTAGCAAAATGGCACTGACGAACACCTCTTATGCAGCAACTTTGGCACCGTACTTAGCCGCTGCGGCGTCGAAGAGCACACTCTTCTCTTCCAGATCTTTCAGTAACGCATGCTCCGCGTCTCTCTCTCGTAACTGCTGCAGGAGTCCTTGCACTTCCTCGCTCTTTTTCCCAACAATGCTTGCCAACACCACACTGTTCGCAATGGCTTGCACATCGGCATTCGCCATCCCCACGGCCTGGTGCAACGCGGCCTCAGCCTCTTCCAATCTCCCAAGATGTATCTCGGAAACAGCCTGCCCCACCAGCGCCGTCGGGCTTGTATTTCCCGGCGTTGATGCGATTTCCTCGAAGACGTAGAAGGCTGATTGATACTTCTCCTGGCCGCCTTCCCGCAGATTCGTCCACGCTTCGGCGAGGTTGATGAGAAGCGAATCCTGTGCCCAGCGTTTGGCCGCGGCCACTTCCTTGACGGCCAGATCCGTACGGTTTTGCATCAGGTGCACCTGCACCAGTATGGCCACGGCTTCCAGGGAGCCTTGGTGTTTGGACAGGAGATCGACGGCTTTCGCATATTCGCCGGCCGCTGCGAGGACGGTGCCGCAGCAGATCTGAACCACGGCCTCCTCCGCATCAGACTCTGAGAGGGCTAGTGCAGTTTCGAGTGCCGTCGAGTGGCTCCCAGCCGCGTGTTGTGCCAGAGCCACTATTGAGCGCGAGGCGGCGTCTTGCGACTGTTTGAGGGAGGAGATGACGGATGAGGCATCGCCCACGGCTATTTGTGCACGATACTTCAGGATCTGGGCGGTGGTTTTGTTTTCAGAGGAGAGAGAGGAGGTGTCAAATGCAAGGACGGCATCGTAGGCATGTGTGTAGAATGCGGTAGTTATATTGAGGAGTTCTGAGCTTCAGTCAGTGTGGGTGGCTTCAGGAGACGCTACCAGGATGATGTACATACCGCCTTCGCCGGAGAATGGATCCATGGCGGGGGAGGTCGTGCAGATTTCCACAGGATGGGACAGAAGATATGGGAAGGGATGGACTGAGGGGACAGTTGTGGAATATCGAGAGCGACACCCAGTGACCCCCCTCGAAGAATAGTGTCCAGTTCAATATCTGGGGTTCGTCTGCTGCGCCGACCGGGAAGGAAGGTGCGGCGAGATGCATCTCCGCTCATTATTGTCCCACCGGCTGGCAGCCTCATGTGTCTGGAGTGCATCATCCCCTACGAGGGAACCGGACTTCATCTCCTTCTTCTGCAGCCCTTGCTCAGTGGGCCCGGCGAAATCAAGCAAGCTCTCGTTGTACCTTCACCGTCAACATGCCAGCACCTCGGGCTCCCCGCTTCAGCTTCGCCTACAACAGTATCCTCCTCGACCACCAGAAGATCCAGACAGGACGGGCCATGAGCCGAGTGAAGGCGAACTACCACCTGTTCCTCCGCAATCAGCCCCGAAAACCACAGTTCAAGCTACAAGACCTGGGGCCGCGAAGGAGGTGGCAGGTCCCCAAGATGAGACAGATTGAGGGTTGAATTGCAGGTCGCTGGCGGGAAACGGCTCGTTTGACGGTCTGGGAACACTTTCTGGTCCCAGCATTTTGGGATGGATGCAGGGGGTATGATGTTCACGAAATGTAATTTTATGGCTACATGGAATTTAGGACCGGTCGACACAGTCTCTCCGCTTTGGTAATGAAATGAGAATCTCACTCCTTCTCGCCTATTTCTCCTGAGAATTTACTCGTTCAGCGGCACGGTGTCGACAAACAGAGCCTTGGCGAATGCTTCAGGGTATCGAGCACCGTGGACTTCGGCGGCGTCAATGACCTTCCGAATCTTCGCATTCTCCTCGGGTGTGATCTTGACCTTCAACGAGGCGATATTCTCATCAAAGTTCTTGATGCGGGTGGTGCCAGGGATGGGGAATATGTCGTCTCCTTGAGCCATCAAGAAGGCCAGGACCAGCTGGCCCGAGGTGCAGCCTTTCTCATCCGCAATCGCCTTGATGTCGTCGACCAGCTTGAGATTCTTGGGGAAGTTCTCCTCGCTGAATCGGGGGGCAAAGCTGCGGAAGTCGCCCTCTTCAAAGTCGGCGCGGCTCCTGATGCTTCCGGTCAGGAAGCCCCGACCGAGAGGAGAGTAGGCGACAACGGCAACCCCGAGCTCCCGGCAGGCCTTGAGCAGGCCGATCTGAGGGCTCTCAATGTCCAAGGAGAAAGGGCTGTACTCGACCTCAACAGCATCAATATGCGCCACCTATATCCGTGTGTTAGTGAGCACCTTTCTTTCACAAGGGAAGCAGATGTGCTGACCTTGCAGGCTCTCCGGAGTGTCTCGGCACTGCACTCGCTCAGACCCAGGTACTTGACCTTGCCGGCATCTTGCAGCTCTTTCATGACTTTGACAGTGATCTCAATGGGCTGGGAGGCTTGAATCCTGTGGCAGTAGTACAGGTCGATCTGGTTAATGCCCAGTCGTTTCAGAGACTTGTCGCATGCTGCCCTGATATACTCTGGCTCATTCCTGGGCACACGGATATTCGTCGATGGGTCAGTGGTATTGCCAAACTTGGTGGCGAGAAAGATATGGTCTCTCTTGCCCGGGTTCCGCTGGAACCAACGGCCCAGCAGGTCTTCATTGTCCCCGTAGGCGTCGGCAGTGTCCCAGAAGTGTTCGCCGGCTTCGTAGGCGTGGTCGAGCATGGCATAGCGTTCTTCGTCGGGCTTGGGTTTGCCATAGAAAGCGGAGAGGCCCATGAGGCCGTAACCGAGCGCCGTCACCTCGGGACCATTCTTTCCCAGCTTGCGGGTGGGGAGTTGTTGGGGAGCCATGGTTGTTGGGGGTTTGGATAGGAAGAGTTGGGCAGATTGATGGATGTGGACGAGTTGAGGCAGTCTTTGGGGTTTTATAGATGTACGTGGTAGGAGCTGAGGACGGATCTTAGACAGACACGACAGGCTCATCGTCGATGCCATCCGCCGTCGTACCGGGTTTTAGCCAAAGTCCTCAATGTGTCTCTCTCGACAGTGATGTCATTGGCTCTTCGAATGCCTGTCGTCCTCGTGCGCTATTATATCCTTTCTTCCATTTCTCTTGTGCTTCTTGCCTCTTGTCCCAATCGCCGGCTTTAACGGTATACTCGTTCCCACTGGTAACCCCCCACCCAGCTCACCCGACATCGATTACTAAGGTATTGAGAAAAATCCCCTGATGCATGCGGCCGCCCTGTCCGCCCCAGAGACAAATCTCAGAGGTTCTAAGTTCTCGCCTGCTCCATGCCCTCCACTCGTGGACCACGCTGACCGTCTTGTGGATCAATAAACGTCGTATTTACCCTGCTGCCGATCTGGGACACCTGTCATCAGCCTTGTTACCTGCCAGATATAAACCCCGCCGCCTCGAGCCTCACCTGTTCTCTCACCCGGGCTCCTCGATGCTCGGCCAAACTGCGCTCCACTGCCACCACCTGCTCTTTCGGAAAGACGATGCTACTGCACAATGACTAACGATACTGCCTGAAACGATGCGGGATAGCGACCCTCAAGGTGGGCTGGAGCATACGTATGCACGCCGATGTCGTATGAGGGTCGGCCAGAACGGGTTTGTGCAACCCTTGTAATACCTTGACAGAAGCTTCAAGAAGCCAACAACATTGACACACCGTTGCAGGTCGACACACGTCCTCATATCGAGCTGGTTGAACCTCACACACGTATCCGACGGGCAACAGCCATACCCATTACCAACCATGACGGTTGTCACCCTCTCATATGCTTTATTGGTGCCATTGTGAAGCATACCTATGACCGATCGAAGATTCGTCGCAACTTGGTCTACCATTGCAATCCCCAGCTTGGTTCTCAAGACTTGGCGTCGGTGCCGTTGTGTCCGAGACAACATCTACCAAGGCCATGCGACAGGGTACCGTCTCTGGTGGCTTGGACACCATGAATTCGACACCAGCTAATAGTACCTCGTACCTCGTACATATGTAATGATCTGCTGGCACTAACCCGCATCAGCTAATCATGCAGCCTCCTCTTCGTGTCAGCGCATTGAAACACTGGCGACACTGGTCCTAGACGCTGATACTTGCTGTTGCTTGGCCTTGGCTGTACAGTGTTGACTAATTATGACACATTGTCGAGCAGACGTCGCATATAAACCACCACTTACCTCCCTCAAAAACACCTTTTCAGCACTGACATCCTTCGCTTCCAAATGACTTCGCAATCTCACCGTCTCGCACGGCTCGTTGGCCCGGCGTTGTTCACCATCTCGGTCGCAGAGGCATTCAACGCACACATCTGGGCTGGGAGCACCGCGCCGACCATCTTCCTGAACGGCTCCGTGATCTTCGTCTCCGGTCTCGCCATTGTCCAGAACCACAACGTGTGGTGTCGCTCCTGGCCTGTGCTGGTCACATTGGTGGGCTGGGGAAATGTTGCGTTGGGGTTGACGCGCATGCTCATTCCCGAGCGGATACTCGAGAGCGTGAAGGCGGCTGAGGTCAGGGATGTGAGGATTGGAGCGACGGTCATCGCAGGGTTTGCGGCGGTTGTCTCGTTCTTTGGGTATTATGGGCCTTGATACTGGGGCTGGAGAGGGCATAGGCGTGGATCAGCACAGTATCACAACGAAGTGGGCATGTTTTCGCACTGCGAAGTTTGCGGGTTCCCGCCCCGTGTGGCTCGAAGGACAACCGACCGAAATACCTCACCGCGACCACGAAAGCGACGACAAAAGAGAAGCTCACCGGCTGTTTCAAACCATTCTCCTAGCCGTCGGCCCAGCGAAATTGTCCAAGTTCTTCTTTGACTGAATCCCAGCCTCCATCACTCCAGCGAGGAGAGTTCCCGAAAATATGGGCCGACTAAATCCGATGCAGAAGGCTTAAGATCACACAACTCGTCCCAAATCCCCCCAATGTTTCTTCTCTCTTCCGAGGTCTTCTCGCTTGAGACAGTACACTTCCGTTGGATCACTTCTGAACTACCACATTCTCTCCTATTACCCACAGTACACCGCTCCATCGAGGAACGCCAACATGAAGTCAAAAGGTCTCAACGCTCACCAGAAGTGGGTTGATATGCTCGTGGTCGAAGAAATGATCTTTCTGCAGGTTCATTCCGGGGTAGTGTCGTCTCTTCCTTTCTGGGCAAGAACTCTGGAGTTCGACTCGTCGTATCCCCTAATACGTAAATCTTCCGGACGTGATCAGCCCGAAAGGGGGGCCACCCATATTCCCTGCTGCTCCGCTCGCTCGCTCTTATTCACGTCACCTCTCGTGCCTCTCGTCCAGAGACACGGGTACGGCGCTGGACTCTACCCTATTGGAATGGGGAACGAGTAGTATGGCTGACGGCTATTTGTGATGCCCTACAGTAGACCTCGAGTGGGAAGTTAACCCTTGGGGGGAGGGAGGGAACGAAAGATGGCGAGGCGAATGGCCTCCCGGCATACGCATCCATGTATATACATACGTACATACATATATACATGAAAGGGTAGGTAGACCATTATGTGTGGAACGACCTCACTTGCTAATGCAATGTAATGTAACGTCTATATCATATGACTTGTGACCATTTTTGGTATTACCTACCTACCTAGGTCGGTCGAGATTCTATCATCTATATAGCTCTTCGATGAATGGTACTCTAGAATCTAGCTTGGATGGATCGAGTAAAGTGTGGCCTTCCCCGATGCCCCTTGAAGACCTTTTCTTGTTCTTGTTCTTGTTCTTTCTTTTCCCGTACACAGCCCTTCGTTCGCCCCGTGTAGGCAGCCAGCAGCACCTTCTCTCGCACAAGGTACAAGTCAAGCCAAATCGTAAGGTAAGGCAAGGCAAGGGTAGGGAAGGGAAAGAGAGGGTGGGGGGAGAGAGAGAGGGAACGAGAGGTAAAAAGGCCCAGCCTAATTTAAGCTTTGGCCGCCACCTCCTCGCTCCGAATCTCATTCCCCTTCTCGGCGTAGATGTCGTCCGCATCGTCATTGCTGCTCCCTCCTCCACCACCGGCGACGACATTGACGTGCACCGCGCTAGCTTGGCCTTTTCCCTGCACGATGCCGCCCTCGGTCTCGCGCAGGGCCTGCTCCTCGATCTTGCGCTTCTCGTCGTCCGACGCCGTGTACCACTGCGTGGCCACGTGCATGTCGTCGCCAAAGACGTGCCCGATCTCTTCGAGCGTGCGGCCCTTGGTCTCGGGGAAGAAGAGGTAGATGATCACGATGTACTAGACAGGGGGTGACTGGTTAGTGTCTTCCTTTTTACAAGATCAAAATCCTAAGATGGAGAGTTGGGAGCAGAGTGGTGGGGAGGAAAGAATGCATGCACAGTTCGGAGTAGTGAGGTGGATTGCCCTCCCGAAACTTACCACGGCGGATGGGATGATCAAGACGAGGTAGAAACGCCAGCCGATCTTGTTCAACGCCACAGGTGCTGCGACCAGGGTGACCTCACTGGCGAGGTAGAACGCCGAAAGGCCCAGTGCGACGCCCGCCGGACGCAGGTGGTTGGGGAAGATCTCGGCCACATAGACATACTGGGTGGCATCAATGAAGAAGCACCACCAGATGATGTAGAACCAGATGAAGAAGACGCCGGCACGGAGACCGGCCTTGTTGTTCGTGTTGAGGAACGAGGCCGTCAGAGCGCAAAGGAAGATGACCGAGACGACGCAGCCGCAGGACCCGATGAGCATGAACTTGCGGCGGCCGAAGCGGTCGATGAAGAGCGCCGTCCACGTGTTCCCGATGAGAGTGAATGTCGTCCAGCATGCGTTCAAGAGCAGCGGAATGGATCCGCTGAGCCCGAGGCTAGCATATATCAACACCCCCTACACCAAAACATCAGCACAGCATTTCTCAACCATTTTTCAACACCAATTTTTTTTTCTACAACAACGCAAAATGGAGACAGCGACAGCGCACATACATAGTTGGTCATGATAAATATGCCAAGGAATTGATTTCCCCACATCAAAACGAAGGCCATTAGAGCTCTTTTGCGGTTGGCAGGAGTGCTGAATAGTTCGAATCGGCCCCGGGACATGGTGGCATCCAGGTCGTACTGTTGTTCCATGAGCCAGAACTCACGGCGGGCTTTGACGTCGTCTGGGTCGCCTGGGGTCCTGTGGAGCCGCTTGACCACGTCCAGGGCTTCTTGTCGACGGTTCTGCGAGAGGAGCCAACGGGGGCTGAAGGGAACCAAGTTGCTCCCAGCGAGCAGGACGGTGGGGAAGAAGACCTGGAAGGCCAGGGGGAATCGCCAGGCGAACTGTGCAGCAGGGTCCGTGGCCGACATGTGGAAACAGGCGTAGCCGAGCCATCCTGCCAGAGCGTAACCGACGGCATACATGATGCCAGTAACGCAGACCATGGCGCCTCGTGTCTCTGTTGCGGATCGTCAGAGACAGAAAGAAACAGCACGCTCGTACATACCTGGCGTGGATACCTCTGCTTGGTAGATGGGGACAACACAGGCCAGAATGCCCGACCCCATACCGGCGACAAAACGACCAACGAGGAACATGGCCATATCAACAGCACCGGCACACAAGGCGCCCCCAACGATGAGAATGACGGAGCCGATCTGCATCGTGCGCTTCCGGCCATACTTGTCGGAAGACCAGGCTTGTGAGATACATCCTGCTATTGCACCGGCAGAGTTGACGCCGTTCAAGGCTCCGATCATGTTCGTCGTGTGGTCATAACCAGGCTCCCCTTGGGTGGCCAAGTGGAAGTAGGAGTAGAAGTTGGGTTGGCCCACGGTCGAGCCGATGATGGCGAGGCCATAGGCGGTGGAAATGGTGCCCAAGGCCACGAACACCACCACCCAAAGGTTGTAGTTGTTTACAATGATTTTGTGCAGCATCTTGGGGGAGAATGGGAGGGAAAAGCGACAAGGGAGAAAGAGAACGGCACTAGGGAAGCACCGGGCGGTAGGTACCTGTCTTTGTATGTGTACAGTACTTTGCGGCTCCCCCAAGCTGGCTTGGATGATCCATCCAACACAGCACAGGGCTGACCTTATCTCCAACTGTAAACCGAGGGTAAGTGGAAAGTGACCGCACGAATAGGCAATGTTGGTGTCGATCACGTCGCTGGCCTCTCCCTCCCTGACTCAGAGACATGGGATTCATACTCCGGGGCAAGAGGTACCAGGGCCAGGGCAACCAGGTGGGAGCCCCATGGAGAGAAGAGAAGTGGATAAAAAGCACCCACGCTGTGCGGGGACGGCGTGTGAGATTATGGGTCTGCAGAGGTGCCGTTGACGTGAGGTCGTACATTAAAGACCCGGATCCGGTGTCGAGAGGTTTCACAAGAGGGAGCGGTGATTGATCGACCACAAGCTTTGATAACGATATGAAGCCGCACAGCCTTCTGAGAGGCTCTCGGACAGCGCCACAGCTATGTCCGAGATATACCAAGAATAATGCACGCCATCGGGTTGGAAAAAGCCTCGCCAGGATGCGCCTTCAGCTGTTAAGTTTCGGCTGTGGCATAAAGTATAAGCTCTTGTTCGGAGACCGACCGAGGTCCGACCACGGGCGATACGTCATCATGGGATATTATCGGGCTTTCAGAGATAATGCACGAGAGAGAAGAATAAGGAGAAGGAGAAGGAGAAGGAGAAGAAGGTGAGAGAGGAGGAGGTGGTGAAGGTGTTGTGGTTGTAGTTGTGGTCGTGGTTGTTGAGATACAGACCGATATTGGTGAAATGGATAGATAGATGCATATAGTTGGCAAGGAGCAGGAGCCCTCAAGTAGGGGTCTTCATCATTTCGACAGGTTGTTTCCCTTGACGTTCCTTTTCAGTTCGGATCTTCGCAGTGGCCGTACATAGATACCGAGTTGAATGTGAGAAGCAGGTGGGAAAAGGCCAAGTCAACAAGTCTCTCACTCGACTTCAACTTCAGCTTCAGCTTCGACTCCAAATCCTGCTTCTCCACAATGTTATTATTAATATTACATACTCGTCTCCAGAAAAGATTTCACGTAGCATTCCTGACCCGTTGATTTCAGTCTTTTCACTAGTATTTCGATTCTTTCAAGAGACACTAAAATATAAGCTGATCAGCTCTACTCTATTGAAGCTAGCTATCTACTATATCTTCACATAATAGCCAGACGCTAGTACTTTAGTGTGCTATACTAGCGTATCAGGGACCTTAAGCGTTCGATATATCAACAAAGTTACCAGTACTGACCCGCTTATTCTGACATCTGACAAGGGATTTCATGTATTTTACCAACGCTGGTATCATACTGGTCTCCTCCACCGCAATTTCCCCTCCAAATTGCCCCGACCTCCCCAGGCCCCCCAAGCGGGTGAGGCCTCTCAGCCCCCAAAGCTCTCCTTGCTCCTCTTCGCCTCCGGTATCGCCATTCTTGCCGCAGGGGCCCAGAGCGAGCTGATGGATTTTGCGGGGAAGCATGGTCCCCTTCTTATGGTGGGTGTTGCTGTTACCGAGTACGTCTATGGCGAACACAACAATGATGAGATGGCTCCCTCGAGCATACTCGTACAGGGACATAACTGAAGATCGAGGCATAATTGCATACGTTGCACGCATTACGCCCGTTCGTTAGTCTCCCTTCACCGCCATGGCTGACCAGGACACTCACCCCATATACCCCGACCTGCGCGGCAAAGTCGCCCTGGTCACCGGCATCGGACAAGACGGGCCTCCTGACGAGACCCAGAACTGGGGTAACGGTGCCGCGACTGCTCTGGCCCTGGCCCGTAACGGCGTCAAGGTTTTTGGGTGCGACGTCCGCCTCGCCGCCGCCCAGCTCACAAAGTCGCGCATCGAGGCCATTGTGCCGGACGCCATCGTGGACGTTGTCATCGCCGACGTCACCAATGCCGAGGCTGTGGATAAGTTCGTCCAGGAATGCATCCACAAACATGGTCGTGTCGATATCCTCGTGAACAACGTCGGGCGCAGCGAGAAGGGCGGCCCGGCCGACATGAGCGAGCAAGTCTGGGACGCCCAGGTCGAGATCAACCTGAAATCCGTCTACCTGACCTGCCACGCGGTGCTACCGAAGATGGAGGCGCAGGGCTCAGGTGCGGTGATCAACATCAGCAGCATCGCCAGCATCCGCTACGTTGGGAAGCCGCAGGTCGCTTATGCAGCGACCAAATCCGCCGTCACGCAGTTCACTAAGCACAGCGCTGTCATCTACGCGAAGAAGGGCGTCCGTCTCAACGCCGTCCTGCCGGGGCTCATGTTCACCCCGCTCGTGCAGACCTTGGCCGACAAGTATGCCGACGGCGACTACGAAGGCTTTGTCCAGACCCGGCACAACCAGGTGCCCACGGGGAAGATGGGCGTGTCGTCCGACGTCGCGAACGCCGTCGTCTTTCTCTCGAGTAATGTCGCTGCCCGCTACATTACAGGCCAGAAGCTGGTGGTCGACGGGGGCATTGTTTCGAGCACGGGAAGGACGTAGAGCAGGGGCCTGAAAAATGGATAGATATCTTTAGTCTATGCCGCTTGGGTCAAACCCGGAGAACCAGTCTCCGAGGGACATATATACGTATATAGGATGTGTCACAGAATGCCAAAAGAGATGGATGGATGCCACGTGCACATCGATAATTGATTTGAAACCCATGAATGTCCTAGTCGCTTTCAACCAAATGACGATGATGGCTTTAACTGGCTTTTAGCTAATGGTCTACGTACCCACCTCGCCACCACCACCACCATAATGACCAGATCAGAACTACCTCGCACAGAACGAGCAATGAATGCAACGGATGGAAACATACCAACTTGCCAGTGGTTTGGAGGTCTGTAGGTTTGCAGCTTCGTTTGTAGGTTGGTGGTTTTAGTTACTTAGTTAGTTAGTTGCCCTGTCGTGGTGTTTGCTTCCCTCCGACGACAATCCGCAGCGCCTAGTAGTACTGTATGTACATATACCTACACGCATTCTTCTTTCTGTACTGGCTAGTTAGTAGATATACATGTAGTACTGGAGATGATACTTCCTTCCGTCCCTCCCTCACAAAAAAGAAACCCTATCCAAGTACGTTCTGTGAGTACTTACGACAGGCTGGACGCCCGGCCCAGTACAGCTCCTTCCTTCTTACTGCGCGTGGTCCTGGGTACGCGGTCTTTACCGGCCACTGTCCTCCTAATTGCTATATCCACTTCCATCCCCCATGTCCGTATGTCCATATACGGGTACATGCAAATAAGCAACCTAGGCAGCAGCCTGCACCTCGTATTCTCTCAACGTTATACCCCTGGTAATGATAATACCCTCACCCTGACAAGCTGGCCAGCCAGCCCAACAAGCAAGCAAATAGGCAGGTAAGGCTGAGGTCCCCCTTTCCGGTCGGATGGCTGCCCCCACCGGGCCCATTGCGCGATTTCGCCCTTCATCCATCAATCCGCACCACGTCCATCTATCTATCAGGTACTCTCGCCTGACGTGTCGTAGGAGCCCATCTCATCGCAGAAGGAGTGAGCATTGCATTAGCGAGATGGCGCCGATGGGGAAGATATGTATATATGTATGTAGAGATACAAAGATGCATATCCGCACGCCCGTGTAAGCTTACGCTGCACATTACGGCCAATGAGAGGGGCCATGGGTAGGGGATCGTATGTATGTATATGTATATAGGGTGTGCAGAGGCCAATCAATAAATGGGCCGGGGACGGGGCCGGGGCTCGCTATCTTACATATACAGTAGGCGAATATGTACGTCTGTCTCGCCGCTCTGCCCGGCCGCCCGCCCGGCCGCCCGGCCGCTCGCTCAAACAACACGCACGATCCCCAGTTCCTGAAGCCGGTATCGCCGATCACATGCGTGGAACAGGATATATCCGTGGACGTAATTCTCCCAAATGTCCTCGAGGACGGCCTCACCCTGAAGCCCGCGCCGGATCCTCGCCGTCAGGCCCACCACCTCGTCGCACAGGACCCTCAGCACCTCCAGGGCCGTCTTGCCCTCGCACCGCGCCCGGTTCTGGATGTAGGTGTTCTCCTCAGCCTGGACGCCGGGCGCGAAGCTCTCTTTGTAGAACGACATGATGTCGTTGGTGAAGTTGATCCAGTCCATCATGTCCCGTACACAGATAAAGTATTTGCCCAAGTACTCGTCCTCCGGGGCCAGGTGCGTGGGGAACATGAAGTGCGCGTAGACTTCACCCGCCCCGGCCTTGTCCCTCAGCATGTGCACGGCCGTCGGTGGAATGGATGCGAAGGAGCCTTCTTCTTGTTGTCGAAGTCCTTCCGGAAACCGCGCTTCGATGATACTGCCCATGAGGAATTCGACGAACCCCTTCTGGATAGCGCCCGCCGAATAGGGCCCATAGTACACGTGGGCTTCCGAGGTGACGAGCTCCGACCACAACAAGAGGCACGGCTCTGAGTAATGATCGAGACTATTCATCTTCTCTGGGCCCGCTGCTGGGGTATTCAGTCGCGACAGCTTCTGCAATTCCGCCAGCATTGTTTCGGGTTCCTGGACCACACGATCGTCGATGTAAAACAGGAATATCGTGTACAGGACAATGAACGCTTTGACCTCGATGGCGGCTCGTGTGTAGTGTTTCTGAACGCCACTGGCACACGTCGGGAGGAGCTTGAGGAGATGAGCCGTGCGTCGGTCGTCGAGGTTGTAGGACAGGATTCGCTTTCGGACGATGCTGTCGAGCTGCTCAGGATATGTGTCCTCGTACTGTCGTTGCAAGTTGAAACCCATGTTTACGACAAAGTCCCGTAGAATGCTTGCGGTTTCGGCCTTCTCATCTGGTTGGCCCACAACCGCACAGGAGCCCTGGGGAGGGGCCTCGAGAGGCCCTTTCAGAAAGAGAGACGATCCCTCCTGGCTCGTTATGACGCGACCACCGTTCCGGGCCATCATCTTGTAGCACAGGACGGGTGCAAGGACAAAGGTAAGCTCGACGAGAAAGCTGGGCATGAGCCTCGACCCTTCACTCCCCACGTTGACTTTCTGGATGTGAAAGCTGCCCGTAGCCGAAATGTCGAGACTGGTGAGTTAACGCTGCTCTCTCTTATATGTCCTCTGTTGAAAGCACAGCCCAGCAGGAACCTCGTCTCGAGTTCAAACGCGAATACTCCTGCGAGTACCGGATATTCGCCGTTCTTAGTGCAGCCTGCCCGAACACGGTTCAACGTCCAGTCAATCACAATTGAAGGTGTCCACAGAGATATCAACCATCGCGATCTCCGGGGAACAATGAACGTTGTACATGGCAAGACTCGTTGCAGTCCGTAGCTCTGACGTGAGCTTGGTATGCAGCATATCTGTGACAACACCATAGCAAAAGGACCCATACTCAAGTTCCTCCCCACCAGAGAGAGGGGTTCAGGACGCCAATGCTGGGGGCCTTTCCAGCTTCTCCCTTGCGAACGCACGATGCCGTGCAAAGCATTGACTGAATGGCCCCAGAATGTTGTCCACGAAGGGCAGGCAGTGACGGTCACTGATAGAACATAGCCAATCTTTTGCCTTGGTACACCCGAGGAGTTCCTGCTGCTGCGTGGTGGATGTTTTGAGGCGAGAGACGACGGGTCAAATGTCCACAGAGCGATGTTCCGCTTGTCGAAACGGTCGTCGAAAGATCAATCAGGGCTGAGATAGCACACAGTGTCCTGGAACAGGTCTGGCGTTGGTCTACGTACCTTCCGTCCTGCCCCTAGGGTCAAGCAACTAGTTCTGGGTCTTCAGCGAAGATAATGGCCCGGATTGGGTTGGCAGCCTGGCGAACGACCTGAATCGGCAAAAGTCCAAGGTGAGCTTTCATCCCTGCTCTGTGATTCGTATGAGGGCGCAGAGGGGCATGGTGGCATAGTTGCATAGTTGCATAGTTGCATGTACCACAAGGCGGATCATAATCCAACAAAGCAGTTGATAAAACCCATATCTGGGTAAGCGAGTTCGGGCCCAGCTTCATTTATAATCCACGCCTAGACAAAATGCAACCAAGGGTTGGAGGCCAGGCGCCATGCACTCATTTCCTTTCATCCCAGATATTGACCTCTAGAGCAAACCTGACGACAACACTTCCTGTCTAGAACCTCAAATCCCAGCCAATGCCTGGTCCCAATTTGGGCAGTTCATCCGCCACACTCTGCACGTCCTTGTCTCCACGTCCACTCAAGCAAATCACCAGCGTTTGATCTTTGCTCATCTGCTTGGCGACCTGCATCGCCCCAAAAATGGCATGACTTGACTCCAGCGCAGGGATAATTCCTTCCGTCTCGCTGAGGGTGCGGAATCCTATCAGAGCCTCTGAATCGGTGGCACTGATGAATCGGGCTCTGGAGCTGTCTTTCCAGTTCGACAGCTCTGGTCCGACACCGGGGTAATCGAGACCGGCCGAGATGGAGTGCGTATCACTGATCTGACCATGCTCGTTCTGCAACACATACGTCCTCACGCCGTGAAGGACACCTATCGACCCTCCGGAAAGAGTGGCAGCGTGTCTGCCCGTGTCGACGCCTTCGCCGGCCGCCTCGACCCCGATCAACTTCACGGAAGGATCAGAGCTGAAGGGGAAGAACATGCCCACGGCATTACTTCCTCCACCAACACAGGCGATCACGGCGTCTGGCAGTTTGCCCGTGAGTTCTTTCATTTGCTCCTTCGTCTCCTGACCGATAACGCTCTGGAAGGTGCGAACGATCGTCGGGAAAGGATGAGGACCGATAGCTGAGCCGATGATGTAGTGCGTGGTGTCGAGATGGACCACCCAAGCACGTAATGCTTCGTTGACTGCGTCTCGGAGGGTACGGGAGCCAGCTTCCACCGCCACAACCTTGGCACCGAGAAGTTTCATGCGGAAGACGTTCAGAGCCTGACGCCGTACGTCCTCTGCGCCCATGTAAACGACACACTCCAAGCCAAATTTGGCGCAGACGGTGGCTGTCGCCACGCCGTGCTGGCCTGCACCTGTTTCGGCGATGATGCGTGTCTTCCCCAACCGCCGTGCCAGAAGAATTTGCCCCAGGGCGTTGTTGATCTTGTGACTTCCCGTGTGATTCAGGTCTTCTCGCTTCAGGTAGATCTGTGCACCTCCGATCCGTTCGGTCAACCGGTCGGCCAAATGCAGGGATGAAGGCCGACCCATGTAGGGGTAATATGATCTGTACTCTTTCCAGAATTCTGGATCATTTTTGGCCTTTTGGAACCCCTCTTCCAGCTCCGCCAAGCAGTCCATCAACGATTCGGGAACGTACTGTCCACCAAATTGACCGAAGCGGGCAGGAATAGCGTTGGGGTTGGGAGCTGTGCCATTGGTGGCCGAGTTGAGGGCATCAAGCTGGTCAGCTAGGCCTGGCTCGGAGGGGACGTCGGCATCCGTAATCACTTCGTCGACCTGCACTTGATGGCCGTTGAGTCCGTTCGCAGCTGCGTTAGGTTCCTTCGCCGACTTCATGGTCTCGACAATACCCACTTCTCTCGTCAAGCCATCCGTCGTGTTGAATTCGCCGACCTTCCTCCCGCTGATTTGAGAGCAATATTCTTGAACAGCTTTCGCCCGTTCACCTTGCTTCGCATTGCCCAAAACTGTCACAATCTGACTGCCGATCACCACTCCCTCGGCAATTTGTGACACACTCAGGAAGTGTTCTCTCGTGCTCACACCAAATCCAACCGCGGCAGGAACACCGCCCGAGTACTGATGCACCCTCTCCAACAGCTCAGGAAGCTTGGTGTTGAGCGTGCCTGTGACGCCCGTCACACCCATCCGCGACACGACGTAGATGAACGAGTCCGCAATCTGGCACAGCAGCTTCATTCTCTTCTCCGAAGTTGCAGGGGCAATCAGCGGCACATAGCTCAATCCGGCTTTTGTGCAATTATTGCGAAACCTGACTGCTTCTTCCGGGGGCAAATCGACCATGATGAACCCATTGACACCAGCCTCTTTGCAGTCTTTCAACATGCGATCTTCCCCGTAGCGCAACAACGGGTTATAATAGCCCATGAAAAGAACGGGGATTTTTAGACCTTTCTTCCTGGCGTCCCGAACGAACTGCAGGGTTGAGGTGACGGTGATACCATTGGCGAGGGCAACGGTATTTGACTTTTGGATCGTGGGCCCGTCAGCAATGGGATCTGTGAAGGGGAGGCCGAGTTCGATGATATCTGGAGGATAACGTTAGATCCAACACTTGGGGCATTTGAGGGACGTTGTCGATTCTTACCGACACCACCGGCCTGCAGACCAAGCATGATATCTGGGGTTTCTTCAGCGGTTGGGTAACCCGCCGTGAAGTAGCCCACGAGGGCCGTCCTGCCTTCTTTCTTGCATTGGGCGAACGTCTCTTTGAGAGCCTGCATTTCGGATACGAGGGACAATGAAGACTGTGAGGGTGTGAATCTCAAAGGACGGAGAGGAAGAGAAGGGCGAGGGGAATTTATAGACTCCCAGGTGAGAGGGGTCTGGTTGAGTCACTCAATTGACTTGGTTCCGATTAGAGTGCGACAAGTCCTGGTGATGGCGGATCCCTTCGTCTCAGAAGCGAGAAGGTAGGACTATGATGGTAGGGAGGCCGTGATCAGGTCAGAAATCAATTCTTCTCAAATCATAATCATGGTGTTGCAGACTGTTTTTGATCGCAATGGCGGACGCCGCCCCGGTTGCGGGCCACAGAAATTTTGCCGCAGTCACGAACTAAGGGAGGAGCTTGCCGATAGGTTCAGTGAGTAGCTTTTCCCTGCATAAGTCTGGAAGTTGCTCCAGCTGCACCAGGCCCGCCGAGATCGGCCCGCGCACCTCGCTAGCCCGGTTGAACAGCCTCACCACACTAACCCTTGCCCTCCAGGCTTTGCAGCAAGAAAATAGATATCAATTGGCCAGCAGGGTGTTCTCATGATAGGTTTCGAGATATGGGGTGTTTTGATGGATATAGCAGCTCGACAGACCGTGTTGAATTCAATTCATGCTGTGCTGTACACGACATAACATAACATACCAGAACAAGGCCAGGCGGCGGCTAATGCACTCGACCAACATCCGCTCCATGTCCACCGTTATCTCTCCCATAGGAGGGCGCAAAACTATATCCAAGACAGATCAGATTGCACCTTTCGTCCTTGGGGCGTGTGAGTGACTCATAAAGCCTTGCCTCGCTTCGTTCGCAGCCACCAATTGCCCGTGCATCGACTGCTCCGAGGCGATACTGGCGACCTCATCGATTGCCCGAGGAGGGCTTTGCGACTTCCAGCTCATCTGATAGAAGCAGTCGTCCTGTTCTTAGAGAGTCTGCAATGATTCTGAAAAACCTCATGTGTCCCTCTTTTTCACTTTGGCCGTTTCATGACATCTTCCAGATCCTGCAGAGTCTGTACGTGGGCGAGCTTGGGTTTGACCACTCCGACTTCCTGTCCGCCGTCTGCCATGGCTCTTTCAACGTCCTCTGGGACCACAGTCACAACGCTATCCGCGACACTGGCCAACTCTTTCGTCTTTTTGCGTCTCTCCCATATCTCTAGTCCCCTATTAATACAGGCAGCTATCAAGACAAGCGCCGCGTTCACAATTGTCCCCCACTGCCCGATTGCAATATTCGCCTCATTCGACGGCAAGCCCCCTCGCAGCAAAGTGACTTCATTCACCACAATATTACACACCATGAGCGGCAAACACAGAATGTCGATGGCCAGCCCCAGCATTAGCCATGGAATGAGGAATGAAGACAGCGCCAATTTCCTCAACGACCACCGCGCCCGATGTACGTAGCCGAGCAGTGCAAAGTATCCACCATACCACCGTTCCATGCTCGCCTTGTAAATCGCTTTTGTAAATTGTTCTCGGTGGCCCGGATGGATCAGGTAGCTCATGACTAATCTCGTGCACAGGTTCGATGGGGTATGTTCCTGCATGTCCATACTGAGCGCCGCGTAGGCTGCAAACTGGATCGGTCCGACCAAAACATACGTGAGCGTCCTGTATTGTGAGTTATCCAGGATGCTGTGGGGTATGGCCATGACTTCGGAGAGCTGTCTCATCGGCTTCGTGATGTTAAAGCACTGGTAGCTGCAATTCGCAAAATCCGGGTTCGTCAATTTCTGTATGGGATACTCCAACAGCATCCCCTGTGGAGAATAACAGGCGGGTTCCGGCGGGTCGAGCGGCGTATCGAACAGTTCCGCCCTTCCAAAGATCAAGCTGATGCCGACCAGACAACCCCAACAAACCATGACGACCCGGGCGCGCGTCCCTCTCAGGGCGGAACTCCAGTGAATAATACCAATATAGGCGAGGGCCCCGGTAGACAACACCGCCCATGCGGCCATGATGTCCAAGTCGAAGACTCCTGCTTTGCTCGTCACAAGCGCGATGAGATGAACCGCCGAGGTGCCCGCGTATGTGAGTGCGCTGACGAGGGCGCCAATGATGAGCCATTCGGTCCTGCGACCAAAGATGGCGAAAACCAAGGTGACATAGTAGACGAGACGAGGAAGGAGGCCGTAGGTGCCGGAAATGGGGAAGACGCAGTTGATTTCGGTGACACGGCGTCCGTCGCCGTTGCCGTAGATGGTCTCAGAGAGACTGGACATGATCTCCAGATGTGCGATCGAGAATTCTGGGATGCTGCTCGGGAGGAGCCAAGATTTCCAGTTGACTGCTCGTTAGAGCTGGTCGAATCCGGTCACATTGTTGTCACCACTGGCGTTTTCGCATGAGCGGCGTTGTTGATGATGCGTCTTTGGCGACAGTTTGGAAGGCGCCACTTCTGGTATCCGCGACGACGACGACGACGACGACGACGACGACGTTACCAGGTCAGCAAAAAGGGGAAGATGATGAGAGTGACGACACAGGCTCGACATCGAAATAGCCCTTGAAAGCTCGACAAGACGGAGCAAAGTGGCGCCGGCCGCGTGCCTGGTGGAGGGTTGCACTTTCAGTCCTACTGCGCTCCGTTTTGGGGAATACGAGTACGAGCATCCTCGCCGCCATGGTCGATTTCCATTGGCTACATCTCCACTGCCAATCCGTGGCTCTGTCACAGGCTCTGATTGGATAAAGATGCCCTCCAAGTACATCCAGCATCATATGCGACAGATCCAGCGTGCCCCCAACATGCTCGATGTCTCAGCCAAGCACTATCTCCTCCCATTGAGGCCCGGGCTCGAGGGCCCTGTCCAGCGCGTTTGTCAGTATCCGTCCTAGCCCTTCACGATAATATATGCCGTCTTTCTTGGAGACCAGCAAGACAATATAAACGCCATAATCCCGTTGCGCCAACAAGTCCTCCACGTCATCCGGTAATGTGCCCTCCCAGATAGCCAGTTCATCATCGGTAAACTTGCTTACCCTGGACATGACCAAGAACTCTAGGGGTGTCCCAACACGGTGCATCCAAGCTGCATCAAGGTCAATAGTGCCACACCACAATCCATTCCGATCAGCGATTCCTGCTCTGATCAGTCCGGGGTCTGCGGGAGCGGGTCGTACTGTCGACAGAGCGCTTGGGCCAGTGAGCCTCTTCCTCAAGGGTGAAATTACTGATTTGTGAATCAGTGCCGGTGATGTGAGTTTGAATTGTACCGTGACTGTTCGGAAGTGTAATAGAGGAAGCATGGTGCTCAGTCTGTGGCGCGACATGGGTCCAAGGTCCTCGGGTTGGGGTATTGGTGGTGGTATCCGTTCATAAGCTTGTTTGGGGAAGGGATGGATGCCGAAGGCCTGATCAGCATGCCATTCAATCCACGAGCGAGCGACCTCGTTGTACTTCCATTGTGTCTCCCCTATCCAACCGGACCACGACCAACTTGGGAACCCGGTTCGTCGAAACAACCTTTTCGTCGACTCCCACAGCAAAGACGGATCCATCATTGTCTCCAGTATGCCATAGAAGATTTGATCTCCGATTCTTTTCTCCAACACCAGCTGCACCCCTTCGAAGGCGTTCAGGATGTCATTGGGGTTCGTCAACTCTCGTCGGGTGTATAGCTCCACGGCCGACGTGAACTGGACGAAGGGTTTCTCGCGAAAGATTCGGGTTGGCATGTCGATCGAATCCAATGACCAGCCATTGGACCGCGGCATCTCCATATCTTCGCAGAACGTCGTCCGCCGACACTGATAGTATATCCGCCCATTTACGAACAGGAGACACCGCCTTGAAAGCATTCTCTCCTGGAAGGTCCAGGCGCGAGAATCCCATTGTGAGGTTGAAATATAATCTGCCAGCAGCATGAGCATTTGACACAGAGTTGCGGGGACATCTAGACTTACCTTCAGCAAGGTGTGACACCATCAGTCGCAAGCCAGGCTTGACCTGTTCGATCTCTTGATGGAATGTCCGAGACTCTTTCCTTACTCCCGGTAGGCCTGCATTCGCATCTTTGCCCGAACCCGCCACCACGGTCAGAGCGGCTCTGGCATACACCCAGTCATCATGATACTGAAATCCGTCGTCGTGCAATAGTGCCAGGCTGTCCGTCCACAGATACTTCTCTCCCAGCATTTTGGTGAGCTTGATGGCGTCCTTGATCGTCCGCGGAAGTTTTTCCTTATCCAGCGCCCCCGGTTGTGACAGTTTCGGCAGGTTTTTCGAGGTCGTAAACAGCTGGGCGAAGTTCTTGCCCCACAGATAACTCAAGGCGACATAGCGGGATGACTGGGCAGTTTCGACAATGCACATCTTGTCCACGTCGATCGCACGAAAGACATCCTTCGGTTGTCCCAAGAGGTCAGGATGGACCAGCGACTCTTCACACTCCATCCCGTGGGAGGTTTCGCAGTCGTGCAGCCACTGGCGAAGTTGTTCAGGATCCAGCAGGTCATGAGAGGTAATTCTGCGCCCGAAGAATTCTCGGCTGGGTGCGTCGTCCGCAAGGAGGACGATATATCCATCTTTAAATGCCTGAGGATCACTATATATCAGTAACCGACGTGTTCGGGGCTTGAAGATATGTTCTCCAGGGCGATTGGGGACCGGCCCTAAATCTTCCTGCCCATCTACCACCCATCGTGCATAGCACAACGGATCATCGTCGGCGTGGAGACTGGGGCTGCGTTGATCAGAAGGACGGTCGGCTATCTCCAGCACCAGGCGGCAGTGAGGGCAATGGGTTTTTTGGCGGATGTGAGATAGTCTGCCCAAATATCGGGGCTTGTGCGTCCTTTCAAAGTCACGATTATCAACATCGTCATGAATGTAGAACGACCCGAGGTTCAGGTCGAGATGAAGGCAAGTGTCGCAGAGGTAGGATTGTTCTGGGGGTGTCCGATCGTCCTGCAACGCAGTTAGCCAGCCGAATCTTGCAAGGATTGCAGGGGAAGGGAGCAGCGCACCGATGCTTTGATCCAACTCGAGGGAAGACGTCCAAGATGTCTGAACTTTTTGGTCAGGTTCTGAATCGAGGTGGAAGGAGCACCGTTGGCGGGCTCAGGTGTCGACATCTGGGTGCATTTGTTTGCAAGTCGCAGTAGTGGGGACCTAGAAGTTGATTGAGATGGGGAAATCGATAGGGAGAGCGTTGGGCGCTGGAGGCAATCGCTTGCTGCCGACGCCGGGGCCTTTGCTGCGGCAGAGTGGGAGGAGGGGCACGGGCACAAGGACGAACTGCACAAGGCCATTCACAAGAGCCGCAGCCTGGACTGACGATCAAGTAGATGGGCCGGGGGAAAAAGAGTTTCGATCAACACGGCACGTCAAGCCACAGCAAAACTCAACCCAAGTCTAACTGCGCATGCGAGGTTATATGGGTCGACACTGGCGACACTGGCCTCAAAGATTATTATGTTCTTATGTACCAACATCTTCGATCCAACTGCAATCCTATGTTTTCCTGCTAGCAGCCCAGAAAGATGGCCAGGAAATGGCCCCTCCCCTCGCCGCGCCCCCACGTCCTCTCTCCTGAAAATCACCTGGAACGGTCCCATTTCCACAGGGATGGTGGAGCTGCTGATGGGCTGGATCAGGCTATTGTGAAACAAACTCGACTGGATGAAGCATCTGCCTGCCCTTCTCAGCTATCCTACCAGCAATGGCCTACGAACCCCGGCAGCTTCCGATGCCTGTACAGCCTACCACCCCTACAAGCTTCTTCGCTGCCACATACTAATAAGGCCCCCTTCCCATTCGCCTCCGAGAAGGCGAAACTTGTGCCTCGACAGCGCACCCCTCCCAACGGCCACCGTGAAACGGGAGCTACGCTTCGGCCCATCACCCGGGGAAGTTTCCCGTCAGAAAAGGATTTGCACTAGCCAATATTCCTTACTCACCGGATCATTGTGGAAAGATCCAGCAAATGGATATGGCTTCGTGATTCTCGGATTCACAACTAAATCCATAATGAGGTGCTTGAGGGAGCAACCAGTTCGTCCTGAGTGAGGGCACAGGCAGCATGGATAGGGTCGAATGCTGCTTGGCCTGAAGCACGCCCTGATTGGGATTCGATCCGCTGCAATGGGCCAGATCCGGCGCTGGGAGTGCAGGTTGTTGACCTAAAATCCCAATACGAGCTGTATGTCTATGCCAATGGTGTGCAGCCACCGGTCTACATCCAGGAATATATGGCCTGCATTACCCCTCCAGCCGGAGGACAGAACAACCCATCGTTCGATTCCTGTCGATCAGCCGCACAAAGAATACAAGGTGTATCTTTTTGAGCGTGTCTGATCAGAATGTGACTGGATCCCTCCGAAACTAACCAAGTATTGGTGCACATAATTCAAGATGCGCTGGATTTCCAAATTTAGCGACCTGAAGCTTGATATTGTCGGTATCATCGCTGTGCTGGGAGAAGGATCCATAACTCGAAATGCTCAAGTGACAAGCCTTTCTTGGTGGTCCACGATACCTAGGCTGATGCCAGCTCCACACGCCCTGCTTGAACCTGAACGGAAATACCGACTGCCTACAGCCCCTGGGATTGTCGCCGGGGCGTACAGCGGCTTGGTGAAAAGGGAAGTCAACTTCTTCGCTCAGTTGCTTCACCCAGAGCCTCTGGAAGATTACCAAGTTGAGCTTGTCCAGGTCACACGAAAAGATGTGCCTACAGCAAACTCGAAGATACCTTGTTCATATGGTCCCAAGAAGTATGGCCCCTTATTCTGGATTTCGGTCGTCGGAAGTGCCATGGCCCTGGCCTTGGTCGCGCTCTCCATCTATTACAGCGATGGCTTCTCCTTGCTAGCTACCATCATGCTGTCGCTGGTGAGCTCATTCGTGGGATTTGGTACCCATTGGAGCCTGGTATTCCAAGAATCGAAAGTAAAAGAGAACCGGCTGGAAGTCATACCTCGATCAGATGTCATTATCTACTATCCCAATGTGAGTCCGGTACTACCCTCCTGGATGCTTCTCTGTTGATACCTGGTGCTATGCAGATTGGCAAGCATCCGCATCGAGGATGTTTTACTGATAGCCTGCTTATTAGGGGTCCATTCGAGTCATTCGGCCAAGCACCGAAAATATTGCCCGGCTTTATTTTCTGACAGAGCATGCACAATATGTGATTGACGGTAGGCTACCGTTGCCGTCGGAGCCTTCAAAGGCTGACCTTTTCCGAAATAGACACCCCCTATCGTACACTGGCTCTATTCTCGACTGTCATGCTTATGACAGGGGTGGTGTCTCTGGCGAATGCATCCAACATACTTCAAGTCGCCTTCGCCGCATCGTATATCTTGTTGAATGTCCTCTACTGGGGTGTCTCTGCCCTAATGCCTTACAAATATCATTGGCAACATATATACGAAACCGAAATCATCCCGATACAACACCAGAACCAGGAACTCGACGCGCGAGTTGTCGGCGGACGGGTCGAGGAGTTCAAAAGGAGGCTCAGACACGAATGGCGTCGATTCCAAGAGGCTTGGATCTTGGAGAAGCGGCGAGATAGAGCTTCTAAAAGAGCCGAGACGGTATTTGAGGAGAACACCTTGGCAAGAAACTTCACCGGCGCGCTGTGGACAGCCATTGTGTTGACCGGTACGTCTCAATGGCTGAACGAAGCAACCACCATCGCACCCGTGAACGTTGCCTGGAAAGAGTGGCTGCGCGAAGCTGGCCTTCAAGTCCGACCGAACATCGAGTCTGGAGAAAGTCTTGGGAGTCATAATGATGAATGGGACGGTCGATTCAGCATGCATCGTCGGCCACGTATCCTAACAGGCCTTGATTGGAGTTTCACGCCGGCCACCAAAGAAAATCTGGGACCTTCTGCCCGCAAGCGCCGGATCAAGATCAAGTCTTGGGATTACCAAGGACGGCTTACGGCAATCCTACGCAGGCACGCTCCCGAAACGAGACTGACTCTTGACGACGAGGTCTTGGGGGACGACGTGTCCACTGCCGCGGCAACGTCAGAGAAGGACCCTCTGATGCCTGCTGTGACTGAGGAGGTGTGAGGCAGGTCTTCGTGGTGTCGTCTTCTTCGTGCCCAGTTACCAGAGGAGGTCCGAGGCTGAGGATGGCCAGGATCAATGAACAAGAAAACAAGAATGTGTGGTCTGGCACTCTCCACCAGCGGGAGTGGACAGCTTTCGATTCAGGATGGAGGGTCATCTTCCCAGATGGCACCGACTTCTCTTCGAGCACGCAGAGCCTCACAGTTTTTGCATTGTACTTAGCTGGAGTTCCAGGTGCTCTATGTTCGCTTGGTCGTTGTTAAACATACGGCGCAATCTAGGGCCTAGAAATGGACCATACATATATTAATACAAATAGCGGGATGGCTTTGACTGAACGAGGCCATGATCTCAATAACCAACCGCCTTGGCTCATGTCTCCTTCGTTCCCGGTAGGATAATTGTGAGCAAGTCATAATTAATTACCATAATTATTAATACTGGGCCAACGACCCCAATCCGAAGCGTCACATGCGAAACGGCTTTGGGGCCACCCGTCATCAACAACCACGTATTACGGGCAACCGAGTTCAGAGAAGTCTTGCTGTTTATTCTCTGAGTACCATAACTAAGATATAACACTAATGCGTATGGGATTGCCGGTAGAGCACTGCTTTGTGGCAAGTCTCTTATTCGTGTCTTGATACACCCCATACCTACTGTACTCCCCAGAGCTGCTCCTCGATATAATGATTTGATTTAGCGGGTCACTTCTCAAAGGGTTCTGTCTTGCCCTAAGAACCCTCCACCTCCAGTCAAAGATCAGATCATCGTCTCGAAAGGGCTCGCAGCGACCCTTGGAAGTGGATCGAGGGCCCCCTGATCGGTTAGCCTCGCGTCGCCCGAGTCCCGATCTAGCCGGACCGTTGAAGCAATTGAATCTCATCGGGAGTGTGCTTAGTATTAACAACTTCTCAGCAGCAGACTAAGTGAGCAAAAAGGAGTGGAAGGGTCCCGGCAGTCATTGATCTAACTGGGTGACAAGAACCCGATACCTGAGAGCGCGGGAATTAGGGAGACCATTATTGAGATGGACGAGGTCGCCCGGTTGGAGAGCATCAACGGCCAATTCTGTGGTTCACAAACCTGGCTGAAATGGTTATCATTCAACACTTAAACGCCCTCGCACAGACTGATGCGCAGAATCCCATAATTTCAAGATCAGGTGAAGTCGAGATGGGAAGCGAGCTCTCCCATCATGTCTCGACAATTCCTTTCAACAACTCCCTAGAGTAGGTAGCACTTTGAATTTGTCCCTGTTTCTTTTGACCTCATTCTTCCCTCCCCCTGCACTCACCTGCTACAGGCTTAGCTTAACTCACTTACCTGCTGTACTCCGACGGTGCTGCTCATCACCGACACTGGGGTGGCACGAGGAGACGCGCTGTGGATTGCCGGACTGATCTCCGTCCTTTCTATCATATCGTCGCCGATGGTAAGTCTTTCCGTCCGTTGCCCCTCCTGTTGCTCTACGTTGTGCTGGGGTACGTAAGCATTTAATCAAATAGCCAATGTTGAGCATCGACGAATTTGGAGACAGAGCGTTCATGATTGTGAGAGTCGCTAGCGAGGCAATTTGCTTCATCGTGGTACGGATCTTCGTCAGCCGAGCCCAGGAATCTTCAACCCTGACACCATCTATAGCACCATCATTGTTAACTTCATTGATATCTTGTTTTGCCACTTTCGGCTCTTGCTGACTAGGTCCATCCTGGGCATATGCTCCGGAGATTCCTCGCCTAAAAGGAAGACCAACCACCATCGGACTTTCACCTAGTAAGCACAGAAGAGATATATCTTCTGTTGGCTAGGCTGGAAGGAGCTCTGAGTCGCTGACTACACTCGCAGTGCGTTGATGCGCCCTCAGCAGGGTTACTGAGTTTTTTGGATTTTTTGCTCACCACCGTGGTTGGGTGCCGCAACACAGCACACTTCACTAGGTCCGGATTGGGCAATAGCGGCGCTTCGTGATGCAGACCAGAGCCTCGTGGCGATTTGCAGCTCAAGCGCCCTTCGGCTGGCGACGATGATGGCCTTGAAAGTCGTGACTAACTATATGCTCATGGCAGAAAGCAGATTTAGCAGACATGATTATTCTCTGGAGTAGATTGGGAATGCAGCATTAAGCTTCGATAACATAGTAAGTAACATTGCCAGTTCGGACATGTCCGTGTCGCGATGCCCATAAATAGGGCTCGGATCCTGCGTGATGGACACAAGGGCGAGCAGAGATCTGGGACTTCTCTCGGTGGCAAGAGGCGACAATCTGAAGACTGGATTTTGGTGAGATTCTTGAACGACAATGTCTATCCCTCAATCCAATGAGGAACGCTTGAAAGCGAGGAAACCATTGCCTACTCCTCAGCCTGCGTATCTACCTACGGCCGGGTCGCCGTTGACAGTCAACCAAGACTTGTATCAGTCGATCCAGCAGAGTCCCAGGGAGCTTGTCGAGTCATTTGTCTTGCCTATCCGTTCGGGTCGTGCGTGGAAGGCTCCAGCCAAGAGTATCATCAGAATCAGCACGCCCGAGGGGCCTCAAGTTGGTAGGCAAGAAGAGTTCTGCATAAGTATTCGCGTTCTGACCAATCCTGTAGGGGATCTGAACATCTGGAGTGCGAATAACCCTCGTGAGAGGTTCTGGGCCTCCCGCACAAAACAGCTCCACTCATCACACGTTACAACATATGATCGTCTCTGGTCCTGCCTACCGTATATGCGGCCATTGTGCACCATCATCGCTGATTCCCTCTCCTGGTATGGAGTTGATGAGACTGGAGGCAGAGTCCACGACCTCCTTGGCACCAGATGCGACCCTTATATCAATACCCTGCTCTCGGGACCTGAGGCGTCGTACGACTATCACTGTCACTCCAACCTCACAAGAGCTGTCTTGCCTTTCGGTCTTAACGAGTCAGATGTTCACGATGTTATCAACTTGTTCCAGGTAACCGGCCTGGATTCGCAGGGGAGATACTTCATGAATCCGTGCCCTGCTCAACCGGGCGACTACATCGAATTTTTTGCCGAACAGGATCTCCTGATGGCTCTGTCAACTTGCCCAGGCGGGGATCTGTCCTTGTGGGGGTTCGGGAGTGACAGCGAGAAGGAAATGATCAAATGTTGTAGACCACTCAAGGTCGAGGTTTTCAGACTGGTTGAGGAAAGCCAGATCTTGACTGGGAAGTGGGAAGTAGCTCGACGTCCAGATTACCGGGGTATCCATGGGATGCAAGTGCCAGAAGGCGAAGTGAGAACATAGCCCGTTGCGATGGGCTCGGCCAGTGATAATTTCGTAGCCACAATGTTTCTCAGCGGCCAGCCATTTCCTGCTGACCTGTGGTGCCTGTCACTTGGCTTGGCTTGTTGAAAACAACGCTCATGGCGTCCTCAAGGATTGCGAGCCCTTTGTTTATCTCTTCGTGCGAGATAACAAGCGGGGGAACAATTCTGATAACACCGTCGCCAGCGGTGATAACTAGAAGGCCTCGTTCTCTTGCAGCCGTAACGATCTCATTTGCCTTGTCTTTGGCCGAGTCGGCCAACTGGTAGCCGACAATAAGACCCTTGCCTCTGACTTCAGAGAGGACGCCGGGGAACTTTTCCTTCATGGTCTCGAAAGCGCTGAAGAAGAGGGTCGATTTAACTCGGACTTCTTCCTGTAATTGAGCCTTGGCGAGTCGGCCAAAGACGTGATGAGCAATTCGACATGCAAAAGGATTGCCGCCGAAGGTTGTCCCGTGGTCGCCTGTCTTGATGTATGGGGCCACAGTCTTGCCTGAGACGAGGGTTGCTGCAATAGGGATGCCGTTCCCCAGGGCCTTGGCGGTTGTCAAGATATCGGGATGCACTCCGGATGCAGTATAGGCCCAGAGATCTCCAGTCCTTGATAAGCCACACTGGATTTCGTCGAAGATCAAGATTGCACCCACTTCATCACACCGCTTGCGGAGGGCTTGGAGAAACTCGGGGGTTCCAACGTTGATACCCCCTTCACCCTGGATGGGTTCAACAATCACTCCTGCAGTGTTCTCGTTGATCAACTGCTGGACGCCCTCAACGTCGTTGAACTTTCCATAACGGAAGCCAGACAGCATGGGACCGAATGGGGCCTGGTATTTCTTGTTTGGAGTGGCCGAAAGCGCTCCATAGGTGCGGCCATGGAAAGAGCCATGAAATGACACAATGTCTCTCTGTTTTGATTCCGGGTCTTTTGCATATGTAACCTTTCGAGCAAATTTTAACGCAGCCTCATTGGCCTCTGCGCCAGAGTTGGCAATGAAGACCTGAGTCAGAGGCGAGCCGGGCGACTGCTTCTGCGTCTCCTCAATCAGGGATTTGGAGAGTGTTGGGGTCCAAGGATTGTGATAGAGGTTGGACGCGTGGATCAATCGCTGTGCCTGATGGGCAATCAGTCTTGTGATTTCGGGATCGTTGTGGCCCAAAGAAGTGACTGCTATGCCAGCAGTGAAGTCCAGATATTGTCTATTTTCATTATCGTACAAAATGCAGCCTTCTCCTTGCACCATCATTGGAGGGGGCCGAACATAGGTAGGGACCATGTAAGGAGTAGACTGATTCAAAAAGGTCGCCGTCGGCGAGTCGGAAGGAGGGTCTGGGTTGGGCACAGAGGCTTCGTGCCTGATTTGAGTTTCATCTTGGACGGGAATGCTGGAAGAGGTGGGCACAGCAGCGGCGCTGGCGTATCGTCGCCAGCTAAGTGAAGCTCGCTGTGAAGGAGCAGCAAGCTTGGAAAGCTGAGAGCAGGCCAGTCTCTTGCTCAACGAGAACGCCATTTTAGGAACAGCAATAAGCACAATGACAAGAGCACTGGGAGAATTCCTTGGTTGACTGGAGGAGTTTTAAAAGAGGCCAGTCTATGAGTGTTTATCTAGGTCTATTGGAGAAATTTCTTTTGAGTCACACTGAAGTCACTGTTTTCTTTTGCTTTTTTCCTCCTGGAGTGATTTTTTTGGAGGCGCAACATGCGGGGAAATCCGGCGCAGCGAGGGCGTTTGGGCTATGGGCAGTTACGACCATAACTACGACCGTCAGACACCACACAACGCCTATTAATTACAGCATGATAGCGGGATGCCAGTTACAGTCAGACAGCGTCGAGTTGTGGGGTGGATTCCCGGCCGTGCCGGGGCCAGTTCATCGACGAGGCTCACTAGGCCTCAATTCCACGACTACTTCCATTCCCCTTCTCCTTCAGCTCAGTCGGACCTTGACCTTTGAGAGCTTTTTCCAATCGAAAAATTCGATATCGGCCCTGCCATGAGCCCAATCTCCATCCGAGGCCGCAACATTCCAGATTCAGGAGAATTACGAGGCCCTAATTGCAGGTCATGCAAGGGATCCTTCCCCCATCCATAATGGAGTTAAGAACTCGACTGCTGATCCTTCCAACCATCTAAAGTGTGCCACTGGACGTTGAGTGACAGGTCCCAAGCTTGTCTCAAGCCACAACCGGTCTATCGGACCTCCTTGCAATGTCAACTGCATCGGATACGATGGTCTAGCCTTGAGGTATTGAAGTCCCTGATCCAGATGAGCCATCAACTCCTGGTATCGAATGAGGCTGTTCAGCGAGCTTCGCCAGTCGATGTCTTCCGTATCATGCAATCTGGACCACTCTGTGACACATGTTTAGATTGGACCAAAAGAATCCTGCTTTGGGCTTCTATTTTAGTTCCAATCCATTTCTGAGCCCCCTGTCCGGTCTCGATTTGTCTGAGATTGTTTACCATTGTATGGACATGTCGTGGTAAGCTTGAATGTGGTGAACTCCTTTTTATCCTGTCCTTTTGTTGCTTCCGAAATGATTTAAAAGTCCTCGATTCCTCTTCACATTCACTGTTCTCTCTCAACTCAACATCTCGACACCGGCATTTCTGGGAAGCAGCCAAAGAGCCCACCGTTCGTCTGAAGCAATTTCCAGATCACATCCCACCATGAAGTCCCTTCTCTTCGCTCTCGGCACCTGCGTGTCGTTTGTGGCCGCCAATCCGTTCGGTGCCGGCTCATTCTTCGAGCGAGGGGTTTGTGCTGCAGACAACTGCGCCAGGTACGAACTCATGAGGTTGACTATGGTCGAAGCTAACAACAGCTGTCAGGGCTGTTACGGGCACAGCAGCTCAGCCACCTCTTGCCACCCGACAGGCAGATTGCTCTGCTTTCTTCAGTCCAGTACCTTCTCCGACAGTGCCAGCATACGCTTCGGCTTGCAGTGGAGCTACTCGCTATAGCAGTGCCTGTTCTTGCCTCGGGGTCACGGCACCGACGTCCACTTGTGTCAGCGCAGCTCAAGCTACCAACATCGTCAACACCTTTTCTTCATTCTTGACTGCTCCACAAGCTCCGGATTTCGCAACGAAGGCAAATGCACTGTTGGCGGACAACTTCACTGACACCAGTGACTCGATCAATTTCTTGGCCGGTTTCCCAGTAAGTCCCTTCAAAGGGTTTGACATCAGTACGAGCTGACGAGTTGGTAGCTTGGTGGTCCGACATTCCCCAGCAAGGCGGCGTTCATTGGTGGTCAAGGAGCACAACCCCCTATTCCGACCTTGACCACGCTCGATATCTTCTTCTCTTGCGACAAGATCGCCTGGCGATGGGTCGGACAGGGTATTGGATCCGGGAAATATGAGGTCAAGGGTATCGACACCTTTACCATCAACCCGTGGGGACAGATCACTCAAGTTTTTGCGGAGTTTGACAGCGGAGCCTGGGCGGCAGATCTCGCCGGTGCGTCGCCGCCTTCAGGCTCATCGACGACGCCAACGACAAGCACCACTCCGACCCCATCCTGAATGAAGGTCTTCTATAAAGGGCTGTCGCATTGTGGGGTTGGAGCTTGGTCTGCTCCGGCTAGTTCTTGGTTAATGGCTTTGTTGTTTCCGCTTCTTTTCAGTGAGACGGCGTCATAGAGCAGTAATGCCTTTGGGACACTTTTGTCGGAATCTTGAGCTCTGAGCTCAAGATAATTCAATCCTTTCGCACTTGAACCATGGGATTTTCTTTCTTATGCCTCGTTCGTTTATCCTTGTCTCCGTCGCCTCGCACTAAGATTTTATCGTTATGATTTCCGAAGAACAGCCGGTGCAGTTTCCGACGACCCGCTACAATTCCGGTCCATCTGCAGATCGCTAGTTATAATTTTGCGGCAAACACACTCTTCAGAACCTGTGGGCCAAACCATCTTCATTCATACACCTACCTACGTACGGCGTTGGGACACAGCGTCGATTTATCGCTCGCTCACCAGTCACTCGAAAACGAAAGGCCAAAAAGCGAAAGACGCACGCCTCCGCCCTCCCAAGTCCAATACGCACTCCTTCTGTCCCGCCACCCAGCAGAAAAATGAAGCGCGCCACCACGCTCCCTGTACACCCGCCCTCCCTCTGCGCCGCTCCTCGTGCGCACCTCTTCACAGGCCCACGGCCCATCTCGGTCTCGAGCTCCAGCTCCAGCTCCAGCTCACATGTCCATCCGTGTTCATGTGCACGCACGGGCCTGACCCGCAGCCATGCCCGACAGCTGAGCCACTCCGCACGACTGAGGAAGGACGAGCCGTCGTCGTCGGGGGGCGCCTCGCCGTTCAGCTTCCGCGGCATGCCCGCGCCGCCGCGGCTGCCCAAGGAGGAGCAGGAGATCTTCGAGGCGCTGCAGCGGCAGTCGACCGGGGCGTTCTCGACGCCGCGCACAGAGCGGACTCCACCGCGGATCAACCAGTCGCCCGACTCGTCGGCGTCGGAGAGAGACGATGCGCAAGCCATGATTAGCCAGCGCGTGTACAGGATAGCCTCCAGCGTCGTTGACGACGGAGGTGTCGAGGGCCACACGGCACCACAGGACTCGTATGACCACGTGATCGACGCGAGTGGTGCGGGAGAGGAATTACACCCGAACTTGGTGCGAGGGGCGCAGCCTGAGTTCGAGGGGGAGAGGAACCCGAAGACGGGCGAGATTGGGGGTCCCAAGAACGAGCCGCTAAGATGGGGGCCTAGTGGAGAGTGGACATACAATGGGAGGGCGACGGATTTTTAATGGAGGAAGATGTACAGAGAAAGAGCATGGAGATGTGAATCAATGTGGTTTATTGTGTCATCTTAGTCCATGGTATCCGACTTGAAGTCGTGTCCCCCAAACCTGGTTCATGCCCATGCGTTCTTTGACCTTGCAAGTGTCTGGGATTGTATACCGTGTGGATGTCCGTTACGATCATCGATCATCGTGACAAGGGTGTCATCAAGCTCATGAAAGTCGGATTTGGTACAACATCAAGCTCGTGAATTGAAACATTGTGGAAAAGTCCATTCCTCGTCGACCCAGTCAATCCGTGGGATGCGCAGGCCACCTGGCACATCATTGAGTCTTGACCTCGCTGTCCTGCTCGACGTGAATGTGTTCGTTGGTCTGAAGGACGCCGACTTTGTCGTCAGGGAACTCGACACTATAGCCAAAGAATGTTAGATTGACGGCTCAAAGCACACGAATGCCGAGAAGTCAGGACTTACGTGAAGCCCTTGATAAGAGTGAATTCGTGCTTGATCTCTCCTCCATCAGCCTTGGCCTTCTCCTTGGCCTTGTTGAGCTCGTCGGGAGAGGCGTTTTCCTTGAGGGTGACCTTGTTCCATATCAGTCATGGTTCAGCATGGAAGCGAAAAGGGGCAGCTCACGTTGAAAAGAGGCATCTTGACTGCGGTGATGGTGGAGAAACAGGGGTGCCTAGATCGACTGCGATTTGCGAGAAAACGCTGAAGCAGAAGCAGGTCTGGGAAGAAAAAGAGTAGACGGGAACTGGAGAAGCGAAGAAATCTAAGGTTTTGTAAAGAAGACAAAGATTCCGCGACGTTGGAGAGTGAATGGTATGGATGAAGGGTCAGAAGGTCGTGTGAAGGGATGACTTGGAGGGGTGTCAAGGAGCCGACGCAGCCCACTTTGCAGAAGGAACGTGCAGTGACGCAATACATAATCGGCCTTCGCCGTCGCAAGCCGCTGACTAAGGTATCAGTCGACGGATCCCATCTTTTCATTCCTCAATTAATTAATTATCTGTTGGCCTTCTTCTGCAGACACTGATTTCTCGTCCCCAGTTGGAGCTGGTGGTGACTCTATCAGATACCCCGTGCTCTGTTTCAGCAACAGACAACCATGAGCCCCTGAAGACATGACAAGATATCCTCCTCTTTATTGTCTTCTGGAGGACAACGGGGGACTCACATCACTCCCGTGGAAGCAAGCTCAATACTGTACAATCTCGACAAGATACCCATCAGGATCCTCCACGAAGCCTACTCGAGTGACGGCCGTCCAAAGTCCCTGGTTCTTCCCCTGATCAGGCATTTCCGTTCCAATGGCACGAGCCGCCACATCCAGACCGTGTGGGCTGCCAGGTTGTTTGAGGATCTTGACCCCGTTGTCTTCCATTCGCTTCATGCAGGCCGATATATCTGGGACTGTGAAGCAGAGCTTGATGAGGCCAAATCCTGGGTGATCATTGGCGTTGGTTATGTTTTTTAAGGAGTTCTGAGCCAGAATTAGTCCCTACCACATGAACCATCACTATCGCCCAGGGCTTTTATGCTTCCAAATGCATGGTATTGTGTTGGAGTCCGTCCGGGTGACGACCTACCTCGGACCAGATCAACTCGAGCACGCCTTCTCTCGCCAAAACCGGGTTCTTTGTCGCGCTCCCCTCTGCGCCGGCATCCTTTTCGGGATATCCCACAAACCAAATCTTTATGGTGTCAAACTCCATATGTCCAAGTTCTTTCATGCCCAGGACATCCTGGTAAAAGTGCAGGGATCGCTGGAGGTCGGAGACCCTGATGCCGATCTGATTGAACTTGTAGTCTGCAGTGGGCGTCGACATGATGAGTAGACGAGCCCCGGGTACTGGACTGTATAGATTGAACCTCTGTGATCGTCTAGCATTGACCTGGTTTGATATTTGTTCAGTCCGGTCGACCTCCCTTACCTAGGCCTTCATTGTCTTGGTGGAGGCGCCTTCAGCCGAAAGGCCGAGGCTACAAGTTCCCCGGAAACACTGAGAGAACTCTGACATATAGACCGTGTCCAAGACTGCAATCGCCTGTGTTCCATGGATGGAACCCCCTGGCGTAGCGACAATGATCATGTGGACGAAGAGTGCAATCGGGTACGCATGCCCATTCGGCTCAGTACAGATAAGATCTGCGTGCTTTGATACTCCTCCAGTCGTCTAGCAGCATCGTGGTGGTCGCCTCTGCAAGGCCCTCCAACGCGGCACCACCTGGTCTTTTCTCCCCCATTCGAATGCCAGGGTGCTCTGCCAGAAGTGGACTATATGGGATGACTTGACGTCAACGGACTCGGGGGACCTTACGAAACTTGAATACACAGCAACATTTAGATACCCGGTATAAGTATCTCTGGGTGGTTGGCAATAGGGTTGTTCGATCTGTCACCGTTGAATATAGAACTGACATCTGGTCGTTCTTGTCTGAGAGGCTTTGACTTACCCATATAGTCCCCAGCCCTGAGACCATGCCTGATCTGACAGACCGCGACCGCAAATTCCAACTATACTTCACCCTGCTGGCGCCCCAATATGCCCACTTGACCTCGAACACGACCTATGATCTCCTCCTGCAAGCTTTCAACGGGGCCCTCAAGCCACGACTCAAGGCCATACTCACCTCGTCTGATTCTGTCACTGTGCACGACAATGCTTCAGGCCCAGGCACAGCAACCTCTGCTCTACTCACCTTCTGCCAAAACACCAACATGCCAACACCTACCGTCCACGCCACGGATTACACCAAAGCCATGATCGACGCCCTACAGAGTCAGACGCTCACTCAAGGCCCAGCCAAAGTCAACGCTCACGTGGCCGACTCTCAGGCCCTGGAGTTTGGCGACGCTACCTTCGACCTCAGCATCGTCAACTTCAGTATCGCAAATTTCAACGACGCCGAGCTGGCCATGAAAGAACTATACAGGACGCTCAAACCCCGGGGAACAGCGATCGTCGCGAACTGGGAGACATTCGGCTTCGCGACCGTGCTCAACGCGGCGATGAAAAAGGTCAGACCAAGCACAGGTCCGCTCCCCGCGGCGGGCCAGGAGTTCATGCAGGAGGATGTCCTCGTCACGACGCTGATGAGCGCCGGCTTCGAGAGAGGCAAGATCGACATCTACCAGACGGAGATTGTGGTGGGCGATGCGGAAAGGTTGGCAGGGATGAGTGACTTCATGACGGGGCCGTATCTTGGGCCGGTGGCTTCGACGTTGTCAGCAGACGAGAAGAAAGAGTGGCCTGCTGCAGTGGCAAAGTCGATTGAGGAGGCCAAGGCGGCTGATGGGGGTGTGGTCTGTAAGGCATGGGTGCTTACTGCTTCGAAGCAGTAATACAGCACCTAATTGTAAGGAGAGATGAGGTTGGAAGGGGCAAGATATGCCTGTACGGTGCAGAGTACCTCGTATTCTGGCATAACTATATCTACATGTACCATGCTAAGCCTCATTGGGCCCAGTACGTTCTGACACAATTTATTATAAGGCGCCCTGTCCCCTCGTAACAATCGCTTCTTGTCTTTCTTTCTTTCCTCCTTCCTGCGTTCATCGCTCCAGAGAGCACATAGATGAAAAGGCTCTTGCCCCCAGACGATCATTAGGATCGCCAATGTGCTCCCGGTCTTGAGTCTCTCGACTGGGATAATCACCCGTATGCTTCCTTCTTGATTCGACCGCCTCACACACCCTCCATCAGACCAAGCATTACCTCGGAACATCATGCTGACGATTGCTCTGCTGTTTGCCATTGCCTTTACTTTCGTGCTTTACCTTTTCATATCCTCTATTTATACAAGGCGTCGCCATGCTACAGTCGCACAGCAGCTCGGCTGTCGGCCAGCACCCAAAGAATACCTCCCGGATCCACTGGGACTTGTGAACATGTACAAGCTCCTGCGGGCAAACAGTAAGAATGAAGTCCTCGAGTACATCCGAGGCGTGTTCGACGATGTGTCGCTACGCACGAACAAGACAGTCTATTCTTACGACACGTCCATGCTCGGCGACCGGGTGTTCTTCACGTGCGACCCGAGGAATATCCAGGCCATTCTGGCCACTCAGTTCAAGGATTTCGAGCTGGGGAAAATCCGCACGGGCGCGTTTGCTCCATTGTGAGTCGTGGGCGTGAGACGGTCACAATGGAAAGAGATCAGGCCGCTGACCGCTGAAAACAGACTTGGCCACGGCATCTTTTCGGCAGATGGCAAGCAATGGGAGCACTCTCGCGCTCTGTTACGCCCCCAATTCTCTCGTGATCAGGTCAAGGACTTGGATCTGGAGGAGAAGCATGTCCAAAACTTGCTCAGAACACTTCCCGTGGCAGCGGACGGTTGGACGAGCACCACTGACATCCAACCCCTGATCTCCCGATTCACCATGGACTCGGCCAGCGAATTCCTCTTTGGAGAGAGCACAAACATTCAACTATCTGCGCTCTCCGAGGAGGCCGCGGCCAAAAATGCCGAAGACCGCGCCTTTGTGGAAGCTTTCGAGGCTTGTCAGGACCGCATGGCCAAGGCGCTCTTGCTGAACGAATTCTACTCGGTGGTCCTGACCAAGAAGCATGAGGATGACTGTCGATTGTGCCATCGCTACATCGACCGATTTGTGCACAAAGCTCTGGGTCGCGATAGAAAGCAAGATCCTGTTGGCGAGAGCAGCAAAAAGGAAAAGTACGTCTTCCTCGAAAGCCTCGTCAGTGAGACTCGAGATCCTATCGAGATTCGAAACCAGCTTCTGTCAATTCTGCTGGCCGGCCGCGACACCACCGCGTCATTGCTGAGCTTCTTGTTCCTCATGCTGGTCCAACATCCCGAGATATTTGACAAGCTACGATCAGTCATCATCGAAGACTTTGGATCCTTCCATTCGCCCAAAAACCTCACTTTTACGGACTTGAAGGCGTGTTCCTACTTACAGTGGTGTATCAATGAGACCTTGAGGCTTTACCCTAGCGTACCGCTTAACGGGCGGCGGTGCGTAAGAGACACCAGCCTACCATTCGGCGGTGGCGAGGACGGCCTTTCGCCCGTTTTCATACCGGCCGGGACAGAGATCGCCTATCTCGTGTATGTGATGCACCGGCAGTCGGACTTCTGGGGCCCAGATGCGGATACTTTCAGGCCGGAGCGGTGGCAGAATCACAAGTATGGCTTCGAATATCTGCCGTTCAACGGCGGGCCAAGGTACGTGTGATTGATTTCGACCAGATACCTACCTAGTCTGTCGGTCCTGACTTCGACCAGAATCTGTCTCGGACAACAGTTTGCTTTGACAAAGGCTGCATACGTGACGGTCCGCCTCCTCCAGCGCTTCGACCAGCTCGATGGATCGAACTTGTCGCCGGGGCCGATCAAATGGGCCGTCACCTTGACTGGCAAGCCCAAAGACGGGGTCAGGCTGCGACTGCATGCCGCAGCTGAACGTCGATCTGAAGCAATAGATGCATAACCGGTCTGCAAGGGGACAGGCTGAGCCTTGCTTGGCTCACACTCTTAAGATCAAACTGCAAAGGTTAACCGGGTTTATACGCAGTAGGTAATATCCAAGGGCCAGGGTCAATAGGGAGTACTTGGCCACCAACAAGCAGCTCATGTCACCAAAGGCATGCATTAGTGGCGTGGGCAGGGTGTTTTAGCAGAAGCATGATCCCTGTTGTAAGACCGTGCACCAAGTACGCAGTGATCCATTGTTGCGCAGACAAATCTTCAGGACATTCAGCTCCGACATCCTCCACATCACCGGCATGGCTTGGTATTTCTTGGGGTTTCTTGGAGCCTCGGCCAGCAGAAAGTGACAGCTCTTGATTGACAGGCCTCCAGCTGTGCGGTGTGTTCGGGATGCCTGATCCCATACCGCAGACAAGGTCAGTCCTTCGGCTCCCTCGATGTCGCCTTTCGAAATCTATCCTCGCCCCGTAGACCGCTAGTCCTTCTCTCTTCTACAGCTTTTGAGGCGGAGGAGCCCCCGTTTTCTGCCCGAAGAGGCGATGTCACCGACGACATGTGCGCGGATATGCAGCTTATTTTGGTGGCTTTCTCTCCTCCAGCTTGCCACGGGGGCCGAAGTGGATGAGGACGCCATCGACAAGGCCAGTTCCGGTCCGGTATACTCGTACCGGCCGAGCAGTGTCGATTTCGGCCTCGCATCGTCCAACGACAGCATCTTGTCAGATGACGGTTCCCCCTGGTCATACAAACCAACGTGTACAGCGAATCTCAGCGAGATCGGCAGCGAATTGTGCGTGTACACGGCCAAGTTCTTCAGCAATGGCCGCGGCATCTCGATCTTCACGACGCCTGCCATCGCAGTGGAATTCGCCGTCACTCTGGCTTTCTTGGATGAGCAAGAGCCACCACCCATGCCAGACAACACGCTTCGTATCAACACCTTCACCGGTGCCTGGTACACTCAGTCTGTACCGGGCAAGGGGATGGGCACGCTGGCGAAGCGCGACCTGCTCCGCGGCGACACCATCACGGCGTATACCCCCGTGCTGCTCGCGTACAAGGAAGACATTCTCCCCCGAGACGAGCGGGAGAGGTTCCTGCAGCTGGCCCTGGCCCAACTGCCGCCCCCGTCGCGTGAAGCGTACTTGAAGCTGGCCACCATCTCCCACTCCGACGACCCGAGTGTCTTTCCCGCGCAGGAGATCGCCAGCGCGAACGCATTTGAGATGGTGCTCCCCGAGCAGAAGAAGAAGAAGAAGAAGAAGGAGGATCAAGCAAGTCCTCCTCCTGCCGCAGCATCGGCCGCAGCGTCGGCGAAAGCTCACCTGGCCATCATCCCCGAAGCGTCGCGCATGAACCACGACTGCGCGCCCAACGCCATCTTCCACGTGAACGCCTCGACGCTGACACACGTCGTGCGCGCGACCCGTCCCATCCACCAGGGCGAGGAGATCACCATCGCGTACACCAACCCGCTGGCCCCGCGCGCCACGCGACAGAGATACCTCGCCGGCGCGTTCCACTTCAAATGTACGTGCGGGCGTTGCCTTCGCCACGGCACCGGTACAGATGCAGATGCAGATGCAGTACTGGCCGAGATCTCTGCGCTGCAGACCGCATTGTCGCGCTGGTCAGATCCGACGGGCTCAGTCGCGGACGCCGGCGCCAACAACATCAAACGCATCGAGCGCCTGGTGCGCTTGCTCCGCGACGAGGGCCTGGAGGGATACCTCGACCCAGCCTACTGCATCGCCGCGCTGGTGTACAGCGCCGCCGGCAGCGTCCGGGGTGCCCGCAAGTACCTCGCCCTGGCGATCGAGGCCATCGAGCTGCGCCTCGGGCCTGGCGCGCCGGACCTGCCGGCTTGGAGGGACATGTTGCAAGATCCGACGAGGCACTGGAGCTGGATGCTCAGCAAGAGGAAGAAGGGCAAGATATGAGGCAAGGCAGGAGGGAGGAGAGAGATATATTCGATGTGAATAGTCATGTGTATTTATATATTATATAGACCCCGAGTTGTACTTTATACCTTGACATTTTCGTTTCGTTACCACAGGCTTTAAGTGAGTGCCCCTTTGGGCAGAGCATTTCTGAAGTGTCCCTGCTCCCTGAGCACTCCCCTGAGGAAAAACACATAGGGGCCCTAATCTGGTCCCTGCTAGGCGTCGATTTCGGACGGGCGTCAAGGAAACTGGCAGGACGAAGGATGGGGACTTGCATACATAGATAGGTTGTACGGTGTGCAGTGAATCTCCGCCGCTCATGCCACAGATACACACACTGTTCTGGCGCTATGGGAGCTGGGTGTGAGCTGGACGTCCCAAAGCCCAAACCCCACGGTAACACCATCTGTACGTACTGTATTACGAGTGCAAGAGCTAGTTTCCTTGCTCTGTACAGCTCTGTATATACAGGAGACATGTCCCAGTACTGTAGATACGGAACGATGAGACCTTCCATTCAGGTAGTCAAGCGTTTGAACGTCGAATTTCATGGTGACTTGCATCTCGTTTGATTTCATTTCATTCCGTCTCGACAAATATCGGACCATATAGCCCTGCACCCAAGCAAACACGCACACACACACAGGGAGGGAGAGAGCATCGCCACCGACACATATATGCTTGAGAGAAAAAAAGAAGAAAAGAAAGGACACAGAACCCAATGTATATCCCACTCACTGAAAACCCCAAGCTTCATCTGATTGTCGTCTTGAAATGAAATCCTTAAAAGCTCCTATGCTCCATGCACCCAACTCCTCGGCCGTCGTTTCCGGGCAGCTTAGGCACTTGGATTAACTTATCAGGCCTTCCTCGATGCACTCTTGACGCCCTTTCCGACACGGTCCAGAAATGTCCACGCGGCCCGATCGTCCTCGAACGCGATATACCCGTCGAATGCTTTGGCCGGGGTATTCTTGACGATCTTGGTAACGACCTCCTCGACGGCCAGCACGTCGGCGATGGAGACGGGCAAGCTGCTCCCATTCGCGCTCTCCTCGTCGCAGATGGCGCGCATCTCGATCTCCGCCGGCACGGGCAGGATGCGGATCCCGCTGCTCCCCGCGCGTGGCAGGCGCATCAGCTCGCAGACCTTGGGGCACACGATGTTGGATTGTGGGACCAGGAGGACGAGTTGTGTTTGTGGCGTCAGCAGCAGGGTGGAGATGGTCGTGTATGTCTGCGGGTAGATAATCGAGGCTACCGTCGGGCAGGAGAGGAGGTAGGTTCGTAGTTCCGGGTTGCTGCTGCGGTGTTGGTGCTTGCTAGAGTTCTTGTGGCCTTTGCTGCTATGGTGGTGGTGGTGCTGCGATCGCGACTTCGTGGTCGTCGAACATTGGCGATCGTCTGCTGGGTCTGCCTGCAGTGCTGACAGCACCGTCTCTGTAGTGGCACCACCGGCGACAAGACGCTCTTGGTGCTTTGATTTATGCTCCACTCTCGCTTTCCGAGAAGAACACTTTGGTTCCGAGGTGAAGCAGCAGTTCTTGACGGGAGGAAGCGAGCATCTGCCGGTCGGGTAAGCAAAGTCCCAGCACGAAACGCCCAAGGCTTCCATTTGCGACTCCAAATCGGTAATGTTGAGCGTCGTCGTGGATACTGTCTGCTTCGGGACCGTTTGAATCTGTTCTTTCGTCGAGTCCGCTTTCGCCATGCTGAAGCTGGACTGTCTGAAGGCTTGTGTGCTGAAATGCATGTGGAGCAAAGTCTGACGCTAGACCGGTAGCCCGTCTCAGGTTATGCTCGCGCAACGGGGCAGGAGGCACCCCTACTTGTACGTCGCGTGAGGGCTTGATGGGTGGTAGGTGGCACTGGGCTCTGCCTACAAATCAAGATATTGGACCTCCTGATCGGAAAGACTCGTTTTCTCGAACAGGAAGATCTGCTTGGCGCTCACTCTTCGCTGGAGGCTGATCAAGGCTGACAATCTGTCGATGATAGCTAGATTCCGGTCGTGAGAGGATGATGGAGAGGGTCAATGAGTCTTCAAATCATTTCAGCCATGGAAAGTAGATAGATACGGCTCCGCGGATGCGGGGCCCGAGGGAGATATAGTAAAGAGCATATACCCTCCGTTCCCTACACGGAAAGGGAATGTCAGAAGTTCTCAAACCGGATCGAAACCCGGCACCCAGAGAGCCATATACAAAAGACGTCCTGCCTCAGGTCGCATGACCCCGGACCGCTGAACGGGCGCCGAGGGTTGCACTCAGGTCCTCCCGTCCACTCCTTCGGCGGCCCTGAGATGAGTAAGAGGGGCGTCGGGCCTAGCAATTACTCTCCATGCTTTGGCTTTTTCACCTATGAGCGATTTTTTCTCGGTCAATATGCCTTGCATTTCTGCAAGGTCGAGGGCAAGGGAAAAGGAGGGCTGGGACCACCGGCGAGAGGTCCGGGATCAGCTCCAGGGGATCATGGTTGAATTGCGATATCAGTCAATACCAACTAAAAAGCGCGTTCCCCGCAGCCGGACAGCCGTTTGACCTAGGGGCGACTTCAGCTGCTATAGGAATAGGCTGGTGGTGCCGAAGTCGCGAGGCCGAGTTGGCGGCTGCGGCCGCGGCTGATGTTTCATCGATAATTCTTCCACCTAGCCACTTAAGTCAGGGTAAAGCTGGGGATGAGGTGAGCGTGATAGGGCGCCTCAGGAAGGCTGACCCAGAATTCTCCAGGTGGACGACCCAGCGAGAGCATTTGCTGGCAGACTGAGTTGGGCAGCCGTTTTAGCGAGACAAAGGTGCAGAAGGAGGGGGAATGGTTGGTATATCGAGGTGTTCAAACTATTGGTGAATATCCCTCACGCATCTCGGATGGTGGTTTGCGGAAGCCATGGCACGCACCTTCCGAGATCGACAAGTGCATCCAGGCGGCGACGTTGCGTTCGCGAGGTGGTGGTCGGCGATTTCTCGGTCCTTGAATATCGCTGTGGAATGAAGCAAGATGGATTGATCTCAGGAAGACCTATTTCGGCTTATTCGAAGCCATACTCTGTGGAAAAGTCTCTCTTGTCGGCAGGTTCCACGTCCTGCTCTTGAGATATACGGAGCCATATGTATATACAGTAAGGATATGTATGTGCAGGGTGGCAGGGACAGGGAAGATCGGCCAGCAACGGCACACCAGCAACGGCACATTGCGCTTCATTTCTGCCGCAGTGAATGCTTCTTCACGCCTCGTGTCCCTGCATGTGGGTAATGCCGACGACTTCCCGAAGTTCAATGGGTAGGTAACGTAACCTTGAAGACCAAAACTTGATTGTCAAGATTGAAACCACCCTCATCGGCATACGGTAATAACCCGCCGTTCATGTACCCATTCTGAGTGATGAAGTCGTTGTCACTCAAGCTGAATATGAAATACTCGCCGTCAGACTTGGTATATCCATCCTTGCAGGTGGCACTGGAAGGGTGGACGGGGACTACGGCTATTGACTCCCACTTTTCATTCAAAAGGCTGGCATCTTGGGCGCCACCATTGTGCAGCCCGAAACGGTTGAGCTGAGAGTTGACATTGTAGTCGAGCCAAGAGCAATAGGTGGCAGGTATGATCGCCGAAGCCAGGACACCGCTCACAGAAGCCGCAGAACAAGTTGTGCAATCGTATGTGTTTCCGGCCAGATTGGTGGCATTGGAGATGTCGAAGACGTCGATGTGGCGGTATCGGGATAGCGAGTTCGACTGGCCATGGCCACGACCGGAGTCACGGGCAAGGACAAGGAATTGAGTCGGGCTGATATAGTGAATCTCGGATTGCGCAGCAACCAGGGTGTTGTTGTTGAAGACCGGCAGTGGAACCATATACTCCGCCTTGTAGATTGGCGTGGATGGATCGCTCACATCATATTCAAGCAGCCGACTGAGGCGTCGTGTGGAGGAATTGTCGCCACCTTCCTGAGCCAAAGCCGACTGCATAAGGGCGTAGAGAGTCTTCTTATCTGGCGAAGACGTCAGTCCTTCAAGACCCTGGTTATTCGAACGTCCGGTGTCGGGGTTCGCTGGGATCGTTTCAAAGTCCGGGTCATAGCGAGGTGGGCTATCAGCGTTGAAAGACTCGGTGCCGTTTCGCTCAGGAATGATTGCAGATGGAGGTCGGATAGCCCCTGTCATCTTACCGCTTTGGTCGAAATGGTAGATGTATGGGCCATATTCATCGGAGACCCAGAATCCATCAGGACTAAGAACAAGACCTTCGGTGTCTCCACACACACGGTGGCCTCCCGTACCATTGCCGCCAAAGCCATCACCCGTATACGTGGCAGATGGAAGTTCAGGGAAGCCAGGGAAGGTGAGGTAAGGTGGTCTGAGATCGGCATCAAGACCAGTCATAGGTGTCCCAGTAGGATCTGTGAAACGGACGGTGTCTAGGTATTGCAAATGAACGTTTGGCGAGCTTGGGTCGGTGGCTGTGGAATTGTAATTTGGCTTGAAGCTGACCTGGAATTTGTGGACTCGAGGTTGATAATTCAATGTGCCTTCCGTGTTCCACCCACGATCGGGTAGAGCCCAGAGAGTGCCCGTGTAGACTCCATCGCTGTCGACTTTCCATGAGTGTTGGTCGATGGCGGCGCTACTGCCGAAGCCTCCTGCAGTATCGCCAAACTTGTCGCGTGAATCCGAGGGTGCGAACCCATAACCAGCCAAAGCCTGATAGACATAAGTCTGACCATTGCAGGTGGTGGAGTTGACGACCGCTTCAGCTCGTTGGACAGGAGAGGCCAACGCAAAGCTGGCAGCCAATGAAGAGATAAGCAGTGTTTTCAAGACCATTGTGGTTACTCTTGCTAAGGCTTGATGAGTTATTACTGGGGCTATTATTGGTTGCCTGAAGAAAGAGGGAGTCCTGTACAGTAAGCTCAGCGCAATGAACGACGTGGCAAGCCTGAATGCTTTGGAAATGCAAACGCAGGAACGATTGACATGACGGAGGTGCCCAAGAAGCACTTGAACGGTCTTTTAACAGATGAAGCAACGGTTGACTATGAGATGACGGTCTCGAAACCAACTGCACGTGTACGGAGGAATCTGCTTGATTCGTGCGAGCATAGCGACGTGCCAAAAGAAAAGTGTGCAGATTTGAGTGGAATGGTACAAGCTAAGCGAGCACTAAATGCCATCCAAAAGGTGCTTGGCAGATCAGGAGGGAGCCGTGAGCATCCCGTTATTTCAAGTCCAGCGGCTGCACAGTGAGTGTTGGCAAGGAATGAAGAAGACAAAGCTGAGAGATAATTACTGCGAAGTGTTCAACGACCAAGAAAGTAAGCCGAGGAAGTACACGTAGATTAGACAAGGGGCGCGAGGGGCTAGCTGTGATGTATCATTGACTGGGGAGCTGTTCACGGTTACTTAGCGACGTCTCCATTCTAGCTTGTTAGACGACTTGATTCAGGCCAGGCAGCACTCTGCAAAAGTCCCCACGGCGTCGCCAATAGATCCCTAGCTTTAGAAAAGCTCAGCCCTAGAGTGCTTCCATCCCAGCATCCTTCTGGACAGAGAATAGGTATGAATTGTCGTTGGCCGTGGTTGATGAATGGTCTGTCCATTCCTCGCATTCATGAACTGGTGTTTCCTGACTAGACAATGCATGACGATTGGTGGTAAGCAGTGTGGGCACGGGGGAGGAGCCAAGTTCATTGCTTTGTTTGAGATGTGGCTTGTACCACAGTCAAATGTCGTGATCACCGAGGGAGACAAGGCAAAGACTGATCGGGGTCAGATCGCCATACTCAAGCAACAATTGGTCGATCGGCAGCAGCTGTGGCAGTGCTTGAATTCGCCCTATCACAATAAAGAGGGCTTTGAAGGGAGAGAACCGAAAAGAGAATGGCTCGTGGGTCGTGCCAAGCCCGCTGCTCCAGGTACCATCACGTGGGTCAACCTGCTCCGCTGCTCATTGGTCGAGAGACGTCATTGGCGCTGTTGGAATCTCGACATGACGTAGTTGCATATGCTTCCTCGATCTTGGGGAGCAAAGACGCAGATCGAGGGGTTGGCAGCTGATCGTCACTGATTCCCCCGCTGAGAGCCTCTTGCTGTCTATATAAACACTGGAAAGTCCTTGAGTTGGAAGTTTTTTCCTTACCATCAGCATCAACTTCACGATCGAAAGCCTGCAAAACAAACCCAGTTCACAACAACATACACATCTAATCACTACAACAACAGTTGTTCAACAATCGCAATGGATACCATCAAGTATGTGGCCCTTGGATCATCTTACCCTCATCGCACCTGCTGACAGTTTACCTCAGGAACACCGTTAACTACGTTACCGAGTCCATCTCCGGCGCCAGCGCCACCGCTTCGAAGGAGGCTAACAAGAACGTCGCCAAAGACAGCAACGCCGACGTCTCCACTCGTGCTCAAGCTGCCGGCGATGCCATCTCGGACAAGCTCGACGAGCAGAAGCATGACCGCAAGGCCGATGTCCACAAAGAGGCCGCCAAGCACTAGATTCTCAACTACATGAGAATATGATATGAGATATGATTGCAATAGTTGGAGCTACGAAGACAGAAAACTGGTCGGCGAGATACCCCAACAAGCCTCGAATCGAGGTATGAACTTGGCAATGCTCAATAGCTTCACATAGTCTGAATGGACAAAACATTAGCACAACTTCTGAAAGTACATTTTGTGTCTTGTGTAGACCGTAACCGTTGCTCCTCCTGCCTCTTCAACGGGTTGACCAGCTTCATCGACAAATGAACGGTAATCTGTGAGTGGTGACTACACATAATTCCTGCCGTGGCCTTCAAGCGCAGCAGCTGTCAACGTCCTCATCCGTTCGCGCTCTAGGGGGTGAATGTTTTCAAGCGCAGCATCAACGACACTAGCTCGATTCTCCATGGTCGCTATCGTACCGCTCTCTGACAAGTAACTCGGTGGACGATACCCGACGGTCTGATGTACTGAGTTCAAGGCTTCCTCGTACGTAGGCGTCAGAGGGGTAGGAGGTACTTGTACTTCCTTCCAGTGGACTAAATCCGGGTTCAGCCTCTGGAAAACAATGTCAGTCATCCGTGTCCATTCATTCTTGTTAGATGCTTACCATGCTTGTGCGCGTATTACCATACACAGGTGGCGGAGGTTGGATTGCTGCTTGATTTTCCACGTCTGGACCAAAGCTAGTATCCGTGGCCATGTGTATCTGGATGGGCTTTTCAAGGACCAAGTCACCTATTGGCTCATCTTGTCTTCTTCTCCCGTCGCGACGGCTTCGAGCTTGTCCTGCCACGTGCCGGCGTCGGGTTCCGCCCGTTGTCCGATGTCTCGGCCTCCTCGGTCGTCGCATGAGCATGAACATTCGAATGAGTTGATGGATGAAGATCCCAGTCAGGGTCAGGATCAAAAGTAGCGAGAGGACGTGGAACATGGTATTTCTACCCACGCCCGTGGTTGTGAGGACCACATCTGCAATTATCAGCTGTATCCTTGATGCTTCGCGGTGGCCAACTCACAGATGACTACCGCAACCAATAAAGTGACGCCAAATGCAAAGCTGATTCTTGCCTTTGCGTTGACATCTGGGTCGCGATATGATTTCCTCGAGAAAATACCGTATTTCTTGTTGCTTCGCTTTGAGGAACGGCTCCTGCTGCTCGTGCTGCTGCCGTTTCGGTACGACCGCATGGCTTGACGTTCGGATGGGGTAGGTTCATCGTCCATGTTCCGGGCAAGTGGTATTGGTTCAATCGACTCAGCGACAGAGGGCGGCGGGCGCAAGCTACCTGCATACATATCTGACTGCTCGTCCTCGTCGCCTCGTCGGACTGATAGAGGTGGAACTTCACCGGCCCTCCAAGGCGCGTTCTCTATGACGGAGCGTGTTGAAGTCCTCGACCTTGTGCTGGCAGGCAATGCACCACGAGCAAACATATCGTTTCGGGCTGAGCGGCGGGACGTGGCCAGGAACAGTGGCACCACGAAAGTCTTTGCCGCGGGATTTGGTGAAGCAGCGGCACTGCTTGGGCTCTGATTTGACCTCCATAGACGCGACATACTGCTCATGGCGCTCGTCCGCATGGCCGTCGAAGCTGAGTCAAGTGTCGGTTGAGGAGGTAGAATGTCTGTCTCTTCCATTATTGCAGAACTTAAACTCCGTTCTTGCTCTGTCTCTGGTAGTTGAAGGCAGCTGGAGGCAGATCACCCTTCGAAGAGAGGACAAGGCAAGATTGACATGGGGGGCAGCGATGGAGAAGAAATGCACTGAACTTTACCGTCGTGGGATACGGCATGACAAAAAGGGAAGCAACACAACATCAGGGTGAATACACGTGCCGCGTCCGGGCTTGAGTCTCAGAAACAGGACCGTCCTTTTAACCAGTGGCTGCCACAAGAGGACGCCCATACTGGGCAATGTGCTTTCTTACGATGGTGCAAGGAGCAAAGAATTGGCGGTGGAATTTTGATGAGAGTGAAACATTGAAACCCTTTGAATTGCGAGAGTCAGACGGTTTGACAGGCTGTCATTTCTGTTCCCACTCAGAAGGAGACGAGTTACAACTGCGACGTGGTGGAGGGTAGCGACAGTCAAAGCAGGGTAAAGCAGGTCGACAGGATGGTTCGAAAGAGGACGCGTTCTGAAACGCCATGTGGTCGTGTCACGGGAAGGCCACCGGGGGGCCTGCCAGTGGACCACCCAAGAAAGACCACACCTTAAGGGCTCGCTGCGTGCTAGGCACGAACTCTTTGGGAGTCCCTCTAGAGCGTGCCTGGGCTATTAGGCTACTGCAGGGGGTAAACCAAAGGGCGTTCAGCGGACTTCTGGGATGGATGCCCTGGGTCCCTAGGGTTTGCACGGCTTCCCCGAGGCTGTTCGCATTATGACGTTGCGGCACCCCCCTCCTCGCACAATAGTCCCGATCCTTCGCCAATACTGACAATCACGACGAGCACAGCAACGCCCTCCTGGCATTGGCTCGCTTATGCCCCAGCCGCGATGCTTACTAGATTCCAATGAGGAAATCTTCGCGATTCCACGAGGCGGAAGTCGCCCTAGGGCCTAGATTTGGAGTATTTATCGAGCAGAACACCGCCTCACAATTCGTGCTTTTTTCTTGATACACGAACATCCAGCAACATGCCTCCGTACAGCACGAATCGAAAGTATATAATGAAGAGCACTACGCGGCCTCCAAGTGCTCGTATGTCAGTCAGAACGCTCCTATCAGTTCCTAAGCAGCAAATCCTTCACCCATATTCGTAAAGAAACTCGACCTAGTCGCATTCGCAAATTTTTGAGGAGACTCAAAACATGTTCCCTATAAAACTGTTAGCAAGAGGCGTGACCGGCGCATATGGCCTTGCGCGTGAAGCAATGGCCGACCATGACGCCAAAAAGACTGCGACACCTCAGAGTCACCTGCAAGTTCCCTCCTCAACCAAGGAGGACGCCGACCTTTCAGATACCTCATCAGTTGAGTCATCCGACGGCGAGGAGGCAGCACAAGAACTCGACGAGGTCCAGCAGTCATTTATGCCAACATCAAAAGATTCTCAAATTGACAATGCTCACGACGTTGACGAGGTGTTGGATGCCTTCACGACGAGACACCCACCTCCGAAATATTCGCCAGTCGCCGGGAAACTCGAAATACCTGTCATATTGCCACAGCGTCGGCCCAAGAGCAAAGAACGAGGCTTCGTTCGTGCCTATGCGCCTATCCTCCAGACTTGTGGAGTCGAGCAGGGCGAATTTCTCGACTTTTTAGATGGATTTGGAAAAGCAATCCAGGTATGCACGGACTCCTTTCCGCTTCCTAAATGCTGTGAGTACATCCGCTGACTTGAGTCATCGTTCAGCTGCATCCAGTTTTCCATGCTTTTAATCTAGCGTGCGCCGGAGCAGTCCTGGCGACCGACATTGCCGTTGGCCCCATGTTTTTCGTCCACGTCGGGGCCATGGTAGTCCACACCAGCGTGGAGCTTTCCAGGCGACAATATGTGAAATACGAATCGAACAAATATCTGGACAACATGAACGAGAACTTTTTCAAGCCCCGAGGCCTCTATGCTTTGGTCATGGCATATAAACCTGACTCGGACGATTTGGTCCAAAATGTGGATATGAACACCCACCTGGTAACCTCGATCGCAACCAGGGATTCTGGCCGCGGAAGTCGATTTGCCGATTCAGCAGGTTCTTCGAGAGAAATCGAGATCCCCGAGTCCGCCCCTCTCATCTTCCCGGAGCTGGACGCCCTACCGGAGGGCGAGAAAGAGAATGCATTCAAGCGCAGTGGCAAGAGACTAGGCGACTACTTTGATCGCCGCGCCCAAGCCAAATTCGAGAAGGCAAATCCTGGGTCCAAACTCAACGTGTATCAGGATAGGCAATTTGCGTCGCGCTTCAGCGATCCCAATCATCCCGCCAACAGCGGCAGCCTGATAGCCTTGCTGAGCGGTGGAAAGATTGACACGACTGAGACGGATCGAGCGAAGGCTGAGAGAAGGGCACGCAAACGCCAGTATAAGGACGGAAGACGTGTTGCGAGGGGCCGTGAACCGCGTTACGATGCCAGCGGTATGAATAAGAGGGCTCCTCAAGGAGGGCTTAAGGGATTGATGAGGTCGGACGTGTTGTACCTCATGATAGTAAATTATCCCAGCGAGGCGGAGCTGAAGGAAGCGGCTCAGGCTATGACCGATTTACGGTTGAGGTAGCGTTAGGTTGACACCCAGGGAGTTTCAGAAGAGCATTTCGTGGTCTGCTGGTATAGTGAAAATTTGTATTCTTGCCTATGTGCCGAATATCAGTGCCATGCCTCGTGAACCTGGAAAAAGGCATCTGAATGAAGCGGCCTGGATTCCTCACTCGGTTGTGCTGAAGGTTGGCCCATACCTGGCACGCTTTCTCGCTGGATAACAGAGTCATGGGGTATTTCACCTAGACTATGTTCCTTTCTACTCAGAGTAAGAATCACAAGGCGCTGCAACGACGCGAGGTTTTCGTACGGATGTCATCAGTTGGAGAAATTGGAAGGAAGTTGATGAACCCTAAGTCTCCTGTGCAGCCGGGTTGGCGATGTCCTGGCACAAGACTCCTAATCTTATGATCGAGCTCGGGTTATTGTCCCTTGACTTGATGACGGGAAAAAGATGAAGACCTGGGCTCAGTGTCCTGGGTAATCTGGAGGCCGTTCGCATTCGGAAGTTGTTGACAAGGAATTGTTTGACATCTCCACGCGAACGCGAGCGCTTATATCAGCCGTGATACTGTGACCGCCTCCGCATTTCGCCTAGGCCACTTCCCAAACATCGCACATGCGTTGTCGGTGGTGGCTATTCGAACTTGATAGGGATTGGTCCTCAAGCCTAGCACTTCGACTCTCATGGCGCTACTGTTGCGCATTCAGAGCTGGCTTTGTACTCGAGAAGCTCTGGCCCTACAGCGGAAGGGTGATTGACCATGTGGATAACATGATCTCAGGACGCATCTCTGTCAGGCAAAGCCGTCACCGCCCTAACTCACCAAGAATGAGGTTGCGATCCGTCGAGCCGGAAACGACTGAATTGGTTAGCAGTATTTAGGACGCCAGATCAAAGAGCACTCACTGATTGGTGCTTCGGTGGGCGAGAACCGTACGTCGTTGACCGTTCCTTTATGCCCTGGGAGCTTATAGAGTAATTTCGCGGATCCGGTGTCCCAGATCACTACCGTCCGATCACCTGCCCCAGCACAGATTTTGTCCCCTATTGGACTCCAGCTTGCTCGTATCAGGTTCTTTTCAAAGCCTGAAGGAGCTCCATCATAAGTCTGCACCGCCCGATCGACCGGAGCGAATGGCCTAATATCCCATGTCCGCACCGTAGAGTCATGAGAATTTGAAAGTAATGTTTGCGAGTCGGGTGACACTTCCAACGAGGTGATCGTGTCTTGGTGCCCAGTCAGGGTGTAGGTAACCTCCATTTTGCGGGCATCCCAAACTTTGATGTCGTTGTCAATACCACCCGAGTAGATCTCATGGCCCTGCTCGGCCATAGCCACCGCTGTAATGGGGAAGTCTGTTTCGATGTAGTCGACCGCCGCTTTCTGGCGAGGATCCCATATCCCGATGCAGCCATCATCGCTGCCGCTGAGTAGGAGGTCTTGACCACGTCTACTCAAGTCCAAGCAGTTTATGACTTCCTCATGACCGACGTGCTTACGTATCCTCAGGCCTGTTTCGAGATCCCAGCTCGCGATAGTCATGTCGGCAGAAGCGGAATATATCGTTCTCGAATCGCGGGACCATTGCAAATCCAACACAGCGCCTTTGTGGCCAGTCATGATTCCGTAGTTTTCGCAACCCCCATATGTATTCCAAAGCATTATTGAGCGGTCCATGGACCCTGAGGCAATATGTTGACCCGTGGGATCGAATCTGGTCGCGAAAACCTCCCCTGAGTGACCTGCCAGTTCCATGATGGGAGCCGCCAACGCGCTGGTGCGAAGAGCCTGTTGACACGTTATTAGCATATCAATTTAGACTCTATAGCCTCACAACATACGGAGGGAACGAGAGTGCCATTTTGATCTTTCGCGCCAACAGTCAGGGCCTGTTTGTCGTTCAGATCTGAACTGGACTTTTGCCTCTTTACCAGTGCTTGTGGCTGGCTGAAGCTGTCAGAAGCTTGTCGTTTTATGGACGGCATCATGGTGAAGAGGTCAACGGGGACACAGAGGAGCCTGAGGGAGTAGCAGAGGACACAATGACAAATGATATACGAACTGCACTCGCTACAGTTCCGGCGCAGGATGTCGAACAGTTCCAGAAACTTTTTGACTCGGCTGCCGGAATATCAAATACTCCGGCGATCCAAAGCCTTGGCGTGCCGTGTATGAATCTCGAACTCAGCCATATAACAACGCGATTGTCATTAGATAAACGGTTCTTTTAAATCTCGGATTACGTTACTCCGGCGCAAAGCTAGTCCGTGGTGAGATGACCAGTCGCCGGTAAGAAAACTCATTTCTGATTCGAATGGCGTCGAGCCAGAAAGCCGCCCGCGTGGGCGAAGAGTAAGCAGTCCTCAAATCGTCTTGTATGTCATCTATTGATCGTGGTTCCCTTAGGATCTGGAAGTAAGTAACCCCCAAGGATCAATGGTGAACCGGTCTTACGATCTCAGGACGCGAGTGGACAAAGTCAATGCTGAGCTGGTCACCCTCACATATGGGACAATCGTGGCACAATTATGTACAGACTACGACTATGATTACACCCAGGTTAACCAGCAACTGGACAAAATGGGGTATAATATCGGCATGCGACTTATTGAGGATTTCCTTGCGAAGTCTAATACTGGCCGCTGTGGGAATTTCAGGGATACAGCAGAGATGATCTCCAAGGCACGCTATTTTGACCAGGACTCCGGACAGCCTTCTGACTTTAGAACAGGTTGGCTTCAAAATCTTTCTGAATATTACGCCTACCGTCACGAACTGGACTGCCGACAACAAGCAATTCTCATTGCTGTTCGACGAAAACCCACTGGCGGACTTTGTGGAACTTCCGGACGACGGGCGGGCTCAAGATGAGCTGTGGTTCTCCAACATCCTCTGCGGTGTTCTACGTGGAGCATTGGAAATGGTACCCTCGATCATGATGCGATCCTCGAAAAGCGATTCTAATAACATGTTAGGTCCAGATGTCCATTGAGGCACGTTTTGTCAGCGACATGCTTCGAGGCAACGATGTAACGGAAATGCGGGTCACCCTGATTCGGTACATCGAAGACGAGATGCCTCCTGACGACGAATAGCTGCACCACACTCGTTCTATGGAACCAACATATCTACAACAAAGCTCAACTGGATCACATGAAACGGAGCAGACGAGCCGTTGCCGCACCCATCGGCTCGGATATCACGTGGTCCAAGCCCCTTTTCTCCATCGCCAGGGGACCACTTTATCTGCCCAACTACTTTATGATAGTCGGGAAAGGATTCACTATTACCCCTGAGGTAGTTTCAGCAACTGCAATGAGGGGACAGGGGCTCCCTCCGGGAAAAGGCTGAGCTGATGAAGCGATTGAATGGGCTGATGCGGTAAATATGACCTGTGTTGTTGCCCAGTTGACCGCATTCAGCCGGGCGTGGAATTTTTTGAAATGTTGCAGCATAGAAACCTGTTGAGGTGGGAGAAGGCGGTCGAGGTGAGGTTGTGGTGCACAGCCAAGCACCCCACCATCGGTAGCCCCATTTTGGGTAAGGCGTGCTGCAAACTTCGCGGGACGTGTCTGTAGGGCTGACACAGAACGCTCTGTGAGTGGCCAGGGCGTGGTCAGAGTCAGAAATCATAGGCGGCCTTTTTTGCCTGCAAGTGCCGTGTCCGCCTCTCGCTGCTCGCCCCCTGCCCTCTCGATCTCTTCTCGCCTGCGCCCTGACAGCAGCTCAGCAATCCCCAGCCCGTTCTCCAATCTACTTGGGCTATAGGCTTGTTCTGCGCCGTGCAGCCTAGCCCACCGGCACCGATCAAGAGCACTCTCTATACCAAAAACCAACCTCATCTTTCTCGTTGCCTTTTCGCCTCGCCCACACCCACCACTACCACTACCACCTACTAAAGCGCCCAGTTACTATCACCTTCCTAATTTCCCATCCGGTTACCGTTTTACTTCTCACCTTTCACTCTTCCCTCGTCTCTCCTGATCCGGCACGACTGCCATCAGCTTGCTTCAGGACTTAGATTACCGCATTTCTTCCTTGCCTGCACCCCCAATCTTGCGCTCCTAGCCACCCCATCCCATAATTTGTGGCGGTCGCGTTTCGTTTGAGGCTCCCGCTGCTCAACCTCTATCTATCGCCGCCACGATAACCCTCGATTATCATCAGACGACATCGTACCACTACCCGATTCTCCCCTGCAGAAAATGAGGCTTTTCTCTATTCTCTGAAGTCGCCGTCGGTTTGCGCGACCGACTCTCTCCGCACGCCCGTTAACGAACAACTCGAACAACCACCCTGCGACCCACACCAACCTGACACATTCCCACGACTGAGGTGCTTCCCTCTTCCACGCGCCCTCGCTGTCGTCCTTCAAGCCCTTTTCGATTCCTTGAACGGATCTCGATGTCGATGGCTACCATGAATATGGCCGGCATGAATCCTGGCGGCATGGCGCCAGGCGGGCCCGTTGGTGGTGGAATGATCATGATGAACAACGGCAGCCCGGCTACACAAGTCAACATGGCCAACTCTCCAGAACAAGTGAAGGCTCAGTTGAACACGTACATCTACGAGTATTTCTTGAAGCTCGGTCACTATGACCTTGCCCGAAGTCTGCTGCGTGAGGAAAAATTCGAAATCCGTACCAAGCCGCCGGTCAAGCAGAGTCCCGGCCGGCGCAAAGATACCGAAGTTAATGGTGTTGACGGCGACGCCATGGACACCGATGTCAAAGACGATATTCCTGACGATCTCCCCCGCCCCATGCATGTTGGTGACGCGAACACGCCTGGCGTTGGGTTCCTGTTCGAATGGTTTAGCATCTTCTCTGATCTTTTCACTGCGCATCGTTCAAGCAAAATCCAAGGTGGCCATGGTGCGAATATGGGACCCGCGGCTCAATATTTGATGCAACATCAGGTACGATCCTGTCTCAAGCCTTTGCTCATTATAGTCGACTGACTTCTTCCCGCAGAACATGCAACGCATGAGGGAAAACCAGCAAAACCAGAACCTCGCTCGACCTGGCATCATGGCCGCAAATCGATTTGCTATGCAGGCTAATCTCCGCAACAACGTCGTGAACGGGAACAACATGGCCAACAAATTGTGAGTGCACCACTCTTTGATTGTATCCCCAAGCCCCACAAACAAGCTGACAAGTACGTGCAGTACTCCTCAGCAGATGCAGCAACAATACAAACAGGCGCAGATGATCTCGCAGCAACAGCAGCAACAGATGCAGCGAGAACAGGGTGACGTGGACATGAACGGTCGCGCCTCGTCGCCGGCGGAGGGCGAGAATGGTGGGTCGCCGTCCAAGAGACCACGACTCGAAGGTCAACAGTTCAACGGTGGCATGATGCCTAATGTGCGACCAGGAATGCCCAACGTGGCACCTCAGAACATGATGATCCAGAATACCTTCCAGCCCAACATGAATAACCCTCAATTCCGGCAAAACGGGGCCATGCCACAGAAGCCCATGCAGGTAAGTACATGGTCACTCCTCATCGAGTCTATGGCTGACTGTCCCCTGACAGGCTGGGATGGCTAATGGCATGATGAACATGGCCAATGCCGGTTCGCCTATCATGCAGGGCATGAATCCTCAATTCGAAGCGGGGATCCAGATGGATATGTACAACCAGAGGATGCCTGGCCAACAGATGCCAGCCGGTCCGGGCGGAGGGACTGGAAACCATGCTCTTCAAGATTATCAAATGCAGTTGATGCTTCTCGAACAACAGAACAAAAAGAGACTGATGATGGCAAGACAAGAGCAAGACAATGCCGTCAATAGGGATGGTGGCCCAGGCGGACCTATGGTGGGAATGCAACCGGGTGGCATGTCGCCGTCCGGCAGCCGGACGGGCACTTCCCCCAATCCGGTGGATCAGATGAAGCGTACACCCCAGCTAGGAGGTTTGCCTGGTTCGCCTTCGGCGGCAGACATGGCAGGAAGATCGCCTGGCGCAATCAACTTCATGAACGGCATTCAGGGCTCCGACTTCAATCCTAACATGTTTATGAAAGACAATCAAGGCATGGTGCCCGGTGCCCCGAACATGAGACCTCCCACGGCCATGGAAATGCAGGCAAACATGGCGCGTCAACAACAAAGTCGCATGGGTGGCCAGTTCCAAGGTGGCCAGCCAATGGTGCAACAACCATCTCAAGGAGGAGGGCCGCAGCCGATGGGCACGCCTGGGCAGCGGAATGAGATGCCACCACCTCAAGCCCCAGCAGGGAACAATCCCCAACGCAACCAGCCTGGGTCTCCACAGAGCGGCAATGCGCCCCCGACTCCGTCGACAACTAACAAACCGAACCCCAAGAAGAAGGCGAAGGAGGAAGGAACCAAGAAACGCCCAGCCAAGAAGGGTTCGACGGCAGCGGCTCCAGCGTCTTCGGAGAATGAACCCCCTGCGACGCCCACTCCTTCCACTCCTCTCACCCCAGTACACCCTCCAGGTTTCAACAACTCGGCTGGCAAGGGCGGCGCAGCTGGCATGCCGAATCCCAATCAACCTCCGCCGCCAAACCCGGCCATGCCACCCAGCCAGCCACAGATGCACCAACCCGATCTCCAGCAGAACGCTTTCACCGACTTCAATGCAGACCAGAATTTCAATTTGGATTTCAGCAGTTTAGAGAACAGCGATGTTTTGGAGAACTTTGACTTTGACAGTTTCCTCAACACGTCCAACGAGGACACATTCAACTTTGACAACGCCATGGGGATAGGACCAGACTTTGGAGTTGACACAACCAACGAATAGTGGACCGTTGCATGGTGACGCTCTGTATCAATTACTAACTAATGCTTTTGGCGTTCTGATGATCTCTGGCAGCTCACGCATCGGTTGGTGGGCGTGTGCACGAAAAGAGCTCCGGTTTTGGAAATACTTGCTCTGTGGATTACTATACCCGTTGCTCAGACGAAAATGATTTCACTTGCTTGGACATATTTTCACGGGTTGCGATGTAGTTGCATTGGTTTAGGGATGGACAGGGGCCTAATTCCAGTTTCAGTTTTTATTCTGCAGTGGTCTTGTCGTTGACAGAGGTATCGTGATTGCCCTCATGGCCTTCCTGGTCCGGTTTACATCATATGCATTCTGCCTCTCCTGGGAATCCTTTGAAACTCGCAACGGAACTTCCCTCTGCAGTTGACGCTGATAGCGACTTCTGATCAAAGAACAAGGCTAGCACCTTCTGCTGCTTCCGACCCCTTGCTCTTGCGTTGACAGCACCGTGGACCATGGCGACAACAACTACCTGCGGAGCTCGAGAATTCCCCTCGACCGGTCTGTACCGCGTGTGCTGCTCATGATCTGCTGTGTCACCGCGTCACAAACAGAGATTGCTCGTCTCATGTCGCCATGAGGTACCAGAACTGGGACGTGCTCCTCTTTCCTGGGGATTCGAGGACTCCCATCCAGGAGTTCGATACGAGATGTTTCGTGTTGGGACAGAGTGAGTCGCGTACCCTTCGGCTACAACAAGACACACTAACCGGCTCAGACACGGGCTTCTCCTCAGGGGAGGCCACGGCCGAGAAATATCGGAGCAACTTTGAATCAATGACAATGGTTCCCAACGTTGTCTCCTTCATTGCGAGTCTCGAGCGTGGCGCGGCGTTCCGAGTCTCAATCCACAGTTGGGATAAACCCACTCCCTCTCACCTCTTGCTCAGCTACAAGACGCCAGACGAGGCAGTTCTGTTTGCGGCACGGGTGTACATTGACGGAATTCTCGTGGCGTAAGGACGTCAGCAAGTGTTAATTCAGGATTTGGGCTGAGTGAGGTTCACAGTCACCGCACATTTGACGAGAATGTGTGGCCAGAGGTCATTGGTATGACGCTCGCCTCCTTTCGACGTGCGCTTCCTTTGACTAACGGCGTTGCAGGAGATCCAGGTTGTCCTGATCAGTCCCTTGTACACGGAGAAGGCTGACTGTGCAGGCCGCGAGTCTCAATACCTCCAGTTTCCTAAGTTCCACCAAGAACTCATCCGGCAACCCGGCTGGGATGCCAATGAGCTCATGGGCCGAATCAGGGTTGTGATTGCAGAAGGGGTCATGAGAGACAACACTCCCCCTGCTGCTTCAGCTTTTAGGTTTGACCACCTCCGAGACGTCGTCGCCTTCTCTTTCCAGCATGCTCCACAGGGTAAGTGGAAGGAAGACGTTAGTACCGTCCCTTTCTGTCACGCTGAGACATATCAGACATTCTCGAGTACTCAGGGATCGCCTGGCCAAATCCAATGATGTTCGAAAACTCCTCCAGCAAACCACCGCGACCTGTGCCCATCGGCTCTCGAGTCTCTGGCGTTTCAGGCCACGAAGCTCATTCGCACTCACCCCAACGACTGCCTCCAATAGGGTCACGAAGTAAAAGACTGTCGTTGCATGAAAACTATCAAACTTCGTTGGATGCACATCACCACTCGGAGCTTCAGCCCGACTCCATCAGCGACGTTGCCAATGTCGGGGCCTTGAAGAACAAGCCCACCGAGGGTCAGGCCCTCGTCAAGCTGGTGGCGCATGATGATGGGCCCTTTATCTCTCCGCACCAGACCCCAACGTCAATACAGCAGTGGCGTCTGCAATTGAGGTCAAGTAGCCACGACATCTCCATGTCGGATTACACATCCAGCAAGACTGATCGTAGCGTCGTCAACACAGAGATGTCTGGGGTCAGCGTTCCGCGAGCCAACTTCATGAAGCACATGAATGAGGCCAACCTCGAGGAGATCCTACAAGCTTTGAGTCCTAGTCGTCAAGAAGAACTATTCAAAGTTCTCAGCGCCTCGCATAGCCCGGTTTCTGGCATGGGCACTCAGCCACCAGCAAACACCCCCCAGATAACCGACGACTTCAACACTGCCCGTGTCATGCAGCCCGGCGGCGCAAATGATAGCGTCACAGCAAAAGTCTGGCAGGAACCGCGCCAGCGACGCCGGACATGTTCACTAGCCAGTTCGAGGAGTGCTTCGGAGCCAGTGGCTCAGCTGATTAAAGAACATACCAGCCCGCAACAACCCCGGGGACTGAACGCACTTCTTGGCGGAAAGAACCAGTTGTCAGTCGCACCGAGGTCGTTTTCGCTGAGCCTCAATCGCCAGAGATCGGCCTCGAATGGCTCAAAGCGCAAGCGGGACTCGATTTCACCGAGATTGGGTGCAGGGAAGATGCAGGGCACGATTCAGGTCGTGGTCTGTTCTTCGTCCTCGTCTGCGTCAGAAGGGGACCGTGACGAGCAGAGCGAGACGAGGAGCGCCACTTCACCAGGGAAGACTGTTGCTGTTGTAGCAGAGTGAAAGCCGAGGATGACCCGCGAAGTTGTGATAGAACCAACAACATTCGAAAGGTATGATATACATTGGACATCATGAATTAGACAGGGAACAATAACGGAGCTGAAATGGAGAGCACGCGGATCAACGCGGTCCCCTTTGGAAGGCATTGGTACCCGGCCTGGGTAAGCCCGATAGTGACAGTGTAGGGAAGCAGTATGTGCTAGGTACCTAGGTATATGATAACCTGTATATCCCTTGAATGCTGGCTATCTATTCCTCCGTACCCCACAGATTCGGCAACTTGCCCTGCAGATGCAGATGGTGCGTCACGCTTTCGACCGTCTTTGCCCCACGTTCAAAAAACTTTCGCCTCTTGCGCCCTTTGCAAAAGACTGACTCATATTCTCCGCATCCCAAGTCCTGCGTTGAATTCTACATTTGCTCTCACTGTTGGGTGATTGTCATACTGGCCATTCTTTTGTGTCTATATCAGCTCTGGTGACTCCAGGTGAATCTCGGCCAAAGCTTTTGCTACTTATACTCCGCGGAGCTACTCGTCTTTCCCCCCCATACAGTTTGCGAAAACTTGGTTCTCGAATCGTGTTGACTTGGGACTTGCCACTCAACCATGCCTATGTATGTGCGAGTAGCTGTCGGCCTCACAGGACCAGACTAACCTATCTCTTGTCAGGCTTCGGGAGCCCTGGAAAAAGTACCGCAAGTTCAAGCCACTTGACTTGCCTAACCGACAATGGCCCTCAAGGACCAACGACAAGCCGCCCCGGTGGCTGGCCACTGACTTGCGAGACGGAAACCAGAGTCTCGTCGATCCTATGGTACGCAAGCCCCTCCAAACCCTCCCGTTGCGCCGGTATGGAGACTGATGGTGGTTTCAGGACGGTGAACAAAAGCTCCGCTTCTTCAAGATGCTTGTTGAGCTCGGTTACAAGGAAATCGAAGTCTCCTTCCCTTCCGCCTCGCAGACCGACTACGATTTCACGAGATCCCTCGTCGAGACTCCCGGCGTGGTCCCGGACGACGTGTGGTTACAGGTCCTTTCCCCCTGTCGCGAGGACTTCATCCGGCGGACTGTGGAGTCTTTGAGAGGCGCAAAAAAGGCAATTTTACATTTATATCTCGCTACCAGCGAATGCTTTCGCAAGATTGTGTTTGGCATGACTGAAGACGAGACCCTTGCTCTGGCGGTCAAGTGCACCAAGTTTGCTCGGTCCATCACCAAGGATGACCCCAGCCAGGCGGGAACAGAATGGCTTTACGAATTCTCCCCGGAGACCTTCTCAGATACCTCGCCCGAGTTTGCGGTGCGAATTTGTGAGGCGGTGAAGGCCGCGTGGGAGCCCACTGAGGACAGCAAATTGATCTTCAATCTCCCAGCCACGGTCGAAATGGCCACGCCGAATATATTCGCAGACCAGATCGAATACTTTTGCACACATATGACCGAGCGCGAGAAATTTTGTGTCTCTGTGCATCCCCACAATGACCGAGGCTGTGCTGTGGCAGCAGCAGAACTTGCACAAATGGCGGGCGCCGAAAGAGTCGAGGGCACTCTGTTCGGCAATGGAGAACGAACCGGAAACGTCGATCTCGTGACCTTGGCTCTGAACTTGTATACACAGGGTATTTGGCCTAATGTCGACTTCAGCGACATAAACAAGGTCATTCGTGTCTGTGAAGAATCGACGAAGATCCCCGTCAATGAGAGGTGGCCGTACGGTGGCCAGTTGGTTGTTTGTGCCTTCAGTGGCTCACACCAGGACGCCATCAAAAAAGGGTTTAATGTCAGGAAAAAGGAAGGCCTTGGGCCAGAGGATCCGTGGGTCCTCCCCTATCTGCCACTCGATCCTCAAGATATTGGACGTACATACGAAGCAGTGATTAGGGTCAACTCACAGTCTGGTAAAGGGGGCGTGGCCTGGATCATCCAGCGCAGTCTCGAACTCGACCTGCCCCGTGGGTTGCAGATCGCATTCAGCAAGATAGTCCAAAAAGAAGCTGATGCCAAGGGTCGAGAGTTGCTTCCCCGGGAAATTCAGGCTCTGTTCGAAGAGTCGTATCATCTCAAGAAGAACCCAAGATTTACCCTCGTTGACTACAACATCACAGCTGTCCGGACTCCGTCACCGGCTCCTCAGATGAAGAGCTCAGCCGGTCAGCCACCCCAGACCACGGCGCCGGCTCAAAATACCTCGACAGCGAAACGGCAGTTTGCCGGTATCATCGCCATCGACGGTGTTCAACATCCGATTGTGGGGGTGGGCAACGGCGCCATTTCCTCCTTGGCCAACGCTTTGCATTCCTTGGGAATCGACCTTGACGTCGCGGACTACAAGGAACATGCCATTGGTGAGGGCAGAGAAGTCAAAGCTGCCACGTACATCGAGTGTACGGCGAGCAACTCAAACGAGAAAGTATGGGGAGTGGGTATACATGAGGATGTGGTCCAGGCTTCCTTGATTGCGTTGTTAAGTGCGGCAAGCTCGGTATGTCTACTCCGCCACAACGGGCGTCTGTCTGAGAATCTGGAAACATGAAGCTGACATTTTAACTCGCAGTTCTTGACATCACGGGTTTCCACGCCAGTTCCCTTTAAACCCAAGCACTTGAGGCAGTTTTCCGAAGCGGAGCTGGAGGCTTTGGAGCGATTGAATCTCAACGGTCCCGATAGCCCTAACAGCCCGTTAAGAACGTCCGTGACTGCAACAGAGGCAAGTACTACGCCGTCGAAATTGAATATGGAGACGAATCCGAGCAGCGTCGCCGCGCAAAAGATTAACATTGACATGCTGGAGCAAAAGGCTGAAACCATCAACGGGCACGTGGAAAATTCCTAGGCTTGGGGTGTCTCGACTTCGGCAGACGGCCGTTTTCCTGAACTCACAATCCATTTGCATCAAAAACAAAAATGGGGCATCAAGATTGGGTCAATTCTAGTGATGAACATCAAAAAAAGTGGTTTGATTATTATATTGTTTAATCCGAACGCACCTATCCAAAATTGATGAAATCTGATATTGGGCGGTGACCGGTCGGCTAAATGAAATTGGTAATAATAGGGCAGAAAATACCCTGGGGAAGCCGTCCTTCGCAGCACCAAGCAATGTGCACATGCTCGTCATCTCTGGAATTTGACCCTCGGATGTGTTTTGCACCTCACATCTTCCAATCTGTGCCATTCGGCTGCTCATCCAGCCTCTATAAGCAAGGACTAACTGCCTAGGTCTAAGTCGAAAGTAGGGCTGCACTAGGATGGGGGATTCGCCCCCATAGACCCCGAGGAGCGCGCCCAATAGCTTGCATGGGGGTCAGGATCATACCAATAAGACCAATCAACCGCCGCCGGGCTCGGTTGAAGCCGCCCCCAAGTCGGGCTGCCAACACCGAAATGCATCCCCCACGCACGCACGCCCACTCGTCCCAGGGCCCCGTGCAGTGAACCATGACGACGGCCCTGCAGCGGGCTTCGTCCACATCCACGCCTCTCCGCAGCGCCATCAGCCATTCACCCTTTTGCGACTCACGGAACTCTTCCCTTGCGTTGTTCCCATCCATGACAACCCCGAAGACTCTGCCCACATGCTTGGGGGTTGGGTCTCAATTTGGTTTCCAGCTCTCTTTCCTCGAGCCTTGAACCGTCCTCTCTTCCTTTAGACACCTCGTTGTCTGACTTACCTTCGACATTGACGTCCTGCCTTCTACTTTAGCCTCAATTGCTCCCGTGCTCGACCAACTCCAAGCCATAGCTTGTGTCATCTCACCACCTCCTCTATGAGGAGAGAGACCATGGGTATTCCGGAATAGTGGCCTCAATACCTGCATTCGTTGATCGTCGAAGTCGACGGCTCCCTCGAGAAAATCCGTCCTGCTGAACGTTTGATCCGCAATTGACGCGAGACTGGACCTCTGACTACAAAAACCATGGCCTCGGCCGGTCGTCCCTCTTCCGCACGTCGCTTCCTCAAGCCGCTCCTCTATTCTGGTGCCGCCGTCGTTGGGGTTGGCGGCACCATCTTGTACCTCTCCTACCGTCCCATCAACGTTCCTGGTTCCCAGGGCGCCATCGTCCCCATCCCGCGAACTGAAGATGGGACAATAATTCCTCCCAAGTTCCCCTTGATTAAATCCCGCGCCGAACAGATCGCCGACCTGAGGAAGAGTGGTGGACTGGTGGGTGCCGCGCCAGAGACGCCCCTTCGGCAGCAGTTGAGGAATAGTCTAGACCGATTAAGAGGCGCAACGAGCGACGATAGAGACACAACCCTGCCTGCGGAACAAGAAGCTGGGGAACCATACGACCTTCTGGTCATTGGTGGAGGGGCTACAGGTTCTGGCATTGCCCTGGATGCTGCCACGCGTGGCCTCAAGGTCGCCCTTGTCGAGCGCGACGACTTCGCGGCTGGGACAAGTAGCAAGAGCACGAAACTAGTACACGGCGGCGTACGATACCTCGAAAAGGCTTTCTGGGAGCTGGACTACAACCAGTATGCACTGGTTAAAGAGGCCCTGCGTGAGAGGAAATATTTCCTTGATACGGCCCCTCATCTGTCCATGTGGCTCCCCATCATGATTCCTTTGCAGAAATGGTGGCAAGCACCTTACTTTTGGGCAGGTACGAAGCTATACGATTATCTCGCAGGGAGTGAAGGCATCGAAACGAGCTATTTCTTGACCAAGAGCAAGGCCTTGGACGCCTTTCCCATGCTGAAAAAAGAAAATCTGGTGGGAGCCTTGGTATACTATGATGGTGCGCACAATGACAGCCGCATGAACATTTCCATTGCAGCCACGGCTGCGCTGTACGGTGCAACGGTGGTCAACCATATGGAGGTTACAAGTTTGACCAAGGACCGGGATGGCAAGCTGAATGGTGCTGTGGTCCGAGATGTGATTGCCGACAAGAATGGCACACCGACGTCGCCTTTCACTATACGCGCCAAAGGTATCATAAATGCGACCGGGCCTTTTTGCGACTCGATACGGAAGATGGACGACCCAAACGTGCAGGAGATTGTGGCCCCGAGTTCTGGAGTCCATGTGGTGCTCCCCGGATATTACAGCCCACAGAGGAACTCAATGGGTCTGATAGATCCTGCAACATCCGATGGCCGTGTCATCTTCTTTCTACCCTGGCAAGGCAACACGATCGCCGGCACCACCGACGCACCATGCAAGATTACTCAGCATCCGATTGCCGGGGAGGAAGAAATCGGCTGGATTCTGAATGAGATCAAGGGATATCTCTCTCCCGAGATCAACGTCCGGCGCGGGGATGTGCTTGCTGCCTGGTCTGGGATTCGCCCACTGGTCAAAGATCCCAAAGCAAAGAACACTGAGTCACTTGTGCGGAATCACCTTGTGACAGTCGCGTCTTCGGGACTGCTCACATGTGCTGGAGGTAAATGGACAACATATCGTCAAATGGCAGAAGATGCGGTTGACGAAGCCATCAGCCAATTTGGGCTGCGGACAAAACCTCTGACAACTCCGACGAGAATTAGCGGCACCGAGAAGATCGACGATGCTGCCCCGCTCGATGGGAACTGTCAAACACACCAAGTCAGACTTGTTGGCGCTCACGGGTTCTCCAAGACTCTGTTTATCAACCTGATACAGCATTTCGGCCTCGAGACCGAAGTGGCGAAGCACCTCGCAGAGGCGTATGGTGATCGTGCGTGGACGGTGGCGGCGCTTTCAAGCCCGACCAACGAGAGGTACCCAGTCCGAGGAAAGCGTATTTCTGCGCTGTACCCGTTTATAGATGGAGAGGTACGATACGCGGTACGACACGAATTTGCGCAGCGAGCCGTGGATGTGATTGCACGAAGGACCAGATTAGCTTTCCTCAACGCCCAGGCTGCGTTGGAAGCGTTGCCTAAGGTTATCGACTTGATGGCCGAAGAGTTAAAGTGGGACAGTAAGAGGAGAGAGCTCGAGTGGAAGGAAAGCGTCGCTTTCCTAGCCTCAATGGGCCTTCCAAGAAGCAAGTTAAATGTCACCAGGAAAGATGTTGAAAGTGGCAAAGCTGGATTTGCAGACGAATATGAGAGGAAGCTATATTCAAGATACGGTAAGTCCAGCTGTTGTCTGGCAACGACCCTGGACAGATGCTAACAGAGAGTTCAGATGGTCCAGCGGACACGCTCGAGAGTGACTCGAAACTGAGACCCGGCCAAAATCCGGTCCTAGGACAAGATTCGCCCGCCAACAAGTAGCTTTCTCTTCCCCTGGATATCCAGTCTGAACGACATCTTATCCGATGTTGGTATCTTCTGAGGATCTCCACGCCGTTCGTCGCCCTTTTGGCCCCGGGAATCTTGTCAGTCATGCCGAATGTATCAGTGATGAATAAAGCCGGTTCACGCAGAAGGATAGCCACTCAACAGAGCATGCTTTTAAGGATAGGCCTTGACGATCAGCAAAACAATGTCCGGACCTGCGGCAGCTCTCGGTGGCTCCTGCCTCCGACACGGTGTGAGGTCCTCACGTCGAGGCCTACAAGAAGGCAAGCAATCCTTCGTTCGTTTCGCCTCTTTCCTGGAATCTTCTCTGCGCAGGTCCCTTATCCTTTAGCAACATATCCATTCGTGGGAGCAGAGCCGTCATCAATTCCATATCCTTCGCCTGAGCGGTGCGGCTACTCTCCACACATCCTCAGGAACACCGCGCTGTCTCCAGCACTGCATTGACCCTAAAACACCATCAACTATGGACGTTTCTCGCCGAACGTCGGGCTCCGACGCCCGGGCCGGCGACAACAGTCCCCCCATCAGTGACGACACGTTGGTCTCCAACGACCATGACAACATCGAGAGTGCTCCTAAGAATGGGAGCATGGAGCAAGAGAAACAAATTGATCCCATGGCTAGTCGGATCGACGGCGGGGTGGAATACAAGAGCATGGTGTGGTGGCAGGCTGGAATGGTCATGGTTGCTGAAACCATCTCTCTTGGCATCCTCTCCCTGCCGGCCGCGATGGCGACATTGGGCATCGTCCCAGGTCTCATTCTCCTTATCTTGCTAGGGGCGATGGCTTCATATACCGGGTTTGTCATCGGACAGTTTAAGAGGCAATACCCGCACATTCACTCGATGGCTTGCGCCGGCGGAGTGTTGTTTGGCAAATGGGGAAACCGAATCCTCGGCTGGGGCCAATTTTTATTCTACGTCTTTATCATGGGCAGTCACATCTTGACCTTCTCCATCATGATGAACGCCATCACCGACCACGGAGCCTGCACCATTGTCTGGATGGTGATCGGCACCATTATGAGCCTCGTCTTCACGCTCCCACGGACCTTGAAACACCTTTCCTACTACTCGATTGCCAGCTTCATCAGCATCATTGGGGCCGTCATGATCACCATGATCGGGGTTTCGATCACGAAGCCAGGTGCCGGACCAGATGGAGTCCTCCACGTTCGACTGTGGCCGCGACCCGATCTCAGCTTCAAAGACGGATTCAACGCCGTGTCCAACATGGTCTTTGCGTATGCCGGCCATGTCGCCTTCTTCACCTTCATCTCCGAGTTGAGGAACCCTCACGACTTTCCCAAGGCCCTTGCGTTCCTGCAGTGCAGCGACATTTCCATGTACATAATAACGGCCGTGGTGGTGTATTATTATGCTGGAGACAATGTGGCTAGCCCGGCATTGGACAGTGCGAGCACCGTGGTCAAGAAGATTGCGTATGGGGTGGCCATTGCGACGATTGTCATTGCCGGGGTGGTCAACGGGCACGTGGGGGCCAAGTTCCTGTACGTCCGACTACTACATGACCGGGAGGACGATCTGCTGCACCAGAAGACGTGGAAATCATATGGGGTGTGGTTTGCTATCGTTAGTATTTCGTGGCTGGGGGCGTGGCTCATTGCTGAAGCTGTGCCCGTGTTCAACCACCTATTGGGCTTGACGTCGGCCTTGTTTGCATCTTGGTTCACCTTCGGACTGTCGGGCATGTTCTGGATGCATATGAATCTCAACGGCAGATGGACTTATGGCAAGGCTTTTCTCTTTGTTCTCAATTGTGTCAATATTATGGTTGCTGCTATTTTATTCGGGGTGGGAACATACGCCAGCATCTCGGCCATGGTGGAAACTGGGGCCACCAACAAGCCATTTTCGTGTGCCAACAATGCAGGCGGGCATTAGGCCAGGACCGAGGGCGTGTTGGTCGTCGAGACACTGGTGGTACCTCTATCGAACCCCCTTACAGCGCGCTCCTCTAGCTATTGATAGAAATTGACCGTGGTCCTGCCGGGGGGGTTGGGTACTTTGACGGCTCTGTTGAGTACCGGTTTTTCATATTTTGTTCTGTTTTGCAGCTCCAGGAGCAACCGGCAGTTGGGTGCGGCTCATGGATAGCAAAGAGGCCCATGGTCACGGTGTGTGTCATTTCCCCGCCGTTTTGTTGCTGCTTGCAAAATGGCAGGATCGGATGAGGGTGACGACGGAAGTGGGAAGGAAACAGGAGAAGATATAGCTATCATATCAGAGCACTGAATATTTCGGCTCTGCCAGCATTCCAATACTAGACATATCTATCTCGTCTTGAATTTTGAATGTTGGACATTGATGTTGCGAGACGGGCTGTTGCCCCCCAAATTTGGCCCAATACCCGCTTCCAATCTTTCTTCTGAGGATCAAGCCTGGCCTACGGCAATACTCGTATGTACAGGTACATACAATGTGAGTGATGGAAACAAAGATCTCATGATGCCAGATCGTATTGGGCGAAGCGGGAGATGTCGATGGGGGTCAGTCGCTCAACTGCCGAAAACTGCACCCGCGTGGACGCCTCTTCGTACAACGGTCAAAGACTGTTGGCTGTCGGGGTCAAACAGCGGCTTCTCTGGCCCCAAATGACACTTGCTAAGGAACATTCCGAGGTCTCTACTGCGGTGGTGCACTGAACCAAGAGGTGCGTTTTGCTTGTCCCGACAGATGATTAGGGATCAGATCCATTGTTGCCAAAGGCAGATGGGTGACCAACTACAAAATGCTTTTCCGCTGTGTGGCGCCCAGGAGGTACTTCGGTACCTTGGCCCGGTAAGGAATTGCTCGCCCATACCAACGGCAGTGATGGGACGAGATATAGAAAATATATCACCACCGACGCCTGTTGAACTGTCTGATTGTCTCTGTCTCATTCCCTCATCTGCACTCCTGCACCAGGACTTGATCTGTCTGGATACCAGGTTCCATCTCATCAGCTTTTACGACCTGCAACATCTCTACGACAGATTCTCACAAGCAGCAAACTCGGTCTCTTGTTGGAGGACCGACGGCGAAGCTCGACCTTTGGCGATTGACTATCACACCCAACACGGTGTCCCGTTGTCTACAAGACTGGGGAAACTAGGCTGTCCGACTGTCAAACACATTCGGACCATTCCGAGACCTCCAATTACGTCATTCAAGCCCCTGATCTCGAGAGCCTTATACCGGTATATACACTCAGGAAGCAGTAAAGTGAAAGCGGGAATATACCATGGGTAAAGTTCAACTTCATGTCTGCATTGTCGGTGCAGGGCTTGGAGGATTGGCTGCTGCAATTTCAATTGCCAGGACTGGCCACAAAGTGACGATTCTGGAACAGGCCCCGGCCTTGGGAGAGGTAAGCTGAACTATCCATTCATCCAATAACAGTCCAAGAATATCGTCCGCTCATGCCATTTCCATTCAGGTCGGCGCAGGCATTCAGATCCCACCCAACAGCACTCGTATTCTGTCTCGCTGGGGCCTCCTCCCAGCCATTGAGAAGGTGTCGGTGCGCCCACAAAACTTCATCTTGCGCTCCTACCGCGATGGCAAGGTCTTGTCCAACCAGCCTCTCGTCTCCCACTGCGAATCCGTCTATGGGTATCCTTACCTCCACATCCACCGCGCCGACTACCACAAGATCCTCGTCGAGGAAGCAGAGCGTCAGGGCGTTGAAATTCTCCTGGACAGCTTCGTGACGGGCATCGATTTCAACCTCCCAGCCGTGCACATAAAGAACCGGTCCGAGCCCTTTCCCGCAGATCTCATTATCGGTGCAGACGGGCTCAAATCCGTCTGTCGAGAAGCACTCCTTGGACGTCCCGATCCGCCTCATCTCACTGGGGATCTGGCTTACCGGATCGTCGTCCCCGCCGAGGCGATGAAGTCTCACCCCCTGCTCCGCGACCTCGTCGCAGTGCCCAACATCAATTACTGGATGGGTCCCGACTCCCATGTGGTTTCGTACCTCCTGAAGGGTGGAAACCTATACAACATCGTGATTGCGTGCCCGGACAACCTGCCCGAGTTCATCAACCAGCAAAAGGCTGACCTGAATGAGATGCACGCTCTCTTTACGAACTGGGATCCGCAGCTGCGAGCGTTGCTGGAGCTATGCAAGGACACGAGCAAATGGCGCCTGCAGAATTCGCTTGAGATGCCCACCTGGAGCCACCCGAGCGGCCATTTCACCCTGCTGGGCGATGCCTGCCACGCCACCCTGCCGTACCTCGCCCAGGGCGCCGCGCAGGCCGTCGAGGACGGCGCCGTGCTGGGCCACCTGTTCGAGAAGATCGAGTCCCGGTCGCAGGTTCCCGACCTGCTGACCATCTACGAGAGCGTGCGCAAGCCCCGCACCACGCGCGTGGTCAGCGGCGCGTCGCAGGCCGGCCGAGACATCTTCCACCTCCACGACGGGCCGCGCCAGCGCGAGCGCGACCGCCAGCTGCTCGCGTGGCAGGACGAACCCTTCGAGGGCTACCAGAACCGCTGGCGCGACCCCGTCTTCCAGAAGTTCCTGTTCGGTTATGACTGCCAGGAGGTCGTCGACGACGCCTGGGCCCGCTACCTGCAGGGCCGCTACCCCGGGACCATGGGCCGGTTTGCGCCCGGTGCGCATGCGGATGCGGATACCGAGGCCGAAGATGCCGCTCGCGAGCTGGACGAGTTGAGGCGGGCCCAGAGGACGCTCAGTGGCACCACGGTGGCCGATGCAGACCAGGCGAGACTGTAAGGGGTCCGTCTATGCATGTCGTGTGTTTGACATGCGGACTTCGTGGCCAGAAATCAGGAGGAGAATCGGAACATTGCTTTATATACACTCGACTTCGACCTTGTTGTATGTATGTATAGCATGACACCGTTCCAGTAGGAGTACGTATGATATAAAATATGTACATGGGACATGGGGTGTACATCCATTCCATCGCATGGCAGAGTGAGGGATGTATTTTAGAAAAGAAATCCAATGAATGAATGACTGAATGACACGGGATTCTTTCGGGGCTTGGAACTTTTTGCTTTCCCTACCTAGTGGCCCATACATATCCATCCTCCTCTTCTTCTTCTTGTGCAACGGGAATGATGAAGTCCAAAGCAGGGGGAGGGAGGGAGATCTCCACGTCTCCCACTTCGATTGCGCCTCTCTTTCTTCCCTGTGGTCTGTCTGTGGCGGCTGCGAGAAGGAAAGATGGGGTGATGAGAAGGGGGGAGGGAACAGGAAAAACGAGCCAGCGAGCAAGCTATGACGGCTTTTTGACCAGGCTGGTAATGCTGTGCTGTGCGGTGCTGTGCTGTGTGCTGGCTTCCCGGGTGGCGGAGAGAGGGTTCGGGAGATAATAATAGGTAACCCGGATAGATGGATATGAGGCCCGTCGGCTGATCAATTCAAGACATTCGAGGCAGCAAGCAGTACACACCTCCTCCATCAATCTTCCCTCTCTAGGCTAGTCGTTACAAACAGACATGCAGATAGACAGACTCTCACTGTGGGTGTGGGTGTGGGTGTCTGGGATGCATCGATGCGTCTGACTGCACTGTGTCGTTTTGTTTTCCTCGTCTCTTCGGACTGGAGATCAGACACACAAACACACACACACACACACACAATCAGGTTGCGCATATACGTGTATATATATAGATGTTTATTTGTGTGTCTCTTTTTTGTGAGAATTTCTCTCAATGTGTACCCCTCCCCTAATCAACTCTCCCGGAACGGATTGGACGTGTGGATCTCCCTCCACAGCCGCTGCCCGTCGGTGTCGCTCGTGCTGGGGAACCAGAGGAAGTTGAGCAGCTGGTCCTTCAAGCGCTGCCAGCTCAAGATCTGCATCCGGTGCACGAGGCGCTCGAGGACGGAAATGTACCACGTCTTCTCGGCCTCGCTGTCCGGGTGGGCCGTGGATGCCAGGAGGCCCATGAACGTGATCCACAGCATCAGCGACGCGGCTTCCCGCCACTTACTCCCTTCGTGGTGGCCGCCATCGCCACTCGACGTGGTGGCTATGAGATGCTGCTTGATCCGCGAGGCGAGCTTGGCGAAGAGCGCTCCCGCACGGGGGATGGGGAAGATGCTGGTCAGGCTGTACACGACCCCGGCGCACCAGGTGGCTTGTCGAAGTGGGTAAATTTGGTCGCCGGACGTGGTCTCGTCCCTCGGGCTCGAGTACAACGACATTAAGCTGTGCTGGACAAAGTTCCTTTGGTCCGCGAGTATCAACACGCTCTGGGCTTGCGGCCGACCCATGATATAATCGTCGACCGCGAGCAGATACGTCGAAAGCTGCAGGACGACGACGTAGAGTTCCTGCGCCGTTTCTGACGGAAGAACGTTGTAGAGCGTCCGAAAGCCTGTGCCGAGCTGGGCTAGAGGATGTCCTGGCCTGTGGACGGTGGCTAGGGTGCTCTCCGGAGACTCTCCGATTGGCACAAAGCGCAAGGCCGGTCTTTGCAGCGATCGGGATGCCAGAATCAATTCCCCACTAGGTGTGATCAGACAGGTAAGCAACAACAGCTAATAAGATAAGCAAGGGGCAAAGCAAGGTGTGGAGAAAAGGCTATCGTGCGTGTGATGGGTATTTTCTTACTAGCTGAGCATTGCCGCCAACCCCGGGGCCCGGATCTCGTCAACACCTCCCCGCATGGCCAGCATCTTTGCCAAACCGTGGACGTGCATGTGCACGGGATCTAGTCGACCTGAGTATAAATCCAGGCCCTGCATGGAATTCAGTGGACCCTGTGAGGGTGACCGGGGTGCTTGTTCGCTGCCGGGTGTCGACCTGACACCATGAAATGCCAATGCCAGCACGGCAAGAATACTCTCGTCGGAACATCGGGTGGAAACATTATTGAATCGTCTATTGACCTCCACCACCACCATCGAATAGCAGTACCATTTGGCCCTTTGACTAACGGGGTTGAGGCCCGAAGCTTCGGTGACCGACAGCCTGGCTAATTGGCTGTAGCACAGAGCATGGAACAAGACGCTGTTATTCATGTACCAGGATATCCAATGGCGGATGTAGGTGCTCGCTTCCAAGCGATCAGGATCTGGGAGGAACATGGTATTGAAGTAGTGGTTGACTGGTAGCAGAGCATTGTAAAAGTTAGATCCAGGGTCGCTCCGCCACTGGGCCGCATGTTGCATATTGGCATCAGAGTAATGGGAGATCTAGCGGGCTTACCTTGGGCAATAACAGGCGTAGCTATCTCTTTTGGCAGCCGCGATGGATAGCTCGTAAATGGGTCAATATCCCCCGCAGCCACTGTACGCAGAGGGTTGGGGGCAGGATATGATCTAGTGATGCTCGGCCTTCTAGATCGCACGACTTGTCGAGAGCCTGAGGGACCACCAGTTTCCCCGAAGTGGGTAATATCTTTATCCTGCTCGTCATTTGAACGCGACGCTAGTCCGGTATTTGCCCCGCGGGGTTGCTGTACGCCGGGGCGCCGGCCGGAGCCAATCTGCGAACTGCCCTCTTGCCTCGAGTGTTTGCCCTGCCTGATCTTGGCCCACGAGGCGCGAGAAGCGTGGGCTCGAATTAATGATTTAATCTCGCTTCTCGCTTGGGATGAGTCGGGTCTTGCGGTCACGAACTGAACCTTTGGCTCAGCTTGATCCTTCGCCGTGGTTGGGTCGCCTCCCTCGGTCTGGCTTGCCATGATTAGATGGCAGCCGGGGTTCGTGCATTGTGGTTGGGGCGGAAAAGACTCCTTCTGTCGAGCTTATTGGTCCGACAGGATCTGTTTCAATGCTGCAAGGATTGGCCAGGCTGAAAGGGGGATAAATTGTGGCGAATGGTAGCAGGAGTCTTCCCTGGAAGAAGTGAGGGTGATGGGCAAGATCATGGCCGGGTGAGAGTAAGGAGGAGGGCCTTGTTTGGAGGAGGAGAATTGCTTGAGAGCCCGCCAATGACTAATCGGGTGCACTAGCCGAATGCGGAAGTTGGATTTTAGCGTGGACCTAGCCAGAATCGGCGTTATCCACATTGGTATAGTTCGTATGCACTGCTAGATGCTTTCCCACGATATCAGTCTCAATGGCACCGTGGAAATCCATTGCAATGCACTACTAACCGACTTGAAGTTCTTTACAACAGAATCGCTTATCTAAAAATGTCCCTTGGTGATTCGGGCCCGCACATTGCTGCGTACGTTGGTTCCTCTTTTAGGATAGCTTCTTGCCCTGAGACACATCGAAACGACCATCATACTCACTTTTAGTTACACATAATCTGATAGTCAACCATCTACTAGATCATTAGGCACTGCAAGTATATCTGAGAGATCTTGAACGATTGCAAAGGGTATTTATTCCCAAGGACCCATTCTTGGGACATGCTTGCTTCAGGACAAGACATCACATGTGACGACTTCTGGAGAGATTGAGAGCCCAGAAACCTAATCTAGTCGCCGTGGCTACAATGAGTCCCAGTGAGTTGCTCTGCAGTCTTTTGGATCTATACTTTCGAGGTTATGGCATGGTGTGTACTTCCAAACGAAAACTAACATGAAACGCCATAAGACACGTCTCGCCGAGAAGCCACGTCATTCCCTTCAGTTGCCCCACGAGTTGAGAGCAACACACTTACAGTCTCTGATAGTGGTGACCCACCAGGTAAGATGCAAGTTGGTGAGACGGCAGAGGTGCGAGAGGTATGATCGGATCTGCCGCGTCAACCTTCACAGAGCTCCTGCTAAAAGTTTTCTCAAGCGCCGGAGAGTTCAAAATCGCCTCGCCCAGCAAGCTTTCCGCGCCCGCCAAAAGATCAGGGTCGAGGCGCTGGAAAGCGAATGGGCACGGTTGCGACGACTGCACGAGGACCTGAACGAGGCTTGCTCGCAACAGGCCACGGAGATCAAGCAGCTACAATCGCGAGTCGAGGAATTGCTGCGGGACATTGAAGTGCTGAAGGCGACTCAGGAATTTGAGAGGAATTGGTCTTCACCCCCGACGACGCCAGAACAACAGTATCGCCTGGCAAGTGTGCTGACGGTGGCTGAGGCCGAACTACGAAATTTCTTCATCGAGGGTGGGATTTCGGACTTTCCAGAGTTTCCAGAATCGTTTAGATCACATTACTCTATCTAGACCATAGTCTTAAGTCCCTGGGTTTGGGGGGAAAACCCCTTCAAGAGGTCAGCTTGAGCAGATAAGCATCCTTGAGATGAGTTGCAGGACCCTTGTTTCGCGTACACAATCTGGTTCGGGTCGGAATACCCTGGCGTTCTGTCCTGCTCTCCATACAACCTGAATACACGCGTTCAACAAAATCTACATTATGCAACGTGATGATTGATTCCTATTATGTTGATGCCTCCTCTGGCCTATCGCCCCCATGCTGAACCGCCTTCCAAATATCGACGCCGTCAGGATCGCTCGTCCGCGGATGCCACAAGAACGACTGTAACAAAACCTTCAGGTCCTTCCATGCCGCCATGTCGAACTCTTCCAACACTTCCATAATGCGTAGCAGAAACCAAGGACGATCAGGCAGTCCTATCGAGCCCATCGCCCCCATGACCAGAATCCACAAGTGCAACTTCAGCCTTTCAGGTTCAAAGCCCTTCCACTCGGTCGCCTGCAGCGCACGCTTGAGTTTGTCGGTCAAGGTCTCAAAGGGCCCCACCACGGGCGGAACGGGGAACACTACGATAAAAGAGTATATGATGCACGCTAACCGACAAGTCTCGTACTGCACCTCATCTACAGTGATGTTCGTGGCGGCGACGAGCTCCTCCGCCGGCCGCAGGGACATCAACTTGTGCTGGACGAAGTTTCTCTGGTCGATGATCTCCGGCGATGTCAGCGGGATCCACCTCCCACTCGCGTGGTTCTCGACCACGACCGTAAAGTCGCAGACGTCACCGATGACTGTCAGCAAATCCTCGAGGTAGCTCGGCGTAGATGCATTTGAAGCCCAAACTTGCCAGAAACTCGTGCCCAGCGGGCCTAGGTCGGCAGCAACGGCATTGCGCTCATGGTTGGTTATGGCGAGACGACCGTCTTCGCGGACGAACGACACTGTGAGAGATATAAAGGGAAATATGGGTCTGCTGATGTTCCGGCACGCGCCCATGATGCCGCAGCTGTGGGTTCAGTAACAGCACAAGTCAACATTTAGACCTCGGAATAAATCTCACAGAAATGTGCAACTGTGGGAATCGGGGCGGGCACATAGAGCGAAGATGCCTTACCAAGAAACTATCGGAGCGATCCCGGGTGTCTTGATCTTGCGCAAATCCCCAAGAAGCTCCACCATTTTGATCAGGCCAAGGACATGCTCGATGACAATCTCCATCCTGAGATAGATATGAATTGACTGTAGCTCTCTCAAGAAGGACTGCCGCGGATAACTCTGCCCGGATCTTGTCCGATCTTCTCGGCCAGAGTACGCAAGCACCAGGACGGCCCAGATATTGGAATCTGTCAATGCTCCCTTGGGATCGCTGAGTTCCCGGTTCAGATGGCGGATTGCTTCTGTGCCAACCATCAACTCCGTGGCTGTTGGGTTGCTGATGCCCTGTTGAATTCGGTCGTGCACCATGACCGCAAAGATCATGGCGTGCAGTTGTGCTGGATGCTGCGACAGTGACGCCATAACATTGCTGGCGAAGGTTCTGCCATCCTTCCCCGCCAGGGCGGCTTTGGATACCAGCCTCGCGAGCACCTCAGGGACTGGGGACACAAATCAGTCAGCACCGCCGGGGAGGCTCCTACCCAATAATATACACGATGTCTCAGGATCACTAACGGTTATGTAAGTGTCGTTTAACCAGCCCATTCGGAAGTTCCGAGGGAAGAAGGGAATAGGGCTTGTCAGCATCAGGCTCCAGCCATACCGACGGAGTTTGAGAGTATTTCAGCACAGCCAAGGCCTCTTTGTGCTCGTCTTTCCTAGTTACGGCCTTCTTCGAAGACACTGTCCGAGATTTCCGTCCCTTCTCACGCTTGGCGTCAGGCTGTGGCGGGGTAACAGCAGGTTTTGAGCCAGCTGTCCTGGATACCAACGTGTCTTGTTGCCCGTTGTGACAATTCTCTCGATTGCGCTGCTCCTCCTGCTCGTATTGCTCGTTTTCCTTCGTATCGTGTGCGGGCCCTTCCCGGGGGTTTGGGAGATCTGATTGGGCGCGAACAGCGAGGGAGTCTTCCCACGGCGCGGGTTGAGGCTGAATTTGTACCATCTTACCGTTTGCCCTTTTCAGAAACCATAGAAGTGGTTCTGATTTGCACACAGAGATCGCATACACGAAGAAAAGTCCACGGGCGGTGCTGTGTCGCATGAGAAGATACGATGGCTTCCTCGATAATCTGAAGTGTCGTTAAGTAAGGTTTGAACTACACCTAATAGGGCGTGGATAGGTGTGATTCGCCGTTGGGTTCTTGCTGTATTTGGACTAGTCATAAAATCCAACTTCCTTTCAGGGAATTCCGGACTAAGCGCATATGGAAGACGCCGAGGCACTGCAAGTAGAATGCAATAGGCCAGACGCAACTAATATGACTGTGTTTTGGGCCGAGTTGAGACGCTATGTCTCAACGGTAAGGGCCATATACATGCTCCGTGCCATTTTGAACCATTGCCTGGTTAATAAGCTGTCTGCGGCGGCCTCGCCGATATACTTGTGCAGAGGTCATCCAAGCGACCCGCAACCTCTACTCAGCAGCCAGATAATGGTTGGTCTCTGCGAACAATTTCTGCGAACAATTTCTCCGGGTTTTAAATTTCGATCCGTAGCTGTTGCATTGCATTGCATCCACATGGGCCTCGCATCTTCCCTAGGACTCGAAGGAGTTTCGATCTCGATGTTATTGCCTGGACATGCTTGGTTGCTCTGGTCGTACACTCATGTTGGTCGCCATGGGTGGTAAAATGACCGAGGACCAAAGCAGTCATGACTCTTCCGGGTGACAATGCACCGCCGTATGGTGTTCCTGGGGTTTGCATGTGCCTGAGTATCTCTCCTGGGCGCTTTGTCCAACGGGCTGAGACCTGCATTGGGATTTGTGAAAGGGGACTGCCGACCCATTGATGCCATGACTTGCTGCGATATCGCAAAGAGGCAGGTATTTGGAGGAAGCGGGGAGGATTACGTGACCGCGATTTTGATGTGTGAACCGCCCTAAGCATTGTGTTATTGACATCTATCAACAGGAGACCAGACTTGATAGGCACGGCACCGGAGTTATCTGCAGCAATTCGCGAATTTCATTGTCGGGCTTGCGACCATTGTATGCAGTTTCACCAAGCTGTGTTAGCGCAGTAATAATAACAAATCCAGAAGCGACCAAGTCACTGGATTGCTCGCATTGAGTTATCCAGTTGTCCAGCGATTGCGAAATGTTGATACCTGATATCCAGATCTGCAAAGATAGGCCGCAAGATAGAAAAGAGCATGGAGTGAGTGATTTCTTGAACAGAGTGGCAGTCGCAGGGCTTAGGCAAATGAGCTTTCATGACAGTGCTAGGCACAAAGCGGTGGTCGCTTTCAGAATGTGCGCCAGCTCCTACCATTGGCCATCCCTGTCTCTAGTTGGCTCGTGAAACTGGAGCGCGAGCACCAGCTGAAAAGCTCGGCATTGTTCAGCCCTGGAGTCGACACGCGTTGGAGGACAAGCCAGCCTCGGTAAATCGACCTATGCCCGTCCAAACCAGCCACCGATGGAAGAGGACGTGGGAAATGATAGGACTGCGAAAGGCCATAGCAATGAGCTTTTGACAATCTCATGCACAGAAAAGGATCCGCTGGAAAAAAGCGCGGTGCAAGAATAGCGTCGCCGCGGTGGCTGGCATTGGCAGTCTCGTGGTGGTGCAGCTCAGCCTCAGCCTCAGCTGGAGGTTTTTCTGTTTGCGATACTGACCCGGAAGGATGCTGCAACCGACCTCGAGCTATGAAGGCGGCACTGACTGATTGACTGATTATTTCACCTCTCAATTCTGCGCCTGTCACACTCGAAAACGGAACTGAAGCAATGCCAAATGGAATCATGAGTTCTGAGCGCCCTGCTCGATACCAGCAATTCTACTCAGGTTTGTGGTGCAGCTCATAGTCAGAGGCAGAGGCAGGCTGATTAACTTAAAAGGAGGGAACAAGACCCCTGCATACTATGATTCCAGCGGAGAAGCCCTTCTAGCCCTCGAACCCAGCGGGAATGACGGATTCGTTACTGCTGGTAGCCATCGAGATCACGCATATGCATATTCGCCAGCCCAACGGCATGCTGTGGACAGTCCTTATCCCTTACAGGTTAACAGGCAAACCAGCAAGAGGAAGAGGAGGTTGTACGTATGTCTGTTGATCATAATAGTGATGGCCTGTCTTGGATCATTGGGGGTGGTCCTTGGGTTACACTACATCAAGAAGAAGTCGAGAAAGTCTTCAGATTCAACATATTAGCATGTCCGGCGCCGTGCAGAGAAATATTTGAATGACCAGAATGATAACAGGGCACTTTTGTATGGCGGCAGTAGAGAGATGAGGATTTCCACGGTGTTGTCAATTGCAGGGCGTTGGCTGAGGCGCGGACGTTCTGCTTGGGGCAGATCCACAAAGGCTCGGGCTTGGATGCAGCAGACGAAGGACCGATACTGCGTGCCAATCCTTTGGGTTCAGATATCATGTGTCCAAAAGGTCTCAAACATGAACACATAGATTTAATGGACAAAAGGAAGGCTCATGGTCGTCGTGGGACAGGATAACCCGCCTGCCCAGGTTGATTTGGCGCTCCACCAAACCTGATACCCATGTCTGGTGTCCATATTCCACCACCACCAATCGTGCCACCCGCAACGCCGACCGGCAGGGGCGAAGTAGAGGGCATAACTCCTCCAGGAGGGGGATTCCGTGTTGGCACTGGTGCGGTCAGTGCTTCTTGAGTTTCTGCCGGTGGCTGTTGCTGTGTACGGCTTCTCGTCTGCGGCGCTGTATTCTGACTTCTTAATTCCCTTCGTGTTTCCTGGAGATTGAGTCTGCCCATGTCCTGTCCAGCAAGCTCCGCCTCAAGCTGACTGGCCTCTATCCTGCGCTCCGAGACTTGCGTTTTACAATTGTCTCGGAAACGTGTCACATGAACGGCAAGATCGTTGTAAAACTTTCTTCCAGTGTCCAAGTTATTGATGAGCTCTTTGTATTTGGCATATCCTGTGTCCAGCGTCTGTAGAGCCTTTTGGCGATCCTTGGTACTGGTATCGCCCCTTCGAGCGTCTAAGAATGCTTTGTTGGCTTCGCGCAGCCGAGCGACAATTTGGTCTTGCTCCTCTTGTTCCGTGATAAGAGCTTCGCGATCAGGCTCATAGACCTGAAGGCGTGTTTCGAATAGCTTCTCGAACTGACCTGGTTCGATCTTCTGCATGGGATACTCCCGCTCCAGCCGAGCTGCTTCGGCGAGCAGAGCCGGTCCGATATCATCAGATTTGGCTTTCTCTTTCAGAGCCGCAATACGATTCTTTCGTCGAGTCTCTAAGCGGGACACCTCATTGAGACAGGCCCGTAGGCGAGATGCGGCCTGCTCGATGGCTGGTGTCATGGTCACTTGACTGGACGAGGGGACAAATCGTTCCAGATCACGATTCGTCCCAGTCAAGATCTTGAGTACATGTTCGTTCTCTCGGAACTTTGCCTGCACTAAGTTGTCACTCGAGGCGGCAGAGTTTAGATATGTCTGGAGCTCGTTCGAAGTCTGGTATAGTTTGGCCAGAGCAGTGGTAGAGGGTGGACGCGCCCACCTGTCGGTGCCGTACTTTGCTCGAGCCCGCTCATCCTCGGCTTTTTCAGCCTCTAGCAATGCGACCCCCTCTTGATAGATGGCGAGATCATTGGTCTTCAACTTGGTCGTGTCTTCCATTGATCTCTTGATTCTGTACAACGCGTCCTGCTGTCGAAGCTCCTCGGCCTTCGAGACCAGGCTGCCAGGCAAACCGAGTGGTTTTTCGAGGGCTTGTAACGACCCTGGTAGATCGAGCGACTGCAGAACTTCTCTCAGTCTCGCTGTCATAGCCTCAAGATCGACAATGATAGACTGGTTGACAAGGCGGTCGCGTCGGTCGGCGTATATTGACGCAGCTTGATGGACGGCATAAGGAACAAGTTTTTCGAACAATGGCCTGCCAAAAGGTTTTCCTTCACCCAGCAGAGAAATGCCATTTACAATATCTGCTGGTGTTTTTGCCGCGACCATATTTGTTCGATCCAGAAGCTTGAGCTCGGATTTGGGCGTTGTTGGTTGCAGATAGATCACATCGTTGTCTTTTTCGGCCCTCTTCAGCTCTTCCGTGACCCTGGACTTGAGTCCATTGAGGTCCCCGGTCACCGTAGCATTGATGTATCGAGCTTCTTGAAGACCCTCGTTGACGCAGGTGAGACTATCTTTGAGCCTGGCAATCTCTTCGCCATACTGCTTGTTTTGTAGACAATATCGAGATTGTCGAAACTGGGCGGCAGCGGCGAAATGGTGGTGTTTCGCCTGAAAATGGTGTATCCATTCCGCGCTCACAGCCCGGGACTGGCGTGCGGCATCCGCCGCACAGATATAGTAGTCGGAGACCTTTGCTGCGAGCTTTGCTACCGTGCCGTCCGACATGTTCCTCTTGATGGCTATCTGCCAGAACGATTCCTGCCCTTGTGCCAAACAAAGTTGTTGTAAGCTGTCCAAGGTTATATCATCCATATCCTCCGGTGGAGTCGAGCGCATATCGGGAAGGATATCTGTCCGTATAAAAGCAAAGGTCCCGGCGGCCGCGATGCTGTATTCGGCAGCAGATTTGAGCCCATCGATCGACGTCCGGTTCGTCGCATGTGCAAGTTGTGAGTATAGGGACGCAAGATTGAAGAGTATATTTGCCAGCTCGTACCGTAGGTTGTTCTGGAGCACGGGCTTGTCTCGATCGTAGCCTATCGCAGGGTACCACGGGAAATCGACGCCAATATCAATAGGAAACTTTCCGCCGAGATACCGCAGTTGAGCAGCATATATCTGTAGACGCTTGACACCACTGACGTGGGGTTCACGGACGTTTATGGCGTCGTTCCGGAGGCGGTCGATGTCTCGCAGGTCATCTGCGAACATGTCTGGGGACTGTTCATATTTGGTGGAGATGTATTGCTTGATGGCAGAGGACAGATCCACGGAGTGAGTCCGACGGAAGGGGATTTCGAGGAGATTCCTGCACTCTGTCAGTAAGGATTCCACGGTCGAGAGCATATGCAAGACTTACGACGCCATGCTGTTGTGGTGGTGCAGAGGAACAGAAACTGCGGTGCAGAGAATGAGAATGTTTGGTTTGGCGGGGGTGACGTCAGCCTCGGCAAGGCTGAATATCGCAGCAGACGAGCACTTTGGCAGCCTTGCCACTTGCTCATGCTGCCATCTTGACGCCAACCCTTCAACGGCAGCTCCTGGGCACCACGAACTCCTTTATCGGATCAGAGCCAGGCACCCGGCCTGCTTCCAATCGTCGAGACGCACACTCAACCCCAACACGCCGCTGATTCAGTCTCAGTCCAATCGCAGGGCGGCGGAGTTCTCCATGAACCCATGCATCGGCGCCCCTCACTTGCTCCAATGAGATGATGTCTATCTTTGCCGTCGGAGGTCTTCACGCCCTTCAAGACTTCTATCTTGTACCAAGCGCCCTTTTTTCTCCCTACATGTGGTGTAATCTTATCTAAACATCCAGTCTTCAAGAAGACGTCTTGCGCCCAGAGCGTACCCAGACTTTTCACTACTGCAAAGTTGAGTGTCCTCATTTCACCGATTCCTTCATTGTCTCTCTGTCTCTGTCCTAGCCTCGTCTACTGCGTCAATCCATATCCTTGATCGAACATGGCCCCCTCTGCGATCAGCGACCTCCTCCCCTCCGGGACCCTGCCCTCCAAGTCCGTCACGCCCGGCACGGAAGAACATGTCCACGGCATGGAAGACAAGTCCCCCTTGCAGGCCATTTCTCACGGCGACGTGATGTTGCCTGGGGTCCCCAAGTTCGATAACTTCGCCGCCCAACGCCAATGGCAACTTGAGCATATGGCCGCCGCTTTCCGCCACTGGGCACGAGAGGGATTCGTGGAGGGCATTTCAGGACATATCAGTGTGAGAGATCCAGAGAACCATGAGGTCTTCTGGACGAACCGTACGTCCTCACCATAACCACCAACTATCACTACCACTACCACAACACCATCCCTGTTTGGAGATGATAACGGTAGACTAACATTTCCTGGGAACAGCCCTGGGCGTGCACTTCGGCCTCCTCAAAGCCAGCGACATGATCGCGGTGAACCTGTCGGGCAAGGTCGTGGGGGGCAACACCAGCCGACCGCCCAACGCCGCGGGCTTCTTGATCCATAGCGAAGTGCACAAGGCTCGCCCGGACGTGACGGCCATCTGCCACGCTCACACCGTCTACGGCAAGGCCTGGTCCGTGTTCGGCCGGCCGCTGGAGATGCTGACCCAGGACGCCTGCAAGTTCTACAACGCCCACTCGGTCTACAACTCGTACGGCGGCGTCGTGCTCGCGAGCGAGGAGGGCGCCCAGATCGCCAAGGCCCTGGGCCCGACCAATAAGGCCTGCATCCTGCGGAACCACGGCCTGCTGACCGTCGGCAAGACTGTCGACGAAGCCGCCTTCCTGTTCCTCAGCATGGAACATGCCTGCCAGGGCCAGCTGCTGGCCGAGGCCGCGAGCCAAGGCGGAAACCTGCCCAAAATCCTCATCTCGGAGGAAGAGGCCGCGTACACGAACAAGATGGAGAGCGACGAAGAGACCTGCTATGCCGAGTTCCAGGCCTACGTAGACTGGGAGGATTATCACAGCAAGGGCGAGTTCAGGAAATAGATGACCAATGGCGGTGAGACGATAGACTACAAAGGAAGACCAAATTCGTTTAAGCACAGTGGTTGTAGCGATAAGAGTCATGAAAATGATGTGTTATTACAAAGCCACGAGTGGCTGAGACCCAACCCTCGTCCGATGAACGTGACAAAGAGCATGACGTGACAATAGCTGTGAGATCTGAGAAGAATCATCGCCCCATCCGGAACACAGGAAGATGCTCCAACTTGTTGGGGACCGTCCATGGCACAAGACGAATCCATTTCATGAACAGCTCTTGCTGTGCATATACGATAATGACAGGATGCTCGCCACAGCCAGCTCCCATTCACAAGCTCGTCGAATCTGTGAGGCATTAGGGCCTCATCCACGACAGACTGGAAGAATGGATGATCTCTGGTTATCCTTTACAAGTCGCTTTCTAACGATTGATTCTGTCAGGCTGAGGATTGTGGATTGGTCATGCACGAAAACGATCCCGGTATCAATTATGCCACTTTATGTTGGATTTCTTTCTTCCGTGATATTTATGTGTCATGAACAGCAACTGTAGCCCTCGGGCAGGGCCTGCTGAAGTTGTGGACATGTCAACCTGAGTTGAACTTCGGAACGTCTGGATGGAGCGGTTCCAGAGAGAGCCATCTCCGTTCTTAAACGGTGCTGAGTGCTGAATCGTCCGTGAAAGCCATAGGTCGCGGGTCGAAAAGTTGAGTCCCTGTAGAGCAGGCCCTTTGCTTAATCGCCGTTCTGGTTTGGAGGTTGCTCTTGCCGTGGCTGATCCCCATGTCCTTCGTCCTGGCGTTGCTCCTGTTGGAAATCATCTGGCTGTTGACGTTGTTCCTCTGGGCCCCAGTCATTCCAGGTCCAGGTGATAGCACATCCAACCAGAATCCATCTTGACAGAAAACTCCACACGGCCGCTCGCCATAGCATTGCTCTCTGCCACTTTGGGCGCTTCCAGATACCGGCGCTTGTCAAAATGGTGGCGATGAGAAGAAACGGGCCGACTTCAATTGACAACAGCAAGGCTCTCTGCAGATTAGGGTATGCCCTCCCAAAAGCCGTGGTCCTGGCACTGTCATTATCTCCGGCTCTTCTTCGCTGGGGCGGCATGTTGAGAGATATTCGTGCTTGAGGGATACACGTGGTGACCTGTCGCCGAATCGAGGAAGGTAACGATGGATAGCTTTCGCAGACAGCGAGTACAGCTAACATGCACCGGGGCTTTGTCTGGGTAAGAGACCAGAGTGGCTGTTCGCTAATTCTCTTAATTTCCCCTACTAATGGTCACAAGGCAGAATTTGGTGCTTATGGGCCGATAACAGTTCGGGCCGAGACGTGAGGTGATCTCGACGACCGTCTTCACGTCTTTTACTTGTTTGCGACCATGCGACCCTGACTGGCAATTGGAAGCCAGTTATGCTGAGTTTTCTGATATGATGAGGCTATCCAGCTCGCAGGTTCATTGTTTGCCTCTTAATGACATAAGGGTTCGGTTTCGGTGTCAGTGAGATCCCAGGGGAGTCTTTAGAGGTTGTCGAGTTCAACACGGATTGTAATGGAGAAAGGAAGTAAGATTGAGCCTTGCAGCCTTCGGGCTGATGTGATGAAGATACAGGTAGGCACACGACCAACATGTTCAGATGGCAATGATGTACTGTAAGGTTGTTTTGTCCATCAAAAGTTTGTAGTGTTTTGAATGTTTGCACGCTTTGCCTCGACCAGTTGCCTCGACCAATCATTCTCATTCTTAAAGTACATCGAGCCATACCTCGTGCACAGAATCAAACACATTCTTGTTCATTTGTCGACAAAAGGACTCAGTGAGCTAAAGTAATATCTGCCAAAGTCTAATCTATACGGCGCAAATCCAGCCAAAGAAAAGAAAAAGAGAGAAAAAAAAAGAGATGAACCAGCTCCTCTGCTTCCATCACCAGCCAAATCCTTCCTCGATGAAATCCAGATTGACGCCATTCTCAACCACCACCCGCGACGCACGCCTGACTTCGTCCGCCAGCCCTCCTCCGGCACAGACACTTACTCCCATACAGCCGATTTTCTGCTTCGCCTCGCTGGCAATGAGGGCTTCCACGTTTGGCCTCCCTCGCGCCATCTGGACATGCTCGCTCGGACTTTGGATCACCTGACCGAGGCCGACTCTGGTGACATACAAGAGAACTTTGAGCACCTCTCTCCGTCCTTCCATGGATAGGATCTCGTGCATCCATGGTCTGATCCAGTCCAGACATTCAGTTGTCGGCATAACCCACACAAGGGTGATTCGTTTCGCTGCGACGGTACCATGGCCGTATCCTTCAACAAGCTCTCTGACATATCCGAGTTGATGGGTAATGCCTACGCCGCTTGCAAATAAGAGAACCGTCCCGTAGCTTGACATGCTGCGCTCAGTTCCGTAAGGCCCTTCAATCAACGCATTGAGCTCCAGGCCTCTCCCTGCTGTCATTGCCCGGTGCCAGAGTTTGTTGGTCATGCCGGTCTGCTTTTTGATAATCAGGGACATTGTTTTTTCTCCATGCTTCTCAATGTCCTTGGAATATATGTGAATCGCAGGTCTCTTTTCGCTATAATGTGATCTGAGCGAAGCTGATCTGTTCAAAGGGTCTTCAATCCCGGACCATGCAACAGAAAAGGGGTGCGCAGTCCATAACCCGATTGAAGGAATTGTCAAGTAAAGCGACTGGCCCGGTCTATACGTCCAAGGTCTTGGACTTGTGAGCGTGACCCTTACCACACCACCATTGAGCGGTTCAATCCTGGCCTTGGTGCCACCTGTTCCAACACTTCTGTAAGTCAACGTCGCAAGTCTAAGAGACCTTGCGGTGGCCCAAATTATAGCAGCCCCCAGCAACAACCCCCTTTGAGGCACCCCATCAAGGTGCCTCCAGAGGAATACTAGTACCAGCAGCACAAGGACGATGTGTAGGTGAAGGAAGAATTCGTAAGCCAGGTTCCTGATCATCTTTGGACTAGACAGTAAGATGAGTACGAGGGCGATGGCGGCAGCCAGGCCACTGTAGATGAAACGAGTGTCTAATGATGTCTTCACTGCAGCCCAACCACTTGACTGCACTTTTGCAATGAGCCAGCACAAGACATGGGTAATGGCTTCGCAGATAGCCAGACGACCGAACCAGCGGTGCATCAGATTGAAAGTGTCGTACGAAATGTCCAGCATCCAGATCAAGGGATTCTTCACTGTGGCCATGACCATTATTGGGATCAGGTTGGTGACCGACATGGTCCCAGTTCGGTTTCTGAGGATAGGCAAAAGTTGCTGCTCGGGCTGCGACCACGGGATGTTCCAGGTGCAGAGGAACAAGTTCGTAATGACAGCTGAAAGGATAAATAGAGTTTGTAATCTTGTTGGGACACTGCCAAAGGTGATATGCCGAGAAAATCTGATCTCTCGGGCCCGCCGATAGAAGAGGATTGGCGCATATAGTATCTTGCTCTTGGCTAGACGGATAGCTGGCGAAGAGCTAGAAAAGTATCGAAGAGCGCCTGCGCCAGACATGGAGGCCAAATGTCGAATGTGTGCATTGAGCCGCAAGGACAGTGTATAGGCAAGAAGCAGGGTAGCGACACCCAGCATAGCCCCAAGGTAGGAGCGGGCTATAGTCCAATTGAGTCCTTCGCGACGAACTTGTGCTGGATCGCTCTGATACTGCAAGTTCCAGGTGGATGTGGAGTTGGGCGTTGTAGAAGCCTGCGCGGCTGCGAACATGGTTGCCATTGCAAAGGAATAATAAATGAACATGCTTTTTTCCAAAGACGGCAACAATCTCAGAAGGAAGGTGAAAGAGGCTAGGACAAGTCCAGCTCGTCAGGCAATCAGGCGGACGACAGTTGCCTTGGATCACCGAGAATGTAAGGTATGCCAGACGAGCATCGAGAAGGTGGTGGTATGGAAAGTGCCAACGGTCGAAGTGATGGAGAAAACGAAAATGCCAAGCGTCAGCTGCTGAACCTGGGCTGCAGTCACTTTGATAATATAAGATTTAAATCACCCGAGATCTGGAGATTTAGCGAAATGACGAATCTGAGGGCCTGGATGAGTGGCTGTGACTGGCGTGGGGTACCGGCTCGGTCTGAAACGAAGCTTTCCTCTTCGTAGGCACTTTGGGGTGAGCTTTGTTTATATTATACCAGGACCATGGGCCAAACGGGGTTTGCGCAATTTGGATCAGCATCGGAAGCCATAGTATGCGACTATTAATACTGTAGGAATGTCCGGCGTTGTACAATGACAAGGGCCAGAAGAACGGGTGGCAATCATCGTTGGGCATAAGGGGCAAGCAACGGTGACACGGCGAAGGAGAGGTAATCCATGAATGCGGACAGCAGAATTCCATGGCTTTGGAAGGCGCTGATAGGAGATGCGCCAGAAGTCCTCAATCACCTCAAAGCAAGAATGTGGAGCAAACCCCCGGGAGTGCTTGTCGACGACTTCGAATGTTACGTAGAGGTGATTTCACTATCGAGTAGAAAGGGAGAAGGGCAGGAGACAAGGCGGTTGAGAGAAGGATGCGGGCGAGTACCTGCCAAGCCGCCAAGTTGCTTTTCCGATTGGTGGATCTAGGTCGGACCAATCTCAAACGACCGGCATGGCCAGCCACGATAGCAATTGGGCCAATCACCCCGCATCGGCCGCTCTCCTGCTCGCCGGATCCTGAAACAGTAGTCCCGCCGAATGGCCGCTATCATATCAGCCTTGGCCGTTTTCTATTTCTGTGTTGTCTGTCGTGGCCCTGGCGTTCCCTCGGTGCACGGAGTTCAGGGATCGTCAAAGACCTCTGTTTGCTTGCAAAACGCCATCAGCGGAGCTCCGGCTGAAGCACGAGTGGTGTTATGCCATCAGGAAACATTCCAGGCAAACAGATGGGAGATGCCTGGGTGGATGTGGTACAACGTCAAAACGCGCTGCTGTGCTCTGGTGACGAATTGCTTGTTCTCTGCAAGGGGCCGTGGAACATCATCACCCTTCAACCACCCTGTGAGCTACAGCTATTTCACCTCATATCGCATGGTTGTACTCGGACGCCTACCATTGTAACAAGCTTAATTCGTCTTCGGATCTTTTTCGAGAGGGTGATTCTCCCGACCAAGCGTGGAAGACATGTGCTTGTCGGGCCTTTTAGGAAGTATTCCGCGCCTGACTTTTATGGAACCGAAATCTTCCTCCATGTGCACCTCAACGTCATCACACAGACGCCTCCGCTTCCACTCTTCTAGCCATGCGTGGGCCATCGACAGTTGTTGATCAATAGGTTGGTTGACGGTGGCAAAGGGTACATTGTTACCTCGGCGAACGAGCTCTTTCCGCCCCTCTGTCAGTGACACGCAATGGCTCCCTCGAATCACTTTTCGGTGTTCATCCTAGCTGCAGGACCCTTCGCAATCCATTTCTCTGCTCCTGCATCCCGGCGATATCCGATGCTGAATTGGGTTTCATGGCCTCCCAGTATGCTTTTTATATATTTTGCTGCCGCGTCGTGAGGAAACTTGTGGCCCGTGATGAGATAACCGGTTCCCTAAAATGTTGGGCTGCCCGTTTTCGATCGCCATTGGTGACGAGTCAAGCGCGCAAGACGCGTATCTTATGCGACTAGTCGCGTTTTATGGATAGTGGCAGCATCGCTCACAGCTTCATATCGACCAATGCTGGATCATTTCCACATCGATAAGAGCGTACTGGTTGGGATCAACGGTTTGTTACGGTTATCCATTCGGTTGTAAGATATTGTGCGGTAAAGGACATCCTTGATCGGAGGCGATTGACTCGGCAGGATGCTCATAAAGACTGCGGGAAATAGCCAAAATGGCCGATACCTCCATCTTGTGCAGTGTGAAGTCAGGCGTAGAGGATTAGGTTTTGTCTGCATATCACATACCATCCATATAATGCTGAGGCGTTATTTCCAGGAACTTGACACAACCTGCAGATCATGTGGAATAGAACTATGGTGGCTGTCCTTAAGTCGTCTAGAAAACCAGCGTCTAGTCGGTGGGATCCGAAGAAGCCTCCACTAGGAAAGTAAAGTCCGTAACAGCGGAAGGCAGCCATTTGGTGGTCTCTCCACGCATTGCGCCATCCTCGATCAGCCAGGTAGTCAACTGAGTTCCATATGGTGATATCAAAACCCACGATTGGAACCACCATCTCTCCAAACTCTCTAAACAGTCCTGAGGCCTCTTGGGACCTATAGTCCATGATATCATGTTTACCTTCGTCTCAATTTTTGTTTGCGTCATAATACTTCTGCTCCTGAGAGAGGGTGGTGTACGATAGTTTGAGCAATCACAGTCCTCGAGGGTGTTGGCCTCTCGGTAGTCTCTCTCTCTTTCTCGCAAATCACATTATCTCAAAATGTACGGTGCTGGGAACCTGGAGGGACTTGGATTTGCAACCATGAATGCTGAAACGATGGTTCGAGCATCCTGACTGATTGATCCGTAGGCTCTGCGAGATGTGCCATTTGAGGTGCCCAGCGACTCGGTCCTTCAAAGAAGTCTGATGCCGATTCGGGCACAATATCTGCGGCGCTCTATTTTGATTGAAAACTCGGTCTAACTGTGGCAATTTCGGTATCTCGAATGGTATGCGCGGTCCTGCTGTGCGCCGTCAATGCTTGTTATCAAGGGTTACGCCATCGCCTGGGCAGTGGAGGAGTCCGACTGCCGCCCTTCTCCTCGTACCGCACTGTATATTTCTTCTGTGGCCATTATCGATTTTTAGAAACAACTCACACTAGCCATGTGAGATGCTGTGCGGCCCTGTCCATGTTATCCTCCAATGTCGGTTCTTCTTCTGATGCCCCGCAAGAAAGCTTTGTGCCATTTTACAGGCCTGGAAATGGGCCAGTTCGGATGACGCGGGTTCTGTGGTATCTGGACGTGCTCCACTGAGCTGGAGTCGGTTACGGCGAAGTGCCGTCCTCAATCGTCAACAGGGAGAGTGATACAAGGAGATTGTGCTGAAGGAACATCACAAACACCATGAACGACACTGCCATTCCTCAAACCCCACAGCTATTCCTTGATGCCGTGTTCAACTTGGTACACTAACTTCTTGCCCTGGGATTGACCGCTCCTAAGCCTGTTCAGTCCCTCAGATACACCGTCGAGGCCTGCAGGAATGATTTCGTAGGGATGACCAGAGTACTTGCCCTGTCTCAAGGTGTCTTCTAGCCAGACGAAGAAATTCCTGGCGAAGTCAACATCGCCATGCGCATCCTCAGCCGAAGGTTGCTTGGGCATTCCTTGTCTGTACGAACCTTCATGGCCAGAGCCAACAAAGGTGTAGACTATTTCTACATCCTTTGAGATGGCTTCCTCGTCATATTTTTGGGCTCCCGAGAAGACGCTGAGCTTTCCCCTCCGAAGCATCTGGCTGACATGGACCCAGCTTTCGTTATTACTGAACGCGTCAATCCCGTTCGCCAGTATTAATTCTCGTTCATCTGCGACACTCCGGATCTGCTCCTTCAGTATTTCTGGCCCCGCTTTATAATCGAAAAACAGGTCGTGACGGAGATCGAGCACACCATTGAGGTAGTCGTTACTTCCTCCGCCGATAGCGACGATCGGTGTAATCCCAGCGAGCTTGGCGAGCTTGATGGCGAAAGTGCCCAGAGAGGTGGTAGCAGCATACACCAGCAACGGTATCTGATTTTGGACTACTGCGTTCTGGGTCCAGGGAGCGACGAAGCCTTGTCTTCGAAATAAAGTCAAAGCAGCCGTTAGACTGACAAGTGGGATAGTACTGGCTTCTTCAAAGCTCACGGAGGCAGGAATATGGAAAGTGGTATGCTCTGGGACGATGGCATATTGAGCGTAGGCTCCGTACCGCTTGCCCATCGGGTGAAAAGCGGCAACTCGGTCACCAGGGCTAAATCTGGATACCCCTGACCCAGATGCTACCACAGTGCCAGCGAGATCATCCCCGGAATTGAGTGATGCGCCTGTGGCTACTATGTGTAGCCAGTCTTTCGGGTTTGAAGCGGCCGCATATACTTTGATTAACACTTCATTCGGCTGCAGGGCTGTCGGTAACGGGATGTTGGTGATAGTAGTGGTTATCGGGTCAGTAGGATGAACTGTTACCGAGAGTGCTGTCGAAGGGAGGTCTGTCGTCGAAGCCATGTTGACGACAGATGCTCTTAAGTGGCTGAAGCGAAAGATATAGTGACGGAGATTCTATATGATGCGTATTTTCCAGGTTTCTATAATTCATTCGCTTACAGTCCAGTTGCCAATGTAGAAGCACATATCTGCATTGATAGCGGACGTATTCACTGTATAACTCGAATCTAAATGCATTTCATACCTTGGATGATTAAGCTTATATCGCATTGTTCGGGCCTACTATGTCATACAGAGTGAGGCATTGTTGGACAAGGGCGCAGTTCGGGTAGTGTTTCGGTCAGGCTGACAAAGATTAGTAGCATTCCAAACGCCACTTAATAGGCCAAGGCTAGTGATAAACATAGATTTTCAAGAACGATGTCGGCGTCTCAAGGAGATTTCACCAATGCGGATGACAGAGCTTGTGTCTACCTGGGAAGTTTTGTGTCGTTGATTGACATCGTGGCCCTAGTGCTAGGGCAAATGGCTGACACCCTAGTTATATTCGAGGTATGGAGGCCGCTTTAACGAGCTGCTAGCGGAGGCCGAACTTGCAGAGCGCCGCTTTAGAGGCCTCGACTCGGGGCAAGCAGGGCGCATTCGAACTCCCGCAGCCTCCTGTACAGGGCTAAGGGAAGGTATACTCTGTACCTGAGTCATTACTCTACAATGTCGAACGTATCATTTACACGAGAATCGCCTTCCCGAACATCTTAAGGATTGCAGGTACTATAGGATCGCGCAGTTTAAGTCCCTGGAATACATTGGACTACCGCCTCGAGATGCGCCAGACAGCCTATTCCCCTTGCTCACCCTTGTGTTCAATACATCTTGCTCTGCGAGAGAGAAGACCGCCGCCCGCGTCAACATAAGCCAATGTAATGGCCCTTCAATTTGTTGTTCCCACCGTACGATAGCCGATCTGCCTCCCTGAAAGACGGTGATGAGATGAAGCAGCCCGGCACACGGATCGAAGATGTGACGGTTGGCTGGATTTGTGCTCTCCATATTGAGCTTGCCGCTGCAAGAGAAGCTTTGGACGAAGAATACGAACGCATAGATGAAGTGGCGCAATACACTTTGGGACGCATCGGCAGACACAATGTGGTTGTGGCCAGCCTCCCAGCGGGTCAGCTCGGCACAAGTGCGGCTGCAGCCGTAGCCGTCCACATGCAAAGGACGTTCCCTGCTCTCCAATATGGGTTCATGGTAGGAATTGCGGGCGGCGTTCCAAGCACGAGTGCAGACATTCGCCTTGGTGATGTTGTCATCAGCCACCCACAGGGCCGTTATGGGGGCGTCGTGCAGTATGACTTTGGGAAGACCGGATCTGGGGGGAGACAACTCTCAACCGGCTACCTCAACTCTCCACATCCGGTCCTCCTGCAGGCCGTGGCAACAATGCGATCTACCATGGCTGCTGGTCGCGGCAACATCCGGTCTTACATGTCTTCTCTAAACAAGCGCGGTCTATTTCCCCGTCCTGCCCCAGATACAGAGAGACTGTTCGACGCTTCCTATGACCACGTCATGGGTGTCACATGCGACAAATGCCTCAAAGACAAGATGATTGAAAGGGTTGTGAGAAAATGCCCGGACGAGATCGTCATACACTTCGGGACAGTTGGGTCTGGAAATCAAGTTATCAAAGATGGTTTGACACGAGATCGTATGAGCGCCGAACATGGAGGCGTCCTATGTTTCGAAATGGAAGCAGCTGGCTTGATGAACATATTTCCCTGCCTTATTGTTCGAGGCATCTGTGATTATGCTGACTCTCACAAGAACAAGAGCTGGCAGCCTTTTGCTGCCGCGGCTGCCGCAGCATGCGCCAAGGATATCCTTTCCTACGTACCTACAGCCTCGCGAAACCCAGAAAATGAACTATATCCCAAGCCGCCCATGGTATCCGAAGTCGGGACCTCAAACGACGGCGCTACGTTGTCACAAATAAGCGAGGTAAGAAGTGGTGCGAACAGCAGTCGTTTAGCTGAGGAGGCCGGACTTGACCAGTCGTCACTATTTACAAAGTCCTCGCTCACGGCCAAAGAGCTAGACACCTACCATGAGGCCTTGGGCTTTCGTGAAATCAATGCCCGCCACGCCACCATCCAAGATGCACATTCTGAGACCTGTAGCTGGCTTCTTGAACGGCCAGAATATCAAGATTGGCTGGACTGGAACAAGCAGCCTGAGCACCATGGGTTCTTCTGGATCAAAGGGATTCCAGGGACGGGCAAGTCGACGATCATGAAATTTGCTATGGAATTCGCAAAGGGGCGGATGGTTGACACAATTGTGATAAAATTCTTTTTCAACGCGCGAGGCAGCGACCTTGAGAAAAGCGTGCTTGGAATGTACCGATCACTCTTGTTTCAACTCCTTGACGAACTTACGGATCTCCGAGAGGTCTTCGCATTACTCCCGCCGAAGTTTTCAGACGACCAGTCCTCGTATGTATGGGACGTGGAGGTCCTCCAGGGTTTGTTTGGCCACGCTGTGAAAAGGTTGGGCCATCGCTCCCTGATGTGCTTCGTAGATGCTCTGGATGAATGTGAAGAGAGGCAAATCCGAGAGATGATTACATTCTTCGAGGACCTGGGCGACGTGGCAGCAGCGGCGGGGCTGAAACTACGGACATGTTTCTCAAGCAGACACTATCCCCACGTCACGCTGGCGCATAGTGTTTCTCTCGTGTTGGAACACCAAGAAGGCCATCAAAATGACATTGTCAAGTATGTCAATGGTAAGCTGAAAGGAACCCACGGCAGGCTCCTTGATGATGTAAAAAAGGAGATCTGTCAAAGGTCATCTGGTATTTTCCTTTGGGTCGTCCTCGTGGTCCACATCCTGAAGAAAGACGCCGATGATGGCCGCATACATGCATTGAAGAAACGCCTGGACGAAATCCCCGATGGATTGGACCGATTGTTTGACGACATGTTGACCAGAGATAGCCACGATGTGGAGAGCCTGATTCTATGCTTGCAGTGGGTCCTGTTTGCAAAACGGCCATTAAAACCGATCGAGCTCTTCTACGCCATCTCGACAGGTGTCGATCCCGAATCGATTGTGCAGATAACACCCGACGACATCGATCCAGAAAGTATTCGAAATTTCGTCTTGAGATCCTCGAAAGGACTTGCAGACATCACCAAAGGCGAAGGGAAAACTGTCCAGTTCATCCACGAATCTGTGAGGGACTACCTTCTGAAGACGCATAGCCTTGGACGGGTTCGGGCTAACCTCCCATTCACTTTCACCGGGACTAGCCATGAGAGACTGAAGAAGTGTTGTCAAGATTACATCGACATCACCCTCCCTTCGGGTCCGGAGGACTCACTGCCCTTCAAGTATCTGGCGAAGCTGGTTGATGATGGACCCCGCCTGACTTCGAAATCCCATCCGTTTCTAGAGTACGCGGTTCGCAGTATACTATTCCATGCCGAGACCGCCGCTGAACATGGAGTGGAACAGGAGGCCTTTGTCGAAGAGTTTCCCTGCAAACTCTGGGTGACACTAAGTGACCTTTTTGTCGGGGACAGCACTCAGCGTTATCGTTCCTCCGTGAGCCCCTTGTATATTTTCGCCTACGAGTGCACCACCAATCTGGTTAAGATCGAAGCCAGAAGGGTACCACAGATAGATATCAAGGGCGGGTATTACGGTTATCCACTGAACGCGGCAATAGCCCGCAGGAACATGCAAACCCTCGATGCTCTTTTAATAGCAGGAAGCAACGATTTGACATCCAACGACTCGATTCAGGATCCGGCATTCTATGTCACTGACGAGCAACGCAAGGCTGCCATCAAGGACTGCTTGACGAGCGGCGTCGACAGGGATCAAACGCTTTTGCGCTGGGCCGCGGAACATGACAAAGTTGACTTGGTCAAGATCTTGTTAGGCACCAAGAAAGTGGCCATCGAGTCTAAGAGCGACCTGGGGGAGACACCACTGTCCCTCGCGGCTCGCTGTGGGCATACAAGCATAGTCAAGTTGCTGCTTCGGACCGGCAATGTGGACATGGAGTCCAAAAACGACTTTGGACAGACGTCATTATTGCAGGCTGCCAGTTGGGGACGCGAGGCAGTGGTGGAGACTCTGCTCGAGAGTGGCACGGTGGATATCAACTCGGCCGACTCAGATGGCTTGACACCTTTAGCGTGGGCGGCACGCGCCGGACATGAATCAGTGGTGAGGCTTCTCCTCGAAACAGGGAAGGTTGACATTGAAAGCAAAGACCTAAGCGGACGAACACCCATGTCCTGGGCATCAGCGAGGGGCAGTGCAGCGGTGGTAGGGCTGCTTCTGGTCTTTTGGGTCACAGCAAATATATCAAAAGGCAAGACTTTGGACATGGAAAGACTCGGGTTGAATGCAAAGGACTTGCGAGGAAGCACACCTCTCCACGGCGCGGTTCAGGCCAATGCTCTCGAGGTGGTTAAATTCCTGGTCTCGCTCGACGAGGTGGATCTTGAAGCTTGCAACAAGAAGAATCGAACGCCGGTGCAGATCGCCCAGAGTCTAGACTTCTTCGAAGTTACGGAGGTGTTACTGGAAGCCCAACGCGACCGAGAGAAACGACAAGCTTCTTAACATCAGCTATTAGCCTCGGGACAGGTTCTGGAACCGGTCTGTGGTGAGAGGGGGAATCAGACGGTATACTCGTCCAGAGTTCCTGAGGAGTCCCTTTTCATGATGAAGGCGGAGGGAAAGAAGTTGTAAATACCGGGACTACGTCTTGTAAATTGTACCAGATAGGTGGAGATTCTTGTCGAGATACTGGTATATATAGACAAGGCCCAAGAAGAAATACTACAAAGACTTCCTTACTCGTACGACACATGCGGAACATGCTCCGCTATGGATCTGGCATCTTACTATTGGGGGAATAATAGTGCTTTCATAATCCAGATCCGTCTATCAATTGCGCGGACAAGTGTTACGTACTTCGATAATGGAGCAAATAGATCCCATCCATCAAAGGGGGGCACCCAATCTTTCGCTTTCATGACGTCAATCAACAAACTATTATACCAAACACCACAAAAACGGGCATTTTAGGGCGAGGGCGAGACAGTCCTATTCCGAATACCACTATACTATTACCTCGCATTTACTCTCATCGCTGTTCTTTCCATCTTTTGTTCTGTGCCTCCGCAGATCGGGGCTGCTTATCGAGTAATACATGCTTAACTTGGTGGATCCTCTTCCCTCCACCACCGCCGCCAACCGGAGCCACGGTGCTTTTTCACCCTCCGCCGCCCGCATTTCGACTTTTTCTTTTCCTTTTCTCACTGGTGCGGAGAACACGCCCCCTTGCCTATATCACCCGCTATCACCGAGCCGAGTTTTTTTTTCTCGGCGGGTACCGCCCCTTTGCCAGATAGATACGAGAGAGGGACTACGTATCAGCTAACGAAGATCTCGCGTTTCCTGCTCCGTCGTACATCCCGGCACCGCACCGGAGATCTATGTATCTGTCTAGTAAGTAGTACGAGGAACTCTCTAATTCATTTGAATACGTTACGTATCATCGAGACTACCCGCCCGATTTTGGGGGGCGAGGAGGGGGGCGGACCACTTCCTTCATCTCGAAATAATGAATGGATAGATGAACGACACGCCCCTTTCGCGACGGGGACTGCAAAAGTCGGCGACTCGGGTTTATGCAGGCTCCTGAGATCTCGCTGTCGCCAACCCTGCCGGGCTAGAGTCAATCTAGTACGTGCGTGCGTGCGTGCTCTCGTGTTAGATATAGAGTCGATCCCTGGGCGGGGGTCGTGTGGGTTGCTCGCATGCTAGGCGGATCCATGAGTTCTGAACGATTGGGAGCTTAGGACATGTGCTCTCTCTCTGCGATTGTATAATAAATATTATCCCTTGGCTTCTCTTCCCTTTCAGAAGAATACCTAAATCAAACTGTGAAATCTTGTTGGCCTGGAGCGATATTCGGTCTTCTTTTTTTCTCCGATATCTTGCCTTTCTATCCAAGTCCAGAGCCCCCAAAATATAACGTCATTGTGCCGTCACGCCCAATCAGACAAACGAATCCCCTGATCCACTCCATCTGGACGAAGTATTTCGATTCTCTTTTGTCATAGATAACAGTGGTGCGTGAAAAGGTTCGAAACTTGGGATACATATCCTCAGACACAAGGCTGAAGAGGGGGAGAATAAATCGCCTCACTGGTATGGCTGAATACCATCCTCAACGCAGTCCCCGGGCAGTAGCAGATCTTGCACAACAAAGCAGCAATGAACCAAATCCACAGCACGACCAGTACAGTCCGATTGAACCACCAGTGCAGGAAAATGAGGATGAGACGCTGAAGCTTGGATATATCAATGACGATGCAAGCCACCGACAGACGGAGATAGATGCCCATGCAGAGGGCGAGCCATCAAGGACGGATTCGGAGTTGACCAGGCACGATACCGTCGCGACGACCAGGACCACCACTCCTGGTGGCCGCCAGCCTAGCCTGACAAACACGGTGTCCCGCGTGCCCACAGCGACGAAACCGCCCTCGTTCTCCCTGGCGCACGAGATCCTCTTCATCGCCGTCATCAGCTCGGCACAGTTGCTCACACAGTCGGCGCTCGCACAGTCCATCGCCCCCCTGCACGTCATCGGCCACACCTTCAACACCACAAACCCGGGCCAGCTGTCGTGGCTCGCGGCTGGCTACTCGCTGACCGTGGGGACGTTCATCCTCCCCGCGGGCCGCTGGGGCGATCTGTATGGGCACAAGCGCCTCTTCGTGATCGGCTACTTCTGGTTCGCCGTTTGGTCACTGGTGGCCGGCTTCGCGGCCTTCTCGCGCTCGCTGATCTTCTTCGCCTTCTGTCGCGGCATGCAAGGAATCGGTCCCGCCATCCTGCTACCCAACGGCGTCGCCGTGCTAGCCCGCACCTACCCGCCCGGCAAGCGGAAGAACATGGCGCTCAGCATCTTCGGGGCCACCGCTCCCGTAGGCTTCGTCGTCGGCGCCACCTTCTCCGGCGTCTTCGCCCAGTTCGTCTGGTGGCCCTGGGCGTACTGGGTCTTGGCTATGGTGCTGACCCTGGTCGGGGTGCTGGTAATCTTTGTCGTACCGCCCATGCCGGTCACGGGCCCGTCGGCCACCGTCCATGAGCTGGACGTCACGGGCACCATGCTCGGCGTGCTGGGCCTGATTTTCTTCAACTTTGCCTGGAACGAAGGTCCCGCCGCAGGATGGGGCAAGGTCTATGTCTATGTCCTGCTGATCATCGGCGTGGTGCTGCTCGTCGCGTTCTTCTGGTTTGAGAAGAACCGGGCCACGTTCCCATTGCTGCCCATGTCGTCGTTCACCATGGACACGAACCTCGTCTTCGGGTGCGAAGCACTGGGCTGGGCTTCGTTTGGAGTATGGGTGTTTTATCTATGGTTAGTTTTCCCTTCCTTTTCTTTTCTTGAGAAGGGTCTACCTTGTATTTGTGCCCGCTCTCCGCTAAACTCTCTCAGGCAATTTCTCGAGCTCGAAAGAAGCCAATCCATTCTGCTCTCAGCCGCCCAGCTCGTGCCCACGGCATTGTCCGGTTGCATGGCGGCCATTACTACCGGGCTTCTGATCGCCAAAATGCAGCCAGGTTGGATCATGCTCATCAGCATCAGTGCCTTTCTGACCGGGATGATCCTGCTCGCCACTATGCCGGTGGACCAAACTTACTGTAAGTCGCCTTCCTCCCGAGGAATCAGTTTGAAAGATTGCCCTCAGAAATCTGTCTCGAAGATCTTCTCCCACACCCATGCGGATGCATTCGGCCACGCTGACACAGAAGCTAGGGGCGCAAACTTTCGTCGCTGCCGTTATCACGCCCTGGGGCATGGACATGTCGTTCCCGTCCGGCAATATCGTGTTGTCTGACCACATGCCGCCCGAGCATCAGGGACTCGCGGCGTCCCTCATCAACACCGTCATCAATTATAGTATCTCAATCGGATTGGGCATGGCTGGGACGGTTGAGGTACATGTGAACTCGGGTGGCCGCAACCCGCTGCAGGGCTACCGGGGAGCTTGGTATTTGGCCATCGGATTCGACGGACTGGGCATTTTCTGCGCCGTGTGTCTGATTCTTTCTTGGAGAGCGCGAATCAAGGGGAAAGAAAAGGACAACAATCAGAAGGAGGTGGATTTGGCGTAATCTAGTGTTTGTGGTTTTCAATTGTTTAGATGTCAAACAGCTCCATCCAAGTTCTCGGCCAGCCGCAGCTTTGTCCAGTCCCACATGCCGTCACCAGGACGGGCGTCTTTCGGAGACCTCGGCCTTATAGGTGATCCAGGAGGGTAGTCGGAGCCCTTGTGTCCTTACCGAACCAGGACTGTGAGCTCCCGTCGTGACCGCCACCTCCACGTTTGAACTGAGCAGAAGAAACGTAGAGTGATTCGCCTCCAGTTCCTCCATATGTTGATTGGGCGTCCCAGGGTTACTTCGTTTTCCCATTTTCAGGCCAGACACGGACTGGGTCGAGCCCATCACATTGGCCAGACTTTCCAGGGCAAACTGTCCGCGTTTTTCCTGCAGGCACCGTCTTCAATCTGACAATGCTCATTCCGAATCCGAAGGCGGGCCAGCATCCGCGTCGTCCGCCTCATCAGGATGGGCATCGGTGTTCCGGAGACCTTCGTTCAGAACATATTCCTCCTGGATGAGCATGCCACGAAGCCCTTCTGTTCTGGGGGTGCAGATCTCAGCAGGTTTTCTGCCATGTTTGTCTTTGACTCTGGGATCGCCGCCGGCATCGATCAACATTTTTGCCATTGCCTGTCCAAGTTCGACCTCTCGCTCGTTGGCGTACTTGACTGCGCAATGTATGGGAGTCTCTTGTTCCCTCCGGTTCAAGGGGTCGCACTCGAGAAATTCAATATCGAGTAGTTCGTCCATAACGTCATCTGAAAATTTGTCAATTGAAACGCCATGCGGCATGTAGGCTTGTCGAACATACAAGCTCCATAACTTGCGCATACGTGTAACAGGTGATTTCCCATAGTGTCTGTGGTAGAGTTGAAGAAGTCTGCTATTTGTTCCGCGCTTTTGTCCTTTTTCATGTCATTGAGCACTTCGTGGAATAGTTCGACATTGTCTCTCCGACATGCTTCGAGTATCTGTTCTTTGGGGGTCGCTCCCTGCCAAGTGTGTCAATTGAGAGGGGCGGAATGCCAGAGGCAACCTGCTCACATCAACGTGCTCAGCCATGATGGCTGCCTAAAAGCTGTGCAAACGTCGCTGAGCACGAAAACAGAGGATCGTTGTGTACAGAGCTGGGTAGGACGCCGCTTCCGTTTAGCTACAGGCGTATTTGATGCGGAAGGGCACGGGACGGGTCGATGGGAGAAGACGTGGAGACCGCTGGCTGTGAAGAGGACGAAGGATTGACGAGACAGAAGGAATGGAACAGGCGCAGCGGCAGAATGAGGTCTATCTAGTGAATTGCGGTGGACCAAGGGGCTTTTCAAACACTTCGACCCAGGCATCCCGCCAACCCCTCGACGAAGCCGGCGCCTCATGAAGCAAAAATGCCGAGAACCCCTCAGCCTCCGCTTTCTTTTTGCTGTGTTTGTAAGTTTTGTCATGCCTTACCTGCGATCTCAAATGTCTACAGATTGACACAAGAGAGGTGAGAATCGCTCTTTGAAGAATAATCGGTGTTGAAGATCCTCTACCATGGCTCCTACATGTAAGCAATGCGTCTATTGCTAGAAGCTCTTCGTTGACAAAGACATAATAAGTTTGCCCATATTGCTACAACTGCCTCACGATCGCGCGGGCGGCTTCAAGCGACCAGTATCCTGAAGGCCGCAATGCCTTTGCTTGTAGGACATGCCCGTACCAATTCATCCTTGACGAGCAGTACTATGAGCGCACATACATGAAGAAGAAAGAGAAGGACGACATTCTGGGAGAGGAGCAGTCTGATCTGCCAATCAACGAAGGTACTATTCGTCCCTGTCAGAATGAGGGATAGAGAAGCGTAGTGCTAATGTTCTTTACCTCCTAGTTCCTGGAGGATGTCCAAATGAGAAATGCGACTCCAAAAAAGCCTACTTTTACCAGTTGCAGACACGAAGTGCAGATGAACCGCCAACCTCTTTCTTCAAGGTATGCCGTGTGGCGATCTCAAGTCTTTTCTTCGAATACTGATGAGGTGCAGTGTATTGAATGTGGAAAACAATGGAGAGAATACTAATCCACCATACAACCCAAACGTATCCTGCCGGAAGCCGACTGCAATATTCCACCTGTCCGAACAACAAGTGTAGAGTCACTGATTCAGCCCAGTGTCCTTGGCAAAGAGGAAGAAGCATTACACAAGGTCAAGGGCAAATTTTGCCGCCTGGCAGAGAATATCTTGCACAAGAGCGGTTTCCTTGTCAAGGCTGAGATGCCGACAAGAGCGAATCAATGCCACAACCAGGCATAGAGACTGATTGAGGGGCGAACGGTCAGAGCCAGGACTTGCAAATCACCGTGTATGGTCAGCTGCAGCCTTGCTCTATATACACTGCAACTGCTAGTACCTCATCGTCTGGGCGGCGGGGGACGAGCCAGTGTCCTAGCGTGAAGTCGAAGGCGACTAGGCATAAATTCGTGGGGCCAACCGGAAAGCCTACAGGGAAAAGCAAATAGCAAGATGAGTCAGTGCTATTGATACTGCACAGGAATCCTGGGTGGCATGGGTGCGCATAAGTGTTTGGACCCAAGTCAGATGGAGCTGATTCCTCTTAACTCCGGAGGGAGTGCTTGCCATCGAAGGACAAGGAACTCAGCCGTCACACATAGAAGAGCCTGACTCTCAGAAAATTTGCCAGAAGACGATCATTTTGTAGAGTCATCGGGTAACCTTGACGGCAAACTTCATCCAGAACTTGGTGGCCGGTGGATAATAGCAAGATGGTTGCCACAGATATGCCAGCCTTGGGGAGAATTTTCGACCAGATTGTAGTATTCCAATTGGCGGATGCTAGTCTGAGGCGACTCTGGCACCCTGCAGGATCTCCCGAGTCGCTAGCACATGCCGAAGCTTTCTGATGCCCTTCACCAATCATGGAAGATGCAGCCAGTGGGCTGACGGAGAAAGAGCCTGAGATGAGGAATGGGAGTTCGCGCTGTAGTGGGGCTTGGGCCGCAAAAGACTGTGCCTGGTGGTGAACAAGACGGTTCAGCGCGGGTTTTTTGAGTCACTGCCACCACCAGCATAGTTCAAAATGCCAAGCACGGTCCCTCGTCCGCCAGCCTACAAAATCTTCCGCACACTCTCTCGCCGACTTTGATTCTCTCCCTTCTTCGTCGCTCAGTGAGTTCTTCACCCTGCCCCTACACTTTCCATCGCCCAGGACTAATAAGTCGACAGCACCTCTACGCAAGCCGTGGTACCTGAGCATTCACTTCGAATTCTTCTAGTATCTGCCACAGAACTACAAGACTTCTTTCAAAACAACACAAAACCTCCAATCCGTCACCATGGGGTAAGCACAAATCTGCCAAACCCTCCCTGCGCTCGACTTTTCTCGTCGAAGCCATCCTCAACTCGATATCAATGATCATCGCTGACATGAGTGTTGTCTGTTCACAGTAAGGAAAAGACTCATATCAACGTCGTCGTCATCGGACACGTCGACTCTGGCAAGTCCACCACCACCGGTAAGAGGAGGCCCAAATGACCGCAGCCATACAAAAAATACTCACATCCAGGCAGGTCACTTGATTTACAAGTGCGGCGGTATTGACAAGCGTACCATCGAGAAGTTCGAGAAGGTATGTTGTCTTCCTTTTGGACACTCTCTTCCGTTTGCCCTCGTTTTTGGACTGTTGTGCCACAATCGCTATCAAAAAAAATTTGGTGGGGGAGGGGTACCGTTGTCACCACGTGACATGCCACATGATTATCACAAGCCAGAGCTGAAGCTGACAACTTACCAACAGGAAGCCGCTGAACTCGGCAAGGGTTCCTTCAAGTATGCCTGGGTTTTGGACAAGCTCAAGGCCGAACGTGAACGTGGTATCACCATCGATATCGCTCTCTGGAAGTTCGAGACCCCCAAGTACTATGTCACCGTCATCGACGCCCCCGGTCACCGTGACTTCATCAAGAACATGATCACTGGTACTTCCCAGGCTGATTGTGCCATTCTCATCATCGCCGCCGGTACCGGTGAGTTCGAAGCTGGTATCTCCAAGGATGGCCAGACTCGTGAGCACGCTCTGCTCGCCTACACCCTGGGTGTCAAGCAGCTCATCGTCGCCATCAACAAGATGGACACCACCAAGTGGTCCGAGGATCGTTTCAACGAAATCATCAAGGAGACTTCCAACTTCATCAAGAAGGTCGGCTTCAACCCCAAGTCTGTCCCCTTCGTGCCCATCTCCGGCTTCAACGGCGACAACATGATCGACGTCTCCTCCAACTGCCCCTGGTACAAGGGCTGGGAGAAGGAGTCCAAGGCTGGCAAGGCTACCGGCAAGACCCTTCTCGAGGCGATCGACGCCATCGATCCCCCCTCTCGTCCCACCGACAAGCCTCTCCGTCTGCCTCTCCAGGATGTGTACAAGATCTCTGGTATTGGCACAGTGCCCGTCGGTCGTGTTGAGACTGGTACTATCAAGGCCGGTATGGTCGTCACCTTTGCTCCTGCCAACGTTACCACTGAAGTCAAGTCCGTCGAAATGCACCACGAACAACTCGCTGAGGGTGTTCCCGGTGACAACGTCGGCTTCAACGTCAAGAACGTCTCCGTCAAGGAGGTTCGTCGTGGCAACGTTTGCGGTGACTCCAAGAACGACCCCCCTAAGGGTGCGGACTCCTTCAACGCTCAGGTCATCGTTCTCAACCACCCTGGCCAAGTCGGCGCTGGTTACGCTCCCGTCTTGGATTGCCACACCGCCCACATTGCCTGCAAGTTCGCCGAGCTCCTCGAGAAGATCGATCGTCGTACCGGCAAGTCCATGGAAAACAACCCCAAGTTCATCAAGTCTGGTGATGCTGCCATCGTGAAGATGGTTCCCAGCAAGCCCATGTGCGTTGAGGCATTCACCGACTACCCACCTCTTGGTCGTTTCGCCGTCCGTGACATGCGTCAGACCGTCGCTGTCGGTGTCATCAGTAAGTTCCTGCTCCTTTCAGTATCATTGCTTGGGATCTGTACTAACCATTTGCAGAATCCGTCCAGAAGACCGAGAAGGGTGGTGGCAAGGTCACCAAGGCTGCTGTCAAGGCTGGCAAGAAATAGACGTCTTGCACAGGAATTAATTCAATCCATCTCACAGTGGCATTGTTTCTTGTGGCGGAGGTTGTGGAAGATTCACCTTCAGGAGCGGGCTTTCATTCCACGGTTCATCGATTGCGGGATTTCAAATCTACTCCTGACCCTGGAGATTTCATGGTTTCCGCACGGTTGATTCTTGCCATCGACGGTCTTGTCTTTTCCCAGCGATTCCTTCATACAACACCAATATGTACTTGCTACGTTTCGGGGTACTACTGGCTTACGAAAAAGAGCATGGTCATTTGACACAAATCGGGCTGTGCTTGTGAAATGATAGAATGATTTCATGTCTATTCAGGGCTATGCAGCTAGCTCTAAGTCAATCAAAGGATATGAATGCCGAACCAAATTCCCATCAAGTCCGTCAATCATTTCGTTATGCTCGTGTATCCGTAAAATTCCATGTTGTTGTCTAGGTGCTGTCGTCGTTTGCCTCATCATCGCAAGTAGCTATTTGACTGCTATCTTCATGGCACGTAAAACTCTTTCCACCCAGGTCCCATCTCTTAATCCGGTCTACCCTGCTCCATGGCCATCTTGATCACCAGGAAGTATAGCCGCCATCCACAATCTGCAGCCTATATTAGCAGGACTTTCACTAGCGTTCTGCATAACTTACCACATCACTTCCATTCAAATACTACAGCACGAAACGAAGTTAGCTTGGACCAAGCTTGTCGAGGCAGAGTAACAACATTTCTTCCTGGAAAAAGACGAGGCGTTTCGAGGAAAGGGCGGAACTCACACTGCTCGCTTCACTGGCCATCCAAACGATCGTGCCCCTCAACTCGTGCGGTTCGGCCATCCTTCCCATCGGAATGTCTTTCTCCCAGCTGCCCACGAGCTCTTTCCCTTCATTTTCCAGCAACCCCTTTATCAGATCCGTCTTCATGTAACCTGGGCTAAGACTATTGACTCTGATACCTCTCGGGCCCCATTCTGTCGCCAGCGACTTGGAGAGCATCTGCACGGCGCCTTTGGAGGCGTTATATGCGGCTTGTTTTTGAGGGCGGACACAGATCGTTGCAGACATCGACGCAATCAAGATTATAGAGCCATGGATGTTGTGCTGGAGCATGTGCTTGCCAGCTTCACGGGCGAAAAGCCACGAGCCGCTGTGAGGATTCCTCAGTTAGCGCCACGTACTTCTTGTGACCATGGGATAACTTGCTCAATGTTGATGTCCATCATCTTTCGCCAGCGGGCGTATTCATAATTCTCAGCCTCGACGTTATCTACAATTCCAGCCGCGGTGACAAGAACATCGACTTTCCCAAAGTCCTCCACAATCTTTGCCCATGTTGTCTTCACATCTGACTCGATCGTGGCGTTGCACTCATAGGCACGAAGTTCTGGGACTGGGTCATGTGGGTACGCATCTCGTACTTGAGAGGTTATCGAGGCGATAGATGATTCGCAATCCTTCAACGACAGGTCAATGCAAGCTCCTTTGGCACCGGAGAGAGCAAAGGCGGTGAGGAACTCTTTTCCCAATCCTCGGGCAGATCCAGTCACAACACATGTTTTGTTTTCAAGGGAGAAGGAAGGGAGGGTCTTCAGGTTTCGGCGAGGGGATATGAACATGCTAGATGGAGTCTTGAGTCGAGGAGACCAAGAAAGAGAGGTAAAGAGAGGGCGCAACGTCCGTGGAGGAACCATTTTCGAAGATGTCACAAGCTCGAAGAAGAACAATCTTTGTATCTCTGTATTTTTCTCAATATCCTGGACGCCTCGTTGTACTTATTGACTCTCATACTCGGGGGCCTCGCGATATGTAACTCGCACAAAGCTAATCATGCCGACTGCGGGGAGAGCTCCGTGTGGTGTTTGGGCTGGACGAGTATAAGAGCTTCGGGCCATGTTGCGCCGACACATGGGACAATAAAGAAAGCAGACTTTCTAGAGGAGCAGTGAGTCGCACTTCTTTACTTGGTCAAAGTGGTCAAAGGGCAGAAGCTGGTCCCAGGTTTGGTCAATGCGCTGTTACTATTACCGCAAAGCTGCGGGGGACTCCGGCTTGACCGATCAAAGCTGAAACTTCGCAACCCACCAATTCGGCAAGATGCACACTGGTGACCCATGTTGAAGCCTTACTAGCCCCCCTTCTTTTCGTATCTGCAAGCCTAATGCACAACGCCCAGGTAAGTTTTGGGGGCCGTTATGATGGTGCCAGCCAATTGTGCGTTGCAAAAGGATTGTGCGGTACGCGCGCCAGCAAAGGAAGCAATCCTAATTAAAAGGAGCCGCATGACTTGCTGGCACTTTGATTTAGTCACCAGCCCTCCGCTTCAGGTCGGTTGACTGTGAGAACCGGATAACTGTGCTCAGGCACCCGCTGCGAGAGTGGTCGCTCAACGTCGTCCACGATGTCGTCCTCAATGCTCGACGTGAGGAATGACCGTCGGTCCAGGTCGAAATCCCCCGGTGGCCGCGACAGAGATCGATCGAGATCGCGCTCACGCGACGTCCGAGACCGGGACGAGTTCGATGAGTACAGCAGCAGCAAACGATCGAGCAGGAAGTACACCGACCCACAGGACGAGCCGGAGCAAGACCGTGGGTACAAGGACAGACGGTCTAGCAGGAAATATTACGAAGAGGAGGAAGAAGAGACAGACCGCCGCAATAGCAGTAAAAGAAGTTCGAAAAAATACGCGGACGAGAGCGACGAGGAAGACAAATATCGCTCGTACAGGTCAAGCAAAGACCCTCGAGTACAGGATATAGCAGCCTCGGACGACGACAGGAGATATGAACGAAAGAAAAAGTCTGACAGTGACTCGGATCGACGCAGAGACAAGCGAGAGAAGTCCGGTAGTGGTAGGAGGAAAGACGACGACTCACCAGAGGAGAGCGACTCAGACGCACGTCGTCGATACAGAGACAAAGATCCGAATTACCAAAACGGACATGGGGCATATGGTTATCCGCCGGGGTCCTACGGTGAGATCCGGCCCGAAGCAGCTCGCCATATGAGCTATACTCCCAATGATCCTCGCTACGCGCCACCAGGAGCATATAATGGTGCCGGCTCTATGCCTACTGGACAGCGGGCAAGTCCCTACGGTGGTCCTGGCGGTCCCCAGTACGCCAATCCCGAGCAGTTCAAATATGCAGACCCAAGCGAAGTTGCCTCACGAAGACCGGAATACGAACGATCTCGGCCATCAGACTACGAAAGGACACGCACCAGAGATACCAGGGACAGTGACAACGACTACAGGAGCAGCAAGTATGAGACACGCACCCCAACGGATAAGAAACACGAGGACAGATATGAGACCCGAGAACCCCAAAACAAGGATTACCATGATGACTATGACAGGTACGGGAAGAGCGATCGGAAACGTGATAAGGACAAATATGGTTCCTCCTCAGAAGAAGTGACCAAGAGAATGTCAACTCTGGCGGTCGGAGGAGCGGCGCTGGGTGCTGCAACGCTGGGTGTGGCGCAGTACAGCTCTCATGGCGGTAACAAACCTCCTCCTTCACCATTGCTCGAAGCTTACAAAGGGACGTATCAATCTATTTCACCTATGCCCTCAGCATTGGTTCTCGCAAACCACAAAGGCGACTCAGATTTGTCTGACCTCGAGCTTGATCGATCTGATGACGACGGGGAGCAGGACGCAAAGCTGAAGCGAAAGATCCGCGAGCTCGAGAAGGAAAAGGAAAAGTACACGAAAGGACATGACAGAGGTGCCAGTCTCTCTGAACCGACCCGTGAAGTCCGCCCACGTCGGCTATCAAAGCTCGACACCAACTTGGACGTTGAGGTCCGTGAACCTGGCAGTGCCAACCGCGACCGCTCACCATCGAGGGGCATCCTGTCGCCTGGAGGAGGCAGCGGGAGAAGGAAGACCGTCTCGTTCTACGACCCCACTGAAGATGCCAAACGTATCGCCGCTGCTCTGGCAGGCACACGTTCTCCACCAGATCCACGACCGCTCGTACAAATCTTGCCACGGCTTTCCACGGACGACCTTCTGGCACTTCGAGCGGAGTACAAGAATCACGCCAAGGTGAGCGGCCAAGGTATCAACATGGCCAAGCACATCAAAATGCGTATTCCGGGTAATCTGGGGAAAGCATGTTATGCGACCGCCCTCGGTCGATGGGAAAGCGAGGCATATTGGGCAAACTCATGGTACCAAGGCGGTGCTTCTCGGCGAGAATTGTTGATTGAGAGTCTGATGGGCCGCTCCAATAGCGACATCCGTGAGATCAAGAACTGCTTCAAGGACAAGAAATACAGCGACGACCTCGAGAAATGTATCCGCACAGAGCTCAAAGCCGACAAGTTCCGAGTTGCTATCTTGCTGGCACTCGAGGAGAGACGAATGCCGGAATCATCGCCTCTGGACCTCAGGCTCATCAAGGAAGATGTGGTGTCTTTGGCGGAAGCCTTGGAGTCAAAGGGTGGAGAGACGGATATGATCAAGATCATCGTCCTGCGGAGCGATGCTCACCTACGCGAAGTCCTCCGCTTGTTCGAACGGACGTACGGCGTCAACTTTGCGAGACAGATGATCTCCAAGTCGAGGAATTTGGTTGGCGAGACACTGGCGCATATCCTGAACGGTGCATTGAATCGCCCCATGCGTGACGCGCTGCTGTTACACCAAGCCATCAGTGAGACGGCGCCGGGCAAAGAACGGACGGAGTTGTTGATCTCCAGACTTGTCAGAATGCACTGGGAGCCCAAGCACTTGGAAAGGGTGAAGGCCGTGTATAAAGAGCGGTATGGGCGCAGTGTGGAAGAGGAGGTCAAGAGGGAGGTCTGGGGACAGATGAAGACAGTGGAGGGACGTTTCTGTGCCGACTTCTGTATTGAATTGGTTAGAAGCAGTTCACTATAGGACCCAAGGACAAGAGAGGAGAGAGACGAAAGGGAGATCCAAGCCATCGAGTAGATGTAAGAGATGAATCATCAAATATATTAAGACTCCGAACGCAACAACACAACAGGGTCGGCATGAACAGGGAATGAAGATATATCTTGTCAAGAAAATATATTGTCTTTGTGCCGTCGAGGTATTCCAGGCGTGTCACGGGGTGTGTTTGCTCTTGTATAGTACATATGTAGATCTCGGCGCAGCTGCTCCGCTCCGAGTCGGTCCAATGCAAGATCCGGGCCCGAAGATCGATCTGGCAATCTGCCGCATGCTCGTCATCGATATCGGCCCAGAACTTTTTACCAGGCAGATGTCTTTTCTATCGCGTGCCCTGACTTCCTGACCCCTATCGCCATGGTCGTTGCTAGGCCAGCCATTTCCTCATGACAATAGCAGCAAGGCGCATCTGCGCCCAGTGCTTCCATCACCTCTCTCTTCCTCGACCCGAGGCCCGTCGCCTGCCCTCGTGGCGGATTTCCCCACAGCAGCCTCTACGATCATTCTCGCAGACCCGTCTCGTCTACGCCTTCGCACCCCCGACTCCTGCCTCGCTGGGCAAAGCTGTGCCGGCCAAGCAATACAAGAGGACGAGAAAATGGGCACGCAGGTTTGCATACTTGTTCCTGGGCGGCACCGTCGTGTACGTGGTGGACAAGAGATTCTACGCATCCAGTCTCGCGAGAAGTTTCCGCACTTTCTCCGTGGGGTTGATTGCTGCCCTGGACTACAAGATCAACTTTCGCGAGGATCCGTGGTTTGCCAATGACATTACCGAAGTGCACGCGCGCAATGCGACGAGACTGTTCAATCTCTTGCGGACGAATGGCGGGCTGTACCTCAAGATCGGGCAGGCGATTGCCATGCAGACGGCGATCTTGCCTCCAGAATTTCAGAAAATGTTCTCCAAGATGTTTGACGATGCACCGCAGAATAGCTGGGAGGACGTGCGGCGAGTCATCATGGAGGATTTTGGTGGTCGGACGCCTGAGGAGGTGTTTGGGATCTCCTTCGACGGAGATCCTGATGCCGGTGTGATGGAGAGAAAAGCCCGGGCTAGTGCGAGCGTGGCACAAGTACACTGGGCAAGACTGAAGGACGGGCGAGAAGTCGCCATCAAGATACAGAAGCGGGAGATTGCTCAGCAGGTCGGATGGGATCTGTGGGCGTTCAAGGTGGTGACCCGGATATATACGTGGTGGTTCGACCTGCCCCTCTACTCGCTTGTTCCTTATATCACCGAAAGACTACTCCTGGAGTGTGATTTCCAGAACGAGGCGAATAATTCCAAGGAGATGGCCAGACTCATCGCGGGTGAACCCCGTTTACGGGATAGAGTCTACATCCCCAAGATTTACGACGACCTCACCACCAAGCGAGTCATGACGGCTGAATGGGTTGAGGGCGTGCGATTGTGGGATAAGGAGGCCATTACTCGACCCTGGCAGGGAGGCTGGCGAACCGGCAGTCCAGGCTGTCACGGCACTCCGCTTGATCCGCCTCAAATTCCCATGACTACTCTGCAAGAAAAAGCCCGCTCGTACAACGAAGAACTCAAACCGGATAGGACGTGGTGGAAGGGCCCGAACGGTAAAGGTGGTCTCGGTCTGGATCTCACAGAAGTCATGACGACCATGGTCGACCTCTTCTCTGCGCAGATGTTTCTCTGGGGGAAAGTGCACTGTGACCCTCATCCAGGCAACATCTTCATCCGACGGCTGCCCAACGGCCATTCTGAACTTGTCCTGATCGACCATGGCCTCTACATCAACATGTCCCCCTCGTTTCGACATCAGTATTCCCTGTTCTGGAAATCCTTGATGATATTCGACAACAAGACCCTCAAGGAGGTCGTCAGCCAATGGGGGATCAACAACGCCGAGATCTTTGCGTCGGCCGCCTTGATGCGTCCTTACGAAGGGGGGGACCGCACGGTGGCCACTCGGCTGAAGGGCATATCAGAACAAGAGAAGAAAAAGCGCCAATATGAGCTGCAACAAGCCATGCGCAAGGGTATCAAAGAGATTCTGGCCGATGAAACCAAATGGCCTCGGGAATTAATCTTCATCGGTCGGAACATGCGTATCGTTCAAGGCAACAATCAGTATCTGGGCAGTCCCGTCAACCGCATCAAAATCACCGGCAACTGGGCCTCAAGGGCACTGGCCGAGGATCAACAGCTGACTTTTGCGGAGAGGTGGAAGTTTTTCGGGAGTCATTTGATGTTCAAGTTGGTCTTGTGGGCATCCGATGCATATTTCTGGTGGTCGAAGCTCAAGCAGGCGCTGGGGAGAGGGAAGGGCATGGACGATGATGTGGACCAACTCATGAGGGGCATGGCGAAGGACTATGGGATCGAGATGAACCACAGCGTGTTTGAAGGCTGACATGCATTTTCAGGGCCGTTTTCATGTATTGATATCTGTTCTTGGGGCTACATAGATAAAGGATAGATAGAAAGAAGTCCCCTCCGCCGATGAACAGTTCAACCTCCGTTAGTGATATGTGTGTTGTGTCCTCCAGGATGGTGGGAATGAAGGAGGATTTTATGATCCTCGGCTTTGCTGAGTTGTTGAAATTCGAGCAAGGAAATCAACTCGTCAACCGCTCCAAATCGGTCAACTACTTACTGTACACAATACCGTCCAGCCCACCACAACTCCCCTACGCACTGGGCGTTCTACTCTACTCGTACAATATATATGTCTCAAATCCATGTTGGCAGGAGTCCGCCGCTAACAGGCTTCGTCTGAAATGGCTTTCTGGGGAGCGTCCACACAGCATGGTTGGAGATGTCACCCTTGCAGGGGTCTCGACCGATCTAGAGATCTGGGTCATGGTGTGCGATCTCATCTCCTCGCACTTACACTTGTGGGTGCTTGTTAGTCGAGAAAGGAGACTGACAGATAGATCATGGTCCAGATCCTCGATTGCGGCTGAGCGACTGGGGGCAACGTGTGGGCGACGTTCCAAGAATTTTGGTGTCCACCAGCCGGGTCCAGAACTGTGGCGCTCGGCTATTGGGAGCTGGTGCAAGGAGGGTGTCTTGACGCGATGGACGAAAAGATTAAATCTCTGGTTCATGCCTGAACTCAGATCGACCTTTCCATTGACACCGTTCGGTGTGCGATCGGTTCACCTCAGAACTCGATCATGTCCAGATGTTCGCACTGGATCGTCCCGCTGCAAGCCCCGGCCCGTCGCCTCCTTGTATGACCCCATCCAACTCCTCGCTCCCTTGAGGGAAGATGTTGCCACGGGGCTGGAAAGGAAGTGTCCTCCTCTTCAGCATCTACTGCACCGCCGTCCTGGCCGTCAATCTCAGCGTCTTGATATGGGCCGCAAAATCCAGAACGGGCGTGGCCGACGACGGGACGGTCATCCTCCGCGACGGCACGGACGCCGGCCATTGTTCCAGCATTGACGCCCTCAACAAGTGGGCGCATTTGGTGATCAACGTGCTCAGCACCGTCTTGTTGAACGGGAGCAGCTATTGCATGCAAGCGCTGTCGGCGCCCACGCGATCAGATATCAATTCAGCCCATGCCGCGGGGAGGTGGCTCGATATTGGCGTGCTGAGCATCCGCAATCTCAGATGGATTTCGCGAAGACGACTTTTCCTGTGGTCGTTGCTCGGCCTGTCGTCGCTGCCTTTACATCTCTTGTAGGTGTTGCATCCGCCGTCCATGCCCTCTCCCTGCTCACACTCAGAATGGCTGATTCTCCCCAGCTACAACTCTGCCGTCTTCGTCTCCACCTCCTCCAACAACTATGCCGTCTTCTCTGTCGACCACACTTTCCTTGAGTCCAACAATACAGGCATCTTTGGATATGTCGATGTGTCCTATATCCTACGTAGTGGCGTCCGGCCTGCTGGAGTCTTGGACGTACCCTCCAAGACCATACCTGACATTGCCAGCCAGCTACACAACGAAGCCAACTCGAACAAACTCGTCAATTTAACCACGGAGCAGTGTCGGAGGGAATACATCAAGACGTTCCAATCAGTTTATCGCAACGTCCTTCTTGTCTCCGACTCCAATGCCGATGCCAATGTCGTCGACGGCAATGCCACCGAAGTGGTGCCCTTTGTCCGTGCCGAATTCGTCTCGGATTTCACGTGTGGAGGAACTCAAGCCTTTGCCTGGACTTGTTGTAAGTTGTCTTGCAGCTCAAAGATGTGCTTCGCAGAGCTTCCCTATCCCTGCATGCGATCAAACATTTATTTACATATCCTAACGAAGATCGGTAGCTATGGACGGAACAGCTATTGGACCTCAGGATTCATGCGACCTGCCTTGCGACGAACCCGACGTCTTCAAGCAGACATTGTCCAACTCCACCTGGGCACCGTTGGGCGCGCCAGTCCAGTATTGCCTCGCCCAACCGACGCAGAAACAGTGTAGTCTGCGGTTCAGCCTCGACATTGCGATCCTGGTCGTGGTGTTGAACTTTGTCAAATTGGTCATGATGGGATTGACCGCCCTGGTTGCGTTCGACGGAAGCGATGCTCCTCTTCTGACCATGGGCGATGCCGTTGCCAGCTTCTTGGATGATCCGGACAGTGTCTCCAAGGGGATGTCTCTACTCAGTGCGTCGAAGATCAAGAAGCTCGGACGGGCCTCGTTGCAGGATCCTCAAGCAAGCCAGCGAACCGTTGTGTATGCCGGAGAAGTACGGCAACGGTGGTCGAAAGCCGTCAGCATGCGGCGATGGGCGATATGCTTGCTTCTCTATGTCGGCGGCTTGTCTGCTGCCGCAGGTTTTCTCGGCCGTGGGATCGCAGCAATGGTCGGATCGAAGTCTCTCTCATCGTTATGGTCGATCGGGCCCGGTACCGTGTCAGGACGCACGCTGATACAAAACAACGCTATCGTGCAAGCTGGCAAAACCGCGCTCATGGCAAGCGTCGTTCTCGCCAACATCCCCCAACTGATCCTCTCGCTGTTATACTTCACCTACAACGGCCTGTTCACGTGCATGCTCCTCGCCAGCGAATGGAACTCATACTCGGTGCGCCGGAAAGGCCTGCGCATCTCCTCATCGGAGCGCAAAGGGCAACAGCGGTCCAAATACTTCCTGCAACTCCCCTACCGTTTCGGTGTTCCGCTGACCATGGCCAGCCTGTTGCTCCACTGGCTGGCGTCACAGAGCATTTTTATCGTCAACTTCTCCATGCTCGATTACACTGGCACTCCAATCCCCTCGCTGCCCGGTACGGTCGGCCATCTTGTGACTTGTGGATATTCGCCTATCTCCATCATTTTTACAATATGCTTGGGCGTGCTTCTGATAGTGGTGCTGCTGGGGTTCGGATTCGGGGCGAGATTCCGCACGGGCATGCCGATTGCTGGGAGTTGCAGTCTGGCCATCGCAGCGGCTTGTCACTCTCTTGAACCTGCCCCGGGGGTGGTTGATAGCAGCGGGAAAATGCCGGCATCGACGTCGACACCCGTGCCGATATCACAGCAATCGCTCATGTGGGGGGAAATACCGGGTTATTATCACAGCCATGACCATGGCGCGTCAAGCGTGCGAGAGTCTCTAACAAGTCGAGAAAAATCCGCCCCTGTGCCGCAGGTGACGAGCATCAGGGAGAGTGCCAATTCGAAGGCGGAGGACGAGTCGGATTCAGAAGCGAATTGGGATGCGTCGCTTCTGCCCGGAAATCAGTCCTACTCGACCGTCGCTAAGGCGGGCGTCATCGAGAATGCCACGTCCGGACAAAACCTTGCTTCACGACGAAGTTCGACCGCAACGCGTAGGACGGCGATAGATAAAGAAGAAGAAGAAGAAGAAGAAGAAGAAGAAGAAGAAGACGGCACAGATACATACTTACTGGCGCGATTGGGCTCACGACGCGATGATAGCGGCCACAGCGGGGAAGCCGTTTGTGGCGGTGACGACCACCACGACCACGAAGACGACACAACACACCCAACCACGGCCACTGGCGCTTCGCAAAGCGCGAATCAAAGCAACAACAATATCCCTCAATGCGAACCGGTTTCAGTTCCACCGTCCAGTGGGTTGGGACATTGCGGCTTCTCGGCCAACGACGTGACGGACCCGGTTCCAGGACGGACTTATGCTTGAGCGACCCCAAGTTCGTATCCGTATCACAATAATATACACGCATGTCCGTTCCGTGGCTTGATTACCGTATGCTCCCTAGAGACCCTTTCTTTCGGTCAAGGTTCAAGAGTGGTTAGTTGGTAGCTTGTCTGCCTGCCTGTCTTCTTGCGTGCGTTCTGTACGTGCGTTTGCTCGGATTGCGGTGCGGTGCGGTGCGGCACTGCCTTATTTTATACACAACACGAACACAATACCGTACGGAGTCCGTATCTCGTAGGGACAGGATATTCTCTCCTAGGGAGTCTTAAGAAGAGGCAAGGAACGCTTTGGTAGAAGTTCACTCACTCACTCCCTCACTCACCTCCCTGGCAAATCTTTGACGGAGATATATATATATGTATTATATATACCCCGACCTGTGCTACGTCCCTTACCATTTTCGTTCAGGAAAGGGAGCCAGGCCGCTTTAATCACTTGGACACCTTGGCCCCTCTGGCAAGTATCGGCGTCGATCATTAATTCGCGCTCCTAGATATAGAGCCTCTTAACGCGTCGAAACAAGAAATCAGGCTCTTCGTTCTCGCACCCTCAAAACATTTAGGGGAGCGGCCACGGCGGAGGTTAATAACGAAGTCACTAGATCAGCATCCACGTTATAAAGCGCTATCACATACGTGGGGGGACCTAACCGACCTACTGTATAACTTCTTCTCATCGGAGATTCCCAGTGGCCGATCATAATAAAAGCCTTTACGCTGCCCTTATTGTAATGGGAAGAGTCAGTCAGGTCACGTGCCTGTACATTGTACAGGGAGGCAATGGTGGCTCCTGATTGGCCAGATGAAGTGGAGAGCATTTTCTTCTCTTTCAATAGTTATTTATTTAGACAGTGGAAGAGAGACAGATTGACAATCAAGCATTTTTTCCTATCTATCTTGTTTCGGCGGAGTTGTGGTGTGTTGTATGTGTCCCTACCGCCGCAGAGAGAGGCATCGCCTCTGGCCATGAAGCCTCGCCCCAGTTCATTATCGCTATACGAGACGAGCAGAACGAAAAGGCCATTTAGGTCGATGTAAAGTACATCTACTCCCATCGAACCATAATGAAATACCTCGGAAACTTAGGGTTTATACCTCAGTTTTCTAATGGGTTTAATTTTATCTCGGAGCGGCAAAACTGATACTCCGTGTTTTCACTCTGCCTCGATCCTAACCCACCGAAAGCCAGTTCGGGTCCCAAGGGAAACCCCCTTGGCCATCATAAAACGCCAGAAGCATCAACGCCCTATCTGCGAGACATCCGCTCCGCGCTCGAAGAGCAGCTGCACCACCTTCTCGTGACCACGTAATGATGCTGCACAGAGCGCATTGCCAAACCGCTCGCTTCTCCGAGACAGCCCCCTCATCATGAGACCCTCCATGAACCATATGAACTCGCCATATCTCCTGCTTTGACCAAGGAGTTCAGACGTAACCCTGGATTTCAGGTTATTTCCACCTGCTCGCTGGAAGTGCGTCTTGAGAGTGGTGAGTTAGGCCATTGAGGACATTCATGGTGCGTTTTAGATGTGAAGAAAAAAATATGCAATTCACATCATGATATTGGCCGAGACGTCGAGTTTGTCACATATCTCCATCCGGAATGACCGACGCAACTGAAACATGGAGTGTTTTGTGCGCTGATGTTGGTGGTGATTGGCGCCAGACATCATCGGTAAGCGTTGGGGTCGGTGGGTGGCTGAGGACACCTGGCGTTGAACAATGCCTCGCAACGCGCACTGTGCTTCATGTTTGCCGTGGTTCCCATGATATTCTCAAACGCCTCTTCGTCCGAAGATTTACCTGAGCCATTGGCCTCACCGTTAGGGCTGACATAGCCGGTGCCGTCTTTCGGATTATAGTGATGAAACAGTTCTGGGTTGATAGAGATACAGTATAGATTTTTCTGTTGACATTGTTTCATCATGGCCACATCGAACGCCTCCTCCTGGCCGCGGCCAAGGACTTTCAGAATATTCCGGGCTCCTCGGCGGTTGATTCCGTATCCAAATGTACACACTGTTTGTACTGCCTGCTGTACGGCGCGGTGGCCTTCCTGAATATTAACGAGGTATTTCTTCGTCCATCCAGCGTAGAGGTCATTCGCCATAAGCGACGGATCGCGATACTGAAGTCTCTCGGTATCGGGATGCGTAACTTCACCACAATGACCTAGCCATAACACGTCCCAAGCATTTCCGAAGGGACTAGGGTCGGAGACTGGCGTACCAGTGAAATTTCGGACATTGTCAGAGACCAGCCTCATCTGTTCGTGGATAGCGGTGTCCCAGTCGAGGTCGTCCTCGATGATGAAGGCACTTGAGAGGCCAGAGGCGACCACATATTTTATCATGTCAAGGTGGGCTAACCATGCCTTCGCCGAGCCATGGGAGGGTTTCCGTATACCGGCCGGACCGAGCGCCTCAAAGGCCGAGACGAGGTCATCTGAATTGTGGGGCTGTTCGGGAATGGTAACTTGTAGGTTGGTGTGAGAAGCCGCTGCTAGCAACCCGCGACTTCGCCAGCTTGGCTTGATGGAGACGGCGAGGATTTTTTCAAACTATAATCATAAATGAGCGAAGGTTGGGATGAGTATATATTGCTTACACCTAGCGTCGAGTTCGCCGCAGTATCTCGAGGTGATAGATTGCCAGGTATCGAGGATGAAGTGCAGTGTCTTGGTGCGAGTGTCGATACTAGGAAAATCAAGAGAATAGCGATGGCGATCTTTTGGTAAAGGGGTTTGGTATTTTGCAACAAGTTTAAAAAGCCCAACCGGGCCATACTTCATCTCATTCGCGTCGGAGGGTGTTAGGGCATCCCAAATTGACGTGGAAGAATTCGAGGCGAATATTTATCTTTCGTAGGCGTCTAAACAAAGGGGACCACAGGCAAGACTTCGCAGCGAATCGAAAGCAGCATCGTTTTTCATGCGGAGTTTAGATCTGAATCAAGGGAGTGCGGGAACCGCTTGCGGGACGGGCCTCACTCAGCCTAGTGACTGCATTTCTTCACTGCTGGGCTTGTGTCTGGCCGCTGGGGCCTGCGGACTGTGCCTTATGGAGGTATCGGAAGAGCAGAAAGACAAAGTCACTGCAGCATCACCGGGACGAGACGTACGCTATGTATGTCCATGACCCGGCTTCTTTGCAAGGATATGCCCCCGGTGCGCATACACACTCCGATCTGATTTCGTATAAGCTTCCCGTAGAGCTACCACTCCATGGTTCCACTCCGCTCAACTAAGTGGCCCTGTAAGACCAGAGGTCTTCAGAGGCTACGCGAATAAATCTTCAAATCCTTCATGGTAATGATTGCGTATTGAAGGATCGGGTCTGGCTTTTCCTGTGAGGGGCGAGGCCGCTCGAGGGGTGTTATATACACGAGTCATGAATCAACCTCCCAAGTTGATCCAAACGCGACACCAAGGAGAAAGAGGATAAGGCATACTGTCTACAGGGGATTCTCGGAGTTGCTATACCTCTTCTCTACGGCGAAGAAGAAGAGCAGGCGTTTGAGCGGCTTCAGCGAGAGATCAGTGAGTCTTCAAGGAGCAGTGCAGGTAGGGAAATGGACAACTGGATTCGAGAGGAATGTTGCGATCCTGCAAATTTCAAGATTGGTGGCAATGTGCGAAGCTCTGGCGCAAAGAGCCCCTGCTCGCAGTTTGCCCAGACGTTACGACATTGTCCATGCCGAAACTGCTGGACTGTCTGCTTGGAGCAATTGTTGAACGAGGTTGACATTCACGACTTTCTGCGGCGGGAATGGCGCACGTTGAAGCACTCACTCACGTGCCTCTACTTACCGATGGTATCTCTCAACGGAACGAAATCCTTTGCGTCAACTTTGGTCGCTCGCGTTCCCTCTTCCACCAGCGCCGCATATCACAGTACCACATTATTTGGCCATGTCTCTCAGTTCTACCCGCACAGGCTCCAAACGGTATCGCATTGCGCCGCTTTTTCTCATCCCTTGCTTACAAAGTCTCAATGGAGACGGCCGATGTGAATCGCAAAAGGTATTGGGGCTATTGTGGACGCGTAGCAGTCGCCGTGCCCTATTGTGCTAGAGGCATTAGCTGGGCGCCGCCAGGTCAACGCGCCCAGATCGCTCTCTGATTATTACCAAGACCGTACGGGTACTAAGCATACAGCAATAAAATCATCTCACAGAGCCCGAGAACGATGATAAACACGTGATACTTTTGCACAGCATGTCATGGAAAGCTATTTCTCCGATTGAGGCGAAACCTCTCCAACGATCCGACCGTAGATCGGCGTAATCAGATTCAGCGCGAGCAGCTTGACGATGACTTCGGATTCACTACCATTCCCTCCAACTCCGGCACACTACGATTAATCTCATCCAAGAGCTCGGCGACGTCCTTATAACCGTCCTTCCCAGTCTTGAGTGGGTCAGACTCGCAGGCAGGCTTGGCCTCCCACTCCTGCTCGTCTCCATTATGTCGCTTTCCAGAGACCTCGCTGACCTTGACGAGTACCGGGACGATACCACCTGGTGGTAGACAAAGCGCACTATGGCCCACGACTCGCAACGTCGCCTCGATCGTCTCACTGTGGCTCGTTATGCTGATGTACGTATTTTCGTCGTGCGCGAAGACATCGTCGAGTAACGCTCGAACACGTCTATCTTGGCGTCGAAGTGACTCGCGGCGAGTAGGAGAGTGCAGCTCATCGTTCTCTGTGAAAGAGTCTTCGATCCCGAAGTTAGGAAAGTTGGCCTGAATATATGATTTAGTGGGCCGGAAGTCGCAGGATTGGATGCCGTATCTTTCACGGAGGAATTCTTTAACCACAGGACGGAAGGTCTGAGAAGGTGGCAGAGGTAGGCCGGAGAAGGTGAGCTGGGCGGTTTGCATCGCCCGGGTGAGTGGACTGCTGTAATAGGTCTGGTCGAGATCAAGTTCTGCCAGAATTTCGATACGGTTTTGGCTTGGTGTCTGCCGAGAGGGGTTAGGTGGGCATCGAGATAAGTTATGCTTGGGACGTTAGGATCTCGGTCGAAGGCCCCATAGTAGCTCTGGATGAGAACAAAACCTGTCAGTGACAAGAACAGAACGAAGCGATCCTCGGTGGCAGAGGATTAGGTTTCGATCTCGGAATCGGGATGAAGGGAGACTACAAGACTTACATCCCACGCAGCATCGCCATAAAACATTATGCCAACATTGTGATACCCTTGGCCGTGTCTCCCGAGGTAGAGGAGTCGATATGTCACTTCTTTCGGAGCTCTCTGATTCATGACTTTCAATTTATGGGTAAATCGTTGCCATTGAGTAAGAAGTTTGCCATTATCCGGCCACAACTTGTCGGTGTCATACCTTTGCTCTATTAGGTCGAAACCCTCTTCCGTCTGCCGCGGTGGAGATTGTCAGGTAGCGTGCCCAGCATTTGCGTAGAGAGATGGCATATACGGCAGATGAATTCTGCTTGAAATTGACATCTTGACTAAGGAATCCGACCACAGTACTGTAATCGTAGTGCCACTCCTGGCTCTTTTCCACTTCAATCCTGGTCTCAGCCGTGGAAGCCTCGGAAGGTGACAAGGACTTGATCAACGAAGCTCCAGTCTCGCTCATGATGAAGTTGAGTAAGGCAAAGCCAACGCAAACGAAGAGGACGAAAACAAAGTTTCAGGATCTGCACTCCCGCATCAATCTAGCGAGGGACGACGGGTCCCCATCATACTAGCTATCATCTGACTGCGCATCTCTTGCTTGGGTCTGGCTTTGGCTCGCTGAATTTTGTTCATTCTGAATGGCACATGTGTTCTCGGAAGGGAATGGCTAGCTTGTCTCGCAGCTTTATTATGAAACACGGGAGAAAGCGACAACCACCAGCAAGTACAGTGAATGAAATATAAGGTTTGTTGTGTTTTGACTTGCAATGTGGCCATGCACGCACGATACCAACGTCGAGCAGGGCTCGGGTCGTGCGGGGTTACAATATATATATATATATATATACGCCCCGAGATGTGCTTTATCCCTTCCCCCTTTCGTTCAGGACAGGGGACGAGGCCGCTTTAATGGGGCATGTGACAGAGCATCGAGGAGCCCCGGCAGAGTACGGGGGAGCGCGCCCGAGCACTGGACAAGCCGTAGGGAGTTTGTCTGAGGCCCGTTCTCAGAAGCCAGTTCGGGCTCAGCGCCCCGTTGAGCCTCGACTATGAGGCTCTACCAAAATACTCAGCCGTGCTCTGTTGTGGCCCAGGCCAGCGGAGGATCCCACAACATGGCCCCAGAGTTCCCTGTTTTTGTTTTACGTCGTCCCGAAGGGCCAACTTCCGGACTCCCAGCTCGTTTATTGTTATCAGCAGAAATTCTGTATGGAGTACTCGGCACTCCCCAGGCAACAGCTGCAACCCAAGGCTATCCGAAGATGGAGACTTCTCGATTTGTTGTAACGTGGGGTTTAAAACGAGGCAGCCAATCTACTAGCCCTCTGACTAGCACAGACCCGTCGCCTACCTGGGCTCAATCACCAGCTTTCGTGAGCACTCGAGGACGCTAAAAGAGCAGTGCTCTTTTTCGCCTCAGCCTCGCTTCGTCATTTCCTTGAGGCGACCTATTTACTCGGTAGTGTCACAAGAGTCTACCTTGCACCAAGACAGTTCTGAATCACGAAGAGTTGTGATGACTAAGCGGGCTCTCAGCCTCACGTGATGCTGGTAACAATGCCAAGCTCCTCTCCTGGACCTCGTCCTCCACCAAAAGTCCCCTCGCGCCCCTTGTGCATATGGGATGCTAAGAAGTTGACATGATTCTTTATCATGGTCTTTTACTGCGGCCGTTTGCTGTCGATAAAGTCGGCGGCGGAGGATGAGAGTAACCTCGTTCTATTCATCCGACATCAACGTGCCGCTGAAAGTTTTCGCCAACAGCTTTGGGCTCAAAAAGAGTCGATCGCGGCCTTGGTCAAATGCCATCTGAATCTGCGCAGTGACGATGGCTGCGTAGTTCTCTCACCTGAGTCCTGGATCCAAGGCGGCTTTAACATCTGTGTTCTTGTCGATGTGACAGTTGCTGGTAGCACCACAAGATTCGTTTTTCGTTGTCCCATGCCTCACAAGCTAGCTGAAAGCCGGTACCCTGGGACTATTGACGAGAGAGTTGCTTGCGAAGTCGCGGCCTATGTGTACCTGCAAGAGCACTGTATTGATGTTCGAACACCAATCCTCTATGCTTTCGGTTTTGTCGATGGGAGTCAGGTTCGTTTTCCAAGCCGCACACAACAATTCCCTACCTTGCTGAGCTGATCGTTGTCCATCCTCGCTACCTAGTTTACCCACATTCGGCAAGCAGCCTTTAATGTGCGCCTCTCTCGAAACCTTTGGCGATGGGTGCATCGTATCCTAGACCTCCCTCTCCTCTCGAAGTACACTCGAAACACAGCTGCACCGACCGTCGACACGGCCTACATGCTCCTTGAATATATAAGTCCTGAGACAGGCAAAATGCTCTCCTTGACATGGGATCGATATAAGGATAATGCTAACCGAACTGCCCGTCTGTTCCAAGGCATGTCGCGTATCATGCTTTCCCTTGCACGACTCCCACAGACGTCTATTGGGTCTTTCCGGTTCAATCCAGGTAATTATACCATCACTCTCACAAACCGGCTTCTAATGTGCGCCATGATGATGTTCGAGAACAACGGTACCCCACGGACGATTCAGCCTGACCAAATGTATCAGAACACGGACACCTTTGTTTCGGATATGCTTACGCTACACGACAACCACTTGCTTCATGACCCTCACGCTGTCCGGGATGAAGACGATGCCCGCGAACGAATGGCAATCAGGACATTACTTCGAGCTGTGTCGCACCAATTTATTAATCGCAACCGGCGAAATGGTCCTTTCCTCCTACAGCTCACCGACTTGCATCAGAGTAATGTCTTCGTAGACGATGATTGGAATGTCACTTGCATGCTTGATCTTGAGTGGATCTGTGCGCTCCCATCGGAGATGCTGTCCGTACCGTACTGGCTCACAGATTGCAGCATTGATAACATTATCGATGACCGTTACAATCAATTCGACGAGGCACGACAAGTCTTCTTGGGAATAATGGACGAGGAGGCTAAAATTGTACCGCAGAAGCATGACATTCGAGTCGTGGAAATGATGAGAGATACTTGGTTATCCAAAGGAGTGTGGTTCTGGGCTTGTATAAGATCTCTCAATGCCTGGCCCTTCATCTTTGAGGACCACATTCTTCCGAGATTCTCTGCCAGCAAAGAATTGGTAGTCATTCTAAAGCAGGCATCGACCCTATGGCAAGTGGGGATCGAACAAATTGTGAAGACCAAAGTTGCAGATGAAGAACGGTAGCAAAAAGAGCTCCAGAATCTATTACTCCAAGATGAGGAGCACTAAAATGGACTAACTCTAGGACCTTCTCGAAGGGCCGGGGCAGAAGACTCGCAGCGTACCTTCCGTGCACGAATAATAGTCCCGACCCATCTGCCTTCCAACCCAACTATACCTAAGCATGCATGCTTGGGCGGGTAATCAACTTGCTCTACTCGGTACTGAGTACTTATTTCCTGGAAACACCGAAGATTTCCCGTGCCACATGAAAATTAGATATACATGCGCAGGGAAAGGTAGACCGCACCAAGTTTGATTTCTTGATTCCAGTACATTGGTATGTAGCTAAGTAGCTAGGGCTGAGACAAGGGCTAGGCCCTGTCAGTAGCCTCACCGCAGCAGGAGGAGGTTCTGCTCCCGATGAAATGTTTGGATATAAAGTTGCAACATGTCCGCATCTGGAACAAGTTCTCTTGCTTCCACAGCTCCTATCCAGCTTCGAGACCACCGACACAACATAATTTGACACAATTTCCATAAAGCAGTAGCTGCGATATATTCTGGGTATGTTAGATCATCAACGATAAGATAAGAGAACAGCACCCAACGCCGTGAAAACCGATCATTACTCTCGCGCCTTGCCATCGATGGCTGTCCAGTGGTAGTAGTAGTGAGAAGTCCAACGCCCTAGCTTCCGGCCAAGTCGCAAAACGCACAGGTCGCTTTCTCGGACAAACGTCTCCGAGTCCAGGGTGGTGAATCGAGGTATACAACTCAAATTGGCGCAATGTACCGTTCATAAGAACAAACAAGCCAGCGACAATCCGACGATGGGTAACAAAATCTTCTAAGACGACCACGTTTACATCATCATCATCATTCTGGTCGCTCGCTTGCTGCTGAAGCTGGGCCGAGGGGAGCTCTCGCCGCCAGCCCAAGGTTTGTGCAGGAACGGTTGACCATCGATGTTATCCCAGTGGGCAGTCTGTGTCGTGGCGGTGCTGCTTCGGTTCGGGTTGAAGTGAGCCTTGGGAATGGGCATCAGGTCAATGGTGCTGCCGCGGTAGAGTGGTCCCATGAGTCGGTCCTTGACTGACTTGTTTCGTCGAGGCATTGCTGACTTCTCGGGTGGGTTGGGGGCGAATTTGTCGGGCTTGTCGGTGCCGTCTTCATTCTTCTCGCCAGCGAGGATGGCACGTTCCTTATTGACGGCAGCCAGATGTTGAGAGCGGCGGAAGTGGATGATGAAGAAGGCGATGAGGCCTATGAAGAGAATGGCCGCGACTGCGAGACCAACACCGAGACCAGCTTTGGCACCAGTGCCCATGTCGCGTTTTTGAAGGTGGGATATAGGTGAAGCCAAGGTTGTGGAGGGAAAGGCGGCCAAGAAGAGGGCGAGCACGGCCGCTGGATACTGAGGAGCCATGGCCAGCGACATGGCGTCGGTGTGATAAGTGAAATGTATAGGTTATGACGACCCGTACGACGTCTTCGACCAGCGACAGAAGTAATTGGAAGAGGGAAAGGGAAAGAAATCGGCGGAGGGAGGAGTCGAGTAGTGAAATTGGGAGGATGCGAAGTGGTCTTGAGAGGGCGAGGTGTATCGAGTAATATTCACACAAAAGGGGACCAAGGCGAACCAGAGCCTGTTGAAAAGTTGGGCAGAAGGATGTGACGGAGGTCTGAAGGATGTCAATCGGTGGTAAGTAAGCACTTAAGGAAAGGAAAAAGGGCAGGTATGTAAGGAACGAGTCACGGACAGGTGAAGATGCAAGAGGGAGACGCGGGTATGGAAGCTTGAGTGGCAGTATTTGGCGTTCTTGAACCTGATCTTGTCTCTTTTCTGCCCATCCAGGGCTGAAGTGGCACCGACGAGTGCAACGCAGCATCGGCGACACGGAGAAGTCGAGGAAAAGGAGATGCGACTAGCCGAAAGGAGAGGAAAAGAGTGGTCCTTCTGCTGGCCCAGCTTCTTCTGAAACGTTGGATAGGCCGTTGACGGGCGGCTGATTGGGCGGACGCGCTCGGATGGATCCTGCCAGGTCTGTCAGGCTCGAGAATAGAAAAGAGAAAAGGCCTTTTCGTGGAGCTGAAGCTGAGCTGGGCGACAAAAGATGGCTGACTGGGTTCCGTGATTGGATGCAGGGGGGTGGCACTGATCAGCCGGGGCTATCCTTGACCTGGGTTCTGTCTGGGGAAATTCAGGTTCGGATGGACGCGAATGGACAAGGACGCCCGTGATCTGCTTGGCTGCAGTCAGTGGTGGTTCTTGGAATTGTCTTGTCATTCATCATTAGATAAAGACAAGGAGCTTCTCTATCAGAGGGCCCTTTAGAGCAGGGACAAGTCAAACAGCGGTTGTGTGTGTGTGTGTGTGTGTGTGTGAGAGAGAGAGAGAAGAGGGAGACAAGAATGGAGGAAAAAAGAGCGCAGGCAAATCAAAAGACGTGTTTCAGGCCGTGCGCCTCTCCGCCTCTCAACCCTCCCAAGCTTCCACCTTTCACCTTTCACCTTCCACCCTCCACCCTGAACCTTTCAGCCTCTGTGACGACTGGCCAGGGCATAACCTTCAAACCCAGCTCACCAAGCTCGCCAGACTCAGCATTCTTGGTAGCTTTGCTTGGTGGAGGCCCAGCTCGTCCCGTTCGTCCAAGCTCCCGGAGTGCCAGCCGCCACCAAACGGGCGCAATTCCACATCACCCATCTTGATCTCCATACGCCTTTTCCTGTTCCTGATCGTCCAGGAACGCGCTACGGACTTTTTCTCACCAGTCTCGCCGATTCCCACCATGACTGGCTGCATCCCGCATCGCGCGCGCACCGAGTGCCGGCCCTAAACCTTGACACCTCATCCCTTTCATCATGACTGGTGACACCTTACGAGGTAATACTGGGAAGTTCATTTCCCATGTGACACGTGATGTGAAATCGAAAACAAGGAAGATGAATAGCAAAGAACGCGGGGCAGCAGCCCTGACAATTGTTGCGCGCGTGTAGCTACATATGTATGTAGGTACGCGTACGACACACACACACCACTTGGAAAGGATCAGAACTGGAACATTGTGCTTCACACCAGTGTGACGATACAAACACTGCGCGTATCACGTCCTGTAGGAGCACGTTGCACGACATTGTCCCGCCCAGGGGGATCTGCCCCGAATCCCTCCGAATGTGGTTCAAGTGGGCAACGTAGGCAGCGCACAGCCTTGTGGGCTGATGTTTTCAATAGTCGCAAGAGCAGAGTTCGAGACAAAGTCCATCAAGAGATGGAATCGTTCGTCATCCTCCTGCTGACAACGAGGCTGTGCTAGGAGATGGTGGGGGATTCAGTCATACTCTTTCTTTGTACGATTTAGAGGATCTCCCTGCCCTCTCCTTACCCCTCGCCCCCCCTTGGACGCCCTTTCCAAGCCAAAATGTGGAACATCCACTCTAAATATCCCCGAGCAAAAAGCTCAATAAGCTGCCCACAGTAAGGCCACCGACAAGCATCAATCCCATGAAGCCACCTGCCGCCTCCCTCTCCTCTGGGGGCACCCATTGACCTGATCCCATCATACACTCACTACCCAAATACCCGTTGGACAAACCAAAGAGGAATTGCACAATGATCAAGTAGAAGAAATCACTCCTCACCACACCGCCCTTGTTCTTGATGTTGCAGAGGAAATATAACGGGATGAATAGCAGTCGTGCCATCGCAATGCAGAACAGGGCGAAAGGATAGTGCGTCAGGGAAATCTTCGGCCACAGTGTGATCAGGCGACCTGCCAGGTCGCCTATATTCCATAGCAGGAACGCTGTCGGGATGAATATTGCCGAATCGATGTTGTTGACCGATTCGATTGACGCCGTAAAGATTGGGAAGACCATAGTGACGGCGAAACAGATGAAGACTGCGGCCGCAAGGAAGGGCATCCTAAGAAACAGCGTGCTCAGCGGCACGGAAGGCCGTTCCTTGTTCGGCTCGTCCGAACCTTCACCTGTGGCCGTCGCAATGCTTCCCGTCAAGGCGTCACCTTCAGAGGCCTCGTCGGCTGTGGATTTCGCCGCCGCCTGGAGTGCTCGACTTCTCGCCTCTCTCTTCAAGAGATAGAAGAAATTCAAGAGAGCAATGGCGGAGATGGCAGTGGCTGTCAAGAAATAGACCAAGGCTGAGGTGGGAGATTCATCGGCCGTGTCTGCACCATTGTTGTCCTTCTTGGCTGGGACCACCAAAACTGATATGATCTGGGCCATGGGTGGCAGCACTCCAGCGATGCCCTGGCCCGTCATGATTCCCTGTGTGTATTCACTTCTTCCAAACCCTGATGCGAACGAGAACAAGCCATTCTGTAGCAGGCCGGTAGAGAAGCTCGCCGCGAAGATGGCCACCAGGAGAAAGCCAAAGTACACGCCTGCGGACGTGTGCACCAGCGTTGATAGAGACAGCACAGCAAACACCGCGGTGCTGATCGTGAGGGATAATGATATGCGCTTCGGATATGATGCCCCCTTTTGCAGTTTCGTCAGCGCGATCATCGAACCCAGATTCGTGACTGTCGAGACCGAGACCTCGGCGGCCTGGAAATGGTTCAAGATCCATTGATTCCCCCGGAAACGGTGCTGGAAATAGGGTGCGGCGGCGAGAAACATGTTCCTAGATTTCATATCGTTCAGTAACAGAGAACCGCAACCAGCGAGCCAGCCAGCAGGGAGCAGTCACCTACCAGGCCCAGAGCATCGCTATCCCCAGCAGGACAAAGATGGCGTATTCGACCCATGAAAAGGGCGACTCTACCACGATATCCTCATCCGGCCCATCTTGTATACTCTCATCGTCTCTTTCTGCGTCGCCTCTGATGGGCTGATATTCCTGCCGTGAACGAAACAAGCCCATGCTGGACAGTTGGGGGAGCTCGAATGATTCTGGTTGCTGTTCGGTGGCAGTCGTGGACATATAGGAGGACGGGCACGGCCGTCAGAGATTCAAGTCATCTAGCTCTTCATTTCATTTTCATTCCTTTGTCGCGTGGGATGGACTGGTCCGAGTCAGACATGGGGAGTGAGAATAAATGGATACACGATCGTGTGACGATGAACCCGTCCGAATGGCGGGCCAGGAGTGTCAATGACGCATTCTTAGTCCTTAAGGGGGCTGAGTTGGGCACCAGCGACCCCCACAAGCTTCCGCCCAAGGCAAACACAACTAACTACCTGTCCTTCTGATCTGTCCTTGACGTGTTGCTGAGATGCACATCGTCATGTGCACAGACACGACTACGCGATGGAAGAGGGGTTCAAATGTTCTACATTCTCATTATTCATGACACATGACCATTCGTCTCACCGCGATGTCCCTCCCCAGTGCCTCGCTATGCGTTTAGAACCAGCAATCTCCCTCCTCTTCTACTCTTCCGCCCGGGCTTTGTAGGCCGCCAGGTCAGCTGGCGCCAGCCACCCCCTCTCCATGGCCACCGCGATGAAGGCGTCGGCCCCCTCTGGCAACAACGTCGGCGTCATTTGATTGAGGTAGGCCGACACCTCAATCAACTTTGCCCACAGCTGGATCTGTAGGTCCTTGGCTGGCCTGCTACTGCCTGGCAAGATGGCGCCCCTGCCAGCCGGAGTCCTCGCCAGCATGTCCGCAAGCAGGTACCCGAGCCAGAACAAGTTGGATTTGGGCTGGAACCTCTCATACTTGTTCGTTGCCTCGTATTTGAGTCCTCCAAGTCTGGCCTTTTCCTCCGCCTCGAACTCGGTGATCCTGGCCCACTCGCGGACACGCCGATATGTCCCCCATTGCCGCTTCTCCGCCTCGGTCTTTGCATTGTAGGCCTCTGTTTCCCAAAATAACATGGGGTCGAAGATGATGGCGCCGCCTCCCGTCCCGTCGTTGATTCGGGCACGTGAGAGGGTGTAGTCAATGACTGTGATTTGCAGATTTGACATTCCGAGGACGACTTCTGGCCTCTCTTTCATCTCTTCAATAACGCTCTGGGCCGCGTCGAGCCGACCATCTTTGGTCAGAGGCTTCCAGCAGATGTTGCCATTGTGCATGTCTCGGTGCTCGAACTCGATTTGTTTCTCTGCGTGAGCGAGGCTCATCGCAGTATTCCAGAAAATGTCATACACCTGGAATGCTGATAAGGGTTGGAGGTGATAGATGGGTCTTCCAACATCGTTCATCTCCATGATGGCATAGAGCTGGTGTGGAGAAAAATCCTTCAGCGGATTGGTATGGTGTGCCGAAACTGGTCTTACTGCTTTGAACGTGTCGAATGCTTCAAGGAGGACGTCTGGATATGTGCCACTGACGATATGGATGCCGCGACAGCGCACAAATCCGTGCAAAGCGTCGACTGTCTGCATCAGCATGACTTCTCGGAGGACCGAATCCAGGTCGGTTATGTCACTTTTGACCTCTTTGGTCAATTTGAACGGGATGATTTTGACGATGAGGCCGCCTTGCTCTTCCAGTTCCTGGACATCTGCGAGTTCCTTTGCCTCAAATTTGAAAACGTCGGCATATGACCCTTCACCAAGCTTCGTGCATAGGTACTTCTTCCCGATGCTTCGACCAAATTCCTGGAAATCTTTGACTCCTTTTTGTCCAACGAGTGAGAGCAGTGGATCGAGTTGCTGAAGTTGGAGCCAGGTGAGGTTCTGTAAGTGGTGGTCAATTCTCTGAGACTTGGGTACTAGAACCGAGGAAAACATACCGCCATTTTCGTCGATGTAGCGGCTTTCTGACGTCGTCGGGGTCGGTGGTGGTGTTCAACTGGTCTTTCCTCAAGCGGAAGAATCGGTTCGGGTGAAGGCTCCACGGTCATCTCTCTAACATCGTCTGAAAAGGTCAGTTTCTCCATCTTGTCAACGAAGTCGTTCTCATTCGTCCCTCCGCCAAAGAGATCGAAATGCATCGCTCGTCTCCCGGCGGTCTGGCCCTTTTTCTTGCTGTAGGTCTTGTCATTGCGACGGACTGGCCGTTGCTGGTTCTTCAGCTCACTGAAAACTCCCAGGTCCGCCATTTTTTCATCAAATGTCACAAATTTGACAAAGGGAAAAAGTGAGACCGCTTACCAGCTGAGTCGTGTTGAGTGTGAGTTGTATGTCCTGCAGACTAGTCCAGAAAGCGTTAGCGTACTGGTTGCTCTGAGATACAAAGGCGGCGAAAAGGTCGTGTGGGTCAAGACAGGAGAATGTGAGTTGCTGCTTTAAGAATCGTAAAAATGGATAAAGGTGTGGTGGACTCACCGGCATATGTTTGACAAGCAAGAATTCACATTATTTGACCTGCTATTCACTTTCTATAGTCCTCCCAAGACGCATTAAAGAGGTCTCTGTACACAACAATGTTCTCATGCCTATTGTTCTGGCCATTCCCAACCTGTGTTCCTTGGTCCGCAGCTCGTTGTGCCCTCTTTCTCGACCAGTGACTGATCAAACGCCTCCTCTTGAGTGGGCTCAGCTTGCGATGGTAAAGGCTGACTGTGTTTCGATCATCGTACTTGACTCGGCCAGCGGGTTTCATATCCCACATCTTATCGTACAGAGCCCAATACCGGCTGAGGGAGGTACGGTTTCGGGACCGCATCCACGCGTTGGGTGCCTTGAGGCGCATCCCCAGGGCGAACAACCGTCGAAGACGATAGATAAACTCCCAGCGGATGACATATTCCTTGACCTCCACGCCGTAGACGTCCCGCAGCGTTTTGAGCACCCGGGTCCACCGGAGGCACCGTTCCGGAGACACCGCACCCATCCCTTTGCGGGGTCTAAAGCACCACGACATGAGTGACTTTTGGAACTTGTCGTCGAAGAGGACATTTAGGTTCGTCCCCGAGCCGGACATGGGCACTTGGAGAACTTGTCCGTTGAGTCCGCCATTTCGGTACCACTCTGCGATCCAGTAGACGAGTGACTCCAGCTCTCTGAGGCGTCCTTGCCGACCGAGTGCCTTTATCGGTGCCCGCCAGAGCCGGAGCTTGAAATTTGTTCCTGAAGCGAGGATGTTCTGCATCAACCCTATGAGAAATCCAACCTTGTCCACGTCTCCGAGACCACGACCACTGGTGAGTTGTTTGGTGGTTCGAAATAGAGAGACCACGAATTCGGGGAACGATGAGGAGATATGCAACCCATGCTCCTGCAAGGTCGACATGCAATTTATGACACTCTTCCAGTCGCCCAGCTCCATCATCGCTCTCAACAAGAAGTTTGTGGATCGGCTTCGTGAGTAGTTATCGAATTGTCCGTCATTGAGAATCACGAGCGTCCGGTTCAGCTGTCCCCAGTCTTTGGTGCGATAGTATTCCGTCAAGAGCCGCTTTTGTAGCTCAATATCCTCAAACACCTCATGATGTAGATCGTTGTCTACGAGTGCTCGGACCATTTCCCAATGTCCTGAATCGCAGACATCTCTGATTATCCGGACAAAAACAGAGGATCCAGTGTCAATCTCGAGGTCGTGTAGTTTCTGAAATCGGGCTTGCAACGTAGCGAGGTCTGGTGCAGCCAACGCCATTTGACGGACCGCCAGCGGTCCAACCTCAATCAGCCCGATCATTCTCAGACTGTTAACTGCAAATTCGAAGGAGAAAGCTCGAGTGGCAAAAGCGCGTGCGACGAACTGATCGCTGAGCTTCGTTGGGGATGACCCCAGAGTCTTGCTTGCGACGATATTGAGGGAATCTGCAGGTACACCCGTGATTCTGCTTCTGCCCATTGACCATAGCCGTCGCGCCTGGGCTTCGAAAGAAGCGCCAGCCTGGTTTAGAGGCAAGAGAAATCTCTCAAGGCTTTCGTTGTGCAGGGCCAAGTAGTTGATGTAGGGTTCAAGAAGCTCGAACCGGGGTGGCAGGTCTCTCTTTGCGATCAAGAAGGAGTGCATCATGAAGGCATCAGATGATCGGTCTTGACTCCATAGATAGGAGGTAACCTCGGAATAGATGCGGGTCCTGGGAACCACATCATAGACACCGCAGAAGCCTCTGAGGGCATTGGCATCCCTCGACCTGCATGCAGCGAAAAAGGCTGCCAGGAGATCATCACGCCCCTTGTAATGCTTTTGGCCAATGAAAGCCGCGAATTGGTAGGCTTCCAAGGGGCGCGAGCCTTCCAGAGCAGCTCCAACAATCTCTGCAAACAATTTTGGACGTTTATACTTCAAGTGCTTCGCTTCCTTGCAGATTGACCAGAGAAACTGATGGTCTTCGGAACCAGCAGAGAGAAAGGTTTTCCACAGAGCTTCAATACGGGGGTCGTCGCCTTCGAACCGGAAGGCCTCCCCTCGGAATTTCATCCCCCGCCATATTGCTTTGATCCCTTCGTGGCCGTTTTGTAGTGCTTGAGCAATCAACAGGATCTCCCAAAGCTCTATTTCGTGTCGATGGGAAGGCTCATCGACTAGACGACAGCCAACGAATGATGTATGGCCCACATCTGCCTCGAAGCGCAGTTGGTCCCGGGTTTTGATACCGTATGCTAGTCCACGGTCTAGTAGGCTCTCCCATTGTGCGTCATCTGAAGGTGGCTGCCCTGACAAAGAAGCTGAGAAATAGTCGTCCCGAGGCTCGCTTTGGCCACGCTCCAAGATTGAATTTGAGGTTGTCGTCAATGACCTGTTATGTGATGAAGGCCATCGTTGTATTGAAGCTTTACATGCAGCAAGGGCCAAATTCGCACGGGGCGCTTGGGCTCGCAATTGGCTATAGAGCAGAGGTAAGAGACATCGCTTCTGGGAGCATCTCTCAAGACGACTCCATAATAATCTCATGTAGCAGCCTACACGTGACCTTTTATCAAACTCATCTAGGTTTTTTGGTCACCATGTGAAGCGCTTGATCAAGAAACGTAAGCAGTGCCAATGAGGAAGATCCTGTAGCCGAAAACCGTACGTGGTATGTAGACTTTAAAAGTCAGGAGATTTTTGCTTCAAAGATACACGCCAGTCACGTGCAGCATTGGAGGCTTGGCGGTTAGCTCCTGCGCTACAATGGCGTGAGCCTGCAACCTCCGAACCTCAGTTGAACTTCAGGTCTGATCTTCTCAAGCTCTTCAATCCTCCTCCCTCACCAATATCCGAGTGATATATCCTCCTGAACCGACAAGATGGTCGCTCCCACAGCTCTCCGAATGATGCAGGCCACCCGGGCTCGCATGTTCAGACCTGCTCAAGCTCAGCAGAAAACCGGGTATGTCGAGCAAGGACAAAACCACCACCATTGGAATCTCTTGTTTGAGCATCGTGATGCTCAGTGTTGGAATCTAGCTAATCAATTCTCTGCACAGCTTCTTTGTATTCCGAGAGAACCGGGTTCCATACTATCAACGCCTGTTTCAGAGACACGATGGAAAACGACAATGGTGGAAGGTCAGTAGACGCTTGCCTTTTCAAATACCGCATTTCCTACCCCTACGCACCATTGAAACCCACGGAACGGACGAAGTGAAGAGTCAACTATATCCATTGAAGGGCACAGAACTGCCACGGGCCTAGAAATCGTGGAAAATTAGCTACGTGACGCCCAGCTTTGGCGGTGGCTTGCACCAGGTGTGGTAATGACGGAGTGCATGCGTCTGTGTCGCAACACCATTAACCACTAGTTCCCGACTTTATACAAGGTGTTCTGTGCTCTGGACTCGAATACGGTGGTCCGATACCTGACGTCCTATGTTTCAACTCGCTGCCCTCTCCGCGAACAGCAATGTTGCTCGCACTGGGAATCTCTCACCAGCAACACAGAGTCCTCGCATGCAAGTCGAAGCTCCACGAGTTGCTCCAGACTCGTGGGCAGAAATTGAGCCCCTCCATCGCATGAACACTCGAAGTCCTCGAGCTTATTGAAATTGCTGGTCTCCAACTAATCTTTGCATGCATTTTCGCTTCTCTTGTTGCTCTACCCGTCGAGCAACTACGCTAACTTAATCTTGCCACAGACTCACCGGAGCCCATACATCCTCTATCCATACTACACGATCCTTTTGGGCAGCTTCACGTTCTCCCTATACGGCATGGTCCGCGTTCTTTTCGGCCACAAGACACTGTGGTAGGGTGGTAGACCAAGGTGGAGGGAGGAACCGAGGTGCACATGGGCCTGACTAGGACCTCAATGCAACCGTTGTACATATTGCATCGCAGAATCAGAATCGAGGCACATTATCCGAAGGAGCCGTCCTCAATATTCAAGGCCACGACCGAGACTTTCCTGATCCTACAATCGTGAATATTGGCTGGCGCGGCCACGAGCCCGACTCTGTCTATTCAGACATTTACTCATTGCTGCATAGGAGTTGCTTGCAAAGCAACTTCTATCCTCATCTTTGGTGCCAGCAGGTCCATCACGTGTCTCCGATGCCAAGCGATACCCGGCTGGGCCAATGGATTCTGAATGTCAAGGTCGGACTGTCAAGGAATTTCCGCATGACTTTTTCCAGATCTACCGCCGCCACAAGACCCCGTCACAGGAAATGTTCGTTTCTCAACCATTGTTCTTTCTACGAATCGAAGCGACGTTGGTATGCACGTTTATTTAAGCCTTGGGATGGATCCTTGCTTGTTGAAATCTCCTCCCCATGACTTCGACGTGTGTGCAATGTGATTGGTGTTTATTTCGGAGATTAGCCCCCTGCCTGTCATCAAACTCTCCTGAATGCTTTCGCTTACAAGGATCCAAGGCCTCCCTGACACAGCTCTATACTTGTTTATTTGTGGTCATCTCTTTAAAGATGGACGAATATGACACTGCGCCACGCGCCCACCTGTACCCGGTTGTCAATCACGTTTCCTTTCATTGGGAATCTTGTCCACTGATAGCCTCGTCGTGAGGTGCAGAACGTCCGGACTAATATACAGGTGATTTCTGAAGGTAGTCCACACTGGTTGATACTGGTAGAATCAGTTGTACTTGCTACTAGCCCTGGAACTGTGTTAAATATCTAGGGTTTCCTCAAGTCAACTTTGAAAGGGCTAATGCCGTTGATATCCTGGTAAGCATTTCACAATGTCTTTTTTCTACGTCTCTCTTGTGTTATCCTTGATCGGAGCATCCCTATCGTCGCCACTGAAACATCTTCATAAACGTGACGTGCCGGCTTTCGTCCGCCAATACGGTATGCAACTTCCTCGATCCTCTCTGCATGAGAGGAACTCCTTGTCGGAGCTGACAGAAGTGTATTGCAGCGCCAGTTGCATACCTTGACTCCACAGAGATCTACTTACCCAGCTCCATCGCCGGTCACCTAACGCACACACATCCTGAAGATGGCTCAGGAAACAACATCGCTAACGCCCCCTCACCTTTGACCCTCGACAATCTCAACAGTCTCGACAATTTCGCCTCTTCGGGTACGCAGGTTTACCTCACATCAGACGAAGGAATCGAAGCTCTACCGTCTTGGTTTCGAGGCGTAGAGCCCGACTCATCTGGCTCGACAGGCTCCACGATTGCCAGCCTGATCGTCACCGTTTCCAAGCCGAACAACATCCTCGACGCATTCTACTTCTACTTCTATGCCTACAACCAAGGAAACTGGGTCCTGGGCCTTCCCGTTCTTGAATTCGGTGATCACGTCGGCGATTGGGAGCATACAATGGTTCGCTTTGTCAACGGCGCCCCTACGGCCATGTGGTTCAGCCAGCACAGTTCCGGGGAGGCATTCAGCTATTCCGCCCTGCAGAAGTATAACAATGGCGAGCGACCCATCGTCTACGTCGCGAATGGCACCCACGCGAACTACGCCATCCCCGGAGTCCACGACCACACAATCCCCAACTTCAACACTCTGGCCGGACCACTGGAGGACCACACCGACGCCGGCCTGCTCTGGGACCCCCTGGTGAACGCGTACGTCTACAGCTTCGACAACTCGACTGGCGTCTTCACCGCGTACAACGGCCAGGACCCAACCGCCTGGTTGGACTTCGCGGGCCGCTGGGGCGACAATCAATTGTCCGACAGCACGCCCGGTCAGATCGACGTGTTTGGCGAGCGCAAATATGTTGCCGGACCGACGGGACCCAAGGACAAAGATCTCGGCAGGGCAAATGTCTGTCCGACTGGAAAGAGCTGTTCTATCTCGAGTATCTTGTTACCCTGAAGAGTGGTGCCCGCGAGCCCGCCTTGTTTGATCGCTCGCGTTCGGCGGAGTCGGGTTCTTTTTGTGGTTGTTTTGCTTACAGGATGGGAACACTTCTGCTCGTGGCCCTTGAGCTTTTCCCTTGCTCAGCGTGCAAGCCACCTGGGAGATTTATTTGGAGCAATCTAATATGATAGACGTGTTGGATATAGAGTGAGGCATCTATCGACATATGCACAACGTAATGTATTTGACAGAATATCAGTCCTCTGGATACCTACTTTAATTGGACCTTGTCAGTCAGCCATACAAGGCACCAAGCACATATCAGTCAGGCCCAAACACAGCCTGACATGAAAAATATTGCACATAGGTTCGCACAAAAGATAACTAGCCCTGGGACGCTGTGCGTGTACGAGTCTTCTGCGCAGCTGGAATGATTTCAATGGTATCTATCTTTTTGCATTTATGTCGTGGGAGCTAGCAAAGTCTTTTGAGAACCACATGTCTGTCGAACTGAAATCTTCTCTCATTAAAAGGACTCTCCGGCAACAACACAAGGCGCACTCGACATGCATGGTGCGTCGACACCTTGCCCTATATAGATCTCACATGTGTACGAGGTACAGAAACAGTAAACCCATTCTGCATTCATTGCCTTCCTGACAGCCCGGGAAATGGAGGGAGAGAGAAAGGAAAAGGAAAAAAGGAGATAGATAGTAGAGACATCCGCCATCACCGCCAGTTTTCCTGGTCCAACTTGCCGCCTTTCCTCATGTAGCACACGCACGCATCTTGATTCCTCGTCGACGCCAGAAGGAAAATCCATCCACCGGAATACAATCATATCAAGAGTAGGAAAGGACACGCGAGAAGGGAAATAGTTCGCCTCGCTAAGGCATCTGTTCCGCCCTGGAAAATTCCAGTGAGCATGAGTTCCGAGAAATGCCACCCACCCACCCCGAGGAAGAGCCAGCTCCCCTCTATGTTGTCCCATCTGCTTTCTCTTTCGTCTGTGCAGTTGTGAATTGTAAGATCATCGTGTTAAAAGCCGTCGTGGTCTCATGACTGGTGCACTCTGCCGAGGCCTTTTTCTTTTTTGCACTGTAAGCGAACATCTTCTTCGCGGGCCTGTTCTGGATACTTTCCGCGCCCATATGTGTTTTGAAATTTGTATAAAAAGTTTCGCGGAGGGGAAGCGAGGGTCCATTGAGCGATGTGATGTGGGCGCAAAAAGCTGGAAGGACGGACAGGCATCAACCAAACTCCAATTGCTCACGTCAGATCAACCTGATCTCTAGGACATGACGTTGCTTGCGCGGTTCTTGTATATGGAAAGCAAATGTTCCGACTTTTCTGGCTCCGGGTCACTTGAAGAACAGAGGGCACGCCGCAAATTCAGCAGGCCCAAGGACGATTTCATCCAACTCCCAAAAACAAAAAGGTCGTTCTTGCGCGCTTTGCGTCTAAACAAAATTCTTCGCCGTCACCATGGGGCCTTGTTTCAGGGTGAGCGTTTGCCGACTGAAGTTCGTCCAGCCTTCCGAGGGCTTGGTCAGCTCATGCCTCTCCTCATGTGCAGTTCCTAGCCTAGGTGTATGCACACCAGGCCCTTCGGCGCGGCTACCAGACCTGTTGGCGGAGTTCTTGTCTGGCAATAGGTTCTTGAAAAGCGGTTTCAGGCAGGGGATACATGCGCAGATGATACCAGTGCCGACCTCAACCACCGACCATTTCATGGTGGATACTGATCCCATGGTGACATCTAGGCTGTTGACACTTTCGAGGACACTTATGCGTAGAGCCGACGCCACGGTTGCGAAAAGGCCAACGGCAAACAGTAACGACACAATGTACTTTTGCCTCGCCGGAAGTTTGAGCCTGAAGAAGACCGGCAACGGGAGGGTACACAGCAGGAAGTCGGTAAAGATGGAAAAAGCGGTGGTGAAGTAATAGAACGTGACGATTTGCAGGCAATTTCGGGGAAGAGTAAAGTCCCAAGCTGCGCGAACCGGGTGGCATTGGAAAATGGTGACGAGTATACTGCAGATCCAGACCGCAATGATGGCCACGCCGAGAGCATACATGATTCTCCGAAACACCGTCGTCGGGAAAACTCGAAGGTACGATGTCACAATGGAAATCTTGACCAGCATCAAGGCCGTCACGTACATGATTTGACATGTCCACAATGTCTGCTGTTTGTTAGCTCATTCTCTGGAACAGGTGGAGGTACGTCGTCACCTGGATCACTTTCTTCGTGTTGTCAACCAATCTGGAGTCCTGTGGAAGGTCATATATATGTCTCCCCAGGCCATATCGTATGCCTTTTCCCTATTGTCAGACGAATGGACTCTCTGTTTGGGCTGCAGCCGTTGACTTACCGACTATTGACATGGCGGAAAAGGCATCGGCAAAGAGGCCAGCCGCCACCATAAGGAAGTCATCAACGGCTAACTGTCCGACGACAAAACCTCTGACGATCAAACGAATGATGATGATGATGGAATTGGCGCAGATGAAGGAGATATTGATACGATAGATCTCTCCCACATATGAATCGTGAGGTAGAAGATCTGTTGGTACTTGGCTCATGGTGAGTAGACTCCGGCTTGGTCGGGGCCGAGAGGATCCAATGGCAGGCCACAAACAGTGTCCAATTGTTGTAACGACAGTGACACTGGTGGATTGGCAAAAGGCAAAAAAAGGCACGAAAAGTATCAGAGATCAATATCACATTGACAGGAAGGCAAAGGGTGCATAATGAGGCTCTTTTTCGAAGGATCGAGAGGAAAAGCAAGCGCTATAAGGCCCAACGGGTTTGTTTTCTCCTGCAGGTCGAGCTCTTTCTTTCCCTGGCTTCTCCTCCCCCGTGGGCGCTCCGAATCAAACAGGCACTGATGCATAGCGAGACTTGCCGGGCTGGCTGTTGTTGGGAGGAGTCTTCCCATTCTGGGAGGCGTCAGCCAATATCCAACCTGGTCAGGACTCAGTCTTTGCCCCCGACGCGTGCCCTGGAAGAGGGGTTCTCTGAGCAGAAAAGCGTGATCAACGACGTGTATGGTGTGAAAGCGGCAGGGAGGACTGACCAAGGACACGCGAGAAGAGGCAGATGGTGCGATTAGCGCGAGGAACAGGGCTGGTCAGGGCGTGGAGAGGCAGCCGGGGTGCCATGAATGATTCCCAAAATGGCGCCCACAGGCTCCTTGGCAGCGGCCCCTGAAAAGGCCTTTCGGTGCAAAATGCCATGTCTGCAACCTCATTCGCTGCACAACCAACAATTAGTTTGGCAAATGCGGTCAAAATTCCCATACAATGTGTGTGGAGATGTCCTCCAAGACAGCCATACATCCATGATCCCGGCCGCTTTCGTCAGGCAACTCTCGGAGGAAAAAAACGCCACCACGAGCCTGCGTGGGATGTGAAGCATGGGTTCGGACTGAGAAATCAGGATCACCGTCTGACGCAGCACATCAACTTGGGTCCTATTCCCTCCAGACCTCTCAGCAACGATGAAGGGGCCAGCCGTAGTGAAGGACGGGAGTATCACAATCTCTCAGCTCAGCACAGTGCTAACGATCAACGAAGCTTCCCTGCGGTCTAACGGCCGAGCGAACGTTACGGAGCGACCCAGATTCGCTTGTCTGACCGTTCCATTTATCCTTCGTTTCCGCTCGGACGGGATAGATGCCCGTACCCATGCACACATACACCGCGCGCACACACACACACACACACACACACACACACACACACACACCACACACGTACATGCGGCTACAGAAACGCCTCCACCTCCTTGAAGCGTCTCGTCATGGTGGCTGCAACCTTTCCCCCCTCCTGTTCATGCACCGAAGCCATCGGTAGAAGGAGCCAATGTGCCTGAGAATCCCTGCATGCAGGAGCCTCTTCTGGGGAATCACCGTTTGAGAACAAGTCATCTCACAGGAGTCCTCGGAGATTTTCTGTGACTATGGATGAAGACTAGGAGCTATCGCTACTGAAATTCGGACAACCAAATTCTCAGTCAGCAGCCACAAAGCCTCCTGGCGCTGAGTGGGGGATGCACTCCATGTCCAAGTCGGATGCTGCTGTCCAACGACACATCTGCCCAGCCTCCCCCAGAAAGCCACATTCAGGAAGACTCAATATTCATTTGGTCATGTCAACAGTTACAGTCAATGTTTTCCTGAAATATGCTCATGCATCTTCAAGGGGCAATTACAGTGTGAAGAAACGCCCTGCCCTGCCTGACATCCAAGGACTGGCCTAGAACAATACACGTCCTGCGCTGCACTTTGTGCTCAGCGGGGTTTTGTAAGTTTGCTGCAAGGGTCCTGCGGGTTTGAACTCGAATGTCAATATGGAGAAGCCATTATTGTATCCTCAGGCAGCCTCCAAAATGCCTGCTACGGTCGTCGACCCATGGGAAATAGAGTACATGCGTCAAAGCTGTGCTGGAGCTTAGCAATCGGATGACAATGATCAACCTTGAATATCATCTCCTTCGTCAACTGAGAAGACCTGGGAAAAGACCAACTACCTTGACAGGGCCTGAGCCGCAAAGGAATGGCGGTGATTCTCTCACGCAAGCCCACACCATCGAAGATGATTGGCGGCAAATTCCTGCATTGAAAGAAGAGCTATAAATCTTCCCCTGGGAAGATCGGCACGAACCAACCTCTTGTTATTCCCTCGCTCAGCTCGAGCCGCCAGACTTAGCATGCACGGGTTCCTTTTCAGCCCAGTCCGTTTTGTTGCGCTTCTGGCATCCCAGAATCTGTGACTAACTTGTCCGGGAAGTCGGAAGATAACGCGTGGACACCAGGTGAGTGAGGCACATCTCCAGTCCACGTTGTGCCATAAACAGCACCCTCAAACTGGGCACGTTTCTTGTCTGCTGTCACCTGCAAGGGTATCACAGCCCCAGCCCCGGCCTCGGCGACTGCTGACAGCATTGGCCCTCGACTGTCTGTGCCGCTGGGTTTCGGAGACCTTGATATGATGCATTTGAGTAGCCAATCAAGCCTTGACTGCGGCAGAGAGTTCATGGATCCTTGATGTCTGAAAAGGAGGAGAACGTACGCTGCCACCCCAAGGCAGATGAAGCCGGCAAGAATGCTAAAGACCGCAATGAATCCGGTGGACAGTTGTACGGCAACAACTCTAACGCTCATCTTGCGTTTGACCGGCCGCTTGAGTTGAGTGTCTTTGGTGACGATGGACGTCTGATAGAACCGTTGCAGATCTCTTGGCGTAATGACGGAAATCTCATCTTTTGCCATTGACTCTTGCTTGAAGCGTGTGAAGTAGTTGCCTAATATTGAGGTAGGAATGTTGAAAACATCTTCAATGTCGGGGAATGCGATCCATGTTGGGTCCTGAATGCGTCCATCAGTGAGTCTGACAGTACAATCGATGCGTGTATAGGAAGCAGAGCCGGCAGCTCCTTCACCAAAACGACACGGGGAGTAGTCGTCAGAATCATTTTTTCGGTGCGTTGTGAAGATGCAAAGCCGCCATGGACATGTTCACAGTGCGGTATATGCCGAATGGGCCGCCCGCTTCGTCCCAGTCTGAGTACTTTGCCGCGTACATACAAATGAGGAGGTCCTTAATCAACGTTGCACTGGTATAGAAGTCTGGGCTGTCGTAATAGCCGTATCCACTGCGCAGAAATGCTGGAAAGATTTCACCTTCTATTGCACCACCAAACTTCCCGGTGAGCGTGTCACAGTCCGATGTGAGATACAGACTGACAGGCTTTGACTCGACGGACTCGCAAGTCATACTCCAACTATTATTCCATTCATCCGGACGGTAGACCCACAAATCCGAGGTGTCTGGGAGATAGTCCAAGAGTTCGTCAATGGGGAAGCCTGCGCGGTCGAGACTTGTCTGGGTCTGGTTCCAAGCCACCTGGGAGTCATGAATACCGTTATCTGTTCTGCCAGCAAGAAGCCCGTTGACCTCCGTCTGGACCACGACGTGGGTTAGTTTTGTCGAGTACTTCGCAATCGGACCAGACAGGAGGGTTGTGATCGACAGAGCAATGACAACAAGACTTTGAGCAACAATATTCCAATGTTGGAACACATGAGATTTTAATAGTAAGAGGATGTCGGCAGCCTCGCCAGGTGTATTCAATGAGAGGAGTGACGATACTGGCACAGCCCTTCCTTTTGCAGCAAATCGTGCCCAGAACGACCAGTAGCAGCGTGTGAATACAAATATGGTGATGCCACTAAAGGCTGTGATAATGACATTCAAGACTGCTTGAACATCCTCCAACTTCCACGACCGGGGTAGTGTAGTCCAAGCAGTCATAAGGAGTAGAAGAACGCTGTAGGCACTCTTTCCATGGGACGGACAATCATCGCGAAGCCGCACAAGCTGGAAGAGGCAGATTGGTAAATTCAGACCAGAAACAGGCTGCCACAATGATTGTTCACACGAGCGCCGGGAGGGCGGTCCTACAATTTAATGACAAATATTCCGTACAGCTATCATTTGAAAGTAGGGGCTCGGCCAGTCTATTGAGCTTGGTAGAGCCCTGTCGCAAATGCCTCGATTCATATTCTGATGATGAGTTGGGGGACTTCAGGCGAGCTTTGCCTGGTCGAACGAAGCGGCTCGCTTGGCGCAGTACACTCACATATCCCTTTTGGATTGCCAAGGTCGCCGGACTTGGAGACTCTGCATTCCGTCTAGCATGGGTGAAGTTCGAGAGCCGCAGACTGGATCGTTGAATTGACAGCTTTTTTCGGTCAGTCTGGGCAGCTGAGGGACCGTGCTGGTTTCAATCACGCTTCCAAAGGTCTCTCGTATTCAACGCCTTCCGATTATCCGGCACAGAAGCAACCAGTCCTTTCAATATGGCAATGGGGTGAGTGAGAGGGCCATCGACATCATACGGTGAGATGAGAAGGGCAAAGAAGTCCAGTTTGATACAGCTGCTAGACCCGGATGCGGATCTCAGACAAGTCGGAGGATCAGTGGGAAGGCGGAAGTACGGCCTCGGTCTACAGCGGGAGAGCTTGACTGTGCTTACCTGGTGGACATAGAGAGGATGATGATGATGTCGATGAAATAGAATTTCACATTCTTGGATTGAAAATGGCGGAGTCAAGTTCTACAATGTATTATGTGAGTTCTGGGTGAAGATGCGCTCCCTTACATCGCCGCACCATCAGCTCGGCGCACTTTCCTTTCAAGGCAAAACAAACCTCCTGCATTTCAATCAACGCGACACATACACCATAGAGTTGAATTTCGCCTCAAACAACTTGTCCCTTGCTGCTCATAAGGGACTCAGCAATATTCTGCCACCTTTGCAGCATCAATTCTCATCTATATCTCCACTGTCGCTGTCCAATGCTCCAGTGAACAAATCGACATCTCTCCTCTGCTGCATTTTCGAGATGGACACCTCCAAAGACACGCCTTTTCCTCCAGCGGGTGATCTCCCCCTTCATCGCAACGCACCCCTTGCGCCCACACAAGAGCTTGCCTATCGGAAAAAATGTATACAGCTAAAGCGCCGTCTTGCTGAGATTGAGACCAACAACGATGCTACGCGAAAGAGAATCATCCAGGAAACAGAACACGTGCAGAAGATGCGCCTGATGCGTGCCATCCTTCTCAATCACCTGCAGGACATCATGAGTGCTCCAGCTAAAAAGTTGACTCCCGAACAACTCGATAAGATCGGAGTTCTGGCAAATGGCAGCATGAAGCTGGCGGAGTTGGCAGGCAGTGGCGTGGCGCCAGAGTTACAACGCAGGAGACCTGAGGGGGAGGGATTGCTGGACGACAGCTCCGAAGCGAGCGAAGAAGATGAACCCGAGGTTAGGAAGCCCTTTGCTCTCCATGGCAGACGCTTACCCGACACAGCCCGTCGAGCGACCTGAGCGGCGGAGAAGAACCAACAACACCTTCCGCGAGACCATTATGAATACGACGACTCCAGGAGAAACAATGCCGGCTATGTATCAACAAAGCACGCTACCCAACCTCGCTCCTGCAAGCTCTTTCTCACCCATCCCTCCTCACGATCCAGCAACGCTGACCTCCTCCTTTCGCGTCAAATCTACTACTCCACAAGCAACCGCGAACCCCGCAACCCAGCAACAATTTCCGGACGCGACATATCCGCAGTCATCTCCTATGCCAGTCAATCAACACCTGGGTGTGTCATATCAGTCGCCGAGTCAACCACGACCGCCGAGCATAGCCTCTGCACCAGATGCCGGTGCGAATGGTCTTGCGCGCTCTCCCGGCGTACCGGTACGCCCAGAACGACCGGAAGCACCCTATGTGCAATTTACAATGCACATGAGACCACAGTTGGAAGCCGACGACTACCCCCCCGAGCAAATTCCTGCTCGTATCCAGGCTGAGTGGGATGGTCTCAGCGCAGATAACAGGAAACTATGGGACGACAGGTATGAAGACCAGATGAAAGAATATACGGCAGCGATGGATGCTTGGAAGCGCGCCAATCGAAGAGAGCCATCAGGTAGTGGGTTTGCATCCATCAACTCATAGAATGGGTCTACTATGACTCCCAGTGGCAACTATCAAAGGGTCTCGTGGCATTTGCGCCCTCGATTTCAGCGATCCCCTCGAACATACTACTCAGTTTGACAGTGGCACGCGTCTATCCACGTCTGAACCGGAAGGGAAAAACTTGTCGAATTGTTCAATCCTCGACGGAGAAAAGGTCGCATTTTCAGCAGTGTCAGAGCGTTTAAATTGGCGCTTGCCCTTTCAGAGTTGCCGTGCCCTTTTTACGCCCAAGTGATTAACTGCATTTCCACAAAGATCAAAATTTGCGTTGACAACGAGCTCCGTTGTTGACACTCATATCTTCTGCAAGCCCTCGACGCCGCTCTGGAGACAGTGCTGCAAGAGCTTTACACTTCCCATCACGAAAGCTTGGAAAGCGGCTTATCGCCTTGTCATTTTGAGGACTATTCATCTCCAAGCCAGACGTGGAGTTTTCGTGTTTGTTCCAACAACACGGCCACAGATGTGGATACCCGTGGAAGATCAATACATAGCCGGGTTCTCCTAGGTGTATTTCCCCGACGACGACCTGAACGGAATTGGGCAAGCTGTCTGCCCAAGTCCACTGGGCGACATGTCGACAGTTGCGGATACAAGCATAGGCTCTGGGTTTTAGCCTTGAGCACTCATCGAGATTTCCGCATACGTCAACACCCAATATCAGCAAAACCGAGCTGGATTATTGTGCGAGCAGTTCAGACCATCGAAGTCAATGCTGGATTGGCGGAAAAAAGGAATTCAACGTCAAGAAAATGCTAGCAGATGCTCTGGTTCAGCAGTAATATCTGACTGATCCCGTGGTTTTCTTGACCTCTTGCAAAAGGGTCGTCACGGTAGACATCCATATTGCCGGTCCGCCCAGTATCATCTGAACTGCCGTTATGATTTATGTAGTTAATGTCATAGGCAACAAGATGCCGATCTCCCTTTGCCACCGAAGTCTACAATATGAATGAAGGCAATGAGATCAAATCAATATTCACATGGACAAGTTTGGGAACAATATCACTCCATAAGCCGGCGAACTACAGTCTGCTCTGTTTATGGGTTGCTCTGTTCATTCTGTTTCTTATCTCTAGTAGCACCTCAGCCTATTCGAGTCCCATCTCGGCACTCATACTCAACTGATTCCATCCAACAAAATGTTCATCTGGCATCTCCAAAGCATACGAAAGTGTGCTCTCTGGGGGATAGCGTCTTCTGCTTTCGCCCGTCTGCCAGGGCCCTCGATGTTGCCGTCACAGTTCCATGCTGAAGCGCGCCTGCGTAAGCAAGCTATAGCGACCGTGCTCCATGAACGTTCGTACCAGTGACAGGTGTATCGTTTTGAGGCATGAGTACATGTCACAGGTGTTGTCGCTGTTGGCATACCAAGCACGCATGCAATGTATTTGGGTTTCCCATTTTCTCTCTCAATGCTGGTTCATGGTGGCATGGAACTACGTCGTTTCCTTCCTTTCTTGAGATTCTTGCAATCGTACACTAAAACTCATTCGTTCTCCCTTTTCTTCGCTCTAGATGGCTCGTTCATCATCCCTCAGTCTTCGTCCCAGTTCGGGTTCGGCCCGGGTGGCTTGGGTCCTCCAGCTTGCCTCGCAACGATGATCTGATCTACACTCAGGACCGTCCTTGCTGCTTCAGTGGCCAGTCGGATCGCCCATGACTTGGACACCATCAGGTCCAGGATACCTTCTTCTAGGGCATCCAGCACGCCGGACGGGTCGCTGACTTCCAGATCAACGCCTGTTGTCCAGTAAGGCTCTTCAGATTCGTCGGATTCTGCGGAGTCGTCGTCGTCATCGTCGTTTTCTTCGTCATCGTCGTCCTCGTCACTTTCGTCTTGTTCGCCGTTTTCCTGCTTGCGGCGTTTCACCTCCTCGCTGGAGCCGACCCGGCGTTGATGGGCCGTGTACAGCCTTGCTACCACTTCCGTGGCGTCCAGTCCGGCACTCTCCGCCAATGTTCTTGGGATTACCTCGAACGCCTCGGCATATTTTCTGATAGCATACTGCGGCAAGCCTGGCGTCTTGTCTGCAAAATGGCTGATTCTCTCCACCAGTTGCATTTCCGTCGCACCCGCACCCGGAACCAGCCGAGGGTCTTTTGTGACCGCTTTGATGACGTTAACGCCGTCGTCAATAGCGCGCTCCACATCGTCGAGATGGTTCTGGGTCGCGCCTCTCAGCACGATGGTCGCCGTACGTGTTGTTGCGGTGTCAGACTCCTGGCGGAAGACGGTCACTCTGTCACCGCCGATCTCAGTAGTCTCCACGATGTCGATGCTGCCCATTTCGTCGGGCATTGGTGCTCCGAGGCGGGCTAGCGGCGTGGCGTTACACACACTGCACAGGCGTCGGAGTTCGAACTTCGACATAATTTTGATCACGAGGATACCCATCCGGTTGAGGTAGTGCATGGCTAGTTCTCCCACAGTTGCACCTGCGACGAGCACGCGGACCCCAGTGTCATAGATTTCCCGAATGGCATTCTCGAGCTGTGCTTCCTCGCCTTTGGAGAATGCCATCATCTCCTTTGCATTTTTCAGGAGAACAGTTCCCTTTGTTTCCGTCTGGGATATGTCGATCGGGCACGAGAACACAGCCACTTTGGCCTTCTTCGCTCGCTTCACCGATCCCTCGGGTTCGCGGCCAAAGACCATTCCCTTGACGACTTTGGAGGATGCGAGGTCACCGCCCATGATTTTAACCACACGGACATTGTCGACGTTGAAATTTGCCGGGTTCTTGGGTAGGACTGCCAGCACGGCCTGGGCGATCAACTGCGAAATGACATCCTCGGAGCCAGATTGTTTGGAAGCAACGACGGTCCGGAGCGCTTTGCTGAGTTCGTCGGCGGAGCGAACATCGGAGACAGTGTCAACTTCCAAGTCTATTCAACAGATGTCAGTGATGAGCCCTTTCGAGATTGCAGCGAATAGCACCCAATTTACCTTCTAAGCACTTCAGGGCATATGCCTGTGCCTTCTCATACCCAGACACAATATCGCTCGTTTTTAGGCCCATCCGTATTAACTCTTCAGCTTTCTTGAGCAATTCACCAGCCAGAACGATGACCATATTGGTGCCATCTCCCATCTCCGCCTCTTGTTGTTGACTGGCCATGACCAGCAACTTTGCGGCGGGGTGCACCACCTCTAGTTCACGAAGGATCGTAGCAGCGTCGGAAGTCAGAATCATCTTAGCCAGATGGTTAATGACGATCTTGTTGCGGCCATATGGGCCGAGTGAGGTTTGAACGGTCTGGGCAATCGTTCTGCAGGCATCGATCTGTACACGTGAATCAGAAAATGAGTGGTCTGAGGGGTGGAAAGAAAGCATACATTTCGAATCACGGCACCGTCCTCGGCGTCATAGCTGCTGTAGCCAGGCTTAAAAAGCCCCGACTGGGAGGCCTGGGGGATTGCTAAAGACATCGCGGTGACCGGTAAGTGGAAAGTTGAGAGGATTGTGAGTAGACCAGTTTGAGGACGAAATCCGACTGCGGCGAGACAAAAATTATTGACGTTGCCCCAAGGCTGAATATTTCAGCCTTGCCAAGCCCTGGGTATTACATAAGTGGGTTTTCCGCTCCACAGCCAGTGAACGCTTTTGAGTATCTCTTTCATTCTATGTGTAGGTCAATCTAATCCATCGGAAACAGTACAATTGGCAAAGAGGAATATGCGAAAACGACTGTGACTATTCAATATGAATGAATTTTAGAGCTCATGACACGATCAGAAAATGGTGTAAGGTGAGGCGACGACAGGCACTAAGTACTGATCTACTACTCCTCTAAGCGCCTCTTCAACCTCTTCGACTGCTTCACTTTAGCTGCATGGAACTTCAAACTCTCCCTCACGCTGTTCATACAATGGAGATGTCACAGATTCTCCGGAACCACATTAATGCTCACGACCCTCCTGGTATCCGATGAACTTGTGCTTGACCACGGCCTTCTCCGAGTATGGCTGGACAACAGTCCAATGGGTTACCAAGATGTGGCATATAATGTCCTCCAATACCGATACCTAAACAATGGTCAGGTTCAAATTTCTGTGCGGCTGTAATCCATATGCTACCTATGCTAGTCATGGGCTCAATTGATCCTGTCTCAGCAACACCAACGACGGCAGAGGTGAACGACGATTACGATCAATGCATCGCAGGCGGGTTTGCTCCTCTCCCGGTCGGTCTTCCAGGCTATATGTCTTCTACCATCCCTCAAACTACTCAGAACATCCTGGTTTTTAACGATTGCAGGTGGCATTGGTCAGCGCTCACGGGTCTCTGGCATACGATGTGGAGCATAAGTCGTATATCGACTTCTTGAGCATGATAGCCGTCAACAATATGGGCCACGGCCATCCAAAGATTGTCGACGCTGCAGTAAAAGCACTGCAATCAGGTGCTACCGTTAATCTCGCCTTCCAAAGTCCGTTTTACGGGCGACTGGCAAGACGCCTGACCCAAGTATGTACAACGTGATGCAATCGCTACCTTCTTAGAATCATTCAATTGACGAGATTTCCAAGGCATTCGGCTATGACCGCTTTGTAGCATTGACAAGTGGTGGCGAAGCCGCTGATGCCAGCATGAAAATCGCAAGAAAATGGGGCCATCTGGTCAAGGGAATTCCAGTGGGCAAATGCTTCATCTTAAGCGCCTCGGGCTGCTACCACGGTGTTGGCTTATCTCCCCTGTCTCTAGCAAGCAAAAAGAGCCGGCGTGAGCAATCCTTTCCGGTAATAAGTGCGACGCAGCTAACGTGGCTTCAGTCTTTGAGACCTTCCTCCCGCAGACCGGTTCCACAAGTCCTTCTGGTATTTCCATTCGTTACGGTTGTTTGGAGGATGTGGAAATGGCATTCAAGCTCGATGGCACCGAGATTGCCGCTTTTATCGTCGAACCCATTCAGGGAGCAGCTGGGTAACGCTTGGTTCTCCAGAAAGGGCTAATCCTCCGGCTGACTCATGGTATTTCAGTGTTATAGTGCCTCCAGACGACTATCTACCTGGGGTTGCCCGTCTATGCCGACAATACAATGTTCTCTTGATCGCCGACGAGATACAAACTGGACTAGGGCGATGTGGATATCCTCTCTTCCATATGAAATATGGTATTCGCCCAGATCTGGTGATTCTGGGGAAGGCCTTGTCAGGAGGTTTGCTCTCTATTTCGTATTTGTGAAGCTTATCATACATGATCTGACGGGGTCACTTCAGGCGTATATCCAGTTTCAGGGGTGCTGGGAGACAACCATATCATGAAACTGCTGGATCCTTATGAGTAAGTGAAGAAGGTCTTTGTCACACATATTACATAGCCATTACTGATCTCCCTGCGTTTCCTACAGGGTCGGCTCAACCATGGCTGCGAATCCACCCGGATGCGCTGCATCTCTAGCCGCCATTGATGTCCTCTTTGATGAAGGCTTGTCGTCTCGAGCCCTGATGCTAGGCGATTTGTTGATTTCGACCCTGAAATCGTCCGACCCGCCCCACGTCAAAGAATATATGGGCGCGGGCCTCCTCTGGGCTATTGTGATCAAGGAGAAGCCTCCCCGAGTGACCAGTCGACGGGTGATTGCTCTTCTGGCGCAGAGGGGCGTTCTGGCTAATGCCATCAAAGGCGGTAGGATTCGCATCTGTCCTCCCCTGACCATTAGCACCGAGTTGCTGCTGCAGGGGGTGGAAATCATCGTGCAAACGTTGCGGGATGTCGAATCCCACCTCGAGGGCCTGCCGGGGGAGGTTGTCACGATCAAATATCCCATCGAACCGGACAAATAGCTCTACAACAGATACTATAGTACTCACGGATGACGAACAACACATAGAATGTGTCCCCCGAGTCACGAATCGCGTACTTTTATAGTCCAAGTGATCTTCAACTGTACATTTATCTTCCTTCGTGCATCCCATGAACAAGAGCATTCCCTTTTATCTCCCTCCCTCTTATCTTAAGCCCTATAAGCATGTTCCTTAAGAGATCATTTGTCCTCCACTGACTTTTCTAGTCCCCGAATAGGAGCCAACGCAGCCAGCATGTCCTGCTGGGCTTTGATGTCGGTAAAGAGAGGATAGGGCCGCCGAGTGGCACATTTGGACTCGTCGTATCCAAGCAGCCTTGCAACGATCCACTTAGTCCCATTGATACCGGTCTTATTCAGCCACCATTCGGCTTTGGCCACGGAAAACTGCAGCTCCCTGGCTTTGTCAACTTTTCCCTCCTTGTAATTCCGGTAGATTTCCACGCAGGCCTGGATACTGATCAGTGACCAACTCGGTGGAAAAGGCCAAAGAGTGCAGCAGCGGCGCGCGGGTCATACCTTTGGGCATAGGTTGGCGAAACCGGAAATGCAGCCCGTCCCACCTACGCTCAGCGCCGGAAGAAGCCACTCGCTGTGGCCAGCTAGTGCACAAAAGTCTTCTGGCCCAAAATCTGCCGCGATACGGGCCAACTTGGCAATACCGCCACAGGTCAGCTTGGTGCCAACAATATTTGGATGTTTCCCGAGCTTGGCCATGATATCCGAGTTGATCTCAATTCCGGATGTTACCAAGGGCCAGCTGTAGATGAGGATGGGGATGGGGCTGGCATCAGCAACCTACAGCGTGCAACCTCCGTTAGCGCAAACGATCATCTGTGAGACATCCGGGTTGGCATTCCACCCGATCATACAGTACCTCGGCGAAGAAGTTCTCGATGGCAATTGGGTTCATGGCAAAATGAAAGTAACTCGGAGTCAGAACCAGTCCGTAGTCAGCCCCTGCAAGTTTGGCCTGAGAGAGCTGAGCTATGATCTCCTTGGTTGCTTGCCCGACAGTGCCGATGACGACTGGCATATCAGGACGGTCGTTCCGGATGGCGATTTCGCGCGTCAGAGATATCAACTTGAGTCTCTCTGCATTGGAAAGGGCCACAGCCTCGCCATTAGAGCCGGCGATCACCACTACAAGTCATAGGTTAGCGTTTGGAACAACCGAAAGGAATGAACGCGGCCTTGCCGCTCACTGACCTCCCGTTAGACCAGATCGGACGAGGTACTCGGTATGTCGGGCCTGAAGCACATAATCGATTTCCTGTTGAGGGTCGCTCGAGAACCATGTCAAAGAAGGCGCGTATACGCCCGGTGGGAATGCTTTGCCTGCCATTCTGTTCCTGTATGAATCCGGTCAGAGACTGCCGCGCCAGATAGTGGTTAGGAGTGCAACAGAATGAGCCCGTCGCGGTACAGAGTGACTTCGGGCAAGACATTGGAATTATCTTCTTCGACGGTATGTTCATGTTAAGGGACTATTTCATCGCTGTGGTGTGCGGAGGATCGGAGTGAATGCTTCAGGGAACAGAACAACACCCGCTTGTGGTTAGGCACACAAGAAAGCTATACCAATGTGGATGTTATGAACTGTCTGATTGGCTGATAGAGGAGCGTTTCCCCACTTCTGAATGCCTCTTAAAGTACGGCCTTCTCCGGCGAAGTCGATTCCCACTCGGGCTCTATTTTCTTTCGTGGCAATGATACTGACTCCCCTTGGTGTCAATGTGGTTATACTGGTAGCTTGAGCCAGGCACTGTCATGGAAGAGTTCTACCTGTCATCGACTCTGCGGGTCTTCTTGGGTCTGGAACCCGGCAACGACTTGCCGTCATTCGTATCGCACAACACGGTCGCGTCACATGGCGCAGGTGCTCCGAGGATTTGAATACAAGTCACGCACTCCGCCGCGATCTGCAATCACTTCGGCGGCGGTCCATACGCACATCGATGTGCGACATTCTTTCCATGGGCCCGCATCTTGCGTTTTGGTACCATCGCTGCCACTGGAGGAAGAGTTTTCAAATGATTGGCAGAGAATGCACCTTGAAGTCTGTTTCCAGGAAGCCCCAAGCTGACCACGATTTTGTTCGATTATTTTTTACGCCTGCTTTGAAGGCGCTGGTTCTGCTTCTCTTGACTCTTGCTCTTGGTAATGACACCTGCTGCAAAAGAGGTCATTGAATTACCTCCATGGCTTGGGTACTGTCGGACCTTCATATCAGTCCCGCGACTGCAGGGTGTGGGATCATTGTTATCGCGGCTGTCGTGCTCCTCACACCTGTTTGTTTCCGGCTTTTGTATCTGGACTTCCCCACGATCAAGGGTATCCCTGAAATTCCAGGCGGTGACTTGATCCATGGCCATTTCTATGAGTTGGGGGACGACCATGCCACCACGGCAGAGAAGTGGTCGTTACAATATTCATGGCCGGTCTTCCAAATTCGCATGGGTCGAAGGCGAGCCATACTACTCAATGGCTTCCATGCCGCTCGCGAGTGGCTGGTGACCAATCAAGCCTCGACATTAGATCGCCCTCGTTTGTATACCTTTCACGGAGTGGTTTCCGCGACTTCTGGTAAGTAGCAAGGAAATGTATTGGGAGTACTGAAAAGCAAATTTGCTGATCTGCCCGCCCTTGTCAAATATATAGCTGCTACTATTGGAACGAATCCATGGGATGAACGAACCAAAAAGCAACGCCGAGTGGTCGGATCGTACACCACTGGCCCGGCCATCAGGCAGATGCGATCAATGCTCGACCTGGAAGTGTGTGCCATGATATCGGCCATCTACTACGACAGCAAGAAAGGGGAGATCGATCTGATGCCCCACATCTATCAGAAACGCCTCGCACTCAATCTGATGATGATGTTCTGCTACAGCACTCGATTTCCCACTGTCACCGACCCTCTGTTGCTCCAGATTCTATCGGACGCCACGACCATTGCAAGGTAAGTGACTATTCCGCCTTCCAGACTGGTTCTAGTCCGGTTGGGAGAATGACGGCGATTGACGAGGTCGCAGTTTTCGATCCACTGTTGCCAATCCACAAGACTTCATTCCGCACCTGAGATACATCGCCAGCTCCATGCGATCCCAGACAGCCGTCGCAGTGCGAGATCGCCGGGATAAGTGGCTAGCATCCATGCTCACAACAGTGCGTGAGCGCCTGGGCCTGAACAAGGCAATGCCACGGAAATGCGTAGCGGAAATGCTGTTAACAGACAGTGCTCAAGGCCTAACACCATGTAAGTGATTCTGTTGTTTACGCCTCCGCTACAGAATCCAAGGGATCGTCGCGCTTCTATCATACTAGTACATACTCGTTCTGACGACCACAGTTGATGTACGAACCATCCTTGGTGGTTTGATATCTGGTGGATTTGAGACGGTGTTTTCCACCGCGATCATCACCATCGGTGTGCTTGCGACAAATGTGGGCCAGAAGATCCAGGAGAGGGCGTATCAAGACATTTTGAATGCTTATGCGAACCCCGAGGAAGCGTTCGAACTTGCCGTCGACGAAGAAAGATGCCCCTATATCTCTGCTCTGGTCAAAGAGGCTCTGAGGTTCTATCCACCCTTGAAACTACTTCCAGCACGTCAGATGAACAAGCAGTTTGACTATCATGGAGTCACCATTCCACGAGGGGTCCTTTTATACGTGAATGCTCAAGCAGCCAATCGAGGTATGTCGGAAGACGATTTCTTCGCTCTGCATTTGCCCTTGCCTTTACCCTTTGCTTCGCCCGACTCTTGTTCCAATGACTGCTCCTCTCGCTAACTCCAGCAACACCAAAACAGACAGAGGAGTATATGGCCCTGACGCAGACCAATTCCGCCCGGAACGGTGGCTCGAGAAGACGTTCGAAGTCCCACCGCCATACCATTTCTCCTTTGGCGCCGGCGGCCGCATGTGCACGGCGGTGAACTTCTCCAACAAAGCCCTGTACGCCATCTTCCTCCGTCTCATCGTGGCGTTCCGAATTACGCCGAGCGCCTCGGGTCCGCCAGATACGCACTACGTTCACTACAAGCGGGATGCCGCGGCGTCTAATGCCATCGCAAAGGATTTTGCTGTCCGTTTCACGCCTCGGGACCCGCAGGCATTGGAGAGATGCTTCGAGCGCTCCCAGAGCATGTCGGCTGATGAAGCTGGCAACGGGGTTGGGGAGGTTCTGAAAAGAGATTGATCCATTGATCTATCGAAAGACGCATACAAAGGCATACATGAAGCGTGAGAGCATAAAGTTTCCAACGTATATATAATTGCACCATAGACTATTTTCTCCCCTCGATTGGAGACATCGAGTTCGCTCGTGGTCTCCACAACTGAACAGCGAGGGGAGAAAAATGCCATTTATACTGAAAAGCCCAGGCTTTTGCGATCGAGAAGGGCTCGCGAGAGAGCGTTAGACTTGAATACAACTCCACGAAAAGATATCAAAAGTGGCAAAGTACATGTGAGAATTGTTAGGCGCTTTGATACTGATGGTTTCAAGGGTCTTCCTACAGCCATTGTCTTCTATGCCGAGTACAGTACCTGCGATCCGCCAACAACTGGCGCGAGATTGCTCTGTATGGCTTTAAGTCGGAGAAGAACGAGCTATAATCTGACAGGACCGACACAATACTCTCCAAGCTCTTGTAGGTATTAGAATAGAAAGGTTTAAAGCGACCTCTGTGTTGCCACCTCTGTACCATTTATCGATCTTAGCGAATCCCTTACTTGACTCTCTAGAAAAAAGAAATACCTCCACTTCTACGCATCGCCCCCTCGACATTATTGCCAGAAAAGTGATGTCCCCGCATTATAGAAGACTTGTGTTGACTGTCGCAGTCCTATTTCTCCATGATTTCCTCCTTGTCAGAGACCATCATATCCTTTGTCTCGGTGTCCCGTGGTTCCAGGAATGCAGGCTCCTCTCCAATGTGCTCGTGTTCCAGCGACTTGCCCCGCACGGGGCTTTTCTTCCCAACAAGGCCGAGTATGATGACCTTGAGCTGGTGTCTGCCATCCCAAAGGGGATAGAAGGTGACGAGGAAGAAGGTGAAAAAGGCGTAGATGATGCACATTACGATCCATCCGGTGAAGAACTGTTTGAGTTTTAACTCAGTAGCTGATATCAGGCGGGACAGGGAGAGCAGTGCTTACCTTCTTCGAAAAGACGTAGCGTGAACCGTACATGGCATACGGCCAAATAACCCAGACGCCAACGAACATAGAAACGCCAGCGATAGCCGCAAGCTTGCTCATCTTTTTCATCTTCTTGATCATGGCCGGGCTGAGGGCCTGGGATCGTCTATTTGCTTCTATCTCATCGGCGTTGAGGTCGTCGGTGATCAGCTCAACTTCGAAAAACTTGTTCCAGTCGAACGATTCAGGCTGTGTGTTGCGCCGGTCAGTACGATCTCGTGCGGACGATTGACACTTTCTTACCTTGATAAGCGAGATGGTAACAGTATATATGGCCGGCGATACGAAGGAAGCGATGACCCCGTACATGCAAGAAAGCTGCGAACCACTGGTGTCCACATTGACAACGCCGTACAGTGCCTTGGTCGCTCCGAGCCAGACCGCAAACCCGGTAATCATGCCGAGAACCGGAGAGACAATGGCGGCGGTCTTGGTCTGACCCTTCCACAAAACCGTGAGCACGGTGGGAATGATTCCGGGACAGGTCACCACCCCGAGGAAATAATCCAACCAAGCCAGAGACAAACCGATGTAGTAGAGCATGATGGAAAAGCCGCCGGCAAAGAGGGCAAATCCAATGACGCCCAGGTGAGCGACGCGAATGATTTCGTGGTCCTTTGCGTGAGGCTTGATATAGGTCTTGAAGATGTCGAAGCTGACAATACTGCTGACGGCGATGAGCTGCGCACTCGTGGTGGAGGTTACGGCCATGAAGATCATGGTCAGCACTGCTCCTGCTCCACCGGTGCCTAGGATGGCCTGTGCGGTATAAGGCAGGATCAAACCGTTGTTGATGTCAGATGCACTCATGGGCTGTCAAATCCGATGTTAGATTTTCCCCAGTCATGTCTCGTGGCCTGCTATCCGCCGTTGGGGAGATGTGTACGTACCTTGACTGGAAATTTGGGTACGTATTGAAAAGCAATCCCTCCTACTCCAATGATGGTTCCCAAAGTCCAAGGGATGGAGAAATAGCCCACAGCACCAAGAAGGTAGCCTGGCTTTTATTGGTGACCACGTCAGCAAGAGTGTCACGTTTTACACAGATATTGGACTGTACTCACCACGGCAGCGGAAATATCGGCGGCAAAGGCCTTCTGCCAGAAACCAGTGTCCATAATACACAAGCCGAAGTTGCCCAACAGCTGGGACAACGCAAAGCGCGCTGCAAGCGGGCTGTGAACGGTGAGATAGGAGCCATCCTGGTTGCTCGCCATGGGTGCCTTCTTGCTGGCCTCCACAATCATGTCATACAGCTGGCCGGGGCTGTCAACGATTCCGCTTGTGAAGACTCTGACAGAGAAGATGACGATCAAGAGTAGAAGGATGAACGAGTGCAACTAGACATACAAAACAAATGTTAGATCACTGCTTCGCCGGTAAAGAAGAGTAGAGAAGGAAGAGGACAAAGCTAACGCACATAGTCTGTGATAAATGTCGCCTTGATACCGCCTAGGACAGTGTAAAAGACCACGCCCAGAGGCAGCAGGAGAGTCGCGGCCACAATATGAACACCCGTCAAAGCATTGACCGCGAACGAAGCCCCGACAAGCATATTCGATACGGCAACAATGTTGTTAGCCAGGCAGAGGAAGATCCACACGCAATGGGCGACCGTGCCGTATCGAACGCGGACGATCTCCAGGAGCGTGTGAGCGGCGGGAATCTTCAGCTTTGTCTGGATGGCAAGAACCGAGAACAGGCCGATTTGCACAATGTTCCCGGCGCCGTACCACAAAGGGCCTGCGACGCCAAAGAGATAGCCGAAGGCCGTGCTGGATAACAGCGCCGTCGACCAAGCCCAAGAAGATATCACCGCTGTGACTGTCAAGCCGGTGCCCACGGAACGATTGGCAGTCATAAACCTGAACACCGGTATCAACACACAGTCTTCGCAGCGCTTGTGATGGGAGTTTCCCCACTGCAACTGAAGAGGAACTCACATTTCAGAGTGCTTGTTATCTTCGTTCGCATAGATCTTCAGCATTCTCGTCACAAAGGCGGCACCAAAGGCGAAGGCCAACCCAACGCCCACGAGCATGCCATAGCCCACACCCTGCGAAAGAGGTGCCTCGGGCATCTCAGCAATCCGGAGGGTGTGATTTCAGGGCAAATATCAAGAAAACCTTCACGACTCCCGAACAGGAGATGTTTTTGGAGCTGCTTTCGAGTCCGTGTAATTGGTTGGGACGATCTGTACGGTAACGCTGCTGTCGGTGTTCCTGGTCGACTGTATCCACACTCTCACAGAAAATCCAGCGCCCTTGTCAGGTCGTGAAGAAAGAAGATTCCCTGAAGGCCAAACCCTAGGGAGTATGTGGGCATTTGTGGTCCATTGCAGAGTATACTTGTACCAGTTGCATCCAAAGTAGGCATATCGCAGAGAGTCTGGACCCTTCATCTACCTTTGAGGAGACCACAATAGATCTGGCCAGAGAAGAGCGGAGTTGCCCTTGGAACAGCATCAGTTGTGCGGGATGGAGTGTCCAATGATAAGATACGGATTACCCCCCCTGTGGCGTCCTGGCCTGATTGATATCCAAGCCACATGATGGCCATACCTGGACGAGCTTGGACTTCTCATGGAGTTTAACTTCCTGGTAACCGTCTGTCTGGGTCTCAACACGGCGCGATACGCGAAAGATTAGGTAACAGTAAGGGCTGGCTTGTTTCCATTTCGTCCCGATGCCGTTTGACTTTGAACTCTGGCGCGGCGGCGGAGAAGGGCGAAAATGAGACTGAATTATCGGCCCATGCCCGCTCAGGCCGCGCAAGAGCAGGCAGTTGAGGGCCCTCGCCGTCCCCTACATCGTCGACATGGTAGGTTGTAGCATGTATTGAGGTAGTTAGTCAAGACGCCGAGTCTCATTACAAAGGCAATCGTCAACCTTCTTCACGCAGCCGTACAAACCCCCCAAATGGAAACTTGATAGCTCACACATCCACGAGATAAGCATATCCCATGGGTTCAACAACGACAGAACCATTATGTGTCCTGTTGACGGGCGGTGGCACGGGAATAGGTGCAAGTGCCGTCAAGTATCTGGTCAAGGACTACAAAGCCAATGTAGTAGCGTTGACTCTTGGAGTCAACGACGAAATCAAAGCGCTGGAAAAAGAGTACGCGGAATCATTTGTCTTGCATATGGGCGATGTGACCAAGGTATGTACATGAGCCATTTGTCTGACATCTCGTTGTTCCAAGAGCAACGGATAGCTAAGAACTCTGATCTTCTTTCTAGGTAGAAGATGTAGCAGCTGCAGTCCAGACTATGTCAGACAAATTCGGTCGAATTGACTCAGTCCTGGTGTGTGCTGGGCTGGAACCAGCGCCCAAACGGATACGAAACTTGGAAGCCTCCGAGATGCTACAGGTGTACAATGTCAATGTCATCGGAGCTCTCTACGCCTTTCAGCAGTCACTCCCGCTGCTTGAGAAGTCGACCCAGGCCCGGCCTCGAATCATCATGCTGTCATCAACGGGCGACCAAGGCCACCGAAGTGGCCGGGTTGCCTATTGTGCTAGCAAGGCTGGCATGAGTCGCCTGATCGATACCTTAGCGCATGAGGAGCGAGGGTTCGATGTCTACGGTGTCTATCCTGGTCTAACCGAGACTCCGCTCGCGAAGGGCCTTCTTGAGGGCAAGTACAACGATATCTTGTTCCCGGAGGACCAGGTGTTCTACCGCCAGTCAGTAGAGGACGGCACCGTCGACCCTCCGGAATACTGTGGCGAGGCATCAGCGAAGTTGGCAGTATGGAAAGCCGACGGGTTACCCGGCAAGATAGCCAGCTACAGCGAGCACGTTCCCGAGTGTCGTTACGGGATATGGTGAAAGGAGCAAGTATTTTACATCCAGGAATAAGAATGTGACCGGCTTGATCATATATTAAGACTTTCAAGGCTCGCTTTCTATCTATATATATTCTATCACTTCTCCATCGTTGTTGGTGAAAGCCTTGCGATGACGTCTCGATACAGGGCTGCAGGTGGCCACGTCTCAGCGAAAGCCGTCAACAAATAATGGCAGGTCGCAAGGCTGGGTGCACTTTCGTTCGAGCCTTGTGATGAAGGCGTGAAGTTCTGTGCCGGGCTATTCATTGGGGATTGGGCGCAGAAAAGGGCAGTTCCAGCGACCATGACCTTGCTCGTCGACAGCCAAATGCTGAGAAGCCTATTTTCACGGTGCATTTTGGCCAAAGTTCGGATCACCGACTTGGCCGCTCTCCTGGTCTCCGTGTTCCAGCGTTCGTAGGTAATGCAACTCCGGCAGATGTGGCTTCTTAAAGCCTGTAACTGCAGCCAAGCCATGTCGAACTCGGTGGTGGTATCTAGTTGACTGATAAGCGACAAAAGCTCTTCGTTGATGGGGCACTTTGGCTCATTTTTCGGGTCGGAAGGGGGGCACTGGAAGATCTTTTCGTGAATTCGGAATTGTAGTCTTTGAGCATCGAAGCGAGGCTGCTTTTGACGGGCCGTCAACGTTGAGTGGATGCGAATGGTGTCTTCTCGAAGCATTGCTGGCCGGCCCAGGGTGGAACATACCTGCCTGTTATAAAATTAGTCGTTGCCCGATCAAATGGGATAGGGATAGGTACCATTCCAGATCGTAGAATGCGAAGAATAGCGTCTCTCGCGAGGGCTGTTCGTTTTTATTGCTTTCATCCACCGCCTCACGTTGCCACTGGAGGTCCACGCAGAGACGACAAGCCATCCCTAATAACCTCCAACAAAGACCCCGTGATGGGTCCACGAGCTCATACAGGATAAGAAGCAGCAGTGCTTGGAATGCTGATCGGTCTTGTCCGGCGAGGACGGGCTCTAGTAAGGTCTCTGCCCAATGGCGCAACGCAGAAGCTGTGGTCTGGACCAGTGGGTAGTTTCGTGCAGCATGGGCACCGCCAATCGCAGCGGCCATGAGCACATTGAATCGCTGTCGTACCCCAAGGCGTCTGAGGGGTTGTTCAACCGCAAGGTCTCGAGTGTCCAATATTGGGTACTCGCGGTGCACGACGGGGAGGTAACGTGCTTCAATGAGCTCTCTGATGTCGACCAGCGAGACTAGAGACTTGTCGACCTTGTCGAGCACCGGAGAACATGCAAGCCTCTTAGGCAAAGTGAAATGGCCGTCTTCCAAGCCGTCAAAAAACCCGGGAGAACCCTGGATGCTGGCGAGAGTGTAGCTGGCCGCATTGCCTGCACCAATGAAGGATGGAAATGCGGAAGGCGATGTCTTGAAGAAAGCCAACAGGTATGGGTTCGACAGATTTCCGTCAATGCATGTTCCAGCAGGCAACTCGACACTTTTGGGAGCCGAAGAAGAAGAGCCCGGGCTTGCTTCGGAGAGCATGCCAGCCCGTGAACGTTGAAGACGAGAAATCTCAGCCTTCAGTTTGCGTATGTTCTCATCAAGGCGAGCGATATAGCTGGAAACGAGGCCGTCAATTTTACCATGTCATTGTGATTCCCGCTGTATACAGGAACACCATGAACGAGGTCGGATAGCCCAACTCTGACTTACCTGCGTGGCACCGTTTCGCCTGTGACAGGGTCATCGAACGAGCACTCAAGTCCAGCGCCGGCACAGGGAGAACAGGCTGGCAGATTTCGATCGCACTATTTGCCCTCTCTTAGCACCAAACGAGAACTGTAGGGTACAGTTCCAGAGAGGAGATTTACCTTGGTTTTGCGACTTTGGCATCTGCGACACGTGGGCAACATTTTGGCTCGCTATGGGGACTCTATCCAGTGTAGAAACGTCAACTAATGTGAGGTATCGGTCTGGAGGATCAAAATGTGTTTATGGCCAAGCTTCAGAAGGTCATCTGGGTCGAGATCGCTTGAATGGTGAATGGTTAGGGTGAAATTAACTGTAACAAACTCTCGACAAACTCTTTACCTTCACAGGTCCCACCACTATCGATTAGAACCATGAAGTGCCGGTCCAATTGGCTGGTAAAGCCCTCGCAAGGCCAGACTTGACCCTCTGAATAAACCTAGGTAGGTGAGACTACTCTTCAATTTGACGAGTGCAGAGATCGGACAAAACCGCTAACTGCCATTGCGGGACCGATTGGGGCAACATGGCATTGGCGTAATAACATAGCGGTACGTACGGAGTATGCGTATTCGGTACATGTAACGCCAAGACGCTAATAAGGAAGCCCTACTACAGCTATTCCACTACATACCCATAGAGAAACCGGGACCCACACCTGATAAGACCGCTCTATCCGTGGCCTGGGAGCTGTCCCTTCGGAATCTCTTAGAGACGTTCCCCCATATAATCTCAAGCCTGGATACCACTAACCCGCTGGAGCATCTCAATCCGCGCTGATACCATGGAGGACTTATTGCTTCGCTGGCCAGGGCGCTTAGAGAGCAACAGGGCGCATCGTCGAATGACATCTGTCTGTTCACGCTGTCGACGGCGCAAGATCAAATGCGATTTTCAACTCCCCAGCTGCAGCGCCTGTAAGAAAGCTTCCGTTGACTGTAAGGGATACGACGCCGGATTGGAACGTGAAGTGCCCCGGAGCATCGTACGATACCTCGAAGGTCGCATGGCGGAGCTGGAGGTCGAGCTGGACCAGTTGCGAAAGGATGTGCGTGTCCAATCCATGCCCGACGGGTCATTCGAGCAGGCCACACTGGCCACCACGCTTGCTGCGGCCATGTTGGAAGTTGTGTCTCCAAACCTGTCCCATTCGACGTCTTGGCCCATTTTCTCGGCCTTCCATCTGAGTCCATCTAGCCTCCCAATGCCCCTGAAGGCCCAGTTCAGCAGTGGCAACGGAGGTCTAGCCGAGGAGCAATTGGGCGGGACTCCCAAGATCCCAAAAGACCTTACAAGAGGCGCCAGGCGGATCCAGTTGTCCGAAGTCCCGCGCAAGGCTGCCGACGTGATGATCAAGACGTTCACCGAACATCATCTCCCTCAGTATCCTTCCATCTCCGAGACCACGCTGTCGGAGAGCTACGAGGCTTGCTATGGGTCGGTCGAGGATGCATCCTCGTTCGAAAGGTTTATTACCTACATGGCGCTCGCCATTAGCGCAAAGACACTTGCCTGGAAGTCCGAGAAATTCGCCTTTTCGACCAGCCTCGCTTTCTGGAATTTGGCCAAGGAGGAATTAAAGGATCCCTCATGCAATTATACGCCAGTCAACAGGCTGCAGGTTACGTTGCTACTGGCCCACTACGCCTTGACGAACCCATCTGCTGCTAACCTGTGGTATTGCGTCGGTGATGCTGCTCGACTTTGCATCCAGTTCGGATACCATCGCGAACCGGCTCCCAATGCGAACGTGGATCTGGTGGAGTTGGAAAATCGTCGAAGGCTCTTCTGGACTACTTATGGCCTAGAAAGGTTGGTCGATGCTTCACGTGGGCTGGGGATTGCTCTCCCTGCTGACTACAATTCCTCCTAGAGCATTGTCCTCCTACCTTCGATTGCCTTTCCTCATCAATGAGGATGTCATAACCACCCAGGTAGGTGCGACAGCGCCCATTTGAGAATACGGTGCTGACGAGATAATCTGTCTATACAGTATCCATCAGTGCTGCCCGATTCGTGCATCACGCCAGACGGCTTGTTCCCTGGACCCCAGAAAAAGGCGGCGGCCCTGCACATGTGGCAGTACCGGCGGCTGGAAAGCGAAGTTTTTCGCGTTCTCTTCTTGCAGGAGGATGTTTTCCCGTCGTTGACCTTGGAGGAGTGGATGGACGACATATCGGTGCGCGTGACCAGTTGGCACCGGAAAGCCACGACTGATTTCGCACCCGAGGACAAGATTGAGTCGCGCGACGTTCACCTCAACTTTCTCAAAGGACGGCTGCATCGTCCCACTCCGCGCAACCCGTTTCCCTCACAAGCGAGCCGCCTGCTTTACATCGACACAGCATTACAAATCTCGCAGGATTTTCGGTCCCAGAAGCGTCAGGGAAGACTCTACTATCCCTGGTTCGCCGTTCACATCCTGTTCGAGATCGCCGTGGTGATGCTGGACACAGCGTGGTCCTGCGCCGACTGGTTGCCCTCCAAGCTCGACATTGGGCCTGTGGTCAACGGCGTGCGCTCGTTCCCGTCAGTATTGATGGACATGGCGACGCTGTGGCCTGCCGCGGGACACTGTGCCAATGCAATCGAAAACTTGTCCGGACCAGTCCTGAGCCGGCTCGAGGCCGCTGCGACTGGGATGGACCCATGTCCCCCGGACGAAAAGGTGACGTCCTTACTAGCGGACTATCTCTTCCCTGACCCGGACCTGAAGCCGACCCTGGTGTCGAACGAAATGAATCTCCCGCTATATGGGGACCAAGACCAAGAGCTAGAAGCAGATGTGGACTTCGACTGGAGTGCTTACCAAGATCTCCCCGGTCTCGTTGACCCGTTTCCGTTTGACTTCCAGGATAGCACCGGCTTTTAAGCATACTAATAGACCTATGAAGAGACTTACAAAATACATGGTTCGAGCTCGATATCACCATTATTTCCTTGTGTTTTCTATATGTCTGTTCCTTTCGTCGGCCCCTTGCTTTGCATCTTCTTGGCTATCGCGACTAAAAAGCCATGACCTTAACAGGCGGGCTCAGGCTAGGCTTCCCTAGTGACAGCTCGGCCCTGTTATTCTTCACATCCACGATGAAGGTCGAGAGGGTACATATCGAATCCAGCCCGTGTGTGCCAGGCTGTGCCGTTCTGCAGATGGCCAAGGGAGAGTTGGTCTCGTCGCACATTCTTTGTCGAATCGTCTCGTACGACGGCTTCACGCCGACTGAAATCTCCTTCATCCTCGCGAGCCGCGCAAAGGAATTGGGCGCCGGAACGTCGGTGAGCTTGTCGGGCTTGCTGGGCGAAATCAGATGGTTGCTGTGGCACACCGTGCCGTCGGCGTCCGGCCAGATGGGGAAGTTGCCCATCGGCGTGCATTCGATCGTGGCGAGATTCCCGGCCTTGTCGGCGATCATGAAGTTGATGCACGAGGCCACGCCGAACTTGTCGAGCGTGGCGCGAGCTTCTTGGAGGGAACTCGCCTCCAGCGCCTTGCGCAGCGCGACGTGAATCGGCAGTTTCGAGTGGTCGACGGCGGAGGACCGAATGGCATTCATGCAGATGGCGAGGCCGCGGTCATTGAATCCATACTTGGCCACCAGCCCAGCTTCTCCCAGCATCTGAATCCTTGGGGAGCCGTCGGTGGCCCTCTGCACATCAAGCAGCACGACCGCTTCGGCGGCCTCGGCGGTCCAATCCCAGTTCTGAGCGATAAAGATGGCCTCTTTTCCCGCGTCCGGCGCCTGACCCAGCGACGTACACCCGTCCGAAGCTTCACCCTTGAAGTTGGTCAGGCTGATCTCACTCCGGATGTTCAGCGCGATGATGTCCAGCACATCCACCCCAGCACCCTCCGCGATGCCCTTCATCTCCTCCAGGATCTCCGGCACCAGACGCTCCAGGGTCGGTACATATGTCTCGGCGCGAGCTCGCGCTTGACTCCAGGGAATCTTGGCCGTTTCTTCGTACAAGATAGTATAGTTCTTGATGTTGAGGTGAATGCGATCTCGCGCCACCGTGCCGTGGCAGAGGCCGATCTCAGTGGCCGTTCCCCGGCAGGTCACTTCGGGCACACCTTGCCAAACCATATTGCAGGAAGTATCTTGGGATTTCCAAGCAGTGTCAAACAGGACTCCAGGTGATTTCTAGCAGTAGTATTTACGCAAGTTGGAGATATTAGGATGATTCGCTAGTTATATTTTTCTGTATGTCCTCAAATTTATTTGTTTACTTGACTACGAGGTAGTCACGGTAGCAGCGTCCATGGAGGAGCGAGAGATGCCCACTCTCCGTGTCGTGAGTGCCGTAAGCGCAAGTGAAGACGACAAAGAGGTCGTGGACGGACGTGTCCGTGCTTTTGTCCCAAAAATCGGTTGTCTCCGCCCATCTCACAATCGCTGGTAGCGCTCCCGTTTCCCTGCAGGATTAGACGCGTATTTCCGAAGGGACTCGTTGCTAGTGATTCGCCCGAGGGCTAATGGTTTGAATATCTTCAGGGGTAGAGGTTGAAGCGACATGGGTTGTGATCTAGAAGCACACTTGCACCAAATCTTGCGCTGGATTGCTCTCAACTGGAGCATTGAAGTTAACCATGGGTTCTCGCACGGTTCATACCGACCTGTTGTTCGATCCTATCTCGAAGGCGTTTCTCGAAAACGTCTCCATTAGGGTGGATGAAGCCAGTGGTGAGATCACAGAGGTCATTCATCGCGAAAATGGCTCGGCCTTCGAGTTGGCAGAGGGTGATATCGACTTAAAGGGGAAAGTGGTGCTCCCAGGTTTTGTGGATGCCCATACACATATATTTCTTCATTCTTACGAGTAGGTACTCCGTCTGGACTCCTCCCTTCTCGTCGTTCACGGCGACATCGATAGTAACAACTCCAGTGAGGCCGTGGCATTGGTACAAAAGCGTGACGAAAGCTTCGTGGAGCGCATCATTCGCGCCGTCAACCATTGTAGAGTTGGCCTGTTGGCAGGCTACACAACTTATCGGTCAGTATGCGGGAAGATTGGCAGACCTTTTGGAATGACAGACTGATGGATGCAATTGTTCCCCAGAGATCTGGGCTCCGAGGGCATGCAGGATGCAGATTGCAATGTTCGAGATGCTATCAATCGCGGCTTGATCCCTGGTCCCAGGCTGTACGTGGCCACCAAAATCATCGCTTCCACCGGGGGGTTCGAGGTTCGAACTGAGAACGGGCTGGGGGGCCACTGTTTGCCCGCCGGTGGCGAGGCTGCAGATGGACCGGACGAGCTTCGAAAGGCCGTCCGTCGACGCATTGCAGCCGGCGCAGACATTATCAAGTTCTTTGGCGACTACCGGAGGAGACTGATGCGATTCCCTCCTAAGCAGCAACATCCATACGTGGGCTCGGTCCAGTTTCCCCCAGAAGTTCCAAATCCGGAGCATGTTATGTTCACCCAGGAGGAGATGAACACCATCGTCGATGAAGCGCAGCTGGCGGACTGTCCGGTATCTGCCCATTGTGCCACGAACGCCGCTGTCGTGGCCGCTGTGTCCGCCGGTGCCTTGTCAGTCGAGCATGCATTCTACACCGACGACGAGACGTTGTTGCATATCAAGAAGCACAATGCAATAATGGTCCCGACACTAGCGGTCTGTGAGCGCTTGCACAAGCTCAAGTTCCCTGACGTTCTGAAAAGGACGTATCGTGCCTGGGAATTAGGAGTGCGCCTTGGTAAGTCAGGTGCTGCCACGCATGAAACATGCTAATCACCTGCAATGTTAGCTTGTGGTGGCGATACAGGCACATATCCGCATGGAGAAAATGCACGGGAAATGGAGCTCATGATCGAGGCTGGGATCCCTGTGGAAGACGTTTTGGCCGCTGGCACTATTGGAGGATGGCATGCGTGTGGTGGTGATCGATGTGGGCGGCGTTTCGGATGGTTCGAGAAAGGAGCAGCCGCGGATATAATCGCTTTCGACACAGATCCGAGGAAAGATAAAGACGCTTTGAGAAAGGTCTCTTTCGTCATGAAAGATGCCCGGGTCTGGAAGTGTGACGGGCTGGCTATTGATATGATCTAAATATAAGCCTTTCCGTGGGCAAATTGGAGTCATATGTGCCATGGACCGAAATTGTACAACAATTGTACTCGCCCCTTGAATACATAAAGGGAGTAATGGTGAGCCTTGGACGGAGCAGTCACCCTTCAATCAGTGTCGTCATGCCATATACCAGCAGCCCTGCATTGTAAGATGCATTTGTTAGAAACCTGAAAACTGACTGGGCTGGGCTAAAACGAACATACCATGCAGGGTTGGCGTATCTCTTGGGCATTTTGCGTCCAACTAAGTCAATCAACTTCATGTCGTCGTCACTTAAGCTGAAGGACTCGAGATTTTCTCGAATGCGCTTTTCTGATGCCTTTGAATTCGTTCAGAATGAGTGCTTACCAAGTGCTTTTATCAGGTACTTTGACCAGAGCGGCGTGCTTGACTCACTGATTTCGGGACCACAGCCCATCCTTTCTGCGTACCCCAGGCGATAAGGCACTGTCCCACGTTCTTCCCATTCCGCAATGCGATTTGTTGTAGATCTGGATCCTGAATGAGGGAAGATGCAGGAGAGCCCAGTGGCGAGTAAGCTATCATCGTAATGCCCTTGGACCGACAGTAATCGACCAGTTTGTCTTGAGGCAAGGAAGGATGCAATTCCACCTGATTAACAGCAGGGACAACAGCCGCTTGAGAGAGAAGGATTTCGAGATTGACCGTGCTAAAGTTGCTCACTCCAATGGCCTTGACCTTGTCCGGATACTTGCGAAAAACAGCCTCCATCGACTTCCAAGCACGAACGAAGTCCCAGTCCTTCTGGTAGTCTGGAGAGCCATTTGGAAGCGTAGGTGCCTTTGCATCGTTTCCTTTGGGATTGAGTGGGACTGGCCTGAAGGCAGTTGAAAGCATTAGCGAAGAGTCCGGGAAGTATATGGGATCGTACCAGTGCATGAGCCAAAGGTCGAGGTATCCAATGCCCAGAGCCTCGAGGCTTCGGTTCAAAGCTTCCTCGACGCGGCTGAGCCATGTGCACCAGACTTTGTCTGTCACGAAAATGTCTTCTCGAGGAATTGTGGATTCCCGGATCGCCTCGCCAATGGCTGCTTCGTTCCTGTCCAAAGTATTCTCGTCAGAATTGATATTTTGTCATAAGACCCAGAGCAAGCTCGCTTCTGAAACCCACCGATAGGATGCTGCTGTATCAATGTGTCTATAGCCCGCCTCCAGGGCAAGGGATACCGCTGCCAATATCGGTTAAAATGCTGCTGCTGTGTTTGTGGGTGTAGTATGTACGTCTTTTCGCATCTGCGCCGGTTGACTGCCATGTCCCCAACCCGACAAGGGGCAGTTTGGCGCCGGTATTCAGGTATATCACACGTTCACCCATTATGTTGTCAATTTGGGCCACATCGTCTATGTTGCCCGTGGAAGCAGATCCAGTCTATGTACTACGTATGGAAGTTCTTGTGTTGCGCAAATCCCCGTCCCACAGCGCCGTTACCCTCACCCACCAATTGAGACACGGATTAAACCGCTGCTTGCCAGTTTCCTATCGGCCATCAACCGCGCATTTGATCTCCTCCTACTCGCCTCGCCTATACAGAAATAATAATGTTTTATACCCATCAAGAGCCTGCTCAAAATCGTCAATAGCTTGAAGCTTGCGACAATATCAGAAGTCCAAAATGCCATCCGCCAAGCAGTCATTTGTGTTGTCCGCGGCGACGCAAGAAGTGCTCAAGGATTATGATGAACACGTTGCAGGCGGTTTCGCACCACTTCCAGTAGGACACGAAGTAGTCATTAGTATGAAGCAAGAAGGCTAATCTGCTGGCAGGTGGCGATTGCGAAAGCCAAGAATGCTGATGTCTGGGATGTCGACGGAAAACAATACGTGGACTTTGTATGATGTCTCTCCTCTTTGATGTACAAATCGAAGGACAGATGCTGATTATCCTGGAAGTTGAGCATGTATTCAGTGGTGAACATGGGGCATGGGCATCCGCGCATTGTCTCAGCCGCCATAGACGCCATGAAAGAAGCAGCATGTGTCAACATTGCATTTCACAACCCCCTATATGGCCGATTGGCCAAACGACTTTACGAGGTGAGAGAGTCCTTGCGGCCTAGTATCACCTCCTCAGGCTGACTGATATACCATCTTCAGGTATTTGGATATGACAAATTTGTGGGCATGACTAGCGGATCCGAGGCTGTTGATGCGGCAGTGAAAATTGCCAGGAAATGGGCGTATTGTGTCAAAGGAATTCGAGACGGTAGTTGTCACATCCTTACAGCGACAGCATGCTATCATGGCGTGTCGTTGTCGACGGTCTCTTTAGCCAGCAAGAAAGCTGACCGTAAGTGATCTTGTGGGACTTGACAACCTACCAGTTCTTGACTTACGATACATGTTCAGACTTCAGCCAATACCTTCCAAACGTCGGATCAACAGCACCGAGTGGGACGTTGGTGCGCTATGGAGTGATCGAGGATCTACGGAAAGCCCTGACGGAAGATGGTACAAAGATTGGTGCCTTTATGATCGAGCCCATACAGGGCTCAGCGGGGTGAGTGTATTTTCACAGGGCGACAGCCTGGTTCACCAAGAAGCTGACGATATACCACAGGATCATCGTCCCACCAAAGGGTTACATCACCGAGGTCGCAGCACTATGCAAAGAGCACAATGTACTGTTCATCGCAGATGAGATCCAGACTGGCTTTGGCAGAGCCGGATCCAACTTGTGCCACCAGCGAGACGGCGTCAAGGCAGACTTAGTGGTCTTAGGTAAAGCTTTGTCCGGTGGTCTCTATCCCATGTCTGGCGTCATGGGACCTGCGCGAATAATGGATGTCATCTCACCTTATGAGTAAGTCTTGCCCTGATTCTGTTTACAGTGCTGGCTTTTTCTGATTGTAGTACTATAGAATTGGCACGACAATGGCGAACAACCCTCCCGGGTGTGCCGCTGCTTTGGCTGCGCTGGATGTTCTTGTGGAGGAGAAACTATCGGATCGAGCAAACTACTTGGGCGGGCTCTTACTGGAGAAGCTCCGGTCATTCGATCTTCCCCATGTGATCGAGTTCTCGGGAAGTGGGTTGTTCACTGCCGTGGTTATCGAGCAGAAGCCGCCCAAGGTTACCGGACGGAGGATCACGGCGTTGCTGGCGCAGAGAGGTGTCCTTGCCAGCGCTACTGGTCTGGGTAACAGGATCAGATTCTGCCCGCCATTGACCATCAGTGAAGAGGATCTTTTGAGGGGCGCAGATATTATAGCGACGGCGTTTGCAGACGTGGAAGATATGGACGACATTCCAGGTGAGGTTGTTCTCTAGCTATATGTTCTTCGTACAATTTCCGGACACTATAATAAGATGCGACCATGGCATCCTGTGGGTGGAGGTTTCAAACTCTACAGGATGCTCTTATGGTATAGTTCGTTGGGCAACATCTTACCCTCTTTCCAGCACGAAGTTCAGACTACCCGAACGTGTATGAAACCCCAGAATTGGGGGTGAAAGAGCCACTAGTTGATGCTCGCCTCGTCTCCGCTATAAGCTTCAAGATTGTCGGCATTCCCCGCGGGAGTCAAAAAAATATATCTGCACCACAAACTGGGTTTTGGTGTCTCGGGCATTATGATAGATCGCAAATCATGTCATTTTCATTGCTGAGCTGGGCCATTGAGCCCAGCCATTTTCATCTCCTGGGTGTTGTGTTGGTGATGTTAATGTGTTGGCGAGCAATTGACTATGTTGATCATCGCACTATCAAAAATATTCCAGTAATTCCTGGGGCGAAACCTATCATCGGTACTAGAACACCAGAGGCTGCTTAACTCAGTCGAAGAGCAAGTCTTGAACTCCGCTAACCTATGCCAGGGCATCTGGGACTGCTTGGTGGTACACAGGGTCAACATGACGCTACAATATGGACTCGATGGGCTAAGACTTACAATGCCCCTGTCTTTCAACTCCGATACGGCACTCGACGCGTTGTTGTTGTAAATACGATGTCTGTCGCACGAAGTCTGATCGCCGGTCCGAATGCTGCAGCACTCTCATCACGACCACATGAGCCGATCATGAGCCAGACATTCGGGCTGGGCGTGGGAACCCAACCCATGTGCGACCGACTGAAAAGGATGCGGACGGCGGCCATGAAATCGGTCGCTCGGCCGACATGGTCCTTTCTCGACCCTGCAGCTCACTACCAGACCTCCCTCATGGAGGCAGATCTGAAGACTCAAGGCCGGGATGGGACTATCTCTTTGGACCCATTCCCGTTGCTTCAACGACTGACCATGAACCTCAGCTTCCAGATAACCTACGGCATTCAAATCGACAGCACCGAGGAGGCCCGGTACCAGGGCATTCTTAAACAGGCAGCAAACGTCAGCCGGATGCAGTCGGTGACAAAGACATGGGCCAATTTCATTCCGATCTTGATGTGGACTCCGCAGGTGCGAAGAGACATTAAGCGTGCTCGAGCGGGACAGGCTATGCGCGTTGCATATCAAAGGGATCTCTTCGATCAGTTGGTCAGGGAAAGGAGCTTTGGAAAGCGACCGGCCTGCATTGCGGCGTCTCTGCTGGATGACGGTGAAGCTAAGCTAAACCAAGGTAATGCCACTTCGATGCTGAGTTCTATGTCGATCTAACATGCCACAGACGAAATCGACGCCATTTGCAGAGCCATGCTACAAGGAGGTGTGGAGACCATTGCTGGCACTCTTGCAGGTGGACTGGGAAGTCTTTCAACGCAGGCCGGTCAGAAGATCCAGGAAGCTGCATACAACGCGATCCTAGAGGTGTACGGAGATGCAGATACCGCCTGGAAGGAGGCATTCGCCCCTGAAAGAGTGCCATATCTGTCAGCCATTTATAAAGAGTGCTTGGTATGTATCACTGAAACCACGAGGACGCTGCTTCTCTTGCAGGACTGACCGTGTTGGAAGCGCTTCTATACTGTCTCGGCCGGTGGCCTCCCTCACGAAACCATGAGGGATGTACACTATGCCGATATGGTCATCCCTGAAAAGACTATCATATACTTCAACAATGAAGGGATTAATCATGGTATGTTCATGCTGCTCTCGGAGTCTAGGCCCCAGTAGCTGTATATATGTGCCACTAACACATACATCTAGATGATGCGTTCTACGGGGACGGCAATGTCTTTCGTCCTGAAAGATGGCTTGAGGAACCCCTTGTGAGCATCAAAGGCCTCGGACACGTTGCCTACGGACCCGGCCCCCGAATATGTCCCGCTATGCATCTTTCCAACCATGTCATGTACGCGCTTTTGATGCGGCTGATCCTGGACTTCCGCTTTACCGCAGACGAAAAGGCGCCGCCGGTGACGGATGGAGTACACTTTGGACCGGGCTTGGAGGGTTTGAACAAGACTCCCTACCCATTCAGACTGTACTTTACCCCTAGGGATGACGACGCCGCAAAGAGGATTTCCAGAGGCGGGCTAGGGAAGACCCAGGCATGACCTGGAAATTGAACATGGCTTTGAATGCAGCCCTAGACTACCTGAGGGCGTAACCTGTAATAATATCGCCTAGAAACCTACGTGTTTTGATTCTACTAAGCTGCATTGTATACTCTACAATTGGTTAGTGGACTAGAACTGCTCGCGAGAGTGTTGCGATAATCTTGACAGGTGTCAACACTAGCTGCAGCCTCCAGGTTGAAGAAGGGTCTGAAATGGAAGACAGCGCTGAGTCTTAGCTGGAGTCGGTCACGGACGCGTGTGAAAGCCAACATAATCTTGCATCATCAGACAGAGGATGTATGTCTCCTAGTGCCTGGTGATTTTATCCAGGCTGTTTGGCACGGGTATCACCGAGAAGACACACAGTCACCACGCCTACCGCCGTCCTCAGGTACTAGCTTTTCTTCCGTCCCGGCAGAATTAGCCTGGCCTAGAGAGGCTTGATTAGCCACACAATATTAATATCGGCACCGTTTTGCCGTTGGCGGACACACAGTAAGCAATAGAGTTCGAGCAAGCAAGCCAAGTGATGGTAGCGATCTTTGTAAATGAGGCAACAGTCCCGTCACTTACTCTTCAACACCAAATAAGAATTTGCAAATCAGAAGAAGCCGTGAACGAGAATGACAATCGCTCCAGACTGGAGATCAATAGCGAAGGTGCAACATTAGAGCCAAGGCATTCATTGATCCGGAATCTTCTAACAGAATGCACAGGCTACTCAGGAAAGCATTCTCAAGAAAATCCCAAAAGAATGGTGTCTAGTGGAAGGGAATGCGGCACCGGAGAAACAAGACGTGTCCAAGATTCCGGAGAGCTGTGATATTCTCTCGCTGAAGGAGCGCGACATAACCGGAAGTGTTGATGCCACCTTCATTCTCAAGAAGATACATAGCAGACAATGGACGGCCGAAGAAGTCATGGTGGCATTCTGCAAACGAGCCGCAATCGCACATCAACTAGTGAGTGGATTGACCACAAGCAAATTCCCGCTCTTTCGAAGGTCTGATCCTGCTGTCATTAGACAAACTGCCTCACAGAGATTTGCTTTGAGGAAGCTATCACTCAGGCCAAGGTATTAGATGCCGAGCTGCAAAGGACCGGTAAACTTGCTGGACCGCTGCATGGCCTTCCCATTAGCCTGAAGGATCACATCAATGTTGCCGGGCTCAGATCGACTATGGGGTACTGTTGTCTGGCAGAGAATCGCCCAGAAGAGGATGCTGTTATTACCAAGGTCCTCAAAGCTGCAGGAGGCATCATCTTTGTCAAGACGACCATGCCGGTCACAGGAATGGTGAAAAGAATCACTTCTGTCGAGCACAAATGCTTTCTTTTCTGACTCCTTTCACAGGTCACAGAGACAACAAGCAACCTATTCGGGCGGACCACTCTGGGCCACAACCGTCTGTTGACTCCCGGCGGCAGCTCTGGAGGCGAAGGAGCCCTGATCGGACTGCGAGGCTCGCCTATGGGATGGGGGACCGACGTAGGAGGGTCGATTCGCGTGCCCGCTGCATTCAGTGGTATCTATGGCTTTAAGCCGTCCTCCCGACGGTTGAGTGTCGACGGCTTGAGCGCGAACGTCCGAGGGGCAATTTCAATTCCCGGGGTAATCGGTCCCATGTCGCTTTCCATCCGCGACCTTGAGCTGGTCTGCAAAGTTCTCACGGATGCCGAGCCGTGGCTGGAAGATCCTAATGTTTCTATGAAAGAATGGAAGCCGCGGCCCAAGATTGAACGATCGTTGAGGATCGGAGTCATGGCGTTCGATGGCGTCGTCATGCCGCATCCGCCCATTCTCCGAGCGATCAAGACCGCTGCCAATCAACTTCATTTGGCGGGACATGACGGTGCGCCGTTCACAAGAAAAGGCTTTCCATTAAGTGCGGCCAGGCTGAGACTTTTCCAGTTATCGACTTTGAACCATTCGAGAGCCTGAAGGCTTGGGAGATTGCAGTCAGTCGTTGTTCCACCTCTGTCGAGCCCAAATTTGAATTACTGAACACGAAAACAGTTTCCAATCTACTATGCTACCGGAGGCAAAGAGATGAGGGACCTCATAGAGGCGTCCGGAGAGCCATGGCCACCCGCGGCAGGAAAAATCAGTAACAGTCCTGCTGTTCGGGATCGAAAGCTGACTGTGAAAGAACTTTACGAGGTCGGTGCCCTGCTCCCACGGCTACTTGTGCGTTCATTGTCGTACTGACACACGGATCTGCAGCTCAATGCAGCTCGGGACCAGTACAAGAAGGGCTACCTTCAGCACTGGAAGAAAACGGCAACCCAGACCAAGACCGGTAAACCAATCGATGTCCTCTTGTGTCCAACTGCTGCGTCCGCCAGTTTTCCCCATGACTTTGTGCCGTAAGCTACCTCGATATGCTGCAAGTCCAATGTGATTCCGGGAACACTGCTGACCTCCCTTCTCTTTTCTACTCCAGCTGGTGGGGATATTCCAGTCAGTACAACATGCTGGACATGCCCGGCGTTGTCATCCCGGTTGGCAAGGTCGACAAGACAGTGGATGTCGAAGACAAGAAATACTCTCCCATAAACGAACGGGACCAAGAGAATTATGACATGTGTATGTTTTACGTTCCCCGGTCTGATCACATAGACGTGCAACTGGTACTGAACACAAAGCGCAGACGACCCCGAACTCTGGGATGGTGCTCCACTAGGTGTTCAGATAGTCGGGAGGAACTTTGATGACGAGTTTGTGCTTGCTTGTGCCAGCATTATTGATGAGGTGTTGAACGGCAGGGATCATTCCTCATAGATGTGTCTGGCATGTAACCCATTAGATGGGACCCTTACTCAAAACTCCAGTGAGATTTCAACACCCTGTCCGCCATCTATGCATAGACTTTGGCGTTGATACTCGAGCCAAGGGGTATCACAAGGAATGTTGAACGGAGTACCCTGTATCTGACAGCCTACATGCATATTGGCCTTCTTAAATATAATCATCTTCTCACACTAGCCTGAAACGGAACATACCAGAGCATTACCACCAATCACGAGTCGTATCTATAAGCGCACAAGTGGGGCTTCCGGTGGTTTCATGTAGTTAAGCAGTCAGCACTCGGGGTCTCTGTCTTCAGCCGAAGACGAGTACGAGATACCAGTAACGTTTATTTGGTACTCATATACTTGTATATCATGAACGGGCAAGGATCAGTACTTGGCAGAAAGGGATCAACAGTGCAATCGGCACAGTATCATATCCAACGACGGAGTTCTGCGAAGTTATACCTACATTTCTCGCGTGTAGCCGTCAAGTGATCGACATGGACGCACCCTTTTTTCGGAGGCTATTTTGTAGCCAGTATCTATCTGAAATCAATATATAAGTTTGAGATCGGAGAATACGCTCCGACAGGGCTCGTATCGGCGTGCCAGATCTTTTGGATATTCTTCTGCGCCTGGCCGAGCGTAACAGTAACACCACCATGGGTCAGAACGAGGATAATATCGCCACGACGGGCACCGTCGCGGAGATGGTGCCGATTGAGGGGAAGATGGAAGTCCTGCGCACTCATGCCGACGCAGCCCTGGACTTCCTCGAGACCCATGAGAATTTCACGTACACCAAAGAGGAGGAGAAAGCGGTGCTGCGTAAGATCGACAAGGTATTGGTGCCGCTGGTGAGTCCTTTGAGAGCCCTGACGAGTCATCTCGTGCGTGTGGTTTTGGGTACATAACTGACAGGGTGATGTTTACAGATGATGGGGTCGTATATCATCCAGTATATGGATAAGAGTGTCATGGCCCAAACTGCCATCTACGATCTGTTCACGAGCCTGGGACTCCACGGCCAACAGTATTCTTGGTGCTCGTAAGTGGACCGAATCAGCGAAACTGTCTCGGAGCAAGTAAAACAGGATTGCTGACCTTCTGGCAGTTCAATCTTTTATTTCGGCTATCTGGCTTTCCAGCCCATCCTCGCACGTTTGCTAAACTATGTGCCCCTGGGCCGATTCGTTGCCTACACCTCGCTCGCCTGGGCGGTTTTGTTGTTCTGCACGGCCGGAGCGTATAATTTCACTGGTATGATGATTGTGAGATTCTTCCTCGGCGTCGCCGAAGGCGGTATTTCTCCAGCATTCGTGTTGATCACCGGCACATGGTACAAGAAGAACGAAATCCCGCTCCGCATCACCATCTGGTACTGTGGTAACGGTGTCGCCAATGTCCTGCAAGCGTTCATCGCATACGGATGCGGCCACATTACCAACACTGGGATCCCTGTGTGGAAGTGGTTTTTTATCATCTTCGGGCTTACTGGGCTTGTCTGGGCTGTCGTGGTGTGGCTCTACTTTCCCGACACCCCTCTCACCGCCAAATTTCTTGACGAGCGTGAGAAAGCAATAGCCATCGAACGGCTTCGTGAGAACCGTACCGGGGTCCGCAATACGGAGTTCAAGAAAGAGCAGCTTAAAGAAGGATTGTTGGACCTCAAGGTCTGGTATGGCTTTTTCTATGCTATTGCCTGTGTCGTTCCCGCCACAGCTATTGCAAACTTCGGGTCGCTCATCATAAAAGGTACTGTACTGCATCCGCGTCAACCACTTTCGAAGGCATCGACGGAACTGACCTGAGTCTAGGTTTTGGCTTCGGATCATTCGAGACGTCGCTTCTGTCGTGCCCGCTTGGTGTGGTTGAAGATGTCGCTCTTCTCATAACCGGATACATAACTTACACCTATCCCAACACTCGATGTCTCATGCAGTTCTTGTGTAACATCCCCGCCGTACTGGGGTCTGCGCTTGTGTACGCACTACCCACGTCTAACAGGGCTGGAAGGCTGGTGTCGTTCTATATCACGCCATTCACGAACGGATCGCTGCCGATGATGTTCGCCCTCACGACCACCAACATCGCCGGCCACACCAAGAGATCCGTAGCGACCTCGCTCATGTTCGTCGGTTACTGCGTCGGATTCATCATCGGGCCCCAGTTTTTCCTCGCTTCTGAAGCTCCAGAGTACCCCACAGGGTTCAAGACCATGATCGTCCTGTTTTCCCTTTCATCGTTGGCTCCGCTCATTTATTTCACTTATGCGAGGTATCTGAACAGGCACAAGGCCAAGTTCTTGGAGGAAAGCGGCGAGGCCAACATCCATATCGAGAATGAGGAATTCCTGGATCTCACTGACAAACAACAATCGCACTTCTTTTACGCAATGTAGAAGGGGATCAGTGAGTTGCAGTCGGGCTTGTTTTAAATGACGAGGAAGCTGTCGGAACCTGCTGAAGGAGGGAGAGGGCCTTCGTGTCAAAGGCTAGTGATGCCCTGAGCTCCAGAAGAGCGATTTACTTCTGCGCCTCACAGAGGCCCGAAAAATGATGATGTTCGTCTTCGACGTGGATCGAAACTTTTGAGGGAGAACCAGTTTTATGTACGAAGTATTTATCAATAGTCTGAAATACTCGATGTGGCTGGGATTGCCTGGCTCATTTGAAGATGTTCTTTCACCATCGGTACACGAGCACTTCGCGAGCTAACTGTGAGCGAGCAATCAAAGGTCTGCTTGTCTTATGTGCTGGTGGCGCTGAATAGGGCCATACTTCTCTAGAGCGGCGTGTTACAACGGGGTAAACATCTGGGAGGAGAAGAGGGCAGGAATCTGATTCAAAGGCACTGAAATAAAGATGTTTGGTCAAGGGGCCTCGCAGGATCCCTGTCTACTACGAGATCAGAGATATTGCCCACGGGAGGCGGAGCGTGCTGCGTAGGTGAGTGAGAACGAAGGCGAGTGCAAAGTACATACTGTAAGTAGGCGGAAAATTGGAGGTGAGCTGTGCTTTAAAAGCAGCGAGGTGCGGTGCGGCTGATTGCCGCATCTCAAGTATTTTGTTTGACATTTCAGCCTCCTAGACTGAAAAGCCGCCGTCCTCGAACCGGTCAATACTGACGATCGTGATGTGATTACAGTCGTATTTTCATGACAATGAGTGCGCCCATTATCGTGGAACAGTCTCCAAAACTTCACAACTATGGCAGGAGCACGGTCAGACTACGGCAGCGGATCTGACCTTGGTTTGTTCACTGCGGAGGAGGCAGGTGATATCTCTTCGGGGTAACGTTCACAATTTGAAGTGCATGGCTCCGCTAACATCTAGACAGTATCCCGTCTAATATGCTCGGCTCAAGCACATCAGCTCGTCCCATAAGCCCGTTTCCCCTCCCTCCGTCGCAAGCGAATAAGACACCCTCGACAGTAACATCCGCACGCCTGCCGGCCAACGAGGAGGCCGGCGAGACACGTGCCACAACTGAAGGAGACGACTTACACCATACTGAAGACGTCGGCCAGAAGGATGATGGCCCGCTCGACTGGTACGTTGAAGGGCCGGGTAGGCGAGTAGGATACGACGACCTGACTGCCATCGATTGGATTTATGAGTATGCAAAGGAGCGACAACGACTGAGAAAATTTCTGGCGCATCACACGGGCCTGGTGGGAAATCTCAGGCAGTTACTCGACGCCAGCCACGTTTGGTTCGTTCTTGTCGCGAGCGGCGTCTCCGTGGGATGCGTAGCAGCATTCATCAACATCGCCTCAGACTGGCTGGGCGACATCAAGACAGGCTATTGTAAAAAGGGAGCCGGTGGTGGAGACTTCTACCTGAACAAGCAGTTCTGTTGTTGGGGTCACGATGAGTTTGCTCAATGTCAAGATTGGACTCCATGGCCTGCAGCGTTGGGGATCAGAGCCAGGGCCGGACAGTTTGTGATGGCCTATATTTTCTTCATTGTCTTTTCTATCCTATTTGCAGTCTCAGCAGCGACACTCGTTCAACATTACTCGATATATGCTCAACACAGCGGTATAGCGGAAATTAAGACACTCCTGGGAGGTTTCGTCATCAGAAGATTTCTCGGCGCATGGACTCTGATCACGAAGTCTTTTGGTTTGGTGAGTTCATCCATAGTTTTGCTTGCAGTTGAGCTGACTTGGGCAGGTTCTCGCCGTCTCCTCGGGTATGTGGCTTGGCAAGGAAGGCCCCTTCGTTCATCTGGCTTGCTGCTGCGCCAATATTATCATGAAACCATTCGAATCCCTAAGCCAGAACGAAGCTCGAAAGCGAGAAGTTCTCTCCGCCGCAGCTGCGTCTGGTATTTCGGTTGCGTTCGGTGCACCGATCGGCGGTGTCCTATTCTCGCTTGAGCAGTTGGCCTATTACTTCCCGGACAAGACGATGTGGCAATCGTTTGTTTGTGCGATGGTGGCAGCAGTGACGCTACAGGCTTTGAACCCTTTCCATACTGGAAAAATTGTCCTCTATCAAGTCACCTACACGACGGGCTGGCACAGCTTTGAACTTGCTCCGTTTATCCTTCTCGGTATCATCGGCGGAATCTATGGGGGGTTGTTCATCAAGCTGAACATGTTGGTGGCACGACTGCGTAGGTCTGCAAACTACCCGTTTCGCGACAAGCCGCTACTGGAAATACTGGTTGTTTCGGCCATCTCTGCGGTTATCAACTATCCCAATCTCTTTATGCGGGCTCAACTGTCAGAATTGGTGTATTATCTGTTTGCAGAATGTGCAACCATTGGGAACAATGACATCTTCGGCCTCTGCCGTGCTACAACCGCTGGAGCTCTCTCCATGGCATGGCTCCTGGTTGCTGCTTCGTTTCTGGGTTTCTTGCTTGCGAGCATTACATTTGGACTGCAAATACCCGCAGGAATCATCCTCCCCTCTCTGGCAATTGGCGCGCTCTATGGAAGAACACTTGGGGTGGTTGTCGAATTGATACATAAGCACTTCTCGACATCACTATTATTCGCTGCCTGCGAACCGGATGTTCCCTGTGTCATCCCAGGCACATATGCTATCGTTGGCGCTGCTTCGGCACTCGCTGGAGTCACAAGGATGACCGTGTCCATTGTCGTTATCATGTTTGAGCTCACAGGTGCCCTTACTTACGTCCTGCCAATCATGATTGCGGTCATGCTTGCAAAATGGATAGGAGATGTCTTCTCCACACGAGGCATCTACGAGTCTTGGATTCAATTCAAGGAATACCCATACCTCGAAAACAAGGACGACGCAACTATGCCTGATGTCTTCGTATCCAGTCTCATGACAAGAATGGAGGAAATGAGGTGCCTAGATGCAAATAGGTCTTATACTGTTGAGTACCTGCAAAACATCCTGCGAACAACATCTTATCGTGGTTTTCCGGTGGTCGCTTTCAGAAAGGCGGTGAGCGATGTCGCTGAAACAGGTTCAAACCGGCAATCACCCCGCGAGAACACTCTTCTCGGTTACATATCCCGGGTCGAACTGTCGTTCGCCCTCGAGCGGATGACACATCCCAGCAGTCACCAAACCAGACCCGGTGCTGAAACACTTGTTGATTCAAAAACACCCTGTTATTTCACCTACCATCCCGACATTGCCTCGGGATCTGGAATCGACCTGAGGCCTTGGATGGACCAGACACCTATCACGCTAAACGCGAACAGCTCACTTCAATTAGCGGTGCACATGTTCCAGAAACTTGGCCTGCGATATCTCCTTTTCGTTGAGCGTGGCGCTTTTAGAGGCATGCTCACTAAGAAGGACGTTTGGTGGATTCTGTCCGCATCGGCAGATGGACACAAGGCTGGGGAGTTTGTTGCCGATGCAGGCACCGTTCGAGACTCTGCTCTGGAAGATGAGGGTGAGTCCGAAGAGGCGAGAGGCCTTCTACAGGCCACCTCTGGGGATCCAGATTTACAAAGACTGCCATCTTAATCAAATTGCATTTGCCAGAGTGAGTCTGGACCCTGCAAGTTTACCTTTTTCATAAGGACGCACCAGAAACCGTCGAATACAACGGTTGATCTAAATTTGAAGTTCGGAGGCCTTACAATATGAAATACCCGGGTTTCGGAAGACCTCCTCCGGCAGGAGCTCTAGGCCACGCGGGATCCTCGCTGGATATTGCCCGCGAAGGCTAACAGCCACGAGCCCAACCAGGGATATCCCGTTCCAAGGCTCTGGTCCAGAGCATCTAGCTGCCAGTGTGATGGAGCCATGGCACAACTCTCTCCTTGCAAATCTCTCCAAGCAGCCAGACGCAAGGTCTCTTGCATGCACAAAGTTGCCGTGTTGGGAAACCTTGTCAGTAAGTCGCGATGCTCCGTAGAGGACGACAGGACCCAGCGGGAAAGGGCCAGAAGCCGAGCTGATCATCCGCTCCCTAGAAAGTCTGGAATATCGCTTAGAAGGACAACGGCCCATGCTCCATATGGCGTGTCTCTAGGGAGTAGCAACTTCTCTAGTTTGTGTTTTCGCGAGCTTAGGGCTCTGACAGCAGGACTACCACGAGGCGAAGACGCAATATATTGTCGTCTTCGGCCGCAACAAAAAGGGGCAGTCCATAATTGGCCATTTCTCAGGAACTGGGGCTTCCCTGCCTACGGGAAATTCAGGGCAGGCAGGAGAAAATGGGGTACGACTGACTATGCTGAGCCGAGCCTCGCGCTCTCCTCTATACTCGTCCTGGCGATCCCCTTTCCCGCAACCGAAATGATCAGCAGCAACGTGTCAGTCCAGATGGGCTCAAGAAGCGACGCATGCCGGAGGGGCAGTCAAGTGCGCGTTGAAGCGATAACGGTAAACTAATGCGCAGGCAGTAAACTTCTCACTACGCCCATGACTAACGACATGTTGATACTCCTAAAGACTGCAATGATAACCTAGCTTGCTCTGGCCCCAAACTCAGGTCAGTTGAGGACGGGCACGGAGGTGCCGAGTCGGGAGCAGATGAAGATTTCGAATCTCTTGCAAGGCGACGACCAAAAGGGCCATGATCGTCGTGCGCCACGAGGTCCTAAGCGAATATCCGCTTATCCTTGGGTGGAAGGGAACACGGCACGGGGAACCATTGGACCTCGATGGTGCCAAAAGAAACCTCCCACGGCTGCTTCTTGCGGTAATCGCTCACCAGCAGCTAAGAGAGTACGGACTCGTACCTACTGAATCCGTCTTGAGTCTCAGTTTCGCGTACCGCACAGTCGCCGTGGTCCTTCGAGTCGTAAAGATGACAGAGAGGCCTTATTTTTCACTTCGACTCGATGAAATTTCCAAGCGACACAACGGCCTTTGTTAGCTATATCGCCGTCAGATCTGCTATTGCGCGGCTGTCGGATCCTCTGATCAAAGTGCTTACCCACCTGGCACCTCAGACAGGACAGTATTTTGGCTGGCAGACATGGAGACTCGCGTTAAGAGGAATTCAACGGGCTTCAGGGGCCGTATTATGACTTGACGGCAACATTGCTGAGCCCATATCCCCGGCTCCAGTTTTCACGCCCCGATCTTTCAATCGACATCATCCCTTGGGACCAGTCACCGTTGTAGAAGCCTTCTTCGCCCAGAAGGGCAACCGCCGCTTCTTGTTACATCACTTCAGTGGGAAGCTATCTCGTCCTGCTGCTGTCGATCTTTGGGATTTGACGTGAAATAGTGTAGATGATGAGTGCGATCGGGCGACAGTGTTGCAAATTATTGGTGCACTGAACGAAACCTTCTCACTTTGTAGGACCCACGGGCCGCCACTCACGCACGTTGCTCCAGCTGCACACGTTTTTTCTCGTTATGACTAGGCATTCTGACGGCGGGCTGGGTCAAGACGCAGGACAAGAAAGTCCTAGTTATTGGTTCCAAAGCTGCGGACCTCAGGTCAAAGTGTAATGCCCACTTTTCATGCAGGAAGAATGGGGGTTTTCCTTTGGAGCCGACGAAATCCTTCACGGGCCACGAGGAGAAAGCATCGAGCATCGAGCACCAAGTCTCTGTGAATCCTTCCGCCGCTCGTCACGACTTACTCTGCCCTGATGACGGACGTAAAGAAAAAGGGCCTGAGTAATACTGGTGTGGGGAGCAAGGGTTTCCCAGGGTTGTTCAACGAGAAGTTCTATACGGGTTGTGCCATTGGGGAGATTAGTCACTTTACATCAACGGGTGTCAACAGATTGGCAGTAAGATGGCCAAACAGAAATCACCATGCCATTGCTTTGCAGGATCGCTCGGATTGGTCACCAAACCCTCGGTGTTTGGGTCCCTGCGGCCACTCCAGCAAGCAACAAATCCGAAATGTGATGGCTGAACAAAGCTGCCGATCCCTGCCGCGAACGAAGCCAAACTCTGAGACCTCTACGAAGGGTTTCCTTCCACAATCAACAGGCTTGATGCGAGCCCCAACGCCACAATCTCACCCATCAGGAATAGCTGGAAGGCTGCGAACTCATACCTGCTGGACCTAGTTCATACACTTGGGTCATTCAGGGGTCGATACTGTAATGAGAACGACTTCACAAGAGGTCATGCCACTTATCTCGCTTACAGGTGTAGAGAGAGAGCTGCACAAGTATGTGCACTCTGAAACGAACTGCTCAGCTACTATAGTTCTATCTAAAAATGCCGGCAGTTTGAGAGGGGATCAAACCCTTTGCCCTAGTCTCTCGCTTGGATGGGGGAATGTGATGGAAAGCTATCTGGGATGCTAGTCAGCTTCCCCGTGTGCCCTAACCCTGGAATGCGCGGCACCAGTCGTGAGAGGAGCTTGGGAGCCAAAACCGAATGCACGAGTGCTCTTACAGTTGAAATCCGTACAAAACTTTCACAGATCTACTGGGGCTACGAGTAGAGCTCTATGGTAAGTGGTACGTAATTTGCTGACGGTGGCAACGGTCGCTCGGACGCTTGAAGTTGTTGGCCTGGCCTACCGTCGTCCGTGTATGAACTTGGTTGAAAGAAGCCAAGTATGCACACAACGGGCGAGAGACGACCCCAGGCCGTTGAATCCTTCTGCGCCTTGAACAGTACCCGTAAAAGTCCTTCGCATCGGCTGCCTCCTGCGCCACATGACGAGGTTCTCTACCAAGAACGGGGTACAACGAGGGACAAATCAGCCGAGCTCGAGTACAGGTGCCATTGGCATGGTCGCGGTGATGCCCTGGTATCGCCAGCGACGACATGGCGAATAAGTTGGTACCTGATCCAGCCGTGTGCTTTTGGAAAAGATCCCCGGCGCAGCTTCTTTCTTGTCGCGCTCGCTCTCCAAGTGTCGTGGGGCCGATATTGCACTGTGCCTTTGGAGTCATGCAGGTCCCCCTGCCAGTGACACCTTATCAACATGGGCTCCCCTGTTTCGCCTATGAGGGACCGAGGATTGGCCCGAGTGCCTCCTGAAGACGTCTTCGGTTGAACGTCGAGGACACAAGCCACCCTTACTTGGCTGCTTGCTGTGACCCCAGCAGCTTCGTTGTCCTCACGGGCGACGCATGATGACATATGACCAGCGAGATTTACTAGTGTACACTGGTCGGTACACGATGCAGATTCACGCTTCTAGGAACAGACAGAACTGAGGCGGTAACATTTGCAGGATACGAGTACTCAAGTTCCCACCTGGCCTTGGACAACTTTCCCAGATGTTGTTGGAAATCCAACCGAGCCATCCTCACGATTTCGTCCAATTCCAGGATTCTTCATGTGACAGATCAACCAGATTTTGTCTTCACAGATCAAATTGTGGCGTCGGGCGCGAGAGCTTATGTAGATATCTCTCGAGGCTTCCTTTCGCCTCTCAATACAATAGAAAGAGAGGATAAAGGTACGAAGTATCTCTTCACGAGCGATCGCTTAATATTCTGCAAGTCAAGATCTAGCTCTGTCGATCAGTCATGCCAGAGGGACAAAGCAGGTGCGAAGGAACGTGGTTTGAGATCATATTAGCTTTCGTCACGACACGGGAAATTTCGATAAAACTGGAAGGGATGATGGGCGCCCAAGGGACTCTTTTTCCTTCTCCGTGCTCCACCCATCCAGATGGGGTCTGCTGTTGTTGGCCAGCACGGTCGACCATTGAGCGAAGGGTGCGGTACCTTACATTTGGCCGAGTCCATTGTTCCTAGGTCCTGTGGGCATGCCACAAGGACTCCCTTGCATGCTCTATCAATTGACCACCAGTGACAATGTGCACATTGCCCAAGGGCAACAATGGATGGTGCCGTTTTATGTATACCTGCCTATCCTGAGTCTGTCATTGTGGGCGCAACTTTCCGAACCCTCCTTGGTCTATCACGGGAGTTGTCCGTGACATGAGTTCCTGCCGTCGTGGACCCCCTTTGACAGGAGCCACAGGGTGTCAAACCCCCGAGGCTACCCAGGCTTGAGTTCCGACGCGTTGTTTCTGGGGAGGTTTTGGAGGCTCGAGGGGTCATGGATAGGGCCGGAAATGCCAGCTCGGCTTCAGGTACTGTTGGTTGGCGTTTCCCCTTGGTGCTTTACCAGGCAAGGAAGGCCTGGACGCAGATCCCTACTGCAAGACGACTCCCCAGGGACAAGCCCCTCGAATGGCAGGCGGATGGAGACGTGCATCGCCCCGCTAGGGACGGGATACCTTGCAGCTTTAGCATCTCTGGGCCCCTCTTGCAGCCTTTCACAGGGGTTACCTGGGGCTCTCTCTGGTTTCTGGGTCTAGTTGCGCCTAATGCCGGCTCCACGGCGCCGGCGTGTGGTCTTTCCTATAGCGGCATGGTCCCAGGCGCTCGGTGCAACACCATCTCCATGTCCGGGGCCTGTACGGAGCCCGGAGCATGCCTAGTGAGCCCAAGGCCTCTAGATGCTCTGGCTCGACCATGGGCGTTGAGATTCTCCACCGTTGCACAGTTGCAAGCCCCCAGGCTGGCAAACTTGTCTTTACATGACATCCGCCGTCCAGAAGCAGGGTTCCACACAGCGTTGCGCCATGGGATTCCCCCACCGCGCCGGTTCAACTGGCCAGAATCGATCGTGCCTCACGGTCTCAAATGCTAAGGTGCTCGTGGTACATTGATGTGAAGGTACCCACAGAGCCGGTTTTACCTTGTTGGAGAGAAAGAACCAGCATCCACCAATTTGCAGGCTTGCAAAGTGCTACCTCCCTCCAGTCCCCTCCAAGCAGCAATCCAAGTGCAATACTATACTCTAGCCATTGTAACCCCCTCTGATTCCATCCTCATATCCCCGTCTCCCGAGTGCCCACTGAGGAAACAAAATTGAAAGGCCTCCACGTGGTTACCGATCTCCCCTAGTTCTTTCAGGATCTCCCCTCTGGATGAAATTGGCCGGACGCTAGAGAAAGAGCACTGCCAGTCCGGCATCTCTTCTTCCATGACCAAACACGATCGCTCCTACTCCAGCGCCGAGGTGTCCAGAGAGACCACCGAAAACCTCTACGAGTTGGGACTTCTGAATCGTCCTCGATCAAGGTCTCGGACCAGCACAAACGATTCGAAACCGGCCCACTGTAAGACCTCCAGCGATATCCTTCTTCTGCGGTGACCGCGACTCCCTTCTCCAGTCTTGCTTTCCACAGCCATTTCTGTTGCAGCGAGACAAGGCGAGGAAACGATAGAACTAACTCATGGTTTTGTACTTCCCAGACCAGGTCTCGCGAGCCCGTCACGACGGGTTCCCTCCTCGCGCGGCCTCTTCCTTGAGCGGCGCCTCCCATAATCCGACCTTCAAACAATCTAGTATATCCTCTGGCACGTTGGGTAGGCCGCATACGCCGAACGACCACCGTCCGCGCACGAGGGATCGTCGGCCTCCTTCTTCCCCCACGGCAAGCGTCCCAGGAGCTGGGCATCCCATGGCCGGCATGCTCGACTCGGACCGCTCACGATCACGACGAGAAAGGACATTTGTTGGAGGGGAATGCGCTGCGTGTGAAGAGCTTCTGGAGCACACACTGAGGGGGGAGAGGGTTCTACAATTTTCCTGTGGGCATGTCGCTCACGAGGCTTGCTTCTACGAATACATTCGCGACTCGGATTCTCAATATTGCCCAACATGCGACGCTCCGTTGAGCCTGGATTCCTTCCGAGGGGGCAGCATTCTGGACCTGAGTAGGTACCTTCTTTCCTGTCTCCGAGATCATTCCTGACCACATTTCCAGCCAAGTTGAGTAATATGGTTCGAGCGGTTGCTTCCAAGGACGTCACTTCGCCAAGGAGCTCACAGAACACGCCAATGCCTTGGGAGGCCAGCAGACCAGCTGCCCAGGATGATGCCTACAGTGCACAAGGAATGAGTGAAAGGCTCAGCAGCCGCGAAAACCCCAACCGAGACAGTCGAGACAGCCAAAGAATGCGCATCGAACGCCTCGGTATCGGCCATGGTTTTCACGGATCACAGACCCATTCACGCAATGACAGCGGCAATGCCTCCTCGACTGACTACGCCAATGACCATGCCGGTCACCCACGAAAGCACGATTATGATCTCCACGCCATGGAAACCAGTGTCCCTGGAACTCAGACCAAAGATATGAAGCAGCCCATCCCAGTCCCCATTGTCACAGTTCGCAGTGAGTATCCGACCTTGACTCGGTCACGGCAGCAGCAGACTGTTACCTGTCTCGTTACCATTGAAGTTCCAGAGGGTAAATACAACGGCCAATTAGAGGATATGCAGAACACGCCCCCGGTCCCGCCCCTTCCCAGCGACTCTGGCGTCGGTATTCCAGCGATGCACAGGCACCAGCAACTTCCCCAGCAACCTCTCATGTACGAATCCTCAGAGATCCTCGAAGAAATCACTGAAGAGCTTAGGATGCGTGTGGATAACTGGCACGGGCTGGAGTTTCAGAGATTTGGAAAGTTACGACTGCACAACGTCATCAGAGTCGGCAAAGACCGCCACTCATGGCAGGAGCTTGAGTGCTACCTGTTTGGAGAAATGCTCATTTGTGTGAAGGAAAAGAAGAACGCCCAACCTCCATTGATGACGGAATCTGGCCGCAAACTGACGAGGTGTACCTTGAAAGGCTCCATTCTCATCAAGAAACATCTGCGACAGGTACATGCGTCTCCAGACGAGTGCATCTTGACGTTGAATCTGTCAGTGGCAGAGCTGCCAACCTTCCATCTCCTGTTCCAGGACCGAGACAAGCTGGAAATCTGGCAACGAGCCTTGAAAGACCTTCATGCCACCGAACCCTCTCCCCGTTTCAACCAAGACTACGAACAAGATACCTCGGGCACGGATGAGGAAGAGTACGGCCGGCAGAACCGAAATGTCCGACGCGTACCTTCTGTTGCGTCGTCCTACGGTGGGCCAAGGTCGGCCACGACTGCAGCTACGGAATATTCTATGCCAAAGAACGGCTTTGATAAGCGGATCCCTGCCTCACTCCATGTGCCGATCGATATTGTTGTCGTCATTCCTATATCGTCATCGATGCAAGGTCTAAAGATTACCCTGTTGAGGGATACACTACGCTTCCTTGTGCACAACTTGGGCGACCGCGACCGGATGGGCCTCGTCACCTTTGGTTCGAGTGGTGGAGGAGTTCCGGTTGTTGGGATGACGACAAAGACGTGGGGTGGATGGAACAAAGTCCTCAATTCGATCCGCCCCGTTGGACAAAAGAGCCTACGAGCGGACGTGGTTGACGGCGCCAATGTTGCAATGGATTTGTTGATGCAGCGCAAAGCCGCAAATCCTATCTCGACCATCCTCCTGATCAGCGACTCCTCCACTTCTGAAATGGAAGGCGTGGATTTTGTTGTCCAGAGAGCCGAAGCTGCAAAGTATGTTCTCCGCCGTCTCTTGTCCCTTCCTCTGCTAACTGTCCTAGGGTCGGTATTTACTCCTTTGGCCTTGGACTCACCCATAAGCCTGAAAGCATGCTTGAGCTGTCGAGCAGGACCAAGGCATCGTATCTCTACGTGAAGGATTGGATGATGCTTCGCGAATGTGCTGGAGGCGTTTTGGGTGCGCTTCAATCGATATCTCACCAGAATGTCAAGCTTAAGCTCAAGCTGCCCGAAGGATCCCCAGCGAAATTTGTAAAGATCAACGGAGCTCTGCAGACGACCAAGAGAGCCACCGGTCGGGATGCTGAAGCAAGTTTGGGTGATCTCCATTTCGGCGACAAACGCGATGTGCTGGTGCAGTTAGTGATCGACCCGGACACCACGACCTCGGAGCCTGCACCCCAGGATGCTTGGGAATCGATAGTGTCTGGTCTCGAAGCTCTGGGTGGCTCACTCGATACCGACGACCAGAGGGTTCAAAGCGTGGAGGAACTACCACTGCTACAGGCCGATCTTTGCTTCGGCGATCTGCACCGAGAAGGCTCCATGGTCCAGTTGCCTCGGCCGTCACTGCTCACCATCACCATGTTACCCTCAAACCGCCGTTCGCGTCAAAACGGACGACCACCAACACCCCCCATTCCTCCCCATCCCTCCATCGTCCAAAGGCGCATGGAGTTACTAACGTCCGACATGCTGAGCCGTGCCCTGACCCTTGTCCAGCGCGGTCAGCACGAGCGCGCGCATCATCTCCTTAATGAAACAAGGACCATCCTCAAAGGATTGGCGAAAGGTGGTCTCCCACCACTACCCCCGGGCGCTGCCCATCCGGTCAATAAACGACACACCCCACCGTCCAAGGGAGGGAGTCCCAGAGCTGCTACGCCGGACCACGCACGCGACCACAGCCCCCATTCAGACGCCAGTACACCTATTCCACGCTCGACCAACGTTGATCACACCATCATGAATGCTCTCGACGCCGACATCGAAGCCAGCCTTGAGTGGATCAACCATCCCGCCGTCTTCTCACGCGACTCTCGCAAAGCAGTCCTCCAGGCTATAGGAGTGATTTCCTCCCAACGAGCCTATACCTTTAGGACCGCTTCCGAATCCTTATGGGCGGAACGAGTGGCGGGAGTCAAGAGGCTCACGGAGCAGTCGAGGGAGTGGAGGGAGGCAGGCGACGACGCTCTGACTGAAGAGTAATGAGGCCCTTACGACATGATTCTATGTACAAATTCCTCCCTTATGTGCATGTACATTTTCTTGATTGATTATGTTGCTTGTTCTAAGACCAGCGAAAGAAAGAACCTCCTCTGTGTGTGAAAGCGAAAAAGCTTGCTACAGACCTTGAAAAAATGAGCGGTTCAATATGTGTTTTTTTTTTGGAAGATTATACCCAGTGTATCAGAAGCGGCCTGATGATAGCGGTCAAAGCGACATTCCATAGATTACGCCCCTGCTCGGTGCATAGTATTGCAGCTGTCAAATCCATTGCTTGAACATGATCTTTTTGGGGAACTTCTCTTATTGAAACGAAAGCCGGTAGATCAAGTTTTACTTCTTCCTCACATACTTCGTACGAAGTTATTGGCCGCATGGAGTATCTAGATAGACAGGGTCCTCTTCAGATGCTGATTGGTTGATGCGGGTGCCAGCCTTGCGCAGCCTCGCGCCACACGAAATTTTTTGCTGGCCGCTGCGTTGCCAAGAAATGTGTCTTGACGATTCTCTTTCAACGACAACGATCATCTATTGTTATTTTTACCCTCCTGGATACCTGTGCTTTGTAGGAGGGAAGGAAGTACCACGCCATCCGGTTGCACCATGGAAGACATAGCAGTATACTGCTCATGGGCGGATGCGCAACTCGGCGCTGATCACGCTTTCCTCTCAGAAGTCCCTACAGAAGTCCGATCACTCATTACCAGATCAACAGCGTCTCAGTATCTGGAGTCCCTCGCCGATGTTATCCGTGATGCTAGATATACAGATGCGCTGTTCCCACTCTTCAAACCTCTCTTGCCCGAGCTGCACGCCAGGTGGTCGAGTCCCAACTGCACCACTGAACTGAAGGACATTATCAGCACCATATCTTGTCTGGCTAGGATTTTGCCCCTTGCCACGTATCTGCGCCCTCATATCAAATGGCTGCTTCGGATAGACCACTTAAGGCGTCGTGTGATGGATCTAAGAGGCCCTTCATCCGAGCTTCCAGACGATGTCGAACATGCACTTCTGCTCGCTGTCTTCCGGCTACTCTCGTTTGACCGACGCATCCTCACCGATATCGTTACTCCTGTCTTTTTCTCGTCCTTTTTGCGTCATCGCGCACTGCCAGTCAGATACTTAGCTGTCCAGTGTCTGTGCATAATCATGCACTTCGCCGATGCGTTTTCTGAGACCATGGTCAAGACATATGTGGGCGATGAAGCCTTATGGGGCGAGTGGGAGGGTCAGCGGATAGATTATCGGCTGCTGAAGCTTTGGGAAGAGAGGCGCTGGAAAGATCTCATTTCCACGACGGCGAGCATTGAGAAATCCTGGCAATCATCATCATCGTCCTCACCTTCAAAGGGTCGCAATCGGCTTTCCGAAAGTTTCACGCCGCGCGTTGTTGATGTTGGCGGCATTCTCCACTTGCCCTTGCCTTTGGACGATCATACACCAAGGCTGTCTGCTTCTACTTTCGTCCTGACGCCCACGGCGAAGCTCAATTTGCGGCGGCTGGGCGAGTGTGTATTATATTCGAAACCCATCCTAATCTCGGGCCAGGCCAGTTCCGGAAAGACGTCGTTGGTACACGAGGCCGCAAGGCTTCTGGATCGATCATCGTCAATGATTACATTACACCTCAACGAACAAACAGACGCTAAGAGTTTGTTGGGGATACACACTTCTTCAGCCGACGGCCAGTCCTTTACCTGGCAGCCCGGCGTTTTGACTAAGGCCATGCAACAGGGACGATGGGTTCTGATAGAAGACATTGACCGGGCACCAGGCGAGGTTATGGGGATGCTGCGTCCGATCCTTGAGAATGGCGAACTGTTACTGCCGAGTCGAAATGAAAAGATATATCCGAGGGATGGATTTCGCATTTTGGCAACTATCGAATCAGCCGGGCAGACGTCTTCCATCAAAAATTCTCGCCAATCGTGGCTCCTCAGTTCCCGACTCTGGAGCATTGTCGAAGCGGCCAACTACCCGCCAGAAGAGGTCGAAGCCTTGCTTTATTCTCGATACCCTAATGCTAATGTTTTTATTCCGACGATTCTGCAAGTTCACGGAAATCTTCTTCGTCTACACAAGGAACACCATGCACTAAAAAGACTACAGACACGCATGCCCTCCTTGAGGGATCTTCTCAATCTGTTGAGGAGGATAGTCCGTCGACTGGGCCGTCATGGTGCCATTTCACAGTCGGATCCTCTCCCCGAACAGACAAAATTCCACATTTTCAAAGACGCCGTCGACTGCTATGCAGGCTATTTCGACAATGAGGAGCTTCATGGATTCATGGCCGAGAGGATTGCTGCCGAAATGAATATTTCACCTCAGCAGATGCGGCACTCTCTGGATGAAACCTTCCCAACTATCTCTGAGCACAAAGACGTGGTGCAGGTTGGACGGAGTACTCTTAAGAGAATTGCAGTTCGCCGAGGACAAGCCAAGAGAGCTCCTTTTGCGTTCACCGTTTCTGCTAGCAGAACGCTCGACCGCATAGCCGTGTGCGCCGATTGCTCAGAACCGTGCCTTCTAGTTGGTGAGACTGGCGTTGGAAAGACGACTCTGGTGCAACACGTTGCCAGCCTCGTGGGCCAGACACTTACTGTGATCAACCTGTCGCAGCAGAGCGAAGCTGGTGACCTTATTGGGGGGCTGAAGCCTGTAACAATTCGATCTCTGATTCTGCCAGTAGTCGAAAAGTTTAACACCTTGTTTGATGATACCTTCTCCGCAAAAAGAAACGAGAAATTCCAAATATCTCTTACGAAGGCATTCGGAAAACAGAACTGGTCGAGACTACTGATTTTATGGAATGAAGCTATCCAGATGGCAGCAGCCTCTCTCAACACCGCAGAAAACCCCCGTGCAGATGGATCTGTCCATGCAAACAAGAAGCGCAGGCTGGACACACCGAAATATGAAGCACTCCGCACGAGGTGGACTGACTTTTCTGAAAGCCTGAAGCAGATTCGTGCCTTTGTTGCCCACGGTCACAAGACTCACACTTTCGCGTTCGTTGAAGGCAGGTTGGTGCAAGCAGTCCGAGAAGGAGGATGGGTACTCTTTGATGAGATCAATCTAGCCCCGTCGGACACTCTCGACCATATTGTCAGCCTCTTGCAGAATGGAGACGAAGAAAAGCCTTCGTTACTTCTCACCGAAGCAGGCAACATTGAGACCATCATTGCTCATCCAAATTTCCGCGTCTTCGCTGCTATGAACCCGGCAACGGATGCGGGAAAGAAAGACCTCCCCCCTGCTCTGCGATCACGATTCACCGAGATATATGTTCCCTCTGGCGACAATAATCTCGAGGATCTGACCAAGATCATTCAAACATATCTAGCATCCCTGCTTGATAACGACAAACGAGCCTCCCTGGATCTTGCGAACTCTTATCTCGAGCTGAAGAAGCTCAATGAAGCACACCAACTGACCGATGGGGCAGGTGAAACGCCGCATTTCAGTATTCGGTCCCTTGTTCGATGTCTATTATATGTCTCGCAACACAGTGCAAGCTACGGCTTGAGACGTGCTATGTACGAGGGATTTGCCATGAGCTTCTTTACGGTACTGAGTAGAGCAGCCGAAAATTTGGCTCTACCGTTGCTTGAGAAACACCTTCTCTCAAGTATCAAGAACCGGAAGGCATTTTTCAGCCAACAACCAAAAATGCCACAGAATGGAGAGGACTACGTTGCTTTCAGACATCACATTGTCAAAAGAGGTCCGGTTGCTCCTGACTTCCAACCGCACTATATCAGAACACCCTCTGTCGAACGCAATTTGCTCAACCTGGCTCGTGCCGCCTCTATGCGACGTTTTCCAATTCTTCTCCAAGGTCCGACATCGGCTGGCAAGACCAGCATGGTTGAATATCTTGCAAAATTGTCGGGTAACAAATTCGTTAGGATCAACAACCATGAGCACACAGACCTCCAGGAGTATTTGGGCAGCTATATGTCCGATACCGACGGCAGGCTCGTGTTCAGAGAAGGTGTCCTGGTGGATGCGCTACGCCTTGGCCATTGGATCGTGCTCGATGAATTGAATTTAGCTCCGAGCGATGTGCTCGAAGCTCTCAATCGCTTGCTTGACGATAACAGAGAGCTCCTTATTCCAGAGTCTCAGGAAATCGTGCGACCACATCCTAATTTCATGCTCTTCGCCACACAGAATCCGGCTGGTCTATATGGGGGTCGGAAGCGGCTATCCAGAGCTTTCAGAAATCGCTTCCTCGAAATTCACTTTGATGATATTCCTGAAGATGAACTGGAGATAATACTACGAGAACGGGCCCAGATCGCTCCTTCGTTTTGCACCAAAATTGTGGCAGTCTACAAGAAATTGTCCCTTCTCAGGCAATCTTCTAGATTGTTCGAACAGCGCAACAGCTTTGCTACACTTCGAGATCTATTCCGATGGGCCTCAAGACCTGTGGACGACTGGCAGCAGTTGGCACAGCACGGCTTCATGCTCTTGGCAGAACGAGTAAGAGAACCAGCAGAGCGTGCTGTGGTCAAGGGCATTATCGAGGAGACTATCAAAGTTGTGATTGACGAAAGTGTTTTGTATGGCATGTCGAAGATTCCGAACGCTGTTCAGCACCATGGTTCGATTATCTGGACGCCGGCAATGAGGCGAGTTTTTGTTCTTGTGACCGAAGCACTGAAAAATAACGAGCCGGTTCTCTTGGTCGGCGAAACAGGATGCGGAAAGACTCAAATCTGCCAGGTGATTGCCGAAGCAACTGGCACGCCAATTGATATCTACAACGCGCATACCAATACCGAAACTAGTGATCTTATTGGGTCTCAGCGACCAATTCGTAACCGGTCTGAGCTTGCTCATCATGTTCACGCTAGCTGGCAGGCTTTGGTTCGTTCCAGGCCTGACAGCAGCTTGACTGAAGACCTTGATGTTCACCAAATTGTGGAGGCTGTCAAGACTCTTGACCAATCGAGCTATGATCCCAGACTTGTCCAGAATCTCCGATCTAGCATCGGGGCATACGAGGCTCTGTTTGCTTGGAATGACGGCAGTCTCGTCCGAGCCATGAAACGGGGCGAATATTTCTTGCTCGATGAAATTTCTTTGGCTGAAGACTCTGTTCTTGAACGTCTGAACAGTGTCCTGGAGCCATCTCGGACAATTCTGCTCGCGGAAAAGGGCTCGGTCGACAATCTCGTTATCGCGCACCCCAAATTTCAATTTTTGTCCACAATGAATCCAGGAGGCGACTACGGGAAGAAGGAGCTGTCGGCGGCACTACGAAATCGGCTGACTGAAATCTGGGTACCTCCCTTGTCACAAGAAGCAGATCTCTTGCCCATTGTCCAGACTAAGCTAGGAACAAAAACAAGTAATCTGGCCAAGAAGATGCTCCAGTTTGCTGCCTGGTTTCGTACAGAGTTCCACAATGCAGCATCCAAGAGCATTGCATTGCGAGATCTGTTGGCTTGGGCAGACTTCGTCAATCGCGCCGAGTCCCTGGGCGAGGAGTCTGCTTTCGTGCACGGGGCGTTCATGGTCTACATCGACTCCATCGGTGCAAATCCATCTGGGCTAACTTCCATGGGTGCAAGAGATTTAAATGAGTCAAGAAAAAGGTGTCTCGAACGATTACAAGATCTGGTTAGTCTCAATGTCCTGGAAAACTATGGAAGAATTCCTGAGCTTTCATCTTCGGAGGAACGCCTCTTCGTTGGTCAATTCTCTCTTGCTCGGACCGAAACTTCAGCTCAGCAGACAACGGATCTGGTTTTCAACGCTCCAACCACGGCACAAAATACAATGAGGATTGTTCGTGCTTTGCAAATGACAAGGCCCATTCTGTTGGAAGGCAGCCCTGGTGTCGGCAAGACGGCGATAGTGACAGCGCTCGCCCAAGCTTGTGGAAGGAAGTTCACTCGAATTAATCTGTCCGATCAGACGGATCTTATGGATTTGTTTGGGGCGGACGCACCATCCGAGAACGAAGGAGTCGGGAAGTTTTCATGGCAAGACGGACCTTTGCTGAAAGCTATGCAGTCCGGTGGATGGGTCCTGCTCGACGAAATGAATCTGGCATCTCAATCCGTTCTGGAAGGGCTGAATGCTTGCTTGGATCACCGTCGGGAAGTGTATATTGCAGAGTTGGACAAGTCTTTCATCTGTCATCCGGATTTCACTCTGTTTGCGGCGCAAAACCCTCATCATCAAGGCGGAGGTCGGAAAGGACTTCCGGCTTCCTTCGTCAATCGATTCACGGTCGTCTACGCCGATTCTTTCCAACGTGTGGACCTGATTCGTATTTGCAAGTCCAGGTTCCCAGAGGTTGACGATGATCAAATCGAGAATGTGATCAATGAGGCTACGCGCCTGGAAAAGGTCGTTGCGGGGAGCCCTGCTTTTGCCAACGGGGGACCTTGGGAATTGAATCTACGCGATGTGGAGCGATGGCTGCGATTGTGTAAAGAGCAGCCAACACTTCCCTCGTCTTACCATGTTCGCACTATTGTCACGGAGCGTTTTCGCACCGTTGTCCAAAGAGACCAGGCCTCCGGAGCAGCCGAGTCAGGCTCCATTTCTCTCACGCCCGAAAGCTTTTACAACAACATGACTGACAGCGTTCTTCAGATCGGCAACGCCTTCCTCTCCAGGGATGCCGTTTTCCAAAATACCCAGGCGCCGCACACAACTCCCTCTACACGACAACTTTCCGCCTCAAACTCTATCATTACAGCCATCGGACAGAAATGGCCTGTGATCCTGGCTGGTCCCTCGGGTTCGGGAAAGACAACTCTCATCCGATATCTTGCGGCAGCAGCAGGGGTCGAGCTTGTCGAGTTTTCCATGAACTCTGATGTAGACACGATAGACCTCGTGGGAGGTTTCGACCAATACGATGTCCGTCGCGATGTCAGCTCGATCCAGATCAAAGTACGAGAATTGCTTCGAGAACAAATCGCAGCAGCTCTGAAAAATGTAGCAGATGAAGCGCGCCAGATTGAACTGCTGAGGGCATGGCGCTTCCTCGAAGACAATGAGATCGAAATTCCTGAGCTTCGGGCAGCGATCTTAACTTTACTGCCGATTTTCCCGGAACTGCGACCACAAGTTGAAATGATTTCAACTATCCTTGATTCAGATCGTGAAAAAAGCCTCCGATTTGTCTGGAATGATGGCGTCCTCGTCAATGCTGTTGAGAACGGCTCGTGGCTGTTGCTCGAAAATGCCAATTTGTGCAATCCGTCTGTTTTGGACCGGCTCAACTCCTTGCTCGAACCAGGTGGATCACTTGCCATCAGCGAGCAACATAATGGGAGCACTGGCACCAGAATAATCGAGCCACATGCAAATTTCAGAATCTTTCTGACGATGGACCCGCGCTATGGAGAGCTCTCTCGGGCGATGAGGAATCGGTCACTCGAGATCTTTATTCCTGACGTCCACAAGATTGACCGTGCGACTCCGATCCAGTATCCGATTTCTTCTTCTCTCACTCGATTGCGACATTTGATGGACACCGTCGGCAAAACACAAAAGGCTCACAGTATCGAGGCAGCGGTAGACAATCTCAGCCGTACAGATATGAAGTTGATCTCACAGGCCGATCACTCCATGCTTGATCCCACAACTAACGAATTATTACAAAAAGAAATCGGCGACAGGAATCTGTCCGAGGTGGGAGATGTGTACCAAACCTTGAGCTATCTGGTGCTTTCGAAAGACAACCGATTTCCACAAATGCCCATCCTTAACGAGCCACTGATCTTGCTCGAAGGGGTTTCCAAAAATGAATCTCTAGGGCCTTCCTTTGCAGGACCATTTACCAAGTACTGGTATGTAACGCGGCAGTTGGCAGAAATCATTTCGATCATGAAGAACGCATCAATCCGTGTCAAAACACTCGCCATCAAGGACCAAACAGTACTCGAAAGATCAATTTCTGTTTCGAAGAGGGCAGCACTTGGTTCAACACCAAACGTTGCAGCTTTTGGCAAGCTTGTGGTTTCCTCAATGTCTGAAGTCGTTCGGAGGGAGCTCAGGGCGAGGAGGAATGAGGTCCTGGCGGAGGGAGTGGAACGAATCCTTCGCTTTACTCTGGAGTTCATCTTCCTCTGTAACACGAAAACAATTGACATAGCTTCTTTGGAGGCATATCTGCAAGTTGGGGCTGACTTGCAGAATCTTGTTCAGCGACAGTCTCCCGACCTTGCCTCTCAGTTTTCATCGTGCCTAGATGCTTTGGGGGCTTCCAGGACTGGTCCAGAGGCTGGGTTCGGGCTTCAACTTATGTGGCCAAGTTTCCGGCCCATAACAGCATGCACGTGGTCACAACTCAACTGTCAGCTCGCATTAGAACAGCTCATCGGCAGATTCGATATCGCATGTCGCCGCTTACCGCAACCTCGAACCTCACTTTCCGGTGTGAGGTTCAGATTGAAAAGTGCGTATGCCTCGATTGCCGAGTCAGAACAACCAGAATCCCTGATGCTGGATCTTCAGGAGGCCGTGTCAAGACTCCAGGAGCAATCAAACAACGGCTTTCTTCTTGAAGGAAAGTTTGAAAACGTGATCAGATTCATATACCAAGCAGTTATGTTGCAGAAGGGCACAGCGAACGAATCAGATCTGGGAACTCTAGCGATGTTTATGCACCAATCCCAAAGACTTTCACTTGCCTTTGGATATCAAAACACTGTGTCTAATTCGTTGGCCCGTCTTGCATCCCTGAATGCAGATATCTTGGTGGATGACGGCTCCGTTGGGCTGGAACTCAGTGGTCAGCTTTCTTCAGTACAACGCCAGCCTCTCGGAACCCTCAATCATGCGAAAGAGGAGGTGCAGGAACTGACGAAGACGTTGGCATCCCACACTTCCTCATTTGACAACTTCTGGCGTCCACTGATTGAGAATCTCCTTTCGATTCTGGGAGGCTTCATGTCTTCCTTCCGTGCTCTCTTGACGCCGGAGGCAAGAGCATGCTTTCCTGAAGGATACGGACCAGATCTATCTCGGTTGTCTACCATACCGAGCGAGGATGTCTTCCTGAATGTGCACAGCAACGAGCCTTTCAACAAAGTGTATGTCATACTGATCCACCCTGTACTACTACAACTGCAAGCCAGGAACGAATTTGGACCTCAGCAGCTCAAAACATGCCTCGCTAGCTTGTCTCTTGCCGGACTGATCTTCATGGTTCCCGATAGGCCCTTGGACCCTGCAATATATCCGATGGTTGTGTACCATCTCCATGAACGCCGACGAGGGGAACTGGTTTCCAGAATCGAAGGGCAGAAGGAATTTCACAGGCACCTGATGGGAATAGACACCGCTCTTGTTATCCGTATCCTACAACAAGAGCTGCTCGAATTGGGTACTGTCACTCAACCTCCGGCAGTGATAAGACCTGGCAAAGAAGAATTCTTCAAGATTCAAGACGTCTTCACAACAATCGTGAACGGTTTGCTTAACTACCAGGAAGCTCAAACGCTTCAAGAACTACGTCCTGGCAGTGTAGAATGGATCGAGCACTGGGCTAGCAAACAAGGAATGTCAAATCTGAGCACGATCATTGAGCGACTAGAAACTTCTCATCGAGCGTTCGATGACTTTGTGAAGCCGATTCTATGGTTCTTGAAATGCCTGTATCTGGCCTTGGAGCTTGAGGTTGGCGACAGGAGTCGAAGCAGCACCCCTCTAGTTCTTCGCGAGCTTATCGCAAGCACTCCTTTACTGACCAGAAGTCCTGCCACTGTTCACCACTGGAAACCCCTTCACATCTCATCTCCAGTGGTTAAGCTGCACTGGCTGGATCACATTGGAATGAGAGCTGCTCTAGCAGGGAAGAGGGAGTCTGTCCTGATCGAGGACTTCATTGGCGTTATTGATGGCTTTTACTTCGAATGGAAAACTCGCCTGACCCAAGACCAGGCCGATGCTGCAACGAGATCTCGCTACTATACCTACCGTGGGGATACGCTTGAAGACGAAGACGGCGAAAGTCGCGAAATGAGAGAGCTATTTCCACAGTTCGAAGACGAGGACATGGAGAATGACGTGCAGCAACCAAAATTCGACGCTCGCGCCAATGCGGCTCGACTCAGCAGGCTACATCAGAAGATCTTAACCAAACAAGACCCGCAGGGGGCCATGGAAGCGTTCATTCTATCCACAATGGAATTATTACCCAAGGCTGCCGGTGCTGCTGGAGGCACTGGAAGTTCGTTCCTTGATTTCCTACCGGCTGTCTTTCTGCAGATGGAAGCTAAATTGAACGAGTTTAGCAGCGAGAAAAGTGCCAGCACCTTCAACATATACACTGACCCCGACGTTCAGCAAAGTCAGAAGCTGTTGGATCTGGTCTACCATATTCAATCGAGATTCTCCGTCATCCGGGAAAAATGGCCTGAGCATGCGGTACCCGCAGATGTCCTATCATTCTGCAGCGAAGTCCTCCATTTGAGCTTCGGTGACCCTATCGCTAAACTTCTCACCAAGATGGAGAAGCTATACGATATTGTGTCGCAATGGCAGAATATTGCCAGCAGGGAGTGGTCCGTCGGCCCGCTTGTTGAGCAGCTATCATCATTGATCATTAGCTGGAGACGTCTGGAGCTCCTGTCTTGGTCACGGCTGCTTGATGGCGAGCAGCGTAAACATGATGAGGACGCACAAGCCTGGTACTTTATTGCATATGAGGCTATCATATATAACTCCAGGAATCTAGACATTCATGACGGGGGCCTCGCTTCATATCAACAACATTTGGTCGAAACATTACAGGAGTTTCTCAAGTCGACGACACTAGGTCAATACTCGCCCCGCTTGCGACTGCTCGACACGCTCAGCAAGACCATGCAGATCCTGGCAACTAACCGTTCGCACCTCAAAACGATTGCTGCCTGCGTTCAAGACGTTATTGATCACCATCGTCGGTATGAGGGCGGTGTCGAGGCCATGCTGCATAGCGGCCGTGTGGGACTCGAGAAGGCTTTGGGCGAGCAGATCAAACTCGCAAGCTGGAAGGATACCAATGTTACAGCCCTCCGTGAAAGCGCACGCCGAACACACCACAAACTGTTCAAAATCGTTCGCAAATATCGTGAGCTCCTCAACAAGTCTGTCGTATGCACTGTGCCTGAAGATCCCGGGACGGGTTCCCTGGCCAGTATTGTGGAAGACCTTTCCGTACCTCATTCTGAAGATGAACGATTAGCAACAGCACTAGGACGATGCAGCTTGCTGATTGAGGACTGGAGCACACGGCCTGAACGTCTTACTCAACCCCTAGGCGCAATCAGAAGCATGCAACATGTATACCGACCAAAGCATCCCGAATTTCAGGCGTATTTGGAGATTGTCTCATTCCGAGAAGACCTGGTTGAAGCATCAAAGCAATTGAGGAGTCAGACACCATCAGCATTGAACGAAGATAATGCCTCATTTGTCCGCCACCTGCAAGAGAGAAAGAGAAGATTGCTCGCGGATACATTGAAAGCAGTGACGCAGATGGGGGTCAGGAGAAACCTTCCGACCTCTGAGCTTGAAAAGCAATCATCGTGCGCCGCTGTTCTGGCGTTGGTGGCGGATTCGCCAGTGAGCCAATATACGCCGACCGAGGCTGCTGCCAACGAAACCTTCCACCAATTGCTTGATGTCATGCCTCAAGTCCGCGCAGCTCGAATCGATCACTCAGACGATCTCACCGAAGGCGAGATCAATCGTTCTGTTGGGCTTTTGGAAGGCTTGCTGTTCGTGACCATTCGTCAACGTCAAGTATGTCCACAGCATGCATTCGAAATGAAGGGACTGGGCGCTCAGCTGTCAATGCTCAGGTCAGTCGCGTATTCTTCATCAGGTCAGATTATGCAATCCACTCTCTCCGCTCAAGGCGTCGATTTTGTGCAAGAGCGCCTCGCGTGGCTGGCAGAGATCTTGAATATTGGCTGTCGTATTTTAAAGTTCCAGGCACAACATGGAGGGTTCGATGTCAAAGAATGCCTGGATTCACTGCATTCTTACGCGAACCAAATCACAGACTTGAGACACAACATCCTTGATCTACCTGACGCACCGTCGGGAATGACGTGGAAGACATTACAGAGTCTGATGGGGAAAATTCCTCAACTCTTTTCTCAAATACGGGTTTCACTGGTCGACTGGCACGTCAGCGAACCTCGCATCGAATATCTCATGCGCCAAATCATTCCCTGGACCGAGACGATTCCACCATTGACGGACGGAACGCAAGTGCCGCACCCAAACTTGACGTTTCGAGAATTCGATCAGAACCTCAAAGACGTAGTGGATCAAGTTTTTGTGGGGATGCAACGACTGTCTTCGCTGCCGCTAGAGGTGCCCACCTCAGATGAAGACCAAGGCTGGCTGTCCAAATCAGACAAGTACGTCGTCGAGGCACTGCGGTCGCTGAAGATGAGCACGATTACCAGCCGACTTGAGGTATCCGTGATACAAAAGCTCCAACATCTGACTCCGGAAGACTTCGAAGCCGCCAAGGACCTACTGCTTGTAGCCATGCCAGTGCTCGATCAGTATTACTACATTTGCGAGCATCTCCATAACCGACACGCCGCGCTGTTCTTGGAGACGTCGCGACTTGCCTTACAACTGGCCAGGTCCTTCTCTACCATTGCAAAACAGGGGTTCTGTCGTCCCTCAGAGCCCGCAGACGGCGAGGAGCAGACAGGTAAACTCGAGTCTGGAACCGGGCTGGGTGAAGGGGAGGGCGCTGAGGATATCAGCAAGGATGTTAAAGATGATGAAGATCTCTCTGAGCTTGCACGCGAGGGGCAGAAAGAAGACAGAGACGGCGAGATGGAGAAGACGGACGACGCGGTTGATATGGACCATGAGGACCTGGAAGGCGAATTGGGTGGTGATGACGAGAGGCTCTCAGATCAAGGCGACGACAATGACCAGTCTGGAGACGAAGAGCAGAACGATATCGACGAAGAGACAGGCACTGTTGACGACCTCGATCCCAACGCCGTGGATGAGAAACTCTGGGATGACATCAAGAATGAGTCGGAAAAAGACAGGGAGCTGAAAAATGACAAGGCCAAAGGAAAGAAGTCCGACGATCAGACTGCCGGAGATGGAAACCAGGACAAAGGAGAAGAAATGGAAGAGACGGGCAGGCCAGAGGAGGAAATGGATGAAGGCGAAGACCGAGATGAAGGAGGAGAGCGTCCGGAAGGCCAACAGATGGATGAGCATGTTGAGGAAGAGAAGGCTCTCGATCTTCCAGAGGAGTTGCAGTTGGCTGGCGAGGATGAGATTAAAGACGACGATATCTCAGATGATGGCATGGATGAGTTGTCGGATATGGACAATCCGAGGGAAGAAGTCGAGGGCGATGGTTTTGAAGAGACTCAGGAGATCGGAGAGCACGAGAAGCGGCCCGATGAAGGAGCTGCTGAAGATGAGGTTGACACAGGAGAGGATGAGGCTGAGAACGGGATTGCTCAAGACAACGAAATCATGGAAGACCAACCGGACGAAGTGGAAGACGACGACAAGAAAGACGGTCACGATACTCGAGAAGACGATAAGGTTCATGACTTGGAAGAGACTGCTGGTGGAGAATCCGGAGCCGCAAACGAGGTTCAGGAGAATGTCGACGCAGAGCAGAGCGTCGAGGGCATAAACGAGGCTGAACAAGAACCGAATCCCCAGCAGTCTCAACCGGGCAAGGCTTCCGAAGACAAAGATCAAGGCAAGACCGGCACTGGAGCCTTCGAGCGCGGCACCGGACGAGCAGAAAGCCTTGAGTATCAGCAAAATCAGCCTCTGAAGCAGTTGGCAGACGCCCTTGATCGATGGCATCAACGTCGCGAGATCTTGCCACCATCTGGCGAGCAAGATCCAGCGAGGAACGAGCAGGGAGATGTCGACATGGCAGATGCTGATTTCGAGCATGTCCAGGATGAAGGAGACAAGGGAGACGCTCAAGCGCTCGGCGCTGCCGCGGCGGATCAGTCTCAAAATCTCGACCCCAGCAAAGCCATAGAAGACGAAGATGCGCCCATGGATGAGGACACAACACTTCCTGGTGTCCTGGAGCCGGAGGTGCAGGAAGATATCGCAGAGAGATTCAGCCGTCTTAAAGCGGAGGCTAAGCCACCAGGTGCCCGAGACACAGGGCCCTTCGTCCCAGACCACCAGCTCCAGCACAAGGAATACAACGATCACCTGGATTCCGGCGACACTGCATCTGATGACTTGTCGCCTGACATCGAACACCTCGAGCTCAGCGCTGACCAGGCACAGCAAGCTAGCCATCCGACGAGCAGCGTCAACGCCGCACAGCTGTGGCAACAATGCTCTGCCACCACGCACCAATTCTCCCTCGTGCTCACCGAACAGCTGCGGCTCATCCTCGCGCCCACGACAGCCACCAAGCTGCGCGGCGACTACCGCACGGGCAAGCGGCTGAACATCCGCCGCATCATTCCGTATATCGCGTCGAACTACAAACGCGACAAGATCTGGATGCGCCGCGCCGTGCCCAGCAAGCGCACCTACCAGATCATGATTGCTGTCGACGATAGCAAATCCATGAGCGAGTCGGGCGCCGACGTGCTCGCCTTCGAGACCCTGGCCTTACTTACCACGTCCCTGGCCATGCTGGAGGTCGGCGAGATCTGCGTCGTCGGCTTCGGCGACGCCCCGGCTATCACTGTCGCCCACCCCTTCACCCAGCCCTTCTCGCCCGCCGATTCCGGCCCGCATGTTTTCCAGTCATTCAGCTTCGAGCAGCGCGGCACCGACGTCAAGAGCCTACTCACCCAGAGCATCCACCTGTTCCGCGAGGCGCGGACCCAGCGCCAAGGTCCAGGCCGCGAAGAACAGTGGCAGCTCCAACTGATCGTCAGTGACGGGCACTGCTCAGACCACGACGGCATTGCGCGACTGGTCCGCCAGGCGCAAGACGAGGAGCGCATCGTCATCGTCTTCGTCATCGTCGACGCCGGGGAGGAGAGCATCCTTGATCTCAAGGAGGCTGTCTTCGAGCCCGACCCCGCGAGTCAAGGTCGTCATCACGCTCAGGCCGGAGGTGCCGGATCGGGAGGCGTGGGGGAAATGCGTGTTCGCACAAAGAGGTACCTCGACGGCTTCCCCTTCCCGTACTACCTCGTCGTGCGTGACGTCAGGGATCTGCCGGGCGTCCTGGCGACCGCATTGAAGGGCTGGTTCGGGAGCGTCGTTGACGTGCAGGGGTGACTGTTGACTTAATATGATATTGATATTACTTGGCCTGTACCAGCCTTGTCGCGAAGGAGATCTGGATTTGACAGTCTAAGAGGGGATATCATAATGGGAGACGAGGGCGGCAAGGGTGGTTCGGTTTGGGTTTGATAGACTGAGTGGACGATGAGGTCCACCTGTATGTAAGAATGAGGTTTTTCCTTTTCGTTTTCTCTCCTTTACTGCGTCCAATTTGAATGTGAATTGAACGATGCTTTCGTGAAGATGCATTGATACCCTACTCCGGTGGAATATTAAGTTATACGATGCGCAGTTCTAGATCTGAGAATCCCCATACCAGAGGATGGAGCGGTGCAGGGGAGGGAAGGAAGAGAGAGGGGGAGTGAAGTCTCGTAGAATGTCTGTCCACGGGCCACGGACGAGATTCGAGAGAATGGAATTCGTAGGTAGGAAGAGACCTAGTAAATGTATAGAGCTGTATAAACAGTATATCTATTCAGGGTGTTTTGGAAACGTGTGTATGTCTTGGAGCAAGCGAGCCTGTTGAAGACCGCGTGCGTCAAGACTCTTCCTCGCGATTCAAGGCAGCGAAGACCAGGTCAGAAAAAGTTGTAATGCACTTCTTCCTCACAATCTGCGTCAGTCCCTCAGTGATTCACGTTCAACGCAAATACGACGTACGTCTGTGGATAGAGGGTGGATGAGGTTGAAGTGAATGAAGCTGGACGGTAGTTCGGCAGAGAGAGTGATGAACACGTCAACAGTAACAGTAACAAGAACAACATCACCTGGCTCTGGTCCATAATCAAGGAGGTGAGGTATTTCTGAGAACACATCAAAAACACATCTCTTACACTCTTTCTTCGCGGCCTGCAGAATTCTCCCTCACCAAAGCACAACTCTGTGGAAGGAGAATTTCTGTAGTGTACAGCAACATGCATGCTTCGGACGACAGTACTCGCCCTCATGGCTCTCCGCAAGTCCCCAACATTCGGTCTGGGTTCAGCAACTGCAGACAACAAGCTCAATCACAAAATGAATATCCCAGCCTTGGGTCTGCCATTGCACCCGACGGCAGAGACCATCGAAGTCTCATTCAGTATGCTCGAGAAGCTCTTCTGGTACTGGATTGCGAGTGGGAGCCTCAGGTATGTTGTTCACATTCAACTGCTCTTTGCCTGTTAACACTTACATCTAACTCGGTGTTCCATATGTAGCGCCGCGCCATTCCTGAGACTGTATTCGCAGCGGATGCTAGCGGGGTATCAACACAACATTCTGGTGATCATCGATCACACAACCCTTTTGGAGACGACGGAGAGGAGGAGGATAACGAAAATAACCATGAAGGCGATACCGACGTTGTCGTCGTGAACGCGAACGACCCAGACCGCGGTGGAAGACGTAAGCGTGGCAGGCCGCGGGCGACGGAACGATCGACTGGCGACCGTTGTGTGCGTTGCATCATCCAGCACAAGAGATGTGATGCTGCAAAGCCCGTCTGTGGCAACTGCGCAAGGATGAAGCGCAAGCGGGATTGCCAATGGCCAGGGTCTATGACGCGAAGCCAATTGCTGGCTGCGAGGCGCCAGGATGCAACACCCTCATCGTCGCCTTAAGGAGAACTGCCTCCGATGCCACCGCAGCACCATAAATGAGTGCCGTACCCTGGACAAAAGCCATTGCCTCTCATGCTGCCTCCACATTGAAGCAGTCATTGCCCAAGTGAATACCAGAAGTGCTGCTGTCCAACTGCCTTGGATGGATATGGAGAGTTCATATGAACCATTTCCTCGCCAGCTTTTCTTAAGCAACCACCCTATCTGGAACGAGAAAACCTTGCAGGAGACATCGCGCATCCCAGAAGACTTTGCTCGCCCAACTGATAAATTGCAAGCTCACTCTGGATCTGATATCTCTGTGGCACAGATTGATCAGCATCGGTGTCGAGGTCAGAGCAACACAGAAAGCTCCCTGCCCTGCCGTCCTCCAGGAACACGCCCTCGTCGCAGTGCACTGGGTCTGAGAAATATACCGGCATTCGGGGAAGCCCCGGGATACACATTAGATCGAAGAGACCATGAAGATACGAAACCAAAGATCACTTTCTTCGCTGCACCTCCTCGTCGCCCGCCTGGGAGCCGCCAGCAGCAGCAGCAGCAGCAGCATCAAGCAGCTGTTACGGGTACAGGTCACTCTCAACAGGTTTGGGACGATCCATGCCGACCAGTGCAGTCGAATGTTCTCAATACTGCAAATGATGTCGTACGTGCGCAAGATGAAGCTGAACCCACCAGTGGAAAACCGGACGTCATTGCGGCAACAGCTCCAACCTCGCATGAACCGCAACCAACTGTCAGTCCTCCACATTCTCAAGATGATGCTGGTGATAGTCAGAATCAATGCGACCCCAGCCAAGGAAAAACTTTGGAAATGGCGGTCGGACAACAGGAAAGCACCGGTGTCTACTGTGAATATATTGGCGAGGAATGGGACGACAGCTTTATGGATGAGTTTGTCAACTGGGGTCCGGATATCGACATCTGAATTGGGGGCTGTTCTTTTCGTCATCAATTGTTGATCCATCCAGGAAGCCCTTGTGTAGAACTTTTAGTGAACCGAATGGGAAGTTAGGGGAGGTCACTGAGGCGGACGTCAAGGAATGGATGTTCGTGCTTTTAAGGACCCGGAACTCATTATTGGATATATCATTTCCTTCCGGCGAAACATCAAACCGTGGGCCGCCGCTGCTGTCGTCAAGAAATAGACTCCTATGGAGCTGCTGAACCATTGACTGTAGTCGAAATAGATGATGTCACCATCCATACTTGCTTCCTGCTTCCTTTTTATTCCTTCGGCCTGTTGCAAAGCTCTCTTCGAGTGCCTCTTTCTGCCCAGTAGCGGCATTCACGAGCTGTTTCAAGCTATGTTTGCCCGGGGCAATGGCGCGGACTGGATTGTGCTGCACTTGCTCGCCGCTTGCGCGTAGCATTTCGTTCGCCGCATATTCTTGATCCGTGTTGAAGTTGACCACGTTGACGGCAGTGCCACTTGGGTGGCCACGGCGCCCAAACAGCTGCCGCCGGTCTGCTTTTGAGAGGTTCAGGTCGGCCGCGATGGAGTCGAGTGATTGAGCTTGAGAACTAGCCGATCCGTCCGCATGGGCCTCCGATGACACTGGCGGCATGGTCTCGTCGACATCATCGTCCAGGACCTCAATTATTTCATCCTCATCTTGTTGACCCTGGGTTTGTAGCACCGTCGTTGTCTCTCCGCCCATGGAGAATAGACTGACTTTCTTCGGGGGAGGAACAGGCTCGGCTACTATGGATGTTGCAGACATATCCCTCGAGACAGGAGCTGTGGCCGCATCCTGCCCTGGCGTGATGCTCGATTTCGGGCCGTCGACTTTCCGTTTTGGTTTCTTATTGTTTCTCGCCACCGAGAGTGGTTTGAACATGAAGGGATTTCCTTGTATTTGTTTTTCCTTCGGCACGTCCGTCGCAGGAGCTGTGTGTTTCGGGATTGAGGGTATGGTCTCATCCGTGTCAGGATTTGTAGTATGCCTTTGCTGCTCTTGCTCTGCAAATAAACTGCGCAACTCGTCATCTGCCTCCCTGCTGAAACCAGGCTCAGCACCCGTCTTCAGGCTGAAGACTTTCCTCGTTGCAGGCTTCGGGGGGGCTTTGGCGTCGACATCTCGTTTGGGCGCAGGAAGCATCGCATTGAAACCGCTGAATGTCCCTGCACCGCCACCGATTCGAGGTCGTTTCGCAGGAGGCTCTCCATCAGTATTGCCGTTTGTGGGCGTATCTTGTAGCTTGACTTGAATCTTTCTGGGATTTGCCTTGTCGATAGTGAAGGTTGAGTTCGTAGTGCTCGCAGTCTTGTTCAAAGACGTCTCAGCCTTTTGTTGCGGCAGGGCTTTCTCGTCTTCTGAGTCTTCGGAGTCTGAGTACGCGACCAACGCCATGGTTGTATCCGGGGATGGCTGAGAGGTGTCGAGACGAGTCCGGATGAAGAAAGCGGAAAGACTTCAAGGTTGTTCCGAAGATCACATGACCAGTAGCACCGTTTTTCTGCGTCATTCCAACTTCCGCCTGGCTCGCCTCTTTGCCATCCTCCCGAGTACTTGGTACATATTTGATCTCCAAAGCTCGACAAGAGTCATGTTTGGCCGGTCACGGGCGCCAAAGACCATCTAATCGCTCCTCGGCCACCAAGTCTGGTATCTCTAGGTCATTGGGAACATTGTGAGGCGTCTCTACTCTAATGTTGTCCTTCCGGGCATTCCAGCGAGCTGCCGACCAAGCAGCTCGCAGACCATTTCAACCCAGTTCCAGGACCATTCTCAGGTTCGGACAAGCTCCAAGTTTTCAGCCACGGCGGTCAGCTTCTTGGGGTCCCAACCCGCGTTACAAGCGATTTGGTGATGGAAATGGGTCTGGACGTGGACAGGGGCAGGGGCAGCAATGGAGCAACTTTGGTCCCGTCTATCGCATGCAGTACCTCTGGCGGAACTACCAGAGGCCGCTGACCGTGATTGGGGTGGGCGGTGGAGTGTTTTACGTCTACAACCTCGAAGAGGTCCCCGTCACTCACCGACGACGTTTCAATATGCTGTCTCCGGCGGCCGAGAAGGAATTCTTTGGCGGAGCTGGAATGTACAAGTCTGTCCTACAAGAATTTCAAGGCAAGATCCTTCCGGCCGACCACCCTCTCACCATGCAAGTCGCCAAAGTTGTCGAACGGCTGCTTCCGACCACTCGCGGTCTGGCTGGCGACGACTGGCGGGTCCATGTCATCAATGAGCCTCGAGAGAAGAATGCATTTGTCATGCCGGGCGGAAAGGTCTTTGTCTTCTCCGGAATTCTTCCAATTTGCGAAAGCGAGACTGGTCTGGCTGCCGTCCTGGGTCACGAAATCGCTCATAATGTCGCCCACCACGCTGCGGAGAGGGCTTCGAGGTCCAGCTTTGTCCTCCTCGCCGCTTGGGCAGTATCCCTTGTCTTTGATATCAGCGGACAATCCGGACGAGCTATCGCTGAATTATTGCTATCTCTCCCCAATTCGAGGACGCAAGAAGCCGAGGCCGACCGGATTGGACTCCTAATGATGGCCGAGGCTTGCTACGACCCCCGAGCAGCATTGGACTTCTGGCAACGCATGAAGAAAGCATCAGAATTTGAACCCCCGCAGTTCTTGTCCACCCATCCGAGCCACTACAACCGTGCCGAGCAGATCAAGAAGTGGCTACCAGATGCCGAGAGGGTATATGCGGATACAGGCTGCGGCACTGCCAGTGGATATGAGGACGCGTTCAAGCAAGCTCTTACTGTCCAAAGACCCGGAAGGGAGGCCCAAGTCAGGCAACAACGACCGATAATGGTCGGCCGGAATGACAATGACGACGACGACGACTTCTTTTGATGAGGGAATCATTCTCTACTCAAGGAGGTCGTTTTGGTTCTTTCCGACCGCTCTACATGGTCAGCCTATCTGCGCATGGCCCAGGCCAACAGAATCGGATCAGACGAATACGAGATACGGGGCGGATAGGATGCGAAGAGCGAAGCTCATGATATTCCTGTTACACGTGACACCCCGCTCCTCTCGTTTGTGCTTTATACTTTAATGTACGAACTCCGCAGCTGCTATTTCTCTAGCTGCAGCTGTACTGACGTGGCAAGCGTGGTACAGTCGGAAAGCGCCTTCGACAAGAGCGACACATCTCCTCTCAGCATCTCTCAGCGGCTCCGATTTCACTCAGTTCCCTCCCATACAACAACTCGCCTCGTTTTCACTTTCAGAGTAACTGCAATAATGGGTAAAACAGATGTCCCCGGGGTCGCACTCATTTCCGGCTCGGGCTCGGGCATCGGGCGAGCAACAGCTTTAGCATTCGCGCAAGCAGGTTGTACTCGTTTTGCGCTTCTCGACCTGAACGAAGAAGGCCTCTCGACTACCAAGAAACTCGTCGAGGAGGCTGTGGGGGGCGACAGCTCTGTCAAGGTTCACATTTACAAATGTGATGTTTCAAACCCAGACAGCGTCACGCAAGCCTTCGCCGACGCCAAAGAGACATTCACTCGTCTTGACTATGCCGTTCATTGTGCAGGGATCATTCTCTTCGGCCGCTCCACCGAGTATTCCGTCGAGGATTTCGACCGGCAGAACAGCGTGAATTACCGCGGCCTGTGGCTATGTTCTCGCGAAGCCCTGCGGATCATGCGCACTCAGTCTCTGGATAGCGACGCATACCCTGACGCTCACATCCTGCCAACCCGCGCCCAGCGCGGTAGCATTGTCAATATCTCCTCTGGCCTCGCGCTGGTGTCGCAGTCAAACTGTCCCGCATACTGCGGCGCCAAGGCCGGCGTGTTGGCAGTCACCCGCTCGGACGGAATCGACTATGCCGCGGAACGTATTCGAGTGAACGCTGTCCTGCCGGGAATTGTGGATTCTCCAATGACAAACCCAGACCCGGAGACCAGGAAGTGGCTCGAAGCGAACGCGGTCCAGAACACCCCCATGAGGAGATTCGGATTGCCTGAGGAAATCGCGGACGTCTGTGTCTTTTTGGCGGGCAACAAGGCAAGCTTTGTCACCGGTGCGGGCTGGTGTGCTGATGGCGGGTTCGTTGCTGGGATGGCATATTGAGAAAAACATCTTATCGAAGGCAGAGAGAGGCTCATTTTCGTCCACCTGATTCTGAAGGAGCCGCTTTCCTCCAGATCAGAATCGTCTTTCTCACCCTTGGTCTTGTTGCGCAGTCCCCTCCATCGGATGGGTCTTCCCGATACAGTGCAATGACGACTGTAGCTGTGTAGTGGATTAATGAATCAGTCACACCTCTTTCGTCTCTTTGCTTTATCCGTTATAAGCCGGCGCAAAAGGCTCTCATGTACTGCTATGTGATTGTTGTAATGCCCGGTTAGAAACGCTGGCGCTGGTACTATTGCAACTGTACAAGCATTGCAAATGGAAGGATGTACTATGTATATCGTTGGAGGGGTATTACTGCTCTGCGTCGACGGCGTCTGTCTCTAATCCTGACCTTTCTATGTTTTGACTTGGCCCATTGTTGCCCCGGACTCTCATCAACTTACAGCAGCTGCGGGACCTGGTGAGGCGGGCTCGCAGCGGGACTCCTCTCGGCCTCGATTTTCGTCCGCAACATCTTCACGTAGATGCCCTGGCTATTCGGGCTCGCGCTCAGCAGGTCAAAGAGACACCGCAACTCCTCGCTGTCCGCCCAGTTCGCATTGGCGATGGTCAGGGCGTCCATCAGGGTGTATGCGATTTCGAACAGCTTTTCGAATATGCCGAGTCCGTGGACGAGGACTGCATTGGGCGTCAAATCACCGATGGCGGCGCATAGATCTTTCGCGATGGCAATCGGGTATGTGGAGGAGAAGATTGGGTCGGAGGCACTGTAGCTGATGAGACCCTGACGCATGGAGGCTTGCCAGAAGATCAATCGCAACCATTGATGGGTGATGAGGACGTCAGCCTTCTGAACGTCTGTCATGGCGAAGTGATCGAAAGACATTTCGCTCAGCGAGTGTTGGATTGCCGCTATATTATCATAGGGCTCGTAGCCGGAGGCTGGGCTTTCCAGCGGCGTGGTACTCCAGAGTTGAATGAATTTCTCGTCAAGGATGGAGAAGAGGTTGACTAGGGCGGAGAAGCCTGCCAAAATGAGTCCGTCCTGTTCGTCGAAACATTCATTCGATAGAATTGGCAACCGGGGAATCTGGGCGGGTTTGTTCCGGAGGATGGCCAGACCCCGTTCTGTAATGAAAAGTAAGGCGAACGTCCGTCTGGAACAGATGGCTTGGATTTCATCCATGCCGTAATATGTCGATTCCAGATGTAGCCCCTGTTCAAAGGCCAAAGAAATGGCCTCGCGGAGATACAGATAATGGCCACGCGGCTTTTTGAGCTCAAACAGTGCCACGCAAATATGGTAACTGGCCTGTATGGACAAAAGTGTAGCCGACTCTACCCAATCATATTGACAGCGTAGAAGAAGACAAAGCTCCACGAACTGCTTTCCAAGCTGCATTTTCTTATCCAAGGGGAGGTCTGACTGGGGAGCTGCGTGAAGAACGGTGTTGGCGCAAATCGATAAGATCAAGATCTTCTCTTCATTGGAAAGGTCATCGTAGCTGTTAAGTCGTCGAAGAAATGAACCCTCGTGAATGGTAGGTCGAATGGGGTAGAGATGTCTAAAATATTGACTGATGCAGTGAGTCATGAGCCGCGCCGACAAGTCGAATTCCGCTGCTAGCATTTGTAGCTGATGTGGACTTTGGAGGTCTCCAGAGTCGCTGCGATATAAAAGTTTCGGTGCATGGAATGGCATAGGCGAGCTTGTCGCGGTCAGGGTTGGAGAGGGAGCGCTAGTGGGACCACGATTCAACATAGCCTCGAAAGAAGTGGGCTTGGTAATAGGGGTCGAAGTCCTTGATGGGGTTTGTGCCCTTGACCTTGGAGGTATCACATGCGGAACGGGAGGGTACGTCTCCTGGAAGATTTCCTGGGCCAAATCCCTGATTGACATGTATCCATTGGGCGAATGAGGGGCTTGAAACTGAAGGAGTTCCGAGGTTTGCATCTGCCATGATGCTGGAAATTGAATTCCTGCTTGCGCAAATTCTGTATGCGACGTCGGATCAAATTCAGTGCCGTTCTGAATGATGGGAACAGATCTAGGGACGGCGGACGGTCCTGGGGGTGGGCCGTAGGTGTCGCCAAAATACGAACTTGTGGGAGAGCTCAACGATGAGGCCAGAGGACTGTCGCTTGTCACAGCTCTGTTGAAAGACGGCATCTGCAGTTGCAATTGCGATAGGTCGAGTTGTGGGAATTTTTGCTCTGATGGCGAAGTCGCCTGGCTTTCGTCTCGCAATCTTGCGAGAACAGAACCTGAGCCTTTCTTTGGCCCCCTCTTCTTTCGCGCAATCTCTCTTGTACACCTCAGTCCTGCCGATATGCACCGCTCGCAAATCTCTTCTTTGGAGCACTTCACTTTCCTCCTTCTGCAAGCGTCGCAGGGTAGGAGGTTTAGGTGCGGTTCAGCAGTAGCTTGCGCGCCCGCTCCAGCGCCAGCTCGGTCTTCGAGGGCGTCCGCCATCGGCGTGAGGTTGTCCATAATATTCGTTTGACTGTAATGAAGGGTCTTTTCAAGTGAGGGTGATTGGACACCAACTTGCCTCTGGCTTCTGCAATGAATGGACTTATTGGAGTGGAGTGTTGGGACTGACGCAGTTTGACTCCATTTTCCACGCAAGGCAGTGCACAGAGTTGCGAGGCCTGAGAAGAGGGGGCTGGATGAGATGGTTGTACCGACTTCTAATCACGACAGAGGACACGGTGAGAGCAGGAGAGAAGAGAACAACGTCGCATGGGCGGCGCCGAGAACATGTGCGTCGTGTGATTTGCACCTCAAGGCGAGCCATCCCAGCGCCCCTCATCCCCCGGAAAAGGAATGCATTTTGTTTGTCGTGGGGGTTTGGCTAACCAGATAATAAGTTCGTCGCCAATGAGCTGGATCGAGAGAGGGGTAAAAGCTGGGGTGAGCTACCCAGTTATTACCTAGGCGCTCAGATTAGTTGTTCTAGGGGAAGTTGGATTGGGGAGCACCGCCAAAACCTACCTACTCGCACCTAGCTCGCTAGGCAACGCTGTAGTAATAAGCTTAACTATTCTTGGTGGCCGTCGGGCACCCCAGCACATGATCAGCGCTTTGTAAGGTGCCTGGTGGTGTCACCAGTGCCCCAGTTCCTTTCTCGTAAGCCCCTATTCCGGCGAACATAAACTTTCCGCATCCGCCTTCTTTTTCAGCATATCGATCGTCGTTGCAAAACAACAGTTCTTACCTGGACGACGAGCCTTCGTGCCCTTCTCTTCAACCATGGCATCAGCTGCAGCCATGGCCGCTCCGCCTCCCTTTACCCTCGACGCTGGCACCGCTGTCTCCCTCGCCATCGCCTTCGCGCTCATGCCGTCAGCACAGATTCTGGGTGCCTTTGCACTGCCCAAGTCCACGCCTCGAAAGCTTTATTTCCTCTTCCTGTGGCATGCCTATGATTTCCTCACCCACTTCATCATCGAGGGCAGCTACCTGTACCATTGCTTCTTCTCGTACAAGCAATTGCCGCCGCAAACCGCCGACGTCTCTCATCCAGCGTCCTGGGGAGGGGAGCCGCAAGCTTACCTGTACAATCGCCCTGACCGCCGATACGGTGCCCTATACTCTCAAGGTCCCATGGCTCGACTGTGGCAAGAATATGCAAAGGCAGATCGAAGATGGGGAGGTGCAGACCTGAACGTTATATCGCTGGAGATTCTCACCGTTTGTCTGGCTGGTCCGTTTGCCATGTACATCTGTTATCTGATCTCCAAGATTGCAAACGCCACGGATGAAAGTGTCAAGAGTCGAAACCAATCCCGGCTCTGGTTCACGGCAATTATTCTCGCAACTGGAGAGCTGTATGGAGGGTTCATGACGTTCGCACCTGAGTGGTTGAGTGGCAGCACCGCCCTAGCCAGCGACGACCCCGTCTATCTCTGGCTATACCTGGTTTTTTTCAACGTGCTGTGGGTTGGCATACCTTTCTGGGTTCTGTATACAGCCTCCCAAGAGATCTCCGCAGCATTTGCGCCGAAAGGCGCGTCCATTAGGAAGACGAAATGAGCCCGTTGCAGTGGAACAAACAAGAATGAAACTCGAAATCACAATCAATCACCTTCACTTCTGGTAGTGCTTCAGGAATGTCATGTGTCACTACTCCCGCCAAGCCAGCCAAACAGTATACTACAAACGGACCTGCCTCAAAACAATACATATATTTTGGGACTTCGGAATTGTTCCAACATTTCTCAATTCGAAACTAAGAGCAACAGCTCGAGACCCCGAAGCTACACTTCGAAGTTGGGATTTGGAACTAGAGTTCATGTTCTATCGGGTTGGTGGGCGGGGCCTCCCCTCCTCCTATCGATGATATGGCTTGCTGTTGCCAAAGGAGATTACTAGAAGAGTTCACAATATCCACCTCATCATGGTGACGGACACAAGTGAACACCTAGTAAGTGTATCTCCGGTAGCAGGGGGTCTCGCCATATCATCGAGAGGAGGGGATGGTGACATCGGACCGCGGTGGGATGTGAACTTTTTTACTCCTGGTTCAGAGTAGGAGGAGCATGGTTCGATTCCTAGCAGAACAGTTTACTATACTTTTTATTCCGAAGACTTGCAGTAATTTTTTTCGTTGAGGCCGCGCTGAGTGTGTTGGTGTGTGTGGAAGCTAAAATCAGGTGAGGCAGAATGTATGTTAGGTGTGAATACTATTCCCTTCTCACATTGCCACATCCCTCAGGAGATCTTCACTAGCGTTGCCTTGCAGGGACTCTCAACATGGCCACCACAGGCGCCACCTCCAGATCTTCATCGGGGACATCGACATCGATGGTCAACACGGCTTTCCAACCGTTGCGGTCATACAGCTTGATCCCAGCCGGTCGCGCAAACAACCATGAAACAATGTTTTCCCTGTCGGCAACTTCAACACCCCAGTCGAGCAGCTTCTGCCCTATGCCCAGCCGTTGGTAGGACGGATGGACCGCCAGCCAGTGTAGATCTGCAGGCACGCATTGTCAGCAACGGCGTGAAGGACGCTTTCATCAGATGGGCCATTGGGCAGCGACTGGGAGCGCTGTCATGAACCTACACAAATGTCTCTTTCCTCGAATGGCACTGACATAAGCGTTGCCCAGTTTCCGAAATAACTCTTCATCTGGGTTTGCGTAAAATGGCTTTGGTTTCGCCTTTTCTGGCCCTGAGGCGCCGTCACCGCTGACCTGAGTAGTGGGTATAGTTGGGATATCGGCAGTGGCGTCAGTGTTGACACCTTCAGAGATCGGCACATTAATGACGCTTGTGTCGATGAACGCGCCCTCTGTTGTCTCGTTCTTTGGTGCAAAAGGATCCATCTTAGCCACTTCGAGGTATCCCTTCCGCCACAGCGTAAAGCCCACAATGGTTTCGTGCTCCCCTTGAGCTTGCGTGTTTTCTGTCTCGACAGTGTCGTTGGGATCTCCTCTTCGATCATTGCTGGGAGTCGTTGACAGGACGGCCTTGAACAGAGAAAATCGGCCCCGATCATCTCGCAACGCGTCGGTTAGCTTGTCGACGGTGTTATCATACACATTCTTGCTGTAGCGCTTGCGAAACTCGTGGAGGCCATCCGGTTTCAATGCTGCGTCGGCAAGAGTTGCGCAAATAGGAATGTCGGCCTCCGACGTGATCGGCTTGATTGTTATCATGGCCGCCGGCTCCCGTGGGGAAAAGGAGGTCATCTTTATAGACGAAGGACGATTTTCGTAACCGCATATGCTGGGAAAATCCTCCTTCAGTTCTGACCAGGTCCGTCGGGATTACATAGACGATTCAATCCCTAGCGAGGATATTTCACTCAAATACCGCAAACAAGGAAGTTCCAGGCAGAATCTGCTCGGGGATACAGGATTGACACTGTCCATTTGTTTTCGGGGCATGAATATGGCTCTGGGGAAAGGTCATGGTTAACTTGCTAGTTGGAATTATGACTCCTCACGTCGGTCGCTGGCCAATCAAGTTTCTCCCTTCAGCAACATCGACCGAGTCGACTCTGTTACCTTGAGGGAAGACCTGCCTTCCGCAAACCAAAGATATATGCCTAAATCAGGCAAAGATGATTCGAGGCAGATGAAGGGGCTTTCAATTCCCCTAGCCTCAGATGTGAGATGAGTTTGGAGGTTCTCTGTATCACTGAGCGATCTAACGCTATGTGTCAGCCTCGCGTACAACAATAGTTAATACGCCTCATTTGCGCAAGAACTTGAAACAGCTACGTCGTTGAGAGTGTGCCAGCCTAAATGCTCCGTGGAGGGGAGCAATGGTAGCGGATTGAAGCGCAGTGGTGGAAGGGCAGGTCAAGGCGTATGAAAGAAAGGAGTCAGGTTGTAACATGAGGACTTCCGTCTTGTGGATCACTGCAACCCTTTCCCACTCCCCATGGGTCTGTCAAGAACTCGCTGTGGTTCCATTAGTGGGTATCGAGACATAAAAGGCCTCGAAGGTAGTGAGGCTGTGGGATCAGCAACCGAGTGCCAACACGTGTAGACGATCCGGGCGAGAGGTCAAAGGGGTTCATTTCGGACGAAGAGACGAATTGGGATGCGTAGTGCGCTGCGAGGTCCACGCCCAAGTCATGGATACTGGATACACGGCACGCTCTCTTGTGGCCCGCACTATTGTCGGATATGTGGTGCCGCGTAAGAGTCAATTCCCTTGTTGTCCCTCGCTGAGAACTGTGCCGAGTCCAGCTGGGTCTGCAGGCGTCGAGCGCTGTATGATTCTCAGCAGCCGAGGTTGCATCGATCAACACAAGAGTAATTGACGTGGGTTGGATATGGAGATGATCGACGTCCTGTTGCATTCAGGCCTCCACGAGGACATCCGTGGTGGGACAGTGGGAGAAGTTTTGATGATCTCCACCGTCGCCTTCAAGTCCTTGCACTGAATGCAGTCAGTGGCGCGATGACGCACGAGGGCACTGCGCACTTTAGTCGAAGGAGGTTTTTAGCATCGCTGATCATAGAGCTAATACAACCTAGTTAGTGCCAAGCTTCAAGTCGGCGATGTGGATTGGTCAGAGCGACGGGATGGCGCTCGCACCATCAGGAACAAGTCCTAGACGCTTATTCGTCCAACAGCCTTGCGCTCATATCCACTACATCATGGCTCTCTACCGTGTACCGAGTAGACCTTATGCTTCTCCAGTTTCTCTCCCCGTCTCTCCACAACCCATACCATGAAAGCAGGGCAAGGCGAGTTGGCGCCATGTAACATTTCTCCGCAACAGGTCACCGGAACACCCTTGATGCCGTCTTGTCGCAACCGCAAATGTAAGTCTCGTCCAATGCTTCGAAATGCTTGGGCCCATTCTCCTCTCCCATATGGGAATACAAGTATACCCCTCCTCCCACGATATCATTGACCGTTCCTCTTCCCATCTCTGGTGAGCTCCTCGAGACACCTAGTTTGTCCCCTGATCACGTCGACAGTACCCCGTCGCAATCATGTATCAGATTGGCAACATCTATTTTATCACAGCCATCGCCGTGATTGGCGGTGGCCTGTTTGGTTTTGATATCTCATCCATGTCTGCCATGTGAGTAGCGATCCTACATGGCAACAAATGGGCTTTACTAATCCTGCATCAGCATCGGCACGCAGCAATACAAATGGTACAATCATATACTCAACGATGTCTCCACGTACTGGACAGAGACTGACTGATTCTACCAGTTACTTCAACCAAGGCCCTGATGGACCTCCTCAATGCTCCGGCCCGAGATCTGATGTTCAGGGCGGCATTACTGCTTCCATGCCTGGAGGCTCATTCGTTGGCGCGTTGGCTTCGGGATTCGTACGTACACAGGTGCAAATGGTTGTTGATTTTGATTGACATTCTATAGCTGTCCGACATCTTTGGTCGAAAGAGAGCCATCCAGATAGGTGCAGTCGTCTGGTGCATTGGTTCCATCATCGTTTGCGCTTCTCAGAACATTGGCATGCTCGTTGTTGGTCGTTTTATCAATGGACTCAGTGTCGGCATTTGTTCAGCCCAAGGTACATCCGTCACCCCTTTTCTATCACCAAGGCCTATGTCTGACGGTTGTTCTAGTACCTGTCTACGTGTCCGAGTTGGCGCCCCCCAGCAAGCGAGGAAGAGTCGTGGGAGCTCAACAATGGGCCATCACATGGGGTATTCTGATCATGTTCTACATCAGCTACGGCTGCAGCTTTGTCAACGGACCGGCGGCATTCCGCATCCCATGGGGTTTGCAAATGATCCCTGCCATCATTCTATTCTTTGCATTGTTCCTCCTTCCGGAAAGTCCCAGGTATAACTACCCACCTTAAGTCGTTGTTCCCCAAGACTGATGCCTTTGAAGATGGCTTGCACGCAAAGATCGCTGGGAAGACTGCCACAACGTTTTGGCTCTTGTACATGCCAAGGGCAACCGTGAAGCTCCTTTCGTCCTCCTCGAGCTCAATGAGATTCGAGAGATGTGCGAATTTGAGCGACGGAATGCTGATGTTAGCTACCTTGAGCTTTTTAAACCAAAAATGATCAACAGAACGCACATCGGTGTTTTCACTCAGATCTGGTCTCAGCTTACTGGAATGAACGTCATGATGGTATGTTCCCTTTCACTCGGAGAGATTGCCCCCTGCCCGAACGAGTCTCTTCGTAATCGCACCATCAGCATGAGCACTCGCTAACAGATACTCTAGTACTACATTACCTATGTTTTTGGTAGGAAGCTTTCGTTCGTGCCCTTAAGACTCACTAACATGGTCCATAGGCATGGCTGGCCTCACCGGCAATACCAACCTCGTGGCTTCGTCAATCCAATATGTCATCAACGTTTTCATGACTATTTTCGCACTCATTTTCATTGACCGATGGGGACGTCGATGGCCTCTGATCATCGGCTCTACCTTCATGGCCATTTGGATGTACGCTAATGCTGGTCTGATGGCCTCTTATGGGAGTCCGGCACCACCCGGCGGAGTCGACCACGTCCCAGAGGAATCCTGGCAAATCCACGGCGGCGCAGCTAAAGGTGTAATTGCCTGCACATATTTGTTCGTGGCTTCATTTGCACCGACTTGGGGGCCCGTCAGTTGGGTATATCCGCCTGAGCTGTATCCTCTTCGCGTGCGAGGCAAGGCGGTGGCTCTGACTACTGCTTCCAACTGGATCTTCAACTTTGCATTGTCATACTTTGTCCCGCCGGCATTTGTCAACATCAAGTGGAAAGCCTACATCATCTTTGGCGTCTTCTGCACGGTCATGACGATCCATGTCTTCTTTTGTTTCCCCGAGACAGCAGGCAAGACCCTGGAAGAGGTCGAGGAGATTTTTATGAGCGACATCAAACCGTGGAACACCCACGTCAACTATCACAACATCAAGAGGGAGGAGAGAGGCGAAGTCGATACCGAGAAGCGACTGAGCTATGCTATCCACCGTGAGCGAGGGGATAGCGATCACACCGAGGTCGGTCATAATACTCAGGAGATTGCGAAGAACGAGGCTGCATGATTCTATTGCGCCGAAGTCAATACTCGCCCTCGGGACAAGCCATCCCCAGCCACTTCCTTTCACGTGGGGATACCCGGATCAAAGTGTCTGGTAACCAAGAGGAGGACCCTGGTGTGGAGAAGAAGCATTTTATGCTAGAAGTAAAAGAAGACAACTGGAGGAGAGGCTGGTAGATCTAAGCAGAGCCTGTGCGCAGTGGCTTGAAGCTGAAGTAGCCCACGAGAAAATTTGATGACATCTCCTTTCTGTTGCTTACTCACTACTATGGAGAGGCGTATCGAAAGACACTGCGTTAATAGGTAGCGTTGCAGCCCTATCCAAAATAATGCCCAAGGATGCGAGGCCTACGGCGGGGGGCGCATCCAGGACCCAGGATTAGCTAGTGAACCGAGCCATTAGAGGCCCTCCAGTTAAAGGCTCGGAATCCCGCAACCCGAAAAGTAAAAATAACTGGAGGGTTCGCCTCTTCGTAGAGTCTGGACCACACCAACTCACTCGACACACCTCACTTTTGCCTTTTTCCCCAACTCGTGGGCGCCTTTTCGCTGATTTCATGTTGTTGCCCTCCGTCGCCTCCGTCACAGCTCACTCTAGACGAAATATTAAGGATGACCCAGCCGAGAGCGCAAATGTTCTGTGACTGAATCCGCAACTATAGTTGAAAAAGCAGCAGTGCGCTTTATATCATGACCTCGACTCCATAGCTCATGGCTGCCATGACCGAAGCCCCTGCTACAGGCCTTCTCAACCTTGAGAATGAGCTCGTCTGCTTTATATGCACCGAGGTTCTCTATCAGCCTCTGACCCTCCTCGACTGCCTACATACCTTCTGCGGCTCTTGTCTGAAAGAATGGTTCTCTCACCAACACCGCAAAGCAGTCCACGCGCGTGGCCCCTCCTCCACGAATCCATACACCTGTCCAACATGTCGCGCTCCTGTCAAAAATGCCCGGCCCTATGCGAAGATAAATACCCTGTTGGAGATGTTTTTGATCGCAAACCCTGGCAGGGACCGGACTCCGGAAGAGAAAGCTGAGATGTCGCAGGCGTATAAACCAGGTGAAGAAATTCTACCAAAGATCGAGAATCATCGGAGAAGGGAGAGAAGAAGGCGGGAGGAGGAGGAGCCAAGCCCGGGAGATTCAAGGTATGCGGACGGGGGGCATGGTGAGAGAAGCAGACACGACCAACACCTGAACCCCGCTTCAGCTGACCGTAGACGAGCCACCACCGGCAGCAGTAGAAGTCGAGAACGAAGAGAGACAACGGACAGGCAAAGAGACAGCGACCGCCGCCAGAGACGTGACCAACAGCACACTTCAGATACGGAGCTCTCTCGTCCGCGAACAGCAAGCTCCTCGAACTCGGCAGATCCTTCGTCCCTGTCTCCTCCGCCCAGTTCACCCAGGCATCCCGAGGCTGTCGAAGCACGTCAAAGGGGTGCTCGGTCAATTGCTCATCAAGCAAGTCTGATATCCCTGGTCAGTGCTTCGGAAAGTGGGACGGGCACAGGCGATAGTTTAGACGAGGCACGGATCATGCAAGAGATTCTTACTGAGGGTCTCTTGGAGGGCATCAATATCGATGAGCTAACGGAGCAAGAACAGGACGCGCTGAGCGAGGTCATCGCCGAACGGATCAGGCAATTGCATGCGGAGAGGCATCGACGACCAGGCTCAGATGACAGTCGGCCTGACACTCAAGGGGAGCCGACGAGGTTTCAGGAATCACGAGTTGAAGAAACAGAACGCCATTCCCATCATGCATCCAGGAACAGCAATCGCGAACGGACGCAGCCAAGCCCAAGGTCGAGCCACAACGTGGTTATTGGGGGCAATGGCACCCGACCTCCCGCAGCTTCAACTCAATCAGTAACTGACCAGTTGCTGACGCCACCGCAGACCACATCACACCGACGGCGAGCCTCTGATGAGAGTCGGAGGCGCAATACTTCTGCAACGAGAACAGACCGCACGCCTCATCCTGCGGTGAGATCAGCAACAGATCTCTCCAACAGACCCATATCGAGTGCAGGTGGCGCGGATCGCCTCCAGCAACTCCAGCAGGGGCCTCATGCGCACAGATCTAATACTGAGCCGAGGACTCCTCCGAGGGCATCTGAAGTATGGCAGGCTGCTGGTGGACGTCTCATTTCCAGTCCGCCACAAGTTGGTTCGCCAGCTCAACAGTCACCGAGGTCGGAATCTGTGCAGCCTCTCATGTCGAGCGTGGCTCTCGGTCCCGTGCCGACCTCCATTCCCACACTGGAATCAGAAGCTTCTGTTCCTGGTCCAACAGAGTTGCCCGCCACGAGCGTCCCAACCAGGTCAGCCGAGCCATGCATTTCGTGCTCGCGGTGTGCTCGTCCAAACATTCAGTATGAAGTCCATAAGCACTGTGCTGCTTGTAAGGTAGACATCTGCCTGCGGTGCTATAGGAGTGGGCGAGGATGCAATCATTGGTTTGGGTTTTATCGCTCTGCCATGCTCAAATTCAACGCATCTCATCCCCCGAATCGCAACAATCAGTCTATGGGACTACCACACTTGCCAATCAGCCGACAGTATGAGAAGCCCTCGGTGACCAATACGACTGCCGATGCAAAATCACGCCTGAAAGAGGGCAACTTTTGCGATCGATGTGGCCTTTTTGCCAACGGCTACTTTTGGTCGTGCGACTATTGCAATGAGGGCGAGTGGGGTTTCTGCAACGACTGCGTGGGTAGCAACCATTGCTGTGATCATCCCTTACTGCCGGTGGCCTACAAATTATCCGACTCAAACTCTGCCACCTCCAGATTAGGAAGCGGTCCGGGTGCTGCGACACTCAGTCCCTACAGCTCTGGTGGGCGAGACATCTCCCCGGCTCAGAGCGCAGCCTCAAGCGTCACGTCCGGAACGGGGCCTTACCCTGGTCTCCGTCCCGATTTTGTGCCGCTATCTGTTACCACTAACTGTGACATTTGTTCTCGCTCGATTCTACTGCAAGAGACACGGTACCATTGTCCATCACATCCGACTCCCACACCGGAAAACCCTGGCCAAGAAGGCGACTACGATGTTTGCAGCGCCTGTTACTATGGCTTGGTCGAGACGGGGCGGGTGGCGCGCGAAGATGGGCCAGATGGCTGGCGTCTCTGTCCCGACGGGCACCGAATGATTGCCATCACCTTCGAACGGGATGAGGAAGGCAATGATCGAAGAGTTATCACTCGCGATATTGTGGGTGGCGTAAAAATGACAGATGCCGATGTGGCAGCGTGGAAACTTGCGACGAAAAATCAACACCGTGTTAACGGAACAAACCTTTCTGCAGTGCAGGGTGACTGGACCTGGCGAGAAGACGAAGCCGGCACACGGCGCAAAACACGAGCTAGGACTTCCACTCTCCCACGTTCAGGAATGCAGATCCCGCCGGATGGCGGCTGGGGCAAGTCGTACGTCGCCAGATGGGGTTATTACCCTCTCGAAAATGCTGGCAATGCGAAGGATGAGCTGTTGTTCCCCAAGCATGCTAATATCCGTGAGGTGGAGGAAATCAACGACGAGTGGTGGTTCGGTGTCTATGCCGGCGATGCTGGCGTGTTTCCTGGGGTGTTTGTGACCAGGCCTTGAGCTTGGCGAACCTAGGAGGATGAACTATACGACCACGAAATTGACCACTAGGATCAGGAAGGATGTCATGAAGGCTATTTGGGGGATTGCAATGTTTGTCCTGAACTTAATGTGGAACGATTCATGACTTGGATACAAGCAAAGGAGTATTAAGAAGGGCCAGTGATTAGGCAGAGATACCTGGCTCCGAGCCTAGAGCCCAAAGTATTGATTATGATATATACATTGCACCGAGATTTTCTCTCTTCATGGTCTTATCCTTCCAGATATTGCTATGTAGAGCGATCAGGCCTGCTGGTAGGGCGGCGAGTCGTGTTGCCGAATGAGGGCGAGTCTGACAGCGGAACTTCTCCAGGCTACTTTCCGTGTCCTCTTGTTTTGAATTCCTGCCTGCTTGTCCACAGTCTCAATAGCAACATCTACGACATGAGCCACCAACGGTCCGCCTGTGATCGCTGCAGGGCTCAGAAACTCCGCTGTCCACGGAGGGATCAGCCCAGCAGAGAGCCCTGTTCCAGGTGCCTGAAAATCGGTGTCGAATGTGTTACCAGCAGCGCGCGACCCCTAGGACGACCTCGAAGAGCAGAAGTGGCTGGAAGACACACCAGATCCATTAAGACAAGAACTACGGCACTTGAAGCAAGGGGCACGGGATCGACTTCTTCATGTCTGTCATCGACCACGGAGAACATACAGGCGCATCCTGATTTGGGCACGCCTGGGAGGCTGGATTCATACCCGAACTATCTTCAATCCCCGTCCTACGAGACCACCTCCCATTTTGAAGATCCATCACAAAGCTCGCAATTTGGCGTAAATGTAGGACACGCTTTCGATCTGCAACTAGGGCTCCACGATGACCTTTTCACCCTCGGACCGGAAACGGAACTTTTCCAATGCTCACAACATACCTTTGGCCTGCCAGCTACTGCCGAAAATCATATACCCGGGCCATCATCAAAGCTGCTCGAACCCGCAGACACTCTCACCGCCCTGTCTAGATTGAACGAAGATATCGTCAGGCAGGTGTCTAATGTCGACGTGTACATCTGGGGCGCGGCAAATGCAGGGCAGGATTGTCTCGAAAGGTTTCACCAAGTTGAGGGAAATCCTACGGCCGAGATGCTACAGAGTACTTCCCAGTTTGTGAATATTCTCGAAGACTTGGCCGCCTCGTCGAAATCGCCCAACAAATCTATCGCCAGGTCTGTAGAGCTCGGATCTACTGCGTCGGACTCGGGTATTTCAGACTTCCGCCAAAGACACATCTCGCCGCCTGCGTTGCCTTCATCAGTTCATCCACCATCCACAAACCCAAGTTTATTGAGCACTCCAGTGGTGCTAATGCTCCTGTCAAGCTATCTTCTGCTTTTAGAGCTCTACAATGCAGTTTTTCGCCGCGTGCACGATGCTCTGTCGAAGCTGGGAGACATACACAGCTTCCTGCAGGCCTTACCTGAGGTTCGAGTGGCTGGCCTGCCATCAATGAAGACACATCTTTACGCCAAGATTATTATCCAAATCATTGAACATCATTTCGACCAGCTTGAACGTCTTTTGGGCCTTCCCAAGGAATTTGGCCTCTCCGGACGCACGCCGGATTCGAAAGGGTTACTAAGTACGACGGACCTATCTCAACTTCTACGTGTGGCCATGACGCAGACGTCAGGAAAGCCTGGCTCTTCAGGCATCTCCACGCTGAAATCGTTCAAAGCTAGTCTGAGAGGTCTCCGGGGCATGTTCCTCGGATAGAGACGCGCTGACTATTCTGGACTTCTTTGAGGAAATGCTAAAGGGATACTATAAATGTCTCTTAATGCGGTCAAATCTTGTGAGAAGATATATCGAAAGGGACTCAAAGGAACCAAGTTCCTTCTTCTCCTCTTCTCCTTCACTCTAGACCTTTCAATCTATTTCACAGAAGAAATCTTGGAAGTTCTCTGCCATCTTCCCGCCATGCGCCTAGTGGAGAACTGTGCAGGCCACACAACAACCCTGCTGAATTCGACCATACCCTACGGTCCAGTCTACACTCCAACACACCCCTTCTTCGAATCTCCGGTTTCGTTCTCCCCGTTCTCCATGCCGAATTCGGTTTCAAGCTCCTGGCGGAGTGGAATCTCTTTCTCAAAAAACACAAGCAAAAACCCCAGTGCTGCGAACCCGATACCAACCTGCCAAGTTCGACGGAGACTTTCATTCAACAGTGTGATGAATTGTTCGCGAGAGGAAGCTGATAGTGTTTTGATGAAAGCAGCCGTGGCATGGCTGTACGCTTTTCCGTTGATGAGCTGCTCTCTGATGACGGGATCGGTGATGCCTGTCGTCGCAAGCGCGTCGAAGCGATTGTTGAATATCGCAGCCGGGATGGCAGTCCCCCAGATCACGCCGAAACCGCGCAAGAACGACCAGGTTGATGTTGCCAGTGCTGTGTCGCTTTCTGAGAGGGGCGCCATCACGGCAGGTAGCAGGGTCGAGATAATGAGGCCTGCTCCGGCAGAACCGACTATTTGATATCCAACCCACGCGCCTGTCGAGGAGTTTTGATCTAGGAGGTCGAAAAGACCGAAGCCTACCACTATCAATGCAAAGCCCACGGTATGTATTGGTCGGTAGCGGCCGAACTTTGACATGGCCATCCCTCCTCCTGCAGCGAAGGGAATCAGGGCCAAGATGGTAGGCAGAAGTTGGACGCCCGAGCGGGCGGGCGATGAGCCAAGGACGCCTTGAAAGTAAAGCGGAAGAAAATAAACCGACCATATGGTGACTATGCCGTGCAGGAGGGTGAGGACAAAAGCAACGGCCGATGTGCGGTTCGACATCAAATGCAGCGGCATGGTCGGCCGAGGAGCAAATCGAGAACCTTCGAATACAAGAAAGCCTGCGAGGCCCACCAAGCCAACCACCAGTGGGATAAGAACATGGTATGAGGACCAGGGATAGACGGCGCCCGCCCAGGATAGTGCGATGAGGACCGCGCAGATTGCCGCGACAAAGATGGCATTCCCAGCCCAGTCCATCGAGGTCAACTTGGTGGCAAGCTTGGCTTCCTTGTTCCATCTCACCTTCAAGAAGGCGAAGAGCAGTACCAGCGCGACACCGCCAATGGGGAGATTGAGGTAGAAGACCCATCGCCAGGTGGAGTAGTTGACAATAAGGCCGCCGAAGAAAGGTCCCAAGGCTGTGCCGAGAGCAACGAGGCCAAAGACGATGGCGAAGTAGTTGCCTCGTTGGCGCAAAGGGACCAAGTCGCAGATGATCATCTCGATGAGAACAGCGGTACCGCCTGCCCCGACTCCCTGGATCACGCGGCCGGCAATGAGAGTCTTCATATTTCTAGCTCCTCCACAAATACCACTTCCCAGGACAAAAGCCGCCGTTGCACCGATCGTTGGCCACCGACGTCCAAAGAGATTCGCTAGCTGTCCGTAAAGGGGCTGCAAAGCCGTCCTGCAGCGGATCGGTCAACACCGGCCGGATGCGGCGATGGAAAGAACAAGCTGATCGCAAGACAACGACATTGGACTTACATGGTCAGGAAGTAACCATTGACGGCCCATATATACAAGTCGCCGCCACCTAGATCGGCGATGATAGACGGCAAGGCCGTGGAAGTGATGGTTGCTTCCAGCGCTGTCAGCAGGCTTGTGACGCTGAGTGCGACCAAGATCATCCAGAACCGTAACCCTTTCTTCGACCCGTTGGTTGACGCTTTGGCCGAGGGCTCGGCATCTTTGGAAGCAGTGGTCTCAACCTCCTTGGTCGCTATCCCATTGTCCGTATCGACACTGGAGGTGAGCCCGGCCTTGTCAGGGCAAAGTTCCATTTCCGAGCGCGGATTTGACTCCATGTGTGAACTTTCTTCTTCCAGCTTCTTTATTCTCTTCTAGCTCAGAGCTTTGGTGCTGATATTCGTCGAAATACCACGAAGGGGAAACTTCGAACGATTAAGGACGGTCTATACGGATCTGATATGCTGGTCCAGGCGAGGAAATCCCAACCTCAATTTGCAGAGGAAGCATGTAAGGACGACCGAAAAAGCAAAAGGATTCCACCGGCCAAAGGAGGAACATGGACTTCCAAGAGAGAAGTCTTATAGATACTTCTGCGACTGCGCGCAACCGTCGGGGTGATGTACACGGATGCTTTTCCCTATCGGAGGCTTTATTCATTTTTGATTCGGAGGCCTTTTTATTCCAACCTTTTATTTTCGGAGAATTTTCAGCAGTAGTCAGCTATCTCGTGAACTCGGCTCCTACTACGCCATTTCTCTACATTTCATATTCGGATATCTTTAGTCTTGTAGATCGGAGGATCGTTGAATGCTAACTGGCGTGGACGAGATAGCGGGTGCGCAGTCCGGATTTTCAGTAACAGGGCGGCATCACATTCGCTTTGAACCGAATCAAGAAGATGCAAGTTTCACGACTTGGCAGAGAGAGAGAGAGAGAGAGAGAGAGAGAGAGAGAGAGAGAGAGAGAGAGAGAGACTGTCTTTTGTCAGTTTTAAATGCTTCTAAATCTTACACATCACTGGATCCTGCCAGCGCTGATTTATCTGATTAACTCGGCTTTCTGATGTAAGGCTACGGTTTGATCTGCGTATGGAAGTGACCTGCATCCTATGGCAGAGGACCAAGATCTGTTACAGACAGCGATTGTGAGCACGGTACACAGACGGAAGGCCCTCGATGGTATCAGACTACGCAGAATAATTAGCCGGTTTTGATAACTCGGGTCGTTGCAGGCCCTGATGTAGAAGCCACTTTCACCGGTGATCGTGCCATCGTCCTTGTGGCAGAAGCCACTTTCCAAACACACGTTTTGAAGCCGACAGCATCGGTAATGACCGGACGCTGTCTAGGTCTCAGGACAGGCACCGTTGTCCTTGGAGGTATCGAATATCGATGCGACTTCAGTCCAGGTCGATTCACGGACTCGGTGGTTATTGTCCAGGTTGGTGCTACTCTACGGCCTTGCCATGGTCGCTGTTCCCGGGTCGATTTTCTGTCAGAGGATTTCAAGGTATCGCAGTGCTTAAGCTCCTCACATTCGTTCTTCTTTGCCACCGTGATTCTGGACGGCTGAGATCTGCACGAGCTGAACAGTAGCTTGGCCCGGTCTCGTATATAGCTGGAAACTCGTCGAGTCAGCATCTCAAAACACTACCTGAACTAGCTGAATATTTGTGACCTCTAGATAGACCACGAGCCTTACCGGGAGACAGCCTCTCCCAGATTTTGGTCATTGCCGGTTAGATAGAAAACCACTAGGTTGTCGTCTGTGAGCCGTTCACTCCGTACTCCGGGCTTGGAGCGACTCCGCAATGTGGGGGAGTATGGGAGTTTACTTGTTATGTGTTAGTTCTTCTTGTTCTTTCATCAAGCCAATATCCACGTGGTCTCCGAGCAATGCCTCACCAACTTCCTCGTTCCATTGGTCCTTCGTCCAGACATACGCATACAAACATATATTTATGCTCCCCATTTGGATTGAAACGCTCTCTCGCCGTTTGATCCGCTCCGGACTGTCGCTATAGTAGCTACCCGACAGCACCACGCATGCAGTCGGAACAAAAGAATGACAGAATGGCTGGCAAGTCTCCCCAAGAAGCCCCGAAATCACTTGCACGAGCATGTTTGTCCTGTCGAGCTCGGAAAACCCGTTGTGATACGGCACGACCCCGGTGTACCTCGTGCGCCATTCAGGGAAAGGACTGCGTCTACAAACAAGAGACGCCGCAGAGGAGGTGCGTTCGCCGTCACGAAAGGTTCCTCGGAGCTTCATCATTGACGCTGTCGAACATCTAGACCGACGCTGGCACGCATTCACGAGCTACAGAGGCAGAACTCAGCCCTGGACACATTTATCGCCAAGCTCAAATCTGCACCACCCGCAAAGCGAGAGAGATTGTTGACGTCGGTGACAATCTGCGACGGGCGTGTTCGGCTGCCGGATGACGGCAGCGAAGAGCGCAATGCTGAAGCTCAATTTTCACCTCATCCACAACTCGCCGTACCTCATCTAGGGCAAAATCTGCGGCGCCGCAGCAGCCTGGGGAGCCTGGAAGACTCCTCCGACGAAGAATTTGACATCGGGCCCTTCCTCTCAATCGATGAGGCAGGAAAGCCCAGCAGCTTTGGACCTTCCTCTGCCCTGCACTATCATCCGCGGTCGGCCAGCACTTCGGTGCAGTCAGCAGCCTCTCTTGCGAGAGATCACATCAGGAACTGCCTGATTGCCGAAGCTGCCCTTCAACGACAAAACGAGCGCCATTTGGCCTCACTGCCTGATGTCCATGGAGTACCTACCGAGTTGGCCATGCATTTACTTGAATTGCACTGGAGCCGCCAACATCATACCTTACTGCTGACGTACCGACCGGCGATCATAAGGGACCTTCTCCGGAATGGGCCTCATTGTTCGAGGTTCCTGCTACATGCGATCTTTGCGTGCACAAGCAAGTTTTCTGCCCGAGTGGAGGTCCGAGACGATCCATCAGACCCTTCCACAGCAGGTCGACGGTTCTTCCGACGTTGCGATCAGCTCCTTGCAGAAGACTCGCTACTGATATACCCTAAGCTGCCCACTGTGGTTGGACTGCTGTTGCTGGGTTCGAGCTACAACGCCAAAGGTGAGACGTCTAAAGGGTGGTTGTACACCGGCTACGCCCTGCGCATGATCTACGACCTCGGTCTGCATCTTGATCCCAAAGAGACCAGCGACTCTCCAGAGCAAGTGGAAATCCGTCGGAGGGTCTTCTGGGGGGCTTTTGTCTCGGACAAGCTACAAAGTCTCTACCTGGGACGCCCGGCGGCTATCAATCTTCGTGACTCGCACGTCTCGCGAGATTTCATGGACACGCTGGAGGAGCAGGAACTATACGTGCCATACAAAGATCCCAAATACCCAGGCCCGCAGACTACTTCGTCCTCTCTGGGTCTTCCTATTTATTCGGTATCTACCTTCCAGCAGCTGTGCCTGCTGTCCAAGATTATGACCAAGATCATCAACACGTTCTACGTTGTCGGAGCAACTCCTCGCAACGCCCAGGCCAGTCTGCAACTTGTCGACAACGCGCTGCAAGCGTGGAGGGAGAACCTGCCAACAAACCTCGATTTCCAGCCGCGGCTCTTGCAATCCGATTCGGCCTCGTACCCTCCGCCGAATTTGATGAATGTGCACGCCCTGTATTATTCCCTGCTGATTCTGCTTCACCGACCCTTCATTTCGGACGGCCACTTACGCTCCACGGCCACCCCTTCGCTGTCTTGGGGTCGCTGCACATCGGCGGCACGAAACATCACCAGCGTCGCATTGGCGTGGAAAACTGCGTACAGTCTCCGAGGCGCCCCATACTTATTGAGCTACGCGATCTACGTTGCTTGCACGATCCACGTCCGCAACGCCGCCGCCGATGCGTCCAGCGGAAACAACAGAGAGCACACCTCCCTCCTCGCGGCAAGCTTGTCGTGCCTCGAGCAGCTATGTCTTGCCAATCCCGGTGTGTCGAAGCCCATGAAGATAATACAGAGATTGATGGAGGCGAGCAAGATCGTATTGCAGCCAGGTGAATATGACTTCCGATGTTTTGAGATTTCTCGGCTGCTGACTACCCGGCAGAGGAAACTATATATCCAAGCTACTCACCGTCCTCATTCGACTTTGACACCATCTTTAGCATGTTTCCCACGAGAAATGTGACGAGCTCACACGTGCAGTACTCGGGAGAGGTGATTTTCGACTCGGACATCCCTGACGATCCGCTGTTCGGACTCATGGACGAGCCCATGTTGCCTTACACCGACATGTCTGACAATTTCTTCAACGGCACTAGAGCATTTTGACAGCAAAATTCATCAGCAGTCCTCTCTGGTAGAGCTGGGAAGAGATGGTGCAAGGCCTCGTCCGAGGGAGTGCAGCCAACAGAGTTCCACCGCGGACCATGATCCTCCGGCTGTCGGACTATCACTCTCCGCCACGGAGATCCAGCGACATGGGTCCAACTATCCCTGCTTCGGGGTATCGGCTCGCAGGACGACTCCAATTCGTGAGTGCCTGGGTTACAATGGTGCTGTCAACAGTTTGGGATTGCCAATGCCTATAATACATCAATATCTTGGCTCATCCAGTGAGCTCTAACCAGTATTATCGGAAAGGAAACCGAGTTGAAACTCTCACAATATTCAGAGCCAACAGTCACAATGAGCAACAGCGAAAGTTCGTTATACGACAAGGGCAAAGAAGTCCGCATCGCCGTGCTGGGCGAGGCCCACGTCCAGCGATCGCTGGCCGCGCGACAGAGCGAGTTTGCCAAACCGCTGCAGGACTTTACCACCGAGTTCTGTTGGGGGAAGGTGTGGGCGCGCCCAGAGCTCGATCGCAGGTCGAGGAGTCTCGTCAGTACGTTTAAGTCTTTTTCGATTTCATGAATATTACGTTTTAGTCATTTCCCCTATATTGGCGGCATTTCCATATTGGTTATTTTTCTCTGACAACCGTCGACCATTGTTAGATCTGGGCTTCATGATTGCCCTGCACAGCTGGCATGAGTTGGCCATCCACACCAAAGGAGCCATCCGCAACGGGGTGACGGAGGTCGAAATCCGAGAGGTCATCATGCAGTCCATGGTGTATTGTGGCGTCCCTGCGGGCGTGCAGGCGTTGAAAGTGGCTGAGACGTCCATCAACGAAATGATTGAGGCTGGAGAGCACCAGCGACAGTTGAAGGAGAAGGTGTAAGGGTGAAAGCGAGAAAAGGGGACGAGTTGAATGTAGATTCTGCCTCTCTGTCTGTCTGCCTGCCTTTTCAGAATAGAAGCAAGCAAGCAGAACATCCATATTGACCACCGCTCTATCTCTCTGTCTGCCTGCTGTCATAGAAGGATACATATCTAGCACACAAATATCTATCCTATCGTCTGAATATGATGGTCAATTGATCCTTCATTAATACATCCACCGAGGAAAGAACCGATTCTGGTTCTCGGACGCCCACTTCCAATCGTGGGCGACAACCCACTCGACGGCGTCTCCATTGACGTCGATGAGGCGCTGCACATTCTCAATCGTCTTCTTAGCCTTGTGCAGCTCGGCGTGCGCGCTTTTCAGCTTGCCCCGCCCATCGTCATACTCGAGGATCTGCTTCTCGCCCGTCATGATGCGCCGGTCGTGGCAGCAGTCGCCGCCGAGGTACACCCACCGCGTGGGTCCGACGCGCAGCAGCGCGTTGACGTGCCCGTGGATGTGGCCCGGCGCGTCGACGATGTAGAGCGAGCCGTCGCCGAAGAAGTCGACCACGCGCGGCAGGGTTGAGATGGATGTCCAGGTATGCGTGGTCTGGGAGGTTGCGGCCATGTGTTTCCGGTCTGAGTCTGGTACCGGTGGGAGTTCCTTCGTCTGGGACACGGGCAGGGCGCCCGTCTCGATGCGCTCGCGGGGATAGTGCGGCGCGCCGTGCTCGAGGATATGCAGCGTGCCCGAACCCACGATGAAGGTGGCCCGCTTGTAGTCGGCCGGCAGCCCGATGTGGTCCCAGTGGATGTGGCTCAGGACCACGACGTCGATGTCCGTGGCCGGGTCGAGGCCGCCGCTCATCAGACTCGATCGTGCATCGGCCGACGAGTACACGGGCTGGCGGGTGGTGATGTGGTGCTGCGTTGCCGGCTGCGCGTACAGCGTCAGGTCGCGCTTGATGCCCAGGTCGAACACGACGCGCGTGGGTGCCGCAGAGTTGGTCGACTGGTGCTCGATCAGGAAGCACATCGACGGCACCGTCGTGCCTTTGTCCGGGTCTGGGTCGGTCACGAAGTTGCGCTCCGGCAGCGTCAGGAAGCCCCCGTTCAAGGCGGCCACTTTCACGTAGACCTGGTCTGGTCCCGGAGGGGGGAGACGGCGAGCATTGTCGTCAGTTGGGTGTGTGATGTCTCCCATTGTTGTTGCCGTGGGGGAGAGGGAGGTGTCCTGTCGTTGGCTTTGGATCTATATTGAACTGTGGCAATACTCGTTGGCATATATCAGAGCAGCAGGACTGATGGGTCTGATCACGACGATCTATACGACTTGGTTGTATGGACGCTTCTCAACTTCCGGCCCGAGCAGTCACACTCTAGAGCCTCTTATTCAAGCTTTCCTTCAGTCGCCTCCCAGCCTGACGATGCTGAGCGAATACTGGAGATGTCGTCCTACAGCACGATGCATACCCGATGTACTACGCCTCGTTGCTCCGCACAGGAGAATGTCGATGTCCAGTTATGGTCGCATGCCTTCCCCGAGGCAAGCCACGACGCAGACAGCCCGATTGGCCTGGCATACACCACCTCCCCAGCCACCACCCATTTGTATGGGGCATCTATTACTCGGGGTTCGCCCGGGGTAGAATATGCAAGTGCCAGACCCAAGACCCTTTGCATGCGGAGACTCTTCCTCCGGGCTAGCCTCACGCCTTAGCCCATCCCCCTCACTTGACAAGCAAACGTTGGCGCTGTCTTGGGGGGGAGTCGATCTCCGAGCTGCGAGGTATCGAATGGGGAGAATGGAGTCGCAGTTGTACCAACCAATTTCCCACTGCCGGCTAGGACGAGACGTGGGGGTGTCTGATATGGGTTTTGGTAAAAGTACCACAGGGTGAGTGGGTGGTAGTACCACTCTTGGTAACTATTTAGAGAGTTGGGAGTAGCCTTCCCTTTCCTGGATATTGTAGCATTTGGTTCATCACAAACAAACAAACCAAAAGGCCATCAGGAAGCCCCAGCATACAACAGCCAGCCAGCGACTCAAACAGAATGGGCTCGTATTCAGAACCCCAGCTGCCCGCCAACATCGGCTTCGTGGGCCTGGGCAATATGGGCTTCCCCATGTTTTCCAACCTGGTCAGCAAACTGCCTGCTACGTCAACGGTACACTTCTACGACGTGAACCCAGAGTCGATGGAGAGGGGTTTGAAAGAGTCCGGCGCGGTGGCGAAGCTGGATCCCTGTGGCAGCTCAAGAGAGGTGGCGGAGAAGAGTGTATGTACTCCCCCTCCTGTTTTCATGACCTTTGTATATATATCAGAGAAGTTATCTTCAGGTAGCTGACCAAAAGGTGAAGGATATATTCATGTCCATGGTCCCCGAGGGCAAACACGTCCGGGCCGTCTACCTGGACCCGGAGAACGGAGTCCTAGCAGCCAAAGACCTGAGCGACAAGATCCTCATTGACAGCAGCACCATTGACACGGCGACGTCGCTGGAAGTCGGGGCGGAGACGACGAAACAACACCCACGGACACGCTTCTTCGACGCACCCGTGTCGGGTGGCACGGCAGGGGCCAAGAAGGGCTCCATCACCTTCATGATTGGATGCGCCGAGTCAGACCCTCTCTTACCACTCCTCAAGACGCTGATGTCCCTGATGGGCCACAACATCTACACGTGCGGCGGGCCCTCCTTGGGTCTGACGGCCAAGTTCGCCAACAACTACCTCAGCTCGTCTATCACGCTGCTCAACGCCGAGATGTTCAACTTCGCCATCAAGTCCGGCATGGACCCCCGGATATTGCAGGACATCCTCAAGACCACCACGGGCTGCAACCGCAACGCCCAGTGGGCGAACCCGGTCCCTGGCCTGAGTCCCGACGCCCCTTCCTCCCGCGGGTACAAGCCCGGCTTCAAGATCGAGTACGTCAAGAAGGACATCGGCTTGGCCATCGCCGCGTGTGAGCGGGTGGGTGCGAAGCTTTGTGTCGGTCCGACCACTTGGAACACCTATGTCGAGGCCGGTAAGGACCCTCGCTGTGCGGGGATGGATTCCAAGGTCATCTACCGATACATTGGCGGTGACGAGCAGTGGTTGGAGAAATTTTCTCCTAAGGAGGAGGAGGGAGAGAAGAAGAAGGAGTGATGGATGCTGTAGGAGAGGAGGGGTTTTTAACGCGGGTTCTGTGTGGGGAAATAGATGTTATGCCATAGCTTGATTTTGATATACAATAAGATCCACACACATAGACATGTGTTACTAGTATATCGTCGATCCGCCTTGGGTGAATCATCCACTGACCAGAGTAGACACTCTACGTGTATATATATACACGGCTTGAGTGCATGAGGTGATCTGCTGGTGATCCTGTTCCTGTATCATTGCCCTATTTTGCTGCTCTATCCACCAACCTCTGCAACCCGTCCAGGACAGACCTGTCGACCTCGACAAACCCCCCTTCGCGCGTCCGCTCGCGGCTCTCCCAGCTACGATCAAAGGGCATCCTAATGGGCCCCCCGTTGCCCTCTAGAGGCTTGCTGGCCCTAATAGTCTCCGAGTATGCGTCGACTTCGCGCTTGAAGTCGTCGATCGGGCGAAACATCTCCGGGTCCAGCGCGATCACCAGCAATCCCCAGCCCTCGTTGTTGGCCGTGTGTGCCGGAGCCCCGGCTAGGGCACCCAGAAGCTGGATAGCAATGGCCAGACCGCTGCCCTTGTGCCCGCCCCAGACGGCCATGGCGCCACCGTCCTCGGGAAGGGCCTTGAAAGGGTCCCTGGTGGGATGTCCTTCGCTGTCAAACGCCGTCCCTTCGGGGAGTTGCTCACCCATGAGCTGGGCCAGCTTGACCTGGGCGTGGATGATCTTGGACGTGCCAATGTCCCAGATGACGGGGCGGGCAGACCCCGATGGGAACGCGATGCACATGGGATTCGTGCCAAACCGCGCCGTCGAACTGCCCTCAGGCGCCACCCAGGGTCCCGCACTCGCCACGATCAACGCCACCAGGTCCGCCCGCGTGCACATCTCGGCGTAGTACGACAGCATGCCGGCGTAGAACGTGTCGCTGACGCCCACGACGCCGACACCCCCCGTGGCCTTGGCTTTCGCGATCGCCATCTCCGTCGCCCGGTACGCTGACAGGTAGCCGATGGCGCCGCGGGCGTCGAGCTGTGCGGAAGCAGGGCGCTCGCGCGTGACCACCATGTCGGCGCTGCCCACCAGCTTGTCCTTGACCCGGTCCGCGATGGTCAGGACTCTGGCCAGTCCCGTGGGACCGTACCCGCGCAGCTGGGCGTCCATGATGTGTGCGCAGATCGTGGCCGCATCGTCGGCCGTGAAGCCCACGGCGCGAAGGGCGCGTGTTGAGCGTTCGGTGGCGTCGGCGATGGAGATTTTGACCAGTTCCTCCCGTGCCATCTTCCAGCTGGAACCGGTGGCCATTTTTGTTGAAAGGTCAATAGATGTTGAGGGCCAGATGAAATCAACCACAACGTCCCACGAACGTGGCCGTGTCCGTGACAAAAGCGAGCCACCAATAACTAACTGGTTTCTGGAAATGATGTATGTATATCCCAAGACCACGCCGACGTCGCCAGATCGGGATATGTATCCGCTCCTCAGATGTATTTTTTGATACAACACTACTCCGCACCACCCTTAGCCCCCGGATCTGTTCTCACTGCTCGGGAAAAAGTCACAGTTCTGCGTGCGGAGGTCGACTGCCCGGACCATTCGACACGGGTGGGAGACTCTCTTTCCGACAGTATTGGTCTCCAACTTTACTGGTAATTCGCCGGACATTTGGAGACAGCATTGCCGTGGGTCCCAGTAAGTAAGAATAGTATTACGCTAAAGGCAATCTCGTCTGCTCTTGCGCGGTGGAGTCTTGAGTAGCAAGTCTCCCTTTAGTACCAGCAGGCAGACAGAATATGGAAAATATGGATACACTTCGAATATGGCGCCTGAGGAAGGGGCCCTTGTTAAGCAGGAATATGGGTCCGACTCCAAATGCTTGGTTACCAAACTGGCATAGATGTCTACACCGGATCCCCCTCCTTCATATTCCACATATTCAAACGGCTGGCTGCTGATTACCCCTGAGGATCATATCTGCTGGGCAAATTCAAACCTGAATCCTTGTGGCTCCTGGATAGATAGATGCCCTTCCTTCTTCTCATTTACCCGTCAGTAGGTGTATCGGAACCCCGGCTGTCCCTCGATGATGACCTCGCCACGGTCTGCCCGTCTGTTCTGGACGTAAAAGATGGCAAAGTTCTTCAACACCAGCACAAAGTAGAGCATCTAAATACAGACAGGTTAGAGGTTTTGCCACGGATACCACGGTCTGGGGGAAGGACAGATTTGATTCTCACCTGAAATCCAATGCAGATCCAGAGACCTGATCTGTATCCCGGCGCATCCTGGGACTGGAACACGTTGCCCGCGATGATGCCCCCAAAGGCGCCGCCCATGACCATCAGTGCCATGGTCAGGCCCTTCTTGTTCTGGCCGACCATGTTGTTGTGTGCGTATGCCCACTGGGTCGGGATATTGGCGATGATGCCCATGACACCCAAAAACACACCGGCGTAGCGGGCGTGCACATCCGAGGCGAACCCCGTTAGCGACACGCCAACAATATACATGGACGCATTGAACAGCATGATCGGACCCCGTGTCTTGAAGTGGTCACCTGTAAACGCACAGATCATGATCCACGCCGCGCCGGCCGCGTAGGGAGGAAACGTCAGCAGCTGGGCGCGCCCCGTCGAGTACCCGAAGCCGTCCTTCAGGATCACCGGGAGGAAGTACGAGAAGGCGTAGACGCCCGTGTTGTTGAGCAGCAGGTACAACGTGAATTCCCACAGCTTCCAGTCCTGGAAGTGCTTCATGGCGATTTTGAGCGTGATTTTGTCCTCGACGGCGTCGCCGCGGTCGCGCTCCACGCGGGCGAGCACGATGGCGGCTTCTTCCGGCGTCAAAAATCCAGGTAGGCCGATAGAGTTCTTGACTGTGGCCTTTTCGGGGAAGTCGACCATGACTATGTACGAGACGAGGCCGACAACGGTACTGACGATGCCCTCCTACATCACAGCGATTAGCACACTCGACCACTTTGTGGAGACCTGGACTTACGATGATAAAGATCCACGACCACCCATTCAACCCCGAATCACCGGCCATTTGCTCGATCCCGTAGGCGAGCAATCCCGCCAGGCCGCTGGAGGCATTGCCAATGACGTAGAAACCGGCAATGCGGGCCTGGATTTCGTAGCGCGTGTACCAGTTATAGAGCAGAAACATGGCCGCAGGGACGAGACCGCCTTCCAGAAAGCCGAGCAGGACACGGCACAGGGCCAGTTCGCCCCAGGTCTTGACGAAGCCCTGACACAGGGTCACAATGCCCCAGATGGTCGTGATGGTGCCGATCCATAGCGCCGGGCCGACTTTGCGGACGAGGAACGTGGCGGGGATGTCGACGAGACAGTACCCGACGAAGAAGATCATGGCTAACACAGAGTAGCGGTTGCCGATGTTGGTCTTGAGATCTTCGCTCATGCCGGCGATGTTGGCCTGCAGCATTCATTCATTGTGAGTCAGGACACAAAGCTGGGGGGTATGCAAAGGCTGGTGGGTTCACTCACATTCCCCAAATTGGACCGGTCGATAAACGCCCACATGTAGAGCAACGAGAGCATGGGCACAAGACGCAAGTCGACCTTCCACATGACTTTGCGGACAGCTTGTGCATCTTCCTCGAGATGCGACTCCAGCACCGCCTTCAGCGGGATGTGATACTTTTGCTCCAGCTCGTCGGCATCGTGCTGGTGCTGCTCCGAGATGATATCCTTGATATGGGCCTGCTTCTCGGCATCTTCAACGTGATGCAGCGCAGTATTCTTGACACCAGCAGTATTCGTCATGATAATGACTTGAGAACAGAGAGAGAGAAAGCGCTGGAAATAGCAGACAAAGCACTCTTGCGAAGGAGGACAGCGGGAAGCTGAGCACACAGGAGAACCGAGATAGCGACGAACAGGCCTCTTCTCTAAGTATCATAAATCACCACTTGCCTGGCACGCTCCAGGACCATTGGGCCCCGACGACCAGGGCCAACACACATAGACACCATTCCCCTTTGCGCTTGGCGGTGCGAGGCTGGGACCGGCACATGTGGGTGGGAAAGGGGGGGATCTTCCCCGCAGCATGTACTCCAGATTCTCGCCAGTGACATGGAGAAGAGGGTGGATGCCAGGATATATAGTATCGGCTAATGCGGCCAGGGCCCTGCAGGGATTGCGGAGGTTGATACAGCGTCCGGGCGGAGGGAGAGTCTCCGAAGCTTGTAGCCAGGAAGTCGGTCGCTGTCATGCCGTGTACCGAACCTCGATCACGAGAGGGTCTTCACTGCCACCAATGATACTGAGCGGGAAAGAAGACGGTGACCTGATCACAGCCTCGTTCACTCAGCTCAGGACGGGACTTGAATTTCGGGTGTTTTGACATATCCTGTTGAAATACCAAAGGCCAGAATCATCTGTTCTATACCCTAATTCTCTGAACAAAGCAACCGACAAACAAACACTTTATTTCCAGCAGAGCACTTGCAAGTTGCGCCGTCAGCCAACATGACTCTGCCCAAAGCGTGCGACGTGCTTGTCGTGGGCAGTGGCAACGCAGGCTTCGCAGCAGCCCTTTCGGCCGCTCAATCAGGAGCAAAGAGGATCCTTCTGATCGACAAGTGTCCCGAGTCCTGGGCGGGAGGGAATTCCTACTTTACTGCAGGAGCATACCGAACTGTCCACCACGGCTTGAACGACCTCCTGCCCATCGTGAACAATGTGGACGCGGAGCTCGCAGGAAGGATCGATCTCGACCCGTACACGGAGAAGGACTTTGCCGACGACATGCACCGTATCTGTGGAGGGAGATCCGACCCTGAACTCTCCAGGGTCTTGATCAGGGATTCCAACTCGGCAGTCAAGTGGCTCGCGCAGAATGGCATCAGGTTTCAGCTCTCATTCAATCGACAGGCGTACGAGGTCAACGGTCGCTTCAAGTTCTGGGGCGGTCTACACCTCAAGACCCAGGACGGGGGCAAAGGTCTGATCGAGGACTACCTCACGATTGCACGACGACAGAAGATTGCACTCTCATTCAACACGGCACTCACTGGTCTATTTCCGGACAGCAATGGTAGCGTCAGCGCAACCGTTCACGTGGACAGGAAGGAGCATATGATCAGGGCCGGGGCTGTCATCCTCGCCGCGGGAGGCTTCGAAGCAAGCCCACGCCTACGGTGCCAGTACCTAGGCCCCGGCTGGGATATGGCTTTGGTACGTGGCACTCCCTTCAACACCGGCGACTGTCTGGAGATTGCCATGCGAGACCTTTCTGCTATGGCCGCTGGAAACTGGAGCGGATGCCACTCAGTCGCATGGGACGCGAATGCCGACCCCAACACCGGCGACCGACTGGCGTCGAACGAGTACACCAAGTCTGGCTACCCTCTCGGTCTCATGATCAATAACCAAGGAAAGCGCTTCGTGGACGAGGGAATCGATCTGCGGAATTACACCTACGCCATCTTCGGGCGTGCGATTCTGGCGCAGCCCGAGAGCGTGGCGTTCCAGGTCTGGGACTCGCGTACGAGCCCCTGGCTACGGACGGAGGAGTACCGCGAAGAGCGCGTCGAGAGGATCACCGCTGCCAATATCGAGGAATTAGCTGACAAGTGTGCCCAACGCGGGCTCCGCGACCGCGAGAGCTTCATCGCCACCGTGCGCGAGTACAACGAAGCGGTGTACGCGCACCGCAGAGAACACCCCGACGCCAGCTGGAACCCGGCCATCAAGGACGGGCTGTCGACACAGTCGTCCAGCAAGAAGCTGCCCCTGGCTAAATCGAACTGGGCACTTCCCCTTGACCAGGGCCCGTTCCTCGCTGTCAAGGTCTCGTGTGGAGTGACCTTTACGTTCGGCGGGTTGTCGGTGAACCCGGAGACGGCGCAGGTGAAGAGTGCCGTGACGCGTGAAGCTATTCCGGGAGTGTACTGCATTGGAGAAATGCTGGGGGGCTTGTTCTATTCGAACTATCCCGGTGGCAGTGGACTCACCTCAGGGGCTGTATTTGGACGCCGGGCAGGCAAGGCGGCTGCCGAGTGGGTGGCGAGGTCGTCTCTGGAGATTACTGCGCCGTTGGCGAGGTTGTAGAGTTGCTACACGATTTACCCTATATTGTTGCTGCAGTTCTCCCCTAGACAAGACTGCTCTCTTCGATAAGGAATTAGACAAGTATTGGCCAAAAAGTCACGGTAGAGTATAAATTCGATTGCAGAAGGGCAGCAAAAAGATACAGCATCCTATTCACTACTGAGGTTTACTTCGCTGGCTGCACCCATCAAACAACGACAAATCATCCCAACCTGCTTTCCAGTTTTGCTTGCTCCCACAACCGTCTGCCATGTTCTTCAAGAAAAACACAAGAAGCGACTAGCCGGCCAACAAGGCCGACACGGAGACTCATTTCCCGAAACGCTACCAGAATCTCTTCTCTTCTCGGCATACTCTCCCCGCAGCCAGTCAACCTTTGGGGTTACTAGGGTCGTTCAAGCCTGACAAGGTCTGAATGGAGCAGCTTCGGAGAGCATCACCAGTGGCCAACTTGACCTGGTTGATCTGAGCAGCGCAGCGCAATGCGGATAAATGGGACGAGGCTCTCAAGAATCGGCGACGTTCGTTCTTGGCCGGTTCGACGTTCATGTGCATGTGCATGTACATGTACGTCTCTCAAACGTCCTGCATTATCACCTATTTTTACTACTCTGGTCAGATCACAGAGCTGCAGCTCCTACGCCACCATGTCCGCCAGCAAGTCGCCATTCAAGAAGTCTATACCATATGAGGTGAGAATCTCAATCTCTTGGTTCAAGGTGTGGTAGAGGCATGCCCTGACCCTGTCCGCGCAAACACCAGTTTCAAGATGTGACTCTCATCGACACAAAATCGTTGATTGGTGGTCAATGGGTCGGTGCCGCGTCAGGGAAGACGTTCACACTATCAGGTAGATCTATCTATTGGCGGCTGCTGTCCCGGCGAACATGTCCACCTCTCTAATGCAAATAAATACGAAATACAGATCCTGAAGACGACGCCGAGATCTGCCAGATCGCCGACCTCAGCGCCGCCGATACCCGCGCCGCTATCGACGCTGCGAGCACGGCATTTGAAAGCTACAAACTCACACCGCACCGCGAGCGACGGTGGCTGATGCGGCGCTGGGCCGACCAGATCAAAGCCCACCGCGCCGACCTGGCTGCGCTGTGCACCCTCGAGCTCGGCAAGCCCTACACGGAGTCCCTGGGCACCGTGCAGTACGCCATCGACTTCATCGATTGGTTCGAGGGCGGCATCGAGCGCACATTTGGCGAGACTATCCCCGCGGCACGGGGAAATAACCGGATTCTCACGATCAGGGAGCCTCAGGGCGTGGTCGCCTGTATTACCCCCTGGAACTCCCCCGTGGCTATGGTCACGCGGAAAGTCGGTGCAGCGATCGCGGCTGGTAACACGGTGGTGTGTAAGCCAGCCCCGGAAACGCCACTTTGTGCGATCGCTCTCGCGAAGCTATTTGAGCGAGCAGGAGGTCCGCCGGGGGTGTTTAACGTGGTGACTGCCGGGCTTGAAAATACTCCGGCGATCGGCGAGGAGCTGTGCAGTCACCCAGCAGTAAAGCACTTGAGTTTCACGGGGTCTACTCCGGTGGGCAGATTGCTTAATACGATGTGTGCCAAAACCATCAAGAAGACGAGTCTCGAGCTCGGTGGAAATGCACCGTTTATCGTGTTTGAAGACGCCAATATCGATAAAGCTGTGGCAGGTAAGCATGCTCTCTCTTCTCTTTTTTCTACGGGGTCCATTATCCATCACCAGCAAGAAAATATTCCTGCAATAGTCTAACACAGTCCCTAGGTCTGATCACATCCAAGTTCCGCTCGTCGGGCCAAACGTGCGTCTGTGCGAACCGCATCTTCGTCCATGCGTCAATCCTGGACAAGTTCGCCGACGCCCTGACGGAAGGGTTGAAGCGCACCTTCACCTACGGCTCTGTGTGGGATAGGAAAGTCAACTTTGGACCCCTGTACGCCGGCAAGGGGATCGCGAAGGTGGAAGCCCACCTGGACGACGCTCTCGGCAAAGGTGCTCGCGTCCACTCGGGAGGCAAGGACACTTCACTCGGACCTAACTTCTTCCCGGCTACTGTCGTGAAGGGCGGCACGGCGGGCATGAAGTTCATGACCGAGGAGACCTTTGGGCCGCTGGCGTTTCTCGTCCCCTTCCAGACCGAGGAGGAGGCGATCAAGATGGCGAACACGTCGGACGTCGGCTTGGCCGGCTATTTCTACACGGAGGATATTTCACGACTGTGGAGGGTCGCGGAGGCGTTGAAGGTGGGCATGGTCGGGGTGAGGGTCGGCCTGGTCAGTGCGGCCGAGGCGCCCTTTGGGGGTGTTCTGGAGAGTGGACTGGGGAGAGAAGGAGGTATTGCTGCGCTGGAAGAGTACTTGGATATCAAAAGCATCACGATCGGAATCTGAGTTTTGATGTTGCTGACGTCTTGCGAAGTGGTGAGCTGTTGGTTATTCAAATGGACGATGTCAAAAGATTCGAGGCGGATATAGAAGACTCCATAGGACCATTGTGGGCGGGGCGAGGCAATCTCTCAACCCGATAGACATTGATTAGCCTTGAGGAGTCCAATGAGACAGAACCGTGTACCACACTTCAATCATGATGCATACTATGGTCACCATCAGGAACTATCTTTGTCGCCATCATCGGCGTTTTTCCCGGCGGATTCTCCAGATCATTCCCGGAGGCTGTTTCCCCGCAGAAAGGACTTGCCGAGGCGGGCGAGCTCTCTCCAACGCGTGGCATGGAGATGGAGTGGAAGTCGGGGGGGAAACCCGTCATCAATGACGGGCAAAGCGATTCAAGATAATCCTAAAACAAAGGCGTTGCCTAGAGTCGACTGATCGATCCGGTTAAAGAGCTTGTCTTCGCCATCAGAGCTTGCCGTGACGCCTCAACTCATATCGTCGAAAAAGGGGCTCAGCCTCGCCACTCCGCCGACCAACTGAACCGCCAAAATGGGCTCCACAGAGACGATGAAGGCACTTGTTTTCCACGGCCCGTACGATGTGAGATTAGAAGACCGGCCGGGTGCGTAGAGTCAAGTTTACTTTTCTTCAGGGAACATGTGATGTGACTGACCACCTCCTCTAGTCCCGCACGTGATAGACCCGACGGACGTGGTGGTCAAGACGACCTCTGCGGCTCTGTGTGGAAGGTAAGCTGCTATCCATCTCCTCTGGATTGCTTTTTCATGTCTGTTCTCAATTGCTGATTCGGAGGAATGTTGTGAAGTGAGCTGCACCGCTACCGAGGACACTCAAAAATCAACATGCAGCCCGGATACATCTGCGGACATGAAGGGATGGGCATCGTGCACGAGGTAGGCCACGAGGTGCGGAACTTCAAAAGGGGCGACAGGATAATTGCCCCGTTCACGATAAGTTGGTGAGTATCTATCTATTCCCCATCCAAGTATAAGATCTAGGGCATCTGAATCTACAAAACGCTCTGAGCTGACCGGATTGAATATCTTTACCAGCGGCGAATGCTTCCACTGCAAGCGGGGAATCACCGGCCGCTGCGTCAAATGTAAATCGTTCGGATCAGTGGCACTTGACGGGTCACAGGCGCAGTACTTCCGAGTACCACTGGCCGACTCGACGCTGTTTCACACCCCGCAGGAAGGAGACCTCGGGGAGCTTTTGATCTTGATGACGGACATCTTTCCTACAGGGTACGCGGGCAGACAAGTCTCTTTCTCGTGATTTTGTTTTCGTCCTCGACAATGGGATGACTCGGCTAATGCAACCGCACACACGCCAGATTCAACGGGGCACGGAACGCCTTTCGTGAAACCCCCAGCGACCTGTGGAAGGATATGACCGTGGTCGTGATCGGGTGCGGGCCCGTTGCGCTGTGCTCGATCATTTGTGCACGCGAATATAAACCGGCACGCATAATCGCGATCGACTCGGTCCCGGATCGCCTGCAACGCGCCCAGGACCTGGGCTGCATCCCGCTCAATTTCAAGACGGTCGACGTGGTCAAGGAGGTCATGAGGCTGACGGACGGTAACGGTGCCCACGCGGTCATCGAAGTGGTCGGTCTGAGTCCTGCGCTGAAGACAGCGTACGATGTTATTTGTCCCGGCGGGAAGATCAGCTCTGTCGGTATGTTCTCATTCACAGTGCCTGTTCCTCCAGTCTGAAGTTGACGTTTATGTTTGTGATTGTGATACCGGCAATAGGGGTTCATAATGGCGAGCTCCCCTTCACGGCCGCAGACTGTTACAACAAGAACGTCCACATCCAATTCGGCCGCTGTCCGGCGAGGTACGTGTTCAAGGAGGCTCTGCAGGCACTAATCCGGAACAAGAGCACGATCGAGAAGATGGAATTCATCGATGTCGTGCTGCCTGGCTTGGATGAGTCGTGTGTGGATGCATTGCGGCGCTTCGAACGGGCGGAGGTCAACAAGGTGGTCTTTAAACCGAATGGAACGGATGCATAGTCCGAAGTGTCAGAAAGGCTCAGGTTTTGAAGAGGTCATAGCTCGCTTCATGCATGCTCCACCCATAAGTGCGTGCATGTGAATACCAGACCTTACCAGTTAGACTGACTGTCCGTAGAGCCAATACAAATGGTCCTGCACAGGGGAGAGAACCTAGCTGAACGTAGCTGCTGAGAGGATACTGACCGCCCCTCAATAACAACCCCCCTGAATGGCCATATACTGCATATTCAGCTTTGAGATCTCAAAGTCGAATACGTCCACTCGCGAAACAATCGAGACACTAGCCTGTTTTGGAAGCCCTTCGCGGGTCTAATAGTTCAACCGCCTTGACATCTCTTGGCTGCCCAGGCACCATCCAAAATGCTGTCCTTTTAAACACAACACTGAGTTACGCAACGTATCTGCTCAAGGTCCCATCTGAGAACAGCTCGTCTTTTTCTGTACCTTCACGCAGTCCAGGGAAACAATGGCGGCGATTGACGATTATGACAGGGCCAAGGGAGAGGAGGAGCATATCCTCCCTTTAACTGGCAACAGGCAGTTAGCGTACGCCCACAGCGGACCCGTATCTTCTCGAACCGTCGTGATCTTCTTTACAGGCATCATGAGCGTCGGCACTGCACCAAATACGCCTGCACCGTGTCGCGAGCTCGGAGTCCACTGGATCGCACCCACTCTTCCGGGCATGGGAAACACCAGCACTCGTGATAAGAGCGTACCTTACCACGTGTCCTTGGCGAGGGATATGGTCGCCCTGCTGTCAAACCTGTATCCCACGGACGCTTATGACACGCTCTACATTGCAGGCGGATCATACGGCACCGTCCCCGCACAAATGCTATACGGCGCGCCGTATGAGCTATTTCCCCCGGGTCGCAAGATCGTCGGGTGCGTCCTGCTCAACGGCTTCGCCCCTCTCAAGTACCACGCCGACTACGCGAAGACGCTGAGCTGGCAGAACTGGTTCTCCTACGGGTGGCCCACTCAAGTGCTTCCATTCCACCTCCTCCAACGACTCTTCCGCTTCGCGATCGGATCGAAGCTAAACACCCTTGATGGTGCGAAGACGTTCCTCCGGCAAACAATCATCGACCAAATGGGCGACGAAGAGAAGTCGACGTTCCGAAAGTGGCTGGACAGGAATCGTCTCACCGAGGACGCCTTCGTCGAACAAATGGCGCAGGGCACCATCATGTGCTGCCGCAACTGGGATGGCTTCATGGAAGTTGCCGACGTGATCCACTCCGACTGGGGGTTTGAGCCTAAGGCGCTGGACGATGCGCATGCGTCGAAACCGGTCCTGGTTGTCGGTTCTGAGGTCGATCGGATCGGCGGGAGCGCCAATGACTGGCTGGTGAGCAATTACAAATCTGCCAAGCTCAAAGTCGTGCCAGGAGGCCACATTTCGTCCCTGTTCTACATGGACGAGATCTGGGAAGAGATCTTTCGCAGTAAGTCGGACACACTTGAATCTTTCGACTGTGTCTGTTTCGCTGACGTGCATTTAGTGGCGAAATTGTAGGGAGAACATGACGACTGCCTGCAGCTTTCTTAGACATTGGAGTGGAACAGGTGCGGAAGGGGAGGGGCAACGAGGTCAATGATAGCACAGGGAGTGCATGTATTAAGGGCGCTGCGATCTATAGTTCAGCAGCCCGCCTGAAGCCAATTCCAGCTTTGGTAGAACAGGAATGGAAAAGGGTTTGAGTCGGAAGTATGACTGGATGAGGAAACTAACGCCAAGGTGGACAAGTCAAACTGTGTGGTTTCTTGCCGGGACTCAAATTGCACAGGACTACGAAAGTAATACACCAAGTGCAGCCCGTCTATCTTTCCCCCAACCTATGCCAACGCCTCTCCCAAATAGCTCAAGCAATGACCCGATATCTTCCTTCCAAGGGCTTCTGTTCCTTCGCTGCGGGTTTCTCCCCAGCCGGCTTCCCAACGACCATCTGAGCGACCAGCTTCCACTTCTCATCAATCGACCACGTCTTCTTCACCTCTTCGTCGATGAGCGGGTTGTAGTGCTGCACGTTGATGCCCAGCCCCGCGGCCTCCAGCGCGGTCCACAGCACCAATTGGTTCATGCCGCTTCCCTGTTCTCGCCAGGCTTCGAATTTGTCGGCGTACGTCACGAACCCGGCAAGCGGGTCGTACGTGGATGGGTCTTCGAAGAACAAAATCGAGGCATACGCGGATCGGAAGGAGTTCAGTTTCGCCTCGGTGGCGGCGGCTTGCTCGGGCTTGCCGGCCACGTGCGGCGCGAGGGCCGCCTTAACAATATCCCACAGCTTCCTGTGCTGGTCGCCCAGAAGGACGATGATGCGGGCGCTCTGCGTGTTGAATGCCGACGGTGTGACCAGCAGGGTCTTCTTGACCAGTTCCTCGAGCTTTGCGTCCGAGATGGTCGATTCCCCCGTCAGGTTGTAGATGGTGCGCCGTTTGGCGGCGATGTCGAGGTAGGTGTCGACGTCAGACATGGTGGGTCGGGACTGAGATGGGTATAAACCTGAACTTGGTTTCAGATCTCCTCTATCTTGGTTGGTCGGTCTGCTGATGCTCTGGCTAAATGGTTCGGGTTCGTTGACGAGCTCCATTTCTCTTCTTCTTATGTTCCTCGCCAGCCCGCATACCGCTTTCTCTCTATCACCTAAGCATCATAGGTATGGCGCTAGGTATTCCATAATGCTAGGTAAGTCCTTAGGAAGCAGAAATTGCTGTGAGAGAAGGTTAGTAGTGTTGTCTTAGCTAAGTTTCTGTCAAGCAGTGGTGACAGGAAATGTTGGTGGAGGTCTGAGGGCGGAAACCGGTCCGATGCGGTGCTGCACAATGACGTACTATGTCACCGACGAGCGCGTTGCTAAAATGCCTCAACGGGCCTTTTCTGCGATGACTGATCTAACAGTTGGGGTGCTGCTTGCAAATTACAAGGAGGCTGGTGTTGGTCAGAGTGCTCTTGATCACTGAGCCGGTTCTCGTGCATGGTTTGAAAGCCACCAATTCTGTGGAACACTGGTCCGCGACTCTGCGTGTTTTGCTGGGCATTCAACCGAATGTGGCGGTAAATACGGCTGCTTTCACAGCTGCCGACAATCTTGAGCCCTACCAGTCAGTTGGATGCTTCCTGTAAGAGCAGCCTCACCATTCTCGGGTTGGGTTAGACTCTTCTCTCTGTGCGGGCCGGCGCATCATGGACTGGGACGTGACTGGGCGCCCGATGCATCATGGTGCCTACGCCTCCCCCGCTTGCCCTCCGACCTCATGTTTCAGGTTCTGCACCTTAGCTTCATCATCGGGCGAGGTGATACCCTGACGACCAAGAGCCTGGTACCAACTCTTCAAAGCTGTCCACTGTCAAACATCATGAAGATTTGCGGTAGCACCTACAGTGCCCAGCAGTGTGTGAAACGGATAACGGAGCCTGTCGGGGCAGATCCCGGCATCGTGGGCCTCGGAGTACGCTTGTTCATGTTTCCGAGGATGAAAATCACGCTCTGACAGCTCTTCCAGGCATTGGTGGCTTTCGCAGCAACTGCAATACTCACATATGCAGCTATAATTCTTGGATACTTGACCCAATCACTGCCAGATGGCTCTCTAAATGACTTGGACCACGAAATTGTGGAAAGGGTTTCCAGGTCGGGAATTTGCACGACATCCGTAAAGGCTTGGAGGGCGTTTACTCGTATATACAGACGATGCTTCTTTCTCACACCCCACACTGAGGATGATAACATGAACAAGCAGCAACGGACGCAAGCACTGAAGAACTTTATTCTCACGCTTAGTGACCAGCAGCTTGTCACCGGTATCGCCCTTCTTGTGGCCCTCTTCGCGAATTGGTGCACAATGTCCCTCTACGAACTGAACATGGTTGTCGCTTTAGCCTGGTTCTCTTCAGCTACTCACCTGGCAACGTTGGTGGTACTTCGAGATTACTTCCAGCAGAACGGTGTGGTCCGGAATTGGCGTATCTTTGGGATGGTCCTCATCATGCTGCCATTGGTTGTTGGGCTGTTAATGACAGGAATATATGCGCTCTTCAATCTGGCTCTGCCTCTGCAGTGTCTCGGACCCCTATATGCCGGGGTCACGGAATACGACTGCAACGGTTCAGTTCTTGTTGTCACCAAAGCACTTTCCAACAATGTCACGGTTTACAATAACGGTTCCATCAACTTGGACGGATCATACTACAACAATTGCACTAACGTCTTTGGAGTATACCAGGGTGGAATCAGCCCGATCACAATTGTCGGATCTATTTGGACCGCAGCCTATCTTATCGTTGGGTATGTAGGTGCAGTACTGTCGACTTTTACGACATCTGAAAATGACGCTCTCACCTCGTCTTACGTGGCGCTACTGGCCCTCCAACGGGTGGCGCGGTGGACAAAACATGGACGGTCAGAAACTATCGAGGTTGCGATAAGCAACGAAAGATCAAAGACAAAATCGATCGGCCGCTCTAAAGGGAAATTATATCGTACTGCTACCGCTTACAGCGCATCGTTCTTATCCCAAATTGGGACCTCCTTCTTCGCCTTATCGTACGGAATCACACAGATTACGACGTTACGATGGGGCGCATATCATCCGCAACTTCAGGCAGGAAGTACGCGCATTGATTTTGGGCAGATAGTTCCTCTTATCCTGCTTATATTACCTCTCCTATCTGCTGCTGAGATCTTCAACGGTACGTCTCACGCCTGCCAGGGATTCATGTGCTGATTGCATATCAGAGAAGGAAATTAAAGAGCATGTGGCGACCCCCACTGAAGACACAGTCTCTACACAAACAGGTACAAGTGGTGCGGAGTTCCATGATGCCCATGCCAACAACAGCGTCCCTCCATGCGGAAACGAGCAGGTCCATGCGCCCACGGGAAATCGAGCTGCACTCGAATCAGAACCACCTGACGCAAGTGCTTCTCGGTCGCCAGCAGACCCTCATAGACCTTCGGCTGCCCCTACCTCAAGGGTTTCCGTCAAAATCATCTTCTTCTTCCATATTTCTCTGATGATCGAAGCAGGGGTTGGGCTCAATATGCTGAGCGGACTCGAATGGTTAGGACTCTTTGGGCTGATATTCGTATTCGGTGGTAAAGTGGCTCGTTTTGTTGGCCGACTCGCTGCTGCAAGGAAGGCTGTGTTGCAAGCAAGAACCAACAAGAACAAGAACAACAAAACATCTGGGCAGGTCCAGGCTAACTCGAGTAGTGCGCCGGACAACAACATTGAACTTCGAGGACTTCCCAGCAGCGATGCGGCTTCCCAGGCGGCGACAGATCCTGATCAGCCCTCCTCGACTGAGGGAACAGCCCCCAGCAGCACGACATCAGCAGAGCCGTTAAACGCGGTCCCTCCAACCAGCCAACAGGCTAGTGAAGGTGGTAACCAAGCCGAGAATCTAGCCAGTCTGCCAGCGCCAGCTTCAGTACAGGGACCGGCGGCAGACGCATCCGACGATTCGCTCGATTGGGTCCCAGCCAATCCTCACAGGCACGACACGGAGTCAGGTCTCCGTGAGCGGATTTCCTCGGCACATGACGACTGAGACGAAGAGCAGAAACCAAGGAAGGAGGCCACATGCAGGAATAACGTGGGCAGTGTGATGGGATAGCGAGCGGCCAGCCAGCCAGCCAAACATATAGTGCATCCGGTTCCAGGACATTGACGGCCTGCATAGTCAACGCGGAACGAGAATTTCACGTACATAACGACGTCACGACCGGAATGCTGGAGATGGCCACGGATCAATCTACTCAGGATCACCTACGGAGCTGCCTCTGGTTTCGAAAGGGCCATCACCGGACTGGTCAGAGACCGGGGGGTTCCGGACCCCAGGCTGTGGACTGGGGAATGGTGCGATTTTGGCGCGGAATATCATGGTATATATGGCTTGATGAGCAAGGCCAACCACTTCGGTTTTCTCGTGGTCAAACTACCAGCTCTCTGATAGGTTGATCGACGCCACACGAGCGCCTCGACAAGCGCGTTCTTCAGTGCCATCCCAATCGCGACCAACGTTGGAACACAATAAAATCAAACCTCAGCTCCATTCCCTGCCTCCTGGTAAGGCATACCTTCCACCATCGACAAGGTTCGACCGACCTACAGTGCGTATCTGAACTCCGGGTTCTGCTTGTCGGTCAAGTCCATGAACTCGGTGTCCGGAACATGGACGTATCCCTCGGCCGCCGCCAGTTGGTCCCGGCGCTTGTTCTCCCAGACGTACCAGAACCTCAGGACCAGCGCGGTGACGATGGCCAGGGATAGGCAGGCCATGATCGCTACCTTGGCGGGGATGTAGTTCGGGGCCGTATAGCCGGTGAAGGTGAGTGGTCCAATGATGTTCGACGCACCATATGCGAACAAGATAATAGCATTAATGCTGACCTTTTTAGTATGTCCGGCGTAGTTGGCCGCCGCCCAGGAGTACATCATCGAGAGATCTGTGTTATTGAATGGTAAGCATACATATTCCGGCACCAGAGACATGGGGGGTATCTATGCTTACTGGGTCCAAAAATCTGGGTCAGGTAGATACCCGCCAGTTTCCCCGCCTTGTCGCTCTTGGGGAGAAACGCCATCAGGCCGCCGCCCAGCACACCGGGGAGGAGGAGAGCCACGATGCCGTAGCCACGGTTGTTGAACCGTCCCGCATACCATGACGCGGACACTACGGCGATCATGGAAATGGCGCCGCTGGGGATGTTGAGCAAGGCCGACTGCTTGGACGTGTACCCGAAGCCTTTGATCAGGGTTGACGAGTACACGCCGCACGCGCCGGTGGGGACGTTGCCGGCGATGATGATGACCGCGATGAGCCACGTGCGCAGGTCGAAGATGGTCTCCAGAAACTGTGGCCGCTTGAAGGTCTTGTTCTCGATACCGGTCATGTTTTCACGTAGTCGCTCAATGGCGAAGACTTTCTCCTCGTGTGTGAAGGGCGACGTCATGGGCGAATCGGGCAGGACCAGGAAGACGATGATGCCCCAGGCGACAGTGATGATGCCAAATACAAGGAACATGATCTACATGGAGTCGTCAGTTTTCAAGAATCTCCAAGCTGGCAAGGTGTGGATATATTGCTAACCTGCCACGATTTGAATGTGTCTGCGTGGTAGTATTGGAAGCCAAAGGAGGCGAGGGCTCCGACGATGGTTCCTCCACCAACACCCAGATACCAGATGGCCACTCTTAGGGGCTGTTCTGAACGCTACAATAGGTCAGCGTTTCTGCACAAAGGATGGTAGCCACGCACTCAGTCGCTGGCCGCCCACATACCTTGTACCACATGCCGGTAATCAGAATCAAGCAAGGCGCGCTGGCTGATTCGAACATACCCAGAAGCAATCGAACAACGATGAGTCCGCCAAAGTTACTGCACGCGCTGTGCACTATGACAAGAAAGAAGTGTCAGTCTGGGCTCTTTTTCCACCGATTCCTTGTCTGCAACATACCAGCCAAGGCAACACCCCACAAACAAACATTCACGGCGAGGTACTTGGCCGTCGGAAACTTCTGCATCAGGTAGGCATGCACCGGCTGGAAGACGGCAAAAGTGACGTAGAAGAAGGTGGCCAGGTAAGAGAAATCGGCAGCACTCATGTGAGTGTCTTTACTCAATCCCATGACATTGGCGTAGTTGACTAGATAGTAAACCACATATTAGTAGTGGCCTCGTCAATCCAATGCACATTCTGGCTGTCCACGTACTCAAACTCTTGTCGATATACTGGAGAATGTAGACACCAAACAACATGGGCATGATGAGAAAGTCGATCCGGCGGACGAGTTTTTTCTCATTGATCTCGGCAATGGATGCGTCAGCCTCATTACGGAGGAAGGCGAGGGCGCCGTCGACCTGGTCGAGGGCGAGCTTCTCCTTGGCATCGAACTCTGGTTCCTCTATGATAGGGTTGACATGTCCAATCTTCTCGACGTCTGTGGCCATGGCTGGCGAGTTCCTCCTCTCTTCCTCTTCCCTTTCCGGGCCGTAGAGACACTTCTTCAAGTTGAAGGACAATCGGTGGTGGAGACCTCGAGTGCGGGACGAGACTGTGTGTCTGCGGTGTGTCGCAAGAGATTGAGTCCTGCTCACAGATATTTTCGTGAAGCAAGGTTATATAGCTCTGTGGTCCACAGCAGGGCAGGGCCGGCTGCCAGGTCGATTCGACGCTTAGATAGTCCCCAGAGTCACCGTTGATGGCAAAAAGACTGGTATAAAGCTGGTTGCTGGATGGCTCTCCACATCCAAAACAGCTAGCCGGGTGTTGGTAGGCCATTCTCCGCGCTCTGTGACTGGTCAGATCAGCATTGATACAGTCCCGACGCTAATGCAGGGCAAGAGATACAGTCCCGGCTCTGGCCCAGCAGCTAGTGGCGCTCAGAGATACAGTCCCGGTGCCCATTCACCAGTTCTGGGGATCACGCGAGATACAGTCCCGCCATGGCAGCGAGTAGGACAATGTCTGGCTCAGGTGTTGTCAGATTAAAGACAAACGGTAAGACTTTGAGCATACCAGTTGAGACTAGGCCGTGCCGCCTGCCTTCTCTGAAGGGCCGTTCCACGTGGCATTCCACTTTCTGCAACCCTATAGAAGAATTCTGTGACAAGAATACAAGGCGTAATAGGGGGAGAATGTTGACTGCAGCTACGTAGAAGGCCAGTGTGCACCTCTCTGACTTTCACAGTGGAGTTTATCCACATAGACACAGACGAAAGGGAGGATATGCTGGTGTACATATAGTATAGATGTTGAATGATCCTTACAGGCCATGAAAAGGTCAACTTCACCACGTCTCTTGACATTTTCCTGTTCCATTTCGTGCAGCCCTTTCAGCAAACTGACCTGGTACTCGCCTCAAAATGCTCATTAATCGAACGACGAGGGTACTTGGCTTGCTGTCATCCAGAGTCGAACCAGTCTCGCATTCACCGTTGTCGAGATATGTTGCATGCGGCCAAAAGTACAGCCGGGCACTGAGCAGCACGACGCAGACCACCATTCCCTCATACACCGTGAACAAAGACCGGCTATGGAAGACTATCCACGATACTGCGCAATGGGGTGCGACTCCAGATGGAGGGATCCGTCGCCTGGCACTGACTGACACGGACAAAGCCGTCCGGGAGTGGTTCGTCTCCACGACGCAGTCATTAGGATGCACCGTCAAGGTCGACGAGATGGGCACCCTATTTGCTACGCGCGCGGGCATCTCCACTTCCCTTGCCCCCATCGGAATTGGGAGCCACTTGGACACCCAACCGGCCGGTGGCCGCTACGATGGGATTCTGGGCGTCCAGGCGGGCGTTGAGATCCTACGAGTCCTCGAGGAGAACGGTCATCAGACATATGCGCCGCTGGCGGTCATAGACTGGACAAATGAGGAAGGTGCCCGGTTCAACACCGGCATGGTTTCGTCTGGTGTCTGGTCTGGGCGGTACAACTTGGACTATGCTCACGCGCTTCCGGCTGCTGATGACGAGACCAAGACGGCGACCTTGAAAAGTGAATTGCAGCGGATTGGGTTCCTGGGAACAGTACCCGCATCATATAAGGCAAATCCTTTGAGCGCGCATTTCGAGCTGCACATCGAACAGGGGCCAGTCCTTGAGGATGAGGGTAAGAAGGTAGGTATCGTGACTGGTGTGCAGAGCATGGGGTGGCTCATCATCACCGTTCATGGTAAAAACCAGCACTCGGGCACATGCCCGATGGACCGGCGGGCATGTGCACTTACATCCGCTGCCCGCATGATATCACGCGTGGAGGAGATCGCGCTTGCTGCGAATGGCCTCTCGACGGTCGGCGTCATCAACTCGTGGCCCCAGTCGCCAGCTACCGTGCCTCACAAAGTTGTCTTCAGTGTCGACTTGAGCCACCATTCGACCGAGGTGCGGGAAGGCATGATTGCAGAGACGTGCGCAGAGTTCGCCCGTATTGCACAGGAGAACAAATGCACGGTTGAGATCGAAGACATCTGGAACAGTCCGGCCGTGCAGTTCCATGAGGATTGTATCAGTTGTGTGCGAGAGGCGGCACGAAACGCAGCTGGGGAGGAGAATGTCAAGGAAATGATGGCAGGTGCTGGCCACGACAGTGTGCACACCAGCGACAGGTGTCCAACAAGCATGGTGTTTGTGCCGTCAAAGGGAGGAATCTCGCATCATCCAGACGAGTATTCTTCTCCAGAGCAATGGTATGTTTCACCCAACCCCCCCCACCCCCTCCCCCCCAGCATCCACAAAACATCTCGAGTTGACGATTTCTGTCCAGTGCTATCGGAGCCCAGGTCTTGCTTGAGAGTGTGCTGCGGTACGACGAGCAATTGCGCAAGGCTGCCATTTAAACACATTTACACGAGGGGCATTCGATCATTCTTCAGAAATTGAGTTGATGCGTGTCGGTAAAGTGGCGCCATGGATTTGAAATATCGCATTGCTCAGGGGAAAATAATGAACTTCTTTGATCCGATCACCTGCCACTGAGACCCGACATCTAGACAATGTTGTCCTGCGGAGTATTTTGCGACTCATGTTAGTCCAGAATATTGTTGGTGAGTAGTCGTCTCCCATGTTGTAAACATGGCAGGAAATAGGTGATCATTTTCCAGAGACGTAGGCATGGATTGCCAGTTCGGTGTCAGTACATCTGCCGAGAGATGGATATTGTTATTGTGCTCCAGATTGACCTGCGGTGGCATCTCCAGATTGTATAAGGTGTCGGTCGCTGAGGCCTCTGGCATATTGAGAGAAGTCTGTCGCGGGACGTTTGCTGGCATATACTGGCAGGAGTTTTCAATTACCGGACAAGGACGCGGTATCGACCCTGCATATGATGCTGTAGCGTTGGGGAGAGAATTGACCAGAGAATTATATGCTTGTGAAAGCTGCGGCCTCTCAGATACCTGATCTGGCCAAGGTGAAAGAGCAGTAGCAGGGTCAATATAAGCTAAGGGTTGCGGCGTCGGTGCCCATGAAGTGTTAGATTCTGAGGGTGTCCCAGATTTGACGTGGCCTGTGAGTTCAGCGATCAGAACCCGACACTATTGTCGCAACGGCCATAGCTGGACATACCAATCAATCTCTGGACACGTAAAATGTTTTCGGGTGTCCCGTCTTCTCCCAAAATATCGAGAGCTTCCATGACCTCCACTTTAACCACCACGCATGGGTAGCCCAGACGCACGCAGTTGGCGCACCTGCGTAGAGGATCTCCAACAGCAGGCCTGCACCTGGCCTTTCGTTTTCGGCAATGACCTACCAAATGAGCGAGTGTCCACATCGTTCCAACTCGGGTTCTCTACCCCAGGACTTACCACACGCGACAGATGCCCGGTAATAGCCCAGCTTGTCCCCCTTCGACCGCGCTCGTGAGAAGTAACCACAATGAGACATGATCCCTGGACTCGCCGGAAGACTGGTTGGTGTTTACTCCGGCTTGTGTATATAAACGCTTCAAGGCTCTGTAAATGTCACGGATTGCAGTTGATCGGAGAGATTCGCTCGATACACGACTGAAGATGAGGTGTCCGAGGCCCTTATCACAGGGAAACCCCGCAAGATTGACGCAGATGCCTAATTTGGATAAGCCGTATTGTAGAACTCCAAATGGCACCCACAGGTGAGTGTTGTAAATTATGGAAAGGGTGGCTAAACGTTGGGCTTCTCCTCGCCCGAGGAAAGATAATAATGCTTGATAATTACCGAAGGGCCTCACAGAGTGCCAGTCAAACCTTCCCGGGCAAATGCCGCTGCTCCACAGAGTCAGGTCAACCCTGATATCTTACCGCCAGTTTGGTTTGCCATACTACGGAGGGTATCGCGCCCTTTCACTGCCTTCTCCCACACCGCGTACAGATTTCTTGATCGGACTCTTTAAATCTACAGGAGGCGTACCCTAACGAGTTGTTGACGTGAGTGTAGTCGGCTGAGGCTGATTTTGAGGGAGCATTTAAATAGGTACGCTGAGCCTGAACGCATGCCCACGGATATCGAGGATTTCCAGTGGAAATCAGATACGGAGGAAGTCAGGGGGGTCGATGTTTCGTTTGACCTTTGAATGAAGTAACCTAAGGACATGGACTCGGGTATTATCGATCCAGCGAAGCTTCAGTATTTCGGCTTTTCTGGATAAACAGCCACGCCGCTGATTGGTCACCTTGTATCGGGGCTTATCTATTGGCCATTGAGGTTACATTTCACGTGACTCTGTCGGATCTTAGTTATTCCGCTCCTGATCTCTAGTGCCATTTCCACCTCGTCGCCACTACTACCGCTACCAACTCAGCTTTCATCAACAACTTCATCAAAAACTTCATCAACACCACACTAACCCTTCATTAAATAGTCTCAATCTGCTCGTCTAGCATCATCCAATTCGTCTGCGAAAAGCCCCGCTCAAAAAACCTTCTGTAATAACAATGTGTGGCTTGTGTGGCTGTGTGGCTGTGTGGCTTTGTGATCTCGCCAGAGAGATGACACTAAACTAAATACAAAATACAGTTAGCCCTGCGATCAGCCCGTCGAACCGGCGCTTTCACCTCTTAAGGTCCTCATTTTGGCCTTGGCACTCGAGGGGAGGGCTTCTGTCAGTCAGCTAACTCCCTAGCAATACATTCGTAATCCATCATTTTTGCTTGGAGATTCTGCAATTATCAAATACTATCGAACAACGTGCGCAGGAGGCATGAGGCCTCTCAGGGAAAAGAGTGGCATCGATTGGAAACAACCATCAATCCTCTGGATGCACAACTAAAGGAACGAGTCTCTCGAGCCAGCAAACCTGAACCGCAGCTCAGTCCCTCGCCTTCACCTTTGGCTGGGTCAACGCCGCGACGATGACCGGGAACACACTGACCATCTCGCCGAGACCCGCATAGGCCGGAGGAATACGAACCTTGACAAAAGCTCCTGCCGCGAGCAAGATTGCAAGCATATTATATACCGCTGACCAGACGAAGTTGAAGGCGATGCGTCGAAACGCGGCCTTAGACACATCCAACAAGCTGATCACGCCGTCGAGATTGCGAAGAAGGACAACATCCGCCGTGGCACGCGTGACGTCCGAAGACGACTCGATTTGCACTCCGACATTGGCTTGAGCAACTGCGACAGCATCGTTTGTTCCATCTCCACAGAACAGTGTGATCTTTCCGCCATCCATAAGTTGGCGCACATATTCCTGCTTCTGTGCTGGGGTCCGCTCTGCAGCGACGTTCACCAAGGGTATCTGAAGGTCTGCTGCCACGCCCTCCACGGCACGGCGCCCATCGCCACTTACGATGTGAACGACGATCCGCCGCCGATGGAGCTCTCGAACCACACCAGCCGCTCCTTCCCGAAGCCGAGATTTCAACCCGAATATTGCAGCTAGAGAGTGGTCAATTGTGACGCATAAGACTGTCAACCCTTGGGCTGCCAAGTCGGCAACCTCAGGCACCTCACTGATCTTGAGCCACTTCGCATTGCCAGCGCGGACGGTCACACCCTCCCATTGCACCTCGACTCCGCAGCCAGGAACGGACACGACCCCCTCTACTCCTGCGTCGCGTAAAACCCGTGCATCCAGCGCCTTTGCGACAGCTTCCGAAACTGGATGTTTGTTGCTCTTCACCATCTTCTTGATCAAGGAGAGCAAGGTATCTGGGTCAGCTTTGGACACGTGGACGATAAGCTCTTTCACGACTTCCAGACTTGGCTCAGTGAGTGTTCCTGTCTTATCGAAGACCACGTCGGTAACCTTGAAGCCGCGCTGAACGACGTCTGCGGTCTTGATGATGACACCGCCATGGGCAGCCACGCCTCCAGCGACCACTAGGACCATCGGAACGGCCAACCCGAGCGCACAAGGGCAGGTGATGGCTAGTACAGCAATGGAATAGCCTATGGCAGTTCCGATCGCATCACCAGCAGATTGTTTTCGAATCTTCAGCGCAACGAAGATCCAGATGGTGAAGACGATAAGCGCCATGGTGCACACAACTGGAACAAAATACCCTGCTACCTTATCCGCCAAGTCCTGGACACGCGGCTTGAAGCTTTGTGCTTGTTCGACCAGTTTGGCAATATCAGTAATGGTATTCCTCCCTGGCAAGCGAGACACCCTCGCTGTTAATGTTCCACTACCGTTGACAGTGCCGGACACAACAGAATTTCCAGCGGTCTTGACAACGGGAATACTCTCGCCTGTGAGCATTGACTCATCCACTTCACTCGTTCCTCCGAGAACATCAGCATCGGTGACAATCCGACAATGCGGCAGGATTGAGATCCTATCCCCGTATTGAAGTAAACGAGCATCGATCTCTCTGGTGTTTCCCGTTACTGTTTCGATTAGCAACGCCGTCGATGTTTGCATAGACCTGAATGACACGGCCTGCACCGCACGTTTCCGAGCCCAAGCTGCCAGGAGGCGACCAAGCAGGATTAGCGTGACCAGCAGCGTGCTCGTCTCAAAAAAGGGTTTGGTCCTCAGCTCAGTGTTGACAAAGAAAAGACCTGTCGCAACGATGGAATACACATATGCGGCGGTGATGCTGATGACCACAAGCATGTCCATCTCGACAACTTTGTTGTATATCAAAGACGACATGGCAGGAATGTAAAACTCAGAAACCGCAATTGCTTGAACCAACGTGGCAAGGACTGTGGCAACTATCAGGGTTGTGTGCTCGGAAACGCCAGAAGGACGGCCCCATTCGAGTACAACAACTGGGGTCGTCAGGATGAAGGCTGCCAAGGTCAAAACAGAGACTCGAATGAGCCTACGCTTCCCTTCGTCAAGGTGGGAGTCGCTGCGGGGAGGACCAAGTTGGCCGTCAATACCGGCAAGCAAATCTCTGGCACCAATCATGCATGGGTCATAGCTGATTTCATACGTTGTCTTGGAAACCTTCTCGCAGGATTCGACACCGTGAGGTAGGTTGTTTCGAAATTTGTTTGCTTCTGCCACACTCATAACAACGCCGATACTCTGAGTGTCGGAGGAGAATGGTGTCAGTTTGTATCCGGTAGCCTTCTGGGCGCTGCGAATGACGTTGTCCAGGGTATTAATCTCCGTGTCGAGGCCAAATTCAGCAACTCCACTAATGAAAGTCACCTTGACATCCTGCGTGCCGACCGCAGCCCGAAGTGCTCGGGCCAAGTTGTTCGCGCAGCCAGAGCAGTCCATTCCAGTGACATTCAGAAGAATATGTGAAAGTCCTGCCACCTTCTCGACGTCCATCCAAGTCTTTTTAGGAGCGGCCTGAACCTCAAATTCAACAAGGTCAAGGCGCTCACGGCTGCCACAGCATTTTATCTCAGACATGGTTGGTATCGCTTCCACCGGCGCTTTCCTGAAGCGGCGGCGAGACAGGACAACCCGGTGGTCTTTCATACTGAGATGATGACTATGGGGTTTCCTGGTAGCAGAGACGCTACTGGCGGGAGGCTGAATGCAGCAGGACTCATTTCGTCGCGCCGACGAAAGGATGCTTCGACAAATACACTGAGCCGACTCAAGGTATGTGGCATATTTCTCCATGGCTGCTTTGAGGTGAACATTGCAAGGCTCGTCGGGATGGGTGCCATCCTCGCCATGAACGTGCTCATGAGCACTACTGACGTGAATGTCTTTGCTCGCTGTGGACTCTTCGGCATGACCACGATGGTGGCCATGATCTTCATGGTCGCAGGTATCGTGGTGGGTAGTCTTTTCGTCGGATGCGTGGTCGCTGGCTACACTCGCACAGTCTTGCTGATTGGCGCACGCCATGGAGCACTCGATGGCAGCGGCAGTCTTGATGCAATTTTCTTTCATCTCCATCAGCACAGTTTCTGCGTGGGGCGCTAGATAGCTTACCGTTGCATCTATCGTCCTCACTACACCTATTCATCACGTCTGCGTCGACATGCGATACTGCTGCTGCCGAAATTGTTGAATTGCACGAGGCGCGACAAGGTGACGTCGAAAGGCTCGCCACCGAACTCCCGCAGCAACCCACTTGGCCGCCGGTAGGCTTACTGGTGCAGCAAGATTTCATCTTGATTACTCGCAGGGCTGTCGAGCTCTCCGTGTTGGGCTTTTGAATTGGCAAGGGATATTACAAGGTAGGCTTTGATGGTTTTAAATGCGATGATGTTGCAGAAAGCAACCCCCTTCACCGGTTCTCGGAAAACGGTGAGTTGGCTTGGGGAACCTGACCTGCTCTACGGCTCTAGACCCGACTGGGAAATTTCATGCGCATTCGCTTCCGCCCCTTGGCACCGTGCTCTGCGGGCCAAACGGGTTTCTGACGATGGGGTCAGGCGTTACACACACTTCTGTGTGAGAACATGCCGGATGGAAGGGCCGATAGTGACAGAGTGCCTGGGAGCGTTGATTCCAGGCGCCAAACGGCACTTCATTTCGTCGAAAAGATGTCAGTGATAAGAGGCGAACCTCTGGAGCCAAGGCAATAAATGGCAACTGTTGTTTGTTTTTGTCTTCTGCTGGGCAAGCATGAGAAATCACCGGCAAGTTTTACGGGCCACAACCAATCAACCCAGGGCTTATGCAAAAGCAGCGACGTGAAGTCATTTCCTTCTTCCCGCCTACACGATCCTTTGATCCTCGCTATTGAGAGAGTTTCTAATTTCTCTCAGCAGCTGCGGCGTTTTCTCTTTGTGGATTCGTGCTTCTGCCAGTCGGATATCTTCAGCTCAGTATTCTATTCTAATATCCTGGGTGATTTCGCGGCCGTTCAAGCCGACCATGTCCGCCTTGCTCTCCGCTATTTCTATCCTCCTCTTGCGTGAAACTGATGGCAGGAGTCACAGCTTTTAGCAGCTCTCCTGTTTGACTAGCTGACCACGTTTTGCAGACCTCAGCATTCATTCTCCTGTCAGATACACAAGTCGACGCGGCAGTCCACAAAACAGTCTATTTCCCATTTCCAGCCTAGGTTCGAAGTGACGTGGCTAGTTCAGGAGTCGGAGGCCTTGCTCTCTTAGTATATCTCGACTGCCTCCTTAATTCCGTCGTTCTAAGAGGTCTTCTTCCTTTTTGACCACTGCTGATATTCTCATCGCTGATCGTTACCCTTATCGACCGTCATACAAAGCTGAATTCTGACAACGTATCCATTTTGTATTCATGCTTCGACCTATTTGCATACCTCGACATTTTGATATGCATTCCCTTTTCCTTTGCAATTTCTGGGGACACTGCATAGACGGACAGTGTAATTTCTAATTTTCGATGCTACCTAATTCTCTTCTTCAGCCGGATATACTCTCACCACTCCTGTCGTGTATATATATCTATTGCACCCCCAGTCAAATCTACTGGAATCCTCGCAGCTCATCCTTTGGCTTCACCTTTGCGGCGCTCGTTGGCGACGAACCAGAGACTCAAGACCAGGCCCAGTCCAGCCAGTCCAACCGCAAACCACAACGCACCACGATAACCGAGCAGCATGTCGGACCTGGTCAATCCGCCGTGATTGATGTTGGTTTCAATGGTTCCCGCGAAACCCAGACCGAGCGATATGCTATAGTTGACCACGGTCATGACGATGCTGGCGCCTATGCCCTGGTACTGTCGTGGTACGGCGTTGGAAAAGATGATGGTGGCGGACGGGAAGGATGTGTCCATGCCCACGGTGATGATGAGGACGCTGAAGAAGTAGTACGTCCAGTAGACCGAATGCGCCGGTCGAGCCGCGGCGAGGATGGACCCCACGACATAAGCGACCTGTCCGATGACCATGATCCACGACGCAGGGACTTTACCGAGCAACTTGCCCACCGCGAGGGCGGATGTCAGGCCGGACGGGATCACGGGGATGAACCACGCAGCCATCTGAAGAGGCGTGTTGCCGCTGATGTTCAGGGCGACCTGTCCGATATAGAAGACCTATGGAAGGGATGATGAGATTAGCTGGAGCGTGATCTTGTTTTCTGACCCGCGCACAGATCTCGGAGGAGCCACAATAACTTACCCATATGCCAAAACACGCCCAGCCCGTTGCCGTACACCCAAAAACAAACGCAATGTCTGCGTTGAAACCTGCAAGAGGTAGGATTGGAGACTTGGCGTGATAGATCTCAACCCAGAAGAAGCCTGCCGCGAAGAGGAGACCCAGGACCAGACAAACACCGACATAGGGCTCCTGCCAGCCGACGACCACGGCTTGGTTCCACGCGAAATTGAACAAGACCAGAGCCGTGACACCGGTGACCATTCCTGGGATATCCAGGGCATCGAGCTTTTCGCGACCTCCCGGGGCCTGTTCCGACTGGACAGGCATAGTCGGGATCGTCCAGGCCGCGAAGACGGCAATGAGAGCCAGCGCAATGGCCTGGCTCCAATAGATCCACGGCCACCAAGCAAGCGCGAATAGGCCCCCGAAGAGAAACCCTGCAATGGCACCAAAGGGCGCCGAGCCACCAAACCACGCGAAGGCCATGTTCTTGCGCGGGCCGGGGGCGTAGGACTGGCCGAGGATGGCAAGGGCGTTGGGCAGGGTCAACGCGGGCCCCATGCCCTGGAAGACGCGGGCGAAGACGAACAGGACATGAGACGAGAAGACGGCCATGCCGCCGACGAGGCACCACAATGCGTACCAGCCCATGCCGACAACGAAGAGCCTCTTATGCCCGAACTCGTCGCCCAGCCGGCCCCCTACCAGGATGAAGGTGCCCACCGTGAGGCTGTAGCCGGCGATCAGCCAGGACAGTTGGCCCGGGTTGGTGACGCCGAACGAGTCGCCGATCACCCCGACCGTGGTCAGCGTGTTACCCATCCCGACCTGGTGCGTGAACATGGCCGTGCAGAGCGTCCCGATAAAGAGGATCTGTCGGGGCAGGGAGAGTGTGTCGGCTGGGTAGACACCTGTGTTGTCGGTTTCGGGAGCCTCTTTGCGCTCGAGATCTGCTGAGACGCCAGTCAGATATATTCCCTGGGATGTATTCTCTCTCAGAATTTCGCACCTTCGCCGAGAAATGTCGTCTGATACAGCGTCCCAGGCCCTGGAGTGGTCTCCTGGCTGACTTCCGGCGAGAAAGTCATGGTGTATAATCTGTGTGTATAGCTCTGGGTCTATAACACGAGAAGGAACGATGTACACTTGGGAGAACAAACATCACCGTCAATGCCCTGAGGGATGACCAGCCCTTATACTCGCTCCTAGCATCCTATATTGCCGCTATTTCACTCAGAGCGACGTGAAGTAGGAGGTATCCGGCGAAGGCAATCAGGGACGAATTCAGCGGTTGGCGGCGCTATTTGTCGCGCGAAGCCTGGATTTGTATGGGGCATTCGCTCTATACCGCGCGGCATGTGGGTCTTGGACTTGAACGTCGAGACCGGACCTTGTCTTCACTTCTCCTTTTCTTCTACTTGTCCCCAGTTCATTCTTCGGATTTAACTTCTGATCTGTCCAGAGAGACATAAGCCCCACAAGACGCCATGCTGAGAAATCCATATTTTGCATCTGTCGAATATGCAGTAAGGTGAATTGGACCTGAGCATCGTCAGGAAATATAAAAGTAAGCGGTTCGACCCCTAGCCCATAAGATGAGCATATTTTTCTCTTTATCCTACCTTTCCCCTTATCCTGTCCCGTTATCAATATCTTTTACTATCTCAAAATGCCGTCTCCCTCCGTCGCATTCATCCTGGGCTTCGGGCCGGGCGTCGGGTCCGCCGTGGCCAGAAAACTCGCCAGCATCGGGTACCTCGTGGCGGTCGCGTCACGCAGCGGCAGCAACACACGGACCAGCGAAGGCTACCTCTCCTTGAAAGCCGACTTCGCGGCCCCGGACTCGATCCCGGGCCTCTTCGCCTCTGTCAGGGACGAGTTCCATGCGCCGCCCGCAGTGGTAGTGTATAACGCGGCCGTGGGCACGACGCCTCCTCTAAAGGAATCGCTGTTCTCGATCCCCGTCGAAGCCGTGCGGTCAGACCTCAACGTCAACACCATCAGTCCCTATGTCGCTGCGCAGCAGGCTGTAGACGGGTGGGCGAGTCTGCCCCCACAAGTCAAGAAGACGTTCATCTACACGGGCAACGTCCTTAACGTGCGCGTGCTACCCATCCCGATGATGATGACCGCCGGCATGGGCAAGTCGGCGTCAGCGTACTGGGTCAGCCATGCCGATGCGGTCTATGCGGCGCAGGGGATGCGGTGAGTTGTGACCACTGAAAGAAATAGTAGTGGTTTCTCCCCACTGTGTCCGATTTGCTAACCGTGTCTGTCTGGCTTGGGATCGGTAGATTCTTCTACGCGGACGAACGCTTCGAGGACGGCGCCGCCAAGGCACGGGCCATCGATGCCGACGCCCATGCAGAGTTTTACGCGCAGCTGGCGGCGCACGAGGGGAACGTGCCGGCGCTTGCAACGTTTGTCAAGGACAAGGGATATGTCAACTTCAAGCTCTGATCTCGCCATACCGTGAGGAGATCTCTGGGAGTGTGTGTTTGTGGAGAAGTCCATGAATATGAGACTTCATGTGTGGATGTCTCGGGAAGACCAAACAGTGGACGTACAGATTGGAAAGTGTGATTTAAAAATCAAGCAGTTCTATATTATGCAAATCAATGAGATATCTAGATGTCTCGTTCCAGCAGCCACTGAAGATGGATCATACAATTGCCGTTTTACACGAGTAGCACCAGGTCCCCCTGACATCTCAAGCAAGCAGCCAGATCCCACGTCGCGACATCTCTCATCTCTCGACCACCCCACACCTCCTCCATGATGTCGAGGGCCTTGTAAACCGTCCCAAAGACGCTGGGTGGTTGGAGGACCTCCACCATTTGCCGCAGACAATCTTCCTGCTGCGGCCGTGCGAGGCATCCGGCCACGCAGAAAGGCCAGACCATGGTGCGCAGCAGTACCGGCCTAGATCGTTGCTGATACGTCAGCAACTCGATGACTCGGGAGACATGATACCGCACGTCACTGCTGGAAGGCTGCCACCCGGACACCACAACGAACAGATACAGAAGCGCAGCGTTGGCCCACACGCTGGTGACCAGCACGGTGCTGCCCGCGGCTGAATGCCCTGGAGTCTCGCTCTGGTAGTATGGCGTGAACAGACCATCCAGGATATTGCTGTGTGTTCCTTTCAAGGGATTTCCTAGATTGGCCTCAAGGCGTGCCAGTTGAGCTAGCAGCGTCTCTTTGATCGGCGCGGCGCGGCGGACGAGCTCCATGACGTCGAGGTCGCCGGCCCTCTTACATTCCTGCTTCCAGGAATCAAGTACGGCAATCTCGCTGATCTGGAGCAAGACCCAGTTCTGGCACCCGCAAATCGCCTCGAGGTTGAGTGGAGGCGGGCGCGACTCATCGGTGCTGCCACTTAACAGGAAGTGGTGGTACGTGTACAGGGTCGGTTTCTTTTGCAGCACGGTGCTGGCGACGATGTCGTCGAGGATCACCAGCGCGGACGAGAACCGGAAGGCCGCCTGCTCGGCGCTGGGGACCTGGATGCACTGCGCCGGCAGTGTCCAGGAGGAAGTGCCGAGGCGACTCAAGACGGTGTCGAAGGTTGACGACGACCATGCTTCTTCGATGCCGGCACTGTCGACCACACGGCGAAAGAGGGCGATGGCTGCACTGCGGTGGGCCTGGGAATTCTCGAAGCTCGACACCGACATCTCAAAGCGCTGCAACTGCATCACGCCGGCTAAGGTGCGGACCACCTCGCAGAGATAGTTCTCGGAGCCTCCTCCCCTCCGTCCGTCATCATCATCTAGTGTCTGCAACGACTGCCGAAGCGTCTCAAAGGCCGCGTTTGTCTGCTGTAGCAACTTTTCCCAGGCCACCGGACACGCGGCGATCCCCAGCGCCAGCGAGAAGAAGTACGAGCTCTGGCACAGCGCCGTCTGCCGCACCACGGGACTGGTCATCATGATGTCCAGGATCCAGAACCGGCCCCCTTCGGCGAGGGAGGGCCGGTAGAAGGGGAACAGGAAGGGAAGGAGATTCTCCAGATAGAACGTGAACAGGCACGCGTCGGGCCATCCGGAGGAGGAGGATCCGCTTTCCCGCGCGTCCGAACCGTCAAGTGTGCCATTCGTATGGTCCCGCATAAATACAGGTGCAGGAGATGGATCGGCCGCTGGGGCCATCCCCTGGTCGCTGTCCGTGGACGGAACGGCTTCAATGGCTGGCGTGACAACGTCGTCGCGTGGCTCCGAGGACGCCGCACCTGTCCTGTCCATGGCCAATACAGAAGCTGGTGAGCCTTGGTTTCTAGAATCCTGCATCTGAGTCTGGCGCCTCCCATGGCGACGATGGCCCTGCTCTCGAATCTGGCGCTTGAGGCTATGGGCGACCTCGAGCTGCCTGGCGCCACCATCCATCCACTCGGGCTTCTCCTGGCCGTAGCAGCACGCAATGCGCAACGCCGCACAGGCCTCGCAGATGGGGCGTTCTTCCCCACATTTCTTGCGTCGGAGGCGGCACGTCCAGCAGCCGTTGTCGCTTCTCATTGTACTTAGTCACTCCCTCGTAGGGGGGAGAAGAAAGCTGGAAGAGTTTTCCTCCGCGAAGAGATGGATTTTCAAGGTGGTGAAGACAGAGTAAACTGTACCTCCTAGAGTTTGTGAAAATAGTGCAGATAGGAGGGAAAATACTGGCCGGTGACGCACTACATACATAACCTCTTCTTACCTTTTCTGCTTCAATTGGTGATTGATGGTCGGAGCGGAGGACTTCAAGCTCCGAGGGTTTTGTTCAAGTTAATAGCAGATCCAGATGCCGCGCGGTATGTGGAGCTTGAATCCAATTGGCATATTATCACGGGGCACCAGTGGGGACTCAACTGTAAGGTTGATTAGCAACTATTGTCCATGAGTGAGGCGGCACAACAATACGTACCCTTCAAGGGTTCCTATGTCCCAAACAAGGTTCGTGTTGCAATTCTGCAAACATTGCTTTCACGCTGGAGGCGTTGCGGACCGCACTCTGAATGGACACTTGAATGGTACCTGGCCAAACGGGGATAGCCATGAGATGCCCCGCAGCTTCATTGGTCCTAAACGTGCATACACACATACAGCCTGGATGATACAGAGGAGACTAATTCAATCAAATGTGAATATTCTCAAAGACTTGTTGAAACAACCGGTGCCATGGGGTGGATATGGCCCCCCCTTATCAGGTTCCGTGAGCCCCTGTTGCCGTCCAGGCTCCGTGTCTGTGCATCAACACAAGAGGTCGGTCGGACGGATTTCATACGTTTCAGATACGTCTCTCTCTGGTCCTCGCTATTCAAAACGAAGAAAATGGTTCGCCTTGTCGCTTAGGGGCAGTGTGCCTCCAGGAACCCAGCGCTAGAGCATGGAACTGATTGCTTCATCAGCTCGGACCTGGCAAATGATCGTTAGGAAATCCAATATTACATTTCCCACATGCTCTGCTCTGTGCTGCAAAGCGAAATACCCTGCACCATTGAAGCAATGGTTCAACAATATCCTTGCTACCTCCAAGCAAATACAAATGGCAAGCCATTGTTACACAAAAGCAACGACAGGAAGAATTCCTTGACCTTACAAATACATGCTCTGCCACACCGTCCATCATAAGTCCAGCTTGACCAATCCACGACCCCACTCGTTCTATAACATGCTTCTCACTTCTGCTAGGTATGTGGCGTGTGGGATGGACTTCACGCCAGGGTTATTTTTGGCCAGAAGCCTCCGGACCTCTTCATCGAAGATTTCTTTGTAGTCCCGGAGACGGAGTTCCTGTGATAAAACAAAGACATGATGATGTCAGTGATAGGGCGACAGCAAGCAGAAAGTGGAATCGACGGCCGGAACGCTTACCTCGAACGAAATGCAGTTGCTGGCCAGGGATTGATATTCGGCAAGACACCTCTGGACTTCGACTTGAGCCGCCCCCATATGCACATCAAACTCCGGGCCGTGAGAAAGGCGGGTTAGAAGCCCAGCTACGCGGTTCAAATCACTGAGGCCTGGCCACCCTGGCGGCAGCCCTGGAAGCTCGACCATCGGTCGACCGAAGACTTTTGAGCCTAGTGGGAGCCTGGCTAAGCACTTAGTGCATGAGCAGTTTCACGAGGAGCCGGTCAACTTACCAAGGCCGAAACTTGGCCCTGAATTCGCTTGCTGTTTGGTTGGCCCGCCAGCTGCGCCGAACAATCCGGTAGTCGAGGGCGCCGGTTGTGCGGTGGACGTAACCGTGCCAATTGGGCTGGGATTCGAGGTCGCTGGTTGCGCTGTGGACGGACGTGCGCCAAACAGACTACCGTTCGAGGTCGTCGGCTGCGTTGTAAATCCCCCTCCGCCGAAGACCCCTCCGCCGAAGAAGATAGGACCCGAGCGCGTCGATTGCGGTACAGAAGTTCCGAACCCATGTTCCTCCGTGCGGTTGCTGGAAAATAGTCCTTCGACATGGGTTGATGTCGGAGGAGCATTTTCTCCAAACGACCCGTTTGCACGGACCACCTTCGACTTCATGTCAGCTGTAACATCGTTGAACGGCATATTTGGTAATGGCGGAAATGACACCTTCACCTGGGGCATGCGACTCACCGGAGCGGACGAGCTCTTATTGTCATCGGTACCTGGTAATACTACCACCGTATGATTGTTGCCAAATAGTGAAGGAAAGGCTGACGCTCGCTTCTGCGTGGCGGTAGAGTCGAGTGTTATTGGTTGCTGCTGCTGCTCCAATCCAAACTCTCGGCTTGCATGTCTGCGGCAGTTCTTCAAGGCCGCCTCGAGCGTTGAGAGTCGGGCCGCGAGGTCTGTTCTCTCAGTCATCATCTCTGGAGTCTCACCCCCGAGCAGTTCCAACTTGTCCTCCTTCATCTGTCCCACGGTCTCGGGTGAGAACATTTCCTCAAGCTTCGATAAGAGGCAGGATTCGACTCCGAGCACAACGACGTTCTGAATGAACGTCTCGAGAGCGACGCTATAGTATGCCCTGGACAGTTGAAGTGCTGCTAAGCGAGGATCTCCTTCGGAGTCGGGAGTTCCAAGTCTTGCCCCAGAAGAGACGGAGACATGAGCCGCTGCATCAACAGGCACGGGCCACAGATCGTCACTCTGGACCGCCTTCAAGCTTGTTTGGAGCCGACTCTTTGTTGAGTACAGAAAAGAGCCTGTATGTGGGCTGAAAAGCTCCGAAACTTTTTTGTTTAGTTTGTCTTGATGGATGTGAATTGCTTCCTGGAACACCTCACGCAGGATCAACTCTCCAACACGCGCTGTGGTAGGACAGATCGCGTCGACGACCTTGCGCAAGAAGACTTGGACCGCACGACAGATGGCATCGGTGTACTCAGTTGAGAGTTTGAGCCATTTCTGGGACTGATCCTTGAATAGCTCTCCCACCAAGCGTGGGTTGAAGAGCAGTGGCAATTCCGGACCACGATAGCCCTCGATGAGCTTTCCGACTTTCGCCAGAGCCTCTACCATGGTAATGCGCTCAGGTGCGTCAGGGTCTGATGGCAGCGAAAAGGCATTGCGCTTGATTTCAAACTTGTGGCCCCGGTTGCGCATGGCCTGTTCAAAATCGTCGGTCAGCACCATCGTCTGTGCTCGCAGTCTTTTTCCGGCGTCATCGTCGTCAAAAAAGGAGTCCGAGTAGTCGCCATCCAAGGCATCGCGGACGATCTGTGCGTAGCGCCTACTGATTCGGATGAGATATTGCCGACGTGCGTCTTGCGTGGCTCGATGCGGCCCGAGCTCCTGGAGGGACAGTTTTACGGCAGCAACCTTGCCCTCCAGGGACTTGATGAGCTCGGGCAACACGTGCAGGATGTGTTTCTCCAGGTATTCTCACAAGACGGCTCTGAGTGACTTCGTGCCGAGTCTCTTCTTATCGAAGCTGTCCCATGGGTCTTGTGAGAACAAGTCTGTCTCAATCCGATCTCTGTTGGCGCCCCTCAACCGTTCGTCATCCGTGAGACATCTCATGATCTGCCAGTGGCGTTTAAATTTGAAGGCGGCGTGCTGGTTTCGTGCCAGCTCGAGGACTGTGGGAGTTAGTCGGGCCTTGTCTGGACGGCGAAGGATGTCTGGCTTGGTGATGACTCCGATCGTGCGTTCGCCCGTGGGATCGAACTGGCGAGACAAGGTCAAAATGCCTTGGTTCTCAATGGGATTTTCGGCCGAGACGATGGCCATAATCAAGCTCTCCTTCTGCTTGAAATAGTACTTGACCAGGTCCTGAACGTTGGCGATGTCGTCTGAGTTGGTGGCAGAGTGGATGAGGCCTGATAAGTCCACCAACGTGAGATTGGGGAGCTGTCGACCACTGAGCTTCAGATGCAGCACGTCCCGACTGATGCCGCCAGACTCGCCGAGACCCATCACTTCCCGGGCTTCTCGCAAGATGTCAGGAATAGCATCGAGCCCAGCTATCACCGTCTTTTGGAATGCTTGGACGCGAGTTTGATGGCTGTCGGATGATCGTGGTGCTGGAGAGATGAAAGTCTGCCCCGTCACTGTCTTATCCGACGAATATCGCAGGGCAATCTCCGTGGCAAACCTTGTACACATGGTGCTGTCAACCGGGAATGGAATGCCAGACAACGCTTCCAGCACGGACGACTTGCCGCTGCTCGTGTCACCGCACACAACGATCTGTGGCAGATTGGCAAGGCCATGTTGACGAAACTTATCGATGTCGTTGAGGAGCTCCAATCGGTCTGGCGACTGGAATAGAGGGATGGCACTTTTGTTGATGTCAATCGCCATGATTGGTAGGCCACACTGCCAAGCTTGAAAGCATGTCAGAGCAAGAGAGTGGCAGGATAGTGTTTGACTAAAGGATATCCGTCATATAGATCATTGCTATCAGGGGAAGCCGCTTTTCCGCAGATGCCTGCCTGTTGCTGGGCGAGGCAGCTGTGAGAAGCCGACCTTGTGGCGTTTTTGGCGGGTTTCACCTGCGGGCTGCCTCCCCCGGATGAGAAAATCGCTATCTAGGCGAAAGGGGGGAATCTTGGACGTTCTAGATTGATTTGAAACAGCCGTCATGGCTGCCTGCCAAAATCCCTTAGCACCCTAGGTAATTCAGAGCAACGAGATCAATAGCCGTCACCTGAGCGGCGAAAGTGTTGCTTAGAGATTCTTCTAAAGGAGCGTAGTATGCTTACACGTTTCAACAAGCTTTTCGATGCCTCAGGCCGGTACGATTCCGAGGCCTAGGATGATGCCGTTCGCGTCTCACAGCCTAGTTTGCTAGGCGTGGGGGCCTTAACAGCGAACCCTGTGGCTTGTGCTTTGCTAAACCTGGACATTACCCTCTCCAACGTTGCGATTGGGGGCCATTTCTTTGTTTGGTGCGACCTCCTGATCTTCCCATTCGTGGAGAGCGATCTGCTGGTGGAGTTCTAATAGAGGAGTGGTTCGTCATTGCCAGACTAGCCGCGGAACCCTTGAGACCAAGGCGGGAGCAGAGTTACACGCGGGAGGGGGGGCCAGTAAAGTTTCATATCGTTTGGGGTCACAGCCCCAATCCTCTCGATCCTTTGGTCCATCGATACAGCGACAGCACCCTCCGCCGGACACGGCTCTCCTCCGCATTGGTAGTCCTGGCACTTCGGACACTGTACAGCGTGGACCGTAGGACTTTGCGGAATCTCTTCTGTTGGGCCGTCAATTAGATATGCCATCTGGGTAATAATGTCCGGCCATCTGCTCACCTGGAACTCAGTGCTCAACGTCACTACACAGACTTCGTGAGCCCTGATTATCGTCTCACATGCCTTTTCCACAGACTCGTTTGCCCCGATCTGGGGCATCCTGTCGGCAAACAGCAACAAGATGAAGCTTCCATGGAGGAGATAGATGCCAAACAAGTAGGGCATGAAGGTGAGCTCAGGGTCGCATTTGAGGATCTGAGAGACAGCTTCGGAAGCCGCAATGGCATGCGAGGCACATTTCATAAACGGCACAGATGTGATCCATCCGTCATCGTTCTCCAGCATGGACACGGCGTCCCATTTGCCGTACAATAGGACGTGGAGTACATGTAAGATGAAAGTGCTATAAGACGTGACCAGTTGCGCCAATGCACGGCTTTTGGGACGTCGTCCAGCCGGAGTGCCCACTGCGTGATTTAGAGGGCTTTCTTGGAATCCTGAATTCGGCGTGAGGAACTCGCTGGCAGGAATGGCACCGTTCAGCTCTTCTGTGTCATATCGACTCTCGAGGTCACTGATGCTCTGGGCGCAACTGGCAAACAGCTTTTCCACCATGGAGATGGAATTCTGATCGTCCAGAGTCCCGAAACGAGGATGATACCGCCGGTGGTGGATATGGATCACGTCTCCCATGATGGCCATCAGAGGTAAGAAGTATTCGAAAAAGCTCGTTCCCGTCACCAACACAGGTGGTCCATGGGATCGTTTGGTGATCAGCTCGCTGGGGACAGTTTCGAAATTCTCCCATACGTCGTCGGGCAATGGAACGTACACATCGCACTCGTCATCAGAAATGTTGGGTGTGCCGTTGAAAGCCAGCGCCAGGTGTCGATCCAGACAAAATAGGAGCCAAAACACACGGCGTCGTTCTTCCTGAGCCTCTAGTGCAGCATAGCATTGGCCCCCGATGTTGCTTCCCCTGCAAGTATGTGATGAAGCTGGACATCCTGAGCCATACCTACCTTCACTAGCGTCCACTCGATTCAATCCCAGAGCCTGCGCCAATCTGACGGCTTTGCTCCACCAGAGGTCGCAGTCTGTTTTGAAATCCCCTCCTGAGATGACGATACACATCAGGATGAATGTCAGCACGTCATCGATCGAAGAGGGCGGTGGATCCGCTCGTCGTTCGTCGGCGTACTTTAGGTCGCTGATAGATGTGCTATAGCAGGAAGAGCTATGCTGTACGAGACGTCCTCCTACTCCTCACGGTCACTTTCCAGTCCCCTTGTTTTTGCACGTGAGGATACTTACCAGGGCTTCTTTGCCAATGGTCACGATCCCTGTCATGAATCAAAGAGGTAGACAATTTCCGCAGCGCCTCACAAACCCTGGATCTTTCTCCTGGGAGCAATAGCAAGGGAATATCCGCTGTTTGAGCACTCACCCAGAGCATAGTAGTCAGGAGTGCCGGAGTAGTCTCTCGAGGCCTAGTTGGATGGAGGAGAGACTCCTTCCTCAGCACGTGGGTCAACACATAAGGGGAGGCAGATCTGAAAAGAGAGCTTCCCGGTTGAGCAAAATAAAACTCTAGTAAGTCGCAAGCATCCTCAGGGCTGATGAGGCCGTTAAGCAAAGGCCAAACGGACTCCAGGCACAGGTATGGCCGAAAAACTGACGACTCTGCCTGCGCCTGTCGTTCAGATTGTACATCCACCAATAAGCCGTTTGTCAGCTGCGTAGTACTGAACGATTCAGGTCTTGGTCTCTGGGGAGAGATTTGAGAATGGTCTGGACCAGATGGCACCGTGTGGCCCTGCCCTGCATGTTCTGCTGGGTGGGAGAAGTTGAAGGCAGAGATGTTATGATCCAAGCTGAGGCTGATTGAAGCACCGTGTGGTGGAACGGCACCGCTGAAGTGGTCATCGCTGACAGAGCTCCTTTCAAGCAGATGCAGTTCCGAAGCTCGAAGCTCGTTCCTCGCCAACCCTTGTTCGGTTGGCACAAGACACGAAATGGTGTCGACGACCACCTCAGGAGACACCGGAGCCGGAGCGGACAGTGGTGTTCTGTCGTCCTCCAGTGTGTGTCCTGCGTGCTGACCTTTCGGCCTGCGACCACGTCTCCTCAGGTCGCGATCATAGTGACATGAATAGCCGTATTCTGCTTGATCAGACAGCTAATCTCAGCACTGGTCCCATAGAAAAAGTTGTTTTTATAATTTCCCTAGCAAACGCAAGGAGAATTTACCTTCGCATCGTCGGCTACAACACGTGAGCTTCCTCAATATGTCCACGGTTCATTCAAGGCGAATGAGTGCTCACCACGGACATTCACCATCGCACCGAACCTTGGAGCTGCTACACTTGTCGCAGGCCCGCTTGGTTCTGATCCGGAGACGAAATTCAGATTGTGATAGATGGGCTTCAGCGTCTAGAGCCATCTCCACTTGCTTTGCATTTCGAGCCACCGGGGGAATTTCTGGAAAGAAGGGAGAAGGTCGACTCAGACGGCATAATACAGAGGTCTATGCCCTTAATCCGTCGGATAATACCCCAGGTCTTCAGCCAGATAGGAGAAGAGCCGTGGTAATACCGGTCAACTGACCGAGCGTCTAGCTGATTTCGGTAGGAATCCACAAAAGACTGCGGGGATTGAGCCGATCTCTCCGCGAGCTCTCGGAAAATGCGGGGAGAAGGAGCCTTGGATATCGAGAAAGGTGGAGGTCACTTTACACCTATCGCGGCCAGCACATTGTACGTAGTGGGAACCAGAAACAGTTGCAGTAATAGGATTCAGCCTCAATGGCTTGTGGTCTGCCTTTGTATTCATGCAAAACTCCAGGATTGAAATACCAATTGTAAACTAAGGACTGCGTTAGAGGATCTAAATGCTTTCGAGGCTGAAATAGAAAATCGTACCCTCCTCATGCATTCCTAGGGGCAGTTCCTATCAACGTTGATGATGGGTGCGATTGCCTTCTTACAGTACTGATGAGCACCTTCGACTTTGAACACGAATTGACGATATTTATGACCTTGTTTATCCAGAATTTCCCGCGAAGTTGCCCGTTAGATCTATGATCCAGGCTCTATGTCTATCGCTGGACCGAGACCATCTTCGGGCTAGGCCAACAGTTGGCAGATGCTACACTACTCGGGAGCTCTATCGTCGATGAAATCACCTTTTCATCTTTCTGGGCTTGGGCTTGGATCTGGACTCTGGGCTTCTGTGCCCCAAAGAAGTCGTAGTCAAGCCAGACGCCCAGGATTTTTTGGACTCCATCATAAAGTGGTCTATCGTGTCCAACTGCCTCCTGGTCAAGACCACCATAATGAAAGAGCAAGTCGCCGGAAGAATCCTTTCCTGAACTCGAGGACGTGGCGATAGGCTTTTGCAGGATCTGTTTCGCCGTCCGTACGTTTTCTTCCAGGTCGGACTCAGAAACAACTCCGGTGATTGTAGTGACACGGAAGCCAGGTCGGCACGCCCTTTGGGCTCTGGACATTGAGAATCGTAAGGCGACAGACGCCAAGGTATCGCCCTCACCCTTAACCCAGTCTGCCGCCTCCTGGCACGCAGCTCGCAGCCCCGGAGGCGCGGGATGCCAATTCCCCAACGCGCCGACAGGCACCCCGCCGCTTCTGAGCAGTCCAATCCCTAGCGGACTGGAGTTGCAAACAGCTTTGACTCCTGCTATTCGAAATGCATCTAGGCCTCCTTGCTCAAGCCGAGTGTTTTGAAGTGTGAGTTGGCCCCAGACCTGAACAACATCCACGGCACGGCCATAATTTGTACGAGCCTGCGACGCAACTTTTTCAAGGACATTGATACTGGCTCCAGATATCCCAACGCAGCGAATGATTCCCGAATTCGCTAGTTGATAAAGTATTTTCACGGCCTGGAGAGCCTCCTCGACGCTGACAAACTCAATATCATGGCAGAACACCACGTCGAGGTAGCTTGTGCCAAAACGTTGCAGCGATCGTGCCACAGATTTTCGAATCCAATCAGGCGAATAATCAAAATAGTTCTCACGTATTCGTCCAACTTTAGTCATGAGAACGTAGTCGCTTCTCTGGTATGAGGATGTGATCTCAGGATGGCGCAAGGCTGCACCGATCAACTGTTCGGAGGGTTCATAGTACGGCGAGGTATCGATTGCTCTCAGACCAAGATCAAACGCTCTTTTGATAGTGCGGCGGACCGGTAGGGACTCAGGCTTAGGATGAAGTTGGTAACTGAATCCAGCTCCTCCCATAACCAGCGGCGAGAGCCTTTCCAGTACATAATCCGGTGAGGGTTGGGAGGCATCCATGTAGGCCAAAGTATTTTTCTCTTGGCCGTTTCGACAGGTTGAGGTATCGTGACAGTGAAGAGGAGGTACCCTCCCAGTGTCAAGAAGCTATAGCAGACGGTCACCTCTGCAGGTTGTGCCTGCGTTCTTCTTCAGCACGCTGTGTGGTTGGCTTGAAGGGAACAGGTTCAACATGACGACACTTCTTCGCCCGAAACCGAAACCTTCATTCATCTTGGGTTGAAAACATGCGAAAAAATAGCCCACGCAGAGGAACTCGGGCAACAAATCTGTCGGGGAATAGTCATAAGGAGAACACACTAGCAAATTGGCTGTCTCCACAAGTGTTTTTGACCGTCGGGTATTTGAGGTCGGCTTCTACTCCGAGCATTCCCTTTCCTCACATGTACCGCCGGCTGAGGAACATACCCTTTAACCATTATGGGGTCTAACTAAGACCAAGACCCGAGAGAGCTAACAAAATACCCTAACACCCGACGCGATGGAATAATGGTTCATGCACCCAGTACGGAGGAGTTAGCTTCGTCTCGAGAAACAAATGCCGGGGAGTGGAATGCAGCGTCGTCCGGGAGTACCTACCTCTTTACCTCATACTCCGTAAGCCACGTGCCTTACCAAAGTATAGGGTACGCCTACATTCCATCTATCACACCATCCCTCCCGGCTGTATAGGTATAGAGTTTGCCACATGGTGTTGATGCTCAAACTTATATAACGAAAAGCACCGTCGCTCGAATTCACAGCCTTGGCACATTATTTTGCCGAGCTCCTAACAGAGCCAAGGTGGCCCTTTCGGCTTCCTGTTTCGCTTGCTTGTGTATTTGGCACGAACTTTCTCCTGAACCGCTCCGGAAAGCGCCCGCATAATGCTGCTCAGGCAAAAGTGCGGGGCCCCGCCAGCCTGCGACTGTGTATCGGGAGTGGATGCTTCTCCACGGTCAAAGTTCCGGCTAAGCAACGAGGCCGTCACGAAATAGACCCGAACGCCAACGGCCCTTTCAGATGGATTCCGGGCATGATATAAGAAGGCCTGTCGTACCGGCAGAGCCAGAGATCGGCTCTTTCGTGGATCTTGAGACACCCTTCCAGTTATTCAATTCTGCAGGCAGCGTGCCTCCAACCCTGCAAACATGGACGACAGCAAGAAGAATGTTCACAATGTCGAGGACGTCGAGAAGGTCGTAACGCACGACGGCCATGATCGGGTCATCACCGTCGAAGACAAGAATGCGCAGTTGGTCGCCAAAGTTGACCAGTCGCTGATCGACATCGCCGCTGAAGCCACTGACTTCGAGCACAAGCTGACTGTCACCGAGGCGTTGAAGATCTACTGGAAAGGAGTTGCGTATACTACCATCATCACCCTGACCATCATCATGCGTGTGTACGACATTGTCATCATCAACAGTTTCTTTGCCTTGCCCGCATTTCGAGACAAGTTTGGCCACGACGTCCCGGGAAGCGGCAAGCAAATCCCTGCCCCATGGCAAGCTGCTCTGGGCAATGCCAGCTTGGTTGGACAAGTCATTGGTGCGTTTACGGTGGCATACCCCATGGAATATTTTGGTCGGCGCAAGACTCTGTTCTTCTCGCTGATTGGAACTGCCGGCTTTACCTTTATGCAATTCTTCGCACCTTCAATTCAGGTCCTCACGGCATCTGAATATCTCTCTGGGGTCATCTGGGGCTTCTACCAAGTCTTAATCCCGACATATTCCTCCGAGCTGCTCCCGACCACGCTTAGACCTTATCTCGCCGGCTACATCAACCTGGCCTACGCTATCGGAAACCTGATTCTGAATGGCGTCACTGCCAGTTTCGACACCTGGACGAGCGACTGGGGTTACAGAATACCGTTCGCCCTACAGTGGATTTGGCCAGTCATCATCTTGCCCTCCTTATTCTTCACTCCGGAGTCGCCGTGGTGGTTGGTGCGGAAGGGGCGGATGGAAGAAGCCGACAAAGCTCTGAGACGTCTCAGTAGTGATTCTCCCAAAGTCGACACGCAACGAACTCTGGCCATGATGCAAAAGACGATCCTATATGAGAAACATGTCGAGAAGGATTCGACCATTTGGCAATGCTTCAAAGGTTCCAGTCTCCGCCGCACCGAAATCGTCATCATGATTTTCTTCTGCCAGGACTTTGCAGGGTTTGCCACGAATACCACCTACTTCTTCGAACAGCTCAACGTGACCACTCAGCAAGCATTCGACATCGCTATCGGAAACAGCGCCCTGGGCGTCCTCTGCGCCGTGCTGTCTGCATTCCTTCTTAGATACTTTGGCCGTCGAAACGTGTTCGTGATTGGTATGGGTTCTATTGTCATTTTCGAATGGCTGGTCGCCATTCTCGCCTGCGCGCCCAACTACCACAACAGACCTGCAGTTTCAGGAGCGCAGGTTGCCATTACCATGATCTGCACCATCGCCCTACAAAGTACCATTGGACCACTCACTTACACGATCCTCACGGAGGTGCCGTCAGCGAAACTGAGAGCTAAGACTGTGGGCATTGCCATTGCTGTCGACGCCTGCTGTGGTATCGTGACCAGCACGGCCAACCCATACCTCATTAACCCCGGGGAGGCGAATCTCGCTGGAAAGAGCAATTTCGTGTGGGGTTCACTTTCCATCATTAGCTTCCTTTGGTGTTACTTCCGGCTTCCGGAGACGAAGCACAGGACTGTCGAAGAAATCGACTACATGTTTGAACATCGGGTCAAGACGAAGGACTTTAAGAGATACAAGATTGACGAAGACGCCCTGAAGAACGATTTGGTGGAGTAGAGCTCAGACCGGGCCACTACACTAAAGCAATTGTTGATATGTATATGCTGGTGGAAGACTTGTTTCGCGCGGTCGGGCTCAATTGACCTTGGGAGAATGCAGAGCAATGATACAAGCCATGGGGGAAAGGCCAATGATCTCCCCAGTGGCAGAGAGTGTAGGTAGTAAAGAATAATATTGAGGTGGAACTACTCATATTGCTTTGAATGAATAATGTGTCCGTTCCTAATCAGAAAGCAAACCATTCCTTCGAGGTGTCGTTAATTTGCTCAGGCATCTAAATTACGCTCGCATGGCCACGTTTTGTTGATCTAGATGCGTTACCTGAGAAGATCAATCTGGAGCCTCGTGTCGACTTACTACCGCATGCACGTTTGTAGCGGAAGCGAGCGGCCAGTCCAGATTCTAGACTCGCATCGTTAACAACAAAAACAATCTGCCTGACGGATCGTTTGCGCAGAGTCAGAGTGGATACTCGGCTCACTAAGAAAGACTCGTCAATACCTCTATCAGATGTGATTGTGCCGAAAGTGTCCCACCATCGATACAAAGGAATCAAGCAGAAATGCCGCCAATCAACGGAGTATATGATTCAGTTTTATGGCTAAATTACAAGCTTTCAACGCCGACGAAAACTGGGGAAATTGCCGTGGGTTAAAGACGGTGGGCCGATTGCAGAGGGACCAGATGGCTCGTGCGGGATATATCCGACCGACGGCTGTTCATTTCCTGGATTTCAGTCAGAAGAAGAGTTAGTGGGGTCGATCTCCACATCATCGGCCAGGGGCAAGAGAGAAGGGAGTCTGTAGAGGGAGGTACTCAATGGCCGGCGGGATTCGGGAATTTGGAAGTTCTAGGGACGAAATTCACCGGCTTTGTTATTGTAAGTATATGTCCGCGAAAGGGGTTAGCGGAAATGCGCCTTTAGACCTCGGTTGACTAGAAAGACCCGATCTGCATTTCCCTAGAGGGGCGCCCGCCCTTCGGAAAAACCAATTTGGTATGAGAAAGGAGTCTGATATTTAGCCGAGTGATGATGGCCTGAGATATTCCCTCCAACAAATCAGAAAATTAAGCGATAAACACGGCTCTCCAACCGGCCATACTCCTAGCCTTACCGAGTGTATCACCTGCGAGCAATGATCACTCGCAACGGGTGCGTGGACTGGGGCTTCGTCCTCGATGCAGGGCTTTCCTCCATTGGGGATTTGGATCGTTCGCGGGATTCTGTCCGTCAGTGGTATCACTACTCAGCGAAGAGGAGAATAATTGAGTATTTCTATTATATTCCCCAGTTGAAAGACAGGAAATCTTCTGCTGAGACTTGAAGAACCTCTAATGCTCAGAAATATACACCAGCGCTAAAGGCAGAGCCAGTGATAGTTGATTTCTTGGCCACCCAACGATGGCTCCCTCCGAGCATAACCGCGTGCTCTGGTACGAGCAGCCGGCAAAGGTATGGACGGAGGCAATTCCCATCGGCACTGGCCGATTGGGAGCCATGATCCGGGGCGGACTGGACGAGGACAGACTGTGGATGAATGAAGATTCCGTTTGGTACGGCGGTCCGCAGAATCGAGTGAATCCTCTGGCGAAGGCGAGCCTGCCAGAGGTCCGTAGGCTTCTCGACAACAACAAGGTGCAGGAAGCCCAAGAACTCCTTAAGAGGACTTTTACAGCCTTGCCCGCCAGTCTGCGCCATTACTCACCGCTTGGCGATGTGTTTCTGAACTTTGGCCATGGAAGCCCGACCGACAACAAGAAGGATTACAGTGGCATCCCGGATCAGACCAAGCGATCTGTCAGACCTCCCGCAGAGAACTACACCCGCCGTCTGGATTTGACCACCGCTATTGCGAGTGTAGCGTATAACTTTGAGGGAGTCGATTATCTGCGTGAATATTTCGCAAGCACCGCTGACGAAGTGGTTGCTGTGCGCATAACCTCCAGCAGGCCAGATTCTCTGCGATTCCAAGTACGTGTCAACCGCGGCAGCAATGAGAATCCGATGCTGGAGCGGAATTGTCTCTTTGACAGCCTGGAGAATATTCCGGATGGGCTCCTGTTGAAGGCCAACCTGGGAGGTCCTACCGCTGTGTGGGCGGCGATGGGCGTCAAAGTCATGATTGAAGGAGGGGAAGGCCAATGTCTCCTTGGTGAAGAGCTCGATGCGTCAGGTGACTCCGTCATTGTTCTGATCGCGGGTGAAACCACCTTCCGAAACAAAGACGCCGGGCAAGCTGTGATTGACCGACTTGAATCAGCAGCAAAGTATTCGTGGCAAGAACTGCGAGATCGGCACGTACAGCGCTATTCATCACTCTATTCGAGAGTCTCTCTCGAAATTGGAGAGGATAATCCTAAACTGAACGCAATCCCCACGGACAAGAGACTGGCTCGTGTGAAAGCTGGTGAGGTGGACAACGATTTAGCGGCATTGATGTTTTCCTTTGGCCGATATCTCCTCATTGCGTCTTCACTCTCCGGCCTCCCTGCGAATCTCCAGGGGATATGGAACTCTAACCACCAGCCGGTCTGGGGCTCCAAATACACGATAAACATTAACATCGAGATGAATTACTGGCTGGCCGAGGTTGCCAACTTGTCAGAGTGCCACCTTGTGCTCTTCGACCACATCAAACGCATGTCTGAGCGAGGGAAGCAGGTGGCGCAGGACATGTACGGCTGTAGGGGCTTCGTTGCTCATCACAACACAGACATCTGGGGCGACTGTGCTCCTCAAGACCGCTATGTCCCGGCCACGTACTGGGTACTTGGTGGAGCGTGGCTATGCACCCATCTTTGGGAGCACTACCTGTACACTCACGACCAGGAATTCCTGAAATGGGCCTATCCGCTGCTTCAAGAATCGGCCTTGTTCTTCGAAGATTTCCTGATCGAGAGAAACGGCGTTCTCGTGGTATCACCTACGGTCTCGGCCGAAAACTCTTACATCATCCCGGGCACTCGAGACATTGGTGCCGTCAGTGCCGGGTCGACGTGGGACTCTCAGATCCTGTACGAGCTGTTCACTGGGTGTGCTGAAGCCAGCAAGATCCTCGGGCAGCCAGCGGAGAGATACCTCAAGGTCTTGGCCCGGCTCCCTCAGCCCAAGATCGGGAAACACGGAGAGCTTCTCGAATGGCTAGAAGACCTGGAAGAAGTGGAGCCTGGCCACCGACACATCTCGCACGCCTTCGGTCTCTATCCCGGGCGCAGTCTCCTGTCAAACGAGCACAAGGCTGCCATCCGAGTCACCCTGCAGCGGCGACTAGCCGGCGGAGGCGGGCACACGGGCTGGAGCGCCGCATGGATCCTGGCGCTATGGGCACGCTTGAGAGATCCAGAGCCAGCACAGGCCATCATCCAGAAGTTCCTACAACATTCCACGCTCCCCAACCTGTTCGGCGACCACCCACCGTTCCAGATCGACGGGAACTTCGGGATGGCCGCCGGAATGGCGGAGATGCTGATCCAGAGCCACGAAGACGGCTACGTAGACCTCCTCCCGTGCTTGCCGCTCGCGTGGCAGGACGTCGGACGCGCCACGGGACTGTGCGCGAGAGGAGGCATCGTGGTCGACACGGAGTGGAAGGACGGGAAATTGACTTTCGCTCGCTTCACAGCGAAGCGCAAAGTCCAATTTGTCGCGCGCATTGATCCGAAGAAATTGAAGAGCGGATCAGGCCAGGCCACTCTCCAGCTGGGTGCAGGAGAGAGTAAGACTTTTACAGGCGCCTGGCCCAGTTAAGTCGGAGTCAGACCCGGAGCGGGGTTCAAAGAATATAGATCAAAAGAAAGAAGGAAGGGCCCCGAGAATTAATTGGCGTCTATCTTATCTTACATTTGATCAGAGTCCTTAAGTACACTGAAGCATAAGGCAGATTTCGCCCCTTGATTGGTTGATTCAAAGGCACTCCCTAGGCACTAGATCTCGCAAGGTCCTTGGGTCTTCTTGCTTTCACCCAGTGAGCATATGACGAGAGCACATTATGTAGAACAGCTAGACGATGGATGGGTGCTTCGATGGGTGCTGCATGGAGACCAGCCCCGAGTTAATAATGAGGATTGACCTGGATACAATGTCCCAAGCATACAAGTAAGAGAAATTTCTGTCTAAGACTGCCGGGATTACCATAGCATGCACGAGCCTGGCTTGCCACTGTGTCATCGTCGATAGCCATTGTTGCCCAAGGGAGGTGCTGGCTCCTCAATGTGGCTCTCCATCATGTCTCTGGCTCGTGGGAGCTTCGCAGTGCTCACAGCAGCTCTCAGAGCAGTCACAGCTGAATGCTAGAGACCACCTATTGTCTTCGACAAATCAGCTCCGTCGGCCATGTACAGAAAGTGGTCACTAGCAAACTGTCGCTGGAACCTGAACCTATGCCTCGTTTGACCCTGACAAAACGCCTTCCCGTTATAATTGTCCATTGACCACTACCTGCTTATATATTCTCCACAATCAACTTCTCCAAAGGGAGCTGATTACCTCAGCCCAGAGCATCACGTTCAGAACCTCGTGGCTGCCACATGAACTCCAGATCTGCACATGCAGTCGCTGAGACAAGGCTGAAGGGTATGTGGGGCAGACCCACCAGGGCAGACTATGTAACCACTCTTATGTAATGACGCCAATGACTCTGAGTGTCATGAGGATGTCAAACTTCAAACTTCCCAGCCATCTTGGACAAGTCTTTAGAGCAATGAATGCGCTGCAACTGGTGGCGTTGTCGTGGCAAGGCCACCTCTCATGCAGGGCCAGACGTCCGCCAATCACACGCACCAAGCGGACCCCTTTGGACCAGGAGCTCGACTAGCTGGAAGCCGGATACTCCACTTCCGCCATTCTTCCAATGCTGACCCCAGCTCCTCATCTTGGCCTAACTACCCAGGGCACTAGGTCACCCCAACCGTGAGGAAATGCGGGGATCAGGCATGACCCAGGAATCCGGAGATGCCGCCTAGACCGCGTTCTTGGCCGACGAAAACCCCGCTGAGACTCGTGGCCTTCTCATTTAAAACCCCCGCCAGCCTCTCCTACATCCAAACTCCTTTTGCGCAATAAAACCAAAATAGTGGACAAGGCTCGAAATTCCACAAAGACGAAAAGTGACATTACCCTAATCTTGAGTCCCCTAATCTTGAGTCAACATGCCCGCGGGTTCAGGCAGTACCAAGAGCAAGTCTCATACCTGTGAAGACTGCGGCCAGGTTCTATCCCGGCAGGATCACCTGGAGCGGCATCGTCTCACAGCACATTCAGAGCGTGGTGCCTTCGACTCGGCATGCACGGCTTGTGGCAGGAGGTTTTCTAGGAGGTCGGTCCAAACTGCGATGTTTGTTCTGCGCTGAAACTAATATTTCCCTAGGGATGTGCTTGTCCGGCATTACCGGGTCTTGCATGGGATTCATTGCGAGCCACGACCGAAAGGGCGACCAAGGAAGACCTCAAAACAAGTTCCGAGCAAAACGTACCTATCGCATACCCTCTGCATTCCCAGACAGCTGACTCTATGAAGCTCTGCTGGTTCTGCTGGTTCTGCTGATTCTGGGGCTCAGGCTAGCGCCGACTCCAGCGACAACTTCCCGCAAGAGAGAGCTCCATCCGAGCGCAGCGAAATCATTTCAGAACCGGCTTCTGAGCTACCTCCCCAACTTGCCAGCGACACTCTCGATACACAATGGGAAATGCTTTTGAATGCAACAACGTCCGAACTACAAAATGCTGTCGGCATAGCTCCAGTCTCTGACCGCAACAATAGTCGGTTGACCTTCTCCAACACGTTCCATCAGGATTCAGACCTCAATTCGTATCCAGGAGTGCAGCCTTTGTTTGATAATGGTTTCTACCCTTTTACTGGTAAGCATGCCAGTTGACGATAGGAGCTTTCGTCCTTTCTCTACATTTTAGCTGACACAAAGCAGATTTCGACAGTAACTTTTCTCTCCTCAGTTGGATGAATTCCGAGACGCTGGCGAGTACTTACAGCATGCCGCCAGACCTAAACATCGCCGATGTCCCCATGCAAGGCTTGGAGGATCCGAGCAGGGCTACGAGGATTCAGCAAGCATCAGCAGACAATTCTAAAGCCCTGAATAACGGTGTCACGGGGCCTACCACCGAAGCTGACCTGTCGATCGACAAAGGCGACTCAATGGCATCATTTCCCAATATAGACACATCGGCATTACCGACTCCATCTGCATCCCACGACCCAAGTGCAAGCTCCCCTCTTGAAGAGGCTCCAGAGACTGTCTCGGTGGAGAGAGATACCAACACTTGGCCGTACGAATATCAAGCGGAAGGAGAAGAAGGGAGGATCACTTTTCCGGTTCTGAATCCAGAGGACCTCAGAAGAGCACAAAGATACCACAGTGCGAGCGGAACCAGCTCTCCCCGGAAGAACTTCCAGCTCCTCGGTACGTTTGGGAAATTGGACGATAAAAAGCTTTCAAGCATCATCCAGCTGCTTAGTCTGCCACTGGTACGAGTACCGTGGCAGGAGGATGTCGACTTGTTACGGTCGCTCCCCGGGCCAGACATTCTTCACCACTTCACAGATTTGTACTTTCTCCATTTCCATGATGTGAGTTGACAGCGACGCTTGCAACATCCGCCGACCCCCTGCTAATACATTTCTGTTAGCTCTGGCCTATCATTCATAGGCCAACATTCAAGATATCGGATGCACCCACAATTCTGGTGCTGACGATAGCCTGCGTGCGTCTTCCACTTCTGGCTCTCACAAGGTTTCAAGGCTGATAAATGTCACCAGATTGGAGCGTGTTACTCTGGCCTCGATCGGTCAATCGAGTTTGCTGACACGCTTGCCGAGCTTTGCAGGCGGACGTCTTCTTGGATGGTGAGCTCCACTCCATTGAACTCTGTGTGAGGGCGATCGACCAACCTCGATTTAGGGCGAGCACGATCCCCGATTCTTGCGGTCTCCGTCGTATGGGGTATCACTGTTATTGCAACACCTCCATGCCATGGGATCGGGCTCGCGACGCCTTTTCGAGATGACCGACGCATCCCGTTCGCGCCTCATCAGCATATCGCGGCAAATGAACTGCCCCGGACTACATGCTTCGCGGAGCGACACGGATTCGTCTGACAAAGATACATTTCAAACCTGGCTCGAGTGGGTGAGCAAAGAGCAAATCAAGAGGCTGGGCTGGTTTCTATTTGTGAGTTCGCCTCATCGCACCGGGCCTAATTAAAAATGTTTTCTGTAACACCGGCTGACCTCGCTTCAAACTCCAGGAGTTCGATTGTCTTTACTCGGCCTTCTCGAAGCAGAGCCCGTGCACCAAAATTGAAGAGTTACCACCCGACTTCCCCTGTGAGCAGCTACACTGGGATGCTCCGACGGCATTTTCATGGGCGGCATGTCCATTTCAGACTGCTCCCCGTGGCCCTCCCACCATGAAGACTATCAGTGATTTCCTGGACAAACCCAGTCCATCGATCATCAGCCCACTTGACAACATTGGAAAGCGGCTGTTGATCCGATGCCTCGGCCAGCAGCTGCATGCATGCCAGGAGCAGATGGACTCGAAACTGTACCATGTCCTATGGCGGGACAACAACGGGCTGGACGTCAATCGTGCTGTTCGGTCTCAGCTCTCTCGGGCCATCATGTCCGTGTATGAATTCAGCTGGGCTGACCATCCGCGCCGCTACACGCTCCGCCACGCTCTTCGCATCGGTATCGCCGGACACTACAGCCACATCTTTGGTGCCGGAAAGATTGTTGACCTGGTAACTCGCGTCGCGCGCAAACGGGCGTCAGGATTCGACATGTCGAGACTCCCCAACAACACGGCGTTTGCGTCAAGCACCACCAACAAAGCTTCAGGCGTGGACGAGACGGCCGCAATCGCCGCATTTGGCGAAGATCCCGAAATCATCCGGGAGATGATGTGGCATGCTTCACAGGTATGCTACCTGCAACGCCGCCACCCGTTCAATTCGCCTCTCGAGCCACTCTCGGTTTTCCTGGCCGGCATCACCCTCTGGGCTTGCTGCAAGTACTTTTGCCCTCATCAGGCATCAATGCGCGTGGGTCCGTCGATCCAGCTGGACGAGCCGTCCTTTTGCAGTTCACCACGGTCCAGCCAGGCGGTCAAGGACTGGGTCAAAAACGGGGGCAAGACGTTCCTGGAAGGCGTGGGCGACGTCCAGGACCCGGAAGCCCCGAGTCGCGTACTCCAGTTGAGCGTGGACATGACACGACGCCTCAAAGTCTGGCAGATGGCGTCCAACGTGTCGGAAATTTTTGTCCGCCTCTTGCAAAGCGAGGAGCAGGAGACTGCCCAGCGCCACGAAACCAACTCATATCAGCCACAATAGCGCTGATAATGTGTTTTCCTGAAGTCGTTCACGACATGGATAACCGAGTTTGGGACAGGTGGTCGACAATTGAAGTCATGAATCACGCTATCCTGCCCCTCCGAAACGAAATTATTGTAAATGTTATGTTCATGAATATGTATATACGTACGGCACCTTTCAGGGACGGCCGCATGGCCGTCTTACAGGCTCATGCCTTTTCCGCTTTCCACAGAAACAGAAGACAGGTGTCTTTGGCGAGTGGGAGAAAATTGGCGTATAATGAAAGCGTTTACACTGCGGCCAATTCAAAAATATTGATTTTCATGTTTTCGATTCTTCTCCTGCAACAGCTCGCTTTCCTATTTTGAGGCACCTCCTTTCCTCTCGGCCTCCAACAGGGCAATTGTGTCGTCGTAGATGAGTTCCATTTTACTCATGGTAGAACCAGGCCCCGAAGGCAGCGGACTATCCACCAATACCCTGCGGGTCGAATACTTGATCCTTTCGAGGACCGTGCCTCCTTCATACTCGGGGTTCTGGACGAGCTCGAGCATCGTCTCAGCCAGCTCTTCGGGCGTGGCGAAGACATCTTCTTCCGAAATCGCCTTCATCTTCTCCGGGTTCTCGCTCCACAGTGGCGTCATGACCATGCCCGGGGCGACCGCGACGACCTTGATCCCGAACTCCTCGTGGAGCGGCCCCAGAGACCGGGTGAAGGCAGAGACGGCCGCCTTCGCGGTGGAGTAGAGGGGCTGGTTGAAGAGGGCGTATTGAGCGGCCAGCGAGGAGATGTTGATGATCACCCCGACCGTTTCGCCAGATTTCCGGCCCTTGGACCTGGTGATCTGGTCCCGAATGCCCAGTCTCGTGCCCTTGACGAGGCCTTGCACGTTGATGTCGAACGACTTGTAACTCTCGGTCTCTGTGTCTTTCCAGAAACTCGACCAGTCCTATACCCACCACAAACATTAGTACTTTCATTCTCAGGCACTCCGAGGAGGGAGAGAGAGAGACACAGGTGGACAAACGAACCGGTTCAAAGACCCCTGCCCCGTTGCAGAGCACGTCAATGGGGCCGAGCTCGGCCTTTGCGAAGGCGAACAGCCTCTCCAAGTCCTTCCAGTTCGACACGTCCGTCTTCTGGAAGAGCACTTTGGTCGCGGTGGTGCCTTGCTGGAACTCCTTGAACGCCGGGGTCTCCTGGACGTCGGCGACGACGACATTGGCCCCGTTGCTGGCGAGCAGCTTCGCAAATGCCAAGTTGATGCCTGTAGTGCCCACGTTTCTCGTCGGTCAGTGGCCATTCGCCAGGAACTCAGGAGGAAAGAAACCTCGATGCTACAGGACATAGAGTTCTCGACAGACAAAAGAGAGCACTCGCATGCACACGTACCTGAACTGGCACCCGTCACGACGGCGTTCTTTCCACGCACTTGGAAAGCCATTTTTGCTGATCTTGTGAGAGATGTAACCTGACACTGCTGCCTCTGCTGCTGTTCGGCTATGGGCGTGCGTCCGGGATGAATCTGGCCGGCCTGCTGAACGTCATGTCTTTCTTTACCTTTAAAGTAAAGTGTTTACTGGCCACGAGGTCCTTCGGATATGCGAACGGTCCATCCAGGACCTTTGCTGGCATGCAGCAGACGATGCATGTGCGGGCGCGTTTGCGGGGTTTTTCCTGTGACGCGAATCTGTGGAGAGAAGGAGGTAACCGACCTGGGTGCCATTGGAGGTAAATCGGTCGCCACAACAGAAATACCCTTTCCTTCCTGACAAATAAATGCTGATAGAAAACACACTTCCAGCTATACTCCTTTTGCCCGTCTGCGTAGATATAGCGAGAATTCTGCATATGCATAATTGGGGGTCCCTGGATCACCGGAGGGGGTTACGAGGATGTGGATTGTTCGAGGCAAAAATAATCTTAGCCTATGTTTCCCCGTCAAGCCACGCTCCGGTTCTCGTATTCTCGAGCTAGCGGGAGCACATGGGGTTGTGTGAATATAGTGTTGGATTCTCGGAACAGGTGGCGTATGATATCGCTTCAAGATAGTAGCTTTGCGAGGGAGGTGTGCAGTCTCAACAAACACCCACGTCTAACATGGTGACACATAGTTATGCTCCTGCCGAACAGAGAATAATTTTTATGTGACCATCAAGTCCTGTCTTGATGTGCACCGAGCATTATTGAGTGTATAACGTTGAGAGGCTACAATTTCGATGGCTTCCACCTCGGAGGCCGCTTCTCCTTGAACGCAGCCAGTCCTTCACTCGAGTTCTCCCCTGCCATCATCTTCTCGTAGAACCTCTCGTGGGTGTTTTGAAACGCCCTCTCGACGCTGGGCGTCTCCCACGCTTCTCTGAGAGCCGCTCGGGTAATTATCATGGCGTCTGGCGATATGGCTGCGATCTCGCGTGCCACGCTGAGAGCCTCTTCGATGAGTGTCTCGGGTTTCTTCGCGATCCGATTGACCAGATTGTGCCGTAGTGCGTCCTCTGCACTGATGGGCCGCCCGCTGAGGGCGATCTCGCTGGCGATATGCAGCCCCGCGGTTCGAATCAGACGAGGGAGACCGCCCCCGTAGGCGTACAGTCCGACCTTGGCTTCAGGAAGACCAAACTGTGCGCTTCGAACGGCGATAACCACATCGCTATTCACTCGCGTGTTAGTGGTGTTTTATTCTTCCCAGAAGTTTTGCATAGACCGTGGGGAAGACGTACCAATTCAGAGCAATCTCCCAGCCTCCACCTAATGCATAGCCATTGACCGCAGCCACAATGGGCTTCTTCCCTTCTCTCCTGCTGATGCCTGCAAATCCAGAGGTTGGATGGGTGTATTTGTACGGCTCAGCCTTCCACGACTCGTCGCCAGACTTCTTGACCCGCTGCATCTCGATCAGATCGGAGCCGACACAGAAGGCACGGTTCCCAGCACCCGTGACGATAGCAACGCGCAGCGACGGCTCATTGTCAAACCACTTGAACAAAGCATCCATCTGCCAGTGCAGAGCGTAGGGGATCGAGTTGAGCTGACGTGGGCGGTTGATTGTTGCCAGCATGATATATGCTTCTGGGAAGGTTACTTCGCAGCCCTCGCATTTCGGAGGTGGCGACTCGAATGCTTCAGAGATTCCCATCGTGGTTTCTGTTACTATATTTGTCGCGAAGTACTATATGCTGCCGTCGACAATTACAATGGCAAGCTGTCGATAAATGAATCAAACATCGTGACACTAGATGCTCGGCATTCTCTGCCGTTGCCGGCGGGGTTATGCAGTGGCAGTTCCGGAGTATAGTCCTTGAACCCACTAGCCACAGCTGATGCATCCCGAAGTTCTCCCTGTCTCAGTCCTGGAAAGAGCAGTTGTGTTATAGAACAGAAACAGGGCGGATTAAGTTCGCATCCGAGATTGTCGCAATCCGAATATGACTCCGCAGGTGAAGAGGTGTCACAGATCCGAGAAGGAGAGACTCATTATCCAAATTGCGTTCAAAATTGACAAAGCTTTGTGTGCAGCATTGAACCCGAAGCTTCCATAAGTATTCTCGTAAACTATCTAATGACGACCAAATTACCTATCTGCCTAGTACCAAACGATTGGATGACGTACACAATGCTCTACAGTCTGGCACTCAGTGGCATCGTCTCCTTGACCAACAACTTCTCAACTTCGTAGAATGGAAGATATTGCATCAGGACGGCCTTCTCCTCTGTCGGGCACGTCAACTTCTTGATCCCTGCACTCCCTTCCGACAGGACCTTCTTCAAGGGTATCTCAAGCTTCTTATTGTTGGCATTGTAGGGAATCTCCTGCACCCAGAACATGAACTGAGGAACGTGGCGACGACTGAGATCTCTGGTGATCTGTGCGCGGATTTCCCTCTCCAAGGCGGCTGTGTTCGATCCTTTGGCGGCTTTGAGGAACAAGAACACACGTTCGCTCTCGTCCCAGGCTCTTTGCTGTCCGACGCAGATAGAATCGACTATTCTGTCACGGAACTTCTGGTCAATGATAGAGTAGATCTCTCCACTGCCGAAACGGACACCTGATGGGTTCAACACGCCGTCGCTGCGACCGAGAATCACCCAGCCTTTGGTTTCTGGGTTCATCCTGATGTAGTCTCCATGCCGCCAGACTCCTGGGAAGGTCGAAAAATACGAGTCGGTGTATCTCTTCTTGCCGGGGTCGTTCCAGAACTTGACGGGCATGTTGGGGAATGGCTTCTTGCACACGAGCTCTCCACTCTCACCAGGCTTCGCGGGCTTGCCGTCTGAAGTGAAGACGTCGATGTCTGTTCCGAGTTCCTTGACCGTCATCTCGCCCGCGTAACCTGGCATGCCGATGTGGCCGGCCAGGAAGTTGCCGCAGAGCTCAGTGCCGCCGGAGAATGACATCTGGCATACAGGGCCAAACGCTTCCATCAGCCACTTTGACTGAGATTCAGTCAAGATTGCACCCGCAGACAAGATACACTTGAGGTTCTTGGAATAAGGCTTGGGATTGACGCCGGCCTTTTGAAGTTCTGAAAAGTATCGCGGGCCCGCGCCCCAGGCTGTCACTCCAGCACCTAGCACTGCCGCGAGTTGTTTCTCTGGTGTTGGATAGAATGGAGAGCCGTCATAGAGCACAACAGTCGTGCCGCAGAACATTGCCGATATCATGATATTCCACAGCACCCAACCAATACCCGCATAGTGGTAGTGGACATCATCTGGACCGAAGTTCTTGTGGAGGAGACTTTCTTTCTTCCCGTTGACGACCAAGCCGCCGTGAGAATGGACTATGCCTTTCGGAGTGCCAGTGGTGCCCGAAGAGAACGCGATCAAAAGTGGATGACCGAAAGGCACCTGTTCGAAGCGAAGTGGTCTCCCAGTGCCTCGCCGTTGAAAGTCTTCTAAGGAAACCCAGCCTTCAGGCACAGCTTTTGAGATGCAGATGATCTGTGCATCGGCGGCTTTGTCAATCATGGAAAACACCTTGGCAATTCGGTCGGAAATGTTGTGCCTTTTGCCGTTGTATTGGTACGACGACTCTGCAAACACGATCTTGGGGCAGACTTGGCCCATTCTATCACGCAGCACTCTTTCTCCCGCGTCCGTGGCAAACCCCGTAACGATTGCGCCAACGGACGCTGTGGCCAGCCAGATTGCGAGAGACTCTGGCGAGCTGCCACCGATGATGCACACAACGTCCCCCGATGAGACATTGGATGATCTCATGGCGTCTGATACTTTGCGGACTTTCTCATTCAGCTCCTTCCACGTCACCTCTCGAGGCGAACCCAGGTGTTCTTCACACAGATATCGTACTGCCACACCGTTGTCGCACCTGCATAGCAGGTTTTCGGCATAATTGAGTCGCGCATCCTCGAAGAAGGGCGGAAATTGATCGATCCGGAGGGACTCGTCGACGGCTTTGGTCGGGTGTACAGAAGCTTTAATCCTCATGAACCTCCACAGTGCCAGCCAGAAGTCATTTGGCTGTTGGACGGAGAACCGGTGGAGGTCGTCATAATTCTGGAGAGACAGGCCAAGTTCGGAGTTTATTCTCTTGCGAAGGATATCGAAATTGGTCTCCAGGCCTGGAGGAGGCAGATAGACCAGCTCAGGCGCCATGTCACGGTTTCAGCCACAATATGAGATGGTATGCTTTGCTCTCAACGAAGCCGACTCTCTAAAAGACAATAAGGACTTAAAACTCTGAAGGAAGAGCCTGGAATGAAACGACTCATAATATCAGAGCCTTTGTGTATGTGCCCTTTCCAACCGGCAGACCTACCGGTCGCCACACCTGGAGTGCATTATCCGTATATCGCAATCTATGAGTTGGATTCTCGATCTCGAATTCCATTGTGAAACCCCGCCGAGTACGACCAAAAAAGCTGGACTAATGTTCCGAACCCTGTGCCTCTAGCAGTGGATATTGGGTACATTGTTTAGGGCGTGATATAGAGTGGAGGTATTCGTATCTCCAATGTCGAGATGGTCGCTGCATTTGGCATGTGAGCATCAGCTCAGAAAACTCGGTATTCGTTGGCCGTGGGAGAGATTAATCCCCACCGCAGGTGACAGCGAAGGATTCAATGTAAGCAGTGCGTGTGGAATCTTATGCTCGACCAGATCCTTGTGGGCCCATTATGGTACATGCAAACCAATGAAGGCGTTAAGGAGTTGAGAGAACTACTGCTGAGGACGATCGGAAGTGTTATATTGCTCGAGGCACTCAGGAAATGCTGCCGGAACGACAACTGCATCATTTAGTCCTTGTAGGTGGGAACAATGGCAACGCTGGGACTGGACCTGAAGTCGAAGCGACTGCGGACACGCAGCGACTATGGTTACCACCTCGACTATCGACTGCGCTGGTAAGTTGATTGACAGGTATCAATTTGCACCATGAAGCTCATCGACTCCAGGAACGACAACGACATATTTGGCCACATGAACAACCCCAACTACGGAGTGCTCGCGGACAGCATCATCAACGAATACATGATCAAAGAGTGCGGATACACAGTGAACAAGCACCCGCAAGCCGCTATCATCGCCAACACCTACTTCGACTACTTCGGATCCGTCAGCTATCCCGACATGGTCGAGTGCGGGCTGCGGATCGTCAAACTGGGCAAGTCCAGCGTCATGTATGAGGTGGGGGTTTTCAGACGCGGCGAGGAGGACGTCAAAGCGGTCGGAGGCTCGACGCACGTGTTTGTCACGCAGATCAACGGACAGCTGGGGAAAACTGTTGAGAGTGGCATGCCAGCAGAGATGAGGCGCGGTTATGAGCGGTTGCTCAACATGCCAAATCCACGTTCGAGGCTCTAGTCCTGTCGTCGACCGATGGATCTGGACTCTGTGGGATATTCCCTTTGGCTCCACTCGGTTAGCCCCGTCTCGATTTCTGTACCTTGCAGGTTGCATGTTTGGGACCCCTGCAGCAAGTTCTTCGTCCAGCCAGAAGAATCCTTGCTTGAGCCATCACATGTCATGATCGCCAGTAGCAAAATACCCCAATTACTACAACCGCGTGCCATTATCTTCCCCGCTTTAAACCGTGCCGAAAACCCCCATCCGATGTCCGCATCATCTTTTGTATACCCCGCTAGCGCAAGGCTGTCGTCCCCTATTTAGTCCGAGCGTTGTGGGGAATTACAACCAATCGCATGATCCGCATCTCGTGATCTTTGGTATGGCTGTATCTCTCGTGATATCCGTGTCCTACCCCAACGGCGAAGATTGCGCCCGGGGAAGTTTAAAGAACAGAGAGAGTGCCCGTGGACGGTTGACCCAGGCATCTCTTCCGACTCCTCTGTTCGTTGTCTTTCGTCTTGCATCTCTCCGTTCTCTTCCGCCTTAGCAACAATGGGATCGATCAACCCTACCAAGTCATATGACGTTGTCGTCGTGGGTGCCGGCTTCAGTGGGATGTGGCACCTCTATCACTTGAGAAAAGAAGGCTTTTCGGTCCACGTATTCGAAGCCGGCTCTGACTATGGTGGGACTTGGTACTGGAACTGCTATCCAGGCGCGAGAGTCGACACTGAGATCCCTGTTTATCAGTTCACCGAGAAATCATCAATGAATGAGTGGAACTGGACTCAGCGTTATCCGGGGCGGGATGAGATCCAGCAGTATTTCCATCATGTCAGTCGCATATGGGATCTGGATCGCGATACATCCTTCAATTCAGAAGTCACATCGTTGGAGTGGGACGAACCCAATAAGTCTTGGATTGTCGAAATCGGTGGCTCGGGAGAGGTCGTTCGTGCACAGCACATCATCATGGGCACGGGCTTTGCTGCCAAACCATATATTCCAGCGTACAAGAACGTTGACGCTTTCCAAGGCCCGAAGGTACATTCAGCCAGATGGCCCATGGATAATAGCATTGATGTCAAGGGCAAGAGAGTTGCAGTCATCGGAACTGGTGCTACTGGCGTGCAACTTGTCCAAGCAATCAGTAAGGTTGCGTCTCATCTTACAGTCTTCCAGCGGACACCAAACATGGCTCTTCCCATGGGGCAGGGTGACGTTCAGGAGGCCGACAATCAGCAGCTCAAGGATGACTTTCAAAATACCGTGAAGAAATGCGGGACCACTTACGCTGGCTTCCTCTACGACTTCGAACCGTCATACGGCCGAGACGCCAGCGAGGAAGAGCGGAATGCGCTCTGGGAGCGACTCTACCACCGTGGTGGCCTGCATTTCTGGCTCGGAAACTACCTGGATCTTTTCGAGGACCGGGACGTGAATGCCGCCGCATATCGATTCTGGAGGAAGAAGGTGCTCGCCAGGATCACAAACCCAGAAGCTGCCAAGATCCTTGCACCAGAACAACCACCTCATGCTTTCGGAGCTAAGCGTGTGAGTCTGGAGCAAGGATATTACGAGTGCTTCAACCGCGACAACGTCACGTTGATCGACGCGAGCAAGACTGGAAATCCCATCTCCGAGTTCACCGCGGAAGGGATTATAACAAAAGATGGAGTTGAACATAAATTTGACGTTATCATCTTCGCAACCGGCTTTGACGCCATCACGGGATCCATGACCAAAATAGACATCCGCGGCAAGGAGGGCTCGATCCGCGACAAATGGGGTAAAGGTGTGTATACGCACCTCGGAATGACGACCCACGGGTTCCCCAACTTCTTCTTTGTGTACGGACCTCAGGCCCCGACCGCATTTGCGACCGGCCCCGCGTGCACGGAGACTCAGGGCGCCTGGATCATCGAGTGTTTGAAATTCCTCCGCGATCAGCACTTGCGGTCAATCGAGCCTACCCGTGAAGCCGAGACCCGGTGGCGGGACCACGTGAACGACGTGACCGGAAAGAAGCTGTTGGCCGAGGCCGATAGTTGGTACTTCGGCGGGAATATCCCAGGCAAGCCGAAGGAGGCACTCAACTACATGGCAGGATTGCCGGAGTATAGAAAACAAATCTGGGACAGTGCCAAGTCGAGATATTCCGGGTTTACACTTGAATAGTTCTGGCGGGCGGGCGGAAAGTGGTGTGCTTCAGTCGGGGAAATGAGTTTAATCACGAAGAGAGAATGTCTGTACCAGTTTACCTCACGACCAGTTGGAGAAATTCAAACATCCCATAGTTTCAGTGACACAATAGGCCATCAGGTCACGGATACTCCTTCGCACGGTGCCTTAACATGAGATCCTCTTCACTTGTCCAGCTCGAAGCTGCAAAGCCACTTTCCAGATAGGTCCCAGGCAAGCAGATCGAACAAGCCGCTGGCCTCGGCAACCATTGTGCGAAACACAAAACATCCATTTCTCCATCACCGCCGCAGAAACGTACCGTTTACAATCCCCGCCAGATACCAAGAAGATTCCCCGCATATTGTTTGGAGGAACTATACTGGGCCTACTTAACAACGTCAAACAACCGGGCTCTCGACGAGGGCGCCATACTCCAGCTCATTGAACTAGCTATTGACGTAGACATTATCTTTTCCGGTCATCAACTTTGAAGAACGATCTCCGGTGGTCTTAATTTCTGCGGCATCCGTTCAACGACCAGGAATCCAGAGGCCGACGCTGTCGAAATCTACCCTTTCCAAAATAAAGTCATGGCTTCATTACTCGATGGCGGTATCGCTTTCATAACGGGAGCCGGCTCAGGTAAGACAGCCTCTTTCAATCGGTGCCTGTCATACTCGAAGCTAATGAAGTAACCCCCTGTCCTAGGAATCGGCAGAGCCACCGGCAAACAGTTCGCGCACTACGGGGCCAAGGGCCTGGTGTTGACCGACATCAACGAGGGCGGGCTGCAGCAGAGCAAAGCGGAGATCCTGGCGCAGTACCCCAAGGTCGAGATCGAGACGATAAAACTGGACGTCACGAGCGAGGAGTCCATCATCTCGGCCCACCAGGCGGCGGTTCAGCGGTTCGGACGCATCGACTACGCCGTCAACAATGCAGGCACGCCCGGCCACATGATCGCCAGTGCGCAGTCGAGCTACGCCGAATTCAAGTTTGGCGTCGACGTCAATTTGTTTGGCGTGTGGATGTGTCAGCGGGAGCAGTTGAAGCTGATGGAAGCCCAACAACCTGATCAGAGGTACTCATTCTCCCATTCTATTCTGTCGCTTCATATACCGTGTCGAGATACAAACATGTGTCTGGATGTACGGCTAACATGTAGACTATGATCTCAGAGGTGCAAGAGGTTCCATTGTCAATCTCTCGTCCATCTACGGCCACACCTGCGGGAAGAATACGACATCTTACTGCGCGGCGAAACATGCCGTCCTGGGGATCACGAGAAGTGTAAATGCGCCATATTTTCGACCACTGCCCTCTTGTATATCGTCTAACAAAGTCCTTCTTAGGATGGTGCCAACTACGCCAAAAGCGGCATCCGCGTCAACGCTGTCTGCCCGGGATACACGGACACGCCGATGCTCCGAATGCCAGGTGCGGGCTCTTCGGTGGGAATGGACGAGTATCTGAAAGTTTGTCCTATGGGACGCCTGGGGGAAGCACGAGAGGTGAGTCGGAAGTTGTGGAATGAAGAACCCATTCTCTCAGACACCCTGGGAGACGGGCCAAGTTCAAACTGACAGCTTATAGATTGCGGATACTATCGTCTTCCTGTCTTCGCCTATGGCGAGTTACATCACGGGACAAGATATCCCCGTTGACGGGTACGTATTGGTCTGCAAACACACCATGTCCTGAGGCTGATATTTAATGTGCTAGTGGATTCCTGATTGTTTGATCCTCTTTGAAATGAAAGTAGGCCAGGTTTCTCAAGGCTCAAGTACGCTGGAACTGGTTGAGCTTAGTATCAGGAGCCTATTGGAACGAGGCTACGCAGATCGCGGGACGAACGAAAGTCCAGATCTTGCTTAGTCCGCCATTTCTAATCACACAATTCCAAAGAAAATTAAAGGAGCCCCGACAAAAATCTGGGTTGCGAACTGTGTTTTCAAAACATGTATAGTCGGTCTCAGTATTGTCATCTAAGGATCGCTCAGAGTGTGTCTGCCTAGATACCCATTTCCACGCATGATTGCATGGATCACACTCGCACAGTATATTCATATATTGAGTGCTCGTAATCAACCAAAGACCACCCCTGTCTTGTCGTTGCTAATATCACAGACGAGGAATGCCTTGGAAAACATTCCTCCCGCGATGAGGCGCTTGTTGTATGGATCTACCGCGGCTCCGGTCAAGACACTCAACTGCGTACCGTCGTCCCAGAACAGCAGCTCCGGGGCATAGCCCTTGGATTTGTCCAGCCGGACCACTGCGGACTCGCACAGCGTGCCGTAGTCCAGGCCACCGGGTCCGAAGCCGCGCTTGAACAGGGTGACCAGGTTGGGGAAGACTGTGAATCGAGTATTAACAGAGTAGCTTGCACGTCGGGCGCAAGGGGGGAAGGCCTTCGAGTTGGGGTAAACTCCTCGTATTTGAGAGTTCTGTATCTCTACAACACTGGCTAGTGACTTACCTGGAACGACAATGTCTCCGTTGGTGGGGATTTCGGCCAGGTTATCCGGCGTGCCTCCCAGTCTCTGTCCGAGTCGTTAGTCGACGAGGAGTTTCCCCAGTTTTCGATTTCGGGTTCGTTGACTTACCACTTTCCTCTCTAGTACCAGATCCTTCGTCACCGGATCAACTTCGTACACGATCGTCGTGCCCTCGTAGAGGTCATTGACCAGCAGCGTCTTGCCGTCTTCGGTCAGAAGGATCCCGTTCGCATATTGGAGATCGTCCGAGACTTTCCGGCACGTCGTCTTCGAGCCGGAGCCGTCGCAGTGAATCACCCACGAGGCCCAGTGGAACGGCGCGTATTTGTCTTCAAAGGTTCGCAAGATGCCGTTATAGTAGTAGTGGTCGTTGGTGGCGAAGAATGAACTGGTTATAACATATTCAGCACCGACAGACAGGGCAGTAGATATCTGAGTCGGGGAGCTTACAGCGGGCCGGAAGGGGTTACGGCATTGGGCGTCTTCAGCTCCGGATGGCTGATATCCTTGACGAACTCGAGCACATTGGTGCCCAGCTTGTGCGAGAAGACGGTGATTGATTCGCCCTTGCGTCCGTGGTTCACGGCAAATATGTGGATCTTGCAAAGCAGCTGTTAGACATACGTGAGCATGGTGGCGCAATGCCTCCTTACCTTGGTAGGGTCATCCTTAAACCTCCAGATATCGATTCCGTGGAGGATCAAGTCCCCGTCCCAGCCCTTGACTTCCATCCTGGTGGTCTTGTTTCCCTGTTTGGTACTGTGGTGAGCAAACCCGTACAAACCTGTCGCTTCGTTACAGCCTTACCTTGATATCATACTTCAAGAAATATTCGCGAAAGTCCTTTCGCTTGGACGTCCAGTGGTTGTTGATCGGTGGGTAGAATTGAGACCGACCGACGGGGTCCCCGCAAGCTGTACACAGACAGGAGTCAGTCTGATACCATAGTCGTGGAGCACAAACTGTCAGCTCACCAAGAAAGGCCGTGTTGGTCTCGTGGTGGATCTTGACGTCTTCACAGGTCTGGCCGGCTTTGACAGTGTTAGTATCGCCAGCATCCCTATGACAGGACCCTGAAGGGAGGGGGAGGAGGAAGGCTCAGAAACACACAAGGATCTGTCCAGCAATGCTCATTGTTGAGACCCCCATGGCTCAGATATCGGGTCTTGGGATCCCTGCTTTGCACACGGCCGCCATAGCGGTCCAGGAGTATCGTTGGACTGGCAAGGAAGAGGGCAATGAGCAGAACCCCGAGTCCCCCAACGGCGGTTACGACCCAATTGGCCTTTGCCCGCTGTGCGAGCGAGGAGGCACCGGGAGATGACATGGTCTTGATTTATTGATGATTATGTGGTTACGTTCGTCCGTGGCGTCAGCAGCAGGTAATACTACAAATAGAGCCAGTCTAGGAAGATCATAGGATACGAGAACAAGTCAATCAAACAGGAAGCCAGGACATTTCCTGTCAAGTCCAGTCCAACCCAGCCTAATGTTCGACACCACTATTACCACAACCCCCAGCCCCAAGAAAAAACGGACATCCGTATAAACTCAAGTTACTCGGTATAGCCGTGATGATGCGTGCCCGTGGTATAGCATCCAAAAACTCCGCAGGGACGACGCTGTGGAGATTCCATCCATCCATCCATCCCTCGGTTGCAGGCATTTTCCCCATAATTCGCCCCGCCACGACGCTGCATTGCGGAGTACAACAACTACGACTACAACTATCGGAACAACAACCAACACACATGTTCGTTGGCACATAAAAGGGTCACACAATACATACCCGGCGACTTTGTCACGAGCTCAGCATTGTCGACAAGCTTGGAAGTACCAACGCACCAATACCACCACAGCACACCATCGAAGCATATCAGATTTCAAGAAAGAAAACATGACTACTCCCGTGTTCCCTCCCATTCCCGAGGGCGAATTCGAGCTGTACGCAGACGTGAGTATTTTCTCTCCCCTTAAACGGTGTCTTCCTAGCTCCTCGATCTACATACAAAGTATTCGGTACACGGCTATCAACATAATAACACTAACACCATGCCCCAGCTCTACGCAAAAGAAGGTCGCGCCGACGACCTGGAGCGCTACCTGCGAGCACTGGTGCGGCTGACCAAGTCAGAGCCGGGCGTGCTGGAATACGCCATCGCGCGCGACGACGAAAACCCCAACCACTTTCATGTCTTCGAGCGGTACACCGGCAGAAAGGCGTTCGAAGAGCACATCGCCGCCCAGGAGTTTGTGGACTTTACCAACTCGGGCGCGCTGGCCCAGCCGCCCAAGCCCAAGATGCTCCACGCCTTGAAGCCTCTGTGAGGTCTATGGAGCGAGGTGAGGTGAGGTAACGTGAGAGCGTGGAGCCAGCGCCTGTGGCCTTATCATCTGTGGTGTCGTGTCGTGCCGTTTCCAGAGCTTGGGCCCATTGCTCGGCGCCCAGTTGACGCTGGCTGTTGTGAGAATTGGGGTAAATCATGAACAGAAAGCAAGAAAAGCAATCCAATGACTTGTTTTTTGGGAAGTAGCTAGCTAGCTGTGGACCTTGGTTGTGGAAACAGTCAAAAAGACAATTCCGTCCATACATAGTGAACACCAATTTCGCCGTCTCAACTTGGAGACTGTCCGTACACAATCAAGCTGTGGTCAAGTGGCCACTGGGGTCAAATCAATCATACCACCTTCGTCAGTTCTATTACTTCCCGCGCCAAATGGCACATGTGATGATCATTGCCTGACTAGAAAACAATGAGTCCGTGTGGACGGATACAAAGGTCTAGGTTGGTCCAGATCTCCGGCGGGGGTTTTTGCTTTTGCGTGTGGATTGTATACGCGACACTTTGAACGGGAGTGTCTTTTTATCTACGCCCCGTAGCACCACTCTCCCAAAGCCGGAGGCAATGCACTCCAGATTGCGTGTGTGTATTTGTGGCAAAAGCCCCAGATCTCTCCAGAAATATCCCCACCATGTTGTGGGAGAAAGAGGTGGAGGCTGGTGCAGGGGTACGTACATCCCATACGAACCTTGTGGCCGGCCAGGCTGCGCAGTAAGTGCATATTCTGGGATCCTGGAAAGAGGCCTCGAGAGAGAGGGAGACCCAGGAAAGTCCACTCAGAATTCCCACTTCCTCCGCGTTACCAACAGGGTTCTTCTTCATCTCGGAACCTGTAGGTACGACACACACCCTACGTTTTCGAGCAGCAACATCCGACTGGCTTCTCTCGAAAGGTCTGTCTGCCGAGCCTGGATTGATCCCAGGGCAAACCAACCATTCCAATACCGGGGCGAGGTACATCCACACGTGAAAGGGTCAGGGCTAAGCTTTCCCTCCTTGCAGCCAATGGAAATCATGAGGCTCAAGCCATGCTCCAGAAAAAAGGGGATCTATCCTATCTATCTACCTATCTATATAGGTCAAAGTCCCCACGCATCAAAAGTAGTGCTGCTTTGGGACGACGGATGGATGATGGGTCGTGGGGTTTCAAGGGTGGATGGATGGATGGATGGATGCAAATGCAGAATTTGTCGTATGGGTGAGATAATGCTCGAGAGTGGTGTAGTGAGAGTGGCTCCCATACCCACCTGCCTCCCTATATAATGTAACTGAATGATAAGAAATCTCTCCTACTGGGGGTTGATTGTCATATCATCACTTCGCCACAAGGACTTCGCGCACAGAAACAGGTTGTGGAGTGTTCTTCTTTTCCCCTGCTCCTTGCGAAGATGGCGCTCTCTGCCTCGATGCTCCGGCTGCTGGTAAGCACGCATAGTCACAGATCCTTTGCAGCATCAGGTGCTAATATGCCATATCCCAGATCGTGGTCTTTGTCGCCCTCGGCAGCGTGACCTATGGCTACTGTGCCAGCATCATCGGCACCACACTCGGACAGCCCTCCTTCATCTCCTACTTCGACCTCGATACGCGACCAAACGCCAGCGGCCTCATTGGAGCTACCAATGGCCTCTTCCAGACCGGAGGGCTCTTCGGGACGTTGTCCTGCATGAAGTCTGCTGACTGGCTGGGTCGTCGAAAGGCTTTGTTCTTCGCGAGTATTGTTACGACCATCGGAGGAGCTTTGCAGGCCGGTAGCGTGCATATCGCCATGTACATTGTGGCTCGCCTGATAACTGGACTCGGCATTGGTGAGTGTGACATGGCAATATTCTTCTATTCAAGGATACTCACGTATTATAGGTGCCCTCGTCACTCTTGTCCCTCTCTACCAAAGCGAGGTCGCCCCGCCCAAGATCCGTGGCTTACTGGTGGGCGTCCACGGCATCATGATCTGTGTCGGATACACCTCCGCCAGCTGGATCGGCGTGGGTTTCTACTTTGTGCAAGCGGCCGGAGCCCAGTGGCGCATCCCTCTCGCAGTGCAAGCGGTCTGGCCGGCATTGCTGGCCATGGGAGTCCTGTTCCTGCCAGAGTCACCCCGTTGGCGTACGTCTCATTTGCTCTTGCTGTGCGGAGAATATTTTGGCTCACACCGACACTGGAAATAGTTCTTGACCACGACCGCTTCGACGAGGCGTATGCGTCGTTCAAGAGAGTGCGTGCCGAGACGTCGGACAGCTTCCTGAACGACGAAGACGCCATCCGTGCCGACTTCACGGTGCTCCACTCTCAGATCATGGAGGAGAAGAAGGAACAACTGTCAACGCTGGATCTGTTCCGGTTGCCCGGGTATCGCAAGAGAGTGGGCATCGGCTTCATCATGATGGTTGGCGCACAGGCGACGGGGACGCAGATCATTAACAGTAAGTCCGAATCCCTTTTGACCAGAGACTTCTTGTTCTCTCTGGAGCTAACGGGCGCGTGGCTAGATTATGGGCCGATGCTGTACAAGAATCTCGGCTTCGGCACCGTTCAGCAGCTCATCATCCAAGCTGGCTGGATTTCGGTGTCTCCGTTCGGCAACGGCATCAACGCCCTCTTCGTGGATAAAGTCGGCCGTGTCAAGATGTTGAGTACGTCAAGTCCCCGTCACCCACTCATGCGTATCTTCTTAACAGTTGATAGTCATCGGCATGTCCGGGTGCGTGCTCGCCCTGGTCGGCGAAGTCATCACGCTGTCCCAGTTCCAAGAGCACGGCAGTCGTGGTGCGGCCAGTGCGGCCATCTTCTTCCTGTTCCTGCACGTCGCCCTCTTCGCCAGCACCATCGATGCGACGTCGTACATCTATGCGTCCGAGATATTCCCCACACCCGTGAGGGCCAAGGGCCTGTCGCTGTCCATTTCGGGCCTGTTCCTCACGGCTCTGGCCCTGTTGCAGGGCGCGCCCACGGGATTTGCGGACATCGGCTGGAAATACTACCTGGTATGCATTGGCGTGACGTCGGCGGTTATCGTGGTGATATGGTGGAAGTTTCCAGAGGTGAGCCTCCCTTTTCCACAGAGCTGATGCTTCAATGAGACTGACGGCGCCGGAAATCCCAGACCAAGATGATGTCCCTCGAGGAGATCGGTGCCCTTTTCGCCGACTCGCCCAAGCCGGCGGGAGAGAGAGTCGATGTCAAGGTGGCACGCAATTCCTCGGACGTAGAGTCTGAGAAGGACAGCAGTCACGTCCAAGTAGAGCGTGTCCAGACGTGAGGCTTGAGGGCATGCCGAGCGGCAGCGTGTTGAGATAATACCGGGGCGATACCATAGAGCTGCTTGTCCTTTGTTTGGCAAGATGCTGGCACAGCGAGTGGAAACTCTCAACATATTCAACACATAGTGTCTTTCCATCCAAATATAGAGACTCTAGAACAACGCTGTAGATATAATATACACAGAGAGACACTTTTGGCATTCTCAGACTAAGGAACTACCACGTCCTCCTCCTGTATCTATATTGGCTCGGTTCGCCCGCATTCCACACCCGGGGATGCAAATGCTAGTCAGTTTTCCGCGCATCCCTAGAGCCAACTGTCCAACCCCTCACTCGCTCATGATCGCCCCGGATCGTGATCGTCACTCTTGGTTCGCCGTCTCCAATTCGAAAACAACTTCCCGAGCCACGGCCGAGCCACCACGTTACTCCGGAGTCTCCCCGCGTTGGATGAGGATGGACGATGACGAATGGCCCCCGAGGAGCCCACGCGGAGACGAAATGATGCTCAGATGGATATAAGCGAGAGGGTCGACATCGGCAATCCGCTTCTCGGAGAGAATCTAGACAAGCTGACGATGAGAGACTGTCGATACGAGTGAAGCATCTGTATTCTTTACGACACTGACACAATCTAGTCGAACGAAATGTCGGCCAAAGACAACAACAACAACACTCTCCCCCCATTCGCATCAGACGTGCCGGTGGCCGACATTGCGACGGTGGACTTTGATCTCCTGTCTCAAGGCGATCCCGAACAGGCCCAAATCCTGCTGCACTCGTGCCAGAACTACGGCTTCTTCTACCTGTCGAACCACCACGTGGACTCACGGTTCATGTTCGACCTGGCCGACCGGGTATTCTCGCTGCCGCTGGATGAGAAGCTCCGGTACGACATGGGCACGACGGGCCACTATTACGGCTACAAGCGGTCCGGGGCCATGTTCGTCGACGACAAGGGCACCAAGGACCACAGCGAGTTTTACAACGTGTCCAAGGACGAGGTGCTAGGGATCCCGCAGCCGTCAACCACGAAGACGGTGTCGGGCCACCACCCCCAAGTCGTCCTGGACCGGTTCGAGGAGCTCCAGACGTTCATGAAGTCGTGCCACCGGGTCATCTACACCATCACCACGTCGCTGGGCAAGTCACTGGGACTACCGGAAGGCCTTCTCGAGTCGCTGCACGAGCTGGACCGGCCCTCGGTCGACCAGGCACGAGTCACCTGTGCACCGCCCGTGCGACCGGCCGAGACCATCACGCTGGGCGAGCACACCGACTTCGGCAGCGTGACGGTGCTGTTCAACCAGCTGGGCGGACTGCAGGTGCTGGCGCCCAACAAGCGCGACTGGGAGTACGTGCGGCCGCGGCCGGAGTGTGCCGTGATCAACCTGGGCGACAGCCTGATCAAGCTGCTGGGGGGCCGGCTGTACAGCGCGGTGCACCGGGTCGTCGTGCCCCCGGGCCCGCAAGGGGAGTGCATGCGCCACAGCGTGGTGTACTTCTCACGGCCGAACTCGAGCGTCAAGCTGCGCGACCTGTTCCAGTATCCCACGGACGAGGACGTGAAGAGGCTGGAGCAAGAGGCGTCGGGCGGACCGCTTCTTAATGCGGATGAATGGGTCAAGCAGCGTGCCCACAACTGGAATACTGCCCAGTATAAGGGCAAGGAGTCGTACAAGCTGAGTCGAGGGACGGAGCACAATCGCGAGTGGGAGTCTGTGAAGCTGGAGCAGCAGCAGCAGCAGCAGCAGCGTCCGAAGGCGGTCGAAGCTGTGTGATTGAATGATTGACTATTCCAGAGATGGGTATACCACCTATGTATGCGCTATAGTGAGTTAATCAGTCTTTTGGGACCTGGTCGTATAAGTAATGTGCGCTTTGGCGAGAGAGAGACCTCTTCAGGTCCGCACATGCCAAACTCTGCTTTCTTTACTTTCGGCTAAGAAAAGGGGGAAGATACGAGGCATAAGCTCGTGTACCTCGTAGACAGAAAGGAACTTGGTCCTGCCCGGCTCCCCTCGGATGGATCATCCACTCACCCACACCATCCCCTGACGGGGTAAGCAACACTTCTCCCCTCCACAGTTGAGTTGTAACAATACCGTTCGGAGCTCCGACCTGCTCTTTACTGGCCACCGAGCGAGCAATAGAGTTAGTTGCACCTTGCACCTTGCATGCTGCAGCTGCAGCCGTCATGCGCCTTACATCACGCACATTCCGCCTATACGCCAATGAACGCCAGCCACTCACTACAGTGCGACATACCTGGAACAAACCTTCTCACTGCTCTTCTTGGTAGTCTCGGCGTGCGCTGGCTGGTGCAGCGTCTCAGCTCACAACTCAGATGGGCAACTCACTCGGAGGCAGACGGCTCGAAGGAAACGAATGGAATTGAGTTCCTCCTTAGGGTTTTGTTTTTCTTTTTCATGTTGGGCGTCCTCGTCAGTATTTACTGCAGAGCTGAGCTGAGGTAAAGCTCGGCCAATTCCCTGAATCTGCACTCTGTGGTGGTCTTGTTGGCCCTGTTGTCCTTTCTTGCTCCTCCTGTAGGTTCGCATGTACAGGAGCGAAGCCATCGAGAAACCATCAGAGGCAAAATGGACAAACTGGGCAGCATGGACGACAAATCGTGGGTGCCCCTCACAATGAGGGAGCGTCGACCACATCTTCGCGGTCTCGTTGATATGGGAAGGTAAGTCACACGGGTGGTAGCAATCACATGGGACTTACTATATTTTGCTGGATGGGAGACTTCTATACTACTCTTCTCCCCCTCCTCCTCCAAACGGTTCCCTTACCACTTACTCCGAGATTAATTCAAATGATACTCTAGCAACGGGATTCGATTCTCCGTCTCAGACCTGTCGCCCCCGACGGCACGAACGCTTCCCACCGTGCACTTCCACCGCTCCAACATCTCGCTGTACGAGGCCCAATTCGACTCAAAAGGCCAGAAAATCCCGATCCCGCCCTCGGTGATCCGGGCCGTCATCGCTTCGCTGCTGCGGTTCAAGGTGATCTGCGACGACCTGGGCGTGCCGGCGGACCAGATCCGGGTAGTGGCAACCGAAGCGACACGCGAAGCACTCAATTCCGCCGAGTTCCTGGCGGCCATCCAGGAAGCATCGGGATTTGCTGTGCACATGCTCCCCAAGGAAGAGGAAGGCCGCATCGGCGCGTTCGGTATCGCCAGCAGCTTCACCTACGTCAAGGGCTTGGTCATGGACCTGGGCGGCGGTAGCACCCAAATCAGCTGGATGATCTCGCGCGAAGGCCGCGTCGAGCTGAGTCCTCGGGGTTCCTTTAGTTTTCCCTACGGCGCCGCTGCGCTGACTCGCGCCCTGGAGGTCGCCAAAGCAGGTAAGTCGAAGGAGGAAGCTGACAAGGCCGTCGCCGCGCTCCGGGCGGAGATGAAGACCAACTTCCTCAACGCCTACCGCGAGCTCGACATCCCCCAGGAACTGATCGACGCGGCCAGGCTGTACGGCGGTTTCCAGCTGTACCTGTGCGGCGGCGGCTTTCGCGGCTGGGGCTACCTCCTCCTCTACCAAAGTCAGGTGCACGGCCACCATTATCCCATCTCCATCATCAACGGCTTCGTGGCGGACCATGCCAGCTTCACGGACACCGAGAGGCTGAAGGAGGTCGCCCGCACGGCCCATCGGATCTTCCGCGTGTCCGACCGCCGACGTGCACAGGTCCCAGCGGTGGCGTTCTTGGTGAACGTGCTGGCGGAGGCGATCCCGTTCGGGATCAAGGAAGCGCAGTTTTGCCAGGGCGGTGTCCGGGAGGGTGTTCTGTTCCAAGAACTGCCCTACCACATCCGGCGACAGCATCCCCTCGAAGTGGCCACGGCGCGGTTCGCCAAACCCTCGGCGTTGGCCATGGGCGACCTGCTCCTGTCGGCGATCCCGCCGTCCACGAGCGGCGAGCCGCGCTCGTTCCCGCGATCCATCTCGACCGAAGTCATCCGCTCGCTGGCGAACGTCTTCTTCGAACACTCAGACCTGTCCAAAGAATCTTCCTCCAGCGCCGCCCTGTATAGCACCTCGACGGGCATCCTGGCCTCGGCTCACGGAGTCTCGCACACCGACCGCGCCCTGCTGGCGCTGATGTTCGAGGAGCGTTTCGAGGGCGAGCTGCCGCCGCGCGAGCTCGACTACAAGCAGTCGTTGCGCCACCTGCTCACGCCCGAGCAGGTGTGGTGGGCGCGCTACATCGGCCGCGTGGCCATGGTGGTCGCGCGCGTGTACCCGGCGGGCATCATCGACGAGACGAACCCGCGCGTGCAGATGTCGGCGCGGTGGGCAGCCGGGCTGGGCAAGGACGGGAACAAGGACGGCGTCGAACTCACCCTCTGGGTGGCCAAGATCGAGGGAGACCCCTACCTTCTTAAGGACACCATGCAGCACGCCCTGCGCGTGATCGAGAAGGTGGGCAAGCGCAAGAACTGGATCGATGGGAAGAACGGATGGGGGATCAAAGTGAAAGTCGTCGTTGAGGAGAAGGATCTCCGGCCCGATCGACGACAACAACAAGAACAACAACAACAGAAGCCTCGAGAGCCGCAACAATCAACGGCCTCCTTGGACGAGCAACTGCCGACGGCGAAGGAGGAGGAATACGAAGACGGGGAAGAAGAAAACGAATGGCAATTGGAATGAAAATCGCGCGTTCGGGATCTCCGAATAAAAAACTATTAAGGTTCGTCTGCGATAGGGTACGATAGGGATAGGATAGGGCAGGATAGGGTAGGATAAGGCAGGACAAGGTCCAAGTGGCAGAGCAGATACCGGTCTCTCGCCTTTTGAGGGGGAACGTACGAATGAGTGGGTGATACGGCCATGCAAATATCCAGATGATAACTCCCTGGAGCAAAATGGAATATAATTGTAATCTCATGTCCATCCCCCGCCAAACAAGAACCTTCTCAAAAAAACCCACCCTCACTGCTAGAGAGGTTTCCAGGATAGTACGTCCGGCGTAGTTCGATATTTCGCCGAACGCTTCATATGGACCGCTGTGTGGAATGGATGTATTAAGATCTCATAAGGTTGTGATATCACCAGATCATACTAGTCTCGATCAGAGGGACGTGGGTTGTTTCGCAGAGCAACCACCAAGATATGTAGTAGGACATCTTTTTCACTCACGGATACGTACGAAGGTGCCGAAGGGGGGGTGTATAGATATATAACTTATATATAACGCCTTGCGTCTCCCCTAATCATCATCAGCCTGATCCCCTTGCTTGGCCTTCTTCGCCCTCCATAGATAATACTCTCCGGCGGTCATGACAGGGTACTTGGACGGGTTATCCTCCGAGATGCACGAGGGAATGGGCAGCATGGGCATCTTGCGGTCCAGGCCGTAGAAGAAGGGGATGGAGTAGCGCTCGCGGCCGCTCTTGTTGATGACGCGGTGCACGGTCGACACGAAGTAGTCGTTGGTCTGGCGCATGAAGCAGTCGGCGATGTTGACGACGAACGAGTTGGGCACGGGCTTCGCGCGGATCCAGCGCTTCGACTTTCCCAGGACTTCCAATCCGCCAGACATGTCCTGGTTGACGATGGTGAAGCACTCGAAGTCCGTGTGCGCGCCGATGCCGTTCTGGTCGTCCACCGACGCCGCCTGCTCTGGGTAGTGCAGGATGCGCAGCCCGGCCTCGGGCCGCTTGGTCCACTCGTCGAAGTAGTCCTCCGGCAGGTGCAGGGCCAGGGCGAAGATCCGCGTCAACCGGCGTGCGAACTGCAGCATCGGCGTGTGGTACGCGTACATGGCCTCCTTGAAGCCGGGTAGGTCGCTGGGCCATATCGACGAACCCGGGTCGTTTTCTGGGTTCTCGGGGTCTTGCTCGGCAGAGTATGCGAGATTGAAGGCTTCACTAAGATCTAAAGGCCACCTCGAATAAAATGGTCAGTTGCGTGATGACCCCAAAGACCATGATATCACGTTCAAACTCCAACCAGAGAGTCACCTACCATGGTGTTTCCTCCCGTTTCTGTTATAGCTCGCAAGCGCATGGTATCCCACATATTCCTTTGGGACAAGATTCGTGTCGACCTCCAATTTCTTCTCCAGCGGCAACGCAAAGAAGCGCTTGGCTTGCTCAAATACACCATCTGCCAGTTTGGGATCGAATCCCTTGAAAGAGAACAAGATTGTTTAGCAGTAGACGAAGCCTCGTAGAAAGGAGAAATCTCACATGATTGACCACATAGAAGAATCCAATCCGGTGAGCAGCTTCCCGAACCTTGTCCGCCACAGCCTGTCGATCCGCCAGGTTGTCACTGTAGATTCCTGCTACGTCGATGATAGGGATCTCGTCGGCATCCACGGCCTCGTTGGATTCGACGTGGAGGGTTTGGCCATTTTGGAGCTTGATTACGAGAGGATTATTTTCTTCGGTCTGCGTGGTCGTGACTTGCGACATGGTGATAATGCAATTGGAGCGTGGGCCGTCAGAAAAGAAACAGTGATGAGCTGATTCTCAATCTCAAGATTCCAAGTGCCTATCAGGGGAGAACCAGGCCCAATATGATATCAAGAACGAACAGCACTTCGGAAGCAAGCCATCGAATGCTCCTGCGAAACGTCGGAGTTCAGAGTCGGAGGTACGCGCACAGCCTTATTTGCTTATCGGCTCTGCCGTGTCGCTCCTCATCCGATGGACGTCCAGACAGGGTATGGACTCTTATATTCGCTACGCTATTTCTCCTTCCTTTTTGGAACTTCGTTCTCACAAGCCGGCATCTGCCGTTACACTAGTAAATGCTTACCTCTAGCAGGGTGAATATTGAGATATTCGTCTAGAGGCCAGGAGATGGCGATGATTGGCAGATTGGAATCAAGTGTTTGGACTGTCGTACATACTCAGATCCGATGGTCTTGATATTGATCTGTCAAATCGCGCCTTGCCATGGACGGTCGAGGAAATCAAAGAGTGGTCCCGTGAGCCAGGCTCGATGTGGTTGTCGGCGAGGCGATCTGTGGCGCTTCTTGTTTTAGGCGAACATCTCTGGTCTAGACTGGGACGTTTTACTCGTTGTTTACCATGTTATCGAGCTGCCGGAGAGTGACCGTCGACAGCGTGGAGATGAGCGATATCAAGTTGGGCCACCACGTGGCTCGCTTGGGCCCTTATCAGCGATAGATACATCGAACGCACGGGGAGTGGGCGGAATCAGGCTCTCTCGGGTCATGATCAGAGGCTCGACCCTTTGATAAACATGTCGAGATCGCAGTTTTGCTCGAGCCGCGAGCTCAACCTTTTCCCAGTGACGGAACCTTGACGAAACACCCGTCACGTCTGCCCCAATCCATCACCGGGCCAAGAACGATGAGTTCTCTTCGTCACCGAGCCGCACGGCTCAGCGAGAAGCTCGAAGTGCCCGTGGACGAGAACTTGGACGGCCAGAGGGCCACGGCATGGAACAATCGTGATCTCGCTCCCCTTCCTCCATACAGGCGAACGTGGACAGTATGGGGATTCTTGGGATTCTGGGCCGTCATCCAACTCAACACAGTAGGGTGGCAGACAGCAAGCTCGTTGATCTCGCTCGGGTTGAGTGTGTGGGAGGCCATGGTGGTGACGATCATTGCTAAAGTCAGTATTATCCCGTCGTCTCCCGAATTCCTCAGCTGACCGTGTTGCCATATAGTTTCTCATCGCTGGAGTGGCAATTGCGAACGGCTGGTGGGGTGCTCTCTGGCACGTCGGGTTCTCTGTTGGCAACCGTGCGGTTTGGGGGCTGAGGGGATCATATCTGGCTCTCGCACAGAGAATCATGCTTTGTCTGGTCTGGTACGGCGTCCAAGCCTGGATCGGTGGCCAGATGGTCGGTGTCATGCTTTACAGCATCTTTTCCGGCTACAGGCACATCCCCAACACCTTCCCCGCCAGTGCGAACATGACGACTCAGCAGTTCGTTGGCTTCGTCGTCTTCCTCTGCTTTCAGTTCCCCTGCCTGTTGATTCCTCCCGAGAAGACCGCGATCTTGTTCCGGTATGCCAACATTATCACCGCGGTCACTATGTTGTCGGTCACGATCTGGGCACTGTCAACGGCCCATGGCGGCGGTCCTCTGCTCACTGCTAACAGCACACTCACCACGACCAGTGAGAGAGCCTGGGCTATTATCCGGGGCATCACGACCGTCATTGGGTCCATTGCCGTGTCGCTGACGAACCAAAGTGACTTCAACCGGTTCGCAAAGACCCCGGGCGCACAAATCCCTGGTCAGATTTACTCCACGGTCATCATTGGTGCGCTTGTGACCCTCATGGGTACGCTGTCGACCTCTGCAGCTCAAAAGATCTATGGTGAACTGCTCTGGTCCCCCGCAGAGCTCGCGATTCGCTGGATGGAGGACGGTTATACCGCAAAGGCGCGGGCGGGAGCCTTCTTTGCCGGCTTCGGCTTCTTCATTTCTCAACTTAGCATCAACACCGTCGACAATGCCTGGCCGGGTGGCTTCGATCTCGCGGCACTCTTTCCTCGTTGGATCAATATCCGCCGAGGCGCGGTCATCACGTTCGTGCTCGGTATTGCAATCAACCCGTGGCAATTGGCGGACACCGCTAATACGTTCATCAACGTGCTGGACGGGTATTCGGTCTTCCTCGGGCCCATGGTGGGCATGATGGTCTGCGACTTCTGGGTGATTCGAGATCACAAGCTCAAACTTTCTGACCTTTACATCCCCAATAGCTCGTCCATCTACTGGTACAACCGGGGATTCAATTGGCGCGCCTACGTCTCGTGGCTCATCGGCATGGCGCCCGCGCTGCCGGGATTCATCAACGCTGTCAATCCATCGATCCACGTGCCCAAGGGCGCACAGGAGATCTTCTACCTCGCATACATCGAGGGATTTGCTCTGGCATTCGTCGTGCATTATGTCTTGAACCGGCTATTCCCGGTGCCAGGCCTTGGGGAGATCGACGCCGAGGATCTTTTCGCAACTTTTACGGTGGAGGAGGCAAGGAAGTTGGGTGTGATGCCTCATCCACGGGTGCTCGAAGGTGGAATATTAGAGATCCAGGATGGCGAGCGTGCGTCGTCAGAAGAGGCTGTAGAGTCAAAGGGAGTTGTGATTGGAGAGAAGATGGTCGGTTAAGTTCTGGCGCTTGACACCCAATAACTCGCGCCCCAGTTCCAAGGGCACCAACCCGGGCTTCAATGCCGCTTCACTCGCTGTAGTTTTGGTACCGCTGCCCCTGTCCTGTGCGCTGTTGTCTAGGCTAGGGATATTGGCTCAATAGACATCACAATTTCCCCCCTGCCAAACTCTCTTCTGTCTTGCTTAGGCCTGATTCACCCTCGGGGGGAGGTAGGACCACCTTCATGGCGTTGTTGAAAATCTCTTCACCCAGTGGTCGAATTATATCGGCATAGTTGAAACCCCGTAAGATAGAATAAACATCCTTCCATATTGACAATCCCATATCCCGGAGCTGGCGGGCTAGCTGCTTCTCAAACCATCGATCATCTGTTTCCTCATAGCTTTCCGAAGTACTGAATTTGACGTCTTTACAGTCCCTCAGGAATGTAGGGGACTCGTCCTTATGATTCCTGTTGAGGAGAGACTTATCTGGTGACGGCGCTGACTTGGATATTTTCTTCTTGGGGTTTCGCTTCAACCATTCGGCGTGCGCGCCGAGGAACAGGGCCCAGAGACGGGCATTTCGATATTTTGAAGAACCGCCGGGTTTGGCACCTCGTCCCAAGTCTTCAGCATTTTGCAGTGCTGACCGGAGATTCTTCAGTTGCGTCGGAACCATATCAAAAAGATCAACGCCACAGACCTCAACTTTGAAGCTTAAATGGTGCGTCCAGAGAAATTCTGCAAGAACCAGAAATTGTTGGGTATACCAGAACTCTAATTTCTCCGCAGAGTCTCCTCCTCCTTTCGACGATGGTGATGATGTGCTCTGTTCAGTCTCTTGGACAGCGCGAATATAGTGCTTGATCATCCTGCCCTGTTGAAGACAGGCGCTCGTGGCCAGCCACAGCATTATGAGAGGTGGCGCGGGTCGACCATTGAGTCCGTAAAGTAACCAGGTTTTCAGGGTGGTCCTTCGAGAGATGAAAAATGCCTTTATCTCTTCGCCTTCCAAACTCGGGTCGAGTGAATTTTCCGCATCGTCGCGAAGGTCTGTCCACAGTGGAACTTCTCGAAGCTGCTGTAGAGCAGCTTCCCAGAGGGGCTGCATCGTGGTGACTATCCAGCCATCAGGGCTCACGTCGAACGCGAGTGGGGTCATGAAGATCGAAGAGATCTGAACATCACTCCAGAGGGCATATTGAAGAAGCGTAAAGTTCACCGTCCGGTTCGCTCGTTGCTGTTCCTGAAACATACTCTGCAGCATCCTCGCATGTGCCGCCGCGGCGGACAGGTTTTTGTCGACAATTTCGGCTTTCTGCACCATGATGATCTGGAGCACGTTCGCGTCACTGCAGGTGTGACTCGCATTGTTTCGCAGTCTCGCCTGTAGTTCCTGGATACTTCGCAGGCGGCAACGTGTCGCCAGTGTCCGCAGATCAGGATTGAGCACAGCTGCCACTGTCGCAGAACGAGCAATAAAGGCATTTGCCAAGGCTGGCTCTTGAAGCGTAGAGATGCAGATGGACCAATCTAACCTCGCATTGGCAGAGCTGACCCATGCCGTGGAAGGAACGTGATACTGCGCGGGAAGAAGATAGTCTCGATAGAAAGCGATAAGCTCATTGACTCGTGGACTGATTTTGACCGGATAAGCATTGAAAGGATCCGAATTGCCCCCATGCAGTTTGATCGAAGAGGAGCTGAGACGAGTGCCGACTGTGGTTTCGGAGACTCCACCACCTCGTTGAGTTTTGCTGGCTTTTTTGGGCATTACTGGGACTACACGCCCTCGCACATTCCTGCTGCCATCGGACATGGGACATCTTTTGGAGCTAGGGATCGGGAGCTTCTGCTTGTTGGTGCCAGGGACGACAACGAGGTCTCGAAGCTGTCTGACGCTTTGCCTTCGGCGCCACACATGATAGTTCTGACGCACGTGGGAGAGGACTCGCGACTGGTCGTGAGAGGCGCCTGGGCTGCTTGAATCGTAGTTGACGAACAGAAACTTCTCCGCATAGGGCTGCAGGGGACGGCATCGAGGATGATGATCCGACATGGCTTGACGCACAGATGGATGATCTGTCTGCAGACGTAGCCGAGTCAGGGAGGCTTGTGAAGGCATCAGACGCGCAGCTCACAGATTTACGCACCACACGATCTCTGACGAGGCTTTCCCAGTTTAAATGTCGTACGGGGGGGGAGTCAGCGGTATTACCGGCCGCCGGATTCCGAGCATGTCAGATCTGCCCTATATCGAAGGGGTTCAAATACAATTGGCTTGTCCCCGCCCCAAGTACCGCTTCGCTGACAGGCTCACTAAGCTGCAATTCCGCCGTACGGTTCGCTAAAGTGCAATAGACCGAGCAGGAAAGGCGGCCCAAGGATACGGTCTTAGACGGGAGAGCCAAAATCACTCCAGTCCACTTCAGCTTTGTATTGATTTGGACTGGTCTTGTGCACAGTCCATATCAGGCTGTTTCCCCAGGAGGCAGGTAGACAATCAATCGCAGCAAATTCGACCTCGCTCCCCATACATGGCTGCAGTTGCTGGTGGTAACCAACTGATCCGGCCGCCATCCATGCTGCACGTCCTATGTGCAGCGGCATTTCACTCATGATCACGGTCACGGCCCGCGCCTTTTCATTTCAGCATGCATACCGTCCCATCCCGCCCTGAAGAGTGCACTTTGCTCTCGTCTGGATCCATGCTCGTCCCAAGTCCGGACCCTCCCCAACTCCCTTACGAGACGTGGCGATGCTGAACAACTCAAGACGTGGTGAAAACATGTGCCGCCCTTCTCCGTAGCATGTGTCAAGGGGAAAAGAAAAACCCAATGCCGTCCTGATTTAGTTTTGTGCAGCAGCTTGACCAGGCGGAACCTGCGTCTGGTCCTGTGGCTGTCCTTGTCCACCCCGACCCCGACCACCGCGGTAATTGTAGCCGCCATATCCACGGTTGGTATAGCCGCCTCGATATGACCCGCCGTATTGTCTTCCACGGCCATACGCGCCTCCTCTACCGCGCCCCCGATAACCTCCATCCACATTCCCCTGTCCAAACGTCTCGATATTCTTCTTGAACTCTTCACTGCGAACCTGTCTGGCATATGCGCGGCCGTCAGAGCCTTCTACTCGGTCCTTTGCTTCTGACGAAATATTGTCAAAGAATGAAGTAGACTTGTTGTAGGCAGGGCCAGCACTGGGGAGGCTGTCTTTTCTGGTTGGGGTCGGTTTCCGTGCTTCTCCGTCGTCTTCTTCCTGTGTCGGGTTCTCTTCAAGAGGTGATCCTGACGCGATCGCCTCTTTAATGAGGTCCTCCTTGTTGAATTTCGCATTGGCAGATTCAAAGTCAAAATCAGACTTGGGGATTTCCATCTTCTTCTGACCACCTCCGCGATGGAAGTTGCTACCTCGTCCACCTCTAAATCCTCCTCTCCCACCACGGGCTGTCCCGTTGCTTGTGGTTGGTGTAGACATTTCTGCCACCTTCTTCGTCAAAGCATCTACCGCCGCCGTGGAAGGGCCCTGTTTGGTCTGCGCCGCAGCTGCCTGGGGGTTCAATTTCGCCATGGCTGCGGCCACCGCTTCCTTGGCTTGGCGTGCTGCCTCATCCATGGCAGCTTGCGAGGGTACAGGCTTCTGAGGCTTTGCACCAGCACCATTCGTCGCTGAAGCATCCGCCGCTGCGGGAACGGGAGGTGTGAAGGATTTCTGGTTCACCGTGAGAGGGACTGCAGGAACAACACGATTGCTCTTCGGCCCAGTAGGAACGCCTTTGGGAGGCGCCACCACCGCTGCCGCCGCCGCCGCTGCCGCCGGCGCAGGAGCAGAGATGGGCGCAGGCTTAGCAGCGACCTGAGCATGGGACAGTTGTGACGAGAGAGATGCAGGGGGCTGTGCTTCTTTGGGAAGAGAAGGAGATACTGATTCTGGGACTTTGTTACTGCCCGGCAATTCAGATGTCAGGTTCGACGGAGGTGGTGCAATGGGCGCAGCGGAATCAGGAGGAGGTTGTGATTGCGGAGGAGGTTGTGGTGGTGGCATATTGCCACGTAGCCCAGGAGGGCCGATTGGAGCTTGAGGATGTTGTGGAAATGGATGAGGGCCAGGACCTGGTGGAAAGCCTGGACCGGCAGGGGGACCAAAATACCCAGGAGGCGGGGGCCCGTAAGGGGGAAATCCGGGACCAGGGCCGAAGGCACCTGGAGGCGGCGGACCATAACCTCTGCCGAATTGATTGGGAGGGTAGTAACCACCAAAAGGAGGGGGGTGCGGATAATCTGGGGGAGAAAATGGACCGTCGCGCGGGATTCCCGGAGGAAGACCTGGTCGCGATGCATTCTAGGTGTCGGGTCCGGTTAGTGGTACTCGAGCAATCATGTAGTGGGGTTGAGTTCAATAAAAGATAGTCAAGAAGATCAGAAGGAAGGCAACGGAAACATCCACATGGCTTTGCGCTTTCAGAACAGGTCTGTGAATTTACATCCGATATCTCATCATATAGAGACAGGTTTCAGGGCAAGGAAGCAGGGCATACGACATACCAGGATGGCAGGGTCATTTGGCATGCTCTGAGGCGGCGACGGTTGTGACGGCTCATCTTCAGCAATCTTGATATCCTTGACGTCGCTTCCGCGAAAGACAATGAAGCCATATTTCTGTTGCGAGGGAGGGATGAATTTGTCGACTTTGCGGTCCTCGGTACCGAAGGAGAAGACATTTTCCAAGGCAATGGTGGACTGTTCGGGATTTATCTCGTGGAGAGTACCGACATAGCTGCGCGTTCAAACGTGTTAGGATGGGTAGAAGGGAGCACAATGAGGCTCACGTACCGAATTTCACTTTTTGAGATGAGATTGAAACGCTGACCGATGAGATGATCCATGTCCATGATGACGCAAAGAGAGCACAATAAAGAAGACACTAATGTTACATAAAGAGGGAAGGAAATCCGAGAGTAGAGGGAGAGGGAAGGGCGGTGGCGGTGCGGCAGCGGATGTGTGAAGTTGTTTTGTTTGATGGAAGAAGCAGAAAAGACGAATTTGCCTGGACGAGCTGCGGAAGGTCAAGAGCCAGAGTGACAAACAAGCAAAACACGGCGAGTACCCGCGCGGTCGCTTGTGCGCAGACGTAATCTTGGCGTCTTGGCGGAATACGGCAGGGCTTTGGCCAGCTATATGCACTTTGCTCAATTTCGGCGTCACCAGCATCGCATTCCAGGGCAATGTTGTCTTCATCTGCCATCAACCACCATGACCAGCTTCAGCGTAGGGGACCAGGCTGGCAACTACTTTCAGACCGAGTGCGTGGCTACACCCACGTGGTGTCCGTTCCCTCACGAGTCTCGCTGATCATCTTCCAGTGCATCTTTGGCGGAACATGATCGGAAACGCCAGAAGGCAGCAAACACACAGGGGGATCCGGTCAAGTTCCCCACCAAACTGCTAGCTGTCGGTGTCAACTATTACTTTGACGCCAGTGGAGATGTTGTCTTTGTGGCCGAGGCAGGGGGCTCAGTCACGGGCCTGCGGTTATCAACAAACGAGGTTTCCACGACGTCCAGAGGCGCCCAGGCACCCCTAACGAGTCTTGCTTTTTCCACAGTGCAGCCGAACACCGGACCTACCACAATCACCCATATCGTCTTTGCCGGATGTTGGGACAAGTCCATATGGAGACATTCATTCCAGGGATCTACGATGTTCGATCAAGGCTCATTTCCTGCTCACCGAGACTTTGTGAAGTGCCTTTTAGTTGCCCGAACTCCCGACAAACAAGACATCTTGATTTCTGGTGGAGCTGACGGAGACGTACGCTTCTGGAGTCTAGATGGACAACCACTTGGCTCCGTCAAACCCAACGCCCGAGGTATCGAATGTCTTGTCTTAGACCCTCTTTCCTCACCTGATGCTCCTACTGTGATGTTTTCGACATCCAAGCAGGAGATCTTTTCCTTTTCTCTCCCCACACTACCAAACCTCGCTGCGCAGAAACTGCAGTTGTCATCCCCTATCATGGCGCATGCAACGAGTGTGTACAAGCTGCACTTCGACGAAGACGGAGATCTATGGACTTCCTCAGCTGACAAAACAGCCAAACACCTCTTGAGGGACGAGGGATGGAGGGTTGAGACCACACTGACGCACCCCGACTTTGTGCGAGACGTTGTAACGCACGATAAATATGGCTGGGTGGTAACAGCCTGCAGAGACGAGAATGTTCGTGTGTGGAACAGGGCAACCGGAGCCCTGCACCACGTTTTCACCGGGCACTACGAAGAGGTGACAGGATTGTCTCTGGTACAGGATCTGGTCATTAGTGTCAGCATTGACGCAACACTTCGAAGATGGAGTCTGACTCCAGCGGATCTGAACAAGGCGGTGGAGGAGGCCAAGAACCCCCGGCTTCTCGAACAGGAACCTGAACCCAATGCGGATCTAGGGATGTTGACGGAGGAGGAAGAAGCAGAACTCCGCGCACTGATGGAGTCAGAAGAGGAACAAACACTGGAGAAGATGGCCATGGACGAGCAATAAGACCTGCCCCCGCGTACCGAGTACATCACCCGCAGCCCCTTTGCCTCATCAGTCTATGGGCGATGCGGCGGCCCCCCCACGTGCACGTGCACGTGCCATCCACCTCCGACCCCAGATTAGCTAAGCACGCTGATAGAACTGATAGAACTGATATGGCCAAATACTCGACCGTGATTGGCTGCCCTGCCACCTCACCACCTGGTTTTTGCCTTTTTCCGTTTCTCGTGACTGATCCGACGGCCCTTTTGCCCCCTCACCAGAAATTTCTTCAGGCGGCCCTTCATCTCATCTCGTTATCAGCCTATCCATCTCACGGCGTGGAGAAGGTCTTCTGCCCTGTATTGCGATTAGTTCTACCGGCGCGAAATACACTCGGGCGGCGCTGATCGTGCCGGCGATTTCCGACCCAAACCGCAAAACTTTGTGCAAAGCCTTGTCCGCATCGACCCACGTGCCCTTTCTTGACATCAGACTTTTCTTTTTCCATGTTTTAACGAGTCTTACAAGACATCACTGGGGTACCCTCCGTGGACCAAGCTGGTCTCTCCCGCAACACACCCGTCGTCGCCAACACCTGCTGCTCAGTCAATCTGGCCAGTCGCGCCAGAACCATCCCCATGGTGAACGGCGAGCCTGAACTGAGGTTGCAAAATGCCTTGGAGAATAGCTCATCAGTCTACGTGAGTTCAGTCAGCATTGTCAAGCTTGGTTGACGCTGACTTGGAATAGCTCCGCGCGCACAAAGACAACCCTGTAGCTTGGCAAGAATGGTCGCCCAAGACTCTGGCCCTCGCAAAGCGCTACCAGCGACTTATATTTCTGAGTATTGGCTACAATGCGTGCCACTGTAAGAGATCCAGTTGGACTTGATGGGCTTGATTTGACTTGTGTTTTTTAAGGGTGCCATGTGATGGAACGGGAGTCGTTTAGCTCTCCAGAAGTGGCCGAAATTCTCAACAACTCCTTCATCCCGATCAAGCTGGATCGGGAATCCCGGCCTGATCTAGATGACATCTATATGAGCTACGTCACGGCGACGACAGGCTCTGGGGGCTGGCCGTTAAACGTGTTCCTCACTCCGGATCTCAAACCTGTCTTTGGCGGCACATACTGGCCCGGGCCCAGCCCGACCACGAATCTCAAGCCGGCCACTCCTCACGATGAGGCGCCCGTGACATTCATTGGGATTCTCAAGAAGATGAAAGATGTCTGGGCCACGCAGCGCGAGAGGTGTCTCCAATCGTCTTCGGAAATCACGGACCAGTTACTCGCGTTCGCGGGCGAGGGCATTTACTCACACTCGGACAGCCAAGCGAGAGAAGCTGAACCCAGTTCGTCCGATCCGCCCGAGCCACTCGACCTGGATCTGCTGGATGACGCCCTGAGCCACTTCATCTCGCGCTACGACTCGACGCACGGAGGATTCAGCCCGAGTCCTACGGCGCCCAAGTTCCCGACTCCGTCAAACCTCACCTTTCTTCTCCGGATAGGGGCAGCCATCGCTCTGCCTTCCACTCATACCCGCTTTGGCTTCTTCAGCCCTGTTCCTGGCATCCTGGGTCGAGATTCATGCCTCACAGCCGCAAGGATGTCTCTCCATACTCTCCTTGCCATGTCACGGTCCGGTCTGCGGGATCAATTGGGCTATGGGTTCCACCGGTACAGCGTCACCACCGACTGGAATCTCCCGCACTTTGAGAAGATGATGTGCGACAATGCGCAGCTCCTCGGCTGCTACTGCGACGCCTGGGCTTTGGGTAGGGACCCCGAGATCCTCGGCACGATCTACAACCTCGTCGAGTACTTTACGAACCCCGAGTCCCCAATCGTCCATCCCGAGGGTGGCTGGTACTCGAGCGAGGACGCAGACTCACGGACCACCCTGTCTAGCATGAGCAACGGAGCCATGTCGGACGACAAGAAAGAAGGCGCCTTCTATGTGTGGACCTACAAGGAGTTCCAGGCGATCCTCGGAGAGAGGGATGCCGCCATCCTGGCTCGGCATTTTGGCGTCAGACCGGACGGCAACGTGCCTGCCCAGCACGACATGCACGACGAGTTTCTGACTCAGAACGTGCTGCACATCCAAGCCACGCCGTCCATACTCGCCAAAGAATTCGGCATGCCGGAGGAGGAAATCGTGCGGATCGTCAAGTCCGGTCGCGCCATGCTGCGCGAGCACCGCAAGACGAAACGCGAAAAGCCCGAGGTGGACACCAAGATCATTGCGTCGTGGAACGGACTCGCCATCACCGCTCTTGCCCGCGCCGCGAACACTCTGGCGACAATCGACAAGCACCGTGCCACGAGATGCCAGGATGCCGCTGAAAGGGCTGCAGCATTCATCCGGAAGAACATGTATGACGAAACCACCGGACAGCTGGTGCGGGTCGCAGCAGACCGACCGACCTCGCAGCTCGATCATGATGCCGACACCACCAACACCGCCTTTGTCGATGACTACGCATACCTTGCCCTGGCGAATCTCGCCCTGTACGACCGGACCCTTTCTCAGCCGTACCTCGATTGGACTATTCGGCTTCAATCCTACTTGGACGAACACTTCATCGCCAGCACTACAGGAGGATACTTCCAGTGTCCCAGGCCGCGCGAGTCGTCGCCGACCGAACAAATCATCCGGCTCAAGCCCGGGACCGACAACGCGCTGCCCTCCCCGAACGGCGTCATCTGCACCAACCTGCTCTACCTCTCGTCGTACATCCAATCTCAACATCCATCCCAATCCGCGTCCGAGGCGGCCACCTACATGTCCCGCGCCCGCGCGGTCTTGGACGCGTTCGCGGTCGAAATCATCCAGCACCCGTTCCTCTACGTCACGCTCCTGGGCGCCACGGTCATGGAACAGGTCGGTGTGAAGACGATCATCGCGCCCATGACGGCCAAAGAAAGCGAGCTGAGACGGCTGAAGGGCTGGGGAAGGACTGTGGTCCGGGGGATCGTGTCGGAGGTGATGATCTGCACGAAGGACGGGGTGTGCCGGGCGTTGAAGAGGGAGGACCTGGAGGACGTAGATGACTTGGACGCCGAAGCGGAAGAGGAGAAGGGCCGAGCCCTGGGGAAGGTGGATAGCGTCGCTTCGGTCGGGGAATTGAGGAAGGCTGCTCCCGTTCCAGCTTCGGCGTGAGATGGGTGGTTTGGCCAGTGTTCCGTTTTGGAGGAAGGAGGGTTACAGGAGGTCCGCGCCCCCGGTACGGTCATCAGCGTTTTGAACTTTGACTATGCTTTTTATCCCTGTCGCTGGACTGTAGATGGACACGTCCAGTGCGGGGGTACAGCTCGTGTCTATGGGTCTGTATCTGGGAACCGAACCGTATGCTCGAGACGGCGTACGGGTGTACGTAGGGGGTGGAGCAAATATCATGCACCGCCGATTTATCTATAAGGTGGATTTTCTTCCTTCGAACCATACCATCTCATACCATCCCTCGCCGGTATCATATCACGTCTATCTATCGATACTACCACGACGGAGTGTGAATTATCAATATCATATACGTAAACCCCACTTGATGCGTCTCCATCGAGCGGAAATACTAAATCCTCCGAGGTTCGATGTTGGAGAAACTGCAACCACATTCAGTCTCTACTCCTACATCATCTAGAAGACTATAATCCGCCGACGACGACCAAAAAACCGTGACAGACTCGACACTGACAGGAAGTTCGTCTTCACTAGGTCGAGTCGTGCCTGGTCGAGCCCCCTCACCCCATCCCATCCCATCTCATCCCATCTCATCTCCTCTCCTCTACATACATTCCTCCTCCTCCACCCCCCGTCCTCACAATGTCCCACATCATCCTCATCACCGGTGCGTCGGGGTACTTAGGCGGCAGCCTGCTCGCGGGATGGTCGTCGGCCTCCCTGCCCCCGTACAAGCGGGTGCTAGCGCTGGTCCGCACGGACGAGCAAGCGGCGGCCGTGACACGGGAGTACGGCCGCGTGGCGGAGCCCATCCGCTTCGACACGCGGGACGAGGCGGCCGTGCGCAAGGCGGTGGTCGACAACAGCATCACGATCGTGTATTTTCTGATCGACGCCATGAAGGCCACGACGCAGGGATACTTCCTCCGCGCCCTGGCGGAGGTCAAGCGCACCACCGGGAGCGAGGTGCATTTCTTGCATGTACGTGCTGACGGAGAGATTGTGGCTGTGTGGTTTTCCTTCCTTCTGCTGAAAACAAGAACCACGTCACTTTGGGTCTTACGGGAGAGAATGCTGTGGCTGTTCTGCTTCTGGTCGCTCACTGACAGACACATGGTGTAACGAACAGACCAGCGGCGCAAAGATCTTCTCCAGCCATGCCGGGGCCCCGACGGATCGACCACTCCTGGACACGCAGGCGGACCTGTACGAGATCCAGAAGGGACAGAAAGCACCCATCCCGCTGATGCAGTCGGTAAGCAATAATATTTTCTCCTCCCCGAGACACGCGCAGACAGCCATTGGGAGTGTTAGAACGGCCAGTCTCCTATTGAAGGAGCTCAGGACGAACAGGAGAATAAAATTCCACAAAGACACCCACCCACCCTGACATGATATGTATCCGGGCTAACCATGGGAACACATGCATGATTCACGAGGCTCCAGGCCGTCGACACCAACAACCAAGTCATCGAAATGGCCGAGTCGCTCGGCGTGCACAGCTACATCTTTGTGCCTTGCATCGTGTGTACGTTACGTTTCTGAGCCCGGATGAGCCCAGAACCTCCACTCCAACGGCCTCTTTTCCGTCTTTCCCCTTTTCCAATCACACGGAGTTGATTGACCCATTGAATTGATCGATGTATGTGTGTGTATCTGTTTGGGAACTGACATGTCACATGTACCGTCACGGCAACACAGACGGCCGAGGCGAAGGATTCGGGAACCGCATCTCGATTCAGACGGTGGCCATCGTGCAGGCGGCACGGGCACTACGGCGAGTGTATAGCGTCGACGAGGGACGTCCAGTACGTTGGTTCCCCCGCTTCGTCTACGTTTCCATAAATTCATTCTCCTTCTTTCTCCCTTTCTAACCCATCCACTCCCTGACTCACTCACACACTAACTGACTGATCTCCGCCCCGCCCCAGTCCTGGCCCGTATGCCACGTGCGCGACAACACGACGCTCTACCTCGCGCTGCTGCGCGGTATTCTGAGTGGGGACGGCGAACGCAGACCCGGCAGCGGCAAGCACGGCTACTACCTCGCGTCCTCGGGCCACGTCGCGTGGGAAGACCTGTACGCGGCGATGGCCAAGGCGCTGGCTGCGCGCGGGGTGGTCGACCATGCCTATGCTTCTACTATTGAACAGGCCACGGAGGACACGCTCGAGGCCATGGGCAAGGCGCTGGGATGTCCCAAGGAGCTGGTCGCGATGCAGGTGGGCGGACGGTACGTGCGTGCTGCGAGGCTCGATCGGACATTGTGTTGTGTTGTGCCTTGTTCCCACCTTGTCTGGTCTTCATCCATCCAGCCATCTATCCATCCATCTCTTGCCCTTAGGTCCTCGTTCCTTCTCGAAGCCCTCCTCACCTCCTCAACATCTGACCTCCTATAAATTCTTCTTCCCAGTCCCAATCCGCTCTCTACCATCTGCACTCTATCACCTATATTACATCGATTGCCCTTTCCTACTCCTCCTCCACCCTCTCCTTCTTTCCTATCTCACCTCCGCTCGAGTCACTTACACATCCCTTCTCCGACACAGATGTACCTTCACCCCGCGCCACGGGGCGGAAGCTCTCGGCTGGAAAGCCCAGTACCCGGCGGACCACATTCTCGACACGGCAGGTGAAGAAGTCGATCTGATTCTCGAGACTTTGGGGAGTAGTTGAGGAACACGCGAATGTTGAAGGGGGAGCGCTGTGCTGTGGTGTGCTGTGCTCTGAGTCGACGCTTGCTCTTGCTCGGTTTGCACACCCTTGCGGATGTCAAGCTACAAAGGCTACATACATTCTAAGACTTCTGGGGGCCGGGCACGAAAGATAGAAACAACAAATAAAATGAAATAAAATAAATGCTGAGTGTTCAGAATTTCTAAAGATATCTAATTACAGTATGTATGTACGCATGTCTGTATGGAATTGATCGTGTGGGGTGGGCTGCTGCTGACTTCCGTACATATTCCACGGCTGGACGCACGGAGTTTGGCGGGCTCTCGGGTAGACAGGGACAAGGAACTTGATTCTCAACGACAGACTGAAGAGAGCAGACTTGATACATACTTGCCAGTGTTCCCAAATGCAAGGTCAGTCTTCCTCCACCCTTCCCTGACCATAGATATTTGCACGTTGCTTACCTTTTCTCCTGTATTGTCTTGAGTCCTGCTCCTTTGTTTGCCGTGTTCATGGCTCGTTGACCTACCTCAGTCCTCGTCGGCAGAGCTACTTAGAATCGTTAGTAGCATCGGGCGCCCTGACAATTAGTCTCAGACGCAATTTCTTCGCCGGTGGAGGCGGCGCTGCATCTCTATCGGTCGCCTTACCCTTGTTCGATTTCGCCTTGTCTTCTCCGTTATTGTCAGGCCCAGTCGCTTCTTGTTGTTTTGCTTCTTCTTCTTCTTCTTCTTCTTCTTCTTCTTCTTCTCCTTCTGCTTCCCGATTCCTCTTAGCCGCGGCTCTAGTTTGCCGCACCGAGGTTCCAGCGGGCGGTGAAGGTCTCGCCGCTTGACGACGGTTTCCTGTCGCACGGCGCTTTGAAGGGGGGCTCACGACCTCACTCGTGCTCTCATCCGCTTTGGCTTTCTGGTTCGTCATACCCCCCCTCTGGCCCTTTTTACCTTTAGTCTTGGCCTTGGCCTTGGGTGTGGGCTTTGCTTCGGTCTGTGCATCCTCCTGTCCCTTTTCCACGGCGGCAAGCACATCCTCCAACTTTCTTTTCGGCGGTCGAGGTTGATTGGGATCTGCGACAAATTTCTTCATGTCTTGTTTCGAGCCGGCGGCACTGGTCCAATAGTGTAATTTAGGGTCGAGCTCAGGTTGGCTTTCGTTCGTATATACGTCTGCCCTTGTCGGCGACGAGAGCAGGCTGGGCGGTTCTTGACGTATGACGCGATGTGGTTGACCCGAGCGAGTATGATGCAACATGTGGTCGGCAGGGTCAGCGATATAGTTGACGTCTCGACGCACGCACTCTCCTGTGCTGTCTGTTTCTATCGGACCAAGGCCTTCAGCGGCTAGGGCGGCATCTACTAGATGCCGCAGGGTTCTTTTGACCAAGCGCTCTCTGTCCTCCGCAGAGATCTCTTCAGCTTCTGGCTCTGGCGGAATGCCGTCTTCAACGCCTTCATGGCTTACCTGGGCATTCGTATTCTCACCTTGTTCCGTGGAAGGTAGAGGCTCGTCGTCCTCGTTGTCGTTAGGAATTCTCCCTTGAGGATGACTTACCGGATGCTCCTCTGTAGCATCGCCCACAAGTTGTCCTTGTGGTGGCTCGAAGGTTCCTGGGGCTCCATAACGAATATTCATCAGGATTTCAGCAGCCTCTAGTGTTCTGGGACTGTGGCAAGATGTATCATCCGCAACTGGGGTAAGCTGGCTGTCGGCTGCTCCACCGCCAGCTTTCCTTTCTTCCGAGGACGAAGGACTAGGCAGTCTCTGCTGCGCTGTTCCGCTTTCGCTTCCACCGGTTCTTCCTTCGCCAGGCGTCCTGTCCCCAAAACGCACACTCGTATTTGAAGGGGAGTGTATGATATCCTCTGTGCCAGAAATTTCATTTGGGGCAGGGGAAACAGAAGACCATCTACGAACTGACACATTGCCAGTCAGGGGATCTCCAATCTCGCGCATACTCTTAATCTGCCACATGCTTGGTGCAACCATTTTAGCCGGATTCAGTGACGACTCCATCTTTGAAAGCAATATGCGGTTGACGTTGGCAGCTGTAAGAGTTATAGATAAATCTCGGAGAATTAAGGGGTTCGTTTCGGGACCACTCGAGTGTTGACTTTGCTTAAAAATGATAAAAGGGTTGTTTTCAACTGTTCTCAATGGATATCCTTCGAGTTTTCTGATATGGAGAGAACTTCTGTCGGGATGCAGGCTCACAGGGACGAATGTACTTCAACAGTTGCTACCAGTAGGAGAGGGGGAGCCCTGGTATCTCTTTCTTTGACACAATGCCACACTGTGCCACATTGTTTCATAAACAACGAATAGAATTCCTAAAATAAATGATGTCTACTCAAATTAGCAGTGAGGCTTTTGCCTAAACCCTTGTCAGTCTTTGTCTTCAATGTTGGAAAATTCTTTGAAAGGCGACATATGCAACGCATGCTTCTTTAGCAACAAATCCTTTGTTTAGTATCAGTTGCACCCTGTTCAACCCGGCAGTGTTCATGGCGGCGCTGAATCTGGTGAAACATGAGAGGAGATCTGACCATTCATGTAGCGCGTCGTCCCTGGTCAACCGTCTTTCAAACAGGAATAAGGCTTCCTTAGTAGCATACAGCGTACAGGCCAGTAAAAGACGTCGTGGCGGCCTCATAACTTCTCTTGGCTGATTGTTGCGTTGCGTGTAAAGCGTGTAAAGAGCTTCTGTCGCGGGCGCGGAGCGAGTCCCCACACTGTCAGGGGTTTGGAAAAGGATGAGGTTGACCAGGTAAAGCCAGTCCCCCTATTCGGAACCAATTTAGCCCCCAGGTCGTAGCCAACTCCTCGAGACACGTCTCGATGTTATGTCGGATGTCGATAAGGCAGTCAGCTGGGTCGGTGATCACCGGTCTCATGTCTGGGCGGTAGACTTTGACCGAATAGAACTCGAGCAAACTTCGTACCCAGTCAGCTGTTTCCAGATATCAGGTAACAAGCTCTGGTCACAACACGAGATAAGCCACATACGGTGGAATCGAAGTTCCTTAAATCCCACCACCGTCTTCGGAAAGTGGCGATGGACCGCCCAAAGCTCGTCATCTCGGACATGCATCGTCGGGTCCTTGTCATCTTTTGTCGGTTTGGCCCCTTTCCGCTCCAACAGCCGTTTCCTTTGTGCTTCGACAATGGCTCTCGCCTCTGGGGTGGGCGCAGAAATGGGAGCAATGGCGTGATAAGGTCTCCAGATCAAACCATTCTTGATCCTCGCATCTTGGTTTTTGAGCCTGTCTTCGATGATGGACAGGCGGAAACCCAGCCCTAGTGTAGAGCGATTGCCTTCGCGCTGGATGAGCTCATTTTGGATGACTTGGAAGATGTTCAGGCCCAATTCAGCCGTCTCCATGTTTCAAAAGACCTGCACCAAGCAGAGCGCAATCACAACGTTTACAGGGTCGAGCAGAAGAGGAAGCCGTTAGCACGGAGATTTAAACGGTCGAAACGGTGGAAGCGCCGGATGAGATCGAGGCATCGCAGCATTGGCAGACGTCATGTACATGTAGCTTGGAGAAGAGCCCTCGCGATCCATGGCCCGTCCCCTTTCTTCTGTATTGGCATAGACGAAGGGCATATCTGACCCAGGTCTGCTCTACGCTGGCTGCAGGTCTATTTAATAAGGAAAGGGAATTCAGTCCGACGAGGAAGCTGATCATCATGGCTTGCCTTAGGCCTAGTGGCCTCGGATCAAGCACAAATAGGCGTGCTTTCCGAACGAGATACACACACCGGACGAAACCAACAGTAACCGGAATGACTAGTACTTTTGGATGTAGTCAAGAACAGGACCTTACATTGCTGCAAGTGTGGTACACACTGCACCGACAGTCGAGAAAATGGCATCCTCCTCATTTGACCATGGTAGTTGTTTCTCATTACTCTTTGGCCCTGAGATCTTCCGGAGTGTCTTCCTGGTTATCCCACCTCCCATTCTTGAACGCATCCAACTGCTTGATCTCTTCCCAGACCCTCCACATACGCGGAAATTGGCCTTGGACGTCCACACCAAATCTGAGAGCACCATCTATTGCTGGAGCAAGGGAGCAGTCTGCCATAGTCACTGTATCACCAACACTGTACTTGCCGCCATAGGCCTTCACCAGTTCCTCATATGCTCGGAGCCCCATGGCCATGAAGTGCTGCTGCCACTGCTTGGCCTCGATGTTGAGAGGTTTGATGAAATTCAACACACGTAAATTCGTGACGGGTTGAATATCGCAAGCCACAATATTCACCAGCTCCCTGACCCTGGCTCTTGCCACTCCATCATCTGGGCCGGGAAGCAGCTTGACCTCATTTCGCTGTTCAACCTCCTCGAAGAATTCCAAGATGGCTACCGACTGTCTGATCCGGGTGACTTCGTTGCCCGTTTCTATGTCGTTCACGATCAGAGTAGGCACAGACTCACTTGGGTTCAAGGCAACATAGTCTTTGCCATGCTGCTCGCCTTTGACCAAGTGGATATATTTGTACTCGAGTGGAATGCTCTTTAGATTGGCTGCGATGCGAATCCGGGCCGAGCAGGAGCTGCGGAAGTAACTGTACAAAATATACTTGTACTTCGGCTTCTCGGACATCTTGACCAGAGCGACCGGGCTCGCGCTGAAGGGGTCGTGGGGCAAGTTTGAGCTTGATACTGCAGCTCCGTTTCCTTCCTTCCTGCTTCCCTTTGGTCCCCGAGCAGTTCAGGCGGACGGGCGAATAGTGGAATCTGGGGGTGGAGCTTGCTTAAGCGAGACGAGAGGCGGAGGATGTAAGATGCAGGATTAGAATGGGCCGTTCCTTCTGGCCCCTGTTTCTGTTGTTGCTCCGTACAGCGGTGGTAGTTCGGCCAACTCAAGTCCCAAGCCTCGTCCAGGCTGCTAAACGTTTTGCCGGCCGGTGAAGGCGTAAGGGACCACAAATCAAGTAGCTGGCCAAGGTGGTGGACGACAACTGTTGCCCCTTTTCAGGAAGCCGGGGACAACGCCAATATCCAACTTCACGAAATTCTCTCTCTCCTGCTGACCTTTTCCGAGCTCTTTATAAGACAAGCGCGGAAACCCCGCAAATCAGGAGCGGAGCTCATTCCGAAGATGCATGAGGATCGCCCCCGCCTAGGGTGAGAGGGATGAACATGAAGGGCCGAGCGATGGCCGGAGGATGCGAGCAGATTCCACCTGCTGGAAGGAGTGGGCTGGACTGTACTGTTGTCGCTGGCGGAGGGACGATTGCAAAAGTGACTTGAGCATAATGAGGCGCGAGGTATTATGGGCGAGGCGGAAATGATGAGGTGGGAAAACTTCGGTCTGTCCAAATACATACTTCAATATTGATGTCGATGTTTGCGGGGGAGGGGTTAGTGAGGTCAAGGAAACTTTTTGTTGGAGACCGCATCCGCTACGCTCAGATCTTACACCTGAGATCCTCCTTCATGCGTTGTGGCTGCAGCAAGTCCACCACGATCCCGACCGACCATTCTCGCATTCCACCAACATGGCAACTCGCGCTATCCGTATTGGCTTCGTGCCCGAGCACTACCTCCTCCCGCTGCACTTCAGCAGCAAGAACAACCTCTTCCCCTCGTCCCTCCAGATCCACCTCGTGCCGTTCCCCTCGGGCACCGGCCACATGATAACTTCCCTTCGCTCCAAGGAGATCGACCTCGCAATTGGTCTCACGGAAGGCTGGGTCGCTGGGCTCCTGAATCCTTCTGTTCAAGGCCAATCGTTGCAAGAGAAAGGGTATTCTATTGTCGGGTCATGGGTGTCTACTCCCCTTCGATGGGCCATCGTCACAGGGAGAAACCGAGACGATATCTCGTCGGTGGATGATCTGAAGCAACATCGCCGAGTTGCCGTGAGTAGAATGGGCAGTGGGAGTCACATCATGGCCTTTGTGCTGGCGCAGCAGGAAGGATGGCTTCATCACACCAAGGATCAAAAGTCCGAGGGCCTGACACTGGTGCCGCTGGGACCTTTTAAGGATCTCCGTGACGGAGTGACTGGGAACACTGCCGACTTCTTCATGTGGGAGCATTTCACTACGAAACCCTATTTCCACGGGGACGGTACGCCCTTGAAGAAGATTGGGGAGATCTACACACCCTGGCCTAGCTGGCATATTGCCGCTTCCACTGACGCATTTCCGGACCCGCCTTCCGATGAGACTCTGAAGCAGGTGTTCGATGCACTGGACAAGGGCATCAAAATGTTCAACGAGGATCCTAGTGCGGGGATCAAGATGCTCGGGACGGGCGAGGCTGGTTGTCATTATTCTGAGGAGGACGGTAGGGAATGGCTGAAGGACGTGAAGTTTGTGGAGTGGACGAGAGGAGTGGACGCAGGTGTGATGGGAGGAGTAGTAGATGTCCTCAAGACGGCCAATGTCATCAACCCTAGTGTAGAAATTCGAGAGGGGGACGGAGTCATAGGAATTGCGAGGTAGGGGGGGAAGGCATGACAAGACCGGTATAGACCTGGTAGGGTATGTCCAAGGACCAAAAGCATTGATATGGACAATTCAAAAGAGATGGGCAATTGCGAGGTGTGCCGTATAGCAGTGGTTCCAGGAGGCAGTCCGGGGTAGACTCAAGGCTGGCTAGAGCCACTCTTCCACTTGTGCTCTGTATTGAAACAAACTGCAGCAGGTCGATGACGGAGCCTACTAGACCATCTTGGCCTGTCCGACTTCATCCGACCGACAGCCAACAGGCTTACACCAACCGGCCCTGTTGGAAAGCAATCTATTTTCCTGCGGATTTAGGTGATCCCTTCCGTTTGAGTGTGGTATGTCCGCTCGACCATTCCCTTTTGAGAGTGAGCTGTCACGGTGCACCAAGACCCAAGTGGTCTGTGAAGATGACGGCGCATTTCTTTCATTTTTGACACCGATGGCAGGCTGGAAGAAAGAAACTCCAGATGGAGGCGGGTTGCGTGGATGGGGGGGAAGAGTGTTACTCAGGTCTACGTCATGGCTGGGATTATCTGGTCTGACCGCTCACCCGCAACATGCTTCCACCATAACATCTTGTCAGACAGGAGACCTTTGCGCCGCTCTCACCAGCTCTCCCGCAGTAGGCCGCCCAGGTTCCATTGCGGGATTTTTCAGGCTAGTAGGCGTCATCTACGGGCTAGTTGGCTGAATGCTTAACTGGCCAGATACTTGGGGGGTTCAAGCGTAGTCCCTGGGGGCTCACTAGGCGCACCACGCCCCATGAATGGGCGACGTTGGTTTCTTTATAGGGGCCACTGTATACTTGGGTCGGTGAGTCAAAGAGATGCTGTTCCCACCCATTTCCTCTTCTCGCTCCCCAGCTCTTACTTACTCACTCTGACTGACTTTTTATCTCTGATTTTATTTTTCTTTTCTTTTTCTTCGCCCTAATAAAAGTGAAGCACCAGCACACCATGACACGCGAGGACCCAATCTGCCACTCCTGCTTATCCCCCCCAGTTTCCTCCCAACTTCTGGCCTTCCATAAGTCTCCCTCTTGATGATCTTGGTGCTCTGATTCGTCTTCTGTCCTCCCTCTCGACAGCTTGGTGCTTGGCTACTGGCCTCCCGCTTTGTCGCCCGCTCTCTCTTCCTCTGTCGCTTGCGCAGACTCCCTCTCCCCCCATCCTTTCAGCTCTCCGCCGTCCTCTGATCCTCAATCTCGCTATCTCAATCTTCGACCCTAAACTCCTCCACCATCGACAACCACGTTCACGCTTTTTCTTCCAACCTCGTCCCTCCCGCCTATCGCCTATCGCCGTTCGCGCCCCAGTTCTTCGCTGTCACTCCTGCTTCTTTCTGGTCGCTGGCCGCCTCCACCTCCTCCTGCCACCCCTCCGCCCGACAAACACAATACACCACACACCGCATATCCGGCTGCTCTCATATGCCCGCACTTACCGCAACCCTCGCTTCAGAACTTACTGATCTCATCCTGGACATCCTTTAGTCTCCAATCAACCACCCAGACCGAGTCCTTCTGTTGAATCAATTTGTCGCGCCCACCATGTCGGCGCACGCCCCCATCTCCCAATAGAGCATCATTATCGGTCAGCTTCAATCTCGGTGTCTCTTGTCATCGTCGACCGAAAATGACTCCGAGATCTACTATCAGCAACAACCCATCTCCGAGTGTCGGGCAGCCTACGCCTCCAGCGGTGCCATCGTCGACCTCGGGGACCGCCGGTACCAATGAATCCGACAGCGATAATCACCCGGAAGAGCGGCCGACTCACACATCAGAGATTGGCACGCTCAAAAAGCTCCCTAACCATGGCACTGCGTGGCTAGGCAGTTCCTCCGGCGTCTACTTTGTCAACACCGTGCGACGAGCCTTTTCCGCGGCCTTCGCCTCTTCGAATGTTGGTAGCGCAAATACAGTTCCCGCCAGCGAGGATATTCTCACCGGCGAGGACGCCGAGGGTCGCTCCTATAACGGCCCCCTGTATGGGGGACCCAGCACATCGGATCAGTTTCCCCAGACTCTTGCCTCGGCGTTGGGTAAGCCTCCCGCGAAGAAGATTGCTGTCGAATTGGTCACCTCTTTCTTTACGGTGTGGCACCCACTCTTCCCTTTCCTGCATGGACCGAGTTTTATCAAGGACATGGAGACAATATACGCCTCTCAGCGCCGACCTTCAAGACCGACCAAGGACAGCCCCGTGCCGAACGACCTACGGAAACTGCTGACCTTTCAGCTGATCATCAACATCGCATCTCTGGACCGGAGCGATATTCATCTTCCCATGGAATCACGGGTGAAATCGACCGCCGACGTATGTCGAGTGGCTGGATGCCTAGCGATGGACCACGATCTCGCCACCATCCAAGCGATCCTTGCGGCCGAACTCTACCTCACCGCCACTCTGGCTATTCGCCAAGCCAGCACTGTTGCAGGAATTATCATCAAATTGATCTACCATGCCGGTCTCCACCGATGTCCCCTGCGTTATGCTCAATTTTCTCTCGAAGAGTGCGAGATCCGCAAACGGATATTTTGGTCGGCATATGCGCTGGATCGACATTGTAATTTGAGTCTTGGCGATCCGAATGTGATTCAAGACGACGACATTGACGTGTGCTTGTCCGGACCGGAACTTCACAAGGCTCTCGCACGAGACCTGATGCCTAACCCCGAAGGCGACATGAACATACATATGCCCCCTCCAAGGGCGTTTCCTGAGGATCCACGCCTGGCGCAATCCGACAATGACGGTCCTGAAGCTCAAGAAAAACGACTGAGAGAGGCCGCCTTGACGGCGTATGTGCAATGGGGCAAGTTGACTGGACAAATCATTGAAGTCTTTCACAAAAGCATCAACCACCGCTTTCCGAAGCATGAACAAATTCTGCGTCTTACCAGTGACATCGAGACGTGGTGGAATGATCTTCCAGGGTTTCTGAGTGGCGAGGTCGAGGCTGGTCACGAGAGGAGCCACCGTGAACCCAGCGACATCACGAATCCCACATCTTCCGCGACGAACGGACATAATGCAGCAGCAGGCAACAGCTCTGATCCATCTCATCTTGCTCCCCCACAACAACACCTCGCCAGCTTTTTCAAGATCTTGTACCACCGACTGCTCCTTCTGGTGAATCGCCCTCGCCTGTCCCTGGACCAGTCAACCCCTGAATTCCAGCACGGATTGCAAGTGTGCATACGAGCATCGCGCGGAATTGTAGCCGGTCTCAGAGCGCACAAGAAACATGGTCAATCTATGTTTCTTCCTGGTCTCCTGTCTGCGGCGTGGATGTCTGGCCTGATCATCGCGTTTGCCTGCCAGTTGGGCAAGTACGCCAAAGCACGAGCACTCAGCGACATGCAAGCGTGCTTGCACCTCCTGGAAAGTATGAATATCAGATGGTATACGGTGCAAAATTGTCACAAAGTTCTGAGCCTGCTCCTCATCAACATTCAGTCACGGAAGGCCTCCGTCAATGGTTTCCTGACCGTTCCTAAGCCGGATCAATCGCCGCAGAGCCTGCCAGCCGAGTTCGAGCAGCCATCTCGAAAGAGACAGCGGGCCACCAGTGGCAACGAAGATGCCAGTCCTCGGAAATCGTCCGTCGCGGAATCCACCACCAGTTCGCCTACCCAGGGACAAATCGCGACGGCGGCTGGGAACAACTCTCACTCGCGACTGAAACCTCAGGCTTCTACTCCCAATAGCACGCAGACGTGGACACCTTCGACCACATTCGACCCCACTAATCCCTCGGCGCTCACTAACCCATCTGGCGCGCTCTCTGCGTTTGACTTCTCGAACTGGGACCGTGGTCAGCCGACCACCCAACCTCAGTTCAACCCGGGCATCGGCAGCGCTGTATACGCCACTCCGCAGGATCTGGCGTTTGCGCAATCAACCATGAACATGAACCTCCCTGGTCAATCGGCGTCAGGGGCCATAGGAGGCGATGGCAGCAACACGAATCTGGCAGAGTACTCAGACCCCATGTTCTGGGGCAATATGGATTATAACGTCGCGGACATCTTTGGTTCTGCAACTTGGGAGAACATGACGGGGCCTTTTGCGCCGAACGGGGGCGTCAACAGCGGATGGGACATGTAAACACCAGACACTGTGAACGATGAGGAAATGTTTGGATAGATCTGCTTCGATTAGGACATGTAACGACAGACCCCAGGGACGTTATGCAAAAGCTCGGCGGCAAGGAAAGGGAATTGTGACGGACATATTTGACCAAGCTCCCGGAGGACATGATGGAATCGGACGGAAGGGAGCGCTCTATACGCCATACGCCGCCGCCGCTTGTGGTCTTTGTTCTGTTTTGCAATCTGGATGGACATATATTGAATCCCTGGGCGAATCAGTGGAGCTTGGCGTTGGCTGGAGGCACAGCGAGGACTCGAAATCCGAGTGTGCTGGCGTGCTGTGCTACAGCGGGGGACTGTATGATACTTTGAGGATGTTGCGATACCTTGGTCCACGGCGACCTTCTGATATCTCGAATTGATTCGGTGGCCGCAATCCTGTGCCGACAAACTGTCAATGTGTCTGTCTGATTGGGCAACGTCTGGCCTTGTTAGACAGCCTATATGGCGCGGGCACCCAGCTTTTCATGATACTAGTGTAATTGTCACACTGCCACCGAAGGGGGTAAGTCTCCCCATTAGTATGTGCTGCGGGCGAGTGGGTGAGATTCGAAGGGCTTCTTCAGGAGATAGATGGATGGACGTTCTTCCCTCGACTGCACGTGCCAGGTGACCTACAGTGTCTTCCATACCCATCCAGCAATTCGACGCTCCATCCGTGGTTGATACAGACAGTACTTGCCGTGAATCCGATACCGGAGCCAAACAATCCTCAACGAGTTGAGCTGCCTTCCATTCTATCCGACAATCGACCTCCACGTGTGCAAAGAACGGTCAGGGAGGTGGCGAGGTGGGCAGGTAGGTGATCAAGAGGGAACCTCTCAGTAGTTCGATTCAGTCCAGTCCAGTGCCATCCAGTCCAGTTTCACCCAGAGAGTCAGTCTCCTTCATTATCAATTATGTCGCATTGTCTAATGGCCTGACCGTCGAATAGTCTAATTCTCCTGATCCCTCAAATGTTCTAGCTAGGTATGTATGTAGCGAATTAGCTAGCCCAACCCCGGTCTAAAATTACATAGCCTCCTGCACGAGCAGGGATGAGATTTATCCCTTTCGGGCGAAATTTCTCTGCTTTGGGCAACGAGCCGGCCCCGGCTCAGCGTCGAGCACTAAATAATGTGGCCACATGGACGCACTACGCAGGTGGCGCCATTATGTAAGGGGGAAAGGCCCCGGCTTGCTGACTAGGAAAAACTACGTATCGCCCTAGGGAAAAGCAGACCCTGCATTGGGGGGGTGAGTGAATGAGTGAGTAAGTGAGTAGGTAAGAAAGGGCACAGCGGGGCGAGGGATCTGGAAGCGTAAGGGCGGCGTGAGATTTCGGGGAAGTCGTGTTCCCGCCAGGGGGGAAGATCGCCGAAGTGATGGTGATGGTGGTGGTGGTGGTGGTGGTGGTGGCGGTGGATGGGATCGCCTGTCTGTTTAGTTTACGTGGCTCTCCCGTGCGTGCCCTTTCGACCTGTTCGGGTAAGTCTCTATACCTCCCCCTGGGTAGAAGGGCAAGCAAGGAACCCGAGATCGAATGCCAGGCTTCCGAAGAGGCAACAACCAATAACAGATGGTAGGAAGTAGGTAGGGGAAGAGGGAGGGCAGGGAAAGTCCCCCTCGCGATTGGGTCTTCTCATTTTCTCCTTTTCCTCGGTCTCCTCGGGTCCGGTGACCAATGCCGGCGTATAGAAAAGATAGTGATTGGTCTCATTCATGATGGCGAGGATCGGTGGAGACAAGGGACCGAGAACAAGAACAGCTGAGAGGCTGGAGAGGAGAAGGAGGAGAAGGAAAGGAGAGGCAAGACGTGCGAAGAAGGACAAGCGGGGATGAAGCAGGATGAGCCACTGAAGCGACATAAGCAGAGAAGAGATGAGAAGAGGTGAGGTGAGGTGAGGTGCCATATAGTATGGAGTGAGGGAGCATTCACGAATCGATTGAGTGCAGTGACCGACCAACCGACTGACTGATAGACTGGTTTTCCCCTTTCTTGGTCCTACCATACTTGGCACCTCCTTTCGAGTATTATTCCTGGGTATATGCATCCATATACGCATCACTGATCAGGGCAGGCTGTAATATCTATAGCTTTCGAAGGAGGATGGATATTGCACGGACGGAGATCTAGACACGCATACAGAGTTGACGCACATGAGAGATGACAGGCCCTCTGAGGACTCACTCTTTCTTTCTTTCTTTCTTTCTCTCCTCACTTCCGTCCGTACCGATCTTGCCATTCCCTTTGCCTCCTTACCTTGCTTTGCTGTGCTGTGCATGGCCGTGCCACACGAGGAACTTGTGCAGAAGAGCAGCCACTGCCTTCCCAGCGGGACTTTCTTTTTCTTGTCGGTGAAGGCAGACCAGGCAGAGCTATCTGAGCATACGTACCTGGCCAGCAATCAATCATGGGCATATAGTATATGCAAAGTAGAGCAAAAGAGGATATATACATGTTCCAAGATACCCCTACAAAGGGCAACGACGGCGATGTCTCACTATGTAGCTAACCGCAGGAGAATTCAACAAAAGAAAAGAAAGGCGATGGAAAGAGTATCCAGAACTATACATAAGAGACAGACACACACGTGCCGAGGGCCCAACACCCCGTAAGCCCAGGATGCGGAGGTCATATACTGTATGGGTCTCGTCCTGAAAAGAATAGAATATACCTCGTATTCAGTACGCTGTCCTGTGCTGTGCTGTCCTTTCCGTTGCTTTGCTGTGATCTGCACGGAGCAGTCTACAACCGCATACTACTTTCAGGTAGTCTGCATCTGATACATGGTCTGATAGTGTAATCAATTCCCACAAGCCGGTAGATACCCGACCCTCAAACGCCCCCTCTGCACCGGAGCTATGGTCGATCGACCGAATACGCGCGTGATCCGTTCCCATTCCTTAGGTGGGTCGGACCGACATGGCGAAACATCACCCATAAGCTCCCCAGCCACACAGCTACCGGCTAGTACTCTGGCATAATAACGAAGACGACGATGATGATGATGATGTGATCAAACGACCCCGGGGGTTGGGGGCCGCACACAACACCAACAACGTCCGCGCAGCATGTCTGCAGCCTTGCCGCAGTTTCGGATAGCCCCAGCTCCACCTACGTACAGTCCCATTCTCCTAGATCTCCCTTTCTTGTCGGTGCTCGACAGGCTGAGTAAAGTTCAGCAGGCAGTCGTGCCGTGGAAGCCAATCTAAGCCACTAAAGAAGGTCAGAACTGTAAACGCCATACGAAAGAGAGAGAGAGAGAGAGAGACGGATGCGTCGGTAGGCAAAGTTACCTTTGTATGGTCCGTATGACACGATCTCATTTCATCCCCTTTTTGGTTTCCCCTGGTACATGCAATCCCCTAGACAAACGAAGACGAGACCAGGACCGAGCGACAGTGGCTCCGTTCCAATCTTACAGCGCACCCGGCCCTGTCCCCGTCCCGTTGCCGAGCGCCTGATGCAGGAGTGACTCGAAATAGGCCTCGTCGATGACGGCGCCAAATCTGCTAGGATCGAAATGACACGAAACGAATTAACCATCAAGAGCTTCAACAGATGTAGTCAAGTCAAGTCATTATTCCGGTTTCTCCTCCTTGGCATTCCACCCCTCCCGGAACAAACAAACAGACCGCACGCAGATTCCTTACACCGTCCATATTTTGGTTTTTTAGGTGTAGCCGACCGCGAATGGTTGGGTTAAAAAGAGGGTTGTGAATAGACAAAGTGGCTCACCCGTAACAATGCACCTCAGGCAACAAGGTCGCTTTTAGCGCTTCCAGCCCATCTCTCGTTAAATCTCCAAAGTTGGGATGCTGGCGGACCCTCTGCCACGCTTCTACGGGCGTGATCTCACCATCCAGAGACAGTTTATCAGAGAAATCAAGTAGTTTTTCCAATTCCATCGCGGGAACGTTCCACCTTGTTCCCGTCGGTAGCCCAGACTCCGTGGTTGCCGTCGTTGGCCCAGATGGGTGTGCTGAACTGGCAGTTTGTGCAGGCCGGGCAGGTTGGGAGCGAGCGGGGGAATGCCACATGATCGGAGACATGAGCATCATTTCGTGACCTGAGCCGTCGTCTGTGGTGGCGTGTGCAGCGTGGTGTTCCAAACAGACGTGTTCCAGCGCAAGCACGAAATCGACTCCCACCTGCGTGGCGCCGAGGCCTTGTGGGTGATGCATCGAGGTCGAAATTGGGGGCACGGGGGGAGCAGTGCTGGCAGTTTGTGAGTAGATGCTGGGGGCGTGGAGACTAGTGGGAGCCTCGCTGATGGTCAATCCAGAAAACAGATCGCTAGAAGAAGTGGTAGAGCCAGAATGCAGGGTATCATAGGGGAGGTCGGAGGAAGTTAATATATTTTGTGCCCCGGGGGCGAAACCCAAAAATCCCGAGTCGGTTTCAGGTGGCATCTGGGCACGAATCTGTTGTGTCCGAGAATCCGGAAAGCCGAGCAACTCGATGGTGGCCTGTGGGCTTTGGATATGGGGATCTGATGCCAAATCCAACGGCAACGGAATCTTGTGATACCTGATCAGTTCTTTGAGACGGCGGATGGTGTTGCGGCACGCTTGGATTTGGGCATCCTGCGCGGAATCGCGAGCTCGAAGTTTGGCTACTTCCGCTTCCAATGTCTTGACATATGTGGCTTTTCGATCTCGATGCGTCCTATTTCAGGTGACGTGATCGGGTATGGTTAGCTAAACTAGACATATTATGTTGGATCCGGGGTAGGTAGTGGTCGTATGGCTGTCGCCTCTGGCCAGTATTGATGGTGGATGATAATCAAATGGTACCTCACCTTTGAGCACGCCTAACTTGTTCACGTCGCCTGGCTTTGGCATCTGTCTCGGTATCGCCACTGTCGGATGGTTTCGTCTGCTCCGATGTTTTAAATTCTAGGACAAAGTACAAGAGGTTAGTTATCATTGGTGGGCGTGGTAGCTAGGGGAAGGAGTCTGGTGCTGTGTAAGGGAAGCCAATAGTTGAAAACCTCGTCTGATCATCGATCGAATGAACTTCTATCAAGTTCATTCGTTATTGAAGTCTCCGGTTCCCCAATTGGTGGACTTGTCTCGGAAGAATGAAGGTACTCACGGGAAGAGCGCCTAAGCTTCGACAGCCAGGTCGGCGACGGCGACGAAGATTTGTCTGACATGTTGCAGATTTCAAGAGGGGTAATCAAACGAGAGCTGATACGAGTCTTAGATGGTGCCGCACCACCGCTCCCAAGGTCTCAATTCACCCGATTGCGACAAATCAGAAGTGCGGAGTGTCTGGCACGATCAAGCGAGATTCCACAACTCTGAGAGCCGGCAGCAGAGCGAGATTCGGTATGCTTGTCTCGCCTCAAGACGTATGTTCGAAAGGGACAGGTGGTGTCACAATATGTCTGGACTGGATAATTAGACTCGACCTGATTATGGCATCACGCGGGCTCGGGTCCGCGAAGGGCTAGGCTTACAGCTGTCAATGTGTCCAATGTAATCGGAGGCCAAGCATGGTTTTCTGTGGTCAGGGTCGAATTCACTTCTTTGTGCAAAAAGAGAGGGAGATTGTGTTTTTGAAAGGAGTATCGACATAGACTATCGGCTCTTTATAGAGCAAAACCAGAGTTTACTGGCACGTCAGGCCCTCCGCTTCTCCCTTTGGTTTCTGGCACACAGACAGCTTGGGAATTCCAAGAGATGATTGGCCGGGCTATAGGCGAGGGTGCTGAAATTGGGAAGGCTTGATGTTGAGTCAGGATTGCATGGGGCTGTCAGCACCAAGTTGTTTTGCAGCCCTATAAGACTCGGAGAAACAGCTAAGGGTGTTGCTGCTTTATCGGATGGCTTTCGACGGACAATTCGCCTTTTGGTCGGTGATGCAACTAGGGCCGCATCTCCGGCCTGGCTCGGTTCTTGTTAAGCAGCTTAGAAGAGTTCCTCCTATTTGTCACTAATACGCCTCGCGTCTGCCACTAGACGAACGAGCGGAGAAGCAGTAGCAGATAGACTACTAGCGCCGCGAAGCCCAGGTGGTACAAGAACACGGATAGTTTGAGCAGGGGCATCTTGCGCTGCATTTCTTGTTCCGTCATCGGCTTAGATAAATAGTTGATTCGGTACGTGCCTAGCTGGACCTCGAAGATTGGATAGCGCAGTCGCTCTGGTCGGTAGACACTTCCGCTATCGTCTCTGTCTGGGGACTCTCCAATAGAGGTGTGGGTCGGTCGGTCAAGAGTCTGGGTTTCCGCCACTTCTTCCGCGGCGCAGGTACTTCTCGCGAGGGTCGGCTGATCGGTTGCGGCCGTGCTGTGGCTAGTCCGACAAGACTGCGCGTCACGAGGCTGTGGGACCCCTGTTGCGTTTTGGTTAGCTTGTCTCATTTCACCAGCAGTTTCCCAAAAAGCTGAAGGCAATGAACCCACGGCAAAGTCGAGGCATGGTGGATGGCACAGAGAGCCACTGTGCTAGAGCACCTGGATGACTCGAGCCAACCAAGTCAGGCAGTTGAATAATCCGCGAAGGTGCCGGGGGGGTGATAGTGGTGTAGACCCACAGTAGCGGCCGCTCGGCGAGGTCGGCGAGATGTGCAGCGACGAGCGAGCACCAATGACGGTGGGGAGTTCTGTGAACACAGGTATATACAAGAGAAAATCAAACTGGGAGAACAGTGTGAGCTCGTATTTGTTTGATCTGCGTCGCGTCACGTCGCGTCCGGTACTGTCTGAAGGGAAGTGAATATTGACTGTGCACATGCCTAGTGATGAGGCTGTCCCGGAATGAAGTGCCAGCTCGTGTCAGATTCGTTTTCCCACGATTGAGGAGGATCATCTTCTGTGGTCCATCGTGGCAGGGGACATTCTCCTCTGCCATTGAGGAACGCGTCTATCTTGGACCGCATGCCGGTATGGGCGTACGGGCCCTCGTACGAGGTGGCAGCAAAGCAACTTGTGAAATCTTCTTCACTGTGAGAATGCCATTCACCGCAGTCCGCCTGATCCATTGTTAGCGTGAAGAGGTGGTGTTCAAGGACAAAGGCAGTCGGCACAAAACACCTTCGAGTCTGTGCCAGGTTCGAGGTCACTTACATCCACGTACCAGGTCCCAAGCAACTCAACCCTCCGAAGGCGTTTCCTGCGAAGATGCTCAAGCACATCTATCAATGAGCCGGTCTCAAGCCGACAGTTCTTCATCACCACTGAATTGAGATTTTTACCCTCACCCAGGAGAGCCGCCAAGTCTTCCCAAGTACATCTGAAAAGACAGAGTGAAAGAGACTTGAGATGCGGTAGCCACAGCCGGGGGAAACGGTCGATGTTCGTCCTATCGAAAAAATCAAATGAGTACTCAGACTCTTGTCCTGGGGGGAATTCTAGGGCCAAGTGCTCCAGCTCGGAGGTATGATTCAACAACATCCTGAGCCTTGTTGCCGCCAGATTTCTCCCGGCGAAGTAGATTTCCCCAGTTCCACTTCGAGAAAGCCAGTCACTGTGAGGGAAAGTGCTGATTTTCATGGTAAGGGCCTTCAGCCCCTGGAAGGTCTCCTCCAATACTTGAGAGCCATGAATAGTACCGACGGCGAGAAGTTGCTGTGGGATATCGATGGCCGTGAGGTTAGCTACTTCACAGCCCGAGAGGTTGGCCGCCTGCAGAAAATGGATAAAATGATCCAGGCAGTGTTGGCGGCGATTAGCAACTCTCCGACGCGGATCGGGATCATAGGGTTTGTCGCTGGCGTACTTCTCAGGATCGAATGCCTCCAGGTCTTCCAGTCTGATCTGAGGCTCGGCCATTATCAGTTTGAGTCGCAAGTTGGGGCTCGACTGCTTGAGCGTGCCCATCGTACGCATCAGGACATTTCTCACGCGTGATTCGGCCATGGATGCTGCTTGTTGATCGAGATGCCAACGGTAGAGATCATAACGACGACCTAGGTCCGTGGTGAACCTGGCTTGAAGACGCTCGTGAAACTGGGTGTACTCGTCCCTGCTGGCTCCGACAAGGCTTCGCTCCCAGACGATCTGCTTATCGTGATATTCTCCGGCCTGCCAATATCGATAGTCGGCATATTCTAGCTGAATACCAGATTCGAAGGAGACACAGCGTAGTCGGGATGCTATCGAGGGCCTTGCCGCCAGCTGCTCCAGCTGATACAGTCTATGGTGGTTGGGATACAGACGAAACTCGAAGTCGCGAAAGAGATGTTCTTCAGCTATGGCAGCAAAGGCCCTGCAAGTGAGGCGGAAGGAGCAAAGGGATGGTCTGTCCAAAAAGAGGCAGAGATGGTCCACCAATTCGGGAGCAAGCTGATCCATGACGGGGAGATTTATTCCAAGGCTCCAACAAGGCTCAAGTATGGTGAAGCCAGAATTGTCGAGTCGCGTTCAGTCTAGGTCGTGGTGACCCCAGCCGCCGTGGTCCTGGTGCGGCTTGAATATATATAACATGAATGGCTTCAGCCTGATGACAGCGAGCCCGCTAGAAGTAGCTGCCGTGCTGTGCAGCCTATTTACCCACGTATTGGCTTACGTAGACATATTAGAGATCGATTTAAGCTGCCTGCGACAGATTGGCGGAGCTGTCGAGGTCCTGGCGACAGCAATACCAGCGTTCAAGAGGTCTGGGACGATAACAGCCAGAGATCCAACGTCAGATGTCGTTATGATCCGCCGTCTGAAATACGGTGGCGCATTACTGTCTGCGAGGACGACGGCGCAGTTACGGAGGGATGCCTGCTTGGGATCCTATGTTTGTTGTCTGCCTCCAAAAGAGTTGGCATGCTGTGAAGCCATCCATCATGATACTGCGGCGTACACTAGCCAGTACTGTCGGCTCAAGAATTCGAATTCCTCTTATCAGGCGTTGGCTGTCGACTCACAAAGCAGAACCTCCTACACCCCCAACACCGAAGCCCAAGCCAGACGACCAAGCTGCCCTCAGAACCCGCTTCAATCGTTTCATTGAACGCTCCCCGCGTTTCCTTCGACCTACACTTACTGGGTTGCGACAAGCCCCAGTGTCGCACATTACAGCATTCATTATTCTTCATGAACTCACTGCGGTGGTCCCATTATTCGGGCTCGCCGGAGCCTTTCATTACTGGCACTGGCTCCCTCCTTACTTTGCCGAAGGGGCTTGGATCTCTGCAAGCGTGGAGAAATTTGCGCGATACTTTCGGAAGAAAGGCTGGATCGATGAAATAGACGAGAGGCAGGTTGAAGAGGAGACAAAGAAAGGGAATGCTGGACGCCTGGGAAGTCACAAAGAAACAACCTCAAGGTGGTTCAATCGAGGAGAAAATGCCACACGATGGGTGGTCGAGTTCGCGACAGCATATACACTGGTGAAAGCGCTGTTGCCCTTGCGTATTCTCGTCAGCGTTTGGGGCTCGCCATGGTTTGCGCGGATCGCCGTCATTCCGATCGGAAATGCCACCAAGTCACTATTTCGAAGACCGAAGACATGATGTCTATCAAGCAGGATTTCGTGGCCCGTGACATCTGAACAGAAGTGAACGAAGTGATCGGACACCGTACGCAATCGTCATTTGTGTCATTTCTCCACTCCGGTAAGTCTATCTCTTGTAACTTGGCTCGGACTTCATTATCAAGGCTGACACTGCAGTAGGCACCCTATCCAAGATGCTCCTGCTAGGTGCAACCCGCGGTTTGCTGGTGTGTCATCACGACTGTGTTCATGCCTTCTCGTAGATCCAGTCGTGCTGGGCAGACTTCCAGCTCTGGACTTCCTCAGGCTTGAACCACAACGCAATCTCCTTCTTAGCGCTCTCGACACCATCGGAGCCGTGGCAGACATTGCGACCAACGTCGATGGCGTAATCACCTCGAATAGTTCCTGGAGCAGACGCGAGAGGGTTGGTGGCACCGAGGATGGCTTGCATCAGCTATCAGCATCATGCCTCTTGAAATGAGATCTCGTCAAGCAACTTACATCGACCAGTCTTGCAAGCATCGCGGCCTTCCCAGACCATAGCGACAATGGGACCGCTCAACATGTCTGCAATTTTCTGTCAGCTGGCTCATTCAATGAACGCTCGTAGAGACCCTTCCATACATGTGACGAGGCCCTTGAAAAACGGCTTGTCGGAGAGGTCTTCGTAGTGCTTCTCGAGGTGCTCCTTGGAAGGAGACACCATCTTGATGGCGACCAATTTGTATCTTCACCGCCCTTTAGTCTCACTTCGGTATTCAAGTGGGAGGACCTCGCTCACCCGCGCTTCTCGAATCGGCTTACGATATCGCCAACAAGGCCACGCTGGTCGTTGTTGTTAGCGTCGAGGGTTGTTTGGGTGAAGGAGGAAGGATTCATACCTGAACGCCATCGGGCTTGACGGCAATGAAGCTGCCCAACGTGTCAGTATCCGACTTGTGCCACAACGCAGGCGTGGAGTGTGCTCACGTCTGCTCGCTGGAAGACATTTTGATTGATAGTTCAGGACTGTTTGGACAAACAAGATGCGCAGGATGAATGTAAGAGTGCTAAGAGAAAGACAACTACGGTCAACACAAGAGAGAATGGGCAAAAATATTTTGTTCGATCCAAGTGGGGGAGCAAGGTGGTGATGTTTGGAGGGGCAGAGCTTGCGGCCACTAGGCCAATGCAGGGGCCCGTTTAATGAGAGGAACTTTAGGCGAAGCTAAGCCAATCCCGGGCACATCTCGGGCCTATTGTAGTTGATGCCACAGGCGGTATAGGACACATTTACTTGTTGGCAGCACAGTATCTCACGACCAGGTGCAAGCCAGCCGCTGCTCAGCTATCTTTGCGAGGCAGGGCCCTTTTCCAAGTCCCTGTTCTAACCATGGCTCGGTCTTCCAGGAGGACACCGTCATGGTCGATCTCCTGCCTCTCAATTCTGCTCCTTTTGTTCTTCGTCTCTCCTGCAGGCAAGTGCTCCAATGTTAAATCAACTCGATGGATACGGTAGATGCTAAGAGATCGCAGTGATGGTCAAACACCACGATTTCAAGCGTTGTGACCAGTCTGGCTTCTGTAAAAGAAACAGAGCTCTTGCAGATTCCATGACAGAGAAGGGCAACCCTGAATCCTCTCCCTATCAGCTGGATGGCACCTCGATTAAGTTCAAAGATGGCCGCTTGGACGGTTCTGTCATCAAATCGCTGGTCGACGGCGACGCCGTAAAACTCCCCCTGACGATAACCTTCCTTGACCGCGGCAATGTACGAGTCACCATCGACGAGGAAAAGAGAAGGAAGGGTGAGATCGAGCTGCGGCATGGCAGCGCCGCCAGAAAGGAGAGATACAATGAGGCTGCTGCATGGGCCCTGACTGGAGCCGGTCTCCAACCTCAGATGACAGCTTCGATGAAAAAGGCGTCGAAGGATGTTACAGAAGTATCGTGGGGTCCAAGCGGTCACTTCAAGGCCACTATTCGACACGCTCCTTTTGGGATCGAGTTCTGGTCTGGTGAAGAGAAACATGTGGTGCTCAACGGCCGGGGATTTTTGAACGTCGAACATTGGCGGCCAAAGGTTGAGAAACCTGCGGTGGACGAGAACAGTACCGAAGCACAGCCCACGGAGCCCACGGAAGACGAAAGCACTTGGTGGGACGAGACTTTCGGAGGCAATACTGACTCGAAGCCCAAAGGGCCGGAAAGTGTTGCAATGGACATTACCTTTCCCGGATACGGGCACGTGTATGGTCTCCCGGAGCATGCTGGGCCTTTATCACTGAAGGAGACCCGTGGAGGAGAGGGAAACTACGACCAGCCGTACCGAATGTACAACAGTGACGTCTTTGAATACGAACTCGACTCTCCTATGACACTATACGGATCCATACCCTTCATGCATGCTCACAGAAAGGGCTCCACGATTGGTGTCTTCTGGCTGAATGCTGCGGAGACCTGGGTGGATATCGTCAAGTCGAAACATGACACAAACCCGTTGACGCTGGGTCTGACGGGCGGCGTCGTCGATACACATACGCACTGGATGTCTGAAAGCGGTCTTCTGGACGTGTTCGTCATGCTTGGCCCGACGCCTCAAGATGTCTCCAAATCATATGGGGAGCTGACTGGCTACACCGCAATGCCCGCCTCGTTTGCCATCGCCTACCACCAATGTAGGTGGAACTATGTGAGCGATGAGGACGTGAAGGACGTCGACCGGAAATTCGACAAGTTCAATATCCCCTACGATGTCATCTGGCTGGACATTGAATATACAGACGACAAGAAATACTTCACCTGGGATCCATTGAACTTCCCAGATCCCATATCCATGGAAAAGCAACTTGATGAGACTCAACGCAAGCTAGTCGTCATCATCGACCCACACATCAAGAACAAGGAGGGATACTTTGTCGTGGACGAACTCAAGAGCAAAGACTTGGCCGTCAAGAACAAGGACAACAACATTTTTGAAGGGTGGTGCTGGCCAGGGAGCTCTCATTGGATCGATGCTTTCAATCCTGCGGCAAGAGCTTGGTGGAAGTCGCTATTCACATTCGATCGTTTCAAAGGCACGCAGTCGAACGTCTGGCTGTGGAACGACATGAATGAGCCATCTGTTTTCAACGGACCAGAGATTACTATGCCACGAGACAACTTGCACCACGGCAACTGGGAACATCGTGACCTGCACAATATCAACGGCATGACCTTCCACAACGCCACCTACCACGCTCTTTTGGAACGCAAAAAGGGCGAGGTTCGACGGCCGTTCGTACTCACTCGATCGTTTTATGCAGGTTCTCAGAGATCTGCGGCGATGTGGACCGGTGACAACCAGGCAAACTGGGAACACCTTGCCGCCTCGATCCCCATGATTCTCAACCAGGGTGTGGGCGGATTTCCCTTCGCTGGTGCCGACGTGGGTGGATTCTTCGGTAACCCCAGCAAAGAATTGCAGACGAGGTGGTATCAGGCCGGTGCATTCTATCCGTTCATGCGTGGTCATGCGCACATTGACACTCGAAGGCGTGAGCCCTATATGCTAGGGGAGCCATACACCGGTATCATGACCCAGGCCTTGCGACTTCGTTATTCGCTCCTGCCGGCATGGTACACAGCTTTCCACGAAGCTGCGACGGAAGGACACCCCATTGTGCGAGCCCAGTATTTCGTGCATCCATCGGATGAAAAAGGCTTCGATATCGACGATCAGATGTATCTCGGCTCCACCGGCTTGTTGGTCAAACCCGTCACCGTCGAAGGAGGAGAAAGCGTGGAGATCTACTTGTCGGACGACGAGAATTACTACGACTACTTTGACTACACGACATACGTTGGTGGTTCCCGAACGCACAAGGTCGACGCACCGTTGGACAAGATCCCCTTGCTCATGCAAGGTGGCCATATAATTCCCCGGAAAGACAGACCGAGGAAGAGTTCTGGGCTGATGAAGTGGGACCCATACACTCTCGTTGTTGTTTTGGACAAGCACGGCGAGAAGGCGGACGGCACGCTGTATGTGGATGACGGAGAGACGTTTGAGTACCAGCAAGGAGCGTACATCCACCGCAAATTCTCCTTTGCGGAGGGAGTGCTTCGAAGCAGCGATCTTGGCACGAAAGGTACAAAGACCGCCGCGTATCTGAAGGCCATGAAGGAGGTGAAGATCGAGAAGATCATCGTGGTCAACGCGCCCGCCGCATGGTCATCGTCGACCGGGGAGCTCACGGTGTCGGAAGACGGTGTGAAGGGCGACCGGAAGGTCGAAATGAGCTATCACGGCGCCGTTGGAAACAAGGCCGCCTGGGCCGTGGTCAGGAGTCCCGGGTTGGGTGTCGGCGTGGATTGGACCGTGAAGTTCGCCGAGGGCGCCAGCTCCGGGCCCAAGAGTGAATTGTAACCCGTCTTGTATAACACACGACACAGCACGACACACAAAACATAAATAGACGAAGGGATTCAATACATGGGACGGTTTGCAAAATAAGTGATACATGAACGGAATATACCAGCCTGGCCATCGCATTGTGAAAAGACACTGGAGCCTTGAGAGCTTTTATTTCTGTCAGGCAAGACGACTCGAACGGAGCGTGCGGATTCTATACAAGAACCCTCGATTGATCCGGAAACACCTGTAAGTACTGAAGAGGCCGGCGTAGGGCCCGAGTCTGGAGGTCACGGTGTGTGCATACAGACATACAGAGTGGCCAACATTGAAGTTGTGAAGAGAACCTCAAAATCCACCTGGGCGGCCTGGGTCCGATCAAAAGGAAAAAGTCACATGTCCCATCTCATCACATGTATACAAACAAGCCTTCCTTCACCCCTACTATATACCGCGAATCGCTGACATCATCCGACTTGCACTCCCTCTCCACGAGTCGGGAAGGGTAATTTGTTTTGGATTCACGCTCACCCGAGCCTTGCGAGGTGAGCACGCATTATACGAACTTCATATTGCCGCCGTCCAGCTCCGCTTGTGTTGCGGGCGCCGTCGAGCCGAGCTCGTACCTCCTGTATTGTGCGGGGTAGGACTCGTCGGCCATGCCGCCGTCAGGATATGTGGACATGGTCTCAGGCTTCAGCAGATCGCGCGATCTAGCAACGCGGCGTCGGAATAGGTACCACGCCAGGCCGGCAACCAGGACGAGGAATACACATAAGCCGATGCCAATGCCCAGACCTTCTCCAAGCTTGTTGCTGCTATGGCTGGAAGAGGAATCAGCTGCGGCGGCCGGCATGGTCGTCGCTATGGATGTAGTCGCTGGGGTAGCTTTGGATGAGTCACTCTGCGACGACGACGTCGGTTCGTGTGTCGGGGAAGTTGCAGGTGGTGAGGTGGTACTCGAGGAAGCTGTGGATGATGTGGCCGAAGCCAGCGACGGGTCGCTGACGTTGAAATAGTGGCTGCTGAAGAACGTGGACGTTGACGAATTGTACATTTGAAAGAAAAAGACGTTGCCTTTGCTGAGGTCGAAGGGCGGGCTCTCCCCCGTCCCTACGGTCCAGCTCAGAGTCGTTGCCGTGATCCCTCCTGTGTGCGGTCGAAATTGTCAGCACAACGCAAGATTCTACTGTTGGGGGGCCGGCGGGCTGTTAAACAGGGATTTCTTACCTTCCAACACCTGGCTGTTTGGGTTTCCATTCTGCCAAATCACCAGGTCGGTCGACGGGTACGTCGTCTCCCACTGCAGCGTGATGGTGGAACCTTGGACGTATGTGGGATTTTGCGTGAAGTCATTGTTGATGCCGTTAGTGGGCGGATTGAGGAAGATATTGTCTTGACTTTGCGCGTTGGCCGAGCTCACGGCAAAGGCTAGAAATGATAGAAGGAGCATTTTGTTCTTCTATTGTCCCGAGCCCTGATCATTAAGAGTGGTTTCGCAGAAAGAAAATACACCACCGATGGCAGGGTACAAGAAGCACGGCTGGCCAGAGATTCGCATTTCGACGTTCTGAGGCTGCCATGGGGAGCATATATTTGGGCGTCCAAGCTGTACTGCATTCCCCATCTCTAACGCTGAGGGTTTGAGCCATATTGTGTTACGTCGAGCAGGGGTGACTCCGTTAGCGGCACTGTGGCAGCGGTTTTTAATTAGAGCCTGGTGGGAACTGCGGTCGTTGTGGCTTGAAGAGGGCACGGCTCGCAGAGCTTGTGAGACAAACCTATGAGCGTTACAGGGGAGTCATTCGCTCGTCCCGGTGGGCGTCCCGCCCCTAAAGTATAAGATGGCCTAGTGTCGCGTTCGTGTCTGCTTGCCCAATCGATTCGGTGCTTGCAAGAAAGATCAGAGGCCGAAACGCGGGACGAGGTCTGCCGTCTTGTAAAGTGTTGAGAGCCTGCAGGCCAGATTGCAAAGTCAGCCAGTGCTTTGGCTGAGCGTCGAGTTCCACTGCGGGAGAGCTTCTGGCCCCCAAGTATTTGCTCCGCCCCACGCAGAAGTACAAGTGTTTTAGTCGGCGGCTCGTCAAAAAACAGAGGCTCGTGCATGAATCTTCGGCGCCAGAGTTGTAAGGCGGTGGCCTTGACCAAGCTATTGAACAGCAGACGTACGACGGGAAGACGGGAACGTCGGCCTAAGAGATAGGGTGCCGCCCATTCTCCTTTTTCTTATATCAGTTGCCTTTGTGTGGCAACCAGGACTCCTCTTCTTCCCTCTCTCGTCAGCTTCAGTACATTCTAAGCATGCCACTTGCAACTCTTGTTTCAGCCGAAAAGATCGAGCTGCCGTACTGGCAACACGTAGTTCGGACAGACCGTTGAGTTACTGTAACACGATTACAAATGTTTTCGGGTAGAGAACCTCCTCTCCGGTTACGATTGTGATGTTTTGTGCTTCAGGCGTCACAAGCAAGTATCTTGTAACCCTGATAACTTATTTCTGGCGTTATACAACATGCGGCTGATCAAGAAGTGCTGTGGTCGGCTCAAGCGTCAAACAGAGGCCAGCGGCAAACGAATCGCTGATGTTCCCTCGCTTATCGTTATAAGCGATACGAGATCATGAAACTGGTCGGTTGAGCCGGCCAGCGCTAGAAAACACGTTTGATATAAAGCTATGGCGAAACGTGATGTTCGTTTCCGGAAAGTATGCTCACTCATCCGCAAACATGAAAAATTCTCGCGGCGTCAGAAGTGGTTGAGCGAGGTAGAGATAAGTGAGGAACGACAACGCATTATCCATTAGACATATGACACTACGACGGAGTCAGCTGATAAAATGATCCAGAGAAACTGGGGCAGAACTGTGCTCGGGGAGGCTGCCACAGTGCTAAGGATGGAGAGCAAAAAGGTCTTTCAACGACGAGTGGCAGGACTCGTTGGAAGTCCAAGTGAAGGAGAGCATGCTGGGGAGAGAAGACACAAAGGAGAAGTCAAGCGTCATTCTATAGATATCCACGTGACCGCGACGGAATGACGATCCTCCGCTTGTTCCGCCAATCAGAACTCACAGCTTCCCCCTGCGCTTTACTTGTTCCTGGACAAAAGATGCACCAGGTCAGGATCTCTCGGATGAGTCGTGCATCAGCAGTGATCACAGGTTTTACTGGCGGTGACCCCGGGCGCTGACTGTGCCTGTTCTCGCATTCATTTTTATTTTCTGGAAACATATGTCTCGTTAAGGTGTGTGTGTTTGTCCTTTCACGGACAGCGTGGTCCACTCCTTTCCTCCTTGGATTTTATCTTGGCTGAACCAGACAATGGGGGTGGATGGAATAGAAGCTCACTTTGTCTCCTTGGCTGCGTGGCTTGACCTCGACAAGATGTGGAGTCTCGTGCAGTTGCTAGTGGACTACCTCGCGCCCATATTGTGAGTTTCCCGGATGCCCACAAACGTGCGAGAGGTTCGCGCTGATTGTGGCCTGCGAAACAGTTTAGTCTTGTCGCCCATCACATCCTATGCCGATCAAATCGCATCAATACACCGGAAAAAGTCCTGCGATGGCTTCTCCCTCGACATTCCCCTCATCATGCTGGTTGCGTCGATTCTCAAGTATGGGTGTTGCCCTTCCTCTGGTTGCTTTTGCAGAGTGAAGTCCATATGGACGCGAAAAAGACGGGACTGACGGCATTGCTTATGAAACAGGGTCTTCTACTGGTTCGGCGCCTACTATGACAAGTCGCTGCTTATCCAGGCTTCGCTCATGATCATCGTGCAACTCATCCTCTTAAAGGTCGCGCTCGACAACCGAGCACCCTCCAGTGGGAGCGAAAAAGGCGGAGTGGGGCATACACCATTTCATGGGTATACACATAACAGCCCCGGACACAAGGGCATGCTGTGGGATTTTTTGATGGAAGGGAGGAGGCCATTTGGGTTCTGGCAGTGGAATGCCACAAAGTCGTGAGCGCATACCCTTTTCTTTGACACCTGACAACATGTCTGCGTTCCACGCTGCTTTTTTCCACGGCCGGGTGTACTAACAGAAGAGAACGGGAAACAGGTACTTTGTCTTCCTGGGGTACTTCAGCACGACCCTCCTCTTCATCCACATTTTTTTGCCGTTTCTCTCCCGGACTCCTTTCTACATCACATTCCTTGGCTACGTCGGACTCGCGGTCGAGGCGATCCTCCCTGTCCCCCAAATCCTCAAAAATCACCGTGCCCGGTCTTGCAAAGGGTTCCGCCTCTCAGTAATCATCAACTGGCTGGCCGGCGACGCCATGAAAATGAGTTATTTCTTTCTCAGCAAAGAGTATATTCCCTGGCCGTTTCGTCTCTGCGGCATCTTCCAGGCTTGTTGCGATTCGTATCTGGGGTTGCAATTCTGGATGTATGGGCAGGGGCCGGCCGGCATGAGAGAGGAAGTCCCGATGGCTAACGTTGGAGCCGGTTCAATGGGCAATGCTGGATTCTCTGGGTGAACGGTCTGCCCTGTGGAAAGAGGCTGAGAGAGAAGATGTCATAGTTTGTTGATTGGAATATCAGCGATAATCAATAGAGCCCCTTCTCCGTTGATTATGCCGAGGCGACCGGGCCTTTGGCCTCATCAACGTCTTCTGCATCCAGGCATTGGGGAACTGTGTGACTCAACCCCTAGCTCATGGCGCATCTTGCTGCTTATGACGTCGCCCAAGCAAGGAGAAGCCGAAGGCGCCATGAGGGATGTCAGGCCACCTTTGCGATCTTTAGGAAGGGAGGTATGTAGCCTCGTCGACAACCGGTGATCGAGGCGTTGGGATTTTGATAAGAGTGGGGGGAGCAAGGGGGAGAGGGAGGAAACTAGTGGTTTGGGAACCGCATGGACCAGGGATGGATTCCATGAGCCTCAACGTTCAGCCTCCTTCGTCAGTCTTATGCCCGGGTCGACGGTAACCCCATCGCTTTCTGCATCTACATACGTACACACCTGGAGGGATGGAGGGACTGAGCTAGTGGAAGGGTCCCCCACGGTTGGTATACAGACTCCACTATGGATGGACAGTACTGTATACGGGATGTATCTACAAATGTACCGGGTACACGCTATCTCCATACCATGGCCAGATAACCCACTCGGCGTCCACGTGCATACCCCATGTGGGTACCATGATACATCAGGGTCTTCTTGTTCACCCACCGACTGGCATAACAGAGGGAGGGTGCACAATCTACAGTGTTTCCTACGAACATTAAAGTCGCAAGAAACAAGAAAACCCCCTCCCCTTGGGGCTAGTGGGCTGAAACAGTAGCAACGTCCGACATTCGATTTTTGGGTTCGGTGCCCCCGAAAAGAACCTAGTAGGTTGGCTGTTGTTATTTTGAGAAATCACGATGCGAGAAGGTTTCTTGTGTTCTGAGATTCCCGGGATAGTTCTGCCCACCCCTTGCCTTCTCCCTCTGCCTACGGTACCTATGTAGGGTTTGTTGCTCGACTTGCAGCTGGGGTGTATGCAAGGGCGACGATCCGTGGCCCGAAGATTAATGCAAGGGGATGACGCACAAGAACCAGAAAATGTGCACTGGTTACGAGTCCAAGTTGCATTCATAGGTGTGCCCCGTCCTTACAGGCTCGTCCGCTGTATGGTTTTACCCGCCAATCGCCGGCGGCGGTCTCCTCGTGTCCTCGTCGCTTTACCGGGTGTGTTAGAACGCCAAACCGAGGGTCCAAGCTTCACGTTGGTGTGTGTGGCTTGTCGCTTTACCCTGGCCTGCATTGCGTCGTCGATCCATCTTCGCAGTGTGCTCTCGTTACGCGAAAGGGGATATGCAGTGCAAGCCACGCAAGCAAGTCCTATGTTCTAGGCACAGGGTCCAATAATGGCCTGGGCGCTGCCTTGTTTTTACACCTCTGCCCTGGTTCCTGGCTGGGTGGTTGCAAGTCTTACTCGTACGATTCTCGTGTGACTTGGAGCCGAGACGACACGGAAACTTCCAAACTATGGGTGACTTAGACTCCCACGAACATGTCACTCTCTTGCGACTTTGTGAGAGTATCTCGAGCTTCTTAGATGTTTGGCTCATGTCACTTTTTGCAGCGAGACACGGGCGTGCAGGAGGAAAAGCCAACGACATATCTAGCTACATAATCTGAATGAGAGCTGAATCGCAAACGAACTGACGTCCGGCCACGGCTACTGCCACTGCCACTGCCAAACTCACCAAACCTTGCGACCATTAGCACCGCCCCCAAAGTCCTCGCATCGTATCCATCAACATCTCCCTCACACGTATATCTCATCTTCATCCAACTCATTCACCTGATTCACCTGATTCTCGACGTTTCTTGTCTCGCCCATCCAAACAATGCTCTGCCACCTGCGTTACCACCGACGGACCCACCAGAGACATATCCGGACGTTCATCTGGATGTTCTACAACCTCGTCGTGCCTCCTCACTCGCCGAGAATGTGATGGGAAACCTTTGATGGAACAGGACATTCGGCATCGGAAATGCACGACACCCCGAGAACGAAGATCTCATCAGCAGCGAGTGCTCCCAGCCGAAGGGGAAGGATTCGTCGAAGCAATGTATTCCGCGAAACAGTCCAATTCCGTCATCCACTCAACAGACTGGTATCCGAGCGTGCTTGGACAGCTTCGATCTCCACCAAATTTCCAGAGGAAGAGTTTCCTGGCACCAGATGGGATCGGAGGTCATAGCAACTGGAGGTGGGATATTCTCTGCACCAGACTCACAATTCTGAGCGGTGGCGCTGCGGGTCACCTGAAGGTCGAGCAGCCGGTTGGCATCGCTCAAGACTTGTGCTCTTCATGCTAGCGCAGGAGAGGTCCCAGCTATGAGAAATGGATTTGGGCCATGGCTGGTTCGAGTCCTCGCTGCGGGACTAATGGCTGGAGCCGCACATTGTGCCAGGTCCAAATGGTCGACAACCAGGGCAAAGGTGTGCAAGTCAGTGAGCTGCGGAATGTCGAGGAAAAGATCCCGGTCAAAAGGCCAAGGCCACGTTTTTGTTGTTGTTTTCAACCCGACGACGGATAGAAGGTGTTGCCGAGGGCTACACAGTGCACAGAGAGACTGGGATCTGCGTGAGACCAGAAATGTGACAATCGCCACAATCCAGGTTACTATGAATCTATCTTTGATCAAGGAAGTTCTTCGCTTCGCATGCAAATTCTGGCGACCATTGGGAGTTCCCGTCGGTATCCGGCGATTGGAGGGCAACATTTCTCTTCTTGATTTGTTCTGGCCACGGAAGTCCGGCAGTTTGGGTGTCGTGACAGTCTTTGATCGTCACATGTTTGTGTATGCGAACTGGATCACGACAGACACAATGGATACTGTACTTACAAAAACACTCGGAAGATTACCAGGAGGTGTGTAACTGGAGGAGGAAACCGAGATACGGACGAAGAGGTTCATAGTGTTTCTTGAATCGAAGATCTCGAGATGACTGCGGTGGAGAAGATTTGGAGGAGCCAGCGGAATGACGTCGGTTCGGCTTCAGGTTTCCCTGGGCGGCGCACCTGCTCGTGCGAGGCCTGGAGGGGAGGTGGTGACACCCCCCAGAGGGAGGGGAACGCATGGCCTTTTCACCCATTCACAAATATGTAACTAACTGTCCGGTATGGTGATGCCCGGCAAAACGTTACTCCAGGCGTGAGTGAAACTGGCAGAGTGTCCAGACTCCAGAGCCAATAGAGCCTACACGACCTCCAAGCATCACCCATGGGCTTCCCCACTGGCACCAGCCCCCACCAGCAAGCCACGAACTGCCTAATCCTGTCGCCCAACTAACTACGAGGGAACCTCGTTGCCATCGGCCTAATTACTTCTTACAAGCACTTGTACCAAAGTGGCCTCCTCACCAAGGTTTGTTGCTTTTGCCTCTGTTGTGTTCCTGCATCGCTCATTTCCCGGCACGCTTTGTTCCAACAGGCCTAGACTGGTGTTAGAAACTTCCATCCGCAATTCCCTCTCTCTCTCTCTCTTGCACACAGCCCTTTTGTTCCTCTCGGTCTGGCCCTCGTCCACCCACTCCACCCACCGGCCCCAGTGAGGTCCCCCGTGAGTCAGCGCTGATGTTAGGGAACCTGCTCCCTGCTGCTGGACCTCCCTGATCCTGAAGGTCAATGGGCTTGCGTCGTCCTTTCTGATGGCGTCCATGTAGATTGGCTCGCGGCACCGCACCCATCTCTCCATTTGCACCACTGCAACGTCTTATGCGCCCTTTTTCGGGCCTGGTCGCCCAACCGTTCGTCTCTCTGACCGCCACTTGCGCCTGTCGTCCTCTTTCATGGGCGGCCCTCGATCTTGTCCCTACAACCTCTTCCCTATGACGCAACAGATCTCGTCCTTCTCTCCCCGAACATAACCTCCCTCCCACCCCATCAGACGACCCAATCAACCACCGTTACAGCCCGCCCGACTGATATCCGCATCTTCAATCCTCCAGAAGAAACGCCCTTATCCGAGCGTAAGCTTCCCGCCCGAGAAAGCCACGCATCTACGGAGTACTCGATACTGGCCACTGTACGGAGTACCATCTGCGTCCGAACTATTGCCCGGATATCACCCCTGAGCCATTCCTCTCTACGTCTTCCATCCGTCACTACTCGTTGGACCTTCGTGTATATACCAAGACTTTCTTCCCAACCCAGTCCTTCGTGACATAAGGCACGGAGTAAACTTCACACGGGTATGCGGAAATTGGGTCGCATCTCCCTGATACAACATCGTCTGGTTAGTAGAGTCGAGGCTCTCTCTATATCAATCATCGGCATCCCAGCTCATCAACCCACTTTCGCATCTGCCAACTACCATCCGAGGTCTCCTTGACTACAATCTGCCACGGATATCAGACCCTGAGAAAGAAACCCTTCAACTCTTGCAGCGCGCCACAGAACCCCTAGAACCATTGACAAGCCTGACAAAATCAGCCCAGACCACCACGCACACGGAGAGCAGCGGAGGTCGCGCTGAGCATCGACCAGGCTCAGATCTGGTGTAAATCCAACGTGATCCAGGAGGAAGTCCTGCGGACTTCGGTCGGGGAGAGAACCCCCAGACTGCAGCTACCTGTTCCACGCCTATCCAATTTCTTCCGCTCGGTAACGCACACACTTAGTCAGGGCTTTCCCGTATTTACGAAAGGCCAGAAGACAGCCCTGCCATTCGTCGACACAGTTACGCAATTGGACTATTACGAAGGTTATTCACCTGACTCCGCATTACTCCGATTTCACCCAACGAGCATCTCTGTTTCTGGGCTTGCCATAATCATCCCCAGTGCCGTAGCACCAACAAATCCGACTCCATCCAAGGAACGCCGTTGACCTGACGTCTCTTGCATCGACAATCTTCCTTTTTAAGTCTGTGAAAAGCCCACAACTTCATCGATCGTCATCCAGCAAGACCTTGAAGGCTCGTGTGCCGAAGATATCTCCCCTCTCTCACGTCCATCAATATGCCTACTCGGATAAGCGGTGCCTGCAACGGGTGCCGTACAAAGAAACAAAAGGTACGTAGTTGTCATTGTGGTGTTGAGGACTCCTCAACAACCAAACCTTACTGAGATCTCCCCTTTTTTGGTTGTAAAGGTAGCATGATGTATATTAAAACATCAAAAAGAATATGCTGACAGGATCTGGATAAACAGTGCAGCGGCGATCGGTGAGTTCGACCTTTTTTTTGGGCTGGCCATCAAATGCCGTCCAGAGACATTCAAACACAGATGGAGGACGAGCCTTGGTTTTATACCCAGGATACCGACTACCAGACCCTTCTTACCCCAGAGTCTTATCTCCAGTCGTTGTTCGCGGGGACGTTGTTGCTGGCTAAATCGTTTTGGCACAATGATTTGAAGCCGGTGTTTAGCTCTGATGCCACCACACCCACCAATGGTCTATCGGTGTGGCCAGGTTGTTTCAACCAACAAGAGCCTTCGCGCGACTGGGGATTCGGCTGTTTGTTTATGTACTTCACTTTGCACTGTCGTCGAACGATAGCTACGAGGGCTGCGGAACTGACTTGGTGCTCTTGGACAGGTCCGGCTGCTCACAATGCCATGCGGCGGGCATTGATTGTACATGGCCCGAGCAAAGAAAAAGGTAAGCCCAGCCCGTCTCAAGGGCGCTCAAGCCCTTCTCCCCCTAACTCCCCTTCCAGTCTCCTGCATGGTGCTAACACTCCGTCTCAGAGGTCCGGCCAAGGGCTACATCGAAGGCCTTGAGCATCGTCTTCATGAAGCCGAATCGCTGCTTCTCGCCCTGCTGCCCATCATCTCGACCGAACAATTAAAATGCGCCACCGATTCTCTCACTATAAGCCCCTCAGCAGCCAACCTCAACATCCTCGGTCTGAAAACCCGTGACTCGCCATCTCCCGGACCTCACACGATGAGGAGTAGCCCCCCAGTCTTGAACAAGAAGACCGGGATTGAATACTGGGAGTCCTTCCCGCTTGACACTGTCGATAATATCCGCAAATGGCAGGAGGACTGCGCTTTGCATTCCGGTTCCAATGGGCAGAGTCAACCTGCTTTCCGAAATTCCATTGATGAGGGACACTCCCACAACCCCCTCCACTCGTTGAACTCGGCGAGCCACTCGCGTCCTGGATCTGTCGATCTCTCACGTCACGGACACCGCCACAGCCACAGCCATTCTCAGTCCGGTCCTTTCCGTTCCATGAGCACAGATTCTTACCGCAGCGGAGCAAGTACCCCGGTGAACGCACCGAATCATTCCATGCCGCAACCAAACATTCCTGCGACCTCAAACCCCCAGCAACAAACAGGCCCCAGTCAAACGTCAACGCCAAACTGGCAGTCCCTGTCCTCGTTTCTATCCAATAACAGCTCCCCCAATAACAATACCTCGAGCCCGAACGTCAATGGCGTGGGTATCGGTGCAGAAGCCATGCTGCTACAAAGTTTCGCGGATTCAAGCTGGGCACAGGCGCAGACCTTGAACAACGGCATGGGTATGACCGGGATGGGCAACACCATGGGCGTGGAGAGTGGACCAATGGAGGTCGATACCGGTTTCTTCACGAACGATATGCAGAGACGACTGTTTTGGTGATCTTTGTCGCGTGCGAACCGGAGCGGCGTATACGGGATTCTTTCAACATTTCGGTACACTAGAAGGAAATGGAGGACGGCGTTCCATGGGCAGACGACCAACGTCATGAGTGGACGACTTGTTTCAGGCTACCCAAAAACCAACGCCGTGGATCGGTTACCGCCCACTTCGGGCTCGGCTGTGCGGAGCTGTAATGAAATCGAACCGTCTTGGGATCGATCAACAGGGATAAGGGTCGGCCATGGGCTTCCCTGCCTCTGTAAATGTCTTGTACGGGGTGACTAGTGGCTGTGTATGCCTTTTGTAAAGCTATGAGAGCAATCGATACCCCAATTATTGTAACGAGGAATTATCCAACATGGCCGGTTTGTTCACGAAGGTACTTCTTTCTCTCTCTGTGCTTCGCCGTCCCAAAAGCCGTGCTCTTGTTGAGTAGTTATGGAGAGTAAGCATGGAGTAGACCAGGTAGGAAGCTATAAGTACACTTGAGTCCTCGGTATACGTCCCTTTTCATTACTGCATAACTTTCATCACTCACTCCGCCATGAATAGACTACTCTTCCCTGGCTGCTGTCTCTCTTTGGGCCAAAAGAAGGAGAAGTCGCGCGCGCCAGTTGTTGCCGAATCATTAACTACATACATAGGCGCAGGTTTGATAAGAGAGAGAGAGAGAGAGAGAGAGAGAGAGAGAGATTTGCGCTCCCTCCCATGTAAGAGAGAAAAAGAGACAAGTGCACAGCACCGAGCTGGATGTCCTTTTTTCTTTCTTTCTTCCTTCTCCTTTTTCTCTTCTTTTTCCTCTCCTCCTTGCGACACTGGCTCACTCAATGAATAGCAACAGCTTTCAATGAACGCGGTGCCTTTAGAGACCTAGTTCCTTCATCAGCTGCTCGCCCCGGGCCTGGTCATATACGGCACTGCCGTCCTCTCCGGCAAACACAAACATCCTCGTGGGAGGCTCGAAGCTTCTTCCTGCTGGGGAGTCACCATCGTCGTCGTCGTCACCATCACTGTCCTCGGCCTGGTCGTCCGGGTTCTGGGATCCCGTCTTCCTCACAATCACCACCGCGACATCATCCAAGCACAGCTCCCAGTCACCACGCGGGCGATACGGCTCACTCGGGCCCTCCCTGGTGAACAGCTGGCCGTACAGTTCGAACGTGTCGACCTTGGTTCCCATGTGCGGGATCTGCCGGCGCATGCTGTCCCAGTCGATCCTGAGGTTGGGGTGCCGCCCGGGCCCGAAGATGCCGACCAACTGGTACACACGGCCCTGTGGCCAGATCTCCGCGCCGCGTGACAGTTCGGGGAACGGCGGCAGGGGACTCTTCCCTCCTCCTCCGCCGCGGCCGCCACTAAAGGACTCGTCCGGCGGCAGTTTCAGCAGGTTCAGCCAGATCATCACCAGCGCGTCCGGCGGCACGCGGCCCGTGGGCGACACGCTCATGCTGCGCATGTCGAAGGTCACGTTGGGGTCGCGCGGCAGCGACGGGTCCGTGAGCGGGTGCACGCTCAGGCGCGGATAGGGGTGGTGGCGGCCCGCCGAGCGACGGTGCCCGAACAGCGCGTTGGGCGCCGACGTCGCGCACAGGACGTCCACCGGGTCCGGTAGGTCTTTGAGGGCTTTGGCGACGTCGACCACCGTGAACGACTGGAAGTACAGGTCGCCGCATTGCAGGGGCGTGCTGTTGGTCGAAGGGTCGTAGCCGATCCCCGACGCGTTGGTGGGAAGGTCGTCGAACTGTGAGGGAACGAACGTCCGGGTCAACGATATCCATCTATCTATCTATTCATTCTCGGACCGTTGACTTACATTGAGAGTGAGGTTGTGTCTGCTGGTGGTGGCCGTGGTGACACCCCCTCCGCCGCCACCGATGATTCCCTGCTCATGGCCATACGAGTATGCAACCACCGCCGTCACAAGGCTGAACCAGCCGAGGAGTGTCACACAGAAGTGCATGTTTCGTTCTTGGGGTCAGCTCACAGAATTCAGTCAGGAGGGCTGTCACACACACGCTCAAGCTTCCCTGATGAGATGAATTGCGTGCCTGTTCTTACTGCACTGCCACGGGCTGCAATGATTACTTGCGAAAGCAGTCTTGTCGTGCGCTCAGGGAAGAGCCAGCTCAAACTGGGCCTACCAGCTACCAGCTACCAGGTCCTCGTCCCGCGTGAGCATGAACATAACCCCGCAAAATGCGTCACAATGCCACCCAGTTCCAAGACATCGTGCCGTTGGTGCCGGAGGCCCGATCCTGCAAGAGGGCGGGAGACCCTTGGGGTTGAGGGTCCGAATGATACGTTACTGCGGACGAGGTACATCCTGGGTGTTGCCGGGGGTTAACTGTTGACGACTAATACTATTAGGCAGAAGCGTTTGTGGTTTTGGCCCCATGGAGAACGCTTCCAGGGATTTTCAAAAATATAGTGCGGTGCTGCCGGGGGCTACGGTGGCTTTAGTATAGCTATTTGATCTCCCGCGTCTGTTGATTGTTGTGTCCGGGGTACCTCGTATAATACACCGTACTTCGTAGGTGGAAGGGGATATCATTGCCATGCTTGCCTTGGCAACAACGCTGCTGTTATTGGCCAAAGTTATGCTCAACTATAGCTCCTACTCGACCGAGAGTACACATAATACCTACCGCATCGCTATCCTCTAATGCGGAACCCACAAGTCCATGTAATGATTCATTGTGACCTGCTATGCCTTTCTTCCCTGCAAGGACAGAATGCCACTTCCCCAGTATCCAACCCATGTAAAGTGGTACTCCCTGTCTACACGGATAGAGAAAGTTCTCTAAAGATGATCGTCGAAACTTTTGGGCCAGGGAGAGGCTCATCAGTGTCAAAGGGCGCCATAGCAACGTACTTCACACCTCTGTCGGGATTGTTGAAAGTGGGGACTGAGAGCACCGGCTCTCTCTCATTCTGGCCATTATCTGTCTATGAGCCCAAGAACGAGACTTGGTGAGCCGACGCAGGAGGCCCTTTCTTCGGAAACCTGCCAGGCTTGCCCCAGTCTGGCTGGGTAGGCCTTCACGCCCTGGGGACATATCGTGCGGTCAGCAGTAACGCCTTACGTGAACGAACTTGCAATCTTGCTCCTGGCCCTGATCTTTGGTCCGTAAAGGACAAGGACCCACGGAACAAGAGTCAGTGCGAGCCCGATGGCGCCCAGAAGACTGCTCGCAGCCTGGAAACCCAGATTTGTGAACAGCTGATTCGTCACCAGGGGGAACGATCCACCCAGCAAGTTTCGACAAAGTCCCGAAGCTGCAAGAGCCGAGCTTGCATACATATGATAGCAGTCCGCCGTGTAGTTGAAGGTTCCGAGGAAGATGCTGAAGATGCCCATTGTCGCAACCCCAATCGCAATGGTCGGCACGATCCAGTGGATGGAAGAGTAACATGTCCAACCGAACCAGAACAAGCCAATGGGCATGAAAGCCGACTCGATGCAGGTGAACATCAATCTCCCCTCGGGACTGCCGTTGATCTTGACCGGGTAGTGCTTGGCAGCCCATTTCTCCTGCCAGATGCTGAGGACCGTGGAAATGATGGCTCCGATGGACATGGCTGTAAAGACCGCTCCGGTCTGTTCGAGGCTAAAGCCGTGATTGACTTCAAAGACGAGGGGAATCGACCCGAATTGCAGATACAGGACTGCCCATGAAAAGGCAATCCAGAGGCTGAACCAGAAGACCACCGGTTCGGTGAACAGCATGTGAATGGGACGATAAAGGGAGACTGCGATCATCCTGCTCAGCGACATTCTGTCTTCATCTGCCTTCACCTTCCATCGGATCCGGCAATACCTCCTTGAGCTCTTCTCCGGATCAATAGGGTCACCCTCCACTTCCATTCCCAGTGCTCCTGCAGCCTCCAGTTCCTCGTACCATTTGTTCAGTAACTTTGCCTTGCGACTGAGAATGATACTGCCGCGGGTTTCTTTGAAGAATATGGTGACCAGGCCGACCAAGGTGCCGCTGGTGATGACCTGTATCCAGAACACCCAACGCCATGAGGTGCGTTGTGCAACAAAACCGGACACCAGAGGGCCAAGACCGGTCCCAAACAAGGTTGCCCCCGTGAAGAGGACCATAGGGCCATTGCGGTCAGCCGTCACCCACACGTCGGCGAGAATGCCACCGACCATGGTAGAAAAGGTGGACCCTCCAACACCAAGAAAGAATCGAGCCAGCAGCATCCCGGCAAATGAGTCGGTCACCGCACAGCCAATTTGACATATAACAAACAGGATCCCCGTAAAGATGAAGACAGGTCTCCTTCCGTTGATCTCTGAGAACGGTGCCAGCACCATAGGAGCAACTCCAAAGCCGGCTGTAAAGATAGTGATGCCAGTCTTGTATGCCACGGCGGAGATCCCCCACTTTTCCGTCAGCTGTGCTGTCGGTGACGCATAAGAGCCGGCAGAATAGGCGGCTGTAATGTTGACTGAACAGGAAAGGTAGGTCATGAGATTCTTCCGGGTCAACGACCAGCTGAATGGGTTGTCGTAGTCACGGAGATTTGGACAGGGAGGAAGCTCATGTTTGGCTCCAGGCGGTAGAGCCGGGCTCAGTGGGATATCCGTCTCAAAGGACAAGTACCGATGTTCAATGCCATCGGCATCAGGAGTTGGTGGGTTTCTTGGATCATTTTGTAGGGGGACATTCTGAGCTGGAACTTCGACAGCTCCATCTACAGCGATAGGGATCATGGCATCTTCGTTCGAAGCTTCGTTTTTTCGTGAGCCATGCCTGCTCAGCATAGTAGAGACCAATGTGCTGCGGCGCTTGGTCTGTTCAGATATACTTTGCGGACGGAAAAAACACTACCAAGCGCTGTAGTGGCGAGTCCAGGGGTGACTGGCGTCTTTAACATGGTTTCTAGGCGGTGCCGTCTCCTCAAGGAATCTGGGGATTAATGGACGGATCGACGCTGGCGTCAATGGACCTGACCGATGCACCAACGAGCTGAGGCGAGATGGAGAAGGATACCCCGTACATCTCCCCGCGGTGCCTATCCGCAGCCCCGGATACATTGCCGAGGTGTATTGCCGGGGAGCAAAGGGGGACTCCGTGCCTAGAGGATATTGATCCATTGTGGTTTTGTGGTGTTCTCCAGAGGCAAGTGTCCGTGTCATCCATTGTTATATTTGATGAAGTGGAGAGCAGACACAGGGCGTGCTTTTGCATATCAGGAATGCCATGCATATCAGGCACAAAATGGTAACACGGTACAAGGCGGCAGCCGAACACGAAATGTCGGACGGATATTGACTCCGAACAAGCTCTTATCTTACTATCAGCATCTGTTGTCGTTGTGCATTGAGCCTGATCATGGATTTAAGAGGTATTCCCGGATGCTGTCTTTTATGGACACGACGGTGTAGAAACTGTCTCCTCTCTACACTCTTTTGAAGACGCCAGAATCGTCGAGTCATGCTGTCATCAATGAGTTTCTGGTCTGTGCCGAAGATGATCGTCTTCAAACTTCCTGGTGATGTAAACACTTTGGAAAACGTCATGATTTCATAACCGCAAGTTTTCCCAGAGCAAAAATAGGTGCGAGGCGTCGAAGATGCTCGAGATCACTTTCTCTCAAGGCGATTGACATTGGCACATTGTTGAGTGAATACTAGAAACCGTCGGACACATCCCAGCCAGTACGTGAGCAGGTTATCGAGATGGCGGCGAAACCCCAGAGCTCAAGCAAGGAAATGATGAAGAACAAGAACGGTACACTTCCCTGATCCTAAGGCTCGTAGATACACGCTGACAAGCCATCAGTCGCCGGTGGGCAGCTGGCAATGCTCTCCAAAGACCCCCCGACCGGCTTCTTTCGCGATGGATATTGCAGGACCGGGCCCGAGGACAAGGGAAACCATTCAGTAGCCGCCACCGTGAACCAAGAGTTTCTGGACTTCACAAATTCGAAAGGCAATAACCTGCGAGAAGCCGGGGTCAAGGACGGAATGAAATGGTGTCTCTGTGCACACCGGTGGAAGGAAGCATTCGACGCCGCACAGAAGGGACACATATCACAGTCGGCCGTACCACGAGTGCATCTCCATGCCTCTCATGAGAGTGCCCTGAACAGCGTCAACTATGGAGATCTGAGCAAGTACGCCGTGAGCGGAGACGCGCCGAAGGAGTCGAATCGAAATCGACAAGGTGCGCACAGTGATCCAGAACAGCCGTCACATGGGATTGCCAGGGAGACCTCGGAGTTGAGTGGCAAGTCGGAGCCAGAGAGGGTTGGAGGGTAATGCAGACACAGATACAGCGTCACGGAGCGATACTGTGTTTTGGAGGGAGGGAGGAGGAGGAGGCAGTAGTGGTGGGAATGATGCCTGGTGAGATGGAGGAATTGTGTGTCTGGAAATCTGCTGCTGCTTTAGCGCATGATATTGATGCTCATTGATCGTGATCTATCAATCAATGCAGTTTTGATTCGTGCTCTTCCTGCACTTGTGTGTGACTGTCAGTCTCAAGCATCTCCTCTTCGTTTCTAGACTTGTTCTCTTTATCTTGTCAAGGGCGGACACCTAGACTCAATCACTAGAGTACCTGGAGTCTACCACCACGGGCACCTAGAATCTATCTGCCTTGAGGTAACCATCACCACCCTCACCACCACCCTCACCACCACCCTCACTCACCACTACCACCGCAATGATGGCCAACGGAGACCCTCTCGATCCGCAGCCAGATTGCGAGCTCATTAGTGACGAGATCAAAAAAACCACAAAATCTACTACCTGCAACCTGTAATTACGGAGTACCTCGTAAAAGTGATTGTCGCGTGGCGGTCACATGCTGCACCGTAACCTCAGGCCGAGGCGTTGCGATCCCGAAATAATTGATTGCTACATCTGCCAATTGTCAGTCAATGCCATCTCGTCCATGTCAATCTTCGGCAGTCAGTCAGCTACCACAACCTCCCTGGTGTTAATATCTTTCGTCTTACTTCCAGAGTCTGTACTTAACCAGTAGACTCACTCGCCCGTCTCCTTCGGCTTGCATCTCTCACTTTATTTAGGTTCATCTCAACACTCTCACGCGACTGCTGAACGGCCCGCCTTCTCCGCATACCATCTTCGGCACGGAGCATGCGAATGACATCTTCGACCTGACCTTGAATCAAGCCTCTTCGGCACTGTTGGAATAGAGAGACAGGCAGGTCTCGGGCGCAGTTGGCGCCATGTCGGACTCCGTGGGTATGTATCAACTCCCCGGCTGTCTCTGATGATGGCACCGTGTCAGAGTCTCACTTCTTCCCCCACAGACCGTGTCTTTGTCCACGCCCTCGCCACAGTCCGTCGACTTCCTCGAACAGGCTCCTCACGGCCGCCTCCCTCCGCCCGCTTACGTCTCTATGGCCTCTACAAACAGTCCATGGAGGGCGACGTCGAATCCATCCTCCCTCGTCCGACCGTGCCCTCGGTTTCTCCAGACCCCAATAACTCCAGATCGAACAACGTCCACCGCTATGCTTCTCGAGACCTGCGAGTACGAGAGGCCGAGGCGGAAATCGAGAAATGGGATGCGTGGCACGCTTGTGCCGGCATGTCCCGCACCGAGGCCAAGCGACGGTACATCAGTACACTGATTGAGACCATGAAGGAATATGCCTCCGGTACGCAGGAGTCCCGTGAGCTGGTATCGGAACTGGAATTTGTCTGGAACCAGATCAAAAGCCAAAGCAGCAGCTCAGAGGATGAGGACGCCGAGTCGCCCACGAGACGGCTGGAGCGGGCCGGCCTGAGACAAACAACGAGCTTTGGAAGTCTGCCTCCGGGTCAAAGTGCACGAGGGGAGGGCGAAAGTTTGAGCAGGTTAAACTCCGACCCCAATCGGTTGCGGGTCCTGTCACCGGTGTCGCAAGGGGGGAGTGACGATATCATCGAGAGCGAAGAGGTGGACCCAGTAACCCATGCGGTCATCGGCCCTCTGTCTGCTTCACGGCGAGCACCTTCTGATCCAGATTGGCGAAGTCGCATTGAAGACCACCTCCGGCATCTATCGACCGAGGTCGCAGCACTGCGAGAGCAACTATCCGCAAACCACTTACTGTCCTCTTCCTCCTTTTCTCCTGAACTGACCTCTCGGCGGAGAAGGATATTCTATCGAATATCAACGTGGGTCAAGTGGTTGGCATGGGTACTCGTGCGGCAGATCTTGGTCGATGCCAGTTTGGTGTTCTTGTTCGTCATCTGGGCGAGATGGAAGGGGTACAGAGACCGCCGGGTCGAAGACTGGGCCAGGCGGCGCTGGAAGGATGTCACAACAGTGCTGGCTGATGTGAACGGGTGGTTGAGGGGCCTGGTGTCGGCGGTACGGATCCCTGGGGCGCGGAACGTCTCCTGAACCGTGTCCGGTGCGGTGCAAAGCGGCATTTCTGACTGATCGCTACCAGGAACATCTTCGAGTTCTGGGGAGTTTCTTCCTGGCGCGCTACAAGGCCGAAGTAGCCGACCAATTCGGCGCCGGTGCTGTGCTGAGGGATGAGACCTGAGCACAGAAAACGTGAGGCGGAGCTCAAATCGGTGCTCACCGCCCGACAGTTCGTTTCGAGTCTGGAGATTCTGACTGTTAGACTTGCGGCCATGGATTTACGTGGTTTCAATGGCACTCATTGCCATCATGCTCTTCGCAGCGTCTTGGTTATCTGCAATTTCTTCCACGGATGAGATCGATGACTTTGACGGCCTCTGGATATATACATGTGCGGGAGGCATGCTGACATACGGCAGAGGGGCATTCAAGAGAAATTACGACCCGATAAAAGGAGAACCGGGGGTTTTCTTGATGCGAACGACGATCATGGCACGATGTTTGCCAGTCTACTTTGGGGATAAAAAACAATCAATTTACTAGAGAGACTAGAACTATGACCGAACCAAAAAAGGGGCAGTGCTTGAGAACAATGATCCAGACCAAGAACCAAAAACCAACTGTACCTCATTTCATACGTAGATTGCTTGCCACCTTTGCCGACTACATCGGGGGCTCCTCCGTGGTGGTACTATCTATACCCCCAGTCTAAACCCTGCCTTTGACCCGTCTCTCCATGACTTGGTAGAGAGCGACGCGCAGGGAATCTGGAAGTGGGAAAGTTCTCAGACGACCTTTCAGGACGGAAAAGAGGTCGGAGTGCCTGGATGGAGAGGCGGTGATGATTGTGCCGTTTGTGAGGATGACCTTTGAATGGAAGAGCCAGAAGTATGCATCAGCGCTCGCTGGGGGGTTTACTGTGTGAGTCTGGACTCGGGCGTCCCGTCCTGTACCTCGACCGACAGAAGCGTGTCCGCGGACCAGCCACGCAGGCTCAAGAAGATGGATATGCCTCCCATCCAAGTCGCGACAGCGAACCAGCCACGCAGGCTCAAGAAGATGGATATGCCTCCCATCCGAGTCGCGACAGCGAACCGGACGTCATCTCCAAAGCCAACGAGCCGCGAGACGACGCCACTGACTTGTTCCGTTGTCTCTGGTGAAAGGCGACATGATGGGGCGAGGTCGGCTTGGTTGGAGGCCCAGTAGCGAGCTTGCTGAGAAATATATTGTCGATCTTGCGGAAACGGGACAAGCGATGGAAAGTTCTCGGCGAGGATATCGCCCTTGTAGTATCGTGTCAGTCAGAATAGCTGGTGGCTTGCTGGTGGTATCAACGGAACAATACAGCCCGTGGTAAGGCTGCTTGGTCGGTGGAGCTGGTGAGCGGTGATTGCCCCGCCCTTGTTGTGCTGGAGAGTGTCAAGATCATCACGCAGACCGTCGGCAGAAAGGGTGGTTCCATGAGGTAGGTATACGAGGGAGAACGGATAGAGGAGATAGATGGAGGGATCAATCAATGCATCGTGATATCTGGATACTGAGAGCGGAGACTTGATTGCGTACTTGGCATAGCAATCGACATGTTCGGAATGCATGAGGAAAGTTTTTGATTCTAAGAAAAGGTCTATTGCCCTGATCGCTCGACTTTTGTCCCCAGAGTCAACCCGAGAAAGTGAAAATACCTCCCAATCTTGGGGCAACTCTGCTTTGAGATCCTCGTGTTTCCCTGACGAGTCAATGTATGCTCCCTTGTCTCATCAGAGCTCATTGTGAAACGTTGGCGGCGACTGCGACGGCAGATTTCTCCATCTCGGACCGTAAACCCTCAGCAGGAGAATTGGAAGCAATAGAATGACATTGATCAGCGCAAATGTAAGCCATGCGTATTGAATCCCCACTCTTGCACCGAAAGGCAGACTGCAAAGCACGAAGATCGTTAGTCGGAACTCAGGCCAGGTAGAGAAAGTTGCGGGGAGATCGTGGGACAACGTACGCGTAGAAGGAGATCAGACATGAGAAGGACTGTCGGAACACATTGAGCAAGGTCGAGATCTCGGCGCTCTGGGGCTTGTAGCACTGGGCAGATAACCTTGTTAGAACATGGCGATGGCGTCCCAAGACACGTAGGGATCGGAGAACTCACGTCGGTGGTATACGCATACAGCACCGTTGTTGCTATCTGCAACCCCAGACCCGCAATGCCCATGCCAAAGGCAGCACCGACCCAACTGACGGTCTTGCTGTGCGACAGACAAACGCCTTCGATGATGATACCAATTGGAATCAACAGCGCCCCCCAAATGGCATTCAGGCGAGCCTCCGGCAGTCGTTCGCCATTGTGTTTCCGAGCATATTGATTGGACATCCAGTCCGTCACCCAGCCGGCATTGAACTCGCCGATTAGACAGCCAACAAGAAGTGGGATGCTGAGCAACAGACCCGTTTGTGCGATGTCGAAGTGGTAGAATTCGCCAAAGAGCTTTGCGCCGGTCAGTGCGAAGAGCACTGTGCCATAGCCAAAGCATGTCATGTAGTAGACGGACGGGAGGATCACAGCAATGTACCTCAGCATCTCGAAGGGCCGGGTAAAGTCACGGGGTCGCAGCCGCCGATAGGCCGCTCTGGTGCGTTTGAAGAGCAGGAGTTCCAGATATGTGAGCTCTTTGGCCGGCTCCAGGGCAGAGTCATCCATCCTCGGATACAGCGTTTCAGGAAGCAAGAATATTGTCAGAGCAAAGGTGCCGAGTTGGATGTAGCCGGGGATGTAGAAACACGCTTGCCAGCCCAAGGACTGGGCGATGAAACCTCCAAGCAGAGGAGCCACCTAGTACAACAAGAAAGTCAGAATACAACGCAGAGAAATAAGAACGAGGGTTCTTACATGGGGTCCGTTGGTCAGGAAGAACGTGTATATACCCATGTAGAGACCGCGTTCATGTTGGAAATATAGATCGCAGATTGTTGCGGCGCCGATGGCGACGGTGGAGCCCTGCGTTGTCGTTAGGACCGCATGTCTGTTTGAGGGAGACACGCGCTTGAGAGACTGATGCGTATTGTTGGTAAGACTTACACCCGCTAAACCGTTGAATGCCCGTGTGATCATGATACCTGACCAGGTGTGACAATATCCTGCAGCAATATTGGTCACAGCTGCCACCAAATTTCCCAGCAAGTATACTGGGCGGCGGCCGTAGACATTGGCAAAGGGTACGATAGCCAGGGGTCCAATGCCACCAAAAACAATATAAACAGTCAACTCTGTTTCATGGTCAGCAACGATCAAGCTAGTCGAGAGGCCTATACTCACCATAGGACGCTTCAACAACACTGAGCCCAAATGTCTTGCTCATGGGCACAAATGCCGGATTCGCGACCGCAGACCCCATGGGACCCAACATTGCGAGCCAGCTGATCTGCAAGGTGACGAGCAACTTGAGAGTTGGCGACCAAGTCTGTCGAAGTCAGTCTCAATCAGAGGTTGGCCATACACACAGCATACCAGAGGATCATCTGTGCGGTTTGTCGGTTGCGGTACCAGAGGCAGACCAGCCTTGTCACATCGAAGAGGTTGCTTTTCCGAGGACTCCAGATGAAGTGAGCCGCCATCGTGTTTCTCTGGGCTCTGTACGGCCGCAGAGATCAGTTCGTGTTGAGCAACTTCGGTCTTCTCAGCTGCCATGTTGGTCCTGCGTTGTGGACGGGCAGTGCATGATGGGGAATAGCCCGTCGGCATCCCAGCATTATATAAATACTGTGCCCCAGCTTCACCCTGCTAGGGTCCATAATGGTGCCCACCGTCGGTGTGGAACTCAATGGGGCACTCAGTGTCAAAGGGGGTGTATCCTTTGGTGCTGAGAGATTTGCAGTGGACCGGCTCTCGGGGAGTTAAGCAATTCCACAGATCAACAAGTGGCTTCACTAGCTCGTAGATGCCTTCATCGTCGCCTTCAACCCCGTGGGAAGCTGCCGGTGCATGGAGAGGGAACCGGGGAGAAAAGGCGGGTTTAGGCAAATATCCGTCATCCACATTTGAGAAACACCATAAGTCGACGTGTCAGACAGCGACCTGCCAGGTGTCAATGTCCATCACTGTGAGAGAATTCCTTTTGTCAGACAGGAACAATACCGATTCTCCCCTACGTAAACCTCAACTCCAGCTCCCACTGTTCCTCCCCCCTATCGCCCTCTCCTTCACCCGCGAGGATACAGCATATCAGCATGCAGTGTGGACCTCCCTCTTCAAACCGCATTTCTTGATACCCGGATGTCGTCTGAAGCAGGATCCAAGCAAGATGCCCGAGTTTCGGAGAGACGACGCCGCAACCGAGTCGCTGTCTCCTGCTTCAGCTGTCGGTCGCTGAAGACCAAATGTGATGGACGGAGGCCCATCTGCTCGACCTGCGAACACAATGGACGGAACTGCGTATACATGCAGCGAGGCATCTCCGGTGGCCCCAGCAACACGGTGGTCGTGGAGCAAGAGTAAGCCATGCAATGAGAACGGTTCAGGGACAGAATCAGACTGATACGGGATCCAACTTGGAGTTACCTGAAAGCGCTCGAGCAACGCCTGGAAGCTCTGGAGAGCAGGTCGAGGCTCGACTCGTCGACTCAAAGCACGCCGATTGAGCGTAATGGGCCCCCTTCAGGCTATCGACATGGCGTCCGGCACCCGCCATCATCCCTCAACGCTTCGGCAGCTGCCTCCTCTGCCAGCAGCCACACGTCCACCGTTGTGGCTGACGCAGACGTGTCCATGGGCGGGGTGTCGTTCACACAGCTCATCCTGAACGCCTTGCACGGCCATGAAAGCGTCAAGGCGTACTCGCGAACCATTGACAACGACGTCCGCGAACAAGAGTCCCGCCTCACCGAGGAGGACCTGTACACCCTGCCAGCCAGTGCGGGTGAGCTGCTGACCCAGTTCTTCACGCTCCGACACCCGCTGTCGCCTGTCTTCCACGTCCCGAGTATCCGGCCGCTCTTCGACGCGGCCCTCCGCTGTCCCCCGGACCAGCGGTCCCACCACAAGTCAATCTTCGTCCTGCTGAACATGATCTTTGCCATCTGCACATCACACTGGGTCATCGACGCCCAGGGCAACCCTCGTGCGGCACGCAGACACTACGACATCGCCATGTCGCTCATCCAGCCGAACCTGCTCAGAGATTGGCGACTGGAGCACGTGCAGGCGCTCCTGATCGGGGCGAGGTACCTACAGGGCTCGAGCTGTGCGAATGAGTGCTGGAACATTCTTGGCCTGGCCATCCGCATTGCATATGGCCTCGGTCTTCACAGAGATCCACCGGACACGGATCCTCATCCGTTACGGGAGACGAAGAGACGCGTGTGGTACGCGGCGTACACGTTGGACGTGCTGCTCAGCATGATCTATGACCGCCCCTCCATGATCCGTTCGGATGAGTGCTCGGTCAGTCTGCCGACCGACTTGGATGACGAATATATCCAGAGCGCCCCGATGCCGCGACCGCCCTCGTCCATGTCATTTTCCATCGAGGTGATCAAACTGTACCGTATCATCGAGGCCTTCAAGTCCCAGCTGAAGGGCAGCGTGGACAGCGGCCGGAAGGTCGTCGAGCTGGTGATGCCCCTGGACGAGCTCCACCGGAAATGGTACCGATCACTGCCGGCGCACCTGATCCTCGACTACCAGGCCCCCAAGGAACAGCCCTGGATCCTCGCCCTGCGCGGGAACATGGTCAAGATTCTGATCCATCGGCAGTCGCTGACGGTGTCTCTGCGCGGGCTTTTGGAACCTCAGGACGTGGAGGATTCGGTGGTGAGCCACGCGTTGCAGTCCAGTCGCGACACCTGCATTAGCGCCGCAATGGAGAGCATCGATATTGTCGCGTTGAGACACGAACACACCAAGAACACCATGGGTTTGAACTGGTTCAACATCTATTATTGTGAGTGAACGCACACACACACACATATACTAGAGCCCCCCTCTCGCTTCTCTCCTCTCGCCTCTCTCCTCTCGCCTCTCTTCCCTTTCAATGCACCAGACCCCTATGTCTGATTCTTGGTCTGACTCGAACGCCTCACTCACTCATTCACTCTACCAATCTCTCTAATCTCTATATCTAACTCCCTGCAATTATAGTATTCAACGCAGTCATTGTCCTGGTCTCCCACGTGATCGAACCGGCGTACCACAATGACCGCGCCGCGCTCTCCAAAGTCGACACGGCGCTACGCATGATCCAAACCATGTCGCACGACCATGCCTTCGCTCAGCGCGCCTACACCTTCGTGCAGCAGCTTCTCGGGTACATGCACCCGGCCACCGTCGCCGCAACGGCCGCCCAGCAGCAGCAGCAACGGAACCACGACGCTATTCCGCCCCTGCATCCTGACCACGGGGGACAGTTGCCGCTGCCACAACAGCCGCCACAGCCGCCACAGCCACTGCAGCACGAGCACGAGCACGAACACGGCAACGTCGAGCCCATCCCCAGCCTGCACACCCTCTACGGATTCACGCAGGACCTGACCGACAACCTGGTGAATTACCTGGACACCTTCGACAACTCGGGCTTTGCGGACGAGCCGTGGTCGTCGACGACGACAACGAACGACCAAAACAACATGCATATGACGGGGTTCAGTAACGTTATGTAGGTCATTGTTATCAAAGCAGTTGTCACTCCTGCTTGGTATAATGGAGTATATGTATGTATGCATGCACGGTATCAGCAGGGTTGATCGCGTCGCTACTCGCTTTTACTTTGCTTTTATTCTGCAGATGTCTCCTCCTTCTCCTTTCTACTCGTTTGGCTCGCTCGCTAGCGAGCTGCATAACTCTTTTCAAGCCATCACGAAGCATAGCGTCGACCATTGCGTATTATGGACTCCCCAACGCCGATTCCTGGTCATTTCCGCTGCTGGCGGGTACTAATCGCCTAGCGATCACCTCGTGAACTTCATCTCAACATCCATGACGCGAACGGGCCTGATGATTTCTTCTTCCCCGAGCCTATCGTGAAAAGAGTGTGTGAGTATAGATTTTTCACACAGATCTGACGCCCCGACCGAGGACGGGAAAGTCACGACGCACCTTTCTTTACAGCTCTGGGTGTGGGGACTTTGCCCACCTCGCGATTTGCAGTGGGACGGGTTTCATGCTGGGAGGGAAGCTTGGTCTCGGTCCCGGGCTCGGTCTCGAGCGGAGGCTCGCGCAGTGGCTACATGCGCATTGAGATGTGCATGCCGGGCTTGATGGTCGATTCCCAGTAGTCAGGCATAATGATCACGCCAAGATCTCCAACTAGGTCGTATTTTCCCGCCGCGATATGTTCTTCGATGGGCTCGATCATCGAAAAGGCCGAGACGATCAGAGCTTCCATGTCCTAGGTGAATGGAAAAGAAATATCAGCCGAGCGCCTGAAGGGACAACAGCGGATTGATCAAACCTTACCTTCCACCTACGGCACCTTTCGAAAGGAAAGGCATATATGCGCCCAATCGCATCATGGAACCGCACAGGAGCCAACACTTCTGGCGGCGGAGCCGGAGCTGCCGCCGCGGCTCTCTTTTTGCTCTCATTCAACAGAGCCCTTGCGCTAGCTAGCCTCTGTTCAATTTCGATCAGTGTTTCGTCCTCTTCCGTCCCAGCTCTGGCTCGGGCCAGTGCCTCTTCAGCCTCGTCCAGCTTCGCCTCCCAAGCTTGGAAGGTTTCAGGGCTTGCTTCCTCCTGATTCCGTTGCTCGTCCAAGTTGTGATCTCCTGGACTGGCAGCAGATGCGATACGGTCGACAGCTTCTGGCACCAATGCGGTGTCTCCTGGGACACGGTTCTCAAGTTCCGCTTCAGCCGTGACCTCTACATCGGTAGCCGTTTCCTCGTAGCCAGGCTCAACACGAAGCCATCCTTCCTCCACCGCCTCCACGGAAGGCTGGGGTACGTCTTCTCGACGGGGAGCCCGCTCTGCTTCGTCCTGTTTTGCGGGGTGCGGCACAATGCGTATTTGCGTTTCCGGAGCTGAAGGTTGTCTTGTGGTCAAGCAAGTTTCTTGCAGCGCCGTTGTTACGGTGTACACCTCGTGATCGTCCCCTCGCGCCTTACCGTTCGTGACCTCCGCCGGCAGCGACGCTTGGAACCAGGCATGTTGGGAAGCAGGTCCCGCGGCCAGACGTTGCGACGGATGAGGGTTCAAGAGCTCCTGGACAAACAGGATGCCCTCGTCACTCACTTCCCTTTTGCGGAGGGCGTCGGCCGGAAACGGACCTCTGCCGGAGCAATACCTGTTCAGAGCATAACGCCCGGCGAAAGGGATTACCTGGGAGAGCATATAGTATACGACACAACCTAGGGACCAGATGTCGACGGCGTTAGTGTATTCGGACGTCTCTTCGGCCTCTTCCACGTAACCCAATACCTCGGGAGCTTGAAAGAGTTCTGTTCCGACTTGCGTCCGGAGTGCCGTCTGGTCGGAGGCGACGCGCTTGGAGATGCCAAAGTCGCCGATCTTGACCCACCATTGAGGCGCCTTGGCCACCACGAAAATGTTCTGCGTGTGGTCAGGCTGGTCAGGGGCACCGCTGAATGTGAGGCGTGTATGGAAGGCACCTACCTGAGGCTTTAGATCGCGGTGGGTGAATCCAATGCCGTGCATGAAGCCTAAGCCCTCGAGTAATTGTTCGCAGATGGTCCTTGCGCCGTCCTCGGTGATGCCTCGAGCAATATAGTCTGTCAAGTCACCGTGGGGGAGGTATTCCATGGCGAGAAAGACGCAGTCGTCGTCCTCGTACCATCCATGGAGCGTCACAAACAGATCTTGACGCTGAACATGATCGTCAGCCGCAGACAGACAGACAGACAGACACACACACACACACATATGCACCAAGCAACGTACCCTAGAAACCTTCGCCAGCGCCAACAGTTCTCTCCTGTAGTCAATGTTGACCGACTCCATGCGGCGCTTCTGGATCCTCTTGACCGCCCTCACCTGCTGCTGATTGTGCTGATCGTGCTCCGTGCACGTCTCGAGCCAGACCTCGCCAAACGCCCCGTGGCCGATGTGTCTTAGCCTGTCCCATCTCTTCTGGACCTCGACCGTCCGCACGCCCCGGGCGGGATCCGACACCCGCTCCACGTGGACGGTGTGGTCGGCGTGGATCTGCGCATCGAGCTTGAAATGGTCGACCAGGTCCCAGCTCATGGGGAGTCCGCTCGCTGTGCTGTGCTGTGCTGTGCGGTGGAGATGTGGGCGCGGCTCGCGGGGACGGGGGGCGGGAAGGGGACGGCTCGTGGCGGGTGGTGGCGCGACAAAAGATTATATATGAGGAAATATATCTCTCTCTCCCAGAGGGGATATCCGCGTCATAAAATCTCCAGCCCTCCAGGGAGAAGAGTTCTATCTTATACGACAGCAGGCAGGGCAAGGCGTGGGAAAACCCAGAGTTGAGGCAGCGCAGTGACTCTGTGTATGAGGCTGAGGCCAGTGAGGCTGGTGACTTAGCGAGCCATAGTGGAGGGCTTGGGTTGTTCTAATACATCCCAAGCATAGCGTCCGTCAGGAGCTAGGGAGCAAACGTGGAGCTCGTCCGACCGGAGGGATTACAGTACAAGAGGATTAGCGCGAGAGCGCGAGCTTCGACAGATCTGGGAGCCCTCTACGGAGTATTCAAACTACGTGACTACTTACAGTAGATTTAGACTAGACGATACCAGAGAGCAAGCCCTTCAGTCGGACTCCATTAATATTTAAGAGGACGTACCTGATTGTACCTTACGGAAAGGATTAACTGGTAAGACGCTTAACGAGCTCTTCGACGATAAAAAGGTCAGCTCGTAACTATCCTCTTATGCAAAGCCATACTACTCCAGGATGAAGTACCTACTAGTCTAGGACTTTGTTCACAAGATTATACTCCTTTCCCGGTCAGTGGGCAGCGGATCAGTTGCTGTACAGCTTCTGGTTCGCCACGCCTGACTGTCAACCACAGCGCAGTGATTCTGTCTCTGCATGTGAGGCTGAGGCTTGTGACTTAGCGAGCCATTGTCTTCAGCTAGTAACGAAGTGGCAGCACGGAGTACAATAGACACTGATAGCTTGCTGTTGGACCACCAACGAGACGTCCAGCGGCGGATCTTGACCGCTCTCCAACCCATCTCGACCCAAGTGAGCCATTTTGTACACCACCTTGCACAGAATGCGTCGCGGCCGTGTGTTGAGATCGATCCGACAAGTATCCTGCCGACGTAACCAGACTAGAGCTGCTTGTTCAAACTTGTCTCTTGCATCCACTGCCGTCCATTGACGAGCAGTCGCTTCGCCACCGAAGCACTTCCATAGGCGGCTGCCCAATGTAATGGTATTGCCCCCTTGCAATCTGGCGCTTCGATGTCGGCACCATATTCAAGAAGGAGTCGGACGCCAACCTCGTCGTCTCCATGGGCTGCCCAAAGCAATGCGGTCAGTCCATCAGAATCCCTCATGTCGACGCTCGACTGGTTGGTCAATAGAAGTTGTAGCAAGTCCATGTCCTTGCGTGTGGCAGCGAGATGCGACAGAGGGCGCAGAGCATTGAAGCGGAAATTGGGATCTGCTCCCTGTTTTAGTAGGGATCTGACTTTGTCTTTGTCTGTTGCCTCGAATGCCCATCGGAGACGTGTAGTTGCGAGCAATCGCTCGGTCTCAACCCGGGTCTCACCCCCTTTGCCCAGGTGTTTGAGGAACAGCTCCACAACTTTATCGTGCGCCCAGTCCGCAGCTAGATGGACTGCTGTCTTACCGCTATATTCTTTGGCGAATGCGTTCGCTTTGTTGCTCAACAGGATCTGTCCTGCTTCTTCGTTCCCCTTGTCTGCCGCCAAGTGCAATGCTGTCCTCCCCAAGTCGTCGGTTTGGGAGATATCAATGCCGCTCGAGATCAACGTCTTCATAATCTTGCCACAACCAATTGCAGCTGCAGTATGAAGTGCCGTACAGCTCCAGCTAGAGGTCGCCGATGGATCGGCACCCTTGTCGAGGAGCAGGAGGACTAAAGCCTCGTTTCCGCACCGCGCAGCTTTGACCAATGGGGTTTGACAGTCAGAGAGCTGCTCGACATCTGCCCCATTCTCAATCAGAACTCGCACAATGTCGACATGGCCCATTTATTTCCACGGCAATGTCGAGCGGGGAAATTGCATTTTTGTCCTTGCGGCCGTTACAGTCTGCCCCTGCGTCTAGGAGGACTTGCACGACAGGCAGGTGTCCCATTTCAACGATCAAGTGCAATGGCGTGTATTCGAGGTCTGCTTTGGCGGCGATGGTGGCTCCCTGCTGCAACAGCCAGGAGACCATTTGAGTGTGGCCTTGGGATGCCGCTAGGTGAAGGGGTGTTGGTGTTATACCTTCATACACTTGAGCATTCAGGTCGACATTTTCCACCAGCAAATCGTCCGCAATCACAACGAGACCGAGCCAGACGACGACGTGTAGTGGAGTGGAACCCTTTACCTTACCCAGGCAGCTCTGAAGGCAGCGCCCTTTATATTGCCTCATCTCCATAAGAAGATTCAATTGTGTGTTAGTGTTTTTGCGTACATGTTCCAAGGCAAGCTCACGGACATCTTGGGTCATTCCGTCGCGGACGTGATGGCTCCAGTCGCTGACCGCATACATCAAGAAGGGATGATGGTCGAGAAGCCTGCGAAGGACTGTCCTGCCGTGTTTGTCTTCGAACTGGCTGAAAGTCAAATATGTAAAGCATGCCTTGATGATGGATGATGGGCCTTCAGGAAACATGGATGTACGAACACGGTGAAAGTAGCTTTCAGCTGTGTAGTGCACCAAGCGAATTTGATCGCTTTCCTCGTCCACAGTCACAAGGCCGGCACATACCGAGACCATAAATTCCTTGTCATATATGCCGTCTTCGTCGAGATCGTCATCACCTGGCTCGACCGCCAGGGCGTGTTGTAGTTCTGTAACGGTGAGGGGTCGGGGCGAATATGAAATCCACCACAGCACTTTGTGAGCTAAGACAACCTGGTCCTCGTCTTGATTATGGATCCGCTGCATGGCCTGACCATAGACCTCGTCGAATTCCTTGGGTAGACCACGTAGTGCCCTCCGGAGCTCGCGGCAATTGAGCTTTCTTGCCAGGTTATCCATATGTAGCTGAGCAAGCAGAAACCTTGTCCACGAGCGAATGTTAGTATGACACAACACAAGAAAATAAGACAACGAAATCCAAGATGTAAAGTTAAACGTACATGCCTTCACTTCTTTCAACCACGGTCTTGATAATTTCTTCCATTAGGTCTGGTTCTGTTTCGACATGTCTTTTCAAGAACTTCTCCTTTTCGATGCGGGCTTCGATATATCGCTCGACGTCTTCATCGGCGGCGCTGATATAAATAGCCGGGACATGCTCGAATCTCTCGTTAATCTCTGGGGAATATGTCGAGGTCACGAGGATGCGCGCATTCGAGGGCAACTTTTGAATCTCGTCGAGTAGTCTCCCCCTGGTGTTGTTGTGTTCGGGACATTCGTCAAGAGCATCTATTATAACGCATATGATTACGTAAGTTTCGATTTCTTATGCAAGCAGCTGGGAGAGGTCTGCCAGTCTGGGGGGAGTATTCTGCTCGAGGTGTTTTTTGTAAAGGCTCAGCACGTCAGCAGGCAGTGCACGCTTGTGTTTGACAACCTGCTTCAACAAGCTTCCCATCAAGTTCTGTACTGTTTGAACTTCTTCTTCTTTGTAGTTGCAGTACAGGTAGATCACAGCAAAATCATCCATGCCTTGGAACTCTCGCTCAAGCATATCGATGACTTTTGACCTGTTGAATGTGGATCAGCAACCTTGTAGACAACCGAAGAATATTGTTCCGGAATAGTTTCATACGCTAAGACCGTCTTTGCAGCGCCCGCTGCGTCTGTCAGCAACATTACTAGATGAATAAATGGGTATAGTCGAGCTTACGTAGCCCTGGACACCATAGCATTTTCTCCTCTCCCGCTAGCCATTTCTCGAACCAGTGGAAGAACCAGTCTCCGGTGTCAACTTGTCCACGGTTGAGATTGTCAGCCTGTTTATCTGCGAAGTCGAGGCTGGAGAGCCAGGCAGTAATTTCATGAAATTCTTCATCTGTAGAATCTCAATGGTTAAATCGACCTATTTGGGTTTCTAGAGCATAGTTTTGCATACTCACCTTGTCTTGCCGTAACAGCTCCATCAATCGCCTCCGGAACGTCCTCTTTAAGGTCCACCAGAGGCCTCACAAATGGTCATTTTGCAATGCATGCATAACGAGCGTCTTGACTTGTTCAATCTGCCTAAGGACTTCCTCGATCTCTTTCTTGTCGAGCGTCCAGATCAAGGCTCTCCCTACCTTTTGAAGTCGCCGTCTAGGTGGCTCAAACTTTGTTGCCAAGCGTTCCAATTGGTCTCGTAGCTGATCGAGAGGCCCTCCTTCAGTTCCCAAGCTGCGAGTAGCCCTGAACCATGCATCCGAGGTAGACTGGGATTCTTCTACCCGGTATCTCAGATCAGTTAACATGGCTAGAAGGCTCGAAGCATGCCGGGCGAATTGTGCCCGCTCACTCGGAGCATCCTTGACGTCGTTCACATAGCCAATGATCTGCACTGTTGTCTCAATTAGCGAAGGAAGGGAGGAAGCAAGGCCCAGCGCCGAAACGGGATCCATTGCTGAGAGTCGTGCCAGTGAAGTGTGACAGGCTGCGTGCAATTGATGCGGATGAACTCCACTGCCGAAAATGCTTCAGTTCTTGCGATGGTTTGGTTTAACCTCTCTTGCAATCCGTTGTTGGCTCACAGCTGGTTTTTCTTGCATTCACTGTTTCCAGCGGCTTATATTGGGGTTTGCTCTCGAGCTTTCTGTCCAGTGGGCAGCTTCACCGTAGTCAGTGGTATAAGGACGGTGTAATAAAGTCGGACAGAGGATGAAGAGCCAGCAGATCTCTTCTATTCTTCTATTTCTTTCTCTGCTGTTTAGCTGCAATTGAGTCCCTGCCTCTTCTTCTTGGGCAGAACCGTGTCGTTCCCTCTGGTCATGTAATCAGTTTAAGTCCGAAATCTTGAATGGTATTTCTTACGGCTTGAACAACCAGACTTGACCAGCCGCCTGCCAAGTTTCTCGCCGTCGTTTCGTGGTTCGCCTGTTTTTGACTTCGCAAAAATGCCTATCTTATCGGCTGACAATGAGCGCCGTGAGAGCGAAATACTATCCATATCCCAGGCAGAAAAAGGAGCTTGACGGAATGGGGTGGTGGAAGAAGGCTGATCTGCCATATTTGCTTCGAGCACGAGAACATGGAATCCGCCGGTCGCCAGCGTAGACATCGCTTGGTTGCAATTGAAATGGTTTAATTGCTGTGTCTGAACGCTGTAATGGAAACTTTTTTTCGCTTGCCACAACAAGACAGCAGGCCTTGCAAGGAATTTCTATACCATATCTTTTCTGGCCCAAGGGATCCACGGCAGAGTGTAAGTTAATATGAGAAGCGTTTTGTTGCCACTAGACCTTAAACCCGTGTCAGAGCAGTTGAAAATTCCTCCGCAGCTCCTGCTTCGTGGGACAGGTGAGATTTCGTCCAGCCTGGTAGGCTTTTTCAGCCACAACCCACCAACAGGCTTCCTGCATCGATCGACCTGGTCAGAACATCGCCTTTACCATTGGCCACAGCTGTTGCCACGCCTATGACATTCTGGATATGAGAAGAAAATCCTCGTTGCAAGATATCCCAGATTCGCAATATGGATCCAAAAACTGTGCTCCTGTAGACGATTGTCTCAGCTTCCGCGTCCTCAATGAGAGACACACATCAAGCGTAGCCTGAGCATCACATGACCGGGAGGCAAGAGCAGGACTGCCACCCGGCGATGTTCAGGATGAGGGGGTTGGGCATAGGGTTTAGCAGGCTAAGCAGCATGCGCAGAGGCGCTTTTGCCGCCACTGAATAGCATTTCATACTGAAATCTCATGCAAACGCAACACCACCTAGAGTCATATTAGCCAAGGGTACAGTGAATTGAGTTGCCGTGGTTGTTCACCTTCTCAATGTACCGAACTCCCACCACGATGCCGTCTTCGTCCAGAAACTCGTCTTCATCGCCAAAGCCATTGTCTGTCCTATCCAGGCACGTCAGACAGGCGAGGGCAATGCTCATGAACTTGTTGCCCATACGGCTCGCCAGCCGCGTCGACGCCAGATCAATCAGGGTGCGTTTCACCATGGCTGCCTTCTTGCGCTGGTTACGCTCTGCCTGGACGCTCCCTATGTCGAGCACGGGACTGGGCACGAGCAGACCGTCGTCGTGCCGCTGGACTAGAGACGTCCACAACCCGATTTCCAGCAGCATCACTCCGAGGCTATAGATGTCATGTTGCATCACATAGTCATCCTCGGGCTGGAGACCCTGCCGAAGTGGGTGGCGGTAGAGGTTTTTTTCCCAGCACAGGTCTCCCTGGCGGAACGTGTGCCCATCAAAAGGACGGAATTTTTCAAATCCTACCAAAAATGGTGCGGCAAATGGAGAGTCATCGCGGCGGAACACGATCGTGGTCTCGGGCCTGATGTTCTTGTGCACGAATTTGGATGAGTGGATGTACATCACTGACGAGGCGAGTGAACGGGCCAGGACGAGTCGCTCATTCAACGAGTAGTCCCATTCATTCTGAAGCAATAGAGTCCGCAACGAAGTCGGATCGCGGAGACCACTGGGGATCGAGAAGACCAATTCGAATGTCTCAAGTTGCCCGCTTCCCGGGATTCCGGCTCTCTTCGTGACTCCCAGGCACTGTAACAAGCCGAATACCAGCGGGTCCGATTTTGAGAGGATCCTGGCCAAGTCTCGAACCTCTTTTGTCGTCCTGTTAAGGTCAGCTTCGGGATGTAGAGCAATCGTGTCCACGAGCACACGCTGCGAGTCAGCCTGGGTCTCGGCGACCTGAGCAGTCGAGAAGGGGATTTCATCTCGCTTATACGCGAGGCTATCAGATGTGAGCCAGATCGAATTGCTGTTTCCCGACACAGACTCAGACTGTGCTGCCTTGACTACTTCTCTCAAACCCTTCAGTGTTGAGAGAGAACTACGATCGTCCGTTGGCCGGTCCCTCAGTTGGTTGTCAATGGTTTGGCTGGAAACGCGGGTGATGAGAAACCACGACGGGTCGAACATGTCGTGCCACTTCTTGAGGTCTTTCACCGAGCGACTGAGGCAATCTTCCAGAGTTAATGCATACTTCCACGCACGGATACCACCCTTCTTCCTAATCACCGCATCGATGGAGCTCTTATCTGCTTGGGGCCCGATGGTGCTGTCGAGCAAGTCGTTGGCTTCTTGAAGCTTGAAATGCAGATGTTGGAGAAGATGGTGTTGATGTAGTTGAAGCCTCTCGTCGAGGCTGTTCCATACACTCTGGAGAAATTGGATCTGGTATTCGAACTTGATCCAGTGGTCTTCAACGCAGAGGATTAACTCTAGGATTTCACGATCGGCGCGCTTGAAGGCTCGATATTTATCGACGAGCCTATTCCCATGCCTAAAGAAGCCATCAGATCCTAGTCATCAAGGGGCTTTCCAATTACTCTGTTTTGGATGATATTGATGATTGATGCGGCCATACTTGATACAAAGCTCGACAGTTGACAACACCGCCAGCGGAGTCCCAACTGGATCAACCATGGCAGAGCCGATCGCGACAATCGCTGCGGTACGAACAGTAGTCAGATCGATGCTCCGGCGTGAGAGCAGGTCCCTGCATGTGCTATATGTAGATGAATTATTCAGGTGTCTGTCTTTTTGGTAGCGGACAGTACAAAAACTGTGGCATTTGGTGCCGATGAAGTTGACGGTTGTTGCGTGGAACGGCGGAATATCAACCAGTCCAACCGGACATCGAGCTACATACGGAGTACCCCGTGGCTATGAAATATTAAACATGACCTCTGAAGAAGCCTCTACGCCCGACGGGAAACCACAAACCTTGGCGCTACCAGGTCCTGTGGCTGTCGTTTATTATCTGCATACTTGGTCCGCTAATCCACAGGCCGTGTCCTGCCAAATGATCAAAAGAATCCAATTGAACTTGTCCGCTCCCTCAGCCTGACCATCAGATCATAAAGTTATCCGTTTCCAATATCTTGCCTCCCAGCACCCGCCATGGAGTGGATGCCATATGAAGGCGACGAGCAGCTTGGTGAATCCTTAGTGAGTCGAAGCTGTGGGGTACGATCTGAATCCATCCAGCAAAGACCACTTGCACGGAGGCGAATCTGTTGGTCAAAGAATGTCAGTGCCACTGTGGTGTAGTCATAACGACAGCAATAACACTGCAACAACGCAGCCTGAGCACACGGAATCGAACACGCAGGGAAACGGACATGTTACAACAATCCGCCTCTAGATTCTAAAATGGACCATGCACTGATAGGCAGGTGACATTGCAGAGACAGTCGCCGCAAAGATCTGTGGCCACCTTGCCGGCGTGGAGATAGTCAGGAAGATCGAAAAGAGTCAAGAATAGGCGAGGAGGACGCCCAGTCGCTCAACCACGTTGTTGACAAAGTAAAGAGTGAATATCGACGCCGCGGGGGTTGACGGATGCAAGCACGACTCCAACGAGATGCGAAATCGCACGCACATGGTCTTTGCAATAATTGCAGATGCCCGACTAGTCATCGTTGCTCCTTGAATTGCTCAAGCACACTGCTGACCTGCACGTAATCGCGACCTACAAAGGGCATTCCCCGTATCACTTTGACGCGGTTGGTTCATGCAGCTCTCCTCCCACCAAACGATTGATGTGTCTCTGGTGTTGCGGAAATGGCTCCACATTCTGGTCAGAACTGGCATTGGTCTCGGAGAATGTGGAAGAACAGAACTCGTTCTGAAACAGCGCGACCTCTGCCCCTGGGAAATCCTGGCCGATACGGGAACTTCCTGCGCGTCTTTGGTGCTCTGTGAATTGAGGTCCTTGATTCTCCAAAACCGGGCGAGAAACCTGAGGTTCGGATTATCAAACGGGACCTCGTTAATTGCGACACTCCAAAAGAGACATCAAACGAGAAAGCAGTGGGCAGAGAACGGTATACTGGCACGGTAAGCACGGTTCAAGAGGACGAGATCACGGACGAATCGGAGATATCGAGACGTGTGCAAATGCTATTTGGTATGCGTGACACCATATCCATGTGTTGACCAAGCCGGATCATCTTGATAGTGTGCATGTACGATAGGTACGACAGCTTAGACGCTCAGGGGTTTTGCGGAGTGACAATTGATGAGCAGACAGATCCCTAGCCATTACGCTGATGGATGGAGGTATATCATTGCTTCGCCACGTTTCTATCGACAAAACTCCAATACTCTCAGTAGGCACCAGGCAGCCCGTGGCCTATTCGTGGCAAGGCTGCTTCTAACATACCAGTCCGTTAGTCGACAGCTCAACGCCAGGATGGGACAATGGCAGAGAGTTAGGGATGATGAGGTCGTTGGCCAGATGTCGGGTCTTCAAGTCTGATGGTATATCTCTCTGGGTATGTATCCATGGGTAATCCCACATTCCGTATTTTGAGACTATGTCCATATAGGATCTACAGATTGGAAATCAACACTATCCATTCAAGCATACGCTCAAACCTACCATGATCTGAATACTTGGGGTTTCTCCAGCGATCAATCAATCAGTAAGTCAACCAGCCAATCAAGGGCACTGGCGTGACGTTGAACGAACCGTCTCTCTCTACAGACCCTGTCCCGAGAACTCCATCTGTTTCAGATTTTGAATATTTGGTTTTTCGGGTTTGTAAGCGATGCATACGAATTGAGTTTCGATACACGAGAAGAGGCGATCCGAATCCCCCAGTGGAATATGATTTGCGAGGCTGAATCCATCTGGCGGACTTTTGCGCCGGATTGGTCATAGTCACTTTTTTTGATGTCACGGTTACTGCTATATCGATCTTCGTCCTCTGAACAAGTAGAGGTGCTAGACTGTAGTGCTGTCTGGATCTTTCTGTGTTGTCACTGCATATAGATGGCTATGATGCTGACAAGACTGCGGTTGTCTCAGGGTACAAAGACACGGGCATATCTGTCCATATAGAGTTGGTTCATGTGATCCGAGTTCCTTGAAGTAAAAGTCATCGGAAATAGGCCAAATATGGCTGCTGTCAACATCACATCCCGCAGCGCCTACCGGCGGACCGACGACTACACGCCGGGCAAACCGCGGGTGCAGCTGGTGACAGAACCACTCCCGCTTGCTCTGGCGGCCACGTCGGTCTTGATCAAGGTGCACGCCGTGTCACTCAACTACCGCGATGCCAACATCGCCAATGGGGGCAACCCGTGGCCGGTGACGGCGCACGGGATCCCGTGCAACGACGCGGCGGGGGAGATCATCGCAGTCGGTGAAGGCGTGAGGACCCTCCAGGTCGGAGATCGCGTGGCGCCCATCATCGACACTGAGAACCTCACTGGGCGTGAAGCGACGCGATCGTGGCTAGCCGCCGACGAGGACGGCGTGCTCGCGGACTACCTGGTATTTGGTGAGGAGAAGCTCACCAAGCTGCCGCAGCACCTGGACTGGGCCGAGGCCTGTCTCATCCCATGCGCTGGGGTGACGGCATGGACGGCGTTGAAGAATGTTGGGGTAGGGAAAAGTGTGTTGATCCAAGGTGTGTTCCTTCCTGTCAGCTCAAGGCACGTGCATGTATATAGGGAATGTCAGAACCCTCCAACTGACCAAAGACGGATGTGACGAGGCACCGGCGGCGTCGCCATGATGGCCCTGAAGCTCGCGCGTGCGGCCGGCCTCAAGGTGATTATCAGCTCATCGAGCGACACCAAGCTGGCACGGATCCAGGAGCAGTTCTCCGAGAAGCAGCGGCATCAGCCGCCGGCGATTTCCACCGTTAATTACGCCCGCAATCCTCAGTGGCACGAGGAGGTGCTGCAGCTCACCGACGGCGAGGGGGTGGATCTGGTCGTGGAGATCGGCGGCACGCAGACCTTGGTCAAGAGCATGAAGTGTACGCGGCGTGGCGGGATCATCAGTCAAGTTGGATATCTCAGCAAGCAGAGCCTGGACGACCTGGCCGAGTTCCTCCCGCTGCTCATCGATCGAAGAATCATCCTGAGGTGAGCGAGCGAGTATTCCTCCGTGATGCGCATGCTGAAGTCGCCCAATGCCACGACGGAGACTAAGTCTAGGCAGGGGAATCAACGGTGGATCGAAACTCGAGCAGGAGGATCTCTGTGCCGCGTTGTCGGCTACGCAACTGAGATTCAACGACATCATCGACAAGGTCTACCCCTTCGCGCAGGCCGACGAGGCCATCGAGGATATCTGGCAGGGACGACAGGTGGGGAAGCTCGTGATTCGGATTCCGTGAGAAGGAGAAGGAGAAGGAGAAGAAGGAGAAGGAGGAGGAGGAGGAGAAGGGAGAAGGGAGAAGGGAGAAGGGAGAAGGAGAAGAAAAGTGGACAGGTTTCATACCCGCGAGTTCATTCTATCGGGAATAGAAAGAAATGTGGTCGGCGTGCTTGCAGTCGAGCATCAGGGAGAGTTACCGTATAGTAGCTCTCACAGCCGTAGTCCTGTACATAAACCGATCTGTGCGAGGACATCGGATGACCCTTGTTGACAATGGACTTGTGCGGGCGTTGCCAACATCGCATGTTCATGCACTAATCTCGTAGTGCTACTGGCAGTCGATCGTTTATTGTTGGCAGATATAGATGTGATCATGTAAGCCGACTCTTGCAAGGCAACAATTGTTTCAGCATTCTCAGGGAACCTATTATCCAGCCATTCAACCCAGTTGGAAACCACAGCCGAGAACATATAAGGTACAATCACCTCGAAGTCTTCCTGGACGTTATTCGTCGTCATCACTGTCGATCACTCTCCTAGCACCTTTCCGGCGCGCGTGGTTCGTGACTTTCTCTCTCGCCCTCGGAGAGGCACGCATCGCAGCACTCCGGACTTTCACCTGCTGTGCGTGGATCTTCCTCGTCTTAGGGGAAAACAGGTCCTGTAGATCAGGCAGGTAATCGTCTATCGAATCGTAATCGATGCTTTGCTGCGAGACGTTAAAGCGCTTCTCGACTCGGATTGCTACGTCCTTGTGGACAGGGGATGAGCTACGTAGCTTTCGTAGCGGAGAAAATAGATCGTCGTCTGTGCCACCATCGCTCCCTGACTTGGCTTGCCATCTGGGCCTTGGTGGGGGGCAACCTCCAACATCTTCTCCATCATCGATGAAACTGTCATTGTCGTCGTATTCGCCGATGGAGCTGCTCCTGACGGCGTCGCTGGCCACGTTTGTTCGGGTATATGTCCGAGATTTCAACTTGCTGCTGGAAGCTTCGGTCGTACGCGCCGGTTTTTTTGCTTCCGACAATTCGGGCAAAGATCCGTCGACTTCTGGCAACACCCCGTATTCCAATGGGCGACTCCAGCCTTGCCTTGGATCCCGCATGGCTTCAAAGGCTTTCACCAAAGTCTTAGTTGTCCTTGAATGTTTGACAGCATCTGTCTTGCCCAGGATTCGCTGTTGATCTGGGTAAGCATCGAAGCGCACACACTGGATATATTCGTCCTCGACCCCCGCGAGTCGAACATAGCGGTCTTCAAGTAGTCGCTCCTCTAACTCGGACAGAAGGACATCCTTCAAAGGAGGCAGTGTAGCCACGTCACGGTCGTTTCTTGCCTCCGGAGGGTTCGATGTCTTCTCTTTCGTTGTAGCTGTCGTCTTTTTTTTTCCCTTGCCCAGGAATGTGAAGCCCGTCTCAACGCCATCCGGCATGTGAAACTTCTTTGGTGGTTTTTTGGCCTTTCTGGCTTTTCGTCGGCTCGGCTCAGCCGAGCCAGGTTGCGTGTTCTCAATCGGGATCTCTATCACACGCTTGTCAACGGCGGGAATGAGTTCTTTTGGGACGATTCTGACCGATAGCTCTTCGTGGAAATTGAATTCCCTGCCGCTTGCTATCTTTTCTTGCATCTTTTGATAATTGTCCTCCGAATGGGCAAAATCGGATTCTTCCTTGCCCCGCATCATGAGCAAGACGATGTTTCCCGCCCGTTTACGCCCTGTTCGACCCATGCGTTGGAGCATCCGAATCGGCGATTTCGAGCAGTCATAACACACAATCAAGTCGACTTCGCCAATATCAAGCCCCTCTTCCCCGATCGATGTGGCGACAATTGTATTGTATTTTCCAGCCTTGAATTGCTTGATAACGTTCAACTGCGTCTTTTGGTCCATCCCTTCAGAGCCACCCTTCGTGCCTGACTGCCCCACAAAGACATGTGCTCGGATCATAGGACCATGGCGACTGAGTACCCTCACAATCTCCTCTGCGCTGTCTCGATAGTGGGTGAAGATCATGATCCTTGTGCCCGAAGAGCCAGTACTGTGACTGCCACTGGCACTCTCACCAGCGTCCATGAAATGGTTGAGCACAACCGTCTTCAAGTAGGACAATTTCGGATGCCCGATGAAATCCGGGTTGTTGATCCATCCTCTCAATCGAACCATCAATTTCTTAAAGTTATCGTCGTCCACAATTTGTTTCGCGTATTTCCCACCGCTGGAGGCTTCATCTGCGAATAGTTTCATCTTGTGGTAGAAAGGCCCGATGCCATGGTATTTCAACAGCTCGATGTTGTGGGCCAGACTCATCAGAGTGGTAGATATCGCTCTCACCATACCTTTCACAGAATGCTGAGCTCTTCTGCCTGCTTCTGAAGACTGCCACCTCTCCCAGGCCTTCTTCAGACCGAACAGGGTAATCATTCGTGGATCCTTCCCCCAAGAGGCGCCTTGGGAATGCAACTTATTCAGCAGTGGTTGCAGCGCTGCTGAAAGCATCTCCAACGACATAGTTATCTCCTCGGAGTTTTCAAAGACCTGGATTTCGACATTTCGCCTGTGGACGAACTCGCGTATATCCAGAGATTCCTCGGTCCTGATCTCGACTCTAGCGATCCCAAGACCATCGATCACTTCTTGTACCTTTTCTACGTCTTTGCCAGGAGTTGCTGTGAGCGCGAGGACTCGGAAACTGGAGTTGAATCTTCTCAAGAACTTGACCACCTCCACATACGCGTAACTTCCAGTCGCTTTGTGTGCTTCGTCTACCACAATCAACACGATCCTTTTTGGATCACAGTAGCCATGTTTTAGATCATTGATCAAGGTCTGAGGCGTCATGAAGAAGACCCTTTTCTCTTGCCACTCCTCTGCCCTGATTGCTGGCGAGACCTCTCCAGTCAGCATCGTGGTTTGCGATCGCGGGATGCCAGCGATATTGAAGCAGGCATCAACTTGCTGTGAGACGAGGGGTTTTGTCGGTGCGACGAAGACAATTTGCGCCTTTGTCGTCCATCGGTACCAATTCAGCATGATAGTGGCGGCAATGAATGTCTTCCCTAAGCCAGTCGGCAGCGCAACCAGAATGTTGTGGAAGAGACCCTTATGCACAATATTATATTGGTAGTCTCGGATTCGGCCAAGGTTTGTAGGATAGACCCACGTGGTCATTGCCTCATAATTCAACTCATGGTGAGACAGAGGCTCATTTCGGTTTGCTAGTGGCCAACTGTGCACTCTGGATTGCGATTGCGATTGCGTTGGTGCAGACTGTGTGGTATGGATCCCGTGCAGGGTTGTCTGACGGAACGAGTTGGATTTCTGTAGAAGACGACGTGGAGCAAGATTGCCATTGAGGCCGCCTTGTATAGGTACTGAGAATGTATTGCCATTGCTAAATGTTGGGTCACCATAGTCACCCAAGGCCTCGAAAAGTTCGAGATCGTCCTCGTCTACTTCAAACTCATCGCTGTGCGTAGCGCCCTCGGGTTGTCGGCCTATGATGTTAGTTTGACGTTTGGCAGCAGAAGACGAGGGTGAGGGGATCTTCCGAGGTTTCATCCATCTCGGTCCTCTGATTCTGGACGGACTGGAATGTTGCTGAGTTAACTGGGTGACGAAGGTGTCCGGAGGGCGGTCCCCATACTGAGGGACATGGATACGTTCTTCATACTTGGTTTTTTTGGTTTCTCTTATAGTCTCATCATCGTTTGGCGGTAAATCGTATTCGTTACGCTCCACGAATGGACTGTCATCGGAATGCGAGTCAAGACGGCGACGCTTGCGGGCACGCGGATTAAGATCTTGTTGAGAGCTAGGTACTAGGACATCCGAGCTGCATCCGGCCTCATCGTCTAGGAAGTCCATGTCTTTGGCGATTTAGACCACTGCTGAAGAGATGAGAACTCCGCGCAATGTCAAGAGTTAATGGTGGAGAAAGTGAGTGGCGCGTCATGCGCGCCAAGGATCGCGACGCGACGTCACGTGATGGAAGTCGCGTCTTTACTATATGAAGTCTCTCGACGCTGAGATTATTTATTGAACTCACACATCACCGTTTTATCGTGTGTCCATAGTCCATTGATGGGATGCCCGGCCGATCTTACAGGAAATCTTAAGGATCATCCGTGGACCTGCTGCTGGACCCTTTTCCGCTTTATAATACAGCCTACCCGCACTCAAAGATACACGGTGCGGCGATGAAGCCAGGATCCTGGGTCCTATGCAGGCTGCTGCCGTATTGTTCTGTTGTTCGGAACAGTATGCATGAGCTCATCTCACTTACCCCTCTGGCGCGACTGATGCGAAGTACCTGCAAAAACCGCCGGATGCTACCATCAAGACCGGGATAGGGTATCATTCGGATTTTCCTGCTGCGCATTGACGTCTCGGTCCTCGAATCCACCCTTCGAAGGCCGAAGATCATCACCGCGACATCTACACTGGAGACATCGAAACGACTGGCGTCAGAACAAAAACCTTATGGCCATCTTGCGGGTTAAGGTTATCAAGCATCTCACAAAGCTTCTCTGGGATACAATCGTTTGTAGAGAATTCAATCGTCTGAGAACTGTGGAGTCGAGTCCTTCGCCGCCTACAAGGAACGTCGTGTAATCCTGGGACATCTACTGAGTATCAGCTGTTTCGACGTTGCCGCTCGTTGGTTTCTTTGTCGCTGGGATGCTCCGCTGTATAGAGGGCCAGAAGCGGCGTTGCTGACCGAGTTGCAGCGCTGCGATCCACCAACACTTCGTATCTTCTTCCTTTGATCTGGGAATTGACGTGGATCATATCCGGAGAACGAGTCAAGGGACCAATTACCAGCCAACCTTTCCATCAATAACCATTGAACAACCCTGACGGAAAATCCGCCGTGATTGACAGCTCTTTTACTAAAATTCGCCGTCATACCTGCCATTCGTCTGCCCTTGCGCCACACCGGATATTGTGGTCCGCTGGGAGCACAAAGTCGAAGCACTTGTAGAACTTTTCCGGAAGTTTCTGTCATCGGTCTCGCCATGTTGAGCCAGGGCTGGTGGTCGTGTACGTCTTGGGAACGCGACTGACGCCCTCTACGAAACCTGCGTCGGGTGAATCTGGTTTTGTCGCGACAGCACAGCGGCAGCCTTGTCGATGAATTTTTGCTCGCTACACATTGTACGTGATGTGATGCCAGTGGATCTAAGCGCCATCACGGGGAGGCAGCGCCTGGGGAAATGGAATGAGCAGCCGAAGTTCGACAGAACACGAGGGCAATTTCCGACGGTCGATGGTGGTCTGTGTTTGTACGTTGGGGGAAATTTGGCCCACAATGATGCCAACATGCAAATCCCCGATCGAGATCAACGGGCAGTGAAAACTCTGCGCCTATTCTTCCGGCAACGAGAATCCCGTCGCATACCTGCCGATAGATATGTAACAGGCACTCGGAGTATCGAGTTCTCTGCCTGGTGTGCGCGTCGAATCGTTGAGACGACAAATGAAGTCCAAGACTCGGCGCAGTCTGAGACATGCATCACTCGCCACAACAAACAATGCGGGCAATGGCCGGGCGCACCTCATTTGTCTCACTGGGCTGGGCAACTCGTCGAATCAGGCGTCACGGTCGGATCGGCCCTCGAAAATCAGCCCAAGAATCGTAACGTCCGATAGGGAAACCTAGCCTCAATTTCAGCTCCGTTGAAGCGGATCCCAGGAAACCCCTTCCGAGGCTGGCCAGTGGGCGCCGAGAAAAACTCGCTTCACGCTATCCGAAACAACTGTGCCTTGGACAGGCCTTGCAAAATGAGGAAATCCTGGGGAGATTTGACTCGTGCATCGCTTGCTAGCTGGGGAGGGCGAGTGTCAGAAGTATTTTACTCCCTGTTGCGCCCCAATCTGGCTGACCTGATCTGTGTTCTTGAAGCCATCTGTTGTTTGTATCCTCCTGTGCTGGCACTTTGCGCCGCGACACTCGTTTCTACGCTCGTTCTCACGTTCTTGATAGAGTCTGATTCGCTTTCACTTCCCTTCAACCCTCACTTTACTCCAGCAACTTCTGCCTCTCCTGTGGGTTTCTTTGCGACAACAGACATCTCGTGTAATTCCCTCCGGCAAAAGAATTCGGCATCAAGATGCGCTTCTTCACAGCTTTCACTACCTTTGGGCTGATCGCCTTTGCTGCCGCTCAAAATGCAACTACGACGGCCGAGTTGACCAAATCCAGCGTCGCCTCTTCGACTGGCGCTTCTTCTGCCGCTGCCACCGCATCCCTGAGCCCGCAAGTCAAGTGTCTGCAGTCCTGTAAGTCAGACCTGGAAGTGCCGTATCATGGATTGGTACTGAGATAGTTGATCAATTAGGTGGTTCGGCGGACGTGTGCTGCCAGGCGAAATGTGTCGGTGTCCCGTGCCCGTCTCAACTCCAGGCAAATGCGACCACGGAATGCGCTGCGCAATGCCCGCAGGGCAATGGTACCGCCGGCGAGACTCAACAATACGCAGACTGCCAGGCTTCTTGCATCAGCTCTTACTTCCTGACCGCCTCCTCTACCGCTGCTCCCACCGCCAGCCAAACCGGAAGCAGCTCGTCTGCCACGGGTACATTTGCTTTTGGACAAGGCAGTGCCACCACAACTGAGGGTTCAGCATCAGCAACCGGTGAGTTTCACAAACAAACTGTGGCTTTATTGAGTTACTGAAGACACTCGCAGCAGGCAGTTCTTCGGCAGGATCCGCTTCGGCGACAGGGTCGTCTGGCAACGGCGCCAATAACCTCCATGTTGGTAGCGTGGGACTCGGATTTCTGGCTCTTTTCATGGCTGGTTTGACTCTGTAAACCCCACCATCACCTGGTGGACCGGGGATGGCTTCAATTCTGAGAATGCTCATAGCTTTCTGGCGCATGCTTCCAATTTTCTGAACGACATTTTGACACGATGATTCTGGGGAGAGTTAACATTGAACGGTGGTAGCTTAGTTGTCTCCCTCTTTGGGCAACAGGGCCTCTTCTTGAAAACATGACTTGATCAATCATTCGAATTCGTTTGTGTGCAACAATCCCTTCCTACAGGCCAATGCTAGACCAGCTTGCCTAACGGAGCTGGGCACTGAGCTCAAGAGAGGCAACGAAAAGCCTCGGAACTGTAGTTGCTGCAAACAGCAGAATGCCAATTACATCACTCCTTGGCCTCGTGTGCTCTTTGCTCGGTGCTTTGTACCTGTTAACTATTATATTCGTTGAAGTAGGGACGTAGCGAATGCTGACCGCAACGGGCTTGGCAATGAGGCTGCGGATCTCAGGGCTTTCCGGACTCATCTCACCGTTGGATGCGCGCAGTTCTGATCTAATGTCGTCAGAGTGGCTCCCGAGCTTGCTGCATGTTTTTTTCTCCTTTCACCGCAAGAGGTAGGACTTAAGAGGAGTTTTTGAACCCATCTTCCATATCCTGCAAAGTCGATCATGTGAACCGTAACCCGCTTCTAGCACCCGATCCTGCCTTGTCGACTGTGAACCCGCGATACCGATGTTGAGAGCAACTTGTTGCAATTTGAGAAAAAGACGGGCATTGGAGTCTGGATACAAGAGCAATGGCAACGACAAAAAGGCCGGTCCTGAGTTCGCAGTATACCGACGACTACGAGTTGTCCACCCCTTCGTCTCGTGCCAACAATGACTTCCAGCGACGTATCGAAGCTTGGGTGGGCAGGTTGGTCACCGTCATCAGAGCCCCTAAACTCAGAAGAACAATAATGGCATTTGCCTTTGTCACAACCTGCTTGATCATTATGTGGATTAGGGTCATAGCTCCTCTCATTCAGGAAGGGAAATCTGCTTGGTCTGCCCTCAAGTCGAGTCCAGCGGTTGTAGACACCGTGAATGAAGCTAGCCATTCCAAGTTTCCGGGGATGGTGCTCGTCAAGACACTGGATCCTGCATTGCTGCCAAAATCTTCCTCGACTGATGCTAGCCACCAGTCCAAGAAGAAGAGGTTAATATTTGTTGGTGATATTCATGGTTGCAGAAAGGAGCTGGAGGCCCTGCTGAAGAAAGTACAATTTCATCCGTCAACAGATCATCTTGTTTCCGTTGGAGACATTGTTTCCAAGGGACCGGATTCACTTGGCGTGATTGACCTGTTGCGTCGCTACAACGCTTCGTGTGTGCGCGGAAACCACGATGACCGTCTTCTGCTGGCCGCGCAACGACTTCGACCGAAAGCGTCCGGGACGGGCACGGATCACGACCCAGAAATAGCACCCGTCGACGAGTCCGCTAAGGCGACTGACCCTGTGCAGAAGCTGGCAAAGTCGCTGAAGGCGGAGCATCTGGAATATCTACGATCTTGCCCGGTCATTCTTCGTCTAGGGGCATTGGAAGCTTTCAAAGGCGATGCGGTGGTGGTCCATGGTGGACTCATTCCGGGCCTACCCCTAAAGTCCCAGGACCCTGATTCAGCCATGAATATGCGAATCATTGACCTTGCAACCCGTTTACCCTCGAAGAAGCACAAGCAAAAAGGGAGCGTTGCTTGGTACAGATTGTGGAACAGATACCAACAGCTTCTTCCCGTGCAGCAGCGCTTTGAAAGCTTGAAGGATGATAAAGGTCGAGGACATGAAAACCACATGACTGTCATTTACGGTCACGACGCTAAAAAGGGATTGCAAATCCACAAATACACCAAAGGACTCGACAGCGGCTGTGTTTATGGAGGTAAATTGACGGCCTTGGTCGTGGATGGTCACGGGAAACAAAAGCTTTTTCAGGTCGACGGCAAAAACTATCGACAAGGAGCATCGCTTCCAGTGCATGTTCTTCGAGACGGTGCACACTGACATACTGCAGCCAAAAGGGACAGGCTGAGGCTGAAAGATATGGTGGCGCATAAAATGTCTTTCCAGCGTTGGTATTGCCGATGGGCGTTCGCCTGCCGTGGCTGAACCATGCAGCGGAACTGGACCCAGTCGCTAAACGGATACGTATGGAGGACAGTACACCCACCTTTACCGCGACGAGCGCGAGAGTGACCACGTTAACAAGGAGTCTCGACTGCGACTGAAGTCATCGTCAGAAATAAGACTCACCCACGCTGCAACCTCTTGCTCGGTGAGCCTGGTGGTCCCGTGGCCATGGTATTTGCATCCTGGTTCTGTGAAATGCTGGCTGGTCCATGCACCCCAGTGAATTCTTTCATTCGAAAATTCCCCTTTTGTCATCTCCCGTGTGTTCCGAAAACGGCAGGTTCTTCTTTCGTCTCACTTTGTCACTCTCGGCTTATTTTGGGCTCATTCAATCCTTTCTTTACGCGATTCCGCATTCAGCCTTCTTTCTTCTACGATCCCAGAGTCCCCTCTCATGTCAACAATGGAAGCTTCATCTTGTTCCTCGTACACCAAGGGTTGATGACACTCGAAGCTCAAGGCACGCTAAGACCCTCCATGAGAGATGGTGAAGAGCCAGCATTCACTTGAAGAATTACAGGTAGATTTTGCCCATTCCACAATGGATCCGTCCCATGAAATGTCAGAATCTGGCCGAGACGACAACGGGACGAGGCCGATTACTCCCACTGGCACGCTTTTCTCAGATGTAGGTCTGGGCATGGTAGCAACGCCGACTAAAGTGCAACGACCAGCGTCAGCAGCAAGCCGTCGGTCAGCAGTTGACAGCCCCAAGCGCAGCTCCTCTCCAAGCAGTGATCGAGAATTCGATCATGTAGACCGGCACCATCAAGTGACTTCGCATGCCATCGACTTTAGCCTAGAAACTGTTGTCCAACAAACTCGATTGGTAGGAGTGCCCAGTAATGGGTCACACCATCGACCGAGGGCTCCGAATGACGAAAACAACGATGTGCCCATGGACGAAGGCGGGCAAGCACAACGTCACACAGAAAAGGATAGGCAAGAACATAGGAACAGGGAGCATACGGAGAATCGCTTTGACAACATATTGCTCGAGGCAGAAAAGCTTCGCATTGACAATGTCGCACTTAAGAAGGAGCTAAAGGGTCTAGAGGAATATTGCGAAAAGCAACAGCGCGAGATCGACGTTTGTCAGGAGAAGCAAATAGCAACTCAGCGACTCGCTGAAAATCGCCGACGGGAGGCCGTGGATATCAAGAGATTGAAGGGCTATGTCGATAAAGAGCTAGCCGAATCACAAGCAGAAGTCCGGACGCTGGAGGGCGAGATTGCAAAGCTTCGGTTGCAAAAGCACAAGCTTAATGACGCAGAGTGGAAATATATGGGAGATATGTATGGTGAACTTGAACAAAAGAAAGAGGAGGTCAGCTCCCTACTGAATGAAGTCCAGCAGCTTCGTGAGTCAAGAGAGCTGTCTGAAAGGGCACGGAGAAAAAGTGAAGGTCAGCTCAAGAAGTTGCATGGACAGATGAAGCGCACCTTTAAATGGATCCAGGAGGCACACAAACAACAGGCTCAGAGAGATATGGAACAATTCCGGTTCCACGATGCACATTTCTCGAGCCTCCACAGGCGACGACCTTCAACCTCCCGCGGTTCCGTTCAAACATCGGCCACACAGCAGGAGACCCTCGGTGAGTTCATGTTCTCGCAGCCTCAAAGTGTGACCAGCCAGTCACTAGTTTCGTCTGCGCGCCAGAGCCTCGCAAGCGAAAAGGCTCTCTTCTCTAAGTCACAAACCTTCCCCAGCGGCATGACCAGCCCTCTTGTTCTGGGAATGCCTCCTAGGGCTCCGCGTGTCCCTGCAACTTCGCAATCGACATCCGTGACATCTGAGAGCATCACAGGAAATCGGATGCCAACGACAAAAAGGGTTTCATTTCACCCCCTGCAAACCCCGTCCGGGCCGCAGAGTGCGCCAATTCGTCGGCAGTCTGATCCTTCCCTCAGGAGAAGCAGTCTCAAGAAGCCATCCTCGTTGCGGAACTCAATGATCCCTGGTAGAGTTTATCAAGGGGAACCTGCTCTGGTGAAATATTATCAATGGTCATTGACCCCGTTCGAAAATGATGAGGCTCCGGCAGGGAGAACCGTGGCAGGTCGTTCTTTGTCCATGCCAATTACACAGAAAGAGCATGCAGAGCTTCGCGCGGCATTGCACTCTACGACTCCACTGCGCATTATATGGGACAATTCTAGACCTCCTGCGGTCTCTGAACCTGAGCCCGTAACAACTACAGTCGGATTCGTGCCGAAACCGGGATCACAAGGCAGCCTCACGGTCAAACCCGATCACACACGAGAGAGCACCTTGCACCATGCCTCAATCATCCCAGGGTCCGCAAACCATCTTTCTCGTGCTTCGACAGATAGAGTACGAGATTTACTGGCTGCATCTGAAGCCAGGATAGTAGTTTCACCAATCGGACCCCCAGTCTCCAGCTCGGTTCATGCTGTCAAGGATGGAACTGCAACTAGTAGCGCCATCGAATACCCTCCTAGTCCCGGATTGAGGAAACGGCAGGGCGGTATTTCAGCGAAAACGTTCTCCATCCGGGATCTTGAGCCTACGCAGAACTCAAGTCCATCGAAAGTTCCTCTTCCCTGTGCCGGGCAAGACAAAACCAAGGATGCTCAGCAAACGATTTGCACCAGCTCCGATTCATTCGACCAGCTTGGTCGTTCCAAATGCGTGAAGGGATATCGATGCCAGAAATCCCCAGTCAGAAAGACGACTATAGCAATGGCTACTGCGATCTCAATAATCATGGCTCTTTGTTCTCTGGCGCTGCTGGCATCATATACCAACAATTCGCCAACCAGGGCTCCTGTATTTTGCACAGAGGCACGAGAACATCAAGCCTCGTCTGTACCCATACGCGCACGTCTTCTGTGTCCGTTATTCTCTCTGGGTCACCAAGGACAGCGCGAAATATTCGCCAAGACAAAGACCGTGACAGATTGGCTGGCCGATACCTGGATATCGACGTCGACCGAGACGGAAACCCTCGCGGAAATCGCCATGCAGACATTGCGACAGAAACAAACCCAAACACAGACGCAGATGGTATTCAAGACTCAGACTGTTACAGAACCCTCGCTCCAGGCACATACAGAAATCAGGACCGAAACAGTGACTGTTTTTGTGGTCCTGTCTCCCTCACCGCCTCCAACAAGATCTTTCAGATCTCGAATCCTTCCATCGGATTCTGAACCAAACCGCCACAACCAGAGCGCCGCCGGACCGGTTCCGGGAGCAACGCCCTCTCTAGAGCCAGATGAGAACGGACATTGGCCTTGTTCTTGTCCGGGTACGTCGAGCACTCCATGTGGAAAGTCCAATGCCACATCCCTCTCTTCCTGGCAGCTTTCACGTCCAGGAGGAAGCATTAACCCTACAGCACCTGAGATCGACGAGCGCGCCAAAAAGGCCCGACAACGCAACTTGCACTTGCAACACATTTACACCGGCCCAACGTACTTGGGTCTAGTGCCTCCCATCCAACGACTCTTGGAGATCCTGCAGTTCAAAATTCTGGAGCTGCTGCTGGGTGGCGCCTGGGGCGCGAGAGAATACTGAATTCTCTATATCTCGATCTCCTATCCTGGTCGTTCAACAACGAAACGAGATGGAAAGAAAGGATCGAAACTGGCGCCCCCATCCTCGTCACGGCTCAGCAGACAAAATCGGTGAAGGGACCAAGCGAGTCCGAAGCTGCATAGGACTCCCCTTAACACCTCGGCAGCGACCCGGCCCGGTGGACAGGGAAGGCACTGTGTGACCTTCATCGATCTTGTTCCAAGAGGCCAGCTAACTCTCCAACGTCAGAGACGATTATAGACCAATAGATAGATAGATTGCTTCGCACGACCGGAGATCCCTTGGGAACTAGATATACAGGAGATCTACATGAGATTAGACCTTAGACAAGACTCAATATGGCAACCCTGTGAACGTACATATTTTACCACAATGTTTGGAGTACATAGGCAACACACTACACGGCGGCGCATGCCCGGACCATTCATTGGAAATGTAAAAGTATACTCCCGTAAGTATATAATAATACACTATCCAATCCTATATCGCATCGTACGCTGTGCCCCTTCCCATCTTATCCGATCATCTGCTTCCCAGGCTCGTAACGCCGCCCACTCATTCAGAACTCCGACACATGGCTGAGGACGGGGAAGACTATGCATCTGTCATCCGTGCAATTATTTGGCCAGGGTGCGTTGTGTGTGGCGCACGGGGCTATCTTGAAGAACCGGACTTTTGTCAAATACATGCGCGAAGAACTTATTCAAGAACCGACACCGGACAAGTCCTCCGTAGAACGTAGGGGGCAAGTTCGATAGTCCGCCGCGCAGTGATCCTCCTCTTACGCTCGAACAAAACACCTGCAATGCTCTGGGGTATCTCATAAAATGTATATTTGTGGCTTTGACTTTTCGTCCTGCCCTTCTCCTTTGTTGTCCAATTCGTCCCCGACTTCGGTAAACTGTGCGGGCTTTCGCTCGCCGAGGCCCTTTTCTCTATTGTTGGTTGGATTTACTGCGATTTTTCCTGCGCACCAGCTTCGACATCCGTATAGCCTGGCGGAGGAGGCAGTTCACTCTCGATCTGCGAATTCATGACCAAGGCATCCTTCTCTTCTTCATCAATCACGATCTCAACAACGCGAATATCGTGGCCTGCGTTACCCCGTCGGCCATTGCGGTGGAATTTGATCCATAGGTAGGAAATCATTTGGCCAACCAGCATACCGATGGCACTGGCCACGAGACCGCCAATGACTCCCAACAGGGCAGGGATGACGAAGAAACGTAGTGTTTGGTGAAGCATGTGGCCAAAGCGGTGGAAACGGTGATGCCGATGGTGGAGACCGTGACGGTGAGGGCCGCCCTTGTGATGGGCGTGATGAGCACCCTCACCGTCCATAGGACCAAATCCTTTGGGACCCTTGCGGCCACGGCAGCCCCTGCTGCCACCCCAAGCCTTGGTAGCCGCAGAAGCACGTGCTGTGGCCGCTTCCATGATTGCTTGGAGACGGGCGACGATGATGGCACGCAAACGGCAAAGAGACCATCTTGAGGTAGTGTCGCAAGTTGTGGCACCGGGTGTATCTTCAAAGGGGATCGTGCTTATACGGGCAATGGAGGTTTGGTCGGGGGTCTGGAGAAGATCGATGGTAATGGTGTCGACTTTTACAGGATAGCCTTGCAGACCAAGGATTGTAAACTGAATAGGGAGGATGGATTTGTCGGGTTCGTCCGCGGAGGTGATGGGCGTTAACCTCTCCCAAGCAAAGTCCAGTTGCACAGGATCTGTTTGTTGACCGTCTTCTACTCTTATCTGAGGGGCAGAGATGATATAGGGGAGAGAGGCGGTATCAAGGTCGGAGGAAAAGACAGGAAGGTCATTAATGGTCAGTCCAAGCTGAGAGTCGACGTCGAATTCGAGATGCTATCGAGAGGGCGCCGTCAGCATGATGGTCTCACTCTTCGAGACGAGGGCACGTGCTTACAATCTTGTTCTCGACATCTTCTTGCAGGTCGTCCGTGTCTTCAGTGCCAAAGTAGGGACATTCGGGGCAGTCAAGATCAACAGTGTGGCCAGTTGTGGCGAGGAGCGAGGCAAGTTCCGACTTTGCCTGCTTCGCAGCAGTTGCAACCTCCAGAGGCACCAGGAAGGCAGATGCCTCCAGGGCGAGAGAGGCAGCGACCAGCGCAGGCGTGATATACATGGTTGTTGCGGTGCAATCTGATACGATCGGAGGACCAAGAAGGGGAGATAAGATAGCGAGGGCGAGAGGAAGGGTGAGGCTTATAGCAAGGCAGGAGTAGAAGAACGGGAAGGAGGTTGTTGCGGGAAGAGCACAAGTCGTTGAAATTCCGTTTTGGGCGTGTTGCGGATGTGGCCGGATGTATATTTTGTGCAAGGTGCGCGGAAGGGATCAGCGCTGAGGAGTTGGCTGACGGGGTGATACGAGGTTGATGAGTGGTCGGGGGCCTTACGCTAACTTGTCGGATGCTTAGTATTCCTTACAAGTCTTTCCACACGTCCAAAAATGCACGCACTAAGACCGCTATCGGAGTTAGAAAGCAGCCGAGCCGAAGCACCCACAAGGGCAAATGGTGATGTCAGCACGGCCTTGGCTGTCACGTGTGGTCGTGTTAGTCGTGCAAGTTCCGCGTGCTCACATGATTCCAGCGACAGGTTAAGTCTCTTCGCGCAATGAAACATTTTTCTTTCAAACTTCTGAGCAATATGGATTCTGTCCCTTCCATGCCATGAGCCGGAAGAGAAGAAGTTTACTATTATACCGTTTCTCACATGATACAGCACACTAATTACTGTCACACATTGCAGTGCAAAAACTAAGTATACCCACTATCATTTCGCAAGCTTTTTGTCAACCGAAAACTCCGTCTGACATGGTATACTCAGTTATATGTTAATATATATCCCAAGCCTTGGACGAGCGTCAGCAAGGACGGGAAAGGAAAGGTTGATGTTCGGATTTTGGAAGTAATGGCTTCTCTGACGTTGAAAGGAGAATCATTTCTTTGGACTCGCTTTATGCGTCATTGTATTGTACCAGCAGCTGGGTGGCAGCAGCTTTAATCATAATGGCTGTAAACTTATCGACCGAATTCGTATCTTTAGCTACAGAGCTCTTGGCGCGATATTTGGACAAGTTCCTGCTCGGTATATCCAACGTAAAACAGGATTACGCGACCGGTCATCTATCGCTCTTCTTCGTGCTGTTGTTTTGAATATTCTCCTTTTGTCTCCCCCTCCTGTTCATCATTCACCACCAACTGACTCGCATCGGCCTTAGTGGTCGCTGCAATCCACGTGCCCTTCCCAACAACATGAGCTAATCACATCTGCTCATTCAGCAGGCAATTTTAATCAACTTTTAACGAAGATATATCAGATATCCTCGTCCAACGTCGCTCTTTAGGTAACAACAGACGAGGAGAAATACGTAAAGATGGTGCCACGACTCCCTCTGGCTTTTCCCAGAAGGATGTTCGCCCTCATTTTGGGCATATTATCAGGCAGTGTAATGGATAAAAGTCGACCTGCCAACGCGTTCCTGACAGGTACGGATAGCCCGCCCCAAGGTACAGAAAAGGCGTCGCCGAAATTTCTAGCCCACATGGATGACTGGTCGAGCTCTCTGGATTGGGAGGGAAAAAGGGAACCCAAACAAAGGGCAGCTTGAGCGTATATGAAACCAATTCGACCCCGACCACTGACTGTTCTCACCTCCGGGCTCAAAAGTTAACGAAGTGGGTTACCCGAGTGCTGAAACTTCGTTAATGACACGCTCTCGAAACTCAGCCTCAACGATTCACAATGTCTCGATGTATTCAGCAATCTCCTCGCATCCGTTTAATTACCTGTCTGAACCTCAGAAATTCTTTGTTGCTATTCGGTAAAAAGGGGAGGCACTTGTCTCAATCGATTGTTTTGAGCCAAAGTGCTTCCTTTCTTCCCATGCTGATTGTCAGGAATATGGAGACCTAGTGACAAGTATCGGTGCATCAAACCATGAGGACGTCGCCAATTGCCATAAATGGATGAAGGCAGAGCATACAAGGAGCACTCGCTCTTAATTTCGCTTTACAACGCCCAGAGGCTGACTTCCCTTCCTGGTAGGTACGGAAACACTCTGGCAGTGTCTCAAGCAGAGTCCAGCAGGACCTTCCGAGGTTAAGTACAGACGTCCAGAGTCAAAAGGCCCACGGTGAGACCAATCAATAATTCATCGACTTGTCCCGGATCAAGACTCCTGACGATTTGGAAAACTGGATTATGATCAAGCCCAAGACGCAATGACACCACAAAGACCTGAAAGTGTTGACTTTCATTATTCTAGGCCGCCGGCTTGAGGAGTTCTGAACCCTTGCTCGTGCACATTCTATGCTAGATCCGGGTATATTGTCCTATTTTCGGTATCTACTACTCAGACATGTTTGAGACTTTGGCAATCCTTCTCACTCTGGAGGGAGTTCTGGTCCTGCTTCTTTGTTTTGGCCTGTGTTCATGCTATGTTGTCTCCTCAAACATGCCAGAACCTCTCAAACATGCTGCCCAGGTGTATCAAAGGAACCTGGCACGGTACGTGTCAAGTTCATGAGCATCAAGGTTTATGAAGAAGCTGGTATCTGTACCAGGGAGGCATTTTTCCAGCATCACAGCTTATACACGGCAAGAATCCATCTCTGCAAAGAAACAGCAATCCACTACAGCCCTTTATCTGCTCGATCTTTCTTCCCACGGTGGTATCGACAAGTGTTCTAGAACAGTAACAAATATGACTGTCAGAGACGCCACGGAACAACCCATTGGTGAATCCGAATCAATAAATCTTGCGAAGCCAAGCCTACAAGAGTTGGAAGACACTGCACGGCATGTCATAGCCACCCTCAAATCCATACCAGGATATGAAAACCGAAAAATTGCGATAATCGGCGGCATGGCGCTATGGAACTTGTTTCCAGAAGGTCGCACGACAGAAGTGAGTATTCATAGCGACTGCTCCGTGGGAAAAATGGTTTTCTGATCGTATTTTACTAGGACGTTGACTTCGTTGTGACCGGACATAACGTTCCCAAGTCAATCAAAGAGAGACTAGTGACGCTCAAGAATGGTTCATTTGGGCAAACGGCGCAGAACTTTTTCTACCGACACCCAAGTGGAAAAGAAATCCAAATAGACATGGTTCCAGAGTTTCAGGTATTTCCGACCTCGATCTGGTGCATATGGGTTTGGTACTGACTGCCACCGCAATGTAGTGCCGCCACATTTCTTCCGTTGCCATGCCTGTGGCTTCATGGACCGAAAACCACAAACTCCCCTATGCCTCTGGACTTGACATTCTGGTCCTGAAAATATACTCATGTGGTCTTCGTGCTGACGATGCCAAGAAAAAGAAAGATGCTCAAGATGCAGCACAACTCTTGAACGCACTTCCCACCGAAGGACCCGTTGCCTTGGACGCTAATCAAAGGCAACTTGTGCAGGATGGGCTGGGCGCGATTCTCAAAGAGACTGGAACTGATATGGAATGGTGGCGGAGATACCTGGAGTTCTGAATAAAATGTGTCGCTTGGGGCAACAGAACCAAGTACGGAATGTGTTGTGAAAACGGATGGGCCATGGTAGGGTGGGTTCGGAAATGTGATGTGGGAAAAGGGAATTGCCATGGGGAGGGCCTAGGGGTGACTGGGATAGAATGAACTATCGGCTTAGGACAGGTCTTTGTTTGGTGTAGGGCAGTCACCTCGCCTTGTCTCGAGAGATCGCGTGACCAATTGAAAACAGCATTCCTTTGGCAAACACAAAAGGCGGCTGACTGTTCGCAGTGTCTTGGGGAAGGATAAATCCAAATTCTACTGAAGGCTACCATTGAGTGAAGTCACTTCATTATTCGAGGCAACTACATGCGTCCACTCCTTGCAGATATATAATGCTCACGTGCTTTTGATGGTAACGTTCAAAAATTCCTCCTCGGTGAAGAACTTCACGATAAGTAGTTTGTCTTCAACCACCTCTTCTCGTGTACTCCCTATTCATTATGGCACTATTCCAGATTGTATCCGACTTGCACTTGGAGAGCCCTTCTGCATATGAAACGTACCCCATCGAACGGAAGGCACCGTATCTGGCTCTCCTCGGCGACATTGGAAACGTCAAAGACGAGGGATTTTTTAGATTCCTCGTGGCGCAGCTCAAGGAGTTCGACCATGTCCTCTTCCTTTTCGGTAACCACGAACCATATGGTTTCAGCTGGAAGGCCTCCGAGCAGCGGATGGCGGCTTTCTGTAAGAAGGTCGAAGAGTGTCGCAAGATTGAGACGGTCAACACGCCGGCGGACGGAAAGCTGGGTGAGTTTGTCTGGCTCAACCGGACCGTCTACGAAGTGAACAACGATGTGACAATCCTAGGCTGCACGCTGTTCTCCAAAGTGGATCCATCCAAGCAGGACGCCTTGTCCCAGGGCCTCAATGATTTTATAAAGATCAATAATGACTGTGAAAGCCCCGACAACAACGACAAAAATCCACAGAAACAACGACAGAAATTCGCAGCGAGGACAAAAATCCCTGGTGGCAACAACAAGTTCCATAAGACCGACAAGAATGTCCCGAAGCCGGTGCGAGAGTCTAGTCTGAAACAGATTGTAGCATCTGGTAGACAGATAATGAAATCACAAGGACAACGACAAAATCCACAAGATGAGGATCAAGTCCCCAAGGATGAAGTCCACAAGGACGACGACAAAGTCCACAAGGATAAAGTGCCAAAGGACGACGACAAAATCCACAAGGACGACAATAAGACCTCCACGATAGCGGCAAGGCCTACAATAACGACAAGAGACCCCAGATTCCAACGACGAAATCCACAATGTAGAGCCGAAATCCATGGGGAGAAAGAGAAGAAGAAGTGGACAGTTGAGGAACACTGCGCAGCGCATAAAAAGGACCTAGATTGGCTCAACGAGCAGGTGGGAGCAATCTCTGAAAAGAATCCGAATCGCAAGATCGTTATCTTCACCCACCACAGCCCCAGCGTGGCCGACGGAACCTACGATGAGGCTCACAAGGGGAGCGCCATATCGTCTGGCTTCTCCACCGACCTGTCCAAGGAAATGTGTTGGAATAATCCGCAAGTCAAGCTCTGGGCTTTCGGCCACACGCACTATAACTTCGACATGGTTATGGTGAGCCGCGGCACGGGCGGCGATACCGGCGGTGACATAGGCGGCGACACTAAAAACGACATTAAGAAGAGGCTTCTCACCAACCAGAAAGGCTACTATGCCTATGAACAGCGTTCCAGCGGTCTCCCATTCTGTCCGGAAAAGGTCTATGATTTGAACAATGTTTTTGGCGACGACCCTGAAGACAAGACTGAAGACAAGACTGAAGACAAGACTGAAGACAAGACTGAAGACAAGACTGAGGACAAGACTGAGGACAAGACTGAGGACAAGACTGAGGACAAGACTGAGGACAAGACTGAGGACAAGACTGAGGACAAGACTGAGGACAAGACTGAGGACGAGATTGACCCATCCTTTAAAGACTTCCTTGATAATCTATTTGGAAAACGAAAAGATAGTTCTCCAGCGGGAACGGCGCCCTCTTACGAGCCAACAGGGAAGGACAACGACACGATTTATACAGGGACAGGTGACGGGCAAAAAGGCTGAGTGAGCAGCGCGGAGAGGAGGCGGTAAGTACAGAAAAAGAATTGTTCGAGCAAGGGGGGGTTCAGGGTTCTTCACAAGAAAACAACCAAAAAAATCTGTCTTTTCTGCTTTTCTGCCTCTTCTGTCTTTGTTTTAAATATCGGAAGTTGGACGGGGCCTAGCAGATAGTCCAAGGGATACTTGATGGGAAGAACCGAACTGATCCGTAATCCAATAATGAATTCCGTCACCAACTCATTATCCATTAACTCGTGCGGATATAAGAGAAGAGACCAATGTCCTTTCCCCAACTCAAATCAAGCCGAAGCACAGAACGCCTGGGTCATGACATCCCCCATACGTACATAAAAGTGCCAATTCCTGAACAAGACGGACGGTAGCAAGGGATCAATCACAATTGGGATTTTCCTCCTTTGTTATTAGCAGCTATGGGATCACATATGCCAGCCAGCCAGTTGGTTTACCGTGTTACGAGTTGATAGCTCCTCGAGTCGTGATTTGTTGCGTGAACTAACTACACTATACGTGTGCAGATTCCCTTTCCCGCTCCAGCCTCGCCAAGCCCTACGTTGGGAGTCGGGGTACTCGTATAGTGTATGTATTTGAGCATAGAATATGTACCTACATATATACTTCCACGAGAAGGGACGTCAGGTTGACTTGGGTCTCAGAACTACCTATCCTCTTGTTCCAGAGCGACAAATGCTATTAGACGTTTAATAGTATTTCGATTTGACGGGTAGCTAGAGAAACAAACTTCTGTTTGTGAGGCCTCGCTCTCCCGGACGCAATGTAATTCGACGCCTTTGTACTCCCCCCTGGAAGGGCTTACTCTACAATGACCTATGTTCAAGGGAGGAGAGTGGATATGGATGTATCAGTTGTCTTCCTTTACAGCCGCAATATTTCTCCGTTCGCATTGATTCCACCGCGAAACAACTCCTCAATCACTTTCCCCCTCACCACCGTTTGCTCAACAATCCCTTCTACATGTTTCGGCTCGACCCGGCCATACCAGATTCCCATACCCCGGAGCGGATGCGGTGGTGGTACACCAGAAGCTCGCCGAGACATGTCAGACGACGGAAATTGATGATCAGAGGTTGTGCGGCGAGCAGTGGTAAACGTCGGGGGGATGTACACGATCACATTCCCTGCCCATTTATGCCCTCCCACATGAGATATCATGCCCACATTAACATGGGCCTGTATGGAATCGGAGGTCGAAGCATCCATGGTGGAGATGGAGGACAGCGTGGCGTCGTCTAATGACTGACCTCCTGATGCGGCTCCACTGGAAACATCGACCTCGGACGCGACGAAGTCTCCGGGTGATGGCGGAGTGACGAGCTTCACTCCATGTTCGTCTCGCCCCCGCTGATTGATGTATCTTCTGAATTCCTCATGCAAGAACGGACCCAGTATTCCACATCGGCTGTCCCTCTGATGGTGGCTGCAGATCAATATCGTTGGATTCGTGATCGGCCAGCTGTGGAATTTCGAGGCTGCCGTCGCATCTCGAGTTTTCGCTGTTCGTTCCTGTTCGGAGATGTCTTTGTAGATGGGATGTAGTCTGTTGGGCTCCGGGAGGAGGAAGCCATGGACGAAGTCGTCTAGTCTTCCTGGGCCAGAGTTTGCGGAGGATTCTCTGCTCCGAGTGAAAGGCACCAGGTGTCTAACCCGCCGAAATGCCGGGAAAACAAGAGCCTCCACACCTTCGAAACTGCCAGTGTCTCGATCTTGGCTCTTTCCTGGTTCCGACGGGGGTGTGAACGAGGAAGTATTAATGAGGATATTGTTGTAGGGCTAAACATCAGTCCTTGTGTAAGTCAGCCGAATCTCGTCTCGTCGCGTCATATCATTTCCCCAGCTCTTTTCTCCAGACACGGGAACCCAAGGCAGCCCTCGCGAACACGACTTACATCGTGGAATTGTCCATGCCTCCCCAGCAACGCCTTGACATCCCCCACCACCTTGCCCCAAGCAGTGCCGTTCTGGTGTTCATCTTCTATCCTGGAGGTCCAATCCGACTGACCTGTGGAGATAAGCAGGTGCTGTGCATAGGGGGACATGGAGCCATTGAGGTTCTTCGTTCGGTCGATTTCGAGGTCTAACTTGGGAGAAGAGCGGCATGGACACGTTGGTTCGGGACATGTCTCGACGACAGGGAACGGAGGAGCTCTGACTGTGGTGATGTTACGGTGGCGGCACGATGAAGAGGTCACGTAGCGTGTGAGTGAGCGAGTCGTCGTGCCCGCAGGCGCGGAGGAGCCGGAAAAGCCAAAAAGTGGCGGGCTCAGTCGAGGCATAGCATCGAGGGGTTGTCGTGGAGTTTCAGACGCAATCTATAGAGGAGAGGATATATCAGAAACAGAAAGGAGGAGATTTCAAGGTCACTCGACACGTTTACAGTCTCTGTCGACTTGCCTGGTCGACGAACATTGATGTCAACTAATAATGAAATATAAGTAAAACCCGCGCGCGTCTCGGCCGATGAGCTCGGTCAGAAATGACCCGTCAACCCCTCGCCCGAGTTTCTTGACGATAGCAGGTGTTTTCTCTCCGCCCACATCTTTGTCCCGACATTGGGCTTTCACATTCGTCTGTGCATTGGGGGCGGCGATGATGATAGTGGCTCTATGATTCCGTTTAGGTCACCGTGCCACTGATCCTCTGCTGAGAGAGGAAAGAAAAACCTTTACTCGGATCAAGGAACCAATTCACACCTCATGGAAGACACGTCAAGTGAAGGGGTCTTCCCCATAATCAACTCCAAATCAGGATCACTCGACTGTCCGGTGGAGGACTTTATTGCTCGCGAAATATCGTGTCTATGCGGATCTGGTCGCAGCAAGAGCCCTTACTGGATTGGGCATAAAAGACCGTATGGGAAGACTGTTCTGGCCCTCTGCCCGCGCAATGGAGCTTGGCCGGTTACCCAATCGCGCCAAAAAGTCCAAGCTCGCCATCAATGATGGGTGGCAACTCGAGAAACGTCCTCATCTGGCAATCAGGACACTGGCTTGGGCCGCTTGTTCTCACACAACAACATGGACGATAAATACGGAAGTACTAAGATAACATGTTCCCCAACCTTGACATCAAGCCATTGCATGCTCGCTCAGTCCCCAAGACCTCTTCTTGAACCTTAAACTCACTTCCTTTATCGAACTCTGATCAAACAACCACTCTCCACCATGGCTATCCTCGACTACCTCGGGTTGGGCCGCCAGACGGCAGCAGCAGCAGCCAAGGACGAATCCAAAAGCCCTGTCCGTGCTCTCCCTGCAAGCTGGTACACGTCTGAAGAAATGTACCAACTCGAACGACGGGCCATCTTTTCCAAGCGATGGATGCTCATCACGCACAAGACGAGATTCGGCCAAGCAGGCGACTACCTGAAGTTCGACATCGCGGGCTACGAGTTCGTGCTGAGCCGGGATCGCAAGGGCGACATCCACGGCTTCCACAACGTCTGCCGCCACCGCGCGTTCCCCGTCGTCGAAAGCGAGGGAGGCACGGCCAAGATCTTCGCGTGCAAGTACCACGGCTGGTCGTACGGGCTGGACGGCAAGCTCGCCAAGGCGCCCAAGTACGACGAGCTGGCGCACTTCGACAAGGCCCAGAACGGGCTGTTCTCGATCCACGTGCGCGTCGACGCCTGCGGCTTCATCTGGGTCAACCTGGACAGCAGCGCGACCCCCGAGGTGCCGTGGGAGCAGGACTTTGACGGCGTCGACGCCCAGCAGCGCTACTCGGTGTACAACTTCGACGACTACGTCCTCGACCACGAGTACCGGCTCGACGGCGCCTACAACTGGAAGATCCTGGCCGACAACTTCAACGAGTGCTACCACTGCCCCACCGCGCACCCGGATATCCCGACCCTGGCCGACATCGAGACGCACGACGTGGCCGGCGTGGACGGCTACATCACGCACCAGTCGACACCGACTGAGGAGCAGAAGCGGCTTGGCATGGCCATCGCCAGCACATATTTCTTCCCGAACGTTTCCATTTCTGTTCTGTAAGTTTTTCGTTCTTTCTTTGCGCATTCCCTTCCCTTTTTTTTCTCTTATCTCCCTCTCCCCCTCCTCTCTCTCTCTCTCTCTCCAATGCAGACAGATATCCCGGGGAAGGTTGAGGAAGAGACTAATCAAAGAACCCTCCATGCACTCGCGACATTACAGACCGCACTTCATCATGCTCCAGCGCTTCCTGCCCAACGGGCCGAAGAGCTCCGCGATGCACTACCAGATCTTCCGCAACAAGACCTCGTCCGACGAGGACTTCCAGCGCATCCACCAGCTGTACGCGCGCGTCGTGTCCGAGGACAAGATCCTCTGCGAGCTCGCGCAGAAGAACCTCAACGCCGGCGTCTTCGTCAACGGCCAGATGCACCCGCGCCTCGAGAAGGGCCCGCTGTACTTCCAGCAGCGCGCGCGCGAGGCCATCCGGGAGCACGTCGCCCAGGAGAAGGCCGCCGGGCGTGAGATCTGGCCCGCGCGCCAGCGCCTGCCCGGCGACGCTGCCGTGAGTAAAGAGGACGAGGACCTGTGCTCCGGGCTCAGCTGTCAGGCAGAACAGCCTGGCCTGGCGTGGTGAGATGGACGTGTTTAGGAGAGTGGCACACGGGCCGATCGAATTGGTCCCTCAAACACATTTACATATAGTGTTCTGCTCAGGATACAAGTGTTCTCGGCGAGTTTAGGGTTCCAGGCTCTGGAAGGAGACTAGTAACGATGATTTCCGTGGGGAGTGATAGGCGTGAGAAATGGTCTGGAGAGAATTCTAGCATATCTACGTAGCATGAATCTATGCGTAATGCTTTGAAATTTGTTGGAACGCCAATTTTCCGTCCTCTAGAAGAAGAAAAAAATATACTCAATGCTCCGATGGCCTCCACGAAGTCTCAGGGACTTCGAAGCCCAGCGGCCAAGAATGCTTCATCTCTCGTGTCACATACACCAATATATCCACACGGTGGCGGCAATCGATATGTATTACTTGTGGCTGTTTCCAGGCCTTGTTGTGAAGGCGGAAGATGGTCTTGATGGGCACGTTGTACATTTTCAGCCTCTTCGGATTGCGGTGCATATACAGTATGTACCGTCTTCGCCCGATCCAGAGATACACCTTCCGGCACTCTTATCAGCTGGCAACTGTTAGTTCCAAAGTGCCTAGAAGGCAGAACAAGCCAAGCCGTCTTCACAGGACGGCCGAGGCGGGCGCCGGGCCGCAAAGGACGTACTTTTTCTCCTTTTTTGGTTAGTGGCACCTATGGAGGCCCACCCCGGCAGCCTTGCGCCGTGTCGGCCGATCATGTGCTGAACCCGGAGTCTGATCTATACCAATCATTGTCTTCGGATCGATAACGTCCTTCATCCAAGTGGCACTGTAGACGATCAGTCTTGCCATTGGTCATGGACTGTGGCTCACGACGCCACAGAAACTTACCTTGCCATTTCCAGTCTTCCATAACTTTTAACCAGTGCAGCTCCCCTCTGACTGTGTAATGTAGATGGCCTGCCCTCGTGATGTTGTCGATCCCTTTCTTGAAAGCCAACGAGTCTGGGAAGTTGGACGCCGGCATAGGGGCACTTGTTACCGCATTGCATCGACATCGACGGCTTCCTTCCTCGCGGTCCTGAGAAGATGCAACGGACTCAGCGTCCGGCAGGGTATCCATGGACGGGCTGATTCCTGTCGACCTCCCACGAGAAGCACCGCAGCTAGGGCATGCTCCAAGCTGTGCTTCGAATGCATCTTTCCTCCGCCAGACTTCCTTTGTGACGTTCTGGCACCTGTGCAGACTCGGAAGCGGCATGCGCTTGGCCATGGCATCCCACCTCTGACATACCCAGTCGCGATCGTCTTCATCAAAGGCCTCGCCACCAATCGCCATGAGAGGGAATGTCTGTATGACAATTGTTCGAGATGAAGCAGGTGTAGTTGCGAGGTAGATTAACACTTTTTCTGCAAGTTCCCAAAACGAATGAGCCCATGGGAGCTCCGGTACCGCATGCCGAAGCAGCAATAACGCTGCCCAGCGATATGCCTCAGCTGTCTGTATGATATCAGAAATGTGAGATGGTACACTGCCTGACCGCTGTGGGTCAAAAGAAGGACTCCAGCTCTCGATTGCTGTCCATAGTTCTGCGGCTCTAGAAATAATGGACGGGGAGTTGCGTTTTTCAGTTCTCCGTCGAACAGCTCTGATGATATCGGTCAAACCGGCAATCAATGGGAACAGCGTGACTGCACAACCGAGGAGTGGATCAAGCTGCTGTTCGGCAGGCAAGCGCTCCAGCTGAATATAGGCTGTCACGGAATCCAGGTCAATAGACTCGCCATCGTCCGAGGTCGTCAGGCGAAGCAAAACGGCCTTATACACCCAAGTGCGTGCCAGGAAACTCAAACGATCTTGCTCGTCACTGGTCAGTCTCGTAATCCTGTCCTTGTCGAAGGCTTCTTGAAGGATCCTTCCAGCAATTCTAACATGGTCGACACCAGAGGATAGTGATTGGTTGTCCCATGCTTCTGCAAAGCCAAGGGCTAATCTCGCGGCTAGAGAGGCTTCAAGAGTCGTATCAGATTGGTCTTGTGTGAAAGCCTGCAGGCTGGCGTGAAAGTGGCTGGAGCCAGACACGCCGAACTCCGGGTGTGAATTACTCAGGTACAAGTATGTCATTGCTGCAAGAGCATGGTAAAGCACTGGACACCTCTCAGCCAACGGCCACACGTGGATAGTCCACGGATTAGTAGTTCGATCGTCCTTAATGGAGAGAACATGACAGAGGTGCTTATCGAAAAGTTGCTTGACAGTCTTGGGAGTGTCCGGGAGCGATGAATACAGGTCGCTCCGAATAGCATCATCTTCAGAGTTATGATGTCGCCGGCTAATTCCCGGGGGGGAACAAGCAGATGCAGTGTGCAGATGGCTAGAGAATGGCTCTAGGCTGCGGTCATGATTTTTCAGCTCCCGAAAGTCCTGTGCTGTGTCTTGAGGTGACGAAATCAAGCCGGATAAGTCGGGCGCTTTCTCTTTTCGTAGATGGATTGCATGGGCTTCGATGCCTTCCAGTCCATGGGTTGATTGAGTATCGACGGGAGAACCCAACTCGGGAGGCACATTGAGATGGATATTGCTATCGCCCAGGAAGAAGTCGACGTTGAAATCAACATCCGCAAAGTCGAACAGATGATCCTGTGGCAATGACTGCCATAGATGCTCTTCCTGAGTCCGAGGCGATAGGATGTTGTTGGTCCTTGCGATTCCCTTTGACAAACTCGTTTCAGCCTGTAGAGATGGTGCCGTATTGTGGTCATCCAGGTTAACATTCTCGTAGGTTGGTCCGGGAATTTGTTCAATGGAAATCGTCTCTGAGCTCTGATGTTGCCTTTCTGCGAAGTAGTCAATGACGCGATCTACATGAACAGATCAGTGCACGGCAAGTGCAACAAGAACTGAGCGTACCTTCGAGCCGGCTACGTTTCTGCGGCTGTTCTCCCACCACCTTCCACTTGAGGCTTCTGACGTACCCACCGCACTCGACGCCTCTGTCTATGCACTGCGAGCAGGAGGGTTTGGATTCTATAACTAGTCAGTATCCTCGTGGACGCGGCAAAAAGGCCATAGACGGATGATCATAGGGCTCCATGGCCGAGATCAAAGGGTGTCGCGTGCATATTGAATATCGGTTTTTCCAGGCAATACCTTGGGCTCTCAAATTAAACTAGTACTCACCATCGCACTTCACCCGCCTTGCCTTGCAGGTATTGCATCCTAACAGTGAAAGCACTCCTTAGCGATCCATTCGCCTTAAGTTGCACCGACCTCAAACCAGGGAGCAGCCTACCGGTACGGCTCTTTGGATGTCTGCGCTTCGAGATGGTGCTTTCCTGTCTCTGCTCACCATTGCTGCTGGTAGACTTAGGAGAGTGAGGACGATTTGCCTGCTGGTCTTCGGCTCCAGGCATGGAAAAGGCATACACAGGCCTCGGCAGGTTCAAAAAACCACTGAATGATCGATTTTACTGTAAAGAGCGACCTTATCTCACTATCGCTGTCGCTCGTGGGTCAGCATAGATATATCTGTATGGGTCTGGATGATAGCGGAGGAGTAGGGATCGGGACCCGGCAGCCGCTGCCGACGGCCAGGCTTTGAAGCTTTGGATCGCCATGCCTTTATGGGCCTAGATAGCTCGATAAAGGTCAGCTGGTATGATTGGTCAGAGTGCAATTAGGGCGCGGGATGCCGTCTCGTTCCAGGCTATCGATGGTAATCGGGCGTTGCGATTGTCATTCTCTGCACGATCCATTGTTATTTGGTAACTGGACGAACTGATCTTTCTAGAAGACTTCCGGAATCCCTAGGAGATAGGCAGCGCATACCTCTTTCGGTTAGCAAATTTTGAGGTGGATGAATACAGCTTTTTGCTCTCCGATATACCAATCAATGCCTGACTCTGTGTTTCTGCTCTGTCCCTACAACAAACAGGTCTGGCAGATATATACTCCGTCGGAAAAATACTTACCATCCCAGAACCTCTATCAGAGAGTACTTTTGAATTAGAGTTGGCCCAAAACATGAGGACACCAAGTGCAGCTCGTATTTCTCCGGGGCTCCTCCATCCCCAACCTGCTCCACTTCAATCCCCCGCCATGATCATACCTCGTACATTTGATCCACGTCGGCTACCGGGGTTACCGTTACGTTCTATTTTTCTCGGTCCTCGGCTCCGCCTTTTGGGGGTGAGTCTCCCAAAATCCTTTTTCTAACGATGGACACACTCTGCATCCCCGTGCCAATCGCGGCCACCGAGTTCGAAATCCCCTCGAAGCGCCTGCTCCCGGAGGTACGGCCCTCTGGAAATAAAAGCTGCCCAATGGAGGAAGAAGCTGGATGGCTTCATACATGACGGTCTGAAGAAAAGGTCATACTTCGGCCTCGTTGAAGCGGACGAACTCGCTGGCGAGACCTGCTTCTCGTTCACGCCTCTACCCGGTTCAAGAATCTCTGATGATTGTGAGGCGAGCTGAGTAGGCAATAGTTCATGGTTACCGGGCTTTTTTCTACAAACATGTCCTTCAAATACACGGGGATGGACTTGTGGTCGTTATCATCGTCCCTGATCAGTTCATGTTCCTTCACCTTCTGTTCGGCGAGGGCTCTCAAACAGATGCTATGCATAGTCATTCCGAATCATTTGATATTTGACTCCGATGTGTAATGATGGATCTTGTTCGCTCGTGGCACGACACTAACCCATACGGCGTTGGAGAAGACAACCTTGGGAAAGGTAAGAGTCCCTTTCGCGTCACCCCTTCTCAAGATAGTTGGAACTCTTCAAAGGCATGTTTTGGTGATGTTATCTGCAAACATCAAAGCATAATCCCTCAGACAAGCCAATGCAGTCAGGAAGCTCTTCACCTACCAATAGCGAACAAGGCCAGCCAGTCAAGCCCTGCATCTTCCCCCGGAAACCGCAGGTGACATTGATCTACGCACGCCTCCAAGTGCGCCGTCGCCCCGACAGAGACCATTGCTGAATGTTTGTTCAGCAGCCGAGAGAAGAGATGAGGGGGAAGTATGTATATAGTGCACTCTAATACCCTAGAGCCTGGAATAAAAGTGATCGAACTATTCCATTTTAACAGGTCTATACTAGTGTGGCTGATTTGTGGAAAAGCATCATTTCGGGGAATCTGGCCAGTGGAATCGCGATCCGAGAGGCTCGGAATGTAAGTTGGTTGGGCGCCGGTGCTAACACAACGGCGATGGGGCTTTGAATGTGGAGAAACTTCAGCACTGGTTGGCCTACGGTGTCGATTGCAGAATGTGGACAGGTTGGATACGAAGAGATCACGCATGTTTCCACGTGAGATAGATTTGTGTGAGGGTAAAAGTATCATGCAGAGTTGGCATAGAGGCTGGAAGCTTCCACCTCGCGCAGCCAAAGCCTCCAGGGTCGATGAGCAGACTCTCGGATCGACCAGGTCGTATCATCCACCTCCTTCTGACTGAGGAAGCTAATACTGCCATTAAGAGAGCCACTTGCAGCCCGCGTCAGCAACGCCGTGGTCTGGATCATGGCGTTCTTCTGCGTGTAGACGGCCCTCATCACACAATCTTGGATACTTCCGGCGAGGACAGTAAAACCATGACCTCGCATCAACGCCACAACGTACTTTGGCATGTCTCCTCCCACACCGCCGGCAGCAAAAGATTCGGCAAGAGAACTTCCTAGGCGAGTGTTGCGGACGAGCAGATCGCTGATGTCGTCCGCTTGCTGCGCCTCTGCGATATCCCAGACGGGCACGCTGGTACCGAGAAAGCCGGCCATATGGTAGCATGCGCGGAGGGGGACACCACTGATCGTGTACGGGACCACGGCCTCGGAGTGGCTGTGAATGACACTCTGAATGCCCGGGTAGCGTTTGTAGCATTCGCTGTGAATGCAGCGCTCCAGAAACCCCAGCGGGGCCTTGGGATCGACCGGCTGGGCGTCCTCGACGTAGTATTCGATCAGATCCTCGGGCGAGGATATGGTTCCTGGTGCGGCGTTGCGAGACATGACAAAGACCCGCGGGTCGAAGGGGTGTCGGAACGAGAGATGGCCAAAGGCATCCACGACATTGTGGTAATGGAGAATGTGGCTGCCCGAGATGAGGTCGCGGTAGTACTTCTGGAGAACGGCCTTCTGACTCGGTGTCTGGGTCGTGGCCATGGTTCAGGCACGAGGTGACAGGGTGATTTTGTACCCGCAAGGAAGAAACTCAGAGACGAGTCGCAAAATCTAAGATTTGGCGAGAAGACTCGGCCATAGTGGAAATGGTTCACTCTTTTATCGAAATGCGGAGAGCCATCCGGGGGCTTTCCGGGCCCGAGGGGCTCGTCAAGGAAGACAGACCTGATATTCGGTACACGGGTTCTACATTCGCTATCTCGCCATTTCATACACCGTAAGCAGTTTCGTTATGCTCCTAGAGTGTTGTCTCGGAGATACAGCGTAGGCAGAATGAACAAGGATCCTAACCAGGCTGGTAGTGCCTAGAGGAACTATATTCTCCGGAGTATATTTCGCGGCATCCCCACTGTGGCTAGGTTTATCCATTAATTGTTATTCTTTCATCCCTACGGCCAACCAAGGAATTGACAATCCTCAAGCGGGGAAGTGCTGGCAAGACGGATCTCCTTCCGAATTCTCATGTGCATATGAGGCTCTGTCCAGGCGGAAAGGAGTGTCCGACAAAAGCAGTCGCACGGTTTCCCGTGGATGCTCGTGGTTTCCGAAGTATCCATGTAGCGGATGCGAACACCTGCGTCAATGCCGGGAATTGTATTGTTAATATCGGAAGTTGGGTTTATTGTCCGTTTTATACCCGGAGAGTTCTGTAGTCAGCCGAGTTACTTGAAGTAGGGCGAATATCTTCTTTTATTACTTGGTATAAGTCCTCAAGGTCGAGTCTGTAAGTTTTTAATATTACAAGTGGCCAGGCCAGCTTCGCTTTGCGCTAGGCAAAAGATCCTAACCGCTGGAGAATATTTGACCTCACTCTCAACACTCCCCGTTCATTCCATTCTCCAAACAACATGCTTTTGGTAGGAAAAATAAACACGCCACTCCAACGTGCTTATGAGACTGGTATACCTAACACTTAGACCTTCTCAGCGTGATGAGCATGGCTATCCCTAGCTTTGTCGACTTCTCTGTCGCCCTCGAGCCCTCTTTCGGTCTCTCCACTGTAGATTCCCCTACCTTCCACATCGTCTGATGGACCAACCTCAGTACCAGCCTGTCTTCTGATCCGGGCCATCTCCGCCGCAGTGGGTGCTTCCCACTTCGACGATTTCATCGGAGACACATGTTCAATATACATTGTGTCGATTTCCTCGAGTGTTCGGCCTTGGCCTTCAATGACGAAAAAGTACACAAGCAGTCCTGCAGCCAAGTTGCATGCCGCAAAGACGTACCCGTAGCGGAAATCGATCGCGCTGATGATGAATGGAGTGAAGAAAGCAAGGAGGAAATTCCAGGTCCAATTGCTGGCGGTTGCAATGGCCATACCCTTGGCCCTGTATCGTGATGGGAAGAGTTCGGCAATCAAAGTCCTGCGCGTCAATGGTCAGCAGGTGCCCAACAACAGTGGTCAATTGGGTGGGGGATTTTTCTCACCAGACCATAGGACCCCATGTCGTAGCAAAGCCCAGGATAAACAAACACGCGAAAACGATCATAGCCACACCGGCTTTGGGTGTCGTGGCTGGGTCTTGGTTGTCCAACGAGAAGTGGCCGACTGAAGCAAAAATCATAAAACAGACAAACATCCACAGACTCCCGGCGATCAACGACTTTCTCCGCCCATAGTGCTCAACGAGGTAGAGGCCAATGAAGGTGACTCCAAAATTGACACCGTTCAGGATCATCTGTGTGACGAAAGAACTGATCTGGACGGACTTGAAAATTGTGGTGCCGTAGTAAAAGAAGAAGTTTGCACCGGTGAGCTGTTGGAAGGCCTGTAGCATCACACCAAGAGCAATTCGATACCTGGAATCAATGCGTCAGTCTCAAACCTCTCGCGAGCAATTCCAGGTTACTGCGGATGACTGCTTACCCCATTCGTGGCGCCCGAAGCATAACTGCAAATTCGTGGATGGGATTTCCTTTCGTTTGATCCTCAGCACGAAATTTGCTCTCAATCTCCTCCATTTGGGTGTAGATGGCGTAATGGTTGGCAGGAGCACCGTACACCTTCATCAGTGTTTGTTTGGCCTCTTCGGTCCTCCCTCTGCGGAAGGCATATCGCGGAGTTTCGTCAAACAAAAGCACGCCCAGGCCCAGAATAAGTGTCCAGAGCCAGCCGAGGCCTATAACAATTCTCCAAGATGCCGAATTGTTTTGCTGGCCTTTGTAAGTCCCGTAATTGAAACACGCGGCGAGGAAAATGCCAAGGGTGATGAAGAGCTGGTAAGTGCACACAAGGGCACCACGGATCCACGGCGGAGCAGTCTCGGCTTGGAACATGGGGACAAGAACAGACAGTGCCCCAACTCCAAAGCCGGCGACAAAACGACCGATCATGACTTGAACCCAGGAATCGACAGATGCGATCTGGATGACAAAGCCGACAGAGACAATGACAGACCAGAAGCTAACTGAGAAGCGACGACCAATCCTATCCGCAAGAGGAGCAGCTAGTAAAGCCCCGAGAAGAGTTCCAATGGAGAGCTGGAGTGTTTGTTGGTTAGTAAAACTTTGAAAGCGTAGTAAGAAAGCAGCTTGTCCGTACCATTGCGACTATGAGCCCGGACCTGACATCGCTAAACTTGTATTTTCCGTCTCCTTGGGATTGTGCAAAGCGCTTTTGGAAGTCTGGCATCTCCAAAAACCCAGAAATCTGGCCAGTATCGTAGCCAAAGCTAGACGGTATATCAGTATATGCACTGCCATCCAGCTGGACTAACTTACATCAAGCCACCCATAGAGACTAAACAGCCCATTGCCAGCGAGCGGCCAGTCACTCGAGGGAGCGGGGAGTAGTCAAGGCCGGCCAGAGAGCGCCTGACATCCTCACCCTTCTCCGAGTTAGGATTATACTTGTCGAAGTAAATTTTGGTGCTGATGCCCTTCATGGTGAGCGGTAGTGATCAGGTTGCGATACCTTGTGCGAGTCTAACAAGCCTTGGATGATGGGCACCTGTGGGGAAGTAAAGGGGGTTTATTATACAACGGTCAACCTTGACTAATGCCTCTTGGGCGCTGATATCATTGTGTAATGGAGCATTCCAACAGGGCAAGGGAGAGGCCACAAGAAACCTGGGGGTAGCCTATGGGAATCCTACCGTGGAAAAGTGGCGACGTAGAGCGTCCACATCGGCTACCGAGTGACAGCCCGGCACGCGGCGAGAGGACCCCAAGACACAGGGGTAGCGAGGTTCCCGCTTGGACAAGGTCAGACAGCCATCCATGAGAGGTATGGCCATGTCAGGGTCCGTGGGCCAGGAGCGGACGTGAAGGCTGTGGAAAGCACATCGCGGGCACTCTCCCAGTAATGGCATTTTCCTAGCCCGAAAGGCCGACGTCACATTTGTGTTTAGAGTGGCTTGGCAAGGGCGGGATGACATCACAGCCCATCTCTGTCGCCCATCTTCCTTCGACTTCTGTTTGACCATGTTTCGAGCAACAGGCCATCACCAACATCGACCGTCGCTGCTCACACCCACTGGGAAGCACAAAGTCGATCATTGCGTCAGTTGAATCCTCCTTGCCCATCTTCCCCATATCATTGGGGAAGGTCCAGCCATACCACGTGTCCGCCCCGAGGTTGCCTGGTCGCGATCTTCGATGTGCTTCTACATAGCTCTTGTTTGCTCGGCGGCGGAGCTCGAGATCTTAATTTCCCTGTGTGATCACAAGGGGTGCAGGCACGAGGGCAAGTCAAAAAATGACTGCGGGATATAGGTGAATGCATTGACGAAGATCCTCGAGAATATATGGCCCGTGAGGAGGGCAATAGCCATCGAATGTTTTGAATTGTGCAGTTTATGCAGCCAATTTACCCTGCCCGAGCAGCAGACCTACAATGAACTTGTTCCCCAGCCGTGCCAACGGGTCCTGCAGGGGTGAACCGACTACCCTAAAGAGGGCGATCTACTTGATGCCACTTTTTCCCTCGTCATGGTACAAATAGCTTTTCGAAGCAAGACGAAAATGCTGTCTCCAGATAATCCGGGTGCAATCCGAGATACAACATTCCTCGACAAACCCGTGGCTAGCAGCCGAATTCTGCTTCACTCATGGTTCGTTACGGGCCAACGTCGCTGTTGATCCGCGTCACTTTCACAGCCTCATGAGTCAGCCTTGTCAGAGCCAGGTCGAGCAGCATGCCTCCTCCTTAGTTGGCGGAACCAGTTGGTATGACTACATGAGATATACCCGAAAACCCATCAATTGCATGGTCATCCCACTGACTATAACTCTGCTAAAGTAGTCGCTGCGAACGACACGGAACAGTGAGTTTGTTATTCTTCTACTGAATTGCTGCTCTGTCTGCCATGTTCGAGCTTATGGAAAAGTCCATATGTCGCCATGTGATGGAACAGTCTCAGCTATTATGGACCGCCTCTTATGCTTCGCAGAAATTCTCATGACAAGGTATACAGTTCTTCATTCTGATGTTCAAGCTCATTTACAAGCATAGCGCAGCCGCTGTAAGTAATGTCCTGGCTTCCATAATCTCTAATTGTATAGTCCAAGACCTCTTGACTTCATGTCGTCTGCACTGTCACCGCCAGCCCATGACCCTCTCCTGTCGTCTCCGCCGTGGCTCATGCTCGTGCTCCATGGCTTGAAAATCATCTTCGTCCAGCTCATCGGAGTCCCACTCATCCTCCTGGTCTTGCTGTGCAAGCTGCAGAAATCTTTCCAGGCCCATCGCACGGACAGGGCCTGCTTGCGCGCCATGGACGGCACCCGGATGGTTTCCTTGGCCAGGAGCGGCAAGTGGGAGGGGTGCTGGAGGCTCCGCATTTTCACCGTTTCCATTGCCGTCGCCGTCTGGCAGACCTTGTATATCTCTGCCATTATGTCGGTCTTCGACTACTCGTACATCTTGAGCTGGCGCTGCGGCGGGAAGACGCCCGCGACCCCCGGCCGGACCTCGGGCTTGCCCTCGAGCTTGCCCTCGAGCCTGGCCAGCGCGTGCAGGTTCGTTCGCCATCAAGACTCGATGGTTGGCTTGCTGACCACCACCTCTGCGTCGAGGTCTAGCTCGGGGGGGGTTTGGTGCTTGCGGTGGTACCGGGACTTCAATTTGAGCTTGAACTCGCTGTCGTTCTGGGAGTTCTATTCGCTGAGGATTGTGTGCTCCGGGTCGCGCAAAATTGACGATTTCGATGTGCATCCGCTGGTTGCGTCGTTGGTCAGGGGCCGGCTCTTCGTCGTCGGTATCTTCTTCGTCGGCAAAGGGCCGCCCGTGGTCTCCTTGGAAAGCCACAAAGTTCTGAGGCGGCAGCTCTTCGTCGTCGGAGTCATCGTCTGCGTCATCAAACTCGTCCCACTCTGCAAGATGAGGATTGTGGAACCGATCTGCACGAAAGCCTTCACCAGCGCCTTCACCATCTCCTTCTTCGAGCTCCCAAAGACGCATATAGCAATCGCTCTTGGGGTCGTTGAAGTGGCGGTAAGGGTTGTCGGGCATCAGATACGCCGAGCACAGATAACAGAAATGGGTTTTGCACTTGAAGCAAATCATATGATTGCAACCCATGGTCTTCTGCGAGGCTGCGTTGCAGGTCGGACACGGTGTGGAATACTTCTTCAGGTATGCCTCAGATGCTTTTTCTTCCTCGTTGAGCTCCTTTTGTCGAGGACTGCATCTCTCGAGTTCACCGTGCCACCCTCTCTGGCAGACCCTGCAGAATGCAAAACCGCAATCTTCGCACACGGCCACGCGTTCAGACATGGGAATATTTTCTAGGGCGCTGTCTTCGTCGTCTGACGATTCTGACTGTTCTTCTTCTTCCTCCTCTTCATCCACGTCATTCATTGGGTCCAGAGGTTTGGGATGTTTTGTGGACTTGGCGGCTCCCTGGCACCATTGTCGGGGACAATAGATGGTGTTCTTGTCCGATTCCAGCCGCTTCTTTCTCTTAAGTCTCACGTACCGCTGGACAAGTTCTTCTTCGATGGGGATCTGTAATAGTTCGCTGGGGTTGAGTGTTCGATCTTGTTTCCGCCTCTTCAAAGGTCTGCTGTTCCTGCCCATCCGTACAGGCTCATCTTGAGGGCAACTCGGGGCGAGACACTTGACATTATCAACGTCTCCTTCTGTGATGCAACTCTTGTAGAAATCCTGCAAACATGTGACGCAAAAGACGTGTCCACACAACATGAGCTTGTGGCAAGACGTCCCTTTCTTCGGCTCCAGGCAAACTCCGCAGTCAAACGTCCCTTTCTCAAAAAGCTCGCGCTTGGTCTTGAGGTCGAAATCCAGTAACGCCAATTTCAGATCGCTTGAGAATTGGACGTCTGTCTCGCCCGCAAGACCAAAAGCTTGTTCCGCCTCTTGCTGGATATGGTCGATATAGGCATAGACAACCTGGTCTTTTCCCAGCTCTTCCCATAATCTCGCACAGTCATCCTTGAGCCGTCTCAAAACCGTTCGGGGTAGCCACTGAGGCGTAACGGACAGCGAGACAACGGGAGGTTTGTTGGCTGGATAGCCTGGCTGTAACGAGATTCGGAGCGACAGCGGGGGTAGATGAGACAGTTCGTGGGCATCGAGGGGAAGCGCAGGGTTTTTGAACTCTGGATTCACGTCGCTTTCATTCTGACTCTGTTCAGGAGAGGTAGGTGGCGTGGGAAGGATGGGTGGCGCACCGTCTGCTGAGGGTTTGAAGAGAATGCGCAGAGGCTGGACTGGCGTCACGACGAGATCGAGGGTAGCAGAGTATGGGTCTTGCTCATCAACCACAAGTTCAGGGTAAATGGCGGCGATGGTTGCCAGTTCACTCGCTCTTTCATCTTCTGCGTTCTCGTCCATGTTTTATGTACCAACCACTGCGTTGATCGAAGACTGTGAGTGTGCGGGGAAATAAGGGCACTGCGGGCGGATAGACGAGTTTATAAGAGAGCCATGAGATGGGAAAGGGAACAAACAATAAGAGACACACAATGGCCTCGTCGTGAAAGACTGCTGTAGAAAAAGGAAAGAGTGCAGGCGTCTTACAAGGGACGCATTATGAATGCTGGTCCTCGGCAGCAGACAAAAGAGTCTCGACTCATTCGCCGGATACAAAACAGTCAAACAATGACGCACCAAACACACACAAGGGCCGCCATCAAGGTCGATTCTGATTGAGGGATCTAATTAGCATCGACCAACAGGGGTTCAGCTCTTTGGTGGCTTTCGCCTCCGCCACAAACTTGCATTCAGCCTCGCAAGGTCTCTCTTTTATCTCCCGTCTTTCTTCTGGTTCGACTCATATTTTCTTCGCCGTTGATAGAGACTCGACTCCTCCCGGCCGTCTTCCAAACATGGACGACCAGCCCCTCGCTTCCTTATCGCTCACGCACGTCCGCTACGTAGGTCCCTCCATTCCTTGACCGCACTGGAAAAAGGAGACTTGTCCTGTACGTCGTGCACCGCTAACAGCCCCCAGACTCCCGGTGACCCCATATCCTATGCGTCAGCATGGCTGGCCCTGGTGCCACAGGGTCTTTGTGTGGTCTACGTGACTCTGATCTGGGCATCGCGGGAGGCTGAGATATTCCTCATGTTTGCCGGCCAGATGGCGTGTGAGGTGGTGAATTTTGGGTTGAAACGGTTGATCCGGGAAGAACGCCCCAAACGTACGTTACGTCGTGCCCTTTCCCGCCGCCGTGGATTGCGCCCATTGCTTGTTTGATGCTCTACGGCTGGTTCGGTTCGTATTTGATTGATCCTTTTTGTTGTGGACGAACAGAAATGACCGGTAAGGGCTACGGCATGCCCTCGTCACACTCTCAATTTGTCGCCTTTTTCGCCCTCTCATTTAGTCTGTTTTTGATCTTCCGCCACGTCCCCAACCCTTCAGCAAGCTACCCACCCACCACACTTGCCGAGCGGCTCGTTTTGTCTTTCCTCGCCTGCATGGGCGCCGGGGCGGTCGCTTCCAGCCGCGTGTACTTGAACTACCACACGCCAAAGCAAGTTTGGGTTGGGGTGGCTGCTGGAGCAGTCTTTGCGGTCGTCTGGTTTCTGTTCACCTCATATCTACGGCATTATGGGTGGCTGGATTGGGCTTTGGAGAGTTGGATCTGTCGAAGGCTGAGGGTGAGGGACTTGATCATCACAGAAGATATCCAGGATGCCGGCTGGGGGAGGTGGGAAGAGAGGAGGAAGAGGAAGAAGGATAGAAAAACAGCTGCCTCTCGCCCGAAGACTCGATAGCGCTTCCTCGATCAAGGCTGATTCGTTCAACATTAGTTGTTCTCGGAAGCCTACGCCCATGAGAGTATATAGAGAAAGAACGTCTCCTTCTATCCTGGTTCATTACCTCAGTCGAAACCCTCATCAATAGGTGTGGTGCTCCTGTCTATCGTCGTTTATTGTTCGCAAACTCAGTCAAGGCCGCCTCAGATGCCGTCAACGGCCACAGTCCTCGATAAAAAGCACATGCGCCTGTGATTAGAAGTAGGTAATACGCCACGGTCCAACGTCGCCCCAGTTTTTGGCCCTTTGTCGAGGCCTGGACGAGGTCTGTATCGTCTTTGCCGCGGATGGCAATAGGTGAGATCGGGTACTGTTCCGGTCTCCTCAGGCGGCCCCAGAAACGAGGAAGCCCGACCCAATTACAGAATGAATGAATGATGATGCAGGCGTAGATCGAGCTCGTACGCACGTAGATGAAAGCTGCGAACCATCCAAAAAGCGTCGTGTAGGCGAACTGGAACAGCGACCTCAAAAAGACCGGCAGAAGTGAGATGTGAGGGTGCGTCAAGTGAAACTCGTAAAAGTGGTGGACATGCGCGACGCCGAAGTAGAGGGGTGTGAGGAAGACGATCCTGCTCGGGGATATTTTGGCGAGGAGGTGGATCGGAATGAGAACTGAGCGAAAGACCACTTCCTCCGTGATTGGGCCGGCGACGTAGTTCCTGTAGCCTTGCCAGCTGCTCAAGGTTTCGGTAATCGCAGCGACACCACGTTTGCGCAAGTCGTCAAACTCTCCCTCGACGAAAATCTTCTCAAAGAGTGGCCCAACATACAACAGGAAGGTCAGGGTGAAGGATCTCAACAGGTCCCACGGCCGGATCGGCCAATATCCCAGCATATGCACGGCCTCGGTTAGGGAAAGCTTCGCCGTTCCCAGGAGCAGATATAGAGTGCCAGCGCTACCGAGGATACAAGCCACGGTGACCGTCCGAATGCGTGCGCGGATAACGCTGGGAGCATCGCGGTTCAGTGTCGGTGATGGCCGAGTTGATGATGAGAGGTAGAAAGGGACCACGTAGACAAGCGTGCACGCGACCTGGTGGAAGAGGATCGATCAGCCATTCGAGCGTCGCCAGAAATGTTCAGACCACCATTTGGCGTACCGATAGAAGGGCTGCCGTAGTAGGCGAGATGACAGGCTTGTCCTTGTCTGGTTTCGTCATTCGGGGTCAGCAACGAGCATCAGCCATCGAGCGCCAGTCACGACATTATCGATATGTAACCGCATAAAGATGCATGAACAACGCGACAACTGGGACCATGGATTGATCACAGGGTGGATTCGAGGGGAGAATTGTTGAGATTGACAACCCATTCATCCACGGACATTGAAGGTCTGTGGGAAAACTAGTTTCAGGGGAGCCGACACATCGACACATGCGAACCAATGAAGCGTTCCAACGCACCTGCATGGCCAAAATACGTGTTTCTCAGCTTGAGGAAGAGGTTGACAGGAGCCATGGCGATTGCTGCGCGCTGGCGGCCAGCAGGCAATTGGTTAAGCTCCAATAATGCGGGAGGAAGAATGTGGGCAGAACTGAGCGGTGAGGTTTGAATGAAGTGGACTTTGGGATAAAGGGGATTGTTTGTCTTTCCCAAAGAAGAAATGGTGGCGATGTCGAGGGGCGACGATGAGGTCAGATACCAGAGAGAGAGAGGCGGTGACCAGAGGCGATGCTCCTGTGGCTGCCACGGCGAGAATCAGATCGTCTGTTTGGGGACTGAGCGACAGCACTATTGACTTGTACGTCCCCCCAGAATTCCGACCCGGAAAATTAAAATCTCCCAAGCACCCACCAGGCTGCGTGCGCCACAACGCTTCTTCCCTCCCCCTATCGCAGCCAGATAGATTATCGCGTTAATTTCGTGACACTCTCGGGTCCAATCGGACATTTTCGATGCTGGCTGTGTGCCACGCGACCAAGTTGGAGAAAGCCTGAGACGCGACCTTCCACCCCATTACGCGAGGTGGTCCTTGACACAACAAGCAATCGTAGTGAGCAGAGCACCCAGCAGTGTACGGAGTACTCCAATTTTACAAGGGTTTAAGCCCCCTAAAGAGAAGGACACAGAGACCTCTAGGTGCCTTCAGGGACTCGCAGGGCGGTTGCGTCTAGGCCCACCAGCCTCTAGCCCCAGCTGCTTTTTCCGTGCTGGTCGTCCACAAAGCCATCCATCCAAAAACAACCCTGCGACTCTGCCAACTGCACCACCACTTGCACTCCCAGAGACACACGGTGAACAACATCCAACATTCTTTTCTCACGGACATACTCACACAGCTCTGCACATACCACACCCAGTCCAGGACATCAATCGCTCGATTCCACGCCACCACTCTCGTGGCCGATCAGATGACAATTTAACTCGCCCTGAAGCATGCATATGCAGCTCCGCCGGATCGTCATCCTCAGCCGAGCTTCGAGTCTTTTGAGTGCAGTATATCTCCGATACTACTGCCATGCCATGACGCTGGCACCGAGACTTCAATAATACGCAATCCTGCACTTTGAGCGCCCACTCGACGTCCTTTTCCACTTCGCACACTTCACCTTCAGTCGTTCGTTACCCTCCCAGCGTTCCTTACCAAAACCTCCCTCGGGAAGCCGCATTGAACCCGCGAGTCACCGAATGCATCACCGGCTGCTCGTTGCGACGATGAGATAACTATGTCCTCGTCCCCTTCGTCGGTTAAGCTCAGATCGCCGAAGCGGACTGCTCCCAAACGTATACCGCTCCAAGAACAAACATCTTCCGAGACGAACGAGATCTCAGCTCGTCTGGGTCAAGAACCAAGATCAGACCAAGGGGCCTTGAACATATACAATACCACTCCGTTTCCCACGAAGCCTGCCCATGTTCTCCTCCCCAGTGCCATCCGCAAGAAGAAGAGCTTCGGGCCAAGCCCACTCGTCGACAGTTCTGGGCTTCTCTCGGAGAGTGAATCAGGTAGAAGCAGCGATGCTTCCCGGAGCTCGCGAGGGTCCGGGTCAAAGCCAACCGTTAGGCTCAAGCGGTCGGTCAAGGCATTGAGAGACCTGTACGAATCTCAAGCCGAAGAAGCGTCCCGTCCCTCCACGGCAACATCACCGGCGCTCCGTCCAAGCACTGCCAGTTCGTACCGATTGAGAAGCATCGGCTCCAGCGAAAGTCTATCTGGCGCATACGGCTGGGAGTCTCTGCAAAAGATCTCTGCTGATGACTTGGCGTTGCTACCGCCTTTGCCGTTGGGACCTCATACTCTCAAGAGGATTTCGTCACGGTCCTCCTTCACGTCAATCCCAGAAAAAGCAGCGGCCACTTCAACCCCGAACTACAAAGTACTGGCAGTCACGTCGAGTCCGAGACTGCCATCATTCAGAGACTTGAAGGGTCCATTGCTCGAAGCGTTTGAAGAGGTGTTAAGTTCCGAGGCTGCGAAAGATGGCTCATCGAGTCCCAACGTTGTCCGGCTCGCACCTACGTCGAGCCCCAAACAATCGCAAAGCCCTGATCAGCCGTCCAGCCCCAATGTGGTGCGGCTTGCGCACTCTTCCAGTTCAGAGCAGTTTCAGAACAGCGACCTATCGTCCAGTCCCAACATTGTCCGTCTTGCACACACCTCCAGTACCGAACAGTTCCAAAGCAGCGACCAGTCGTCAAGTCCCAATGTGATCAAGTTGGGACCGTCGTCGCCGCCAACTGCCCGATCCGGCTTTGCCAAACACTTTACGCTTTCCCGATCTTCTTCAAGCTCTTCGAGGAAAAGAAAAAGGTCAGAGTCCGGGGGAGGAAAGTCATTTGCGGAACGAGTGGGAGCAAGGAACCCCTTAGCATCGAGTCCTCCCGTTCATCGTTACATCTCTTCGTCCGCAGCCGCAAGCGTGAGCTCGCCTGTCGACCCTGGATTGCCTTCTTCCGCGCCGCAGAGCATCCAACAGCTCAGCGAATCTGTCCACGACTCTAGCCCGGTGGTTCAACCTTTGGCGAGAGACGATGCGACCTCTGATGATAGTTCCGTCGTCGATACCCACGCGAGTCTTCAAGCTGCGCTGAGCTCCAGTCCACCACGTATCCAATACCCCATTGTTCGAGCTCCTGCTGTAAGCCAGCACGCTGGCCTTGCAGTGCCCAAACGTAATTCCAGGTCCATGTCCACAGAAGGTTCTGTGGCGAAATTCGAACCACGGCTATCGGCCGTGCCTTCTGAAGGCTCGTGGATGCGACCCAGGCCAGCCAGTGAAGCCTCGTCTGTACCTGATGATCTCGACCAATATCTCAATTCTGAAGATCTGGCCCCGGCGTCCACCTATATCATCAACGAAGGTGCAAATTTGACGCAAATCCGACTCGTGCCCGAGACTCAATCAGAAGCCGAGCAGCAGTGCGACTCTGAATGGGAGACCGAATACAGCCATGACGAATTGGACCCTCACCACAATGAGGCCACGGACGAAGTCTCAGCACTACCCTCGAAAGAGTATGCATATAGATCACCACCCCTACGACCAAGCCGGAGCATCGGCTATATTCACTCTTCTTCGAATAATTCTTCACAGCAGTCAATCACACGACTTAATTCCATGAAATCTTTTACGAAGTCACGACACAACAGATCCCATTCACCCTTGCGCCCAGGCTCTTCCGGTAGTATTATGAGTGTGGTGCCTGTCCCCACGTGGGCTCGAAGATATTATTCGGGCTTCTACAGGGACTCCTTTCAGTATCTTTATACCAGCGGTTCATATTACAATTTGAGAGATTTAGCGGCGACCCAAGCACCCATTCCTGTACACTTAGAACCACCCTCACGGCCCGAAACGTCAAAGTCAAGCGTCAATACCAGCCTGCGCAATATCCATCAGGGAATGATGGATGGCGTCGGTGGTCCTTTCCGACCTAGGAAAAAGCCAAAGCTCGAAGCCCGGAAATCCCATCTCCTACCTGGTGTTGGACCGTTGGTCTCCAACCCAGTGCGCCCTCCACCTCCTGCCGCTCTCGCCTCGATCAGCCGACGGCAATCTTATCCCCAAACCCAGTCTTTTCCAAACTCCCACTCTCGCTCAGTTTCCTTGCCATTACATCCTGCAGACCCTCGGGCTCACTGGGCCGGGCTTGTCGAGATCCACGAACAACCGCTCCAAGACGGGCGAGGATCAACCTACATGATCCGCCATCACAGCTATACCTACAGCGTCAATGGTTCTCAGTCCGACTCGCAAAACAACCAGTCTGTGATACACCACCCTCAAGCAAGCGGAGGTGGAAACCTGTTCCGTCGCTCTTGGCATCGATGGTCCTCTTCTCCTCACCTCCATCACGACGCCCGCTTGGACACGGGCTCGTCCGTCTCTCGCGGCTTCGGCTTTCCATTCAACGCGAAGTCGCGCTGGACGACGGGTGTGCCTGACCTCGTCGCTGGTGGGGAGCCCCAATCTCTGTTGCACATCGATCTCCGCTCTATCCAGGTTATCTGCTTTACCGCCGGTTTCCTCATGCCCGCGGCATGGTTCGTGGGTGCCTTTTTGCCCCTTCCCTCGAGGCCGGCGAGTTTCGGGGACATTGAAAAGGAAGTCTTGCAAGAACAGCGTCAAAGACAACGCCAATCGTATCCACCGCAGCACTCCCGTGCGCAATCGTTACGTTATTCTCTTTCCCGACAGTTCAGTTCCGATCGTTCCCACGCAGAACAGGAGTGGGAGTCGATGGACATCTTGGCCAGACTCCGCTGGGAACGGCACGCTGCCGGCGTGGCGGAACTCAAATTCCAGAACGCACGATGGTGGAGAAATCTCAATCGGTGGATGAGCGTCGTTGGTGTGGTTGTATGCGCGCTGGTGGTGGTATTGGCGGTGTTGGGGACCAAACACAATTGGGGAGACACCTAGCTGGACGCTAACAGCGTACGTCTGGATCAAACAAAACCACCAGCGCATGTATTGGGCAAGAAAAATGGAGCTACAGACGGTTCCAAAGGTGCAACAAGAACTCCTGGGGGGAAAGGGGGTTTGTGGGGGACGGCGAAATCTTTGATATCGACATCCTTGTTTTCTGACCTCGACATTTCTATCAACTGTATCTACATACATTTTCCTTTATTTGTTCAGGCATCGAGCGAACCAGCGACGTTCAGATCCCCTCGACGGGACAGATTTCTTGCAGTCGATCAAAATACCATCTACATTATTCTATCCCCAAGTCTACTGTTTCTCGTATTTGCTGCGAAAGAATCCTCCTCCCTAGTTTCCACACGTTGCAACTCTCCCTTACATTCCGATGGCAGTTGCCTTCCCATGGATTCCTCTCCCTCCTCAGTTTAACGGCGTGCGTTTGACGACATACAAGTACTCAACAAACACGCTAGTGCTGCCTGCTATGTTTCCACCTTAGCGTGCTATTGGACGGGCCTGCTCAGAGCCGCTGGATGTTCGGTGCAATGGCAAAAATGCCTCAGAACACGGTCTGGACAAGTGAGACGTGCATTTGCTGTGGTCCAAGCCCGTCAGGTTTTGTTATCCGGAGGGCTAGCTGACAGTCCAAGAGCCTCATAAGCTAGCATTGACAGCTTCCTTGAACGACAAGACCCCCCAGATTTGGAACAAACTTCGGTGATGTCAGAACGACGCAGCGTGCCATCAATAAGTTAAGCCGTCGAGATCTTCAGAAACACTTCTGCAATACCAGATTCCGCCGTCTCAAATGCTATGCCCCACTAGGTGGCCGAGCACTACACGAAGACTTTAGGCTGGTGTATTTCTTTACTTGTGAAGAGGAGCATAGAGGATGGCTAATGCACAGATCTTGGATCCTGCAAGGTATTTTCCCTTCCCATTCTATACGAACGTTGAGATGCACGGTTTATTGACGCACTTCTGCAACAGTTGCGAAAACCTTAAACGCCGCGGTGAGAAGAAGGCGTTTGATCCGATCCCCATGGGACGACAGAGCAACGAGAAGAAGCTTGGAGATTTGATGAAATCTTTCCCCATGAAGGAATGCAAAGCTGCGAATTGCAAAACGAAAAGGGACTCCATGGCCCGTCTAGTACCTCGTTGTAAGTTACCGGATTTCCAAACATGGGCATTGGGAGTCATGGCATGCGCGTCGACAATCCGTGGGTCCTGGCGTTACAGGGGAGTCTATTCCCCTGTGCAGGCCAGATATGACTGCATCAAAGTTATCAGCGACGCTGACGAAAGCTCATACTGGGGCGAGAACGCTGATATCTTCGGTATTTGCTGGGTGATTTATTGGATGGCGGATGAAATTGGGCAACCGACACCTGACGACGCCATTCACAAGGGTTACAAACACAACCTACTTGCAGCTGAGGAAATAAAAAATGCAGTGCTTGATGTTCCAAGAACACGGTTCTGCCAACAGCGAGTATGGAGTCTAATCACAGCTACTAGCCGTGGTATTGCGAATCTTCCATGGCTTACCGAAGCGTTGCTAAACATGACGGACCGTCTCGACGGCGCCCACGTGGAATGTACAGCTCAGACTTGTCTGCTTGGTGACGAGAATTCGACTGCGAAGCCACAACTCCACTACCCGCGTCCTCAAGAGCCACCTGCGGAATGTCCTTGTCCGCCATTGCATTGCGACATGCGCGGGAGGCATAGTCGATACCTTGTGCAGGTCGATCGCACCCGGCGTCCCAATCCAGCGGAGCCGGACACCATCAATCTTGCCACGGTGGATTGGGTCGAGGACTTGCTGGAACCCCTCACGCGAGATACTCCATACATGGCTATTTCCCATGTGTGGCTCGACGGGACAGGTCGAGGAGATCACCCTCCAGGATCTGTCAACACATGTCTGTTCAGTTTCTTCAATGCATGGGCCATCAATCAGGGATGCGAGGCCATCTGGTGGGACGTCCTTTGCATTCCCGTGGGAGAAGCCAGGAAAGAAGCCCTGAGCTGGATGCACAAGAACTTCTTCGATGCAAAAGTGATTCTTGTTCACGATCGAGAGCTGACACGTCTACCTTGGACAGATGACGAACAGCCTTGCCTTGCTCTGGCCTTGTCAACGTGGTTTAGTCGTGGATGGACTGCACTGGAGCTTGCCGCGGCGAAATCTGAAGACGCGGTTAAGGTCGTCTTTAGGCATCCCAGCGACCGGAACAAACAGGTCGTCAAAAGCCTCCGCCAGATCCTAGCTGGAACATCCGGTGCGAAACCGGTCCATAAGGCTGTGTCCGACGTCATCAGGCGTATAATACATTTTCGCGAAAGGTATAAGGACAAAAGATTTGACGCTGTCTCCGAAATTTTGGCAATCTTAGAGCCGAGGTATACATGTTGGCTCAAAGACCGTCATTATATTGCGGCGCTTCTTGCAGATATCCGTACCATCGAGGAAACGGCGCAGCACTCTGAACTTGATCCAGGCGGGAACCAGAAGAACTTCACTCAGTTTATCGTCCGGGAGATAGGCAGAGTGTGGCCATCGTCGTTGTTGCACGGCAATGTCACCATGGCCGATTCTGGCGGCTGGTCCTGGTGTCCCATGTCGATATTCGACCTGGCCAGAGGAATAGCGGGGGAAGAGCCGCTTCGTCTTGATCGGGAGCGCGGCACTGTGAGAGGCACTTGGGAGACCTGGGCAGTCACAGAGAGTATGGTCGTGACCGCAGCCGACGCTCACATCTCTGTACATGTCCGTGTTGTTGAAGCTTTACAGTCTCCCCGAGATTTACTCATTTTATCCGCCTCTCGCGGAAGCAAGAAAACGAACAGTAAGATCACGAAAGACGTCCGCTTTCTTCTGGTCAAGACATTCGAGCCGACGCAGAACAGGAGATCCTCGAGACGAGATACGACTGGATCCTGGCTTGACTGTCAATACATTGGCACTGTGAAGCTGGGAGTGGCGTGCATAAGCTATGGCCGTGATCGAGGAATATTGTTGAATTAGGCGCACGCACAGCGAATCTACTACTACTACTACTACTACTACTACTACACACAAGGATGGTTGGGCATACATTAATATCAATTTATCATTCGGCTTCGACTCATCAAAACCCATCCTCCCCTTAAGGAGACGTCACAAATCAACGGAAGTATAGAGATTATATATTAATCAAGAGCGTCAGCACGCTTTCCGCGTTCCTCTGAGGGTGGTGACTTTGCACCATCGTTATTTGGTTTTGTTTCAGACACGTGGACAAATTCTCCATGATGGTTTCCCGAGGAGATCCCACTCAGTTCGTTTCTCCAGAACTTCAGGTCATCACCTGTCGCTCGAAGTCCGCCGGGGAAGAATACCTTGATGAGCGATGTGCCGACGCAAGAACCATATTCTGCTTTCTTTCGCTGCACCTTTTGGAGAACGTCGGGGACCTTGGGGCCACAAAATTCCTCCTCCTCCTTCTTCTTCTCAAAATGCAGGCCAAGGCAAGCGGGACTTCGACTGGCCCCGGCGGCCACCAAGGTGTACACGCTTCCAAGAAGGCCGATGCCAAACAAGTCTAAGACATAACATCACAAGCACATACGTCAGCTTGACCCACGGTGATAAACAAAATCTGGGAGAGGGGGAGGGGGGTGTCCTTCCAAACCCGCCACGGTGATCGCAAGGAGGATCCAGCAGAGAGCCAGGATCGCTGTCGCGCAGCGGGTTGCAAGCGATGGGACCGCGACGCGTGAATTTCGAGCGAGGATTTCGAGGTCAAGACCGGCATCCCTCGCGGCGACGATGACTACGGCCGTGCGGGTGCCGTTGCCTCTGGTCAGCGTGACCGTCGAACTACCCTTGGTCCGACTATAGTTCGCCCATTTCTCCTTCCGCCACTGGGGGAGCGAGGCTCCGCACACGGCGAGACAGTTTCCGGTCGAGGTGACCAGAAACGGTGCCCAGTCACCGTCCATGGCCCACGGGAGAATCGACACGGCTAGCTGGATTATGATGACGGCGCCGCCGCAGAACCACACCCAGTCGAGGCTGGGAATTCCTTGTTCGGATTTCCGGCCCTTGTCGACCCTGTACACCACGACTCGGAGGGCTTCCCATGGTCTTTTTGGGTGTTCTGCTGGCTCAATTTCTGGTTCCGGTGGCCGGAAAGTATTCTGCTCGTCGGTTGTCTCGTCATTGGCAACCCTGCCGTTCGCGAGCCTCCTGGAGGCATGTGACTCTGCTGTTGCCTCGTCCTCGTCAGGCTTGTCAACATTCAGACGCTCGGCAGTATGTGGCTTTTCCTTTTGCTTGCCAGTTGCGACATTGTCCTTCGTTCGTTCGGAAGTATGCGGCCCGTTGTTTGTCCTGTCAACGGCAGCCTCACCCTTTGGCGGCTCGGGAGGATGTGACCCTTCGATCGCCATCTCCTTGTCTATCTCATCGTTCAGAAAGTCGAATAATTTGCACAACACCCAAGAGTTGGTGGTCCTAGAATGACCATTTTGCGCATTCACCACCAAGATGGGCTCCCGGTGGTTCGGCATGAGCTGTCCACCTGTTTCTCCTGCACGTCAGCCTCTCAACTGGTATCGGCAACGAGGGATGATAGGGTATATATTATATATGTATAAGTGGAAGAGAACCGGACCCTCAATCGTAGACAGCAGCATGCTGCACGAATAGGTGACCCATCCAAACGAAAATGGAACAGGCGTCCATGCCCGTCCAGCGAGCTGCGCGATGGCCGTCTGGACAATTTCGGGGCCCAGCAACAGCAGTACGGCGATGATATCGCGAGGGCTTCGCCATTGAGCCGACAGGCGAGCCGCGGTGGTCGGAGTATTCTCTACGACTTGATCCCTTGGTGCTCCTAGTGGAGGCATCATTAGCAGAGTACAGAGAGACAGAGACAGTAGTGGAGCGCCGAAGTCTAACGAAGAGTGCGGAAGGGAGGGCCCGAGGAACTAATACCACTACTAAGTAGTAAGTTCAAGATGAGCCGCCCGACGACGTTGTCCGCAGTACGAGGTAATTAGATAGAGGGAGACCCGAATTCGACCTTGCCGAAAGCATCATGGACTCCGGGAATGATATTACGAGCCGCCGACACAGCGCCTCGTATTGGATCACTTGATCAGTATTATTAGTGAAGCCGGAGCCATCCCCTCTCTCTCTGACTTGGCCAATGTGGTTATGTATCTCGTGCGTTGAGGGAGAGGAAGCAATGAGGGAGAAATTCTCCTAGCGTGTGATAATTACATCCAAGCACAGCGTTGGCCATAATACTATCCCGCCCTGGGAGAGCATACATACATATCCGGCACAGCCACCTGAGGCTACTACTTACTGGTACCTGCTTTACTACTGGTAGAAGCGAATGACCTCCTCGAGACGAACCGACAGAGCAAGTGAGGCAGGAAGAAAGAAGACATAGCAAGTAAAGTAGGGAATGCTGGGTGTTTCTTGAACCTCTACAAGATGTAATTAGTCGCTACGAGACTCAAATCATAATATGTGGAGGAGAGTGTGTCACTCGTACGAGGTGAAGGAATGAATGAATGGCTTTGTGGAGAACATATAAGTACATACGAGGTACATAGATACACACCCACATATACTAGGTACTCACTCTTCACAAACCCCGTCGGTTGGCAATCCCTCACGCACAGCATCCTCGTCCTACTCCAGTTCGTGTTGTAATACAATCAGTTGTTTTATTTCCCACTTGTGGCGGGAAATCAATCCCCTTGAAGTGATCTATGTATCCGTACACGCTCGTGTTAGTCCCATGATATCGAGCGTGTGAGATCGATGCTCCTCGACCACGAGGGTTTTGCTACAGTGTCTCATATCGGCACGCGGTTTTGACTTTGCTGGCTCCGTCCACGCTCATTCCTGCTTCGCCGGCGTGCTCTGGCTTGGTTTCAGACCCTCCCTACTCTCTAACCTAGGCTCCCTCTGCATTTCCAACGCCCGGAACCAGTCCTGACTTCCAGGGATAGTGTGTTCGCTTTTGCAAGCATTTGGAATATTTGAGGGCGGAGACAAAACGATGGTAGATAGTCCGATCCCTGGCTTTTGTCCCCCGCAAGCACCAACGCAAGATGAGAAAGGCACTCTCTGGGGTGATGAAAGCCCTTCCGTTAGGCAGATTTAGAATATACAAGCAGACCACTTTCAAAAGCTGCCCTTCTTTTTCTACCCCGTGCTCCTCCAAACGCCTGGTCTTGACCTCGGTTGCAAGTCCGCTCGTTGGGCCAGGCCGAAGATACGTAAGGAGGATGGACCGTTCGAGGGCTGATCGGAGGGCCGAAAAGTCTCCAATGAGGACAGCCTTTAAACAGGCAGTTTGAAGCTCTTTCCTTTGAGAACCCTAGATTCACACACACCAGTCAGTCAGCTTCATCCTGGCAACATCTCGCATCACCTTCCACTTCCAAGGCCAATTACGCGGAAAATTGTCAACACTCACTTGGTGTAATAAACCCAGAAGAAGTCCGAATAGAGAACAGTCTGTATCACGCCGGCGACCACGGCAATCGGATCAAAATGCCCCTCTGCAAACCACCGGTAGATCCAGTTCGGAATGTACAAGGCACGGTATATCCCCAGCGCAAAGAGATAGTGTGTGGTGATGGTCTCGGCCTCGCCCGTCCTTTGAAGCATGAACAACTGCGGCAGAATGGCGACGCTCTCAAGCCAGATGGAGAATGCCCACAGCACTTCGGGGATGGTGTAGCGATAAGGAAAAAGTAAAGCGAGGACCGCAGAGCCTCCGGTGAGGTAAGAAACGCGGAATGTGTCGAGGTTCGGATCGTGCGTCGGCTTGTAGTCGTTTAACATTACGTAGAGGGTGTAGAGCGAGGAGGAGAGGAAGATGAGTTTGAAGATGGTGTTCCATGCGCTGTCGGTGAAGGTCCAGAAAAGATCTGCGCAAAACCGATGGCTATGTTAGACAAAAGGTTGTCGCGCCGTTCAAGCTTGGGGGTCGGACGAACCAAGGTACCTCGTCACGTAGACGAGAAAATATAACGCTTGGGTTTTGAAGGAGATGCCTGAGCACGACTGTTCCGACGGCACGAGCAGATGATCAGCATTGGCCCTGTTTCTCTCGCCGGAATTGTGTCCTCATGGTAAGAGGATTCTTCGACATACATTCGAGACCTTCATCTTGTGAAGAAGGATGAAGATTGAGACCAGATGCGACAGGTCCGCTGGGCAAAAAAGAGACCGATTAGCATGTGGCCCATTCTCTCTGTGGACTGGTCTTCCGCATACCTAGCAGCCTGAAGAGATTCATGGTGGGCGAGAAACAATCGGTGATGAGCAGCTGGGCACTGCGCGGAGGGAGGACGAATTCCAACAATGGCGGCCAAATCAACTGGGTAGATTGAAGGAGTCGCTATCCGAAAAGGCGCAGGAACGCCGCAATGAATTCGAGGGCAACAACTGAATTGGGAGAAAAGAAGCTGTCGAAGGGAATCCGTGGACCTAGATCGCGAGACGAGTGCTAAAGGAGGGACAACTGCGTACTCTACTCGGTGCGTGAGATGAGTTGAAGATGCGACAATATGCCAGGCTGTTCAAGAATCTTTTTTGGGCCAAAGGGACCTACGACGCGCGCATGTGCAGGCGCAGGCTGTGATTGGCGGGGCGGCGGACGGAGTCCTCAGAGTTCCCAGTTAAGCTTCGTTGGGGCTGATGAGGAGCTGTCAGCGCCGAAGACCCTGCACGTAACTCGCCTAACTGGGGCTCCCAGTACCCAAAGTCGCCAATTGAGAGCCCCTAGTTCCGGGTACCTCTGTGCCTAGCTCCCCCAACTGGGCGGCTGTCGACGTACGGCAACTTCCCCCAGTAGTGGCGCCCCCTGAGATACGTAATAAGCCCTACTCGGTAACCCGTGTGCAAACTGAGAAAACTCCGTAGTTCGTGCAGATAAAATGTCACAGCGAATCTGGTTAGCCGTAATGATCAACCACTATCTCCTATAGACTCCCGCATGCATATAAAAAGATTGAGCATAAGGTAAGCATCGTTCCCCCTTCTTTCCCCCTGGGTGCCCCCTTTCTTCCTAGTTCCATGAGTCAACATACCGGAACTTCTTCAAAATCCTGACTCGTCCAGGCCTCTGGCTTCCTTGATCCCGTTTGACAAGTCCTGTCTGAGACGAGGGATCATCTTCTTCCCCATTTCTTTCCACGAGCTCGTCCTGCTCCGTGTCGAAGCATATCTCCCCGTCGCGACCAGCACCCTCCTTGCACACAGGATAAAGCTCTCGCGTCGACATATCGCAATAAACCCCTTCGGAGAGACTCACGAAATGTGGTCCCTTGGTGTACGTGCCCTGGCACATTTGCACTGCACTCGAGAGGTCCAAGTTGCTTTTGACTAGCGCCGAGTCGAAGTCGAGGTTGGCCGAGGGGCTGTCATTGCCAGAGACGCTGGGCAGAACCAGCTGTCTCCGGGATAGACTAGGCTGGTCGTCCTGCATCATTATAAAAGGATTCAGGCACAAGTCTTGCATCGATGTAATGTTGTAGAACTCCGGGTCCTCGTCGTCGACGATCTGCAGGTTGAAGCTGATGCCCGGGAGTCGAATACCATTCGACCTGTGGCGGTCGATCCATACACAGGCCGCCGCCTTGCCTTCGCCGTTGGGCAGGACGGTGACCGCAGATTCATAGTGGTCTGCACCACAGACTCTTCCCAAGTTGCCCGTCATGGTGATCCCAGACCCATCAGGAGCTGTTACGCGGATGCCTGCAATGCAAATGGGTGCCTCACCAGTATTGGTGATGAAGATCCAGTCAGGTAACTTGTCACCGGGAATGGTAACGCTTTGTTCCCCTTCGCCGAATTGCCCCATCCCAACCCCTTCCTCGATGCTGTTGCTGTTGTAAATGGTGACTCCCGGGACCTCATCATAGCCGTAAGTCTCCTGGTTCAGCCGGCCCCAGCCTTCCATACCATTTATTACCGTGACCGTGGTCCCCGGCGACGATCCTCCCCCAGCTCTCCGCCTCAGAGGCAGCATATCATCTCCGCCATGCTCCCAGTAGTCGCAGGCCGGTTTGTCGAACATGCTTGTCTTTACCGGCGTGCCACAGGGGTTGTGATCGCATTTGCGGAAGGTGCCACATACTATCGCGACCGAGAACGAGCCTGAGACACCAAGAATACCGCCGACGACTGTGGGCGCAACCCAATGGGCCTTCACCCAAGAGCCCACCCTGAGCCAAGAGGAGACGTTGCCCATGACTCCTGTGGTGAAAAATAAAATACAAGGACGTTTCGAAAACCGAAGACCTCGTGTACAAGTCCGGGACAAAAATTCTGACGAAGCAATTTTGTTCAAAGGGGCAGCAAGGTGAAGAAGAATGGACACAGGCAGAGTCGTCTTGAGTGGCAGAACGGCGAAATCCCATGGCTTGCCTCTGTATATATACAGCACTTCACAGACATGAGGACCTGGTTGGGAAATAAACTTCGAGCGGCGAGGCTGAACAGATGGTTCGCCATCAAGGGCGGTGATCCATCCAAAGGTTCGCTCCCACAAGGCCGCAGCATGCTTTAGATCATTCTTGGTGCATGAATTCTAGCCTTGTGACCACGTTGCTCGCGGGTGAGAGATTCTAGATAGGCGAGACCAGAGGTTCTCGAATATCGGATACGAGGGTCGTTCGAACTCAGTGCGCCGAAAGGGATAGTAGATGAATACCTCGACCTCACCTGGGTCTAGGAACGAGGAAGCAGTTATCCTCATGCATCCCCGAGGTCAGCCGTTCTGGAGAGAGGCTCTTCCGGTCGGAAGTGGCGGGTTGTATTTCGTTTCCTTCCCACAATCTGCGGAGAAATGGTGTGGTTTCAAATCCAAGACAGGTTTAAGAAAGGTAGGTTCAGTGAAGACAATTCATCCATCGTGGCAGAGCAGTGGACCTTGCCTAAAGCTGCTGGTCGAATGAACTACGTTATATGTAGTCTATGGATACGTTGATCGATCCCAGCTCCGGCCCAGTCGAGCACACTTGTCTGTGCCACTGGCGAGTGTCGCAGTCTTTTTCTCCTGTGTAGTCAAGTCCTTTCTTCCCCATCCCGTTCGGTCCCAATCTCCTCACCAAGCACACCATTCCTGCTTCATCGACCGATGACAGAAGAAAAAGTGCAAGAAAGTCATAGCCCGAAATATGTCAGCATTTGATGTGCTTTTGGACAATAGATTATCTTGGTAGTCCCGCAAGGCTGAGCGTTCTGCTTCGTTCATCGTCATATAAATGGCAAGACTTTTCTGTAACCGTTCACCCCCTGCGCCGAAGACCCAAACCGAACTGATCAAGGTTAAAGGATAACTCAACCGGCAAATCAACGCAACAACCAAGCCCTAAGAAAAATGGACGCCTTCAACTCTCAAACCCAAGACGTTGCCAAGGGGAAGTAAAGTCCGTGAGAAGGTTCGTGTCGTCATATCTGTACGCGAAGTCGAAATGCCTTATTGCTCCGCATCAAACCCTGCGTCTTGTGATAGCACACACAGCGATGCTAACTTTCCAGCCAAACATTAGCGTACACCATAGTCGAGTGGTCAAATATAATGTTCAACCTTGATTCCATATGCGGATTCTGTTGGTACATTGCCATGCACAGATTGTGGCAGCGAGGATGGATTATATGCAGCCGAAGTTCCCGTTGCATTTCCGAAGTTATTGACAGACGGAAAGCCCAGACCCGGTGGTGTGCTGTTGGTACAGTTCAAAGAGATGGCCGGGCCGGTATTGTAGGAGTCGCGATGGTTCAGATGGCCATGCTTCAGTGCCGGAGAGATGTGGTTGGTCTCTGAGTGAGACTGCAGCGGCGTCATCCAGCGGTTCTGTTGCTGGAAAGTCGAGCTGGTTTTGAAACCCGCTGTCTGCAGGGGCATGCACGCATTTACGGTCGCCTGCCTATTGGCGGTAGAGCCCTTCCTTGATCCGGCCACTGATAACGCCTCTGGTGAAAGTGCTTCCGTATTCGTCTCAGGGCTTTTTACTGAATCAGGAGGCGAGTTTCGGCTCGCTCCGCGTCTGACCTGGCATGTCGGACACAACTTGACGAATCTTGAGATGAGTTCTTTGGGAACCCTGGAAGATATGATTAGTCTCTTTCAAAACATGAGGAAGGGCTGGAAGTCAAACCACGAGTACACTTTTCTGACCTGTGCAGAGGTTTTGTCCCTGCCGCCGTGCTGGCACTGTTTGTGTGCTTTGGTCAGAATTTTGAATAACTTTTCTCGCACCGCCACGGGTTTTCCTTCATGGCAAATCTTTCTTAGATGCTGTGCTATGTTAGCCATGCCTGCCAGAGCGTACACCCTATCTCACCTCTGGAACTTTGCTGTCGTTGGGTTGCAATGTAAACATCTTCTTCACCCAAAATCTGCCGTCTGTCAGCGTCTGATGGTACTTAAAACACGACATGCCTGTTGGGGTAGGGGTCGTGACAGACCTGAACTGTGCTGACTCGATCGCAGTTGTCTTCTTGTCGATGAGTACGTGTTTGATATTGGCCGCCCGACGCGCGTGAATGAGGGCCTTGTCCTGCTTCTTGGGCGAGAGATCCTGAACATAGCTATGAAGAGCAAATCAGCGAGGATAATCAACTGCAAGGGCTTCACGTACCGCTTCATCAACTCATCAAACTCGTGGACATCCGGATAGCCCTCTAACGGTGGGAGAACAGGTTCCGAGAGCATTGTATCTTCATTGGGGGAATCCTGACACTCCGTGCCATCCATTGAGGGGTAGTCTCGTGGAGGAGCGAGTCGTTGATGTTGTGAAGTTGTGCGATTTCCCGAGGACGGGGCATAATAAGAGTTTGGTGGGAAAGCACGAGATTGAGAAGGAAGCGTAGGAACCCGCGGGCCTACAAATGAATAATGGAGCTGTGGTCCAGAGGTGGGAGGCAAATAGAGAGGAGTTGCTGGCGTTCCCTGACTCGGTGCGTAGGTTGGTGAGTATGCTGAACATGGCGTGTGGACAGTCTGATACTGAACTTGACCATTGCTGTATAGGTAGCTGAGACCGGGCCCATTGGAATAATGCGACATGGCGAGGTGCGGACTTTGAAAGAAGGAATTGTAATCCTGACTGCTTCGTGGCGCATAGTCGGTCATTCTTGGAAGTGCAACAATTGATAGAGGGCCAGTCAAACGAGATCGCCGCGGATCGATACAGGCACAGTGCGCAGACCACAGAATCTGTCACGGCTGTCAAAAAGGAAGCAATATGACAAGTTCGATGGTCTTGGACGCTGGCGTTGGCTTCTCCCTTCTTGTTGAGTACCTCTAGGATACTTAGAGCGACTGGGACGAGGCAAGGAGCGAAGAAGAATGATAGTCAGACGGGCACGAGGGAAGTCAGCCTGCTATAGACAGAGAAGAAGTCGAAGACGACGGCAGCTGATCAAGGCTTTGAGAGTTTAAGACAAAATGCTTGTTGGGTCTCTCATATGAACTCAGGAATAAAAACAGAAGGTGAGGTAAGGTGTCGAAGGGCTAGCCACGGCAAGATGCGTAGTTGATATTCGAGGCAGAGGGTCGACTGGATGAAGTTAGCGGCAAAAGCAATGTGCTGGACATCCTCCCGCCGAATTGGGTTAAGAGGCCCATCCTCGTGCTGCTGTGGAGATACGAGGAGAGGCGAGCAAGGGCAGACAAAGACTTAGGTCTGGCTGGAAACGAGAAGGATCCAGCAGCAGCAGCAGCAGGGCGGGGGTGGGTGGGCAAGGCAAAGATGGCAAAATCCAGAGGGCAAGGAAAAGGGTCTGGAGTAGGACGCATATGGGAGAGAACGAGGCGCTGACAGCAGCAGAAGTGGCAACACTTGGTCACTCGCCTGTGGTCGTGATTGGGTTCCATTGAATTCCCACTTCGCCTCGACCACCTTCTCTTTCTCGAGGCCTTTGACCTCTCCGTCCCCGTTCGGACGGTGCCGTGATCACTCGCCTCGTACCCGGGGCTAGCTGTATGCACATCATAGGTGCGTTTCAGTGCTTGCTAGATGTTTAATGCTTCGAGGGAGATTCATGATCGCAACCACAGGAACCATCTCTGTTAATTCTGGTTGCACTCCAAGGAAGGCCTTCTTGGTACAGAAGCAACGCTGGCTGGTGGTGTCTGGACGCTGGAGATAGCAGGTATGTGTTCACCGGAGTCTCGGACTCTCCAGCAACGTCTACTTCAGGTGCTCGAACCAAATTTCAGTATTCCCCTGTAGTGGAGAGGGGCATGCAGGCATGCACACTTCAACGGTTTGCTCCCCAAGAAAACCAGGCGCATGAGAAGGATGCCCCTGTTCCGTTCGAGACAACTAGCCAAGTTGGGTACCCTGGTAGAGGTACCTTGTAGTTCGAAGGGGCGCTCGGACCGACAAGTTCGATGCCTGGGTTTTCCAGGTTCTCTTTGCGAGACATGTTGATGGCACCAGGCAGGGGTGTGCACTGATTCTGTGAGACATTGAAAGAGGCGAAGCCCCTTGCGACATGATGATCGCAGCGCCGGCAATCTGAAGCCACATCCACGGAGCCAGCACCAACGCTAACCACGAGGATGAGGCAGAGGGAGCAGTGTGCGTGGACGGACGGAAAGAGGTTCGAGTCGTGTGCCGACGATGGCGCAGGATAGCTGTTTGCTACGATTCCATGGGTTGAGTTGAGCGAGCATCGGAAGTCGAAATCGCAGCTCCCAAAAATGACGGCGGCCACGTGACTCGGATGGCGTCACGTGTCAGACCCCGGTCGATCTACCTCGAGCACTCTCCCACTCCCTCACCACTTCTCCTGAGCACAACGCTCCCTCTGTCGACATCTCAGGTCGCCCTGCATTCAGCCGAAGTACATTACCTGCTCAGTCCCGTATCAGGGCTGCAGCCGTGCTGAGATATGCTCTGCTTCTGGCTTCCACACCAACCCCCCCATCTTTACCCGCAACATCGCTGTGGCTGCCCCCGAATTCGTGTCTAGACCAGACAAGGCCGACTGCAGTGACAGCCATTTCAATCCTGGTCCCCTCCAACGATTGACGCATACCTTTCGACCTGCGCGTGCATGCATGCCAACTTTCAGCCCGACTTTTCAACCACCTGATCCCCTGTCTTTGGAGCTTGGTCTAGGTCCCCGTCCGTCCAATGAGTTGATGGGTTTTGTTTGCTGCTTGGATCATCCACCACCGGTCGACTTAGAGACAAACAGCCTCCACTTTTCCATCCTCAGTACACCTGATGATGCCTTCGGATCTTGGGTCCAAGTTTGCTGCCGAGATCCCTCCCAGCTTAACCGAGCCGAGGAAAAGCACTAACGAACTCCCTCTCGACGATTACGGATATCACCCAGCTAGCCCTGTATTCGACCCGCCAAAGATCGATAGCAAACAGAACAACTTCTGGCTTGCCAATTAAAGTCCGTGCTCTTTTGCTGGATTGCCCAAGATAGACTGACTCGGTATCGCCACAGATGCCTGCCACGTGGACAAATATCGTCTGCGACAAGAGCATCACCAGCCTTGAACCGAAATCTCGTTACACGGATGGGCCGCTTCTCATCTCCTCGTGGAAATGATCGCCAGGACTGGTTGGCTCTGCGCCAATCAGGTCACCGGCCACTCCGAAGGCTGCCACTGGGAATGGTACTAGGTATAGGACGATTCGATGCTCTCCTACGATTGCGAGGATCTCTCCTCCGGATCTCCAAATCTGAGCCCGCCGGGCATGCCACCGTCTCAGCCTGATACTATGTCGCTTCCCCCTACTTTCTCACTTCGCGCAGAACAGCCTAGCGCCTGGCTTTTCTCTCTCTCTTGCGATTCCTCGGGAGTGGGTGACCACGATTCGTCGATGAGATGCAGACGTAGTCGCTTCATTAGGCTCACTAATCGGAAGTTGAACCGTGTTCACGGACGTGAAGGCCTCCAGAGACATGCTTCCGACAGACATGATTGTTCCACAAGTCAATCCAAGAACTCAATCAGTAACCTAGCAACCCTTGGTCTGTGTTGCCGTCGGACGGTTGCGACGATCAGCCAACCAGGCCACCACCCTCGGCTTATCTTACTGGCCGTTGGCACTGGCAGATTCGCCATCCTTCTTCCCCGGATAAGGGTCTGAAAAGTGTTATTCACATGACCGTGGGAGGTTCACATCCTCAATCACGGCAAAGTGTACCAGAGAACCGATAATATTGATTGGTTCATGAGGGCAATTCTGTGTCCGAGGACCTCAGATGCTCCGATGTATGTGCACGAAAGCCCACGCCCTCCAGCTTCTTCTTGAACAGCCGGGACGATGCTCACCATATGAGATACGTACACCGGCCGGACTTCACCGACGATCTTGGGAGAAGAGGCATGAATGACTCAGGCTGCAAGTCCTGCACATTCCACCATCCTGCCGTGTCATTTCCCCGGGAGGCGGTGTGCAAGCACATCGCCCCGAATGGAAGGCTTCGTTTGTCCTAACCTTTCTGCACCACGACCGTGTGGCTCCACGAATCGCGTTTCTACCCAGGGATATTCATTCTGGAGCGGGGTTGGTTTGTTCCGGTGGTGCCCTGATGCAGCGGATCTGATGGCTCATTCTGTCTTGGACGAGCCCAACAATTGTTGAGACTTTTGCCTCTGAATGACCCGTCCACAACCTGCTGCCACGTTGATTTTGGAACGGCTCTAGCGAGATTTGTTGCCCATCTAGGTCCGTGGATCGACCTATCACGGGCTGGATGCGGGCGCCCTTTCTTTGTGGGCGTGTAATCCACCCCGGGGAGGAGTGAGTTGTACACTGGGTAGCGAGGCAAAGATTAACACAAACACAAAGAGACTTTCACAGCAGATACCGGCCTTCAGCGTGTGCCCATCCGTCATTGGACGATGCTCCTCCGGTTCAGCGCCAAGGCAGAAACACATGCAAGCAACTCCATCGCAAAGGACGGCGGAGCGAGACTGAAGCCTTGAGCGTCAGCAAGTCATATGCAAGGCCCGGGCTGGTGGGAGAAGCAGAGGGTTTGGGGCATGTGGAATTTGGACATGTCAACCGCGATATGACAGCCATCAAAATGGGATGTCGTACTGGTTGCAATGCAGTACTGTGCCTCTGTCGTTGCACAATTTCGTTCATCAATCCAACTACCATACTTCGGACATCATGTTTGAAAGGGGTGCTGCCGCCATGCTCGGCCAGATATCACATCAAGAACCACGTTCACTACCGAAATACCCCCTGAAGCGTCAAGAACCAATGCTGGAAGGCGTGATGGTCCAAACCTCTGATGTTTCGGCAACAACTGCACTTCTCTGTCAAGCCCCAGGGGGACTGAACGCAACCTCACTGCCGAAACCGACTCTTTAAATTCACCCGAGGATATATATAGTATAAAACAGCGCCAGCACCTTCTTCCCTGTGTGGCGACCGTAGAAATCAGACCTTGTGTAAGTCCTCAACACAACAAAGGATGAAAAAGGGGATGCTGGCCTTGTCTTGTTTTGTCTTGTCTTGTCTGCTCCGTTCTCCACTCGAATGCGGGGTGGTTCACGACACACTGCGATTGTCTTTATTTGTTATTTTCAACATCAACGCATGGTTCATACATAAGCTCTCTCCGTCAGGGCTAGACAGTGAGCCTCTCAAAGTCTCCCCCTCTTCACCTTATGGGCCTGTATTGTTGCCGATAACCAGCAGAACACAGCCATGTCTACATCCTCTCCCCCCACATGCCACCAGGGCACCCTCGCCGACCTCCTCCCTTCCCACTTCACCACCCAAATAACGACCTGGCTGGCTGAAGACACCCCCTCGTTCGACTACGGCGGCTTCGTCGTGGGATCAGAACCGCGCAGTGCCCAACTCCTGTGCAAGTCTGCCGGCGTGCTCGCCGGCGTGCCGTTTTTCGACGAGGTGTTCCGCCAACTCGACTGCACTGTGGCGTGGCACTATGACGAAGGCACATACCTCGACCCGCAACAGGCTGGGGGGAAGATCAAAGTGGCCACGGTCAAGGGCCCGACCAGGAAACTCCTTCTGGGAGAAAGAGTCGCACTGAACACACTGGCACGGTGCAGTGGCGTGGCGACTCGCTCCAAGAAGATGCTCGAGCTGGTGCGCGGCGCGGGCTACCGGGGCATCTTGGCTGGCACACGCAAGACCACGCCGGGTTTCCGGCTGGTCGAGAAGTACGGCATGTTGGTGGGCGGGATCGACGGCCACCGCCACGACCTGTCGAGCATGATCATGCTCAAGGACAACCACATCTGGGCCAAGGGCTCCATCACCAACGCGGTCAAGGCGGCCCAGGCCGTGGGCGGCTTCGCGCTGAAGATCGAGGTCGAGGTGCAGAGCGAGGCCGAGGCGGACGAGGCCATCGCAGCGGGAGCCCACGTGGTCATGCTGGACAACTTTGACGGGGAAGGGCTGAAGGTCGCAGCCAGAAACCTGAAGGAGAGATGGCGGGCCAGAGGCAGGGCAGATGTGCTCCTCGAGAGCAGCGGCGGGTTGACCGAGGCCAATGTCAAGGAATATATTAACAATGGTAAGTTCATATATCTCAGTCCTTCCCCTTTTGCTGCCCTGCTGTCCTCCATGTTGAGAGGAGATTCTCCGTCCATTTCTTGACTGACCGCGATCCCTTGATCCGATTGCAGACATCGACATAATATCAACGAGTGCCGTTCACCAGGGCGTACCACATGTAGATTTCTCGCTCAAAATCGATCATTGAACGATTCCAGCCGACATTCTTTCTCTTTATTTTCCTATTTCTACCGTTCCGCTTCAGTCTCCCGGTCGTCTCTCTGTCCCTATTTCCTCCATCCATCAACCCATCCACCCCTATGCCCGCTTCGTCTTCGCCAGCCTCCTCATCTCCAACCACCACCCACACCAAACCAGGACGGCCGACGCGACGAAGATGGGGGCCTGCGGCGCGCCCTCGCCGAACTCCGGGTCGGTCCATTTCGTGCCCGGGTAGAGAATGCCGCTGAGGCCGGTGACCCAGTAGAGCGAGCCCAGCACGGCGGCGATGGTGATGCTCTCCTTCTCGCCGATTCCTCGTTCGTTGTCTCTTCCTGCGGCACCACTATCACTGTCACTGTCACTCTTGTTACTCTTACTGTCCGCAACCTGCCCTGCCCCGATCTCCCCCCGTTGTTGTTGTTGTTGTTGTTTTTTCGGCGCTGAGGATGCGGCGGGGGCCAGCACCGGTCTCCAGGCAAAGTACGCGGTGAGCGCGCCCAGACACAGGCCCATAGACATGGTCTGGCCGTTGTGGAAGCGCGCGTGCGGCGGCCAGCGCGGGTTCTTGACGTGCGTCTCGTTCCAGTCGGCCACGTAGCAGGCCGTGCTGGTGAAGAGGGCCATGAGGCTGAGGCAGATGCGGCCGGCGGTGATGGATGGTGGTGATGGTGGTGGTGATGGCGGGGACGAAGACATGGGTTCTTTTTTCCCCTTGCTGGTCTTGGCGATAGAGTGCCTGTTTGTATATATTGCTGATGTGGTTGTGTGATTTGAACGTGGTATGGATATGTAGAGTTCCTCGTAACCTTGTCGTCTCTCTTCAAGACCTCAGGAGGCTGAACGTGACGGGGAAATCCTGGCCTCGAGTGGTTTCATTTCCGGGATCAGGCGGACCGGAAGGGAAGTGACAATGATCTGTCTGGTCGTTGACAGAGAAGTATTGTCACTATATAGGCAGAGAGAAAGAAGTGTTGTCGAAAACACACTTCAAGCGAGCTCTGAGGAACGAGCTTCAACCACTCCCCACACTCGTGTAGGAAGTAGACTCCTTCAAAATTCAAGAATGACGAGCAAAATAGATAGATAGACACATGGACGGGACAGAGTCTCATGCAATTCAATACATAGTCCAATACACGTCGTCCAATGCAAACATAACACAATGGATGAGCATGGACTAGGCTAGAATATATATTTCAGTGAACTGACTATCTATCTGTACCTAAGGTACACAGAAAACATCCTCCCCCAACCCTCTCTGGATGGTCAGGAAGAGGAATGATGTGTGGATGGACGAACACGCCATCCATCATTCCTCTTCCTGACCATCTAGAGAGAGCGGGGGAGCGCAATCGTATGTAATCTGTGCCCGGGACCACAACATGCCGGCGCCCCGGGATGGGATCGCCTCAGGCCGGCCGGCCATCCGGCTCCGAAACGCAGTACAGTACAGTAACGCCGTAACCGGTGCCATGTAATACATAAGAGAAGCGTTCCGCTTGACGGTCCTGTTTTGTCCTGTCCTGTCCTCTCGAGAATGTGGACTGGATAAGGCGATCGATCTTAGAGGACGCGCGCGGGAGAGTGTGCGTGTGTGCGTGTGCACGCATGTAACCATTCGGCCATCCGGTGTGGCTGCTGTGCAGACCTTCAGATTTCAGTTGGCCCAGTTGGCGCGGCCGGGCCCCGGCTCTTTCTTTCTCGAAGGGCCTACTGGAGTGGACTGGAGTGGACTGGCCTGGACTATCCGTGGAGGAGGGGGTAGTTGGTATTTGCGTGAGTAGTAAGTAACTTAGCTGGTAGACATAGGCGGGTGGGTGGGTCATCGTACACCTTACTACTACAAAGTGATGGGACTTCTATGTAGGGTAGGTATATAGGTAGGTAGATAGTGAGAAAGTTAGGTAGGCAGGTAGTGCAGGAAAGAAACTTGCCGGTCAAACTACAGTATAGTCGACAGACAGACAGACAGACAGACAGACAGTCAGTCAGTCAGTCACTCGTTGGACATGATCAAAGGAGTCTGTCTGTCTTGTTGCGCAATCTGTCTCGTTATTTCAGACAATGGTATTAAAAAGCTATGGTAGCGCCCGCTGTAGATAGTGTGGTTATTCTCTGCTAATCTGAACGACATCTCCACGAAATCCTCTCAATTACAAGCCAGCCAGCTATCGAAATTGGAAAAAATAACTCAACGCGTGTGTGCAAATTTCTGCGCCAACCAGATAAGCCACAACCGCCTCCAGCAAGCAGCGGTAGCTGCAACAACACCGTGCCATAAAGAAAATAAATAAATAAACCATTCTTGCCCGTCCTTGTCCCAGTAACAGTGTCCTTCACCTTCCATCAGTAGCAGTAGTCTTCCTTTTCGACCGATTGCTTTGTTCACCGCTGCCCATCCCTTCCTTTCCTAATTTTCATGGGCCCACTGTTCGCCGACTCGAAAGCGAAATTCCTCCTCCGGAAATGGACCTTTCGACGTGCTGAACAGAAGGAGACGCCCTTCTTCGTCACCGAGCAACAAGGACGAATGATCTGGTGAAAGACGTCCACACAATATTTCACGCCCAGCATCCACAAGGTCCTCAACGAGGACATCGGTGGGCGAGCGCCCTGTGTCCCAATACTTGAGAAAGCCGTCACTAGACCCCGTGTATAATTGTCCAGGAGTGCGACTCCATTCGATGTATCTGACCCCCACGTCTTCCATCTCACGGTCTGCTCCCCGGGCAAGCCTGACCACGGGCCGGCCGTGAGCCAGCGTGTGTAGTGGCTTCTGAGGTTGGCGCTGATCCCAAACATACGTGCAGCCGTCGGTACACGACGCTGTGACAAGGCCATAGTCGATGGTCACGTCGTTGATATCCTTGGCTCGACAGCTGTATCTCGCGATCGAGTCGGGTTGGTTCGGCGAGTACAGCTTGACCACCGAATGCTCTGTTGCGTCGGCCCTGGTCTCAGCGTCGCTCAAGCTTCCAATGGCAAAAAGATCGCCTGCCGGAGACCAAGCGCAATCAAATACGAATGTCTCTCCCTTGAGGAAATACAACTGGTCGCAGGCAGCTTCACGGAACTTCCACATTGCTGTACAGCCGTCGCCAAACTCGGTGTCAGAGCCGCTGCCGAAGCCTGCCAGTAACCGATCATAACTGCGAGAGCGCCCGAATTTGAGGCACGTCGGGGAAAACGGGACTGATCTCTTCCCTGTGTCCTGAAGGAGTTTGATCTCTTGAAGCCGAGCACCCGGGTTAGAATCGGCAAAGAAAATTCGGATCGATTTGAGTCCGCCTGCTGTACCAGTCGCAAATAATGTGGTTTGTTCCCCCGCGACGTCCATGACTTCGACTCGCTGGGCAAATTGTACTTCCGTCTTGCAGTAGATGCTAGCCTCATCCTCCACGTCCCAGAGTCGAACCTTGTTGTCAAACCCAGCGCTGAGGACCCGGTCGCCTGTCGGAGCATACCGAACCGCACTGACAGTCTGGTACAGGTATTTGGGCTGCCCGGCGCTGACGTCGCCTGCGATGCGATGTTCAGGAAGCTCACGAAGCGTCTTGGTTGCTAGTGAGCCATGAATTAGATTCACCGGTTGATTTTCGCGGAAATTGTCAGAGGCATCCAAGATCGAGTTGCTGGCGGCCACAAAGTATTTCGCATCTGGAGACCAGTCCACTTGCACGATGTCGCTCGATGCACGTTCCCAAATAAAACGGAGGCGCATATTCGTTTCCGATGCGGGAGGCAATGAATCAAATTTAGTGGTAAAGCCCCGTGAAGGGCTAAGTGCCGGGTGACTGGCGATACTCTTTCGAGAGCCTTTCTTCGGCTTCTGGGTCGTGGAAGGAGAATCTGCTGCATCACTCTGAGCTGAAGATGAAAATCGACCGGAGGCTCGCCTCTGAGACTGGCTCTTGACTCGCTTCGCCCTTGGCTGTCCATCTATGGTTGAAGACAACCCTCCCTGTCGGGCATCGCCAAGTGATGATCTTCGCTTGCGTGCCATGTGTGGGAGTTTGGCCATGACGGTAGCTGCCCAGTCCAGGCCGCGCTCTTCACACTTACGGCGAGTATCGCATGACCATTTGGCCATCATCTGTTCATAGGTGCGATCGTAGCCGCGTGTTCTCAGCGTCGCGGATGCGCGTTTCCACATGGCAGTCTTGACTGGTCCAAAGTCCTCTTGCATCAAATCATGGACTACATCAATCATAAAATTTTCCTCGTCCTGAGTCCATCGCCGAGACGAGTCCCGAGCTGGCTGGGAGCTCTTACTGGGTCGAGACGAGGGTTCTGGTCGATTTGGAGCTTCGGCTCTTTGTGGAGTCACAGTAGATTGCGCCTTCGCAGTGGTAGTCCGGGGAGTTTCATCTGGGCCAGGAGACTCCTCATGGTAGATATCCTGGTCGTGATCACCGTCGTCGGTTGAATCAGAGGAGTCGGTGGTATCGTCGGTGCCGTCAACGCTCGAAATCTTGCGTTGTTCTCTAGTAGGCTGTTGCACGCGAGAAGGCTGGTCCACCTCGCCGTGATCAGCATTAGGGAGGAGGTCATCGAGGCCAGGCTGTAGTTCTGTCTGGGAGGGAATTTCGAGAACGGACCTTGCCACGTCCCGAAGAGTCGGACTGAGCACCGTCTGCCCAGATGTTGAGTTCACGGCGGAAGATGCCACATTTTCCTCTGCTGGTCGCGGGGCAACCCAGCTGGATCTTTCAATCGTTGGCTCAGGAGCTTGGGAGGCTGGACGGGCTTGGCTATCATTGTGGCACGTGGCCACATAGTTCATGCAAACTTTCTTCAGGCGGCTGATGGCCTTCGCATGGTCTTTCGCCAGGATGTTCGTAAATTTGGCCAAGACATCAAGCTTTTCTCTGAACTCTGTGTCGTGCTGCTCGATACAGCGCATCATACGCGTCTCTGGTGCGCGGTCGATGAGCTCCAGTCCACTGTCGTGTGCCGTATCTGAAATACCGCTAGACAAGGCGCCAGTGCCTGAATAGCGCCGGGCGCCAGGGTATGCGGGTGATGGTGTACTCTTCTCCATGGCCGAGAGAGCTCTATCGAGACACTGGCAAAGATGACACCCCAAGGTAGGCTTCAGCAGGATGGTGACCGGGTAGAAAGACGAAGCATGAAGAAAGATGGACAGAGTGAACTAGTTTGCAGTTGTGAAACCAATAATGAAACGCAACGACGGCCAGAAAATAGGAGCTAACCTAGCCACCCTCCCAGCCTTGCGATTTGTGGGAGGCTCTGGTTGGCTGCTTCACACTCAGATCAGCCACGCCTGTGACCCTGTGGAAGTAGGAAATCAGTTCTCCATACCTGATGTTTTGTTATCTTGGGGTTGGACAGTCTGATGTTGTTTGTTTGTCACTTCTATGGCGAGCGACGCAATCCGTAACATTAGGCAGTTAGTGCTATTGGATGCGGCGTCTGTACCGAAGTTCTACCGCAGCATCGTCTATTGATATCCAACGTCTTCACCACCACCCACCACTTCTTCTACTCAGCTATCCTCATTGTGTAGCCTAGCACTTCCCCCTATTGAAGCCAGGTTTGATCATGGCCAGCCAATACGCCAGCGACCAGACTAATCCTGCCTCGCAACCAGATCTGGAGGCTATCTATACTCAACTCTCTCGCTATCCGTTCTCTACAGATGCCGAATATCAAGCTGGCCTCGCAACCATCCTAGGCCACCAGGACACGCCTGCGACCCCAGAAGAACTTGACGAGAAATCAGACCTGGTGCTGCAGGCACAGTGCTTCTATTTCTCACGGAGGTTTCACATCACGCCGCCCGTTGTTCCCCAGGCGTATTCAACGTGGCTTCAATCACAACCACATCCGCACCCACACACGCAACTATTCCAACCACATTCCCAGCCTGAACGTTCCACCTCAACACCGTCATCACCGCCTCAAGATCTCCCTCCAACAGCCGCTCCCACCTCCGCCACGACAGACACCACCGCGGCATCTCCTGTGGGAGCTGCTGAAGACCCACCCTACCCCACCTCCTTCGCCGCAATTGTGGACCTTATAACGCGTAACATTCCCGTTCCAGGGATTGAGGAGATTCCCCCTACTGTCCTCGAGCCTGGATCGAGCAAGATTGACAGGACACCGAGGAGGAAGAAACCTTGGGAGAAAGACGACGATGTGACTCAGTCGGGGGAACAAGAGTCGAAAGTAGAAGGAACATCTTTAGAGGCCGGTGACACGCAGGCCACGAGCAGGAGCGAGCAGAGCGATGAAGCCGGGTCTGGGCCCGACGGTGTCGACGTTAACGGACACAAAATGGCTGGCGAAGGCGTGGTAAAGATTCTTCAGCCCAACGCCATCCCAGACAGTGGGCTGCTCGGCAAAGATTGAACGAGGACACGGAAAAAGGAACGCAACGCACACACTCTGCGCCCGACCACGATACAGACAGAGACTCTGTGACGGGCAAGTAAACTGTGGGTGTAAATGTCCAAGTGGGGGGATTCGCTGCTCTTCTGCGTGAGGAGATTGTTTGGTCCCTCAGAGCATTCCTTCTGTCCCGGCAGTCCCAAATGGTAGGATGGGTCGAGTTGCCTATGCTCGCTACCAGAGGAGGAGGATCGAACATGCTAGGTAATGGATGGAAGTCAGCCATGCATTCCGCAATATCCCCGAATGGGTCGATCGTCATGACTGAACGAGAACACAGCCATACATTGAGCCTCGAGTGAGCAATTGTGCAAATATACGCTACTCGGGTTGAAACACCTTGCTCTATGATATACAACACATTAGGAATTTCGAGTACGCATTACACTTGATCAGGGAAGTGACGCAACCATTCATTGATGGATTTCAATGCCCAGACCTGCTCCTCGCAAGTCGAGGGGCAGGTATCAGGGGAAAGTAAGAACACGAGCTCTATGGCAGGCTTGTTCAGCTATGATGTTCACTATCTGCTACATTGGCCTCTTCATTCTGGATGTGTCATCATGCCACTGATAAATACATGCTTGGTCAATTTCCCCTTCAATTTTCTTTTCGGCGGGCATGGACAACGGTCAAAGACACGATATGATACACAGTCATCCGCCATGACTGAGGAACATTGACGCCGATACTGAATGCTGCTAGCTCTGAAATATTGCTGCCAACAAGTTGTGATTCCCAAAGCAAACACCCACTCGCGGCCGGTGTTGGCTGGGTCGTTCGTATCGTCGGCAGATATGAAACATTCCTTGTCGATATGGAGAAACACATACAATCGAATATTCTTGTCCGATAAGAGTTGGATGGAAATGAACAACCAAGAGGTCCGAGCCAAGATAAAAGACTGACCTCAGAGGCCGCGAGTGGTATCCTCCCCCCCATCGGTGGTGGCAGTATTGGGTGGTATTCCAAGTTTCAGGGTAGTTGCCCCTTGCTGTACTGACAAACTTGTAGAATACCTTCATCTTCAGGAAGATGACACGTAAGTAGATGACATGACGAAGCGCGAGACCAGACCTCTCTGTCCGTAAAGACATGTCGAGATCTTGACCTAGCGGAAGCGAGGCCATTGGTTGCGCGGTTGGCCAGGAGCACCGAAAGGGTTGACAACTGCTCCGGGACCAGGACGAGTGACCGAATTCGGGTTGCAGCAGAGCATGGCAACTCGAGATCCAAATTTGGAGCCACGCAAGGAGACCATGTGCTTTCGAATATGGATGGCCACCTGCTCTCGCTGATGGTGGTGAGTGTTCATCAAGATCCATTGAATCAGATAGTTGCCATATTGGTCGCCAGCAATGTCGATCAGTGGGATGCGCGGGCGATCGGGGTGAGCAGTGGTGATGACTCCGAGATAGCGGTCCAAGAATTCCGGTCCTCCGATCTTGAGACACTTCTCAACAACTTTAGACGCGAATTGATCAATGCTGTAGCTGTAGGAATTGGCAAGAATGTGGTCAATGACACGGCGCTTGTCAGGTGGAGAGCCGTGCTCACACAAGTGCTGAATGCACCAGTTGCCGAACTGACCGTGGGCAATGAGGTCGATATTGGCAATCACTTCTTCAATGGCGGGTCTCTTCTCTTCCTCGATGCAATTCTCAAAAATGTTCTGAACCACCAAGCTCCCTGTTTCGCCCAATGCAACTTCATGCCACATACCGCGAAGAGCCTTATTGACCTCCAGCATGATCTGTGGTGGCTCCCCACTCCATCTGAGCTCGAAGAGCTTCTGCCAGACATGACAAGCATAGCGGTGAATAACCGTATCAGGAATGCGGCGAAGCAATTCTCGGACCATGTCAGCCTTGTGGTCTTCTGGAACCGAATCAAAGGCCTTTTGAATGACGTGGCAGCCGAATGGATCCATGCTCAAGGAAAGGACGTTGCCATGAATGGCATCAGCAATGGCAACAACTTGTTCGGGTGTTCCATGCTCAAAGCAGCGCTGGACAAGGAAATTGCCAAACCGGTTGATCATGAGCGGATAGGCTTGATTGACGATGGCTTCAACAATCTCAAACTTCTGTTCAGCCGTACCGACCTTGAGCTTCTGCTGGAGGAAGATGCTAGCCTGCTGGTCATTGTTGCAGACAATCTTGTCAACAATGTACTTCCAATCACAGGACACGGACTTGTCGAGGAGGCGGCGATAGTTCATTGGCTCGAGAGGCGTGACATAGGTCTGGCCATTCACACCACCGCCGCCACCACCCGAGAGCGGCCACGGGTTTCCAGTGCTCTGCACGCCAGCAGTGTTGAAGTCCGTGGCGGGAGTGATCGGGGTTGTGATTCCTCGTTGATAGTTGTATTGGCCTGGAAACCCGACCGGACTGATTGGTGGTGGTGTCAAGGTGGAAGCGGCAGGGGGGAAGCTGCTAAGCTGGGACATAGGATCAGCAAGGCCTGGGTTGATTCTCAGCTGTCCACCGTTGCGTCTCATTCCGAGAGTGGGGTTCATTGGCATGATGTCGTTATTTGACCTCATGTCATATGCCAGCGGACCTCCAATGCCTGAGAAGTTGCGAGGTTGGAAAGTGGCCTCAGCTGGAGAAAAGGGCGCTCCATAGACTCCGTTGTAAGCCTGGCCAGAGAGACGGGCATCGCGATGGTGGGTATATGCCGGAGCAGGAGGGTTGGTAGCCAAAAGGTTCGTCACCGACGTCGAAGGATTGTTCCAGATAGCCCTGCTACGCATGAAGTCATTGCGGTGGTCGTCCTGGGTAGCCCAAGCGTCGGTCTGCGAAGTGAACGGACGAGCAGAAGCGTTGAAAGCACTTTGCAGATGGCCGATGGTTTGCTCCGAGATATCGTTAGAGGCGCCAAAGTCAACTTCAGAAGGGGGACCCATGGCTTGGTCGATGGTTTGTTTCAGTGTGCGGGTCTCAGCAAGCTCCTGCTCCTGGCGTGAAATGACGGATCTCGCCGCCTCGAGCTCCTGCTTGACACGCATCATTTCAGCCACATCAACCTTATTCAGAGCCGTTGTGTGGTGGTGAACAGATTTTGCAGCATCGAGGCTGTCATCGCTTGAGGTGTGGGCTTTGTGATTCTCAGATTGCATTTCGCTTCGGAGTTCCTGCTCTTGCTTCTTCAAGGCCTTGCTAGAATCGTGAAGATTGTTCAAAAGCTTGTCGAGGTTCCCAAAATCATCAGCCTTGCGCGACTTGACCTCGCCCGCGGGGGCAGGAGCAGGTTTGCGAGAATCATTGAGCTTGAGGCGTGAAAGAATGTCCTCCATCCCACCGCCACCCATCACGCCGGGCTCAGAAGGTTTAGGAATCGTCTATCCAATATGCAGTTAGCCAGCCGCAGAACATGATGAAACTTTCAAAGAAGTATCGAGACAGCATACCCTGTCCTTTGCTTTTGGGGGCTGGACATTGCTGAGCTTGTCGCTGTGCAAGATGGTGTAGGAAGGACGGTTGGACGTCACGGTGTGAGAGTTGGTCGCAGTCTGTGATTACGTGTCAGTGAAAGAGTCAAGCAAAAGTCCAAACAGACACACCATGAGCGTATTTCCCACTGTGACAGATCCATCATCACCTTCCTCTCTCACCTTGACTGTTGGAGTTGATTTGCGACTCATCTTGCCAGTCGGAGATCCTGTGGATACGAGCGTGGCCATGAGGTTGTTGAAGTTTGAAACCAAAGAGCCTTTGATCGACTGAGGTCTTTACAACATGCAGAGATATCCAGGTAATAGATCGGGAGAAGTCAGGGAGAGAAGCACACCGCCAGAGCGGCGACAGTGACAAGAGATTGCCTGCAAAATGGGGGAAGACTTGCGAAATGCTGAAGAAGTTGAGGGAGGTAGAAGTGGAAGCGAAGAAAGGGTGGACAAGGTGGAAGGGGAAGATGTGGCCGGAAACAAAAAGAAGTAGTGATGGCAGCTGCACGCAGAACAGGAAAGTGAGCGTAAGTGAAGTGACCGCGCTTTCCGCTTCACAATCTTGCCTGTGCTTGTCCACGCCATTCGCCGGGTGAACTACTACAAAATGCCCAAAAGAACATCTCAGTAGTATCTGGCCAGTAGTACTTATTACCACCTATCCTCCTTCCCAGAACACCCTAAGGTTCTGCCTGCAACACGTCGTCAAGGCAGGTATGAAGCAGAGGATATCTTCCAATGGCGGTCAAAGAAGCCCATGGCAATGGCGCCTCCATGACCCTTCCATCTTGCCTCACTGTCCAAGATCACGAAGTCTGGCTGACCAGCTCCAGTAATTGTCGGTATCAGCCTCGCAGCTTGTCGCAAGCCAGTCTCGTCGAATCCCCACACAACAAGCTCTAAGCGCTCTCCAGGAAGAGGTCGAAGCCAGACTCCGCCCATGCCTTCTCGCAGAAGTACCGACTTCGAGCTGTCATCTGGACCAGTGAAAAGAATCTCCTTGTTGTCAAGTCGTATTGGGAACCTTGGAAGTCGGGCTTCCGGGACAAGAATTCCAAGACAGATTGTGATGACATTTGATTCACTCTCCAATGCTTCTTCATACTCAGAGGAAGGCACAATATTGGTATCGGCTCCGAAATACTGCAAAAAGTTTCGGCTTATCTGCACTGCGATAGATAGTGTCTTGCCAGAGTTGTAGATGACTTCAAATGGTCCAGCGCTTCGAAGAATTGCATCGAGAGTCCCTCTTTGACGACCATATCGTTGATCCAGAGTCCTCCAATCTAAGGCGACCTCCCTAGTCCAAACACCGGAAGCGGACTGGACAAAACAAGCTGCTCCTTTTCGGGTGTTGAACACTTGTGGTATATCATCAATGAGGACTTGGTCAGGTGCATTCGCAAGTTGTGCATTGGCGTCCAGATGGAATCGATGGATGTTCTCTGTCCGGATATGCCACTGGACCAGAGATCCATACAAGCCGGTTGTTACCCGCATTCTTCCCAATCTGTCGGGGGAGGACAGTTGGTCGACAATGATGCCATACCTGGATCCCATGTCATGGGAGTTCGGAGCGATGAAAGTAAAAGATGCGGGCACTGTGAGCTCGATATGAGGTACAGCCAGATGCTGCAGGTAAAATTGCATCATCGACTGGGTAGTCATTGCGCCGTCAAACCAATGCCCCTTGTCCAGCATCTCCGAATATTGCGCCGCTCCGCCCCCTTGTGCCAGCAAGGTGTTCATCAATCTAGAATGGTAAGCTGGAACATTGTCATCTGCTGATCCGTGCTGTTGGAGGATAGGGAGTTCCGCTAGATTCTCAAGCAAGATCTCATGACGGAAGCTGCTTCGTGAGATCTCGAGGAGAGCGTTTTGGAGAGGGTCCGCCTCATTCCACAAAACATATGGCACATAGGTTTCAATCGACGAATATCCTGAAGCCACGGCAGCGCCCAACAGGCGATCAGGTTGATGGGAAGTAAAATACCACGTCCCCTGCCCACCGTTGGAGTGGCCGGCAACGAGAAGCTTCTCAATATACACACCTGGCCCTTTCCACACTGTGCTGTTAATCCATTCAGCAATTGCCGCCACTGCAGATTGAGCATCAGCAATCCCCCAAGTATGCCAATCGTCACCACTCCAGGTGCTCATGCCTGCAGGAGTGAGAATCCACGCGGGAAGATGAGAAGCATCATCAAACATATGCCTTGCCAAGGGACCATCTGCCTCCACGCCAGCACCATGAAGATTCAAGAGCACAGGTAACCTGTCTTCTCTCGTCGCGTTGGCGGTGGAAGGCGGCTTCAATATTGCGTATGACACTGTGCCGCTCGGATGAAGGAATGTGATCCTTTGTACAGATGATATGTCTGCATGTTCCAACTCTATAATGAAGCTGATCTCCCTCAGCGCTGTGTCCTGGCCTGAGTAGCTCAGAATGAGCCTGATTGATTCGTCAAATCGGAACCCGGTCTCGAATACCATTTTCACCGGGCGCGATTGTCCAGGCGCAAGGCGTATGTCTTGGCTTGTAACGATATAATCGTTCGCCCTAGACATTGCAGTTATCCGATGCATATATATCCATGTCGCACCTTGGTTTCGGATTGTTATGCTACCATATGGCGTGCAAAGTCTTCCATTGACCACGTCTGGCATCACCAGGCTATTTGCCACGAAGGCGAGCTGTTCACAAGCGGGTTGAGTCCTCAAGCCAGCTTGGATTGTTGGAGGAAATGCACCGCCCATAGAGCGAACCTCGCGTACGAGTCGCACGCTGACATTGTTGACGCCAGGATGGAGCTCAACCAGAACAGGGGCTCGCCCAAATCCAAAGAAGTCTCCACCAAAGACATGCATGTCGTTGATCCAGAGCTCAAGAATATTGTCTGTGAAGACATTGACAAGCCTACTCACGACATCCTGGTTCAAGATCCGCCCTTTGGCCCATGCTTGGTATTGAAAGGCCGACCAGCCATAAATCTTTTGGGCGAACTCCCAATCAATCTCATCGAATTCTAGAGAGAAATCCAGTGAGTATTCGCCGTTTGACTGCGAAGTGTGGTATTCCTTCCGAGCCCATTGCACGGTCGCGTTCCTGGCCAAAGGACTTCGAGAGTAGCTTGGCTCGTCCGGATTGGCGTGCCGAATACCCCCATAAAACTCAAGTGGATCAGCGCCCCAGACTATTTCTGCTCAGATTTCAGAATTGGAAGTGAGTTCTTGAGTTGAGCTGTTCCAAATACCTCGAGTGCCTATCCTGAACGGGCCGATCACGTCCCATGAGGGAAGGATAGTGATGAGACTCTGACTGTCAGTACCAGTACCTTCGACCGCCAGTACATCTTGGGACACGCTGGCCAAGATACAAACAAGCTGGCAAGAAATGGCAAAGGGCAAGAGCCTCGACAATTGCTCAAGCTTCATTCTACTACATGGCAGAAAACTGCCCTCAAGGACAACAGAAGGTGAGGTGCGGTGAAATAGCGGAGGCTCACTAGGCCGCGACTAGCCTCCCGGTCGGAGCTCCAGTTAATCCGGCACCGATCTCTGCAAGCAATTTATCCGGCGATAGGCTTGCATTGGTGGCGTTATCTAGCCGCGCAATTGCGCACCAGTGTCCTAGACGATTACCACCCCTGCCCATGCTTTGTCCGAGATTGAAGATTCTATGTATCATGATCCCCCAAGTTTGCACCAGTCTCTGAACAACCCTATCATACTGTGCACACGACAACCGACGCTCGCTTCAAGCAAATGGCGAACACCACAAGGATACCTTGAAGCAGCACACCGTCAAATGCAGTGCTGCAGGAGGGTGCAATTCAGTCCTTTTCAATACCACTCCCGCAACGAATATGACCACGACCATGACCCAAACTCCCGAATCCCGGATATTCACGCACCGATCCGTGTCTCCCCTGAAAGGCACCAACGAGACGTCCGGTCATGAACGATTTCCCTCCTTTGATCATAGTACCCCTCCAAGCCTCCAAGTCAACTCTTCCGTGGTCGCGGAAAGCCCCCAGGAACTTACTCCTACGCCACATCTAAACGGCGAGTTGAAATGGCCGGTCAGAAAGATGAGCCAGAGGCTGCGCGAGGCCCGGCCTGCAGGGGTGTACACTCATAGGTCCAGGCGAAGTGTCAGCGATGCCATTCACAGGATCCGGACACGGCAGGGCAGCGTGAGCGAGAATGCGCAAGAGCTGGCTGAGGCATTGAAAGCTCCAGTTTCCTACCGACTTATTGTGAGTGGCCCACAGCGTCATCCTCCTTCGACACCTCTAACACACGACAGGGACTGTGCATCCTCTGGTATATGACCTCGGCCTTGACCAACACATCCTCCAAGTCGATATTGAACGCCTTTCCCAAGCCAGCCACCCTCACGATCCTACAGTTCGCCTCGGTTTCAATTTGGTGCTTGATTCTGACGGGCTTGTCAAGTCTGTTTCCATCAATCAAGAGGAGCATACCTGCGCTGAAGAACGGTCTGCGCCAACCTTCATGGGACGTCATGTACACAGCGTTTCCTCTGTCGATCTTCCAGCTGCTCGGCCATCTCCTAAGTTCATATGCGACGTCTAAAATCCCAGTGTCCCTGGTTCACACAATCAAGGGTCTCTCACCACTCTTCACCGTGCTGGCATATCGACTAGTGTTCCGGATCCGGTACCGGCAGGCCACATATCTATCGCTTGTCCCGCTCACGGTCGGAGTCATGTTGGCATGCTCCACCGACTTTTCCACGAACTTCTGGGGGATCAGTGCTTCGTTGGTGGCCGCCATCGTCTTTGTGACGCAGAACATATTTTCAAAGAAGCTATTCACCGAATCAGCCCGCGCGGAAGCCGAAGGACACACGCATCTCCCCCGCAAACTGGACAAGCTCAACCTCCTATGCTATTGTTCTGTGGGAGCCTTCATGCTCTCGGCGCCAGTCTGGATTTACACCGAAGGCTTAGAAATTATGCGTGACTTTTGGAAGGATGGGTCAATTGATCTTTCTCAAAAGACAGGTACTATGGATCACGGGCAGCTAGCTCTGGAATTCATCTTCAATGGAATCTTCCATTTTTTCCAGAACATCCTGGCGTTTGTCCTGCTATCCATGTTGTCACCTGTCTCGTACTCGGTGGCTTCATTGATCAAAAGGGTATGGGTTATCGTCGTTGCGATTATCTGGTTCCGGAGTTCGACCACGTCCATACAAGTTGTTGGCATCGCCCTCACCTGTTTTGGCCTCTACCTGTATGATCGGACTAGTATGGAGGACGCTGCGGAGAGGAGGACTCGGGCCGACCATTTCCGTCACAAACACACACCACTACTGCCTGTTGCCGAGGTGAAGACCCCAGGTCCGCCCGATGGACCACGCATGAACGATGACTATATGAACGAGATGTCGGATCTACATCCGAAGAGAGATGACAGTCGGGGTCGACAACACGACGCACCCTTCGTCTCTGGCTGGCTACCCCCTGGCACGAAACAAGAAAGTACCTGGGCGGTCGGGGACTCTGAAAAGCAATAACTAGATGGATGTACCACCACTGGAATGACATAGCGAAGGTGTTTTTGGAGTCGGTCGGTAACCTGTCACTGGATTGTCGGGGACTGTTTGCAGGCAAGGAGATTTTTTTTCCTCTTGGAGTGGCTGTTCACGACCAACACGGACGCAAAAGGAGAAACGTAAAACGAAAAAGGAGGATAAAACGGACTTCAATTTTTGTTCTTGTAACTGGAAGCTGGGGAATAATGTAGCGACCGTCGGTAAGGAACCGAAGCATCATGGAAATTTTTGTTCTTTCATAGCACGCTCCAGCTACGGCGCGACGATTCATGATCTTGATCTAGGATCACGTAGCAGAGGAGAAAGAGATTTGTGCATGCAAAATGGCTGCAACCCTGGCTCCTACAATAAGTCATGTCCACGAAATGAGTTATGAAAGGAAGAGAAAAAGAATCCGAAAAGAAAAGATGCGAGAAAATCGACGTTATAGACGAATCAAATGACAGATTCGACAGGGGTTTATGACAGTCCCAAAATAGTTTAGTCAGCAGGATAACCCGGAATGGCGCATGCAGCGCCGAGATGCTGAGTGTGCATCTGCGGTTTCAAAAGTGACCTCGACAGCGTCCCCTTCTCTCCACCAGTCTTGTCAATATCGATTGAAAGAGCAGAGACAAGATGTCGCGGACAGAAGTCCAACAAGCTGATTCTATACACGAGGAGGACCCTCACAACGAACCTCAGAAGAAGCAGAAGAGCAGACGCCCCGCAAGTACGCTGTCGTGAGGCCCATCGCAAAGCACAGTTTTGCTGACGAGCATCTTTCTACACAGACACCGCGTTTCGGCAGCAGCGGCTGAAGGCATGGCAGTGAGTCTCGCTATGTCTTTCGACGGTACCGGTAGAGATACTGACCCTGCAGGCCTATTTTGACACCTAAGACTGTCCTCCCCCTCCTCTTCGCCGTCGGCATCATCTTTGCCCCTATCGGCGGTCTCCTTCTGTGGGCGAGCGCCAGCGTGAGTTCCAGTGAGCATTACAGACAGGTTGCGCATATAACTAAGGACGTGTCCAGGTTCAAGAACTGAGGATTGATTATACCGACTGCATTTCGACCGCAGGCTCCAACGACTTCACTCAGATTCCCGAGTCCAAAGTCCATTCGTCCTTCAAAACCTCAAATAACACAGCGAGACCTGAATGGAAGAGATCCACAAGGACGACCACCCCGCCGTGGAGCGTCCCGATCGAGGACACCCCTGTTTGTACGCTTCAATTCTCTATCCCCAACGACATTGGTCCTCCGGTTTACCTGTACTATCGCCTCACGAATTTCTACCAAAACCATCGGAGATATGTGAAGTCACTTGATACAGACCAATTGAAGGGAGAGGCTCTCAGCAATCACACGATCAGCAACAGCGCCTGTAATCCGCTCAAAACTAACCACGAAGGCAAGGCCTACTACCCGTGCGGACTGATCGCCAACTCCATCTTCAACGACACCCTGAATTCTCCCAAACTTGTGAATGCGAGGGGAGGGAACCAGCCGGCACAACCGTACGTGATGACGAACCGGAGCATTGCCTGGAGCTCCGATGCTTCACTGTACAAGAAGACAAAGTACACCAACGAACAAGTCGCGCCCCCCCCAAACTGGATCAAACGGTATCCAAACTATACCGATGAGCACCCGATCCCCGATTTGTCGCAATATGAAGAATTCCAGGTCTGGATGAGAACAGCTGGTCTGCCCACATTCAGTAAATTGGCTTTGCGCAATGATAATGAAACCATGACCGCGGGCATCTACACGATGGAGATATTTGACTGTGAGTATCTACACCAAAATGCACACATTTGGATGCTAATAGCCGTCAAAGTCTTCCCGGTCACCGTGTATGACGGGACCAAGAGCATCCTGATCTCGACAAGATCAGTGGTCGGCGGCAAGAACTCGTTCTTGGGTATTGCATACGTCGCTATCGGCGGGCTATGCATTGTTCTGGGTGCCTTGTTCACTCTGGCCCATTTGATCAGACCGAGGTGAGCCTGTCGTTCCGGTTTGAATTCAAGGGGCTTCACTAACAAGGCAAATAGAAAACTCGGCGACCATACGTACCTGTCCTGGAACAACGATGCGCCGGCCACTGGAATCCTTGCCACTGGTCGCGATATCCGACCTGGAGGGTCCTAAACGATATGACCAGTTGTATGATTCTTCTAACAAGGGCGATATAGTGTTTGTGTCATCTCACGGAGCCGGCGTTTTAGGGTAGTCTGCGAGGGCTTTACAGGGGCAGAAGCTACTGGTGCAGCTTTTGCAAAAAGATACCGCCGTCCTTTATCGTTATCCCAACCTTGCACATGTGGCCTTGGCCATTATTGTGCGAACGCTTCCCTTTTGAGTACCAAATGGCGTGGCCAAGATGTTTTTTTTTTGTTTTTTTTCTACGGGTATTCGACCCTTTCCACATTCCAAGGGGCCCCCGGCGTGGCGGACTTGTGATGGTGATCTGTGCTTCTTTTGTTATGTGCTTTTCTTTTGAATCTGCATTTTGCTTTCCATTTCTTTCGTCGCATCACGAACTGCTCATGTGTTTTTGTGTACCATGGTTTGTTTCACTGACACATCGTCCACTTGCCCGGCGTTTGTACAGTTTGTCATCTTCACGATTTTCTGCTCATTCAGCTTCGCCGCGGTCCCCAGATACCGACCGATTCATCGTTCCTGCGGCGTGGCTGCCCCCTCAGAAGACCTCGTTGTCACACATCGATATCTACAAGAACACGAACCACTCGAGAACGACCTGTGGAACAGTTCCCTCGTCGCTGCTCGTCATTCCCCCCATCATGAACGTCGTCAGACCTTGACTCCCTTATACACGATTGACACTTACGTGCATATTGTATCCGACGCCGCCAGCTCGTTCTCGTCGTCGCCGAACTACGTCACAGATAGCATGGTCCAAAACCAGTTTGTCTATCTCGCCCAATCTTACACCAACGCGTCGATCGGGTTCCGGTTGGCGGGCGTGACCAGGACGACGAACGACACGTGGGCGAGCAACGGGGATGACGTCGCCATGAAGCGGGCACTGCGCCAGGGGACGTACTCGAGTCTGAACATCTACTATCAGTCTCTCCTGCAGGCCGGCAGCAACACGCCTGGGGTGCCCGCAGGCAGTACCCTGCTTGGGTTCTGCTCCTTGCCCGCAAGCGGTGTGACGTCGACGACGCATTCGAGCCTGTATGTCATCGATGGATGCAATGTTCTCAGCGGGACGATGCCCGGAGGGAATATGCAGGGGTACAATCTGGGGGGAACCACGGCGCACGAGGTGGGCCATTGGAATGGGCTGCTGCATACGTTCAATGGAAACAGTTGCGATGCGTCAGATTGGGGCGATTACGTCGCGGACACGCCGCAGCAGATGACCAGCACCAGTATGTGATGTCCCTCTCGCCTGACCGCAGAATGTGTTGTGCTTTCATTCTTGTATTTGCTGGTGCTCTCTTATTGCTGATTTCATTGATTTTCCCGATACTCATCATTTATCTTGCTTCCTCCCGAAACTAGTGTATGTGTGTTATCTTGTACCATGTCACTAACCTCGAGATAAAACCCCCGTTCCCAGACGGCTGCCCGCCCTCCAAAGACTCCTGCCCCAACTCGGGCATCTCATCCACCGCGTACACCGGGCTGTCCAGCCAAGGTTCGAATCCATATGGTCCGCAGGGCTTTTCAGGACCCGACTCGATCCACAATGTAAGTGGCCACCTTGAAAAGAATAAGATCAACCTGCCGAAGTCAGATGCTGATAAAGATACTTGCTTAGTTCATGGATTACTCCGACGATGCGTGTTATACAGGATTTACGCCGGGCCAGGGGGCCCGGATGCTGAATGTGTGGAACATCTATCGGGCAGGCCTGTGAGAGCGAGCGGGGCGGATGAAGGTTTTAGGAATATCAATCAGGGCAACGGAGCAACGTCTTCCCCATGGTCTCGTTGGAGTACTGGTGGGATAGGACGTGGCAATCAGTTCCCCATTGGACGATACAGCCCTGAGAGGGTTGGTATCAACAGGGAATCTCGGACTGTCCGTGGCAGGTTCTTGCTCTCCCCCATCAAAGAAAAAAGAAGTTACTACTAATATATCATTCAATCTCGCCTCTTCTTCCACCGCAATCGACCACAGGACTGGGAAAGCAGGTCTTCCCGTTCGCTCAGACGTACTTAAGCCCAGTACCGGCCAGTTAGTACCCAGTTGGGGGACCACTCGGGAATCCTGGCTGTCGATTGTTTTTGTTTTTGTTTTTGTTTTGCCCCTTCTTCCCCTTTTGCCTTTTTCTTCTTCTTCGTTATACCTATCTATCTATTATATCTTTACGGTTGCCGAGTTTGACACGTACAAGTCTATGTGGATAGCCACGTGGAGCTGCGGTGCCAGTACCGAGAAATGCTTCATATTGTTTTCAGAGCAAAGAAGGTCAAGCAAAGGATTTGAGTTCGACCATCTGAGGTACATGTTAAATTTCGCACCATTTGGGATTTTAATTCCAACGTCAGTCAAACGGATCCAACACTGCTACGCGCCTAACAATCAATAACGCCTTGATCCACCTGTGTATATACTCGCTTCAGGGTGACCTGATCTTCGATGCTCCCCTAATTACATATGGAACATATTGTAGGTACATCCGACAAGGCCGGGCCCTCAATTCACCAGTCCATACCGGGGAGACGCGAGGGCTTACATATTGCAACGACGTGGTATTACTTACTACTGCGTGCTAGCATAGCATAGTGAATTAACTCAACAACCCAAGATCATCCGAAAGGAACCTACCCCCCACCCCATGGTGACGATGGTGGCCTTGGGTGTACGGTAAGAAAGACAGCGAATCGGATGCTTCTCGCGTCAGGAGATCAGCTGTATTCCAGAGCAGAATCATTCGTACATCCATGCAGACATACGACTGCCGAGTGTACCAAAGGTGTGCCCACCTATCCGCTCCAACGACTCTGGGACACATTCACAAACCGCTTATTGTGAGGAAGATGAAGCAGATGCAAGGGGAGGAGAGAAGGAGCATCTAATTTATGGATGATCGACTGGCTGAAAGCGAACATCAAAGGATCTACCAGTATTTCTCACTCAATTTTTGACCGGTCGAACAGTGCATGTACTCTACATCCCCCCTCCTCATTTTGCCCGTCTTTGGTCCGCGTTCTAACGCACATACCACCACCGTGACACGAGCAGCAAGGTCATCTGGCTGTCCCCAAGACAGTGTCACAGTATCCCGCATAGCCAACCAAACCAACATACTATTGTTACCCCGAGCGAGCTCTGGTCTGTAGCCACCCAGCGTCCTGTCACCCACCATCGCGTCCAATCGATCCAACGACAAAACGGTCTGGTCGACCAATACATATATAGTCTATTTACTCTTAGGCCCGGTCAACTCGAAACATAAACATAAACATGTCATCGACATCGACATCGTTGGCGTCACCACCACCTCCGCCCTCGTCCTCCCAGACCACCCAGTACGACCAGATCGGCCTATCGTACGAGTCCATGAAACGGATCCCCGGCGCGGCGCTTGAGCGCAACAACCTGCGCGCCACCATCGTGCCGTACCTCACGCTCCCACCTCGACCGGGGGACGGCCCGGGCGGCCGCGGCGCCGCGGTGCTCGACCTCGCGTGTGGCACGGGCTACTATTCGCGGCTGCTGTTCGAGTGGGCGTCCCCGCGCCGCGTCGTCGGCGTCGATATCTCCCCAGCCATGGTAGCCGCGGCGGAGCGCTCGGCCGCGGACCTGGAGGCGTTCAGACAGGGCCGCTTAACGTTCGCGGTCGGCGACGCCACGCAGCCTCTCCCACCAACAGCAGCCACCTTCTCAGATGACGACGGGTCTTCTTCCCCTTCGTCGGGGTCGGCGCCGGGGCCGTTATTCGACGTGGTGCTGGGCGCGTGGCTCCTGAACTACGCCTCGTCGACGACGGAGATGGCGCGGATGTTCGCCAACGTCGCCGCCGCGCTACGTCCGGGCGGCCACTTCGTCGCGATCACGCCCCACCCGGCCGCCGACCTGGACGAGTTCGCGGCGTTCCACGGCACGGCGGCGGCGCAGGCCGAGATGCGCCGCTTCGGCGTGTCCATCGCGTACCGCACGCCGCCGCTCGCGTCGGGTGAGGGCTTCCGCACGCGCGTCACCGCGCACGTGCAGCCGCAGGAGATCACCTTCGACAATTTCCACCTCCGCCGGCACGTCTACGAGGACGCCGCGCGCCGGGGCGGCATGCAGGGCGAGTGGAAATGGGTGCCGGTCCGGTTGCCGGGGAGTGACGAGGAGAGCCGTGCCCAGTACGGCGTCGGCATCGAGTATTGGGAGGGGTGTGTGGAGAGGCCGCACTTTGGGATCCTGGTGGTGGAGAAGTGATGAGCGTGGTGAACGGGATCGAGACATGTAGGGAGGAGGAATTCAGGGCGGAAGAACACGACGGAAAAATAGGGGGGAGAACTGGGTATGGGATAATAGGACCGGGAAAAGGAAAAAGGGACAGGGACACAAATTGAGCTCAACACAAAGGGGATGAAAGTGAGAAACGATAAAAATGGGAATATAGTGTTGAGTTGCTCCCTTTGAGGGCGAGCAGAACGGTCCTCCTGCTGGAGAGCTGTGACAAAACCACTCCGCAAACGCCAGCCTCCACCACCACCACCAGCAACGTCTAGTCATCATCGACCCTCGCCCGCTTCCTTTGCCGTTCTCTCTCCTCCCGGTCCCTGTCTTCAGCCTGCTCGAGGCCATATCTCTTCTTCCCTTCGCTACCTGCTCGGGCCGACGCCTCTCCAATGAGACTGTCAATACCAAAGGGATCGTCCTTGTCTTTCTCGAACTGAACGGGCCCAGCCTCGCGTTCGGCCACATCGGCGCCCTTGAAGCCTTCCTTGGCCTTGCCCAGAACTTCGAACCGGTTGGATTTGTTGATTTTACCCATCGCGCTCTCCGCCGCGTCCTCTCCATATTCTTCGTCGTCCTGGGTGCCCGCCGAAGGTCGATAAATGCTGTTGATCGCATCGTGTGCGGCAAAGAGCGGTTTGTCGTAATGTTGGTCCTCGTTGAAACCCGAGTCAAACCCAGAGGTCTGGTTGAACAACCGCGAGTCGTACATGGTCTCTTGATTCTGCGTCGGTTTCGCCAATCCCAGGGCTACTTTCTCGGAGATATCCCGATTCTGCTCTCTTGCCATCATCTGGATTCTCTTTTCGGCACCCATTCTGGACTGCCGGAGTTGTCGTTCGTTCTCTTGTCTGCGCTCTCGTCGGGCCCGTTCTCGTTCGCGGGCCGCATCGTCCTCGCTGCCACTTTGCGAATCATATGATGAACCCGAGTAGGATCCTGACCGTGACCGTGACCGCCGTGTGTGTGTTCCTGCTGCACGCTGTCGCTCTTCCCTCGCTTTCTTCGCCATCTCCCGCAAATGCTCCTCCTTCGCAAGCTTCTCCTTCTCCGCCAATTTCTGCTGCATCTGGGCGCGGAGCCGGACCTCCTCTCGCGCATGCCGATCGGCCGTGAAGAGTGCTTCCGCAAACTGGGCGAATTTGTCGTTGATCGTGACATCTTGTAGTCCTCGTCCATCTGCTGCCAATCGCTTATCCAGAGGGACCGTATAACCCTTTGGATTCTTCCAATTCGAGACCGGCGGTGGTATCCTCCACGCCTCCTGGTCTTCGGCCGTCAATTTCCGCGGCGGTGAGTGCATGACCGGCGGCGGCGGAGACGGTGGTCCCCGGGGTATCTTTTTGTGCTTGAATTTCGGAGGCTCCATGGGATCCTCCTGTCTTTTAACAATCTTGAATATCCGATCGTTCTTCTTCGAGTTGTCCCCCATCTGGTTCGCCGGCGTGTATCGGACGTAGGTCGGCTCTTCCCGGTTCACACCCTTTACATTCTTGGGCTTCTGCGCCGCGACGGCACCGGACACGAGTTTCTCCAAGGCCAGCTTGGTCCTTTCGGCCGTGGCCTGCGCCTCCTCTGCCGACGGCCGGTCGAGGCTCAAATCGCCCGCGTCTGCCCTCTGTCGCAGCGGGATCAAATCCTTGAAACTGGAATGTATGATCCGGCCCTCGCCGTGGCCCTGTCTCGCAATGGCATCGTATTTCACTTTTCCTTCGGCGTCGACCTGGAGGGCCAGCGCATTCGACGTCGACGCCGTCCCCTTGCGGCCCATGTCGAGCGGATACTGTGCCACGGGGATTTCGGGAAACGCACCGCCGTCGCCGAAGTCTTCTGCGGAGCGGGGTCGCCATCCTGATCGTTGGCCGTAAGGGGGTGGTCCCGAGCGCTGCAAAGAGAAGAAAGCACAAGTCAGTATGTCGGATGGGACTGGGGTATGTCTGTGGGAGGCGGCTGCTCACCTTCAAAACAATCTGGGACTCATCGATCACGCCGGGTCCCACGATGCGAGGCCCTTTCGGTTGAGCGTGGAGCGGCACCTCTTCATGCTCGCCCGTATATTTCGGTTTGGGCAACGAGGCGAACAGACCTGTCGCCATGATGGTGAAGTTGTCCGCGGGGGTCGACAGAGAGAGTCGAATAATAGAACAGGCAAACAGCTGGATAGGAAAGTTGAAGGTGAGTTGCAAAATGATGCAAATTCCGATATTGCGGGGGACCGTCACCTGTGATCTGCCGTAGAGGCACCGCCTGCTCTACGGTGGACTACTATGACGTCTTCCGACTGAATTGTGTATGTCTCCAAATGCATATTTTGTATTTCTCATCCACCATTTTCAGCCTGCGAGCTCTGCTTTTTGAGAACATCAGCTTCCCTAGAAGTGTGTGCAACAAGATGGGTTGGTTTTCCTCGTCTCCTACGCCCGCGCAACCTGCTGCAGGTACGTTTCGTCCCCTTCATCTCTCCAGTCAACACATCCCCGCAGGGAAACGGAAATCGCAAAAGTACTCAAGCTGATGAATGTGCTTTGCTTTGTAGTCACGCAACCGTCGACGCCCGAGAATCTCGCCTGCGAGCTCAAACCCGCGTCGACGGCGGTGAAGACGGAGAAAGTCAAGGTACGTCACATACATCACATTACTGCCTTGATCCGACAGCAGAGAAAATAGATCGGTTACTTCTCCCGCGACGTACCTCTTTGCGCCGCAAGCCGTCTCATTCCCTCCATCGCCCTCCCACGACTCCCCGGATCACGGAGTTTTGTCCGCTAACGAAAATGCCGTGCAAACATCTAGCCGTGCTGCGTGTGCAAAGACGAGAAGTCGCGGCGGGACGAGTGCATGCTCTTCTCCCGCGCCGACGATCCGCAGGAAGACTGCAAGAGCCTGGTCATGCAATATAAGGACTGCATGGCTGGGTATGGCTTCAAGATATGACACAGCAACCCCGGAAGAAAAGGCGGCGGCCGTTGTGGCATCAAGTCCCAGTTGTGGACCTTGTCCACTCGCTCCTGTCCGGCCTCGAGGAGGACCAGCTCATGAGGGCGGCGACCGACCGACTGACCGACCGACCGACGGCGGGTTTTGTATGTACAGTATTCCGGAGAATTGTACAGACGCATGAAGCTTGCATTGATGGGGAGGGGCGTCTTGCGTTGCATTGCATTGCTAGGGGCGCAGCAGTCATTCAGTCGTATTCGGATGGGTAGACCTTTGCACACAAGACCTCAGCGAACATTATATTGCATATACGTGTGACGGACGGGATTTCAGAGTTCGGAGATTGGGGGAATCATTGTCTTCGCAAGGACTCGGTTAGTGTCTGTATTCACGGCACAGAGATCTCTCTCTCCTCCCATAAACAAATATTGGGCACACGGTGTCTATCCCGATACTTCCCATCACAACCGCACATCAGGATCAAGCATGGCTGGTCGTGGTCAATGTTCATCCAGACATGGTACTCTGCACCGCCATCTCTCTCTCTTACACGGCAGATTGTGTCGTAGGACCGATGCGCGACTGGCTGACTGACTGTATATGGACCGTGTCCTCCTGTTTTCCATCTAGTACATCACAAGGACGCCAAGAGACTCTGCATGCCCACCTCCAAATAATCATCTCGCTTGAGCAGATACGGCCTGAGGTTCTCCTTCCCAAGGTTGCCCAGGACCGGCCCTCTCAATCTCTCCTTCAATGCGTCGGGATGCAGTACAAATACGCTAGCAAGCTCGCTCAGCACCTCAAGACTGTTCTTGAAGGAAGCACCACCGCTGACCGCATCGGCGTCGATGTTGGCGCTCTCGCCGCTGGCGCCGCCGCCGAGTTCCCACGATCGGAGAAGCTGGACATAGCGGGACATGTCTCGCGCCAGCATAACACCGCCAATTCTATTGACCTGGTACTTGGTGAAGTGCTGGAGCAGTTGACTGCGGAAGCCCACGGCAACTTCCATCAACAACACACTGAGATTCGCCCCGTCAAAGCTTTGCGCGGCAGTTTCGTGAAACACGGCCAAGAACCGGCACACGCTGTCGCAGGTCGGCGTTTGAGGCTGTTCCAAGCTCGGCGCCTCCGTCTCCTGCCGGGGGCGGAAGTCGACGCGGTTCTGATTGGAAAGTAACCTTGACGTCCAGTTGAGCACGCCGTCGATGGTGGCTTGTTCAATGTTATTGATTTGATCCTCAATGCGGACGGTCGCCGCACGGGCCGCTTTCTCCATCTCTCGCCGCGTGGTCAATGACGAGCTGGCCAAGGGGATGAGGAGGGTGTTGATGCAGGACTGCACCAGGTGGGCGATGTGCACAGCTGTGCGAAGATTGGAAAGGTAAGAGAGATCGGGTTCTCGTCGTGTATTTTCGAGAGATGAAGCCAGGTCTGCACAAGCTTCCAGGGAGACTTCGACGTACGACTCCAGCAGGTTCTTTAAGACGAGGGTGAGGAGGGCAGCAACATCCTTTGGCGTTTCGGCGCCACCACCCAATTCGAGACCTCGTCTGACTCCTTCAGCAAGCCACTTGAGCATTCTCTTTGCGAATGCAACATTTAACCTCCCATCTTCCTCGTCAATTTCCACGTCTGGTTGTGATTTGTCGTCGCCACCCGTACTTTGGAGACCGGCAACGCTCAACAGAATCCTCTTTTGCGTGGGTGACATCTTCTCCAGGTCCAGACTCTTAACATATGCGTCAGTGGCTTCTCTGGCCGAGGCGAGAAGCTCCTGGCCTCGATTGCGGATTGCGGCGAGATAAGTCTTCGGTTCTTTTTGGCGTCGAGAGTGGAAGAGCTCGAATTTGAAAAGAAGTGATTTGTAGAGTTCTTGGAGATTGTGTTTCTCTTTGTCGATGTATGCTGAGCCACCAAAGTAAGGGGTGAATAGTTCATCGAGTTGCTGATCAAGTAGTTGACTCGTCTGGGAAGTCACCGGATCAGGATGCTCTGTCAGCCCATGCGCCTTCAAATCTTCGACGAGGACGCTGATGTAGCTTCTCGCCGCTTGTAGAGACCTCAGGTAGGCAAGTGTGGATTCGGACTCTGCCTTCTCCAGCACCAGTTCTAGCCGCTGCTGGATGGATTGCTGAAACACTCTCTGGACGAATTTGCCCAGTACTTGTTCTGGGTAGGGAAATGCTCTTTTGATGATGACCGACTCTTCCTGGACCACGACCTTGACTTCGTCTATCAACGACTGCAGGCCAGGTTCGACGCCGGGCAACTCGGCGTCTGGATCAGAGAGTCGAATCCAGGTCTCCTGGTCTCCACCGATCTCCTCAGTCATGAGATTGCTTCGATCGATGAAGAACTGGTGCTGGTTGACAAAGGCCGCCTGGACGGACGCTCCGCCGTTGAAGTCTTGCAACACGATCGCACAGTTCTTCATCTCTTCGAAGTTCTGTCGTCGGTAGAAGTCGTCGAACAGCTTGAGCATATCGTTCTCGAGGGTCTCGATGAATTTCTCAATGACTTCTCGGGTGTTGAAATTCCTGCTTCCCGTCACCCCGTTCGTGATCCCGACCTGCTTGGTTGTGGCTACGCCATTGGCTTGTCCATGACTTCGGGGATCGAGTCGTTGGCTGATCCTCAGCAGCTGACGAGCAATATTGGCCGACCTGATCTTCCCTTCTCCCGTGCCGGATCTTCTCAGGTTCTCCAAGAGGGTGACCTCGCCACGGTTACTGACCTCATCCCAGCACTCGATCAAGAAGTGCGCATCCAGGGCTTTTCGTCTCTGTCGATCCAGCTCTTCGATTCTCCGCCCGGTTTCCACAGCGACATTTCCACCCCATCTCTCGCCTCTGTCGCTCTTCAAGGACGTATCCAGTTTCTGAAAGCTCTCGATGGTGGAATTGAGCTTCCGGCCCAGTGTCTCGGTGTTGCTCGAGTGTTGTGCTTCCGCTCTTCTCACGGCAGCGGACAGCTCATTCTCGCGCTGCTCCAATTCGCCGGACAATTCGTCGAGACGTCGTGAGGCCTGCTCGAATGCGCGGATCAAGGGCTTGGGGTCGAAAGGTGCGTTGGCGGTGCCATGGGAGCGGCGATGGGCGGACTGTACGCCCTCAGTCAAGGATTCGATGAAGTCCTTGGCTATAAAATCCCGGCTGGAGAAGTCGTCGAGACTGAAGACCGGCCCTTTGGGAAAGATGGTGCGGGTGGTGGGTTGGTCGGAGGGGTGTGATGACCCGTAGTGTTGCTGAGGGTCCATGGTCTGTCTTCTCACTGGAGGAGGGTCATCGTGCGGGCAGATGGAATGCCACAGTGCAAGAACAGTGGCTCAGAACTATTTGATGTGTACCTATAGAGGTACGGGTATGTAGGTAGGTAAGACTGACTTTACTGGACTGCGGAACGCGTGCAGATGTTGGAGAGCAGATCAGCATTCGCAGAAAGATTCCTCCGAGACCGACACCAGCCTCGCCCCCTTTTCGACCTCGTATAACAGATTCGCTTAAGTGCCAGGTACCATAATATTGATATAGGAATTCAATACAGAGCTTTGACCGGAAGACTGGTGACGAATTTCTTCATGTATATGTATATTTTCTTAAATGGTTCCTCGGCTCCAGTTTCTTGCTCTTGGGAGTATACCGCGTTCCAAGGGAGGTGGTACAGTATATTCTCTTTTGTCTTGCTTTATGCCGTAACTCGTGGCTCATCATTTAGTCATTGCTGGCCCTCTGATCTCTTGGGACACACTCAAGGTTTTCCTGTCTCCAATATGGTGGACGGGCCAATCTGTCACACGGTTGCCACTCATTTCACAGCATTGCTGCTGTGCGTCAACTTTTCTCTCCCCCTCGAGCCTGCAAACTGCAAGCATCTTGTCCAAGCGAAAGTATTGATTACACATCAATGGTGTGCCACAGGGTTGAGAAGCGGAAGGTATAATCCCCGTCACAAGAACGTATCCGACTCACCTTTTGTGCGCCTGTTGTTGTTACATGGTCATCTTCACATCTTCGAGATCCCTTCCACCATCGGACGGCGCGAGCGTCTCGCTCCTTATTGTCTCACTCCTGACGCCATCGTCGCGATTCTCTGCATCCATCCTCCCATCGACCGGTGCCGGCTGCAACGGCTGGTGCTCTTGCCGATCCACTCTCTTGCCCAGCTTCTCGCACCAGCTCTCTGCGCTGACAAGAGTATCGTTAACGACCCGACTCACTTGCGTCATCATATCCAAACCCTCTTGGGCCAACACCATGACTCTCCTGCCACTCTTGACCGCTTCAGAGCTCCCTGCGCCCGTGTCGTTGGGCGAGTCCTCTTCCCCGCCTGCCCGGTTTGCCACGCTAAACCGTTGAGGAAGACTGATTAAATGTCTGTGCACTAGATCTCGGGCGTTCAGCGGTAGTGCGCCGCCCGCGTAATTCGAGACGATTCCAACCACGTGCTTGAGCGTTTGCAGGACGTCGGCTTTTAATGCTGCGATACGCGCAGTCAGCGCAGCTTGTCTTCTTTCTTCTTGAGTCTGGGTCACGTTCGCCACGGACATGGTGTGTGGCTGTTCACCAGGAGTGATGCCTTCGTCCCACCGTTCCAGGAGAGTTTTGATGTTCTGAATGGCTTCCCCGAGTCGGCCATTAGCCCAGCGCAACCAACTGAGACAGTATCGCAGGCTGCGAATGGATTCTTCACTCATGGCAATGCCCAGGCCGCTTGTGGAGACCATGAGTTGTTGGCGCCAACCAGGCGGCGGCTGACGATCGTCACGGCTCTTAAGAAGGACTTGCTGTTCAGTGTAGGGTGGTGAGCGATCACCGGCGTTGTAGGCGGGCAGAGAGTCGGAGTAACCCGCCTCAGAAGTCGGTCGGTTGGTGCCATCGGAGGCGTCAGAGTAGCCCTTCTCGATGTCGGAGGTTTTACTCGAAGGTCGACCATCGCGCTTGGGTTGTAGCGCCCAGCGCAGACCACCTTCAACACCCGATATTCTGGCCACAGTCCCTGCGATCGGCAAACCAACATTTCTCTCGGTCCACTCTGCGCCCGGAATGTAAGATTGTGTAGTTTTATAGGCGGACAACGAGCCATTGATCAGAGGGCGAGCCCAAGGGTACTGGCTGGTAAAGAGTCTGAGGAGGGGCTCCGGTTGGTCGGAGTCGAAGGTGGTGTGAGACTGGACGAGAGTAGGAGGTTGCTGCGGGTGGGATTGCCTGGGAGAATGGTACTCTGGGACAGGCGCATATTAGACAACGGTACAGGGAACGAGCACTCGGGATAATTCTTACTCTGAGATAGATTGTTCAAGGTCTCGGCAGCCTCCATGTCCTCGATGGACATGCCAGAGATCACACTGCCTGCTCTCGTGGAGCGATCGTCTGATCTCATCATGTCCATGTCGATGGAGGCGGGTTTATGGGAATCGGCCGAGAAGCGGTGGGCAGAAAGCGGAGGGGAGAAGGGAGGAGGGACAGCATAGGGCGGGTTTGGCGATTGCGAGTCCATGATGCGGACCGAGTTGGACGGGTTGGCCTTCAGCAGAGTACTTGAGGGTTATGGGACAATGGAAGTGAGAGACTGCTACATGGTCGGAACGGGTGAATGAGACTGCGACGAGGGACGGTGGTGAATATGCGACGTGACAGAGGTGAAAAGGTGAGACGGGGAGCAGGTGAGTTCGAGTGAAGAGACCGGCAGATTGTGTCAATGTGAGTGAGGGTGTGTGTGGCAGCGTGGTACTGGTTCTCCCTCTCTCAGAGACCAGCGGTCGGTGGAAGTAGCAGTTAGTTGATGGAGTAATGGGCGGGCGGACAGTGGACGGTGGATAGTGGACGGGGTGACGATGGAGGATCGATCACATGCTCCTACAGTGGTTTTTTCTGCCAACAGCCGAATCACGAATCCCCGATTGGCTGACGGACTGTTGGATCGTGTCCCTTGGATTGATTCCCTTTTGCCTTTTCACCTTCTCCAACTTATGCTGCTTGCCGGTGCTGCTGTACCTGAGCTGAGTGACCTGCTCGGTACCTTCTGACCTCCACCCTAGGGACCGAGTCCCTTGTGCTCCATACTACTAATTGTTGGAATTATGGGTGGCACCCCGTATCTCTTTTGCACTCTCCTGTGCTTCGACCCTTATCTCTCTGGCATGTGCACTGTTCTGATCGCCACATGCTCGTGCATTTATTTGCATTTGGCATGTGTTCTTATGTCATCTCCCCTCTCTGCAATCTGCGACCTGGGGCAAACATGTGCTTTTTTCTCTCCTCTCTGACACATCCGTCTCCATCTCGATCGGTATTGTGCGCTTCTGTTCTCGGCAAGGTCGGAGATGATCGGTCACCGCTTGTGCCGCCGGCATGGCCCTGTCATTTCGGCAAATTGTTTTTCCGGAAACCCCTACCCATCTCGCCATGTCACAAGCTCTCAATATTTGACCGCTGTGAGGTACCTCGTACCGAGTATTGTGCTCAAGACGAGACAAGAATCTTACAGTGGTCCGATATCGCAACTGAGCGAAAAGTTTCCTCCTTGGCTCCCGTCGTAACAGAAAGGATCAATGGTGAGAATTGCGTGTGCTAGTGTAAGCAACTAACTCTGCAGTCCTGCAGCCGAACAGTACCTGGTTGTGGCTTGCGAATACTCGCCCTAATGAGGCCCAGGGAAGTGTGAATGAAAGACACTGGATCTCAAGATGTCACAACACATAATAATGGAAGGACCTGCCTTGCTTCGATGTTCTCATCGCCACCAAATCGAACTGAGAAGACCCGCTGGATCTCCTGGGACTTCGTGCCATCTCTGACACGCCAATTCACGAACTACCTGCTGTTGATCGACCACGCCACAGGATGTGCACGAGGCTGCTACCCCTCCCGGGCCCATCTCCTTCTTGCATGGTACTCAGTCCTACAATGGTAGTGAGTGCTCTTAAGCTTTTCCCAGGCGCCACCAATGTTATTGTTATAGGTACCCAGCTTGAAGAGCGGGTACATGACCACCCATTCTCCAGAGAAACTTGAAGATCGACCAGGTATATGTTCTATTGGTGTCCTTGGGCGTGTCGTGGATCATAGGAGATAAAATCAAGGAACGCATTCCTAATGGAGCACTGTCGCAAAGCTCAGCTGCTGTTTTGCGTCTCTCAAAGGTTCGACTCTCCCACCAACCATGTCTTTCCCGCCCCGTTCCTCTCACCACCCAAGCTGGATTAGCAGCACAGACTGCCAACGACCATGGTTGGCTGAATGGTCTGCATCTTCAGCCCGCCATATCAGGGTGATTCTCCTTGGCGTCGAGCATGGACATGGGGTCCCACACCCTCGCCTCGAAAGCGGAATCTGCAAATGAGCAGGTATACGTACACTCCATTGATTTGGACGAACCCAACGTCCAGCCACAATAAAGATAGCTATGCAGATGGCCCAGGATTCCATTCTCAGGACAGTCAAACAACCAGGAGAAGTAGCAACGGAACTTGGTGTTATGCCACCTTGATTCTGATATTCCTCTATCCCAGTATCAGCTCGCCGGTTGGACCTCGTCAGCAGAACAGCAGCGATCGGAGATGTAGCAAGAGCTGGGTCGTACATGGCTCGGAAGTCTGCAGCTGACCGAATAAAGCCACTTTCAGCTGTGCGATCATGTTGATTATTGGACCTCCATTCCTCCAGGGGCGCCAGCTGACCATAATCTGGATGGTATAGCAAAGGGGAAGCACGCTTCGAGTCATACATGCCACGATAGTGACACGAACTCAGGCTATTTCACACCTGCTTCTGCTGATATCAAAAGAGCAACACCGTTCCTCAACATTGAACCTGTGCAAAGAAGCTTCTGAAGGCCGATCTCTCTATATTCCCTTCCATTCGTATCTTCCTAACCATCATCCAGCACCTCCCATATCCTCCTCGTGTATTTCAGTCATGGCCAACAGAGTCGGGAACTGGCTGCCCGATGATCCCGCCTTGTTGTGAAAATGGGTTAGCAAAAAGGTGCAACAAGTCAAGTCAAATCCTCCGGAAGGGTCTGATGTGGTCAAAGAATTTTACGATATGGTGACCGCTGACGCCCGGCTATACATGCTCGTCAACAAAATGCTCGCCGAGGTGCCGGCCAAGTATGAGAATGACCCGGCCGGACATCCTGAGATTCGAGATCTAAAGACACTGTTTGACCTTTTTGACAGTATTTTGCTCGAACCGCCTTCGTGGGATAGCTCTGGGCAGATCGTCACTCCTATCAACGCCGTGCTAGACTGGCCCATGGGCACCAGAGCCGGCTTTGCGGCGTTTCTGAACACCAAGGTCAACCGGCAATTCAAAAAATGCTGAGCGCGTGGGCGCTTTTCCTGACAGGTGACAAGTCAACGAGCACCCTGAACACTCGCGAACGCGGCTGGTTCTCGCAAACCGCGCTGAATAGCCCTCACATGGTGGACTTCGCGGAGAATTATGGCGTGGATGTTACGAAGCCAGCGGGTGGGTTTACGTCGTGGGACGCCTTCACGCGACAATTCGTGACTGGCCGTCGCCCTGTCGCCTTTCCCGGCGACCAGAACGTCATCGTGAGCGCCGCCGAAGCCACGCCCTTCGCGGTCCCGCGAAAGGTCAATCTCTTCGACACCTTTTGGCTCAAGGGCCAGCCTTATCCGCTGGCCCACATGATGAACAATGACCACCGCGCCGAGCAATTTGTCGGCGGCACCGTGTACCAGGCATTCCTCAGCGCCAACAGCTACCATCGCTTCCACGTGCCCGTGTCCGGCCAGATCGTGGACGAGCCCGTCCTCGTCGCGGGGACGTACTACTCGGAGCCGCCGGTCACGGGCTTCAGCCCCGATGACGACCCCGCGGTCCCGGACCCCGGGGCGGACAAGGCGTCACAAGGGTACACCTCGGCGGTGGCGACGCGCGCCGTCGTCTTCATGAAGCCGACAACCCGGCGATCGGCCTCATGGCCATTATTCTCGTGGGCATGCGAGGTCTCGTCAGCCGAGATTACCATGCCCCCGAAGAAGCACTTCGAGAAGGGAGAACAGCTGGGCATGTTCCACTTCGGTGGCTCGACCCACTGTCTGTGCTTCAGGCCCGGTGTGGACCCGCAATTCAACTTCCCGGATAACATCCCCGGTCCGAACAACACGATTCAGTGGCCGGTCAGCAGCGCTTGCGTCCTTGGTCGTGCCGAAGACCGCTGCTTAGGCGAGCTGAGGGAGATACATATGTGTTGTCGAACGGGGGGCGTCCCGGTTCTGCCAGCCGGACGGAACCTTCATTGGTTGGCATGTCTAGAATGGGGGATCTCGGCCTCGGTGTCGATTGAATCCTTGTCCTTCCAGCGGCACAGAAGTTGATAAGGACGAGCAATGACTAAACAAACTTTTCTCTCAACGCCCCTCACGTTGTCACATTATCATGAACTAGCAGAGCGTATACAAAAGAGCACAGCCAACCAACCCTGGGCCCGGAACGCAAAACAGGCATAGCATAGCATACAACTGGGGAGTGAGCGAGCGGGCCCCGACGAAATCTATGAGGGGTATTGATGCCAGCCCCGTGGGAAATCAGTACGGTCCAGTCCGTTCATTTTAATGAGTAAGGAGGATCTAAGTCAAGTACAGGAACAAGCACCACGCAGGATAATACCGTAGATACATCTTCCCAGGACGATGAGGTTGGCAGGAACTATGAACAAACAACGGGCCCCGGGAGGGGAGGGGGGGGGGGGGTTATATTAAATAATGCAACATCTTCGGCATCTTCCACAAGATGCCCCAGCCGCCAAACACCACCGAGAGACCCGTAAAGATAATCAGCGGTCCATACGCGGTCTCGAAGCCGGGGCCGTGGACCGATGGCGCGGCGATCTTGGTGCCGGCCTTGAGGAGCGACACGCCGGCCAGACCGCCGCTGACGTAGCCGATGCCGCGGGCGCCGTTGAGCAGGCCGTACAGCATGCCCGAGTCGACGGCCTCGTTACGCAGGGCGGCCTCGCGCTCCAGCTCGTTGATGACGCCGCCCCAGGTGGCGCTGTACGCGCCAGCGAAGAAGCCAAAGGTCATGGAGAACAGGACCAGCAGCGCCATAGTGCCCTGCGACGTCAAACCCCAGAACAGGAAGGTCGACAGAGCCGAGCTGACGGCCGAGATGGCCGTCACGGTCGTGGCCGACAGCGGGAAGCACGGGTTGTCGCTGAGGTAGCCGAAGAACGGCGACGAGACGATCCCCGGCAGATTGAACAACGTCAGCAGTAGCGTCGCCGACGTCTGCGAGAGCAGGGTGACTTCGTGCGCATACGTGCTCAGGTACGTCTGCGGGATGCCGTAGCCGGAGCTCTGCAGGATGGTGGCGATGCTGTAGATGTAGAAGGTCTGGTGCTTGAGAAAGTGCCACGGGATCTTGCGTGACCGGTGGGGGCTCGAGGCGGTGGTCGATGGTGGCGTCGGAATCATGTAGATGGCGACGACGCCGGTGCCTGCTGCAACGCCCGTCCATATCCTCAGCGTCGTGCGAAACCCGTACCGGTCGAGCAGGGCTCGCAGCAGGAATGGACAGGCCGATCCCACAATGTTCTTGGACGACAAGACCACCGCGTACGCGACGGCCCGGTTCCCCGTGTTGAACCACTCCCCGAGGGACAGGGTGGTCGGGCTGTAGATGAGAGCACATCCCAGGGCGGCGGTCACTCCTTGCGTGGCAACCAAATGCCACACATCGGTGCTGAAGGAGGACAAGAGGAAGGAGACGCAGGTGAGGACAGCACCGCAAAGAGCCGCCACCTGGCGTCGCCGGGCCCATCGCCGTGTGAAGAGCGCGAAGAGGAAAGGCATCGAGAGGTACATGACGCCGTTGGAGGTGGTGCCGATGATACCAGTGGTGTCACGACTGCCCGTGAACATCCAGTTGCTCGAATAGTACTCCTGGAAGACGCCATAATTCATGGCAAATCCTGCGTTTTTTCGGTCAGAAGAATCTGCAATCAGCGTGATGTGTCCCTCCCCAGTCCCTACCTACCCCATATTGGCAGCTGCAGGATCGAGGAGCCCACAAGGACTGAGATTTTCTGCCTCCTTGACACCCGCTGCCTCGAACTGCCATGATCCAAATTTGTTGTGTCGTCGCCATCGACATCTTGAGTCCCTGGCTCGCCGCCGTCCGATGGCAGCGACTCCCTCAGAGCAATTCTCTCGGTTTGTGGCATTTGGATTGCTCTGAGCTGCTTGATCATGTACGAACGAGGATATGGCGATACTAATCCGGCACGGGACATGTTGCTTCTTAAAGTAACAGCCTCAGACTTGGCATGCGTCATGTGAAGTAACTGGTCGATGATATTTTACTTGACATTGATAGGCGCAGCAGCGAAAGGGCGTGCAGCTCAATGCTAAGCTTTGCTCCTTCCCGTGCCGGTAGCCAGCGCTAGCCTTCGAGAGAGGCGTACGAGGTACATTGGACAAATAGAGAGAGCGGATGGATCACCATGCTGGGACAACCCTAAGCTCCTGCATCTCGTTAGCCTGCTGTGCTTCCGAGATCGGTCCCTGCGAGCCTGATCGTCGCCGGTCGTTCATCGACGCAGCGCCGTTTAGATACTGGTGAAAGTATCAGCAAAGTGGCAGCCTCCCCGGAGCATCAACAGCAGGCGTGTCGTCCTATTTAGCCCCAGAAACGTACTGGGACACACAAAAGTGTAGCCAGTCGAGATAAGTTGAGACATCCACAGACGCCTCGGAATGTCTCGTGACCTGAGCCCGGTACCTAGGCCCTGAAGGCGGTGAGCGACAAAGCAGAGACAGGAAAGGGAAGACCGGAGGATCCAGACGACTGAAACATGGCGGAGGCGGCTTGCTGTGAATACTTTACCGTCAGAAACGCGGGAACGAGACAGCAGCGGCCTGCTCAGTGCTAAAGTTTGTGATGCTGTACTTCCAACTAGATGGACTCTGGGGAACATCTGCGCCATCGACATCAATATTTGGACGGTCGGAACGAACCCACAGCCCAATAAGCAGAATGGCACGCAATCCGATAATGGCTCTGCATACTTCGTCATGGCGTTCCCGATCGCCATGTAGCAACAAGATCATTTGGATCTGCTTGCATCTGTCAAATAGCTACCGGTATGAAATAGACTGGATCAAACCTCTCGTTTGCGCACCGCCAGCCAGAAGAGAACCTTCACCGACAGGTCTTTGGATGTTCGTTGAGGCAACTCGTCACAGTTGCGGATATTCCTCAACTGTACGGCAAGCTCGCGGCAACGGGACCATCAAAAGACTCGTTTCGTCAGACTTTGATGAAGTGCCCTTGTACTGTCCAGCGCTGACATTTTTCCTTTCTAAGTGCAGATAGTCCTCGACATCAACGATGCCGTCGTAAGTTTTGACACATGAATGGGGAGCAGGAGTGTGAATAGACTCCTTGACTGTATGCATCATCATCATCATCATCATCATCATCGACGCACTCTTCTGCTTACACAACATCCTCGGGCGAAACTTTACTGCTTCAGTCGACGGGACACGTTCGTGATATCATGGTGTGACTAAGAAGAGTAGGTCACTACCGACTCTGCATCCGAAAGATCCTCCCAGATACCCATCAGACTAACGAATTTCATCGCCGTAGAGAGCTGGGTACGGGCCTCGCAGAGCTTGCACGAGCAGATGTGACTGGCGGTGAACCCCACAGCGGCCTTTCGCACTTTCTACAGAGCTCGATGGGATAGCGAGATATTCTGTGCCTCGCCTAGCTCCCGAAGGCCTCTTAGAGCGGACATAGACAGCTCTTTGGCCAAGGCTGGTGTACGCGGATAAGCAAAGTTGACAGGTTCTGTCGGGCCGCTGAGTGCTAGAAGAACGAGGAGCTGACAAAGGCCTTGATTGTCGCGGAATCGTCAACAAAGATTCCCGATCGCGCAGCGCTCGGCCTCCAATACGTCTTGTAAGTTCACGCCGTGACAACTTGCATGACGTGACTCCACTAGACAAGGGCATACATATTCCAATAAAGTCCTCGACGCGGCATTGTGCTTCGGGATATGAGTTTTGTGTCTTGAGAGTGGTGCGGCACCCCTTCCTCAGCGTCCTTCAACCCCTGCTTGGTCCTTGAAGCATAGCTTGGACTAGCTGATTCCTAACCTGTTGGCATCTCGATCGCCGATATTCTGGGTGCGAACACGTGGACATCGTGAGAGTGAGTTTAGTTCCTGAGCAGTTCCCACCGCACGGATGCTCAGTCGTTTAGGGTGTCTGTTAACGGAAATGACATCGGCGTATTCCCATTGCATCTCTAGGAATCAGAAGTCAAGCTGGCATGTAGAAGTACTTGGTTTCGAAATAGGTGAAAGGGTCTGGCGAAACGGGTTACAGGCTTCTGAGATACTTTTCCATGGCTGGCTCTTGCTGCTAGACCAACATGACAGTCGGAAGTAAGACCTAAATCCACGAGCCCCGGTTGTTTCACTGCAGACGGCGACAAGAACTCCGATCTCTAGTCAGATGTTGTAGTGTATTTTTCGCATGGGAGGCGTGCCGTTCCGCCTCAGAGATATTTGCTTTTTGTTTTATCTGAATTTGGATGAATTTTCTGGGGAGGGCGAGCCGATGGGAGCCTCCCTACTTGAACCAACCCAGGGACTCGTACGCAGGAGGTTTCTCCAGGGTCTACCCTCAAGCATTTAGTCAGCGCCGGCAGGGCCCGGCCACTTACCGGTAGAGTACCGGTGAAGGCTTTATGAAAGGAGGGGCTGCTTCGTGACTTGTGTAGACCACAGGTATTGGCTCGAGTAGTGGCTCTACTCGAGCACCGTTTTCGGAAAGCCTTCTTTTGTTCCTGTATGGTCAAACGGAGACAGCCTATAACCCTGACCAGCTGGAGAACCGATTTGCCCAACGGAAAAGGTGGTCTGCTGAAAGAGCAGTCGGAGCTGTGGTTTTGGCGAACATCAAGGGACGACGAATGTCTCTTTCAAGGCGACGGCGACGAGTTCGGCGTCAGCTGTTCGTTCCACCAAGCCCTGGTGACTTGTTCTTCCATCGAGTCATATTCCGCTTCCTCCAAGTCTTCCTTCTCCATGTCGATGTCGACGCTGATGTCGATAAGCAACCAAGCCCGTAACGCTGCCGTTAGACGGATTCGCTGATTGATATCCAGTAACGCAAAAATCTTAAAACCATTCATCTCATAGGTGCAAAGATCAATTTCCTTGCAGATCGCTTCCTCTTTCTTGAAGAAGTCACTGTAGCATTGCTCGCGAACCCAGTCCACAATGGATAGCGCGGAGGTCCCTCCGAGCGATTTTGCTGAGCTGGAATCTAAGACAGCTTTGAGTCTTTCCAGAAACGAGATCCTGTCCCGAAGATTATCCCTCCCAAAACTTGCCAACGTCATGTTCAGATCGTAAAACAACCCGAAGAGTCCTGCTTGATGAGTGTAAACCCATTCGGGATCACAAGACGCATTCATAGTGTCACAAGTGGAGGCCGAGAATAGTACGGACTTCTTGATTGTGATGTACTGATCGAGAAGAGGCAGCTCCATGGCAGGATTTGTCGCCTGCTGCTGTGGAGGTGCTCGAGGCGTGTTGTTGACATCGGTGCTTGTCAAATAGGTGGCGCAGGCGTGACGGACTAAGTCAGCGTGGTTCTGCTTCGACCATGCCTGCAAGCGCCTCCACTTGAGGAATACCATGGTTTTGATGGTCTCAAAGTCGCTGAATGACCTTATTCTGCAAGGCACAGACACGTACATTCTCTTTAGGGTCGAGAGTGACAATGCCGTCTGGTCAGCGTTGAAGACGAACGATTCTAAGGCCCCCGGTCTTTGCAGCAAGGCATCCAATGCTTGCAAGTGCTCCTTGGCAGCATCTTTGTGGTTCATGTAACACTCTGCCGATATCGCATATCGTAAAGCTAATACGGCCGTTTCCAGGTCAAAGTCAGCATTGCTTAAGAGCGACCTGAGCATCCCATAACCGCTCGCTCTGCGTTTCAAAATGGAGTGCTTGAGAATATGCGAGTTTGGTGGTTCCTTGATGCGCTTGGCCATTTGCTCTTCTGCGATTAGAAGGATCCAGTGCAGTGCCGCGCGAGATTGCTGTATTGACCGAGCTGCAGGCACTCTTTGCGGGCAGTACAGGGCGTCTCTGTGGAAGCCAAACATCTGAGTTTGCAGGTCGGTAAAATCTTCAGCTCCTTTTGGTCAGTGATGGATATTGACAAAAGTCCAGGAGGAATCCCAGGAACAGGAACATTGAAATCACAGGAAACGCACAGTAATTGAGAAGATATTTCTCATAAAGATCAATAGAATCACCGAGATGGAGGAATGATCCCAGAGAACTGATTTCGGGTGACGAACAGAAAGGGTGATGCTCTCCGCCTGAGGATCGGCTGATGACTCTTTTGGAGCTCTCTGCATCCTCCTTCTTGAATTTAGGGGTGTCGACAGAAGAATACTGATGCCTTGGCAATTTGTTGCTATTGAGCTTCGTGGACTCGGCTAACCTGGAAATCCGACGGCATTCTGCCAGCTCCTGAGATGAAACACTGGTTGGGTGCGTGGCTCCATTGGCGTCTTGCCATGAACACGGTGCGGTTTGTTTGAGACTGTTGCTGGACGAGTGAGAGGCTTCCGGTTGGGGACCTTCCATGACAAAGTCGACTTGCAGCTATCCAACTCTTTCATCAGTGGCAATACATAGTGGTAGAGCTTAGTAGGCAGCTCTCAAAGGCGCGGCGTTACTCTAAAACTCACAGTTCTGCTCACAGTCGCTGGCTTGCTGCTGTTTTTCCGACGTTGGTGCGAAAAGCGCGCAACATGCGAATTGATCCGGGACAGCCTTCTCTTGCTCGGTCCGCCATCATCAGCCTGCCCCGTCTCATTGACGAAATTGATAATTCCGGATGACATTTATGTGGTGTATTGCAGAGAGTAGCTCATGGTGAGTTTGCAAATGGAACGGATATCAACTTCAGGATTCGGCCACGACATCGGACGTTGGAGAGGACGCGAATCTCAAGGTAACCAGGACTGGACTAGCAGATGCTGTCCACAGCCAGCAATCAGGAGAGGGGCGGGCTTCGCAAGTCATACTTACAAACACTACCCGTTTCGGGCTCTACAGAATGGGAAGATTAAAGGCGGCCTTAGTAATCCAAGTTTATCCTGGTGGACCAATTGACCGCCCTTGTGATTATGCTCCTGGCTGCGCATATTGATCCTTCGCCAGATCGCTCAAGTACTTGGTGCTTTTCTGCTTGCAGAAGGCTGGTCGGTGGCGCAACACATCGATTACCACAGCTGATGGGGCAAAGGTGTCAGAAGGATCGCGATCGATATTCACTGAGTCGCCAGGTGAAGGTTTTCTAGCGGCAGACGCCGTCATGCAACAAGCAGAAAGAATCATTGCTCACCACTGCACATTCATTGGTTGATGAGACAACGTCGTCTGTGTGAAACTCGCTTGGGTACAAGCTGACGTACGTGAAAATGTGCAGGCTCGCTCAGGGAAGAAAACGCCAGGCGTCCAGTCTGATATGCGATCTACCTCAGCACGTATTTGCTCGGCCCAAGCTCTGCCGAGCTTCAGGGATGCTGAGCGGGAAGCCTTCAGCGTTTTTGGGCATAGGAAAATACCTTAGGTAAGGGAACGGAGGGATGAGGAAGCGAAGAAGAAGAGGAAGGAATTACAGAAGTGCATGTGGAAGACAGAATGTGCCAAGCCCCAAGCACGGTAACCGCATTAGGCAGTTCTCGATCGAGCTGTCGAATTAGGGCATATGCGCCATGAAGAATGGAATATACACAGACCAGCATAATAAATGTCCTTGTTGTTCTATTTCAGCAGTAATTGTACATTCTCAGAGAAGTAGAGTCTTGCCTTCCCTGGCTCGTTGACGCAATCAACACACCCTTCCAAAATGACCCAGGACCCGTCAGACTGTCAGCAACGGTCCTGGTGATACTCCTTGATTTGGAACAAATCCGCTTCTATTCGTCCAAAATGTCACCTGAGCAACATGCTCAATCAAGCAGGTCTACCCGGGTGAAAATACTCCCAGGACGGCTGCTAGATGTCGACGTCGCCCTATCTTGCGGGGCGAACCATATCTCCGGCGTGTCCTCCTCGGTCACTATCCCTGTTCCAATGCCGACGTAGAATCCTAAAGAGGTGGGAATAAGTCGAAACGTCGGCGGGGCTCCAAGACAGGTCGACGCCGTCGTTGTTGTCGTTGTGGCCGTATCCTTAGAAGACCCTCCTCATCTGGCACGACGGGTATAGCTGACACATGGCGCATAGGTTGAACATTGCTCGTTCCTCGAACTCGATCGTTCGTACGCCAGATGACATCCTCATTGGTCCCGGTGGCCGGTTGGTGAAATGGAGCCGGTGTAAAAAGGTCTTCCAGGTCAAATTCAGGTACTACCATTGGGCCGTGGTCGGACACGGGTCTAATCACTGGTGTTGGCGGTGATGGCGGTGGTGGGGGTGAGGATGGGTATCGAATCAAGTCCTCAATCAGTCCAATCGCTGGGATCAAGGGAACTATAATACCCTCGATTCCATCCACGTCGATTTCGAGCAAGGGTGTGCGGCGGCGTTGGTTGCGGCCCTCAGTTGTTGGGCTCGGATGAGACATCGTGCGCTGAGGGGGCTCGAAAGTGTCGGCGTTAGGTAACCTGGCATGAGGTGTAGAGAAGGAAAACGCCCGGCCCAATGCCCGGCCCAATGACACGGTTGTAGAGGTAGTTGTGGTGTTAATTGTGGGTGACGCCATCTCAAAAAGTGGTGTATGAGGATGTGCTGTGAGAAGAGGCTACCAGAATGAAGAACTCTTGAGTGATTGGTAAGATAGTGGACGTGTTGTAGGCGTCACTAATGTTGGCTGAATATGGCAGTTTGTCGGTATGGTGTCGCCATCTGCTACAGAACACGTCAGTCTCGAAGAGGAGATATCTATACCTTCATGACCATGGCCGAAAGGTCCTATCGAGGTCCTCGCCTCCACATCTACCCAAAAAGTAGATGCTTGCTGTTCAGGTCAAAATTCGATGCTCGGGACAGGACCCAGAAAAGTGCAAGAAGGTGGAGCCGTAACCGGGATACACCAAGGTGCTCAGACAGGAATCTCTTGTCTTGGAGCACCACGGTTCCAGTGCATTTTTTCGTGTCGCTAGCTAGGTATCTTGGAGACTTTGTTGCGAGAGCTCACGTCCTCGTTTTAAAGCCAGCAGAATAGCAGTAGCACACAGAAGAAGAGCTGCTCTACAACAGGCTGTATCTCAAAATATTTTCCGAAGATCATCTTTGTGGCCAGCCTACTTGCAACCAGCCACAGAATCGGCGTCCGAGGAACCCTTCCATTTTGTGTGTAACTTCTTCAAAGTCTCTTGGGCCGTTAGCCGGACCACGATTCTCGTACCATGCCATAGATTGGAAGGTCAATATCTGCCTTGGTAGGTTTGGTTAGCGCCAGTGGGCGATTCTAGGCACAACGGCATGATTCGGTCAGTTATCAAGATACCTTTCACCATAAGGTTTGTTAGTGGACTGGTCCAACCGGGTCTGTCCAAACGATACTCTTTATGGAATGCATGTTTCTGAGCAAGAGACAGCTTTAGTTGTGCGCAGAACGCTGGGTTGGATGTCTTGATAACTAGTAATAGTGGAGACACCACGAGAGCGCGGACTGAACTGTGAATCCTGCATTCGCGCTGTGCAGGTTTGGGTCTGGAATATATGGCCGGATGGATTGTTATTTCTGAAGTGATTTCGAAAAAGCCATAGATTGCTTGATTCCTTGTGACAGAAGAAGCTTGTACTGCCTACACCATCTCCAGAACACGTTGTAGTGGTCTGCGATATCTTTCAATATTCGTGATAGAAAGCTTGGGATCAGAGCACAATGTTTCTACATCAAGCAACCTCCTGCAGCTCATGTTTCATGGCACCGTAAACCTTCCCATGTCGAGGCACAGGTGCAGGGGACGCATATCCTGGGCCCTTCTACCAACCCCGAGGGCGACTATGTGTCCTTCCAACTACAACAGACATCAACACGGCGACATCTGCATATTTCGTTTGATTGTGTACTCGATATCTCCTTGCTGGACCTTCTGTGTATCTACCGTCGCTCTAGATCAGACGATTACCGTCAATTTGGGACTGGAGGAGGGTCGGGGAGCGGATTCGCTGGCCGTGGCCTCTGGCGTAGGACTATAGAAACATCGTGGGTTTGATTCTTGCCCTTGGAAATGCGTTAATACTCAGAAGAGGTTTATTTTGGTGACATTGACTCACAGCGATGAGCTGCTGATTTGGTCGAAGCATCAGTTGAGCTGATCGCATGGCGAATTGTATGTACGCAAATCAGTATGGTCTAGCTTGCAACGAACATGCAGTGGCTGGAAGTGACCTGAACCTTCGATCCTGAGGTAAGAAGAAGCTGCCGGCGGACAGGTGACACAGGAAATGGTCTAACCGACCTCTGCTGTTCCCATGCGGTTCTTCCACTATCACACTCTCCCACGAATCATGTGTCAAACACCTCAACATCGGAGGTCACTGCCAATGTGCCTCATCCATTTCCTTTTTGAAATCTGCATTGCAATTGTCATTCTGCTTTTCACTCCTCCAACATCCTCGGCAGCTCCGTAGTCGAGCTGAAACAAGCGTAGGGACATACCATTGCTTGGAGTGGCTGCTTCCCTGCCATTTGCAGCTTCTGTCAATGCAACCATGATGGCATTCCTTTCTAAGATGACAAGGTGCACTTGCCAGCTAACGGGAATACAGCTTCTGCGCTTCGAATCTCGAACCGATATTCAGTTATCGCTGCTCGTACTCCTGCTGTCCTTGATACTCACACTCATCTGCTCACCTCACTGTTTCCCAATCTTTGGCTACTTTTTCACTCTTTTGCCAGCCAAATACTGTTGAAGGCACCCATACCACGAAATCCGCTCATTGAAAACAGCAGGTTTATTGCCCAAAACCCAGTTCGACTCACCAAGCACTGCAGTATCTTTCCTCCTTTCAGCTCAACCACGCCTAGCAACATGTCTTCTATATTCGATCCGCGTGGAGACCTGCCTCCTCCCACGATCCAACCAACCTCATACTATTTCTCACACAGTCACAAACGAGGCAATTCCTATGGTCTGCCCCCAAAGAAGCCCAAGAAAAAGCAATGCTATGACTGGATCTTTTCAACAGCCTCCAACGTCCACATTGCCATCGACCATGCTGCTTTCAAAACATACGTCTCCTTTCAGTCATATGTCCTCACAGTTTCTGATCAACGTCAGGTACCGGTTCGAGGCATTGGGTCGGTCGAGCTCAAGCTCCGACGAGAACCGGGTAGTCGCGAAAATCATACAATCGTCCTAGAGAATGTCCTGCATGTCCCCGATTGGTTTTGCAATGTTATTTCGGACATCTATTTTGTGCCCGCCACCCTGTACGAGCACACTTGGACTGAGTTTGGCGTCAACTTCTTTGTCCGAGACAAGAAAATCGTTAAGCCTTGGGGGTATACAGAGAACTTCTGTGGTCTCGATCGACTGGTGCTGTCAAAGAACCATCAAGGACGCAGCCCCATGCTTGAAGATCCTGAACGCGAAGTGTTTTCCGTGAGCTTGACTTGGCCGCAGAGCCAGAAGGATAAGTGGGACTGTTTCATTGCCGAAGAGACGAAGCAACAGGCCACGCGTGTGGAAAAGACCTCCAAAAAGAAACTCATTGGTGATGAGAGGAAAGGTTTGAAACGGGAGACCAAGAGCAATTTGGGAGAGAACACCAAATAGAAGCTGGTCCCGGACGCCACGACAACGGGGCCAAAGCACAACAGCGAGTCCGGTGAAGCCAGTGGTGGGCCGACGATACTTCCAAGGGGTTCCAGTCTGATGTTCGACAAGGTTAGGTTCTGAAACAAAGACCTGTGGTTCTTGGATGTACGAACATTGAATACACATCAATGGCGAGCTCGGCGTGCCGAAGCCAAGGTTCGGATGGGGTTACAAGTCACTGTTGGACCAGAGTTCCAGTATTGATATGCCAAAAGGGCTGAATATGAAGTAGAGTGGGTATGTACGAACTATATAGCATCGCAAATCAACCGCATGCATCTTTTCTGCCGGCTCGGTATTCAAATCACTCTGGGAAGCTAATGTACCAATCTTACCTGCTTCCCTGGCTCCCACTCGTGTAGCGCGGAATGCAAACTCCGCCAATAATTCAGCTTGATGCATTCCCTTTTCGCACTCTCGACGTCGTCCTTTTCCAAAGCCTCAGCCAGTGCTTGTTCGGTCTCCCTTATCCTCGCTATATTCTCTCTCATTAATGATTCAATCTCATCGTGAGTCGTCGCTTCCTCCAGTAGCTCCTGTGCCTCCATGACTTCCAGCAACGTGCTCTGGTCCGTCACTCCCGCATGCGTGGCGTTGTCCTCGTGCGTGATGTCGATTCCATGGTTATGCTGGAGGAGGTATCTTGCGCGCAGGAGCGGGTCGGAGAGGGTCTTGTAGGCATTGTTCAAAAGGGAAGAGAGCGCGAGGGACTTCTGGTGGGAGGCGGTGCCCGGCGGGAACTTGTCCGGGTGGTATTGAGACTGCAGTCGCAGGAATTCGCGGCGGAGATGCGGGAGCGGAATATTGAACGGTCCTCTTGGTGGCGGGCCCGACGAGAGTGTCACAGGGAAGAGGGTATAGTAGTTCGTCACGTCCGGAGGAGTGGCTGAAAGAGTCGGGTCCTCCTGTTTGGGATCGGTCGGTTCAGGCGGCCCTTGAGCCTGCGTCTGCGCCCGAGGTTCTTGCAGATGGACGGCCGTCACGCTAAATGCTCGTCGGGGATTGTGTGCTGATGCTGTTTGTGGGCATCGGAGAGGTATTTGCGCCCCTCTTGTAATTGCAGACGGTACTGTGGACGAGTCAATCAGACAGAGGCGTCGGAGGTGGCGGAGTGTTTGCCGCGTCGGGACTGCTCCTGACATGGTTTCAATAAGACCAAGAAGATCGCGAGTGACTTGTTGTAGAGGCAACAGGATATCGATGAATTTGATTGCGCAAAGGGCTTGTATGGTTGCAGGCAGGGAAGAAGATAGGTCTCACGCAGCGCAGAGAGACGACTTGGTAGGAGTCGGTTTTGGAAAACAAAGTCGCCGACGTCATGCTCCGGGATCGGAGGATCATGCGCCGGGCGACGAAGCGGCAAAATTAGTTATTATTCAGTTTATATTATTCTCAACCTCCATATCGCTGTCATTGTTCCAAAGGAGTAGGAGTAGGGTAATATACGGATAATGGTATTTTTGCTACTGGTGGACGAGGCGCAAAGGCCGTCCCCGAACGTACACTCTGCCTCAGAGCCTTGCTTTCTCCCAGGACGCCCCTCGAGGATTCAGCCTTCGATCATTGATAATGCTCCGGCATACCGCATTGTTTCTCTCATGTCGAGTATCCTTGATGAGAACCATATTTGCTGCATCGTTCTCATAGGAATCATCCCTGGCATTTTGGTCTGCCATCTGCTGGGAAGAAATCAACCTCATCTCCCGGCCTCGGCCAAAAGCGTTGGAGGAGGACGACTCCGTTAAACCGTCCAGCGTCTCAGTTGTCAGTATCGGCCTTCCTGTAGTAATCGTGTCATCTTCAACACGTCCCCATAGCAGTGGAGCAGCCTTGCTTTGATCGATCTTGTGGAGGTGATTCTTGCAACTTGAAGCATGAAATCGGGTCCAAATAGAGCCGTCAATTCTTGATGTGTATTGCTGTCGGCGAGATGTTTCCTCTTCCGCTGCTCTCGAGGGAAGTACTTGTCGTTGGGCCTTAACTTGATCCATTTTTCCATAGCAGTGAGTATCTGATTGAGGGTCTTCTTGTGGTGTTAAAGGGTGACGCTTGTCGCGTCTGCGGGTGCGGTTGCGCCAGTCATGTTGGCCAGACTTACAATTCTAGTTTATTTTAATGAATTTCAAGTCAGTAGCACCGTGGAGTCCAATATAAGGAGAGTTGGAAAGGTGAAGCCCTCGGACTGTTACCAGTGTAGAAGGACTCAAGACTACGCACATCGAGGTGCATCGAGGGTACATCGAGTCACTGACGTCATTGGCCGACGCAGCTAGCGCCACCTCATCTTCTTTCGTAGGTGATTCTGGACCTTGAACTCAACCATTGGAAATTGAACCCTTACTATCACCCAAAGCGACGATTGTGCTGCCAATCAGTCCATATCAACTCTGTTCGTAGTTTTCGGGCCGTTCCTGTTTTGGAATCTCTACAAACCTCCCCACACAGCTTGAAATTCGTCGCAGTTTGCACGCTTACCCCTCATTTCAAGATCAAACTCTGATCATGTCTGACTACTACGACCGTCAAGGAGGAGACCCTCGCGAGTACGGCGGCGGTGGCCGTGGCGGCGGCGGCGACAACAACTACTACGACCAGAACCAACGCTTTGACGACAACGATCAAGGCGGTGGCCGTCGAGATGACTATGGCGAGCGACGCCAGCAAGGAGGATATGGAGGTGGTGATGATTATGGCCGACAAGAAGGACGCGGTGGAAGAGATGACGGCTACGGAGGTGGGGGCATGAGTGGAGGCTACGGGGATGAACCTCCTCGCCATCATGGTCGTCGCGACGATGAAGGCTACGGTCGTCAAGAAGAAGGTCAGCACAGACGCCGCGATGATGAAGGCTATGGGGGCAGTTCTGGCGGAGGTGGGGGATATGGAGGTGACGGCGGTTATGGAAGACCCTCCAGCGGTGGATATGGAGGAGGCGGATCTGCCGACTACGACCAAGACGAAGTGATGCGACATAGCCAGCAACACGGAAATCCGGAAGACTCCAATCTCTTTTCTCACGCCATGTCGTTTCTTAACCAAAACAAGCACAGTGCTCAGTCCGAGGACATGGATGAAGGTCGGATGCAGCAAAGCCATCAGATGCTATACCAGCAAGACGGGGGTGGCCAGCAGCACGACGCTTCTAGCTTGGGCGCCGGGGCTGCAATGCAAGCATTGAAGATGTTCTCTGGATCTGGAGGAGGCGGATCTCAGTCCCAAGTCATCTCCATGGCTATGCAAGAAGCTTCAAAATTGTTCGACAAGCAGAGCAACATGGGCAATGTTCAGGGCGGCACAGACAAACAGTCGGCGATCAACCAGGCTGCGAAAATGGCGCTGCAAATGTATATGAAGAGCCAAGGCGGCGGTAGCGGTGGTGGTGCGTCTGGGCTGATGGGCCTTGCCAGCAAGTTCTTCTCTTGAAAAGGGAAGCGTGACCACCGAGTCATAACTCGCCTTAGATATCTCCCATAGCTGCAAGGCGAAGGAAGTCTGACACGGCTCCGTCCTAGCATTTCGTGTGGAGCAGCAGTTCGACACATAGCTAGTTCAAGAAGGTCGAGCGAGAGCCTCTAGTCCCGGTCCGGCAAAGCTCGGCCAGTCACGAAGCAGGCGTCATTCTTGTATCCTCCACAGACTGCGCATCCACAGCATCGAGAGCTTTGGAGAAAAAGTCCCCTGACGAACCCCATCTTCTATGCCCTCATCTTATCCTTGTTCTCAATAGTTCTTGTATTTATTCGGATCAAGTCTGTCTCGTCCAGCCTCTACCCTGCTCATCCCCTGTCGATTTTGTGCAGCTGGGCATCCTCGACTGTGGCCTCTTGCTTGCCCTTTTGTGTTACACGTGTCTGGGCGTGCGCATATCGATTTCATCGACCTGGCTCAAGTGGACCAACGAAAATGAGATTTGCTCGAGCCTCATAATTCTGCCCAGTCTGAGATAAACATCAACAATGAATCAGAATCCTGGAGACCATTGGCGCGGGCCCGGAGGTCCTCCCCAGGGTGAGGCTCAACCGCAAGGAAGACCGTTTGCCAGCTTCGGGTATGTCTGCACTCACTCATCATTTACCACACCCGTTGTGCGATTTGTAGGATTGGGCTCGTTTAACCCTCAATGCGCGTACTGCCACTGTTCGCTCCGCTAACTGGTATCGTTGTGTCAACAGGCCTAATGGGCCGGCGCAACCTCCTCCGCATGTCCTACCGCCGCCGCCCTCGTCTTATCATCAACACCATTCGCAGCCTTCTGGAAGTCACAGCCTGTCCATCGCAGATTTGACTCAAGGTCCTCCAAGTCACCAGCAACATCAATATAATACTCAGCCTCCACCTCCCCAGGCTCAAGGTCACCCTATCGGGGGGCCTATGGGACATAACATGCCACAGCACTCACCTCCGTACCTCGGTCGTGATAGAGAGATGAGAGAGCTCCGAGAGCGAGAAATGAGAGAGCACGACATGAGGGAGATGCAAAGACAAAGAGATGAAATGATGATGCGTGAACGTGAACGGGAGCGTGAGCGCGACGCTCAAGAAAGGGATCAAATGGAGCGCATTCACCGAGAGCAACAGCAGCAACAGCAACAGCAACAGCGTCCAGTTCAGAGCCACGCCGGCTCCATTCCAATCCATCAGCCGGTCGCCTCAAAAGTCCAAAACTCGATTCATGGTCCCAACGGCCTACTGGCGAACGGCGGTCCGGGCGCTTCCACCGCGGGCAGCCTCTTTGGAGGGCCGGGACAGCATGAAGCGCAGAGACCATCACAATACATGCAGCAGCCAGTGCCGGCGGCACCTCCACAACCGGGTCAGTCTTTTATGCCAGGTCCGTCTCCGATGCCCGCTCCAGCGCAACTAGCACACGGCCAACAACCCATCTTGAATGATGCTCTAAGCTACCTTGACCAAGTCAAAGTACGATTCAGCGATCATCCAGATGTGTATAACAGGTTTCTGGACATTATGAAGGACTTCAAGAGTCAAGCGATCGATACACCAGGAGTTATTGAACGTGTTTCAAATCTCTTTAACGGTCATCCCGCTCTGATTCAAGGGTTTAACACCTTCCTCCCACCTGGATACCGTATAGAATGCGGGACCGAAGAGAACCCGGACGCGATCAGGGTCACAACTCCCAGTGGGACGATGACCCAATCCCTTCAGGGCAGAGGACGCGCACAATTCGAGCCTGCCCCACAACCTGCAGGAGCTCGACAAGATACATTCGAAAGTAGACATGGATGGGGACAGCCTCTTGGTGCTTCACCAGGCGTTAGACCAGCAGAACTTCCTGCTTATAAGCCAGGGCCGGGGGAAAGACCCATGGATGAAGTCTCGAATGCAATCACTCAACAAGAACAGCGTGGTGTCTCAACTTTGCAAAGTGCAGTCACTGCAGTAACAAACGGAGTGACAAGGCCAGCTCTTGCTGTATCACCTGGACCAGGTCAAGGCGGCGCATACCCTCAGCAGACCGCGGGGTTCGGTACTAATGCAGGACTTGGTGAATTGAAGCGCGGAGGTCCGGTTGAATTCAATCACGCTATTAGCTATGTGAATAAGATCAAGGTATGTGTCACCTATTGTCAGTCACCTATTGTCAGACCTCTTGCGGATTCACTGACCTGGCTATAGAACCGGTTTGCGCAACAACCAGAGATTTACAAGCAGTTCCTCGAGATCTTACAGACTTACCAACGAGAGTCAAAGCCGATCCAGGACGTTTACGCACAAGTCACTCAATTATTCATTTCGGCCCCAGATCTCCTTGAGGACTTCAAACAGTTCCTGCCCGAGTCTGCCGCTCAAGGCAAGGCTCAAGCTGCCCGTGTCATGAATCAACAAGAAGAGACCAGCAATGTTCGAGGCGAACCTGGATATGCCAGCACAGCCATTCCCCAGGCTCAAACGCCGAGGCCTGCTTCAAAAATGCCGCCCATGGGTCAGTTTGATCCACCCAGCACAAGCAAAGACAATAAAAAACGCCGCGGAGGTCCTGGAGCCACTCTTTCCAATCAACCGGCGACGCAGCCTGCTGTCGACAACAGTGTCAGTCAGAGCTCACGAGCTGCCCCAGTTCAAGTTGGTAACGCTAGCAAAGTAAGTGAGCTTGATTCATTGTTACAGTCTGCCCCGCTTTATGAAGCGCCTTTTCTCATGCTCAGCTCTTGAGTGTTGCACGTTCTAATGTTACTCACAGCGCCCAAAACTCACAACCCAGCGTCAGCCGCAACCTGACGTGGTTGTCACCTCACCATCTCTCGTGCCTCAGCTCCCTGAGCCCCTGCCGCCCTTCCCTAACTCATCTACCACTCAAGAAGAACTGGCCTTTTTTGATCGGGCGAAGAAACAGATCGGCAATCGCGCCAGTTATGCCGAATTTCTCAAACTCATCAATTTGTACTCTCAAGATCTTATCGACAAATACACTTTAGGCGACCGAGTGGGGGCTTTTATCGGTGGTAATCCCGATCTAATGAGTTGGTTCAAAAACTTCCTTGGTATTGAGGACCAAGAGGAGGTGATCGAAGCGCGTGTACGGCCTGACCCTGGTCGCGTCAATCTCTCACACTGCCGCGCCCTTGGGCCAAGCTATCGTCACCTACCTAAGCGTGATCAAGACAAACCCTGCAAGGGGCGAGATGGAATGTGTTACGAAGTCCTCAACGATGTCTGGGCTTCTCATCCAACCTGGGCTTCTGAGGATTCGGGCTTTGTCGCACACCGGAAGAATCAATACGAGGAAGCCTTGCATAGAATCGAAGAAGAGCGCCATGACTACGACTTCCATATCGAATCCTGCCAGCGGACTATTCAACTCATGGAGCCCATCGTACAACAGATTGGAGTTATGAATGAGGCGGATCGAGCCGCTTTCATCCTAGCACCGGGCTTGGGTGGCGCAAGCGAAGCCATCCCGAAGCGCATCATCATGAAAATATACGGCCGCGAGGCGGGCGGTACGGTCATGCGGGAGATGTTCGCACGCCCCACAGCCGTACTGCCGATTGTGCTTGCAAGACTAAAACAGAAGCTTGAAGAGTGGAAGCAAGTGCAACGGGAATGGGAAAAAGTTTGGCGCGACCAGATCCACAAACAGTTCTGGAGAAGTCTTGACCATCAGGGAATCAACGCAAAGAACCTCGACAAGAAGAACTTCCAACAGAAAGCGTTGACGAGCGAAATCCAGGCCAAATACGAAGAAGCAAAGAAGAACCGGGACAACGGTATTGCTGGAAAGAGGCACCAACTCCAGTATATTTTCAGTGACTTGGACGTCATCACCGACGCGACCCGGTTGATCCTGGTGTCCTTGGATTCAGACCGGCAACAAACCTTTAATAGCGGGGAGCAAGAGCGGATTAGGGGATGGCTGGTAGATTTCCTCGTTCGATTCTACGGTCTTGATGGCGAGAAATTCTTGGAGCAAACTGATATTGAATCACTAAGACATCACCACGAGCAAGACGAAGCTGCTGATGGCCATGATAGCGACGCTCACCCACCAGCCAAAGGTAAAAACCAACGCAAGTCGGACTGGCTTAGGAGGATGGCGCTTGAGAGGAGACACGGCAAGGAGGACAGCATTGCTTCAGCCAGCAAAGAATCGACGCCAGCACCAGGGGCCAGCAGTGAGGTGGAGATGGACGAAGACGCACCAGTGTCCGATGTTCCTGACGAGCCTCAACAGCCATGGATAAATGTCGCTAACAGCGATACATCTGCCCGCCACCTTGCCATGGACGAGACATACCCCCACACAACGTTCAACCTCTATGCGAACGCCAACATTTATTGCTTCTTCAGACTGTTTGAGATGCTGTACAGCAGGTTGTTGGCCATCAAACTCAACGAAGCCAACGTCCAAGAAGCCGTTGCAAGACACAAGGGTATCAAAGGGAGAATTAAGCCAGCCATCGAACTCCGTATGATCGACAAGGGGCCGGACTACTTTTTCTACAGCATTGAGGGAAAGCAGAATTACTATCAGCAGATCTTGCAGCTGTGCCAGGAGGTCCTGGTGGGCACTGTCGATCTTGCTCACCTAGAAGAGACGCTGAGGCGGTACTACAACAAGAGTGGCTGGCAGCTCTACACAATCGACAGGCTCGTCTCGGCCATCCTCCGATTTATTATGAACATTCTCGGTGGAGACGCAAAGGACAAGAGCGTTGAAATTACCAACCTCTTCCTCCGAGATCGAGAGCGCCCAGATACGACTCGCAAGCAGGAAATTCAGTATCGAAAGCAGGTTGAACGATTGTCCAAAGACGCTGAGGTGTATCGCATCAGCTACGTAAGTAGAAGAATCGTGATTGAATCGTGTTAGAAACACCGCTGACCTGCTTATAGACGCCTGAAGATCGGCTTTGCACCATACGCTTATTCCCATCGGAAGACGCTACTTTTGATAGCGACTCTCTCTCAGATGAAGCCCGATGGCAATACTACATCGCGTCCTACACCATGACAGACGCAACGGAAGGTGTAGATCAATCAAGGATGCACACTCCGTACCTGCGACGCAACATTGCTCCTCAGAACGCAAACATCGAAGCCGCATACCAAGAAGTGTATGGCACCCTTGACCACGTCGATGAGCAGACAGCCTTTATCAGCCCTGATTCCTACAAGATTTTGTTGCAGGGTGATTTCTTCTTCCTTCGCCGCAGCGAGCTGGAGAAACCGCTGGGGAAGGCATATGAAAAAGGCAAAATCGAGGAGAGCGAGAGATTCAGGGAAAGGTTTGTGCGCAATACTGCGTGGATGAGGGATCAGAGAGCCGAGGATGTCGAGCGTAAGAAGGCTGCATGGGAGAGAGGTGTCAAGGATGGATTCAGCGGCTACGATCTTTGAGACAAGCTCAAATTCTTTTGCACGTGGAAGACACATACACATGCACGCGGCCACGAGCATGTTTTCTATTCAGAGACATTGACGAGAAGGTTTGGGTTGAGACGGTTCGGAGAAAGCCAGTCTCTCTGCTTCCGAAAGGTTGGACGAAAAGTGGGCCCTGATGAGCATTTTGAACTCGGTAAAGTACGGAGACTGTGGTGCTGGTCTTGAGTTCGGATACCAGTGAGGCCGTCCAAGAGCGTAGACGCTGAGGACTCAATATAACATCCCAATCGCATGAGGAACGAAATCGTAGGGGATTTAGATCATACAAACTGGCAACCACACCACGCAAGTGCTGCCAATGGAATTGCGTTGAGGAATCACTCTGTTCATACTTTACGTGATCATTCATGATCATGATCGATGTCGAGAAATAAGTAATATCGAGGAATGTTGTTTGCTCCCAGTGTACACCGTGTACCACCGTGTACCACCAAATCAAGCCACATTATGGTGTGATCCAATACCATGGCCACCACCTCTAAGTCAAAACCTCTGTCATTAGACGGCTCTCATCATTTGTAAATCTGCCTGTGTCAGCACAAGAAGAAAGCTGCGCAAGAAACATCGGATAAAAGCGTAGCAAAGAGTGGAGTCGATGGAGTCCATCACTCCCGAGAAAAAGTAACATTAGGAGCACCTTGGAAATATGAAGGACTCGTAATACGAAGGGCTTGGTGGTGGTTCAGGGTAGCAAGAGCTCCGTGTTCCACACTCCTAGCGTTATCAATGCCCTTCCTCACCCGCCATGGATCGGGCGTTGCGCCTCGAGAGCAGATAAAAAAAACTTAATCTCGGTGTACCAGGTGACCATTCGCAGAAAAAGAGCCGGTTGAATCTGGTGGCAGTCTATGGTTGCTGCAGTGAGGACCACCAAGAGCATGAAATTTGAAGTTGAGAATCGGCCCAAACAAAAAGGATTTCCTGGGGTGTAAATGGAGCATCCCGGAGCCAGTGGGCGACACAGCCGGTCGGGCAATCTTAATGGCGTTCAACCAAGCTTTATGTTTAATCCCAATGGGGCTTGGCGTGGGAGTTTGTTAAATCTCCGCCATCAGCCCCTTTTCGCCCCCGTCACCGCCGTCGTCTTCACCTCGAGCATTGCTTGCATATCCCCCGCCACAACAGCGCCCTCTCCACCTCGCAAAGCCTTCTGCTCGAGGGATCGTCGTCCGCCACTCCCACGTCTCCCCCTCCTCCCATAGGCCAGGGCACCTTATCACCTCATCTTGCAGCGCCCAGAAGCGACCCAACCGCCATTAGCACCGCGTGTTTCAGAACGCCCAATCTCCCTTTAACCCCTGTCTGCTATTCTAGCTAGGAATGCAGCAATGGCATCCTGACGACTCTTTGCGATATCAATGGCCAATTCGCCCTCGCAAGCTGATCTTGCGCCCTCACGGCTGCGATGTGAAGTTGGAGCCCACGTTTCCACTTGCGACAGCTCCAGAAGGCGTCCCCTGTAGGAAAGAGGCAAGGCCTCGGATACTGTGCAGCGAAATAAGAATGCCAATATGCCAACCACCCGTCACCGTCCCCTGTTTGATCAGCGTCCTCTTCGGCTAGCCTTTGCCCGCCAGTTCTGCTATCGAGGGTTGGCTAAGAACCCCCTCGAAGAATCTGCCATGCCGCTTCGAGCTCATGGCCAACTTAAATATCCAAGAAACCAGACCGGATACTGGAAAGTGTGGTGCTTTGAGTTGCCTGCTTATGGGCCAGTCAGAGACTAAGTTGCGACAAGGGGGGCGCTAAACGAAATTCGCAGATTTGGCGCTATCCCCATAAGTCGCACCTCCGACTGGCGTAGCACCGTGCGGCATGCCTATATGCACCTTATCATGTCCTCCACCAAACTCTTTCTTCCTCTTCGCAAGGCTCTGCTCATGGTCTCTTGAGGTGCTTCACAAGAGTTCCGTGTTTATTGTTTGTTTTTCAGCGTTTTCCAACTACCGCGTCCACTCGTTTACGCGGGCATTCTTTTTTACCAGCCACCAAGAGATCACATCAGAGAGGGAAATCTTGGAGGACATTGACCCGTAATCTCGGCCGACACGCACTGAAAGAAGAGGCACTACTTCTAACATGAAGGCTGTTACCATTGCCGCTGCTGGTGCAGCGGTCGTCACCACCGTTTCTGCCGCCAGCCATGTCAAGCACATGCACGCGAAACTACACGCCAACGTCGCTCGCGACAACTGGGTCGACTGGAATGCGACCGCTTCTACTTCTGCCACGCCTGTAGATGGGGAGACGAAGACCACCACCACAAAGACTCCGGTCAAGGCTGCTACCACTACGGCTAGCTCTTCAACCTCGTTCCTCTGGGAGGACTGGACTTCTACCTCCCTTGCGGTTGATCCCGCAAAGACCTCGAGCACCACTTCCAGCACGACCTTTACTGAGACCTGGGGCGACTGGACCACTACTACGTCGTCCCTTCCGGTCGATCCTGCCACCACCAGCACCGAGACCTGGGGCGACTGGTCAGCCAGTTCCGTGGTAGATCCAGCTTCCACCGCAAGCACCGATGAACACACGTGGGGAGACTGGACCACCAGTGATCCTGTTGACCCTACCTCTACCGTCACGGAGACATGGAGTGACTGGTCAACAAGTGCACCACTTGATCCTGCAACCACTTCCACCGAGACTTGGGCCGATTGGTCGAGCGTCGACGAAACCACTACCATTACGTTGGCCTCGACCATTACGGAGACCAAGTATGTCGAGCCCGTCAGCGCTATCTCGACGAGCTCCAGCACCTGGGCGGATTGGACTTCAACATCCTCGGTGGCCGTCGCCGCGGTCAGCACCTCGACTTCGTCTTCTTCGAGCTGGTTCGGTCCCTCCGCGGTCGAAGCTGACAGTTGCGCCATCTCCATCATCACTTCTTATGGCCTTCCAACTTGTAAGTAGTCCCTGTTCGTCGAGATTGATCCCTTTGTTTCTAATGCGCATATTAGGGTATCCCACACCTGTCCTGGCCGTGAACACAACCACCAGCACCACTTCCAGTACCACCTCCAGCGCCACATGGGCTGATTGGACCACGACCACATCCAGCACGCCAGCCGCCGCTGCTGTGACCAGCAGTAGCACCTCTTCCTACATCTGGGGTGACTGGATCTCAACCGCAACCGGCAGCGAGACGGCACCTGGCTCGGCACCGACGGCTGAAACTGCATATGTGTCTGTGAGCGGGGGAGGTAGCCCTGCCTCGTCCGGTTCTGCTTCGAAGCCCAGCGGCGGGTCAAACAGTGGATCGAGCGGGAGTTCCGGAATCTCAGCCAACGGTGATTCATGGGGCATGACTTATTCCCCATACACTGCCCAGGGCGGCTGCAAAGACGCCGGTACCATTGCCGCTGACATGACCGTCATCGCACAGAAAGGATTCACCTCCGTCCGCGTCTACAGCACCGACTGCAGCACGCTCGAAAACATTGGTGGCTCTGCGCGTGACAATGGATTGAAGCTTATTCTGGGTGTGTGGATCTCTGCGACCGGCATCTCGGGCGCCCAAGGGCAAGTGCACGACATCGTTGCCTGGGCGCAGTGGGACCTCGTTGAACTCATCGTGGTTGGAAACGAGGCCGTCTTCAATGGCTACTGCTCTGCCAGCGATCTAGCTCACTTCATCTCCAGCAGTGCGGCTGCGTTTAAGGCTGCTGGGTACACCGGCGCCGTCACCACGACCGAGCCTCTATCGGTGTGGCAGGACACCAGCAGTGCCTCGGCGTTCTGCAGCGTCGTCGATGTTGTTGGTGCCAACTTGTACGCCTTTTTCAACGCCGACGTGACGGCAGATAAGGCCGGTAGCTTTATCCAATCCGAGATCGACATCTTGGATTCGATTTGCTCAGGCAAAGCTGTCTATGTTCTCGAATCTGGCTGGCCCCATGCCGGAAACTGCAATGGTCTGGCTTGCCCCAGCCCCGAAAACCAGGCAACTGCTCTCAAAGGTATCCAAGCGACCGCGGGTGCCCAAGTCGTCTTCCTGAGCTATGAGGACGAGCCATGGAAGGAGCCGGGACAATTCGGCGTGGAGCAATACTGGGGCTGTGTCAATGTTTTCTAACTGAATTAGTTCCGTCTTCGGTGCCAAATATTCCGGATTGTGTTCCGTTGATAAATGGCCCCAGTTAAGAAAGCGGGCCGTAGGAGCGAGGAGAAGAAACACATGCAGCAACCCGCAGAGTTTACCGTCATGTATGAAATTGCACAGCCAGCGTTGCCATAAGTGTACAGTTGTGAGAGTGACATGTTACGATGTCTGCTTTGATCTTTGTTAAGTTCATTTGTATATTCTCGTGTATATTATTTGAACAGTGTCGACCCGAAGTTGGGATGTGGCAAAATATGATCTGATTGATGAATAAGATACGGAATGTGTTATGGCCCGTGACAGAGGTACGAAGCCCACAGTAAGAGTCCGTGCCAGGATCCTACAGACCCAAAATGGCATAACATAGCGGAGCCTCGTGGCCTCGCTGCCGTTGTTCTGCAAGGCTGCGGCGAAAAGGGTGGCGGAAGATGCCGCCGCCAAATTCGGGACTGAGTTCTTGTCACGATTCTATTTGCACTTCCTCACATGCCCTCATTTCTTTCTGTTGTAATGTTTCCAAGTCCCTGCTGATCGAGCACCATGGCCATCACATCCTCAGCTGGAGGATGCCATCATCTTCCTTGTGACCACACCTTGCGGGCGTCCGAGTCCTAGCGAGGTTGAGCCACGACCACCCTCAAGGCTTGCGAGCTACAGAGCTGCCAACAAGTCTGATGCTGCTGCAGAGGGCACAGGCAATTTAGTAAAACAGAGACTTGTCCCACTCCACGAGGTCTCTTAACAGCCTGATTGACAAGACTTGGACTGGCAATTCGGGGACCTGGTGGAATGGCCGATCGCAGCCTGGCGCCTCGAAAGCGCGTCGTTGCGACGATTCCTCCTTCCGAACCCAGCGAGAAAACAATCGACTGGCTGCCTATCACGTAAAAGCAAATCTGGTCCAGCGCCTCCTGTTCGGTGACTGTCGGCATGAGCTGAATATGCCTCACCAAAATCGGGCGCAGAAAGCAAGCAGCCCGACAAGACTGACCACTAATGCCACGCCAATGCACCTCATTGGAATGTGATAGGTGAAGGGAGTTGAGATGGCCAGTTGAGCACAGCAAAGTCGGCTGCAACGCCTGCATATAAAGACGACCACGTCCATTCTCAAAAATAACATCGCCTCCTCTCGTCTCGGTCAACTCTACGTTGGATGATTTGGATCATTCATCCCAAACACTCACGAGACCACCCGTCCCCTGTCGAAGGCTTTGTGCAAGTGTCTTTCCTCCCTATTGGCTCGCCTAACCGATTTATGAACGGAGTTACTAATCCTCAGAGATAGGAAAGAACTTGCCGAAGGGGCGAGCAAACACCGCTCGCCCGGGAACAAGCGCGGGTACGAAACTCACACCCCCCAAGACACAGCCGGTTCCTGCCGCAGAGCCGCATCGGATCAATGGTTGTCCGATTGTGAGCGGGACACTGCTTTTCTCTCCCATTCTCGCCATTGTCGGGGACTGTACCCCAACCTGCACGTCCTGCCTCTGTTGGACGGCTAGAGGAGCGGGAAGCCCCCCATGCGCCACACGACCCCTGCTTGTTTCCAGACTATTAAGTTCTTTCCTCTGATTGACCGTTTCCGCTTCACGTACCACGTCGAGAATGATGCCGCAACCCTCATTCTCAGTTCGGGGAGTCAGCGGCCTCGTCTGCGAACCTTGACCACTTTGCTGGCTGCTATTGAACCCAATCTTGATGGGATGGGGGAATCCAAATTCCTACCACGGAGCGTGCCATTGGCCGGCGGCGTCATCAGTGTCGCCCAAGCGTTGCACCGGCTAGGTATGGGGCTCCAGCATCCTCTCGTTTTGACGCCATTCTCGGCGCTAAGACTGCCATTGCGGCCGGCAACGGGATGCTGATTCGGCAGCTACTGCCCAAGTGGTAAGTTCAACTTCCTTCCTGCATGTGCTAGGTGCCCATCCATTTCGGCATGTTGGCGGTTGTATCTATTTGTCCCAAGGACTATCATTTACGTTTCTCTGTGACTACTCTTCACATTGTCTCACTCACCTCACAAGTATCTTTCAAGTCGTGTTCCCGATTCTTGTTCCTCTCTATATCCTCGTTCTCCCCTCTTCGTGCTTTGATCGACAATCATGAACAGTCGCATTCACACCTCTACACCTGCAGAATTACAGAATCAATATCCTCAATCTCCGTTCGCCAAACCTTTCCTCCTGTGCATCCAGAATGTCCGATATGAAGAAGCTTCCCATCAAGCGCCGTCTGTCCATGGTCCAGATTTCTATTGGCGTCCATCCGCGTCAGGTTACTTCAGAAGTGAAGATGTCTCTGGCTGGTATATTTGGGATCCCGGACAGCTTTTTAGGGGAGAGTCGCCCCTGCGTCTAGCAACGGTCGAAGAAGCTGGGCGGTGTATATTGCACATGTCCAGCACTCTGATCTGGGATCCAGAGCGTCACGGTTACATACATGCGCCAATAGACTGCACCACTGAGGCCCTCGGCTCTGCCGTATGGCGGCGGCTCTCCTTTGGCCAGTACGGTACCTCTGACCTGGCAATCCTTGGCCATGCCAGGGCTGGCTATCAACTGCACCTCCCAGGACCAGATTCTTGGTTTGAACAACTGCTCCCGGACGTCTGTAAGGCACAGCAGGACGGTCAACCGACCTGCAAGCTGGCCGGGCATCTTAGCATCATTGTGGGCCTCCTGGCCTTTGGAGTTGAACCACACTTGGCGTTGCACGCAATCAACGCGTCTTTTAGACGAGACTTCAACTCTACGAGGTTCCAGCAACATAACTTGCACCCGAGTCCAAGTAAGTCCATCCCTATGGTCTCAACACGTACTGTCTACTCAGAATCTTATTTGTCGGCGTCGACAACTGCAGGACACAAGAAACGCTCAATGGTCATCCACATCGCATATGACCCAACCCGAGTGGACCACGGGGACCTTCAAGCTTGGGAACAAGGCAGCCACGGCGAAATGTTTAGCTAGAGGAAAATCACATACTCTACCAATGCTGTGTGCTGATCACAAAGGGGACATCTGTGAACATGCGAATATCAAAACGAATAGGAGAAGTGGACATGGATACAAAGTGTTGACGGACACTCGGACATTCTGGTCGCTGCAGCGGGACTGCTAATGAGTCTCATTGTCTGGTGCCACGCCTAGAAAGAGGAGGACGAATCACCTGGTCGAAAAACAACACAGCTCATAAGCTGCTCCAATCGCAAAAACCTACCCAGTCTCGTCGTTCTGGGTCGACACTGGACTCAAATTTGTCTAGAGGTGGCTGTTTAGCCTCTCAGTTTACGACCTTACGACTTGTTCAACGGCCGACTATTTCTTTGTCATTTACTGCTATCGACCGCCAGGAGGGCAGATGAAGGCGGATTTCCCAGGATACAGTGGAGGCCACTTTGGTCTGGACTTGCGTTCTACCTTGTCCTCTTGGATTGGTCTGCCAGCTTTCTATCCTTTCGATACTTGCACACTGCTGCTCTACTGCTATTTACTTCCATTCATGTCTTGTCTAGTCATGTCATGTCTTACCAGCACCCTGATCTCTCAGAGAGATTGCTCAGGTACACGGATTGAGCGTTGCCTGGGCTGTGCTTTATCGAAGTACTTAATGTTTCGCATATTGTCTTAGCAATCTCAATGGTTATGAAGCGGTGTTTACGATTTATTGACTGCATACTTGCTAGTCTCTCCTTGATATCGTGTCCAATGACCCGTTCTGTCTAGGGCGTATATTCCTTCTTTTTACAGATATGCAAGGCAAGCCCCCAGCCTACTCATCGTGGCATGCATGAGTGCGTAGCCCATTCTGCCTCTCTCTCTCTCTCTCTCTTTCTCTCCTCTCTCTTTGTTTTCGACACTCCATCGTATCTTCCCCTCGAGGAGATGGGAAGGGGTAGATGATGAGAAATAGCCCACGAAAAGGGGCAGAAGAAGAAGTAGAAGGGAAGGAGGAGGAGGAGGAGGAGTGACGAGGGGAAACTCTTCTTCACCGTCCCATTGTTTTTTTCCTCACGCCCTTTTCCATTTTTGCTGGCTACCTTGCACGTCTGCTCTTGCAGAGGGATGTCTCAACTGCCTCCTCATCCACCCTCATCGTTTCTCCCTTCCCTTCTAGGCCAAAGTGTTCAATCTTGTAATGAACTCGTGTGTTTGATGAGTCGAAACAGAACAAAGGCCCGTCTGTCATCTTGGGACAGCGTGAGGCTGTGACGCCGTTGGACCTTGGGCTGTGCTTGTGTGTGTGCGTCTTTGGGAAGGAGGAAGAGGTCGCCCTAGGACATGTATCGCCCGGGCTTTGGAGGATGTTGGAGCGAGAGAAGCCGTGGAGTGTGTATCCTAGTCAGTCTTTATTATGGAATGGAATGGATTGAAATGGCTCGCGGAGAGAATCGAAGTAGCAGGGGGGAAGTATGAAGGAGTGGAGGATAGGAGAAAGAGGGATGGCAAGGAGTGATGGTGTCGCCAAAAGACAAAGGCCGAGCTCGGCCCATGTCGTGCCACGGAGAATACTTACGAGAAAAGTGGTATCAAAGACTCCTTCGGCTTCGCAGAGACGCTGCCCGGATCAGTGACGTTGGCGGCATTCTCATAGTTCGCTGGTGACGATGCATATCGCGACGTCTATACTGTAGGAAGGCGCAGTCTTGACATCCCCGGTGAGATGGACTGAGATATTCACATGACCTTGAGGAAAAGACATATACGCGCTAAAGTGCTGGGATGGATAGAGTATCGGTACTGTTCCATCTTCCGGCAACGATCTGGCAGCCCACATTTGCACAGAAACACGTCTGTTAAAAGAGAAACGAGAGAGATTGGCAATGGGAATGCGAGTGAGCCGAGCTGACGCAGGCCTCGTCAAGGGTGGTGGGCTGGCTGCAACACCGTACAAAATGTCCCCTGTCACTCTCACTTTGCCATTCGTGTATATTGAGTCGCGGGTCCGGGATGCTCATACGTTACTAGGGAAATGATCCTGGGGGCAAGCCTTCTAAGACCGTGTCTGGCCGGTTGTTGGCTGCGAACGTGGCTGGGATGACTGGGGGGTGCATCCATAACATGAATGAATGGAGTGGATCGCTCCAGACACGGGAGATTCTGCGGCGGCTTGGATTAGTCTAGAAGTCAGTCACTTTCCTCGGCCAAGCATGTTGGGGAGTGTTTCTAGGATCACACGTTGTGCTTTGGACAGATCTATTTCGTGTTTTTATACTTGGTCGAAAGGGGATCAGGGTTTATTGGTGAATGTATCAATGGCAATATGGGAACTCAGGAACATGATGCGGTGTAGGTGTGAGATCTTTCCGTTTTTCTGTCGGAATCATGTTTTGTTATTCTGTCGGGGACGATGGACCGGGTCCCTGGGCCTGGAGGGTGTGAACGGGGGCTTCGTTGTCAGCAGCGGACAACCGCTTGGAGAGAGGGTTCGCATGGCGTTTCCCTATTGGAACCTCCCCCAACACAAGTTCTGTTCTGTAAAAGGAGCGTGGCCGGTCAAGGTTGCAGAGTTTGGCCTGGCTTCAAACTTCGAGCCCAGAGTGGTGTTGCGGCAATAAAGAAGGCAGGCTTTGTTGGATCAAGGTCGGGTGCACGAGTATACCATGTCTTTTCAGCCCCCTTACCGGACTCCCATCAGCCGGAGGCTTGTCAGGAATGCTGGGCAGAGCCTCATGCAGCATCCCAATGGCTCTCTTTTGCCCCAGGGCCAGGGCAGAGCCTCCCGCAAAGCCTCAGCCTGTTTGTGAAAGAAGATGCAGCCGTGGAGCCTATCAAGGACCCTGGTCGCCGGCAACCCGGCAAAGGAAATACGAGGACGGAGCAAGACCCTGGATGGAAATCAAACCCTGTCACACCTGTGCTGCATGTCAACAGTAAGCCCCAATCCGATCGCGGACGTACAGACGTGGTGGCTGTTCGGTGGTGCGGGACCGTCCTAAGTCGCCCGCAGATGTCACATAGTCCCTGATCATGTTTGGAGATGTCCAGGCTGAGGTCGCATTTGTCTGTCGGCGTTGTTGGTGGCGTTCCAAGTTGCAGCTGGTTGCACTGATAGAAACGAATCGGTTGGTTGGTGGTTGCTTTCAGGGAGGGGAGGGCTGCCAAGACATCATTAGCCATATATGGACTAGCGTCTTGCTGTGTCCACTCACGTGACTCCGACTCCGACCACAACTCTGCACGTGACCATCCCTTTCCTTTTCTCAACGGCACCGCCAACCACATCGCTTCTCCGTCCACACCACGTCTACGCCACTTCTTGCACATTTGGGGCGCCAAATGATGCACAATGCCTCCAACCGAATGAGATCCCTGCCTTTGCTCTGTGTCACGAGTCGACGCCTAGTCGCCCCACGTGACGCGGCAGACCGTACGAGAAGCAGACAGAGTCGGGTTGGGCGTAATAACTTCGCCATGGCCGGCTTCCTCTACACGTCTCGTTGCCGACTTGTCCAACATCCTCCTTGATGAACCTGTGCCGTTTTTCTTGTCCCGACCGCGTTCACATTGATCAATCTGCAAGCTTCCTATCATATGAAATATGGCACTCGTTGTACAAGCTGCTGGCCCTTTGAAACCCAATATCAGGCTGGCTCAGGCGCTCTCAGAATTCGAAGCCATCCTCAATGATGACGACAAGAAATTGTTTCGAACTTGGCGCGAGGGACGACCTCCCGCAGTTTCCGATGTCATGAAGCTCACAGCCGAGATTGACCGGCACAATGGCCGTTCCATGAAGCGTCGCTGCTATGGCCCTCGCCTGACTTCCATTTTGGGAGCCGTACAGCAGTTCTCCAGCGCGGTCGATGTCATAATAGGCGGCACCCAATCCACTATTGCGACTTCTATCTGGGGCGTGTTGCGGATGACCCTGCAGACCACCGTACAATTTGGATCCTATTTCGACAACCTGTCAGCCTTGTTTATGCGCATCGGACGCTTTTCTCCCCGCTATGAGCAATATGGTGCCATGTATCCCAAGTCTTCCAGGCTACAGGACGCTCTCTTTGACTATTTTCGTACAGTTGTCCAAGTCTGCAATAAGGCAGTTCTCTTCATCAGGAAAGGCACAATGGCCCAAATATCAGCCGCGATTCTCAACCCCTTCAACTCCGAATTCGGCCCTCTCGAGCTCGATCTTTCTACCACCGCAGAGACTATACGCGAAGAGGCTTCGCTAGCATTTCAACAGGAGCTGACTCTGGACAAAAGGGAAGCCTCCAGTTTTCGAGCGTGGTTGTTGTCAAAGGCGTCAAAGAAGACCGAGCAAGCCAGGGTATTCAGAGCCCATCAGGCGAAATTTCAGCTTCTCAATTCCTGCTCTACTTACGATCACGAAGCCGCGTGGAAGCGAGCGCGGAAGGTGGGTGAAAGCTCCCGCCTCTTCGACCAAGCTGCCTATAGGGATTGGCTACAATCTACTGTGTCGAGCGTATTGTGGGTGACTGGAATACTCGGGTCCGGGAAGACGGTACTCACAGCCAGTGTGGTGCAGGAACTTAGCATCAAGTTCCCAGATGCTCTTGTCTGCTATCTGTTTTGCAGCCACGACGACGCAGAATCGCTAAAGGCCAAGACCATTATCGGTAGCCTCGCAAGGCAGCTCTTGAGTTCACTGAACCCAGATGTGTTTGGCAGCATCGATACGACCAAGCCAGGTCTCCTCGGCACTGATGAGATCGTTGCTCACCTTCTCGGGCTGCTTCCTCAAAATGAACAAATTTTCGTCATTGTCGATGGCCTCGATGAATGCAACGAGACTGAGCTAGATAGACTCTTTGATTGCCTCGATAGGTTTCTCAAGTCAAATCACCGCTTCCACGTCTTTTGCTCGAGTCGTCTCGACATACATACAAAATATCGGACTGCTCTACAGCCTCGACATCATTTGCCATTGCCGATGCACAACCCCGAAATCGCTCAATACATCGACAGTGCTTTAGAAGATCGCTTGGAGAAAGGCAGCCTGTGCTTGGGAGACCCAGACATAATCTTGACCATCAGGCAGGCTCTCTTGGAAGGAAGCCACGGGATGTTAGTGTTTACGTCTACGGCAAGGAAAGATGCTGATTATCGTTAGGTTTCTCTGGGTTGTGTTTCAGCTTGACTCAATATGCGCTGAGCTCACTGATGAAGACATCCTCAATGCGCTCGAATCTTTGCCAAGGGATCTGCCCGAAACTTTCGCTCGTGTCCTCCGGAAGCTGGCGGAGAAAAAGACGACAAATATTGCCACTTGCAAGAAGATCTTTGCGATTGTCGCTGCGGCCCACCGGCCCTTAACCTTGTATGAACTCCGCGAGGCGATGGGTGTTGTACCAGGGGATACCGAGTGGAGTCCACGAAGGCTAATCAATGACATTTGTATTGCGGTTAACGGATGCGGAAGTCTGTTGCTCATTGATGAAGAGGACTCTGCAGTCCGCTTCACCCACCACAGCGTTAAACAATATCTTTTGTCTGATCCGCAAGATGCATCGACCCGCCATTTCCACGTGGAAGGGCCAGAGGCAGATCTGAGTATAGGTGAAATTTGCGTCACTTACCTGAACTATAACGTCTTCAACAGCACGCTTGTTAAGATGAGCAATCGCGCAATTTTACAGCCACAAGATATAACAGCCTCTATTATTGAGAGAACACTTCCGCAAGCCGCTGGCAGCAAATTGGCATTGAAGCTCTTGAAAAGAAATGCAGTGAGAGACTTCGACGTAAAAGCTCGTATCAGAGAGATGGCGCCGCAGGAACAGCGGCAACAAGATTATCCATTTTTGCCTTACGCGAAGACATTTTGGTTATTTCACACTCGAAAGTTCGAAACAGGAAGGCAGGCCACTTACAAACTGTGGCTTCGTCTGTTATTGAACAGTGTCAAGATTGTGAAGCTTCCCTGGGGTGCCGTCCCTTCAGCTGAAGCAGAGGGAGAAGAAGAAAAAGTTTTGGAATGGGCTCTGGCAAATGAACATGAAGCTCTTGTTCGTGAGACAACCTCAAGAATCGCGAAGTCAGATGTGGTCCAACCAGTTGGAGGACTACTGTCGATGTGCCGAGAAAACAAGTATCTGCAAGACGTGGGTCGCACCCGCACCGCGCGGCTCTGGGAAAAATACCTTGGTAATGAAACTGCATTCTCCATGTTGGTCGAGAGTGGCCTGAGTGTTGATGAAAGATATTACGATGGAAATACGCTTCTGATGAAAGCCATCACCAGGCAACAGACCCATGCTGTCAAGAGATTTCTAGAACGGACAGATCTTGGGGTCAACACTAAAAATGACTCTGGGTTGACAGCGTTGAGCATCGCTGCTATGTACGGGGATGAGGAAATGACCAAGTTACTGCTCGCGTGCGGAGATATCGAGGTCAACTCTGAAGATGAGCAAGGCTGGACAGCTCTCAAGCATGCAATGTACCATGGACACCATGGGATAGCGGACATGTTGCTGGATCGTGGCGCTCTGGACCTGAACTCGCAAGATGGAAGTAGGCCAACCAAGCTACATTGGGCGGCTATGTCCTTATCCAAGGAAGAGGCCGCTCCTATCCTTGGATCGAGGGAGTTCGACTTCAACGCACCCGACCCCCACGGCACAACAATTCTGATGTACGCAATAATGAAGGGGTATACAGAGAATTTGCGGCTCTTACTCAGTCGAGGCGATGTCGATCTGAATCTGAGAGACGAGTGTGGACGAACGGCGCTACATTTCGCTACTTCCGGCGCCGCGCACAATTGCCTGCTGTCATTGCTCGAACGTGGTGATGTCGATACGGAAATCAGAGACATTGATGGTCGGACGCCGCTGGACATTGCCATCGAGTCCAAAAACATGGAGGCTATCCGGCTGCTGAAAGATCGGGGCCCGGAGGTAACATGACGCGCGCAGGGAGTTCGATCAGAGGCACTTCTCGACCTACAACATTCACCCAGGCACGGGGAAAAAGTTGCTCCACATCTCACGTTCCTTTCCTCCATCAGAAATGCCGTTTCCACGGCGAGACCGGGCCAGTCCCCTTTCAAGAAGCCACCGACACGCGACCGGGCGATCTGTGGATGCTCGTCTCGAGCGCAACCTCCTCTGTATCCTCGAGCTCCACGACCGGGAGCGGCCTGGTCAGATCCGGGGAGTAGGAGGTCGGCCGGAAATGCTTGATGGGCTTGACCAACTGCCAGCCTGTGGTGCAGCCGGATCTGGGTCCCGTTCCCCTTGCCGCCACCACGTCTTCCCACGTCTCCTGGATGAACCTGAAGTTTATCGCCAGGGGGTCGAAGAACTCGGCCAGCAGCTGCCAGACGGTGTCGAGGTGCTGGACGTCCGGGTAGAGCCAGACAATGTGCTGCACAAACCATGACCTTTCGGGTTGGTTCTGAGATGCGGTCGTGCCCGCCAAGAAGATGTTGAAGAGCGTGGTGTGGTAGATGGAACTCATGGTCAGGAGATCCATGTTGGAGAGGCGGTACTGCAGTTCGAGCAGGTTCGAGCGAACGATGAGCGCGGCGGTGTTGAAGCTGATGCAGTTCAGGTACATCCAGAAGAACAGCGCAATCTGATAGCACCGCTGCATCTCGAGGTGCTCGGGCTCGCCGAGAAACCTCGCGCTGCCGCGGTCCATGCGCGCAATCGCGCTCGCACTCTCCGGCAGCAGGCTGGCACTGGGGCTCTCGGGTCGCCAGGCCAGCAGGCGCCCGGCGAGATGTGCTCGGTGGGAATACCACTCTCTGTCCGATCTCCAGAATTTCCTATCCACCTCAATCACCTCTTGTCGGGGCCCTTGATTCTTTCGGGGCGCCTTGCGAACCACCACGATGGAGCGGCTGTGGAGGAATGCGCCGATGATGTTGACTTTGGATCTGGGATGTGCCGTCAGCCACATGTTCTATAGTGACGAAGGCGGGAGAATGCTCACACGGCCAGTTCTGTTTCGAGGGAAGCTTCATCGGTGTCGAGGAGCAGGGACATGCGTCTGAGCGCCTGGAGGTGCATTCGACCACTTTCGCCGTCTGCCAGCAACACCTAGAATTCGTTGTCAGATGATGTCCACTCCGCCGCTTGCCTCGTGCATTCCGTCTCTCTCACTTACTGATAGCCGGTACAGAAACAGAATTGCTTGGTAGCATGAATCGTCGACTACTTGACTGGGATCACTCAGAACGGCATTCAGCTCGGCCAGGCATCTCGTATGGAGACGCAACCATGCCGGTATCTGCCACGGAGACTTCTGACCCCTTTCAGTCGGTGGTGGCAGCACGACGCCCGGACCCCTACGAGCATGACACCATGGATATTAGTCTTGCACAGTGGCCATTGTACATTAGACCAAAGGGGCTGGGTCGAGCTCACCCTCTGAGCATGCCGGAGAGAAACACAGAAGCATAGGTCGCCACGGCATAGGTTAGACAGGGCGACGCCTGGATCTGCGACAGGTTGTCCAGCCATGTCCACGACTGGAGCAGATGGGTTGCAAAGGGCTTGATGACCCAAAAGTAAAAGTAGAGGTTCGCTTTGATTTCGGCGTCGTACTTGACCGCGGTGGACGGGGTGAAGATGTCGAAGAACTGCGTGCCCAGCAGCGTCAACGGCGAGGCGGCCCATTCCTCGTACGCCCGCAGGGCGCGCTCCCAGGGCTTGATGGCGACGAGTGGTTTCTGCGATGTTGCTACTGAGTAGCTTGTCGTTGATGATGACATGGCAACGAGAGTGCCACTATCGTCTGTTCCCTCTGTCGTAGAGCCGTACCTTTGGCGAATCTGGAGGGGATCCTTGCGATCCTGCTCCGTCTTCTCGTCGTCATTGTCGTCATTGTCGCCGTCGTCGCCGTCGTCTTCGGTGGTTAGAGCACCGCTCACCTGTGGCGTCTTTGGAGAGGAATCAGTGGTGGTGGGAGCGGACAATCTCTGGAGATACGACGACGACGACGATGATGATGACAATGAGGTCGTCCCGGTCAATATGGCCTTGGTGGTCGAGTCGAGGGTGAGATCCTGGTGGTTTGCCTTGCTCCAGTACCGGTAGCGCGATGAGATATGCGACGTCTTGGCCGACTTGATGGCTTTGGTGGTCCGGTAGGGGTTCTTGACGTCGCCCACGATGAACATCAACGGCGGGGGCTTACGGCTTTGACCACTCATGGTATCACATGCGAGGCTGGTGTTGATGGGGGTGATGGGGTTGACGGGCGTGCTTTGCAATAGGTTCGACCAGGCAAGGCAAAGGAGAGGGAGGGAGCGGGAGTGGGAGTGGGTAATGATGGATGGGCTTCTTCGCTGGAGTTGTGGTATCACCCGGACATTGTTATTGGATGCTGGAGTCGTTTTACTGGATCTGGATCCGGATCTGTGCCTGTGCCTGTGTCGGTGTCGGTGTCTATGTCTCTGGCTGTATTGGTGGTGTGGATTTGATGGTGGAGTGGTTGTTGTGGCTGTTCCCTTCTATATGCTTTTGAATAATATACCTACCGCACAACACTCCTTCATCCCAAGTCTCCTCTTGTATCTCTCTCCCTCTCTTTCAATAAGTAAGTAGTTACCTTCTGAGGCCTCAATCTTCAGCTCCCGTCTTTTGCTGATAGCGTGCGACGCCCATGCGGAGGTCGGCGCCGAGCATTCTTATTCTTAGCGAGGTCGCCGTAGTGCCGTGGCCCGTGCAACCGCGAAGAAAACGGCCCCCAAACTGTCGGCTTGTTGGGCTGCATGCGATTACTCAGACTTTCGCTAAAAGGAGAGAGTTCAGAGAAGTCGAGTCGAGCTCGACGAGGGCGTCTAGGCTGATGGATCACCCGTTGCCAGCAGGTATTGGGCCCGACCAGACCGTCTTCCCCCCCCCCTTCCTGGAGGCCTGTGTCTGTTTCTACCAACCCGGGGCGGGATCAGACACTTCTTCCAAATAAGAGGTGTGGCCCGATGGTCCATTGGCCCCAGAATATCCATCCTTGAGATCGATTCCGGCAAGACAACGAGCGCATGTCGGTTCAAGTCGCCTATTTCGTATCGCGCCTTTGACACAGAGAGATCTATTATTTGGTTGCGTGCTGCATTCGACAAATGGCCTTACACATGATCGTTAGCGTCTTTATACTTGAACACCCAAAAGTTTCCCGGAAGAGGCATTGGTCGACATGATTTCCGTCTTTATATCTACCTTCAAAAAGGCCATGTCTTTCCACCTCCCACGAACCTGATCTTGCTTGAGACGGCGACGGCACCATGGCGACCAGCACCTCTTCAAAGCCAGGCCTCAACAGCAATGTCTGTACCGTCGAGATCCACTCGGCTGACGATTTACCTCCTCGTCAGAGTGGTTCGTCTTCTATATCACGATCCCTTCGCAAATACATCTGGGCCGTGGTCTGGTGCCTCTACTTGCTCTGGTGCATCCTGGCCAACAACTACGCAAAGACAGCCGGGCAGTCAGTGCTAGGTATCCCTCAATTTCGCAAGGATTTTGGCAGCCCTTACCACGGTAACTATGTCCTGTCGGCCAAGTGGCAGTCGGCCTACTATGGCGCTCCCCAGGCAGCGTAAGATCATGGGCTCTTTTCACGCAGGAAACTCGGCTGATTCGTCGATGGGGATAGCGCTGTCATGGGCGCATTGAGTGCGGCCTGGGTCGGCGACAAGGTCGGTCGTAGGCTCGCGCTCGGGTTTATCTTTGCCGTCAGACTCACGGCCGTCACGCTGGAATTCATCGCGACCACGAACGACATCTTCTTTGCGGGACGGTTCTTGGGCGGGTTTTCCACGGGCGGCACCAACTCGCTGTGTATGGCATATATCGGAGAGATCACGCCTTTGCCCCTGCGCGGGGTGCTCACGGCGGCCGTGCCCATCTCGCTGATCACCGGCGCCCTCTCGTCTGCCCTGGTGGTCAACTTCACCGGCAACCAGGCCAGCCGCTGGGCGTATCGGATCGCCTTCGTGTCGGGCTACGGCTTCATGGGTCTGGCGGCTGTCGTGCTCCCGTTCATGCCGGAGTCGCCCTGGTGGCTGGTCAGCCACGGCAAGGACGAGCAGGCCCTCAAGGCGCTCAAGAGGATCGGCTACCCGGCCGATGCAGACGCCGCGCTCAAAATGGCCGAGATCAAACGCGTGCTGGCCAAGACCGTCGAGGAAACCTCCGGCGCCACGTACACGGAGTGCTTCCGCCGCTCCAACCTGCGCCGCACCGTCATCGCCGCCATGCCCCTGACCATCCAGACCTTCTCGGGCGTGGCCTTTGTGGGATCCTACACGACCTACTACCAGCAGCTCGCCGGCTACAGCACCGCGGCCAGTTTTCATCTGTTTATCGTCCAACAGGTCCTGTCGGGCGCCGGGAATGTTTGTTCGTGGTTCTTGATCGATCGAGTCGGACGCCGGCCCCTGACGCTCTGGGGCATGATTATACTGACGCTGATTCTCTTAATCACTGGCGGTACGTGTGAATTGTTCATTGCTGCGATCCCAACCGCCTCTCGTTGGCCCGGAAGAATGCTCATTTGACACTATGTGAATCCCGGACTTTTGAGACTTGTAAAAACACTTCGCTGACGAAATGACCCGGGTGTTGATACCAGGCCTCGCCGTCTCCGGCACGCCGCCGGCCATCAAAGGCACAATCGCGCTCCTCCAGCTCTTCTCCTTCGTCTACAACGCCACCATCGGCGCCACCGCCTTTACTATCCTCACCGAGATCCCCACCGCTCGCCTGCGAGCCAAGACGGCGTCCATATCTGTGGGGTTGCAGAGCGCACTCTTCGTCAGTCTCAACCACCCCTCGCTCCTCGGTGCTGTGAATATGTAATTATATCGCAATTACTAATGCGCGGCGTTTGACCTTCAGACCATGTGGGGATTCGTGCTCCCCTACCTGTTCAACCCGGACAAGGCCAACCTGGGCGCCAAGGTGACCTTCATCTTTGGGGCTTTGTCAGTCCTCTCCATCGTCTACCTGTGGTTGTGCCAGCCCGAGTCCGCGGGGCTGAGCTACGAGCGCCTGGACGAGCTGTTCATCGCCCGCGTCAAGACCAGGGGATTCAAGGATCGTGGACCTGGCGATGCCATGCAGACCGACGAAGATGGAAACAGCACGGGCTCGGATGCGGGAGCTGGAATTGAAACAGGAACGGGCAAAGTGGACGGCAAGATCGAGCATTCGGCTATTTGATCTAAACGTGTCTACCACCCTCCCCACGTATCTACCAATTCAACAGCATAGCAGCATACCCGTCCCCGAAGTGAGCAGGTAGCATTGAATGGACACAGCCACCCATTTCGATCCATTCCAATCAAGTCTAGCGCAGTCCATTCCGTGCCATTCCCAACACGAAAAGAAACTGGGCCAGATGCCGTCCCTCGTCCTCGGTCGCCGATACGAAACATGCTTCCGTGGGGTCATTTTACGGAGAAACGAAGGTTACTAAAACGGTAAGAGTGACGATATAAAAAACGAAATCAACAGATTCCTATCGCGGACTTCCGTCTCACCAGGGAGCCGGCATGGGCTTACCGAATCTGGATGCTCCCAGGACTTCTGAACGCATACCTAGAACCACGAACGAGCCTCCGGGTTCATAACACAGTACGGACTACAATTGACAGGAGGACCAGTCGCCGACCCAATCATAATGACAATCCTCTTCTGGGATCAACATCGGCATGTTGGACACACCAGTTGACTACACCCCTCGACCCGTAGTGTCACGCCAGTGATTGGCTGCTTCCCCCGCCAAGCATTACTTCCTGCTACTAGCCCTCGTAGTAGCTTCTCACCTAGGCGCCTATGCCTCACATCACCCTCATCCTCGCCTTTGTCTTTCTTCCATCTTTGCGCCAATCTATAGAAACCAGGCATCGTCCTCCCGTTGATGTTGTTTCGTTCTCGTCCCTCATTCAAGAGCCGTGCCACGACTGTCACATTAGGGTCCCGCCAGTTCCAGACGCAAAGGCTACTATATGGCCGGGACCGCGGATTGAGGGCTGAGAAGGACCGAGGCGATGATCGTGTTGATCATCTGTGCTGGTTGAACGTCGAGAAGCTGGTGTCGTTGCTTAAGCGGGTAGAGCAGCCAGCGCTCTTGGTTACTCACGCTTCGAGTTCGATTGCCGCGGTAGCCTCAGGCCCATGTCATTCATTGCCAGTCAATATGGCCACGGGTATTGCCACGCCAGACGCAGATGCGGTACGAAGTGGCCACAACAGACCTGACCAGCAGCTGGTCGCGCCTGGTCGCTCAAGCCGTGAGAGGGCTGCGCTTCTCATTCAGAATCCAATCTGACTGAGTGACTACAGGGAAACGGCGCCATTCTGCGAAATGCGAGGCCGAAGACATAGCAAACGGCCGGCGAAAGAGTCGAAGAATACTGGAGAGCAGTTAGGTTTTCCTTCCATGCAGCGATCATCGTATGATCATCTGACAATCTTACAGCGAACCAACGTCCGCCCCACGCATCCACGGAGCACACTAAGTCTGCTCGCCAAAACCCGCGATTACAAGGAACACAATCCACGAAGTTACAACAAACAGCGAAAGGAGGACAAACACGCGCATCAAATCCGCGGAGGGAAGGAGTGAAGCAATACCCTGAGGAGCAGGAAATCCAATTCGAGGCGTCACCAAGACTACGCAAAAGCCGTCAGTCATGTCCATGACCCCAATTGGTGATGCTACTAATATCTAGTGTACAGCTGAGAAGCGTTGTTACGAAAATAACGGAGACGACCCGAATCACCAAGCGAAACGTCCGAGACGCGGACCAACCCAATACACCGAGTCTAGAAACATATCTCCGGAGAAGGAAGATTCCATTCAACGCTGGTTGGAAGACTCCTCCTGGTCTCGCAGAGTCTCGACAGAGCATCGGCCTAGGCTGTCTGAGCCAGTGATCAAGATGGCATGCAAAGCCGCGCCCGTCCTTCCGTTTTCAGTCAACAGCATTGAAACCACCACATCAACGTCAAGAAAGTCCGACAAACCCACCGCCAATGTGCATGGCATGGATTATCGGGACTTTTTGGGTTATCGTAACATTTACATTGAATCTCAGAGTCCCCCAATTGAATTGATGCTTCGAGCCAACCGAATTATTTCACGCCAACGACTGTCACCCGAAATGGATGATGCAATAGTCCAAAAGGTGAAAGAAAATGCTCGTAAGCTTCAGAATGAGGCCGAGGATAAAATCATCAAACAACTTGCCCCACATATCATTCCGGCCATGACTGAGATCCCCGACCAGAGGTTGGAAATGAACACTGATCAGCGGTGGTTCAACCCTGTCCCTATACCACTCGATGCCTCTATCCTGACTGACCCGCTTCCTCTGCCAAAACCTAAACCTAACCTCGTCTTTGGATATTCCAAAACGGCCTTCACTCGTAACCAACTTGGAACAATTGATCTTCTCCTCGACGATCATTTCGGCCGAAGCTACGCTCTTCCGGACCAGAAGATTCGGTTTCCTTTTCTACAAGTCGAATTCAAGTCACAGGCCAAAAATGGAACCCATTATATCGCAGCAAATCAGGCTGCTGGTGCTGGTGCTATCGCCTTAAACGGCAATATGGACCTTATTCGGCGCAGTTTTGGTATAGACAAATTCGATTACGAAGAACCACAGTATTTCTCTATATCAATGGATCACGAACTTGCCCGAATTAATGTACATTGGCTGGGAGCACCGAATGACGGTGGACAACATAGCTTTCACGTCGAAGGGCTGTCAAAACATCTGTTGGACGACGAAAAGGGGATACGAGCACTTTCTCGAGCGATCAAAAATATTCTTGACAATGGTGCTGATAAGCAACTGCGAACACTCTCCGACGCACTCGATGAATACCGAGACACAGTGGTTCGCAACAGAACAACAGTAAATCCTCGGAGAGAAAGGAATATAAGCTCATACACGAACCACTGAATCATGTCTTCATTCCAAGGCTTGACCCTTTCTGCGTCCCTTTGACCTCACCGCGCCGGTGATAGGATAAAATCCTCATACAATGGTGCCGGACATGTCTCGATTCAGATGCTCTGGGACGTATGTGACTATCTTTTGGAGTGGAATTTACCAAGAGCTGCTCTAATTCATCGTGCTTTGACTTTGCCTTGGCCGGACGCAAGTCACTCCAGTAACGCTCAACCCTACTCATCTGTCCAAGCATAGATAGAGTAGTGGAGATCAATGTGCGAGTGAACGTACTCGCGCTCGTGCAGGATAGATAGCCCCAACTTTGGTTCTGTTCTGCGCTCTCGCGGAGGATTTGACGTGCCGACTCGCGCTCCGCTCCCATATCTTCTTTAACCAGCTCCTGTACCACGTGCCGACTCGCGCTCCGCTCCCATATCTTCTTTCACCAGCTCCTGTACCACGAAGAGCAAAGTCCTCTTGGACGCCGGCTGGACAGTTGGCAAAGGCCGTGGCGAGAATCTCCGAGATGGCATGGAGTATGTCGCAGACGTCTCATTCTTTCACTGCTTTGCGGAATGTATGTATGTATGTATGTATGTATGTATGTATGTATGTATGTATGTATGTATGTATGTATGTATGTATGTATGTGTGTATGTATGTAATCTTGCACTCCTGGATCCAGAGATAACAAAGATAGTAACACGAATGTGTGTGGTGTGGTGCGGTGTGGTGTAGTGCAGTGCAGGGTAGGGTAGGTGCTATCAATCAACAGGGAAAGATCCTCCCACGATTGATGATCAGTCTTCTATTTCCGCCCGCCACCCGTTGCGGAGACAGCGATAGATAATAGTGGAATAGGGAATACCCCCATCGGCCGGCCAACCGACCGACCGACTAAACTGAGTGCATGAGTGAGTGAAACGGAAGGGAGACAATGTCTTTCTTGCATTGATAAGAATAGATTAGGGGAACAGAGAGGGGTCTGAGTAGGGGGGAAGTCAACAAGAAAGACGACGTGATTTTTCCTTTGCTCCTTTTTGTGGTTGAGGAAAGAACAAGTTTTTAGAATTGGTTGAATGGTGTATATAACACACACACACATACACACACACACACGCACACACTCATCCATATATATGTAGATATATATCTGTTCCAATGAAGGTAGAAAGCAAAGCGAGCGCTGATTTTCCCCCTGACTCGGGGTGAGAAGATTTCGTGACCATGACCGTGATAATCCTTCATCGTGAGATAGACCCGAAAATACCAATCCCCAAACCTAGCGCAACCCCAGCCAGGCGAGACCAAGCTAGGCCAGGCCAGGCCAGCCTGATCCATGAACATAATATGCTTATGCTGGAATGGACTCCGAAAAACGCCGCGCCTCCCCTCATGCATGCCCGTTTCTGTCGTAAAAGCCCAAGGCCCAAGGCTGGCGTCCCGGAAATTTGCCTCCCACACCAGCCTGTTCTTTGCTTTCTTGCTTGGCTGCCGGGAGTCACCTGTGCTCATCACCTCCAAAGTCATCACGACGGCGGAGGAAACACCTTCTTCAACATGCTCTCCTTCTTCCCGCCTTCCTTGCCCCCAGCTTTTTTGGCCACTCTGCTGTCCTTGGACGAGGTGGTCTTTTTTGGGGGCGGCGCGAACTCGGTTTGCACATTCAGCAGGTCTCCTCCGCGCAGCTTGGCCTGTCGTTGCCGGAACGAGTTGTCGTCCTCGCTGCGACTCTGGCCGGCGCCAAAAGGGTAAGTGGACGTCGGGTCCTCGAGCGAGATGTTTGTGGGGGTCAACGCCAGTGGCGCGAACGTCGAGGATGGAAAGTATGAGCTTGACGGTGCCGCCTCTGAGTGTCCGGTCTGCTGCTGCTGCTGCTGCGAGAATAGCAAGGGGACGCCCGTCGCAGGCGTGAGTGGGGAGTTGGAGTATGAATCCTGGGTGAAAGAGCGGGCGTATTGGGTGATCGGCACGGAGTGGTGGGACATCGGGGAGACGGGATCGTGAGCAGCTGCAGCGCTCTGCATCTCTCTGTTTGCGGGTGGGTAACTCTGCTGCGATTGTTGCTGTGGCCGATGCAGTTGTGTTGCACTCTGGAGGAAATTATGGTACGCTTGGTGTTGTTGCGAGTTAAAGTCAAACGCGAACGTTGCCATTTCACTGCCGTCCTCTCTCTGTGCCTCTTCATCGTGGCTGGAGAAGGAAGAGGGCGACCCTTTCCCTTTGCCCGCGGTCACGGTGATCGTCGACTCACTGTCAGTGCCTTTGCCTTTCATGGCTTGTTCCGCCTGCTGGCGCCACACCCTTCGTTGCATCCATTTTCTGAGCAGCCAATAAACGGCAAATGAGAGCCCAATACCTCCGATCGCACCACCTAAGATCGCCCCCGTCAGACCAGAGGTGCCGAAACCAGTTAGACTAGATTTCGGGGCAGGCGTTGGGATGGTGTTAGGACACAGGGTTTGAGTGAAGACATAGGGCGCATGTGGCAAGGCATTTGCGAGGTGAAACGTGGGTGGGGAGGAGTCGTAGTTGGCCATGAAGTATAGTTGCGAGAGGAATGCGGTCCCGAAAAAGTTGACTGTCTTGTTTGTCGATTTACCTGAGACCGTGCCTGTAGAGATGGGGGAGTTGTTGGATACGTTCTTCAGCCAGTCAGAGTCGTACGTGACACTCAATCCGGACTCGAGGGTAATAGTCAGCGTTGAATCAAAATCGTCTGGTAGCCGGAAGACTTCAAGGTTATCGTGTGAAGGCGTGGCGCCAGTTTGCTGAGAAAATTTCTGCAGGACATCGCTGGGGAGATTGAGTTGGTATTGCGACGTGATGATATGAGCATCGAAGCCCTCCGTGAGGAGATCTGTCTCGGTCCCATCGGAGGCGGTCAGCGTCATCTGTTCGACAGAGACCACGAAGGGACTGTGCTGGGCGTCAGGCTGAGCGGGCCTGATGGTGAAATTATACACGTCGCCTTCAAAGCGACCCGAATCATAGCCGCCCAGAGTCAGGGAGCCGTTGACGGCGCCGTTCGCTTGTTCGTAGCCGGTGCCCATGTACAGGCCGAATGACCGTGAAGAGATCAACTCGAGATTGTACAGATGCTCCAGCAACGTGCTTTTTGGTCCGAGGCCGAGCAGTCCTGCCGGACCAAACCAAGGAGTCGTGCTGGCTGAGTAATTCGACAGGACCGTCAGGGGGAAGTTTGGGATTCGAGTGATATTGGGTGGAGAAGGGTCGTAGTAGTGGGTGAAAAGGTTGAACGTATCCAATGCCGTCTGGATGATACTGGCGGGAATTGAGCCATAACTATCGAGGGGCTGGTATGATGACCCTGAGGAATAGCTGCGAGTCCACAGTCAGCATCCAAACGAGTACAGTTATGACAATGGTACTGACTTTTGTGACAAGTCCGGTGAATAGAATCCGTGGGCATGGTTCAGACAGTCTTCAAAAGGACTGTTTGTGCAGTAATCGAGGCTGGCCACGGTGGTTTCGTTGTTCGATAATGACGGCCAGTGCGACATGTTCTGTGATACGGGGAAGCCAGCCCCAGTAAACAATCCATATTGCTCGTTGACCCCGCCGTCGACAGCTCTAACGTGGAAATCGACGTAAATTGGGACCTTAGAGCAGTTGTTCTGTGCCACAACGACAGCCACAAAGAGGACGAAAGCTTGGAAAACCTCCGCCATGATCTGAAACAGTCAAAGGAAGTATGCTCAATGACCAGGCAGTATAGGTCCAACAGTCCCCGGCCACCGCTCTAGGAATGCTGATGAGCAGCACAGGGCGAATGCACACCAAAGGAAACAGAAAGACGGTGACCCAAAACCACTTACGAACAGAAGAAGATGATGGAGATGAGATGAGGCAGTAAAAGAGAAAACTTGACGGCCATACAGCTGGCAGGTGCATCGAGATTTTGCCGTGGTCATCCTGGCCGGCTCGAGCGTTTACAAGCAAAAGCTGAAACGGACTGGGGAGGACAGATGGGTTACAATAGACGCCGCGCTGGAGAAGGCCCATTGACGCAAGGCGGTTGTCATTTTTGTCATTTTCTGCAGTAGGCCGCTTGTCGGACAGCCTGGAGACAGCCCAAGAGGCGTGGAAACACATCGGAGCCAGCGCCGACCGATGGTGTGGCCTGATGCAAGGCGTCGTCAATGGCGCCGAGGTCGAGATGCGGTTTCAACGAATTTCCATTTTTAGGAGGATGCAATCCAGTCTGGCGCCTGCCGAGGCCCAATCGGAACGCCGCTTGGCGACTCTCCGATCGCCGGGCGGAGGTTGAGCCAATGGGAGTAGAGACGTGTATGGGGCGGGACAGGGCGCCGAGGGTGGTATAGCCACAATTCTGACCCGGCAGATGGCCACTCATAGATTCGAGCAGGCTTCATCCATGGGTTCGCCGTCGACTCGGATGCACCTGCCGCTCCGTCATATCCAAAAATCTCCCCTTCCAACATAATTAAATTTCTTGAAGATACCCTGCTCCTTATCCAATCAAGGTGCCCTGCAGGGTGTTGCCTTTCATAGACAAAAGCAAGCAACAGGTCATTATCCATCGTTAGGGTTTTTGCTTCTTTCCCACGAAGCTGGCCGATAACGTATTCGCTGTTGTTCCAGCAGTTGCTTGTGTAACCGTAATAGTGGTGCCATTGTCCATCGTTTCTGCCTTTCTCTTCTTCCGAACGCCAGTCAGCACGTTGACGTTGACTGGTGGCGCCGTGGCAGGCGTAGTTGTCGGAGCCAAGGCCAGGGTGGCGCGGCCATGTATAGGTTGCCCAAATGAGGCCACCATTGATAGCTCCAAAGCTCTATCTATCCAACTTTTGGTGGCGTGTGCTGCAGGGGCCTCGCGGGCAAAGTCAGTGTGCAGCAGGTGATCCATCAGGACCTGATATTTAGTAGTGTCGATAACAAGCTCACCCCGCGTCTCTTCGATCGTGGGCAACATCGACTTTCCACCCTGTTCAGGCACACGAGCACCTCGGTCAGCATCTCGTATTTGCTCGGAGGGTTCCAACTCGGAGTCTGGATGGGTCGGCGAAGAAGGTGGTGAGTTGGGCTCTGCGATCATTTTGAGGTCGGAAGCAGTCGGCGAACGTGAAACCGTCGGGCCGCTATTGTGGTGCTGAGAATTGACGGGTGAAGCAAGGCTTAATGGAGCGGGTGGCCTGGTTAAATTCTCCGTCTGACCCGTCTCCTCAAGCTCGCTTAGCGCAGCGTGCTTGGTGCCGCCTCTCGAGAACACCAGCCACAGAAAGCCGACCAGTCGTCCGGCAGCACATTCTTGTCTATAGGCCATCAACTCCCAGAATTGATCAAGAGTTTTCAGACCCCGCCAGTGGCCTTTCTCATCGACCGAGATGCCGTCCAGGTCCTCAAGATATCGTCCTTTGGGGTCGTCTGGAAATCTGGGAACCACATGCCTTGGAGGAATTGAAGGGTCAGTCACCAAAAAATTGACCGGGTACGAAACGACCCATTTCGGATCAGATGAGGAATCGCCTCGACTCGACGGCGGGAAAAAGACCTTCGTCTCACTCTTGTCGCAACCCGGGACCAAGAGGTGTGCAGTAGCCACTAAATCATCTTTAGGCAGTCGCAGGACTCTATCGAACACGCGACACCACCACTTGATGAGCTGTCGGTCATCCAGGATGTGTTTTCCAGCATTCTCAGAACTTCCCGGGAAAAGGTATTGGTTCTGCGAGCGCGCGAAAAGCGACACGACCACTCTCGAACTGGCCAGACGAGGTTCAAGCAAGAACTCTACAAAGGTGGAGGTGATGGTGGCAACGACCGAAGGAAAGCCCTTCTGCTGCTTGAGACGGGAAGAAAATCCCGAAGAGTCGGCCTTTGAAACAAAGAGAGTGACGAGAGACTGGGTCGTGAAGATCAGAATCTCGATGGCGTAGACTAAAATTTCTTGGCTGTCTCCTTGCTCTGGGGAGGAGACAGCCAGAAAATGCGATTCGCAGAGAGTGGCCTCCTCGTCCTGGCCAGGTAGAGGGGCGAAAAGGGCAGGTACCGGTGTGGGTGGAGTTGACAAGTGATATGCACGAAGATCCAGACCGATGGGAAGGACAGCTGCCAGTCGCGACGGGAGAGACATGACTGTTCAGGTTGAGGCGCAAATGGCAGCTCTGGAGGCTCTGGAAACTGAAATGGCGAGTCGGGGATTTGTCAATTGGCGGATGGCGGACAAACAGTGACAAAGCAGGGCCAGTGACATGAAGCCGGTGAACTTGATCAGGAAAAGGGGGAGAATGGGCGGAAGTAGGAAGATGTGACCGGTGCGGACACGCGTGGTCCCGATAAGGCTTAGTGTCTTTTATCAGCCAATGGGAACGCTAGTAGCCCACGCCTCAGCCTCAACAACTTCGACTCTTGAACTCAAATTTTGCCTTTCCACGGTTCTGTCCCACGCCTTCTAGCCTGATGGTATATAAGAGCTGAAGTCGATTCGACCTCTTCAAGTCTCCCCATCCCTCCCCGTAGGTCTCTTTACAGTCTTTAGTGCTTTTGTTTCATCCCTCTTGCAAAGGCGGGCATATGAATAATGGACCACAGCTACAGCGACAATGATATCAACGTGACTTCACAGTCTGCTATTCATATGACACTTTGTTTGAGGAGTGCAACCCAGCTTATACCACAAGACGTGTCCCATGCATCGCTGAGACCGTTCCCCTTGAGAACAACCCCGTATGCAGAGAGGTCGGTCAAGAAACCCAACAATGCAACGAGTCTGGATCCTGTCAGTGGGACACGCTTGGGGAGATCGACGCTCCGGGCATTCAGTCATCCCAGTCACTATCAGCCGCCTCCACCTAATTTAGAGGACATTCCCACATTCATCTTCGGGCGACCCTCGGTGGACCAAACCAACTCGAAGCATCTGCACCCCAGGATTGCTGCAAACAGATACCAGACTCCTGTGCACCAGGATCGTGGTGGGTATGCTGCAGATCGCTCTGAGGAGGAGTCCGAAATGGAATATGATCCGGCAACCAAGGCACATTTCAAACAGCACTTGGGCATCATCGACTGTAGCGGAGCTCACCGTTCTCGGGACCGGACATCGCCAGAAGCGAAGAACTCTGCTCTATTGGACTATGAGACGCAATTGCGTTTGTTGGAGGAGCAGAACAGGAGACGTTTGAAAGACCCCAACGACGCACGATACATGAATGCCCAAACATGAGGTGGAGGGCCCGGCTCAGCATCATTGGTCGAGAAGGGCAAGGGAGGGATGACAACAAAGCGGATGCAAGCGAGTCAGCTCTCCATCATGGGCACAGTTGATAATGAGTTATGATTTGGCATGAGTCTCTTCTTGCTGTGAGGTGACACATAATGCCCAAATGGAGACTACTTTTCCCGCCTAATAGGAAATTCGCCTTTCCCTTCACTAACACGGGCTGTCGGCAAACCTTCCCCGTGTGACACCAACTCAAATCTGAACCTTCTCGCTTTCGCGATTCTGGAGTTCCACCTTTTGAAAACTGCCATAGCCATCATCCGCCCTCGCTGCGCATCGACCATAACTCGTCGCATATCGTCGCCAACGTTGTTGTATCAATCTAGAGATCCTCATCTGGCTCCTCGGGCTGCTGTGCCGTAGCCCCATTGTTGATGCCCCGTCATAACACTGTTACATGAGTATATCTGCGTTCTGCGGTCAAGTCGTGTAACGAACCAACATGCTGTAGCTGACCTCCAGGCCATTTTCGCTCTCCTACTTTCCTTGCTAATGTATCATGTCTACCACCAGTCCCGAAAAAGAAAAAATGCGCCCAGAGAACAGTACTCCTCATAGCGACGAAGAGGGAGAAGTGGACGAGCGTAATTCATCGCCTGCAAAGTCCTTGGATCAAGGTTCAGAAGACCAACGTGCCGCGGAAACGTCAACAGCCAACCCTCCTCTTCCTACCGAAGAAGAACCTCCTCCGATACCTGTCGAGGCACCCCCTACCCAACCAGTGGATGATGGCTGGGAGCCGATCTGGGATGACCATGCCCAAGCATTCTATTTCTTCAACCGGTTTACAAAAGTGACACAGTGGGAGAATCCCAGAGTACCGGAGGCATCTAGTCAACCCGGTGTACCAGGAGTTGGAAACCACGACAGAATAGCGGCAGGACAGGGCCCGCCACCAAACCGAGTTGGCGGATATGACCCGGCCATTCACGGTGACTACGACCCCAATGCCGACTACGCCAAAGCCTACGAGATCTCCTCTGCAGACAACGTGCCTGGTGCTGCCCCAGGCACAATCGCTGCCGACATGTATGCCGCTTCGGGGACTTTTAATCGCTTCACAGGGAAATGGCAGCGAGCAGACCTCAACCCAGAAAATTTCACCGATGAGCAAAAGAGTCGGCGGCAGATGAATGCCTTCTTCGATGTGGATGCTGCCGCAAACAGCCACGACGGCAGAAGCCTGAGGGCGGAGAGGGCAAACAAGAAGTTGAGTAAGGCAGAGGTAAAGGCATTTAAGGAGAAGCGGAGGGAGAAGAAGGAGGAGAAACGGCGCGCATGGCTGAGGGATTGACCAGCAATCATGGTCATATCCAGTAGCCTTGCTTTATTTTGGCGGAGAATACGGGGTCTTGATGACTGTGGTGTTCAATATGGCGGTGGCCGGCGTCCAGACGAAGCGGGAATTTCGGAACTCGACACCAACTTCGATCGAAATAATAATATTAAACCCACCAAATAAATTTCCCGTTGTAGTGTATCGCCCGTTTCACCAGACTCTCTCCCTTTATTCCCGTGCCACTGCTTTCTTTGCTTCACGTTCATTACTCGGTGCGTCCGATCATGCTACACTCATGCTCAGAGATCATTTCGCGGTGATTTGCATTGTTTGGTACATCTTCATTGCCTGCGTCTGCGCCATCGGCTACGTTTGTCTGTGCGTTCAGCAGCAATTCCCTGGCCCAAAACCACCATCGCTCCTTTACTGACTGTGTGGCTGATGTAGGTTTCTTTATTATCGCCAGACCCCAGCCCGAAGTGCCATCCTCTCTCGGTCGGCGAACCAAGACGTCCCCAATGTCACGGTGATCCGCCCCTGCAAAGGGCTCGAACCCTTCCTGTACGAATGCCTCGCCTCGACGTTTCAGCAAGACTACCCTCGAAACAAGATAGCCGTGCACTTCTGTGTCTCGTCGCGATCCGACCCGGCGTATGGAACCATCGAGAAAGTTGTCAGGGATCACCCAGGCCACCATGCGCGGATCTTCGTCGAGGAGGAGGACGACGGAGTCGCCAATGGAGACGAAGAGGAGAGCGACTACCGCCAATTTCTGGGGCCCAATCCCAAGATCCGGAACATGAGCAAGGCATACCGCGACGCAGGGGCGCAGGACCTCATATGGATCCTGGACTGCAACGTCTGGGTGGGCCGGGGCGTCTGCGCGCGCATGGTTGACAGGTTGTGCGGTTTCACGGCGGAAGGACACCCACCAGCAACGCCGTATAAACTGGTCCATCATCTTCCCATATCAGTCGACGTGGACGCACGCGCCGACGAGGGTTCTCTGCGGGCCACGACACCCTCTTCGTCCCACGCCGATGGGCCTTCTGGTGGCGTTCTGTCGAGAATGGACCAGCTCAAGCGGTGTGCGGGCGGCCGCGTCGAAGAGCTCTTCCTCTCTTCCTCCCATGCGAAGATGTATGTCGCCATTAATATCGTGGCCGTCGCGCCCTGCATCGTGGGAAAATCTACTATGTTCCGGCGTCTCCACTTGGATCTTCTTACGGCACAAAGAGCTCTCGAGGAAGACAGAAACAGAAGGAGCGGATATCCAAAGGACCCTCACCATGCAGAAAACGGCGGGGTTCTTCACAATACTCGGTTCGGCATTGACTATTTTTCGCACAACATCTGCGAAGACCATCTCATCGGCGACCTCCTGTGGAAATCCCCCGTGCCGGCCGTTCCTGATCTTCCGAAGAGAATGAGAAACCACGGCCTGGTGTACGGCGACCTCGCCATCCAGCCCATCAGCTCCATGTCCCTCCAGTCCTACATTTCTCGTCGTGTTCGGTGGTTGAGGGTGAGGAAATTCACAGTCCCGGTAGCGACGCTGGTGGAGCCGGGCACCGAGAGTTTTCTATGCTCGCTGATGGGTGCTTGGGGCCTGACAACTTTCAGCGGAACGAAAGATTGGGCCGGGGATTCGTGGGGGCGGTTGTCGATGTGGTGGTGCGTGAGCATACTGTGCTGGATGGTGGTGGATTGGACCGTGTATCTGCTGCTGCACTCGGGCCGCACCATTGAGACATCTACATCAATAGCCTCGCCCTCATCCAACCGGTCGAATCAAACCCCGGCCACAGCGGCCGCAAGACACAGTGGAGACAGACAAGTCGAAATCCCTGCATTTGCCCGACCTCTTTCAGCACATGTACGCTCACGGCGGAGCTTTCACATCTGGCTACTTGCCTGGCTGGGGCGGGAATCTCTCGCCTTCCCCATCTGGACGTGGGCGATCTGGGGCGGCACGAGCGTGACCTGGCGCGACCGACGGTTCTGGGTCGGGCTTGACATGAAAGTGCACGAGATCCGAGACGAGAAGAAAAAGACCGAACGCGCCCCTCGTGGTGGCCGCCAGAGGGATGATGACGAGCACAAGAGTGACACGCCGGAGGAGAAGGAGACGAAGACGAATGGACACGCGACGAGTATGACCAGCGGGAACGGGAGTGCAAAGACGAACGCGAATGCAAATGTGACCACGTATGTAAATGGGACGACGTTGCGGGCACGGAAGAAGTCAGAACGAAGGTAAGAAGAAGAGGAGGAGGAGGGACTGATTTGTATCGATCAATCAGTTAATCGGGTTGTATGAGTGAAACGAGTGAACGAATGCGAATATGGACAGGTGCATCATTGGCGGCCAGAGCGAGCGTCTTGCAGGAAAGTAACTAATTACGCAGGGACTGGCGCACCAGGTATGAAGGAGATAGAAAGATAGATAGGTTAACAGATAGACAGACTGACGTACGGAGGACAGACACGAAACAAACGGACATAGCTGAAGATAATACAAGATTCCATACCGAAGGAGGAAGAACAAGAAATGCCTTTCTTTTCCTTGCTTGTTTTCTTCTCTCGCTTCGTTGCACGCTGCAACAACCGATAACACACACGCCTATGTATCCAACAGTATATCATATCACATCACAGCACAGCAAATCACAGCACATCAAAGCACGCCACACTGTATGAAATATTACATACTCGGCACGAATGCTGCCATACATAGATAGATAGGGTTGTCTGTACCTCGTACAGGGCTGGGCGAGGCTGGGCTGGAAAAGGGACTTGACTATCGTCAGGCCTTCCATCTTAGAAATCTACTAACGAGCACGAGGTGCTTAAGTGCATACCGTACTTCGTATGCCTGCTCTTTCACTGTGTCACTATTCATTCACAGACCAAGTCAAATACATATCGTGTCCAGCTACATGCAAAGAAGAGCTTTCCTTTTACATTTCCCACACAGTCATCTGAAGATCTGACTAGTTGGAGCAATATACCTACATTCTGTTTTTACATGGCGGATGCTCTGTATTTCCTCATCCGCCTCTATAGATACTAGGGGTACATGTTTGGCTTCAAGTTTCCTTCCTTGATCACTGTCCTCTCCGTCACTCTCGAGCCGCTCATCATTCAAGTCCAAGCCCCGGAAACAGCCTTGACGTGAATAATGAGAAGGTGGACTCCGCTGTGACTGTGATCCAGACTCTTTAGTGTTGCTTATCCTTTTCCCCCTGTCCTTCCACCTTCTATCTCTCTCCCGAACACATAATAATCTCGTGGGGATCTGAGTTCTTTCTTGCATATCACCACTCTCATACTCTCAGTCATGAAGTCAGCATTCATAGAATCATTCTCCGATGATCAACCTCACATCACCATCCCACTAGCAGAGCAGGACCCCGGAGGGAAACTCGAGCACGCCTCAGATGAATGATATGGGAGCAGATGCGAGGCTCATCGAGATGGTTGAGCAAGGTTGAATTGAAGATCGAGTTCATCGAGTGTGAGAAGTCGGGTACTGTCAAGATGTCGCTCGAGCCTCCTATCACGCGGCATGACGACGACATCGGAACGGCCAAGCAATCACTGCAGAACTATTCAATGACCGATTGGGGCGATGGGTAAGTAAATCGTATATGCGGATACACGTTTCAACGCTACAATGGAGTGTGTGCTCCGCAGTCCCATTGGCACGGTCTGCATCTTGACATTTCGATCTTTTTGGAGCGGCAACACCAGTACAGAGAGGCTGAGGCGCGGCTCGTCGGGTTCTTCGCTCGAGATCGTCCCTATCACGGCGGCTCCAGGTCCACGGTGCACATCTTCAGGTCGTCATCACACGGGTGTCCGCTTGCATGAACAGTTTAGCTTTCGAGGTTTGACGCTCGCCTGGAATCCATGAAGCTGGACAAGACGTACTAGCGGCTGGACGAGTCGTTAGTGGGAGCATGCAAGTTTTCAAGGGCCCTTACCCATTGCATGTTTGTTTCATGGTGACAGCAAGGCTCTGTGATACGTCTCGTGACAGCATCGCCGTGAGTCCCGTGTCCTGGCACTTTGTGGTATCTGATCTCAAGACTCCCATCATTCACTCGATCAACACTGTCGACCTTGATACGCTGTACCCTCATCAGAGTCTCGCCGTACGCCTCCTCGATTTCAATGACGGTTTTAGCCACGGCATAAGCCACACAGCTGTTCCAATGGCCCTCGACGATCCTCAAGTCTTGCAATGCCTCGAGCGCATTTCGGCGGATATCGCGGACGCGGCACAGTGTAGCAATAAAGTACAGCGGCGTGATAAAGCCTAAGTGCACCTTTAGGACGAGGTTGCTGTCGTGTCCCCTTTCCATTGTAGTATATCCACTGCGCAAGAAGGTCCGCAGCTGAGCGAACATGATTCGGAAGTCGGCGGCGGCACGACTGTAACAGCAGTCATTGTCTGGAGGAAGAGTCTTCAAGATCAGCAGGGCCATCCGGTGGTGAGCAAGTAGCAACAGCTGCCAGTCCTTAAGAAGCGGTTCGTCAAGCTCCAGGTTTGCTTTCCAGCGGCCGAACGCGCTCGCCCAGTCAGCGACGTACTTGCGGACACCTGGGATCATCGGCTTTGAATGGTGTGGTTTACCCAGTTCAAGAAGGAGGACCATGTAGACAGCCTGTTGTAGATGCTTGTTTGCTTGAGCCAGGTCTTCAAATATCTCGGGCATGTCAGGAACCGCGTACGTCACACCTTCTGTCGAGTTGGCCTTGGATCCCGTCTCTTCTCGTAGTGCATAGTTTTCCGACTTGGCCATGAATCCATGTATTATAGGCTCAATGAATTCGGCAACTTCTGGAGCAATTATGGCTTGTCTTCTTCGGTTCTCCGAAATAATGCGATGTCCAGATTTCAGATGAGTGAGTCCAGCGGCGGATGCGCCCATCAGGAAATCACAGTGAGCGAAGAGGATGCATGAGATCAAGATGATCTCGAGGGGCAAGGCACTTTGACTCTGATTGATCTCGGTGATGGCTTTGGTGTAGTAGAGGGTAAAGGTGTGGTTCTGCCAAGGTGTTCGTTTCGTGAGCTCGATCCATTCATGCAGGCTACTCAAGGCAGCCAAGCTATGACGGACACAAGCCTGGTTCCGGCTTGCTTGGGGGACCAACCGATTCCAAAAGTTCCATGCCGAGCTAGACGAGTACTGAACCATGGCTTTATCGTCGACGAAGGAGTCCATCATCTCGGCAAAGTAGGAGGAGATTCGAGGCGCCGTGCATTCCAGGAAATACTGTGTAGGTCGATTGAGATCAGGCTCACTATTGAAGTGGATGGGATTGCCACTGTTGAACCACGGGACAATTTCTTCGGGCGGCGATGGTCCACGCGTTGCGGACTGCAACAGCCATGCTTTTGATTGCGTATAGCCCTCGCACACTCGACCGGCTTTGGTACATCGAAGGCATCGTGGATGTGTTTCGTCACCTAGGAGATTGACGAGACGAGTTAGCTTGGGGTACTGGGACTGAACATGCCCAAGGAGAGGTGAGGTCACGCAAGAAATGGACGCAGTCAAGGGAGTTCTGCTATCCCTATCTGCTAGACCAACCAGCACGACATCTTCGTCCCGAGGGGATTCACGTACACTTGACCCTCCGATGTCTTGCTTGAGGTTAGCCAAGTCTCAAAAGAAAACAAAGAGAAGCAGGAGAAAGGGAGACAGAATACAGACAGGGAAGAATGTCATTGAGAAGTCTGAACCTAGAGGATGGGGAGTGCAGGAGGAGGAGGAGGAGGAGGAGGAGGAGGAGGAAGACGAGGGAAGAGGGGAGATTGGCAAGCCATACCTGCAAGTTAGGCAGCCGGTACGGACTTTGTGATGGCTTCGTTTCAATCTTGTAGGTGACCTCTCCCTTTGTCCTTCGTTCTTCTTCTCCCGTGCCTGTTCTGGCCTTCTATCCCCGAGCACTACCAGTGTAGACTCAGTTGGTCTCTGCACTTCGACATCTCTAGATGCTTTGGATGGTTTGCCGCTTCGTTCTACCGGCTGCTCAGCACCCAGCACCGGACGCCTGTCAGCGACCACAAGGGCTCGTGGTACCATCTCGTACACACAAGCGTGGACATTTGGAATCAAGCCAAAGTGTGCTAGAAGCAGAGTCAGATTTCCTCGAATCCCTCAGCTGGAGCTCATGGTGGTGAGTATACAAAAAGGATAAGAACCCGCTCTTCCAGACTTCTTAGATAATATAGGACGCTAACTCCTATATGGGGCGTATCAGGCCATCTAAAGAAGTGCACCAAAGGACAACCGGAAGGCGATGAGCCACAACCTTCTCCTCAAATCCGAATGGGTGGATTATACCGCCTTGACACACACCTCTTCAATGTTGTGATGCGGGTCGAGGTTAAACCTTGCGCAACCGAGTCGAGTTCGGAACGGAGGGCTTAACAGCTATCTCTTTGCGACTGCCAGCCAATGGCCCCATCAAGACTGCGTCCTCAAACAGCAAGATTGGGGGTGGTGGTTGTTCTACTCCGCCTCCAGATCGGTTGATTCAAGCAAAAGTTTGACCAGGTAGCGCAAGAGCAGGCGGTGAGGTATATTGTAAGCAGGAACAGAAACAGCGCCGACCGGCCACGTTCTGCTGGTTTCGCACACACAACGGTTGACCAAGCAATGCAAAGCATCCATGATGCAGCGTCCCCAGTCGCTTGAGGCTTCGCGAGCACCAACTATTCTGGCTGGGGCCAAAACCTCGAGTCAGTTTCCCAATCACGGCCGCTAGAAGGGCCGGGTTTAAGGTGATGTGGCCCCTGTCGTCCTCGGGGGGCACCTGGTGGTGCAGGGGAATCATGGCTGTCCCTGTGTCTCTTCCTCGGCCACGCCCGGCGTTGCGAGAGAACCTGCGGCAGTGCACTAACTACCCTGGGACAGTACTGCGTACGAGGTCTGCATTCGGGCACCGGCCCCCTGGTGGGTTCACAGTGGGTTCCTAGGATGCGCGGCGCCGACGGCGTGAGTGCCTTTCAGCCCTAGGAGATCAGAGACGTATGGCCCCCTCCTTGCCTGGACTCCTTGCGCTCTATTTGCATGCCAAGTGACTAATCAGCCCTAAATGGTATCGTAATTGAATCTTGTGGCTGCCGACGTCGAGTTAAGGCGCTGGGAAACCCTTCGAAGAAACCTTCGTCCATGTGGGCAAAGACTGACACCTTCCTAGAGCAGTCTAATGCTTTTGTCCACCTCCCAATCGTGCGCTTTGCTTGCCCGTCGATTGCCTTGGCCCCCTTTCAAGCACTCCCAAGTCGCCTATGCACAACGTTACAAAAGAACGTTGCGGCAGCTTACAAACAAGAGCTCGGCAGCCGTGGTGAAATCCCCTACATAACTCGGGCTCTTGTGAGCGGGTTCACGGTCTCCAACATTATCGCACAAACCATATTCCATATTTGTGCATGGGGCCGATATTGACAGCTGCACGGACAATGTATTTCCGATTTCGAATCACGCTTATAGTGCACCTTCCAGAGGGCGTAAGTCGACAAGATGCAGCATCAACAACACTAAAAAGGAACGAAAAGAGCAATGCCTCCAGGATCGCTCGATCAACTGGGGTGCATGGATCTCTTCGTATTGCGCTTACTGCCTTACAATGCACCTCCTTTGAGATTAGCAGTCTGCCATCGCGATCGGTCCCTGTGCTGGAACTGTTGTCTGTGACCGAGGACGAAGCTTGCTCGAAGGGACCATTGATGTCACGATCTACAACACTGCCTCGTGGAGGGAAGGTTGCACCTCGCCCCAATACTCTCGGTCTCGAGCGGTCGTCTTACTGCGGCCAGCGATTTCGATCCCCATTGTCTCCAGATTGGAGACTACCCTGACAATTCTGTACCCCAGACCGCCAGAAGTGATTTCTGGCCACCCCTGTGACTTTCATAATTATTAGATCACGACCAGCCGTTCACCGCCGAAGGCCTGACATTCCCTGGGCGTCAGCCTCGTCTTGATGTCAGCCTCTCGTCTCAAAGATAAACAAAGGATCCGACGCGGAGCACCACGCCAATGGGACGGTGATGACGTCTGCAGAGAGCGCATGATCAACATAGCAGCTGGAGGCGGTTCCGCGTGGCCGACGTGCGAATCTGGTTGCCAACACGAGAGGCAGGATTTAGGGCTGACTGCAGGAGATATCTCGACAACTCTTGACATGATGCCCTTGCATATCATAACTTCTCGGTTGCGCGGCAAGTCTCCAGACCAATGGTGGACGAATACGCAGTAACCCAAGCTCAAATTCTAGTCGTGTTTTGCTCAAGGGAGGGTCGGAGCTGTTTGACCACCACACAATCACCAGGAATCTTCACGGCAGTGTTACTTATGGTATGAGTTTGAGTTTGGATATTACATCAATTGATATGTTCTGACACGGGGGTAATCCTTGTATGTTCCCAACAACAAATGCAGCGATCAATGGGATCTGGGGCCGACGGAAGGATTTTGTCGAATGATAGACAGACAAACACTCATGGCGGAGTCAAGGGGAATGATGCATATGCGCTTCATGGGTCTTGTTGTGGTGGGCTCTATCTATCCCGTTTGCAGTACCTGGTTGCATTTCAGCTGGCGATTCTCTGGCGGCCTAATGAAAAGGTGGGACACACCGTGGAACTGGTGGTGGGTGGAACTTCTGCTGGTGGAGGCAGGTAGGCTACAGGCGGAGGATTCGTATGTACATTGGCGGGCCCCCTTTTCTATGCAACTGTGACTGCCTGACAACGGTCGAGATTCATAGGTAGGTACATTATTATTGTATCCTCTCAAATCAGCCGAATTTATTTTCCCCTTGTGGAGGTCCATTCCATTCACTGTCCCCCAGAACACGTGCACCACAGGAGACACTTGTGAGAGTCGTGACGAATGTGGCTATGGAGAGCTCAGCTCGGCGTTTGGACCCCGAGAGTGATACTCTGTATTTCTCGAAAAGGATGGGCGAGGGCCCCTGAAAGCAGACCGTCGTCCTGTAGTATACAGGCTAGCTGGCGAGATCATCACCGTGCAAAGACCCATCTGCTGCTGGGTGGAGCAATATTTCCGCCACGAGCAGGTCGGCATTCGGGGGCGAAGAGATGTTCATAGGCTTTTTGAGGGAAGACAATATGTAGTCGTGATCTGTGGTGGCCACGCCCATATACCCCTGGTGCTTCTGTCTTTTGAACACTGGAAAATGCGACCAAAGGGCTATCGCGGCAACCGCCGGGAGAACCATTAGACCGACCACCATAACCACAGCAGGCCCTTGAGATACTCGACGATCTCCTCGCCGCCCAGTTTGCTCTCGCCGTATAACCGATCCACGAACGTGATGGGGCACTCCTCGACCTTGAGCCCCATGGCCTTTGCCCGCACCATCATCTCCATCTGGAACGTGTATCCCTTTGACTGCGTCTTCTCGATCACCTTGACCAGCGCCTCCTTCTTGTACAGCCTGAACGAGCCGGTCAGGTCACTGACACCGGGGTTCAGGAGGAAGTCGGCGAGGATGTTGGCGCCCTGGCTGGTCAACTTCCTCTTCGCGTCCCATCCGTACACGCCACCGATGAGTCCGTTCTTCGACCGGTACCGGGTGCCCGTGACGATGTCCGCGTTCGTTGCCTTTTGTATCTTGATGAACTCCGGGATGAACTTGGGATGGTGCGAGAAGTCGGCGTCCATGATGATCACGTAGTTCCCCGACACAAACTGCAACCCGTGGACGTAGGCGGTGCCCAGGCCCAATTTGCCTGCGCGGGGCTTCAAGACGATGTGGTCGGAGCCGAAGGACTTTTGGATCTGTTTTGCTCGCTCGAGGGTCCCGTCGGGGGAGGCGTCGTCGACAATGATGACTTCCCAATTTAACTTTCTGCAGGGCAATTAGTAAAAGATCCTTGTTAGATATTTCTTGAGCCTATGCGTGGAACGTGGAACGGCGGCAGCGGCGGGGGGGGGGGTGGGGGGAGACGAGAGGAACTTACTCCTTTGTGAAGACATCGGAGAGCATCTGCACCAGGACGGGCAGGTTCTGGCGTTCATTGTACGTGGGAAGAATGACTGAGTATTTGTCGCCTTTGGACCCCATGGCTGTAGAGTCTGCTGGGCGTGTGCTCAAAAGATTGCGACGTTGTGTTTCTGTGCATCAAACCCGCACCTGGATTTCGCAGTTGGACTTGTACGCGACAGATCATCAATGAGGCGCGACGGGGAGGATTTCTCAGGGGATTCAACCGAGGTTTATCCGGCCCCTTCATGAACTTTCGATATTAGTTCCTTGTCTTCTCTGTAAGCCTCATCCATTGCTTGAATAAAAAGAGATCAAAGATACATGGCTTACGGCACCTGAAGTGGTGAGTAACTGTGCTGTCGAATGTAGAAGTGCGACGTCTCCGAAATGGCTTCCGCACATCACAGCCGTAAGCACTCTAGTCGAGCAGCACTCCCTCGAAGAACTACCAAAGGCCCGCTGGATGCACCAACAGATCCTTTGACTGTATCTGCGACGCCTGCAGTCTCTTCGCAGAGCCCTTCAGCACCGCTGTCCCCGAAAAAAGAAGTTGGCGACCCTGTAAGAACGTCTATAACAGCCACCCAGCCACCGCTACCAGCACCGAGCGTCCAGCAACAGGAGTCTCAGACCCAAGACCTCCCCACAGCAGAAGAAAGAGACCTCTCCTTCCTCCTCGATGCCTCAATTTACCATCCTCTTTCTCAGCTTGAAGTCCCTGGCCCTTTTCGGAAGCCATTCGTCCTACCAACAAACGCAGAAACCCCCCTCAAAACCTCCGTGCAACAGTTAGATTCACTCCTCTCTCAATGCGACTTTCTGCGGGCCGCTCAGCTGTCAGGCTCTATCTTGGTCTCCGGCACCGTGCGGCCCACCGATTCAAAGTCTATTTTTCACTTGCTCGAGATCAGGTACTCTTGTCTCGAGCTCTCAGGGAATCTGCTGTTTGCTGCACAGGAGGCGAAGGCGTTGGAGGATCTGAGCTCAGGGTTTTACTATGACGAGCCCAACTCGGAGAGAGGTGCAGATGATGATTTATCAGGCGGCCAGAAAGTACCGACCCACATAATGCCCTTTTCTCTACGCTTGCAGGCGCTCAGACTACAGAGCATCGGCTTCTCGGATCCAAGAAGAGGGGTCTCTACGCTTTATGATGTTGCGGTGGAGTGCAGAGATCATCTTTCTGCTCCGCACACTTCGCCCGAGCAGAGAAAGTTGTGGACGGAACGGCTCGGTGAAGTGTCGATCCGGGTCGTGAATGCCCTGATTGAAATGGGAGACATCGATTGCGCCGTGAGAACGCTTGAAAGTATGAAGCCTGAATCCGATGATCATCTGCCACTCTGGACATCTAGAATGAGCCTGTTGAGAATCAAGATGGGTGACGTCGCCGGAGCCAAGCGGTTCATTGAATCCGGAAACCTAGGTTCCCAGGAGAAGCTTGTCCTTGGATCCCTTCTTGACATTGCTGAGGGTCGATATGACAATGCCGTGAAGAGCCTATCTGAAAAAGGGGCAAGCGTTGATTCGGACTTGGTTGCGCTCGTGGAACAGAATCTCGCCGTTGCATATCTATATCGAGGCGAGGTTCAGAAGTCCAGGGAGATTCTAGAGAAGCTCGTCAAACACGGACATTCTTTCCAGACCTTGACAGTCAATCTCGCAACTATCTACGATTTGACTTCGGACCGATCGCGCGAATTAAAGGCCTCAATGGTCTCGCAAATCGCTGGTCGACCGAGAGAACCCGGCCGTATACGCGCGTTCGTGAATGCCGACTTCAAGCTCTGAACATATGTTGCTGGGTCTATATGCAAACGGACGCCATTGTCCCGTGACGGTAGTCAAAGGCTTTGAGGAGTCCTCTGAGATGGGACAATGCAGCCAAGACAATTAAGACATGGAAGATCTGGTGTGAACTTCCGAGAGTATCAACTTTGCCGGGAAAGATGGCCTCGGGAATCCTCGCCTAAGGTTTTATACTCAGCATATGGCTAGCATCAATGCGGCTGAACACTTACCGCATATAGACCAGCCCCCAAGATATACAGAGCTCCCTGCAATACCAGCCACGACAGGCCAATCTGGTTCTCCATATCCCCCAGTCCGAAGGTCCTCAGTCCATCGAGGACAGGGAACACTGCGGATATGCCCATGCCAACAAACATCAAAGCCCTGTACGGTCTCCAGGCTGGGGTCCGAAAGCGTGGAAGGACCGATGTCGTGGTACATGCTATGCCCAAGGTGCAGATCTGGCCCAAGTTTCAGCAACGTGATAACGCCGTGTGACTCTGCTCACCATGATCCAATATGTCCATTGCTTCCATGGATGGCACCAAAATCCATAATATACGCTGGGAATGAATGAGCCGGCAATCAGCACGGATATCCCGGCATAGTCCATCTGATTCCACATTCTAGCAACGCGTGGGGAGTGGTTGGAGAGAGTGTGGTAGAAGGCGCTCAGTCCTAAACAGACGGCCGCACCACCAAAAAAGCAGCTCATTGCTATGACGTCGGCGACCGATGCTCTCTCATAACGAGGTTTAAGCACGCTATAGAGAAATGCTGCAAAGGGCAAGCTGAGAGTGGCAGGGATCAAATGCGACCAGATGTTCACGCTCTCGTTGTGCCAGTGCAGAATGCTCTGCAGAGATCTTCTGTAGCTGTAAGAAGCACGGCGATAGCTGCCATGAATGAAATGGTTGTCTTGAAGCCAGTGCGGTAGATCGTTCCAGTGTATGAGAGTATGCCAAAGATCTTCAGTTTCAGCGGATTGTTCGTCGGGATTCATTGCTTCGCTCGAAGCAGGCACTGGGGACCCTTCGTCTTCAGGCCTTCCGTCTCCCAAAGATCTTGTCGACATGTTTGCGCTCTGGGCCTGTCTTTGATGGGCCCGTCGCAAGTGATATAAGAAATTTAAATGTTGGGACGGAAGTGATGGGAGTCACGGGAAAATATCGGGGATACGCCCGTGCCGTCGTATTGATTGCTGGACATCCTTCAAAGAGTTACGAGATACGAAGACGTGGTGGTCCCGTAGCTCTTTCTGCCTTCTCTCTTGTCCCCAACCATCGACGAGAAGTAGTGCCTGACCCAAGGGTGATGGTGCAAACTTCTCACAAATGTCACACAGAGAGTAACGTCGACATGATCCCCAACAGAATCGATTAGGTGAGACCAAAATGGCTCAAGCCCCTCCAGCCTTCGGGCGAAAATCATCGGCCCCATGGGACAGACTTCGACCAGTGAAACAAGATCCTCTGGAGGGAATGGGATTCGTCTCCAAGGGTGATAACAGGTACTGTCCTCTCCTGCCGGGACCAAGATGGCTTGTTGGTAACGGGAAGAACAAGGCTGCTTGACCTCAAAACTCAGGAGGGCTACTACAACAAGATTGTTGCTCGCTACATGCAATTCTGCGCACGACACTCCAAGGATCTCGACAATGCCTTTGCATCTTTAAGTCTGGAAGAGAGCCAGTCACCGGGCGTGGAACCTTTAAAGAAACCTATTGGGAAGACTCTCAACCCTCAGCCTGCAACAGCTCAGCGCCCATTGCAACAAGACTCCATTGTCCCTACAAACACTCAATCGACAAATGCCACATCACCATTGCCAGCATCGGAGCTCTCGATCATTCTCCTAGCATTGCGAAAACTACGCGAGGGTCTGCTTGCCAGCTCTACATCGTCGCCAAACCCAGTCTTTTCTCAACGAGTCCACGTGTTCAATATCCGGGTCGCCGTTCTCGCGCTTCATCCGGAGGGTTACCATCCATCGTTGCTGCACCTACTCTCTGTCCTGCATACAGCTGAACATCCGCTTCCACGATCCGAGTTGGTGGAAATGATGACATACTTGATCCTAGACACGGCTGTCCGTCAGCGTGACCTTTACCGGGCGTATGCCTTGAGGTACAATAGTCGCGTCCGCTTTGGGTTCAAAAGTCGAGTCGTCGATAACCTATTGAAATCGATCGTCACAGGAGACTGGGTCACGTTCTGGCGAGTTCGGCAAAAGGTTGACGGCTACGTGCGAGCGATCCTGTATTGGCACCTCGACACGCAACGCAAGATGGCGCTCAAGGCCATCGGTCGAGCATACTACACTTGCGACGTCAACTGGATCCTACAAAGCGCCACCGGCAGCCAACAGAGCTGGGACGAACTGGTCAAGGAAGAAGACGTTGGCTGGGTACGAGAAGGTGATAAGGTTGTGATCCGGAAGCCAAAGGCCAAGACCGGCTAACCCCAGATATTGAAATTGCGAGCGATTGACGCAAGTCATTCGCTTCTTGTGTATTCCAAAAACTTATGGACGCGTAGAAGAAAGGTCTAGATCTGGAGTGGCGTCCTGAAACCGTTCGCGAGAGAGTGCGAAACAACCCCCGGTGCCGTTCCAGGGTTTGCGTGGTTTGCACGGTTTGCATGCTTTCTCCACCCAGCCACTCGTTGGGACGCTTGTTCAGCCACCAGCCACCCAATTTCAACCAATCACAGGCGATTACCGTTTGTTTACAGGCGGGCCTTGGCACTAAACTGCGCTTCATCTCGACTCTCCCAACCTCTCAAAACGTTGTGCAACGAACGCGCCAGTAAAGACAAGTAGCCACCGCGAAACGGCCCGATGATGCGTGCAGCTGAATGTTCTGACAATGACCAGCCCTTGTATTTTTACTCTGGCATGACAGGTAGATGTCCAAGAGTCCTTTCCCTTATTCCCCTTCTCCTCTTGTTCAGTATTCGAAATTCACTATTACATCTCATTGAGGTCAGCAGATTACGCAGAGTATCGAACAGATTCCTCAGAGCTCAGGTCTATTGTGATACCAAACTCGCTATCTTACCAGAATGAAGTCGAGAATAGCCTATACCGCACTCTCTTTGTCCTCGTTACTGGCCATGTCCGACGCCTGGCCGCTTTTCCCACTCTCGATTGAGCGAAGAGCACCTGTCTCCTACTCGGTGGTCGCAGTGGGCGGCGCCACCAGCACAGCAGACGATGCATCGCCAACTGCAACAATCACAGATGCCGTCACCCGCACAACGACCGTGATGGAGACACTGCTGTCCACCATCGTTATCACAGGGGCGGAAACACCCACAACGATCGTCGTGACCGTTACCTCTCCATCGCCCATCACTATCACCGATTACTCGCCTGCATCGACGACACCAACATCTTCCTCCTCGTCGAGTCCACAATATCCCTCCGGCTCATCACCCTCGATAACACCCTCAGCCGCCATAATTACTGCGACAGAGACTCTCTCGCCAGTGACTGTCACCGTCACACAATCTCCCCCTTCCACAAGACCGTATGACGACGGGATGTGGCACACATACTATTACTACACCGTCACGTCTGAAAGTTCCTCGAGCTGGACAACAACGACCACTGCCACTACTTCGGAATCGAGTCCCCAGACAAGTTCGACCCCAAGCTTGTCCGCAACTTATTCACTCACAACGTCCTTGATAACGACAATCGAGACTCCAGCCGCCAGTAGCACGCCTGTTTTTCCATTCTGGGGCGGGCATCTACCGATCCCTACACCTCTATGAAGCAACGTCACTCAATGTTCCTTTTTGTGAAATGAAGGATGTATAAAAGGCAATTGGTTTCATCTTTTGAGTTGTTTCTGAGGCAAAACAGTATTACTATCGGGTTGGCAGCGATTTCACTTTTCTGGGTGGATTTACACGGAGGTTTTGGACTTTAGCAAGGCGTTGGCGGTCATACCTGAGACGGCTGGTGATTGAACGATAATAATGACAAAAGATGTTTGGGTTTTCATCATCTGGCCTCTTTTTCCGATTTTCACAATCTCAGGTTTGTGCTTGATGATCTTCGTTCCGTGTGTGGTGCGTGCGGAACACAAATTGCTCCACTTAGATACCTAGATATAGAGTATTATATCTTATATGAACGTGGTGTTCCAATGTCAGCTCCTTTGCGCGAGGTTGTTTGTGATTCATCCGCAATCATTCTTAGGAACAGGACATTGCAAGAACGCAGCATTCGCTCTGAAGGATGTAGGTATGTAGCCTATGGTCGTATAAGATCATATATTATACTGGGGGTTTGGTTGCCAAGCCCTTTCCGCCCGTAACTGTCAATGTCGAAGTCCGGTAAAGGCGCAGGAAGTTCTCCGCTGCCTCCTACTAACTGCCCGTGCATCCAACCGAGTGTCCAAAGTTTCGCCCGGTCTTTTGCGTACTGATCGGCACAAATATTTCGAAACTTTCCAAACCAGTATATCTGAGGTTGCCTCCAAGCTTTCTTTCGCTGTCAATCTCGCTCGCCGCTGGGTGCAAAGCCCCCAACGCCGTCGCAGTATGGCGACAGGCACCCCCGTCGAAGATCAGGGCCGATTGCTCGAGGAAGCTCTCGGCGTCGTGCGTCAACAGTCGCAGCAGATGCGCCGATGCCTGGAGACTCCGGGAAAGCTCATGGATGCTCTCAAATGCGGGTATGGACGTGTCCGAGCCTCAAACGGTCTGCACCGCTGACTGAATGCAACGCTACAGGTCGACTTTGGTATCAGAGCTGCGCACACCTACCCTAGGCCCGAAACAATACTATGAGCTCTACATGGCGGTATTCGATTCTCTACGGTTCCTGTCCGATTATCTCCGCGAGTCGCATCCCGTCAACCACCTCGCGGATCTCTACGAACTCGTCCAATACGCAGGCAACATAATACCCAGATTGTATTTGATGATTACGGTGGGCACCGTATATATGGGCGTCGAGGATGCGCCGGTCAAGGAGATCATGAAGGACATGATGGAAATGAGTCGCGGTGTTCAGCATCCCATCCGCGGTCTCTTCCTCCGATACTACCTGATGGGTCAGGCCCGTGACCACTTGCCAACGGGCAAAGAAGAGGGGCCTCAGGGCAACCTCCAAGATTCAATCAACTTCATCCTTACCAATTTCGTGGAGATGAACAAGCTTTGGGTCCGGTGGCAGCACCAAGGCCATTCAAGAGAAAGGGAGCAAAGAACACAAGAGCGGAGGGAGTTGGAACTGCTGGTTGGGAGCAATCTGGTGAGATTGAGTCAATTGGTCGACTTGGAGACATACAAGGCTACCATCATCAGTCCGTTGCTGGAACAGGTAGTGCAATGTCGGGATGTCCTGGCTCAGGAATATCTGCTCGAAGGTAGGAGGAGAGGTCGCTTCAACTACCTGGATATGCTGACGGAAATCCAGTCATTACCAAGGTTTTCCCAGACGAGTACCACCTTCACACTCTGGATCAGATGCTCTCAGCTATCGCGAGGTTAAATCCACACGTCGATATGAAGAAGATTGTAATCGGGTTAATGGATCGCTTGTCTACCTATGCCCAAAGAGAAACGGCCGAGTCGGTGTCTGAAGAGGACAAGCGAAAGGCTGAAGAAGAAGCTGCAATCCGCATGCTCGAGAAGGTCGACTTAAACCAAGATACGAAGCCTGCTCCTCCTGTCGCTCAACCAGACACACCCACGACGAATGGCACCGATGCTAAATCGCCCACAGACACGCTGACGACGGAATCCGATTCGGCAACGCCGGCGGCACCGGCAACCAACGGCGAGAAGGGAACCGGCGTCGGTGATGTGAGGCTCTTTGAGATCTTTTACGAACAAGTCGTAAGTCTTGTCAAAACGAGAGGTCTTCCAATCCAAGACACTATGGCATTGTTGACGTCGCTGGCCAATCTTGCACTGTACGTATCCATCATCTGACTGTGGGGACGGACATACTAACACCAGTCAGTAACATCTACCCGGAGCGACTAGAATACATTGACCAGATTATGGCCTACGCCCGTGAGAAGGGTGCCGAATACATGGACTCCGCCGACCTCCATTCCGCCGCAACGCAAGCCAATATGCTCAACCTTCTTCTAGCGCCCATCAGAACGTACATATCGCTTTTCACAGCATTAGCTCTTCCCAACTTTCTACCCTTGTATCAATCACAAACGTATGCTACAAGGCGGGCTGTTGCCGGCGAGGTGGCCAAGAACATCCTGCGGAACCATGTGCTGATTACCACTACGCAACACTTGGAGGGCATCATGTCTCTTCTTAAAGTTATCATAAAGGAGGGCATCCCACAACCGGCTGGCTATCCTGGGCTGAACCGTCCGAGAGGAGGCGAGTCGGATGAGACAGTTGAGGAGCAAGGCTGGCTGGCAAGAATTGTCCACTTTGTTCAAGGACCAGACAACGACACCCAACTCAAACTCTTACAGCAGATGCGCAAAGCGTTCGAGGTCGGCAATGAGCGGATCAAGTATACGACTCCTGCCATCATCACTGCCTCGATGAAGCTCGCACGGAAACTCAAAGCCCGAGAGCATTTCGACGACAACTGGCAGAACCAATCTTCTGCGTTGTACCGGTTCATGCACCAAACCCTTTCACAATTATATACGCGCGTTAATCCCGGAGCGGCAGAATTGTGTCTTCGGTTATTTGTGTCGTGTGGTCAAATCGCCGATCAGTGTGGCTTCGAGGAATTTGCATATGAGTTCTTTGCCCAAGCGTTCACGATCTACGAGGACAGCATCAGCGACTCCAGAGCACAGTTCCAGGCTGTGTGCATCATCGCCGGCGCGTTGCAGATGACGAGAGGATTTGGAAAGGAGAACTATGACACGCTGATCACAAAAGCCGCGCTGCATGGAAGCAAGCTGCTTAAGAAACCAGACCAGTGTCGCGCAGTATATCTCGCCAGCCATCTATGGTGGTGTGTTGAGATACCTGGGAGAGAAGAGGACCCGAAGAACGTGAGTTTCAACAGACGCAGATGCTTTGACTATGTTTGAAGTACTAACATGTCAAACACAGTTCTACCGCGATGGCAAGCGTGTGCTGGAGTGTCTTCAACGAGCACTCCGTGTTGCGGATGCCTGTATGGACACTGCAGTGTCCGTGGAATTGTTTGTCGAAATCCTCAACAGATACGTGTACTACTTTGATCAGCAGAACGAAACGGTGAGGACGGACCACTCCAGCTGGCCTTTGATCACCTGGAAGTTCGCTAACAGTTCCTGCTGCAGGTCACGACCAAGTACCTTAACGGGCTGATTGAATTGATCCATTCAAATCTGTCGACAACCAACTCCGAGGGAAATGCTCAGGCGCTGGAGAATCCCAAACGTCACTTTTTCAGGACACTCGACTATATCAAGTCTCGGGACTATGAGGGCGTGGTTACCGAGGCGAGGCAGTGACATGGATGACTGCGAGAGTGGGAGACAGACTAGAGAAGAGTTTCCCTTTGGTTCTCTGCAGACTGTTAGAAGGCGACAACTCTCCAGAGAGGTGCGGCGGCTCGGAGCATCTCCATTGTGCTCCTCCTTACTGTGTACCTTTGTGGTTCTAAATCCCCCTTGCTATTACTGCCATATCCCTTGTCACCATTCCAGCCCCCTCCCTGCGGAAGGCTCAGTCGAGCGAATTGGTTCACTCGTATAATAGTACATTCCTGTGTGGTCGCAAAAGAAAAGAAAGGAAGCAAGCGAGCAAGCGAGCAGAGCATGTCTTTCAAGAGTGACCGAAGTGTACGAGGTACATTTGGGCTTGCTTGGGCTTGCTTAGTCGATGTGGAAGACGAGTAGGGAGGGCCTCGCGCCTTTCCAGCCTGAAGAATGCAGTTTCCACCGTTCAACCATTCATTCCAATTTGTGCTTTTCCCATTTGTACTCTTCTACGTGGATAAGATAGGATAGCAGAGAGAGAGAGAGAGAGAGAGAGAGAGAGAGAGAGAGAGAGATGTGTGTGTGTGTGTGCCGATGAAAACTTCTACAAGAATACCCAGCCTTGCTTTCCTTGTGGTGGAAGGCGAACGGCGTTCCCTAACATCGTCGCTGTAAACCCGGTGTTATGATCTGCTATTGATGCCTTCGTGGCTCACCCGTCTGGTGGGCTATTTGTACGTATGATACTATAGTGTAGGTGCTCGATCTGTCGAGCCTAAGAATTATATGTATCTGCGTTTATTCCTGTTCTTTTGCAATCTCATGCTGTGCTCTCAGTAATGGAATGCCAACCCGCGACAGCTCCCTGCCGCCCTCGTCTCCAATGAATTCCTGCGCGTTTAAAGTTCCTGTACAAGGAGTCCAGTGGCAGACGCTAGAGGAAGCTGGACTTTGGGCGTCAATAACCCGACGGTCATCGAGGGACCAGCCGTGCCGTTACCTGAGTCTAGGTTGGTATTTTCCAATGCAGCGCGATACTTGAAAGCGAAATTCAAGATCAGTGCAGCGGCCAATCCGATGGTGACGATGAATGGGCCGATGGGATTGTCGAAGTCCTTCCCGCTTCGTTCCGTGATCAGCTTCGTCCGCCACATATACACGTACCATCCCCATACTCCTGCAAAGACAGCAAAGAAGGTATACACAACAGCGAGAATGCGAGCAATGTTGTTGTCAACACCGGCAGCATTGTAGAGACCCAGTGACAAGGTGGCCAGGAGGACTGCGATGTGCTGCCACTTGATGAATGTTCGCTGATTGGCCAGCCAGACTTTGGCTTCAATCTTCAGGTCACCTTGATCTTTGATCCAAAAACTTGGTTCTTGGACGCCCGGCGGAAGCGGAGCATTTTCCCACGCATTTTTTCCTTCGCGACGACGACGGGCGTAACGAGAATTGGAGAACGCCGGAAGGAAGGATCGAATGCCACCCCTTGACGAATCTCGAATCTCGATTTGTTCGGGAGGATGAATGCCGTCTTCGTCGGTATCCTGCTCCTCAGCCGTAGTTTCCAGCTGCGGCTCAGCCCTGGCTCGCCCTTGGGATTGAACAGATTGGGAAAGCTGGCCGGATACTCTTCTCTCGGGGAATCTGCCGGGAGAAGCCGACTTTCCTTTGGGCGTCAACCTGGACCCCGCGATGAAGCTGCCCACAGCCATTTCATCTTCCACCTTTTTAGCCTCTTTCTGTTGTTCCTCCTGGTAGGCTGTGACTGGGTCTCTTCTAATGTCTGTCTCCAGGTCACTCAGCCAGAATGGGAAGCTGTTGACGTAGTCTTCGAATAGCTCGGCCACACCGTGGACAAATTTAGAGAACCTCTTCTCCTCCTTGACCAGGTGAGAGTTCATCAAGTCGTGGAGCCAAGCATTATTCCTAGTATACTTCGATTCCTTGATCTTGATTTCGAGCACAGCATGAGGAAAGCGGCTGATCTCGCCTTTCTTAATGGCTGAGAATGGATATTCCATCTTGTTCTGGTCAATATCGGACCGATGCCAGTCATCTGGATCCCGACACGGGCGGTCAGGATCTAGTGCGTCCTCCCGAATGAAGGCGAGATCGGTGTCTAGAGACACCCGGATCCGGTCATCCCCAGGTATCTGGAAAGCAGTCCGGGTATAGCTTGCTCTTAGGACTGGCTCGAGTTCTTTCTCTTTGACAAATGATTGGATCTCATCAACGTTGGCCCTGAACGCCTTGATGTCCTCATGTTCAGGTCCCAGCAGTTCCTCAAGCCTCTTGATCTGTTTTTCCATCTTGTATTCGCCTTTGAGAAATGGGATGAGATACTTGGGCTTCAGCTGGATTCTGATGTCGCTACTGTCGGTTGTTTCCTCGTCGACGAACTTTTTCTCAAGGACAACCTCCGACTCATCAAGCAATTGGCCAGCCCACCTGACCCGCAGCGAAGCGCCACCTGCGCCTTTTTCGACCTTACCCTGGTAGAGGTCGAAGCTGTTATTGTCAAAGTAGATTGAGGTGATCGTCGGGTCCTTTTGAGACGAATCGACCACCTTGACAGACTGGGGATTGTACACTAAGACGGGAAGGCGACGCAACAGATATGTCTTGACTTCAAGGAGGTTGTCCACATGAACCCAATATTTGAAAGCCTTATACTGATCTTTTGGCCGGGCGTCAGTATTGGCTTCATCACCAGCCTGCTCCCCCTCGAGCTTCTGACGAGCCCAAGAATACATGGTCGACAGCCGGAAGAGCAAAGGCGAGTAGTCCTCCTGGTTGAAAGGCATTTGCGAGAGACGAACTTGTAGTATGGGCCGAACCCTGTACTTGAGGCCTCTCTTTCTGTCATGTTTCTTTGCAGCCTTGAGGAATCCGGTATAGTTGATCCTGCTGAACTTCCTAAGCTCATTCAGCTCGTTGGAGATCTTGTCGAGCTCAGGGAGCAGCTCCTTTGCAACAGCCTTATAGTCTTCCTCGGATTTTCCTGCATCTTCGCCCTCGGTAGACGGCAGCTTCGCCTCGCAGGCGGCGGTTCGGTCTCGGAGTGAGTTGAAGGTGTTGAGCTGATGCTGGTGGACCTTTTCCAACTGAGTTACTGTGAGCTCATGAACAAAGTTTTCTTCATCTTGTTCAGTCCAGCTCCCTTCACCACCCCGGCCTTGTGGAGATGTTTCATCTTCACGGAGGAGCTTCTTGATCTTCTCATACTCGAGGTACTTGTCTTTCCATGGTGGATAGATGGCGTCAGAGAGGGTCTTGCCGAAGCGCATGTTGGGGATAAACTTGTAAGGTGAGGCAGGCCTGAGGTTCAAGACGGTAACAGATACTCCATACAGATGTCAATGTTGAATACAGCGCCTAAGCTGTCAAGAGAAAAGTTATGCAATTGGTACAGAGCTTTAGAATCTTGATGCAGACAGTGCTTCCCTCTTTCCTGCGGCTTCCCCACTGTCACCAGAAGCAAAGCACGGGGAGCAACAGCCAATCAAAGCGACGGATCCCCTCCCGTGCTCGGAGATCTGGTGCTTGACCCGCTAAAGATTCTCGGACGAAGTTTTTCCGGCCGGCCATCTCCAATTGGCTGGTTTGCCGGACGGTGACAGCCTCGGCATGGATTTTGTTGGTGCCGACGAGGCTGCATCCATTGAGTCACATCGTATATCATGTTATCTCACTTGGAAAGGCTCTGGTCCCAATAGGACAAATAGACAATACTTTGCCACTATGTCGGGAGATTCGAGGGCCATCGTTAAAGCCCTCGAGGAAGTCCTCGTTCGGCTTCGCGAGAACCCGTACCCGCATGTCCCCAATCCTCCCAACACCTCCCGAAAACGAGCCAGCGTTGCTGCCATTATCCGTGTCCGACCGGCCTATAAACCAGTCCCTGCAAGTGTCAATGGCTCCCTCGTAGCGATCGATAAGCCTTCACCTCCCTCGCCCCCTTCTACAATCAGCGAGTTCTTCGCGCAGGAATGGGTCCAAGAAGGAGACCCGGAATTACTCTTCATCAAGCGTGCCGGCCGCGCTGGTGACAGGTGGTCGGGACATGTCGCCTTGCCTGGAGGGAAGCGGGATCCTGAAGACGCGGACGACTTTGCTGCTGCTGTGCGTGAGACAAGAGAAGAGATTGGATTAGACCTGGACACAGCGAACTGTCTACCCGCAGGAAATCTCCCTGAGCGACTCGTTACTACCTCTTGGGGAAAAGATGTTCTCATGGTGTTATGTCCCTATATCTTCCTCCTGACAGGCAAGACCGTCCCTCCACTCCAGCCGCAGCCCACGGAGGTCGCCTCAGTGCACTGGGTCTCTCTCCGCGCTCTGCTTTCACCAACCCTCCGGACGAGAGAACCCGTGGATATATCCTCCAGGATTGCGAAGCACGTTGGGCCAACAATCCACAAACTAATCCGTTGGACAATGGGCAAGATGATGTTCAGTGCCGTCCGCCTTCTCCCCACAGAGTCCGTTTTTGCCAGTTCAATTCCCGGCTTTATACCCACGGAGGGCGGGGATAATCTTTCCACGGTGTCAGGATGGGCTCAAGCGCCCTTCGGTGTCCCGTCCTCAAATACTCACCGCTCTCTCCTGACCTACCAACAACCACTTATCCTCTGGGGTCTGACACTCGGCGTGCTGGCGGATCTACTCGACCAGCTTCCGCCGTACAACGCCGTGGCGCTCTGGAAATATCCCACGTTCACAGTCCCTGACCTCCGCCTGCTCGTGTACATCATGACCCGCTCGTTCCGGAAGAACACTGCAGAAACCTTCTCCTCAGGCTCTTGGCCGAGTCGACTACAGCGGCAGCCGAGTCAAACCGCCATGGATGGCGCCACCGAGGCCACAGCCATCTCCGTGGCCGAACCTGCACCTGCCATGGGACCTGAATCGACATCTGTACCAGTCACTACGGCTACAGAGAAGTCTCCCTCTCGAAAGGCCAAGCGATCATCCTTCAACAAGCACAGTGTCGGCATCGGCGGATTAGGCGTTGGAAAAGACCCGCAACATGCTGTCGGTAAGTTGATGCACGGATACTATGGCAGGGTCAATTGGGCGATAGCGCTGTTTTTGGCATACAGAACAGCGCTCACGGTGAGTGTGGCGTGGTGGGTGGTTAGGTGGTGGCGGAGGCGAAGAGCCGCGCCCGCTTAATATTTTGCCGGAGGTCCTGGAGTGTGAGTTGCGAACGCTCGCATTTTCTGGAGAGTGCTCGTTGGCTGTCTTATGGTTCTAGAGCTTTGCTTGGGGGTTGACTTCTGCATTCTGTGTACAGTCGTGGCATTTCGGTATTGATTGGTGACCAGGGCACACAGCTTGCATATTTCCACCGTGGAGCCGATTTATAGAGCGCAGATGTGGCTTTACTTTTATCATTTTGCATAGAAGATGTAAATCAGATGAGTCAATACTTTAATAAGCACACCATTATCAGCAGACTACTGCACCGGTCTCTCCCCCCTATATTTCTCTTCTAGCTCTGTAAGTTGTCCTTGGTAGGCTGAATGCCGGTCTCAAGTTTGCCTTCTGGATGAGGATGGTAGAACGACCTCCCTTCTCCATAGCTGCAGCTGAGCATGAACGGTATTTCTCGGGTCTTGGTCGAACTGCTGGGTACTCGTTCTGGGTATGTTGCGCCACTGTTAATGGCTGGCCGAAATGTCCATGTTGATCTCTTGCCTTCTCTCCTCCCGACGTTGACGGTGCTCTCTAGGGTCTCCAGCGAGGTCGGTAGCTTCGCGAAGAAGAGACTGAGTCCGAGAAACAGCTGGGTTGACGACATTTTTCCACGCGTCCTGTTTCACGTTTCATAGATACGAGGAATTGACTCGCTCATGCCAAGTTTTTTTGCCGAACAGGTACCTCTGACCATGTAGACTCGTGCACACTTTCGAAGAGACGGTATGCAGACAGGCCCTCAGTCCTCGTCCAGCGGGTCAAATTCAGAGGGAACAAAAATAGTGAGATGTTCGTGGAGGCATGCGAACAGCTCTGTAAGCCAGGCTAGTCTCTCTTGAACGTGGAGGCCTCGTCGTGCGAGGAACCTCAGCGTCATGCGGGCCGCAATCAGTGAGCGGACCATCAAGAAGGCCCGGAAGCTGGGTACATCTTCTCCCGTCGAGCGGGTGCGGACTTCCTCGTCTGTGGCAATTAGCAACGCGGGCACTGTTGAGCTGAGCTCGTCTTCCAGCTGTAACAACAGCTCGAGGGACTCTGACGCCGCCCCTGATAGCGTCGTCGTTCCAGCAAGGAGTATTTGCAACTGGTGCAGCCTGACTCGAGCGTACCGCATCACGTTCCATATGAAGCACGGCCCGAATCCCGAGTAGATATGCACGAAGCAGGGGGCTCGCTGGTCCTGGATCAAAGGCAAAATCCAGTTCGGCAGCGGGCCATACTCCCCCTTCGGGACCCGTTCGTAGCCAAAGGGCTGCGGAACAACGGAGACAAGCCGCTGCCACTGGAGATCCAAGAGGCGAGCTCTCTCCAAGAGACCCGCACCGAAAGCATTTCGTTGATCTCCTGAGAGATTGTCCTTTCGCTCAATATATTCTGCGCACGAGGTGGCGATATCGGAGACCAACAGATACACTTGAGCTGATATCAAGTCGTAGACTTGCTTCACGAATGGCGGATTATATGTAGGTCGCAGACAAAAACGTAAGCATTTGTAGAGCTTTCAGCAATCAGCAAAATTCTGCCGCGTCGGAACATGATGTATAACCTCTTGAGCGTGGACGGCTTTGAAAAGAGTCGGACCCAGAGGTGTCTGTAGAATCTCAGAACCTCGATGTTCGAGAAGTGCCGCGGCTCCTTGCATGTGGACGTACCAGCTCCGGAACGCCGTTTCAGGAGACAAGTAGATCTGTCACTCAGTCAGTGCCTCACGCGATGCGCACCGCTCGCGACTCTTACCTCGCAGAAGCCCAATAGTTGACAAGCCAGGAGCGTCTCGTCTCTGACGACCAGGACGGGATCTCTCACGGCGGCGTTTGTCAGGCATATTGCCTTGCCGTATTCAGCCAAAGCCGCCTCGGATGCGTTTCTCGAGTTGCATCTCCTCGCAAAGTTGGCCAGGGCAGTGGATTTGAACGCAGAGAGGAAGAAGGGCTGGTGGATGAACCTGGGGTAGACGTCTGGAAGGCATTCTAGATATCCTCCTCTCCCTGATGGAGTGCTCATCTGAAAGACGTAGTCGAAAAAGAACCTTTGCACAGCCAATTCGTACAGAGGTGGGCCCAATCCCAGGGCTACGTTGGCCGGTATGGCCGTAAGGCCTTTAGTGGACGCGGGATGCGATACACCGCCTTCGTCTGGCTTGGTTGCGCGCTTTTGCCATAGTTCGTGAGCCCGATGAGAGGCATGTGCGGTCTCGTCGTAGTGGAGCAACTCGAAGGCGTCTCGAAACTCGCACCTCTTGCCTGAACGAAGGCAGCGCCCACAAGTTGGTCGAGCTTCGTCACACTTTGTTCGAGGTCTCTTTAGCTAAAGGCCTATCAATGGCAATCGCGACCTACCTTGATCTTGCGGACCCTGCACGCATGACACCCTTTACTTCGCGGACCTCCATATTTGTAAGGCATCTTGGCCAACAAGCATAGCCTGGTACTGTGAAGAAGGCGAAGACGATCGAATGTGGTCTTGTCAAGGATGCGGGAGGGGAAAGCTTCAGGCACCGCAGGGTCCCAAAGTCCATGGATGTGCAAGGCGCAACGACATTGGGAACTCGCCAGCAAGCGACATCCAATCGCATCAGCTGAACTGGCATGCATTTCGCTAAGATGCTGCACGGCTGGATACGAACTCAGCCCCAAGCCGCGCTGAGATTTCCGCATTAGGCAGGTTGATCCACATACTCCAGACCGTCTCCACGAATACTTCGAAAGGAACACAACCTCAGCTAGTCGCGCCTAGATTGCTCCTTTTGTTCCATTTCACGAGTTGTAGAGGATATTGCGTCTCGAGGGTGGCTTGATGGCTTCGTATACAAGTCTGAGATGGAAAAATTGAGATGTATATATAGGCCCACGGGTCGTCCTGAAGCTGGACACTTCCACAGACACTCAACAGATTTCCAACCCTCGCACCAGAATCTTGAACAGCATTTGACACAGAATGGCCATTTGTCCATCCTTGAGCGATGCCAGTAGGTTTTCCTCTGCACCAGGGTCAAACCACAACTAACTCTTGTGAAAAGGCCAGGCGAAGCCTGTTGTCGGCGACATATCATACCATACCTTGACGACCTATATTGCTGCGGGGACCACCATCTGCACATGGATATTGTGCGGCATACTTACTCTTGTACATATCCTGAGATATGAAGAGCCCAGACAGCAAAAGCAAATCATCCGTGTCATCTGGACGCCAGCAGTATTTGCCATTCTCAGCTTCTTCGGCGTCTGGCATTATAACCTTGCCAACTACCTGACTCCAATCGCCGAGCTATACGAATGCTTTGCACTCATTGCACTCTTCTTCTTGTTGATTGCCTATCTGGCACCAGATTCCTTTGAGGGGCAGCTTCAGTTCTTTGCCACTCAGCCGGGGACGGCCAAACCGTCCGATGCCTCCAACATCCACTGGTTCCGCAAGACTTGGATCACGGTGATCCAGATTTTGCCAACCCGGATCATCACGGTCATTGCCACGGAAATTGTCGAAGCAACACAGTGCCATGGAACGAAGAGGTATCGTCGGGCGAATACCATTATCAGCATTGTCCAGGGAATCTTGACTGCAATCTGCATGATTGGGATCTGGAAGTTGTATGCGAGATTTCGCAGTCAACTTCACGCTGTGGACCGACGGATCCTTCAAAAGATGGGTGTCTTCAAACTCGTCGTCTTTGTCCAACTCCTACAGAGAATCGTCATCAACGCCCTTTCGCAAAGTAACGTCCTCAAGCCAACAGAGCATCTGACCTATAACGATCTCAATCTTGGCCTGAACTCCTTCCTCACCTGCTTGGAAACATTTGTATTCGCCGTCTTGTTTGTCTGGCCCTACTGGCCGCAGAAGACAAGCACAAATTCGAGGGCAGGAGTTGTTTCAGCAGTGTTCCATGCAGTCAATCTCGGAGACATTGTCACGGGGATCTTTCGTGCAGTACGGCTCTATCGAGGGGAATATATTGGGTCGAAAGACAGTCATCAAGACTGGTATGCGGTCGACAACGATCAACCTGCATATGCGCAGCAGCGAGGTTTTGTGGCCAACAAATTGCCGAGTGACGAACGTATCTAGGTGCTGATCTTGATCTTCTGTTTGGTCATGGCGATATCTCGATTTCGCTGGACCTGAAACCCATGATGTGTTTGTTCTGCTTTAGATAGAGGAATCATTAGCGCCTCGGCTCACTTGCAGTTTACAGGAAATGGCAGCACTACCGGGTAAACATCGGCCCGCTAATAAACCCCCTTTTTGTGCACTGAGTCGTGATTCTTGTGATTCTTGTGATTCTAATTCTTTCATCTTCTCATTCTTCTCCTCCTCCTTGTTCAGGAGAACCCTTGTGTGGGTGAGGTGGCTGTTGCAGTGTAGTCGTCGCCTCGCGATGCACTCCTGCACAGGCCTGCACAAGGTGGTTGCGTAAGTATATATATCATAAGTGCCAACAGGTGCTTTCGACATGCCCGTTCAAACAGCAGACAAAATGCCCAACTTACCAAGCGTGTGTCTGTTGTGAGAAGAGCGATGTTTCACACCCAGACGACGCAGACAACGATGAAGATGGAGGAGAAGAGAACAGATTCACTGACCATGTCGGCGCCATTCACTTTCTGCCGGTCTTCGAGCACCATTTGCCCTGGTCTTGGCTGCGGACTCAGGCATGAATTTCTACCCATGAATTGGTGGCGCCTCAATTTCTTTTCTCTTGTTTCCCTACGCACGTCTCTTGTTGTTCAGCAACTTGTCGAGTCCGATCTCGAATCACATCCTCTTCGGCTACTTCCATCTCCGAGTACGCCCTTGTTCAAGTTCCTCTGTCAGATCAGATCATTCTCCCCTACCAAAACTCCAAAAATGCCTGTCAAAAGCTGGACCGATACTGAAAAGCTTACTGTAAGGTGTTCCAAGCCCTTGACTGAAGTTTACATACTGATTGCGAGCAGCTCCTTCGAACCGCCATCATGTGTTCCCCAAACTTCAAGCTCGATGCCAACAAGGTCGCTGAGATGTGGCGTAAATCCTGAAGGTCCTCGCTCTTCTCTTTGACGATTACTGATTTCAGCTGTAGCCGGCGATGATGACAATGCGAGACCCAATGCCCGCAGTGTTCGCGACAACTTTCGCGCCATCATGAAGCACGGTGACGATCTCGAAACCCTTCGCAAAAACAAGCAAGGAGCAGCCGCAAAGGACGAAGACGCCGGCGAAGACGACAAAGTCGACGCTGGCCCTACTGCCTCTGCATCGTCCACACCAAAGCCTCCACTTTCGACGAACCCTGTCAATACTCCACGCCTTGGTTTGAACACCATCGGCAAGCGCTCTACTGCAAAAAAACCAACCACCGGGTCCAAGCGCAAGCGCCGTACCGTGTCGTCCTGTTCCGATGGTAACACGACATCGGCAACCGAAACCACCTCCGGCGATGAGGCCGACATCACCTCGCCCACCCCACGGGTTCGAAGGGCCTTGCCAGTTCGTAATATCCGCCGTACCGCTAGGGCCGCGTCTGAGGACGGGTCTTACGGAACGGGTGCCAAGGACGTAGATGCGGGTGCGAAGGACCTGGACACCGAGGGGTCCGACGGGGAGTATGACCTTGCCAAAGAGCGCAAGGAGAAGGCGGAACGCAAGGCGAAGCTTGCGAGGCGGTCTCGCAAGTGAAGGGCCAAGGGGAGACAGACAGACAGAGAGAGAGAGAGAGAGAGAGGTAGGGCCGCTGTGTCGTTTTTGACACATATGTATGTACAAGCAGACCAGAGCACAGCAAACGCTGTGAGAATCGTCTCACAACAGCAATGACACGTTGATACCGTGTTTTTTTTTTACTGTCGACGCGTCCCCGTGTTATCGACGCTTCCTCTCTGCTCATCAATCCGTTCCCCTTCCTGTCGATGCTTTTCCTTTCACTGCCGATCCACCGCCTGTCACACCTACGTGGTCTCTTGATCTGCTGACAGTGACAGAGATCAGCTGACAGTGATGTTCAACGCCTCGCTAATCACATCTCTACCAGAGATTGTCGCAGTCGCTCTTTGTCAAGAGAAAATCCTAAGCATTGTCCCTGCGGTGCGTACCTCATCCAGGCTGCCTCCAGAGGTGCGGTCGACAAACTCTTACTCTTTGTTCATCGGACGATGGGTCCCTGACAGGCTCCATCACCTTCCTTTAAGCGTCTGTTCTATGTCCAGCGTTCCCTGACGCACACAATCAGGGCTCAATCCTCTCACGACCAGCGAAGAGGCCAACACAATGGGCATTAAGAAGTTTACCCAAAAAATGGGGGGTGGAGGGACTCAGATTCGCTCCGGTATCGTCATTCACATCTTACCATGAGAAGTTCATGGCTTGACATGTCAACTTCCTTTTTGTAATCATCATTATCCTCCTTGGACCTAAGTACGCGCCACACCCGGCTACTCTGCTATCAATTTACTCAACCTTTCCCGGTGTGAAATCTTTAACGCCATGGGTATGGCAGCACATGATGCGAGAAGGTATCTTGTCCAAGGTAGGTGCACCATGCTTGTTGAAAGGGTCAGAGATGGTATTTTGTCCAAGCTGAGTGCACCATGCTTGTTGAAAGGGTCAAATCCTTGTCCTTCGACTTGGCTCAGAGCAGCCTGCACCATCCTCTACCTCAAAGAGAAACAAACAATCCCTAACCAGGTTGGAGATGCGATGGCCATCATCTCCATTGACTGCATAATCATCCCGACTTCACGCTCCCTCTTGCTTGACAGCTGCCGCAGGCTCAAAGAGGAGTTCTTCTGGCAGGTTGACCTCGGTGTCGCTGCCCGATTGTGTTGGGACACTGGTATTCCTCATGGGTTTGGGCCCTTGCACAGCGAGCCTCTTCTTAGGGCTATTTGGTCGGTTGCGCTGCAAAGCCCCAGAGTTGATGACCTTGATCTCGAGGTTGTACCGCTTTCGAAGCGCCGTGAACTTCGGCGGAACCGTGGCCAGGCTTATGCCCAGATGCTGGGCCACCTTTTCAGCGTCGACCTGGGAATGTGTCAGAGAGGAAGAATGTCATCGGTTCCGAGAGCGGATTGTCCATACGTGAATGGGGCCAACTGAGCCGAACACTATGGCAAGCAGAGCCGGAATATCGCTTTCCTTGACTGGACTTTCGGCCATTTCTTCGTTCTCCTTGCCGGACTATATATGCAACTTTGAGCTAGGTTCAGAAGAGAAGGCTGTCCAACGAAGTATTGGCAAGAGTGAAAGAGATACTGTTGAGGCTGGGTTGAACTGCGAAACCAGTGTCAAGGCTTTTTATACCTGCTCAGGCCTTCTACCAACCAGTGACACAAGGGCCTGTCTCCCTGCGAGGTCGGTATCGTGCCCCGTATGGTATCAAATGAGAGCAGGAAATTCGAAGACTGTTTCCCTTCAAGGTGGGCATCGTGCTTCGATGGTACGAAGGGAGAGCAAGGAGCCCGAGGGCTGTTCCCGGTCATTACAACCGTTACATACCATTCCGTGCCCTGTTTGCGTCCAGATACAAGGATTCACTGCCCCACTGGTTGGCCCTTGGCGCTTGATTTCTCTCAACGAAGGTTTGAAAAGGCCACTCACCGGGGCCAGACGTGGACCGGGCGTTGGGGGAATACAGGTTTGTGAAACGAAGACCGAACTGCTGAGAGTTCGAAGGCGATTTGTACAGCCCGAACAAACATCGGCTGCGTCGGCTCCACCCTTAGTGGCGAGGCCCATACAGGAGTTATCCTGGCATTTTCTCGTGTAATCGTGCTTCTGGCTGCGGTCGGTCGGATGCTCCGTCACATTGACTCCGTGGAGAAGGGCCGTGCATGGTTGAGAATTGAGCGTAGCAGCAGAGGGGTTAGTCCAGGCCCACAACAGACGCCAGCGCTACTCTTACGTGTCGCTCATTTCTACAGACTCTCTCGCTATATTTTCCCAAGTTTCCCAAGTTTCCTTCCATCACATCCTCCCTATGTGCAGTATCACCAACGTTGCTTCTTGGTTGCCCCTGTTGCTCTAGAAGTTGCTCATCATTGTTGCCACCATGCCTTATCAATGGACTGCTGAGCGAGAGCGCCGCATGCTGCTGTGCGCGATTTCCTCCGCGAACCTGAGGCCTTCTGCCGACACATGGCAGCAGGTTGCGACTCTCCTGGGAGAGGGTCTGACACCATCGGCCGTGAGGTGCGCACCGCCTACTCCATGGCCATAGGCCTGCTCGGGAGTTACTGATCCGCAGCAGCCAAAAGTACTACAAACTGCGACATGAGATGGCAAAGGTCTTCGAGGAACAAGGGGTTCCGAACTCGACCCCGGCTCCCACTACACCAACCAAGCGCAAAGCTGAATACGACAACGAGAAGAAGAGCCCCCCGTCGAAGAGACCTCGAAAGACCAAGCAGAAGTCCTCGGATCCCATGTACGGGGTCCCATTCCGCGACGAGTCCGAAAGCCCTCAGAAAGTCAAGTATGAGGATATGGCGGTGAGCGGTCTGGACGCATTCCACGGCTACAACGGACAGTTCCACCCAGCAGGCATCTATCCAGCGGTGAACATGGCCGACATGATGAGTGGTCAGGGAGGTGGGAACAGCAGCGGCGGCAGCAGCAGCAATAGCTTCATGGGCTAAGGGGGAGGAGTCGCAGAGTTTGCAGGGGGGCAATGACGGTGCAAGGGTTCCGAAATCTGCAAGAGCAACGCATGGAAGTTGCCCGGAAAGGGTGCGAAGGGAGCGGAAAAAACGGCTGAGAAGTGGGCAGAAGCGACTCCCAATTGGTGGTGGGTATTAGTTGCTGGATGAGCCTGGAACCAGGGAGACCAGAACAAAAGGGGGAGGTTGGGGGGAAGGAAGAGGCGTGTGCATCATGTAGGAGGAAATCCCCCAGCCTCCTGAATTTCGCGGGAGTTATCAAATGTTGTATAAACATGTCTGCCTGTTCTTGTATACGCAGACTTGTCGTCCATTTTGTGTGGAATTTTAGCTTCTCTTGGCGGAGAATTAGCGTTGTTTCGGCGGGCAAAATAACGGCGAGACGGGTCCGGGGCGGGCGTGGGAGTGGGCCCTCGACCAAACAACCTCACCCCACCCGCGCACAACACAAAATCTATACCTCGTAGTGCAGACGGATTGTACCGTTGACCCCGCTGGGAAATGTGACAGATCAGTTCTGCATTCTCACGCCTCACTCGAGTCGTCTTGGAGCCACACCATTGGGGCCCATATCACGCTAGACCGCGGTGCGGAGCCTTCGACCTCTCTACGTTGGCAAGTGGAAATGGCTTTTTAACTTCCTGCGGAGACCTACCGCCTCTCTGTGAGCCTTGCTTCTCTCATCTGCAGGCAAATACGTAGTGTGGTTTTTAGAGGAACCGCTATCTTATCTTCCAATCAGCTCTTTCGATAGTCAATGCTCGTCTACGGTAGCCGTGACAATATGCAACCACTGTAATGGTCTGGCTGGCTGGCCACGTCTGCCATCCGAGAGCCTCCAGGAGACTGCTCAAAGGACCTACCTACCTACCGGGATGAGCAGTACGAGCTGCAAAGATCTTTCTCCACAAGGACACGTCGACAGAGGCCCGCCTCTGTGCAGCCGAAGCCCCGACCTGTTCACTTCGTGCGTCTCAATCTCCTGTGTGTGAGGCAGGTTTCTCACCATCCCAGCCAAACGTACTGGTCAATACAGCAGCCACGCTCGTGGCTGGGACGCCTCTAAAGTCGCCCAGCTTCGCCTTGGAAAAAGCTGCCTGCCCTGTCCTCCCCATCCCCCCTTCTCTAACTTTCTCTCCTCTCCACCACTCTCTTCCAGCCTGGCTCACTCGACTCGCTCGACCCAACCTGTCAATCTACCATCTCCTTCCTAGCTGATAAGGCCCTCCAACTTTTTCCTTCAAGACGTCCTGGCCAACTCTCTCTACCCTACAACCTAGAACAAATCACTTCGCAAGCATGGCAACAGGACAAACCTCCAACTCCAAGCAGGACCAGCTTGCCAAAGATGCCATGTTCCTTCTCGAACTCATGCGTGACTCGCCTCAAGCGGTCCTTGTAGGTTCCGACCCTGCTCCCGCCATCTCACTGCCCCTTTCGCCCACCTCACCGTCTTCCGTAACGGTGAAGTCTATCTCACTTCATTTTCCTTCAACACCACACCCCATTCACTTTACCTTTCTTTTATCAGAGCCAAGACACGCTTTCAAATACTGTTGCTGATCTCCCATGGCGCTGCACAGTTCCACATCAGCCCGTACTGCCAAAAGACCGGCACCAAGCCGAACACTATCGTGAAGCGCCTCAGCGAGATCAAGAAGCGCAACAAGCTGAACATCATCACCACCACAAACCCGCCAGGCGGCCACGGCAACAGCTACACCTTCCCCAAGGCCGACAATAACGGCGAGGCCGCACCCAAGGGCAAGCGTAAGCGAGCCTCCCAGTCTGTCAAGCAGAGTGTCCCAGAAGGACCCTTCGCAGGACCAGTCAATGTGGAAACGAAGGACGCTCACGACATGGGCACCGCCTATGGCCTTCCTTCGCCCGCGGCGTCTGCTGCAGGAGGTTTCCCGGCACCCGTGACCGCCAGCATCGCAACTATGGCGCAGATCCCCAGCTACATGCCACAGAAACGGACCTTGGATGACCGCGACAGCTTTGGCTTTGAGGCTGTGAACAAGAAGATCAAGACGGAGTTCTGAAAGCATTTCGAGAACGCAGCGAGAAGTTTCCGCATTTGCTCTACATGTCTGACGACTCCGCCCATGTCTCCGGCGTGAAAGAAGGCACTTGGAGAGGGGGAGGCAAGGGTTTCGATAGAGTTGATGAGAGATCTTGATTCTCTATGCACTGCGTGTTGGGTATTGGTAGGGGATGTAGCGAACTTGGGTAGAGAATCACTCCACACCATCTCAGATATGGACAAAGATGAGGAGAAGGAAGACAGGACTGAGCTTAGTCTACAAGATTCGAAGAGAGAGAAAAATCCATAGGACAGGCACTGTGATGCAGACAAACCATCAATGAGCCATGCTTACTAGATGTTGCTATGCTCGTGAAGCTTGTAGCTTGAAAGGAGACGCTCGAAAAGGGACAGGAAAATAGCTATTCAAGAGTACCTAGTCGAGTATTATGACAGAAATTGGCTCACCAACATCCTTTTTCTTTCCATTTTCTTTCACATCACCGCGTTTGACACCGACGCGTACTCCGATTCCTGGTGCCGATATCGTACGCTGGGTCCAATTTCTATTGCCGGGAGTCAGACCGCTAGACGACGGTGCGTTATCCAGCGTTTCCAAGACCACAGTCGTAGGAACAGCAGAATTTTCACCCGAACTGGCCCTAGGTCCTGTATAGAGAGTGTCTGATCTCGAGTCGGGGTTGGTTGTAAGTCCAGGTTCAGCGGCAATGGTGCTTGGGTTGATGAAAGCGGACGCACGCTTTTGGAAGGTCTCTAGCACTTTGATAGCCAGCTGGGTCGAGCGCACGACGTCCTGGACATTATCGGAGGATATATCAGTTACCTCAACAGCCGCCTGTGTCTCGATATCATGAGGCTGCTGTGCAGCAGCAGAGTCAACGTACTGGGAGACGCGGGGGGTGTTGAGAGTTCCAATTTCAGTCCGGGCAGTTGTGGGCCGCGTATGTATTTCTGCTGTCGGTCCAGCTGTTGCTCTTTCAGATGAGGCCTCATCTGACAAAGATACCACTGAAGTAGCGCGGCACTTGCCTTTATCGAAAGTTTGCCGACACTCCAGAGGTGATGCTGGCTCAGCGTTTTCAATGCTTTGCTGGATTGGCGCGGCATTGAGATGCAGTCGCCGTCCCTCGTTGATATATATAGAGGGAGCCTGACGGTCCTGCGTCAAGGACGCTGGGGCTACGTTGTTAATATTTTCTTTCGCTCCTACCGGCTCGCCAGCCGCAGGCTGCGAACTGACTTCGGGTGGGTCATGGGGTTTCAGTCGCTGGTCGAACGCAGAGGAGCTCGCATTGTGGCCTTCGGCTGGTATCGCAGTCAAATGGGCTAGTCTCTCACGACCGATGGTGACCTTCTTCTTATCTTTTAGGCTGCGAATGTGCTCCTTGCTGATCTTCTCGTGTAACAAAAGGTCATTTGCATTGGGCAGCTGAGTCCGACAAAGGGCACACCGATATTCACCCTTCTTCGTCACATAGCCGAAGGATTCCCATCTCGGTGGTGGACTTGACCGAGGGCTGCCTACAGTCTGGAGCTCCGCTGGATCTTGTACCTCTGAGAACCGACGTTTTCGGGTTTGAAGGACGCCCTCTCGCGTGGAGCTTTCCGGCAAATTTTGCCCTGAAGTGGAAGCATCGGGAATTGCAAGGCCCATGTCGAACTCGATCGTTGCAGCCCCAGAGGCCGTTACTTTCGGAATGTTGGGCTCTGCCTGAAGAGGAGTTACGGAGCCACTCGCTGGTCCGTCCCCGGAAGGCGGTGGTGTTGTAGATAATCTTGGAAGAACTCTAGGACGTTTTCGAGGAGCTCGGCGCGAGTTGGTAGATCGAGCTTTCAGGACTTCGATCTCTCCCGAACTCAGGACGCGAACATCTCTGGGACGTTTTGCAGGAGCCTGGAGCGAGTTGGTAGATCGAACTTCCAAGACTTCGACCTCTCTCGGATTCAGGACGCAAATCTCCTCGTCGTCGAAGTCGAGTAAAGGTAGCCGGCGAGATGGCGCAGAACCTCTCAAAGGTCTGTTATTGCCACGAACATGGCGATTCGCCAGCTCGCGTCTGAGTTGCTCTGCTTTTGCAGGAATGTCTTTTGTGAAGAGGGTTTCAATCTCATGGATCGTTGCCCCGTCCCCGTAATAATCCGCGATCCTTGTCAAATGTCTTCTGAACTGGCCAACTGTTAGTTCGAACGCAACTCGACAGAAATTCAAGCCTCACAGATGCCTCGCCCAGTGCAGCATAGGCTGCTCCCAGTGCCCGGAAGAGAGTATCTTTGAAGTCCCAGATCGAGGACTCCTTGGAGATTCTGGATGTAGCCATCGGGGTGATGTCTCTAACACAAGAGGAGGTCAGTCATTGACATGAACTGAGGGTGTGGGAGAAGAACACATGAAAAGAGATCTTTGGGACGCTGGTCTCTTTGATCCACAAGGGACCGAATTACTTGTCCTGGCTGGACCAAGACCCGCTCTGTGAAGTCGTTGGAAGCTGTGCATGGGAGGGTGGCCAAGAAGCGGAGGCTAGTGAGGCTAGTGAAGCCGCAGCTGCGGGATCAGGAGAGACGGTTGCAGTTGGCTCCTCCTTGACCTGTTTGCCACCAAATTAGCGGTAACATTGTCATTACAATGGACGCACAACCTACCGTCCCACGCCTGAATCAGCTGTTGATTGGAGCAGGACCGTTGGCAATCACAATAGAGCATGGCACTTTTGCATGCAAGAATGGTTTTCTCGAAGTAGATGGTGGCTCAAGGCGATAAGCCGTTGGTTGTCCGCAGCCCGGGTTGCATTACCTGCAAAGCAAGCTCCAACCACTCTTCCTTCCGCAACTCCCACTCTCTCCCCAACAGTGTGCTCCTTTCCCGCTCTACTACCCTCTCAACCCACTGATCTTCGCTTGTCTGAGGCAGTCAAACAGGCAGCTATGGTGCTGAAAGACTGCATGATACGAGCGTGCGCATCCCTGCTGCCGCAGTGGCACTGGTCACTTGATCAGGCAGCCAAGACTTCTCCTGCGGTCACAGCTAACTAGATAGATTGCACGAAATACCTGACGGCAAATGGTGATAGCTACAGGCAAAACAGTTAACTCCCCCCTTTGGCATCTCGGAATTGGGAACTGTCAGCGGGAATTTGGTCAGATTCAAGTGAAGAATGGTCTCTGTTCTGCATCATCAGAAGTGGCTTGCGTGAACAGAGCGGAATATTTTACTGGAGTAGAGTGGATTTGCCCCAGATTGGCGTGAGGACGACCAGGTTTCGAGTAACAAGTGTGTGAATTGTCTCCAACTATGTTCCAAGCGTCGATTCTGTTCAGCTATCTAAGGTGTCTCGAATAACTGGTTGAATGACCAGTGTACTTGTTCCTCGAGTTCATGATAACGTGACTGCAAGATTGGTTCAGGGGTCACAGTGACAGGAATGGAACTCTTGTTGTAAACCCTATTCAAAGCACTCTCTTCTCGGACAAATCTCAGCTCACGCCATATCCTATCGTATCATACCAAGTCCCGGGCGAGGTCCAGCAAAGAGAAAAGAGGAAGCTTATGCACGTGTGCGCTCTCATAACTATCCTGCAAGTGAAGTTGCTGCTTCTCCAGGCATACTGTGAGTGAATAGGATTGTTGTAGAACTGTTTATTGGAAGTTGCGAGCCTGGAAGATGGTCAGCAGGAGGGCAATTGAATGGAACAGGCCGAACATACCGGACTGTAAACTGAGCTATTTCAGTCAGTCGTCGTTGCGTTCCTCGGTCTTGACGATGTTGTCTTCCTCATCCTGGACCTCCTCCTTGACCTCTGGAACAGATGGAACGTCTTTCTTGGCATTCTTCTTGCGCTTGATGGAAGGTTTGACGTCTTCTCCATCGTCCGCATCCGCGGCCTTTCGCTTTCGAACAGGTGTGGCCTTGCTGGTAGGGGTCTTTGGGGTCTTAGCTTCCTTGACTAGCGTGGCTGAATCACCGCTGACAGTAGCGTCGCCCTGGTGAAGGATCCGTCCGCTGTCTTTCTTCAACTTGTAGAATTTTTGGCTGTGAATTTGAGAGTCAGCAACGATGGTCTGAGACCCAAAATAACCAAGCTTTGAAAGTGAGTAAAATGCGAAAGAGAACATCATTGAATGGCAGTGAGGGATGATGATACCTGCAAGCATTCGCATTGAGATCATTACCAAGTCTCTCAGCAACCTTGGCCCAGATCGAAGTCGCTGGTGAAGTCATCTCTGCGATAGCAAAGAGGAGCAGGTTTCGCTCGGAAGCAGCATCCCACTTGAAAGGCATCGTGAAGACTTTGAGGTAATGAAAGGATGGGGCGACAGTCTGTGTGGATCGTGTTTAAAATAGAGAAGTGCTTGAGAGCTGATGGTGTTGAACAACAAGAAGATGTGATGTGAAGACATTTTAAGGCCAACGAAATGTAATTTCTCAAGGTCCGATTGTGTTCAACCAGGAGAAGAAGGTAAACCGGGCTGAAAGCGACACGGGACATGTAAAGGAGTAGAGGGTAGGGGAGAAGTGAATTTACAGGTCTCAAAAAAAGGGTGAAGATTTTCTAGCAAGAGAGTGAACTGACCGACAGGCTGACGCAGTAACTCCACCACCGATTATCCTAGCAGCCTGTTCGTATCTGGCTCCAGCTCCAGAGGAGTTGTCGATCATGCTCAACAGCAGGAGTTTTTCGGAGGCATCATTCCAGGGGTACGACATGGTTGAATACGGGGGTTGGAGGTTTTCTTCGGCGACCTGGCGACGGCAGGCTTCAATTTAGTTGAATGGTCAGTGAATGAGGGAGAAAGGGTAGAGATGTGAGGGAGTGAGTGAGAACGATCAAGTAAAAGGGAAAAGGAGGGAGGGAGGAAGGCAACGGATTTTGATTCTTGTGCCACGACTCTCTGTGTCTCTCACCGACCGTATGTCGAACTCACGGGGCTCATATTACCAGAATCCCTGCTCGTCGTTGACACGGTTGGTCTAACCACCTTGTTTGCTGTGATAGACCTCAATCCTTCAATCAACAATATCCCTTGGTAACCGTACTGATCGCATATCAACATATACCACGTTTCTGAGCCTGAGACATGTGTAGGGATCACCACGCACTTGACCTCCATGTCTGATAAGGCGTCTCCCTGTCTGCCGGCCTTTTACTCATCAGGAGTGTTGAACACTCACAGCTTTCATTGTTGCCTTGTTGAAGCGTTCATCGTTGAACAGGCGTAGATTGACCAAGAGGCCGTGGGGCTCAACACGCAATGAAGATTTTGTGCAAGAACCAATTCTGAAATAAGAGACCCAAGGCACAAACAATTTACCCCAGTGTCATGCAAGTCATACCGGGATACGGTGCTCTGAACGGCAAAGTGTCTGTAGACCCCAGACGCCTGGCCCATACTGTATCTTTGTAGGCAATCACTCGAAGTGTCACACTGTAGTTGTCAAGTAAACCGGTCCACTAACCACTGCAAAAGTGCCATGTTTCCTGATCATACTAAACAAATCGTTGCCTGAATGCGTCGCATGCTCACTTACAGCCAGCGAGGAATTAGCCGGTAGGAAGGCGGCTGACCATCGGTGTGGTGACCAATGGCAGATCCAAGAACAACGTGCAGAGACATCTGGCAGATTCGTAATCGTGGACATGGCTCACGGATCGAGACGGCAGATATATTTTTGTGGTACATAACATGATGAATGAATGGCGAGAAAAGGCCCTGGCACCTCATCAGCCACAAAGCGATGGCCAGAACAGTATGAAGTAATAATATCGGTGAGAGAAAAGACGCGAGTGCCCACTAGGCTGACTTCCTGGGCGTTCGCCCGACAACCACTGACTGGTCCCCAAACCGGAGGAGCCTGGTGAGCCTGGTGAGCCTATGTAGTGAGCCCATGAGCCCCTCGTTCAGGCGCGTACGCAGTAATAATAATACGAGGTACTGAATCTGGACCCCACCATTGATTCTGCTCTTTTTGCTGTCACTGCGTCCCATTATTGTTCCCATCCCACCAAACACTCCCTTCTCCTCTACCTGCCCTACACGCAATCTGGACTTTCTTTTGAGTTGCATTGTCCAGGCTTGCATCACCATCTTCCCGCAAGGTACGTAAGCCTGTCTCTTGGGTCGCCTCTGATCGCCTCTGATCGCCGGTGCCTGTCCGAATCCTCATCTTCCTATCTTTGCTCCTTCGCGCCCCCATCTCTCCAAGCGCCCTTCTCATTCTCTGCCGAAACTGACCACAATATCAGCTTCAAACCGAGTCGCATAGATATCTGGAACCCAAAGAAGCAATCATGGTGTGTGCTTGTATCCATCCTGGAATTCCGCTTCAACTAACCCTCGCCTTGTAGCCTGTGTCTGGGTGCGTCTACTCCAACTGCCTCGAACGACCGTTCGTCCCCTGCGCGACGCCGTGTCCTTCTAATGCCTTGGTCTCATTAGCCTGTCCGTTAATCCCGACTGCGTCTCAAAGTTCAATGATTTGAAACTCGGCCGCGGCGGTCCCAAGTACATCATCTACAAGATCTCCGATGATCAGAAAGAAATCGTGGTAGACGAAGTCGGCAGCGAGTCGGACTACGACGCTTTCAGAGAGAAACTCATTGCCAAGAAGGAGGCCAATGGAAAGGACCGTCCTTCGTACGCCATTTACGACGTCGAATTCGAGCTTGAGGGCGGTGAAGGCAAGAGGTATAGTTTACCCAATGGTCACCATGTCAGCCTCACGGATATGTACTGAAGTGAACCCCAAGGTCCAAGATTGCATTCATCACCTACATCAACCAGGACAACACCGGTGTCAAGGTATGTCCGAACCTGCCCTTTCCGGGAGATACCCATGGCTGATAGTTTCCTCCCAGTCCCGCATGGTGTATGCCAGCTCTCGCGAGACCTTGAAGAACGCCCTCAATGGGATTGCCATGAACTGGCAAGCAAACGACCCTGGCGAGTTGGAGTGGGCCGACCTGCTCAAGGAAGCTAGCAAAGGCAAAGGGACAGTCTAAGAGCAAATCGACAGTGGAAGCGGTTGGACAACACTTCGACGTTCCAGCAACAGAACACCCTTAGCACAAGATCCATGTTGGTCGTGCAATACCTGGACGAAAGGGCACATCTCCGGCGAGCCGAGCATGGCAAACAGGTTGAGCCGTTGGAGCACGCCCGATATTTGATGCTGTGACGAAGATAGAACACTGCAACGTTGAACGACCGAGATAGACCGTCTCGAAGCAAAATTCGAAGCATTTTCTCCTGTCTCAAAACTTCGAGTCCTTCTGAACTTGGTGCGGTCTCCAGCGAGTGGAAGGACCGTATGACTGACACCGGTTTTTCTCAACATGTGCTGGTTCAGCTCGATTGCCTCCCTTTTACTGCATATACACATCTTTGCATGTCTCTCACGCGATATTGTGCGCACAAACAACTCAATTAGTCCGACTTCTGTGCTGCGTACCAACCGCTTCATCCTTTGGCTGATGGTAATCGTAATTTTGGTATTCCGGCGTACCGTGGCGCGACCAGCAGCGATGCCACATCGTACCTCAGTAAGTCTATCCATGTCTGTATACAAATGCTGGTCCCGTGTGATTGAGGCCGTGAAGCTGCACAATTGATGACACTCAAAGAGTCACCTATGTATTTGTTGGTATCTGTCCCGGCTCGCATACACGGCGAGACGGTAGGAGGATGGCTGTGGGGTGATGCTGCGGTAATTTTACCCAGTGCCAAGACTAGGAAGCTAGCGAATCCTCTGCAGTTGTGATTGAACTTGATCTCGAACCAACAACCTCAGACAATCGTTCTCGCATCTACCAGGTTCAACCCACAAGCAACCTGCTACGACAGCGGCCGCCGAGCTCCAGGCTTTGGCAGGGTATTCAACGGTCGATTTTCGTATGTATTGATCGAATTTTCAAAACCTTCCAGCAAGATGTATCTCCGCTCCTTACCCCGTGCAGCTCGTGCTTCGACCAGCACCTCGACAGCATGCACGCGAATTACCTCCTCTCCTGCCGTTCGATGCTTCCGATCCTCGGCGCAGTCTTTGGCTCCCACTTTTGCAGCTACCCAACAGCTCCCTCCCATGACTAGCCAGTCTCAGATGCGATCTGCTCACGCCATTTCCAACCCTACCCTGGCCGGAATTGAGAAGAGATGGGAAGCAATGCCGCCACAAGAGCAAGCCGAGCTATGGATGCAATTGAGAGATCGTATGAAGGTTGATTGGAACGAGATGACTCTGCAGGAGAAGAAAGCTGGTATGTACCGGTCCCGTGTTTCCCCGGAGGAACGCGGCACGGAGATGATATGCTTGATCAAGCTCGGATCCCTGCTGCTGTCCTACTTGGAAGAATGAGACATAGCTAGAGAACTTCTTACTGAGACAGGAACAGCATGGTGGATTGCATTTGGACCTCATGGACCCCGTGCTGAGGCAGCGCCGGGTGAATGGACCAAAGTGTGGCTTTACACCGCAGTTGGCATTGGAATTTCGTTGGCTACATTCATGCTCATCCACTCCATGGCAAGACCGCCTCCACGAACCATGACCAAAGAATGGCAGGAGGCTACCAACGAATATCTCAAGGTCAGTCAATTTTGCTGCGCGGTTGCCACGGAGTTCAGACCGGCCTCACAAAGCTTTTACCTTTGTCGTCAAGACCCGAGCTGACATATCCATCTACAGTCCGAGAGGAGCAACCCTATGTATGGTATCAGCAGTGAAGGATACACCGGTCCAGGCTTCGTTCAAAGCAAGTCTGCTAAGGCTCAGGGTATCAAGCTTGAGCCAGACGAGTAACCGATGACGGCGTGAGGGGGGTTAAAGACACGCGGGCTTCCACCAGTGCATATGGTGGTTTTTGTACTGTGACTAGTATCCCCAGAAAGCAGGGATCTCATTGTGTTTTTGTGAATACAAAAAGAAGAAAAAAACAACCTTCCTTGCCAACTGCTTTTCAGGCGCTTTCTGGTTCGTGAAACTGTACATAGATTTTAACACGGACGGTGACTGAAACCGATAGCACAAAGCTGTTCCCTTTGAGATTATTGTATTTCCAGCTGCTCCAGACTCTCGTAGAGCCCTAATATTTCTACGATTGCCGTACCTGGGACGGATTTGATGTGATGATGGTGGCTCTCGAAAATTGACGAGGCACATACTAGAAGGCCGGGCCTTGCCGGGGTCTAATGGAGGTCCCCGATTAGGCATAGCGCAGAACCGAGCTCAATGAACAGCAACTTTGATTCCTGACTTCAAGTTTCTTCACTTTTGCTCCTGATCCCACACCAACTCTCCTCTCTACCTTTTCATCTTCACCTTCTCGTCCATCCGTCAGCATGCTCAAGAGGTTCGTGAGCTCCTCACCATACACTTGCACAGCTCCTGGAATACTTTTGCACCCGGTTACTGACACTGATGAAACAGCGGCATCGCCCGTAGCTTGGGCAGGTCTGCCCTTGCTCGACCTTCCATCTCCCGACGCGCCTTCGAGCCCCTACGGAAACAGGCTGCTCCAGCTATTGCACAGCGATGGGCCTCGACGGACTCTGCAAGAGACGGGAAGATCCATCAGGTCATTGGAGCTGTCGTTGACGGTACGAGAAAAAAAAAAATTCACTTGTTGCGCCCATTGAGCTCCCACAAAGCTCGACAATCATCACACACAAGCGAAACATGGACTGGTGGACCAAGCTGATAGTTATCCTGCAGTCAAATTTGATACCGAACAACTCCCTCCCATCCTCAATGCCCTAGAAACGGATAACAACGGACAGAAGCTTGTTTTGGAAGTCGCGGTACGAATATATAAGATGAGATTCTTGCTAGAACATGGTGACTGATGGTTAATAGCAACATTTGGGTGAGAGTGTTGTGAGATGTATTGCTATGGATGGTATGAGAGATTCCCTCGCACCAAATCGTCCAAAGTCTGACTTTAGATTCGAGGTACCGAGGGTCTCGTCCGAGGAAATAAAGCTACCGATACTGGCTCTCCGATCAAGATCCCAGTCGGCCCTGGCACTTTGGGTCGCATCATGAACGTCACCGGTGACCCGATTGATGAAAGAGGTCCCATCAAAGCCACCAAGTTTGCCCCAATTCACGCCGATCCTCCTGAGTTCATCGAGCAAGCCACGTCCGCCGAGGTCTTGGTTACCGGCATCAAGGTCGTCGACTTGTTGGCTCCTTACGCCCGTGGTGGAAAGATTGGTCTCTTCGGTGGTGCAGGTGTCGGCAAAACTGTGTTTATTCAGGAGTTGATCGTGAGTATATCTGCGCATATGCACGATTTCATGACTAACTATTCTAGAACAACATCGCCAAAGCCCACGGTGGTTACTCCGTCTTCACTGGTGTCGGTGAGCGAACTCGTGAAGGTAACGATCTGTACCACGAAATGCAGGAAACTTCGGTCATTCAGCTCGATGGCGAATCCAAGGTCGCTCTGGTGTTTGGTCAGATGAACGAACCTCCTGGGGCTCGCGCTCGTGTCGCCTTGACTGGGTGAGTTGCTCCTTCCCTTCTTGAGCCTATTTCCCCATTCCGGACATACCACGGATTACCTAATCACCTCCGGATATGGCCACGTGATCCCCGCCCCGCCCAATTCTATCAACACCCCTGATATTCGACTGGAGTATGCCAGATGTTATATCATATACTGACATTCACTTGCACAGTTTAACTGTGGCTGAGTTTTTCCGCGACGAAGAAGGGCAGGATGGTAAGGATCTGAGCATGTGGGCGATATGGAGGGTATTCCGCTGACTCTGGTGGCAGTGTTGCTTTTCATCGACAACATTTTCCGATTCACCCAAGCCGGTTCCGAGGTGTCTGCTTTGCTTGGTCGTATCCCATCTGCTGTGGGTTACCAACCTACCCTCGCCGTCGACATGGGTGCCATGCAGGAACGTATCACCACCACTCAGAAAGGATCCATCACTTCGGTGCAGGCCGTGTACGTGCCCGCTGACGATTTGACTGATCCTGCGCCTGCGACGACCTTCGCTCACTTGGACGCCACCACCGTGTTGTCTCGTGGTATTTCCGAACTGGGTATCTACCCTGCTGTCGACCCCCTCGACTCGAAATCCCGCATGTTGGATCCCCGTGTCGTCGGACAAGAGCATTATGACACTGCCTCCCGCGTCCAGCAGATGTTGCAAGAATACAAGTCTCTCCAGGATATCATTGCCATTTTGGGTATGGACGAACTTTCGGAAGCCGACAAGCTGACCGTCGAACGAGCCCGCAAACTGCAGCGTTTCCTGTCGCAACCCTTCACCGTCGCCCAAGTGTTTACTGGTATCGAAGGCAAGCTTGTGGATCTGAAGGACACGATTAGCAGCTTCCAGAAGATCATCAACGGTGAGGGTGATGACCTCCCCGAAGGTGCTTTCTACATGGTGGGCGACTTTGAGAGCGCAAGGGCCAAGGGCGAGAAGATTTTGGCAGAGTTGGAGAAGTCGTAATTTCTCGGCTCGAAGATCGGAGAGAAACCGGGAACGAGATTGTGATGTAAGAGCAAAACGGGCTTTGGCCAAAGAGCATTACATCGAGTCCTTGGTGTCAAAAGCGGAAGCGGAAGTGAAGAAGTTAGAAGTCGAAGACTGCGAGAGAGGAGCAGGAAACTTGTACATTGAACAATCCTACTTTTATTCCTGAGATCAAAATTTCCCCCGTTGGTCTTTCGTAATCTGGCCTGTCTTGTCCGCCTACTGAACACGCATAGTAATGGACTCCAGGGGTTCGTGGTGATAGACTCGGATGTTCACATGATAGACTCTGGGCGGTTGTGGTGGTAGACTAGACGTCCATGGTGGTAGACTCGCCGTGCCCCAGGGCCATGAGAGGCTACGTAAAGGCCATGTTCATGGATACCGTCCTCTACACCGCAAGAATTGAGATGTTTTTCTTAGTTACGGTGTTTCGATCCTCAAGATGATGATGTTTGACGGTGCGCTGCAGATGAGTTGAGATGCAGAGCTCCAAACGGACGCATTGAATCAGGGAAACAGACAGATAAAGTCAGCAGGGGATCCAGTCCAGAACGTCGAGGACGGCCATCCTCGTGAATTGAACCAACCTTGAAGTTGCTTGGACCTTGACATTATCATCTGATTTTATGAACAAATGGACGGGAAGGTGAAGTTGCTATGAATCCAAGTCCATTGAGCTTTGCCTTGCAACTCATCACCCCGCGGTATTTCCTACTCTAGATTGTGCACGTCTCCTCTGCCTTTCACTTGATCAGCCTTCTCGACTCAGATATTGCCACCATCTGCGTCTTGTTTTTGACATTTGCATATATCAAATCAGTCTCAACCACTTCGCCATTCAAGGGCCATTGAAAAAATAAATCCAAACGTCGCTGCGCCCACCATGGCCGAGTCTGCTGAAGACTGCTTCTGCAAAGGCTCGGCACCGCTCAAGAAGACGTGCCTCTTGATGCTAAAGCTCCTACGCAGCATGAATATGGATTTCAAGAACGAGACTTTCCGGGAGATAGCCAAGGATATGAACACTGACGTCGAATCGCTCTTGCAAGTTTCACCCCTGGGCCATTGCGTGGTACTTTCCGGTGGTGTTTATATGTCTAACCGCATCATCGGTCTCTCTCCCACAGCCGCTTGTATCACCAGATATGTCTGAGCAAGAAGCTCGCCCGACAGCTTGGGTGTCCCCACGCAACCGACGAGCAAGGACAGCTTCGACGAGACCGGAAGAAGAGGAAGCGGGAGAGGACCGAAGACATGAGCACGGCAGGGCGGCAGACGAAGAAAGCACGAATTATATCAACCGATGAGGCGGTTCAAGTCGCGGATTCTGCTACAGGGGTCAATAATACAGCAGCACCCGCGGCTCTCCTCAATATCAAAGAAGAAGATGAAGACGATGACAATGACGGAAGCGATGGAAGCGATGGGAGCGCTGCCGCTCGCCGTTATGGTAAAATGACGTGTTCGTCAGAATTATCGATCGTGCTAAGAATGGACAGGTTCTGCGCTGCTTGACGAGCTTGAAGCCAGCCTCGGGTGGGAGACAACGTCGATGGATGAGGATGATCTCCCTTGACCGACAGTCCAGAGATCGATTCTTTGCCTCCCTGGATGTCGAGATGACAGGTAGAAGTCTGCTTGAGCTCTAGAATTGCTCCCGACGAGATACAGTACCGATCACCCGGAGAAGAGGGACAGAAGACTTGGACTGTTCAGGAGTTGCAAATCTCCTGCACGAGGCCGATGAGCTTGGGAGGCTTTGCAGCTTGGGGATTGGTGACGGTGGATATGCACGGGTCTACTCAGTTGCCAACGAAAATCTCGTCCTGCCCCTTAGCAATCTGTTCATAGCTACAGAGCCAAAGGGAAGAGATCTTCTAAGCGAGGCCTGGTAAAGGCAGAGGGCGTCTCAGCGCCCAGCTAGGCTCCCAGCACTGAAAGACATACAGTCAGTTACAGACAGACCTAATACGAACCTACCGCCCTCTAGATTGAACTCTATATAGTCCCGGCTCACGGCGGCGCCCGTCCGTACTTTATCTTGGTTGGTGTTTCGTTTCCTCCGATAATGATCGACCACGTACGAGTATGTACATACGTCGATCAACCTGGATGGCCCCGGAATGAGACAACTATAAGTACGCTTTATCAACCAGGGTGTGAATCCTACTGTGGCCCCAATCTGATACTCTGTCCAGCCATGATTGGGCAGCTTGCGACTCCATTCGTCCTCCGCCGCTGCGACCCTCGATAGCTCTGCAACGATCCCCCTATCTGCGAGTGTATCAATGGTCTACTTCTGCCTTGCGTTTCGCACGCCGTCTGCTTGGCGAGGATGGCATGTCCAAGGAGTCCTTTGTTTGTTTCCGTTCTTTTGGCGGAATATGCCCCTCCTCGGAAAACTCAACTGCCGCCAGGGCATGCAGGCCAGGCTCATTTCGTCGAATGCCCGACTATCGACTCCATATCATCTGAGAGGTGGCCTGGTGCTTGAGAGAGAGAGGTATGATCGGCCATCTCCCGCAAGTTGACATTGCTTGAGTCAACAACCTCTTCTTTTGGTTTCCCGTCAGTCTCTTCACATCGACCTCGCTGCTGCCATCTCCCGTCTGAGAACGGGATCATCCAATATGGCAGACTCCAAGAAAACAGACGTCCTCGAGACGATTGAGCCTGGGGCGCACTCGGGCGACTCCAGCACTCTCGATGCAAAGACGCCGGGGTATTCGGAGAAGAACGTCGTGCAAGCGTATCCAACCGCAACGGTCGATGGCGATGGTACGTCCCTGAGGGTAAGGACATTTGCCTCACTGTGCAATAGCCAGCCATTTAATTCAGGAAATCGCTTACTCGTCGATCCTAGCGACTGTTCAGTTTCGCCCAGCTTCTCGCCTTCTCGTTGACCTTCATGGAGTCCTGGGAAGTCATGGCCATGTCTGTCTCTCTCGTTCTCCCCCTCTGTGGTTTCCCATATGAGGGTCACCGTCTGATATGTTTCGGGACAGTAACATCTCTGCCACTTTCTGGAATGGCGGCCCGCAATCGCTCATCTGGGGCTATGTTGCAGTTATCATCGGCTCTCTTGCCCAGGCGTACTCGATGGCCGAACTGGGCTCGATTCTCCCCATAGCTGGGGCTCAGTACCATTGGACACATATAATGGCGCCCGACGGCTCGAGGAAGTTCATCACCTGGATGCAAGGTGTGCCTTTACATCCATTGACGGCTGTGCATTGAGCTCCCGTGTTGTTCACACGAGCATAGGTTGGGTGACCTGGTTCGCCTGGGTGTCCACTCTCGCCGGCAGCACCTCTGGCGAAGCTGCCCTGTTGCAAGCCCTGATCGCAGAGAACGTGCCTGGGTACACTGCCGAACGGTGGCATCTGACGTTCATCATGTGGGCGCTGCTAATCAGCTGCGGCCTCATCAACACATACACGTTTTGGCTTGTGCCCTGGCTGGAACTGGCGTCGGGCATCCTGCACGTCATCCTGTTCGTCGTCTTCGTCGTGGTGCTGGCCGCCCTGGCACCCAAGCACGACTCCCACTTCGTCTTCTTCAGCGACTCGATCTTGTCCGGCTGGGACCGGAGCAGCTTCGTCGCCTTCAACCTGGGCATGCTGGTGCCCGCCTGGGGCTTTATCGGTCAGTTATTGTTTGCAAGATGACGCCATTCCCCCTTCGTCTTCGAAGGTTACTCCTGACAAGGGCTCTGAAGGATTCGATGGCGTCGTTCACATGTCTGAAGAAGTCCGTCGAGCGAAACACGCCGTTCCACGCGCCATGGTCTTGACCATCGTGATCAACGGCGTCATGGCGTTCAGCATCATCCTGACCCTGCTCTACTGCTTGGGCAACCTCGACGACGCCCTGGACGCGTCCTATCCCATCATCCCCATCTGCCGGAACGCGACGGGTTCAATGGCGGCCGCAAACGCCATGATTTCTGGGCTGATTATCATCACCTACTTCGTGGTCGCTGCCAGCGTCGCTTCGGTCTCACGCATCACCTGGGCATGGGCCCGGGATGGAGCTCTACCGCGGTGGATTGCGGTTGTAAGTTCCCCAGCTCCCCGACCTCCCCTTGGCCTCTCATACTTTCCGGTATATCTAGCTTGGCCCGATATGTAATGTTGCACAGATTGACCGCAAACGCCACGTCCCGACGAACGCCACTTGGCTGCCCATCGTCATCGTCTGCTTGCTCTCGCTCTTTGAAATCGGATCCACCACCGGGACCGCCTTCAGTGCCTTCACCGCCCTCTCCTCCCTGGGGTTGTACACCTCCTACATCGTCGCCATCTCCTGCATCCTGCACGCCCGCCTGACCGGGCGTCTGTCCGACAAGGCCGGCGGGGCCGTCGTGAACTATGGCGGCTGGCGCATGTGGAACGGCTGGCGCACGCCCGTCAACATCTTCGCCCTGTGCTGGACCATCTATCTGTCCGTCTGGTTGCCCTTCCCGACGACGCTGCCCGTCACGGGCACGAACATGAATTACGCGTTGCCCATTTATGCCTTTGTGGTCCTTTGCTCCCTGGGCTATTGGTTTGTTTGGGGCAAGCGGCATTGGCACGGGCTGAATCTGGCAGCTATCGGGATGGTCGAGGCGCATGAGTAGGAGGAAGGGGGTCTGTATGAGCGAGTCTTGTGGCGTCGTCGCATAAGAGAGGTGAATGAATACATTAGTGATAGACGTATAGAAGAGGATTATTGACAGATATTGGTAAATGGTTTGACGACGCTGTGGGCAGCACTGCAGGGCCGCTCTTCTAGGTACAAATAAGGACTCGCAAGAAGAAAGAGAGAAGTCCTGAAGACCGTTTATTGACTGGCTTACAGCACAGCCACTGTCGGCCCTCCTTTGCTAAAGGGTGTCCCTGCTTGGCTACCAAGTTTTGGACCAGCCAGCCCTGGCTACTGCGCCGCGAGGACATACAGTAGCGGTTCAGCTGCTGCATAAATACGCACACGGAACATGCCGTCTTGTTGGAACTTCCGTTGTGTCTTCGACCAACAACCACGACACCGACCTCCGAGTTCTCACTCCCCCGTCGAAGGCTCACAGATGTACTCTCAGAACTCGCGCCTCTCTGACAATTCCGTCGAGCGGATTGATTATCCCCCCGTTCGTGACCACGTAGAGGTCCTTCTTGTCGGATGCCGTCGTTCCAAAGGCGACCGCCGTCGGACCGGTGGTGTCCTGGTCGACCTCGAAACCCGAGTCAGGTTTCGGTGGTGATGACGACGCCTCTCCAGCCGAAAACTGAGGACGGCTGTGGAGGAGGAGGAGGCCGAGAATGACTTGACGTTCTGGTTGTGCATTTTGTCTCCCTCCTCCTGGGACGGCGCTCGGAGCCGCGAGTTGTGGGAACTTCAGCACGCTGTTCATCGGGTTCGTGGCGACGTAGACGTTGCCGTCTCCATCGAGGCAGAGGTCGTCGCCGCAACAGCCGCTAACAAGACTCTCAATCACAACCTGCCCGCTCTTTCCGTCGCGGGCAGCAGTCGGCGCATCACCTTGATGGTTGACCCTCACCCGTCCTAGAATTGCCCGGTCCGAGTTCGTGAAATAGACCCAGCCGTCCATCCGGTCGTGGTGGTACTTGACTCCATTCACGCCTGGCCAGGGCGGTCTTGTCGTCATCTTTTCCAACAGCGTGTGCTGGAGCCAGAGGTCCACGTTTCGGGTTTTGACGTTGTAGGAGTACAATGACCCTTGATATGACTCGGCCATCAAGATCAAGGGCTGTGAGGGGTGCGGGATGGCGGTGCCTCCATTGAGCCACGTCACGCTGGGGACTGGTGCGAGGCGCCTAACCTTTACTTGATGTGACAGGTCGTCTGTGGTTGTAGTCTTTGGACGGTTCGAAGATGGGACAAAGGAGCGCATGTCCAGCTCATATACCCACCATGTTCCCTTCTTGCCGTGGACGCCAGAGAAGAGATAGAACACGTCCGGGTGAGTTGGGGATTCCACGATGGCTTCCGCAGCTGGGGTGGATGCATAGGACCCATGACTCTCTTCTCCGTCCTCCTCGACCGTGTTGCCCGTTGATGGCTCCTCCGTCGGAGGGTCTTCGAGTTCAAATTTGTGGACCAACTCCACGGTTGCCTGCGTGTCCCCGTCGTCGGCATGGGGGTTGATGTACCAGATACTTCCACTCAGCATATCCGAGGCGAGGATCGAGCCATCGCCACGTACGGCGAGGTTCTCGAGGAAGGCACCAGGAGGGAAAGTCGCTATCGTGGTATACCTTGGGAGATGCTGGGGGATGGTTCCGGTGATGTGTCCTGGAGGATTGCCATCCTGTGTCTCGGCAGTGGCAGCAGCCATGGCCAGTGGAAATTCGGATGGAGAGGCGTAAGGTGCCTTCAGGACAGCAACCGGCTGAGAATGTTTGTCGAAGGAGAACTTGGCCGTCCACAATGGGCCAGAGTAGCATATGAAGAGTCGAGATGACGGCTTGCTTTGTACCCCTTGGAATTGAGGCTGGCGGTCAAGCTCGAATGCTGCCAGAGCTCGCAGTGTTCATCCCGGTGTTTGTAAGCACAGTCCATTACTCACTTACATTTCACGAGTTGGTAATTCCCACACTTTGCTTTTAGACATTTCCAGGCAGTGAAGGTCCAGGTTGGTGTCAAAACAATCCTCCCTCCATCCCTCAACCACCAATGTCCGGATGTGGAAATTTCTGGCATATCCAACGAAAACATCGTGGATCTCGCCCTGGGGCGCGTGGAAAGGGCAATATGTTTCACCAAAAGAGGATCTCACTGACTAACTCTCTCCGCTCGTTCGCGGGAAGGTCTGTAGTGATTTCAAAGCTGCTGTGCTGTTGGCCGGATGCGTTATACGTCGTAAGATGGACGAGCCCAACAACTGCTTTTTGTCTGTTCGTAAGCTCAATCTGTCGCTTTTGGTAGGATCTGTACTTTCGATGACTTTATTATTTTCAGTTTTATTACACTGGTATCTTTCTGCACAGCTGGACGGCTACAACCACAACTATGATACAACGCCAAACCACAGTAGCTGGTGCATCGCCATGCTACTCGATCTCCATGCCCATCCCCACGCCGGCACGCAACCAACTCCACTCGCCCAGCATCTGTGCAGTGTAGCTGTTCCATCTTCTTTTTTTCTAGGCCCCATGCCCTCCCCTTGAGCAAAGATCTGATGTGTAAGATAGACAAGATATCGAACTTGAGTGGAGTGTAATGTAACAAGTTTCGTAGAATATACAAAGAGGTAAGTCGACCCATTTTTTCCGAGCGAAATCTCCTTCAGACTGAGCCAAGAAGTTCTCAAGACGGGTTGATCGGAGGAGTGAGGGGGGCGGGAGGAGGCTCCGACGATGCGATGCTGCGGATTGCTGCTATACCAAAGGTGCGGATGGCGGTCGCTGGAACGCAGGAAGAATTGCAAGTGTCAGGAACAAGAGCGAGGAGGGTCGGACATAGCTTTCCTCATCCGACTTAGAATCCGCCCATGCCTCCCATGCCGCCCATACCGCCGCCCATCGGCATTGCAGGCTTCTCTTCGGGAGCCTCCACGATCGCAACTTCCGTGGTACCCAGGAGCGAGGCGACACCGGAGGCATCAACGAGCGCCGTGCGCACGACCTTGAGAGGATCGACAATACCCTTGCTCAACATGTCCACATACTGTCCGCTAGCAGAGTCGAAGCCCTTGTTGAAGTCGGAACCGAATTCGTCCATAAGCTTGCCGACGACGACGCTACCTTCTAGTCCAGCGTTTTCAACGATTCTCCGAGCAGGTCGCGTGATGGCGTTCTTGATAATGCTGACACCGAGCTGTTGGTCGAAGTTGGACGGTTGAACACTGCCAAGGGCATTGGCAGCGGCCTTGATCAACGCAGTACCACCGCCGGGCAGGATACCCTCTTCGACGGCAGCACGAGTGGCATTTAGAGCGTCAACAACACGGTCTTTCTTTTCGCCCACCTCAACCTCGGAAGCTCCACCAACTTTAATGACGGCCACACCGCCAGACAACTTGGCAAGACGCTCTTGAAGCTTCTCCTTCTCGTATTCTGAGGTCGAGGGATCGGCCATGACGCCACGGATCTGCTCGCATCGCTGGGCGATGGCGTCTTTGCTACCCTCCCCATTCAGGATGATGGTGTCTTCCTTGGTGATGGTGATGCTGCCGGTCGAGCCCAGCATGTCAGGCGTGGCTTTTTCCAGTTTGATGTCCAGTTCGTCCGTGAAGACGGTGGCGTTGGTCAGGATACCAATATCACCGAGGATGCTCTTGCGGTTGTCTCCAAAGCCGGGAGCCTTGACTGCTGCCACTTGAAGTTGGCCTCGAAGTTTGTTGAGAATGCACACAGCCAATGCTTCGCCATCGATATCCTCGGCGATGATGACAAGAGGTCGGCGCATTTGGGTAGACGCCTCCAGGGCCGGGATGATGTCTTGCACAGCGGAAATTTTCTTCTCAGAGAGCAAGATCAAGGGCTTTTCAAACTCGATCTTTTGTGACTTGGTGTCGGTGATAAAGTATGGGGAAGTAAAGCCGCGGTCGAAGCGCATGCCCTCGGTAACCTCGAGCTCGTCTTCAATTGTTTTGCCCTCCTTGACCGTAATCACACCCTCCTTGCCGACCTTTTCCATCGCGTTCGAGATGAGGTTGCCGACGTGTGTATCACCGTTGGCAGAGATCGTCGCAACTTGGGCGATCTCGGCACTGGTGGTAATGTCCTTTTTGTTCTTTTGCAAGAAGTCGACGACTGCATCAACAGCGGCCTGTGTGCCTCTTCTCAAGTCCATAGGGTTGCATCCGGCAGCGACGTTCTTGACAGTTTCCGAGAAGATGGCACTCGCCAGCACGGTAGCGGTTGTAGTGCCATCACCAGCAACTTCATTGGTCTTTGAGGCGACATCCTGGATCAGGCGGGCTCCGAGGTTCTCGAACTTGTCTTGGAGGGTGACAGCTTTGGCGACCGTAACACCATCTGATTGTTTCGTTTAGTTTGAGCTTGTGGCGGTGCGGGATTCATGGACACTCACCTTTGGTTATCTTGGGCGAGCCATAGCTCGACTCGATGAGGACATTGCGGCCCTTGGGACCGAGTGTTGTTGCAACAGCCTTCGATAGAGTCTCGACACCCTTGAGCAACTGAGCTCTTCCCTCTACTCCGAACTTGAGCTCTTTGTGAGCGAAGCGCAGTTGTTGGAGACTTCGTCCGGCTGCTCTAGAGTATGGAGATGAAGAGGACAACGAGGACCGAGCTGCGGAGGAGAGAGCGCGCTGCATGGTGGGCAAAGCACTTGGACGAGTTCGAGATGAGGAAAGGGAAAGGGGGAATAGGACAACTGATGGCTTGTAATATGGTAGAGAGACAACAGTTCGAAGTTGGATGCCAAATCCAATAAAAATTTGGAGATTCTCGAAAGCAACAGAATCGCAGATGCAGCATGATTCCATTCCGGGCCTAGTCGCTTGGCAACCAATCGGAGCCAGGCTGCATCCAGCTCCGACCCTTCCGAACAAAACCTCCCTACCACCTGCTCAATTTCCGCCTCACTTAGCAGACTCGTGCTGTGGTCGAGGTTCACCATATGAGCCAGGGAACCAGGTCCAGGGGCAGGGAGGAAGAAGAAGAAGCAAAAGTGATCTTTGGATTGATATGTTCCATGATTGTCATTGTGCCAATCTCAAACCCCGAATTTTTGATGGGGTGGCTTGTAGTTTTGTACTGTTGCTTGCACAAGATGAAACGAAACTGGTCCATAGCCAGCTGTCGGTGAGTGCCTCCATGTGCTCCAGTACTTGACACCTTTCATGTGCTGAGTTTTGCTAGCAGCCGTGGACCCCCGTGTAAGTCCCTTGTAAGAAATGCTTGATTGTTGATCCCGCTGAAACATAAGTCACCCAGTGACGCTTTTTGTTTTTGTTTTTTCCTTCCAGCGAAATAACGGATGAAAAGAAAGAGAAAATAACATCGATTGCGTGATTCCTTCATGGTCTTAAACTCCTCCCAGACTACACCACGAGTGCCCAGTCCCATGGAATATCACATCGCTATCCGCCGTCATTCAACGCAGCAACCTGAGGCCTGCAGGAATCTTCAATTTCTCAGTCATGAGACATTGAGTCACTGTTCAATTCCGTCAGTGACTTCTGATATGTGGAGCCTTATGGACTTACTCACTCAAGCATCATCAACGAGAAACCCGCTGTCGCCGAAGAAGATGTCGTCGTTTGCCGTGCTGTTCATCATGTCCGCCTCATTGATCACGTCTCCCGTGGTATGCCCAAAGCCGGTATGTGCAGTCAAGAACTCGCCATCAGACATCGATGGCAGGGTTTGGTACATCATATTGGCGACGATCGAGTTGTTTCGGGTTGAATCGGCGGATGAGTGATACAAACTCAATCTTCGAGGTTGCGACGTTGTGTATGCTTGTGTCATTGTGCTCATAACAGCAGCATCAGAATAACCAAGCTCGGGAACTGAATAGCAATCGGCGGTACCAACACCCATATGACCATGCAGGCCGTATCCTCCAGCGCTTGGAGTATTGAAAGCCGGGCATGTGGCCTGTCCCAATGTCAGCGCAGCTATAAAGCTCAGGAGAGCTAACTTACCATGTCAGAGCGGATATCAAAAGTGGGGATGGCTTGACCATATGGCTGATCAGCCACATGGGTGCCGTTGCTATAAAATGCTTGCTGATGAGGGAGGGCGACAGCTGACACCTCGCTTGAGGCATCATCCATATCATCATCGATGCTACCACTTTGAGCGTTCTCGTCCCCGTCATTACTGTCAATGTTTCCGTGGGTGTCTTTGAAGTCTTCCTCCATATACGGTGGAAGAACTTCTTCATCAACCTCAGCCTCATCTTCAGACCCGCCGACCATGACGGAATAGTCACGTTTGATGCCGCGAGTGCGACGAGGTGGACCAGTGAGCTCTTCTTCCTCAACTTTGATGGCCACATCCTTGTTCGTATTGGGCTTTTCCGGAATGGCTGGAGAGACGAAGGAAGGTGTTGCTTCTTGAGGTGTAGCCATCGAAGCTTCAGCGAAGGCCTCTCTCATCTTTGACTTGCTGTTGTTGTTGCGTCGCTTCCGCGGTGCAGGGTATTCGTCGTCGGAATCATAAAGATCTGGCATAGGCTCATTATCGTCTTCGTCATTTGTGTACTGACGACGACCTTTGGCCTTTCCTTTGCCTTTTCCCTTCGGCTTGAGCTCCTTCTTGATCGGTGTCCCTTCTGCCTCTGTCACAGCAGGAACCTCCTTCTTCACGCGAACACGCTTTGGCTTGTCATATATTGAGCCCTTGTCTTCACCATCGCCCTCCTCTTTGACGTTGCGAGCATCGGGGAACATGGGAGGAACTTCCTCGAGTTTGACATTGTTGGCCGTGGTGGTATAGATTTTTGACGGTTCCTTGGTCACCATGCCACGCTTGACAGCCGGTGGAACAGGAATACCAGCCCGAATCATGAGGAGTCGAAGCTTCGCCAAATGTTGAACGATGGAGCCTTCAGTAAAGGTGGGTCCCATGAGAGCGGCTACTCGACCCCCTGTTGTTGTTACGATCAGCAAAGACAAGAATCTTGGTTGCTATACTTACATGGGATCTTCAGGCCAGCTTCCGCACATGAGTACTGGATGCAAAGCAGGACACCTTTATCCAAATCATCTGGGGACCTTGTCAGCACAGTGGGTAGCAGTGATCTGGACCGAGTGTTGACGAACCGCACCAACGATTCAACACACGCTTTGCTGGACGATTTCCGGCCGGCATGTTGACTTGTTCTGAGGACCAAGTACTTGCTGTGAGTCTGCTGCTCTGTGTTGTTGGTTGAAAAGCACAGAGTGTGCGAAAGGAAAGTGTTTGGGTTTCTATAAGAAAGGATGAGATGTCTCAACAATCTGGTGACTGTCCACCTTCGCAAGTGATGTGACCTCAATTCCGTCGGGGCAGGAGAGTGTCGTAAGGGGTCACCCCAACGAATCAGAAGTTTGCATCCGTCACTGGTACAAAAAGAGGCGCGGAGTGGTATTGAACAGTGAATAGGGGACAATAGGATGAATGACAGTGGGACAATAGGTGAGTTTTGTTTGGGGCAAAAGTGCGTCGTGTTGAGGAGGGGCTCTTCTTTGCAATGACACTTACCAAACACGCCACAGCTGCCACCAACAAAGGCCTCAATAGGCTCAAAGCGTGTTCTGAACACAGTCGCAGGTGTAGAGGAGGTATAGAAAGGAGCTTTGATAAGGGAAGACGAAAGTGAGAGATCTGAGATGGAGGTTCAGAGAATAATGAGGGCTGAATAGCGAAGACGAAGAAACATGAGGGCGAGGCCTTTGTGCTGAGGGCGTGTTGGCAGTGAAGTGCTTCACACCAACAACGATGTTGCCAACGCCCATGTGCTTTTCCCCAACATGACACAGATAATGGACCCGAATTGATATTGTTCCCCTTTGGGCATCATTCACCTCAACGATCTCCAAGTCTGAGTATCCAGAAAATGGCGTCTGGTGTCCTGCGGTCAGCTTGCATGGTGTTCAAGGAGACACATTACCAACCGCCCGGTCAAAACCACCCGCTGACTGAGATACAGCCAACTGCCCTCTTCAGACTGCGCGAAACCCGGCCAGTTACCTCCCTTTCACCTCGTTGCATCCTTGACCCTGGGTGCTTCGCAACAGGTCACTCCACGATGACAACATGATCTTTGGACTTCGAGGCACCGTCTCCTTCTTTTTGATGTTCTTTTGGTGTCTGAATCGGCACAATCTCCTGTGGCTGAGGAGGGAGTTTCATCAACATTCCTTCGCCTGATAACGGAGGCTGGATGCCCTGACTGTGATGGCTGGCAGAGTCTCGGTTGCTATACACCTCGAAGCCCGTGGCAGGACTTCCATTTCCCTGACCTGTGAAGGACCACGGATCTCTGAATGCTGGCGGAAAATGAGGATAGATAGGGACATCTGGTACCAGTTGATGGCCAGCACTACACGCAATTGGGGGCAGCCCAGTAAGCGCCGCTCGTTGCCGTGCCGACATTGAGATGCCTTGAATCACTGGAAAGCCGGGAGCAAACATGGTAGCGCCCATAGTCGGCTGTGGCATGCCAGCTGGACCTGAAAGAGTATGTCTTGCAGAGTGATTGACTGCTTCTGACTTTGCTGGCGTTGATTCAAACCCATCGCACCGTGGATTTGCTGTGATCACTGTGGTCGACCTGGGACTGTCTTCGACTCTCTTCAATGTGTACGCCGGGCTTCTTCTGTCGAGCTTTGGTTTCTTCCCCGCCGAAGGCTTCTCATCTGAATACTTCGCCTTTTGCTTGGACTGTGTGGGCTTGGGATTTGAGCTTGTTACAGAACTGGTGGTGGGACTGATGCCATTCGCCTTCATGAGTCTTTCGTATCGTTTGGCTCTTGTGGTCTGTCAGCACACCAGATGCAGCCGCCGCAGCAGGATACACTCACGCCGCTCCTTTGCTGACTACACCACATTCTTTGGCAACTTCCACAAAGTCAACCTGGCGCTGTCAGTTCTATGGAGCCTGCTGTGGGCTCGGATGCCTCGCTCACCCTTCCATTGGTGGCATGCTTGACGCAGCTCAAGAGGAATCTCAGCTGGTCGTCTGGGGTTGCGCGAGACATGGTCACTGCCGGCTGCGTCTGGAAAAGGTGGAAAGAGACGTGTTGTTGGGTGCTGTTCTTGGGGAAATGCAAATATGAGGTGAGTTGACGGAAATTCTGACAGAGAAGACGTTTTGGGGAGCTCGAACTTTGAGAGTTGTGGTCAGGATAAGTACAATGCAGTGGTCTTTGATCTGCAAGATTCTGGGTCAGCTGCTGTCTTTCTTTGGTTGTAACGTCTTTGATTGCCCTGGGAAGGGGGTTGATAAGGTCAAACTGTTGAGTTTTGATCCGTCTTCTTGTGAGTGAGTCAAAGGAACAACACCGGCAGGCTGAAACCTGGGTAGCATGAAGGCGGAAACAACAAAGACTTCTACGAAGTGAACAAGACCCGCAACAGGGTCTTCTTACTGAGAGCAGATGCGACCAGAGATGACAGAAATCGTTGCAAGTCGTTTGCTCGGATGAAGTGTGGTGTTTGGGGGACGCTGGTCTTTGTTTTTGGGGTGTACACAGGCTCACCACGTCAATCCGTCAATTTGTGACTCGGCGCGGCTTGAAATGGCTTGGTTCTCGCTTTTCCGGTGTCTACGCTCCTCTGAATGGCTCTGGTGGCTCTCCTATGCTTCTGTCTGGCGCAGAGAAACAACCGCGTCTCTAGCTTATGTCTCATCCAGCGACCATGTCGCTCTTTTCAGCCTCTCGCCGCTGAACTTCAGTCACCGAGATCGATGTCTCAGCAAGCCCAACAGCAATATTGACACGTCAGGACACCTTAGAGATCCACACAAGAGCCTAACACATTGCTCTTCCGACACCACAAATGTCAGTGCCTGTCGATCTCCAGACCATGCAGAGAGATCTATCGAATTCCCCAGCCCTCCAGCCATGCGGCAAGGTGCATTTGCTTTAAGGTGATCAATATAACTTGCCCTCCTCTCTGTGTTGAATTCGGCCATCGCGTCTCTGCAGAGAGGATATTGGTTTGCATCCACCCCTTCTTGTTGAAGAATTGACTGAGCTTCTGGTGGAGGAGCCAACCTTGAATGAAAGCAGTGAAAATGTCCTTTAGCTGAGCAGCTCAGGAAGGAGCTCTTTCTTTTCCTCCTCCCGAGATACACCTTCAACACAAGATGTGGGTTCGAATGATCTACCAGAAGTGTCCAAGTTCGTGCAGCATGCCAACACCAGTAGATGCCGCGGGTAACAGTCCAGTACGAGCCTGCATGAATATGGCCTTCATCTATTCAGCACACTTTTTCGCACGACTCTTACTCTTGCAACATGCTGCCCCGGTAAAGCGAAGTCTGTCCACCTCTTTGAATCACTGATGCACCGACCTTCCAGGCAGCAAATAAGACACAGAAGCTGCATATCAGAGTCTACCAATGGCTGTTTACACTGGAGCAGAAAGTGTGAGAAAAGCTGTCCTCTGACAGACGCCGACTTGGATAAGGCTCGCGATTCAGGGGAAGGCGGATATACCCTGCTCCGGATTATTATTCTTCCGAGGAATATCCCCCTTTGCGTCCGAAGCCGGCGTGTTGCTGCAGACCACAAGGTTGACTTGTCTGACCGCCGGCGCCTGGACTGATGTGAATCACCAGTGGCTTTTACGTTGAGCACTTGGTCTGTTTGTTTTCTGCATCTTCTGTGTTTGCTTGCTATCAGGGTCTGGTTTTCGCAAGGACAGGCCGTCAGCCCCCTTGCCTGCCTGTTTTCTTTGTCTGCCACTTCTATCTCTGCGCTATCTTTGATGATGAGATTATTCCAAGACTGTTTGCATCAATGTGCTTTCCCGTCCAGCCTGTCGGGTCCTCACAGAATTACTATTTCATCTCTTTGCATCTCCCAGGGTCCCGAAGTCTCTGGGACCAAGAGTAATCCCCATCCACAGGCACCAAAAGACGACCACCATGGCATTGGTTACTTCCAAGCCACGTTGATATCCAAGTACACCAACATGATGTACCTCGAACCACAGCCTCACAATCGATGTCATCGGGAACCTGCTCCCGGGCGATACACGAGGCGGAAAGACTTTCCAGGGCATCGCTGTAAGATAGAGGAATTAGCGGGGGTCGACAGATCGTCACTGAAGTTCATATTTGATCTCAAGCACATTTAGTTGAAGTTGAAGTTCAAGTCTGTGGGAGATCAATTGCGTTTTGCTCCATAGTTTGATGAGCACGCCCGGTCTCTGCGTCTGTGTCTGTGTCTGTGTCTAATATAGGCGAGTCGTTCTCTCTAGGCGGTTACCTGCTTTTGGAAGACTTGGGTTCTATCCTTGTCCGTATCTTCAAGTATGATGGTTTTCATTTTCAAGCATAAGCTACCTTTGTAAGAGCTTCGCAAAAGATCTATGCTATGCTCCCGAAGCGGACACAAGGATGAGGCCGAACCCAAACAGCATTCAGTGAGCTCGACACACGACCTGTGTCTACTTGGCGGTTCTGGTCTTTGTATTTGCCGCCGACGAGGCCTTCGCAGAGAGGTCGCATGGGTGTGCTGAGTTGGTAAGATACTTCATAGTTCTAATAATTACTGTACTCCGTAGATGGTGGTCGGAAATTCGGGTCCATGGAGACGGTGCGGGCAGCTGCCGCGATTGGCTGACGTAGTTGGCTTCCCGACGTTCTGCGTGCCATCATCAGCTTCGGTAAACTGCGACGACTCCCCATGTCCTTCTCGTCCTACCAATATTTCTGTGGTTCACAATCCCCTCGAATCCTTCGAGAGCTCGATAATATCTTAAGCATGCTTCCTCCGCCCAGATGACCTCCGGGCCAATGCGCAAGCTTCCCACGACCACCAAGTGCGCCGCTCGAGCTTCGAGATGGACTTCCATTCATCCCAACCAAGTCCAACTGCTTCGCAGGCACAGGTCGACCGCTTCCGGTGGCGGCTCCCTTCGCCAGGTGCTGCCTAGGAGACATCTGGCGCAAGTGAGGCCTGAGCCCATATCCGAAGTCTGGTTCACGTCTGCTTCTCCCAGATATAGCCCAGAAGACGACCTGCTTGGATCTCCTGCGCCTGGCAACAACAGTGACCACAAACCGCCAGATGAACGCTTGATCAGGTTAGGCAAGAGTACGTCTAAGATGGAGTCACGCGATAAAGCCATTGGAAAATACTAACATATCATAGCATTGCGAATACTGTCGCCTCTTCTCCCGGATATCTTGACCAAACCACTCCCACCCGAGATCCTGTCCCCCAACATCTCCCTCCACCTCTTTCCCTCCACCCATCCTCATCTGCCGGCAGTCAAAGGCCGCGTTGCCTACCGCGCATCTCTCTGGACTGCCCCAGTCGCCTGGGGCTGCGTCCCCATCGTGGGAAATGTGAAGCTGAGGATCATATCGGAGAAGATCGTGCGGACGGGATTCTCATATGCCACCCCTCCAACCGAAGACGAGCAAGATCTCAGCGCAGAGAAACTGGTAGTGCGGTGGAAGACGGAGCCTAAGACTAATGGCAATGGAAGTCCCGAAGCCGCCGCATCTTCTACCGCCGACTCAAATATCAACCGCGGGCTATCGAAACTGCTCGGCGGAGACAAGCCCATCTTCAACCTCAACAAAGGCGATGACTTTACAGGCCTGTTTATCTTCACCTTCGACTCCAAGGGCAGGATAGCCAGTCACACAATTGAGCACGCGGAGGAGAGCAATGGCTTTGACAAGACGAGCAAGGTCGTCACGCTGACGGACTGGTTGTTGGGCAAAGCAAAATGGGGGAGGAACAGGGAGGAGGAACTAGTTCCCGGACTGGCAATGAGAGTGTGTCGGGACGAATGGAATATCAAGAGGGGATTGCCCCCGAATTCCTGAGGACAGGCTCGTCAGCACTCGACCTGAAAGCACAAAGTGTCACGGAGCCTCTGTAGCAACGCTGCCTCAAGATCGAGCGCACAATGTGATGTGTCGACTTCACTCAAGAGATGTCCATGTTAGGACTATGTTCCTCTCACTCCTGTCCAGAGAACAAAAGTCCAAGGTGGAACGAAATGTGTGCAGGGAGTGGCTCTTCGTCGGGAGCATCGGAACAGAAACAAATCAATACTCAGTTCAGTGCTGCTCAACTCTACTCATCCATAGTTTGTAACAGTTATTGTGCAATAAAATTACGGCAGAAGCCTCCCATTGCCCCAAACGTGATCGAGAATCTAACATCGGCAAGGGTTGAGGTAGATATTGCCCGCCTTCATACATCCCGAGTTTGTGGACCTATTAATAGCGATATTGCTATAAAACATATTGAGCTGCATTTGAAATACTTTTTTTGAATAGACGTCTCATCGCGTCTTCATTGCCCAGCTAGAAATTATCATCCCAGAGGTCATCCTCCCACAACAAAAGCCGCTACATAGGAAGCGCTGATTCAAAGAGTCGACTCAAGTGCAAGGACCTGTAAACATCGAGTCAGTGAGCTAGTCCATGACCAACGAGAAAATTGCAGCAAGGTTAGAAGGATATAAACTCACCAAAGCTGTCCTATTAGGAAGATAAACCTGCGTGAAGTTCTTCCTGTTATTCCAAGGCATATCGGTCGTGAAAAATCTCGTGTCCTTTACATTCCTGCCGTGCCCACCATACTCAGTGGCATCCGTATCGATGACAATGCGATAAACGCCCGGTACCTCCACGCCGACTCGGTAATCGGTAAATGAGTTCGTAGGGTGGAAGTTGAATATCCATAAGAGACCTGCTCTTTCAAAGACTAGCACTTTGTCGGTTTCGTTTTTCAGAGAGATGTAGGCCTGAGGGCTGTGCAGCCAGCCATATTTCTCTTCCGTCCACTGCATTGTACGGTCGAATTCATTCAAGAATCTGTACCGAAGAAGATGGTCTTCAGTCAAGTTCAACTGTCGGCGAGCATACCAGAAAGAATTGTCGTTGCCTGCTCGAGGGAAATCGAGCCACTCTGGATGCCCGAATTCGTTGCCCTCGAAGTTGAGATAACCTTCACCGCCCAGGCCATGAGTAACAAGGCGGATCATTTTATGGAGGGAGATAGCGCGGTCGATGGTCGGTGTCAATGGGGTCAGGACTGACATGTGCGTGTACATCTCCGCATCGGCGAGCCACATCATCAGCGATTTGTCGCCCACCAAGGCTTGGTCGTGGGATTCGGCATATGCGATAGTCTTCTCACCGTGGCGGCGGTTGGTCAGGGTGAATGCAATGTTGCCGATATCCCATTCATCATCTTTCTTCTCCTTGAGCAACTTGATGTACATGTCAGGAACCGCCATGGCGAGGCGGTAGTCAAATCCTATTCCGCCCAGCGAGAGTTTCAAGCATAGCGCGGGCATACCAGAGACGTCTTCGGCAATGGTGATGCAGTTTGGATAGATGTCGTGAAGCATCTCGTTGGCGAGCATGAGATAGACCACAGCTTCTACGTCCACGGACGAGCCGAAGTATTCGTGGTAGCCTCCCGAGAAACCCGTGCCAATACCGTGATGAACGTAAAGCATCGAAGTGACTCCGTCGAAACGGAAACCGTCAAATTGGTACTCCTCCATCCAGAACCGCAGGTTGGACAATAGAAATCGGAGCACTTCGTGATGGCCATAGTTGAAGAGTCGGGAATCCCATAGCTCGTGTCGGCCCTTTCCACCTTCATGGAAGTAGAGGTGGTCGCTGCCGTCGAACATGTTGAGACCGTCCAGTACGTTCTTGCTTGCATGAGAATGCACGACGTCTAGGAGCACTGTGAGCCCCATGCCGTGGGCCGTGTCGATAAGTTCCTTCAGATCTTCCGGTGTCCCATATCGGGAGCTTGCCGCGAAAAAGGAGTTGACCTGATATCCGAAAGAGGCGTAGTAAGCATGCTCCATGATTGCCATTAATTGAATGACGTTGTACCCGAGATACTTGATCCTTGGTAGCATGTTCTTGGTGAATTCCTTGTACGTGGCAACCTTCAGGTCGGGGGAAGAAATGCCCACGTGTGCTTCGTAGATGCGGACACTCTTCGGGTAAGGAGGGCGAGGGTTCTTGAAGACATAACGCTCTTCCTTGGGAGGATTCCACAGCACCGCATCGTAAACGGGGGATACGGAGAGATCTTGGGTAACTCTGGTGATCCACGCCGGTATTCTTTCGATGCGTTCTCCTCCAGGGATCACCATGGAAATCTTCAATTTGGTGTTATGGGCAATCGCTGGGACGCCATCTTTTGCAGGAAGCCTTAGTTCCCATACGCCATACTCGTTCTTCTTCATTGGGTGCGACTCTCTGTTCCAGTTGTTGAATTCGCCGATTAAGGAAGCTTGCTCAGCGTTGGGGGCCCATTCGCGGTATACTATGGTGCCGTCCGGCTCGAAAGTGAAGCCGAACTTCTCATATCCGCGGCTGAATCTCTCCAGGCCGCCCTCAGCTTGATCAATCTTCTTTATCCATTCCTGAGCTTTTGCAAACCGGTACTTCAGGTCTCCCCGGAAGGGTTCCAACCAAGGATCGAGCTGTATAACACCTAATGAGAAGTTAGAGAAGCTCAAGGAAATCATGGGAGCTTCCATACCTGTTCCGTCAGGGGCGGCTTCACCGCTGGCAGGTGCAGCCATCAGCGAATTTGCAGAATCCTGATTCAATGCCATGAGGGGCAGTCGAGGTCACAACACGAGCTGGGGAGAGGTGGAATAGTCAATTGAGTCAGATCCAGAAAATAGAAGAAGTAGACGTGAAAAGTTAGGATAGGAGCTCAGAAGTATTTATCGAGCTGTTCCTGAGAGGCCGGTGTCTTGTTGGAGGGGTCTTTTGGGCCTGGATGGGAAAAATGTTGAATGAGGTGTTTACCTGCGCAGGCTACGAGACGCTTGGGGGCTGCGGCGAAATTGTGGTTTGAGGGACTGGATAATGACATCAGCCCTCAACAAGCAAACTTGACGTGGTTTGACGTGGGGAAGGAAGCTCTCAGGTGGCTCCTGGGTGGCTCCTTCCCTGCATGCTCGAGCCAATCAGTGCGCTCAGCAAGGGCTGGTCCGCCACTATCTTCATTCCGACAGTTTTTCCGTTCCGAAGGGTCTTCGTTGCAACCTTCCATCCCAGCAAAAAGTCCATGTGCTCTGTGCTGGACCACCTCGATCAAGTTTTTACTCGATGCTCTCGCCCTCGAGATCGCCGCCCTTCTTCATCAATTCTACTCTTTCGCCGGTGTCCACCAACGGCCTCTGGATGACCTTTTCTTGCTCATCGTTCTCTATCCTCAGCCCAACGCACTTCGCAATAAACTCGCATAGCAGTTCCTCTGCCTCGAGCGCATGTCTTGTCAACGCGTGATCGTCGTTCTGGAAGAGCTTCAATTGTCGCTCCCCACCTTTTCCATACGACTCGTAGAGGCTCTGGGAACAGTGCCATCGCAATATTCGATCGCCGGTACCGTGGAGCAAGAGCAATGGCCTTGGGGCAAGCTTCCCTATCCCACTCGTACCTGCGGTTTGGCTTGCAATGGTAGCACACCCTACCACACGATCTGCCAACCTTAGACAGAGTCTGGAACAGAATTATCAACGCCTACCTTTCTCTTGCCCGCCCACTGTGAACTGCAAGCTATTGTTAGTGCATGTGCATATTTACGTGTTGTGATAGCAACTGCTATTCAAACACAGAGCCAGCATCAGAAAGGTAAAATGAAAACTCACCACTGGCGCGCCCCCGAATGACCAGCCAACCAAGACGAATTTGCGAATAGAATACTTCTGCTCCAAATGGTCCATTGCCGCAACCACATCTTCCACGCAGGGAGTGTCATGGGCCGGATAGCGGTAATCCAGCCGAAGCACAGGAATGCCACGTCGGAGACTGGCGACTTTGTCTCCAATGGAGATATACATTGAGGAAGGGCCAACGACGCCCCCGCCGGCCCCAGAAAGGAGTATCGCAGCAGCAGCGACTCTCTCCTTGTTCTCTGCATATCCCGCAGGAAGATGGAGAAGACCACGTACGCTGGTCCCTCCCACAGGCACTGACAGGCGTTCCGTGGTACAGAGGGACTTCTGCACCTGTTTCAGGGTCCCGAACTTCGATGCATGTTCCAGTATATTCGCCTCAGTTGAAGCCATTTTGGAATGGTGATTTACAGCCTCGTCAAGGCACATTGCTCCGGATGTATTGGTGCCTTGAAGTAAGGAAACGTCATGGGAACCAGACTTCGATCGAGTAGATTGATTGGAGCCCATTGCCCACAGCCTGAGGATCCTCTCCAGGCGTTTGACGTAACCTACCTGAGCATTTGGATGCATAGATTACACATCAGATCTTCCCCTCACACTGTGACTCGTATATACAGCAGTACACAGTAATTCGTATCGAGTTGACCCAGCAGCAATTGTACCGGTGAAACTTCGGAAGAACTCCCACAAGTTGTGGCGATTGCGAAATGAGGGGGCAGCAGCTATCGCATCTTCCAACAATCGAGTTGACTCATACCTCCTTGCATTCATTATTGTATTGAGATTGCTGCATGCAGACAGGAGGCAGTTATACTATATCCCCGGGTGCTGGCACTTGACGCCCGCCCCCAACGTGAACAGCACCGATGCGCTCAATACGACCTCTCCCAATCTTTCTTTGCCCTGCCCTCGATCGAACGTTGGCCGCGTCAACCACCTCTATGCCACGGCGGCTCCGTTCATCGTATATTGCTCTAAGCAAGCGATCTCTCTCGACCCACTCGCAAAGGCTGTCTTCGTCTCAGTTCCATCGTTCCGACTTTGCCAATCAGCCCTTCACCGGAACATACGAACCAGGGTTGCCTACGTCTGGGCCATTAGGTGGAGCTTCGATATATGGCACTCCTCGCTTGACTCCCAAGGCCCTGAAACAGCATCTTGATCAGTTTGTTGTTGGTCAAGAACGAGCCAAGAAGGTCCTGAGCGTTGCCGTATTCAACCACTATCAGAGAATACAAGAGCTGCAAAGACGGGAAGAGGAGGAGGAAGAGCTGCTGGCACAGAGAGAAAGGAGAGAGCGACATCCTGTCGAAAATGAATTTCCCGGTCAACAAGCTACGGTCCGCATGGGCGGACCCTCAGCTACACTTAATCCGCGAACAGGTGGCTCCCTCTTGGTGGATACGAGTCCTCTGACATTAGAGAAGTCAAATATCTTACTTCTTGGTCCCAGTGGTGTGGGAAAGACATTGATGGCGAAGACTCTTGCTAGAGTTCTCTCTGTTCCCTTCTCAATGTCCGATTGTACACCCTTCACTCAAGCTGGATACATTGGCGAGGACGCTGAGGTATGCGTGCACCGGTTGTTAGCCGCGGCGAACTATGACGTCGAAAGAGCTGAACGAGGCATCATATGTCTGGATGAAGTTGACAAAATCGCAACGGCGAAGGTCAGCCATGGGAAAGACGTGTCAGGCGAAGGCGTGCAGCAAGCACTTCTGAAGATTATCGAAGGGACTACCATCCAGATCCAGGCGAAGCCCGAAAGAAATGCTCCTCGAGCGGGTGGCCAGTCACAGACCTACCCCACCAATAGTCCCTTGGGCGCCGGCTTCTCTTCTGGCACATCAGGGACTTCGGCCGCTCCAGCAAAAGGCGAGGTCTATAACGTTCGCACGGATAATATCCTCTTCATCTTCAGTGGTGCATTCATCGGACTCCAAAAGCACATCATGGACCGACTGACTAAAGGGAGTATTGGTTTCGGCGCCAGCGTACGATCTAGCTCAAATTTGATCTCCTACAGCCGTGATCAGAAGTCCACCACAATCACTCCTGTCCCCATCCTGCCAGGATCCCAAGAAGAGGCTCTCTACAAGAAACATTTGCCCTTCTTCACCCCTACGCCAGCTCCTGAGCAGACTATGGATGGCTCTGCCCCAGAACCAAACTACTTTAACCCTCTGGACCTGGTCACTCCAGCCGATCTACAATCCTATGGTTTCATTCCTGAACTTATCGGACGGATACCGACGACTGCCGCCTTAGCTGCACTCACCCACTCTTTGTTACTGCGTATCCTTACAGAGCCGCGCAATTCGCTCGTGGCACAATATGTCACGCTCTTTTCCCTTTCCGGTATCGAGCTCCGCTTTACTACGCCTGCCCTTCACGTTGTCGCGTCAAATGCCCTTGCAATGGGCACAGGAGCCAGAGCTCTCAGAACTGAAATGGAGACCATTCTCGGTGATGCTATGTTCGAAGCTCCCGGGAGTAGCGTTAAGTATGTGCTGGTTACCGAACGAGTGGCAAAAAGAGAAGAAGGGGCCATCTACTTTGGGCGAGGCCAAGGAGGCAAGTTCCACGCTCTTATCGCTCAGGAGGAGGGTGACTGGGAAGACAAGCAGAAGAAAAAAGATCCTGACCGAAAAGGCGAGGCTGTCTCCGCCAGCTTCGAGGACTGGAGAACGAAGACGACAATAGCTGCTGGAAGCGGTGGCTGAGGCGAGTTGTGACTGGCATTCCTACTGATGAATTGATGACGAATGATGAGCATTGAGTCGCCTGCGACAACTGACAAACGTGTTCACTATACGGGATTTCCTGGATTCATTTTGCCGTAAACCGACCTCGTCCAATGGACGACGAACATGAGATTAGAGGTCTCTCGTCTGACCGAATCCCAGCTTGATTCAGCCAGGTCAGATCCTGTCCTTCGGCAGCCTTGCCCTCCTCCTCCTCCCTGCAGAGGATTGTACCTCACCCTTCGCTGGGGGGCACTTCACGCACATCCTTACTCTCCTCGCCAAGCAGTCGACCTCAATATAGGTGGATCCTATCGCCCAAAATGCAAGGATATATTTTATGATTCCGAGATTTCTCTCGCCTTTAGGCAAAGCGTGACCACCTACGGACAAGAGCTGATTACAGCCACAAAAGTGGACTCACCCAGAGACTGTCGAGCCTTGCTGGCTACAAGTGTCATTGCGACCTTGTGGTGACAGCGTTACGGCCAGGACGCATAGGGTAAAAATTCGAAAGGACCCCTAGTGGGCTGTCTGCAAACTCCCGGGAACTTCGGTTCTGCAGGAGAGGCACGGATTTTTTGTTCCTGGGTAGAAGAGAGGGTTGGGGGTTCAATTCCGACTGTGGGCGTGAGAATTTGCTATCTCGCCGACTCTTTTTGGGCTGTTCTGGATTGGGATATTTATGTCGGGGTTGTGGGAGGAGGTGCGGCAGAAACGGCATAACCACTAAACAAATCATGGTACACCAGTTAGAACGGCTGAACGCAACTGCAACCGGGGGACGCAGATCAAGACTATAAGCCACGCGACGAATCTTTCTAGCTGTTCAACTCAATCATTTGATAACAACGAGAATACCACTTGCCATGGTTCTATGAGCTGCGCTCTGCGTTCTTACAAGCTTCACGGACACTCATCCGAGGAGACTGGCATGGTTATCAGCCAGCTTTTTGAGGGAGACTACATCAAACATCAGGCCGGCATTCAATTTCTATTCCAGCACAATATGCGACTTGCATCGGCGAAGTCTTCAAAAGAACATGACGGATTCGAGAGAAAATGCAGACGACGAGCCAGAGAAGGTGAACAAGACGAGGGAACGTCAACCTGTTCAACCAACGCCGGTCCTGCGTCAGTCGATTTGAGATGTGGACATCGAGCCAGATACGAGGTACAGGGGACGGCTTTCGAGGAATGGGACAATAGCAAGAGCCTGGAGCATGGTCTTCTCACTACCGATAGCACATTATGGAGGCACAACAATATATAATATCATTGTGATCAGCTAGCGGAGTGTTAAACGTCGATGATACCACAGGAAAGGGGCTCGGAGCCTTGGCTCTGCCAGAGCGCCTTACAAATCTTCAATATTCAGTTCATCATCCCTCTTGAGTGGCATTAACAAGCATGCGGCACCCATCGGCATCCCTCCAACTTAGAGGATGGTCATGTCATGCATCTTCCTTCCCGTTCGATCCTCTTGCTACAGGGGCCGCACGGTCTTTCTCATGACAGTATGTGGCCTGAGCACTGTGCGCCGAGGCTGTGCGCATCATACCAATGTTCAGATGCAGAGCGTTGTGCTGATCGTGTCGGCTGTGGGTAAAGCCTAGGAACTCGCTTACACGACCTCGCTCCAAGCAAGCCTTGGAGCCGCCGTTCCCATCTTGAGGCATATACAGAGCTGAGCTGTACGGCTGTGTGTCTTGTGTGACGTAGAGCAAGTTCGGGCGAAGTTCGGATCTCACCCTATTGGCTGTACGAGGTATATACTTAGTAATGCTTCTACCCGGTACACATATTGCTCCTTGCAGTATATTTCCGGGCCACTTCCCTTCTTCCGAGTCTCCTTCGAAACTAAAGGTTACTTTTTCTCTGAACGAAAGGAGATCATAACATTGCCCGCTGCTGCTAAATCATGTCTACAACACGCGTGCTCGTCCTCGGCGGCCACGGCAAGGTCGCTCTCTTCCTGCAGCCTCTCTTACTCGCGAAGAGCTGGAATGTCACCAGCGTCGTCCGCAACCCGGCGTACGAGTCCGAGCTTCTGGCGCTCGGCAAGGGCAAGCCCGGTAAGATCGACGTCCTGGTGGACAGTCTCGACGATGTCAAGGAAGTGAGCGATGCCAGGAGAGTGCTGGAAAAGGTGAAGCCGGATATTGTGGTGTGGAGTGCCGGTAAGCATATCATTTCTAGATGTCCATCACCATCCTGAGCACTCAGGGCTTGGACCTTTGGGGCAGCACCGTCAGAGTTCTGTGGTTGGGATGTTAACGTCGAAATGCTGTTAGGCGCTGGTGGGAAGGGCGGACCGGCCAGAACAAAGGCCATTGATATGGTTGCTGCGAAATGCTACGTCTCTGCATCGCTGGCCGTGCCAAGCGTCAAGAAGTTCCTGATGGTCTCATACCACGCGGTAAGTACCTCGAATCCCTTTCAATCCGCAGCCTAGTGAGCACAACAGACAGACTTTGCTAACGAACGTGTCGCAATGCAGTCTCGTAGGGGTTATCCCCCGTGGTGGACCGAGGAAGACCGGAAGGCTGCGGACAACACGAACCACAATGTTCTGCCGGTTTACTACGAAGCGAAGGTGGAGGCGGACGAGCACCTCGAGGCTCTTGCAAAGAAGAGGCTGGACAGCGGAGATCGAGAATTTCAGGCCATCAACTTGAGGCCCGGCACCCTCGCGGACAAGCCAGGGACGGGAAAAGTGTTGCTAGGCAAGACGCCAGTAGCCGGCGGTACGTTTAGTCTTTTTCCCTTCTTTAGCATACCTCCCCGTCTGCCGGTCTAGCTGTTCGCTGACAACTTCCACACCAGCTGTGCCGCGCGAGGATGTCGCACGCGTTGCCGCTGCGCTGTTGGATCGCAACGATACAAGAGGTTGGTTTGACTTGCTGGAGGGCGATGTCCCCATAGATGAAGCAATCGACAGCCTCGTCAAGAGCGGGCACAACGGTCTTGAGGGAGAGGATATGCAACGCATTTGGGGGAGAGAGACGTGAAAGTTCTCAAGCCTGGCAACTCGCACAGCAGACCTTGTGGTTGAGGAGTGTTGAGACCGCTTGTATCCATGAGCAGAATAACTTTATAACTAGTGATATGCGTCCTTTAATCGATCATCTCAGGGCACTCCTCTGCCTTCCCGAGTCGCTTTGGCCATCTCACTCATCGCCCGGTCTTCCGCATATCGCTGATAGATAGGCATGTAGTGTTCCTGATCGCTCAGCGTCTCGGTCACCGACTTCCTTGACGTCACGACATCATTCCATTTCCGCCACCGATTCCACAGTTCTTCATCCTCTCCGCCCTGGCCCGGAGGAGGAATTCCCAGCCCGCCCTTGAAGTGGTCGAGCACCCACATCCTGACCGCCCACGGGGCGAGAGCCACGTCGGCGAAGGTGAAGTCTTTGCCCATGAAATAAGGCCCTTCAGGATCGGCGCTGGAGATCCACGTCTTGAGGCCGTTTAGAAGCTCCGCGCGGGCTTTCTCCAAGGTGTACGGGCTTTTCTCTGTATGCTGCAGGAACCTGTGTTGCTGTGAGACCTTGAGACCAAACTGAAGTGCATCGATGGCTACCTATGGTATGCTGGTAGTATCCTGGTCGTTATGTGATCGACCCAGACTTTCATCACTGCTTTTTTGTAAGGATCGCGTGGCCACAGGGGTGTCTGGTTTGGAAACATCTCGTCAAGATATCTGACCCTGTCAGCTTATCGGCAGCCCCGGACTCCAAGGTCTCTGTCGTGACATACTCGCAGATGATGTTAGATTCGATCAATGGCTTGGTTGATCCATCCTCTTGAGGGCAGCCGAGTGTGGGGACCAAGCCTCGCGGGTTGAGCTTGAGGAAACTGTCTTTGGGTCGGTTTTTGTAACCTTGTCCAGCGAGGATCTGATATGTACAAACCTTGGTTCCTTCCGATACGGATTGATCTCGACATACTTGTACGGAATCTTCTTCTCTTCAAGCGTGATCCAGGCTCTCTGCACGAAGGGGCAAAACCATCCCGAATATAGAGTGATGGGCTCGTCCTTCTGATGTGCCGCAACAATCTTGGCCGCAGGGCCTGTTGCCTCCGGATAGATATCTGCGTCAGGATGTGATGCTGAACCCATGATTTTTCGATATGCTTGTCAAGCTCAAGGGGGTTCTTCTTTCAACAATACAACAAATACGAGGGGAAGAGTGTACCCTATATCCATGATCATCTTATCATTCTGTTATTAGTCAGAATTGGAGAAACGGAATCGTGACGCAATATCATGCGGAGAGACGTCAAGTCATCCTGAGGAATAAGTGAAAGAAAGGTCTGAGAAGAGAGAGTAAGATGTATGCGAAGGAAAAGTGATAACGATCAATTATGTAGCTCTGTTCGCCTTCAGGGGCGCTCTGTCTTCTGTTATACACAGCAATGTCCTTATTGTTATTCCCAGAACTTTAGCTCTATCGACCTCGTCGTTCTTGAGCGCACTGATTCTGGTATATAATTCCGTGTCAGACCATGTCGTTTATTTTTAGAGGCGGATCGCCGCTCCCCGCTTCTCGCTTCCAGCACTTGCCACACGCGTTTCGTGTAAACACTGCATATTTTTCAGTGAGCTCCTCCATGGTCCTACGTATCCTTGCTCCAAGGGCCTCATCCTAGCCATCCTTGCATACACCCTGCGGCAAGACTCTTCGAGCTATTGCCCATGGCAAAAAGTCCATCGGTATCGGTTGACGTAGCGGCGTTGAACGTCCGACTGCTGCATCAATATGCCACGCGCCCCTCGACGAGCAGCTCATCAGGCACGCAACAATGAAGTAACAACGACGCCCACACGGAATGCTTTGATTGCGGAAATCCCACCCTCTATGCTCGAAACACCGCCCCACGCGCCCTTCCTCACTTCTCCTTTACCTCCCTCAAATAACCCGGGCGTTTCAATTGTTGGGACCACTGCTGCACGACGTCAACACGTCCGATACGCACCAACACCAAGCACACATGGAAATGGGAACCTTCAGAACGAGGTTGCTGAAGAGACGCAGGCGTCGCAGAATGCTCTCGGCTCAACAGCTTCAGAAGGGGGTCACGCAGAGGAGCAGTCATTACTTGAGTCCGTTCACCATGATATCGAAGATGCCAAACAACTCAAGGGCCTGCGTGACATCTCATCGTTAGCAACGTGGACTTTGTCCTCCACGAAGCCTGGCTGTGGGCTGGCACAACTTCGCAATCCGAGTCCTACTTTATTCTGGCAGAGTGACGGTCCGCAACCTCACACCCTGACGTTACATTTCTTCAAGCTGGTTGCTATTGTCAAAATGAGAATCTATCTGGATTTTGAGCTTGACGAGTCGTACACGCCGACGAAAATGAAGTTCTATGCGGGCATGTCAGAGGGTAGTCTGGTTGAGTTCGGCACATGGGAAGTCTTCGACACCGTCGATCCGGACACTGGTGAGCCGCAGAATAACATTGAAGGTCTACGGGGCTGGATCGACGTCCCACTTAAGGGGGTGGGCGGAAGAGAGCCACGCCACCATGGAATTTCGGATATGGGAGTCAGTCAGGGGGAACCCACGCTGTACCCTCTCAGCTCCGACCGCCAGGAGAACCCGGGAGGGGACGTGCTGAAAGCCATGGTGGTGCAGATTCGGATTTGTGAGAATCACCAGAATGGCAAGGACACCCATGTTCGAGGATTTCAGGTATTTGGACGAGACTACAACCACCATCCAGAGATGAAGAGCCACGTGAGGAAGACCAAAGGAGGAAAACAGAAAGAGACGCTTCAGGGTGTTGACGATGCCGATCGGAGTACTGGGCTCCAGATGGCGGACTGGATGGGTGACCCAGAGATTCGATAGACGCTGCATGACTTTGATGACTTCTGCCACGACATGGACGCTACCGATTGAATGCATTAATGGGCATACTGGGAAAAGCTGCCGGATCATTATTATAATTCTCATGAGATGATTTGAAAGGTGTTTGGCAGAATTGTGGCGGAAGTGAGGTCAGTGAGTAACGATTCACACCCATGGTACACCACACACACCTGCGACTTTCACTCTCACACAACCTTTCCTGATGATGTTTCATCTTTCTTTTCTACCGCCGCTCGCACTGCAATTCTCACTCTCTGCCTGAACAAGCTCCTAGATAGCATGCAAAATGGTCATCCGCGTATCAATCCCACTTCTTCTCTGTCTCGGCATTTGTTTGCCACTCTGGTTCCTCGTAGATAGAATTCCCCAAGGTCAGCATCACTTGGGCTCGTTTCGTTCGGAAACATTGCTAACGAGGTCATCTCAGACTCCTGGGTCAATGCCCGGTGTGAAAATCTCCCCTATCAAGCACGAGCGTCGTCGGCAACGGGTCGAGTTACAACCCCTTCAAGCTGCATGCTGCAACCCTACGACTCAACCAAGATCCAGTCTTGCCTCTCCGACCAGCGACTCATATTCTTCGGTGGTGCAAAAGCTTCCCAGATATTCTGGACTGTTGGGGGGAAAATGGACCGCCATGAAACTCAAAGTACCAGCCAGAGCCCTGAAACCAATATCACAGGTGCTACAATTTTCAGCTCGGACGGCGCAGAGATCATTCATGTCTGGGACTCTGCCTTCAACTCAACCCGCCATGCCCTTGTGGGCGTCAGGCCAACAGGAAAGAACGAGGCTCATGCAGACCACCCGTGGATGATCGACGATGTTCACTTCTTTTTCACCGAGGATGGTGTCCATCTCACTGATGAGGCTGCACCACTCCATGCCGACATCGTGTTGAATTACTTCTGCAACAAGCTTCTCGGCGTGCCGTCCAAAAGTTCTCAAGCATACTGTTGTGCCCCTTATGTCGGTCCAAATGCTGTGCAGAAGATGCTGCTTTTCGTGGCTTCGTGTGCGATCGTATATCACCTCTTGTCATTCTTCGGATGGGGCAAGCATGTCACCAGCCATGAAAGAAATTGGTTCTCCTTCTCGGACGCACCCAGAGTCGGTGGCGCGGTGGCGACAGTCTCGCTTGCCGTGCTGTACTGCTTCACGGCGGATCGTACTGCCTTGTTCGAGAAAGCTCCGAAAGCGGTTGATCTGGGCAAATTCGTCTGCGGGATTGGCTTCGCACTGCTCGCAGGCCTGGCTACCCTCAAGCAAAATCGGACCCAGCATGAGCCAGCCGATGAAAACATGACCATGCTACCAGAACACCGCCAAGCGCTTTCGAGGCAGCAGACAGAGGAGTGGAAAGGCTGGATGCAGATCGTCATCCTGTTGTACCACTACTTTGGCTTGTCGAAAGTCCTCTGGGTCTATCAGTTTGTCCGGCTGTTGGTCTCTTCTTACCTCTTCATGACGGGATTTGGCCACACCACCTATTTCATCACCACGAACGACTTCTCATTCCGCAGAGTGGCGACTGTCTTGTTGAGGACTAATTTGCTCAACGTCATTCTCGCATTCGTGATGGGGACTCGGTACGATCTGTACTATTTCCCAATGTTGACCAGCTTGTGGTTTCTCATTGTCTGGGCAACAGTCCCTAGAACTGCAACATCTGGAGTGGACATGCATCGATTTATCCGCCGGGTTGCCATATCTGTGACGTTGGTCAGACTCACCCTAGGGGCTAGCAATATCATCGAACCGTTCATCGCCGCGCTCAACAATACAGGCTTGGGACTTCCGGAAATAGACGGACGGGAGCTTTTCTTCAGATTTGGCCTCGACGCGTACATTGCCTTCATTGGCATGATCGCAGCCGTTCTTTATGCAGAGCAAGACAATTGCTACAGCCTCCTATCCCATAAAACTGCGGCGGTATCCTTCCTCTGGGCGCAGCTGACTTCGAGATTGACAGCATGGGGTGCCGCGTTCGTCATTTTAGCATACTCGATATTCTGCGCCTGTTTCCCAGACAAGTTTCGTTACAACGCATGGCATCCATTTCTCTCACCGTTGCCGGTGCTGGCTTTCATTGTCCTCAGAAATTCGACACGCAAATTGTCGGCCTCTCACAGTCGACTCTTTGCATGGTTTGGCCGATGCTCTCTGGAGACCTTTGTCTATCAATATCATATACTGCTCGCTGCCGACTCTCGAGGCGTACTTCGCCCAAGGCTAGTCTGCAAATTCGTCGGTCGACAGACCTGCCGAGACGTCTTTGACGTTCTGGAAACTGCAATTGTGGTTGCCGTGTTTCTTTGGATGAGCGCTGCTACGACGAATGCCCTGTCCACACTCACCAAAAGCCTTGCTGGCCTCGGTCCTAAGGTGCTGTTCACATTTATTGGCCTATGGATACTCAACCTGACGTGGGACTCCTCGGCCGCTAGAACCGCACAATACTAGGCAGAAGGAGGCTTCCGCCTGTCCATTAATTAATTCCGCGCCCCAGAATTTCACCCACCCAGAATCAGAAGCCTTCTCCAACTTTGGTACTCCACATTCTCGGTTCGTTTTCTCAATGTGACCTGGCGGCGGAGAAGAACGCCCTTAAAGTCAAGATTCTACGATGGCTGGATGGCCTGGATACCTTGTGAGTCAACGATTGAAGGGAGATGTAATCCTGTACAACGTCGGACTGTGATTCAATCTCATAGAGTCAAGGATGTAAGAGGGCGTTGTACGTCAGACATCGTACTTGCTGATCTCACACCTCTTCCAGCACGCAGGCACTGACTCCATGCATCGCACGGGATGTTGATACGGCAAATGCGTGCCGTGCGGTGTCGGAGGCGAGGTGGATTTGAACTTGCCTCCACATCTCACTAGTCTTTATACTCTTCGGTCCCGGTGGAACGTCCCTTTTGTCCTGCTCCAGGAAACTGTTTGCTTGTCTTGCTCGCGTTGTACCAATTTCTCAATGACATTCAACTTCAATCGAGGCACCATGGGCGAGGACAAGCCAGAAGGAGACGGCGAGGAGGTTCCCATTGAAGTGCCCATCCAGCCGGGGGAGCCCGTGGCAGCCTTCGATGCATCTGTTGAACCCCCATATGGATGGGTCGTCTGCATCGCCATGCATTTGATCAATGGCTTTACCTGGGGAATCATTGCGGTATGGTTACTCGGCCCCAACGTGTTTGTAGCCAGTTCTAACTTTTTGAGTAGTCATACGGCGTGTACCTATCGTACTACATTGATAATTCCATATTTCCCGGTGCCTCTGATCTGGACTATACTTTTATTGGTGGCGTGAACTTCGCCTGTGCCATGCTGTGCGGCCCCATCGTCAACTTGTTTGTCCGGAGGCTTGGGACGCATATACCTATGTACTGCGGCTGCGTCATGTTTGCGGGCGGCTTCATTGCTGCCTCCTTTGCCACGGAATTCTGGCATCTTATTCTGACGCAGGGTATCCTCGTCGGGTATGTGACTCAAGATTTCTGCTGGTCGCGTGTTAAACTGACGCTGGGCAGGTTGGGAACAGGCTTCTCATGGCTACCAGCTACGCCCATCCTTCCCCAGTGGTTCAACAGAAACAGGAGTTTGGCACAGGGCATTGCAGCAGCAGGAAGCGGTGTTGGCGGAGTCATATTCTCTGCCGCAACAACGCCCATGATCCAGAATCTTTCGCTTGCTTGGTCACTCCGGATCACGGGCATTCTCTCATTTGTGGTACTGTTTACCGCGTGTTCGCTCATCCGCGACCGAAACCAGACAATCCGCCCCAGCTTCAAAGCGATAGACACCAATCTCCTGAAAAAGTATCGTGTCTGGTTGCTTATCTTGTATACATTCTTCTCGATCCTCGGGTATATCGTGACAATCTGTTCTCTAGGTAAACCCTCGCGTCTCATGTCGACCTTTTGTTTCAGTGTGTGGCTTACCTCTATCTCAGGTGCATTCGCAACATCGCTCGGATTGACTCAGGATCAAGGCGGCATCGTTATCACCGTCATGAATGTCGGAACTGCATTTGGACGACCTTTCGTCGGCGTGCTTAGCGATCGATTCGGCAGGATGACAGTTGCAGGCATCTTGACGGCATCAAACACAGTGCTTGCATATGCGATCTGGATCCCCACCAACTCTTATGGCCTGCTCCTCTTCTTTGCCCTTGTGGTGGGCGCTACGAGTGGTGTTTACTGGGGGGTACGAATACAACCACATTCAAGTTACCGATCATGCTAACCCATCGTTAGACCATTGCACCTCTTTGCGCCGAGGTGGTTGAGCTGAAAGAACTTCCGTCAGCACTCAGTCTGATGTGGGTGACTGTCTCGATGCCAGCTTTATGTGAGTACTTCTAGCGGCGCCCGTCGTCTGATGAAGCACGAGCTCATTCCCTGTCTAGTCTCAGAAGCGATTGCATTGGAAATCCGTCGACCTCGCTCGTCTCGCCCCTATTTGTGGCCTCAAATCTATGCGGGTTTGGTCTTCCTGGTTTCTGGTCTGTTCATCTTTGAACTCCGCCGGCAGAAATGGGGTTTCCGCAGAGAGAGGCATCGATGAAAGCTCTCGACACAAGATGTTGAGGGAGGAAGGCCCATTTACAAAAGGTGGGACCTCTTCCCGGGCCATGACAACCACCATAGCATTGGTGAACAGCGCGCCGAAAACAAATCCTGTGTCTTGTCTATCGACCGGCAGGCAACCAGATTTCACCTTCCCAGACTATCCTCTCGGATTCTGTATTCCTGCTCTGGATGACCTACAAGGACAGCGTAGGGTGGATTGCCACTCCAGAGACTGAACACAAAAAGGACTCCACGGCACCAATGATCACATGTGACCACACCACTGAGTGAGTAGGATGAGCGCTGGGGTACGTGGAATGAACCCCTTGCAGAACTCAAATCCGGGAGGCACAAAGGTTCGTCTTTTGGCCCACGACTGCATTTGCCCCGACAATTGCCGTGACGACCTGTTCCAGAGCAAGCCGGTTCAACAGAAGAGGCGGTTACCCGATGGATCTACTGGAGGGAGACTCGCTTCGGGAATCTGAGGCCCAGTGCAACATGCAATACCATTCAAGAGCGACCCAACTTTGAAAAGGAGCTCGTTGGCTTCGCAAGCCTGGAACAACTTCCCAGAGAGTGTATTGAGATGGCTAGGCCTCAGACCTTGACTCTCCGAATAGGGCAGTGGATGTGCTACCCGGTACAGCAGTCGCACCTGGTGAGAGTGTCTCAGAGGGCAGAACTTTTCGCTATCATTCGCCACTTCAGGCTGCTTGCGTATGCAAGGAAGAATAAGGTAGGGCACTGTGCGCTGGCTAGCTTCGACATCTCAAGTGTTAACGAAACTGATGTCCTCTATGTTGTATCCTCTTCACGAATATTTCAATGCATATAAGGAATATCGTTGAGTTGAATTATGGTCACCGTGTAAAATCGACAGCCAGGATGGCTGACGGTGCTCTCTTAGCGTATCTTAAGCGACCTAATCCGACACTGGACTGCACAAAGTCTCCAGTGGGAGCAAATATATTCAACGCCAAATGGGACCCTATCACCGGATTGGACGATTAGGCCGAGTTCAACTATGATACACTGATGCAATCCCGCGGACGTGTTTTACGCCGACAGCTCGTCGCTGAAAATAGTAAGGGTGCCAAAGCAAGGAGAGGAACAGCAGAAGAAGATGATCGATTCTACGTACTCTGGGCTGGTATTAGGCAGAATCAAGAAACCGTGTTTGGCCATAAGAACCTCTGCCCTGTAGATTTTAAACTCGCGACAAAATGGAGTACTTCCGAGAAAGGCCAACAACGGTCAGACTTTACTACGCCCTTCAGTCAGGTCCAAACATACTGTGGGCGCTAATGAGGTACTCGTCACGGATATATTATAACTCCAGAAGAACTTGTCGTAATTAGGGTTTCCAGAGAACCGATAGGACCAGGTTTGGCCATATCGAGGCCATCCCAAACCCTAACGCAGCGTCCAAGGGATCTCTTTCACGCACATTTTCCGCCGAGACCGTGAGCTCGGGGTTCCAAGTAATGTCCTGGACACGGGCTCGAGTTTCAGCGACGATGCCGATCCAAATATCGAGTATAGACCACTCCAAGACAAAAGCATTCCATAGAACGCTGAGGGGTAGGGCACGTTGACAATTAAATTGGCACTATAGTGGCTACATATCGAAACTAGGAGGGATCTCTCTGCTCCGAACTACCCTCCACCTAATATATTGAGTGGTTATGATATAGTACGGCAACCACCTGGTAAAGCCCGTGCGCCGGCACCGGCTGGTTCTGGCCCAAGCACCGAATATATGGAACATAAAAGGCAAAGGCCCAGCGAGGAGGTGATTATGATGCCGAGGGATACAATGCTCACCTTTTAACCAATCAAAAATGCCAAAGATAGTTATCTCGTAAAAAAAGTCAATCAAGAAGCCTGACCACTCTGGACACGGCGCCGTTAATGTGCTTAAAAGGTCGACGATCTTAGACCCTCTATAGTTATCGATTCGAATGTCCTGGGGGAATATTCGTGCTCGCTTTGGAATATTGAATTTCATGAAGATCGTCGGGATATCGCTCGGAACTGTCGAGGATGGAATGTATTCTTTGACAATAGACGGCTCGACGGCTAGAGGCACGAAGTAGCTTAGATCTTGGCGAGTTTCCAGCGTTTGTACCGAGTAGTCATGATGGTGACGCGATTCGCTGTGCATCGTCCAGAGCCTACAGTACCCGCCTGCGCCCGGACCTGTGCCTCGGTATCACCCACCTGGGTGCCACCCACTGGTGCCACAGAATATTCTATTCACCATTAGTCCCATTTCATCATAACAGACGATACAATTTGCGTAGATATCTTGTTCTTTGTCGATCTCTTGTTTTGCCTCCTCCTTACTCCTGGAACGTCGGAAATGTCGCGATAGCGATAGCATCACCAGTCCACAACCATGCCTGTGACCGAGATCTATATCCTCCGCCATGGCCACCGGCTCGCCTGGTCCTTGAACCCGAGGACCGGCCAGTACACGTCCAATCACCCGTTCCCGACACGTCTCCCCGCAGACCCTCCCCTGGCGTCGCATGGCGTGCGTCAGGCGCAGGAGACCGCCGCACACTTCAGCGAAGCGTTCGCCGATCTGATCAGGCACGACCGGTTGCGGGTGTACTCCAGCCTGTTCTACCGGTGTCTCGAGACGCTCCACCCGGCGATGGAGGCCCTCCTCGATCAAGTGCCGGCGACCGACGTCAAGAGAAGGAGAAATCTACAAGTGCGCGGCGAGAGAGGGCTGGGCGAGTGGTTCGGCCGGGCCTGGTTTACGCAGCCTCGACCCGCGGATCCTCAAAGACTCCGGAACGATTTCTTCCCCTGGCTGGACGAGACCTATGAATCCCGTGTCATCCCTTCGGAGAACGGGGAGCGTATTCACGAGCTGCATGACCGTGTGGCGCGGGCGCTAGCACGCGTCATCCAGGACGTCGACGAGGAGTATGCCCAAGCTGGGAGGGGAGACGAAGAAGTGACGGTGTTAATGTGTGGCCATGCCGCGCCGATCATTGCGAGCGGGCGGGCGTTGACGGGGGAGGTGCCCGAGGATTGGGATGAAGAGGACTTCCGGTGCTTTACCTGCGGAATCAGCAAGTTTGTGCGACGGAAACTGCCTCCTCCTTCTGGCGTCCAAAAAGAGGCCGACGAGGACTACTCCTACCACGACGAGGACTGGAGGAATAATGGTACGGGCGTTGCGGGGGGGTGGGATTGTATCTGGAACAGCAGTTGCCATCACCTGAGTCAGGGCGAGGAGAGAGGGTGGCACTTCCACGGTGATGAGAGTTTCGATTCTTATGAGGATTTGGAGGGCAAAGGGGTCAAGACGTCGGACGGAGGTATCCCTCAGTCCAAATTATAGACACACGAGAGAGGTCGGTACAGTACGACTGGATGTCTGCAGCGAGGAAAGACGACGGGAGATGTGTTGTTCCCCGTATAGATCGGTAGAGATAGATAGACCATAGAGAGCCCATCTGATGGAGCGTTGAGTCAATCGGTGAGCTCACGCATGTCGTGTTGAAGACAGCTCGCGACGTTGAATATCTATCTATTGTGTACCTCGTAGCTCGCATACACCTCAATATTATTATGTACTCGGTTTGGCAGACCAAAAGTGCCAACCCTCTTAGGCGCCTCTCGCCTCCGCAAAAAGCAACGCAAAAAAGACTTGGAACTTCGCTCCACTGTGGCCCCTACAAGTACAACCGCGATTTCATCATCGGCTCTGCTTTTGCCAGAAGATTTTCTGCCTCCTCTCCTTCTCCTCCTCCTCCTCCCCCTGCCCTGCCCTCAGCTGTTCGCTTGAATTCTTCTTGTTTGAGTAATCATAATAATGGTGGTGGTTGTATCTCGATAGGATTATGGCGGCTGTGAAGAGCCTGGTCCGTCGCCATGTCTTCGCCTGGCAGCAGAACGTTGCGCTACTCGACCGATTGCTATTATGGTAGACATCCTCCCTCCCTCTAACAGCTCGTGTGATCGTGTTCTGACTCCTGGTAGACCTCCTGGCAACCTTCATCCGACAGACACGGCCGCAAACGCGAACGAGACTGCGAGATGTCGAACAACAGCGCCGAACGTTCCACGACTACTTCGTAACCCATCTCCCTTCTTCCTCTCTTCACCCCGACTCCCGATCTCTGACTGGCCTTGCCCACAAATTTCCCCGGCAGGCGTCCACTCCGCATACTCCTGACGGCAAATCTGCTCCCGCGGCCCATCCATCCATCTCTCGCGACACCACGGTCGTGCGCATTCCCCTCAAGAGCGCTAAGCATCACTATGGCGCGTCCGTGTCCAGAGGCAGCAGACCCTACAATGAAGACTCCCACCAAGCAGGCGTCATCGAGCTGCCTGCATTTGCCAAAAAGACGCCACGGTCCCTCACCTTGAACAAAACTCCGGGGGAGGGCACCTCTGCCGAAGGCGCGTCGGGCGATCCCCAGGTCTTTTATTTTGGCGTCTTTGATGGGCACGGTGGAGCAGAGTGCAGCGATTTCCTCCGGGAGTCGCTGCACGATTACATTGAGAAATCGGCCAAGGCGTTCGAGTTGAAGTCGAGCTTGAAGAAGCGTGACAACAAGGAGTGCAGAGAAGCGCCGATGGCGGGGGGACTCGACGGAGACGAACAGCAACAGAATGAGGGGGGGAAGGCGCTTGAGGATCTGGAGGTTAGCCAGGACGAAGGCAGGCCGCAGAGAAATGTCGCATCGGAGGATGAAAAGAAGAGCAAGCCGCATCCAGGCGACCCTCCTCTAATCCAGAGCGCCAACAAAAACAACATTCGACAGCTGGAGAAGGAGCTGACAAGGAATTGGAAAGAGCTTGTGGGCGGATACTTTCGCCGTTTCAAACCCGCCTACTTTTCCATCTACAGTGGCTATCAGAGGCTGGGTGAGGAGTCGGATGCCCTGAGACAGGCGGGAGAAGACATCACGTGTGGCGTTGCCATCGAGGAGGTCATGACTTACGCCTTTCTCAAAGCGGATTACGATTTCGTGGCTGCTCAAGCGGCGAAGAACTCGGAAAGCGCGGACAACACACGAGCCGAAAGACCGCTGAACGAAGGGGACATTCTGGGCGAACCCAGCAGGGTCGCGTCACACATTGGCGGCACCAACAGGTTCAGAGGTGGAAGCACTTGCAGTGTGGCTCTGGTGTCGACGCCGTCACCGACGCCATTTTGGAACCCTGCGACCACATCCACGATGCTCGTGGCCCATGTCGGAGATACACGAATTGTCCTTTGCTCGACGGTGACGGGGCAGGCGATCCCTTTGACCACGAACCACCATCCTTCATCCCCGGTCGAGAGCAACAGACTCCGACGGTATGCGGCGTCATTTGTGACCGATTCGTTTGGCGAAGAACGGATCTCAGGTTTGGCCAATACTCGATCATTTGGGGACATCGCCTCGAAGAGAATCGGCGTGAGCGCAGAACCCGAGATCAAGAGGGTGGAATTGGGGCCGGCAGAGTATTCGTTCATGGTCCTGATGTCGGACGGTGTGTCAGGCACGCTAGACGACCAAGAAGTCGTGGACATTGTCAAAGAAGCCAAGACGCCCGAGCAGGCCGCGCGAGACGTGGTCAACTTCGCGACCGAGGTGTCTACGGAAGGCGACAATGCGACGTGCTTGGTGGTCAGGATGGGTGGCTGGGAGCGACGTCAAGAGGGCGGCAACGGAAGCCTAGGCACCAAGGAGATGCGTGATTTTAAGAGACAACAGGCATCCGATCCGAGAAGTCGACAGCAGTAGGATGCATGGAAGGCTGATTGGGACTTGTGTCGGCCGAGTATTTTATAGTGTCAATGTATTCAGAAGATATATCTTTCAATATACGAGGTACTGACTGATATTACACCCATGTCTGGTCTACCATATAGCAGCAGAAGAAAGAAAGTCGGACCAAGCATTATTGATTGGTTCGTCCGAAATGCAGCGAATGAAACGGATGCAACGAATGCAACTTTACTCGATCCGCCGTTCCGAACGAAGAGACCCTGAAAAGTAATAAGTGCCTGAGTGCAGCCCATTCAAGAGGGAAATAAATTATTCAGTTTCCCTTTTCGAGTTGGGTGTCTTGGTAATCTCTCTCTCTCTCCTCTGTTTTCTCGATACATGCCCATTATCTCTGCTTCGAACCGTTCGCGCCGAAAGAAACGCGACTTGGTCGTCCATCCCACGCCCGCCCGCAGCAGCGAAAGCTACTGTACAGAAATCCGCGGGTCTCCCGTCGATAGAGGCGCTCCTTATCAGACCCGGCTGGTCCCCATCGCTCCTCTCGTCTTGTCCTGGCCTGAACGAGAAGGTGTCCACGAGACTCGACATCCGTGGTCCTTTGCTCTCACAGCCTCTCACTGCTTTCCCTCACTCACTCGATCCGCACCGCCCTCTACCGCTGTACCTGACTTATCATGGGACAAAAGGACGGAGCCGTGGGAGTCAACGGCCATACCGGGGGTGCCAATGGGCACGCAAAAGCAAATGGCACCGTCCCAATGAGGACGACAGTGGATGAGGACATGTACGAGGAGGAGAATATCTTCTTGTTCATCCCCAACATCATCGGTATGGGACGACGACACATTGTGCACTTCTGACCGGACAAGGCGGAGTTGAGATCTGACCATGCTTGCTGCTATTACAGGATATGCCCGAATCTTCCTCGCCGTCGCATCCCTATACTACATGCCCTTGCACCCTCGCACGTGCTCCGCCCTGTACAGTTTCTCCTGCATTCTCGATGCCGCTGACGGCCTGGCGGCGCGCCGATATAACCAGTCCACAACGTTTGGCGCGGTGCTGGACATGGTGACTGACCGCTGCACAACCTCTTGCTTGCTTGTTTTCCTCGCCTCGGCGTTTCCGAGATGGTCGATTTTGTTCCAGGGGCTGATCAGCCTTGATCTGGCGAGCCACTACGTCCACATGTATGCGACGTTGACCATGGGTGGTCAGAGCCACAAGAAAGTCGACTCGAGCCGGAGCTGGATCCTGCATTTGTATTACACGAATAAGGTGTGTTATGTCCTGGCCATGATCATTTTCTCTCTGCCGGAAGACGACTAACGGCGACTGGAATGCGACAGGTCGTGCTGTTCATGTTCTGCGCTTTGAACGAACTCTTCTTCATTGCGCTTTACCTCCTTTCCTTCTCCTCGCCCCTCCTCTCCCCCTCGCTTCTCGTCACCAGCGAGGCCGGCATGTCGTCTACCCAACCCGGGTCACCTGCACACCCCAAACCCAGCGCTATCTTTGTCAATCCTTGGAGTGCCGGCGCCATGGAAATGGCCCGTGCGAACAAGATGGATAGCACCATTCCCTGGATCTTGGCAGGAATCAGTGCTCCTGTAATGCTCGGAAAGCAGATCATCAATGTCATCCAGCTGATTAAGGCCTGTAAATGGTTGGGCGAAGGAGACGTGGCGGCGAGGAGAAAGGCGGGGATCGCAAAGTTGAAGAAGAAGAGGGTGTAAGAGATGGTCCGAGACATTCTGCAAAGCAGGAATTTGCGGTGGGCCAAATCCGCCGCATGGATTGTATATCATTATGGGAAATTGAAGATGGCAGCCGCTGCAACTGATGGGTCAAGATCACATACCTCAGGCGAGTCAGACACCAACAAGGGCTATCAAACCGGCTTGCGCAGGTGAAAGGTCGTGCTCTCAGCGCGCGAAGCGCGGTTGTCACCCGGCTTGACCACAGGAAAGGTGTTTCGGGAGTTATCAGGAAGCCGAACGCTCACCGGAGCGAGCGCTGGGGAAGCAGCAGGATGGAATTCAACCTTGGCGAAGGGTGGTTTCGGGATCGGCGACCCATACGGCCGTGGGTAGTGGCGGACGATTCACAATCAAGGATTGGTGAGTGCGACGATATATCGATCGCCATCTTCTGAACCGGGTTGTTCTGGGTTTGGATCTGGGTGGGTGGCAGGGGCGGACAGGAGGGCTTTTTTTGGAGTCCCCGGGTCGAAATGCACATGTCAGAGAAGACGTACAGTTTGCATACACAGATATATATTAGTATTATTACATACATACCTTTTGTGGCCGGAGGCTCTAATATAATCGATGGTAACAATCTCATACGGCCAGCATGGGCTGGACATGCGCGAGTACGAGGAGAACTGGGCTGGAATATACACCGAGCAGCTGAACAACATATCAACAGTATGTACATACGGGTGTATTTACTTAGAGTATATGACCACAACGGTCATGCATTGGTGCCCTGCAGTCTGCAAGGTATTACTAGCTACACCCTGCTCCACGTGGAAAGAAACTCCACCTCTACTATGTAGCGAGTACTCCGTACCAAGTACATAGCGAGTAATAATGTCGATAAATGAGGCTGATACTAATTATTATTATGTACCCCGCAAACTCAACCTATGAACCCCATATGTTTACTGTCATCGTCATAATTATTTTTATTTATCATTGTTCTAATTAGGTTCCGTATTTCCGGATTCAGCCGTATTCGCAAATCAATCAATCAATCAATCAACCAGCCTTTGCAGACCGATGAGATCAGATCAGATATGGACGGAACCTGTTTTGTGATGGCGATGAAGAGAGAAACGATTGGGAAGGGAAATGGCAAAGAAAAGTATAGTGGAGGGAAATGAAGTCCTACTACCTCCTCACTTTCTTCTTCCATTGCAAGTAGAGTAAGTGAGTGAGTGATATTGCCCAATGTCCATGGACTCTCGATTGAGAAAGTACTTCTTCAATCTCTCTCTCTCTCTCTCTCTCTCTCTCACTCACTCATATGTACAATGTCCTAGCTTCGATGTGTTCGAAACATACAAAATGGCAAAAACTTAGCCGTCGCTAAGAAACTGATCCTCATCCACTTTTCACCGGCGAAGTGTAGATAAGGCCGTTTTTTGGTCCAACGATCCGCTGTCCCATCCCACACCGAGGAGTATGGTTGAGTGCGGCACTGGCCAGGTGCCCCTCGCAGGAAATTTGGATCTGAATCTCATTTCAGGGACACAAGAGTTAAATGAAACCCGTCGGTTTCAAACTCATGACCCTGGGTCCTCATTTCTCCCACATGTATTGTATGACGACCCCCGTCAAAGTCCTAGCGTCCTAGGGAACTTGTCTGGCACGCGTATATAATACTGTTTGAGAAGGTCTGTGAATCTCAATCGATCCCCAGGTTCGCCTGCATCCCGACTAAGGGTCGCATCCCCTGGGGAAAGTCGACCAGCATTGTGTCAGTGTATCCTATATTCGGGTCATTTCCCTCCAGTCTTGCCCTGAAGGGGACGGACTGTCACTGTCCCATGGCTTGGCGTATGGGTGGAAACGTGACCTTGTGGCATGAATGAAGAGGGTCCCTGAGGAAAGAAATGACGCTGCCGCCTAGTGTTCACTAGGTACTCCCATCTTGTTCCTTTTTCGCTCTTTGGGCCACCGCCTTGATCGATTTTTTGCCGGGCAACTTCTGCTGCTTCCATGCCTGGTTCCAGGGGAGGCTCTCTGATGGCCATCTCGAAAACATATATGGTCGGTGTGCGTGCCCGGTCGCAGAGTCGAACTCTCTTCTTTTGCGCACCGGTGCCAACCTGGGCGTGGATGAAGCCCCGATCTCGTGTCGGGACGGGCTCTCACGTTGAGGAAAGAAGGCCTAGCTCATCAGCCGCCCGCAACAAGATAAAGAGGTCATTTGAAGGCTATGGAACAACTCAAACATCAGGCCTCAAGTCTTCAATGGCGGGAGCTTCGCTGGGAATCTGGAAGACAAGGACAGCAACACGACCACATGCCGGTGCGGAAAAAGGTACGGAACAACCCCCGAGAACTTCAGAATGGGCTTCCACCGAAGCAATGCTGGCAAAAGGCAACATGTCTCAGTCCATCAGGCGCAGCGTGAGAAGATGGTCAGAGAGATGAGCAGTGTCGCCTACCCGATCTCTACCGGAGACGATTGAACCCCCAAACCAGAGAATAAGCGGATCACGAGGCCAAACCCGTGATGGCGTCGTTTGACGAACAATACAGACATCGAAAAAGCATCGATGTGATCGATTATTGGTGGTCAAAGTCCCCGTCGACCACGAGTTGTGGTGAAAGCTCAGCATTCTCTTTTCGTCGGCTTGACGAGTCTAGAAAGTATGCTCTGCTGTGCTGGGAAGAGGGTAAGAAGGTCAGCATCATCATAACTCAAAATCCTTCGTTCCTCATAACCTTCCGGTCCTAAGGGTTATAGCACGAGTCAAGCGCACACACGCCAGGCCCGACTTGATGCGCTGTCGAGCATTGCTGAAGTGGTCATCCTCCTGGCGCTGACGACCACCCAAAGACACTCTACCAGCCACTGAATGTGCAGGAGGAAATGTGCCTGCTCCTACGTCCTGGAGGAGGCATTTAAGACAGCACTAGAGAGACGACTGATGAGAGGGAGGTGAAGGTGGAGGTGGGCCAGGGCTTGCATGGCGTGGAGTGGCTGGCCTAGTGAGCCTGAGCCAGGAGGCTAGTGGCCCTGTGTGAAGGACATGAAATCATGGAGGGTGAGCCTAGTAGCCCGGAGAGAGGAACCGGTGTATCTGCACGCTACCAAACGGACCAGAAGCACGGTGAGGAGGTGCTGAGCCGGACGTTGGCAACGAGAAAGCTTCTCGGATACGCTGGACCGGAGGTTCGAATGCTGTTTGGCAGCCATGTCTCATGTCTCACACTCAGTCAGACGCGGCAATCGGTTTTCCCCATCCACATCCTTCGCGGACTTTTTTCGACCACTGGCGACTTGGCATGAGTTGGCGAGTTGGGTATCCGCTGGCACCAAGCACAGAAGAAGATCGGAGCGTTGGATGGACCATGAGAAGATGCAATATGTCATTACTCGGTACATCGTTTGGGGACTGACTGAGACACACAACGGGCCACCGTCCTCTCACCATTCTATCATCTATCCACCCACACCATCTTTTCCCCCGTCTCTCTTCTATAAGCCTTTCCTTCTGGTATTATCTACGGACTTCAACCCCCAATCACACCCCTGCTTCCTGCAGCCGAGATCATCCATCCGCCTACCAATTAGGGCCCAATCACTCCGCTCACAAGATCCATAAAAATACTCAGTACCTCAGCTCTTCTCATCTTTTGGCTGGCGACACACACGCGAGCGACAAGCCGACCCTTTTCCCGTCCGCACTCGGTCATGCACCGACATCACCTGGTCTACATCTTGTGATCCTTTCCCCCTTTTGCAATTATCCCCCATATCATATCATGGACAGTTGAAGAAGGACCATCCCAGCTCTTGTTCGTATTGCCCCCGAGAGGGGTAACTGGACGCAGCGTGCCTCTGGATCATGCGCCGACCATTCTCACGATGAACACCTCCCACGATATCCGCATGCACGATGCCCACGCACGGCCGCTCGAGAGCAGCAAGTCGCCCGGAATTCCTCTTCGCACGCCCCTCCACCCCTCCGTCATTGACAAGCTCGATCCTGCGTTTGTGAAGATATACAATGATTACATCGCGAACGGCCCTCCCTCATCCACCGACCTGGGGACGGTGCGCCAGAACTATTCGGCCTTGTACTCGTATGCTGCCGCGCCGCCATCCGGCGTAGGAGGCATTGGAGAGACACAAGTACCGGGGTGGAATAAATATCCTGGGGACATCAATGTGCGGGTCTACGTACCCCCTGGTGAAGAGCCGGGCCATCGCAAAGTGTGGCCTGTCCATTTCAATTTCCATGGCGGAGGTATATCAGGCCATCCACAATCATGTGTTATCCTTGTCTTTGCTGACCCTCGGTTCAGGCTGGGCTGTAGGTGACCTCGAGACCGACGCCCACATCTGCCACCACATCTGCGCCTCTGTTCCCTGCTGCGTCATCGATATCGAATACCGGCTGATCCCCGAGTATCCCTTTCCCATCGGAATCATGGACAGTCTCACGGCTGTCGCGCACATTCTGGCCAACCACAAGACCTTCTCCATCGACTCGACGAACATGACCTTTGGCGGTGAATCTTCTGGCGCCACTATCGCTCTGATCCTGAACCATTTGTTCCGCGACGGAGGTTTCAGCGACAAACTGAAGGGTGTGATTGTGGCCACACCCACCATCAGTGACGTGAGAAAATATGCAACACCGGACATGAGCCCGTGGCCCAGCATGAGGGAAGCCGAGTTTGCTCCCCTCCTCAACTGGGAAAAATTGAAATGGTTCGACACGTTCAAATGGATGTCGTTGTCCAGCCAGCACCCGGGGACAAAGCCCAAGGAACAGAAGAGAGATATATCGTGGTTCGCCGACGCCATGAATGCGCCAGATTTCAAGAACCTCGCCCCTGTCACATACGTGGCCACGGCAGAGGTTGATCCCCTCAGGGATGAGGCAGAAGCATATGCTAAGAAAGTTGAGGAGGCGGGCAACAAGATTGTCCTACGACGGTTCAATGGCATGCCGCACCACTTCATGCACCTGGACAGGGCGCTGCCCCAAGCCCGAGAATACGTCCAGGACGTCATATCCCACGTCCGCCAGTGTCTCTACCCTCCTTCCGAACCACCTGCGATGAAGACGCCACCGGAAACATGAGAGGTCGTCTCGCAGGGTTGTCCTGCCGAACCAAAACTAATCCTGCGACGGTTTTCGATCCAATCTTCGATCTGTTACAGTGGAGCAATCGATCATGGCCAGCAGCACCTTTAAGATATGGTCTGAATTCTACCATTCTGTTTGCTGGAAGACGATGCTTCGGCTTGGAAATCGTCAGCGACTGCCTAGCGTCAGAATATTGATCTAGTGAAAGTCAATTTATGCCAGCGCTCGCTCCCTACAAGTGGGGGACGCTGTGGTCAGCATTTCTTATCAGAAGCGGCCTAGGGCATCTGCAGCTTGTCAGCAGCCTGGTGCCTCCAGCGCTTGATCCCTCCTCGCTTTACTCGAGCGGAACGATGTTATACGACGCCCGTCCCACGGCTGGACTTTATGGCAAATCTCATTCTGGCTAGATTTCGAGAAACGGTGCCGAAAAGAGGCAGCACGACCGGACCGGCACATTTGGCCCCCCTCAGTCAGCCTCCGCCAGAAAATTTCCCAAACGATTTGGATCTTCGAAGTGCACCACCCCTTTTATCACACCCGGGAAGGCAACGACTGTTCGATAAGCAGGACGAATCTTTTGGGTGGACGAGCTAGATTCCATCAGGTATGCGGACTACATACGGGGCAGGAATCGGTTCAGAGTCAACGGACAAGACGATAGACATGACACTTTCACGTATTGTATTAGTAACAATCTTGATGGAAAAATAAAACTGTCCCATTTCTTTGTCTTCATCAGCTCGCTGTCGTCGGCAGCTCGTCTGGTGCCTCTTCAGTGATGCGGGGTTCCTGGTGGGACGCGGCTCAACTTCGGAAGATCCACGACGCGTCGACGCGTCGATATCTCGAGGCGCGCGACCACTTGAGATGATTAACACTTTCGCCACGACTCACACCAAACCCTGCGAACAGCTCTGCGTGAGTGACATTACTTGAATACACGCACTCAAGATGCCAGAAAGACCTCCATTTCCCGGCCGCCCTGCACAACCCCCGGGCCCTACGTACCTGGCCTATTCTCCCGATGGTCAAAGGTTGACCGTCGCTGGCATCGGAGACTTTGCTCGTTCGTTCAGGACCAACGACAATGGCGAACCCGACTTATTACCCTCGACTCACGCCGAGACATTTGCTGTTGCTTCAGGAGTATGGTGCCCCTTGAGAAAAGAATAAAATGTTCCAGGGGCAGGAGGCTGATTTGGCGCAGAACGACTACGCGATATTTGGCTGCGAAGACGGAACAGTGTGTGAATATGCAGTGCCCTCCGGAGACTTCAAAGAGATGCTTGTCAGAACCACCCTTCCTGTCAGAGATATCGCACTTTCTCCAGACGAGTCATGGGTGGCTGTTTCCAGCGAGTATGTCAATATCATTTCATCCATGCCAGGTGGACACATGTCTGACTTTCCCAGCGAACTGGAAATCAAGGTCGTCAACCGACACGACATTGAGCAAATAACCATACTACGCGATCACCCCAAACCAATCAAACACGTCACATACGATCAATCTGGCAGATATCTTGCTGCATCCTGTACCGACGGCGTCATATTCGTTTATGATATGACCTCCCCCGAGCCCAAGCTATTCCGAACGTTCGACGGAATCATTCCTCGCCTTGAAACGGCCCAGGCCACCACTTCCCGCTGCGTTTGGCATCCTGACGGAAGGGCCTTTGCCTGTGCAACGGCGACAAGAGATATCCAGGTCGTCTCGGTGGAGGACGGTGCACACCAACGGACGTTCGCGGGGGAGCACAGTGCAGAGATCACATCGTTGGCATGGTCGCCGAATGGGGCCTTGTTGGCCTCGGCTGACTCGGACTATCTTATTATCTGGGACGCTAAAACACAAAAGCCACTGAAACGTTTCAACTATCCGAACATTCTCAATGTGGCGTGGCAAAATCACGGCGAGAACATCTTCAACTGGACGACTTCCAATGGTGAAGTCTTCATCATCCCGGAGTTTCTCAGAGACGAAGCTCACGTCAAGTTGCTCAAAGGACCTAAAGTCGGTGCTCCTTTCTTCCACGACCCGCTTCTTGAGAAAGCGGCCGTCGTCAATGGTCGAAAACCGCTCGCGAACGGTCAAGCAAAGCGAGCACATACTCCTGACAGTCTTGACGAGCTCCTCGGGCCGGAAGAAGAATACGACTGGATAGAGGATGACGATGGCGCGGGATATATCAACGAGAATGGAAAGAGGCCCAACGGACATCTTGGAAACGTCACATACCCGCTGGCAAAGCGAAACAAGCCGGACACTTTCCAATCGCAGGTCCATGAACCCTTCCAACCAGGAGCCACCCCTTGGAGAGGCAACCGCAAATATCTCTGTCTCAATTTGATTGGCTTTGTCTGGACGGTCGACCAGGACACTCACCACACGGTTACGGTCGAATTTTATGACCGCGAAATGTATCGAGACTTCCATTTTACTGACCCCTTACTCTACGACAAAGCGTGCTTGAACGAGACCGGGACGTTGTTCTCCTGCCCTCCCCGTGATGGCCAGCCTGCAGTGATCTTCTACCGACCTCATGAAACCTGGACCACGCGGTCGGACATGCGCATCAATCTGCCCGACGGCGAAGAAGCAACATCCATTGCTCTCAGCAGCAAATACATCGTGGCTGTCACAAACAAGTACTACGTCCGTGTATGGACACTGTTTGGTACGCCCGTCCGGATTTGGCGTATGAAGAGTTCCCCTGCTGTCACGTGTGCTGCTTGGGGCGATTATGTTATGACCGTTGGCAATGGCCCTGTGGTCGCGGACGGTTGCACCCAGCTCAACTACAGCATTGAAGATGTGCGGCGAAACGAGACTTGTCAGAACGAAGATATCCTCGCACTGGGCACGGTACCGCCGGAGTCTGACGACGAGCATATCAGCTTGAAGAACCTCTTCTGGAGCGACGTTGGCGACCCATGTATTTACGACAGCAACGGTGTGCTCCTGACCCTCATGCACTGGCGCACTATGGGGCAGGCCAAGTGGGTGCCTCTCCTTGACACGAGGCTGCTGGATCGTTTGAAGGATGGGAAGAAAGAAGAGACGTACTGGCCCGTCGCGGTGGCGGACCAAAAGTTCCACTGCATTATCCTCAAAGGCGGAGACAAGACTCCATACTTCCCTCGGCCGTTGCTCACAGAGTTCGAGTTCAACATACCGGTCTGCAGGCCGGTGGCGACCAGCAAGGATGAAGATGGCGATGAGAGAGAAGAATCCAACGCCGCCGCCGCGGCGAGGCTGGAAGAAGCATTTGTCCGCAGCTCGGTGATCTTGGGCTTGCTCGACGACCACGTCCAGAGCCTGGACGGGCGGGCGAGCCACACGCAGAAGACCGAGGTCATGCGGCGTGAGGTCGAGGTCGACAAGATCCTGCTCCAACTGCTGGCCGTCGAGTGTCGCGAAGGCGAAGAGCGGGGCATGAAGGCGCTCGAGATCGTCGGCTTGTTCCGGGACCGCAGCGGCAAGATGCTCGAAGCCGCCGCCAAGGTTGCGGGGAGATGGGGCCGCATGGTCCTGGAGGACAAGATCCGGGAGGTGGCCGAGCGTCGGTTGATGGGCCTCGAGGAAGAATGAAGTCGTGAGAGATTTTCGAGACAGAGACTGGGGAGACTGGTCAGGTCTGGTCAGGCCGGGGGGAGAGAGCTGGTTCGGCTCAAATCATAATAAATATGTAATGATGATGATGATGATGATATCAACATAGATATCCGGGACGTTCTTGGACAATCTGCCCATGGTATGGTTTGCTTGCTGTTGGATTGAAACATCGAAATCGAATTTCGACAAGGCTGAGTCGAAAAAAAGGGGAACCCGGGCTAATAGTGAGGCTTGTCCAAAGGAGCGCCACCTCAACTCCCCTTTTACGAAACATTCAATACGTTACGTCCTCATTCAGCAGCATCACATTATTGTTATGATGTATCCTCGGGGCTCCGGGTCTGGTCTATGTATTTATTGGTCTGATGATCCCCAGAACAAATTTCTGGTTATAAATCGTCCAAGAGTGAGTGGGCTGGCCAGATGGATGGGGAAACCAAACAAACACCCACCCTACCCCCCTGACTGGCTCAGCCGGGAATACATAAGTGTGCCTGATCAGGATGGAATCTAGATAGGCAGTGGCCTTCAAGCTCGACGGCTTCGTTCCAGCAGGCAATTGGGGATTGACTGACTGCCTTGGTGGACCACTACCTGTCTTACCGGTACGGTCGAAGGACCTGTGCGCTCTCTATATATCTCCGTCCACCGTGCGCGCAAGACTCGATCTTTTCAATTCCTTCTCCTCGTCGTTCTTCTCCCCCCGTCCGACGCACGGTGAGCCTTGTGAAGAGATGCGGCCTCTGATATTTCAGATTCGTAGATGCTCTCTCCCGCCAGACGTTCGGCGACACGTTGGGCGAACTCTGCGTGGACCCGAGCCATGATCCTCTGCTGACGCTCCGGCGTCACGTTTTGCTGTTTGCCGTCCAACGTGACGGCGAAGACATAGATGTCGCCGAGCCACCAGGCTTCGCGATCCGGGATCTGTTGCGCACCCTGGGAGGCGGCGATGTCGAGGGTCCACCTGTTACGGGTGGCCACGTTCGACGATTCACCAAAGCGGAAGAAGGCCTGGGCCTGACCAACAGCAGACCGCTGGCTCTCAACGGCACCGACAGGGTAGACAAGGACCGTCCGTTGTAACCAGTCAGCAGAAATCCTGTCCGTGCCCAGATCCCCGTCACGGATCAGAAATTCCGGCGCCACTGCTTGTGTCCACGCAGGGTAGCAACGCAGATGCTTTGCGCTGGTGTTGAAGATTTCAAGCTGTTCGATCGAAATCCTGCGGTCCTGTGCGATCTTCAGGACAGCACAGTTGGCCCAGGGGTCCGTCCAATTCGTCGCGACGGTCGATGAATTCCAGTCCCTCGTGACAGTTGTTGAACTCCAGGCCTTCTTGGCCGTCTCATCGCCACTCTCGTCCGAACTCCCTAGGTCTTCTGCCGCTGTCTGATGGGTGTCATGATCCGTCGTCTGGTTGACCTCTGCCCGCTTCACCCAGGACTTGGCCCCTCGCAAGCTCAGGTCCAAGACTTGGTCGGCCATGTTCCGTTGCAGGGCCAACAGGCCGCGGAGAATCACTCTGTTGGCATTCGTCTGGAGGTCGTGGGTCAATGGAAACGCGCATTTCCAGAACACCTTCGCGTGGGTGTCGCCGGTCCGGAACTTGGGATCGTGGCTGAGGATGGCCCAACAGGTCCAGCACGATTTCTTGCTGCAGCCGAAATAGTTCTCGCAGCGCTCTTCCAGCCCGTTGCTCCGGATATAGTGGAGCATCTGGATCTCGCAATGGAAATAGAAGATGTAATTCTGCGCAGCATTCGGTGGGCGAATTTTAAGCAGCTGCCCATATTGCGGCCAAAGCACTGACATCTTTTCGCGGACGGACTTGGCGATGAATTGAAAGTTCCTCCACCGGTTGTTTGAGACGATAACAATGGAAAATTTCTGACCGGAGCTGGCCTTGTGCTGTTTGATCTTTCCCCAGTCCGCCCGCAAACGGCCCAGCATATGAATGGCCGCGAAGAGTGGCCGAGCGTCTTTCGGTCGTCGAGCATGAAAAGGCTGAGCTTGAGGCTTCTTCCGAATGCTTTCGCAGATGTGATCATCTCCAGACTTGTTGCGTCGACGGAAATCCACTGATTTGGTGCAGATTTGTTTGTAGGATGCAACGAGCTTTGCAGTGTCGGAGCTGTTCTCCGACTCGTCGTGGAACTCCCGACACCACTTGACAATTTGCCTCGCCCTCTGGACTGTCGCCTTGTCATCTCCAGAAAACATGGCGTCCAGCCCTTCGTCGTCTAGAGCATCACTCCGACAGATCTGTGCGATATAGTGCAACTGACGGCCGTAGCAGAAAGCCATGATCTGACACCACATCTGCTCGTCCTGAGCATCCTCCTGTTGTTCCGCGCCCATCAGCACCGTGTCATGAGAGTCATCTTCTGGATCATCCTTTTCCTCCTCTTCGTTGACAAGATCCACGTTGTCTTGGCCTGTCTCGCCCGTTTTAGCCGACCCCAGAATTTCTTTGAGCATGTGCTTTGGCAATGTGATGGCGTCGATCCCTTCAAGATCGGAGATCTCTGTATCTTCGAGCCACTTCTGGAAGACCTTTGCGAAATCACGGTCCTCCTTACCAAAGCAGTTATTTTTGGTGACGAGAATGTCAGAGCGGCCGCTGTCGTCGGGCCGATGGCAGAGTGCGGCCGCTGAAACGTGGGCGGCGGCACGTTTTCCTTTGAATCGTCCAAAGATGTAGGCGATGCTGTCGAGAAATCTCCCGAGATCGGTATCCTTGTGATGAACTCGCTTGATTTGAGCTGCTTCGGGCGGAGCCAGTGGATCTTGCTGGTGTCTTGTTGTCTCCAGGACATATGCAGCGGCGGCAAATTCCACTGGATCGAGTCCGGGGAACCTGAAAATAGTCCCGAAGGTCGGATCAGTCGTGTCAGTCATGTTGCGGGCCGGCGTCGACCAGGTCTATGGTATCACCTCTAACAGAGAGACCAGCAACATGATCTTGATCAATGTGCTGAGGCAGCGTCCAGGTATATGACTCCCAGCCGAGCCGGCCAGCCTGATGTCGCGGCAGCACGCATGGGGAGCATTGTATCCTGCCTCCCGTGCCTAACCTCAACCGGCATGACTTCGTATCCGGGCGCGTGCGTCTTGGTTGCAAGGCGGTGCAGGTCGAGGCCAGGCTGAGTTGATGTAGAGCATCAGGCAGCCAATAGGTTCAATCCTTCGTGCTTCAACTCGCTTAAGGCTCGGGACGTGGTGTCTGTGCCGGGTGGCTTTGATGTCTCGGCTGGCCGGGGTGTCCAAGCCACGGTTGGTGGATTGGCATGTGCTTGCGGAAGTACCAGGCTGCCTGCGGTTTCCATTCGCCTCCTGGTTGGTGGGAGACAGGCTCATCACAGAATGGGATGGAGGATATTTTGGGAATGGGTGAGCAGTACGAAGAGGAGGGAGGTACCTCGTACACTGTATTATATAGTTAAGTCATAGGCTCAGTTATTGGGTGGTTATGGGTGGTTACTGTATGTCCTGAGGAAGGCGCCTCCAGGCCACGACGTAGGCCTTGGCGCTGTTTTGGCATGCTTAACTTGACTGAGATTTAGTTAAGATTAGTTAAACAATCCCCTATATGCCCCCTATAAGCACCGCCTAATCCAACGAAATGAGTCCCTAGGACAGCCAGCGACTCACAGTAAATACTTGTACGCTCTCCTCGCACTTTTGAACCGAACCGATGGAATACGTAGCATAAGTACAGTAAGTAATATGTACTCGGTAGGTGTTAGAAAGTTATAATGCCCACCTTGATGGGAGTTATCTGAGAAAACCCATGGGTTGAAGAGGGACCTCTCTAGCGTCGAGGACGTTGTTGCTTCCGTTTCTTCCTCAGTGTGTTCTTTCTGTGATCTTGAATACATCCAGTGCTTCCCACAGGAGAATATGAGCGGAGGGAAATCAAGTAGCAGGATCCCAAAGTGATGAGATAGCAGGGCCAACGCTTTACCAGAGTAGATATGATTACTGGTGAGAAAGGACAATGGATGAAAACAAAACAAAAACAAATTGCGGATTAACAACAGGATCTTCTACTTCTTCTCCTTCGGATGCTCCATGGCAATGCAGTACATGTCTATGTCTAAGGCCAAGTCTATCCTCTGACGAAAAAGGCTTTGTGGACAATCTTCGGGGTCGTCTCTGCAGCCAGTCCAGGTAACTAACTGCTCCCTTGCGATGGAGAAAGAAGTATGAGACACCTGAGCGCGCTCACAGCCTTGCAGAACGGCCGTCTTGTCAATAGGTAGGAGTTTCACGTCTTGAATATATCGAGGGTAGCCGATCCCTGTGTTCATGGAGAACAGGTTGCCAGAGTGAATCGTACGCCGGGCTTTTCTGCGGCGCGAGGCCGAGCCAATGTTGAGCAAAGCTTTCTGTCGAGTCGAGTCGGCTGGAGGGTCCGACGCGTACCTTGAGTGCAGGTAGAAAAGGCGTCCTGGTGACCATATCTCGACCTTTAATCTGATGGCTCTTGGACGTGTCTGGCTCCCATCGCTGCGAGAGGTGTATGGGCAGGAGGAAAATGTCTAATCGTGATTCTGATCCCTCCTTTATTTCTGCGCCTGCTGCCTTTTCGGACTCCACACCAGCCACGCCAGGACCATGGCGCCCTTCACGCCGGTGGCCACCCACAAAGCGCCCTGATACCCGACCGAGGAGGACTTGATCAGGGCGCCGGAGACGGCCGCGCCGCCGAACAACAGCACAGCCCCCAAGGCGCGCCGGTTGCGGTCGGGATCCGCGAGCAGGCCCGCCGTGAACAGGTCCGGGTCGCCCATCAGGTCGCAGAACAAGCTCGTCAGCACCACGGTCGGTAACGCGTTGAACTTCAGCACCCGGCTCGCCACGATCTGGCCCGCCGCCTGGAACGATAGCAGCGCAATCGGGCACAGTTCGTGCCACGGGAAGCTGCCGCGCCCGCCGTCGGTACGGGATTCGCCGGTTTTTGACACCACCCCTCCAGAGATCAGGCCCGCGGTCAGGATCATGAACGCCGTCTGGATGAAGAACGACGACGCGATCACCCACCGCTTGAGCGGGCTGAGGTATCGGTGGTATCGTGAGAAGAACAGTGCCCCCAGGCAGAAGCAGACGATGGCGACCAGCGATTTAGTCCAGGTGTGCCGGGGCACGGTGTCGGGGAGGTCACTGGCGCCCAGACCAGCAAAGATAGTATTTCCTGCGACAGAGGGGTTTGTGTGTCAGTCCGCCACGTCTATCCAGTCATCTAGCCAAGTTTACCGCAGCTTACCTGTCTGCATGCCCACAAACGAGTTCCAGGTGTTGAACGCCACCGCGTCCACCATTCCCGTCACGAAGAAACACGCCAGTAGGATCGTGTCCGCCCATCTCGTGTCGATATCCGACGTCAACCACAGCCGTAGTCGAGTCGACATGGGTAAGCCTGAGGTCGGGAAGCCCTTTTCGAGGTCCATGGCGTGATGCTCGTCGTCGGTGGCAGAGAAAGGGGTGTCCATGGCCTTTTTGAGTCTGTTCAAGGTTTTTCTTGTACTTGTGCTGTAGTGGGGGTAGTTCGTACGTATGGGGCCTATGACGATGGCCGAGGAGTGATGTGATGTGATGTTTTAGATAGGGGGAGATTGAATGCACGGAAAGTTTCTTACCTTGAGAGATATCGAGATCGTCGGGAGGCGGAGTACTTATCTGTGTATGTAGGTTTTGTGGCATGTTGCCAATTGCACCGTATACGGCCTTTTACCGAGCAGAGACATATCTCCGTATAGTTTTCTTTCTGTCGAAATCTTGAAGCGCAGGGGAAAAAGAATCAAAAAAGAAACGCGTGATTTGAGAGATTTACCACCGTGTCGGGTGACGTCAAAACAATTATCCGACGCACCGCGGGCTAGTGAGGCCCGCTCCGTAGTTTTTCCGGGGGCTGCGGGAGGCGCACACAAGTCCGGCTTGGCGGAACAATGATTTTCCTGGAGACTTTTTCTATCCAGCTTGCACGACATACCCATGTAGTATGTACAGCTCTGTTTGATATATGCTGTCGTATGCTGTTGGGACAACCATCAATACTGCATCCCTAGGCATACAGACCCTTTTGCCACCACAAGCACCTCTCGTTTGCAGCATTGTCCTTGATCGGCCCAATCGTTGTCAGATTGAAATTCTGCAGCGTGGCATTCGCACCATAGGTCGGGAAGGGGGCCAGTCCTGCTCCATTCGGATCGCCCGTCACGACAAAGTTCGTGAAATATCTCTGCATGATGACCGCTAGCGTGTCGTTCTTGACCAGGGGATTCGGACCATCGTAGTACGTGTAATAAATGTCATCTCCGTGAAGGCTCGGGGGAACACTAAACATGTAATTGAACACACTGTCGTTGTACGCACGAGCCAAGAAGTAAGTATTGCATGTGAAGAACGCTTCCGTGATCATCAACTCGCTGCGTCCCGTAGGAGTGGTGTAACCGACAGAACCGTCGTACTTGGGGGGATACAGTGTCTGGGAGATGTGATTGACGACGGCGTCCGTGATCGTGGGGAAGTAGATGCGGAGGTCGGCCTCAAAGACGGTTTCATTCTGGGCAAAGGGATCCATAAACTCCAGGCCTTCGTTGATATTGTGACCGGCCATGATCTTGAGGGAGTTGTCGAACTGTCCGTGAAGAAGAAGCTGGCCCGGGAGATCAGGGGCGAAAGCTCCATCTACGACAGGGTTGAAGGTGAATGTGCCATACGGGCTCGAGCCCCCGACAAGCTTGTAGTTGGCGAATCGAAGTGCCTCCGTCGACAAGTTCCGAGCTTCGTCGAGTGAGCTGATGCCCGCGAGGTTCAGGAAGTGGTTGTAAATGGCTTCCTGCAGCGTAACGCTCGGCGACATTTGAAACCCAGGGCTCTGCACGATAGCCTGCTGGAAAGGCACCTTGCCCTTGAGGCCGCCAAACGCCGTGATCTGGTGCATCGTGCTGCCTCCCCCGGCCGACTCTCCAATCACGGTGACTTTGTTTGGATCTCCACCGAATTTAGAGATGTGTTGTTGCACCCATTCGAGTGCCAGCCGCTGGTCATAGAGGCCTGCGTTTGCCGTACCAGACTCCTGGAACGTTGGACCGGAGAGAAAGCCCTGGGCAAAAGAGTGTTAGGACGTAGTAAATTTGGAGCAACGAGGTTCGAAGCATACGAAAGCTCCCAGGCGATAGTTCATCGCGACCCAGATGATGCCCTTCCCGCCTTGACTCTGGCTAGCCTTGATCAAGCCTGCCGCAGAGGGGCTATAGAGAGTCTTGGATCCGAGCGTATATCCTCCGCCGTGGATCCACACCATCCTAACGAACCTGTCAGCGTAACCGGCCAGCCTTCCACGGTCTGATCCACTTACACTGGCGCGCCTGTGCTTTGGTTAGCAGCCTCGAAGACCGCTTTTGGGACCATCACATCGAGGAACAAGCAGTCTTCAGTGGCAGTAGGATCGGGTGGTGGGGTCGAAGCAAGCGGAGGAACCTGGTAGCCGGCAGAGATATTGAACGCTGCTGTGCCATTGGCAACCCAATCTGCTGAATAAATGCCCCAAGCTGGCAGCACCTGAAAACAAGTCACAGGGGTAGAGCCGTCATTGAAGACTTTGGTGCCATTTGTGCTTGGGGCGACTGGAGCAGAAAAGCGCAGATGGCCGACTGGAGGAGCGCCGTAACGCACATTGGAGAAGTTGTAGTACTGGCCAGAGTCCTGCAGAAACTTCAATATCTGCGCTACCCCATATTTGGGACGGGGAGGTATCTCTTGCTCACATTGTAAGTTGCCTGGTGCAATTCGTAGCCCAGATCCACCGTGGGTAACGAAGGCGCCGGGGCTGCCGTACAGCAGACGGCACCCGCAAGAAGCAAGGCTGTCACACGCCACATGTCAGCAGTTTGCGAAACCGAATAAGTACTGGCAAGACGTGAACAGAAGCAACGGCCTGTGCTTTTTTAGATGGGCAACTCAGAGCCAGTCCCAGACATTTTATACAATTCTTGACGACGTGTTACCCCGGCTTGCGGCCATTCCATGCAAGGTCCGAAGCGGGGTGAGGGAACGCGGCAGGAGCAAGCTGTTATTGCTCCCCTCCCTCCCCCATGGCTTTGACTGCCTGCTCGTGGCCTCCCAGCGTGCGCCAGGAGTACAGATTGAAGCCGACAATGAAGGGCAAGCGGCATATTGACTTCCTCATCAGGGCTAGACTGTCCGGCGGAGAATAATTCGTCCGGTGGAAGTGTGACTTCTCCAAAAGTCACGGAGCTTCTTTGCCCGCCGCAAGGGGAGAGCATGATGGTCGATTCAGTGCAAATTGTTTATATCTCAGCATTAGAGATGAAGACGTGTATGTAGCTACGAGGAGGGTTGATGAGGCAATAGATATCAGAGATGACGTTGTGGTGGTAATACTCCCAAAGAGGAATAGCGCCGGAGCTATCTCGCACTCTAAAAGAAGCTTCTCCCCTTAAGCTTGAGTTTCCTCAGTCCATTATCGTATACGAGGATACAACACCAGGTGCAAAGTATATCTGGGCTTGTGGACGAGGCTAAAGCGACTGTCGTAACTGCAGGGATGTATCCAACAAAATCGTTGAGACGGAGACACTTTTACGGAGCAAGTGCATGCATGCAATTGAGCAGTGCTCATGTCACCAAGTCGACCCCAGCATCTCAATATCCTCGTGCCCTATCTTTTGTCAAGCTGCAGCCATGCTCGGCTGTTCAATGATCACCGATCTGGGATGGTACAGCAACTATTCACTGTCTGCGGACCTTGGCCTATACTCAGACCTCTCTTGTTGACGTATCTGAGTACGACGACTGCTTTCCCACCAAGTCCGGAGAGGAAGTCGGTGATAGGCCCCGTACTGCCAGCAGGATATACGTGTGTCTAGCTCGTCCCCAAGGGCCAGCATATTGTTGTCATCAGGGGTGAATGCGGGGAAAGACTCCTCCAGGGCCAATTTCCCTCGTCCACCGGACATGTCTCTCCACTCACCACCCGCAGAGCTTTGACGTAGTGTGGGCGCCGTGTTCCCGGGAGCCGCGCACTTTTGTTATGTTTGTCGATCATTGGACTAGTTCGGAAGACTAACTATATCGGATGCAAGGGAGCACGGGTTTCGACCTGAAGCACCAACTGCCGACTTGTAAGAGGAGAGCTTGCAGGCGGTGAAGATGGGCTATGAGGCCGCGTGGGCGGGGAGGGAGTTTGGGAGCCGACTAGCACGAAGAGCCGTGATAGCCACTTGCCCTTCCTCTGTGAGTTTTGCTACCGATCTCCCAATTGTCCTGACCGGTAACGAGCACGTCGTGACGGGACATACTGAGACAAGTCAATTATTCACTGGAGTGGTAGTGGAGGATGTGAGGCTGAGTTCGGACACATCCAATCTACGACGACGACATTGCTACAAGCCCCATCGATGCGAGATCAAAGATCGATCAAATTTCCAAGGGCTATACTGATTTGCCATCGTCACGGATCAACGGTGAAGCATACAAGCGGATATGGAGGACACGCCGGGTACGGGATCCGCTCAACCGTTCTTCCAGGTGTCCATCCCCTGGCACAGTGCCCTTTCGATGGCTGGATGAGCAATTCGCAGCACTATTGGGCATATAAAGACTCTGCTCACAGCGGGTAAATGGCCTACAATAGTCGAACCCTGGGAGATTGATATAGATATATACCCGGTCGACAACACATACAGTATGATCCCCGCATTGTGTTCCGCCACCACAAATCCACCTTGGACCAACTAAGGCCAGTTAGCGCCATGTTCGTTCGCACCGTCGCTCCAGAACAAATCGATTTGTGGCGGTGGGTGCAGCAGAACCTTGACATCTGACATTCCTTCCTTTCTTTGACCGACGTCTCGTTTGTCTCTTATCCCAGGCCGACCGTAGAACCACGAGCAGCAGCGTCCGATCCGATACCCACAACACCAGCCCAGAGACACTTTTACTTGTCAGCCCATCGGATGGATCACGCCCAGCGCTCGACCCGCCTGGCCTGGGCGTGCGACCGCTGTCGTCGCCAGAAGCTCAAGGTATTGTGTCTTGTTCCATCTGTATCTCTCTCTCTACTGATCCAGGACCACCTCCGTCTAGTGCGACGTGGAGAAGCCATGCATCCTGTGCGTCCGGGCCGGGGTCGCGTGCGAACCGCAGCTCCCGGCTCAGGACACCCCGTTGAAGCGGAAGAGATCCGTCCAGTCCGACATGCCACGCCGTGCCAAAGCGACGGGGCCAAGTTACGCTGCCCAACACGGCGTCGTCCCACAGGTGCCGACCAGCGGCAGCACCACGTGCAGCCCAATGAACGATCCCGCGCACGGTGCGGGCCTCGATGTCGGGGACATCACGCGGACCAGCCCCGAGGAAAGCCAGCAATACGGCGCCAACGACTCGTCCATGGGCTTCGCCAAGATCCTGCTCGGCGAAGACGACGACAGCGACTCACCCGCCAGCGGTGCCATCCCGGGCGACGCGGGCCGCTCGGCCACAAACCCACAGTCGTTCGGCTCGATCTTGACGCCCCTGCCGTCCCAGACCATCCTCCAGGTTGCCGTGGACGCCTACTTTGACCGCGTGAACTGGTACATCATGCTCTTCCACCAGCCGTCGTTTGCGATCAAGACGCAGAACATCCTCCGACGGACGGCGTGGCGACGCGACGAGCTGTGCGACGTGATGGTGGTGGCCACGGTCGCGGCGCTGGGGTTGCGGTGTGTCGAGCATGACAAGACGTGGAAAGGCCACCACTTGCTCGAGGCCTACTCGGTCACGGCCGAGTCGCTCGTGTCGGACCTGATGTCGCAGATCGCGTCTCGCTTCTACGAGCTGATGCTGGAGTCACGCATCGAGGTGTTCCAGATCTGCATGCTGCTGACCATCTACCACGTCTACTTCGGGTCGTCGACATTGGCCTGGAACGTTTCCGGGGTGTCGACTCGGACGGCGTACGCACTGGCTCTTCATTGCGACAAGGCTCGAACCACGGACGAGATTGCGCGCGAAGTGAGCAACCGATGCTGGAACCATTTGGTCGTGTCGGACCAGTTCTCGTCCATGATCTTCGGGCGTCCAGCCTCTCTCGACCCGGCCTTTGCCCAGTTCAAGAAGCTCGCCGACCTGGACGACACCGACCTCCCCGACACCACGGCCGCCCTCGGAGTGTTCCAAGAACCCGGCCGGCCCGCAACGTTTCTGACCTACCACACGCTCAAGTTCGAGCTGTACGACATCATCCGCCAGACGCTGCAGAGCTTCCGGGTGCTGCAGCTCCAGAGCCCCGTGTCGGTGCAGGACCTGAAGTCGCTGATCCACGTCGTCAACACCACAGAGCTCATGTTGAAGCAGTGGCACGACAACCTGCCCGCGGTGTTCAAGTCCACACGCTGGCCCGCCGACGATCCCTGGAACGTCCTCGAACTCGACCAGTGTAGCCCGGAAGAACTCGGCGTGCGCCGGAAGATCGGCTTGCAGGGTTTCATTCTTCAGCTCCTGTACGACGCCGCCCGGGTGTGGGCGCACCGGCCGCTCCTCAAACTCCGCATCTCCATCTCCCCCCCCAAGGAAGGCAGCGACCACAAGATTGCGCGCGACGACATCCCGGACTCGCTGGGGACGTCGGTGCGGGCGGCGCTGCGCATGTCGCGGGTGCCCGTGCACGAGTTCGAGGGCCACCTGGCGCAGTCGTTCGTGCTGATGCACCTGTTCACGGCGGGCGTGATCCTGTGCATCGCGCCGACGTGCCAGCCCTACAGCCAGATGGCCGGCGAGGCCAAGGCCGGCGTGCTGCGCATTATCGCCGCCTGCCGCGCCATCAAGGACGAGAGCAAGATCGCCCAGCACACCGACCAGATGCTGACCCGCCTGTACAAGAAGACCATGCAGCGCGAGATGGACAACGCGTTACGCCCGCCGGACACGGCCATGGGCATGGGACTGGGCATGATCACCACCACCACCACCTCCTCCTCCTCGTCCTCCTCATCCAAAGATCGGCTGGCGCCTTTGACGCTGGCCAGCACCAGCACCACGAGGCAGTTACACCAGCAGCAGCCGGGAAACGGCGGCGGCGGTGGCAATGTCGACTATCTCCAGTCGATCCTCGGGGGAGGCGGAGGAGCGAGTAACATAATGTCCAAAGCCACTGCTTATCAAGTAGGTATGGAGACGGCGAGCCCAACCGCTGGAGGCCAGCTGTCTCCTCTGGACTACCACCGTTCTAGCGCCGCCACCGCCGCCGACGACCAATTTCCCGACCACCACCAACCTGTCGTCTCGTACCTGCAATTCGAGTCGCTGTGCCACAACAACCCGATGATGTCGCACGTCAACGAACACATCGACGAAGCATATGGTGCTTTTGAACAGAGTAAGTAGTGTACACACACTGAGAAGCCTCCCTCCCCTCCCTCGTCCCCTTATAGTCCCGGCTCCGTTTCCAGAATCCTGTTTCCGAAAGAGAAAAGAAGAAGAGCCTTTTTATTATCGGGAAAGGGGGGTTGCGACAAACAACTGCTAATGATCAACGTGTGTGCCTTAGTGTCCAATCTGGACTTTGGCGACTTTTCCTTCAAGCCCTATTGAGTCCCCGGTCGACTACCCACCAACCACCACCACTAATAATAATGCCGATGACAATGACGATGAATACGATCTCCCGCCACGTCCCCTTTTCTGTCCTTGGTAATGCACGTCGTCGCGTCCTTTCTTGGTCCATGGCTCGGATTCGAATGGAACGGCAGGGCCTTCCTCCTGATATGCAGCGGGCTGCCGTCGTTAAACTACCTTACGCCAAGTTGGAAGACGACGAGTAATGCTCTCTGGGCCCAGCCAGATCATGACGTCTGGATCCCTGGGTATTTATGCGACGGTCTATGCTGAGGACGGCCATAGCCACAGCGGAAAATGCAGAGCTGGACAGGCCAGCCCCTATTTGTCTCAACAGCCTTGTTCTCAGCCCTCGCAACACCAAAACGAGGTCTTTGGTGTTACTGCTACTGATTACTACTACTAGTTACTACCACTCATGCACATCTCTCTCTCTCTCTCCCTCTCTCTCTTTCTCTCTCTTTTTCTCCCCGTCGAGAATACCTCCAAAAGGTGAAAAACTAGCCTCCTTGAACGAATGTCCAGAAAAATTGGACGACGACGCTTCCTTGACCTTTCTTCCTTCCTCATCCCGCTTTAAAGCGACAAGAGACTGTGTTTATGTGTGAAACAAACCAAACAGGATCTATAGAGGAGGAGGAGGAGGAGACAGAAGGCGAAGACTAGGACAAGACTAGCAGCTATCACAAGAAGAGCGAAGCCTGGTTTTTGTTTTTGTTTTTCTTCCCCCGCCGACAATTTAACTTGGCCGAAATCAATCGATCGAGAAGCAAAAAGCCTCTAACTTCGACACCATCCATCCACAAGGGCCATCTTCGACCGGCGAAATCCAAACCCAACCCAAAGCCAGACGGTCGAGGAAGGGGGGAGCCGGGTGTAGAAGAAAATGACAACGAGCTTGACGCGAGAAACCAAGAGGGAGAGAGAGAGAGAAAGAGGGAGAGAGAGTCACACTTCTTGGGTCGACCGAGCTGGACGCAGATTCATTCGGTCGGGCCATTCGTGCTTGTCACTTGAGCCGATATATGTCCTGTCAGTTCAGTCAATCCAGCAAATCCAACGTGTTGACCTCCCTCTCGCCATTCGGGTCAGGCAGTCCAAAGCCCCAGATCGCATGATCATCGCCGCCGCCACTCTCCGAGACTGAGTAGTCAGCGCCATATCTGTGTCCCTTCGCCTCCTTCTTCGCCTCCGCCCGCTTCACGAGATATGTCTTCCTGATCCTCTCCCGCTCGGCGTCGCTGTGGCCGTGCACGATTTTGTCTACGGACATCTGTATGCGCCGCCGCATCGCCGCCACCAGATCTGCCTTCTGGCGCTGCAGCTCCCGGGCCCTGCGTACCCGGCGCAGCTCTCGCATGCGGTGTTTTAGGCGGGCCCGTAGCCGTCGACGCTCCTGCGCCTCTTCCCACCGCCGCCGAAGAATCACAGTCTTCCTCGTGGCGGGGGAGTGAAGTCCGAGAGAGTCCGGGTGCTGCATGAGAGACATATCCCGGACAGGGTGGTTGTTGTTGCTGTTCGGACGGGCACCGCAGGCGAGCTGGGTATTTGCCACGGTGGCATCCGTGGCTGTCAAGATGGCTTTCATCTGGGTCGACGGTGACGGAAGGATTTCTCTGGCAACGTTGCATTCGAGGCAGGCTCCTCGACGGCTATGTCGCCACGCTTTGAGAGGATCAGATCGAGGCGGAAAGCCCCCTGGTTGCAAGGCGAGAGTGCCAAAAGGGAATTCGATCCGCTCGATCTTTAGAGGCGATGAAGAAAAGCGTGAGGATCACGAAGCACGTGTAAGTCAAAGCCGGGCATGCACAATCACGCGAGCACCCTGACCGGCAGAGAAGAAGAAGAAGACGATAGTAATAATGATGGAAGGCGCCGTCGATGTCTTTTGTGGTAAGAGAGAAGGCTGCGGCTGACCTCAAAAAAAAGAGGAGGGGGTCTCGTACTGGAATGAATGCAAAGGGTAGATAGAGAGTAGAGATACGATACTTCCAGCATCCCAAAAAAAAACACAATTTCTTGCGCCCAGATGAGATGAGAGAAGGAATCTGAGATCCATGGGATGGGGAAAGGAAGGCAATTCAGAAAGATCCACGGAGGAAGGGAGGGTGAGGCAGTCGTAGACAAAGGGAACATCGGCCAGCCGACCGGGCAGCCAGGGTATCAGAGTGTCAGTCGAGTAGTTACTTGCTTGGGTACTTACCCAGTGATGTGAATTTTGGACATGGTGGTGTCTGCCAAAGGAAGGGAAGAGAGGAAGAGTGAAAATCCCGCCATCAGTTAGTTAGTTGCGTCCACGAATGAAGTGAATGGATATAACATGATCTGATATACAACGGCGACACAGTGTCTCAGCAAGATACCGTATATCGTCGACGGGGAGGATAGAATACCTAGGGGCACACTCACTCGTGACGGTCAGCGACAGCGGAGTCCGTATTCTCAAGACACAGAGGCATATTGTCATATAGATAGGAGCACAATCACGGACCTTTGTTGTTGTTGTTGTTTGTTGATTAACGGTGTGTCCATCATCAAACTCCACCAGCTCTGAAACCACCCATCGACAAAGAAAACTGATACCCATATACCCCCTTCCGTCGCCGGGCTGTGGCGAGTCAAACAGAACCCCTTTTGTTGTTTAGATCAAATGGCGGCTGGCCCATCATCAAACTCCTCCATCCCTATAAAACAAACCCTTTATCGACGAGAAATCCCCTGATATCCTCCTTCCACGGCGCCCGGCTCTGCTCATTTTTTTGACCTTACTCAGCACAAACAGACAGGAAACTCACCTGACCAAGATCTGTCGAGGGTGTCCAACGAACCAGATCTGACCTGCATGAAGGAGTGGGTTGGTGCCGTCTGTCTTGGGGATTGAAGGAATGAAAGAATAAATGAAATGAGGCTTGTCGGAAGTGGGATGTCGTGTGCCCACCAAGCATATACACATAACGATGCCGCTTCACACCTGTTCTTTTGCATCTTTGTGTGTCATTCGATGTGTATATATCTCATCTGACAAAATTCATTTCTATGTCCAATGTCACACGTCATGTTATGCAATGCCATGCTATTTTCGCTTCGCATCAACTTTTGGAGCCTTCAACATGGTAAACACCAAGAAGGTAACGGCCAACATGGCACTGCCGCCGATCAGATAGGCCGTCTCGCGACCAGCCCACCAAAACAGACTGCAGAAGACAATGGGCCCCAGTGCTCGTCCAAACTGTCCCCAGCTCCGTAGAGCTCCCAAGACTTTTCCGCGATTGCTCTCGCGCGCCTCGAAGCTGCCCAAACTGTTGAGGCCGGTCACGACGGTGGCTGAGGTCACCGCGAGTAATGCGCCTGCGCAGTACAAACCGGTCAAGTTGTCGATACGCGACAGGAGAAAGAACGCCAAAGTGCTCGAGACAACCCCGGACTTGACCACCGTCAGAGGAGGGAGGCGACGGACAATGGTACCCTGCAGGAGTGAGGCAATCAGCCCCACAAATCCCAGCAATCGCCCATTGAGCTTCGACGGTGACGGATTGTCCGGAAAGAGCACCGACGTGATCAAGAACGGCAAGGAGAATTCCATGCCCGAAAACGGCAGGAGGAATAGCAGGTGGATCACGTTCAGAATCATCGGGTTGTTTGTGTGCTCGAAAGTCGTCGTCGTCGTCGTCGTCGAGCTGGACTTTGTAGTCTTCGCGCCGGGAGCCGCCGTTTCCACCGGTCTCGTCTCCGGCAGCTGGAAGTAGAGGTATAGAGTCTCCAGGACGATCAGGAGCAGGGAAAACCCTGCGGCCGTCGCGAACGGGTTGGCAATCACGGTGGTGATACTCGCCAGCGCCGCTCCCATGGCGGGACCAAAGGTAAAGGCCACGCTGAAACAGGCGCCCACCAGGGCCATGGTTGACCCCCGTTGCTCCTCGGTACTGATGTCCGTCGCAATGGCCGTCGCCAGCTGGACATTCCCCTCACTCAGCCCGCCCACGACGCGGCTCAGGAGAAAGGTGCGGAAGTCCACGGCGCAGCACCAGAGCGCCACGCTGGCGATGTTGCCGCACATACTCCACAGCAGCGCCGTCCGTCGCCCATATTTGTCCGATGCCCGACCGATGATAGGCGATGCAATGGCCTGCAGTAACGAAAACAGCGAGCCCAAGGCCCCTCCAAGCAGCACGATGTCATATTTCTCATTGATGGGCACCGCAAAGGAGGACTTGTATGCGTTCAGGTAGTGGAGGATGCGGTTGAGGGCCGAGTCCGGGTGTGTCTCCAGGCCTCGATAGAAGGTGAGCAGGGAGGGGAAGAGAGGGAGGATGAACGTAAACGAGATCTGCCAGAGTTAGCTTGGGACCTCTTCCCGGGACGGCATTGAGACTGAGACGGACCAGGTCCAGAAGGAGAGAGATGAAGAGTACACGCAGGATCTTCTTCCGCTGTTGAGGGGAGATGGTGTTGTCCATGTCGTGTCGTGTCGTGTCGTGTTATGTCCTGGCTCCCCCACAAAAACAAATCAATGGCTGTTGTTGTTGTTGTTGTTGTTGCAAGATAGATATGTATTACCAGACGCAGTCAGTCACTGTAGCGCAAAGGTACTCAATAAGTAATAATGGAGACAGACTGTCCAGTTCACAAAATGATATAAGAGTTGGTAGGTATGCATGCGACCAGCGCTCAATTAGAAGGGGGCCGTCAACGATCATCAGCTCATGTCATCCATCCATTTCGTTGTTGGTGGCATGAAGAAACAAGTTGCGCGGCGTCGTGGCGGCGCCGCTGCAGCTCGAAAAATGCAGCTCCTTTGGGACTAGTGGGATATTATGTAATCCAGCTGGCCCCCGTTCCACCCTCCCCCCGTTTTGGAATGTTCTATTTTGAGCCTCCCCAACGTTCACCCATCTCAGGGGTAAATTGATATAGAGAGTAGAGGATTGTTATAGACTCTAGAGAGGTAATAATACCTAGAGTACGTCTCGCATTACCTGCTCCATTCCGACGTCATATCCCGAATACCGAGTACTTGATAGAGCTGGACTGAACCAGCACCTCGTACTCTAAACACTTCGATAATATACTGATGGGCTTGTTTCAATCCCCTATTGTCCGAGACAGGAACGGTTCCGCTGGGTGCCTTTCTCTCAAATGTCGTCCTCCATAGGCGCCACGCCCTCTCGCTGCATCTCCTTTCCCACCTCCTCCACCCTCTTCCACACGCGTAGCAGATTGCCCCCCGTGATGCCCTCGACTTGCCGATCACTGAGGCCCCGTCTCAAGAGCTCCTTCAGCAGGTCGGGGAACTTGCTCACGTCCTCCAACCCCCGGGGCGTGGTCGGGGTGCCGTCAAAGTCGCTCCCAATGCCGACGTGCTCGAAGCCGATCTTCGTGCCAATGTACATGATGTGGTCGGCCACCCACTCCAGCGTGGAGTTGGCCGGGTAGAAGGTCGGCAGGGTGTTGGGGGTGCTCGAGTTGACGCAGGAGATAAATTCCGGAACGAAAGTCACCATGACGATAGAATCGGTCTGCTTGACCAGAGGCAGGATGTAGTCCGGCACGTTGCGCGGGTGAGGACACAGCGCGTGTGCCGACGAGTGCGAGAAGATGACGGGCGCCCGGCTTCCAGAGAATAACTTGGTCTGGTTGCCCGCGAGCACGTCGTGCATGGTCGCCGGATGGGTGTGGGATAGATCAACCTAGACGAGTACAGGTCAAAACGAATTATTCAACAACAAAGTAGGGGGAAACACTGACCATCATGCCCAGCCGATTCATCTCCCGGATAAGTCGAGTACCCAGCGGACTCAGACCGCCCCAATGTGGTGCTGCCGGTCGAGCAGCTCCAGGGTTCGGCGAGTCGTCCTCGATCGTTAGCTGCGCGGCGTCGGCAAAAGCGTTATGGCAGTTCCAGGTCAACGTGACGTATTTGGCCCCCAGCTGGTGGTAGAGGCGGAGCATCGACGCATTCCGGCCGATCATGTGGAGTCCCTCGAGCCCGATCGGGGAGAGCAGCTTCCCATGGCGCCTGAAAGCCGTCAGGGCCGTGCTGCTGTCCAGCGTGGCGGGGGAAAAGATATCTGCGTGGGCGGCCTGCACGCGGTGGATGAGGTCCATCTGCGACAGCGCCAGGACGATAGCTGCACACAACGTCAAGAGAGAGCCACCGCCGTCCCCAAACAGAACTACTCACTAGAAGCGTAGTTTTCATTGGAAAAGTCAAAGATGTCGGCGGGACACTCGACCCAGCAACTCCAAAAGAGCCCGCCTTGCCGGCCCTGCTTCAGCCGGGCCAGGTCCAGATGGTCCGGCATCCCGCCGTCCTCGAACTTGGTCCGGAAGTCCTGGTCGTACAGGTGGTTGTGGAAGTTGGCGCGGATGCTCCATGCCAAGTCATCATGGCCGTCTGGGTCGATCCGGTCAGTTCAGTTGCCACTCGTGGCCCTTATAACATCCTGTCTGCGAAATACTTGACTCACCCATCAGAGGTGTCGCGGCCATGATTCTCGAAACACGCTGATCCAAGGAGAGGAAGGAGGACGGGATCAAAGAAGCCAGGTACAAGTGTGGTCTGTAGTAAAAGCCGTCTTTGAACGCCTCCTCGACGCAGAGGGCCGCAATCAGGAACAACAACATGGTGCGCCATCGAGGCCACTGGTAACGGTCATAACTTTCATCTGGACTCGATCGAGCCTTGGGCTTCCGCCCGTCTTTTATCCGCACCATAGCCTTGTGAATGTCAGAGTCGGATGCGGGAATATGAAAGGGTTAGTGTTGGTCGTGAAAGAGTTGGGCAGAGAAACGACACTCTGACGATACGCGTCAGGATCGCTTCCGGTTGGGTGGTAAGGATGACACGAGAATCAAGACGAAAAGGATATGGATATGCCAGTTCTCGATGGAGCGGCCAAAGCGATGGTCTTACCAAGGGCGCGAGATTAATGTATCGGCTGCTTGATTCATTGGATAAGGATACAGTAATGTGGGGATGAATGGATCCATATGCGCCGTACTCCGTATTCCATTGCATTGCACAGACCTGTACATACGAGGTATATCTAGAGATACATAGATGGCTCACCGCAACTCTTTCTTCCCTCCTATTAATACTTGTTGCATAGACATGGGTCTCTCGGAGCAGAGCTGCAAGAAACAATATCTCTGTAGGTGTAGTTTGGCTGCTGTTAGTTAGTAGTGCTCACCTCCGTACTTCCTCACCAACTTCTTCAAGATCCCAATGGCGCCAGATTTATAGCCGCCGCCAAAGATGGCGTAATGGTTGAGGTGATGGTACTATAGAAATAGATGGGTCAGCTTGTGTATGTTAAGCTGAGGCCATAGACCACCCCACTGAGATCAAAGCTATCCCGCAGAAAGGAAACAGGTACTCACGATTTCATACAACGATACCCTGTCCTCGTACTCACCGACTGGCTCCGTCTTCGGCACCAGCTCGTGGTACTCTTTCCAGAACGACGTATGAAACCCGCCAAACATGCGCATGATCCCAAAGTCGTACTCGTTGTGCGCGTAGCAGGACGACGGGTCAAACACCACGTCCTCGCGGGTCGTCTCGTCGCGGCGGCCAACGAAGCTGCCCTGGGATTTATTGCCCGACCACAGATCGCCGTGCACCACGACCGGTTTGATGCCGTCCTTGCCGCCCAGGTGGTCGCTCCCAAGCAGCTTCGGCACGACCTCGTGGACCGTCCGTTCCACCACCCGGCGCAGCTCCGAGTCTCTCCCGTTATTCTCTTCGGCTTGCTCGAGGATCGCCAGGAGCCGGTGTTCCCCGAAGAATTCGGCCCACGATGAGGTGAATGTGTTGTCTTGGGGCGTGTCTCCGCAACACGTTGTGACCGGGAATCCAAATTGAGGTGAATCGTACCCTTCGGGGACCGGGGCAGGAGTCGTGTGTAGCCTTGCGAGTTTCTGGGCGAGAGACATGCCACTGCCACTGCCACTGCTGCTTCTAGTCCTCGCTGCTGCTGCTGATGATAGCCGTCCACTAAAGTCCAGGAATTCCGTGGCGAGGAAGTATCCCCCACCGCTCTCCAACGGTCCCCAGGCATAAGATTGGGGACACAGGCTGGGCACGGCGTCGTGGATGGCGTTCAGCGAGGCGTGTTCCCCCTGAAACATAACATCCGCACCGGGTGAGCGGGACTGCTTCACGAAGATGGACGTGGTGGCTGTGGTGATGCGGAATGTCGATGCAAAGCCCGAGCCGCCGTGGGCGGAGATGTGGGCCGTGTCGGCATCGAGGTGTAAGGCGCGGACAATGGCTGGGTCTATAGTGGGCATCTTGGTCACAGCGACATCACCAGAAAAAGCCATGTTTGGATGCTGGTTCTCACATGGTTTTACTGCAGAGAGGCGTGGCCTGATGTTGAATGACGTAGTTGTATATACACAGCACAGTTGCACGGTCTTTCGGGTTATCGACCCCCGAACAAAGGGGAAGTGTTCATATGCTAGAAAAAAGTCCGTAGGTGTCACGGGTGTGTGTATCTGATTATTCTAGCATTATCAAAAGCTCTCGTTCCCCCCCCAAACTCCGTAAGAACATTCCGTCCATGAGTGCTGATGGCGCCGTTCTTGAAACTCCAAGCTCATTACCTGCATGGCTCCATGAATGGTTGGTGACAGGACAAACCCCCATAACTCGTCCGTACTCAGACGCCTTTGTCCATGTCCGTATTTATCGCTTCTCTTTGCTCCAGCGAACCCATTCTTTCTATGTGCATCACACGTCACGAGCGCCTTCGCTATGCATAAATGCAGTCAATTCGTCGATCAAACAACCTCCTCGAGTCATACCTGCTACTTCCGACCAGTGTCTTTTGGCTTAGCTTTGCCTTCCGCATCACTGTTCATACCACTCGCGGTCCCACTGTCCGTCCCGCCAGCGGCGCGTTTCTTCTGGCGTAGCGTCTGGCCCTGGCCCTTGAAGTGAGGCTTCGTTTCATCGCCGCCAACAGGTTCGCCGTTTTCGTTCCGCTTGCGCAATGGGATGACTTTGTAGCCGAAGAACAGCTTTCCATGGGGCAAACGCAAGGGTTGGGGTCCGTTGGTGTTTCGTGGTGGTGCAGGTTTGTCGGCATTTGTGGACACTCCTCCGACAGGCGTAGATGCGTTGGGTGTTGGAGCCTTCGATCCCTTCTTCGAGCTGAGCTTGTGGCCCTCGGACAGAAAATGCGACGAGACGGCGCGGGCACCAGCGGCAGCAGTGTTGGAGGACGGGGCGATGCTTCCATAGTTGATTGACTGCGCCATGGTTCCCTGGAAATGCACCGGTCCACCAACGGGTCTTCCAACGCCACTTCGAGGTGTGCTTGTCCCACTCGTACGCTCCGGGGGAACGTATCCAACCGGGGTGGCGAAGTCGACTTCCAGATCAGTCTCCATGGTCACAATGGCGTGCGAGTCTGTGTCTGGCTTGATCTCCAACACGGCAATATCGTAGGTCTGATCATTGTACTCAAACGTAAAGATATCCCCCTTGGTCATACAGGAGAAATTGCGGAACGCGTTTTCGAGGACGGCTCGTGGATCTGAGATGTCGAGGAAGGCCGGTGACTGAGGTTGGAGCTTGATGAACTTGCCGGGGGGAAGGTCGGTGGACTTGATCTGAAGAAGATCACCGGGGTCCAACTCAAGAGTCTTCATCAACTAGGCCAGAATGTCAGTATATATGTACCTTGGCAACTTTTCGTGGGAACGGTGTGCATACCCATTGCGGCAAGTAGATCCTCCCTTCCTCAGCGATGAATTCAAGGACACCAGCATGGGTACTCTTTCCCGCATTTCCGTTGATCAGCTCGAACACCATGGGATATGTGATGTGAAGTCTTGTCAGCTTGTCCAACGCCGACGGCGGCATGAACACCTTTCCACCGTAGTTGACGTTCTTCCGGTCGGGTCCACTCATCATGACCACGGGGTAGCAGCGGTAGTACTCGTCGAAGCGGCCCATCGAGCGTCCAAGGGGAGGACCACCCCGCATGAATGCAGGGTACTCCATCGGATCGTGGTAGAAAGACTGCGCATGTCAGTGAACGTAAATAGACGGTTCACACGGAGTACACTCACCATTTGGACCGTACTGGCTTTGGCTAATGTGAGAGGCAGTGATGAAAGATGCAGGATGGCGCGGGTTGCTGGGGGATGAAGAGTGGCAGAGGCGCGGGGCGAGGAAGCCTAGAAGTTTTAGGGCAGAGATTGTTTTGTGCGAGAGGGCGCGGCTTGGCGATGTATGATACTAGAGGAGGGCGTCGCGTGGACGTGGATGTGACTGGGTTGAGTTAGAATACAAGACGGAGTGCCCTTCACTCAAGTCGGTGAAGTCGATGTCGCGAGGTCTGGTCAGGCACCGTCTGCGTCCGCAGTGGACGACGAAGTGACGCACCTTAGTTGGAGCCGCGGCACTATTACATACTGCGCCCAGCGGGTCCGATCACCTGTGCCGGCCAGCTTCACAAATTCGGCCACAAACCAGGACAATCTTTAACTACCTGTGACTGCCTTACCCCCGACGACGACGACAATGGCCTATAACACGCCTCGCTTCAAACGTGCGGCTGAAGACTATGTCCGCACCACCTCCCATTCCCACGATGACTTCTACGGCCAACCCACCAAAAAGCCGCGCTTCGACGTGCGCAACCCGTCGGCCCTGGCTCCTGATGCGTTGGAGGAGGATGCTATCCTGGAAGCAGACGTCATCGGCTCACGGGGCCAGCAGGTGAAGCGTGGCGCAGTCAACATCGACGGCTACGATTCGGACTCGGACAACGATAACTTCGACGCCCGCGCCGACCGAAAAGCGAAAGCGAATGCAAAGGCGGACAAGGACAAATCCCGGGGGGAAGTGGAAAATGACATGTTCGCTGATCTCGAGGACGATTTCAAAGACGGGGACGACTCAGAAGGCGACGCGGGGCGAAAAGGCGGCAAGAAAAAGGCAGTTCGGTTCATCGACGAAGACGAGATAGAAGGACAGATTCAGAGCTCGAAAAGTGGCGGACACGTCTCCGCCAATTTCTCGCTGGATGGGCGAGGCAAGGGAAAAGCAAGAGAACTGGACGATGAGGTGGAGAGCAGCAGTGAAAGCGAAGTGGACGACGAAATACGAGCCAGTACGGGCGAACTGGATCCCGAACTTGGGGCCGGGAGCAAGAAGTCCCATGCTCCCAAGCTGGACGCTTTCAACATGAATGCAGAACAAGAAGAGGGCCGTTTTGACGACCAGGGGAATTATGTTCGAAAAGCGGCCGATCCTGACGCGATACATGATGTGTGGCTCGAAGGCATGTCGAAGAAGGAAATGAGGCGAGCAAAAGAGGCCGCCGACAAACGAGAAGAAGAGCGCAGACAACGTGACTTGGAGGAGGATGCAAAGTCCACCGGCGACGTCCTGGCTGAGCTCATTCCGCTGCTGGAACGCGGCGAAACCGTCCTGGAAGCCCTCGCCCGCCTTGCAAAGGGCAAGGACAAGAAGGCCAAGTGGCACCCAAAAAGTAAGCACAAGAAACAAACCGGGGGGACAGAGGGACACATGGCAGCAGAAGACGAGGCCGTCGAGAAGGCTCGAAAGGCAAAGATCGAAAAAATTAGCGGTGCAGCGGCTATCTTATTAGGGAGAGGCCAAGCGGAGGTGTACGACACTGAAAGAGAACTACTCATTCGACAATATCGAAGAGAAACTGGTAACGAGTGGAACGACCCCCCACAGCCCGACGACATAGACACTCAAGCCAATACTGACAAATCCTCGGCACCACTCTGGGAGTATAGGTGGACGGATGCCAGAGACGGTGGAGCGATAAACGGGCCTTTCGACGGCCATACCATGAAGCAGTGGAATGATGCTGGCTACTTTGGCGAAGGTGTTGAGTTCCGTAGGCAAGACGGTGGTGGCGAGTGGACCAGAGTCGCCGACTTCGCCTGATGAGGATGATGTTGATGTTGTGCGATATTCCCAATAATTGACTTCCTAAGCATGGAATATTGCTGTGTCCGACGCGCCTTCTTCGCCTTCGACAGCAGCCGCTTGCGTGTGGCGGAATGTCATGACGCGCCAATTGAGCTCTCGACGCCAGAACAGTCCGTATGCCAGTCGATTGCCGCCGGGTTCAGAGCATAGGCCACCGCTGCCCGGCATCTTCTGAACAAAGATACAGGCTCGGAATCTCGAATGGATCATAGCCATGGCACAGCAAACACAAGGTTCGTGTGTCAAATAAATGTCGAGTCCGCTGCAGAGATACCCTTCGCCCCGAGAAGCCGCTCGTTTGGCCGACATGGCATCACTCTCGGTGTTCTCGAGGACGACGTTCGCCAGTCCAGAGGTAACGTCCTGGAGGACTGGGCCATCGTCTTCATATTGACTTTCGACGGGTGTGAGCGCTTGGCCAGATGGGGTTTCAGTGCATGTGTCCTTAAACTTGAGGTGACCACCGGCTCTGATGCGTCGACGCAGCTCCTTGTTGGCGACCATGGCGACAGCACGCATGACGGCGTGATATTCCGGTCTTCCCTCTCCTTTGTTTGCCATCAGCGATTGAAGAGTCGCCGGATCATCTGACCACCAACGGGCATCGCCAGCAACCGCGACAACTGTGGCAGTTTCGGGCTCTACCACAACAGCACCAACGCCTCTTCCGTGGCCGAGCTCCTTGGATGCCTCGGCAGCTCTCCTTGCGAGCGCCATGTACGTGTCTGCGGCCGGCACCTCAAGCATGGTTCGCATCCGTCGAAGCTGGTGAAGAGGTGGAGCATCCTGGATGACTTGGGCCGCCGGATTGTAGACTGATGGCCAGTACCGTTGCGTCCAGAGGGCAGCCTGCTCTACACTCAAAGGTGCGTGGCTCGGGACTACAGCATCGAAGCAACGCGGAAGACCTTCGACATCGATGTGTGGCACGAGTGTCGCCTTGATGTCCTCCCACGGAACGACGGTGTTTGGCACCAGCAAAAAGACGGTTTGTAGGCCCCGAGCATCATAATCACGTCGCCACGTCAAGTCGAGGGGTAGGTGAGTGAGAGAGCATACACGGCGAAAGTGACTGAATGATGGGTGCTTGCCGCCGCTAGGAATCACAGGCTTGACGATGCTAATCACGGTGGTCAGCTCTTGCTCACTTGTGAGGGTCTCTGAGGCACTTACCCAAGTGCTTTGCTCGTCAATTTGGCCGGAATCTCGACGACAAATGCCCGGACTGGACGACAAAGTTAGATCAGAGACCTAAGGAGGACGAGTAGAAGGGGAGAGCGAGTTGTACCGAACACTTCCTCCGAACGATTTTCGTGAACCGTCTTCAGTGGCTCGAGGAATGAGACTTGTTCCGCCATGTCTGGAGGTTGCTGAGGTTCGGATGCATCGTAGAGCAGAAAGAAAGTTGTGCAAGGTTCTGAGCGAGGAGGGAGGGAAGAAAAGAGGTTGAGAGATGGGAGGCAATTGCCTCTTCCAGTGTTGATTATCGAAGGCAGTCGCAGGGTCACGCCTGCGGTAGAAAGGTAGAAGGCAAGCGACCCGCTCAATCTCTTTTGCAAATGTGAGAGAAGAAAGCAACGACAAAGCGTTGTCAAGGAGCAAACAAGGAAAGAATAATGATGGCAAACGGTTCGACTTCTAGAGAAGAAGACGACGACGACGACGACAACGACGAGGACGTGGGGAGTAGAGCATCAATCCTCACCACCACCTCTTGTGTTAGTGAGAGAAACGAAGTCTATATACAGTTGAAGAAGAAAACAATTTCCCACAACCAGGTGAGTGAATCAAATGTCTTGCTTGTTGTGAGCCATTTCTGATTTTTCGTCGAGTCCATTATTCGAGGCAAGGAATGGAAAGTGAACTGGACGGCTTGGCGGATTAATGTTGTTCCGCAAAACTTTTCACTCATATAGTCCGCCTACTATGTTCCTGACTATCAAAGTCAACAAGTCCTCCCATCGTTGCCGTCTGTCTATCCCTTGTCATGATCACAGGTCTCATACAAAGAAGACAAAGCTGTGCAGGTCAACCAGTGTCCACCGCCAGCCATGCCCCGGCACCTCCACCAAATCCCATGTCTGCAGGATCCATGACGATATACTACACCGCATCTTGACGTGGTGAGAATATTTAAACCTCTGCCAGATCTTTGAGTCATTTGGCTTCCATCAAGTGACAATGCCCTTTGAACCCCTCTGTCTCCATGTCCCCGTTGCCGAGGTTGAGAGACTGAGTCAAGCTAGCAGGAATCGTGCAACATGTCCCTCTAATACCTGAAAGTGGAATTCCGTCCCTGGCTTGGGCTGATATACAGCCGTAGTTTGTACAGGTGGGAGATCAGCGGACGTCGAGGTTCAGTGCATCCAGTTACTGTCTCCTGAATCTCTCGCTGAAGAGATCGACATCGTGCCCAGGTGAAAAGCTCTACCTGAGCTCATTTCATTGACGGTTTCAAAGTCGTCGTCCAGGTTGTAGGGGCCACGGAGGGAGTTGACCCGGCGAGAGTACCCAAAGCGCAAATACTGCGGATACCCCATTGCTTGTACCGTGTTCGGGGTCGAACCGGGCTCCATCTCTTCGTACGGCGAGTCATTTTTGTACGGATATTTTCCTTGGTGTGACATCCGTCTCAAGTCTCCAGCTTCAGCGTCAAAACCAGCAGACTCACGTACGCGGCAATGCTCAGGGCGGTCAGGGCAATGACCACGTTGCCACTGGTGCGAAATCTCTTCCTGCCCAATCCATCATCCCCGACCTCGTTGAAGAACTGTCTGTTGCCCTGCTGTCTGCGATAGGCACTAACCAGCAGCAGGCCGACGGCGTAGGCGGCAAACAGCGCGCCGATGGAGTAGAACTCGGAGGTGAAGATCTTGAGGACGACGAGGGCGAAGGAGAACTGCGACAGCGACGTGCGGATGTACGCCCCTTCAAAGGTGCGCTGGGCGGCACGGATCTCGACGAGCTCCTCGTTAGTGAGGTCGACGGAGCGTGCGCGGTGCATGCGCAGCCGGAACCGGTCTTCGGGGTGGCGGGACGTGAACATGCTGGAGGGACGAGGAGGCTGGTCGCAGGTTCAGCGTGGTCATTGTCCTTCCTACGTGCCTGACGTGCCGTCGGAACACAGGAGTGCAAAGTGGTGTATGGTGTTATGGACTGGACGAGGTACTTGGTACTTCGGGGGAGTTTGTGGGAGACGAAACTTTGGCTGCGGACTTGAGCTCGTAGATCCTTTATCACGTCATTGTGGGTGCCTCGGGTTTACAATAAATTAATATCTCCCCCTTCCACGACAGAGTACGGGGTATATATATATATATATGCTCGTAAGCCAGCAAACATAAGACGTAATCTTGATGTAGACTTGATCTTGACTATTCAGCACCGCTAGAGTCAAAGTCGATCAGCGCATCGCTCAGAATACGCAAGATGTGGCAGAACTCCATCACGTTGTACCGCGTGCCCACGTCTTCCAACAGATAGACATACTCGAGAAGCATCCTCCTCGCAGAAGCGTAGCCGCTGTTTTGCACAACGCCCGAGAAAGAGATCGGTCCACCGTTCCGAATGAATTCTTTCGCCGGGCACGTTGTCCCGTCGGTGCCCATGTCGATGTCGATGTCGGTGCCGCTGGTGCCGTAGCTGGTAAAGCCGACTTCACCAACGAGGTTCCAGTCCACTTGGTCCAGAAGTTCGAATGCATCGGGTTGTTTCTGGGCTTGCTGCTCTGGCTTCTCTGTCTCGTCCGGCTGGGGCATCATCACGAAGACGTATAGTCCCAGCACCAGTGCGGCATGCACCAGAGCGATCTCCGCCTCATACGACGTCCCGTCGATGGGCCGCCGTTTGGACATACACGAGAAGATCTGTGCCGCATGCAGACATGCTCGGCGAGCGGCGGTTGTTCCAGACCAGGTAGCAATATCGTCGAGGGCGTTCTTTGCACGTTCTGCGCCTTCCCTGCCGGAAGCAATCTCAAATACTCCGAGATCGGCCGTCATCGAGATGTTCAGGTGGTGCCAGAAAGCCTCGCAATTGGGGTTTATAATGCACATGGTGTCACCGTACGCCCTCCACATCCTCATGAGGAAGGGGGCGATTGAGACGGCGTGCTCGTCGTGGGCAAAGATCTCTGCTGGGACCGGAAGATTTGGCTGCTCGGAAGTGACAGAGGTATGCCGGTATCTCGCCTCCACACTGCGAGAACTTCCGAGTTAGCAAATGACGACTAGCAGGCTGTGGTATCGGGAAGCTTGCGAGGAATGACTATCTCCGTCGCTCGAGGGCTGCCGGTGGGGACGGATGGCACTTACATTCGAACCCAAACCGTTGAGAAAAGACCGAAGAACCCCAAGGCGCTAGCATCCGAGGCCGGAGGGAGGGTAGCTGATGCCAGCTGCGGTGTCATCAGAGGCATGATCGTCAGTGAACCGGCCGAGACCATCTGAGACCATCGTCTTTCGGTGGCGGCTTGGAACAATTCTGTCTTGCAGGGAAAATAGAAATGCAGGTGCCCGGTCCGTATGATGGGATTATGATCGTCGACGGCGGAGAAGAACGAGTCCGACATGATGAGGCACAGAATCAATCTCTTGGCCGATTCGATGCGTGTCCACGCCCTCCACATGGCCACATTGTCCAAGGAATGAATCATGGCCGACGAAAGATGTTCGCCTTCCTGAGGAGCAAATAGCCCGTGCTGCTGGGCCGCGTTGATGGTCTCGTTGTAGAGGAGCCGAGAGTGCTCAGAAAGAGGCTGTTTGGGATAGATGGCGGCCAGGGACAACAACAGGACTGAAGCCGCCATGGTGGTCAAGAATTCACCCAGCTGGGCTCCTTTCTGCGAACTCACAACCAGGTCGCGGCGGCACCTCTCAATGGCGTCGTCCAGACGAGAGCTCACGAATCTCTTTGCACGGACCGAGTCCAACATGGTCAGCCCCATGAGGCACATGGGGAACAGAAGCGTGCTGGAGGCTTTCTTTGCGGAGAATGTCGGTTCGTGGATGAACGGCATCAAGTGGTGGAAACGACGGAAGAAGATGTCGAGGCTGATGTCCAGGATCTGGGTGGAGGGGAACTTGGCAGGTGTGCCGCTTTCTTGACTTTGGGAGTCACTCGCACTGCTTGTGATACTCGCTTCAGCCCCTCGGTTTGCTCTTTGCCATAATGACATGTTCAACGGGGCGCAGTCCTCAATCAATCTCGCCCTCCGCTCTTCGTCCAAGCCCCATCTCGACTCCGCGACCTCACCCGAGAGCGTCTGCGGGGGTGCACTCCCACCGAGCCCCGTCGTAGCTGGCTGGGAGAATATATTCTCCTCCGGGAAAGAAGCCACGTCACGCCAGAGAGTCTGGATCAGCCGTCGAGGCGTCTGTCTCTTGGTGGGCCACAGGCTTGCTATCTTGGCGTATCTCTCATCGGATATGTCGTCCTTGGGCGGCGAATGGATAGTTTGCCGAGGGCGGTAAGGGGACAGGCTGAAGCGTGCATCGTTCGTAAAACTCATGAAATCGAATTGAGACAGATCGTCCCATATGTTGGCCGCCAGAGGCAAATCTTGAGATCCCAACCAGTCATCAAAGCCTTCAAGCGGAGCGGCGGCCGTCCTTCGATCCTCAGGGATGTCGGGACTGAGGACGGGCCTAGCTCGCTGAGAAGCTTGGAGGTCCAATTGATCTGGAACCTCTCCCGTATCGTTGTGTCTTTGTTTGTCGACCGTGCTCGGCGGGTTGTCCTTGGCCACGCATTGGGCCTGCCCCTCCACCAGCTCACTGGCGTGCGCGTGCGAACCGGTCACTGGTGAAGGGGACACGGTCTGCCGCTCCGAAGCCGAGTGGTGGTTCCTGATATGTCGCAGGAGCACATCACGGCGCGCGTACTCACCGTCGCAGAATGAGCACTTGAACGGTTTTTCTCCAGTATGGGCTCTTTGATGACGTTTGAGATGTTCCGTTTTGCCAAATTTCCTGTCGCAATAGAGGCATTTCTTGTTGCGTAGAGGCTTGGTCGCCATTGTGGCTCAGGTCAGTATCTGAACGACTACAGGGCGGTCAACGGAGGAGAGATTGATTATGGTCTCGGCCATAAACACCGCAAAGAGGTCACTTGAAGCGAGCAGCAGCCCCATCTAATGTATGAAGCCAGGACTTAAAGTCGTGTTCATGGTCCAACCAGAATACCGAGTAGAGAGAAAGATGGGGGAGTTATTGACCCCGTGGGAGAAAATGCGGAGCTGCTCCACATCCCCATATACGATATACGAGATGATGCCTCCTTATAAGATTTACAGCGATCACTCCCTGTGTTGGTTATGTATGTGTAATACGTCTCGACAGTAACGACCAGCACACTATTGGTGCTGCCTCGACATATGCATCATCGTTCCCACGAGGACTAACCTGGGCAGCTCTTTCATATCCATCTCATCAATATGCTTCTCGAGGGACGCTATCCTCCGACACATGGCTCTTGTTAGCCTGCGTCCGCGGGGACACTAACGTCCCTCCGAAGATTTCTCTGTAATGGTGCCTCACTTCGCTCCATCCTCTGCCTCCGGATTTTGTTGCCGGGGAGTCTTTCCAAGAGCCCCCTCTCTGACCATGTGGACGGCGGTGTGGTTGGTGAGGTACTGAGAGGGGTCCCTAATGAACAGTGCACAGACTATGGCAATGACTCCGAAAGGAATAGACGAGTAGAAAACTCTCTGGAAAGCAAAGGCGTACGCTTGTCTGTAAGCAAGTGCCGCCGCTTTCTCAATCGCGGGAGTTATTCCAGGAACCGTGGCGAAAGCCCCTGGCACGCCTACGGCATTCTGCGCCGTGGCTGAGATAAGAGCTGCGAGTTGCTGTGAGGAGAGACCGTAAGCTGTCGCAACGTCTGCGAGCTTCCTTGGGATCTCGCTCTTCACCTCACCGTTGAGGATCGTGTTGAAGACTGGGGCCTTTGGTCAGCTTCAAGCTATTCAGGAGGTTGTTCCAGATCACCGTACCTGCGTTGCCCACGCTCCCACCACCGCTGCGAAATGTGCCAATCAACCCGGAAGCAATTCCCAAGTGACGCAAAGGCACGTTCAATCCCGCAATCACATAGCAGAGGAGAGTAATCATGGCAAAAGGACCCATTCCGAAGAATTGGAACGCCATCCATCCCGCCCGGTCAGTGGGGACCACACCAGCATAAGCCGCCGTAAATATTGTCTGAAAAACCAGCAATACAATTACTTGAAGCTTCAAATGACCAACTTTGCCCATGAAAAGTGTCGCGATGCCGCCGAAGAGAATCTGCGCGCAACCGTTGGGCAGAGCGATGACGCCGATCTGGATCGGGTCGCTCGTGAACATATAGAGAGACCCTTGAGGTAGCAGGCCTGCAAAAGAATAGAAAACGAAGCCTGTTGCATCATGTTAACAATCTTCTGTTGGCCGTGAAACATCAAGCTGAAGCCGCTCACCTGCCACGAAGACCACGACCAAAAGGACGGTGAACTCGCGTACTTGCCGGAACAAGGAATATGGAAAGAATGGTTGTTTCGCCAGGGTAAAGTCGTAGACGAAACAGGCAGCCAGGGTTAACAAACCCACAACGATGGGCGCAACCACAGAGGCGGATTTCCAGGCATGTCCATCGGTCCCGGCCCAAGTCAGTCCGATCAGAAATATCGTCAGGCCCCCGGTGTACAAGAGAAAGCCGACATAGTCGACTTCCTTGACTTGCTGCCAACGGGACTTGAAGAAATCATACTGAGGACGGGGAGGCGGCCAGTAGAAGATCAGGGTTCCAATCAAACTCAAGACGCCATAAATGATGCCCTGCGTCAGTTAGCACCCGGATGGTGGGCAGTTGACGCGAGAGAATATTGAAGCTCACAATGTAATAGCACCATCGCCATTTTGCGGCCGTGTTAGCATTCAGGGTCGTCGCTATCAGCGTCCCGGCGAGCGCCCAGGGTAGGACCATAGCACATTCGGTAAGCCCTGGACCGAGTGTCAGTCCTGTGAGATAGAATGAGGAACTTTCTTCAGACCTAGCAAGCCTCTCCATTTGTTGGGGACGAGTTCTTGGATTCCCGCGTAGCTGACGAAGATAATACCGCATCCGAAACCAATGACTGTCGATGCGGCGGCAAGCATGAGTGTCGATTTGGCGGTACACGCTATAATCTGCGGCGTGGTCAGCTTCCTCTTGATCAGAGAAGATCGTGTCATCATACCGAGCCAACAATGGCAATAATTTCGCCGGCCACAATTGTCCATCGTCGACCGAAGACATCTGACAATGACCCCGCCAGTGAGAAGCTCACGGAAGACGCAATGCTCCATCCACCCACGATCCAGGAAAGATGTTCGGTGTCACCAAGGTCGGTACCGATAGGCACCAAAATCCCTGTGACCAGAGTGAAGCCACAAGAAATTGGGCAGACGTAGGAGAACGCCAGGGACTTGCAACAAAACGTCAGTACGGCTAAGCACAGGTCACGTATGGATGGTGGCGCAGATACCACTATAGCTAACAGAGTGGTCCACGTCAAGGTCTCTGCCTTCTCAGGATTGTCTTCCAGAGCGGCTTTGTGTGGGTCGTCCAGGTCGAGGGGGATTTCATGGACTGGTATATGACGAGCCTCTGATCGAGCCCGTTCGATAACCTCAACTTCGGCACTCGCGGTTTTCTCTTCAAACGAGGTAGGCATCGTGCGCCAGTGTCTCACAGCAGGTAATTTCCGAGCAGAACACCAAGGGGGAATTGAAAGGGAGGGCGAGCTGCGGCCTGAAGTAATAACTGTGAAGCTGCACGGTCTTAATGCTGATAATTCTCCAACAATCTCCAAATCTATGCCATGTTGCAGGAGAGAGGAGTGTTCCCCACCTCTTAAACGACCATATAATAAACGTGTTGGGGCCTTCTGATGCCGGGGCGCAAGACGGTCTACTTGAATGCCTGAAGTTGGAGACGTGAGGGAAATGTCACCTTGTCATGGCAACCCGGTTCTCGTGCGCTGGACACATCTTTCTCACCCGTCCATGTCCTCCAAGGGCGGTGAACTGTGTGATAGCATGCTTTTGAGGCGATGTGGCCAGGCCCCCGGATCATTCGGCAAGCAGCATTGGAGGCATCGATCGATGAAGCATCATTGTCCAGGGCTCGGCGAGCCCCACCACTTCAGTGGCCCCGAAACTGATCGTTCATTTCCAGTGTTCGCACATCGGCGTGCTCCAATGGAGATAGATAAATGACCGCAGCAATGACCGCGACCGAGAGCTGCATTCTGAACGGAGTCGGAGAACGAAATAAAGGCCGATCAACCTGGGCCCGTGTAATTGCCCCACATGGAATGGGCAGACTATCACAAGGCTATCGTTTGTATACAGCCTTGTCTGGGGTACCCCACATAGCCCCGAAGACATCCGGGGTAGCGATGGCTCAAGCCGCAGTGGAGAGCTCAGAAGGTTTGTCCGCAGGGAAAGAAAATTCATGTTGAAGCAAGTCGGTGAACACATTCGATTCCTCCCCGTAATGTCGATCTGAAGCTCTGAGAAAACTGAAATCACTTATACATCTGCTTGAATGTGGGACATGAGGAGGATGCTTGCTCGAATATGCTGTCAGGTTCATTCCGGGGCGCTTCTCGACCAGTCTAGACAAATCGCGGACAAAGGGCCTGGAGTTATCCTGCATTGCTGCATACCTACCCAGATCTGGCATTCTGAGCTCGTGCGCCATCCTGCCAAAAGCCTTTCGAATGTGGTCCAGCCTTTTTTTACTCAAATCGGCAAAGACCCAGAACTCTGAGGTCCATTTCCCGATGCTGCTCCGCCTTCCACCAACGCGCTCGATTGCAAGTAAGGTGTCCACATCGGCAAGTGGTGCAGCAGTGGTGTCTCTGGCCAACCTCCTCGGACGATAAATTGCGGACGCGGGCCCATACTCAGCACGACGCCATCGTCCGGAAGAAGAGCTATCGTCAAATCAAACTGGTTATCGCTAGGGGTCGTTAGATCCTTCAGGCCGTGTCCATCGTATCACCGCTCGTTCCGTTGGTACCATTGATCGCAAATGTAACATCACCAGCGTCGCTGATGAAATGTTTTTCGAAATCATTGACGAGTTTAATTGACCTCGTCGGATCGTAGAATAATCTGTAACTTCTTTGGACATCTTCAATGCTGACCTCCTTCGCCTTCCGCTTCTGACTTAGCAGTGTCGATGTCGTGATGATATTGCTCGCATATCGCAGCCCAGATTCCTGGCCGATCTTGGTAAGAAGGGCGAGCGCATCTGCTGAGATGTCGACTTCTTCTTCCTGGGCTCGAATGGCAAGGATCTGAGAGATTTCGTCGGCAGAGTATGGCTGCGTACTGATGATAACGAGGCGGTCCAGGAAATCCAATGGAAGGCCATGCGGCGAGCTGTATGTCGTCCCTCGAATGCGAGTGTTCCCTCGGTTACTTGCCATGATAACAATCGGGGCTAGATCTGCTTCCAAGGCACGATTGATGAATGAATAACACTCGATGTCAAGCATATGCACTTCATCAATGAACAACACGCCGGGGATGATCTCAGCCTTACCCTCCTCCTTCCATTCCCCGACCTTGGTGTTGATCTGATCACGTACTTCACTCCGTATCTCACCCGTGTCACCAGAAAAGAGGGCCAGGAAACCCTGCGTTCTCGAGTTGATGACATCAACCTCATGCAAGCTGACGGTGTGAACAACCTCTTTCCGTACTTGCAGTTCGCCCTCTGGACATTGTACGAATTTGGTATCTGCGCCCATTGCGTCGTAGTCTCGCGAGCGCGTATATGACCTCCCTAGTTTCGTGATCTTCCCCGAGGATTTGTCGATTGAGATGACATCGCCAGCCATGACTCTCTCTTTGGTCATTGAGTCAATCATTTTCGTGCCCATGTCGTAGACCGTTTCCATGTCAGTTGTTTTGATGGTGAGTTTGCCTTGTTTGTTGCCCTGCGATAACTCGTCAATTATGACCCGAACGAGCCCGTGGACAATGACCTACCCCTGAAACACTTCTATCTATTTGTATTTCAACCACCTCGCCTTCAATGATCTCACTTTCCTCCTTGATCCGTACACCAATGGACTTGCGGAAGGCTTGCGTCAAGGCTTCTGTTTTGGACATTTCAGGGGAGAATATTTCGGAAGATGCGAGCATTGTGAAGGGGACATCAGGACCCAGGGATTGAGCCATAGCCATTGCGATGGCAGTTTTTCCCGTGCTAGGAGGACCGGCGACCAAAACTGCTCTGCCTGCGATTTTGCCTTCTTTCACCATCTGGAGTATGACTGCTGCGGCTTTCCTCGCCTTCTCTTGCCCGATCAGCCCTTGGGACGAGGCTCTGGCTTCTAGGGTCGCGAGATCGACACCGAGGCCTCGGATATGAGAATGGGCTGCAATGAGATTGAGGCCGCGAACCTCACGGCTTTCGGACACTGTTGTTATGGGCTGCGCGCGAGTCAGTGGAGCAACGAATACTCAAACCGCGAGGAGAACTCACCGCCGCCATCTCGTGTTCACGAAAGGACTTTAGGCAAAGATGTAGAGAGGAGTCTGACTAAGGCGACTGGACGGAAACCAAGCATTGATATTGTCAGTCCAGACGTTGCTGCAGACGCTGTTTCTTCTCGAAAAGTTCGCGAGATCGGATGACCTTCCATTTGCGGGAGACGTGTTTCACGTTTTACGGGGGCGACCACGCCTGCGGTCCGCGAGCAACTACACGTGCTACAGTAAATATGTACAGTCCCATTCCTTTGCTTGCAGCAAACCAATAGGAGATAATCAGAAGGGGGTAGCGACGTTGTATCATTTGGTTGATTCATCTGGCTGTTGTATGCCAACTCGGCGCGCCCAAAATTCAGCTTCCAATTCCTATTGAGCCTCCCTCTTCCAACCCAACCGCTTACCCTCTAGACTACAACTTGGTACCGTCCTCTCCACTGACGAATCAAAGTGCACGTCCTTTCGGTAGTGCAGCATTTCCAACACCTGACACTTCGATGACACTACGAGGAGTATACATTCCGTCCGTCGCCTGCGAGGAGACGGCTCTTTAAATATGCAAAGATCATCTCCAGCCAATGATCCTTCTCTCCCGACGCCAGATCCGCGGCTCAGAGGCAGACTCAAGATGATCCGTCCGGCCGATGGTGTTGATGCGATCGGAAGCGGGATTTCCGACCGTCGGGGAGAAGATACAACCTCGACAAGTGATCTACCGGGCACTGCCAACCATCCAGACACTACTCCTAGCATTTCGCTACTACCACCTGATCTCGAGGAGGCCTTTTCCTGCTGTATCGCGGAGTTCGTCAACGCCGACCACTTGGCACGCAAACGGGTTTTCCTCACAGAAAAAGCCACCGCCGCTCAAGAGGAGTACGAGAAGGAACAAAGAAGGAGCTCTCAATTTCCCGATGTCATTGATCAGGCTGAACAGACAAAGAAGAGAATTGAAGCTGATCGTGATGTAGCGAAAGTTGAGGAAGATATGTGTGTGGCCACGAGAAAGACCCAGTGTTCCCGCTACCTACGTCTGCAATCCGAGCACTTTGCCACCGATCTTCACAAATGCAATGAGGCTTTGTCGGCTAGGGTGCGCGCTCTCGAACAAGACCAAAAAAATCGCGCCTCGCAACAAGCAGACGCGATTATGTTGTCTCGAATTGAATTCGAGAAGCAGCAGAGTCGAATTCAAAGACTGGAAGAATCCTACGTCCAGCAAGTGTCGTGGGAGCGAAAAGCCAAGGACGAACTTGCGACGAGAGTAGCCACCTTGGAAGCCTGGATGCGAGAGTCTGCAGTGGGATCAGATTTGAATGAAAGGGTGAAGCAGATTGAACAAGAATTGGGCCAACTGGTGAAGAGTGTACAGCAAGTCGTCGACACGTCAAGGGAAAGGTTGAACTTGCTTGAGCAACAATCTGAGCAATATAAGGATGCCCTGGATCCGATTCGTAAAGAGCTCGAAGACCTTAAGTCGTCAAGGGATCGAGAAGATGTCGCAAAGATTGACAAAGAGCAGAAGTCCTTGTGGATCAAATTAGCTGGACAGGCAAACCTGCTGCAAACCTTGAAGCTGGACCTCGATAAGGTTCGGTCACCCAATGGCCCATTCGCCGAGCACGGGGTGAGGCAGGCGGAGCACGATTGGTTGTGTGGCAAGCTCGAAGCATTCCGCGAAGAAATTCAGATAGAGAAGCACTTGCATTTTCTCCTAGCCCTGAGCACACACATCGCCGGAATCCAGAAGGATTTGTATGTTGCAAAGCCCGTTGGTCATCGACGTATATCTGTTTGCAGGGTCACAGAACTTGAAAACGCGGTTTCTAAACTCAAGGACGAAGTGGAAACCCTATGCAAAGATAGATCTCTGCTTGTTCGAGACAGCAGTCAAAGAGACAGTGTGGGACCGAAAACCGACGAGGAGGATTCGAGGAGGCAGTCCCAAGAACCACGCGTCAACCCTTCGAACGACGCTGAAGATTCGACTGCCCCAATTGCTCGAGTCGAGGCAGACCAGCCGACCGATCGTGGGTTGGCTGGTGGGGCAATGGACGCTCCACAGGCTAGCATTGATGCCACAGACAGGGAATTGACACAGAACCGGCGTCAACGCTCGTCGAAGCCGGAGAAAATTCGAAGGTCATTAAGGTCCGCAGCCCATGGCCGCGATGCACCATCGGACGATGCGACCTTCGGGCCGCAGGCTACACATGACAATACCAATGACGGAGCCATAACAGACGCGGATGCGCCACACCAAGTTTCAGACGATGACGATCATGACTTGGACGAAGCGGTTCCGAAAACGTCGAAGAAGCCAGCGACACCCCGTTCTAAACGTCCTTCGATGACACAAGCGCCCCAGAGTTCACCTCGTCAATCGAAACGAATCTTGAAACGCAAACAAACATCCCAGGGAATTACTATCGATCTCACGGAAGATGACGAAGACGACGTTGGGCATCGCAGTCGCAGGATCCGACGTTGAATAGCATGCAATTTGTCCCTGGACGTGTCATCTTCTCTCCAATATAAAGCATGGACAGGTTCGCAGGTACCCTCGCGGAACGGGATACGTTGAAGAGTGATGCTAGCTGCAAACAACGGCGTCAAAATGATGAGAAGAGACGGTTGATTCTCGTCCTTGTGCTGTTGCTCTGACCGTGCTTCTGGAACGGCGAAGCTAAGACTGACCGTTGTGACGACTGATGAAGGTGGATCAATCATGGCGAAGCATATGTTTCAAAAGTAAGGATTTTCGATGCTGAAAAGGAAGGTGGGATGTGTCATGCCCGCTTCAATGGCAAGCGGTGACTCTGGTCTTATTATGTGGCGACAGTTCTATCTCATAGGCATCTATACTCTAGATTCGCTTTGGCTTCTTCAGGAGATTCTGATAACGCCAAGACCTACGAGGCTGGCACACTGTCCTTGGAGAACGTTTGCTTCCATTTTGATTGGTTCAAGCCGCCAAGAACTGGAGTTCTGTACTTCCTCTTTCGGGCTAGCTCAAAGCTTCGGATGAGTCGCATTTCCGGATATCAGAATTATCCATTGCGAGAAGCCCGGTGTATTGCCCCTTGTCTCACTTCATCAGTGTCTCTATAGATGATCTGTCAATGTATATCCCAGATATCCAGCTCAACTGGGGGAAAGGTCAAGTCGCCTTGAGGCATGAGCATCGACAGTGGGCAAGTCATCACGTCTTATGTGGCGGCTGCCCATGGTGAAAGCCTGATTTGCCATCAGTGGCTGAGAAGAATCAAGTAAAGTGATCTTCGAGCCCTCATCTCTGACAACAACCTGATGGACTTTCGTGACAAGCTGAAGGACGGACAGGGTCTCTGCAACTTCTCAACTACCGCAACAAGCCCTCGGCTCCGAGCTCCGGAAATCATCGGATTTACACGGACGAACTCTTCGGTCCTTTAGTCATCTCGCTGTCGCCGCAAACTGGGGCCTGGATCTGTCCCCGATTGACACAGTTCGACACCCCGGACGTCGTCCCCCAGTTTGACTTTTTGGAGTGATCACTACCTCGTTCGTCCTTGGGCGGTTTCCCAAAGAGGAGTACTTTTCCTTGACCTATCAGGCCGTTGCACTATGTCCTCTGCCACCCCCACGCCAGCAGGATAACTTTCAGCAACATCGTATGTCAAACTCCTCTACAGATGAAGGAACTATCGTGGTATGCCAGTAGAGATTGGGCAAGCTTGCTGAATTGTGTCTGGCATGCTTAAGGCTCTAATTCTTCTTTGGCCACGACTCTGTGTACTTATATATAGAGGTCGTTTATATTCAAATTCTGGTACTAAGACTGTGTGTCGAGCCACTCCTTGTGCGCACAACCCGTCAACTGCGCGAAGCACACAAAGGTACTCTTTCCGCTGTCCTGAACAATGGCGACCCAGGGGACCTCAACTGCCCCGTCCACGACTCCGACACTCACTCGAGTTGATGCCCGACACCCCGACACCACGGCGAACCTGGTGCAAGAGATCCTCGAACGAGACGGTGCCGTCATCGTGACGAACTTGATCAGCCCTGAACAAGCCGAACAAATCCGCCGTGATCTCAAACCGCATTTCGACGCCGACGGGGGCGACCAGAGCGGCTTCTTCCCGAAAACAACGCGGCGAGCTATCGGTCTGCTAGGCAAGTCGCCCACGTGCGTGGAACTGGCGCTCAACCCGCTCTTCAGCGAGGTGGCGTCTCGACTGCTGACGTCCAAGTTCGAGTACTGGATCGGCCAAGAGAGGCAGGTGGCCATATCCAAGCCTCAGATCTCCAGCACGGTTGGGTTCCAGGTCAACCCGGGCAGTCGGCAGCAGGGCCTCCATCGGGACGACATCGACTACCACATCCGGTCGGGACACGACTCTGTGCTGATCGGGTGCGTGGCCGCAACTGTCAAAACCACGCGAGAGAACGGGGCGACCGTCATCATCCCGGGCTCCCATCGCTGGAAGGATGATCGCTGCCCGTACGACCACGAGGCTGTGCCGGCTGAGTTGGAGCCGGGCGATGCCACCATCTTTCTCGGGAGTACATATGTAAGTACTGACTGAGCCGACACATCTCATTCTCTCTCGTTTCTCGACATTGAAGCACTGACATGGTCTCATCCGGGTCCAGCACGCCGGTGGTGCTAATCAAACAACGTAAGTTTTTCGCTCAATATCCAACTCCGCAGCTTGGAAATAGGGCTGTGCCAGGGTTCGGGAAGGTTTCTTCTTCACATCTGGGGCTGCTGCCCACCGTGAACCAGAATCGGAACGAGAACTAACCCCTCGTACAATAACAGGGACCAGGTTCGGGAGACGGTCGGCATCTTTCTCACTAAAGGTTGGTCATTTATTATTGATTCCTCTGAGTTCCCTGATCCGTCCAGAATCAACCTCGCAGAAGTGGGTTTCGTTACCCTGTCCCTACTCTCCATTGTCTATTCTTTAGACTCTTGCAGGAAAGGAAGGTCTTTATCGTTGGAAGAAAACCCCCACAGATAAAACGCACAAAGAGCATTCTCACACATATACACCCACGCACACCCACCACAACACACACACACACACACACACACACACACACACATCTCTCTTTCTCTCCCCAGGCACAAAAATCTAATTAACCCTTCCTCCGGTGTCTTTCTAGGGATGTACCGCCAAGTGGAAAACCAATACCTGACCGTGCCTCCCGCGGTGGCGTCCGCGCTGCCCACCAAAGCCCAGCGCCTGCTCGGCTACGGCGTGAGTCCGCCGTTCTGCGGCTTCGCCACCGACTACAAGGACCCCATGCAGGGGCTGTTTGGGGTCGTGGATGGGGAGACGGTCGTGCTTTGAGAAAGAAAAGAAAAGAAAAGAAAAAAGAAGTGAAAGGGCCAGTCAAAGGGCGAAGGCGAAGATGGGAGGGCGTCCCCTCCTTTGAAAGACGCTATCACCGTGAAAGAAAGAAAGAAAGAGAGAGAGAGAGAGAGAAATACTGCGGAATGCTCTAGAGGTCGTGGTGGTGGTGTCGAGAAAGTGTAGTCCACACCGATGATCCGTGATCTGCGGTTTCCGTTACGCATCTGAGATCTCAAATGGAGATTTTGGGTAGCAATCTATGGTAGTCTGTCTGATATCTCATGCTTCTCCCAGACCGTGTCGGTGGAAAGCTTAGTCTCACTTTCATTTGATCCTTCTCCTTCATGACCACAAGACCAAGGAGAGTGTCCTGTCTAAACCATCCCTCAAGACTTCAAGAAGCACATCAGAGCAGACCCGGCCTTCTTGCGGAAAACTATTCTTTGCTCATCCCGTTGTCCGTGGTCTCCTTGGCCCAAATCCCCTGAAAGGCATTGTTGTCGAGTTGACTGGCTTGCACCAGACACCTTTCCCGCTCCTCCAAGGAGATGGCTTGGGAAATCGGCCCCAGAAATTTGCTTTCGTCTTTGGATCCCGCCGCCGCCGCTCTTGGTCACATCTGAGGAGTTCCTCAAGGGGCGTCTCCTCGCGGGGGAGGGGTTCGCCTACTTGATTGCGGATGGTGTGAGTGAGAGGAGTTGGTCGACGGAAAGCCGCACGTCTCGCAGGGACGCCGTTCTCGTCACATCCCATGAGATACTCTAGTCTAGGAAATATGGTTACGTCGTCGGCTCGTGGTATGGGGCTCTTTGGCGCTCCTGGGGTTGTTCCTTTCATTAGTTCGTATGTCGTGTTATCCCTGTTCGGTCTCCCCTTGCCGCGCTTGAAAGAGACACTAACCTCGTTGAACGCCGTAGAGTGGGATCGTTTGGTTTTGCGTGGAGTTTGAAAGCTCGTCGCAAATGTCTGAGAACTGTGCCGCAGCTCGTCGACGACCTCGTCAATGTTTTTCCGACCCGTGTCGACTTGGGCATAGATGTCAGAGACTGCCAATGTGGTTTCAGCCATTCGTGGCTGTTGCTTTGGGCACTTTGGCTTTTTTGGCGGTTTCTTCTTCCATGCGCGGACTCGTTTGTACGATCGTGTATTGTAATGACTCTCCGTTTCGTTTCTGCCCATTTTGCGAGTCTCTTGCTGGAGGAACAAGGGCTGTGCGCACGCAGAAAGATTCCGCTTCGGTGGTGATGAGGCTCTTCCGATGTTGGATAGCATAGTGTTCGACCCAGTGATCGATCTCGGAGGGTATATATTGCTTGATTCGCAACCTCTTCTTCGAGCTCCCTTTTCGGCCCCCTGGTGGCTTCCGTCAGGAATCATTCTCATTGATTGATTTTCTTGGTCTTCCTGGTTCAAGTTACCCGGGGACCAGTCTGTAGCACTCTCCTCGAAGCCGGTGGCCTTAGGTGCTTCTGAATCTTTCCCTGGGATTGTATCTATCGCAGCATTGGGATGCGCTTTTGACGTGCAAGCATCTCCAGATTGCATCCCGCGCCGATTCCCCCGGTCGGATGAGACATTTTGCATACTGTTTCGTACTGTAGCAGGTATCTTATTTTTGATTCTGTTCCCGGGATTCACGGCCGATCTTTTTGTTTGAAGGAATCTGGCACTGATCCTCGGCGGCACACTCGATGAGCTTCCCTGTGGACTGAACAGTCGAGAGCCATCATCGCCATCAACATCACTACGTGGCATTGAAAAGATGGATCTACCTGGATCAGCGGTACCCAAGTTATTCACAACCTTGACACGGGGCTTTCTCCTTTTCAACCTTGACGATGAAGTTATTTTATCCCGTTGATAATGCTGTGGTGGTTGCTCGCTGTCCGAGTCCTCGATAACAATATAGATGGGAGGGTGATTTCTTGATTGAGGTACTTGCTCCAGCTCCGTGATGCATGGCGCAGTATCCTCGGAATGAGATAGGCCAGTAGTGTCTGGTTCGGAGATCCGTGGGCCTGTATTTTTGCCCGCCAAACAGTTCGCCCCAGTCCGAGGGAAGGGTGTTTCGGCTTTATGTTGCTTTTGCAAGACGTTGCACTGAAAGCTCTCAGTCCCTGGCTCCTCACTGGGACAACGGTCAGCTCCCTCCAGGGCAGGTGGCCTCCTTCGAATTTGTCGCTGAATAGCATTCTCTAGTGAAGCCAAGGCGTCGACCGAAGAGCGAGGCTTGTGAGGTCGAGCAGTGAAGGATTTTGTGCTGTCTGTGTTCACCCTCTCACTCATAACTCCAGAACTTGCAGCCTTTTTGCTCTTGGACGGAGCTGGTGCGTCTCTTCCTAGAGAAGTGAGAGGCCGGGCTCCCTGCGCGGACTTCTCTGTACCGTTTTGCTCACTGTACGGAACTCCACGTGGTTTTGACGGGAGCGAGTCGAAGGCCTTCAGAAGGGTTTGAAAGTGAGAAACCCATGGTCTTCTTGCTGGATTGGACAGGTTTGATCTCATGGCTGCCTGGGCCTGACTGTGGCGCGTGGCGGAGACCGTGACGGTCGTCTCCCCTTCATACAGGTCTGCTCCATTGACGTTAATACTGTTATCTCTGTCGAAAGGACCGAGGGCAACGGCCTCTTTGTTGGCTCTCATGTTCTCTGACTCCAAGGGCCTCTTCAAACCAGATTCAACCGAAAAGTGTGCCGGACCTGTCCCGTCATCAGACGCACCGTCTTCGATTCCGTTTTCTCCTTCTGGTCCATCTTCAACAAGGCTTGTTTGCAGATTGACGGCTGAGCCTAATTGTTGCAACTCTGTGTTCCGAAGATTATGATAAGCTTGGTACTCTTCTCTTAGTTTCTGCGCCCGATGCTTAAGTTTGCGTGGCTGTTGTACGTTGCCAGTGCGGAGGGCGGTCGCAATCCTGGCCGCGGCATCGACCTAGATATCACCGTTAGAGCGTTGACAGTAGCTTCCACCTACAAACGAGTCATCAGACGGCCGGTCAGGAAGGGACTTACAGGAGTCAGTGCGAACCCCAACTTGTAGTGTAGCATCTGCGATAAAAGCCACACATATTCTTGCTTTTCCAAGCGTCGATGCGCGTTCAGGTCCGGGTCACCGTCAGGAAGAGTCAATGGGCGAACTCGGTTCTGCAAGTCCCAGACCGATTCGCGCGAGAACCATCGAACTTGCAGGTCCTGAGGGAGTCCTACCTGCAGACCATGCTCGGGGGTCCAGCGCCACCGGTCTGCTCGGTACAGGTCGTCCAGAATGGCGACTTCAGCCTCGTGCAATTTCGCCAGCCTGCCCAGGGTCAGATCCATTAGTTGGCACTCTTGCGACCTCTGAGATGCCAAACTGTGGAGAATATTCTCGTCCATGTTCATCCGTGGTGTCATTTCTCTTGCAAAGGGAAGTCATAGCGGCAAGCAACTGGGCAAGTTTCCTCCGTCAATGGAAAATGAGACAGGAACCGAATCGTGTAAGGCTCGAAAGAAAGTAAAGTGCAGTCGAACAACGAGTCGCAGTCTGAAAACGAAAACAAGGGAAAAATCTCTATCACAACCCAGGACTTCATGTGCCTCTGCCAGGCGTCCTGCAGGAAGAGGGTGAATATTGGACCTGGTGAATTGTGATATAGTGTCTGGGAAGGGCGTTCGACAAAGACCACATCTCCCGGAAGGCCATCACGACGACCCTGAATCTACATCAGATGTGAACGGCGGCGACTGTGATGCACAAATCGAGCTGGAAACGAAAGAAGGAAACAAAAATTCACCACATACTGCAACGTCTGAATTTTCGCCCCTCTGATGCATATCATAAAACACTTTCCTTGTATCCAGTGTTCACATAGCACTCAAGCCTTCACGTCCGTGTCATCCTTTAACCCCCCTGATGGAGCCCGCTGCTGCTGGTGGTAAGGGTTTGTGAAGCTTTGCCATACTATCTAAACCCAACCGCAGACCTAAACAGCAACACCACGCCAAGCTGGTCCCTCTAAAGTGGCCCTCATCTCCTTAGCTTTCCTTGATACAACCGGCATGATTTGCAGCGCCGGGTCGGACGGGTCACGCTCCGCAATCGTCATGTATAGTCGTTCGAGTTTCTGGATCAAGGAACTCAACAGTGCAGGTGCATGTTGCGCTAGATCGGAGATCTCAGGATCCTAGAGCAGGGTGTTAGGGCACGAAAACACAGATATCGACGAGCACTTACAGCAAGATCGACAGCATTGAATGCGGCAGCAATCCATTCAAGTCGTTGAGCCGTATTTGTCGTAAGAGTATTTCCGATGGTGACGGCGATCGAAAAGGCGATCAGCGGTGAGACATCTGTTGCCAGATACTCTGGAGTGAAGTGAATGAACAGTTTGTCGAATAGCTCTGACGGTTGAGCCGACTGAAGCCATTTGATGGAAGCTTCCTCGTACCGCCCATCGTTCATCAAGAGGCTGATCTCTTCCAACTCCAGCTCCTCCTTGGTCTTCTGTCGCTGGACTATGGGTCGGGCAGGGGCTCGTGGCGATGGTGTCATACGAGCTGTCGACACCTGACGAGATACTGGAGATGAGCTGGGTTCTCCGAGGAGGGCGAGCTGTCGACGATCTTTGAGAATTTGGCCTTGAAAGGCCACTTGAGTGTCGGACATTTGCTGCAACGCCTCGGCCGTGGCTTGAAGGACCTGACCCAACTTTTCTAGCCTCGTCAGGTCATTTCGGCGGTCATTCTCCAGTTGGCGGATCTCATTGCGCAGGCGGACTTCAGACTCAGATGCGGCTTTTTCCGCTGCTGAAACTGCTAGGGTTTTGAATGTCGGCACAACATGTTTCTGCATGACATCGTTCAGCTGGGTTTCGATCTGTCTGGAAATCTTTTGCGAGACTGTGTCTGAAATCGTTCGAATCATGTGCGGACTTTGCAGAGCTGCATTGAGAACAACAGGCAGTTGCACGCCCAACTCATGGGGCACCAGAGAATGGAGGCATTTCGCCACGGCTTCTCCCACTTGGCTACTCACAGCTTGGACTGTAGCCCCTGTAAGTGCTGGAACAATCGATTGCTGCATCTGGGTTGAAAGAATACGAGAAAGTGATTTCTCGACGTTGTTGCTCAGAGTGGTCGAGACCAAACGGAGTAGGGCTTCCTGGCGAGCAATGGCGGCGGAGTCCTGGACGTTCCTATCATTCTGGATGTTCTGATAGAGGGTGTCCAGCTCTTTATGGAACTCAGTGGATACAGCTTTCTCGACTTTCTTTAGTTCTTTGTCCAGCCAGCCCCCAGATATGCCAACAGTGACGGCTTCAGGTTTCGCCGGTGCTTCAGCAGTTGAATCCAGTAGGCCAGCCGCAGATGCAGGTGCAAAAGCTTGCTCCTCAACGGGTGCCACGTGTGCAGGTTGCGGAGTAGCCATTGTCGTTGACGCTGTTTTTGCAATTGAGTCGGCGACCGAGACCTTGTCAGGGGCCCGTGACTCATTGGCTGTGGCAGATTTCTTCTTACTCTTCTTATTTTCCTTTGGCAAAGGAGTTTCAATGTTTGTCGTCTCCCTGAGCGCTTCGGCGCCGTTGCTGAGAGGCTGTGTCAACCCCGGTTTCCCGGGGCCCAAATCTTCAGGCTGTACAGTCTCCACACGCTCGACAGAAGACGAAGGCTTTTTGCCTTGCTTCTTTTTCGGCGTCTTACTTGCTGGTGCTTCTTCGGCTGGGCTCTTGTCTCGGGGTCCTTCTTCGATCACACTTCCGAGGCGCAGCTCTTTCAAGCTCACGTAACCTTCCTTGGCAGCATCGATCCCATGAACCACCTTGTTGCTTGAATCCCAGCCGAGATCTTCCTTGGTAATGTTGAGGCACGTAACGCCTTTTGAGTGCACCACGTAGAGCTCGAACAGCGGTGTCTTCTCGTCAACAGCCCTTTGCTCTTCCCCAGTTCGATAAAGTGGGAGGAGCTCAACGCTTCGTAGCTGGCCGCTCCCTGTAAACGACATTTCCCGGATTCCACTCATACAGGCTGTTGAATCAGGCTTGGGTAATTCCGGATCCTTTGCAGCAATGTGCTGCACGTATGCAGCTTGGCTCAGAGAAGTACTAATCGTATAACGTGGCGCTGAGAGGTGGATAAAAAAGAGCGAGTTTCTGGTCGGGTGACCGACAACAATGATCCCGCTGTTAGCATGGTAGCAGACGCTGCAGATCCCATCAGTCTCATTCTCATGAGGGAAGTTGATCTCCTGAACGGCTTTCCCGAGAGCAATGTCCCAGAGTTGTAGAGTGTGATTCTGCCTCAACCCGACAAGAACGTAGCGGAGCGCTCCTCCTTTGACATATGGACGAGCCTTGTCTACGAAGAGAACTGACGTCGGCCATGACTTCTCGGCAGGGGATGCGGTCGAAAGGGACAAGATCGGAAGATCCACAGTCATACTCGCAAGTCGGGTCGAAGTGGCATTAGACTCGTCAATCAGCTTACGAATATCCCAGAATCTTAATCTTCCAGTCTTGTCCAAAGAAACGATCAACGTGTCGTCTTCGCTGAAGATGAAGTCTTTCCCTGCCTTGCCGGTCGAGATCTGAAGAGATCGTTCTTGAAAGAATTTTTCGACGTCGACACGCCGATTGTGCTCACTGATACCGTACCGCGAGGAGAGCGCAGTTGCTGGCCAGACGAGATGGATTGCCTTGCCACGTCCAATTGCGAAGAACTCAGGGTGGCGAGAGCTTCTTTTGGCCCGGGTTTTGAGGACCCCACCAGATACATTCTCATCAGCCGGAGGGTAAGGGGGGAAAATGAGGCTTTCGCTGTCAAGCTCATTTTTTTCAAACAAGTCATTCCCGTCTTTGTTAATCGTTGCGTAATAAACGGCACCGCTCACCCCAGTCCCAAGAAGCGCCTGATCGTCCGATGGTTCGCCAGCAGCAGAGGTGGTACACAGTGACACATTGAATATGCGGTCATGAGAATTCTTAAAGACTTGTCGATCACTACCGTCGTCTTGTCTGATGATGCGCATACCGCCGTTCTTGACCAAGGCATAGGCGATGTACTTCGATGTTGCAGCTGCCAAAGAACGGTCCAGTTGATCAAATTCCTTCTTGAGTCTGGATATATCCATCACTGCATCTTCTCTAATGCCGACACTTGAGGGTTTTGTCAATTGCAAGGTGATCGACACAAAGGGCTTGATTGGGAAATTGTAAACGGGCACAACCCGGGAGGCCTCCTTATTCGGTAACTCTTCCGCATCTTCCCATTCATCGCCGTCGGCTGGCTGTTCAACCATGTTCTCGGCGCCAGAACCTTGGTCTTGTTTTGCACCCTTGTCAGAATCCGGGCGTATTATCTCATTCACTTCGTTTGTCGACTTCGTCTCTGCTGGAGCGGATGCCACTGGGTCTTCCGCCGGAGCTGCGGCTTCTGCTTCGACCTCTCGAGTTGCTGGAGCGATTGAACCTTCGCGAGACACTGTGGTATTCTTTGATGCCAACGGTATTTTTGGAGTGAGGATTTTCCGCTTGGCAACCTTGTCACCTGTGGCCGTGCGAGTATTTGTGTCTTCGGGCAGATCATGACCAGACTCAATGCTTGGTTGGGAAACATCAGCATTGGCAGACTTGGAAGAAGTCGTCCCTTCTTGGGGAGTTTGTGCTCGGGAAGCACTCAAAGATGCTTGTAGTGCTTCGAAAGGGTTCGTATAGGTGAACATGGGTTGATTTTGGGTCGTGTTCTTAGTGTCATTACCAGGAGCACCGAACAGAGGCACCTCGGCTGTGGAGTTGGAACCGAATAGAGCAGCTGGTGACGCTGTCTTTGTCGGTTTTGCTTCTGCCGATTTCGTGTCGGGAACATCTGGTACTGGAGTCTGTGGTTTCTCAATCTGATTCTGGCGCGTGCTGACGGAGTTGCCAAGATGGGTTCTGCTGAGAAGCTTGAGGAGTGCATCTTGGGACGCATCGCGGGCAGCCGTTGAATGTGCTTGATCGCCACCGCCGCCTTGATCTTCCAGATTTAGGGGAGATCGCGTTTTTGATCCATCCTGTGCAGGGGAGGGAGACATCAACTTCGCGAGCAGATCCGAAGCTGAAGTCGAAGGCCCTTGTCCCGCAGCATTCCCTGCTGGCTTGTCATTCTTGTCTTCCGGGACCGCAGTGGCATTGCCGGCTGAGGAAAGAGGTCTTGAGTTTGCCTTCGGAGGTGTAGAGGTAGCAGGACCAAAATTGAGCAGGTTCAGCAACGACTGCGCAGTGGCAGAGGGCGGAGCTGCGACGGGCTGCGCCATTTGGCTGTAGGCGTTACGGTTCGCAACAGACGTGACGGTAGGGGGACTCGAAGGCAGCGGAGAGGCGCCAGTAAACGGGGAAGATTGACCAGCAGAATTGGATTGGAGTGGCGTGTGGGATGGGGCTGGAGAGTCGCGAGGCTTCAGCACCAAGTTGGCAAACAAAGCTTGTAGGTCGTTGGATGACATTATTCCAGTCAGTCCAAGGATGTCCAGGCAGACGGGCTCGCGATCTGAGGTTTACAAAGCAAACGACGAGAGTTCTGCGTCGCCCGGATGCTACACCGGGAAGCAGGAAGAGGCGAGAATGAATGGCAGCACCGAAACGTGCAGGGAAAAGAAGACGTCGCTTTCAACACACGATCAACCTGGAAAGGTGGGCGGATGATGTTTGCTGATGAAAACACGGCGCCCTGAGCAATCTAAAGGAAGGTGAAAGACAGATGAGATGAATTAAACCGATATGGCGAGAGTGGCTTCGTCAAAATTTCTCCGCAGTCTCGTAGCTCCAATTATTCGATCATGACTGCGGCCAGCAGCACGTGCCCGCTGCCAGCCCTGCCACTCAACTGCTAGATCCTCCCGGCTGCGAACCAACCCCCCTGCGTCGCCCCGACAGAGCCTAGTGGCCCTCCCAGATGGCTAGTGAGGCGTCTCTTGCGCCTAACGACACCTGCAGGTTGAAGGGAGAAGCCCATCTCAACGCCCAGGATCAGTGTCAATACAGGGACATGGTATCATCAGGCTGGTGCCACTGGTGCTGCAGCCTTGAGATGTTCTTTCAAACCCATTAGTTCTGGGCGCAGCAGTACTGCGTACCAACTATTTACTACATATGGTGGTAGTAAAACAGACGCGCTCATTCGTTCTACTCGGCCGAGCCAGCGTGTTCAAGTTCCACACCGTCTGGCAAAAGTTCCACTCCCGCACAGTTCGCAACCCGGTTCCCCTCCCAGTCTGCAGTACCTACCCGCGAGTCCCAAGTTCTCGATTATTTCCCTCTACGTTCACAGACCTCAAGAGCACACCATATCAATGCCAATGTATTGTCTTCGCTCGTAAGTGCGCTGTCGCCTCTTTTGTCTTCTCCTCCTGTCCACGCCCCCTCGCACAAACATTTCAAACATGTTCTAACAGCGGTCATGCCTTCAGATACCTTCCACTCCTTTTGCTCCCTCTTCCCCTCAGCCTTTCGCCCATACATCTTATCCTTTTACTCGTGCTGACCTACCTCCTCAACCGACCGTGCATATATTGCTCCTTTCTGCTTATAATTCTCTTTGCATCATCATGTCACTGGTCAAATCGGTGTTTCATCGACCTACCTATCCCGCCATCTCAACATTCCGTCGCTGGCGGGCTATCTTCCTATGAAACGATTGCGACTTGGTTCACTCCGAGGCTATATACCACGAATTTCTCGAGCGATGTATGGAATATGACGGGACAAGCGAACAATGGTAATGGGGCATCTGATATGGGAGGCTTCCTCACAGAGGTTGCGCAGACAACATTCGCCGGCCTTGCAAATGCGGTCAAAAGCTCGACAGAGGCACTGCTCGATGAAGCACAGCAGACTTTGGTGGGAACTTCAACCGCGACCGGGGCAGAAACAACAGCTTCGGCGACGACTTTGCCGTCACTGCTGGATACAGGGATCGGAACGCACTGGTTGAGGAACTTACTAGGGCGCTCGGAATGGACATTACCGTGCGTCGGAGTAAAACTGGTCCTCTAATGTATTGCACGGCGGCTCTTCGTTGGTAGCTACCTGCTGGAAAAGCCATGCCCGGAACTATTGGTGCTCCGTCCTGGAATACGGAGTATTCTGCTGTCGAACTGTATGCAAAATCCTGTTTCGAAAACCAAGATGGAGAGAGATCTCATGTATTGTCCGTCCAGCACAAAATATATCCTTGCCGGACTACTACTATATTCTAGTCTAGGTCAAATGGTTGCTGTATGATGCCAGCTCACAGCCCTCAAGTCGACGGGCAAAATTTGTTTTCGCCCATGATTCACGCTGAAATCGACTGAAACCTGAACCCCCCCGGAAATTGTGATCAATACACATTTCACAGATGCCAAACGCTGCGTAACTCGTCAAGCTATCATGCCCAAGCCGTCCAATGGGGAAACATTAGGATATTGCGATAAACAACAAGGACGCTGCTTGTTGACGCCAGAGGCTGTCGCGTCGGTTCCGCCGTCTCAAGATATTAGAAATCATTCTTTACCTGCAATCGCCCCGGCCAAGAGGAGAACTCGACGGCAAGATCTGGTGTACCCTAAGACTTTTTCCCTGTGACGGACTTTTCAAATCCCCTAGCTATAGGCCTGCCACGATCACTGGATCGGCCAGTCATCTTCGGTGATTGATGACCAGAAGACAAATATCGCCACGACACTGAGCAGCGTGAACAGAGTCTCGAAAAGGGTGCCGTTGATGTCGCCACTGGTTCCTTCGCATATGTGCTTCGATATCACATACATAAAGATCTGACCGATGGCAAAGAGGAGGGCAGCAGCGACCAAGTAGACCATTGGTTTCGTTTCGCCGAGGATCTTGAGAACCAGTATCGATTCGAGGATGAAGAACAAGAACATGAAGACCAAGGGCGCAAGCTGGTAGAGCGTGTAGAGGGCGTAGCTTTGGTGCGGGGGGACCAGCGAGCTGTCCCAGAACCCCGTCCAGGAGAAGGCCGTGTCGAGGGCAATATAGCCAGTTCCAATGAACAATGCCAGGGCGCTGAAGCCGATCAACCCCATTGACAATGGTGTGCCGTCGTCGACTAATTGGTAACCCACTACCGCATTCATGAGCAAAATCCACATGGTCGCTACAATGGCGGCCAGATGGACAGCCGTGAACCCTTTCCGCACATCGTTGTTCAATGGAAATCCGCCAACCGTGAATATTTCGCAGATCTCAATGACCACATATCCGACCAGAAACATCTGCATTTCCCGGCGACCGACCGCAGCAGCTTTCCTTTCCGCGCGCCATAGCAGAAACAGTGTGACAACAATAGCAATGCCACAGAGCAGTATTGAACCCAAATTGGCGAGATTGCGGTGGTTACTCAGTGTTATTCCGCGCAGCACGCAGCCGCCATATGCCAGGCCAGGTGGTTGATTATTCGTGACGAGGATCTGGGAATCAGTTAGAAGGGGACGAGGAGCTTATCGCGGGAGGGGGAACGGTCTGACATTGCATATAGGTAGCGTCGCGTCGCGACAGAAGTCCTGTTGTCGTAGGTCAGTGGACTGGAAAAGCAGACTCGAGCTTCCTGAGGGATCTTACTTGGAATTTCCCATACTGTGTTCCACCCATTTCCACAACCAGGTCAAGAAGCTGTAGTATCGATGACGGTGGAGGTGACGAAAGGGAAGGACAGGATAGAGACTTGAAACACCATGCGCTGTCGACTTCGGAGGGACTCTCAGATGACGGACGGGAGCGGGCGTGTTTCAGACGATTCGAGCAAGCTGTGTTGGCAGGGTTGGTCGAAGGGTGGGAGATGTTTCGTCGATCGGTAGTTGGAGGAGTTTAGAGTCAATGGGATTATTTTTGGAGAAGAATGCCCTCTTGAAAGACGGACGAAGAGTAGGAGAGGCCGTTGGTACAGCAGGTGCAGGATTGGTTAGGTTTTTGCTGCAGGGTGCGCAAGTGCGCAGGAAGCCAGAAAAGTTGGCAGGGCACCAGGGTGACTTGATCGGAGTCGGCAAATGATGATTGGGGGCCCTCCTCTCCTGGGGCTGGGAAGCGGAGGATAGACGGGGGTGGCAGGAAGGAGCTGCAGACGAAGTACGGGAGGAGTTTCTTGCAGATCTGGCACTTGGGATTCTCTGGTTGCAGGCAAGGGGAGGTAATGGAGGAGGACAGCTTGACGGGTTACTCTATCTTGTTTTCTGCGCGCCGTGAGTATCTCGTCCTGCTCTCTCGTGGAAAGGGAGCCACGGAGCTTTGTCCGGCAGCAGGAACTCACTCCCTAGCCTAGCAGGCCCAGCCAGGTACGAGAAGTGAGATTGGCTGACATGCTGGGAAAGGGCGAGGTGGTAAGGGTACGAAGGTTACCAAGGTTGCGAGTGGATCTGGGCAAGAACAAGCTGCCCAGTGCCCATTGCCTGCCCAGCCATGGAACCACGGAACCCCCGCCGTTGATGGGTGGGAGATTTGAGTATCGTGACATGAAACACACAGCAGATGCTAAGGATCTGGACAACAGGCCGGAACAGAGAATGCCACCGGGCACTCACAATCTGCCTTCTCACAGACGCCAGAAGGTAGATACATTCTCGGACGGTGCAAACGTGAAAAAACCCCCAAGCACGATGATCACCGCCCAGGCCAAGATAAACGTGCATGATTATGGGTGGCAGTGCAGGCTGCATGCGAGTTCCTGCAGGCCTAGTGAGCCTGTGCACCTCAGGCTTTTAGGCTTTTAGGCTTTAGGCCTTAGGCTTCTGCTACTACCTATGCAGTACTACTGCGTGCCTGCCCCACCACGCCTCGCTAGTACCTTTTTCAACTTTGCTCCCCATTCCTGCCAGGATACCGGAAGGCCAGTACTACTGGTATGGTCGTTTGCGAGGCCAGCATCCAACATGTTTGACATCAAGCAAGGAGGAAGATGCTTGGCTGCCACTGTTCGAACCAGTTCTCCGGCAAAAGCCTAGAATTCACAAACGGAACGATGCCGATGCGTCTGTAAGGGCTCCGAGATTCGCCATCCTCATATCGGTCCAGCACCAAGAACACCAGCCGTCGTTCATTGGTCAAGTTAAGCAAATCGTCATGGTCATGGTCATCCTCTGAGATGGTCGAGCTCTTTCCTCGAATGACAAGAGACGCAAGAACTGTGACCCGGCACGACAACTCCTGTTGCGTGCCAGTAGTTGACCTTTCCAGCGCATCGTCTACCCTCTCGAGCACCGAGTCTGGGTACATGAGGAAACGGTGTTCTGCAATCGTGCACGTATATTCAAACGTGCTCTTCTGTGCCTGGTCGCCCTCCTCCCTCGCCACAAGCTTGCGCACCTCCAGAGTTGCAGGAAGAAGATGTCCGCGCATGCCAGCCACGGCAAAGTCAACATTCGAGAAGCCTTCGCAGTTCTCAGGCCACGTTCGGACAACAGCAAGGTCGCAGATGGCTTTGAACTCGTCTTCAAAGTTGATACAATGATCAACCGCGCCCTCAATTGATGCCCAGCTCCAGGACGGCGCCCTCTTGTCCACGGGACGTCCTGGCTGGGGCCCATTTGAGCCGTACGCTCCAGATGTCCAGGCCATTGCGGTAGGTAGATCATCCTTCCACATCCCCGCAATATACTCTCCACACAGAGAATGAAGGCCTCGGGCGATTGCCTGGAGCGCTGGCAAGCGGTCCGTTTCCTTCGTCAGACTCAGCTGAGAGTAAGCGGGGACTAAATGGGTTCGCCATAGAGTGTATGCTCGGTCACGTTTCTCTTCCGCTGTAAGCTTCCGAGGCTTCGTGCAGTCTGGACATCGGCCACAGGACATTGGATGGCCGCGTTGTAGAGCGCTGAACCTCATGGCCAGTTCGATACTCAACTCTTTCGAGTCACGTCCTTTAAGGAAAGCGTCAGGATCCCCCAAATGTTCCTGCAGCAACGATTGATACACTTGGCGTGTGCTACCGTTTCTGGCGTCCCATCCATCTGAGTTGAAGTCTCTTCGTCGCCCGCCACATTCACAGTCTGTCCCACTTAAGCAGTCCCATTCATACTCTCTTCTGCAGAAGGACAACAGTCTTCGCGATACGAGTCGCTCCTGGAAAGTCCACGCTCGGTGATCCAAAGGCTCCATTGGGGCCGCCGGTCCAATGATGGTTGAACGCCATGAATCCCGGATTTTGGAAGCAATGTCGTGCCTCCTGTGCGCTGGCAGATGTTCGCGAATGCGAAACTCACCTTTGCCCTTCTCGAGCTTCTCATGATTGATCGTGTACGACTTGCTTAGATGTTCGCCTCGGTTCTGCAGGAATCCGGCATCGTCCGCGTCGGCCACAGACGCAGCAATCGTCAGCACCGCCTTTTCATATATGCATCCCATCTTAGCGGCCTCGTTCTCCCAGTCCTGACTAGGAACTTACATCAGCAACAGCGCCAGTTCGAAGGGCAGTGGTACTTACGGATCATCTTGCACGATACAAAGTGAATCGATCCAAATATAATCAAAGCCTAGTTCTCGAGTAACTTGAATGGCATCTTGAAATGTTTTCGGCAAAGTCTGCCAGTCGATCCCATTTTGCCGTTCCTCTAGTGTGTTGGTAGTTGTCTTCAATGTGTTGTCAGAGCCCCAACAGTGGCTCAACGCGACATAGTCTCCGATTTCGTTTTCAGTGCAGAGAAGATATGGTAGCTTCGTTTGATTGCCCACGTATAAAACGCGAGTCGGCAGGGCAAACGCAGAATCGGACCGGCAGTGAGTATGGTTTTCCCGGCACTGCACCAAGGTTGCTTTGATACGCGCAATGGATGCGCTCGAGAGTGGATCTTTATGGATATCATGCCCCAATGGAAGTTCTTCAGAAGTATCTGGCAGTTTCATTGGATCTAGGATTGAGTCATGTCAGCAATTACGTCGTCCACTGCTGGATGAATGCAAAGACATGACACACCTTGCGCGGCATACACCTGATATGTTTTGCGCGTCTTCCAGTCATCTTTGAGCATGTAATGGATCTTGAGGCCGAATCCTTCCTTCAGTTTATACTTGATATTGTACCTCTCGTCAATCGGAGTGCCAAGAGCTGCTTCCAATCCTTGTTGGATTATTTTACACATCAAACACCGTTGACTTGCAGTGATCAAGAGGTCCTTTCCTGAAATGCCTTTTGTAGGGCGAGAGTAGTCTTCTGGATGGCATCGACACAACTCGAAATATTCTTTCGGTATTGCTCCGGCTTTGCCTCGCACCTGCCGGTTCAGGATCGTGAACAAGCGCAGTATGGCTGGATCCATTCTTGTATGAGATGAGAGAAGAATTAGCAGAGAGCGACCAAGGGAGCAGGCGAAAACGTTGCGCGTAGCAACAGTTTTACCCCGTTGAAAGGCACGCTCGGCTGCCGTTCGTTGAGTTGAGGGGCGCCATGGTTGCCTGTCACTCGCCCCCAGATTCAAATCATACGTAGACTCGTAAGCTCTAAGCCTCACTAGGCTGAGCCCTTTCAGCCCCGCGATTCACTGTTGAGAGCAGCAACGGCACGTCTCGATAGCCACATAAAACCCTTGTGGTAATTTAACCACAAAGAATCCTAACATAGCCATCTCTTACGCCCATCGAAATGATTCCATGATCGAACGCTCGCGGACCCAGCAAATACAAGCAAACATGTGGCTTGAGGGCATCGGTTGGTACCAAGGGTTTCAGGCACTGTCTGCCAGGAACAGGACTAGTCATGATACCCCCAAGTTGGAGTACTTACCGTGTCAAGCACTGATCGGGTGTAGTCCTGCAAAGGCGCAAAGAACGCCTTCAGAATGTGAAAAAATGGGCCAACAAGGAGTGAATGGGTCAAGCGCCACGCAGCGAGACACCAGAGAAATACCGCAGCAACGCTGCCTGCATCTCTACCGCAGCAGTAAATGAAGTGTGTAGAGCCCGGAAAAGATTCCCAGCGCGTCTCGGGAGACTTTCCCGTAACACTCAAATTCACCGCTAAGCTGTCTCCTTACGCCAATAGTGGTTTAGTGCAGCGGCATGATCCGCAGCTTATGTAATTAGACCTACTGCAAGATCTTATTATTACTTGCATGCGACCTCGCATCCTGCGCCCGACCGATAACCCAACGACATCCTGCATCAACAGGTCCTCGTCGCGATAGAGGCACCCCAGAGTGCAGATGCTCGGTCTTTCCATCAGGGAACCGATCTAGACAACTGCGCGATACGAGCTCTGAGTTCTTTTTCCCCTTCCGTCCACCCCTCCGCCACAACCGGAATTGCGCTTCCCCACCATGACCCAGTCCTCAACCCGTGCTCGGCCTCGCCGTGGCCCTCGAGTCCGGTATCCGAACGACGATAGCGACACCGATGACCTCCATGAGTTTACCCCCAAGCCTCGTCCTCGCCGAGCTGCCCGTCGAGTACGTACATACCGAGAATCGAGTGATGACGACAAGGACAGCAATACGGATTCTTCGTCGGATGAATCAGATTCTCAATCGACCTCCCACGCGAGTGTTCATCCTCAAAGAAGTGCGAGATCAGTGCCACCCGCACAGAGGCAGCCATGGCCATCGAAGAGAAAATCGGAGGCTACACGTCTGCCTGAAACGAACAAGCGACAAAAAACGTCGTCTTCCAACAGAAGCCGAGCCCCAGTGAATACGAAACGTGTATTTAAATCGTACAAACAACAAAAGTCTTCCTCCAGCAACGACAACAGCAACCGAAGCCAGATCAGTGCGAAAGGCTCTTTTGACACGCGGTCCACGTTCGACAACCAGCGGATCCCTCCATGGCAACAACTCCCGTATCACGTTCTTGTGAGCATCATGCAATATGCTGCCTATCCACTCTACGGCCCGACATCGCGAGCACAACCCTCAATCAGCTGGCTGTGCAAAACAGGGGCGTTGTGTCGTGCCTTCCATGAGGCCTGCACAGCAGCTTTACTTTATTGCCCTCCTCTGTACCCGTCATGGAGAGCTCGCAGTCTCATCGCGTTGCTGGAACACGATTCCAAGTCACTTTCGACAGATTACCGGAAGAAGATCCATTTCCTCGACATTGAAGTCAAACAGCTTCTTGTCAAGAAAAGTGGCATCTCGATGGATAAGCTGATTTCTATGACACCTCTGCTGCAAGGTTTAAGACTCTACTCCAATTATGATGATCTCACAACTGTCATATGGGCACAGCCAGCAGCGAAGAGCATCAAGTGGAGTTATCCGACGGAGCTTTTGGGACGTTTCGAGACTGATAATCTCTTGATGAGAAGCTTTGAGTGGAACGGAAGGTTTCCAAATGCAACCGACGTCCTCAAGATGGCAGTGGAGGCTCACTCCAGACACTCTTTCAGCCGCTTGCAGGATCTCACCTTTCTCAACCTGAGTCTGCCTGACAAGGCCAAGGAAGCAGATAGTCTCTACGCGCACAACTTACTTGCCGGCGTACTGAGCAGCGTGCCTGAGTTGCAGTCTTTGTCATTTCGAAATTGCGGCATCGTGGACAAAGCCACTATGCCCATGCTTCCGCCTGGACTCCTGCGCTTGGAATTGACAAATTGTCCCAATCTGACTTCTGACGCTCTGGAGGACTATTTGACCCGCGCTTCCACGCTCCGAGTCCTCAAACTTGACGGCAACCAGTCCATGGATCTAGGTTTCATGGCCAACCTCCAAGCTCTGTGCCCTCGCTTGCAACACCTAGAGATCGACATGCTCTACATAGATCCTACTTCCTTCCGCGACCGCGAGCCGCTCTACGACGAGTTACTGCCCAATGGAGCTCCTACTTGGCCTACCTACCTCGCTAGCATCTCTATCGAAAATATGCGTCAGTTGACACAAGAAGACGCAGAAGAATTTCTTGCTTCGCTGGTGGAATCTTCGGAGCATCTGCCGCATCTCAGGAGGCTCAACATCAAGGCGATTTTGAAAGGCGCCAGCTGGCGCGAGCGTGCGAAGTTCCGACAGAAGTGGCTGCCCAAGCTAGAGAATGTCTTTCTCAATACTGAAGAACCTTCCAATGTCGGGGGCAAGTTTTCGAAAAAGACACCCTCGGCGTCACAGCGGCAGAGCTCGCGAATAGCAAACGGTCATCTCAAGAAGCTCAGTCTCGGCGACACCACCGAGGACAGCGATGCGCCAGCTCTGGATGCTATCCAAGGTAGATGTGATGTGGTCAACCTTGTAATCTCAGACCAACGACCGGCCGAAACACAGTACCACGAAAATGACTTCCTTGATAGTGAACCAAGCGATGATCCAGAGTGGCGGGAACACAATAACCAGCAGGCGTTGGATGATTACGCCTGGTGACAAGAGTTGATGTCTGATTGCTCAGTGCACAGCTTGATGGCCCCGGTTATGTTAATGATTGGCAACGAAGGTTGACGTGTAAAGGATCCGACAGCCAGGAATACAGGACCGGTCTTCAAAAAGGGTACGGCTCGAACTTGAGCACCACATGTAACAAGAATAGAAACTACCAGGGATCAATCGGCTCCGATTCCAGGAGAAAATAATGAAACAACTTGTGATATTGGAAGCGAAAATACCGAGTACCTTTAAGACTTGATTTCCCTCCGACGCTCCTATTCTATCATCATCTCCGCCAGAACCTGCTACACAATACATTCAGAACCACCCCAGACGGAGACGTGATCATTCTTCTCCGCTTGGGCTTTCAAGCCGAAGAGAATTGGTCGTGTCTCCATTCTGAATTGTCGCCCAGGGGGAAATGGGGATTGCGAGGGGTCAGCGGTCCTAGTTTCGAGCCTCAACCAACTCGGAAACGACGCTCGTGACCGTACTCAGAGGCACGGGCTTTTGTTCGATCGAGCCGGTGGGAGCTGTGACTTGATCTCTCTCCTTCTCCCCCTCCTCCTCCCCCTCCCCGAGAAGCCTGAATCCACGGTACCCGTCGTCGACCATGGCTTGCACGGCCTCGCGGTATTTGGCCAGTCCTCCAAAGAAGAACCGCAGCGCGACTTTCTTGCCCTTGACATTCTGTGGTCTCTTGGTTAGTAGCTGTCCAACTAGCGTGTGAAAGACAAGAAGACGATGAGGATTTGTGGGAGAACGATGGGGAGCAAATGCGGAGTGTTGTCACTAGCTCGGCATGAAAACAAGAGTAGGGAAGGGGAAAGATGCAGACTTACATTGCCAAAGATCCACGACGCGGTCTCCTTGAACAGACTCCCTTCAGCTGCCTGCTCGCACTGCTGGAGCCACTCCTCCTCGGCTTCGGGGAGAGCTTCGATGACGCTCTTGTGCTCCTGGCGGCCACCGCTCCGTCGTCGGTCCTCTTCGGCACGCTCAATCATTTGCGAGATGAGTTCGACATGGAGCTCAATGGCCGGGGGGATGTTGCTGAACGGGCCTTGGGGTCCGGTGATCATGCACAGGTTGGGAAATCCTGGTACGAAGACACCCAGATAGCTAGTCGGGCCGCGGGGATCCCAATGCTCCTTCAACGTCTTGCCGTGTCGGCCTCGTATCCGTAGACGATTGTAGTTTCCGTCGATGGCATCGAAACCTGTGGCGAAGATAATGACGTCCAGTTTATGGACCGTCCCGTCACTCACCTGGATGCCATCCGCGGTGATCTTTGTAATGGGCGTCTCGTTAACATCGACAATCTCAACGTTGTCCCGGTTGAACTGCTCGTAATATCCACCATCGCACAACGGCCTCCTGGCGTAATAATCATGGGGCATCAACTTCTTCGCCTTTTGGGGATCTCGAACTATCTGGGCAATCTTCTTGCGGATAAATGTGCAGGCAGCCTCGTTAGCCTGGCGATCGGTGGCGATATCGCTGAATCCACCAAACATGAAACGAAAGCCATTGCCCTTTTGCCACAGTGCTTCGAAAATCTTTTCGCGCTCTTCAGGAGGCACTGCGTGGAATGGGGTGGTCGATTCGACGAAGCCAAAGCCGCACACCGAGTTGCGGACCTGCTTCATGATCTCGGGGTAATGTGCATTGACGTATCGTCGATACTCATCACTCACGGGGCCATCGCCACTAGGCACGGAGTACTGGGGATGCCGTTGGAAACAAGTGAGGGTCTTGACCTTCTTCGCAACATCTGTGATGACTTGCACACCAGTCGACCCGCACCCGATAACGGCAACTCGCTTGTTCGTGAGATCCAGGTCTGGGTTCCATTTGGCAGTGTGGCACATCTCACCGCGAAAATCCTGGATGCCAGGAATGTCGGGATAATTCGCTTTCGAGAGCAAGCCTAGGGCAGTAACAAGGTATTTCACGACGAAGACCTCGCCCGTGCTAACCTCGACCCGCCACACACCGGCCTCGTCATCCCAGTCTGCAGCTACCATCTCCGTATCGAATTGCATATGCTTCCTGAGATCGTATTTGTCGACGACGTGTTCCAAATAAGCGAGAACGTCAGGTTGCTTTACGTAGTGGTGACTCCATGGGTAAGTCTGAAGATCGTCTTTATCCCACGAGTATCGGTACACATAGCTTTCTGTGTCACTCATGGCCCCGGGGTAGCGGTTCCAGTACCAGGTGCCGCCCACATCGCTGGCAAAGTCGATGACCTTAACGGAGAGCCCGAGAGAAAGCAGTTTGTGGAGCTGGTAGATGCCTCCGAACCCGGCGCCGACGACCAGGGCGTCAAAATATAGCTGGCCCATGCTGTAGACGACGTGATTGTCTCAGTTCTTGGTGTTAAAATCGCAGTCGTGGATATTGCAAGGCTGCAGAAGCGGCTCATGGGCTGTCCCTTTATGCCCCCCTGCGTGGCGTTCCTCCCCCATTCTGCGCTGGCCCGGGGTTCGCCACGGAAAACGAAAACCGTGGAACTGATATCCATGATGCAGCAGGCCATGATCCAACAGCATTTTTGACCGAGGACGAATTAGACCACCCATGCTGTTCAAGATGAGAGGAGCCCTGCATTTCCCTTTGATATTGATGTTGGATGTGGCTCATCTCGAATATTGTTCGGAGGGCTTCTGCGCCTCTCCATTAACATCAACTGGCTTGTCACTCTGAAGTCCTTCCATACTCTGGAATTTCACTTGGGACTGGACTCTTGGCTTGTCTCATCGTAGGATTTTCTTCAATCATGACAGAGGATTACCATGGTTGTAGGAATAGTGTTGCGAAGGGGAAATGGTTCCGCGGCTCTCAGGTGCTGGGGTCGCTTTTCCTTCTGGCGGCTGATACCTCTACAGGCCACTATACACAGCTTCCCTTGACTACACGCAGCCCTTATCCCTACTTGGTAAGGGCAGGTCGGGTCAATACGAGACAGATCAACAGATATAGTTGCAGTTCAACAGATGCCAACGTAACGGTCTTTCAAGGTGTCTTTGTGAGGCGTTTTCTGTCTTATTTACAAGTTTTACACACCAGAATGCACTACGGAAACCGGATGCGCCACTCCCTTTTCAAACGGTCAAGCCTATCTCGGACGCAAAAGGAAGTCTGAACAGGTCTCCCACTGCCGACACCGATGCTTTTGACTCCAGCAGACCCTTCGCCGCCTTTGCAAAAGTTAGCTATCCTGGAATTCACCGACAATTGAGTTGGGTAACTTACCGCCTTGACTTTGTCTGAAGAGACCTTGTCGATGGACGAGCCAATTTCATCGATCTGGAAAGGCTTCCCGCCCTCGATGAGTCCATTTCCGGTGGCTTCTAGACCAGCCTGTGTCTGCTGTCCAGCTTCAAGCGCTCTGAATTTCGCCAATGCGGTGGCCTTCTTGATGTCTTCTTCTGCCACTTCGCCTGCTGCCACCTTCTTGAGCGTGTCGACTGCGTTCTGGCTTGCTTTGGCGATCTGAGTGGCATTTCCGGTGAATGTAATGTAGAGGAGGCCAGCGTCGGAATACGCGGCGTGTTGAGTGGAGACTTGCACCTGAGAGAAATCATGTGCAGCTTTGGACAGAAGGGAGAAGCCTGGGGACCATTTGATGCTGCTTTCACCTCCAAGTAACGCAGCCAGAACTGCAATTTCTGGTTTGTACGAGGACCCGGCGGTGAACGAGCTAGACCCTTCAAAACCGATAATAAACACATTCCCAGATGCGTGTGCGATTCTTTCTTCACCACCGTAGTATTTCGAAGCAGGGCTGGACAATTTGGAACCACTTGGAGTGTCTTGGAAGAACTCGCCAACCCACTTGGAGAATTCAGAGTGACTGGCACCATTGGCAACAACAGCAATATTTCCTTTAACATAGGCACTGTCGCTGAACTTCGCAACGTCCTCAGCATCAAGGTACTGGAGAATCGGGACCGAGGACGTGGGATATAATGGCTCTCCCAAACCGCGGTGGAAGGCCACACCGTGGACGGAATTGAGTGCTAGCGATAGAGGGCTTCCAAGGAGACCTTTTTGCGCAAGTTTCATGACATGGATCACCTCTTCGTTGAGCTCGTGGGCTGTACATTGTCAGACATTAATTTCCAACTATACTCGCAAGGGAACCAACTCGTGTATCGTGTTTTTGATATAACTTCTCCCAGCAGCTCGGTGAAATACGGCAAGTCTTCGCGCAGGAATTTGGCTCGGAGGACGAGGTTCTCTCGGGAATGGTATGCAGACAACTCGCCGCCGAGAAGTTCAGCTTCTCGGGTGATGCGCAGTGTTGATCGTTTCGTGGTAGACTAATTTTTGAATTAGCTGAGTGATCAGGGTAGAATATTACGACCGGGATTGACCTTGAAAGCAAACTTTTCGAGGGCGTCGGAATAGCCAGGCAGCGGCTGGTAACGTGTACCGGCTTTTGCGACGACAGTCAAAGTAGTCGTTGGGCCTGGCAAATCTCTGCTGGCGAACTTGACGCCCGACGAATCCCCCGTCTCATACTGAAAGCTGCCGGACGCAGCTGCGGCCAGACCTCTCCGTTGCAGGGAGGTGACGGGAATATGACGACTGCTAGCTCGCAGGGCTCTCGAGCCAAGCGAAGCCGGAGAAGCCATTATACAAGAAGCCTCGTAGTGGATGGGGAAGGGTGGTAATGCAATAGATGCAGTCGAACAGGAGCTTCGGATGGAGTCAAGCTTCGATTGATTCTACAGAAATCAAGCTTGCTTTGATTGGTTGAAGACAAGCGACCACTCACGTTCCGTATTTCTGCCAAGCCCGGTCTTCAGCCCCCGCAGGGATCCGCTCCGTCACCAGAATTTCTTCAGACTGGCAGCCAGCCTTGTCGCTGGCAAAAGTTTCTCCTCAAATCCTATGTGAAGAGTACGGTGAATGAAGTTCCTTCTCGTTCGACGCTCGTCCCCCAGTCCCTGGGAGATGAGGCAGTGAATAAGTTGTCCTTGGCTCGGCGAAAAAATAAGTCTAAATTTCTCATTCTTCTGTCAACGGTTGATTTATGTTAGAGATGGAGGTATTTCAGAAAACCTTGGCAGATTACGAAGGATTTGCTCTGCTGAGACACGGCAGGAATTCTCTCAGCTTTGCTGCAGTATCGTCGAAGATGTATATGGTACATTTCTCGCGGTGAGCAAGCCTTATCCGGTGTGCATGTACGAAATACCTGATGTGAGACGCAGCAAATCTTTCGACAATTGGCCCAGGTAGGGCGGCTCTCTATCAACCAGATCGCTCAAAAATGTCGTCTCCCTCTCCGTCAGGTCAAGACCGGTATAGCGAGTTTGATTCAGCTGCGGCTCGTCTACCACCACACATCCGCAGAGGGCTTGTCGACATACCAAGCGAACACCAGCAATGCATACAACATCATGCGTACCGGCAGACTCATTGAACTTGTCGAATGGAAGTTCGGATCTGCGGGTGCGAATATTATGGAACATCTCGCTGTCCTGGGCTTTGCTACCGCGTGCGAGCTGGAAGAACAAGTGCTAGGTGATGGGGACTCATCCAAGTTGATGGACAAAAGTCGTTTTCGAGCTCTCCTCAAACACCTAATTACTTCGAAGTTTATCCTTGGTGTCCGCGAGGCACATTTCCACTCGCCTTTTGACTCTCGTCAGGATGCAGAACGCTACTTACGCGGACACGGGATGCTCCTTCAAGGAACGGCGAAGAAAATCAAAACAGAGGGCGAAGTGAGGGTCGGTGTCGAGCTCGAACAGCGTCTAGACGGAAAAGTTTCTTGGCCTCAGGTGTTGCATGAACTTGAGGCGAGCCCCAGCCCAGTACTAAAGTGTGATCTCTCCATAACGCGTCCCCTACTGATTGAAAATAGGCCAACATCTTGCTCGCCGTCGACTATTCGAATTTGATTCTTTACATCCGCAATGAAAGGGTGGCCGAAGTTGCTGAGAAGATTTTTGGCCGACGCACAGGAGAGGTTGCACGAGCAGCTTGTTTACAGCTTGAAGATCTCGACCCACGACCGTTAAAATTGCGCCTGTTGGATAACCCCGTGGGGTCGTTACAGAGACTGGACGTCTCCCAGATGAGTCATTTTATCTCTTCAGAAGGTCGACCAGCAATGACCAACGGGCAAAGCAATGAGAACGGCTGGCCTGCGGCAGACAAACTTCTGAACGGCCACCATGACAACAGAGTCAATGGGACGAGCGGGGATCATCAGTTCATTGAATACCAGCTGGGTGTGTTGGCGGAAGGGCCCTTTGGCTTTCTCTTGGGCGACCCCGTAACAAAATCTTGGGCAGTTGACAAGAGCAAGCTCAACAATTTCTTGTGGGATAAAGAGATGCTACGTCTTATCGACGAGAGCGTGAGCGAGCCAGCGCTCAGGATTGTTCGCATGTTGGCAGATAAGGGCAAGCTTGATGAGCGAACAATGCAGGATGTTGGTCTTCTGAACGCGAAAGAACTCCGAAAATCGTTGGCACAGCTGCAGACGAAGGGATTCCTCGAACTCCAAGAAGTTCCGAGAGATCCGCAAAGACAGCCCAAAAGCACAACCTTCCTCTACTTCTACGATCCCGAAAGAGTACAAAAACTGTTCCTCGACAGGCTTTACAAAGCGATGTCGAGATTGTACGCGCGTTTGCACCTGGAAAGGGAGAAGATCTCGTCAACTCTGAGCAAGGTTGAACGAACCGATGTCCAAGGAAGCGAAGAGGAGATACTATCGCCTGGGGAACTGCAATTGTTGCATCGCTGGCGACAGAAGGAATGTTGGTTTATGACGGAGATCCATCGGATAGATGCTTCGGTCGCCATTCTCCGGGACATATGAGGCTTCGCTCTTCCTCAACCATAATATTAGAAAAGACCAAGCTTTCAACAAGCTCTAGCTTTCTCCAGGAACGTTTCCTTGTTCAATGGTGCATTGCTCTTGGATTCTCCTCGTACCTCTTGCGAGAGGCTGCTAAGGCCGCTGAGGCTGGTGTCGCATCAACATTGTTCCGGGCGGATTCTTGGCAAGCTAGGAGCTTCCCTTCGCGACTCTCGCTGCGCAGTTTACTCTCTACCATTGACAGCAACGCAGAGCTCCATTTTCTCCCCAAACGCTTGCACATCTCCCAATAGTCAGCATGGCTTTCGAATGGAAAGCGGCCGGTCTCACGTACGCCCAGTTCCAGCCTCAAGTTGTGCGTTGTTCGGGCTAACGTTGACAGCTACAACCGATACCTCGCCGTCGCAGCTAGAGTCGTCCGCAGATCGTTAAAAGAAGGACCCAGACTTCAAGCTGAGAGAAGAGGCGATATGGACCTGAGATTCGCAAAGTGGCAGGTGAGCTCAACTCCACGCCCTCTGGTACCTGAGACTTTCCGACTGACATTGAGGAGAACGGGAAACAAGGAGAGAACAAGAACCTGGGTGCTGCGAACGCTGATGCTATGGCCGAACATGCTACTGGGGAGGCGAAATAAAGGGAGACAGCATTGTGCTGGACGCATCAATGGCAGATGGAAAACTCTTTCAACGAGCAAAACTCAGACTTGTACATATTACACTGAAAACCTCACGGCGAAGCTGGGTGCGTGCCTCCGGATGTGCACATGACATTTTCCAGAGCCTGTAAAAATTCCGTGCCATAATCTTCTCAACCTTTGCATTCACACGACCTTTGCATCCTAAATACACCTCTGCACAATTAAATTCCTACACGTTGAATGTCACACTAGCACTCCGATTTGCATTTGGGCTCATTCCGTGTGGGATAGAGTAAATTTTGGCCTGTCGACTCCTGCCACTGTCGGAGGCCTGTCGGCTCACGGGGATTGTTCCCCCCCATCGTCGTGACCGTCCTCGTTTTCCACTAAAAGGGTTCGACTGTCATGGTTCAACCCCAAATTGTCCACCCCAATGTCCAGATAACCGAAATCACGAGAGAGTTCTGTAGTGCTGCATCGAGTCAGTCGGGAACGCCACTCTGTCTCCAACAAGACTGACCGCGTCATAGAACTCACCGGGGGCAAGCTGGTCAAAGATGAGCACTTCACATTGTATGAGGCCGTCAGTGCCTTGGAGGTATGGAATCTCTACACCCAGGTCCGAAATAGCATGATCCTGACCGAAGTACCCAGATTGGTGATCCGAAGATGGATAGCGGATGTGCCGCTTTCGACGCTGAAAGCGATGAAGAGTTCGATCCCGCAAGAAACGTATCCGCCGAGGAGATTGTATGGTTGATGGACCAGCTGATGTACCGCGAGGTGAGCATCTCTGTCTTTCAAGCATGGAATGATGGTTTGACCTACAAACAGGTAGCATGGCACATGGGATATCCTCTATCCCAGACTCTATTTACCTCGATACACATTGAACGACTCCTCTGGCCGCAACCGAAGCAGTTATCCGAAGCTTGCTTTTGGAGGGACCGTCGCAGTACACGAGATGTGCCTTCTCTCCTGAATACAGTTTTCCAGTCCTATTGTGTGGGCTTGATCAAATGCTGTGACCTAGTTCTCTCTATGGTGGCGAGCCAGCACTTTTACGAGGTAGGGACGGCGCGAAATAGCTGATATCAACCAGCAGCTGACGACATTGCAGGAGGAAGACTTTGCGCCACAGATATACAATCGGCCTCTCCTGCACGACTTCTCGGTTGGAGAGGTGATGGACTCGTTGCAGGACGCACATGTCTTTGTACAAAAGAGCAACCTTCCAGAGCCCTTGAAAGGGGCATTGAAAGACAGGTTGAATGCACGGTCTGCTTTCCTGCGCCTCTTTCATAGCTGTGAACTCCGCGAACGACCAGCCAGCTCAACTCTTCAGGCAGATCTTGCGTTGATCGAGGCGGTGGAAAAGACTTCCATCCTCGGACGCCCAACTCCAACTGTGGCCTTCACCCTGAAGATGCAACGGAATCTGGCAAGCAGTGTGCCTCCGAGACCAATGATAGTCATAGAAAAGGAGAAAGCCTTTTCCTTCTTCCATCAGCTTCTCAGGGATACCACCTCTGCTTTCCAGATGCTTGATATTACATGCGGCAGTGACCTGCTAGTTGCCTATCAGAGGTTCATGGCGCAGACATCACAACCCGCAGTGTATGTTCGGGTACTCCTACAGTCCTTCTTAAACATCAACAACACGGTACTGGGCCGATACACTATCGACCATTTCATCACTCAAGACATGCATTCTCTGACACTCCCAAGTGCTTTGCCCTTGGGAAGCAACAACAGTGAAATTGAGGACATTCCTGAAGACCAGCAGATGGAAATTAGCTCTAGAGTGGAGTTATTTCTGAATCGTTGCGGACAGTCGTTCCTCAATTTGTTCAGGACCTACTGTCTGAACCGCTGCCGGGTAAGACGTTCAATGTGTCACGCAGCCCTTGAGTGGGATCAGATCCAGGCGGAGGCTGAGGATCTGGATGCCTTTGTCCAATCCATCCTCGACGAGCAGCCCATTCCTTACCCCAGTGGCGAGCAACTCACCTTTTCATATTCTTTCAGCAGTTGGGTATACCACTACAAGCTGATACAGCTTCAAACCATTCTTCAGATGGGATTTGAACTTTCCATCTATGCTCCGCACGAGTTTGCTGAGATGTACTGGTATCTTTCATTCCTCTCCAACTCGCACTTGTCTCACCTGGAGAGGATCAGCTTCTTTGTGTCCTCGAGCCGGCAGGTGGATGTACGCCGGCGAGATGAGGTACAGGTTACTCTGAAGCGCTTGTATCGGTATTTCACTTGGCTCAAGGCCACAGAGGCAATGGCAAACGCTCTGCATCGAGTCTTCGTTATTATACAACGTCACGGCCATCTGCACAAGCCTTCGCCAGCGTATGCATCAGACCGCTTACGCTACGAGCTGAGAATGCGGCCGTTTCTCAATCTCTCCATCCCCGAGCCCATCGACTTTGACTTGGCTCAACCGGCCCGCTTGTTGCTGGAGCTTTCTGACGCGTCCGTGCTGGAGCAGGCCACCAGTCTAGTACAGACGGCAAAGAAAGCATGGGAGGAGGTTCTGAGAGGCGGCTGGGAGTCTAAGGGGCCCCGGCCGGCAGATGCCAGAGCTGATACGGTGGATACGGGAAGAAGCAAGCAAGTCGCTCCAGTAGTGGACAGTGAGTGGACACAGGACGTGCGAAACTTAATGAAGGCATGTATAGGTACAGCCATCGCAATTGCTGCCCTGAGTAAAGCTCTGAACGCGAAAGGGAAGACCACGGCGGGAACCGGCATATCGAGTCTGAAGGTCGAAATTCCGCCAGTTGGGCATCGAGACCGGTGGCATGTGGCGTGGCCTGTACCCAAGATCTCCAGCTGAAGCTGGATATTGTCAAGCAGCAAATACCATGCTATTACAATTCATCGCACTTGACTCCTCAATAAGTCACCGTGACTTTTCCAACGTCAAATGTCTCGTCTCTCGTTGAGACTGACTCGTCCGGATCAGGACTAGCTTGATCCTACCATACCTACCTCTTCTAAGATGGTCGAGTCACAGACTCTTCCTTCTACTATTTGATAGTTAGACAGGAAGCACTGTGGCGTCTTCCCTTTTCCTTTGTTGTGGGCGAGATATTTTACGTCGAAGGGAGTCGTCAGCAGCCCGCACTGACCGCATCCATTGTGCCACCATCTCCAACTGACTATTTTTTTCATCCCCGCAAAATAATTTCAGCACCAAACAATTTCCGCACCCAGCGTCTTCAAGCATTTCTGCAACCTCGACGTGAATCTCAGTCGGCATGGCGTCTGCATACAAATCGGCGATGCGGTCAGGAGACGCTTCCGACTCTGATGAAAGTGGTCCAGTCGCATCCGCTGGGAGCGGCTCATCCTCCAGCGGAGAGGAGGAACCTACCCAGAGCCAGAAAAAGAACAGTGATCTCTCTCAACTGCCACCTGAGATTCGAAATCGAGTGCTGATGCTCACTTCTCGTGGAGTCTCATACAGGTAAGTTTGTATCCGTATCCTCCTTGCGGCTCGTCACTGACATCTGCAGGCACCGACACCTTCTAAACGACCTCCACGTTCTGCTTCCTCACACATATAAAGACACGAAGCTCGATACAAAATCTTCTAACAACTACAACTCTGCCCTTAATGGTCTTGCTGACCTCCATTCTTGCAATTACGTCTTCTTCCTGGAAGCACGGAAACATGGTCAGGACCTGTACCTGTGGCTCGCACGTGCACCCAACGGACCAACGGTCAAATTCAGCGTGACCAATGTGCACACAATGGCTGAGCTAGGGTTTGGCGGAAATTGCTTAAAAGGTGGGAGAGGTATCGTTGTCTTCGACAAGAGTTTCGACGAAGAGATTCCGGGCCTTGAATATCGCTCCCTGCTACGAGAGATGTTTCGCGGGGTATTTTGTGTTCCGCCGAAGGGCATACGCGGCATGAAGCCATTCATTGACCGCGTCATTGGTATTTACGGGCTTGATGGAAAGATATGGATTCGCGTGTATGAGATCCGTGAGTCGGCACCGGATAAGACCGACAAGGAGCGTGTCAAAGGAGACGACGTGTCGCTGGTTGAGATCGGGCCTCGTTTGGTCCTCACACCGGTCGTCATTCAAGAAGGCAGCTTCGGGGGTCCGGTCATATTCGAAAACAAACAATTCGTCAGCCCCAATGCTCTCCGAGCTGAGACGAGGATGCGCAGGGCCAATAAATATGCAAGTCGAAGAGGTGGTGCTGAAGAGTTGGCGGCTAAACGGAAAACTTTGAACTTGAACACGGGAGCGAAGAGAAAGAGATCCGCACTCGACAATGCGAAGCTGTTTGGATGACTGAGTGCGTGATAAGCTCATTCACATCTTTCAACGAGAACGTCTCGGGTACCAGCCTTGTTACCTTCACAGAAAAACAAGACCCAAAGGAGGGGCAAGCCACGGCATCCTTCTATGGACTTATCGCAATGCATCCCATATACATTGGTGCGCAGGTTTCGCTCTGTCAGGTTGAAGCTATTCGTGCAACCTTGTGACGCACCAAAAGCACCAGTCTGGTCACAACAAGCTAGCACGGTTGTGGAACACCTCCTATCATGTGGTGATTCGACCTTCTATCGCAGAACAAGATGCAGATGCTTGCATTTCGAATTTTGGGAAGCCTTGCCATCCTCGGGCGTGGGACTGTTAGGCACCAAATCCGAGAACTATTGGGTGTTCTTTATATCCCACACGACGTGACGCGCTGGGGGAAGGGATGTCTAATGTAGGTCATCATAAGAGCTTCAGTTGAGGCAAGAAGTCGACGGCGGCCATTTGTGATTGAGACCCAAGGTCTAAAGGTGGTCGCGGTGATTTCTCTCGGACTGAAAATTTTTGCTTTGCTCCTGTTCAACTGGTTCTCAACTGTGGGCTGCCTTCACAAGCACAGAATTTATCTCACAATCTTCTCGGGGTGAGCGAGTGCCTCTACGTCTCACCTCAAACCGGAGCGAGGGTGATGCCACCGCGTGCCTACCTTAGCTCGACAAGCCAGTGCGACGGTAATGGATTTTGTCTTGGACTCCCGATTCTCTCGGCCGACTTCGAGCGCCTCTGAAGCCAGAAATTCTTACGGCACAAGCAATATTTGCAGATATAGATGAAGTCATTCCGACGTCTCGAATTGAACAAGTCACTGTGTTTCAAGTCGCAGGTAATCTCTATGTGAAATCTATCTTGACATGGATCGACTTACTCTTAGCACTATCAAAACACATTCGTTGATGGCTTCCATGCCATTGAAGTTGCTCAACGACATAGGAAAATACTACGATACTTACCAATGAACGGTATCTACGGCCCCGAACGGCTCTAAGAGCTGCTGCGTTAGATATGTTTTTGTCCTTTTGGTTGATACCCACGAGGTATTATCTTAACCCTCAACAAAGCAACACTCCCAGAGTGCGAGAGTTTTGACAGTTGATGCCGCTATCAGCCGAGAATCGCAAACTTGCTTTGCCAACAACTGCTACTGTTCGGAACGGTTTAAGCAGCGACTCGCCGAGCCCTTGACCATCCTAGACAGTCACGGCCTGAGAACCCATGGAAAATGTCATGGTGTCATCAAGTCGGCATGAATACAAGCGACTGCTTCCGGACCACGACGGACCAAAAGGCGGAAGATACCCACAGGGGATGCTTCTAGAGGGGGTTACGTACAATGGCGAATTCGCTTAATGATTGGTAGAAACAGCTACCTCCAAGCTTAGCCGGTATCCTTCCCCGTGTTATCACACCCTTGATATAGCCAACTTGAACGCTGACGTTGTACCATATCGCCTTCGATGTTGGTGCCAGGATGCATTCCCCAAATAGATGGGGTAACCAGCTAGCCTTTTCCAGCCATGTCTTCAGTGGGGCACCTTATGGAGCCTACAAGATGCCATTTTTCAGCAAGTTTGACTAATTCCGTATAAAGCTGAACATTGTCTGGCTCGCAATCATGCGGACGTATCCATTGACAAGCACGATTCATAAGCACCTTTGAACCAGCTGCTCGATCATCGGAGAAAAAGGGTATCTACGTTCCGACTCCGGTCGACCCTGCCCTAGAAGGGCACCATATAGAGATGAAATACCTGACAGTTTCGTCTGTATATTGTTCTACATGTCTTGCTGAACAGTGCGACGCAATTCGAACTATCATTTTCCACATACGAAGCTTTCTCGCGTCATCACCTTCACTTCCCTGTTGAACAAGTAACGGCATATCATCTCCAGACGTCGACAGAATGCCAATCAAATCACCGCTGAAGATTGTGTTGGGAGCAGCCAATGTAAGGACGCCATACCGCGGCAGTTATCGTTATTTACGGGTTACAACCAGGTTGGAGACAAGTCTCTAGACTCAACTGTCCGTTACGACACGCTTGACGAGGTCAACTCCTACCTCAATGCATTCTATGATCGCGGTGGACGTCATATTGACACGGCCCGTGCCTACTCGCCACATGCTCCTGGTTCTTCAGAAGAAAGACTAGGCGCCGTCGAAGCAGGAAAGCGATTTGCAATCGACACGAAGGTGTTTTCTCTAACACCCAACTGCCATTCGAAGGAAAAGATCAAGGAAAACATCGACACATCCCTTTCACTCTTGAAGGTACCGAAGATTGACATCGAGTACCTCCATGTGCCAGACAGAACCACCCCTTTCGAGGAGACGCTCGCGGCGATCAACGAGGCCTTTAAAGAAGGCAAATTCGAACGCTTCGGTGTGTCCAACTATACAGCCGAGGAAGTGGACAAGATTGTTCAAATCTGCGAATCGAACGGCTTCGTGAAGCCAAGCGTGTACCAGGGTCAATATAACCCCATTATCAGGAGTGGGGAGAAGGAACTCTTTCCCATCTTGCGAAAGCATGGAATCGCTTTCTATGCCTGGAGGTTTGTCACAGTCTGATGGTTCATCAGCCAAGGATTCCGTGTGTTGACTTTTTGGAACAGTCCCGCAGGTGGTGGTTTCTTCGCAGGAAACCACAAGCATATTGTGCATGGCTCCCGATTTGACTCATCGGTAAGTTTACTTTTGCCTACAGCGGCGACGACACAGACATGTCATTTAGCTGTTTCCCGCTGACTCGAAGCACAGACCTGGTTGGGTCAAGTGTTCGCATCTGTGTACCTGAAACCAAACATCGAAGCCGCAACAGACCGCGCACTCGGACTTGTGGCCAAGCACGGCATCAACGGCCATGCTGCGGCTTTGAGGTGGACTGTCTACCATAGCACGCTCAAGGACGAATTTGGAGATTCGATTATTATTGCTGCCTCGAGCGTCGCGCAGCTGGACTCCAACCTTGACATGATTGAGCAAGGGCCTTTACCCGCCGAGGTTGCCGCCGCCATGGAAGCGATATACAAAGAGGTGGAGGGTACAGAGTTCCCTTACCATTTGTGATGTCTTGAGGTCGTTTCTGCTCCTGTTATAAGAGTCTAGTCACGCGCACACGCCAGAGAGCCATATACGAAATATGAAAGTTAGAAGCACCACTGCATTTTCCCTCTTTGGAGCCATTATTGACTGAAATCCAAGCCTAACGAATTGTTTTCTAGGCCTGTACGTGAGACCCCTTCAACACAACAGGTCCAAATCGTGGGTGTTGATCCCCAAGAAAGCTACCAGTGCCTGAATTGTCGACAAGCACTGTCCCTCCAAGCATCGCAATTTCAAACGTTGGAGTGGCTCCAGTCTACTTTGAAGTTTAACTTGTATTCATACCTATTTATACTTCATAACATGTCGATCCCCGTTAGTCCCCCGTCCTCGGTTCCCATCACAAGTCATTGGTGTCGTTCTATCAACTTGACCTTTCTTTACTGACAGGGTCACTCGCCCAGCGCGATGAACCCACCACGAGAAGAAGCATTGGCTGGAACCCTGACGCGAAGTTGCCTGTGCTTGCACCTACAGGCTGGCATTGGCCCAAATACTCCATTGCCCGGAAATTGATCCCGACGACTAAAGCAAGAAGCTTCACTAGCTGCCTCTGGGGAAATGCTTGGCACCAGTGTGTATATCGAGCCATTTGTTGCCATCAATGCGTGTTGTTTTCCCGCCCGTTTTGAGACGACAACAATCATGTCGTCGATCTATTCGAGAACAAGGGATACAAAAGATCGCAGGCGCTGCCCTTGTGGCTCTGTTGCGCCCTTCGATCTCTCAATGATCTCCGAGTAAGTACACAACATTGCGGCATCGTTATTGCTGCGTCCATTCGTTTGCGCCCAGCATGATGCTCACCACGCTCCTTACGCTTTTCGTTGCTTCGTTGACTGTTCGGGCTGCGCCTGCTCCAGTCTTGCCAGCACTGTCAGTGACATGCTACACTGTCTCCGGGTTCCAGGGTGAACGGGGTCCTCTCCTATCCACTACAACCTCAACCCGAAGACTAGCTCCGACGACGGTCACCTCGACGCGGACATCGACAATTACATTGACATGGACCCCAGTTATTACGACGACTTCTACGGCAACTAGCACATCTACTGCGACAACTACGGAGCTTGGCATCTCGTCCACTTTCACCTCTACTATTACGTCAACGTCGACGTTGAGTGACAGCACGACCATCACGAGTACGGTCCAAACGACGTTGACCGATACCACAACTTCTACCGCTACTAGCACTTTGACTATTGCTGCCCCTGCTGGATTTACCCCTATCATCAAGAGCTCTGGCTACACGTCTCTGAATGCTCCTCAAAGAGAGAGGCGTGAGGTTCTGGATCGTCTCTTCAATCTGGTCAGATCTCCGCCCGAAGGACGTCAGTTTCTGGGTGGTGGAACAAGAAGTGCACAAGGCATCAAATGTGTCACCCGAGTGCAATCTACCGTGACTGTCTATAGGACAGTGACGACCACTACTACCGATATCGGTTCGGCGTCGACCACGACCAGCACCACAACCACGACAGTGGCCACAACTTCAACTGTCATTCCGGCAGTGGTTACGAGTACCGTGAGCACCACATCAACCACTATTGTCACAACTACAAGCACGTCCATTGCATTGACCACCAACACCCAGACAACCACCGAGACAGACACCACCACGTCCACCACCTCCGTCTATGCCGCCTGCGCAACCAACAACATCTTGGGTCCTCAGGTCCAAAACGGCCAATACGTACAAGGCGCTACCGACAATGATCCGAACGGTGTGATCGCCATCACCACCGCTGCGAGTGCGTACGACTGTTGCGTTCAATGTATCACCAGCGACGCGTTGGAATACTGCCAGAATGCCATCTTTGATGCGGATGGAACATGCAATATGCTCGGGGGAAACCAGGCGTTCTGTGCAAATGGCCAGCAGGCCAACTCGGGCCAGGTGGTTTTGACCACCACGTCCTTGCAGCGGTTCGATATCAATGGACCTTGCGGCTATCTTACCTCCTGAGCAAGGCATGTCGGTAGTTTGGCACGCCTCTCTAGAAAAGGATGTAATCTCTGATCGGAGGAGATCATGACTGTAGCTTTGACCTTGGCATTATAGCTTCTCCGCTGACAAGAGTCGTGTTAATCATGATGGGATGTTCAAGCAAGAACCTCTCTCATTTCGCTCTCTTGGCCATGTCCGTGCACACAACACCACCTTCTTGAGAGAGTCGCGTATTGAAACCCCCCAGGCTTCCCCAAATATGTAGTTAGCAGTGGAAAGGTGGTATGGGAAGGGGGAGGGTGATAAAGCGGCCAGTTGTTGTCGTTGTTACTCATCGTTGGCCTGCCAAGCCCCAGACCGCTTTCTCGACCTCGACTCCCAGCCTGCGTATAACATTATCACCTTTGGCCCTCTGTTCCTCGTCCTCCTTCTTCTCACCCGGCGGCTGTGGAATGGGAAAGCGTTGCACTTCCATCTGTCCTAGCCATGATGGAAGCGACGCAGGCTCGCCGCTCTGTGTGGCAGAGCAGCTCTGGGAGCTTTGATACCTCGCCTTCCTCCATTGCTTCCTCCCAATCGATCCTGGATAGCCCCAATGTCGGGGTCTCAATCTGTTGAGACCATTGGAGTGATAGCAGCACCAATCGCTGCTCTTTGTACGCCCGAGTACGCATAGACACAGTTCAACACCCTCAAATTCCGTACGTTGTCTCCTGCCACCGCGACTAGGACATCTCTTTGGCTGACAAGCCCGCTGAGTAGAAGCATGGCAATGCAACACCTCGCTCCAGAACTTCTCGCTCGCATCTTTGAATCCCTCTCCTCCGTCTCCGACATTATCAACCTGTCTCTCGCCTGTCGCTATTTCTACGAAATCCTCCCCAAATCGCAAAAGCTGGCACTCTTCTTCAGCACTATCGATGAAACAGATGGACCAGTCCAAGATATCATACAAATCTTGACCCAGAACAACAACCAAATGCTGCATATCCGGCGGTCTCCGCCTCTGTCGTTTGCCCTACTCTCGCAAGTCACTGCCGTTGCTCGCGTGGCACGGCGCTACGTGGACCTGTTCCCCGGATTCAAGTGGCTCGAGGCGGCGAGCGTCAACCGACGAGTATTGGACCGTCACGAAGCTCGTCGACTACGTCGGGCGGTCTATCGGCTATGGAGCTACTCAAAAGCATTTCACCAGTTTCCTTATCGCACCGCTCGTACCGATGCAACAGCTACCGCAGAACGACTACAGCTCCTGCGGACGTGGTCGAACGACGAACTCTTCGAGTTGGAGGACTTCCGCGGCTTGCTCGAACAGTTGCTCGCCACCGAGATCTGTCCTACCGATGGAGAGGTATATTCCCGGATACCCGACGATGCACAAAAGTTCCATCTGTCGCTGCAGTATCCTTACCTTCGTCCCGTCTCATCCACTCCACAGGCATACCACGATCTTTTCCACAGTTCTCATCACTCTGACGTCGATCTACACAAACCGACCGTCCAGGAACTTCGAATTAGGCACATGAAAGGGTGGGGCAGTGACCTGCAGAACTTTTACCTCATTCAGTCGTTCCTGAAGTTTTCCCCCGCGCAGATCTTGTGGCTCTTCGACAACGCCGTGTGCCGCGCAGACGTCGAACGCTTCATCGAGCAACAGACCCACGATCCGTGCTTCTTCGACAGCGGATCCATGTTTTTCCAGGACTGGGTCACAGTGCTGCATACGCGGGGGGTCGATGTGCAACAAGCACGCGAAGCCATCTGGCAGGAGAAAGCAGGGGTCGTGGTTAGCACAAGCTAAGGCGCAGAGTGGATCGCTGGAGAGAAGACAGCAGGCATAGGCAAACGATTATCTACAGTCCCAAAAGAAGACTCAGATTAGTCAATCGTGCTGGGGAATTTTCCTAAGGTGCAGAATACATATAAAGAACCACTTTGGTGCTAAAAATCGACAGAGGTCTTTCCAAGTTCATCTCTGTATAACGGGGCTGGCGTGCGACGTCGTCTAACCTGTGGACGGAACATTCGTTCTGTTGGCGTCCACGCCCGACACATGCGTCGACAGCGATGTTTCTTTTTGGGGGGGTGGCGCCTGTCAACAACGCTCTCTCCTCTCCTCTTCTCTCCTTCATTGCCTGCCATTGCCATTCCATCTCAAAGCCTGGCTCGACCGGCCTGCTCCGGGGACGAGAACTCGAATCCCGGGTATCCGTCGCTGATTTCCTTGTCGCAGCGCTCGAAGTAGGGTCCCACGCCGCCGAACCAGAACAGCGGCCGCACCGTCTTGCCCTCGGTGTTGGCGCCGATGTACCACGAGCGCGTCTCCTTGGCGCCCTCGGCGAGCACGGTGGCGTTGAAAGCGGCGTCGACCTGATCGCTCCAGCTCCTCGCGTGGTCCTCCTTGGTGTCGATGCGGCCGTAGCCGTTCGTCCGCATGAAGGCCACCGTCTTGCCGATCCAGTCCACCGTGTTGTCGATGATGATGGGGATGTTGGCGAACGGCGCCTGCGGGCCCGAAACCATGAACAGGTTCGGGAAGCCCGGAGCTGTGATGCCGTACGCCGTCGCCATGTCCTTGTTCAACTGCTCCGCGAGCACCTGGTGCTGGCTGCCGCGCAGGTCGATCTGTGCCAGTGTGCCCGTGATAGCGTCGAAGCCCACGGCGAAGATGATCATGTCGAACTCGAATTCCCGCGTGCCGGTGCGCAGGCCGGTGGGCGTGATCTCGCGGATCGGGTCGTCCTTGACGTCCACCAGCTCGACGTTGTCGCGGTTGAAGGCCTCGTAGTAGAAGTGGCCCAGCGGCGGCCGCTTCGACAGGATGGTGTAGTGCGGGCACAGCAGCTCGGCCGTCTTCTTGTCCTTGACGATCGAGCGGATCTTGTTCCGCACGAACTCTGCCGCCATCTCGTTACACTTGGGGTTGGTCAGCATGTCGGCGAACGTCTCGAAGATGAACCGGAACCCGCCGATCTCCCAGCCGAATTCGAGCACCTTGAGCATGTCGGCCTCGGTCTCGAGGTCGGTCGACTTGAGCGTCGCGTCGACAAAGTCCATGCCGAATGTCTGGGCCCGCGCCCGCTTCACCACCTTTTCGTACTCGCGCCGCAGCGCCAGCTGCTGGTCCTCGGTGAGGGGGTAGTTGCGCGCCGGCAGCACGTAGTTTGGCGTGCGTTGGAAGACGGTGAGGGTTTTGGCATTGTGCGCCACGATGGGAATCACCTGGACCGCGGTGGCTCCGGTGCCCACGACCGCCACGCGTTTGCCCGTGAAGTCGACCTTGTGCTTCGGCCAGAGCCCCGTCTGGTACCATTCCCCCTTGTAGGACTCAAGCCCGGGGAACGGGGGTTTGAGGGGGGTCGCAAGGGGTCCGGTGGCGGTGATCAAGAAGGTGCACGTGTACGTGTCGCCCTTGGACGTGGTCACCTTCCACACGTTCTTCGACTCGTCCAGTGCGCCGCGGTGACTTTGGTCTGGAACTCGATCTTCTTGCGGAGACCCAGGTGGTCGGTGACCCGGTTGAGGTAGACTTCGACCTCCGGCTGGGTCGGGAAGCGCTCCTTCCAGTCCCAGTCCAGGCCCAGCTCTTCGAGAAAGGTGATGATGTACACCCAACTCTCACTGTCCGTGCGGGCCCCGGGGTAGCGGTTCCAGTACCACGTGCCACCGACCCCGGTGCCTGCCTCGAATGCTTTGGCGGACAGGCCACGTTTGCCCAATTCGTACAGCATTCGGATGCCGCCAAACCCGGCACCAATGACCAAAGCATCGTAGTCGACTCCCGCGCCGCCCGTCGACTCGTTGGTCGCCGTCTCGGAGGTGGTGGTTGTTGCCATGATCCCCAACTCTGTCGCGGAATATGCCCGGATGAAACCTCTGGAGAAGCCTCAAAAAGAGTAACGAGGTATGTCAGCTACTGCAGATAACAATCGCAGGATGGCGGGACTAGATCCCTCACCCCCTGGGAGCACCAGATTTATCTGGACCGTCCAGCAAGGGCGCCTCTAACCGAGGATAAGTCCGCCTTTTGCGGAGTAAGTCCCCCATCGTCCGGGGGGTGGAAGGTTCTTGCGGACTGCTTGGGTCCAGCCTTGCTCCCCCCTCCCTCCCTGGGGTGTATCTTCATCGCCGCTCCACTTCCCCGCACTGGACGTGCCTGGAGATTGGTGGCGCATGAGAAGGCGTGCTTACCGTCCAATCACCCACTGTAGGTCAGATCCCACGAGTCGTACAGGGAAGGAATAATGGATGACTCAGGTCAGCAAGCTTACCAGCATGACTCGCGGGATAGTTTCGGTCCCTATCTCACGTAGTGGCAATGAAAAGCGTCAGCAGAGGGACGATGCGAAGGACGCTGGCAAAGCCTCGGTCGAGCCATCCCCGCAACGGGGCAACGGGGTATCTCGATCGCCATCTGGCTTTGGAGCTGGGGAAGCCTAGGACAAAGTGACTAGTGAGCTAAAGCGCTTGGTCTCTCCTACATGCATGTAGACAAGTCAGAAGTCAGAAGTCAGCTGCCATGATAGAGAAATAATATGTGTGATATTTTCCGCCCCGAGCTTGGCGTCCGCCTTGCTTTGTCTTGGCAGCTCATGGTTAGCTCACGCCGCTTTAACACGTGGGTTCACGTTCCGATTACCACGACCCTCACCCGAGCCACGCCGCTTTTAAGTACACGTCTACTCACCCATCCTCCTCACGACTTCCACCCCTGTCCACTCACCACACTCTATATTAATAGGTCTTTCTTCTCGCAGGAGAGGTAATTCTGCATCGACGGTCGAATAGATTCTGTTCTACCTTTTCAACTACTCGGCGTTGGTCAAAGCTTCCATGTTTCATACCATCTCAACCATGGCTCATCCGTCTTGCTTGGTAAACAGAACTGGGACTTGATCCTCACATTCAATCTGGTCAACGGTCACTTGATCTCCCAGTCAGCCCGGCTACATGCCCACCCTTCCTCGACCCGACAAGCCCAAAGTCAAACTCGGTTTCGGCCATGCATACCCGCGGCTACTTTCATGGTGGCTAGGACAAGCAGAGCCTGTGCATGGACGCGCAAGGCACTCATTCGGGATCCAGACCCATCACAAACGGCGTCGAGACAACTGTCACTGTTCATCATGCCATGGCACCCCTCCAGAAAGAAATATCAGGGATATCCTGCTCTCTCACCTTTTCCGGTTGAAGGCCAGCTCTCGGAGTGTTTCATTGAGGACGAGCGATCGACTTTGCGACGTTCACATATGTGATGGCACCTGCTGCAGCGACAGCCACGGTAATCACCGCAACAGTCGAGCCGAGTGCTCGCCAACCCCAAACCACCAATGTGGCCGTGCAGCGATTCCCTGACCCGCCTCGCTTCCAAGACAAGTTGGAGGAGAGGGAGTATCTGAAGGGCCGTCTCGCGCTCGCATTCAGGCTGTTCGCCAAATACGGCTTCGACGAAGGTGTCGCCGGGCACATTACGCTTCGAGACCCCGTGGACCCGAACACGTTCTGGGTGAATCCTTTTGGCCGGGCGTTCTCGCAAATGAGGCGCTCGGACCTGATCCAGGTCGACCATGAAGGGCAGGTCATTGGAGGTGGCCCTAACCGTCTCCTCAACCAAGCTGCGTACATGATTCACGCGGCAATCCACAAAGCACGTCCTGATGTGCTCTGCGCCGCGCACTCACACAGTATCCACGGCCGAACGTTTTGCACGCTGGGGCGAAACCTTGACATCACTACACAAGACGTATGCGCCTTTTACAACGATGTCGCTCTCTACGACGACTTTCGGGGGGTGGTATTGGCCAAAGACGAGGGCGAGAATATTGCCCGGGCGATAGGGAACAAAAAGGCATGTCTCCTCCAGAACCATGGTCTGTTGACCTGTGGTCAGACCGTGGAAGCGGCCGTCTTTTGGTTCTGCAGCCTCGAGAAATGCTGCTATACCCAGTTGTTGGCGGACGCCGCAGCCGCGGGTCGAGGCGGCACGACCGTCAAGATTGACGACAAGGATGCCGCATTCACGTATAAGAGCAACGGGACGCCTAGGGCGGGATGGTTCAAAGCGATGCCCATGTTCGACGTGATGATGGAAGAGGTGGGAGATGCGTATCTGAACTGAGAGCCCCTGGAGATAGAATGTTGTTGCTAGGCAATCATTGAACAACGCAAACTGAATGTATTCAATAGTCCTTCGTTATCTACACTACGCAAAAATACCGTCAATACACATATATTCCTTCTCCCTTGTCCCTCCAAGTCTCCTTCCGTACCGTGCATCACTGTTCAGCTCTCTATTCCTGGCACGTTCTTCTCACCATCTGAGTTCGACTCCGGCTGGATCAGGATTTTGAGATGGCGGTCTTTGTGGTCCATCAGCTCCTGGAACCCGCCCTGGACGATGTCGCGCAACGGGACCACGGCGCTGACGAAACTTTCAAACATCTTGGTACCGGCTGTCATCATGTCGAGGACCGGCATGAAATCCTCGTTCGTGTAGGCTGCACCGGCCATGAGCCTCTTCTCCCCCACGGCCAGCTGGTTGAGATTGATCATCAGCGGCTTTTCATGAATGGCCACGTTGAAGATGGTCCCCACGGATTTGACGGATCGGATCGCCGTGTCTAGCGTCGACTGCAGCCCGCTGGCGTCGTAGGCGATGTCGACGCCGTCGCCGAGCATGTCGTGGATCGCCAGCGTGACCGGGTCCTGCTCACTGCTCCTTTTGCTCTGCTGCTGTTCGCCTCGCCCATCGGGCTTCTTCTCGAGCGGGTTGATAACGACATCGGCCCCCAGCTCGCGGGCCTGACGAGCTCTTTGTTCGGCGATTTCCGACACGATGATCTTGCGGGCGCCCCGGGCTCGCAGGACCGCCAACAGGGCCAGGCCGATGGGACCGGCGCCTAGGACGAGCACGTCTTGACCGGGCACGAAGCCCGAGATGCGGACGCAATGCCACGCTACGGCGAAAGGTTCCGTCAGGGCCCCTATCTTCAACGAGACCCCCTCGGGCAGAGGGATGCAGTTCAGAGCATTCAGGACGATCTCGTCCGCAAAGCCTCCCCCGGAGCCGGACAGACCGTACGTCGACCATCGTTTGCAGATGTTGGCCCGGCCGATCTTGCAGGTTGAGCACGGCTCGACACCATAGTGTGCGTCGTGGATGGACGGGTTGACGCAGACCTTCTGCCCGGGATGCAGATGGTGCACATTGGATCCCACCTCGACGATGCTTCCTGACATCTCGTGGCCCAGCGTGACGGGCAGTCCGATGCCCGTGTAGGGATCTGTGGTGCCTGCCTGGGGGCAGAAGAGAGGCCCGGCCACGAACTCGTGGATGTCGGAGCCACATATGCCGCAGTAGGCAATCTTCAGGCGGACTTCATGGGGGCCACAGGGTCTGTGTGTTGCCCGTGTTGGTTGTCAGTCCCTTCTCTGCCTGGCTGGAGGGCATGCAATGCAGAAACAACGGTTATGTGCTACTTACAACGATTCGACTTCGTCCAGTCGAATGTCTCTGTTACCGTGAAGCCTCAAGGCTTGAAACGTCCTGATACTGCCCATCTTCTCGTCGCGAACTTCTTTGACACTGAACCTGTTCTTGCACCAAAGCTGAGCAGAGCAGGCCACCACAATGGTTTATCACATTCTCAAAAGATTGAATGGAATGCATACGGCTGTGGGAGAGCACCAACTCCCAGCAGAGGGCACGTACCCGACGGGGTTCGACTGCCAGCCGTGTGATGTTCCATCAAAACGTTCAAGACCATATAGGCAGATACAATGGCAGGTTCATATCATATTCCCGCGGCTATGGTTCGACACTGCTCGGTTGCCGCGATATACGGGGGCTGGGAACGGGACATACCGAACTTCTCCACTCATCCGTCCACACCAACTACTGGATTCCCTCCAAATTTCGCGGAGAATGATCCTCAGACCATCGTTCTTGGGAGGTTCAAGACACTCGTGGCGAAATAGTACGGACCTCAGCAACTGGTGGCGGAGTGGAAGAGATCCGTGAGAATGGCCTAGAGCCTCTCCTCCCCACAAGACACGTTCAGGGATTCTGGTCGGATGCTTTCCAAAGAGTGTGTTCACCAATAACAACACTTTCTGCGACGACAAGTGTCTGGAAGTCCAGGTCTGGTCCTGGTCCTAGGACTCTCCGGTAGGGCTTTGACGGGTAAAAGGGAACTTGGACTCCCGTCCGGAAACGAAACAAAATAAACACCATTCGATACTCGTGACGCTTTACTACATCAACGTGCAATAATGTCACCCAGAGACGCGACAGCAAACAACGGGGAGAGGATACGTGCCGCGAAGGCTTGCAAACCCTGCAATGGGAGGAGGATCAGATGCGATGCCGTGGTTCGGGGCACCCCGTGCAGCAACTGTATCCAGCGCAACGACACGGGGTGCTTCTTTCCCACCACTTCGAAGAGAGGACTGTATGCACGAGCAGGGAGTCGGGGCGGCAAGGCTCTCTCCAAAAGATCCAAGGGCGGTCGGCGCAGGGCCCAGCAAGCGTCTGAAGATGTGCCCCCCGAGGAGGCCTCTCCGGTAGAGGTAAACCCGACAGACTTCGAAGAAGAAGAAGCAGCAGCAGCAGCACCGGATAGTGTTGAGAGTCTTGCAGAGCCCCTTTGGGATAGTCAGTCTCTCCTGGCGCCTTCTGCTCGTTCCACCACCGGCTCGACGCTTGCAGAGTCGAATACCGTCGCTTCTTACCGCCAGGACGCCCAGTGGTATTCGCATTTCGGCAATTTTGTCGACAGCCATCGACAACCTCGACCCGGGCCCCTCAACAAGCGCTCCATCACCTACCTGGGCGAAACGTTGCCTCTGGCTCTGGTCCTGCAGGATCTCAAGGGAGGAGTAGGAGGCAGCAAACCGCGACTGCACTATTCTGGTCCTGCTGCGGCGGCTGGAGAGGCAGAAGGACGTTCACCGGACGAGCAACAGCAGGAACAACAGCCTCCTCCTCAGAATCACCGGCATCAGCATCCCAGCCATTTAGCGCCTGAGGATATCGCCTTTCTCGAGGCTAAGCACGCGTTCACGTACCCGGCCCCTGACGTCCTGGACTCCCTCATCTCTGTCTTCCTGGAGCGAGTGGTGCCCATGTACCCCGTGGTCAACCAGCAGGAGTTCCTGCAGCAGTATAAATCGGCCAAGCTCCCGTGTCTTCTCAACCACGCCGTCTGCGTGTCGGCCGCTACCTTCTGTCCGATCGCGGATCTGGTTCGCGCGGGCTTCCCGGATCGGCGCCAGGCCAAATCGACCATGTTCAAGAAGGCCAAGGCCCTGCTCGATACGGGCTACGAAGAGAGCAACATTGTCATCATCCAGAGCCTGATCCTGCTGACCTTCTGCGGCGGAGGCCCCAATAGTCTGTCGAATTACCAAGCTCTACTGAGTATGGCAGTGACCATGGCGGAGAATCTGGGCATCCATCGATCCTTGGAGCGTGTCAACATGAACCCCCAGGACCGGAGCTTGCTCAAGCGACTCTGGTGGACGCTGACGATCCGTGATGCTGCCTGCTGCACCATCACCGGTCGGCCCTTTCGCATCGAGATCAGTCACTCGGATGCGGAAATGCTGACCTTGGATGATTTTGCCCACGACGACGGCCAGCGGCAGAACGTGTATCCCGCATATCAGATCGCCATCTCGAAGCTGTCTCTGATCCTGCGGGAGATCGTGTCTCAACGATGGGACCCCGGTCGACGGAAATCGCCCAAGGAAGACCCGATTGCCCTGTTGACGGACTGGCGACGCAACCTCCCTCCAGAAGTCAGCTTCACCGACAGGGACACCGACCAGCCCGACCCCTTGATCTGCTCGCTGGCCATCTGCTATCACCACCACCGGATCCTGAGCCATCTGGAAGCCATCACCCGGGTTTTCGACGACCACAACCACGGCCACGACGACGGGGAGGACGGCGACACGGCGATGCAGATCGTGGTGACATCGGCGCACAGAATCGCCGCGCTGTCCAGTGCCATCGCCACTCGCTCCAAAGTGCTTCACCTCCCGCACGAGACGTTCCACGGCCTGTGGCTGGCGCAGTTTGTCTTCCTGGCCCAGATGCGCAGCAAACAGCAACTGGTCGTGCACCTGGGCCGCTCGGCCCTCAGCACCTGCCAGCTGGTTCTCCACGAGGTCCTGGACTCGTGGGAACCCGCACAGGGCATCATCCGGCTGTTCAAGGACCTGATGAAGCGCATCGACGAGCGAGCAGCTCTCCCGGATGATCATCATCATTATCATCCGGAGCCGGCGGAGATGCTCTTCCCCTTCGCGACGACGGGCACCGATTCCGACTTTGGCGGCCAGGTGGCCGGTGGCACTGGCAGCGGCAGCACGACCATGACCTTGGGGGGGGAGCTCATCGTCCCCCCCACCGGCATTGGCGAAGCCGCAGATCTCTGGCCGTGCAACTTCATGTACTCGATGCCCTTCTTCCACCTGTCTTACGAAGACGGCGGCGGTGGCGGTGGCGATTTGTTTCGCAACGACGGGCCCGAATGCCTCGGCCTGGACAAATTCTAGGAATTGATTTCATCTTGATCTTGATCCTGATCAATCTAGCAGCCTAGCTACAAAAGAGAGAGATATAGAGAGAGAGAGAGAGAGATACAGCCAGCCAGCCAGTCAGTCCTACCTACGATATATGCTAGAAAGGTTGGAACGAAGGATACCGGCCCCCCTCCGCCTCCTCCGCCAGTAGCTGCCGGTACTGCGCCAGACCGCCGAAGTAGAAGAGCACGGAATGCTTCTTGCCGGGGATGTTGGCACCAAAGATCCACGAGTCTGTCCGTCGGTACAAGCTGTCTTTGCTGAGGTCGTCACAGTGCTGCGTCCACGTGCCCTCGGCCTCTTCTCTGGCTTCGACAATCGGACCACCAACAGCAACAGCGTGCGAGGTGCCATTGGGGCCGTCGTGCGACGGGAGTCCTCCTCCTCCGTGTCGTCGGCGCTCGGCCTCCTGGATGAGATCGGAGATGAACTCCACCTGCGTCTCGATCGTGGGAGGAATGTTGGTGAATGGTCCATTGGGGCCGAGGACCATGAACATGTTGGGGAAACGGGGCACAAACATGCCCAGGTAGCTGGAGGGCCCGGCGGACCAGTGGTCCTTCAGCGTCAGACCCCCTCTGCCGGTGATGGATGCTCGCAGATAGTTCCCGTCGACGGCGTCGAAGCCCGTCGCGCAGATGACCACGTCCAATCCGTACTCTACACCGTCGCTCGTCTTGATCCCCGTCGCCGTGAAGGAGGTGATGGGCGTTTCTTTCAGGCTCACGATGTCGACGTTCTCGCGATTGAACTGCTCGTAGTAGCCGGCGTCACACAGCGGCCGGCGGGCATAGAACTCGGCCGGCGTCAGCTTGCGCGCCTTGTCGGGGTCGTGCACGATGGACGCGATTTTGCGCTTGATGAAGTCGGCCGCGAGCCCGTTGGCCTCCTCGTCCACGGAGATGTCGCCGAAGGTGCCAAATGCGAACCGGAACCCGCCGCCTCGCTGCCACGCCGTCTCGTAGATCTGTTCGCGCTCCTCCGGGCTGACGCTGGCCGTCAGGCGCTCGCTCTCCTCGATGCCGAACGCAAACTTGCTCTTCTTGACCTGTTTCCAGATCTCGTTGTATCTCTTGTTGATGTCCTCGCGGTAGCCGTCGGGGATGGCCGCATCGCCGCTGGGCACGCTGTATTGAGGCGACCGTTGGAAGCACACTAGCTGTTTCACATCCTTCGCGATGGCCGTGATCACTTGGACCCCCGTCGAGCCGTTGCCAATGACCCCGACGCGTTTCCCTCGCAGGTCAACACCCTCTGTCGGCCAGGACCCGGTGTGGTAGATTTGCCCGCGATAAGCCTCTCGATTGGGGAATGGTGGCAGGTTCTGCTTTGACAGGATGCCCAGGGCCGTGACCAGATATCGCGTTTGGTAGATTTTTGAGCTGGTCGAGGACGTCAAGATGTTCCAGCGGCTTGTGACTTCGTCCCACTCGGCACTCACCAGACGGGTATTGAGCTCGATGTCTTTCCCGAGGTCGTGTCTCTTGACCATGTGCTCGAGGTAGGCCAGCACCTCCGGTCCTTGCAGGTAGTGCCGGCTCCAGGGATAGCTCTGAAGGTCGTCCGAGTCCCATGAATATCGATAGAGGTATGCTTCAGTGCTGATGATGATGTATATATGTCATGGTCAGCCCCCAGACGACACAGATTTCGATAGAATGTATCTAAGATCAGCCGCTGGTGCTGGTGCTGGTGCTGGTGCTGCTGCCACTACTCACTCTGACATGGCGCCTGGATAACGATTCCAAAACCACGTCCCACCGACACCACTCCCGGCTTCGATGGCTTTGACCTTCAGTCCCTGGTCGCGGAGCTTCTTCAACTGATAGATGCCACTGAACCCAGCGCCCACGACGAGCGCGTCGACGTGTTCGGTCATCATTTTCAACAACGACAACACGGTTGTGGTAGTGACAGCAGGATGGTCTTGCTGGATTGCTCAAAAATAGATAGATAGATGGGCGTGCATGCTGAAGGTAATAGCATCTTAGGACTGAGGATCGGCAGTCTGATATACACGCATCTTGTCGCACTGGCCGACTCATAGACACCCTGCTCTTCATGGCGTGAGAGCCCCGATAGTGCATGCATCCATCCATCCATCCAGGCACGGGTCCAGTCCATCTGACGGACGGACGTCCTGTGACAGAACGGATCGGCGCGGAGCAATGGTGGTTCACCACAGGCAGCAGAGTTGGCCACAACACGACAAGAGTCTTCACAATCCCGGAGATGTAATAGTTCCAGACACACACCCGCGGCTGTGTGTATGCTCTACATAAGCCCGTGTGCGCAGGCGCGAGCGGGACACACACCCCGGCCACAATTCTGGTCCGGCTGAGAATATTCTCTGCAGACCAGCGAGCGGAAGAGACGATCGATCAGAACGCTTGGGCCGGGATTGACAGGACAACGCGTAGACAGACCGTTTCCATGATATCTCGTCGAGAAGACCAGACCCTCCCTTTAGATAGCGCGGCCCTTCCCCAGCTCTCCTTGTGGCAACTGAGTCCAATGGACCCAAATAGATGGTCTAGGAATTGAGAGGGATGGGCTGCACGATGGGTATCTCTCAAGACTCCTATCGTGCATAGATATTTGTTACATACAAGATGGTGGGGTATGTGGTAGTAGTAGTGGTGGTGGTGGTGGTGGTGGTGGTGACAGTGGTAGTGGTAAACTACCCGATCACAACAAACTCCAGGTGTTTGAGTTGGTTACCCATCTAGCATTCCGCTGCTACTACATAAGTACTTCGGAGTATTTATGTACCCTATGTATGTTCTTTTCGGCATCCCAATTACATACTTACATACACTGGTTGCTCAGCCTTGTGTGTGTGTGTGCCCTCCGTGCGCGTCCTTCAAGCAGGCGAGCTCTGCTTCTTCTCGTTGTCATAAGAGTACTCCTCATGGACAACAACGCCATCGACGCCATCCTGTCCGATCTTGGCCGAGATTTCTGCCTTTGCCGCCGCCATGCTCTGTTTCGCCGCCTGTCGTGCTTCGTTCCAGGTCATGGATTTCCCTCCGTGGAATTTGGCCTCGAACATCTTGTCAATCTCCTCAAGAGACATGGCTGCCGTTTCAATGTAGAAGTACCAAATCACAGGGATGAAGGAGAAGTTCAGAGCGCCAAAGATGATGTAGTACCTCCACCCGATGTTGGCAATGCCTGCGTCACTGTCAGATGTTTGTAACAGCTACGATGGATGGACGGCGACGTACCGGTTGGGGTGATCAAGACAACCACGTAGACGAAGAGCCAATTGGTCAGCATGCCGATAGCTGCTCCAATATTGCGCATCCGATTAGAATTGATCTCCGCGGCGTAGGTGAATGGGACACAAAGGAACGACAAGCCCTGTGGCAGCATTAGTGTTAACCCCCTGGTGGTATCGTGGAAAAGGTCTCAGATTACTCACAAAACCCAGGTGATAGAGGAATATAAAGGCAACCGCCACGCCGTTCGAGGCCCTTGTACCAACCCCCAAGCCGGCGGCTGCGACGGAGAAAGCAGTCCCCTGGATCACAGAACCCAGGAGCAAGAGCTTCTTGCGTCCCCACCGGTCAATCAACACCGCCCCAAACCCACCCCAGATCATCAGTGCGATGAAATCACAGGCGGTCAAGATGAGGGCCAGACGATCGCTGAAATCAAATGAAGTGGTCAAGACCACCGGCATGTACTGTGAATTGTGGTGGTCAGAATGAGCAATATTCAGTTGAAACAAGCACCTACGTAGACGACGACATTGATACCTCCCATCTGCTGCATGAAGTTGAGCCCGGCTCCAAGGGTGATCCGTCGGAAGGTCTGTTGCTCGCCGTTGGAGAAGACCTCGCGCCAACTGACCTCTGCCGCGGATCGTTCATGGGCGATGGTGTCGATCAAGATCTGGAGAAACTGAGACACTTCAGGGTTGGTCGTTTCTTGACCTTCCAGCCGAGCAATCACACGTCGAGCTTCCTCGTGTCGGTCCTTCATGCACAGCCAGCGAGGAGACTCGGGCGTGAACAAGATCAGAAACATGGCCAGCAAGGCGAAGAAGGTCTGAAAGGCGAGAGGGAAGCGCCAGCTGACGTCGTTGTCCGGGACATAAGTGAATCCCAGGTTCATCCAGTTGGTCAGGACAATACCAGAGATGACGATGATGCATTGCAAGGCGATCAGCTTGCCACGGTGCTTGGGGTTGCACGTTTCCGCCTGATACATGGGAATGATGGCCGTCTCGGAGCCAATGCCAAACCCCGCCACGATCCGGCCGACGATCATTTGTGCCAGCGAGAAGGATGATGCTTGGATTGCACTGCCGAGGACGACGAGACCGCAGGCGACGATGATCGCCTTCTTCCTTCCCAGCTTATCACCCGTGTACAGATTGGTGGCGGCGCCCAGGATGCAGCCGAGATCGAAAGTCGAGACGATCTGTCCCTGAATGGTCGGGTTTGGGTTGTTGAATGTGCGTATGAACATGGCGTTACCGAGAAGGCCTCCAAAGACCCCCTGGTCGTAACCGAAGAGCATGAAGGCAACGCCGCACGTCAAGGTGATGCCGGCCTGGAGCCATCGCCCCTGAAGATTGCCCAACCATAACATGGTTTGTTGAGGCAAGACACAAATTGTTCTTTGTTTCGTTGAAGCAGAAATGGTGTCGGTCCTGATGAAATGCAATGAAGCCTTCTTACCACGGCCTCGCGGAGAGCACAGGACTTGAGCATCTTATAGCGCGGTTCCATGAAAGCATAGTGAATCAGACGAGTCCGAAACCTGGACCATTCCTCTGCAGGCTCATCCCGTACATTGAGACCCGCTTCCCCACGGGGTCATGCCTCCCAGGGCAAAGGAAATGAGAAGTGGTCCGTCACCCGGGTACTGTATATACCCGCGGGTATATGGTATCTGTATGCTGGAGGCTGCCTCGCCACGGTTCCGGCTCCGGCTGAACTTGGTTTGGCAAGACGTCAAGTTCAGCTGTTGCTAAACGAACCGATCAAATGAGATATGCCCTAGGTGATGATGGGTCTGTCAGAGTCCAGAACGTTTTCGTAAAGTCCGTCCATCCTTGAGCATAGCCTGCTTTGTACCATCTCCTTTCAGGCATGAACAATGTAACCACAGTAAGTTGCCGTGCCTCGGGGGAGGGCGTTGAAAGGTCTCAACCATGACCGACACAGTTGAGTCAACCTTCAGCTGGTGGGCTCATTCATTAAACCATACATACCACACTCCGTTCAACTCCAAGACTGGTGGTGGCAGCCCTGGGTGCGACAATGGCGCCCTCGCGAGTTGAGAGCATCTCGTTCACATCGTTCTACAATGTCGTCAATGGCGAGTTGCGCTCTTCCAAGACTCAATACCACGCCATTGACCCAACCAACAAGCAGCCAAATTGGCCTGTGCCAGTGGCCTCGCCTCAAGACATAGAGGACGCCGTGGCCGCTGCTAATACTGCCTATGCAGAATGGAGAACCACCAGCTGGGAATATCGCGTGGAATGTATTGCTCGATTTAAAGAGGCAATCGAGGCCTACCGTGCGCAAAAAAGACATCGATAACCGTGGGGTAAAGACTAACTGAAGCAGAGGAGGATCTCATCGGGCTCTTGCTCAAGGAGACTGGCAAACCTCCAATCTTCGCTGCCAATGAGGTGAAGCGGATGTCTAACAGCTTCGATTGGCACATGAAGCTCAAGGAACCTCAAGGTGAAGTGCTGGAATTAGGCAAAAGACACGTTAGACACAAATATGTGCCCTTGGGTGTCGCCGTGGCCATCTGTCCGTGGAATTTCCCTTTCATGCTGAGTCTGGCAAAGATACTGCCCGCCGTGCAGATGGGAAACGCCGTGATCGTCAAGCCGAGTCCATTCACACCGTAAGTCTGGAAGCACAGGCTGTGAGGATAAACGCTAACGTCGAGGGTAAAGATATACCGCACTGAAAATCTCTGAGATTGCCAATCAGGTCTTCCCACCAGGCCTTGTACAAGCCCTGGGAGGCGACGACACACTCGGCCCAGCTTTGGTGGACCACCCGAACGTTCACAAGATCAGTTTTACCGGATCTATTCCCACCGGCAAGCGTATCATGGCTTCTGCAGCACGGACACTCAAACGAGTGACGTTGGAGTTGGGCGGCAACGACCCTGCTATCGTGCTTCCAGATGCCGACGTCACGAAAGTCGCGCCGTTAGTGGCTATGGTGAGACTCTTCCGCGAGTAGTAATTGATAGCTAAACTAACGGGATTAATACCTAGGGCGCCTTCTATAATACAGGACAGGTGTGTGTGGCTTCGAAGCGAATCTACGTTCATTCCTCGCTTTACAACGACTTCCTCGATGCCCTCATCGACGCTACCAAGAGGCTCGAATTCGGGCCGATTCAAAACGAGTTCCAGTATGAGAAGGTCAAGGAGTTCTTCCAGGATGCCGCAAATAAAGGCTATAGATTCGCGCTGGGGTCCGGCGACGTGAGGAAGTCGTCCGGATTCTATATTGCTCCCACCATCATCGACAACCCACCTGATGATAGTAGGGTTGTGCAGGAGGAGCCATTTGGGCCGATTATACCTGTCCAATCCTATAACGATGTTGATGAAGTTATTCATCGGGCCAATGACTCCAAGGCCGGTCTAGGCGCGACGGTGTTTGGAACTGATGATAAGCTCCTTCAAGAGGTTGCCGATAGACTGGAGTGTGGGAGTGTTTGGATCAACAGCTCCCCAGGTGTCACACCAGAGGTCCAATTTGGAGGAATGAAAGAGAGCGGCATCGGGACTGAATTCGGTACACTAGGGATCCTCGCCTATGCCAACATCAAAGCCATCTCCATGACTCGGGTTTGAATCGCCGGGGAAGCGGCCGGGAGCTCTCTCAAGTGGTTGCAACACGTAGGTTTATAGCTATCGCATATTTACCTCTCGTAATCTGCATTTTCTGTCGTGTAATATATCTTCTTCTGCTCCCGTCATTGAGGTCCGAGTAAAGTAGATTGGGGCGACACAGAGACTGTCTGGCCAAAATGTCTGAGTTTGAACCTTCCCACCCATAGACACGAAAGCCAATGAGGCTAACAGCCCAATGATCAGAAAACCAAGTCCACGGGCATTGGTTCATGCGAAGAGCCCGCCTCCGACTTGAGGGCCAGAGGGACAAGGTGAGACCGGCTGTGAGTAGACCAAAACCCAGTAGGTCCACGTGTGTGAGCTTTTGCCAGCAGGAAAAGTCGCCGAGTTGAATGTGTCGTCTGGCCAGCAAGCTAATATGTACTACTAGGTCAGTTGTCTTCACTAAACATTCTTTGATGCTGCGCCAAAGCACTGAACCAACGCCATAGTATCAGACAGAGTACATAATAGCCCGTCGAAATGGAGGCAATTGGACATTAGGCGGAGGTAGACATCAGCCATATCGACGACCGTTAATTTTGATTCGCAACAAAGAGATTCATATACACACAGAACTGTAGGAAGAAAGGGGATCGCGTCAAGACTTGGACAAGGGGTGACATGGATCATCTTCAAAGCGGCGTGGTTTAAGCCTGAGGTGACTTTAGGGCGGCATCACGCTACGCCAAAGGGGGGTTCTTGGCACAGCCTGCTCGATTCCGCTCCTCCACCGAGGGGGAATCGCGGTACAACGATCACGGAAAGCAGTTTCTTCAATTTCCTGACACCATTTGTTCCAGGTCTGTGGGCGCTATCGCAACGCACCGTGTGGTCTAGGAATGGTTCAGGGCAGAAACCAGCCGTATCTGGCGAGGGGCACGCGGACCCGACGACCTCGCAAGAGTGGGCTGAGCTGAGATGCTGACGCAAGACTGTCTCTCTGGTGATGGGGGTTCCCTTGTCCGGATCGAACATCGTCCGTGGACGAGACCGCGACTTGTAAGACAGATCGAGCCCGGAGCAGATTCTACATCGGGTGTGAGAACAGTATCTCAATGGCGTCTCGTCGTCGCCGCGGCCGACATCTGCAAGAGAAATGTCTCAACGCTTACGAGATGCTGGCCTATCAAATTCGGTCAGGCATGCAATGTGGCATGGCGAGTACATGAAAGGGTCGATGTTAGAGCGAACCGAGTCGAAGTTCCCCAAGCAGGATGTGAGGTAGTGCGGCAAGTAGCGATTCCCTCCCAAAATTGGCGTCGACAAAGGGAACGAACTTGAACCATTTGCATGCGTTGCCTGGCAAATCCTCATCGAGGCCTGCGGAGGTTTACGGATCCTAGCAACCCTCAGAGGCTCCTGGAGTATGATTCAGCATTCCGGCTGCCTTTGCGGTTACGTTTCGTTCGCTTCAATGTAGAATGATCGTTGTTGTTTATTACACCCTCGAGTGGAACAATCCCTCCCGCGCATTATCTTGTACCATCCTGCGACATGTCACTTCCGGTGAAACGTGAAGAGTTCGCACGGAGACCTGGGGAAGTATTCTTCGATTGCAGAACAGAGCTTGAAAAGTGCCACTGTCTGGTGTGACCCAAGCCACTGTAACCCGCCGACGAACCGTATGATTCATGATCACATTCAATGCATCGTCACCCAGGTCATGCGCAAAGTATGAGAACGCCGTGCTCCTGCCAACCACTGATGTTTGATACTGCGCAACCTAACAGCACTTGTTGCCCTTGGCATCTGGTGCCCCCGAAGGAGTCATGTCAATCTTCACACCGCCAGTTGGAGCCTGCGCTGCATCGCCGCTGTCGAGAGCCTTACTCGAGACGATCCGATAGATTTCTTCTCCAGGGTCAGCACTCGTCATCAGAGCTTCACTACCATGGCTCACCTGTCAGGATATTCTGAAATGCCAGTTCGACGTTGCTCGCGTCTAGAGCTGAGGTCTCAATGAAGGAGAGGTTGTTTTCACCTGCGCCCCGGTCAGCTCAATGAACCTGGCCGCGGAACCATTGGGAATACGCACTGGCAAATTGTTTGGCTTCTTCTGTGGGAACAGCGCGTAGATGTCGCAGATCACTCTTGTTCCCGACCAGCATGATGACAATGTTGGCATCCGCATGATCCCGCAGCTCCTTCAACCATCTTGTAACATTGTCGTAGGTTTGATGCTTGCTAATGTCGTAGACGAGGAGGGCACCAACGGCTCCTCGGTAGTAGGCAGACGTGATGGCGCGATATCTCTCCTGCCCCGCGGTGTCCCAAATCTGTGCCTTGATTGTCTTCGTATCGACTTGAATGGATCGGGTGGCAAACTCGACGCCGATGGTAGATTTTGAGTCGAGGTTGAATTCGTTGCGAGTGAAGCGACTCAGCAAGTTGGACTTGCCGACGCCTGAGTCTCCGATCAAAACGACCTTGAAGAGAAAGTCGTACTCGTCGTTCGCCATGACGAAGGGGGTTTAAGGCGAATCTTGATCACACACCGGAATATTGGAAGCGGGAGAATACACAACTCGGGCCTGGTCAGCACGAATATGACGAACGGACAAGCGACGGAGAGTCTGATACCGGCCTCAGAAAGGTGCAAGCCACCGGTGCAGTTGGAAGTGCGTTATTGAGGCCCACACGGAGGTTGGATGATTGCAGGGGAGAACAATCCTCAGGGCGCAGCCTGGGAACGATCTTGGCACTCACGTGATAGGGCGCCAAACTTCACGTCACTCGCAGCCTCCGCGTTACTTCGATGAATTCCAAATGATCCTTGATGTGTTTGTTGCCCTTTCAAGAACCAACCATAATCAACGGGAATGCCGTAAACCTGCGTGTGCAAAAAGTGTCTGCTGTGGTGTGAGCTTTCCGTAGCGAGCTGAATCCTTCTGTTTCTTATTCGCGTGGTGGAGGCTATACTAGCCCTGCACTGCTCCCGCTTATACCGATGATTGGCTTCAGTGCTAGAATTCATTCGGAATTACATCCTATTTGCATTCCAGCTTCGTGGGCTGAAGCGCGACATGTCGGACTCCGACTCCGACAGTGCGACATCGGCGGACGAGTCAGTGGCCTACGTCGAGAGGCTGCTCTATCAGTCTGAGGGCAATGGCAGGCCCTTGTATCTCGTTAAGTGGTCGGGATATGGTATTGAGCGATGTACTTGGGAGCCTGCTGAGAGCTTTATAGACCCGTCAATTCTCGTTGGGTGGGAGATGCAGCGCGAGGCTGGCGATGTTCTGGACGAGAACACACTTGCAACTGTCCAAGCGCGAATGGACGCTTATGAAAAAAAAGAAGCCCGGAAAAGATGTCGGAAGGAATTTGAACGAGCATCCGGTCGGCCGCCAAAGTCTAACCCACCAGGAGTCAAGCGACCACGAGCATCTCGTTCACCAAGCATAAAGGTGGAAGCTCCAGAAACATCCGGAGTGAAGGAGACACAAACCGCAGAACAGCCACGTTCACCAAACCCTCCAGTGGCCCAAGCAGGCTCCGCCCAGGTGACATCGACGCAAGTCGATTCATACCAGCCGTCCGCAACGACAGTGGATCCAAAACCCAATATCACGCCTCCTGTTCCTCTACCGCTGGCGCAAGGCGAGGGTGCTCCACGCCCGATCACGACCGCAAAGCAGGGAGGAAATATTCAAACCAATCAAGATCCCAAGCCAACAAAATCTTATGTGACCCCGGGCCCCGGACTCAACCAGAATACGCTAAGGGGACCGAACACGTCGGCTGCTGGAAAACAGCAAGGGAATGCTCAAGCTGCGCCGATGGCAACATATACCGGAAAAGGCAAGGCAGGGCAGATGTTCAAAAATATGAGAGAACAGAATCGATATACCAAACTTGCAAGTCGAGAACCCGCACCAGATATCTCAAAACTGGATCTCAGAGAAGCAGACGCATGGCCTGTGTCCGGACTCGCTGAGCCCGCATCCAAAATTCATGGCCCGAGTCCAAAAGATGGCCGCGGCAGTTCTCCCCTGTTCTTCTCAGAGGATGAGACGGAACTGCCTCAGACAGACAATCAGGAGACACGGGGAGAAGCCTGCAAGAGTCCTCGCCAGAGCGTACCTGGCGAACCCCCTCTGCGGGCCACGGAAGCAGCACCGAGCATTCCGCTAGCGTCCCTGGCACCAGATAAATCAGCTGCAAACTGGGGCTCATCGCAGTGGCCTATTAGAAACATGATTACTGACACGCGACCGATTTCTATCAAGAGCAAGTCCCGCCGTTCTATGTCGTCTACGGCACTACGAACACCATTCGCTGAGAGACGGCCGTCTCCCTCCCGGCCACGCTCGACCAGCGCCCATGATTATGATGATGTCGGTGGGCCTTCAACACGCGTACAAATTCCTTCCAGCCATAGTCCCCCCAAAGCCTCTACGACTTCAAGTGCTCAAAAGTCTAGGTGGCCGGTTAAGGGGTCCCCAAATCACGAACTGCCCACTAATCTTGATGTTTATCTACTATATGGACACTACGATGTAGGTTTGGTGACATTGGCCGGTATACCACCGTGGTTATCTCGCAAACTCGGGAAAACCACCGGCGGACGTCATCCGACAATCGCCTTCAAAAAGCACTGGATGATGAATGGAGCAGAATTTTCTGACTTTTCCGCAGACAAGGTATGTTTGAAGCCCTGCCATTTGGCAATCTGCACTATTGACGGTCGAAGCTACATATTCAGGAGCACGGGACGTTCCCAATCCAGGCGCGGGATGATGCGCGGCGAGCAGTCGAAAGGCTTTGCAAAGACATGAAAGATAACGACTTGATTGCCGTGTGGGAGTATTTACCCCATGACAGTCTCGTCCTGGTTCTGTCATGGAAAGACTCCAGCGCCGAGAATGTCAATGAATTTGAAACTCCTTTGAGGATTTCTCTCCGCAATAAGCGACCTGGGATCTATCTGGGGAATCACCCAGGAGCGGTCGACTATCGACAACACCCAAGTGGCGAACGGGATACGCGGTTCCCAGGAGCTATACCAAAATCCGCGCAACCTCTACCTCGATCAGCCGTAGCAGAGGACGCAGGCGTGTACACACAGAGCCCATTCAAACCATCGGCACCAACACGAACAATGACGTTGGCGAAGTGGCCCTCGGCGTCGGCGCACTCCCAAGTACAGAGCCCAGTCAACTCTCTCACATCAGCACCAGGAGCAGCAACGATACTAGCAAACACACCTGCGGTAGAGAGATCACCATCCTCGGCCAATGACAATACATTGCCTGGTGGTGTGGATAGATCAAGGCACGAGCTATGGGTGATGATATGCTTCGGGAAGTCTAACCCAGTCGATGCTGAAGCTGTGAGACAATGGCTGTGTACGCACAATCGCCCGTACCGAGTTTTCATAGACACGGAGAAGAACGGCTGGGACAAGTTTCGGGACGGCATCTCCAGCAAGGACAGCGCTATCCTATTTCACGAGATGCACAGAGCATACTGCGATCTCCCGCTTTTCCACAAAGTACTCGAACGACAACATCTTTCCTGTTACGAGGTCCCGTCCCAAAGCCCGTTGGGAAAGCTGAAAGAGCCCAAACTTGGTCAGGAAGGGGGGTGGACGAAACTCTTTCCACGGGGATCAGTATTTTGCATCACTGAAGACACTTTGAATCGTCATCTGCAGGACGTGTTATGGTTCATGACGTGGTTCGAATACCGATCCAGGAAGGAGACATTGAGGCTCGCCCTTCCTCCGGACATCTCTTCCTGGCTCTTACGAAGGGCGAAGGACAACGTCGGTGGTAAAATATCAGATAAGTACGTTTCGCCATTTGTTAATCGTCTGCAGTTCTCACGTCCACTAGGTACATTAACATTGTTCAATCTGTCCACCGACTAAGAGCGCGGTCCTCGGAGGTGTCCTGGAGCAACACAAGTCGTCGTGATGACCCTGATGAATTTGTCCACGCCCGGCCCTGGGATCATAGCTCCGAGATCATTCAGTCACCCCCGCCTTCACCCTTCTTTGGCGATTGGGATCGTGCTGACTTCGGTCACGAGGCTGTGAGGGCGCGGGATAAGAGCTTGATCAAATGGTTCGTCGGGTGGGCGGCAGCGAATTCCCCGCTCTACCGGAAGTTCTTTGTCCTCGATGCAACCCACGACAATGGGACAGAAAATCATTCATGGCACATCAGCTTCCGACACATCACTTCGTGGAAGCAAGATATCGATCGAATAGAACAACGCGAGCATGAAATTTCCACTTTCTCGCAGACTTGGTGATGTGCAGACGGGGCCATTGTCCTTAGTCCGACAAGGAGCGGCCCTGAACCTATCTATATTCTGGGCGGTGTACCTGCCAGCCAACTACTCCATCGTTCCAAGAGCTGGAAGATGGGCCAGAGTGGAAAGGCTTGGGTTATGATGTGGACGTCCTCATCCTAGCATGTAATGATATAGGCGGTACGCGACTTGGTGACTTGAGGAGCAAGCAACGACAATTTCTAGGACGCATGGATTGGGTTGAGAATCAATGTGTTGTAGTGTATACCAAGTTTCCCGAAGGGGGGATGATTGGCGTTGCATCTGCTAGTACAGTGGTATCTCATCGGCCGTCCAAATCTGGTCTCCCGTTTTCGTTGGAAAGACACATTAGATATCGTAAATTCCTCACTGATCCCTTTCTCTCTCTCCCTTGTGCACGTGGTGGTTGGTCCTCCGGCTTTGAGATACCACATTTCCAGCTAGTCTGCCAGCTGGCTACACAAGAAAGACTGGGAAGTCATGTGATTTTTTTTTTTAAAAACAAAGGTTTCCACATCAAGCGTATTGATGCTATGTACCCTCAAGCTGATACTGAGAGTTTCGCGCGATCAGCGACTTATAGTAGTCCACCAAGACCTCCGGTTTCGGTACGATGCGCCACTCCATCCGGGTAAGGAATTCCAGTTCCAGCAGCGCGAGTTCCTTCATGCTCACGCCGCCCACCCTGGCGTACGTTTTGTTAGTCCAAAAGGAGTCGCTCAAACCTTTGCTTGCAACCGTCGCGCTTGTTATCAAGAATCGATGTACCGTGAGGGAGCTGATGGTGAAAGCCGGATAAAGCGCACAGAGGCGGTCGATGTAATAGACGACGCTGAGCAGTATAGGTGGAGATAAGGTGGCGTGAGTGGTCAATCGTTGAAGGTAGTCCAGAACCGAAATGCCTGGAGGAGCTCGTGAGTGAAAGCGGGTCAGCTGGCCTTCTCGCAGGGGAATGGCATCGTTGTAGCGGATGAGCTCCATCAACATCGAGGATATCAATAACACCAAATCCCGGGTGTTGCAGGTCTCATATCGTAGGGGCATTATTCGTACCGGTGGGGCATCCGGACGTGCCTTTTTCACGGGGGATTGCTGTGTGCTCTGCGCCTCTTCAGACTCGACCCCGTTTGTGCGGACTTCTGGCTCGGCAGGGGGTTCAGCGGCCATTCTCTTCGTGTGGCCTAAACTCGAGGAACTCTCCGGTTGGGGAGGATTAGTAGCTGTGCCATCACGTCGCTTAGCGGCTGAGGGGAGGGGAGCCGTGGAGGGTGGTTGCTCCTCGCCTTCCGACAGGTGCAGGCCTGCAATTGTACTGGTCGGAGTCTTTTCAGCTTTCTGTTGGTTTGGTGGCGAGTATTGTGTCGCGGCATCAACCATTTTCGCGCGGGGTTGAGGCCGGGGAGAGTATTTGTAGCGATCGAGAGACCGCGTACTAGGTATCCTGTGGGGCTTGTGAAGGTCCAGATCGTGAGAGGGAGGCCGTTTTCGGGTTGTGTTGGCCTGTTCCACCGTGGTAGTGCGAGGGTTGACAGGCTTAATCGTCGAGTGGTCATACTGGGGCCGACTCGAGGAGGCGTATACGACAACACCCGACTCAAGGGCGGTCTTTGGTGGGAGATTAGGGGATGGGGATGTTGCTAGCATATTCAAAGAACCTCGACATCGGAAGGGGAACCCGGCGCTGAGAGCTGTTCATGGACGTAGGATGTATCGCATGGGGTGGTTTTCAGAAGTCAGTCAAGACTGAGGCGACGGCAAGGATACGGAGGGCGCAGGTGGTTGCAACCGACGACGGACGGCGAGGGAGATGGCGCAGGCAGAATGTTCAGGTAACAATACGACTTGATGATAAGTCTAGTCCCAGGGGAGAAGAACGAAGGATCACGCAGGCAAGGTGCATGTGTGGGAATTAATATAGTAAAACTGCATCTGGGAACGTGGGCAATCAGCTCATGGATGATGAGAACCCAGCAAGAGATCGGCGCTGGCACGAGGCGACGCCAAAGAAGCGCATTTGTCCAGATTTTCCCAGCCCAACGGCCCATCTGAACTTCGCTAGGCACTGACTGGGGGCCAGGGGGGTTTTGCTTGGAGCACCAATGAAGGGTGCAGGGGCCGGTGGAAAAGTGGACTGGTCTGACCAAGCCTCGCTTTTCGTGCCGTCATAATCATCTGGGCGTGGTTGGGAGTCAACTGACCACGTCAGACTGCGCTTTTTTCCACTCGCGGTCTGAGCAACGAATGACATGCTTCAACCCACCCGGAATATTCAGCCGGTGATATATCACCAATAATAATACCATCGTCTACACACCACCCAAGGTCTATCGCTGCCGTCTCTCGCCAATCATCTTATCGGTCTTTCTCCGCTTCCTGTAGACCTCATCCGACCCAAACAATTTCTGCCACACCGTCCCCCACACACCGACCCCATATCCTTACAACGACACTTGCTCGCATGCTCGACTGCAGGTAGATCGAGTCTGTTGTTCATGTCCTCCTCCTTCATCGCATGGCATCGCGCGGGCTTGCACGATCTGCTTTGCAGGACCTCACTGCCGCAGAGGGCCCTTCAGCCAGCTTGCAAGCCTTGAGGAGAATCAAATGTGACTTGACCGGGCATGTCTCGCGCAAGATCGAATACATCCAGAATGGCCTCATCCCCCAGCTCTCAAAGATCCTGGCCGATGTTGCCACCCAGCAAGCTGCCCTGCCTGCAGGGGACACACATCTCGAGCAGGAGGAGTTGTTGACCGCCCAGGCTGCCCAGATTCTTTGTGTCATTGCCCACGGTCAGTGCGGCCTGTCTTGTTGCTGCCTGATGTGATGCTAATTCTGCTGAACAACAGAGGGACCCTCCTTTGTACAACCGCTCCTTCAGACCGAAGTCCTGCAAAGACTAGTGTCTTTCCTTCCCCTCCAGCTCGCTCCGAGAACCCGCCTCGCGATCCTGAGGTGTCTCAATGCTGTCGCCGATAATCTTCCCCCCGCGACCCCGGGCACTTGGCCCCAAAGTCCCAAACTCGCCGATCTCCTGTACTCAAAGAGATATATACAATGCTTTGGGACCATAATTGGAAATGCCGATGCGACCCTCTCGTCTCAACAGGCCTGTGATTCTATGTTGGCCCTTCTGTGCAAGACCGTGACGCATGAGGCTCAGAAACGTGCATTGAGCGAGACAGGTGTCTTGACCCTGCTTTCAACCCGCGTGGCATCATTTGTCGTGGCTGAAGGACTCGTCCCGCCCAGCCCAGAGGCTTTAGATGGCGATGGTAATATCCCAACCGGGCTTCCGGAGCCAGCACCTCCGTGTGCCCACCTGTCTCCAGTTCTAGAGGCGCTATGCGTGTTGTTAGAGGGCTCCGAATCAAGGACGAAGGCATTCTTGGCGGATCCTACTATCAAGGCCGTCCTTCCTGACCTTAGGGACGACTTCTCACCATCAGATATCCGACGGGCGCCATGGGGAGCCAGCTATTTTTCTGGCGCCGCAGTCCCGCGCTCACGACTGCACGGACCTTTCGATTCTCTTCTACCGATCGCACCAATATCCGAAAAGGCCAATGCTGCACAGCCCGGCTTTCCTCCACTCAGCTCGGTCACGGCCATGCCCAAACGCAGACCGTCTTTTCTCCCCACAGCGACCGGAGTACCAAATCTCAACCTCAGTCAAGGCGCTGTGGAGGATGTCGAAGAAAGCGCCATCATTTCGTGGCTGTTATACGTCGTTCGGGAGTCGCGCGGAAAACGCCGCCTTCTTGCGGCGAGATTACTGGTCAACCTTCACAGCCTTGGTTTCGTTAAGACGGATCGTGGATCGTCATTTGCGTCTTTGTTGGTGCCGCTCTTGACACCGATGCTCGTTCCACATACAGCGCGAGTTGAGACATGTCAACCCAGCCAGACGCATCTTTGTACTGGCATGCATTACACAGAGGCAGCTCCTGCAGTGGTAGCTGCGCTCATAATGGACGATCGCGAGATGCAGAAAGTGGCCGTCGAGGGCAAGGCGATTGTCACTCTGTCCCTTGGTCTGAAAATGACCTTCGAAGCCCCTTCAGGTCGCAAACTATCGCCCTGGCGCCCCCACAAACCGGACAAGACGGAGACGGACTCAACGACCCCTGGTACGAGCATCGGTCCTGGTGGACCAACTTGGACAGCCAGAAAGGATATGCGCTATCGAGAAGGCTGTTTGAAAGCACTCGCAGCTATTGCACCATTCGAGGAGGACTACCGTGAACAAATTTGCAACGAGAATGTTTTGCCATATATTATTCAGGCTTTGGAGCCTTGTGAGGCTCAAGATGGCTCGCACCAGGAAATCGAGGTGGCGGGAAATTCAGCTTCCGTAATATTGGCTGCATGCGCAGCTGTTCGAGCATTAGGAAGGTCTGTCCGGGCGCTACGCACGAAGCTCATTGAGGCGGAGGTTGCCAAACCGATCCTGAGGCTGATGAATTCGACGAATCCAGAGCTGAGAATAGCGGCCACAAAGGTTCTCACCAACTTAGCCATGGACTTCAGTGCAGTCAAAGAGAGCGTGGGGGAATCGACGGTGGTGAAGAAGTTGTGCGAGCAAGCCCATTCGGCCAGCGCTCGGCTTCGACACGAGTCACTGTGGGCTTTGAAACAACTGGTGCTCAATGCCAACAAGAAGCTCAAACAAGAGGTCGTGGACGAGTTAGGCTGCAGCTGGATCAAGCTTCTGATCAAGACGGATCCTATCGACATCCCGGAAGGCGAAGTGATTGGACTTGTGGAGAGAGACTACCCTCCCATCACAGCATACAGACGTTTTGCCGCCTCAGCGGACAACCCCCAAGATGTCGTCATGGGCGAGGACTCGGAGCAGGATGGCGAGAATGAGGTAGACGGGAGCGGAGTTTCTGACACAATATCCGAGACCGCTGGTGGCTTTGATACCAAGCACAGCGTGGACGACGACATCCAGATTCAAGCACAGCTCCTGGATCTTCTTCGAAACCTTTTCTGCGGCGACAACGCTTCTGACCTAGTTGCATATGTCATAGATGAAATGGGGCAGGACGACTTTTTCCGGATCATGCTCGATCGACTACGGCCACGGACGCTGGCTGGACCTACGCGGAAGGAGAATTACACCACACCACCACCGAATATAATTGTTGTGAAGGTTTTATTCGTCTTGGTACATATTGCTGCGTGCAACCCCAAGTGGCGGAATGTGATAGCCTCCCAACACGCTCTTCTCAAGCAAATCCTGACCTTCTGCAACCACGCCGACCGAGACATTCGCTCGACTTGCTGTTGGATCGCCATCAACTTGACGTACGAGGACGACGCGAATGATCGAGCAGGATGCCGGCACCGAGCCATTGAGTTACAGAAGGTCGGCTTCGTCTCGCACCTGAGGAAGATGGAAACGGACCTTGATCTGGACGTGCGAGAGCGGGCAAAGACGGCCTTGCACCTGATGACGAACTGAAGTTGATAGCATAGAACGGCTTTCACCCTGACCGCAAAGACTGCGAGGTCTGTGTTGCAGCATGGAGGCAGGCATCTGGCCGGCGATTGTGCGAGATTTTATCAGCATTTTTATTCCGTTCTGCCCGGGAACTAAACCTCGACCACCTACCAGTCTGGACACGGACGCGGACACTCGAATCCTGAAGAAGCTCTCATTCAGTCGTGCTCGATGCGTTCTTCCTAAACCCCTGGAGAGGTTTGCCTTGACTTTGGGAGCGCAAATGACTATTTGGTGACGCTTCGGTGTCACCTTGTTCCCCACAAAACGTATCTTGGTTCAGACGTGGGCTCTTCATACACTGTTATTGTTATCATTAGCGAATTTCTCGTGTTACCGGGCTTGTGTATGTGGTGATGACTCGATCGAACCAAGTCGACCCGCTCGGGTAAGCCCAGTTGGTATAGAGGAACGTGCGGAAGATGGGGCGGTAATGTTTCCAGCCGGATGATGCGTTCCAGCCCCTCTCCTTAGAGATATTGACGTGTTCGGCGAGACGGCGCTGAAACCAAGTCACTTTCGGCGACATGCCCTTTCGTTCTTCTTCAAAGGCCCCCAGGAAGTACAGCCACGCGTGCGCCTCGCCGTACCGCCGCCGCTCGTCGTCGGTGGCCACCATCGCGACCTGCCGCATCACGGCTCTCAAATGTCGTATGATCTCCGGGGACGAGTCGCGAATGTCCTGGCCGTTGATCTTTGTCTCGTGGCCCAGGATGCGCACGTAGTACAGGAGCCCCAGCGCCAGGCCAATCTGTGTCAGACGCTGGCCCGGTGCGAGCACTTGCTGCGTCCCTCCGTCATGAGGTGACGAACGATTCCCCCCGCGGTAGTCAAAGTAGATCTGGAGCAGTTTCGACATGGTGTACTCGCTCTGCGTGGCGAACCAGGCGAACGCCAGCTGGCGGTGCTCCACGGGGCCCCACGCCTCGTCGGCCACTTGCAGTCCGTCCTCGCAGTACGCGGCCTGGTGGAGCGAATTGATGAATATCTCGCGCAGCTCAGGTAACTCGATTGCCGGATTGATGTTGACAAAGACGGCCTCGGGGATCGGCGGGAGGATGTGTTCGGCCATGGTCCAGATTGGCTCGACGATCGTTCGGTACCAGTCTGGATCGAAATAGGTGCGGCGCATAAACTTGGTCGCATCGTCGCAATCGGCGTTGATGGCTTGGATGATGGTCAAGTGGTCAACAAAACCGTCGTTGAACCCTTGCATGATGCTTTGAGCCAGGACCTTGCCGTGCACTGCGACTGAGGATTTGTTTTCTGAGAAGACGGCGGCGCGGAACAACCAGAAGACGTGTCTGATGAGGCTCGAGTCTCGGAGCAGGGCACTTTTGCCGTCAGTGCTGGGTAGCTTGTCCAGAGATATTCGCAACAAGTGTGAGCTCTTGGTGGTGTAGATCAGAGCTTCGCGGCCGACTTTGAGTCGGCCTTCCTCCGGCAGCAGAGGCGCCATGTTGCTGAGGAAGCTCGCGATACAGGCCATGGCCTGCCCTTCAGAGTTTAGGCTGTTTGCCGCCGTGCCCCAGTCTTGTCGCGCGGTCTGCGCGGGCAACCAGGTGCTGTCTTGGAGCACGTTGATCGGCCCGTGGGCGGTGCCATAGAGGCGACGGAAGAAGGTGTTGTAGTAGATGCTCGGGTACAGCGCCTCGCGCATGAACGTCAAACACTGATTCACCAGCGGCGTGATGACGATCGGGAGCATGGCGAAGGGGTCCGAGTTACCATTGAGCACCAGCGGCGAGGGGGGCGTCAGCTCTCTTTCTTCGTCGGACGAGCTCGAGCTCGAGCTCGAGCTGCTGGAAGACTTGGAGCTCGCATTGGAGCTACCTGCTGGGTCTTGCTTTCGTACGTTCAGTCTGTAAAGGGCTTGTGTTTCTGGAAGTGAATATCGGGTAGGGCGTTTGGTAGGCTGATTCTTGTTCGCAGTCTTGTTGGCCCTTTGCGCCGATTTCAGGTGACCAATTCGAGCAGCATGAGCGCGTCGTTCTCGGGCACTTAAGCCAATGCCCTGTTCCTCCTGGTCTGGGTCCCCCTGGAAGACGATCTTGAGGCCAGCCTCTGCCATACCGTGCTCATTCACCCCTGGATGGAAACCCACGGTCTAAAATTCAACGATATACACACAGCTTCATCTTATCTCACCTCTGTCCACTCCTAGGGAGGTCTGTACATAAATCATGAAGGGGGCGCCTCGGTCGGCGAGGCACTTGGCACGTCCTTACCTTGGAAAAATTGGGTTAGGTGGGGGCTAACACATACTGTAGTGATAGGATCCATTGGCATTTGTCAAGATCGAAGCGTGCGGCATAATGCGCGCGGCTTTACGCAGTCCGACGGCCACATTCCTAGTAGGGACTGGCGCCATTATTGGCTGCGGTCGACTGTGGTGACTGATGTCTCCGACTGACCTCTGAAAGCAGAATGTGGGTGCCAGAGAACGCACAAAAACGCGTCCAGACCCGTCTGCTCTATGCAGCAGGTGCCTTGGGCTGCGTTTCATTGGACGATGATGATGGAATCAGCGACTGAAGATAAGTAAACACAGCGTTCTATGGTCAATCTCCGTGTCCCTCTATACTGAATCGCGATATTTGACGTCGAACAGTGCGGAGTCGCCCGATCAATACCTGTTCATCTCTTACCTCTAGTATTAGCTTCTGCATTCAAGATGTTTAAACCTTTTGGGCGATCATGGAACTCTTTTTCAAGAGACACCCCCTTCCGAGGTTCGTATACTTTGTTCATCAGCCCTATCAGACAGAGTGCAAGTTGCAATCTGTCGCCGGGTTCATGACCAGGTCTGAAGGATGCACGACGAAGGGCAGAATGAGTTAAAGAGCGACGCAACAAAAGAACAAAGGACTGATAAAGTCAGCGGCGTTGATGGAGCCCCGCTGTCTACGCTAACCCGTATACGGAGCGAAGCCAGCGTTATTAGTCATCGCCAAAACTCCGCAGAAACGTCAACCAGCCGAGGCCGCAGGCTTGGCGTTGCTCGTTGTTGTTTTACGCCGTGTTGACCAGTCTACAGTACACAGTACTCGGTCTACACGACAAGCCCCTTCCCTGTGACTATTAGCAGCAATATCCTTCAGCATAACACCATGGCGTCGTCAAAAAGGAGCTATTCTCGACCCATGCTGCGAAAGATCCTCAAAGCCCATTCCAGGAAGAGGGTCGGCGCAGATGTCGATCCATTGGTTTACCTCAACTACATCCTGTTTATGGAAGAGTGCGTCCAACACTGCACCGCCATTGACGATCAGCTCACTGACACTAGACCTAACCCAGGCTCATGCAGACGGCGACTCGCAAAGCACGCTCGGAAGGAAACAAAACTGTTACAGCGAAGGATATCAGGAAAGTCACCTTGGTACGTTCCAAAGGCTGTGGTGAGGGCAGAAGAATATGAGACAAATACTGATTGTTGTGGCAGACGACTTTACGGCGATTCAAGGGCTGAGCCATCAAGTTTTACCACCACAACACTCTCGAGAGACACGACCGATAGCCAAGGCACCCCCTTCTCAAGTCACCATTTGACCCGGAGGACACGTCCTGCTGAAGGACTTCCACGCAAACAGAAGCTGTAAAAGGTCAACGGAAGGAATGAATAGAGGGGTTGGAAGCAAATTGGCCGAACAGACCTGATCTACAAAGGTCGCAGAAGCAATCCGGCAACGACGAAGCTCTTCAAGATGCTCGTCTGCCGCAGAGACAGCCAGACAACACTGTCACAGCTTGGATGACTCTGCCTGTCGGACGGCCTGTGATATGAGCAGGATAGGGACAAGTTTGCCGGCCCCTTTGTGGTGCTACATCCGTCCAAGTTGAGATGAGTCTGTGCAGCAGACGGAAGACGCCAGACGGCTCTTGGAGATGGATGAGTCACTCTATGAGATTGGACAGTCAGAAGTGGTAGACATTGGAACCTGAAAAAGATGTACAGAGCACTTGTAAACTGCAGTCTTGCCTTGTAGAAGAAGATTTTGGAGCCTGGCCAAAGGGCGGCTTGGTCAATGATTTGGACTGTTGCTTGGCGGGTCCGGGACTATTTCATTTCGTTTTGTCGAGAGCCTCACGCGAGCACACACGCTGCCACAACCATCCCAATTCTCGTTTCCCCTTGACTGCAGCTTTATCGCTCTATTCAAGCTTGTACCGTATCCTCACCTCCCTTCAACTATTATTCAGCCTCTAGCCACCCGACCAACAGCAACCACCTTGTCTCAAACCCAGGCATTGCTCTCTCCCGTCCCGCATCTCAATCCTCAATCCAATAGCTCTGCCCTTACCTGATCAACATGTCGACTTCTGGCAGTGTCCCCGTCGAATCCAAGACTGCGAAGAAGCGCAAAGCCAAAACCGAAGCTGTCGGTGCTAATGGTGGTGCGGTGACTCCCACGGTCGAAACTGCTGTTCCAACCACCGAAACCCATCCTACTACGAACGGTGTCGACGCACACGGCGAGAGCCCATTCATCAAAGAACTGACAAAGTAGCTCACCTCCAACTGGACTGACGAGATGAAGCACATGCTGACCATTCTTGATCAGGAATATCCGCAACTTGCATAAGAAGATTGCTGCCTCCGCCAAAGCTGACGCCGTCATCAGCGAAAACCCCAACGTCTCCCTCGATGACCTTGTTGCACAAAAGAAGCTCAATGCCGACCAGAAAGCCCAGATCTTGAAAAAGCCCGCCCTCCAAAACCAGGTCGCCCAACTCGAAGAACAGCTCTCCCACTTCCGCGCTTTTGCCCAGGAACTTGAAGAGAAAGCCGCCAAAGAGAAGTCGAAGCTGATCGAAGCACACGAGGCCGAGATTGCCACTGTCAAGGAGAAGGCGCTGCAAGAGATTGAGGATATCAAGTCAAAGGCGGTCGAAGATGGACTACGAGTCATCACACACTTTTTGCACACTGCCGCGTCCAAGCGCCAGTCTGAGGAGGCGGATACGGAAGAGGGTCGTGCCTTTGAAGGCGCCCTCCTCCTGGTCTATCAAGGGAACGAGTCGTCACTTTCAACACTGCAGAGTCTCATCTATGGTACCGACGACAAAGTCCCAGACGTCCACGGCGAGCTTCTCGACTTCACTTTCGCACAGATCAAAGAGTCTTCCTTGCAGAGTGCCCCGGATGCATTGCCGGGCACGGAGCCAGAAGTTGAAGACGAGGCTGAGGAGAAAGAGGCTGCTACTGTTGCAGCGGAACTGGGGGTCGACAACACGGTGGCAAATGCTGGTCTAACTGAACTTGACGATGCCGCTGCCATCCAGACTGACGAGACTGTGAATGAAATTGCTGAGCCTGAGGTTGCTCCCTCTGTCCCAGAACAATCCACGACTGGAGACGAAGCTGCCAACGCCGTCGGCGAGGCATGGGACCCACAGGCATCCATGGTGACCGATACTAGTGCCACCAACGAAGAATGGGTACAAGTGCCCCGTGTTCCTGCGGAGACTGACACGGGCCTTGCCGCTACTCCTGCCGCAGTTCAATCCAACAGTTGGGCTGAAGAAGTCGGTGCTGCTGCCATCACTGCTGAGGAGAAGCCCGCTCAGGAGAACGATGGATTCGAGCAGGTGCGTCGTGAACGTGAGCGTGGTCGTGGCCGGGGTGGACGTGGTGGACGCGGCGAGTTTAGAGGACGCGGTCGCGGAGGGCGAGGAGATGGCCATCGCGGCGGCGGAGGTCGGGGAGGACCGAAAGGAGGCCGCGGTGGAGGAGCTCCTCGAGGCGAGAACAAGAGCTAGATATCTTGTTGATTCTACTCCTCGCTTCAAGTTGTGAGAGACACTAGGCTTTGGGATGGATGATCCCGTGCGGGGTTGTGTGACCTTTGCATTTCTTGAATCTCATGGCCAGGACTGGTTTTCCATTTCGAGTCAGGGGAGGGTGGGAATGGAGATGGTTGTGATATTGGCGTCCATCGAGTTTTAACCCATCCAGCGATATCGATTCCAGCATTGCATGAAGCGTTTGAAACATGGAAAAGCGGATGTCCCAGGGGGTATGAACCAAAAGCAGCAAAATGTGGTGGAACATGTGAGAGTAATGGACAGAGAAAGAAAGAAAAAATTCCAGGGGGGACCAGGAGGGGATCTTGAGGAAGCATGGGCTGGACGGACTCTTCTGTGTGTTGTTGTCATGTACACTACCTAAGGGGTTCTGATGATCGCTGTTTTCCTGGGAGAAGAAAAAAAAGCCGTCATTCACCACAAACAAATGTGTCGAAGAAAAGGGAAAAAATGTATCGGAGGTGAATCGAGGTGGAGAATGAATGTGCTTGGAAAGGAAAGGAAAGGGAAGAGAAGGGAAGGGAAGAAAAAGAATCAAAATCAAAATCAAAATCAACAAAGGAGAGCAGGTGGATGATATGATATGGTGGGTGTACTGAGAGACAGAGAGGAGGAGACGAGAGCACATTGAGCTATGCTATGCTACACAATAGCTAGCTATCTACGTAGCGAGCCAGTTAGCCAGTTAGCCAGTTCAGCTGTCTGCTGTCTGCCATCTGCTATCTGCTGTCTGCCATCATCAATCACCCGGAAATGTGAAACAATGACCTCCCCCGTTCTCTCTCTCTAAGAAAACAGGCTGCGTATGCAGGTTTCAGTCAGATATTGAGTGACGATGCACACTTTCTATGTCGGTGTAGCCGCTGGTGGAATCGGCTCTGTTGTTATGGCCATTAATCTCACCGGCCGGTTATGGCTGTATGTCTGTATGTACAGTGCACTGCAGTCAGTCAGTCCGTCCATCGCAGGCTACATTGAAGAGTCTTGGTTCATGACGGCGGGGTTGTTCAAGCCAGGCGGGTCTGGTTTCCCTCATTCCGGCGTTGACATCTGTGAAAACAGGCCTCTTTCTTGCATAGACGATCCCAGATCCCCAATCTGCGTCGAAGGTGGTGATGGTGGCGGCGGAGGCAGCTTTGTCAATTTGCTCTGGGTTTTGTGAGTTACGAGAAGGGATCAGAGCGACATCACATCGCATCACATCACCTCTCTTCTCTCCTCAAGAGGGGTGGGCGTCGTATGCCAGATCCTGCACGCGCACCACGCCACTGGCCCAGCCCATGGCTACGATACCGGCACAGGAGGCGTTGGGGTTCCACTCGAGCGCGGTGACGGCCTGCTCTTCTTCGAAGACGGCCTCGCCCACGCCTGTGGCCCCCGCGTCGGCGGTGGCAGTCGTCTTCTTCTTCTTCTTCCTCGTTGGCCGCGAGTTGTTCTTCTTCGTCGTCGGGGGCAGGATGTTCGCGACCTCGATCTTCTCCGGCTTGAAGCCCTCGTGGAAGCGCGACATGCCCAGCCGGGCGTCGTGGCCATGGTAGATGTCGGCGGGGGGTTGTGCATCTTCCTCGTCGATTGTTTCGGCACCAGCCGGTGATGCGTCTTCTCCGTGTCTTCTTCTCCGCTCCTGCGGCGTGAGCGGTCGCCAATCGTACTCGCAGATCTTTTGCATGTATGCGCCCACGGCTTTCTTGGGATCCGATCTGCGGTAGGGGAGCACTTTGCGCAGATAGTTCGTCGCCAGGACTTGGCCCTTGGCGTTGCCAACGAGGATGCACGGGTGCCACTGTGAACCGGCCAGCGCCGTCGCGGCGCCCGTTTCGTGCGGCAGTTTGGCAATCTTCAGTAGATTTGGGAACTGCCGGATGTGGTGGCAGACGAGAAATGTGGCCGAGTTCCTCTCGACTTGGGTATTGCCGCTCCGATCCAGCACCGCAATGAAGGAGCGTGTGAAAGGTGCGTAGATCAGATCTCGCGTTGGGAAGCTGGGTCGGGCCATGTGAACGCGGTCTTGGTCGGGACTTCGCAGGTCTGTGAGGGCGAGATCGCCAGAGGCCGACGTGCTGGCCAGGAACGTCGCTTGCGGGCCAGGCGAGGCCGGACAGACGGAGACGACGTACGTGTGGTGGAGTTGTTGTTTCATATAGTGTTGTGGGTTATTTCCTTCTCTCACCGGTTCAGCTAGGTCGAAAGAATAGAGAAACCCGTCGGCGGTGCCAAGCATGAGGTTGGTGGCTCCGGCGAAAGCCAGCGTCGTGAACACAGTGTCTGTTGGAGGCTGGATGTCAAAGCCAGCCCTCTCGACCCGGACGGTGATTGGTTTCCTGGCGTTGCGACTTCCGGGACGCGGCACGGCGATCACACGAGCATGGCCGTCACTTGAGACGGCTGCAAGGAGACCGATACTTGGATTGATGGTGTTCTCGTGCTTAGTCTGCGTGTCAGGATCGAACGGACACCACCTGAGCTGACGGATGTTGCCCCATTCCGTCCCGATCACGACCGCCAGGCTGGGCTCCTCGTCTATTGCCAATGTTCCTATTCCTTCGACACCGGTGGGCCTTGTGTGGAAGGCCCAGACCTGGATGCTGGTCGGATACGCTGGCGAGGGATGGAAAGCTGGGCGTTCACACTCTTCCCCCGGTGCCATCCGTCTCTGGGATGAGGGGCATTTGACAGCAATGGCAAGATACTGTATTGAAGGGGCGCCAAAAGCCCATGCGAAGCCCTGGACTTTCTCTCCGACGTTGAGGAGCCAGGCTTGATGATATCGCCTCTGGGCGGGCAGTTTTCCCGCGTGCAACGTTTCAGCACCACCGGGCTTCTCGTAATCAAGCCACGCCTTCCCCATATCCGAGGGAGAGAGGTAACCAAGTCCAAATTTGGTTTGCTTCCCTCGAGCACCAAGGACGATGGAATGTGTTGGCATGTCATGTAGCAGGTACTTCTCGTAGACGGCCTTCAGGTCAATTGGCTCCAAAACTTGGAGATTACGCACCGTCTCAAACAACAAATCTACCTCGAAGGCGTCCTCCTTATCTGACGTCAAGTCGTCATTGCTCTCAGCGCAGCTTTGGTCGAGATCGTGTGACTGTTGAATGGCGTTGGACAGCGTCTGCCTGCTTGGAATCGTGACGTCCTGTCCCTTCAGCCAAGTGTCCCTGGCTACAAGAACCTCGCACAGGTCGTCAAGCTCGGGTCCAAATATGTTGGCATAAGCTGTTTTCTTTCCGAGCTGTGAAGGAGGCTGTATACCCCGCGACCGGGTCGACTCGCCGCCAGCGGATGTTGCCTGTGGTCGTGATCGTTGACTTTGTCCTTTGCGGGTTGGTACGTCATCGGCAGACGCTGAGCTCACGCCTGCGACATCCTCTTCCTCCTGGTCTGGTATATCAACATCAGAGGATCGTGTCGAGGCAGCAGAGGCAATCGATGCGTCGTCATCTTCATCTTCCTGGGCATCGGCTTGGTGAACCGCACTGCCGCCGTCCGACTCTGAAGATGCCGATTCCTCGCCAGGAGACGGGCCAGATGATTCAGATTCGGCCCGGAGGGTGCGCAAGGTCTCCTTGTCCCAGCCACCATTGGCGTATCGCGGGTTGACCTTGCGCTGGCGACCGGATCGACGAGGCTCTGGCATCTTATGGTGGATTTGTGGGGGAGAGTAATGGCGCGGGCAGCTGGAAGGTGCAGAGTAACAGCATAGTTCTGGCCCGACAACCTCTCTCTCCTCTTTTTAGGCACTCTTGATTTCAGGTCGAGCAATAACTTGTCTGTGGCGTGGGTAGCTGGGCGAATGCTCACAGTGTTTGATGTCTCCATATACAGCGAGATTCCTACTGAGCCGCATGTAAAGGGAAGGTGAGGCGATAGTAGTTAAAGCGGCAGGCGACAAGGGACGGTGCTTCACTCAAGCAAAGGCGAAGATACGATAAAGCGGCGACCCTTCAGGACGAATTTGGTGAGCATTTTGACTGCAGTTGAATACGCCATGCTTGACATCAATGGACAAACCTTGTCACGACTACCATAGCACCATGATAACTCTAGCATCCATCGGAATGTCTCGATGTCAATGCACAAGCCAGCACACAACCACCATCTCAACAGGATAACCTCAGCGTCTTATCGGAATGTCTTCTGACCGCAGCACAAGCAAACACTTCCACAATCCTTGTGTTCAAGAAGGCCGCCTTGAATGTATCGTTCACGTGCATGGACCACGAAAGCAACCACGGCCATGTCCATCTTTGTTTCCTCCAGCTCCACTGCCAAAAGAGACCTCCCAACAACGGCTCGCATCCTTTTCTGTGGTCCACAACTGCATTTCCAAGCCTTGCGTTGGCTCGCTATTCCCAAGACCGAGACAATATCGGGACAAGAACACCACGAATATCTTGAACTTTGTATCTTTCTTTGTCTTCTACCGGTGTCTCATCCCTGGCTGACATGAGCAGCAGCTTCCGTGAGTACCGCCTCTGCGAGCTTGTCCAACTCTCCCTCTGCAATCTGCACGTCGGCTACGATCCTCTCCAGGTCCTGCAACATTGGCGGATTCTGTTCTTCCCAGAGCATGCGTATTTTCAGAGGCCTTGAGCTTGGTCCCGGCTTTGTCATTGCGTCATAGATATTCCACAATGACTCCCACAGACTGTAGAGATTATCCAGGACTTTGGCCCATCGATGTACTGCTTCAGATAGCCGACAGGCAGACATGAGGGCGCGGCCAGGGAGATACATCAAGTGCTCGATCTGTTGGAGAGAGGGAAATGGTCCTGCAGTTGGGTGATCTTGGAGGAAGCTCGTCTCGTTTCGCGGGATGATTGTTTGTCCATTAGAGGTGGTTTCCACTTGCAACGTTGTATCGTCTCCTGTACCGCTCCTGACAATTTTGGGCTCGGGCTGGGTTCCTGGTTCCATGACCGTGGAACTGTCCAACAGGGTCTTGAGGGTATTTTGGCTGGTATTGGCGACTCTCGCACGTTCCAAAATCATTCCAAGGTGCTCATCGCGGTTGAGAGTATCGAGGACAAAAAGCAAAGGCCGAAGAGAGTCTGGCTCAGAGGCCGCCGTGCTCAAATCGCCTGCTTCGGAACCGGTTTCGTCGTCGGAAATTTGAATTGGGTTGGATCGTGAACCAGGGTGCTGGAGCTTCTGCCGCTTAGAAGACCGAGCAGACGACATCTTGAGATTGGTATCGGGGTGGTTCACAACGCTTCAAGGACTGAGAAGAGATGTTCGTGTTTCGACTGTCAAAATCGTGGGGATGAAATTGCCAAGTGAGAGAGACGGTGAGGAGGTTATTAGAGATCGAAGTTTAGCTTGTCTCCTTTTGCAATCAAAGTGAAGCCCCCAGTTGGGATGGAGAGGTCTGGCAGAACGAGCATAGACCGTTTCGGGAATAGTGCCGTTCACTGTAGACAACATGACAAGGACGAATCTCAGCTCTGGGCGGATTGCATTCACTGAAATTGATCCGATATTTTGTATCGAGAGCTCTTGAGCACCACCAAGCACTGCCAGCAGGGAAGAGAAGAAACCACTTCATATCCCGATATGTAAAGTGTCACACCCAAACCCGCCCTAATTGTAGGTCGAACCCAAAGCAAGTTGTAAGTCCTCGACATAAGATATTGGCTCGTGGGCCACAGTCAAGTTTGGCCTTCAGGGGCAGCTAAATGGCCTCATTCCGGCGATGGCTGTCGTAAAATGTCGAGACTCCAGTTGGCTAGTCCTTTGCAACAGGTTCATCTGATCCATGTTGCATAGAGATTCCAATGCTCCAATATGATGCACTCCCACTGATTGTGGGGACAATCAAATGGAGCATCACATTGTCGACGTGCTGAAGTAGTAGTTACTCCATAGGAACTCGTATTCCTCAATGATTCCTCCAACCAAGTCGAGAATGGGTTTGCCTTTCAATGAAGCGGCGGCACCATGCACCCAGACTTTCGTGATATTCTCGTAAAACGCGCCTCGCATGCTCCACCATGCAAGCTGCCAGCCACGCTTCTTCAACTCGTCACGCTCCAATGCCGAGAGACCTGATCGTGCACCGCCGGGAACTCGTGCCGCGAGGTCTCTCTTTGCCAGTTGCCGCGAAAGATATTCAATGGAAACTCCGACCAGCCAGGGTGTCCAGTTGCGCTTCCATTTGTTCCCTTCATAGCCGTAGGTACGAGCAATACGTTGCATCAGCAGCGCGTAGATCAAAGGCCGTAAGATGTACATGATCTCGGCAGCCTGTCCTCGCAAAGTGGTGAGTTGGTGGAGCAATTGTTTGGCGGGCTTGACATCGTCGGCCGTCAGCACATGGTTGAGGAGATAGCTGGAGACGGTATCAGGGGAGGGTAGCGTAGGAAGGGTGAGCCCCGTGCGAGGCATGCTATACGGTTCTGTGATGGACAAGGAAGATGGGCGGTGTTTTCCCGAGTCCGATAGGGGTGGTGTAGGGACACCAGCGTCACCCAAGGCATCTTTGACATCGAAGTTGTCTGACTTCAATTCATCCATGTCAAGCTCCTCATCTTGCTCCTCCGGTTCCACGGGAGCAAAGTCTTCCCTCATTGGCATAGGCGGGGTGACCGTTGGTCGTAAGTTGGTGAGGCGCATCAGCAACAGCCGACAGATGGCCTTGAAAGATTCCAGCAGCACCACCACGCGCCACTTGGCCTTCTCCCCACCTCGGCGTCTCGCGATCATCTCCCACAGCAGCTCGGTATATTGGGCGATTTTCAGGACCGTCGCAATCTTATTATACAGGGACGATGACGACGTCCAGAATGTCGTGTAGCGTGCATGGAGAGATGGCTTCGGCTTCTGAAGTTTGAGGTTTTTTACTTTAAGAACGGAAGGAGTCAGCGCCAGCGACGCGGCGCGATTCTTCAGGAGATGATCGTGATATATGGACAAGAGTTGAACGAAAGTATGCACCGACTCCGAGGCGAGTTCGGTGTCGTGGAACCGGGCACCAGGAAGGAGATACGTCAAAGAGCGCAAACTGCTCTCAATGGTAGAGACCGAGGAGGAATTTGATGTGACATAGTTGGAATAGGTGGAGGGAAGGCTTATCGCCGCTCTGGTCAAGTCGGCAGATGCGCTGGACAGGGAGTGGATGGTCGCGTGGACGGTTCGGCGCACCGCCGACGTCGCTGAGGAGGCGGCCATGGTGGGGATCGCACACGCGATCACAGACGGCAGCGGACGACAGTGACAGCCCACATTCAGCCGCGCCTTCACGGCAAAGGGAAGATAGATTCGACGTGAAGGAAACGATGATGGAACGATGGATAAACTGGAGAAGGGGATGGATGGGATGGTGAGTTGGCACGTTCAATCACTTACAGCCGCAGTCAAGCCGCGCCAAGGGAAAGTCGTCGCTGATTGGCGGCTCGGACAACCTCGGCATCGCCATCCTCCTACGTCACTCTTCCAGAGGCCCAACACCACTATGGGACATAGAGACGATAGACCATAATTGAATTCCTGCCTATCAAGGTATGTGGGAAGAAACCTCTATGCTCGTGACAGAGACTTGGACCTTGGACCTGGTTCGGGAGCTGGCTTATGTCAATAGAAACACACCCCAAGCCAGTAGATATACGGTAATTAGTAGGATGCGATATGCTCTGCACGGAGTTCAACTAGTTCAATTTCCAGCTTGGTCAGACTGGCCCCTGCATAACATGGGACATATCTGGGACATATCTTCCTTCGTCGCACAAACCCTGGTGAGGCTGGCTCACCATGCCAACCTGGCCCGCCCCTTGTTGACTGGGTCATTTTCTCCCCACCAAATTTGTTTGACGGTTGTTCCGGCTATCCTTGCTCGTGCAGTGCCTTGTTTGTCTTACGACATGGGAGAAACAGACCGAGTGTGAAGGCCAACACTACACACAACCAGCATTCCGCGACAGACAGGCCGTGAGAGAATTGCAACTGCCGCTGACACAAGTTGACTTGGTCTTGTCTATGTGCCTGTGCTCTTGACGCACAAGCCCCGTTCACTACTCAGCCTCCCCGTCGCTGCATCGGGAACAAGTTGACCACTGTGGGCCCCCAAGATACGGGAATGCATCGCCCCAAAAGACCAAAGCGCAACACGGGACCTTGGTCGTCACAGCGAATCTTCAACTCTTCGTCGCCGATCGTCGGCGCAGATGTGCACGGATTTCTCGTGACGGCTGTCTCAGGCTGGACCGCCGCGCCCGACAGCTATACGGAGACGGAAAAGCGCTCCATCATCGACAGTCTCCCGCCACGGTATCGGAAGTACGAAGTTGACGACGAGGGCCGCCTCAAATGCCCGCTGTCGGTGGACTTTGTGCTCGACGATCCCTACGTCCGGGCGGCCGTGCACAAGTTCAAGAGGGACGTAAGTGAGGGATTCTACGAGAAGAGCTGGCAGAACCAGGCCAGGAAAGCCATGCAGGAGAGGCGAGACGGGAAATTTGACCCTTATCTGCAGGAGCAGACGGAGGAATCGTTTGGAGATCCAGGCCCGGACGGCCAGGGTGAAACCGCTGACGAGGACATCCATCCTGAAGTGGATTCGAGTGACGGGGACTGGGCCGAACGGCCAGGCGGCAGTGCAAGAGGCTCTAAGTAAGGCAAGGGTTAGCTACAGAGTTGGATGCCACACCAGAAACAAAAACTCCAGGCTGGAGGGCGAGGGGGGGTGATGTGACTTGATGACGAGTTTCTTGAGATGCACTCTATCTATGCCTATATTGCAACATATCTCAGATAACCGGCCACAGAAAATCAAATAGGTCATTAGGACAATAATCTTTGACAGGCGATTTGTTCTTTGCCTTGTATCTCTCCTTGGGGTGCACTTCCAGACTATATCAGTGGAGGCAAGGTACCTCTGTCGATGACGATGCTCGTGCTGCTGCACCTGTGCCTTGCCTGCGAAAGAAGGAGAATCATTTTTGCCCAACTGTCGCAGAGTGTACTATTGCCATGTCATGTTCAGATCTCGCCCGATCCCCTCGCCGCGTTGGCAGACAGTCAGCCATGGCAACACTTTGCTGTGGCCAGAAAGGACACGGAAGTACCCGGTAACTGCATTCTTTTTTCCTTCTCAGCGGATTGCTCCCGAATCTCTATGCTGAACGCATCACAGATATCTCGAAGTTAGATTTCCAGATGAGGATTGGCATTCTGGCCTTTGTACCAGGTTCGAGAAGGCTATACGTCGACCAATGCTTGTAAGTATACGACGGATTCATAACACAGACTTCCTGCTCTATCCCCTTGTCCCGGGCGGGAGAGGATAGAGATACTGGGAGTTAGGAAACCAGATCAATGAAAGATATCGTCTTGAATTCAATAACCAAAGCCCCGTATCGAGGAGGTGATTCCATAGGTGTGGTTCTCATGTCTGATATTTTTGTGAACAAAGTATCTACCCATCCACCGGCTAGAGAGAACATCGGATTACTATCTCGAGCCGCCTCTCGACTTGGAAAGTTATGGGCTGTCTCCAGGTTCAACGCTGCAGGTGCTTAATGGCTTTGCTAAAGGGAGCAGCCATATTCCACCGAGCCCGCCACTGCAACTTCGAGCAGAAATATGTGCTCGCTTGGATCGTGACGTCTGTGCAGCCAGGAGCATGTTTGCGAAATGAGCCATTGTCAGAAACCATGGCCCAAGAAGGGGTTCTTGTTGCCGAACGGGTCCTTCCGGACGACGATCTGCGCATGTATCAGGGTCAGACTATCCCTCTCGTATTTGTCACGGGTGACCGTTCATCCCATGCATCCCTTCAACCCCTGGCTTTTTCTTCGTTGGAAAATCGCCTCCCGAAAAGGTCGAGAGTGCATTCACCGGCATACTGTTCGCTCGATTCAGCAAAGGGGTCAGTCAAGCCAACACTATGTACTCCGAAAAGGCCGGTGCGGGCAAGGCAGCGCCACGAGACAAGCCCCATACTTGTCTCAGTCCTTGACACCTGGAGCAAAGAGTAATAATCCGTACCTTCCTCTGGCGGGGACTAGGCAGGAGGTGCAATGTTGGCCTGGCGAGACGGAGCGAGAATATCCGACCACACTGCCATTGCACGCCTGTCTGCAAAAAAACAGATGATCATGAGGCACAAGTGCGTATGTCGCATAATGGAGCTGTCATTTTTCCTGCGGCTCTCCGCCGTCAGCAGCTAACCGCTTCGATTTGCGTAACATTGTAGGCTCAGTTGCAGCGCGCATTTCGTAGCTACTCAGGGTTCGCCGCGAGTGCTGCTCAAAGGAAAAACACAGGTCGTCTGATGTTCCAACACGCCGTAGGTCGATGGAAGTAGACAGGTGCTTGACAGTGATGAAGTGTCTGTTGTTGTGGACGTATGTCATTGGTTCACCCAGAAATAGACAATCACGGCGTCCCTAAACGAGGGTGGTTGGGGCGGCTCGGGGCGGTGGTCTCTGATTTGATCTCTAGAAACGAAGGCATTAAACTTACAGCTTGAGGACCAACCCTTCAATCAGTCCTGTACCATGTATTTGCATCGGGTCGGTAGATGGTAACACAAAGATCGAGCAGCCACGCCAGCATCATGTGCACGAACGAGACAAGTGACATGTTCCCCCTCAGACATAGTGTATCCATCTCAGACCCTCTGCAATCTCAGATGATCACTTGCCAGAACACTATTGACGTGGCTGGCCAAAGTTGAGAACCGGGGTCCTGCAACTGATTCTGGAAGGTCCTGCATGATTCTGTGGAGTTGACAGAAAGAGGGATGCGATGGAGATTGGGCCGCTTCTTGAAATTTTCTGAGCTGTCTTTGGTTCGGCGCCTTGAGGGTGAGGCTATTGCGGATGCGCAACACGACGGAAATGGAAGTACACCGAGCTAGGTACCCCCATGGCCCGTGTGAAGGATAACGCTTAGATGTGGCAGCAAATCGGAATCCACCCGATGACCTCCAAGGGCACGTTGGCTGACCGAAAGGGCAATGCTCTGCCAGGAGAAGCTAGGCAGAGGACGTGCAACTGCCGGCCGAGTCATAGAACTTGCCCTCTGCTGTAATGATGGGCGTGAGCGTTACCAAGATGAAGTCCCTGGGTGACTGCGTGGCTTGGATAGGGGGCCAGATTGGCACTTGCACCAGCCTTGGACAACGGGCCTCCGTCAGAAGTGATGAAATAATGGACAATGGAGACAGCAAGGCTGCTACCATGTTCCACTCTCGAACTTCGGGCTCTGCTGGCGAGGAAACTAGAGACAGAAGCGAGAACAGGACGGTGGCGCTAGCAAGATGAGGGTTCCCAACCCTTTGGCGACCCTGGAAGTCCTATCTTCCACCATGCCGTCTCGTTTCGGTCTGCACTCGACTCGTTCTTAGACAACCACCATTATCTGACCGACGTGAGCAACTACTGAAGTAAGAGGGTCCCAGTCCAGGCTAGGAGGCGGTGGGACGCTGGGCGGGGTGGCGCCGACTGGTGTGTTTCTAGAATTCCCGGCAGGACGGTCCAATCGTCAACGTAACGGGGCGTGTGGTCCAGGGTTGGGCAGACATACCTGACTGACAAAGACACCAAACCCCCAATCGATTCAGCCAGACTGACGGCCTACGACCCAAAGTTAAAATGGACGAACGGTGAACACTGGGGGCGGGCTTCGTGAACATGGGGCCTGCGAGTGGCCCAGGCGGAAAAGCAGGGGCTGATCGAAACATCCTCCGGGAGGCTCCAGTAGTGCGCGTGTCTAGTAGTGGGACGGCAGGGGTGCGTGTGTGGTAGAAATGTTCGACAATCCAACTGTCAGTCTGTGCAACTGATTTAGCATTTTTGATGAACTGATGCATTGCCAAGGTTGAACTGCGTTTGCAACAAAGCCTCAATGTTTGTTCACTGTACTTGTTTGCTTTGTTGAATGACCCGGAATCTCGCGCCGCTGAGGACACGCCCAGCAGTGCCTCGTACTTTGAGTTCGCCAGGACTTGAGGGAAGTTCGTGTCTGGTGCATTGGCGAACTGCAAGTTGCAACACCTGTTCTCCGCCAGTGATGAAACAAAGGCATTGTCATTCCTTCGGCATTTCCAGGGCCGACTTGCTGACAAGGAAGTCCTGGCTTCGGTTTCCACGGCCAACCGCTTTGCATGCTTGGGCGCTTTCAGCACATGACCTGCTGATCTGCTGACTTGCCGACACAGGCGGCGGCTCGCCAGAGCAGTATGAAATACGTGTTTGTCTTCAGCAGGGTTGTGTGCAAGCTTGCATTTGCAGATATTTTTCAGCCTGTGTGCTGTCATCTCCAGACTGCAGAGTTTGGGGCGGTCACCCTGCAGCAGAAGGTTGCGGCGCAGGGCAGCCAACAATCGAACACGTTTTGTCTCTGTGATTTCATGCCATGCAGCGGGGAGGATCCTTTCCCCCCTGGATACCCGAACGTTTATTGTGCGCGAAAATACCTGGTCCAAGGAGAAAACTCAGAGCGGTGAACTCACCGCTTCGCGTGGGAGGCCTATCGTTGATGGCAGAACGATGGCGACGAGGAGCTATTCTTGTCGATAGAGCTATACAAAGCATGTCATAGTGACGCATTGTCGCCCGCGTCGTCATGTCACAAATCATGCATATCCCACACCGCGTGTGTTTGTGTGACCTGTCCAGTCCAGATCGTTCCGGGACACACTGACTCGGTTCGTAACACGGTAGGCCGACTCCACTTTCGGCCCCCCAGGATCGTGAGAACGAGGTATAGGCCCGGCTGTAGCGTGGCAGTACGGTATTTTTTATTTCTCCTTCGTTCGTGCGGGTGACGGGGACATGGTACCTCGTACTCCTTCCTATGACACCATAATAAGTGACGCGCAGAGACTGAGGGATGGGGGTTGGGTGGGTGCGATGGAATGAGATAGGATAGGGCGTTTGGCTAGAAGGATGGAATGATTGTGGTTGGTGGATCGCTGGTCAAGCCGTGGTCCTTGTTGTTTGTTGCTTACTACCGACTAGTTAGCTAGCGTCCTAGCCATTGGGGGAGCAAGGGGTTGGTTGCGGCTTTACTCTGCAAGAGACCAGAGAGACAAATCTCTCGCAGCCCGCCACGACAGCGTACTTACCTAGGTGCAGATGGTCAAGCGGATGTGTAATGAGCCATGCGGACGGGGATGCGGATTTGAAGAAATGGTTGTTCCAGCATCTTATATCTTCTTCAGCGTGCGCTGCCCTTTTTCCGCCAGGTTGGTGCTCCGCCATGCTCCTCTGCGCCCTAATGGGATCCGATCGCTCTCTTCTCCCGCCTTCCCCGGCCGGCCTAAGAGCTGGGTGGGCGTCGGGATGGCTTGGACGGCTGTTTGCTTTGCTCATGGCTACATTGAAGACGGGGTTGGGACGTTTCGGAGTTTGCTGGGAGGGGAGCCAAAGAGGGATAATGCGGTGTGGTGGTGGTGAGAGAGGAGGAAAGCTGGAAGAGAGGAACTCTTCTTACTTCGCGTCGTTCCCAGCAACTTCCACTCTTGATCCGTCGCTTGGCTGTCCCCCATCTGCTCAGTTCCAGACAACCCGCCATTTCCAGGAACCCACCTCGTCCCCTCCCGATCATGACGCCCTCTCTCTCCCTGACTAAGATGCAGCTGTCGGTCTGGCATTGGAATCAAACAAGTTGGTCAACCCTGGGAAAGAAATGGAGACGAAACAAGGAGGTTCGGGACACGGGTGAGAATTCGTGACATTTGAGCCAGAAGAAACCCCCGTGCAACAGCCACCTACCTCGTTGCCCATGAAAGAACTGGCGGCGACGAACTCGTCCTCCCCGTTTGTGAGCTTTCCCTCGCTGGCAGGGTCGTCTTGCAGTGCCTGATCTTAGTCTTCTGCCAACGAACCCTCCCAGAACATCTGACGAACTCGTATGCCACCATGCCACATTCGGGCAGCCAGGCTCTAGTTCGCGCTGTAGAAGTCATAAACCCACCTCCTGGGCTGTCCAAGTTTGACGCCGTGATGGATTGCTCCGCCAACTAGCGGTAGTAGTAGCCGGTGGTGCTTGGTCCAGTGGGCGGCGGGCCCGGCACAACTCCACGATACCTCTTCAGTGCTGGGATGCTGGGTATGGTCAAGGACAAGGTCACGTCTCTGACCGTCGTCCTCGCCCTTCTCGATCTCATGCAGCTATCCATGTCGTTTTTGGGGCGAGACGCCGAAATGGAACCCCTAGAGAACTGGATCCTTTCATGGTCTTTCCCCCTTCCAGCCCAGCCCGGGAAGCAAACAAAAAAAATTGAGGAAAGGAGGGAAAGACAATGATATCAGCCGCTCCGTGGTGACTCTCGCGACGGCCGAAAGCGAATCGTGCAGAGAAACGCCAGTAACCGCTGCACGCTGCAGAGATACGGAGTAGAATGATCGAGGCGAGATGCATAGACAGAGAGTATGGTTTGCGTCTCGTCTGCGGCAGCCACCAGCATGAGAGCCTGGAAATGGATCTGGCCACACTACGGACTACCACTACGACTCGGTCGCTGCTCAGGGACTTACTTGGCTTCCACTCCGCCCAGTCTGCCACGAATGCGTGTGTGCGAAAAGGAACAGCGATCGAAGGAAGGCTGCTGCGTAGGACCCGCCCTTCTTGACCGCTGCTTTCGTCGAACACAATCCACCCCGTCCTCCCCCCCCCCTCTCTCCTCCCTGGTATATATCTCATCTTGTGGACAATGCCCTTTGTGTATTCCACCCCCCTCCCCAAAACCGTTCACTCTAATCCCGCATTGTAGTGTGGCTTGTTCCCTGGAATCCTCGAATGAAGCCATTGTCCTACATAGTCACTCTCCCCGTGTGGTTGTCCGAACCCTGTCCGCACGAAGCCTACGACCTAGAAACACCGGCGCCTTCGCTCGGTCTCGCCAAAGAACCAACCCGCCCCGTCTTCAGAAGCGAGCTGTCTCCTGGTATTAGTAGTCTGCCGTGGTCGCCTGTGGTCGTCTGTGCTCGCTTTCTCAGCCTGATCTCCCCAAAATCCCTCTCGTCGACTTCCTTCTGTCCCTCCTGTCGCTTCGTGGATGGCAGCATCCACTGACTTCCGGCAACAACCCCCTCTCCATCCTTCTTCACAAACCGACATCAGAGTCCATCACCCATCGTGGATATCTCGTCGCTGCTCAAGCCGACAGACGAGGAAGACGGCCTGTCAACCAGCTCTCCCGCCTCAGTATCTCGGTCAGAGTCGGTGCCGTCCAGTGTCGCCACCAGCGTGGCTCCTCTGCCACCGCCCCAGCCGCGGTCGGCGGTGCCTGCGAAAAGACTGTCCTCCAGTCAGGATCATCCCATCCAATCTCCAGCGAAGAAGCAGTCCAAGTGGTCCCCCGAGGAGGACGCCAAGATCATCCAGCTTCGCCAGGATGGCATGAAGTGGGAGGACATCAGCAAGCACTTGCCGGGACGCAGCGCCATCAGTTGTAGACTTCACTATCAGAATTATCTCGAGCGAAGGAGTGAGTGGGATGAGGATCGCAAAAATAAGCTCGCAAGGTTGTACGAGAGGTATGTTGAGAAACGTCGCACCGATCGCCGTTTGTCCCAATATCAATATCCAACGCTCCTGTCCCACCGTTGCTCCTGCTCGGTCATTTCGTCTCCGTGGGGACATTTCCATTGACTGATTTCTGCGAATCTAGGTTCCGAGCAGACATGTGGGCGAGAGTTGCCGAGGAGATGGCGATGCCCTGGAGAGCTGTCGAAGCAATGCACTGGCAGATGGGCGAACATGAGATGGCGAAACGTGCCGGCGTCACCCCATTCTCCCTGACCAACGCCAACAGCGGCGTCGAGCCGTCGACTCTACCTCCAAGACCAACATTCCGACATGGCGGGCCGCCCCCGCGCCCCTTGCGACGAGAGTCAATGCCCGCCGAGACGGCGTTACAGGGGCCCCAGCAACTGCCTTCACTAGCAGAACTCACGGCTGGACTGCCCGCGTTTTCACCACCATCTTACCACACCTCAGACCCTTTCCATCGCCATCTGTACAACCACTCAAGAGGCCGCAATGCTCCTTTTCGCTGAAGAACCAAAAATGAATTGTCTTGATGTTGTCTTAGTGTTTGAGCGAAGCATGTTTGGATAAAAGGACGAACAGAGAGGCACCATGATTCCGGGTTTTGATGATGGGTTATTTGCTTTTGCTTTGAGTTACCCTGCTGTGATCGGCAGCAAGAAGCTGTAATATAGTGATTTGATACCCCAACACCTCCGCTGCGAAAGAGGGATAATGTGATCTGCGACGCTTCATCCGAGCCGGATTGGGATGATGCGAGAAACACTGAGTTTGGGATTGGGCACGAGACGCCAGGCACTGACTGCCATCGGGCGTCTTCGGGGCTCTGGTCGTACACCCAGGCGGTGATGCTTGGTGGCTCAACCAATACAACGAGACACTTTGGTGTTTGAGTCAGTCTTGTCGGGCAAGTATAACCCACCAGTTATGTCGATCATAGCCGGACTCGACTATCTTCGCACCAGCAGCCTTCGCGTCTTCCTGCAGCTCACCCTCCCGATACAAATGATAATATCGATGATAAGTCGTCGAGATCGGCGGGTTGGAGATCTGAGCCTCCGATTTGGATCTGGAGGCGACATCCGGCTTAAGAACCCACGGCACAAGCACATCCTGCTCGTGACCGCGATCCCAACCTCGTCGGCTGTCTTTCTGCTCCAGCGCCCATACGAATATCAATGCCTGACCTCCCCCTCCTCTTTCTCCGTTTCCCCGGTCCGATTTGGGGGGTGGTTTTAATGTCTGCAAGATTTCTCTGATAGCTTCAACCCTTCGTGCCGGGGACGATAGGTGGTGTACGACCGCAATGGAAAGGGCAAAATCAAACAGATCTCTAGGGTGAGGGAGACTCAGGATGTCAGCGACAATGGCGGTATGCGGTTGGTGTTGGCGGGCAATCTCCACTAGGGCTTTGGACCTGAAGGAAAGTTAGCAGGCTTGCGTGTCCTTTGTGTGTTGCTCTTTCAGTTATCGACTTTACCTATCAGACGCAATAATGAAGATGTCCTTGTTCACGGCCAAGTATTTTCCGTTTCCACACCCTACGTCGAGACCGACAGACCCCGCGGGCAGGCGGCGGAGGAACTTGTCGACCACAGGCCACGGCTACCATGTTGATCAACTTGAATGCGCTGGTGAGTGACCGGGCGACCTGCGAACCTTGTATCGAGTCGACGAGAAGTGACCTGCAATGTCTTGGTACACCTCGTGCACATGTCTCTGTTCGTAATCTGCGGCACCATCCATGACGAGACGAGACGACCGTGCGCACCACCAGCGGATGTCTTGGTGAGAGGCTCGAATGGAGATTTCAGCACGTCCACGTGGTACAAAAGCTTGAGTGGTCGAAAAGGTACAAGCTCCAAATTGCGCATTTAGCGATCTTTGATTCAGTAGCCGAGTGCGGCTCGGATCTGGCCACTGTGATTATCCGATTGGCGACCAACTAAGGAATGGCGCTGCCTGCTCGGTGCTGGACATACAAGAACTCCTTCACCACTGTAGAAGATGCTCGCATCCCGTCAAATTCCATTTCCATCATCCAAAGAAGTCCACGTATATCAATGCACTAGTTCACCAATACATCACTAGGATAATACGTAGCCTCCAACTGTTAGTCGCGCTCCCCCTTTTCCCAGGAAAAAAATATCCGATTCGCTGCAGTACCACCGTTGACTCGTACAATGCGTCTCCGTGACCAAAGCATATCAGAAAACTCCAACCGCCTCTTGGTTGGCAAGAGATTGTGTCCGGCTATTGGAAAACGCAAAAATATCTGTGAGGCCAGAGTTCCGGATCATCAATGCTAAAACAATCGCAAGTAAGGGAATCTGTGAGAGGTTAGCAGGCGAAGGATACAGCGGGCCCAATTGCAACTTACCCAGAAGAAGAACAATTTCCGATCTCGGCTCAGCTCGACTTTCTCAATCGGCTTTCTCCTCAGGACAGCAGCGGTCTGGGCTGTGGAGCTGCCTTCGGCGTTCTTGCTGGCCGTCTGCTGCTCAAACTGAAGATCCGCCGCTGCGTCGGCTACGGCTCGCAGAGTAGAAGTCTTTTTGATGCTCCAATCCTCAACCGTACCTTCCTTCTCTTCAGGATACAATTCGCTATAGGCGGGAGGCGAAGATGGAGCAGGGGGTGATGATCGGCCCGTCAGACTCTCCCACCAGCCCTCACGCTGACCGGGTTGTGGTTGTCGCGAACTTGACCGCTGAGGGAAAAGAGCGCTTACACGGCGCATCATCGGGTATGCCTGATACTCCTGGATGGCGGCAAGAGGTCCATTGAGGTTGGCGAGACTTGGCATCACCGACTGTGCGTTCTCGTTGAACTGTTGTAGTTGGGCTACCAGGTGATCTCGCCAGGCTAGCATGAACGCTGCTGGCGCCACGGCGGGTGCGGTATCCGGGATATCCTCCGGGGTGAAACCCGATGCTTGAGACATCGTGGGTGGCACGCTCCCCCTTCGCGACGGAGGAACGCTGACCATTTGCATGCGGTTACCCTGCGCGAGAGCCTGCGGGAGATCCGGTTCTTCGGAACTGATTCTGGTGGGCGTCTCGTCATCAAAATCGTCCGAATCGTCCGAGTCGTCCGTGTCAGTGGTGGCGTAGTGATTCGATGCGTTCTCCCAGAAGGAGCGAAGAGAGGAAGAGCTTCGGCTGTGTAGTCGCATCGGCGTTCCTCCAGCACTCCGTGACCGATAGTGCTCCATGGGCGATATTGTGGCCTGGTAGGCGAGCAAAGACGTTGCAAGGTCAGCCGGCGTAAATTGGCGGATGCTGCGGGCTTTGTGGTTGGCCCCCGTCAAGCGAAGCCGGTGTATCACATGCGTGTGACCGTTCATTGCAGCATGATGCATAGGTGTGTGGCCGTTGTTGTCGGCCACATTGGGATCTGCTCCTCTCGCAAGTAGTCCTGCGACGAATCGTGTGAGGCCCAGTGAAGCTGCCAAATGCAGCAACGTGAGGCCGGATGGACGGCGTAAATCAAACCTTGGGGCTCTGAAAAGCCTTTGGGAGTCCATTACCTCCAGCACTTGCAGCATCATGGCTTCTAACTCGAGCGTGTCCATCGGGGCTCCAGCAATGTGCCTATGTACGCGCTGATGTCCCCCACCTAGCCCGTAGTTGCCATGTCCGAGCCACATAGAATGGGATTGCCCTTGCAGAAGCTGCTGGGCGGCCGAGTATGGATCATCAGTGGGATGCTGTAGCTGCTTGCCAAGGGTGCGGAGCGCGAGGCGGAACATCTCCAATTCTCTATCATCCACATACGTGAAGAGAGACGGTCGGGTCTGAGATTGTTGTGGCATTGACGAATATTGTGGGTGATCGTGCTTGAATACAACAGGCACAACGCCTGGCTGCAAAGCTGGGGGGGCGATGCAGTTCAAGCATTTTTCTCCCCAGAATGTCGTGGTGGTCGCCTCAGTGTCGCCGAACATGACTTCGAGACCCTGATAGAAGCCATTGCCTAGCAACGTGACTTCGGTGCCTCCGGTTACAGAGCCTTCAGCGGGGACTAGTTTGTGTATCAGCGGCGGCGGCCGTCGGGTAGGTTGTCCCATTAGTTGATTGTTGACCGCTTGGCCAAAGGCAGCGTCGGATGCTCCGAAGCTGTTCCTTGCAGAACCGGGACTACCAGGCCTGCTCGGCTGACGCGATGGCGGTGCTGATATCATTATTTGCCGCGAAAGGTTTTCGTGGCTGATAGAGCGGTTGATGTTGGCAGCGAAAGAAGGATCAACCCCATTCGGTGTTGGAGGACTGTTACTATATGGAGCAGGGCGGGCAGCCGGAGGCATCGCAAACGGGCGATCGTTTGGTCCAATGAACGATGTCATATTTGGAGCGTACGGCGACGACGCGGCCGTATTAGGCATGGTAGAAGGCCCAGGTAGCGCTTGAGACGTGTCGAGGCGAGTCATTGTCAAGCCAGATGGCAGCTTTCCGGAGCCGCTCTGCTTCCTTCTCTTCGTAGTTGGACCTGATGGGCCGCTCGGAGAGGCCGGTCTGGAGAGATTTCGTGGTGTAAAATTGACCACCGCCTGACTTGAGGACGGGATGGCATATGGAGTGTTTGCCGGAGCCATGGGGAAGTTGGGAGTGAATGTCTGCTGCAATGCATGCAAATCGGTCATGGAATAGGCCTGCCTAGACATTTTTGGATTGACTGCCGGGGCCTGAAGCTGTATCTCCTGATCAGTGCTCGAGAAGACACCCGCTCCTGGTAACTGTGGTCCTGGGGCTGGCAAAGGTGGCGGCTGATTCGGGATCGCTGCTGGTGGATTATGAGTTTTGTGGTCATCTGTGATCATGATCGGGTTGGTCATGGCCTGAGCGATGACTTTGTCTCGACAGTCCTTAATTGTGAAGATCACTTGGAAACCCATCTTCTCATTTTGATGCCGACAATAGCAGGCTATCCGCATCGGTAGCTCCACTTGTACCGCTCCTGGAGAAAACGCATTTTGCGTGTCTTTGGGCTCATGGGGAGCTTCTGCCCAATCTTTGACTTCGTTGGTGTTGAAGACGACCACTCTTCTTTCTTCATCTCTCTGGAAAAGCTCTTCCTCCTCGGGCTTCTTCTGCTTCTTCCTCGAGGCCCTTTTCCTCTCTCGTTGTATACACCCAGCACAGATGCGAACCTCACCACCATTCAAGGGCTTGTCCTCGTCATCTCTGGAGGTGCTTGACTCAGTGGAGGCAGGGCTCGACCGAGTATGGGAGGCCTGTTCTTCGCCTCTAGCACGTGCCAATGCCCGTTGCAATTTCACCCTATCTTGCATAGCACTGGTACACACCAAAGACGTGTGAAGCTCCAAAATCTCTGGGGATCGCGGAACCTCTGGCTTGGCAAGGAACTTGGGCTTGGAAACTGTGTGTCTTGGAAGCCTCAATTTCTTGGCACCGGGGGGGAGTGATGAAAGGGTCATCTTGATCGGGATCTGAGTCTCGACACGAGATTTGAGTGAGGTTGGATGCACTGTCAGGGTCGGTGACCCCTCGGCGGAATTAACTGTGGATGGCGGAGAGGAGATGTCTTTGGTGAAAGTGGACGGTGTCGTACTGGAGTCCGCATCAAAGCTAAACCCAGCCGTCGAAAAATTGAGATTAGGTGAGAATGTCGCGTTCCCCGGTGAGTCTCCATTCATGGTAATGTGGTTGAAGGTTTCCTCCAAGCCAGATGATGGAGAGTGTTTGCTCCATGGGGACTGGCCTTGTGCAGTGGGAAGCATCGCATTCAAAGGAGATGCCTCTCTGGAGCCGGCAAAGAAGAACTGAGGCTGCCCATTCGGTAGTTGCGCCGTCGGAGGCTGCTTCCCAAATCGGGAGAGATCAACAGGTCGGGTGAAGGGCTGGTTGACCAGCGGATTTTTGATCTGATTGCCTTTATTCATCTGGTCAAACCCGCTGGGTGTGCTGGCGGCCGTATCAAAGTCGAAATCGGAAGCCATTTGCTGATTACTGGCCTCAAAGTCTTGATCCAGGCCGGCCATTGTGGTGTCCTCAAATAGGGGCTCATCTGATGATATTGAAAATCCATTTATCCCGCTTCCCCAGGTGCCTTGTATTGTGTCGTGTGCCGGTGGTGAGGCTGTCGACGGAGCGGACATCTGGCGTGTGCGGTCCGCAGGGTCTTCCGAAGATGAGCTGCTGGATCCTGAAGCGGACCCTCTAGATGCACGTGCAAACGCATCGTTGTGAGGAAGCGGGCTGAAAGAATCCGCCTCTCGTTTTATGGTTAAGTCATTGGGGTTGAGGAAGGCGGGAGGCGACGCCGACCGGTCAAGTTCGGGGGCTGGAGTTTCGAGAAATGCGTCGAAGTCTTGACCAGCAAATGCTGGGGTCTGGTCGATGCCAGCCTGGAACAGATACATATCATCATCTTGAGCCGACGCCATGCTGTCGGATTTTTTGAGTGTCAGAGGCCTCAAATTGTACCCGTCACCGCAACACTGCTATGCCATCTCTTACTCCAACCCAATCGCTAAATAGGCCTAAGGGTGTAGGACGAAGCTGATAAAGGAGGGAACGAGGCCAGATAATTGCCCTTGAGTGTCTTTCGGAACGAGCTCGAGCAGGACGAGCTCCCACGGCGTCCGAGTGCGTTCCGTTGCTTGTGGCGCCTGTTTTGTGTGCGAGGTTCGGACTGCGGCTGGTGGGATCGTCGCTCACCGGTCAAAGTGTCAACACGCACGGACAGGAAATGCAACGGATTATGGTGCAAGATGGTGAGGTTCGCAGATGGGCGGCTCCAAGGCAGAAGCGTGGGAAATGACAAAATGGTTGAGCAAGGAAGGACGTTAGGCCTTCTTGGTGATGAAAGAACAGAGTTGTAGATTAGTTAGCCAAAACGGAACTCCAATTTGTGGAGGCGGAGCCCTGGCAAGTGGGAAGGGACCCCTTCCCAGGCCTGCTGGCAACCGGAGTTTCTCAGGGCTCAGTAGTTAACGGGCAGCCTGGACGGCACCTACAGCGCACCTGGAGGATCCCCCGGGGGTTCCTGGAGCGCCCTCAATAGGGCAACCTGTGACGACTCTAGTTTATCTTCCGTTAGTCAAGGCTTGGCTCGCCTCGCCGCGTTTCCCTCCCCTCCATCGTTCTCCATGTTTTTCCATCATCCCACCCGCTCTCGGCGCCTCTTACTGGACATTGATTGACACGGCGTGAATTCTCTTCGACACCTGCATTGGTGTCGCATATTTCTGCGTTATTCCAGTGGCTCCGGGTGAAGATTCTGCTCCCAGCATCGATATATTTCGCTAATTCGCTCCGATTCCCACGATATTCAGTCCGACATGCCGTCACCCTGCGCCCTGCTGCCTCGTTTCCGCCACACTCGGGTGTGTTCGTTTGATAATGAAATGGCGAAAAATTCGCGTACCTAAGACCCTGCCGCGCCCACGCTTGCGCACTGCTGCAGATGGGCCACAGCATCATAAAAGTACAAGAAGAAATGGTCACACTCTGTGTTGAACTCGCTGGTCCTCCCGTCAACGAACGATACATTCCAGCAGATCTTTGTCGTTGCAAATTGGGTGAAACGGGCCGATACGTTCGAGCTTCTCTCGTCCCCATTGGCCTCCCCCAAGGGATAATGCGGTATATTTTCAATGCAAAGGATACTGCTGTTCCAGGTCTCCAGCCCCCTTCCTCACCTTCCCGATATCTACCTGTCTGTCTTCTTATCAAGGATTCGTCCTGTCAGAGATTGAGCTCCATCCCGCATGGGTTGCGCAATCACACCCTGTCCCCCTCCCCTACATACAGGTGGCTCAACTCTCGGGCAAGTCTCGCCCTAGCTCTCCGCCAATCGCCGAAGCGGAAGCTGGACACATGTAGTCTCATGCTGCCTGTCAGGCCATCCCGCTGATATAATTAACGGTTCGACTCAAAATGGATACTCTTGCCAACGGTATTAGGACATTAAGGGGACGGCCAAGAGCCCGCTACTCGGATGAGAATTTGCCGCAACTTTCGAGAACAGGCAACCCCTAATCTTGGAAAAATGAAATGTCCAATGAGGGCGACAGCTGACTTTAGTATATGTGTATGATCATATCTTGAATTGCAAAGCGAGCTCGGTTCCCCGTCAGACTACACAACATTCTTTTTGGGACCGGAAGGCTGGCTCCATAAAGATTTCTTCCAGGCTAAACGGATAAAATGACTGAAGGGATTCGGCTTTCTTTACGGGGTACACCACAGGGCCTGCGCTTTTGACGGCTGTGCCAACCATGAAAATTTTCATTTCTGGGGCTATGCTGCAAACATATGGCTTTGGAGGTAAGTCTGGCCATCTCTATTGTGCTTCCGGCCACATCAGGGCGCCACTCTTTCCAGAATCCACCGGCAACACTTGTCCAGTTATATTGCCAGCAAAGTTGTCGCTTGCGAGGAAGAGACATGCTCTTGCGACCGCCTCAATTGGGACGGGCTGGTGTAACGCAACAGTTGCTTGGGCTTCACGCCATAAAGCAGAGGGATCATCGTCACATTCCTTTTTGAATTGCACTGTAGCAACGGGTCCAGGTGCTACAGCGTTCACCCGACAACGCTCGCAGATTCCAACAGCATCGCGGGCGAGCGACTTGACAAGGCCATACTGAATTGCTGATTTGGAGGCGGCGTATGGTGCGCATAGTGGGACTCCGAAGGTGCCTGCTTCGCTGCCGAAAAGAATAGCAGAGATATTCCTGGTCTGGGTTGTTGCATGGCTTCTGATGCCCCGAAGCCACGCTCGACAGGTCAAAAACGTCCCGTCGACGTTGACGTTCAGCACTCGTTGCCACGCTTCTAGCGGCATGTCGACGAGGGAGCGCTGAGGACAGTAGGACAAGTCCAGACCCGCAGCCAAAACACACGTCGCTAACACCCCGTATTTCCTCCTGGACGATTCCATAGCCTCCTCCACCCTGGCCTCGTCCGTAATGTCCACCTGTTGGAAGTATAGTCGCTCATTCTGGACAGGGTCCCGCGGCTCGACGATATCAAATGCCGACACATATGCACCGGCTGCAAGAAATGCTTTGACCACGACTGATCCAATCGCCCCTGACGATCCAGTTACCAGTATATGGGAGCCCTCGAGGCCTAATCCTACGTCAAAACCTGACGCAGCCATGTTTGTGTGAAGAGAAAGCAGTCGGGAAGCTTGAGCGAAGGAGGCAGTGATATCAGTAGTGGTACTGAGTCGCTATGCCTTGGGGACGGAGTAGTCCGTACTCCCATCACCAAACCTTCTGTGTCAGCCATGTCTCGGATAGAGCAGAGGCTGTAGATGCCAACGGTGACGGATTGTTTAGACAACACATGTTGGAAACCGTATGCAGGGCTGAAGATGATTACATCTGTCTGGGTGATCGAAGGGGCTTCCCTCCCCCCGAGACTCTGCTGGCAACGTCGCATACAAGGGCGAGTTGTTGTCGTCGTCGGGCTAATGAGGCCGAGATAAACCCGATCCGGACGGAGTTCCTCACGTGGTAATTTAGTACCCGTAGCACCAGTGGCTATTGTGCTCACCACCCTCCTCTCCGCCGTGCTCCGCAACCAGCAACCACACTACATACCTACGAGTCAGGACTGTGTGCACCATAGTGGCCCAATTCCGACCATCTGCTCTGCTCCGAAAGGCACACCTCTTATCTTCATATCGAGCCTAGCATGGCCGAACAGAAGAAGCTTGACTTGGTGCGCCGTGGGTCCTATGGCACCGACCTGCTGGGAAACACCCTCATGATTGGGCTCCGGGCCCTCGACCCGCTGCTGCAACGACACCTCCTGCTGCACTCGCCGCTCCCGCAGCTGGCGGCGAAGCTGGGCCTCGCTGCACCTCGAGCACCCGTCTCGGGCGGTGCTGTCTTGTCCGCCACGGGCTTGACGCCCTTCCAGACCGTCATCTGGGCCATGTCCATCGGGTCGGCCGCGAAGCACATCTTCTGGAAGGCCGTCATCGCCAAGGAGACCGTGTACCCGGGCGCGGCGGTCGCCATCAGCGTCTTCAACACCGTCTTCAACACCCTCAACACCCTCCTGTACAACGCCTCGGCCGAAAACCCGACGTACTTGCCGCCCTGGAGCGTATACGTCGGCGCGGCCCTGTTCGCGGGCGGCGTGCTGGGCGAGACCGTATCCGAAGTCCAGCGTCTCAAATTCAAGAACGATCCCAAGAACGACGGCAAGATCTACACCGGCGGCCTGTTCTCCGTCGTCCGTCATGTCTCGTACCTGGGCTACTCGATGTGGCGCGCTGGATACGCGCTGGCGGCGGGAGGTCCGCTGTGGGGTGTCTTCATCGGCGGCTGGTTCCTCTGGGACTTTGGCACACGGGCAATTCCTGTCCTGGACGAGTACATGGCAAGCAAATACGGCGAGCAATGGGCCAAGGTCAAGAGGGACGTCCCCTATGCTCTGATCCCGGGGGTCTGGTGAGGCTCGACCTCGGAAAAAGTTCTTGTGTGTAACATTATCATTATCATGTCGTCTCACTCGCTATCAAGTGTACGGAGTAGATGGGAGACTTTTTGGAAAATCACGTTCATGTGTATCTCCTCTCCTAAACAATAAGAAGAAAAAGGTCCGGACCTCCAATGCCCGCTGGCTCAGCTGTGTCTGCTGGACCTGCCCACAGATTCTTCGCTCTCGTCATATGAGGGCAATCCATCTTTGGGGACCACATGCTCTCTGCCCCGTGCCTCCTCGGAGCTGGTCCTTGATTTCCTGAGCTCGAAGGTGACCACAAACACCAAGTAGAGCAGGAACATGGTTGCCGCAACGACGCCGTAGGCAATCTTTGCCTTGGTGGACGTGGAATCGGTCTGGAATGGGCTGAAGGACGCCAGTCTGATGCCCAAGCCGCCGTTGACCATCCCGAGCACAATGAGAAGCCGGCCGAGCCAGAGATGAATACGTCCGGGGGTCGTCCGGCTGGGCGGTTTGGTCGGCCTCCCGGCTTGGACATTCTGGGCGCGTTTCTTGTAGATCGAGTGATGGATGGAACCAAACTGGGTCGGCCGTCAGCATGGACAGGTTACAAAGACGATGGTCGAGCGCTGCGGTCCAGAAGCTCACTTCGATCACGCAGCATCAGAAGGGGAGGAACTTACAATTGGTTGAAAGAAAGCCAGGGCCAGGATCGCTAGACCCAGCTTCGGGTGAGGGTCGTTCCACACCCCGAAGGCGGAACTCTGTTGTGCAAGCCAGATGCCCATGCCCGCAGCGACAATGAAGACGATGTAGCTGAGGATCTGGCCGACGGCGTGGATTTTGAGCACAATCGGGTTCTTGATGTTCAGGCGCAGCAGGATCGCCAGTGACGGGACAAAGAGGACCCAGACTGCGGAGGCCAGGACGGCGTGGGCGATCAGGATCCGGGTCGCCCGGTCGAATTCAGCTGGGGAGGAGAAAAGAGCGCTCTGGGAGATGCTGTTCGACGACGAGGAGCCGCCGTCGTTGCCGCCATTGTTGGAGTTGTCACAGTTGCTAATCCAAGGGGGACAGTCACCCCCATTGCTCACGTCGCCACCGCCAAATCCAAAGCCCCCTCCGAACCCAAACTGAGCATTCGCCGTCGTTGCCAGCAGAGCTGCCGTGGCTAGCGCGATGATCGAGCTTCTGGCCATGGTTTATGGCCGCTTATCGGAATGGAAGTATCGTGGATATGCGGTGAGTTTCTTCTGGCGGGCGGAAGAAAGAGGTAGGGAGCGAGGATGAGAGCCGGAAGGCCTCATGGAGGGAAGGACAGGCCGTTATTATTATTCCTACCAAGTTTCAAAGGAGGGGGGCTGGATGATAGACAAGGGTAAAGTCTGGTTGTCCTACAGTACGCGAATCTTGAGTTTGCGACGCAGGTCGACGGAACAAAAAGACTGGGGCGCATGTTCCTCCTACAACTCGAAATAGCAGCGGGCCACACAAGACTGCGAATCATCGTCGAGCGAACGGCGGGCGATGAAGTCTTGGTTCGGCTTGGCTGCTGCGGAGGACGCGTAGCGGTCGGACAAGGGCCCCCAGGGACGTTGGACTGTGCTGTGCTTGATTGGCGAGTTCACCCCTGGGGAGCCCGGGGCAGTGCCTATCATGCCCGTACAACTGAAACTTGACGGGCGGGGTGGGGGGGCCCGTCGGGGGCCGGACTCTGCCCAACCGACTCGCCGACCTCAATGCTCAACTACCCTTATTAGCATGCTATCTACTCGTCTGATCAGACTCTACACACTTCACTTCAAGCGATACTGGGTAATTAAGTATCGTCTCTGTTTGAATCTACTCGTAGAGTGCCACACCGACCTGCTCCGTACACTGGGGAAGTTACCTACAGAGAAAGGGCCCACTGTCCGCTTCCCAGACAACGAAACTGTCGCCAAGTTCACAACAGCAGCACAACATCACATGACAGGAAAACGGAAAGCAAGACTACTCTGAAAGGGAAGGCAAGCTCTCTCATTCGTTATCGATTCTGTCGAGATGAATCGTCTCAACCCACAAGGAAGCCGAGCCGGCCTCGACCTCACCTCTGCCGCCCGGGATTCTTTGCACATCGCTGGCGCCGATCCCAAAGCGAACTTGATGCTTGATGTCAGTGCGCCGAGCTGCATGCTGACCCGTCAAACGGTTGAAACATTTTACCCCCTCCAGCGAACCGAGTTTGCCTCAGCTGGGTACATCTGGTGAATGTCCTTGGTTCTCATTCAGTCTGTCGCTCCCGACGAAATCCATTCAAGATTCTCCTTTTCTCCCTCGTCCACGTGCTCCTGCATTGCAAAGACCTTTTCGAAATCTCTTCCCATCGTCACCCGGTTTCAGAAAGGCCCTTCTACCAACCACAGATGGTTCGCCGAGGATGATGAGCCATCGCCGAATCTGGAATTTTGAAAGTCTGTCGTAACGTATTGTCATTTGCTTGAATGCGTGTCGTCATGTCATCGTGATGCTCGAGACGTGGTATTACATCATCAACCATCCATAGGGACCATTTTTTTTGTGTTGGATAGGAAAGGAAAAGTAGTGGTCGGTTCGTCAAGATGCTAGCGCCAGTCGACTAGTTGGGGCAAGCGGACTGCAAGTGTCCTGGTTGCTTGCCTGGAGTTGCATGGTTAGAAGAGTCCGGTCATGGGAACAGGGTGATCTCACATTTGTAGCAGATGCGCTCAGAGCTGGGCTCAGACGGGCAGTCACGAGAGAGGTGACCTTGTTCGCCACAGTTCTACATGTCATGTCAGTGTATGGATTGGCGCTGGGGCACCGGGAGACATACGTAGCATTTTTGAGAACGACCCTGGGTGCAGTCACTGGCCCATAGTTAGCTAGGTGCATGGAGCAACAAGTTTGACCGTGCTTTACCGAGACATATGGCCAATGCCGCCACAAGACTGGTTGTCAACTGTTAGTACAGATCTCAGACTTGTCGGCGGGAGGATCTCTCTCACATAGCAGGTCTGACCCCCGCCGCCGCGATTGAACCCGCCGCCAAATCCGCCGCCATGGCCTCCGCCGCCGCCGGAAGTACAGTCACTGAGGAGATCAGCAGATTTTCAATCCAACATTGGGGGAGAAAAGTGGCTTACCGCGCTATGTGGCCCTGCCCCCCGCAGCGATAGCATTCTCGAGTCGACCCGCCGCCGTAAGTGTTCCCGCCGGTGCTACCCCAGGCCCCTCCTGCACCTCCAGGAGGACCAGCCTGTGGGCAGTCGCGTGCAAAGTGTCCTTCATTCCCACCTGCGAAGGAATCAATATATGTGTGTGTGTGGATGAGCGCGTCGTTCAAGGCTTGGACTAACACTTGTAGCAAGACTTTGGCTTGGGCGCAGAAGTGCATTCTCGGCTAACGTGGCCTTCGGCTTTGGAAGAGGTAAGTAAGAGCAAAGGCTGAGAGTGACTTGTGCCACGTACCTCCGCAGTTGTAACTGTGGACATGTCAGTCGACCGGTCGTAAAAGATCTGATGGCGGGCAAACAGGTCAGATGGACTCACCAGGTGGGTGTGCCTTTCTTAGGGCAGTCGCGTGCCTGAAGTAGAGTAAGGGGATGTAGGGTCAATGATAACAGTCGCGAGTACCTGGTGCGAAGAGTCGCCGCAGTTGTAGCAGCCACGGTCCATGATGTTTTGGTGCGTGCTTGTTTCGAGAACCTGAAAATTCAGTCAATTCTCGGTTTTGGCCACATACAGCTCGTGCAGGATGACGAGAAGCCGGGGACACGTACCAGCTGTCGAGCTCAAGAGGAATCAGATAGAAGAGGAGGCTGAGTGTCGAGTTTGGTCTTTGTGTGCAAAGTGAACGCTTGGTCAACTAAAGCTGAGGAGAAAATGCGATGGAGAAAAAGTGGCCGGCGGCGTGGATTGGCAGAATTATTAGACCCCGGGGTTTTTTCAACGTCATACTTGGAAGGGGCACAAGGGGCTCAAGGGCCTCTAAAACTCTGCTCATTCGTGCCATTGTACTGGTACTGGTACAATCTTGACGACTTAGGTAGGTTAGCCAGCTGCATAACTGCACTGCCCTCGTCTACCGCTGGTCTGGATCGTTCAAGGCCCTTTTTCTGTCACGTTTGGAGCCACGCGGAAAGGTTCCTTGCCTCCTATTCGTCGTTGCTGCAGATAAGCCCGGTTATCACGAGACGGGGGATACAGAGTTGACAGTAATACCACTGAGGCCAGTTTGGCTGTCCTCGGTGCCGGATATTGCCAGAATCTGACAGCCCAGCCGCCCGGGAGGTCTTTCTCAATCTGTGTTTGTTTATTTCAAGCCCCTCTAGATGCTACGTAAAATCGTACAATGCCATGATCTGTCGTTGATTTCGTTCGCCCAGCACCACCACCTGCTCATCATCGAAACCAACCCACCGTCGAGTGAGCTCTAGTTCGCGGCTCATCTCGCCCAAGGCCAGGCCCAGACCAGGACCTCGTCGAGCCAACAGCCCGATGCCACCAGAAAATGCGTCGACTGCTGTAACCCGTGTGCTGGCCCGAGGCTGGCTTTCAGTCGCCATCACAGGCTCCAGTTCCCAAACTCGCATTTCATCTCCGTGACAGCTGATCGACACTGCTTTGCCCCGGTTGTTGACTTCCGCGCCTGAAACTGCTGACGTGTGACCCCAGAGACGTCTTCCGGCGCTAATTTCTAGTCGTTGGTCGTTGGAAGTCACCAGGAACGACATGATGGTGTTATCTGCCAACGTCCCAATCAGGAACGGATGTTGATAGGAAAGAGATGTGGGCGGGTTCATCAATTGAGGGTGCAGAGGTAACGGCAGGGAGCTTGTCGATCGAGTGGTCATGTCTCCTTTGCTCCAACCTGTGTAGGGAGGCCCAACGGTTGAGGCCAGTCTGCTGTCCACAAGTCTGCCGGTCGTGGTCAAGCGGATCTCCTGTAACCCAACACACCACCCGGATTGAAACCTGCTAAACGCATAGGCGATGGTCGCAATGACGTGGGTTGGTGCGCGTCTCACACCTACCGAAATAGGCGCAAAGGACGCATCGGACTGCAGTCGAGCAATGGTCAGTATATTGGTGGCGTCACCAGCTCCAGTTACCTTCGAGTCCCACTGATACAGACTGAGGTATTTTGTTCTGGAAACCGTCGCCACGTAGGGGAAGGCTGAAGAAATCGCCGTTAGAGGCCCGTCGGCTGACTGGTGGCTTAACCGATGCTCGAAGTGACCCCTCCGATCGTAGAGGTAAATCGCAAGGGACCCATTATCAAACCCAAGCAAAATATAAGTTGTATCGTCGATCGTTTCCACGGCCATGCAGGTGGCTGCCGACGTCGCACGAAGCCGAATCTGCGCTCTCGATGTCTTCGTCACGTCTCTCTGCGACCAGACCCGCAAGCCAGTTGCTGGATCCACCGTGAATATCATGCCTCGGTGGACTTTCGCAATCACAGGCGGTGTGGGCGGACGAGCGACCTCGACTTCCTTTACTTTGGCCTGGCCCTTTGACCAATTTGATTTGATTCTGAACTGGCTTTTCCAATCAACTGAGTGATCTTGTCGCCCTATGCCGGCAGAAGGTATACGTCGCATGCGCGGTCGCACCCATGCTTGCATATATTTCACCTTCCAGATTCCGCGGTCGGTAGCGAGAGAATGAAGTCGGCGCGAGACACTGTGGGGGGAGGGTGGATTAGCAAAAGTCCAGCGAGCAGGTCCTGTGAGGTACTCACCACTCCGCCTTCAGTAAGTCTTTGATGGGGAGAAATGACAGGATCCGTAGGAGGATCTCGTCGCTGATGTCCAGCAGACTTCGCTTGGACCCAGTGCGACTTCGTTTCGTAGGCGTTGGTTGCTTGCCAACATCATCGTCACTCCGTCTCCTTTTCGGCATCTCAAGGGCGCAGGCTGGGTGGGCTAGACGGGTTGCATGAATATTCGATAGAGTTAAGATACGGGAGTAATATTATTCCGTGCTACTTGGAGATCTGCTCGGGTGGCTGCCCCACATCGCGTCTCCCCAAGCTGACTAAGGAATATACAACATTTCTGACGCGCCTCCCCTGATGTACACGGCAATTATCTGAGCCGTTCACCGAGCCCGCCATGTCTGCTTCTACGTCGTCGCTGGCATCGACCCTTAGCCTTGCGCTGACGCAGAGCGAAGCACTCCACCGGCAGCTGGAGGATAGCAATGGAACGATTGAACGCCTCAAACGCGAGAATGAGAGGCTGAAGCACGAGATCCAGGAATTGCGTCAGGCACATATTCAGACGCAAGAGGTCGGGCCAGAGCTTGCGGCCCAGCTCGACCAGCTGTTCCGGAAGGACGCAGAGAAGCAAGCGGAGATTGACAGTTTGAAGAATCAGCTCCGCAAGGAGAGAAGACGCTCACAGAACGCACACCTGTCTTCTCCCCTGGTGCCGAGCGACGACCAAACGCCAAGAAATGTCAGTCGGAAGCGACAGAGAGCCAGCAGTATGGAAAAGAATGAGCCTCTGGCACAAATCGAATCAAATGCTCCCTCAGCAAGTCGCACGGTCCGAACGTCGAAATGTAGAGGTTCGAGTGAGCGAGGAGCGGGAGCTATCTCGTCTGTTACAGAAGATGGCATTGATCACAATCGAGACGATACAGAAAATCTACCGGAAAAGCGTGCTTATCCAAAGACTTCTCCCCGCCAGCGCTTGCAGACATTGCTAACAGCACCCGCGCCTGCTGCCGTTGTACCTCCTCGTCCCAGTTCCGTCAGAAAGGCTCCTGTCACAGACAAAGCAGCAGAGAAGAATGAGCCTCTCCGTTCCCGGCCCCTCCTTCAGCTCGATCTCTCCCACTTCAAAGTCAACCCCAAATACACTGGAGGTCTCGATTATGCGTTCCAGGATGTTGTCCGTAACAAGGAAGCGAGGAAATGTCTACCCGGCTGTATGCGACCGGAATGTTGTGGGACGAAATTCAGAGTCCTGGCAGAAACACTGCCCCGTGACCCTAACGTCTGTGATGATGACCTCTTGCGTGAATTCCTCGGGCCTGGGTTAGCACACAAAATACATTCATTGACGCCTTTGGCGAGAGCAAATCTAGTGCATGAAGCTCGGGCGAACGCGCTTGCCAAAGAGTATGGAAGGATGCACAGGGCGAATTTCGCTTTACCGTCTACCCCTCCAGGGTTCTGGGACGTTGATATTCCATCCACGCAAGAGCAAACCGAGATTCAGGAGCAAGCACGCCAGAGACAGAGGGAGGAGGTTGAGAAGCGGTATCAAGAGGCTATGAAGGGCGGACGCTGGATCTTCGCCGATGAGTGACTCCAGCACCAGTATCGGAGGAGAACGATATCGATGCTCGCTTGAATATGGCTACGACGTAACCTCCAGGTTATGGAACGACACCCTTTGTGACATGAATCAAACGCCATATTAGTCGAGGGCCGTGGTCCACCTTGGTTCTCGCTTTGCTGTCGTTCTCTGAGATGATTTGTCTCAGAGCCGGTCGAACGGTCTCTTCACTTCTGACGACTCCCTCCCGCGGGCCACTTAGCACATGGCACGGGCGTCCCACGCGAAGGCAAGTCCTTCTAGGCAGTAGACACAGGCTCATCCTTCACTTTCTGCGTTGTTGAAATCGGTCGGCTGCTTCATTCTACCACATACCAGTTCACCCTCTCTGTCATCTTCTCGGTCTCCGAGTGAGAGCTCATTCTGAACGCCCAGATCTTCAATCCTGCTTCATCTGCGTTAGTTATGGAGGAATCCTCGAAGTTGAAGAGCAACAAACCGGCAGCATTTAAGTCTGCCGTACCCCGAAACGATCTTATCCCGCCAAATTCAAATTTGAAATTCTCACCAGCAGATATGAGCGCTCGGATCACACATCAGTTACCAGGACGACCAATTCCCATCGCGCCTCGCGCAATGACGGCGTCAGCATTGTCCCATGTTCAAGTTGGCACTGATGTCCTCGATTTTAGGCTGTTTCCCGAGCATCCTGTTCTCATCACAGATCATCTTCGACGAGTCGGGGGTCTTCTACGGGGCGTTGAGGGCAGCGAAGATGCAGGATCCCCTCCGTGGCCGCAGTTTATCCTCAACGAAGCCTTGAAAGTTGTCAACGCGACATGCCCACTGGTCCTCCGGAAACAGGTGCTGAGGCCAATCCAGGGTACTTCTGCAACATGCCGTTCGTTAGCCTCTCGCATCCCAGCCAGATACTTTCCAGCGTCTGGGACCGTAGTGGACCGCTTCTTCACTGGCCTGATCGGCTTCTTGGAAGATCAATACAGTTTTCCTGGCAGACATGCGATGGACATTCCCTACCAACAGGGACCTTTGCCTACGACTTTCCCTCAAACAAGCAATGCGGGTCGAAAACAAGTCGAAGACCATCGTTCCAACAGTCACTCAAAGCGGAGAAAGCCTCATTCAGCACCGAAGATCTTGCCCAACATGTCTGTACCTACCTCCGACCGAACCAAGCAAGAAGTCACCACAAGCGAATACTCTCCTGAGGCACACTCAGAGGATAAAAGAGATAGGAATATGGAAACGGCATCAGGCACCATTCAGACATCTTGCTCGAGAAAGCGGAAGAGCCTGGATCAGGAGACTCTAACTAAAGATGGCAAGGAGGATAGGGCAAGCACGGGTGACCCTACACCGATCATCAAGGGGAAGAAGAAGAGGAAGAAGAAGAAAGCTACGAGAACATGCATCGAGCCAACTGTGCCGTCAGCCCCTTCGCCGGTGCCCGAGCCCAAGGTGATAAAATTGGAGGACTCATCCAACGAGGCATCCGACGAGGAATCTGACGCGGAATCCGACATCAACCCCCCTTCACGCCCGAAGCGAAATGTATACGAGTACATGTACCACAAAGCTCAAGAGGACATCCGCTTCTTCGAGAGATTTCTTCAGCAGGGGGCGGGCATCTCCAAGGCAGATATCGACGCGAGTAAGATCCGAGTGGCGATGGGACAGTCTCACAAGAAGGCATTCGACCAGGTTTTCAAGCCTTCGGAAAAGAAGTTGGCGAGGCGTCCGAGGACTCCCGAACAAGACTGAGGACGTCGCGTTGGGACGACTTTGGCGAAACATGGAGATCTCACGCTGGACACAAATCATCCGGACACCACTTTTCTCCTGGCACAGGGACAGGAGCAAGGTTTAGAGGCTTTGGATGTTTGAGTATGAACAACAGACCCCCCGAGCTGCAACCTCTAGCAGAAGAAAGGGAAAGCAGCAGATAAGGAAAGCTTTATCGGACTGGTTGGATGACAAAAGCGATTAGGCAACTCAGAAATCGTGCTCGCCCTTGCGCACAGCAGGGGAGAGAGTCAGGACAGAGAGTTTTCTACTACCCATAACACTATTTTAGTCCAACCGGAGTTCCTGAAAACGCCCTCGAGGACGCGAGGACGTCGAGGTCGAAGAGCGCGTGGTCGGCGTGGGTTGACATAATCAGCTTGTGCTGGACAACTGTTTGGCCGGGACTCAATCCAGAAATCTAGGCTTTGTTCTTCTCGTTGCGTTAAGTAGAATGGGAATGTAACTATGCTACAGTATATCCCGTGGATGATGCCCCTCGTCCTCGAGGACGGAGTCTGCTCGCTTATTGTCAACTCCCAGAAATACCTGTGGCGACTGCACTCTTCCAGGATATGGGACGACCAAGTCATCTACGAGAAGTAAAGCATACAGTATGGCACAATAACTCATCATGTGAAGCCTCTGAACGGGGACTTGCATCTTCTGATACATACTCTATCACTTGCAGGTTGTCAGGTTTGTCAGATATCTTCTTCCGATGCCGAGGAGACTTTCTGTGGTGCAGCGCTCCGATAAAATGCTCTGTGGATCAGGCCCACCTTGAATATGTATACGCACGGCATAATGTCGAATATTTGAAAAGTCCAAGCCCGAGAGTTTGTGATGACAAAAGACAAAAGAAATAAGCCCGGAACCCCTGAGCTGCGACGAGCGCGTTTGTCAACCGCTGCGATCGATTTGAAGGGGACTACCCGTGGCAGCGAATGCTCCCGCAAATGACACCGCTATCCTCTGAGACGCCAAACAAGAACTCGACACGATCCCGAAACACAACATCTCCCATATATGCAAGACTCCCAGCTCTTGTCTGGGCCCCAAACACTTGATGTGGGTCCTTATGAATCGAAGATGGGAGCGAAAATAGGAACTCCCCGGCTCTCCAAGTCATAAACCACCCTTCTAGTAACCTTGGGGTTGGAAATGACAAACACCGCTTCCGCGCCTGACAGTACAAACAGCTCGTAGGTCTGTTTGACAAGGTTCGGTCTTCCTGACACGGTGGTGTTGATGATGATAGCTTCAGGATCAGCTCGACGAACAACCTCGATGACGCGCTTGGAGTATGTGACTTCGGGATCAGGAGTCGACCAAAGTATCCGGCACGAGATGTCCCTCTTATGCAACAGTGACATGATGGGACCAATGCCCGAGCCAGTGGCGACTAGGACCATCTTCCTAAAGATCGGAGCCACGTGAAGCACCCCCATCGTGGGAATGCCACGAACCCACAACTTCGTGGGCGGCGACCTGATCAACCGTGATGTCCAATCTCCAGCCTTGGAAACAAGGACAGAGAAGCCGCAGCCGTCTTCTCCTGGGATGCCGGCAAATGCATGCCATTCCATGAGCGGACTGTCCGAAAGCCGAGGGGCAGCACAGAGAGGCAAGTTTGTATATGTAAAGTGGAGGCGGATAGCATGATCTGATAATGGCTCTGCATTCACCGAAACCTTCCGCAGCCATATCCACGGCAACGCAATTGAAATGGTGGCGATGAGAAGAGTCCAAAAGATAGGGCTGCCGAGAACCAGTTGTTGCGCTGAGACGTTGATGGAGGCACTGTGGACTCTTGCATCTGTCAAGAGTCCGAATTCGGCCCAGAACAATGCCACGGCAGTCCAGCCGGCAAAGCGATGGACTAACTCGAATTGATTGTGCATTCTCGCGCGTATGCCGGGGTGAGCCATAGTGATTATGGAGATCAGGAGGACATCGAGGACGACGGTGATGATGGGTATGCTGTTCTGATGTCTTTGCAGCGCTCCAGTTTGTAATGCTCTGACCGTCGACACGTTGAAGAAGGCAAACCACACTGCTGCCGATACGCCTGCGCCGCTATGTAGGCCACCCAGATGATAGATCTTTGCGGCTAGCCGACGGAAACGCAGTGGGAACCACTGGGGACACTGGCCAAATGTCCAGAAGAGCGCATTGATGACCAGTTCCTGTCGGACCAGGACACTCACAGTCAGATTGATAGATACGGCCGTCGCAGCCCACTCTGGTGACATGGAGAGGAGGTTATGCTGTGTAGCCAGCACAATGATGGCAATGACATTGGCAGTCAGAGCCAGGGCGTTGAGGCGGCGATACACGGAGAAAATAGTCCACCGTAGGTTACGCAAGACGCGGGTGTATTTTTTGTCAGGCATCTTTATCTCGGGTACAGGCTGCTTCTCGAGGATGACTGAACCTGATCTGGAGGATGTGTGATCCTGTGCGACTTGAGCTCCGGGTGGCGCTAGCCCTGACGCTCCTCGAGACAAAGTCAAGCGTTCTGCGCCATCGATTTGTGTTATCGGATAGTTGGGATCGTCGGGGTCGTCAAAGAGGTCCTGGGGGACAAGATGAGTCGCTATAACCCCTTTTTCATCGACATGGAAGCGCACGGAGTCCTGCTGTTGAGACTCGAGGGTGTAAAGGGATGGAGAGGTTGCAGATGCCATTGTGCGAGGACTAGACGCGTTTTGTTAGCGAAAATGCTGAAGTAGGTCAAACAACTGCGTTTACGACAGAGAACTGAAGAGACAAACAGGATCACAATCAGTAAAAAAGGTGATCACGGGTGATGGTTCACCTGGAGAAAAAATTCAACTCGTGGACGGGATGAGAATGACGCTAGCAGCAATCCAGCCATGATCACGACTTTGAAGGGATGAAATTTCGTGTCCCAGAGAACGAGAAGATTGCCAGTGAAGCAAGGTGAGGCAGTCTGAACCCCGTGAACTGGGCAAACGGGCCGGGCACTCACCAGGTTTGTTTTGTTTGTTTCCCCAGATACCTGAGATTCAGATGTGGATGGTGCGCAGTGAGATAGGATAGGATAAGATCATCTGAAGGAAGGTATCTGGAAGCCTTATAACAACGGGAGAGAACGCTTGAGCGGAAGCGGTCAATGGAAATGCCAAGTGTGTTCTTGTTTCGTTCAGTTCCAGACAAGTGAATTCAGACAGTGTTGCAGTACGTAGTGTATTCGTCTCAGAAACCCATCAGGGTGAGCAAGGAACAGAGAGGTCAGGTGGCAAGTGACTTGGCGAAGAGTGAAGGAAGCTGAGCAGCTGAACCAGGTGAGCAAGCCGGTTTAAGACGGGGGCGAGTAGAAGGTGACTCGAAAACGTGGGTAATGAGAAATCACGCAGCCGAAGCCGAAGGATGACAGAAACTGGAGGCGAGCTCAGAAGGGGACCGGCTTGAGGGTAACTGAGGTACACGACAGAGGCGAAGCGAGCGGCGAGAGACGGGAGATGGCGAGATGCTGGGGAGGAAGTGCTGTTGTTCCGTGGGATGTCGGACGAGGAGGAGGAGAACATGCACGTAGGAATACCAATGCGTGGGATGGCTCGTGTTCGTGTGTTGCTGTCCATAGGACTGGATTCGGACTGGGGGGAACAAGGATACTGATGAGGATAAGGATGATGCATGCCGCAGCATTGAGAGTCCCAAAGGAGCATTGGACCCACGGATTTGGATCGATTGTTCAGGGATGTGGAATGGCCCAGCTACTGCAGGTTGGTCTTGTCTTGTCGGTAGCCAATTGATGGTCATGCCAATATATCGATTCGCTTGGGCCAATTGGGGGGTGGGAGAAGAGAATGGCAAGAGCTGAGGCGCTCGAGGGAGGAAGTCAGGGAAGTCAGCCAGTGCCAGTGCCAGTGCCAGTGCATCCATCTGATGCATCCGCAGTCTCTTTCCTCTCCTCTCACTTCCGCCTCCTGCCTTCTGCCTTCTCACTGTCCTCCTGCCTCTCCTGCAGCTTCTGCATCTCCCACACTCTGGTGCTCACACTGGCTGGGCGAGGGGGTCGAGGCCACGACCACGGGGGAAACTGCAAAGAGCAGGGCGTAGGCAACAAGGACCAACGACCAAAGAGAGACGAGTAGCTTCTGTCTGCTGGAGGTGACTAATGAAGCCGCTGTCAGAATCTCTCTGCATTCCTGGTTGTTGTATGGTGGTGACTTTGCACGTTTCTTCTCTTACACACACACACGCTTCTCACCTCCCACCTCTCACATCACCACACCCTCACACCTCACACCTCACACCTCACAATTCGCACCTCTGCTGTGTCTTCCTTGGTCAAAGTTCCTCTGTTGTTGTTGCTCCTGCCTACCTTGAATGCGTTGTCGAGACACACCAGTCCCAACGAAGCCGTGATGACGACGTCCCTGACAATAATAATCCTGGCGTCAACCTCATCTTCATCACCCCTGCAGTCCCTTGGTAGTCAGTGACATACCGAAAATTTTCATCCGCTTCACTCACCTCCCCTAGTCACTTATCCCTAAAAGACCCATTTCACTCCCGGTCGTAGCTGTATCGTCGAATTTTTCCAGGCCTCCTGTGCTCCTCTGACCGCAGGATCGGTCTCCTCTCACAGATTGCTACCGTTTATCCGTCATTCCTTCTCACTCGTGTTCGCTAGAGGTGTGCTTCTTGCTTCTCTTGTCCCACCTGACCGTCCATAGAATTGTGACACCTGTCTTCGCTGTCTGCAAGCCATCGTTACACAATGTCTCTGTCGCAACAATCCCCCGCAGATGCCGTCGATCCTGTCTGGACAGCTCCAAAATCCATCCAGATACCTTCCACTGACATCTTGACGTTCGCCTTTGCCAATCTCAGCCAATATGACAATAGTTGCCCGGTAGGCTGCTTGAACTGTTCCACTCTTTGGCTCTGGATGCTGATTCTTGTGACCCTGGTGTGCAGATTTTCATCGATGCCAACGATCCTTCCAATAGGATCTCGGCCCAGCAGGCTCTTCAGACCGTCCGTGAACTGATCCACAGCCTTCGAGCATTGGATCTGAAAGACGGCGAATGCGTGTGCCTGCATTCCTTTAACAACGTGAGTCTTCCCCCGGTCGCTCAAAACCGGCTATTGCCGCCGCACCCACTGCCTCACCTTGACGCTGTGTGACTTGACTGACCAGGGGGTCGACTTGGGGTCGAGGATAGATCTGGTACCCCCTGATCTGGTTGGCGATAATCGGATCCGGAGCTCGTGTTGTTGGGTCCAATCCCAAATACACAAAAGATGAATTGATCCATCTGCTCAGTCTCACAAAGCCCAAGATCATCTTCGCCCAGGTGGACTGCATGGAACCAATGGTCGAAGCACTCGCCCAATGCGAAACCGACTCCCAAATCTTCGTCATTGGGTCCCATAGCACCTCACATCAGGTCCAAGGTCGAGGTTATGCCAGCTGGCGTACACTCTTGCTCGGGGCTGAGTGTAGTTGGTCGGCTCGCGCCGCAGATGGCAAAGCTGACCAAGAACGTATCGCCGTGTATGCCATGACCAGTGGAACAACCGGTCTGCCCAAGGCGGCCATGATTTCGCATCGGTATATCGTGGCCTTGACTTCAACCTTGGAAGATGCATTCCGTAGCAGACAATACCGAGTACTGTCCCCTGTCGTCTCCAAACAAAAGTTGCAGAAACGAGACTGACATGCTTCATAGCCATCACAACTCATCTGTCTACCTGTCTTTCACGCATTTGCATCACCTTTGGCCCTGGTCTTGCCCCTGCGATTGGGTCTTCCCACTTTTTTTCTGCCGAAGTGGTCGCTTTCGGAATACTTGCAAGCCCTCAACACGTACGCCATTACTGATACCCCAGTATCTCCACCAATTGTTGGCGCTTTGACCAGGCTCTCCGCCTCAGACAAGCTCCTTCTCCAAAGCCTCCGCTATGTCATCTCTGCCGGTGCCGCTCTTCCTGCAAGCGTGCAGAACAAGTTGTACGATGTCTTGGATTCCGAGGCAGTCATCGCCCAATGCTGGGGGACGACCGAGGCAGGCTGGCACTCTTTAGGCAGTTCGCAAACAAGGGACCTTTCGGGAAGTGTCGGGCAATTGATGCCCAATGCTCAAATGAAGTTGGTGGGCGAGGATGGGAATCCGATTGTCCAGGAAGGCACGGCTGGAGAGGCGTTGATCAAGACTCCGACAATGTTCTCTGGGTATCTGGGGAATCCAGAGGCTAACCGTGATTCCTTCGACTCTCATGGGTTTTACCGCACCGGTGATCGGGTGGCTGTTCAGGATGGTCTCCTGTATTATTCTGACAGAATCAAAGAGACCCTGAAAGTCAAAGGGTGGCAAGTCTCGCCGAGCGAGATCGAAAGTGTTCTCATTCAGCATCCCCAGATTTCGGATGTCGCTATTAGCGGGAAGATCCAGAGGAACGAGGTAGGCCTGTCGGAGACGTTTCCAACCGCATATGTGGTTCGATCAGGCGGTGGCCATGGGCCTCCCTTGACGGAGCAGGAGGTCAAGGATTTCGTCGCTGCCCGGCTCATCTCATACAAGCACATCACAGGAGGTGTCATCTTCGTCACGCAAATCCCTCGATCCCCCTCTGGAAAAATCCTTCGTCGAAATCTCCCTAGGGCAGAGCGCGATCTGTCGAGCGAAGACATGATGCCAGAAGAGGCTGAAGACGACGCGGGGCCCGACCGCAACTGATTAAGACGGTATCTGTGTCATGAAGACGGCCTGGCAAGTAGGTTGACTGTGTCAACGATTCTTGGTGAAATCTGTCGAAATCAGGAGCAGGAACAGGCATGTGCTCGTCCAACGAGCGTCTCAGTCATGTTGGACAAATGAGTTGAATAATCCAGGGGCGGTCCCCAGAAAAGGGAGCGGAACCTGGATATCCGGGAACGACACACCTACCCCAGACATTTCCTAGGGGTGATAAGGAGAGTCGGCTGTTGAAGAAAGATCGTTGTTAGGCGCTCAGGTTTTCAACGCTCAAGAGTTGGCGACAAGCAAGAAGAATCTGGTAGCAAACAATGTCAAACTTGAATAGTGCAACGTGTCGTTGGCGTGCCAAGAAGACTCTCAATACCTATTGTCCGTAATGGATAAACAAACAATTGATCAAGTTACCACCACAATATGCGATATCTCAGTTGAATGGATATTAACAAGAGGCAGGGTTAAATGAATTCATAACTAACGAGATAGTACATAAGAATACATATCACAAGTCTGAGTGAGCTGAGCTGGTTTGACGCACTTCCAATGTTGACTGGAAAGACGGTCATTTAGAAATATCCGTCATTTGAAAAGCATCAACAGTGTTTGTTATTCGCGAAATTGTCACCTCTGCCAGCGCACGCCATCAACCCTTGCAACTTAAAGTGTACACCGCCGAGGAGCACACATCTGAGCTGATTTCTCAAAGCTGACCATTGGACTGTCGTGCATCTCGAGCCACCTTTATATATGAACCCAGCAAAAATGTCTCTCTCAACCCAAACACCGACCGACATCACAATGCAAATAGTCGTTCCCAACGACTCCAATCCTACAGGCCCGCCGCTCCTCTCAGCAGAACGCCGCATCACCCCGACGTGGACCGTGTCCCAGTTGAAATCGAAACTGGAACCCGTCACGGGAATCCCTTCATCCTCACAGTCCCTTCGCACCAGATCTCTCGACGGGACCTGGATCACGTTGGCAACTGACTCGTCTCTGCTCTCCGACCCCCGGTTCGGCCTAAGAAAGGGTTCGGAGATCGAGGTCCAGGACACCCGGCCCCCGCAACTCCGACAGAACCTCAACTTTCTCGCGGCGGACCTCAGTTCGGTGGAGAAGTACCAGATGCCCGAGAACCAGTACGAGAAGCTGGAGGACTCGGTGCTCGCGTGGAAACGCCGCCAGAAACTGGGCCGGTTTGATCCCCACGCCAAGTCCCAATCCCAGATGGCCGAGGAACGGAGACGGAAGGACGAGAAAGAAATGGACGCCCGGGGAATCAAGGTGGGTCTGAGGTGTCGAGTCGGCCGCGATGATGGGAGGAGGGGCACGGTGAGGTTCACGGGCGAGATTCCCGGGCTAGGCGGGCAGCGAGAGGACGGATGTCTCTGGGTTGGCGTGGAGCTGGACGAGCCGGTAGGGAGGAACGACGGGAGCGTCCAAGTCGAACTGGTGAAGAGCGAGGGACGCGGCAAGCCGGTCTACGAGATGAGGCGGGTGTTTGACTGTGCGGACAAGCACGGTGTCTTCGCCCGGCCGGAGAAGATCGAAGTGGGCGACTTCCCACCCCTGACTGATCTGCTCGACGAGGACATGGAAGAGATTTGACCTCGAGGGGCAAGGCAAGCAAACAGACGATCCGCGACCAGAGTGAGGAGCAGCCTCCAATGGCCCGGAACTGGTCTTCGCGGACAAAATAAGTCGAACCAACTTATCCATGGAAAATGTCCTCTTTGGTTGGACTCATGGACCAAAGTGTGCCTCCGCCATCTGGACCGCGGCATCACGGTGCCACAGAGGCAGCATCCCGTTGTCTGTCCACGAAGCGAAAAATGGCACGGGAAGCCGATTTTACGACAAACAAAACAAAAGATGAATTAAGAGGAGAGCCTTTTCTGTCTCACCTGCCACTCTATCTATCTGTGCAGGGCGGTCGAGGCGATTCGATTGACGTTTGCCGGGCGGGCTGAATGGTACGGAGATGTGTGTGGTTGGAATATCCAAGGGCACAGAGCGATCCGAAGAAAGGCGGAATCCAAGTCTTTCAGTGGCTCTATGGCTTCCGTGGCTTTGGGAGCGAGCAGCTTTATTGCCAGAAACGTCCACCATTTCGGACAACGACGCAGGACGACAGCTCATCCCACACGATTCAATACACATCATATATTATTCTTGCTCCTGTAGCTTGAGACCTTTCAGAGTCTATTCCTCGGAGGTCTGGTGGTTTTTCACGCCAGACAGTCACCTCCAAGAGGTATGTATATGTGTTTGATCCTTTGTGAATTCGGATCGCTTTTGACCGGTGCCGTCGATCCGCCCAAACCCAGTGAGAGAAGCGAGACGTCGAGAATCATTCCAAATAAAAGGCGCCCTTGCACCAGCTAAAGATCAGTCATATTCCTCGGCCGGAGCGGGTTCGCAGCCTTGACTGAAAAATATCCTGGCCGGCTTCTCCATTTCGTTCTCGATCGAATATTGATTGCCTGGGGGAATTTTGCCACAAACGTCAGCCTGTCAATCTTGTAATCTGCCACTGGGGAAGACTCTCTCACCTCTGGGAACCTGCCAAAAGCCGCCCTTCCCGATACTAAACCTATTTATGCTTCCTGTTTCCTCACTGCCGGCTGGACCCACCGTCACAGTGACCCTCCCTTTGACGACGAAGAAACTCATGTGCATTTTCCGACTGTTCTTGGGCCGTTTCACTCCTCCGGGCGGTAAATCCACGAGTCCCGTGCCAAAGAACTTCGTGGACAGTAGTTTGGCATAGCGGAAGGAGGGACCATCATGGAGACTCGAGCTCTTAACTTCGCGTGTCCTGATCGCCGCCGGCGCATGGGCGATTTCGACTTCCTCCTCCAGTTCCGTGGGTGCTTGTTCTTCGTTATCCCAGATGGAGACATTGCCGCGGAGCGTGCCGGTTCCAGTCTCCCAGGGCTCGGCATCTGGATCCTCAGGAATCCCATCCATGTCAAACTCTGACTCTGACTCCTCCGATTGTTCCACTGATTTTTGGCGTGCTTTGCCCGTGCCCTTCCCATTCTTCTTTTTGCCCTTTGATTTCTTCTTTCCAATGTTCGGCTCAATCTCTTCAATTCGCACGATCTCCTTGATGCTGTTCAACGGGAACCTGGCGCCGTCCGCTAAACCACCGCCGCTAGGACTCGCGCCGTAGACACATCGCTCGTTCCGCCAGTATGCCAAGGGTCTCACGCTGGCTCGGCCACTTCTCGTGTGCTGAACACTGTTGTCCATGGGAGTCTCCCGACGTAGAATGTAGAGTGACCTAGGTGGTCCAGGCCTGGCTTCTACCCTTTCAACGATGTCGTCGAGTTCTCTTTGTTGCTGGGACGACAGTTTGAGATTTGTATCCTTAATCGCCAGCGCTTGTCTCGCCTCTGCGGCTGTCTCTGCTTCTGGCAACGTCCGGTTGGGGCTTGGAGGGCGCTGCTTACTCTCCTTGTGGGTATGAACTCGTCCCTGCTTTTTGCGCGTTTTCTTTGGTACCGGTGATGCCACCTTATCGTCTTCTTCAAGTAGATCGGATTTCCGTTTCTTTCTCGAATTGGCTTTGTTCTGTGTCACTTCAGCTGGTGGTAATTCAGGTTCCTGCCCTCGGTCTGCGTCTGCGTTATCAGACCCGGCATAAGCATCACTGATCTCTGCCGAAAGTTCCCTGTCTGAGGGAGCTTTTGTGGCTGCTGCTTGCTCAATAGATGGTAAAATGTCAACAGGATCCACTGTTAGGAGCACTTCTTCTTCAACGGTCTGTTGAGGTGGGTCAAAGACCTCTTCCTCAACAGAAGCGTAAACCTCGTTTTCGATGCGTTGCATTTCGCGACTCGGTCTCGGTTTCGGGGTTTTGTGTGAAACAGGTGTTGTAACGTCTCGTAGTGGTAGCCTCTGCGCACTTGGGCTGACAATTGTAGGTGGCAGCAGCGGCTGGCTCCGCGTCGGCGTAGGCATCGGCTGAGCAACGTTTTCGTAATCCTCATTATTCTCGGGCTGCAAACTTTTCCGCGTGGAAAATATATCAACGCCATTGCTCTTCCTTGCGGTACCACTAATACCGCTTTTCCTCGGCGACGATGATCGGGGAGGGGGAATGGGCGTTGCGCGGCTCTTCCTGCGAGATGAGAGGAGCTGGCTCGGAGTAGGACCCGCGCCTGTATTGGCGTCAGTTCGACCGGACTGGATATAACAAAGAGACGAATCATCGCCATAGGACAATGCAGATGAATGCACGTACTGTTCGGGCTTGACATCTGCGGCGATTCGGCCACGGGACTGGGTCCCTCCACGCTTTGCATGATCATCATATTCTTCAACGGCGAGGGCTTGCGGGGGGATGAGAAGATGCCCGATATTTCCTCCATGCCATTCGCGTCCAGCGGTCGATGATCGAGGGTGACTCCGGTGCGTCTATAAGTATATCAGCGTTTGGCCCCTCCCATCAGGGCGCAACCGTCTTCACCTTCCCAGTTTCCCGATGGCGGAATAATCAATGTTGCCGCGCTCACGGGGGACGGCCAGTCGAGAAGCCATATTGGACCGGGTTGGAGCTTTCAGTACCGCTTGGTCTTCCACAGAGGTGCAATATATGCACTGAGGATCAAGGGCGGGTTCTCCTTGGAAATAAAGGATCAGTCGGCGGAGCGGTGGTGGTGTTGGCATTGAGTGTTGTCGATAATACGAAATAGGACTAGCGTTTAATGGCGTAAGGGAGAGACATGATTGGCCACTGCATGCACTAGTAAGGATCGGGTAACGCGATGAGGTGGGAATCCCAAAAGGGGTTTGTGGGGTCCATCTTGGGACGCGTCGTGGTCGCTCACCGTCGCTTTCTCGTGGTCTTTATTTTCTATTCCAGGTCAGTATCGGATAGACAAGCACAGAACAGTCATGGAGGAAACCGAAAACGCCACCTCTGCCGTCTTCATCCCGCCGTCGGTACAGGATGACCGTGAAGCTCTCCTCTCCGGGAGATCTTACGCGCACTACAGCAATGTGCCCGAAGGCATCACCACCCGGACAGCCTCGTCGTCCGCATCAGGAACCCCTTGCGTGCTAGGTGTGGACGAAGCTGGACGCGGCCCCGTCATTGGGCCCATGGTATACGGTGTCTACTATCTGCCTGTCGAGATCCAAAAGCCCCTCCTGACTGAATCGTACCATTTCGACGACTCCAAGGTCCTCACACCGGCCGTGCGAGCAAATCTCATGCAAGCAGTCTGTACATCCGGGACGGATCTCTTCCGATCATCAGGCTGGGCGGTCAAATCCCTCAGTGCCCGCGACATCGGCGCGGGGATGATGAAGAACGGCGGCTCATACAACCTCAACGCCCAAGCCATGGACGCCACGGTCGAACTGATTAGAGGGGTACTGCAGCAGGGCGTCAACGTGACAGAGATCTACGTCGACACCATTGGCAAACCCTCCGTCTATCAGAAGAAGCTCGAGTTAATCTTCCCGACCATCAAAATCACCGTCGAAAAGAAGGCTGACAGTCTCTTCCCGTGCGTGAGTGCGGCCAGCGTCGTCGCCAAGGTCACTCGAGACGTCAGCTGTGAGGTCCTCCTTGAGGCATATACCCAACAGCAGTCAGTCTCAGATGAGGATTCATTGGCATCGTGGGGTTCTGGATACCCCTCTGACGCAAGATGCGTTGGCTGGCTCAAGTCTGCCATTGACCCTGTATGGGGGTTTGGCAACGAATGCCGCTTTAGTTGGGGCACGGTCAAGGATATGCTCGAGCAAAAGGATAGTCTAGCAGTCAAGGCTGAGTGGCCCGACCAGGACGACGATGACGAGAACATGAGGCTCTCGCACTATTTCGGAGCCGACGGGGCGGCAGGGCCAACGACCGAGAAAGACGAGTTACGGACGTGGTTTGGAACAGGCGTTGGCCAGGAAGCTTTTTGAAACCAAGCCGCATCTCTTGGGCGTGCACAGCTCTTTACCCTCGTCTATTCCCAAATCTTTGTGCATCGCTATTCCACAAGCAGCAAAACTCGAAAATGTGAATGAGGAACGCCGTACAAATGCCCGACATATCTGCTCCAGAATGCCGATCACAGCTTCGCCCTCGTCCAGAGTCCCTTCATAGTGCCCTCCAGACCAGGCAGATTAGCGGGACCGTCATAAATATCCCTCTCTACAGCTCTGGTGTTGATGTGCAGCGGACCCAGATCAGTCACCTTGGCAACACCCAACAAGCGCGCCGCCGTGGCAGTCTCATCCCTGAGGATCTCCAGCACTCTCTCAACGCCTTCAATGCCGCCGGCACCTAGACCAAAGAGCGCACCGCGACCAATACCCACGGCTTTTGCGCCCAGTGCCAATGCCTTTACCACATCCGTTCCTCTCTTGATGCCACCATCCACGACGACGTCGATCTTGCTAAACACCTCGGGACAGTATTTCCTGATCTCCAGCAGAGTGTGCACGGCCGGCGGGGCTGTATCTGCCGCCCTGCCACCATGATTCGACAAGATGATTCCCCTGACCTGGGGCGCATGTTGTGCCGCAAGGTATGCGTCTTCGTGGCACTGCAAGCCCTTGAGAATGATGGGCTTGGTGGTGTGCTTCTTCAGCCACGGGAGCGTCTCTGTCCAGGTCAAAGTCGGGTCCGTGCCGAAGAACAGACTCTGTCCGATGCCACCGCCGCCCTTCAGCTCGGCACCTCCAGCGTCCTTGATGGCTTGGCTCGTGTCCTCGACGATAAACTTTCCGCGTTCATCATCCTCTCGCTTCCCTGGGACTGGTGCGTCGAGTGTGAGACACACAAACTTGATCGCATCCAGCCTGTTAATTCGGGCCAACATGTCGGCACTCTTTTTCCGCTCCGTCTGTATGTACAACTGCCATCCAAACACCTGATCCGGGCCTGCATCCTTCACAATCTGCTCGGGGGTCATGCTCGCATTGTTGGAGATCATCTGCATGGCGCCGAATTTCTTGCACGCCTGGGCGATGCCCCATTCGCCGTCCGGGTGTGCCAGTCGAGCCATGGCGGCGGGTGAAACAAAGATGGGGAGATCGAGATTGTACCCAAGAAAACTGGTGCGGAGGTCGCAGTCTTGACAGTTCACGAACACGCGTGGCCGGAGCAGGATCTGGCGGTAGACCGTGTTGTTGAGCTGCTTGCTGACCAGGTCGTCGGCGGCGGAGTAGTAATAGGCCCAGCCCTTGCGCGTCATCTTCTTGGTGGCCGCAGCCTCGATCTCGTCGAGGTTCAACATGGCCTGCAGCGGCATCTCGACTTCGGCCTGTGTGTCGGGCGCTGGTCCAACATCTTTCGCCGGCTTGACCGGTTCCGGCAGGCTTTTGGGATCGATGGGACCCAGGCGGGCAGACTTGGGGAGGTTCTCCTCCAGGGTGCCGGGCGGGTGGATGGGGTCGTATTCTTCGGTCGCGTCCTTGCCGGCGAGTTTGAGGATGATCTGGGCGCCGCCGGGGTGGGAGGGCAGGAAGTCTGTTACATCCCACACGTTGCCGTAGAGGATGACCCAGCACGAGTCCTTGGAGGTGTGTTTCTGCACTGTATGTGCCACGGCAGAACAGGATGGATGGTTAGTCTAGGTTGTCTTTTCGCAAGAGGATTCTCGACGAGGGATTGATTGGAGATATGGACATAGGGAACAACAGTGCATTGATCCCGTCCCGGCAGGTCGAGAAGAATATGTGCAACCACTCACCTTCCGCATAGTCTATAAGCTTCGACATCTTTTTTTTTGGGTTTTCCTCACTGTGTCGCAGTTCCGCGATCTCTTGTCACCGTCATCCGTGGTACAACACCACCTGCGCCACACCAGCGATCTTGAACGGGGACCAGGCCCAGGGAGCAGAGCCTGCCTCACGGTCGCGGAGAAGAAAAAGAACGGCGGTTGGGATTTCCGAAGGCAGTGGAGTTTATGTGGTGATGTTCGGTCGCCGCAGACAGACGCTCCTGGGCTTCACAAGTCTAAAGACATATAATATAAGAATAATATGTCACCACGACTGCCACGAACGCAGGTGAGTGAAAGCTCATTTATGAATGAATTCAAAAAAAATAATAACAAGAACGATATCGTCCAATGTTTCGAACTAGTAAATTGCCGGCGAGACACACAGAGAGACGGAAGCTTCCCACCCACCGTCGTTGTCAGACGCCGGCAACGGTGGTGGTGGTGGTGGTGGTGGTGGTCGTGACGAGTAACGGACTTCTCCCTTGCAGCACCACTATCTAACAACTAACAGTAAGTAGTGTGGGAGCTTCACCGGCCCCTCCCTACTGTGATAGTAGTTTGATTATTAGGCTGGTTGAAAGCTTTCCCTCCGTGGGCTTTGATTCCGTGGTTCTCCCCAACCCAAGCGCAACAAGAGGGCAATTGTCGGCGATTGATGACCCGAGAGATGAAAATCGGCATTTGGTGATTGGAGAAAGCACAGTTTAATTAACGGGATCTGGACCCTTGTTTTTGGGGGGGCTTTTCGTTTGGGTGGCTCAACCGGATAGAAATGCGGTGCGTAGGTGATGGGCGAAGGCTGGGGAAACCAAAGTAATTATTGGGGTTGGGGGGCACCTCTTCTGGTGCTACTCTAGTGCTCTAGGTACTCCCGTACCCATGTTATTGTTACAATACGAGGTACTCTACTCGGTACATATGATTGACCTGGTAGGAATGTTCCTTAACTACCTATTTATGTATGTATGTATGTATATATGCATACATTCAGTCCAGACTATGTACTCAAGTAGGTCCTTTCACTTATGATGGCCCCCTTTATAATCTCCTAGCCATGAAACACACCCCCTTCCTTCTTCCACTATGACCCATCAGCGACCACCACCCTCACTTCCTCTCCCATCTCATTCTCTCATTCATTCATTCATCCCATCGTCCCCATCATCAACCACCTTCGTCAACGTGACCCGCAAATGTCCCTTGGTCATGACGACAAAGTTATCCTTCCACTCCATGTCGCGCGCCGTGGTCTCAAACGCCGCCAGGTCGAACTTGCGAAACACGTAGGCCAGGTTCAGGTACAGCTCGGCGTAGGCCAGGTTGATGCCGATGCACGACCGCGGCCCGCGCGAGAAGGCGATCAGCCGCGTCTCCAATTGCGCGCTGTCAGGGCCCAGCCAGCGCTCCGGGCGGAACTCGTTCGGCGCCGGAAAGTGCGTCGGGTCGAAGTGGTAGCAGTAGCAGACGCTGGTGACTCCGGTCTAGATAGAGAGAAGGCACGGAGTGAGGACACCTGTTAGCCCGTGTTACTCCTCAAGAAGGTAGGTTGATATGTCGCATCACATCACGCATAAGAAAGGGGGGCCTGCTTACCCCTGCGGGAATCTGTTGCTGGCAGAGCACGGCGCCTCCTTCGGGCACGACTCGTCCCATCCTGTACGTCAGATGTATATCAGTTCTCCAGTGCATCTCGCTTGCGGATAGCTTGGTGACCTTACCTCCCGGGAACTCCCATGCTCATCCTCAAGCTCTCCTTGACTACCGCACGCTGTACCACAAGGTCAGTGTCAGGGCGTCTGTCTCCCATGTTGGACTCACAAGATAGGGCAGATTCTCAAGCACAATCGAGCTGACCAGATGCTCACTATTGGGGTTCGGGATCGCAGCCTTCAACTCGGCGCGTAGCTTCTTCCGGGACTCATTGTTGTTGATCAGACCCCACGTAGCCGTCGTGAGAGCGTGCGCGGTGGTGTCGGTCCCGGCGCCGTGAAAGGTGAATGCGTCGGCGGTGAGCTGCCTGAGGGTCGGGGTGAAGGTCCGTTTCTCATTCGGCTTCGCCCATGCATCGAAGACGGTCGGGTACGAACTCCCAGACCCGCCCTCTTGCATGATTCTCTTGACTTTGATGCCGCATTGCTAAAGGGACACATAAACGGTCAGCAAAAGAGCTGGCGAGGGACAAAGAGCCTCACCTCGGTGATCCAATTGGTCGCCGCCAACGCCGGCATGAACTTCTCGGTCTGTTCCTTGGTGAGCCTCTGGAGCTGGCGTGCCAGCCACCCCATGAAGTTGTGAAAGTACATCGCCCACTGCGTGAACTCAAAGAATTCCTCCAGGGCCACCAAGATCGGGGACCGGAAGCCCTCGACGTCGAGCAACTCGAACCCGTTATCCGCAAACATGTAGCTGGCCACCACATCGCTGGTCAAACTTCGGTAGCCCATGCTCAGATCCACGGGCGTTCCAGTCGCGGACGCTGCCTCGAGCACCGAGAGGAATTTGCGGATGCGGTCGTGGATCACGGGCTCCAGGCGCACGATGGCCCCCTTGGCGAAGTACGGCTGGTACGTGTCTCGCCACGGTTTGGCGGCTTTGGGGTCGAGGACGTTGAAGAACCCGTCGGCAGCTTCTTGGTTGTAGTTGTCTCGGTGGCGGGCCCAGCGCGTTCCAACCTTGAAGATCCTATGAGAACACCATCAGCCTGCTCCATCCACTGCGGCGCAATTGGATCAATCCAGTTCTTACTCGTTGTACGCGGTCATGTCGAATATGTGCAGTTGATTCGGGGTGATGCGCACAATGGGGCCATATCGCTCATGCAACCCGTGAAACTGCTTGATGTACGACGTCGACGCCCTCAGATCATACCACGCCTGGTACAGCGAAGTCATCCCCGCCAGCTTTGGGCCGGGGAACTTGGCAAGTGGGTGCAATGTGATTCGATACACCGCGCGGACAATGATGAATGAAAACAACAGGCCAACAGCCCAGCCAATGTAGACCAGGACGGGCGCCATCGTGTAGGCACAGACTGAAAGCAAACAGCACAGAACACAAATAAACTGCTTGCTTGCGGAAGAATGAAGGCCCCGAGACAATTGGTAACAAAAGGACCAGACTCTCACGATCTTACATGGAAATGTCCATCCGAGTGGACTTTATATCAACGGTGGTTTGTTGGGCGCCTAACACATTGTAACGCATCGCACATTATGCCACCATGATACGACCCATGGCCCGAATAGGCCCTTTGCAGAATTCGGCAGGTCCTATCTATGCAAGGGTGGTCGTCGATCGCGCGCACCAGGGTTTCGTGAGATGCGACGAGGGGTGTTAGGAGCACGTCGTCCTCTTGTCAGAAACGAGGGGCGAATCTGCCCCAGAGTGACCTCAATCACTCACGCAAAAGACCCGTCAGGCGCGCCATCAGCATGTCTGCGGTTACAGGAGTTCGCCCAGTAATAAATTAGTTGACGGCGTGTGCCAGAAGGGGTATGTAACAAGAAGAGAAAAAGGGAGAGAGAGAAAGGTGGACCTCGTCATCATATCGTACTACGAGAACAGCGAATCCGACTGACGTTGGTGACACTGCATGCATGCATAAGAGCTAAAAAGAGAAAAAAGGGACCTGCACGACTAGGGGCATAAAAAGTTATTACCATATAATACATACAGAACGGGCTCGCGATCCGCGGTTCGCCAACAGGTATTTTATACTGCCAGGCTAACCTGATGCAGTGGATCGGCGCATCTCGTTTCCAGCCTGAGACAAACACCTGGTGTATAATACGGGCAGGGACCGGAGGTAGGTGGGAGGTGTTGGCAGAAACGAGATTGTAGATCGGAGCGATTGGAGACTCAGCCGCCATTATACAATATGTATAAGGAGGAGATGAAACGAGGCAGTGCTGCAGATCTCCAGGAAAGCAACAAAGGAAGAGGGAAAAGGGAGAGTAACGTCACAATCTGGACCAATTTCCGTATGTTGCTGGTCTATGTCGTTAAATCATAATGGCACTTTTATCTCCTTTTGCTGTCTATCATGGCCGGGCGGCGACGGTGGTGGCGGCGGCACGCCTATTCTAGTTTCTGGGTGATCCCCCCCGTCTCCGTCTTCGTCTCCGTCTATCGGAATGGTCTGTCCGGCATCATCTTCCAGAGTTGACGGCTGTACTTGCTTCTCTGGCAGGTCCTGCTTCTTGTCCTCGGTCGCCGCCCCTTTCGTGATCTTCGTCTGCTCCCTCTCCTCTGGTCGCTGGAGGCCCCGGTCTTTGATGAACACACACAGCCCAAGGGAGAGACCAATCATCGGGGCAGAAACAATGAACACAGTCCGGATCGCGCTCATGTACGCGTCTCTGACTGCATCGTCGTCAGCACCGGTCAAGGTCGGGAGGGCGAAGGTGTCGTGGGCGTAGCGCGCCAGGTGACTTGGGAGGTTCCTCCGAAGAGAGCTCTGCAAGACTTGTGCCGAGATCGAAAGGCCAACCGCACCTCCCGAGCTCCGCAGGAAATTGCGGTTGGAGACGACCGCCGCTCGTTGCGCTTTGGAGCAGTGTGCCTGCAACGCGATCAGGACCGGTTGGAAGATGCAGCCGGCGCCAATGCCGGAGACGGAGAGTATGACGGCGATCACCGCCGGGTGTGTTGTTCGCGTGAAGCTGCAGATCAGTCCGGCCCCCAGCGACCATATGACAAAGCCCGTCCAGATCACGACCCCATAGCGCTTGTAGCGAGAGATGAAGATGCCGGACAGCGTGCTGACGAGGGACTGTGGGACGTTGATGGCGACCAGGAAAGCCGCCGAGACGATCGTATCCCAGCCTCGAACGTTTTGGATATACAACGGAATGTAGTACAGATTGGAGTAGTAGACCATGCCGAAAAAGAAGTTCTGAGCCAGGATGGCGGCCACCGGTGCATTGGTATACATGCTCAGGGGCATCATGGGCAGACTGGCCACCTTCCACTCGACGATCAGGAAGGCCACGAAGGACAGACCGCCGACGACGAACATGGAAATGACCATAGGCGAGGACCACTCGAAGTACGAACCACCACCGGACAGCGGGATCAAGATCAGCACGATGGCAATGGTCGCCGTGATAATGCCTCCCCAGTCAATGAGCTTGAATTGCTGCCTCGCGTTCCCCTTGGGCATGGTCGAAGGGAGGTAGAACCATCCAATGGCGCCGGCAATGGCGCCGCACGGGGCAAGAAACCAGAAGAATGCTCGCCATGTCTGGTGCCGCGCAAACGCAGCCGAAATCAAGGGACCTACGGCATTGCCACCACCTATACCGGCACCCAGGAACCCCTGCCACCTCCCTCGCTGTTCGAGCGTCACGATGTCCGAGATGATCATCATGGTCAAGGAATTGATTCCGGCACCTGCAATGCCCCCGAGGGCACGGAAGAAGTAAAAGCTCGACGCATCCGGGGCGACGCCGCACAGAATGTCCGCTAACACAAGCATACCTACCGAGAAGAGGAACACCGGTTTTCTCCCATAGATGTCCGAGAAGCGCGCGTATATGATCTGGCTAGACGTGTTGGAGATGAGCGAAGCTGTACCAGCCCATGAGATCGTGTCGGTGGCCTTGAAATCGCGCCCGACCGTGGGCAGGATGGTACCAATGCCATTTTGGTCCGCGTAGCAGATGAACAGCGCCGACGCGAGCGAAGAGAAGACGATGAAGAGTTGTCTCGTCCCCAGGAGATTGGTCTGGTCGTGGAGGGCAGATTCTGCGGCCCGTTGACGGAGGATCGCTGTCGAGGGCATGGCGGGAGGGCAACAGGAGAGGGGAGAGCGTGAAAGAACATGGTGAAAACTGAGAGAAAGGGACGGAAACGGAGTAGAACTTTACAGTACCTCGTGTGCTGTGCCGTGTGCCGATTGTGGAGGGCAAACGACGAATTGATCGATGGTAACGGAAATTCGCCGATACCGTCGGCGGTATCGGATGCAGAGAGCGATGCCCCTGGTTCCGACGAGGCTGGCTAAAGCCATAATGGGGCGTAGTAAGAGGGACTTTGTTAGTGAAAGGAGACTCGAGCAGGTCGTTGTCGTGTCTTTGTCCTTGATCGAAGAACCAAGCCCACGGACTGAGTCTGGGCAGCAAGAGTCCCAGAACGGAGATAGAAGGAATCATGCATAGTGACGTCGACGCAAAACCATACATCTCACTGTAGGTGTCGATACTATATCAAGTACAAGAGAAAGCACGAATTCGAGTTTGTGTATGCCTGTCCCCTCCGGACGCCATCAGCCCGAGCAGCTGCTCGGATAATACTAACAGAGCTAGCTGATCTCCATTCTATCCTGTCACCTGTCGTGTCGTCCGAGCCACCCATCAGCTCCGTAACGAAGGCCAGTACCAGGGTATCTCTCTCGTTGTTGGCAACACACTCTCTCGACGATTTAACGACCATAGTCGACCATCGACTGGAATGCCGCATCATCGTCTTCCTCCGCTACTGAATACTCGCCAAAGTCGCTCGAGTCGCTCGAGTCACCCGCGTTGTTTATTTCAGGAAGGGCTGCCGATGCGGGTAACGCTGCATTCGCCCTCATCGCGGCTTGCACAGCCAGATGGTCCGCCGCAACATTACCTGGATCATTCGAGTGACCTTTAACCCACACAAACAATGTGCGCTTGCCGAGGCGCTCCCTTTCTTCGATTCTATCGCGAATCCTCTGCACCACGTCTTTGTTCACGACAGCTATCCCTTTGGAGTTGACCCAGCCATTTTTGATCCAGTTTCGGTACCAGTTCGTCACACAATCGATGGCATATCTGCTGTCCGTGTAGATGGTCACCTCTCGGTGCCGGGGTGCGATGTCCAATGCTCGGAGGATGGCAGTCAATTCGGCCCGTTGGTTGGTCTGTTTGTCGCCTTCCAGAGTCTCGGAGACATTTCTGTAACGCCAGTCCGTTAGCTTTGCTTTCCTTGTTCGCGTTTTATCGTCATCCATCTCGCCGGCTAGCCGTTTCTTGGCTTGTCCATCGCCAGAACCGAGCTGACGAGCGGCCCAATCCATTGTATAAACAATTTGTGGCTTTTTGGACACAGTGTAACGCGTGGGTTGGGGCTTGTATTGAGAGTTCGGCTTGGATGGAGAGGTGGCATACAGTGGATTCTGAGGCCCGAAAAACACGCCCACCCCTGCCTTTGCACCTGGTGCACCGTTCCCCAGAGCTGACCCATCCGTATAGATGCGAAGCATGCCTGGAGACTCCTGTTGCTCAGACTTCACTTTGGCTCTGATCTGCTCTTCTTCCGCTCGATTGATAATGGTGTTGCCGGGACCCACCCTGATATTGGTGTCATATTTATCTTCGTCCCCAAAACCCCGGCTGATCTCATCAGGGTTTGCATCTTGGTCTGTCGCAGAACCCATGACGGTGTCTTGTAACCCGGGTGCCGACTTGCGGGCTACCAATTGACGTATGTCCGCCTGAGGGGCGCCAGCGCGCTGAGAGCCAGAGACCGAAGCTTTTGCACCCGCAGCCACGAACACTTCTGCCTCTTCCCGGGTTCTGAATTTCTTTTGTCTGGCATGGGGGAACCCTCGAATCTGAGCCTGCACTTGGGACCAATCGGTGTACACCCCAGGGACTCTTCCACTTTGGACGCCGTAGAACCTTTGCAGTCCATTATCGTGGCCGTTTAGGAGGGGCCTTCCCTGCATAAAAGCCTGAGCCTCATGAAGAGATTGAAAAGCCTTGACTGCGTCCACATGTCAACACAAAATGAAACCACCACGCACCGCAGTTGACTTCACATACACTCAGCACCCTTGTGTCCCTTGACTTGAGCCAGACAATCACTCCATGTGTGATAGATACCAGGCCGCTTCCCTTCCTTCACCGCGTAATATTTCTGCTCCGCCGCTTTTTTCTTCCTTGGTGGCGCAATTGGCGTGAGCCCAACGACAGGGGCGAGACGTCGGCGGCTGGGTTTTTTGGGAGGGGCAGTAGGCGGCGGCACCATGACTATCCGAGGGCGGTAAGGGAGCAGGTTACATTTATGCAGCGGAAATCGAGGCAGATTGGCCTATATATTAGAAAAGAGAGGCAGCGTCCGAGTCCAGGTGTAACGAAGGGCATCAATGGTCAAGGACAGCCCTACGCATCTGGATCGGTTCCAATATGCGCTCGACGCATAGTCAGCGATGGACAGTGAGTTAAGTTGTTAGCCGACAAGAAGCGTTCGACGTGATGAGCTGATGAGAGATTGAGAGGCTGAGAGTGCACGGGGGACAAGATGAGAAGCTGCACTTTGAGTGAGGTTAGCCAGGCAGCCAGAGGCATGTAGCAGGAATGGCGGTGGGAGGGGAAGAGGACCGATTTGCCACAGACACATAACCTGGGTTTTCTTCAAAGCAAGAATGGGAGTCGAGTGCATGTAGCAAACAGTTGAGGTTGTAAGGAGGTGAGTGGAGTTCTCAAGGTGGGCAGAAGCCGCATTGAGAGAGGAGGAGGAGGAGGAGGGGGGGGGGGTGTTGGCCCAGTCCAGTTAGTGAATGCTTCCTAGCAGAGTAACGCAGAAATGTCACGACGAAGTTGTCACGAATTCTGCCTCGTACAGTTTCCTCCCTGACACGAAACATATATGATGAATACTTTAACGATTTTATTTCTAAATCTGGGATTGTGGTAAGCATGCTTTCTTAGTGCCCGCCAAAGCCCCAGCTCTTGGATTCAATCCTTGTTCGCCTACTCGCTGGGTTCTATTTCTCCTGAGTGCTTCAAGTCCGCCCTCTCTCTTCCGCGGCTCTCAAGCTGCTCTCCGGCCCTTGTACGCTGTTCCAAGGTCGCCGACACCACCGCCACCGGGGACCCTCCCCTTGGTGTGTCTTCAATAATGCGAACGGGCCGAGCAGGCTCCTGAGCACTTTCCAGATCCATCGTGGTTGATCTTGTTGTGTTTCCTTGCCCGATCATAAACGCGCCTGGACTTGGGGGCCGAGACTTGTCCCTGCGGCCGTTGCCTTTCCTGTGCCGCAATTGACTTGTCGACCTGCGATGAGGCGACGGTCCGAGGTGGATATCTGGCTCGTCGTCCTCCCGCTCACTGCTGAGAGCTTGAGACATGGTCCGCGGAAGATGATAGCCCAACTTGCCCAGAGGGATTGAAAGACCATGAGCGACGATGCTGCAGATGGCCAAAAACCAAATTACCACCCTCATGACCTCTTCGAGCCGCACTGCATCTTGACGCACCCTCCCGTCAACTTTGACCTGGCGGAGAAAATCAATGCTAACATAGAGATAGAATATGGCCGATACCCCAATGGGGCCAAAGAAGCCCACAAATGCCGCCTGCTGGAATTCCTCGATCTGGTGTATCTTTCGGTGCATGGCAAAGACGACTGGGATTCGGCGGAAGAGCAAGATTAAAATCCCCAGCGGGATTAATCGATAAATCGGAATGACATGGTTTTCTCGAAACGATGCCCAGGGGCAGATGGCGCCAAACCAGAGGAAGACCGAGATGTTGAGCAACATGTCAATCGTCGGTTGAAGAGAATCGTCTTGTGTTTCGAGCCGGAACCTGCCACGCATTAACCAAAAGGTACTTGCAGGTTTTCTGTCAGACCTACCAGTCGTCCCAAGTAAACACATTCCCTGCAATGAAGCAAGCCAGGACGTCGTCTGAGCCCACCATCCCACACGTGCCAGTGATGAAGAGCGCCAATGTAATGGCAAACACGAGAAAACTCTCGCGATCCACAAACTTCCTCTCCTCGGCAAAGTGTAAGAGTTCCTTTGCGAGCCAGCCCACGACCGCGCCGTAGACAACGCTCAACAGAATGGTGTATCCCCACGTTTCTCCAAACCAGTATCCCATAGCCTTAGCTGCGCCTCCTGGTTGGCCTGCGCCCCCGTGTTCAGTGTATTTGATCAAGTAGAGCGCCAGGAACAAGAACGGATAGCCGAGTCCGTCGTTAGCGCCTGACTCTGCGATGATGATCTTCTGTAATGGTTTGGGAATGTTCTTGTCCGCAAATTTGCCCTTGACGATCGAGTTGGACAGCACGGGATCGGTCGGGGTGACACATGCCCCGATGGCAAGAGCATGGAGGAAGCTCAGATGCGGGACCATGGCCCATACAAGCAGACTGGCACACACCCACATCCCACACATTCCGGGACCGAGGAGCAAGGCGAGGGGCTTCCATTCCGTGTAAAGATACCTGCTAGGCAGCTGCACGCCGGCAAGCACCAATTGAACGCCTAGCACGAGGCGAGTGAAGTAGAGCGTGATGTAGTCGAGGTTGTCTTCGGAGCCGGCGGCGTACTCGAGGGGCCTTATGAGGTCGGTGGCATTGGGAGAAAAGATGACACCGGCCACAAGCGAAATCACTGTGTTCATGTCAGCCTTTCATCGACATTGAAGTCGCCAGGATTAACTGGGTGTGCGGGGGTGCCGTGACATACACGCTTCGGAAAGATAGAATCGCTCTTTGAACAAGTAACTCACAAGGCCAAAGACTGTGATAAAGCCTCCGAGGACGGCACACACAATGTTGAAATTGGTGAGGGACAAGGTCGGCATGACGGAGTGATGAATACGCCACGATCGACTCACAAGATGATGTGTTTGGTGATTCTCGCCTCAGCTTTCTCAAAGCTTGGTTGCCTGCTTGTGAAAAAAAAGTCACAGTAGTATCGTAATTGATTTTGCCAGGTAATGCTGCAAACCCCAAAGGTTGTGGTGAGCGATGAGTGAGCCTTCACACCCGAGACGAGCCGGCTGCGCTTCAATCAATGTCTCCCAGCACAGCGATTGATTCCCCGATACCTGGCGCTTCTTGCCTTGGGCAGTTGTCGTGAAATCGTGATAGCGTCTTAACTGGACGATCGGAAAACGGGGCACGTCCCTCACCTCGTGTTATTGGACCATCAGGCTCATGGTTCGATGAAGGATACAGGTGGTGTAGAATGGGCGGCGTCTCATACGGGCGATGGATGCCACCATGGGAGCAGTCTTGAATCGTGTGTCAATGACGCTGGCAGCAAATAGCCAAGACGAGGAGAACGAGAAAAGCGAGGGAAGAGACAGGTATTTACTTTTGGGACAAGCTTCCACGGGCAGCATCTTATATGTCACGTCCCTGACGGTTGGGAAAATGGATGGTGGGTCGGATCAACGGCAACCCACACAGGCAAACTTTTCTTCACCTTTTAACAAGCTCTTATCAGCAATAATTGACTGCAAGTCTATCTCCGAGCCTTGCAAGACTGCCTGATGAGACGAGAGGATGAGACGATGAGACGATGAGACGATTCCAACGCCTGCCGTGCAGTGGGTGTGTCGCAATGGGGACTCCGTACCAGAATACTGGCCGTCCACGGCTGGCCAGATATTCGTCTGAGCAAGAGTTGGTGGCGACGCTAGCATACCGGAAGCACCACAAAGGGTCGTTACAGACGACAAGGGGCCTAGTGGCCTTAGATTCCGTTCCCATTGGTGAAGGCCCGGGGGCTGCAGGAGGGCTCAGAGGACCTTGGTCCCGTCTTGCCGGACAACGAGCGACACGGGAACCAAAGACGAGAACCATCTGCAGCAGACTAGCATGCCTGAATTGAGTAAGTTCATCAAGAAGGAACTCGTTGCCTTGTACTGTAGCTACCCGCCGTACCCGCTAGCCTACTCCACTGGGCTATCTTTGCTTCCAGAAATACACTGCTGGGTGCCTGCTGTGCTTTTTGCCCACCCATGCGGATTATGTACAGATGCAATGACAAATTGTACACGAAAAAACCCATACTCATAACCCCCAGCGCCACCGCTAAGACGTGAGATATATCCGCCGTCCGCTATAGCCTCGCCTTCTCAAAGAGGCTTATCACCAATCCACCCAGGAATTGATACGAGTCATGACGTCCGGACGCAACTGCCAACAACAATCTTGCCTGCCAGAATCAAAAGAAGTATTAGTCCAGCCGTAGCAATCATCTGGGTGCGCAACAGTCCAAAAACAGAGGTAAGGCCCCCAGATCTGTATGGTCTATATATAAGTATATGTGATGGTATCTGGGCGAGCAAAACTGGACAAGGCAAATGCGAATAGGGGTATCATAGTTGGGAACGCAAAAGGAGTGACAAAATATCAGGCTTGTGGGTCAATAGCTCGCCTCATCCGGTAATCTGGCTCATAGAGAAATTCATCCGTGGCAGGATCCCATCTATATGCCTTGAACTCCACACCATATGGTCTCTGCACGTTCCATGTCAGTGAAAGGGATACTTTGAATGCAAGACTGGTCTTACCGGTTCGAGCATGTATGCCACACCCAACGGAACATCCAGGTCGCTGATGTCCTCTTGCTTGAGACCCATGAAATAGGCCAGGAGAACCCGACAGATACTTCGGTGGCCAATGATTAAGACGTGGTCCGTCATTCGTTCTATTTCGAGTATAACTTTTCCCAGCCGGTTGATGATGTCGAGATAACCCTCGCCGCCTGGGCCTGGGTACCGGTAATGGAGCTTGTCTCGTTTTCGAAGCTCATACTCATGGGCGAACTTGTCTCGGATTTCGGTGTAGGTCATGCCTTCCATTGACCCGGCGTTAAGTTCGTCCAGCATCCGCATCTGCTTGATATCGTAGTCCTCGTCGTTGAAATACTGGCTGGTCTCGATACTCCGTTTCAGCATGCTCGTCCACACGCAGAAATTCCGCTGTTGGAGCGTTTGCGCCGTATATTCCGGGTTCGGTGGGGTCGTGTCGCCCGGGAGAGGTGGAAAGTGGGTGTTTGCTTGTTTTTCAGTCTGGTAGTCTTCCCACGCCTTCCACTGGATCCCAATAAATTTGGCCAGTGCCTGAGCATACCTCACTCCGTTGGAACTCAACGAGCTATCACCACCGATTTTCCCGTTGACGTTGTCCATTGACTCGCCGTGTCGGGTGATCCAAATTTGTCGTGGTGCCAAGTTGAAGTTCATAAGGTAGGTGACGGTTTGAATAGAGAGGAAGCCCTTGACTTGGTGCGTCACCATCTTACGCCCCACGTCGATCATGGAACAATACGCCATGTTGTGCTCCTCTTCAAACTCGTCTAGTTTCTGGTATGACTTCTCATATTGTTGGACGCGTTGCTGGAAGTCCTTGAACGCGGCGACAGGGTCCTTGCCTTTGTAATCTGGACCTGAGAGCTTCAGTCGCATATTTGCTTCCAGCAGGTTCTGATCCTGACACCGTGACTCCACAAAGAGGATGTTGATATTTTCGTCGCGCTCCCGGATGTGTCTGACCAGCGACAGGCGTCGCTCCCGGGTGTGATTCGTAGCATCTAGGATTCCCACTGATCCGCCGTCTTCCAAGACGTATTTCAAGAGCTCATCCAGGGCTGCGTGCGCCACCTGTTCTCGTAACTGCTTGGCCCTGGTATTGTTTGGGTCAAAGAATTGCGCAGACTGATCCATGGGTTCGGGGGCCGATAGCTGAATGGAATCCTTCCTGTCTTCATCAGACCTGGTCGAACCGTTCATTTGTACCGGACTTATAGGAGACGAGGTGACTTCGCCATTAATGAGAATCTTAGTCTCGACAGCAGGTGGCGGGAGCAGTTCGCCATGGTCAACGAGTCCCTGCGGTCCCTGGGTGGTAGAGCTCATTCGACGCACCGATTCTCGCAACGCAGCAGTCGTGTGATCCGGTATGGTCTGACCAACACCAGCAGCCACGCGTCGACGGTCTCCAACGTTGAATATTCTGGTTGGGTGCTGTAACCAGTTCAAATATCGAGCAATCTTCTTGACAATGTAACTCTTCCCTCTGGCCGGCAGACCGACCATAATAATAATTAGCTTAGCTGCAACATCTCTTTCTGATATTTGACCATTCGGAGAGACCTTGGATCGCGTCAGTCCGGGGATGTCGAGGGTGGTGGCACGGATTTTGGGCGTCGCGGACCCCGAAACGTTTGTGCTGGTTCGAGCATGTCTAGTTCAAGTCAGCGCCGCTGGCTATCGTATCTGAGGCCCCAGGGCCTGCTTACATCTGCGGACTCGTGGGCGCACTCGGAGCAGGAGTGTCGGTCAAAGCTCTGCCCAGGGCAACGCTTGTGGGTGGCTTGTGCGCGGATCTGCCGAATCCTGTCTTTGGAGGAGGCATGAGACTGGAGTGGTATGCGACGTGATTCAGGGACTCCCCTTCATGAGAGGCAGAGGCATTCGTCATGATTGCAACTCGAGCAAGATCGGAAAACTGTTCGCTGAGGCGACGGTTGAAGATGGCGGCAGGGACAGGGACGGAGACGGGGTCTGGAGAATTCGCACTCGGGGGAGGCGAGGTCTGCCTCGACCCTTCTAGCAAAGGCATTCAGTATCGATGCCCGCAAAGTAAGAGAACTAAGTGCTGTTGGATGAAGAGGGAACAAGGCAGTGGAAGAGGCGAGAGAAAGAGTATTGAGTAGCAGGTGATGAAGAATCTGACATGTTGTGACAGGTCCTCGAGTTGGACAGTTTTTTGACTCAACAAGACGGGAGCGGGAAGCGGACCTGCATGCTAGATGCTAGGTACTACCATACCTTGTCTTTGGTTGCAACCACAGAAGGAGCTCCTCTTTATGATTCACGGAGCCTATGATCGATTCACTCGCTCGGCTCAAACGGCCAGCGGAAGGGGTGACGTCTTCGTTCCTGGACAGTGACGGTTTGGAGATAAACTTGCAGCAGCCGAAGTTACAAGGGCGTCCTCCGACGGGACAAGGTCTTCAGGCGACGATGAACACGACGGCGGCAGCGGTGACAAGTGACTGCAATGACAGATAGAACGGCTTGATGTGAATATGTGTTCGTACTCCCTACTCGGTATGCATAAGAATTTCCAGAGTGGCCTGCTGTGCGCAACAAGTTGTAAAAGTTGCACTCGTACCTTGTCTCCGGACCACGGACTGCGAACAATCATATGTCTGGCCAGGGGTCCTCAGGCACCCTGCACTACTACTATCAGCTGCCAATGCTGCGAACCTCTCCCCTTAGCAGCGTCCTGCTAACAATACGGCGTACGGAGGGCTCACTACCCGTATTGGCTCCGCAAAGCTCCCCCAGCCCTAGTGGACTAGTTCCGCACCTGATGTCGGATTCTGAAGCCGACTAGCTCCTCTACGCAGTATCGCTCCATCATTGCGCCGGAGGGCTAATAATGGAGGGGAAGGCTGAATCGGACGGGTAAGCCTTGTAACTTGCACAAGCCTTATTAGCTGACTTCGCTTCGCTAATTAGCCTGATCTGAGAACACTAGGACCAACGACGGGCCTTCTCCACGGCCAAATCCAATAGCCCCCCAAGCCCCCAAGCCCCCAAGACCGCTCCTGAGCCGGGAATTCGGGTTGATGATGCGAGGATTTGGGGGTGGCTCTGCCACCCCAATCCATACTCGTTGCCGTTCGGGCCCCGAAAAACGGAGGATGAGTTGATGCAGATACAAACTACGATGCACTGTACCATCTCGCAGCACGAATCCAGAGCGATGGCATTCTCTTTGTCAGACTGCGCCTCGTATTAATACTGCATTCTTCTTAAAGCCAAACACCAAGAAACGCAAACCACCAACGCCTTGCTATCGCGAAAGGAGACAAAGTCAACACGGACTAAGATGGTGGTGGAGTCGAATCTTGACGCTCTCTCGCCTCCTTTTCTTTCTCCAAGCGACCCAAGGTCGCTCGCAGGAGGATGTCCCGCCGACTCAGGCCACTCGCACTCTCACCACCACCCTCCTTCGACCCCCCTAACACATAGCTTCCACCAGTCCAGCCCCCGTGGTCCGCATGTTCAGCGTCGTCGTACGTGTCGTTGGGATCGTAGAACTCCTCGTTCGACAGTCGATGGCCGCCGTGCAACGTGTCATTGCGCTCCACCTCGCGCTCGATCTCTTTTGTCAGGTCCCAGAAGTTCCGGTCGTGCTCGCCCCAGACGTTGTGTGACAGTTCGTGGCAAAGAGTTCTGCGGATCACTTTGTAATCTCTGTATCCATCGTAGGCATCCGTCCGCAGCCTCAGCTCAATCACCTCGCCCCGGTTGCGATTCAAGCCCAGTGTCTTCGACTCGTGGGTCGTGTGCTCTGCAGGGTTCATTTCTGTGAGGAGACCAACGGCGAACTTGTGCTTGCGCATAGACGCTTTGATACCAGGATCGTTGGCCAGCCGCTCTAGATACCGTCTGCTCTTTTCTGGGTTCGGGAGGTATGGTAGAGGTTCGATGGCGTGGAAGGTGTAGGTGGACTCGTCTTGGATCTTCTTCCAATCGCGGACCTTGTTGGCCTTGACCGGTTTGAATCCACTCGGCCGTGAGACTCTTCGGCTGGCAGCGCTCATGTCTTCCATCTTCTTGACCTCAGTATTGGGCGTGCCGACCAGCTTGATTCGTGTCGTCGTGGTGAGGAATTCGCTCAGCTTGCGGTCGGAGAATGGGTGCTTGACGAAGCCTGGTTTGGGGAGGAAAAAGAGTGACACTCGTTCGACATCTGCGCCAATCTTCTCGGCGCATCTCGTGGCCAACTCCCGAATGGTTTCTTCGGCGACATCCTCGAGCTCGAAATGCTCATCTCGATATTGGATCTTCATCGAGGACAGAGGCGTATCTCGTTCGACTAGTACCTATGATTGATGAACAATGGCTGGCAACTGGGCAATGTTATTAGAACGGGAAAAATAGAAAAACAAGAGGAAGGCTTTTACCCAAGGACAAACAGATGCAGTTAATAGCTGTAGAGGTTCTTCGCTCTTCGAATGAATACCTCCATAATTAATCAGCGGGGGAAAATCAGCAGGCGCAGGCCTCACGGGATGACGCCACCGTGCCACAGGTGAGTTGGCCCTGCTGACTACTCGGACCGAGCCGGTGTTCATGAGGCTTCGATGGAGATCGCCAAGCGAGGCGGTCTGGAACAGGGCATCGAAGCAGACGCTCGAGGACACGTGGGACAACCAAAGGCTAGACTCGAGATCTTCGAACTCTCGCTCACGGACGTCCCGATCGCACCTCAACCGACTCTTAATTCGACAAGTTCCAGCGGCTCCCGGTGGGACGAACACTTCTTGTAAGGTACACTCATGTATGCCTGCTTTGATATATTGTGATACCGAATATACTGTGCCTGCTCCCTATGTAACTCGCCTGCAAGTTCCCTCTCACTGCTTGTGATTACCAGCAACGCAATCGTGCAACATTCTATACGCTCCCATGATCTAATGTCCATTGACTGCCGTGACCGGCGTGCTCCCAGTACCTTGTAGATGCGAAGTGGGAGCAGCCTGTACTAACCCATCCCCATTCGCATGGCAGCATTCACCGTTCGTCTCTCTTCCAACCTCGACGCTGGCGATATTCTTGTTGCCAGGTACGTCGAGGGCAGGGTTTCTCTCGAAGAAGTCTGCCGGACGCAGATGAACCTGGTGGATTTCCACGGGCATCACGGGCCAGTCCTCCACGCGGGGGTTGTGGGTTAGACCAAAGACGTTCCAGACGACGACGTCTTCATTCTCCACGTCGTCATTTCGCGCTGCCATATCTGCCACGCCGCCCACCTCTAACTGCGACTGGTTCGTGAACTCTCCGGCTGCAAACAGCTCATTGTCCCGGTATCTGGTGACCCACACGTGGTGATGCGCGTACGCCGCGCGCTTGGCGACGATGGACTCTGGGTCCGCAAGAATCAATTGGGATGGGGTGGGAATGAATTTGTATGAGACTGGTCGTTGGGAGACGGGATTGACTTTGTTCGGGTTGGTCATTTTGATGGTCAGATTGGTGAAAGGAGAAGCGTGAATGGAGGTTGACTTGGTGACCGGCTTGCGGACGATCTCGTATCCGTTACCATGAGGATTCGTCTTGGGGTTCATGGGAATCGGCAGGGATTCTTCCGTGAGAATGGTGTTGGCGTGGCCATCAATGGCCGGGTCGATTCGGACGGCAAAAATGTGCTGGTGGTTTTGGGCAAGGGCGCCCGGCGACACAACGTTACCATAAGGGCTGACCTTTCCTGGGTCGATGTTGACCACTGAGACGATTCCGGTGGCTCGAGTCTCGATGGTGATGCTGTGACATACCATAAGCACTCAATCACATCCACGGATTTAATAATACTCACCCTCCAGCTTGATCGAACTTGTAGGCAAAGATGTATTCGTAGTTTGCCAGTGTAATGATGAACTGAACAACCAATTCTCTCAACCTCGTCACCACCGCTCGGTTGGTCCTGAAGTTGGTGTGCTTCCATCCAATTCCGTTGTCTTGTTCATGGACACACACCACGTTCTTTGATACCGAGGGCTTGCCTTCCGTGTCAACCAGCATTGCGTCAATATATTTGATGACGCCCAGACAGTCACATCCCAGTGCGAGATTGTTTGCAGCTCTGCCTGCACCAGCGTCCCCAAAGTCGAAAGCTTGCTTCCGTTGGAACGGCGGTCGAGGGTCGCCGTACGGGACAGTCATCTCGGACAGGCTCAATCGGTAGAGAACGCTTCGGCCGTCGTAGTGGATATCGTGAAGAACGGCGCATTCACGAGGAGTGAATCTGGGCCATTCAGTCAGTACTAAAGCTCGAGGCAAACGAAGACCATTGCTCACCCAACTCGGAACCTCCATTTTTGCCATTCGATTAGAGAGTCATCACTGACAGTGAATGACGGTCCTTCGGGTTGTATCACGTTCAAGGGTTTCAGGTCTTTGCGAAGAGGGGTATCCAGCAGCTCGGGGACGTATTCAGCCGGTTTACAATGTTCAAGGATGTTTTTGCCAGCAGTGCCATAGTTGAGGCCATCCTCGGTGCCACCAGTGGCAAGACGGTCGATACGAATGATTTCCTTCTTGTAGGTATCCATCACTGGAATGATGGGAAGAGGGAACCCGTAATGATTGGTATCGGGGTTGCCATTCCGTAGCTTGGCGAAGCACAGACCTTGAGTGTACCTAGACGAGGGGTTAAGCTCTGAATAATGTAAACGAAGAAAGACGCCTACCTTGGGGTGACCTCTCCGACATCTGGACCGCCGTAAGGCCATGGGTCAATAGCGACCTCAAACTTCTCGTCAAGGTTGAGTTCTTTAATGGCATTCTTGAACATCTCTGATTCCACACACACATCATTGAACTGCCTAAATTCATCCACTGTCAGAGATTGGTGGGAAGTTGGAGGCACCCGCCTGTGCTCGACTTCCTTGCCCGTGGCAATATCAATCACTGATTCCATGTACTCATGGCTTCGATCCTCGAAGACCACGTCGTACTGGACACGGGCCTGGCGAGGAGGTCGGGGAGTATCGGATGAGAGGCTTCCGGCATGCTCGGCGGCGAGAAACTTGATCAGCTCGGCTTTCGCTGGCTCAACAGTAAAGATGTTGCGGAAGACGATGGCGGCCTTGCGGGCATCAAGTACTGCTTGTCGAGCGATGCTAACCTCATCGGCGCTCAATTGGTCCAAGGGATGTTTGTACGTCATCTTGGGGATCGTATGGCCATTGGTGGCCGCCATCTTCTGTCACGATCGAGACTCGAGCTGACTCCTTCTATGATCGAGAGACAAAACAAGAAATTGAAGCAGAGGGGAGAACAGGAAGAAATTCAGGGCGGCCTGGGTGACAAAAGAGGGGAAAGGGTATAAATAAAAGCAAACTGGATGATGCTGATATTCGGAGTTGTCCTTCAAGGAACAAACGGGTTGACCTGAAGATCACCCTAATAACTTGTTTGCCATTCATGAATTTCCCCGCCACAAGTGGGCAGGCGGCCATGTACCCGAGACGATAAGAGTCCAACGAAGGCGGCCAAGAGCGAGTGTTTACATTACGATATAAAAGTCACAAAAGAAGCTGTTTGTCGTACCGTGCCGTGCCTTTTCGTTGGAAGCAGCCAAAGCTGGATGAATTAAAGCTCAAACTTGACACCAACAAGAGCCAATCAGATGGCGTGTCGGCTATACATACTTGATTTGGCGTAATTAGTGGGTATCCAACAATCGCCTTCTCTGTTTGTACGAAGCACCACCTATCAAATGATCTCCGTTTTCATGCCAGCGCCTCGGTGCCTCTCGCTCCAGGAGTCGCCTTGTCGACATCTTATCAGATTCTAGATTTGTCTCGCCTCTTTCCTCAGCCAGAAGAAACATATGCAATGCCTGATCTCTGATGTGCGGGCCTCGGGGACCATCTCCTCCACCCTGAGGTCCATCTTTGCCAACCTGGATTTATCCAACCAAATCAAATACCGCGATGCCCACTTAAGACCATTATGGAAACTCTTCATCATCATCTGTGGCCCAGAAAGCCTCGTCCAGAAGGTCCACGTGCCCTTTATCTACGGCTGCGAGTGCCTCTTTGGGCCTTTCGGTGTCTGGGATCGAAACAATACCCTGCACTGCAATTTCATATCGAAGTGGACAATACGTCGGGCTCGCCCATGGAGCAAAAACCACCGAGAAGGTCCGGGTTTTCTTCTTGTCTTTCCAGATATTACCTCCTGCGTATTCCTGCCGTTCACTCTCCATCCTAAGGACAATGCGAGCAGATAGTTGATTGGCCCATGCCAGCCCAAGCGCTGGAGTCTTCATCTGTTCATGCTTGATCTTTCCTTTCTCGTCTCCCCACCCTGTGAAGAACCGTTGTTGATGGTCAAGGCTCTGAGCCTCCCTCCGTTTCTCCAGCACAGCCGCCGCCACCGATGCGTGCAGTCCAGGAACGGCAGGAGAGGACGGTGTTGCCGGAGACGAAGAGTAAAGGAGGCTTTTCGAGTCATCGAAGCGATCCGACACTTGATTGGTGACCACGACCACCAGGTTATTCTCGATAGCGATGCGCCTCAGAATGTTTCCCAATTTGGCAAGCTCAAAGGCGCGGTCGGCGAGTTGAGCGGCGGTCCGAGTGTCGTGTTCGGCTCGGAAGTTTGCGGCCACTGAATCTAGGACGATCAATCCAATATTGAATCGCTGGACCGCAACGGGAAGCTGGTACCGAAGAATATGTTCTTGTGCCTCCAGATCATTTGTTGCGATAGTATGCACACGATCAAGTGAAGGTCCTCGTTCAGCATCCAGGCCATCGTACTCAGGATGGTGAAGGAGTATTTGGCTTAGTCGTTTGGTGTGGAGCGGTCCTTCAGTTGAGACGTAGATTGATCCTTTTCCGAGTCCCTTGGGCGGAGGTAGTTGGACAGAGAGCAGCAGACCAAGAACAAACTGAGTCTTTCCGACAGCACTCTCACCAACCACCTCAACAATGTGACCTGGGTGCAAGCCTCCGTTCAACGCTTGATCTATGCACGGATCCAAGGTCCTGACTTTCAATGGCGAGTCTACATCCATCCCGTTCGACTCTGGACCATCGTCTGCCGTCTTGTTTGCATCCGTAGCTCTAGTCTTGCGCTTCTTCTTTACTCCTTGCAATGTGTCGCGTTGCAGAGCATGTATGACATCTCCAACCAATCTTTGGACGTCGGCCGCAGGAAGAGGGCATTTTCTGGCAATGTCTATGGGGTCAAGAGTGATCAAGTCGGCGACAGTGACGCCATTTTTCTCCAGAGAATGTAGAAGGTGCGAGTACGGTTTGAGGTCAAAATTAGGGAGGACTTCGAGGAGGTCGGACATTGGAGCTAACTAGGATCATAGAAGCGTGTCGCAAGGGGGGGCCAGCCATTGTCTGCGGCCGGGTTGTGTAGGCAAATACGGCGTTGTTTGCATGGAGCTTTGAGTAAGGACGGTGTGTACCACCTAGGTGCGGATGGGATTGGATATGTCCTGGGGACCGGAACTTTACTTGATCATAATAGTTTCACATCCCGCGTTTGAGTTGTGTAGGTGTTATTGCCCTCGCAGGGGTAGTCAAAAGCTGGAGTAGTGGACTACTGAGCGCTTCGCCAATATTCAATGGGCGCGATGCCCTTTCGGGAAGGCCACGAATGCGGCAGTCCAGGCTGTTTTCCGTGAGGTGACATCGATAAGGTGCCAGTAAAAAGTTCATGCAGCTTTAATAAGCCCGTGATTGCACTTCGACCGTAATGACTCCCCTCTGCAGGCACAACTACAACTATGCCTTCTCGTCAAGTTGCAGAGTATGGGACGTTTAAGAGTCCCATTGAGCCAGAGAGCTTTGCAGCGTCGGGTTCAGTGGTCTTGAACCAGCTGTGCGTCAATGTAGGCCCCAAATTTCTCGTATCCGAGGATCACACTGACTCGTGGACAGCGAGAAAATGGCAAGATCTATCTCCTTGAGATACGACCAGACGAGGGAGGGAGAGGTGTCATCGTCGAGCACTATAATGGTCAGAGCAGAGATGTTCTACCCAGACAATACAACTGCTTGTCTCAAGTTCATGAGTATGGCGGGGCCTCCTTTGCCTTCAATGAGTCGACAGGACATATTATATTCACAGATTGGGAGACCAAGGGTGTTTTTGGCCTCGACCCTGACGCGGGCGAAACAATCCCTATCGTGACAGCGGATCCCAAGATATACTACGCCGACTTTGCTATCCACCCTCACCATTCTCAGTTCACCGTCGCCATCAAAGAGGATCACCATGCGTCCAAGATTGCCGAGATTCAAAACTCTCTTGTGGTGATTGACTCGTCCACAAACGAGGTCCGGCCTCTGGCCACGGGTGCCGACTTTTACACGTATCCGAGATTCAGTCCTGACGGGACGAAGATATGTTGGATCCAATGGAATCACCCCAACATGCCTTGGGATTATACAGAGCTATGGCTCGCTGACTGGGACCATGGCATTGCCAAAAACCCTAAATGTATTGCAGGCCAGCAGACCAAGGCTAGCATAACCCAGCCACGGTGGGGTGATGATGGAGTGTTGTACTTTGTCTCGGACCAGACCGATTTCTGGCAAATATATTCATTTTCCGGCGGTGAAGCACAACAACTCGTCCTGGCGGGCCTAGAGGATGCCGAATTTGGATTTGCAGATTGGTTTTTGGGAGGCTGTGAGTTATTAACCCCTCGAGTGAATTAGACGGCACCTTACAGGAAATTTGTCCTTAACATTCGCCCATTTGGCCATGAGCTAACCCTGGTTTGCAGCTTCCTACTGCCTCCTGAGTCCTTCCACCATGGTGGCTGTTTTCACCTACCAAGGCCGCTGCAATACCATTCTTGCAGATACACGAACACTCGAATGGCGGGATCTTAGCTGTCCTATCGTCGAGATAACGATCGACGCCGTTAAGCCGGTGTCTGACACATCGTTCGCCATCATAGGCGCGACTACCTCCCTTCCGATGCTGGCAACGGTGATTGATATCAATGACCAAGGACTCGGAACAATCCTGCAAAAGTCCGTCCCGACATCCCTTTCAGAAGACTATGTTTCTCTTCCACAGCCTATTACATTTCCACGGATCCACGGTCCCGGCGGGGGCGAGGCGTATGGTCTTTTTTATCCACCGAATAATCCGCAATTTGAAGCCCCAGCCGGGACGCTTCCACCCCTCATTGTTGCTGTTCATGGTGAGTCTCCTCTTCCTCAGGCACATAATTCCTATTAATGGTCATTTTGTCGCTGTCACCATGGTCTAAACTGATTGGCATTTTTCAGGAGGTCCAACATTCCAAGAAGGCCCGGGCTTCTCACTTCGCGATCAAGCACTTACAACCAGAGGCTATGCGTTGGTACAAGTCAATTAGTAAGTTATGTTGCTCATCGTTAGAGTGTTTCGAATTGGTTTCAATCGCCCTGATTGAGTCTTGGTACAGACTGACGGCCTATCCTAGCGTTGGAAGCACCGGTTACGGGCGTCCGTACCGCAACCTCCTCGCCGGCCAATGGGGGGTTAGCGATATCGCCGATGCTGTTTCTGCTGTCGAGTATCTGGTTCAACAAGGGCTTGTTGACAAATCACGGGTTGGTATCACTGGCCACTCTGCAGGCGGCTACGCAACAATGCAAGCACTGGCCAAATACCCTTCGGTATGGGCTTGCGGAGTCGCCGAAAGTGGAATATCGGATATGAAGCTCCTCGTCGAGGAGACGCACAAATTCGAATCTCAATATCTCTCGCCGTTGTGTTATCCTCCTGGTGCCTCGGCTGCAGAGAAAGAAGCTATCTTGAAGGACAGGAGCCCCTTGACCCACGCTTCAGAGATCAAGAGTCCGCTGCTGATTATCAGTGGAGCGGATGATGCTATTGTGCCGCCAAATCAGGCATACAACCTGGCGAAGATCGTCAAAGAGGCCGGTACGACGGTGGATATCAAGGTCTATGACGGCGAAGGGCACATATTCAATAAAGGAAGCACGCTAAGTGATATCGAGCGGAGGCGGTATGAGTGGTTCGGGAAATATCTGACAAGGGCAGCTCCATCATAGTGCGAGACTCCCATTTTATGCGCCGAAGAGGGTCACTTTCGTCCGCGTGGATAGGTTCCAGCGCGTTTGGAGAAGATATGATCGATGTTGATCAACGGAATGGTGTGTTCGTTCTAATACCAGCCTATCTTGAGTGTAGAAATCAGAGTTATAAAGCTGTTTGTGCAAGCACACAATTCTCGTTTCCACCAGAAATGGGTTAGCTGCTCTTCAGCCGCTCTCAACACCGCAATAGGTTCTGCTCTCCAAACCTCGCAAGATGCTGTGGGCTCTAAGCAATTAGCCAGTTGCGGGGATAGAATGAGGGTTGAGAGGTGTCTTGCTTACCACTGTGAGCACGAAGACCAAGTGTTACTTCCGCCAGTCAATTCAATACATTGGCTTGGGCATCTCATTGGTCCTCCTAAATGTGATGCAAGAGATGCTGCAATTCTCGAGGAATTGACTGACTCCACGGGCATTGCGCGATGACTTGCCCGTGAACGCCACTCGCCGCAGCATCCTCATTTGAATAAGTTCAATTAATCTATTAGTGAAGCGCATTGGATTTACAAGAGAGGAGAAAAGGACACGAATCCTGCGAAGAAATGAAGTGCGAGCACTTGATGAGACGAGGCTACGAGGCTGGCCAATCGGAGGATTAAAGCTCCAACTCTTCAATCTAGGCGTGCAGCAAGCTACGAAGTGCCTCATCCTTGTTACTCTGTTACTCTGTTTACTCTCCGACTTTGGGACCTCTGTTGTCATCATTCCGTATACCATGGCGTCGGTTGCTCAGCCATGGCTGTTCTCAAAGTATGCTCGTTCTTCCGCCTCCTTCGCACAACCTCTACATGCATTGATGCTGAGTTCTCTACGTTCACTAGATTCATCGACCCCGTCTTCGCGGTCTGCGTTGGGCTTTCCGCAGCTGCTCTTCGCATCCGACGCGAACAACGCGAGAATTACCCTCACCAGGATTCCAGTTTTCTTGCGCTCTGGCGGAAAGGTCTCAAGATGAACAAAGTTTACTGGGGAGGTGATCCCGAGGCCTGAATAATGAACCCTCTCCAGAGTTCAGCTGTCCGAAAAACATCGAACAAGGCAGGAGAGGGACGACAGCGCTTCATAGGCCATTCCGAAGCAGCAGGTTTGGACATCTACAAAACACGCACTGGAATATTCTTGAGTCACAATGCTCCGCTCTGCGCGCCTTCACTCCAACCAGTTGATGAGGGACAAGACTGCGCAGATGGACAGGATGATGAGATAGCGCTACACTCCCTGAGGAGGGTCTGTATCTGAAGCCTGGCCCAGAGACGGCCTTCAGATGTATTACATGTTTGTCCTTCATGGAGTCCCTCGGTTTCTCAAGCGGTCTCCCGAATCCAGGCGGTGCGGAAGTTTCAATATGCGACAGTTGACTCGGATTTTGTTATCTGGATGATGATGCCTCTCCCATGATCTATGTACCTCATCCCCATCAGATCGACTCGGCTGTTACCGGTCCTACGCTCAAAGGAACGCAGGAACCTGGTTCGCACCCTCGATTGGCTTCATGTAGCTCACACGGTCCTTGACGTAGAGCTCGGCCTGCATCTCTTGGACGTCTGGATGATCGAGGCTGCCGGCCTGTATTAAGGAAATCAGCAACCCGTCTCCAGCAGTCTCCGTCTCTTGTGATACACCAAAGGAGTCACACACTTACCTTGATAACAGTGTTTTCGGGCATGACTTCCAGCTCGCAATACAGACTCGATCCACAATTTCGGCAGAAGTAGTGACGGTTGATTTTGCCACTGTCACCAGTAATGTCAAAGGCTTTGGGTGTTCCTGTTACGATCAAATACGTCAGTGTATATGGAGTTGGCAGAAGGATTTGGTGGGCAAGTGAACGGCGTCAACGGCTGTCATTGCAATTTCTCACCGTCCGTGACCTTGAAGCTCTTGCGGTCAACGACAACATTGGGGAGACCGGTCGAGCCGCCCCAGCGCTGACAGTCTTTGCAATTGCAGTATGCTTTCAGTGCAATGTCACCCGTGAACTCATATTTGATCTGGCCGCAGAGACAAGCTCCAGTGGTAGCAGACATTATGGGCGATGGCGAGCTGTTTGAAACCTCTCAGGGCGCAAGAGCAGGCAACGGGAACGGAAAGCAATGCAAGGGACAATGAATAGGGAACGGACAAACAGGCAATGGACGACGAGCAGGGCAATACCTCGTCTTATATACGTTCAGGCTTCGATCCATGCCTGGACATCATACTATCCAGGATAAGGCAAAGGTCTGTTGGCAGTCGTGGCTCACATGCAGTGTCATCTATGCACTGGGCCCTTCGTGGACGTCCCCAGACGCGCACGCAGTGATCATCCTATCCCCACGGCGCAACTCAAGGTCAATACCTTATCGACATCCCATAGTCTAGTGCTCCAGAGTCCCTTTCTAGGGGAAAATGAGAAACAATCTGCGAGCCGGATCGCCAACGCGGATGGCGGTGAACTCCAGAGAGGATGGATGATGCGAGACGATAAATTCTAGAATTAAATGCAAACAGCGCAGTCAGCAATATCTCCCTGTGGAACACCTACTCGATTGGGTCGGTCGTGATTTGTTACCCGATACAGATATCGAGGTCCGGAAGTTGCATAGCGATCTGGCCCCTCACACATCCAACAAACGAGGCATAATCAGTCGGCTAACCAAACGATCGATGCGCCTGCCAACAAGGTCCCAAAGGCAGTTTTTTGAGCATGTACACTCTCCGAACACCTTTATTATCTTCCCGCTCAAGCAGTGCCGCTGCTGTCAGAGTAAGAGACATGAGTGCTCCCATTTCCACCATGCTCCTGGTGCTCCTCTGTTCCTCGTAGCAGTCTGGAATGCTCTGGGCGAACATCGGAGGCAACAGGCCATCGTGGCGAACGTCGACTTGGTTGCGCCGCCATATCCGCGAGATGCTGTGAGACGAAGAGGTCAATAGCTATGCAACATGGCGGGATCCTGGAAATTGGGAGACGTTACCAGAAGAATCCAGTTGAATAGACTGGCTAAGGCGATCAATCCCGCAGCAACCTGCTCCTGATATCGCCACATTGGTCCACATGGATCTGGGTATCCTAGGGTTCTCTCACAGGCCCTCACATCGACATCGTGACTGGGAAACGGCCACGCACGATCATGCAGCGAGTTGAATCCGCAGCACCGAAGAGCATTCTCTATTCCACGGACGGCACCCTCGTTCTTAGCCCGAAACAGGCTGGTCCATTGGCTTTCCAGACTGCAGGACATGATATCGGACGGGACTCCATAGACGAGGGAGAGAATGAAGAGGGCAAATGGGAGGAGAGGCAGGAAGTAGCGGAGATACGGCGCCAGAGTCGCCCATGTTCTCTTCTTGGCCCTTGCTGCAAGGGCCATGACAAATGGTCCGAACAAAGTTGTGAGGATGCCAAGGATCGGGAGGACGAGAGGGCATGGAAGGGCTAGGTGGGAGATCTTCGCCCACGAAATGCTGTGAAGATTGATGTCAGAGGCTGAAACCAAAGCTTTCAGGGGGGAGGTTTGAGAACACCTACGCAGAAAGGATGATAGACACAATGCCCAGCTTTGAATTTGGTATGTTAGGACAGCCTTCCCAGGAACAGGGACAGAGACAGAGACAGGATGGCCCTCAACTCACCACTATTGCGATCAGGCTGAGATACTTGGAAAGGAGATCCATGACGCTAACAGGTAATTATGACCTTGATGCGCTCGAAGGTGACGTACTGACCAGAGATTTGATGGATGGCGATAGAGGGAGGCAAGACCCAGAGCCGCAAGAGAACAAGAACTGGAAGAAAGGAGAAAGGAATCAAATTGATCAGTAGGCATGATGCTACCTGGGGCAAAGGACAGTTGCTCAGCCAATGCATTTGGCCAAGACCGAGACGGGGTTACAAAGCATGAGGGGTTGTCGCAGCGTGTCAGGTACCTCGTAGAGCATGTGCCTTATGTTCTCTTCAGAGACAAGGCTGACAGGTGAACGAGGTGCCACGTCGAGAACTATGTACCAGGTTTCTTGTCCAGCAAAGCCTTAGCTAGCTGGGTCTACCGGCGGCAAAACTAACCCAAAGGGTAATTCCGTTAAGTTACGCAAATTCCCGCGTTTCCCACTGTAATTCTATGGTAATGTGGGGTAGAGAGGATTGCACAAGAACCAGATAGAGGAGGCTAATGAAAAACGCATAGTTAAGAGCTTCACTGGCGTCTTGGGGCGTTTACCCCCCGCGGGCATATTTTGTATGCGGGGTGCCGTGATGTTCATGCTCGTGGAAAGCGTATGTGGTTATGACTGGGAGATGCAACTCCAGAGTCTAGGGACGGGACTGCTGTGTAGGCGACAGATACGAGCCTAGCAGCCTAGTAGTGGCCTCTCCGGTCTGCCCCATCACCCAATTTCAGGCATTGGTCAGCTGGACATCCAGCGAACTTCCGTCTTCTACAACTTGTCCCAATTCTTTCAATCAACACACTTTTTTTCTTTGGCCGTGCTCCTACATGTGATGGAAAGAGCGTGGCTGGGTGGCTCGATGATGCACGTAGGCACATGCTCTCACAAGCGGTCCTGCCATAACCAGGTGTTTTAAACCTCTCTCAAGTTGGGTACTCTTGAACAATGTTACTTTTCCTTCAACTCAGCTCATTTTCACAACAACCGTACCTGCTAGCATGTGATTGTCTCTGCGTCAGTGAATATCGATTTTCCACAAGGCTGAGGGTCCTTCTATCCCTATAAGTATCTCCTGCCGCACCTCCAATCCGTCGGACTTCCTTTCTGTACAATTCTCTATTCGTTCAATCTCTCAATTCAGCATTCAGATTATCATTGCTTCGTTTCTGAGTGACCTGTTCCAACCGGCTACTTCGTTTGCCTGCACAATCCTTCTCAACCTGACTGTCTCCCTGATCTTTGTCCCAACTGTCATTGACCAGTATGAAGCAACTTTGCCATCATGTCGACGAGAGGACGTGGTGGCCAGACCACTCTACCATCTCACCCCAGAGGTCGTGGCAGGGGCTCCACTGGAAGCGGGGATCGAGGTGGTAGTCATCGCAGCAGTCGAAGCGGCGCTGGTAGTGGTGTCCCTCGAGAAGGAGGTGCAAATGCTCCGACTGTCTTTTCGTGAGAAACTCCTGCAGTGCCCTGGCCCACTTTCCAAGTACGAAAGACTGACAGCTTCCTGAGCACGCAGCCACGGTCCTGATGATGTTGCTCAGCTTGACGTTAAGGTCAAGGCGCTCGAGGACGAGATTGAGAGACACGTTCTCAACACATCCAACCCTGATCCCAGTCTCCCTGAACGCCCTGGCTTCGGGACAGAGGGGCGTTCTTGAAGAATGCAGCGTGATGTGGCTTCTGGCATGTCTTTGCGCCACGTTGTTTGTTGATATGCGGGGGATATCTCGTTCGCCGTGGGAGATTGTCGCACGAGGAGAAGGTTCTGTTGTCAAGGCTGGTCCCTCCGGCAGTTCTCTTTTGGAATTTCCTGCTAAACAATGACAATTTCCGAGCCGATTTCGCAGCCACCTCCTGTCCAACTGAGAAACACGTGGGTTTTTGCTTCAGATAGATCACGATATGAAACAAGCGAGATGCAAGAACTCAGCAACAACGGATTCCATACCTCACTGTAGACACCCGTCGGCAGCATAGTTCCTTCTTTGGTGTCCCTCCAGTTGCAAGTATAATTATAGAGCGTGGTTGTCGTTCAACCGCACGGACGGCTGCGGGCGAGAGTGCCCTCCAACTCCATGATCAGGAGTCGACAGATTTGGTCTTCCCGGGCGCCCCCGCCATTTCCATTGTTCCAACTGCGTTTTATTGATGGGGTAGAGATGGGCACATACCAATGGTGTGACACACTCGTTCGGGGGTTGGCCAATGCCGCAAGAGTGTCCAGTTTGTGTAATCGGTGCTTGGAATAGCACCTCCGGCTATATTTGTCCACCTTGACCGGCGTCGTCTATTTCGTGCATCTAGATGACCTTGTGACTTGGTTGGCTTAAAACGTTGGCCGACTGGAATGTTAGTGGACTTGGTTGTTCCCGTTTGTGGAAATCAGATTTAAAAAATGAAAGTGGACAACATCGCAGAATTGTAACAAGTCTTTTGCTTTTGGGGAATGCGGATTATGCCAAATCATAATGTTACACTTTTTACCGGGGTCGAACCCTCTCTGTCCCCGTGGCTGGCAACAATATGCCATCCTGTATCACAAAGTCCGACCGGTAGACTGACTCCTGGCTGCTGTCAAAAAGGAGGGTGAAAAGTGCCGTCCAGCGCTCTCCGAAGGGGAAAAACAATGGAGAATATATTGGAGGAGAGTGTCATGGCTAGGCTCAAAACCTGGCCAACAAAAAGATTCTCTGAAGTGCTGAAACGGCTGGCACAAATGCTCGACAAAATCCAGTTGGGCCTTGGACCAAAAGTGGCCGCCGTTATCCACGACCACAGTGAAGTATGAAGAGATTTGTGGGCGAATCAGCTCATCTAAGGCTGGTCAATCTCGTTGGTATTCGTTGGATGGCCGTCGAGTACGCTGGAGCAGATCACACGATCTTGCCAAAGGCCGGGATGAGTGTCTGAGCTCTGAGAGAGTGTTAGTATTTTGAAGAAAGCTAAAGATGGTGATACTCACAGCCAGAATGAAAACACGAGCTTCGGGCCGGTCATCAACATCTTGGGAACAATGCCCTTGAAGAAACTCGTCACGCCTTCATTTTTGACCATACTCGCCACGATTCGAAAACCGGTCTCGCCTTGAGACGACGCCTGGACACGGGTCTTGATCACGTCTAAAGGACTGGAAACAAGGAGACTTGCTGCTGCCCCAGCCACAGAGGCAACGAAGTTCTGGCCCCACGTCGCTGCATTGTAGTCCTCAAGCTTGAACAGGTATTCTTTCGTGAATGAAGAGCCTCCGAACAGAGCAAAGGAGCCTGGAGCGTTTCGTGCCCTGTGCTACGTTAGTCCCATAACTGAATGGCTGCAGCTCGCTCTGGTGTGCTCTTACACTGTCCACCCTGCCCCCCTATACAAACCAAAGAAACCTTCCTCTTTGATGATCTGGAAAAAACCTTGGGAAGGGCTACCAGGAGTCCTTAATTGCATGCGAATTTTCAAAAGGTCAAGAGGAAGTAGGCCGACCTCGCCTATGCCGATGAGGGAGCCAGCGGTTGCACTGAGCATTGCTTTGCCGGTACCTTTGCCGAATGCGCTGTCAAAATCCTGGGCGTGGTGCTGGGTCAGGTAGTCGCGGACGAACGGTTGACCGCCATATTTATATACTCTCTGCAAGATCTTGTAGCCTGCTGCGTATCCTAGACCTGGGAAAAGGGAAGTAAACTTCGTGAGGACGGGGGCGGTCGCAGATTGTCTGAAGATGACGGCGTTGAGAGCAGAAAGCGAGGTCACCTGCGCATTGTCAATCGGCGCGCAGTAAGCTAGGCCGGAATATGATGCGTACTCTGGTTGGGTTGTTCATCAACCTTTTCGCAATGGTATCAACAGGGTGAAAGATCATGAGCTCAGCAACTCCAGCAGAGCCTGTATCGCCAACGCATCAGCCCGGGCTGCCACGCACCCCCAGCAAATATATGTACCTGATCCCAATAGCCGAGCGAGTCCCGACTCGGTCTTATAGCTTTTACCGCCCACACCCAGAGCTGGCGCCATGGCCGGAGGTGACATGGTGGAAAGAAGGTATGCAGTGGTTGCGCGCAGCGGTAGGGGACGGCGTGGGCAAAAGGACGGGATTCGAAGACGAGAGCGAGGTCGAGAAAGGTATTTTCTATATCAACTCCAGTTTTAATGAGTGAAATGATAGCTGGAACGTCTAAGTTTTTTCGGGCGCAGCAGAAGAAAACATGTGTATTGGGAAAAAGTTCGAGGTCGATAAGACTGCGACGGGAAAGAGAGCGGGTCCGTATCTCTTTTCGGGAGTGGAGAGAGTGGACCCTTATTCGGATATGAGTTTTAGTTCATCCTTATCTCCGGCGGCCTTGCCGAATACGGGGTATGCACAGTATACGGCTGGCAATACCACTTGCATGGGCTGGCCCTGAAGAATATTGTCCTGTGCCATCATCTCTCATTCACATGGCCATCAACTAGTACATGCTCTTGCGCTATGCAAATGCGTTTATCTGGAAATAGTCCGCCAACATTTCCTCCAATCCACGGCTGCATGCCTCATCCATCAGAAAGGAAACCTCTGGACGATTACAATCACATCTAAGTGATAAGCATTTTCTTCTCCGCCGCCACGGGCATGATATCTTCCTCTGCTTTTCGTTTACCAAGTATCGAGTTAGAATAGTCCCCTAGGCAGGATGAATGGTAATATCGCCCTCCAACTTGAACTGCGTCTTTCCAAATAAAATCCTGCACTTCCTCACTCCACTCACTTTTGAATGCCTCCTGGTCTATTGGACAAGGTAATGATCGCACCACGGGGTCGGCAGGCACGCGCACAAAATCTTGTGGCTTCTTTTTATCAACCACTCCGGTTCCATTTATTGAGTGAGCGTTTGAATCCACCGGTCCAGCATCGTCGTCATACTCTTTGCTTGCGATCCATTCTCGCTCATCCACATACCAACTGCGGTTCTGACCCCGCTTCTCTGCCTCCAGCATTCTGGCTTTGGTCTTGAAATGCCAGTCGAGGTGTCTAGCCTTCTTCTCTTTCCCACCATCATCCGACGTGAACCTTCTCCCGCAAGTACTGCATTGATTGGGCCGCGCGTTGAGAAATATCGCAACCATCTGGGGCCTCGGTATCCTGATTGAGGCTGACGTGAGTTTGACTTCCGCAGATACGTCTGGGACGAAGGTAGAGAAAGAGGCCATTGGGGGCGTAACTCCGGGTGGAGGCGTCGGCGCTGCAGACAAAAGCCCGGACGCTCGGAGCTGGGCAATCAGGGGATTTTCGCTCGGCGGAGGAGGGGCTGTGGTGTTGTACTGAGGAGTACCCACGCCAGATTGAGAGGCGGCATAGTAGCTGGGTGGCTGTGTCGCCTGCTGTTGATTCAGAGTGGTTCGAAGAAGCTCTGCAAGGTTCGTGCTGTTGAACAAGGCCGTAGGAGGCGGGGCAGGGCTCGGGCCTGGTGCAGTTGCTTGCATGGGTTGACCGAGTGGTTGCGGAGGAACGTAAGATGTTTGCAGTGGGATGTTGGGCAGCGGCGTTTGCGTCGGAGCCTGGCGACTCATTGCCATCTTCTCCGTCATCTTTTGATGAATGGTGTTTCGAATTTCGACCAGGTCACTTTCAGAAGCATTGCCGCTGTCAAGGATTTCTTTCAACGTTTGAAGACTGGCTAGTTTTCGTTGAGCTCCGACATCCATCGGATGAGTGGCACACTCGATCTTGGCGTCGGTGGTGAGATCGTCAATGTCAGCATGCAGTTTCTGCAAGTCAACCGCATTTCCAGCAACGAACGCCGGCTGAGGAGTCGGAGGAATATACTGGGGTGTATGAGAGGCTGGAGGGGGTTGATAATACGGGGCTGGGCTCGGCTGAGGCGGGTAAGGCTGGCCGTATGTCACTGGAACGCCCTGAGCATATGGTTGCTGAGGCACGGCAGGTTGTGGTTGCGGACTTCGAATGTGTAAAGGAATAGTCGGAGCGAATTGAGGTAAGGTTTGCGGAGGTGTCGGGGTATGACGGTATGGTTGAGCCGATGACACTCTAGTAGGCTGACCCTGAATGGGGGTGGATTGATGTCGCTGAGTTGGCGGAACTTGGCTTCGAAATTTGTTCAAACTGTCCACGATGGTCTGGGTGCTTGCGATAGGGAATACGGGAGTGGTGGACAGGGCTCCTGGGACCGGTTCTCGCCACGTCTTTAACATTTCTTCCAGCTTCCGCCGGACTGCGCCATCGACCTGAGAGTATGCCAGCATGAAGATCTGGTGGAGGTTTCGGCCAAAATATACTGTGTACGGAGACCCGACGTTTTTGGCGATGGAGTCCAGGACATATAGAGCCGGTAATTTGCGAGCCGGAGGTGCCTATCAGAGCATTAGTCGTGTTCTTGAAACGTGCATAGAGAGCGGTTTGGACGGGAATACAATATGACAGGGATTTGCATAAGAAAAATGAACGTACTCTGTTGATGTGGTTCTGCAACACCCTGGAGATCGCTTCAGCATGTTCGGTATTCTCTTTGGCGATCAAGGTCAAGTTTGAGATCTGATATCTGTCGTTGGTCACAAGATCCTCCAACGAGTTCTTATAGTCTTCTGCGACCTCATCTGACGGTAGCCCGGACATGACGAGAGAAGGAGATTGGAATCGCAAACGGAGAGTAAGAAAGATTGGAAGGTAGAGGAAGTCCAGATGAGGACTCAGGACTCGAGCTTTGAACGAGTCAAACGGGCATGCGACAAGGCAAGCAATGACTCTTTGATGTCAAGCACCGACTGGAGTCGTCAGACACGGACGCGCCCGAGCAAGGTAGACAACAAAAGGAAAAAGCGTCGTGGTATCTTTTGGCTATCTACAACCATTCAACGTGACACCGTTATGTTATTTTCGTTCCTCCTTGTGGCTCCCGTCCAACTCTCCAGCAGCCCAAGACTCGATGGTGATTCACTCCAGACAGCTCTTCAGGGTCTCCAAGTCATGATTCGCCGCAATAGGCAGATCAGGTATAGGTACAAAGCCCGGTTCGTTCAGGCGATCGGAGTTCAGTCAAGTGTCGAGTGAGCCACGAGACGAGGATGTGAAGTTTGGGGTGGTAGTGAGTTCGACTGTCGCTGGTCGCTGTTGATCGGGCGCCGTAGACGCAGTGTCTCGATAAGGGAGATGGACCGAACTACCAAGGCGAAGAGGGCGAGTGACAAGATAGGCACGACGATGATGAACAGAAGAGATGAGGTGGGTGAGACGAGCAGGTTGAGGGAATCGAAAGGAGTTTGGTAGGGGACTGATGCCCAGGCAAATGGGAAGCCAAAGCCGAGTTGCCGCCTGCGTCAACCTTCGGCAGGTTGGCTCCGGATCTGGAAGGACAGGGAACTTCCATGTGGTGTCATAAGAGACCCAAATCTGCAACCATCGCCTGCCACTCGAATCTCCCACTGACTTACGAGGTACTCTTTACAAAATATCCATCCCGTACTTTCTCTACTGAATCCGGTTGATCATCTAAGCTCTGATCGCGTTCTTGCAGAGACCAGCCCCCGCTTTCCACACTCTTGTCAACACACTCTGAGCCGCCAAAATGCGTCTACCGATCGTCTTCTTGTTCACCTTCTTCCTTGCAGCCTTCGCTCTGCCTCCACCCCAAAAACCCGTCGTGGTATCATTCCCTGACAACACTCCATCTTCAATCATCGACAAGGCCATGGCGGAGATCGAGAAAGATGGGGGCATTATAACACATGAATATTGTGAGCGCTCATTCATCTACACTGCTCCTATGATTCGGGCTGGGACCAGCGCTAACTTCGTGATAGCCTTGATCAAAGGATTCGCAGCCAGAGTTTCGGAAGTGACGCTCAACAAAATCAGCGAACTGGCTGAAGCATATGCGCCATATATCGAGGACGACTACGTGGTCAACATCGATGGCTCGACAAGTGCCGCCAAATAAACAGGCTTTTATGACAAGGTGTTCGGACCACGGATGGACATAATTTTATGAGCTGAAAGCAACGAAACTGTGAATATGATGGCATGACTGGTTCGATGGCAGGTTTCTTATTCAGGCTACATGGCTGGGAAACACCGAGGATACCCAGGGAGACCCTGTGTATGGGGTACAGCGTGCGACATAGAGTACCACGTACCTCCCTCGCTATAGATTCACTGATAATTCAAAAGTATTGACCTGCTATGAGATTCTGACCGCTTCCCGAGTTTGTCTCCCTGGATCGATTGCCCATGGACAGAATGCCAGTACGGACGCTCAATGATCGACGTCATGGTGTTGATTCCCTCGTGCCTCTGCGCCTCCACAACCCTCGACGGAAGCACGCGCCCCAAACGTTTTTCGCGTCTTCGCTATCCCTCAACCTGAAACCATGGGGCCATCCATTGCGTTTGGGCTTGCCGCAGCTCGATAGTCAGAGCAATTATGAAATCTTATCAACATAAACATATTCCTCTCCCATGGCGACCGACGAAGCCATTGCAGCCGGGCTTATCGACTGGATCAACAGCCTCGCTGTCGCAGAGCCGGTGTACACTGTCGACGACTTCACCAACGGCGACCTCATATGGAAAGCCCTTCGTATGTCTCAATCTTTGCAATGCTCGCGCGTGTTCTCTAACCTCGTTCAGAGCAAATCGACCGCTTCAGCTTTCCCGGTAAACTCCCAGAAGACCCCGAGACCGATCAGTGGCTCAACAAGTGGACCAACCTCAAACACATTTATGATGCGCTGTCAATATTCCTCGTCGAGGAATGCGGGCAACGACTGCCGTTGCCTGGTGGTCGCCCTGACCTCAAGGCCATCGCCCAAGCCTCCTCTCTTACCGATACCGTCGCTCTCCTGAAGCTGCTCGTGGTGGCTGCCATCAATTGCGCCGATCGTATTGAGTACTTGAAGCAGATGCAGGAGCTGGCAGAGTCGACCCAGGAAGTATTGATGCAAACAGTGCAGGAGGCTGGAGAAGATGGGGACGAACCTGACGAGGCCGACGCGGAAGACGCAATTGATCAAACTCAAGAAGAACTTCTCAGCTCTCCCCGTCGCTCCACAGAGATGGAATCTGTCCTGGAGTCAGAAGAGAGGCTAGGCAAAGTCATCGCCGATAACCAGCGGATAGCGTATGAGAAACGAGAATTGCAGAAACAGCTTGACGAGTCGTATTCACGCTACGAGAAACTGCAAGAGCGTTTCGACCAAGCACAAGATGATATAAAAGAGTCTAATGATCGCCTGGCTGCCATTCTAGCAGGGAAATCCGACATTTCGACCCGGCCACTGGACTCCAAACATGACACTCTGATTGCGAATTTGGAGAACCGTGTACTGGAAACCGAGTCAGAAGTGGAGGAGCTGCGGAAGAGTAATGAGGTCCTCAAAATCAAGGCCGAAAAGGCCCAAAAGCTGCAGGACGATTACGATGAGATGAAGATTGACCGAGATCGTCTGGCCCGGAAGGCAAACACGGCGGAGAAATACAGACAGAAGTTGGAAGCCAGCCAGGACCTGGAGAAGGACAATGCAAGCTTGAGGGCGAAAGTGACCGAGCTTCAGAACCAGCTCAAGCAGTCTGATTTTGCTCAGGCGAACTCGAGCGATTTGCATCGAGAGATTGATGAATACCGTCGGCTCTTGCCCAGCATTGAACAGGAAAGATACGAGTTAAACGAGATGAAAAAGAGGCTCGAATTTGATTACCACGCACTGGAAGCACGGTATCACGACGCCGTTGAACAGTTGTCTCGTCAAAACCATGCTTTGGAGGACCTACAAAGCAGACTGCGTGACTACGAAGAAGGAATCACCCCAGCGCCGAGGGAAGAACGGCCTCCGGACCCGGTCAATAGAGACTTTGAGAAAGAAGAAGCCGAACTCGCCGAATCAGAAGCCCGCCTTGCCGCTGCACTACTTAACGGAGGCGCCACCTCTGCAGCGGGCAAGGATACGGATCTTACTCTTCCAAGGGAAACCGAGGCGACCATCCCGGGCCTCGAAGACAAGGAGAGCATCTCGGAGGATGAGCTGAAAGCAATCATGTCAGCTATGCGTGCGCAGGCACAGGCCGGAACTGCCACGGAGAGAGAATCGTCTCTCCGCGCACAAAAGAAACTGATCTTGGCGATCGAGCAACAGAGAACCAAGAACAGGCTCCTGCTCGACCACGTCCAGAAGCAGGACCAAACAATCAAGGACATGCAGAAGGTCGAACGTGAAAGAGAGTTCCAGAAAGCTGAGCAAGATACTGTACCTCCAATCGTGGTGGAAGATGCCCCAGCAAGCTCTTCCCACTCGCTTGACGAGGAATCAGAAATCGATCAACTCACAACCCAAAATATTATTCTCCAGCGTGAACTTAAACTCATGGCGTCGGCGTGGTATGATCAAAATTTGCGGCTTGCGAGCGCGAGCTCGGCTGCATCAGGGCGGAATAGGGGAACTGGTAATGCTGGTGAGCCCCGAGGATTCCTAGGGCGGCAAAGGCGGAGGGTTGATGCCGTCGCCTTTGGACGAATCTGAAGAAGACAGGTATTTGAGCTGAGGCAGTGTTATGGTCCGGGCAAGCCCTTGAAGGGCTTTAAAAGTTAGAGGACCATACGGCAGGCTTGAATATTGACACAGTTTTCGCGCGTCACCAATGCTCATATTCCTGAAAACTGGTCCCTTTTTTGCCATCACTACAAAGGAATGACACTGCCCAACCCGTGTGCAGATAGTGTACGTCAGGATATACTGGGCGGACTTTCGGAGAGTTGGCAGCGACTGTCAGGCTCGCCAACACAACAACAGAAACCAATTAATCAGTCCAGGTGGGAAGCGAGCGTCTTGACCCCAAGGTGGGTTCTCTTTTTTTTCCGTCGTCAGCTACAGCAACGATGGCTTTCAGACGCGATATAGGACAGGATGCAGACACTGAGTTCACGACTCCTCTACCACCGACGAATCAAACAACCTGTCGAGTGGCAAGAAGGCGATACGCCTTCCACCTGACGACAGAATTGTGCTCGATTTTGATTTCACGAGGTCGCAACTCCGGGAAGATTCGTGAATCGAATGAGCTGGTCGAGGTTTCGAGGTGGCGCCTGCTCCATCACCAAGGTTCCTTCCAGCAAGCGACATTCGACCAGACGAAAACCGTGAGGCTCAATTCCTCTTGTACTCAATCTCGTCTGCGTCTCACCAACCGATCTGACACATACACTCGCTCGCATTTGCTATATCGAATCTGTGATACCATTTGTAAAGGAACACCATACCCCTGCATATATCGGTTCACACCCATTTGACGGAGAAGTCGTCTTCCCAACACTGTCTCTATAATTACCCGTACCACGAAGCAATCAGTTGCACGGAATTCACCAAGCTGTGTGCCTCCGGTTTCACGCAATGAGGGTCATACGAGACAAGCTAGCTAGATCCCTGTACACGGGCGACACGCCATTACGGAAATTCGAACGGCTGTGTCGATACTGCGGAAGTCACTTGAAGGCAGAAATAGAGGCTGCTCGGGATGCTCTCCATCTCAATATCCCATGGCGCAAGTGCAATGTGCGCAAGACCGCCAAGCACAAATACACTCTGAACATGGACGACATCTATATCTACGAGTCCGAATTCGTTGGAGAAAGCTACCGTTGTGTGCGGAACTGCACTAGGAGTAGCTGCATTCGCACCGATGAAGAGGACGCTGACCCTGATTCGGTCAACAGTAAGGATGCCGGTGTGGGAGGCCTCGAGGATGAGGCTTCGTCAATGTCTTCGTCAATGCATGGCAGCACTAGTTCGCGGGTCTCTCGGCGATACACAAGCTTCACCACTGTCTCGTCTTTAGACCCCATGGATGAAGAAAGATCATACCACTGCGAGTCGGACTCCGTTGATTTGGCGAGCCTGCACAGGCAAAGGCACCTCTCTTCACCCTCCTTCGAAGAGAGTTACCATCCTGCAGAGACGCCACCATGGGAGTCACTGACGTTGGTCTCGAGTTCTTCGGACGAATGGCAGTCTGTTTTCAGCCGTGACAGGACTGGCAGCGGTCACACCGCGTATGACGAAGGCGCTTCTACCCAAGAGGACGATTCCCGAATTTGTTCCCCCCGATGCCTCGACCTCGAGAACATGGAGGATTGGAGCATTGATGGCAATGGCAACTTGTGGCCGAATGAGATTTTAAGACACACGACAGTTACATTGATCGGGCGAGCTGAGACGCAGCGACGTTGATTGAACTGTCTTGCCCTAGAGAACTGAAAGACACGTGCTGCTCTTTGGTGCGGGAATTATACCCTTCTCTATGATATATAGCTGTTCTAATCCAGATATGTTACCACTATGTCGGTGCTGAACCGTGGCCAGTGGAGGTTCGTCTGCTTGGGGCTGCTCCGTTAATCGGCCTCACCATTTTATTTCTCCAAACACACGGCGACCAAATTGCGCTGTTGTCGACTCCATGTTGCGGGGAAACAATAAGCCTCATCGTCAAAACCACAAGACCAGAACCCTGCCATTGATTGTTTCCCTGAGCAAATCTGCGCCGCAAACAGTCTGTGAGAAGAATCAACTCGACCATGGGCTCGCCAAGTAAAGAGGAGGTCTACGTGACAGTGTCTGCCCTCGAGGCAGGACAGCTCACTCTACCTGAACGCCTGTTCATCACCGATGCCGACCCCGAAAAGAAAGCGACCGTGCCTTCCCTATCGTTCCTGATACAGCATCCGTCTCCAAATGGGAAAGTGACCAAGTTCGTCTTCGACCTGGGTCTCAAGCGTGACCTGACCAAATACCCGCCTGCGCAACAAGCTCATATTGCCAATCGTCAACCTACTATCCTCCATCCGGACTGCGCTGATAGTCTACGAGCAGGAGGTCTCGATCCCGCAAAGGATATCGACATAGTCATGCTGTCTCACGTTCATTGGGACCATGAGGGCAGCCCCGATGATTTTCCCAACTCTCAGTTCGTCGTCGGGTCCGGGACACTGCACTTGTTGGAAAACGGGGCGCCACCTCACTATCCGAAAGAAATCTTCAATCCAAATCTCCTCCCAAAGGATCGCACATCCGAATTACCGCCAACGAGCAAGGAAAGCACCACCGCCGCCAAGTCGCAGACGAAGCATGTGTGGCGACCATTCGCGGGATTCCCCAATACAGTAGACTTCTTTGGCGACGGCAGCTTGTACGTTGTTGATTCTCCAGGACACTTGTTTGGACACGTTAACCTCCTCGCGCGTCTCAGTCCCACGAAGTGGGCATACCTGGGGGGTGACTGCTGTCACGACCCGCGGATCCTTACAGGCGAAAAGGACATCGCGTTATATGATGATGGCCACGGAGGGTTGAGATCTGTGCATGTGGACACGGAGAAGGCAAAAGAGACTCTGTCAAGGATTGGGCCCTTGCTCAAGAAACCGTGTCCTGTGTTTGCGAAGGGAGAAACGGGGGGACAGGTGGACGTGGAAGTGATCGTTGCCCACGACAAGGGCTGGAGGGAGGCGAATCAGAGCAAGTTCTTCCCAGGAACCCTGTAGAAAGGTCTGAAGAGAGGTTTTCGGAAAGGGGTGCGAGGACCAGTGCATGATCAGACAGTGCTGTTCGTGGAAGTGCCGCAAGTTGGCATCAACCATTTTCGTAAAGTTGAATTCAACGTAGATATGGCTCTGCCCAGGATGCCACACCCCTGAAAACCCAAGCCTTGTCTGGCGCATCGTTGTTCCCATAACCCCTGGCTACTTGTCTCTTCCTACTTGGGACTTCCTCGATGGACCCGTTGATGCACCGACCCCTGTCCATCAGCATCAGGGACTGCTCTTGGGTGGCTCTCCAAAGTGCCTATGCTGAGCAATCTGAGTCGGAGCCTTGCTGCCCAGATATTGGATATTGGGGAAGAGTTTCCCCGATCTCCACCTTAGGAAAAACCACTGCCTCGGTTAAACCTCCAAATCTCCTTGGCTTCCCCAACCCCGAAATCCTGTTCTCCCTCTCCTGCACCCGTTTCCTTTTCCCCAACGCGGTAGGACGGAGTATTGTGGGAGAAACAACCCAGCACTACCCAGGGACAGACGGAGTCGAGGTATGTCGCGTACATTTTCAAGACGCACCCGCATCGCAATTGCCCGCACAACGATCCATCCCATTGGAGTCCTCTCGGCATCGACTCCGAGGGGTGGAGTGGCCGTTTCATCGTGACCAGAGGGCCAAAAAGCATGTCGACGACAAGTTTTGATCGTCTTGAATATCATTCTTGCAAAATACGTAGGGGGTAACCACGAGGCTGACCTAACCTTTGTCGAAAGACACCGTCGTGCGCGTTTCCGTTCGTCTGTATAATACTATAACTACTACTACGACGCAAGAGACCTTGTCCGCAGCTCGAGAAGACAGAGTATTACCGAAGACCACACAACACAAGCCAGGCGACTGGACACATCGACAATATGGCATCTCCTCAAGATACTGTCGCCTTTATTGGTAAAGAGGCACAACCTTCGTTCTAGTCATGTACACATCATCTAAGAGATTTCTCACAGGCATCGGCGTCATGGGCTACTCCATGGCTGTCAACCTCCGCGCCAAACTCCCCTCCAGCTCGACGCTGCTGATCTGCGACGTCTCCGAGGCCGCCCTGAAGAAGTTCCAGGCCGAAAACTCCTCCAACGGCCCCATCGAGGTCGTGTCCAACGGTCACGAGGCGATCAAGCGAGCAAACACAGTCATAACCATGCTCCCCACGGCGGCGTCGGTAGAGAAAGTGTACCTAGACCCGACTACGGGAGTGATTCCAGGGGCCATTGAGGTCTCCAAGAACGGAAGCCCCCAGAAAAAACTGATAATGGAGTGTGGCACGATCGAAACGGCCACCATTTTAAAAGTCGCGGCCGCCGCGAAGGACGCCGCCTCGAAACTCGCCCCAGGAGCCACACTCGACTTTGTCGACGCGCCCGTCAGCGGCGGACCCATGGGCGCCGAGGCCGGGACCTTGACCTTCATGGTCGGTGCCTCGACCAAGGACGCATTCGAGCGCGCCAAGGAGTACCTGCAACATATGGGTAAGAAAGATAGTATATTCCACTGCGGTGACGTCGGGGCCGGCACCGCCTTTAAAGTCATCAATAACTACCTGTCCGCGATCACCAGTCTCGCCGCGAGCGAAGCTCTCAACATCGGCTCCAAGATGGGCTTGGATCTGAAACTGCTCACCGATGTGATCAACGTCAGCGGCGGACAATGCTGGGTCACGTCCCAGTCCAACCCAGTGCCCGGAATCCACGCCAACGCCCCCGCAAGTCGAGGCTACGAGGGGGGCTTCCGGATCGAACTGTGCAAGCACGTGCTGGAGATGGGCTCGTCGTTAGCCGAGATGGTCGGCGCGAGGACCATCCTGGATAAACCCACTTTGGGGGCGTTCGATGAGGCTATGGCGGACCCGAGATATAAGGGCAAAGATGCTCGTGTGGTTTATAAGTGGCTGAACGACCAGGGACGGTCAGAAAAGGAGGCCAACGGGGACAAGAAATGAGGCGAGATACTATTCCAGGGAGAGACAAGAGGCAGAAAAAGTAGACTGAGCCTGAGACAGTGAAACAAGTTTTGGCTTCAACGAGATTGCTATTCTGTGGTTGCCTGGTTCCTAGATCCAACTCTTGCTGCTCTAGTCTGATATACCACCATTAGGGTACAGCCCCGTGGTATGATAGCATCTAACGACCAAGAACGCACAATGATCCGGGCAGTGCACGAGTGGTGCTGCCGCTAGTATTATCATGTCCCAGATTATCGAGCTGGAAGGCCGCTTTGACAAACCTCGAGTCTGGGGCCATGTTGACGATGCCGCCAACTTCTCTCCTCGCATTATTGGTTGCGAATTGTAGCACTCAGATTGCGTGGCTGATCGACCAGGTGCTTAGAGTAGTACTCCAAGTCTGGCGTTGTATCTCGTAACAGACCAGAAAATAGTAGGGGTAGCCCTTTGTCGCCAACAAAACGGCCAGCGGATATGCACCGGGGCGACGTATGCTGCTTAGCCTTCGGCGAGGTCCAGCAGTCCTCATCCGACTTAGCTCAGTAAGCTCGCGGTATTGCATACCCAGAGGAAGACTCGGGGCACGAAGGCCCAAGCGATGAACTCTGCAAGGGATATCATAAGCAGTGTCGGGGATGAGGCGTCCCTACTTGAACCCGATGCGCAGTCGACGATACTCCATGATGGGCATTTGTGAGATCGCACAAAAGCGACAGACTTCAACAAAATGGCCAGCGTATTCTGTTTATCCTGCTTCAAGCATATCAGCGTAGATATTGAGACTCTTTCCAATGACATCGACAATTGCCCATGTCTGAGCGCCACGAAACACCTGTGCCCACACCCTTAGGACGCCCGCGCTGAGGTATTTCATGGCAGCAGGGGATTCGATAGGCACATCTACATGCATCGCAAACTCTGTCTCGTCGAGCATTGTCTTTACCAAGGTCGCTATTTTCCGCTCGTCATTTGTAATTGCAGGACCAGAGTCTGGTAAGCTCAACGCTTCCAGCCATTTGCTTAGCAGAAAGGCGCACTCCAATGTGCACAAAGAGTGCTGTATGGACCACATGAAAGTCTGCGTCTGTGCGACAAGGTGGATACCGATCTTGACTGGAATGCTGAGAGCATGAGCAGAGTGCAGGACTGCTCGGACAAGCTTTGGCGTCCGTTTGACAGAAGGGCTGTCTCGAAAGGCATTGGCAATCTGAACAGGGTCGCGAGTATCGAGCGCCCGCCCGGGGCCTAAGTCGACATTGAGGCGGATATAAGCGAGGCGCAGGAGCGCAGTCGAGTTGAAAGTCACTGGCCCATTCGGGTTCATCGGGTCAAGGGACGATTCAGGATTGCGTTTCCACGCCAATTGCCAATTTCTCAGGGCCTGCTCTATGGCGGCGACGTCATCAGATCGTAAATCGCCGTCGTGGTCAAGTCGATATCGAGAAATCTGGCGGACGAAGAAAATATGCTGCAACAGTGCATGAACGAGGACGTAATTGCCCAATGAAGAATTGTATGTGCTCACATCGTTGCCATTGCGGGAGAACAGGCGGTGCAAGGCGGTCTGGAAGCTAGTCTCGGGGGTTGAACGGGCTCGCAATTCCTTCCATTTACTTGCACTTGGCGCCTTGAATTCCGTGGCGTTACAAGGTAATGTGAGATCGACTTCGGATGCCAGTATAAGCGATGGAACGTTGTACACGATGGTGTGCAGATTAAAAAAGCAGAAGACGATGAACTTGGTTCGTTTGGTCGTCTCCCGTCGGATCCAATCGGTCCAGCTAATGTCTTCGGGCATTGGCTGGCTCCTGAAGCCGTCGTCCCTCACCAGTGTTGCTAGGACGCTTTGTATTGCAAGTGCCTCCCGAAGAATTTCCCGGTGCTTCGCCCAAGTAGCCATCGCCATGAGCAACAGCAGCGCCTGTGCTGTTTGCATCAGGTCTTCTTTCTGCAAGCCAGAGTCGAAATCTGGCTGTGACGGCAGGCCCAAGCATCCCGACATGGAGCCACTGCGCGGTGTCTCTCCTGTCGTCAAGTCGCTGGACTTTCCATGTCCGGAATACTGCGGCGATACCTCTGCCGATCGATGGAAGGCGGCTAACCTGGCGTCTCTCTGGCGGATGCGTTGCATGGCTATTGATTGACTGACGGAGAACAACTCGACGCCTTTTGACCCCTCAAAGCAATACTGTGCGCCGACTGCTGCCATTGCCAAGATAAGCTCGATGCAACTATTATTCACAGATAGCGTCGGAATGTGGAGGAAGGGCAGGTGTTCGTGAAAGCCGTTGACATAGCCGGCGAGATATCTCGACAATGCTAGCCGAGACGGGAGCTGAAAGGTGTTGGGCACGACGTGAGCGAACTCCGCCAGTTTCAAGGAAATGTTTTGCCGGTCTTCGTTGTTGATGTCGGATAATGGACGGTGGATGCTGTTCTGCTCGTTCTGCGGCGCCGAAGGACTTTCTTCCGGTTGCAGCGATGGTAGACGAGACCCAAAGCGCGAGAACGAGCCGGAATCTTCGGGGTGATCTGGATTAGGGAGGGCACGAGATACAGGGCGTGAGATCTGACGGGGCTCGGTTGTTGGCAGCACGTCGGTTGCATGCGTGAAGGATTCGGGTGAGAAGAACGGAATGGGCTGTTCGGCGCTGATCATCGATGAAAAATGATAAGAGGATAAGACGCCATTGTCCATGAAGTTTGCCAGATCTTGAAGTGAGTCCTCGAAATCAAAACCGACAATGCCATTGACATGGTCTGTTGGGGCAGGCATGGAAGCTTGCGGAGTTGGCTCGGGTAGGAACTGGTCCTGTACAGGGAATATGGGCGTTGCCAGAGGGTTCGGCTGGCGCAGAGGGGCGTGGGTTTGGTGATCCTGAGGTCGAGCATGCTCCGCAGCCATGAGCAATGTTGCAAAGGAAAGGTCATGACCATTTGGCGTACTGCTCGGATTCTGAGTCGCATTCGCAGGTAGGTAGCTGGGGGCGATGCCTTGGGAGGCGTTGAAATCTGTGGAGGTCATGCTGGGGCCATCGGTGAGATCCAAAGTGTGGTGTTCATCAGTGTTCCGGCGTTTTCGAGCAGTCGACGATGTTGTTGAACTGGCAACACCAGCACTCTGGCCGTTTCGGCCATTTCTTCCCCAGCGTTCAGCGTCGTGACTGAGTCTTTCATGTCGAACCAGAAGGTCACTCCACCAAAGTCAGCTACCAGTGTCTGCGACACCAACGGTTACGATACCTTCGTGTGAACTTGCTGTCGCATTGGTTACAGGCGAAAGGCTTCTCTCGAGTATCTAACAAGAGGTCAGGAGGGGCGCGCATACGAAGCTATGAGGGGACAGAGAGCCATACGAGTTCGTTCGTGTCGTTGAAGATGCTCTAGGCGCGCGAACAGCCTTTGACAGTGTTTGCACTGGAATCTTTTGGGCTTCTTGGGGGGCTCTTCCTGATTCCGATCTTCCTCCAACTCCGGCCGGTCAATCTCCGCATTAATGTTGTCTTCAATCATGGGCTCGAGAGCATTTCTGCCGGGCGCTGTGACAAGATCCTGAAGCTAAGGAGGCGACTTGGGGGTGCCCAAAGAGGTATCTGGACAAAAAGCACGAATTGCTTAGATGATGGGAATGAAGCTCTGGGGGAATTTCCTGGGGTGGCTGCGGAGGCAGCTGGGCGGTGGACGCCGCATGTGCAGGCGAGTCCGGGTTTGAGATTCGCCAAGCCACCAGGTGAAAAACATGGGCCTAATAGTGGGCGAACAGGCCACATGCTGCGGGGCTGTTTCTGAGAAGGACGGTGGGAGGCACAGGACCCGTGAAAGGGGGGTTGGCACGGCTAGGCTTCCAGGGCGCCATCACCTGGAGTGGGCTAACTGGGTACCAAAACCGAGCGCAGGCACCTACCTGCAGAGCTCCCACAGCAATACCTCGATATGTTAAGTGGGTAGGCGATTGGCTCGAGGTCTCAAGCTGCTTCTCAGATCACCCTGTTCCTTTTGTCTATATTACACTGCGACTGCGAGAATGGATTTGCTGCCTCCTAAGGTGGCCTCCGTGCCTCCTCAGTCCCTTTTATCATGCACCGGGCGGCTAGTGATAACTGACAAGCCGCCGTTATCTGCGAACCTTCCCAGGTACACTGCGCTCATCAGGTTCCAAGACCTCATAGGATCATTCTCGCCGACCTCACCAGCCGACTGGTCTGGCCATGTGGACCACGAGTCCCTCTTGCCCGGTTGCTCCTCATATTATTATTGGAGAAGTGTGAAAACATGCCGAAGCTGCTTTTGGCCATGCTTCTTACCCCAACGGCCATCCTCCAGCAAGTGGGACCGTGGTTGGAATCCGATCTTGGGTCAATATCGATCTTGCTAAAATCTGAAAGACTTCCTCAGGTCATGTCAATGACACTGAGTGCTCCTTCGACCCGATCCTCAACAGCTGCAGCGGCGGCATGTCTTCCCCGTATCTGAGCCAGGCACCGCCGTCACCGCCAGAGAGCCCCTCCGAGGCCACGGTCGAAGTGTACGCTCTTTCGGCTGGCCACTTCTCGCTTCCGGAACGTTTCTTTGTACATCCAGCCTCGCAGACCGCCCGAAGAACCGTCCCCTCTCTATCTTTCTTGATAGTCCATCGAGATCAAGAGTCGGGTCAAACAACACGGATAGTGTTCGACCTTGGTCTGCGCCGGGACCTCAGTAGATACTCGCCACCCATTCAGAAACATGTCGAAACAAGACAGCCCATGACCACTCTCCCCGACGTGACTGCCAGTCTCGCCGCGGGTGGGCTGACCGCCGACGACATTCAATACGTCATCTATTCGCATGTAAGTCTTATATACTCAACTCCCAATGCTCGGCTGACGAAGGAGCGAAAAGGTTCATTGGGATCATGTCGGAGAACCTCGAGACTTCGCTAAAAGTACCTTTGTGATCGGGAGTGGTGCGAATGCGTTGCTACAAGGACATGGGTCATTACGAGGGAGTCATTCATTTTTTGAGTCCGATTTACTGCCGGCTGAAAGAACGATCGAGCTTTCCAACCCTTACGAAGATATAGAAGAAGAAGCCAAGAAGCAGCCCTTGCATTCAGGCGGTCCGGATTTCATTCAAGAATGGAAGGCTCATGGGAACCTACCTCGGGTCCTCGACATATTCCATGATGGCAGTCTCCTTATCGTGGACGCTCCAGGTCATCTTCCTGGCCACATCAACTTACTGGCACGGACTAGCCCTTCGTCCAGCGTCTACTTGGCTGGAGATGCCTGTCACGACAGACGGATTATGAGGAACGAGAGACAAATCGGGGAGTGGCTTGACGATCACGGTCATATCTGCTGTATCCACGCGGACAAGAAATTGGCGGAGCAAACCATTGAACGAATCCAACAGTTGGAATTGTCTGGAGTTGAGGTTATCTTTGCGCATGATTTTGAGTGGGAGGAGGATCCAGCAAATCGATCAAGGTTCTTTGGGAGCTCTTGAATTTTGGTCATATATCACACAAGGCCGTGTCAGTGCACTGCTATACACCGTTGACAGACATAGCACTGGGCGCAACCCCACGAAACTGCCAATCATCTTCTGCTTGTTTTCGTTGCTGGCTGTCCTCGAGCTTCCAGAACCTCCATTGGGGCTGAAGGTGGTCTTCCGAGGCATTAGTAGTGGGGCAGGGTATACCAACACCTAGGTCCTCGTATGTACCTCGTACAGACTCAGACATCAAACCGCTGCCCCGGGTAGTTGAAATTGGAAATTCATCTTTTCCCCACACGCCGCATTTCTGAGCGTCTTTCGGTTCCAACTCCGCCCAATTTCTCCAATTCTGGGCGAGAACCGACGGGTTAGCAAGTTATTCAGCCGTTGCCTCGCCCGTGGGACATAACTGCAGCGAATGTGCAGGTCGTTGTGATCCTGTGTCTCGACTTCCCCTGAGTGAATATCCACGCACAAGCACAAAGCCATGGCCTCGTCAAAAGACCCCGCAGAACTGAAGAAAGCCTTCATCTCTCGACTGGGCGAGGAGCAATGGGACGAATCCTGGGAGAGTATTGCAAAGCTCAGCCCTGAGCTCTTCCAAGCCAGCGTCGATCTCATTGCGGTGCCAAAGAAGAAGAAATACTTGTCTCCCAAGATCCAGCAGCTGATGTCCATCGCCGTTGACGCTGCTTCAACCCATCTCTACGTCCCGGGCATTCGAAAGCATATAGATGCCGCGCTGAAAGAGGGAGCAACTCCAGCTGAGATAATCGAAGTGATCGAATTGACGGGAACCTTGGGCATCCATGCCTGTAACATTGGAGTGCCCTTACTGGTCGAAGTCATGAAAGAGGAGGGCATATATGACAAGCATGCCACTGTTGGCAAACCTTTCGACGAGAAGCGAGAGAAGTTGAAGGCAGACTTCACGAAGAACAGAGGGTACTGGCATACCTTTTGGGAGGATTTTCTGGCGCTGGATCCGGAATTCTTTGAGGCGTATTTGAATTTCTCATCTGTGCCTTGGCTCAAGGACGTGGACGGCTCAGGCAAAGGAGGAGGCGTGTTGGAACCCAAGGTTGGTCTTCCTTCGTTCTCCGAAGTAGGCTACCAGATCTCACTAACCGATTCCACAGGTGAAAGAGTTGATATACTGTGCATTCGACGCCGCCGCCACTCACCTTTATGTTCCAGGGTTAAAGCTGCATATGAGGAATGTCTTGAAGTATGGTGGGACACCTGAAGAAATCATGGAGGTTTTGGAAATTGCAACTCAGCTCAGTCTTCATACATCGAACGTCGCTGCGCCTATACTGGCGGAACGACTGGGCAAATCATGACAAGACCGATACCTTACGGTCATCACGCATCCAGACCCAAAATCACACTTGACAAATCTGATGATGGTAATAGTTGTTCCCATCTGCGTCTTATCATGGCGTCAGTCCACCCTCCTCGACATCATCGAGGCTGGTTAGACAGTTCTAAGCACCCATCCGTCCCGCTCAGTCGCACATCGCCAACTTCTCCAACAGGTGTGCTGGTGATAAATGCCGATTGGAGAAACCCCAACCTCCGGAACCTCCAGAAGATGGAACTTTGGTTACATCGACAATTGACAGCTAGCGTGTCTCCCGAAGGCATTGCCGATCAGCAATCTATGCCTTCTTTGTACTGGCCCCAGCCTAGGATTGCGCACTTCACTAATCCAGCCTAAGCCATAGGTTCCACCAATGGCACAAGACGGCTTTATGCAGACCATGACTTGTTCCACCTTGGCCACCAACAAAAAGGTTATGGACCTGGTCGAGAGACAATATCACATCAGGTCTCCTGCCCGGAATTTCTCCTAGCATGTCAGTGTCATTGCATTCTTTGCCTCCTTCCCTTGCATCCGCTTGATCAGGAGATATCCACCAGCTGGACAATTCTACAAGGATTTTCCCCACGTGGCTTGATTCTGGACTTGATACCCCAACTCGCTTGAGAATCATAAGCAGGGCTCCTGGACAGGATTCTCGTCCTTCCACAGAGATATTGACCGGCTCTCGCACCCACGAAGCAAATATTTGCAAATCTTCGACTTTCAGACTGTAGGAGAAGCCAACGGAACTTCACCATGGCAGACCACGCCGAGGAACTTAAGCAAAAGGCTGAGATCGAGGAGTATGTTGCAGATGACCGCTCTAGAGAGGCTATCGAGTTCCAGAAGAAGGAAGCCAAGTTGCGGCGCAAGCTCGATCTCTACATCGCCCCCGTGATGATGCTTCTCATGCTCATCAGCTATCTTGATCGTGGAAACATTGGGTTCGCAGCTACTCAGGGCATGGCTGATGATATCGGTCTGCATGGCAACCAGCTCAATGTAAGCTGCTTCGTGCCATGAAGCATTTTTTCAGTTGACTGACCTCACGATAGACTGCGGTATCCATCTTCTATTGTACTTATGTGCTCGCCGAGCTACCGACTTCGCTATACGTCAAGCGACTCCAGTTCCATCGAGTCATCCCTATTATCACCTTTTGCTGGGGCTTGGTGTGTATGTCGATGGGATTCATCCAGAATTTTGCTGGCCTCTGTGTCTGCAGAATTCTCCTGGGATGGTTTGAAGGGTATGTTTTGGCCCGAGTCATGCAGTAGACGAAGCTAATTGTTCATGCCTATAGATGCCTGTTCCCTTCCATGACCCTTTTCTTGGCCAACTGGTACAGACGAGAAGAATTGGCTCAGAGAATCTCTTATCTCTTCAGTTAGTACTATGCGTCCTCAGAAGGTGCCCCAGTCTAACAGGATATAGTTGCATCTGCCCTGTCTGGCGCTTTTGGTGGCCTCATCGCCTTCGGCATCCTATACATGGATGGCGTCGCCAATTACCCTGGTTGGCGTTGGCTTTATATCCTCGAGGGCCTCATCACGCTTGTCTGGGCGGGACTGTGTGTATACCTGGTCCCGAAGAACTACCAGACTGCCTACTTCCTCAACGAGGAAGAGAAGAAAATCATGGCTGTCCGTGCCGAATTATCAGAGTCCTACTCTGGAGGGGACGGCCATTACAAACTCAACGACCTCAAGCTGGCTTTCAAAGATGCGAAGACTTGGCTGCACGGTGTCAGTCAGATTGCCGTTGTCACTATTCTCTATGGTTTTGGCACTTTCTTGCCCATTATCATCAAGAACGGATTGCACTACTCGACCAAACAAGCTCAATATCTTGTCATTCCAGTCAACCTCTGGGGTGCTATCGTGTACGCCGTTGGCGCAGTTATCTCGGACAGGTACCACAAGAGATTCCTCATCATGGTGGTTTGTGCTCCCGTTGGCATTGCGGGATACGCCATCCTCCTGAAAATGGACGATGTTTCGGTGGGCGTTCAATATTTTGCAACTTATCTTATCGCCACGGCCTGCTTCCTCTGCACTGGAGGTAACATTGCCTGGCTGTCTGGCAACGTGGCGCCAGACGGGAAGAGAGCTGCAAGTTTGGGTAAGTCCATCCTGCTGCCTCCTGTGTACGTCCGTTTATTAACAACAATTCCTCCAGGTACCCAGCTCACTCTGACAAACCTTGGGGGGATTATCTCTGGCCAGATCTACGCCTCCACAGACGCACCCAGATTCGTTCTCGGCCACGCTTGGTCCCTTGGCAGTCTGGCTTTTGCATTCATTGTGTTCAACATCCTGCGCGTGCTCTACAAAAGGCGTGAGGCGGCGAAGGATGAACAACGCGCTCAAGGCGTGGTCACCCCGCCCGAAGAGTTCACGGACAGATCGCCTGAATTCAAATATCAGTTCTAGACCAAGACGCTGGACGGCTAGAGGGACAGACGTTGTGGGTCAAGCTGGAACGAGGCAAATCCTGTAGCGGTTGAAGATTTCCGAATAGCAAATTGTACAGTAGCCAGATATCCTTCAAAAAGTATATTAACGATCAAACCACTGTCTCCGGGATGCAACTATCTGGTTCCGCGAGCCATTCCGCGTTTTGTGACCCAATCGCGAACCTCCATGGGTAGCTATCCTTCCACCGCAACCTCGACGAGCGTCGTGTACCGCCTTATCGATTGTAGCATGTCTTTGCTCTGTGAAGCTAATTCCCCAAGATGCTCCAAGCTCACGAAAATTGCTCGGTGGTGTGTCTGTGGGGGCAAGGGCCTCGTAGGCGGCGTCAGCTGCATGTTGGAGACCATTGTCGAGTGGCTACAGGATCCGGCTGGTCAACCAGATCAATCCACAAGGAGTAGTTCTGGCAACTCCGCCGGCGTCTGGACGGAAGAATGGAAACGCCGCTGTGGAGGAGGTTCGATGGGTCGATCGTTCCAGAGTCTTCCTCCCTAAGGAGACGTAATCTCTTTGCCCTACACAGGCAACATGTTCGGATCCGGCGCGGCGGCGCTGTGCCCCAATCTGGGAAATGTGAATCTGGTGATCTTCTCGAAATCGGGGGCCTTGTCGGACGTCCAGACCCCGACAGACCTGTGGCCGACAGGAAAGGTGCCGAATCCTTTCGAGTCAATCACGACTTCCCTGTCTTCCCAGCCGAGAATATCCCTCCACCTCTCCCCAATGTGCCTGTGACCCACAAACATCCTCTTAGACCTCCTGTCCCAGCTATTGGTCATGATAACAGCAAGACCGGCTCCGTTAGACTTGGACCTGTGGCCCAGCCGGGTCCAGCCAATGCAGTCTTTCAAATCGAGATAGTCTCTTTGCGCGCCATGGGCGTAAAGCTTTCTTGCGGCGATGAGTCGCGCAAGCTTGCCACCGCACGCTGGGAGTCGAGGCCGTGGGCCATGGTTGCCAAAGACATCCCCCCAAAAGACGCAGGGGGTCCCTCCATTGTGGCGAAGCAGAATCAGCGCGTAGGCCAGCGGTATGAACCACTCCTCAACGGGCGCAGCCAGAGACTGTGTTTCTTGTGTGTCGTGATTCGCAACAAAGGTCTGCAAACCGAAAGCGCACATCAGACTTGCAAGCTTCACCACGCCTGGAAACGGGTTGAGAGACTTACCACTGCATGGACATGATCCCGTTGTACCAGAGTGCCGTCGAAAATCGTCGTCAAATCATGCTTTCTTCCCTTTGAAAAGTCGCTGAAGGTGTATACCAACTGAACGTCAAATAGATTCAGCCGTCCATGGCATCTTCTGATAACCTTAGTCAAAGCTTCCAGGTCAGGGTCCCAGTACTCCCCAACGAAAAGCAACTTTTTCCCCTGAGGGGTCTTTGTTTCGAGATGTGCAAGAAAGTCCGCAAGGAAAGAAAGAGAGTAATGCTTGATGGCATCCAAGCGAAAGCCGCCGAGATTGAGCAGCGAGGTAATCCATATTCCCCAGGTGAAGATATCTGTTCGTACAGCAGGATGCGAATGATCAAGGTCTGCGAACATTCTGCCGCAAGTTTGTAAGTTTGAGTTGGAGAACTCGAAAGTTGCGAGAAACCGGGAAAGGTCACTCACAAGTAGTCATAATTTCCCAACTCTTTGCTGACATCGTGTGCCCAGTCGCTTCGCTTTTCGTCGCCAATGAGCTTGAAGATGCCATGATCTTTCTTGCGGGAATCATAGTCTACGCCAGAAAAATGCTTCCAGTTGTACTTCATGTCGGAATACTTCGTGCCGCGCCCAGGGAACGTGAATTTTGTCCACGTTTCCAGCTCATAGGGCTTAGAGATGGCCTTCGTCCGGTCTGCTGCATGATGAGCCCAACTACCGTCTGGTCGCCTCGTTCCCAAGGAAGTGGCTTACCGTGAGGGTCTACCTTGACTCCCCAGCTGACTTCTTTGCCGTCTGGCGAGGCTTTGTGATTGAGAACAGCATCCCAAAGAATATCTATTCCCAGTTCACTTGCCTTTGCGCATAATGCCTCTAGCTCCGCCTTATGGCCCCACTTCGTCCTTGGTGGTTTGCCGTTGTTCTTTGCATCAAACTCACCGAGATCCCATAGGTCATATATACCGTATCCATTGTCATGCACCGAAGTGGCTTTACAGCCTGGAGGTATCCAGATGTGCGAAATACCTAAGGCGGAGAGGTGTGGAAGCAGGGCCATCAAGGTATCGTAATGGCTCGCACTTAGCAGTGCACTATCACCCGGCGGCACTGGCAGATACCATTCGAAGGCCTGGAACAACGTCCTGTTTTCATCTAGATTGGGATCTTCTGGCAGTCAGCCAGTGCTAATAGACTAGAATTCTCCTTCCGAAGCCCTGGTTAAAACCCCACAGATGTGAAAGCGAAGGTTGGGAAGAGCTGGTATTACCCAGCGGGGCGTATCTCTGTGTTATCTTACCCTCAAATTCAGTGGCCTTTCCACCGCCACTTATCGTCCTGACTAAGGAGGACCAGCGCTGCATCTTCGGGTGCCAAATTAATCGCTTCCAGAATGATGTTGTGTGCTCAATTGACACAGAAGATGGCGGCTGACGACGAAGGATGCGGCTGACAACTGCAAGTGTGACGTCACGCTACGAAGTCGATACAAAACGCTGAACAAGACTCTCTAGAAAGAATGAATAGAAGCAAATTAAATCAAGCATTGGGGGATTAGATTGAATATTTTACAGGTGAAGCATGAAGATTCAATATGATTTGTTGAATTAGACGTGGCGAGGCTGGTCTTAAGGAGTTTTCAGGGTAGTCCTCATGCGCCAATCAGAGTACCAAGATCTGCAAGGCTGACGCGAACCCGGCAGTACACAAATAGAACCAATACACCATAATAGAATCTTGTCTTCCGCTACATATGTCGTCAATCATGTCAAATCTCTGATCTGACTTCTGAGCCAGTTCCATCCTCTGAGGCCATGAATGGAAATCATCCCGCCTCACGAGGGGCATTGATGAGCTGTGACTCTTTCAGCTAGCTCAGAAATTCTTTGCACATGTGAAACTGGAGGCACTCGTTGGATCGCCCTTTCCGTCGTACTTTGAGACAAGTGGATATAGACACAAGTTCTGATGTCGAACAGTCCCATTGACCTTGTACCCGCTCGAACCCGGCAGCACTTCCGGAGCTGTTCCATTTTCCACCCAGTTCCTCAAGGCCATCAAGGCGTTGTCTGGAATCGGGCCACTTCCTCCGCCACCGCAGTGTCCCACGCCAGGAGCAAAGAAGACACGATAGAAATCCGTGACATTCGGATCCAAGGCTTTGACTCTGCCAAAATAATTCATGGTCCCGTTCGGCATAATCAGGTTGTCAGCGAGACCCTGCCAGGTGATCATTTTTCCGCCAGAAACTTTGAAAGCGGACAAATTCGCGTTCATCGTACCCATTATAGAATCATACTCCACATGCGATTCATGGATCAATCCCGGGAACTCGGAGTAGGTGATATTAGAAGTGTTGTAGTCGGCGTCCTTGAACAAGAAGTCGCGGAACCAACTGTCTGAAATACCGAATGGCTCTGCAACAGTGGTGCCATTTTTGAAGGTCTCGGTAGGCGCCAGCGAGCTGAAATTGGTGCCAGGAAGAATTCCATACCAGAGCGCTGTGCCATTTGCAGCGGTCGGACCCTGCCAAATCTTCTTCACAACGGTCGCCGTCTTGCTCGAAAAGCGCCTAATTGTCCCATCGGTCTGGCAGGTATAGTTCTTGCCAATAAGACTTGAAGGATCAAACTTGCAGAGTCCAGGAGCACCAATGATACCATCTCGTAGGCCATCCAGATGGTCGCATGCTGCAACTGCAGCAGCGTTAACAGCATCGAACTCACATTGAGGGGGGGCATAATGCTCGTTGTTCATCACGGTGTATGGCCACTGCTGAGCCGGAGTGAAGTCATTCCAGTTGATGGCAGGAGCCGAAGCGACAATGCCATCATAGTCGTCCGGATACATCTGTGCTTCCATAAGACCCTGTCGGCCGCCTGTCGAACATCCTTGCCAATACGCATACTTGGGCGCAGACCCATAGAAACTGGTGGTGACAGCCTTTCCTAGCACCGTCATGTCATGAACCGACCTCGACGCAAAGTCAACCAGGAGGTTCTGGTTTACGTCACCTTCGCTGACTAGCGCCCACGACGTGGCGTCTCCAGAGTTATTCTGAGCGTGTCCCGCATCGGTGGACACAGCGGCATAGCCGCGCTCGACAGCTGGTGCCAGCGATGACCAGGATCCAGCAACATATCCACCGCCTCCCACACCTAGGAAGACGCCATTCCATCCGGTCAGAGGAAGCCACACCTGGTTGTTGACATGATCTCCCGTCCCGGGATGAGTGAGGCTCACATTGACTTGGCAGAAGTCGAGGCCTGTGATGTTCTGACCAGGCCAATTATTTGATTCGCCGGTGATGTTGACAGCATAATTGTGAACAATTGATGCAGTCAAAGAAGTAACGATGGCTCCGGGGACATTTGGCTTGGGGAGAGAATTCGAACAAGTGGCTGCACTGGGAAGAGCATTCACCCAGTTGACGGCACCGAAAATGATCAAGAGACAAAGCATTTTGGTGGGTGGGAAAATCTGCCAAAGTTACACATTTCATCACGAACGGCCGAAGAGCTTGATAACTCTCATATATGCTTGAAAATGCTTGGTTCCACGTAGGCCCTCTGGGCTTGCTTGCAATCCAGGCCACTTCGCCTCCCAACAGCCTTAGGCGCCCTAAGTGCCGTCGATCCGGAAGCCGCTGCAAGTCAAACAGAACAAAATGCGGGGAAAGTGCAAAACCTGCTTTTTGACAACATGTCTTCGGCCGTGCAATGAACATTTTGTCCATTGAGGGATGAAGAAACAGCAAAATGAGGAGAAATCGTGCCGGGATCGCCGTCTACTTCGGTGAAAAGCCGTGTCGATCCCGCCTTTTACTCTTCGTTCTCCTCCATCGCCCAGGATTTCTCCCGCAGGCGTAGACATCCCTTCATGGTCAACAGCAGACAGCAAGTCTCTGGACTAGCATCGGTCGGCATTTGTGTGGGGCTAGCACTTGTCGGCAATCCAGTACAGCCTGCGTTTTGATATTGCGTCGTTCAGGAACACGGCTTCTTCTTATTCGTGGAATTCCATTGCATGCAACAGTTTTGACTTGGTCAGTGTCCGCTGACCGAGGCCGGCAGTTTTGTGGATTGACGTCGCGATGGTGGCCAGAACCAGCTCCTCGTCCAGATTGTGAGCATGAATTCTCATCAATTTGTTCAACGCCAATCCGATCATCGTAGTCACAAGAGGTAGCCATTTGGTCTTTCTGCGTATTGATAAACTGACACATAACTCTGATCTATAGTCAGTTCCGTGCGCTGCTTACCGATAATTCGACTGTGATCACCAACGCTGAAGTATACGGTGAATCATGCAGCAATCTAAATCCCAGGTGCCAATCCCAGGATTTTCCACAAGGCTGCCCCCGGTATAAGGCCGCGTGGCATATTCTGGGCTCTATACGACGCACATTTCAAGATCTGGAGTGATGAAATCTGAGAAGAATTGTATGCTTCCGACCGTAGTGTCTGTTAGAGCTTCAAGAAGCTATCCTTGTATTTCGGTTAGTGAAGCAAAATTCTGAACACCAGAGGTCTTGAGATTCACAAGGCAGTCAATGTGAAGGATCAAAGATGTAGCCATGTTGACAACTCTGAGCGTCTTAGGTCGTGCACGGTCTTTAGTCAGATACAGGAAAGTCCAGAGACGGGCGGGAAGTCCACAGCTGCGAAAAAAAATCCAGCAAAAACTTCCAGATTTCTGGCTATCCCAGCATTTCCCTTGGCCTGCAGACGCACAGAGCCTCCGTGTGGCGGTAAACATGGCCGAGATCGGGGAAATGCCACGGGAAGCCCTGAGTTCAGGCTGGTTTATCGAAGACACGTTTGTCTTGAGGCACCAAATCAGTCAATTTTGACAATCCGGCCCGGGATCAACGACTAAATCATTTGCATGATTCAACCAAGCCATATTGACCACGAGTTCTCTGGAGTGAACCAGCGGAAATCGACGGCCATCACTAAGCCACCCCATCGCATAAAAGACGTGCAGAAGAGCGAACATACAGCTTGTGGCCCATGCATCGGTTGATTTTGTCGTAAGACAGCCACTTACTCCTGGAGGAGGTAAATTTGATAGACTGGTGCTGCTCAGAAGTCTCGTAGAATGCTATCGGGTCATATAGCTTGACAAGCATCATACATGGAGGGCGGATGTCTTTGGTCACCATGCATTGATTGGGTCGAGGCCTTTCTTCGACTCGAAGTCACTAGGCATCATTAGGTTCCACAATGACAATGAGGATATTTCTGTTGCGCATCAGCTCCTCATCGGACTCCAGGCCATGCCATAAGAAGTTGAAATGTCAAGACAGTGTTTCACCAGACGTTCTTGCTGGAGCCCTCGTTGCCACTTGCGGCATTAAATAGTCGCTGTCGGACGGGAGGACAGGTGAAGATGACCCGGAAACTATGGATCAGCAGTACCCCATGCATTCTATTCTGCAAAGCCTGGAGCCACAAGCGGACCAGAGCCTGGACGTGATGTTTGCCGTTCCCAACAACGTCTCAGACGCGAAATAGGAATCCTCAGGCACTGTGCGATTCGAGATAGCCGTCGGTTCGGATGGTCGACATCATTCATCATTCCATCCATTTCTGACCGGTTTGCCACATGACTGTTGAGATTGAGATGTTATCTCAACCATGGCTCTGGTCTGCAGGAAGGAACGGATCGGGATACTTTCGGGAAGAAGGAAAGCACGTGATTTCTTGGCGAGCCGGAGCTCAGGTTGACACCTCGGGGAGGCTGGTGTAACGCCCGGTAAACCGGAGGATTCTCGTCCTCGCTGAACTTTTGAAGGTCACCAAACCTCTGCAGCTCTGCACCAGCTTTCTTCACATTTCACATTGCTTTTACTCCTCATCCTCCTCCCTCCTCGCTTGTACTTCACCGGGCAAGGAGCATCAGCACTTTAGCTATCTTGCCTCCTCTTCGACCTTGGTCAGGTCCCCTTCGCTGAGCTACTCAGCCATCATGGCACCTATCACCGATCAACATGTCGAGGACCTGAAAGACCTGGTCCACAAGCTCGAGGCTCGAGTTTGGTCTCTCGAACGACGATTAGAAGGCGAAAAGAAGACCTCGCTCACGGATTCTATGCGCATGATTCTCATCGGTCCCCCGGGCGCAGGTCCGTTTGGCATTATCCCCGTCATATTACGCGTGAAACTGACACGCCCGCGCTAGGCAAGGGAACTCAAGCTCCCCGGATCAAAGAAAAATACTGCGTGTGTCATCTGGTATGGTTATATGCCTCCGTTGCCCTGGACCAGAAATTGACAGTCTAACAGGCTACTGGTGACATGCTTCGAGCGCAAGTCGCGAAAAAGACTCCCTTGGGAAGAGAGGCCAAGAAGATCATGGATCAAGGTGGTCTGGTCAGTGACGACATCATGATCAACATGATCAAGAACGAGTTGGACACGAACAGAGAATGCGCCAATGGGTAAGATTCCGTGCTACATGTATCGTGTCCACCCTTTATTGACACAGCTAGTTTCATCCTTGACGGCTTCCCCCGAACGGTCGCCCAAGCCGAAGGCCTCGACTCCATGCTTGAGGCAGAGAAAAAACCTCTAAAGCACGCAATCGAACTCCAGATCGACGACGGCCTGCTGGTCTCCCGCATCACCGGCCGTTTGATCCATCCAGCCTCGGGCCGGAGTTATCACAAGGTCTTCAATCCACCAAAGGAGCCCATGAAGGACGATATCACTGGAGAGCCTCTTATCCAAAGAACCGATGATAATGCCGAAACTCTTAAGAAGAGATTGGGAACATATCACCAACAGACGAGCCCAGTGGTTGCCTACTACAAAAACAAGGGCATTTGGTCTGGGGTTGACGCCAGCCAAGACCCAGAGCATGTTTGGAAGAGTATTCTGTCTGTTTTCGGCGATGCGAAGACTCCGGCTACTGGCAGCATCCTGAGCAAGATTGGATTGCGGTAGACGTGGGCGGATGGCACAAGAGGGGGATCCTCCTTGCCTCAACCTCCAGAGCAAGCACCGAATTGGCGGCTGGAATGACACACTAAGAGACTCCGGAAAAGATTCATGCCATGTTTGCAAACGTGTACAAGTTACGGGAACTGGGTGTCCAACATGCCCTGGAAAATGGTGAGTCGCATGCGGAAAAGGGTTCTGACTTTGAGTACATATCTTGCGACTCCGCGAGACGAATACAAGACTTAATTGGCACAAGCGAGCCACGCGTCCGTCGTTTATCTCTCTCGTCACAGACTTGAATATCAGGAGTCTTGCCCTGTCGACCACCGACCAACTGACTGACAAGGATGGCCAAAATTATTCAGCACACTTGTAAGACATCCACCCAGACAGTGATCAACAGGTCGGGATGAGACCCGAGAAGACCGAAGGACTAAGGGAGTGGTCATGTCTGACCCTTTCCTTAGGGGACGGCACACCACATTTCGTCGGCGGTCATCCATGACCGCCGATCTTGATATCAGGCTGAATCCACTGTCATCGGGCGGATTACCGAGTCTGTCGCTCCGCTGCTGGAGTATACCCCGCGCTTTTATACAAATGGAACTTCCCCACGAGATTTCGTCAATGGGCTTGTTTCCGTGATATTTCCTTGAATTTTTGACGTTCCCTCGAAGGCTTTGCTATACTTCTACAGCTGCTCACCGTACAGGTTCTTGCTACCATGTCTTCGCCGAAGGAAATACGCTGGGGCATCATGGGTATGTTTGACCCGAGAGTAGTGTATGCTTCCTCTGAACTAAGAATGTCTCTGCAGCGACGGGTTGGATCGCACAAACTTTCGTCAAGGACCTCCTTGTCGACCCGTCTACACGTAATGTCAAAGACATTCGTCACGTCGTCGCCGCAGTCGCATCCTCCTCTTCCCTGTCCTCCGCCGAAAAGTTCGTTTCCAACATCGTTTCCTCATCCCAGTCCAGAAAGTGTACCCCCTACGGCTCCTACGAAGAACTCGTGAAAGACCCGTCGGTGGACATCATCTACATTGGCTCGCCACACTCTCATCACTACCAAAACGCCATGCTCTGTCTCACCCACAATAAGCCCGTCCTCTGCGAGAAAGCGCTCACGGTTAACGCCGCGCAAGCTAAGATGCTATACAAGACTGCGCAAGAGAAGAAGCTCTTTTTCATGGAGGCCGTTTGGACTCGCTACTTCCCGCTCAGCCAGTCGATCAGGAAACACATCACGGATAATGACATCGGTGAGGTAATACGAGTCATCTCCGATTTGAGCATTGGAGTCGTGCCTGAGAAAGATTTTGATCCGGGTCACCGCATGGTGAACCTTGATTTAGCTGGTGGAGCTCTTCTCGATTTGGGTATTTATGCTCTTACGTGGGTTTTCCAAACAATGTACCACACACTGCCTCCCCAACTCAGGGAGCAGTCTCGCCCCAAGGTGGTGGGGGCTGCAATGACTCCCGAACCACGTACCGGCGCCGATGAGTCTACTCTGATACTCCTTGAATTCCCTAAATCGACTCCATCGGGGAAAACGAAAGCCCACGCCGTGGCTACTACCGCTATGCGCGTTAGCGACGATCCCGCACGAGGACACGACGGGAAAGGAGATGTGGAAACTCCTGCGGTGCGCATAGAAGGCGAAAAGGGCGAGATCCAAGTATACGGCCCAATATATCGGCCAATGCGATATCGACTGGTGCCGAAGGACAAAACCGCGGAAATTCTCGATCGGAAATTTGAGTTCGAGGGTGGGTGTCACGGTATGATGGTATGTATTTGAGTCTTTCCCGTTTCAGTCTTTTCGTTCGAGGCTACATTGGCGGGAAAGGGGCCGTTCGCTGACATGCATACCACGCATAACAGCACGAAGCCGACGCTGCTGCCCGTTGTCTAGTTGCTGGGAAACTGGAATCCGAGACTTTACCGTGGGCAGAATCCACACTGATTATGGAGATTATGGATGAAGCGAGGAAGCAGGGCGGCTTGATGTATCCAGATGCGATCGAGACTACGGACTATCCTGTGAAACTAACAGCCAAGGTGTAGCAGAGACACAATCCAGGCGAGGTCGGCCTGTTCAAACAGCATTCCAGGTCAGCATGCTCAGCAACCTAAGTCGAAGGGGAGACCCTACACAGTCTGGAACACAATCCACGCTCGATCACAATAAGGTGGCCGCACCATGAAAAATTTTTAGCCAGTAGGATAGAGGAAGGATAGACTACCACTCGTTATATATGTAAAACCAATGTTGGTATCGATTAGCATCGCTTTCGACGCAATACTACTACTTTACCATCAATCGCCATCTAGATAGCTTTCTGCCAATTTCTCAATTTGGTTGTTTGGTAGGTATGGTACACACCTTTCAATGCAGATAGGACCAAGATGGCGTGGGGGCCCGACGGATATCATCTATCCTGCAGGGTTTCTAAGCAAGTGACCTGCTTACGCAGAGTCTGTGGTCAAGGTCATATGTGTATCTCATTTGTTATCAGTCTTGCGGGGTGCTTTTCCCTTCGATTGTGCCCATCTACAGCGGGTCCGACTCTCCAGAAATATAGATTGGACTCAATCTTGGCCCTGAGTGTTCGCCTCGTCACCTCGCCTCCAGCCGCCATCGCCAAAGGCTCGCCGCTCGCCGCCACCCAAGCCGTGTTCCTTGATGACCTTTCTCTCCGAACCCCTAGCCCGGTTGACCCTTACGTTCCCACCCCAACTGCCCTCTTTGCCATCCAAGGCTCCAATCACCAGATCAACGTCCTCCAACCTCTCCAAATCCACAAAACAATAGTACTGATTTCCTGGCTGTTCGGGCTTGGGCGGACGTGGTGATATCTGCTTTGACACCGCCGTTGGTGTGATGTCCGGCACGTACTGGGCAAAGAGAGCCCGCACTTCCTCGTCATGCGCTGATTGTGGTTCAATTCGAGGCATGTTGCCGATGTATAGCCGTCGTCCTTCTGCCTGGGGAGCTGTCCAGTGAGAATTGGCATCGGTACGGCTCCATCGGTCGAATGTCGGATTATATTCTGAGTCTGAAATGTCGGATCAATCAGATCATGTACCATCCATCTCATGGGAGCGATTGTCGAAGACGCAAACTGTAGCAGGAACCGCTCTCGCAAGAAAGGCCCTGTTGGATATTACTCACCTTTCTGCTCTCTCGACTCACGTACTCTTCCCCAACCTCGTTCGAAGTCCTTCACTCTAACTTCTCTCCCACCCGCAGCGCCACCGGCATTGCCCTGAGGCTGGCCCTGGCCCTGCCTTCGCGCCACACCGGGGCTGACTCTAACAGCTCTCCCAAGGACGTCCATTCCATTTAATTCACTCATCGCCCTTTGGGCTTCTTCCGGGCTTTCCACGTCTACAAAGCAGTAACTCGGATTTCGCCCCGTAAAGGGATCCGTGGACATACTAACTCCGACAACGTTGAATCCATTACGAGTGAAGAGCTCTTCGACGTCAGATCGCTGAGCTGTATAAAGCAGATTGCCAATGTAGAGCCTCGTTCCCGGCGCATCGTCGGTTGGTTGAGCCGAGCTGCTGTTGTTCGAGTATGGTGCAGAGTTGGCGCTGTGGTGCCCATTTGGAGTCCGGTTGGATCGCGCCCGAGGCTGCTGCTGTTCCAAGCGCGGTGTATCGTCTTTCACGCGCCAGTTGGTTGAGGCAGTGGAGCGGAAATTCTGCTGCTGTCGAGCCGGTGGCGACGTTGTGTCCTCCATAGCTGGGAGCTGGGATGCAAATTTGAGTGAAAATACTGCTAGGGAAACCTCCTCAGTAGGTTGGTCAGCGCTCCTCGAGGACGCGGAGCACGTGGGTCAGTGAGTTGGACTAACTCACTGCCTGTGACGAGGCTGCCGAATTCAGGCAGTCCACAGCGCGAAATTGATTTTTGGGTGTTTTGCGATGCCAAGAATGCCATTAGGTGTTTTTCGCTAACGCTTCTAGTGCCCTTTTCAGTCTAGGTCTATCACCACGCTCGCCACGCAGATGTTCAGTAGTTTACGATGTTGAGGGTTGGTTTAACTGCCATCAGCGTGCTCGTGACTTCGCGAATTATGGTCTGCCTTCCCACCCAGCTCTTTGGAATAGTCCCCTCTGCCCATCGGGCCGGAGACGATGGTGTGTGAACATTCTCTTCGTCAAAAGTAGACAACGGAGAATTGGCTGGAGATCGGTTGGGATCCACCACAGCCTACTTTCTCTTACCTCTATCATCCGATCTGTCTGAATGATCTCTGCGACGCTTGAGTATATATATATTGTGAATGTATCGGTTCGTGTCTCCCACGTCGCCCCAGAAAGATATTTCCAGTAACATGCCCGTTAGATTTGCAAAGCGTTTTACCAGAATGCAAAACGTCATTCTGCATTGCGCTCGTCCTACGCCTCAACTCCGTTGCACCGGCATGTCCAAGCCATCAAGGGGAATGAAACCTGCCAGACCCTTTATCCTGTCCACCCAAGCCCTCACAGCAGGGTACGGGGTCAACGAGACATCTCCCATATGCGCCAAAGCCACGTAGACAAAGACTGACACGTCCGCAACTGTCGGCCTCGAGAGAGCTAACCACTGCTCCTTCTCTAGCTTTCCCTCCAGAATCTCAAGCGATTTCACGCCCATGTTCTTTGCCTCCGCAACTGTGTCCTCACTGGCGTCTGCCGGCCAATTAAATGATACAATCGCTCTGGCCTTGCACAGTCCAAACTGGATCCAACTGGCCGTGAAGGCCAGCCAATCCACGATCGAGGCCTGTTCCACGCTGTCGGAAGACCAATAACTCGACGGAACTGTTTTAGAACCTCGGTCAGGGTTCGTTCCGGCGAGGTAGACGAGAATCGCGCTGGAATCGTTGAAGACTTTTCCTTGATCGACCAGGGTCGGCAGCTCGCCCCGAGGATTAATGGCTAGAAAGTCCGCCGAGCGATGTTGCATGTTGAAAAAGTCCACTTCGACTTGTTCCACCTGAACATCAAGTAAGCTAGCTAGTAGGCGGACTTTGTAGCAGTTCCCAGATGCTTCGGTGCAATAGAGTTTTGGTGCCATCATCAGCGTGTTTAAGTCCGAGGAGAAGCTCAATCTTGTCTCGGGAAGTCTGAATCTGCCGGATATGGCTTTGTGGCCTAGAGGATAGTTGGAGGAGTAACAAGGGTTCAGGACTCTTCTGCAGACTTTTCGTCTTACAATGTGGGAAGTGGGAGTTTCCTTGGGTACGCCTGCGTGAGGGATCAATCTCGGATAAATTTACTTGCTGACCCTCGGGCCACCCCAAGCTAAAACTTTTAGACACTATGTCGTGTCCTTCATCCCGACGCCCGAGTAAAGACAACGATGAATCTAAAATGGCCGTGGCCATCACCGCTGGTGCTAGTATATATACGCCACGTTGCCATCTACCCTCTCTCTGTGGTCCTGAGTTGAATCCTGCGCCAGGTCCTGTCGTTAAATCATGATGCCGTCGCTCGGTTCATGCTTCTATTGTGCGGAAGTTCTGCTGTTTCTTTCAAAGTCGCCCTGTCGAAGATCACAGAGCATTACTCGCGATCGGTGGCGAATGCGGTGTTGGCTTTTCAATCAAGTCGGAGCCGGTATGACCCTCTTGAAAGAAAGCGAAGCCACTCCCATTCCACGTTTGGGGGCCACCATCGACATGACTTGTTTGCGTGCTGAGCTGTGTAGCAGGCTCGGGTAAATTAAGGTCAGTGGCGTGGGAGATAGGAAAGGTGGGCAGAGTGGAGGTCGAAAAGCCGGCGAGCGTACTAGAGCTGAAAACGTTCGCCGGGACATTTTGACTGGATGGAATTTGGGTAAATGGGTCATGGGAATCGAACGCCGGCAGTGCCTCAGGGAATCCACTTAGTAAAGGAGGGCTCGTGATAGAGGAGATATCTGCACTCATTGATGGTGTTTGTGGGACCGGTTGAGGCTGGAAAATAGGAAGATCATGTGTGTTTGGCATGGACGCCACTCGTGCTTGCCCAATAGCATAATCGGTTCCATAGGAAGCCTCAAGATCTGTCCAGCTGAAGGAGTTGTCGCCGAGCTGACCATCTGAGAAATTCCACGTCCCATTGGGTTCATTCGGTAGAAGATCCCAAGGAGTTGGGGTGTCTATCAGTGGCTCAGTATATACGTCGTTTGGAGACCCCCTAAGCCCGCCGGGCGGTGACTGTACATGTGAACAGTGTGAAGTGACGGGTCGGCTGGTCCAAGAATGCTGCTGGATCGGGTATGTCAAGTAGATGGCGTTTGGGTTGAGGGTATCAGAAAAGAACTGCTGAAGCTGATGTTGAGAAACATCGGGGGTTCTCGAGAGGAAAAATGATGGTTGTCCGCCCATACACGACCTTGGATTGTTTTGGAGCATTGGAGGGACCGGTGTCAGAATTTCATTTCCCATGTATGCTTGTTCTGCGAGGTTCTTGACTTGTTGCTGGGTGTGATTAATCGATGTTGCGTTGTTGGGATGATCAGGGCAGTAAAGGCAGGAACAGCCCGATCCGCAAGAACAGCTGGACTTCCATGATTCACCCACTGTTTCAGGTTGATGCCTCTGGACACGGTCGAGATCAGATTTCAGAAGGCCAGGATGAGGCTGTATCGCAGTAACGTTTTGACGATGTCGACAGCCTCCCTTGGGCGACTCCGGTTCGGCATTCGGCTTCCAAGAACCACAGCAAGAGGAGTTGGCCTCGTCTGACCTTGCCTCTTCACGCTCCTTCATACGCCGTTTCCGAACCTGGTATTCCTCATCGTCGATTTCTTTCCCGTTGGCATCTGCCCAGACCTTTTTCAAAGTCAGTTTATTCCCATCGGCGTCTTCCCAGATCGGCTTTGGTGTTGAGGTTGCATCCCGATTGACAGTCGCAGGGTTGTCAACGCGGACTATCAGGTACATTTCCTGGGTACAAGCACAGTCCCTTTCACACCTACATGCCTTTGCGGTGCATGCGCAGTTTCTCGGACAGTGACATCCTCTTTTCTGGCCTGCCGAAGGGCGGCCGGGCTGATGTGTCTCAGAAATGGGTCTTGTCTTCCCATGATCACATTTGTGAACTCGATGGCCTCTCTTGCAGGACTCGCAAGCGTAGGTCTTGCCGTTGAAATGTTGTATGGGAGGTGTCTCGCTCTTGTAAGATGCCTTTAACTTTTTGATCCTGCCATCCTCAACTCTGGAATTGCCCTTCGCAGGACTGGCGACCTTTGGCGGAGTGGTCGAGGGGTCTTGCATTGTTCTGCAACGTAATGCAGCAACCCGAGTATGGCTTGTTGGTGTCACTACCAAGAAATATGGGTAGTTGTTCAGGGGAAACGGGCAAGAAGAAGGACTCGCGCTCTAATTGGATCTGGCAGGCACAGTTCGTGGTCTGATCGGCAAGGGCGGCGGCAGTCTTATCGACCAAAGAGTGACATTGAAAGAACTGGGGCTGAGCACATGTCTACCACAAGGAGTGCCAAAAAGGCTTGACGACTAAAAAGAGGGTCTTGCACATGGAATAAAATCGAGGACAATGAGAATGGCGTTATGATGGTGGTGATAGCGTGAGACTCTGCGCGAGGACTCAAAGCTGAGCCCCGAAAGCGAACGAGTTAAAGCCTGAATCAGAGGGAGAAATCCAGGGCCCCCATCGACGCGGTCCCAATGGAGGGGAAGCGGCGTCGTTCGAGTTCCCTTACTTGGCAACGCAAGCGAGGGAAAAGCTATTGACTGGTCTCTCGTTATGTTGCTGTTGTCGTTGATTCATAATACTGGCAACCCAATATACATTAATTCGAAGAACTTCTAGAAACCTCGCATCCTATGTATCTTATCGTATAGTGTTCATCCTGCTGAGCGAGGTAATGAGATTAAGTTTTCTTTTCTCGCTTTTCAACAAGTTATCTTAGGGTAGCCATCACCACCCGTCTACAGTATTCTTCTCTTAAGTAGACTAATATGACTTCGAAGCCGTGTCTTTCTCCCATCGACAGGTCCACTAGTTAGCAGCTGTAAGAGCTTCAGGATGGTGTTAATCCATCCTGAAGCCATAGCATGAATCTCTCCTGATGCTTGAGGGAAGTTGTCAATCAGAGTCCCAGTGGCGGGATTGATGAATGGATCATGGCGTAGTCTGGAGAGCTGTGCATCCCTCTTTCATTTCCTGGGTAACCTGCTCGATTGTACGCAAGATTTTGATTCCATAGTCCAAGGCGAGAATGTTCTAAAGCTTGTATCCTTGAGTGGAGAGGATGGGAACGTCCGGCTGCAGTCCGGCTCTTTCTTGACGATTTGCTATCATGTTGTGGTTTCCAGGATGCAAGACCAAGAAAAGGAGACGAACAGCTATCGAGAACTTGAGATGTGAGCAATTGCAAGGTATGTTTGGTGTTTTTGGTGCGTCGTAGGTAGGAAACCGCGTTGGAGCCGCGAGCAGTACTCCGTACCCTCGAACTTATGCAGGTCAGGCGGCGCTGCGCCTAGTGCAGTGATCGTTGGCTACCACACTCTTGCTAACTCTTTGCGACATATTTTGCCTGTCTCCGATCTTGATTCCGTCTTTGGATACAACTGGCCATGGGGGCGGATATGACTGACGACGACAGTAAAGGCAAAAAGGTTCCCCGTCCAACAGCTCAGAAAAGCAACCCATCGTCTTCTTCATGGTCTCTTCCTCTACCCCTTCGTCGAGTCTTCGACCGGTTTCCCCTGGTGACATATCCTGAAAACGCCTTACCCCAGCGGGTTCCTCGACATCGACACGAGAACATCCTTTGCATTTTCCAGTCCACTGAGCCCAGGTCTCGAGATGGTCCCTCCTTCAATCCATCTTGTCTGAAGTGGCAAGCATATCTCAAATTTCACGGTATCCCGCTCCACACTCGTCCGTCGAACAATCATGCCTCCCCAACCGGGGCTCTACCTTTTCTCTTACCTGCCTCGAGAAACGCCAGTCGACCAGCTTCTCCAGTTTCGGCCAACCGAATAGTCAAATGGGTGGTAGCTCAAGGGGGAAAAGAAGAGGCGGTGCAGTGTCGCCAGGATGCATACACGGCATTGATTGACCATGATATACGAAGTGCTTGGCTATACCATTTGTATCTCGATGAGGACAATTTCAAGGCTGTGGCATGGCCCCTGTACGTTGCGTCGTCCTCGTCGTCCTCGGTCGTCCGCCTGAGCCTATCTCATCAGCTGCAAGCTGCCGCGAGAGAAGAACTGCTGAAAATAAACGCCATCATCGATCCTCAACAACTCTATTCGCAAGCTGAACAGGCGTTTCGGTCATTATCTATACTGCTAGGCGATGATCAATTTTTCTTCGGCCAGTCCACTCCGGGTCTGTTCGACGCCAGCCTTTTTGCGTACACACAAATCATTCTTGACGACCACCTCTCCTTCAAAACACGGACATTGAACTTGTCCTTAGAGCAGCACCAGAACCTAGTCCAACATAGGAATCGTCTATTGCGCGGCTTTTTCTCTGGTTGAGGACAGTCATGTACTTCTTCTGAGAATGCCTCCAAACCACACTGTCACGCCCACCCACTTCTGCGATCGTTGTCCTAGGACTGCAACCATCGATTCGTCCACTCTTCTCTCCTCGATTCGTCCAAGCACTTCAAACCCATTCTCTGAGGCTGCAGCCTCGACTTCGGCCAATGTGTGTGAGTAACTAGTTGGTCGGATTTTTTCACCTGTTTGCGGATTAACAAAACCAGCCTGGCTGATTTTGCCCATTTCTGAGTGCATGTTTGTCAGCACTAAAATCCCCCCAGGTTTGAGGATTTTGGCAACTGTGGCAAAGAAGACATCCACAGGAACATGTTCAATGACCAGTGTCGACACCACGGCGTCTGCGCCGACGGCACACGCTGGCAGCGAGGACTCTTGCAACATGTCATACACCTTGAGTTGCAATTTACGAGTTGCATGGGACCTCTGCAATCGATCTCTTGCCACCTCGAGCATGCCAGGACTGAGATCGAGTCCGACTACAGACGAAGCATCCTCTACCTCCAGCAGAGCTGCCGTGTTCCTGCCCGTTCCACATCCCAAGTCCACCAAAGTCCACGGCCGAGAACAGGCGGCTTGATTCTCCAGAATCTTGAGCATTCGCGGTATCAGAATCTTCATCTCAATCGTATCCAACGCCTGCAGAAAGTTGCCGTCTGTGTCATACACAGCCGACCAAAGATCGTAGGCTTTCGTGGTGGAGAGATAGCGGATTGTGGGATCAGAAGACTGTGGGATTACTTGGGACATGGTGACTCTTCTTGGACGCTGGACAGGACCTTCGTGGTCGGACACGGCTTTTGTTGTGACGTTTTCGCCGGTCAATGTGTCAAAACTAGATCAATAGCCGGATATAGAACAACGATTGTCGCATACGAAAGCAAGTGTTTGAAGGTAGTTGTCTAGTCTTGACCAGTAGAGACAATGTAGTATCAGCGTGGATGTTGGAGAAGCGGAAAATATGATGGCCCAGGGCCTGAATGAGATTTGACAAAGTTTCTCCGCAGGCTACCTATTCCAGCTTGTGAATGAGTCACAATGGTTCACCGAAGCATCAGGGCAACCAGTGTGAAAGCGATTCTATTTGTCAATGCGTATTCGACGATCGAATCGACATATATTGAACTTGGCAAGCACTAAGGAAACGTTCAGACCCTAACATGAGGCAGACGGCCTGTTAACTTTCCTTTCCTACAGTGCGAAGGAAGGGATGCTCGTCCCGCAACTCGGTCACTCATTCTAGGGCGAGAATACGGAGTCCTAACGATGCAGCACGACATGCGTATATTGCCAATTGAGCAGGTTTGGTTTTATTCTCAAAGGGTATCTTACAAAAGAGCTCATCCATCTTCGAGTTTACTACTGGTCTTTGCTGTGTTGTTACATGCCACCAACCCCGAAGACTCCTCCTCCTTCCCTCAAGTCTTCCACCAAATCCTGCACATTACTCAAATGCTTTCCTAGCAGAGTCTGCTTTTCTTCCGTTGACCTTGTGGTCCCACAGTCTTTCCCATGCGCACCCTTTCCACCCACACCACCTGCATCGGCACCGTTGACGGTCTCCCCTCTTCTGCGATCAAACGCCGCAATCACTTCCTTCCCCCTCCCTCCCAAGATCGCGGTGTTTGTTGCGGAGGTTGAGCTCACAGTTTTCGGTGTCACTGTTTCGGGCATGAGGTAGAAGTAAAGAAATTCGACCAGTTTTAATTTTACTTCGCGGGACGTCCCCCGGGATTTGAACAGAGACGTGATTACCAGCAGGCCGTCGATGGACTCAAATGTACGAGTATTCTGCGGATTGTCGAGTAGAGAGGTCACCAGTGCCATGATAGTGGAAGATTGGATAGCGGGACAGTTTGAGGGGTCGAGAAGGTCGAGAAACAGCTGTTAACATTAGGCCACAGATGTTTTGTAGTATCGCATTGGGAACGACTTACATTCATGTATATCTCCTGCGAAAAGAGTGCTCGTGATGGTGGATGGAGTAGGAGAACTCCTTGGATCAGATCCAGCGTCTGAATAATCAACAGATCATTCGTCCCATTGCTTTCCTTGCCCAGAAGTCTCTCCAGACTCGCAACTAATCTCATGGAAATGTTCCATTGGAAGCTCTGTTGCAGTTTGAAAAATTCACGAAAGGCAGGATCTGAGGGCAGGTCTGAGAGCTTCTTCGAATGAGGCGAGGGGGGTGTCGATGAACCTAGGAGAAGCATCGACTGGCGTCTGTTCGCGGCGTCGTTCGTTCTGGACAAGCATAGTTGTGCAAGCAAGCCTTCTACCTGGCGGAGTCCTTTACGGATTTTCTGAGGAGAGCTCGACGAAAGGTAGTCGAAGGAGTGGGACAGTAAAACCTCCATTATGGCAATAAGTGAACTTGAGTAGCAGTAGCTGAATAAACTTGCACACAACAGGCTATACCACTCCGTCGAAGATAAAAATGGATGGAAAACCGTACTGCGATAAGTATATGTATCAACAAGACAAGTTGTCAGGGCGACCGTGCGGGGGATAAGCCGAGAGCCACCCCTGTTGACTCTCGGCCCACCTGCCACTGGCCATTGCACAACGCCCCGTTCCGCAGGTCAGATCAGGTGGGTTGATAAGCGCCAGGCACCAGGATAATAAGCCATGCAGGGAATCGGTGCCACCCAGGTGCCTAGTGCCGGCATTGTCGTCATGACACTCATGTGATGACCCTCTATTAGATGTCCCTGCGTTTTCTGCCTCGTGGACAGCCTGCTCAGATCAAAACCGCGCTGATACCATCCACTTCCTCGACCTCAGATCTCCCTTTCGTCCACAAATACGGACTTGTTCAACAGTTTCTCCTAATTCCCTGTCTCCATTTGGTTTGGACACCACCATCTGAACTTGCGCAACTCACGCACACGATCCTTCGAATTCCCCGCCTCATCCCGCATTTTCACATGTTGTCTTCTGCGGAATAACTTCAACACGCATGTCGACCATTTCAACGGAAAACCCGTCTTCCCCCAACGCCATTCCAATTCGCTACAGCTCCGCCGGTGTCCCCAATGGCCTTCATCAACAGCCTTCAAAATCCGTCCTCAAGCCTCTACCAGAGGATTCTTGGATTTCATCGAAGCACCATTCGATGCCGCCAGCGCTGATCCCGACACCTGTCCTCTCCGACCATACGAACAGCCTCAAACGCAATCACTCAAAAAAACGGTCTGCCCCCGAGAATCTGATATCTAGGCGACTCGGAGAATGGTCACCACAGAAAGAGAAGATAATCCTGGGCCCTTATGACTACCTGTTTGCCCACCCTGGAAAGGATATCCGCTCAGCCTTGATCAAGGCGTTTGATGCCTTCCTACATGTCCCGCCAAAGTCTTTGGATATTGTCACAAAGGTTGTGGGGATGTTACATACATCCTCGCTCCTCATCGACGATGTGCAGGACAACAGCGTGTTGCGACGAGGCATTCCTGTGGCGCATAACATCTTTGGGACTGCGCAGACGATCAACAGCGCCAATTATGTCTATTTCCTTGCCCTGCAAGAGCTCCTGCACCTGGAAAATAAAGATGAGGCGATAGAAATCTTCACCACCGAACTTCTCAACCTTCATCGAGGCCAGGGAATGGATCTATACTGGCGCGACACCCTGACCTGCCCTACGGAGGACGACTATTTGGAAATGGTACAGAACAAGACCGGAGGCTTGTTTCGTCTAGCCGTCAAGCTCATGCAGGCCGAGTCTCCAGAAAAAGGCCGTATCGATTGTGTCCCTCTTGTCAACCTGATGGGCTTGGTTTTCCAGATATGCGACGACTACTTGAATCTTTCTTCCAGCGCTTATACGAAGAACAAAGGCCTATGCGAAGACCTCACAGAAGGGAAATTCTCCTTCCCCATTATCCACTCGATAAGGAGTAACCCCTCCAATCTGCAACTCATCAATATCCTCAAACAGAAAACTACCGACGAGGAAGTCAAGCGATACGCGGTAAAGTATATGGAGGGCACAGGCAGCTTTGAATATACTAAGAGGGTCGTGCGCGAGTTGAGGCTAAAGGCTGTAAATCTAGTCTCGGAAATGGATGGGGGTTCAGGAAAGGGGGATGAAGTCAAGTTGATTCTGGACAAGATTGCGGAGCCAGCACTTGTTGAATCGGGACAAGGCTCATAAGAGGCAGGCATTCGGGAAAGGGCCATTCAACAGGCCGTACTGCGCGATGATGTTGTACATTAGTGTATAATACTTGGGCGAGGTGGTGTATTGGGTGTCCTCGCCAGCTACTGGGACAGGAGTTGGCTGGTCACATCCGGCTACTTGATATCACAGAATCTGAGATGTTGCAACTCGATGGATCTCCTCCTGGCGGTAAATATGGGGTTGTCTGAACCCTTCGCGGTAGTAAAGTATGCAAGCTCCGATCCAGGCCCATTACCACAACTGGAGCACCATCATGGCCCGGTTCCGAAGATAACTTCTTACGTTCCCGGGGATAGATAGGAAAAGCCATTCTCCCCCCACCTCGGTCGTCGATTCGCTGCATCGCCTCCATTTCTTTATTCCCTTGATCGGCTCGGCATCAGCTGTCGTCTGATCAATACAATATACGCGGCCCCGATCTCCCCGCGTCCATACACTCGAGCAATGGGCGAGTGCCTAATTGATATTATCATTACGCATTGCGGGCGACTACTTGGTCTTCGGGATTCCGCGTGTCTTGTCCAGTTCGAGCACTGGTTCTTCTGTTCACATATGTAAGGAAGTTAACCTGAACATTTCTCAAGTTGAGGCTGGCCTCCTAGACAAGATATTCGCCGTTGGGCCATTATCTCTACCGAACACCCATTCAATATATTCTTCTGCACTCACCATGATCCTCCCCCAGAGCAATGCGGCTTCGCCACTCTTCGCCCACTACATCCTGCCCCTTTCAATTATCCTTCTCACTGTCCTCCCCATCATAAACCTGCTCCGTATCCGCTACCGCCGCGGTCTGCGCGAGATCCCAGGCCCTTTCTTCGCCAGTATCCTGCCCTTTGATCGCATGCTCAGCACCTACTCGGGTCATCAATTCCAACGACACCTTGAGTACCATGCCAAGTACGGGAACTTGGTCCGCGTCGGGCCTAACCATGTCAGTCTGGGAGATTCGGAGCAGATCTCGAATGTTTATAGCATTACCAGCAAATTTGACAAGGTAAGTGTGAGAGGTACATATGGGGATGAGGGAGGCACTGACTTGGGGAACATGAAGAGCGGCTTCTATACCCTTTTCCATGCCAAATCACCCGTTGGCCCTATTCCCACGGTCTTCTCCATTGTCGACCCTGTCGGCCATAGGAACCTCAAGCGGCCCGTGGGCGCAGCATTTGCCCTAAGTTCTTTGCTCGATTTTGAACCCCTGGCCGATGACTGTACACGGATTCTGGAAAGCAAACTCGATGGCTTGCAAGGCAAGCCTATTGATTTTGGGACGTGGTTACATTGGTACGCATTTGATGTGATCAGCAGCATCACCTTCTCCAATCGACTGGGTTTCATGGAGAGGGAGGAAGACGTGAATGGCATCATCGCAGCAATTGAGGGTCGGCTGTTTTACAACTCGATCATCGGCCAGGTCCCGAGCCTGCACAAGTGGCTTTTAGGGAATAACACCATCTCGAAGTTGGCAGACATGGTACCCGCCATCAAGAGACTGAATTCAGCAGCGTACATTGTCCAGTTTGCTGCGAGACAGTTGGAGATGAGGCGGAACGCCAAGGCAGAGCATGGAAGGTCCGACATGGTGGACAAATTCAAGATGACCAGAGATGGCGAGGAAGTCATGAGCGCAAAGGAGCTCTTGGGCCATGCGAGCTCGAACGTGTGGGTATTTCCGTCTCCGCAGCCTGGTAAACTCGAGGCCCCTGTTATTGCAAGCTAACAGATTGTGGGGAAAAAAGGTTCGCTGGTTCTGATACAACAGCCATTTCGCTCCGGGCGCTGTTCTATCACCTCTGTAAGAACCCACACGCGTACAAGAAATGCGTGGATGAGATCCTCGATTTTGACGCTCGCGGCGAGTTGTCCGAGTATGTCACCTACTACGAGGCGCAGCGCATGCCATACTTTCAAGCGTGTATGAGAGAGGCGCTGCGCATGCATCCTGCTGTGGGACAACTGCTTGAACGGGTTGTACCACAGGGCGGAGCCACAATCGACGGGGTCTATCTACCGGCAGGCACGATTGTGGGTATGAATCCATGGGTGGCCGCGAGGGATAAAGCAGTGTATGGACATGACGCGACCATCTTCCGCCCGGAACGGTGGATTGAGGCCGACGAGAAGACTCTGAAGCTGATGGATCGAAACTGGCTTGCTGTAAGCAGTGTACCCCTCTGGCTGAGCTCCTCATCCCTGTCTGAGACTAACATGATCTTTCAGTTCGGAGCCGGCTCACGAACGTGCCTGGGCAAAAACATCTCCCTGATGGAAATGTCGAAGCTGGTGCCGCAGCTGCTGCGTCGGTACCACGTCCAGCTTGCGGATCCCAACGCCGAATGGGAGCTGTTTGATTACTGGTTTGTCAAGCAGGAGGGCCTGAGGTGTATCCTGACGAGGAGGGATGGAGAGAAGGAGAGATAGCAATACATAGAACGAATAAAAGAAAGACTTCCCGTTGGGTGGCATTGTGATCGAATTGCATTTACGCACCTGTAGAGTCCACTTCAAAACACTGCGATTATCGAGCCTTGCGTCTCTTTAAAGTTACGATGTTCCCGGAAAAGGAAATGTCATCTAAAGATTGAGAAGATACACTGCTTCCCGGCAGCAGTCTGGCAACGTGTCTCCTCGCCAGAATACCAACGTTCAGACAACACAATCCGATTCCCCAAGGCCGTTGTGATACTCTATCAGGTTTCTTAGTGCCTACAGACTCTTGACAGAATCTATGAACGCTCTCGTTCTGTCCGCACTCCGGCGTCCGTCAACCTCGACACCAGAACTGACATCCACGCCGACTACGTTTTGGCCGATATAATCTTCCCCTAGTTCCTCCAGCACCGTCTGTACATTCTCTGGGGTGAGCCCTCCCGCCAGGATCACCTTGAGGCTATCATCTTTCTGGAATAGCATTTTCACATCGTCGAGATTGACCCTCGTTCCCGATCCACCCCCTCCAGCATCCAACAACGGTAAAGAATGATAGCCTCTCGTGTTGATTCCACAATCTTTTGGAGAGAACGCTTTCAGAACAGGAACCGGGATCTGCCTCGCGTATTCCAGTGGTTCTGAGCCGTGAAGTTGTACCGCGTCCAGACCCAATTGGTGGACTTGCTGGATTATCTGGGGAAGGGGTGCATCGACGAATACACCAACAAGAAGCGCACGGTCGGGACGAATAAGTAGCTGGGAGGAGGTGTAGCTGAAGAAATCCGCACTGCCGACTCCTTCAACTGCATGGGTGAATTTGGAAGACGCCGCACGGGGTGTGTCTTTCACGACCTTCGCTATCTGTTGCGCCACATCATCTGAGACGTACCGTTTCCTGCCAGGCACAAGAATGATGCCGATTTGGTCAGCGCCGGCTTCAATCGCTACTTTCGCGTCCTGGGGTGTGCGTGTACCGCAGATTTTGATTGAGAGCTGTGTGGGCCGTGTCGACTTCTTTGGCGGCATATCTGGATCTCCCACCAATGTGGCAATAAATTCGACCGGATTCGGTGCCCTCATCAAGGCCTCGCCAACCAGAATTGCTTTGACACCGTCCTTTTTGTACGCTTGCACATCTTGAGGCCCAAATATTCCACTTAGAGCGCACACAATTGTGGACGCCGGGACTTGATCCATCAAACGACTTGTCGTTCCAAGGTCAACTTCGAAATTTGTGAGATTGCGGTTGTTCACGCCAATAACCTCGGCGCCTAGTTCAACTGCGATTTTCATCTCCTCTGCAGTGTTGACTTCGACCAGGGGCTCCATCCCCAATGATCTCGAATAATGGTACAGTCTCGTCAATGTCTCCACATCGAGCATCTTGACAATAAGTAAAACCGTATCAGCACCCGCGACTCGTGCTTCTAGAATTTGGTATTCATCAAAGATGAATTCCTTACGCAGTACGGCGGGTCTGTTGGGCATGCTATCGAGAGCCTGACGGACAAGTCTCATGTCCTCGAGGCTTCCCTTGAACCATTCCGGTTCTGTCAACACAGAGATGACGCTGGCCCCGGCTGTTGCATATTTTCGTGCTTGTGCCGGTGCACACGTCCCGAGGGATATAATGCCTTTTGAAGGAGAGGCTCTTTTGATCTCAGCTAGGAGGGCAATCGGGTAAGGGGATTGCCGAAGCCTTTGAGGAAAGGAAATCTGTGGAGGAGCAAGACCAAGGTCATAGGCATCTTGGAGATCCAGAGGTCTCTGAGACGGGACGAGCTTCTGAGCGGCAACAGCTTGTCGTCGGTGGGCGTAGATCTTGTCCAAGATGGATTCTTTCTTCGGGTGTGCTGCTCCATTAAGGGTGGCTTTGACTTCAGCGTCAGGTACAGCATACTGAGGATTTTCCGACCACTTTCCGCCGGACATTTTCAAAAAATTCTTAAACATGACTCGACCATTCTCCGTCAGAATGCTTTCGGGATGGAACTGAACCCCCTCGATGACATATTCCTTGTGACGGACACCCATAATCACTCCCTTGCCCCCGTCCGGGCCCTTGGCTATCCAAGATGAGACCTCCAACGACTCTGGAAGGGTCGGATGTGTTCCCGCAAGCGAATGGTATCTCGTGACGGGCAGGTCTTGTGCCAGTGTAGTATAACATCCTTTGCCATCATGTCTCAGCGGTGAGGTCTTCCCGTGGAGTATTTCTCCTGTAACATCGACTTCACCACCGAAACCGGAGATGATACACTGTTGTCCCATGCACACCCCGAGGATTGGAATTTTGCCCGCAAAGTGTTTGATTGCCTCCTGACTTATACCCGCGTCCGTGTCAGGGTGGCCTGGGCCAGGACTGATGACCAATTGTGTTGGCTTTTTGGCAATAAGCTCTTCAAGTGTCACTTTGTCGTTTCGGTAGACTGTGACGGTGGCGCCTTCTAGGACGAGGTACTGGTAGACATTCCAGGTGAAAGAGTCATAATTGTCAATGAGGACAAGGTTGTTCGCAGAGGGCAGCTTTTGAGCCGGCGTGGGTTGGTGGGGAGAATGATCAATCAGAGCAGTGGGTGCCATGGTCAATTTCGCGTCTTGTAAATAAGGAAGAACCTCGTCCGCTGACCATGGAACAAACGGAGGGGAAGTCGAAGAGATCCAGCCCAGTGGATGGAGCCCTGCTTTTACAAGGACCGCAGTTTTCCCGGATTCCCTTAGCGTTCAGTGCTGCAAGTTTAATCAGACCTCGACTCTGAGCTCGCTTGTTCAAGGAAATGTCGAGCCATGACCGGCCGTTATGTCTTCATTTGAACCAAGACCATGGCCAGAAGACCATTGTTTTCTTGCATGCGCTTCTCGCGAGTGATGTCGAGTACGCTATGTGACCCCAGCTCTCTCTCAATATCACCTTATGCTCGTTAATCTGCCTCGCCACTCGCAATCTTCCGAGGTTCCGTCCTTCGAACTTGGTTCTGCCGCAAAAACAGCCGCAGAATTGATCAAGCAAGCTCACAGCGGACGAGCCCACCTCGTAGGACTTTCCATGGGAGGCTTCGTCTCTCTGGAAGTTGCCAAGTCTCATCCAGATCGGGTAGACTCGGTGTTTTCTGCCGGCGCTGTTCCTCTAGACGGTTGGCGGAGATGGCTGGCTGAGCGGTCTACAGTGGTGGTGGAATCCCGGTCATAATTTTCCACGCTGCTGCTCTCCATCAACGGGTCGCCACTGAGTGCATCACGGGTGAAGTCATGATGTTCCGAGGGCAACGACTGACGTGATCAACTTCCGGTGGCTATATATTGGGCACAATATTTAGGTCTCTTTATTTGCCCTCCGCCGAACTCTGGATCACACTATGAGGCCACGAACGCGCCAGAGAAAGGGCTGGTAGTCATGTTCTTTCATACGAACGACAATCACAAGGCATGGAAGGGCTGGGGTGACAACTATACAACGAGCAGATCGAACTTGGCATGCTGTTGAAGAGACGCTTGTGTCTACACGAATGGACCACAAGGAACAGGACTTCTTATATAGACGCTCGCCGACGTATTCTGAGGAGTGAGATCCACAGTCATACTCATCAGAGTCCAGCCGCCCAATTCACCGGGTCGGTCCGGATCTCTGGAAGAGAAGTCAACACGGAATACTTCTTCTTGTTCCCTGGCATATCTGTTTTGACTTCGCTTCTCTGGGCTGTTTTGCCATATCCCGTCTCGACTTCCATGCCGAGTCCACTATCTGCCCTTTCTCTTCTCTGATCCCGGGCACTGCTAGTATCAATCCGTGCCTTGACGCTGATGACGTTCACGAACTCTACGCCATCGACGAACATGACGCCATCCTCCCCCATGTCGATCTGGCTTGCTGCTCGTCTTCGCAAGGGTAGACTCGGCCGGGAGAATGAGAAAGTTCTGGACCGCGCATGCTTGCGCTGAGGTTTTGGCGTGAGAGGTTCGCCAAGAGGTAAGGGTGTGGTGGTGGAAGAGGGCAAGATGATGTCTTTGAGCTTTTGCTTCGACTCAGATTCACTGCGAGGCGGAAAATGAGCGACGTCTGATTTGAACCCTGATTTAGAAACACTCGTCCTGCTCCGTGGACGCGATTGAGTGGCTGCCATACCGCCCTCAGTAGCGTCTGCCCGTGCCGGACTCGAAAAAGACCTCGATCGCTTTAAAAGAATACCAGACTTTACACCCTCTGCAACTGTGGCCGAGAAGCTCTTTCGTGGCTTGAAGTCCTCCTCCACAGCTTCCGAGATGGGACCGGCTACACCATCCAGACGCGATGAACTTGCGTTGCTGATACCCGACCAGACTCTTTTGTGATTTTGTTTGGCCGTATGGTTCGTTTGGGACCCGACGCTCGTGCTCCGCGAACGCTGGCGGCGATGAGATTTGGATGTGGAAGGACCCCTGGAATGCGGGCGACCGAGGCGCTGGCTCAAAAAGACCTCTTCACGAGATTTTGGGATGTCCGGACCTGGACAAGAACCAAGGCGCTCGGCTGAGTAGCTTCTTGAGGGCGTTCTGGAATGTGCTCTGCCGCCATTGATCAGAATTGACTTCAGCGGCGCAGGGGACGAAGTCCGCGAGGTTGCTCGAGATGACAGTTCTGGGAGACAAGCATGATATTGCAGATTCATGACTTCGGTGTGGTCTCTAGAGTTAAGCATTCGATGGCACCACGAAACGTCCCAGTCTCGGAAATCGTTACTCCTAGATCTCGACCTCGACCTCGACCTCGACCTCGATCTTGAAAGGGAAGTAGATTTCAAACCCATCGAAGGCCTGCCAAACGCCGATCTGACGAATAGAAACTCGCCACCATTCACGTCCCAGTCCCCTCCACTCATCGCATCCCCGTTGCCGACGCGACGGACGATTTGCCAAGCAGATTTGAGAGCGCCGCTGAAGAGGGAATGCTCAATGTAGCCGGGAGCTCTGTGACCGAGAGATAACGTGCGGTACATTCCCAAGAGCTCGTACAAGCGTGTAGAAGGGTCGGCGTAAATGTCAAAAGGACATTGTGTCACGCTCTTGTAGGACGCAATCAAAGTAGGCTGGCCAGGGCCAATGATTATGACGGTGGGAAGGGTACGGGAGGCGGGTTTGGAAAAGTTCGTTGTGGAAGCTAATGCCCTGGATGGCCGGTGTGACTTCTGAGATGGATGGAACGGCGACTCAGTCGAAGACAGTCTCCGGACGTATTCCTGGCAGTTCCCGCAGAAGAAATGCCTGATGAACACGACGAGGATTCTTTTTTCAGCTGGGTAGACGTCGCAGTCGTAGAACAGGGAACCAAATCGTAGCGGTGTGCCCGATGAAGAGTAAATCTCCTGTTCAAACGCCTCCCGCACTGCTCGGTGATCTGGGAGGGGGTCGACGGTCATGGTTGGTGGAAGTCACTCAGGGCTTTGGCACGCCAAGGTATATGATCGACTGCTTTGCTTCTCTAGAGATGGCCGTGCGCAATTCCAGAATCGAGAATTCGCGATTGAGGATGGCTGCTCGCGGCGGATCAATTGTACAAAAAAATGGGATTGGAAGAGAGAGTAGGCTCCAGCGCAGAAAGAAGAATCAAATAGCTATGTACTTACCTGCATGGAGGAGGCGCTGGCCAGATCCCTATGACGAAGGGATTGTCTCTGGTCGACAAGCAGTTGCTGTCGGATCACGCCAGATCCGAAACCATGGTATCCAGCTGGTGAGGGAAGCGGCTGAATGAAGCCTGTACATGATAGACAGCCAAGACGAGAGTCTAGGTTGATAGGGTGGACCTGTTCAGCGTTTAGACGGGTTTGAAGATGTGAGAAGAGACCGTCAAACGCGTTGGTGGTGTGTCAGATTGAAATTTGTGTGTGTTTGAGGGAACAGCAGAGGCCCCGTCTTTTCCCCGCTCGGTGTTTCATGAAGGAACCACCTCCTGAGCGTCGATGTATGGGTCAGCAGCTGAGTATGGAGCACTCCAGCACATGAAGAGTATCGATAGCGTGTAGGAGCATTACGAGTTACCAGTGACTAAACGGGACGTCTCCCCACGTTAACTGTCTGCTGAGAGAGCAACTGACTATCTGTTGTTTAGTAGTTGAACGAGTGACCGAGTGCTATCTACCAATAACGCACCACGAATCCGAAAAATAAAAAACCAATAAAAGCACAAACAATCTGATTTCGTTCTACTGGTCGCCGGCCTCACCATCTCGCTCTGCATTCACTGCTCCCGCCTCTCCTGGTCGTTGTTTAGTCCTTGCCTAGAAGACTGCTGCCGCTACCGCCGCCGACGCCGAGGATAGAACGATGAGGGTGGTGGTAGAATTGCAGAGTTTCATCAAGCAAAGATTTCATCCCAACCATGCTGCATCTTGCTCTGATGCCAAGTCCCTTCTACTCTCATTATTCTTTTCTTCATTTGCATCTACCTGATGCTGGCGAATTCTCGGACTCGTCTCAACCGACCATGCAGCCTCCGGCCTCACAGGCGCTGCGTTGTCGCTTTCGCCATTCGTCGCTGCTGCTGGCGGACCTCGACGGAAAACGGCGAGGTATGTCCCCTTGTGGTGAGGAAACCGTATGACTCGTCGAGCCGGTGACCGGCACCCGATCGGAGGTGGCTCATGTGCTAATGATGACTACACATCGTAAGAGATGCTCGTATGAGCTCGTCCTTCACTGTCTTTTGAAAAGTTGTCACGACATCGTCATAATATCAGTCGTAGCTTCCACCGACTTGACTGGCAAATGCAGTCGAAACACTCCTGGCGTCTTCGTCTTCGTGCACAAGCTTGCCGAGCTTGTGGTTCGAAACGTAGCCACCAGAGGCAGGAACCCCGCCTTCGACATATCTCTTAAGTCGATCTGCCTGGTTATAGCTTGGCTGTTTGTTGGTGTCATGAATGGACAACTGATCCAGGCTGACCCCGCCTTGTCCAAGAATGCTGCCTGTGATATCGGATTCAGTCGCTACCGTAGATTCTCCCGCAACACTACCAGGGACTGCTCTCGCTCTGACACCATTTTGGCGGTGAGCCCGGGTATTTTGGAGGGAGGGCCATGTGTCAGGTGTGAATCCTTGGAACATTGGTGGATAGCCTGCTGGAACACCTACTCCGCCAATCGCAGATGAATGGATAGAAGAAACATCGTCAGGTATGTAACCGACGACGGAGCTTGCTGGTTCACGGTAATCGTTGCGCGGAGCCGTCCGTCCATTCATCATTCCGCTTGCCATATGACTAGCATGGTTGTAGGCCATTTGATAGCGTTGTGGGCCTCGGTAGGACTGTTTCGGTCGGCTAAATTGATGCAGAGATACCTGTAGGTTGTTCAAAGGGCCTTCGACCAGACAATTGCGCTCCTTGAAATGGAGCAGGAGATAGTGCCAGAGTGGGTGCTTGGAGAGAACTTTAGGGTTGCCGAGAATGACAAAACCGTACTTGGCTCGAGTCATGGCTACATTCAGACGACGGGGATCACTCAAGAAACCAATGCCTTGGTGATCGTTCGACCGGACGCAAGACAGGATGATGAAGTCCTTCTCTCGACCCTGGAAAGCATCGACTGAGGCGACCTCGATTTCCTTGTACATTTCCTTTTTAAATGTCCCGGTGGCTTGCATGGAGCTGACAATGTAGCTGCGTTGGCCTTCGTATGGAGTGATGACACCAATGTCTGAAGGTTTGACGCCGGCTTTGAAGAAACGCGTGACGATCTTTTCCACATTGGCTGCTTCCGTGCGATTGAGATATGAGGTGCCTGAGGCGGAGATTTCTTCGTTTCCAAGGTTTGACCAGAACATCATTGGTGCGTCTTGGACAGGCCAGGGGAAATCCACGTCTTTCCGGAGACGGTATTGCATAGTGACACCATTCTGAAGAGATCCTTCGTAGAACATATTTGACGGAAACTCCGACAGGCAGGGGTGCATACGATACTGAACATTCAGACGAATTGGCGCACAGCCAAGGATGACGAGACGTTCGAAGAGAGATTGATTGAGACCAGCCTTTGCAGCCTTCTTGTTCATGATGACAGGTCCCAGTTGCTGATGGTCGCCTACAAGGACGACTTGTTTACAGCCAAGAACCAGAGGGATCATGCATTCGGGCTCTGCTGACTGGGTCGATTCATCGATCAGGACGGTGCGGAACTTGAACTTAGCAAGTCTTGGATCCCCGGCACCGACACAAGTACAACAAATGACATCGGCATTTTGCAGGATCTCTCGCTCCGCTGCGCGGGTTAAGGACTTGTACTTTTTCTCGTCTTGACTTGACAATTCACCCAGTTCTGATTTGAGTTGATTCAACTTCGCCAATTCCACATTGCTGTCGTTCATTCGGACTTGTTCATGCAGGGAGAGGAACCCAACAGATGACTCCACATCTTCTCGAGATTTCGCAGTCACACGAACCGTCTTCAGTCCGGTGCGGTGTATGCGTTCGCACAGTTGATCGACAGCCACGTTGGAGGGAGCACAAACCAAGACTTGACCTCCATTGATCTTGGACAAATGGTAAATAATAGTGGCAGAGGTCACCGTTTTCCCAGTGCCCGGGGGGCCTTGAATCAAGCTGAGCGGTTTCTGCAGGACGGATTTAACCGCGTTGATTTGGCTGCCATTGAGTTCAGGCAGGCCAGGGACGCTGAACTTCTTGGGTAGTTGGGTCTTCATGGGGGCTGCAGCAACTTCATGGCCGAGAAGGCGGTGGAAGATGTAGCCAGAGACACTCATCTCGTCGATAGCGAAGGTTTTCATGGCGAGCTGCATCCGATCGAAGGATGTGGCCTTCCAAACATAGTCTGCTGTAAAGTTGTGCGTACATTCAGTAGGCACGGACTTGTGGTCGCCCTTTGCTCGTAACTCGATGGTGACTTCGTCCGACTGGTTGTTCGGGATCTTGATGACATAGCCAACGCCTTCCCAGGTTGGTCGTAAATCTCCGGTGTATTTGAGTCGCATTTCGTCTCCCACAGCCAGCTTGACATCGCCTAGTTCAAGTTTTGGCAAAACAAAGCTGGCCAAGTGCTTGTTGTTGAGGCCGAGATCCCATCGGACAATCAGGTTGTCCTGCGATTGGCTCTCCTTTAACTTGCGATCATAATCAGCTTCAATCTTGACCAAGGGGCCGAAGACGTTCTGATACTGGTAAGCGTCATCGTAGCGCAGAAGGACTGGGGCGGGCTCGTCATCGATGTTTGCCGCTTTTTCGAGATCCGTGATGGTAGCATTGGCATTTTCTTTCCAAAGCTCTTCCAGCTTTGCAATCATTTGAGGACTTAAATGCCTGGCACGGAGTTGTTCTTGGTCAGTCGGTTGTGCGACAAGCCAAGAGAGAAATGAACGGTCTTCTATCAAGGGTTGCCATCTTGAAGTGTCCCAATTCATATCTTTAGAGGAGGGCATCGCCGCACAAGGTTGTCGGCAGAGTAGAACCACAACTGTGTCTGATTTTGCCGGGATAAAGCCAAGTAGAAAGACATTTTTTGTTCCGCAATTGTAACATTCAAGGACTGTGTCGCCGAGGGAGCTACTTGGGTGAAGTTGGACTTCTTTGTGGCGGGCTCGAACAAGGTGGTTGACAATATGAGAGGAGGAGGTGTTTCCACGGGCTGCGCAAAACCATTTGGAGCATGTCAAACAGCGCACAACGCTGCTTGGGTTATGAATGCCACAGTAGCTGGAAGCAGTCAGTGAGATGGCCCCGCAAGAACAAATAAAGTAGTAACGTACGCGCAGGCGTGGGGAGGGAGTTCCTTCTCTTCTTCGGCTTTTTCGACATGTTTCTTGCCATTCGCATCAACAGCTGCGGAAGCCAGGCTCTCAAGGTCGTCTTCCTCTATGCTCTCCGACTCTTCATCGTCATGTTGACGTCTTCTTGGGCCCTTAGCCAGACTGAGGACGCTCTCATCCGGGTCGACGGTCGAGATGTCATCGATGGCGTTGATGGCGGCTGCGGAGTTGGAAACCAGGTGGTTCCCCATGTTGCTGAACGCCTCCATCCTTAGAAAGCCGATCTTCGTAATAAACTTAGCCCAGATAGTGTCACATCAAAGGGAAACTTGCGTCGTTTCGAGCGCAGGAAGTTGAGGCGAAGGGTGACCGATCGGCGTAATCGACAGGGTCACCCAAATTTCACATAGACGTCGCGAATCCACACCCTCCGACGGTCTCCAGTTCTCAAAAATCGTGAGCGACCTGTCGTCAAACATACGGGGGCTTGTAGTTGTGCGAGGGTTTGCAATCAAGGGTGGTGGCCAAAAGAGAGGGTTGGAGGAATATGGAGGTGGGTAGTCGCAATGCGGATGAAGTGCGGCGAAATTTCTCCACCAAAATTATATCCAACAACATCATTTTTCTTAGGTTCCAGTTTCCTTCTTCACTCCCTTCGTTTTCTTTCCTCATTGCTTCCAGAACACTACAATGCTCCGCCGGCAAGCTCGCGAACGTCGTGACTATATCTACCGTCGTGCAATACAACTGCGAGATGCCAGCATTGCAGAAAAGCGGGCGCTGCTGAAAAAGTCTCTCGCTACTGGCAAACCACTTGACCCGTCTATTGCCAATGACAATTCTCTGCGCAAGGATTTCAAATATGATGAATCCCTGGACCCCGAGGGTGCTGCCGCACAAGAGTCTATGGATGATGAGTACTCGATGCTCTCTGGTCTCTCCGACCCTCGTCCACTGGTCACCACCTCGCGTAGCCCCTCGACACGTCTCTCAACCTTTTCCAAAGAGATTCGCCTGCTCCTGCCCACCTCCATCCGCCTGAATCGAGGCAACTTGATCCTTCCCAATCTCCTTGCAAGCGCAAAGGCTGCCGCACTCACCGACGTTATCCTACTCCACGAGCATCGAGGCACTCCTACCGCCATGACCATCTCCCACCTGCCACACGGTCCAACCGCTTCTTTCTCTCTGCACAACGTCGTTCTCCGAGCAGATATCCCTGATGCCTCAAGAGGGACAGTCTCCGAGTCCTATCCCCATTTAATATTCGAGGGGTTCACGACACGGCTGGGGAAAAGAGTGGTCCAGATCCTCAAACACATCTTCCCTCCTCGGGATGGTCCACATAAAGTCGGCACCAGAGTTGTGACCTTCAAGAACGTGGAGGATAGTATCGAAGTGCGGCATCACGTCTTTGTGCAAACTGGTTATAGGGACGTTGAACTGGCCGAGGTAGGGCCCAGAATGACCATGAGATGCTTCGAGATAAGAGGAGGGACTCTCGAAAAGGATTCTGGTGGTGAAATTGAATGGGCGTTGACCCAATACACAAGAACTAGCCGCAAGAAGGACTATCTGTGAGCCAAAGCCCATTGTGCCGCGAGTTAGTGCCGAGAACCCTGTTGGTTTCAGTCTCGCATTGTTATGCGGCAGTTTTCTCGTGTGGTCAACAACCATCAATGGCTGGTCTCCAGCATATTTCGGCCGGCAGCACGCCTTTACCACCCGCTTTCTGGGGTCTTCGCCTGAACTTCCAACTGTTCATCCATCAAATGCTCATGGCTGTTTATCAGCACCGTCACGATAGGCTTCCTACTCCTGGTTCCAAAGGAGTCGACGGCTCCTTCATCTTCTTCATCACGGTACTGTGATTGCCTTGGCTTTGAGATCTTGAGAAACACACCATCATCTGTTCCATCTTTGCCCCGGGGGTTCTCGCTTAAGGGTCCTTCGCGGTGAATGCCGTTCTTCCACTCCTCATGAATGTTCTTCCAGTCGATACCAACCCTCTTTCTGAAGAAATTACAGAACATATCCCAAGCCAGGTCAAATGTGCTGCCAGAGGGAGCCAGCGTTTGCACGTAAAGCTGTCCCGCACGCGTATCGATTGAGTAACAAGCATAGGACCTCATGTCTTGACAGCTTGCTGCTTTTCGGCGCCCTGCAACTGAGGAGATGTGTCCAGTGGATCTGCGACGCGCTGTCGCCGTGTCTGACTCGAAAAGCTGCAGGCTAAAAGCCCATGGGTCGGGGATGCGCACGCGAAGTTTGGAGTTTGAGGGCCTGAGGTGTCGAGGTAGGGAGCTTTCGATCACAGGGTTGCGAGAATATGGGAACGGCTTGGGAAAGAAGTACATCGGCACCGGGCACGGAGGAAGTCTTGAGTTTGACTCGGGGTCTTCACAGGGCCTAAAAACCTTGACTTTGATTCTATCAGCATGTTATCAGCAGAAATCGCACAGGAACCAAACCTTTTTCTGGCACTGGCCGATCTCCTTCGTCAACTGGATGCTTCTCTGAGCACTTGTTCTCGTGCTGGGAAGAGAAGTGAGGCGCATAGCGCACTTTGATGCGGTGTTTTTTCAGCCGATTCTTCAAAATATCCTTCCTTACGAATGTGAGGAGGTACACAAAGCCGCTTCGGTCAACAAAGGGCCGATAACCGCCTACCACCAAAATTGATTCAACTTCAGTACATAATGTGAATGAGAGGTGATATTCAAAGTTAAAGGGGAACAAACTCACGGGTACTCATCTTCTCCTCGAACTGTACACATGCGGTATCGATATCATTTCCTGTGCCGGGTCAGTCTAGGGAATAGAACGAGCTGAGTGTAAAAGAAGGATATCTTACCCGCCAACTCAACGCGCTGGTTTCTGGTAAGACCTGCGGTGTCTGTAACAGCCATCTTACGCTTGCCAGCTCGCTGCGGCTGCGGCTCTGTCATTCCATGGTTCCCACTAGCGGAAATGTTGGCACTGAAGCTGCGCCCGCCGTGCTCGATCGGGTCTCTGTCTTTGTTGTACTCATCCATGAAGGTGACCGAAGCGGATATTCGAGATGGCTTTCTTCGGTACCTTGCTTGTAGCGATGTGGCAATGAATTGGTATGACAACAGACTAATGTACCGAAATTTGTAGTGGCAGAAGGGACGCGACCTGCAAATGATCGAACGAAAAGATGGTGCTAGGTGATGGAGTTGGAAGATGTCAAAAGCAAACATACCAGGGGAATGTAGCTGGTTCAGTTGCAAGCCTCGAGCTTGAAAGCTTTTGGAGTTTGACAATAGTCACCTTCCAAAAACCGGTGACACCCTGGCGTTGAGGGGCACCAAGGCAGAATAGGTCTTGTTGGAGGACCTAGCAATATCAAGATCCAAAATAGAGATCAACGACGGGCGTTCATTAAGTGAACAGAAGCCAGAGGCTCGAACTTTACGAGATATGCTGGCTTGTGCAAAGGAATGTTGAAGAAGGAGCTGAATCTACGATAGCAAACACATGCTTTTGAGAGAACCTACCATCAAGCACGAGTGAAAGACCGAAAGAAGGAAATGATATACCAGGTTCTCAAGAGAATGGGATTGATAGTTGGTGACAATGTTGAAGGTGAATGGCGGGCTTCAGTCTCGTACGACGTTAGTCGAAGTAGCTCCTAAGAGTACTTCCATGAATTGACTGTGAGTATTCGCGTATTTGGCGGATTCGTCCGTTGATATACCCGTCACCAGATGCCTATTATTTAGAGGTGGTCGAGTCGATTGCTTAGAATACGAGAACCTTGCTGGCACCACTGATAGATCCTTGTCCAGACTTGCAGTCTGATGACTGGAAGTGGCGAGGTAGTGGATCTGGAGTCATTTGAATCAATATCGTACAAAAGTAGTCCTTACCACTCCAAGGCTGACAGAACCTCACCGTCATCTTGCGACAGAGGTGTACATAAGCAAGACCACCTGCATACAAAAGAGGCAGTGGTGGAAATGAAGATGTTCTCCAGCGATAAGGCTAGGAATCTGCGGCGTACTCGAAAACAGACAAAGGAACATAACTTCCCTTTCCGGACGCTCGTCTCCTCCTTTGAAGTAGCAATGGGCTCCTTTATGAATTATGCATCTTATTCCAGGATCAAGCAGGTTGGAAAATACAAACACGAGTTGGAGAAATGCTTCCAGGCGATCCAGGAAATCGTGCACATAGCTAGTCTAGTTGTCGCACATACACAAATTCCGAGCCCGTTCATGCGATGCTGACAGCAATCACTCTTATCATTGACGAGGCTGCAGCATACGCAGAAGGTCACTATCGACGTAGCCCACCGCTACACAGATCTGGCTTTGTATAGCCTGTTTTTGGAGAACCTGCTGGTGAGTACATTATCAACGACAAATTCGTTGCCATAGAAGGTCACAGTAAACATCACTCCGCATTCTCTCCCGTTATTAGCTGCAAGTGTTAGCAATGCAAATTAAGCGTTAAGTCAAATAGGGCCACGATAATCCAGGAGTTGGCATGACAGCCTGATGCGGTCGGTTAGTGGACCGCCTAAGGGAACAAAAGATGTTGCGTGTACGTTAGAGCGAGCGCGGTTCGCCAAGCGCTAGTGGCCTAGACTACTGCGGAGTATTGGATCTGCTGGTGACGCGCTTTGTTTCAATATTCGGTTCACTTCGAAACAACTATTCAATAGACCAACAATTGTGTCAATGTTGCTTCCAAAAGATTGATCGCTTCTCAAGGTATGGATTCTGGGTCGCTGAACCCGGACTATCTTCCCAATCTTGAGAAATGTCTTGCTGGCGAGCTCCTCCTCCTGTAGGGCCACTCCGCAATAATCTGTCTGAATGCCAGTGCTAACGAGAAGTCACAGTTCCTGGGAAGATCTCTTCGACGCCCTCTTTTCCCATGACAAGTTAAGGAGGGATTTTGCGACCAAGCTACTTTCTGGACATCATACCAAGGATATTTTCCAGTCAACATTCCCCTCATTTCCTCCGCCTTCACCCTCTTCGAAAACTGCCTTCGACTCCCAGATTTCGGCGATACCAGCCTCCTTGGATGGACAATTCAACCGTGACGAGCTGAAGGAGGATGCTCTGTGGCTCAGCAAGCAGGCCAACGTTGAAGAACAGGAGGCTCTGCGATTGACTATCCTGGAGTGGCAGTATCGTTCGGAATGCAGGCTGCGAGAGGGGTTCTGTCAAGCCGAAGTGGCAAGTTTAAAAAACGCGCTGGGACCGGACTTCGTGGACAGGAAAATTCAAGGGCGAGGCAGCCTACTGGAAAGAGATGAAGCGATCTTCAATTCCCGAAATGCGCGCCGAACCCGCCTTATTCGCTGGCATTTGGAGCAAGAAGTCATGCTTTTGCGCATAGCAAAGGAGCTTCTGGATGTTCACCTCTTGCCAGATACGGATGACACATCACCGCCGCAGCCTCGGAGGGTATCCACCAACTTTGGACGGCGTGGGAGATCTGCCCTGGCCAGTGATATTGAGAATGGCGTCAGATTAATCCGAGCACAGCTACGGAATCTCGAATCAGCACGGCCATGGGGGTTAAATAAGTCTGATGAGAATATCAAAGATGTGCAACATACTGCAAGCCTCCAAATGATCAGTTTAGCCTTGGAAATCCTATTTCTGAGGCTGCGGTGCTCAGACGAACAACCCACCTCGGAATCAATTCTCCTCTGGCTGCAACTCATGTCATCGGTGGGATTCTTCGCCTCCTTCAACTCGGAAATCGATATCCAACTTGCAGCAATCCAGAAAATACAGTCAACAGCATCCCTGGTCTCATTATCCGTCCTCAACCTTGGCTCCACCATCGCTATATTGAACCAAACCGCATCATCCGGACAATCTGTTCGGCACGACTCGCAGGGAGAATACTTCTTTGATGTCGACTGTGCCTTTCAAATACACGAGCTACTTGTCAATGAAGCTGCGATGGGAAATATTCAAGCCGGTCCTACAATCCTAGCATGGGCAATTGTGGCTCACCGGATTAAACAACTAGGGATTGCCATCAAGGAAAACAGAGAGAGCCATCATATTCAGAAGACGATTGACGGGATCGCAACATTTGACGCAGCAACTGGGCGGCGAAGCTCTGCTGCTAGTGGCTCCTCTTTTCAGCCAACAATATTTGAAGATCTTTTGGATAGATTTACCGCACTCAACACGAACGAGGATCCATCGGTTTTGTTACTCAACGCTGCCATTGATCAATGTCATATTGTTGAGTACATCACACTGCTCACTACGTCGGCTGGCAACACCTCCAAGACATTGGCTATTTTCAAATTCCAGACCGTGCAAGAACTGATTGCAGTGTCGCAGTCATTCTTGGGCTACACCCCTGAGTTGGTATCATCGCAGCTCGCTTTGCTGTCAGCAGATTGCGATAGCCCTTGTGAGAAGAAAGTATATGATCCCACAATAGGATTCATTGAAGACAATCTTCTCATGGAAGGATTTTTTGACACTTCGGCCGCCAGATTTCCATACGAGTGTTTGCCTTTTCTGCGCTTCTGTCGGGCATTGGCAAAGGCGCCTGTCTTCAGTGAGGATGGGACGCAATACGTCGAATTTCGACTTCGAAAACTTGTTTCATTTACTCAAGCCGCAATCAAAGGCATTGAGTACATGACCACACGTGAGGATGAAATTGGCAGCTTTGTGACTCTCAATAAGCCCGTCAATATGCTGGATCTCTCACAGAACCAGTTGCTGACGTACGCATACCAAGCCTCAGAGACCACATCATCGATCATTCCCGCCGGTGCCATTGGTGAACTCATCTCTGATCCGGATGCATCTCCAAAGGTAATCAGATGGCAATATGAGTTCTCGGGTCTCGCATATATGGGACAGTTGCTGGAGTTGCGTTATATGGGACTGCTTGCCACTGCCTTGACGCCATTTGAAGACCCTGAAGCTGTAGTTTCAGAAATAATTGGTGTTCTGGCAACTATGTTTTCAACGATTCTGCGCAGCACTTCCCTCGGTCAGGCTGCTGACCAAGCTGAACAACATTGCACCTCGATTTTGGACGAAGCTAACAGCCATCTCTCTTCGGAAACGGATGTTGTCTCATACATCTTTGAAATACTCGAACAAGAGTTGCAGGCTTTCCGTCGTCGGTCCGCGTCGATATTCGATTGTCGAGTTATGACATCTTGTATACAGTTCGTTTGTGTCCTCACGAGAATCAAGCCACAGTTGACATGGTCCTACCTCAATCGGACGAGCCTCTTTGGTCATCATTCAGCTACCTCACCGATTCTCAATATTGTCACAGCACTGGAAGCACCGCTAGGGAATTTTGATTTCTTGGAAAAATGCACCGACTTGTACAGATCACTGATCAAGTTGGCGCTCAGGGAGTCTCGTCATGGTCTTTCGTCGACCGACGACGCAGCCGCGCGACACCCAACATTATCTGCAGCATGGCGATTTCGGAGCAATATGCTATTGGCCGCGACGGAGATCATGTTCCAAGTTTTTCAAGGCATCTCAGATTGGTCATTTCGAGAGCCCGCTCAGCAGGCCCGTATCAGCACGGCAATTGCCGAATCATTTCACGATATCGTTCGCTACGCTTTTGAATATGGCCTGTCGATCGGTTCTTTCACCCAGGTGACAATGCCTTTTGTTGGAGCAGCACAATATCTTGTGGCTTCATTTCGATCACCGGGTCCAGAAGATGCTGTGATAAGCCCGATCACAAGTCTCGCTCTCATAGCGAGCACGATTGATAGATCTCCGCTGGCTGCTGACAACACTTTTTTGGATCCGTACATAATCGCTGTGTTATCGTTGGCATCGCTGCTTGTTCGATATGGCCAATCACAAGCACTCTCAATGTCAATGCTTGAAAGGCATATTTTTGATGCGGTGCCTTGCCTTGTTCGGACACTGCAAGCCCCATCTTCTGTCCGCAATCCTTGTCTCAGGTTGTTGCGTACCGTCTTGGGATATGTGGAGCAATATCAGGCATCGTCGCTGTTGGGCCACTTAGGCTCTTCATCATGCATCGACTTTGTCAACCTTGTTCGACACCTTGACCAGAAGTCTGAATCTCCCGAAGAACGTGCCGAGCTTTGGAAGCTACTTACTCTCCTAGTCAAGGATTCTCAGCAATGGCTGGCCATGTTTATCTTGACTGGCACTGCCCCAGACAGCTCAAAACGTGTCAAGCCAGGAGATGTCCCTACGAAGTGTGTTCCCAGTCCTACGTTCCTTCAGTCTGCCTTGAGAGAGATGAAAGACATGTCAAAGCTTCCTCGAGTCGTTTTGAGTGCAATGTTCGATTTCGCGCTGGAGGCGCAACAAAACTGGTCTTGGGTAACAAAGGATCTCACCTCGTCAGACGAATTCTTTTCTACGATTGTCTTGTTTGTGACCAGCTTCGATTCTAAGCATCACAGTGAAATCGATGTTGCCCAGCAAAATTTGATCGCCGCTACCATCACCGATATTGCAACAACTCATCTCCATCATGCTAAAGTTTCGAGAGACTTCAAAGCCGTCAAGACCTTCCTTCCGTTGCTCAACTGGCTTACATCAAATGCTATCGAAGTTTCCAGCTATAATGCATCATTGCACGCCAACCTACGTCGAAATTTTGCTGCCAAGTATAATGGTTTGGTAGTTTCCGACATTAGACGCACCGGGTTGACTGAACGAGACTACGGTCCGAATTTCTTTTACGATGTCCAATACGCCGGCGAATTGTTGGCCAACGACCCGTATTGGCACGGTGGACGAGGAACATCCAGCAGCCAGTCATTTTCAGCAGAATTTAGGCGTGCGAATGTGAATTTTTCAGCCGTGGATTCGGAACTGGCCCTGCTTTCGAGCTTGAAGCGCTTCTGTGTTGACCATTGCAGATTCTTCGCTGCGGACCGCGAGGTCCAGAGAGCAATGGCACAAATTATCCAAAAGTCTTTACAGGCAAATTGTCGGGCCTATCCGGCCGAAGTGCTATTTGAGTCACTATTCCAAACGCGGGCGGATCTGGCGATGATGCTCCTGCGTCAACTCGTTACGTTGGGCGCCAAAGGGTCGGATTTTACGGGGTTGTTGGAGCCTGCTTGGGATGCAGTGAGGTTCCGGAATGGATCCTATGAACAAGCCATCATCAATAACGACCTTACATATTGGCGGTCAACCCTCTCAATCTTACTCCTCGCTATTCAATTTCACGTCAAGAAAAAGCGAAAGCCGACCATGATCCCCGGCGGCTCCACGGCGCTTATTACTCTGGATCAACACAACGTCACATTCCTTGAAATAACAAGTACAATCGTAGCGGAGGGATTTAAATCTGCTGTGCTCGCCCTTCAGGACCAAAAGGAAAAGAAGCTGAAGACTGACGACGACGATGACGACGCCCTTATCGGACCAAGTGACATTCTACTCCTGCTGACACTGGTGCAAGCTATTCTCAGACTGCCCAGTCTCCACCAATTCTCAGTAGAATTGTCTGAACGACTGTCTTCTTCCGGAATCATCTCGGTCGCGCTTTTACTCTATTCGTGGTCTCATCTACTCACCAGATCAGAAGGCAACATTCAACCTCGTTACGCGGAATACAGCGTTCAACTGCTGGCCTCTATTTCATCACTGCCGTCTGTCGCGGAAGAGCTTGCAGTCGAGGGCGCCCTCAATCGCCTCCTTTCATCCAAGATGTCCGAGTCGCTTCAGAGCGTTCCAGGTGGCGCCTCCCACGCTGACGCTCGGCCCAACTGCGGCTACCTCTACCGTCTGTGGGCGAAAGGGTTCCTCCCACTTTGCCTTAATCTCCTCCACGCCGTTGGCGGTGCTATTGCTCCCGAAATATCTGCTTTTCTCAATCGATTCCCCAACCAACTTATCCGTGCAAGTACGAGCTTAATGCTTACGCCGCAAACAGCCTCTACTGGGACTTACGCGTTGACGTTGACCACAGCGAATGAGGCTGCGACTCTCGCTCTTATATCGCGCCTCCTTTCTTCGTTTCGAGATGCTGGCGCATCTGCTGCAGTAGATCCTACTACTATTTTACCACTCAACGGTTACGACGAGCATACGAAAGCGATAGCTGAGGATTTGCGTGATGTGCTTGCAATGAAGGAAGACACAAGGCAGAAGTTCACCGTCCCAACCAATGAGAGAGAAGTCAGCTGGCAAAACGCGAAGGACGGTAATATGCTAGATGCTAAGATTGTGCAGGAGTTGAAGATTGCGTTGACGGCATTGAGCGCGGATGACGATCAGGACGAGAAATAACGTCCACTGTGTTGCAGTTGTGAATTTCAGCAGGCACAGACTTTGTACGGGTTTTATGAGAAGAAAGGTATAGGTGGCCGATTCAAAGTGCGTACTCTCCGTCCGTTCCCAGCCTTTGTATTCCATCCAACTACGGCCATAAGCGGCGATGACCTTTTTATTGAATCATTTGGCTTCGTTGCCAGTGAGAAAGACCCTTCCTTGGGCGATAGCCTCCACCCCACCAAGATCGCTTCTCAGCTAAGATTCTTCCGCCTTTCATGCCCATATATGTGCCCTGCAGCCTTCCCGAATGATGGCCGTCTTGGCCCCGCTGGTTGGAGCGAAGTTCAAGCCAAAGAGGTTATAGTTACATTGTTTACGGCAGCGTTACAGACGTCATACGTGGTCACAAGACGACACTGGTTCATTTTGACGTGACTGGAGACGTGAACATGATTACGATGAGGGCACCAGTCAACATGCGTGCAAGGATTGCAACAGTAACGTGAAAAACATCGTCGCAAACGGAGTCGACCAGCATCATCTACGTGTACGGAATTGGATCCATGTCACAACCGGTGGACAATGTCATGGCATCGAGAAGTTAGCGCACTAAATTTGGAATCCTGCTCCTGGCTCAACTGCTTTTGGGCGTCCGAGATGACAACATAAACATTATTAGTTTTCCGTTTGGGTGCCATTCATCCACCATTTATCAGATGCGGCGAATGACCCACTCCTACCTTCGAACTGGCTTCACTGGTGTTCTCATCCGGCCTTGGTTGAGCTGAGCATGCATCAAGATTAACCACTAGCCCCTCTCATCTCCCCAACTTCTTGAGCAGTTCCTGAATCCTGAAAACTTGTTGCGGTGCATCTGGCTCCAACATTGCAAACGAATGCCTGGTGCTGCTGCGATCCACAATCACTCAGAAGAGTCCCCCGTCGATCAACCACAGCAGACTTCATACCACTAAATCTTGACCGTCGACACCCTCTTTGCGCAGTCGGCGACACCCAGAACACATATGGGGTCACCCTGTCCAGACCCTGAAAGGGCCAGCCGTATCTATGCGAGGCTGACGCTGCGACGAGGCTCAGGCTTCAGGCCACGACCGGCCAACGAACCTTTCCATGTCTTCACTCCACAAGAATCTTGTCAATAGGTCGGCTACATCGTTCCAGCTCTTCATTATTGTAAATCTCCGCTTGAAGAGCCTTAGCAGATCTACGCCCTCCGATCTCATCTGTCCATCTCTCGATCTCCAAGAATCGATTACCACCATGAACACCCAGACCAGAGCTTGCTTTTCTATTTCCGTGGCTATTCTGGAAGTCCTCTTCAAATTACTGGTAGCCCGAACGGATATAGATGTGAAATGTGTTGTGGGAAGACGCTGTGTGCAAAAGTTTGCGAAGCAGTAAAGAACGAGAGCCAAAACGATGAGCTTTTCCAAAGTGGGGTTTTCGTCAGAATCTCCGAGACAGGGGCACGCTTGCAAAAGGTCGTCGTAGCGACGCCTCCTATATTGCAGAGTTTTATTCTTTCTCGTACCCGACTGCTTGTCTTTCCTCCGTTCAAGCTCCTCTGTCGCATGCAGCAAGGCTTCGAGTGTCGGGATACTTAGCACGCCTGTTTTCGCGAGGCTTTGGAAGCCACCTGGCAGCTGGCTGACGAGACCGCGTATGCTGCCGTCCAAAGGGAGTTGGAGCCGTCGTCCTGCATTTGGATTTATTCGAGCCCCAGAAAATATCGTTGGACCTCGACCAGCTATCCAGCACCAGTTGCCCTCCCACTGAAGCATCATGCACTTTTCCAACCCTCCGTGGCCAAGTTGATCGATACCTCCTTTGGCCTGGATCATCAGACGCAGGTGTTTCTTGTGCAACTCATGTGCTTCTTGATCACCCACCATAAGTGCGCCAAGGGCAAGGTTCATTACGGTAATTGTGGAGATGTCATTGGGAAGATTCCCATTGATTTCGATCTCTCGTCTCAAATTTGCTAATGCCGTCCCTAAATAAGTGTATACTCGCCGGGATGGCTTTGCGGCCGGATCCAAAAAGAATTCGAATTCGTGGACTAAATTGCACAATCCTGCATGCAGAGACAAACCATGCTGCAGCGGTAAAAGGGCGAATCGGTCGTAGATGTTGGTAACGTTGAAGACCTCATAGAGCGGGGCGTTGTTTGGGACATAAATCTGAGTATAAAAATCCAAGGCATCCAGGCATGAGTTGTCGGGAATTACACTGAAGGGGTCTTTTCGATATCCCCGCAAATACGGATCTGGATCCAACACGACGGTGCTGATCTGCCGTGGGCTCTGGCTGATATCGAAAACTTTATTAGGTCGTGTGGACGTACTGCCGGATCGGTCCTCTAAGGGTCTTGTGTGCAATTCCCCAACAACGAGAGATGGATTCCTGGGGACCTTGGGGTTCGAGCCTTGTGGTTGTGCCTGTGTGGCGGAAGCTAACGGACGCGACGGATGTTCGTGGGCAACAGAGGAAATGGATGCCGTTTTCCGCGGCTGGCGAATGCATTTCTTCCCAGAGCTCGCCTGCCCTTGCAATTCACGTTTCCTAAGCCCGATGATCCTCGCATGAGTTCTGACCTTGGATATCTGGATTTTCTTGTCCGCTTTGGTCCAGGAGAGACCGTCGACAAAGACCACCTCGCGAGCTTTCATTACGGCTTTCGTGGCTGTACTTCTGCTGATCGATTGACGGCAGGTCTATATCTTTGGGATGCGCCCACGATCCCTGTTGTGCAGGGCTTATCTCTTTAGAATAAAAAGTTTCTGACCGTGATTTGTCCAGAGACAAGCATCGCAGGACCTGCTAGAGTTCCTCGGGGTCAGATCAACTATTCGACTTGGGCAAAGATAAACAGCGCTGAGCTCTCCCTCTCGTGACCTGTCTACCAAGAATAACCCGTGTGTACGGATTGGCACGTGCTGAGATGTGTAATCTTCGACGAAACCTGGCTCTTCATCAGCATTGCCAAGCAGGGAGATCTGTTTCGAGGTTTCATCTTACCACCCAGTCCTGCAAAAGTAGAGGCATGGACGATATTCAAGAGCGCTTAGCAACGCGCTTTCAAGCTGATCAGCATATCTTGAAGGTTCTGTTGTTACATTGGCACCCATATATGTCTTTGTAGCGTTCTAAAGCACTGGCACGGCCCGAATACACCGGTTACTTCCATCTAGCAATGGGAAATTACATGAAAATAACGGCCAGGACTCATCCAAGGAGTAACGCGCGTTGAAAATAACCTATTAGCTTGTAAGAAACACAAAGAAGTGATCTTCGGGGATTTCTCTCGTCCTTGATGCAGAGTTATCTCAGCAGCCTGCACAAGCGGATGACCAACTGGATAGTGTTCTCCAAACTTGGAACTGGATATGTGGCCCTGTACGAGAATCTACAGCTTCCAGAATAGTCCGACAGCCCCACAACCGGAGGCTCGTGCTTACGCACACCGTTCATGTAAGAATGGTATCGCTTCAAGGAGTGGATTCTGTTGGTCCTTGACTCGCCCGACGCTTAACACATTCAACGGAATATCTGCATTGACCCTCTTCGAAGGCTTCTTCTAATATCAGCCACACCACCACAAGATTCCAACCCTCCTGTTTGCATTGGACCCTTGTCTAGCCGGTAGTTTCGCTGACAAAGATCTAATAGCCCGCTGGATTTTCATGCAGCTATCTGCTGGCTACAGACTAGGCGGTAGCCCACACTCTTTGCTCGTGACAGACTACAGAGTGCTAGGAGTCGTTTTGAGAGCGATGCAAGTGTGTACGCTGTCCCTCGAAGATATTGCGAGGACATGTTGCTCCCCATTTGTCTGCCAGACTCAACAGTCTTGACATGACCTCACTCGTTTGTGGTAGAAATCACAGACTCACAATCTCACACCCTCCTTCCTCATCCTTTCTCTCGTTGCATCCCTTAGGTATCTCCTGAGAATCTTGCCGGAAGGGTTTTTGGGAATAGCATCCACGAATTCCACTCCACCGGCCAATCGTTTGTATCGGACGACTTTGCCTTCGACAAATTGCTTCACAAGCTCCTCTGTCAGGTTAGCCCCATGCGGTCCAGGCTGCCTGACGACAAATGCACGGGGCTTCTCATCTCCGTCTTCGGTCGGCATACCTATCACTGCCGCGTCTGCAATCCCAGGGTGTTCGAGCAGGAGAGCCTCTAGCTCGGCCGGTGCTACTTGGTTTCCTTTCACTTTGATCAGTTCCTTCTTCCGATCTACAATGAAAAAACGCATATCCTCGTCCACATATGCGATATCGCCCGTTTTTAACCATCCGTCTGGCGTTAGCGTTGCTGCGGTAGCTTCGGGATTGCGCCAGTATCCTTTCATGATGTTGGGTCCACGACACCACAATTCTCCCACAGCAGAAGGGCCGCGACTAGTGATTTCGGAGGCGCCGTCTTCAGTCATGATCTTGGCTTCACAGTTAGCGGTAAGTTGGCCGACCGAGTTGGTCAAGGATATCTCCCTCGGAGCCCAGCCGAGAATGGAGCAAGTGCATCTAACACAGAGGTTAGTCCTCGGGCATCAATCAAAGGTCATGAATGTCTTACTCGGTCATTCCATACCCCTGTTTGAAATTCAAGCCTGTGCCTATCCGTTGCTCCACTTGTTCTGAGACGTCGCGGCCCAACGGTGCAGCTCCAGACCCAATATTCTCGATTGAGCTCAAGTCATACTTCTCCACTGCAGGATGTTTGGCCAACATTACCGCGATAGGGGGGACGAGCGTATAGTCGGTGACGCGGAATTTCTGCGTATACTCCAGGAACTGAATGAAATCGAATTTGGGCATAACATAGACCGGGATCTCGCGGTTAAACGCGCTCGCAATATAGAATGTTTGCCCATATGCATGGTAAAGTGGGAGGAAACAGAGCCATGAAGCACGGGCGTTGCGAACTTGATAATCTGGGTCGAGTTGGGACAGATGCTGCACTTGTAGTGTGTTTGAGATGTAGTTCTTGTGGGTGATCTCAACGCCCTTGGGTACGCCGGTTGTGCCACTGCTGTAGTTCAATGCCAGAGTCCTGTCGCATTCCCCTGGCCCTGTCAGATCATCCCACTGGAATCCCTCAGCGTCTTCCGCCGGCGCTACCAATGCACTCCAATATCTGCAACCCTTGAGCCCGATGGTCTCTCCATCAAATATCTTGGAGTTGTAGACGAAGACCCTCGCGGCGACATCGAGGCCGGCAAGTGTTGCCGCTTCAATACCTGTTTCCAATGATGCTTCGGCACACAGGAGGTACGTTGCGCCACTGTCTCTCAGTTGGTGCGCCAGCTCTCTTGCGACAAATGTTGGATTGGCGCCAGAGAAAATTCCACCGGCGCATAGCACACCCATGAACACGACGGGAACAAAGAAGTCATTGCCACTGAAGAGCAGGATGCGGTCCCCTTTTCTAAAATGCTTGGACCGTTGCAAACCAAGTGCAAACCGTTGAGACCATAACCGAAACTGGTCGCGCGTGAGGTAATGCGTATCTGGACGCGCAGCTTCTGAGAAGGCGCGCTTGGAACCTAGCGGCGCCGTCGGTGACTTGAAAAGGAACGTCGGCAGAGAGCATTCTGGTAGGGCCACGGTCCATTTGGATTTGTAAGGCATGATGAAGAGTCGCGGGTCGAGGACAAGGGTAGCAGACGCGCGAGAAATGTAAGACGAAGGGCTCAGCGCTTCAGCAATGTACGAGTAAAGAGACAATGCGAGCAACGGTCGCCCTAAGATTGGAAAGGAAGCGACAGATAATATATGAACACTATACTTGCCATAGCGGTGCGCTCATGTCAAAGTCGCCGAACAGGGTACCTTTTGACGACTCGATATAGGATTCATGACTCTCGTCACTTTGATATCGTTGGATGCCGTTAACCGACGTAGATCAAAGTTGTAGATTAGTGCAATGGCACCACGCCAGGTCAACGTACCGAGGCACCAGGTAGGCGGAGAGATATTTGGTCCGAGGAGACTGAGATCTCAAAGCTGACTTTACGAGTCAGCATAAAGCCGGGGACCGCTGAGGCGTCTGATTGGGGAATTCCCTTCACCAGCTGAATTTAGCAGGTATTTCTTGCGGCCCCAGAGTTACTTTGGGCCTCGCCGCAGCCATCTCGCCATGGCTAGTCTTCTGCGGCGTCTTGACCTACCCCAAATACTCCGGCCTCTGTACGTACGAGTAGTCTGATCTCCACGAGCGCATTCTAGGGCTGCAGGTGGAAAGTGGATCTTGGGGTGAATACAAATTCTCTATCCTGCCCGCCACAGGTTAAGATGGGTAGTTGAACTAGGCCAACGGTTGAACACAGCGGCCTTGTAAGCCTCACTAGCCTTCAGCTAGTTGGTCCGTCATCCCCCATCCAACTCTTACTTTATCTTTGTGGATGCTTTTCAAAGCGACGTCTTCACGACCGTCACATTTTGCACTCTCCAGAACCCCTCCTCCGCCTGTGCGATATTGACCACATTTTCCACGGGTTCTTTCCCCAAGACGAAATCGAAAAAGCCTTTCACCAAATTGGCGACCACATTGATGGCTTCCTGCCCCGGAATCTCGCCCACACGCTCATCAATAAGTCCAGGGGTGCCTTCCCTAATGCCCACAGATCCGCCAAATATGGGAGATCCCCATAAGTAGCATGCTCACTATTTTCAAGCTGAATCTGCCATCTGTCGCCTTTCGGATGACTCCAAACGGCGGGCCGCGAACGCGAGACGGAGAAACGACGAATGGAGGACGAAAAGATGGCGAATGGTCGCGCCATGTTTGCGTTGGCGAGCAGAGGGGCTTCGTAAAATCCTCCGTCAAGGTTGATTACTCCGAGCAGACAATGTGGTTCGGCAAGGACCGAGGCTGCTGTGACGGTGCCGCCTTCGCTGTGACCAAATTGCTACAGGACTATACCTGGCGGAGATCGAATGATTTGGAGTATTAAATGTGTCGAGAATGAAGCTGACATCTTCGACAAGCACGTCCAAGCTAATTCCATCCGTGACGTCGACTTGTGTTTGGAAACATTTCAATCTCCGCGTAAACGCGCTGTTCGAAGGACACGATCGAGTAACCTGACTTGGTCACGGGGCTTGTCAACAGGATGGAGTACAGTTGGCGTGGAAAGCCAGCGCCAGGAGCGAAGAGGGCCGTAGGAGTCACCAATTCGCGCCCCACTGAGTAGCGGCTCGTAGAGACTCAATTCAGTTTGCGAAATGGTTCCTTCGAAGGAGACGCCTGTCATGTTCGCAAGGGCCTGCTCCCAGAATTGAGGCGGTTGAGCTGCTGGCATGTAAGATTGAATGCGGAGGCAACAGCTATCCACCTCCATCGGAGCGATCACGGAGAATGGAAGGTATGGGTCGGGTAGGACGAGGTCGACCAGTTGCTTTTCAACCAGGAAGATTCCATAGGTGCCATTGGGATGGGGCACTGTAAATGCTGCCACAGCGGGAGCTGAAAGTAGTGCGAGTGTGAGAAACAATATATTGGAGCTGGACTGCAGCATTTTCCGATCTCACTTCGATCTCTCTCAGGACGCTTTCAAAAGATCTAAAGGGAGTAGCTGTCCTTTAATGCGCCCTCATCCTGAGTCTTGACGACATGCATATCCATTGACTCATCGTACATCGGCTTTCATCATGCCATACTGTACGAATGCTCCTCCAACACACATTCACAACAATTGGATAATCCCTTGACGATCCCCTCTGGCCTGAATAGTCACCTCCATCGCTGTATCCTGAGAGCCTTCCCCAAGTTGGTCATTGTCAAATCAAGAAAATTCCGCCATCTGTTTGGACGTCGTCGGCTTTTTGACCATGTAGTCCTTTGATCCATCCTTGCGGGCACGACCTTGGCGGGTGATTTATCTATTGGGCAGCGTCGTGCCGAATAATCGGTTGAGATGTTGCACCAGACTGTCCCTGCAGCAAAATATGTGGAAGGAATTCAAGAACATCTGTATCCTCCTATAACCTACCCAGTACGTGGTGATGGAATGCTTGACACGAAGGGAGGTTGCGTTTCATTCGTTGTCGACGTCATATACGCGTCACAAAATCTCTCCTGATCAAAATGTATTCCACTCTGAAGCGAAAGCGCTATTAACGACTATTTCCAGATAGAAACCGACAAGCAGAAAGCCTCCCCGGCTTCTCTTGGGAGACATTGTATCCGGGCAAAGATCTGCCTCTCCAACGCCAATGCATTATGCAAAAAGCCCACGCTGTTACAAAGGAGGGTCTCTATCCACAATTTCATACACGTCCACCAAAGCAGACGGGTTCATTCCTCGTAAGTGGCCCCCGGGGCTAAATCGTACTTCTGATAGAGCTCCTCGGGTTTTCGACCCAGTCGACCAGCACTGCTCCTCAGCTTGCCCCTGCTGGCGTCAACGAGAGGAGAAATCCATCGGTCCTCGACTGTGCCGCCGACCATCTTGTCACCTTTCCTCAGATATGTTGTGGCGCCCATCAGCGTTGGTTGGAAATTGACGTAGATGGCCTCCCAGTGCTTGCGGTCTACCTCGAAGATTTCGTGGTTAATGCCAATATGATTATTTTCCTTGATATGCTTGTTCCACCAGTCCCAACTTTCGCGATGCAGCTTGCCGTACGCGAACTTGTGGATATCCTCTGCGGATCGCCAATAGCTGAGGTTAAGGATCTCCGTGGCGCCGTTCTTGTCCTGGCTCGTCCAGGTGGTGCCGCCGTAGAAGCCCAGGTCAGTATTTTCGGACTCGAGATCCTCGATCATCTTGGTCAGATAGTCGCCAAGGGTTTTGACATTTGGGGCAAACATCCCAAGTGGGTGGTTGACTTTCGCTCCCAGCATGAAGACCGCGAGCTTCTCTTCCGATGGTTCCTCATGGAAGGTGCCATCTTCGTCCGGGATCTGCGGAGAAGTGCGGTACAGAAGAGCGTTGTCGAGATAATGATTTTTCTTCAGCCCTAACGTGATAGCCATGGTCTCTGCTAGACGAACTCCGAGGATAAGAAGAGAAGGAAGCATGGCATAGAAGCGAGGTATGACCAAGACAACTAAAGACTGTAGCAGAGCTCCGAGGAACAACCACGTCGACACGGAAAAGTTTTCGCGAAGGGCCTGGAGAGAGTCAGTGCTTCGAATCATACGGGGATACTAGTTGAGGGGATTCACATATATGAGTTTCGCACTCCTACTCGGCCAGTTGCTTTGCGACCTTGGCCGCTTTTCGAACGGAGGGAGGATGCTCTTGAAGGCCATAGTAATGGTAACTGTCAGATGATGCTGGGTATCCAAAGACTTTATCGGGCCGTTTGATATCAGATACCCTGGGGGCTTAAGGTGGTACAAATGTTGATGTTGAATGAACGGAACCAAAGGCGGGTGCAATCGAGGCTCCTTTATATCAGTTAAAGCTTTGAACAAGGTATTCACGTCAGCCATGGCTGTGCATACGACATTGCCAAAGCTTCCATGTGCCAATCGCCATACGTGCTGTGTATACTCGGACGAGTCGGATCTCAAAGCTGAGAGCTGTGATATCAGTTTAAGCGGCGGAGTGATCAGTGACAGGAGGCACTCTGATGTCCATAGCTTTCGCACGAATACACTGAGCTGAGCAACATAGCCTTGATCGGTTAGAGGGGGTGACGGCGTGGAATGTCCTCAACGGGCTGAAAATGGACCGCGACAACGGTAAGTTACTTTTTAAGGCCGTAGCAGGATACGAAGGAGCTCCACGCTGACATAAGAATGGACTTCGTCGAAGCCCTGCGCCTGTTCATGTACTGCGTATGAGCAGGTAACAGTCTCTGCCGACCAGACTAGTAGGTCTTACTCGGCCGTACAGCATAGGAACAGCGTAGGATGAATTCTTGCGAGATGCAGCCCGCATCGCATCATAGCCGCCTAAGTGCCTAGGATGGCCAATCTTCCCTGGCCCCCCGGACCTGACATCCGACCAAGGCGGCAATTGAAAGGAACAGCAGCTCACCTGACGCGTAATGTTCACACGAGTACGGAGTACGAGGTACGTCCCTTGCCTACTTGTTCGCCTCCACCTCAAGTTTATTGTACGTCTTTTCAATTCTGATCGTCCCCATAATCTATTTCTAAAAATCTTGCTGTAATACTGTCATGCTCCAGATGGATAAGATCCAACTCTGATGTTCCATGCAAGCCATGCAAGGCGTGCCAATAGCATCGCCCGTCAGTCCTTCAGAGGAGACCGGAGTCACGATGCAGCTGTTTTCGCTGTTTTGGCAGGCGACACTCCCAACCCGTTTCTATTGCGAAAGAACAGCACGCCTGCGTCATCTCCAGTGGCGCCTTCCATGGGCTCAACCCAGCCACACCATCTCATGGATTTCCACAAGCTCTTCAAAAACCCCAGAGACCCCTCCTTGGTATCACTTCGATAATGACGGCCCATCACCTTCTTGATGGCTTCGCTGGCCTCATCAGCGTTGTAAAATGGGATGGTACTGACATAGTGGTGAAGGACATGGGTTTCGATGATACCATGGAACAGTTGGCGCCCAACAAACCCAAATTCTCGATCAATTGTGGCTGCGGCTCCGCGGGTATATGTCCACATTTGAGGAGTATAATGGGGAAGAGAAGGGTCCGTGTGTTGCAGGAAAGTAATCGCGACTGTTTACCTGTAAGCAAGGTGGGCTGGAAACATCGTTCTGGCTCTGTATGACTCACCTAACCAATGATTGATCCACAAGTATGGAGCAATATACCAGACAAACAGATTCGAGAGACCATAAGTCCTGCCGACCAAGAAAAGGATGCTTCCGACCGCGAGAAGACCCAGGTCACTCAGGAAAATCAGCTTGGCATCTTTGGCCTCATACAATGGGCTGGCAGGGTCGAAGTGGTTGACTCCACCACCGAATCCATTGTGCTTGCCAATTCCACGGCCCTCACGTTGGACTTCGTGTTTGTTATGGCCGGTGACGTTGGTGAACAAATACATGGGCCAACCAAAGAGTTGTTGGCTGATTAAGTGGTATGCAGTTGCAATTGGCGTCTCTTCAGTCAACTCATCGAGCTGATGTAGCAGCTTTCCTCTTCGACTGAGGTATTGCTCCTTGGTCGCTGGGACAAAGACCATGTCTCGCTCCATGTGACCAGTGGCTTTGTGATGCTTGCCATGAGAGATCTTCCAAGAGAAATACGGCACCAAAAGCGCAGTGTGGCAGAAGTAGCCAACTGTATCGTTCAGGGTTTTACTGGTTGAGAATGACTGATGTCCGCACTCATGAGCTAGCACCCACAGCCCGGTTCCGAACAGGCCTTGTATAACAGTGTACACAAACCACAAACCAGCTCTTAACGGGGTATACGGAACGTTCTCAGAGGTCACAAAGCGGTTGAAGAGATAGAAGGTGATGGCGAGAGAGGTGATGTCTCGAGCAACATAGTACAGACCGGTGACAGCAGATCTTTGGAAGCAATGCTTTGGGATGGCATTGTGTATGTCGCTAATGGTGAAGTCGGGCACTTCGAAGGGATTGCCATAGGTATCGAGCAGCTGCTTCTTTTCAGAGCTCTGCTTAGGAGGATGGGTGGGAGCGTCTTCTGAGGCAAGAGAGGACAACGAGGTCGAGGAAGGCGAGGATCTCGGACTATCGAGAGGTGAGATGTTGGCAGAGGAGGTAGGTGTCGAGTCGGCCGTCGCCAGACGACGAAGGATTCCCTCCGCGGGCAGTGCAGTGGAAGTCATGGCCGATCTGGGAAGAGACTCTTCGGCAGAGCGCAACGAGGTGAATATTCGACCTTGGAGGTAGGAAGAAGGAGTGTGGGCAGGACACGATTGAGGGGGAGTGCCGTGTAGACAGGTCAAGGCAAGAGTGAAGCAGAAGGTGAAGACTGCAGCGACAGGGCAGGGTTAAGAGGAGCTTCTGAACTAGGCCGAAAAATAATGTTTAAGGCTCAAAGGGTCGTATTCCCTCAGGCAAAGGAGTGAACGGAGTTCTGGCGGCGAATGAACACAGGTCTCCTGTCGTAGAAGTCGTGCAGGCGCAGGGCAGTGGAGAGAATGTGGGCTGCGGGCTATTCATTTTTTTTGGCCGGAGGGGAAAAATTCGCATGATCCGTGAATCTCAACAAAGTCCCCCATGGTTAGTGCGCAGGGGCAATCAGGGGACCAGCAGCTAGCATCGGCTCGCAGGCCATTTAGCTGCTCGGTTGTGCCTGGGCGGTGAGCGACGATTGCAGGGTCTTCATCTGGGCCCCGAAGATCGCCAACCGCTGGATACCTTCCAAGTTAGGTATGTAGGTGCCGTTAAGAGGCACCCAAGCCTGTTCGTAATGACCAGAACTCCGCACAGCGCTCATCCTCCAAAGCGAAAACGCAAACGAGCATTTACTGGTTCATTTGTCCGCTACTGTGTTCTGATGCAACATGTGTAGGTAAGCTGATAAAGCAAGGCTAGGTAATTGGATTAGGCTGCTGTCACGAATCGCTGCTCGGTCAGTTCGAGGCTGGTGGGATACTACTATTCAGCTATGGCACTTCCGCAGGGAGTTTGTTCGGACGGCCACACACACGGGGACGGTCTGGCCATGATGGTCAGCCGGTTCCCTAATGTGGGACTGGCTGGCTGGCACATTTCCCTGAGCTGGAGACTCTCTGTGTGCATTGGTGCACTCAATGATCCCACCTTGGCTTGAAGATGTGCGGTTTTGCCCCCTTCGTTGACCGATAATTGGGAAGAGCTGACCTCGGCCTTGCCCGATGCCTTGGCAGCTCCAGTCTGGCCGGACTCTTGACGGCTTCGACTCGTCGATCGAAGGGGCGCTGTCATGTCCGACAGAATGTTGTGCGTCTGTTGAGCGCGATCGGCTGACCGCTAATGGTTATGTCCTTGAGCACATGCTGGGTTCCGTGCCGTTTATTGCTGACTGGGCACAGGACACGGTTGTCAATGAATCGAGACCCATTGACATGTGCAACAGATGCTCGCCCAGCAGCAGAGACTAACCAATTCACATGCTGAGAGACCCTGGTTCAGAGGTCTCTCGAAAGAGCCGATGCCTCGGTCAAATGGGAGAGACTGAAGAATGACAGGAGCTGAAGTTCTCGGGCTGACTGGTGGTCAGGGTCACTGGCAGTAGGGAAGCTGGGTATGGTATGCAGGGTGAAATCGGGAGTTCCAACGAAAATGATTTTGTTGGGGAGCTGAGACCTGACACTAACCTAACGGGACTTTGGCTAAGGCTTCGTCGTGGCTTTGACTCCGCCCATGTCGTCACTCCACCGCACCAATCTGCTTGCAGGGTAGTTGTCGGTTCGTGCCGAGCACAGACCCTGAATTTGGGCCCTGCGACTGGTCAGAACAGCTGTAGTCAAGGTTTCTGGAATAGCTCAAAGCGAGCCCGTTCCTGGCGCTTGGTGTCACCGCACCGCCGTAAGGACGCAGCTCCAAGCTGCGGCTCAAAATTATGTCCGGCTTTGTTCAATGCCAGCTGGGGTCTAGTGATGGCGGTGAAGAGAGTGCTGGGGGCTCCAGTTGGACTTCAATCCACTCCTCCACGACTTCCGCTCGCGACCAGCCTGCCAGCACCTTCGTCCGCTATGGCTCCAAACACCTCCACCGTGGTGCTCCGCAAATCTGGGGTAATTAGAATACTCCGACCATGAGCAGGATTTTGAACATCTGTCAGGAGTTCTGCCCATTCATCTTTGCCGCTACTTCGGATCCGTTTGCGACATTTAACACTGACCGACGGAAGGAGCAAGTGTCCGAGATGTTGAGGGAAGAGGACCACGTGCATGCGGATGGTCTCTGAACCCAGCTGCACATTACCTTTGCGTCTGCCCCCCACGAGCCACGAATCCGAAAGAGCGGCGATCTCGAATGACGCTTCCAATTCCCCCTCTACACGATCTTCGAGTTTCATGACGATTTCGGCCAGCAATGGCTGGCCGATTGTTGCAGTCGGGTGTGGCGGCCTTGACCATTTGGCGTCTAGAAATGCCGAAAATAGTATCGAACGCGGCGGGATGTCAACAAACAATCTGAGCTGGCGTTGGGGAACCTTGGAAGACGAAAACTTGATCGGGGGCGTTCGAGAATGCCAGTCTCGAAGCCATTCTTCAATCTCGGCTCTTCTTTTTCGGTCAAATGCGCACAAAACCGACGGCCAATCCATATCCTCCATCTTCCACACTTCAAATTCTTGTGTTAATCCTGCAACTTCCACATCTTGCTCGGTCCACGTGGTACGAACACGCTCCAGTAAATGCGATGTGAGCAGTCGGGCGGCAAAAGAGTGTCTCGACTTGGTAAGCTCTTTGGTGAACTGTTTCTCAAGAATGGCCAACATTATTCCGTCAAGAGATTGGAAGTCAACAACGAGCGTTAGTCTCCTACTGGCCTCTGCAACATTTTCATTCCTGGGCACAAGCCGGACAGTCCAGTTGGCAGGTTGTTTCGGGAACACCACGAATGGCTCGCTGATGCTCCCGCCCGCAATCATGTCATGGGAGTCGTTCTTCTCTAGACTGCAGCCGATGAGACGAAGCGGTACCATAGTCGAAGGGATAATGGTGAATCTGGAGTACATGTAGTCCTTCCGAAAAACGTCCTGCACATTGACAGTCACAGGTAAGATCACCTTAACAAAAGCTGTGTCGTAAAAGGTGAATATTCCCTGGTCGGTCTCGTAACTAGCCTCAATGCGCAACATTATCGTCGGCTCGGAGGACGTTTCCATGGTGTAGGGAATCTCGACATCCGTGACCGTCTCCGAGGCTAAATTATCCAGCAACATCACTAAAGCGTCGCCTTCTCGGGCCGTCCGCATTTGATTTGATTCATGTTGATCGCCGACCAATTTAGAGTCGTGGATGTTAAGCCTCAGCCCAGCTGTTGCCGTCCTCAATCGAAGCTTGACCTGCTTGATGTTGTTCTGCCCAGGTCTGACTTGTAGGAGCAATCTACGGATCTGGGCCAAATGAATGATTGGGAAAGGGTAAATCTTGATTCCGAACGATCGATAGCTTGGGTATAAAAGGAGTGGTACCACGTCTGCGCGAGGGCTTAGGGAATCGTCAGATCCTGGATCCTCATCATCTATTCGCGACTTGAAATGATGCAAAAGTCTCAAGTTGCCAATGCAAACCTCGACTTCATCCGGTACATACCAACCATGCGTCGTAACAGGGGTTTCTAGGGCAACGGTCTTGCCCTTGGAGTCTATGACCACCTTGTCTTGAAGGAAGAGCAATATGGACCGCGGCTCGACACCGTCTTTGGCGATAAGTCGTAACTTGACATTATCAATTGGAGGGGTCGAGGCACCAGAAAGACTGCGTATTTGGATTGAGATACTGAACCCATCCTTGGTATCATGTGGAGAAATGTGTCGCGAAACCACAGCGATGCGAAACAGCAATGCCGCACGTAGTGTTGTTGCTGGGATGTTTGGCAATACCCGGAAAAATTCGTTCATATAATATTGATTCGCTTGAGAGCGAGATTTGGAGGAAGTCGCACAGTCGGCATTTCTAGGGGGATGCAGACAAGAAATAAGACATCGAGCGTATTCAATAGGCCGCTCAAGACGCTTCAGACACTCGGCATAAATGCGGAGGAGGTACTCTTCTGAAGGACGATACGAGCCACGTGGGAGTGGACCGAGGATATTCTGGAGATAACGGGCGGCAATTGACCAGTTATCTTGCGAATATTCCACTTCGACCAGGTCTGTCAATATTTGCTCGGATGTTGCTCGATTTTTGGTGGGCGATACAATCCGAAAGGCAAGGACAGACAACATGGCGTAAAGCATCATAAAACCCGACTTCGACGCCGCTGCCGTTTTCAATGTGGCGGACCCTAGGCCCAAGAGAAGCTCGGTGTTGGTAGAGGGCGGGGACAGGTCTTCCTCTACTGGATCATCGTTGGTCTCGCCATTGGTGGCAATCGGTTGCATTTGGTCGCCATCAGATTTCAGAGCAGACTGTTTCATAGTAGCAACCCATGGTTTCACGGCCTCCAAGGTCTCGACGAAATGTCTCGCCATGAGTACGAGCTTTGATATCCACAAGGCGAGACGGCCAAATCCGGTTCGAGTCGGCTGTCCTTGTCGTAGAACTGTGCCATTGGGCAGTGGAGTATATCTCTTGCTTCGATCCTGGGAACGTTCACGGGAAGCGGACCGCATACCAGAAGTAAGGGATATGGGTTGGTAGCTCTCGGATGACCGCTGAAATTGGTCTGCAACGGCTGCATCCGAATCGGCAGAGAGCTCAGTAGTGTCCAGTGACAACTCTCCTTTACCGTAGTCGATGTCGCCGCCCAAAGCTGGCAAAGCTTGAGCAAGAATCTGTATGACAGCTCGCCACTGCCAGGTGGAGACAATGTTACTTGTGACTATTCTTTGGGTGTGCAGCTCATCTTCACTCAGCCCTTCGTGCCCACCCCAGGCATTGTAAAGCTCGACTCGGAGAGTGCGGCCGGCGAGACTAATGAACTTCATGGCTCGTTCCGTCAAATCTGCAACAACGTCGAGATCGGCGTCCGTCTTGCCCGGTTGGGAGGACTTGCTAAGCACCGACCGTGACTGTCTTGTCAGGATCTCCATTTCCCGCGTGAAGAGATAGATGCGAAGATCCAAGGCCGAAACATCATTAGAAAGAATAAGATTGCGGTAATTCTTCCTTTCAACCTCAAATGGAAAGTCATCTTCATCTGCTGCGAGAATGTGCTTCAGGTCAAGAGGCGAGTCGGCATCCATACACGATATGCTCTTCGTCTCCGGGTCCAGAGCTGCTCTTAAGAGATCCTTGGATTCTTTAGAAAAAGTTAGTAATGCTCCGCTTTCGTCATGATCACTTTTCTGGGCCTGTTCCTTGACTAGTGTGTCAAGACCCAGAGAAAGCTCATCATACACGGCAAGGGCATCTTCAAGCAAGCCCAAGTTTTCAAAGCCTTTGGCAAGACCTTCTTTGAGAACGAGGAATGTGCAGAAGTTCCAACCCGGCAGACTTCTCTGGCTATCTCTTTCACGAATGTCCAGTTCGTATTGGGCGACACGAGCATCAAACGAGCGCAGGATACATGTTTTCAGAGAATCCACCAAGTCATGCCACTGCTCCTCCAATTCCGCAGATGTCAAGGCCGTTGATTTATCTCCAGGCTCAAGAAGTCGGACCTGGGCAACGCGGGAGATGGACGACTTGGAACTGCTAAAATCGGCTCTCAGTTTGTCGAAAATAGTGGATGGGCTTTTGCCGGACCACTTTGTTTTGCTATTGACGCTGTCGGTGCTCTCCGAGGCCTCTAGTGAGATATGCTTCGATGATTTTGGCTGGCTGGCTGCAGGAGTGTTTGGAAGAACGACATGGACGATCAGCCATTCGAAGGCATCATGATCCTCCTGGCTCTTGCTCGATGATTTCCCATCACCTGGAGGTGTTTGTGTCTTGACCCACTGGCGGACCTCTTTTCTGACCTTCTCTTTATAGATTTCCTTGTCATCGCACCTTAACAAGTATAGTTTGACGTATGGAGTCTCTCGGAGACCTGGTATCTGGTGCCTCCGAACGTTGGCTTGCGCACCAGCGGATTGGTCTTCGCGCGTCAACGATATATTCAAATTCGAGATCGATCGTAGTGGCCGGTTGGGGGCTTTCCAGTGCAAGTTCCGTAGAGGGCTTCTGGCCGAGAGCCGTGGCTCGAAACGGTCAAAAAGGTTATGCGGATCAACACATTGAACAATCACTTTGGAGTTTGGAGGCGGAAGCGACTCTGGTGTCTCCATGGTAGAGAAAGGGGTGTGGAATGTGAAGAATCGGCAATTTTCGGCGGACTCATGATGGCAGAGCGTCTAGCGAGGCGATGCCGCTCTCCGCTGGGCAGATGAAAGCATACTCTAGTCTACAAGCACGGATGGCCTCAGATAGACGCCGAGTACAGTACGCAAGACCGCCGAGAATTAGGTCCCATGTTGCGCGTCCGTGATAAATGCGCGGCAGTAGATGACAGACCGCTCGCACCAGTTGACCAACCACACAATTTATTGAGATTCAGCCTCGCTCCTTTCTTTGGCAGGACCATTTCCAAAACTCCACTTCATTGTAGGCCACATTATTCTCGGGGTCACCAAGACGCAGAATTACATGTGAGTTGTGAGTCACTGTGCTAGCCTACCGCCTGCCTCGAAAGGTATAAAGAGGCACTGCAGTCTCTACAAGTTCGTCGAAGTGACCTTTATTGTCCCTGCCTTGATCTATTTCCTGGCCTTCCAATCGGTCTACGGTTTCGCCTTCCGCTATTCGGTGGTATTCTTACGAATTACATGGCATCCTCGGCGCTCCCAGAGACTCTCCGCTCCGTCACCTCGACGAAAATCCTGGAGGTGAGGAAACAGCGTGACCAGTACGAGGCATCCAAGAACGATATCATTCGTGAGGCAAAACCGGTCAAGGATGACCTCGAACGCACATGCAAGCTATTGGTTGGCTCCTGCCGTCAAGCCGGCATTACTGTCGTCAATGATGAATCGTGCGATTCTGATTCCGAGACCGATCCAGCTTCTGACCTTGCACGGACCCGTCGAAACCAACAGCTATTCCTCCGACAAGCGGGCAAAGATCCTGCATTCGCTTCTGAAATTGTCCACCGAATCCACGACGAGTTAGTGGAGTACCTCAGTCTCAAAAGTGTACAGCATGAGCACGCACAGTTCTTCTCTGAGCTGGTGACCGAATGGCTCTCGAGCCCCACGGACATCAGCCCGCGCCAATCTGAACACGGTTCGATGGAGGAGTCGTCATTTGAGAGTGTTGGTCGAAAGGAAATGCACGAACAGAGAGCGCAGTGGGAGTCTATCGTCTTCTCCAATTCCGAAAACGATGATACGGAAATTCATCGCTACCTTAACCAATTATTCAAGTCAGAAAAGTCGATCTCCAAAAGTTTCAAGAGCATTGAGACCTCGACGAGGGCTTTTTGCAACACTCTTCGCTGCACAGCGGAACTGTTCAGTGCAAACGACCTCAAAATGACAATTACTAGTCTCTTAAGGACCGATCTCTTATCCGACGAGAAGGCTGCCATTCTGAAATCTTTTCAAAATAATGCGGCGGTACTCCAGGAGGTCGCCGACGTGTTGAACATGAGATTCACCTCTCTTGAGAGCTGGAGGTGGACGACGGTCAGCGGTGCAATCTCTATCGAGCAACGTCGGCAACTAAACGGGAAATATCGAGTATTCATGGACGAGGATGTCCTCGATGCGATTCTGCTTCACGCCATAGGTATGAAGTGGGCGGTCCATTTCAAGTCTTGCCTTACCGGTTTCTTCCTCTCCCCTGCCTGGCGAACTGCGGGGGTTGACATGCCCAAAAATGACCGGGACCGACGGCGGTATTTCCTGGACGAGGAATCGGCTTTACGCAACTGTGTGGAGGAGCGCCGAAAGGATCGGTATGAACAAGACTATTTTATGTCCCAGCTGCCAAGCACGGAGTCTGAAGGAGCACGCGGGTATGACAGTGATGATGATTCGACGCCGGGCAGGAAGAGCCCGGTCGAAACGAAGCAGGGTCTTTTACACTTGCTCATCACCGAAGCTCTTGTTTCACATCATATTCGGCCAGGGGTGCCACATGCCGTAATTCGTTCAGACTTCCAGTGGTTCGGGCCATCCCTCCCTCATGGCGCTATCTTCGCTGTGTTGAAATTCTTTGGTGTCGATTCGGGCTGGCTGGACTTCTTCCAGAAGTTCCTGCAAGCGCCCATGCGATTTGTTCAGGACGGCCCAGACGGCCAATATCATGTTCGTCAACGAGGCGTCCCGATGTCCCATGCGCTCAGCGATGTCTTTGGTGAGGTGATTTTGTTTGTTATGGATTTTGCGGTGAACAAAGCCACCCAAACCTATCTCTACCGTCTTCATGATGATTTCTGGTTCTGGGGAACGCAAGATCTGTGTATTCGTGGGTGGGAAGCAATGAACAAATTCGCCTCGATCATGGGTATCGAGTTCAACAAAGAGAAGACTGGGAGCGTTGTGTTCGACCAGGGCGCCGTTACCCGACCCACAGATCATCAAATTTCCGACTCCAAACATGAGGTCGGGCACGACAGAGGATCACCGCAGAAGGCACACTTGCCAAAGGGTGATGTACGCTGGGGCTTCCTACGCTTGGATGCGAAGAGTGTCCGATTTGTAATAGATCAGGGCATGGTCGACGAGCACATCAAAGAACTTCAGCTGCAGCTGTCCCATTGCACGTCGATATTTTCGTACATTCAGGCATACAATGCGTACCTGGCGCGGTTCTTCAGCAACAACTTCGGGAAACCTTCGTTTGCATTTGGTCGGGGTCATCTGGATGACATGATCGATACATTTGCCAAAATCCAGAAAGCACTCTTCCAGGGTGGTTCAGTAACGGACTATCTCTCGAAATTGGCCCAGGAGCGTTTCGAGGTCAAGGATGTCCCCGATGGAGTCTGGTATTGGCCTGTTCAGATGGGAGGTCTCGAGCTGCGCAATCCACTTGTGCCGCTCTACTGCATGCGAGAGACGATGCTTCAAACTCCGCAGAAGATTCTGTCGAAATGCCTCGACCTCGAGGAGAAGTCATATCTCGCTGCCAAATCCCAGTTCGATTCAGAAATGAAAAATTACGGAAGAAAGAGGTCATACCCGTCGGGACTGCCCACTTTTGGCGACAAATTCATGTCGAAGGAGGAATACCTAAGATACCGCGAGGAGCGGTCGATCAATCTTTCTAATGCCTATTGCCACCTACTCGACATTCCCGCCGAGTTTCATGTCCATGCGACTAATGAGATCACCGCATGGCTGGACAAGCTACCCTCGGCACCCCGTGGGCAGAAATTGTCGTCCTTTGGTATTCTCAAATCGTTTGACTCGATGAATCCGTATTGGAAATGGATGCTAGCAGTCTACGGTTCTCAGATTGTCGAAAAGTATGGAAGCGTCCAGATCGTGGACGCGGCACAGGTTCCATTGGGGGTTGTTAGTGTCATGAAGGGAGGTAAAGTCCGATGGCAGGGTTGAGTGCAGAGAACTCAGATTTAGCCTAGTAGATTATGCAACCTAACCAAATCGATAATCCTGTATACCCAGCAGTCGAAAATACAGCTAAGCGGTGCTGTAGCAGTCTAGTTTCGAGAGAGGAACAGGGAGTTATACAGAGGGCTTATGTAAAGGGACATAAAAAACTCTGCAGTTGAGAGTTATCGCTCGAGATTCTGAGAGACTAAATCCATCCCTTCACATATGTATCTGTGAAAAATGTACATCGGTTCTAGTGATTGTGCGATCTCAATTCGATAGATGTCGAATTTGTTATCGTCGCCTCCAATCAGTCTCAGTGCCTGTAGTCTCTTAGCAGCAACGAACTGGGGAGATTGACAAACACTTTTGGCATCAGAGCTTCAGCAGAGGCTTCCAACTGCGCTGGGACTTCGCACCCTTGCAATGACTTTGAACCAGTCGCAAGCATCAATCTTGAACTCAATAATTAGGGCTCTATCACAATTCTTGGATCCTAACACCTTTTACCAAGACCAACAACCGTCTCATCTGCATGACCAGCCACAACATGTTCATCGCAAAGGTGTCCACCCTTTATCTCTGTCGAACCAGGAGAAGGCTCGCCCAGTCTTCTTGACCCTGCACATGCTATTCCCTCATGAACTACTTCCCGCGCTTGATCTCCTGGATCGGGGCCTGGTAACCAACGTCATGGTGAAGCACTCAGCCACGAGGCAAAACGATCAAGAGGGCATGCCGGGATTGAGAACTTCTGCAGGCCAAGATTGCCCAGTGCTGGAACACGCAGAAGTTCAACACCTAGAACAATCGGGCGGTAATAGCTGTGAAGTCTTCTACATCCAGTCTTCGTCCGCCGTGGACAAACAACTGTCGAGGTCGCGAATCTATCCTCGCGGTGGACACACTAGCATGGTTATCCCGTTCTACGAAGTCCGCCTGGATAGTTGGAACTGCACTTGTCCAGCGTTTAGCATTAGTATGTTCCAGAGCTTGAATCTTCAACATAACCGAGATCCTGGAGCATTGGAAAGTGACCTTCATATCGGCCGGACTAGCAAATCCACAGGGAAGATCAAGGGTGAATTGGAATTCGGTGGTATTGCCGTCACCAAATTCGCAAAAGTGCCGAGCTGCAAACATCTTGTGGCCGCTTTCCTTGCGAAGGCTGCTCCAGCCCTGTTCACAGACAGTGTGCAAAAGAGCACTGTCTCGAGGGAAGAGGCGGTTGCATGGGGAGCCGGGTGGGGGGAGCACAGAGGGACTTGAAACTATGGGTGGATGGACAGCGTGTTGTTGTCCTGCTACAATAAGTAAGATGGGAAGATATTGCACGTTCAGAGAAGCATGACTCCAGTCGAGTTTCCAGAACATATCTCACAAACCGAGTGAAGCCGACTCTGCTGTGTTTGTCGCTGCTCTCAGGGAAGCTGATCGTGCGTGCCTGGCCCGGGAATACCATGGCTGCAACGATGACCGTGGCCACTTCGATCTCCAGCACACTGATTGGATGTCTTCATGATAATATACACTGCCGATGCTCAGCATTGAAAGAATGCTCTAGAGCGGAGCTTGTCAATCAGTACGCTCTGCTCGATGCCACAAAATCATAGATATCTCGATGTCTAGCTCTTCTTTTTGCCTTTGCCTTTGCCCTTTCCGTTGCCACTCTCTTCGGCCTCCTTCTTGTCTCCGTTTACCGCCCCATTAGCGCTTGGCTTTTTCTCGTCCTTCTCCTTCTCCCCCTCCTTCTTTTCAGCCTCATCCTTCTTTGCATCCTTTTCTTCTTGCTGTTGTCGATTCTGGTTCTTGTTGTCGATAAGGTCATGAAATGCGGTGATTGCACGAACCAGCGAGCTAAGGTAGATGGTCATGAGCTGATCATTGGTCTTGATGCTCATGGCGCGAGCTAGCTCGCTATTCTCGATTTGGTTCTTGCCATTCGGTCTGGACGCCGGAGGTGTGGTCAGGTTAGGGAGAAGATTGAAAATATCTTGCAAATTGCCGAGGATGGCATGGTTGATGGGGAGTTCGCCATCAAGGACTTTTTGAAGATAAGCGCTGATGTCCCGTAGCCGTAGATGGAGACCCTGAAGAGACTGTAGCTGTTGAGTGATTCGGGAGGAAAGGGTGCCGACCGCAACATCGCGGATGTCTCTGAGCAGATGTTCCACACCAATCTCTTCCGCCTCTTCTGCCTCAATGATCGAGGGGGTATGCACAAATGTTTTGGTCGTGGTTGTGCCATCGTCCTTAATCTCTTCGATCGCGAAATAGGCGTCTGTGGGTACGCCAACTTCCTTCGGTTGAACATCGATGATAACAAGGAGGGGATTTGGTGTGTATTTCTTGAATAGCTCGTTGATCTGGAGATCAGATGCCCGCAGCTTCGGACCCGAATGATACCATCCGATCAATTTCTCTCGCGCATTCACCTTCTTGAACATCTCCCGCATTGACTCGACATAGTTATGATCCAGAAACCAAACGGAAGGGTCTTTCTCGTCTTCCTCAAAGGGCACTATCATCTGTCAGAGAAAATTACATTCGAGAATGCTTGCTAACATACCTGCGAAACTGTTTGACACTCGGACATTCTTGCCGTCGTTTTGACCAAGCAGAACGCCCACTACTCGTTTACGAGTCCCTTTGGCTGAGCGGCCGTAGTGATCTGCAGCTGATAGGAGAACTAGCGGTGCGACAGAGACTTGTCTGCTCACAAGGGATAGCGTCTCTGCCGTTGTTGCAGGCATGATGGAGAGCTGGGAGTGGCGAAGACGGAGGAAGTGAGGAGGAAATAAAGACGAGGGTTGCCGGATCACTGTCCCTCGAGGGTCGAGTCGTTGCGGAACGGGATGGGAGAGGAAGAGAGAGGCAGCGACGACTGGATTCTTCAATTTGAAGGCAGACAACCAGACGCGACCAACCTCGCTCGCTGACCAAACCAGGTCGCACCTTGTCGTTTTGCTTGAACGTAATTTATCCAGCTTGGGCAACTGTGCCGACCGGTACCCGCGTCCGCCTCCATGTTGCAGCCAGCCAATCACACTCATAGCGATACTACATCTACTGTATGACTCCTGGTTCTGCTGGACTTGTCGAAACGTCTTGGCCAAAGCTGCACTGAGGAGCAGTAATTGCGAAGGAAATCAATATTGTACCTTCTCCCAGAATCCCACATGGCCGGAAGAGGCAATTGAGGGGCCTTCTTAATTAACGAGTGAGAAATCAAATCCTAAGATGCTACCTTCAATTACCTTGTCCACGTCCAGAGGATTGATAACATATTGAGCATATTTAGACTAGCCGAACAGCTGAGCAGGAAACAACTATTTATCGTCGAGGCTTTTCCTTGTCTCCGCCCAAATCTCGTTTATCAATGCCGCTTTCTCCTCCGATCTCACCTTGATGTCACACTCAAATGGTTGTGGGATTGTCATCCATCCAGGAACCATTGCAGTGTTCGGCTCAATCACACTCCCATCTTTGGAAATCTTCTTTGAGATATTGAACGCCCATAAGACACGAGCAATATTCAAAAACAGCGACTTTTCTGCGACATGCACACCTGGACATACTCGCCTTCCAGCTCCGTATGAGAAGTGGTCGCGCTGGTTGGGATCTGCAATGTTGATGTAGGAAGCGGCCGGGAGATCGTAGCCGAGGAAACGCTCTGGCATAAACTCGTCGGGTCTGTCCCAATGGGATGAGTCATAATTTATTGCCCTGTGTGTTTGTCAGGAGGACCTCGAGATGCCGGCCGTTACAGACACTTACCACCAGTTCAATACAACCACTGTCTCCTTGGGTATGAAGTAACCGTTGTACCAGTCATCCTCAGTCGTGTAGTGCTGCATGCCAAACTTGTTTGGTGGGCGAGTGCGAAGCAATTCCTTGATCATCGCTCTGAGGTAAGGCAGACTTGCCTCATCTTCCCATGTAGGCAGCCTGTCTGCTCCGACTACTCGGTCGACCTCTTCCTGAGCCTTTTTCATGATATGAGGATTGAGAGTCATCGCCAGGATCCAAGAGTTCAAGAAGGCCGATGTTGTTTCAGAACCGGCTTCGACCAAGCCGCCGGTTTGATAGGCGGCTTGAAGTTGGTCCAACCCCAGTTTCTCTGGGTTGCTCAAGTAGAAGTCCTTCGCAAAGCATGGATTCGCTTTACCTTCGTCAACCTCTTTCTTCAAATCTCCCCAAAGCTTGAGATAGACGACAGAGTCATGGGCAAAACATTTCTCGCCAAATTTCCTCCAGTTACCAAACATCCATTGAGGAAAGTATCGCAGCGAGGGCCAGGTGTCGACGAGGAAAGCACCCGGTGCAGAAAATTGCTGCAGGTTATTGACCACGCTATAAATCTTCTTTACCAAAGGATTGTCCCAATCTGCCATCCGGTGCCCATATGCCACAGTCAGAATCACGCTCGATGAATATCGCCGATTGTGGTCATAGAAGTGTTCCGGGTCGTGGAGCAAATCGTACATCAACTGCTTGGATTCGAGATCTTGGATGGGTTGATAGCTGGTTGAAACAGTTATGTTGAGGAGTTGATGCGCAATCTTCCGCACCACGCGGTACTTAGGCCCGTATGGCATGAACAATTGCCGTCGACCAGCGGAAGCGACATCGCTAGCAAGCGGCGCAGGTGGTCTTGAGGAATATATGCCAGACTTCTTGTCCATCAATTCTTTCACCGCGGTGGGGGATGACAAGTAGATGTAATCAGCTCCTCCCATCTTGGTGTAAAATATCTCACCATACTCTTTCGCCCACTTTTGCGCCTGGAACCGAAACGTTTCAGCCCTTGACATCTCGAAGAAGTTCCCCAAGAAGGGCAAACCACGAGGACCAGGCGGAAGGTGTCTGCGTCGGGAATCTTTCAGCGTGCTCGGGGTGACCCATAGGTAGAAGCCGATGATGAAGAGCAAGGGAAATGCGATACAGCTGGCCAGTCCGATTTTGACGAGCGAGACGCTCTCGAGCCGTACTGAGCTGAGAATTTGGCTGCTGGCCATGATGACTTGTCTATTTACCAAACTCACGTTTCAAATTGTCAAAGCGTGCATTGCTCCTGGGACAATCGAGAAGCCAATATATTTCCCAGGAGAGCTACTCGAGAACAAGAGAGTTGGAGGGTTTTCAGGTTCAAGAACCCAGACCCCATGGCTCTAACTCAGTGCAACCCCTCATTGGTGCAATGTGCTCGATGCAATGGCAGTTGGATCTGGATGGCATCGTGGGACTAGTAGGATTTCCCCATGCAGTGTGGTGGGGCTCCTCCACATTCTCAGCATAAACAATTATTAGGTGGAGAATAAGTCAAGGTCATTGGGGACGCACAAGTTGGGGAAGAGGACGGAATCCAGCAATGTCTGGTGCCGGGTGACAGGATTGTCCTGAACGCAGATTTTGGGGATAGCATATGCATCACATTCAGAGAACTCCAGACATCATGCTAAAGGTACATGGCAATGATGTTGCACTCATCACCTTGCTTGAAAAGGTTTCCAGTTCCTACAATGATCAGAATTGGACATGACGAAAGATAGGCAAAAACTATGCTAGCATACATGTGTGCATTATCAGAATTCCCCCATTATTTACTTCACCGCTGCTGCTGCGTGCAAATGCCATTCGACCCCGCTTTGGCCATCTAATGAAGTCGACGGTGGGAGTATCGCTTGCGGTACTTGTTTATGTCGATCTTCGCATCCGGACGGAAGATCTCAATATCCAACTCATCCGAGTATCCACGGGCTTTGAGACCGGACTGACCAGACAACTTAGCACCTTGAGGACTGGCCGCATCGTAGGCAGACAGGGCGGAGCACTCATCCTCGAATGATGCGTCAACATATGACGTTGCCGGGATGTCATCAGGTCGTTCAACGAACTGAAGAGCGAGACCACCATCCACATGCCATGAGATGTGACAATGCATGAGCCAGGCGCCAGGGTTGTCAGTCTCAAAACCAATGACAGTATAACCTGCAGGGAAGCCAGGACCAGGAGACCCTTGCAACATGACTGTGTCACGACGCGTGGGGTTATCAAAGTTGAGAGAGCTGACCAGGTCAGAAGTAAAAGTGCCGGTGCCGGTGCCTAGAACGGAGACGTCGTGACCGTGAACGTGCATAGGGTGAGACGCAAAGAACTGGTTCTGGATGACAAAGTAGACCCACTGGTTGGCTTGGTTGAGAACAACAGGGTTGCTGATCAGACTGCTGTTTGAACCTTGAGCTAGAGTCTTGAGAGTAGGTTGGCTGTAGTTGACATTGATGACAGCGTTGTTGATGTACCATTGGAAGACGGTTCCGTCGTCGTTGGTAGCAACCGAGGTAACGGACCCAGCAGGAATGGTGGAAGCGGAGCCCTGGAATGCAGTTACAGTGCCGGCTGGTTTTTCGAGCCAAGGTACCAACGAAGCAAGAGGCTCATCTTGACAGATGTTGGCTGTGACATTGGTGATGGAGGTCGAAATGACTGGAGTGACAGGGGTAGCATTTTCGTAGTTAATGATGGCGTTAGCTGTTCCCAAACCAGAGTTGGCACCACCTGAAGGACATCCGGTTTGAATGACGGCGCGGACATAGTAACTGCTTGGTGCTTGGTCCATTTGAACGATGACATCGTATCGCTGACCGGTTGCAATGTTGAGGGTGGTGGTCGTGTAGGGCACAATGGGTACGAAATCAGCGGCAATGACAGTCATTGTGTGATTATCAAAACCAACGATGTAGCTGTTTTGAGCGGAGCTGTGAAGATGTTAGCCGAAGGGCCTGCAGTGGCAAGAGAAGTAAACCCAACCTGTTGATGATACGGAACAAATGCTTCTTGCAAGGCTTGACACCCCACGAGAAAGGAGTACCACCAGGACCAGTTCCATCAGGGTTCTTGTTCATACCGTTGAACAGGGTGTTGAACGAGCCACCAGGTCCGACGTGTGCAATACGAGATGCCATAGCAGCAGCGGTAATCGGGAAACTACTCAAAGTTAGTCCACTCAGCTGGCTTATTGTTGGTAAATCACTCACGTGTCATCAATCATAACTGTGCCCATGTCATAGTCGTAGTCTGCAGTCGCAGGGCCATGGATAACGATAGGTCCACGGATACCATCACCATATTGGGCAAAAGTATGGCTGTGGTACCAGGAAGTTCCGTAGGAGCTTGCGTGCCATTTGTAGGTGCGGCTGCCACCGTTTCCGGCGATACCGCACTCCGTAACACCCGGAACACCATCTTGATCATTGGTGTTAAGTTGGCGAATACCATGCCAGTGAATTGTCGTGCTGTTGTCTTGCAGCTGGTTGATGACTTCGATCTCGACCATGTCACCCCAGTTAGCCTCAATCACAGGCCCTGGGACTTGGCCATTAATAGCGAGAGCGAGCTTGGGGCCAGTTCCATCAAACACCAATGTGGTGTTGGTGATTGTCAAGGTGTATTTGCGCGTAACACCAGTAGTGTAGTCGCTGTAGTAGTCACTGTTGATATCCTTGTTGTCGCACCAAACAGATCGATCAGCGGCCGAGTTGCAGTAATCATCCGTAGCATTTTGAGGAGGCGTATAAGTTGGGCACGCGCCAGAGCTTGTGGTTTGCGAAGCCGATGTGGTTGGGCTGGATGACGAGGTTGGGACGTAACCACCGCTGGTGGTCGGACTGGTGTAGCTGTAGCTGCTGCTAGGACCGGATCCCGACCCAGAAGTACCAGTTCCACCCGTAGGACCCGTACCTTCCGCTGACGTGGATGGGGTAGAACCATGGCCTCCATGGCCTCCGTTTCCCCAGCCATTGTCCGGACGGGCGCCGGTCGCAGTGGCCGTGTTCCAGTTGTTTCCAATACCATATTTCGATTTCTGTGCATCCCATAAGGAGGCCCATACGTCCTCGGCGCCGTTGTCTCCATGACCAGGGTGCCAGCCATTACCCGCGCCCACATCCGTGGGGCCCGAAGCGTCGCATGTGAGGGCTTGCGTTACCGGGCAGATCGTGTGAGTTCGTGTAGAGGTGGCCGTGACGGTGACATCGGACTCCCAGCTGGAAGCACTTGCGAGACCAGCCGCGGCAGCGGTGAAGAAAAGAGGAAAAGAACGCATAATTGAACGAACGGACGCAGGCAGACTTGCCCGCACAAAGGAGTGACTTGAAGGAATATGATGCGTACGAGGTGGAAAGAGAAAAAGAGAAATGAAGAGAGGCGCGGGTAGGGGTTGTATATTACTTTGCCTTTTCCTGTTGGGGGCTTCATCTTCCCAAAAGTTGGCCTGCCTGATCGGCCTGCCGCGAAGCCCTGGGATGTGGGCTCCGGCCGCTAGGATGATTGCCTCCTATGCCATCGGCCATCCTGAGCTGGGGCAGAACTGTCTCAGTCTAGCATAGAGGAGACCATGCTGGCCTTCTGTTGGCGCAAAAAGCCGTCGCAAGCGATGAGGATCTTCTGGCCACCTTGTAACGATGGGCCTTGAAGCGAGATGCCAATCTTTGGATACGGGCTCAAAGTATCAGCCACATCACGCCAACCGATTAGGATCGCGAACGTTGTAAGCGTTCTACGCCGTTGCGGGCAAAACGCTACGCTTGTGAAAGACGGTGGATGATGGTGGTCGAGAAAAGTATGGTGTCAGGGGTAGCTTTGTGACGGAAACGGAAAGGCGCTGTTATGGGTGGGTTGCGCGAGACTCCAGAATTCGCCAGTGCTTGCGCCGGTGGAAATTGCAAGCTGTGTTTAATTTTTGAGCTTGGTGCCAGGTACGCCGCCCACCAATTGGTTTCAAGGCTCCATTTCTCGGGGGTGGAGTTGCTGGAGTTTTTGAAAAGACAAAAGCCCGGATGCGAAACAGGGGACGTCGAGGGAACGCTGAGGTCAGGATTCAGGAGGATCGAGGGGGAAGAAATTGAGAGTAAGACTGCTTTTTGAAGCCGAGGTGACGGTGGTCGGATAGGTGGCCTGAATGTCGAGTAAACGTTGTACGCGACGCACGAGTACGGAGCCCTAACACGTGCTTCAACGTCGAAGTGATACGTGCTATTGTGTAGATCCTCTCAGCCGTTGGGTTGTGTAGCTTTTACCACCACGAGCAGTGCCGGTCTCTAATCAGCCAAAGACGTGTGTGCCATGCACATCGAAGCCACTGAGCTAACAATCTATACATCAGGCTACGCCTCGTATACGGGTAGGAAAAGCATAGCGTGAAGCGCCTATCCACTGCAGACCTGAGTGCTGACTACTCCTAATTACATATATGCGGCTGGGTGTGCGGGAATCCTCCCATCCTCATCTTCCACCAATTTCTACTGTACCATGCTGCGCGTGTCAGGACACGAGTCAACCCACGGTTCTCCGGACAGAGTGTTCGTATTCGTTACTCATCGCTACGTGGGCCGATTTGGCGCCTGAAAACAAGATGCAGCTTGTTTATTTGATTGATTTGGCTTTCGGCAAAATGCAGCCCTTCAGCCCTCGTTCAGCCCCAAAGTCATGGGCCTCCAATCCACGTCCAATTTACGAGTCTCCCTCAGGCGACACCCCTGTTCTCCAGTTACCTAAGAATAACAAACAAGACCCCACTGGCAGTCCATCTGACAACACTGATCTTTCTCCATTTTCGACGCCTGTTAAATTAATCCGAGATGATGCTTCAATAGGAAGGTAAAACATGTCAAGCATCCTAAGCGACAAAGTCCAGAAGCAGTGCGCACACTGCCATTGTTCATTACGATCGGTGTTAATATTCAAGCTGATTTGATTGGCAACCCGATTATCACCTCAGCTTGCCCTCAGTCCGAATCCGCAGAGAGGGGGCCTTTGTAGTCGATTACTTTGGAGGAGAGAAGCTCAGCCGAATCACATTCCAAGGACGTCATTTTCTCCACTGCCAATCTCTCATCTATGTCGCTCATTTTCCTTCCCCATCCCGCCTTAACGTAGCTTTGTCTCGTTCCCGCATAGGCTGGGAGGAACACGGCAAAAGGAAACTGGTGGGCAGGCAGTCTCAAAGGATGTTTTTCTGTTTCCTTATTTTGATGGATGATACTTCGTTCCGCACGGAGTATTTATCCGGACCAGCCTGGTCGCAAGGGTAAACGCAAGATACACGAATCACGATATGCCTGTCATGGACAACGATATGGACGGAATTTTTGACATCTTCCCACACCTGTCAGTTTGGACATCTATTCAACTTCCTGGGCCTGTATAATGAAAGTGATGACAGCCGATGAATGAGCATCACGCGATAATTCGAGGACGGATACTTCGTGCTGCAGATGAGTTCTGATCCGACATTCTTTCTAAGATCTAGGCATGCTCATCCTCTGCAAGATTCCGGTCGGGAGTGTTTGGTGGAATCTACTCAATTGAATTCTCCAGAAACACGCATGTCTTTCACGACCGGCTAACCCTGGTGGAGCACAGCTATGTGGGAAGGAAACTGTACTGTCATAAACCGCAAGTCAAAATGCCCCTGGCGTGAATATTCAATTACTGTCGTTTGGAGATTTGCCAGCATATATTCTCACCTGATCCGAGGCGCGCCTGACGCTGCTTTGGGTTCTGTGCTCAACTGTAGGTATAAGCCCTCGTTACATGTCAGGGGAATTCTCGAAGATCACTGCGCCAACTCGAAAGTTGAGGCGACGAGGTTCAAGACGACGATAGTCGCAAGCGATGATCGGCTAAGGCTTGAGCTGGCATGCCAAATACCGAGAAAGACTGCTATTTTTTTTCTCATCTTTTTCGGAAGAATATGATATACCAGCACATAGGATCTCGTCCACTCAAAACCACGCTTTACGATATGCGAGAGGGTGGAGACGCCGCCGTGCCTGCCACCGATGGGAGTGGGAATCAGCATTTGCTTTCAATTCTGATGCTAGTATGCTGCGCGATTCCTCTGGGGGGCGACGTGCACAAGTTGAGATCATCTCCAAAGACGACCCGCAGACGCTGTGCGTAGTTCATCTTGCGGAACGATACAAACACCTCCTTGTGACCGTTTTCAATTTATCCAGCGTATCCATCTGAAAGAGCGCGATAATGCATGACGCAAATTCGATTCTTCAGCAGTTGTCTCACGGCACGACACACAGCGAGAGCAGGACAGCAAGGCAAGGACCACGTGCTAAATCTCGGTTTGCAGTTTTCGGACCTGCTCACGATATTGGCTTGGTGACTCTATCTCATGAACATCAGCCCAGCGCGGAAAGCCCTGTTCCTAGTGCTCACGCTCAAACTTTGCCCGCTTTACTGCGGCAATTAACGCACCTTATCTTGACTTTGAACGAAAGTTCTTTGTGTATTCCGGGTTGCACAGCTCGAGGAAACTGGTGTCGTACCTCCAGAAAATGTGAAGCAGCTGCTGATGGAAGTTTCTGCTCTCAAATTATGCTAGTCCTTGTCATATCTTCAAACTGATACACGGGAATATTGCTCATGCTGTCATCGAGACGGCAAGGGGTGCTGGGCAAGGTTGTTAGTCAGAGGAGCTCACCCAAATCCCAGGAACAAACAGTAGGGAAGGCGAAATGTCTACCGGCTTTTCTTCGAAAGTCAAGGCTAGGAAGGATTCGAGCTGTCATGGCATGCGAGGAAAAAGGGGGCGGATCTGTGTAAGCGGGATAGTCCCTCCAGGAATCTAAGACGCCGTTTTAAAGCATTCGCGAAACTCTTGTCGCATACCCGATGCAACGGCGGATGCCATGTTCATGGAAAAATTATTCAAGGCCAAAAAATATGAGCCGTCGCTGTCCCCGAGGATCTTGTAGTATAATTGCATTGAATGTGACATGAGGCAGCCTTTACGACAATGAAGCCTCCAAGAAAATCTCCCCTCTCAGTCTTGCTTCATTGTACTCTGGATACAACCCAAGCGGGATCAGGAAGCTCTAGCCGAAGATGCCCTTCTTGTAGCTTTTCTCCCTGCAAATGACTGAACCGTCATCCTTCGCAATAACATCCTTGAAATGCCGTACATTCAGATCAATATCGGCTTGTTCCCTTGACCCCGGCCGGTTATTGCTTCCCTGATTGTATACCGGAGCCGATTCGGTGAGAGAGTCGAGCTGAAAATCCAACTCTATGTCAACGATGAATACTGAACCCCGGGCCACGCCCTTATCTGGACTGGAGCATTCCGACACCTTCGAGATTCGTTTGGATACAGATCCCAGGTCGTCTGAGTCAAGGTCGGCTATGCGGACTTCACACCCCTGCGACGGGTGCGCTCTGAGGCGGGTACGATGTTCTGGAGGATCGCCTTGTTTTGAGTGCAAGCATCGATCTGTGCCATGCACGTTCCTCCGGGTACGCCGGAAAAGAGGCCCAAAAGGCCCCAGACCCGGTACCAACGTGAAGATCGAGGAATTTCAAAGGGTGCTGAGAGCAAGCAGCGTTCAGCAATCACTTCCAACCCCACCCGGAGAATTGGCGCCGGAGTCCGCAGTCGAACATCGTCTTCCACCAACACAAAATCCCGGCATACATATGCATGTATATGAGCGCTTTCTAGAAGTTTTCCGTTTGCGCTTATACTCAGTATGGCCAATTGTTTCACCTGAAGAACTTGTCAATGCCCTAAGGAACAACCCAGAAGACTATGAGTCCTACTCGCTAGCTGCCTCGCTTTCCGCTGCTGTCATTGCCCAGTTGCGGTTGCCTGAGCATGTTTTATCACCCACTTGCTCTCCGTCTGAGTTGGTGGCAGAAGCTCAGAGGCTCAGACAGCTCTTCGAGTATCAAGAACAGTACTCAATGCCATCCCTCCTGACTTCGTTCTTCCTTCATATTTACTTTGCAAACACTGACAAACTCCGCACCGCTGGATTCTATCTGCGAGAAACCCTTACCTACGCTCACGGTCTCAAGTTACATCAGCTTAGTAGCTATGATGGCATAGGCCCAAGGGAACGTCAGTTGAGATTGCGAGTATACTGGATCTTATTCATCTCCGAAAGGTTCGTGTGACGTCCTTCACAAGCTTCAATGCTTATCAAGAATGCAGAACATATTGTGTCCAGAATGGGCTGCCAACGACACTGAAGCCGATCAACGAGTTTCCGAATACAGATCCTATACAAGGACTTGACGGCACTCCGTTACCAGCATTCATTGCTTTAGTTCGATTGTTCACCTTTCTTGATGGCGACATCCTCGAGCCCACTCCCTCATCAGCACCACTTGCAATCAAGGGTAATCTGAAAGACAAAGTATCAATACTGCAGCATGATCTCAGCGTTCATCCACTCAGCGAAGACCTAAATGAGTCGCAGAGGGTGGATATACTCGCCACCCGAAATTGGATCCGGATCCTGCTGTGGCAGTACACTATCGCTCACTTTGTGGTTTCGTGTCACGCTCGGGACCAGGCTTTCTCAGCACTACTCCCAACAACGATTGCACGCGACATGCTCGCTATGCTTGAAAGTGTGTCCTGGAAATCTATCCAACCTCACGGATATGGCATGGTTAGTGATATGAAAAAGTTGTACTGTTCGAAATGTAACGTTTTTGCAGGAACTCAAGGTATTCCGTATAGCGGACTCACTGTTGGACGTTCTCCTTTGCGCACCCTCCTCAACTGGGACGCGGGCACTGCTGATGGATTCAAGGCAGGCACTGCATCTCCTCGAAAAAGTTCTCATTGATGTTGGGGGGACTGACTCGCAGTTCCTGGCTGTACTGCGGAAAAGAATGGTTGAGTCACAACTGCCTATTCCAAACACTCTACAAAATGATCTGCAGACTTCACAGTATCCCGAAGTTGATAAGAGGGAAGAAGAGCGCTACGAATGATTCAGTTCTTGCTAGTAACCAATAGTTCTTTACTTGAGATGGTAGCTATCACAAGTTGCGATCAAGATGCCGAAAACATGACTTCACTCTAACCAAATGTAAGGTAGAAGACTGACTTTATACTGAGTCTCACCTAGAAGGGCGTACTTCAGTCGGCTGCTGCTCTGAGTCGATCACTCAAAGTGTTCTCCGTGAGGACGAATTAGCGCAAGACCGACCCCACGAATGATCTTCCAAGTGCTGACCAGTTATCGCCAGGTGACTAGGTGTCCGAACTGATCAAGTTACGCATGGCGGGATTGGAGATAGGACTCTTCATCATAATAAGATCTTGTATTCAGCTGTAGGTACCAATGACGCTTGGTTGGGATGTTGTTAGACTCTGCCCAGCGGCGAGGTCCTTTTCGGATCGATTCTGTTGGTCTACGTCTCGGTGGATGATGGCAAATCGTGGATGGCCGTCACTGAGAGCTGTGTAGCTTCGCATGCTCAAGTTGAGAAGAGACCAGATTTGACTGAGGTTCCATGGGGATATCCATTGTGTTCGCATCCTTTCCAGTCATGATATATAGAACTCCAATTGACCAAGGTCTTAATTATTAAGAATAATTATTGCAATCATATTCCACCTATTACTCACATCGGTTGAACTAGATTACGGTTAACGACTTGAGCATTTCAAGACGGCTTGTCAAGTCTAGTTTCTACTTCAATGGCGTAAATTCGATTGCAGTAACAACATCGCACCACTGTCAATGTGTTTCCTGATTTGTATATAGACTATGAGTGATGGGGAACAGAAAAGGTTTGATGGAAAATTACCCATATCTTTATTGTGAAAATAATGTCATTCAAACAACCTCTGACGTATGGTGCTGGGAACCCAGAGTGTTGATTCGGCAGCTGCGACCGGGGTCGAGCGTAAAATGACGTCGACAACCTCATTTTATGTAACACTCAACCTGCTGCCAACTTTTATTCCGATGTTGTTCATAAACATTTCAGCTCTTAAGTGCCCTTACTAGTCGATGGTCGAGATATGTCTTAAGCGTCGGACTGAACTGACCGGCACACTTGCAACCCCAAGGGCTGGTGCGCCCACTATTGACGATGGATGTAATGAAGTCGATGATTGGTGGTGGGAAGAGTGAGAGCGCCAGCGATGATGTTCCCTTCAACGAAGGCGGCGACAAAATTCCCAGCAGAGAGGAAATGGTAAAAACCATTGAAAGCCTTCAAAAGGCCCAAAAAGCCCAATCTACGGCCAACGACTTGAAATCTAGGGCAATGGCACTTACCGACCCCAAACAACGCGAGAAATTACTCAAGGAAGCGTTTGACAAAGAAGTAGAAGCTCACGGCCATAGCAAGATGGCGAGGCGGCTGCAAAGTGGCACCTGGCAGGGCTTTGGTTTTGGAGGTGGGATTGGTGCCGCTACTGGGCTGGGTCTTGGTGCTGGAGTGGGTACGGTATTGGGTGCTATCGCAGCAGTTCCGACCACAGGACTGGGTATGTTAATTGGAAGCGGTGTTGGCGCTATCCATGGACCATGGGTAAAACTGGGCGGGAAGGAGGAAAAGTTTGAGGACGCTGATCCTGAGAAAGTCGTCGAGGCATTGGAGCAGGAGGTCAGCCAGCAAAACAACTCAGAGGCCGAACAGGCAGCAACCGCAGCGGCGTCGAAGACAGAGAAGTCGGGGGATAAGGGCAATCCTGAGGAAACGCAGCGAAGAAAGCCGCCGAAGTTGGAAATTAGGTCTAAGCAAGTCACAGATTCCGACCAGCAACCCAAGACAGACATAAACCCGAGCAAAAGTATCAAGGAGGAGTCAAAACCACGGCGGAAACCGAAGAAGTTAGAGATACGGTCTACGAAGACTAGTACACCTACAGTATCTTAATTGCAGAACACCGCTGCGGGCAGATTTTAGCGATAAATGTCAGGCAGAGTATCCTCAAGATGGTTTGGGTCAAACTACGACGATCTGCTGCGACAAAAGTCCATGAATGGACTGGTTGAGGCGGGAATGTGAACTATACAACTTGCGAGTGTGCGAAGCGGTGCATATGACGGACTGGATGATGGGACAGATAGAACAAGAGTGCTGTGTTCTGAACCAGTGGGGCAAGCGACCTCCCGCACTTTCCATCAACCACAGTACCTCACCGCTATTTCCACAGATTCTATATTGCAAGCCTGAACTGCACAATAGCATCAGCTCTCTTCCAGTACACTAACACTTTGCTCAGGATCTTATCGTTGTAGCTGTCACCGTTCCTGCTTCCTAGTATATTGGGACTAGGCTTGACAGTTCACTGTTGACGTCTACATCTTAAATGTCGCCACCGACATCCCCAGACGGGCCGCTCCAGCTAGGCATTTCGCACGTGCATCGGTTGCTTAAATTTCTACGACCCCGCGCGCATTTAGGATTTCTACTCTAACGCGATCTCGTGAAAAATGGCGTTCTGAAACCTGTAACGAAGCCAGATACCGGGGTGTGTAAAAGACAGAACCGTAAGAGCAACGGTTTGTAGTTTGTGAAGGGGAGAGACTCACGTCCGGTGAATATGGTCAGAAGAGAGGAGGTGGGTTTGTGGCTCGACGTGAGCAAGGGCTTTTGAATGCAAAGGTTAGGGCTCGTGCAGGGGAGTAGCAGCTGGAAGAGGTTCAGACTGTTGAGTAACAAGCAATTTGTAGAGGTTGGTTGCGAAGAAGGAAAAAACCCCCCTCAAAAGGTCGAGGGCTGAGGTGGAGGTAGATTCGATTCAATTCGATTCGAGAGTGTTTTGTAGACAGATACGAGGCACGGAGCACTCAGGTGGCACTCTTTTCTGATGTTGGAGTCGGTGACTTTTCTACAGTGGGGACGTAATATTACTTAACTAGCAAATTCTACCTCTCTGCGATCTCAATGGGCGTCTGAACTCGCCGCACCAGCCAGTCAGTCTCTCGACACTATTTATGGTGAACTCCTCGCCGCTTTGTCGAAAGGCGTCAGGCTATCAGCCACCAAGATATCCGTCTACTGTGAGCCTTGGACTCCCAGAATTACTAGATATTGATCGCTTGGGGTTTCACGTTAGCACTCTCAGCTATAGTAGCTGAGCTGTCAGTTCTATAATAAGCCACCGCTTACTAGGTTAGAGATAGTTGCATAATATGCCTCCCCTTGATATATATAATATATATCTCTTTATATAGCATTAACACTTGACCTTCAAGAGCTAGTATATGTAGTTATGCCGGACGCAAGAAACAGATATATCGATCTTTGGTTCATGCTTCCCGTCATAATTAGGGCGAGAATGTAAAGGTGCTGGCCTACATCAGCTATCAGAGGTTCAAGATATCAAACGAATGATCATCTGGCAAGGCCAAGAACTCCTCCAACGTCGCATTGATGTCCATCGGCCAGTCAAAGCCGGCAAATGGCATGACCTGGTTCTGCGCTAGGACCGCGTCGATGAGCGGACTCGTCTGAGAGGTCACAAAGGGGAAATAGTCCATCAAGTCGGCGACGCCATCGTCTGGATCGAGCATTTCAGCGTGCTCTTCTTCGTTTGCCTCGGCTATCCCGACTGGCGGCGTGGGGATCATGCTGACCGACGTCTGGTCAGTGCCTAGCAGTTTGTCGAAGGCCGAGTTGAACATGCGCGATGACGGCCAATACGGGGCCATGTGCTTCAAAGCCGTGCGCAACGTCCGCATGTCCGCGCTTGCGTGAGATCGCAGGCCGTCAATGCGACAGGCGTGCAGCAGCGCCAACAGGGCGACTGCGATCTCCCAGCCCGCTTCGCCGGAGAGGAAGCGGATGGTGCCCCTTGCGAGATAGTCCTCAAAGATTCGAGCTACGCAGGACGCAGCGATAATGGCCGCGTTGGAGGCCTTAGGTAGCAGTCGAGAGGACTTGTTCATGTGCAGCAGCTGAACATTTGTTAGATAGGTCACATAAAGTCGATGCACTGCGCGGTCGAAGGCGGTAGTCCGCGCGGTGCGGATGTGCAGCGACAAGGTGTCGGGCAATGACCGAACCCATGAGATGAGATCACGTGAAAAGTTCTTGATACCGCTGCGCTCCTTAACCCTTCTGCTGAGCTGCTTGCTGATCTGGCCGCCGATATCTAAGACCTTGACCCAGTTGATGAAGACGTGCACTTTTGGGTGGCTGGGCTCGGGAAAATCCTCAGGCGTCACCATCTTGACGTCGCAATAGTCCGGGTCGATGACGGTAGGTCTGCCTTGTGAGATGGAGAGAATCCGGTCTCGGGCCCGAAAGTCAAAAGGTTAGCAAGAGTCTGAGAGATCCAACGGAGCTTTCAGGTACTTACAAACAAAGTCCACCAAATCCTCCGTCGCAGTCCCGCTGTCTCCCCGGGTCGAGTCATCTGATGAGGCTGCGGCTCTCGATGGAGGCCACTTTCTTGGGCGATGCGAATGGCAATGCCCGTCCACCACCAGGCATTATCCATATTGACCATGTTAGGAGCGCCGGTACTCCACCAGAAGAACAGCATGATGGCTGATAATCGAACAAGTGCGTTGCCCTCGCAGTCCCCATAAAACAACTTCTTGGCGCGGTTGTAATAGGCGATCGAGTCTTTGCATTGAATCAGGGGAGGATTGATGCGGTTCCCGCAAAGCGCCAGTGCATGCCTGAGGAGCAGTGACTCAATTCCGTCGGTCTGCCATTGGACAAATTCGGGGTCAATCACAGGACACCAGTAAAAGCAATATTCGAAGTAGGTCTCGAGAAAGCCCGCCTGCAGGGCCACGGAGATGTCGTCAACGTCCGAGTGATCGGCTGGCATCTGGCGCGGTTGGACCTGATCATCCTCTGCGACATCCTGGTGGCTGAGGATTTGCATGTATCCTGCATTGCTGAAATAGCTGGCCTGGGCGCGCAGGTGTTGCGAGGCTGAACTGGAAGCACCGGGTGTGGCATGGACTTGGGGGGGTTGGGGGGAGGTGATGGCAGCCTGATTGGGCGCAGAGATTGAGGTCAAGAGTCTAGAAGAAGGGTCGGCCGAAGATGCTTTGGCGAGCCTCGGTCGATTGGGGAAGAGGCGCGTCAGTTGGGCAGACAGGCGACGTGCTGGGGTGTTGAAGGCTTTCGGGACCACTGGCAACCATGTGCATAGCGTCGGAGAGACCTGCTTCGGGCTCTCCATTTTTGGCTGTGGACAACGCACCAGGAGCAAAGACGTGATGACTAAATTGTAACTGTCGCTTGCTTATTCCACGTTTTGATGGACGGAGTCTGGTGGGAATAGAGTCAGATCTGCACCGAAGGAGGGTAACGCCAGTTGACGTTGGCACCAAGAGGGGGAGCTTACTGGCAGGGAGCTTTCGCCTGGATACAGTTGCGACATGGCCCGTATATGGGTCCAGGCTGTTGTAAGAGATCACATTTGATCTGTTCCCAAAGTTCGAAACCCCAGTCCCAGTCAGCGAGGTCGGATTTCAGGCGCGGTTGGTCGAGTGGAAGCTGATGTGTACCTTCTTTCCATGACAGCGGAAGCAGACCAGCCGTGCCCTCTTTTGCTGGCTCGAATCCACTGAATCAGGGGCATGAGTCCGCCCAGCAGCAACAGCCATTGTTTCCATCGAATAGGGAAATATGTTAGCCGGCGCGAAAGTGGGCCATTTCACGCATTCAGGCCGCAAGTGATAGCCGGGTTGGGGAACGAAAACAAGGAGTTCGGCATTCAGATCAGAAGAGAAGAATCACTGATATATGTACCGAGTCGAAAAGAGGGTGAATGGCAAAAAGGAGGGCGGGCGCGAGCGGGGTAAACAACACGGAGGGCGGACAACGGGATGGAGGGGACGAACGTGGCCATGCATGGAGATGACCCGGTGGGCTAGTGAAGCTCGTCACCCGCTGTTGTCGGGAACCCTGCCCCCGGGGTGCCCTGTGAGCCATTGCGGGGACATATTGGGGAGCTCCCCAGTTAAAGAACAGGCCTAGTGAGCCTGTAGGGGCGTGGTGGCAAGCTACAAGGCTGTGCTGGACGGGGGCACAACAGTGCCCAAGACAAATCAAAAGCGCCCAAGAAATAGCCTAGCTCCATAAACTTTTTGCGGAAGTGTGGCCTAGAAGGCTCGGCTTTCCAGTCGGACCTCGAGTCGCGTGCCGAGCTGGACTTCTCTGTCGATGGAGGCGACGGTGAATTTTCACCCGCCTACAGTGGTTGCTGAGTTCATGCGCCGTGAGGTTGTTCATGGCCGGGACAGAAGGGATTGGGACCACCAGCCCGACTCCCTCCTTACCATACGGCAACCGCTATATATAAAGGTCGGCTTCTTTACGGACGTGCCTTTCTTTCTCGGCCCAACAAGGGTTCGTGTCTCACCTTCGACGCGGCGTCCACGTCCCTTATGCTGACTTTCTGATCCATCTCGCTGTTGCTACCACCCGCAGCCATGGGAGAGAACGCACCAAAGACTATCGAAAACGAAGATGTTGTCCGCCTCGAACGTGTCCAGTCTACGGACGCCGAGTCGGTACCCATCGAGAAACATCATGAGAGCATCGTCGATCCCATGATGATCGATGCGGACAGGGCACGAGAAGCCCGTGGCTTTGACGTTTACGAGCTGCCGCGAGGATATTGGTATAGCACGTCCTTTCTGGGCAGCTTCTTCGCCGTATGCTTTGCCGCGCTGGCCGGCATTTCAGGCTTCGCCTGTGTTTCTCCTCTCTTATCAATCATCAACGAGGAGTTGGGGCCCAGCAGCTCGATCAGTTGGTACTCAACTGCCTGGGTCTTGTGCCAGGGCATCGGCAACTTGGTCAGTGGCCGCCTGAGCGACATATTCGGCCGTCGCTGGATCTTCATTGGCGGCTCAGTCTTTGGCGTCGTGGGTTCGATCCTGGCGCTGACCGCCAAATCGGTCGGCCAGCTCGTAGGAGTGGCGGTCATCCTGGGACTGGGTGCTGGACCGCAGTTGAGCTACTTCTGGGTCGTGGCTGAACTGGTGCCCATGCGATATCGATATCTCGCCAACACGGCCGTATACACTCTGAGCTTCCCAGGCGTCGGGCTAGGACCGAAGCTGGCGTATAGCTTCCAGTACCAAACCAGCGCTCACTGGCGCGGCTCTTTCTGGTTTTGTCTGACCCTCAATGTCATCTCTGTCGCCTTTTGGTATATCTTCTACCACCCACCAACCCTGAAGATGCTACACAAACGACAAGCCTTGAAAGAATTGCTCATCTCTTTTGACTGGATCGGGCTGGCCATCTACTCGGCCAGCGCCTGGACGTTCCTTATGGGCATTGGCTGGGGCGGTGGTGCCTATCCTTGGAAGAGCGCTCATGTCATCGCGTCCATCCTGGCGGGCGCGGCTGGATTCGCAGTACTCTTACTATGGTGTGGATACCATCCCATCAAAGGCATGACACCCTTCATTCCGCTTCATTTACTGCGAAACGGCCCCCTCATGCTGGTGACAATCTGCACGGGCGTGGGCGCCTCGATTTACTATGGCACTCAAGTCATCTGGCCTACGGCTGTGACGGCTCTGTACAGCGAAGGCCGAAGCACTTCCGACGTGGGGACACTCTTCGCCGTCGTAGTCATATGCTACACAGGAGGGCTGATTATCGGCAACCTGGCGGCCACCTTTATAGGCAACAAGGTTGCCATCTGCTTTGGCATGTGCACTGCTTCTCCTTTGATCGCTGCTTCCGGTGTCAACCTATTGTCTCTGCATGAAACGCTAGGTCTACTCATTCCCGGCGCATTCTTTATTGGTTTTATGGAGGGAATCGCGCTCACGAACTGCTCGTTTCCCCTCGACACTCAAGAAGAGATTGGCACAGCAGGTGGCCTCTGCGGGACTCTCCGCCTTCTTATTTCGAACACCGCCATTTCCATCTACTCGACTACCCTTACAAACCGTCTGTCCTCCACTATCCCAGCCAACGTCATTCCTGCGGCTACACGGGCTGGTCTGGACGAATCGGCAATTCCGTCATTGATCTCAGGACTCCAAGGGCTCACCCCCTTAAATAGCACGTACATCCATGGTTTGACCCCTGATATTACCACCGTTGCAACCGCGGCTTATAAGTTGGCCAATGCCCAGGCCCTTAAGACGGTTTTTCTAGTTACGCTTGCTTTCAGTGGACCTGGTATGATTGCATGCTGGTTCGTCAAGACTGACGACAAGAAGAAATTCAACTTTGTGGCCCAACATATCCACGAGAGCAAGCAAACCAGAGCATTGGAAGCCGACAATGATGCCTAAATGGGGATGCGGGGAGTTTGTGCGAGGACTTCTGTCGTCTGTTCGATGACTCGGACTGCCCCAAGGACGATATCGATAAAGATAGCCACGCATGCTGACATGTAACCTCTGAATACAAAAGTTGTACAACACGCCTGCTTTGATCTTTGCATCCCCTTTGCTCCGGAATCACGGTGACTCACATTCTCTCCCCGACTGCGGCGCCACGTAAGAGGCTGGCCGCAGTCTGGTCCTCCGTTCATGCCTCAAACGGCTTGGTCCGGCACAGAGATGCCGGACGGTCGGCAATACTCTTCCCAGTATGCCTTGAAAGCGTGTGTGGCGGCCTCAGTTGAGTATTTCAAAGTAAAAGGGGGGGACAGAATTCTTGCAGTCTGACGCTGCAGGAAATTTGCCATTGCTTTCTCGCACTTTGGTTCCCGGATTTTCTAATCTAAGATACTAGTAATTAGAGTATTACAACGCACGAGCACGCCGTTTCCAGGATCTCATCCTTATACATCGGTTTGACGAACAGTTGGATACCTCTGGAACCTCTTCCAATATCTACTTTGAACATGCCCTCGACAATTATTCGGAGATCCACCGATCAAGGATCGGCCAGCACCAAGGGTACCAAGACTTTCACAGGGGATGTTTGGGTTGACCCAATCTACAACACACCAGACATCAAGATCAACAACGTCTTCTTCAGCCCGGGCGCTCGCAGTTTCTGGCACACGCATGAGCGGGGTCAGCTTTTGAGAGTGGTCGCGGGCTCAGGTTGGATCTGTGACAGGGGCAGTGAACCCCGACGTCTGATGGCAGGGGACGTGGTATGGGCAGCCCCGGGAACTACACATTGGCATGGCGGCGACGATGGAAGTTACATGTGCCATTTGGCGGTCAGTCATGGCTCGACGAGGTGGCATGAAGAGGTGGCAGCTGAAGATCTCCCCCAGAAGAATTAAGATGAACGGGACCAAAAGGAGTGTCGAAACACGGTGCATTTACAGGGACGAGACTGAGTGTTCGAATAGACATTAATGTCCAGGACCTTCTCGTAGAAATCTTCCAGTAGTCATACCTTTACCCACGAGTCTTTAGACCCCTGATGAAGCACATCTTCAGTGCGTCTATCTCAAGCTTGTAACCGACGATGAGGCGTTGATACACCTGAATGAACTAATTGCCGGCCGAATGCATCGAGGATTGTTATGGTGTCCGCGCCATAGTCACAACTGATTGGTGCCTGAATCCACTGCGAAAACTAGCATGCATCCTTCATAAAATAGTTCGGAGGTCGGAGGGCCGCTTAGTCTACCTAGTATTAGCCGGGTAATGTATATAGATTCTCGATACAAGGGCCGTCTTGGGTTCTCTCTGCCTTGAGTCAAGATTCCGACAGGACAATACTCAGAAAAGTATCCTCATAGCCTTCCTCAGCTTCTCCTTTGTACTGGCAGAAAAAATGGCAGCTTCCACTCCGCGTGCCGAGCTTCACCCAGGACTGGATTATGGCATGCGAACTGCCAGACGACACATCACCGCGCTTGATGGCGAGGGCAAATCCGTGTTCGTCCCCGACCGCGACATCCTGTACTGCAATCGAGGCGGCTATGCGGTCTCCTGGACCTACGCGACCAGCGAGTTCCCTATCGATATGACTGACAACAAGGACCTCAATGGCTTTCTGAGTGACGACCCGTCGAGCCCAAACTCGGTGGTCCACACGGGCAGTCGGATCGTCAACGGCGGCGGTGTAACATTCAACACGACGAATTTCTCGCCGGGGACGGAGACGGTAATGCACCGAACAGTGTCTCTGGACTTCGTGGCCGTGGTGGAAGGCGAGATGGAACTTGAGTTGGACTCGGGAGAGAAAGTGTTGCTACAACCCGGGGTAGGTCATTCGTGGTCATTCATCTTCGCTACGAAATGTGCTGCCTTGAGCATCCTCGTGTCCCTCTAATCCTGTTCATCGATACCGGATGATACATCAGTACAACTAAGCGATCAGTTCGAGGCTAATGTGTTTTGTTCTATCTTCGCACAGGACTCTATCATTCAGCGCCAGACAAATCACCTGTGGAGGAACCCGTCCAAGGACAAGCCTGCGCGGATGATATCTATGATCATGCCGGCCCAGACCGTGACGGTGAATGGCAAGTCTATGGGGACAGAAGGCTTTAGTCTCAACTCGATGGGGAAGCTGAGTTCATCGTGATCACGCCATTTTGACCGAGTACGATAGAGCACCTGTTTCTTTTACAGCTTGCAGATGATCCTTTTCAGGATCTGCTGATCAGACATTCTTTTGTGTTCGGTCCGCGGTTTCGTGAAAGTGCTTTTGAGAAGCTACAACCGGTGTCAGGGATTTCCATCCGTGCTACGAGCAATATCTTCAAATTCCGCGAAGTTGTCCCTGACGCGGTCCAGCTTAGCCCTCACTGTCTGAATGCAGTCAGACCCCAGCGGCAAGCGGAGGTTAGGTTTTCTACCCTCCAACATGCCTGTGCCTGTGACCGACTCAAAGATGCGCTCCGCCCCTTTAATGGGGTTGCCGGTTTGCTTTCCATCCATGTCGTAGAGGGTGTTGAGCATCTTGTCACAGACGCCGCCCTTATAAGGCTCACTCAGAGGAGCGTACTGGATGTTGTTTTGGCCCAGGAAATTTGTGCGGAACGCCCCCGGCACGACCAGCTGGATGCGGATGTTGAAGTTGGCCACTTCCTGTGCGATGCCTTCGCTGATGGCCTCCAGTGCGAACTTGGTGCTCGAGTAGTGGCTGTACGTGGGCAGAACTCTCAGACCGGCGGTCGAAGAGACATTGACAATGATCCCCGATTTCCTTGCGCGCATCCCAGGCAGCACGGCGAGCATGATCCGAACCGGTCCCCAGAAGTTTGTCTCCATCTGTTGACGTGCGCCATCGAGTCTGCGAGTCCGCGTAAGGAATAATTCGCAGACATTAGAGGCAGAATTGCCCTTTAAACTCACTTGAGGTCTTCAAAAGCACCACAGATTGGATAGCCTGGGTCTCGATGTTAGCGCACGAAGCCACCACTGTCCCGAGATACACAGGGCCTACTGACCGGCGTTGTTGACTACGACGTCCAGTCTGCCATAGATGGACTCCGCTTTGGCGATGGTGTCTTCGAGATCAGGCTCTGTCGTGTCCAGGGTAATCCAGTGGCCCCCTTTACCTGTGATCTCCTCGACCAGTTCTGGCGTCTTTGCAGGGTTCCGAGACGACGCGACGACCTTGTGCCCATGATCCAGAATGGTTCTGACAAGAGCACTCCCAAGTCCTGCCGAGCAGCCGGTAACCAGCCAGATCATGGGTTCAGACATAGTGTGGATGTTCGCAGGGGAGACTAGAGAAGAGCTCCTATTATGCAAGGTAAATTTAATTGAGTATGTGCTTTACTGACTGATCAAATGTGCTTGAGGCTGGTGTGCACAATCTGTACAGAGAGCGCAAAGTCGGTTGGTATAGTCTGATCTATATCACGATAGCCTCGCCTCAAGCTCTATATGCGGAGGAAGCGGTCCCCAGCGGCCTCCACTACTCTGCAACGAACCGTCCAAAGCGGAATAACCGAGATGATATTTCTGCCGTCAAGATTGGGACGGCACCGAAACCAGCAAGGTAGATATATGGCACCTGCCCTTTGCAATCTGCACTTGCTCACGAAGAGCGTGGCCTTCTTCCAGCAGGAGGCGATTTCATTCGGAAACCTCAAGTCCGTGCCGAAGTCAGTGTGGTTGGAGCTTTCCCTGCACTAGGCAATGCAGGCCAGTAGCCGAATGGTGGAGGACATGCCCTAGGCAACTCCTTCCCCATGGGTGATACAGAATTCTGGGCTTCATGGTGTCTGCGAGTCGCATGTCAAGGATCCCAGCCTGCTAAGTTGGACCGTGGACTGGTCTTTGCGGAGCATCGGCGTCCGATACTCTTGAACCACAGGTACGTATACATGTGAATAGGTACACAAGTGTGCGTGTGTGTATAAAGGCAGGTGGAATCTTCGCGAGGTCAGAGATCCAACAGTGGTGTCGACTGCTTTTTTGGGGGGTTTCGGGGCCAAACAGTATCCAAGACTTTCGTGACCGTTGAACAAACGCTCACTTCCTCTCTGGAGGGGCTCGAGTGTCCACCTTGAGACTTGTCCGTTCCCTTATTCCGACCCTCCCTCTTGCAATCTACTATGGCGGATGTCACGACAGTCCCCAAGAAGGAGATGCTCACCTTGGAAGTCGAAGAGGCTAGCGCACCTATCAAATATGACCTCGCCGAGGTCGATCGAATGCTGGTCGACGACGAGCGTGCTCCTGAAGCTCGTGGTACTACCGAAGATGCTATCCCTCGAAGCTACTGGTACAGTGCTCGTTTCCTGGGCACCTTTACGGCTATCATTCTTTCTAAGGACGCCGGCAGCGGTGGCTTCAGCTTAGCAGCGCCGTTACTTTCCAACATCAACGCAGAGATCGGACCCGACCTCGACATCACCTGGGTGTCCCTCTCCTGGACTTTAACGCAAGGCATCAGCACGCTGTTAGTGGGCAGATTGTCAGACCTGTTTGGTCGGCGATGGATCTTCATCCTGGGCAACCTCATCGGCACCATTGGTGCCATCTTTGCCTCCCAGGCCCAAACCGTCAAGCAACTCATCGGGGCCACAGTGCTTCTGGGGATCGCGGGTGGCTCGCAAATCAGCTATTTCTGGACCATCAGCGAGATCGTGCCCATGAGATGGCGGTACGTCGCCAACGCCTTCATCTACGTCTGCAGCTTCACCACGTGGCTAGGTCCCAAGATCGCGTATAGCTTCCAGACCGAAACCACCGTGGGCTGGCGCGGCTGCTACTACCTCCTCATTGCACTGAACGGCCTCGCTACGATTTGTTATTGGGCCTTCTATCACCCGCCGACATTTAAGATGTTGCACCGTCGAACCGCTCTCAAGGAAATGATCGTCTCCTTCGACTGGCTTGGCCTCATCCTCTACACAGCAGGGTTTACAGTCTTCCTCATGGGGCTGACCTGGGGTGGCGGCCGCTATCCATGGTCTAGTTCCTATGTGATTGGGTCGTTGGTAGCTGGTGCTGTTGGTCTGGTGCTGTTCGTGCTCTGGGACATCTGGCTTCCTCGTCGATCCCAGAGGACCATTCCCTTGGTGGAGATGCACTTCTTCAAAAATTTCCAGCTCATGGCCATCACCGGCATGACCTGCGTGGCGGGCTCCACCTACTATGGCTTCAGCTCCGTCTGGCCTGGCCTAGTCCGCAATGTCTGGACAGGGCTTGACGCGGCTGAGACCGGCAACATGCTCTGCGTCTTAATCATGTGCTATCTGTTCGCCCAGTGTATTGGAGGATGCATTGCCCATTTCACCGGGCCCAAGTACACTATCATTATTTCCATGTGCATTGCCTGCCCTCTGCTGACATGCGCTGCTGTCAACCCGTTCAACATGACCATGACAGCCAGCTTGGCCTGCACGGGAGGATTTGCCTTGGGTATCATGGAGGGCGTCGCTCTCACAGCAACCACCTATCCCCTGCGGACACAGGAAGAAATCGGCAGTGCGGGAGGGCTGACAGGAACCCTACGCTTGTTCGTGTCGACAATTGCCACCTGCATCTACAATACAACGCTGGTGAATCGACTGAACTCGACGATCCCAGAAAATGTCGGGCGTGCGGCCACTTCGGCTGGTCTCCCCGTGTCCTCATTGCCACTGCTGATCAGTAATCTACGTGCCGGGCATGGTTTCAACAGCACGTCGGTTCCAGGCATCAATGACAGCATTGAGGCAGCGGCAAAACTCGCTTTTCGAATGGCATACTCCGATGCATATCGAACAATGTTTTTGGTGTCGCTTGCCTTCACTGGTCCCGGTGTCATCTTGTGCTGGTTCGTCGCACAGCACGACAAGAAGAAGGAGCACTTCGTTGCGGGTCATTTGCACGACCCTAAGCAGACCAAGACCCTCGAGCAGCAGGATGGTTGATGACGGGACAGACACCGAGATAATGTTGAGGGTGAAGGGTGGGAGAGGAGAGAGAAAGAGAGAGACAGTTTCCCCCATATATGCATGGACACGGATGGGCCACGATAGGTCGAAATTGGATGGTGTTTCCTATATCTTTCCAGACCTTTCGCGCTTACAAATGAGAATGATATTGATCCAGCCACGTCGAGGAAGTAATTCGAAAACATTGAGGTGGTGCAAGCTTGTCGCCGATACTGATTGGTGTACATATTCTCCCCTCTCAAGTCCGTCTACCACCAGCGAGTGAAATCCGAAGAAATGGTTTCCATGTAGAATTCCCTCTATATTCATGTTCGCCCGCTCCAGAGTTCAGAGCCCAGTTCAGACCTTCTACTTCTTGTACATGTCGTCGATCACCTCGTCGTGCCATGTAGTCTTCCCAATCCCCAGAGCAAGATGCGACATGAAGCTATTCTTATCCGCCCCGTGCCAATGCGTAGTCCCCGGCTCCGCCCAGATCGTGTCGCCCGCTTTGATGCGGCGAGGCTCGGACCCCTTGTCGCAGACCCAACCAGATCCGACGGTCACGTATAGAATTTGTCCTCCTTCATGCGTGTGCCAGTATGTTCGGGAGCAGGGCATGAAGACGTTGTTGCCAGCGGCCACGTTGCCGGAAACCAGCACCATCTGGCTCCAGACTTCGCCCGTGAAGGTCTCGGTGCGCTGGGTGGCGTCTACATATTCGCTCTTCCCGCCCTGGACGATGATGGAGCTGGGCATGTTGTCTTGGGGAGAGGGGTGGGGTGGTGGGGGAGGGGGGGAGAGGTTGTGCGAGGACGTCAAGGCAGCTACCTCCCCCTGGCGAACACGTCAATTTTATGTATCTTTCCATTTGGGTTGCACGGCTGGAAGACACATACTTACTTGGGCGGTATGGTCTGAATGCCGCTTGGCGGACGGAGGACACACACAGCGGATGTGTATGAAATGGACTAATAGATTTGTTTAGATCCGTCTAGATTAGTCTCCGCATGGTCAACGAGCGCGGCCTTCTGCGCGTACGTGTCCTCGGGGGGGGGGACCACGTTGACCATATACTGGAAGGGCCTCGAAGCCCATGGTTCACACCAAGGTCCAACGCACGACTTGCGCCCGAGGCGACGGCTTCTCTGGTCTACGAGCTTGTGGGACCGATGCAGGTGGAAATTCTTCTGGTTGTAGTTCCGCTTTCTTGGTTCGCTGCATCTCTGGCTTGCTTCCACGTACGCACGACGCACTTTGCACGTCGCACCTGTTTGCCGGAGGCGCTATATTCGCCACACGTCACGTTGGGGAACCCTGTACGGAGTATTCGCAACAGACACCAACGTTTGGCGCCTATGCCCATCGGATTGGAGGCAGGGACCTTCAGATGAATCGTCCAACTCTGTCCTCTCTGATCTGCAGTTGTCCGCATCTCCACCCAATTCTTTCCAGCCGAACCAGTCTGGAGCCTTATGCCGAGTGCCGGATCCGACCTGGCAACTCCGCCCACTATTGCCGGGCCCGGCAATCAAAACTCCGCTCCCCTTGAACCGGTAGGGGATTCTACTATACGGAATAATTCGTGCTAAGCATCGACAGTTTTTTCTCTCACTAGGCATGAGCCCCTCGAGTATGGACTTGCGCACTTCCTTCTGCCCTTGTCGATCAACACCGGGCCCCTCAGTCCTCACGCGCGACGTTGGGGCGTTATGACTTTCTCCACCCGAATGGGAGCAAGTCATCTAGACTCGGGGTCACCCGTAGGAACTTTTGCTACGACGTTCTATACGCCATAGAGATGGATTACCATGCTTGAACGGGCAGGAGATTCAGCAATGTACAGTAACATGATCCCGAGTTGCCTCTTCCAGAAATCTCTCCTAGCCCCTATCCCCACGTGAACACTACGTGAGAACAAACAAAGCAAACTCAGACATTTTTGCTCGCAAGCATCCTTCTGCTGTAAGTCGGACGTTTACCAATTCGGCTCTATCGCTCGCACTGTGCATACTTCGGACATCTGGTAAAATATCAGACCAAAATCTGGGCCCGTGTGTTGTCTCTGAGACACATTGTTCGCGTGCGCCTGAAGAGAGTCCGCAAAGATGGAAATCAATGCGGTAGTGATCCATGCGCCAGGCGACATCAGAATTGAGAAGAAGCCACGACCTCAGGTCCAGGAGCCCGAGGACGCGGTCGTCAAGGTCATTGTCGCCGGCATCTGTGGGAGCGAGCTACATCCTTACCGGGGACACCAGAAAACGACCTTTGGCCATGTCATGGTAAGTTGAAGAGAATATGTGAATTTTTTTTTGTGTCATTGTTGCTCTCACGCATTACATGTGCCAATTGCTCACTCAAATTCTCCGTTGCCAGGGCCACGAGTTCGTCGGGATTGTGGAAGATGTGGGCAGCAATGTGACGACTGTCAAGAAGGGCGATAGGGTGATTGGCCTCTTTTCGTCGTCTTGGTGAGTCTACAGGATGAATCGGACTCTTCTTCCCTTTCCTTAATTGGCCTTGTCCATCACCATCTCATTCCCCTTGGATAAAGATGGGTCGTCATACTGATTTCCAACCCAACAAAGTCTGAAATGCTGGTTCTGCAAGAATGGCTACACGAACCGATGCTCGAAATCTCTGGCCCTGGGAACCGCACAGATCGATGGTGGCCAGGCCGACTATGTCAGAGTGCCAGATGCCGACGGCACGTTGCTACTGGCGTCTGAGGAGATGGAGGATGAGCTGGGCGTCATGATGTCTGACATCTTCCCGACGGGATACTACGGCGCGATGCGGGCCATCGTCCAATTTGCCAGTGACGATCTGACGACCAATGGTACCTCCTCGTCTACAGCTGCGAAGGCCATGGCGCCGAAACAGCCTCTGAAGTCGGCCATTTTCGTCTGTCTAGGCTGCGGCATCGTCGGACTCTGTGCCATCATGACAGCCGTGGTGAAAGGCACCGGGACGGTGTTTTGTGTGGACAGCGTCGATGACCGCCTGGAGCAGGCCAAACGAATGGGCGGCATCCCTCTGAAGATCGGGGTCGATGACATCAAGGCCGCCGTCATGAACGCGACGGACGGTCGAGGTGCCGATGCTGTAGTCGAGAGTGTGGGAAACGAGGCCGCTCTTCGGTCGGGCTTTGAGCTCCTTAGACCGTGTGGTGTGCTAAGTTCCGTGGGCTTCCACCAGTCAGAAATGCCTTTTACAGCGTTACAGGGCTACCAGAAGAATATCAAGTAAGTCGGTCCCCCGGTTCGGTCTGGTTCTTGGTGAACTCCTGGATTTGTCGAGAGCATGAGACATTGTACTGATGCGATCTTTCGTGAACAGTCTGAATATGGGCCGCGCTCCCGTTCGAGCAGTATTTGAGGAAGCAATGGAATTGTTTCTAGAGAATAAGTCCAAATTTTCTGATTTCATCTCACATCGACTACCTCTGTCGGAAGCTGCCAAGGGCTACGAAATGTTTTCCAGGCAGGAAGCCAGAAAGGTCGTGCTAAGACCTTAAAGGGGCGCCAGGGGAGGGGATGATTCGAGGGAGCCGAGCGATCTGATAACCAAATGCATTCTTTTGATAGTCGGCATAGTCGGAAGCCAACGAATGGAGTGACTACCTCTGGGCATTCAAAATCATCCTCCCCCATAATATCACGCTTCATAGGCTGTAGCTGGACGCTTTCTCGCCCAACTTCCGGAGCTCCTCCTTTGCCTCTGGCCAGAGTTTCCGGTCCCGCCAGAACCCTTCGACATGAGGCTCCCTGCCGGGCTTCCCGTTGCGCGGCAGCTCATTCAACCATCCCCAGTGGATCTTCTGCTTGTACCCCCGCTGTTTCCAGTCGTTCAGGTCGTCCTCGGGATTATCGTTGAGATTGGGGAGATGCTTCAGCGCGGTGGCGTCGTGCGACAGACAGACCAGCACCGACGGGCTGGCGTCAAAGCTGACCAGTTTATCGACCGATTTCTGCGACAGCTGGGGATCGGCGTAGGCGGCGGTAACGTCGGTCGAGATGCGATAAAAGGGCGTCGTGCGCGGATTGAAGGTGTTGGTTCCGCACGTCCTCATCTGCGGATGGTGGTCGGCGAAGAGAGCGCAAGGGCATGGCGTGGGGAAGAAATCGTCTCGGTCCAAGACGCCTTCGGGGATCGGATCTGGGAGCGGTGCTTTGGCGCTGGGCCGAAAATCCCCCGGGAAATGGCAGATGTCGCCTCCAAGCAGCATAAACGTGCTGTCCCGGCCGCCGGTCGTTCGTGCAAGACCGCACATGTGTCCCAGGCAATGTCCGGGGGTGTCTGTGCATGTGATATGGACCACGTTACCAATAGATCCGAATTGAGTCCTGTGCAGTAATGAGCTTTTGGAGTGTGGGATGTGCACGTACCAAGCAGGTAGAAGGAACCGTCACCGAAGAAGTCGTGGGCTCGGAACCCGCCAATCGTCAGATCAGAGTCGTCGTCAAAGCCGATCTCGGTCAGGGTCCGGTCTTTGAACGCGCGCGAGTCGACCGGAGAGTTGACATTCTCGGGGAAGCCAGGCAACAGGGCGGGAGACGCCTTGAAGCCCGGCCCTACCACCAACTCGGTGGCGGGAGGGAACAGCTCCATACTCCCCGTGTGGTCCCAGTGGTAGTGCGACCATATCACGCTCGCTGCACGAGATTCAGGAACCCCTTAGAACCCCAAGTCCGAAGGGAGCTGATGATATTGGAGGTGGGAGGAAGACGGGGCCCTCGAAAAGAAAGGCTGGTAGACACACAGACAGGCAGATGGGCAGACAGACTCACAGATTTCATCCAGCGTCACGCCGCTCTCCTCCAACACCTCGGTGGCGTCCTTGTCGACCCGCAAGTCCGGGATGACAAACCCTAGGCGTTTCTGCAGCACGGCAGGGAGATTCCAGTAGTCCTTCCGCACGCCTAGGTCAAACATGACCTTCTTGCCCGAGGCCCCGTGCTCGACCAGAAACGCTGCCACGTAGATATTGATGAACTCATGGCCCGGCTGGACGGGCTCGATGAAAGATTTGGCATTGACTCTCATGATGGCCGTGGTGTCTACCATGCACACGCGCACGGTCGCGTCGGACGCGGGAATATGCAGCTCATCGGCCATGGTATATACGGGGAGAGGTAAAAGGGTGAGCGAGTGAGCGAGTGACAGTACTTCGACGGGGGACGCTGCAAAAAAAAGCCAGGCGCGTACGCCGATGCTCCTCCAGTCGACTGTAAGAAATTCCGGATGTTTGACGACGATGATCCACGACGAAGACGGGGACGAAGATGAAGACGGGACTATCTAAGTAACTAGCACGAGAACCGTTGGAGAGGCCACACCTACTGCAGAGCCATTGCTGTCCACATCCTCACTATACCTGAGGAACACATAGTAACACGTTCCGGCAATGGCCAGTTTGGGAAAGCGGGGTTCTCCCCCGTCCAACCGATGGAGCCTCACACCTTCATCCCGAGGGTCTCAGGGGGGTAACCGCAAAGAGGATATCGAGAAATCGGGGTCCATTGTGCAAAGATTTCAGCCCTTGAACACTGGCTCAGAGCAGGGCAATGCAGAGGTCTCTACGAATTCATTCACATGGAAAAATCGACTCGACTCGTCTGCTTAAAAACTGAAAAAATCTACGTTGAAATCGTCCGGCCTGGAGAAGAACTGGTTGAGACGACTAGGGAAATCAAACGTCCATCCGAGCTCTGGCAGCCGTATCGCCTGCTTATTGTCGGTTAATAGACGACCAATGAGTGGACTCGTCTCCCCCGAGATGTAGGGGAAGTAGTCCTGCCAATTGATGCCCTCGATGGCGGAGAGCTCGTCTATGGACGGCGAGACCACCTCTGTTGGGACCACAGAGTGGTTGGTTGCCGAAGTATTGTCGTTGTTGTTGTTGATGGTGGTGTTTCTGGCCTCGATTAGCTTGTCGATGCCTGCCTGGAACACTTGAGCAGAATGCCACTGGCGCGCCATGGCCCCGAGCGCGGCTCGAAGAATACGGATGTCGGCGTCGGCATCGGCAGTGAGCCCCTCCAGGCGGCGAGCGTGGAGCAGTGCTAGAGTGGCAATGGTGATGTACCAGCCTGCTTGACCAGCAAGAAAGGTGACGGAGCCGCGAAGGAGGTAGTCGTGGAAGATCCGGGCCGTGCAGGAGGCGGCCACAATGGCGGCGATGGAGGCCTTGGGGAGAGGCTGCGCCTCCTTGTTGAGATGCAACAGGGTGATGCTCGAGAGGTAGGTCAAGTGCATACCGTGCACGTCCCGGTTGAAGCCGGTTGTCCGGTTTCCTCTGATGGCAGGCTGCAGCGAAAACGACAGCGACTGCACCCAGTTGATGAGTTCGCGCGCCAGGGGAATCGCAGTCGAGTCAGCGTCGCGCCTCCGCCGTAACATCTTACCGAGACGTCCGATGATCTCGCACAGTGGTACCCATGCGATAAACAACGATGTCCTGACATCATGCGGGTTTGGAAAGTCGTTGGGCGTCGGCATGGGCACGTCACAGTCGTCCAAGTCGATCAGACATGGGCGGCCTTGCGAAGCAGCCGAGATTCGTTCACGAGCCTTGAATGTATGTGTGTCAGCGATCTCGACACATGCGAGGCTATCCCGGACCGTAAGGTACTCACTACCAAAGTCCACCAGACACGTCGCCTCAAGCCAGGAGACTCCGCGGCCAGTAGAGCTTGATTAGGTGACGGCTCCCGATGCAGACCAATCTGTTGAGCGAGCCGGATGGCAGTGCCAGTCCACCACCAAGTGGTATCAAGGCTGACGACGTTGGGAGGTTCGGTGCTCCACCAGTAGAACAACATCAGGGCCATGATACGGACCAGCGGGTTGGGCTCGTGGTTCCCATAAAACAACTCTTTGGCGCGGTTGTAATGGTCCATGGAAGAGGCATGCACTAGCAACGACGGCTTGATCTGGTTACCACACAAGGCCAGGGCGTGTCGGAGGAGCAGCGATTGGTTCAGGTCCGGATCGGCGTCAAAGACATGTCGATCCAAGATCGGACACCACGTCAGCGCATACTCGAAGAACACATCGAGATGGCTCTCCTGCAGACCGGGAGGAATATTGTCGATTCCCATGATCTGGGGCAATGCACCAAACGATTGTTGTTGGCTCGGCTTGCCACTCTCGTGGCTGAAGATCTGCATGTATCCACTGTCGCCGATGTAGCTGGGATGTTGCTGCTGCTGAGATGGGCTGTCCGAGACGGTAGTGAAAGCCAATTGCCCCAAGGGCGCGCCTGGCGAAGCCGGCGTGGGGTTTGCTAGGTGTCGTGAGTCGTAAAAGCCATTGCTGACCTCTGCAGCTCCAGACTCCCTTGGGGGTATTGATTGCTGAAGGCTCAAGACGTCTACCGCCGCTGTCGTCGGTATCAAGGGGCCGAGGACAGGCCCCTTTACAGACTCTGGCGGGTTGTGGCTGTCGCCGGCAACGTCTCGTTTGCTGATTCCTCTTTTGGAGAGTCGTAGCCTCGAGACTGATCTTAATAAAAAACCGGGAAGGCCGTCAGAAAAACAGGTCAACCTACTGGCACTGGCTCCCTGCATCTAGACAGTTGGAACATTGCCGAGTCTGCTCATCATCTTGCTGACTCCATAAGTTGCATTTGATCTGTGTACCGGGATGAGCGAGTCTCCCTACCAAACGGCTATGCTGGCCACGCCTCAGAGGACACATACTTTCTTCTCGTGACATCGTGAACACACCACCCGGGCCCGTTTGTTGGACCTTGACACTGGCAGGTTGGGCACGTCCGGCTGATAATTGGTGAGACTGAATTGAGCGAGCATCGCAGTGCATAATTTTGGGTCAACGCGTCGTGTGTCAGGAGACAGGATACCCGGGCAAGAGAGGAAGAGCTCGAATGATATTTTCCCCAAGAACGATCCGGACCGCGGCAGAGATACGGAGTACACGTGAAAGCGTTCGCGAGGTGGGCCATGCAGCAGGAAGCATTTCGGCAATGGCAGCCAGCCTTGTGCCGAGCCCGCACTGGTGGCGAGGGAGGTATTCTGCAGCTCCGGCTACAGTGTCCATCAGAGGTCAAGTGGGGCGAGGTATAGGACAGTGCGTAGCATGGTCCTAGATAGCGTACTGCGTAGTCCGTCCAGACTGTTTCTCAGGGGAGTGTAGGAGAAAGCCCACTCGCAGGCCACCTGGGCAAAAAAAGTGTCAGGATCCCTACATTGTAGTCGTGCAAGCGACCTGCCCTTGAGACAAAGCAGGACCATCTCTTGTACAGAATGAGGCAACAACGACCAATCTTTCACAGTCCGACAGTTTCATTTCTCTCCAACTCACAGACCGGGGCTTCACCAACCGAGATGGCGGGAAAGGCGGATAGAGCGGCCATCGAAAAAGCCCAGCAAGTCCTCTACGAGGAGGGGACCAAGCTACGACAAGAGGTGTTTGGACTGCAGCACATTGCGAGCTCGAAGTCACTCTCCAGCTTCCAGCAGCCGCTCCAAACTATGGCGGTCACTGCGGGATGGGCCATGTGTTGGACGAGACCTGGGTTGGAACGCAAGACTCGCTCTCTGCTGTGCTTGGTCATGCTGGCAGTTCTGGGCCGTGATCACGAATTGGGCGTTCACGTTCGCGGCGCCATCCACAACAAGTGCACCGAGGAGGAGATTCGGGAAGCCTTGTTCCAGGTATAGAGCCCCGTCTTACCTTTTGGGGTCATAATTCTCATCTTTTGGTGACAGGTATCAGTCTACGCAGGAGTGCCTGCAGCTCTGAATGCTACCAGAGTTGCAGAGACCGTCCTAGATAGTATGAAGAGCGAGGGTCAGCTGGAGTGAATTCACAGAATGGCACTATCGACTGACGCCTTTTGGCTCTTATGGGGACAAATAAGTTCTGCTCTATAGAGTGCTACTTTCATGTAGCCGAACTGCCAAATTCACCATACACTAAAGAACTGGCTACCGTTTGCAGCTTGTGCAAAGACGTTCCTTCTTCAAAATCGTCCCTGTCGAGGTCGAGATACCCAGATGGTGACATCTGGCGCGGCACAATACCGAGCGTCCTCCCTATACGGTGGGTCAGCATGGCACTCTCACGGTTAGGTTCGACACGCATATCATACCATTGATGGAACTGTCCGTAATGAGACGGAAGACTGCTGTAACAGCGTCGTCTGTGGTCGCAAAATCGACGCCCATGCCTCTAAACTGGCTCCCCGCGTTCTGGATGAAGCTCTCCGGCAAGATCGGAGTCGCGACAAACCTGGACGCATGTGTATCAGCTAGTGGCTTGAAAATCGGCAGAAAGATACCGGAAGGGCCACACCATGGCGCAATGCAGTTAACTCGTAAGAGCCCTTTCCGCCTCAAGCAAGTCATTAATCCTCTCACACCGTGTTTGGCGGCAGAATAGACTGATGAACCCTGCGTGTCGATATATCCCATGATGCTCGACACCAGGATCAAACATCGATCACCGCCGTCCTGGTGATGAAAGTACCATCCACCAAGCTTACTTGTGTATATGACCCCTCTCAGATTCACGTCGAGTAGCTTTGTGACTGGTTTCTTTGGTTCATCATCCGACAGACCTGGCCGGGCTTAGTAAGGTGCTCTTCTTGACATTGATATGAGCCTGAACCACCAACCGTCAAGAGTGTCAGGTCCGTAGATACCGGCGTTGGCAATGACAACATCGATTCCTCCATTGGGAGACTTGTTCTTTGCGACCTTGAACAAATTTTCCTGTTCTTCCCAGCTGGTCACATCACACTGAACAAATACAGCCCTAGATGGGTCAATTACGCTGTCAGTCTGTCTCTTTTTCCCGGTCCCAAGACGTATCTGGATATCAAACATACCTGTCGGAGGAAAGAGCTTCCGAGGGAGGCTTGATGTCTCCGTTGACAACAAAAGCACTATGTACTGGTTCAGCTACGTGACAGGTTTTCTGGAAGAGCTTGGCAGAGACTGACCCAGCTTTGACAAGAGCTAGTACATAACACAGACCCAGGCCGCTACTCCCTGAAGCAGTGGAATATCAGTGGCACGGCCTGCAGACAGCGAGTTAGGACGTAGTACATACCGCCGGTGATAACTACGGTCTTGCCAGCTACCTTGTCAAAATCGACCTTCGCCTGGCACTCGACGCGGCGATTCTCGTATGCTGGCGTAGAGGCCATTTGGTTGAGAATGATGCTTACACAAACTTGAGCTATGCTGAATCGAAGTTGTTATAGGTGTCAGGAATGGGGAGTCTCACAACCTGACTCGGCTAATCTGCCCCGCGTTCACATGAGTCCCTTTATAAGCGCGAAGTTTCAATCCTAGAGGTAGCTGTCATGACTTCCTTCTTGAATCTCCGTCCACCAGTGAAATGCCGCAAGCACACATCCTGGAGATTCTTGACATTGAGTCGGCAGAGTTTGCGTTGGTCGGTACAACAACCCTCATTCTGGTCAGGCTTACGGAGAAATCACCAAAGACGTGAAGCAAGGCCACTGGAACTCCTCAAAGTCTTGAAACTAAAAGAGTAGTGTGTGGCTGAACAGAACTTGGGGATTTCGGCAATAGACCATCAATACCACTTTCGGCCGGCAGCCGGATGCGAAACAATCGCCCCCTTTTTGCACAGGCTATGCTTGGTCTCGGCCCACAAAGATGCATACTCCAGACAAGCGAACCCCATACGAACGTGTCTAGGAAGATACCTCGGGAGGACTCTTTGACTATCTCCTCCGGGTCGACTGTTTCTCCACGGCCTTCTCGTCTGCGAGCTGGTCAGTCCACCATTTGTTTCGGGGCAGAAGAACGCATCGGGAAAGAGGTATCCTTCTCTGAGATGGGTTGTTTTCTTGTATTGTTCAAGAAAGAAAACATTCCCAAGATTTTCACTCGGTCGAGCTCAACCCTTGATCTAGCAACGTTATACAAAACTATCACGTCTTATCTCTGACAGTGGTGCCTTCTCGGCCTGTAATGCTTCCTCTAGATGTCAGTGCCATCCAAAAGGCTACACGAGGTACTCAATCATCTGTCCAAAATGTCCCCTCATAGCACGCTCGGGGTACCTACAGCCACCAACCCGGTCTTCGAGGCCTATGGACTTCCTGGAGACATAACTATCGGCAGCAACACACCGGGACCACACCCCTCATCTGTCGAGAGACCAGTCCACTACGCGGACTGGGACAAACCAGGTCCTACCGGGTATGTGGTCTCGGACCACATGATCAACGAGGTTCCTGTTAGCAAGCCCACATTCAAGATCCTCATCATCGGTGCTGGCGCTGCTGGCATTGATTTTCTGCATTATGCACCTAAACTTCTCGCCGGCCTCGGAGTCAATATCGTTTGCTACGACAAGAACTCAGATATTGGCGGCACTTGGCTCGAAAACCGCTACCCCGGATGCGCTTGTGATGTCCCCAGTGTGGGATACACGTTTCCCTGGAAAGCCAACCCTTACTGGACCAGCTTCTACTCAACGAGCCAGGAGATCTGGAAGTACATGAAGGATATCGTCGATGAAGAGGGAATGATGAAATACATCACCCTGAACACGAGGATCGATGCTGCTCGTTGGGATGAACAGCGGAGTCTCTGGGTGGTGAAGCTCTCTCAGTCGCAAGATGGCCAAGAGTCCAAAGAATGGGAAGAGGAATGCGATCTGCTCTTAAACGGCGCCGGTTTTTTGAAGTAAGTCAATTTTCCTGCAGCAGTGTTCGTTATTTCTAGAGCTAATCTTGACTCCAGCGCCTGGAAATGGCCAGATATCCCGGGACTTAAAACCTTCCAGGGCGACCTTTTTCACACTGCCCACTATAAGGAAGGGTACGACTTAAAGGGCAAAAGAGTAGCGGTCATCGGCTCCGGAAGCTCTGGAGTCCAAGTTTGTGCGTCCATCTATAAGGATGTTGAGCACATGTATACCTGGGTTCGAAACCCGACCTGGATCACGGCGGCCTTTGGTCAACAATTCGCTGGCAAGGATGGCCGGAATTTCGACTGTAAGTGAAACTCTCACAACGGAAGGAGGGGCCTTTAAAAACTAACGATGAGCTCCAGACACTGAGGAGCAGAAACGTGCCTTTAACGAGGATCCGACAAGATATCAGCGGTATAAGAAGATGATTGAGAATGAACTGAATAAACGTTTCAAGTTGGTCCTCCGAAACACCAAGGAGTCAGACGAAGCGAATGCTGTAAGCACATGATCTCTGGGACATTCCCCTTGAGGTTGTTCTTGATAAAAAAGGCACTAACCACGATGCTTGCACACAGTACGCCTTCAAAGAAATGTCGACTAAACTGGAGGGCAAGCCTGAACTACGAGATGCCATCATCCCGGATAACTTCAACGTGGCTTGCCGAAGGCCCACCCCCGGCAACGGCTATCTAGAAGCCCTCGCCGGCGAGAAGACCACCGTCTTCACCAAGAATATCCACTCCATTACGGAGCGCGGGGTTGTGGATTCGGCAACGGGCAAGGAGTACGAGGTCGATGTGATCATCTGCGCCACAGGATTCGACACCTCGTTCCGCCCGCGGTTCCCCCTTACAGGTCTCGACCCAAAGACCACGTTAACCGAGAAGTGGTCAAAATTCCCGGCCAGCTATCTCGGTATCGGCGTCGACGGCTTCCCCAACTACTTCACCTACTCGGGGCCCTTTACGCCCGTCGCGCAGGGCTCCATTCTGCCTATCCTCTCCATGCTAACGAATCACTTTATAGAGATCATCCGCAAGATGCGGACACAGCATATTCGCCGCCTGAGCCCCAAGACGCAGTCCGTGCTCGATTTCGCCGAGCACGCGTCGACCTTCATACCCCGGACGTGCTGGGCGGACCCTTGTTCCTCGTGGTTCAAGCAGGGCACCAAGGACGGCCCCGTCGTCATGTGGCCGGGCTCGCGTCTCTCCTTCTTCGAGGTCCTCCACCACCCGAACTACGAGGACTACGAGATCGAGTACTGGAGCAAGAACCGCTGGGGTTATCTAGGCAATGGCTTCGTTGACTTCGAGTTCACTGGCACCAGAGACCTAACCTGGTACTTGGACGCATTCTCGGACCGCAAGGAATGGGAGCGCGGCGTCGAGTTCAACAGGGACCCCGATGAGTTCCGCAATGTCAGTGCTGGCGCGTTGCCGGGTCAAAAGACGCTGGGCCGTGGTAAGGAGCACACGCCTGTGGAGGTGGTCAACGGCGTGCCGGATGCTGGACACTAGATAGGTGACGAGATGCGTGTCTCTTACATACATACATACATACATACATACATATACAATTTACACAGATATCAAGGGTACAGGGCACAAGACACGGTTTTCAAAAACTCCTGCGGCGATTTTTGAGTGGAATTCCGGGTCTAAGAGTAATCCTGCATCATGCTTTGGTCTCCACACTACCATGCCTTCTCCCCGTAATGATTATTTTTTATTCTTCTTGGTTTTACTCTATCGTCAAAGAAGAACTACTGTCGCTCGACAAATACCATTTCATCGCCTCTAATAGAAGCTCATCCCAACACTTGCTTGATGGGAGGTCGCTGAAGCGGCGAAAACCGTGCGGCAAGCCGGGAAAGACATGGACTTTGGTGGGAACCCTGGATATAAGGGAAATGGGGGCAGTCTCGTCAGCAAAAGTGCTCCGTCAAAAGAAGGATGGCACGAGGGAGAGAATAGGGGGGAGATAGGGGTTGGTGGCAATGGTGGGTAGGTGGACAAACCCAGCCTTCTTCAGCTTTTCGGCATAGTATAGCCCTTCGTCCCTGAGCAGATCCTGGCCGGCAATCACAAAAGTTGTCTTGGGCAAGCCCATGATCTTCCTGTCGTCCACCAGAGCAACGTTCAGAGCCGGGTCCTTGACATCATCGGCTCCGAGCAGAGCGCTGAACAGTCGCAGCAGAGCCATCGGAAGCACGGCAGCAGAGACATTCTGTTGGAAAGACGCCGCGGGCCCGCTCGTAAACGGGTGATTGTCCGGGTGGATCAGCCAGGGAATGCAGAGGAGCTGACCGCAGACATTCAACCTGGGCAAAAGAGATGTGTTCCTGCCCTGGTCGCGCACGGCACTGTCATCATCATTGCTATTATTATGTTGGCGGACGATGACGGATGCGGCCAAGCCAGCGCCAGCTGAGACGCCGCCGACGATGACACGTGAGGGGTCGCCGCCGATGAGGGACGCATTTCTGGCGAGCCATTCAAACGCGTCCCAGGCGTCGTTGACTTGGTATGGGTGCTTGAACTCAGGCGTGTGCCGATAGTTGACGTTAACCACGGTGACCTGGGCGTTGACCGCAAGCCGTAAACAGGCGGCGTCTTCGGTCTCGATCGTGCCCAGAAGGTGGCCGCCGCCGTGGAAGTACAGGTATATCGGCAGCGGAGCCTCCGGCGGCAGCTCGCGGGGTCGGTAGACACGAGCAATGATATTCTGCTGGTCTCTCGTTAAGACGGAGTAGTCTCGCCATGCCGCCTTTGTGCGAAGGTCTGGAAAAAAAGTTATGGCCATCCAAGAATCTAGTCAGGAGCTATGTATGTAGAGCGATCTGGGATATTCTCATCCCCAAGTAAAGGAAGGGTGTGTAAGCAGACAGGACGAGAGACGGTCAAGCCTTACATACGTACATACCTTCTGCGGCAATCTCGGTCTCCGAGATCTTCACTCGAAGTGCATTTGACGCTTGTCGAATCGTCTGGGGCGGTAGAGTCAAATCCCCTAGCGGCAACGAGGTCTTCTGGACAAATGCTTCCCATTCACTGGACGGGCCTTGGTATTGAGAATAGTCCGCCATATTGATAGTGCAATCGACAATGGTTATCAAGCAACGTGGCACAGCGGCAAGATCGTCCGGGCAAGAATGCTGGGGGCTTCTTCAATCACGCCTCATAAGACGTTCAACGGTTTTGAAGGGAGGGACGGGATTTTAAAGATTCCCGAAGTATGCGCCAGCCAGGAGCTTCATGCACAGGAAGGAATCTTCTCCTGTGATAGAGCTTTAACGGATCATCTGTGGGACCTGACTAGAGAAGCGTAGCACCGAAATGCAGTCCGTGACAACGCGTGCCGACCATAATAGGTAAGTGGCAGGCAATTTTGTACTTATTAGACCCACGCAATGTGACAAAGTACTATTACGCTTTGTTTCGACTGCCTTTGGTGCGAATGGAACGACATCAGGAGGATCTTACGCTGCAATAGCACCAAGGCATGGAAATTCATCTAGATAGTTCGCCGAGAGATTCAAACAGCGTTTAGAAACACACTTTCGAGCTTAAAGGAGGCCTAGTTGATGGTTGGAATACTACTAACCACTGGTAAGCACCCAAATCCCGTGACGAAGCCACGTTCACTTTTCACATATATACGTTGACTGCTGGTGCTTGCGTTGAAGGAACTGGTGGACGTGAGGGGAGCAGCCCAGTATGAATCCCCAGGTACCAGGCTAGGTCACTTCCGTCATATTCGAGGGTCGAGAAACCATTGCCCAAAAAAGCAAACTTGTTCATGCTCCAGTATTCGAAGTTGTAGTCTTCAAATCGGGGGGCCGAGATGAGATCGGCCAACACCAGTCTCGAACCGGGGAAGATGGTCAGCAATCCGTCCGGTTTGCCCTGCTTGAACCACGACGGACAGGGGCCGGCCCACGCGGTGCGCTTGAGCCAGAGGTCGGCATGCTCGACAAAGGCGTCTGTGGCGTCCTGGCGCGGGGATATGGACTTGATGTTTTCCTTTTGAATCTTCTCAATCACCTTGAGAATGTTCTCGAGGAACAATTCGACCATCGACGTATAGGAGCCGTGACCGAACGAAAAGTAAGGCCCGCCGACCATGAAAAAGTTAGGGACTAAGATTCAGCCGGTCAGTGTGAAAGAATAGTTAAAATATAAACGATGAACGGGAGGGGGGAAGGAAGCTCACTCTCGGGAACAGCCATGGAAAGGTACGAGATTGGTCGCTTCCTCTGGATGTCCTGGACGTTGAGGCCGTTGGCAACAATGGGGAACCTGGGAACCCACGACGTATCGAATCTACATACCATCTTGTTAATACGGTGATATCTTCGCTCTGGGCGCGAAGAAACTGTACATACCCAGTGGCACAAATTATCACGTCGGCTTCGTGCTCATTTCCCTGAGAATCCACGAATCCCTTTGGCGTGATTTCCTGGAGCGAGTCCAAAAAGGTGGTGACTTTGTCTGTCGTCAATGCTTCTAGGAAGCCATTTCCGGGCTGAGAACAAAAAAAGCTCACAATCAACACCCGGCCTGGACGTCTTGTCAAAGAGAAGTCAGAAACTTACCGTGGGTCGACGGCAGCCGACGTTGAAAGTCTTGGGAATGATCTTTTCCATAATGTCTTTACGGCTGCCAAGTTTCTTCTGCATCTCCTTGATCGAGAACTGGGAAGAGATATGGTGTCAGGGGTGCTTGTTTCCTCCAATACGCCTGTTCACTTACCGCCTTGGCTTGTTCAGCTTCAGGCGTTCCAACTTGGATCATCTTGAACATCTGGCTGATTTCGCTTTCGATTTTCTTGCAGTAATCCAGGTACTCATCGGGATGTTCGGCAAAGTACCTCTTCTGTTCTTCCGAATCTAGACAAAACTGGTATTGGCTCTCCGAAAAGGATCAATTGAGATACAACAGACTTACATTTGAAGTTGGCTCCATCAGGACCGGCGAATTTTTGCGCAAATCCGGCAGTCATCCACGTGGAGGAGCGAATCCAGCAGTACAAATGTGACACTTTGTTCAGAATACTAGGGATGACCTGGACGCCACTGCTGCCAATACCGATCACGGCGACCTTCTTTCCTTCGAGGTCGGTACTCTCATCGTAATCAGCAGTGTGGCAGAGCTTTCCTTGGAAGGTCTTGAGGCCTTTGATATCGGGCCAGTCCCACGCGCTGAGAAGTGCCGAGGGAGTCAGTGAGTTCCAACTATTGTCTTAATTGAGAGCGAAACTTACTTGAGAATGCCGCTGCAGTTGATAAATACGTCGCAACTGTCGACAAAGGCCTCTCCAGTCAAAAGGTTCTTGACGTGGATGTCCCATCGGCCTCGGTCAGAATCCCAGAATGACCCGGTGATTTCATGTCTGAGGCGGATGAACTTGGCGAGGTCGAACCGGTCTACTACGTCCTTGAAATACTGAAGGATTTCCTTGCCATCGGAGTAGAACTGGGACCAATATGGATTTTTGGCCCAAGAAAACTGTTGACGACAGCGGTTAGCCGAAGAGGCGACGACGCCACTTTTAAGGGGGAGGAATAAAATGGGACCAACCTGGTAAATGTGAGAGGGAATATCGCAAGCACATCCTGGGTATCTGTAGGCTCTCTGTGAGAGACATGACCATGGTGTATTTGGAGCAGAGGAAGTCCTGACCTGTTTTCGTACCAAGTGCCACCAAAGTCCGGGTTCTTGTCGTAGATCGTAAGTGAGACGTTGTGAAGGCGCTCAGGCAAGTATTTGGCGAGACAGATACCCGAAGCACCAGCACCCAGACAGATGACACGCATAGGTCTTTCGGTACCACAAAGCTGCTCCTTGATCCTGTAGCCTCGCTCGTTTGTCGTCGGCCAGCCATATCGCGCTGGCAAGGCTTCAAAGTCGACCATCCTAGCCTGTGGAGCGACGTTGGTCTCTGGTCCCGAGTCCCCCATTTTGAGATTCTATCAAACAAGCGAGCAAGCAAGCAAAGTAGAAGAAGACATAAATTCAAGGAGATGAAAGGCGCTGTGAATGAATTGGGCAGGGGGAAAGCGAAGGAGACCTTTTCAAGGAGAAAATACAACTCCGCAGCTCTCTACCATGAATATACACCACCGCATCGCCTTCCGGCCCTTCGAATAGATCTGGGGAACTGTTGTACCACGTGTGGGGTGCATTCTAGGAGCCACAGGCATAGAAATGGTCCTCCTCGGCCAGTCGTCGAACTCACACCGTGAATTCGGCTTCATTTGCGTTTGCGTTCGGCAATCCTAGACGGCTGTCTCGGGCAGGGAGCTCAGACCACCCACTCAGAGCAGGCGACTAGGGCCTTGCAGAGGCCCAAGACATATGCGCCAGCGCCTACGCCGAGTCGCCTCCATCGACAGGATAGATTGCTCCTGTCACGTATGACGCATCGTCGCTCAGCAGAAATGCAATCACCTTTGCCACTTCCTCAGGTTGTCCGTTCCGCTGGAGCGCGCAGACCACCTTTTCCGGCTCTCCTTCGTCTGCAAAGACGGTTCGCAACATTGGAGTCTCGATAGCGCCACTATTTGGTTTTGGCCAGGAAGTCAGCGGAGCCCAGCAGTAATTCAAGGTTGAGGGAGAGAGACCGGGGGAACTTACGGCGCGACGCAGTTGATCCTGATGCCCTTCGGGCCGAATTCTTTGGCAACGGATCTCGTCAACCCCAGGACTCCGTGCTTGCTCGTGACATACGCGGACATGCCGTGCTTGCCCATCAGACTCAGTATACTCGCCGCATTGACGATTGATCCGCCAGAGCCCATGACTTGGACTTGGGCTCTAAGACAGTACATGAGCCCCGTGAGGTTCACGGAGATGATGTGGTCCCACTCCTCGAGCGACTGGCCCAGGATGGATCCAAAGGAGCCTCCATGCTTGCCGGGGACTCCTGCGAGGTTGGCCGCACCGTCCAGCCTGCCATAGTGCTTTGAAATGTTGCCTAACCAGTCATCCACGTCTTGATGGCGAGCGACGTTGACACTTTGTCCGATGGCTTCCACGCCCGAGCTCTTGAGTTCGGCTACCAGCTTTTCGAGAGGCTCTCGCTGTATATCTGCCAGAGCCAGTTTTGCCCCTCGACTGGCGACTATCTTGGCTAATGAGAGACCCATGCCCGAACTCGCTCCGGTGATGGAAATGACCTTGCCTGCTAGAGACATTATTTTATCGCATTAGATACAATGACCAGACAACGAGTTCGTAGCCAGTGGATCTGGAGCCAATGTAAAGGACACTTATACTTTTCTTCGGCAACAAAACAAAATGTGCCTCTCCGGAAATGGTTGAACAGGAGCTCTCTGGGGGACAACTCCGATGTGAAGCATGCCTGTCCGAATAGTCCTCTGCCGCTCTATTCGGAGCCGAAGCCTTCCATCCCGCCAGTTAGCAGAAGAATGTAAGTGTGGGTGAGCTGCCGGGATCCTCAAGACATCTACAAAGTAAGGCAAGCCCGTTGCGATACTAATCACGGCACGGTTGCTGTCTCCCTGTTCCGTCAGCCTCATTCCAACTGCTTGCTCTTCACCAATGGACAGGTTTCCAGCATACGACAACCTGCCCCTGATTACCATCAATGGTAAATCAAAACGGTGTGCTTGGGGCCTTTTTGACGAGGAGGGTAAGAAAGACGTCTTTGGGTGTTTGAACAAGATCACGCCAGATATCGTCACCAAGGCAGCAGCCGAGATCAAGGACGGAGTTACCATTTCTCTAAAGTGAGTCAACGGAAAAAAAAATAACTTGAGACTACTGACTGCATGATGTCTGACGACACTCCCATCAGCTGGCCCCTTCGTGTACCGCGAAAGCCAGGGTTTGGACGCAGGGGTCTGTCCCACAAAGTGATCTCTTTCGTCGATTCCCCCCTAGCAATACACGGATATGATGACGAGGTGAGCAGGCCTGATGTTCAACACACCGTATTGACCTGGGTCAGCTATGATTAATGCAGCTGCTGCCTTCTAGGTCGAATTCAACACTCAATGCAGTAGTCAATGGGATGCCCTGTGTCAGTTCAACTCTACTCCCCAGTGGCTACTCAAAATACCTGGGCCCTGACCTGTGAGACTTCAGGCCACTTCTACGATCAAGACTTCAAGCGCGGCTACAACGACGCAAACCCAACGATTGAGGACTTGGTTCAAGACTATGGCGAGGAGGACAAGGACTTTGTTTTTCCCACGTTGAACCGTATGTGCTCTGATCTCCTCGTGGTGATTGAAGCACACGACAGCGTGACTCACGAGGAAACTTCTAAATAGACTGGCATGCTCGCGGCGGCCTGGCAACACGGGGTGTGCTCATCGACTACAAGGCCTACGCCGACAGAAAGGGCATCAAGTACTCTCCATTTGCCGCTCATAAGATCACCATCATGGCCGTGGAAGAGATTGCTCGGGAGCATGGCATCACTTTCCGGCCCGGAGATGTCTTCTTGCTGCGGACGGGTTATGTTGAAGACATTTCACAAGCAAAGAACGAAGAGGAACAGATCAAGATGAACTCTTCGGTAGACAGCATCGGGATCGAGGATACTGTGGAGGCGGTCAAGTGGTTTTGGGACCAGCATTTCAGCGCCGTGGCGGCCGACAATCCGGGATTCGAAGTCATGAGACCGACCAAGGACGGAGTCGATGCCAGTGGCACAACGGCAGACTATGGTAATAAGCACGCTGCCACTCTGTCTTCCGTTTAATTCTGTAAACCTAGCTAACCAAGCCAACCAACCGACGAACAACAGTCTTGCATCCAAATTTCCTGGCCTTGTTGGGCCTACACATCGGCGAGCTCTGGGATCTCAAGGCCCTGTCGGAGTATTGCCAGAATACAGGTCGGTATACATTCATGCTGACCTCGATGCCGCTGAACTTTGCCGGTGCTTGCGGCTCTCCACCCAACGCGATGGCCCTGTTCTAGACCAGACCAGCTCAGCTCGTAGGTTGCCATGCTGCAAGCAGCAAGAGGCTTCCAAGGTATATATAAGTTTAGTCAGAGTCCAGATGACAGCGAATCGTCAGACCAAGCCATAAGCTCTAGAAGAAATAATGCAATTCTTTCCCACCCCTGTAGCCGAGCTGAGTCCTGTACCTAGCTAAAGCGTCAAATGAATGGACTTCGAATGCGTCCAGAGTGTAGACCTCCGTCGATGACAATATCCGCTCCCGTCGTATACAGAGACGCATCGCTCAGAAGGTAGATGATGGCGGGAGCGAGATCGTTCCGCGTGCCAATGCGGTTCATGGGCGGCTCCTTGTTCATGAGTTCGATCCGCTTCGGCTCCTTTTGCTTGAGTGGCGTCAGCATCTCGGTGTCAGTGTAGCCCGGCGAGATGGAGTTGACGCGGATGTTGCTGGGACCCAGCTCGACGCTGAGGGCGGTGCCCAGCATCTTGACCGCGCCTTTGGATGCGTTGTACGCCGACAGTCGGTGGCCCGGGGTTGCACAGTGACCGGATATGGAGGCGATCAGGACGATACTGCCTCCCGTACCTTGGTCGAGGATGTACTTGGTCGCTAGTTGGGCGGAGAAATATGTCCCTCCAATCTGTAGGAACCGGTGAGGTCATTAAGTTAGCCAAAGGAAAGGGAAAAAATGTTCATCTTTGACGATTGCGAGAATGTATAAGTGCCTCCTGGGGGCTATCCATTCGAGACAGCAGAGCCTCTGTGCGAGACGGCGACGCGAGGTTGACTTACATTAACATCAAAACACTTTCGCACCTGGTCCCATGTATGATCCACAAACGGCCCTTCAGGACAGATGCCTGCCGCAGTGACACTGTAGAAGAGATTCATCAGCTAGAACTCCTTTTCGTACAGTCAGGGCTCATGATTCCGGGGAGGGATGGTCGGGAAGCACACCATCCGTCCAGAGTTTTGAAATCCGCAATCGTCTCCTCAAAAGCCTTGATCAGGCTCGCCTCGTTCGCCACATCGGTGCGTAGATACTTTGTCTTTACCCCGAATTCTCTCTCGAGATTCGCAAAGTCCTTGACAGGTTCCGGCCCCGCGTCCAAGATGGAGATGTTGCCCCCGAATTCAGCGATGGCGCGTGCCGCAGCATACCCTATGCCCCGCCCTCCGCCGGTGATGACATAGTTCTTCCCGCTCAGAGTAAACTTCGACCTGACGCTCGAGAGGTCCCCGTCAGCCAAAGGCGCCGTTTTGAACCCTCGAGTACCTCCGAGAGCAGCAAATGATCGTGTAAGAGGTTTGGTGGTAGCAAGCGCTCGCACTGGGATTGAATACAGTGCACTCACGCATCTCAAACACCGTTCGGAAACCATGTTGTGTTGTCTGTTGAGGTGATCTCTGTGCTTCAGAAGAGGTCGTCGACATCGATTTCGAAATAGCCATCGCGAGCAGCTGCGGCAAAACAGACCACAAACCGCCCCATCATACTATCGCTACCGCGCTCCCAAAGGGAAAAAAAAGAAGGGGCTCACAATGTCCGGGAAAGTCAAGTATGGCCGGCCCAATTGAAGCCGAGTTGAAGCCGAGCTGAAGCCGGGGCCATTGTCCTATACCAAAACCGTCTGGCTGTAAAGGAGTCAAGTCTCTACCTCATAGATTGCCGAAATCTATCTCGAAAAATTCGTCCCCGCAGCTCCAAGTCATGCAGCCGGCGAAAAGGTTCAATCAGAGGGGAAGAGAAAGACAATTTGGGTCGACAAGCATGGCATAGGGCCAAACAGAGAAGCAGCCGCTCTGGAAATCTTGTATCCACTGAGTCACCCTCTCTTCCCCGAACATTTTCTAACGGAGAATTATGTTCCTATGACACTGTTTGCTTGCGGGTATTTACCCCGAGACTGGGCGCCAAATGACCTGTTTTCAGTCTTACACAGCCAGACGGCCGCCGTCTACTGGCAGATTGACACCGCTCACGAACGCTGCCTCATCACTTGCCAGGTAGATGGCGGCGTTCTTGATGTCGTTGGGCTCGGACATTCGGCGCAACGGAACGCTGAGTGCGAACTTGGCCCGCTCTTCAGGCGTGTCGGGCACACCACTGAACATCTCAAGCAGCCCGGTAGCTCCTCTCAGAGGGCAGATGGAGTTGACGCGGATTCCATCCGGTCCATACTCGGCCGCTAGACCCTGAGTAACCTATATTGAACAGAAAAGCAGCCATTAGTATATTCATTAACTCAACAAACTTTAACCAGTAATACACCTTTCTTCAGTTGACATACCGTGTTCATAAAGCCTTTAGTCCCACCGTAGAAGACCTGGCCAGGTCTCACTCTCGTACCGGCCACGGACGAAGTGCCCAGAAAGACTCCGGATTTCAGCGAGACAAAGTAAGGCATGATGACCGAGACGCTGAGATAGACGCTCTTGATGTTGACGGCGATGATCTTGTCAAAGTCGGCCTCAGACACTTCCAGGGACGGCTGCTTCCTGTAGGTCGTTCCCGCATTGTTCACCACAATATCGAGCTTGCCGAATTTTGATTTAGCTAATTCAAGGCCTCGTTCCCAGTCGCTTCGCTTCGTCACGTTGAAATCGAGAAAGACTGCCTCCCCATTCCCGGGATATTTCTTGTTGGCGATTTCCTCCACCACCCGCTGACCGCTGGCGACAGCAATATCAGCAACGAGAACCTTGGCGCCCTCTTGCACAAAGCCATGGGCAATGGCCTCGCCGAACCCGGATCCTGCACCGGTGATGATGGCGACTTTTCCCTCCAAGCGACCCATTGTTGCAGAGCCGATATTGATCGATAGATCCCTTCTTTCACCGTCGTTTTTAGAACGGAAGATTTTGGTTTGCTCACCGTATTGATTGAATCCGGAGAGAAGCGACCATGACTTTATGCAGCATAGTCCATCAAATCAAAGGACGAACCACAGCTCGGATCTTTTTAGTGGCCTGCGCGTCTGAAGCGTCGACGGGAAGCGCCTCCGCAGTGCCGACTCCCAAGTGAGGAAGGATGCAATAGGAGTGAATATCTGCTCCATTCGGTGAATGCTGCTGCACAGCAGAAGCAAGCAACGCATTCCCTCGACAATGTGGTGGAGTATTTGCCGGCACCAGAGCCGAATACCGGCGCCGGGGCGAAAAGGGTAAAAAATGTGGAATGCCTATGGTGATAGCCCCTCGAGTATCTTGTTCAGTACGGTTTCATGGCATGCAATGGATAGACGCCAATGAGAGCCGGTACTCGCCGATGACTTCTTTGTTCTGGAGTGGATAGCCCTGTCAAAGTTTTTCCCATTCGTGAAAATCGAGCCCAGTCCGCTATTATCCCTTAGACACACCGAGAGCTGTTAAATCCCTCATTTCGTTGTCGGATTGCCACGGCAATTGAAGGTGAAGGACATTTCAAAGTGGTCAGAGTTTTCGTCCACGAAGCCGTAGAGGAGATCGTTTTGGAACATGTCCCTACTCGGCGACCAGTTCGCCATAGTGAGAAACCGTTGCTGAGGGTCACCTTGGGGATTGTTAGTCCTGGTATCGGTGTTTTGAGCTGTACTGGTCAGCAACGAAATGGCTTGGCAGCTCGCCGAATTCTGGTCTTCAGCATTATCCACGTTGTTGGAAGGATATGAGATGGCCAGGCTATCATAGACCGAAGGAGTGCCTTGGGATACTCCCATCCTAGTCATGGGCCTTCGGATGATATTAATGGGCCGAGAGACTCCCGCGTTGGGTATTGTGAGGTCTTCGAGACACTTGAGGCTTGAATGCAACAAATACGAGTGCTCGAAGCCCATTGTACTGTCAAAGGCGGCAGCGTTGCGGGCGTGGATGGTGCATGCCACAAACAGAGCGTAGCTGGCCAGATAGGGAGCTCACGCAACGTGTAGGAAGACTGTTAGAGGAGGGCGGTGCTCGTAATACTTCTGGCCGCCTCCGTGCACTTCTTCCATGAGTTCGTCTGTCCCGCTGCAGCTCTCAAGTGGCCAACAGCCACAAATGGACGATGCAAGAGGACAACTAGAGCATGGTAGATACAATGGAGGTTTAGAACGTTGGGAGCATAGCATTGGACAGACTTTGAGAAGTCAGAGAGCGGGTCAAACTGCACTTCGGAGGGCAACCTCGATTTCCATCGACCCATTGACGTGTCGGTCCCCTCAAGACTGGCTCTGGCTGACGAAGGTGCGGCGTTAATGACATAAGATTTGTTGATGATCTGGGTCATAATCTTGGAGAGCTTGCAGAGTTTTTGGAAGCATGAGATAGAATACGCGGGAATAGGGAATTACCTCCGGTCGAACTGTGATCCATGTACGGACCCACGGCTCGTTCTCCTTCAGCGTATCAAGCAGCTGAGGTGAGACACATGCGTCCCGCAAGTGAATCGCAATGGGTCGGCCCATGTATAGGCTCTGCAGTTTGTCGCAGATGAAGGCTCCCCAAAAGTCACGGCAACGCAGCTCAATCTCCTCCGCATTCTCGAAGGTAGCCTTCCGATCTGTCTGTAACCCAAGGTCATAGAGCATCCGCAGCGCGTAGCCCGTATAGAGCCAGCCTTTCGAGGTTTTGCCCTGGGCGTTGAATGTGGATCCTAGAAGAAGGAGGCCGATGATGATAGGCATGCTGGGCTCAACAAGCAGCCCTTCCCGTAGAAGCTCATCGCAGCGGCGTAAGTATTGACCACCGGCCGTCAGTAGATCATTTGGGTCGTCTCGAATCTCTGGCCAGGTTGAGAACTTGGCCGAACAAGCGAAGATGGCGTTCAGCAGGAATTTGGAGGCAAAGGGTCCTCCTTGAAGTACATCCGGCATGATGACTGGTCGGTAGGTCAGCAAGAAGGTGTGATGCTGCCGAGTCCAGTGAAGATTGAGCAGGTGTATGGCCAGCTCAACTGGGGCGCCGTCCATTTCTACCAGACAGGAGTAGATTTCATGCTCCCGCTGTCGGCTGAGAACAGCATTTGCAATGAGCTTGTTCTGGACGTGAGCCAAGTCGTCGGGAGCCAGGGCCTGTCCTGGCGGTCTTGTCACCGCCTGCAACGCAGACGAGGGCTTAAAGGAATCTAAGTTTCCCTGGTCGCCCAGTGAGAGAAATGGAGACATATCAAAGGTGTCGCTATCGGTTGAGTTGCGGCCTCGCGAGTCCTCTCCACTCGCTGAGTGGTCCGGAGAGAATTTCGGAACAGTGGCAGATGGTGATGGATTATTAGTCGAAGACCCGGGCTGTTGGACAGTACCCTCGTCGGAGAGTGTGATGGTGCTTAACAACGTTGTGGCTTCCCTAGGAGAAACACTTTTGAGACTACGAATGATGTCCGCGAGCTCTTCCTTTCCGAGCGCAATGCTGACAAGCCTGCGATGGTTAGCCTGCCATGAGAAATGAGCTCTAGCCAGTCTTCTGTGCAACCGGGCATCTTTCGGTTGCCTACCTTGTCTTAGGGCTCTGGACTCTGTACACACATTGGCGCTTCTTGCTGAGCAGAAGCTGCAGCAGGGTTTCTTGCTGTCGCATTTAATCTTACGCATGCGACAGAACTCACATGCTCTGGTCAGGGCTTGCACGGTGGTTGTTGCGTTGACGATGATGACGCAGGAGGAGACAGCATCTTCTGTTAGGTTTCATCGCCACCAGCGCGCGTGGCGTGACAGAGGCGCTGGTGACCTCTTCCTATTTTTCAACACTCCCCAACAAAGGTGAAAGACAGTAGTGGTCGCACTCTCTCCTACGGAAATCTTCCAAGCGTCCCCTTCGGGCCACCGACGCCACAGGACCGAGACGAATAAAGGCACAGGCAGAAAGGCTACCGGTCCAAGCTAGCTCCCCTATGGGCGCTTGCCCGAAATATAGCTCATCCGAGGGAGACTCCAGTGCAGCTCTTGTGGCGGTGGGAGGAGAAGCCTGGCTCCGGCTTTCGGCAAGACATTGCCGGACGATGCTCTCCAGTACTCGATGGACGAAACCTCAAGGCTGAAGCCCAACAAGAAGTCCCTTTTCAGACTACAGAGTTCCTTCTCTGTACCAGTGGGAGTCGAGCGGAAACGACATATCGGGCACTCAGAAAGAAAAAGGGTGGCGAACTAGCGTCCCATCCTGGGGAAGATTTTGTGAATACTCTAAGCATCGAATGCAAAAGTCGGGAGAAGGAGGATACTCCGGGCACGTCCTTCAGCATAGACATCTGCTCGCCAGCAGATCTTGCGGCCTCAGTGCTTCCGTAAGAAGTCATCCTTCGGCCTTGCTAATAGCCTCAAGCCTCTGCCGAAAAAGGAAAACCTACACAGCCCTGTGACCGAGGGATCAAACAAACGCATATTCTCGCCGGGCCTGTCAATCGATCCTCTGCTGCGTCATCGTTGCTGGGGAAGTCCTGGGGTCTCCATCTTGCAGGAAAGAGGGGGGATTTTCCTCTAGACCATGGCTTCCAAGTTCTATAAAGCAGCAGAAATCTTGTGGCGTGAGTCGAAATGAATTCGCGAGCTCAGCAAATGCTCTTTTGATGCTGACCACAATAACAATCAGGGCGTATCATACAGCTGCCAGCATTCACCGGCCCGGCATCAATCGCCATGAAGGCCCATGCTATTGTGAAAGCTGCCACAGCTGTCTCACTGCTGGTTGGCCCCTCGACCTCACTGGCCCAGGCGAACGAGAACCTGGCCTCCATCAACCCAGAGTTGACATACCTCCTTCCCTACCCGTTTGAAGGCAACCTGACCCAGGATTTCATCGACGGCACCAGCCTCGGCAACAGTACCGTGGTCTCTACGTTGAAGTCGGCTCAGTCTTCGCCCTTCCTATCATTCGACCAGGAGTTCGAGGACCTGATCGGTAACGCAACCCTCAACACACTCGTGGCTAATACCAGCTTTCCCTACACCTGGGCTGGTGAGGGAGGCATCTGGGTCCCTGATCTCAACCAGGTCTGGATGACCTCGACCCTCTACAATGGGCCCACATCGTTGTATGTGCTTTTCCTCGAGAACAATACCGTCATCAAGCCTAACTTCACGGCTGCACCGGGATACGGACTGCACCTACCGCTGGCTGGTCCTGCTGGTGGCTACTACTTCAACGGCACCATCTACATGGCTTTGACTGGCGATGAGCGCGAACCTGCTAGTCTGGTCGCCATCAACCCGCACAGTTATGAGGCGACGCCGCTAGTCAACTCCTATTTTGGCCTGGAAATGAACCCCATTGACGACGTGGTTGTCACCTATACCAACACCAGCAACGGACCCCAGAAACACATCGTGAGTGCACTCTTGCCTAGCCTATGCCATGGAGGTATCCGTTTCTGACCAAATCTTCCTCTCAAAGTATTTCTCTACATTAGATTTGGCCGCATTTAAGCTCAACGTAGGTCGTGGAGCACCAATGTTACCAAATGCTTTCTGGAAATTCACCCCTACTACGCACACACTGCAACCCGTCATTTCTCGCGCGGACGTCATGACTCCGAACGGCGTGGCTGTGGACAAGGACTTCAAGCATCTCTACGTGACTGATACGTCGGTAAGTTCTTACTTCGCGGAATCATCTGCGCCGTTGGAACTTCGAGCAAAGAGCTGAGTTAGATCCTACTATGACAGGCGACCGTCTCGGTCGGCGGAGGAGCACAGTGGAATGTTTCGGGCTCGCCAGCAATCTACCGGTATGATTTAACTGCGGACGGACTTGTCACGAATAAATCTCTATTCGGCATCACCCGTGAAGGGGTGTCCGATGGAATCAAAGTTGACGACAAGGGACGCGTGTGGACCGCAGAATACGAAGGCATCGTGGTGCGCAATGCGGTTGGCAAGGTCATTGGCATCTTCAACAAGGAAGTTATCCTACGGAGCAAGAACCCGCCGGCAGAAATGACTAATTTCGCCCTGGGCGGTAACACCCTATACATCCTCGCCAACGACCACATCCTGACGGTCAATTTCACCGAGACCGTCATCGCCCCAGGTAGGTTCTTCTTGCCGGGATAGCATTTTAGGGATCAGGAAAGACACCTTGTCGACTGGACATGATTTGGTCGTACGATTCTGGTATTACTATATAGCTAATAAAACAGGCCAGGACCTCTAAAAGCATTGAAAGAGCCTTGTGCAGTCATGAACTATCATGATGCTACATATTCTATGACTGGAATGACCCTGTAGGAGGTTAAATATACCATGATGCGTTTGGAAGCTACACGATAAATACCCAGAAGAGTTTTGCTCAGACCTGATCGACCGAGTCAAGGCCGTTGATCATCAACCATACCGACGTTGCGTCTCGGTCCTAAAGAATATCTCGAGTCAGCTGCTGGTGCACCCATCGCCTTTGGGGGAGATAGTATATGATTCACCTTGCAGCGAGGGTCTTCCATTGCTTTCCTGAACGTCTGCAGCGCGTTCTTGGCCATGGTGGCATCGATGCCGGTCTGCTCGCCCGCCTCCACCCCCAAAGTTAAGTCTTTGACGATCATCATCGGTCGAAAGCCCGCCTTGAAACCTTGACTGCTGGGCAGATGCGGGAGCAGTCCCGGACAGGGCTGGAAGTTGTGGAAGGTGGCCGAGTTCCCACCCGAATTCTTGACACAGTTGAACAGTACGTGCTTGTCGACACCTAAGCGGATGCCGATCGACATGGCCTCCGCGATCGAGAGCATGTTGCAAAAGGAAAGGTAATTGTTGACAATCTTCGCCCCAAGCCCATTACCCAGCTGGCCGCAGAAAATGATCTTCTCGGGGCTGGCCATCATGGCGGCGACAGACTTGATGCGTTGGGCAATGACCTCGTCCTCTTCAGCATGGCCGATAAGCATTGACAATGTGCCATTTTTGGCGCCAATGGGGCCACCCTGAGATCGTGTGTTTTTAGTCAGTCATTACCAGCATTCCGATGTAGAGCACTGCTTGCTGCCCGACTTACCGAGACGGGAGAATCAAAGTAATGGCCGATACCGGCCTCAATCACCTTGCTGCCCACGTCTCGCGTGGTCTGAACGTCGACCGTGCTGCACTCCAAGATGATCCGATCCCGCTTGGACGCACGGATAACGGCGCCAGTACCCTCGAGATACACCTCCTGCACATTCTTCCCACTAGGCACCGACGTGATGAGCGTGCCACTCTGATCGACGCCGGCCTTGGGCGACCCGACAATCTCAATCGGGCCCAAATCTGCAAATTCCTGGACAAACCGCTCGCAGGCGTCGCGAGAGACGTCGTGCACCAGCAGCTTGGCTGACGGTGACATCTTCTTGCGAACATTGCCGGCCATGCCATAGCCCATGGCCCCCAGGCCTAAGTTTGTTGTTTCATCAGTTTCTCGGCTTGCTCACGGCATGAAGACTCCGTTCATCGTCTGATTTCAGCCTCACCTACGAAAGTGATGTTGTCAGTCATTGTTTGCTCTGCGCGGCGGGGTTTTGAGTGCGGAAAGTGCTTGTGAAAGCGAGATTTGGGCGCCAAACTGCGGAATGGCGCGTCTCCAGCTTTCTGTGCAGATCTGTTGATTCTCTCCTCTGTGGCCTCAAAATCAAAGAACTCGGACCCCTTGAATTTGCAGCTCAAAAGGGTCAAAGTTCTTGTTGGCTGCGTTCTCTTACCAGATCCCACTGGCCGGTTCGTCAACGTCTGGAGCAGCCTTGGGTTCCCGTATTAGACGGCAGACGAGATCCGAAGTCCGGCGCGCCTGTCGACCTAATTGGCCCGGGTTCGTGGCATTCGGCAAAGCATCCCCAGGGGGTAACCAGCCTTGTCCGGCTTTCGAGCGGGGAACCGCCATACATGTTCAGGGCGGAAGAGCGCTTATCCAGATCCTGTCGGCGACGTCGGTTCTCAGCCCGCATTTCTGATAAGCAGGTATACGCACAAACCATCAAACTATCTGGATGTGGGGAGGACAGAGGTTGAACACCCCTTTTCCCAGTGCTGGTCCCAGCGTTGGTCCCCCTACCCAATGGAGCGGGCTTCATGTTCTAGACCTGACGGAGGTCCAGCCTTCCGCATCCTCCACGGAGCGTCTGACTCCAGATACCTCCCCCTCCTGACGGCAGAGGCATAAAGCTGGGCCAGGGCCGCAAACCTCAGCTTCCAAGGAAGTTGTCTTGAAAACCATTCCCAGAACTTGACGGCGACCGGCAAAGAGAAACGCCGAAAAGATTGCTACCACACCGCGCCATGGCGATCGGCACGAAGGCAAATCGATACAACTTCCTAATTGCGTTCTTTGTGACACTGGGGTCCTTCACCTACGGCTACAACTCTTCCGTTACAGCTGGTGTCATCGGCCTCCCGACCTTTTTCAAGTACTTTGACATTGACGTAACTACCAGTTCTGGTAGCTCGACCCTTGGCGGTAAGCTCATGTCTCTTGAATACCGCCGAGATGCCAGTTAATGGTGCCGAAGACTCACGATGAGAGTGTGTATACTAACGTGAAATGGTGCCCTCACAGCAATCAATGCCGTCTATCTCGCAGGAGGGGCCATCGGTTGTTGGACGTTGGGCTGGCTGGCCGACATCATTGGCCGGTGTCGCACCATTCAGGTCGTCTGTGTCATCTGTGTCATCTCGGCCGCCATTCAATGCGGCTCTGTCCATGTGGCCATGTTCCTGGTCGGGCGGCTGATCAATGGCTTTGGCGTGGGCATGATGAATTGCGTAATTCCCATCTTCCAGTCCGAGATTTCCCCTCCAACCCAGAGAGGGCGTCTCGTAGGCCTCCACGGATTCATCCTGGTGGCAGGTTATGTAAGGCTGTCTATCGGTGGACTTCATTTTCTTGGATTGTGCAGAACCTCGACTGACTCACTCGTTGTGTTTTGGCAGAGCTGCGGTGGTTGGACGTCGTATGGCAACTACTTTGCACATAATGCCGCTCTGCAGTGGCGTTTGCCCCTTGCTCTCCAGCTTGTGGCCCCCTTGTTGCTGCTTTGTGGCAGTCCCTGGCTTCCAGAGTCTCCTCGTTGGCTGATCAGCCGCCACCGTGACACTGAAGGTGAGTTGACGCGCGCTGTGATGGTCACTCCGCCACGACTGACGATCCGGGCTCTCTCAGGCATGACCATTCTCGAGGACCTGCACCGAGTCACGACGGATCCCGATGCCACTGGTGCGCACATCGAATATCAGCAGATCAAGGCCCAACTCGAGCTCGAGGCAGAAGATAATCTGGGCTCTCTGATCCAATGCTTCCGGAAACCGCACATTCGCAAGCGCATGATCTACGGCTTCCTCCTGCAATGGCTACTCCAGAGCACCGGCGTCCTGGTCGTCTTCAACTACCAGACACTCCTGTACGCCAATTTGGGCGTCACAGGCTCCTTGCCTATCCTGCTACTGTCAATCTACAACCTTGTGGCGGCGTTTTTCAATTTTGTCAACTCCCTTATCCTGGATCGGCTGGGGCGGAAACTCGTTATCAGCGTGGGAATAGTAAGTTCTCGCTCAGCTCCCCATCGAAAAGAAGAGCCACTGATGTTGTCTTCCATGGAGGTCGGCTGTATCGTTGTCCTAAGCGTGTACACCGCTCTCGTCGCTGAGTTTGCCAACTCCCAGAACCGCGTCGGTAATGGGTTCGCCATTTTGTGTCTCTTCCTCTTTGCCGTCTTTTACGGAGGTGCCCTCGACGCCTCGAGCTACGTCTACTGCACTGAGATCTTCCCTACCTCGGTCCGTGCCCACGGCGTGGGATTCTCGGTCAGCGGTCTGTTTCTGTCTAACATCGTCTACACCCAAGCGGCCCCAACCGCCTTCAACTGCGTGGGCTGGAGGTATTTTCTCGTCTTCATTATCGTGCCAATTGTAGGGCTCTACCCGTTCATTCATTTCTATCCCGAGACTAAAGGTCTTTCTCTAGAAGAGGTACGTTTGATTCTGGCTCTGGCTAAAGATCGCGTTATTAACCCGGGATGTTTGCGTACAGATTGCTGCCAAATTCGGAGACCCAGTTGCTCTCGAAACCACCGAATTCATCGGCGGGAAACCTGACATTGAGAACATCACCATGGGAAAGGAAAGACACTGCACGCATGAAGAGGTGGCTGAGTAGGAGATCACGGCTTATCCTTCAACGACAGGGGGTTGAGGAGGAATCGGAACCAGTTTTCTCATTCGATCTGCAGGCTGATGCCGGACAAAACTGGAAACATCCTTACTTTGGCAAAATGGGTAGCACCGTTGTACCACCCATTGCTACCCTTACAGGGTGTCTCCATCAAGAAACGGTTCTTCTGAGTTATTTTAATGCAGACCCTGCTTAAAGCAATCCACCAGACTTCATCTCTAGTAAGAAAGTGTAGGAAGGACGATTTGGGGCTGAACCCCTCAAGTCTCGGCAATGGCATAAAGAATCATCGGACGACAATGTCTGGACGGGCCCCAGAGCAAGCCCAATACGGCTGTGCCGCGGACAGTAAGGGGAAAAACACCCGTGACCGGACGACCTTGAAATGTCTCGCTTAACAGTATGAAAGCGAAAGGTGCCAATCACGGCGAAAGTGAGTCACTAGGTGTGAGTTAGGAAGGGGCAAATGTGTTTTTCTCGGTGAGTGTAGCGGTACAGCATCGTCCGGCAGAAGGAGTCTTAGACCACAAACACTCCTTGGGAAAACATGCCGGCTTCCGCCCTCCTCCTCCTCCTCTTCCTGCTTCCTTCTCTCCCTCCCCGCTCTCCCAGACGACAATGGCTCAACGATCCGGTAAATCCGAGCAATTAGGGACTATCCCACTCCCTTGCCCCCCTCCTCCCCCCAAAATCACAGATTGGCTTACTGGAAGCATACACAGATCTGTGCAGATGCTGAATGCCCGGAAGATTATTCTGCCACATGTTGCGAACGGCTATTTACATACCTTGTTTGGTCGCTGGTGGGCATTCTCACTGCCTTGCCATCAAATCAGCACAAGAGTTGCTGCCTCCTCCTCTTGCTCTTATCGACAATGCATGTCATTAGCTCAATGAAAAGACGGATTCGCCAGCAAGGTGGAGTGTTTCTTTTTTTCAGCAATTACATCTGGTCGATGTCCAGATCAACTTACTTCGGCGTGCCGTCACTGAGCCTTCTCCCTCTACACTGAGTCACAGACTGCGAGCCTTCTCCTCGCCGTCGTTCGGTGCGCACACTCCTCTGTTTCATTTTATCTCCTCTCTTGCTTCTGCGCTTGCTCTACCCATCCACCCACCGTCTTCTACCTCAAAATGACCTCCCGAAATACCTATCTCGCGGCCGGCATTGCCTGCAACACAGCGGCCATGTTTGGCTACGGTACGGGCTACATTGGAAGCTTGTTGGTTTTGCCTTCATTCAATCATAGATTCGGTCTCGATCTTCTGTCGCGCCATGCTCTGGCAATGACGCAGTCTCTGGTGGTCTCGGTTTGGCTGCTGGGAGCTTTGGCTGGGGTGGTAGCTGCCTTGCCCGTCTGTTCTCATCTGGGACGAAAGATGTGTCTTGTCTGTTGTGCCGCCACTTATGTCCTCGGAGCCTTGCTCCAACTGGTCCCCAGCGGCAAGTCGATGGCTGCCTTTGACACTGGCAGATTGCTCAACGGCATCGGCGTCGGAGCCGGCACGCTAGTGACACCACTCTACATATCAGAAATCTCTCGTCATTCCCAACGCGGGATGTTACTAGGCTCGTGGCAGGTTGGGATCCAGATTTCTGCCCTGGTCGGCTTCTGGGGCGGCTACGCTTCCCATCGCAGTCTACCCGACACGTTGGACTTGCAATGGGAAGTGCCCGTGGCCATTCAGCTTGTGCCCGGGTCTATCTTGCTTTTTGGGAGCCTGGTCCTCCCAGAAAGCCCCATATGGCTGGCGGAACGGCACGATTCGGAAGCACTTCGCAGCGCGATAGCATGGCTCCGTTCCCAGGACGTCTCGTCGCCTGAAGTCATCTCGGAAGCAGAAGAGCACTGTCAGACAGTGATGGAGCGCAAGAAACAGGAAGCTTTGGGACCACGATCGAGCACCTGGAGGGAAATTATCCGTCCATCCATTCGCAAACGGCTCAACTGCGGCATCGGGCTGATGACTTTGATGACTCTGAGCGGCACCAATGCGCTCAACTTCTTTGCCCCGACCATTTTTATGAGCGCTGGGTTCACCTCCACATCAGCTTCACTCTTTCTGACCGGTGTCTTCGGCTTGGTCAAGCTGGCAGCCGCGCTGTCGTTCATGTTTTACGTAGTCCACTTCCGAGGCCACCGGTTCTGGATCATATTGGCCTCGGCCGTGTGCTCTTTTGCACTGTTCACTCTAGCCTTCTGTGTGCGGTTCTTCGAGACCACCACGAAAGGGCACTTTCTTGGCTTTTACCTCGACAACGGCGGCATCCCCACGCTCCCCGGCGTCCTCGGGTGCATCATGGTGCTGATATTTGCATACTTCTTCGGCATCGGCCACGGACCCATTGCGTGGAATTTCTGTGCTGAAGTCTTCCCCGCGCACCTCAGTACCATGTGCTGTACCATCACCACCTGCACGCAGTGGCTCTTTCAGGTGGTCAACGCCGTCTTGACCCCGTTCCTTCTTACAACAGCTGGGTGGTACACCTGGATCATTTTCGGCTGCGTCAATGCATTCACACTAATCTGGGCTATCCTCTACATCCCAGAGACAAGAGGTGTGCCGTTGGGCAAGCAAATGGATGCGTTGTTCGAAGATGTCACGATAGAGCCCACTCGAGATGACGCATCTGACGAAACCGAGGACATGATGGTCGTTGGCGAAGAGACACCACTACTAAAACCGCAGCGCTACATGAAGTAGCAGAGGGGCTAACGGAACAAGAAACAAGGATTTCGGTAGTGAAACCCATTTATAGACACGCACAGTAGAGATGGAAATGGCCCATAGACTTACACAAAATGAGGCATGCTATTTGTTCCGGTTAGCCTCTTCCGCGGTATACATTGAAAGCTCATGTCTTGCTTCTTAAATGCCCTAGCGTGGCGTTACCGACGGTTTCCGCCTCGTAACGGTTCGGGTACTTGATTCATAGAATACAAGGGTGAGAACCAGCATATTGCGGAGGTGTGCCTAGGATAGACGAGGGTAACAGACACAGTATCGGTCTTGTAGCAGCCCTCTGCGTGGTTATGCAGTCTCACCCCGCCCCCGGGGACACTCGAAAAATGAAAGAGGGGGCTAACTCGGCCCATGCTTCGGCATTCAGGCTTAGGAGGAGCAAGAGGAGATAGATGTTGACTGGATTCGTCGTAGATCGCCAACTGGGGGTGCCATCTACCCGGACGCTCCCAGGCCCGTGGCCAAAACATAAGGAACCGGTCTCGCTTTGATTGAAGACCGAGTCGCTCACATCCAAACCATTTGAACGCGGTGAATTGAAAGGCAAGACAGACCGTTGTCGTCAAGGAATCACTATTACGTCCTTTCCCCAAGGAGGCAAAGCATCGAGTCTCAGCCTGAGTGCCTGGTTGTTTGCTCGCCGGTTTACATGCAAAGATGGCGTCAGATATTGGATTCATTGGTTAGATACACCCCCTTTTCACATGAATACGGGCTGGATGTGTCAACTAACACGTAAACACACATGTTGCCGACAGGCCTGGGGAACATGGGCTACCGGATGGCGGTGAATCTTCGCAAGAAGATGGATCCAGAGGCGACGCTGTACGTTTACGATGTCGTCGAAGCCGCCTGCCAGCTCTTTTCCGACCAGTGCAGTGGATACGGCAAGATCGTCGTGGCCACTTCGTCCAGGGAGGTGGCAACCAAGTGTCCGACGCTGCTCTCGATCGTGCCAATGAGCAAGCACGTCCGCCAGGTCTATTTGGATCCGGAGAACGGGGTCATCGCGGCGCCCAAGGACCGCAACCGCCTGATGCTGGAGTGCAGCACCATCGAGATCAAGGCAACGCAGGACGTTGGCAGGGAAGTCATGGCCGCTGGGGCGGGCATCTATGTCGACACGCCCGTGTCCGGGGGCGCACGAGGCGCCGAGGAGGGCACCATTGCGTTCCTCGTCGGGCACCCGGGCCCCACGGAGGAGGCCGGGGCAGTCGCACAGCGCATCAAGGACGTCGTCTCGTTTATGGGGCGGCCCGACCGCGTCAACTTCTGCGGCAGCCTGGGCGCCGGGCTCGTGGGCAAGATCGTCAACAACTACATCTCCATCAACAACGTGCTGTCGCTGGCGGAAGGCATGGCGTTCGGGTTGAGGTACGGCGTCGACAAGATGACGTTGTACAACTGCGTCAAGAGCTCCAGCGGGGACTCCTGGGTGCTGGAGAACAAGAATTCAGTGCCCGGGGTGATCGCGAGGTCGCCGGCAAGCAATAACTTCAAGGCCACGTTTCCGGCCAGGATGGTGATCAAGGATTTGACGCTAGGTATCAACGCGGCGAAGGAAGTCGGCATCGATGCGACGATGGGTGAGAACGCCCTCAAATCGTTCCAGAGGGCGGACCAAGATCCTCGCACGACGGTCAGTGCAATTTGAAAAGTCCCCTGCTCTCGCTTCCGTGGCATCTCATATCAAAAGCTAATTCTTTCTTTCCTCTGATCCACAGGACCTGGACTGCACATCTATCTGGCTGCACATGAACGGCGAGGTGGATGGGTGGGCCAAACAACAGCAAGCCCAGTAGGCATGGAACCGTATCCACAACCACTTGCTACTTATGTAGATGCCTGGCTTATCTCATGTCATGTCATGCCTGCACGACACAAGCCAGCTGTAGAAGCAGCGGTGTCTCGTCTAATCCATGAAATGCACTCAGTCCGAGGCTTGGTTCGCGTAGACGATGCTCTCGATGTCCCTGCAAAGTGAAATCACCACGGGGTCTGAAGAATTCGGGGAGGTCAGTGAGCGCACAGCGGGCTCGTTGGTATCGATCGACGACGAACCTGCGAACGGGAGAATCTGGGTCCCGATGAACCCCCCTACCCCTTTAATCCTGTCCGCCCACCAGTAGCAATTTGCCATCCCAGCCCAGCTACCAGTACCAGGACCTCTCCCTTCCACCGTAGGCTGCAGAGTCAACATGAAGCTGAGGCCCCATCCTTGAGGCAGATGGTGCGGCTGGGCAGGATACAGCTCCGCGATGGGGTATGTCTCGTCCGGCACGGCGGCGGGAATGCCCTGACGTGCAAAATTGGGGAACTCGGGAATCTGATTTTCGAACATGGCGTCCACGGTGGAGGGCTGGAGAATCCGCGCTCCCGTGACGGGGGATGCGCCGCCGTTGAGCAAGGTGGCTATGATTGCTTTGTTTGTTGTCAGTCCTTTGGTTTCTGATGGGTTGTGAAAGGATGTCTCTCAAAGCGCAGGCTTACCGCAATAGTCGGCTGGGCTGCTAAAGAAGCCGCCTGCCGCGTTCTGGAACGCACGCTCTCGTTCATCGGCGGTGTTGAGGTCGAGAACCGCTTGGATGAAATGAGGCCTCTCTTCGAGTCTGCCGTTCTGTAGCGATCGTCGGCTGAGTTGGGCCAGGCGAGCTTTCATGTTGCCGTTGGGGAACAGTGATATATCTTTTAAGCCGAGTGGCTCAGAGATGTGCTTCTTGACGTACGCTTCCATTCGCTCTCCACTGGCCGCCTCGATCATCAAGCTGACCCATTCGTTGTTGAACTTGACACAATCAGCAGATCGAGCCTTCTCGCCAGCAACATGGGCCTAAATACTCACGCCATAGTTCCATGCTGTCCCTGGGTGTGCGACAAGCGGCTGAGAGAAATCTCCCGCGTGAGTCGAGTTCAGAGCTACCCAGTCGCGGATCTCGGGGGAGTAAGATTTGTAACCAAATCCCGCTGTTTGTGTTCTTCAGCTTGTCCTTGGAATGTCTAGAACGAAGAATCCGGATCCCTTACCCGTGTGGTTCATCAGCATTCGCAGGGTGATGCGACCTTTCTTGTCCTCGAAGGAAAGACTTCCATCCGCCGACCGCTGTACGACATGGACGTCTTTCAGCCGCGGGCACAATTGCTCGACCTGATCGGCGTCATCGAGACTTAGCAGTGCCTTCTCCACGAGCTGCATACAAGCTATCGACAGGACCAACTTGGAGGCTGATGCGAGCCAGAAGATGGAATTTGTCTGCAGCAGACCAGCGTCATTGGAAGCACCGACTCTTCCGTGAGCAGCCTGAAAAATGTTTTGACCCTGTCGATTTACCACGCAGACCTCGACCCCAGGAATCCCGGTCGTCGCATCCTTGGTGGCGGTCTTCAGCCACTCTTGTAGCAGAGTTGCCCCCTCCTCTGACAGCCGGAAAGTCATTGCTTTGGAAATGAGAGACCCTGTTGTTCGGACTTTGCTGAAGGTTGGACAAGCCACAGACGATCTGTGACTCAACAAACATAGACCACCAAAAGATCTGAGGGGAGTCCTAGATACAAGCCAAGAGGTATATCACCACAGAGGCACTCCGTAGAATCGCATTAGTCGTGATGAGCGCCTAACGGTAGTTATATTTCTTTGCATCGCCGTCGATCGCACATCTTCGGCCAAATTCTTCGTGAGCGTCGATGCGATTGGAAACTTTATACCGAACGTGTATATCTCCTTGAAAGCTCACACACACCTCGGCCCAGCCCCGGTATACTGCTCGTCTCACAGAGACGTCTCTCGAGGAGGAAGATGGCACTAGGCACGGATCATCATTCAGCAATCGCATGGTTCAGCCTAGTTGCGCCTCAGCGGAGACAAAGTGTCCGGTCTTGGCGCCGGTTTAGGACTAGTTGACTGGCAATGCCGACGATTGGCACCAAGAGGGATACCTGGCTAACAAAGATACCAACTGCCGAATACGGAACCATGCAGTGAGTTGGCTTTCCGAAGCTCGCGATACGGCATGGAAAAAGGTACTAATAATCCCTTTATCCACATCTGAAGTCCTACAGTGACCAAACCGTCGAGGCCCCTAAGTACCTCGTACTTGGGTCGGTTTCCCTTCCCCGAACTTTAATGTGCCCTCTGGAATGCCACCGAGACCTTCGGAGGTTGAAAGCACACTCCTTTCAGCTACAGCCAACTTCTTAGAGTACCAGGCGTGCATCTAGCAAAGGTGAGCAACCGTGGTTTATGTCCTTCGAATAGTTGAGGATAACAATCTCGAAGTTCTAAGTCAAGGTCGGCCATGTCTGGTGCTGCGGCTTCACTCGACATTGGCCTCATTTCGGCCGTGATCTCCATCATCGAGACTACCAAAAAGGTGTATGACGCCGCCCAAGATGCCAAAGGTCAACCTGAAGTGTTCGGCAAGGTTGCTGCCAAACTTCCACTGGTGCTAAAAATCCTCCAAAAATCAAAGTTAGAAGCAGGGAAAGGCGACGAAGACAGACAGGACGAAGTGGAAATCACCATGGAAGCATGCAGGGCTAAGGCAGAGAAAATCCAGAAGATATTCTTCAAGGCGGCACGTAAAGACGAAGACGGTTGGTTTGATCAAGACAAGAAAGCCGTTAAAATGGTGACCAAGGGAAAAAGGTTGAGGGATTGATAAAGAAATTCTGGAGGCTATTCAAGTTAATGGGATCGGCTACAGAGGTGCAGGTAAAGGCGCTTACAGATGCCATCAAAGAGATGGACGAAATGCAACCCTCAATCGTTGGCGACACTGCTGGTGCAATCAATCAGTCAAACAGGGACGGCGGACACAACTTTGCATGAGCGGACCAGGGGCAATGAAAACCGCGTTGGGGGCATTCTACGATGTTGGTGGGAATGCCACTTTTAATAATAGTAAGTAATAAATGAAAGTATAGTATCTGAATTTCAATCCATGGGAATACTGAGACGAACTACGTCAAAGATGACATGTTCGGAGCATGAAGACGCATTGTCGGTTAACGCCCACGTACCAAGAAAGACGGGTCTTCCGTCTAGAAATCAAGAGCACGTCTCTAATAAAGTTCGCAGGAGGCCGACTGCCCAATAGCAGAAACCTAAAATACGAGAGTGGTTTTCGTACAACGTCCATTTCCGATCCCGGGCGTGAGCAATGCAGAGGATATTGTAGCTAACCGTTAAGCCCTGAATCACAGATGACGAGGTTTCAGGATCTCGGTTCGTCGGTTCCGCACTCTACTTCAGCTACCACTTTCACTACGGCCAGAGAGACTTGCCAGAGCCAAGCAAGCGTCAAGTTGACAATTACAACGACCCAATTTCTCAGTTCCCGAAGTTTGGCAACTCCCAGGCGTTCCGCTGTCTGCCAATTTGTGACGTCTCAATAACTGTTGAAGTCGACTCGACAGTCCCTCAGACTACACTCACTGTCACGCGTGCCTGCACGTGACGGGCTAAGATGGGGAAGGTCTACCGAGGGCTACTTCTACCTCGCTATCCCACTTCCTTCCTTTAATAGACTCCGTTAGAGACAGCCCACCATAATAGTTAGCTAGATAGCTAGAGAACCGTGCTATTATAGCCGTTTATCTCCACTAGTGTGGTGGATTCCTTACTTCCTTCTTTTCTTTCATATAATATAGTAGTAACGCTCTTAAACGTACTATACGTTTGATCGAAGTCTCTATCTAAATCTAGTCCCCTTCCGTAGTTATCTCTCTCTTATTAAACTCTTATCTCTCTAACTTCTCGGCCGGCCGCGAAGATACTCCTCCTTAGAGCCCTCACTAGCTTACGACTCTTAACGATCGTAGACTTCTAATCTATAACCTATCGGATCTACTCGCTTAAAGACTAGTTTTCTAGAATACGAGCGCCGGACTTTGAGTCGGTAGTTATAAACGGATTAATACTTTAATATTAGTTATAAAAAAATCATACTTAACGGACTATCTCTTACCTCTCTAAATACTACGGAAATCAGAAGAAGAACGCCTCCGAGAATATACTAAGTAGTTTTATAAAGTATACGGACGCGGTAAGAGACGGAACGCTAGGTTAACGTAAAATCAAACTATACTCTTACTTAGATCTAGAACGATATCTATTATAGAGTTATAATCTCTCTTATCTATTACGGAGATCTCGTCGTTTAGCTAGGTTACGAGTAAATAGACACTAATCGTTCCTTCTATTCCGTCTATCTCTAGATTCTACGTATAAACTCCGATATCGTATCTATCCCTCCCGGACGTACTCGAACGCGACTATCTCTAGAGGATAGGAGTTTAAGCCGCGAATCTCGCGGTATAGTAGCGAATTAAATAACTTACGAAAACTCCCGTCTTTTAATAATTCCGCGATAGAGATATAGTGTCCTTCTCTCTATCTTATAGATCGCTCTCTCTCTCGCTCGTAATTCCTTTTACCTAGACTCTAGACTTTAAGGATATCTCGTAAGACCTATACTCGGAACGTATACTATAAAATTAAGAGTCGGGGTTTAATATAGAGAATAACGCTACTTAATTCTTAGGCCTAAGCTAAAACTAAACCTCGGATCTAGTAGCTTACGATCTAATCGAGTATCGATCCGGGTCCCTAAGCTATCTTTAACTAAATTAATTACTCCTACCGAGTCGGCCTTTAGTCTCTACTATCGAGATATATTCTAATAATTAATATAGGCGAGATATAGAGTTTATTATCGTCGTATCTAAGCTTCTAGTCTCGGAGGCCGAAATCTTAGGAACTCTACTTACGGACGTAATTGTAGCTAAGACTCGCGGAGCTTTCGCGCTCTATAACTAAGAAATAAGAGTAAATCTATAGAAAAAAGTAAAGCTTCGCTATATAATAGATAAAGTTATATTCGAAGAAGGCGTCGTAGACTTCGTAAACCGATTCTTATAGAGATCGGATTACCGGTCCGGAGTACTTACGGAGAATATAGATAACTCGATCGAGCGAAGAAGACGTCGCTTCGTAGCGTATATATAGTCTTAATATCGAATAGATATCCCTTCCTTTACCGGTCGAGCCTCTACTTCGCTAATTCTCTCTTATATACCGACGTATCAAGCCGGTATACTATCTATTTATACTTAGTAATACTCGGCTCTAGCTTACGGATAGTATCTCTCTTATCGTCTACCGTCGCGAGCCTAGAGTCTCTATTCTCTAATAACGTATAAGAGAGGACTAGTAATATCTATAGCGCCTATATAAGACCCGATATAGCTAGTGGGATTTCTTCCACTAGTATCGGCCTCTATAGGAATATAACTACTAGGACCGCCGGGACTACTATCTTACGTCGCTAGCCACTTAGTATTATTAACTAGACGTCTTAAGCTGTCGGATATTGGCGACTTCGACGGTAATTAACTTATCTTCTTTATATCTCGTATTATCGCCTTCGCCGAAAAATATAGATAGGCCGCCGTATTAGACGTAATATTACTATATATAAAGGATAAGATATATCTTTAGTATAATATACTAGACCCTACTACTAAAGGTAATATAAACGCGTCTCTTAACGCTTAGATTATTAATCTACGTATACGATTCGTAGAGGATCCTACTATCGCGTAAGACCGAGTAGATAGATATAAATTCTAGTTTAGTAAACGGGACTAGTTAAGCTTTCGTTTATATATTACGAAGAAGTAGACCTACTTATAGGACGCCGGAATTATCGATCCCTTCGTTATAACTAACGCTATCTAGAAGGATATAGATCTATTTTTATAAAATATAGCTCCGCGCCCTTACCTATAGATATCGCTCGACGAATTCCTCCGGATACTATATAATACGGAATATTAAGCTTACTATCTATAGTAATCTATATAACGCTTCTAGTATCTAACCGAATATTAAGATAATCGGTAGGATCGAACCTATCCGGAAAAGACTAATCGGGAATTCCGTAAGACCCGTCGTCCTAACTAATCGACCGCTAGAGAAGGCGACCGTTCATACGGACCTTAAGATAATCCGTAGGATAGATCTAGATATTAGAATCAAAGTCGGGACCGAGATCGGTACTAGAACCGTAATCGATATTAGAATCGTAATCGATATTAAAATCGTAATTATTATTAAAACCGTTAGCGGTTATATCTCGTAGAATAATAGGATAAAGACGAATCCTCGGATACGGATAACTCTTCACCGTACTAAGAGTTCTATAATCTAGATAATTCTCTAAAGTCTTAGTCTAGTCCTATCCGTACCTTACGAGAGAAAGTCCGCGTTTAGTTCTACTAATCGCTATTACGGAAGGATATCCTATCGAAAGATACTAAACGCGAAAGCTCTAAGCGTATCTAATTCTCGGAAGGCGATAAGGAGAACGCAAAACCTTCCTCCCCCGCGGTATCTTCTTTCTCTAATCTAATTAAATTCGACGCGGGGAAATAGATAGCGGATCGTCGACTAGTAGTAACGACTTCGATAAGTTAAGTAATAATCTAAACGATAACTCTATTATCTTACTATCGTTACCTTATCTACTTTTAGTAGAAGAAATTACGTTTATATTTTACGAATAAATAATAATCGATAATATCGGAAGTTATCGAGTATATATTAGAGTAAAAAGCTCTTTTAGACTATCCTTCGCGGATATAGATATATAGATCGGAACTTATATATCCTTTTATATAGATATCGGATTAGATATCTCTCTATTACGACGGGACTAAATAGAAAACTTTCTACGAGTAAAGATCCGTCAGATACGAAAGAGTAAGTTAGTAAAAATCGAAGGTATCGCTATCGGAAAACTTATTAAAATAAACGAGTATATTAAATTACTAATAGTCTTATAGATATCGGAGAGGGAAAAGATATACTATTACGGCGAAGTATATATCGTAAACGATCTACTAATTCTATATATCTTAGATACTAGAGTTCTAGTACTAAATAATCTTAACTTTAAATAATAATTCGCAAAAGGAAAACCTAGTCTATATATAAATAGATATTATATATCTCTTAGATTTAGTATTAATAATATCGATAATAAAACCTATCTCGCTAAAATATCCTCTTATCGAGTTACTCTCCTAGTAAATTAGATAGTTATTATAGAACCGGATACTAGACTAAACGTACTAATTTATATCCGCCGATTAAAGTCTTATAGAGACGGTCGCGGTTACTACTTAATTAAGTCCGATTAGACTCTATTTAAACTAGAACGCGGATAGATAGTTAGGGTACCTAATTATCTCGTCCGAATAGACGAAGACTATTTAACTATTTCAAATTTCGATAAATATACCGTTAAGATTTTAAAGGGGTAACGACTTACTATAGTATATATATAT